TATGTCGCAAGCCCGGAGTGCGTTCACCGTCAAGCATTTCGCAGGTGAGGTGGACTACTCGACCGTTGGCCTGCTTGAGGAGAACGGCGAAGTGGTTTCGGGAGACCTGATGAATCTGATGCAGTCTACTCGGAGTGACTTTGTTCGCGAGCTGTTTGGACAAGAAGCGTTGCAGACTGTCCCCCACCCCCGGGAGAGGACAACCATTATGCAAGCTCAAGTATCTTCCAAGCCCCTCCGGATGCCTAGTATGGCTAGGCGTAAGATCAATCAGCAGGCACGTCTTGCGGCTTCCGAGAATGTCTTTGGCGCCGACAATGAAGACGTTGAGGATAACGATAGCCAAGAAACGAGTTCCAAGCGCGGTGCGGCCAGCCGAAAGGGCGGGCTCAATGGTAACCCTGCTCAAGGAGCGGCCGGCCAGTTCCTCTCAGGGCTGGAGATTATCAACAAGTCTTTGAGTTCACCGAACCTTAATCCCTACTTTGTGATCTGCCTCAAACCTAACGATCGCCGCATTGCGAACCAATTTGACAGCAAATGTGTACGGATGCAAGTCCAAACCTTTGGTATCGCAGAGATCAGCCAGCGGTTGAGAAATTCCGACTTCAGCGTTTTCCTTCCATTTGCCGAGTTCTTGGGATTGGCCGAAATCGGCAATGTTGTTGTCGGGAGCGACAAAGAAAAGTCGGAAGTCGTCTTGGATGAACGGCGATGGCCTGGCAATGAAGCACGCGTAGGGAGCACTGGTGTCTTCTTGAGCGAGCGATGCTGGGCAGACCTTGCCAAAGTCGGGGAACGTGTCGTTCCTTCGCACAACAATGCAGGCGCCGATTCAGGCGACGGCACATTCAATGCCGCTGGAGGGAACCCAGATTCCAAGGTTCGCCTCCTCAATCCAAACGATCAGTCTCCAGGTGCCTATATATATGGAGACGAAGCGAAGCAAGGGTACTTTGGAAGCCGCGAATTAGATGGTCGTTCCGATGCTGGAGGCTCCGCCTTCAACTCTGGCGACATGTTTCGAAACCTTGAAACCCGAGAGCAGATGCTGCAGAAGGGCAACGAGAAGACTATGGAGGAGATAGACGACATCCCCGTGTCAGGCTCTCGCAAACGCTGGATGTTCCTCGTCTATATGCTCACCTTCTTCATCCCCGACTTCGTCATCAGGTTGGTGGGACGTATGAAGCGGAAAGAAGTGCGCACGGCTTGGCGTGAAAAATTGGCTATCAACATGATCATTTGGTTTTCTTGTGGTTGTGCTATCTTCATGATTGTTGGCTTCCCTGGATTGGTTTGTCCGACACAACACGTCTATTCCAAGGGTGAACTCTCATCCCATAATGGTAAAAAAGGTGCAACCTCTTTCGTTGCCATCTCTGGTGTTGTATTCGGCCTTGGCGAGTTCATGCCCTCCCATTATCCTAGCATCGTTCCGCAGAAGTCACTCAAGACTTATGCCGGCACCGACGCAAGTGATCTTTTCCCCATCCAGGTTTCGGCCTTATGTCAGGGTGTGGACGGCAGTGTGGACCCTAGCGTGCCATTGGACTATCGATCAAATCTGAACAGCTCTAGCTCCACATCCACAGCTACTGGCACAGATGTCAACTCCAAGTACCACGACTTCCGGTATTGGGTTACTGGTGACTATCGTCCAGATTGGTATTATGAACAGATGATCATGCTGAGAGCAAGCTACAAAAAAGGCTATGTCGGCTACACTGCTGCATATATCAAGGATCTCGCGGACAACGACGACAAGCAGATTGTCAGCATCGATGGTAAAATCTACGACATGACCTACTATATGGCAGGTCCTCGAGTTCCTCGCTTTCCAGAGGGGAAGAACAAATCCACCAGCGATATCAACACTGACTACATGAGTCCTTTGATCACTAGTCTGGTTCAGGAAAAATCGGGTTCAGATGTTTCGAAGTACTGGCATGACCTTCCCTTCACCACTGAAATGCGAGATCGGATGCAATTGTGTATGGACAACCTGTTCTTTGTCGGGCATCTCGACACTCGAAACTCACCAAAGTGTCAATTTGCGCGTTACTTCATCTTGGCCATCTCAATCTTGATTTGCTCGGTCATTGTCTTCAAGTTCCTTGCTGCGTTGCAGTTTGGAAAGAAGAATCTGCCTGAGAACTTGGATAAATTCATTATCTGCCAAGTGCCGGCGTACACCGAAGACGAGGATTCTCTACGTCGTGCCATCGATTCCATGGCCCGGATGCGGTACGATGATAAGCGTAAATTGCTGCTCGTCATCTGTGACGGCATGATTATCGGTCAAGGCAACGACAAGCCTACTCCTCGAATTGTTTTGGATATCTTGGGTGTCCCAGAGACTCTGGATCCAGAGCCTCTCAGCTTTGAGAGTCTGGGTGAGGGTCAGAGACAGCACAACATGGGCAAGATCTACTCTGGCCTCTATGAAGTCCAGGGCCACATTGTTCCTTTCTTGGTTGTGGTCAAGGTCGGCAAACCCTCTGAGGTTTCTCGCCCCGGTAACCGGGGTAAGCGTGATTCCCAGATGATTCTCATGCGATTCCTAAACCGAGTTCACTACAACTTGCCCATGTCTCCCATGGAGCTCGAGATGCATCACCATATCCGGAATATCATTGGAGTTAACCCAACGTTCTATGAGTTTATCTTGCAAGTCGATGCTGATACGGTCGTCGCACCTGATGCTGGTACCCGCTTTGTCTCATCTTTCTTAGCTGATACTCGTCTCATCGGTGTTTGCGGAGAGACCTCCCTGTCCAATGCCAAAACGTCCATGATTACCATGATTCAGGTCTACGAGTACTATATTTCTCATAACCTGACCAAGGCGTTCGAGAGTCTGTTTGGGTCAGTTACTTGCTTGCCCGGTTGTTTCACCATGTACCGCGTCCGCTCATCAGAATCCGGCAAACCGCTATTCGTCAGCAAAGAGGTCGTCGACAATTACTCGGAAATTCGTGTGGACACCCTTCACATGAAAAATCTGCTTCATCTGGGTGAGGATCGATACCTGACCACATTGCTTTTGAAGCATCACCCGAAATTCAAAACGAAGTACATCTTCCGCTCCCACGCTTGGACTGTAGCTCCAGAGAGCTTTGCTGTCTTCTTATCTCAACGTCGCCGATGGATCAACTCGACTGTCCACAACTTGATTGAGCTGATTCCATTGACACAACTGTGTGGTTTTTGCTGCTTCAGTATGCGATTTATCGTCTTTGTTGATCTTCTGAGTACCGTCATTCAACCCGTTACCGTCGCCTACATCGTTTATCTGATTGTCTGGATGGTGACGGACACCTCAGTGATTCCATGGACGTCTTTCGTTCTGCTAGGTGTAATCTACGGTCTACAAGCATTCATTTTCATCATCCGACGCAAATGGGAGATGATCGGATGGATGTTCATCTACATGCTCGCCATCCCCGTCTTCACCCTTGCTCTGCCTCTATACTCATTCTGGAACATGGACGACTTCAGTTGGGGTAACACCCGTATCATTACAGGAGAACGTGGCAACAAGGTCGTCATCTCCGACGAAGGCAAATTCGATCCCGATTCCATTCCCAAGAAACGCTGGGAAGATTATCAAGTCGAATTGTGGGAGGCCCAGACTTCCCGCGACGACCACTCCGAGATCTCGGGTATTTCTTACGGCACAAGGGGCCACCCCTTCGTGGCGCCTCATTCCGAATATGGCTTCCCTGGTTCTCGACCTGCTTCCCAACTGGATCTGCCGCTGCTCAACTCGGGCTCGCGTCTTTCCGTCGCCCCATCTGAGATGCTCAGTCGCCATATGGACTCGGATATTAGCATGGAAGATATGAGCCACCTGCCTAGCGATGATGCCCTCTTGACTGAGATCCGGGAGATTCTGCGCACAGCCGACCTGATGAGCGTTACGAAGAAGAGTATCAAACAGGAGCTTGAGCGACGATTCGGTGTCAACTTGGACCTCAAACGGCCATATATCAACTCTGGTATGTTGTTCTTCTCTTTTTGTTTCAAACCATCCACTAACATGATTCTCTAGCTACCGAAGCCGTTCTTTCAGGTCTTCTCTAAATAGGCAATATTAGCCTCCGGTTTCAGACCCGTTTATTCAAACATGTGTTAGTAATGCCTGTTACTTGGATGTATCCAAGGTTATCTGAACTTTTCTTTGTGGGTTTTTCTTTTCCTTTTTCGAGCGACATATTTGCATGGATGAAAGCTTTTCGAGCGAGCACATTGTTTCCTTATCTACTATTTCTCATCATTGTCTTGAAAATCTTGGTCTGCGGTTCATAAAATAGCCATATCTTCGGGAACATAGCATAAGAATCCGATAATGCCCAGTGTATCTGGTGTTTAATTTCCAATATCCACCCATTGAATAAGGAGAATCCATACACCTATAATCAATTATAATTGCCTTTGCACAGGCTGAGATCTCAATGGTCCACACTACACAGCACTATACTCCAGGGCATCGTATAGGCAGGAAAATGTCTGTCGAGTGGATCCTTCCTATCTGGGACCCCGCTGGCTTTATGGGCCTTTCCTCTTCCCTGCCCTTCTTTTCTTTTTCTTGCTTTCTCTTTGCTTTACTCAATCTCTGCGTCTGCATCATGTTATATAGTGATTTTCACAGCCCAGATGAAGAGTTCCTCAGGGAGCCAGAGAACCCGCTCCACGACACAGACGGCGCCAGACTCTACGAAACTGTGTGTAGTGGCCTTCTTTTCGCAATAATCGAACTTAACGATCTTCAAAGACTAAAAGAATATCTTCACGTCTATTCTCCACGTCTAGATATTGAAGACAAACATTACAATGATCCACTCTGGATCACGGCGTCGAAAGGGCGCACCGACATCCTCCGTGCTATGATGGATTACTATAACACCGACCCAACAAAATTGCCACTCCATTAGCGAAGGTTTCCCTTATTGGGGGCGGCATGTAGGGGACTGCAGGTAGAGACGTCACGATTTTTGATGGACACTCTGCCACTCAGCCAGTCATACCTTGATGAAGGGCTATTAGAAGCTGTCGAATGTCTGGCTTCTTTGCCCCTTAGCGATTGCAGAAAATCCTCGCCGAGTGAGCTTGACGACTGGAGGAGCAACCATATCATCCGTGCCGAGGAGCTGATACACTTACTCCTAGATGCCGGTGCTTCTGTTCAAGCGGCCCGGGCCTCTGCCACGGAGAATTGGCTCTTCGGAAACACTTATAGGGATGAGGAACGTTGGAAGCCATTGCAGGCTTCTGGTACAGTTCTCGGTTTCGCTTGTTCCCGAGCTGGTTACGCGTTGATAAAACGACTCATTGACCAAGGAGCCGATATACACGCTAAAGAGGTGTACGACAACGAACGTTCAAGGATTTTTGCGACTGGGCATGGAAACTTGTTAAGTGTCACCGCACTTCACATCAGCAGCAATTTTTGGAACTCAGCGGCAATCCAAGTACTGTTTGACTACTATCACTGTGGAGATAATATCAAAAAAGCCATTTCCTGTCGCGACAGTCACGGACGTCTACCACTTCACTGGGCAGCTAGAGGCCCCGGTCCGTGCGAATGCAGGCTTTCTGACGATATAGTCAACAATCGGATCATCGATACCCTCAATTTACTCTTGGTGAACGGTGATATCGACATCAATGCCGAAGACAACTGCGGCCAGAATGCTTTACATTACGCAATAACAGCTCACGCCGGCTGTGTTGGAAGTAAGCACTTTGATTCCCTGCTGCGTTTCTTACTCAAAAAAGGCGCGGACGCACTTCAAATAGGTCTTGATCAACAAACCATGCTACACAAACTCGCCTTTCATTGCCTCGCTGGTGGGCCTGTCGATGGCCCTCTAAATGAGTTCTTATCACTTGGTATCGAAATCAACCACCAAGACAAGGACGGAAACACAGTACTGCACTTTATAGCCAGAAATTTGCGTCACATTCAGGAGACTGGAATCTTTATTAGTCGAGGCGCTGATGTCTTTCTGACCAATTCTAAGGGGAATACTCCTTTGCATGAGGTTACGACAATGGGATCAATTCTGCCCAAGCATATGAATGGTGAAGTTGTGAAGGCTTCCCATGATGAACAGAGAAAGGCGCTGGCTGAAGTGGTTGCTAACTTGCTGGAGGTGGGGGGTGAAGGTATGATGGACCAGCCTAATCTAGCGGGAGAGACACCGCAACAGTTGCTCGCTAGAAGGATGGATATGTGGGAGCGGCTGGAGCTTGCAGCAATCGAGAGGGAAAGGAACAAGTGCTCCGGATGAATATATTTAAACGATACAGGCTACGGGGAATGTTTACTAGTCAAGCTGAAGCCTAAGAATCATATATATCTTTATCTGAAACAAGTTGCACGGGATCATAGCGCGAGTACATACAGTAGTGCAAAGGTAGATACATGTAAAGCTTCTCAAGGTTATCAATAGGCTGACAGCGCGCCACGCCAAGTGGGGTTGCAGATCGGACTCCGCAAACATTTATATTCCTCGAACTTGCCTTCAAATCAACATTACATCCAACATCCTACACTCAAAAGTCCAACCTTGGAGATTTGCTAATCTCCAACCTTTCTCCACTTCTCTCAAATCCACATTTTCGTCTTCCGTCCCAAGGTTCCTTCCCAAATACCCACTCCAACCACACCAGCCATCCTCCCCACATCTCCAACTTTGGAAACTATATACAAAATACCCAAAATGACAGACCCAACCTCCTCAACCCAGCCCCAAGACCACACCCAAGACTCGGATTCAACCCTCACCCCAGACCAACGCCAGAAAGAAGCTCTGGCAGCCTTCACAGCAACCCTCCACAGCGTAGGCACAAACCTCGAAGCCCCGCTCCGCGAGCGCGCAACAATAATAAACACCAACGCCCTCTCGCTCGAGCGCCAAGAAGCCGAGTTAGCGGGGGCACGGCGCTGCGCTGGCGAAGCAGAATGAGGGGTGGGAGAAGGTTGCTGATGAGACTAGGGCGGGCTTAAAGGAGATTGGGGATGTGCAGAATTGGGCGGAGATGATTGAGAGGGATTTGCTGGTTCTTGAGAGTATGATGGATGAGGTTGAGGGGGTGGATGATAGTGCTAGTGAGGAGGATGCGAGGAGTGTTAGGGATGAGGAGATGGAGGTTGAGATAAATGGGAATGGGAATGGGAATGGCGTTCCGAATGGGGATGAAGTCCAGAAGAAGGAAAAGAGAAGGAGTTGGTTTTCTTGGTGGTGATTTTGTTATATATTCAGCGATACCGTTTTAAGTACTATTCCTGTTGCATCTCATCCACAAATCGTCGCCATAGATCTATTCCCACAGGTTCATCATGCTGCGACTCAGGATCTAGATCTAGATTTTCATCCAGGCCCTCCGCATACTCATCCCATTCCTCCCACTGCCCAAGACGCATCAAATGCCTCATCGTAGGCCGACCATGGGGACAATTCCACGGTTTATCAATCGTACCCATGTTTCCAACAACGCGCTGCATCTGACGCGTTGTCAAGGTCTTCCCAATCATGATACTAGACCGACACGCGCGCATGGCGAACATCTTCCGTACTTTACTGGGACGTGGGACGGAAATCCCAGTGCCAGACGACTCCGATAAGAGAACGAGCAGTTCCTCAAGATCGCGAACTCCAAAGACGACCTCTTTGCTAAGTGGTAAGGAGACAAGTTGACACCTGCGACCGATGGGTTCGTCACCACTTTCGTCGACCGTGACGATGAACCCGTTCTTTTCGAGAGCGGATGCATTATCCAGTACGATTTCTTCTTCAACGGCTGTTAAATCCAGTCGCAATGGACGGACGAGTCGTTGGTTTTGGACGATAGTCTCAGTCTGGAGTCTTTCGAAATTGAACTTCTCGTCTGAAGCGTGTTGATCTATGATGAAAAGCTCGTCGTGATCGTCGCCGGGTCGGACGGCGAGGATGAAGCCTAGGTTGAATTGGCCAATTATGCGCATCTGGGCAAAGTCGGCTTTGCTGACCGTGAGGGAAAGTCGGTCTTCGGCTGTGTTTTCATCGGTGTCGGTGTTGTCGGTTTGGGATGGTGCGCTTCGTGGTTGGAGAGATTCTCGTAGCTTGTGCATTTGGGACTGAAGCCGGGAGACTGATGCATCGATCGTGCTGATGAGGCTGACGGTAGAGTCGCGGTGGGTGGCGCCCTTGTTCAATTTGTTGGCACGACTGGTGTTGTGCTCCTCAGAAAGAACTGCTGTTTCCTCAGCCTCATGGATTAGGCGTTGAACTGTTGCTTCTTCCTGGGCTTTCTTCTCGGCTTCACCGAAGTCATGTTGACTTTCAGCCGTTGCTTCACCTTTTTCTTGATCCTCCTTATCTGGCTGAGGAGCGGATTCATTTGGTTCTTCTGAAACATCGTCTTTATCTTCAGGCTCCAAGGGGGCTTCCGGAAGCTCTGCTTCTTCCTCTTCATACTCCTCATCCTCTGCCTCCGCCTCCTCTGCTTCAACATCTTCATATTCTTCACCATCCTCATCAATTTCTTCATCCTCATCCTCATCCTCTTGATCATTTTCTTGCTGCGTTCCTGGCGCCGCAAAAGCCTTCATATGCTCCCCAAATATACCAGGCCTGGAAGGAGTATGAATGAGTCGCTTGCGTTTTGTAACGTTATTCGTGGAAGTCCCATAGTCAGAGGTGCGTTTCCGCGGTAGGCCACTTCCAACCATAGATTTCACCGTATGATCACCGATAGTGATAGTAGCCATCTCAGCGGGCATTCGACGAGGACGCATGCGATCAAAAGCATTCTGGACCACATTTGGTGTTTCTTCGGAGCCTTGCGTCCCATATTCCAGCACCTGTTCAGCTTCGGATGGCTCAGGTGAAGCCTCAGGTACCTCGGGAGTAGCTTGAATTGTTTCCGAACCCCGGCCCCTAGCCGGACGAGGAGTGACATCCACGTCCGGACCAGAAGAAGCCGCAACAGAAGACGGCCTCTTTTGCCTGGTCACCATAGTAGGTTTTGTAGGAGAAGACGGAGGATCCACCTGGCTCGAACCATCCTGTGAACTCATAAACCGACTTAGACTTGGCACAGTCTGCTCGCGTGATTCGGATTGATCATCAGTAGACTCCTCTCCATTTCGCTCCTGACGAGGTGTCTTAGGAGACGCAGAAGCAGAGGCACTCTGAAGCTGTCTCGCAGTAACAAAACCCGGCAAAGCCGCCAACGCCTGCTGCTTACTTGCCGAAGCCTTAGACCCAAGAATCTGCGACTGAGGCACCGTCTGATCCGCCGCCTCAAACAATTCCGCAAGCGAAGTCTTTAATGACTCAATCAAAGCCGCAGCATCATGAAGCAAGATAGTCCTTTTATCCGGCGACACATTCACATCATAAGCATTAGTATCCATCCGAAAATCGGCAAAAATAAACGGTGATTGTGAGACATTAAATGATTTATAAACCTCGTTAAACGCTTTTGCAATCTGCGGTAATCCACAGGGTCGCGAATTCACGAAAAGTAGCTGCCGATCAGGCGTCTGACGGCCCTCACCGAAAACAGGTCTCGAGATGTGTCCCCGAACCTGGATCTTGTTTGATTGCCCATCGCTCTCGATTCGTCTCATTGCATGTGAAGGCTCGAATTCCAGATCCAGATCTAGAGGGATCAGCGCAGATAGTGTCTTTGCACCGTAGACATTGGCGATATTCTCCTTGGTCGTCGGGTTACTGTTTGTAGAAAACACAACCACGTTCTTGGTCTTGCCGACCGTATTTCGGACGCTAAATCGGACTCCTGTACTGATACACGCGTACGCATGTAGGAGGTTCAGGACCTTGCCGTATTCTCGCTTGATGTTCTTCTCTAGTTCTCGTCTGCGGACGGGAAGGCGTTTGAAGATTCCTCCTACAGATGCGGTGGTTCCTTTTTGTCCAGCGACGATCTGAGTCTTCTGTAGTTTGCCAGAGACTTCGAAGTCAAGTCGGTTTGCTTTCGGGGCCTGGTGTGCTTGGGCGGTTACGACGTGGAAGTCGGCGAGAGCGCATAGGGAGGAGAGGGCCTCGCCGCGGAAGCCGAAGGTGTGGAGGGTTGTAAGGTCATCGTATGAGGACAATTTGGAGGTGTAGTGTTTCAAAGCTGAGATGATTGAGATGTGAGTACTGGAAATAGAATATTTGCAATTTCTGGGGCCTAAATACTCACCAACATTTTCATAATTCTCCGGGGATATTCCACCGCCGTTGTCCTGGACCTCGATCAAATCCAACCCGTTGTTCTTGAATCGCACCTCTAAGAGAGACAATCAGTTGACCAGTGTACTTAGGTCATTGCTAAACGAGACACCTACCGATGCTGGTTGCTCCTGCATCGAGACTGTTCTCGACTAGTTCTTTCGCGACGGAGCACAGGTCAGTAATGACCTGGCCAGACTGGATTTGGTGGACCTGATGAGATAGCGGTTAGGGAAATGAATTATCCACCAAGTCGTTCCTTAGAGATCGTACTGAGCGGGCCTCGATGGCCTTTATGGTTGCCATTATGCCATGGCTGTTGGTGTTGAAGAGCGCGTCGCACTTTACGCGTGGAGTGGTTCTGCCAAGCTTGAGCTCCACCTGATCCACATAAGGTTATGCCGGAGCGAAGTATACAGACGTGATCCCACAGAAGCTTAATTTATGGAAGCGTAGTAATAATTGCATTGCTATAGGATATATGCCAAATGGAGATTTAAGTCACTCATCGCTTAGAACGCCCGAAAATCAAAGTAGCCACCATTACCTAGACCAGTCTTTCAAAAGCGATCAGGCAGCATAACAGGAGCAACCAGTGTCCACAAGTAGATGGCATAGCACACCCAGGCGCTGACAATCTTCACCCAGCTAGCCCAGTAAGTCCGGCCCACGGGCGCAAAGTCCATGTCGTTTGTCTCAACCTCTAGCCCTTGAGCCAACAAGGTGGCCACCCAGGTAGTAGCGAGGAAGAAGATGATGTGGAAAAGTGTGTAACTGTACTGTGTGGCACCACGCTCATCGTCCTTGCTGCTGGTCTCGAACTCATCTTCATCGTCGCTATCATCCAAGGCGCTAGCCGGCAGACTCCCGCTCTCAACCGCGGCTCGGAGGGCTTCCGCCCGCATCTCACGGCGGCTGTTAGGCTGCTGCGTAACCAGACCATGCTCGTCATCATCTAGCTGCACGTAGCTGTGGCCGCCCTTGGATCCCAGCGCAATGCCCTGAGTAGCCGCGCGCGTGGTTGTGTACGCAATGGTGGCCATGGTGACAATGGCTCCCAAAATGATGGTGACGGTCCGAGTACCACTGGAGCGAATCAGAGGGTTGCAGTGCTTGTCATCAGGTTCCATTGACACGGCAGATAGGGTGAGATAGGTGCAGTAAATTGTGACCATGGCAGCCTGAGCCAAGCCTGCCCGTGGGTTGCAGTCCTGGACAGCAGGTTGCACGGAGACGAAGGAAATGATCAGGAAGAGAATCAAGTTGACCTAAAGGCTGTTAGTTTCACCATTAATAGCGGAAGAGTGAGAGAACTTACCGAAATCGCAGCCTGGTTCATGGAGCATGAGCCACGAGCAAAGAAGATATACATCAGGATTGTCATAACCATGGATGTCAAGTACATGCCGAGGGTCGACCCAACGAGCAGACCACGCCACATGCGCGAGTCACTATCCTCAATCTTCTGCAAACACAGCTCGGCCCAAGAATGCGCAAGATCCACCAACAGGATCAGGCCCAATAGGAGGAAAAGCATAGCGCAGAAGAAAGCGATGTAGTTGCCGTACACAAAGAAGAAGGACTCCGGGATGAAGAAAGACATGACAACAAATGCCAGCCAGAGGATAATCTTCGGTCCCCAGAACCCATTCTGCAGAGCAGCGCGACTATCCCGAGAGCTCTTAACACCAAGGAGCAAGAGAGCGAGTATCAAGTGGAAGAGACCGAGACCAAAGTTGATGCGATGCACAGCTACCCATCCATGACATTCCTTGCCGTCGCATCGAATTTCCATATAATCGAGAGTCAAATGTTGCAGTTTCTTCAGTGCCCATGGTGTGAGCATGATCCAAGAGACAATCGAGTTGACCAAGAGGATAAAGGCGTAAGCGATTCTCGTTGCCATACTATGCTGAGATTAGTGCAAATTCTCCCGCGTTAGGCAGCCAAGAGATCGTACCTGTTCTGGAATTTTCCACATGCGCTGCATACCGCAGAGCAAGTTGCCGCACCGCAGCATGAGCCGCCGACCGTAAGGATCTATTTGGCAAAGAAGAGTCATTAGCGAAGGGCTCCTCGTTTGCGCTCGGAAGGGAACTTACCGTGCCCATGCTCGGTATCGCCATCAGCGGCAGAGATAATAGAGCACCCATTGTGGGTATGTAGGTGATTGAACGACAAAGTAGAACTGACTGTTAATACCCGCTCCGATAGGTTGTTCTGATCTCTGAATAGTTCCGTTGGGAGACAAGATCGCGGTGAGGAGATTCCTGGGGAGTGGAGTTGACGATCCCCAGCCCGCCTTCGTCATGCGCGGTCACATGGCCATTATGTAATCAATGGCGGCCCATGATTTTCCCGCTTCGATAGAGCTTTGTGATTGTTGACTACCTGTAGGCTCCAGGGCTACTATGGACTAATGGATAAATGGAAGATAAAGCGAATTAGAACGCTTCATTAAATTGACCGGTGTTATTGTCCAGATGTGAGAGGTATGCTGAACTTGAAATCCTTTAGATTAAGTTCGGATTTGATGCTGGGTCCACGATAGAGCTTAACCTTTGCACTGCATTCCAGCGCATCTATACGGTCTATCAAAGATTGGGCAAGGCTTTTTCAGTAGTGTTGAGCAAAATGCTCCCTTATTCTTGGCACTATATCACAGCGTGGGTATCGTTTATTGCCTCTTGTTCTTGGTTCCCACTTTCTGATAGATCCATGGGCTCTCTGCTCCCTCCAAAAGATCCTGGGCAATGAAATCTGCATTATCCTCAAGAGCTGTCTTGTATGACGATGCCTGGCTGAGAACATTTAAGTAACCTCCGATCAACGGGGTACCCAGCAATTTTGACGACCAGTCGGGGGGTGAAGTGCTAGCAACCGTGAGGTTGTTGGCCGAGGCTCCATTTGGGAGAGGGTAGGTGGTTTCGCTCATAGGGTACATGACACCGGGACAAAGAACAGACCATTGAATGCCCGAGGGTGGCAAGGCCTGGAGTTTGGCCCAGGTGTGACGGTGTTGTGGGAACATTCGCAAGCTAAATCGCGAGTTCTGTCAGCATTTTGCAAATAATATGAAATCGCGACAAGTAAAGTCAATAAACTCACTAGTCCACAATTCTGTAATTGGTATTGGGGAGGTCCAAGAGGCCAAGTCCTCCGAGGAACCACATCCGCAAGGGGGTTTCACGACCCTGGCCTATCTCCAATGCGGCGGCGATAACTGCATCCACGATCGAAGGAAGATCACTCTTTCCCCAAGGTGCCATGGCAGCATAACCAGCCGTATTCACGATGGCATCGCATTGGTGCTTGTTTCCGGCAGCTGTGATATCGGCGCTTTTTGTCGCATCTCCAAGCTCCACGGCCGAAAGCTGAGAGATAATGCTGGGAGGGAGTTTTGAGGAATCGCGCGCAAATGCGACAACTGAGTGTCCTCGTGCCAGCAAAGCTGACAGAACGCGGGAGCCAAGTCTTCCGGTGGAACCCAAGACGAGGACCTTCATATTGTAATTTGTGATGCACGGGTGGAGGGGATGTTAGTCGGGTTGTGGGCGTCAGTTGGCACGGAGCTGTGGAAGGTTGGGAATGGAAGAAGGAGCAGAAGCTGCACCCCTGAGAGTTTTGTCCAGCTCCCACAGGTCACAAAAAGTTCTCCAGCTGAAATGCAATTGAAGCTACAGGCGGCTAGTGTCCCCGCCGATGATGCAGATCTCCACTCTATCGTCGGTGCAACTTTTCGGAGGAACTTTAAGTGGGGCGACGACCACGGTTTCTGGACTTTTACGTTCAACTATAAAATCATGAAAATTCCAATCTTTGGACTTTAGGTACCGCATCTTTGAACAACAAATTTCCACTTGCGCCCTGAACCTTCGAACATCCTCCTGACAATCACCTGCGATAGGGGACACCACCACTGAGCGGGTTAACCTGATTAAAGCTCGTCTTCCTACCATACGGAACAGGCTTCCAAAGTGCCTCCTTTAAATAGACATATGTAATTTCCTGCCATGTACTCCATTGATGAGCACCGCTCATCGAATAGTGGCTCAAGTAGGTAACGTTCTCGGTAGCCAGAGCCGTCTCCCAATCCCGTGCCGCATTGAATGTGGTATCGTAAAACCCGGCTCCAGTCAAGATACCCACGTCGCGTAACCCCGGGTTAATGGTAGCATTGTACTGTTGGTCACCAGCAGAGGGAGCCGGCGTAGGTGACATGATACAGTAGGAAGAGAAATAATCAGTCGCGTTGAACAGCATGGCCAGAGTCAGGGTACCTCCGAGGGCGAGACCACCAAATGCTCGGTTAGAGGAAGAGTTGGATACGTCATAGTTCTCATTCACCCAGGGCATCAGGTAGGAGAAGAAGTTCTCGCGTACTTTGTTGAAAAAGCGGGAATATCCGACTGTGGCATGTTTTAGCAAGATCATTCGGCTAACGAAGAAAATAGAAATGGGGTTGTTATACATACCGACATCCAAATATTCTGCCTGTAGTGTTGCGTTGGTTTGGTACTCTTCGAGAGTAAATCCCAGATCATACCAGTTTGGCGTGATGAGGATGGTCGGCTCGAGCTCCCCGGCATTGATGAGACGATCGACTGAGCAATGTCATATTAGCGAGGTGCATTAGATCCGGGAAACAAGATGGGTGCGATTTTTTCGACTAATTCAGGTCCTCCTGAAAACTTACCAATATTGTGAATTTGGGCTTGCTGAAACCAATCTGAATCCGACCCTTGACCACCGTTGGAGAGGTACAAGACCGGATATTTCTTGTTTGGAATCTTTCCATACTCATAAGGGAGGTAAATTCCAACATCGTGAACATCTATTCAAAAAGTCAATCAACAATACAAATCGCTGTATGCCGTCTTTAGGGATGCTGACTGGGATAAGGATAGGTCGATCCCGGAGACGAGTACCGATGGAAGCTAACATTGCCCCTCTTGGAAACATCTTCTAGTGGCAGTTGCCAATCATAATCATTGATCTGAAATTCACGGTCAAACGGTAACTGAATAGCGCTGAGCAGCTGATCACCCGCAAAGGCTTCGATGGGTAGATTCGAGGGATCCACAATTGCAACATCACAATTCCTCCAGTTGCCCGTTGTGCAATTAGGATAGTAGGCGTAGAGCCAAGTCCCAGATGGGAGCGGCACGGTTATCTCCCAGTCACCAGTATGTTCATTGTGCGTCATCTCCAGACCGGCAAGATTGTCTGCCACATTTCCATAGTCAGGGGACAATCGCATGGAGAACATGTCCGACTTCCACTCATAGGGTGAGTATCCATCTGTTTTGGACAAGGATCCATGCAGTGAGTCGGAAAAGAAAGGAAAGCCGCCCAGTAAGACTGAGGAAGCATGAGTCGTTGCGTTTGGTGTAAAAACGAAATCGACTACATAGCCAGTTGGGCCCTTGCCGGTCTTTCTAACGGCTGTGCCCTTACTCAGTGCCCCAACCGCTAGCGTTAAGCTACTCATGACTTTAAGAATGTGCATTGTAAAGGAAAGAGAAGGGCTCTCTAACTGTAGAGAAGATACTCAAATACGGGACCGAAATAAACAGCGGACACACGGAAATCTTATATCGAAGCCAAGGGGTAGGACATTAACCTGGCATGTATCCAAATTACTTTAATTTTCGACTCAAATCTCCGATTCTAGAAATTAATCTGCAGGGCGGCACAGTCTCCCCACCAGCGATATCGGTCTCCCCACCATCGATCGCCCCATGCCTCTGGGATGCGGGGTAAACTTTCAGCAATCGCTAAGAGCCATCGCTAGGAGTCTTTGCTCCGCCTACTTTGCAATCATAACTATTCCCGGCGTAAAATATGCGTCGCTGACGCCTTTCAGATGTGTAAATTAAGCCCTTTTCTCATTCATAGTAATATAATTCACTATGAAGGTATGGTCAGCTGTGGATTTATAGTAGACCGGATGATGGGGATTATTCAGAGTTTACTTAAATTCCGGCGTTGTCATACAAGCGTCGGGAATAATAGTACCTAGTAGGTAACTTCGGCCGGTTAATCCCAGGTAGTCATTTTCCAAGCGAACAGAGACCAATGCACCAAACATGTCATTGTGGTACTATGTGGATACAATCATTTGAACCCTGTGGGGGTCATTAATCATGACCCCTCTGGGTCAATTATAAAATCCGTCAATTCGGCACAAATACTGTTTTCTGACTGTCCATAACCCAAGACAAGCCTGCGTCCAATTCATGCTGAATATGTGGCGGCCTTTGTTATTCCTCCCGGCACTTCTCATCGCTGCCAGTGCGGCCCCTTCTCTGCCTGCCCGTCGAGATTTGCCCACTGCACCTATGGTCACAGTGAAAAACGGCAGCTATTTCGGCACGTACTCGGAAACTTACAATGAGGATATATTCTTGGGAATTCCTTTTGCCCACCCACCACTTCAAGATCTTCGGTATCGGAATCCTGTATCGCTGAATGAGACGTGGACAGGTCAGAGACCAGCAACCAGTTACGCCCCTGTATGTCTATACACACAATGAGTATCTATATGCGAGGCTCACAGTCCTAGGAATGCATTGGTTATGGCAGTGACCAGATTGGAAAGCAGCAGGTAAGTGATATGGTGACACTAATGAGAAGGACTCTTTTAACTTGGTCAGAGCGAGGACTGCCTGTATCTCAATGTCGTCCGCCCAGCAGGTTATGAGAATGAGAGCCTGCCAGTGGCAGTCTGGATCCACGGTAACGCCATGGAAATTCCGTTTTTCGCAATATTCGCTAACCATTTCAGGTGGTGGATTCCGACAGGGAGGTACTCAAGACCTGCGATACAATGTCTCGTTCATTGTCCAAAATTCCGTAGACATTGGCAAACCGATTATTGGTGTGAGCATTGCATACCGACTGGGCGTTATGGGCTTCATGAACAGTGAGGAGGTTGCAAAAGAAGGGTACACGAACCTCGGCCTAAAGGACCAACGACTTGGCCTCCACTGGATCCAAGAAAATATTGGCGCATTTGGCGGTATGATCGAAATTTAGAATTCAAATGAACACCCGCTAATCCAATCCACAGGTGACCCTTCAAAAGTCACAATCTGGGGTCAGAGCGCTGGCGCAGAGAGCGTTGGGTTCCACATCCGAGCCTTCGATGGCCGCGATGATGGTCTTTTCCGTGCCGCTATCATGGAGTCGGGCCCTGTGATGCCGCACAACCCCCTAAACCTGACTAAAGTCTATCAATCACGTTACGACGGAATTGTACGTGAAGCCGGTTGCGCAGAAGAAGCAGATACATTGGCGTGTTTGCGTCGTCTGCCATTTACCGTTCTGGACAACGTGCTCAATACGACTGAATATAATTCTGGGTGGAATCCGACACTCGACGGGGATTTTGTGGCTCGTTATCCTAGTCAGCAAATAAAGGATGGCGCATTTGTCCGTGTTCCTATCATCGTCGGCGCAAGCTCGGATGAGGGTACAAACTTCAGCCCAAAGCCAATTAACGACACGGCCGGTTTCATCGGATGGCTGAACGGTAATCCACTGAGCCTCCCGCATACCAAAGCATAATTCAGCTAACAACTTTGGAATTAGTGACTACATCGGATCAATGGGCGTTCAACGAAACGCTTGTCAACGAAGTCCTACAGGTTTACCCAAATGACCCTTCCGTTGGAATTCCGTCCTTCGAGACCCTCGGCGGAGACGTCACCTTCCCACAACCATATGGAGCCGAGTACCGTCGCAGTGCCGCTTATTGGGGTGACCAGGTCTTCATCGCTGGAAGAAGGTTGTCAGCCGAGACATGGGCGGCTAACAATTTGACGGCATACAGCTACCGATTCAACACAGTTCCAGCAGGTGCAGCATGGGAAATCGGCGTGACTCACTTTGCCGAGGTTGCTTTCGTCTTCAATAACCTCAATGGATTGGGATACACTCCTAATCCGTTTTTGGACAAGCCGGAATCATATACGGAGCTTAGCTACCTGATGAGCAACTCATGGGCCAGCTTCGTCCATAACCTTGATCCGAACGACTGGAGTGGAAGAGGGAGGAATGCAACACAGGCTGATTGGCCTGCTTATACTATGGAAGATCCTATGAATATGGTCTGGGATGCAAACAAAACGAGCTATCCTGAACCTGATACCTGGCGGAAAGAGGGCATTGCTTGGATCAATGAGCATGCTTTGAACTACCAGCGGTAATGGTGGAATGCCATGGCTCTAGTCGAAAGTCTTCTCTTGTAAAAGGCTCAAAAGGGCGTTATTAGTCCTCAGGATCAACAGTTGAATGAAGTAGATTGAGCCTCGATACTGTGGTAGTAAAAGGGTATGGATTAGCTATAATGGGCTTTTATGCTACCTTTGCGCGCTCATAGCTTAAGAACAAAACTATATATTTTTTCCAAGTACGTACTCTAGTACATACGACCATAGGGTGTGGATAACAGGGCTTCCCGTCCGCTCAGCCGTAATTAAGCCACAATATATCCGCGTGGCCAATTCTCTCTATAGCCCTATTACACTAGGGCGGCGAGTGTTCAATGCTAGGTGGGTATGGGTGATATAGGTGAGAAATTTATAGACTGGGGTGAGAGAGGTGAGAATAGGGTGGGAATTCTTATCTAGGGGGGTGATCAGCTCCGCCTGGTATATTAGCCTTCCCCTAGAATATATAACCTAGACCTAGACCGTGAGAGAGGTAAACCAGACATCGTCTCGCGAGCCAAGACAGTGCAGGCTGTGCTGGACTTCGCTGAGACGTCACAGCGATTTTGCAGTCGTGCGCCGTGAGGGCAGCCTAACGACGGGAGCGGCAATGGGCCAGGATAGGCCGTGACGAGGCTTTAAATTCATGTCAGAAAGTGGATGACTCCACATGTACATACTCGGATGTATAGTTGCCGTATACTGCATATAGCTTCGGCGAGAGGTCGGTGTAAATGAATACTACTACTACTAGTGTTCCCACAAGCATCGTCCACATCATCTTGGAATGTCAGGAGCGAGCTGTACAGCTTGTCGAGCAAACATCGTCAAGAGCAACCGCGCTGACATATCCGCCCCCGGCAATGTACGAGGCAGAGAAAAGCTGATCACAGGAGATGTTGGCAGCTAGGGCGTTTCCACAGGCTGTTGGAATACCGGTTGGAGCCGCATCAAAAATCTGATAAGCTCCTCCAAAGGCAGTGAAGGCCGCCAAAGTGAGTAGCGTTGCGGCTCTGGCGTGGCAGTGTCGCCACCATGTTGACATCGCGATGAGAAAATCCCGGTTCAGATTATATGAGAAATGGGAGAGAGAGAGAGAGAGAGAGAGATACTTAGAGCCGTAGTGACAGAATGTAGGAGTGACCAAGAAATCTGATCCTGGTTTCCTATATGATACTTTGTTTATTTTGGTGGCCTTTGATTAGGCTGTATGAGAGTAAATAAGACAACACACAGACCTACTGGTTGTTAGCGCATGGGTGGATAGACGGATAGTTGAGTCCCTGAAATTTGGCCCCATGTTACATTGCATTGCATTGCATTTCTCCTTGTTCTTAGCTCGGGGGAGATGGCAAGCCACGAGGAAATAATGTGGCGTGCTCCAATTGTCAATCACTACTACCTACATCGTATCCGTATATTCTGTCCATAGATTTCTGGGCAGAAGCCCGATATTCCGAGAGCTTTAGAATCCACTGCAATACTACACCCATTCTTCCTTTTTCACTACTATCATTCTGAGCAGCGCCCCTTCCCAAAATACTATCCTTTGTTATCTCGGCCCCGGCAGAATCTCAAAAGAAAAACCAAAAATTGTGAAGTAACTATACTAATCGCGACCCCTCAGTGATCATCCCGATATTACGACCGGATTGTACTATGCACCGGGTCCGGACCCGCTTGACCCGCAATCGCCGCATTTCTCCATTGCTTGTTTCTATGCACAACAATCCTCCCTCCTTTTTACCCTGCCCCCCGAAATAAACAGACTACCGTCAATCCTTTCAACCTTTCAGAATGCCTAGTGGATACGCCCTGAAGCGTACCCACGGTCAGGAGAAGGTGATAATTTACGCCGCAGACTTGTATCTCCTGGTAATCTCCTCTCCGCGCTAAATCTGAAGTCGGGCGATACGCTAATGGAATTTCCCGTAGGCAAAATGGAAGAATGGCCTTAGTATTTCGGACGAAGCCCAGCGCTCGGCAATCTTTAACAAGTGGCGAGATATTGGCCTACAGGGCCGCATGGTTAGTCTATCTAACGTCTCTTCCCCTTAAAGTAGTTATCATCGACTAACAATAAGCTGCAGCCATATCTGAAACGACTAGAGAAGATGTCCAAGGCTCAAGAGGATATTACTGAGGACGAGAAGGATTTCCTTGCTCGGGTCCGTGATCCTTCAGACCGGAAGGAGATCAGCTATACGCGTCTTGTCCGCACCTTCTACGGCAACGGCTCGGAAAATAACCTTTCCAAGCTAATCCTTGAGGCGGAGTACGACGGGACAATTTTCGATAATATCGCGCTTTATGACGCTAGGTCGGATAACGGCCTACAGTCGCTGCACGGTATCCTAACCCATATCCCTCAGATCATTGAAGGGACGACAGTCTTTGCTTGCCGTCACGATAACAGGATACGGGAAGCCCTTAAGAAGGCCATAGATAAGGACGGTGATGAAATTGATTTTGAGATGGCTCACCAGGCGGCTAGATGGACCCACGTCCTCATCTACGATAAGGAGGCAAATGATGGCCCGGGAAACGTGCTGGTGGTATATATCGACGATCGTGGCAGGGTCCTACGTTACTCTCGGTTGGAAGGGAATGAGGATCTGTGGGCTGCAGATGGTATGTTTCTCTCGGGGCAAGATTTTATGCGTGCATGGTGGGAAAACGGCCGCTACGGCGAGGACTGGAAACCTGAACAACTTGTTAAGCGATGGGAGGAGGCTGAGTTGGAAATGTCTGAGGATATCGGCAGCGAGAATGCAATCTCCGAGTAAAGATCCAATGAATGGGCAATGAGGACTACGGAGTAGCCGGAAAGCCAAAACATAAACAATTTCTTTGCCGCGGTACTCACCCTCCTTATTACGCACTCACCCTTCTCACCCCTGATCGCGCGACGCTAAAGCGACTCTCACACATTCCTCACCCGGGCGACACCCAGCCAACTATTAGTAGTAGAGCGATTCATAAGTCTGCTCGGCCCAGCTTCGTCTTCGTAAACTTTCACATATAGGACATCTACCAGTGCTAATCTTACGATGGGAAAAGAGAGGGAAAGAAGAAATAGTAAGACAAAGTAAACAGGGATCCAAGAACAAAAAGAGAGTCTTGCCCTTGGAACGGGTCATTCGATATAAATGATCGCAAGAGTCAAGAAGTGAGACGCATGATTCCTGAAGGACACTATGAATCGGATTGGGTCGGATCCGGGTTGCCTGGCTTTGACCTAGACTCAAATGCAGTTGATCACTCTAGTTTAGGGTGTAATAGAAAGTGACACGACTCAGTAGTAGTATTAAAAATGATTTAAACAATTATAGTAATAAGCGTTGTTGGTCTACGATACAGCAGCCAAGCCTAAGTGACTACTCTTGTCAACGATCTCAGCAGCAAGTGCAGCTAAGGATGGGCTTTGCAGGATGATGAAGATAGGGATTTCAGTACCCGCCTGAAGAGCGAGCAAGTTGCGTATTTCGACCGCTACCAGTGAGTCCACACCAAGTTGAGTGGGTGGAGTCGACATATCAATGTCAGCAGCATCAATCATGAAAATATCAGCAAGCTTGCGAGTGATGATATTACCCACTAGCCTTTCCGCCTCATTTCTGGAGGTCGACATCGCTAGTTGGTCGGCAAGAGACGCCCCGTCCCTGCCTCCTTGGTATGCCCCGCTCTTGCCCTGCTGAGGATCCCACTGTAAGGCCTGGAATCGCGCATCCCTCCCCAGCACGGATTGCCCGTCGCGGCTCCATTGAGGACCTGGTTCTGGGTTGATTCCAACCACAATCTGCGGCTCCAGGGGCGATAGGATGGCTGCTTTGAGAGCGTCCAGGACTTGGTCTTCGCTAATCAACGTGTATCCCATGCGAGAAAAACGACTCGCCAAACCACGAGCCTGACTCAGATGGCCGACTCCTTTCACTGGCCCTAGATCGATTGCAGTTCCTGGTAGTCCATTTGAGACACGCCATCGGGCGAGAGCATCTTGGTACGCACCCGCTGCTGCATAATTGGCTTGACTTGCGTTGCCCGTCACGCCAACCACGGAAGAAAACATAATGAAAAAGTCCAGTTGACCGGGTTGCTGGAAATACTGATTCAAATTCCACGTACCCTGAACCTTAGGACGCAGTGCTGCATGAAAGTCTTCGATGGTCATCTGCTCAAATATACTGTCCCTCAGCACCATGGCAGTATGGATAATGCCCCGGATGGGAGGTAACTCTGGGTCCTGCTCACAATCACGTAAAGCGATGCGAACCTGCTCCGGATCGGCGATGTCGCATCCTATTGTTTTGATGGTACAACCCTCGGAGTTCCGCAGTTCCTTCACTGTACTGTCATGGGCTGGAGTTGCAGCACTACGTGAGAGAAGAATGAGATTCCGGCCACCATGTGCAATTAGCCAATGCGCAACGGAAAGTCCAATACCACCAAGACCCCCAACTAAAAGATACGAAGCGTCGGAGCAGAGTTTAGCAACCGGGAGTCGCTGTAGTATCGGCACACGTTCCTCTGGACTAGTGGATAACACGACCTTTCCTTGATGTTTTCCTGTCTGAAGCAGGCGGAATGCTTTGACGGCATCCGCCATTGAGTACACGGTAAGAGGCTGGATAGGTTTTATCTTCTTGTGACGGAAAAGAGAAGAGACCTCAGCCATGATACGTTGTGTGTCGTGGCTGCGATGTCGACTGTAGGCCAACAAGTCAATAGCAGCAAAGGTGGCATGTCGGGCGAAGGGCTGCATTGCTAACAGATTGTTGTCCTCCAAATCACGTTTCCCAATCTCACAGAAGCATCCCATCGGGGCAAGGAGATCAAAGCTAGCATCTAACAAGGAGCCTGTCAGAGAGTTGAGCACCACATCAACTCCACGACCATTCGTGGCTGCACGCACCCCAGCGGCAAAAGAAATGTCGCGGCTCGAGAAAATATGATCCGCCGGAATTTGATATTGGTCCACCAACAGGGAGCGCTTTTGAGCCGTTCCAACCGTTACGAAGATCTCTGCGCCACGAAGCTGTGCTAATTGAATTGCTGCCTGCCCAACACCTCCAGCAGCAGCATGGATAAGAACTGACTGACCTCGCTGGAGACGAGCAATATCATAGAGTGCCAAATATGCCGTTATAAAAATGGTCGGAATGGAAGCAGCTACCTCGAAGTTTAGACCAGGAGGGAGTTGCACGACGCAGGTCCACTCAATGCACACGCGGCTGCTGAAAGGACCCCGGAGTATGGCAAAAACGGAGTCGCCAATTTGATAACCATGTGTGGCAGCTTCGCTGCCAACGCGAGTAATGAGTCCAGCACACTCGATGCCCATGACATTCTCATCCAACTGGCCCATGGCCACCAACACGTCGCGGAAGTTGACACCGAATGCCCGTGGTGCAATTTCAATACAATCCGGATTGAACTGCCAGTCCCCTTTCGGCTTGGTGTCTTCAACAAATTGTAGAGAATCAATTAGTCCAGGCACTCCAAGCTCCATACGAATTGGGCGATCAGGTTGATGAAACAGTTCAAAAGAAAGGTTCAATGGATCAGGTATCTCCCGCCGGAGTTCTCTTTGTTGATAGGCATAAGGGAAGCATCGCGGTATCAAGAGAAGCCCATTGCGCTCGGCGTATTCGAATTCTTGTAATACGGCGTCGCTTTCTGAGGCCGAGAATACACTTGGAGGCACTGAATGATCAAAATGGCTCTGAAGGACGAGCACAATAGAATGAATTCCTGCTTCGGACAAGCACGGCTTGCTGGGGTCCAAGTCTAGAGTCAGGAATGGGCGGTCTATGAATTCATTGCGCAAGACACGCGTCAGTCCGGGGGCTAAGCTAACGTTGACATTTTCGCAGTCAACTGCTCCGCCAATCGTTACCCAGAGGAGACCCTTGCAGCGGGCGGTCATGGCCTGGAGGGCGGCTAGAACATTGGCATCCATATCGTGGAGAACTGGCTGGGTAAGCTCTCCAACAAAAACACAAATTTTGCCATCATACATGTTAGGGTCAGATCCTTGAAGAGTTTGAACTAATGGAGGAGCTGCTCCAGCCTGAATCAGAGAAGTCCGCAGAGATGTCAGCCACGCCGGCGGGATTTGGTTCAGCTGGTTGTGAGTGACCAGAAGAATCGGCTCAACAGCCAAGGAAGGACGCCGTAAGGGCGCCACAGTTGTCAGCATGGTGCTGCGTGAATACAAGTCTTCACTGCCACAATCACGAATTTCCAGATCAACGCCTGAGAAACCAGTCGATCTGAATAATGCATTCCATTGGCTCGTGCTTCGTGTCGGGCTGGAAAATGTTTCCTTGCCATCGGAATCATCGTTGAGCCACCATTCTGCGCATAGGCCGCACACAAGCTGAACATCAAGCTGATCTTGGGTTGTTTCCAGCAACAAAAATGTACCGTCGGGTTTTAACAGTTGATGCACGTTCCCTAACACCTTTTCGACTGACGTTGTGGCGTGCATCATGTCGCTTGCAATCACAATGTCAAATGTTCCACTCTCGAAACCTTGCAAGACGGGGTCAAGTTCGATATCCAAAGTTTCGAAAGATACCATGTCACCCAGATCACCCAAGCTATCCTGCAAAAAATCTATCCAATCAGGGGATACATCCGTGATTTGATATGTTGTCGTAAGAGGTCTTCTCCCCACAGTTGTGCCCATTGCCTGAAGCGCATGTCGAGTAGCGCCTCCACTTCCAGCTCCAATCTCCAGAATGTGGGCCCGCGGCTTCTTGTGTAAGAGAGAACGGAGCAATTCCGAAAGCTGGGTGAAACAACGCTGCATCTTGATTGCGTGGGCGTGGTATTCAGTCCAGCGGCGCTGATCGTCCATCAGGTTAGCCATTTTTGTCTCCCCACGCAAGAGCGCCGCTAGATGAGGGCCCACATGACACAGCATGGAGCCGTTGACGCTGACTTGCGACACCTGATCTAGCCACCCCTTTTGATCATCAAGGCGGTGCTGCACCCAAGCTGCGCTACCAGGCCCCAGTAGACCTGATTCCGCAAGATGAATTTGCTCTTGCATCCACGAAAAGAAATGCGCCCAATGACCTCTAAGAGTACTTCTATCAGACTCAGAGATACTATCGACGGCATTCTTCATATAGTACACACATGCTCGACGCAGGCCTATCAGTAAGCTTCGTTCCTCGGGATTCTCAGTATGGACAAGCTGCAGTTGTAGAGCTTCTTCTGTCGTTGGCAAGATCAGGCCCAGGTCTGGAGCCCAGCTTATCTTAGATTGAAGTTCATCGACTGTTTTTTTTGGTGTGTGCCCAGGTAAGGCGACCGTCTGTCCAATAGACTGACAATCCAGGCCTTCCATCCTCAACATTTCCCCCCGACTCTGGTCTTCGGATTCTATAGCATTGACCAAAATTATATCCGCTTTGATCCCTCGTTTGTCGGCATGAGACAGGCAGGTGTGCGCGCGAAACACATGACCAGTACGTGATGGAATACCAGCAGACACCCAAAGCCGGTCAATCCTCCGTGGCACGCATGCATTACCACGCAAATGATGGGCACTCGATAGAGCTGTGTAAGCTGTTTGAACAACTGAGTCCATTATTGTCGGGTGTACCACATTGCCCTGTGGCATGCAAGTCTCAATGGTGCTGATTTTACCTATCATGATATCGGAAACGGACCGGGCCTGGTTTCCTGCCTGTGTGATGCATTGTATGTTTCTAAACTTGGATCCGTGACAGATCCCAACATCATGGAGACTGCGATAGAAATCTTCTGGGTCGACGTCTCTGGTGTACGCTCCCAACGGATTTGTCGCTGGCTGACAGCTTAAGTCAATTTTTTCAGACACCATATTATCCACACGTATCTCGCCTCGGGCGTGAGTCATCCATCTATTGTTTGAGGTAACTGAGCGAACTTCAAATTGCATCCAACCTTGGCTTCCAATGTCACGGCGGCTGGGAGTTTGCAGAGCTGTCTGAATTTCGGTGCCTTCAGCCACGTCAGGAACTATCAATGCCTGAAGGATATCAATATGTCGCAAATGATAGCTCGACACCTTTTGACCCTGGTGTTGAGCTAATTGTGACATTGCTTCTATCGCCAAGCAAGCATATCCTGCACCAGGATAAAGCACGTTCGACTGCACCACATGATCTTCAAGCCAGGGGCTGTCTGAGACACGCAGTGTATGTCTCCACGCTGGGCTATCGCAATCACTGCCAAGCATCCGTGAGCCCAGTAACTCATGCGGCGCCTCAGTGCGCTTTCGCAGGGACCTATTGAAGCGCGGCTCAGACCAATGCTTTACTGCGTGATTCCAAGGGTAAGACGGCAGATCTTGGAGAACAGGCAAGTACCGAGGCCGATCTGCTGGAAAGTTGACGGCGTTCAGATTGACAGGATAGCCTTGGCTTATGAGCTGAGCAGCTAGAGCCTGCATGGTCTCAACTGCATTCGTATGCCTCACCAAACAACCATGATATGAAACCTGGACGTCGTTAAATTTGGGAAGGGACAGAATCTCCTGTAAAGGTCCACCTAGTGCTTTGTGTGGACCGACTTCAAGCAGGAGATCCACACGACTCGAAAGATCAGTCATATCTAGCACCATGTTGCTGACTGCATTTACAAATTCAACCGGACCCAGCAAACTCTGAATCCAGTGATCCACAGTAGCCATTCGACCGCTCAATATCTGACCACCAGTGACTGGTGAGAAACATTCGATTGGATGCGGTGGTGGTGTACCAGTCTTTCCTTTGGGTAAAGCCTTCAGTAATGCCTGTCGATATGGCTCTGCAACAGGCTTCATGTGATGTGAGTGGTATGCTGTGTTGATCTTGAGCCGGCGGCAGAAAGCCCCGTCTTCCTTGGCGATGGTTTCAACCCGCTCCACAACGTCGACGTCACCAGCAACAGTCACACTTGAGGGGCTATTTATGCATGCAGGAACAGCTGTGTGGGCTCCAGTCCCAATTGCAGACGTGAGGTATCTCTCCACCTCTTCAATCCCACGACCGACGGCAGTCATAGCACCTGGGGTGGATCCAAAGAGACGACGGTCATCAGCAAAAAGGCACCGGTAGTAAGCTACCGCCATGGAAGATGAGAGGTCCAGTGCACCAGCAGTATATGCAGCGGCGATCTCACCGCTGGAGTGGCTCGTGACTGCAGTTGGGTACAAACCCCAGGCCTGTAATAGTTGCACCAATGCAATTTGAACAGCAACACAGATAGGAATACTCAGGGCAGTTTCGTTAACTCGAGTGTTGTGGTTATCACGAGACAGCTCTTCCAAAAGGGACCAATTCGCCCCCAGCTCTTGTAGATACCTATCCGCCTTCTCCAGAGTGCTGCGAAATACGGCATATACGGGGATCAGCTCTCGGCCCATTGCATACCACTGGGCGCCCTGGCCTGTGAATACCATGCCGATACGAGGTTGATGCATGCTGCGAGATGACCTGAACTGCGGCGAATCCAAGATTCGGTTGACAGCTGAAATGCCCCCGTTGCAGGGGACAGGGTGACATGCGACCCAGGAGTGTCTAGAGCGACGGTTCCCTAGAGTGTATATGAGCCTTTGCAAAAGAAAAAGTTCATCGGCTTTTTCTAGTTGTTGTCGCTGAAGATATGCTTTGAGATTGGTCACCATCTGCTGACAAGAGTGCTCATCATGAGCACTGAGAATCAGCACTTGCAACGGCGGCGCTGGAGCAGGAACGCTTTGGCTTCTCAAATTTGGATAACATTCCATCATTTGAGACTTCGCGTCTTGCATGATGACGTGAGCATTAGTGCCACCATAGCCAAAGTTGTTGATAGAGGCGCGCCGGACGCCAGATTGGCCGATAGGCCACTCCTCTAAAGCTCGGACTACCTGCAGCCGCCATTTCTCGAGAGAAAGCTTTGGATTAGATTTTTCAAAGTTGATGCTCGGGGGTATTCTCTCTTGTTCCATTGCTAGGACGACCTTGATGATACCAGCGAGTCCACTCGCGGCCTCCGTATGGCCCACATTTGTCTTGACCGAGCCAATCCGCAAAACAGGATCAGACGGCATTCCCGACCGCAGAGCATTTGCCATCGCTCGCGCTTCAATGATGTCGCCAGTGGGCGTACCGGTCCCGTGAGCCTCACAGTACTGTGTGTTGAGAGGGTCGAGCCCAGCCTTTTGGTAGCATCCTCGGATGAGGGCCTCCTGTGCTGCCTGGCTAGGTGTTGTGATGGTCTCAGTCCTACCGTCTTGATTCAGAAAAGTCTCGCGAATGATGCCTCGTACAGGATCACCCGCAGCTACCGCATCTTTCAAACGCTTGATAATCACAGTTGCGACACCTTCTCCACGGCCGTATCCGTTTGCTCGACTGTCAAACGCAAATGACTTCCCATCGGGTGATAACAGCCTAGTCATAAGGAATTAGTCAATTACATATGTGCAGAGCCAAGGACTTCTCATTGGGATCAAGATTCACCCACCCCAATGAGCTCAGACTTTTGAATTGATCTGGATTAAGCAGAAGGTTTGTACCGCTTACCACGGCCATGTTTGACTCTTGGCTTCGTAGACTCTGCACGGCCTGGTGAAGAGCCACCAAACTTCCCGAACAACCCGTATCTACGGTAAAACTTGGCCCACGAAAGTCAAAGAAATGTGAAATGCGATTTGATGCCATGGCAGCTCCGTTTCCCGGTAGAAGAAGGCGCGGCAGATTGTCTTCGTCGCGAAGAAAACTATCTTTATAGTCGTTCACAAACACTGCCGAGAAGACTGAAGCATCTGTTCCGGCCACCTCATTCAACTGAAGACCGGCTGCCATTCTCCTTCGTTAGTTACTTTGTCACTGAGAATCAAAATTGGACCGAAAAAGGGAGACCAAGGGCCAAAACACAAGCACGAACCGTTCTCCAAGGCTTCGTAGACGGTTTCAAGTTGAAGACGAAATTGAGGATCCATACTCTGTATTCACAGAAAGCGCCAACCTATACATCAACAGTGTTTCCTTCGCCAGCGTCATGGTGATCACTCACAGAGGCAGCTTCAGCAGTAAAATGAAAGAAGGGTGCGTCGAATACACCAAGGTCTTGTTCTAGAAAGTGTCCCCCACGAACGTTTGTCTGTTACCAATAAGCGGCGCATTTTAATCATACCTGTCCGAGGTAGGTGCTTACCCCGCTGGACCTATTGGGATCCGGATGGAAGGCCCCCTGGAGATGGAATCTCGAGGCAGGGATCTCACTCCAACCGCTCTTTCCTTTGGCAAGCATCTTCCACAACTCTTCCGGGCTGCTGGCACTGCTTGCAAATCTGCAGCTCAAGCCAACAATGGCGATTGGCTCGGTCAGTGGCTCAGGATGGAAACTCCCCATGGTGGCTGATGGATGTTGTATGAGATACCTATGTGCAAGAATGTGACCAAGTTAAATTGTGCAGAAGGTGCATTGATAGATCCGCTGTTAATCAAATAGGTCCAACTTGACTTTTATATTTTTTTAATTTGTTTTTTTTTTTTTTTCATTATTTTTTTCATTATTCTTTTACGGTTAGACAAGCTCTAGAGGCCCTGTTATCCGTCGGACTATCTGTATGTCGCCAGGCGGAGAAAAGTGACGGCCCAGGACAAAAAAAACTCCCCACAAGGCATAATTATTCCGGGTGATGACGGGTCAAATAATATGGCCCTGAATCCCAGGTATCACTAGGCATGATTTTCTTTTCGGTTATAGGTTATAAAGAATTTATGACGAGGATCACCAAGAGTCATGGAAAACATTCGGCTATGCCCTGAGGGGGCCCCCAAAAATACTACCTTTTTATTTGGAACGGTGACCAGTACACACAACGCAGATACCCTCAGTGCGCTGAGACGGGATTTGGATGCGATGCCTGACTTGGAATGGATCAAAGACACAGTCAGTGAGCTGCCCAGCTATTGTGATATCGTAATGAGCAAGTTGCCAGCCGTTGAGGGTTCTCTTCCAGAACGGCAGAGCTTGGAAAAGATGGACCGCTGGCTTCGGCAGGGCTTCGATGCTGAGGAGAAGTCGACTCCGCTAACCAACATCATCCTCCTGCCATTGGTGGTGATGATCGAGTTGAAAGAGTTTTGGCAATACATCAGCCAGTTTGGGGACAAAGCCCAAGACCCGCTACAAGAATATTTGGCTCTTGAAGAAAATGGATCCATCGAAACGGTCGGCTTCTGCGCTGGACTTCTGGCTGCCTATGCAGTCGCTGGCTCCCATTCTCGCCTTGATTTCGAGAAGTATGGAGCTGTTGCTATCCGCCTGGCTATGCTAGTGGGGGTAGTGAGTGACATTCTGGATGGATGGCATGAGAAGGCGATATCATACGTGGCTGCTTGGCGCACATCACAGCAGGGCGACCAGATGAACCGAATCGTCAACAGACTATATCCGCGGGCCTACATTTCCGTGTTGTTTGATCAACGCCGTGTGACTATCACGACCACAACGCAACGCATTCGTTCAACTCTTCTACGTCAACTACGGGCCGCGGGTCTCATTGTCACCGAAGCCAGCATGACAGGCCGCATCCATTGCCCTACTGGCGAGTCCAAGGACATCACTGACACTATGTATGAGCTATGTGGAGCCATGCCCGGCTTGCAGCTTGCTCAAGCCTCCCAGCTTGCCATTCGTACCTACGCCAATCACGGGGATGGGCAACCTGTCTCTAGCGGCTATCTCCATGAAGTAGCTCTGCGAGCACTTGTTTCCACCCAGTGTCGCTGGTACGAGACTTTCGCGGCACTACCGCTATGGCGGGTGGACTCCATACAGTCAATTATTTCATTTGGACCAGATCATTGCGTGCCTGCATCCTTTGTACACTCTTTGGGCCATAGCTTGACTCCTTTTTCAGACATGATGCTTGATTCTGCTCGGTTTGCTGCCCATACTACTACGCCTGTGGCTAGTACTGCCCATTCTACTACTTTCAAACCTACTTTCGCTGCTGATCCTGCTGATCTTGGCGACACTGATACCATTTCTATGAAATCGCCGCTGACCCCGGAGAAGTCCAATGATAATCTTCCCACAATTCAACCGCCGCTTCCCAAACCGAAAGAGCATCGACAGCGGCAGGCCCAAACAAATCAGACACTTGATTCAGAGGAAACTGCAATTGCGATAGTAGGTATGTCCATCAAAACAGCTGGGGCAGATGACGTGGATGAGTTCCACCGCACTGTGCAGTCAGGTGTGTCCCAGCATGAATTGATTGGGCCTGACCGAATCAAATTCCATACGTTGTGGCGCGAGGGTGACTGGGACCCATCCCACAGATGGTACGCCAACTGGATGCGGGATATTGACAGCTTCGATCACCAATTCTTCAAACGAAGCCCGCGAGAAGCTGCTAATATGGACCCACAGCAGCGACTGGCTTTACAGGCTGCCTACCACGCTGTTGAGAAAGCAGGTTATTATGTACCTGACAGAGGCCCAGGAGCAGGCAAAAGTCGGAATCAACTGGACTCAAATCATGTCGGTGTTTATGTGGGTGTGACATCGGATGATTATCAGAGTCATGTCAGATCCCACCGCGCAAACGCTTTCACCGCTACAGGGACCATGCGCAGCCTCATCGCCGGCAAAATAGCTCATCATTTCGGCTGGAAAGGACCAGCCTTGACACTCGATACCGCATGCTCCTCATCTGCTGTGGCTATTCATACAGCATGTCGGGATTTGTTAACTGGCGACTGTACTGCTGCCCTTGCAGGGGGTGTCAACGTTATGACAGACCCACTGGCCTTCCAAGACTTGGCTGCTGCTGGCTTTTTGAGTCCCTCTGGCCAATGCAAGCCATTCGATGACTGCGCGGATGGTTACTGTAGGGGAGAGGCTGTAGGATTTGTTTTTTTGAAGCGGCTCTCAGATGCTTTGGCAGATGGTAATCAGATATTGGGCTGTATTGCCAGCTCAGCCGTCTATCAGAACGAGAATCATACGCCAATTGTGGTTCCTAACTCACCTTCTCTATGCAATCTGTTCATGCATGTGATCAGGAAAGCACATGTACAGCCGTCAGATATCTCTATCGTCGAATCCCATGGGACAGGTACACCAGTTGGAGATCCTGCCGAATGGGCCAGCGTACTTCACACAATGGAGGGGCAACAGAGAGACGACCCGGTCTATGTTGGTTCTGTTAAAGGCCATGTCGGCCATACCGAGGCTGCGTCTGGTGTGGTGGCGCTCATTAAAGTATTGAACATGATACAGAGCGGATATATTCCACCTCAGGCCAGCTTCTTGCGACTTAGCCACCTTATCCAGCCATCCGATGTGATGCAAGTTGCAACCAGCCAACGACCCTGGCATTCTAAGCGCAAGGTTGCTCTCATCAACAACTACGGCGCCAGTGGATCCAACGTGGCAATGGTCGTTACCGAGGCGCCAATACCTCGCCTCCGGTCTGGTCAGACCAATGCAGAGAGAGCTGTAAATCTTCCCTTTTGCATCACAGCACACACTGCCAATAGCGCAAAGGAGACCTGCGCTCGAATTTTAAGCTACCTTGACCTTCATTCGGGAGCTAGTCTTGCTGACCTTTCTTTCAACATGCATCGTCAATCCAATCGGTCTTTGCCCTACAAGCTTGCGTTTCAATGCTGTTCTATGGAAGAATTGAAAATGAAATTATCTCATGTGGTGACAGCTTCCCCAGCACCAGGGGCAGATGTAAAGATTACGGCTACTCAACCCGAGCGACCAGTGATTCTCTGCTTTGGTGGCCAAATGTCAGAATCGATTGGATTGAATCGTAGCTTGTGGGAACAGGCTCAGATTTTACGTCACCACCTGGATGAGTGCGACGCGGTGATCCAGTCATTTGGACTGAAAAGTATCTACCCCGACATCTTTTCCCACCAACCTGTCCGAGATCAGCAACAACTTCAAGTAATGCTTTTTGCGATGCAGTATTCCTGCGCAATGTCTTGGCTGCAGTCCGGGTTATCCAGTCGAGTCGCTGCAGCTGTCGGTCACAGCTTCGGAGAAATTACTGCCATGTGCATCTGTGGCATTCTAAACCTGCATGATGCCGCAAAACTGGTAGCCGGAAGAGCGACATTGGTCCGAGACTTGTGGGGAGCTGATCCCGGAATGATGCTCGCTGTCGAGGCAGACGAGGAGGAGGTAAAAGCTCTATTATCGGAGGTTAACCGGACATATAACGGTTCCCATCTGATCAGCATTGCATGCTATAATAGTCCGCGGAGTTTCACTTTGGCGGGACCTCGAGAGGGAATCGGTGCTACAATTGACCTTATTTCCCGGAATTTCCCCACGATTCGAAGTAAAACACTACGAGTCACCAACGCCTTCCATTCAAGTCTTGTCGAGCCGCTAGAACAGCAGCTAGAGTTACTTGGACAGAGTGTGGCTTTCCAGAAGACACGCATTCCTCTGGAACGAACGACGGAGAAGAGATATTCGTTAGAGCTCCTTGGGCCTAAGTTTGTGGCCGAGCAGATGAGACAACCGGTCTTTTTTCACCATGCTGTGCGACGCATAGCCGAAGATTATCCTGACAGTGTCTGGCTGGAGGCAGGATCTTGCTCCACGGTGACCGTCATGGCTCAGCGAGCCCTGGGTCCTGCTCCAGGAACTCCGCGCTACTTTCAAGAAGTCAAGATCAACAGCTTTGATGCTATCAACAATCTCAGTGATGCAACAGTCTCCTTGTGGAAAGAGGGGGTTTTGACTTCTTTCTGGCCGCACAACGCCTATCAAACTCACGAGTACGCTACCTTGGCCTTGCCTCCATATCAATTTGAGAACAATAAGCACTGGGTAGTTCTCAGGTCTCCAGTAGATCTGATCCAGGAAATCAAAAAATCCGCCCAGTCAGACAGCTTCATCCAGCAAGTGAATTCGGTCGACGATGCTAGTCGACGATGGGTTTTTACTGGCTACAGAGATCCCGATAGTAATGGGAAGAAACAGCCTTGCTTCCACATAAACACCGCTTCCGAACAATACCAGAAACTGGTCTCGAATCATATCGTCACCAACACCGCTGGCATCTTCTCTGGCATGCTGCAAGTGGATCTGGCTGTAGAAGCACTTTTCAGCCTTCATCCGGACTGGGTCACGAATGGGTTTCGCGCGACCCTATATGACATGGCCCACCAGTCACCAATCTGTATTAATCCTTCACGTATTTTGTCTCTGGAGTTTGAGGATAAAGGGAATCGCTTCTGGGATTGGAAGATAGTCGGGTTATCGGAAAACTCGTCCCGCGTTCTTCACACCACCGGGCGACTGCGATTGCAGGCCCCAACTGATGCTGCTTATCAGGCCGAGTTTAGACGACTCGGTCGCCTTGTCGATCATGCAAGGTGCTTGGCTTTGCTGAACATCACTCCCGGCCACGATGACGTGGAGATTCTGCAGGGACGTAGTGTATACCGGACGTTCCGCGACATCGTGAACTTCGGAGAGCAGTACCGTAGCCTCAGCTTGCTAGTTGGTCGGGGCAATGAAAGTGCGGGGCGCATTGCTCGGACGCAACATAATCGTGCCTGGTTTGACCAGATAAGAGGAGAGCATATCAGTCAGGTTGGCGGCATTTGGGTCAACTGTATGACCGATCACAGCCCGAGTGATATTTTCCTCGGGGCAGAATTGGAGATGTGGATTGTTTCTCCCGACTGGGCAAATCGTCCACTGCCGAGTCAATGCGATGTGCTTGCGCGCCATCTGCGCCACGACAAAACCGGGGACTACACGACTGATAGCTTTGTTTTTGACCCTACTAGTGGAGATCTAGTTGAAGTTTTGCTGGGACTACGGTTTATCAGGACTCCCAGGGACTCTTTCACGCGAGTGTTGCAGAGTATGACGGCGAATCAATCGGTCGAGAGGGGAGACCTGGACTCACCGACGATGGTCCGCCCACTTCCTAAGCCAGACACAGCTTCTCAAGCTGTCATCCAGTTGCCAAAGGGATTCACTACAAATCCACAGACACCACAATCCTCGGGAAGAAGAGATCTCGTCAAAGAAATGGGAGAGCTTGTGGCGAACTTACTCGGCGTCGATGTCGCAGAGATTGAACCTGATGCAAATCTGGCTGACTTTGGTATGGACTCTCTCCTTGGGTTGGAGTTGAATGCCGGTATCAAAACTGCTTTCTCTTGTACGCCAGATGAGACTGAGATCATGGGAGCGACGACCCTGCGCGACCTGGTGAGATGCCTGCCAAATTCGGGCGATATTTTCGAACAAGTCACTGTCGATAACTTGACTGAATATCGGCCATTTGAGAATTCATCATCAGATACGGTCGATTCTGCATCGCAACGCTCAGACTATTCTCGGTGCAACTTATCACCCGATGACAGCAGCCGAACCGCTACCGTGCTCTCGGGCTTCCTGTGGGATAGTACAGATATCTTGGAGTCTTTTTCTGAAACAAAGAAGCTCGGAGACCAGATGATTCGGGAGTTCGGCTTAGACAATTTTTGCGACGTCATTGTCCCAGAATCTACTCGATTGTGCTTAGCGCTTGTGATCGAATGTTTTGAGCAGCTTGGATGTCCATTGCGAACAGTACAAGCCGGCGCGTCTCTGGGCCCACTGCCTTTCCAACCACAACACCACATGTTAGTAAATTATCTCTACCATTTCCTGGAGAAAGTTGTAGGCCTGGTGACAGTTGAAGACAATGGACGGCTCACCCGCACCGAGACGCCCGCTCCCACGACGAGCAGTCAAGAGATCCTGTACGCGCTCCTGGACAAATACCCAAGTCATGAAGATTCTTTTCGGTTATCGTACCACGCAGGAAGTCACCTAGCCGGAACGCTGACCGGGAGCACCGATGCAAATCGAGTGTTAATGAGTAATCCCGAGGGCCGCAGGCTCTGCCAATCCGTGTACCACAATTACGCCGTGAACAAGATTGGGTTTGAAACGATGCGAAATGTACTCAATCAACTGCGTGGGCGGATCCGTGTGGAGAATGCGCCACTCCGGGTTCTTGAAATGGGAGCTGGAACAGGCAGTGCAACCAGCGTGCTGGCACCGCTCTTGGCCTCCTTCGGTATTCCTTTAGAATACACGTTCACCGATATTTCCTCGTCGCTGGTCGCGCAGTCACGCCGTACATTCGGGATCAAATACCCTTTCATGAAATTTGCAGTGCAGGATATTGAAAAGGCCATACCCGAGGAGCTCGCAGGGCAGCAGCACGTCGTGATTGCAAGCAACGCAATTCACGCGACACGCAGTCTGACAGACTCGACGCGAAATATACGACAGGCGTTGCGACCGGATGGCTTCCTCATGATGCTTGAGATGCGGGAGGCGTGGCCTGCGCTTGATCTTACTTTTGGGCTATATGAGAGCTGGTGGTTATTTGAGGATGGGCGCACGCACGCCTATACATTGCCCGAGGTCTGGCAGCGCAGTCTGACGGCTGCCGGGTATGGGGCTGTCAATTGGACGGATGGGGCGCTCCCAGAGCATAAATACTACATGGTTCTTATTGCTTTGGCATCAACAATACATTCGAAGGCCGTCTGACTGGGGATTGAGTGCGAGATAAGGTACCGTGACAGTTGAAGACAATGGACGGCTCACCCGCACCGAGGTCGAATTTCATGAGCTTTTAAAATTGTCAATCAAAGCTGAAATCATACTAAGGCAGTCAAAATGGGGTTTTTGGCATACATTAGCGTTGGAGTTGGTGATTTTGACTGATCTCTCCACAAGGCTCTCTATATGTGTAATTTCGGTAAATTTGAGCTTTCTGGCCTTTTAGGATCGGAAACTCTGCTTACATAAGCAATCGAGCTCCTAGACGCTCACTAGTTATAGCACGCCCTAGTGAGTACATTGATTGGCCAGGTAATGTTACACAATGCAGCCAGGATCTTGCATAGTATGATGGCCACACCGCTAGATCAAGTCTCCGCTCATGAAAACTTGATTTCGTATCTTCACTAATGCCCCAATTTGCGATTAGCAACGAGATCTTGGATACGTCAAACCTTAACCCGCCTCTATGGATCAGCTATCTTTGCCGTCTGCTATTCAGACTAAACCCCCTTTTCCCCCGCACTGGATAGATCAATCTCTATTCTGCTTTGGAACCAAATCAAATGGCAAATCCTTTCCGGCAGCTCCCCGGATTAGCCTGCGAGGAATGTCGACGACGCAAAGCGCGGTGTGACAGATCCAAACCGTGCTGTGGCAGCTGTAACGATCTTGGGAAGCTATGTATTTTCAACGATTATAGGGCCCAACGAGGGCCCAAAAAGGGTCAGATCAGGGCCCTCCGCAACAGAGTTCGTACGATGAGCACACCGTCCTGCCAGAGAGATTCTATCTTTAACCGCTCACTGCAGATACTCTTGAGCGCCTTGTTTCCGAGCAGAAACATCCAGAGCAATCATTTGCAACAGCAACTGACGCAGCGGTAACAGTCGAGCAAATGGAGCCTTCCCCAGAGATCACAAGCACAGAGATTCCGCCTATCTGGGACTTGGATGCAATCCTTCCGCCCATTTTCGAGCCCTTTCTGACGGAACTGAGGGACCAACATCTGCCTCATATTAGCTCGACAACGGAAGGCAGCTCCTATGGCAGCCAAGCTAACTATGATGATCAAATTTCGGTTCTTGTGCGCGATGATCTGTATGTGTTGTATTGGAGATGACATGTGCTGTACTAATAATCCTCGGCAGAGTATCGGTATACTTCGAGCGTGTGCATCCAAACATACCAATCATTCATAAACAGCGATATTTTGACATGATAGAGCAGCAAAGCCTATCGAAGAGCCAAAACTGTCTCCAACTGGCCGTCCAGGCCGCTGCGGCAGCATCAACGGCGCAGCTGCTGGAATTGAGTGCCACTCTGTACGAAAAAGCATGCGCGGCCCTCGAAACAGTTGAGATTAATGGATCACTTGGCCAAATGAACGATATTCTGATTGAGCTGGAGTATGTCCAGGCATTGCTTCTGATAGCATACTATGAAGCTCTGCGCCTGCCGCAATATAAATGTATACTTACGTCTGGGCGGGCATTTCGCTTAACTCAGCTTTTGCGGCTGCACGAGATCGACAAGGCAGCCCCTCTCGAGCCGGTTCTGGGCGATGTGTTCGTTCGAGAAGAGGAGCGAAGGCGCACATTCTGGATGGCGTACTGTTTTGATCGGCTTTTGAGCATTCGACATGAATTACCTCTTACTCTACACGAGGAAGCAGTAAGTCCCTCTGAAACAAATTAGCTTCGTCAGCTTAGGTTTTCAGACTCAAACACGGCTTCCAGCTCCCGAATCCAGTTTCCAGGACAGCAGACCGGTACGTATGGGCTTTCTCACGGAAGCCTTGGCTAGCCCGGCTAGGACAGTTCTACCTGTGTTTGCCGAGTGCGCTGTATTAGTCACGTTGCGAGGCAGGTACATGAATCTCCGAAGGGCATCTTGCAGCAACCCAGTTGACTTTTGCACCGAGCACCAGGAGATTAGAGAGTGCCTGCAGCACAGAATGCAGACTATGTCGAAGCACATCCCCGTATCAGCCGCGGTTGTAGACTCCACCTTGAGCTTCGCGCATATTCTGGCTTGCAATTTGATGATCGACTTGAATGAAGTGGCTGAAGGCATGGCTTTGGGAATGGACGAGCATCAGAAATCAGTCACAATCTGTCTTCCACGGGCACTTGATGCCTGTAAAGAGATTGTGCGTTTGGCCAAGAGCTCTGCTCGACTTGCCAAGTTCAAGGTATTGATCTTTTGGGTTCTTCATCGAAAAGAAAATGAGCCGACTGACGTTGATAGGCACACGTATTCTTACCCGCATTACTTTCACGCACTATGGGCTTCCTTAGCAGCCATAATCCGCATGCACAATCCAACGAGATAGATGAGTTGATTTCCGTTCTCCAGGTTCTAAGGTGCATGAATCGGCAGGCAGAAGAGCTGGTCTATGAGTGGGGCGACGTAACCACGCAGTTATAAGGGTATATATCAGCGTATAGTTCAGATATTTACCTATATCAAAAAATGGTACAGGGTCTTACTGTGCAAGTCTATCAGCCAGTTCTGCATTTATGTTGACCATAGCGGCAACATCATAGCTTCCAAGGTTGTGGTAGACATAAAATGATCACTGTCCCTTGCGAAGAATATCCTTGAGTCGGGTGAGCAACTCTAGTATAGCCACTCAATTCAAGGAAGAAATGAGATAATCCTGGATAAGTGCTACGATCGTATGTTGTGGAAATCTGAATATATATTGAGCGGTAAGTGCATGCATTTCACAGCCTGGCAATGGAACCAGCGACATAAATGGGGCTGACCCTGCAATCAGAACACCGAAACGGAAGGCTGACTCTGGCTCTGGATCTGGCGAAGACATCACTTCCGACTCTTTCAGCACTCGCACTTCCACAAACATGTTGGATCCAACCTGTGAAGCAGCACTTGGAGTTGGAAGCTCCTTTGAAGAGTTTGGCTTGTAAACAAAGATGGTCGGAGAGGAACGACAACGAGGCAGATGAACCGTTATTATACTGCTGTCTCAGAGGCACATGCAGCCATCTTGGCGGCCTGGCTGAACACTTACAGATCAGACCCAAGAGCCCGTAGCTCAAGCTCAATTGTTCTTTTTCATCGTCGTCATCCTCTGACTCTGATCGGTTTCTCAACTATCAAGCCAGCACCTATAACAATCTCATCTATATGTGCCATGCACCGGCCCTTCCCGGTTAATAGAAAGACAGCATTCAAAGTGACTCAGCCAATGAAGATGCAAATGGTCATTGCATTTCCTGACACAAGATAAGGCGCATTAGCATACGCCAGTGGGGTGTGGCTCGCCAGCTGCGCCGCAAGCACTCGGCACGGAATGTGCAAGATTGATAATTTGCACCTTCAACGTAAAGGGGCATGCTAAAGGGTGAAATAAGTGTGGGAAAGGTTCAAGTGTATATCATCAGTGAAAGTGGTGTTAGATGAAATGAGTCAGATCGGGGTATCACGTCAATAAAATTATATAATCAAATAGGCATATGTATCCCGGACAATTATAAGCGTATCAACAAACATTACTTGACTAAATTATTGTACCTTGTTAGGTGACTGTTAGTCAATTGACTCCGACAGCGCAAGACCCTGAGACACACAATGGATGAAGGTTCGATATCTTTGAACGGATTGATTCTGCAGTCGTATAACTGGTGCGGGTTCTCAGAAGAAATTTGCGGAGTTTCATTACTTCGGTCGGAGTAAATATAGCCCACCTCATGGGTGGAATCTCCGGATTATCGATTTGAAGGGATGAGGACATTGGCCCAAAATACTACGGAGTACTTCGCTCCAACCATTAGTAGCCAATCCAATTTCTTATGATGCCTAACATGGAGTATTTTGATGGTTAGGATGATTAACAATACCCCGATCTTTTATAAATTTGAGATGTCTTAGAACATATGTGTTCATAACGTATCAAGACTTCGAACGAGAATTTCGAGTGCACTCCCAGGGACTTTTCAGCAAAACGTAACAGACTCTTGAAATGTTCATTTTCGCCATAGTACGTTACCCTCGCTATCACACCGACATGCTAATAGCTCTAGGTGATTGCGGTCTTTGGTGCCTTCATTTTTTGGAGGATCTTATACGATCCTCTGGCCGATGTTCCCCGCGTTCCACTCGCGAATATCGCACCAGTAAGTCTTTTAACGCAAGCCGAATCATTTTAAACTAACTTAGCTCAGGCCTGGCTTATCTACACCTCATCAAAATCTCAGTGGCACCTTAGTACTATACGCCTTCATTCCACCCGTGGTACACTATCCGCCTGTCTATCGTGAATTCATTACTAAGACTTCACAAGGCCCCGTTGTACGGATAGCTCCGCGGGAGTTGTCCTTTGCGACGATCGAAGCGCACCAGGATATCTACGGCAATAAAAGGAAAGGCCGAACCGCAGGCGACCGATCGTTTCTTAGGCATGTTATCTCTCTACTTCTTGGTGACGTAAGCTTCATTGCAAGTGCCCAAGGCCTCAAACATCACAACCTGAGGCGCAACGCCAGCTTGGCTATCGGAGAAACACTGCGACTCGATGGTGATGCTTTACGTCCTTTATATGTGCCAAAAACTTTATTTGATCAAGCGCAACGCAATGGACAAATGCTGAATTTGTCTGGTCCGTTGAGTGATGCGATCTGGGCTGTTGTTTGTGAGCTTTTTTTGGGGAACCAGCTTGATTTGCAGGTTAAGAGTTCGAATCCATACCCTGTCTATCATAATAATTTCCTAATCGCGCATGCAGAGCAGTTTGACTTGATGAAGCCTTGGTTTTGTTTGGCCGCCCCTGTGGTGGAGACCCTAACCATGTTTGCCGAGACGCCCCTGCTAGGGACAATTCTGCGGCAAATGAGGAGGCTCCCCTTTGAGCTGATATTGAATCAAATGTCTACTTCGAATCCGATCAAGTATCTCGTTGAGTAAGCGATCGTTTTTCTTTCTTTCTCTCCTCCTTTTAGACTGACCATCCCACATATACTTCAACCACCTAGACACATCGCAGGACACTGTCGCAGCTCGGATGATGCTGGAGGGCCGACGCGCACAGCGAGCAACAGAAGGGGAATTGATCATCAACTTTGTCGGATTGCTGTATGTATTCCTGTTCCCAGTCCTTTGCAGCAGAGTCCTGATGGATAATGCAGCACTGCAAGCTATGAGACATCAACGACGAACATATGCGCCCTATTTCACTTCCTCCTTCAAACCCCAAAAGCATACAAGCAGTTAGAGAACGAGATTTGCGCCAACTTTACCCATACCGACCAAATGAGTGATACAGAACTGGCCAAACTCCCCTTTCTTAACGCCTGCATCAACGAGACTCTCCGACTGGTCGTCACACTCCAGCCTCGTTTCCTCGCCCGCACATCTCCAGGCACGGTCATCGACGGAATATATGTACCAAAGGGCGTAAGTGGCTCGCACCCATCCATCGACAAATATTGGCTTATGATCAACAGGTCAGAGTATCTGTGGACCGAAATTACTTACACCGGTCCCCATCATACTGGTATGAGCCTAATTTATTTCTTCCAGAAAGATGGATTCAAGGAAATTGCGTAGACAACCACCATGCCTTTGTCCCTTTTAGTCAAGGCTTACATTCTTGTCCGGGACAAAATGTTGTGTGGCGCTTGACCAGGGCTATTACTGCTAGAATGATGTTTGAGTATTCATTTACATCTGCAGATGATGACTTTTTGTGGCACCGGGACTCTTCATCGTCGCTGTTGTGGGCGAATTATCGGGTAATGGCGTGTGTTAAGAAACGTGTCTGATGCACAAGTACCTATTAAACTAATATATTAAGTCGGCGCTTATCCTTTGAGTCTGGGCACTCAGCTGCCCGTGGGCAATAAGGGATGCTGTCGTTGTTGTCTTCTAATTAAAGCCGTTTATTTCGCAAAATATTACTTCCCACTCATGACTTCCATTCCTGTGTCCCCGTCAGAACCCACCCCGGTCCCTGTCAGCGACCCCAATGACCAGACCGTGGAAATCCCCGATCACGAATTTTTCCCTCACCCCGTCTGGTTGCAGCGCTGGTATAACCCCGAGTTCACAGACGAGGGTCGTGCCAAATGGGAAGCTGAGCCGTGGTACGAGAGCACAGCTCAGCGCGAACCCCATAGGATCCTTAGGCGGCCCACGCGCTGTTTCCCATGGGGTTTTTTCATCTATCGCACGGTTTACACTGCCGAGTCAGATAGATTATGGCCTCTCGCTATCGAAAAGCTTACCCGTGTGCTAGGCGAGTGCATTGAGGGCGATTTGAAATTTGGACGTCCGAACAGGCGCGGCGCAGATGACCCGCGTCCCGAACAGCTGGCGCAGGCGTCGCATAAGGATGCTGTGATCTATGATGCGGATCATTGGGACGGTGCTAGCATCGACCTGGTTCGCGATCATTTTGCGGAGTATCTGCGCAAAACAAACCAGGTGGAATGCGGTGGGGAGCAGCGGCTTGCTTTGTGTCTTGTTATTGATGAGAGGGCTTTGAAATCGATCATTGCACCGGAGGACTCTGTCGGGTTTGTTGGGACCGTTGATGGACGATATGATTCCTTAACGAAATAAGGTTCGCCTTATTATCGTGGGTTCATGAGAGTAAAGATTGGTTCTTTGTGGGAGGTGTACTTGAATCTTGACTTTAATCAAATGTGTGACATATGTCCGGATGTACCGGATGGGTGGATTCCCGTTTATGCTGGCGGAGATAGACTGGCGCATGATGAGAGTGGTAAGATTGAGAGAAACTTTTCGCGGCGGCGGATGGCGGGATTGTTATCTGGGCTATCTGGGCGGGGACGTGGGAGGAGATAAATGCAAGCCGAATTAGGAATCATGTTACGAAGCAATGTCTCACCTTTGAAAGACTCGGCATACTTTGTTCGCATTGGTAGAAATACGGCTGATTAGGGTGTCTTCTCGGGAAACCATGATAGACTAGTTTCTTCTCCTTGTGACTATCACGTAAAAAGGAAGATGAAATAAAATGAGATCTACTAAGTTCACCGATAATGGGTCGATTCGTGATGCCGAAGCTCCCATGCTCTCCTAGATGCCGTGGCCTAAGAGCCAGTAGAAGAATATTGGAAGCGGCGTACCAATTTTGAGGATACTTGAGCTGAAATTAAGGCACTTAGCTACGCATGGGAGCGCATGGTAGCATATTTGAAACTGCATATTGTATTCATGTGGTTGATGAGTTGGTTTCCAGGGGGGTCGCTGAAATGGAAACAACGGTGACTGATCAACGAGTCCCATTGCAGAACCTCGTCTTCATTCGCAGGTGAAAGCGACTAGGATGTTATATAGCATACTACTTTATTGTTTGCGCTCAGTCATGAGTTGTATAAGATTGTTGAGGACTGTTGGTGTTTACGGTTGTTCGTGATGGGACAGACAAATAATACTAGATTGAGAGGTAAAAAAACCCGATCTGTTGAGGCTAACTACTGGTGAAACAAATACTTGTCTGGTAGTAGTGGTAGTTTCTTTCTGGAAATACACATCTTCACAAAACGTCTATATCCCATAAGCTTCGGAAACAGTCCGAGGTAGTCCTAGACATAACCCGTTTCTTCAACCAGATTGGGTTTTGACGGTTTAGGCTCGGGTCGTGACCTTGGAATGCCTCCTAACTGACATAATCGCAAGAATTCTTGCCACCAGCACCAATGCCAATGAGAGGGTTGCAAAGGCACCTAATCCGCTGGCCAGTCGAGGTTGTGTCGACAAGCAGACAAGCCGGGGTATCAGCGTTCACCTGACCCAAGAAGTTACCCGTACAGCGTCCTCCATCACTGGCCTTGCCATCGAAAAGATACCAGGCGGTGCCTGCCTGGTAGACCGAATGGGTTGAGTCGTCCATAGTAACCATATGCAGGTCGTAAGCGTTATGGCCAAAGTTTAGGTCTCCAGAGCTGCTTTTTGTAAGTATTCTGAATTTGAGTAGTCGAAATTTGCTGTCAACACACGTACCAATCGAGGCTTTTGTACTCGTTAGCCTTAGGCAGAGCAGCAGACACCAGGCCAACGCTGGCAGCAAGAGTGAGGATGAGATTATATTGCATGTTGAATTGAATGGAGAAAGATGAAGTAGAAAGATGGTATCAGGCCTTGACGAAGATTGTTACTTGGCTAAGGCTTGCATGGTGATGCTGGAAGAGCCTTTACTTTATATCTATACCAGGTACTCGTCTACTATTCTAGGCACACCGGCATTCTCCTTATCTTCTTACGGCCCACTTCGTCCGCCCGGCTATCTAGAGGTTACATTATAGAGTAATTAAACTCAGAATTGACCGGCAACAGCTTCCGGCTTTCTGATGCCGGTGGAAACAAATTCGACAGGCCAATGAAGTTCTTAGTATAGAATCTCGAGCAGGTGGGGATAATCCCGACCGAACGGGAGAAGACCCACCGGTGTACGGAGAGATTTTGAGGGTCCAAAGCTCGTTTTCGTTTAAAGAATTTCGGTTTTGGTCTGGTCCGGTTGCAAGAGTTTGAAACCCCCCCCTCTGATTTGGACCCACCTTTATGGGATTCTGCCAATATATTCTGCCAGCAAAATTGTGAATCATCTTGTTATACTGGTTTATTCATACAAAGTCAGCTACGACGAGCTGAAGGATATTCAATGGCTTTAACTTCTATGAATTAAAAGGATACGCGTGTTATACTACGGCTAAACATAAAGGGGCTCAATGGCGGTCAGCTGAATACAGTGGGCGGTATAGAAAAGCGGTCTATGGGTGTTTCAAACTCCTGCAACGCCACTGAACCCTTGTTTTGCAGCCTTTCCATGTTCACAAAAAACAACAATATTGAATTTGAACCACTGTGTAGACAGAAAATGCAAGACTTGTGGTACTCACCTTATGTACCTGAGCACCATTTCATGAGTTCGCAGGCTACCAGGTACCCTATGAAAAAAAAAAGAATTCTAGCTTACAGGGATGATTGACAAAAGACGGGTAATCTCTCCAAGGTCCCCAGGAAGTGACAGGCAGAGATTTAGGCTTTTGAGCCGTTCTGGGCGACTTTTGTCGAATCAGATTTGCATTTCAGATATTAAGGTCATCCTGCAGGATTAGCAAAGTTTAGCGGGTCCCTTGCAGAGCAAAGATTGCTCATAAATTCAGATATCAAATTTTTGATCCATTTTCAGTAAATGCTTTCTTACCAAATTTGCTCGTTTAAAATCGCGCCCCCATAAGGGCCCCACAGGGGTTAGGGTGGGTTATTCACTTAGAGTTTAGGCAGGAATCAGGTAGGCTGTGTAGTTAAAAGTAGTCAAAGTGCTATAAGGTTTCTGATCAATAAAGAGAATAATTGAGTCTCAATCTAATCGGACCCCTCTTTATTACGATATCCCGTGATACTCATCTATTACATAGATTTAATCCATCCTAACCCACTTATATTCGCAAGTACTACAAGGATTATTACGTTATCATTAATCTTGTTAAGATCGATTAAGGAATAATCGCTTTTTTTGTTCTCTTTGATAAAGATCAACAAAGGAGCGACAAAGTGAGAGATTTATAGCACAGCAAGGTAAAGATGGCCAGTGTACAAGCGCGAAAAGCCTTCAGTCTATCACTAAACTACGTTCTAGTAACCCATCAAATATTTCCCTACAGAAATTTACAAATGCGATTTTAGCATGTCAGTTCAGGACCTTCAGGTAAAGGGCTGAAGGGGCGCCCGTAAGGGCGGCAAGCCGCCTAGGACAAACTCGCGGGCGCTAGGTGGCCATCAATATACTATATCTGTCGTATGTTTTCGTTTTGTTATTGTTTTTTGCTTCGTCTGAAAAATGACCTTGCCCCCCTATGCTTCAGTCTTATTACCTTAAATAGCCTGAAGGGCCTATATTCTTCACTCAAACTCCCTAGACTACCTGAAGCGCTGACGTGCCCTTCCCCACCCCTGCTGATTTCGATTACGTGGGTGTGTTATGACAGTCACAATTCTTTGGTCCAATCTTTGGTTCAATCTCGAATAACCTTTCTCACCTAAAGTGGGAGAGGAGTTCTGTGCTGTGGTGTTAACCTAACCTGTGCATGATACTGCAGAAAATCGTGTCGATTACGAGCACGCAGCTCCTGAACATCACCTAGAGTGTACCGCATTAGAATTTATAGGCGAAAGCATGTCGGCCTCAACTACCCTTTACCTAAAGAATTTTACGCTATACAAAAGATAGGAGACTAGAAAAATGCTCCCTTAACTTTACTTTCTGTGGTTCAACTTGGCGGTAATTATGTAAAGACGAGATCTATGGAAGCCAGAGGCCTGTCAATTAGGCAAGAAGAGCAGAAGAAGGAAAAGGGAGACGATTGCAAGGTGATGTAATGGGCATATAAAATCGTCAAAATCGTCAAGTTGTCTCAGGCGTGGGGGAATTTCGCTAATTTGAAAGCTTGGCCCAAAAGAATAGACTGGTTCCGGCCAATAAAAAACACAATTATACCAAAGCAGTATTTATAAAAGATTGAAAACTGATGAACTACTACGATAGTTCGGCAGCCTCAGACAACATCCACATCCCCATTTGCCTTGCTTTCGATAGCTGAGCGTTGCTTCGCGTGGAAAGGATCGACCCTTGTGTGCTTAAACTGGCGCGCAGGAACCTTCTGAGCGAAAAGAATGTCGAGTTCACTATAGCTTCTGCCCTTCGGCTCAGGCAATCGGAAGAAAGTCCAAACAAAACACAGGAAGCACGTCCCAAGCCAGAAAAAAGCGGCCTTTGCGCCCCGGTTCCACGCGGTAGAAGTCAACTGATAATTGATAAGGACGTTTGTCACAAGCCCTGCTATGTTGTAAAAGTTGCGCGCAAGGACAATCGTCTTGGCTCGCAGTCTTGTAGACGACATCTCAGCGACGAGAGAGTAGCATACAGGACCGACCGTAGAGTCATATACAAAGGCCAAAACGAGAATCATTGAGCCGATAGCCCATGATACCGTTTTGTTGCTTGTCGGGGCAATGCCGAGCATGCCGACGATGAAAAGAATTAGACACATTGTCGCTGTTCCGACGAGGTAAATCCTTCGCCGGCCCACATAAGTCATGACCCACCATGACAAAATGGTTCCAATCCCGGCGATGGCGTATTGTGCTAACGACATGTCGAATGCGTCCACAGTAGGAAGTCCAGCTTGTTCGTAGAATGTGGTTGAGTAGCTGATAAAAGTTGACCCGCAGATACTTTGGGCCACCCAAGCAGCGGTGCAGATCTCAGTTCGGCGAAGATCCACTCCCTTGAAGCAATCAAGATAACTCGTACCGGAAGAGACCTCTTTTTCGAGCTGATCTGTGTGCTGCATCATCGCAAGGGTTTTGTCGACGTCGAATTCCGCATCATTTGTACTTGTGAGCCTCAATAATGAAAGTTTCGCCTCTTCGACCCGACCCTTACGGATCAACCACCATGGGGACTCGGGTGCGAAATAAACACCAACTATAAGGATTGGTGGCCACATCCACTGGATTCCAAAGGGGATACGATAGGCGTCGGCCGTAGTGTTGTCGACCATACCACGGAGTACCCCAGAGGCGATGAAGTGTCCGATAACCCAGCACAAGTTGTTGTACGTCGTTAGGTATGCTCTCAGACTAACCGGACACACCTCGGAAGCATACGCAGTCGTGATTGTTTGGAACACACCCCACGGCAAACCACAAAGTATTTCACCAATCAAAAGCATCTTGATATCCACAGCAAAGAAAACGATGAAGATGAAGCCGGCGATCATGATCAGAGCCCCAAGAATTGTCTTGCGATAACCGATGCGCTCCGAAATATAACCGGTCACGAAAAGTCCAATGATTTCACCGACGGCAGCACCATCGGACAAACCAGAGCGCCATGGAGCTGATATTTTGTAATTTCCAGTTGCCGTATCCAAGGTGCCATATTTCTTGCTGAAGGTTGGTAGCGCATAGAAGTTGGCTAGCAGAAGGGTATCGTAACCTTCCATCACCAGGGCAGTCGATAGGACGATAGACCAGAACACAGCTTTGGGATATAGCTTGATGGCTCGACCCAATGTCATCTGTTTTTCCAGATCGGCGCCCTGCTTCGCGTTGTCGGCAAAGCTGATGACTTCGAATGTCTGTTCAGTGCACTGAGCAATGGGCTTCTCGGGATCGAGACCCGAATATTCCTGTCTTCTCCGTTCATCCTCTTGGTAGTTCACAGTCTCCGGCATAGCGTTATTTGGCACTGTTTGAGAAATATTCATTTGATATAAGTGAGCGAGATAGGGTTTCTCAATATACAGATAAAAGAAAAGTCGCAATAGGCCATGTTTTATAGTAACTTGGATCCATAATCCTAGCATGTGGACCTGCAAATCGTTATTTTATAGTGATATTGCGACATTATTATATCGCTGTCAGAAAACGATTGGAATCATCCGGAGTCTTTCAAGGTTAGATCTTATCTTTGAGAGCTATTTTCTTTGAATCGTATTATCAGCATGAATCAGTTTTGACTACCTCTGCCCTTTCATGCGTTACAGCATTAACACTGCGATGCTGCGGTTGCTAAAAGCTATAACTTACGATGAATCTTCCAAGTAGGAATCCTAGCAAAATTTCACCTCGGCTTTTGGGAGTATGAGTTGGAAATCTTGCGCCATGACTGTGGCTGATTGTAAATCAGCCCTCTACTTTGAGGACGCGCTGTCTGGACCCCGGAGAAGCCGAGCCATGAGTGTAGTCTCGGCGATAGTTCCAAAGAGAGCTAGTAGCACAGGCTTGAGTACTTAGCGTCATGCGCGATCGCTTGGTCGGGTCGCTTCGTCGGCTAGGCAATGAGTAGCCAATCATCATCACTGAACGCTCAGACAGTGGTTTGACTTGCTGTCAGAAATTGTGTTTTGCTGTACATTTCTTGATGAGTGAACAATGGGCACGATCAAATATACAATCAATAATTTTATGTATGGTATTAACAGATGCTGGACTACTTCGCCAGGTGGAATACTTCAAACTCTAGAAGCCAGTGATCGAACATACACAGACCGAGTTCTCTTCACTCTCAATAGACTAGGATACACCCCGAATCCGTTTTTGGACAAGCAAGAGTCATATACGGTGCTTAGCTACCTGATGAGCAACTCATGGGCCAGCTTTGTCTATGGTCTTAATCCGAGTGACTTGAGTGGAAGAGGGAGGAATGCCACACAAACTAATCGGCCTGCTTATACTTTGGATAAACCTATGAATATGGTCTGGGATGCAAACAAGACGAGCTATCCTGAGCCTGATACCTGGCGGAAAGAGGGCATTGATTGGATCAATGAGCATGCTTTGAACTACCAGCGGTAATAGTGGAGTGCAACGGCTCCAGTCGAAAGTATTCTTTTTTTTACAGGACTCAAAAGGGCGCTATTAGTCTCTAAGTTCAACAATTAAATTTCAATCTTGGCTATTTGTTTTCTACTTTTGACTTTCTTCTTCTTCTTCTTCCTCTTCTTCTTCTTCCTCTTCTTCTTCTTCTTAATTAGCTTTTACTTAATGGCAATCACTTTTATAATCTCTATCCCTTACACCCTGAACAGATATAAGTAGGCAGCTTCATCGTGGCACGCGCGCATGGTACTGAAATATTCAATGGGTCCAATAATAGAGTCGTGATACTAATCTATACTAAGAGACGTAGTACAATAAGCTCCATTCAGCAGACTTATAATGGTTTTAATGCTTAAGATACGTAAAATGTCTCCTAAATACGAAGCAAGGCGAAGGGCTACCATTAGCCTCATTATCGTAGCGCTCTCTTGAGTAAGGGCCGGAGTAGAAGATTCGCAGTTTCTCGGACAGTAGTAAGTCTTGGTGCAGCGCCTCGATTATCTAGAAAAGGAAAATTATCCAGTTCGTTTGCTCTTGTAATTCAGTCAATTTCGACAAGTCAAGGCGCGTTTTTGCGCGAGAAGTGGTTCACGAAGACGCACCCGAAGGGTCGATTCTGGAACGTCAAAGACGCGTGCTGCTCGACAAATAGCGCAGACTACTTTTTTCTAGTAGGCTCGGATTGCAAGGACAATTCGACCCTCTTGTTTAAGCAATTTCTGAAAATTTTGAACGCGATGGATGGCATGGTGGGTGGTCGAAGAAGAGAGGCTTTATTAATTACTGGATTTCAGATGAGGTGCGCAGCTCGCTTACTAAATAATTTCGTTAACTGATCAAAAAAAAGCTGATACCTTTTTTTTATATATTTTTTCTTGAAAAGTCAGGCAGAAATCAGGCGGCCATGGGTCCCCATGGTTCATTATAGGATGGTCAGGCATATCCTATGGTAAAAATTTGTTTTACCCTATAGTCATGGTCCCAGAATTTAGACCCATGGACTGGGAATGTCGAAGGTCTAGTTTGGTCTGGTTTGAGTCCGGGCTATATTAGTCTTGTCGTGCGCAGTTTCAAGTGCAACAAACCCCTAGAGTAGCTAACTTACAGTGGCATCAGAGTGGCATCAGAGTGTTGCGTAATATTCAACCTACTAGATAGATTGTATCATTATAAAAATTCATTTACCTAAGTATTGGTAAGAAATCAAGTTATAATTCACATCTACTATGGTGTTTTGGGGTGACCGCTCGCTTATCAATTGCGTTAAAGTCAGGTGATGATGACCAGTATAGGCCTGGAGCTGTAGGCGGTGGTCCGGGGTGGTATGAGGCTTTAGTTCACAATGTGAAGGGAAGGGATTGAGTCCACCGTACCCGAATATTCGCAATTGGCCCTCCAATGAAGTCGTCGATAGATCCTGGGTCCAACCATTTACTCCGTACACGCGAGATGATATTTACTCTTGGCCACCAAACACCGCGTATGCTATTCAGCGCTAAATCAAGGGAATTTTTTGACCTAGCTTGAACATGCATGGCGCAATTCAAGATTCACATTTCATCGAGGTGGGTGGATCCGCGGTCCATTAGGGAGTAGGAGTGGGGGCGTATTTACCGCATCAATTCGGGGTCTTAAAATTCCCAACATTCTCTCATCCAACTCTTCTCTCTTTTAGCGAGCAGTCTTCAACCCTGAACCCTCGGATCTTATACAATCCTCAACCCCCAGCTGAGCGCTTCGCTGTAACTCTTTGCCCCGAGGCAAAAATGTCCATCACGGACCTGCCAGTCGAGTTGTTGTCTAAGGTCTGTAGCCATCTACAGCCCTCTGAGTGGCAAGAACTCAGATTATCATGTCGCACCTTGTACAAATCATCATTCGCGGAATTCACTGCTTGCTTCTTTGAAAGAATTCACTTCATCGTGACAAGCGATAGCCTTGGGGAATTGGAAGCCCTCGCCAGAATAGATGGTATTCGGGAACGAGTTCACGAGTTGTGGATGATTCCCTCCGTGTTTGATGGCTCCCATGCGGCAGACGAACATGCTATTTCCGAATTTGCCGTGTCATCGAAAAGTTGTCAGTCGGTATCTGGCGAGGAACTTAAGGCTCGGTTTTCAACATACAAAGCCTTAGTTGCGGACAATTCAAGCCTTCTAGAGTCGGAGACTTTTAGCACGCGCCTGCGTGGGTGCTTAGGAAAATTCGATAACCTTGACACGATCGGACTTGCACATTATTCGACAAGCTTCTTACTCGACCCACGACAAGAAAAAGTTCGATTTCTTGGCTGGCGCCGCCTTATCAATCAAATCGACTTCCGATTCGGGAGTAAGAACCTCCAGCCGCTTCATGGTAGCGGAAGTGTAATGGGCAAGGTTAATTCTCTAGCCGCTTCGAGGCTCTTACAAGCACTAAACGGGTCCAATTGTAGGATCAGGAAGTTACAGACTTGTAATCCTGATTATTGTGGTAATATTGGCCCAGAAATACTTCTCGCAGAAGAACAATATAGCTCTGTTCTATCCGCTTTGGATGATTTAGAGGACCTCCATGTTTGCACAGCTTTCCGAACCACAAAACCAGTTCATATTATGGATACGAATACACCGACTTGGGTCACCATGCTTATCCATGTTGCTGCCCGCCTAGAAAGGCTGACTATCTCGCAAGACTATTTCTTTGGAGAGCTTTCTAGCAAAATCCAATTTGATAGCCTGAAAGAGCTCCATCTGCATAAGACTTGGATCAATTCCGAGGATTTAAAATCATTTCTTATGAAAGCCAAGAAAACCCTCACTTTTTTCACACTATTTGAGGTAATCATGGAAGGCATCTCGCCATTATCATTGCCGGACCATTCATCACTTTGGTATTCGCCAACCCCAAAATGGCTTTTGCATTCTTCAATTCCGCCTTCTACGACCTCAACCTCAACAGCCTATATTCCAACATCCTCTACCTACACTCCAACATCCTCCGCCTATAACCCAACTTCGCCCTATAGTCCGACCTCAACAGCCTTCACTCCAACCCCAATAGCAAACACTTCAGTCTCAACTCCATATTATGCCCAACCAGCTAGGCAAGTACTACCCAGACAAGATTACACCCCTTCGGCCCTTTACATACCCCCTACAGATCATGAAGATGCTCTTTGGAAGTCTATTTGGAACTTTTTCGGTGAAAACCTATCGCTACAGAGGTTCTCCATAGCAAAGGTCGCAGACGGTACCCGTCAGATCTCTATCCAAAGGACGGATGGCTTAATCAAGCCCAGTGAAAATGCTATCTTTGATGCTGAAACTGCTGGAATGTCGTTCCATCAATGGATCGACCAATTTACCCCGATGCATTTACTGGATTCGCCTAGTCCTACAGTATGGCCCGATAACGATCAAAGTAAGCAAGCCAAAAAGTTGAGCTTTTCAAGAATATTTCTAATTAAACTTAGAGGCATGGTTTAACAGAATGATGCATGCAAACAGCAGCTCCGTGAGCCCTGCCATGTGTGACTGTGAAAATGCAGCTAGAGGATGCGATTTTGGATGCGAGTATGAGAAATTGATACTATAAGTAGGCGAGGGCAGATTTGAGAAATAAATCTTCAATATCAACTTAATTTCATGGCAAGACCAAATACAGAACGCTTTTAAGCGATGATTGAATCCTTCACTTATACTCCTTCTCTCCAAAGTTCTTAGGTACCTCAGGCCCCCAAACCGAAAAAGTACCAACAACTTCCCTCTTCATAGGGATATCCTCATTCACAACGTCACCATCAGTATAATGCTCAATCTTGAACCCACTAGGATCAGCCCAGTAATCAAATATCTGACTTCCAAGCACATGACGCCCAACACCCCAAACACTCTTCCAACCTCTCTTCGCCAACCATCCATGCCCAATCTGCTGCGTATCATAATCAGCCACCTCATAAGAAGTGTGGTGCACAAACGTCTTTTTCACGTGAGGTTCAGCACGCTGCATGAAGAAGCAATGGTGGTCGGAAAAGTCCTTCCCCAGGTCAAGGTGCATGAATGTCAGAACATCTACATTTGAGAAATCCCAGTGGTGCAGAATATCGGAAGGAACGAAGTTGAAGTTCTCAGTATACCATGCGAGTTCGCGATCGAAGTCTGGCACGACATAGCCCAGGTGTCCTATCTTGTGCACAAGAGCTGGTCCTGCGTGATGGCGTTGGAATTGACCTGTAACTGGCATTAGAAGGAAAGAAATGGAAACCTGGGAGATACGAGAACGAACCTAGTCTCGGTTTGTCGAAAGGCTTGTTAAATGGCCCTTGCTGCTCCTGCGTGGCACTTGGTTCTTGGCTATCGACCAGCCGTTCCTCTTGACCATATACCACATGAAAAAAGGTGCTATCGGGCCGGTTGAAAGTGACCATTTTGCCTCCGCCTGGGGCGTCTTTCAAATCACTGAGCGTGGCGCCGGCTAACTGGGCAGCTTTCTCGAATTCTTCTTGCGAGCGAGCAACAAACGCGGGACCACGGAATCTTGGCTTGTCGTCTTTGCTTCTTGATGCGACATATACATATGGATCTTTGCCATAGCCGCGATAGTATACCCGGTCCCTGGTTCTCTTGTCTTCAATGAATCCGAAGTCTTCGGCGAACTCGCTGAATTTATCCAGGTCTGGGTGTTCAAAATAAACATGACCTAGGCGGTCCAGCTGGACCTTTTCAGGATTGTTGGAAATAGGAGGGATCCGCATATCGGGGACCATACGCTCGCGCACGGATCTTGGGAGATAGGAAAGAAACGTGAAGACCAGTTTCAATACTGACATTTCGACCGAATCAAGTAGCAATGAGAGGGAACTATGAGCATTTAAATAGAGCCTCAACCATCACATGTTGCCGAGTATACACCTATGATGTTATACATTAGTCTAGACGTAGAGAGCGTTGAGGCTTTTCGGAGGAACTTTCGGAGTAACCTAAAGGGCTACTAAGCCCCCGTACGTCCCCAGCTCTATTTGCCACAATAATTTGACAGATGGCTTGGACTGGCGAACATCCGAGATCTCAAGCGGAGACAATTTGCTTTATTCTTTCGTTGACCGAATAATTGCCTCGGTCTAAAACTGACCCTTGGCAACCGCTTATTTGCAAATGACTCACTTTCAACCGCAAATTTCTACCCTAACTTGGTACATTATTCAGTTAAATAATACGAATGAATTATCATGGTTCACTACCTCCACTATCACTACATATACTATTTCCACCGAGTAACAATTTGAATTGCAAGCCACTGTACCCATACAACACATCGAGTTAAGAAAGACACCCTCGATAACTATCAGCAACGAGAACCGTACATTGCCGTTGCACGACTAGCTTACTCAAAATAAATCTTGTTCCTCAAGGTTCCGACCTTTCCCATCTCAATCTCGACAACATCGCCATCCTGCAGAAATGATTTCGGCGTAAGAAAAGCACCCACTCCCTGCGGAGTGCCTGTCATCACTGCCGTTCCGGCTGGGATAGTAGTGCCTGTAAGAATTAGCTTGGTCCCATCGTGGCCACAATGTTCCGTGCGCGTCAACCAACCTTGGCTCATATGACTGAGTATTCTCCCTGGGGAGAAAATCATATCCTTCTGGAAATCGGCTTTCTGTCGCACCTCCCCATTGACTTTGGTGACAAGATTGAAATCACCGCTCTTGAACAGCTTTGGGCTAATCAGAGTGGGTCCAATTGGGGCAAAACGGTCGAATGCCTTGGCGAAAAAGAATTGTCCTCCGGAATTCTGAGGAAGCTGGAAGATACGACAGGATAGATCATTTCCCACTGTGTAGCCTAGAATGTGGTCCTCTGCTTCTTTGGGCGATATGTCGCGACACTCGGCGGAGGTCACAAATACCAGCTCACCCTTGTCACAAGGTCATATTAGCATTTAGTTTTGAGCATGTAGCGATGGCATTCATACCTCATAGTCTAGGAGGCTTTTAGCACAGAAATCATTGACGGGGATATCTTCATTCGGGTGCGCAAGGGATGCTGCCGGCTTTGTCCAAAGAGGGGGGTACGATGGGATCGTAAGCTGTGAAAATTTGTCAGAGCTTGAGGCCTATGTAGAGATATTCATCGAAAGCTTCGCTAACCTGGGCCTCTTTTGCATGGCTTCTGTAGTTCAGGCCTACACAGTATATCGGTATATTGTCCTGAGGAAGTGGCGCCAGCAACTGTGCGCATGATAAGCATGGTCTTCATTTTGTAGATCCAATTGACATATCAATGGCTTACGCGAGAGACAGTCACTTCTTTTTCGCCACTTTTGTTTGCAAGGTCTTGAAAAGTCTTGAATGCACCTAGCTGCGTTCCTCGAATTGGCGGACCATCGGCATTGGGTCCCAGGTCTGCGTAGTAGGCTGTGCCATCCTCAGAACACTCGAAGCGCACAAGATGAAGGAAGGAGACCATTTTGTTTGATTAATAGGTTCAAAATCGAAATTGAACTCAAGTTGTTGGCATTGCGTAAAATGTGCCGACGTTCTACTTCAAATATGTGATGCCAAGCACCGAGGTAGATCGACACGCGCTAATGCCAATTGGGCATAGCGCCGGAGGGACTTTCGCGGCGGATCTTCGACTTCGTGTTTCTCCAGTGGCGGGATTTCAACATACCCCCGTCTTTACAATCTCCAGCCCGTCAATGGAAAAGCTCTCGCCAATCAAAATGCAGGGTATTGGAGGCCATGGTCCAGGCCTAGTATCTCCGCATTTGCATGGGTCGGTCACAGACGGAAATGACAACCCAAACTGCAAGAGAGTATGCGATAACTGTATACGGTACCTACATGCGCCTTGACCCCAAAAATATGCTTGGTCTGACATGATTTTAAGGAAGAAAGTGAAATGTACGATGAAGGCCCCACAAATCCTATTGTGATGGCAACTTATTAAGCAATGTCTTTTCAGGTGACCAGGGGCAGCCCATCTGCAGCCGGTGCTTCGACCGAGGTGAAACATGCACTTACTTGTCTACGCGACGTAAGCCGGGCCCTTCACGTGGCTCGCGCTACAAAATTTCCTCATCGAGACGGCAAAGATCTAGTAAACATCCCTCTCATTCAAAACTTCTAGCAGCCGACCTGTCAACGTCAAACTAATCATTGACTGGTACCATACAGATCCAATATCTCCGGTCAGGCAAAATATTACGCAACAGTCATCAAGTTTGCCGTCACCTGGATCTCATAAAGAGTCAATTAGTATCCCTCACTTGTCGACTATATCTCTGTATGGTCGCTTTCCCCTTCCATCGGTGGCTTTATTCCAGCTAACACTTCACAATAGCATCGAGAAGTACTTCGACGTTGTCCAGGATTTAAATCCCATCTTCTCCAAAGAGAAATTTATCCATGATTATCAACAAGTTCGATGTGACCCTGACCTTATCTCTACGATAAAAGCAATCACCGCGAAGCTAATGGGTCTCAATTCCCTCGCGGACGAAGAAAATCTAGATGCCCGTATCGACCGGCTATTGAGCTCCAGCTTACTCGAGGATGACATTATCGGGACAACACCGTCTCTTGATCAGTTTCGCAAAGCTTGTCTTCTAGCGTTCTATGATTTCCATCAGTTTCCAGGACACCAATCCTGGATGCGCATCGGACAAATCACACGCATGGCTTATCGTACAGGACTAGATCGACTCGAAAGCCTGCGCGCACTCTATCCTGACTGGGCCTCATTAAGCAACGACGAGGTTCAAGAATGGCGATCTGTGTGGTGGTGTATATACCGCCTGGACTCCTATTCCAATCTTTCATCGGGTACTCCAAACTTGATTGACCATCAATTTGTCAATACCTCTTTTATCCTTGACCACTTTGATCAGTCTGCAAGTGGTGAGGCTAGCCCTCAAGAAGTTTATTTGCCATCGGATTATGCAGATCTTTGGAGGTTGCTTCCAGTATTTGCCTTGAGCCCAAAGACGTTTTTAAAGAATGTCCATATCATATCTATCGCTGCTATGCGACAGACAGCGACAGCTGTCCGAATGCATTTTTCACGACCGAAAGAGGACATGACTGAGTCACTTGCAGATGCTCAACGCCAGCTTTCGACGCTTTCTTTATCCTTACCACCTGGCTGGTTCAATCCGGCGCGCAATGCATTTGCAGACGAGTCTCATGATGACCACCACGCAAGACTGGTTACCGTTCTCCATTTCATGATGGCACGATTACTCCTCGCAATTCTGTGCTGTGGTCAAGCAAATAGAGAAGAGCCATTATTAACCTGGCAACAGGTCCTTGAGGTCTGCCAGGATATTGCTTCAGTGATGGAGCAGTGGAACTCACTGTTCTGCATGAAAGTGGATCCAGCGATTTCGTTTATCCCTTTCACAGCACTGATCTTCCTTGATCTCCATAAGAAGTCGACTGCAGTGGCTCGGCCCATTCTTCAGTCGAAGATTCAACAAAATCAGACCATTCTGCGTCTACATCTTGAACAGTTCGCCCGGATGTGGACTCTTCCGAGGCTTCTTAATTGTAAGTGAGACTCAACCTCTCAAAAGACTCTTTATCTGACAGCTAATTATTCAGTATCATTTGCGAGCTTCAGCGAATCTGTTTCAGGCCCGCTATCATACCATCAGGTTTGGGTGATAATATCACGGTTCGAGGCACCTCTCCACCCAAGGTGGCTTCATTTTCTTTCAACAGCACAGGCCCATCTAGATCTTGTCCATGATGCGCCTCATTAGCAAGACCAACCAATAAGCCTTTCTTCCGAGGCAAAGCCTGATATGCGGGGGAGTCATGTACACAGTGATCTCGGATCGAGATCCAGTGGGTTATTAAACAAACCCGATTTTACTAGGTACTCATAGACATGATCGCTGCGGGTCGGATCAAGCTATTGATTGGTCTCAAGCCCAAGGGCCCAGGCCGTCAACCGGTATGTTATTACCCATAATCGCATGGGCTCCGATGCTTACCGCCGAGGTGCCGCCACCTGACAAGGGTGCTTACGCGAATCCAACATCCCGAATATCCGGCTCGGTGACAGGGTTCAGCGTGGCAAAATCTGATAGGTCCTTGTTTAGCCTCCAGATGATAGCCTATATGCATGCAATAGAGTCACAAGTCGGTTGGTTCGCATTTGCAGCAAATCGAGCCTCTTCGGTTCTTTCTTCCTGCCAGTAAGAATCCCAGCGTCAATTCATAGGACGCTCTATGCCTTAGGAGGCCGGTACCATTGAAAATGGTCACGTCAAAGCTGAAACGACCCCAGATGAGACTGATAAGTCACACACGCGAACATAGTTCAGTGGCTGCCTGGGAAAAGGATGCGCAAGCCTAGCACAAATGCCTGCTCCCCTTTATGGTATTTCCTCCAGATACCTACTGTGCTACTCGATATTCATCTCCAGATCAAACTGGGCTCCAGATCAGAATAAATATCAAATTGGTTATCAAGGGTTTGAAAGCCCCAGGCGCCGCTGTCTATCTGATTACTGCAATATACCCTTTCAAGGTTAATGTCAAAAGCAAATCTCTAAAAGAAATTTCCTGCATAAAGTCTTCGCCAAAGCGATCGTGAGATCTGATACGCCTTTTCCGTGCTCTTTGATAGGCTGAAAAAATATACCCTGACAAGCTTAACTACCAATGAAGATCAGATCTAGCACACCAAGGTTGAGCACTTGGGCGCTTAGACCCAACAAGATTGCCACTGCATATGGCATAAATAGCGCCGCAAATCTCACTCCAGGGGCAGCATTTGCGGATCTCGAGAATGCATGTCCAGAAAACTACGCACTCCATGACTTAAGCATGTCCGGCGAGAAGGAGTATCTCAACGCGGAAGAGTTCGAAGATGGTATGCAGACCCATGTCCCGGGTATTCCGGACTTTTGGCGACTAACAGAATCAAGCACTTAAAGCGCTGGATACCGAAATGAGCCATGATGAATGGCTCGTAGCGTTCGGTCCTATCCGACTCATCGCCGCCGGCGGATTCCTAGCAGTCACATTTCTCCAGAACCGCGACAGCACAGCAGACGTGGACTTCCTGATCGACCCAGAGTTCGAGCGCGAGAAAGAGATCCGACAAGGACTCGATAATGCTATCGTCTCGGTCGCTCTCCAGCAGAGCTATAACCGAAAATGGATGAACAATGACATGGCTATTTTCGTGAGCCGGCCATCCCGACAGAGTCTTTTCAAGAAAGCCCTCGAACAGAACATCACGCTTTTCCAAGGAGAAAACTTGGAGATCCTAGCTGCTCCGATAGAGTGGGCTCTTGAACGCAAGCTACGGAGAATCTATAACGGCGGTCGGGGTCGAAAGGCCGAAATGGATATGGCGGATGCGTTGGCCTTTTTAAAATACTTGAGAACGAGGGATAATGGCCCTTTGGTGAAGGAGTCCGTTCGGACGATGAATTGGAACGGGTTCGATGTCCTGCCTGATAGCAGAACGATGCAGTTAGTAGCTTTCGAATACCGGAAGAAGTACAGCGAGCAGATCTTTCGTTCTTAAATGGTATAAAGCCAGCCTGTATTCGTAATGACATTCCGCTTCGCGAAATTTGGACTCTTGCCATCCTTCTCCAGAACCAGGTTTCCATCTGTATCTAAAAAGCTAGATGGTACAGACTTCTTCAGCAAGTCTTTGTCGATGGCTGGTACATTTGCTGTCCAAGCAGGAAGCTCTTCGGGCTTGAACGGAGGCCATGGAGCATCGTCTGTTTCGCGATACACATGCTGTCCAGTTCTTCGTAGTCCTAGACCCAACCTCCAGTTTATTGACTCTTGCAGTTCCTCGATAATAGAGGCAATAATGGCATATCGGAGAGGATCTGTATCTTTTGGATCGGGGATATCTCTTAAGCTCCACTTCGGTTGATAGAAGAAATATTCCGTTTCCCATCCCATCAGTGCATAGTGGTTAGTGACGTAAAGCTCGTAGAGTCGATAAGCTGATCGCAAGGGCGTGTCACGCATTCTCCATATAGGGATATCGCGGAGGTTATGTATGTCACCAAAATGAGATTCGATTATCTTAGTCTTGTTCTCTTTGTCTTCGATAAGTGCGTGAAGAGAAAATGGGCCCGGTATTGGGAATGACCAGGACGGGTATGGAATGAGCCAGAACAGCAGAGTAAGCAAGGGGTATCGATTGTGATGTCTGAGACGTATGAGGCTACTGCGCAATCGAAGTGGAGAGTGTAAATAACGAAGCCATCTTCGGAAACGGGCCCAAAGGGACAATTTTGGTCGTGGCCGAGGGGTCATCAGCGGCAACCCAAAATCCGAATACAGACGATACTGCACTTGGAGATTGAGATGAATCGTCCAATCAAATGAGATTGTAAGCCTGCCCTGGCTATCGCGAGCTTCACAAAGCCTGCATGATAGCCTTAGTGGTTCGTGTGCCTGAAATGGCGGGGAGTACGGAGTACAGAGAGCTGTCATACAGTAAAATGCCAAACGCCAAGACACGCTAAGCCATATCAAGTAATGCTGTCATGGTCGCTTAATCAGCTCATATACGAAGTATGCTCGTATACTCCAAAGATCAAATCACACAATTCCTGCGCTTCTTGCATAATTTACTGTAATCGAGTATTTCCACCAACAAGCCATCCTTGAATATGTAGAATTCAAATCGGAAATACTCGTATGCAATCGTGCATGACTTCCACATCCCTATCGCTTATGTAATGACGTAATGCATTCATGTGTAACTTATGCCATGCTTACACCTTTTTTAGTACTAATCAAATCGTCAAAAGTATACTGTCACGAGCTTCTTCGGCACTCTATTAGGACAATTCGAAATGAACATATATTTCATACAAATACACGCGCACGAAGAATGCTTGGCGTTCCGGGGATTTACCGGTCAAGCCCGGTGGAGCAGTGGAGCGCCCGCTCTCCGTTATCGTGGCCTCCCCGTAGGCCGATTACGACGCTCCTGAATCTTCACCTTATCCCGGTTCCCCTCGTTCGTTGTCCTTGACTCGGATCTTCCGGCGCTGCATTTCACCTCTCGTCACTCCTTACCCGGCTCCGATGTTCCTTCGCTGGCCGACTTCCCAATCCTCGACTACAAACCCCAGCGACCGTGCGCTCCGATAAACGCGTGACCCCAATCTCGCACACCCATCGTACTAGCTACCATTGTCCTCCGACGGACTGTCTCTGGGCGATTGAGATAAAGCGGACTGTTCTTAAAATGGCTAGCACCTCACTTCATACCACTGCCCGGATCATATCCGTGATTGCGGGCACTCTGGTAGCTCTGTCCTGCGGGACGAATGTACGTGGCTCTTGGCTTCTCAGCTGAAGGCGCGATGGCTAACCGATTGACTGGGATATATAGTATGCATACTCCGCATGGGCACCACAGTTCGCACACCGAATGAAGCTTTCTTCGACCGAGAGTAACCTTATCGTGAGTCGTGTGACAGCTCCTCTCTATACAGCGGAGCCCCGGTGTTGACAGCTTGGCAGGGCGTGGCGGGAAACCTGGGCATGTATGCCATGGGTATCCCGATGGGCTTATTGACTGATGCAAAGGGACCCCGACTTATCACTTTGATTGGTTCGGTGTGCTTGGGTCTCGGATATTACCCGATCTACCTGGGTAGGTTCACTGGAAACAAGCCGCAGCAGGGTATCAAATCTAACAATTACTAGCCTATCAACACGGAGAAGGATCAGTCCCAGTGTTTTTCTTGTGCTTTTTCGCCTTCCTTACTGGTACCGGTGGATGCTCAGCTTTTGGCGCCGCTATCAAAGTCGGTACGTCAAATTGAATCGGTCCCCTGTCAGATTACGTAGAGATACTAACGAACCTTCTTTCAGCGGCCTCCAACTTTGGCGAGAACCGCGGCACTGCGACAGCATTCCCATTGGCGGCCTTCGGACTAAGTGCTTTGTTCTGGTCTAATGTATCGACTCTCATTTTCAAGGATGACACCGGTGCCTTCTTGTTGCTTCTCGCGTGCGGAACCACCATCCTCTCTTTGATCTCTATCCCATTCCTACGAATCTTCCCCAGCGCCGAGACCGAGCCCTATACTTCCGTCCCTCGCCATGAAGGTGCCCCCGAATCGCAAAGAATGCGCCCACCGAGCACTTTCGAAGATCAGCCTGAGGACATGCACGACTCCACCGGTTACGACCACGAAAACTCCGCGCATGCGCGCAGTCATTCCGTTGTCTCGAGCCACCGTATTGGAGGACACCACAATGATCAGGATGAGAGCTCGTCGTTGGTATCCAAGCCTGATGGCCGGCCATCATTCGATACACTAGACGATGACTACTTGGCCGATATCGCCGTGGAAGCTCACCACCCCGATATCCGTGGCCTGGCTATGCTCAAGTACGTCGAGTTCTGGCAATTATTCCTCACCATGGCCCTTCTATCTGGTATCGGCTTGATGACCATCAACAACATTGGCAACAGCGCCAAGGCTCTGTGGCTATACTACGACGACAGCGCGACATCTAAGTTCATCCAGCAGCGCCAGGTTATGCATGTTTCTATCCTGTCCTTTGGTAACTTTTCTGGCCGTCTCCTTAGCGGCATTGGCTCCGATATCCTCGTTAAGAAGCTCAACATGTCCCGCTTCTGGTGTCTTTTCATCTCCGCTCTCGTCTTCACCATAACTCAACTCGCCGGCGCTTCCATTTCCAACCCGAACACCCTCGTCGTCGTCTCCGCCATGACGGGTGTTGCCTACGGTTTCTTGTTCGGTGTCTTCCCCTCTCTTACCGCTCACACCTTTGGTATCGGCGGCCTCTCCCAGAACTGGGGAGCCATGACTCTGGCTCCAGTTCTTAGCGGCAACGTTTTCAACCTCGTCTACGGCACAGTGTACGACCGCCACTCCGTTGTCGGCCACGAGGGCGACAGCGAATGTCCCGATGGCCTCGTCTGCTACCGCTCCGCCTACTACATGACATTCTTCTCCGGGCTCTGCGGTATTGTAGTTTGTCTATGGAGTATCTGGCGCGAGAGACAGATCCACAACAACATGCGCAAGAAAGCAGGCAACCGTATTGCATAGATCATGTGACCTTACATTTATGAAGAAATCAAGCAATTTCTCGAATTTGTTGGCATGTTGTCCTACCGGGTGTTTGCCCAGGATATAGAAGGTTTCGTTCGTCTTTGGGTAATCACTATTTGCTATTGGTGCGCGATAACGCGCATGTTATGATTCAGAATTGCTGGCCAATTTCTCCTGGTCCTGGAGGTGGAATGGGTACTGTGGGTTTATATTATGCATTCTTTTACGGGTTTCTTCGCTTAGACTTGATACTCCTTGCATCTACTGCGATCTCTTTTTCTTTTCTTTCAAAGCTTGGCTATTGGCGACTTATCGTTGGTCCTTGACAGTTTCTATAGAAATTGTATATGATTTTCTTTTCACCCATGAACCTTGGTGTTGATATTCATCGATTCTCTCTGCAAGTTTAAAATAGCCCTCAATTCAATTGCTTTCCAACTGCGGCCTACTCGGAACTCACAGTGGAGTAAGAAGCTGCAAAAAGGGAACAGAGGGTGTTTATTTATCTTACGACCAGGAGCAATTTTCTTTAACCTTTGTATCAAGCTCCTACATGTGAAGATTAGAAGATTCCAAAGCCAGAAGCTAGCTACTCCGTTGGCGCAATATCCCTCTCTTTAATCACCACATTTAAGGGCCCCGGAACAGTAGTGAAGAAATCCAACAAGCCATCAAACATCTGTTGGCCATCTTCACCCGGAGCAAATTCCCAATCAAATTGCGTCACAAGGAGCGCCAAAGCCACTCTAATCTCCATAAGGCCAAGATTCTTCCCTACACACTGATATTCTCCTATATGCTTGTGAGTAAACTTCAAGCTATATCAAGTCCGGTGGAAGAGGCTCACCTAAGCTCCAAGGTTGCCAAGCCTTCTTATCAAGAATAAGCTCAGGCTTGGTACTGAATCGTTCAGGTATAAATTCCGTGGCGCTGACGAAACAGTCCTCGCGTCTGAACAGTGTGTAATGCGGCACTAGTACTGTGGTATTGCCGGGTATGAAGACCTCGTTGATTGTTAGACCCTCTGGGGGTGTTATACGGAGACCACCACAGGGGACTGGGGGGTTGAGTCGCAATGTCTCCTTTATGATTGCGTTGAAGTGGGTGAGGTATTGAAGGGACTTGTAGTTGCGGATATCTTCCAGACTTTCGAGTTCAGAACGAACTTGAGATAGATGCTCTGGGTAGCGGATCAAATAGTATAATGCGTTTGTTAGAACTTGTCGTTGTGGGTCACTGAATAGCATTAGTTCTGTTGCATAATAGTGAGAAGGTGAAATTTGGTTTACCTTCCAGCTGTGATGAAGAGAATGTAATCGCCTAGGATGTGCTTCCAGCTTTGCTCAACCGGACCTCGTTGGCGTGCATCTTCGATTACGTAGTTGAGCACCTGTTTTGTTTAGAATTAGTCACAAGTTATGAGTAAATAGTGAAAGGAAGGAGAACTTACATCTCGTTGACCGGACGGTTCCTATTGAGGCAAAAAAGCAGTAGATTAGCATGTTGCCATTTTCCGAAAGGCCGGGCTTTGATTACCTTCAACTTCTCACGGAGGCCACCTTCAGCCCACCGAGCAAACATATGGTATCCTTCTTGCCCATATGGAATCGCAGCAGTTAAATGGTAAATCCAGGGCGCAGGCGTCACAACTCCAAGGACTGGGTGTCCAGCGTTGTACATATCAAGCGCGATGTGTTTTTGTGTTTGTAGCAAGTTGAACTTGTAGTTGAACCCAACGAGTCCCATGAGGTCGAATGTAAAGTACTCAAACCAGCGACCAATTTCAACTGGAGTCTTAAGGCGTTGGCGTAATTGGTGGACTAGCTCATCGGCATATTCGTAGACCTTGGGCTCCAAGGCCTCCAGCGCTATCGAGGAATCAGATTAGGGTCCAATGACGTGAAATTCAACTGCGTTAGATATTTCAAGCTTACCCTTGATACTGAATCCTTGATCCCATAACTTGCGTTTATGGGTATGAATGTGCTTGTGTCGTGTTGTTACGAGCGAGACAAGTGGTAGCATCATGTCATAATATACTCCACGAATACACCGTGAATCTGGGCCATAAACCTGGTTGAATGCCTCCGGGGTGAATAGAGTCACCTCATTCGGACCTAGAGCTGTCAGGAATAATTAAACCAAGGGTGAGATGTTTTAGAAGACGCACCAGTTCGAATGACATCGCCATATTGGTGAAACAACTTATTCGTATAGCGATAATTATCGGCACGAAGAATATGCCCGACATGGTAGAGCTTGGTCACTTTTGCCCAGAACGGACCAGGCAGATGAGTCAAAGGCGACTGTACAATCCGGTAGAAGAACATGCTTGTAAATAAAGCACCGCAGTATGCAGCTGCAATACTGATAGCTTGGATCACGGCTTTACTGAGAGATGCCTCGATGTGCCACTCATAGAAAGTGATGAGGCCGAATGTGAGAACAGCCACGCGGGCAATGCTATCGGCATAGCGATCATGTTCTCCATGGATAAAGTAGAACCGATGGGAGATAAGACCAAGGCCCGCTGCCAGTGACAAATTTAGGAAGCTTGATATCATGATGTAGAGCAGAAAGGGAGGAGACCTTTCTTCATCCAAGCTATGTCGAAGTCGAGGATCCGTGGTTGGGATTTAAGTTCAATTTGCACATGCACAGGTCAAAGGATCAATAAGTCACATCATGCTAGATGGCTGGAATATTAATAAATGTAATGCGATTCGGTCGTGCCGGTACGTGGGTACTCATGTTGCATGCCAAGTAACAAGAGAAACAAGAGAAACAAGGGCCCGGCGCTAGTAAGTAACTGTAATGTTTATGGTACGTTACTATTTCAGCCCCCAAGTATCATTACAACAGATACTGGATTGGGGTCCACTCTGAAATGTGCGACGATCATAGCTACATGTGGAAACGTATGTTGTCAGCGTATCCTGTGAAATAGTTAAGTAGTGCGCGACTAATGTTGACAGTAGTCGACTTGTTTCCGAGAATTGTCATTTCCTCATCCATCATTATGAGTATCTCGATTTCTGTTATTATTGTGGGAGGAGGGCTGGCTGGCCTGGCTACAGCCATTGGCTTGCAGCGCGCCGGCCACCAAGTTACTGTGCTAGAGAAATCGCCAGCACTGGGACAGGTATGCTTGCAACCCATCCAGAACGAAGAATTTCACGTTAATTCAGTTTTCGGCTACCCAAGATTGGTGCAGGGATTCAAATTCCACCCAACTCAGCCAAAGTTTTCAAGGGGTGGGGTCTTCTGGATGAGCTAGAGAAACTGTCAATCGCTCCGAATGTTGGGGTGATGCGATCATACCGTGAAATGAAGCCTTTGTCAACCCTCGATATGGGCAAGAAATTGGTTGAACGATATGGAACTCCTTATCTTCTTACCCACCGCGTTGACCTGCATCACTTACTCGCTAAAGAGGCTGAGCGCGTGGGAGTCGACATTCGCCTTGGGGTGGAAGTAACGGGGATTGAGACAGACACCAGCAGTCAGCAGAGCCCTCTGGTACAGACCGCTAATGGGCAGCAAAGCTTCTCCGCAGATCTAGTATTTGCAGCAGACGGAGAACGATCTCGCTGTCGAGGAAGCTTGCTAGGGCACGAAATGCCTTGGAAAGATAGTGGCGATCATGTACTCCGTGCCACTGTCCCAATTCAGATCCTCCAAGAAAACGATGAGCTACGGGAGTTTGTCAATGACCTTAATTTCTGGGTGGGGCCCGAGAGCAACGCCCTCACCTATAGTCTCAAGCGAGACGGGCTGTTCAATGTCGTGACTACCGGGGCTCATGCTCCAGATGCTGCGGTACAATTTGCCCCGAAACCAATCAGCCAGGAGGAGGCTTTACTTGAGTTCCCAGGCTGGGACCCTCTTTTCCATCGCCTATTACGCTCGAGTACCATATATGCGCGCTGGACGCTTCTACATACTGACATGCCGAGCAAGTGGACGAATGAGACGGGCAATGTCTCACTGATTGGAGACGCAGCTCATGCGATGCTTCCTTACACGTAAGATTCCGGGACCACTTCCTTTTCATCTATCACGAGGACTAATCAGTATTTCAAACCATAGTGGGCAAGGTGCAGCGATGGCTTTTGAAGACGCAGCCACCATCGGTGTTTTATTCTCATCAATCAAAGACAAGAGGCAAATTCCAGATCTGCTCACGATCTACGAGACAATGCGAAGACCACGGGTCACAGAAATGCATAGACGTGTTAAACAGGTCCGGGATATATATTCCATGGCAGACGGGCCGAAGCAGCAGGAACGAGACCGTCAACTACGGGAGCAGGCGCCTTTTGATGGTTACCCCAATTTCCTAGCAGATCCCGTGCTCCAGGAATGGATGTTTAGCTACGATGCCTTCAAAGAAGCTCAGAAGGCCCTAGAGACGTTCCAAAAGGGCGAATTCCCTGGAACACAAGGTACATGGAGGCTTTACATGTAATTGGGAACATTTAGAAGCCAAATTCCGTTTGAATCTTCAAGCTTGTTGAGACCTAGGAGTGAGATACTTAGCTTGGAGCTTCATTACACGGGCGTGTAGTTACGCTCTATGTCAAACATGAATATGGCTTCTAAGGTCTTCTCCATTGTCCTTTGGCGCCTAGCTATATCTTACGTCAAGTAAATTGTGCATTCTCTTCAAGTCGAACCCGCTTCTGTCTATTCTCTAGATGTATTATCAGACTGTTAACACCCCTCCAAATTTTACGTTGTCGAAGATAGTGAATTTGAGGATATATACACCTGGGCAAATTTAATTCCATTTCAACATACTATTTGCCGCGTTTATAGACATTTGAAGCCATTCGCGCCTAAAGCTTTACGTAAATTTCACATCTCTTCGTTAAATATATACAATTCCCATTTCAAAAATGTTCACCTTATACTGTATTGTTTAGGAAACAAGCTGAATAACCAATACTTCGCGACACATGATATCGGCACAAAGACCGGCAGTGACAGCAACTCCCCAGGCGAGGCTTCCATTTCGGAACCACCACTCGCATTCATCGGAAGACTCAATGTCTACAGCACGAAGCATCGCTGCCACCACCACAGCAGAACCAAATGAAGCAATAACTTGATAAGCCAGGTGCGCGTTGAGTGCCACCCCTGCATATATCTGCAGAAGGACCATAATGACACTAACGCCCCCAAGCATAAGCTTGAGATGGTTGCGGTAGTAGACTGCCATGGAGTAAACACCAGCCTTCAAGTCATCTTGAATATCCTGTTGTGCATAAATGGTATCATGAACAACACTCCAAAGGACATAGATGACGAATAGAGATGCAATGCCTAGCTGGTAATCATGCTGAATAGGAAGTGACAACATCGTTGAGGTGCTTCGGAATGGATCCATGCCCATTGCACTGGCTCCAATTGGAACTCCCAGAGCCAAAGTAATCCCGAGAATGACTTGTGCATGGTAGGTAACGCGCTTCGCGAATGGGTAGAAGATGACCATCCCAGTAAGTGGAATCGTGTATCCCCAGTGATTGGGTACAAGGACAGATACCATCGATAACCAGACAATATATTGGCCCACTGTAAACAGCAATGCAGCTTGAACGCTGATAGCTTCCCGCGCCATAGGTCGATGGCGAGTTCGCGCAACCTGTCGGTCGATGTTACGGTCGATGATATCGTTCCAACTGCAGCCCAAACCACGAAGTATAAATCCAGCAACTAGTAGCTGAGTGATACGTTGCAAGAGAAATGATACATCGACGGGTTGTGCCAAAGCGCTATACAGTGCACCAAAAATGTATGGCAAAGTAATGTTGAGTACTCCAGTGGGTTTCGAAAGTCTGATCAATTCGGCATATGGAACTAATGCAGGAGGTAGACTAGCGAGTATGCCAGATGGAGAATAGACACGATTCGACGTGGAGGGCTCTGTGGTCGTAGCCATGATGTTGTTGCTTTTCACGAATACTTGCACTAGAATGAAGGAACAGGGGTATTATAGCATATTTCTGGATTTATCTCTGATTTCTTGTAAGGCAATCTATTAGATATGTAGCGTAAAGGCATACTTGATGTAATTTTGAGACATTGATTACGGTCAATTGTTACCGGACTTTTATAACGACAATACTGCCAGGTACGATCGACAGTGAAGGACTGCAGCTCGTTGTGACGAATTGAATGAAGATCCCCGCTCACAAGATAGCAAATCAATTGGGGGCGGTACAACATGCCTTCGACTCCTGATGATTGAAGTAAGCAAAGGCTGGTCTTTAAGGTTTAATTGGAAGGATCTAAACTTGGAGACCAGGAAGCGCCGGTCAGCCACCTACGTGGAAGGATTCGTGAGCTGTCACTCAATGGGGCGATTTGACCGTCTATGTATCAATGTCCGTGAGTCTCTCCACTTGCAATCCTGGTGGAGTAGTAAGCTTAAAACCGGGAAGCAAAATGTTCATAGTGGCAGATAACGAAATGATGGTGGGGCGAGCAAAAAGATTAAGTTAGAAAAAGGACAAGGTTCCATAACACGTAATGATACGGCATTGAAAACTTGATACATACGAGACCTTGAATGTGGGTCCTGTTCTGTACTGCATCATTTTTGGCCCCCATGTGAACTATGCATCCGTACATGGTTTGCGATCTGCATTCTGCACACCGTATCAGAAACTGAACCTCGACAGGGCCACCCATGCGACGATCTTTAGCCCCGCGTTGCTTTAGTGACACCAACACCTAAATTTAGCCCCCTGCTCAAGTGGAGAACCACCAATCAAGATCTGAGTTAGATTCATTAGTATGGCCATACTACATACGGAAGGTAAGCAAGAAGTTTAAGTAGCACTAATGTATGGGGCCAAACCCGTCCGTACGGGCGCCCTTGCTACATACAGTAGGAATGAGCGTCCTATCTCGGGATTTCTGCAGGATGAATGGGGCCAAAACAGTTGCATCACGAAATATGGACCCTGCGCCCCCCCCCCTCTTTCTCTTGTTTGATAAGAACAGGGTAGCAAAGAGATTCTCATCCAGGACAAGCACCAATCTTCATCGCATACTTTCAAAATGTCGGCCTCACTACCACCAGATGTTGACCGAAGCGCTGCCCTGCTATCTAGTTTCTGGATACCCTTTCCTTTCACATTTCTCTTTATCTGTACGCGGCTCTACAGTCGAATCCTGCGGAAAGACTTGGGTCTAGATGACTTTTTGATTGTCGTTGCGTGGGTAAGTTGACCCCCCATCCCACCAAGGACAGCTTGATCTAATCTGTCCGGCAGGTCTTGTACTTGATAGGATTATGTCTAAGTACAGTGATGGTGAGACATGGCGGTATTCGACACATCCAATACTTGACTATGGATCAGTTGGAGTTTGTCTTGAAGCTGGAGATCGTGGACCAGCCCTTCGGAGTCCTCTCTGCCATGTTTGGCAAGATTAGTGTCGCACTCTTTATCTGTCGAGTTATGGGAGCGACCGCCAAGTACCGCAAATACATTGTTTATGTGAATATTGCCATATATGTGGCTCTCAGCTTTGTTAACATTGGCGTTTTGTTTGGGCAATGCAAGCCAACTGCAGCCTTATGGACTCCGGCCCTTGCAACCGCGCCAAGCACAAAGTGCCTTGATGCCTCAATCAACACTGACCTTTCCATTCTCCAAGCCGGTCAGTTCCCACTTGATTAAGTATTCGCTCGTGAGCCATGCTAATCAGTTCTATAGCATTTGGAGCATGGATCGACTTCTTCCTAGCCCTTCTTCCATTGACATTCATTCTGAAACTGAAGGTATCTGTGAAGAGACGCATGATTCTCTGCGCGCTCTTAGGCCTCGGTCTTGTGTAAGTTGTTCCAACCTTGGGCTGTGCTACTGGGACAAGATTGCAGTTTTCTAACATATTCGTTTTGATTAGTGCTTGTGTTTGCGCCTGCATCAAGGCTGCCCAATTCAGCAAGTCAACCAATAACCCTGACGCAACATGGGCTACCTACTCAGTATACCTATGGGCTTCATTAGAGCTGCCGTTCGTGATCATTGCGGCATCTATCCCGCCATCGAAGCCTGTCTGGGATGCGATCTTCAATGGTAAACCCATCCGCCTCGACTCAAATACCTTCAAGAATTCCAAGTCCTCTGGCCATTCTGGTCTGATTTATCGGTTCGGACGGTCACAAAACTCGCAACTCAAGTCTAGTACTGCGAGCATGGAAGAAAGTGTTGGTGGAGGAGAAGCGGATGTACAGGAGAAGCGGAACCACTCGGTTGTATGAGCTGCCGATTTACGATATGCTTCGTGATTTTAACACTATCATATGAATACACGGAGGAGATAGTGTCCGGATAATACTTTGATCAATACATATACCCTTCCTCAAAGGAAATAAGGCTGTGTGATTTTTTCCCGAATGTATGCGTCTTACCCCAGTCTTTGCCGGCGGCCGGCGATAGTGCTCTGTCCTCTCTCTTTCCACATTCCAGCAGTACATTCAGACAATCATCTCGGTCGCTTATCTCTGAATATCAATAGCACAGAAAGCAAGTGTCAAAAAGTTGTCCATGGCACGACAAGCAATGATTGTAAACAAGTCGGGGTGATAAAAATTGAGATCCTGCTGCGAGTTCTATCTCTCAATTTCCTGTCTCCGCGCTTCTTATTATTGGTGTAAATATCTTTAGAAATCCGAATTGACCAGATTTTGATTACTCCAGATGTCTATTTACCTCGGTTAGGGGGACAAATTCCTTAAATACCAAAGATAAAAACAACTTAATTTCTATTTGCAAACATTGAAACTTTAAAATCTAGACCGGAACAGCCTCATACAAAGCATTCGAGCCGACACCTTGGGACTCTGAGCGCCAGACCTTGACCACCTTAAACTTGGCCTGCTCCAACAAGCCAATCCACTCTTTCTCCGTGCGCTCCAGAGACCCATACATTTCCATCATCAGAATATCCAGTGCAATGGAGAACTCAGGCGCGTCCTTCTCGGGTAGAGTATTTTCGTTAATCAGCAATATCGAATCATCCGCCATGGCCTCTCGAATACGTTCTAGCACCTTCAAAGCCTGCTTGTCAGGCCAATCATGAAGCACAGTGCGCAAATAGTATGACTTGGCTCCCTTAACGGGCTGCTCTGTGAACATGTCGTAGCCGATAGCCTCAACGTTCTCCCCGAGTGGGGTTTTGATATCTTTGATAACATCAGGCAAATCTTCCACGATGAGCCGCCCGGGAAGGGTGGGGAATCGCTCCCTCAAACGTGCAATATCGTGCCCAAGGCCACCCCCGACGTCGATCAGTCGCACGCGATCATTTGAGTCTACGTGCAGCTTCTCTTCCACTGGGTAGAAATCGAACCACTGAGCTCCCTCAATTTGACGGTTCAGGCCCATAACCACGTTGAAAGCATGCAGGTCCTCGGGGTGGCTCTTCAACCAGTCAAAGTGATGCTCCTTTGTTTTGTAAGCGAATTGGAAGGCGGTATTGTAAGCGTCATCTGGGTTCTTGTACCCGGTAGACTCGAAGAATTCGTTCAAGTTCACCGAGGCCTTCATATTAGCGTAGCTATTGAGCGTCGTTAGTCAATCTCTTGAGTAAACACATATGAGGGAACATACAAATGCTTAATTGCTTCCGGCAAGGGCGAGCCAGAAGCGAAACCCATAGCAAGTGGCATGGGCTGGTATGCCCCATCGGCAGTCTCTGTGAGAAGATTGTTTGCGGCGAGAAGACGCAGAATTCGTACTATAAATCGAGTCAGTATATGATTTAAAACAAGACATTGACATTCAAAAGGTCACCAATGGACCTTTGTCAAGCGCTGTCAAGATCTTTGGCAGCTAATAGACTTACCTAAGAGTTTCTCATCGCCCTTAGTCTTCTCCGATAGTTGGCTTAAAGTCTGTGGTGATCCACCGCCCGCGGCCAAGGCGTCAAAGATACCCATGCTGATGGCCACCCGAATACCAACAATGCCGTAGTGCTGCGAATTACCCCACATTAATCACTTATCTCCCGAGTTCGATAATGTCTTCATCTTACCGCGAAACAAAAATTGCGCACGGTCAAAACTGGAGGCTCCATAGCAACACGGACTTTATCCATCGCCCCCAAAAGCTTGAATCGCTCTTCTTCTGGGATAGACTCAGCCGGAGGTAATTGGGCCAGCGCCGCATTCACGGCCGCGATAGCGTCAGAAGCGGACGTCATGATGATTTAAAGATAGAGGTTTGAAAGTTGTTGATGGAACAATAAGCCAGCGGGGGCTGTATCTCTTATATTCAGTGAGGGGAAATGGGTCAATAGATCTTCCGGGAATACCCCTGGTCTGTTGATGATCAAAGAAACGGATAGCTTACATGGCTGATCCTACAATGACAGCTCTGGACGGGATGGTAATTACGTTTCTGTAATGATGTCAGTGTGGATATGTAAAACAAAGAGTGTATTACAGGGGTAAAACCAGATGTTGGCCCCCAAACTTCACATGCCGTGTGAAGACACTGGAGTGGGGAACCAGCCGCAGTTCAAAAAGTATGCACAGATACTACAGTACATGGTTAGCTCCTGCTTACCTTGCTTACTCGATCTGCAAGTTTAAATGCCTAATTCCTTTCCTGAGACTCGCTTACATGTTTTGCTCCCATTTTGCCTGCTTTGCCTTTGTTTAGATGAAACATTTATCTATTACTACCATGAGATAGGTGGTCACTCGTAAGGGTGGAGTACGGAGTTGAAGCTAAACTCCAAGGGCATTACATTCTATCTACATTTTGTCTTGGGTGTATCAATCAATAACTGCATGATAATATTTCATTGTGTCTGTGGGACTACTACCATAAGACTTTGCCCCATCTGTGGATCATAACAGAAAGTCTCCACAATACACAGGCCCGCAGACCGAAAGAGGTCAGCCCATTGCCCCTCAGTACGTTCTATAGCAGCCAAGCTCGCCATCATGGCAATGTCTAACTCAACCCCATGACGCGACGCACCGACCGATGGAACGATCATTTCATCAATCAGCAAAACCGAGTTGGTTCCCAAAGCAGGTAACTGCTGCTCAAGAAGCACCCGGCAACGTTCATCGGGGTAATCATGCAGCACGTTACGAAGATAGTAGAAAGCCGCATTGAGACAAGGTTGAGGGGTCCAAAAGTCGTAAGCTTGGACTTCGACACCCGTTCCTGGAATAGCACGCTCCACCACTGGCTGGAGATCTTGCAGTCTTACGCGGCAACTCAATTCCGGCAATCGCTGCACTAGGGCCTTGCATTGGTGGCCCACGCCGCCCCCAACATCAATAAACACTGGCTGAGACAATTCCATTGTTTTTGCCGCCTGCGAGATTCGCTCAATCGGGAAGACATCGAGCCAGGTTGGTTGGTCGTGGCGTTGCAATGCCATCCACTTACTGAAATCAGCGAACAACTCTGGTCGGGTCATCGCGAATTCAAATGCAGCCAATGGAGTGGCGTGTGCCTGCTGAAATGCTGTATGCCGGGGATCGATCGGGTTCTGATAATTCGTGTCCTGCAAGAACTGTGGCATGGCGACCCAAGCAGGCAACTGGGCCTCGAAACTAAATCGTATCGTGTTAATCACCGTATCAACAAGATATGTTGGACGCTGGGGCCAACTCAACTGGTGCTTGATTGCCGCTTGGAATCCCGGAGTGGCGAGAGATTTTGTCTTGGTAGATGCCTTGAAGCTATCGGGGTTTGACTCCGCTATCATGTCAAATGATGCCATATAACGGAGGATACGACCTATCACGGTGTCAGTGGGCTTTGACGAGACTTCAGGAAGGGGAACTTACGAAGGAGAAGACCTTCTGCTTTTGTCGCTTGGGCAAGTTTAGCCACATCAGCAGGGCCATCTTGATTGACAATTATCTCGAAGAGGTTCAAGTCCACAGCTATTTTGGCTACACTGAGTTGGAGTGGCTATTGTCATTATCAGTAAAATGCAGCTTCCATAGTATTAAAATGAAGGCAGAACTGACAGCGAATGAAAGGCGCCGCACAGTGTCCAGAGGGCTTTCAATTGCTGCTGTGGCTCGAATTAGAGCATTGTAGAGCTCATTACGAAGAGCTGTGTCAGAGGGAGCCCGATCATGTAGATCTTTGAGTTGAGCAATCAGTCTGTGTGTATCTTCTGTCGACATGGCGAATGAGATGATCGCGTCTGAACGGAAGGTTGACTAGCTTGCTAGGTTTCTTTTATTAGGAATCAGGAGATGGAACACATGTATGCAGTATCCTGAGTTGTAGGGTTATCTCTATGGCTACTAATTATAGTTGGCTGATGGAGCCCTGGGCATCGGGAGCAATGCACAGGCCAGGTGCATATTTGTTTTCAATGACTAGATCCATCAACTCTTCAAATATCCAAATATCCAAATGAGCCTGTCGCTGTGATGTTGATCAAATACAGTGCTAAGACTCGGCCCCCAACTCAAGGGGTGCCGAGAGGCGGGTGGAAATATACTACCTCATAATGATCCCGCAGCGCCACTAGTGCTTACTCTTACTGTACAAGTAACCTGAAGAATGGCTGCGCTCGCAGTGGCTTGACGGCAGTTTCCCAATCTGGTTGGGCTCCGAAGCCCCCAAGGTCCAGGGGCCCACATGGCTGTCCCTGCGTAGTTCATGCGGGAGTAGTTTCCACAATCCTTGCACGTGTCAGTTCTCCCCGATAGCACATGCGGTATATCATTTGTTAGTCTATAATTGGCATTTCTGCAGCAAATCGCTCGTCGTCATTTACTCGACCCACCGAGTCACCCTTGCAGAAGCTAATTTAGTTGATTGGCCATTTTGCCAAGCACGTTATGTATTGTATTGTATTGTATATCAATGCTTTTGTATTACGATGTAAATACGGTAAAGGTTAGGCCATCCGCATTACTAGATTTTGGCCCCATTCTATGCCACGGGAAGGATCATGATGTGGACATTGCTATACCGCACAGTCCCGCCGAGGCGCGAGGGATTTGCCCCACTGATTCTATTATCTTTTACTATGACCTTCCTTCCGGATGTGCCCAGCCTTAGCATCACTGTATGAGATGCCATACCTTCTTTGATCCACATCACGATTACCAAGGACAGTGATCATGTTTTACATTCTATTAGCAGCAGTTATATTGCTTTTCCAGTATATTGGATGGCAACTTTTCTTTGGCCCACTGGCAGACATTAAAGGACCTTGGCTTGCCAAGTTGACTCGCATTCCAGAGTTACTCGCCGTTAACAGGGGGAATTTCGAGCAATGGAATATTGAACTCCATCGCAAATATGGTACGAGCACACTGTTCTCAGGATAGAACAAGGCTAACTCAAGGCGCAGGCCCAGTTGTTTGTTATGCCCCTGGCAAATTCAGTATTAACACAGTCACTGCTGCTAGGGAGCTATATGGATCACGATACAAGTTCCCTAAATCGACATTCTATTATGCCTTTGGAAACCCTGACAACGTTCAATCTGATCTGTTCACCGAAATAAACCCAAAGCGTCATGCTGTTAAGCGACGCAAGATAGCATCCTTGTTCTCCACACATGAGGTGCACCAATATGAGCCTGTGATGGACCGAGAGACTTTGAAACTCTGTACAAGACTAGAAGAGTTTTCACAACCCGGAAAGCATTTCAATATGCCAGACTGGATGCAGTTCTATGCTTTCGATGTCATTGGAGAGCTCACGGTGGGTAAACATCTCGCTGTTACCATTGAATGAACACTGACGGAGATCAGCTTGGGGAATCCTTTAACTATCTTGGCTATGGATACGATCACAATCGTATTCTCGAAGCCATCCGCTTAACTTTCAGCTATGGAGCACATGTTGGTGTGTTCCCTGAACTGCATCCAATAGTGGGCGGCTTGACACAAGCCCTCCGGCTGAAGATTCCCTTCGATATTGTCGCGAAACACATTCTCCACTATATGAATAACAAAAGGAAATGTGATGAGAGCAGTTTTCTGGCCAAGTTGTTCAATCTCCAGGAGAAGCGAAACCTAAGCCATATGGAGATTTTCAATACAGTAGGAAGCAATATCGCAGCGGGCTCCGATACCATTTCTATTGCTCTGAGCACCGCTTTCTACATGCTTATGAAAAACCCTGTCGCCTTGGCAAAATTACGAACGGAGATCGATGCCGCTGCAGTTGACCAGCCACGAGATGAGCCGTTCTCCTTTGCTCAGGCACGAAAATTACCCTATCTCCAAGCCTGTATTAAAGAAGCACTCCGCATCCACCCCGTCACAGCATCACCCTTTGTTCGAGTCGTACCTTCAGGAGGCGCAATCTTCGATGGTGTATATTTTCCAGCCGGGGTAATCAAACCTTTTCTTCTCCCTACATATGAAATAGTGGACATAGCTGACGGATATCCCAGTCTATCCTAGGAGTCAATCCCTGGACAGTGCATTACAATAATGATGTATACGGGCCAGACGCTGCGTCATTTCAGCCTGAAAGATGGCTACAAGATCCTTCTATTGTGATTGAATTGGAAAAAGGCATGCTTACTGTGAGTATAATGTGTCCTTGGTATGATGGAGTCATGCTTACAAATATTTAGTTTGGATTGGGCTCGCATTCATGCTTAGGCAAGCCACTTGCCATGATGCAGATGTCTAAAGTACTTTCTCACCTGGTCCGCTCGTTTGACTTCGAATTGGTTGATAAGGAACAACCATGGTCTACCTCATCGATGTGGCTCGTTAAGCAGGAGTACCATTGTTCAGTCAAGATAAGAGAAACCCAAAGCTAATTTAATGATCAATCCAAGTTTATGTCTACCACTCCTAGTAACCTGTCAAGAGCCTCAAAGCTCACCTAGTAAAAAGGGGAGGCACCCCATCATTCATTTGCTCTTTCTCACTATTTCCTGATCATCTCATTGGCTTTTTCGATTGCATATTAGAGCTAATCAGTTCTGCCTCTCTCTATCTTCTGCCTTTCTTTCACTACTTCCTGTTCCATCATTTTAATTCTATCTTGATTCACCGTGCCAGACAGCGGCTTAAGTGACTTTCTTAATCTTTAATTCCTCCGAATTCCTTGTATCCATCTTTCATTGGCGGATAGGGTCGTAATAAAGAGGTGTCAAAAGATTTTCGTCCAGTGTGGAGTCGGATTCAGAGAGCCTAAAGCAAAGATGATAACAGGTCAATGTCTGAATCTATAGCTACTTGTTGAGCAAAAAGATACAATGACAGGGATCAATTTTGATAGAGACTGATGACAAATTCAATCGGCAAACTTAGACGATCTTATCCAGAGAAGGATTGAAATAAGTCCATCTGTAATCATCCATGGAGTTCTACACAGGATTACTAATACGTACATGGTTTCGGTGCTTCGGCCCCTGCCCCACTATTACCCCCGCCAGACAAGTTGATTATTGACACGCTTTGAACTAGCCAGGGGTATTTAAACAACCTTGCTCGTGGCGTCAATGTTGCCATATCACTAAATCATTGCTCATCTTCAACCTCTCCCAGCTTCACAACAAATCTTACCAACTGTCCATCAAATTCAATTGCAACCACTCATATCCTCCCACTTCCAAAATGTCTTACACACTCTATGACAACTCAATTGTCCCCGCCAAACAGGTCCTTACCGCCCTCGCCAGCATCGTCCGCAAAGGCGAGGAGCACGCCAATGGCAAGGATCTCCTCACATCCACCCTCCACGAAGACATGAAGCCATTCAGCTTCCAGATCCTGACCGTCGTCTCGCTGGCCGAGAAGCTTGTCGCCAGATTGAGCGGTGCCCCGGTCCCAGAGACCGCCACCGAGCTCTCATCCTTCGCTGAGGCCAACACACTCCTTGAGAGGGCTCTCAAGGCTCTCGATGGCGCCGACAAGGCCACCATCGACGCCAACGCCAAGAACATGACCGAGGTTGGTATGGGGCCTGGAGTCAATGTTCCCATGCCGGTGGATGCTTATGCCAGTGCTTTTGCGCTGCCTAATCTTTACTTCCATGTTGTTACTGCTTACAGCATTCTGCGGAAGGAAGGTGTGCCTCTTGGAAAGCGGGATTATTTGGCTCCTTTCATGGGTCCTTACATTCCTCAGCAGCAGTAGGGAATAGATGGGATGATGGTGGTATCTATTTGATGGGGACAAAAAAGGATTACTAGGAGACGAATTTAAAAATCTAATGACAATTGCTCCTCTGCTACTTTTCGAATATTGCCCCGTATATGTACCGAATAGTAGCCCGACTGATCCAGTTTAAGAACATGGGCCAATGTATTTGGTCTTTCCCTGAAATTTAAGTGCTGTCACTTGTAAACATATCCTGATGGGAATGATCCTTATAGTGGTTATGTTGCGTTCATAAAACAGACTCGAAGAAACGAAAGCGAGGTTTGTCCCTAAAGATATTCGGTACCCACCAACTAAGCCTCATTTGGCACTAGTACTAAACCTAATGTAGCTCTTCCACTATACTGCGTACTTACTACTACTTTCCCACGTCCAGCTCTTCGTGCAATCCTCTATTCACACTTAAACTTCACTCCCTTTACAAGAAAGCTCCTACTACTTCTACCTTCCCACGTCCAACTCTTCGTGCAATCCTCTATTCACACTCAAACTTCACTCCCTTTACAAGAAAGCTCCTACTACTTCTACCTTCCCACGTCCAACTCTTCGTGCAATCCTCTATTCACACCCAAACTTCACTCCCTTTACAAGAAAGCTCCTACTACTTCTACCTTCCCTCGCCCAACTCTTCGTGCAATTTTCTAAACACACTCAAACGCCACTCCTTTTACAGGATAACTCCATCAATCCACCATGGAAGCCATCAGCGCAGACGACATCAAAAACGCAATAGCTCGCGCTGTGGACAATCGCAGCCGAGTTTACAACTTCTCTTTCGCGCTGAGTATTCGATGGGAGCGAGACAACACGAATGCCGCTGCAGACACCGATAATTTCCAGGCGATCCTGAGCACACTTAATCTCGACCAAGCTCAAGTTGAGATCTTGGCCGAACAGGATCGAACTCCGGGCTGGACATTGAATGACGCAATTCGGTCCACTTTCCAACGCGCAGCAGATGCACCCGGCAAATCCATCGTGCTTATTCACTATGCCGGGCACGGAGAGGTTAGAGGGGAAGAGCTCTGGGCTGTCGAAGGCAAATCTCGCCGAAGCATAAGCCTCCAAGACTACATCGATACTGTGGTGAAAGGACATGTCCAGTACTTCGACATCGCAGATACAGACGCTCTCTTCGTCCTAGATTGCTGTTACTCGCATGTGGCAACGCGAACGTCAAATCCCGCGCCTCGCGTTGTCGAAGTCCTTTCTGCGAGCGATGAGCAAACTCCAGTGGCCCTTTACCCACCACGCAATACCTTGACCGGAAAGTTACGGGGCGAGATTGCTCGGCGTAAGCGAGACGGTCACCACTTTGTGACACTTTCGGACGTGATGGCGACTATTCGAAAGAATAGCCCGGTTGTTAAGCCAACACATCATGTCAAGTTAGGGGTATCTATCTGCTTCCCTTTCACGGGCGTCACACGCATTGACCCAAACACGATTGCCCCTACGCTACGTGCAGTCTTTTCGGTTCGCATTGCCGAAAATATGACCCAGGAAAAGCTGGACAGATTTCTCACTTGGATTGAGACCCTCCCGCCTGGGTTCGCTATTGAACTCGACGGCATCTACGCTACATCCTCGACCCTCCTGATATTCCAGAGCGCATATGCGCTGTTCACGAATCTTGCTAGGTACCACGGTGTCAACTTTATTTCGGATGTGACAAGCGCGAACCGCCGCAAACATCTCGGCCAAGAGCAGCGACAGAAAGCTTCTCCATCTACTTTGAAGGAGAATATCCCATTCTCTAAACGCCCCAAGCCATGAATTTACCCAGGAAGTCCTTGCTGTTATGGGATTTTTCGGATGCACTGGGGTTTTGATTCGTCATTAGTTAGCTGTATGAAAGGTGGTGAGAGACATGTAACAGCAGCACGGGAATAGGGCCGATGCTCTTAGCATGTATCAGCAGTACGGGAATAAGTCCGTCTGCCTTTAGCTTACTCTATCCCCAATCAAAATTCTACTTCGTACGTTTCTTTTGCTACTAGTCTTTTACCATCTTGTTTTCGCTGGCTGTGTGTATTGAATCTTTTCCGTGCTTCGGAAAGGCAGCGAGGAGCTTTTTGTGTGTCCAAGGTTGTTGATTCTTGTTGCTTCAGTAGTTCATTGGTTTTCAATTTTCTCTAAGTTACGGGTGGAAAGGCGGCCATTTCTGGCGTCGAAAGCGGTCATTTCCGGCCTTAATATCACAGGTCCTCATATTCTACGTATAATATTTTCTATACATGGGAGCAATTAGACAGTAGATAATAAGAGATCTCGATGGTCATTTAGTAGATCAAAACATATATTCGCTAGGAGCCTATTTAATGGTACATACATTGATAGACAAATGCCGGACCCACACTCTCGATTAAGGTCTAAGTATGGTGATCACTTGCTATGATAACGCCAAAACCGAGATGCTAGTGTTACTCACAAAGTCTTGATATACTTCAATTACATGGAGATGACCCCAAATAGATCCTTCATTCAGCTATATCAAAGCTACCAAGTCCTGGAAAGAAATGAAAACACCGTAAAAGTATCAATTTCAAGAAACAACTCGGCTTGACCAGTCAAACCAGCCGGAAAAGAAAAAGGACCTATCGCCTCTATTAGGGCGATAAACAACAAAACTTTGAAAGCTCCCTGATCGATATCTCGATCAACATCGCGACAGGCATATCCCCAACGAGAAACAAAAAGACATTCATGTATAATTTTTTTCTTTGGTTTCACCACGGCTGGACCTTATCTGATCTTGCCACCCTTTGTGTACGAGACTCCATAGGAAAAGGGAAGGGAAGAAGAAGGGAAGGGAAGAAACACTGTATTAGAAGCATAATCGGAGGTTTCGTACACAAACCCGTGGCAAAGAGCAAAGATTAAAAGACAGCTCTTGAAGAGCATCCCGACAAGAATCAGAAAAGAAATTAGAATCAACCATGAGCTTTTGTGTTGAAAACGACACGAAAAAAAAGCCAAGCCACCGGTGACGAAAGAGTCGGGAAGGGTATCAAAAAGACCAGGGAAGATTGGATAAGCCAGCAGCCAAGCTATAGCCGGACTCCAATCCGAGAGATCGGCGGAGACAGCTAGTAAGGCCGTAAAGATTGAGTGGTGGGAGGGGGAGTTTTTCGTTTCTTTAAGCACTGTTTGGTGATTTGACCTGTGTCGGGGATTGCTCGGGTGATTGCTCTACCACGTCCGAGAGTCGAATTCGCTTGGCGTGGGGCTCTAAGAACTCGCTGTCACCACTCAGCTGGCGTTCTAGATCATTGATATGTCGCTTGAGTTCTTCCTCGCGGTGCTGCGACTCTTCGAGGGACCGGCGCAGACGCGACTCGGAATCGCGCGCAATCATCTCCGACCGACGCGCGCTAGCGTCACTCTGCTCGAGCTCTGCGACGCGACCACGGAACAGCTCATTGATCAGGTCAAGCTCACTGACACGGGTCTTCAACGACGTGTTGAGGGCCAGCAGGCTTTCGTATGTCTGGGGCGAGTCAAGCTGACGATCCACAGCAGACGGGGAGGGTTGACGCAGTGGGAAGGAAGGAAGACCAGAGTTCAAAGAACCGTCGCCGCGAGTGACGCTATCAAACATGTGCTGGGGCGCGATGTTCGAGTTATGCATGGAGGCAAACCCGGGCGTCTCTGTTCGCGACAAGGGGGAATTTGAGCGATCCGAGTGACCCGGGGACATCTTACGCGACGCGCGACGGTAGCCATGCGAACCCATAGGCGGGGTCCCCACATCGGATTGTGTCGCAAGACCGTTGGCATCGATAGGGCCGCCAGACTAGTAGATCGCAATGGGTGTCAGCAATTCGAGAAATTTCTTATCTAGGTCCGAAGACGACAGGGTGCAGAGATTTTTTGATGCGCTGGTCGCGTACTCACCTTACGTTTGGGGCCCTGACCGGTCTTCACACGGTTGCGACTTTTAATCACATCGGTTTTCAGGCTTATCGGACGAGGCCGCCCGTGCAGCTTGAGGAACAGACCGCAGGCATTGCAGAGGACGGAGCCAGACTCGTCCCTGCGCCACAAGGGTGTGGTGGAGGTGCCGCAGTTTTGGCAGACGGGCTGTAATTGAGGTCGTTTGTCATCAGTCAATGTGCTCGCCATGGTGGAAATGGGAGATCAAGAGGAGGAAGAACGTGAGATGGGGGAGTTGTGATAGATGATAAGATTGGGGAGAGATTTGACGGGCTCGATAAGGGAGAGGCGCACGGATCGGGTGGTGCCAAGGCCCCAGTCGACTCGCTGATAATACTTCCGTGCAAAGATAAGGCGATAAGCCCACTCATGAAAATCATGATAGATAGGGACATGCGACAAGGGTAATGAGGGGGCCAACTTACAGGGTTACTACCTTGTCCACCAGTAGTGGCCGCTGGAGATGAGGTCGCGTATGTCATGTTGGCCATGTTCAAATTCGAATTCCTAGACTCGCTGGGAGGGAAACTGGTCAGCCAATCGATTCGCGCCCATTTCTGATGCGCCCATTGGATCCTTCCCTGAAGAGGAAAGGAGGGGTATACAGCTGGCGAGGGGAAATGTGTTCATCCTTAATATGGCTAGAAATGGATGTAATGATTCCCGCCTAGTTATAGTTTTCCTCCTTCACAAACGTACCGTAGATTGGAGGTGGGAGCAGACGCGACCGAGGCAAGTGCTGCCAATCCTGGAAGGGAGGCGCTCACAGAAACTGAGCCTGGGAAACTCTCTCTGTATTCCGAACTGTTGTACTTGCCAATGCCGCTCAGGTCTGGCAGCACTGGGGAAAACGATTTGGGGAGATCGGTATCCGTAGACTGTGACGCAGGAGTATCGGCGGACGGAGACTCGAAACGCGAGAGCTCCGAGGATTGATGCGGAGGCGAGCCAGGTTTGAGAGCCGGGTCAATGGGCGCCGCCCGATAGAGGATGGAAGCCACAATGGAGGAAGAGGTTGATGCTCGAGGGAAATCCGGCCGGGACCGAATTGTACGAGGGAGGGAACCGGGCGTTCGGAAAATAAGGCGCGAGAGGATATGGGACTCTGTAAAGCGATTTTCGGTGAAAAGTCGAGGAATGTAGATCAATAGAACTCCAAGATGTTTGGGCTCATGGAAGACAATGCAATGAGAAGGCCGTTGACCGTTCGACCGTTAAGTCAACGATACTTGCAGAGGTAGTGATGAGGTTTCCTCGTGGGAGACCAAACCATCAGCAAATACCAGTGAATGACTGGGTTCAGGTCGTCCTGGCAATTGAGACCGACAAGCAAATGGTTCAATCACAGCGATCAACGAGGTGTTTGGGGGAGGATGATGCGAAGATTCAGAAATGGATCTTATCCTTCCCGATTGTTATTATCGCGCCCCGTATCGAAATTATCACTTATCGCGCTGGACGCATGGGGCTGGGCACTGTATGGTGGTAATTACCATGAAATCAGAGCCATTTGAAACCTTGGGCTTTTGCTTTAATTCCACGATCTATTGGAATGTGTTCTCTAGTATGAAGTTCGATATCCTTAGTACCCTGCCTCCGCCATCTATGCTCATTCCAATGAGGCATGTCAACCTCCAGAAACTGGGTGATCAAGTACTTGACCAAAATCCGTGGATGTTTCCTTGAACCAATTAGTAATATGATGACTAGATGTTTGTACTCTTATATCTATTATCTATGTCATTTTATACAGAGTACTGTGTAGATCTGTGCTATAGATAGTACGACTGGATAGCCCCAATATGATCCTGGACGCGCCAATGCCTAACTCTTTCTGTAAACAGCTGGCCAATTGGCCATGTGGGTCAGTCCACGACCTCATTTCCCGGCTTCTCGTAAATCTATTGTGATAGTCCATGAAACCTTGGAGCAGAACCACAAACGCAACCCCCTTTTATGCGGGTGGGTTTTTAGGGGGTGGAGACTGCGGCACTCTGTGGCGGTGCCGGTATGGGTATTACTGCGTGTCAGGAACATTAACGTGAACTTATAGTGTATCATTGGCCGGATGCGGTAAATTACCCGTTCCTAGACCCGCCTCAGGTCAAGCCCCTGCTTTAAGCCATGTCTGGCCATAATAATAATCAACCATGACGGGATGCGTTATTCCTCTGCCTTCAAGTCCTCTACCCGATCACCTCTAATGGAGTGATCCTTTCATTGCCTTTCGTTTTTTTTCCAGCCCGTCGTTTTTTCTTCTACTTAGATTGTCTTCATCCTTCCTTTCTTCCAGATCTGTCCTTCACAATGCCAAAAAACCGCCCTGCCACGTCAGGCTACGCCCGCCTCGCCCAAGCAGAGGAAGAGCGCGGTTACATCCACGATGACTCGGAAGATGAAGAAATGGCTGCGGCCTCGTCGACAGTGTCCACCTCCAACCCCCGTTATGCTCCTATTTCCTCCCGAGCCCAGATGCAGGCGTCCGGTCTCGCCACGCCCCCAAGCCATCGACGCAGACACAGTGGATATTCCCGCCGCAGCCGCCGAAACTCTGGAGTAGACATCAAGGCTATCAATGCGCGCCTGGAGCGATGGGCAGATGAAATTGCCGCCAAGTTCAAAATCAACCGAGTCAAGGGCAAGACCTACGAGGAAGAGAAGCTCGAAATCTACCACTCCGTCTTCCAAGCCCCCGACGGCGTAAAACCGGTCTCAGCAGAGGACCTTGAATCCGATGAATATGAGGTCCAGCAACGAATGGCGCGGGCAGAATATGAGGAGATCATCGAGAGTGTTCGTCTGGCAATTGAGCTTGGTGTGCATCCAAGGATGATCGCGCAGGGAAGTTCGGGCAGTTACTTTGCTCGAAACCCTGAAGGTAAAGTGGTCGGCGTATTCAAACCCAAGGACGAAGAACCCTACGCTTCGCGGAACCCCAAATGGACCAAGTGGATTCACCGGAATTTGTTTCCCTGCTTCTTCGGCCGGGCGTGTCTTATTCCCAATCTTTCTTACGTCTCTGAAGCCGCCGCATATGTCCTCGATGCCCGCTTACGCACAAACCTCGTCCCCTTTACCGAAATCGCGTACTTGTCCTCGAAATCATTCTTCTATGATTTCTGGGATCGGCGCAAGGCCTGGAAAGGAAAGAAGATCCTGCCTCCCAAGGCTGGTAGCTTCCAAGTCTTCCTCAAAGGATACAAAGATGCCAACATTTTCCTTCGTGAACATCCTTGGCCCGATCAGATCAACTCGGGCTTCCGGGCGGAGGATGCCCCGAAGCGCAAGAAGCGGCCGTGGAACGAGGCCTGTCGCCCATCTGGTGTGCATTCCGACGACGAGGATGACGATGAGCCTGCACAGATACCTACGCCAAACCCACGCGACGAAAGTGCCGAGCGTCGTTTCAATTGGACCGAAAACCTCAAACAGTCATTCCGTGAAGAGCTGGAGAAGTTGGTAATTCTAGACTACATAATGCGGAACACGGATCGTGGACTGGATAATTGGATGATCAAGATTGATTGGGGCACTGAGCAAGTATCCATTGTGGCGGACCCTCCGAAATCCACTGAGCCACAACCCAAGCACGACGAAGACGACCTCATGCCCCCTCCGCGTCCAGTCTCTGTCAACTCGAACGGTTCCAATCCCTATCGGCGGCGCGAGCAAATGATGGCAGTCAGCCGCACAGGAACACCTTTGGCTTCATCAGAACAGCAGGCGTCAGTTCAGGTTGGTGCCATTGACAACAGTCTATCATGGCCATGGAAACACCCCGATGCAGTATGTCTCTTCCACAGCATATCATTTTGCCAATACTAACATGCAGATCAGTGGCGGAGTTTCCCCTTCGGATGGCTTTTCCTACCCGTTTCCCTGATCGGACAACCTTTCTCGCAAAAAACCCGTGATCACTTTCTTCCTTTGCTTACGTCGACTGCATGGTGGAGTGGGACGCAGATGGCATTGCGCCGAGTATTCTCCCAGGACGACGATTTCAAAGAAAGCATGTTCGCTCGGCAGATTGCTGTCATGAAGGGTCAGGCCTGGAACGTGGTCGAGACCTTGAAACATTCGGACCATGGTCCTCTCGAATTGACCCGAAGGACCCGGGTTTGCGTGTGGGATGATCTCGTAGATGTGCCAGTTGCCATCCCAATGCGAGCACCCTCCACGGACATGCAACGACGCCAAGCCATGAATTACGACAACGAAGAAGAAGAGATGGACATTGGTGCAGCCAACTCTTCTCAGGCGACCCCTGATCACGACCTCCTAGGACTGGGACCATCTCCGAACGAACTTCCTAACCCCAACCGGTTCGAGCTCTCCCATGGCCGGTCTGGCGGAAGAGCTACTGACTCCATCGGTAGTCCCGCTACTTTGAACGACGACTACTCACGCACAACCATTGATGGCGCCTATGCTAGGTCCTTGGACGGATGGCCCGACCTCCCTGCTCGATCGAACAAACAACGGAAGCATGGTGGCTCTCTATCATTCCGTGTACCCCACATCAATACCTTCGGCAGCGACGACCTCGAGGGAGACCTCGGATACGCAGCCGCTGAGGGCATGGAAGGTAATCAGCGCAAAGTCATTGTGGAACGTTTAGAGGCTGTCAAGAGCAAGAACCCCGTTTTCACCTGGTGCTAAAGCATACAAGCTCGAATTCGAGCCTATGGTTGGCTTTCTGGCTTCTTTCCCCCATTTTCATGCCGTCGCGTTTCCATCTCAATTATTTAATCCGCCATTGTTTCCTTTAGCGTTCTTCTTGGAGCTACGAGTAGAGCACCTTGGTGCATCCTCGTGTCTTCTTTTCTGTTTCTGTTCTGCACGCTGTGCTGATGCCAGTGTTGTTTTATTCTCGCACGCCACGCTCATGATTGGGGATTTTGTGTTGTATATAGACCGTCTCTAGCTGTTTCGGGTTGGGGTTGCGGCGCATTGATTAGGCGCTTCATGTAGCATATATGACGAGACTTAATTCCATGATACCATCGTCCGGAGTTCCTTTATTCTCAAATTAGATAAGAAGATAAAAAGTTGTGGTTTAGGTGCAGCGCGTATCAGACAATAATGCGCGTTTTAGATCAGTACCTCCGCTGTGGGGAGATGCATAGATAAGATGTATCAGCCAAGGCGGTAGACTTGGAACCAATACACTTTGATCCTATCGTACTTCCAAAACTCAACTCTTTAACATCTCTCTGGATTTAAACCAGTGAAGTCTACCTTCCAAAAGCTCTCTACTTCCATTGCTGAGCGGACCTGAGGACAAAGATAACCGCTCTTATCGGCGGGATCTTCCGAGGAACTGTGAGGTCATGATCTGAACGTCCTCAAGCCATCCTTACTCGAGCTTTCAGGTAGCGGCGCGGACGCTGACAGGAACGCGCTCATGTTTCTTTCTTTCTTTTCTTCCTTGATTTCCTGCGTCCTGTGAACTTGCGCCCCATCACGCCTTTCATTTCCCTCGGTCACATGTTCATCTTCCTCTCTCCACCATATCAAGTGTTTCGTTGGAAACACCATTTCACCTGCCCTTCACTTTCGCGGAGCGTGTGATTGAAGCAGCCGGATACCATTTCTCTCCGGGTTCCCATTTTATATCCCTTTGAGGCATCATGGCCTCCCGCGCGTCCATGTTACTGGACCCCAAGGGCTACAAGAAAGAACTCAAGAAACAAGGTACTGATTCCTTTCTCCTTTCTACTTCTCCCTCCCCAGATGAAATGGAAGCCCTCGTGGTATCTTCAGGACTTAGTTTGGCACCGATGCTTCAAATCAAAGAGGAACCAACAACTTCTTCGTCACTTTTGTCTTATCCCTCAGCTTTGGATTCGACAAAAACACCCAGCTCACCTCATCCCCTCTCAGGCCCCTCAAATGCGAACAGTTCCCCGCGCCCTTCCGTCCCCTCTATCGCCCCGCCTGGAACTTCTCCGGCTGTGCAATTTTCGGCGACTATTCCCCGCAAGACATCACCCAAGTCCATGCCCATGGCACCGAGTCCCGCGCCAAGTGACGCGCCGAACCCGCAAGCCAACATGACAGTGCAGTTCACAAATGCGAAAGACGAGGGCAATGAAAGCGATGCAAAGAGAAGTTATCAAGACATGAGCGAGGACGATGAACGCTCTCGCCCACGCCGCTTGATCGAGGACATTTACAATGTCGAAGAACGCCGTCACCAACCCGTCAAAAAGATGAAGGTAGAGGATACATCCAAGCCCGGGACACCCAGCCAGCAGGTTAGGCCTTCGGACGGTAGTGAGCTGGGGGAGTTCATGAAACAAGGACAAATAAATCACGTCCCATCCCCAGCGGTCTCGGGCGTTGTGGATTTGACCACTACTCCTCCGAAGGACAATGCAGATGATGATGAAATCCAATTCACGGGCTCGAATGATCTCAGCACCCAGCGTGTCTGTTATGGCAAAATCGAAGGGGCCATGATCAGCGCTAGCTTTGTGCCAAAGCCAGACCCAAATTCCAAATTCCTTTTCCCCGGCCAATGGCCTGTCATCAAACTTGAATTGCATCGCGATCCAGATAAAACAAACAATCGGATCTCAGCTGCAGATCCTACGGGAAATCGCTTCGGCGTGATCTATCCCACCAAACTTGCTCAGGCTCTTTGTCAATTAATCGATTCCCCTGTCATACCTCTGGAAATATCGGCACGATTGGACATGCGGCCTATCCAGCCACAAGAGGTTCCCGGTGAACCCATAGTTACGCATTACCGGACCTCGTTGACTTTGTATGGAGAACGTCAACGTGCAGAGATGGTTGGCAAATTTCTTAGTCACAACAATGTCTGGCTTGGTGTTCCACCCATCGTGGAGAAAGGTACTCCGGTCTGGAATCCTCATGATGAGATTAGGCAAAAACGGCTGTCTGCAGCTGCAGCTGCAACAAACAATGGCACAAGAGACCGCCCCGCATACAGATACGAGGTTAGGACGGCAGAGGAGATCACCGACTCTGTGACCAAAATGTTCAATCAGCTTGTCAGCGCCGATGTTCCCACGATGGAACCTCCTGACAGTATACTGACACCACTCCTTCATCATCAAAAACAGGCACTGTGGTTTATGACGGAGAAAGAAAAACGCCGGAAATTTGGACCTGAAGAAGCGGACAACAATTCACTTTGGCGATGTCACAGAGACTCCAGTGGCGAGAAGGAATACAAAGAGATCATCACTGGCACTGTATCAGCTAAAGAGCCTCGACAGGTTCTTGGTGGTCTGCTGGCTGACATGATGGGTCTCGGGAAAACGCTAAGCATACTCTCTTTGGTTTTGTCCTCGCTGTCAGCGGCGCACAAATGGGAGAATTCGCCTCCGCCTGATGGCCTGGCCCGCCATTATCCAGGCATCCGCAACACCCGAACAACCCTTCTGGTGGCGCCACTAAGTGCCGTGAAGAACTGGACAATGCAGGTTGAAGAGCATCTCAAAGCGGATTCGATCAAAGTATACGTTTTCCATGGATCAGGCCGAACCACCGATTTGAAGGAATTGTCTACTTACGACCTTATCGTCACAACATACAGCACAGTGCTCAGTGAGCTTTCTTCACGCGTCGGGCGTGACAGTCCCTTCCGTAAAATGAACATGTTTCGCATCGTTCTGGATGAAGCTCACATAATTCGGGAGCAGAATGCCCAACAGACTAAGGCAATTCTCAGTCTTAATGCGCAGCGCCGTTGGTCTGTGACAGGAACGCCCGTTCAGAATCGCCTTGAGGACCTTCATTCGGTTCTGAGGTTCTTGCGCCTTGCCCCGTATGATGACAATACCCACTTCAGGCAATTCATAGTAAGCCGTTTCAAGACCGGTGACACCACAGTCCTCACCAGTCTTCGGGTCCTGATTGACTCGTTCACCCTACGTCGGGTCAAGGACAGGATCAACCTGCCACCACGGGAGGACAAGTTGCTTACTCTAGAGTTCTCTGAGAAAGAGCAACAGCTGCATGATTACTTCCGTACCGAGTCTAACGCCATGATGACTCACCTTGTGGGCGAAAACAAGACCAAGATGGGAGGCCGCATGTACCATCATGTGCTGAAAGCCATGATGCTACTGCGTCAAGTCAGTGCTCATGGTAAAGAGCTTCTCGACCTTGCAGATCGTGAAAGGATCAAGGGCATGACTATGAATGATGCTATCGATTTGGAGGAGAACGAATCAGATGATGGCAGTTCTGCGGCCAAGGAGAGAAGAGCATATGAAATGTACTCGCTTATGCTGCAGACATCCGCCGATCAATGTGCGCTCTGCAGCTCTCACCTTGATGAACCTCTCACTGGCTCCGGTGATACTGACCGGAATGCGCACATGGCTATTTATTTACCATGCTTCGATATGCTTTGTCCTTCCTGCTTCTGGTCTTGGACTGAATTCCACGACCAGTCTACCGGAGAAGTCCGGTGCAAAGCCTGTGAAGGTTGGATCACGAGGTCTTACACCATACTGACACCTGGGATGATTGAGGATTTTGAAAACCAAAAGACCGAACGTCAGTCAAACCGCAAGTACGGCAAGGTTCTTGGCGATTACGAGCGTCCCCATACCAAAACCTTGGCCCTGGTCAATCACCTCCAAGCAACCCTGGAGGAAAGCAACGCGTTGGTAGGAGAGCCACCGATAAAGAGTGTGGTATTCTCTGCATGGACGACTCATTTAGACTTGATTGAGATAGCCCTCAAGAATCACGGGCTTGATTCTTTTACCCGGCTGGATGGTACCATGACCCTTGCAGCCCGCGGAAAGGCGCTGGATGTCTTCGCCAAGGACGACAACATTACCATTTTGCTAGCCACCATCGGTGCTGGTGGTGTTGGGCTGAATCTCACATCGGCATCCCGAGTCTACATAATGGAGCCCCAGTATAACCCGGCAGCTGTCGCACAAGCCGTCGATCGTGTGCACCGCCTCGGTCAGACCCGCCCCGTTCAAACGATTCAGTTCATAATGAAGAACAGCATCGAGGAGAAAATTATGGAGCTGGCGAAGCGAAAACAGCAACTGGCCGATATGAGCATGAACCGCAGCAAGCAGGACAAGAAGGAAGTCCAGGAGCAGCGAATGCAAGAGTATCGGGCCCTTTTCAAATGATGACGACAAACACGAAACGGAATTTCTCAAATCTTTTTCTTTCATTATTTATTTCTTTTTATTTCTTTTTATATGCTTTACACGAATTTGCTTATCGATTTTCCCGGCAGGATGGTTTTTCATTTTGTTTGATACCCGGACATGGAGAGGTCTTTTTACTTCGGCGTTGGAACCTCGCATTCCCATCTACACATAGAAGGGTTCCTAGGTTGTTCCTGCTTTTCAATTCCCAGTTGACCTCTGATGAACACTACATATTTATTTCCCAGGAAGGCAGCTACGCACTAGATAGTTATTTATACTGAGTCCTTCTTTCTTTCAACGTTTGTGTCTTTCTATAATAGAAGGTGTTCGACAGAAATTGCAGAATTGAAGACATGATACATACAAGAATCTGTGATATGTGCTCTACCTGAGACTTCTGACAAGCTCGAAGACAAAGAATATCATACCTACGCCGACCAGGTTGACACTTGGAATCAAAAACTATGTCTTTTTTCAAAAGCTCTCAGCGAAGAACCACGAAAATATTGCGCTGAAGTCAGACGTCTTGCTGGATCACAAACAATCAACTTCCAAGGTTGTCCATAATGGAAATAACAAGCTGTCTCTCGGCAGGATCGACATCAGCATCAAAACGAGAGTCAATATGCGATGCAATACTATACTTCACGCCAGACGTGGGCACTAGATCAAGATTTGCACACGAGATCCCTCAACACTGACACCATCCTCAATGTAGATGTATTCCCTAATCAAGTCGGTCCCTGACTAGCAGAGTACATAGCCCTAGCCCCGAGTTATTCTGCGTCTTTGTCTACTCAGGGCCGATGCCGATCACGTGAGTACAATAACTATGGTCTAAACAAGGTGTCAAATATAGCCGTTGGCATTGTCTAGTGATCTTCGATATGTTTCAAAGTATATTCCATCACGTTATGGAGGGTTATGCACTGTCAGTCATTATTATCAAAAAATCAATTCCTGAGATCTAAATTTGGTATCAAACAATATTACTATAACCCAAACGCCTAACCCATCAACATAAAACCCCAAAACCAAAATGCGTTCATTTTTGATAGTCCCTATCCCCATAAACACCAACCGAAACAGCCCCAAGCACACCATCCAATCTGTTCTTCAAACTCCGCAGCTCCCCAATCTTAACTTCCCTCTCCTTCTCCACATCCCTAAGCTGAACCTCCAATTCCCGAATCCTAGCCTCCTGCTCCGCCTCGGAAGCCCCAATACCCGGTAAGACCGAGATCAGATACTCAATCTGCTGCTCCTTGATAATGAGATCACGCGCAAGCTCCCGCTGCCGACTCGCGAATGTGCTCGGGGAATCAGGCTGCGGGGGCTGGTTGGGGTCTTCGCCTTCTTGTGGTCCGGTGCCTAAAGCGGCACCAGGTTGTTGTGGTGGTTGTGGAGGTGGGGAGGCGTTACCGGCGATTTCGGTGTTGCCTTTTGAGGCGAGGGAGGCGGGGATTGGAGGGGCGGTTGAGTTTTTGGATATCTTTGCGAGTGCTGGGACTGCATTGGGGACGTTTGGGGGTGGGATGGCGGGGCTGTTGTCATGGTATGTTGAGAGGTAGCCTAGTGTAGCGTAGAATTGCGTTGCGAGCTGGAAGTCTTAGCTTTGAGTTGAAGCTGGGGTAGGAGGTTTTGTTGGCTTTCTTACCTGATCGAGGCAGGTTTGGAGTTGGGTTAGGATGTCCGCCATAATGGTGGGGCTTGAGGATGAAAGTATGGGTAAATTGTACGTGAGCAGTTGAAAATAGGTAGTTTGTGTAGACTGGTTGAAACTTGAGAGCTAGAAAATTGAAGAGTGGATCTTAAAGGTTCGAGTAAGGTTAACTTGGGAAATGCGGAGACAAAAGCTCTAATGCGGTGAAGCTCACTCCTACAAACACACCAATGCGACGACTCGCAGCCAGATCTTTACTGGCAAATCCACTCTTCCAAAGCCATAGATCCTTCTTCCGACTATTCTCCAATACCTCAATCCAAAATGACATAACCCAATTCACGCGCCGCCTCTTCAAACTCCCCTCCGCACCACCACCACCCTCCCAACACCACAACAGCCTCTCCCAATTCCTCACCTACGCCACTCGAATTTCCCTCCCAGAAACCAGCACCGTCTACGTAGGTACGCACTACGAGTACACCGTCCTCAAAAGCCTACGCCGATACGCGCTAGCACTTCACCGCATCGGCGGCCGCGACGATGCCGGAATAGACCTAGTAGGCACCTGGCACCTGCCCACACACGAGCGCTCGCGCGCCCTCCGCGTCGTAGTGCAATGCAAAGCGCTTAAGACAAAGCTAGGCCCGAATATAGTGCGCGAGCTCGAAGGCACACTTCGGCAGGCACCGGTAGGCTGGCGCACGGGCCAGACAGTGGGGGTACTGGTCAGCCCGCGCGAGGCAACTAAGGGTGTGCGGGATGCGCTTGCGCGAAGCTCGTTCCCACTTTTTTGGATGATGGTCGAGCGGGATGGGACGCTAAGACAGGCACTTTGGAATGCACGGGCGGAGCGATTGGGGTTGGGAGCTCTGGGGATTGAGACAAGATATACGTCTACCGACGGTTCGGAGCTGTTGAAGGAGGTTGCGCTTACATGGGATGGATGTGATATTCCTGATATGGATGCTGTGGAAGATGCATTACGTATGCATGAGGAGCTGTGGATTAAATCTTGGGGGAAAGATTTGGAACATGTTGATAAGAATGTGTTGTTGGATACTGTTGAGAAGGTCTTTCCGGATGGGTATCCTGAAGGGGCGGATGAGACTTTTGCGCAGGCACACCAGGCAAGAGTACTTGAGGCTTTGCGGAAGTGAACTGCGTCTGTATATTATGTATTATAGTCTGTGGATACGAAGGTTATGGAATCCAAATATTGGTATGATCATATCATTGTCAAAAACGCAAGGGTATAAAAACTCCGAAAACAAATCTCCTGCATAAACACCGACGTGGTCATCATTATCCTTGCACTGTCTGCCAGAAATAGTTCGAGTAGAAGAATCTCGAGAACTTCGGGTCGATGTTAACGACATGTACATCGCCCTTGCGACTATTGCGAATCACGGCGCGGTTGAAATTGCCCGCCTCGTCAGGCTCAATATCGATACCGAGCGAACGGAAGATCTTTAGTCGTAGACTATAATAATGTTAGCATCTGCAAATCAAGTACAGGGAACAGACTGGAACGTACATCGTCGCATCATCCATTTCACGTTCCCGGCGTGTAGCCTCATCACCCTCCAGACCTTGCGCCTCTAGGTCTGCCAATCTCTCCTTGAGCATTTCGAGTTCACTTTCAAGGCGCTCGCTCTCGATTTCTAGCTCTGAGGCAGCCTTTGCAATCCGGAACTTCTTTGTGTCAAGCTCGACGATCTCGGCAGCGTGTTTACCCGAGTCATGGACGGCAACGGCCTCTTCATGGTGTGTGGTCAGGGAGTGTAGATTGCGTGATAGTTTTCGCAGAGAGGACTCTGCTTCGCGAATGCGTAGGTCGCGCGATTGTTGGAGTGTGGCGAGCGAGTCATTAATGCGCGTGACGGCCTGTTTATCCGGATGGATGTTGAAATTGCCAATAGTGTGGTGGATGAGCTGAAATCAGTTAGGATGAACCATCAGGTATATTTTAAAGTATCGATTAATACAACATACCGTCGCAGGGTCCTCGTCGAGCAACATGGTGGGCAGTATAGACGTTAGAAGTTGTTCGAAGACATTGGAGATGTTTATGTTTTGTTGCGGCAGCAACCGCCACAGCACCGCCACATATTTCTCCGCAAGTGACGTTGGCGCTTGTGATTGCGCTTGGGCTTCTTTTTTACCCTGTTCTTTAAGTTCTTTAATCTCCGCCTATTTGCTACCCATTCTCTGTGAATACTCGAAAACTACAAATCCACCATGTCAAACCTTCCCTGTATGCTACCCATGCTTCCCATTCTCATGGCCGTTTGCTAACCCGTGTGCGCCACCCTCCAGATGCCGCCGATGCGGAAAGGTCTGTTGCCTTGAATCACCGAAGATATTCTTGAGCGATGCGAACTAACTCGTCTAACCTGCAGTCCGTTGAAACCTGCCGAGCTGCAAGTTCTGCGCGCACAATATGAGAAAGAAGGTGACTACGTGGGCATCCAAACCAAGTTCAACTTCGCCTGGGTATGACCCCAACCACAGCTGCAGCCAACGCCACAGCCACTGTACCTGTATGCTAACCAGCTCTCTCGGTTATTAGGGCCTGATCAAATCCAACACTCGCCCCGACCAGCAAGAAGGCGTCCGACTCCTGTCAGAGATCTTCCGTGGCGCACCGGAACGACGACGAGAGTGTCTATACTATCTAGCTCTAGGCAACTACAAGCTGGGCAACTACGGCGAAGCTCGTCGATACAATGATTTGTTGCTGGAAAAGGAACCGGCCAACTTGCAAGCGGCCAGTCTCGGATCCCTCATCGACGACAAGGTTTCCAAGGAAGGCCTAATGGGCATTGCGATTGTAGGAGGCTTGGCCGTAGCCGCGGGACTCGTGGGTAGCCTGGTTTTCAAGGGAGCCAGAAGACGGTGAGCGTTAGGATTGAGAATCTGCAAGGGCTGTGGCACAGTCGGTTCGGGTCGTCCTTGCGTCGCGAACGGGTTTTTTGTATAGTGTTCAGAGTCTGCCTTATGCCTTTTTACCTACCAGCTTGAGGTTCTCTTTGGGTTTTGTATTATGCGAGCATTTCAAGGCGTTAGAACTTTGATTATTCTTCTGATTTTGATATAAATGAATCTATGTATATGGCTTTTGGTCCTTTTCCAGATTCTTCTTTTTGCCTCCTTGCCACTTGCATCATTATACCTCCGACGCTTGAAAACAAAGCTGCCTGAATCTAGTTCTATTTTTACTGTGCATGAGAGCGATCAGTTTCATGCTTTTGAGTGTTCGTGGGCTTCTACTTCGTGACGACATATTAAATAGCTTGTTTTTTCTTTTGCTGGGGAATTCCCACTTTTATTTGGAGCAATCACCAGGCTCCATCATATTTCCCCTCTGATTCGTCTTCTTTGTTCGGGCTTTTGGTGTCCAATACCTAAACCCCGCCTGATAAGAACCATGACTCGTGACTGTTCCGCGCGAACTTGATCTTCCATTCTCATCCTCTCTACTGACTTCCCTACATCCCTCACATTCTCAATAATGGCCGATCATAGCGACCATGACGATCGCGTCTTGTGCCATGCTTGTGGCGCGGTCTGGTTGAAAGTCGCTGACGGGTTGACGTGCCCGCAGTGCCAATCCGAGTTCACGGAGATCGTACGCTAATCCGTCCTGTCTCCGAGGAGCTCTACTAACAGCAACCGTCTACAGATTGAAATTCCTCCTGATGATGCTCCACCAGAACCACATTTCGAGAGTGATTCCCCACCGGTCAATCCTTGGGAATCCCATAATGCATGGCCGCAAGAAGACATGCCGCGAGCCTACGGCTTCATGGGCTCTACCCCCGGCTCCCCACGATACTCCCAACACACTTACAGATCACCCGATGGCCGATTTGTATTCAGCAGCACCTCCGTACGCGGGGGATTTTCACCCCGCCAAGCAAATACCCAACCCGATCTCGAAGCTCCAATGTTGTTCGATAGCTTGGGTTCCATATTCCAGACATTCACAAACACCGCTTACAACCAGCGAGCACCTCGAGGCGCGTCGGCCATGGACCCATTTGACACTGACCACCATGGAACCGAGGAATACGATGATCCCCCAGAATCATTCCCACGCGAACCAGATGCACCCCAGCCTACGGCCCAGCCGTTAGGCCTAGTCGAGTATGTGTCCGCCCAACGCAGAGCCAGCATCCTTGAAGCAGCATTCGCCATTGATACTAATCTCCGTGCCAGCCTCCTGGAGAGCTTCCGACGAGAACATGTCCGACGACCAGGTAGAGCCGGCGCACATGGGGTCGCAGGCCCTAACCCACTCGCGAATCCTCTCGCAATACTCTCAGTCTTACTAAACATGGACCGGAACGGCGACGCGGTATACTCACAAGAAGAATTAGACCGGGTTATCTCCGAACTCATCGATCACAATGCAGCGGGAAACGCTCCCCCGGGTGCATCCACTACAGCTATCCAATCCCTACCAAAGAAAAAGGTAGATGAGCAAATGCTAGGTTCAGACAGCTCAGCCGAGTGCTCCATCTGCATGGATCAGGTAGAATTAGGCACTGAGGTCACAGTCCTACCCTGCACACATTGGTTTCACTTCAGTTGTATTGAAGCGTGGCTTGTACAGCATAACACCTGTCCACACTGTCGCCGGAGTATTGACTCCGCCAGTGCGTAAGTAGCACACAGCCACACCTGGTCCCACTCCAGGCTTGAGAGTACGACTTTCGCAGCTGACACGAATTTCTTCCACAAGTACACCTGGCAGCCCGACTAGCCGCACGCACGGCGAAGGCACCAGCGAGAATCCGGTAGTTATACCGGATAGTCCCGAGGTCTCATCACCTCGTCGACGACGTCGTAGTTCTCCTTTTGCCTCGCTTAGCGGTCGTTCCTCTTTTTCACGGTCTAGTCGACATTCACAGGCCCAGGCACAAGCACAAGCACAAGCTCCAGCATCCCCAGATCCAAATCTTTCCCGCACAAGGAGATCTAGTGGATCCAGTCGCAATAGTCGCAATAGTCGTAACGAAGGCGGCCGAGGTTTCACAGACTGGGTCTGGAGTCGGTTTGGTGGTAGCAATAACTAAGTGTATTGGTTATGTTGTTCTTTTATGGTATGAATATTCTCGGGTGGGCTTGCATATTGGGTTTCAAGACTCTGGGACTTTGTTTTTGTATGGCGATCCAGGTTGTTTAGCGTTTCTTTTCATCCATACCCCCTTTTTCTTTTTTGTTGTGGCAGGCCCACGAGATATGTTATTACCATCTGATAGGTTTCTGTGTACATGATCTCTTCTGATAGTATCCACAATGGGTTCTGATATCGATCTCATCCCACGTACTAACTTTGGAATATATACAATTATAATGCAGGACTTCGGATTTCCTCAATGCGTCTAACTTCAATCCCAAGACTCAGTTCTATTTCTATAGTACATCTTGATATACATCCAAAATTACATACCCACTGCTCGCCACTCCTGAGGTCAAGGCCAAAACCTACACTTAAATCTTCGAACATATCACGCAATATCTCAAATACATTGGCTTGCCCTGCAGCCAACTCTATCACGCCATTCAGGGTCATGATAACCCCAAATCACCTCATTTCCACACCGTAGATGCGGGGGAGGTTCGTCTCGTTCCATTTAATTTATATTTCACTCATGCCCAAGGTACTCTAAATACAAGCTTAAAACAACCCTATTCTACATAAATCACAATGTCCGTCGCCCAAGAAGTCGAGTCCGCAAACGCGAAATATGCCGCCTCATTCAACAAAGGGGATCTCCCACTTCCCCCAGCCCGGTAATCTACAGATCTCAATATCCCACTCGTTCATCCAATTGTTCTACTAATGCTAATCTGACCTTTCAATCATAGAAAGGTAGCAATAGTAGCATGCATGGATGCGCGCCTCGGTATGTTCAAGTTCCCCACAGCTCCACAGCACAAAGTTTACTACACCCGAAATGATCAATGCACTTCAGTCACATAAACGCTAATGAAACAATATCGTATAGATCCCGCCCGAGCCCTAGGCCTCGAAGAAGGCGATGCCCACGTAATCCGTAACGCAGGCGGAAGGGCCACAGATGCACTGCGCAGCATCGTCATTTCGCAACAGCTACTCGGGACGAAAGAAATTATTGTTGTGCACCATGTATGACATGCCACATGCCCCTAATGCTGCACATATCACTAGTAACAGTACTAACTCCAGCTATGACTCCGACTAGACCGATTGTGGGATGCTTACGTTCACGGACGATGTGATCCGTCACAAGATAAGGACGGATTTGAAGCAGAATGCAGATCATATTGCGTTTTTGCCGTTTGGGGATTTGAGGCAGAGTGTTTTGGACGATGTGGCTATTTTGAAGGATAGTGAACTTGTTTTGGATGTTCCTGTTACTGGATATCTGTATGAGGTTGAGACCGGGAGAATTGTTAAGGTTAAATGATCTGGATTGAATTTATATAACTCTTAGTAGACCAAGTCTATCAATGCCAGTGCCAAGTCTAAGGTCGCACTATGCAAGTTTACTAGTTCTGTTCTTCCGAGCAACCTGCTCACACAATTCACGCAAGACACCAGCCAACCACTCAAAGTCACTAATATCCACGAAAACCTGCGCACTAATCCGAGTCCACAGCGAAGACCCGTGCCGGAAAATAGGGACAAAAGTGTCATATTTCGCCATGAGCGTTTGCTCAATAAACGAAGCTGCAAGTGGCGCATTCTGAGACGAAAGTGTCACCCAAGAACCCTGACCAGGAGACCCATCATCCGCAACACGGATCGGTAGGCGGATGGTGGTCATGCAGCAATCACGCATGTTGCTCTTCTGTCCGGGCTTGAGGTCCGGTTCTTGCATGACATCTGTACCGAGGGCTGCGGCGATCAAGTCAGCGGCCTCATTGGCGAGCTTGTGGCAGTAGGACATGATGGCTTCCTCGCCGCCGCAGACTTCACGGCGGAATTTGAGGGCAGCGGGAAGACAGATGTAGGCTGAGTCGTCGGTTGTGGCTACGAATTGGAATAATTCTTCGAAGGGGGTCTTAGTGACGGGTGCATTTTTGTCTTGGAGGACTGAAGCTGCTGTTTTGGCTGATGTTGGTGCTGGAATGAAACCCCATGATGTTGGGAGTGTTGAGCGCATAAGGTGCTGGTTGCGCTTGGGGACATATAGCAATGCGGCACTGCGGGGTGTGTATAGCCACCTGGATAGAGAAGTTAGCTCCCGCTAGATGGAGAATTAAAAAAACAAACGTTGCACATACTTGTGGCAATTCGACACGAAAAAGTCCGGTTGCAGCTTCTTCATATCAAGAGCAATCATTCCTACGCCGTGGGCACCATCGACAACACTCAAAATTCCCTCTTCCCGGCAAATATCCACAAACCGTTCAAATGGGAACCGGACACCCGGATTACTGACGACAGCATCAAAGACCGCAGCACGGACTTTAAGGCCTTCATCGCGTGCCTTGCGAACCGTTTCGCGGAATCGGCGCACCAACTCATTCTCAGTGATAGGAAATTCTAACGGCACCTTCCGAGCCTGGAAAGCAGAATGCTCTTGCAGAGACACAATGCCCATTTCCACGGCACCGTAGATAGGTTCGAAATAGACAAGGACCTCATCCTCTTTGAAGTTGAGGTTATAAAGCACAGTGAATACGCCGGTAGTGGCATTCTTGACAAAGACACATTCGTCTTTCGGGGCGTTGATCAGCACGCCAATTTCTTCACGCGCTTCTTCCAGAAGCTTCGCGTGATGAACACGGATATAGGGGTCTGGTCGCTTGTCTGCGATAGCTAGCAGAGCACGCTGTACATCACGGACCTGGACGGGGTGGGCGCCGAAAGAGCCTGGGTCTATTAGTCACGAATACGGATGAGACGGGAGGATGCTGACCATTGTTAAGGTTTCTGTAGGAGGGGTCAAATAGCCAATGCTTAAGCATTGGCTTCCCAAAGGGCGTGAGTTCATCGAGGGTCATGATGCTCACTTTGCCGGACGTATTGTTGCGCCGGTTGCGCCGGATGATTCAATGTCCGGAAAATCAAGTTGGAAAAGATTGAAGTCAAGCTCACCGGAACTGCATCCGAACAAGTATTTATATCTGCTGCAAAGACGCACTGACTCAACAATGAGTAATAAGGGTGTGAAGCTTCTGGCTTCCGACAATTTTGACTCACCTGGGAAGCTGAGCCAATGGGTGGTCGAGGCTTTATCCCAAGGTCCACATGTATCATTCGAAGGGCGTGAATGGGATTACTTGATAACATGCGGGGAACCCCCCACTTTGACTTGATTGTGAGTCTTGGCAAAGTCATAGATACGGACAAAGCTACAGTGTATATCATATAGGAAAACCTCAATCTGCTCTTGATTCTTCCAATATATTATGGCTTGCCTCGTCGCTTCAATCTCTCTCGTCTGGATCATACAATTGTCGAAGATGAAGCCGATGGTAGCCGTGCGGAGAAGTCAGACTAGATAAGATATCATGATCATGAACTCTATGAAACAAACCTCTCAAGCGGTCGAACTCATGACAAAATATAAGTTGAAGCACGAAAAAGTATAGAAACATTCTTTACGCATGCCATAACAGTCACATGATATGCAAGGGGCTCATATCATGGCTTCAATTCACTGCCTGCACAGAATAACCCACTTACAACCCACACCATGTGGAATTGCGACTTTGATAACTGCGAAAAGCCCTCCGTCCGCCACATAGGAGGCTGCATAGTCTGTAACCAGCATCTATGCGCAAGACATCTGAAACCAGAGCACCACAAATGCCCAACATGGGAGGTAAGCAAAGCCAAACCTAACCCTCTCATACTATACAAACCACCAGATAAACACTAACATACAGATCCAGGATAAAACCACTTTTTTTCCAGCAGCAGCAAAAGCCGAAAAAGACGAAATAAGCCGTCTATTCCAAGAAATCAACATCCAAGCCCTAACATCTCGCGCAACCGCCCTCCGAAATGGAGTCCCCTGCACACTCCCCCACAACCTAAAATACTCCCACGAAACCTGTGGCAAAGTAATGGGTGGCACAAACTACCACATCGAAATTCTCTTTGAAGACGGAACAAGCTGGCTAGCCCGAATCCGCCGCTCAAATGCTACTTCTCCACCGACCGATCTGCAGAAGTATATTCTTCGCAGCGAGGTAGCGACGCTCCAGTTTCTCCGAAGAATCAACATCCCCACGCCGATGGTTTACGATTTTGATTCAGATGAGAACAACCCCGTTGGCGTTCCATATATCCTTATGGAGAAATTGCCGGGCAAGAGTGTGGGTACTTCATTATGTTTGGCGTGGACAGCTGAGAAGAGGCGAAAAGTCCTAAGCCAACTTGCGGATTATTATGTTACTCTTCTTAATCATCCGATGGATACTATGGGTTGCTTTAGTCACCCTGGCTCTGGGCGTATCGGTCCTTTTGCCGTTGAGGCGCTCACGGATTGGAAGGATGGGGTGATGAATAGTACGGGACCTTGTTCGTCCATACAAACTTACTACAAGACAGGTATCAATTTGACGCTTGATTTGATTCTGCGTCAGGAGATCTATACGAGTCGGCCTGTTGATGCTTATTTGGTGCATCGGTATTTACTGGATAATGTTGCCAAGGTCTTTTCTTATAATGATCTGGATGATGGGAAGTTTTATCTGCGACATGCGGATGATAAGGGTGATCATATTCTTGTTGATGAGGATTTCAATATCACTGGGATCATTGATTGGGAATGGGCGTATACGGCGCCTAAATCGGTGGCGTTTAATTCGCCTATTGCTCTTCTTCCTGTGAGTGAGTTCTATGATGGGGTCAATCGTGTTGGCGATGATGAGGTCACTTTTGCCGAACTTCTCTATGAGAAGGGACATCCTGATCTTGGTGAGATCACTCGATGTGGGCGTCTCCTCCACCGATTTGATTTTTGTTGTGGGTATGACATTTCAGACTGGGATGGGTTTTTGGGTCTATTCTTTGGTCTGTTGAACGGACTGGGGGATAAGTTCCTGAAGAATCTAGGTGATAGCAAACATTTGAACTGGGAGATATGGAAAACAGATGCGATGGAACGGTATTGGGATGACGAACGGCTGCAAAAGCTGATCGAAGCCACGAATTTCTTTTGATTAAAAATTAAAGCCGGGTACGACTTGAAATGGAGTATCATATGTCCATGGGTTACTAGAAGTGGAGGCAAGTAAGATCTTTTCGACCATAGTTCGCCTAAAGGCTGGTCCCTTGCCAACGCAAACGCATTCCACAGATAAAACTGTAATCGTAGTTAGTATGATCCAATATGCATGGGCAAGCTTCCACTCACGTCTTATAAAATTAGCCACATCAAATAACAATGCAGAGTTTTTCACGCGAAACACAGTGCTTGAAATACGATCACCAGATTGGACATCAATTCCCCTCTCCAGCAAAAGTCTCTGCACCCCGCACGCATCAATCCATTCTTCATTGCCCTGGAAGACCAGCTCCCAAGTCTTAGTCGAACGAGCAAGTTGAGTTTGCGAGAAGCTGTGTTTTTTCGGATGCATGGGACTAAGAACTTTAGTCCTGGCATCAACCATGTCACCTAAGTCATCATGCATAGCATCATAGAATCCCGATACGTGATTCATACGCTCCGCCTCATTTAGTAGACCTCCAAACACCTCTTCAACTTTCGGATCATTAGGCGAGTAAACGAGCAATTGATAGCCATTGCGGCAACACTCCCGTACAATACGATGTGAGAGGGACAGTTGTGCTTCCTGCGACGGACTGTCTGGCGACCATGAAAGTGGTGGACTAGGAAGCGAAGGGGCAGGCGCAGGATTCCTCGGAAAGAAACCGAAAGGAAGCATCGGGTCCTGCGGAGGCGGCGTATGAGGGAGCGACATCTTCCCCCACTGAGTAAGCGCCGTCAAGGATGAAGGAGTTGAATTCCCTGAATAGGGTATAGGTACTTCGCGGGTAATCTCAGCATCAAAATCCAGAAGGATTTCCTTCGCTGGTGTAGATTGCGACGAGTTCCCGCTTCCTCCATCCTGATCGGGCACGAGGGTTTGCCTCGGCTCAGCTTGAGCATCAGCAGCGCCTTTTCGGGCCAGCGACACGCATTGCTGAGTAATTGCCTGTAAAGCAGATGTAATGCGTGGACGACCATCCAGTATACTCTCCCCTAAGAGGAGATTACTGAACGAGAGAAACGACTGGCTCAGCTCCTCGATGCCCGATTCCAACTCCTGGACGCGAGACTGTAGGTTATTGATGGTTGTTTCCTTTCGTCGACGGTAGGTTTGCTGCGCCTCGCGAAGTTGCTTGCGACGTTTCTGGACATGATGAGCTGGGGTGGGCATAGGCTGTTTCTCATCAGTTCACCTACCTCGGGGACTTCGTGATCGTCAGAATGGTTGGTTCGGGGGCGGCCTCTTTTGCGGGGTACACCTGGTTGGGTTGGCGGTTTTACTTCGGCCATTCTGGTATGTTTGCCCCAATATAAATGAAAGAGATCCGTTCGCGATCGATCTACAACTGTGGATACAGGTGTGGGTAATCTGGGGAGAAATCCGTCAGGGATACTGGGGGGGGGAATAGGGGAATGATGGCAATTATAGGTTTATTCATCAGCCGGAAAGTTGAATAATCGGGAAATCGATCGGCTAATCTCAGATCGCTTATGTCACCATCCTGACCAATGAATGCACTGGGCATCTTTACCTGGAAAGTTCTATAAGAAGTTATTACCAATAACTTGAAATTGTATTAAGAGTCATAGTTGATGGCAATGGAAAAAGAACGTCTTGTGCTCCAGTTCATCGACGTCTGTGTGCTGACGAATACCTCGAGACCATCTATGGATGTCTCCTTCAACCTGATTGAGAGTAGCACCATGTAAAAGAGAGAATAAGATATGCATTAGTCAACCAAACAAAACACACACAAATAGACAAGAAGAACATAATTATCATAGGATCCCATCTCGTGTTATCATCCTTTCCCTTCCCCGTATGCTCCAACAAAAGATATCACACCTCCATTAGCTCCAACGCAGCAAAACGAGCAGTCGTCCCCTCAAAACTCACCAATATGTTATGGTCCTCCAATATAATGTACATATTAAATCGATTGACACGAACCAGATACTTGAGTCTGGGGAGGGCCAACATCAACCAGCTCAGCCCCACTAACCGTAGTAACACTGTTATCAATACCATGGAAGGTACACATAACACCACCAGTGGTCAATTCAATGTGAGAGATACTCAGAACATTACCTAAAACTTGTTAGTTAACCAATGCGACACCACCGATGAGCCAATCACATACTAATCTGCGTAGCTTGACCATTGACAGGGAAGCTTTGAGTAAACTCGGCATTGGCCGCACCGATGAAAACAACCTCAATATTGCCCGAACTCTCCCCTTGTCCTCCGTTGTTACCAGAGGGAGGGTTAGAAGGGGGAGTAGTCGATCCTGAGGATCCCGTCGCAGAGCAAGATCCCGAGATTTGGGTCTGGGGTGGACCAACATCTACCAGCTCCGCCCCACTCACAGTCGTAACGCCATTGTCAATACCATGGAACGTACACTGGACACTCGCATCGGCAGATGAGATGTGCGAGATACTCAGCACGTCAGCTGTTAGAACCACTTATTAGCACATCACATACCCACGCCTGGCTGGTGTGTAGTAGGGTAAACGCACAGATAGACACAGTCGAGCCATCAACGGGGAAGGCCTGCGTGAATTGAGCATTTGCTGCACCGATGAAGGTGATTTCGACATCATTTGTTCGTTTCACGGGACTTCCATTCGAAGCCGTTGCAAGCGCAAGGAGAACGTTCAAGCCTGTCAAGAAATACATATTGTAAAATTGGAATGCGGTGATGGTTCGAGCCAAAGAATTGATTGTGATGATTGGACTCTGAGTACATTTACACCGTTCTCTATGTCCCTTTTATACCTTTCCATGGGCCTGACTGCGTCTACATCTAGAGACAAGTCAAGTACATCATCGTCTAAAAATATGCTAGTAATACGAAGTACCACTCGAGTAGAGTCGACATCGTGAACATCGTGAAAAATGATGACGTCCGCGATGTTGACAATTTTGAGACCGGACCAAGAAAGTAGAATGTTTTCCCAGAAAATGTAAGCAAGTCAACTATCCAATTAGGAAAGGGGGCCCGTTCCGTTCCACGGTTAATCAAGCCTAAATATAGTTTCTCGCATCACGCGGGGTAAACCCGTATACAGGTCCACTGCAACCATTATCTGATTCTAGTTAATGTAATCATTTGGGACTGTAGGCTATGCAGCTCGGTTAGTGCCGTACCTGTTTATTGGTGCCGACGAGATACGAGAGTCTAATGCCGATCCAATCAAATGTAATGGTTTCAACCGGTTTGCCTAATTGGGTAATGTTTTTGATGCTTTTTACTGGTTTCTCGCTCTCGTTACTCCCACTTGGACGCTGTTGGGTTGACAATGGGTCTTTGAGACAGCACTGGGAAGGATAGTAGTCAGGGACGTAGTTCCCTTGGTGAGGGGGAGGTGCAAGATCATCCATGGGTACGTCCGTTTTCGTATTTCAAGGTCCTTTAACTAGATTTGGCAGCTCAGGAGATCATGAATGGCACAGAAGAAAGGTCATTAATTGTTGACGCTGTACGCTAGCATTTAAGATCAGGTTTACACCTACTGTATTTCCCAGTAAGGATGGGTTATCGTGATAGTACCGTAATTTGCCTTGGAACTTAATTGAATCTTCCGTGCAACGTGACCAAACAAAGTGGGCAATCCTAACGATTCGGCAAGGTCGGGCGCTAGTGTGTATATCTTGAATATCTTCCGCGTTTCCTCGAAGTGAGGCTTTATTCATTGATAAAAAATACCTACCGCTTATGGTAGGGGTATATTAGCTGACATTGATTATCGGATGACCTTTTATCCTACCTTCGACACGGTCCAGCTCGGAGCTCTTAGTAGGTCTCTGTGGATTATTTTGAGTAACAGAATCAGTATGACGCCAAGAGTTGCTCCATGTAAACATGTATTAAATTGTTGATATAATCCACAATAGGGAAACGTATGTCTGGTGGTGGATCGATTGTGTTGAAGTACCGTCTTAAGTATCTCTTCTTAGATATGAGATTCTGATAGGCCTAAAGAACCGTAAAAAAGAAGTTCGACAATGAATCATTTCTCTAAATTATGATAGACACCTCTTTAGATTGATTACTTTGGAAGACTAGCCTCTTTTTTTCTAACGTTCGCCAATCTATCTCTTTCGACAGGGGGCCTTGACACTACGTCGTGGTAATTAAGAGATCTTGGCTTAAGTGGTTATAGTACGTTCATGTATTGAATCCAAATGAACAATATTCGGTTGTTTATTATAAACTTCACTACTATTCGGGACTTTTCGAAGAGGCGCTTCCAGGTGTCGTCCACTCCACGTTATGTTTGATATACGTCTGCTCTTTCGGTTAGAAGCCTCGCTACTGCCTTATGACCAGTTAGTGGCCCAGTGAAGCGACGTCCGTCCAGCATGGTCAACAACGTGGATATCTGCCCCTTTCTCGATCAGAAGTCTCGCTATTGCGTCTTGGTCATTCGCTAAGGCCTGGTGAAGCGGTGTCCTTCCAAGTTTATCAAAAGCATGGATGTCTGCCCCTTTTTCAATTAGAAGCCTTGATACTGCCTCGTTGCCATTTGATGAGGCCCAGTGAAGCGGTGTCCATCCAAGTTTATCAACAGCGTGGATATTTGCTCCTTTTTCGATTAGAAGCGTCGCTACCGCCTCTTGGCCATGCACTAAGGCCCGGTGAAGCGATGTCCATCCAAGTTTATCAATAGCATGGATGTCTGCCCCTTTTTCGATCAGAAGTCTCGCTATTGCCTCTTGGCTATTCGCTAAGGCCCGGTGAAGCGATGTCCATCCTTTTTTATCAGCAGCGTCGATGTCTACTCCTTTTTCGATCAGAAGTCTCGCTATTGCCTCTTGGCTATTCGCTAAGGCCCGGTGAAGCGATGTCCATCCATCTTTGTCAACAGCGTGGATATCTGCCCCTTTTTCGATCAAGAGTTTCGCTATTGCCTCATGGCCATTCATTAAGGCCCGTGCGAGTGCAGTATACCCCGCCTTATCTACTTCATGAACAGTTTGCTCTGCTTGGAGTAGCTTGAAAATCTCTGTGTGGCCGCTTTGCGCGGCCCAAGATAAGGGAGTTCGACTTTTGAATTCCTTAGAATCTTTTTTGCACACGATACCCTCAGTGATATCAACTCCATGTTGAATCCTTGAAGGCAGATTCAAGACGGCAGCAACAGTTTCTTTACTGCCGCTTGCTACAGCAGCAAAAAGTGGATACTCATATCTCTCCCGGGGCATATAAGTATGTGGTTCCTTATGGACTATCGTGCGAATGAGCTCGGATAATCCCTGTTCCGCAAAAATGTAAAATTGACTAGCTTTAGGGGAAAATCTTCGAATTCTGAATTTTTCGAAAGAATTGTGGATCTGAATCCACTAAGAGACGTTAAATCCAGAAATGAACCCGTCTTAAGGATAGGCTTTCGCGGCAGCGTTGGCATGATGGAGGATATAATTGTTAGCGTACTCTAGAAATGGATACCGTTCTGAGATTCCTGGTTGCAAACTAGAATTGGGTTCGGATAATAGACTACGAACAGATTGACGCACTAAGCCATGAGTCAAGTAGATACTGCAGCATTTTTTGAGTCTCTCGTGGCTTAGACTCTCGCAATCGTACCCAAGTTCAGGCCACATTTGATATAAGCCCTTTTCTTTCACCAGGAAGTCTCGAACAGACTTATGGATAAATTGAACTGTTGGCTGCTTAGATTTTGTGATCTCAGCGAGTCCTTTTGAGGAACTAATGACATATCTTTCTAATTTTTTCAAACTATCGCTAGAGTCAGGAGCATTGACATCCGGAATTTGGTCGTCAGCTAGATCTCCAACTACCAAGCCTAACCATAGAGCATGATAAAATTCATTTGGTTGTAAAGGCCGTTATGTATAAAGAATCCAGATGACATAAAGCAATATGGCTTCCATATTATCTTTATCACGGCTTAGGATGTCTTTGAATAGCTCGCTTAAGTCGCTTAGTATTTCCACGAGTCTCTTTTTCAGAAACATTCCGCCTCGTCTATCCTCTCTGTTCAGTATATCAACAACCAAAACTACCCATATAAAGACACCAGCAGCTTTCTCGATAATCTTCAATCGCAGATCCTCATTAAGAATTCGGTCTATAACTATAAGACGCGATGCGGCGTAGGCTGCTAAGTCTTCCATATGTCCTAGCTGATCCTCTAGTGTAAGTCGAATCCCTCGTTGGATGGAGATATAGGGATAATGTCGACTAGAGAAACAGACTCGGAATGCAACTCCCCTAGCTGTAGATTGCTCTGCCAGATCTTCGAAGCATTGGACCATATTGACGATTTGCTGCTCGTCACACTCATCGAGAGCATCAATAAAACAAGTGAACAGCCGTTTATCAAGAGCGGAAACTGCACTGCAAAAGAGTTCTTTAAGAACATTCAGAGAAGGGCAACCTCTCTGGCTTCGCGGCACGGCTTCAGGATCATCTAAAACCGTCTGCAGCTCAGGATACCCTTCAAGTAGCTGTAGGAGTAGCGATCGATACATCCCATTGATTGACTTCTCTAAGCTATCACCTCGAGCGTTGAAAAAAAAGGACGCTATTGTAGTACTTTTGAAGTAAGCGTTGCGTTTGAGGTTTGAATAGGCGAACTTCATGATTGTCGACTTGCCAGCGCCTGGTTTACCGCTGATCCATAGGAAGCCATGGTGTTGTGCCAACTTGATTGGATTAAGCCACTCTTCGTAGTATGGATGGCCCAGAAGCCACTGGCATGTCTTGGCGTGCGTTGCTTTGATGTTCAATTTACGAGAGTCAATTTGGTCAAAGTTCAGAGCCTCTAACAAGCACTCCCGACGTCCACGAGACAGCAATTCATCTAGCTAGTTAGTAAGCAGCAGCCTACAGTTATGGTTCCCAAAACATTCACGTGACTTACGCGTGTTAGGTATGCCGTTCAAGTCTGCACGACTTTTGGTCACAGATATTTCCTCGATCAACTCTCTGGCATATGCGGCCGTAGTTGCTGCGGCATATCTTTGCCAGTCTTTGTTCTTATGGGAATCAGAGTAGTCGCAGATCCCTCGAATTGGAAGACAAGGAAGAATATCCATCAAGCCAGCAGACTCCATCTCAAAACATATAACATCTAGTTCTTGAGCAACATTATCCCGGGTAATGCCGTGTCTCATGACTTGGTTTCCTGAAGCGATTGCGCCGTAGTGAATCACTATTTTGTCCGCTGGCCGCTTGCGCCGTGGCACTATTTTTGAATGATCACATCCACCACAGGCAGCCATTAGTGGTGAAACATGGTCATATGCTGCCAAAAAAAGATGGTCTGGTGAGTTTGGGCGGCTATAATCGGTGTTGACCTCTAGCTTTTGCTGTAGAATAGACGGGATTCGACTAGGACAATTTTCATATTTCGCCCGGAGGGAAGACATAGCTATCCCAAGTGACATATCAAGAGTCCTAGGTATCATTTTTCGCTCGAACCTGCCATCTTCAATAATTTTCCCAAGGTCATACTACATCACCCTTGTTCCGACGACGACATCACCCAAATAAATATCGCACATGCTAGGCACACCACCCCCAATCCCGACCATCAAACTAAGACGGACTGCTGTGAAGGTACGTTTCATGTTGGTCATAACTGTCGCCGCGTTATTTGTTCCATACTGGTCTGCTGGCAAACACGTAATGACAACCTGATGTTGCTTGATGCTTCCAAGGACGTAGGTGTTGGTGTCGCCCGCATGGGTTGGCAGGGGTTGATGTATATAATCTAGCATAGCTCGAGCTGCTGCCATTTCTATATGCAACGCGCACACCCAGGCAATGGTGTATTCATCGTGTGTCAGGGCGGGTAATCGGTCATGGTGGGAAGTCTTCTGTCGCTTGGGCGGATGAAGCTCGGCCGTGATAGAGCCATAATTGGCTCCTATCTGGATACCGGTATTGGGACCATAGTGGTATTCCGAAGCCATGATCAGGATGGCATGTTCTTTCTGTCATTGCGCCGTGTCATCCCCTGGCTCTCGGCTGAGAGGAGAGGGGGTTCGCCCGCCGTCTCATCATGTGATCTTAGGGCGCTTAACCCAATCTCACTGTACGAATGTTTTAGAGTGCTTGGACGGTATTTATTTGCAGCTGTCTATGATTGAAGATAAAGTTACCTGACCTTCCAGTCTTGACTAATGCCTATGTAGTTGACTTGGACTCCGAATACAGTCACGATACAGCTTGTCATATTGGCACAGAATGGTAACTCGCGGCATTGGTTTCGATGCAGGATCAGTTATTTTCCTTTTTGTACTGCGTTTAGATAACCTAATAAGGTACCTTCTAATAGTCAACTTTCAACTAGCTTACTTCTCTGAAATTTGTTTATTAATAAGTGCTACAGCTAACTTAAAACTCCACAAGTCATGTAGACTAGTTGGTCTTGGCGTGGAGCCTGGAGGCACCTGAAACAATCCAAAGTGTAAGTGGTCGTACTGGTTTCGGGAAGTTTGTATAGACGAACATCCTCGTTGCTACAGTACATACTGTAGGGCGGGTTAGGATTGTATCATTCGTGAATTAATTTCGGATGAATACATCAGGGGTCCCTGCGCGTCATGTGGAATACAGGTCCTATATTACATCCGGGGATCGACAAAAATACTATATATGAATTAGCGTGATTCAACCTATGGTTCGAGAACGAAAGTCTAAGAGCGTAGAGGTAGTTCTGATTTTGAATACTATTGTAATGCTCTGTTAATGATGTGCCAGGGAGTCATGGGCTCTTGGTCACCTTCAGGTGGATTGGAGACAATAGGGAGAATCAACATGAAAACAAATAACATGAGGTAAAGATCTGCCTCTACACTCTTAGATTTTCACTCCCAAATCCTAGCTTGCATCACGCTATTCTAGTTTTAGCCAATTCCCAGCAATCCCTATTTGACCGTATTGTATTCCCTGGTAACAATGATTGATTCATTGTCATAATCCCGTAATTTACCTCAGAATTTAATAGAATATTTCATGCGAAGCGACCAAGGAAAGTGAACAACCTGCCAAGATCCGTTCCAGGTTGGCGAATAATTCAACATGACATGGTCCAAAGTGAGCGAACAACGATTTGAACGTCCACTTGGCGAGAATGAGACATTTATCAAGATAGTTGGTGATGCCGCTCGTCCGTTCAATCGTGAGCACTGGGCTATTAACATCATTGCCTCGGTGACCCCGCTCGGCTCACTCGCCAAAGAAGATCTATCCTTTCGCTTCTGTGAGGCATGGAAAGCTTTGCGCTTCAGTCACCCCACGATCGCCGCCTATATTGTAGATGAAACGAAATATGTCTACGATATACCTGACCTCATGGCGCTCGAGAGATGGGCGGCGGAAACCTTTCAGGTGATTGAGGACAAAACGGTCGATGAAGTTATCGCATCTACCACACGCGTTCCATATGCTACTATGACCTTTTTCCCCAAGACAGGTGAGGTATTGGGCCGCTCGCAACACTGGAGAACGGATGGGATCGGAGGCTTGATTCTAATGGACGACCTCCTTGACCTGGCCGCGCAGTCCGCTATAGATGCTTCCTCCCTGCCATGGGGTGAAGAGACTGACCGCTTAGCCCCGTGTGTCGAGGAAGCGTTATCCACTTTTGTGACGTCGGAGAGCCAAGATAAGCAACTAGGTCAACAGTGTGTTGCAAGTTTCGGCCATGCCGCTGGGGCCATCGGAGTCACCTGTCGCGCACCAGACGAGACTTCCCCAGGTGGTACGTGCATCAGCCGTCTGCATCTCAGTGAGGAAGAGACGAAGGCCGTAGTACAAGGCTGCAAGGCTCGGAAGCTCTCAGTAACAGCAGCAGTACATGCGTCAATTGCCGGAGCCAACTATGCGCTTGCTACTGCTGACGACCAGAACAAACACTATACAAGTACGATACGTTACAGTCTGCGCCCGTTCCTACCAGAGCCGTACTCTGGTCGCCAGTATGCAAGCACGATCTTCACGACAGGTTGGATGTTCCCTGTTTCGTCCGAGTCATCATGGATAGACCGAGCAAAGGCGTATCATGACGAGTACCGCAAAGGTCTAAGTCATGCATACCTTTCGGCGCATCGTGAGTACGCTATTGGGCTATGCAATCTTCTTCGCAACTTGCCGAAGAACGCCCCTTCGCCAACCAATGTGGATATCAGTAGCCTCGGCGTATGCGAGAAGCTTTTGGCGAGACAAAAGGGAACTGCAGAGCGGGGAATCCGCGTCGACCGAGTCTCAGGCGGCTTAGATATGATCGATAGACAGTCTGTGTGTCATGTGTGGACCTTTCGAGACCAACTTTGTTTGAATTTGGTATATAATGAGGCCTTTTATGATAGGGCGGAGGGTGATTCCTTTGTGCAGATTGTTAAAAACTCTCTGCTGCATGAATTGAGGTAGATATTCGTAAATATATGAGTTTTTATTGGATACCAGTACATCATTGTTGTATACAAAAGCACCAAAAATGGTTGCTGTAAGCCTCAATCAATCTAGCCATGTATGAAGACAGATCTTTACTGCTAGGGGATATGAGCGTAGAGTGAGGGGTATCATGCGTATATGAATTTCATGTGAATTACACTAAGAAAGGTCCCGGCACGTCATGTAAAATACAGATTCTATCACAAAAAGTAGGTGATCGACGATTTTACTATATATGGATTAGCGTTTTTTGGGCTATTCGGGGATGAAAGTTTAAGAGTGAAGTAGTAAGTTTGATTTCGAATACTACTGTAGAGTCAACAAGGCCTTTTCTTTGTGTCCACCAATCCCGGTTCTCTATTCAGCGCCACTTGGTGGCTCATCCCCTTGACTTTTTTTTGGGACCAGTGCTTCCTTCACTGCTGCTGCTTACCCACTATACTAGTATCAGTCCGTGGGCTAAGCCCCACTAGAAAGCCTAGTGCCTTCGTAAGGCCGGTGCTTCTTCACCGCATGCCTGTCGTTGTATCTCAGTGGCCATCCTCCCGGGCTCACTGTTCGAGGTGGGTGATGAGTTCAAAAAGCTTCAGAGGGAGGAGTGGCCTTTCAGCAGACTCGGGAAGCAAATTGTGGTGTTCATCTGAAAGGAGAAGGAAGACTTGCACAGTCCGAAAGGTTAGTGAGGCACTGGAGATGAATATTGTAAACATACCTTGAACTCGTCAAAGAAAGTCGAGAGAGGTTGATCAGTGTGATCATGATGATGACAAGTGTGTCAAAGAGGAAGATGAACATCGATTGATGGGTGCATAGTGCATGTATGATGAAGACATGACGGAGGCGTGGAGGTTTGAAGTTGAAACGTGGAGAAGATATAGGCAAGTCCGAAGAGATGAAGGAACGAAATTGGAGCTTCCAATGGACGAAGGCAAGTCAAGTCAAAGAAGAAAGTCGACTTTTGGAAGAGGTGAAAACAAGTTCAAGGTTCAAAGCAAGGATGAAGTCGGAACTTGAAGGAGAAGATGAAAGCAAGTTCAAGAGGAGGAATGAAGCTGGAACTTGCAAGACATGAGATTCAAGTTCGAAGTTCAAAGTCAAAGAAGAAGGAAGTTGAACTTGGAAGAGGTGAAAACAGGTTCAGCGTGTAAGAACGAAGCTGGAACTTGGTGAAGATGGTGGCAAGTTCAAGAAGAGAAGGAGGAATGAAGTTGGACCTTGCAAGAGATGACACAAATTTGGAGCCCAAAGAAACTGAGTGGAGATGGAACTTGGAAAAGATGGAGCAAGTTCAAAGTGTAGGTTCAAATGTTGGAAGAGAAGAGAGTTGGAGAAGGAAGAAAGATGGAGGAAAGAAGAAAAGAAAATGGAGGTATTTATACTCTTGGGAGAGAGAGAGGGTGCTCCCCCGTAATGACACCTGAGCTCCTGAACAAACAACAACCACAAAAAGGGAATGTGTGTGCATAACGTCTGAATGTCTAGTCCCACGGACTACATCTACACATGAAGTGATCAGAGGCATGTAATTTATTAATGAGTAAGCCAACATTACTATTGAATTTTGGAGACCATGAAAGTTACAAAGTACATCAAAGGCAGTGATCAAGAAGCACTGAAACTGCAAGCTTTTCGAGGTGCAGCATAAACAACTCCAAGAGCACGAGCACAGGATCAATCTCTTCAAGTATGTGTTACATTTTGAAGTAATCTAATGTCTACCAAAGAAAAAGAAATTTGGAATGAAGATGGATATCATGTGGATATCAAATAAGAAACAAAGCCGAAACCCCGCAAAAACACGCTTTTCATAGTCCCATGCATGACAAAAACTCGAAATCCTCAAGCTGCTATAGTATATTCCGCTCATTCAGCTGAACAATACTTGGTTCCAACAAGTTCACCAATATCGATATCTTGACACCAAAAGAGAAGATCAGAGAAAATCAACCCAGTCTAGACGAAAGGAAACAAATCAGTCCCACAGCACCTCTTAGATAATTTAGAAACGCAGATCCCAGCCGATCTTAGGTCCAAGACGGGGAAGCTCATCAGCCACGCTCTGGACATCCTTGTCACCACGACCACTCAGGTTCAGAACAATGTTCTGACCCTTCTCCATGGTCTTGGCCAGCTCCATGGCACCGTAGACGGCGTGTGAAGACTCAAGAGCGGGGATGATACCCTCAGTCTGAGAGAGGGTACGGAAACCGATCAGAGCCTGGGCATCATCGGCGGCGATGAAGGTGGCACGGTCAGCGTCCTTCCAGGCGCTCAGCTCGGGACCGACACCGGGGTAGTCAAGACCGGCGGAGATGGAGTGGGTCTCGGCGATCTGGCCGTGCTCGTTCTGGAGAACGTAGGTGCGGACACCGTGGAGAACACCCTTGGAGCCACCGGAGAGGGTAGCGGAGTGGCGAGCAGTGTCAACACCGTCACCGCCAGCCTCGACACCGACCAGCTTGACGCTGGGGTCCTTGGAGAAGGGGTAGAACATTCCGACGGCGTTGGAGCCACCACCGACACAGGCGACGACGGCATCGGGAAGCTTTCCAATGGCCTCTTGCAACTGCTTCTTGGTCTCGTCACCAATGACGGACTGGAAGGTGCGGACAATCAAGGGGAAGGGGTGGGGACCAATAGCGGAACCAATGATGTAGTGGGTGGTGTCCAGCTCGACGACCCAAGCACGGAGAGCCTCGTTGACGGCGTCACGGAGAGTGCGGCTACCGGCATCGACGGCAACAACCTCGGCACCGAGAAGCTTCATACGGAAGACGTTGAGAGCCTGGCGACGGACGTCCTCGGCACCCATGTAGACAGTACACTTCATGTTGAACTTGGCGCAAACAGTGGCAGTGGCGACACCGTGCTGGCCAGCACCAGTCTCAGCAATGATGCGAGTCTTACCAAGACGCTTGGCGATCAAAATCTGACCAATGGCGTTGTTAATCTTGTGGCTACCAGTGTGGTTGAGATCCTCGCGCTTCAACCAGATGTTGGCACCACCGCAATGCTCAGTGAGACGGTCAGCAAGGTGCAGGCTGCTGGGACGGCTCATGTACGGGTAGTAGGAACGGAACTCCTCCCAGAACTTGGGGTCATTGAGGGCCTCGTTGAATCCGTGCTCAAGCTGAGCAAGGCAGTCCATGAGAGACTCGGGAACATACTGTCCACCAAACTCGCCGAAGCGGGAAGGCAGAGCCCAGGTCTCCTTGGTAACGTTCAAGGCCACGAGCTGGTCACCCAATCCAGGGCCGTTAGGGGTGTCAGCCTCGGTAAGGACCTTGCTGGGTTGGGTCTCAGCGTTGGCGAGAGTCTTCTGGATAGGCTCGACAAGGTTGATCTCACGGGCCAAGTTGCCTTGGGCATCACGCTCCCACTTGCGGCCAGTAATGCTGGACAGGTAGTCCTCGGCAGCCTTGGCGGCCTGGCCAGGAGCAGCCTTGCCGACGGTAGTGATGATCTGACTTCCAATAACGACACCCTCAGCGACCTCCTGGACGTCGAGGAAGTGCTCGCGAGTGCTGACTCCGAATCCAAGAGCAGCAGGCACGTTACCAGAGTACTCATGGACGCGGCGCAAAAGGTCGGGAATGTTGGCACTCAGCTGGCCGGTAGCTCCAGTAACACCCATGCGGGACACAACGTAGATGAAAGAGTCGGCAATCTTGCAGAGAAGCTTCATACGCTCGTCAGAAGTGGCGGGGGCAATAAGAGGGACGTATGAGAGACTAAACAAATCAGCTTTGAACTAGTAGGTGAAATGAGACCAGGGCATGTAGAACTTACCCAGTGCTGGCGCACAAGTCACGGAAGCGAACAGCCTCCTCTGGGGGCAGGTCGACCATAATGAAACCGTTGACACCGGCATCCTTGCAGTCCTTAAGCATGCGCTCGTCACCGTAACGGAGAACAGGGTTATAGTATCCCATCAACATGATAGGGGTCTTCAAGCCACGGCTGCGGGCCTCGCGGACCATACCGAGGACGGTTGTGACAGTGACACCGTTCTCGAGGGCCTTGGTGTTGGCAGTCTGAATGGTAGGGCCATCAGCAATGGGGTCGGTGAAGGGAATACCGAGCTCAATGATGTCTGTAGTGAAGTAGACCTGTTAGTCAATGCATTCCAAGTTACCCCGCCATCAGTGGAACTTAACATACCGGCACCTCCATTTTCCAGACCAAGGAGAATATCAACAGCCTCTTCAACTGTGGGGTATCCAGCAGTAATGTAGGCAACAAGGGCAGACCGACGCTGCTCCTTGCACTTGGCGAATGTAGCTTTAATTCCGTCCATGATTGTAAAGAGGGGAAAGTGGGCGGTGGCGAAGGTGGTGAGGGGGGAGGATGAGAGAGAAAAGGGGAAGTAAGAAGAGAATAAGTCTGAGCTATCAGAGTAATTCTCAATTGACCTGCTTTTGTGTGCTATGCAAGGCCAATGCTGCTATGTAAGTAATGATGGACATGAGTCAATCTGGGATTTCGAGTCCCGCTATTGCAGTATCACGTGCGATAAGATATTGAGGAATCACGTGCGTGGCGGCCCCACGTCGCACAGCACGTGATGACGGCCCTTCTCTAAGGGCTCTCTGGATTCTCTGATTGGTCAGTCTCCATGATTCGCTGTGAAAGCTGATCTACACGCAGGTACTCAACGCACATACAGTAGAACTATGACGTTGCAAACAGTGATCATCATGACAATCATTTTATTACGTCAAGGCCAATCAACTTCCAATCAAAGCTCATCAGACCAATAGAAGGGAAGAAACAGATATGAGAGTAAGAATTATCCAATAGTTGAATCAACAATAAAACTAGATACTAGAGGGGCATATAGATAATAGCCCAGTCCCAACGCCAGAACAATGCAAAAATAACAATGACAACCCTCGGCTCAAACAATAAAAAGTCACAGAAGAACTCCCAATATTATCCATGGGAATGACAAGATGCAGAAGTAGCAAGAGCCACATCGGCATGACCATCATTCCCCAAATGCGCCGGGAGACCAAACAAAGGAATCAGCAATAGCCGACTCATCTCCCATCCATTCCCAGAGTATAAAAACCAAAAAAACCAAATCTATCCCAAGTCCGTCCTGCGAATGCAATAAAGGAATGACTGCAGCGCCCATGCTATGCCAAGTACTCGTACAGTAGCCCAGAAATTTTTGTATGCGAAAAGGAGAGTAAAGCCCATATGCCCGGCAAGTATGCAACCCAAAGATAAAGGAATGACCAAGACACCGTCTAAAAGCAAATGTTGGGTGGGGGGCATTCAGGCATGAAAGATGTAAGGAGAGGCGTCGTTCAAATCGTGAATCGAAAATCGAAAAATCAAAGTTGTGATCGGTGCTCGACGAATGAAAGCCATTCGTGGAGACCGACAGCGTTTGGGCGTGGAAAGGAGTGACAGGAAGGAGAATCATGTATCTTCAACAGAGCAGAGGGGAAATATAAAATAGAAAGAGATGAAAGCAAGAACGCAATCAAAAAATCAAATCGATCGAGAGGAGGTAGATCAGATCATGGACCGGGGGCGGGTGTGTCGTGAAGAGGGTACACGGGGTCCATGTATGTGTAGCAGGCGCTAGCTGACGGAGCGGGTGCGGGTGCGGGGGCTCCGAGACCGTGCATTTCCCATGCTGATCGCGGGGTGGGAGCGACCATGCTATGAGTGTTGTGGGGTTGGCAAATGGCCGGATATGAATATCCACCCATGCCCATTGTTGTGTAGGGTTGTGTTGCAGATGGAATCACGGAGCGCAGGTCGGGGGCTGCAGTCAATGAGGCACACTGATCCGGCTGTGTGGAGTAAACCGGGGCTCCCATGGCGGGGACGTAATGGTTGACAGGTCCAGAGTCCGAAACCGAGCGAGGGGAAGGAGCAGTGTGAGGCTCAGTCCCTGAGTCGGAACCAGTGCCGTGGCTAGCATAGTTTGTCATCGGAGTAGTCATGACACCAGCAGTGGAAGAGTAGCTCGCGGACTGAAAGATGGGGTTAGTCAGATCCAACAAGGGAAGTATGTTTCGAAACTTACGTATTTGCCAATGATCTTCTTCAGGGCAAGGCTCAAGATTCTCCATGGGAAGACCTTGACGTCCTTCTCGATGTTGCGGGGCTTTGGGGCGGGGAAGCCCATGATGACCTTGAAGAATTCTTCGCTGTCGGCCTTGGCCTTGGAGACAGTGAGGGGGCGGAATCCTTCCAAGTTACGACGAATGCGGTTCTTCTCCTCGACGGTGAACCGGACGTTGACGAGGGATTCGAGTAGGTAGATGGTATCCACGCTGGTAACGTAGCACTCATCTTTACCCTCCCAAGCAATACAGCTAATGCAGATGCTCTGGGGGATCCGCTCCTCGGGAGTCACGGCCTTGAAAGTGGCATGGATGGTGCTTCCGGTCTGGGACCGATCGAACTGCACAAGTCGGCGCTGAGCACTCTGCTCATCCTTGGTCCAGCCATGAGCCATGGAGTCCAGGTCTCCACTAAGTTTGAGAACAGCCTTGCTCGGGTACATGGCGTAGGGATTGAAGGTTTGGCTGTGTCCAAGGCCAGATGACTGCTGCAGAGTTGATGTGCGGATCAACTGAGGGTTCCCGCCTTGCGCTGGGGATCGGACCCTGCGCTGCGCAATGCCGTGTGTCAAGGGCAAGCCCGATGGGCGACCATCGTGGCCGATTGATACGAACGACGGGCTCCAACTGGGGGTGAGGGGAGAAGGAGCACGAATGGAAGATTGAGGAGTGGCCGACACAGTAGGGTATTGAGCAGGGCCGGTTCGAGGAGAGGAAATACCATGGTATGGAGCCACGAAGCCTGGGATAGCGGGCAGAGACTGCACATATGGAGAGAAGGAGGCAGAGCGGCTGTGGTTGTGATTGTGGCTGTGGGTATCGCGGTAAGAGTAGTTCTCTTGAGGCTCAATCTTGGGAATGACAGGCCCAGTGGAGCGCTTCACAGACGTAGGAGGGGCATTGTCGGAGTAGGAAGAGAACTTGCGCTTGTGCGAGCTGGCAGAGGAAACTGACTGACGCACATGCTCATAGGTGTAAACACCCACTTGGAGGGTTGCAGACGGCAAGTCACTTTGGCCTTCCATGACCACCTGAACGGGAACAGCGAAGGAAGGCGAGCCAGTTGAGATGAATTGAGGGGCATCAGCCGACAGGGCGTATTGGAAGGTTGTACCCTCGAAGCCCAGGAAAGTGGGGATGCACTCGCACTTCTGCGAGCCAAAAACCACATACAGAGTGCCATATGCGGAGCTGTGGAGATCATAAGGTGACTGGATCTGCACAACAACCCGGGTCCCCTCGCAACCACGCTGGGGACTATATGTAACAATCTCTGGCAACTGTCGGGAACGGGTACTCATTAATGGAGACTGCGACTCCTCGTACGAGCTGCCATACTCGTTGCCGGGGATATAAGGGACACAGTCCGAAATCTGACTAGCCTGGTCGGCCATGGGAGAGGGAACAAGAGAGGTAGTAACGTAGGGAGATTGGCCGTATGCTGAGAACGAACTCGCATCATGCAAAGATCGCGTGGAGGCGTAATCTAGATCACATCGTTAGTATCACAGTCTATAGGCCTGATAGGATCGAGCAAAACATACCAAGTACAGCGCCAGCACCGGGTTTCTGGAAACCAGACATAGACAGAATAGGTTCAGACTTGGCCCAGAGGCCGTCTGAAAACGCACCGACAAACTGAGATTCTTCAGAATCCGAGAAATCCAATGACTCGCCTAAGATAAGAGGCGTTTGGAAATCTGGGTCGAACTGGAAGAAAAAGAAAAGAGACAAGTGTCAGCCGAAAGTTCTCATGTGCAGAAACCGGGGGGAAAGATGGTCTTCAAACAAGACTCTGGGCTAGGATTGGGGGGAGGAGGCAAAACATGCGGGCATCCAGAGGAGAAACAGGGGAGTTCAGGGTATTCTTACCAAAACACCGTGTGTCTTCGAGTAAGCCAGCTTGAATGTGTTGCAGCGAGTGCAACGAGACAGAACCTCTTTAAGAAGCGAATGACTGGGAAGTTATTTATTTCCCAAGATAAGGTCGGCAAGCACACGATAAAGGGGTGCACTCCGAGACAGAACGAGCGACGAGAATGAAGCTAGGCTTGTCAGTCTCACAAAAAGGCGGCGACTAGAAGCCTCGAATCACCATCCAGGATTTCCAGGACTAAGACTGAGACTAGACGAAGGCTGGCTGCAGCAAAGAACTTCAAATCACGATGTGTGCCCAAGATGGTTCGTAAAGGGAAGAACCTATTGCATTGAAGAGCCGAGTTTGAACAAGAGCCACCGCTAGTTGTGGGCGGGGAAGTCTGAAATTGTAATATCCACGACTTTGGCAAAGGCGTGTGGCGTGATGAACGATGACTGGCGAGGTTTGGGAGATTTCTTTTGTTTCGTGATTTAATCCCCGTATCTTGTTTCGGGAAGACTGGATGTCGATTGGGTATGATGAACTACTTCAGCAATGAGTATGAACGGTCTTTTGTTTCCACTTTGAAGCTGAGGTCGGAATGATGCATAAGACGACGGTTTTAGATGGGGGCTCACCGAGTGAATCAGAAATAAAAGAAGAAGTTGATTTGCCGTTCGATGTCGCCTAATATGCAAGAATTTGGCCGACGTAAGAAACTAGAAAAGCGTCCGATGTCAATAACAAACATACGCATGAACCCAATAGCGGGAAACGGGAGCGCCATCCGGCATCCACCACAGCTCTAGCTTCCTCTAGCTTCATCGGATCTCCAATCTTGATGACGGTCGTCATCTCCGGTGCCGTGGGGGGGGCAAAAAGATTGAAGCACGACGTCCCGACTGCAAGGAGATGCGACACGGCTGAAAGAGGAATAGATGCAAGGCACGGGGGAAGTGAGACCGTGGGCGAAGGGGGGAAGTGGGGTCTCTTGCATTTGATTTGCACTAACCTTAAGCTGAGCAATAAGTTGACCCTTGTCGGTTTTGCGCTGAGACCTTGCCAAACAGATCGTTGGCAGCCGAGACACAGGAGACTCTAGATCAATAGATATAGATGATCCCGTAGATCGGGTTTCGGGGAAAGGGACCCAGAACAAACGGGTTCCTGTCGAAGATGTGCAAACGCGCACGCCGAAGCCCTAGACAAGACTGGATGTGCAATTTCCTCCGATCGTATATCACGTAGAATCAAGGGTGTAGCGAATCACGGGGCGCAAGGCGTTGAAATTAAATATTAAGAATACTCGGAATATAACCGTATTTGGGTTTCCCTATATCTTCAAAGCGGGTTTGTGTCTCGCTTGAAATCTTCTTTTTTTTTATAGTTGTTGATGGTTGTTCTTGATTTCTCGTTTTCCAAAAATGGATTCAAATCAAAAGAAAAAACGTAGCGAACGTGATTTTCGTAAACGAACGAGCGTAAGAGCGAACGTGGGTGAGCGAATGTGGGGACCGATCAAGATGTCATATCAAGGAGAAAGAGAATCGAGGGGGAAGAGAAAAGTGATGCAAGGATGTCAAAGGGTTAAAAGCGAACGGTCACTGTATCGCGATTATTATTAGCAGCAGGTCAGAGTGCAATCCCTCCGGTCTAAACTGTATAGGGCCACGAGCGTGTGGAGTCGTTTCCCACGCTTGCACGCTTTGGGAAAAAGCCCAGAATTATGGGATTTTTTGTTTTTTATTTTGGGATTTTTGTCTTTTTTCCTTTTTGCTGATTATTATTTTTTACCCTTTCGGTTGACCACACTAAATCCACTAGTGGGAAATCGTGGCGGGGGATGCGATGTCGAGGGAACTGGGGCACCTTTACTACGCAACACCGGAAATCAGATCGTCACACGGGAGCCAGGGTCTCGGGGGAAATTCATTGTTGACAACTTCTCTACCGGCTGACGCTGCGTACATGTACATGTGCTACTTTAGGTCGAGCATACCGGATGCCAGTTACTTCGATCCGAGCGGTCCGGATCTACTTGGATCTGTGAACATGGAAATTAGGAAGTCTACATTTACATTCCTCCTTGATAGGAACCTTGGAACTATGTCAAAATGTGAAAAAATTAATAATATGAGAGAATAAACGAGAAATAAATTTCTATGAGGGGGTGGGTCAAGAAGAGTAATACGAAGGCGAGCTTAGATTCGGGATAAACACCAATCTGGCGGCGTGCGCCGCGATAGAAAAGTGGATCGAGGAAAAAAAGGGAAAAAAGCCAAGAGCTTCACCAACCATGGTCAATCGCTATTTTGTAAGGGGTTCAAGAAAAAACGATATTAGGCTACATTGCTATTGAGAACCACGGTCGCTATACATTTCCAGCCCCAAAAATGACTTCATTTCAGTGGGGGAGTAAGAAAACAATTGTCGGTGCACAGCCTCTTGCAAAAGTTGGCAAATCGTCACCCAACCCCCTTTGGTTGTAATGCATGTCAAGATCAATGACCAATCACGGCTGACACTCCCAGCTTTTTCTTACCTTCGCTGCAATTTCATCCAATCACAATCCCCGATTTTCAAAACCCGTTCGCTCTTTTTATTACCCTCGTTTGACTTGGTATAATTAGCTCCCGCCCTAACTTACGGAAAGGGAGTCAGGCCGTGACGGGCGCTCAGAGCAAGGAAGATTCCAAAGTGGACAATCCCCCATCCCGGGTGGAGGACTGCAAGCCTCCCCCCCCCCCCTAAAACGGGGCAAAGACCCTGCGTTTTCCAAATCTTTCTCCAGAGATGCCAAGCAGCTCCACCCGCGGATGGGAGCGCAACAATTGGACTATAGTCGCCGGCCCGGTCGTGCGATTCTTCAGCCCTCGTGTCATTATGCCATCATGCATTGAGATACTTCACACGCACAACACTTCTATACGTTCTGCGTCCTCGAGGCTTCATACACGAGGGGAACCACGTCGCTACGTATGCCCGTGTTGGCCTAACCACCCCCACGCACGCCTAATAGAGTCATATCATAAAGTAATCGAGTCAAATCAGAAACCTTATGGAGCATCTGACAAGGTCAAATGGAAAGCGCATAGACAAATCATCGTGCACACGTATTTGGGCATTGGAAGTGAAAGTACCAGTACACAAAGGGCTCCGGTAAACGATAAGCTAAACATAGTACACCTTGCATCTCAGGTGACTTGGTGGCCTGACAATGCAAGGGCATTAAACGCTGATTGGACCAGGCAATACACACCATCCCCGATCGAGTATGGTGTCTACCCAGCCCGAGTTCCGTGTTGTTGTTTTTTCTCGCTGTGCCATTTCCTGATCCCTGGTCAAACGGGACGGTATCATCAACCATCGTCACTCTGCACTGTTACCCTGGTGCACCGATTTCTATTTCCAGTCTAGCAATAATTAAGTTAGTGAGGCGACAACTCTAACGGTCCCGATTATTGGGACTACTGATATCATTATTCTCTTTGATTTGACGTTGTCAATAAAATAAGTAAACCTATTGTTCTATGCTTGGCCCTGTCGATCGTGCTGCCCCAGACACTCCTGCACCAGCCGCCGACGATCATCGTGGCGGGACAATCCCGAATTGACCCCATCCGCACGCAAAAATTTAAATTGCATTGAAAAGTCAATGCAAGTGTGCAAGGGTGAGCTGGTACGTGGTAAATGAGGTTGGGACAGGGAGAAAGATCAATGCACGTAAGGACCGCAGATCGTTTTCCCCTCCCCCTTGAGATCAACACGAACTGCTAACGGCTATGCATAGCAAAATTAAACTACCTGCATATACCAGCCACCACGATGTCGAGGACCACAAAAAAAAAAGTGGCAGGGAACGCATCAGATCCTCTTCCGAGCAATTTCAATTCCCGCTTTTTGTTTGGTGGTTACATCCTCGGTTACCGTTTTAGCACTCAACTCCGCCATTTTGCCACGTTCAAGACACCTGAAGTGGACCGTTTACCGTGTGGAATGACTGAACCATCCGGAGAGACGGGAGTCGGGTTCAAGCGACTGTGGATCGGGATGATCAGCAATCGCTTGCCAAAGCTTCGGTAGGATCGCCAATCACGTCCAAACGGGAGTCAACGGCTATGAACAAAGTTTGGATTTCATTATCTTCTAGCTTTACTTCAATTTCCCCCTTCCAACTTGCAAGGAGGAAATGAACGTATATCAGGTCGTATCGATGATCACATCCCTGGTTCTATCCGACCCAAGCCGAGTCGTTTGTCATGGTGGATCGGCGGATCCTCGGTCCTTTACCCACATTCCAAGATTCTAATTCAAAGAGATCTTGACTCGGTACTTCCATTGACACGGCGGTTCGGCCGTCCATTCGGAACCGGGAGTTTAAGTGCTAAGGAATGAAATAAAATACTTTTATGGGACTTGCAGTGGGAAAAAAATTCAAAGAAAATCCCCGATTCGTCCCCCGACTGCCTCAATTCAAATCCACAAGGAAAAAAGCGGAGCCGTGCAAATTCAGGGTTTCGGAGCTTCATCTTTCTAGCAGTTTCTCCGTACACACACTAATACTATCGGCTTCTGCCTATTTGCTGATATTCACGCGCTACTGACTCCACTCTGTATTAAGTGGTTCGAAACTATTTGCTTCAAGCCACCTTGTTAACCTACAGTAGTTCATGAACGCTGACGTGGTGCGTTACACAGCTCTTAAGATTCAATTTTATAAACTCAATGAAAATATCAATATCGCTCATAGAGCCTTGCATGTTCAATCAAACTCGGTGATCGTCTTCTAAGTGAAACAATCCCGGTCTTCAGCTCCACCCCCCTCCTCCGGCAAGGTTGGAGAATGGGACCCTTGCGCAGTCTCTTTACCAAATCTTTTTTTGTCCCGGTTCATTTCCCTAAGGTTGGCAGGGGATTCAGTCCGTGGTACTGATTGCCAGGGGTGGGAGATATCTTCAAACGCCCACATGGTTCTTTTCCTAGTCTAAAGCTGTGGATACCGAGGATCCTCGTCGCTCAGCCACATTGTGGCCCTCAACCCTAATGAAGTATTCATTTCGGTCGGTCCGCTGAGCCTCAGGTTCAAATTCCTACCGAAGACTGGTTTGCGGATCAAGTACTCCGTACTATTTACCGAATTAGGGCTGGAAGGTTATCTTCCGCTGATTTATCTTGTTTATTGAACTTTACTAGAGTGCACTGCCTTCTTCTTTGGGTAACCCCCCGACCGCATTCTGCCTAAATACTTTGTCACTCTGGGGATGGTTGTTCCTCCGGTGCTAAGTACTAGTCTACCACTCAGAGCTTGTATTTCTGCTTGGTACTCCATTCTTTATTACTTGCGTTGTAGCTTTAACCTTCCACTAACCACTCTATACGTCGGTACTATTCCAAAGAAAGTCGTGCTAGTCAGATCGGTACCCTTCCAAAAAGCCGCGTTGGTCAGATCGGTACTCTTCGATCGGTCGTACGGAGGTAGAGCGTACTTGGGTCAACTACTGGTTAGTTGGATTTAGCGCCCGTGGACGGACCACTCCATTGCTCTAGGAGACTATCTGCACGCCAGACATCAATGCCCCGTTCCGGCCCCTGTCCGGTTCATTCTCGGGCAATATGTGCCACCTACTCTTGGTTCCTCCTCCTCGGGACGGGGAGACGGGTGCTAGCGTCAATGGGTAGAACAGCGGTCAGGCTTATCTTGAGCATGGACAGACCTGAGTTTAATTTAATATATGCTACTAACAAACCACAATGAGAGAAAAGACCACGCGTCTATGTGACAGGTGTGTAGCTAGTTGCATCATCCCATTGGCTCCAAGCAGGAAAAGTACCAAGAAAAAGTACCAGGGCACACATCCATGTAAAACCTGTATCATCAACCCGATCAATGCCTTCAGCTTCGCTGATCTCCCCACGTATCGATACGGGGAGCCACGGACCTTCCGAAAGAAATCCCCTCGAGCTCTGCCTCCTGCTCTAACCCCAGTGACCGCTCCTCCCGTGTGCTGTTTCAGTACACCGAAGATCATAGGATGAGTTTCACACAGAGCTCACCAGACCAGGAATATTCAATTTCTTCAGCTAGCACCAAGCCATGTCCACCCACTTCCTTCACCGAAGATCGCATCTGATATAGGTATGGCCTGACGCGCGAAGCGTGCTTTAGTTTTTATTAGTGCGAATGGTGTACCAGCAAACTAAGTAGGACCTCCACACATCCACTATGGGGCTTCCTTGTAGATCTTAGCTTATTCGTGAGTATTAAGCACGTTCTTAACAAAGTTTGCCTTGGATATTGGTTAAGTGGCAGCCTTGCATAACGACCTTCCTTGTACGGTCAGGTCTGGGGAGCTTCTTGGATCCTTGAATTTATCTGGAAAATGACCATTTGATTTGGTATACTTTTTTTCACTTCTTGTGGCGCGTGGCTGTCTGCCCAGGTCGTGGCTCAGGGGTTGTGAGACAGATTTTCGCTATTTTTAATCTTTAACCTTGTAGTTTGAATTTTTTTGGAATGTTGACTTGTCGGGCTCGCCGTGAGAGTTCAATGGTGTCATTATTACCTAGATAATGATATATTCGTTTATTCCCAAATTTTGTGAATGGAGAAATGTAGTTGAGGTTAAGTACTAGGTAGCACGAGCTGTCCGATATAGCGATCGACATCCCGCAGATATATATCGCGGAGAAAGTTTGCGAAATTCGGCCAACTTGGAATTACCCGAAATTTTTACTCATTAAACTTTTGATCGCGATTGATAAACTACTATTACTCAGGTACTCACTAGCTCTGTCATTATGTAAATGGAAGTCGGAAGAAATACGGCAAAGCCAAGATAGTCTCCTGATCGTCCACCCTTGAAACGACGGCCGAACTACGACCGTTTCAAGTTGATCCACGCGAGCCCCAAACTCCGCACTAAAAAAAATAATTTTAACCTCGCACTTGAGACAAACTGCAAATAACCCGCAATTACTCTGAAGCGAACCCATCCCGCACTTGACAGAAAGAAAATGAAGTGTCACCGTGCACAGTACCCGGTCACTGATGATCCCTCAATCAATCACTAACCCGAATCCTTGGTAAGGTTGATAGGCAAACCCCGAGATCTCGATCAATATCCACCAATGCGTCATACCTACAGTACCGACCTATAACCGGCGTACAGTATAAACCGGAACATTTATACCTGAATCAAATTAATTATTCTTTCAGACTCCTACACAAGCTCCTCCACAAACATGCAAAACAAGTCAAACGCAAGTGGATATCTTGCACACGCTAAAGCGATCCTCCGTAAACAAAGTGGAGCTTACAAAAGCCACAATGAACAAATCACAACGCAAATGTTCCTCGGGATCTCGGGTCCCATCCGCTCGCTCTCTCGCTTTAGGGGGGACTTTTGCGAGCGACTTTCTCCGTGTCCGTGTACTAAACCAGATCGAGTCGAGCTATTCTCGTGCTCCAATTAGAGTTCTACCCTCCGGATACATGATTCCCTCTAACCTTTTCCTGTCGGATCCGACTGTTATCCACTTTTTCCAAGGTTCTTTCTCTGGTGGGGGTTCATTTTTTAATTTTTCTTTTTTGGTTGTGTGCATGCACATGTGAGGTCAATTCGCATCGGTATTTCATTCCCTGGTACTTCTCCTGATTGTCCATCATCTATGGTACTACCGCCACAGCCCCTCAAAACCCAAACAATCAAGATTTGTATCAAGTGGAGGTGCATCCACCTTTCATGTGCCCTTTTCCTTACTGAGCATGATAGATTGCCAAGTACCGTTAAGCCAGGTATCCAAGCTCTGCCAAGTTAGGCAGCAGCCAATTGACAGTGCTAATATGAACCTCGGCTTGACAGCTGCCCATAACTCAATCGCTAATCCACATTCAGTGCTACGATAACTAATTTGGCAGGTGTCTTTAATCCTTAAAATGGGTAATTGTTTCTCATAGGCCCATCTAAGCTACCTTTTCCATTCGATTTCTGGAAGAAGTTCGATTTAGGTAAGATGAACTTTAGAGAAATCATGTACCGTGTTTCCCAAAATACCGAGGCTCAGGGTTTGGGTTTGTTTACTAAACAAAATCAAAAAAGCACAACAAAGAAAAAATTCCATTTGCTTCTACCGTATCCCGTAAACCTATTCTGGATGTACCTAACTAAGATGGTTACATGCTGAAGTTAACTCCACGCCAGCACCAAAATAGCTAGACCATACCAACGACATCATCACCCCATAACCGAGTCGGAATCTAACCGAGCCAAGACTGCGAATCGGAGACCCTGAATCGGACCCATACCTAATCCTGTTCTTGGCCTGAGCACCTATACCGCCAGTTCGCCAGTCGGCTGGGCAGTGCATAGGTATCAATTGGTCATGAGGATTGAGAATTGTCTCACAACGGCTAATGAACGGGATTACCAGGGTCCAAGAATAAAAAGTTTACTCAGGGTTCGGCTATCGTAATCCGTTCCTATTTTTACCGATCAGGATCAGCGACAACCTGAATTTGGGTATACCGTTATAGGGCAGAGAATGGATCATCAGTGATCGCCTGTAACGGTAACAATCTGATAATCCACGTGGCTAGTGCGAAGCTCAATGCTTAAACGGGGAGGCCGATAGCGAAAAATATAAAAAGAATGCTGTAAAACATGATGATTCAGATATTACGGGGACGTTGGTTTTGCGTAGCTGTTTTGGCCCCTTTTGTTAGTTCAGCCAGCCATGTGTGCACTAGTGGACGCCTCACCGGCCTGATCTACAACGTGGTCCCATGAGTCAGATACTGAGAATAGTTACTGATAGTGGCTGTGTAATAGGGGGAGCTTTTAGCGGTGTGATGCTTGTGTTTTCTTTTCTTATTCCGGGCTTTTGATGCTACTGTAGCAGCTTATTTGGGCAAGGCTTGAGTGGGTGAGAGTCGCTGGGTGAGATTATATGCGGGTTGCCGTTTTGGAGGGGACTGCAGATGGCGGTATGGGGCGATGTCCAACTGGCCATCTGCGCTACATTTTATGATATGGTAAGTTGAAGTGGTTATCAAATTCCCGGGCAGTGGCGAGACATACTAATCATAGCAATTCTAACTAATACATGCTGATGAAACAAAACACACAAGAAAACGATCGTAAGTCATGCACAATAAGACAGAACAAGAGATACAAGAGACAGGACACAACACAGAACAATACACAGAACAAAACAACGACAGACAAACCAACGACAGGAAGTGATATCACAATAACAAATGAAACAAATAAGAAGTGCAATCATAACGAATATAAGCTGACCATGAAGTCAGACCCGAAACAGAATTCTTCTCCTCCGTAACACATCATCATCGCCTCGAAACGCTGTTCTGGCCACTCATTCCTCTTATCGACATCCCGCCTCGATCTGGCAACAATGGACTATCGTCTAAAAGAAGGTAGCACTCTGGCTGATAGATCGACCGTAGCACGCGAGGAAAAACGGAGACCAGAATAAAAACTTCTCAGGCGCGACATGTTGATTGGCAACAAGCCATCGGGCGAAGAAACTCTCGGTGTGGAAAGGGTTCTTGCTGCGGTGTTCAAGGAGCTACCACATGTCAGCGTAACTCCAAACCTCAATGCCTCAAGGCCAGCCATCAAGGCTTAATAACGTTTTAGAGCCATACCTCATCGTATCGCCTCAGCACTTCATAATGTTGCTCGCCAAGACCGAACTTGCGCATGGTCTCGAGAGAGATCTTCCTGGCAGCGAGGCTGTAACCACGCGACATCGTTTCGTGGTCAAGGTAGTGAGCAGTCAACAAGAGACTGCTGGAAGAGAGATTTGGCTCCTTGGAATGAGCTACCTCGATGAGACGCGTGACGATGTCGGCTTGCCAACTCAGCAGCTTTGGATGGTTGAGCTCATTGATGTGGGACTCGAGCTGGTCAAGCTCGCTCATGAAGTCGCCGATGTTGCTATTCATCCGAGCCATTTGAGCCTCGATCTGGTGGTTGGTGAAGCTCAACAGTCTTACTCCCGGGTCTGCGCGCTATGTGGAGGTCAGTATGGGCCTGTCATATCTATAACTGGAAGCAGGACTCATACCCAAGGTCTCTTTGGGGGCTTGGAGGAGGAGGAGGTATTGAACGGCTCCGACTTGGGAATTGGGCCAGCACCAGCACCACGGTACTTGGTGCGGTGTACCTTGAGCAGGGCGGGCTCGCTCTTGGATGGCATAACGAGGGTGAAATGGGATGATAGTATAACGACTGCGAACCGAAGATGATTGCTCAGCAAGATATGGGCAAGGCTTTGATTAAATCTTCGGAGTGAATGGTGTTGAGGGAAGGAGGAAATAACTCGAGTGAGTGTTGACGAAATTGAACAAGGCAATGAATGGGTGAGTCTGTGATTAGTCGTTAGGCTGTGTTGTGAAATGAGTCGTGATTAGTCGTCGAGAGTCGTTGAGAGTAGCTGAGGCACCGTAGAAGGTAGTACTAGGGCAGGAGCAACCAACGCAGGCAAACACCAAGAGGTTTCATCAGATCAATGATGCATAGATTCTTATCTGATACGTTATGTAAAGTGCTATAAAGAATATAGAATCTCTATTGCCAGTGTCTACAGCTTGCTGCTCGAGGTCTTTCCGAAGTCGATTACCAACTTTCCAAACTGCTTGGCCTGCTTCATATCTTCAAAGAGGTCATCAATTGCAGCCAGATCATCAATCTCGACTTGCAGGACACGAGAGACAACAGGGTGGATGTTCTTTGCCTTGACGTAGTTCATCATTTCCAAGAACTCCTTGCGAGAACCCATGGTAGAGCCACGAACATCAATGTTCTTCAGGACAGCCTGCATCGAGAACGTCATTTTCGGTGAGACAGTCATTCCGTAGATAGATAGAACACCACCAGCCTGTCATGAATGTAAGTACCCGTGCAGAAACTCACAGATGCAGCAAAATCATGAAAAGAACTCACCTTCAACAACTTAACCGCCTTCTCAATAGAATCACCACCAGCCCCATCAATTATAGCATCAAAGTTCTTCTTTCCAGAAGGAAGCATGCTCAAAAGCTTCTTCTCCCATCCATCTTCCTTATAACTCACACCGCCAGCCGCTCCAAGCTCAACGGCCTTCTGAAGCTTCTCCTGACTAGAACTAGTCACAAAGACGTGAGCACCCCTCGCAACCGCAAACCGCAGCGCCATCAAAGCAACGCCACCCCCAATACCAGTAATCAGAACAGCAGCACCGTCCTTCGAGTTCCGCTCTCCGCCCTTCGTAACAAGAGCCCGCCAAGCAGTCAAACCAGTCAATGGTAACGCCGCGGCTTCAGCGTCAGAAAGATGTGCCGGCGCCTCTTCAACCTCCGACTCATCAATCGTAATATATTCCTGCAGAGTACCCTTGTCGTAAACTTTCGTTCCGCCCATAATCCGGTACCCTGTTGCCTCCTCAGGTCCGTCGGGGGAGTCTTTCCAGCCGATACCAGGGTTCAGGACGACTCGTTTGCCTTGCCATTTGTTGTCTGGGACGTTGGGTCCGGCACCAATCACGACTCCGACTCCGTCGGCTAGGAGGGGAACATCGAATGTGACACCTGGGTATAGGTGTTGGCGGAGGAATAGGTCGCGGTGGTTGAGCGACGCGGCGGTGAGCTTAATAAGTAGCTCGCTGCCCTGCGGAGTTGGTTTGGGCAGGGTGCGCACGGTGAGTGGGTAATAAACTTGACCGGGCTTGCCGGGTTTGCCATCAATTGGGGCGATGTATACTGCCTTGGACATCTTGGGATACTTGATGGGGTGGTTTGGTTCTTTCAAACTTTGGAGGGCGATGTTGATAACCCGTGCGGGGATGCTTGTTCTTATCGATAACCGAGGATCTAGGAATAGGTAATATATTGTACGGAGGCCCCGGGTAATTCGGCAGGAAAATGTGCTTAGGAAGATCACACCCGAATAGGTAATATTCAAAGGCTCTGGATAATTCAAAAGTACCTCGTAGTGATGGTCAGGTATGCTCAAAAATATGGCGAATCGTAAAAGTTGTATGACGGCAATATGTGGGGACCTCGGTCCCCGGGCCGAGGGCCTTACTAAGTATTTAAAGGTCAGGTTCTGACTTTCTCCAAATTGGAGTACATATCGACTAGCTATTTGTGGAATAAGGTATAGATTTTTTCGTATTTGGGTCAATTGGAGATTGAGAGTAAGAGCGTGAAAGCCATTATTTGAAAGCAAGGGTGCCCATAGTATAATTGTACATGTGATATGGATCTAAAATATATTAACATCCAGTGGCGTTTGTTAGTCTATTCGGGAGGCTGCAGATCATTAAACATAAGATAACATTGATAACATAGTCTATAGCTGTTTTGGTTTCTGACTTTTTGCCAATTCCAAACTTTGAACAAACAGATATGATGAAGGACAGAATAAAAGAGCACAGATATCGGTCCATTAAACCACAAAAAAGAGACACAAACCGAATTTTGGAAGGTCACTCGGTAAATTCCACAGGAATAGCGAGAACAAGGTGTCCATTCCGAACCTCTTCCACACCCCTATCACTCCTGGGGCCTATATCCACCGAGGACACCGAAGCAGTATCATCAGTCACGTTAGGAGAGATATAATTCTCGAAGCGACGATCATCTAAATGACGATGAACATGGTGTCGAGCCTCTGCCTCTGCCTCTGCCGCGGCCGCAGCTGCAGCTGCAGCCACACATTGCGGGCACTGGCATCTCGGCTGGGGCTGCTGGGGTCTAGCGCGAGGGGTTGGGGCTGGAGCCTCAGCCTGATGCTGGGCTCCAGGAATAGGAACAGCGGTGTGTTGACATACATGGTGATATTCCTGACAGTATAGGCAATATACCATACGTGGGCCGGCCGCAGGGCAGTCAGGGTGGCAGTTTGCTGGAGCAGGAGGAGGAGCTGCAGTCACTGTCCTGGTAGCTTGCGTCGGTGGCACAATGGCATGGTGGACGGTAGCAGTCGTGGTGGCAGTCCTGCAATGTATGCAGGTACATCTTCTCACTGGCGGAGGCTCTCGTTCCTCGATGAAGCAGCCACAGAATGGAGTTAAGCGAACCGTATTGCGTTCAGTGTCCCCACTGGTGCTGGGTGTTGGAGGTCTGGGCTGCTCATACTCGCGCCCACATCGGGGACAGGTGTGTCTAGCGGCAGGAGAAGGATCTCGGGGCGCACGTCGTGGGGCAATCCCGACAGGTTGAGGCATAATGTGCTCACCCCGGTTATAGCCTGCTCGAAGAGGCTTGCCCTGCCAGTACCACTCATAGGGAAAGTCGGCTTTGACGACATACTTCATTTTGGGTCGGTGTCGAGGGGTGCCGGTGAACATGCTATTGCTTGTAAGAAAATGAAATCTGAGGAATGCTAACTTGCTTTTGCAGAAGATAGAGTTGAAACTGGTAAAGTGTCTTGTTGTGGTAAAGAATAGGCTGTTGCGGGCAGATGATGCTTTAATATATTCTGAGTCTATTCCTAAATTTCAAAGCTATACTTGGGTAGTTGTTAGAAGTCTTTGTCAACTTTGAAATCTCATGATGATTGTCTGGTTAGTGAAGTTTGTGTTAAGATCTGTTGAGACAGAACTGCCGTAGATTCAGTCGGTGTAGGAGCCAGCTAGCGTGCAGGTGGCACAAAGCTACGCGGACTGGGTATCTATACGTCGAACAAAGGAACCCTATGTATCAGACCGGATGGAAGAAAAAGAATGGGATTTACAAAACAGCCACAGACTGGTCTGAATCCTAACGGAAGCTATGCAGGCTGAGTCTTTCAACGGGGAGTCCACCTAACGCGGGGTGGCTGGAATTGTACAGCCGCATAAAGAAAGGGATAGCAAGTGGTTCACTGGATAGAGCTAGGTATGCAGGTATCCTATCTAGTAGAGAAAGAAAAACATGAGAAGAGAGCTAAACGACTCGTATCAGCGCAAGGGTGACATGAACGACCAGTCCAATCCAATTCAATCCAATCCAACCTTAACCGTTTGAAAGCAGCTCCACCCAATGATGCGTGGGGCGTGGCATCAAGTCACCATACACGTCCATCTTTGTTATTGCCACACCCCTTGTTTAAGCCACCGCATGCATACTGCGTAGATGCCACAGACATTTTTGGTCAATTTGCGTCACCACGAAACAGAGTGAAACATAAGATATGCACCCTGAAAAAGAGTCTATGAAGACATGTATCTTTGTGAAATGTCTGATATATAGAAAAAAAGCCTTTGTCTCTGGATTTCAATCAACACGTGTGGACAGAGTGGGCAAGGTAGAGAGTACGTCAATGTGGAGAGCAAGCTTCTGTGCGTGGTGTGTATTGAATACCTACAGCTCAGTGGCTGACTGCAGCCAATGTGGTAATTGCAGTACTCCACCATACGTATCAGGCACTGAAATGGGGGGCAAGCACGCGACTCCACGGTGTTCATTACCGTGTATTTACCGGCGATGTTACTGCCACGCGCCCGCTAAATCATTTTTGCTCTAGCAAGCGAATTCGAAACTCGATCTCTGTTTCTTGATCTTGACCTTCAACCTCGTTACAGGCGCTCGCATTCTGCATTCCCTCTCTCGCAACTCCCTCAGTTCCGTCGATTGACTACCTTCTTGAAGTTATCTTCATCCTACTTCTATACACTACTCGTGTTCTGCGTCATTCCCGTTCGCATCACACTTCGCACTACCACGCCACAGCAAGTCTCGCGACGAACTATTTAGAATCGGCCGTTTTGTGGGGGATCATTCGTCCATACAAAACAACTTTTCCATAATGCCTACACCACTCCCATCGAGTTTCGCTTCCGCCGCCGCCGGCAACACCCAGGACCCTAATCGGAGAGGGGATGGAAATCCTGGTGGAGAATGGTATGCAATCTTGTCCTGTCCTGCCCTGGCGGTTCCCCTACCCCAGACCCCAGGATTATTGTGGAACGAAAGCTCTGTCCAAATACGCTGGTCATCTGGCGGACACTCAATTCGTCCCAAGAGGGATCTCCGTTGCTAACTTTGCGTAGGTCTCGATCCCGCATCAACGGAGCCACCCAGACCTTCCGCCGCCCTTCCGTTGCTACCAACCCTACGCACACTCGGGAGAGCAGCCATGCAGCATCTGCCTCAACTCCTACCTCCGGGGCTTATATTCCCCCGCACATGAGCTCAAATTCCTTGTCTAGTGGCGTGCGGAATGGAGATGCTCGATACTCCAAGGACCAACTGATAGACTTGTATAAAGCACAGCGGGAGTCGGGATCCTTGGGCAAGAACGTGGAGGACTACTTTGTGGCCGACTGGGATCCTCATATGGTGCCGACTTCAGTGAACGGAGCGTGGGGAAAGCGGGATGACCACAAGACCTCTGCGGGGCCCGAGGTGTGCTGGGACCATGGTGGTCAGGCTGAACCGCTGAGCCTGAGTGATATGACGGATAGTGAGAAAGAGGTGGGTCCAGTATACGCCAGTATGGGGCTGTGGGAGAACTTCAGACTAACAAAAAAAATTCTTTTAGTTCTTTGCCGCGTCCGTCAATTCTCCTCTCAAACCCCCACCAACGAACGCCCAGAAGGAAAACGCTGGGCCAACTCCTGGAGGTCGCAAAGGGTCAATTTCATACACCCAGGGCCACATTAATAACTACAATACCTCCTCCCCCACCACCAACCGCCCGGGTGTGAGACGTCGAGAGACAGGTGATTCCGTGGGCAACCCCATGTCTCCTACCACCTCCAACTCTCGCTTTTTCCGTGACGAAGCGAATACCTCTACCCCTCCTCCAGCGCTGCTACGTCGCAAGACCGATTTCCGAGAGCCGGGCATGAAATCGGACGAAAAAGCGGGTGCCGACGCTGCCTCTCCCTTCGGTTCCTTGAAGCGCAGCACGACGAATCCGATGAATCCTAACCCTCTGAATACGGCAGTCGGCCCGGGTTCGCCTTGGGGTCCGGCTTCGGCTTCGGCAAGTGCGAATTTCTCTCCGATGGGTGCCTTTGGAGCTTTCTCCCTTGGTTCAGGCTCTGTTTCTGCCACCACCCCCACGGCGGAGAAGAAGCCTGGGTATGGAAGTCTTCGGGGTGAGAGCAGGTTCAAGGGCCTGCTTTCGAAGGACAGCTCGGAGGATATCGCAGGATCTATGAAGGAGAAAAACCTGACTGGCCTTGAGCGACTAGTCGAGGACGATGGCAGCAAGCGTGCTCAGTCGCCTTGGGGAGATGCGGTGAGGAACCGTGCTGGTCGGAGCGAGACTAACCCATTCGACGAGCCTCGTAGTGGCAGTGCAGCTCTTGGTGGCTCTCAAGATGATGAGGCGCCTGGTCAGGATGCTGGCTTTGGCGCCTTTGGCATGACCTCGAGCATTCCTGGTTTCCGAGAGTTGATGCAGAGTCAGGAGAATTCGAGAAACCCTACGCCGAGCCTGCTCCAGGGACACGAACCGACCAGCCCTACCAACACCAACCCTTACCAAAGCCCCCATGGCGAGCGAGGAATGATGGAAGGGGAGGATGTGGATACTGACGGGTCGGACATTCAGCATCCCCAACACCCTGGACTCAGTGGGCTGCGCGACCCTTCCAATCCGTTTGGTTCGATGAGACGGGCTGGTTCGGGAATGGATCTTCCCAATATCGACCGCAGCCAGAACTCGAGCGTCAATGCCAACCGAACTTTCTCTGGCCTTGGTAGCCTGGGTGGCCTTCCATCTCTCGGTGGAGCTTCCGCCTGGCCCTCCGGAGGAGCTATCGGTACCCCGACTCGCGAGCGTTCTGCTTTCGGTGCTGGATTCGGTGATCCCATCTTTGGCACCATGGGCGACCTTCAGTCCCCGAGTCTGTCCACGCTGGGAGGCGGTGGCCTCTTTAGCCCGCATGCTGGTATTGCTGGGACTGCAAGCATTGGCCGGGGAAGCAAGCTGGGTGCCCTCTTCTCGTCGACCATGGATGACCAAGGGCGCCCAGATTCTGTGGGCCTGGGTGACATGTCTGGTCAAGCTGATCCTGGCCTGGTGAGCAAGCCTGGATCGAACTCTGCATCCCAGACACCCGTCTCGGCCGTTGGCTCTCTCCCAGTCAATTATAGCCAAGATCCCACGCAGGCCCAGACCCCTGGCGGAAGCGTCCCTGCTGCCCAGCAGCGCACCATGGTCATGCCTGATCGCATGCGCTGGATTTACCGCGACCCGCAGGGTAGCATCCAAGGACCCTGGACTGGCCTTGAAATGCACGACTGGTTCAAGGCTGGATTTTTCAGTCCTGATCTGCAAATCAAGAGACTTGAAGATGCAGAATTTGAGCCGCTTGCGCAGCTGGTGCGTCGCATTGGGAACTCTCGCGAGCCGTTCCTTGTTCCCCAGATTGGCATCCTCCATGGCCCTGAACCCAATGCTACTCCATGGACTGGCACTGGTGGCACCACCACCCAGGGCTCCGCTCAGCCTCCCTTCCCTGGCAGCTTCCCCAGCTTTGGCACCACGTTGACCGCCGAGCAGCAGAATGCTCTTGAGCGACGCAAGCAAGAGGAGCAGTACCTGATGGCCCGCCAGAAGGAACACCTTGCTCAGCAGCAGGCTATCATGAAGCAGATGGGAGGCTCGGGTAGTTCATCCATGCAGCCCCAGCTCCAGCACCAGTCTAGCGCCCATAGCCTTCACAGCCAGCCTAGCTTTGGCAGCATCGCCTCTCCTGGCGCTTACCAACCCTCGCCCATCCAGGCTCCGTTGCAGCAGCAGTCCCAGGGAGTCCCTGGCTTCTTTGACAGTGCTCCTCAGCTTAGACAAGGGGGCTTGCCCAACATCGGACCTGGTATGCTCGGCACCGACCTCGGTGGCGGACAGGACCAGCTTCCTGCTCTTCTTGATCGTCTGAACATTCGACAGGATCCATTTGCCTTCGGCGGAGCCTCTGGACTCGGCGGTCGTCAGCCTGATAACCTCTTGCACTCCCAGCAGGTCGCTTCTATGCTCCAGGACCGTGCCCAGCTCCAGCAGGAACAGGAACAGTTCGACAAGGCTAATGCCAATGACCCCTTCGATCAGGAGGCTCGTGAGGAGCGCCTGCGTCAGTTCCACGCTCTGCGGGCCCAGGAAGGTGAATTGGGCATGCGCACCGCTGAAGGTCTTCCCACCCACCCCGCTGCCTCTCAGCAACTTGAAGCCGAGGCTGCTGCTGTCGCTGCTGCATTGGAGACAGTGACAGAGCCCGAGAATGCTGCCGAGGAGCCTACTCTGACCTTGTCCCAGCAAGTCCAGAAGGCTGCTTCTGCGCAACGTCAGCAGCAGGAGGAGCAAGAGCAAAGCCAGGTCAACTCCGAATCTGTGTGGGGAGTCAGCAAGCTGGATCATGCTATGCCCCAGCCCTTCCCGCCGCCACCATCCGCATCGCCTCTGCCCGCCCCGGCTGCTCAGCGCAACCGCCAGCATGTCGCCGATGCCCTCGCTGCCGGATCTCGTTCTCAAACTCAAACCCCCATTGACGCCGCTCCCACTTCTGTCGCTCCTTGGGCAAAGGATGCCAATGAGCTTCCCAAGGGACCCTCTCTGAGAGAGATCCAGGAAGCCGAAGCTCGTAATGCTGCTCAGCGTGAGGAAGTTGCTGCTGCCACTCGCCGTGCTCAGCTCCTCGCCGAACAAGAACGCCTCAGCCAAGCTCAGGCCCAGATCGTTCCTGGCCTTCCCTCGTCGGCCAACTGGGCCAGCAGCGGATCTCCAGCTACCCCTACCTCCACCGGCTCTGCATGGAACACCAAGACTCAGCCCGCTCCCACCAACACCGGTGCCAAGAAGACCCTCGCCCAGATCCAGAAGGAAGAGGAGGCCCGCAAGCAGCGTCTGGCTGTCGCCGCCGCCGCCGCTGCCCAAACAGCCACCCCTAGCCCTCCAGCCTCTGCCAGCAAGCGCTACGCCGATCTCGCCAGCAAGGCCCCCGCCCCTCTCGCTTCTTCCGCTACAGCCCCAGTCGGTTCTAGCGCCTGGACCACCGTCGGTGCCAGCGGCAAGGCCAAGGCTCCTCCCGCCGCACCTCTTGGTCCCCGTTCAACAGCTACTAGCCCCCTCGCCTCAGTCGCTGTTGCCAAGGCCCGCCCCGTCACCACCACTCGCGCCGCGACTATGGGCAGTGTCCCTCAATCCAATGCCAACCGTGCCGTCGAAGAGTTCACCAAGTGGGCTAAGCTCACCCTCGGCAAGGGATTGAACAGCAACATCAACGTCGACGACTTCGTCCAGCAACTCCTCTTCCTCCCCGCCGAGGCCGAGATCATCTCTGACTCCGTCTACGCCAACTCTCAGACCCTGGACGGCCGCCGCTTCGCCGATGAGTTCATCCGCCGCCGCAAGCTCGCCGATAAGGGCGTTGTTGAGTCCATCTCTCCTAGCGCTTACGGCACCGAGCAGAGCGGTTCCGGTGGCTGGAGCGAGGTTGCTAAGAAGGGCTCCACTGCCAGTGTTGCTGCCGCCGCCGCTACCCAGCGTGAGGAGGAAGCTAGCAGCGCCGCGTTCAAGGTTGTTGCTCCTCGTAAGAAGACCAAGCGGTAAACGTGTGCGTTCCGGCTGTAGTTTTGATTTCACGCATTTTGTGTTTTTGTAACCTCGGATATGTGTTGAGTTTATGGGTTTCTCCATGTACGTTGACGATTTGGCGCTTATGACGCTGATTTGTCTTGTCTATGGGTTTGTACTACTACCTATCTTACCCTCTTAGCCATACGTTGAACAAACAGTATTCGACTTTACTTCTTGATTTTCTGTAGATGTTTCTAGGTAGCTACTTGCCGGGTATATAACATCGAGTTTTGAGGTAATCAGGCACTCTTGCTGTAACGTTTCAGGCCTATCTAGACCGACTTCGCCTACCTAATTAATAATGAGTCCGTGATATACTATTAAAGATGAAATGTACCACAATTACTACTGAAACGAGCAGTATTAATGGCATAAACGTCATCGACAAAATCAGGACAATTTGTTCGACTACACGAAATATTTTACTCTAGTGATACCAAAAGTAGGTAGATTGAGGGTTGACCCGAAGACACGAACAGGATCAAGATCAAGATCAAAAAGAAAAAGAAAGGGATAACATCAGATACAGCCGCACAGAAGAGTATATGCAATGGGACAAAGACAAAGATCAGAGATCATGCAGGGCCAGGCTACCAGCATAGACATAAGACTTCCTTCGAACATAGAACAGTTCCGCAAGCCAAGCCAGCCAGCCAACCAACCCCACGCGCTTCTTTCATTCACCCTCGCGAAACAAAAAGCCGAGATGAAACAACGCACTCGTTTAAGCATCGACAAGCTGGTTCTCGGTGGAGTTATCCCGGGTATCCTTAGCAGCGAGCTTGCGGGCGGAGCGGGCGTAGAACTCGTCCAGAACGCGCTTGGGGACACGGTTGAGCAACTCCTTGGGGTAGATGCGGAGGAGGTTCCAAGCGATGTCGAGGGACTCGAAGATGGTACGCGACTCGTACGGGGACTGGCTGATGAAGGTGCGCTCGAACTTCTCGAGGAACTCGAGGGAGAGCTTGTCCTCGGAGGAAAGGGCTTCCTCACCGACGACGGCCTTCATGGCGGCTGTTTTGATTGTTTAGTATTGAATGCTTGTGATTCTCTTGGATATGGGGTAGACATACCGGCGTCACGACCGATGGCGTACTTGGCGTACAGCTGGTTGGACACATCGGAGTGGTCCTTACGGGTGCGGCCCTCGCCGATAGCGGACTTCATCAGACGGGATAGAGAAGGCAGCACGTTAATGGGTGGCCAGACACCCTTGTTGTAAAGTTGACGATCAATGAAGATCTGACCCTCGGTAATGTAACCAGTCAAATCGGGAATGGGGTGAGTGATATCTAGGGGACGCAAGTCAGCATGTTGATATAAGTAGCGGGTACAAGGAGGTCCTACCATCGTTAGGCATGGTCAGAATGGGAATTTGAGTAATGGATCCGTTACGGCCCTCAACACGTCCAGCACGCTCGTAGATGGTCGACAAATCAGTGTACATGTAACCGGGGTAACCACGTCGACCGGGCACTTCTTCTCTGGCTGCAGAAACCTCACGCAGGGCATCACAGTATGCGGAAAGATCAGTCATGATGACCAGGACGTGCTTCTCGAGCTGGTAGGCGTAGTATTCGGCGGTGGTCAGGGCCAGACGAGGAGTAATGATACGCTCAATGGTGGGATCGTTGGCCAAGTTAAGGAACAGAGTGACACGCTCCATGGAGCCGTTCTCCTCGAAGTCACGGGTGAAGAAACGAGCAGTCTCCATGTTAACACCCATAGCGGCGAAAACGATAGAGAAGTTGTCGTCGTGACCATCGTGGACGTCCTTGGTTGGTCGGTTGACCAGACTGGCTTGACGACAAATCTGAGCAGCGATTTCGTTGTGGGGAAGACCGGCGGCGGAGAAGATGGGAATCTTCTGTCCACGAGCAATGGAGTTCATGGTATCAATGGCGGAGATACCGGTGGAGATCATCTCCTCGGGGTACACCTATGGCGGTTGTCAGCCTCTCGGGCCCTCCGATATAGATTCAACGATACATACTCGAGAGTAGGGGTTAATAGGCTGGCCGTTAATATCAAGGTAATCCTCAGCCAAGACCTTAGGTCCCTTATCGATCGCACGTCCAGAACCGTCGAACACTCGACCCAGCATGTCCTCGGACACACCCAGCTTCAAGCTGTGACCAGTGAACTCAACTTTAGTCTTTAATTGAGTCAGCCAACCATGTATTATATATATAGTTTTGTCTGGAGCTGTACCTTCTTCACATCGACACCGGAAGTACCTTCGAACACCTAGCGAATCGACTCGTTAATTCTAGCTCGTTAGGGGGCTTGGGGGAGTTGAATATCGGCGCGCACCTGCACAACGGCTCGGCTACCTATAGCAAACAAAAAACAATATTAGTTCGTGTACCAAAGGAATGTCATAGGTATTCTCGAGAGGTAGGGTACTGGGCGATCTTACCTCTGGCCTCCAGAACTTGACCGGAGCGCTCAGTGCCATCGGGAAGGGTGAGGGACACAATTTCATTGTAACGAGGGAACTTGACCTAATTCGCAGATAAGAGATGAGTATATATTTCCACAGTGATAATCCAAGGCCAGTCCATGGGTGCCAGCTCACGTTATCAAGGACGACCAGCGGTCCGTTGATACCTCCAATGGTGTTGTAGCGGATGCGGGGCTTGATGGAGGACATCCGGGGGTCGACAAAATCGGCCATGGTGGGCGAATCGGATCCTCCGCAGACACAGCGATAGACGCAGGTAGAGGAATGGGAGTGAAAGCAGGTGGGGTGTAGCTTTCCGGGGATAGGTGGAGGGCCTCGATTCGAAGGTTGGCCAAGCTGTCGACAGCTCGGGCGGTGACGCATCACGTGATGGCTGACGACAAGCAGTGGATCTCGATGGATGAACATCAGCATTTATGCTCAACATTGTTCTGAAGGCAAATGGCAGGTTATTGGCGGTTGGTGTTTACTGAAGCAACTGCAATTTACCTTAATCATGGGCTCATTTCTGCCAGAGTCAGAAACAAAGGATTGGTCATTGACACAATAAGAGTAGTTCTTGATCTTGAACAAGTTGCATTTGTTCTAAATAATTTCCAAATAATAGGAGTGGCAAAACAAGCCAGGGTCATCAAGTCGTGAAGATAAAGGGTATCAAGAGAGGATGAGAGGAGAGCCAGAAGGGCTGTCTAAGAATATCAGAATCCAACAATGCCCATTTTGCGTGCCCCATGAAAATGCAAGAAAGAGTGCAGAAAAAGAATATAGGTCATGCTCAGTCCACCTTGGCTTGCGTGAGGCTTTTTGGGGTTTTGAGATTGTTGCTTAAACGCAGGTCCTTGCTAAGTCTACCCTTGGAAGGGTGTCGCTTGAGCTTGCGGCGGGCAACCATGACAGGAGAAGATGAGTTGGAGAGTAGGTAATTTGAGAATGAACCAAGAAGTACACTGTTCGGATTGTCAATTTTGATAGGGAAAAATTGGTAACGGACTCAACTTACCCCTTCAGGGCGCTCTGGCCTCGGGCGCCAACAATGGCAAGAGTAGGCTCAAGCTCGTCAATCTAGAGAAGGTCAGTTTTTGATCCGGATCTAAATCGTTTGTAGGGAAGACTCACGGCTTCAGTGATCATAAGCTTGGGACTTTTACAGTGAATCACCTCCACCGCGATGCGAACTTGCAAAAGTGTCTTCCGCAGCAGTTTCACACACGTGTTAGAAACTGTTTCGACTGCTTTGACCCGCTCCGCTTCTGCAAGCGACGATGCACGAGCATCGACAGAGCTCGATTTGCTAGTAGTTCCTGGACCGAGGCGACCCAGAATATATCGCCCAGAGTTCTGGGTGGCTTCCTTTGTCTGGCTCCCCACGACAGCAGCAGCATCTTGCATGGCCTTGGCTCCCTCACCAACCTGCACAGAAGAGGTATTGGCATCTTCATGCATTGCGTACAGCGCATACATGGTGTCTCCATCTCGCAGAACGGCTCCAATGGTCCATTCTAGAGCATAAACTGATTCTTCACTCAGATCGGTAGCAACCAAGTATTTCCGTTGTCGACGGCGCCCACCGTCGGCCTCTTCCTGAAGGCTCGCAAAGTCACCACGAATGATCGTGCGAATAGACCGATTGGGAACACGGTTGTCAATGGCAGACAATGAAATGCCAAGTTGCTGCGCACGGTGAATTTCATCTCGTTCTGCTTCATCCTCTGATCCGTAAGGCGTGCCAGCCACTGATTGTGTAGCTGGGGTTGGGATGTCGAAACTTGTCTGGGGATGAATCACCGCCTTCAATGCCGATTTCCTAGGCTTCTTTCCCCTGGTATCGCCGGGTTTGGAGCTCGGTGTTTCTAAAAGGCAGGTTAGTATACTTATGTATGATGTGTAGAAGGGATGAGGGGCTGAATGACATACGCGCTTCCGTAGCTTGGGACTTGTCCTTCGGCTTGAAGTCACTGGGACTGATGGAGCTGATGTCTGTGGGATTCTTCTTGCGGCCTCGCGAGTGGACCACCTGTACACCAGGAATGTTCTCATCATCGCTTGAAACGTCATCGTCTTCCTCACTGCTTTCAATGAGATTTTTGTCGCTGTCAAAGACATCCTTCGCCAGACGCTCGCCAGACTCCTCCTCGGTCGGCTTGATATAGTCCGGGAGACGAGGACTTCCAGATAACTTTGACAAAGCCTCCTCTGATTTGCTGTGCACCGAGTCGTAATTAATCTCCGTCGACTTCCCTTCTGCGGCCGTCCCGGACTCGCCGAGCTGTGAGACCCGGGTGCCCGGGGAGATAGATCTATCCAACCTTGAGCCTGCTGAGGGAGACCTAGAGTCCGCGGACGAGCCACGCCGACTGGATCCGCGGCTCGAATCTCGCCCACGAGTAAAACTCTTAGGAAACAACCGAGATTCCAAACCCGACATCATTGCAGCCATCGCACTCCGGCCTTGCGGTTTATGTTTCTTGGACACTGCGTGTTCCTGACTAGCCGGAGCGGTCACCGGTCTCAACTCCTCCTCCTGTCCTCCAGCTGGTGCCGTTGAAGGACGTCGGTCCATCTCTCTTGTAAATTGGTCGGATAATCTCCGGGGCGGATCGTCAGGGTCCGCCCTATGTCTTTCGGGGGAGCTTGGAGCAGACGCCATTGCGGATGAGCTAATACGTAGTGGAGATGAAATGAGAGGTTCGACTGGACTGCGAGTGCCACGGTCTCGTGAAGATATGACAACCCCGCTGACAGTGCCCGCACCCCTTGCAGACTGCGGGGTGCTGAGCAAGTTCTGGACGGCGCGACTTAGCGACGATTTCGGGTCTTTGTGTGATGATTTCGGCGGGGAAGGGGACGATCGTTGTTCTGGGGTAGCTGGTTGTTCCCCTGACACATTCTCTGGAGGTAAGGGGGAGATGCGTACAGAGTGGTACGACATCTCGTGCGAGTCCGCCTGCGGCGGAGATGATTCCTGTTGTGGGGAACTTGGTTTGCGGCTCGACCAACAAGAATGCCGAACCACGGAATGGAATGTGGAGCGATCGACTACCTTATGACGATTATGCACTCCGCAAATCTTGAAAGGCATGTTTATCAGCAACAGGTCGTCAATGAAGCATTCCAAAATGACCAGGGAAGACCAAAATTCAAAGTATAGGCTCACAGAAACGGTGTGATAACGATTGCATTCGGGAGGGACTAATACTGATATATGAAAAAGAGTTGGAGAAATCAAGCAAAAGAAGGTACCATAGCAATTATTGACTGGAAAATGCTGTGAGGCGTGGCTTCCTGGCTTGGTGATTTAAAGGATATGGCAATGACTCCATACCAATGGGACCCATAAAAGGGGGATCATCAAGTATTCATGCCCAACGGGCGCCTATGTATGTCAATATGCAAGTGGAACCAGTGACGCTAGCGATTACATGATCTTTGAATGTCCTCACGTTTAATCAATGCTTTGGTAGCTAAGTGACGCCTGTTCAGAAAGAGGTTATACCAGATAAGTGGATGTAGTCATTCCATCATGTTAGTGTGTTGATGTTTTATGGCCAAGTCTTGATTAAATTTGCCCTGACAATGTTAAAGGTATTTCGATTTTCTCCCGCGCATCAACCTACATGTGAGGCTTTTACTCATACAAGAGGAATGTAATATGGAAAGGAGGTGATGCAATCTTCATGGCATACATAACATGTCAACTAGTATCCAAGACAGAACATGAGGCAACAGGAGGTAGAATCAACAATTCAAGGTGTTTTGTCTTCAGTCTTTATCTTTTTATCAGTCCGTGGGCTAAGCCCCACTAGAAAGCCTAGTGCCTTCGTAAGGCCGGTGCTTCTTCACCGCATGCCTGTCGTTGTCCCCCAGTGGCCATCCTCCCGGGGCTCACTTCTTCGAGGTTTTGTGTGTTTTTTTTTGTAGAAGGAAGACCATGTAGGAGTTATGTTGTGTTGGTGGATGAAGTGACCAAGGTGGAAGTCATCAGTCATGGATGGATGAACATGTCGAAGGATAGAAGGACAAGTAGACAAAGATGTTGTTGTTGTCGTGTTGATGAATGAAGTGACCAAGGATTCATCAAGTCATGAAAGGATGCATGGAGTAATGAAGATGTTGTTGTGTTGTTGGATGAAGTGACCGAAGAGGGGTCATGCAGGGTGCATGAAGTCACGAAGGATGAAACAACATGAAGATGTTGTTGTGTTGTTGGATGAAGAGACCAAGGATGGTTCATGGACAATGCATGAAGCCATGAAGGATGTATGAAGTCATGAAGGATGGAAAAACATGAAGATGTTGTTGTGTTGTTGGATAAGTGGCCAAGGATGGGTCATCGAGGATGCATGAAGTCATGAAAGATGGAAAAGCATGAAGATGTTGTTGTATTGATAGATAGAGTGACCAAGGATGGGTCAAGTCATGATGGATGGAAGAACATGATGAAGAACGAAAGACACAGCGAAGTGTGGGGCAAGAATTGATCAACAATAAAGTGGATGAGGAGATCAAGTGTGGAGGCAAGTGGAGTTGGATAAGGAAGAAAGTTGAGCTGAAGAGAAAAGTTGGGGCTATTTATACCCCAGAAAATTCGCCTATTTTGAGGCTGCGAAATTTCGCAGGCACCGACGACTCTCAGGACTATTTAAATCAAGCGCGTGATTTCGTTTTCCTCCCTTTCTTCTTCCTTCTTTTCCTCTTTTCTTCCTTTTCCTTCCTCGTTTACTCGTTTGCTCCTTTGCGGTGTAGGGAGTTCCCATATCGACACTCCAACTCCCATATTCTTTGGCACTTACGCATTTATCTATTCCTTCGGGCTGGGTGGAAATTGGCATCAACAAGAATGTATTCAGCTATCGGTATGATACTGAAAAATGCATTATTCATCGCTGAGAATGTTCTATCATGACCATATTAATCTATATGCAACGGGCAGCAATGCACCCAACAGAACGCGATCTAATACCAAACACCAATTTTATCAAGTCCTTAAGAACTTGTCAGCTGCAGTCGCTGATTCTCGGCTCCCGGGTCAGAAGTTTGCACCGGCGCCTTTTCTGACACAGACGCTTGCCGCAGTGTCTCGAGACGCTTTTGTGACAGAGCAGCATATTTGCAACGCTGCCGAATCTGCGCGCCATATTTATAGAAGAAGAAGGGGAGTGGCATGCACAACACCGACACGAAAGCCGGAATGGACGAGGCCCAATGAATACCCAGACCCGCGTACATGTATGAGCTGAACAAGGGAAATACGGCTCCAAATGTGTATCTGAAAATAGACATGCCTGCCAGCACAGACGCAGAGTAGATGGTGTAGGAGTCGATGAGGTAGTTGACGATTCCCATGTAGATGAGGAGCAGTCCAAATCCAAACGGAACCAAGGCTGCGACACTGCATAACCAGTGAATTGACGGAGAATTTGTCCATGCGAACCAGAAGAGGCCAATGGGAATGGCCACAGCGGAGGCCATACAAGGAGGCAGGCGAGTCTCTGGTGGAGCAAACCCATCGTGTCTTTCCTGCGCCTTGATGTATCGCTTATTATCCCACACGGTATAGGCCGAACCGCACAACACACCGATCATGACACCTAAGAAAGGAAGACCGCCAACACCCGCATTCCACCCGCGGATATCTTCGTAGACGATAGGGATTGCTTCGAAAAGCATGTAGAGCACACCGTAGATGAGGGCGGCATAGAATGTAAGTAGAAGAACAATAGGCTCACGGAAGAGAAGCACCCAAGGTCGAGAGAAAACTGTCTTCAGCCGTTTGCCGAGGGGGACTTTCCCTCTTTCCAGATCGAGTTTGCTTTCGTAGCATTTGCCTGTGAGGAGCGACAGTTTTGCTGCTCTTTTGCGGAGTAGCACCGGTGCATAGGTTTCAGGGACGAGGAACGCCATCATGATCCATGCCATGCCTGCACAAACGGCCAGGAAACCCTCAACCCACCTCCACCCAGCGTTCATACCAAGAAAACCACCGATAACGGGCCCGAGGGCAGGACCTAGTGAGTCAATTAGCACCGATGATCAAAGAGATTCTCATACTGAGCCAGTTCATACCTAGATACGGAGTCGACGCGAACAAAAGCATCGCCAAACCTCGTTGTCTAGCAACAAACATGTCCGAGATAACACCGCCAGCATTCGTCAGAGGCGCAGACCCAAAAGCACCCCCAAAGAACCGAAGAATCAACAAGGTGTGAATATTCTGGGCCCCCGCACATCCCGCCGAAAAAGCAGTAAGAGCAAGGAAAGACACGAAGAATGGAATTTGTCGACCAATGGTCTCACTAAGCGGCGCCCAAGCCAAGGGTCCCACGGCGAATCCAAAGACAAATAGCGACAAGCCGAGAGTAGCGACTTCTTTGCTAACATCAAACTCATCAATGACCTTCTCCATGCTACCACTGTACGCGGAGGAAGTCAAAGATATGACAAAGGTCGCAACGGCAGTGGAGAATGTGACAATGGCTTTTCTTGCCATGCTGAACTCCATTGGATTCCGAGGGTCGACGGGTAACCAGCGCACGACATACGGGTCATCCTCTGTCCCTGAGCCATCGTACTGATGATGCAGTACCTCTTTGGTGATGACTTGTTGATCAATCAATAATTGCCAGAATGGGATATAGCTCTGGTATTCAAGTTCCTTGGCATCTTCGGGATGTCCACAGTCTGCGACCATGGTGGATCATTGACCTATGCGAGGCTTTCCTCGGGCTGGTCTCAAAATTCAAGAGATCAACCAAATCAGACAGAGAGCTTTTGATATGTTTAATTGGGATAAATCATTCGGGCATGCATGTGTTCGAAGAGAACGTGTGGAAATTCTAGTATCAAATTCGAATGGCCGGAAATTCGGCACAGGATTGCATAATTAGTTCCGCGGGATGGCAAAGACCCACTAATTTCCGGAATCAGTCATTGATTGGGGACGCCATCAGGGCGCCCGGGTTGTGCCATCGGTTGGCACCGACAAAAGTGGAGGTTCGGACGCCGAAGAGTCCGGCAACTCGGCGCAATTCGGCGTTTCTCGAGATATCCTCATACTTTATGGGAAAATTTGCTTAGTTATGTATCGTAGTTCCAACTGCATATTTAAATGCCATGGGTTAGGTAATCTTGAAAGACCCACTACCCGACGGATGCATCCATACCCATCGCCCCTCACAATACAGTATGATAGATCCACTTCCAAGTCCCCTCCCGATGCTGAGCTTGAATCACAACTTCCAAAATTCCTTCAACGAAAATTCCTTCAGCGAAAGTCACTTCAACGAAAGTCAAGCGGATGGAGTAAGGTCTTAGCCTGAATGGGGAAGTTCAAGGGCATTATTTGGCGCCCATGATACCTTTTTTCAAGGCAGGGAGCTCGATTTTGGAACTTGATTTGGTTGTTGAGGTGTTTCAGTCCAAAATATTTGGAAGTCCATGTCAATGGCATCCATGTTCGTCATTCTCAGGATGTCATGTTATTCGAAATGATGCCATTGAGTTCCTGCATTTGACGGTCCCAGAGAGTCTAGAGTATGATCAGCAAAATAAAACAAGACACAAGTTCATATATAGCGTGGATCGATATCCCTTACCCAGTCAAACATCTCAAATTCCGATTCCGTATTCAACATATCCTGCAAGTACCCCAGTGTCAAGGAATCTTGCATTTCGACCTCTTCCCTCGAAGGCTCTGAACCAGGTCCAGGTGGTGCTTGTCTGTCATTTTCGATGGATTTTTTTGGGCCAGGCGTGCGCAATGAATCACTCGATTGTACCAGTTTGAACATTGTGGCCAGTGTTTCAGCAGACTGAGAAGTCTCAAACGACGGCTCCGGCGCAATCTTCCAAGTATTATACAAGTTTCTCAATAACTCGGTAAGCCCGGAAATACGATCGGTATGTGATGTTTGCTCAGCCTGCGATAGATAGATGATTTCGAAGCAGATAATCATGGCGGCTGTTAAGCAATCAGTGATGGACATGGAAGCACCAAACCAAGCTCTTCGATGTTGCCGAGCCCGAGGTATGATCTCTTGGAATAACTTGATTTGGAGTTCGATTATACGTTGCGCCGCATTGACACATGTGCTCCGGAAATGTTCATATTTGCTTTCAGCTCTGTTTGCCAATAGGTACTGCCTATGCAAGATGCACCGAACGCGTTGAAATGTGGTTTCCAGCGCATGTCGTTCGATGATGATATCGTTATCCGTTATTGGGCAGCTGAGGTCGTTGGCCTGCATGCGTAGGAGGGGCGGGATGCGGTCTCGGGCAACTTCCAGGTCGTAATTGAATTGGAGCGTTTCGTCATATGATAATGTCTTGAAGGAAAGTGTGTCCACCATCTCATTAAACACTGCCATTATTCGCCAATGTGCCACTACGCAAGTGATGCTGGTGGGCCATTGGGTTTCGGATTGTGGCGGTGGTAGCTCAACGGTCATTGGACCAAAACTCGTATCTAAAAGATCTCGGGGCAGGGCCGTGTTGCCTATTTTCCTTGAGATTACCCTTGGAACGCCTGTTTGGCATGACACAATGGAATCAGTTATTTGCAAAAATAGCCAGGTTCTCCGACGCATCTCCGCTTCGAAAACGGAGATGTGGGAGTATGATTGGGAATCTTGATGATAACCCATCATGATGGCTAGCCGAATGCATATTCCCAGCAGGATCAAAACGCTTGTTTTCAGGTTATTACTGGACAGGTATTCAAGCCCTAGATAAAGTCCGAGGGCTTCAACCTTATAGCGACCAGGAGTGGTATAATTTGAACTTGTCAGGCAGAGAGCACACTTCTTCCGATAGAAGTCAAAAGTCTCTGGGACTTCAACACTAACTTTGGAAGTGACTTGATTTGTGGTGTGGTCAATCCACACTGCGCAGGACATAATGCCGTATAGACATGCCAGCCACGCGGGAGAAACTTTGGTGGGATCTTTCCAGAGGTCATTGCACTACCCCGAGATTCTAGAGTGAGTTTGTGTTCACGAATTTTGAGTACTCAGGATCCAGCTATCTGGGACTAACCTCATTCTTGAAAGTGGGACGATGAATAAAGCCTGGAACTCCGTGGTAAGCCCAAGAACCAGGCCGATTTTTTTTGATTTTTTTTGAACTTGATAACGGGAATCTCACTTAAATATGGTTCTCTTGAGTTGAGATAGATAGAGACTAGGCTCTCAACGGTGGGTCGAGGGGGCAACGCTGCGAGAAGGTCGTTAATTGACATATCCCCCGACAACCCGACTAATAAAAAAGGTCCACGAGGCACGCGTGAAGGATCGTCAGCACTTGGTCCACTGTTTGAGTGAGAGCTGCCTTCCTTGAGTGCTCTAGTCTATTAAGAGAGTGATAGTAGTCAGACAGACGCCTGGAAGCAAGTAATGAGGTGGGATGACACTAACAGCATTCATGATTGTCTGCCAATGAGCAGAATTGATGTACCGTGTGCCACTTGGTCCAGAGAGAAGGAGTCCGTTCACAGGATTAGATACGTGAGTGGCTTGTGCGCCTTGCATGCGCATGTCGTCACTGGGAGTAACATCTTCAAATCTCGTGGTCGGGCTTACCTCTCTTCCAATGCATTTCTCTAGTTCTTTGATCCGGTTTTCCAGATACTGCACACGACTAGGCAGATTGGGACCTTTGTCTGCACTCCTCATTGGAGGGGTTTGGTTTGTAGCATACCGGCAAGATGATTCTTCATTTCGTTTTGTACAATTGTCACAAGGTATTTTGCGGTTGCATTTTAGCCTATGAAATGAATAAGCTAACTTTAGATAAATATGCATAATTTTTGTGGCGGGGATGCAGTCAATGTCAGAAGCTTGGTAGAGTCTCGAACGTACTTTCTTTGGCGACACAAAGTACACGACTGTAATACTCGAGGCTTTTGATCTCGTCTTTTTCTGTCACCGATAGTGGTGGGCTTTCCGGGACCACCGGTAATTTGACTTGTTGCCATAGTGAGCGTCCACGGGTTGCCGGATGAAGAGATTCGGAGTGAAGAATAGGTCATAACCGAGACTCGGAGATAGAGACGGCCGATTAATTGCAAGCAGAGATGGCGTGTTGGTGGCAAGTGTGGAGTCCGGAATTCACGGGGTTCTCGGGTTTCTCGGATTTCTTGTATTTTACAAGTGGGTCTCTATCAACGGCATCACTGTGGCTTTAGCCAAGTATGTCATCGTTTCAATTCTTATAGATCAGGTGGAGACGGTATACGCCATGCCGCAGCTTTAGGAGGTCTTTAATTTGTTTTGATAGAGATCAAGATTCAGTGCAAAAATTGTGTAGGGTATAAAGGGGGCTCAATATCTATCTGTCTGAAAATCAATTCTAAGTTCCAACATAACAATACCCTCACATAAGTATGGAGAACGAGGAGAAGAAATTCCGTGTCATCATCGTTGGTGGCTCGGTTGCGGGTCTGACCCTGGCTCACTGTTTGGAGAAAAGCAATATCGAATATGTCGTTTTGGAGTCACAGCATGATATAGCTCCTGCAGTAGGTGCTTCAATTGGAATTTTCCCCAATGGTGCTCGGATTTTCGACCAACTAGGTGCATTCGATGATATCCTGGATGTAGTCTTGCCTTTGAGGAAGGCAATCTACTGGTCAGGAAATGGGAAACTCATCATGGAAGATGAGACCCCTCGTATCCTCCAGGAAAGGTACGAGCTTCATGATGCCATATGACCGGACCGCGTTAATGTTGTGCAGACATGGCTACGAAACAACTTTTTTCGACCGTCAGCTCTTGTTGGAAATTCTATATAACAGATTAGGAGAAAAAGACCGAGTCCAGACCAGCAAGAAAGTCGTGAAAGTGGAACACTTGCCAACAAAAGTCTTGGTTCACTGCGCTGATCAGTCGGTATTTGAGGGAGATATCGTTGTTGGAGCCGATGGAGTGAGAAGTACTGTGAGAAAGGAAATGTGGCGCCACATGGAATCAATGGGAATGGAAAAGGAGGCGAAAGAGGAGAAAGCCAGTATGTTTGATCTCAATGCTGTTACATCACATACACTGATAAATATAGTCATGTCATCCGAGTACTCCTGCGTATTCGGAATATCGACCGCAACCCTCGGGCTAGTCCCTGGAGATTGTCATCGGACATACGAAAAGGACTACTCCTCACTGACCATTGCAGGCAAAAACAACCGTGTCTTCTGGTTCTTGTTCTCTAAGATGGACAGGGTCTACGCTGGATCTGAAATTCCTCGTTTCAGTGCTGAGGACATGGAGAAACACCTTGCTCAACACTCTGACAAGCCAATCACTGACAACATCCCTTTCTCCGCTATCTATCAGAATGCCGTATGCAAGACCTTCTTAGCTCTGGAAGAAGGTTTCCACAAGAAATGGTGTATGAACCGATTTGTTTGCATCGGAGATTCGGCACACAAGGTAAGAGCACGACTGCCGAAATCTTCATCCATTTTCGAACACATCTCTTACAAATACCAAAATGCAGATGACTCCTAATATGGGTCAAGGTGGTAACAGCGCGATAGAAAGTGCTGCATCGCTAGCCAACCACCTGACTCAGCTTGTCCGGAACTCATCCAATGGAGGGATTACTCTGGAGGACGTCAAAATTTGTCTGAACAATTTCCAGACGGCACGACAGCCGCGGGCAGAAGATATCTATAAACAAGCAACCGCTTTGACTCGATTGGAAGCCTGCGCAACCCTCAAGGATCGACTGATGGCATTGCACGCACTGCCTTACTTGAAATCGTACTCCATCGACCGCATGACCAAAACGTTTGTTGGAGCAGAAAGGCTCGAGTATATCCCACTTACCCCAAGAGCATCGAACTGCACCATGCCCCTACATACTCAATCAGGACTTTCAAAGAAAGACAAGGAAACAACCTGGATACGAGCTATCTCCACCACTCCCCTCATTGGATGCGCCATGGCTGCAAACAGTATCATGGGGTCTACGATGGGGGGCTTTTGGCCGCATTTGATGTCAATAATTCGCCAGGGAGTCTGGACCTCCAGCAATGGAGAGACTGTTAGTCTGACCAGATCGTTGTACAACGTCCCTTTCCTTGACCAAATATTTACACCCCTGATTACTTGCTTCTTGCCATCGATCAGTGGATCCGATGCAGTGTCCCGTTCTCAAATGTTCTCCTTCTTGACCGACTGTGGCCCAGTCTACACAATCTGGCTACTTGAGAGCTGTCGACAGGGAAAATCGGGATTTGAGGTTGTCCTGTACGTGACAGAAAATTTCTCATGCTACTTTTGATGTTTTGACATGGTGATTAAAACTAATACTTGTCTTTCTTTACACAGGCCTATAGTTTCCGGAACTCTTTTTCAGCTGCTGGGAATTGGAAAGGTCGCCCCTGTGTACTTTGCCATCGAGTACATTCGCACACCTCTTTCTTCGCTGAAGGGGGAGAATCGGAACATCAAGACGGACGTCTTGAAGTCACTCTTTCCTGCTATGCTCGCCGGCCATTACCTTCCGCTATTTGCCAATTTTTTCGCCTCTACTGTTGAACGTCGTCAGTCTATCAATGCATGGTGGCAATTGTTCCCGCTGGTAGTTCCTTTGGTTCAACTACCGCTTCGCTTATTGGCAAAGCCCCAAGCAAACATTGAAAAGAAGAAAAAGACGGCTTCGGACCACAAAACGAACTTGCTCTGGACACGTTGCACTTATGGTTTATTGGCTGCAATCTCAGGGCTATCCTTCATCTACGCTCGTTGGTCCGCTCCTCAAGGTACCTCCTTGGCCAAGATCTTCTTACCCGGTCTGTTCGAGCATACCCAGCCTATTACCTCGTTTGCTCAAGGCATTGCACGATTCCTGAAATACGATGATATCTTCTCTCTTGGTGCTGGCTTTGTCTGGTTGGGGCTGAGGTTCCGGGAGCTGCAGCAGTCTGGAGTACCGGTTTCATGGTGGAAGTCGGTGTGTGCCTTGGTGGGAACTACCGTTACTATTGGCCCTGGTGCAGCATTGGCATTGGGCTGGGGATGGAGAGAGGAGATTCTGGCTGAGACCCCTGCTGTTGAAGATAATTAGTGTCCGGAAAGTTGAGCGGGATTGAATTCTTTCCAAATAGAGATAGATGTATCAATAGACTGCCCAGGTGGCTAGATAAAAATTCATAAATGATTGCACAGAAAATACGAGCAGGGTCTTATTTATCATCTTGCCTCCGCGCCAGAGCTGATACATGACTGGTTGTTGGTGTCCCGGCTACCACCAACGAGAGGCATCCTGCTATGCAGGTGATACATGTAGGCGCTGAACAGAATGATGTAGCCAACCCCATCAAGAAGCTCTACCCTACGCATGAATTGGCCACAATGAAGGCAGCCTTCTGTCCCAAGGGCTGCAGACGTATTCCTCTCCCCGATTATCAGTTTACACTGCGGTAATACCCTAGAGAGGCCATCAGTGTTGATGCCTCAATTGGTGAGAATTGTCACTAAATTGACTAACAATACTTACAGGTGCGCTTATATAACCAATTATGAGGTTTTCGAAAATGCTGAATTAATGGCGCCGTCGGGGAGAGCAGACGGCACAAGAGATGGCAAAGATATGCTCTGGGACACCACGACAGGTGGCTGTACTTTTGAATTTACTGGAAGGTGACGACGCATGAAACGCCGGGGTCGGGAACTATATTTTTCATTTTCGCCGACTGGGTAGCTCCGGATCGCAGCTCGGTTGGATTAAATCATCAGACTTTGGGACACTGCCACTGGCCTCTGCAAGCACAAATTGAAAGCTGAACATTTTGCTACTTGGTTCTACGTCTTTCATGACGATGATGGACAGGTTTCTGTTGTTGAATTGGCTGATAGTTGAGGGGCTGAAATTTGTGGCTCTGTCATTGTCAGTTTTCACTTCCTTGTTAGTTCTAAGTCCAATGCAAGAGATTGAAATGCATGTCTATAAAAGATTTGGCCACATTTTTCAGGATGAGACTGACGTAGGTATCTAGGTACGTGTGATTATATCTTCATGTCGGGATTGTTACAAGCAATTCTCGTAGCGTCGGGGAGAGGAGTGTGTGATTCATGTCGATACTCGAACTGCTATTCATATTTGTGCTTTATTTGTATTCCACTTCGAGCGAAGAGTGTTAGACACCTTCGCCATTTTCTGATATAAAAACATAAGCCACGCTAGAGAGCTAGGAAGCTGATGTGTGGTGCAGGTAAAAAGAAAAACGATGACCAGCTATCCCAGATGCAATCCCAAACCAAACTCCCATAAAGAAAAGTTGAAGCACAAAGTACTTGAGGAAATCATGAAGACCATATCGGTAACTGGTAGTATAAACACGAGACATAAATCCCAAGCCTACACCTTAGACTTCTTAGACTTGGGCTTCGCATCCTTAGACTTCTTCCTCGCCCCAACCGCAGCAAAGGCCTCCTCAGAAGGCTCATCAGCAGGGCCACGCTTCTTTCCATTAGGCTGGCCATACTTCTCCTCCAACTGCGCCAAGAAGCCCTGGCCCCTCTGCTGCTGCCGCTTAGTGATCATAGCCAGCAAATCATCCTCACCACCTCCAGGACCCTTCGATCTAGAAGCAGCAGCAGTCTTCTTCTTCTTTTTCTCCTCAACCTCCTTCCCAAGCTTCTCGGCCTCCTTGGCCTCCTTCAACGCACGCTTCTTCCGCTGCTCTCGCTTCTTCTCGGGTTCCTGTGAGTACTTCTTGTAATCCTCAACCTCCTCATCCGCAATAGCCTGGTCGATGATAGCCCGGAAACGCTCATCGTCATCGAGAACATTGGAAAGCATAACCGATTCATAAATCTTGTCCAGATCACCCTGGTGCTTCTCATAAGTCTCCAATAAATCGCGCTTTTCCTCGTCGGAGTTCTGATATTTTCTCTGGAAGTCGGAAATGGCCTTTGTGTCTAGCATTGCGGAGAGCTGTTCGCGGTAGAACTCCATCCAGTCGAAGTCGCCATCTTCTCCAAGAACTTCTTCGGTGTTTCCGGTTCGGTCGTAGATTTTGCGTCGGCGTGGGTCTGAGAGGACAGCGTAGGCTAGGGCGATTTGTTGGAATTTTGTGTGCGCTGCGTCACGGGCATCTTCGCTGACCTTGTCTTTGGTGTGTTAGTGGTTTCTAAATGATTTGCAGATTGGTGAGGATTTAGAATCAACATACCAGGATGATGCCTTAATGCGCTCTTCTTGTAGGCGGATTTGATTGCTTCTGGGGTTGCGGCTGACTCGACGCCTAGGATCTTGTAGAGGTCCTCCTCCACTGAGGGCGGCTCCTCGGGAATTCGCTCGTCTGAAGAGGCTTTAGGCATTGTTTTCTTTCTGATTACTTGCACCGGATTAAGATCGGAGGGTAGGCGTGATCTTGTGTAGCGGGGAACAGCTGTGGTGGTGATAAGACTCGGCACGGTAAGGGACGCGAAATTGACGCGCCTACCGCATTATCACACTTTATGATCATTTCGTCATAGCTAATAAGCTTCCCCCACTTCGATCTCGACTCACCTTTACTCTTCTTATTTAGCCCACCAAGTCAACCATCCCTACCAACCCAATCCGTTGATATCAGGCATCGTCTTGAGGTATTTACAGCTTTTTATTTCGTCCAATACCAAAATTCTGCATCTCCTCCCGCAGCTCCCAGCTAGCTACCATATACCACTCCACCAGAACCTCCAACCGAACACTATGGCAACCAACGCCCCCCACAGACCCTACATGCGCAAATGCATTGTCCTAGCCTCCCAATCCCCACCTCGTCCAACAAACTTCCGTGTCGGCGCAATTCTCATCTCCCGCGCCGACAATGACCCCACCTTTTCCGAGGACCGCATCCTCTCAACAGGCTACACAATGGAATTGGCCGGCAACACCCACGCTGAACAATGCTGTTTCTCCAACTTTGCAGCTGTCCACAGCGTCTCTGAAGAAGAAGTGGGAACCGTGCTACCCGTTGAAGAGGGTCGCAAGCTCGTGATGTATGTCACGATGGAGCCGTGCGGGAAGCGCTTATCTGGCAATGCGCCTTGCGTGCAGCGGATTATTAAGACGAGGGAGGGAGGTCGCCCGGGTGTTCATAAGGTTTATTTTGGGGTGAAAGAGCCTGGTACTTTTGTGGGGGAGAGTGAGGGGTGTAAGATGCTTGAGAGTGCGGGGATTGAGTGGGAATATGTCGGTGGCTTTGAGAAGGAGATTTTGAAGGTTGCTATGGCTGGACATGAGAATTCTGAACAGAAGGTGAGAGAGGCTTTGGGGGAGGCGGGGGTTGATGATGCTGAACAGAAGGAGGCTCCGAGAAATCCGAAGAAGAGGATGATGGAGGGTGAGAATATTATTTACTAGTTTATATTGGTTAAGTATCTTTGTATCTATGAATGAAGTAAAAATCTCGGATTTGTATTTATGCGAGGTTAAAATGGAGTTGAAAGTGCTGGTTGTACTTTATACTTTGAAGAATATATATAAAGATCCTGGGCGTGGGAATAGTGCCCTTTACCTACTTACATGTAAATGCCTATACCGAGGAATACCTTATGCTTAAAGCAATATCATACCAAAAAATGCCAACATAATTTCAAAGAAGAGAAAAGCATGGCAAGATGAAATCCAAACGCGCAAAAGGCTTATACAGTCGCGTCTCCACGTGACCCGCCATCCAACTCCGAACCGACTTCATTCCAAACCAAAAGACCTCCAACCCCCAACGAGAAAATGATCCAATGGCGACAGTTGATGATGTGGATTCCATCATCTACCCAGCATTCTGCTTCAAGGCCTCACCAACACATTTCGCCTGGGTGAAAATGGCGATAGTGGACGTGCATCGACTAGAGAGACCGAGGGAATTTGATGGTAAGTGATGCATGGATAGTCCTTCCTTGACCTTCGCATGTCTGCTTCTATATCTGTCGTTCACTTCATTTATATGCATGTTTAATATTCCAACGGTTCATCCTGGTTATCAAGATGCCCCCAGTTTCCCCAAACATGACAGGCAGCCATACATACAATCCTAAATCCAAAATCTATGCTAAAATATTCAGGCCAAAAAATCTTCTTCTACAAAAACCACCCTATCCGCTTCGTGACAGTTGCAGGACTCATTGTAGCCAGAACAGAAGTTTTCCGGCGCACAATCCTCACACTGGATGATAGTAGCGGCGCTACGGTTGAAGTAACGGTTCAACATTCAACAGACCCGAAGCACACGGAACCAAACTCAGAATCTGCTGCAACTACCAATGGCTCTAGCTCCGGTGTATCTCAATCAAAACAGTCCCAGACTGAAGGTATCGCAGACAACCCAGAAGAACCAGATACAAATAGCTATACTATTGGCGACAGCGACATATCAAAAACAAAACTCATCCGAAATGAACCAGTCCATATCACAACAACAGACCAGTCAATCCTCGATATCTCCTCCCTAGTCCCAGGGACAATGATCAAAGTCAAAGGCACACTCGGTTCATTCCGCTCAACCATGCAACTACACCTAGAACGCTTCAGTGTTCTGCGGGATACGAACGCAGAAATGCAGTTCGTTTTTGAAAGGCTTCAATTTCTTGTTGAAGTCCTTTCTGTGCCGTGGGTTCTGTCCGATGAGGAAATTGAGGTTTTACGGAAGGAGGGCGAGGAAGGCGATATACGGGCTGCGGAGGAGCGGGAGAGAGTACGGAAGAAGAATTTGAGGAGGCTTGAGAGGGAGGAGAAGGATGAGCGGTCTATTGCTAGGAAATATAAAAGTGAGGAGCGAGAACGGGAGAAGGAGGCTGCTGTTTGTAGAGAGGAGGGCGTTAAGGTTATGAGGGAGATCAGAGAGAGGAAGAGGGTTAGATTGGATTGATCAGGATGAGGATTTGGAACGGGATTGATTCTTTGGTTTATGATATATTTTGTTCATTGGATGTTGGATGCGCTAAGGGACATAAACATGTTCATTAGTGTTCTATCGCTATTTTCAAACGCAGTACCAAAAACAATGTTGAACATGGTCGTCAATCGTCATAAACCGAGAGGTATCTTCATGCATACGAGACGCCGACCGGGAGAAAGAAGGTAAAAATCGAAAGGAGACTTAAACAAAAACGAAAAACGAAATGAAACGAAAGTAAGACAAATTCCAACGAGATAAAACTGCCCGAGTTCATCCAAAACAAAACATCCTGCACAGTAGGCACGTAAGAAAATGCAGGCCCTGATTTGACAAGCTTGTCAAATCAGTAATACTTGGGAGCACCGCCCTGTCCACCAAGCAATCCACGGTAGTAATCCTCATCTGTGCGACTATTGCGGTGCGATCCATGATAACGGCTATCATCTGTTTCAGTTGACATAGCGGTTGGCTCCATGTATATATCATTGGTAGACGCGTTACCGTATCGCGGAGTATGGTCGCGACCGAGCAGGTCACTTTCGGAGTGTCTGTATCCATCCATGCTGCGTGACGAACTGCGCGACGTGCGCGAGTGCCCTTTCGAGTGACGGGGGTAAGGAGCTGGACCTGAACCGGAGCGCTGAGCATATAGGGAGTCCCGGGTTGGGGAGCGCGGTTTCGTTGAGGCTGAAACCCGGTGGCTGGACGATGCAGGCGGAACATCAGATGGTCGCGTGGTGAAGGAGTCTCTGTGGCTGCGAGTATTGCCGAGTTCATCGTAGACTTTTCCACTTCCGGGATTGGCGGAGTAAGGCTTTCGCTCACGTTCGATAGGCGCTGGGGGAATAGTTTCATCCTCATCATCAAGGATGGCGGTGGACGATGAAGCAGAGGGTGGAGGCCGTCCCCGCTCGTAGGATCGGCTTCGTTCCTTTGAAGCGTTTCTCGGGCTGTTAATACCACTGCTGCGACCGCTACTGACAGGAGGGGAGGCCTTTGGGCGATTCGCTTTGGATCGTTCTTCATCAGTGATGCGAGGGAGATCGACGCCGCAGTGTTTCATGATGTGCAGCTCGGTGGCTTCCCGTAGCTTCAAATCGGCGACCTCAGGGAACAGGCGCCGAGGGATTTCTTTGGGGAATCGCTCCTTCTTGTCGTCTGGGTTGCTGATTGGCATGTTAAGCACAGCCTTCTGCAAACGTTCATACTCGCGGTCTGGATGGGCTAAAATCATGAGTGTCGCCCACTTCTCAAAGCCCTTGGGAGTCAATCCAGGAATATCGGGTCGCTCTGTAAGATCATCCGTCTGAACAAGGTGATGCTCGGCCTTCACTTCTCGGAACAGCCTAGAGATCGAAGAAGTGTGGTCATCGAAAATATCTAATGATTACAATTAGTACAGTACATTGGTAAGGAGTACCATCATGACCCACCCTGCCATGGATAAGCATCAGGAGACACATCGGTGTCTTTGTAGAACTTCTGCAACTTCTGCGGAACAATGACAAGAGTGTTGCCGGGCGGGTAATCTTCAATCTGCATATAATCAGCGATGTACCTCTAAGCCACAAATGAGAGTAATATGTACCAAATGCATCGCAATTCCGCGCAAGAATTGTCCGAGTCTCGCTGTCGGCTTATCATCCTCAAACAATTTGCCCCAGATTCTTTCCAGTGTGGTCATCTCCATGACCGTCGTATCTCGATCAGGTGGTTTTGGCCGTGTGTCGGCTCTCACGCTCCCCTGACTCGACATCGAAGTTCTACGCTGCATTGGATCCGGCGATGTTTTTGGATTGGATCGTGTATCGCTCGAGTAACCAGAATATGGCTGCGGCTGTGGCTGTGGCTTCGGAGTCTCAAAGCTACTCGACATTGCGCTTGGGGGCGGAATGGATCCACTTCGTTGATGAAGCGGAGCTGTCGGAGACTCGGACTGAGGGCGAAGTGGGAGATCAGTTGGCGGCGCCATCCAGGGCTGTTGCGCCTGCGACTGTGGTCGAGGTGGGGGCTGAGGTGGGAACTGGGTTGGAGTGGTTTGAGAGGGGCTTTGGAGATCGCTCATGCCAGACGCCTTAAGCTGCTGAATGACGGTCGAGGTGATCTGCGACAGGACTTCCGGTGAGAGGTAGGAGTTGGAGTTTGCATTATTATACACGGCTGAGTTGACAGCATCGTTGATATGGCCATTTGTGTTACCTGGTCGGGGTGGTTCAGGGTATTCGTAGTTTTGTGGGGGAGGGGCCGACGATGCGGGAGGCATCTGAGGTTGAGGCATGGTGATATGCTCTGATTCATAGTACGAGGGGTAGGGAGGGGTTGGCGTGTAGCCATGGATATCATTCGAATCCGTGTTCATATTTCCCATTCCCTGAAAGCCCGAGTTGGGAGGTGGCTGATATCCATCGTAGGCCATGTCAGGGGAAAGCAGTCAAACAAGACAGTATTTTCCTCTCTGCTGACGCCAAGGAGACCAGGGCACGAGCAGAGTAGAAGGCAAGAAAACGTTGAAAGGCAGAGAAATTCGGTTGGCGGGGCAGTGGGGAAAGGAGAAAGTGGCGATCTGAAACGTCACCGGATTTCCTCAGGTGTGTCGTACTCGAGCCCTGGAGCTTGAAAAGAAGAGTTCAGGTCACGTTGATGTGGCGCTTTTTTAATCTATTCAAGTGCCACAGAACATGCACAATTCTCCGTCATAGTGGTCATATTAGTATGTGTGGCCGGGGAGCGTCATTGATCGGCAATCTAATTAACTCCATCTTTCCATGCATAGATTGCGATGTCCTACCAACCTATCAAAATAAGCCAACGCCCCGTTTCACGTCTGGAGTCATGCATATTGTCTGCAAGTCGGTTGAGCCGGACAGTTGGCATCGGTCTCGAGTCCAATCAACGTCGAAGCCGCACGGAGTTACTAAGGTGCGCTTCGACGATCCGGGTGCATGCTAGTAGACATGCAGACTATAACATCATCTAGCGCTTACGAAAAGCCAAAATAAACCAAGAACAAACTGGTTTCTACGTCTGTGTATAGGAGTCTCCAGGACTCGAGGGTTACTATGGGACGCAGAAATGTGTCCATGTTTACTTTCTGGTGCCCAAAGGGTGGATCCTGGGCACAGATATATTTTTAGGCGATCTTCAAGACATGCCCACAATGTACCTTAGCAAACCTTGGAAACAAAACAAAATCAAGTTCACTGTTACCCTAGAAACTGTGGAGAACGGAAACATTGAAAGGGAACCATGGATGCTGGTTCTCCGACCCTTGGAACCTTGGAACACCTTCAATACCCGTTCAGGAACAGACGAAAACAAAACAATTCGACAAACTCACGAACTCATAAATTCTATTTCCCCTCAACCATAAAGACCACCAAGAGCAGACCGCAGAGCAAGCCGAAAAGGATACGAAGCATAGAATAACACAGACTTTGAGCAGACAGAAATCGCATCACAGCCACTGTTCAGTCTCCCGAGATAACCTGAGAGCTATCTCAACCTCTTCTCTAGAAAGAGGCTTCTCCTTGAGGATAAGTCCCTCCTCTCCCACGGAGCCACCTTCACTCTCATCCAAGTCCAGAAGCAAATTAGGCGACTTTATCGAAAGGCGTCCCTCATTCTCATCCCAGTCCAGAATCAAATTCGGCGGCGACTCCCTACCACTAGCAAGGCCTTCATTCTCATCCCAATCCAAAATCAAATTGGGCGACTTCGGAAGTATCGTGCGAGATGACAATCCCATCCCTGGAACCTCCTCAAGCTCCTCAGGTGGTGCAGGCAAGCTGAGCATCACCGCCCGGCTGGGGTTGACGTTGCCGAAGTTTCTGTCCTGGCAAGCCATGCAGACCTGGATATTCAATGTTAGCTCCAATCAACCTTGAATCGAGACAAATGATTCACCTACCGGCAGCGAGTGGGACTGCTGAAATGCATGGGTATGTTGGCTACGAGCAAAGTGCCACCCGGGTAACCACTCATTACAAAATCGGCATTTGAACTCGACTTTTTTCCCCGCTTCAACACATTTGATGCACTTGACTGAGAAATCACCTTTGCTGTCTAGTGCCTTGATACCCTGGGTATCGAGCGCATCGTTCAAATGCGCCAATTGGGTCGCGGAGAAAAGACGCTGCGGAAGCTCGTACTCGCACTGGGAGCATATGATTCTATGAAGCTTATCAGTGTCCATGCCCATGTATACCCATCTCATACCGGCAAATTACCTCTCGGGTAGATTTGGGTCCAGGTCCCTGTGGGTAATCTGTTAGAATGGCTGGTCAATATTCGGGATATCAGTTGGGCTACTCACAGGCGATTTGGGCGCAGTTCATATCCTGCGTAGCCCCAAGCACCCCTCTTGCCCCACCGGCTGCCACTCATGACTTTGATGGGATTCTTGTGATTCAGGTAAGGAAAATGGGTGAAGAAAGACGTGTTTTGCGTGAAGTCTGATGAGCACCATTCACGACAAGGGAAAGAGATGAGAATTCCAAGATCTGAGTTCAAAGAGAAGTGAGTTCATTACGCATAGCCACGGTGAAGGAAGCTACTATCACGACTGGCAAACCTCGCTGGCGGGGCTTTACGGATCGTTGTGACGATGTAAAACGGCATATCCGCAGCGATGATTGTTACTATTCGGATTGTGATATACACAATCGGCGCTAGTGAGCTTCGTGTATTTGCCTTGGCAATCATGGTACTATATGGTTATCAAGAAGCAAAGCAGCCGACAACAAGCTTGTGCAATGCCTCACTCCAGCGCAATCCGGCAATGTTTCCCAGATACTTGATATGTAAGTACAAGGAACCAGTAAAACTGATCTCTGGAAGTCAAAGTCCGGAATGCAATCCACAAGTCTGCAATCTCTTGCTAACCTAGATACCTCGGAGATTCATTGTAAACGAACCGGACTAAAATGCATTGAAAGCCAGGACAAGGCTGTCGCCTATGCTGATGATGAGAAAAACCTCGAGCTTATAAAGGCGGGCGTTCCCTCGGTAAAATGATATTGGAAAGTCATGTTTTGTATTGCATCTAGCAAAGGTAGGCACCAGGCGGAACAGATTATGATCAGAAAAAAAAACCCGTATAGCTCAGAGAGCCCTATACATCCAGAGTCAATGAATCTTGGAAGCCTGGTCATTCCAAGGGGCTGCACGAACAAAGTTTGGATCCAATGCTCATATTCCGACGAAGAGATAGACATGCAGTATCAAGCCAGACGGAAATCAATGCAGCCTACGTACCTAACAGGGGCGAAAGAAAACCCTGCAGCCCGCAGAACAATTTGGAATTCAAAACAAAGCCTTCCATCTTCATGTTACCTACCATGGTGAAAGTGGAGCCAAACACTTATACAAAGTGGGCGATTCTCCGTAGTCCATCCTGCTTTTAAAACGTACAGCCACATCTAAAAAAAGACTCCATGAACCGAGGTCCACGAACGACATGGATAGGAGAGAGAGACCCCCAGGCTGCCAACCCCCAACAAACATCAACATCCCCTTTGTGTACGCATATGTTTAAGCACTTTAGATCAATCTCCGGCCAGCCGCTTGAGAAAGCTGATTGGCCTCCATAGACCCGGGACGGGAAGGAGAGTTTCCAGAAATTCTTTCAAAGGGGCAACCCTTATTCCAGATTAATTGACCTTACAGTAGAGTCTTCTGTCAGAAATAAACTAAGCCAAGAAACACAACCAACATGGGATTCCCCCACTTGACCATGTCTCATCCGGCATGACATACAAGATAGTACCCGTAGATGGTTAGAGCTTTTTTAGCATGGAGGATTTAGGGCCGCGCGGGCTGTTAACTCCCCGTCCCCATAGAAGGATGGTTATGACCTTCCAGAAACGAGTAGTGTAGGGAGCGTGCGTTACTTCGGTGATGGTGGAGTCGGGATTGACATTAGGGTGTGTACCTGCGTGCGATGTAGAGTGGTTAGAGGTCCCCTCGTGCTGTTATTGTGGATACTTGTTGAGATAGCATCGTCATCCCTTTTCCGGATCGGTGATTAGCATCGGTAGTAGGGGCAATGAGAACGTGCTTTGGATCTTTCTGGCTTCTGATACGCTCGCGGGTTGCCATGAGGTTCCCGGCGACCGAGTAAAGGGGTGCACTAATGTAGGGATTTACAGTATGGTCGGCGTTCGTTGTGGGTCGAACTTTCTTGGGACTTGGTTAAGTTGGTTTAGCCTCCGGGTACAGTGTGCTTTTGCCAGTCTCTGATCCTGGTGGCGGGAGTTTCGCTTCGGAGAATTTTGTGTGGGTAAGGGGCAGGGCACGGTGGGACGAGCCCCTGGGGAAATGAAAAGTAGGGCTGGGCAGTGGCTGTGGCCACCATCCATTTGGTAAAGGGAGAGCCAATTTACGAGGTCTCGCAATAGAGCAAATGTGAGGTTATGATGTTGTTGATCCCGGTGAGGCCATGGTGATATTAGATGACCTTCTCGAAGGTCCAGAGAAGGCGATAACGGAACCCGCCGGTTTGGCGCTCCAAATAGTCCCATTCCTGGTTCTTGGCCCGGTGGCGAGGGCAAGGCGATCCCCCTCTGTGCAACGCTGCACTCGGGTACGAGGGACGGGCCTGGACGAGGTCCACGCGGTGGAGAATCCGTCGTCCCCCGAGTCGACGGTGTAGCGCTAGATCCACCGCCAGAGCGCATTGAGCAATGAACACGCGTGATGAGCACCGCTTTTTGAAGGAGAAGGACTGTAAACCCACTTGGCGCTTTGTTATGTTTTCCACCATGGAAAAACCACATTTTTCTGCTTGCCTCCACCAATGGCATTGTTGGCGCGTGCAGACCGACTCGCAGGATCTCCAGAGTGTACAGTACCTGGTACGCGCGGAGTACCGGCTCCACCGGCAGAACGTGTGGCTGGGCCTTGGTACTCCATGGGTAATTGGTACACGATACGCGTTGTTTTGTAATTATTCGCCAACGCCCAGTTCGTCTGTGATGGTGCCCAAGCTTCTCCCATTTAGAGAGTAGTGCACACCATCATAGTGGGGAGTCTTACGACTGGGTCTGGCTTTGTTTTGTTATTCTGAGGCCCACTGCTGTAATTTGGATTTGGGACTCCGTACCCCGTCGGTACGGCCCTTAGCCCACATCCTTGGGACGGGGGAAAGGAAAGGGGGCTTGGAGTACCATCACTTTTTCACGCGATTGATAGAGGCAATAAGGAATGCGGACAGCCACACGGAAGGTAATGTTTAAAAATAAAAAAGGGCAACCAAATGGGGGCGACGTAATCCTGGATCCTTGCGGGCCAAACGGTCGCCCCAGGGTTCGTCGTAGTCTGACAGGTGCGATTCCTGCAGGTAATCATGATAATCCCTCTCCCCCATGAAACATGACCCGTATTTTTGTAATCTCTCGCTAGCCTATCATAACTGATTTGGGTTGGAGGAACAGAAAAAAAAAACACAAAAAACACAAAAAACGAGGCGATGGACACAGATCGTCTTCCCATGGCTCTGGCTCGGGTTCCTGGAGCTTCTCAAGTGGATCATGGTCCCCTGTAAATGGTAAAGCTTTGATATTGATATGATTCTCTTTGTCCGGATGACCTCCCCCGGGGACAGGGATGTCGATCGACCGCTGTCATTAATTTCCCACACGGGATGTATTCTTGCGAAGTGCGAAACAAAACAAACAAAGAAACACCGGACTCCCTTGAGTTGCGCGCTGAAACTGAATCACGGGGCGCCATCTGTTCCCAATCGGCGATACTTCCGGGTGTGACTGGAATGTCCTGTGTGCCTGGGGTAGAGGCAAGGCGTCCTCTGAGACGGGACCACATATGGATCATATGCGTGATCAAGATCCCCATGCATCAAAAGCCAAGTCCCTGCTTAAGTTTACCGGAGGCATTTAGTGTACCGCGTACCTAGGAGACTCATACAGTAGCCCGCGATGCGAACGCCTCCGTCCAGCCGAACCTAAATAGTGTTCAATATGGCGAATAAGGATGGAGAAACGATAGTCGGACCAGTCGGAGATCATCACTGAAAAAAGAGTGTGCCCCTCCAGGAAAGCTCGGATCCAGAACCAGGTGGCGAGACAAGGTGCCGGGACAACGACAGAGATCAATTTAATAGCTCCTCCAATGGCGAGTGAAACAGGGGAATGGCCGTAGTCCAGCCTTGCGACGAGTCCGACGTGGGACATGACATAGCAGACATCAACTGGTCTCCCTTGCCTTTTGGCATGTCATCGAGTTGATACCGAAGATGCGTTATATAGAGGTGACCTGTCCTATGGTACGATCTGATAGATTGGTCCAGGCTGTTCAGGATCACTTGAGCACAACGTCATGCGGACGCGGTAGATGCGCGCGGAGATCCTTAGGAACAGCGAATAAATTACGGGGCGCGGCCCAACCCCTCTTGACTGTTTGGTTCGTTTGAACGGGAGTGACCGCCCCTAAATGTACAGCGCAGTGTTTATGCCCAACCTCTTTCTCGAGTCTACCTATAGGTGATTAACACAAATAACAAGATCAACATGATCAACTGATGGGCCCGTGGACCTTTGCTCTAATCTCGTAATTTATTGCTTTTGCCTAGTGCCAGTATTTGTTTTTTTTTTTCTGATAAAGTAACTAGTTCCATTTCATGCCCCAGATCAAACCAGAAACGAGAAAGAAAAAAGAAAAGAAAAAAAAGAAAAAACAAACTAAAATTAACAAAAAATAAAAACTAAATCGAATCCAATCATAAGTCGGTTATGACAATACGTTAATTAATACCACAAGAGGAAATCAGGAACGGGGCTCTGGATCCACATGCATCCACTTTATCGCTTTCCTTTGATCCTATAGGTTAAATACGGTATTTCCCCGTTGTGTGGACTTTAGACCCCAACTAGTAACTTATTCGATTCTTCATGCCAATACACACTCATTACTCGCGATTCTTACTCTCTATTCCTTCTCCATCCCAATAGTTCAGTGGCCCCTCTCTTGTGCGTTCTTTTTCATATTCGGGGGTTGCTGCTCTTTGGATCTCTAGATTCATTTTCCTTTGACCCTCTCTATACCATTCTACCACTCAACCCATTATACATCCCACCAGTTCAATATACAGAACTGCAGACCCCCGGTGGACTGATCTGCACTATCGGTCCTAACGTGGTTTAATTTACCGTCTCCACGGCCCCGTCCTTAGAGCTTCGAGCTGTCAGCGCGTCAGGGGCTTCGTTCGGCCTCCGATCGACTAAGGTGCCCACAACGGGTTCTCTCCTATTCTGGCGGGATTTCCTTTTTATTACATCGCGCCCGTTCTTGTGTTCTTCCAGATCGTTTTCCCCCCCCTCCTACTCCTACAAACTCCCTTTCCAACTACTCCGTCACTCCTTACTTTGCATCAAGCAAACCAGCAACCAACGTCATTAAATGGGAGAAATCTCCTTGCTCAACACAATCGACCTCCGTATTCGGATGATGAGCATTGGCACCAATTGATTTTCTTCCCCTCTCTCTCTCAAATCCGTGGGAAATTCAATCTGAACCCCTCTTGACTAATAGTGAGTGAGGCCTGATGTCACATTCCAAGAATATTCTAGGCTGGATGCTAACTCCATATCAGTATACCTCTTTATCTGCGGGCAGATCTAAGAGACAATCACAACCATGACAGTCACATATGATTCTCCCTCCCGGGGAACAACCAACACATCAATGGCCACTCTCGAAGATCGTTTCCAAGTGATGAAGGAGGTGGGCGATGGTAGTTTCGGTAGCGTGGCACTTGCGCGCGTACGGACTGCTGGGTCCCATATTGCGCGTCGAGGAACTATGGTATGGATCAGATGACGTAGCGATGGTTGATCGACAATGTTCTCCAAACATACTAACCGGATTCACAGGTCGCTATCAAAACAATGAAGAAGACCTTCGACTCATTAGGCCCATGTCTAGAGTTGCGGGAGGTCATCTTCTTGCGTACCCTGCCGGTGCACCCGCATTTGGTTCCGGCCCTCGATATCTTCCTCGATCCTCTTTCCCACAAACTGCACATCTGTATGGAGTACATGGATGGTAACCTGTACCAATTGATGAAAGCCCGTGATCACAAGTACTTCGAAGGAAAGCACGTCAAGAATATCTTATATCAGATCCTATCTGGACTGGACCACATCCACGCCCACCACTTCTTCCACCGCGATATCAAACCCGAGAACATCCTTGTGTCGACCTCTGCCCCAAATGATTCAACTTTCAGCCGCTACTCCAACCTTGTTACCCCTCCATCTACCCCTCCAACATACACTGTTAAGATTGCCGACTTTGGTCTCGCCCGGGAGACCCACTCGAAGCAGCCTTACACCACTTACGTTTCAACTCGGTGGTACCGGGCCCCTGAAGTGCTCTTACGTGCTGGAGAGTACTCCGCTCCGGTTGATATGTGGGCTGTGGGTGCTATGGCTGTCGAGATCGCGACCCTGAAGCCCTTGTTCCCTGGAGGCAACGAGGTGGACCAGGTTTGGCGTGTGTGTGAAATTATGGGTAGCCCTGGCAACTGGTACAGCAAGTCTGGTGCCAAGATTGGTGGTGGTGAATGGCGTGAAGGATCGCGGTTGGCGCACAAGTTGGGCTTCACATTCCCTAAGATGGCGCCACATGCAATGGATACCGTCCTCCAGCAGCCCCAGTGGCCCGCTGCTCTCGCTGAGTTTGTCACTTGGTGTTTGATGTGGGATCCCAAAAACCGACCGACATCAACCCAAGCTTTGAACCACGAGTACTTTGCCGATGCTGTGGATCCTCTGCGTCCCAAGTCCTCGACCTCATCAAGATTGCTCGGCCGCAAGCCATCCGACCGAAGCTTCAAATCTCCGACCCTTACACCCCACAACTCTCCCACTCTCTCTACCAAGCCCTCGTGGTTCCGCAGATCCTTGATTGGACGATCTGAAAGTCCTGTTCCTTCCGAAAATGATAGTCCCGTCCGACCTCCAGTTGTCACTCACAACACCGTTCCCGAAATCCAGCCGGCAAAGGCTCGTCCCCCCAACACTAAGCGGGCCACATGGGCCAACGGTGCTCCGATGCCCATTCTTCCTTCTATTCGCCCTGTTTCTCCTCTCTCCGCCTCTGTCACCGCGCAAGCTAACGCGACCTTGGCGCACAGCGAGGCTCAACAGGCCGCTGAATCCGAAGCCATCAAGGCTAGCAAGAAGATTGGTCGCCAACTGTCGGTCAACTCCAACGGCAATCATTACTCTGACGCACACCGCTTGGAGGCCGAGAGGATGCTGAATGGTTCCGGCAGCACCACACCGACTACCAAAGAGAGCTTCTTCTCGCACCTGCGCAAGCGGGCTCGCAGACTCTCCGGCCGTAATCAGGCCGCAGTGGCCGCTGATGATGTCGAAGCCAATGCCGGGTGCATTCCGTGGTCTAACCGCTCATCCATGGCCATCGATGGTGCCAATGTTTCTGACTCCAAGCAGCACTCTGACCTGAGCGAGCTTGATAAGGCACTCCAGAGTGTGAAGTACTCGTTAGACTCGTCTACCCTCAGCAACGTGCCTGTGCACTTGAACTCTGATAGTAGCATCACAAAGCGCCAGTCCATGCCCCAGACTACTGGCGCCAACCCTGGACCCATCTCTAGCCGGACTAGACGGGCAATGCAAATGACCAGCCACCCCGTCCACCGCTACGAGACACCTGAGGAGGAGGATGAGCTTTTGGACGAGGTCTTACATTCGGCCAGCAAGGCTGCCCGGCGCTTGGCTCTGACTCAGTCAATAACTTCTCATGCCCGCGCTCTGCCAAGCCCATATCCTACTCCATCGCCTACAGCAGCCCACCGTGAAAGCTACTTCGACACACCTGACAAGCACATTGCCAAGCCTGATGTGACCTCAAACCGTCAATGGCCAACTCCCCCTTACGAGGAGTCTGAGTGGAACAACAAGGCATCCTCTCATTACGTTCCATCTGGATCCAACTACATCTAAACGAGTGCGATTTACTCCAACGACCATCTTGAAAGGCCTTTTTTCAAGACACTCTCCGTTCCAACACAAACGAATAAAGGAACAAAAAAATCTGGCGAAATGCGCACAAAAACGGATACACACCAAGTTCGGCGTATGGGTTTCGGTCTGTTTATTTTTCCATGGTGTGGCTTCTGGGTTTGATTTCCACGCATGAGCATCGTTTTTTTTTTCTGCTTTGCCACGGCTTCCCTTCTTTTACATCTTTTTACATCTTCATACCCCTATAGGCCTTTTTATAGATGGATCCGGCCTCGCATCCTGTTTTCTCTCGGATTTCACTGGAGCCCTTATCAGTTCTGTTCTGTTTTGAATATTGTTGCAGAGGGCGTTTGCACAGATTTCCCCCATTTTACCCTTCATTGATACCAGCGCAAGTCGCATTATATACCACTCCCTATTTTTGCTCATCATCATTTTGCATTACTTGACCATTTTCGACGAACATGGCGTCTCATTTTCTTTTGTCTATATATTATTTGTCCCTTGTACATTGTCTGGCTACTGCCATCCTTCCTACCCCGTCTATCATTTCTCCCTTTTCCTTGACTCACTCATTCATACCTCTCGCTCTCCCCGGTCTTGTTGACCGGTTCTCCCTGGATCTCATGCCAGCCACTTGTTCACTCTTTCATGTACTACTTACTTACCTCCTTATTTGACTGGCTGGCTTCCAGTTATCTATCTTATTGTAATATAGAATCACATGGCTTATTGCCTTTACATATACTTGACATGCATACATAATACTGATCACTTCCACCATCTTTCCCACCATCTTTCTCTTTGAAGCTGCATGTCCTATCAAAAGTATAATATCCATGAATATCTTTTTAGGTTATCAATGGGCTGAAGTTTCTATCGACTGGACCATGGATGCAATATAAAATCTACTCTGTGAAATAAACACGATACTCTTTACGGATCCAAGGATTCCCTTTCGTTGGTTGAGTTACGGTCATGACGAAGACCTCCGGCTACCGGATCAATAATGATCCGAGGACCATTAGAATTTCCCGATTAAGCATGCTCTACCTTGACTTTTTTCAGCCTCGTGCAATTGATATCCAAACAACCTCAAATCCCGAGGTCAGGATTGCGATTTGTGTACTCGAGAGCGCGAATCAGCATCCCGCACAAGAGACTTCCCTCTCACCCCAGGAAGGTTAACCACACCGCCGAGCTTATCTCTATCAACCTGCTCTAAAAGATCTCCGAGGCAAACCACAATAACCTTGGACCTCATTATTGGTCAAGAGAACAATAGAACACGGAATAAAGCCACAAATAATCGAAGATGACAGCCCAACGCCAGGCTTCGTCAGCCGCTCAAACCCCTCACCTCTCCGCCGCCGAGCTTTCTTACCTCTACACCTCTCTCTCCCTCCCCAACAACCCTATCCGCCCTGACGGCCGCTCACCAACACAATTCCGTCCTCTGACCGCTGAATGCGACATTTTGCCCGGCACAAATGGCAGTGCGCGCATCGGTTTCGCGGACGGAACACAGGCTATTGTCGGTGTGAAAGCTGAGGTTGAGAAGACAACTTTGACAGCTGATACCCTTGACGCACGGTCTCTGTCGCTGCAGAGTGATCTCGGACCAAGTGGGGATGGGCGCGAGGGAACGGAGGGATCTTCGGCTGCGACTGGTGGACACGGCTCATGGGTGCAGATGAGCATTGAGATCCCGGGTTTTAGGGACGATGATGCGTTGCCTGTTTTCCTTGCTGAGATGATGCGAGAGAGTCTTGTCGGTTCTGTTGGTGGAAAAGATGGAGATAGTATTGAGAGGGGAATGGCGGGTGGTTTGAAGGGGAGATTGGTTATTAATAAACGGTGGCATTGGAGGTTGTATATTGATGTGAGTTTCCCTTCTGATCGAGATTATGGAACGAATCCAATACTAACATATGCTATAGGTCCTTCTCCTTTCGCAGCCATTGTCATACCCACTTCCTCTCCTCTCCCTCACGACTCACCTCGCACTCTTATCTACCAAGCTTCCGAAACTCAAGTCCCAGGGTGAAGAGGATCCTTTCTTCGACGATGACTGGGCTGTTGCAGAGTACCTGTACCCGCGTACATCAGCGGGTCCGAAATCCAACCCATCACAACAAGTTCGTCCTCCGGTCACATTGCTTGTGATCTCAGTAGGCGACAATGTTATCTTCGATCCCAACCGCGAAGAAATTGCCGTCGCGGATGCTGTGCTAGCTATCTCTGTTACACGCGATACAGAAAGCCAGGGCTTGAAACTGCTTACCATTCGGACGATTGATCCCCCGTCTAGACTTACTCAGCCCGGAGTACCTAATTCCGAGAATGTGAATATGCTTGGTGCGACCGCCCCGGGCGAGAGTGCGGCCGTTCTGAACCCCGCGACTGGGGAAGAGGAGATCCCTGGTGTTTGGCGCCCGAGAAGAGGCGGTGTCAAGCGCAGTGTGATTGCTGGTATGGTCAAGACTGTGTTGAAGAAGGGTGGTGTTGGCGAGGAAGTCCTTGCGGGATTGGAGGGTGTTCAGGTTGGTTGAGTTTATGATCTTGATTGTATCTAGAGTTAAATTGATACCACTTCAAAATAATGAGAGGCGATTCATGATTCATGATCTGGAGTTTACTCCGCGTTCTATGCAATAGAGGAAACTACCTAGTATACAATTTATGTGTACATTTGTGCCACCAACCACCCACAAGGCACAGGCACTAGGCCATTCAACAAGTTATACTACTAACATACCCGGACCCCTGCCCTGAAAGGCCTACCAAATTCCAAGCCACTTCTTAACAGGCTTCCTCTTCCCGTCAAAATCAACATACTCGCCCTGCTTGGGAGCACCCTCAGTCGCAACATCAGCAGCAATAGGGCTCTGATCGTCAATAGCAACAACCTCCTTCTCCTCCTCGGCTGGCTCCTCAAGCCCATGCGCAATCCGGTACTGTCTCCGCTTCTCAGCGTCCTCAATCCGGGCATGACGCTTCTCGCGCACGCGCATAGACTCGTGTTGCACGTGCATCCGGTAGACACTCAGAGCCTGGGAGATGGTCTCGAAGGGGCTAGTGAGGAGGCCTGACCAGGGGGGTAGAAGGTGTGCGAAGGGGGAGCTTGCTTTGAAATTTGTCGTGAAGGTGAATGTTGCGAGGGTTGTTAGGATGCTCTGTAACAATTGTCAGTATATGATCCTTCACCTTCTATCTATAAATGGGTATTTAGGGAGCTAGATAGCTAGCTAGGAAAGGCAAGGAAAGAAAGCCATCCACTCACCATCGCAATCCAAACATGAATCCACCGACTAGTCAAGAACTTAAACATAACAGTTCCCTCCGGCGGGAACATACTAGGATACTGCTTCTTATCCTGTTCCTCGCGCTCCTTGGCAGTAAGACGCGGTCCATAGTTAACTGGTTGACCGGATGGCGTGCGGACGGCTGGGCTAACAATGCGCTGCGGGTGGGATGGAGGCCGGAACTTGTCTGGCTTTTCGAGAATACGGTTCTTTCTTGTCTCAGGCTTGGCCTTGTTCATACGGTAAACCGCGCTGGTTGTGGAGAAGTTGGCATTCAGGCCGCGGTGTTGGAGGGTGCGGAGGGTCCGGGCTGTTGGGAGGCCTCGGGGAAGGAGGAAATGGGGGATTGGAGTTGGCATTTTGGAGCCGCGCACTTGGTAGTTCCAAGTGTTGTAGAGTGTACCTGGATATGAAGCTGGTGGTGGTTGCCGTATAGCTTAGCTAACCTCGAATTCAGGAATTGGCGTGTGTTTTTTCCCGAACGGGAGATTTTCATATCACGTGACTATACGATATTTTTCTGGGATTTTCTGGAATATCATGCGTTGAACTGCACTCGGGCCGGATGCACCTGCAGCTCGGTCACATTCTGCCGGAAAGGAAACAGTTTTTGATCTACATAGTTGACTTCTTGGTGTCATATTTCTTGTCTCAGCTTCGGTATGGAAGTCTTGTAAACATGTTTGGCCGGGCTTCTATAGCGCTTGCTAGATCGTACGATATATGGTCGTGTCTCTCCACATTACTACGCTGTGGCCAGCGTGTGTATACGGTCCACCAGATTTTGTTGTGCCGGGCGACTGAATTGTCTAGCCGAATACAAACCCACTGTACCCACGCCTGCGCTTGCCTCAGGATCCACATTTACCGGGCCAAGTTCGGTGCCGTGGAGCATGGACGAATAATAGCGGATGCATTTCGCAGCCCCAGTGGGCCGGGAGAAAGGCCATCCCCCAGTTTTTCAAGGGGTGGAAAGGAGCAGCCGCTCAACAGCGGCATGCGTTGGATCTGGGAAGTAAACCAACAGAATTCATGGAGCAGAGGACTATAAAATATGTATGCATTTTCGTGATAAAGAGCCTCAATAAGGGAAAAAACGGTCGGCGTTGGGGCGGATGATGAGCGATGAGATCATGGGATAGAAGGTGGCGGCTGGTCTTCTAGCCACCGTTAAAGCCTTTGCTCTGGGGGACTTGCCAGTTTGTCGAATAAAGAGTATGACATATTGAACCAGATCCGATCTTCAAATTTGCCATTGACCCGGTTAACAGAACGTGGGAGAGTATGATGGGGAAAATGAGCTCACCGAAACATGAATAGCAATCCCGGTTGCGCCCGTCGCGCTGAATTAGCTTAACGCTGATTGGTGGATGTAAGGATCACGGGAGCCGACGGGCTCCAGGTACAAAATCGCAAGAAAATCTTGCTTTTGTTTCTCCCGATTTCTTACAATTCTGCTTTGTACAGCTATACCCTCTCTTCAAACCCCCTTTTAATTTCAATAAAATCTTTCACAATGGGCAAGGACGCTTCTTTCGCTCCCGGTAAGCCATTATCCTGACTTCCCCCCTGCCAGCGCTGGAATCGGTTTCATGGGGAAGGGAGAAAAAGTTATACGCGCGAGAGCAAAGGGAGAGGATGAGAGTGAACGAACAATGGCTCGCGATTGCCAATTCCACCACGCGCCGACTGTCCTTTCCGAGCGCATGTCGGTCTTCGCGTCATTGCCAATTGCGAGACCCCGTACTCAGCTCTCAGCTCTCACCATGACACTTTCGCTCTACGTCAACACAACTTCCCTGTTTGCATAGCAACAACTGCGACTGCACCACAGCATCTCCCACAACCGATTCCGGACGCTCTGTGTGTCTGATCTTTCCATGTCGACCTCTGACGTGCTCTGCACGTCAACGATCATGTACATGCGGGAGACTGGACTCACCGAGCTCGCTCCTCGGAACGACGAAGACGCCAAACTCAAGACCCAGGCTAATAACATCCCTGCAGGTGACGCCGCCAAGGGTGCCAAGCTTTTCCAGACTCGCTGCGCTCAGTGCCACACCGTTGATGCCGCTGGTGGCAACAAGGTCGGCCCCAAGCTCCACGGTCTGATGGGCCGCCAGTCCGGTCAGGTCGATGGTTACTCCTACACCGATGCCAACAAGGAGGCTGGTGTCCACTGGAACGAGGACACTCTCGTAAGTTTGAACTGACAATGAATCATCGCTACTCCCTTTTACTAACCACCATCGCGCTACAGTTCAAGTACCTCGAGAACCCCAAGAAGTTCCTCCCCGGTACCAAGATGGCCTTCGGTGGTCTCAAGAAGGCTAAGGAGCGCAACGACCTCATCACGTACGTCTTTCTGATACCCTGCATCTCTAGCGACATGAACTAACAAGCGTGTTACAGTTACCTCAAGGAGGCCACCGCATAAATGATTTGACGTGTTTTCATATTATTCTTCACGGCCATTTCATTTTCTCGACACCCCGTCTCTGGGAGATCATAGACGTCTAGGATTGGTTTTGGCGCCGTGGGCTGATTTCCGGGCATCCGAGGGACCGGGCTTGTAATTTTATCTGAGTTTACCATGGTTGACCCGCAATAGATTTGGATTTAACTCTCTTCTCATTGATACCTCATCGTAGTGTACTGCAGGTACGATCTGACCTATCCCGGGACTCGGGCTAAAGGGGGTGGCCAATTCGAGGAATGGACGCATACAGAGATGTGATACATCCCTACGAGGTACAATACGGTATTGGTGGAGTGTTTCAGAGTTCTGAAGGGAAATCGATTGGGCGGCAATGGGCGGTCAGGCACAAGTTCAGGTACCTGGGAGGTTGTTTTTACTTGCACGTCACCGCCAACTGGTACTTCTGCAGTACTTGACAAGACATCATGATACCAACGATCGACCTTGTGGCCTTCACCTGACTCGGATTGGTCCAGCCTCCCCCTGCAAAGGTGAGGAGTTAAACTCCCGCATTGCTGCTCGAGGCGCAGTTCTTCTTCATGAACTACCTTTATCTCATGCTGTTTCCCATATGATCCTGTCTCATATTTTAACTCTTATCAACTGCATCTCTCCGCAGCTACAATACATTCCGTTTCCAAAACCTATCCGCATCGCACTCTGTCGCATCGCACTCGCTTGCCGCGCGGGGTCGATTCCCGGCTTTCCACTTGCTCTTTGATCCAAACTGTATCAGCGCATGAGATCTGATCCCAGCGCTTCCACTAACCGCTCTGTGTCCAGCAATCCCCAGTAAACACCAAATCGCAAGACGTCGCTTTGCGCTGCGTCTTTGCGACAAACACCCGACTTGCAGCGCTACCGGTCTACGCCGTCCGCCATGTTGGACGAGCTAGACAATGTCTTCGACGACCATCCGTCGCTGGATGCGTCGCTTGAGGACTTTGAGAATCACAGCAATGCGCACCGCTCGCCGCTGTTTGGTATGCCCTCACAGCACTCGGGCTTTCGATCTGAAGAATCCGACGATGAAATCGAGGAACCAGGCGCAAACGAGCGCTGGTCGCCACCCGGCGTGCGCCGGCAGGACTACGTTCGCAGTAGTGGCTGGTATCGTCATCAGCCCTATCAGCGCAAAGGCATGAATGAGCGCTTAGATCTGCGACCCACCGTGGGTCTCAGCATGTCACCATCGCTGTCGCGCGAGCCGAGCCCACAGTATGAAGATGCGGTCGAGGCCCCGAGTAAGGGCAAGTCAAATGATGAAGATATGACTGATATTACGGCTGCTGTCAATGTGCCTCTCCCGGTGGGTGCAGGAACTCCACAGACCGGACGATCTCCCAGCCCCAGTCCACCCCAGAACAAGGCGGCGCATACCCATGCCGAAGAGGAGGGGATGACCTTTGGCGCGGAGAATCTGAGTAATTGTAGGCATTGCCTGAATTTCGGTGTCAGATGGTTGTATGTTCTATAGACATGGAAACACTAACTTGTTCTTTGCGCATTGTGAAGATATCCGTTTTGCCGTGCGCGCTGAAGTTCAGCATCGCGAACCCATTGCTGCCCTATGCAGCTACTTGCGCAACAAATTCGATCGCATTACCAGCACGAAATCCAATACTACGCTCTCGATCGTTGTTTTCTTGATCTCTATTGCGTTTATGCGTGCCTTGTTCCTGCCCGGTCTGCCACAAGCTATCCCAGATTTGGTGAAACTTTCTGGATTCGCGCGCTCATTTGAACCACTAATCTACTATTCGGAGAATGGAGTGCAACAGATTGGTACCTTGCAAGAAACAGGTGTTGCCGTCTGGGATCTGAGCGAATCGGTGCGCGGAACAAACATGACCAGTGCGCCCATCATTGTCGGCCAGCTCGACGAGTTGTCCGATTCTCTGAAGTCGCTCTCATTAGAGCTGACTCGATTCTTCGCAAATGTCGATTCGGACATCGACTCGATCCTGATCGTAATGGACTGGGCAAAACGAGAACTGGAGACCCTCTCCGCCCAACCACCAAGTACCCTACCAACGATCGTCTTCGATAACGTCCACAACATGCTATCCCGCCTCGGTGCCCTCGAACGAACCGGCGAGGTCTCAGACGGCACTGTCTCAGCAACAACAACGACAACAGCATTCGGTCACGTCGTCATGGCCGTCCTGGGTCCAACATCAGCCCAGCGCACCCGCGCCACCATAACCCGCACATTCACCGAGTTCTTGTCCGTATTGGAAGAGTCCATAAACAGCGAACTCACCCATTCAACCGCCCTCTTCGCGTTGTTCGAATCCATCGACCGCCAATTTCTCAATCTCCAGCGCACCGTCGTTCGCGAATCAGACGCCCAAGAGCGCGCCGAAGGCGAAATGCTAAGTTCCCTGTGGACTCGTGTCCTGGGACCAGACGCAGTGGCCGTCCGCAAATACGAAAAGAACAAGCGTCTTCTCGCCAATGTCCGCAGTCGCACAGTCGCGAACAAACATCTTCTCGTCGATCACCGCGGCCGTCTGTTGACATTGAAGGTCAATTTGGAGACCTTGCGACGAAAACTCGTGAGCCCACTTGTACGCCGTAATGACTCCGTCAGCTTCATGGGCGTGGACGGCAGTTCCGCTGCAGCGGCAAGCTCCAATTCTGCAGGACGCATGCTCGGACCCGTCGAGTCTGTAATCGACGGTCAAATCCGTGGGTTGGAGGGCACATACGATTATCTCCGATCCGTCCGTGAACGACAGAAAGCAAAGCTTATGGAAATGGTATATGGAGCCGGCCGAAAACCAACCCGGTCCATGTTTGGCGATGTGGATGAGCACGATGACATTGGGATTGAGGGGGCATAGCCAATCAGCCCAGTCCAGCAATTTCCTTCTCTCTTGAGCCCTCTCCCTGACTCATCATCACCTAAGAATCTTGAAGATTCCCTTCTCCCCACTTCCACCAATATCTCACCATTGGATCGATCGTTCTAGCATGGATTTGGTGTCTTGTCCTTTCATGTATTTCGGCGTTTATGGCTTCCATCGGGTCGACAGGGCCCAGCGACGTGATGAATACGGATTAACGGCGTTTCCCGGTCTTGAACTCCGCTGAACTGTCTCTTTCGGTACAATAACATCTACGGCGAATCGGAGGACGGAAGGCGTGTGCAAGACAAAAGGGATAGACATATGGATGGTGGCACATATTGGATTTTCGCGCTGTTTTCTTAGTTCTGTTTTCTTCTCTGAGTGTCTTTTGATAGGACTGTTAGCATCAGGAATGCATTGAATACGTATATTCTTGTTTATATTCGAGTAACCTACGTAAGCAAATGCTCAAGGGGGTTGATATTTTCCGTGATAACTATACATTTCAAGGTTGGCAAATTTCCAGCATCAGCATAACGTAGTAGAATGTTGGAAAGTTTCATCCCTCTAATCCTTTTCAAGCTTTTATCATCTCTTACGCAACATTTAGGAATCTTCACACGTGCATAACGTTCAATCCACGCCTAGATAGAATGCGAACAGATCGCATCCCATAATGGAAATTGAGCCAACGGCACGATCCCGGACATTTCTACAACCTTGGAAGGAGGTAGAATTTCAAAGACAACTGAACTGCATTGATGGTCACGCGGTATGGTTATTCCAGTAGGTTCTTCCTTTTGATTGCACATGCCCGATCTTTTGCTGACAGTTGAAACCCAAAATATGTAACATCCACCCGGATCGCCTACAGGCTTTTCAGCCCAACTGTCATTTTATCCCTCAATTCCTGATAGCCTTGTTCCAAGGTTCCATAAGCTTTAACCCTAGTTATTTTGGGGGCGTGCTTATTTTCTTATTTGCTTTTGGCTGTGGTAATCAGGGGTAAATGGCGTAACAAGCTTCTCGGCGCAATACGACTGCTAAATGCAAGCGATGATCTGACGTGGCTCACTATGGATGTATTTGCAATTCAACTTTGATTCTCGTGGTTCGGTTTATTCTATACAACGGAGAAACGCATAGATCAACACCGCTTGTTCTTGTGGTCATGATTGGCTGGGTATCCAGGTAATGATTCCAGGAATCTTGGAATGTTCTCTCGGTGATGTTCTCTTTCCTGGGTAGTTAAATCCGTCTTTTACATTTGACTCCTTGTCTTGGATCCATATCTCCGAGGACAGGTCAAGGTCAGATTCACTACCGTGACAACCTATCCTTGCATGTATAGCTGAAGAGAGCAGCAATGAGCCATCAAAATAAACATTGAATAAACAATTAAACAACAGGTCTATCCGACTCAATTGCCGCTAAGTCAACTACCGCCTGCATGCAACGAACCGGACTGTCCGCGTTGTAGACCCGACTCGATGTCCATGTACGCCATCTGCCATCCCTTGCATCCTGGCCTCGAAAATCCCGCCACGATTTCCATAGCCCTAGAATAAGCATACGCGGCCTTGATCAATATTGGATATACCTTCATAGGGGTGACAAAAAAAGAAAAAGAAAAATTCCCGAGATCACCCCGAAAAGGCAAATCTGGGGATAGCGGCGATCATCGCGTGAGACTGGCGTGGTCTTTTGTGGCTAGATCACATTTTCCAGGTCATTTATGCAAGCTTTGGGGTACGGAATGAGAACATGCGCTGCAGGTGCTCGTCAGCTAGCCTGCGATGGTTTCCTGGCTTGCAGATTCGGGGATTTGACTAGGGACGCTGACGACGACTGAGACATTTTTGATATGTTGATGAAGAGCTGGGAGAGCCGGAGGAGGTATAAAAGGTGCTTGGTGTCCGTCAAGAAGAAGTATCTATCACCAACAACCTCTTCTATATCAAGCTTCAATCATTATCAAACTCATCCAAGATGAAGGTTTCTATTCTCCTCTCGGCCTTGATGGTCACCGGCTTCGTCGGCGCTGCTCCTATTGCGCCTGGTAAGAACCATTGATTTCTATACTAGCATTGAGCATGGACTGACAGGAACTACAGAGTCCAACGGCATTGAGAAGCCTGGCCCACCCCAGCCTCACCACCAGGGACATCCTCAGGGAGATCACCCCAAGCGTGAGGTCGCTGCTGCGGATGATTCCGAGCACAAGAAGCATGACGATCACCCTCACCAGGGCCATGGCGATCATCCCAAGCGCGAGGAGTCCACCATGTCCGAGCATGGCAAGCCTCATCACGGCGACAAGCCCCACGATGGAAAGCCGCATGGCGATCATCCCAAGCGCGAAGAATCCACCATGTCCGAGCATGGCAAGCCTCCTCACGGCGACAAGCCCCATGAAGGAAAGCCCCATGGCGATCATCCCAAGCGCGAGGAATCTACTACTGAGCACGGCAAGCCTCCCCACGACGGAAAGCCGCACGGCGAGAAGCCCAAGGGCGACCACCCCAAGCGTGAGGAAGACTCGGCTTCGGCCCCTCCTCCTCACAAGGAGCAGCCTCACCCGGAGCCAAAGGGAAAGGGACACCCCAAGCGCGAGGAATCTACCACTGAGCACGGCAAGCCTTCTCACGATGATAAGCCCCACGGTGACAAGCCTCACGGTGATAAGCCCAAGGGCGACCACCCCAAGCGCGAGGAAGACTCGGCTTCGGCCCCTCCTCCCCCTCCTCACAAGGAGCAGCCACACCCGGAGCCAAAGGGAAAGGGACACCCTAAGCGCGAGGAATCTACTACCGAGCACGGCAAGCCTGCTCACGATGATAAGCCGCACGGTGACAAGCCCCACGGCGATAAGCCCAAGGGCGACCACCCCAAGCGTGAGGAGTCCACTGAGACGGAGGCTTCGCGCCCTCCTCACCACGGAGAGAAGCCCCAGAAGGGTCACGATGGTCACCCCAAGGTTTAAGAGCTGTATTTCTCGTCACCTACGATACCGAGAATGAAGGCTCGATGTTTGTTGCGGAGGATGTGGGAATGGAAGAGATGTTGTTAACTACGAATACGAGGCGGGATGGAGGGTTTGTTTTGCGGAAGGAAAGATTGGAATTGCTAAGTTTTGAGGCTCTTGGGGAGAGCATTGGTTCTCTATCCCACTAGAATGATCGCCAATTTGAATGAATGAATACGCGTCCCAGAAATGAATGCTTTTTCTTCACATCTCTAATTGCCCATTAAATCCCTTTCAAGTACTTGCTTTCCTCCTAGCATCAAGGACAAGTGGTCACAGCCTTCCCAGGAAGGGCAACATAAACAAGAACAGAAGCCTCTGCTTTCCTTTCCGAATATCTCAGCAGGAGGAATCGAGGACTAGAAGCGTCACTCAAGTCGTTGTGACTACTCCCGCTGCCACCCGTTGCTCTTTGATCTCAAAGCGTAAAACCTCTGATGATCGCGCTCAGAGTGAAACAGGAATACACTAAAGGTAGAATTGATGACGTATGGAGCATTAAGAATGCTCTCTCGCAATCATGTCTGATATGATGGCGCGGCTCCCCCTTTAACTTTGCGCTCTTTCATGATGTCTCCAGGCACTTCGGATAGCTCATTGTAAGCCTCATCATGGCCGAAGCAAGATAGTATCTGTCACCTCCTATCGAAGGCAATTCCTGGCGCATCGGTCTCTGACAAAGGCTGTTTCTCTTCAAGAAGCAGAAAGGTGCATCTCCTGATTTTTTCTAGGGAGACTTCTCTGTTGTCGGAAAGTACTGCCCAGAACCTAAATCTTATGTCTGTAAGGTCTTTCAACTACCCATTGGCTCTCCTTCATAGTCAGGTTCTTTCCTCGACTACCTCCATTTGCAAAGGTTGTCTTTCTTGTCTCGGCATGACTTCCTCTATCAAGAGTCGAGGATGAAGACCACGCTTCAATAAATTGAGGCTTTTCGAGTCCACGCAGAAACGGAGACAGCCTCCTGGTTACGTTCTCAAAAATGGTTGCGTGGCGATGAGAGTAGTGAGGTCCTGCGAAAGTATCATAGATCACACTGGGATTTGTCGTTACCAGTCGCGTTTCCATTGTGATCTTGTACAAGGGACTGCCACTGTACAATGGCGGTTGTAGCCTTCGTGAAAATATCCTGCGATGTGAAGTTCACTGACAACGTAATGTTATTGCGCACAATCAGAGGCTCCGAGAATTGTCGAGTCTTATAGCTGCCGTCTCATATTTCTCGAGTGCTCTCAAAAGCCTTCACTTGCCATTGTTTTAGTGAAGCTTCCCGAACGCTCGTATCTTCATAATGAAACTTGAAACTGTAATCCAGTTGGTAACTCCGCACTCAAATGGTTCGATAGATCCATCAACTCCCATAGTTCGGTTCTTGATTGGTGTATCCTGTCCGTGAATAGACTGATTGATCTGGCAGCTGCACATCGTGTATCTGGCTTTGCATTCGTCCGCAGTTGACATTCTGACCGTAGACCTTTTTGTGAGCTGCCTTTCTGCCTGTTGTTCCATAATTTTCCAATTGAATTAAAGGCTCGAATCTTCAAATAATTGGAAAATGTGTTTCGATTCGCTGCACGTCAAGAAGAAAGCACACTCGTCCGCACTCATGGATCTTAAGGGATCTATAACCTCCTGCCCACGGTTTTCGAAACGGGGTTGTTGTATGGCGCGTTGACGTACAAACTCGTATGTATGCCAGTCAGCTGGAATTCGCCTCGCGTGGTTGATTGTCAAGAAGCTTTCGGCGTATCGTGCATCTCGTGTCGAGATAAAGTGAAGCGAATCACCTTGTAATTTCAGCGGATTTCAGGAAACCCCTAAGCTTCGCATTTGTCGCCGAGTTGTGAGCGTGATCGTGGCGAGGAATAAGCGAGGAATTGTAAGGGATAGTCCGTGGAAAGCGGCTGGGTACCAGGGGGGCCTTTCTACCATGCCACCCGCTTGGAACTGATTGGTTTGTTAATAGCGAACTCAAGCGAAGTCAACTTGGAGTAAGGCCTGACATCCTTCTAACCACTTGACTTGTATCAGTCGCAAAGGAGTCGACTCCCTGTGGCTATCGAAGAGGATTGCTTCGATCATTCAGGAAGAAAGAGGAGGACTTGTAAGTGTTTCCGCTGAAGTGTTGAAGCACCTGTAGCGGTATGGTATCTAAGAAGTTGCGAATGCCGGTGGCTTTATGTCATCAGCCGCAACTTCCAGCTCAATTCCTGATGTAATCTTGTTTGTCAGGTCGAAGTGTTCCGGATAATTATCCGTCACCTCCTTTTGTGCAACCTCTTCATTTTCCCTGTTATTCGAATTGATAATATGATGGCGCACGTCGTTAGCCCTTGGGTCCTTCACATCGCTCTCACATTCTGGGCCCAACCTATAAGATCGCGGCTTTGAAGGTGGGAGACGCCTCAAAGGTCTTCGGGAGAGCTCAGTCAAAGATCGTGCCGATTTTTGCCTCGAATATCTTGGTGATCAGCCAAGAACAGATCATAAGGCAATGGTGAATCGGTGTATGCCTCAATTTTAGCCGTGCGACATCATTCTGTGCTTGTAGCACCGCCTTTGTTACTGCAATAGATCGCTTTGTTTTAGGCTGTCGACAACGCTTTTGTCCTCGAAGTAGGTGGGGAAATTCGGAACCCCGGAGACCCATTCAAAGCATTATTGGCTTTTTCCCAACCCGCATCAAGCCCCTTCTCTGCCAGAAGAGCACTGTAAAGGCTGGGATATCGAGCAGCCTTAATTGATGGTGATCGCTGCAAAACTTGCATCAATAAGGACTATTTTTTGAAAGTCTCACCACCACCTGCCATCGTAGTTTCTGCGTGGTGTCCTGCATAGCCTCTTCTTTAGTTCATCTTCAGCATGACAATTTCTCCCAAAGCTTATATGAAAATGATGAGAACCGAGTTTAGAAGACGGAACCGAAGAGACCTTACCTAGCGAAGGATTCCTTTCGTATGGGACATTCAAGGCGAGAAGTCCTGGGACGGCACCGGGAATCAAGCGCCTATTGAGGCATAAGTGATCTAAAAGACACAAAGGGTATTAGAAACACCTGCAACTGAGTTAATCAGGGCTCGGAGATCACTTACAAACTCTTCCTGCCTCTCTTTAACATGTGTTGTCCTTCCACTTGCAAGTTGCTCGACCGCCGGCCCAATTTTGGCCGGTGCGCATGGGAAGGAAGAAGAAGAAGAAAGAGAGAAGAAGAGAACAGAAGTATTTATAGTGAGTGAGAATTCTGTTGCCTAAGGAATGATTGGAGTAAGGCATATAAATATGAAGCATATTAATAACACTTGAGCATTCACGGGTCCAGAAGGAGGGTAGAGTCGGCGCATGTAAATCTGTATATCCCTGAACCCATGATACAAAGGCATTCAAGTAGATTCTTTAGTAAGAACTTATATAGATAAATAGTATTATATTTGGTAAGGTAATGATATTTATTTGAAAGCAGAATTTCATTGGGAAAAAAGTTGAAGAGAAAAAATAAACAAAAATTCAAATCATCTTTGGAAAAGTGAAATGATGTGCGCTGGCTATCACCCTTCTATGCTCATCCTGCATTTCAAAATAGCGTTTGGACAATATAGTATTTCTCAGGATTATTAATCGAGAGATGGCATAATGAACCGCAAGTTTCACAACATCGAAGATACAAGATCCCACTGTTGACTAGTATTCCTTCCCAGTTCGACACTGTGGATAGAACCACCATGCCATTCTTGCCATTTCTATACCTTTTCTCCTCGCTACTGCCCTCCCTTGAAACTGTGAGCACTAAGTCACACTATCATCACAATGGAGCCCTCCTTGGCCCTTCATCGGTACGTACAGCAAAGCCATCTCCCTCTATCACATTGATTCAACAAAGTCCAACTACATTGTGGTTCACCCGCGCTCTTACTTGAAAGCCATGCTTATATATGGTGTGAGGAATGATCTCCATGCCCAGATGCAAGCCGTGCATTAGCGCAAAACCTTTTCTTCGGATAACCGTCCAGGGCCAGAAACTTATCTCTGGGGATTCAGGCAGCAATGACAAAAGTACCAAACTGCCTCAAATGGAGGAGCTCAAATCTGACAGGGGTTATTGGTCCACATTCAGCGACAGCTCTGCGAATTGCAACATGCACTGCCTGATTTCTGGAGAATAAGTAGCTTCCGGTAACGAAGCTGGGTTCCTCGGCAAAAACTTCTCGAAGATTGTGTCAGCAAAAGGTGGGTACTTTATCTGGGATCATGCGCTGCATGAAGCGACCACTCATGGGAAGCGGTATAGGATTTGGGTGCTCCCAATGGATTGTGAGTGCTGTGTGACGGATAGAGGAGACAAATTCAACGAGAAGGAATTGAAAGAATTCGAGACCCAGTATGGACCAACACTCTAGCCCGATATCTGATGCTCTGTTGGGGATGGCAGAGATTTACTTTGAGGGGTTCCTACGTTCGAGTTGAGCCTCAAGCCGACCATAAGGCTCAGCCAAATCGACCAAGTGACCAGCCGTGTCTCCGCCATGTTAATCACCTATATGATAGAACAGCTACCCATTTAGAGCCTTCACAAATGTTACAGCTCACAATGAATTACTGGCAATATTCACATATTCTCTGTCCCACTCGAATACTCTTTTTGTGTCATGTGCCATGTTTCCTAATTAAGAAGGGGTTCTGTAGACCACAGTTTTAGACTTCATCGTGAGGGAAGGAGACTAGAAAATGATTGCAATGACAATAGAGGACTAAGAAATACTATATTGCATAATCAAATATGTGCAGAAACCACATTTGGAAATAAATCGAACGCATTATCCCCCAATGTTGAACGATAGACTTTCCACGCTGCCAAAGGAAATGCTAAACGAAAAAAGCTTGTCGGATAACCCGGCAAGTTCCATTGTCCTCAATGAGACAAGCAGAGCAACTTCTTAACTCTCCAGAAAGATCAAGTTGACGGCTCCAATTTAATTGGTGGATCACTGCTTTCCTTCTTTATCTCTTTCTCTGTAGGCTTCCTAGCCCAAATTCGCCGCCTAGATGCCGTCATTAGCCACCAAAAACAAAATGAACATCACATATACTCACCCAAATTGATACCCATGGATCTTAGGATCCTTCAATTCCGCCCGCGTCTTAGCTAAAAACACTTGTACTTCCTCCGATTTCCACGGGGTAGGTGCTCCAAACTTAGTGAGCAACAACATACAATACCCCTCTAGACCAGTCGACCAGTGGTGAGTATGAAGCAAGCCGAGTTCCTTCAGAACCGGATCCCTAGGCCATGGACCAAGAGGAACCTTATATACCTTCTCCTGAATATCAACAAAGCCAGCTTTTTCCAAGCTAGCTCGCATGGTTTCCTCGATTCCGAAGGGGCGACCAGCTCGTTCAGAGCAAGGGAACCAGATATCGCCCCACTGGCCTAGAATACTGTCTTCTGGCACAGAGTTGTCATCGCTATAAACTCTGATATTGAATTCGAATTGTTCGATCCAGCCGCCCGGTTCGAGGTTTCTACAAGACATTGTGTTAGCGGGCTACCTGCCGATGTATCGCGCAGAGTATAGCTTACTCGTAGCAATTGTCATACAATTTAGCCCATTCTTCACGACGGAATGAGCCTAGCATGTGACGCAAATAGATGAGATCGAACTTCTCGTTCCATGTCCATGGTTGGAGAAGGTCGTCTACCTCGAAGACGCAGTTTGGGGGGATCCAGGTATGAGGAGGTGGGTACAGGTCTACGCCACGGACGGTTGCTAAGACCCTTTAGTACCGATTGAATAAGACGGAATAATGCGGATGCTTACCTTCAGGGTACATGTCGGCCATGTCGCTAGCTAAACATTAACGCGATTCTTGGGACAAGGCGGGGTTGACTTTACATTGCCCAGCTTCCTTTTCCAGTTCCGACATCAAGAACGTGCTAAAAATAGAGTTAGTATAGTTTTCTGAAGTAAACATATGTAGTCCTCACTTTTGGCGATTCAATAGGAGCGCGGTGGAGTGGGTTTCGCTGATTGTAGTCCAGCAGAAGGTAAATAATGTGACTGCGATCACTCATCAACAAGATGATCAATACTGGAATAGGTGTATTAACGATACCCGGTCTCATAGGCTTCAAATTGCAGGTCATCGGATGGTGACCAGTAGTCTCCCGGCTTCAAAGATTGGTATCTAATCTATTTAGTTGATGCATTGTCGATCATTCAAAAGGGATTACGTACCTTCTGCCATTTTCCACGCGACCTCTGGCAATCTCAGAGGCGAGAGAAGTGGTATCACTGCACGTTGATCAGCAAGTGGAATTATGCTTTTTGGAGGCGCACTAACGACTTCCAATCATCATCCCCATACGTCTTTTCCATCGTATAGAAGTCTGGATCCTATAGGCTGAGTCAGTTAAACCCTAAACACGAGCCCGGCGGTCATATCTTACGACATCGATTGAAGCTTGCGACATGGCTGCGACAGTGGGTATGTGCGAGGAATGATGAAAGAAGATGTCAGGGGAAGTATTTGATGAGGGGCTGTGGAGCGTACGGGCCTTTTGTTCATGCCGATCCGAGCCCTGTACACATGGCGGAAGGGAGTGGGTACCGCCACCGGCATATGATGCGAGAACGGATACCTTTTCCTATACTTTAGGTTTGCCCTTTGTTGTCATTTGGAGTTAGTTTGATGAGCCAAAATGGTCAAAGATCAACGGCTGCGCCAAGTGTGGCCCATTTCGTGCCCATTTTCAAGAGCTTTTGGCCCATCTCCAAGGACTTTTGTGCCTCGGAAGGCCTCTCAAAAGTACCGCCATAAGTCGCTTGGCAATTTAAATTCTGACCCGCTATTTCGGCGCTACTGTGCCTGTCAAATTAGGTATGCAGGCCTCGCATGCCCTGAAGGAACGTCCCGCGAATAGGAATACCCCGCATAATCGTAACGGCCCATTCTAACTGCGACTACAGAACACTAATGTTTGTCGCTTTAGCTCTAATTTCGGCGAAGATTAGTTTGTCTCTGATAGGTCGCCGCAAAGTCGACGATCACGGTTCCCGGAAGCTCATGCATAAATGCACAAGGTTATGAGCACAACATTGGTATTTTTGTCGTGTGGGGTTGACCAACTGGTCAGCGTACGTAGACAGTACTTTACGTGATACCCTAGGCTACTGCACTCGGCTGCATTTGTACATTAAGCTATAGTAAGTGATCTAAAGCATCTTGGTCATGATCGTCAAAAGAATGGTATATTCATTAATCGTAAATCGCTACAAATAATTACTATCAGAACAGCCAAAGTATAGACAGCATGCCGATAGCAGTGTTGTTGGAAGACATGCCAGATGTCCCAAGTATAAACCCAATCCAACAATAGATTTAGTCAGATACCTCTGATAAAAGGAAAGAAATGTCAACCCCAAATCCGCCCGCGGATTCTTCCAAGTCTATTCGAAAGATTAGCTTCAAGTTCACCCAGCTCGGCCACGTGACACAGTCGAAGGTGCAAATACTTCTACATACCATAGCAAATCCTAGATAAGGAAATTCTGCTCCTCAACTCTTGTATAACTCCGGCGTCTGAAGAGTCTCCAATCCCCACTTTGCGGTCTTGACCGACCGGTCAAATAACGCACTTTCCTTTGGCGCTCGACTTGCTCCCCATTTATCAAGCCACCCATTTCATCGTCATAGTCATTTTCAAGGTATTGTTCATATGGAACAGCCATTAGAAGCTGTTTATCATCGGGTTTGCTTTTGTTGAACTACTCAGGAGATTAGATATTGTCCATAGTCAATATGGTTCGGTTGGAAGTATACACACCATTTTCAAAGCTGCAGTCACAAACATTTTGGCTGTGGATTCAATTTGATTGTTTAATTTGCAAAAGGGGAGTCTGCAGAGAACAATGCAAGACAGAGATGGATCGTCGATCTGCATTTTATCTGTTTCTTGAATGTTCACGCTTCCAAAACGTAGGGCGGTTAATGAAACCCTTCCCGTTTGGGAAGGGTTTGGTTCTTCTTTTTAGGGCAGCTCTTGATTCGATAAGAGCCATTTTCAGTTGTAGGCAGAAATGGGTAGAATCTTTGTCGTTTCAATCTAATATTAGATTAGTCTGGAAAGCCACTTCCAGAGTTGGTAAGATCTAGATTGAGATCCTGATTGGGGGCTGGGGATCTGCACTAACGCCTATGACGAAGCATGGCGCTAGATGAGCTAAAAACATACACTATGGAACGTGTGGGATAGTGCTGGATACTTTTTTGGATTGGAACGAGATTGTCTATGGAAGCTATTACTGGCAATACATATGTCCATTTGTGAGTGCTATATCGTGATTCTTGCTTCCCGAGGACCGAGGGTGAGAAGGTTGGGAGACGACCAGATCCGCCCGCAGGATTACTACTTTATGTGTGGATAGCTTTGCATTTTATTATCACTCCCGGGGTCTATTATACCCAGCGCTAATCTTTGCCTGTCTTCGAACTTAGGGCAAGACCTATGCTGCGGAACCTCGAGAAAGCGATCATGGTGGGGCTTCTCCGCCCCAAATTCTTGACCATGGCGACACCTCACAGTCGAGCCTAGTAGTCCAAGCTTCGTCTGTGCTAGCTCAATATGCCTTAATCAAATAGGACCACTGCACTGTTTTTCACAATTGACGGGCCCAAAACTGCCGCCAATTCGGATATAATCCCTCTCAACGATTGTGGGTCGTTCATAGGCATGTCCTCCCAGCCGACAAGGTCCTAAAGAAGTCAGATATCGTTACGATAATGAAAGCAGGACAGTACTGATGGACCGAATACTTACACTCATCTGCACGAAACTCCCGTGGTAAAGCAAATACCAGTTTTCCAACTTCAGTGCCTTTGTCTCTTCAAGTGTGAGGACACCCGGCATATTGAGCGCAAAAATGGAAAGCTCTTCTTCGTTGACTTTGGAGTCGGTGGATGACGTTGGCGTCGGATCTTCGGTACCGGAGGAGCGGTCTCGTGAAAGAGAAACATAAGGGCGTTTGTCCAATTTCTCGGTCAGTTCACCATCCAGTGGGTCCCATGTGTACGATTCTGGGTCTGCTCGAGGGTGATTAGTGACTGCGAATGCCTGGCATGCAGAACAGGCTGATTGACTGATCCAGGTTGTGTCTTACCAAGGATATACTGAGGGCGATAGTTTCCCTTATACCGCATCTTCTGACAGCTGTGAATATAGTACCCTGCCACCATCAGCAATAGTAAAAAAGGACCCATCAGAGCATGAACTAACCCATGTAGTAGTATGGATATTGGTGCTCAATTGAAAAGGCGATTTCTCGTAGAGCGCTCAGCTTCCCAAACTCCCACTGCTCGTATTCGGGATCATAGCTATCTAAAGTCAGTGCAATCCTCGCCAGGGCTTCCATGTCACTCACAAGACATAGACGGAGCTTACGCCGCTCGGGACAAGGTCCAGCACCGCAACGGCGATCAACTTTCCATCCAAGCGATAACACTGATGCCACGAACCCAGTTTCTTCTCCGATTCATTGCTTTTGGTGACGGTAGCAGGAGATCGCTTGATCCCCTGGCACAGGAAGTTCTTGAAATCCTTCGTTTTCCAACGAGAGACGTCCTCACGATGAATCTTCGTCTGATATTTGACGAACAAATCGAATTTCGCCTGTGACACCGAATCGCCCTCGATGTTGACCTCAAAGCGATGCGCTGGCTCCAGCGCTCGTTTTGTGGCCGGGTCAATGGGCCGCTTCAAATTGCTGTATTCAGCCTCGTGGACTGCCGAGAGCAGATCAAAGTTACACTTGCGATGTTTCTTTTCCCTACATGGATCGTCAGCTAGGATGATCTACGCTCACCAATCAGAGAAAAACACACTCCCGAGAACGAGGGCACAGATTGGCGATCTTGCGCATATACTCTGGCCCCAGAATAAATTTATTCCAGCGATTGATCGCCTTCCGCTGATCACGGCGGGGGCGATAAGCGGAAGCTTCCAATCTCAGCGTGTAGTGAGGGCAGCAGGATCGCTGGAGATTCTGCTTGTAGTACAGGGTGCCCGATCTAGGAGATCGTGAGTCATCGTGTTGGATAAAACAGGGTGCAGATGGCTTTCAGAATGACATACCTTCTCCATCCTCGATCAATAAGTTCCCCATAGTGCTCGGGCCGCACGGCCACTGAGCTGGTGTAATATGATGCGCCTAGAGCATGACGTGTCAGGCCGTGGGTAAAAGGGAAATTCAAATAAATTAAAATGGAGACTCACTGCCATCACTCGATTTACAGTAGCCACAGGAATTGCGCTGATAGCCTGATGATTGCCCGATTAGTAAAGTTTTTGGACGTGTATGATGGAGGGGATTGTCAATCCCCCCGCCAATGTTGCCCCCGAGCCCGTAGCCATAAGGGCCAGTGGAAGCGCCACGGGGTAACAGAGCCCCTCCTCAGTGGTTCGCTGCAGGGGCAAAGTGGGACGTACCTAAGGGCCTAAAGAGCGACAGCTGTCGCGCGCGTTCGGCGTCAACGGGTTCCATTCTAGTATGGTGTTTCTAGGCTTTCGGGTTGGCTGGCGGTCCCGGCGGAAGCCAGAAATGTAGGATGCGAGGTGCAGGCAAACAAGCCCAAGTGGATCGTGGCAAAATGGTCTCAGAAAAACCAACAGTAGCGGGCTGCGTGATGTCTTAGGAGGGGTGAAAGGGGGAAAGGAAAAAGGGAAGTTAAGAGATGTTTGGCGGGGTTGGGTATTTACACCTATGATTTGCAGGAGTGGATGGTCCCTAAGGCTTTAAAAACGTTTATTTTGGAGCTGATGTGTCCAATTATCTCATTATTTACAGATGTCATCATTTTAAGGAGGTTGAGCCGGGATGATCGTTAAAACGTGCCTGGTTACCAGATCGGCGGAGATGTATCGAATCGCTCCGAATTGCCTAGTACTCGGTACCGGAGTTTAGCCCTGGAGGGTCTGGTACCGTATAAGTCAGCCAGGGCTTTTTCAGATCCCAGGTTTTCTATTCTCGTATAATGGGACGTATTATGGGCTATGGTCTTCTTTGATTGCCTTACGGTTTATTTGTTTCCAAGGAAATGAGTTTGACAATCTCACCTTGTATAGAGACCTCCCGGGTCACATGACCCAGTATAGTAGCAAAAGAAACGAAACAAAAAAGAAAAAAAAGCCTTATTTTCACGCCACTCGACTCCAATGCAATTGACTAGAGCTAAAGCATTAAATCATTAAAAAGAGTAAAGTGGTACCGTAACCAATTAGTCAGTCCAGGACCAGTTTCCGGATTGCGCCGCCGGTTCCTCTGCCCCTCCACTGCCCACTCACCCACTCCTTCATTTGCCCTTCTAATTCTAACCTTCTCCCCCCGTTTCTCTCAAGACCTTCCCTTAACGATCATGCCTCTTTTTACTCCTTCATCTTGGTTCCCGTCCCCTACGGGAATGACTGGGAAGACTTAATTTCCGCTTTGCCCTCACTCCCCCGCATTTTCTCTCTAAGGAAAAAAAATTTCCTTCCCCGACCGCCCTCACCGACGCCGCCCGCCACAGAATTGGGAAAAGCTTCTCTGAAAACGCTCCCCCGAAGACCAGCCCAGGCTCCGCGGGAGCTTGAAGCTTGCACTATCTCCAACCTGGACCCAATTTCTTCTCTTCTCTTCAATCTTCGTGATCCCCTGGTCCATTTCGCTCTTTTTTGCTCTTCCCTCACCGGCATCCCCGAGAACAAAAATCACCAATCTTCCTCGGTCGACCGGATCGGGTAATTTTTGCGCATCACAATGGCTCAAAACCGTTCTATGGAAGCCCGCGTCGGGCGAAAGAACCAACGTGAGTGTCGTCCTGACCCTGACGCATGGGGCGAAATTCGCCCCATGCTCCGTTTTACTCCTATAGGTAATTCCGATGCTGACCTCTCATTGCGTCACAGGTTATGGCTCAAAAGGCGAACGTCTCGTCGCTGGTGTCGTCCCCCTCTCAAATGACAAGTCTAAAGTCCTCATGATTCAGTCCGCCGGACCTGGAGGTTGGGTCCTTCCCAAAGGCGGCTGGGAAACCGATGAGTCAACGGCATCACAGGCCGCCTGTCGTGAGGCCTGGGAGGAAGCTGGTGTCATCTGCACCGTGCAGCGGGATCTGGGATTGATCCCTGACATGCGACCCAATGCCCTCCTGACTTCCAATGCGCCCAAGGCGTCATACCAATTCTTTGAGGTCACGGTTGAAAAAGAAGAGGCTGACTGGCCCGAGAGGCACAAGCGCCAACGCAAATGGGTCACTTATGCCCAGGCAGCACACGCCCTGGCCAATCGACCCGAGCTGCTGGAAGCCTTGAACCGCAGCTCTTTACAACGGTAGTCTCTTTACAGCGGTAGCCATGGCCGCTCATACATAGTGTTCAAAATACACACTCATACATGGAAACTCGGGTGGGCCGTGATTTGCTCTATCCCGATGATGACTCGACACGACCCTGAAAAAAAAGAGAGACCGGCGGCTTGTCGTTGCTTTTTGATTTTCCTCCTACTTTTCCTTTTTCCACTTGCATCGCATATGCTGCCCATGTGGCCAGGCCGTTCTGCCACTTCGTTCCCCGGAGTATTGATCCTTGGTTTTTTTCTTCCTTGCTGGGGTCACCTCATAGAAGATTTGATTTTGTCTACAGTGCGAGACCCAGAAGCTGTCGAAGGGCTCCACTTCCGTTCCTCATTTTACTGGTCAGATTCGTGGTTGAAATTTGAGGCTCTCTTGAATCTCAATATCAGAAAAAAGAATGAGGTTTTATTTGTCCCAAATGGACTGGATTTCGCTAGCATACGCTATTTCACGATGACTAGCATCTGAATACCAATCTGAACCACACCCTCCACTCATTAGTAGAGATTTCTTTCGACTTTCTGTAAATAAGTATCGTATTTTCATCATATTTACTGGCTGCTCCTTAAGTTGAAGAAATGTGATTTTCACAGATTCAGGGCGGGTTCCCGATTAGGAAAAGCGCCAAATGCTCCTCCGTGAGCAAATCCGCGATCTTCACCAATGAACACATCCAACCTCAACAACCTTCCACGATTCTTCCTGTATCTCCATCTCCCGGCAAAGGGTCAGCTCTGCCTCACACGTGTTTGTTTCGGAGGACTCCCATATAGACACCCAGCCTCGGAATCAGGTGGCGGCGATCAACGCTGCCCGCATTACACAATGGAGTACGACATGGTCGACATGGAGGAGCCTACGGGCCCTCAAGTCACCGTCCGTGAAGTCGGTTCTATCCAATTCAACAGATAAAGCAAGAAGCAAACTAACTTTGCGCTTTTTAGGCGGAACCCTACCGCGTTGACTTCAGACTAAGCTCAGTCGACCTCGCGTTCGCCAACTCCCTCCGCCGCACAATTCTCGCCGAAGTCCCAACCGTCGCGCTCGACCTCATCGAGATCGAAGCAAACACATCCGTTCTTCCCGATGAGATGCTTGCTCACCGTCTTGGTATGATTCCTCTTGTCGCAAAGAACTGCGACCAGGATTTGGAGTACACCCGTGACTGCGACTGTGAGGATCACTGTGTGCGGTGTAGCATAACGCTTTCATTGCACGCGCGCTGCGGAAGCGGCATCATGGCTGTTTATGCGCGCGACCTGATTGTCCAGGGTGAGCGTGTAAATGACACCATCGGGGATCCTGTTATTACGGATCCTGAGGGAAAGGGTCCGTTGATTGTCAAGTTGCGGAAGGGCCAGGAGATCAAGATGACTTGCTTGGCCAAGAAGGGAACGGCAAAGGAGCACGCAAAGTGGGCGCCTACCTCTGCTGTGGGCTTTGAGTATGATCCTCACAATAACATGCGCCATGTGGATTACTGGTACGAGCAGGATCCTATTAAGGAGTGGTATGTATATCGATCTCAAATCTTTGTGAAATGACCCCTTCTTGCTGACCGTGCATCCTTCAGGCCTATCTCTGAGAATGCCGCTTGGGAGCCTGCTGCCAACCCGGACCAGCCTTTCGACTACGACGCCGAGCCAAACACCTTCTACATTGACGTGGAGAGCATCGGAAACCTTGAACCAGATATGATCATCCAGCAGGGTATCATCTGCCTGCAGCGCAAGCTGGCTACCACTGTCTCCGTTCTCCAGGGTGAAAGCGAGGGTGGACACGTTGGAGGCCACGATGACACCGATATGATGGGCGGCGGTGATGCGGACGGCTACGAGCCCCCGGAGGGTATTGATGGAAACATGACTTCATATGGAAACGGTGCCGCCAGCACCTGGGGTGCTACTGCACAGACTCCGTATGGCGCCACACCTTACGGACAAAGTGCATACGGGTTCTAATTAGAGAACGGGTGAGAACCGGGGTGGGATGCAAGGGCTACAAAAACAGGAGGCTCGATAGCATGCAGGTTGGAGTTCTTTTCTTTTCATTTCTCTTTTCGATCTTCTAGCTTATCTTTTGGCGGTTTGGCGGCGTAACCTGGAGTTTTCGTGCGATACAATACCGCTGCTGATGATCAACTGGTTTTGAGACCGCCTTGTTCATACTTATACTACATTACAAAATCACAACGCTAGTTGACGAGTCTCTTCCTGTTTTCTTTATTAAAATGAACATGGCTGCTTTTCGATTCTCTGATCAGATACTGCCTGCCTTAAGCCCACTTCCAAGACAAGTGCTGCAATACTCAACTGATGCGTCAGTCTTTAAGTACAAGATCCTGATTTACAACCTGGCAGTCCGTTAAGAGCCACCTATGTAGATCCCCAGGTAGAGAAAGCATTGCTTGGCGGAAAGACGTGGATTGTTCAGAGATCCAACTGATTTTGAAGTCTCAATACAACTTATGTCCCGGAAGACTAATGACAAGTATATGTACCCAGCCCGTGTACATCGCACCCCATACACCATTCGTTTAGACATGAGAAAGATCGTCTGCTTTCACAGTGATGAGTTCATACTCGGGTCGTTCATCACACATGTATCGAGCAGACAAGGTGAGTAGCCTGCGCAAATATTTTTCCTGAATTCCGTATGGCTCAATGTGCTGCCCACTGTGCCAAAGCCAAGGGCCAAGGAGTACCAAAGCGTGTAGGGAAGAGCGCCGCGCTGATGGATTCATGAAATTGTGATTAAAGCCGACCACATTTTGCGGGGGTAAAAAAGCAGTGAGGTTCTCAGGCACTGTACAATGGCTCTTGGTCTGTTTTGCTGGCTGAAATCCAGGATGAGGTGGGGGGTTGAAGACTATTAAGAGGTGCAGGTGCAGGTCTTGGATCGGTTATAGTCGAAGTAGGATGCGGACCACCGTGGCTGTATCAAGCTCTGTTTCAAGAGTTGATCGGGGGTATGATTCCTATCTTGGGCAGCCACTGACTACAGCTACCAGAAGCAAAGTAGATGTAGAGAGTTAAAGATAGCAAGCTGTTGGATGCCTGAGATCAAAGCATGGCTATTCTGCTGCTTACTTTAGTAATTTTACAAGCTATAGAGTCAGGAGGGTATCTCAGGGAAGCAGCAACAGCATTTCCTGACGGCTGACGGAAAGGCCTAAATCGGAATCTAGTAGGATGTTGCAAACAAGCCCTGTGCTTGCGTATAGTAATTAAATGTGTATGACACTGTCTATGCATTGAAACATGATTTTAGTTTCGCGGATCTCATGAGACCATTGTTTGCCTTGGGTGCGTTTCACGCAAGAGGCCATGCATGAATTGCTTTCTTTGTTGCTGTTTTACCATGAACTATGCGTCACATGACTGACTAGCCATATATATAGGTGTTTCCATAGCCTAGATCTCTATCCTTCTTCCATACCACACTATACTATACTATTCTTGCTTCTTCCTATATAAAGGGTCACACAGGTGCACCATGTGATTCATTCTGCACGACTTGAACGAATCCAATTCTCGGTAATTGATAATATCATTATGACCCCTCAAAGTTCTAATAAGATTTGCTCAAGCTCATGCCAGGAGCGCAGTATACCCACCGTTATTTCCAAAGCATGACCGTGCTAGTCGGCTTCAAACTCTTCTTAAGCCGAAAGAAGCGTCACAATGGATTCTACCGTTCTATGAAGGACCTGCAAGACGTGGATTCGAAAGTACTAAGCTCTCCGGTCGGCGTAATCAAGGAGAAACGAATGCTGACAATTTGATTCCAAGATCGGACATTGCCAGCCTAAAGGCTGCACATATCCCCACAGGGATCCTCATATATCTATGGGTCACCTGGGTCCTTAGGATTGACGAGGCCAGCTCGAGCAACTGCAGGGAAGCAATACCAAAATCCAGGTAGTTATTGGCCACCTGAAACTACTCTACTCAACTCACGTCTATGGGTATCTGACTTTGTCCTGCAGTAAAAGTTGATTCTTTGTCGATTGCTTCTTATGGCTACTTTCTCATCATCAACATCATATTCGTTGCTCGCTTGCGGTATGTTCCTCACAATACCTGATTGATCGAACACCACTATCTTCGTACGCTCTATCTGGATAAGAAAAACCGCAGATCATGTCGAGATATGATCAAATCGATGATAAAGGGGCAACGATGGTAGTGTTGATGGAGTTGAGAAACTTACCATGAAGACGCAATGGCAATTATGCGGGACTAGTTATCAGGTACACGACAAAATCAAACATCCTATGCCCAGGGAGCAATTGCTTGGCGTCCACCAGTGCATGGTGATTCTGCCCTGAGAGGGAGTGGTCCCTCAATACTTCAAAATTAGCTATGCCAATCTGCAGCACCTGACGGGAAGCTTTACTCACTTCAAGTCGAGAATGGATGTTTTAACTTCTTCTGTGCGTGGCAAGGATGTTTTATATCGACTTGAAAGTGAGTATGTTTTTCCGGTCAGGCGCTTCAAAGGGGCCTCGCTAATCTCAAAGAGCGAGAAGGGATTAGCCCCTCTCAGGGTACAACCACCATGCACTGGTGCATGGCAAGCAATTGGCTCTCTGCTTTTACGGAAATTTGAGCTGCGAATCTTTGACGTGGAGGCTGGTTCTTTCTCATTGCCTGAATGCACTTATGCTTACGTCTTTATGTTGCCAACCCGAGTCAGAAATTCTACTTTCATTTGTAATAGCAATGAGAAATCCAAGCCATGCAACATCATAGCAAGATCAATTGCTAAAAGACTCAGATCCAGTAGAACTACTTTATCAAAAGTTTCACAAACACAAAAACACAGCATAGCAAAGTGGTATAATTCCTGAGCAAACCTTCAAGGTCGTTATAACGGGGGTCTACCCGCAAGTGAAACAATAGTGTACAAAATCCATCTAGGATGAGTTATCGGCGCAAGACCAGGCAGCCGAGCCTCCAGACTCATTGTAATCATCAATAATGCTAATAACCGATCCATATGTGCCAGCAATCATCAGGAAGGTTCCAGCCAAAATGACAAAGCCACACCAGCAGACCATCGCAGTCCACTTCCAGTCCCGCTTGGGCCGGCTCCAGTTATCGTAGAGCCACATGCCAGCCATGGGCTGGAAGCACATGGGGGTGCCGAGCAAAGCGCCGACGAGTGAGACGAGGTCACTAAATACGGGGATGGCGCTGGCGATGATGTAGGCGACTATTGAGGTGCCGAAGGTGCATCCGAGCCAGACGGACCAGTGGATCATGGTGTTTGCGACTAGATGGCGGGAGCCTTGAAGGATGCGGACAAACATATACTTTCCGGTGATCTGGATGGTTGTTAGTATCAAAGAAAAGAGAAGGTGTAATTTGATGCGTTTGGGTGGTGGGAAGGAAGGCACGATCTTACATGGACGAAAAGCAGGGTGCTGGCTATTAAGCCGGGAAGGGCGAATCCGTAGCTGACTTTCTTCACGGTCGATCCAGCTGAGCCGAGGGCCGGCGAAGAGACGTATGAGCCGCAGTAGTAGTAGATGACGACACCGACTACGATGTAAAATACAGTGACGACGCTTTGGCAGAGCATAAGGGATCGGTTATAGTGACGGGGGTCGCGCATTTCAGATGCAATAGAGAAGAATGCTGGGGTTCCAGCATATGCGAATACGATGGTGGTTACGGCCGAAATGGCGCTGGAGAAGGATGCATCGCTAACGATCTTGTAGTCGGAGACCCAGACACCATCTTTAGGTGCAGATGCCGGGCGATCTTGAAGACCAACGGCAACGGTAACAATGAGAACTATAGGCTGTTAGATGGGCTCATCGATTGAGCAGGGGTTGAAGGAAGGCTCACTTGAGGTAAGAATGCAAGTCAAGCCGACCCATGCAATCCATGAGATGCGTCCTAAAGTCTGGATGCTACCCAGAACGAATGCTACAACGAAGGCAACGGCAACGTAAGCGGCGGTGCAGGTGGCGTGATCGGACACAGCATTCAAGCCGATAGAAATGCCCAGCATTCCAGAGCCCGCGGTGAACATCCACCCTATGGAAGGTCAGAAATGTGATATCATCTCGAATCAAATCAACATACAGAGAATGAAAGCTCCCCCGAGAATGATTCTTCCCGGCTTGCCAAATAATAACTCGCCGACATCGTCAATTCCGTAGACTTCACGATGGCGAATCTTGAAAACACCAATAATATAGTCGGACCACGTTGTGATTCCGGCAATAACGATCAGCACAATCACACCGGGTACGATACCGAGGGCATCGAATGCGACAGGGAGTGAGAGAACTCCAAGACCGATCTGGGTCTTCATCATTAGAACAGCTGTTCCAAGCCATCCGACCTAATGAGTATGTCAGTGAGTGAAGCGATGATCAGCATGGAAAAATAACGTACATTACGATAATTCGGACCATCTTCTGTGATTTCGCCAAACACGGCATCATGGGCATAGGCATCGGTAATCTGACCGACATTGGATGTCGTTGGCGACAAGGCGCCCTCCTCTTGTTTCTTCTCAAGCGACATTGTAAATTGGAGACGAACTGGAAAACAGATCTGGGGTTACATGGGGATGTAAGGGCATATTTAAACCTTTTCAAAGTTCACGTTCAATACGGCAGGTACCAATACCATACCACAGATACCAGTTGCCACGGGAGGCGTTATCTCCCAAGGCTTCAGGGGTGTGCGCATCTAGATCTGCAGTCTCCACCCTAGAGATAAGAGATACAAATTCTTTTATCTATACAGTTTTGATCTGATAATATGTCAATTGGTGCTACTTTCTATCCGTTTTTTCTCTTCCAACTCATTCAATTCGAAATGTAACGTCAAGTAGTCTGTACGGATGGATACAACCCCAGATTTTCACTTGGCAGATCGCTTTCACTCCCCGCAAATGGACCACTGTTAGTACGTAAAAACCCACTTTTTTAAGTGCGGGGAAACGCAATTACGTCGCTTCCTAAATCCCGCAAAGTAACGGGTTCCACCTTACGATACTGCGCCGCATCCAGTTACGATTGTATCCTTTACCCTTTTTGGTTATCGGAATAAGCTTGGGCTTATCAGCCACCCTTGAATCGTCCCTTGTATAAGCGCGGTGGCTTGCCTAAAGGAGAAGCCTGCCTCTTCTACTTGTACCTTCTCGGCTACAATGTATACTGATGACCCCGACATCTATTTGAGAAAAAATTGTGGCGTAGTGAAGGTTGAACACAAAAGCTGAGATAGAGCACGGAAAGATACGGACGATGACCTCACGATCAAAGCTCAGCGCCCCGTCGAAAGATTGGGCTAAACTCCGGGTGCGCATACTCTCATGCAATTTTGAATCAAACAGGCCACGCCTCCAAATCGAAGGTGAACGGCCCTATTAATGACCAGTGCCCAAGACCGGGTAAGGATCCCGGTCTGGCTCTGAGCAACCGGGCGTCCGACCCGGTTGGGGTCACTTACCTGTAGCCAATTATCTGGCGTCGGGACGATGAGCCCCTGAACAGGGGTCGCTGGGCGTTAGGCTTTATTATGGCTGCAAGTCATCTGCCAAGGTTTTTCGAAAACCACCTTCCAGAATTGACGAAATAGAAATCGCGCAACCTACGCAAGTCGATTGCTTCTCGATCGGTCGGGTTATCCTATCTGAAAGGTTATGCCGGAGTATCTTGCCCTAGTTATTCCACAGAATTACCTAAAGGCCTCGTCAGCCTCGTAAAGAAACCAGATAGGCTCCCGAACTGGGATGAGATGATCATTCTTAGTGGCATGTTTAATGGATAGCATGGTGTGTCGATGTTGTTTTCAATACAGATCTTGCTCAATTCCTCGCGTAAAACAAACACGTGTAATACCGAAGAACTTGGAAAGATGCCGAGACTCGCAAAAATTCATTCTATTACCCCATAATATTACTACAAGTTTCCCAAGATAAAGAAACACCTGAAACGATAGGATCAATCGGACACGAGTCCACTCTCAGTCACCAGCCATGTCTCAAAGTCCTTTAACTCGGGATGCATCTTCTTCAAAGTGGAGATGTCGGCTCCAAAGCCCGAATCATGGAACCACTGGAACATGTACCTGAAATCCTTCAACACCCACAACACACTGGAAAGAACAAAGCTAAAAGTCAAAGGCACGTCCCGACCAGTCCTGTCTTTGAAGGTTGTAGCCATCTCCTCGAATGTGATCTCGTCACCAGCCAAAGAAAGCGGCTTGTTCGCCCATTCCTCCGGGTTAAGGAAAGCCTGAGCTGCAAAATAACCAATATCGGAGACGGCAATAACCTGTAAAGGCTTTTCCTTGACCACGTCTTTCCATGACGTAGTGAAGACCTTACCATAGAAATCGGGAGTGATGTTATCGAGGAAAGCGGCGGGACGCAAGATCGTCCACTTCATCTCCGTACCCTTTGTTTGCTCCACCAGATGATGTTCGATATGGTGCTTGCTAATGAAATGAGGAATTTCAGTAGCAGTATCATACGAAGCGTCACCACCTCGATCCACAGAAGAATAAACGAAGAAGTTGACGTTGTGCTTTAGCGACGCATCGATAAGCCCTTTGCCTTGCCGTTCTTCGGCTTCCTGGTCCGACGAGCCCGGGACCGGGACCTATACATCCCACACGCGTTAGCTTGTGCATATCTCTTATCTTTTATGCTTTACTCTACCTGCACACTATAAACACCCCAGATGGGCTGTGACGTGATTTCCTGGGCATTCTTGAAGAGTCCTTCGGGGTCGTCGAGGTTGCCTTCGACCAGTTGAATTTTGGGCGATTTGCTCTTGAGTTTTTGCGCTCCAGTGGAGTTTGAGTCGCGAGTGACGGCTAGAATCTCCACATCTGCATTTTGTTCGAGAATTGCACTGACCACGCTACCACCTTGTTTACCAGTGGCGCCGGTGATCAGAACTGTTTTGGACATTCTTGTGTTGGGAGCCGTGGATCAAACTGTTATTGGAAGTAATTGTTACTTGGAGATAGATGTTATTCTTCTTGATATATGAGTTGGTTGTATGAATGAAAGATTTAATTCTTGGGATTCAAATTCTTGATCGAAGTCGCGAGGGTTCTAATCGGCGTCATACCTGATAATCTTCCGGATTAGTCTGAGCCGGTGGATCCGATCGTCATCCGTGGATTGGCTGAGTTGCCAAGAATTCTGTGCTCCATTGACACGAGGCTAGATCAACCCGTCTCAAAATTCTATTGGAAGATCGAAAAGATATTGTCAGGAATCTGGGGAAACAGATAGATGAATGATGGGCGCACTCGTCACGAACCATTGATGTTGATGCCTTAAGTCTTTCAGCAGGTCTCTCTCGCACAAAAAGAACCGGCTTAGGGGATGCTAGAAGCATCAATGTATTATGCAATTGATCCCGAGATCTTTACTTGATCATCTTGAACTTTCTGACAAAACTTAAGATGAGAAGAGAAGATATGAAATCATTTGAGAATCGAGCCTTAGAATTATCGAATTTTTAAGTTCTCACAGAATATATTCTGTATGGCCTAGTTGAACATCGTCCAGAAACTCCGCCAAGATTCAGCCAAGATTTTTTTCCCGCCCAACACACCAAACACGAGAAAGAAATTCTATCCTCCAACCTTGAGATGTTTTAGATTAAGTGCCTCAAAATCTAGGCAAATAATACAAAGTAAAAAAGCAACTGACGCTGTCGAGCAGCTTGATATTAGGCGTACACTACTATCAAGTGACTCTTCAGCACCTGATTGTTAATCGGTCATTGAGACCGCCTAGCTCAGGTCCTGCCTGAGCTATCCCCACAGAGCGGGCTAGCTAATATTTACCACTTATTGGTTCAGGACAATGCCGAGGTCACTTCACTTCCGAGGCCTTCGATGCTTCTTAATCTTAACAACCCTCAACTCCATTTTTGACTCTTCTTGAAGTTTTGAACCTACAGTAGTTCCGGAAATCGGTGTCACCACCTACACTCTTTCATTGTTTCTCGAACCCTACTTGCCAAGATATGCTAGCCTACATTAGAAATAGCTCCAGTGCATCAATATTCCTGTACCATATCAATACTTCGCCTTACTCCAATTTTAATACGGCACATTATTTTTCTTCGTAACTGCATTCACGCGTACAAGATATAAATCATTCATACCATCGTCCACATAGGTCTAAGTTGCCCCGCACTAGGACAACTTTCAGAACGCTTGTTCTAGCAACCAACACCAACTCTTGTGAAATCATACTGGATGCTCAAAACGTTGCAAGCAACATATAGATCCCCGCGGAGATATACGATCAGGTAAGCGTTGCGTTCGTGTTATATCAATTATTTTGCTCAGCGCTCAACCTTTCTCACAAACTGTTTATCGTGTTTGGAACGCATACGATGAGTTTTTGTATCTGGAAGAGTCATGAAGATACGAAAGAGTATAATACTCCACTCGCGAACATTTGGCCCATAAATACATCGTTAGAACACGGCAACCAGCTTTTTCTGCCCCTTCCCTCCTGAAGCATTCGACAAGACCAGGGAATTATTCGTATCTTAGCCAGTGTCCGAGGCTGCACCGTTCGAAGGAGCTTTCGAGGATAGATCGGATGCGCTGAAGACGATTAGACTGTAGCCATAGAAATATATAATTCCGCTTACTTCGTCAAAGGCAAATTGCTTGCAAAAATCCATGCTATATTTAGTGGAGGCACGGGAAGCCTGGCTGCTCCATCTCCAAGATGCGGTCGCTAACCGTTAAGTCCTTTATTGGAATCAAGCAAAAAAAGCCCTTCTTAAGAAGAGGCCTCTTTGCCACATCTAGTACATAAGGTTATAGAATCCTGGTCCGGTCAAACAACGCTGACCTATAAGGACTCCCACTACCCTGCTCCAATTTTGACTATAGACGGGGACTTCGAAAAGACCAGAAAGAGCCTAACTGTCACCGCCGCATAATGAAGATTCCAAGAAGTAAGTATGTACTTCGTGTTAGAATATATATATCCACAGGTATTAAAATAACGGCTTCTAATGTTGATATATTTCTCCAAAGCCGTTTCTAAGAGCCCGCCTACCTAGGTATGCACCGGCCCGTCCAGACGGCTCCCCGGCCGATGATCACTTATAGCTCTGTATAGGATATATGTGCCGCCGATGCTCCTACCTCCGTCTGACTACCCACACTAAAGCCATACGCAGTTTATCTTCTCCGCTATTTAGCCTCGTCAACAATGGCATGATAAAGGAGTCCATCGAAGGATACGCCATGTTAATGGGGAGTAGGCTACGTATCGGTCTCTCGCATTTGCTGGGATTCCCTTTACGCCACCCCCATGATGATCAACACAGCCTCTCAACCTACCCCGCTCGCACCTGACTAAACGGGCCATATCAACTGCGGATACTTAATTGTTGCGAACCTGACCTTGTTCTGTGGAATATTTACCCTCTCCCGCGCTCCGTTCGATAACCCGAATACATGAATAATGTCCGGCAACCCTCCCAAGATCGGCTACAGCCTCCTATCCAGTCTAATCGCCTCAGGTGAACTGTATATTTTCCGTGGTTTCAATGAGCTGAATGCACGAAATATTCTCTACCTCCAGTCTGAGCTAGCGGAGCTGCAAGAAACTTTGCACGACCTAGACGAAGCCTACAATGATACGGCGAAGGGAAATGACATGTGGAGCGTCCCAAGAAGTTGGCGCGCGGTGAAAAAGGAAGGAAATGAATACTTAGAATGTGTTCTCCGAGTAAGGAAAACGTCAAAGGAATACTGTATGTATGCATTCTCATGTCAACACCATTAGGGCATGTCTTATTCTTCTAGATAGAGCGTTACAAACACAAGCCTGGCTTCTAAACCAAAAGAGCCCTAATACGCAAGCTTATAAGACCCTGAGAGATGTTTTCAATTCCCACGGATCCGACATATCGCAAATGGACGCCAGTTTTCTCTTGGACGATCGCTACCGCGATGATCTGGTCAACCTCGGCTGGGAAGAGAAGGAAGCCATGACCGAATTCCTGCAGAGATTTCTATGTCAAGCGTTTGAAGTCAAGGTTTGCCGATGACCCCTATATTAAAATTCTGGCCTTTAACATTTCTGGACCAGCGCATCTCCACTCCCAATGGAGAAATGCTCATCTTCTCGGACCAACGCATCCGGTCCGCTGTTAGACTACTTGCGATTGTGCTCTCGTCCGTCCTTCCTATCCTCTCTATCGTCGTCTTGTACGTCATAAAGCAGCAAGACGTTCGCCTTGGCATGATAGTCCTGTTTTCAGCCCTATGCTCAGTGGCACTTGCAACTCTGAGCAACGCAAGGAACGCAGAAATCATGGCCGTCACTGCCGCGTAAGTTTCCTTCCTTTGGCTCTCAGGCGCCAGAATACCTCCGACCCAAGTTGTCGCGCAGTTCCGCTTACGTGGGCTTAGGTACGCTGCTGTTCAAGTTGTGTTCGTAGGTGGTAATCCAGTGCCAGGTTGACAGCCGGTCTGAGCAGGGATAATCGCAAGGAAACTCAGCGAGGAGCCCAATATGAAACAACCACCGGTTCACGAATGTGTATAGATGACTTGTGCTATACTCTGAAATCCAAAATTCGATCCTTTGGACTAGGTCTAGTTTAAGAACATTCCATACCGTTTTTTTAGATAAGATACCTGGGCTCATGGAAGTACCATTTCCGAACAGTGCAGCCGCTTCACCCTTCAATTCGAGCTTCGCTTGCGAGAGAACATTTTGAAGAAACCATTTCCTCGCTCACGCTTCCTAGCAGCCGAAGAGAAATATGGATCTGTCATAGTGCCGGTAATAGATGCAACAGGAGTAGCAGCAATCAGAGGCAATGGATCCCGAACACTTGCAATACTCGCCTTTGGCAGACTTTTATGCCTGTTATCCCAGTCACGACGGTTTGCCTGCTCTTGCCCTTGCTCCATTTTCAACGCTTCCATTGCAACAGCGTTGTCGGACCGCATTTTGCAGATACGCGAGCGCTTCTCATAGTTGTGATCCCACTTTTCTCGACGATTCGCTTCTGCCGACTGACTGGCTTCTTCATTCAAAGTGGCTAAGAAATTTTAGGTTTATATATTATTATGGTGTATTGTAAGATAGGAGATTACCATCTGGGTCAGCTGCCGGGGCTAAATTCGGTCCACTGCTCTTCTTTGGCCAAAGCTTCCTACCGGAGTATCTTCTGGACGACGTAGAATTTTGTGTCTGCCATGTCGCGCGCCTGCTACAAAGCTCAGACCCTGGTTGAGGCAAGAGCTCTTGCACTGGCCTGTCATGAGGCTTGAGAGCAACCATTTTCGTGCAGTTGGTGCAGTAGTGCTGGGCGTCTTGGTACCGACCGCGCAAGGAGGGAATGCACAAGTTAATTACGCCGCCAAAAACGCAACATAGTGTTCTAGCAATACTATTATCCATAAAACAGTCTGACAACAAGACAAAGGAAATAGGAGAGATACCTGGTGGCCGACGAATCGACTTTCTCGACTCTTGTTCGAGTCTTCCTCTCGCAGAAGGGACATTCAATCCATGCTGGCTGTTCTCCGAACTGATGGGGCCGCTTAACCTTGTGTGATTCGGTCAGAGGCGCTATTGGCAGTGAATCCACGCCTATTTGGTCGTCGGTATTTTCCATTGTCTTTGGCCTGTCAAAGAAATTGTTAGCTTTCGGATGATCTGCTTCTTTAGGGGCCTTGGTGTGTCCTAAAAGAAAACGTGCCCAGTCGTGTTCTGGGTCTGGTTCGCAGGTATTGACACTGGGACAATTTGCAGGACATTCCACCCGACCGCCCTTCGGGAAGCAGAAACAGAGGGCGACGGTGCGGTATCTGCATCGGAAGCTAGACGAGTGTCGCTTCTGGAAACTTCCAGATTGTGAGGCGACGAGTCCTCATCTACAGTCGGCGTTATGGCCCCGGAAACTTGCATCCTGGCCGCGGTTTTCAAAGGGTGTATTGATCGAAGACACTAAGCTGAGAGGCAAAAGAGCACCTGAGAGATGGAATGAGTACAGTGACACATAAATTTCGACACCGCGGGAGTTGCTAGGGACATAATAGCTTTTTGGCAGGGGCACAACAACCTTGCCGTGGCTCTACCCCCTACACGAGGCGGGGTAGGTGCTCGGAGGCACCCCAACCTCCCGGAAGATTCCGTCTCTGTAGCGGCTCATGAAACTTTCGGAAAGCCCATACGCTATGTATGTATGTCAAATTGATTTTGGCTCTAAAAACACTCCTCATCTGTCGAGATAGGCTATACATCGAAGACCTTGCAGGATGCAAATCGTCTCTTCTTATTAATTTTACCAATCTTAGATTAGAGCCCTTGAGTTTCACAAGCCGCCCGCATCGCTACCGCAAGCCCAAAGAATAGACTACATAGACACGGTCGTTTCTATATTGTGTTACGTGCCTCTTCCAAATCTGAGAGAACTCGAAGTCACGTTCCCTATCACCCACGACTTCGGACGTTTCTTTCCGAACCAAATCAGCTCTTTGTAGATTCCTATCGACGATATAATGTAACGTCTTCGACACCTCGGGTTATACGTATGTGAATATACGGAATTAGTGGACCAGAGATACTGGCAGAGGCCAGTTTTGCCGGAGTATGCTGCTCTACCTAACGCTACCTATGCGCCATAATTATTCAGAATGGTTCAAATTGCGCAAAATCTCGAATCGCTCATATTGACTTTGTCGCATTTCCTTCTTCCCTTTGTCTACGATCCCTCGCCCTAGGAGGAGTTTCGGTTGCATCTCACGTTCTCCTTTCGCTTGTCAACTAATCTGCGCATTATATGAAGCATATTAATTTTTGGCAGGTGAAAATAAAGTCTAGGACCTGGGAACTTGTGCTACGGCATATATGCAAGTTACAACACCTTATCGATATTAACATCGATCTTGGTGGAAACTCATTGACAGGATCGAGCTCCCATCTGGCCGATAGGACTGTCCTTCGAATATCGAATCAATGCATGATCCTGACTTGACAGCACTTGGTACTCTACATCGGCGAGTCAATTCAAACAGGATTGCGTGGAACTACAACCTTTCCCCGATACAGATTATCGGCATATGAATGAGCCATCACTGGAGTTCGAGATGTGTTTCTTTGTAACTAGCAGGACGCTTGACCGGAAATCAAATCAAATTGATATGCAGGGCATAGAATTTCTATCAGGGTGTTGGGTACTTGCGAAAGGGCGCGTCATCCATGACTAATACCGACTGCGGCTCAAAGAATGCTGGAAAAGCCCTAGCTACACCATTGTCGATATGTTGAAGCTCGCTCTCCGAAATCGTATGATATCCAAACTTATATAGCTAAGCGAGCCTCCGCCTGGGAACCGTCTACATCAGATCAAAAGTCTAAGTTGCGGGGTAGGTAACCAGATGCCGAAGGAGGAAAGAGTAGGGCTCTTCATTACACGGAAGTGGAGAGTTCATCAGCGCTTATCATAACATGAACAAGCTCAAGCGCAGATATAGGTAGATTCGGTGCCACGGTTCATTGGTCACTCGTGTGGCCCTCTCAACTTGTCAAACGAAGAAATGAAAATGAATCCATGGAGGTTGGACGTGGGGCATCCAGGTTGTAGCCGTCTCGTTATGACGGGTGATTAACAACCGCTCTGCCTAATACAATGGTCCGATATTTTACAGTACAAGGCCAAGTGAGTTGTTGTTCATTCAGGTCGGGATTTACCACATTGTCAACGTGAATAATGACCTCGGGTGAGAATCCTGCAGGCTTTCCTGATACTTTGCTTAAAATAGACTAGTGTTTCTTAGCACTAGGGTTCGAAAAGCAATTAAAGTGTGTAGGCAGTGACAGCGATTTCCGGAAGCTCTGTACACACCCCTCTTGAGTCTCGGTAGAATTTGACACTTACCCTTCAAATTAACAAATCTATGGTTTTGGATCCGTGAATTCGGTCCATAGAGATTGGGAGTCAAATAACCATGGAGGCAATTTATAGTATTCTGATACTTCAAGAGAGACGAAAGCGATGAATCTTGTTGACATATCAGTGTAATTCTACAGGGCTATACAATTCGATCCTTCGGAATGAAAGCTGAGGATGTGACATACCCTTGAGTGCTGTTCACATCCTTCTCGAGCAGAAGGCGATAAATTTGGGTCTAATTTTCCCTTGATATACTTCGATGTTGATATTAATGATACAGCAAAATATATACAGAAAGCCTGCAGGATTCTCACCCGAGGTCATAATTCACGTTGACAATGTGGTAAATCCCGACCTAAATGAACAACAACCCACCTTAAATTAAAAAACGACGCACATGCTGGATAGGTAACCATAACTGTCAAGGCAACACTCGGAGCTGCCTTAAGTCCGAGCTATCCAATTGGTCAATTTAGTGGCTTGCGGGGCCATTTAGGCACTAGAGCAGCACTAAATAGCCTCCGGCGCGCCGAGTGGATCACCACGGACCCTTTTCAGGGTCTCTAGGCCCTGAATTCCAGAAGCCAAGCCCAATTCAGCCAATCCTAGCCATGAGAACTGTTAGATCTAATAACAGTCCCCGCTACTTGGTAAAACACCACCAACCAAGAGTCCACTCATTTGAGCCTCCGGCTTTTTCCATAAAATAATGTAGCCCCCTTTCCCTGCTTCATGCTTCCTTTCCGAATTCTTTTGCACAATAATTCGCTGGTCATTGAAGATGTATTCGCATATCGACTATCCCGGTAGCACCGTGACAGCAGTTCACTGCAAAGCCCAAGAAGACCTACCAATCGGTTCGCAGCCCCACAATGTCCATCGAAGAACGGCTAATTAATCTAATTGAAAAATCTAGTCGATCGCCTCCTAGAGCCTCAAACAATCGCCCATTTCCTCGGCTTTGCCATCAGCAATGCCCTCCCAAACGGGACTCAACCCGACGCATCCGTAATCCGCCTAAACAGATCCGAAATCCCTCAACTCCAAGCAAACTTTCCCCCAAACTCTACCGGGCTATCAATTATAGATCGCGTCACAAGCCGCATCGGCTCCGAAGAAGATAGTGCACGTCTCTGCCTTGTCGGGAAAAACATCCATTCCCTAAAATCCCGGCTATGGGAAGGAATTATTCCATTAAGCGATACCCGCTGGAAAGAGAAACAACTAGATGAGTTGGGAAACTTTGAATATGCATGCCACCATATCACGGCAGTGGTTGCTGTCTTCGAGTACCTGAACACACCGATTGTACGAAAATACCTGCGTGACACTTACAACCTTATTTATGATCACTGGGTCAGCGCGGATACGCTGCTTAATGCGGACAGAGATCGGGATGGGTTACCACGTATCAGTCTTGCGAAATTATGGACGCTGTACATGGCGACCCATTTCGAGGTCATGACGCAGCGAGCGCATGCCTGGGTTACTGCACATGTGGAGGGGCTTCGGGCTCCGCAGTTACAGGGTTTACTTGATCATCATGTGCCACCTGGGGTGACTGCGCCTGATCGGTTGCAGTGGAGGTTTATGGATAATCTGCATGTGTTGTTGGAAACTGGTGTTAAGGCTGATTCTTTGATTATGATTCCTATGGCAGGGTATAAGGGGTATGCGGAGATTTATCCGGAACGAGTTGCTGCGGCTGCGGCTTTGGGTGAGTTGGGTGTTAGTAATGCCGAGCGAAGGGGGAGAGCTTATGCGGCGCGTATGAAGGCGCGAAGTCATCAGATTGTGTTTGATAATATGAGACCGTGGAATAGTGATGGGAGGGGCCAGGAGGGGCCATCTGGGGAGAGATATCGGCGTTTGGCTTTGGAGCAGATTCAGGCTCAGAATGAGGTTAGGGAGTTGATGCGTGGGGCGGCTAGGCCTTTGCCGAAAGAGTCTTGGATCAGTTCTTGCCTTGAGTCTAGGGAGAATGGCGACGCTGATAAAAAGGTTGACTTTGGGTTGACGATTTATCGGCTGACTTATGGGCAGTCGGAGGCTGAGTGGACCGAGTTTGTTCAGAAGCTTGAGGCGCATATTTCCAATTGGGGAGATGGGCAGACGGGGTCCCATATTCTCAAACCGCGCTTGAAACTCTGTTGGGTTGATGGAAAGGAACATGATATTGGGGAAGGTGATGTTGAAGCTGCTAAACGGTTGGTCTTGGTCCCTTTCTTCGCTTCAAGAACGCATCTAATTCGAGCAGACACTTCCACAAGGCGAATGAAGATAGTGGTGATAACAAAAATCTACGCATGCAGGATAATGCCTTCATAGCCATCGACTCAGCCTCATTCGCTTCCTACACCACGAAATCTTACCGAGCGGCTACATCAATGGTTCTGGCTGGCGACTTCAGCGGCTTCGTTCTTGCCGTTGACGCAGACTTCGACCCGAAAGTAGGCATCAGTCGACCCGACGAATCTCCTGGCTACGCTGGCCAAATGCGAGTTCTTGGAGGACTCGTCTGGGGTGACTTCTACGCTTCCTTTGCGTCCCAATCAGCATTACTAGAAGATCTATGGCCCTTGGCAATAGACCACCCAAACCAGGTATATGTTGGTCCAACGACACCAATGCAGGTCTACGTATGGAGGAAGCAGAATGCGGCGCGGTGGATTCTCCTACGAGAATTGGTGGAATATGCAAAGCGTAAGATGGGGATAGCTACATCATCAACATCTGCGTCAACGTCTGCATCTACACCTAGAGGTCCATCATCTTCTGCGAATGTCTCGAATGAAGCACCACAGCCGACATCAACATCACAAGCAGCGGAGGGCGCTGTTCCACGTCCAGTCGCGGATCCTGATCCTATCAATGCGCAACTTCGTCAGATTATGCTCCGGGAATTCCAGCGCTATCTGCGCCGACGTGATCAACATGTTCCGGCGGTCATGGTTGATGAAATGTTGGATACTCCTCAAGGCGCTAATATAGATGTTGATCGGCTGCGACGGCGAGTGGACGCTGATTCGGAGAGGCGAGAGCAGCAACAACGGGATGGGATAGATCCGAATTATGAGGACGAGGCGGGTGGACTTCCACCGGATTGTGTTCCACAGTAGATGATGCATAGTATACCCTTTCTCTCTTAGATTACGAGTGCCTTGAAACCTTCGCATGTCTTCGTACGCAAATCTTTCTATTTAATCTATAATCTCTAGTGAAAAGTTTAAGCGTAAGAAAGCTCGTAAAATTTGGGCCAGTAGCTAGTCAAGAATGTATATGTACAATCTAGTATTCTTAAGTCATCAGCGATTATTGGCAGCTCGATTACTTCCACTCCCTTTTCTATCTTGAGATTAACACCTTCCACACCTCACTCATCTCTAGCATAAGGCCTCATTGCCGGGCCTTGCCATTTATGCCGCCCGCGAACAACCCAATCTCCACACGCAAACAACATAACAAACCCAAGGACAGGCCCGGCATAATTCATATTTTCCGCAGTAACCGGCACCGTAGCCGGAAAGGGAAGGAAGATAGAGAAATAGGTAGCGAAGAGAATGGCAAGAAGATTTATGGGAAGGCCAAATTTCCCCAGACTAAATGTTCCCCGTGGAATATCCTGGGGCGCCGTAAAGCGCTTCAAGACAAGGAGGATGAGAGGGATTAGATAAGAAATATATAGACCAAGCGTGCTGAGCGAGAGAATAGCGTTGAACGCGGCCGTAGACCCAATCTGGATGAACGAGAGCGCGAATATGCATGATGCAACTAGGAGCAAAGCACGTAGGGGAATCTTGTAGGTCGGGTCAACGAAAGCAAAGAATTCGGAGAAGGGGAGTCCGTTGTCTCGAGCGAAAGCCCAGGTTAGACGCGTGACGGAGGCGAGGCCATTGAATAGAGCGATCCAGCCCGGGAGCATACCCAGTGTCATTAGGACGTAGGTCGCTGCCTTGGATCCGGTTGCTTGGTAGACAATTGTGATGATTGGGTAGCCTGTTGCGCTGGTGAGGGCTTCGGTGTAGTCGCCCATGCAGTAGAGGACCGCTATAAGGTAGGCGAATGCGAGAACTCCATTTATTAGAGTACCGTATATCATGGAACGGGGGACAACGACTTTGGCGTTTTTAATTTCTTCGCCCATGTGGATAATGCCATCGACGCCTGTTGGCATTAGATTGTTGGTCGCCATCAGGGATCGTGGAGGGACGTACCAGCTAACGGAGTAATGACACCAAGAAGACCGACGGAAAATACAACACCGGAATTCTCCCAGCCACTCAAGCCACCGACAAAGGTGTCCCAGACAAACGAGTCGGGGTTTCGAGGGGCGAGGATAACTAAGACGGCGATGGTGACGGGTAGGAAGACGACATGCATGATACCCGCAGCAACCTCGATGGCACCCAGAATGCGACGCGCAAATATATTGATAATGATCGGAATAATTGCAACTGCCCACATGAGCAGCGTACCGCGCCACCTCACAAGCTCATAGCCAGGGTCTGCCAGTACAATCAATCCCTGGATTTGAGTTCCGATGAAATAGGGTGCGATGCAGACGAGAGCGGACCAGGAGAAGACAGTGACCCAACCTAATCAAGTTGAGCATGGAATTATAAAAGAAAGGGACCGGGATTGCGGGCTTACCTTGGAAGAAACTGATAAATCGACGACCACGAGGCGCGAGGAAATAGCTCCAGTGATATTGAGCACCTGCAGTTGGATGTCTGTCAATCTCGTCAGCACTGTCACATCGCTCTCGTTGATAGACATACAGAGAGGCCAGCTCTGCTAAAGAGCATGCAATAGCCATATTACCCACGGTGCTCAAGATAATTCCATATACAATCGCTGCAGGGCCGCCGTTGTACAGTCCCGCCAACAAACTACCACCGGCAGATTCCCATGTGGCAAGTAGGCACGCGGAGAATGCGACGGATGAGAAGAAGTTTAGATATCTCTGATGAAAGATTAGTATCTCCGCAGGTCTATCAAACGATGATACTTACCTCCAGTTGTTGTTTCTGGCGCATTGCCACGCTCTCATAGGCACCATTCCAATTCTCTGCTGGCACTGACCGCACAGCGCTCTCGCTTTTCAGTTCCATCTCTTCCTGCATATTGAAAGTCTTCCCAGCTAGAATAACCGGAGAAAACAAGTCGACAGAAAATAGACCGGCCTGAGGACGGCAAGAAGTACTGCGACCTATCTTGGCATCTTTGCCTCCTCATTTCCGTCCACAGAAGCTAGACAGGGTTCTTGATTGCGCAATCAATGCCAAACAAATGGTCGACACCTCGCATGCAACTCGCATGCGACCTCTTGCGCCTCGTTGCAAAGGTTCTATTCGCTTCGGCACAAACCCTTGTCATTTGCAATCTAGTAACGAGACCGGTTGTGTTTAGTGCTGTTTAGCGCCTTTTAGTGCCATTTAGCGCCGTTCAGTGCGGGATCTGGACTCTCCCGGAGATACTCCACGCGGCCTGTTGATCCTTGGCCCGTTCGGCCCCGGATTCTGGGGGATTTTATAGGGTGCACAGGATTTGTATCCTTGCGCAGAAGGAGATGCCGTGGTGCCACCACCGATAAATAACCGCCACCTGGTGAAGCATTTGGCAGCGAGTAGCCCGAAAAGACAAGGAGCTCATTAGTTGAACACGACATAGATTGGTTGGACACTTTACTAACCAGATATGGTGTCATGCAGTAATCGTAATTCATACACAAGGCTGCTGTACCTAAATTCCTCCGCATTAGATTTCACTAAGATAACGCTTCATTCGAGCAGGCATATACCGCACGAAGATTTTAGTCCTGGGTAAGAAAATGCAGCTCAGTGATTAGACTTCTCGATCTCCTTCACATTCAGAGTGTTCGAGTGTGAGCAAGAAGGTGCCTGAGTATGTACTCGACAATATTACTCTGAATGTCGAATACCGCGCGTCCCCCGATACCGTAAATGTAGTGTTCAATTAAGAATCCTAGAAACAACAAGGGTTGTCAACTTCCAATAAAAAGGAACTGTAGGGTCAGGGATGTGAAAAGGCTGAATTATTTTATGGGCGCCCATCTCCGTAATTTCTCCATGCTGTTGACGACGATGTCATGGTGCGATGACCGACCAAAAGAATGCTTTCGAGGCCATTTCAAGCGATAATCGCGGCGCTATCATCACGCTGACCTCGGTATCCCTTCTGATCGTGGCCATCATTTTTGTGCTCGCTAAGCTCGCCTCGGTAGTGTATTTCAAGCAGCGACGGACGGCAGTCAATACTCCCATCTGGGTCGCTTTGGTTCTTGCAATTGTTCAAGTCGTTGTCTTACAGAAGGCGGTTGAGAATGGACTGGGAAAGCACCAGAGCCGGCTGAGCGAAGGCGACATCCAAGCCTGGAGCAAGTTCGCCTTCGCTGCTCACATTTTGTTCATCTTTGTCATGGTGCTTTCAAAAATGTCGACTATCCTGCTGGTTTGGAAGTTAACGCCAAGCCAGAGCTTGCGTCGCAGCTGTGTAATCACCGCTGGTATAGTTGTCGGATGGTCGATATTCGCAGTATTGAGTATAGCTTTCCAGTGCGGATTGCCCGATCCGTGGCTATACTCCCCCAATCGATGCGCTGGAGAGGTCAGCATCAGGCCACAATTGACTGGGTCTCATCTAATTTTAAACAGGGTGCCCTGCTTTACCCGATCGTAGTCTTCAATATCCTCACGGAAGTTATCCTTGTCGTTCAACCGTTCATGATGATGCGAAATGTCCAGATGGCCTGGGACAAGCGGGTTAAAATCCTGTGCTCTTTCTCTTCGCGCATAAGGTATTTTAGCACCGAATTCAGGAGCTTTTCAAATTTTCAATAACTCACTGACCAATTCCTCACAGTATCGTCGGCCTCGGGATTGCCCACCTCGCCCTCATACCTTCATTCGTTCACTCAACCGACGTTTCCTGTCTGACACCCCATTCCCCGTCAAACTCCCTTCGACGCCTCATTGGATTGATCTGACAAGTGTGTAGGGGACATAGTAAGCTGGGAAACAGTCGGCCAGGCAATGATGCTCACAACTATCGTCATTGCCTGCGTCCCAACCCTCTACCACATCTTTGCCGGCCTTCACTCTGGCCTGACAACAACCCAGATCCCTGACGGGATCGGGCTCGAGCTCCCGCAGACCAAGCTCAGTGGGTATATCAATCAGTCCTCTTCGGGAGCAAGCCAGTCCCATACGCGGTTGCATTCGCATGGATGGTTGAAGAAGAATGGACGGTCAATGTTTGATGGGTGGGGAGGTGAGATTGGGGTTACCACTGAGGTTTCGTCGGGTCAGGATCAAAATCAGACTGTGGGTGGTAGACAGTCTAGTTCGAGTGAGGGTACGGAGAGCACGCGGCATTTGACGCAAGAAAGTCAGGGGAAGGTGGGTGTGCTAAGGACGGTGGATGTTACTGTAGAGATTGAGGAGCATCATCATGACCAACTTTGAGGGCTATGTACTACAGGGGGCTTTGATATCCTGGTGGGACAGAAATATGTCGATCATAGATACCATGTGCCACGAGTGCGGTGATCACGGAAAGGTCTCTCTTCTAGATGTCCCTCTCCATACTCCCGGCTACCGGTAGACGCCTCCGTCTTTTTCCTCTTTTTCTCTCTTACGTTGGAGAAAAGCAACTTGTAACATCAGTCACCACCCAGAAGCCACTGAGACGAGTAATGGATTTTAGCATGATTACATGCCTAAAGTATCATCTTTGGATCTAGTGATGGAAGACAAACCTTAAGAACCTCTTGGGGGGCCTTTGAGAACGAGTTCCCAAGTTATCAATCATGCTAGTAAATAACAGAGTACACCCCAGGTAATACACTAGTCACAAGTTTCAAGACTTGGCCCCCACCCACGATATTTAAGAAGCACCATCTACGGAGTACTCTTTCTTTTCATTGTTCACACCTCATTTCTTCCATCAGATTCCAACTCAAAAGATTTCGATTTTGCTTCTTTCTTTCCAAAATGTCCATCTCAAAGCCTGAACTTGTTCTCATTGGAGGTGGCTGGCACTATCCAGAGTCATATGCCAGGTTCCGCACTGCGATTGAATCGCAACTAGGCCTGGCGGTCCACGTCCCACAACTCCCAACTATGAACGGTTCACGACCTCCAAATGCGGATCTCTATGCGGATTCCGATGCTATTCGTCAACTCGTGACTGGATTAGCCGATGCTGGTCGCTCTCTTGTTGTCATCATGCATTCATATGGTGGTCAAGTTGGAACCAATGCTCTAGCAGGCCTTGGAGCTGAAGCTCGTAAACAGCAGGGCTTATATGGTGGTGTTATTCAATTGATCTATATCGGTGCTCATGCACTCCAAGATGGCAAATCAGCGATGTCCATAGCTGAGCAAGCTGGACGTGCACACATTTTTCCCAAGGTCATTGATTTTGCCGAAGACGGTACCTGTGTTCATCGAGACCCCGAGAATGTGCTTGTTGGCCCTGGGCTTCCACAAGAAGAGCTGAAAAAGTATGTAGAATCTTTGGGGCGCTGGAATGGAAAGGCTATTGCTCAGGCGTTACAAGATTGTGCCTGGCGCGAAATCCCTGTATCCTATATTCATACTTTGAACGACATCGCCCTGCCTTTACACTACCAGAGAGCCATGGTGGAGGATATCAAAGCCGCAGGGTGCGATGTCCAGACTTTTGACCTTGACTCGGGCCACTGTCCGACAGTGACGAAACCAGAAGAAGTGGTCACCCTTGTCGGGCAAATCGTTACCAGCTCTACTGCCTAGACCTAGGGCACAGTATGCGACACAGTCCGTCTACAAATAACTCCATCTTTGAAGGGATAGGGTCTAAAAAGGCCCAGCCATATGTTGCTAAATAATGACAATGCATTACCGAGTTGATGGTGTTGATTCTATGCTTATGGCATACCTTTTTCCTTTTCCTTTTCTATGAATAGCTAGGTATAGATATTGCTGCTGTTACACCAGGCTGGTAAGGGTGTTTGTTGGAAATAAAATATAGTTGTATTATGTAGAACTCTCAAGCAAAATGAAATATGCCAAATCCCGGATCCATGTAATGCAGAATTCATACCCCCAACGCCAGACAATACAAATCACCGATATCTATGCATGAACAACAATCGCTAATAATAGATGCAAACACAAATTTTCAAACCCATTACTCCATCAGTTCGACAGGTGGTCGAGAAGTCTTCGGCGGCATCTTCTGCAGCGACATACCATCATCCATTTCGATGTCCTCATCAGCCGGCAAGCTCACATCCTCGACCATAACAGCCGGCAGGTTCGGGCTATGACCGTGATCCTCAGGGTTGTAGATGATAGTGCTGCTGCGGCTGCGCTGCTGCGATGCAGCAAGCGGCCAGCTGGGCGTCCTCTGGTCCGACGAGATAGATACAGGCGTAGCAGGATCAACGCTCATAGTCTCAGCCTCCGGCTGATCGGTTTTCAGCATCGCCAGCGCATACGCGAGATCTTGAGCGTGCACTTCTTTGTTTGGGGGGTCCTCGTTGCGCATCATCCATCCGTGCGGGGGGCTTGGTGGCGGGGAGATAAAGAAGAGCTTGTCGCTCTGGGGCGCGGCAAGGAGCTTTGTGCGCTGCATTTCTTCTTCGGTCAAAATGGGCGTTGGCTCGCCGAAATAGATGCGGGGAGTGGTGTGGCGAAGTAGGTTGCCTTCCAGCATCTTACGGATGGTGATAGCATCTTTGTCGGAGTAGAAGGAGCAGACGATACGGCGGAAGGATGGGAGCGGGGAGAAGGAGTAGAGAGGTACAACCGCGGTGATTTTGTTGCGAATCTCATCGAGGGAAGAGGGTTGAAAGATGATGAGGTCGTTGAGGTCGGTGATCAAAAGTGTGTTTGAGGGAGGCGATGGCTGGGAAAGCGCGGGGAGGCTGTCCAGGTCGATAGATAGGGAAGGCCGAGAGCGAGAATGAGTTGGCTCAAAGGCAGGCTCTAGAGAGCAAGCGGGGATCGATACTGATTGCGCCATTATGTTATATGTGTGTAGAACAGTGTGGTGTTGGTAGTTGTTCAAGTGGGAGAGAAAAGCGGTGGGCGGATAAGGTGTTGATAAAGGGGAAGGCGAAGGTTTGCCACCGGATTATAGAAGACAAAGGGTCTAGATTTCGAGATAAACATGGAAATATTTGGCGGGAACTTTGAGAGTATTTATCTGATTTCCTTAAACAACGTTTCACCTGTGGATCTAACTCGCCGGGGCGCAGCCAATGTGTTTATCGCCATGTTTGCGTATTTCTACACCTGCACAGCCCGATCCGCACGAAACCGACTCGCCGTTCCTGGAAGGATCCACACTCCGCGTCCACTTCACCGCGTACTGGCTGAGCCCCTTCCATTACTCTAAACCCTTTTAGGATAGGCATTCGCGAGATTTCACCTGCGTGCGCCACACCTTATGCGCCACAGCCTCTATATGGGCTCTGTTTTGTCGGTTTGCCGCCTCCACCCAAGCTCCGCCCTGCAGGTTTATCTACCGCGCAAATACCTGGGGCAAATCCGCGCCTCCGCCTCAGCCTCCAGGGTCCGCCATGACCTCGATTATTATTCTGCCTGGATACACATCACATCGCGGGGCTTGGTTGCTCCGGGCAGTGCCGCTGCGGAGACTGATCAAGGTACACTCGCTTCGACTCGTGCCACGGGACCTAACCGACCGGGCAGGGGATGAACCAGCTATGCCTAACGCAAGGCTGCATTATTCCACCTTTGCGCTTACACTGCCAATTGTAGAGTTCGCTTTTGAATACCCCACCTAGATTTGCGCTCGTGCGTAATGTGGAGCCTCCGACATAATGCATCGACAAGACACGTTCCCTTGGCATTGTCCTGCCTCAACAAGGCGTTGGTGCCAAGTGCTACCATGCGTCTTTCCGGTCATTTATATGGGCTTTGCTTTCCAGGCAAACATGAATTAGCCTTGACACTTGCTGCGTGATAGGGCCATAGTACGCCTTTGGGTAAGCTGACCATCCCATGTTTCCTAGAGGAGCCGGTCTCAAAGAAACCGGGTTTAGGCAAGTGTTCGGTCACTTAGCATGGAATAGCTGAGCATATATCTACCTTACCATGTATAAGCCGAGAGAGGCCGAGATTATGGGCGGCTTCATGAACCGGTGGACCTCGGGTTATTCCTTTGCTTTTTCCCAGGAGTCACCAGGCCTAGGCAGAGCCCTTTAAAATGCACGCTCTTTGCTTGTCAATGACTGGCTATAGATCCTTCAGAAACACATTGAGATATGAAATTTATAATATTGAACCTTTATATTCAGGTAATAATAAATAAACAATGTTTAGTCAATGAATAGCCCTCCCGAAGCTATGATATGCGTTCCATTGACCCACCGCGCCCGCTCCTCGCATAGAAACGCAACAGCATACGCAATTTCATCTGGCTGTCCCATCCGAGGTCCCACAGGCGTCTGATCAATAATGGGCTGAAGAATCTTCATCTGTTCCTCACCAGCAGCAGCAAAGCCTTCCGTCATAGTCGGGCCAGGGCTGACAGCGTTGACGGTGCATCCATATTTCGGAGGAAGCTCCTTCGCCCTAAACTTTAAGTCAGTATCTCGATTACACCCAAAACGATCGAATTTCACTCACCAACACTTCGTAAATGAATCTACCATACCCTTAGTCCCAGCATAGATCGTCTGGTTAGGTGGTGGACCCCGAGCCGAGATACTAGCAATGTTCACGATCCGCCCACTGCCCTTAGTGAGATGTGACAGAACGGCCTTGGTCAATAGAAAAGTACCACGTCCATTAATATTGACCAGGAGATCCCAGTCCTCAAGAGTCTGTTCCTCCAATGGTTTATTAACAGCCAATGCAACGCAGTTAACCAGGATATCAATGCGATTCCATTCTGCCATTGCGGCATCTACCAATTTCTGGGGCGAGGCAATCTGGGACATGTCGGCTTCCACGGCGATGGCAGGAGATGAGAGTGATGACACCACATTATCGGCTTCGTTCTTCAGGCCGGCGAAGGGGTAGTTGACTACTGTGTTTGCTCCACGGGAGGATAGCTCGCGGACAATGGCGGCACCAATGCCTGAGCTTGACCCTGTGACAATGGCCACCTTTCCGGATAGAGTCTGGGCTGACATTGTGAATGTCTGTTCGAGCTGGAGAGGGCGCCTTGTTGCTGTAGAATCCAGTATGACTGGTCGGGTCGCGAGATGTTTATGGATTCGCAAGTTCTATGACGGGTGTCGAAAGTATCAAGCTCTGTACTTGGCTTATAAAGTCTCGATTCTCAATTAACTATGTGGTTAAGTCGTCCGGGGCGATCTTTCTTAAGTTGCTAAGTAGGTGAAGGTGCGGACATCTATCCGTGGGCATTATTCAACCCCACATCCCGATATTGGTTTCTTCCCCACATTATACGTTAGCTTACGAATGTCGGGCAAAGACTGACGGCGCGAATATGAAATGATAAGCAGAGATCCAGATCAAGGTCGAAACATCAATTTGAGGATTCATGGGAGTCTTAGTAGAAAAATATGCTGGAGAGTATCAAAGCCGCGTAAGGCGATGTCATGACCTTTAATCTCCAAGCGGGCCACTGCCCAATACCCATAAAACCGAAAGAACTTGCGCGGAATATTCAACAACTTACTTATGAGCATTTGAGTGCTGCCGTGCAGGCTTGAAGGAATGTGTCCATATGCCGTATTGGGTCAGAAAGAGGTCAACATCATGATAGCTTTTCATTTTCAACTAGTGCTTACACCGCAAAATGTCTAAAACCATAGTTCGACTTATCTCAAACTCAATTCCATTGCATTGCATCATTTAAATCAAAGAAGAAGTTATAGTTAGGGTAGCTGCTAGTGCTAGAATGCATTGGTCGCATCGGGATACACTTCGATCCTTGGAAATTAGGGATATTGTTTCTGATAGTGAAATACGCAGCCTCGTCCCTTCCAGATTATATTTCTCTCCACACGAGTATAGGTATGCACCTACTTCCAAGGTCTCCCTACTCTTTTAGGGTGCGCGTCTTGAACAAAAACTTAGGATGTCACTACTGGATACCCTCTGTACCAGACAGTTTGGTAAGGTATCTGAACCTATCTTGTGTTTACGCGTTCAAAGGCACGGGGGGAATATCTAGCCAGGTATCTATAGACAAGGGCGAACACTGCTGAGCCTCTCTGGTCCACCCTTAAGATGTAGCCCTATGCGTCTCGGTCCATCCGCTTGCTGGTAGATAAGGTAGTTTGTTGTCCCTGCTAGATCGACCCGTGCACCTGAGAGTGCACTAGCCAACGATCATTCCCCAATTTCCTGAGTATCATTTGAATGTGACTATTCTCATGATATAATCTTCTGGAATCTCTCATAGGTAATGACAACATTATCAGACTTCAATAGGATGCTCAATTGATCCCTATAAATGCCTGCACATGTGGTGACCAGCTAGATGGTATCAGCTAAATTGAAGCATTATCCATAGTTCGAGGATAGGGACACATAACGCCAGAGCCAGGATGATTCATGGGTGTTTCCAATGTCCCAACAAACAGTTGACGCACTGTGAGAGAACCCCCCCCCCCCCCCCCTCCTCCTCTCCTACCCATGGGAGGTAAGATGCTGCTGGCATCATGCAACGACCGGGACCACTGCGTACTTTAAGATTACTGGCAAATTTTGGAACAAACCTCAAGACGCACCATTGAAAGTGGGTATGACAGACGAGCCGAGGCTCTTTGGTAATAAAACTATTGAATTGTACACATTGTGCTGTGGTACCCTTTAGTAATGCAGGTTCAAAATGGCCCCCATCTCCTCGCCTACTATTAAGAAGCGCCTTTACCCCGCTATCTCTTTCATTTCACCTCTTCATTGAGTCCATCCTAAGTTCCTCATCAAACCCAAGCTCTGAGTCATGTCTGCTTCAAAGCCCGAGGTCGTCCTCATTGGAGGTGCCTTCCACTACCCAGAATCCTATGCCAAGTTTCGCACTATTCTTGAATCTCAAGGCTTGCCGGTCCATATTCCTAAGCTCACGACAATGAATGGTGCACGACCCCCAACCGCGGATCTTTATACGGATACAGCTGCTATTCGCGAACTTGTCACTGGATTAGCTGACGAGGGCCGTTCTCTGATTGTCCTTATGCATTCATATGGAGGTCAAATTGGCACCAATGCTCTTGCAGGCCTGGGGGCCGAAGCTCGCAAGCAACAAGGCTTGTCTGGTGGTGTGATCCAATTGGTCTACATTTGCGCACATGTACTCTCGGAAGGCCAATCCGTGTTCAAGAACATTGAGCAAAGTGGACATGCAGACTTCATACCTATCATGTTCAACTATGCTGAAGACGGGACCTGTATTCCGGTGGATTCTAAAAATATGGTGGGCCCCGGGCTTTCAGACGAAGACCTGGAAAGCTTTATTGCAACCCTAGGACGCTGGAATTCCAAGGCCTTCGATCAGCCCTTGGAGCACTGTGCTTGGCGAGAGATTCCGGCGTCCTATATCTATACATTAAATGACTCCCTCCTGCCACTAGCCTACCAGAAAGCTTTCGTGCAGGGTATGGAAGCCACTGTGGCAGGGCGTCATGTTAAGACTTTTGAAATTGAGACTGGTCATTGTCCAACAATTACGACACCGGAAGAACTCGCCAACATTATTCAACAGATTATCACGGAGGCCACTACCTATACTTGATTGTCAGATTCCGTGATACGAGGGTCATGTAATAGTCTTCCATTTTCATCGTGAGCAATATCTGAATAGGGAAAGCACCCGCATCCTAAAAGAAACATATATGTATTTCATATTACGGACTATTGTGTCCAGTATTTGTAAGAGTCATTTCCGAAGAGAAAAAAAAGAAACAAGACCTGCCTTGCACAATTTGCCAGAAGTGGGCACAGCAGTATTGCGTACAAAATTCAGCCCCCAAGCACTAGTAAGTGTAGTTAACCCCTCATGCGTTTGACCCCCTCCCGCCCTCCCCGAAACGCGGGAGCCTGCATGGCCTGCATGGCCTGCCGGCCGATCTCTCTAAATGGAGTAATATTAGAAGTGGAACCTCATGCTGTATTGACGCGTGTATCTGCTGTCTACAGTCTTCGACCCCACCTCAATACTTGCGAGCAAATACATACCTTTCGATGTTGAAAGTGGAAAATTGAGTAAGTCTGCAGGTGACCCGGATATTGCCCCGCCCTTTCGGCATTAGGCGGCAACGGTACGTCTCTTTGGTCTATAGTTTGGGGTTCATTCCGAGATAGACCTGAGGTTCATGGAGGACGAGTGAGTATTTACAGAATCCCGAATCTGTTCATTACATGTGTGTATGAGGGCTTTTCTTTCCATTGTTTTCTAAAAGAAATAGAAAACTAATAGATAGGTATTAAATTGGAAAAAAGATGAGGAAATTAGAAGGGATCTTTGTCACAGCACTCTGGCGAACGTTGTGTCCCTCGGGTTTTTCTTCAACACTCCACTCAGTGTGGTTGTTATGTAGCCTATACTAGCTCAAGCCCCAGGGCTGTTGTGATCCCGCAAATCCGAAGTAATTTATATATGTATGTGCTCCAGATGTTGAGTTTCAAGTTTTCATTTCCTTCTACTGCGCTCCATCTTTTTGTCTTGTCACATGCGATCAATTGACACTATTGAGTAGCCCTTCAAGCGATGTGGGAATTATCGAGTTTTGCTTTGTGTGAATTCTTAGGGTTATCCAAGGTGAGTATCTTTTGGGAGTTTATTTCGGCTTTGGCTAATTAGTCAATTTACTTTTAGGCGGGCCTCGGAGGTCTCGTGATAATAATTAGTATGGCAGCCGTCAGGGGAAAGGTAGTACGCTGATAAAATAAAATAGAATACCCTTTACCCCTGAGGTTTTCTTTGATTCAATGTTTCTGAACGCTTCAAAGAACCGAGAGACGGCCAAATTCTTGATTCAACGCAGGGCAGATGTTACTCCACGGAATTGCAATAAATACACGCCTTTGCATGCCTCCAGCAACTTCCGAGGATTGGATATGATAGATAGCTGAAGAGCTATTGCAGGATAGTACAGATCGGTGTGCCATGTCTAACGATAGGAGATCTGCTACCAATCCTCAGATTTTTGGCGCAATAGTCCGGGTTAAAATATATACCTGAGGCTGAGTACCCTGTTTTCTTCCCCGTTGAATGACTCTAATCAAAATTAATAAAATCAAAGGATAGGAATTCAAACACTGTGAGCTTGAACAATAATGTAATCTGGTCAAGTTGTATATTTGCCAGAGGTTATATTCCATGAGCATCCAAGTATATCCATCGTCTTAAACCCAATCAGGAAGGAACTCGTCGGCCCAGCATTTTAATTTTCCCGCGGTCAGGTGATGATGGATCCAATTTTCCCCGATGATCGCAGTATCCGAACACCTTCTTGTCCATAACCTTGCATAATACTCAATTGCAATTCTACCTTCATAATGTTCCAACGGACTCTCCTCAGACAGGCCCAGGCCGCCCGGTCTATTCTGGCCTCCTCTTCCTCCACATCTGCCGCGCCGTTGGCTCTCCGCCGGACATCACAGTTCCAAACACGTCTGCCCGCTGCCGTGCGGCCATTCGCTCCCCAGCCCTTCGCCCGCTCCTACTCTACCGAAAATAAGGAGGCCGAAGCTACCGAGAATGCAGAGGCCGAGGACCCCGTCAAGAAGCAGCTTGAGGCTAAGGAGAAGGAGGTTGTTGAATTGAAGGTATTTACTTCCATCCACCAACTTAGCTTTCCCCATTTCATCTATGCGCTGTTCAGTCGCTAATATGTTTCATGCTTTAGGATAAATACTTGCGCTCCGTCGCCGACTTCCGCAACCTCCAGGAGCGCACTAAGCGCGATATGGACGGTGCCCGCAACTTCGCTATTCAGCGCTTTGCTAAGGATCTCCTCGACAGCATTGATAACCTTGACCGCGCGCTGCTGGCCGTGCCCGCGGAGAAGCTCAACGCTGCCCCTACTGAGGAGAACAAGGCTCTGCTCGACCTCGTCACTGGTCTGAAGATGACCGAGAACATCCTCATGAACACCCTCCAGAAGCACGGTCTCGAGCGCTTCGACCCCGGCGAGCAGGTCGAGGGCAAGGCCCAGAAATTCGACCCCAACCTGCACGAGGCTACTTTCATGGCCCCGTCCAAGGATCTCGAGGACGGTGACGTTATGTACACTCAGAGCAAGGGCTTCCGCCTGAACGGACGGGTTCTTCGGGTAGGTTTTCTTTCCCGTATCGCATCGAGCTGCAACACATATGCTAACTGCTTTTCGTTTCTTTTTAGGCTGCCAAGGTTGGTGTCGTTAAGAACGCCTAAATTCTCACTCCTCCATAATCTTCCTTATTTCTTCCTCTTTCCTTCTATCTGTACCATATATCATACGTCATGATCACGATGGGGATTGGCATTTGGATTCTGCTGGCTGTTGGGTCCGGAAAACGTTTCTTCCTTATATCTGCTTGTCGCTTGGATCTGTATGATACACACTTTGTTGCATGTGACTGGAGGCGTCTGGATTGTCTCGTGTTGGGGTGGTTTGTCCCTTGTTTTCGCACAAACTGTGTTTGATAACTCTCTCCTCATTTCTTGTATAATACACTACCATCCATGGATATTTAGAGGCGTAAAATTGCCTCGGATCGATCTCAATTGGCTCAAGCTCTTGGCGATACTTGTATGCATAGCAAATACCCAGAAGATTGCATGGAAATTGACATTGAAAAGAGCATTTCTGCAAGAAAGTGTTTGAAGGTGAGTTATGTTGTACATTGTTACACATCGTGCAAAGAGGTATATAGAATAATATAGTACAGATTGATCGGCCTCTGATCACCTCAACTCCACGCCATGGTCACCAACCAGCTTAGCCCGAACCTTGTCATGCATCTCATTGGCCTCCTCGTTCGTCAATGTCCGCTCCAGGCTGCGGTAGTTAATGCGATAGCACATGCTCTTGCGCCCAGTTTTGGGGTGCGTGAACTCATCAATGCAGGTAACATCCTCAACAAGATCACCGCCAATACCACGAACGATCTCCATTACATCGTTCTCATGGAAAGGAACTCCTCCGCCAGCAGCACTGCTCCCACCAGTAATAGCGGCAGGAGGCAACCAGAAAGCAACATCCTTGTAGCAAGCTGGGTGCTTAGAGAACGGCTCAAAACGAGTGATTGTTCCAGCCTTGAACTGAGAGAGGAACCGCTCATCCCGAGACCAGAAGAGACGGATATCAGGAATGTTGAACAGGAGCATAGCGATACGCTCAATGCCCAATCCAAACGCCCAGCCAATCCTATTAGGAACATCAGAGTTGATCAAAAGATCCTGCTTGATGACACCACATCCAAGGATCTCAAGCCACTCGCCCTGCCAGAACACCTCCATCTCCCACGAAGGACTAGTAAAGGGGAAGTAAGCTTCAACCCAGCGCACCTTCAGCGGCTCCGCGGGAGCACCACCAGAGCTAGCAGCAGCAGCCTTACTACCTTCCGTGAAGACCTTGATAACCATCCGTTCCAAAGACCGCTTAAGATGCGCCGCGATAGCCTCAACCTCCTCTTCACTGTGATGCTCCGCCTGCAACGGATTCCGCTGAGCATGTATAGTAGGATTTGGATCCTCGACAACAACATCATGACGCGGAATTAATTCCACGTCAGCCCTGATCTTCGCAGCTGTTTCCGCCGAGTGAGCCAGGGGATCACTGTCCGGCCGCTTCCATAGCATCGCGCCCTCCATCTGATGGAAAACAGGGTAATGACTACGATCAATCGCATCACGACGGTAAACATCCGCAATGACAGTGTATCCCACCTCCTCAGGACGTGTCTGCTCATTTCGGTTGAGCTGCTGGAAATAAGCCTGTTGATGGGCGCTCGTATGTGTGCGCAACACCGTCTTGTCGTTGATATAGTATGTATCGGTGCGACTGCGGCCCGGGTGATCCGGCGGGAAACCCAGAACATCGAAATTTTGTCTTGTTGATACGACGGGGCTCTTCTCAAAGTGGTTGCCGAATACTGGCGCGGGGAATTGGCTTTCAATCAGCTTGCGAGTGATTGCTAGAGGGTGGTTCTCGTCGAGGTAGAGACGGCGGCCGACATGGGAGAGAATCTGATCTGGGGTGTTGGTCCATGCATCGGCCGGGTAGGTTGTGCCTTCGATTGTCTGGTTGGACTTTTTTGTTTGCAGTGTCTGGGCAGATGCCTGGGTAGTGGCTTTGTTGTCGGTTGCTCGGAGAGCTGTCGTGGAGCTCCAGTCTCTCTTGATAGCTGGTATGGTTTCGAGCGGGGAGATACGAGGAATTGGAATTCGTGGGCGCGTTGCGGCGATGGACCAGCGGCCGCTGCTGGTGCGCAGGGCTCGTCCTGTGGCATACAATCGCATTGCTGGGCTTGGTTGGCTATTGCTGCGTCGAGTTGTATGGGCCGTTGGAATCTCAAAAACATTCCCGGGCCGGGGAAATGAGTCGCCGAAGTATCACCATCTCCGCTGTGGGCCTTATTCCGTGCTATATATTCTGCCAGATCTATCTAATGTTCCTTTCAGCCTTTTTGGTTTCATACAATGCTTATTGGGTATCTTAATCCTTTTGCTGCTATCAAATAGTGTTTTAAAAAAATATATTAGAATTGAACCCTATGCCCCGGGAGTAATGTTGCACCTGCCAGAAACATATATTTGCTTAAGATCAAGGATCAAGTTTTGGGCAAGCACCAAGCTACGAACAGCCCCTGTTGGTATGTCCCGATCGGAAAAGGTTCTGGGATGATACCGATACGACAAATGTATCTATTGATGATATGCTTCATTTAATTTCCCCAAGATTGCAAGACCAGACAATTTTGGACAGTTCTCCTGAGGATTTCCTTTGTGTCAGGCCCGCTACTGGAAGGCTATATTTAGCAGGTAATCTTTTGAACGAGATTAAAAGTTGTGACTTTCAAGGCTCCAGTAATCAGGAACTAGCAGGGCAGGAAAGGACCAGGGCTTAAAAGAACATGGTCGAAATGGCGCCCTGGGGGATTCAATTAGTATAGTAGCCTTGGAAGCTAATAATAGCGCCTGACAATATCGAATGAAGTGAAGTATGACCCTTCGATGACCGAGACAGCACGCCTCGGCTGGCTGACATATCCGTACTTTTCAATTCCCTTCATCTAGCCAGCTGCCTATAATCATTAAGAAGCCTTTATAACCGAGGTGCATAGAAGCCAAAGAAAGATATTGGGAATACCCGTAATTCGCCACGACTCGTATGACGGATTTGGCATCTGTTTCCGAAGGCCGCCTGAAAGGTAGTTTTTTAGAGACTCCCAAATCTGTGAAAGACAGATATAACATTTTTGTCCAAGTTGATGTGTGGCTTGGCAATTAACAAGAATGGAGACGAATGTGTTCAACACTCCACACCGGTAATGTATTTTTAACGAGCATGACTTGTATCGAATATAGGGCACCATCGACCATGCGGAATCTCAACTGAATACTGTTGTTGCCAAAACCCATATGACCAGAGAGTCTTTAGTGCTTAATGCCCTTTCAGAAAGCCGCACTTGGTATGTCAGGTTGCTTCTTTTACTTTTTCCAAGCCATGGATTGATTAAGCTGCTTTGAATTTTATACTTAGCTGAGACTAGCGCATATGCAATTCGGAGCTTCAGGGCTTCTGTAACGCTCTCTCTTTATCACCTGGCTTCTTAGATGTTGATTTTTCGATTCTCATTTCTTAGTTCTATACATTTGGTCTTTATCTAAATCGTTTACCACTGGCTACATGGCATCTCTATACATACACGTGCAATAGGCCACATGATCTGCGACCAGTCCATTTCAAGAAAAGCCCAGAGAGCACACCGCAAGTGGGTTAGTCAAACCCAAGCTCACTCATTACCCAATTCTAATCTAGTTCTCCACCTCCGAAAATCGCATGGAGGGGTGAAACTTTGAGAACCCCTCGTCCCTCGGTAATCCGATTATCGATCCTTGCACCCGCGGAACACCCGCAATTCCACCGAATATGCCCGTGTAAAGGCTACATGCCATCTGAGCTACCTTTAGCCGATAAGCATAATTACAACTTTCATAGAATGCCGATAGATTCTCGGGAACTACTTTTTACCTCCGATGCCTGTTCATGCTTAATTTGACTGGCGTATGTTCCTTACAGGAAGGCGGTTCACCGGGGTAGAAACAAAACCGAGCCTCTGATTGGTGTAGATCTCCAGAATCTTCAAGGCACCAACGCTGATTGGTCACGATACGCCGTGGCTAGCCATGGATTCGGCGACCTGATTTGCGTCCGTCGGTATTTGCGATCCAAAATTACGTCAAAAAGGTCACGGTCAAAAAATGGCGATTTTCTCACAAAATTAATGAGAGAGCTCCCTTTTTGAAACCACACTCTCCCCTCCTTATATTCATAACCCCCCCCTCGCTTCCCTACACGGGAGTCTTGTTTCCTAAGAATGAAACAGGATATGGCAGACAGCAACTTATTACAGGCTCCGGCTCACTCACGGGTGGCGCCTGTGTCGACGCCGCTGTCCAAATCGCAGAAAGTCCACTACCCTTTCTGGTTCGGAGGGTCGGCTTCATGTTTTGCGGCTGCCGTGACACACCCCTTAGATCTGGGTAAGTGACATGATAATCCTGGCCTATTCGTTTCGTACTAACCCTTCTTTAGTCAAGGTATTTCAGCTCTCTTAAAGTTCAGGCCCAGACCCTGAATCGCCACCCCCGGAGTCTCGCTGATCGTGGAATTTCGTCGCATTCTAGGTTCGGTTACAAACACGTGCGCCAGATGCTCCAAAGTCTATGCTGGGAACCTTTGGACATATCGTTAGACATAATGGCGTGACAGGCTTATACAGTGGTGTATGTCCAATTCCGTGCCTTGCCTTGAAATCGGATAAATCGGTTACCTCAAGTTGAGAAGACGCAAAAGCTGACCATATATCAATTGGGAATATATAGCTCTCCGCTGCTCTTCTGCGCCAGATCACCTATTCCACCACCCGCTTCGGTATTTACGAAGAACTCAAGAACCGCCTTACAAAGCCTGACCCAACTTCCTCTACACCACCTGCGCCGCCTGGCCTCCTTACCCTACTTGGAATCTCCACCGTGTCGGGCTTCATCGGTGGTTTCGCCGGTAATCCCGCAGACGTGATGAACGTGCGCATGCAGTCCGACGCCGCCCTGCCAATTGAGCAGCGCCGGAACTACCGCAATGCCTTCCACGGATTGATTCAAATGACCAAACAAGAAGGCTTCGGTTCCCTCTTCCGCGGCGTCTGGCCAAATTCCACTCGCGCCGTGCTCATGACCGCCTCACAGCTCGCCTCTTACGACACCTTCAAGAAAATGTGCATTGAGAAGGCCGGTATGAAGGATAATTTGGGCACCCACTTCACGGCCTCGTTCATGGCTGGATTCGTCGCAACCACTGTCTGCAGTCCGGTGGACGTGATCAAGACTCGCATTATGACTGCGTCGCCGGCTGAGAGCCGCGGCCACAGCATTGCTGGTCTGCTGCGCGATATCTGTCGCAAAGAGGGTCTTGCTTGGACTTTCCGTGGTTGGGTGCCTAGCTTTATCCGTCTGGGTCCTCATACTATTGCTACATTCGTTTTCCTGGAGGAGCACAAGAAGCTCTACAGGAAAATGAAGGGCATCTAAAAGTTGGATTTAGAATGCGTTCTATAGAGGTTTGTGATTTTTTGATTTCTTTTCCATTTTCCTTTTCTTCCCTGGGGAGTCTTACTTCCTGATCTTCACCGCGTCCCGCATATACGCCATTTCGTTTTTGTTTTCTTTTCCTTATGACTATACCGGGCGGGACCAACTCGCCCATTCGAGCGATTTCGCTTGTACATATCTTGCATTCTGATGGAATGCTTCTTTCTTACTGCTGAAGACCATGGCTCGAAGCCGTGGCCTGTTGATTTTGGGGCTCGCATTTCCTGTGTACAGGGTGTGTTGCATGCTGTTTTTCTTTGGAGATTGAAAGCCATAGACTTAGAACCAGAATTCCATCTAGACCATTTTCCGCAAGGAATCATCCAAATTCACTATCAATTTTCTGAAGTAGCAAGTAAGTTCTCCAGAGGGTTTCAAGCTAGGCTACTTAACGGTCCGGACGGAGAACTTGAAAAGAAGACTCGAGATAGCCTAGAAAGGCAATATCGATGTTTACGTCGGCACAGCAACTAATCAAATAAAAATTCTCTTTGCGGAACAGCGATTTATAGACAACCCTTCTCGGATAGCCAGAAGGTTTACATCAGGAAGAAAGGAAATGTATCCCCGCATGACCAGGTAGAGTACATTGATAGTTGTCGATACACAAAAAATTCAAAGCCCAAGTAACCAACACAAAGCAGCTGTCGGTCATTTACCGGTCAAGGTGGGCGGGGAAGTTGCCAGCCTCTGTTAAGGGTTTCGGGTGGTTAGTATGTGTAAAACAAAAATTTCCAGGGGTGGGTTGAAGACGTACCACGCTGACCGTCCCAACGGTCGGTCCAGGCCTTGGGGCACAGAGCACGGAAGGCGTGGTAGAACTGGTATTGATGTTAGAAATTGTTATACTCGTAAATAGCGTAGAGGGCGAAAGTACCTGACGGCAGGGACGGAAGTCCTCGCCCTTGGCGTTGACACACTTGTAGTAGTCGACATAGTTCTGCCAGCAGTGCTTGGTCCTAAAGGTGAAAATTAGACAGGATTCCACGGCGGATATTCATATTGATAGGTGACGTACTGGTTCATCTGGGGGAAACGAGCATCGTAACCTGTTGTCGCATCGGAAAATGTCAATCATATGATCCCCCGGCCGATCGGAGACACCCATTGCGAAGCATCCCGGGAACGGATTCCGACGCAAGAAAATCGATGATATACGTACCAGCTGCATATATGTTAGCCATTGACTCCATTTTTGGACGATTGAGCTCCCCGTTATCGCGGGAGAGGGGGTTTAGAACTTACCAGTCACGAACTTGAAGGGCTTGGTCTCTTGAGGCTCCTCGGGATCGAACTCAGGAATGGCACCCATTTTGGCGATTTGTAGCTTCGAGCGAAGATCGCGGGGATATGAAAGGTGAATTGGGAGTGAGGAGAGGAGAGCGAGGGTGGGAGAGGGCAAAGGACGAGTGGACGTTGGGTGATCGAAGCTGTGAAGTGCCGGGTATGACCGCGGGCGGTCAAGCGAGAGCCACTGAGAGTCTCGCTTTTCCCAAAACACCCGAGCCACTCAGAACGACGCTCTTGGAAAGCTCGACTCCGACCTCATCTTCTCCCACTTCTCATCGTCACTACGCCACCACTCCCCACCACTTACACCATGTACCCATCTCAGGTTCTGCGTATGCAGCCCTCGCGGGCTTTCTTCAACCCGGCGCCCGTAAGTTGAACTCTCCTATCTCGGGATCATACGATCGGGTTTCGGCTAGTACTAACTCCTGTCTGCAGAAGGAGGCTCACAGCGGTATGCTGCACCACCACGACCCCATGGAGTCACAAGACAATGATTCGTGTCGAATTATGGAGGGCTCCTAAGAAGGACTTGTTGTACTGATCGGGTTTTACTAGCCCACACTATCTCCCAGCGCCTCCGCATGATCAAGAAGTGTCCCCCAGAGTTGATCCCTCTCGGTACGTTATTGCCAATCTATGAATCTACAGAGCTGAGGACCAATGTGCTAACCATTATTTGCCATTCAGGTATCGTCCTTGGGTATGTCTCTGTCTTACATTATCTGCCCTGATTTGCCCGGTCTATCCCGCGAAGCCTACCTATCCTCTCATGATCTCTTTCGCTTTTCCTTCACATTTCCCTCGCCTGCAGGCGGCCTTTCGCTATCGTCACATCTTTTTCTGCTCCCTTGACTAACCGGATGAATGCAGTGTTGCCCTTGGCGCCGCCTTCTACGCCAGCACCAAGAAGCTCATGACCGACAAGACTCTGCGTCTCTACCGCAACAGCCCCGAGAGCCGCGAGCACTAAATGTACCATCCTATTTTTGAGCTCCGCGAATGCGATCCCAATTTTCTTTAAATTCTCGTCGCTTGTATTGTTTGCAACAATTTGAAGCCCAGAAAAATTAGTGGAGAGAAAATCAAGACGTGCTCGGATCCGGAGCATGTGTACATAGTCCGGCTTCGCGGTGAAATTTGGTGTGTTTTCCGGCAATAGTAATGTCGTTCTTGGTTCATAATCGTTATGGCCATTATCAAGGTTGCGCATATCATTCGGGCTTTGGTCCCGCGACGTCGAGTTGTTCCAATCCTTGCATCGGGTCTTGGGGCCGGTCGCCTGCCTCTCGGGCTTCTTCGGCTGCTTGTCTGTCTTCTTCACTGACTGCGTATTTGGCCAGATATCCCTCCTGTAAAACCACTGTCAGTTAGTATCAATGCGACGGATCCGACTCCAACATTTCTCCCTGATATTGTAGAACCCCACGTACCTGTTCCCAAATAGCGGTTTTACTGCCTAGGCCCTCGTTGGCATCCTTCTGTGGCTTTGCTGCAGCGACCTTGATTGTGCGTCCGTAGAGCTCACTGCCGTCCATATTGTCGATTGCCTCCTTGGCATCTTGCGGGAGTTCGAATTCCACATATCCGAAGCCTCGGTGAACGTCATCCGTGTTCGGTTGGTCTGGCTTTGGGAGAGAGATGTCGACAACCTCGCCAAAGGGCACGAATGCCTCTGCCAGAGTATGAGCTGTGACGGCCTGGTCGAGGCCACCGACATAAATGGTGCTCTTGAGCCGGGTGGTTTCACTCATGATGTCGAGATTTTCTGGGCTTGGCCAAAGTCGAGTAAATATGTCGAAGTGCTCAAATGCAGGAATGCACAGCTAGTGAGCTTGCAGCTTGTTGAATTGGCGTTAAAGTGCTTTGTCTAGGGGACGAGTCTGGTTAAGTCCTGGGGTCGCAATGGAAAGAGCAACTGATATCACGTGCGGCCACCTCGGGGGTGTTTTGGCGAGTGACCGATTGAGTTTAGCGCGTGTTCCCCGGTCCCTCCAAAGAGTCCAGGAGGCCACTTGGTATTGACTAGTATAGCATCGCACCCCCCGTTGTCCTATTTTATGTACAGGGGTGGGATTTGGATTTGCTGATATTCGTTGAATGACTGCTTACGATCTTGTTCTTTTTTCCAAAATTTAATTACCTCCTTCCCCCCCACCAACATCCATCTACCGTCATCATGGTCCGTCTAAGGGAAATCCCAAGGACGGCCACCTTTGCCTGGTCTCCTGGTGCTGCATCTCCATTGATTGCCACCGGAACCCGGGCAGGTGCTGTTGATGTCGATTTCTCCAACAAGACTTGCCTCGAGCTTTGGGATCTTGGTTTGGACCGCGAGGACGCTAGCGAGGAGCTACAACCGCTGGCTAAGATCGATACCGATGCTGGGTATGACAGCCTTTTAAAGCTCAAGAAGGATTTGAATTGCTGACGGGAATGCTTGTATAGTTTCTACGACCTAGCATGGACCGAGTATGACGATACCAAGCGCGGTGTCATTGCGGGTGGTCTTGAGAACGGTGCATTGGATTTGTGGAGCGCCGATAAGCTGCTTGCTGGATCGAGGTGGGTGATATCTGTATATGAATGTTTGGATGTTTTAGCTGACAGCTTCCAGCGATTCTTTGATTTCCCGAACCACAAAACACTCTGGTGCCATCAAGGCCCTTCAATTCAACCCTAAGCACTCGAACCTCCTAGCCACCGGTGGCGCGAAAGGAGAGCTCTTCCTTTCTGATCTGAACAATGTCGATAATCCCATCCGATTGGGCAACAATGCCGCCCGTACAGACGATATTGAGTGCTTGGACTGGAACAAGAAGGTGGCTCACATTCTTGTTACTGGTAGCAGTGCCGGTTTCGTGACCGTTTGGGATGTCAAGACGAAGAAGGAGAGCTTAACCCTCAACAACATGGGACGCAAGCCTGTCAGCGCCGTTGCTTGGGACCCGGAGAAGCCTACTAAGCTTATTACTTCGACACCCCTCGAGTCAGACCCGATGATCTATGTCTGGGATCTGCGTAACTCGCATGCTCCCGAGCGGACTCTGAAGGGCCACGAACTTGGAGTGCTTTCACTTTCTTGGTGTGCTCACGATCCGGATCTCCTCCTCTCATCCGGCGCGGATAATCGCAACATCTGCTGGAACCCGCAAACCGGCGTCGCCTACGGCGAATTCCCCGTTGTCACCAACTGGACTTTCCAGACCCGCTGGAACCCCCACAACCCCAACTTCTTCGCTACTGCGTCCTTCGACGGCAAGATCTCGGTCCAGACTCTTCAGAACACCCGTACCGATATGTCACAGGCCATTGATGACCAGAACAAGGCGCTGGACGGAGAGGACTTCTTTGCCAAGGCCCAGACTCAACCTCAGGTCTCCAAGTTCTCCCTCCCCAAGCCTCCTCGCTGGCTTGAGCGCCCCTGTGGTGCTTCCTTTGGCTTTGGTGGCCGCGTCGTCTCCATCGGTGTCTCTGAGAGCGGCTCGCGAGCTTCCAAGATCAAGATTACTCCCTTCGAGGTCGACGAGAGCGTTGGCAATGCTACAGAAACCTTCGAGGCTGCCTTGAAAGAAGGTGATCTTCGGAGCCTTTGCGAGACACGTATCGCAGGTGCTTCGACTGAGGAGGAGAAAGCTGACTGGACAGTTATTGAAGCTCTGCTCTCCGAGAACCCTAGAAAGGGTTTGGTCGAGTACCTGGGCTTCCAAGATCAATCCGCCGACGAAGCCGCCGATAGCTTGTCCAAGCTTGGTTTGGACAAGAAGGACGATGAGGAGACCAACGGTACCGCCGAGAAGCCCAAGGCTGGAGTGAAGAAACACAAGCGTCTTCAATCCATGTTCGATGGTACCGCCGATACTGATAACTTCCTGTCGGAACTTGCCGCATCAAAGGGTGCCCAAACAAACAACCCATTCCACATCTTCAGTGGCTCAGAAAGTGAAGCAGAGCAGAAGATCACTCGAGCTTTGCTTCTCGGAGAGTTCGAGAAGGCCCTTGATATTGCCCTCCAAGAGGACCGCATGTCGGATGCCTTCATGATTGCTATCTGTGGTGGTCAAAAGTGCATCGCAAAGGCCCAGGAGTACTACTTCACCAAGCAGACTGGTGGACCCAACTACATGCGTCTTCTTGCTTCTATTGTGGGCAAGAACCTCTGGGACGTTGTGTACAATGCTGACCTTTCCAACTGGAAGGAGGTTATGGCTGCGCTATGCACTTTCGCTGACCAGAAGGAATTCCCCGACCTTTGTGATGCTCTCGGAGATCGTCTTGAGGAGCTGGTTAAAAGTAGTGACGATAAGAGTGCTCGTAAGGATGCCTCATTCTGTTACCTTGCTGGTTCCAAGCTCGAAAAGGTTGTCGCTATTTGGGTCGAGGAGTTGCGGGAGAATGAGCAGAAGGGCATTGAGAGTGATGCCGAAAACTCCAGTTTCTCCATCCACGTCCGCGCTTTGCAGGGTCTGATTGAAAAGGTCACCATTTTCCGACAGGTTACCAACTTCCAGGATACGGAGCGAACCAAGGAATCTGGTTGGCGTCTTGGCAACTTGTACGAGAAGTACATCGAGTATGCGGACGTTGTCGCTACACATGGTCGTCTCCAAATTGCTCAAAAGTACCTTGACCTTGTTCCCGAGAAGCACCCTGAAGCCGAAGTGGCTCGTAACCGCATCAGACTCGCCACGAGACAGGTCCCACAAAAGGCACAGGCTGCTGCCACTACAGCACGCGGCGGCTTCAAGCCTCTGCCCCAGCAGCCGAATGTCTACTCGCCACAGCAAAATTTCACCCCTGCAGCCCCTGCAGCTGCTGTGCCGCAGAACCCTTATGCTCCCACTCAATCGCCTGTCAGCAACCCCTATGCTCCTCCAGCATCCACGGCGGCATTCGGAGCGCAGCAGCAGGCGCCGCAGCAGCCTCCGGTGAACCCCTACGCTCCCCCGGCCGCCGCGCCTGCCAACCCATATGCTTCGCTCTCTGGCGGCAGTGGCTACAACCCTGCTGGGTACCAGCCAGCTCAGAGTGTAAAGCCGGCATCTTACGCTCCGCCATCCCAATTTGGCGCACAGCCTGCGGTCACCGGCGTGCCCCCTCCACCACGCGCGACTAACCAGTCACCCAACACTGTCACCACCTACACAACTGCTACCGGACTCCCTGCATGGAATGATCTTCCAGAAGGCTTCGCCAAACCTGCGGCAGTGTCGCGTCGTGGTACCCCCGCTGCTGCCCCTGCTGCCATCAGCTCCCCGTTCCCCAACCAGTCCCCTCCTCTCGCTCAGGGCCCTCCGCCGGTGCCTGGCCAGCGTGCGCCATCTGTTCCTCCCCCACCCAAGGCTGGTACTCTTCCGCCACGTGTGTCGTCGCCCCTGACCAACGTTGCTCCTGGCCCCTCTCCGCCACCGCCCGTCAATCCCTACGCTGCTCTCCCCACCTCCCCGCCTGTAGGCCACATGGCTCCTCCGTCTGGGTCCATTCCCCGAGGACCCTCGCCTTACAATGCTCCGCCAAGCATGCCCCCACCGACAAACCGGTACGCCCCAAGCCCGGCTGCTCAGGCTGCAAGCCCTCAATTGCAGACCCGTGGCCCGATGCCTCCTCAGGCTGGTGCCTCGCCATATGCCCCGGCAGCAGCCCAGGCCCCGCCGCCTAACCCATACGCTTCCGTGCCGCCGCCAAACCAATATGGATCTGCCCCGCCGCCGCCAGCTGCTGCTGTTCCTCCTCCACCTCGCGCTGCGGTTCCTCCTCCGCCCCAAGGTTCTCGTCCTGGTACGGCCCAGTCTCAGGCAGCTACTCCCCCTCCGGCTCCTGCGGCACTCAAATACCGTAAGTAAAAACGCCCCTTGCATGTTAGACTGTCATTAACACATCCTAGCTGCGGGAGACCGTTCTCACATTCCTCCCAACGCCTTGCCCATCTACGAGATCCTCAACCCAAAAATTCAGTTCCTTGAGCCTCGTGCCCCGGAGAAGTTCAAGAAGCAGACCCAAAGGTCTGCGAACTGTTTGAACGAGATCTTCGATCGCCTGAACAACGAGACTTTCAAGCCCGAAACTGTGCAGAAGCTCGTTGGCTTGGCGCAAGCGGTCGAGGCACGCAGATACGACGTTGCTACCAAGGCCCACCAAGATCTCCTGCTCAACAACAGCGATGAGTTTAGCTCCTTGCAGGTAAGCAATCATCCATGAATCCAGTGCGTCTTCTTTAAACTAACGAATTTACTCCAGATTGGTGTCAAGTATCTGATCCAGATGTGCTCGGCTACCTGGCGACCTGAGGAGGCTCCCTCCCAGTCGCAGATTCTCTAAGGCATGATAATATGTACTCCTGGCCAAATATAGGCAGGCTAGGATCCTTGATATAGAGCGTTTGGACTCCTTATGTTATTTTCTCTTTGTTCATTTATTATTGATGCGTATCTTTTTTCTTTGCTTCCTCTGCTCCTTGCGGGTCTAGTCTGATAAATCACCCGTTTTGTGAGATAAAAATTTCCTACGGTTTCTATGCTATGTGTTGATGACTAGGTTGGGATAGATAGGTTTCATGCCTGGAATAGATTATTGGCAAATAGGGCTAGGGAACCATGAGACTCAAGTGTGCCTAGGCAAGAACCTCGCTTTTTAAGTGTATGTATAGGATATCGGAAAGTCCAAGTTCACTCCCATGTATATTTACACTTAAGCCATACAGTATAATATGAACATATCGCTGTTCTGAGAAATGAATGTGTAAGAGAAAAAGCATCACCGCGCACCAGCAGCATACCCTCCAAGTCTACCACCCCGACTAGCAGGGAAGTTTCTTGCACTCAACAGCGCACCCTTAACGCCGCGAATATCAGCTTTGAAGCTTGCGATAGCCTCATCCTCCGCCTTCCGCACACCAGACGAGCTTCCATCCGTCCCAGAGTTATTATTCCCATACAGACCAAACGAACCCCCAGCAGCGGTATAAGTAGGAGCCGCATAGATCAAGCCATCAAGATAATGATGCAAATCACTCATCTTCGAACGCAAATTATCGTCCAACGTGGTCGACTCTTTCTCAAGGCCTTCAACCTCCTTCAACTGCGACTGAATGGATTCCAACCGGCTCATATGGCTCGAAACCGCGATGGAGGGCGCATCGGCGGGCTTCTCTTCGCCTTCTTTTGTAGCTGAGAGCGAAGTAGATGACGACACATCTGGTGTAGTCTGGGTCCCCATGTCTCGGTGAAATAGCTCCGTGGGATCGGATGTGACACTGTCAGAATCCTCGGTGTCTTCCTCGTCGGAGTTGTCCTTACGGGCTTTGAGATGGGGTGGAATGACGGATACTGTTTTTTCGAGCTTCTCATTCAGCTTTTGCAGGTTCTCTTGGGCTGTTTCTGCTAGCTCTTGGCGCGCGCTTGTAAGGGTTGCTAGCATTGGTTTCACGATATACTCGCTTGCACCGTATATGGTTGCGCCGAGACCGGCGGCGCCGTATAAAGTGTATAGAACGCTTTGCATTGTTACCAGAGGAGGGGGCTTGGTGGGCTCGAACAGGAACTCGGGGTAGGTGATTATTGGGGGCTCATCGCGCTTTGCTGGTGTGGTGGTGGCGGTGGATGTGCGCTGTTGAGACATGGTGGTAGATGGCGATGGGGATTGGGATGAAGATTGTGCTGTGACAGGGGATGAAGGTGTCACTTCAGTTTCGCTGGAAGCAGAGGAGGTCTGAGGCGTTTCCTGTGCGTTGTCAACGGTGCTCGCGTTGCTGCTGGTCGCCTCTTGGTTTCGGGAAACGCCGAGGAGTTGTTGGATTTCGTCGGGGTTGAGCCCTTTGGATTCGAGAAAGGCTACTTTGCGATCTGTGGAGGAATCCCGGATTGACTCGTCCTCCAGGAATCGGGATGCTTGGTTGATGAGGTCTTCGCGTGAGGTGGGTGCGGGCGCATCGTCGGAGCTCGGCGATGGGGAGGGTGACTGGGATGGAGATTGATCGGCTGGCGAGGCGGCCTGTCGCTGCCAAGCTGGGATTGATGGAGGCTTTGTTGAGTCCGACATTGTTTCTAGGGTGGCTCTGACAGTGTGGGTATCAATTAGGTGGAGAGAGGAGGTTGGAGCAGGACTTCCCCGGACTCGCCATGTGAGCTCGACCTCGGCTGTTTCGCTCGGTTGCGGCCGATCTACTGACTTCGCCGTGGACGTGATCACACTACTTCGTCGTAGTTTCACTTCAATTTAGACATTGCACCAACTTTTTTTGTCCTTTAAATACTTCTTATTTATGTCCCTGATTCTTAATGTCGATTTCTACGGATTTCTACTGCTAAACCATTCTGGCTCCCCGCTCTTATCTACATCGGGGAGTTTACTCCGTGCAATAGTATAGGCCACCTCAGCAAGACTATGAAGACACTTTGAAGAGTTTATGCGACTGGATACTAGGTACTATATATCATCGTGTCAGTCGTCTCAGTTATCAGATATAACCAGCTCCAGTTCGTCTCGGGAATGGACCAAACGAAAACGGTCCTTCTCGCTCCGATAAACTTGCATCACTTGAAGCGCACATAAAAGGGCCAGTATATTTAATCATCTTTAATCCATGGATGAGAATATAGATCCTTGCAGCTGAAATAAGGCTGGATAGTATACATAATCTTATGAGACATAAGTGATAAAATGGGTATATACTATATAGTACTTTACTTGCAGTCTGATCCTTAGAAGATACTATGGAGATATGCACTACAGACCTAGGGCATACTTTTTGCTTCATTGCACTGAAGATTACTGCGATCTGTTCTGTGATAATCATCATTCTTACCTAAAATTTCAGAGAGAGAAGTCTAGAGCGATAGAGTATATAAGGACCCACTATGGAGAATGAGCCTCACCGCCCACAAAACGGGAGAATCGCTATGAGAGTGACTTCATTCGTTCATCCGAAGTCTGCGACAGGAGGTAATTTGGAAAACTTTGGGGAAAAAGTACCTGTAAGTGACTCCCCTGGTCCTAGTCTCTTGTCCTCCTTTGCCATGCAGTTCGGACCCCAAACATCTCCCTCCCTAATGGCCGAATCCCGGGGAACACGGCTGGCGTGCACTCCAAATCCCCTGCAACCTGCGCTTTGTCCGCACTGGTTGCGAATGGCCGGCCCTACGTGGCGTCAAAGACATGCTCGATCTGTGCCTTCCCGGTTTCATTCAGCTTTCTGACTCCTATCCGGGGGCGATTGTCGTCTGACACCGGCTTCACTATCTTCCTTCCCCTCCCCAGATGATTACCTTGTACTGCCACACACCTTGTCCCCGTGAAAACAATACCACCCCGCTTTCTCCTCGGGGATTTAATTTGCTTTCCCTATTTCAATCATCTTGACACGCGTTTCAATCCCATTGCAAACCGCTACCATTCCCACATCACCGCCAACATGGCACCTCTTCGCCGCTCCGGTCGATCGCGACGAGCTCAGGATGACCTGTCAGACCCCGATGCTAACATCGGCACCAGATCCACAAGACAAACTCGCGCTACTGCTGCTCGAGCATCAGTTTCTGTATCTCCATCCCCATCAAGCTCATCCGGAGATCGACGTAGATCTCTCCGTCTCACATTAAAAATGCCCGCTGGGAAACTGCGAGAGGCTACTGGAGGCCGCTCTGGCCGGCGGTCCGTCAATGTCTTTCAAGAAAACCCCATTGTATCTGGCCCACGAGCTAGCCGCAACAAAAAGAAGCTTGTGGAAATCGCTACATCAGACGAGGAAATTGAAGACCAAGAAGAAGACGAGGTCGACGATGAAGACGCTCTCGGCGAGGATGATGAAGACGCCGACGCCGACGGCGATCTTGATATGGACGATGCTCCTCCACAACCGCCTTTAAGGCGGAGCGCTAAGCAGGCCACAACTATTCGGGGCAAGGCTACTAAGAGCGTGGAAGAAAAAGAAATGGAAATGGAAGAGGATGAAGAGGAGGAGGAAGAGGAGGATGATGAAAATGTTTCTGACACGGATTCTGATGCCGAGGGCGAGCCCGATGATCAGGATGAAAGTGCCGTTCCCGACATCAATGTTGATGATCTAGACGAGGAAGACGAGGAGGACGAATTGGATGACGACATGGACAGTGATGCGCTTGCCATGGAGGGCAAACAGACCAAACGGCAGCGTGGAAATTTGGGGAATGATTTCCTTCAACTTCCAATGGGTAAGTAAATGGCACTGGCTATCTTTTATTCGGCTTCTAGAAGGCCTGAGCTCACGCGTGAACAGAACCCCAAGTCAAGAAGCATCTAACGGCCGAGGAGCGTGCTATGCGACGAGCTGAAATGGCTCGACGCAGGAAGAATCTGAGTGAGAAGCGCAACGAGGAAGAAAAGGTAAGAGAAACAACCGACTTGAAAGCTCGATGTATTCAACGAATGGTACTCTAACTTTCTCCAGATGGATACAATCAACCGTCTGCTCCGCAAGCAACCTCCCAAGCGCCGTGGCCGAGCAGCCGCCGAGGGTGCCGAATCCACGCCAGCCGATGGTGAGGCCCCAGAGGCCGAAAAGGCAGACCCCATCATGGTTCGATGGATCAGCAATGCCGATGGCTGTAAAATTGGCGTACCAGAGGAATGGCTTGGTACATCAGCTGGCCGACTGTTCGGAGCGCCCGTTGCCAATGGAAACGGGAAGCTGGTGGAGGAAGTATAGCTGTGCATTACGAGCTTTTCATGAAATGGGGCGTATGGGGTATCTATTCGGGACCAAGCAATTGGGCTTGATCAGGGTCGTTTGATGAAGCCAGATACTTTGGCTTCATCGGTATCAAGGCATGGCGTTGCGATTTTGTTATCTAGGCCAAAGGACACATCCTGGTAATATGGACAGCGTTGTACTTCTTCAAAATATCCAGGTGTTTCTATGATTTCTAAACGTTTATACACAGAATCAACAAAAAAACCTCTCACGCTATTACCCATAACGCTAGGTGCATAGTCCGCTATGGATTAAGGTGGAGCACGTCCATAGTCCGACTATAGTCGCATATAATGACACAGCTCGGTTTGGAAAAGATAACTTAAATCAGACTGGCAGCTTATCTTAAAAAAGGCAAAAAAAGAATTCGTTTCACAATTAATTGAACGCCTTATGCACCGTTGAATAAGATGTGATGTGACATGTCCGCAGAATGCGTCAACCACGTATTTTAACCCCGCAACGAAGTTTCGACACACCCAATACAGTGTTATCATGGCTCCTCCCACGGGCAGAACAGAGCATTCCTTGACAGATGCTCCCCGGCCAACATCAAATTCACATATTGTTTGTGCTGTGCTTGTACACTTCTTCCTAAAGGATCTTCCCGCCTCTTACGACACACCGGGACATAATCATGCACGAGTGATTCCTCGAAATGAGCACGGAGGCCCTTATACAAGGGAATCGTAATAATTCGCCCGTGGAAGATGTCACCACAAATGTGAAGGATATTCTACACAAAAGGAGGCATGAAAGACGTCGAGAAATACTAGGGATCTTTAGAAGATGGCTACCCATGAATGCTAGAGGGGTGAGATATATAAGCCGTTTGATATGTACCATAGCATAGTCTAGACTGGGTCCTCTCCAGCGCCCCCTACGAAATCTGAGGTTGAGCTTAGGGTTCTCATCAACAGCTAGCCCATGAGTGCTGCTAGTGCCCAAGGTTGATTGTCATATCGGAGCAGTCAGTGCCACGATGAGTAGCTCAAGGGCACTCACAAGCTCTTTGTTTTCCATTGACATGTAATTAACCATGCCCTGTCTGGAAATTGTAAAAGCTAATTTGATTGGTCGCTCACAGCGCCTCTCGAACCAACTCCAAAGCGCATTCATATTCCCAACTTTATCTTCACTCAGCAGATATCCTTCAACATCTTCCATGTACTTCTGTCGGGTGGTTCTAGCAAGCCAAGAAAGGTCTTTTTGAAAAATTGATCTGTCTTCACAACTCATGAATAGCCGACGCCAGCCTCTAGTCGGGAAAAACAGCCCATCCATCCAGATATTAGTGCTCATAATCACATGGATCTTGTCCAGGTGTTCCCGTTGACAAGTATGAATTAGGAGCTCTGGCATATTAGTATTGCTTTTCTTCAAGAGCTCACAATCCATAATATAGAGGACCAGGTCCAGCCTGATCGCGCCGTATTCATTTGCGATTGCCGAGTATTCAACCTCTGATGTATTTCCAATCGTATCTTGCAGGAATTTGTGGAGACACTCGCCATTGTTCGGGTGTTGACAGTTCAAATATTTCGATAAAGCACCCGAAGACGCTCTATTGCTGTTGCCGACCCGTTCTCCAGCACGATATTCGATCCATGATCGTAGTCCTCCACACCCCACCTCAGAAGTAGTGAATGGCGGTCTTGGCTGCACTGTTTCAAGTACCATGTTGTCTTCCACGCAAGGGTAATTGTCTTCTAAGACGTCCACCAGACGACGAGCTGCCTTGAGACCAATTATCTGGACATCGCTCGGTTTTCGATTTGGCTTGTATTGTGAATCGTGATCACTTTCCGCCCATCGAGCGAGCAGAGTAGATTGGACTTGTATTTCAATCAGTTCTCTTCCTGGTGTATCATCCTCGTGTCCGGGGAGGTTGCTACTTTCCAAGTAGACAAGGTAATGATCAGCTCGATAACCCAGTGCATTGTCATGACACCTCTCCTCTACATGATTGTTCGAGTCTGCTTTGCCATCAAAGATCTTGTGAATGGCATTCTTGACCGTCCCCCGGTCTGCCCAATGTTCAATGATGATTCGAACACCAGCAAAATCGATTATGTCGTCTTTGATCTCTTGGTTTGTCCTGTATGGATGTGCTCGCTTTGGCTCGCGCTGCTCGAGTTTCTTCCGTAGGCTTTCGCGCTCTTTGCCTCGACTAGAAACGGAGTGCACTACGCCTTCCTGTAGAAGAGCTTGCTGGCATAGATCTGCAACTGTTGCAGCAAGTTTGGTATAATGATTCACATCATATTGTTTCACGAATCTTGTGATTGCAGATTCTTCGATTGGGGTATCTGTCAATGGGTTGTTTGATGGAGTCGAGGCCGCTGCTGACCGAATTTTAATGAACGGTCTGAATGGTGATGACTGCACCCGGTGAACAAGATATATGGTATGAATGTTTAGCACACAGAAAAGGAAGATAGATACTCGAAGTAGGAAAGCCATGGACACGAGGGAGAAGAATATTCATGGCGTACGTGCATGTGGCAATGTGTAGGAGCTGAGACCAGGGATGTGACCAAGGTCGGTGAAGAATATGCATGAATATGGAGCAGGTATGCACGAGACAAGTATCTGGAATGCAGCCACAATGCGTAGATCTTCTATTTGTCATGAGGGCGCGATTAGAGGGAATATTGCTTTTCATTATACTCTTGAAGGTAGCTGATTTGTGAGCCCCCCTCATAAGACGGCAGCTTGAATAAGAATGCCGTGCCTACCAAAAGTAGTACAGTGAGGGCAAGCTAAATATTTGAAGGCGGAAATGAGATCGTGGGGTAGTGGGGCTACAGGGGTTAGGAGGAGGCTTGAAAAAATGCCTGATCATCTAGATACACGCTGCATGAAACCTATATACACGCACTTGGTCACATGATCAACTAAGGTACCATGTGTAGTTCACTGGTTGATCCTCGATGCCTGTGATATGAGAGCTCACCCAGCAGAGGTGAGCCATATGCCAAGCCAGACCGTGTCGGAAGGATTTATTGCACAGCTGTATGTGATCCATATGGCAGGTGGCGGGCCACGTTAAGGTATTTGAGATTCCTGAAATACCCAGTAGCTGTAGAGAAGCCAGAGTCAGGCGTCTAGACAGTGCCGTCGTTGCTGAATGCGCACCTCTGCTCCAATCACAACCAGTAATTATGCTTCAAATGCATTTGAATGTCCCATTTCTCCAATTGTGACGTTAAGTGATTCCTTTCTACTTGCTCGACTCGGGCTCCGGAACGACGGGGTTGGGAGTTTCGGTATCCTTCTGGGTAGCAGATGAATTGGGAGAAGAACCGGGCACTTGACCATGGGCTTTTTGAACTGCAAGCTCTTGCAAGGCCGGCTGGAAGGTGTAGTAGCCTGGAAGAAATCTGGTGTTAGCATGCCGGAGAAGCAATTTTGGTTGCATGTAGAAATCGAGCTACCTGTAAAGACACCAACTCCGATGGTGAGAGCAGCGGTAATGAAGTTACGACTCATTTTGGCGGAGGAGCTAAATTTCAGCAGCAATTGAGGGAAAGTAAGGCACATGAGAGTGATCGGAGTTGGAGGTAGGAGAATGCGGGTCTATCCGTTATCGAGCTGATTAGCGGCGCGTCGCCAAATTGGATCTGCTTATCGACGCGTTCCTGCAATAAAATCACCTTGCCGACCGCTACCTTTATTATTGTGGAAATACGACTCTGGACGACGTGTCTATTGCGATACAAAACACCATCCCGCTTCGATGACTCGCTGAAGATATGGGCAAGCCCCGCCAAGAATGCAAATGGAACCATGGCGGAAACGAGGGTTTGTCCCAGACTCGGACGAAGAGGACGAACTCGATACTCTCGAAACAAAAGAGGACACTGTCGGCGATGCCAGTGATAATGATATCGATCTCGAATACCTACCCGTTCCGAAATCAAAAGCCGTGGTCGAGTCAACCGCCTCAGCGGAGCACGACACGGACCTGGAGGCAGGTTCGATAGCTCTTTCTGATACCGAGAAATCACGAGCAGGCTCAGTAGAACTGGTGACGAGTCCTCCGACCAAACGACGATATACGAAAAACTCGGATTCGCAGACCAGAGGGCCTTTGGAAAGCCCAAGAGATCATCAAAGCAACCCTTCTGCCGACGGGCAGACACCCAAGGCACGTCGGGGAGGATTCAAAACATATGGGAAACGATCCTCAGCTACTAAATCGACGAAGCCACGCCAGAAAGATGAACGAAATCTTAATCATATCTCTCCAAAACAAGATGATGGCATATGGGATATCCCTAGTTCGCCAGCTACGCACGATTGGTCTGCACGCAAGTCACGACGCCGTGATCGCGAGTCGACACCCACAGCCTCGACCCCGACAAAGCTTTCTCAGTCTTCTATTGTGCGAAGGCCCAAAGTGAATGATGTGCAACAACTGAGCGGCTTTACCAGATCTCGAAGCTCTTCACCCGACGAGTTAAGTCTAATCGAGCAGCCGGTCGTCAAACCGCCGAGTGTCAATCAACCTCAAAATCAAGACACACCGCAGCCACACAGTTCCGAAGATGATTCACCTTTATCATCGCCACCGTCGTCCATTCATTCTCCTGCCATCGAGGCAGAACAAGGGCTTGGTATGACTGCCACGGAAGCCCAATCGGCCGTCCTGGAGCGAATTTCCTCTGAGATCGAGATCCTTCCGGGAATTTTGGACCAAATAGAAGCCCAGCCCATGCAAAGAAGCTTCCGATCGCGCAATGCCATTCAACTGCATCCTTATGCTTTTGAAATGGCCAAGTACCAGAAGTTGATGAAGCAAGGAGGTATTAAACCAGTGCGAATGCCCGCTGAAGAGCAGAGAAAACGAGCTCCACCAACCACAGACGAAAGTCAGGAGCAGGATGATTTCAATCCAGATTCATTCCGTTCTAGCCCTCCGCCAGAAGAGTTCCTCCCTTCCGCGAGACCTGAACGCCGTCAAGATGAAGTGAATGGAGGCGAACAGCAGAACCACAGAAAGCACCGCCCTCCGATTCAAAGAAGTCATTCAACCAAACGAAGAAGGAAGTCGGCATCTGGTGCTTGGCAGAATGCTGGTCCGAATGAACAGCCCAGGCCCCAGGTGGTGATCCATAGAACCCCTCCGACTCATCGTCCAGACACATCGGCATTCGATTCAATTTTCGATCTTTCATCCAGTCCACCGGACCCAGCGGGCGTCTCATCAGCTACGCAAACACCGCGAGTTTCTGAAGGGTTCCGATTTCCTCCGGGATTCACACCACCTTCAACTACGACCACAATTGTCCAATCCAAACCAGCCAGTCCGCAGGTTTCTGAGCATAATGTTGAAAAACCAGGTTCTGATACCGTTTCTGGTGATGAAGACGACTCAGACATATCTCAAGCGTCGTCCGGAGAACCAGAGGAAACCGCTGAAGACCGTGAGATACGAAGGATACAACGTCAAACCCGCGGAGTTCTTCCTGCTTCCTACATTAGGCTTACGCAAAATCGGTTAGAAAAGCAAATAAAGAATCAAGGCAATCACAATACCGGCATACAGCGAATGGATGGTAAAGGTGTCGCGCAGAAGATTGTTCGAAAACGCGGACAGCCTGGGAGAACGATCTCTTGGATGGATTTGGGAGACTCTGATGATAGCGACGACGGGGACAAAAATGATAGTCACAAAAGTGCGGAGCAAGATGACACTCACAAGGAACCTGTTCATGCTCCTAACGATTTGTTCAACGATGATCAAGATATCATGGAAGACAATCGCATCGACTACATGCTTCCAACTGTTCCACGCAATACTTCAAGCTCACATCGCCAAAAGGGTCTGAAACGGCCAAAGTCGAAGGAAACTATAAGCCAGAGTGAAAGACAAGCAAAAAGGGCTCGCTTGAAAAGGCAAACCAGACTCACAGATGAATCATATGGAGGCCACAGAACAAAAAAGGAATCAAAAAAGTCTGCGTCAAGACCAGCATCAAGATCAGCGTCGAAACCAGCACAGATTTTAGGTATTCTAGATGCACCTGATGTTGCCTCTCGACCCCGTCACGAACAACCGCAGTTCCTTAGAATTGCTGCAAGAGTCGCCCGCTCGCGTCGAGATGCAGGAAGACGAAGCCCAACTCGGAAGTTTGTCCAATTGGGCTCAAAGCTCGATACAATAGATGCCAACCAGTCATTGCGGGAATGGAAAAGAGGAAAGATTCGGCAGTCCAAGGCCGGTCGACCTCAATCCAATCCTCGCAAGCAGCAGGCACATACAGGTCTTTCAAACGAACATCGAGCGGCGCCATCTGTCCCAAGAGCTCGAGAGTCGAACCACGTTGCGGCCACACAGCCTGATATCATCATGGTAGACGATGAAGCGCCCACCGGCGAAGAAAATGCATCAACAGGGACAGCCGCATTGACGCCTGCTTTATCGCAACATCGCAATACGGCGGCTGTGCAACCGAAGCAACCAGAGAGGCAAGGAAACCAGTGGATTATTCGCAGGAACGTTGCAATTTCATCTTTGAAACGAACCGCCCATCGCCCTGCTGCAGCAAGCTTGGTAGAGTCTGATGGCAGCCAAGCGGCATCTAAAGCTATGTTCAGTCGATCCTTGACTTTACTAAATCGGGATTATCGGCAAAAGAGCAAACTCAGCCACGGTCTTACACTGAACCGATATCTTTCTAATACTGGATCACTGGGCAATTCTTCTGCAGCGCTTTCGAAACCATTGCCAACAGCAAAATCGCAAGCCAATGCCAGCCACCAGCCATCAATTTTTCAAGAGCAGCGGCGTCGCTTGAAAAAATCCATGCCTCATCGAATCAATGTCGATGCAGATGAGTTTCGTCAAATTCAAGAGCCAGTTGATGACTTGAACGCTTCTCCCACCGGCCCTGTCGCGCCGACGCGTCATTCGACGTTCAGCGTAGGAGGGTTGTTCAACTGGCAGCCCTCGTACTCACTCGACTTTGGTATGATGCCCTTGCTTGATGGAACTTTCTTTCATGAATCTACGTTTATAGGAAGCGGAGATTTTACCAAGTCGTTACAACTTAAAAAGCGAGACCTGGATCGCGAAACAAGATCATCTTCTATCATTTTTAATGACCAGACATACCGCTGGGACGCCTGGAATGATACAGTATCCTCTCAGATGGGGTCTGTATTTGACATGATCACCATTGAATCCGAACAATGCATTGCACCCTCTCCGGAAGCGAGGCCGGACCCTTCTTTAGCCTCATCATCTTTTGCATATCGATCATTGATCACCTATGTGACTGATAGCTTGTCATTTATCGACCCTGTTGACCGGAAGAGCTTTGTCATGCGATCGATGGGGCTGGTGTCTCGACTCAGAGAACCAGTGGCTGCGTTCATAACCAACGGAGAATTCAACAAGAGTGGTCTAGTAAGATTGGGGTACTACAATCTGGTTTTTGCGAATCAAATTCACCAGATTTCCTCCCATCCACTTATTAGCACTGATCTTGCCAGTGACGCTTTGAAGCTGGCCAAGGCTTGTGCCAAAGACGTCACTGCAATGGCCTTGAGCGAAGCTGGGATCGCAGAGCTTCACCGTCTGGTAGAAGAAACCAAGAAAGCGGCGCTGCGAGACACCGGCATTCGTGAAGAATTTCCATCGGCAACTGCTTTAGTTGTCACTGTGCAACTTTTGCGCAGCTCGCAATCATTTAGTGGCCTGCTTGCTGACCTGCACACTGAGGTCTACACCAAATGCCTCCTTCGCAACCAAAAAGATATCACCATCCTGGAATTTGCATGGCGCGGCTTGTTCACGACTTTGCCACTGAATGAGATTGATGATAGAGGTATCGCACGGCGTGAGTCCCGTTACAAGACGGGGAATGACAATTGGGACCTCGTCAAAAAGCTTCTGTCCCCTGTGTTGGATAGTTGCGACACGAATTCTGCTATCCAGCCTATCTCTTACAATTCATATTGTCGGACGCTTTTTCAGCGATGTCACCTGCTTATCAATGCGTGGGGATGGAGGGACTGCAAGCCTATTCTCGATTTTCTTTACGATTTCTTTGCCCGCAAACTTCTTCATAATTTGAAGCTCGAGGAAAGCCGTGGATCTCCTACCTTCCTTGATGAACTCGACAAAGCGCCATCATTGGATATTCGAGCTGGAGAACCATGCTTCCACACTCTGCTCAAGATCATTGCAAGCGGTCTGCGCTTCCTTTCGTCGAGGTATGAGAAGAAGAAAATTCGGAACTTTGCGTGGCGCCTTCTTCCGAATCACGGTCGTGTCTACCCCAAGGAAATGCCCTTGCGCCATGAGGACCTAAATGCGCTAAGAAATCACCATGATCTGCTGTGTACATTGTACTGGGCTGTTCCAGATGGCTGTCGACCTCGATTGGAGGCAATTCGAAACCTTGTTCACCCTGCAAGTTCCCACCGAGAAACATGCAATATCAATTTGAAGTCATGGACAAGGCTGATTCGATTCAAGCTGTCCACAAATGAAGATGTGTCAGGTCTGGAACCATTCGCCGATTGGCACAGCCATTTCTTGACAGAGCTTGCGCAGCAGCATTCAAATGTGCGGAACGAAATCGAGGCGCAAAACAATAATGAAAAATTCGCTTCCAAGGACCTTGTCGAGAGCACTATCTCCCAGAATCAGCGACAGATCGAGACCTCATTGGATGTGGCTCTTTCAGGACTACGTACTGCCATAGCGCTTGCTCCGTCCTTGGAACATGCCTACAAATTGATCTCGAAGACCCCATTTGATGCCATTGTGAGCCTCTTTGATGCAAAGCGCGCTCGAGTGAACACTGTCATTTCCGAGGCTTTGCATGTAATAGTAGCTTATGTTCAGAAAGATCCTGCCTCACCTACTGCAACTGCCGTTGCTCCTGCTCCTGCTGCCACGACCTCGTTCGAGGAAGACAGTCAAGAGTTCGAGGGATTTGATGACTGGACTGATATTGATGCTGTTCTGGTCCAACAAGACACGGCACCGGAGGAGATAAATTATGTGCAGACGAACCTTCGCGCCATCGTCTTCCGCCTCGTTTCCAACTGTTTCGGTCAAGAAAATTGCCCAGAGGATCCAATTCTCATGGACGTTGTTGATTGCTGGGCGTCAGTTGCTCATGTTCTTGTTCGCCATGGGTTGCAACGCTGGGACGATTACTTGAGTCCATACGGAAATCAGTCATGGTCGCAGCTTCGGCAGACAATGCAGACCCGAAAGTATACGGGCCATTTTCTGGCTGTTTGCATCGAAAAAGACTCGCAGATCCTGATGGAATGCAAAAATCTTGTGATGGGCACATGGATGTCATCCCTGGCTGAGCGCTCATCAATGCTCAAGTTTCAACATCGTCTCACAGCAGCAGTGCTGAACGGAAGGCCCCAGGACCCCTTGCTTCGAAATCTTCCATTTACCACGGATAAAACAGACGGCAAGTACCACATAAATTTGGAGGACCTCACTCAACGTCGAGTATCGCTTCTCTCGAGTCTTCTGTCCAATATGCGCGAGCATGTCTTGCAATTAGAGGCTTCCGGGAGCCGGAACTTGTCTGTCACCAAACAGGATTACTCAGAAGTGCTTCAACGCTTAATGACCGCCATGAAAGACAATTACTGCGAACTTGGTAATGGAACAGCAGAGTCGGCGCAGGGTGCCTATGTCGAGTTCGTGCATCGTATCATTCGATTCCTGCAGGAACTCACCAGCGACATCAAACCCGTCGACCCATTCTTTACAGACCCTACCATGTTCCCTCTGCCATCTACAGACCCGCGATACATCGTTGCAAAGTTGAAACGCTATGAGCCTAAACTTGCATCCAATAAGGAGGTTCAGACATTGACGATGTTCATCCAAAGCATTGTCGAAAGGGCGACCGTGGAGCGTCAGCAGAGCAATTTGGTCGACCAGCTGCATACTGCTATGAAAAGTACCTATGAAGCCGGGCGACATGAGAAACCTACTCTGCGCGCTGTCCTCTTACAATGTGTGTTCCCAGCATACATTGAACTGGCTTTCAGTACCCCTGCTGCCTGGATTCTAAGCCGCCCAATCATCCTGAGCATCTCTCGCGTGTTCCGGGATCTGTTGTTCAGCCTCAACACCAACGATCCAGCATGTGTATCTTCAATACTGAGAATATTCGATGTTGTTTTCCAGGCCTCATATCGTGCACTTCGGCCCTTGTCTACATACCCGCGACAGTTCAAGGACCCTGCCGTCTTGTCTATGTTTGCCCAATTTCTTGAGATGATTGTTTCTTCTCTTGTTGTCGTCGACTATCTCGATCGTATTACGGACAACGCAGAGGGTCTCATCTCCTATATCCGATGGTTTAGCGATCTCTCCACTGCTGTATCATCAGAGTTGGACAATTCTGAGCCAGGGACAGCGTCTGACGCAAGTATTGCTGCCATCCCAGCCCCAGAACAGATCTCGGACAACTCCACAGCTGCAGTCCCGCAACATCTTGTGACAGGGCGACGTCTTGCTTTCGAAGACCACCAGTCTTATCTCAAAATTTGGACACTTCATGATGGCAAATACTATTACACTCGTCAAGGTCACGACGCCAAGGAGGTGTCTCTGGATCCTGGGGTAGTTGCGGTCCTACAAGACAAGGCTGCAGCGAAGAAAGAATTCAAAGATGCAAGTATGGAGTTGTCAGCTTTAGTCGAACACTATGACTTCTTTCCTATTTGAGAGGAATGAGGGATGAGATTTTTGAATTGTACATCATGTTTCTTCTAGTTTGTTGCATGTTTAGCATTGGCGTTAAGTGGTTTTGGCCCCTGGTTGATAGAGAATAGGAATTTTGATGCTAAAATAGGCGGTATTAAAGCTTATTGAGATAGTACTTAGTTTATGTTATGGGCCAGTATATAGATAACGACTCGCTCTTCTTTCAAATCAATAGCTCGGTTCTTTCCGCGATTTTGACTATAAGTGCGGGATGTAGATATTAAATTTGACTCCAGGGAGGTTTGATGTGTATCCATGGATAGTGTTGTGATATCCCTAATGGGAATGATCCATGATGGGAAAGATATATTAAGCCTCCCGACTGGATGGAAAATAATAGGTAGGTCTAGCTAAGCTTTCTGTTGTCTCACTCCCTGGAGGGAGTGTCATCGTTGAATCAATGAATTCATATGATAATTGTATTATGTCTGGGCCTTGCCCTGGAGAAATCTTGGAATTTTGGACATCCCATGGCTTTTTTTTTAGGGTTTTTAAGGGTTTTACTTAGGTATTCTTGTCTTCCAGGATTTATATTTAGCTTATAATTCAGTGAACTAGTGGACTAAGCCAGGATACCACAAAGGGTCGTGAATATGATTAAGATCGCACTTAATATACCATCGCCCCCATGATCAAACTAAGCGCAGCCAAGAAAGTAAGGGGTTGCGAGACGAGTGGTGTAGCCGAAGAATTTGAAGTTGTAGAGTTACACGTTCCGTATGTATCGTCTCCTACATAATTAGGTATATAATTAGTGGAATTCTCCAACCACGCTTTCTGAGATTATCGTACCGTATGCCCATAAGCACATTCTTGTATAGGCCCTCATATCCTCGGAGTATTGGGTGTTGTTGAACGAACTTCCACAGAGAGACACATAGCAGCTTGTGACGTTCTTCTGAGTCTCGATTCCGGCAATCTGATTGTTGCAAAGGCACTCGGAATTCGACTTTTTTGTGCTATTTAACATAGTATCATAGTCCCCACATACAGTGCTGTTGTAGAATTTATCATAGTATGCCTCTCCGTAACATGGTTGTGAGCAACTCTGAAGACTAGTGATCCAAGCATCCAAGGAACAAGGGGTCCAAGTATATGCGAAAGTGTGCAGAGCAAAATAAAGCGTAAGAAAGTAAGACCCTTTCCACGATGGAGACATAGTGAAACCCTGTGTAATGGAAGGGAATGCAGGGCGAGACGAAGGAGGGTGGGTAAGAGTCTTGAGTTTTTGAAGTAGAATAATACGATGTCAAAAGAAATCCGGGGATAATTTCCATGTGTCTTTATCATATTCTGGGAACCTTTATCTCTGGTGGCGTCAAGCTGATTTCGCGCTAGGAAGTATAAGTACCTCCTTTAGGCGTAGTATAGGGAGCACCACGGAATTCTTCGTATCCGTACTCTATTGGGGTACTAATTCCATAAAATTATGTGCCTCTATCGTGGATGTACTTCGTATTCAAAGTAAGACTGTAGCAAAATGTGTGAAAGCTTGATTTTTATGTAATAGTCTACAATGTTTCAGATCTTCACGTCCATCTGCTGGGTCGTTAGCCCCACAGAGTCTAGTTGATATTGAGCAGGTCGGGCTTTATCACGATACACAGAGGGGACCAGCCCCCGAAGTCCCTGCAGTCCCTGGAAAACCCGAGAACCCCGGTGCCCCTGGATTTAGCGAGAGCGAATTCCGCCCCCAGCTTCTCTGGTTATCGCTTAGACTGATATTCTGTTGATTGGCTCCGGGGCTCCGGGGCCTTGGCAATGCTGAATCTCAAGTTGACATTAGCCGACCATAATTCCCGAATCAGGGCCGAATTTATTATTATGGGCATCTCCGTATTTAGGTTCTTTGTTTGGCACTGCATTATAATTTTCCACCCAAGTGGCACATAGAATACTTCAACTGATCACAAATGTCTCTCTCTTAAGGAATTCCTCTTATTATCACAAGCCCCATCTCACAACAAAGTCTCACAATATCAATCAAACCCCACGCACCTCACTAAAAGCAAGATTCAACTTCTCATAGTCCCACTTCCCAGTAAACAACAAGAAAACCATACTAACAACCGGCAAAACCAATATATCCAGAACTCCAAAAAACACAAATCCACCCGTAACCCCAATAACGTTTCCCCCATCACTCAGCCCGAACGCAATCGGATACAAGAACCAAACTGCATTAACAAGCCCAGACAAGATAAGATAATCCCTTCCAATCCCAACCTTGACTGCTGACTCATGACTCTCGTTCAACGTACTCATAGCCAAGATAATCCAAGTAAAGGTCCCAAAAGCAAAGAATCCCCATTTGTACACCGTAGTCGTATACGCAGCAGCAAGGTATGCCAGAACCCAAAACCATGCGCAGAAGATATTGCTGCAGATCGTTGTCCATGATACACCAGCTAAAAGACCAAGACATAAGACCAGAGCCGGGAACCCGATTACCCAGTTTATGTAGCGCGCGTAGAAGATTTGACGGGTGAGACCGTTGTCGAGGTTCTCGGCTTGAGAAATGGAGCTCCAGCCTAGGTCGGAAGCTTGGGCGAAATAAGTAGTTGTTCCGGCTAGGAGGGCAAATGCGAGGATGTAGTGGAAGACTCTTTTGTTTGGGGGTGTGGTGAAACAGGGGACTAGAGCCGCGAACTTCAGAATATTTGGTTAGTCTTCTTTCTTTGGGATGTGGGAGTGAGGTCGTACGAAGGCAACGGCGTAGATGGCTGTTACTGCCCATAACCAGTCGGATCCATGCTCAGATAATGCTTCTGCCACTCCTGTTGGGGGATTGACGCTTAGAGCATCGTTTGCTCGTGCTAGAATGCCCATTGTAGCTGAAGTTATTGGATTCAATGGGTGTTTGTATATCGGAAAGACCAAAAGAAGGCAAACAAGTAGGCCTCGTCAAAGAAACGTTGGGAACAAGATCAAGCTATTGGCTGAGGAAGTGATGTCGAATGCAAGCCGATTCGGATATAGACCTCGATAATGTAGGATAAACTGGCCCTTTAAAACAAAGGACTTCAGGTATTTTAATTCATGGGAATCGGGAATCGGGACAATGTCGCTATCCCAATCCCGATCCCCTGACCCGTAATATTTTGCGGCTGCATTTTCAGCCGACTGGAAATAAGTAAACATTTATTTTATGCTAGAAACAAAGGATCAAGACAAACTTTATTCCGCCGGAATAACGTTTTTGGGGGCTAGTGGTTTTAAGTTTAGGTAGTTGCCGCCGGCCCGCCGCTTTAATCAGGGCTAGGCTCACTACATAAGCTGCTCATTTCCCTCACGTGATGTGTCAGCAACATTCTTGTGCGCGAGACTTATAGTAGAATTTGAAATAAGATTGTTATGTAGAAGATATCCTGATTTTTTGACCAGGGGCGACCTCCAGTCATTATTCTCTCTATCTCAGAAGACTTCAATTTCCTTTTGCCTCTCCAAGTCATTCCAATCGTGTATTCTTACCTAGTTGACAGTCTCTATCCTAACAAAATAGACTTTTGCTCATAATGTATAGCCATTGGCAGAGTGTTTCATGCCCGAAACATAAAAAATGCTGAGCAATCGTTATCAACACAATGATTCATTTCCAAAAATCTCGACCCTACGATATGTCAACAGCCGCCATGATGCCAAGAAGGTCCACGGGTCTATAATATGGGCTGAGTCTTGAGTCCTGATGGACTTAATATAGATTATATAGAACCTCGGGAGCCGGAATCATCTACGTTAATTGATGATTGAAGGTCTCGGGACACGCCATAACACCACCACAGTCGGTTGCATCCCACCAACAAACGTTTTATACCTTGCCCTTCTCTATCGATGAAATGCACTATTGATTCCGGATCAAAATGCTACATATGCCGTCTCCCAATTCCTGCTTCACAGTGGGCACATTGAAAGAAAAAATGATGTTGCATTGGTTGCTTTCTATAGATGTTGACCAGTGTCATTTCACGGGACTACACCAAGTACACCGACGGACCGAACAAGGTGCTCAAAGAGTGTACTGTTGGATTTTTTCAAGGACCTTCAACATGTCGACATGGAGTGTCTTTCAAATGATTGTGTGAATGACAGAAAAGAGATCACGTCATTTGCTGTTATATGCCGAGGTTGATGGGTCTACGACTATTGTTGCACCCTCTAACCAAAGGTTAGATTTTGGGTTGCTGAGTTTCTGTCTCTAAACTAGTTTTCACAAATTGGCGTCCTGAGCTAGCTTAAGGGAAGCAGATGTCCATTGCTTACGATATGTACCAAAGTACCCGGAGAATATCAAGTCACTACATGTTTCATTGACCAGATGCAGCTTAGCGCAGACGTAATGGAGCACAGGGGAAAAAAGCGTGTCTCTCGGGTAATTTGGGGTCGAATTCTACTTTTTATCGGCGATCAGAGCAATTGCGCTCGGCCCGACCCGGCCCAAACTCTGCGAAAAGGCTGAGTGGATACTAAATCAGTCACGAATATGTAAAAAATCCTGGAGTAATGGGGGTCTTAAACTATTAGGGAATGCACGTGATGCAGAGAAGTTGGGGTATCTCCAACTGCCTGCAGCCTGCAACCTGCAGGGTTTGTTGTCAACAGAGATCCGCAGGATTCTTCCGGGTTGAAATGAATCATGTTCTCACGGGTTTCAATTCACATTTGTGGAGCCCATATAGCAAGTGGTTTCTCTTCCGCGCACTAATCACACCTGACTAGGCTTTGACATACAGATGTTTATACACTGCGGACAAACCATTCATACCGAGCATTAAAACAGGAATCCTCCTTTTTGGTTAAATGACGAAAAAGAAAAACAGATGTGGATGTCCAAATACCGAAGCCTACTTAAAACCCAAGACCCTTGAATTAAGGGCAATCAGGAGACCTTAATGGCTAGGAACGTACTAGTATACAGCTGGTATGTGCATTCCACCATAGTCTCTCCACCGTCGATCTCAAATTACAAGTCCCGGCATCAAGACCCGGCCAATGGTCGACACCTTTATCCAAACACCGAAAGTTTTATAGGCTGAAAGAAGTTATGATGTCTTGGGGTTTTAATTACGGCTAAGTAGCCTTTACTAGGCTAGCTACTGTGGCATAAGGGCCTCATTGTAGGTAGTTATCGAGTCCAACGAATCCAGTGCTTTTCTCTAAATTTTTCTCTATTAATAAAGAAAGCAGAGTGGCTGTAAATGCGGAAATTGTAGCTTTTGTCGCTTTGAAAAATATATGCTCACAGAATGTCAAGGGTTGCCCATAAATATAATCCGAAAATGAAATCGAATACTGATTCAGCTTTTCACACTGTCGACCCGGAGCATCTATGGATCTCCGCTTTCGCCATGCCATATCCACGATTAAAGTCCAAATGACGTGCATCCCCCGTGGGAATCTCTTGCAGACAGACCTGCAAGCATTGGTATTGCCTTCGAACCAGCGAAGAAAGGCGCTCCCTGCTCTTTGGACAAAGCAAGCCAGAATTTGGAAATTCCGAAACCGTCTCCTGCAATTCGAGAAACGCCATGGACATTCCCAAAAGGAAACCAAAGTTTTGAATGGGGCTTGAAGCCAATTTGAGCATTGTTGTGGCAAACTCAGACGGCCATCGTGAGAGGAGATCATTGAGTCCCTGAGGGGTGGGAAGAGACGCTCGACGAATCATTTCCAGACCGAACTCCACAAGTCCTCCGTTCTCTGCCATGCGGGGCTCATCTGTTCCTGTCACAATCATGTCCTCCGCCTCGAATCCGGATTGGGCGCGCAAGAAGCGTACCACAGCGCAGCCAATCTTGTCGCTCGTCCTCCCCGGTGCATACAAAAATGATTCCAAGAGACAGCATTGCGTGAACCAGAGTGGGAATAGTAAGGGCAAGTTGAGGTTTGCATCTTTTACCAATTGGCTTTCAAGAAGCAGACTTGGTGTTTCGATATTTTCACTCGCAGCGAGTGTAGGATCGCCACTCTTGTCGGTGAATGATTTGAATGTTGGACGCAGTGAGTCGGTTGTGGGTGCGATGAAAGAGTAGTAAAAGGGGTTTCGGTCATAACCGAGAGTATTAATCCAAAGCTCAAGTGTCTCAAGCTCGCTCTTCGTGAATGAGCCGTACATCTTCCCTCCCCATTGAAGTTCTTGTATCAGTTTGCTCTTTTGGCTGTTACCTGCATATACCCATGGCTTACATATGCTCAAGCATTGAAGAAAATCCAACTGCCATTCCTCAGATGAGAACGCTTCGGGATCTAGCCACTCATTCAGCGAGCGCTTCCCCATCTTCACCCGGCTACCACAATGCAGCCTATGGGCGGCTTGAACCTTCGAGCCGAATATTGCAAGAACTTTTGATTCCAAACGATCACAAGAGTCCTCGTTGAGCAATGCCAGAATATTGGTTGTTTGGTTGCCTTTTTGAGCTTGCCACTCGCTGAAAATGTAGCCTGCCTGTATTCTCTTCCACGCCACCTCGGCGGCTACTTGTCCCTCGCTCTCTGCAACATGCTGGATGTAATCTGCGGCGCTTTCCATAGCCATAGCAGCGTGTCCAGAGTGGCTATTATCAATCGAAACGTGAAGCAGGAAATAATATGCATTGAGACGGACTTCCGGCAATTCCTTCGCCGCTTGCATAGTATCCAATTGCAGGGCTTCAAAATGCATATTAAACCCAAGAATCTCAGGCAAGAACTCTTGCGGAAAAAGAGCGACTAGTAGCTGTGCCACCGCCGCTCTCCAGTATTTGAGACTGCCTAGCTTATATCGGGGATGCAGGATAGCCTTTGTTGTTGGCGAGGGCAACTCTGGTTCGAATTCCTCCAGAAGGTCCTCGAAGACCTTGACGTGATGTTGGTCACGATTTCCATTTCCCAGCTCCTCTGTAAACACCTGCCATGTCTGCTTTACTATTTGTCTCAGCGAAAAAGGCATTGTGATCTTGTTCAAATGCCCCAGCCAGGCGCCGTCGACCAACTTTAGCGGTGCAATCTCCCTCAGCCAATCCCCGGCCTCTTGGCGATCTTGAAAAAGCTCACGCGGGCCCCCCGATTGTCGGCGACTGATATATTGATGGTATCGGGTAGTGACATCATCTTGATGTCTCTGGAGAAAGCGGGCAAGCTCTTCTTTGTCAAAGTCTTTAATAGATAGGATGTTGGTCTCCGGTGCTTTGGAGTAATCCTCCAATGCTTGTGAAAGCAAAACCAGGAAAGCCTGTCGTGCGATCGGTATTGTGTCGGAGTGCTCCTCCAGGTTTTGGAGCTTGAAATATAGTTCTTTGTAGAATTCCAGCTCTCTTGTTGATGTCCATTCAGCATCTACTTTGAAAGCTGTACGTGATGCTTTGAACGGTTTGAGCCCCTGCGCGAAGACAGTATTGGGGGCTTCAAGTTTCGGGGGGCTGGAAGTTTTCAAGTATAAGAAAGGGATGATGCAAGTGCAAATGAGAATGAAGAAGCCAGAGAAAGCGACATGATGATTCTCAATGGCCAACCCAAATTCAAGAGACATTGTAGAATTTTGGTCAGGTATGAGAAACCTTTACAAGGGTAGCTTTGTCTGGGGTTGTTCGTGCTCTGGAAAGCTCGATGAATACGGGTAATATACTAGCGGTGGCACAATTTGCTGAAGCATCAAACTGCAGGACGCATATTTCATTTGCTTTGACTTTTCTTTTTTAGCTGCGCACGTCTACTCAGGTACAATACTGAACATTACACCTAGGTATCTTTTTTTCCGGATTATAAAATGAACCCAAGAAACAGGAGGCAAAGACCAATCAGACAAAAACAGGTACTGATTTTCCCTTCTGCCTTGCTTCTTGGCCAATAGTCTCCACTCACTCATGAGAAACAAGTACGGGTACATCTTCTCGATGGTGCTATTCGTACGATGCAAGATTACACAAATTCGTCATACCTGCAAGTTCCAGGGTTCACAGCTTCTTGTTCGGTGTGTCCGTGTGGCTGGCTGAGAGCAATTCCACGTGCCACGACAACAGGCGGTGTAGGTGGGCTGCAGATGTGATTGATGCAGGCCACAGTATAACTCAAAGTATTGCATCGTGATGCAGCTCCTGCATGCATATATCATACGCTGGATCGAGAAATCAACGGCGGGGCTGCCTGGCCGATTCAGAGGGGGCTTCGGGACGCAGGGCAGCGCCATCCTCGTATGACTCGGGAAGGACATGGCTCACTTTATAGAGAACTGATACATAGACAGTACACCGACTACTCCATGAAAAGTGTGCGATGATCTAGCTATGATTCTTCAGGACTATATTAACGAAGATCGGTGATAGCTCATATTGATCGACTGTCACCGATCAATTGAGCTTCCTGGATCAACAGTATAGGCATATGTGTCTTTGAAATCTCGCATCTACTGTACATTACATAAAAAATTACATAAAAGATTTGTACGACGTAAACTTCAATATGACCAAAACATATGTGGCGCTATCGGCCGACAAACATCCCGGAGCCATTTTTAGATGTCCATCAAGCTGGTGCCCTCGGGCTGTGCATTGCATTCGAAAATCGCCCACGGGCATTAAATGGAGGAAGGATATCTTCCAAAACTGCTCTGCCTAATAGGAAGTCATAAAGTGATGGTAGATGCTAAAGAGAGAATTTTTGGTCGCTGAAGACGGCAATTGACAATTGACAATAGTTTTCTATTTTATCTTGTACATCATAATGTTCCGCATCAAGATAATTTTGTCAACAAAAACACTCAATTCGTCCACAAAATAATAAACATCAAGTGTATTTACTAGAGCCCGTGTGATGGTCTCAAGAAATAAGACACAAAGTATCGGTCCTCTACACCATCAGCCACTTGGGTCACGCGATGAACCGGGGAGTGCAGGCGACCGCCGGTCTGGTTCTGTAGATAATTTGCAAGGTTGACCACAACACAGTCGGGCTTAGGATCAATCCATAGCCATTCTTTCGTCTCCCGGGTCTGCATCTGACTGGCCCACTTCTCGCACCAAAGCAAGGTGATCGAACCGCCGTCGGTGTGGGTAGTGTCGGGTACATCGGCAAGCTTCGCCTGGGTAGGACCGGAGACGAACTTGATTCCTGTGTCGCTCGGCGCATCAAGGCGATGAGCTTTTTCGAAGTCAAGGCCGAGACTTTCAGAAAGGCTGCGGAGACAAGTGTTGACTAGGTTGTCGCAGATATTGGCAAGATCGAGGATGTCGCTCGCGTGCTCTGCCCAAGGGCTAGGTAAAGTGATGTTGGCGTGTTCATCTCGAGCGATCTGGCAGTAGTTAGCCACCATGCTATCCTAGCGACATAAGAAAGCTTACCTCGAATGATTCAATGCCTTTGCGTTTGTAGCTATCGATGTATGAGCGTCTGTATGACTGGCTGGTAGGGGCTGACATACCCGCGATCCACATCCTCTCTGAACGCCTTCATCTTCTCATCATGAGGCTTGGCAAAGTACTCATGGCTATCTTGGTAACAAGTCTTGAGATAGCTTGTGATCTTCGCGGAAAGGTCCTCGCTGAAGCTTAGGTAGAAGAATCCCTCAGTCTCCGCAGCCTTCAAAAGTTTCGCAGTCTCTACTGGGTCTTTTGCAGCAAGGCTTTCCAGCTTGATTATTTCAAGATTGGCGATATCCAAAGACCGCTCTCCCACAATTCTGGTGGTCCTTGAGAGAGGGGCAGTAATAGTTTGGGACATTTTGATGGAATAAATTTGCGAATAAAATTGTCAGAATAAGTCAGTCAATCAAGCTGCTTCCAAGTCGATGTTACCCAGTGTATTTGAGATGTAGTTAAGTAGTGAGTGTACTAAATAACACACAAGACTCTGCCGTAGCGCATAGAAGGGCACTATTAGGTATTGATCAGCATCTAAGCTACAGCAACTTGACCGCCATAACGATGTTGACATGAGCTTCCCGTGCCAAACCTGTATGCGCATGTGCTTTACCTCGATCTTGACTTGCCTTCTACGAAATGCCGACAAACGCAATGTGATCAATCGTACATATGCAAGCCACGGTGTCGAATGCAGGCCCCATTCGAATTTCACTCCGTGCACTCATCACTGCAGAAATGAGGAGATTTATTGCATTTGCCAAGACTATGACCAGCCAGTGGGTCCTTGTACTACGTGAATACCCCACAGGTCAGCTCGGGGCGGGGGCGCCTTTCCGATCTGTCACATCGGACAATATATGATTGGATAGAAGAGATAACCTTAGAGATCTTCATAAGACCCCACTCCACATGTGCAAGCACGGGCTTTGAAACATAATTCGGATCCCGCGAGGTACGATGGTAACGATCTATTCCAGGGTTGTGATCAGTCGATGCCTTCAAGCTACCACCGAACAGCTCCGAGCGACCTACAGTAGTACTTTAGATATGCACCTTCATCATGTAGCTTGCATTGTACAGAAACAACTAGCGCACTTGATTAACCGGGCTTTCTCCAGCCCCAACCGTAATTAACCGTTGTATACCTCTTGTCGCACGTTTTCAAAAATTATCCCCATCAATTGTCAATCAGTCGCCCATTATGATGCCCCCCAGCGAACTACATGGACCTTCCCTTCCAGACTCAGGTGCAACCCTTCACGACGTGTTTTATCAGAATGTCGTAAAGTACCCCGACACTGTGGCTCTCGTCTCGACCCACCAAGCCCCTACTCTCTACGGAATCCCGAGCGTACCACTCGACACCGACAAGCACGAAGCGCAATATCTACGATGGACCTACCGGGACCTGGATCGCGCTGTGCAGCGACTCGTCGCGGGTTTACAAAGTCAGGGACTGAAGAGAGGCGATCCATTAGTGATTTTTATGCCAAATACCGCTGAATATGTTATTGCTACTTGGGCCGCGTACCAAATGGACTGCGCCTACGTTCCAATCAATCCTAAAGGCCTAGCCAATGCCCGAGAGATGCGACATATGCTGCAGACGGCGATGAAGGGATGCAAGTCGGATCTTATGGGTATTATTGCTGGGACATCCGATATGTGCGAGCGGATTGAAGAGTACACGACTGGAATTAAGTGCACGAATATATTGGTGGAAGGAGAGGTGGATGGGTGGACACCATTTAAAGAGTTGATGGAGAAACCGGCGGATTCGAAGCAAAGCCTTTGCAGAGATCATGTGTCCGAACTTGCTGATCGATCAATTTTCTTCACAAGTGGAACGACGTCTCTGCCGAAAGGTTGTGTTATGCCGCCTGCATATGGGTTTTCGGCTGCCTTGTCCTGGCGCCAGTGCAGTGCTCCCATGTTGCCTGGAGATCGCGTATTATTCACATTGCCGAATAACCATGGTTTTGGCTGGCTTAACATAATTTCTGGCTTTCTGAATGGAGCTACCGTTGTGCTACCGGGACCGAGGTTCATTCCAGAGGCTGTGATTAAGGCTATCCGGGAAGAGCAAGTGAGCCACGCCGGATTGGTGCCAACCATGTTGCATGCTCTAAGCAATATACCGCTCGCATCTGGCAAATTGAGTTCTCTTCGACGGATTGTCATGGGAGGCTCTCCTCCAACTGAAGAAGTCATCAAGATCTGCCTCGATACCCTAGGTGCGTCGGGGGTAGAGAATCTCTACGGAATGACGGAGGGCGTACTCGTATCCTCTGGTGTGGTCAGCCAGGCTAGCGACATTATCAAAGGCCGAGATGTTTCTATCGGCAGACCACTTCCTGGTATGACTGTTCGGATATACGCCAAGGACAGCAACGTGCCAGTTGCGACTGGAGATGCTGGCGAGATACACTTCGCAAGTCCAAGTCTAATCGATGGATATGTCGGAGGAGCCGATAAGAACTTCTATAATGGGGATGATGGTCGTGCTTGGTTCCGCTCTGGTGATAAAGCCTTCATTGGTAGTGATAATCGTCTCTACCTGATTGGTAGGTATAAAGACACCATTATTCGTGGAGGCGAGAACATTGAACCAACCGCTATCGAAGCGGTTCTCGGCCAAATCCCGGAAATCAACGTTCTTCAACCTCAGGTTGTACGCGCACCAGACAATATTGCTGGCGAAGTTCCTATTGTCGTGGTGAACCAGGAAGTCGATGAGGCTACAGGAAATTCACTCAAAGATACTATCTTGGCGCAAATGGGAAACCTTTACGTTCCGGCAGAGGTGATACCGATACAGGCATTGGGCCAAGACGAATACCCCAAAACCATGGCAGGAAAGGTCCAAAAGACCAAGTTGGAAGAGCTAGTCAGGACATACTGGGAGCGCCAAGAGTCAACCGGCTCAAACGGTCACCGTATCGAGGGGCCTGTTTCAGGCACTCAAGTCATGGAATCATTGTGTACGGCAATCGAAAGAGAGAAGGGTAATTCGATTGACCACTCTCTTCGGATGATTGAGCTTGGAGTCGATTCAATCTCGTCTATCGCAATTCTCAAGCGCGTTCAGGTGGAAACAGGAGTTTCGTTGCCGTCATCCCTATTCTTCACCCAGGCAACAGTCGGTGCAATCTGCCAGCAGATCAGTTCTGTTCCAGACGCGGCTGATTTTCTAAATTTCACACCAGTCATGGAAGACGCAACCGACACATGCTTTTCAGTCCTGCTCCAAGGGACCCCTCGGCCAGGCGTTCCGTCCCTCTTCTGCACCCCTCCAGGCTCCGGAAATGCCTTCGTATTCAAGACGCTGCCCAAGTTTGCCAACGACCGTGCAGTCTATAGCTTTGGCTCTCCATTCCTCATGACCAAGTCAGAATCCACATGGACGGTAGAAGATACCGCCAGGATCTATGCCAACACTATCCGCAGCCTTGATCCTCAGGGACCATATATCCTATGCGGCTGGTCAATGGGAACAGCCACTGCATATGAAACCGCATACCTGCTCCACGAACAAGGAAAGAAGGTCCTAGGAATAATCATGCTAGACTTGGCATTGGCCCGGCCACCCCCCATGCTCCCAGAGGCGAGCGTTGAGCTATTTGAAATTATGGGCGTATTTCCTCCAATTCGTCGTGAAGGCAAACCTGACGTGGAGATTCCCGCGTTTCGGAAGAAGCATCGCGTCGCAGCTTACTACGCGAAAAACAGATATATACCTCGTCCCTTTGACATTAGTGATGCGAGCCGACCGCAGATATTTGTTATTTGGGCTGGACATGGTGATCATGATCGGATGATTGGTGCGGTTCTCGAGGCCCAGGAACTATTGCAAAAATATGGACCAGGGACGGATAAAAAGATTAACCTTGACTGGCTTCATGTTCCGCGTGATTCATTCGATGCTGGTGGTTGGGACGAAATGGTCGGAAAGGAGAATGTCGAGTGGGACATCGTAGAAGATGCGGATCATGACACGCTTATCGAGTCAGAAGAACTGGTAAGTACTAAGCATCATGTCACCACTTGAGGTCCAGTTGCATCTACTAACCATTTTTAGGTTATATTGACCCAGGATTTGATGGAAGCGAAAATAGATAAATGGTTGCGAGGAGTGGAGGTTAAATCCAACGGTTCAGGCTGATGCGGTGTGATGCCAGGGATGTTGGCGGTCAAGTCTTGATGAGACAAAGCACCTACAACCCACCAGTGGTAGTACTACTAGTGATATCAGTGACTATCAGTTTTCGGCTACTAGATCAGGACCTTGGAACATTTGAACATAACAATTGAGATTCATCATATTCATTTCCCCGGGCTTCAGAGGCGAATCTTTCCACCTGTTCTGTCAGAATAGCATTATCCTATATAATTTCCATAGCAATCGCACCAAATAAAACTTTTCGCATGGGCAAGGCCGACCAGGATTGTCCTCTGTGCATTTGCCTCTTCCAAGGTTATAGTTGTTCCTATATAAGCATCTTACATATGCACATCAGGGATAAGGGATGGACGAAAGCAGGACGGTACTTTTGTCAAATCAAACATTGCGCTCCGATTGAAGATAGATCAAGTTGACCAATTGTGTTGGGGCACATGACTAAGGCTGTGCAGCTTATGCATCGGATCGACCGAATATTGAAACGTAATGGACCATGGTATATGCTCCGCAGAACTCCGTGGCGTGTAACACAGAACCATTTTCTGACCACAATGATGATTATCATATACCCAACGCACAAATCATTAATAACATACTTCTGGCTTGTTCCCAATGGCAGCAGCGTAACGTCGACACATTCGATCGTGACAGTGCATTCCTAGCCACTCGGACGGGAGTCGGGAGACGATCCCTTGCATATCGAACCGATCAATTACTCCTTCCGGAATTTCTTCTTTGCTTTTGAACTGCTTTTTCGGCCTTCGCCGCAGATCAGCTGTAGTGCGCTGCATTTGAACGCCCAAGTGGGCCATTCAGCTGAATATTCTTGAATAAAACGCAAGGGTGTGGTACAAATGATCTACTCGGCATGAACTATCGATTGTCTCAGCCAGACCCTACATCCTGGACTGTCGCTTACTTTCTCTTTGATCCTATTTCAGAGAAAGACAACCCTCACTCATATTTCCTCTCTCAGTATTCGAATTCATGCAGGTCAAAATGCCGGATGAGCGGACTCCTTTGGTGAAGGATGCAGAATCCCAGAAGTCTAAGCCACTTGGCGTTTCGAAACTTCTGGCTGGGTTGGTTGGTACGTAATCCTCGTGGTCGACGCGCTCGGTTACTCGGCTGACTCCCCATTCAGGCGTGTTTCTTGCCAGTGCAGATAAATCTATTCTGCTGACCACACAAACGCAAATTGCGTCTTCACTGCATTCTCCTTCTAATGCGGCCTTGCTGCTGGTGTCTTACAATCTAGGCTTTTGTGTTGCGCTGCCTGTGGTAAGTATTGCGCTTGGATACTTTCTTTCAGTGGGGAAGCTCTCTCTAACCATCAAATATTAGTATGGTTTCCTGAGTGATATATATGGTTCTCGGAATTTCCTCTTAATCTCATATGTCTTGTTCTCTATTGGATGCGCCATATCGTAAGTGCAAAGAGTCCCTAAACAGAATCTGTATCGTCCTCATACTGACGAGTCCCAGTGGCGCTGTCGACACAATATGGCCATTTGCTTTTGGTCGATTTGTGGCAGGTATAGGAGGTGCCGGTATGACCGATCTGCTCTCCGTACTCATTAATGGTATGTATTTCTGTCCGATTAGGGGAAAGAAGTAGAAAGTTGATAGCAGGATCAGAGATTTTCGACATCACGGAACTCGCCTCTATGCGAAGCTATATTATTGCGGCCGACATCTTTGGCCAGGGATGTGGAGGACCACTTGGAGGCGTTATTACTGACAAGGTCGGCTGGAGATGGTAAGTGAATCTTGAAGATCGTTATGAGGGTATTTCCCACTGACTTAAACTCCCAGGGCCTTGCTCGGTCAATCGCCTATAAGTATGCTTTGTTTGGTTCTAGCCTATTTCCAACTTCCCAAAGTTCCCAAGAAAAATAACAAGGAGTCTAAGCTGAGCTTATGGAACTTCGATTATTGGGGACTTGGAGCATTCACCATTTCAGCTACCTCATTTGTCCTGGGCACTACTGACGGAAATCCCGCCTTGGATAATAATAAACCACTTTTATTTGCCATTTCCGGTATATTTTTGGTGATCCTGATCGTCGTCGAAAAATTATCGTCTAGACCGATTATCCCTCCTTCCGTCATTGCTGCGCCAAACATACGAAGCATTTTCTTGGGACAGTTCCTGTTCTTTGTAAATGTCAGCACAGTGAGTGAAGATTTCCCCTCTGGGCCGCAGTCCTTTGGAAGTATGGCTAACAAAGCCGCAGTTTATGAACAATCTTCCACCCTATCTCGCCAAAATAGATCACCTCACCAATACACAGATTGCTATGCGAATCTGGCCAACGGGCTTTGGTTTAATTCTTGGCTCTATGATAGCAGGAAGGCTTTTGAGAAAGTGAGTTATGAGGCAATCAAGGAAACAACACAAACTAACGATTCTAGGTCTGCTAAATATCGCAGGGAGTCCCTCATTGGCGTAGGGATTTGTGCTTCATCCCTAATTATTATGGTCATTCGGTGGATAAATGGCATCAAAGGATTCGAGATCTATTATTCCCTTCCCTGGACGGTGGGGGGTGGAATCTTACTCTCCGCGCAATTTGTTGCGCTGGCCGTACGCTGTCCTGACCAAATGGCCAATGCTACGGCAATCTTTTGTCTGGTGCAGCAGGTTGGTCAAATTGTCGGGACTAGTGCTAGCACCGCAGCTCTACAACAGCTCTTCGGCTCTCGGCTAGGCGTCAATTTGAGTGACGCCCTACCCGAAAAGACTCAGGTATGAATCCGTACCCATGTTGTAGCAATTATGCGATGTACTCACAGGACCTATAGATCATTCAAAAGCTTCTCAAAAACTACGGCTCTATTACAGCTTTGCCTGAAATTCTGCAAAGAGCCGTCCAATCTAGCTACATTGAGGCGTTTCGTTTAATCCCAGGTATGTGGAAATCGTTGTTGAGCCCTCCAAACTTGAAACTAAAATCTTACCTTTGTAGCATTGTCGGCAATTTTGACGATTGCCTGTGGAATTCTCATTCTCTTCTCTTAGGAGAAGGTGTACACTATTAGGAAACAAGGTTTTGTTACATACATAGATCCTCAAATCTAAAATACAATGGCTTTCAAGTTCAAGGTTCAGGCTACATGGGTGACATGGCTTTAAAGAACACAGGGCACTGGTGCTAAATCCTAGTCAGTGAGCAAAAGCAGCGACGGGATGAACACTTAAACCGAGAAGCCAAGAATCGTCAATGCAACATATGTGCCGAGTGGATATTATCAATTTTAGGGTTTTGGCATGAGTCAGCAAAACGTTTCTCCGAGAGGTTTTACCGGAAATGATAATATTAAAGTACTATTACACACTAGGTTTCTGTTAAGTTTTCATATTGGGACTGTGGATGATTTAAGATTGCAATAGATGATTAGAAATCAAAAATAAGGTCCAGGATGTTTCATAAATCTTGGGTTCTCCAATGCCGGACAAATATCCAAGATGTTTCTCCGTGATCTGTAGTATGATTTCCTATCTTTGTCTTTCATATTCGATGCGTCACAATAGGTGTCCATTTCTATATCATTAAGCTCTCCCAACATGGCTATTCAGCAACTCTGTTGTCTTAGAGATACACGACTGCGGCATTAGATCCATGTAGCTTTGCTCAAGATTATTCACATTCTTAAGCTTCTCGGCGACAGTAACCAGCTCCTGCAGATATAACTCAAAAGCTGGGTTGTCCCCAACATTATCATAAAGAAACTCGGCCACCATAAATAGCGGCAGCGGCATGAGCGGGTGAACCTACATAGTATTATTAGCAGATCCGCCCAATTTAACAGTCGAAAGATAACTCACCTTCGAGAAATGCAAATTAGGTAGCATCTGGGAAAGGCCAACAATAGCCTCAACAGCAGTCAACGCCCGACTTTGATATCCCATATAAGCTGCATTGTCTTCTGTTCCACCAGACGCCTCAAGTGTTTGCATTAGGCTGTTGCAGCAATATACAAATGCCGTGTGACTTAATATGTTGGCGAACCACAGTAACGGATCATATGCCTCGTTTGGAGACGGGTAGAATTGGGCTAGAATTTGTAGTCGAGTTGTGAGGAGCTCGTCAAGCCAATGACACTGTTTCAGGTCGCCAGATGCCGTATGGCCGTATACTGTGGAAATCTTTAGTTGTTGGCCTTGGAGGAGACTGCGGCCGCAGATGGTTAGTAGGATAAGACATTCGTTGAAAGGGGATTGCACTGTTATGCTAGATTCTGTCATGACTTCGGATAGAAATTCGCCTAGAATGGGTTGACCATTTTGGAATTGCTGGTCAGGAGATGGCAATCGGGTACATATCTGCGTTCCATGGGATTCAGTTCAGGTCTCTTTCCCGGACGCAAGCACTAGAGTGGAACTTACCACATGCTCATTCAGTGTGATAGGCCAGTCATTGCGTATGCTGAGAAGATGATCCAGAAAATAGGCCATCCAAAACACTCGTCTCTTCTCTTCAACATGTATTGGGTCATCCTCCATGGATTGAGTGTTCTTCTTCGGGCTATCAAGTTCGTGAAAGCGTTTGCCTTGTAGTATCCGAAATGCTTGACCAGCGCTCATCCACGCTTGACGGTGCTGAGTCCGCATAGACTCACACATTGCAATAAGAACCCATGCTTGTACCAGCTCCGTCTCATGCCCATCAACATCACCAGTGTCAAGCGTTTTCAATGTCTGTTTGGCTTCATGGTAAAGGGGCTCAGTCAAGTCTCTGAATTGTGCCGACATAAGTGTAGCCATTGTCCACATGACTAGCTGAAGACTTTTACAGGAAGCAGTCTTGATCGGAGATGTGGCCCATGACAAGTACCTGCGCTGGTGCAGAATTGGGATTGAAGCGTGCACGCGATCAAAATAGAGCTGGTCCCTGATAACAACGTTAGTCTTCACCGCAATTTAAACATATGTGCAGGGTAATGTTTACAATTCTGATTGTATAGCGCCGGTAATGCTGAACGAAACAGGAGGAGCCAACGAATCAGAAAGCAGCCCGAGATCAGGAAGATCATTTGGTAAAAGCATATCAGGCTCCGAGATAGACGCAACAGCCGCGGACATCCAGTCCTGAGCATCAGTCGTGATGATCGGATCTGGAATATCAACAGGTGGCGTGGGTAAATCTTCATCTCGGCTTTCTGTGCCATCGTGATGCTGACTAGGTTCCGGCTGGCCATCCAAGCGGTTCTCCAACAAGTTCTCGAGATATACGACTCGATCTTTCAGGGCTTTAATGTAACCCTTCTTAGGACCGCGAGATCCGCGCTCAGTGGTCTCGCAAATTAAACCCGATTCATGACAAATACTGCATTGTGGCTGCCGACCGTCGCACCGTAACTTGCGGCGCCGGCACTCATCGCAGGCAGCTCGTGCCCTAGGCCGTTTCGTTGCTGGTGATGGCATTTCTCCTTCGCCAGAGGCCATTGTCAGTGGCCGATATGTTGGTATCGACGAGTGGGCTCCTCTCAAGGAATGCGTTTATCAGCAGATGCACTTGGAGGGGGGCTTAGGTGAGCATCGCTGATAGGTCAGCACCTTCTTATAGCGGCACTGGGACCGAAGGATGCGACCGGGGGCCAAAATGATCCTTCAAAGAGATTTGAGGCCGTGTATAGAGGCATGATCGCTCACATTTTACGGACACTCAGTTAAGAGGAAAAATTAGACAAATGAAGAATCAGACATCATCACATTAACAAAAATCATCAAGGCCTGCTTGTTTGGTCGAAAAGAATTCTCTCAGTATGTGCAAGTAGCCCATGCACATGAATTATGGAAATCAGTCATGATAACCCTAGAATTCTTCAATGCAAACCCTCCATACACCCAACAATATTAACTAAAAATTGAAATCCAAAGAACCTCCTGGATAAACACCAGATGCAATTCGCAGGGGAAGATCCCATACGGTGAAGACATAACCGCGTCAACATTGATCATTGATGGAGAAAAACTCGCCCGATCTGAGCCTATCATAACGATGTGTCAATGTCAGGGTGATCAGGGTGTGATAGTCTAAATAACGGGACCTGCGCCATTCCCACCATCTTGGCTCGATCCGCGTCGGTGAAAGGGGTGAGAGCCCATGTGGAACACCTTGCGCATGGCGTTTGTGATACTGTTTTTTCGTCTTGACTGGGGAGCGTCGGTAGTATCAGAGCTCTTCGCTACCGTGGCAGTGTCAGCGAGGACAATATTCGACACTGCCGGCTTGGGCGGCCACTGTCCATCGGCTTTCCAGCCCTGGACCATGGCTTTTGTCAGGTGTGCCAGATTAACTGGCACGGTAGGTGTCATCCCTTGTACAACCACTTTAGTATAGATGGAGGGGTAGATGGATGAGTTGATGGTTGCGCGGATAGGGTTTTCAGGTGAAAGAAACGGCGGAGCGACTGGGATAAGAGGTTCATCAAGCTCTTCGTCAGAGTCATCATTTTCATCATCTATGGCAGGGAATGTGGTAAAGCCAGGCGCATTGGCAGAAGCCTCAGGCTCGGTGATGCTAGTTTCGGTAGACTCCTTGCGCTTTGTTTCGTCTTCTGGGGCAGTAGAGTGCTCTTCTTCTTGCTCCTGCCGACGTGAGGTCTCTTCGGTTTTCTCCCGCTCCGTAATTGAAAGCGATGCGTCCATCTTGGCTGCCAGAGCAGGGGCCTCAGACGCGTCATTTTGACTTTGGCGATCGGAGTGCGGGGAAGCTGACCCCGGCTGCAGCGATGCAGCGCCCGCATCAACCCCAGAATCCGCGCGACTCTCAGTAATTTCGCTCGGTGTGTCTGTCTGGCTTTTCACAAGATTGTCTTTCTTCTCTTTGGCGCGGATCTGTCGCCGAGTCCTGGCTCCAGACCAAACGTCGCGTCTGGCCATCCACATCCGTAACCCTTCATTCCAGGCCATCTCTTCATCCATCTGACGGCGACGTTTGCGCCGCAAATCGATCGCGGGGTCGCCGTTCGTCTTGGGGGAATCGCTTTCAGAGTCGTCGTCGGATGACTGCGGTTCGAGTTCTGAGCCCGAGCTGTCGAATTCTCGGCAGCGCCATTCTGAGACTTGGCGGTTCTCTATGAGGGTACCGATCGAGTCCACATCCACATCCACATAAGGTAGTGAGATATAGTCGGGACCGTTTGGATCGGCGGTGAATTCCCAGTCGTGGCGAACGACCTCGCGAACGAAGAGTTTGGCGTCGCGGATGGCGATGTCACGAGAGTCGGCCATGATGAAGGGATATGGAGAAAGTCACCGTGACGGATGACTCAGAGATTGAGGGGGACCTCGGGGTTTCGCCCGGTGGTAGAAAAGGGTCGAGGCGCAAGAATCCTCCACCTAAATCCACACGCGGGGTTTTGAGAAATTGAGCTTGCAAGTGGCGGGTGGAGACGGATCCGATGTCATCGGGCACGTGCCCTCCCCAGAGGTCAGCACCTAGGGCTAATGGAAGAACATGAGGCATTTCCTGCTCTAACAAATGTGAAAGTATGTTATATTGATAGTTGTAGATAGTTGCGTAAGTAGGACATAGGCAGCTAAGAGATCCAATGGTCGACCATAATTCTGAAGTCCTGGGTGGCTTGTGTGACAGTAATACATATTACATACTTCAAGGCATGAAACACATGATCAGGAAATACTTTACTAAATTTGTCATGACGCTTGCGAGCCTAGCAGAAAAAAATGCTAAGATAGGCAACATTAAGACTGAAACTCTGAAACAGATATAGCTTAGACAGTCAAGGCAATACCGCTCCTACCTTTGAATGGCGCTTCGTGGGTACATGTAAAACATCAAATCTAGTATGGATGAGGGAGGGAGGAAGGAAGGAAGGGAGGAAGGTCAATCGTGAATACGCGTGGGAAATCATCGATTCAGATAAATAAGCAAAGTATCACAGTTAAGAAGTCAAGAAGGGAGGAGTCAAGGGTCTCTAGAATTGAAAAGCAACAGGATGCCGGACAATGGTAGATTGCCTTTAAGTATCACTTTGAAGGCCCCTCCTTAACAATTCAATCCGCATGGTCGAGTTGGCTAGGCCCTCCCTAATACAAACTAGCCACCGAACGGGCGGTGCACACAGAGTTAGCCGTTGGGACTTGTGTTGTATGGAGTGAATAGACCGGGAAACATCCTCAGCTAACCCCCCTTGAAAAGCAGCCGTATGGAATCCAACTATGAATGGCAGTCGCACGCAAATAAACACCAAGTACGCAATTTTTAGTATTATATGGTCATCTACTTTGCGAGGAAGGAGGACCAATTGCCGAATGATAATTGTGCACAGGGCACAATTGTGTGTATCTACTATCTCAAAATAAAACTATTGGTACATGTCTATCATATCACTAAAAGTACAGGGGAAAAAAAGGTTGAGTCCGGTTGATACTCAAAAGAACACTCGCTTAAGATCAAGTTCGGACGCGCACGGATTCGGTGGTAGGTGCATCGGCGGCAGGTCCGAAGCCCCATCCCTTAGACTTCGGGCGCCGACTCCTCCGATCACCGTATTGTTCGTCAAATTTTCGAATTGCGGTCAGCGAAGACATGTCTTCACTGATTGATGCACTGATCTCTTCCATTCCGCGGTCAAAGTGGGCACCGGTGAGGATTCGTCGTGCTGGGTATTCGTAGGGCTCGTCGCCTTGGTGTTTTGCCGCGGCATCGTTTTCCTCTCGCACGCAAGCTAGGGCTGCGGCGACTGAGAGGTTCTTCAAGTCGGAGCCGGAGTACAACTCTGTGCGCTTAGCAAGGTCAGCCAGGTCGACTGCTGGATCAAGTTGTTCCTCTTTGAGATGAATTTTCAGAATTGCGAGGCGGTCTGTCTCGGTTGGGAGATCGACAAGGAGTCGTCGGGGCAGACGGCGCAGGACTGCGTCATCCAGGTCAAAGGGACGGTTCGTGGCGACCATGATGAATGCGGAGAGGTCGTTCATTCCATCCCACTCGCGGAGGAACTGGTTGATCAGTTCGCGGTGGGAGGTCCGGCTGCTGGAGCCTGTGCGAGAGCAGAAGATGGCATCTGCCTCGTCAATGAACACAACGCATGGGCTTAATTTCTTGGCAAGTGTGAAGATGGCTTTCACGTTCTTTTCACCCTCACCCACGTACATGTCATACACGTCGGAACCGCTCACTTCCAGAACAGTTGCTCCACTCTCGCGCGCAACTGCCTTGGCAAGAAGGGTTTTTCCTGTCCCAGGAGGCCCGTACAACAGAAGGCCAGGGATCTTATCCGTCGCCAACACACCGTAAGTGAAAGCTTCAGGTCGAACCAGCGAGAGAGAAGTAAGGGTTTTCAGTGCATCAATAGTCTCAGGCGGGACCTGAACATCGTTGAATGTGGTTCGGATGCTTTTTGCGTCTACCACACCGTTGAGCAGTTTCTTCTCGTGAGAAGTGCATGTCTTGCGCAAAGAGCTCAACAATTGCTCTCGAGTCTGACCACTGCTAGCATCTGTCGCCTTGGGAGACTTTGCCTGTAACCAATCGTTTGTTACTTGATCCCCCTTGTCCATAAGTTCAATTCCACGTCGAATATGTTCAAAGCCAAAAGTTTCACCAGCTTCTGTACTGCCCAGTGCCAATGTTGCAACCCAGTGAACTTGGTTGTAGGACCAGAACTTTTCCTTGATACCAGATTGTTTGATTGTTGTTGGGTCAAGCGACCAGGCACGGTTGCTAAAAATATCATCCTTAACAGCCGAAGCAGTCTCATTGAGCCGGAACTTCAACATAGTTTGGAGATGGCGTATGTTAATATCCATGGTTCGTTTCTTCTGGTCTTGAGCAAACTTCTTTTCAGCAGCCTTCAATTCCATGGATGGTGTAATCACCAATGTTTTAGAAAAGCCGTCATCGAAGACATTTTGAAGAATTTTGATACCATCGTGTGACGGAGCATGACGAAGCTCCTGGGATACACTGCCAATGAGAATAATTCTGGAACCAGCTCCTCGCCGTTCCTGAATTACCTTTTGCAGCAACGAAATGACCCTAGACCCCTCTCTCTGGCTTTGAATATCACGATAATCCTGGATGTGGACAATGGTGTCACGAGGAAGCACAGGAATAGCGACGTCCAGCTCAGCTGAATCCTCTGTTTCCTTGGAAGCAGGCTTTGCAGGTCGACCAAGAGAAGATATAATTTCGTTCAACAAACGGGTCCAGCGCTGCTCTATACGTGGGCCAAAGAGCCGCGATGAACCAGATTCTTGATCCCCTTGGCCATTGATGGATGCCACAATTGACTTCAGACCAAGCCAGTTTGGAAGCGGTACATCACCTGAATCTTTGCTGGGCTCAATAGTGATGAACCTAGGGGTGCTAACCTCAGTGCGCACACCCGGGGGCCCAGCAATATCACTCATATCATCCTCGCCGTCACCTTCTCCATCTATAGGTTCTGGCCAAGTCACTACCGGGGGACGATGAACTTCATAACCGAGGGATCGAATGGAAGTGGTTGTGCCAGTCTCTGCAAGGTCTTGCTCGCTGAATAGCTGGGCAATATCTTGTGCACTGAGGGTGATTAGGTCGGTGTCGAGGTCATTTGACAGCTGTCGTACCACGTTATCCAAAAACGGAATTCCGTCATTTCCGGGATATTGAAGAATGATATGTGACTTCTTCGCTGCTGGCTCTTTGGCATACTGCACTGGCGGCAGTCTCAGGCCCGCTTTGACTGACGCTCGCAATTCATTCCAAATTTCTTCAGGCACAGCATAGCTGCTGTCTTCATCGGATTCAGCAGGTTCACCGGATGAAGCAGGATTGTTTCCACCACCTCCAGCTAGAGATTGTTCCTTCTCCGCGTTGTTTGGGCTGGGCACCGGTTTCGACTTCGTAATTTCGACTTGTTGAGCCTGGACAACACCCTCCGAACCCCGAGTGACTATGTTCTGGTCAGAGAACCAGCTAGGAATCGCAGCCACCGGTTGCTTCTGTTTGTCCTGTTCCGATTGGCGGTTCCTCATGGCTCTCCGCAACGCAGACCCATATGGCTTTGCGGCAGGTTTCTGGTCGTCGGCGGGCAATGGGCTTTTGTTCGCGACAAGGTCTTCAAGTTTCGGGGATTGACAATTATCGAGCGCATCCGATGGCGGTGATGAACCATCATGAGGGTCTTGGGATGGAGCTGACCGCCATTGTTGCGATAGATGGAATCGGCGCGAGGACGAAGACGCGGGATAGCGGCGACGAGCGATCAGACGACACGGGCGTACGACGAACAGCCGGGCCTGGTGCATTGACGGAAACATCCAGGGCACAAGATGCCACTAGAAATCAAAGCGCAAAGTCGTGGGTAACAGTATGGCGCATTGATCGGTCGAGAGTTACGGACTTAAACTTGATGAGCCTCCGGGGGAGAAATATAGACTCACGTGATATATTAGACCCAGGTTAATGTCTTCATTGGATTTCTGTCCTCCAGCTGTCATACAAGACAAAGTACAATCTCATCGACATCCACGATCTTGACAGACCTCAGGGACACATGGAACTGGCTCTAGGCCCATTAATCTAGCTGAATTGCTATTTTAGACTGATCTTCGGCCAGGATTACAAAGTTTGGTGGATCAAAGTTACGCCACGATAGGTACCGTACAGTAGCTACGGTACTTCAGTAATTTTTGTTTTTATATAGACAACTCAAAATCATAAGATGTATGATAAAATGATAAATGTATTTGTCACTACCTAAGACTATCGCTACCGGCGTCGGTGAATTACTTGAGTGCGTATGGTATGACCTAATGAAGATGCAATCAGCCAATGTCTCTTGCAATTCATGTTGATGCAATCGCATATATTGAAGTGTTCTCAGACAAAAAATACTGGCAAGTAGCAGACCAACCGGGAAAGGAAGATCCGAAATATCTCGTCATGGTCGATTTGGAAGGTAAAGAAGTGAAAAAGTGTTTGACATCCTTGAACGAAAAGCAAAATACAGTGAAGAAACAAGCAGTCGAACTCACCATATAGAATTTTCTGGTCGGTCCTTTTGATCGACCTGCAAGGATGAGATGGCCTGTGTTAGTGGCAAAACCGGAGCATCATAAGACATTATTATGATACTATCGGTCCATGAGACCTAGTCGATAGGAAGCAGGGCAGTCCCGAGACAATTTCTGTCGTCAGTAGAGGAGATTAAAGAGAGAAGCAGGAGCTTGAAGCACGGAGAAGAAAGCAAAAAGCAAAAAAAAAAAAAAACGCTGAAATACACCGTCGCACGTGACGGCCTGATTGGGGTTAGCGTGTTTTCCCATTGAAATTGAGACGGAAAAAGAAAACTGCACTGAAAAGATGGGAGAAAAGAGTCAGAATAATGAAAATAGTTTCTTTAAACCAAGGATCAGAATACGTCCTGGATCCTGTCATCTTATTTATCCTTTTTGTGCCAGTCTCGTGGTGATCTCTTTGTTCCATCTATCGCATCGCGTTGTTCTGCTCGGTTACATCCTCCACTCTTCGGAGCCGGTTCCTCCGTCCCCAGTTCCCTCTTCGCTCCCAACCGGGCGATCATCCTCAACTCATTATATGGGCGATCGAGACAAGACCCTGGTTTCTGCTGATTGTGTTAACTGCACAGAGAAGAGCACTACGGTCTTGGGATCTGTGAGGATAGTGAGTCGATCCCATATCTTTTGCCCCCAGCCCCTCCAACGCCTCCCTATTACTGTACCATACGCTGTTACCACCTGCCCCGTTCTCTTTCCTCCCGCTTCTTCCCCCCCCAAAGAGAACTCTACCCTCTTATCACCTCCGACCGCCCAACTCCCAACTAACCTGGCCTCTAGGAGAACGAGGCCTGCATTGAGGGCAGGTGACAACAAAGGCCTCCGATCCATGCTTCGGCCTTTTCCCTCATCTGCAAAAGTCGCCTGGGCCTCTCCGAAGCGCTGAGACCGACTCGTTCCATATCTTAGGCGCGACTCCCGTCCCCGAAATCCACCCTCCAGCCGCCTCATCGTCGCGCTTCTTCGTTGAAGTTACTCCGTTGGCGGTGATCTCCGCCTGCTAGCAATGATGATGGCGCAACCGTTTCCCGCTCAAGGCATCCCGCAACATGGTATGCCCCCCGGTCACCACCCAATGGCAGGCCAACACCCCAACGCTGGACATCCCGGTGGAATGGTCCAGCAAATGCATCCCGGGGTGTCCGGACCTGGTGGTCCTCAGGTGAGCCAAGCAGGGCCCATGATGGGTGCAATGCCCCCGGGCGCCAACGGTGGTCAAGGTGGTCCCGGAATGCCTAACGCTCATGCTCTTTCCCATCTCAACCCTGCGCAGGCGCATCTCTTCCAGCAACAGGGGTTCCCTCAAAACTGTGAGTCTCGTTGTCTCTGATTGAACGTCGATCGCGAGTCCTCCAGGACGCGCGCAATCCCCCCCCGACATCGGATCGGCACCCCTAAAGCCGTACCCCGACCATTCAATATCTTCCCAAGGCGGATGCTAATCCATTACCTAAAATGCAGTCGTGAACAACCCTCAATTCAATGTGCAGCAGCAGCAGCAACAGCAGCAGCAACATCAGTTTATGCGGCAGCGAATGCTGATCCAACAACAGCAGCAACAACAACACCAACATCAGCAGCAGCAGCAGCAGCAGCAGCAGCAACAACAACAACAACAACAGCAGCAGCAGCAGCAACAGCAACAACAACAACAGCATGGGGGTCTACCTGTATCATTACCCAATGGTACTCAGGGGCTAAACGCTGCGCAACTGGCTGCCATGCAGCAAGCCAATCCAGGCATGCGGCCCGTAAACATGGGAATGCACATGGGACAGCAGGTGCCGCACGGCCAGGCACAAAACATTCAGCAGCAACAGATGTTTGCCATCCAGCAGGCCCAGGTCCAAGCGCAACAAGCACAGCAGGCGCAGCAACAAGCACAGCAGCAGGCGCAAGCGAATAATGGCCAGCCGGGCCAGCATACCCCTCAACGCTCCTCAGCACAACCCCCGAATATGCACGAAGCGCCAGTGGGGACGCCACAATCCCAGCATGGTCCACCACAGAGTGGTACTCCTCAGCCCAATCAGTCCTCTCAACCGCCCTCAACTCAACCTCCCCAGTCGCAGGGCGGCGGTCAGTCCCAAGTGACTCCCAATCCACAGCCGCAGCAGTTGCCACCGTCCCAGCAACAGCCTCAGCAAGGTACCCCGGGTCAGCAACCTGCCCAGCAAAACCAACAGGCAATGGCTACCCAGGAAGCCCAAATTAAAGCACAGCAGAACGCCATCATGTTACAAAGAATGAACCAGCAACGGCAGCAGCAGCAGCAGAATACCCCAGTCATGATTCTCACCAGCTACGCCGAAAACTTGAGCGGTTTCAAGGTATGTAGTTACATCGTATCCGGGCGGCTCATAGGGCATTGATTCTAATCGTTCTACAGAGTCGTGATGAGACTACCGATTACGCGTATTGGTCGGCCTTCGTTGACCGATTCTATTCGCCAGCCGGTGTGTTGCGCCAGGGAGTCTGGAGCAGCCAGACTGGATCAAAACAATTCGAAATTTCGACCCCGGCCCTGGCACGGTACTATCTTACCCAATTCACAAGTGGGATCGACCATATACAAATGGTTCTGGATGGCGCCCGGGAGCGCGAAGTCCCAGGTGGCGGTGGTGCGCATGTTGTTGAATGTCAACGCGCTTCTTTCATATATTGGTACACGAATGAAAGTCAGGTATGAGTTTCTTTAATAACCGAATGCCATGGGCTTGCTACTAATGACATTCTATAGGTTTTTCACAAGGGACAGCTGCGCGCCCACTTTGACGCCAACAACAAGATTGAGATGCTGGACATAACGGTCACCAGTCACAATGAGTTTATTCCCCGCAACCAACTTCTGGAGGCGATGGAGCAAAAGCAGAGCCCCAAGTTAGCTAAAAGTGCTGCCAAGAGAGCGCAGAAGCAAGCGCAGTCAATAACGCTCCCCGAGTCTATGGTTACTCCGAACGGCCTCCCTACGCCGGTGATTCAATTTCTAGAGGTTGCCGAAACGATGTCACAGATGCAAATGCTCTTTAACTTTTCTGCGCAACACTCGCAGTTGTCGGCAACAGACGCCCTCCGAGGTCTTGTCAGTAACTTCAACCAAAACGCGAACCCCAATATGGGCTTTGCAGCCCCTATGAACCCTGGCATGCAGCCCATGCCTCGTGGCCCTAATATGGGTCCTCCCTCCCAATTCGCTTCTCCTGCAATGGCCCATCTTGGCCTACCGGGGGCTCAAGGCTCGCCTCACCTGACTGGGTCAGCCCATGCGAGCCCTGCTCAGAGCCAGCTTGCCGGCCCACCTGGAATGCAAGTTCAGTCATCCCCAGTCGGTGTGAACAACAGTCCGAACGTCGGTGGTAACAAGCGCCGACGAGCCAGCACTGTCAAGCAAGAAAATGACGATAATGGCTCGGTTGAAGTGAATGGCAATGCGCCAGGATCGGGCAAGGTCAAGAACTCCCGGGTGCCTAAACGGCAGAAGGGAGCAGCAGCCTAAGCCGTCGAAATTGTATTTCGCATTGAAATGCTAATCATTTTGTTTTTCACGTTTCATCATTTCCAAGAATTGGGGAAATCGGCGCACGATTTGATACCAGGGCGAGGCATTTTCTATTCGCCCCTTTTTTTGTCTTTCCTGTCCATTTTATTTTCTCCGGGCTCTGGTGTTCTATCAGAAGGTCTCATCTGCTCTTTCTCACTTTCGGTACTCTGACGATCAAATCTGTTACCTCCGATGAGGCTTAATCGACTGCCTATCTTATTGATGACTTTCAATTGTCCTCAAGTGGTGGCACCTATGCCCCATCGATTTCGACCTCTGCTCCGACTCTAATGTACTCTATCTCCCTTTTCAGCGTTTCTTTTAGTTGGCCCGGAAATCATTGCTTGATTTTTTACACGTGCTTTCTTTGGGATTTTCTTTGCCCTGGGGGTTGATGATTTTTGGATTGGTGTGTTTATATGGGCGTTTGCCCTTTGCTTCTGGCCTCCTGGACGAAGGCCAAAATCTTGATATCCGTGTTGGCGATCGCACTTGGCGTCAGGCTTTTTGTTATCTGGAAATATGTCTACGTGCATTTGTGTGGGGGTTCTATTCTGGTTCTTGAGAATCTTAATGACTCTTTTCCCTTCGGGGCTCATTGTTTTGCCGTTATTTGACGAATCCATACATATCCCAGCAATCTGCGTGAACAACCTTGAAATTTTGGACTTTGGACTTTGAATGTCCCTTTTGTAGAATGTAGAGTCAAGTCTGCTCATCAGTTAATTGCTGACCGGTAAATGGCAAATTGCCTCGGGGAATTCCGTCTTGATATGGGGAACTTGGCATCCTTTTTTTCTGGTTATCATTATCAGTTCCCCACCCCTTGCGTTAACTGCCCCTCCAACCCACGCAAACCACAAATTCTCCCCGGAACACTCTAAATTATCTCCAGATTTTCCGCGTTTTCCCCATTTTACGACACAATGGCTCACTCCCACGATGGTGGCCTCGACCACAGCCATGATGACCCTTTCAACGGGCACGGCCACTCTCACGACATCTTGGATGGCCCAGGCTCCTACGTTAACCGCGAGATGCCGCTGATCGAGGGCCGCGACTGGAAGGACCGCGCCTTTACCATTGGTATTGGAGGGTATGTAACTTTCTCCATGCAGCAGAAAAGAGACAATTCTCCCTAGCTAGGCACCAGCTTCCTTCCCCAGAACTATAGAGCCCTGTTTCTAATACAAACAAACATTCATGCTAACTTTGGAATCTATCTAGACCCGTCGGCTCCGGCAAGACAGCCCTCATGCTCGCCCTCTCCCGTGCCCTCCGCGACGAATACAACATTGCAGCCGTAACAAACGACATCTTCACCCGCGAAGACGCCGAATTCCTCACCCGCCACAAAGCTCTCGCCCCCAACCGCATCCGCGCCATCGAGACTGGCGGTTGCCCCCACGCCGCCGTCCGTGAGGACATCAGCGCAAACCTGCTTGCCCTCCAAACACTTCAAAAGCAATTCTCCACCGATTTACTGCTGATCGAGTCCGGTGGTGATAACCTCGCTGCAAACTACAGTCGCGAGCTGGCAGATTTCATCATCTACGTTATTGATGTTGCTGGTGGTGATAAGGTGCCCCGGAAGGGTGGACCTGGTATCACTGGTAGTGATTTGCTGGTTGTGAATAAGATTGATCTTGCCGAGGCTGTTGGTGCTGATCTGAAGGTTATGGAGCGGGATGCAGCTAAGATGCGGGAGGGTGGTCCTACCGTTTTTGCTGTTGTTAAGCATGGAAAGGGCATGGAGCATATTATTAACTTGATTATTAGTGCTTGGAAGGGGAGTGGAGCTTATGAGCTTAGTTTGCAGCGGTGGAAGGAGGGTGCGCCCCGTGGTTCGGGGAGTATTGATGAGTAGATTATTACTACTACCGGAAATTCCTACACCATAGGTACATATAAATATTATTCTTGATAACCAACCACACTAGTAGTGTATTAAACCAAACCTAGTACTAAACCTAAACCTACTTAAGGTAATATACTGTTACCACCCGGGCAGATCCCCCTAGCCCTACATTAGAAGATCATATTACCCAGGTGGATATCCGTATAGAGAAAGCCGCATTAATCTTGCTTCGACGCCCGCTACATCATTAGTTTAGTTTATAATACCCGCCCCGATACGTGTCTCCACGAGAACAGACCTTATGGTATGGTGGCTATAGTTTTTTCTTTTTCAAGATGAAATCTCTCTTTTCTTTGACAGTATATGTTTTGTTCTAGAATTGTGTATTCAAAAGGCACGACATATCTTCTAACGGAGGCTCTGGTGGTGCTAGTAGGCTACCGGGAGGAAGGAGTTCATTAGAAGTCTATTGGGAGCCTATCTTAGAGTCTAATGTTACATAGCTTAAATTTGGGAAAGGGGCTTAGGCGACATACAGACCTCCAGCATAGACGTTTACTTCTTCTAGATCTGAATTAATCAAACGAGTATCTACGCTATGAATGGGACCAAGAGGGTGGCCCTAGTTGGTAAGAAAGAGAACTAGATTAAGAGAGAAGAAGAATTCGTTGCGTTCTTGAGCGAAATACAATAGTCTTTGTTATGAGGCTTACAGACCGTCGTTCTTGTACTGCTTCCACCAATCCCCCTTTAAATACATTGTCTCACTCATCTCCTTATACGGACTTCCATCAGGACAAAACCTATACCGATCCAATTCCCGGAAGCCCTCCTCGCGGATTTCACCTACATGTCTCCAACACGCCGTATGATCACGCGCCCACTGCTCCAATTGCTCAAAGTCTCGACACATTCGCACCTGTCCCAATCCACTCTTCTGATTTGGCTGGAAACCAGTATATCGTGGCGTGTCATCTGCGTTACACATAGCCTCATCGCGAAGTACTAGCAGGCAGTGCTCCAAATGACCAAATGGTGAGCTCTGGGGCCTCCCATCCCGAAATTCCACAAGAGCCGTCCGCATGGTCTTCACACAGTGGAGGTTGTGGTATGCGTTGATGAGATAGATACCTTTTTCGTTGTCCCATGGAAAGCGCTGGGCACGGGGTAGACCGTTGGACCGGGCGTACGTGTCTGATAATGCGATGTTACCCAGATCGTAGCTCGTGGCATCCCATAAAGCGTCTTGCTCGGTGTCGTTGATGGCTGCATTGAGACCCCATGGACGGGGAACTGTCCGGGCTAGACCGGCTGAATTTCAAAGTCAGACTCTGCAGTCTACTCGATGTGAAGGAATCTGGAAAACGAACCGTATTTTGAGCGGTACAGGGGAGGAGGGGACTCCAGGCGAAATAACAATATACCCAGAAGAAAGACGTTGATCAGGATTGAGAGTATCATTGGAACCCGTAGCCTGTTTTTCTTTGTTGTAATTATGGAGACCTCGTTCGAATCTCCATTGATCAATTTGTCCTCTACGTCGACACCATATTCTTCATCCTCCGCAGGGCCGGGATTGGGTACTTTCAGGTAACTTTGGAAAAACATATTCAGGGTACGAACACGAGCTGAATGACAATAATGAGAGCTTTGGGAGCGGGACGCGTATTTAATAGGGCGGAAATCGGTGGACACGTCTTTTGCTAGCCTCGCTAAAAGGATGATCATGCCTTAATGGCATTGCGATACTGCGAAAGCGCATGCCAACTCCTCAAATGCAACTCAGGCATATCCCGTCCCAAGAATGGGTCTAAAGATTTCTTTTACTTTCTATAGGTGACTCTGATTTACTTGCATTTATGTGCCCCGCAAGCTAATCAAAAGTGGAATTTGCATGTTATCAAGCCCAGGATTACGATACATGTTGCAGATCCAAGGCCGATATTCCTCCGGTCAAAAGCCATGAGATGTTCCAAAACTGCCGAAAATAGTTTGAACCTATTTGAGGTCTGACTGGGGAGTTGGCTCTGTTCCGGCCTCGCGGATTTCAGCCTTCCAGCTGGCCTCATCACTCAGCCCATATGGCTCAGCGGCTGTTCTTGATATTAGCCCATGTTTTGTTGGTACAGTCAATCTCAAATATGAAGGTTGAAGGAAGTGAGCCTTACAGCGCGCAATGTCCAGCGGGAGGGCAATGACTCCAGTCAAGAGGAGGGCAAGGGAGATGAGCCTATAGAGGGACGCCATGTTTGGATTCGTGGGTAGAAAATGTAATTGATTTGAGATATTTGGTTGATGTTGGACCGAAACAGATGTTAGGGGGCCACTCCAAGGCTGTTATATAACTTTCAGTCTAGAAGACCTTGACTGGCAGGAATCTTAGAGCGGCATACATCCGTGCATGCAGCCATCTGCACCTCCAGCCGCTTTACGCTAAGTCCTTCGTGAACCTTGTCACATACGATGTCATATATTTTAGTGGTTCTGCATTAGTTCTGGGGCTAGAACTTGACAATGTCATCAGGTTGGGTGACAAGGCAATACCTCTCGCCCAAGGATGTTGGGATTCAAAAATATTTAGTATTCACCATCGGCCACAGACAGAATCTTGTTCTTGTTCTTGTTTTTGTTTAGTACCATTATGATTGCCAGCCTTTGAACGATGTCGACAAACGAGCTATCCATTTCTTTTGTACCTGCGAGCCAGGTACTGACTGCTGCCATAGTCCTGCCGTGCGTGGGTGCCGCGAGCGTTTTCACGCGGATTTATCTTCGATGGTGGCATGAGAGATCAGTCAAGACAGATGATTGGTTGATTGTGGCGGCATTAGTGAGTCTGGATATATCTATACGCTCCAGAGCATTACGCTAACCAGCGCTCAAGGTGTTTGTACTAGGAATGGGCATTGCTCAAATATATGGTACGGGTCCACCTCTTCCCTTTGATTGGTACATCATCTTGCTCAAACATTCTGATGCATTTGTGAACTTAGGGTGCGCTAAACATGCTTTGGGCTATCCAACACCTACGTACTCTAGTAATTCCGCAATGGCGGAGTTGACCGAGCTTTCAGATGCTCAAAGGACAGTGGAACTGGTGGACTGGATCACCTGGGTGTTAATGACCCCAGCTAACGGGCTGATCAAACTCAGCTCAGTCTATCTCTACCGACGCATCTTCGTGACTGGCCAAGAGAAATTGTTTGATATTTTGAGCTGGACATTGATTGTCGTTTGCGCCCTCTGGACGGTAGCCTTCTTCTTCGCGACCATCTTTGGCTGCGGGCGACATTTCGACTATCCGTGGGGGCCGTTGGTGGCGATTAGTAGCTGCAATACCAACATCCGCTTGGAAGGATTAATGATCTCTGATTTGATCACAGATCTTCTTGTCTGGATACTCCCAGTGCCAATGGTTAGACTCGGTTTACCCATTCCAGTTAGAACGTTCCGTAACTGACCTTGTTACTCGCAGATTTGGAGAACGCAGATGAAGGTTGGACGCAAGGTCGCAGCAACAGGGGTCCTGTTGCTCGCTACCATGTAAGTGGCTGTCATCCGCAAATCACAGGCGATTACTTACCACTGGTCTAGATCACTTGCAGCAGCCATCGTTAGACTGATGGTCCAAGAACAAATTACCAATGGTGGGTATGCGGCACATACTGACGTGGATCGTAAGTTTCTCATGTCGATCAAAGGATTCATTCACCCCTCTTCCTGCCGATAGCGTTGCACTAACGTGAGTGCCTACACAGAGACTTTGACAATACTGTTGTATTGGAGTATGCTAGAATCAGGGCTTGCATTAATCGCGTCTTGTTTGCCAACCATGCGACTCCACACGGCCTTGACCTCAGTGGTTTCTGTTATTTCACTTCGATCGTGGTATCCGTCTCAGAAAACGGCCTCATCGTTACCTTATTGGCATGGGGGAGGCCCTCCTGGGAGCTACCAGCGCAAGCAGATGCATTCGGACTCTCTGGACTCCTCATTATATCAGAAGAAGAGTCGATCTTCTCAGTCACTTCCCCTGATTCAACTTGACCTGGTGAGAAGTCAAGAATGGTAGAACGATAGGCGGGTAGAGCCAATGCGCTAGCGATTCCTGTATCTAGTGACTACTCCTTTGCGGTGCTCTCATGCAAGTCTATATTGAATGCGCTTCATACTAGCACATATCGTATTAGCCGGCTGTAGCGGTTTCTCAAAAGGATCTAGATATCGCGCCATCAATTACTCCTCGCAGACCCTGTCTCCGATATCAGATTTGTAGCGGCTAGTCTCAAATTCTCTGTATTTTGACTGGTTTGGGGAGCCCAGTGGAGCTTTAAGTTCCGGACCCCACTGAGTTTCGGTTCTGACCACCTACTCGACTGGGGGCCGTTTCCTAGAGCTTGGCTTGATCCCCGCAGAAGCTTGATCCCCACAGATAAGCCTTACCACGGGCCAGTATTTCTGCGATGACGAATTCAATGACCCCTGTCGATGAAACATAGACAGGGGTTCCTGCAAGCCACTTCTTCCAGAGGGGGCCAAAAAGCAGAATTGGAATCTACTTCCTCTATATATAGAGCTCGAACGGAAGATAGTCTCTTGACCCCTCCCCTGGATCCCTATCCCTCTCTCCCCAGTCTCTGAAAGATCGGACAAGATGCCTGAATCCGAACAGTCATCCGACGCGGCCAACTCGCAAGCCAGTTTCCGTCTCGCAGACGGGTTGGGATATGCTCTTCAGCAGAATCACCGCTCTGTCATTAGGCTAAACTTACAACACTTCCTTTGGCGCCAAGTCTTTGGTTTCCACATCCATCCTTCCGTCCCCCCAATTCTTGAGAAGATCGCCGATGTGGCTTGCGGAACCGCATTATGGCTGATCGACGTTTCCCGGGAATTCCCGCACTTTCAACTGGACGGACTGGATGTTGATTTGACTCAAGCCCCTCACCCAAAATGGCTCCCCTCCAATATCCATCTTCAACCATGGGATATCTTTTCAGATGTGCCAGCAGACCTAGAGGCAAAATATGACCTTGTACATGTCCGACTTCTTGTCCTGGTACTTTCTGGTCTAGACCCCATGCCTGTGTTGCATCATTTGTTTCAGTTGGTTAAGCCAGGTGGTTATCTCCAGTGGGATGAGTTGGATACTGTGAACATGCATATCAAAAAAGTGGACCCATCTATCAGCGCACCTGCATTGCAAGAAATCATGGAGGCATCGCATGCGGGCGGGCGCCATGATTGGATATTGGAACTGCCACGTCTGCTAACCGAGGCAGGGTTTCAAGACGCTAAGATTCATTTTTACGATGACCCCCCTGAATTGATCCGTGCTTTCAATGATCAACATTTGTTGACTATGGAAGAGTTCGCTACCAAGTTGGCAAGCAAGGGCCAGACGGAGGCTGCGACTCGATTTACTCATTTGATTCAGTCTTCTTATCAGGAATGTGTGAATGGCGCGGCTTTATGCTTCCCTCGGGTGGTTATTGTGGCTCGACGGCCTCTTTAATCTTTCATGGCTGATTTCCGGGACTCTTGCTAGTACATACAAGCTTTTGGCCCCATTATTTCCAATCAATGATGGTCCAAAGCCATGAAATTCATTTAATTGCTAGAATCCAGAGTATGAGTAAATCTGCTAGGCCTAAATAATGACCAAAAGGTTGAACTTGAGTCGCTTCATATGGAAAATGCTATCTTTGACGTAGCCGTAGATACAGCCTTCCCTTTTCTTCTTCTTTCCTTTTTTCATTTTTTTTCCCCAAAGATCCCTGCTAATGTAACATGAAGTTCCGAGCCTAGCTTGACCATTCTTTGTTCATTTCACACTAATTTCTGATATGATATGGCCCCATAGAATCAGAGTCCCCACCCCCAGCCGTTCTGGCTATAAGTTTTATCAAATTTTCTGATGGTGAAATTTTTAAAATCTATCCTTTTTTTCTACTTATCACAAACGACCTGGAAGTCTCCAGAATTTAGGCCAAATCGAGGCCATGACCAACAACTTGAAAGATCCAGAGGCCATCACTCTTGCTGCGGAAACCGGCTCAACCCCTCATCTCTTGGTAAAAGAGAAAGACGAGGAGATTGTACCCATCTCTGAGCAATGGGACGACCCGACCACATGGCCTCTGTGGAGAAAATGGTCAATTGTGATATGTGTAGCCCTCATGTACATGCTGGCGTTAGTGAAAACTATTCTTGAATACTTTGACTTCTTCTAATCCATGCCCAAACAGAAATTTTGGAACCATTATAATTGTCCCCGGAGTACCTCTTATTCTTTCAGAGTTCAACGTATCTGGGAGCCTATACCAACCTTTAATAGTCTCCATCTGGGAACTCGGTGAAGGTGTAGGGTCCTTTTTGGTTGGGCCTTTATCAGAAAGATATGGTCGGAAAATTGTCTACCATATCGGGAATGTTATCTTCATTCTCTGCTCTGTTGCGTCAGCTCTGAGCGTCAATGTCTCCATGCTAGTGGCCTTCCGTTTTATCAATGGTATGGCAGTCACCGTTCTCGCTCTTTCGCCAAGTATCATTGGAGACCTCTTCGTCCGTGAAGAAAGAGGTAGAGCGATGGCTGTAGCCATTTCAGTGCCCTTAATCGGGCCTTGTGTCGCCCCGATCGTGGGCGGATACGTGGCGAGCGCCCTCGGATGGCGATGGACTATTTGGTTGATAGCGATTGCGGTGGGATGTGTATCTCTATTCTCTTTACTTGTTTTCAAGGAAACATACAAGCCAAAGATCCAGGGAAAGCAGTCTCAGGGGAGTCAAAACTCTGAACCAGGTAGTCCCTCTGCTCAGGAAATCGTTCACAATGGACCACCACAAGAGACGAAGCTTCAAAGCTTTCTGCGCCCAGTGCGCTTACTCTTCTCTTCGCCAGTCGTTCTAGTGACCTCACTGTTCACATCTCTCGTTTACGGCTTCTCTTATCTCATCCTGACTACTCTGGCGGAGATTATGCAGGAGACGTACGGGTTTAGCTCAGGATCTGCAGGACTGACCTTTCTCGGTCGAGGTAATAAGTTTCTCTACATGATTGATACACCTAAGCTAACGGGTATTGTGGGAAAGCCATTGGTAATCTCATTGGTCTAGGTCTGTACGGCCTTGTCTCTGATCGCTATCTAGAATATCGGCGACGCAAAGCTGGTGATTCAATTCCTGAAGACCGTCTCCCATTAATGATTCTAGGGACCGCTTTATTACCTGTTGGCCTCTTTCTCTACGGCTGGACAGCACATTTCCACATCCAGTGGAGTGTACCTCTGATTGGAACGGGCATTGTGGGGTTCAGCATGTTGTTGACGAAACTGCCAACAGATAATTATCTCGTGGATGCATTTGCACCACAAGGAACATCTGCATCAATATTATCTGCAGATGCCACACTGAAAGCCTTATTTGGAGCGGTTTTCCCGTTGCTTGGTCCGTCTCTATACAGGAATTTGGGACTTGGATGGGGGAACTCACTCTTGGCATTTATTGGATTGGCGTTTCTACCACTTTTTATCATATTGTGGCGGGAGGGCCAGGAGTTAAGAAAGCAAGGATGGGGGTATTTGAAGATCATGATGAAACGAAGATGAATAGCTGATGATGAGGCGTCCGGTGAGAAGACGTCCCCTACAATGCACCGTGACTTTAAACAATCATGTCTAATCAAACTGGGGGCGGGCATGTGTCAAACGCGTCCGTTAAATACACGCACTCCCGCGAGTCCCGCCCCTCGCGATTTCCACTTCCTTTCAACCCTGAGAACTGCCACCCTTCAATCATGTCCCTAACAAGATCACACAGCCGGTGGCCTGGAGGCATCCCCTCCTTCATTCACCGCCACGAGGAACCCGTGGACCCAGAAAATTTTGATGCCGCCTCTCGTGCATGGAGACATTTTGTTCGTGATCAGTGGGTCAAAGGCGACGCCGCGGATCAACAGAAACGAGCCTTAATCGAACGCTGGGCGACAGCAGATCAAGAACTTCGCGACGTATGCCTTTAATTTGGAAGAGTTCTTATTTTTCTATTGACACTTAGATAGAGCTATCAATCTCGAGCACTAGAGGATGAGCCTAGTTTTTTTGAAGGTCCCGAACTTAAAGTATGAAATATCTTCTATTATTTGATTTGCGGCTCTAATCTAGAGTATAGGACCCAGACTTTGCAGGAAATGACGTTCAAAGTTTCTGTATGGTCTATTTATGCACTACTGAATTAACCCCCGAGAAAGAAGCCCTGCTAGCCAAGTGTATCTTAGGTTTATTCCCATGGGAAGAAGGCTGGGAATTTCTCGCAGACGAAATGATAATGTTTCTCCCCTTGGAAGATAATCAAGGGGATGTTCTTGACACGTTCAAGTTCCATCAAAGTGTAGCCCGACCCGACTTTCTTGATATGCACATGGCGCTCGATGGAACCGTACTTTTCAGGGACCGCTATCCCAAGCTCATTATCGATGACCGGACCCTTGAGACCGGACTGGGGCTTTGGGTTGACTTTGCAACGAACGGCATCTACGAGAAGGCCTACCGGGCTCAAATCATGATGGAGGAATTCGGCCACTTTTATCGTGATATCGGTCCGGGAAATCAGATCCCAATCGAGCAGGCGCTGATTTACATCGAGTCACGGTCAATATACCAAGGCCGCGATCGAGATGCAGATCCGAGAGAGATCTTAGAGGACGAGCCGTGAGTCTGCCTGTTCTTGGTTACGAGATGTGGTGTATTAATATGTGCTTAGAGTCGATATGAGACGGCCGCTCGTGGAAATCTACAAAGGGAGTGAAGTCGATCTAGTGGATGACTATGCGCCAGGCTTTCGCGAGGCGGAGGAGCAGGGTAACGGCTTAGCGATCGGATATGGTTTGGAACAGATACTTGCGAATGATGGAAATCCCCTGACTATTATAGATCATAGAAGCGATCATTAGCTAGACTTTACTCATTGCTCCCAACTATTAGGTTTCTTCAATGAACGAATTACCCCTAATGATCAGGTCCAGTATCCAGAATTCCAGATGCGCATCCTCCCATGGCTGTCAAAAACTTCTGCCGGACCCTGGTCAACTGAAGCTGTCGGATAAATTGTCCACAGGTCCTGCCAATTATACCGAGCTTACAGCTCAAGTTGCGCTACGCTCAGACCATACTAGGTAAATTTGGACAAATGAGGGATAGTCACTGAGCATTACTGGGGAATCACCAAGCACGCACTGAGCGCTCGCTGAGCACACACTTGGCATGCCTGAGTGCCCTCATAAAAGCGGCGGCAGCCCAGTTAGGAAAGCCCCTTTCGGCAGACATTATCCTGTCTATATAGGTGCATATACAATATGGAGTCATAATGTAATATAGTATTCTCCTCTTCCTTGAATCAAGTTCTATTAAGTAGTACCACTTTTAGGTCCTCCTGTTACGATGCAAACTTCTCCTGTATGCTGCCTTTTGCCATTTAAATGGGTACTCTGGCGAGAAATGCAGGGCACTGCCATGCTCTCCAGCTGGTACCTATTAATCCAACCAAGAGAAGAGTACTTTGTAAAATTCCTGGGGAGCCTGGAGGAAGGGTGCATGGCCCAGACCAGGAAACATATGGAACGTGCAATTGGGAATCAGGGCTGCGGCGGCAGGTCCAATGACGGAGTAATGGCCCAGAGTTGCAGCCACGGCTGAGGATGACCATGCCTTTCCTAACGCCGTCATATCATTCTCGCCTACCATGAGATAGGTATTTGTCTTCAGTAGAGGAAGCTGGTAGATGATAGGCTGGCTTAATAAGGCGTCGGTGACCAGGGCCATCACATACGAATATTCTCGGCCATAGTCGCCCGCATAGATGTTGGCTAGCATATCAACCCAGGTGTTGTACGCAGGCTTCCAAGTGGCATTGTAGAAATAACTCGCCTCCTCATATGCCTTGAGGGTGGCAAAGGTTTGTACGACTTGGGACTCGTATGTCTCGTCGATGGGCAAATAGGGTACACCCTTAGCTACCCAGTCCTCCAAACCCAATGGGTCAACAAGGAAAAGCTGCTTGATGGTGTCCGCGTACATGAGGCCGTAACGGGCGGCAATCATACCTCCCATGGAATGACCAATGACAGTGACTTCATCGATGCCGAGCGCGGTGAGCAGGCTGTTGATATTCTCTGCCTGCTGTTGGACGTTGTAAGAATACCCTTGGGGCTTGCTCGACTTGCAGAAGCCGATGTCATCGGGCAAGATCACTCGATAGCCTTTGGCAGACAGCTGGCGCGCTGTGTCAGACCAAGTGACGCTGCAGAAGTTACCGCCATGGAGCAGGACTGCGGTTTTGTTCTTGTCGTGATGGCGATCTGCAGGAACGTCCATAAACGCCATCTCTAGGTGCTGGTGCTGGTTATAGAATTTGAAAAGTTTCACCGGCCAAGGGTACGTATAGTTTGACCCGTACAAACCGGCCGGCACATGACCATTGTAGATGGTGCCAATCGGGTCAGGGTCGGATGCGGCGACAAGCGCCGTGCATGACAGCATCGCGGAGAACGCGCTGAAGAGAGAAAGGGCCCTCATTATGTGTGGAAAGTTTGGAAAAGCACCAAAACAAGCTTTTGAATATTTGGTGTGAACGGTGGTCCAGAATGAAAACAGCTGTTCATATTCGTTCGCCCCCCGCAATATGTAATAGTATTTATGTGCCTGACAGGCTGGACCCACATCATAGTAAACGTTCTTAAAGGTGTATCAAAATTACACGGATACCCCTTGCCGTTTCCTTGACCATAACACACTAGTTACCTTGGCAGTAACCTAACCGTACAGTAGATATTGGCCTAAAGTCGTGCAGTTGCATCAGGATTTCAATTAACTAGAGAGGTGCTATTGTGTAGTATCCAAATTAGAAGCCCACAGACAAGCCAATTCAGGTATGCTGCATCTTTATATCTATTTGAATGTTTCTTTTCAGATGTTCTACAAATCCTCTTATGCCGCACTAGCTTAACGCACAGATCGTATCTCCCCTTTTAATCACGCAGCGCATCACTACTTGAACAGTCTTTCTCCATGTAACGGTTACAATCCATTGGTCAATTTTTGGCTAATACTTAGTCACTTCGGTTGAATCCTAGGATGGCTACAGGTGTTTTGGATATAGGTTGCCTTCAAGTATTTCACGTACTACTGTACTGAATATTTAGTGTATAGTAAAGCAGCTCGATTATAGGCAGAAGATAGCTGACAGTAAATTAATATTGCATGTTCTGACATGTACGGCCAGCCAAGTGACTTCACAATGCAACGGAACTCGGCTTGTTTCGTTTTCGCCCCCAACTACTCCGTATTCGGGGGCGTTTAATCAAAGATCCCTGCTAGTGCATGAACGCACTGGGCATCGTTCCAGTTGTAAAGCAATCCCTGACGGGCCAGGCACCACACGAAGGCTTGAGGAGGCGCACGTAGTTCCTCCTCCAACGTCATGCGTCTCCATTTACTATCATATCTCCGACATAACGGGCGAAATTTCCAAATCCTGGAGCTAGTTCAACCAACTCAATTTTAATTTGCGGAATACCATCCGACCGATGCTAACGGCTTTTACGCCTTGGGTATTATGAGTTATTCGCGACTAGCACATGTCATCCTGGTTATCACTGTAATATGCCTTTGCAGGGATGAGACCGGGGGTAGAAGGAAGACAAAAGCTATGTGACTACCGCTAGTATGGTCTCGAGACTGGCATCAATTCTCTTCGTCTTTATGCCCGTCCACGAGACCGTACTATCTAAAGACGGCTTTGTGAAGTGCAATGTCGGGAAACATTCCAGGCCCTAGCAAGGCCTTGGAGATTCAAGTGCCATGCATCGTCTTTTTGGTAGTTACGCCAGCTTTTGTGGCGATCAGGCTATGGTCCCGAATAAAGTCTAAGTCAGGTCTAGGATGGGATGACTGGAGTATTTTGACATCCTGTGTAAGCTCTTCGTTTACTAAATTGAGCTTCATTATGCATATCTGACACTGTTATTAATAGGTGTTTGCAGTCAATGTCATGGCCTTTATGCTGGCATCCTGTGCCTATGGCTTTGGCCAACATATAGCAAATCTCACAGAGCAAAATCGAATAATGACGCTGAAGGTACGTTGAGAACCATCACGGGAATCCTCCAATCCCTTATTTATCCTTCACTCCATTCTTGGCTCGCTCTTTAGACCTGTACATCTAACTTCAACCTTGCCAGCTTTTCTTTGTTAGTCAAGCTTTCTACAAGCTCACTTTGAACATTACCAAGATGTCTATTTTGATGTTATATCTACGCATCTTCATCCAGAGCTGGTTCCGCATTATATGCTTTGTGCTGTTAGCTATCATCGCCTCCTATATGCTCGCGGCATTCTTCGCCTCCGTATTCCAATGCACACCAGTAGCACGAGCTTGGGACAAGACTATTTCAGGGTCATGTATTGACATCACCACCAATTGGTATGCTAACGCTGGTTTCTCCATATCAACCGACATTATTATATTAGCACTACCGATGTATCCGATTTACAATTCTAAGATGATACTCAATCGAAAAATTGCTCTGATGGGAGTGTTTGCCCTCGGCGCCTTGTAAGTCTCTTATGATTCGGTGCCCACACCGATGAGGTCCATCAAAATCTAATCCGAAGCTTCATAGTGTCGCCGTGACAAGTATTATTCGGATGCAGACTCTCGACGCTTCGTCTACCACTTCTGACACTACCTGTAAGTATTTCATTGCACTCTAAGCTTGCCTCTCGGCACTTTCCAGGCACTTACGGAATCTCCCTGCAGATGATATTGCCTCCTCAGTATGGACAATTGTCGAGGAAAATATGGCCATCATCTGTGCCTGCCTTCCAATGATGTGGGCGCCACTTACTAGGCTCTTCCCTTTTATATTCCCATCTTCGCACCGAGGGACAGATACCGGTGGTAGCTCAGACTTTCGAGGCTCAAGGCGCAACACTACCTCGCACTCTCGAAACAACTGGAATCAACTTCGTGCAACCCGTGATGGGGAGAGCAGCATCAGTTTGGACCCGATCAGCGATCTCCCAGCCCGCACTTCGGAGGATAGCACAGGGAATATCCTACCACATAGCCGGGGTGAAGAAGGCATTTATCACGATGGGAAGGGCATTATAAAGGTCCCAGCATATCAAGGTTCTTCACCATGAAATTGCCGTTGGTCTGAACACTGCGCCCCCGGCGGGTCAACTTCTATATAGCATATGATATTAGAGATTACTCACTAAGCCCGACTGTAAGCCCCTAAACGAATAAACGGCATTGAGAACCGGAAAGCCCTACCCGCTATATAAAATTGTATGAGTATAGTGACATACCTGCCCCGCTTGAGGTTCAGCGAATATCTCATGATTTAAATGACTGGATCTTTTTCATTCACTGACTAGTGACAAGCACCACGGCACGCTATAAGTTTATGTCATGGTGCTCTATTGTTCAAAGAAGACACAAAAATGAGCACCTCAGCAAGTACAGACAGTCCACGGGTGCGGTAATGAGGGACGTCAAAAGTTGATAGATGCTGCTTCGGGGATGGACTGGGAGTAGACTGCTGAATAAATGCCTCCGCCCGAGTAATCACCTGGCCTCCGGCTAAAAATTACTCAGTGAGCGTGAGTCTGAAAGCCCTTATAAAAGCGGCGGCAACCAAGATAGCAAATCCCCACCGATCAAAGAAAACCCGGTACATATTGTGACCTATATACCCAAAATGGTTCTATAGGTGCTGTCCAGGTTGACGCTGGCTTGGGCTTTATACTGGGGTCGTTTTCATACGAAGAAATTTGCTTTTTTGGTCCATAAAGTTCTATACATACATATGATTCGTTCCGTCCCAACGCCTGAAATGCAGGGGGTCACCGAATTTCCCATGAGTCCATTTGAAGTACTCATAGAATGCAACGGCTGGGTATCTGGTGGTTGTCCGCGATATAAGATATCTTTCAGCTCGACAACAGATGCAAGAAGCAGCAAAGCAAACACGATCAATCCCTCTTGGCAAAGCGAGCCAAAGCGGGTCCCAAATCGTCGCGCTCTTGCTTGAGCTTCTCCTTCCGGCGCTCGGCATGTTCCTTGCGCAAAGTCTCGGCCTTGACCCGCTTCTCGTCGATAACATTGGTACGACCCTTCTTGCGAAGATACTTCCGCAGCGCACTGTTGCGACCACGACCACGGTTCTTGAGTTTCTCCATATGATCCTCGGGCCGGACGTCGGTGTTCTTCGCCTCCTGAACCTTCTTGTCGTTGATAGTGTCGAGACGACCAATGACATTGGGATCGAGAGAGATCATATCCGGCTGCAACTTGGTGAGCAGCGCGTGCACCTCGGCCTCCTGTCGCTGCTTGACGTTCTCGTAAGGGTTGGCCTCCAGTGAGTCGAAGTTGGGTTCTCCGGCACCGGGAACGAGGATACTGGCGAAACCTTGGTCGTGTCCTACACCGAGGATATCTTCGTATGGGCACCAGCGCAGGTTCTCGATACGCTGGCCATCACCACCCCAGGCCATGTAGGGACTTTGGACCTTGCCCTGGTCTGCTTGCGCGGCATCGAAAAGACCCCGCCATACGCTGGCTTGTGTGCCCCAGCCAACGGCTACGAGGTTGCGGTCACTGATGGACACGGATGCACCAGGCTGGTAGCAGGAGTATGAGTGGACCTCGCGGAACATACGAATATCCCAGATGTTCATTTTCTGGTCTTGGCCTGTGGAGACCATGTAACGACCCAAACGGTCGATGGCCATAGATCGGACAGGTCCACGGTGCACAAGAGCCTTAACAAGGGCGGTTTGAGAGTTGGGGGACCATAAAGTCACAGTTCCGTTCTGGTGTCCGGTGTGGAGAATAGCGTTGGATGGGTTCTGGCAGAGGGCGGTTGGCCTTCCAAGGCGAGTGGGGAGTTCAGCAACCGTCTGACCGGTCGAGGTATCGGTGTATTTGAGGTAGCCGCTGATTTGCTATAGTAGAAAAGAATGTCAGTTTATGCCAACGGAAGAGAAAAATCAGCCTAAAGGCCATGGGAAACTCACAGCACTGGCAAGTAAGAAGTGGTAGGGCAGGAATTCGAGGAAGAGCGGCTCCAAGTGTTTACTCAAACAGTGCAACTCAACACCTTGGTGATCATAGATGTAAACATATTTCTTCTGCGCAACCGCAAAGAACTGGTTGTTGTGCAACCAGCGCGCATCCCGAACAGTCTCGTTCAGATTCAGCTCACAGCCCAGTGTACCGTCACGCCAGTCCATTGTCGCAACATGACCCTTCCGACCCGCCAATAGCAAATTGCGACCGTTTCGGCTGTAATCCATGCGATAGGGGCCAAAGTCATTGAGCCGGAGCTCAAAGCCCTTCTTCGCCGTCTCGATTCCAACGCTTTGCTGGATCTCATCCTGTCGTACTTTGTAGGTCTTTTCGAGTTCGCCCTCGGGCTCGAGGAATCCTGCCTCGTGCTCTAGCAAGATCTCTGCATCCTTCGCCTGCAGGATGGCCTGCTTCTGCTTGGCTTCCTGGGCCTTCAGTGTGGCACGGAGCTTCTTGTCGCGGACATTCTTTGTCGAGGCCGCCTTGCCACGTCCGTAAGTTCTTTCGGCTTCAGCAAATCTCAACTTTGCTGCGCGGTCGTCGGCCGAAACAATGGCCTTGGAGGCTGGATCAGCCATGGTCGCTTTTATTCTGAGTGTTGGTATTGGGAAAAATTCGTGAACTCGTGCTGTTGGTTATCCGTGGCAGAAAAAAAAAATTCCCGCGCTCATGCTGGTGCATGGGAAGGCGGTCCGCCTAAGCGGTGAGCAGTTGGCCCTTCTATACTACGAAAGTAGACCACCATTACCCATCAATTTGAAAATTAAAACCATGAGAAGAATCTGTAAACACCGACCTGAAGTTAATTTTTAACCTCAGAGCTCTATTATGAAAAAAAAAAAAATCGCCCATTGTGGCTGACCTTGCGGGCATTATGGTCTTCCATTCACATCTTAGGAATAGGACATGATAGAGGTCGAACGACGGCGAATGTGCTGACCTTATCACGGAGAAGGATACATTGAGATAGGCTCGAATGTCTCAGAATAAGGTAACTTGGTATATGATTGGTATGGCACAGCTGGCCAACTAGTGGTAAACTTTACGGCAATTGGGAGCAAAACGGTCTCTATGGCGGACGAAGCGTGTGACCTTGATACACGTCCTTAGCCGTCAATATCATCATCCACTTCCCTCTTGTTTCTCCTTGACTGCCTTCCACTCCCCTCTCCTCTTGTTGTGAATATGGACTCTTCAATTTTCCTCTTTCAACCATCACCTTGACTGTCCTTCACCCCTATTCCCTCCGATCAGTTACATTCATTGCTTAACTATCTACCGCTACTTTCCCCATCAACATGGTGCTGGAAAACCTTGATATTGAGCAGGGAGACCTAGATGAAATCCTGAAACATTACAAAGGAGATCTCATGAGTCGGGCTATCACCATTATTTGCCTCGGTAAACTTCAACCGGAAACGCATGAAGGGACCGAACACTTTGTCCTTGGAGACGCTATTCGTTTACTGCCTGCACACTGCCAAGTTCGTGTCGATCCAAGCAGTCCTTCATCTATCCCTGAATATTACCCTAACTTCGCTACTTTGCCAATATGGGGGGAAATTGTGGGACCCCATACGAGCGTTGGAATGGTTCACCAGGACATTCCCATCTCCACGAAGCGCCACAGAAACCATGCATTAGAGGACCCCCTCGATATGATACCTGTCGGTACTGAAATGTACATTCGCCCTCGGGTGACCAAGCCATTCTTTGACTTCTTTGCCGAGGGGTTTGCCTTTAACCCAGACAACATCAGGCGGGATAATTTTCACATCAACCCAAGATACGCTGATCCCAAGGTTCTGAAAGAAACCGCCCTCATGCTACTACAGGAACGCAAAGCACTTTTCGACAAGCGTGCAGAGAATGAATGGACCGAGCACATGCGTGATTGGAGGTGTAAGCGCCGTCAGTGGGAATTGACTCTTCTCGAAAATGAATGGATACACAAAGAACAAAGCATGATCCTGCCCCTGGGATTCGGTATCGACAACCTTGTTGATGCCCGCCGACACATCGAGATCGAGAACGCCAAGGAACGTGCAGGTCTGATTTCACCCTTCGAGATTGGACTGCGTGACAAGGAGAGGACTCAGCCCTATGACGAGGTCATTAAGGAAATGGCTGAACTTGATTCAGCTATAAAGCAGCTTGAGGAGATGCTGAAGAATTGACGCAGATTTGTCTTGTAGGGCAAGCAAGCGTAATGTTTTGCTGCGTCGACAATGATGATTCCTTCGGGACTCCACCAACCCTAGTTATTAAGGTAGCAAATATTTTTCTCTTCTAGTGCCTCTCCATCCTTACTTTGTAGGGTCATCTATTTGAGGAAATAATGGATAACACGGATTGGATTAAATAGTCCATCCGTCTAAGAAAGATAGAAATTATCCTGGTGGATTCTGTATAGATGTTGCGATTCGCGAATCAATTTTCGCTGTCACGGTCCTCGCTTACATAAACTCTCCACTATCCACTATCGAATTTTTGTTATCGCGATTTTTTTTTCTTGTCTAAGTGCACGTTCACCTTGATATACTTCTCAAATAATTCCGAAGAGATTCATCTCCCTCTTCAATCTGGAATCCCTCCCGTATCGTTTTAAAGGGTCCAGTGCCAATATGGCGCCCACCCAGGTGCACCACCACCGCTCCACTACCAAGAGCGCCAACAAGCCTTTCAAGACCAAGCATGCGTCTAAGGGTGCTCTGAAGGAGCAGGCAAAAGGTACGGAAATACTGAAGGCAACTTAGAAGTTGTATCCTCATATCAGAAAGCTAACACCCATCCAGGCAAAGTTGAGGTGGAGCGGGGCACTCGCAAAACCCCCCACCAACAGTTGAAGTCGAAACTCGATCGCCGCAACACAGCCCGCCAAAGACAAGCATTGAAGCACCAGGAGAAGGCCCAAGCAAACAGCATCTTCACCGGTCAAAACGGTGCTCCCCGCCATGTCGCCGTCGTCCCGCTGTCCACCGACATCGATATCGCTTCCGTTATCAGCTCATTGAACGAGAGTGTCGATGTTTCCACCGAGGTTTCCGCTGACAGCATTACCCGTGTGCGAATTGATCGATTCCGCCAGAGCCTACTTTACGTCCCTTCCAAATACGACCTTTTGAGTGCTCTGGATGTGTGCCGCATGGCCGACTTTGTGATCCTGGTCATGTCCCCCGAGGTGGAAGTGGAGGAGGAGGGCGAGCTCTTGTTGCGCTCCATCGAGAGCCAGGGTATTTCCAATGTCATGACTGTTGTTCAGGGCCTCGATAAGGTCAACCCACCCAAGAGGCGCCCGCAGGTGGCTTCTTCATTGAAGTCTTACATCAACCACTTCTTCCCCGCCGTTGAGAAGGTCATGTCACTGGATTCGCGACAGGAATGCTCCAATGCCATTCGTTCTCTTTGCACTGCTACCCCGAAGGGTATCCGCTGGCGTGATGAGCGCAGCTGGATGTTCATTGAGAATGTTCAGTGGCCGGATGTCGATACTGAGGTGGTCGACGACGTTGTCATCACCGGTGTCGTCCGTGGAAAGGGCTTGAAGGCCGACCGTATTACTCACATCCCTGGTTGGGGTGATTTCCAGATTGCCTCAATCACTGCGGCTCCTCTGGCTTCTACCAAGAACAAGAGAGACGATTCTATGAATGTCGACACCAACGAAACCACCCAAATCCTGGATTCCCCTACCGCCGACCAGGATGATATGGCCATTGTGGCCCCAGAGGAGATTGAGATGGAGGACGACGATATGGCCTCCATTGCTGAGACCGAGCGCAAGGGTGTCTTGCTCGACGACCACCACTACTTCTCCGATGACGATTCTCACATTCCCTCGAAGCCCACGCGATTGCCCAAGGGTACTTCCGAGTACCAGTCTGCTTGGTATCTTGCGGACGTTTCCGACTCTGGATCCGACATTGATGATGGCGAAGAGGATGAGGACATGGATTTGGACACAGGTGGCGCACCCGAGGATGGCATTTTCCCCGATCACGCCGACGCCATGACCGAGGGTGGACCCTCCGAGTACCCTCAGTCAGAGATGTTCCTTGACCCATCCCCGGAGGACGAGTCACAACAACTTGCAGACTACCGCGCCAGCCGACGCGACGAGGCTCAGGAGGACCTCGAGTTCCCTGACGAGATCGAACTCCACCCCAACGTCCTGGCCAGAGAGCGCCTGGCCCGCTTCCGTGGTCTGAAGAACCTCAAGATCAGCCCTTGGGAGACGTCCGAAGATCGTCCTTTCGAGCCCGAGGACTGGCGCAGACTCTTGCAGTTTGGCGACTACAAGGGCACCAAGAACCGTATTCTGCGGGAGACTCTCATCGGCGGTGTCAACCCCGGTGTCCGTGTGGATGTCCACCTTCGCGCTGTGCCATCTCACCTCCGCAACAAGCCCCAGCCCGTCTCGCTCTTCTCACTGCTGCGTCATGAGCACAAGCACACTGTGGTCAACATCAACATGACCTTGAGCGGAAGACTCGAGGAGCCCATCAAGGCTAAGGAGGAGCTTATCGTCCAATGTGGTCCCCGCCGTATGGTTGTGAACCCCATTTTCTCGTCCGCGGACAACACTCCCAACAACGTGCACAAGTCCGACCGTTTCATGCACCCCGGCCGCAGTGCCATCGCCACCTGGATCGGACCCATGACGTGGGGTGCCGTCCCGGTGCTTGTCTTCAAGGCCCAGCCGGCCGAGGAAGACCCCGAGGTCCTCGACTCCGCAGACGACACCGACAAGCAGGAGCCTCTGTCCCTGGACCGCCTCGAGCTCATTGCTACCGGCACAGTCATCCCACCCGACCCAGCACGTGTTGTTGCCAAGCGCGCTATCCTTGCTGGTCATCCTTACAAGATTCACAAGAACGTCGTCACTGTCCGCTACATGTTCTTCAACTCCGAGGATGTTGCCTGGTTCAAGGCTCTCCAGCTCTGGACCCGTCGTGGACGCAGCGGATACATCAAGGAGAGTCTCGGTACGCACGGTTACTTCAAGGCCACCTTCGACGCCAAGATCAACCCGCAAGACTCCGTTGGTATCAGTCTGTACAAGCGTGTTTTCCCTCGCAAGGCCCGCGCTTTGGAACAGGTTTGTGCGTAAATATGCAATTATTTTCTTGGCGTATAAGATGGATGTGATTTGTGATTTCAAGTACATGAGTTGATGAAAGCTGGTTTCCTGTTGGAAATCCAGCCAGGAACTAGTGTCATGATAGACCCCAAAAGTAGATAGGCTTGAGACATTTCATAATGAATTACGATTTTTCCTTGCATTCTCTTTTCTTTTACTGTAGACATCCCTCCCATTACTTCGAAGTATATGATGAAATGGTAGAAATATCGTCTAAACGTTCATTTCAAATGCACTATCTACTTCAGAGCGCAAATCCAGAATTATGTCGACTCGACATCACTGCAAGGCCTTTGTTCATTTCCAAGCCAGACAAATGAGAACTAATGAGAGGCAAGAAACAGCACCAAAGGGAAATCTCATGTAAAAATTCCTGACTCAACGAAGGCGGGGGAATCAGAATCAATAACAAAATTAAAGCAATCAAATTTAGGAGAAGTCTTCCTCTTCCTCCTCGATATTGCTCTTGATGCGCAAAAGCAAGGTTGTCTTCCACTTGTCCAATTTGCTGAGCTGATCGAACGAAAACAGTTTATCCGCAAACATGTCCTGGTCTTTCGCCTCAATAGCTTGGAGCAGGTCCACAAGGAGCTGGTGCTCACGCTCTGAGACGAAGGCGGGGTTAAGTTCACGGTAGGATTCGAAGGCGCGGTTAGTTTCGACGAGGTCCTGTGAGACTGATTAGCAAGGTTGGCGAGGGAGAGGTTTAAGCATTGTACGTACATTGGTAGCAAGGTGACAAATTCCTGCCTTCAAGAGGTAGTCTTTCACCGACCACTTCATGAGATGGTTGTTCATGGATTGCCGGGCAATACGTTCGTAGTACTTGATGGATGTGTAGTAATCGCCTTCCAAAGCAGCGAGGTCTGCAACCTTGAGGAAGTGCTTGTTTGCGAGACTAAATTATGTCAGGAAGCGTTAGTCATATGGCCTTAAACATCATCGTCACAACGAGCAGGGACTTACGCCTCAGCATTGTCACTCTCAAACCACTCCGCGGCCTTCTCATATGCCTCCAGCGCCTTCTTCATATCTCCCAGCTCGACCTCATAAACCTCAGCCAGGTACTGCTGCTGTGTAGCCGCACGACGCAAGTTACCCTTTAGTACGTAGTGTTGGATAGCACTGGAAAGCACACGGACCGCATCCTCCGGGTCAGACTTGCGGTAGACCTTAAAGGCTTCCTGGAGAGTATTGGCAGCATCGTCGGGTTCGTTAAGGTTCTGAGTCTGAATAGAGGCAGCACGCTCGAAAGCTTGTCCAGCTTCCTTATCTATTGAAAACAAGTGACCGTTAGCGACCAGCACAAGGTGAACAGCCCACGAGATGACGATGCGGGGGCGACTCACTCAGCTTCTGTACCCGAAAAGCATTTCCAGCCTGGGTATACAGATCGGCAGCAGCTTCGTATTTCTCAGTTCGTCCTCCAAACCAGCTAAAGCCACCCGAGGCGCCAGAGAGGGCTTTGTCGGCCTAGATACCGAGTGATAGACAAGGTCAGTTATCGGGTTTCGTCATTGCCTAGCTAGGTGGGAAGGGGGCGACAAGAAGGGGGTGGAAGAGCTCACTTTCTGTAGAAGAACTCTTGGATCTTGAGCCATGGTGATCTTGGGAAGAATATTTCTATTCCGCCTTGATTTGATATGGATTGGGGTTGTTTGACAAAAGTGTTGTGGTTGGAGTACAATCGGTTTATCGCATGAAGCGTCGATCGGGACACCCACCGCCTTTGCCCGCATTCTGTATTCAACATTCACCACGTTCCACTGAGTGCTTCTCTCCAAGACAGACTAGATTTATGTCTTTTGGAGTTGAGGAGATTTACGAAATATTCATTTCAGATTTCACGTCTGAAGATGGCGTTCCTCCGCGTAGGCTCGCGACTCTCCCAGTCCCTTCGAAACAACACAAACTTTCTCCGCAGCTACTCCTCCCAAACAGCTCAGCTTGAATCAATCCTTGCCAAACCAAGCTGGTCTGTACGATCATTACTCCCCGATGAAAGCTCGGAGCCATCTACACCATCAATCACGCCGAAAAAACTCCATCACCTCCTTCGGCTATCAGCCCTACCACAACCGGCGAGCGCAGAAGAAGAGCAATCCATGTTGCGAACATTGGAGTCACAAATTCATTTCGTGAAAGAAATGCAGACTGTTGATACTACAGGTGTGGAGCCCTTACGCAGCATCCGAGACGAAACTGCCGCTGCTACACAGGAGACAGCTATCGGGCTTGACCAGCTCCGTGATGCACTGGCCAAGGAGGAGGTTAGTGGGCGGAGGAGGAGGATCCAGCGCATCCAGGGCGAGAGGGAAACTCAACCGGACGGATCGACTTGGGATGGCGATGCGCTTGGATACGCATCCAAAACGAAGGGGAAGTACTTTGTTGTTGAGACAGGCAGCAGCTGAGGCCTTGCGTTTTTGAATGTATAAAACCATGTACTATACCTATACCCATGCCAGCAGCAATTCCTGCTTTTTATTCGAATCATTCTGAAGCAACGATAATCATGAACTTGAAGTTCTATACATTGACATGTCTGAATATGCACCTATCTAGACATATGTTCATATCCTTATACGAGAAAAGAAATATAATCATGTATGTATTCATAGAACCATCTAGTTATGCATCATAAATTTCCATGACAATCATTGAACCGTCTAAGGACGCATCATAATTTCCATATCACCATCATCATTCGTGGCCCATCACAAATCAGTAATTCTTGAAAATCATTTTGCCCTGCCATTGCCTCAGCCGCTTCCCATAAGCCTGCAAGAACGCGATCAAAAACAGTGACGCAACTGTGATGCCAGCTTGAATACCTAACGCTCTGGCAGGTCCAAGTCGATTCACCCAGTCGATCTGAACAAATGTCGCCATGAATCCCGCCCAGTTGCGACTCGCCGTAACCCATGCACCGACCTCTCCTGAGCCCTCAGGGTAGGCGTCAAGCAGATAGGAATTGATGGCAGTAGTGACGATCATGAAACCGACACATTGCATTGCAGCAACTACGGCAATCACCATGTAGTGCCATTGGTTCTCAAAGGCGAGTCCGAGTAGCACCAGACTCAAAGCGCAGAGTAAAGTCGCCGGATATGCTAGAAGTAGTCGGGCTTCTGGATGAATACGGCCGTCGTGTCTTTTGGCGTAGTGTTGTGCAACTGCATCATGGATAAAGTGGCCAATGAGCCAGCCTACAAGTACACCGACTATGCCGAAGAAATAGAAATAGCCTTGATGGGTTAGTATGATCTGATACCACATGTGTGAGGTTGGGTATTTACCGATGTCTTCAAGTGAGAAACCATACTTGTTGCTCAGCCAAATGCTAATAGTCGTGTTCACTCCGACAACCCAGGCGGAATTGAAGAAGTAGTAGATCAAGATTGTCAGCACCGGTATTTTGGTAATAGCTACCACTGGGATCAACATGCACCCAATAAAGCTTTTGTGTCGCGAAATTCGGGCCTCTCCAACGCCGGATAGACGAGAGAGATAAGAACCACGAGAATCAGGCGGCGCCTTTCGATCAAACAGCGTCTCGTCAAGGAAGAAGACAAGAATCAAACTAATGCCCGAGAGGATCGTGCATACCCAGAAGGCCCATCGCCAGCTCACTGTCGTAACAATGAATGCGGTAATCAAGGGACCAAGGTATGGACTGCCGACGATCGAAAATTCGACATAGTTGATGACCTGCGGATGCTGATGAAAGAAGTACAAATCTTTGATCCACATTAGCGCACCTCCCTGACCGACACTGCAAAAAAAGCCATTGATGATACGGGCAGCGAGGTAAGAGTGGAAACTGGTGGCGGCAGCAGACCATGCACACGTTCCGAGCATAAGAGATTGAAAGACCAGCAGAACTGGCCAACGACCAAAGTAGCTCGTAAGTGGAACGACAAATAAGCCACAAGCACCAATCGTAAAAAGGTTTCCTACAACGGCTTTCTGAACAGTCGCCTGAGTGAGACCCCATTGCCTGCATGTTATTAGCCAGAAATCTGCAAGGGACTATATACCCTGGGGTATGGTTTGTATGGTAAGTTATGTCTCAACTTACATCGACTGCGGCAGAACAGTGATAATAGCAGACCCACCCGTGTAGTCGGCCAACAGAGCGATAAAAGCAATGACAGCCACGATCCATCGTTTCTTGCCTTCAGACCAGTTCAGCGGGTCATTGTAGGAATCCAACGGCTGCGGGATGAGAACAAAACGGCCATCGGAGCTGGTCTTCAGTCTGGCTGCATTGTTTGCATAATGACTGGGATCAACCACGTAACCCTCCAGAGCCTCAGTTTCTTCATCGACGCCAAGACTTTCAAAGGGCTTTTCGTACGTGGTGGTGGGGGGAGACATTCTGAAAAGAGTAATGAGAGGATCAAAGATACGAAGGCCAAAAGACTGGCAAAATCAAAAGCAAAGATGATCGAAATCGGAAGGAGGGTGTGGTTGACATGAGGTTGTACACGCAAGGAAGATTAATTTAGTGTTGAGAACTCACCTCACTTGACCATGTTTACGGGTGAGGACGTGTTGGACAGGTGAATTTGGAACTCCCCTGCTTGTTGACCTTTTCGACTCCAAAGCCAAATTTTTCTCGCCGCGTTTCCAGATCTATCATAAAGTAAATTCCAGTGTCCCGTGGGTATGGTACCATTCTACGGACGGTTGCAGTCCTTATTAATTCTAGGGGTTGAACAGGTAAATCATTGAGCAACCTGCTTTAACTACGTCCTACGCCACATATGCTCATGGCTGAGTGGCTATCAAAGTGCTAACGGCGTGTGATATGTCTCAATTCTCAGTAAGGAGCCGAAGCTCGGTACTTTTGCACTAATGAATATTCACAAGACACGAAAGATGAAACAATAAATAAGAGCATCCATGGATGTAGTATGTTGGTATGCAAGTTTAAGTAAGTGATGACCCGAGTCCGACTGCAACCAGGTAAGTTGAAACCCCGGTGAATCTGACCAACACCTAGGATCAACACGCATAGTGGATGTAGATCGGGTGATCGTCCAGTAATTAAGTTTCGAGTGGATCCCCCTGCATCGGCTTGGGCTGATAAGAAATTCACATTGTAACACGAGTTTTGGTCAGGATTGTGGCGAGGAATGTTTGGAAATCAGATTATATGTAAACTGCTCTATACCCCCGACACCGGTATGCTTGGCTTTTTAAATCCTCCCAGGCCGTTTTCCCCTATCAAACCATGACGGATGGCTTGTCCATATCCGATGGAGGAAAAGGTCCGGTGGTCTTGGGTGTAACTTGGGCGGAAATGGGATTGGCTTTCGTTCTGATTATTCTTCGTGCTAAAACGGCCTCGGTTTGTCCATCGCGACAGCTGTCGTCAGGTTTATACGGTTTACGATGGGATTTTGTGTGGGTGATTATTGCCTTTGTATGAAATCTTTCTTATCACCATCTCTCTTGCTTGTTGTCGTGGTTTTGATCCTGACTATTGTTATGATAGACGGTTGCTCTAGCTGCCCAGACTACCATGACTGTGAGCGTCCGTTACGGACTCGGCACTCACCAGACCCTGCTTGCACCCGACAGGATTGTCCAAACAAACCTTTGGAGCTGGATTGGTCAAGTCATTGCCATTCTGGATTTAGTTATTGCGCGCATCGCAGTGATCGCTTTCTTACTCACCATACAAAACGGCACTAGAAGCAAGGGCAGGTACCTTCTTTACGCCGTGGGGGCAACGCAAGCCATTATCAATGTGATCGAGGTTGGCTTGATCTTCAAGCAATGCACCCCGACAGCAAAGCTATGGAATAATAACCTACCAGGAACTTGCGATGGGATAGTGATATGTTCTCAGGTGGGATTTGCTCAAGGGAGTATGTGAACTATATCCACTTTGATGATCTCGATACTAACATCCCCAGGCATTGGAGCCTTTTCTGACTTCTTCTTGGCCGGATACCCGGTCTATGTCATTGGAAGGCTTCAGGTGATGAAACTATCGACAAAGATCGGCCTTTGTCTAATCATGGGAGGTGGACTAATGTAAGCGTCCTGGCCCAAACTCAGCATAACCCGCTAACACAGCGACAGAGCAGGAATTGCTGGTATCAACAAAACCATCGCGATCGCCTCAATAACTAAAGTTGAAGACTTGACTTACGCCATCTACAAACTAAATACCTGGGTCTTGACCGAAATGTGGTTCATAATTATTTTCGGCTCCATCCCAACGCTCCGTCTGTTCTTTATCAAATTCACCCAAGATCTGAAGAGCGCCACTGGATTTTCGTCGCGAAGCTCCGGAAAGCGATCCAATGGGGAGGGCTATATCAGCGATAGAGAACCACGCCAGTCGTGGGTGGAAATGAACGACCGAACACCAGGGTCGTGGAATCCACATGCCACCGCCATTACCTGTGCGACCCATGATAGCGATGAAGCTCAGCGGAGGGAAGAAACCGAGCAAAGTGACCAGCAAATATTGGTTACAAAGGACACAGTTGTCTCTGAGGAATATCAAGTGAAACAATGAAGTCTGTTGGAGATTCAATCGATCTGTATACTATCAGAACACTCAAACGCATCACGACTACACCTGAAGGCCTCCAAAATGAATAATGAATCACTTAATCGAGGAAGTTGATCCTTAAGGTCTCCTAGAGAGTTCAACAGAGCAGTCTGTTATACCATGACGCCCCTTGGTAAAGTGTAGTAAAATTTAAGGCACATGGAAATTCCACAAATCCGGAGTAAGCACTTGGACCATGTGAGAGGTTGCAACGCGACTTTTGCCATTTGAGGCTAATCCACGTAGTACCGTCTCCTTGCATGGCGGGGGTGTTCGGCAACGTGCATGATTGCCTCTTTCCAGCCGACGATCAGAACAAACACAACAACACCGTTTCACTTTGCACTCAAATAAACCCACACATATCCAATTCCAGATTGACACACGTCCATCCACCATGTCTGTATCAGAGGCCCTCTCGAAGGTCCAAAAGCTTGTCTCTGAGGAGGCATCGGGAAACAAAGATGCCCACGCGGACCTTCTCAAGGCAATCCGGGAGCTGCAGCTTGCCGCGGAGACGCCATTAGAGACTACCTCTCGAGTGAACTTTCAGGTGAGCACAAGCAAAATCGCATGATATGATAACGCCTGATATCTAATTCTTCTCTGACAGATTCTGCAAAACATTTCTATCAGAGTCGCTATTGAGCATCAATTTCTTCATATCCTTGTTGAACATGATAAGCCCGTTTCCGCTGCGAAATTGGCCATTGAGACGGGGGCGGATCTTTTATTGATCGGTCAGTAATACTTAGCCTATGGCACTGGGCCAGAGATTGTTGACAAGATGAACAGTCCGAGTAATGCGCATGTTAACGGCCATTGGTTTCTGCGATGAAGTTGGATACCAACTGTATTCTGCTAACGACAAGACGCGCTTCAAAATCCTTCCAGGATCAATCGCAGCCGAAAAGCACCAGTAAGTGGCTTTTTTCAACAGGCCTGTCGGTTATTGTGTGTGCGACTAATATTCAGATAGCTTCGATCTCGATTTCGGCATGGTAAATACCCTCAACCTGAGTCAAAAACTACTTCTAATTGAGTACAGGGTGGGCGACTGGTAGATTACATGCGCGGACCTGGGATTCAACAGTTCGCCGACGAACCCGGTGCCATCACACTGTTCAACTATGCCCACGGTACCGATGTCATCTTCGGTCTGCTGGAGCGAAACCCAGAGCAGAAAAAAGCCTTTGATGATTACATGGCCGCCCGTCGGGTGGATGACATGCCACAGTGGTTCGAGATCTTCCCAGCAGCAGACAAAATAGGCCAGCTTCGGGAGGATCCAAGTGCAGCTTTGATGGTTGATGTGGGTGGAGGTCCTGGACAAGAACTGGCAAGATTCAAGGAGCGGTACCCCCACCTTCCGGGTCGATTTGTCCTTCAAGATCTTCCAATTACGTTGAACCGTATTGAAAAGCTGCCAGATGGCATTGAGGCCATGAAGTATGACTTTTTTACTCCGCAGCCTGTCAAAGGTATGTATATGGTTCCGGAAATGTGGACTCGGATTGTGCTTACGTTGGATTTCGCTAGGCTCTCGTCTGTACTTCCTGCGAGATGTACTGCACAACTGGTCGGATGCGAAGAGCGCCCAGATTCTATCTCGAATTGTTGAAGCCATGGATCCGGAGTACTCTACTCTGATTATCGATGACTACGTTCTACCTGATACCGGGGCTGAACTCCGAGCTGCGGAAATGGATATTCTCATGTGGCTTCACACAGCTGGACTGGAAAGAACAGTCTCACAGTGGAACGGCCTGTTCGATACAGTGGGCCTGGAGCTTGTGAGCATCTGGAGCTCTCCCCGTGGAAATGAGTCTGTGTTGGAAACACGGGTTCGGCGGAAGTAGCCGTTCCATATTGAGGATAGGACACGCGACCCGCCCCCGCAGAGCCGCAGGGTCTCGAGTTCACCGTTCATGAGGCCCCGATCTGACCAAATTATCGATAGCTCTACATGTATGAATTAGTCTCAGACAACTATTCAAAACAATCCATTCCGATTAGCAAGTCTGAGTACAGCTTGTGAATTACTCGCCGTTTTCGTAATTTAGCCGACTGCTGCCTCAGGCAACACCCGAAAGAGCCAAGCATATGCTGGCCCCTCATCACTGCCAACTTCCATCACTCCTACCACTCTTGCTATTTTGTATATCTGCAGTTCCTTTGATACTCATCGGTAATGTTTAAAAATCTCAAAGAAAAACATGGCCACTTTTTCGAGTCAAAAGAGCCCAATGCATCCACTCCGCCTAGCGAACGCGGTCAAGATCTGACGTCAATACTGGACCGATCGCAACGGGCCGACCTCACTGTACTCGTCGCAGAAATTGCAGAGTCAATGAGAATTGGTATTCTCGAGATTTTCGAAAATACCGAAGAAAGCTTGAATAAAAGTCCAGCCCCTCCTACACCGAAGGAGGAGGCGGAAGAGGAGCACGAAGATGCAGGACCACCGCTGCCTCCGAGGCCGGATGGTACTTCTCCGGCGGATGATAAGAGCCTACAACCTTCCAGGGCCGACATGAGGAAGAAATCATCAAAAGCCCGAGCTAAGAAAACAGCACTCTCACACTTTGAAGATTGGCGAGATGCTGTTCTGCTGCGGATCGGCGAGGTCGTCAACAAAGATGATGACAGCCAGGTCCAACAGCCAGATAAAGACCCAGCGACCCAATCGGACGATATTCCGTTGGGTGAAGATACTAAGCGAATGGAAAAACTGGCGGAGATATATCATCCCATCGAAACACCATTGGCGCAGCTACCCAAAGCGACGAGGCTGCTTATTCTACACTCCCTTCTCTTATTATTGCTCAGTCTTGAGCATTACAATGCCTATTCACGTGTTCTGATGCTCTATACTGCATCCAGTCTTGGTATAGATATCAAAGTGCTGAATGAGGACGAAGTCAAGGTAGCACGTGGACTTCTCGATACTGCGCTCGCACTATCAGATCCAGAAGCCAAACAGCCGCCCAAGAAAAGCAATGATGCCCGCAAATGGAAAGTCGGTATTGCATCGGTCGCTGGTGCTGCTCTAATCGGTATTACTGGTGGCCTAGCTGCCCCATTGGTAGCTGCAGGCATCGGTACTATGATGGGTGGTCTTGGTCTGGGCGCGACCGCTGCTGCGGGGTACCTCGGTGTTCTGGCTAGTAGCGGCGTGGTGGTTGGTGGACTTTTCGGCGCATATGGAGGACGAATGACGGGTCGGATGATGGACAAGTATGCGCGGGAGATTGAAGACTTTGCTTTCATTCCCACTCGAGGGTCGCGCAAGCGGACAGTGAAGGAGAGTGATGCTGCTCGACAGGATCATCGGTTACGAGTTACTATTGGTGTTACTGGATGGGTGACTGAGGAATCTAACTTTGTGGTTCCTTGGAAAGTCATTGGAGCTGATTCGGAGGTGTTTGCCTTGCGCTGGGAGATGGAGTCTTTGATGAATCTCGGCAATGCCATCTCCTCGTTAGTAACGAGTGCGGCGTGGTCGGTTGCCGGAAAGGAAGTTCTGTCTCGTACCTTTTTCTCGGCAATCATGAGCGCAGTCATGTTACCTCTTGGTCTTATGAAAGTTGCCCGGGTCGTCGATAACCCGTTTAGCGTTGCTAAGTCCCGAGCCGACAAGGCAGGCGAAGTTCTAGCAGATGCATTGATCAACAAAGTCCAGGGAGAGCGCCCCGTTACTCTGATCGGGTACTCCTTGGGGTCTCGCCTTATATTTTCCTGTCTCCAGCACCTGGCCAAGCGAGGAGCATACGGGATCGTCGAATCAGTCATTCTGATGGGCTCGCCAACACCTTCAGATGCAGAGTACTGGCGCCGCATCCGCAGCGTGGTCAGCGGACGAGTAGTCAACGCCTACTCAGAGAATGACTCTGTACTAGCCTTCCTGTACCGCACCAGCAGTCTCCAGTATGGAATTGCCGGACTCCAGAAAGTCGAAAACGTTCCCGGCGTCGAGAACATCGACGTTAGCGAGATGATCAGTGGCCATCTCCGGTACCAGTTCTTGCTTGGCAAGATCATTTCATCCATTGGACTTCAAGACATCGATATTAGCGAAGTGGAGCGCGAAGAGGCTGCACTAGCAGCCGAAGACAAGAAGCAAGAGGAACAGCGTGTCAACAATGAGCGTGAGGCGGGCGTGACAGATCGTGATTCATCTGTTGCACGCGAGACCCTCAACAGTCAAGATGGCTTTGGGGAGGAGGCACGGATGCAGAAGCAGGTTGAGACGCAGACTCAGGATCATATGACTAACCATCGCATTCACATGTTGGACTTGGACGATGAAGATTACTCTTCGCCTTTGTCGGATCAGCCGGGAAAACATTCTGCTCTGTGAGATATGATCTACGATCAAGGATTTAACCTTGCGATGAGTATATCATGGTTGAAGATATTAGCATATTTCGAATGAACCCTATTCATCAGTAGACATCATACAACCAATGGAACCCATTTCTTTGAATACCGCTTTTTCTCTAACGGTTATTGGTTTCCTCAAGATTGTAGTGCTCATCGTTTCGCTTTTGCTCACCGACTTTTCTTTAAGCAGTATTGTTACCCAACACGAACGTGACCTGCTTAGAAATATCCTGATGATACATACCCCTGTCTTATTGAAAAATTACAGCTTAACGACAGTATGTACATGATGTGTAGGACCTGATCGAGTTTGACAAGGGTAGTGTGTTGAAGTGTTCAAGCGAGAATTCCAAGGTTTGCAAGCATGGAAGTATTGTGCTTTGTCGCCTCTCTGGTGCTCCTTCCGGCAGCTTTTACATGGCCTATTCGCTAAGGCATTCATCAAGTCGAAATGCGTTGAGAGTAATGTTTTTCTGCCACAGGAACTGGCGCAATTCTGGATCGGGGCGAGCCGTGGCGGCCCCTAGAATCCCGGCCGTCACTAGCGTGGCCCCCGGAATCGTCGATAGCGAAATCAGGGCAACACGGAATCGTGAACTTACTTCTTGAAAAAGTTTGGTTATCTGTGAATTATGATCTGTACTGGATTGTTCAAGGTCGCTAAGAGCTTCCTTTTGGTATCCAAATAATTACAAACGCAAATGCTAAGCTATAGTACAATTCGCTATGCAAGGGTGAGCTATTCAGCTTTCTCCGTTAGGAAAGTCATGACTGCTCTGGACTTGGCTCTCGGTAGGACTAGTTGTCGATACTGGCAGATAATTCCACGACTTCGAAATCAAATCGTCATAGCACCGGACGCCGTACTGTTTCAGGATATGTTTATAACAGAACAAGGTCCAGGCAAGTGCACCTGAAAAGACGCCAGCAATGAAAAGTTTAACAAGTACGCTGGTGCCTTGTTTTGTCTCGACGCCAACAATTTCATGGACCAAAAAGGCTTCGGGGTCATCGGCTTCGGGCAGAGTTTCACCAGTCCAGTACTGTGGACTGGGGGTGCGTAGGCGAGCAGACACACCCATTACCTCCATGTCCGCATCAAGGGCCTCAACAGAAACCCAGTCCATGAAACCTCGGGCAATAAAAGAAGTCTCGAATCCATCTTTCTGAACAGTACCGATTTCTGTCCTATTGCTGGTCGAATTTGCTTGCGCGAAGAATCTCCAGTGTGCGATGTCAGTGGCACCATTCCAGCTGACGTGGAAGACTGTCGAGAGCTCATGTCCATCGATGCCGTATGATTCAGACAAAAGCGTCGGTGGGGAAGAAGGGCGGCCAACCCAGGGGTATTTGTAGCATCGGTATGAATCGAATCGTTTGGAAGCGAACTTGGCCTCCATGAGCAGCCTGCCATCGGCCGAAAATTCACTGATATAGCTCTGCGCAGACCAGTGAGCGAAGACGTTGGTGTTGGGAAGTGTCTGCATATTTCCACGGCGCTCAGTGCTTCCTCCGTCCGGTCGCATATATTGACGAAGCAAGGTCGCTTTCATTCTCACAACGTCTACGTTCACGTACATGGCTGATGAAACGTTTTGTTGGACATTGAGACCGATGGCGCCGTTCTGCATCAATGAAATCACGTAGTTTGTCTCGTTCACGGCGATGAATCTGGCGTCGTGCTGGCCGAAAAAGTCAAAGTCCTTTGCAAAGTTATTCTTCTTGCCGCCAAGACGCCAGATAATATGCCCATCCTGGCCGGAGATAAGATATATCGTGCTCGTGTGTCGGGCAGAGAGCAGATAGTCACCGTACGGGCTTTTCTCGACGGAATTGGCGTGCATGAAGTCCGAGTCGAGGTATGCAATATTCGTCACATAGCTTTCATCCAAGCCGACTTTACCGCAAGCGCGCCAGTCCACGATCCTTTGTGGCGTCATGTTTCCCGGACCCAGAAGGTCAAGCTCGACGAATCCAGTGCCTTTCATGCGCGTTGATACCTCTGGCTGGCCAAAATCCTCAAGGGTTTGGACCTCTACACTGTCTAGGATCATAAGGGCCTTCGTCCCATGTTCAATCACGTTAAACTCGTGGGCGTCGATCTCAGAAGACGAGAAAGTGATGTTGCGCTCTTCGTTGTAGTGATTATCGTAAATCATCACGGAGCCATTGGTCACCGGGTTATACGGCTCGTAGCCCAAGATCCAAGCCATATATTTCTGTCCTTCAGAACCAGGCACACCCGCAGTTGCAAGATCGATCATTTGGAAGTCCTGTGAAGGTCTATTATCGGACTCTTGCGAGCCGGCCCACACCAGGACCTAGTCACGATAGTCAGTATATCAATGTAGAAAGGAAACATGGATGAATACTAACACCATCCTGATCAAAGATATGGGGTCCTGTCTGGTACGGGACCCATTGTTTTGATTCTGTATCGCCGAGCCAGTTCCAGTAAGGTGCAGTAAACCAATAACCTGGAGCTATGGCAGAGCGATCATAATGAGTGATGTTCCATTTAATTATGCGATGGTTGGGTAACTAGGGTTTCGTGAGCCCGAGGTTTTACCGGTGAAACTCCAAGACTTACGGTGCGATATTTGATAAAATCATCATCGTTGAATTGAAAAGGATTTTTTGCTGCGACACCGGAGATGAAAAGGAGAGAAGAATAGAAAAGAGAGAGCATCCTATGATCTATGAGGCGCTAAATGAATGATCGGCCCCAGGAAGATAAATTCAGTAACAAGAGAGCAGAAAACGAACCAAAAGTGAAGGAGAGAAGTTGAATAATGGAATGGTTCGGAGAGAACCTGTTATCCATTATAGACTCATTTTTTTGCCCTTTTGGCTGGCACCTCAGCCACCACTCGCGAGAGTATTCCGATTTTAAGAACCGGAGTGACCGAGACTATAGCAGAAATGGTAACATGATAAGCGAACGGTATCCATTTTGAAAGCAGTCGGATCACGGATAAGGAACGTGGCTCGGGCAATCTGGTGCTTTTTCTGATTGATGAGAACTTGAGCCGAGTTCTAAGTTCCACTAGTGACCACATCGTGGTATGACTGTGGGGCGGGTAACCAAGCTTTTTCTCTCCTGGGTGAGGCTAGCCGAGGCGAGGCTAGGCGAAACGAACGAATATGCACCGAAGTAAGTGGGGAGTGGATCTGCTACTGCTACTATTGAATTTGCGCGGATACCGGGCCAAATAGCCTTGTTAATGACTACTCAATTCTCGGCCCTAATTTTCATCCGATTACCACTCGCATTCGAGAAATATTCTATCAGAGCGTATTGTTGGTGAGACTGATTTCGATCCATCCTATACCTATCAGGTGGTAGGTAGGGATTGTAGGTCGGCATAGGCTAGACCGGTATTAAAGCTAATAAGCTCGTTCGTAATCATCATAGATAAGCAAAGAAAGTATTTAGAGGGAAGAGTGTCTTATCAAAGAAAAGGGGTGTCAGACCGAGCGGAACCTATCCCGACTGTGGGTTCTTGCTGACCTAGTTCACCTGATCTAGAGTGATTCCACAAAAGCTTGCGGCTTAAGTAAATAAACCGACGGTCGCTCCGATAATATTGCTCAACTTTCATTATATTAATGGTAACTTCGGGATCAAATGAAGCTAAATATCACTTAAATGAACCGTTTCTGCCAGGCGTCCTATTATAAGGCCCGTATTGTACCAAATGGCCATTCAAAAGGCTTAAAAAAAACTGCATCATGTAGTAATTTAACTTGTTGTAAGGCCTCCAATTCAACCAAAGACACGCTATCTCTACAGTAGCTTTCAATTCAATGCGGTCTACTCAATGGAATATATACGCTAGCGCTTTCATTAGTGGGTCCCGAGAAAAAAAAAAAAGGCAGTCGTTGGGGAGGAAGCAGATTTCGCTAGTGAATGTATCGTATCGGTGCATGAAAAATCTATATCGCAGAATGCTAAACAATAATGGACCAAAAGGAAATCAAGCTTCGATCACCAAGATCAAGATCCACTATATCTCTCTATACGGACGCCCATACGGATCCTGCCCCCACTGCGCATTCCCTCCCAAACTACCCTGGACGTGCGCATATCCGTCTTGCACATTATGTGACTGGGCCGGGTACTGCACCTGACGAATAAGAGGCTCGGACTGCGCAAGCTGAACCTGCTCAAATGGCTCGTTATGCACATAGCCACTCTGTCCACTCTGGTTTGGCCGAATGGCCAGCAGCTCAGCCTCTGATTGATTTCCCTCAACAGAAGCCTGCTCACTCTCTCCCTCAACATCCTCTTTGAAGATACGTTTCTGATTCCGCACATGAACATGGTGCAGAGTCCTGTACATAGACTGTACCTCCCGGAGATACTCCATCGGATTATAGTATGCGAGCCAGGCGTGAATGCCGAATGGACCACCCTGGTAGCATCGTGGTACGGGCCTTCCGTGCTCATTGACTTCTGCAAGCTTTTCTTCGGAGTCGGTCGGTGATTTCTTTACGCGGTAGACTTTTGTGCTGAATGCATAGCGAATAAAGATTGCGAAGGGGACCATTTGGACGCAGATTACCATTGTGGGAATACCCATGTGGACATCTGCGTAGCTGAGTTTTGAGGTTTCTTTGAAGATTTTTGAGGATTCGAGGATCATGAAGGCGATCTGGAATTGAATTAGAGGTCAGGCTTAACTTAACTTACCGAGGGTAATGACTAACCTGTTCGACAAAAATAAGACCGACCATGAGCTTGAAAGACAATAGCTTCATCAATGGCTTGTGTTCCTTCATATACTCCTTTGTGTTTGCGTAGAATCGAATGACGGCGTTAATAGCGATGGTGACTGAGACTTCTTGAATAATCTCGAGCTATGAACCCGTCAGTCATCAGTTGTCTCCCGTCAGAGCGAATCACATACCCAGAGGTGAGCAAAAGCCGGTTTGTTAGATTCAAGACAGTACCGATCAAAGGCCGCTGCAATACACTGAAAAACAGCAACCCAAAAGGTGACAATGGGGTATTGCAATGTGGAATAGTAACTAAGCTATCTCGGGCATGGTTGTCAGCATTGTATCTCAGGAGATCGAAATCGCTACTAACCTTCAACCAGGAAATACCCTCCCTGTATTGATTCTTTCTAAATAATTTCTTCACTTTGAGCTTCCCGAAGAACTCGTCTCGTTTTCGCTCGGTCGGGGAAATGAAATCAATCAAAAGCATATGAAAAGCATAAAGCGCAATAGCCTGGAATACTTCTGTCCATCCTTCTAGGTAGACGTAGGAGTTGGGGAAGGCGATCGCTAAGTAGGAGAGAATCGAGAAGGCGGGAAGCATATGAACAATTCTCATAATTCTGATTTTATTAGCATGCGAACATGGAAGATAAGTCATCTTTTGTACATACTTGACTTGTTCGCTGGGAACACTGCAGCGACAGGCATGCTCTGCCATGAGACTGAATATTAATACACAGGTGATGAATGTGCATACACCAGAGACAATCAAATTGAAATGGTAGAAGGTCATGCTCCCCAGAAAGGGATCCTCGACTTCCATTCATTAGCTGAAGGTATTTATTGTCGGTTTCATTTGCTACACACCTTCTGTGAGATGGGCCGGCATGGGACATGTTTCATTTTTCAGATAATCCGATACAGACCCCCGAGGGAGGAGAGATCCTGTGAGTGGACCCATATTGCTAGTGAAATTGAGTCCAAATGTGAAAACCAAGGTATACGCTAAGCAAAGCCAAGCCTTGGGGAAGCCAAGATTCTCGTGGAGTGATCGAGGTGATTTAGAGAAAATTTCAGGGTCTGCTCAGGCAGGGGCTTTATATTCAAGGAGACCGGAGTAACTACGAACACTATAAAGGACACTTGAAACTGTTGGGGCCCAAAGCCTTGTCGATCCTTCGCAAAGTACGTTCTGGTCTCACGGCTGAGATGCATAGATAACGCACTAGAAAATGCGGACTCAGCCCTGCAATGGCAAATGCGGAGCCAATAACCCGCCTCAAATGTACGATCGCACTGCCCGTTAATCACACTAGATGACGGGTAATATTGGGGGCCTGAGCTAGTCTAGCTACGGTAAACTGTTCGACGCCATTTAGGGGCGCCAAGGCCGCTGATCGTGTCCGCGAAGCTTAACCACAACATCTCAATTACCGATCCTGTCGCGGGATTGCGCAAATTTCCGGTTTCTACCTGCATAGACCTCAGCCAATGAAGGCTATACACTCCCCATGTCCAATTCCCGTGGCCCTAGCAAAGGGTGCTTTCGGTGCCGAGAATTGAAAGTGAAGGTTTTGCCCCCAATTTTTGACAAGCGGTGTACAGCGCTAACAGCCCCTCTGCCCCAGTGTGACCAGAATAAACCCTGTCAACGATGTCGTAAAGCGCAGAAAGAATGCAAGTACCAGGATGAGTTTGATCGGCTTCATCGGGACCAGTCGAATCATGCGAAAGAAGCTGCGGAGACGAAATGGCGTCAGCGTGCTGATCCGATAAAGAACTGTTTAGCACAAGTATATTCATCGACGGAGGCTTCGCCACGTTTAGAGACTTCGCTGTATGAGCAAGCTTATCGTCGGTTCTGTTATGATTTTGTTACTCCGTTTCCTGGGGCCCTAAGCAGGCTGCCTCAGTTGTTGTTTGAGAACCCGCCTGAATCTTGTCTGTGCTCTGCTGTGGCGGCGGTGGCTTACGCCAATTTTCACAGCAGATGCAAATCTGATGAGGCTAGGGAGGCAGCTGCTATATACTATGGCAAAACACTACAACAGTTTGCTGCGGTTATGTTAGACCCTGTGCAAATTCAAAAAGATGACAATCTCTTGGTTATCTTCCTCATGAGTATGTATGAAGTAAGTGTATAGATCTCGGAGGGTTCCTCGAGTTTCAAGTTAACAGGTCCAGATGCTTACTTCATCCACACGAGACGGGTCGTACCTGGCTCATTTGAATGACGCTCAGTCGGTTATTGCGCACCGAAGCGGTTCCAGTCTCCAGGATGGTAACAATCATCTTGCACTGTTATGTACGCATATGGTGAGTCACCCCTATATCTCATCTAAGTTGTAATCTTTGGCTAAGCTTCTTGCAGATAGTATGGTACTTGACGGATCTCACTTCTCCACCGTCGCTCCTGGCCAGCTGGGTACAACAGATCCCTTTCGACTCAGCTCTCAAAAAGCGGCTGACGTGCCTAATTTCCGCTACTGCGGCCATTTGTGCCAGGCTAAAGGAGCACTCCGGCGCTGAAGAAGTCTCCGAAATCCCAAATTCAGACCTCAAACAGGCTCTGGAAGTCGACCTAGAGCTTCAGAAATGGACCTCAGACCTGCCAACGGAGTGGAAGTACGCTGGAAGGAGCCCTATGACCCACACAAGCCGCCCAGATTGGGCCAAAAACTTACTTACGATGCCCGGCTCGCCCGATTACATGCAGATTTACTCCAATGCCTTAGCAGCAAGTGACTGGAACATGTATCGCGCCACCCGCATTCGACTTTGGATCCAAATCCTGAAATATGTATCCCGATATCCATCTGAGGTTAATGCCCCCGCGCTCGAAGAGCGAGGTCTTAGTGTACTTCGCACACTGACTGGTGAGATCGCCGAGACAATACCATACTCGATCACTCTTTCCCTGAATGGCTCAGGAGACCCAAAATCCCCAGAGGATATCCCAGGCATTTTTGCATATTCCATTCTATGGTCCACTTTTACATGTTTCGTTTGCTACCAGAGCGGCCTACTGGAGAAGAACATATATAAGCACCGCACTATGTGGTTTGGGGCGATGCTACGCTTCCTACGCGACACAGCAGGTATCGCTAAAGTAGAGGTTTTGTTGGCAGACAAGCAATACCAAGCAACATAGAGCCATAAACAATGTCCCAACCAATAAAATCATGGTCCCCGAATACTTTGATTGTCCCCACACTAGGAGCTATGACCACCTCAACCGCCAAACCTTACGATGATCTCATCTCTCGCAGCAGCTACCCAAAATCGTTAGAAATTTGACAGGGAGTTCACAACAGCACGATCGAAAGTGTGGACCCAGTCTCCACAACTACTGTACAGCTGTCCAGCCAGCTGATCACTTCCCATCTTCAAAGCCTCATTCGACTCGAACTCTGGTCACCACGTCAACACCCTGCAAACGCGAAATTCGGCCCCAATTCAGCACCCCTGAAAACCAACCAAAAACTCCACTTATCACATTTTACGGAGTACACCCAACCGAAATGGCCTCGAACCCCACAATGAAGGCATGGCTCTACAGCCGCACAAGCGGCGGTCTAGAAAAAAACATGCATCTGGACCCATCGGCACGCACACCCCCACCCCCAAAATCAAATGAAGTTCTCGTCCAAGTCCTCGTCGCATCCCTAAACCCGGCAGACTACAAGGTCCCCGAGATGTTCTTCGGTCTAGCTGCAAAGTTAGTGATCGGCACACCTGCCTCACCAGGAATGGACTTTTGCGGACGCGTAATTGCGACAGGATCATCCGTAACGCGCTTCACGACCGGCCAGCTCGTCTTCGGGTGTGCAAGTCGCCCGGTGAAATTCGGGTCCCTGGCGGAGTGTCTATCCATTTCTGCGGATTTGATCGCGGCGGTTCCGGAAGGCGTTTCTCCCGATCAGGCTGCTGGGATTGGAATTGCGGGACAGACGGCGTTCCAGTCTTTAGATGGGTATGTGAAGGCTGGTGATAAGGTATTTGTTAATGGTGGCTCTGGTGGTTGTGGGCAATTTGCTATTCAGATTGCGAAGGGGATGGGTTGTCATGTTACTGCTACCTGCTCGACGAGGAATGTTGAGCTTTGTCGTGGACTTGGAGCTGATGAGGTTATTGATTATACTGCTGAGAAGGATTTGAGTGCTACACTCCGTGAACGGGGTGTTATCTTTGATATTATTCTGGATCATGTTGGTTTACCTTATGATCTTTACTTTCAGTGTCATCACTTTTTGAGGCCTGGAGGTGTCTTTTTGCAGGTTGGTGGTCATAATATGATGGATACTCATGTGGCGAGAGTTGGATGGCCTTCTTTCCTTGGTGGTGGAAAGAGGAAGTATAAGATTTTCTTCTTTGCTAATACGCAGGCGCATGTTGTTGCTATTGGAGAGATGTTGCAGAAGGGGACTTTGAAGGTGCAGGTGGATAGTGAGTATGAGTTTGAAGATGCTGTGAAGGCGTTTGAGAAGTTGCGTTCTGGGAGGGCTAGGGGTAAGGTCTTGGTGCATGTTTCTAAACAATGACCGGATGAGTTCTGTACAGAGCAGTCCTGAACCAAAAAGTAGTAAATTAATAACTGTTCCTTAGGAGATTCAATCAAGCGGCTTCCATATTTGAGTAACTACCAGAGTAAATTATTACGTACAAACATCCTCCAAAATCAATTGTATTAAACGACTCGAATATACAGTATCGACACCATGACATCCTTAACATATTAACCCCATATCAGCAACAGCAGGCAATTGGTGTCATACCAATGATGTCCAGTCCCGCTCGACTAGAACACCAATGATAGACACATCGAAGTAAATATTTTACAGGATGTAAGCGGCGGCAGCAGCCATGACGGCAGCACCAGCAAGGTTACCCTTGACATTGGCACCGGCGTTGTAGGCGGGCGAGGTGGTAGCTCCAGTGGCACCGGTAGTCTTGGAAACCAGCGGGGTGGAAGTGCCGGCAGGGGTTGAGCCCGAGCCCGGGCTGGGAGTGGTGGATCCAGTGGGGGCCGCAGTGGTGCCGCTTGAGCCAGAGCTCGAGCCAGAGGCAGAAGCGGAGGCAGAGGACGACTCGCTGCTGGACATAGTCTCAGTAGTAGTCGCAGTAACAGTCTCACTAGCAGAGGTCGAAGTGGGAGCAGAGCTGGAAGTAGACGTGCTCTCACTGGCGGAGGTGGTCAGGATTGGGGCGAGCGAGATAGGGACGCCGGCGGAGGAGCATTGGGCGACAACAACATTCGAGACGGCTAGCGGGTATATTAGTATGTGATACTATTGGAAGACATTGCATACATACATGCTTGGTCGGCGACCTTGCAAGCCTTCTCAACGCAAGGAGTGATGTCGGAGATCAGTTGAGGCTTCGCGCAGTGGCAGGCGAAGTCAGTCAGACCCGAGCATCCATCGCTGGTCAGGGCAGAGACGAAGCAGTTGAGCTGGCTTTTGTTAGTGGGGGTGTATGAGATAGATTGAAAGCAGCTCATACCGAGCAAGCAGGAACGTCAGGGAGCTGAGCGTTGGCCAAGCCGGCAGCAACAAGAGCGATCAAAGCGTGAGAGAACTGCATGTTTGCTGATGAATTTTCAATAAAACAGATTGTTTGTAATGCCGGAAGCGACTGTCAAGGCTATAATGAGCGAGGCGATGATCTGAGTAAAAGAGGACCTGAGGTCAGACAGAGGATACAATGGCCTTTTATAAGCTTTGGGCTTCGTGCTATATTCCCACTTGGCGATCTATTTTCAGGGTCGTACCGGTGTCTCTTATCACATGTTTCCATCGGAATAGGGAAATGAGCATCTAGAATGGAACAGGGCCGCGGTTGAGTAAGGTCTTTGTGGCTGTCAGCCGGGATCCCTGAACGCCGACTGTAAAGCCAAGACCATGACTGATGCCGGACCCTGAATTGGGCCCGGTTCTTTGAGTTGGAATAGATTAAAACTTGGTTCGGGGTAGGCATACGCCACGAGTCATTGGCTCCGCAAAGTCGGGGTTAAGCGAGACCTGTACAGAACCTTGTTCCCTCGACATAGTGTACCCAGTGCTACCAATCAGCTGTGTCATGCAGTGTCCCTTCATGGTTAGTTGCACAGCAAGATCAGGGTGCCTTGTCTTTAATTTCCACTGTCTCTGGATGGCCTACCAAAGCGTGGTAGGATAGACCGCGTTAAGCCCGAACGGTGTTAATGTAGCGCATACTGCATCAACACTGCAGGTCGCCACTTGTCGAGAACTTTGTACGTAATGAGACTAGTGGTATACCGTTCAAGTATGATTTGACAGTGGAACAAAGGCTGGGTAGGTTACGTAGCTACGCCCTTGGCATGCATTGTAGGCAACAATGCAAGTAGAATGAACCAACCAAGGGTCCTGAGATATAAAAACAGGCTTCGAGGCAATTCTGCAGTGGCACCTGGCTGCCCTTTCATTGAGGAGTTGGAGCAATTCCTTTGGACCGTTTAAGAAACGGTATTTGCGTATCACAGAAACGTAGGGCAGGTAAATCTGGGGAAAGACACTAGGCCCTGACTTGCAGCAGCGTAGCATCCGACTAACCCTAATCAGGCTTTGATCCGCCCGATGCTTCCGGCCCACCAGTGTCATCAATATATTTAGTTTTTTGGGTTGCACGAGATGTTTATTATCATTTTCATCTTTGCAGGGTCTGAGGGATAAACAATGCGGTCTAAACTCGGGCGAGATGCGGAATACCCTATTCAGGAGAAGATTTTCTCAGTAACATCGCATCGTCAATTCATTTTCCAATTTATGAGCAGAATGTGCGGGAGCAGGCGTGGACTTCCCCGGGAATCTGGATCCGTGGATCTTGGTGGCGGGATACCCCGCGTGGGCCCTCCAGGTCAACCAGTCTAATTGGCGATATATTGTGTGCCGCCCAGATAATAATGTCGATATGGAGACATTGTACCTGCATACAGAAAGGGTCCGTGGTCCGCTTCTCTGTAGATTGTGTCTAATATCATGAACACTTGAACGGAACATGTTGGTGCGGATCTCATTTTGGATCAGGCCACCGAGCCCACAGGATCACAGGTGAGACATTGTGGCGTGGGTGTGCTCCGCAGTCTCGGCTCCAGGACCCTCCAGGGACAAAAGACCCTTGGACAGTCAATCGGTGGAAACCACGCCAATACGCTAGCCACTGGCGTCGCTAGGGCGTCAGGGACGGAAATCAGCGATCACATGAAGTTGTTCGGTAAACGTTCGACGGCTCGGCGATAGGAAAGCAGGGGTGGAGGCAAAGTCAGCTTCTGTGACGTGCGTGATTACAGAATCAGGATCATTTCATTTCTTGGTTCACAGGGCTTATTCTTTCATTGCATTGTGGATTCTTGTTGATTGATTGCGGGGGAATCCGGGGCGTGACAGCTGAGGGGATCCACTATGTAAGTCGGCCTTGGACCTGATTTCCCCCTTGCCAACCCCATTGATTAACCATAAATGTCCAGTATTGAAAAATTACGAAAAAGCCTCCGTAGGGATTATATTGTTCACAGACGGGCGTTGAACCATATCAAGTAATCATCAAATTGCTACATCAGTCAGAGTTCTTATCCAAATTTGCACCGACATGAATGCGCCAATCCATCAATTAACAAGCTCCTTAATGACGCCTCCAATACGACCCATACAAGCAGTACAGAGTAGACACATGAATCAAAGCTCGTTATCATCATCACCATCATTGTCCATCAAGTCCATCAATCTTCTCTCATTAATGAGCGTCAGCACGCGTGCCAGCACGTGTCCGTCATTTTTGAGATTGACTGCGACGAAGGCAGTTTGAGCGGCATAGCCAGATACCGTCATCGATGTATCGATTGACTCGAGAGCTTTATTGGTGGTGCCAAGGAGGTCGATAAGGGCAATTGCGATATTGTGGAGACTGTTCTTCGTTGCGTCGTCTTGTCCTGGTGCAGTGTTGATCGCGCCAAGGAGCCCGGTGAGGGCAATCGTGATTTTGCGGACATCATTCTTTGCGACCTCTTGTACCTCTTGTAGACATTTGAAAATGTCTTGTACTTGGCGCATTTGCTCGCTTTGGGCCGTCATGGCATCTAGGCACTTGTCTATCGCAGCCTGTGCCTCATGGGTGGACATACTGTTTGGCAGAATTGTAGATATTGGAGAGGTTGACTGAGTTATGATAGATGGGGGTTGATGAAAAGTGACGGACTGATAGCTGACAGATGAGATTGGTTGTGGGTTTAATTATGAGGGATGTAGATGGGGAGTAATTGTACTGCCATTTATAGTACTTGCTTCCACGGTTGTTTGCATATTTGCTAGAAAAAACTGACTAGAATCATTTTGGATTCGGACAGGGCCCCCAGGTCCAGCTGTCGACTATCAAGGAACCGTCTACCAGGGCTTGGCCATTAAGTTATCTCAGACCCATAGTGATCGCTATTGGGGGAATCCCATTGGTATCTCATTGCTAATTGTAATAATTTAAAACGTCATATGCAAGTCCATGAGCTTGGCTTTGTGTTCACCGAGAGATCAACGCCTCCATATGGGAAGTCTCGGTTATATCTTCACCCTTCAAGAGGACGGTTAAAACCTCGATCGGCGGGTTCAGGCCTAACCTGTGCGCACGGCGCCATCGCTGGGTCCGATCCATACCGATACATGGCTAGAAACTCATCAGTACACCAAGGTATATACTGGTCGTGGCGCAATCACATACCCCATATTGACTAGACATATCGAAGTTCCGGAGAATCTTCTCCTCAAGGTTCACACCTCCTTGGTGCCCTGTAGTAACGCACAGTGTCAGTGAAGTCCCTGGCATTAGTGGCCCAATTCAACCAAACTCACATCGGGGTGGCTCATCGCTATTTTTGTCTTTCCAGTATTTCCGCAGGTCTTTCAAGGATACCTGCAAAGCCTGTTTCTCTTCGGCTGTTTGAATCTGCTTGGGCTCAGGCTGGCGAACTGCCAATTCGGTGACAAGGGGTTTCGATGGCTCGGGGACCACAACATGTTCGGGCTCAGGGGTGGCAGATGCGGATTGATCGGCCTTCTGTAGGGCTGTGGAATCAAGATTCTTCCCCTTGTGTAGAGTGGTTGGGGTGTTCGACGGCTTGGTCACCCGGGACTGGGAGCCGAAGGTAATACGGGACTGCGCATTGGCAGCTGCACGGCGACGAGGCGGCATGGTGACTTGATGATATGGCAGAGGTTCAAGAGTTGTGACAATATGCAGTGGCCGATCTGCGATGATGTGACGGTGGGGTTGATGATGTACAGGTTCGGAAGTGGAGCGTCATGTGTCGCCTGGCAACCGCAACCAGAGAAAAGTTAGGTTGGCCAAAGCGTCCATGGTTCACTTTCCGGGCCCAGATCTATGCAGATGTATACAAAGGATTAAACTCAATTTCTTTCTTCTAAGCCCATTGAGATTTAATCTGCAGGTGGTTTGGTTTCTTTTTTTCTGGTCTTGGCAATGTGATATAGCTGGTGGATCTAGTTTCCTAAACTATGACGTGCCAGGGTTCCTGAGTAGAAACGAGCCTCCCGAAGGCAATTTAAACGCAGATAGTCTTAAAATCCGTCCGCGGTTGAATGGTATTGTAGATCTGATCTCTAATTCATGAGATCAATGATGCAATCGAGGCTCAAGCTAGCGGCGGTAAAATGGGGCTGGGATTCGCCCTTTGATCGTCTTTTCTTACCATTCTTGCCCCCCACATGAACCATTTAAGCTAATCTGCGATTCCCGACCGCTCTCCACACCTCTCCTGTCCCAACCCTGATTCTCAAGGGACTTTCTGTCACCCCTCGAGCAGACCCGAAAACAAGAGATCATCTCCGAGGCCCATAGAGCAGCCGCATCGACCCTTATGAACCGTGCGACACGGCCCCGGTCTAGCTCGCAGGTTCCCCACAACTTCCTCGCGCCCCCTCCGCGTGCCCATGGTGGTGCGCGAAACCCGCTATCGAGATGGCCGCCTTTGTGCGCGTTTCAGGCCCAGCAAATGGTAATTTTCTGATCGGTTACCCGGGCATATCTGCAACCATGGTAAGCGCCCACACAACCGCTCTGTTGCGGGAAGTGAAATTCGAGCTCCCTTGGCGGTCAACGACATGGCTAACCACTCATCCTATCTAGCCTCGGATTGAAGGGAAAGTTGAGATCCGTCCGAGTGTTGGAATTTCTGCGCCGGTCAATGTCTCCCTTGTCACCATTGCCCTCCTCCGCCGCGAGACCATCCACCCATCTGCCGACTCCGTCACGAAGAAGCGCCTTGCTCCGCCTCGCAAAGAAATCACAGAGATCGTTGGCAAGGAAATGCTCTTATTTCGATGTCCTGCAGGCAAGGAACATGAAGAAGTCATCGCCATGGATCTGCCGTTTGTGCTATTTATTCCGTTTGGACGTGGGGGCCGCGATTCCTCACGACGGGTACCCCCAGCGAGCTTACAGCTACCCAGCCGCACTGCCGAGACATTCTACGAGATGATGGTGATGGTCCAGCAGGGTCACTCCGAGCAACGGAAGTATACCTTCCCAGTCCCGATTGCCCGCTACGACACACTCTCTACCTTTGGCATGTATAATCGGCCCGAGTCGGCAGAGCGCGTATCAGACCATTTGGTGACACTGGCCATCTCACTCCCGCGGTGGTCCTACGGACCCCTAGATCCGGTCAGTGTTTATGTAAAGCTGTCACCAAATCAGGATTGGATGGGTAAAGCTCGCAAGGTCACTATCAACAAGATCACGATCGGTATTGATGAGGAGATTGTCTACAATCATGAGGGTGACGAGCCCCAGCGCAAGGTCAAAACTTTGGCTAAAAAGACCGACCCTGTGGGTGTGCGATTACCCCAATCGGGATACCTTACGAATATGGGACTTGTGTTCCCCGCAAAGGATATGCGAGACTCGGACGGCATCTTACCACGCAATCGCACAGCGTTTCCCATGTATGGCGTGAGCGGGTTCACGACCACTGGCTCTTTGTATAAAATCGAGTATTACCTCACAGTTCGAGTAAGTCGTCTGATGTGATCATAAGCGACACAAATCTAATCATAACCAGGCTCACTTGACATCTGCACGAGATATTACCATCAGACAACCGATTGTGGTTTGTCCACTTGATCATGCCGGTTGTAAAGAAGAGATGGAGGCGATCGAGCAAGCAGCTCGAGATGCAGCCCATGTCAACCCTGATAACCCGATGCTGCCACTTCCGTCGATCGTGCGACCCAATGACCCCAATGCCCTCAGTCACATTGGCGTCGCCATGGTTGCAAACCAGAAGAAACTACTAATTGACTGAAACGCCATCTACGAGAAATTGATCCTGATCCTCCAAATGAATACTCTCAAATACAAGAGTACACTAATTGGTTCTCCGTGTCAACACGGAATTGACACGGAAGAAACACCCTGTGGCCAGCTCCACCACAGCTCAAGGCCAGAGGAGACTAGCCCCCGGCAGTCACCTTTGTGGCACTGGTCATGTTCCAGAAGCCCACGTCATTATCATGTCTTACGATTGCATAAAGCTTGGAGTTTGTTGAGAGGCAACGGAAGCTTGTTCATATTTAGCCTGGAAACGGGGTGTTGATGGCTGTCCCAGATGCGTTGTATTGCGAGATATCCTAGTCTACGAGATACTTGGTTTGTCCTTGATTCCATATTCAAATCTGGGGTCTTGTATGTGAAGATACTCGCGCTTCCACCCTTCATCTGATCTATTAATATGTCCGGCTAAGCGGATTGAAATGTAAATGTTTAATTTCAGTGATTTCGCCAAATAATGTGGGTATCAAAAAACAACTCTAGCCCCGCCATCATTCTTTGATTTCCAGAAACCCCATTGCAACACTCAGCATATCCGGATCGACCACCAATTCGGCGCTCTTCTTCTTGTCATCCTCGATATTTCGCAGGCATTCTTTCAAGATCTCAAGCACGGCATGGTACTGCCTCGAGGCGGGCCCAAAGGTGTTGAGTGTATTTTCTAGACTGTTGGAAATCTGCAACCTATTAATTTGACTTCAGTCATAATGATTCCAGTAGAACTGACTTTGCGCAATGTCTCATTGTAATCCACTTGTCTTGGCGAGGATGATGCCATCGTGAATGTTGATATGTACAGTGAATGGAGAAGAAAGATAGGTGCTGATAATCGTTATCGGCAAATGTGGGAGGCTTATCGATAAGCCCGATTTTCTGGACTTCATTCTCGCCGCGACCCAGTTCATCGAGCTTCCATTCTGCTCACACTCCACCATACACAATGGCTGATGCAGACGAGGAGGTCATTAACTCTACCTCGGCCGAAGCGCCCCAGATCGAGGTAGATCTGTCAGACGAGACCCAGGATTTTCGCCTACTAAACCACCTAAGTTTGTACGTGCGCCGCTTACCACTTACTATCTCGTTTTACTAACAAAGGATTTTGAGTAGCCTTGGCGACACAGCTTCTTCAAGCTTACCCAAGCGTGGCGAAAAGGACTTCGAGCCCAACCCGACCGAGTTCCAGGCCGATGTTCTCTCCGCCTCGCGACAGGCGATGCATAATGCGCTCTCTCACCCGCGCATTCACAATCCCAAGAACCGAGTCATAGGTTTCTATGCGCCTGATGGCCCTGCACCGCCACCGCAATATGTTGAGACTCCTAAGGATAAAGGAAAGGGCATGAACATCTCGCCGGACGCCTGTGTCTGTATCCCAAATCCCAAGGGCAAATTCTTTCAGAATACAGGGCAGACAGATCGGTGGAATCGCGTGTGGCTGTTACCCGAGGAGGCTCTGTATATGATTGAGAGAGGAAGCATGGACATTAGGTGGCCGACCTCCTTGACGGGGACCACGGAAATGGGTGGCGACGTTAGCGAGGACGAGGTTTCGATTCCGATGAGTTTGCAAGCGGCATACGCTTGTTTTATGGGACAGGGCGGTTTGACTCTTGAGAGATACTCGGTCTTCACAGGGTTGAAGCGGTTGGGATATACTGTCTTCCGGGCACCTGGATGGGATGACGCTGCCAAGCCTGAGGATTCTAATAATGAGAAGAAGGATGCATACGCACAACTGAAACAATTGAGACACCGCGGTCCGGGGCTCGCAGGTATTCTGGCCTCCATTTCGGATTGGATCCATGATCCCATGTCCACAGCATCCACGACAGCTGGTCCTGTCATTGGATGCGGCATTCATCGCACCTACAGTGAGTATATCTTGACTATCGCATGCATGCCTTACTATTTAGCTAACAATGATCACCAGGCGATGTATACCGCAAAATGGAACTGATCCCATGGTACGACCCTGTTCTTGCGCCCCAGCGGGATCCCCTGGACACAATAGCTCCCTTCAGAGTCGTCTTCCACGTCTACAAGCCCACAAACGTGATCAAGAAGACCGCTCTTCCGACGCCAGATTTCAGAATTGCCGTCGTCAATACTCGCGAACAAACATCAATCCCAACACTTCCTCAACTTGGCGCACTGTTAGAAAGCACGCCTCTCGATCCGCCATCTGGTGAGAAAATGGAGCGCTTGCTGTATATGCGTTTGCGTCATGGATACCGCAATGTTGTTTTAGCGGTTGTGGATCAGGGTGTCACTAGCTTTTTGCGCATTGGAGATGCCGCGTTTGGTAAAGAGAAGTTATTCGATGCTAAACATATCCCATCTGGTGGTAAGAAGCATGGATTTTCTAAGCAGAGAAGGAGGTGATGGATATATCATTCAGATTACTCAATCTTGAACAATTGAACTCAAAAGGGCTCTCTGTTAACGCCATGGTTTGGTGTTGGCCTACTACGGTGATCGAATTTTGGCTTGTTTGAGCAATTTGCTCTTACGCTGTGTCTTGAAAAGCCACCTGATCATCGATCGGCGAATTTATTTCATACCCAGGGCCAAAGCCCACCGCCTCGAAGTGGGCAGTGGCGGATGTACAATACGTTTCGCATCAAAATACCGGCTGGTCAGCCATCTACTGCAAATATAAATGATACACCCTCATGGCATGATCATACAGACTATGCATTTCATTTCTCGTAATGCGCTATACCAGGCTACCACGAATCATAAATCATAAATTGACCGTGGAACGATTCCAGTACGAGGACTGTTCTATCCCAGCCCTTCTAGAAGCGATACATCTCACTCCGACTTCGAGCGCCATCGAAAACGCAAGTATTGTCTAGAGGAACGTACTGTCTCGTCAGAACCTTAAGCGACTCCTGTGCGACCAGACCACCCGCCAGTGACGCAATATTGTGCAGCTCACCACCTTCCGCACGGCGAATCTCCTGGATAGCATTGTCAATGCTCTCCTGTGCTTCCTCGTCAAGGGGTGTTGGGTCATCACGGGCCAGCAGAGCGAGGATACGCTCTTTCTGCGCAACCCAGAGACCCTCATCATCAACAGATAGTTGGTTTTGTGCCGGTTTATTCTGAATTTCATCCACGACCGCATCGATAATCTGGCATGCAATGAAAATTGATGCGAGAGACTCAGGCATAGCGAGTCCACTACGCAGCGCCTTCAGCGTAACAGCATCGGTATCCTCGTTAATTTGGGCGATTCCCCGTCCGCGAACGACCTTGATATGCGCTGCATTCTTGCAGAAAACCTCAACCTCCCGATCAAGGATAGTAGTTGTGCGCCCGAGTTGGGATTCAAGTTGACGGATGGTCGCAGTTACTTCCTCCACATCTTTCCGTGCTTTGGCCTTGTAGATATTTTGCAAGGCGACGTAGTCTGCCGACTGGGCTTTCATGTCAGGAAGTGAGCCCGGCAGAGGTAGCACACCGTGCGCGTTATAAAATGTGCGAATGGCAGAGGCGATAACCCAGAAATCGGCGGAGTTCGTAGTCAGCTGCTGGCATTGTTGCATTTCGAAGATCTCGCGGATAGAGCTGCGCAAGCTGAAGGGGGAGATTGTTTTTAGGACGGCGGCGACTGCTTCATCAAAATTCTCTTCGCCACCTTCGGCGTTCTTAGTGCGTGCGTTTGAGCGAACGAATTCGCGGAATGCAGATTTTTCTTTGTAGTTGTCTGGCATAGCTCCGTGTGATTGTTTCCATTGCGAGAGGAATCGGAGAAGAAGTAAGATGTAAGGTACGTGGCCGTGTTGGTGGTCGTCCATGCTCTCCAGGTCACCCAGCGATCCGGCAGCTGCGGCGAGTTCGGGCCATGGGTTCAAGAGACGCAGGTCTTGTGTTGACTCTGGGTCCGGGTGAGTTTCCACAATGGGGAACTCAGTAGGCAATTGCAATGAGAAGGTTGCGCAGAACCCGAGAGAGTGAACGTACAACACTGGAATTTCTAGTTCCTGTGCCTTTTGGCAAAGTGGCTCTAGAGTAGAGCGCTTAGTTGGGCCGGAGATAATGACCAGCTTGTGCCGAGAAAGGAAATCCGGATCTGTGAGGAGATCAGAGATAGACTAGAATCAAATATTAGTATTTGGTACATTGAACTTCAGGGTGTGAGGTCTCAGTGGATACATACTTTGGAATACGAATACCCTTGCACATCGGGGTTCAATTCTCGCAGCAGCCGACATGTTTCATCAGCACGCGACTTCCCGAGAGACCCTTCCTCAAGGAAAAAATTAACTCCCAGGTCAGCTTCAGTAACTGTTGCCGGATCCACGATGGTAAATCCACCGATTCCGGGTAGTACCAGGTTCTTGAGTGCTTCCACGCCTGCAACACCCGTAACGCCGGTGCTGCTGGAGCCGAGAGGGCCATCGGAGTTCACCAACAACACTCGCGCATCTTCAAGGGCTTGTTGCCCGGTTGCTGCCCACAATCGGAGTTGGCGATCATATTTTCGTTCCTTGGATGTTGGTCCCGAAATGGTCGCGGGGAAGGAGTCGGCCATGGTCTGATAATGTTGAACTGATAGGTGGGGAAGAAGAGCAGAGATGGAAGTTATTCTTCAGATCATCCACACAGTTCCACAAGAAAAAATTATTCTAACTGAGCCTTTACTGCTCCCTGGCCTTCTTCTTCTGAGTCTTTGATGTTGAGTAAGGAATGAAGTCGCTTTCTTGTTGTTGATGCGCATCGGTTTGACTAAGCGGTGGGGATCAGCAGCCTTAGATTCGAGGCACTAATAGCCTCAATGATGCCATGTTTTTTCAAATCACCAACGTGATAAATTACTTGCACTTTGAGATTATGTTCTTTTCCAAAGACGTCATAAGACACCAAGTTATTTTGGGCTCATATTTATGTAGATGAAAAGCAATTCATGTCTTCCAGTTGACAAACGCCTAGGTTGATGAATATATAGTTCGGCCTGGGAACTCTGAGTAAAATAAGCAGGAGTTGTTTGTTATCATGCCTCAGAACCTGACTACGTAAAATACGCTATAATATTACTAGGTACTAGGGGACCATCTGGGAACTTCAAGGTCTAAGTCAAATAGACCTGCGCTCGCAGTTTTATTGCAAACCAGGGAACATGTGGAGGCAACTTCCCGCTAGTCACTGTGCGTATGACGGTCTATCTGATATAATAACATTACAAAGGTTGCTTAGGTAGTCTAACTTATAAGGACCGATGATCTTTAGAAATTCTTGAGCTTCCAGCTTTCCAAAGTTCAATAACATATAACACAACCCAGTTGTTGGATATGACTAAAAGCTGAAGTATGGCCAACCCGCTCACGTCATATACTCACTAGTGACAGTAATATTTAACAAATTCTCCATTGAGTGTTAGCTTTTACTCTACTTGGCTCAATTCTAGACAAAGAAAAACCAAGTTCTTCCCGCGGTGGAGAACAAGCAAATCCAATACATTTGTGAAACATGCATTTCCCCTGCATATTAGTCCGATCAAACATCCGATCTTTAAGGCTTTGTCGAGAATAAATATTCTAGTACTACAATAGGTAGAGATTTTCTTAGCTGAGATCAGATCTACATTAGATCATTTCAATCCCCTGTAAATGTGTGATTCTCAAAAATAAGTCAGCCAAATTCCATCTATTTAATAAGCCCATCCCTTGACTCCGAGTTCCCTGCAACTCAACCACTTCCACAGCCAACCCACACGACAAAATGCAATTCTCTCTCTCGATTGCTACTATCCTCGCAATTAGCACCCAGACACTTGGTGCTAGTCTGTTCGGCCTCTACCGTATCCAGCAAAACTTCAATGGCGAGGACCTGGTCTTAAATGGACAAGGAAACAATACCACCCCTACCTTCGGAGCTCCCGTTGGCAAGGCCAGTCAAATCTGGAAGTTCAAAGATATGGGGGACAACACTACGCAGATTCAATGTGTGGCAACGAAGCAATACCTCAACTGTGGATCTGGTTCTTGTTTGGAGTCGCCATCTGCTCAAACATTCTACCTGGAATATCAGGGTCCCTACCAGTACACCTTCCTCAACCTTCCTCATGACCAATCGCTGCGTTCGACAAATGGGAAGGAGATTACGACTGCCGAAGCGACTGAAGGGAGTGAAGACAATATATTCGAGGTCATTCGAGTGGAGTTTTGTGAGTGAAACTTAGTGTTTGTGCAATAAGAGGTTACTAATTCAAAGTTCAGAGTTCACACTTTGAGATTAATCATCTAGCAAGTAAGTAAACATGCCCGCAATGTTATGTTCCAGGTAGTACATACGAGGAAACCTGGACGATACTTGGGCATACAGTCTCTGTCACATGTCTTCACAATGTATATCTCCAAAATGAGACTATCATAGATAATCTTAGAAAACAAATATTTTGAGAGATTCATTCCTAAAAGGCGGCCTTAATAGTCCAGAATTGTAATCTACACTAGGTAGAGTCGTGCCTCTCTGCAACTGTGCCGCCTACCAACCATGCAGAAGGATGCAACACAGGTGGCATGATCCGAGTGTTCCAGAACAACTTGTATGTCATAAGCTGCTATTAGACCAGATCAATCATAGTAGAATTTTACAGTATCTTTCAAACAAATTACATTCGAAACCATAGAAATTGACGCTTGAAAAGTGCCAGCCTACGTAATAAATTGGTGTAGAAAAGTAGATTTTCCAACTTCCCATACCACTCACAAACAATCAAAACCCCCACATTCTCACGCCAATGACGCTACAGTGCAGACCCAACCTTGACCGGCACTAATCCGAGCAGAAGTCCCAAAAACGCGCAATTTATGTACGGAAGCTGACTTCCATGGGTCCACAAATCTGCACCATTTTCTCCCTCTCCACCCGACTTTCCTCTCTTCCGCGAACCCTGCCCCGCCTCCACAAAACTTTCTCACGACAACATCCTTCTCTATCCCCGCCTTCTCTACCCCTCCACTCGACCTTCCGGGCCCAATTCCACTCCACTATGATCGACGTCGAATCTGCTAAGCGCGCTGCCGCACAGGCCGCTGTTGCGAACCATTACCCCAAGGATGCTCGCTGGGTTGGTATCGGTAGCGGAACCACGATCATCTACGTCGTCGAGGCTATTAAGGCCCTTGGTATCGATACTGCTGCTACCCGCTACGTGCCGACAGGCTACCAGTCCCGCCAGCTGATTATCGGCGCTGGATTGACGGCCGTTGAGTTCGATGCTATTCCCCCCGGCGTGGTGTTGGATGTTGCATTCGACGGCGCGGATGAGGTCGACGACGACCTTAACTGTATCAAGGGTGGCGGCGCTTGTCTGTTCCAGGAGAAGCTGGTTGCGATGCAAGCGAAGGAGTTTATTTGCGTTGCTGGTGAGTTTCAAAGCCAAGTGCTTTTTGCATGTGACTCACGCTGATGATTTTTTTTTACTGCTAGACTCGCGCAAGCTCCAGCACCGTCTTCTTACCAACTGGAAATGCATTCCTGTTGAGGTCGCCCCCATTGCCGCTTACCGTGTTCTGGACAAGTTGAAGGAACTTGGTAGCATTGAGCCGGTTATCCGTACCAACCTGGACGAGAAGGAGGGCCCTCGTAAGACGGATCAGGACTTCTTCATCGTTGATGCTCCTTTCCCTGTCATGCTGACCCAGGCTGATGTTGCTGCCGGCAAGATCTCTGGACAGAATGGTGTCTGGGAGGTTAACGAGCTATCGAAGAAGATCAAGGAGATTGCTGGAGTTCTTGATGTCGGTATCTTCTCTGGTCTGACCGGTCCTCAGGCTACCGCTGCTGGTGGTATTGGTGGCCAGCGTCCTATTGCTGCTTACTTTGGTATGCCTGACGGCTCGGTGTCGGTGCGCATGGCCTCTGCTTGAAGGCTCAAATGGTGACTTTATTTTAATTTTCGGATTTGGTTTACGTATATAGCATGATGATACCAAGATAGTCATCCCATTCTTATAGAAAGGGGATCTAGAAATGAAGAGATGTATAGATTATTGTGGATTTGGATCAATTGGCTCATTAGATTCGGTGGTATCAAAAAGACTGCTTTATGTTTCCTCCGTTGTCGATCCCTAGGTCGACTTATACATCTCCCCATATTTGTTGGGGATATGTATACTACCTGACTGAAATTCAGGTTTAAAGGCGTGCTAGCATCGATCTTCTTTATTTCGCACCTTTACCCTTGGCCTCTGTCTCGCTCAACTCGCGCACATAGATCTTCACCACTCCTTCCGGAATATCATCCTTGCCGTCCTCAAACCCGGGGCTCACTGCGATAGCAAGGTATTTGCCGCTGGCGCTGAAATCCACAGCAGCGACACTAGACGGATACTTCTGGTACTGACGAATGCGGCGCTTGGAAATACCATCCCACAGAGCGACCACACCATCACCACCTCCTGACGCAAATGAACCATGAACGGGATGGAAAGCAAGTGCATTAACGGGGTACACGACGTCGACTCCATCGTCCGATGTCTGACGATGGCACTTGAAAGCGTATTTCCGCGCCTGGGACTCAGGCGAAGGGTCGAACCACTCAACGGCAACACGTCCCTCAATACTGGATGAGGCATACCCGGTGTCTCCTGGCATGCAAGCGACACAACGTGTCATGAATTTGAGACTGCTCTCACGTCGTTGCCAAGGCTCGACCTCCACTCGGTTACCGTTGGTTGAGGTGCTGTCAGACTGTGCAGTGAGGAGGGCCAAAGCCTTCAGGTCGTAGATGTGGAGGGCACGCGATGCCATGGCGACAACGAGCTTTGTGGCTGTGAGGGAGATAGAGAAGGGTTTGGAGGGAAGCGGAATCACGGCAGGTAGGGAGTCGGTGATTGTGCCGGTGTCTGTGCGGGATACATGGAGCGTAGAGTCCCATGAGCCTGAGATAATGACCTTGTGTTCAGGGCTGTAGACGACATTGCGCACACCTGCTTCGTGGCTGCTAATAACGGTTTGTTGAGATGTGTTTAGGTCAATTCTGAGATAGTTAGTCAACAAGCTCAAGTTCAGCGATGTAAAAAAGCTCATATAAAGCTCCATTGAAGGGTTGCTTACTTGCGCACATCCCAATCCAATCCAGCGGTATAAATCTCGTTCTCATTCTCGCCAAAGCAAACATCCAACACAGGAGCGCGGTGCTCAAATTTCTGCAAGAGTTTTCCTTCTCCCACTTGGCCATTCTCGTCGCGCAGATCGTAAACGTAGACGTTCTTATCCCATGATGACACTACAATCCGCGTCGAATCGGACTCGGGGGAGAACTTCAAGGCAGAGATAGCATCGGTCGGTGGCGAGGCCAGCGTAAATTGATCTGTGAATAAGTCAGAAACCACCCAATCGGTTGTATTGAAGCTTTGAACCACTCACTGGACGCCATTGTGAAGGGTTGCAAACGTTGTAAACGGAAGCAAGTTGGCGGCTTAGCTGCAGCTTTACACCGCAGTTGCTTTTCTGCCCTCACCTACCGCCCGCGTCCCCCGCGCTTTCTGATAAGAAAAAAGATCTCGATCTAGCTGAAACTCGTGTCTACAATTTCGATTTTAATTATTCCTTGACCTTCAGGATGCCATTTGCCCAGCTGGTTATCGGACCTCCCGGAGCTGGGAAGTCCACCTATTGCAATGGCATGCACCAGTTCTTAGGCGCCATCGGCCGAAAATGCTCCATTGTTAACCTCGACCCCGCCAACGACAAGACCTCATACCCGTGCGCGCTGGACGTGCGCGATCTTGTGACTCTGGAAGAGATCATGGAGGAGGATCATCTTGGGCCTAACGGAGCTACACTATATGCTCTCGAGGAGCTAGAGGAGAACTATTCTTGGTTGGAGGGCGGACTGAAAGAGCTCGGAGGTTTGTGCCTCACTCGCCTATAATTTGATCTGATCAACTGATGATTTTATCTATAGAGGATTACGTTATTTTCGACTGCCCCGGACAGGTGGAGCTATTCACACACCATTCGTCTCTACGAAACATCTTCTTCCAGATTCAAAAGCTGGGCTACCGAGTTCGTATCAGTCCCGACATCAAGGAAAGAGCACCTCACTGACCATCCTTGTGCAACAGTTAATAGTAATCCACCTCATCGATTCCTACACCCTCACGCTACCCTCAATGTACATCTCCGCTCTTCTTCTTTCTCTGCGCGCCATGCTCCAACTAGACCTCCCACACCTCAACGTCCTCACCAAAATCGACAACCTCTCCAATTACAACGACCTGCCTTTCAACTTAGACTTCTACACTGAAGTCCAAGACCTCTCATATCTCCTCCCTCATCTCGAAGCCGAAAACTCTCGTCTCACAAACAGCAAATTCAGCGCTCTGAACGAGGCCATCATCTCACTTGTGGAGGAATTCGGGCTCGTCAGCTTCGAGACGCTGGCCGTTGAGGATAAAAAGAGCATGATGAATCTGCTACGAGCTATTGATCGCGCGTCAGGGTATGCATTTGGGCCTGCAGAGGGTGCGAATGACTCGGTCTGGCAGGTTGCTGTTCGGGAAGGAATGGGTGTTACGGATGTGAGGGATGTGCAGGAGAGATGGCTCGACGCGAAGGATGAATATGATGATATGGAGAGGGAGGAGTTGAAAGAGGAGGCGAGAATGCGCGAGGAAGCTCACAAGGCTGTCAATGGAGACCCGGATGAAATGGACGAGGATGAAGAACTGGCAAATTGGAAATCTTCAATGCCGGATAGCGGGATTAAAGTGCGCCGAAAGGAATGATTTGTGAATATAATCGTTCTGATAAGCGGCTAAAAGATTCAATGTATAATATCGCATATGCCATGATATGGCCACTCAGTAGGGGTATCATTAATCGTACAGGCAAGCTCCAACCGTCGAGGTATAGACCTAGCCCCGGAAGTCTCAATCCAGTCAATGGATGGATATAGAGAATGCTCAATCCTCGTCTTCCATCTCATCATCACTCACGTCCATAACACCCTGCATGGCCACTTCCTTCCCCCCACCAACACCCGAAACCAAATCCCCCAACACACCCTTCTCCTCGACTCCTCTAATCCGAACAATCTCCCTCCTTGCCCGCCGAATAGCTTCCTCCTCAGCCTTCTTCATTGTTCCCGACACTCTCAAAACCCGGAATACACATCCCCGTTCCCGACCTCCGTTTGGTCGCTTCTGAGATGCATCGCCGTTTGTGGAGGGAACATGCGACATATATGTAAGAGCGGACCAGACGAGGCGGAAGGATGCGCGGGGGCAGCGGAGAATGGCGGTTGATGTTGCGGGGGAGAGGTATTTGACTGGATTGAGGTTAGTATATGTAACGCAACACACAGTCTCATTTCTTCTCTCCCGCCCTGTTTCTTTCTCTCCCCTTCGTAGGTCTAGAGTATGGGAGAAAGAAGAACCATAGAATCCTAAGTAAAGGAAGATGAAACAGATTGAACCTACCATTAATTCCTCCTGCAGAAGCACCACCCAATTTTCCTACACCGCAATCACCATATAGCTCGCTGACTTCCTCACGAATCATCTTTGCGAGCAGGCCCGGTGTCAGCGCGTCGGATGTGGGCGAGTGGATGGCCAGTTGTGCGGAGGTAGATGTGCTTGTGGATTTGGGCGTGGTGGAGGGCCATGTTGCCGGATCTGGGTAGAGGATATCTATGAGCAGATATCGGTTCTTGAGGCGGACCATTTTGCGTATTGTCTCTTCTCGATAATGGAGTGGTGGTATGGAAATGGAGAGGCTGAAATTGAGGGCGCGAAAAAGAGGTGGGTACGATAAGATAAGGAAATTCCACAGCTTTAGTGAAGGCCAACACAGGATTGATCTGCATTTGCCGACAGAATATCTAGTGTCGGAATTTCTCTCTACTTTGATACGTCCTATGTAATATGGAATGAAGTGAAAATTGTATACCTCAATGGCTTGCTTATATTCATCATGCAAGGGCATTCATTAGGTCCCCGGAGGTCTAGTCATCTAAACAAATTAAATCAAGAATCCGTAGTCGGGCATGGGCACCGATTTCTATCTTGGCGTGCCGTTTTTTGTTAATTCATGTGGCATCGCCAGTCAAGGCCGGTTTGTACCCTTAGAAAAGGCTGTGCAGACACAAAAACTGCTTCAGACAAAAATAAAACAAATGGATCAACCATCCAAACTCCACCATCCTCCAATCAGAGGATGGACTGTATGCCACTAGCGGACGGCGCTGCAAATCATGAACAAAATCACAGGTTGACCTCAACACGGCCCTCGGCACCACCCTTCTGGAGAGTGGGCAGCAGGTAGGTGATGTCGTCCCAGGGGTGACGGTAGAGACCGGTGCGCAGGCGCTTCTGGTCGAGGTAGTGGGCAATCAGACCAATGCTGCGACCCAGGACGAACAGACCGTTGAGGACACCCATGCGGATGTAGTCCTCAGCCTCCTCGGGAGTGAAGGCACCGCAGTTGCGGAGCAGGTCAATGAAGCAGACAGCAACACAACCGTCAACGTTCAGGATCAGGTTGTCCTTCTTGGAGGTAGTGACAGTCTCAACAGCAATGGCGTAGTCGAGCAGCTTGGTGCTGGGGAAGTGCTTCTTGGCGAACTCCTTGACAAGCTCGACACGCAGATCGGGGTTGTTGCGGGACTTGACCTTGTGGCCGATACCGGGGATCAGCTTGTTGGCCTTGCGAGAAGAGTCAACGAAGTCACGGGGGCTGAGGCCCTTGTCAAAGGCCTTGGTGAATTCCTCAGCGGCACCGTCCAGCGCACCACCGAAGCGGGAACCAATGGTCAGCAGACCGGAAACGAGGGCACTGATCAGATCCTTGCCAGCACGGGTTGTGATGATGGTGTTCATGGCACCGGAGACGGCAGGACCGTGGTCAGCAGTGAGCATGAGAACCATCTCCAGGAACTTGCTGGCGTAGGTGGGCAGGCGGCGGCGGAACCACAGCAGAGACATGACACCACCGATACCAATGTCCTCCCGGAAGACGTCGGAGATGGGCATACCGGCGTACAGAAGCTCCTGGCCACGGTCGTCGGAGATAGTGGAGATGAAAGCAGCGGGCTTACGGACAAGACCGAGCTCCTGGGCCCAGGAGTAGTCAATGGGGATCTTGGGGACAACGGGCTCAGCGGCGGGGACAATGTTACCCTTGCTGACCTCGGCATCGTAAACGGCCTTCAGGGCCTCGGGCAAGTCCTCGAAGGTTTCGGGGACGACAATACCAGCCTCACGCATGGCCTTGTTCTTGTAGACAGCAGTCTCGAGCTGAGAGTTGGCGGAGGCACCGGCGTGACCGAACTGAACCTCAGTCTTGAACATGCTGGCGCAAGTACCAATGGCCCAGGCGACAATGGGCTTGGTGATGACGCCGCTCTTGACGGCCTCGATCACACGGTACTCCTCAACACCACCGACCTCACCGAGCAGGACGAGGATCTTGCACTCAGGCTCAGCCTGGTAGCGGAGCAAGTGGTCAATGAAAGTAGTACCGGGGTAACGGTCACCACCAATGGCGACACCCTCGTAGACACCGTCGGTGTTCTGGGAGATAATGTTGTTCAACTCGTTAGACATACCACCGGACTTGGAGACGTAACCGACGGAACCCTTGCGGTAGAGCTTGGAGGCGACAATGTTGTCCATCATACCACCAGTGTTACCGATCTTGAAAGCACCAGGCTTGATACCACCGACGGTGGCGGGACCGATGATGGTGATACCCTTCTCCTGGGCAGCAACAAGGATCTCACGAGCACGCTATTTGCAGGTTCTTGTCAGATTTTGAACTGCAATTGCAATTGAGCCCTGGGGATGTACTTACACGCTCGGGAACACCCTCAGCAATGATGGCAATGGAGCGGATCTGGGGGAACTGCATCAACTCCATGGTGGACTGGTAGACGGAACGGGAAGAGGCGAAGTTGACGACGGTGTCGACATCGGGGTGCTTGGCGAAGGCCTTCTCAGTGTCCTGGTAGACGGGGAGAAGGGTCTCGCTGGTACCCCAGTACATCTTGCTGACGAATTGGCCACCGAAGGTGTAGATGATACCGGCGACGGAGGGAGTGGAGCGCTTGCAGATGAAGTCAAAGTCGAGCATGCCCTGCACGGCTCGGGGTTGCATGCCACTATTACCAGTCAATTCTTCTGTTCCACTTCTTTGGCTAGGCTCGAGGCCCCGAGGCCTCGCGTGCGGACTTACTATACGAAGCATCGTGTCTTGTTGTGGAAGAGAGCGTGGTTTGCGGGAGAGAGAACACGGCTGGGAGGGGCGAAGCGGGTAATGTTGTCGTTGGCAGACTGGTTGCCGTTGCCGGCAGGGGAGGTAGTAGAGGGCATGATGAATCTGTAGCGGGTTTGGAGTGTTAGATCTTGGTTCGGTGATTATAGTGATAGAGGGGCAAGCTCGAATGCCATTTGCCGTAGGAAAGAAAAAAGAGAAGAGGAATTGTGCCAATGAGGGAAGTCGAGAAACGTACCTATTTGTGCAAAACACCCGCTATGTTTTTTTTAAGAGGAAAGATTGGGGGGAAAGAAGGAGATCAAGAAGAAAGGAGTTGCCAGAATGTGAAGAAAAAAAGCGCGGGGCCGAGTACTCGCAGATACGGTGTACAGCTCCTCCCAGCGTACGCTAGAGCTCAACAGTTCCCCAAAGTACCGGGTACCACCGATACTTGTGGGATCCACTTTGAAGATCCATTCTGCTAGCGTGTGTTTCCGATACGACGTATTATTACCACTGTATAAGCCAGGCCCTGTCGTACATCGTACATCGCATGTCGCATGTCGCAAGCCGACCCTCTATAGATAGAAGTTGGCCCCAATATGACTATAGAGAGGGAGATAGATCCTATAATTTGTTTAAAATACGGTGATTGCTATTCGATGATTACGGTGGTTGGCGCCCTGGGGCCGGTCAACCCTGATACAGTGCTGGGGGCTACTGTGTAGATCAGATTCTGGGGGTTAGCCCCCAACGGTTTAGATTCAAGCGTTAAAACAAGTTCGGAGTTACAATGGAAGCTAAAAGAGCGGTGTCGGGGCCTCATCGACTCCGTACGGGGTTACATGTTGCTACAGAGTAAGTCTGGTACTGATGTCAAGTACGGGAGCTGTAACCTGAGTGTAATCCCAACAGGGCAACCCCCCACCTTCCACTCTTTTTTTTCAGAGTCTCAACATACAGTGGATCACCCCTCAATTGTACGCTGTAATCTCCAGCACAATCTTTTTTCTTGTTCTACGCCGTATTCTCCAGTCTTAGTCTTTTTTCCCCCTAGCTTCGGCTTTCCAAAAAGTTATCCTCCCTCTCCTTTCCCTCTTTTTTTCTCATCCTTGATCAATTCCTCTCACACACACATACAATCATGTCCGCCAAGTCTATTCTCGAGGCCGATGGTAAGGCCATCCTCAACTACCATCTCACCCGCGCCCCGGTGATCAAGCCTACTCCCCTCCCTGCTTCCTCGACACACAACCCTCCTGCTCGTCTCGCCTCCCTCCACTTCCCCGACGACAAGAGCGTCAAGGATGTCCTCGACCAGGCCGAGGTCACCTACCCGTGGTTGTTGGTCGCCGGCTCCAAGTTCGTTGCTAAGCCCGATCAATTGATCAAGCGCCGTGGTAAGAGCGGTCTCCTCGCCCTGAACAAGACCTGGGCCGAGGCTCGTGAGTGGATTGAGGCTCGCGCCACCAAGGAGGTCCTCGTTGAGACTGTCACCGGTGTCCTGCGTCAGTTCCTCGTTGAGCCCTTCGTGCCCCACCCCCAGGAGACTGAGTACTACATTAACATCAACTCCGTTCGTGAGGTAAGCTGAAATCTGCCAACGTTGATAACGAAACAAGAAAAAGGGAAGCTAATTTGAATTCCAGGGTGACTGGATCCTCTTCACCCACGAGGGTGGTGTTGATGTCGGTGATGTCGATGCTAAGGCCGAGAAGCTGCTTATCCCCGTCAACCTGAAGAACTTCCCCTCCAACGAGGAGATTGCCTCCTCCCTCTTGAGCAAGGTGCCCAAGGGTGTCCACAACGTCCTGGTGGACTTCATCTCCCGCCTGTACGCCGTCTACGTCGACTGCCAGTTCACCTACCTCGAGATCAACCCTCTTGTTGTCATTCCCAACGCCGATGCCACCTCCGCCGATGTTCACTTCTTGGATTTGGCTGCCAAGATCGACCAGACTGCTGAGTTCGAGTGCGGTACTAAGTGGGCCGTCGCTCGCAGCCCCGCTGCTCTGGGTATGCCCACTCTCCCCTCCGCCGACGGCAAGGTCAACATCGACGCTGGTCCGCCGATGGAGTTCCCCGCCCCCTTCGGTCGTGAGCTGAGCAAGGAGGAGAAGTTCATCTCCGACATGGACGCCAAGACCGGTGCCTCCCTTAAGCTCACTGTCCTGAACGCCAGCGGCCGTGTCTGGACCCTCGTTGCTGGTGGTGGTGCTTCCGTCGTCTACGCCGACGCCATTGCCTCCGCTGGCTTCGTCTCCGAGCTCGCCAACTACGGAGAGTACTCCGGTGCTCCCACCGAGAACCAGACCTTCCAGTACGCTCGCACCGTCTTGGACCTCATGCTCCGTGCTCCCCAGCACCCCGAGGGTAAGGTCCTCTTCATTGGTGGTGGTATTGCCAACTTCACCAACGTTGCCAGCACCTTCAAGGGTGTCATTCGTGCCATCCGTGATGTCGCCCCTGTCCTCGTCGAGCACAAGGTCCAGATCTGGGTCCGCCGTGCCGGTCCTAACTACCAGGAGGGTCTCAAGAACATCAAGGCTGCCGGTGTTGAGCTGGGTCTTGACATGCACGTGTACGGCCCTGAGATGCACGTCAGTGGTATCGTCCCTCTGGCCCTCCAGGGCAAGAAGACCGACGTCAAGGAATTCGGCGTATAAATGTGATTCTTGCTTTTGGAAAAATTTGGGTCTCTCTTGTTTGTTGTTTCTTGCAGCGTTGCACCTCCCCTCCGTTGCATGGGTTTGTGTGTGTGGAATAATGCATGGCATGATATGAAATATGCGGGATGATGCCGCCCCGCGGGCTGGGCTGTGCCATGCAGTCCCCCCGGCGTCTGTTCCTGGTTTGCTGGTCGAGGGTTTGGCGTTTCTCCCTTTCCCGGACGAAAAGACCGCGTGCTTGGTGCCGACGTACATGATTAGATTTCCTTTTATGTTCACCTTTCCCCGGGGGATTTAGATCGTGATATCCCATCGGATAATATATCAGTGATGATACGAGACTTTTTGCACATAATTGTAATTCAAGTTATACCTTAGGAATTGTCCATGTAGCATTCCAATTTTTGAAGGATTCAGTCTGCTTGGATAGTCCTGTGGTAGGAAAATATGTGCTGAAGTGAATGGGCGACACTCGAAATAAAATACACGTTACCAAAAATACAGATCTATGTAATAAGGTACGGGGATATACGACTCCACCAGAGCTTTCCCCGGATTAACAGGGACCAAATCGATCCCGTTGATCAAGATAATCAGGAACGACTCATAAAGTTAAGGTATGGACCGTGCTGAGGGGAACTTGTCAATTTGGTGGGTTGTGTTGCATACCGAGGTGGGTGGCGAGGTTCCGCTGCTCCGAGATTAGATCCCGGACGAACGGGAGGCTGGGGATGCGTTAGGGTAGCTAGAAGCCATAGCTAACCGTATACGGATAGTCAGGTTCTATATTTGTTAATCAAAATGCTTGAGAATGGCGATTGTATTTGTTCCTCCTGATTTTGGGGGGTTTTGATGTGAAATTGTTGGTTTGTAGAATTGGGTTTGAGCTATGTATTTGCCGGGCGGTTATATTGATACCCATGCAGGGTAATCTGGACAAAGTGGCCAAAGAATAATTACAATTGATTCTGCGCTGCTAGTACGAGCAAAGGTGTAGGAATAGGCTTTTAGACATGGAAAGACAAAGTCTGGAAGCTCTATAGTCAACCTTGGAATACTCGTGCCTGTGTTTCTTACTCACTCGGCAGTTTAGTATACAAGCAAGTACAGGGGACGATGTTATCCGCCTAGGGTTCTGAATATTGGATAGCTTTATTTAAATGATAAAATAATTGAGTCGTGAAAACAGATAGGTAAGCTAACATCGTGCAAACCAAGACTTATGACAGGCCCGTGCCATGCTAGTTCCTAAATCTGGCCATAATAACATCGTCGGGTGGGAGTTGGGACAAGGCCGTCAGAGGCCGACTGCTCTGTGGAAGCCGGGTGCGATGCTGCGGATTAGTGTTTCTGATATGAGCTACAAGTAGAAGGGTTGTCAGTCTCACGTTGACAGTTGTTTCTTCAAAACGAAACAAACATACGATTCTGTAAGTTCAAGGTAGGTCGACCTGGAGGAAGCATTCCCGTAGGTTTTGAGATCTTCGTGTCAACCCGTCTGGAGCTCCCAGTACCACTTCGCTGATATCGATGCAGTTGCTCAATTCCGCCGGGACTCATAGGAAATGAAGGTGTCTTTGGAGGGAATGGCGCGGAGCGAGTAGGTATTTGAGATGGCCCAGACGGGGCAAGCGATCCGACAGGTAGATTTCGCGATACTGTGTTTAAAGTATGCGACACTGTTTCCGAAGCTGCAGTCTCCATACGGGATCGCATGGCGCGTGCTTTGAGAAGATTGTAGAGATTCGTCATCTGTGTCAATTTCGTGGACTTTTCACGGTAGAGATCGACAAGCTCTTGGTTTTTCTTTTGCAGTTGTTCCTGGGCTGCTTGTAGATCTAGATGTGAAGGTTAGTTTTATCCATTAAATCTGGAGAAAATCAGTCCATCATACCTGAAAGCTTGCTGTGAAGACTTGAGATTTCTGAGTTGGCGTTGAGGACAATCCGATCCATCTGCATATTGAGGCTTGTATACTTTTCGGTGAGACTCTTGCCCAAGAATTCTTGATAAAATCTAAGAAGACCAGTAAGCCATTGTTGTACTCAATGATCATATAAAACCAGAGAGCATAGATGAATAGGTTTACATCTCTTGTGTGCTTTGATATGCCCAAAAACCTAAAGCACGGCCAGCGCACTCCATGACAGTATTGGGGTCCAAACCACTCAGCACACTCGTCTTGTAGTCTTCCGTTGGGTTTAAAATCGTAGAAACAGCATCATCGGGGTTGGATAGAACTGTTGAACAGGCAGGGCAACGACGGTCATCGGCGGTAGGGTGTGAAAGTCCGAGGCCATCTGCACATCCTACACAAAATATGTGTCTTGAACTGTCAGTCTTTTTAATGGCCAGCCATAGCCAATGCGACTCACGAGCAGGTTGTCACCACTGCTCTCTCTTTCAACCGTGCACGGCATTTGAGGGAATTGCATCGTAGGTGGAAATCCATGATGTGGTTTAGTATGGGCTGACGAGAGGAAAGGAAGAAAAATGGGAGTGGGTGGTCAATCAGCGAGGACTCGCTTCAACCATTCATCGTAACTTGGTATTTGATCTAGTTTTGAGCCACAAAGCGCCTGGATATATTCAAAAATAACAAATTTGCCACCAAGACAATCACAGAAACACGCTAAAAGAAGAATGTATTTCCCTGTGCATCACGCCGTGTCGAGTTCATCTTTTCTTCAAATTCTTTGCCAGGTTCATACTCGTTCCAAAGACTGGCCGGGAAGATATGCTTGTTCTTTTCATACCAGCGACGGTCTACTACTTTGGTTTCCGCCGAGTCCTTGTCAGCACCCTCCAATGGATGGTCACTGGGTCGATACAACGGGCCATCATTTGAGCGCTCTGGGGGAGGCTTGTTGGTGTAGTCAAATAATAATCCCCCCGTTTTGGAGAAGCTTGGCACCCGGTTGGCGATGAAGTGGTAGAACTCATAATGCTACACCCAGTTAGCTCGAATGTTCAGTAGTGATGGCTGTTCAAGGATTACTCACATGAGGAACAATGATATTGCCTTTTACAAGCATCAAGTCGTCAACACTGACTCGTGCCCATTCTCGACGAGTATCTTTCCGTGCCTTGGAAGCTCCATTGGCACCACCGACTCCCAACTCTGCACCAACCTTGCGACACCGATCCAAAAACAGCCATACGTGATCTCCCTTCCTGACTTTCACTGGACCAGCAGGTGTACTTGTACCATCGAAAAATACAAATGGGATCAATATCTCCGTGTTCTTGACAGCTTCTTGCATGGCCAAGAATTCCTTACGAAGTGCATCACGAGCCTGCGCTTGTTCTTCCAGAGCGGCCTTGGTCAGAGCTTTCGGAGGAGGTGGCGCATTTGGGTTGGCCTTCATGCGAACAGCTCCCGAGGTTGGGCCATCCTCTATCGGTGTCTTCGAACCCGACCGAGATATACTCGATTCGCGTGGAGTAGCTGCGGACTCTTCGCCTGTCCCATCCTCATCGTCGCCAAATGAGAGCTTGCTCTTCGCAAGAGGCTTCTTCTTTTTCTTTTTGGGAGGATCATCGCTTCGAGGCGTTGACGATCTATTCGGCCATAGAACGGATTAGCTCAGGTCCCCGTGGAGACAGTCGTGGGGAAATGGAGCCCTTGGAACTTACCCGTCAGTCACATCGCCTGCAGAGGGAGTTGCGCTTCTTGAATTACCAGATGCCAGTCGCCCAAGGGACTTGTCATGCGCCTCGCGCTCTTTCTGCTCTAGGACCTCGGCGCGCCGTTTGCGAAAGTCGGATAGATGCACGAGACCGACGGTTTGCGACTTGAGCATGTCTTCCGCGGAGGCAGTTTGGCCCGTGAAGGACCGTGGGGTGGAATTGCCACTCTCCTGATCCGTCATTGTGCGTACTGTTTGATTTACACAGCTGAGAGGTAGTTGCTGGGAGAAGTTGACTCTAATGAAAAACGTTAGATATCTGAATCACTGACGTCTGGGGCTCTGCACGTGACTGGATTCAAAGGTACCGCAATGCTTAGATCAATGATTGAATCGAGAAGAATTGATAGAATTGAAAATGAAGAAACTGGCTCAAGGAAATGTAACCAGCTTCATCTCGCTTATTGAATGTAATTACCACATTGACAAGCCTGGTAGAATAGTGAAGTATATTGGAGCCTTATTTTCCAGGTATCAAGTTTGAACGATGAAGATGCTCCAAAGGTCACAAACCTATTTGTCAGAGAACATTCAGGACAAGCTTCACAATCTCATTCAAGCCTGTTTATCTTTATTATCTTCAATATCATCGTTAAATTATCATCCTTCTCCACAACTGCACCTTCGGCATACAAACATCGAAGCCAGTTGAAGTGCAAACAGTCCAAACTCACATTTACCTGCGGAGGATCGCCAGCCAGTCGCGACATCTTTTTTACAACAGAATCCGTATCACTGAAAGCAAATCACAATGGAAGACGAAGAAGATGATTTCTACGATCCTGCCGACACAGTGGCACCGGCTCATGCCTCGAACAACACCCAGGACGCAGCTCCCGGCCAACACATGGACGACATGGATGACGAGGAGGAGGTAGAGGTCGACTCCGACGAGGTTCGATATCAATCCTTTTACGCTTTGGTTCCTTCGCTAACCAAGCCCAGGACGATTTCAATATCATCACAGAGGCGCCTGCCGACGCACCCCCTCCAGAGATGTAAGCTACCAGCCATCTGAGCGCATGTTCATATTTATCTAACCCTCGAAGCTCCCATCCACGCCATGCAAGCTTACGACAAGACTCGCAACGGCCATCCTCCGCAGACTCATCGGCTGTCTCTAAATCTGCGACCCCGTCTGCCACTCCTCGTCTCGATGTCCCGACTCAGCTGCCTGGAACTGGCAGTGCTGCTCCCGCAAAACCCACCGTGCCCCAAAACCAAAAGCCAGGCTCCTCCTACCCAGCCATTCATACCTCTACTATCGACGTCAATGGCAATCCCGTGCACCCTTCCACTGGGAAAACCATCATGGCTACGGACATGGACACAGACTTTCCGGCTGATGACAAGCCCTGGCGGCGGCCGGGCTCTGACGTCTCCGACTTCTTCAACTACGGCTTCGACGAATTTACATGGGTCAGCTATTGTCTGAAGCAGCGGGAGACGCGCAAGGAGGTTGGCGATCAGAAGCGACAGATGGATGATATGTCCTCGTTCTTAGGCATGGGAATGCCTCCGATGCCTGGTGCACCACCTCCAGTCCCTGGACCCACGGCCGGCGGCCCACCAGCCATGCCTGGTATGCCCGGCATGCCTGACATGTCCCCTGATATGATGCAGCAGATGTTGGCGGGCATGATGGCTCAAGGAATGGATCCCTCTAACATGGACCCAATGGTCTTTATGCAAAGCGCCCAGGCGATGATGGGTGGCCAGCCTGGCGGTGGTGGTCAGCAACAGAACTTTGGAGGCCAAGGACAGAACCAAGGCTTCGGTCAGGCTCCACAAGGTCAAATGGGATATGGAGGCTACGACCAGCGCGGTAACTATGGAGGCCGTGGACGTGGGCGGAGATGGTAGTCTCAATGTCAGCTTTAGTACTTCCTATGTGTTCAGTTTGGGTTCGCCCTCCGGATGATGGGCTGGATATTGCGGCGTTTTATGCAAATGGAATTATTGGGAATTTCCAATGGCTTATGCTATTTGTAAAAGTTCATGGCGCAAAGGTCCGCTTCGGAAGAACGGAGCTGTGCTGTATACTGGGGCAGGATGATAGGAGATTCCATCCCGTAGATCCTCTTGGTAGTATGGCAGTATTGGAAACAAAATAGATGTTTAAAACAAGTGTAAATTAGCGCAGATTTCAAAGCCTTTCAACTCCGATTTACTTGGGTTGTAATTGGTCCGATCAAGTTGTTAGACTCGGGTTCTTCAATGTTCCTCGGGACTAAAGCTGTGGTCTTGGCATTCTGGAAATTTCTCGCGGCGAAAGTCCAGATCTTCCTCCCCCGGACACTTCCTCTTCCCTTCTCCATCCCACGAACATCACCCCTTGACCTCAAGACTCTCTCCTTCCATCACAATGGTACGTGAAATGTTCAATTCCTGCGAAAACACCACTCTATGCCCTTTACCAAGCTTCTTGGCAAGCTAGACTGGCCTCGGAGCCCGCCCGCGCATTTTTTCCTTCCCCAGACTCAACCGGATCAACACCCCTCTACCTGTCAAACATCATACTGATTCCAATGTCAATAGTCTGCCATCCGTAACATCAAGGCTCTTGCCCCCCTCTTGGACCGTGTCCTGATCCAGCGCGTCAAGGCCGAGGCCAAGACCGCCTCCGGTATCTTCCTCCCTGAGAGCAGTGTCAAGGAGCTCAACGAGGCCAAGGTCCTCGCTGTTGGCCCCGGTGCCTTCGACAAGGATGGCAAGCGTCTCCCCATGGGCTGCGCCGCTGGCGACAAGGTCCTGATTCCCATGGTAAGTTGGCGCTACATTCCCTTTTCCGACGTCTTCCGCGCATCGCATTACGTTGCCGATGCGTCCCCCTCGGCATATACTCCGAGGCATTATTTATAAGTTATTTGCTAATATAACTACTCTACAGTTCGGTGGTAGCCCCATCAAGATCGGCGAGGAGGAGTACACCCTGTTCCGTGACTCTGAGTATGTTTATGCACCTTACCCACCTACTTCAGCTACGCAATCGTTTTCCGAGCCCCCACTAATATACCATACAGGATCCTTGCCAAGATCAACGAGCTTTAAGCGCCTTAACAAGTCACTTTAACTCTTGTCTCTCGCATCCTCTTTATCTGGATGTCTTCCTCGCCACCCGAGCTATGAATCCTCGAGTAGGAAGGCATCCAGTATGTACCATACCGAAGCGAAGTCACGAGCTCGACCACTCTCAACGATCTCAAGAACAAACCCTACAAAAATAATAAATTATATCTCCGGGGTTCCGGTGCACGTCCCTTGGGTCAGGCTTTGTCCCGTGGTCTGCTTTGGCCTCGTTCATCTTTGCATACTGAGTTTTTGAAGCGCTGGATTGGCCTTGGGTCTTGCATGTCTTTGTCCAATGTATTTTTAAAACCAATCGCAACTTGTCGCGTCTTTGCTTGTGCTATGGCAGGCAGTTGGTAATTTGATGATAATCTCCTCTCATACCAGTCATGTCTGTTCCATTTAGATTTAACCGATGTAAAGTTCTATTTCCTGAATATTACCCGCCGCACGATATATCCATATAATGTACTCATCTGGAAGACATTGAATGCCAGGGCTTGATCTTGAACATGTTCAAATAGCTGGTTCCTTTTGGCTCAGGGCTTCAGAAAGTAATATGAATGCTTGGGACGACCTAGTACCTACCACCACCTGGAGATTTCCTAAAATACAGGGCAAAATAAACTTGGAAGGAGTATAGGTTTGACTTTCATGACTTGAAGTTTTACGAAACTCCTATGTAGGGCTAGCTAGATACACTGGTAGCGTTGAATCAAGCCATAATGGATGCTTGGACAATCGATATCCCGAGCCCATAAGAAGTGAAAACCAAGGAAGTATCATCCTCGCATGAGACCCCGAAGGCATCTCAATTCACCTCAATAACATCATGTAACCTGACCAACAAGCCGTCCCCTATCAAACCCTTAAACCGATACAGCCTCTCAATATGCCTCATATCAATAAAAGCGGTCAAAGCAGACTGTTTCTTCTCTGAACCCTTGACTGGAAAATATTGAAGTTCACCCCCAAGCCCAGTTGCAGCACCACCCTCCACCTCAAGAACATCGAGCACTGTCCTCGCCGCAAAAGGATTAAGTCCAATGGCTCGGAGGAAAATCTCCCACCTCGTCTCGTCGTCCTGGAGGAGCTGATTCAGGGTGACATATCCACGGAAGCTGGCATAGATGTTTGGATCAGGGTCAGGCACAGGAATGCAGATTTGCGGAAGCGAATAGGTGTGTTTGGCTGCGAGGGTGAGAATGCATGCCGTCATGTGTTCCGGGAGAGCAGGAAGTTGAAGAGGGGTTATTGTTGTTGATTGAGAAAAAGAGTCGCAGAAAACATTGAGGGAATGGAGAGATTCTTGGATGGAGTTGTTCATTCGTAACGATTCTGCCGGACTGGTGTTTGCTTGGACTTGGACCGAATGGCTGATAAGCAAGTACAGGATTTCGTATCGAGGTGCTAGGTACAAAATTCGTTCTCTGAGAGGAGATCTGACATCTGGGTTGCTTCGGATGTAGGGATCTTTAGGTCTGTGACCAGGTAGGTAGGTTTGTGTTAAGGCGTGTAAAGATGATAGTATGATTCCCACAGACGGAGCGATTATTATGTCTGCTTCTGGGGGTGTTCGTTGATAATGGGGGTTTTCTGATTCTGTGGGGGTCAAGAATAGTTTGTACTCCCGGTAAATCAGTCTGGGAGGGGTGGGCTGTTGTTCGAGAAATTGGATTACTTGCAAATGGGTCTTGAGAAGATCGATGGACAGGAAGAGGGTGAAATCGGATGCCATATTTGCGTGGTTGTATTTGATTTTGGCGAGGGTGGCAAAGGAATGGGAGTTTGTTGATGGCTTAAAAGCTGAAGGGATGTGTTGATTCTGTTGATGCTGCTGCTCGTTGATTTTGTTAGTTTCGTGAGCGGGAAAGTAAGGGCTAGTTGAAGAGCCGTTTGCTGTGACTATGCCCCTCGTTTCCATGAATGTGGATAGAGAACCAAGCCCTGTGCTGAATAACCCAATACTGGATGTGCTTGGATTCCCAAGCACCGCAGTAGGGGGATTTTCAAGAGGTCGTGTGCCAGTCAAGCCGGTGCGTTGAACTGACTTACCGTTGTCATTTTCAGACCGTTCTGTTGCAGATTCGATGCCTGTAATCGACAGAGGATTGGAAATAACAGGAATAAGCTTGTCAGAGATAGGAAAAGCAATTTCACTATCAACCGAGCGGGGAGTCACTGGAACACCACCATCCACAGATGATGCGTTTGTGTGAAGCTCAGGAGATGCTTCGATGGAGATTGGTCGCGATGCAGTCCCATTGGCGGGTAGGTCAGTATCTAGTACATCCTGAGCAATTTGTGTCAATATCGATATATTATTTGGCTGAAGTCGGCCCCTATCAGTTGAACTTGGAGGTACTGCGGCATCATCTACCTTGTGAAGCACTGAATCCGCAGCACTATATGGACTCTTGGTAGGTGATCCAGATTGGACGCAAGGCGACATTCGCGAATGTTGACTCTGATTCTCCGCTTGCGTATCCTCTGGGATGGAAGGAAGGGCTTGCCTGTCTTCCCGTAGCTGGATAAGAGCTGGGTCTTTAGGAAACAGGAAAGTGGGAAGTGGAGTGTTGTTTGACGGGGACTTCCCTTGACGCATTGCAGCTAATTTCCGGGTACGAGCTGCAGATTTAAATTGCATTGATTGCCCACTGTGCAGTTCAACCTTCTCGGGAACAAGCTCCATGTCATGGAAAAGCGTAGCGGTCTGTTACATTATAAGTCTCGTTTCAAAATTGAACTCGCACGAGACAGACTGACCTTGTGCTGGAAAAGCATTTCATAACGTATCGAATCCACTGATTTGCTCGATGCTTCGCCCTTCGGCCTCCAATCCTTGGACATCAGAGTACGTGCCTTTTTGCTAAGATCCAATCTCACAGAGCCGAGACTTCGAGCTTGTGCGAGCACTTCCGAGAGACTTGAGGGCGTATCATAGTTCTTGGGTGGGCCCCACACAGTACCAAAGCCCAGACGCTGTGCAATAAGAGGTGCAAAGTAACTGTCAAGCTTCACAGACTGAGATTCACTTTGTGCATGTTCTGGTTTCAGGCACGTAGAATTGAAGCCGGACTCACTCCGAGAGACAATGGACTGAATTTCATGGATTGCATGTTCGCTTTGCAGAGGAGGATCTCTTGAACGGGTACCCAATTGATTGATTGAAGGCAGCATGTCGTCCCAACAGACTGGTGACTCCGTAGGCGTTGTCTTTTGTGCAATCAAGAGTAGAGCAGATTCACGACTAAGATCAAGCTTTTGCGGTTCTAGATCCTTTCTGGCAGTCGAATAGAACTTCTTGAACCCGCTTGCGATTCCACCAGAGTACTGATCAGGTGAGGGGATTATCTCACTGATACTGAGCGCTGAAGCTATTCTCAACTCAGTGGGGACTGCAATGCCTTGTTGCCGAGCGTATTGTAGGATATCAGAGTCGAACCTTGGAGGATCCATCTTGACGATAAGGAAAATAAGCGTGGGATTATAGCAGGGAAGACTTGTCAAGGTGGGGGGTGTGGAAGGAAGGCAGTAAGTAACTGGTCGAAAAAAGGGCTAGAGAAGTGAGATGATTGTATCACGTATATTTTGGGAGTGAGAGATGTCTGATAATGACCACCTGGGCACACTTGCAAACCATGTATGGCACTGCTGGTACAGTAAGAACTAGTCAACAGCTCATAATTACTCACAGGGCTTAATACAAACCACAGCTGGACATGTATATGTAAGATTTCGACAAACACAAAAAACGAGGTTATTCATTCCGAAGACATTTATTCCAAAATTATTCAAAATTGAATATCACATATGTTACCTTTCTTTACTGGGCTCTCGTCCTAGATGGCTGATTTGACCTAGCACTACCTGTCCAATATGTGAGAGCCTACGATGCGGATAGAGGCCCGCAATGCCGGGTGCTGCAACTCGGGACTTTTCTCCGAACCGAGCAACTCCTTGACCGCACGATGCTTGATCACTATGCCATTGCGCACAGTGTGGAAAGTTGCATTTTGGTAAGAGCTCGTCTGATCGCGCGTCGAGAGCATGGTGCGGCTGCCATCCCCCCCAGAGGAACTCGCGACGGAGATGAGGAGCGAAGTAGTGAGCTGGGTAAGGCTGACGTAGCCCCCATCCGCCTTCGTTGGTAACGTTTGAGTCTGCAATTGGCGTTGACGATGATTTGAGCTACTGAGACCCGGTATGCGCCCACCTCTAATATAAAGCTGATAAGTTCCGTTGCCCTGGCACTGGTACTGGTAACCATCGTTTGCGCCACCACCATCAAGACAATAGGGACTACACATTGATTAGCCAAAAAGCCGAGAGAACTAGGGAGTAGAAAGTCTTACGTGCTACCTCCACCGGGGGTTCCGAAGGTAACTTCGAAAGTGCTGGGTTCAAAGCCGCAGACAGAATTGCAGAATGCAATTAAGTCCGAGCCCTCTGCGCTGTTCTCATCATCGCTAGTGCATAGAAGGACTGATCCGGAGCCGCCCTCGACAGTAGACGCATAAGGATATTCATCACAAGTGTTCTCATCAGAGCTCTGCGTTGGCAGCTTGCCATTGCCGCATGGGGAAGGTTGAACCTAACCAGCCGTGCGTTGGCGGGAGTCGGACTGGCCATTGGGCCCATTGTAGTTGAGGGTCTGACAACAGAAGTCAGCACCAACATCTTCCCCTGAGGCAGGCAGTTCTTCCATACTATCGGCTTCTTAGCGACATACGCCGCGTAGCAGTCATTGTTGCAAGGCCCTGGGTGATTGATACGATCTAGGTGTAGAATATCAAACTGCCCGAGGGTGAATGGGACAAAGACGATCAGTGTAAGAGCGCGCATGTTGGGTGAATACGTTGTTCAAACCAAGAAGCTGTCTATACACGACTGATGAAGAGTGTGGAAAGAGGTCTCGTTGAATCAAGAGGTATATTGAACATGAAGAGAAGGATATGAAAGTGGAAAATTGGCCATCCTCTTATATTATCAATCCGTTCATGATGGAGACTGCCAGAACAAGATATCGCCCCCAGATGCCAGCCTGATCTAAAAGACAAAGCATCTAAGGTTTCATATCCTCAAGGCTGTAGGAATGAACGCGCTCCCGGTAGATCGTCAATGAATCCGTTTGTCCATAGTGACAAGGTAGTTAGGCACTCACGAAAATTAGTTCATAGGACCATGACTGCCTCTTTCTTGTTATATCAATCAGGCCAGCTCGAACACTTTAGCCCCCACCAGCCGCCCGTCGAGTGACGTCGAATCCTCTATCCAGTTGCAGCGCTGTATAGCTTTGAAAGGGTCTAGAGAGCAAAATACTCGAGGTGAAGGGAGGGCCGAGGGAGGCGTAGGTATAATCCTGCCTAACCAGGCAAGCGTGCGCTAGTCAGAATTGAGCATGGGCGGGGGTGAGGCTGTATGCCTCGTCAAATTTGTTTGAAGATCTCACCGTGAAACCAATTTTAGAACTATATACGTCACACTGCTCTAGCCTATTCCGTCTTCTTTCTTCTATACCTCTGGTCGTGCACTCAGGGTCTCCTCTATTATAACCGAGTGTTGGTAGCACTATACCGTCGTGAGAGTCTACTGAGCTCTTTCAATTTTGTCTATTTACCCCTTTTCACCTATAAAAGATGGGTCTCTTGTTTCCCGTCATCTGCGCCGCTCCGCTGAGCAAAGAGGTCAGTGCCGTCTTTTCTCCCCCCCCTCCCTCCTTAGCCTTAGCTCGTTACTAACCCCTAGTGATATTTGCAGACCTTAAATCGTTTCATTGAGGAAAATGAAGTTGACGCCGAGGGGAGATTTGTGTTCGTGGACACCCTTGACGACTATTACTCTGAGGCATCAGAGGCACCAACGGAAGTTGACAGCAACCCAAATTCCTCATTCATCCACAAGACGCCTCAAGAATGTTACGAACTGCTCTTGAAGCTTCGCGAGGATACCGAGTCGGAAACAATAACACACTATTTTGCCATCATGGACGAGAGATCAACCCAAGACGATACTGTACTGCTCGTGTGCGCATCTGTGGACCTTGACGCGGAGAACGAACTCACCATACAGACTATTCGCGCCTCCTTCCAGGCTTCGGTTTTCGCGCTGATGCTATATGAAACAGGGCACAGCAGTGTAGGGGAGGATGAGGAACGTGCTGAGCGTGCAGGCGACACTGTCTACCGTGGATAGTGGTCTACTTAGGCATAATCAATCTTAATAGACGGCAAGGCAAGAAGCCGTAAGGATGAGTGTTCGGATGATAGAAATGCTTTTAGGAAGGGGATCTTGTAAATAGAGAAGCCGCGTTCATTCTTTGTCATCCCGCTATGTATATGTATTTGTCTGAGAAAACGCTAAATGGATTAGTATGTAATAATGATGTAGTTTCCAATGCTGCAATTCCCCGCTCCACCTCTAGTCATTGTAATTGGACTGTCGTGATCCATCCTTGTTGACTGCCGGCAGACCAAACAACGCATTGACCTCATCTTCCTGTGATTTGCCCGATTCCTTCAAGATCGGGCGTTCAGCCTGGGCTGCTACGCGGACAGCGTGTCGTCGGTGGGGTGTGAATCCATATGTAGCAGAATGGTTCTAAAAGCTTCCTTTAGCATACATTCAGTGGTTCCACAATGGAAAAGACTTACCGTTGTCCTGTTGTCCCAGATAGCAACATCACCCTTGTTCCACTGGAACCGAGCATGTGCCTCTTGAGTTGTAGCGACCACATCAGTGAGGTACCGGATGATGGCATCGCTCTCACCCTTGGGGATACCAATGATCGTAGTGACGAAACCGGGATTGAAGAATAGACTGTTCCAGCCCGTGACCGGGTTTGTTCGGATAAGAGGGTGCTCCGTGGTGACCGGGTCTCGGCGGACTGGCCGACCAAGGGCGCGTGAGTCGTTGGCCTGCATGTCAGCCGAATGAAGGGCCGTTAAGCCCTTAAGGTAGGTCTGCATGTGTGAGGACAGGACGTCATATGCGGCATATTGTGATGACCAGAGTGTGTCGCCGCCGCCTCCGTGGGGAGGACCTGTGAGCACCTTCAGCATGGTGTATGATGGAGGTTGCACTTCGTAGGTAACCTGTGATCAATTATTAGTTTCAGTCTTGGTACTCGTGACTCAATATCTTGGACATACATCTGAATGCCACAAGAAGCTTGGGCTGAATAGTGCGCGGTTGTCTGGGGAGTTGTCCGCCGCGTACACAACATGGACATCTTCCAGACCTTCCTTGCGTGGAACGGAAGTAGTAGCATGCTATTCGTGGATTAGCATTTGTGCTGTTGAGAGACCAGATGAGCATGACCAACCTTGTGTAACCGTCCAAAGTGCTTCCCAAGATTCCGCTGCGCATCAACATCCAGGTTCTTCTGGTCACGGAAAAAGACCACACCTCGGTATGCTACTAGACGGGCCAAATCGTCTCGTTGTGCGTCGGTCAGATTGGCCAAGTCGACTCCGTGGATCTCCGTTCCGATTTTAGGGTTGTAATCGAACACATTCGAGGCATCTTGGAGCAGGTTGCGGAACTTCGGGTCTCCATGAATACCCCGGTCTTCGTGGTAAATCTCCTCTAGAGGTTCCCAGTGGATGTTGGGGAATGAAGGCAGAAGATCATCATGCTCATAGCTGGTGTGCTCTTCAACGCGTGTCCGTCCAGGGACATAGCCAAATTTGTTGCCGCCTGCGACTCCCTTGGTGGGAACCACGACGGGTGCCGGGTTCGATGAGACAATGGGCTCTTCCAGAGAGGGTGCCATTGTGAATGCTTTAATGAATCTCAACCACGATCTAACAATGCAGAGGTAGAGGTATAAAGAGGAGTGATCCTTGGGTTTGAGCGGGACTGAAGTATAAATTGGAAGATTATCTCGACTGGGGCATACGCTTTATATAGACATCAATCTGGAAGAGAAAAGAGCTCCTGTGGATCCCAATATTGAGTCAATCCTGAATAAGCTGAAGGGAATCTGATGCAATTGCGTGCACGCTTCTCAGAGATCGCGCCATCGACATACGTGATCACCCAAGCCGAACCCCAGGCAGATGAGTCTTCGTTGGTTCAACCAATCATGAAAGCGAGTGGATGTGCCTATTAGTGAGATTTGTGATTTCCCCGGAATTTTCGGGGTGGGACCCTATGTTAGGGGGGGCGAATCACGCCATCTTGGTGACGTTGATGGCAACATTAGCCCATTTTTACCGAATAATCATGGTTAGAGATAACCCCCTGAGACAGGGGGAAACAGATCATTTCACCGCTGTTTTGAAATATGAGAGATAAGATAGCATACGTACGCAATTCAAGGCAGTGTTAGCATTGCGCAGTTTGTGGAGTTGGTCGCGGGAAGAAAAGTGGAGGTTGGAACTAGCAACAAGCAACGTTTGGGGCGCTAAGCGGCGATCACGCAAGAGTGGCGGGCTCTGGCGTGTAATCCCATCCAAGCCCATGGCAACGGATCTTCTTAGTGGATGCTTCCAAGGGTTTTGAAATTTTGTACAGAGCCCCGGACCGAATATTATTCTTGTCGCGTGGTTTACAATATTGCCCATATCAAGCATCTAGTAGGTTCGTAAGCCAAGTCTAATTTTGGCTCCGACGACCCATGAAGATATGGTCCACTTGGATTGTTAGTAATATATTCTTGGAAAGTGCGTCACTGCAGACGAAGTAATATAGGCCCAGAAGGAAGGATTCATGATCATTTCCGCATACTCAAAAGACCAGCTCATTGCATTAGTGTACATTAAATCGATCGATATAATCCGAGATCCCCCCTGTTCATCACATTCGGTCACCCAGACCTAATGGACCTAGGCTCACCTCCTGAACCTGCTCGGTAACACCGCCTAGTCGAGCAGCAACACCCATAATTCCAGCTTCAACATCACCCAGGACAGCCGCCAGGTCATTGACCGCGGACTTCGGGGTCCCGGCACCAGATCCATCACGAGACCTGGAGCTGACGAAGTCGTGGATCTGGCGGTTCAAATTGACTTCCACTCCGTGTAAGTGGTCTTCGATCTCCTTCAGGTTGCCCTTGTAGCGACCGAGGACAGTACCCATCTCGTCAGAGCGCTGGGAGAAGTAATCCACCAGGTTCACGGGCACACCGTTTACGGTATTAGCAGTGGATGGATCGACTTCCACGTCATCAGGGAGCGCCAAAGTATTCTTTCGAGTTGATCGCAATGACCCGCGGTCTGGAACCTTTTGATCATGCACTGACCACCAGCCGCCGCCTCCTGAGGACTGATATTGCATGGGCAGTTTCAGGGTGTCGATCGCACGGAAAGCAACCTGAGCTTCGGCCGCATCACGGGTGACGAGTCCTCGGAGTTGGTCAATATCGCTGGCGTCATTCTCAAGAGCATGTTGAATGGTATCTAGCTTGCCCTGCACGAACTCCACGTCGTTGGGAATGGTAGAGCCCTGCTGTTCGATGGTAGGGAGTATGTCGGCAACCTCATTGCACATCCGAATTTGTTCGAGAATGGCGTTGTCGATATTCTCAATCTCGCGGCGAAGCTCATCGGCGCAGCTCTCGTACTTGGTGGTGGGGAGGAGGTTGGTGAGATCGACCTTCACGCCCGGAACTACGTTCCCTGTGGCGGTACTTTGCTGCAGCGGTTGTTGTGTAGTGGTGGTGTTGGCGAATAGCCCAAGACTTGGCTTTTGAGGTTGTTGGGATTGCTGTTGGGTGTTTTGAGTGTTGCCGCTAAAAGGAATTAGCCCAATGATATGCAATCAACATTGGTCATTGTCCAGTAACTTACAAGGCACCGCCTGTAGTTGCGCCCAAGCCACCGCCGAGACCACCGAGACCCAACGCAGGTTTCTGCTGAGTCTGGGCCGTAGAAGTAGCTCCCAATCCACCGCCGAACAAGCTACCTGTCCCTGCTTGGGTAGTGCTGGTACCAGTGCCTGCCGTGGCTCCTCCACCAAACAAGCTGGATGGCTGTGCTTGAGTAGTTGTGGTTGTAGGTGCTCCTCCGAACATGCTACCGCCAGTCGCGCCAGTCTGCGTTTGGCCTAGGCCTGAGAACATGTTGGATCCGGTGGGTTGAGCGGATTGTGTGTTTCCAAAAAGACCCCCTGCTGGTTTTGATTGAGCAGTCGAATTGGCGTTGCCAAATAGACTTCCTGTTGTGCCGGATGCTGGAGTGGATGTTGAGGTGGTTTGTGGATTGCCGCCGCTGTTCGAAGTCTTTGTTAGCTTTGGTCCCAGGGTAACGTTTGACACCCCTGTCATCCGCAGCCAATCAATCGCTGAAAAGCGGAAACCCCAAAATGGAACCACCAGGTTTATAAAACGCAAGGGGTTGCCGATCTTAAGCTTCGATGGAGCTTCGATGAGGTAGACAGCGCTATGGTAGGAGCTGGTTGGCTGAGCGACTCACAAGAGAGAATTTGCGGAGTTGGTGTTGATGCTTAGCCCGCCCGTCGAGGGAGCAGCAGCTTTGGGTGCGAACATAATAGGCCGGATTGTAGTGAATGACCTTGAAAATTACTAGAACAACATTCAAGGCGCGTGCAACCCCGATAAGATTTGCGGTCGGTGGATTATTTTCCCGGGCGCCGAGGCTTGACGACACATGAACAATCAAGCCCTACTTTTACTTTTACTTCGACTTCGAGATTCGACTATTACTCGAACAATGGGCTTGAAATTTTCAACATCTTGGTATTGGTTGTAATATCGAACTTTCAATCTCTGATTTTTTGATTTTGTCCATGCTGTGCTTTTTTGGAGAACCTGATACTGTCTTCTACCTGTTCCTCATTCATTCATTCTCTCAAACCCCCAGTTCGTTTTTCAACCATGGTTGATAGTACCGTGAAGACGTGGATACCGAGCTGTATAGCCTCAACAGTGCCCTCAGCTAATGCAGATCAAGTCACCGAGTCGGAAGCTCCTTTGGCTCCAGTTTCTGAGAGCGAAGTGAATGCTCAAAGCTTCAAAAGCGCGGAATGGTGAGTAGGCATTGTTCCATTCCCATATGTGTCAGTACTTGATCAAGTCTGGTATTTGAGAATACTTCACAGCTCAGGTCATTCTCATTCTTGTCCAGAAGACCAACAGGAGATAGCTGTCCTGGCTTCACCTTTCCTCCCAACTGAACTGACCTCGAATGTCGGCTAGGACTCCAGATGGCACCACTCTTTTGACAGACTCTGCAGATCATCATATCAGAACATTTATTCTGTAAGCTCCCTGGACATCCATCTCCTTGATTGGAACTTTTCTCATCTGATTTAACAACCAGGCCGCCAGATCTTCTTGACTCACCTTCTGTCCATCATCTTTCTCCATATTCAACGCTCCCTTCAGTAGAGCCAACATATGCCTCTGCTGCTTACCCTTTCTTCAATCTTCAGGACCCATCGACAACTCTCTTTCTTTCATCTGTGAGAGATCACCCGATCCGGCTGGCTTCGGCCCTTGCTCCTGTATCGGTAGCAAGCTACTCACTGGTAAATCCGACAACTGAAGCCTTCATCACTCCCCACTCCATCATATATCCATCCTCTCTTGGGGGAACACACTTCCTCACTGGCTCAGATAGCCTCATTTGTCTCTTTGATGTTTCTCGACCTGGAAAGGATGGCCCTGTCTCATGGTTGCCAACCATCCCAAGTAAGCGCAAACAGATCGTCGGTGGCGGTATTGGCATGAAGGGTATTGTTTCGGCCTTGGCTGTCAGTCCCACTGGTGACGGGATCTTAGCTGCCGGCACATTCACCAGACAGGTTGGCCTCTACAACTCCAACGGCTCTGGGGAGCTCTTGGGGACATTCAGCATTGCAAAGACCGAGGCCAATCGGGTTATTGGAGGGAAGGGTATCACTCAGCTTGTCTGGAGCCCTTGTGGGCGGTACTTGTACATCGCAGAGCGAAAAAGTGACGGTGTGCTTGTTTATGACGTTCGGGTGACAGGGCAAATGCTCGGATATCTGCGAGGACGCAGAGCCATGACGAATCAGCGTATGAGTATTGATGTTGTTGCTGCTGGTGTTGATGGTGCTCACGAGGTCTGGGCAGGTGGGACTGATGGCTTCATGAGAGGATGGAAAAATCCTATGTATGCCGCGGGTGGGCAAGATCCCGAATGGGAGATGAAGGTTCATGATGGTCAGTCTTATCAGAGAAGCATACATATACTCTGGGAGCTAATACAAGAGATAGATACCGTCAGCAGTGCTGTGTTCCACCCCACGGGAAGTGTTGTTGCTACCTGTTGTGGTCAGCGCAATGATCCAAGTAGCCCGAGTGACAGTGATCCGAACAAAATTAATCAGAGAAAGGGGGAGAACAGTGTCAAAATATGGACATTGCCTTCATGATTAGGTACTGGAGATGTACTTAACCACATCACTACTCTGAATTACGAATACTGCACCTGCCTTATACCGGTAATCATCAAGGACAATAGGAGTCGTGAAGCAAGGGCTAATTTCGGTCTTCCAATCACCAACCCTAATCGAAAGGAGGTTCTTTGTCATTCACTTGAGGCTCCAAACCGTTTACTACCTAATTGGGCGAGGGGACCGGGGTTCGTCTAGGGAGCCCTAACTTCCAAGTGAAGTCCGTTTGCTTAAGTGCGTGTGACTCTTCTTGTCCCAATTGAGCAAAACCACACAGCAATTTCCTGTTCTCTCATTGGCCCAATCAGAATACGACAAAGGGTCACTCTATTCACTCTCACCAGGTCCAAGACTAAAGCTTCACTTCTTGCCCAATTCCCAATCTTCTTCCTCTTCCACCCCATCCTACTGTTTTGAATTCTGCTTGCTCCGCAACGTTTTGCTGTTTGTCTTGCGTTTCCTTTTCTTTTTCAATTGAAAGCATTTTCGGTGTTTGGCGTCCGGGTTTTCGAAGTCTTTACTCTGATTTCTTTCCAACCATGTCTGTTCAATTCATCCCTCGAGGTTATTACGCCGCCGGTGCCACCAAAATGACCAAGAATATGGCCATGGCTCTTCCCCTCTCTGAGCTCTCTTTCGTCTCGCCTGTAGCCCTTCAACTTGTTGATGCAGATTTTGAAAACTTCCTCAATACTCAGACCCTTTCTGATACCACCAATGCCAACACCCTGTATGACAGCTCCCCCTGTGATCAAGATGAATTTCCATCTCTCCCCGAGGATTGCACGATGGACGATTTCGATGTCATGTTTGAATTTCTCAAGGACCCTTCGGATGCCTCCAACGTTGTCCAGTCGGCGACCTTCTATGCGCAGCCAACCCTCTTTTCGTCCCTTGAAGAGGCCCGTGAAGCTGTTCGCCGCCAGGGCCCCACAGCAGGGGATTCTACCTTTCCTCAGACCACCGAGGAAATGCGCAACCTGATTGCGTCTCTCAAAATCGCGATGAAGTCCGTGGCCCATGCCAAAGACAGCCAGAAGACGATCAAGCCTTTCGCAGAAGGCCGCCACTCAGACCTGGCTATTGAAGTCGCCTGTTGGGAGTTGCTTGTGAGTCAATCACTGCCTTGCATGCTAAGCACATGAACTAACTAACATTTATCAGAACGTGATCATGGCCCGGCACACAAATGGGGCCTCATTCACCGAGGCGCATGAAAAGAGAGAGACCGGATTGTTCCAAGTTCGATTTGAGAAAGTTGTTCATGGTCTTCAAGTATGTGTTCGCGAAAGAATGACTTGTTGTTGAAAATCAATAACATGTTTCACGGCAGGTTTCCAAGTCAATCTGCAAGCACTTGCTAGATGAAGCTTACAACAAGGTATTTGTTGATGACCCTCTGCACGCTGTGAAAAGGGTGTCCGCCAATAAGAAGGTCAACGACAACAAGAAAGGCCTGATTAATAAGGGCAAAGAGGCTACCGCCCAGGCTGAAGCTGCTAACAATACTCCGCTTACACCTCCGCCTTCGGGCAAAAAGCGCAAGCAATGCCGCTAAGGGTATCATGGAAAGGTCTCAGGGTTTGATTCGGTTTTGATCTCGGTCTGGATTTCAATTTTTAGCCCCATTTTCGTTTTTAGTTTATTTTTCCGGATTTCTTAACGTCTTCTTTTTGTGTCCCTTTTTGTGTCCCTTTTACAGCTGCCTGCATACCAGCCTTGTCATCGAGCATGGCCTCTAGCGTGCTAGTGTTTATCTTTTCGTTCTGTCTAAATTCTTTTCATCCTCGTATATTTTGTGCTTTTGATCTTCCAACTGCGTAGATTAATCCAATCTTCGTATTTGATAAAGCGATTCATTCCTCGTACTCTTTCTATGGTCTATATGATTTTCGATTCCAAAATACACAGGGATAGAGGTAGCATGTTTCTACAGGGATGGACTCGGTATAATAGAAAATGCACACATCTTTCTGCTTGGGTCTACAGAAGTCCAAGCACAACCACAAACACAGCAGTCAAAGATCCGGCAGCCGAGATAGCCAGTGTAGAGGCAGCACCAGTGCTCGTAGATGCAGCGGCTGTACCAGTAGTCGTAGACGCAGGAAGATTGGCACTGACACCAGGGGTACTCGAGAACGTGTCATGACCAATAACCCCTGTAGTGTTGACACCAGAGATATAGGTCGTGCCATTGCGGGAGTAAGGGATACCGACATCCATGCCGTAAAGAGCATCATAAGGAAAGGGAGCAGTGTAGTTGTACGTCGGAGCACGTCCCTTGTACATGTCAATAACAGACTGCAGAATACCGTTACCCGCTGCGCAGGAGTCACTGGTGGAGGGTACGGGCCAGCTGGAGCGATAAGCTGTCAACCCCCATCTCATGAGCGGACCGGGTAGTGACTCGTTGATGTACAGGTTTGTGTCGTCGATGACCCAGTTGGTATAGCCAACTTTGTCCGCGACGAATTGAAACAAGTTGGCACCACAGTCCCATCGCCCCAGCGAGGGCAAGCCCCAGTTAGCTTCCACTGTAGAGAGTGTAGAGTAGTGAGTGTAGACAGTATCGTCCGTCGTGCCGACAAGGTGTTGAGGGACGGCACCGCCTAGTAAGATACTAAAAACGCGGTTGCGCACATCGTAGATCTCTGTCTCGGGCACATTATAGACCTCCGACTCGTCGAAGCTCAGCAGCATGAGAGTGTTATCCCAGAAGTAGGTGTTATTCATCAGCCCAGACACGAATCCGCGCAGCCAAGCCGAGCCGTATGTGACATTGGTGTCGTGGGCATCATTAGTCATGTTGGGTGTGATGAAGGCCCACTGAGGAAGTTGCTTGTTTTGCAGTTCAGTTTCAAATGAGGTGAAGTTCTTGATCAGACGTAAGGCGGTATCATTGCTGGAGATCTTGTCGAAGATGACTAGAGGGTTATGCTTGCGCACGTAATCATCTGCATAAGTCTTTTGATTGGAGTAGTTATACCCCTGGAAGCCAGGATATGGCATATCCTCCTGGTATTCACCCCATGAAATGCCCTTTGTATTCAATAGATCCGCCACAGTCGAGACATTCGTCGGAATATCGTGGAATAAATCTAGATGCTTTTTAGCTAAATAGCTTGGCTCGGAAACAAACGTGCTGACCATTGTCCATGCCATAATTGTCTCCACTAGCAGCAGCGCAGTAATTGGGCTGGGAGGTGTGGCCAACAGCATAATAATTTGACAAGGTGATACCCTGACTGGCCAGCCACTGCTGATCAGCATTTCCGGCGGCGTCGTTGTAATCCTGTGGTTAAGTAAGCATCGCTGAACCCCAATCCTGGCACTCATTACATACCACATTCTCCAACCATACTTGGTAGAAGCGGTCAAAAGCCTTTCCTGTGACATTCGATGTCCAGGCTAGGGGCACTGTTGTTTGCTGGGCTGCTTCAATCGCTGCCAAAGCCGGCTCTGTAGTGGTGATTGTCGTACCGGCAGCAAGGCCGGCGACGGCAAGAACAGCAGCAATGAAGGCCATGAAGATGGCCGAGAAATTATATATTTTGGAGCAATGACAAGGCACAATGATGGTTTCTCGAAAAGAGCAAGATCAATGGTTTGCTTTATATCGTGGCTCAGTCATGTATCAATGATAATCGTATACTCGATGCGACCGTGGGGCTTACCCCCAAATGCGGAATATATCCGAGACAGCCGTGGATGAGGAGAGAACCCCTAATGCTGGAGAGCTACCACACGTTTGTTGTCTCTTTCGGCTTGAAGAATTGGATGTCGATTAAGCAGTGCCCAATTAGGAAACACAAGGCATTGGGGGTCGAAAATGTATCCACGGCGATTGGTGGTTATTGGATAAACGAGGGCTGGATAAGCGCAATTCGCCACTTTTATATCAAAATGGCCCCCAATAAAGCCCCGTGGGTGCTTTACATTTCGTCAGGGTCCTAGGTGGGGCGAAAACGGCCCCATTCTGTGACCAATGATAGCTCTTCCCCGTTTGATCGTATATGCAGTGGATCTCGCTGCTTTTGCCTCTTGCTGACTTGGAGTTCATTCCATGACCTTGGGATGCGAGTCATCATTGGGACAATGTCAGACTGCCATACCATTGTGTTCAAACCACATAAGCCTTCATTTTCAGGGTCCATTTTCTACTTTCGGCATTTCCCCTCGTGTTCATACGGTCCACGCAAACTTTTCCTATGGTCATATTTACCCCGGCTACAAAGATGATGGCCCCTGCCTTTGGCTTTAGTGTTGGCGAGTACATCGCTGTAACAGACCTCGCTATTGCAACAATAAAGCCCTGCAGTGTACCCCACGGACGTCATCGAACTAACAGAGCTTCAGGAGCAATTGGGTCTTTTGTCCCATTTGATCAAGTCTACACGAGCATCCGACGTAGAGAAACAGCTTATTTGAAAAGCAACGCTGCGAAACTTATCAAGCGCTAATAAAGTCGCAAATTTTGCTAGCAGTTAAACTTGTCCGATAAAGTACATTGTTGTTTCTCCGAATTTCACAAAGTACTTGAGATGGGTTGTATATGATTGAATAAAGAAGGCTATGACAGAATCATCGCTTAAATGGCGGTTCCTCCATGCTCATTCTACCTGTCAGTCTTTGTACAATATTCCAGCCCCTCACTATTTTGCGTTACGCAGAAGTCACAGTCACACGGGCAGGAGTTTCATGTGGCTAAATATACATCTCCACTTATCATCATAATTTCAGGCGGATTGAATCCGGAATCTGCATAGCAGACTTCTTCGACTACAGTGGTACGTCTCAATGGGCTAGTATTGGTATGCTAAACGAACCAGCGCCTCAGTGGTGTCCGGTAGTCAGTGAGCAAAAGCGGCAAGGAGTAAGCACTGGGACAGGACGAAAAAACAAGAAGTGATGGAGATCGCCCATAATTGTGGCGGGTGTGCACAGTGTGCCCGTATACGATCTACGGTCGTATTAATCTTTGGGGGCAGGATGAAGATCGGTAATATGACCTCGAAAGCGGCCGCGTGGCGTGAACTTCTAAATCGAGAGGATCAGGTCAGCTCTTTTCAACCCCTTCTTTATCTCGGGTATAACTCTCGTGGTGTTCTTTTGCCATTCCCGAAAAGCAATTCGTGTTTAAGGTTTACATGGTTTAGGGTCCAAAAAATTGCCGAAATGAGAGAGTGGAGTTGTGCTAGCTCGGGATTCAGCGAAGACCGAAGAAAGCCGAAATAATCCCTGGGTATTGTCATGTCGCTCATTCTACGCCGTTAGAAAGATCCAGAGTCAGTCGAGTCAGTCGAGCGATCTACTGTTGATCAATATGACATTGGGATGAGACAGGCTCAAACAGCCGTATCCGATTCCCTGGTACCCACGTTTCAGCGGCACGGAAAGCCCGAAGCGGGACCCCACTTGATGCCACGAGGTCGGATGACTAATTTAGTTGTTGGACCCCCTTTTTTGAGGCAGAAGGGTCGGAATATTACACACAAAGAGAAATTGGGTCAAGTTGGCATGTAACTCATGGCCTTTGAGGTTTCCACAAAGTTCAAAGCCTGGAAGAGCTCATATGTTGGCTCACAGGCATCGGAAATAATCCTTTCCCTCTTGACATACATTCCAGGGTTATTATATGAAAGATGCTAAAACAGCGTCGAAGACCGCGACGATAAGTTTACCGTCGGATTCTTGATCAATAACCAGCCCTCTTGAGGCTGTTTACAAGCCACTCAATGCCTTCGTAGATACCATCGCCAGAGGTGGCGCAAGTGGCTTGTATATACTTTGCGGATTGTCAGTTTCTATAGTAATTAGGATCAACAGGTCAACATACCCAATTTTGTTTTAAGCTGTTGAGAGCGAGCTTATCAGCGACCTCGGCGGCGCTCAGCGCAGTCTTCCCTCATGTTAGCTCATGACTCGCACCGCATCGAGAGATTACTTACGGCCAAATCTTGTTTGTTGGCACTGATCAGGAGCAACGCATCTCGCAGTACATCCTCATTCAATAACCGCTCTAGCTCAACACGTGCCTCGTTGATACGATGGTGATCGTCAGAGTCCACCACGAAAATAATGGCTTGCGTGTCTTGATAATAATTCTTCCACAACGGGCGACAGTCATCCGGCCCACTAGTGGCCCATGAGGTAAAATGAACATTCTTATATTGGACAGTCTCCACGTTGAATCCTGGACATATATGTCAGTTCTCCAAGGGCCAGTATGTGGAGGAAAGGGAATTCAAGGGGGAACTACCAGGTGCTGGAGTGGTCGTGGCGACCTCACCAGCGTTCAGCTTATGGAGGATAGTCGACTTTCCGGCCTCATGGAGCCCGACAATTATAATACGCACTGTCTTCTTCTCCCACAGCTTGTCGCCAAACAGCCTCGATAATGTGAGACCCATTGTGAATTGGACAGGCACAGCCTTGCTGACAGTGTTGAGGATGGAGATAGGTGAATGCGAATCCGGGAATGTGAGAGATGGTGCTCAAACTCAAGCGACCTCGACAATTTTGTTGCTTATAGGTATTCACAATGCATGGCGAAAGTCGTAAGCGTGACTGCCTCGGACTTTGCCGGTAGTAGTATGGCCGGTGACCACATGCGATAGGCCCTGAATTAATGTTTTCAATGCCAATGTTAGTCTCGGCTATAGCGCGGTGTTGTTTGTCGTAGAGGCAGCTGATCTTGTTTTTCGGGAGTTTTGGAGCGAGAAGAGCGGAGCATTGGGAGTTTTGAAGCGACACGGGTACGGTACATGCCCAGTCGGAGGCCTAGTTCAAGTTTGCAAGACAGCAATTTGCAACAGATTGTGAATCGTAATAAATAGATACAATCATGTAAACACACAACGCATTATGTGGCCCTGTAATCTCATTTTGAATGATATCATCCTGAAAGCAGGGCCTGGACCCGAGGAGAATTCATAACCTCAGCCTCAGAGTAGACACGGGCGGCAACTCGAATCTGTAAAGCGTGAATCACATGAAAATACTATATTGAAGAGCATCAGGGAACCAATGAACAAAACTATAAAGGGAAGAGGTGAATCGAAATAGATGCTAATTCCTGACACCCCTAGCAAGTGTGTTTGAGCTGGTTTCTTGGCGCGGGGAACAACAAATTGATAAACTGTGCAAGCCTCTATTGAAAACAATATTCCCCGTTAGTTTGACAGAGCCAGTCTCGCTTGGTTTCCCAAGCCAAACTTTTCTTCCCCAAATTTGTACAGATGGTTCCAATCTTGCAGGGCCTGGTAGGATTTCAGCCTTCAGTGCGTTAAATGTGGTATTCTCGTAGACTTACTATTGATAGAAGTCTAGCGTTCAGCATCCAGCAGGATAACGCTAAGGAAAGGTCTCACTGGTCAGGTACGGCTCCTTACTATTGATACACAGTCAGGAATTACCGTCGAGGCTCAGGTGGACAAGGCTATGAAAGAACTTTCAAAGTAGTCTGGTGCGGCTCCTCTTAGCCCCCATACTATCCCAGGTATAATCGCCTTGGGATCCTCAAGCCTCGATGGGTGTCGGCTTTGATATTGTCGTGGATGGAAAGGCGGACCTACTTGTCGCGGGCACCGTCACAATTTATGCCGGAGCAGTGGCGTTGAGTATTGCCGACGACAGCGTAAACAAACTAGATGGATTAGGAGCTACACAATTGAACATCATGAAGTTATTTGAACATCCTCACTAACCGCATTGGAAGAAGCTCAGTATTCAAGATTAGGGAGTAATGCTATTGAGTAAGTACCTAAGTACCTACTTGCTCACGTTACTCTGTAGACTACACTGGAATGTGAAGGTGATTATAGAGTGATACCCACTTAGCTACCTTTTCTTCCTTGTATCATGCCTTCAATGAAGCGTTATCTTGTATACACTTGGACTAAGCGAGGTTCTGCGGTGTCTTTCTAATAATTGAGAGAGCATTTTTCCTGACAGACAATGACTGCGCCACTTCAAATGCGGTTGTTGAGGATGTTTAACTAATCTTGTGGTGTTCTATTGTCGCGCTCCATGGATTACATACTAAGTCCATTCCCGTTCTGAAGGTAAAGATTCTTTTGCAATAACTGGCTGGCATCAACAAGAAACTATACGCAAGTGGTGCAATTCCTGCTTCAGCATAGCTTAGACTCCAAATTATGCTCGAAATGGGACTGGATATAGGCGAAAACGGTTGCAAGGTAGCCTTAGGGGCTTGGGGTTGATTGGAAGAATGCGGTTCTGTACGCTTGATTTACGATATCACAGGCGCGTAGGAGCAAACAAATAACTATATGGCCTCTAACCTTGGAAGTGATTTCATTCGTTGGTATCAAGGACTTGTGTTCAGAGCATCAGATCCATAGTAAGTTATAGCGGGGCACATAACAATAATTTTGTTTCATTTTAGGTCTAATCAATACATAAATATAGATTTACGATAACCATTGCTCGTAGCTCAAGTGTTTACATAAGTATTCGATGCTGAGTTGTCTGAAAAAGAGGATGAGTAATAACTATACGTTTCCGGTGATCCGTTCCAAGGTTGTGTGTACCTATCAGCAAATTCACCCAAGTCATGCCTAGACTGCCCAGAATACCCAGACTGCAAAGACCGAGCGCCGTATCCACACTCAAGAAAGTGCTGTATATTTAAGGACTGTGTTCCTCGCTGATTTTTCAGTCGTGTCTTACAGGTCAAAGATAACGCTCTAGTATGGCTGGTGGCTTTCTCCCATACCACGAACCCGGAAGTATGTACCCATTCACATCGCGATTTGCTTGATAATTTGCTAATGAATACAGTTGTTGAGATCCTCATCATCATTTCTTTCTTCTTTTTCCTTTCCCTTGCAAAATGGGTTTCTGCAAAGGTGATCCAGGCGGGCATTATAGGTCAAATCGCCGTCGGCATCATCTATGGTGTACCATTGGCCAATATCCTCGAATATAACTGGCAAGAGACTTTTCTCGCCTTGGGATATGTCGGTCTGATTTTGATCATTTTTGAAGGTGCGTGGTGAACATTTTCGTCTTGGCTTCTTGGCCCAGCAATTCCTGATGTCATACATTCTAGGCGGCCTTGGCGCTCGTGTGGATCTCCTCAAACAAAATTTCACATTGAGCATGGTCGGTGCAGCAACTGGTGTTTGCTTTCCGATTGGTTTATCATACCTTTTGCTCTATCTCGGTTTTGGATATGGTTTGTTTTACTACGATCGGCGATTGAAGCGATTGAGCTAATGCGGGGCTAGGCGCGGTGGAGACCTTCATTATCGGCGCAGCTCTTTCCGCTACTTCATTAGGTAAGCCGATTCCACTCAGCCAACCAGCCAAGTCTTGGCTTCTCTGGGCGATTCAGCTGCTGACGAGTATTAGGAACAACATTTGCTGTTATCGGCTCTGCATCTAGTTCGATCAATCTCTCTCAGACTCGTGTAGGGTCTGTTCTGGTCAGCGCAGCTGTCATTGACGATGTGGTGGGACTTGTTATGTTGAGGTGAGTTGGTTGAAGTATAATATAGTCGATGCATCATGCTGACTGCCATAAGTGTCATCGGCGACCTGGGCAAACTTTCTACAGAGAACCATGTCAGCCTGGGATGGCTTATCGGACGTCCGATAGTAGCATCGATCGCAATGGCCATCGTAACACCCATCGTCACCAAGTGGCTGTTTGCACCTCTCTTCCGCAAATACATCGAATATCATTTCGCGCGCTTCGACCATATCTCAAACATCATCTTGATGACTCTTGTCCTCTCGGCATTTATTACCATTGCAGGTTTCACTGGGACGTCGGTCCTGTTTGGTGCTTTTCTCGCGGGCGTGTTTCTGACTTACCTTCCAAGCAAGCGTCCTGAAGGTCCGTTTGTTGTCATGAGCCGCGAGGAAGGCGAGCGCGAGGCTGATAAAAGTCCCACTTTTGTTCATACCTTTGAGAAATATCTCCTTGGGCCCCAAGAGTATTTGATGGAGCCTTTGTTTTTCGCAAGTATTGGCTTTGCGATACCGTTTGTACAACTGTGGACGGGAAAACGAATTTGGAGAGGTGTTGTTTACTCTCTTCTCATGGTATTTGCAAAGGTATACAGATCCCTGTCCTTCCCCTCTAAGCCCAATATGGGATTCTTGGTGATCGTGCTAACAATTTATCAAGTGTGTCGTCGGGATATGGGTACCCGCGTGGCAACTTTTTACCCGGAACCCATCTCACAACAGAAAAGATTCATCTGAACCGGGGGAAAGTCAGTTGCAGCCAGGAAGCAAAGAAAGGAGCAAAAGCCGGGACGAAGGACAAGGCGAGCATACTAATGGACACAGATGGAACCGCGCCTGGCTCGCCGCGGCACTCCTAGGCTCTGCGATGGTAGCCCGAGGGGAGATTGGCCTATTGATCATTGAAATTGGGCACAATGAGACTCCGTACGTCAGTGACGAGGGCTTCTTTACTGGTATTTGGGCTATTTTATTGAATACCATTATTGGTCCGGTTACGGTCGGTCTTATAGTTCGATTTCACGCGAAAAAGATTGGAGAAGGGGAATGGGGTTTGCAGGACCCTGCTGTGCCTGTCTCGAGCGAGGCAGATATGAATGGAGCGGTATAAACTCCTTCGTACGAATAATGATTCCACACAAAAATCATACATAACATTGAAAGAAGAAGGAAGATTTACATTCTACTGAACCTTATTGTATATTCAATCTTGGCCTCGTAGAGGGTAACCCATAAAATCGCTGAACATTCTATTGTGAAACACAGGGAACGTAAGTTATAATCTCGGCTGCTGATTCAGGGATATCAATTTTTCAATACCACGCACCATCGCCTTCACTTCAACAGTGGAGCGAGGCATGTTATGAATGACGCTATGCTGGTAAGAAAAGCGCATTCTGGGATGGCAAAAGGACTCGACCAGCCTTGCAGACTCCTGGAATACTGGCGGATCGTTTTTGCCCCAGCAGTGAAACGTGGGAATAGCCAAACGTGCTTTGTAAACTTCAGGCCGCAATACACAGGGAACATCAAGCATGTCGCGATCAAGGAATTCGGAGACCGGCCGACCATGAACAGGCCTAAGGAGATCAAAGCACCGAGCCGTTACGCTGACTGCAGAGCGAACGGGCTCCGGGAGCTGAGATATCTGGGCCTCGTCAGCGGAGCGAATGCGCTGCTGTTCTTCCGGTGAAAGTGATCCAAACATCATTTCTGTGTACTCCGGGTTCGCAGAGATAGGTGGGATGGTAGAGCAAAAAATGGCGAATTGAACTGGGAGCGGTTGTTCGGGGTATAGCGCCGCTTTTTCAAGTAGGTAGGCCGTCAATAGAGCCGCGCCTGTGCTAAACCCAAGAACTCCGTCGAAAGGCCCGTGTTTCTCAAACTCTTGATCAATCAAGTCGTGGGCAGCTCTCATGCTGGCAGTATCAAAATCAAGGCTATAGCAGAGGTAGGGACCCGGGAACGCAGCCGCGACGACTGTCATAGACAGAATTAGCAATGTTCTAGTGGAAGGGATCTTCGTATCTAACTGACCTGGATCAGGCGGACCTTCGGACTGTCCGGCGACAAAATAAAACTCCCAGCTAGGGTCACAGCATTTTCGGATCTTTGCCAGTTGGTGTTTCATGACCTCCGGGCCCGTCCCAAAACCATGGCAACATAGGATTCTCATTTTGACGTCGAGCGCAGATTACTCCCTGTGTAGCGGTTTCAAAGTGGTAAATTTGGTATGTCAGAGTTGTAGCAAGACATGAAATGCCTTTAGCAGGCACCTCGACCTTTTAAAGACCGCATGGCCAACGTTTCGCTAGTGAAAGCGGGAAATTCCAAGCGTGATTCTATAGCCAGTAAGGTCTCTTAGATAGCGGCGCCATCGGTATGCACTCATCTAGTATGGAGTTTATATGCGAGTGAGATAACCTTGACCGCTTTTGGGTCCTATCATGAGCTTTGCGACGAATCAGAGGACCAATGCAGACGAGCCGTGCAGAAGTTGCAGGGCAATAAGAGACGAGCTTCGGGTTTGCCCGAGAGCTGCCGTGTTGTTAGCACGCAAAAAGTTGCCATTCTTCTCATGCACAGTAATCCTTTTAATCCATCGCTGGGATGGCCCAGAATCATAATCTTGACCATTAAAATTAGCGATGTCGGCTATTTATACTTCTAGTCGACTAGTCGGCAAGATCAAAGCGCCTAATGATTGGGTTCACCCGACACAGTGGATCTTGACAGCCCTTGCACCACATTCTTCACATGTGTGTTCCTAGTGGATTCCTTTGATTCGCTTTGTGAATAGTTCAGTCGAATGTAACGCTTTCGCGGGTGCCCTATAAGATGAAGTACTTCCACAACGGAATTTGGAAAACCAATGATTGGAGAGACCACCCAGAGTTTATTATCGTACTTATCGTTGGGGGGGCAGATGAAGATCGGCAATACAATTGTGTTGGTTGGCGTAGACTTAGAGTTGATTAGTTAACTAAAGCGAGAGGATGAGGTCAGCTCGTTTCACGAGGGCCCATGTCATCTCGGCTATAATTCTTGCGATATTCTGTCGCCTTACCACAAAGCTGCTCAATATTTATACGTTTGAGGACTGAACAATTGCCGAATTGAGAGATTGGATTTGTGCTAGCTTGGTGTTCAGTGGAGAAGAACGAAGGAAGCCGAAATTGATCCTTGCGGTATTATTTCGCTCGTTTCTATAGCCAACGGAAAGTATCAAAAGCCAGTGCGAGTAGACTGAGCGATCTACTGTTGATCGACACGACAACTGGATGAAACCGCTGTCATTCCTTGGTTTCAACGTTTCAGCGATGGTGACGGACCGGGAAACCCCCGCTATCCCGCCAATTTGTGGGGCAGGGAAGTGGACCAAATGATTTCATAGCTTTGCCCCGCGTATTCGGAAACCAACACATCCGTTTCAACCCATCATGGCCATACTGAGTACCAGCAAGTTAGGTGAGATCCACGGGCGAGAAGGAGATGGGGTAACCCAATATCTCGGCATTCAATATGCAACCCTGAAGAATCGTTTTGCCGATGCCGAATTGATTGAAGATCGCAAGGGTGGTGTCTTGGATGCAACCAATGATGGGTGAGTCTATCCCCGAGTCATCATGCATGAAACTAACGGTTGCAGGCTGTTAGCATTGTCTCTGCCAATTGGATGCGACATTGAACTCGGGCATGTCCAGCACACCTTGCCCAAGAAGGAGCTTCACCAGTCCGACGTCGACTGTCTCAATCTGAACATTGCCGTGCCGTCCAATGCGACTCCGGAATCAAAGCTCCCAGTGCTATTCTTTATCCACGGTGGTGGTTTGTTCATTGGTGGAAACTCATGGCCCCAGTATGATCTTACTCGGCTAGTCAAGTTGTCAATTGAGAGGAAGTTGCCTATGGTTGTGGTGACAGTGAAGTAAGAGCGACCCTCTCAAATTTGAATCATCATCTGACCAATTGATAGCTATCGCCTGGGTGCTCCGGGATTCTTGACATCCGAAGAGCTACGTCAGGCGGGATACCGCTCTAACAATGGTCTTCGCGACCAACGTGTTGCGCTTGAATGGGTACAAAAGCACATTCGTGATTTTGGTGGTGACCCAGATAATGTGACTGCAGCGGGTCAGAGTGCTGGAGGAGGTAGTGTATCCAGTCCTGAATGTTTCACTATACCTATGGCTGATTCACAATAGCATCTGTGACCTACCACCTCCACTCACAGAAACCACTGTTCAAGAGAGCCATTTCCATGGCTGGCACATCGCTACTTTTGCATGCACTGCCCAACATAGCCCACGAGGAGAACTATGAGAAAGCAATGGCTGCTCTGGGACTTTCCGACGCGCCGCCTGAAGAGAGGGTGAAGACTCTTCTCGAGATGCCGGGAGAGGAGCTTGTAGCTCAGCTTCCGCCGGGTATTGCGTTCGCACCTGCTCTTGATGGCGATCTGATTCTACCTGGTACCACATACACCGAAATTAGAAAGCCTGGCTCCAGTTTCCTTCCTGGCAAAGAATGGTGCCAGGATTTATTGATTGGCAATAATGAAATTGACGTATGTTGGAATCCCGTCTCCGTTTGTATGCAGACTGACTAAGCTGTTCCGTATAGGCAAGTATCTTAGATTTCCTTGCGCCACAGATCAAAACGCAGACCACCAAGAAATTCATTGCTGCAATTCACAAGGTTCTCGCGTTACACCCAGCAGTGGGTCAGCGCATTTTGGGGGCATATGAGATCACCGAGGACACACCCGACGCGAAAGCGTTCACATCTGTTCTGGCCTATGCCAACGATATATCTTTCAACGCACCTGCATTGTCCTACGCCCTTGGTTGGCCAGGGGATGCCTATGTGTACTATTTCAACGAGGGTAATCCCTGGGATGGACCTTGGAAAGGGCGCGCCAATCACATCCTTGACGTGATTTTTTTCTTCCAGAACTTCAATGACTTTATGAGTGCTGAGCAAGCCGCGGTCAGCACTGCATTTGCAGAAGATATTTTCAAATTCTGTCACGGTGTGGCGCCATGGCCAGCCACGTCTAGTCAAATTGACGACGGGTCCCCAGCCCGCATTTATGGTCCTACTGAACGAGGCACTACTACTAGCGTATCGCAACAATTACTCGGAGGCGATACCCTCCGCAGGCGAATTCTCTTCGATTGTACCTCGGAAGTATCCCTGGACGACTTGGCAAAGGTGCTTGGAGAGCTGATGTCTAGCTAATTTGGTGGTACGACTACGGAGTACATAGCCCATATCTTTTTGAAGTCACAACGCCACATATTTGTTTTTCTGTTCTGAAAATTGGGCTTGAATCGGTGTGCATGTAAGGCGCCGATTGTAAACAAAGCGGAGACCAGGTGTCCTGCTGTAAACACTCAGCGCAGATCAGCCGCAATCTTCCCACGCGTCCCAGCCACTCTGTCAATAGTCGCGTGTTCCGGTGGAGGCATAGCAACCGAGATCGAAAAACCCTATCCAATCGTTGGCCGAGACGGTCGGCGACGAGAAACAACAAGAAAACAAGAAAACAAGAAAACAAAAAGCCCTAATGATCGGCATGACAAGGCTCCGCACACAGACCCAGCCTCTTAATCCTGCAGTAGTGGGCACACGTCGTCGTATGCAAGTCAAAATGTGGTAGATCTTGATCATTTTCATCGATATTACGTCGATGTTTCAAATTGACCCAGAAGAACAGCCTATGAAAAAGCGAATGTGGGAATTCAGGAGAAATTAAGCATGAAAAAAATGTGTTGTCCTCCGATATAATTGGCTCGATACCAGTCAAGTCGGACAGAGTGGAGATGTTGAGGGGCTTTGATAGGATCGTCAAATATGATTTGTACACAGCGAATCTTGGATCCCATCGACCCACGGCATCCACCTTAAGGTTCCAGCCCGTGTTAATTTGCGTAATAATCGGGGCAGGACAAGCTTTTCCAGGGTTTGCTGCCAGGAACAAAAAGTTTGCCCTGATCCAGGGGATCGTAGGTTTGCCTGTAAATATCCTCAACATTTCAATCTCTTCTTCAGTGGACAACTCTGCTTTATTGCACTAGTTTTCCATCCACACCTGAACAATGCGTTGTAGCTTATTCGCTAGTCAAATTATTAGTGCAGGCCTCGCGATTGTGCCTGTCGCACACGCGTTGTCCCCGCGCACGGAGATCTCCGACTCTTATGATTTCGTGATCATTGGAGGAGGACAAGCTGGACTTACTGTTGGTGGTCGTCTTGCTGAAGACACAAATCATACAGTTCTAGTTCTGGAGGCAGGTGGCAATGGCGATGATTATCGTGAACGTATAGGTATGAACCGATAGGTGGTAGTGAGCACGAAAAGAAATTCTGACAGCCCTCTAGATACCCCAGCATACTCATACTATGATTCATTGTGGACAACACCATTAAATTGGAAATACTACACCGTTCCACAGTCTAATGCCGACGACCGAGAGATCTATTGGCCTCGTGGCAAGGTGCTTGGAGGTAGGCATCTCTCTCTCGTTTATGAATGACAAAGTGCTTAATATCATCATTATATAGGCAGCTCCGCGATCAACGGGTTATATCTAACTCGCCCAGGCGAGGGTGATATTACCGCCTGGAAAGATCTGCTGGGCGACATGGACGGAGCAGAGAATTGGTCATGGGACTCCTTCTACGCTGCCATGAAGAAGAGTGAAAATTTCACCGCACCAAGCGACTCTATCGCTGAAGAGGCCGATATTCATTGGGATATTTCAACCCATGGCACCCAGGGACCGATCCAGGCATCCTACCCGGGATACACATTCCCCCAGGTGGGCTACTGGTCCGAATCCCTGGAAAACATCGGCATTTCCATTTCCTCGGACATGTACGGTGGTGACAATTGGGGCGCCGAGGTCTCAACATCCTGCATCAACCCTTCCAACTGGACACGATCCTATAGTCGGACTGGCTACCTCGACCCACTTCCTGATCGTGGAAACTACGACGTTCTGGCCAATGCGTATGTGACTCGCATTGTCTTTGACACCTCTAACTCGGACAACTTGACGGCGACTGCGGTTGAGTACACAACTGATAACGGTACCACAACATCAACGGTCAATATCACCAAGGAGGTGATTCTCTCTGCTGGGTCGATTGGCAGCCCGGCAATCCTGATGTACAGCGGTGTTGGACCTAAGGATGTTCTCTCCGATGCGGGTATTGATCTTCTTTCTGAACTGCCCGGTGTCGGCCAACATCTGCAAGATCACTTTGTAGGTCATTCGATTTCCTGCACGCAGAACACTCAATTAACCAGAAGCAGAGCGCTACTGTGACATGGAACAACACTGTGACCACCTCCGGCGACATTTATTATGAAGATGAGACCGACAAGGTTAGTCTCCTCAACCCAGAAAACAGAAAGCATGTTCTAACTCATACAGGACACCGAACTCTACCTCTCATACATCGACGACGCCATCGCCTACGTCAACGCTACCGCGATGTACGGAAGTGATGTTTCCTCAATGGAATCAAGTATTCTCGCTTCCATTGACCAGTACGCACCTAACTCGACATACGGCGACGAGGTGATCGCGGGCTACAAAGCCATCTGCAATATCACAGCCAAGAATATTTTCAACAGTCCCACCGGTATCATCGAGCTCTTGTTTATGAACAGCGCTGCGGATGGTGTCATTGGTATCACCGCTGCTCTCCAGCACCCATACAGCCATGGTCGTATCTACATCAACTCCTCGAACCCTCTGGACTACCCTGTCATCGACCCGAACTACCTTTACAACCCAGCTGGTATGTCATAGCTCATCAGTGAAATAGGGAACAAAGCTAACCTGAGGCAGATTACGAGATTCTCCGTGACGGCCTGAAGATGGCACGCAGCATCGGCGAAGCAACCCCACTAAGCAACAACCTGACAGTGGAAACAGCACCCGGCTCAGACGTCTCGACCGATGACGATTGGGTAACCTGGTTGCGTGGTGCTGCCAGCACAGAATTCCATCCCTCGTCCACATGTGCCATGCTTCCACTCGAGTTGGGCGGTGTTGTCGACGCAAACCTACTGGTTTACGGCCTGGCGAATGTTCGCGTCGCAGATGCCAGTGTTCCCCCAACCTCACTGTCTACGCACCTCATGGCCTCAACATATGGAGTTGCTGAGATGGCGGCGAGCATTATTCGTGGATTCTACAATGGTGTGCCCTTGACGCAGTCTTCTGGTAGCAGCACCAGTAGTAGCAGTGGCTCTACTGCCACTGCTGCGGCGAAGAGCGCTCAAACAGGATCAGACGTTGCGCCAAGTAACAGCGCTTCTGGTAATGGGGGAGCCCTTTTGTACAGTTGGATTTCTTTTGTTCTCATCATTGGCTTGTCTTTGTAGATTGAGATGAGATTTGGGATTTGGGGTTTGTTATAGACATGGTTAGTTATACCCGGGGTTGTACATAATTTTGGGCAGCATTTATGATCTAGAAGATACGCAGCGTTTTGATTATCGGGAATGCCGAGTGCTAAGATTATTGTCCTGTAGAAGCATGCTTGGGAATCTATGTCGAAATAAGCATTTTACCACGTGGAGTCAACATTGCTACGCGCATGCCAGTGAATCGCGCGGAAAGTAAGGATCCTGCAACCTTGGAACCATCTGCTTTCTGGTTTGAAGTGATGTAGACCTGTCTGTGTAAATCACATGATAGGTTCACAGCAGTGTCTCTTCCAAGGTTCTTTCTGTGACAGATGTACATTTCAAATCGCTATACACAATGCACCTATTAGGAGAAGACCCGATATCCCAACTCAATTGAATGATATCAAGACTCGAAATTCATAGAGTATCCGCCTGTCTTCGGGTCCTGAACGAACTTGAAATTATCCGTAGATAGACCAAATGGTTTCAAGAAGCCATTCCCGAGCTATTGAAAGGCAGAGGTTAGACATCATGAAGAGCAGCAACTTGGAAAGCAATTAACTTACGTCCTTCATTTTTGACATCATCTCACCCATCTCTTTCTCCTTGGCCTCGTTGATGCGGCTTGGAAGGTCACGAAGTGCCCGTTGCACAATCCGCCTGTCCTCAGGTGGGAGGTTGTTCATTCCATCCAAGACTTGATAGTCTTCTGCAGCACCCTGTAAGCTGGCCCAGCCGCCGGTTTGTGATTTGGCTTTGGCGCGCCGCATGAGAGCTTTAGCCCGAATCCGCAGGACATTGGTGCGGGTCTCATCCAATTGCTTCAAGCGTTCCAGCTCTTTTTCCTCTGCATCGGCATCTTCCCCGGATATCTCAATCACTGCATCACTGTCCTGTGTAACGGTGGGTGTGGGTTGGGAATCTTTTGAATCGCTTTGGTCTGTGGTCGACGGTTCGGAAGGAATGATCTTTTCAAGGCGATCGAGGGATATGGTTGCAGTGTCAACTGCGGATTTCCAGTCTTCCATTTTCAGGTAGCACGCGGACATGTTACACCGGAGCACGGCAACGTCATAATCCAGGTAGTTGGGGCAGGAGGCGAGAGCCCGATCGTAGCAGGAGATCGCTTGGTCATAGCAGCCAGAGCTAAACAATTGGTTCGCTTCTGTTTTAATTCCATTAGACTCCTTCAGGAGTTGCTATAGTCGTGCCGACAAGGTTAGTGACTGGGCAGGAAATTTGAAGATGATCCGCAGCTCACAGCTTCTTCCTCCGCGGGGAAACGCGCATCGTGGAATACATCGTCATCACTATCCCCTTCATCATGTGCAGAAGCGACGCCCTTGTCGCGCTTTTCGGTAGGAAAAGAATCGCCGGTGGTCGTCATCGTGAAGTGGCATGCGACAATACGAGAAGAGCGGACGTCGGCGGCCAAGAATCACGGGACTGATAAGCGTGTTCCCCCGCGCCGGCCTTATCAGACATAAAGGCTTTGTCCCGCTCACATATACCACAACTCGACGGCACTTTCATTATGGCTGACCGCAAAGAGTATGTATGACTAGTCATTGAATACTTCAAATCCTGTATTGACAACCATCACAGACTCCCACGCATTCGTGCGTGTCTCTTCGACATGGACGGGTTGTTGATCGACTCGGAGGACAAATACTCCCAGATCACAAACGAAGTCCTTGCCATGTACGGCAAGCCAATGCTTCCTTGGTCGATCAAGGCTCAGCTGCAGGGACGTCCACAGCCCGAGGTATATTAAAAAGATCCCGTTAGTCACCAATCAAGAAACTCAATGTAACAATATCTACAGGCTAGTAAGATCTTCCATGAGTGGGCTCAGCTCCCAATTACTCCGGAGGAAACCCAAGCCAAGCAAGCATCTCTGCAGGCAAAATATTTCCCGGAGTCCCAGCCGCTGCCTGGAGTTCCCACTCTTCTGTCCAAACTTGTGTCAACCCAATCCACGGGCCAGCCTGTCCACATTGCTTTGGCGACTTCATCGAATAGCAAGAACTTCAAGTTGAAGTCTGGTCACCTAACAGAGCTCTTCGCGGCCTTCCCTGAGGTTCACCGTGTTCTAGGTGATGACCCCCGGATTGGCAAGGGGAGAGGCAAGCCGCTGCCTGATATCTACCTCTTGGCATTGGAGACTATCAACGAGAGCTTGCGCAGCAAGGGTGAAACTGAGATTAAACCGGAAGAATGCCTGGTTTTCGAGGATGCAGTTCCGGGAGTGGAAGCAGGTCGCCGTGCAGGCATGCAGGTTGTCTGGTGCCCGCACCCTGGTCTCCTGGAGACCTACCAGGGCCGAGAGGAGGAGGTTCTTGCGGGCCTGACAGGCTCGCATAAGGAGAGCGAGAAGTCTGCAGTTGAGAAGGAGGCTGAGGGATTAGTGGCTGGTCGTGGGCAAAGTTCCGGCACGACTGGAAAGCTTGGTGATGGATGGGGGCAACTACTTGCTACCCTGGAAGACTTCCCTTACGAGCAGTATGGTATTCGGATACCCTAAATCATTTCATCATAAACGATTAGATTTCATGAAGATCAAAGATCCATAAGCGACTCCTTCTCAGCTTTGCTCAAGCTTTCAGTGCCTACTTTGGTTTTTTTTTGCCCTCTTTTGCCCTCGTCATATTTGACTTCTCATTGTTGGCCAAGACTCTCTCCATGTCATCAGCGAACACCTTGACTCAAACCGCATCGAGCAAATGCCTGCAAATGCTCTTCGACGACACCGATGGGGAAACACGTGCAGCCTAAGCTGCATACAAGCTTAAAGGCTAGCAAACACAGCAGAACGCCCTTCTTGCTCTGATGGACTCAAATAAACAACCCAAAAAAAAGAAAGATAAAAGCAGTGAATGAAAATATATTTTTGCACCCAAAGCCTCGATCAAGTCCCACGCCATGGATTGCTTGCGGTTTACTCCCGAAGACCAGTGGTGGCCGGAGCGTCTCCAGCCTCGACAGTCTCTCGAAGAAAGCCTCTTGCCTTCACCAAGGACCCGTGTTCTGTCGATTTTGACCTTCCGGTTGGTCAAAACCCGCCTCAACATGGCTAACGGATCTGTTATCTGATAGGTTCACACTAGTACACAATGAAAGGGCTATATAGGGACCAGTATCTCCAATAATTGGCCCTCCCCTTACATTTGTGTCTCAAAACCATCATGAGTCTATAAATAGAGTCTATAAATAGTATATGTCAAGGTTCATGGATATTCCAAGTATTATTTCACACGTGAACTGTTGACCTTGAAATACACAATGCATTGCCTTTGAAGTAAATATGCAGAATATGCAGAACGCAAGTATGTAGGACATGCTAAAAATGATACTGTAGCATACCTGACCCCTTACGAAACCTCGGTTGGGAATCCCGACTCCACCGGCTCCAGATATAGGGCCGACAAGCTATTGACCTAGGATATGCCCAAACTCAAGGTCAGACTAATCAAGCCGAGGACACAGCAAGCCGAGGATCTGGAGCTAGATTACAGGGGGATCTCCTGGAATCCGGGGTTGTGATAGGCCAAAAACGCGGGGATCGACTCACCGGCAAGGCGCGACGGCAAGCAACTTCCCCCACATCCTTTGTCTACCGCGTCATCCATGGATCGAACTCCACTCATTCCTCTGGGTCCCCTATTGAATGTCCAGTTATATAAAGTCGGTAAGTCGCATCTTTGGGGTTTGGAGGGAGAAAATCTACTTGGTCCTTACTTATATTCTTGATTCCCTCAAATCTTCAAATATGTCGGCCAAGATCTACCGGTCGCATTATCCAGATCTAGACATCATATCGGAGGATTTGATTTCATATATTTTCTCCAACCCATTCAATGTTCCTCATGATAAACCAATATACATTGACGCCCAATCGGGGAAACAGTACACATACGCGGACGTGATCCGGCGCACTAAGTCCCTAACAAACGGGCTCCAGCAGACTTTCGGTCTCCGGAAGGACGATGTCGTGGCCTTGTTCAGCCCAAACACTATTGAATATGCAATTATATGCTATGGTATCGTGGGATCTGGCTGTCTTGTTGCCCCTACCAGCGCTGCCTTGACAGCCCTTGAACTGAACGCGCAGTTGAAGACAAGTGGGGCGCGTTTCATAGTCGCGCACTCTTCCCTGCTTGAAACAGCTAGGAGAGCAGCAAAAGGAACGGCTGTGGAGAAGGTCATTCTCTTAGACGGCGCCTCTCCCGTCGATAGTCAAGCAACATGCGAGCACCTCGCCAGCACATTTCCCCAAGGTACTCTTGCGACAATCTCGCCCGCCGACGCCGCAAAGAGACCCGTTTTTATCTGCTTTTCTTCTGGCACGTCTGGACCGTCCAAGGGGGTCGTGTCAACCCATCAGAACATTACTGCCAATCTTCAACAATGGCGAGCTCTAATGCTCGAGACTGGCTCTCCGGCGCAAAGACCACAGCGACGCACCGCCGTTGCATTCCTCCCGTTCAGTCACATCTACGGACTCAACCTGTATATGTGCCAATCCATGGCCTGGGGTACCTCGGTCGTCATTCTCCCCAAATTTGATCTTGATACCTATTTGGGCTGCATTGAAAAGTACCAGCCTGACATGCTAGCATTGGTGCCCCCAATCGCCCTTATGCTGGTAAAGGATGAGCGAGTTTCCAAGTACAACCTGAGCAGTGTGAGGCGAGTCATGTCCGCAGCAGCCCCTCTCACCAGCGAACTTGCTGCAGCCCTAGAAGCCAAATTCAAAGCTCTCTTCCAGACGGAGGTCTTTTGCACCCAGTCCTGGGGTCTCACCGAGACCTCTCCTATGGCAACTGGAATTCCAAATGACCGACTGGATAAACGCGAATCAGGAGTCGGAGTCATCGCTCCTGGCATGGAATTCCGATTTGTGGACCCCGAGACTATGAAAGATGTTGTCGCCAATCCCGATGGATCGACACCAGCAGGAGAGATCTGGTGCCGCGGACCGAACGTCGTTTCGGGCTATTATAACAATGAAGAAGCGACCAAGAGTGCCTTTTACACTGAGCCTGATGGATCCAAATGGTTCCGCACCGGTGACATCGGGGCTATTGATAAGGAAGGTTACGTTGCTATCTTGGATCGCATCAAGGAGATGATTAAGTACAAGGGTCTTCAGGTCATTCCTAGTGAGCTGGAGGGGAAGCTGATTGAACATCCCGATATTGAGGATGCGGGAGTTGTGGGCATGTGGGCTGAAGAAAGAGCCACCGAGCTCCCGGTTGCTTTTGTCGTTCTCCGCCAGAAGCCCAAGACCAACGATGTCAAGACTGTCACCGATGGTATTCACTCGTGGTTGAATCCGAAGATCGCGAACCACAAGCGACTCCGCGGAGGTATCTTTGTCGTGGATCAAATTCCGAAGAGTCCTAGTGGCAAAATTTTGAGACGTCAGCTCAAGGATTTGCTCAAGAGCAAAGCACCCAAAGCTCAATTATAAGGAATATCTTAGCCCCGGAAGTTCTAGCTGGCATAACAGTGAATCCAAGGTATAGGCATAGGCGGTACGTTTTGAAAATATCTCAATTTATCATCTGAAAATGCTCTCATCCCGAACCAATAAAGACACATAAAATCTCGTCACAGCAGTTTTGGAAGCTGGCATGATTGATATACAAATACGATCACGAGTAAATGTCCATCTACGGACGAGCCGGACGAAACCCGAGTGGGGCTGTTCGGAGCCCGCGGGCTCCGCGTGCTCGGACTTCACTTGATTCCTGTTGAAATTTGTCTCACCTGTCAGCAATTGTATGATTTCTATAAATCCCATCTCTAGACTATTTACCAAGTTTCACGTTACACTATTACATTTCATTTGCGGTCGAGTTGTACAAACCCTGGCGTGCGAGCATCGGCTACTATGATATAATGGGTTTGAAAAGTTACCTGCACAGGGAACCCACCCGCCCAAAACTGGTGGAGATTAGATCATCCAAATGGTTCATTATCTTTACTGTTTCTTTTGCCGCGGCAACGGTGAGCTTTCCCCGGATTTCGTTTCATTATCGGCTTTGCTAATGAGTTCTAGGATTATTTTATGTATGGCCTGGTATGTTATCTCTCGCAGATGATCACAGTCTAGGTTCCTAACTATATAGATCGTGCCTGTTACACCAACGGCTTTGCAGCGCAGAGTTGGTGTTCCTGAAGACCAGGGTAAGTGTATCTGATTTCGTGGCGCAAAATATATTAACAAAATCTCTCTTTAGTTCAATCATGGACTTCAATTCTGTTGGCCTTATACTCAGCAGCAACGCTAGCATTTTCTCGTGAGCTGTTTCTTCGATGACCATTCCGGAAATATCTGACCCTGGACCATATTAGCTATTGTGGGTTACTTAGCAGACCGGACAGAATCTCGCCGATGGCCCCTTCTCTTCGGATTAGTGGCACTGGGCGCTGCAACAGCGTTGTTATGCGTCGGAACAAGTATCGGTCTATGGGTCGCGGGTCGATTGTGTCAGGGCGCTGCTTCCGCCGTTGTATGGACTGTGGGAATCGCCTTGCTAGTGGATACTGTGGGTAAGGATGGATTTGGACAAGCAGTTGGATATGTGTCAATGGCCTTGAGTATGGGTACTGTGGCAGGTCCGTTGCTAGGTGGTGTACTATATCAGCATGGTGGATACTATTCTGTCTTTGGACTGGCATTCGGGTTAATTGGCATTGATATCTTCCTTCGGGTAGTGTTGATCGAGCAGAAGCATGCTATCAAGTGGCTTGCCCCGGAGATGAGGCCCCTGTCGCCAACCCGAGAGAAGGCCGAGGAAGGTGCAGCGATCGATTCTGCCGTCCCAGCTATCGATACTCCGTCAATCGACGATCAAAAGAAGCTGAAACGCTCTCGCCATCCTCTGAGACAGATTGCGGCCCTATTGAGCACACCTCGTCTCGCGATTGCGCTTTGGGGATACTTCATTGTATCTTTGGTTCTGACATCGTTCGACAGCGTCCTTCCTATCTTCGTCGAGAATACCTTTGGCTGGCAGCAAACAGGCCAAGGACTTATCTTCTTCGCGATCATGCTTCCTCACCTCGTCGACCCCATTACCGGGATGATAATTGACCGATACCCAAAGTCGCCTCGCTATATTGTATCTGGTGCATTTGTCTGTGCTGTCCCAGTATCGGTGCTTCTGAGGGTCGTGACAAATGATACTTTGCATGACAAAGTTGTTCTTTGTGTATTGCTTGCGCTGCTGGGTCTGTGCATTGCTCTCTCCATGACTCCGCTTGCAGCTGAAGTGTTTTACGCTGTCAATGAAAAAGAGTCCGAGTCCCCGGATAGCTTTGGCCGAGGAGGTGCGATGGCTTTGGCTTTTGGGTTGACAAACATGAGCTTTGCAGCGGGTAACCTTATCGGACCTTTCTTTGCCGGATATATTCGCCAAAGTGCTGGCTGGGGCACCATGGGATGGGCAATGGGCTTGATCACTGGAGTTTCGTCCGTTCCAGTGTTGCTTTTCATGGGTGGTTGGATTCTGAGAAAGCCAGTCAACAATAATGACCAAGAAGGCTCAGGATGATCATTGCATGACTTGGGAACATATTGCATTATGTTATTTATAGAATCTCCCCTAAATGTATTTAATAATGAATTCACTCATCTTGAAAGCGATACGTCCAATTCTGTTGTTTAGTCAAATCCAAGAGTACGTGACGCTAATCTCGGGGAAATATTATGTGTTGCCGCCTGGATATTTAGGCATCAAATAGTTTTCCTGGTTGGCTTGCTTCACGAATCAGCCAGAGTAACAGCGTGAGAACTTGCGTTTCACGAGCTCTACTAAATGATGACTACCAAATATCTCAGACCTTCAAAATGGGTGCTATGGCTTTTATTTAATCCCGATCTATCCGACTAGTATGCAGAGCCACAATGTGGGTTCCCCGCAAGAGCCCCACGTAACATGTAGTGGGACAATGGATCTCCAAAGGAACGCCGCGGTGGGTATCCCGGGAGTTGGAGGACGCATCATTAGCCGGTGCCTACTCGAGCATACATCTCCGTGCTATTGTTGCTGTTGCTGTTGCTGTTTCTAACTCATTTTACAGCCATAATGTCAGACCCGGAAGTCCACCACGCGCCTTTGAATGCCACATTCAAGGGCATTGAACGAAATGATGAAGGTCTACCAATTCATCAATTTCTGGGAATCAAATATGCCAATGTACCGGCACGGTTTGAAAGGGCCGAGCCAGTAGAGAGCCTTGCGGGGGCTGTCATTGATGCTACGAAATATGGGTATGTCAATCCTTGATGATCTTACATTGCTCTCAAAATTAACAATCAGAACAGTCCCCGTTGTCCCCAGGTTGATGTGGATGTTCGTCATCTTCTTCGGATTCCGGAGGACTTCCCAATTGCCCCAGAGGCAGAAGATGAATTTGAATGTTTGAATCTGGAGGTCACTTGTCCTCCAGTTTCTACGACTGCAGGCCCTTTGCCCGTGCTTGTTTGGATTCACGGTATGTTGTTGTCACCTTATCGGGGTATAATGTTCTAATTTACATTTCAGGTGGTTCACAGATTGTGACTTTCTGCTCAGCTGCCTCTAAGATTTGCGGTAGGTGGACGAAATTGCTAGAGTTGAATAAACACTAATCTAGAGATAACCAGATCCTACAAAGATCGTTGCGGACTCTATCAGATTGGGGAAGCCCATGATCTTCGTGTCCATCAATTATCGATTGAATATTTTCAGCTTCGGTGATGGCAAAGAGAAAAACCTAGCTTTGAAGGACCAACGTATCGGCATCGAATGGGTGCGCAAGAACATTGCGTCGTTCGGCGGTGACCCGGTGAGTTTTTCTGAACTTTGTCATGTTATTGAACGTCTATTGATTTTCATCAGAGCAATATCACCCTTTCAGGTGAGAGTGCTGGAGCCATTTATACTCATGCGCATCTGATCACCGGCCCACCTGTTAAGCGGGCTGTATTGGCTTCTGGAACTCTTTATCTGTCATTCCCGCTACCCGTTGAGAGAGGAAATGGGATGATTAAGGTCTTGGAATCTAAAGTCCAAGAACTGGGCCAGTCTTCCTTACGATCATCTTCTGTTCCTGTGTTGATTCAGGCACTGAAGGAGTGCAATGTGAACACCATGTGGATTCAGGAAGAGCCTGAATTGGATAATTGGGAAACCAAGCCAGAAATGGTAGAAGAGGTTATGATTGGTGATACTGAGTATGAGGTGAGTCTCGCTTCCACACATCACAATGAATATGGTATTGACTTTCTAAAGTCGGTGATTTGGCGCAATGGAGTCGAACTTCTAGATGGTGAGGCCATTGCTGCCGCATTTGACCAGAATCCAGACTTGGGAACAAAGCTTCGCAAGATGTATCAAGTTGTTGCCGATCGACCTACCGCTGCCAAATTGGGCGCTTTAGACATTGTTAACGATGCACGATACACCCTTCCCGTTGAGGTCATTTCAGAAAAGCTTCGGGCTGCGAACAAGCGTGTTTACAATTATGTTGTTGACCAGCCCAATCCCTGGCAACCGTCGAGTCGCGCCCATCATGCAGTGGATTTACTTTTTCTGTTCGAGGGTATTGATCTGGGCTTCAATCCCGGCGCACAGACAGTTGGACGGGAGATGCGGCAACGCTGGATTGACTTTGTATCTGGGCAAGCACCATGGTCCGGTGATAAGCGATTTGCGTATGGACCGCTGGGAGAGTGCAAAGAGATTAGCGAGGCACAGTTCGCTGCTCGTCGACGAGTTGAACATTGCCAAGTCCTTCGAGAGGCTGGAAGTAGCGTGTACATGCCCATTCTGGGTGCACTCACAGCCGGCCGTATTAGTCTTCTGAATTAGAGAATAGCAAATAGCATAGTGTGCACGGTGCCAATAACGGCACGGTTTCCCGATATTTCCAATTTCAAGCTGCACCCACAAAGTTCAATATTGCCACATATTCGTAAAGTATGTAGATTTCGGCAGTTGCTGTATGGCCTCATTCCCGTCCTCGCCCTCACCGATCACAACGGCAGGACAATCTGACCCACCAGATCAACCAAGAATTCAATCCAGACTTGAAACCGGGCTTTGAGGTCATATGGATTTTCCGTGTTCGAATGCTAATCCCCACGCGCATCATCTCCACCGTTACTCAGACCTGACTCATGTGGGGTCGTTTCCGCGAATCCAATCGTTGTCGAATTTAAGCCTGCGTCCGGCTTCCCCACTGGCTCTGTGCACGAATCCTGATCCACTGGCCGGGGAGGTCGGCAAAGCGACCCTGTCGATACATGCCGACTTTGCGGTCTTTGTATGTGTTTTTGTCGCCCGAGGCTCATCCCAAGATTGCTCAGCTGATTTCATGGCGCCGATGACGATGCGATCCGTCTTCCCTCCGGCCGTGTCTTTGATCTCCACTTGAGATAGTAATGCAATTCTGGTCTCTACTATCTATATCCGGAGTCGAGCGGTTGACCCCACAGAACGAACCGTGCCTGTTTCTGTGATGTATATAAACCTACCCCTGGCCGTTGTAAATGTGTAGAATCAATACTTGCTCCCCTATTATTATCACTACTACCACATCATGCCTTCCACAAATGGTTTAGCAGACCCCCAGGAATATCAAAAGATATTCCATTGGGCCGAGACACAGAAGGATGGAACAATCCCCTCGTTCCGCACAAGGCACAATGACCCTTACCAGGTACGTAAAGAGCACTTCTTCGATCTTGACCATAGATTCACTAACATCTCCTAGTATCAAGCCGGATTCGGCAACTCGTATGTATTCACATCCACATGCATCTAGCGATTCAACTGGCTGATGTAGCTCTTCAGATTTGAATCTGAAGCAGTTCCTGGCACTATTCCACATGGCCAAAACAACCCCCGTAATGTGCGCTTCGGCCTGTACGCAGAGCAGCTCACTGCAACTGCCTTTGTGGCTCCACGACACGCCAACAAGAAGGCATGGTTGTACCGCGCCCGTCCGGCGGTTGCACACCAAGGTTTTGTATGTATAACACTCGGTCTTGTCAACAAAGACTAACATCCCCAGACCGAAATGCCAGACAACAAAGACACGGAGTCTAACTTCCTCCCGCTGAACCCTCGGATCCATGTCTCCCCCACACAGTTGGCATGGCACCCCTTTGAAATCCCGGAGACTGGTGAGGTTGACTTTGTGTCTGGTCTCAAGACCATTGCTGGCTCCGGAGACCCCACTCTTCGTGAAGGTATCGCCACACACGTGTACACGGCCAACACTAGTATGACCAAGAAGGCCTTTGTCAACTCTGACGGCGAGTTCTTGATCGTCCCGCAACAGGGTGCACTGGATATCCAGACTGAATTTGGTAAACTATATGTCCAGCCTGGTGAGCTTGTTGTTATCCAGCGTGGTCTTCGCTTCCGCGTGGAGCTGCCTGATGGCCCTTCCCGAGGATATATTCTCGAGGTTTGGGGAACCTGCTTTGAGCTCCCAGAGCTGGGACCTCTGGGCGCCAATGGATTGGCCAATGCACGGGATTTCCTGAGTCCTGTCGCTCATTATGAGATTACCCAAGAGCCCTGGGAGATTATTTATAAGCTTGGTGGAAAGTTCTTCAAGAGCACCCAGAACCACAATCCATTCGATGTGGTTGCCTGGCATGGAAATTATGTATGTTCCCTGCCGCATGACTTTATCACTGGACCATGGCTAATCTTCTAACAGGTCCCATATAAATATGACCTGACCAAATTCGTGAACGTCGGCTCTATTTCCGTCGATCATATTGATCCATCTATTTTCTGCGTGCTTACTGCCAAGTCTCGGGACTTGACAGCTCCATTGGCTGATTTCCTCACTTTCTCCCCAAGATGGGATGTTGCTTCCCGTATGTCATGTCATTCAATACCTCTCTCAAACACCATTTTCTAATGATAAACACAGACACCTACCGACCTCCATACTACCACCGTAACGTCGCATCAGAACTTATGGGTCTGATCTACGGTGACTACGGTGGTCGATCGGACGCTTTCAAGCCAGGAAGCGTATCGTTCGAATGTGGAATGGTTCCTCATGGCGTTGCATATGAAGAGTTCAAGGCCGCTAGTGATAACACACCGCCGGAGATGCGAATCTCCGAAGCTTCCATTGCCTTCATGTTTGAGTCCAGCCGGCCGTTCACTATTACTGATTATGCGTGGAACAGCGATAAGAAGCATGAGCATGAGCCTAAGATGTGGGATAGCTTGGTTGATAACTTCTCCAAGCATGCCAAGGAGGTTGAGGCTATCTTGGCTAAGGCGAAGAACTTGTCTGTATCATAAGTTTCCTAGCATAGTCATAAGTATTCTAGAAAGGATTAAAAGAAGAATCTGCTTAGATCTCACTTGTATTTTTGCTGCCTACTTGTAAAGGATAGGTTTGTCCACTGTCGAAGGGGTCAGAGATATTTACGGAAAAACGATGGTCAATTGATGATGGTGAGAAAACAGAAGCATAGACACTTCCTTTTTGAGAAAATGTCTAGACACATACCCCTTCTCCTCTCCATTGGAAGATTGATTATTGATTAGAGACAAAGCTAACTTCAGTGGAAGTAAACTAGTCGAAACAATTGAGCCGTGGACGAGAGATCAGTCCGCTGTGATCATTTGATAAATTGACTATAGTAGTGAAGAGAAGATAAAGATCAATTTATCCTGCATATTGAAAAGTGTCAAAGGTGTCAAAAGCGTAATCTCTCAGGGATCCGTGTCTTAACAAGAGCGTGTATGTGCCTATAATGCCGGGGCCGGAGAAACTTTGTTAACAGTCATCAGCAGTGTCAACGTCCCAGAACCTTGCGTTCTGATTGATTTGATACCTTTCATATACCCTATTGCGCTTGTAAATCAGCTTCTTGGAGGACACCTTAGCTCTAATGGGACCCCTCTTAGCGGTTCAGCAAAGCGACGTGTTGATATGCTTGGTTCTTTGCTGCCTCAGGAGTGACAAACATCCGGACTTCGTGGCATTCAATCTCAGGAAAAGTTTTAGACTGCAGTCGTCTAACCACCGGTCATCCAGCTATATGCAGATGTGATCAAAGCTGAATCTCGCAAAAGGGTCTTTTATTTTCATGATTGGTATCAACAGACGGCTAGGCATCGAACCATACAAAATTAAAGAGGCAGCGAGAGCCCTGTCCGTATGCAGCCCCCTTTCTCCGCCAGCCCACGAGCCCTTTGTAGGACGGAAATGTAATCTATCACAGGAAATAGTCGGGCGTCCGTCTCGATACCATGGGTTCGCCCGCTCGGGGGCAAGGGTCAAATTGTAGACTAGGGAATGATCATTAGCCTTATCCTCTCATCAATGGCAAGAGGCAATACTCACAATGTGTACTTCAGATGCTCGTCAATCTCCATAATAGCGGCCTGGTTGCCGCAGCGGTAACAGTAATTGGGTGCTATATCTAAGTTAGTTGCCTTATTTCATTGTTGCCACCCGAACCAGACAAATCATACCTGAGAAAATGGTCACTACGTTTCGATCCTGCGACCAGTTATATCCCTCCATCACCAATTGGTGAGCTCGAGCAACCAGAGTCAAGCCGTTGTTGTGGTTGAACGCTTCCGAAATATCCTGTCCGAATGTGTACCCCGCACCGCGAGGAGAAATTCCCCAGCCACAACGATCATCGGGATCACTCCAGAGCAAATCGCACATAGGTCCCTCATGCGGGACTTCTTGAATGCGGTCCAGGGACCGAATGTTGTCCAGAGTGTCGATCGACGGGCTCAGCCCACCGTGCAGACAGAAGATCTGGTTTTCAATGAGAGCTGTGAGGGGGAGGTAGTCGAAAAGGTCGGTGAAGTATTTCCACACGTTGGCGTTGCCATATTTGCGCAGGCACTCGTCATAGAAGCCATACACCTGGGTGATCTGGCGGGATTCGTGGTTTCCACGAAGAATCGTAATACGCTGGGGGTAACGGATCTTGAGGCAGACCAGGAGGGTCACAGTCTCGACAGAGTAGTAGCCTCGATCGACGTAATCACCTGCATGGGAGGAAAAAGCAAATGTTAGAATTTACATCTCATCGCCGATATAGGACCCCACAGTCCGACCGCCAGGCAGGTCACCACTTACCCATGAAGAGATAGTTTGTGTCGGGGTTAGGACCGCCGATGCGGAACAACTCCATTAGATCGTGAAACTGGCCGTGGATATCACCGCAGACCGTCACGGGGCATTTCTGTTGTGATGGTCAGTGAGCTGCTCATGGTGGGGACCTGGCCCGACCCGACCGGAGAAGAGCCACGACACATACCACTGGCTGAACGTTCGATTCCTCTTGCAATACTTCCCGTGCCTGTAAGCAGTATTAGATTATCAATTTCTTCCAATCCGTCCCAGCTTCCGGAACATGACGCACCCGATCGCACAGCCGCCGCACATCCTCCTCCGCTAATTGCTTGCACGTCATCAAACTCTCGATCCAGCCATCCAAAGTCGGTATAGAGCCGGAATCAGTCACGGGGGAGAGGTGGTGTGGCTCAGGCGAGCGCGCCGTGTCGATTTCCATGTTGTTATCCATGGTGGGCACAGCTAAAGTAAATAGGAGGGGCCAGTTGGGGGAGGGGCGGTCTCGTGAGAAATGAACAAGATTCCGTGTCGGTCGGTAGAGGTTGCAAAAAGTTAAAAAGGAAAAGAACAATCAGAAGTTCAATTCAAAGATACGATAGAATATCCCCAAGATCAACTCAAGGGATGACGGATGGGGGGAGGTTGGAGGGGGAAACAGGAAAGGGAGAAAGAGATGCGGGAAGGTCAAGTTTGGAGGTTCAAGTTTGCGCCACATCTCTAGCCACACCGCTTCTTACGTCGTGAACCTTTGATCCGTGAATGAGGCGGTGCAATTATGATTGCTCTTATTTAACTTGCTTAAATTCTTAATTGCTTCAGGTGACTATCTTCTGCAGAAAAATCTCTGCAAAATCCGTCTTTTACATGATCATTTTGACCATTGGAGGCGGTGCGCACCCAAACCAAATATCTATACCATATCTCTCTCTAGCGCCAAGGCCTTACCTCATCTAATAATCTTGTTGGCCATTGGCAGGACGTCTTATATGGCTTCAGTTGTAGCCTTTACATATCATGGAGGTGGAATAAGACGGTCACCAACACTTAACATATAATATATTCAATTTCATTTTCATTTAAATGCAATAAAAACGGATGGTGATCATGGGATCAGTTCGTAGTCACGTTGTAATTTCATCAGCCTACCTGACGACTAAAGCAGCCTCGTTGCTTTTAGATTATGTCACCACCAAAGCCTCCCCCAAAGCCTCCTCCGGGCCCTCCAAACGGTCCTCGGTTGCTGCCAAATGGTGGAGCACCAGGTCCAGGAGGGTCATATCTGGCCCCCGGTGGCGCACGAGGATCATACCCACCACTGCCACCACGTCCACCAAAGAGAGGATCGTCAAAGGTTGGATGCATACCACCGCCGGAGCCAAAGCCAGGCCCCATTGGTCCTCGAAGTGGGTCGTGAGGGCCAAGTCCTGCTGGGTAGAGATCACGATCTCCAATGCCATAGACACCTCTTCCCCCACCAAAGCCGGGAGCAACTCCGCGCGGGGGGCGATTGATCTCAAACTCATCCTCGAATCCTGGAGGGGAAAAATCGCCCGTTGGGTTCGGCTGGCGGGGTGCAGCAGCCAGAGGGTCATCGAATGGGTATGGACGGGCGGGCTCGGGCATGATAGAGTTGTCCCGTAAAGGATCATGACGTGGTCTGTCTTCTGGTTGTTGCCGAAGTGCTTCCTGGAATTCGCGCAATGAACCCTGTGAAGCCTCCTTGTCCAGCCCCGGGGCAAGCTTCTGGATCACATTGGTTTTGAAGAGGGCAATCAGTTCGCTGAGACGATCGGAGGAGATGAACACCGCATGAAGAGCATTGGTGATATTGTCTGTGGATGGTAATGGGAGTGCAGACTCCGAGATAAATTCCTTCACGGACAGATCAAAAGAACCAGTGCGATCATCGCCCAGGCCCAAGGCATTTACCACAGCATTATTACCAAGTCGACTCACCCTCAATAGGTACTGCATCGATGATTGTTCGTGGGCATATCGAAAGGTCAAGGTACTGTTAGCGTTCCATTCTGCGGGGAGGGTGGGCGTCTCTGTGGACTCTGTTCAAGATTAGCTATTGCCGCTGGAGCATTAAAACACATGCAGGATTAATGTACCTATGGTGTGGTCTTCCCCGAGTCCCACCAGCCTAAAGCCTACCGCTGCCATGCAGGCATGGCCAATGAGAGCGATAGCTTCATAGGGTGTTCTGAGACTCGGTTGTTCATCACGGAGAGCTTTTATTGCGAGGTCCAGGACATTTTCTGTACTAAATGGGTTCGAATCTGACATTTTGAGGTATTTGTTGATTGTTCAGATGTGATAGCCGAAGGAGGAAGCTGGAGAAGGAAAGTAAATTTAATAAGTTGGGGTTGACAGGCAACTAAGGTGACGACACGCCGAGCCCCACGCATCAACAATGATCCGAAGCTTGGCGGCCCTTATCAGAACCTTATCACTGCCCTACGAGGGGAAGCTCGGGTACCTAATAAATACCACGATCATTTTTATGCTATAATAATCGTTCTTGGATTATCATTAGCGCAGCTAAACAATTACATTATGAGCAGCTCCATAATTTGTGCACCTTTCTTCTGGCGCAAATGCATGGTATACAAAATAAGAAAATAGTCAGTAAAATGATCTATATCTAAAATGCTTAGAGCATCGCCTTGGGGAAGTCTTTCATCGCTTGCCGAACACCCAAATCCGCAAGAATCTCTTCTGTTCCACCCAAGATAGCATCAAATTTATATCCACGGTGGAACATTTCCACAACCCTGCCCATACCTGTCTGCGTCAAACCACGTCCGCCAAAGATATTCACAGCATGGTCAGCGACCTCATGGGCGGCACGAGTTGCGCTAGACTTGAGCAGACCGATTGGGCCAGCCAGGTGCTTTGCCTGCTCAGCGTAGGTCAAGTTGCACATCTGGAAGGTGATAGACTCGAGCCAAGCCTGGTGGGATTCGGCGAGGGAGATCATGCGAGCAAGTCTGTAAAGTTTCGATTAGCTTCGGATATTAGCATGAAGAAATCTGATGGAGGACTCACTTTTGACGCATGACTGGCTGCTCAACCAATTTCTTTCCGAACACTATCCGCTGGTTGCACCACTTGAGGCACTCCTCGACGACAGACGTCATGCATCGAGTCACACCCGCCGCCATGTAGAAGCGCTCATGGTTGAAATTTGACATGATGACTGCGAAACCCTTGTGCTCCTGGCCGAGAATGTTGCTCACGGGCACCTTGACGTTCTCAAATTGCACGAAAGCAGTTCCGGCGGTGGTCGAGTATGAAGTTTTGATCTGCTTGGTCTCCACTCCGTCATCGCGTGGAATCAAAAGCACAGTAAATCCTTTCTCGGTCTTGCATCCGGTGACAAAGTAGTCGGCGAACATGCCGTTGGTGATCCACTTCCTAAAGATGTTATTAGCCTAGAGATTCGTCCACTGGTTAATGAAGACTGACTTGGTGCCGTTGACAATGTAGAATTTGCCATCCGGTGTCTTTTCAGCGGTGGTCTTCAGGCCCGCAACGTCGCTACCGGCGAAAGCCTCAGTGATCGCAAGACACATCTTCTTCTTCCCGGACAAGACCTCCTCTGTCACCTTCTCCTTGAGCACAAGATCCTGAAGCCACTGTTGAACTGCTGTAAGACTGATAGTCATGCCAGCCATGTTACCATCCTGGAAACCTGCAATTGAATCAGAAAACCATACTCATAATATCCCATCAAAAGCGCATACCTCGAGCGTTGGCGCGCACGGACTCCTGTGCGACAATCATGTCATGGAAGTAATCAAAGTCCTTGCCATCCACAATGCCACCAAGCAGCGTGCGGTTGTGGAGGTGCTTGCCAGGGCCCAGACGCATAGCCAGAATATTCGTCTCAGCCATACGATCAATCAACTCCTGGCTGATATAAGTGCCATCTCTTTCCTTCTCCTGTGCTTCGGGGGTGACATATTTATCGGTAAACTCGCGCATGGCCTTCTGTAGCCGACGGTGGCTCTCCTTGTAATAAGGGTTCTTGAACTGCGGGCGCAACCACAACGGCTCAGCATAGGGCACAGGGCTCAAGGCGCCGACCTTGGGGTCGATGACTTCGGGCTTCTCGCCCTCAATAATTCCAATACATAATTGGTCACGATATTTCTCTAGCACCTCCTGGCGGTGCAAGTTGTAGAAATCGGCTGTGGCGTCCTGGCCAGCCACCTGGGCGAGCACGACGGACCCGCCCGGATGGGCGTCCACGAAATCGGTTAGATCATACACGCGGTGGTCGATGATACACCAAAGGGAGTCCTCGGTGTTGTGCTTAGCGACTTCCGCGCGGGTAAGTGTTTCGGAAGGCATGGTGATCTAATAGAGTGGTAAGGGAGAGAGAAAGAGAATGGGAGGCATTCTCATTGTTGAATACCCCAGATTTGGGGTGCGCCAATCACGCGCATGATTATTTTCAACCGAGGCCCGAGGATTTGGTGATGTAATCTACATAGTCTTAGTCCAATTTTAATTTTAATTTACTGCATAGCTATATTACTGCAGATGTCTCTCCGAGGTACAATATAGGCTTTGATCGACATTTCTCCAACACGAATAGGAGGGCGTGAAATAGTAATCATTTGCATTGCATGACCCACCCTGCCAAACCTTCAACACCATGACCTGGAGTGTTGAAAAATATAATTGGTGTTGAGTAAGTATATTTATCCGGAACTAAAGAGTCAAAAGGGAACAGTACGTGAGTCAAGGAGTGTGTGTAAGGTTAAAATTCGAAAAGCATCGAAGGCCATGGGGGTAAAGGGAATACCGTTACCAAAAGAATGGTAGATGACCCTTAAGTATTAGGTCCAGGTCCCCCCATTAACAATTCAATCCGCATGGTCGAGTCGGCTAGGCCCTCCCTAGTACAAACTAGCCACCGACGGGTGGTGCACACAGAGTTAGCCGTTGGGACTTGTGTGTACGGATTGAATAGACCGGGAAACATCCTCAGCTAACCCCCCTTGAATAGCAGCCGTATGGCGCCTATGGGGGGTGACCCTGAGTTGAATGTTTGCTACTTTTTTAGAATCAGTAATATAGATCTTGACCTGCTGATGCAGACATTTAAATTCAGATCTCCCAGAATGCAAGTATGTGGTGCGTTATGTGGAAAAGAAGTTTGGTCGACTTTTGGCTGAGTTTCTGTTCGATGTTGATGAGTCTATTCACAATGTTCTTCGTAAGTATATAGACAATCAATAGGTCCCGGGCTCGCTTCCAGCTTTTGATTTTCTTTTTCTTTTTTCTTTTTTCTTTTTGGTCTGTTACGCTCGGTAAACAAAAAAAAAAAACCTTAAGACAGTCAGCTATACCGAATAGTCGGTGGGAGTTTTTCAATCAACTCCCTAGTTGAAAGTGGATCCCATATCAAAAAGTATCACTGATTTCAAGGTTAAATGCTACAAGAACTCAGGAACCTCGCCTTCAAATGATCGAAGTTTGCAATTTGAATAGGCTATAGTCTCCCGGAAGCAAAAAGAACCACCTGGGCACCACATAAGGCCCTCGTATATCTGCCAAACAATCAGTCCTGCCCTCAAGACAGGGATATGACTATAAAGACACTTCGAATCAAACGGCCTACTGGCTATTTCCTCAAGCCCGAACCAACATATCCATCCTTTGGCAACTGCCTCGCATCAATTCTGCCCATTAAGCTCCAAACTGCAATCAGCATAATTAAGACATAGAGCATTCGGCATGACAACATCACCGAGAAAAGTGATCCTTTCCAATATGAATATGTTGAGATAGTCTAGCAATATGTACAAGTGCCGTGGTCCCACAGGCAAGACAAGATATAATTCTGTCATCGGCGTCCAGCACCGTTGGCCTTGATTTCGTTGAAAGCGTCTTCAATCAACCACATACAAACCGGTTCTGCATCACCACCGACACGCCAACTGCCTAGCACAACACCATGACTCTCAAGGATATCACTAGCACGCTCCCAGCGGCGTCGCCAGAGTTCTTCACGCTTATTGGGCAGCGGGGCGGGTGGCATGCTAGGGTCACTGCCGTTGTAGCTGTTATAACCGTTGTTCGATTGTCGGGGCAGCGATTGGTTGGATGCTGATTGCCGTAGTCCGGCTGATGGTGAAGCAGATAGGTTGAGTCTTTCAGTAGCATATGCAAGGGCATTTTGAGCGGCAGATACTGGGTATGAGGGCTTGTTCCCCGGGATTGCAGGCGCAGCCCGCGGAGCGGGCGTGCTGGATGCAGAGCTGTTCGCTGATGAGGCGGTATTTGAGCGCCGGGGTGGTGGGGGAGGTGGCGGTACTCTAGAGCGAGATGATTGTGCCGATGCCTGGGGCTTGTCTTCCAGCAGCGGTTCGGTTTGGGTACGAGAGATGGACGGTGACGGGTCAAGATCAACTAGCGAGTCTATTCTGGCTGTTGATGCCCCCCGAGGTGGTAGTGGAGGCACCGCTTTTCGACGGATTGGTTCTTGGGAGGACTGGCGTGTATCAGTCCGTAGTGCTGATGGTTTGCTCGGCTTGGTTGGAGGCATCCGTGGTTTCACTGGTGGGCTCGGTTTCGCAGTTTCCGTGGTATCTTCATCTCCTAGATCAATCAAATCTCCGACAGGGACATTTTTCACCTCTCTCTCTGGTGGGGTTGGCACGGGCCGACGAGGTGGCAGGCTAGGCCTTCTCGGAGGAGAATCAAAGGACTCCACAAGCTGCGGGGAGCTGCGACTGCGAGCATCAAGCCCCTCTAAGTGACCAACTGATTTCTCAAAGAAGGGCTTCTTTTCTGGTGTCGTTACGTCTCGGATGAAAATTCCCAGAACCCGGCCTCGGTTTGCCAGAGCAATATCGGTGTAGACCTCCAGATCGGCCTCTCCGCTGTCACCGACCAAGATAAACTTGCGCTCAGGAAAGTCACGAAGGATTTGCTCCAAATTTCCCCTCTTTCTCTCAGCTGTCGGCTCGAATATTCCCTGTAACATGCCTGAATACTGCTTGAGATGAAAAGAGCCTGGTGGTAAGCCCGCAAGCTTGAAATACCTCTCCAACAATGGATAAAGCTGCCAGGGAGCATTGGAAACATAGTGTATCTTCACGCCCTTCTTGGCTACTTGTGTATACCACTTATCAACTCCACCGACTTTCAATTCAGCTAGCTCACGAACAAAGGTGTTTCGGAACATCTCCTTCGCTCCACTGGCAATAGCTGAGTGTTTGACAGTATCGTCGATGTCACTGATCAAGCTGATACCCACCGGCTCGATGATTTCGATTGCCTTAGCAGCAGACAAGTCTTCAGACGCAAGCACACGGATATGAGTGGGCACGAAGTTCAATGGAGCACGAAGATTAAAATAGCCGGACTCGTCCGTCATCATATTCCGGGACTCGCTCTGTTCATCATCGAAAAAGAACACTGTCACAGGCATACCAGCCATAGGGTTCGTCAAGAACGGACGCAGTCGTTCCATGAGATGTGCATTGGCCATGGATATCTGGTCTTTGGTCATCGTTGCAGGCTGGCCTGACTCTACCCGGCTGCGTTCTGTATTAGACATCTTCCAGGCCGGGTCGGCGTCCTGCTCTGCTTTGTCGACTAAATTTTTCATCTGCTTGTCCACATCTTCATCCTCGCCTTTGCCGGAAACCTTGTCAGGGCTATCGTCACTGGCAGCGCCGGATGGTGTCGGGATTCCACTTAATGTCCTGGCTAACTTGATCATCAGGCGATGCTTGCGGTTCATCGGTCCCCGATTTGGCGCATAAATCCATCCACGGACATCAACATCCACTACCGCATTCTCAAGCTCACTTTTGTCCCAGTGGGGTCTAGGGTCATCCCTCTCGGAAGTACCCCGATAGTCATCGATAGTCTCCGTCCACGAATCACGGCGTGGGCGCAAGCTCGCATCCTTCTCTTTTGGCGTCAACGTCCTTGCATAGCTAGGGAATAGGACCATCTCCTCATCTCCAGACCGTGCTATCTCAACATCCGGAAATGCGCCGGGGGTATGGTAATAGTCCTCCTGGTTATTGGTTCCTTGCCCGGTCCATCGTGACGTGTACGTCTGACCCAGCTCGTTTGCTGCCTTCAGCCACTCATATGCCTTTTTGCGGCGGCTCCCTGTAGTATATGAGCCATCACCGGCCCACGTAGAAGACGACATTGCAGGTTTCGCGGCATCCTTCGGCCCGTCAATGGGCCTACGAACACTTCTGACACGTCTCGCGATGTACCTAGCCCCTGCAACCAGGCCAGCTCCCGCTCTCCCGCCTCGCGATCGTCTCTGGGGTCCAAGGAGGTAGGCTACAAAGCCCCCGCCGAGTCTGCGAAGGCGCGCTGCACGCCGCGCCTGACGCTGGACGATTGCTCGGTAGATGCGTGATTGCGCCCGGTGTCGGAGTGCGGGGAGGGCCTCGTGACGAAGGTTCCAGATACGATTCTGGGCGTGACGGGTTCTGAGGGGACCGACGAGGATGCGGAGAAGGGCTGAGAAGGTGCTTTGTTTGGGGTCCCGGCGGGGGAGAGAGTGGCCCGAGAAAATGCCCGGGGCCAGTGGGCGTCGGAAGAGAGATCGTCTGAACCGAGGGATGGGCCAACGAAAATGCGGTTTAGGCGCCAGGGTCTCGGTTTCTCTGGTGGTAGTTGGGTGGTGATTTGTTGTGCGAGGGACACGGCACCCTGCAACAGGTCTTCGAGTAAGAGCGAACTGTGTGGGGTTCTTAGTCTGTGTAAACCATATCTGTGGAACAGCATACTAATACTCACCTCGGTCGTGGATATCCAAGCGAAAGCAATAATGATATGACAGGGTGAAGTGGGAGCTGGGACGTTTCAAAGTTACTGTTCCTGCGGGGCGCCATGACGCCAGATGATTTAGCCCCATCACCCGCACAGGTTTACTTCCAGTATGATATCAATCTCCAGTTGTACTACTATTACGTATGCGTTTTGAGAATGAATGTGTCTGATCTTTCATTGGTGCTGATAAATTCCGGGATCTCATATCTTACGGTAAAAATTCTAGGTTCTAGCGGTCTTCGAATTTATATATATCCATGGATCGACGATGTTGAGCCGCACCTCCACCGAAGCTGTTTTACGCACTCACAACTCCATTCCCCTAGGAACCTTTCAAGATTGGAAGCGCTGAACCCATTGAAATAAACTATCCAGATAGATATGTACAGTACTATAATCTGGAAATCTAGGTCGACAAGCTTGATATCGCAAATATCAACGCTGTCAGAAATTAACTCAGCCTCAGGTGCTACTTTGCTAGTCATTTGGGTAGGTATGCATATGATTAAAAAAGTATATATACTCCGATACACATTCAACCTTGAAGAGAGGACCTAGGTATATCATCCATTCGATATGGACATCTATGGATATAAACAACCCCAGATTTGAAGCCATCTCCCACCAACACCTGCCCGCTTTCGCATGCAAAGTATAATACAAACATATCATCCCCAGGGATTTCTATGCACTATCTTCAAGATAGTTGACTTTCTTAGCTCGAGCGCTGCGTCGAGAAACAGGCTCCTCGGCAGGTTTAGAGCTCAATTCCTCGGACCCCGAGGTAGACTCGACGTCTGAAGCTTTCCGTTTCGCACGGGATTTAGAAACTGGAGTTCGCGGTGCACGAGCTGGTTTCTTGGCTAATGGCTCCTGGGTACCATTCACTTCAGTACCATTAGGTTCAGTGGGCTCGATCTTGACTTTCTTTGAGGCACTGCCCTTTGCTGGACTGGCCGCCGCTTTAGTCTTCACGATCTTCTTGGCAGGTCGGAGCCACTCTTCCATGCCTCGAGGCCAGTAGACTCTCCGATCAGGGCCACCCATGCCGACTTCATCATCCGGGACAGTGCGAATGGGTGGTACAGCCCCCTCTAGATCAACAAAGCCACTGTTGTTCTTGGTTTTTCGCGGGGGCTTGAAGGGTTTGTTTTCATCAGTTCGTGTGTAAGGTATGAGTTCATTAATAAGTTCATAGCCGGGTAGTTTGAAGTTTCTCATCAACTCAAATACTGCCTGCTCTTTATCCTTGGCCTCAATCATCAAATCCATTGTAGGAGCACAAGGAGGTAATGTTGCTACCCGGTCACTGTGCTTGCGACGCTGACGAGGGGTAATAGCGGGCGCGGTTTGTTCCGAGTAATGCATTTTTTGGGTGATATTCTTCCTCGACCATGTGGCTGCAATGCGGTCGTAGAGTGGTATGATATCCTCAGTGCCCTCGCGGAGCTCATTTGTGTCGAACAAAATATTGTGATGGTGATAATCAAGAACCATAGGAATATTCAATTCCTCGCAGATGGGGAGCAGATCGTGTACTGTCCAACTGACATCGTCGTTCTCCAGAACCAATCTGTTCTTAATATCTTGTGACAATGGGGCATAATTCTTTCGAAAACGGTCCAGAGTTTCGCCCTTGTCCCCGAAGACTCCGCCCATATGCAGAATCATAACGGCGTCACGGTCCTGCTGGGGTGGCAGCTTGAGCAGTTGCAGCATCTCCGAGTGATACTCCAGATCTCGGTATGAGTTTTCCACCACCTCTTTCCTCGGAGAGCCTAGCTGAGTGAATTGCCCCGGATGAACCGAGACACGATGACCAAGCTCTGCAACTACTCGGCCTGCTTCTGCTAGCACTTCTGCGGCGAATGGTGCCAGTTTATACCCGTACTCTTTATGACTGCAAAACGGGAACATTTCACTGCTCAATCGCATGAACTTGATCCCATACTTGTCGTTCCAGCGCAAGAGCTTCACGAGGTCGCGCGCATTGGCAAGGCCTAAGGATTCCACAAAGGCCTGCCCGCGGGCTACATCGGCCGGCTGGTCGCGATCTGGACGGTTCTTCGTAGAATGCGCAGGTTGATCGGGATCCTGCAGCGGGTGTCGATTTTCGAGGATAGAGGCAATGCGACAGGTGCGAGAGCAGAAGACGGGAGGATTGGAGTATCGCAGGTAGGTATTTAGGCAAGCCTAGAAAATTAGTAAATGAATTGGTAGGAAAAAATCATGAGTTGCTGCGCATTGTGACTCACGTATCCCAGGCGACCTTTCCAAGGAAGTGGAAGGTAGCTGCTATTGACGGGAGGCGGTCTCCCCAATGCTTCCTTGAGCTCCTCCGCATCCAGTGGGACATTCTCGTCCGACTCTGGATCCAGTGGTGCCTCGGCCTGTCCAGCAGGCTCATTTATATCACCATTGGAAATATCCGCTGGTTTGGAATCCGTCTCAACTGCCTTTCGTGCCATTGCCACGTCTTCCGTGCTGAGTATATAATCAATATCTGGAGCGACCGCTTGCGAATATGTTCGAGACAGAGGATTTCTTGTTATCGAGGACGGCGCAAGACTAAATGTGCTATGGGAGGGAGGTCGCAAAACTGGGTGAGCAGTATGACGAACATGCCCTAGAACCGGGGTTGGCGATCTGGTGTTCGCCACAGCAATCGATCGATCGGTACTTTTCAGTGAGATGTGGCGACTCCCCGAGCTTGACCCTGGGAAGCGAGCATGCTGGATAGGCAGAGCACGCAGCAGCCGTATAGACCGAAACATGCAGCAGATCCAGCAGATAATATCTAAGAGTGGGCGAGTTGGGGAGAGGGAGTGGTACAGGGGTGGGATGAAGCGGAACGATGACGCGCTAATCACTACGGAGCAATCGCGGACGCGCCGCGTGATCGCTTTACAGTATGTGTATTCTTATGTGTATCTACCATGGGTAGCTTGTGACGGTATATTGTAAATGTGAGAAGCTTTGTTACGATCAGTGTAAGAATTGAGTGATAGACAAGGACGTGTAATCAGTTCCAAGTTAATGTAAGATGGTTGAAATGCATCGAGGGGTTGACCTCATGGTGGAGCTCATCTATATTAGCTTATCGACTACTAACCACAACACAATGAATAAGGAGCTACTGTGGTAGGCCTCGACAAACCAACATCGCTCTCGTATAACACAGACAAGCCAACACAGCCACTCTGCAATTTAATTGGAAAATATCAAGCCTGGCATGCAGGGTGCGACAGGGGTTGGCTGGGGCGTACCCCTTATGGCCTCGATCTACCAGGCTTCTTACATAGAAACTTGTTCCAAAAGGGGAGTCCACATATTTCGGGATCAAAGAGCACCATAGGGCGTACTGTGGAAGTGGAAAGGCTAATGCAGAAAACCTACATTGAAACGCGTCCATCTCCATTGACATCATCCCATTCTCACCGTTTCCTCGCTCAACTTAATGACCGGAGATTGAAGACTCGGAATGAGAACCGCAAGGCTGTCACGATGGCTTTCATGCTTGTCCAAAAGTATGCTTGAAACCCCGGGAGCTTTAACCGGGGAAATGAGGAGGTTTGACTTTGCTTATGGTGCTTAGCTGGAACGCAACTTCGCCGCATAGCAGTATACTAATGACCGATTCGGCACACGAGGATACCATATATCTCGGTATGATGGAATTGAATCAACGCAATGAGTTACCGCTGCGTGATTAACCGCAAGATTAACAATGACCGTGGAAAGAGCGACGGTTGCCAACATTCCTCGCGTTGCTTGTCCAGCATCTATGGGCTTGGACCACACCAATGGCATCTCCCATTCTTCTGAACTACAACGGAGAATGTGATAACAACACAACAACTATTTATTATAACAATCTTTCCGGACAATTTTGCCACTCGTTCATCTACTTCTTCCTCTTCTTCTTTAAAAAGGACCAAGAAATTTGACCCAGGTGGTTGATTGCTTGTCTGCAAACTGTTACTTCCTTGACCCTCTTCTCTTTCCTCTTTACACAGTGAGTACCCACATATAACATTATAACAATGAGGCCACAATACTGATATCCGATAGCCATATACCGCAAAATGAAGGGTGCTCTTCTCTACAGTTTGTTGGCCGGCACGGCTACGGCCCACATGCAAATGATGAAGCCCTACCCCATCCGCAGCCCACTGAACAAGGACTCTACGGGCCAGAAGGACTACTCGTACACCAACCCACTGCAGGCCTCAGGCTCAGACTATCCTTGCAAGGGCTATGCCAATGATGAGTTCGATTCACAGGCCTCCTACTCGCAGGGCCAATCCTACACCATGGAGCTGGACGGCAGCGCAACCCACGATGGTGGTTCCTGCCAACTTGCTCTGACCTATGACCAGGGTAAGACCTTCAAGGTCATCGAGTCCATGCTTGGTGATTGCCCAATTGCCAAGAAGTACGACTTCTCCATCCCATCTGATGCTCCTGATGGTGAGGCTCTTCTCGCCTGGACCTGGTTCAACAAGGTCGGCAACCGTGAGATGTACATGAACTGCGCCATGGTTACAATTGGCGGAACCTCAAATGCCAACCAGACCGATGCCGATGCCGACACTCACACCAAGAACATGCACAAGGCCAACAAGGGCGAGGAGATGAAGATTTCTCACCCGCCTATGGCTCTGGCTGCCCACCAGGGCGAAATGGCCAGCCAGCGTGGAGCCAAGTCCCAGAAGCAGCAAGCCGGCTTTGACAGTCTCCCCGCGCTCTTTGTCGCCAACGTCGATCAGGAGGGCAAGTGTGTGACCATCGAGGGCGAGTCTGTCAACTTCCCTAAGCCTGGTGACAATGTTCTCGGCAAGACTGATGGAAAGGGCGATGGTTACAAGTGCACTGGCACCGCTCCCTTCCTCGACAGCAGCGACTCCACCTCCACGGACACCAGCAAGAATTCCAGTGACTCCACCTCCACGGATAACACCAACTCGAAGGTTGATAAGTCGAGCAAGACCTCGACCCAAGACACTGGCAGCAAGGCTCCCAAGACCTCGACTCAGGACAAGGGCAGCAAGGCTTCCAAGACCAACGCTGACTCGGCCCAGACTAAGACCAGCACCGACTCGAGCCAGGCTAAGACTACCGATTCCAAAGATTCGAAGACCAACTCCAAGGACTCCAACAAGAATGCCACTCGCAGCACGCCTCAGTCCATGTCCAAGATTGCCCAGGCTTTCGGTACCTCTGGAGTTGCTGTTGCGGACCCCCGTGTCGTGGCCACCGATGCTTCCACCGTTGCTTCCACCAATAACGCTTTCTCCAGCTACGTTGGTGGCTTCACTTGCAAGTCTGGCGAGATCATTTGCGCTCCTGATGGATACAGCTGGGCCATGTGCTCCAACGGCGCCCCCGTCTTCATGGGTTCCGTCGCTGCCGGTATGACCTGCCGCTTTGGCGCCATGGTTGCCGCTCCTTGGTAAGTATGTAGTATATATACTTGTCGAGCCTCTTATGTTTTCTCTTTTCTTTTCTTCCGACTTCCGATTGAGTCGTTATTGGTCAATCTTTCTTATGTGCCGGTGGAGTTTTGGCGCACTTGGATTCCCGGCCCGTTTTGTAATGGCCTAGTTGATGTCTTCATGTTGATCGGTATTCTTAATGATTGTGCGGTATCCTATGTTGAATGTTTTAATGTCTTCGCCGGAAGAGGAACGCGGGGGTTTATTTATCTGTAACGTATCAGGAACAATACACTACAAAGTTTATGCTTATTTGCTGTGGATCCTTGGAATGAGACATGATTATTAAATAAAAATCTTATCGTATTATTATTATATCCCATTCGGCGAAGTTTCTACTTTGCCTGTCACGCTCTTCCCAATTAATATACAGTTGCCAGTATCTGCAGCAAACATGGTATCTCAGATTTCAAAAACAAAAGAAAAAAAGTCATCACATCATTGATCCAGTAGATCAAGCCAGTCCTAAGATTTCCATGGATGACAAAGGAAGCAGCTCCGAATGGATAACGCCTCTAGATCAAACTAGGATTTCCCCTTTCACTTAGTAATTACCAGTGTAAGCGGAGTTGCCATATCCATATCCATTGCCATTCGCGGCACCCGTCGCAGTGGTGCCGTTCGCAGCAGCGGTGTTCTTGTTGCGTCCCCAACCGCCGAGCCACTTCTTCTCAGCCTTGGGCTCGGTGCCATACTCAACATCAGCGGGGGTGGGATGGCCAGGCAGAGCGTTGTCATTGACACCGTTGGTCTCAGGGTTGTTCTTGTTGCGGCTCCAGAACCACTTGCGGCTACCAGAAGTGTAGCCGTTGGCAGGGGAAGGACCGAAGCGCTTCTCGCGCTTGTGGTGGCGGGCCAAAAGGACCTGGAAGAGGATCGAGATCAGGTAGAAGAAGCTAGACAAAGGTAGGGTTAGCAAACGTCGCATTGCCATCTTAATGGTTCTTGTCACTTACATTCCAATCACCGAAACTGCGAAAACGACTTTCTCCAATTTGCAAGCCATTCCGTAGCTCAGCTTCGAAGGGCTGTCATCGCTTGCGTTACCTGAGCCGATGGGGGTGTTGACATGGCCAGAGCAGCTGTTGGTGCCATGGCGAGTCATAACGGCGATAGCGATCATAGCGCCAGTGAAAAGAACGTCGAAGACAACGCCGAGGAAAGCGAAGAATGTCACGCCACCGAGGCAGCAGACGAAGAGTAAACCGAGCAGACTGTATAAAGTAGCTGCACCGGCCAAACCTTCAACGGCCTTGACCCATGTGTCGATGGTTTGATCATGTTTCGAGAGGATAGCGAGGTAGTATGAGAAGATACCAAGGATGACGGCAGCGTCGAGAAATTGCAGCACTCGAATAAGGAGGCCGCAGAAGCGTAGAAAGACTCCACCAGCTGCACCCATGATGATGTGAGATGTTTTTGAATCTTTTCTTTGAGTTGTGGTTGGTGATTGTTTTTTGAAGGGGGTGCTCTGTATTTGAAAGAGAGACTGAAGAAGAAGGCAACAGGATTTAGACAGATTTAATAAAGGACCCTGACCCGACCAAGACGCAATAGTTGAAGATCAGTGGACTTGGAACCAAGGAGCCGTGGTACAAGAGCAATTATGAATGGCTGGGAGGGTCTCAGCCACAGCCAACCGTGGGTCCAGTGACATCATGCCCCAAAACTGGGCTCCACGTTGCCGCTTTGGGGGCGGCGCCTCAGGCTTATAAAGTGCTGATTTGCTCGTGTCAATGCGCCACCGCATGTGAAGAAATTGAGGAAATTAGAACTTTCACTTTTATCGTTTTTTGGGTTTTGGGGAAAAACCAAAAAAGTAAAAATAAAAATCCAGCCACGACTCAGCCATAACGCCCCTTACCATTGACGTAGTATGCAGGTAATACCAGTTACTCCGCATATGCGGAGATGGACAAGTCATGCATGCCTATACATGATTAAAATCATTCTGCCTACTTATGCTTACATTCTAGATTATGCGTCTATTGAAGCTTCAGTACTGATCACGCTGATTACCTTAAGAGTTTTGATCCGGACGCACATCACGAAATAAGTCGGGAAATTCGCTAGAGAGCAAGTGTACTTCATAAACTCGTCTCGGGATCCTTTTGTCTCGTACTGAATCCAAAGTGCTTGTCCAGTCTGAAGAGTGTATTTATCGACAATAAGTTTCGGGAAGGTATTCGCGCACGTTAGCAAAAGCTCCCTGCGCGCGGCGAGCTGGAATAGCACACCTATGATAGCCTTCCTCCATATCTGCCGCGCCACACATGACGTCGGCTCCAATATGTATAGGTTCGTGCCCATGCAATGAAAAATCTAGTTCGCGCGGGTTACAATGCGTGTTACGCTGAACTCGGTATACAGCCAATGATGATTTTCCATGATCTGCTTCGTACCTTGCAGCTTCAGAACATACATGACGCCGGCCCCGGTTGGTAATTTAGAGGGCGATACTTTCACTGCGCGCCAATGCCAAGCTTCTGCGAGGGGCTCGACGAGGGTGGTGACCTCGTGGGAGGTATTATCTGGGTCCGGATAGAAATGGATGGCTGGGGCAACGGCCTTTTTGGAACCCCGCTGCCGAAGCCTGAACGGAATATCTGAAGGGGCAGAGGAAAGTGATAGAAGGCTGGGAACTCGATCCTTGGGAATCAGGATTATTTCAGGGCTGCGATCAATATACGTTCACCGAGGGCAGGTCTTACACTGCCTGGACTGCCGCGGCAAGGGTGACTGTAGCCTTTTATATGGGGCTGGAAACGTGGTACAATGCCAAGATAGACTGATGGCCAAAAAAGGAAGAGGTACAATTGAGTAGTCACGGATGTAAGGGATAAATATGACTGCAATAATCTGAGAAATGAAGAGTGGTAAGGCGAGCTTTATATTATTGAAAGATATTGTATTCTTTCGACGGCATCTATCATGAGCTGGAACTGATCCAGATGCAGAGTGATTGGTATCAGGACAAGTGACTTGCTCTCCGGGAGGATTTCTGGTTTGCTAGGTTCAAAAGTCCAATTCCCAGGGCTCTTGGGCTCAATCTGAGGACCACCGGTCCCCAGAGTCGACTTCTGACGACCTATCTTGGTCATTGATGCTAGTAGAGAAATTGGCCAATTGGTTCAAACCAAGCCGATGAACGGCTTCGACAGCTTCAGTGTTGCGAGGCAATGGGATGAAGGCTGAGCTCTAAGGGAGAAAATCCATACAGGCTGCCAGTCTTCGCCGGAAAGATAATATCTCACGCATTCGGCAGAACTTCCGAAGCGATTTCGAAGGGTGCCATCTGATCAGTTCAGATTGCGTACGAATGGCATCGATGGGGGTCATTGTAGTGGTGTCGGGATCAAGCTGTCATATATCATAGACCACTAGGGTCTTAAGCCCGAGTACGAGTGGTTGAGCCCTCGTCAATGATGCACCTGTCTTAATGCTCGGGATGCAGAGGAGTGAGCGTCTGTACTGTAGTGGCAGTGGCTTGTACAGATTAAGGCCGTGAAGAAACAGCCACTCCGCTCGCCATTCAAGAGGCTTCCTCGCGCTCGCTCTCCAGATGCCCCATGTATGTCTGCAGGGTCTGGTTCAACCCATCATTGCGGCGACAAAGCATCAACACATCAGCTGGGGTGACCGTTGACCGGCCAGCATGCCTAGAACGGAAATCCCGATTAGACAAGTGTAGATAGATTTGAAATCCAAAAAGATCAAGCAAGAATACCACGCTTGACCAGCTGTGTTCGTGGGAGATTTGTGTTGACTTACTTGGCAAAAGCCTCTACGTCAACAATAGCGGACTCTGAATTACCATTAGCGATGCTGGGCATATCAGAGAAGCGCGATGATGCCCAGGCACCTGTGAGTACTTCAAAAGGACATACCGAGATGTGACCATGCCAGCTCCAGCAGGGCATTGGTGAACTGTGGCGTGGCCATGGCATCAAGCTTCAAGGTCTCCTCATCCACAATTTTGCTGATACAGTCGTACAGTTCGGTTTTAAGGCGCTATGAGAGATGTTAGTTGCCTAGAGCTGAAGCAAGTCTTACGAAATGACTTACCTCGGCCTGGTTCTGGTCTGCCTCTTGTTCATTTTGCGACATCTTGTTGACGTTGAATGGATAACGAAGCATCAAGGCGCGCGGGCAATACATAATATGACAGATGCTGATTGGCTGATAACGCGTCGGCGGAAGAATAGTTGACCCGAAAAGGGTCGCTCCTTCCGCATTTGGTTATTTTTTCGTTTAGCAGGAAGAGCATAGAAGACACGGGACGCTTCTCTCTTTGCCGTTTATCCGTTCTCATCCCTCCATTAACTTAGTCGCGCACACCCCCAACTTGCCTGACTCAAATTTCTTCCTTCCTCCGTGCTTCTCTTCGTCACCGAGAGTTCAATTCTTCCAATTCGGAAAATTGAAAGTTGACGTACCCGCCACCACCCGCCGACCTCGCCCCCCAACAAACAAAAAAAGGGAAGCAGAAACTTCCACCAGGACTCCTCCGCCATGGCTGAACCCCAGGCCGACATGAGCGACGTTGCCGCCGAGGCCGCCGCCGACTTCTTCAACCAGATCTTCGGCGTGATCATCGAAGCTATTTGCCGCTTCGGCCGCAATTTCTACAACTCCTTTGCCGACGTGAGCGTTGGCCGCTGGACCAAGACCATTGGCTCCGTGATCTTCTACATCCTCATCCGTCCCTATATCGAGAAGTTGTTCAAGCTCTTGTACGACCGGGACCGTCGCAAGGAAAAGGAGAAGAAGGAAAAGGAGAGAGCCGCGCTGAAAGGCAAGAAAGCCAAGAAGTCCGCCAACTCTCTGCGCGCTGGTGAGACCGGCAAGGTGCTGGGCGAAGTTGAGACTGAGGATGAGCTTGAGGAGGGCGAGGAGAATCTGGCTCTGGCCAGTGGTGTGCCTGAGTGGAACAAGATGGCTCGCAAGCGCCAAAAGAAGCACATGAAGAACCTCGAGAAGCAGAATGGCAAACAGGCTGAGGATCTTTCTGAGGAGCAATTTCTGGAGCTCCTTGACTGGAGTGAATCGGAGAACGAGGAGGACAAGAAGAAGGCTTGATCTCGACATTTATGCGCTGGCGAGGGACCTTGCAAGAACCGAAAATCATAGACGACCGCTGTGTATCATTTATTCTTCACGATTCTCACACTGTATTAAACTTATTATTCAGCCATATTAGGCTATATTGCTAACTAACTACACATAATGGATTACATCTACTATCAAATGTTGAAGTTCGAGTCGAAGCAAGGTGAAATAGGGAGTCGAATCTCGGGTATGATAAGGATGCCTCATACTAAAACTCGAGACGGTCAACTAGACAACGTACCCGTCTATCACCATTGGCAAAAAAATCTAACAATAATATTCCAAGGTTCAATGCATCATGCATGCCATTCGCCCAATCATAAATAGTAACATAAAGTTGACGTACACATTAATGCAATCTCCGGAGTGCTTCGATCATTCCTTTCACCTCTTCCACATCGCTAGAGCCGACGTCCGCTACGATCTCCTCTTGCAGCTGTGGCTCACAGGTGAGGAATTTCTCGATGAGTTCACCGTCAACGAAACGGTAGGGTGCGTCAGCGGAGCGAGTCAGCGTGCGGAATGCACGGAAGGTATCAAAAGACAGGTCACCCAATGAATCTATCTTACTGGCGATGACACTTTGGAGGGTCATCAGGAAGTCTTGGTGTTCAGGGTTGATCAGTGCGAACAGGTAAATGGAGCCCTCAACCTGGAAGAGAAGTACAACGTTAGTCAATTGCTCGTTGCATGGATATGGACAATATTAGTGCGACACATACGGTTGCCATAAAAGCTCGTGGAGTTACCATCACTGTGCCAAGCTGAGGGATGTTGATTGGACGGATGCGGTTGACCATTTCGCCGAGATTGATCTCGCTAGTTGCGACAAGGCGTTGTTTATCTTGGGCTGTGACGCCGTTCGTATTGCGGGACAAGACAATCAGGTTGCCCTGAGTTTCGCTCACGAGAAGCGTATCATCATCAATAGAGGCGACGGCTGTACTCCACACGGTTTGGTAGTGCCGAGCAACTTCAACCAGCTCGTTCTTGGTGCCATCCTTGCCTGGCACATATTTGACGACACATACACTTTTCATGAGGTCAGCGACTATGATCATGTCGTTGACGACGGTAAGATCAACTGGTGCTGTTGATGTGCGGTAGCTTGCGAGCTTCTCAACCTTGATTGACCCGAAATTATTATTGACCACTTTGTAGACAACAACCTAGAAAGAAAATTAGTATAGTTGCCCTATACTTCGTAGAAAGGGAAACGCTGCTTACAGTCTTGACCAGCGCCGCGACGATTTTGTCACCAAGCATGGCCAATGCCCGGCATCCACCATTCACTTGTAACTCAGCGACCTGGGTCAATTTGCGCCCATGGTCAACCTCCAGGACTAGAATCCGCCCGCGGATTGAACCTTCCCTAGTCTCGTTCAGGTATGAAGTACCAATAACAAACCGATCTTTAGTTGTTTCATTTCCAAGTTCATCCTTTCCAGCCGGGAATTCAGCGCGGATCACACTCTCTATCAGTTCGTCTGTCTTGAGCTCCAACGCATCCAGACGCCGAAACAAGATTTCATCAGCTAGCACAAAGTGACTCTTCACGGCTTCTAGTCCATCTTCTAGCTTCCGATCAATCGTACCAAGTCCGAATGCTTTTTCGGATGGGGAGTAGGCAACGCGGCGGACTGTGGATCCCATCGGTAGGGTTTGGATTTGGGTTGTCCGTTCTTTGTCAACTAGAGCAATCTTGAGTTCGCGTGCGGTAGCCACGGCGATAGAATCAGGATATGCCTCCGCGTTCAAATGGCATATGCGAGATGCACCTTCAGAGTTGACCGCCGAGTAGATGATTCGCCCTTCAGATCCATAAATGAGACTAGGGTTTTCGCAGGTTGCGAACACATTATACAGCCCATCTCCCCTGGGGAGCTTCTTGAACGTTGGTTGTTCAGATCCGAGAATCAGCCTGTTCATACCAGTCAAGGAATAGTCTTTAGGGTCCAGAGAGAATGTGATCACGCTGCCATCAGCCATAGAGATGAAGAGGGTAGGCGGGCTGTCAGCGAGCACGCTGGCTACAAGAACTGACCGAGGGAATGCCTCGCCTGTCTCCCCCAATGATTTAGTCTGAAGCTCAGATAAGTTGTTGACGTCAATAATAGAGATCTTGGCTGATTGAGGGAATCCGACAATGCAGACTCCCGAAGGGCTAGACGGAACTGTCACACCCGAGATTTGCTGGTCCACGCCGAGATCCTTTTCGATGATAAGCTGGGCATTATTTTGGATATCAAAGGAGGCCAGGATCTGACCTCCAGTGACAAGGACCAGGTGGTCATTGCTTGCAGAAGCTGCCGTGATGGCTTTCTGTGTCGGTGATGTCCATTCAAAGGTGACCATGCCACTCTCTAGGTCAGCCACCAGGGCTCGCTTCTCTGTCACTTGTAGAATCCGGCCCCCGGGCAAGTTGGCGGCAAGGAGTGTGCTCTCGTCAAGAGTGAGACCCAAGAAGCTTTCCAGCTCTTCGACTTCTCCGTCAGCACTGAAGCGGAACACGCGTGTCTCGTCAACAAACGTGACTAAAAGTGTGTCCAAGATTTCTCCACTGGTCTGGGCCTGCAGTCCCCAAAGGTCTGTGATGTGATCCATTTCTCCCAGGACACCCAGCTCCTCCATACCCACACCACTTCGCACACTTCGCAGGGTGCCATCATCGAAAGCTCCAGAGCCGGTCACGATGCGAGCTTGCCCAGATGAGAATTCATGAGTTTGACTCTCACTAGTGCGGTTCCCTAGGTCCATCACCGTAAAGTCCAGGATGGGAGCAATATTGGATAGCGTCTGAATGGTCTCAAAACCTCCACTGCCGATCCGGAGAACCTGGGAATCGCCTTGGTGCGATCCAACAAACAAAACTCCACCGCCCAGGTAAACAAGGACGGTTGCTCGAGATGTGGTTCCAAGGTAATCCAGCTTCCAGTCTTCGACGTCGCCGCGACTATCTAGGATAAACATCAAGAAAAAGAGTCTGCCGTAGTCGTCGGCCAACAGCCACCGTTGGCTATCAACCTTCTCCCATGCCACAAAGACAGTGGCCTCGTCAAGATCGCGAGAAATCACATCGTTTGCATTATCATCGATGTATTTAATTGAAGTTTCTCCAAGGACAATCAGTCCTCCTATAATAGCCCATTAGTTCATGCACGCTGGCCAAGCCCGTTATGATCACCACAATAAGACATACCTAATGGAGCTGGAATAGGGATCAAATGTGAAGAACCCATATCAAGCTCGTGTCCAAATACTCCACCATCCAGCTTCTTGTCCTGCACCTGGTTGAAACTCGCGTCTGCGGGCCCACTCGACGTCGCCCGACTAAACTCCAGTTCCCGAATGCGCAGTCGAACCTTCTTCCGATTATCCTCATACAAAATAGCCAGCCACGGCTGATTCGATGCGGAATGCAAGAATGCAGACGACCGAACGAACAATTCGTCAATCCGCGACGAAGTAGGCTCACCAAGCTCGCCCACCTGCGGCGCATCAGGTTGCGACGCAGCTTGTGAAACACGGCCTTTGCGCTTCGTTAACTCAACGATCGGGATCACAACCACCACACCCTCGTATATCTCCAGTGTCATGAAGCGCCCAGTGGGGTCAAGAAGACAACGCGGGTTCGATTCAGATTCGCGAGCCGAGGGCTCAGAAATGTCAACATAGCTGCGGGCGGTTTTGATTTCATTTTTCTCGTGGTCCCATACTAGCGTAAAATACTTATATTGGTCTGTGCCGACGAAAAGGTGGTCGGTTCGTGAATTTGCTGGTGCTGGGAGGCGAGCGAGCATTGTTACCTGCGCGTAGATCGCGCGGGTGGCTGCGAGCGTCAGGCCATCTGGTGTGAGGGTGTAGAATTCAAGTCGATTCGCTTTGCTGTGTCATTTCCGAAATACATTAGCCTTCTTGTCATGGGTTTGCTGGGAACAGCGTGCTAAACTGCGCATGCGTTGTGGTCCCCGCATGGACCAAAACCCAATATCCTCATCGGTGGGCAAATAGCAACAGTAGCACTCACGCAGCAACTAGGCAGTCCTCCTCCGGGTTGATAAAGTTCAGCTTCACCGCATGGCGAATGCCACTTGCGCGGTGGATGGGCACCACGTAGGCCATGGTCTCTATCCTGCGATCCTCGGTAGGTTAATTCGTGCTAGGGCAGCTCTATCGCCGGGCCAGTGCGGGGGATTTAGGGCCACCGGAAAAGAAGCTGGGCAAGTCCGGTGAGATCTGAAAGCAAATCAAGGCTGGGAATCCAGATGGCGCATTTCTTTAATTTGGAGGCCAAAGGATTGGGAGCTGTGGTGAAGTTGATGTTCTTTGCCGGGCGGTCCCACGATTAAGTCCGCGCTTACAGCCGAAAACAGGATGTATTAGACCATAGATGATATGATAGACACATGGGTTCAACATTCATTAACAGAAGGATCATGATAAATAACATTCATGGATTCCATTATCTCTCTAGAACTGGGACCTACAGATTGCCTTTTCCTATTAGCTATTTTCTATTTCAACCAATACGTCACAACAAGACCTGACGACCATTTATCTCCACGTGACCTATGAAATCCGCATTCTATACAGTTGGAACTACTTGAGTTCTATCCTTGTAATGGCATGGAAGTATATTATTTGTCCAAGTAGAAAGCAACAGGTCTTTTTGACATCAATTTCATAGATTCTCAGAGTCTATTTGTCCTAGTAAATGTCAATCCAATCTACATAATCACCAATTCACCCCGCATAAGGCAGTGCTCCCACGCAACAAAACGACCAGGGAGAAAAGAACGAGAAAGGAACCCAGAAAGGCCAAATGCGAGGCATAAGTAAAGTACAAAGCTCGCCGACATGACGTAAGGCTATTCAAGAAAAAAGGTCGTGAATATATATGCTGATTCATCTAGAATGTGAAGAGGAATTTGGTGGGAACAACCAAATGAAATAGAAAATAGCAAGTTCATCAATCATGACCACACATCCTCCTGGTAGCTGCCGCTACTACGCATGTGCTTGACCATCTCCTCACCCTTCTCGGCGGGATAACCACGCTGCTCAGCAATGATGTGACCAAGAACCAAGTTGACCTCCCGGGCCATGTTGGCGGCATCACCACAGACGTAGAAGTTGGCCTTTTGCTTGAGAAGCTCGCTCACAAGCGGGGCGTTCTCCTTGAGGCGGTGCTGGACGTAAACCTTCTGGGAACCCTCACGAGAGAAAGCAGTGATGATCTTCAACTTGTCACCGAGCTGATCTTGGTAAGTCTAATAGGAGGAAAGTTAGCATGTTTGATATTAAAAGCCGAATAGGCTCCGTATCATACCTTGAATTCATCCTGGTAGATGAAGTCCTCATCCTGCTTACGGCATCCGAAGAACAGAACAGTGGTGCCGACATTCTCGCCCTTGGCGGCCAGAGCAGCACGTTCCTGAATGAAACCGCGGAAAGGAGCCACACCGGTACCGGGACCAACCATGATAATCGGCTTCGAAGGATCGGAAGGAAGCTTGAAGTTGGAGTGGCGCACGTGAACCGGCACGTGGATACCGTCGTACTTGTTGCGAGGACCAGAGATCGAGTAAGTCAGACCGTGGGGATCGGGAGATGGGTCGCCATTCTGCTTCTGCTTGAGAGCCAGGAGGTAGTTGGTGGTCACACCCTTCACCATGTGCGAGGCACCAGGCAGGCGAACGGACTCGACGACAGCGGTGATGCTGATCTTGTCCTTTTGAACCAGAGAAGAGGAAGAGATGGAGTAGTACCGGGGCTGAAGCTTGTTGAGACCTTCAATAAGCAGAGAGAATGGGACGGCGGAGAAAGTCTGCGAGGTGATGCTCTGGAGAGCCTGAGCGATATTGAAGCACTGGCTGGTGATCTTCTCGTGGAAGTAATCTTTGTCACTACCCAGACGAACAATTTCGGCCTTGCTAGCCTCATCGGGGGCGAACGCAGCGAGCGAAGAGACAAATTGGCGAGAGACGGGGGCGCAAGCTTCCATGTAGTAACGAACAGCAGCATCGTAGGTGGTTGGGGTTGGGATGGGAACCTTAGCAGTGACATCGATGCCCTTGATGCTGATAACCGTGTGGCGCTTGTTCTCAAGACCAAAGACCTGGAGGAACCGATCAACCTCAGCACCAGCATTGGTTGGCCAAATCGCGATGTGATCACCAGTCTGGTAGCTCAGGTTGCTATCAGAAATGTCGATTTCCATGTGCAGACAGTTGCGGTCCTTGACAGTGAACAGTTCACGGGATTCGCCAATTGGGGCGATGTACGGGTTGTGAGCGGAGTACGGGCCCTTGGCGCGACCCTCACGGTGGGCGGTGGTGGGCTCTCCCAGGTACACAGAGTCATCCTCGGGAGTCTTCTCCTCATCCTCAGACACACAGAAGACCGGTTCGTAGACAGATTCACGCTCCTGGAGACCCAATGACTCGGACAGAGCAGCCCACATGGGCTCCTTCCAGGCGAGGAAGTCCTCCTCCATAGTTCCGGCACCGTCATCACCTTCACCAGCAGCTCCAATGCGCTGGGCACCGAGCTTGGTCAGAGCAGCATCGACATGGCGGACCATCGAGTTGTAGTGTTCGTAAGTGTTGTTACCGAGACCGAAAGCGACATACTTAAGAGAGGACAGCGGCGAGTCATCCGCAGCGGCGCCGCTCTCAAAAGCAACATCCTCCGAGGTAAGGAACTGGTAGAACTCCACGGCATTGTCCGTCGGCTCGCCCTCACCGTAAGTGGCCAGAACGAAGAAGGCCACCTTGTCGTCGGGGAATTTGTCCAGGTTCTCGTAGTCGTAATCCTCAATATCGGCCACCATAGTCTTGAGACCAAAGCGCTGGGAGCCCTCCTTGGCCAGACGGGAAGCGTAGTCCTCAGCGGTACCAGTTTGCGAGCCATAGAAGATCACACAGTTCTTGCCCGTCTCATCCATCTTCTCGATGATGTCGCGGGTCTTGCCGCTCTTCGCGCCACCATTCAGGGAGGCTCCGGAGGAGGCATAGGGATCCTTAGGGACAGCCCAGTAGGTGCCCTTGGTGAAGTAGGCGACGCTACCCACCAAGAGAACCACCAGGACCGCCAAATCGAGGGTGTCGAGTTGCGCCATTGCGATCGGATGTAGGGGGAGGGGGGAGGTCCGTGTAGAGAATTCCCTGGCAATAAAGCGGGAAAACCCTCAATAGAAAGGAAAGCAGAAAACAAGGCCAATCGTAGGCTAGGACTGAGTCAGTGCCCTCTAACTACACACTTTTCTTGACCTGGTTATAATCAAAAGAACGGAAAACCCCTATTGTTCAGGGAAGAGAAGAGGCGAAGTGGTCTGACCACCGGGTTCGGTCCAAAAAGTGGATCGCTTGGTGCCTCACCGACTAATGTTGTGCAGAGTCGGAGTGAAGACAAGGGCTTATCTGATCGATCAAAGGGCAGACAACTAAAGGAATAGGAAATAGGAAAGAATGGAGAAGTAAAAACGGGGTAGACCAAGAATTATAATGAAGATCTTCAAATACAGATTAACCTTCCTCGGCTAGGGGCCATTTATATAATGCTGGGGGGCCAAATGCCATGATCGGAAAGGGAATTCGGCCCTTTGAAGTAAAGATTCAAGCGTCATACCACATTAGTTACCACATTTGGTGCATTAATTGGGGGGACCAGTATAAATCGTAGTCACCCTCGGGTATGCGCCCGTTCGGTAAGACGATGCGGGAGATCCTCTCCGCATGTGGGACAAAGGCCTTCTCTCACATTCTGTGGCAACGATGGAACTTTGGTACGTTCCGGCACGAGAAGCCTTTCGGAAACAACTTAGGCAACTTCCCACGCTTCCGCGTTTTCCTGTGAACTGTTTGACCCATTGCATAGTGCGGCCGGATTCCGCAGTTGTGCGGCTTTCATAGTGACTTCTCCGAAGGCCTATTAAAGGGCTTGCTGCTCTTCCCAGGGCTTTCTAACCCAGAAATTCTTAAATGGGGGAAATTCTTTATATGTGGGGGCTATAGAGTGACTATACCCCTAGTATCTGCATAGTCTACAAACGACTCGATATTGCCCGATTCAAGGTTAAGCTGTTTCCCCGGTATCGATTCATTTCTATTTGTCCATATTTAGCTCGAAAGTTATTCTGGAATTGCCAGTGCTTCAGTCCAACTTACTTCAACCCCACATCTGCAGAGTCTATAAGCCGAGATGGCAGATGTGCACCTGCAGTTCTCTGTACATAAGCATGCGATGGACCATCGACATATAGTCCGTCCGAGATCCGACAAATGCCGGAGATCGCTAGAGACTTTGATGACTGCCCGCTTCTTAAATCAATCAAATAAGATTTGACCTATGTTTGATAGTGTCCAATCAATCCACCTAATATTTAAACGTTCCTTCCACTAGCTGGAGGAACGGCACTTCGTGGAAGACATGTCCCTTGTCCCCACAAAGACGTTGCGCGGTTTCATGTCTACCTGAGCACACGACTCCACGAGTTCCCCTGGATCGGGACGTTTCAGCTTTTGTTAAATACGATCGATGCTTGAATAGTCTACGACGATGTATCCACTGAAACGGCATTTCCAGGTTTTCTGTGCCTTGTTCCTGGTTCCTACAGCATGGCCGCATGAACATTTGCCACTATACTTTAAGTACGGGACTTTGATTCGCTGCCTTATCGTTTAGATTGGAATAGAATTGAGAGGACATCAAGGCCTAAAATTCCTAGTGTAAGTCTAGACTACGATGTTAATGAAAAACTGAAGCTTGTTTAGATGAAACATATCTTATAGATCAGATTCCAAGTGCCGTGACTGACAAAGAGGTGTTATTGCGCCCAACGCGATTGGGCGTACAAAATGTCCCGAGTTGAGAAAAAAAACGTACAGTTGCTTGCAGGAACTTGGCACATTTCTTTGATTCGAATGAGAACATAGTAGTAAATAAAATCCATACCCCCTTTTCTAAATATAAAAGACCGTGTTGAAGGGAGCAAAAAGCGGTTCCCCGGGCGCGAATAAACATCTAAAAAGCTCTCGCTATCCGCGCTTCTCCAGACCTTCAACCAACCACCCTCAATAGACCGCCCATCCCCCGAATGGATTGAGCCGCCATGAACTGTGACTGGCTCACTGCTGACACTCTTGACACGGCCGCCTGCATGAGATTCAACCAGGCAATGAGTCGTTAACTTGTACCAGTAAGCTGTGTCCGCTGCAGTGCCATCCCGCCTCGCAGTCCCTTGCGACCCTGTCATTCCTTCTCCCTCCCTGGTCAAACAGGACTAAAGGTACCGGGCCCTTTTGCTAACTGCTGGTCTTCCTGGTGACAGTGGCATCCCATCCGGCCAAAGCTGCTGGCCCCGGCCAGCAACCAATGCTGCCCCTCATCCCTGACGACCTCAAATCTGCGCCGCACCATACCCTCCCATCCGCGACAGAGTGGCGAGGGACGAGAACAGCCCAATCTACCCCAATGCACAGTCGTGAGTCGTCTGCGGTCCGTGGCAGAGCGACCGACCCTTCCGCGCTAGCCCCGACCTTACAAGCCCGCCGCGGCCATTCGGGCTCCAAAAGCCCCGACGTGTCAGCCGGTCGACCTGCAGGATATGACGCAGGATTGGAAAGACGGCCGTCGAACTCGTACGGTCATCACCGGCAGACCTCAATAGTCCATGGCATGCAACATTCACGGAATCCGAGCATGGCGGGTTCGACCGCTTCCAGTCCACTGAGCCCGGAGCTCATCGCGTCCCTCGGTCGTGGTGCACCTGACGATGCCGCCGTTTTGCCTTCAAAGCTCGATCAGCTGGACACCCATTCGAACCACCAAAGCCCGGCGGGGGCGTCGTCGACTTATGGACCGCCGGGGACATTGAGCACTATTCAGGATACCGACGCTGATGAAAGGATGGATGGCAGTCCCGCAAGCCTTGTGCATAAACGGATGAATTCGGGAGGGAAATCAAGACGGGATCGGTCTCATAGTCGTTCGCATTCGAAGCATCATTCCGAATCCAAGACGGTGGGCGAGTATGCACTACACCATCTATTCAACTCGGTAAGACAAGTGCCGTCCCAGATGGTGAAGACTGATGTACGATGTGGTTGCTGACGAGAAGCAAAGTTTGTTGGTCAAGCCGACAGTAAGATTAACCAGGCAATATTAAAGCTTGGAGATTCGGAAGCTCCCGTGGAGGAGGTTTGCGGACCTGGAGCGGACCCGAATTTCGATCAATTGATTTCAGCGCTGGGACATATCGCAAGACTGAAACCAAAGCCTTTGATTGATACAATCATGCTATGGCGAAAAGGGAAGGGAGATGCGGCTATCACTGCAAGGCAAATGACAAACGAGCTGGTAAGCAAACCCCGGCCTGGGTGGTATGTCTTCTGCGCAAGAATAAGACTCACTAACATGGAAATTTTTGTTAAGCCAAAGCCTGTGATAACAGAGAATGGGGTGCTCATGCGCCGTAATACGGAACCGACCCAGCCAGCCATCGACTCAACTGCTCCTTCAGAAAAGCTACAGCCGTCTACGCCTTTCCTTGGCCGCCATGACGACGTTGCGCTGGTCGAACGTCGTGCCACTGTCTCGGTATACTTGGTGTGCAGAGTACTAATTGAGATCTTCAATCAGAGTAGCTTGGCGTCAATCACGGTTGATATGGCAGATCGCCTGGAAGACATAGTTTTTGGTCAGCTCAAAACAGTCGATCCTGACCAGATCTCCGCATCCCCTCTGCGGATGGCAAATTGGCGGATATATGGCCAATTGCTGGGGATAATGAGCGATGTGAACTTTACTAGCGTTGCGAATCGCTTCCTGGTGGAGCTGGATCGGTATCAAAAGGAAGAAGCAAGTCGAGGCCCATCGCGCGAGGGCGATGCAAAATCCGAGTTGCTCATTCTGGGAATGAGATATCTGCGCCTGCCGATGGCCACGGACAGCTGGACCAAGGCCTGTGATTTCATGCGGTCACTGGCACGCTTGTTTGTGAATGCCCATGGGCAAAAGATAAAGCAAGCATATTGTTATGTGATTGAGAAACTACTGCTGCCTGTGGCGGCCAACCCGGTCTGTGACCTCTCGCTGCCTCGGTGGAAGGAATTTGTGGATTTGGTCCAGTCTCGCTTGACGCAGCTCCTTACCAAACCTCGCCATTGGAGTGCTGCATTCTCTCTGAACGTGCTGTTGCTTTGCATATCCAATAAGGAAACTTTTTCTTCGCAGTGGCTTTCGATGATATCCAGTTTGCCCCCAAGGCTCAAGGATCGTCCCACTCGCGCTCCGGCTCTACAGGCTATATGTCGTCTGGTTTGGACATATTTCTTCCGTTATTCTGACTCCCCTACCACAACTCTCAAGAAAGTTGAGGAAGTAGTCAAAATTGCGCTGCCAACAGGACGGAGGACTTACCTCACTGCTGAACCAGCCATTGCCGACCCGTTAATCCAACTGATTCGTATGATTGGATTCAAACATCCTGACGTGTGTTTCCGGACAATCATATTCCCTCTGATCAACTCTGACCTGTTCTTGTCGGGCCGAGACCTGAAGATTGAACAAATGGAGCCAGAGAAGATGGTAATTGGAATTCGGGCTTTCCTTGCGACGATGTCAGATCTAGAAACAAGTGACCAGCTCTGCCCTCCGTTCCCAACAGGCTCTCTTCCTAATCCTTTCCTGGATGCATCTAGCCCAATCTACTTCCATCGTCCACAGCTGCTTGCTGAACCCAAGTTTGGCGTGGTCTCTGAGAAGTCGGACCCGTCTGCCTCTTGTCCGGTCAATATATCGAGGCTTAGTGATAATGTCAAGGAATACTACCTCCGCTTCTGCGAGGTTCTTGGCAAGATTACTATTCTTTGTGACAACACATTCGGTGGCCAGGCAGTTTTAGACGAGAAATTCGGTGGAACGACGCCGAAGACTCCCATTACCGAGGCATTTGGCTTTGGGCGTCGTGACGACCATATAAACACCCTGGATCAGAAACAAGGATTTTATGATCTTCTCCATGTGGCAGTCCAAGCTTTACCTCGTTGTCTCTCAGACCATATACCGTTCAACTCCTTGATTAACCTTCTCTGCACCGGAACTGCTCATGTCCAGTCGAATATTGCTAGATCGTCGGCAGATTCGTTGAAGGCTATTGCCCGACAATTGCATGCTCAGCAAGTAACCATTGGGTTCGCAAGGTTTATTTTTAATTTTGATGCCCGATATTCTACCATGTCTGACGAAGGAATGCTGGGGCCCGGCCACATTGAATCCACACTACGGCTATACGTTGAGCTTCTGCAAATTTGGATTGATGAAATCAAGCAGAAAACCAAGGAAGCATCCTCGGATCAGCTTGAAAAGTCCATTTCGGGTAGTCGAGCCCTGCATCTTGATCTATCAAGTGTTCTTGCCCATGTGGAGGAAATCGAGTCTCACGGGCTTTTCTTTCTCTGTTCACAATCACGACGGGTCCGCGCATTTGCTATCAACGTTCTGCGTCTCATCACCGAGTTCGATAGAGCTCTCGGTAAAGAAAACACGCGAATAATCAGAATTCTGGAGGCCGATTCTCAGCAGATCTTGGACGTCAACGACGAGCAGCTCACTGTTGCTGAGAGGAGCCGGATTCAAAAAGGCAAGAGGAGAAGTGCTTCGCAAAATACGCTCATTGAGCTGTGTAGCAGCGAGGTCTCATACGACTCCACGCTGTGGGCTAAAGTTTTCCCGAATATCATCCGGGTCAGCTTCGAGACATGTCCGTTTGCCGTGACACTGGGAAGAGAGATTGTCTGTGCACGCCTGGTTCAGATGCACAAGCTTATCTCGTCGCTTGCTGAAAGTACGAGGGTCACTCAATACTCCCCAGTGGATATCTACCAGAGTCGTCCCATGGGACGAAGCAATATGACAGCTGAGATCCTGGTGGAGCAATGGAAGCTTTATCTTGTCATGGCCTGCACAACGGTCACCAGTGTGGGTGCTCAATCTCAGAGTCAGTTGGCGAATGCCCAACTGCATGCTCGTAAGACATCCAAGGGAGCACAAGCACAATCCCAGGATAAGATCAGTTCTGCACGGAGCCTCTTTGCATTTGTGATCCCACTTCTATCGGCTGAAAGGGACTCAATTCGGGCTGCTATCGTGGTTGCGCTCGGGTCTATCGCCAAGAATCTCTACCGGACCCTGCTGGAGTCTCTCCAGTATGCTGTGACAACATGCAACGAAGAGGCCAAGATTCGAATTGGTACCCATCATCGTACGCCAAGCAGCCCCCGTCGAAATCGTAAGACGGACCGCCTCCGTACCGAAGTAACTAACGTATATAAACTCACCTCCCACTTCCTTCGTGAGCCCGATGTTTGTAACGACGACTGGATTGTCAACAACCTGATCACGTATGCGAAGGATCTCCGAATTTTCCTGAGTGATGCCGAGGTTCAAAATGACTGGGAGTTCCAGCGTCTGCGATTTCATTACTGTGGTTTGATGGAGGAGCTATTCGAAGGCGTCAACCGAACCAAAGACCCCTCTCGCTGGATGCCTTTTGAGTCTAGGAAATCTGCTTTCTCACTCATGGAAGACTGGTGTGGCTATTCTCCCAACCAGGCCCAGATTACTGAACGAGAAGATAACATGCGCAAATTTGCCATGGCTCAACCGCATGACGGTGGTGAGATGCGGAATACCGCTGCTGCCATGGAGATCGAGAAGAAGAACCTCCGAGCAGCGGCTCTGAGTGCAATGGCTTCTCTCTGTGCGGGCCCAATTAGCATCACCACTGAAAGTGGATCTGTGCTTCAATTCGATGTCGGCCGCATGCTCTCCTGGATTGATATAATTTTCAACACCATTAGTGATAAGTGGCATTCAATCGGCCGTCGTGCCTTGAAGAATCTGATCATTCACAACAAGGAGCATGCCTATTTGATTGAACGATCTATAGAGATGTGCTATGTGGCCGAGCGACCAAAGGCCCTTGAAAGCTATTTTGAGGTTGTGACTGAAGTCCTGATTGAGCACCCTGACTACCCGCTTCGATTTTGGAGAATCCTAGGTGCGGTTCTCGTAACCCTAGGCAATGAGAAGCGCGAAATCCGAATGAAATCGGCCAAGCTACTCCGCCGACTTGAAGAGCGTCACCAGAAAAACTCGCGTATCCAAGACTTTGATATCAGCATCTCGGATAAAACCACAGCGGTATATAAGCTCGCTCAGTTTGAGACTTCGAAACGACTAGCGGTCCAGCACTCCGATCTGGCTTTCACTTTGTTCTCAGAGTTTACTCAGCACTTCCGCAACCTTCGCGCTGACAGTCAACGCAATATGGTTGCTGCGATCTTGCCATGGGTTCAGACTATGGAGCTGCAGGTGGATCCCAACGGTGGTCCGACCGCAAGGTCTTACATGCTCCTTGCCAATCTCTTCGAAATCACTATCCGCTGCAGCACTATCCTACCAAACCAGGTCCAGGCATTATGGCAGGCGCTAGCAACTGGCCCGCATGGAGGCAATGTTCAACTTGTTCTTGACTTTATCATCAGTCTCTGCCTGGAGCGAAAAGAGCAAAACTTTGTGGATTACGCTAAACAGATTGTTGTCTTCCTGGCAGGAACTCCTGCCGGTTCAAAGGTCATTGAATTTTTCATGCTGCAGGTCGTCCCTAAAAACATGGTACAGGAACGAAAGGATCTCACGCCGCCGCCTCCTGACCTAGCCAGCTTGCCCTACGTTGCTGATCTAGCATCAGTACTCCCTGTGGGGAACAAACAAGCCGGTCTCTCACTTGGACAAGTGGCCCTTATTTTCCTTGTTGATCTTATGGTGGCGCCCGTCACCCTGGCGATGGCAGACGTGGTCAAACTTCTCCACGTGGTACTTATTCTTTGGGATCACTACACTGTGACTGTGCAAGAGCAAGCTCGTGAAATGCTAGTCCATCTAATCCATGAGCTCATTGCCGCCAAGCTAGAGGACGATGCACCTGCAGGCGCTCGGCAGTCGATCGAAGATTTTGTCGAGGCAATTCGCAAGAGTGACCCAGTCGTTGTGTGGGAGTACGAGGAGAACAATGGCAAAGACGAAGAAGTCGATGATCGCCGGGTACCGCCTTCGATGGCTGCTGCTACTCGAGATGTGATTAAGTTCTTCAGTTACGCTTACGAGGGCGTTGGTGAACTTTGGGCTAAGGAGGCGCTGAACTGGGCAACCTCCTGCCCTGTTCGACATTTGGCATGTCGGTCATTCCAAATTTTCCGTTGCATTTCGACATCGTTAGATTCACAAATGCTAGCGGACATGCTAGCCCGGCTTTCGAATACTATTGCAGATGAAGAAACCGATTACCAGACCTTCTCTATGGAGATTCTCACTACGTTGAAGATCATCATCAGCTCTCTGGCCCCGGCAGATATTTTGCACTACCCCCAACTTTTCTGGACCACATGTGCTTGTCTGAATACCATTCATGAGAGTGAATTTATTGAGACACTTGGCATGTTGGAAAAGTTCCTGGACCCCGTGGATCTCAGTGACCCTGCTGTGGTGGAACAGCTTCTCGAGGGACAACCGCCTAAGTGGGAGGGTGGATTTGATGGTCTTCAGGACCTAGTCTTCAAAGGACTCAAATCCTCCAAGTCATTCAACCGTACGTTGGATGTACTCCATCGCCTTAGCGGGCTTCCAAACAACGCCCTTATCGGAGATGGAACTCGGCAGCTATTCACGGTGCTAGCTAATTTACCTTCCTTCCTCGAGTGCTTTGACCAGGAGTTTTCTGATCCAAAGCCCATCGCGCATGCCAGCTTACTTGCTCGTGTGGCGGAGAATGAAGGATGTCCCCGACTCGCAGCGTCGTTGTTCGGTTTCGCCAACCAGCAATACAAGACTGAGGCTGTTTTTCTCGATCATATAGTAACGGAGATCAAGTCCTACTACTTTCCACAGCTCGACTTCCAATGCCTTATCTTCCTTATGGGCCTCCTCACGAACACAACGGATTGGTTCCGAGTCAAGACCATGAAAATTCTTTGTGTCATGATCCCTGAGGTCGATATGCGCCGCAGCGAAGTCACTTGTCATGGCCCCGATCTGATTTCGCCTCTGTTGCGACTTCTGCAGACCAACTTATGTCCACAGGCCCTTGAGGTATTGGATAACATCATAACAGTCTCTGGTAATCCGATGGAGCGTCATCACCTCCGTATGAGTATGGCATCTGCGGCTTCGTCGCGTGCTATACGCAAGGAGTACGAACGGATCCAAAGTCTGTATGGAATTCCCGAACCCACAGGCTGGTCAGTCCCTATGCCTGCAACACAGTCAACTATTACTCGCAACAACGTTCACGCTGTCTTCTACACCTGTGCCGAGGCTGAGGATATGAACCGTCGGGACACCTTGACACCCGATGTGGAATTCCGTGCCGATGAATACAGTGACTCATACTTCCCCATGAGAGCCGATACAATGAAATCGATCGACACCCAGACCGACGGCAACATTGGTGATATCGTCCAAAAACTGGACAGCTTGGATGACTTCTTTGAAGAAACAGAGATCAACGTTCCGACACTCAACGCGGTGGCTCCGCCAATGCTTCGAGGATTCACTGGTAGCTACGTGGATACCAACGCCCACTTGTATGACCAGCAAACAGCACCTATCCTGCGCAAATCCCTCGCTCGGACAGGCTCTACATCCTCATTTCACAACGGTCTTGCAGAATCTCACCCGTCCAAGTTCCGCTTTGATGCTCCTGGAATGCCCTCTCCAGTCAGCGTTACCTCTCAAACCACCTCTGGCTCAGGCCTTCGACCCGCTTCCCATACACGGTCTGTCACATCGCCCGCCAACAACCTCTTCGTCCACACTGCACCGGGCTCTCACGGTACCCACCCAGTGGGCTTCGGTGAATCAGCCTTCCTCTCCGATGACGACATTGAAGAGACACAATCGGATGTGGACGACCGCCCAACGACCGCCAGAAGAGCCCATCCCCCAATGCCACCAATGGTCCGCAGCGCAACAGAGGGAGGGGGCTCACATTCCATCGAGTCCATGATCCGAAGCGGCATGCGACGACTGACCGGTGGCGCAGCCAACAACCGCGAAAAAGAACGGCAACGCGATCTCCTTCGCGCCCAACACCGTGCCATGGTCCAGACAGCCAACTCTCCTCGTGTCCCCAAAGTACCGGAAGAGTATCTTGCCGGCCCGACTAGCCACCCCACGTCTCCGAGGTAGACGTGTGGACTATAACCTCTTTGATTTGTTCTCTGTCTTCTATTGCGCAATCTTTTTTTTTTCTTCATCTCTGCTTTATTCCCCAGCCTGACTCATCATTTCGAGGGCGTTTGGATTTGTCCACATATATCATACCCTCTTGCCTATTTCTGCATGCCTTTGGGTACTCACTCTTTGCTCGTGGTACTTGATCTATCTGTATATTATTTCTCTATCAATTATGTTGGTAGATGTGTTTTGATCACTGGCGTTTGATATTCACGAGGAATAAGATACAGGATATCCATTCTTTTCACGCCTGAGTTTGGCCGCATCTCCATGAAGATCATTAAGATCATATAAACGGTGGGCAGCACTCGATGCCCAGGAGGCGAATTCTATGAAATTTTCAAATTTTGTTAGCTCAAATCCGCTGCAGTAACCTGTAGGCCCAAAAGACCGCAAATTTCGGTTCTGATGTACTTAGAGGGTTTCACTACTCTGGGATTGACTGACTGAAATACGAGAAATAAGATACGAGTGGAAGTACTTTTTGATTTTGAACGATTCAGCACGCAAATAATCACAACACGTTGCGATGCAAATGTCGTCGCCCGCAGGTAATTTTCCGCTTATTTGCGCGCCGAAACAATGCCTAGTAGTGTGCAGGGTAGAAGAATGGACCCCACCGTAACCTACAGCCCCCGCGTCTACAGTTTTACGTCATACGAATTTCGTGAAAAACTACTATTTCTCATGTAAAGGCCGAGCTTGAACTTGCTAGTTTTCTCGGAACCGCTCTACCAAGGCCCCGGTGCCTTACTTGAACAAAGAGCTACCACGACTCCCGAAATATTCTCGATGGCGGGAATGGCAGTGTCAAGTCTTCCACTAGCCCTCTGTCAGGGAAGTACGTCCACAACAGATTGAAAGCGCTATATTATGGGCCTGATGTTGTTAAATTTTACTTGCTGTCATGTCTACCTGCCGAGACATCGAAGGCTTTCATTACCATGGGCAACTCCCTCGCAAAAAAAACGCCTCTCATCAAAGGGCTGGAATCGCTATTGTCCCCCAAGCACCATGCTGGCACCTACAGTGGAATCACAGAGCATTCCCCTCAAGCTCAGGTCGAGGAAGCCGCCTCTCGATTGCAACAGGATACATTCATCGACACGATCATCAGTGTAGGCGGTGGCTCACCGATGGATAGTGCCAAGAACATCACATGTCGTACACGAATCCACAGGACGATGGCTATCGCACATCACAATCCCGACAACATTGTCAGCAGGCGAATGTACACCAGGCGCGGGATTTACACGGGCAGACGGCATTAAAGGCATCCTTATCAACCCTGCACTCTATCCAGACTACATCATCTACGATTCGAAATTCGGTCTGTACACCCCTCCGCGCCTATTTCTCTCAACGGGGATACGGGCTTTGGATCATGTGGTGAAAAGCTAGTATCACCAGTCTGTGACATACGTCCCATCCAGAATTATGGCTCTGAATGCAATCACCGAGCTTTTCCGACTACTCCCGAAATACAGAGCAAATCCCAAAGAGAAGATACCATTCCCGCACTGTTCCTAGCTGCGTATGCTTCTCTAGGATTCTTTGGACAGGATATGGGTGGGGGACTGGGGCTTTCTCATCGACTGGGATATGCGCTAGGTTCACCGTATGGAATTCCTCATGGGATTACTTCATGCATGACACTTGGATCTGTGGTCAAGCTGCAGGCGAGACAGGACAAAAAAAGCGCGGAATCCATTGCGGCTATACTGCCATACATCTCTGAGAAACAATCGGGAAATGATTTGGAAGATAGTGAATTTGTGGGAGATCGGATTTTGCAGCTTGTGCAGGATACTGGGCTTAAGTCTGATCTGACTACTGAGAATGTTGGCAAAGACCTGGTAGATATTATTTGTGCTCGTGCAACTAGACTGGAGGCGGGAGGGACATCTACTGAGGAACGGCGGTTTTGGAATTCTGTAAGAGAGCTGATTGAGAGTCTTTGGTGAATACTGCTAGTGAGAATATACGTCATTGCTTCATGGGCTGTACAAGGAAGCGGCGGAGCCTTGCGACTTATCCAGGTATTAATATAACATATGTAGTTCTTGTGGTATTGGTAATCCTAGTCTGACCTTATCCTTCCACTGATATCTGTAAGTGGATTGAGCAGGGACGGCCTTACCCCTATTACTAGCATAGAGAAATACCAGTCGACTTATGTATTCCCTAGTCTCCTAGTATACACACCTGCTAAGTAATGATTCTTCATAGACTCGGCTTTCGTGGACTAAAGTGGTTATTAACCACAAGGCTATATATCCGTGACCACGAATGCATAGCCTTGTACTAAGCCCGGGAATCTACGAGTTCACCATCACTAACTTCTCTCTCACTAAATCTACTATCATCCCGTCCACCCCGTCCACCCCAATCACCATGAGTCTTCGAATCCCAAGATCCTCAAATCCTTGAATCCTCGAAGCTCTTGAATACTCGAAGCTCTTGAAATCCTTAAATTTTTAAAATCCCCGACTACTCTAAGTCTACAACACTAATCACTCCCTCTACCCCGATCACCCTGATTACTCCGAGTCCCTAAATCCTCGAATCCTCGAGGTGCTCATGGTGACTGGGGCGGGGGTGAGTAGCCTACCCAGTTGAATTACGGAGGACCGTAGCTTCAAGTAATTCGTAGTATAAGTAGAAAAGATAAGATCAATCCACAACCACGGTTACCCACGTGACCCCACCGTAGGACCCGCTTCCCCGCATACTAGTATGATCGGCCCAGAATTCACGACGCGGAAAGCGTCGGCGTGCGGAGAATGACCAGCCGAGGCCTTGATTCCTCCTACTACCGTCAAACTTTTATAGCTGAATATAATTTTTCAACCCGCTCCCAGTAAATTTTCTGCATCTACCTCGCCAGCTTGTCTACCTGAACCATGCATATTCAACTGGCTTCTATCCTTCGATCTAGCTCGCGCACGGTCGGGACCCGTCGCTGGCCGCCTACCAGCCAGTTCAGCTCGGCCCGAACGTTCTCAACCACGCAACACCGTGATGCAACATGGGGCTTCATTGGTTTAGGACAGATGGGTATGTAGAAGCTCACTAGAAAGCTCATTCTGAAGAGGCTGTCAACTTAATGTGTACTAGGCTATAACATGGCCAAGAATCTACGCGCCAAGATCCCCGCATCTGATACCTTGATTATTCGAGACGTTAATGAAGCAGCCGCTGAGCGCTTTGTAACGGAAGCAGAGGATACAGCACGGAGCAGCGGAGCCGGCGCCGATGAGTACCGAGTGGAGATTGCTACGACGGCGCGTGAAATCGCGGAGAAATCGGTGAGTGATACTTGAGAAAAGTGGGCATATCATGCAACTCGGACTCGATTGAATACTCTTGAGGCCCTCTTGTTTGAAGAATATTCAGTGCCCCCAAACTTTTCATTGACCAGCTGACTAACCGTGAGCATAGATCGTGGTTATCAGCAGTCTCCCTGAGCCACAGCACGTAACTGACGTGTTCCACTCCATTCTAAAGCCTGGCAAGCTGCCCGCTCTAGAGCAGGAACGCCTATTCATTGACACTTCGACTGTTGATCCTGTCACATCAAAGGAGATTGCAAATGCTATCCACACCACCCAGGCCGGTCGATTTGTAGATGCTCCTGTCTCCGGCGGTGTAGTGGGTGCCCAGGCTGGTACTTTGTCCTTCATGTTCGGAGCGTCGACACCAACTGGGGACTCAGGGGAGCTTCTTGACCGAATCAAAGGCGTCTTATCCCTCATGGGAAAAAGGATGTGGCACCTTGGCGAACCTGGGTCTGGGGTATCAGGGAAACTCGCCAACAACTACATTTTGGCTATCAATAATATTGCCACCGCCGAAGCGATGAACCTTGGTGTTCGTTGGGGCTTGGACCCCAAGGCATTGGCTGACATGATCAACTCTTCTACTGGTCGATGCTGGCCTTCTGAGGTTAACAATCCTGTGCCTGGGGTAGTTGAGACTGCACCTGCATCCCGCGACTATAAAGGGGGATTCGGGGTAGCGTTGATGCATAAAGACCTACGATTGGCACTGACGGCAGCCGATAAGTCTGGTACTCCTCTGGTTCTGGGTACTCATGCTCGTGAGGTGTATGATGCCGTTGAGGCAGCTCACCGTGGAAAGGACTTCTCGGTTGTTTACCAGTGGTTACAAGAAAAATCTTCATAGCGCAGCTATTGAAATGCAGTGCATGTTTCATCATAGATCATCCAGATACGTTTTTAAACAATATTTTTGCCGGTGAGAGTCAGAATTTACATCAGGATTATAATAGATCGCCGCTGTTTACAAAACACCTGCTCATATACGATACATGAACACCCACTGGTATACGCAACACCCGCTTATACGCGACAACGATCCCATTAACGTGTCAACGTCTCGTCACTTACGCGCCAAGATGTCCGCAACTACACAAACAGCGTGTGTACATAAGGAAGAAACGTTACGTCACTTTGGATTTACCGAGTGCACGTTTTCCTGGCTTGCAAATTTGGACATACGGGAATTGCGCTAATTATAGTCAATGGCGTGAATAGAGGCGTGCATAAAGGTTGTTAATTTCTCTTTCCCTTCGACCTCTTCCCCTTCCACTTCTTCATCTCTTCATCCTTCCATCCTTCCTCTTCTGATCTCCATATTCAAACTCATTAGCCCTCGCCACTTATCTCAAATCCATTATTCCGACATCGTGGTTTCCGTGTGGAGAAATATCCGTTCTTTCCTTCCATTGGCACCCCTCCTCTACGTCCTCCATCTCGTGAACTTTCTTCCTGCGTCCTCTTTTATCTCCGTCACCAAACTTGATCAACTCGGCCCCGATCGTCTCCAATTGATCCTTCATCAAGGACATCATCAGGAACATTATCGAGAACATTGTCGGGAACATTATCGAGAATATAACCGATTCGTGATCGGTAAACATATCGATCCGTCACTTCCACGCACGATCCCTCGTTCAACTTGCGTGCGGGTCTTGCAAATTTTAGTCCTGATCGGGTGAATTCGTTCTGTCAGATTCACGTTCGATTGACGTCTTGACGCGTAACGTTTCCCTTGCACGCCACGCCACCTTGTGCTCCCAACCGCCGTCCGGTCAAGAAGACTCTCCATCAAAGATCACCCGCCAATAGCACTCGTTAACAAGCCGGTGAGCTCTTTATTATCATTTGGAACACTGAATGGAGGCTCGCTCTCGTTTGCAAAAATGTTTCTTGTGATTTTGTTTCTAACATGTGGTCAACGCTTCCAGATTCTAGGGCATTGTTGCTCTTTTTCTTATCCTGCTATCCCTTTTCCAGAGCTTTTACTCTCTTTCTGCAAAGGTAAAACCTCCCGGCTTTTAAATCAGAAGCTTCCCTCGCTGGAATGCCATTGAGCATGGTCATTTCCACCAATTCCTGCGAGTGCCATCACTAACACTTACTTTAAAGCCAACAAGATGAATTCCCAAGATGCGAACAATGGTTCCTCGAGCTCTGGAGGCGGACAAAGTTCGAGTGCTCGCAACGGCCATGGCAGATACAACCACGAGTCCCGTCACTACACCCCTATGTACCAACGAGCTGCAAATATGTCTGGTCGTGACGGCAGCGGTGCAATGCTCACTGGCACAAACCAAACTTATCGACCCAGGTATGGTTCAAGGAGTAACGCCCCGGGCGCAATGAATAGCCTGGAGCTCGTCCCAAACTCATACCCCAATCAATACATTCTGGTGCCCAACTCTGGTGTCATTGGAGGGGCTCAGCAAGTTCCTCCCTTCATGGCTGGCCAGACCGACCAAATGAGCCAATGCCAGTATTTTCCCCCCGGTGTTTATCCAGGCATAGCCTCCACCATGGTACCTAATGGTTATTCTTCCTGGCCTTACATGGTCAACTATGACGTGCAAGACAGGCAGAATGCGTGGAGCTCGGTCGATGGCCAGAGAAGTCCTCAGACCGACAGTGCGGGCATGTACTATCCCATGAATTATGTCCCTTCTAGCCTGGAAGGCGCTGGCACGACTGCATACACTTTTGGGCCCATGCTCGGGGCCCTTCCCGTGCCCGGAGCGTTGCCCGGGGCCCTGCCTGCTCTTCAGATGATGAAGACAACAAACGGTTATGTGGTGCAAGATATGGAGGCTCTTACCCAACAAGAGCCAGCAATTCCCCGTGCAGTGCCAGCCATGTGGACAAATCCTTCTGAGATGACGCTCGCAAAATGCCTCGAGAACCGCGAGGGCATTACTAATGTCTACATCCGAGGGTTTCTTCCCGAAACGACGGATGAGATGCTTCACTCCTACGCGGCTCGGTTCGGTGGCATTGAACGCTGTAAGGCCATAGTCGACCTGGAGACAAGTCTTTGCAAAGGGTATGGTCCCCTGGCATGAACAATGTTCGGATTTATGCTGACACGAAAATATAGCTTCGGCTTTGTCCAGTACTACAATTTTGAAGCATGTGAAAATGCAATTCGTGGGTTCTTTTATTTAGGTTACCAGGCAAGCTTTGCGCAGAAATCTCGCAACTCTCGTCTCAAGGACCTGGAGGATCGCACATCGACCAACATTTACTGCACCAATATTCCGATCGACTGGACTGAAGCAGTAAGTCAAGCGGATGTTTGATTGCAGTAATCTATTAAAGTTGATGCTAACGATACTCTTCCAAGGACTTGCGCCGTCATTTCGAGCCCTACCACGTGGTCTCGGAGAAGATTAGCCGTGATGAGAAGACAGGTGTGAGCAAGGAAGTGGGATTTGCCCGGTAAGATATCATTGTCGGAAGCGTTGTTTCGTCCTCCTTGCTGACTCTGAACAGCTTCGAAACTCGTGAAATCGCCGAATTAGTCTTAAGCGAGTTCCACAATGCCCCTTCGGCTGGCGACGTGAAGTTGCTATTGCGTTTCGCGGATACCAAAGCTCAAAAGGTACTGAAGCAACAAAGTAACGAGCGTCGTGCATACCGTGCAGGCGAATACAATTATTCCGTCGAAGTAGTGCAAGCATCTACAACACCATCGCCTACATTGCAACGTTTGCAGCAGCATGCCAGGCACCTGACACCTAACTCTGCGGCCAGCTTTGGCTCCCCAGCCGGAACTGGCCCCGAGTGGACCCCAGCGACCTCACTCTCTCCGTATGTCTCGGCATATTCTCCCATATCCTCCTTGCACGCTCACTAATCTATCAATAGATACGTGCAAAAGCATGCTCCTGGAAACGTACGACAGAACTCGTTGTCGTCTCGCAGCCTCAATGCCCTTGAGAATGCGACTCCCCAACGCCGACCCATCTTAGGCCGACGTTCTTTGACTGACATTTCTGGTGTCTCCTCTAAGACCGCCAGGGCCCCGTCTGTAGGCGATGAACCCCGTTCATACATGTCCAGTCCTCTAAAGGAAAACATCAAAGCTGGGTCCATGTCCCCAGTCCCATCGCGCATGGAATTCTGCATTCCTTCGCCCCGTTCCTGCACTTAAGCAAGGAACAAATTTCCAGACATCACAACAAGACCCGGGTGGTCAATGGTTGAATTTCACTTTGTTCTACGATTTTCAACTTCTCCATGATGTTCTTGGAAATATCCATTTGAAAGTGTCATGATATTATTCCGGAAATATCCATTTGAACGTGTTCGGATAATTTGAACGTGTTCCTGGATATATCCATCTGACCTTCGTGACTCTATGCGAGGATTGACTCTTATTTTTTATTCTTCCAGCTCCAGGAGGTAGATTCGGGCTTTTCTGGGTTTATTTCTGCGGTGAGCTTCTCTCGACTGCTCCACCTTATTCATTTATTTTATCGAAAGCGGGCACGGTGGATGATGGAGGCTTCTATCTCTTTGATTTTTTTTCTTTTTCTTTTCTTTTCTCTTTTTCAGTTCTATCTCTTTTATGGGCAATTCATTTAACGGGCATTTGGAGATGGGGAATGGTGAGGTCGTCTAGTATCTGTTTATTTTTTTTTATTAATATTTTTTATTTTTTATCTCCATCTCTTTTCTGTTGTCTTCTCGGGCAGCTGTATGATAAATGAGAAAGCATGCTTACTACTCAAAATGCTTGTTTCGCTATCGGCAACGCTTGCGGTGCTTTTGCCTCAAGGTAGTCTAAGATGATGTCGCCCACCAATGAATCAACAGTAAACACAATCTATGGATCAAGAGAAACGAAGATGCCAGGGGGGAATTGTCGGTCTGTACATGAGAAAAGCCACTGCACATACGAGTTCAAGGCTCCAACATACTGAAGCGTCCCAAAATGAATCAATTGCGACCAAGCCTCTCTTCTAAATCCTGCATCAGCTTGTACGCCGGTAAATAACCTCCCTCGCCATCTTTTTGCTCATCCTGCATCTTCAAGCGCGGATTTGGTAACGTATCGGAAGTTCCTCCAAGACTGGTATATCCCATATCATAGAGCCGACAATATTCCAACCCAAGGTGTCGAATAAATGCCCAAATTTCGGCATAATTCCAATCAATGACGGGGTGGATGCGCATAAAATCAGGCCACCCACCATCAGTCCGGTCAAAATGAGTTAACTTCGCACCATGCGGGTCTGTCCGTCGCGTGCCCACAAATATGGCCCGAACACCCGGATGAAGAGCAAGATAGTCTTCGAAACTGGAGCGCAAAGTTGTATGGGGTGGTTCGGTAGTGTATTTCGTTATTGAGAGATGATAAGCTTGAGCGGAGCTGACAACAAAGTCTTCCACCTCGGGAAAAGGATCAGGAGGAAGGGCATAGATGGCAGGTATCTTAGATGTCGATTCAGCATGACTAGCGTAGGGGTGAAGACCAGCCAGGAACAAAATAAGGAGAACGAGACAATCCTTGCCACCGTTGTAGGAGAGCGACAGCCCCGAAAGTTTATACTGGGCCACTGCACTTGCGACAACTTCCAATGATGTGCGGGTTGAGCGTTGGACCGAGGCGAGGAGCGAGTCCGGGGGATGCGACTCGGCTAGGAATTCCTGCACGCGTGCATGGATGCGCTCGATCACGACGGGGAGTGGGGGGATGACTTCGTCGGCATTGGCATTTGAAGATTGTGTGCCATTGTGGGCGCTTTCCTGAGCTGATCCGTTCTGCGGATCAGCGTCTGTCGCGTGTGTGGTATATACGGTGGTGGCCTCGTCGGCCCCGCGTTGGGCCGGAGTGGGGTTTGCGGGCCCCAGGTTGAAAGGACGTAGGTGATCGAGTACTTTTGAGAGCGATTGAGAGGAGGCCGGGGGCTCTACAGGCCGTTCGCCTGGTACCAAGGGCTCGGCCATTGTGTTTGGGGAGGGAATGACAGGTTTGAGGTCGAGGCGGGGGAGAAGTGGGTTTCTCGGCGCTCGGAATCCAGAATATGATCTAATCCCATGTGGGGATGGAAGATGGGAACGGAAGAAACGACAGACACTCAGGTTTGTGGATTTGTACCGTATTGACATTAATATTTGAGAAGTCTGTCACAATCTCAAGATGATGAACTAAGGGAAATCAAGTATATCTATCTGTGCACGTCAAATTGCGCCGAAACTTCTAGGTTTTCCCCGCGCCGCGGCTTATCGGTGGAAGTGCATGGAGTCTCGTAGATCATAAACCATGCATATCACCTACGCGGTGGGTGATAAGAAGTTGAACTTTATTAATTTGTTGGTATCTTTCTAGTGAAGCTCACCCAAGAACCTTCATCTTCTTTTTCTTCTTCTTATCGTCGCCCGACTTCCCCTTCTTCCAATCCCGCCAACTCCCAATGCGCTCCTCCCGAGTATCTTCCCACGCTTTGTCTTGATCACGCTTACGTTTGCGCGCATCAAGCTCTTCCTCCTCCTTGCGCTTCTCTCGTCCCTCTTCCTGCATGCGCGCTTTAGCTTGTCGCCGACGCCGTGCTTCCTCTTCTAAGAGAACCTGAACGGTCTTCTGTCGCCATTCCTTCTTGAACTCCTCGGTTTTCAGCTCCGGAGAGTCAACGGTGTATTTGTGTTCACGGATCAACAGACGTCGCGCGTCTGCAATGCATTCGTCCAGGTAGGTGCGCTCCTTCTCGTCAAGGAGTGAGGTCTGTGCCTTTTTCAGTCGATCAAAAGCATCTGGCGCAGCCGGATTCTTGGTCTTATCCGGATGAATAAGAAGAGACTTCTTGCGGTATTGTATCTTAATGTCCTTTTCAGGAACACCGGGCTGTAGGTCTAGAACGGCGTAACTAGCGAAAAATTGGGGTTAGTGGAGCTTCAAAGTAAACAGTTAGGTAACTCACGCATCGAGGGAGAATGCCTTGCGGATGCGATCAATTTCTGCATCTTTTGTAAACTCAGACGCTTCGCGCTCCAGTGCATCGAAGATGTCTTGATCGTCGTCAGCCATGGTCAAGTGTTCCTGAAGCTGTAGATTTGGAGGAAGTTCTTATCTCGCGCCCTGGCGCGCTTATCGGCGGATGAGTAAGCAACCAAGAAAAAAAAGATAGCGATTAGAATTTACAACCGATCAAAGTATTTGATTACCCAGAACCGCATTCACCACAATTATGGCTCCGGCAAAGGCGTCTCGTGGGAAAGCTCCCAAATCCCACCATGACTCTGGCAGGACTATGAAGCGCAAGCGCGGTCAAGAGGATCTTACCTCGCTCGTTCAGCGTGTTGAGGACCTCGATCTCAAAGCCACCATCAAAAACTTCTCCGATCTCCCTCTCTCCGAACCCACCGCCGATGGTCTTTCGGCCTCTCACTTCAAGGTCATGACTGACATCCAGCAACGCGCCATCAGCTCTGCCCTCAAGGGTCGCGATATCCTTGGCGCAGCCAAAACCGGTAGCGGAAAGACCTTGGCCTTCCTCGTCCCCATCCTCGAGAACCTGTACCGCAAACAATGGACTGAATACGATGGATTGGGTGCGCTTATTCTAGCACCAACGCGCGAATTGGCGATCCAGATCTTCGAAGTGTTGCGCAAGGTAGGCCGTTACCACGCCTTCTCCGCTGGCCTGGTGATCGGTGGAAAGAGCTTGCGCGAGGAACAAGACCGTTTAGGAAAAATGAACATCCTGGTCTGCACCCCTGGTCGTATTTTGCAGCATTTGGACCAGACGGCTATGTTCGAGACCAACAACCTTCAACTTCTGGTAATGGATGAGGCCGATCGCATTCTTGACATGGGTTTCCAGAAGTCTGTGGACGCTATCATTGACCATCTCCCCAAGGGACGACAGACCATGTTGTTCAGTGCTACACAAACCAAGAAGGTCTCTGATTTGGCTCGTTTGAGTCTTAAGGAGCCTGAGTATGTCGCCGTTCACGAAGCTGCCGCTTCGGCTACACCGTCAACTCTTCAACAACATTACGTCGTCACTCCCCTTCCTCAAAAGCTGGACACTCTGTGGAGTTTTATTCGCGCCAACCTGAAGTCGAAGACTGTGGTTTTCTTGTCCTCGGGAAAACAAGTTCGCTTTGTCTATGAATCCCTCCGTCACCTACAGCCCGGTATTCCATTGATGCATCTTCACGGCCGCCAAAAACAGGGTGGTCGTTTGGATATCACCACCAAATTCTCCTCATCACAGCACGCCGTGCTCTTCGCCACTGATGTGGCTGCACGTGGTCTTGATTTCCCTGCCGTGGACTGGGTTATTCAAATGGATTGCCCCGAGGACGCTGACACCTACATTCATCGAGTGGGCCGAACTGCTCGCTACGAGCGAGTCGGTCGTGCCGTGCTATTCTTAGACCCCAGCGAGGAGAAGGGTTTCCTGAAGCGACTTGAGCAAAAGAAGGTACCAATTGAACGCATCAATATTAAGGCAAACAAGCAGCAGAACATCGCTCATTTGCTTCAAAATATGTGTTTCAAGGATCCAGAGCTCAAGTATCTGGGCCAGAAGGCATTCATCTCATATGCGAAATCAATCTACGTGCAAAAAGACAAGGAAACCTTCAACATCAAGGAACTCGCCTTGGAGGACTACGCAACTAGCTTGGGTCTGCCTGGTGCTCCCCGTATCAAGTTTATCAAGGGTGACGACACCAAGGAGCGCAAGAATGCTTCATGGAAAATGGCGCATCTGTCTAGTGGTTCCGAGGACGAGGACGCAGACGCAGACGAAGACGAGCCCAAGAAGGAGAAGAAGGACGAGAAGCAAGTCCGCACCCGCTACGACCGCATGTTCGACCGACGCAACCAGGACGTGTTGGCAGGCCATTACCAGAAGCTTATCAACGACGATGGTACCATGATTGCCACACATACCGGCAACGGTGCTGAAGATGCGGACGAAGATGCCGATTTCCTTTCTGTCAAGCGCAGATTCGAGGCTGGCGATGAGCAACTTGGCAAGGGTGCTACCGACTCCGAAGACTCGGAGCCCGAGACAAAAACTAAGATTGTCAAGCTCGATGGCCAAGATCCACTGGTCATCGACTCCAAACGTCGCGAGAAGCTTCTCAAGTCGAAGAAGAAGCTACTCAAATTCAAGGGCAAGGGTACCAAGCTTGTCTACGACGAAGACGGCAATGCTCACGAAGTCTACGAGATGGAGGACGAGGAGCAGTTTGCTGCCCGGGGCGACGCCAAAGCTCAGCGGGAGCGCTTCGTGGCGGAGGAGGCCGAGCGCACACGCCGCGCCGATATCGACGACAAGGAAGTGGTGCGCGAGAAGAAGCGCGAGAAGAAGGAGAAGCGCAAGGCTCGCGAGCGTGCCCTTGCCGAGGCGGAGGCTGTCGAGGACGACGAGGAGGGTGGTTTCCAGCTACCCTACATCCCCTTCAAGGACCCAATGGAGTCTGCATCCGAGTCCGAGCGGGAGGACTCACGCCCGAGCAAGAAGTCGCGGGTGTCCTTTGCCGATTCAGACGACGAGGACCGTCCGAGCAAGAGCAAGAAGAGCAAGGCTGCCGAGCCCAAGATCGAAACTTTGCAGGATCTGGAAGCGCTGGCCAGTGGTTTGCTGGGTTAATCGTGCATTTCACTGGGTTTGCTCTGGCGTTGTATTTTCTTCTCTCTGGTCTGTATTTATGTAGCGAAGCCTCCTAAAAGCATTGTTTGTATTTGCATGAGTGTATAGTGACCAAGGAATGACATCTATTTTATATATTCTAATTCTTAACTTGTCCAGACAAACCCCGTAGGTTCTCCCAGACCTCATCTTCCGATACCTTCCGGTTACTTAATGTATTTCCTTTCTCCAAGGGACCAGGATCATTCAACAACTCAACCTTCCTCACAGCAGTTCCAACTTCTAATACAGTTCCGCCCTTGTAGTCTGGATTCAACACCAATTGCAGCATATTCTCTGCTACCCACTCCGGCGTCACCCATTCATCCTTCTCCTCATCGAACATATGTCGATCTCGGGACTCGGTCCACAAAGGAGTCTTGATGCACCCCGGAGCGACAGCGTTAACCCGAATCTTGGTCAGACCACTTCCCTCCGGAGGATCATCCAGCATGGCGAGGGATCGCACAAATCCGGAGATAGCATGTTTGCTAGCGGCATACATCGGACAAAAGAAGTTTGCATGTTGGGCCGCCACGCTGGAAATGTGAACAATAAAGCCGTCGGTTTTGGCTTTTGTGAAGTGTTGGACTGCTTGCTGTGACATGCGCACTGCATGCGTTAGATTAATGTCCAGAGTGGAGTACCGAGATTCCAGAGGGTCATCGCGGGATACTGCTGTTTCTGGGGGATACCAAAAATTGGAAAATGACTATAACGGATACTCGGGTATAAGTATCCTGGATATAGTATGGGTGCGGGGAAGGCATCCATACCGGCTCGAAGATTCCAGCTCCGGGACACACTATATCAATCCGACCGAATTCTTCCTGGGCGATTTTAAAAAGTCGGTCTAGGTCTTGCCAGTTACGCACGTCGATGCGGTGGAAGATAGCCCTTGGTTGTTTGTTGGGCGTGGAATGGAGCTTGAGCAACTCCTCTGCTTCGGGACGTAATGCTAGATCGCCTAACACAACATTGCAGCCTTTATCAAGTAAGATTTTGGTAAAGGCGAAGCAAATCCCTGATCCAGCACCAGTTACGATGGCAGTTCTGCCTTGAACAAAGGACATGGCGAAGCTGAAGAACAGTTTCAAAGATCAAGAAAATTCGAATCCATTGTACCTCTTTTAAATCTGGTTCCCCGCACTATAGAGATATCGATTGGTGCGGTGGTGTACCGAACCCACATTACATAAGAACATCGGAATCTGTCTTCCGCTGTTTGAAGTGTTGCATCGTGAGTAGTCCACTAGAATAAGCTAAAGAAGCCAAATACGGCAAGGTGAAAATCATCGATATCAGTAGAAACCTACGGCAGCTCGGCAGCGTCCACGCATAGCTCGGTGGCTAACTATCACCACTTTTATTTAATGCGCACTACGGTTACTGTTAGAAACACCATGTCTCAACCTGAACAATGTAGCCATCTTCCTCTAGATCGAGCTCTATACTATAAAGATAGCCTCTAGTACCTTGAGGGCTCTTGTTGCCAAAGGTCAGTTTAAAAAGATAGCCTACTAGTGTAAACAGGAGGTTCATATTAATTGATAAGAAATCGTCTATGTATTTTATCATGTATCCTATCAAATTTATAATATGTTATCCAACATATCGTGAAAGTTTGGATCTGGTGGGTAGACCAACCTAATAACTGTATAATCAGCAAGTCAGCCGATTAAAAGCGGTTCTTGTTCTCGGTAGAAAGGAATAGCGTGACAAAGACGTCAGAAAAAAGGTGTGCACGGAAGAAGTGCAACAAGTGATCTTTTCCAGGAATCCTCAGGAAATCAGAGGTGAACTGGTATCGAGAAAAAGATAGGATCTTTAGGGGATTTTTGAGTAATCCGATGTGACAGAGAATAATGTACGACAACAAAAAAAGCATATACAATTGACCTGTCAATTGATCTTCATCAGCTTGAGGAATTGTTGCATGTTTTGATGCATTCTTGCAGTTCTTATACAGCAAGAAATTGGTAAATAGCCAAGAAGCTGGGAAAACAATTACAAGGCAGGAATTCTGATTCTGGCAGGTCAGCAGAACCCAAAGATATCTAATCTCTGAAATAGATCTGAAACCGACAGGAGGGCCAGGTTTAGGCACATAGGCTAGTCGTCTCTTAGCATAGCACCCTCTAAATTGGCAACAATCTGGACTAAGCGTAATTCAGGAGGCACGATCGGCGGCATCGTGCTGACCAAGTTTCATTGGTTGGTGAGTCTGACTGCAATAAATCGCTAGGTTCGGCACTGCAAGGTGCATGACAGCAGGAGTTGCACGAAGGGGCCTTGCGCTGAAGATCCCATGATCCACAGGGCTTCCAGTGGGTGAACATAATGCAGTGAATCGAGCTCTGTTACACCACGTACGATCGATATGACATCTCACAAAGTCTATTATATTGAATAAAAGAAATGGCAGTAGGGTACTGCATGGAACGATAAGGCTCGTAATGTCAGCTCTCAAATACGTCTCCATCTTTCGAATCGTGGAGGCTGGCTAAGTATCTAAATTGAAACAAAAGGCCGACTTGCAGGATCGTTCATACAGTAGAGCCCAATTGAAGATGAGTGGACAGAGGAGAAAAAGTTCAACCCCATCGTGAGATCCACACTCAAACCAACCAATTCTTAGAATAGTTGGTGGCGTACATATAGAAACCCACATTGAGACTCCACTCTTCAGCTTGTCCAGGCCACGCCTCAACCATGATATCTTGACCGCTGTTTACTACCCCGCCGCCTCCTAATTGATCCCGGCACCGTTCTACTGTCAGGCTTCTATAAAGAAGACAGGCCGTACAACTCAGCTGTGCCATACTGCCAGATTATTTCAATCTATCTCTATTCATAAGATGTATTACTCAGATACTGAGAAAAACTGGAAGATGGCCGAGCAGGATGAAAGATATGGTAAGTCGGCTATCTTCCTCCCATTTTACAGTAGCTGACACCTCGGGCACCATAGACCTTTTCCTCGATATGATGAGTGAAAATGCCAGAGAAGTCGAACTTAATTTCATGGAGAACTATTACCTGGCCAGAGCTTACAAGAACGTCACCAACGACCTCAAGGCCAAGGCCAAAGCGACGTCTGATGAAAGAAAAAGAACTCATATACAGATGGAATTCATGGAAAAATGGCGTGATATGATCATGTTGCTAACTGACCACCTCTTCAAATCGGCCAAGTCGAACGAAGCCAATGTATTATATCAAATGATGTAAGTCAATCGACGTCGGGACTGACATATTTGTGCATCACAAGCTAATCTCCTAGTCACAGTGCAGGTAACACCCACGGTTATATTGCCGGCTTCATCAAGGAAGAGCCTGATGCCCGTGGAGAGTTCCCTGAAGAGTGGGGAACCGTCGAAAAAGCCCAAAGTTATTATGACGAGGCCTGGAAACTTGCGAAACCTATGCCTCTTACACACCCCTTTCGCCTGGGACTGGACCTTGACTACTCTATTTTCTTGCACGACGTTGTCGGATCTCCTGATAAAGCTATCAGTTGGGCTAAGGCGGCCATGAAGAACACCGATGTGGAGGGTAAACTACCGTTCTATATACTTGGCCCCAACTTGCTAACACATGAGTTACAGACAAAAGCTTTTTGAATGAACACTTGGCTACCACTGATGAGCAGGTTCCGCAATCAGAAGCGAGATTCAATGCCAGACCTGATGCCATTCATCAACTGTGGGAGCAAATTGGTATCATTGCAAATCTATCACTTATACCCTGAGCTATGGCTAACTATGTTTAGTGATGTGGGAGCCAACGTACAGCCGGAAATCGCAAACATGAGTGTTCAGCGCCAACTCCGACACGCTGAACACTTCAACCAAGGGGTCTGCTATATTGGTTCAAAGCAAGGTGGGATATACGCAGTGGGGCAAGGGCATCGATAGTCGTGTTTAATTTCACTTTCGGGTTTCTTCCTTCCTCTTTTCTACCCATTAATCGCATTATCCTCCCGGCACATTTCAGGCTATAAGTCCATAAAGGATATTTTGGTCAGCCAAGGTTCAACGTAGTGAACCAAAGGACCCCAGCATTCTTAAGGTACGTAGGAAATTGCAATCCACCAGAGTTGTAGTTTTTTCAAAAGGTCAGTGGGCCATGGCTACCACAGCCCTGTCCTTAGGTCAGACTTGAGCTTCTCCTTTCTTACATCACCACCTGACCAAATCTAATACGTCCTGTGCGCTCCACGCATACTTCCGTAAAATACCTACGTATGTGCTTGCTCATCCACTATATTAGTGGAATAGTAGAGTGAATGTGATAATTTTGCCAGGCTGTCAGGATCTCACGTTCTGTGTGCGGATTGGCATGCTATGGTATTATAATAAAGACTCAATTACCATTACCAGGGGATACAATCGGTTCCAATGGAGCTACTTGGGAGTGACTAACAACAGACTAGTATTTTTTTTAAGGGTAGGGTTCAATAGTGGAAGTCCAAGAACGCAGAGGTGAATCTGATCTCGAGTAATACTGTGGTTCCATTATGACACACGATAGGTAACATCGCTCAGCATATGCCCAAGACGGATACTCACTTTTGCGCATATTCCGCGAGTCAAAGGAAGCTGCTATGTTGGAAGACTTTAAGGTTCAACTTCTTCAGTGCTGCGAAAGACTACCTGAATCCGAATGAGGCGTGACGAGAAAACGTGTCGTTCTCTCATTCAGATCAGTTCTAACACATACGTGTATATAGGAAAGATCCAGATTACCATGTCTACTGTCAAATTAATGGTTTCAAATCTGTTAAATATCCTGACGCCAAAATGTTCCAATATATTACATTACTGGCACTGGAAATTGAATACCGAACATGATGTGAATGCCTACCTGGCATGGTTCATTAATTTGCTTATTGCAAATGGAGAGCACCTGAGATCGTTGACGAAGGCGAGTATCGACCATTCACTTTAACGGAGGGTTATACTGACAGCGAGGCAGATTTTTTTGAATTGGGGGGGGGGCCTCCATAAGTATTGGAAGGCCTCTAGATGTAAACGCTCATGTGCTGCAGGAGATTGATGCAGTTACGAGCTATACTAAACTTCAAATGAGAGGACAATAAACTTAGTGAAAGCACTCCAGTCACTTAGTAATAGATAGACAAGTGTCCAAGTAGTGTAATGGTCTTTGGAATATTCGATCATCGAGTTACTGATTGGGTTTGATCATAAATCCCACGGGATTTCACAGGCTACAACCCACAGTTCTCTGCGAAGATCGGATCCGGAAAATTAATTGCTGTTGTTGGCATGTGAGCATGCCCCTCCTTCAGTCATACGCCCCGAGTCTTCTAAGACTCCAAGTTGGCTAATAATACAGTCAAAATCCTCACTTATAGCCCCCCCGCGTCCAAGGAAATCATGTGCAACAAGCGGGAGGTGCAATAAGTGAGAGGATGACATAATATATTATAGAGTCTAGCTGATCCTAAGCCCTACTGCACTACCTATTCGGCCTTCCCCTTATCCTCTAAGGCCACCTGGCATTTCTCCTCGAACTGAATCCTGCCAACTTCGCTGATTAAGTTCTCAACCCGACGTTCGAGGTCTGATGTGCTCTCTCCTTTGCTTCCAAGCCATATTAATATATCCTGTAGATGACCCATTGCCTCAGAATTAGATATCATCTTAAGTGGTGGCCCACTTTCTTCACTATCTCGTGCTTCTGAGTTCTCCATATCAACATATATATCTTATCCATCGGTCTCATCTTTAACTGCAATGTCTTCCTCTGTTAGATCCAAGATTTGATTTATTAGTATAATATCATCATAATGAAGCTTCTCTTGCTTGATTATATAGAGCTTGAATCTTACCACTTGATCCAGGCTTGGAAACTGGGAGGCCGGTCTTGGTAGGGGTGGGCAAAGTATAGTTTTCAGGCATTCTGATTGGTTGATGGGGCTGATTAAGGAGGTTACTCAGCAAAAAGGAGGTGTGCAAAGGTGAGTGTGCTAAAAGCGGCAGGTTTATGTTAAATCAAGAAAATTTGGGTCCATCCAAGCGAACGTACCGTAAGCGGGTGTGCTATAGGTGAAGGACAAGGTGTTGGTTTTCGGTGATAGCAACCCTAAGGCTCAATATCAGATTACATAATACAGACACCCGATATCTAAGGTGTCAGTATAGCCACGCCACAATGTGCTCTGAGCTTCTAAACTGAAATTTAAAGTATCTATACTCGAAATCTCGGTCTTTTGCCTTCAATTTTCACTTGCCATCGCATTGAGCTTGCTTGCTCAAATGTGTGCCCTTATTCCTAGGATGGACCAATTTCCAACCTGCATGTGTGGGTCCTTTCACCACGTGTATATATGCCAAAAAAAAAAAAAAAAAAAGAAATCACAGAGGTTTCCGACCTCCCGTCAAACCTTAGTCTAATCAGATGATTCTTCACGAGTAATTGAAGACTACAGCCCAGCTCAATTAGTGAAACCGTGAATCAGTCCCTGCAGAACGGTAGTTTGGTTAACAATGTTTACCCGCTGCAAGAAATGAGTGGATCCGATCGAATTTTTCTCTTGTAATAGAATGCGGGCCCTACCGATCCAACCATAGCAGCGCGCAAGCACGCCATCGCAAAAATCATGGTCTGAAGAGTTCTGTTTCCTGTCGATCGAAGATGGGCTTCCTCTCCTATATCACTAGTCGTTGGCTGGTGAAACATATTGGCAGGTGTCATACTGAAGAATCCGGGGTAGCCACGTGCAGGTCACGAGATCTCTGGTAAGCCGTTATTCAACAATGCGGTGACCTAAGTATGAGACAGACACTTATAATGTCACAGATTCCATATTACTACCCAGCTACCATTACTCAACCTTGGTCTCGCTGTCTGGTGGTCGAGTGATCCACCTTAAACCTCAATATGGGTTCTTTCTCAGATCCCGAGAAGCATGCGCCTGTTGAAGAGTATGGCCTTGGGTCGACACCACTGGTCAATGCCGACAAGCTTGCTCGTCGCCTTTCGGGCCGACAGGTGCAGATGATTGCCATCGGTGGTACCATCGGTACTGGTTTGTTCCTAGGTACTGGCTCGTCTCTTGCCACCGGCGGTCCTGCCTCGATGTTGATCGCGTACGCGATTTGCGGTGGAATTGTGTTTATTACTATGCTGTCTCTGGGTGAGATGGCAGCGTTTGTTCCCGTTGCTGGTTCCTTCTGTACTTATGCGGGGTGAGTTACATTGATCGTCGATCCTTGCCGTTTGAAGTATTGACAATTTCTTAGTCGGTACGTGGATGATGCTCTGGGTTTTGCTTTGACATGGAATTACTGGTTCAATGATGCTGTCTCAACGGCCTCGGATATCATTGCTCTGCAGCTGTTGTTGGAATATTGGACAAACAATTTTCCAGGTTGGGCAATTAGTTTGATCTTCCTCGTCATTGTCATTTGCCTGAATCTTCTTTCGGTCCGGGTGTATGGTGAGGTTGAATATTGGCTGAGTTTGCTTAAAGTCATCACCATTGTGGTATGTACTAGCCTTTATTTGATGCCCATTTCGGGATGGTCACTAATTTTCACAGATCTTCATCATTCTCGGTATCGTCGTGAACTGTGGTGGTAATAAGGACCATGAGTATATCGGCGGCAAATACTGGAACATGGGAGAGGCTCCTTTTGTTGGCGGCATCGGTGGATTTGCCTCCGTCTTCGTCACAGCTTCTTTTGCCTTGTAAGTCTGACCTGGTTCTTTCTCATTGAATTGCCTCTGACATAAATCAGTGGTGGTACCGAGTCTATTGCCATTACCGCTGGTGAAACGAAAAACCCTTCCAAGACCATGCCCAAAGTCGTGCGCAATGTCTTCTTCCGTATTGTGCTCTTCTACCTGCTCTCCATCCTACTCATCGGCCTTAATGTCCCATACAACTACCCTGGTCTCGATGATGGGGACACCCGCACCAGTCCTTTCACTATCGTCTTCGAAGAGGCCGGGAGCTCCGTTGCAGGTAGCTTCATCAATGCTGTTATCATGACCTCTGTCATCTCCGCCGCAAACCACGCCCTCTTCGCCGCTACCCGATTGCTGTACTCGTTGGCCGTGGACGGTTACGCACCCCGCTTTTTCGGCAACTTGAACCGCTTCCAGATTCCCTGGATCGCCGTCTTCGCTAGCTCAATCATCAGTGGACTCTGCTTCGGTGCAAGCTATATCGGTGCAGGTCAATTGTGGAGCTGGTTGCAGAAGTAAGTCCCATCACCGACCTATTTATGAAAAAAAAAGACTAACCCCAATAGTATCGTCGGTGTCTCCAACCAACTATCCTGGATCTGTATCGGCATTGCGTCTCTCCGCTTCCGTGGCGCCATCCGTGCCCAAGGCCTTGAGCACCTTCTCCCCTTCAAGAATTGGACCTACCCATACGGCCCCATCTTTGCGATCGGCCTTAACACCGTTCTCGTCCTGGTGCAAGGCTGGTCGTGCTTCAGCCCACACTTCAAGGGCGTGAAGTTTGTTTCCTATTACATCGAAATCGCCATCATGGTCGTCATGTACGTTGGCTGGAAACTTTTCAAGCGCACACGATTTGTTCGCACTGCGAATATGGACCTTCGCACTGATCGGTACGATGGCGGCATTGACGACGAGCATATGCCAGAGGATGTCGAAGAGCCGGAGCGAAAAGGAATACTTGGCAAATTCCAGCGCTTTGGGCAGTGGCTATTCCTATGATTTGATTTATTTTATATTATTGCTATGATACCTAGTTCTACTTTGCATATTCCTCCTGCGCCGCATATGGACATGAGCTGTATTTTCTGAATATTTAATGATCGCGAAAGACCTTCTTTTCCCTATGAATCAGTTCCTCGGTACTTTTACTTAAAATAATGGTAAGAAGGGTGAACAAGGTGTCATTTGATAGCCAAGACAATATGGCTCGGTACCACAAGCGCGGTTCATTGTCGATTTTTACCCACTTTCATGAACATTTGGGCTCGTGTGATGTGGTCTGAGATTTCTCCACTTTTTTCTCCGGATTTTTAGCGCGTGCCAGGACAACCCATGCTAGCTTCTGATTGACGCGTCACTCCGATGCAAATTAAGGCATATGGATGGCGATTGGACCTACATCCTGAACTGGTAAGGCGGCAACGCTAATAATCCGTATTGACCGGGATATATAGGGGCAAACGTGCCACACAAGTGAACGGCCCCGCTTGGCTTACAACGCGGGGAAATGAGGGAAATGAGAAACCTTAGTGCTTATGGCCCTGCATGGTTAGTGTGGGCAGAGTTTTCCTTTAAATCGTACGTTGCATGGTCTGCCCCAGCTCCTTGGTTATTTTTGCTGCGAACCGAGGATCATGAGCCCGAAAACCAATCTCTTACGGTAATCCTGGTAGAGAATGCCTCGGAATTCCCGTGGGTAATTATAGTGTGGCGAAAGTAGCGTACTCCTTTGCAATCCACCAATAAAAAGCTAAATCCCCTGTCGCTTGGATTTGCTTTGCACTAAGAGCTGGTCATCACGGACGTCGCGGCCTTTCCTGGTTCGTCGCTTATAGGACCGTGCCACTAAACAGCCAAGCCTGCGAACCCCAGACAATCCTTTTTCCCCACTCTTATAACAATCAGGATTTCCTCATGCTTTGCTGATTCTTGCTGTTTTTTGCTGTGATTCGCCTTGACAGGGCATCTCATGCCTTTGTCCTGATCGCTGCTGCGGGTGAGCCACCCAGCAACCTAGCATCGACTTAACTTCTGGGTCCGTTCGCACGGACCGGGACTCCACCGGAGATCATGTTGACCAGCTCTGAGAACGGAGTCATTGGTGAGTACTCAGGGGATGACTTCGCAACCAAAGCTACCTTGACCGTCTTCCTGTCAATCGCGCTTTACAATTCCATCGAACTCCTGGTCCTCATCTTCTCCTCATTCCGACGCTGGCAAGGTCTCTACTTCTGGAGCTTGTTGCTCGCTACCGTCCTAGGCGTGATACCACAATCAATTAGCTTTCTGCTCAAATACTTCGGGATCGCTCCGTTATGGCTCTCCCTCACGCTATCTACCATCGGATGGTATTTCATGGTTACGGGCCAGGCGTTCGTGCTATTTTCACGTCTCAATATCGTCGTGCAGGATCTGACGATTAGCCATCGCATTCGTGCGATGATTATTATCGATGCGATTGTCTTACATGTCCCTACTACCGTGCTCACGTATGGATCCAACTTCGTTCAAACCCCCGTCTGGGCCCAGGCCTACAGCATAATGGAACGCATCGAGCTTACGGGGTTCTCGCTTCAAGAATTCATCATCTCTGGTCTTTACATCTACAAAACTGTCCAGATCCTTCGCATCTCACCTCCAAGCGTCTCCGGCCACAATCCGAATCGCAAGATCATGTACCAACTTCTCGCTATCAATGCGCTGATCATTGTCATGGACGTGGTGTTGTTGGTATTCGAATACCTCGGCTCCTTCGTCATCCAAACTACTCTCAAGTCGGCGGTCTACAGTATTAAACTGAAGCTGGAATTCGGAGTTTTGAGTCGCCTTGTTTTTATGGTGCATTCACATCGTTGGCCCCCGGGGCCGAGTCAATCACCTCAACTATTTTCGCGTCCTGTGACTGCTCGGGAGGAGCTGGACTATCACGAATTCCTGGATGGTCCGGGCAGTAGCACGCAACATCCACCTGCTGCTAATTACTGCAAGTCAGCTTCGTTTCAGCACGAAGAGGTGGTATGAAATGGGACCTATGTAATACAGATCAAAATATGAAATCAAAATAATGAAAGTACGTATCAACAAAGCTGTGCTGCTTATTGTACTCATCGTTACACGAGTCAGCTTGCGCACCAGGCGTGCCAGACTATGTACCTCGGTAATAGGCAAGATTTGTTGATAAAGGACACATGGATCTGTTGACCTTTGCTGCATAAGATGCATCCAGCCTCGTGTGTTGACTAATTATAAATCTCAATAATTTCATTCACGTCTGTGAATAGGTCGTACCATGTGACATGGAAAGCCCTTGATTGATGCATGTGGTCACGCCCCAGGAAATAAGTGGATTCATCCTGGCAGGCACCAAAGTCACTAGGCAAGAAGTACAAAGACCTTGACTAATTGAGTACTCGTATCTGCACTACAGCCCAAGACATCCTATAGGAAACAAAAATTGAAAGATGATTAACTACTCAAAAAGGGCTTGTCTTTAGTCAAAAAGAGTGTTTCTGAATGATCATATCAAACTTGATACCCTCTCCCAAATTGAATGCAAATCAACAGCAAAATCTCTCCTTCCAACAGAATGCCCCCCCGAACCTCTCCACCATCAAGGAGACCACAGAATGGGAATCAGGGCACATGGCCTCAAGATCAGGCGTTCCAAATCAACGACCACAGCAGTAAACCAGATCAGCTCGCCTTATATTGACAAGAAATTTGAACAGTCTAGATCCTGGGAAACAGAACATGGATCTTGTATCCTGCATATCAACAAGGAGCTCCTGGGACTGGAACCAGAGGCTATGATCAGAATTCGACTGCTGATCAGGCGCTCCGTTTAATTATATAATAGCAGTCAGCTTGATTATATCATTTAGTATTTAACCAGGCCTGAAATGTTTGAATTCTCCGGATTGAATGAAGCTTATTCCATCCTGTTTATGAATAATTTGGACCCGATTTGATAATACTTACTTTTCCAGCTATGCTGCCCCGCCGCATGGACGCGGATGCATAAATGAATAATGTCCACATGTGAACCGGGAGGCATCTTTGAGCCGCAAATTGACCTGCAGGTCAAATGTTGTGGACGTTGAGTTAATTGGTACCCACCTAGCCCTGGAGCCTGAAAGTGGGACAACCTTACATATGAAAAACAGTCATGGATAACCCTCCACAGTTCCAATTTCTACAACTTTGGAAAGTTTTACTACTGTCGAACTCAGCCTTCGAAGTGCTACATAGCCAGGTATCTAAAAAAGCGCGAAATGAGATTCATGAAAAAAAAATTAACTTATCAACGGCTGAAGCCTCGGAATATTCTAATTTCGAATGATTTCACATTTGGGAAAAAAATGATGGGGGTTGCATCTACAAAGAAACACATTTTCCTTTGCTGTTATGAGTCCAGTACTGTTTATTGCCAGTAACGGGGCTCATCGAAGACATGGTAGCGATGGCCACGCACGCCCTCACCGCGGAACAGAGCAGGGAATCGGCGGCCAACAGGGACCAATTCCTCAGGGATGCGCACCTCGTTTTCTGGCACAGGTTCACCAACCACGAACTTGCCAACCTGTTTGATTAAGCTGTTAGTAAATATGTTGACGAGCGCTCCAATGATAGAAGGGACTTACCTGGATCTCAGTGTCGGTAATGGTGTCACGGCTAACTCTGGCGTAGCCTGTACGGTGGATCTTCTTGTAGAGCACATACTCGCACCATCGGTCCCAATCGGTGGGATCGATATCTTTCATTTGGCTCACGTCGCTGACATAGGTGTTGTAGTTACCCTCGAGGGGCTTAGTGACCAGGTAACTCAACAGAATCAGCGGGCGGGGGGATGAGCCCATCAGCTTAGAAAGATATTGGCTTTGAAGGCGGCGATCCTCGGGATCCTCCTCCTGGCCGGAGTGGAAGACAACAATGTCTACCATCTCGCCGTACATGTCAAGAGTGGCATGGATGGCGGGAGCCAGCTCACCAACAGGCGAGGGGAGAAGGTGGTGAGTGGAGTTGACAATGGGGAACTTGGAGAGCAGAGCAGAGCCCCAGGTGTGCTTATTAGGACCGGGGCCGAAATCGGTGTAGTAGCCAAGATCCTCAGCAATGTACTGGGTGACGTCCTTGTTACCCATGATGATGCGCTGGTTGTCCGACTCGAGGAAACCAATGACATCAAGCTCAAGCTCACCGATAACATCACGCATGCGACGCTCAGACGCCCACATGTCGTTGTCCAGACCGAAATGGACTGTCCAGATACCAGCAGTCACGATCTTCTCCTCGGGATGATGGGGCTTATAATCGTTGGTGGGGAAGCGCAGGTACGCCACAGAAACTGAGAGGAGTTGCAACGCAGCGAGCACATAAACGTAGTAAGAGCGCTGTCTCTTGCTGTTGGGGCTGACGGGCTTTTTGCGAGAGGGACCAGAGTTGGAAGTGGCCGCGGAGAATACTCCGGCACCAATGGCAAGCATGGTCGTAAGCATGACCCAGTCAGTATGTTCACGGACGAGCGGGCCACCAGGGACGAAGGCATAGGCAACAACCCAGACGTGGAAAAGCAAAAGGAAGATGTAGAGAACGAAACCAATGCCAAAGGTGCCTGCCGGGGAGTGGCGAACGGCAGACTTGATCAGGACAGGGGAGACAGCCATGATGTAGAATGCAAGCGCAAGAGCACCGTAGTATCCGGTCCAGTGGTGGTAGTAGGTCAAAAGAGCAGCACCGACAGAGCCAATGCCGTAGGCGGTCCAACTGCCTGCCACAGCGGGACGGAAGATACCATACACAAGACCTGCGCCCATGGCAAAGATCGTCACAGAACCATGAGGCACAGCAATAGGTCCCCGTACGGGATATCCATCCCAAACCCATGAAATCATAGTGCTGGAGTCGGTAAGGAGAGAGACAATGGCGAACATGAGACCTCCGAAACCAACACCAGCCAAGAGTGATGAGCCCTTCTTACCGCCAGCGGGCAGATAATCGCTACCGCTAGTAATGGAGCCCCTCTGGGAGCGCAAGACAGCAAAAATGGCGATGAAAAGGCCAATCTTGTTCCAGCCGCCGTTCTCGCCGTGCATGACGGGCCAAAGTGGGTTGTTGGTCGTGCAGGCAAACTTGGCAACAACTGACATTATCAGGCCAACACCCCAGGCCATGATGCGGGCCTCAAGGCGAGCGGTATTTCCGCGCTCGGCGAAGAAGCTCGCAACCCATGCGGCACAGGTGGTCGACAGTGCAAAGGCAGTAATGAACAGACGGTTGGCAGGGTCATGGAATTTATAGGCCATGAGAGCCGTAAGAGACATGAGATGAAGCAGCCGCAAGTTCTTGGTGGCAGCAGATCTCAAGGAGGGAATGGCGAAGAACAGAGGGGAAATGCAAGCAACAATGGCAACCTCATAGCCCGAGATTCCCATGTGCCACAGAGGGAAGTACCACACAAGGACGGGAAGACCAGTCACGATCGTCCAGAAGACAAAGCCGTTGTAAACATCGGCAGCGGCATCCAGGATTTCAGTCCAGAAGAAGCCCTCACCGAAGGTGTTGCTCACGGGCTTGCCCTTCCTATTTACTAGTTAATCTCAAAGAACGAGGTGAAGGACTAAACAATTGTACACACCCTTTTTCAAGGACAGAGTCCGCAGTCGTCTTCAACTGCCTAAGAAAAGGAAGTTTTTAGAATGGGCTTTGTTTCATAACCAACGTAGCTTATGCACTATACATTTGTGGATGTCATTTCGGAAGCCACGGTACATACCCTCTGCTGATTCCCTTCACATCGCGCACCACCAATTCCAGGCCTTCGAAATCAAGCACCGTAATGGCATCGAAACCAACATCGAACAAGATCAGGGACCACTCAAAGAAGGCGTACCGAGTGTATGCTAAGAGATGTGTATTAGTACCATTGCTTTGCTTTTGAGAGCAGAAAACTCACCACCGGGAACCTTGTGGACCTTGTGTTGAATGAAGTAGTAGATCAATGGCACCAGAGTTCCAAAGAACAGACTGGCCATAATCTTGCGGTACTTCACAGCACGGCGGTTGTTGGGGCTCAAGGCAAGGCAGCCCAGAGTCCATGGCAGAGTCGCCACCAGGTAAGAGATCATAAAAATATCGTGCCAGTCATGGTCATCGGTGGATGTGACATAGGTCCAGCCACCGCAAGTCAAGGTTCGGAAGACACCCACACCGGCCACGACCTTCGGGAGAGTCGAATTGGGACGCGCGGTGATGATGTACCACAGGAAAACGAGAAGGAAGCGAGGACCGGAGGTGATTGCGATGAAGACCTGGAAGAATGAACGCTCGGGGTATCGGTCGCCAATTGTCGCAGACACGGAGGGAAACCATTCATCGGGGTAACCGTAGTGTTCATTTTGCACAATCTTGTGATAATGGAGAGCCACACCGACTATCAGCGCGCTGAAGAAGGCAGCGTACGCGAAGAGCGTGTGAGTCCATGCAACCCATTTGCCGTTGATCTGCATTGAAATTCGTGTCAGAGTTGAGGGACCTTATCGCGTTTTTGGAGACGTACAGCAACCACGGCATCTCCATCCTTAAATCTGGGAGCCATGGTAGCGCAAATGGAACCCTGCGCTGGGGGTATATAGGGAGATTAAAAGAAATGAAAAAAGAAAATAAAAAAGAATGTCAAGAAAGAGAGGTGATAGAGAACAAGGGCCCCTGAGGAAAACATCGGATCCGTCGGTTTGTTGGCTTTGCTTCCAGAGTGGCCTTGGGGTCCTGAGTCTAACCGCGTTGGGCTTAGCCTATGCTTTGTCAAAAATGCGGGATCGACAAAAGTTCGGAGCAACTTTTTTTTTTCTCAGCTTCAAAACCGCAACCATGTCCGCCGCAACTGATAAGGCTCGGTACTTTCTTGAAAAGTCGGTTCCTGAGCTGAAGGAATTCGAGAAAAAGAAGCTTTTCAGCAAGGTAATTTCTTCCGAACGCGCCTGCGAGGTGCAGTCGCTAATCTTCAAAAAAAATATAGGATGAAATTACCTCAATTATCAAGAAGCGATCGGACTTCGAGCATAAGTTGAACGCGCGTGGCGCAAAGCCTGTGGACTTTGTCCGATATGTCGAATACGAGATCAACCTCGACACTCTTTGCAAAAAGCGAACCAAGCGCATGGGAATTCGGTCGGCAGGACACAGCGGTCAGCGACGGATTCTGTTTATTCTCGATCGTGCCACACGCCGATTCCACGGTGATCTCAATCTCTGGATTCAATACATCGAATACACCCGGAAACAGAAGGCCTACAAGAAGCTCTCCATGATCCTCACTGATGCCCTGCGATTCCACCCCACCAGTGCGGAGTTATGGATCTATGCCGCGAAGTACGCTCTGGATGAGCATGCCGATATGTCCCAGGCCAGAAGTTATTTCCAGCGCGGTCTACGGTTCTGCAAGGGTGCTCGACTCCTATGGATTCAATATGCGAAGCTCGAATTGATCTATATCGCTAAGCTTATGGCTCGTCAACGGATATTGGGATTGGACGAGGCCAGCCAACGGCCCAAGGCTGTCGAGTCCGCTGGGGTGGATCACGATGCTGACATGATCGCGGTCCCCGATGTCACCGAGGAGGATATCAACCCGACAGCGGAGGGCGACGAGGTTGACAAACATGCACTTGAAACGCTGAACGCGACACCGGCTCTCAGCGGTGCTATCCCGCTGGCAATTTTCGATTCTGCCATGAAAAACTTCAAGAACGACGATCAGTTTGGGTTCGATTTCTACAAGATGGTGTCGGAGTTTGATGATGTGCCGTGTCTTATCAAGATCCTTAGCCATGTGCTGGAGAATATGCAGGCTCACCAACCCACCAGCCCCCGAACATTGATCTGTTACATTCAGTTCCCAACCACAGGGGTCCGAGTCACATCACCAGAGTTCCCTCGTGCATTGGGAAGTTCACTTGCTCGTTTGAAGGAGTCGCAGCCGCTCAGTGCCAGTCTTGCTCAGGAGGTGGTGAACTGGTTGAAGCCACTGTCCGAGACCGAGGATCTGGATCCTTCATTGAAGAAGGTCATTGTGTCCACAATGCGCAATGCCGAGCGAACATTGTCGGAATGATTTGTATGTCTGAGGAAGATTATTTTTTTGCACTTGCGAGGCGTTGGTCGGATGTGAAGTAAAAAAGTGTCCAGGCATGTACATTTAAGTTTTTTTTTTTTTCCCGGGAATCATGTTAGCCATTTCCCAATCAATCATCATACTTATTCCCCCGCCGATTACTCTTTTTGTCACTTTGGAATTTCTTCGACTTAAGTCGAGACTCATTTTGAGCCCGTTGTCTAAACGGTCATAAACGGTCAGATCACCGGGCCATCCCCTGCAGGAGGGGAAGCTTACAATTTCTGGACACGGTCCTTTTGTTCTGGGGAGGTCTCCCCCGGAATGACGGCTTTGGCCGCGCTTTCTAACAATTGGTGGAGCTTGTCAAAACACGAATCCACATTGCTAGCTTGTTTCCGGGACTCGTCGGACTGAAAAATTAAGGCCTGAGACCGGTCGGACGCATAGCGTGAAGTGTGCAGTTTGGGGTGGAGCAAACGCGGCACCAGAGGCAGCAGCGCGGCCAAAGGCACCTTCAAGGTTGCTTTCGTGTTGACTCTGCCCCCACCGTTAGCCCTGCCGATAGTACCACGAGACTAGGAAACTCGGATTTGCACCGATATGTACCGACTTGTTCACGTTCTGGCCTCCTGGGCCGCTTGACCGACTAAAAGACAGCTCACCGATCTGGCGGGGGACTGTTTTGGAGTCCAAAGTTTTCAGCCACAGTCTCGCTAGTTCGACCTCTTGGTCAGATGACCCCTTTGTTGAAGCAAAACGGCGTAACCAGGGCGTTCTGACCCAAAGTCGAGTGACTCGCGGCCCCATCATCGGAACCGAGTGCGCCGGGCAGGAATCATAAGAGTTGCAAATCAGGAATTTTAAGGCCGAAAAACTTGAAAATTAAGGATTTGTTCTCCTGTCATGACCATGTAGTTTCGAAGTACTAGAGTAGGCAAAAAGGGATGATTATCGCTTTATGGTGGAGAGGCCATGACTAACCAAAACCACAAAGGTACGGTAATTAACTCCGAGATCTGGGTCTGGCCCCTCCTTTTCTATTCACTTACGAACTAGTTTATTCTTAGTGCGAGGGATTTCCATGCAACAACTATGAAATGTACGACGGAAACTGGACTCGGTTTCTATGGAAGGTGTTATCCTTTTATTGGTGGGTACTTTTACACGTCAATCAAAAAGGGATCCATTTAGGAGACCACGTACCCATTTTTATGTACAGCATACATACCAAGTATGAAAAAACAAGAAAAGTGTACGAACCAGTAATAGTCTAGGATCCAAAACAAAAAGGGAGATCCTTATATGCACCTTGGACTACGTAGGCGGTTCGAGGATGATCGTACAGGGTATCCTGCATGTCCTGCATTGCCAGAACTTTCTCCTGCTGATAGACCAAATTTCTCTCTTTGACTTCTGGAATTTACTCCCTCTTCCTTTCAAAAAACATCCTGCTATTTGCTTAGTTGTATTTCAATTTTAACATTTTGGTTTTTTTTTACTTTACGGCGCTATCTACCCTATCTGGGACCCTTACCGCCCTCCAACCCAAAGCCTTTTTTCTCATCGCCCCACCTTAGCTTGCGATCGCGAAAATTCACAATCTAACTTCCTCTTTCTGACTCCCCACTATAACGCCCTTTCTCCCTCTATACCTTTTATTTTGTTCCATTCCCCCCGTGTTGTAGATGAAACGTCCACCCCCCAGTTGTCTACATGACGCCCAGTTCTCCCGATGAAGCGCTTCACTTCCGCGGCAAGACACTGACTCCGGAAAGCCCTCGACCACTGCATATCCCGGAGCCAGCCAATATACCCGTTCTCGAGAACCAAATGGACCCTGTCTTTAATGATACCTCAACATATGAACGTGCGGTAGAGTTTCAGACCCCCCGAGGAAAAGATGGATGGATCGGCGAAGGACAAGGGCGTGGCCTAGGACATACCCAGGATTCAGGTAGCTTGCATGGCGCTCAGCCAGGGAACTCTGTGATGAATGATATGGCTGTTTCGGCGGACTTCTACCATTCCTACCCTTCCACAGTGCATTCTGGTGACGTGAAAGTGAACCCAAACACCCATATTCAGACCCACGCGCCTCCGGCTGTGCCGGTCCATCAAGGCTTCGCCACTACCAGCGAAATAGACAATGCCAACAACCGGGGAAATGCATCCCAGCTACCAGAGCACCTAAATGGTGGGAAGGAACAAGCAAGGCCAAATGTGTCTGGGGTCAATTTCCAGACTCTGCTGGACAACCTCTCACACCTTCCATCTGCAGAATTGGCCTCCGGGGCTGCTCCCTTAGCAGAAGGATCGTCTCTCCACCAAGCACCCAAGGACGACCCTCATCATACCCAAGGCGTCTTTATGCAGCCCCTTCAAGACCCATCTTCCCAAACCAACTATATCCCAAATGATGATGGCACATACCATCAACGTCCTTCTCCCCTTGCCACACCCGCCCATCCTACGCAACCCAGTAACAATGCCCAATCATATCCCCAGTCGATGGCACCGGGCGGAGCACCTGGCACCGTACCGGGTGCTGGTTCCCTACCTCCCCCACCCACTGCCAGCTTCCAACCCTCTTCCTCAGGGGAGTCACAAACTTCCCAAGAAGCTTCCCAAGCGTCTAAAAAAGGTCGTCTCGACAAGCAAACAGGGCGACTCGTCAAGCCAATGGATGACGATGCGCCCTGGGGCCCAGAAGTCCAGAAGAAATACGATGAGTTCCTTCATGATGAAAGGGTCTATGTGACGGAAGGTCTGTGGGATCGATTCCCGATGGGATCCAGGTTATTTGTTGGTGAGTTCTTCCCCCGACCAAGGGCTTCCGAGTAATTCACTGACTTTTTTTTGAAACCAGGTAATCTCCCCACGGAAAGAGTCACCAAGCGAGATATGTTCCACATTTTTCATAAATACGGAAAGCTGGCCCAGATTTCCATCAAGCAGGCCTACGGTTTCATTCAATTCCTAGAGGCGGGTTCTTGCCATGAAGCATTAGGGGTGGAACAGGGGGCCCTGGTACGAGGCAGAAAGATTCGTGAGTGTTTGGAATGTCACTTGGTTTTAGTTTGGAGGACTAATCTTTTTTAGACCTCGAAATTTCAAAGCCCCAGCGGAATTCTCGCCCCGCGCCCGCAGAGCCATCTCGGGCGCCCCCTCCTCGACGTTCGAGGTCACCAGAATTCAGCCGGGCTGGTCCCGCCCGAGCCAACCCACGTGCGTCCAGTGATCGGTACGACCGGCCTTATGAACCACGAATTCCATTCAGCGATTTTCGAGATGAACCCTCGAATCGCCGCCGCGATGGGTATCGGCCTCCGCGCTCGCCTTCGCCTCGGCCTCGACCTAGAGATGGGTATCGATCTCGGGACAGAACCCCAGAGCGATTTGATCGCCGTGAGCGCAGGCGTTCCCGTTCCCCTAGATCTCGATCTCCTCGCTCTCCCTATTCGAGAGATCGGCGATATCGCAGCCCGAGCCCGAGACCACGAGGTAGCTATGAAGGAGAAGCCGATCTTCCCGTGCCTCGGAGGGCTCCCCGTGATGTGCCTGAGGTCCAAGTTCTCGTCTTGGAGGAAATTGACCGGTATGCTCCCCTATCATCCAATAACTCTGCCCTTACCACTGCTAATTCACTTTATAGAAACTTCGTACTTCACGTGGAGAACGCTTTTCGCAATCGGGGCTTGCGGGTAGATGTCCTTGTGCTTGGCCCTCGAATTCCCCTTGGTGCGGCTGTCCATCGTCAGTACGTTGAAGGTGTACTTGCAGTCGTCAGGCTCTCTCGCCCCAACCAATTCTCTCGCAAGATTCCTCTTCAGATCTTCGACCGAAGCCCCGGGCTTAATAACGTTCGATTCAGTGACTACCCTGAAGTTGACCCCAACATAGCAGCTGAGGTCATGTTCCACCAGGCCCAAGCAATGCAACGTGGCCCTCCGCCTGGTTCCTTCCCCCCAAATCCTGCTTTTGGGATTCCTCCCGTGGCGATACCGGCTGTGCCGGTGCCTCAACCTACTCTGCCTGCGTTGACCAACCCTCCCAATATCGCAAACCTGATTAGTTCGCTGGATGGCCCTAGCCTCCAATCTCTCTTGTCCGCCCTTCAACGCCCGGCTCCTCCATCTCAACCTGTCTCGGCTACTCAATCTCCATTTTCTTCACCTAATCCTCCGCCTCCTGCTGATCTGGCTACTCTGTTGACCAATGCGGCTCGGCAACCTCCAATCCTGCAGCACCCACAACAACCTCTTCCTCCCTTCCATCTCCAGCCCCCCAATGGGCCTGTTGTCTCCGATCCCCACTTGCTGTCAATTCTAGCTAAGGGACTCGGAGGGCAACAGCCACAGGGTCAGCCGGCCGTCGGTTCTAATGTGCAAAACCTGATGAACCAGTTGGCCAAGTGGAAACAATGATTAACGAATCTCTTCGCTGTGACTTATGCTTGGCCTTCGGTTTCGGTTTTCCTTTACGTTTTTTGGCTATTTATTTTGTTTTTCTTTCGGAGCTCGGCGTTCTCACTCTCATCTTCCATTCATGGTTGGAGCTTTTCCGGTTTTATCTCATGCTGGAATCCATCCAGCCATTGCAAGAACAGGCGTTTCATTATTTTGCTCGGACTAAGAATCTAGATACAGGTGAAAGGGGTGTCTAGGTTGGGATTTGTCATCTATGTTTGGTTTCATCTCAGGACTCTGTTTTGAGACATGATGGATATAATATGACCGTGTCCATTACTGGAGTTACACAGATATGTAATTTGCTATTTGGATTCATTTCAAATGTAGTCTCCATATTATTGGGTAGTTCAGCAGAATACGCAGGCTTTCATTATTTACTCGATAACATTCCTACTTTGATCTTTGAATACTGCGTCGTTCCTAGTACCGTGTGGTGTCGGGGCGTTCAATTTAAATGCCAGTGTTGTATGTTGGAAACATTAAATTGAGATCGTGATAAGAGTGGATATGGTACATAGTGTACAGTTACGAAAGCGTCTTGGAAACTAGCATTTAACTCGACTTCCAGCCCTGAGTCTTCAATTCCTTCATCTTGTCGGCATCTTCTTTCTTGATCCGCTCGATCGTCTTGTCCCGGTTGTATTCCATCACTCGCTTCTCTTTGAAATATTTCACCTATTAACCACTGTTAGCATATCCCAATCCATATAGAACATGAAATAGACCCAAAGAAGAGCTATCTTGAGCCAACTAAGCCCCTCCAACAGGTGCTGTACATACCCAGGTCTGGGAACAAGCTGCCTCAAACTCCTGAACCTCCTTTGCGCATTTCCGACGAGCTTCCTTATCATCTTTGATTCCATCCAAGATATCATTCCGGTCCAAGCAGCTGAAGAAGGCATCTCGACCCTCCCAGCAGCGTGCACGACTTGTCCGGTCCGGCGCGATGCGGCCACCGTCAGAGGCCTTGTTGGAGTCGCCCGAAGACCAAGGGAGCCAGCCCATGATGATGGTAGGTAAATGTGGTAGGGTGATTGAGCAGTAAAGACTCGAAGGTAGTTTGGAGGGGAGAAATGTGGATTGTGGTGGCGGGCAGAGTTTCGATGTAGATTTGAGAAGTCGGAAACGCAGCGGATGCGGCGTTGTTACGGGTGCCAAGACTGTTGATCCCTCGGCGACACAACGCTGTCCAATTTCCTCTGTCGCCACAACCTCACGACTCCCTTCCCACTACCCTTACACTTACGACTGACTTCTCCTATGTATTGAACAAATAACCCCTCGCCTTTCTCGTCCCCGCAAAACTATTACACAGTATAGGGTTTGCTACCGTTGCATGATCACTGCGCCTATCTACGCCTAGCCCCGAACGCCGCGCCCCAACCACTCATCCTCCACACAAAGGGCACTGAGGGGGAAAGCCTTCTTCTCCCGTACCTCCTAGTTGATGCCCGGGCGCCGGCGCCTTCCAGCGGGGTCGCGAACCGACCTCCCGCCATTGAAAATCATCCGAAAGATCCTCCTCCTTCAGACGGCCTATTATGTTTGCGCGATAGTCCTTATCCTTTTCACAACCGTCGTATATGGAACACCATTCTCGCTAGACCTGGTCTTCGGGTGGGACTCTTTAAGAGGAGATACAACGGTTGGATGGATGCTGGGTCTAGTCTGGATGTTGAATTGTATCATCAGGTAGACATCCCTCGAATTAGTACACAAACTACGAGAACCTAAACTAACTCGACAATTCCAGTGTGATCTTCCTCCTGCTATTCGTCTCCCGATCCAAACTCGTCCCCGACTTCGCATTCACAATCCATTTCTTGCATCTCATCGCCACAACACTCTACACTCGGTCTTTGCCCGCAAACCTCCTCTGGTGGGGGCTGCAATTCGCTAGCGCGGGTGTGATGACTTTCCTGGGCATGTGGGCCTGCCAACATCGCGAACTCAAGCCCATCAGCTTCGGTGGGATTGGAGGTGGTAGCAAAAATGCTGCGTCCTCGTCTCAGCAATCGTCTGAAGATGCTCAGGCGGAATCCAGCTTTGGAAGGGGGAGAGGTAGGGAAAGGAGTGTTCAAGAGTATGAAATGGACGATATGAAGACCGGTGATCGTGCCGTATGAAAGTCTTCGTTCGCTTTTCCCATTTTTCAACTACTATGTCATGTGCTTTAAGCCTGTCTTCCTTTCTTTCCTTTGGACGCCCTGACTTATTCTGTGGGCTATGAACTTTTGGACGTTTTTCTTTTCTCTTCTCTCTTGTTGGTGTTTGGCCTCATGAACACCTAATTTTGCATCCTTATCATTTTTTGTATACCCTGCCGCGGTTGCATCTCTGTATAGATGGCGTTTCTCCTGATGATGAAGGGAATGGTCACTTTTTTCATTTGTGGAATATAGCCCTGTTACAATAATCCTGGAGACTGCTCCAAAATGATATTTCTATTAATGATTTGGACAGAAATGGCCATTCAATCGAGTCTCAATTCTTATAACCCGGGAAAGTCTGTATGATGCCAGTAGTATCTGATGAAACCTTCATATTGTTAGACAGGGTATATATACAAGCTCTTATTGTCATCAATAAATAGAGGGCTATCTATCAAAATTCTTCCTTCTTTCGTGGTACAATGATTAGTCTCTGTCTCCCACGCATACACCTCATCCGCACCTTCCCTATACTCGGACTCGAAAAGCGGAAGGGGTTCCGCACCCATCTGTGAAAGTACAAGTAACATCCGCTGATCCCGGCCAATGATAGCATCAAAACCCACATTGGCAGGGTCACCAGACTCCGCGAAAGCCTCCTATACATATGGGTTTATCGTGAACACGGGAAGACGGTTAGTGGACTATTTAGCCTATCGTAGGAAGGATATTTAGCTCCACTTTGGGTATTTGGTATGCCTTTATATAGTACCGGTGGACTTTGCTTAGTAGTCGTTCAAGAACAAAACTGACTGGCCCTTTCTTTTACTAATGCCTTATATTTTCTGTATATCTGATTTAGTGCCATTGGCCCAAAACGGCTAGCGGGATGTCTTCGGCCGGAGCTAGTCAGGCGTAGAACCTTAAATCGCTTTGACTCAGCCACCGCGTCTATGTAAGTTTGCAATATCCCATATCCCCATATCTGCGAATTGGCACTGTATGTGTTTTGGAATCTTAATAGCAAGTGGTGGATCAGAACACCAGAAAATAAGTCGAGTTGATACGCCATTTTTGTGAAATGTAGGATCTATTCAAAGCAGCATCTAGGAGCGGACGTTGTAATTATTTCCCTTTCTGATATAATGGTTACTGTTACTGTACCTGGCTATTATATCCAAAATTCATCAATATAGTAGCCACATTTCCCAGGCGTTATTCGTGTTTTGATGAAGCTCAACTCTCATGTTCTGGCCTTCTGCCATTTGCTGCACAAATTCATCATCGACCATGATTTTCAACTTTTTCTCGGTGATGTGGAATAAGCTGAAGCAGTCAACTGGCTCGATTTCGTACTTTTCGGAAATCTTCCTGACCAACTCTCGGACTGTGCGTTCAGATAGATAAACAGCACGATAATATTCCTGGAATTCATCTCCCAGGAGCCGAACGTAAAAACATGCAACTAGATATGTCAGCAAGGAAAACAAACTTGACGCCTGGACGTGCATACTTGAAGTGAGGTGTAGACCCGCAAGTATATGGTCAGTCACATCAATACGATTCACCTTGATGTATTCGACAGATAAATCGTCCTCAGCTACCGGCTGCGGTGTAACCGTAGTCTCTGTGCCTGACTGGTGGGAGCTCGTTGGTGTCATCATTGCTGATTCTTCGCTTTTGATGGATGTCTCGATGGAATGCTCGGCAGGCGTCGGCTTGATGCAACAGTCGTGATCCACCAAGCGCACCGGGTACAGGTCCGGATCATCTTCTTTGTCGCCGCGGAGAGCCAATAGAGTGGACGACCGAGAGGATAGCGACATTCTCTCAAACCCTACCAATTTTGACTTCAGACCAGCCTGACTTAGTTGCTCTGATACACAATCTGGTGGCAATCCTTTCAAGTTCTTTGCGACGGACCTGCCACGCTTGCGCTTTCTAGAGCCCCAACCTAATTCTGCATTTGAAATTCTCATTTTCAATTTCTCAATCCCCCTCTTCAGGTTGCCGTGATCATTGGATAGCTTTCGCTCCGCGCCATGGTCTCTAAAGACTTGGAGTTTGCAGAAACAAACTTCCGACTCTGGAGAACTAAGAAGATTATCGAGCGTTGTCTGTTGTTCTGTCTTAGCACAGAGCCGAACGGGACTTCCCCTCACCCCCTTCGAACGCGTAAAGTCGGTAGACAAGAAATTGAAACAGATCGGTATATGGCATGCGTTGAAGCCGGTGGAGGAATCCGTTTTCCAGGTAACACAGAATCCGTCAAAGCATTTTTGCTCAATCTTGAACCGAGGGCTGTCTCCGCCTGCGTATTCAAGGGCAAAAAGTGATTCTTCCTGTTGCTGCTCTGGAGTCATACCTCGCCCTTCTTTCCATAACTTCCAGTACGCTTCGGGGTTTGACCTTGCATGCTCTTGATCGAATGAGATTCGAACAAAGGTCCGGTATGTGGTCGCCTTGTCACTTATTGCGGGTGGCATCGAGTCCATAATCGTCAGGTAATAGACTTGTCCCTTGTTGAGGTAGGTCAGGGGTGGATCCCCATTTTCGTTGGTCATTGCAGTTGGGGCTTGAAGGATAGTACGAAAACGAAATCTGAGAGCCAGAATCACTTAGTTGGGATGTGAACGGAGGCAGTAAGTTGACTCACGTCTCGGTTTCTGTGGAGGGAACATGACTCCCGTCTGTGATGATGTCTGAAAAGCTACCGCCAATGCATGAAGTACCAGCAGACTCATCAGTCGTTTCGTAGGCTAATTCATGATAAAGATAAGGTGCCGAAGCCTGCGACCCTGCATCGTGAAGGGCCTTCGTATCCGGCAGTGGCTGACAGTTGTATAGTGGCACGCACGGTGCGGGTACCCAAGGATTGTTTTGCTGGAAGCTGGAGAGGCAGTCTGATAGGGAGTAGAGGCCGCCAATCTCGACAGATTGCTTGGGTGAAATTTGGCCATCTTCCGGGTATGAAGTTTTCCTGGCACCGAGACGGCCAGTAGAAAGCCCCGTGTTCAACCAAGGAAATCGCCCAAATCTAGTCGCAGGAAGGCTTTGAGCTGTATTCGATGCTCTCGGGTCTTCGATGACTGCCGAAGTATCCTGAGAGAAAAATTTAGAGTGAAGTCCATCGACTTCCGCCATGTCATATCCGGGGAATCTCAAATCTCTGCTAGGTATTAATAAGGATGCTCTCGCTCTGTTACCTAGTACTGCATACCTTGGTGATGGTGTCTCATCCCCCGTGTTTTGAGAAAAGTCGCAATTTCCGTAATCATTTTGACGACTAAAGGGTTCGGCGAGGAGAAATGGATAGGTATCGAGTGGCACAGGAGCTGAGTTTTGGGAGCTTTTGTGTTGAGGAAAACAGATTTGGTAAGCTTCAACCCCATCTATTAGGACTTCTGGTATGGAACAGGACATACCTGGTGTAGAGCATTGTGCTGAGAATTCAGTTAAGGAACGCAGGGAGATGTTCAAAAAGGATAAAATCTAATATATACAGGCGACCCCTGCTCTTGCTATCTATATCCTTGATCAGGTTTTAAAGTTAGCCATGTAGATGTGTCAGAAACTCTTAAAAAAGAAGGTGCGTTAGAGGACATTTGGTTCGGATATTCTCGAGAGGATATTATATACAAAATGCTGTGGTTCCCCCGATATATCTGTCTAATGATCATTGAAATATGCCAAGGGTAATCTGTCCAGCCAATGGTCGAATAAAGCCACCGTCGTAACCGCGGTTTAAAGATACTTATAAGAATCTTAGATTAGGACTTTTGCCCTTGAGAAGACCGAGGCGTGTAGAATATGCCATTTAACACCATTGACCAAGGGGTTTCATACATTAGACCCGGTAGATCCATAGATCCCATTGGTCGGCTGTTTGATCCGGGAACCTTGGAACGCCGGACGCTAGGGTCTAGGCCGTTCGTCGACCGGGAGCGGAAGCTTTACCCCGATGATTTACGAGGCAATTTATTGGTTCTCAATGATCCATGGTTATGCTGCCTGTCACCTGTCATTGGCGGGTCCTAATATCTGTAGGGCGATGGACCGTGGACCTTTCCCCATATACCACCTGTCAGTCGGCCTTGGCGCTCAAACACGATAATCGATCACGGATCAATGCAGCCACAACCTCGTTACCGGAATCCTCCGCCCATGATAAGGGGGGTTCGTCCCTCAAAATCTTTCAGTTCTGGATCCACGCCTTCCATGGTGAGGAGCAAATTCACCATGGCCTTGTGTCCGGCTTCTGCCGCAATTGACAGGGGCGTACGTCCTGCATGGTCCTGCGGGTTCAGATGGATACCTTCCGTAGCAAGCAGCAACTTGACTACTGCCTCACCGTCCTTTGATTCACATGATGCTGCTGATGATAATGGTGTATCTCCAAAGGAATCTTGGGTATTAGGATCTGCTCCGGCGGCAAGTAGCATTTTGACTACCGCCGCATATCCCCAATATGCCGCCATTTCAAGAGGCGTCTGTCCAACAGAGTTCGAGGTCTCTAGGTTGACAGTTTTCGTACCAAGCAGTGTGGCGACAATTATCTCAAACCCACTCGATGCCGCGTGCCACAATGGGGTTTCTCCCTTATAGCAGGGCCAGTCAGGTTCAACTTGCCCACTGCTGACTAGTAGATCGACAACTAGTCTGTGACCCTCTTTGACTGCTATCAATAACGGTGTCCATCCCCAATGATCCTGGGTATCAGCGTTGACACATTCCACATCAAGTAGCAGTCTGACCAGTTCTACATGCCCATGCTCCGCGGCCCATGATAAAGCCGTCCGGCCGGCCAAATCGCGGAGATCAGAGTTGACAGATTTCGTAGCAAGCAACAGTTTGACTACTGCCTCGTGTCCATTCCTGGATGCTTTCAATAACGGCGTCTCTCCTCGTCGATCTTCCGAATCCGGGTTGACATGCGATGCAAGTAGGAGTTTGACTACAAATTCATGCCCGTTCTGTGCTGCCTGGAATAACAGCGTCTCGCCGAGGTGATTCCTCGAATCTGAGTCGACACGCATCGTCGCAAGGAGTAATTCAACTATTTTCGTGTTCCCATTACGTGACGCCCATAATAGTGGAGTTTCGCCCCAAGCATTCTTCGTATCCGGATTGACACAGCCGTTGAAGGCGAGTATCATTTTCGTTGCCTCTTCATGTGAACCTTGAGTTGCCCACCACAGCGCTGTCTGCCCTCTATTATCCTGGGAATCGGGATCGACGCCTTCCGTAGCAAGTAAGACCTCAATGACTTCTGTATGCCCTTTTGCCGCTGCCTGCGATAGTGGTGTTTGTCCCTCGGAGTTCTTCAAATTGGGGTCGATACATTCTGCAGTAAGCAGCAGTTCAACCACCGCCTTATGTCCGTTTCTTGCCGCCTCTGAAAGTGCCGCTTGTAGGACCTTCGGCTGTGTTCGGGCCCCGGCTTCTAGGGATTTCCGGGCTGTGGCTGGTTCCCCCCATCTCGCTGCCCATAATAACGCTGATCCTTTTTCATGTTGTGCATTGAAGCGGTACAGATATGGATCGACACTTTCATGGATGCAGGTAGCCGTTTGGGCAAAAGCATTTATATCGGACTCGTGCTCTAGCCTCTCGGCTATTGACTGCACAAGCTCTACAGGCAAATGAACTAGCATGGGGACTCTGGCTCCCTTGAGGGATTCAATATTTGAAGATAAACAACGGTGGAGTGGAGGAGGTGGGCCCAGGATTTTATGCAACCTTGGAAGTGGGGCGGATGTGGAAAAAGCAAAATAGAAAAGTCATGGGGGAGCAGAGATAGTATCGTCCCAACGCTGCAAGAATAACATGTGGAAATGTACATATTGAACGCTGACTCAGATCAGGTGACTTCTAAAGAGTGAAGCCATTTATATCAGAGCCAACCAAATCCATTTATATACACATGCAATTGGCTTTCAGCTGAATCTTGATATGGCTAAAAGCAAATTGGGTGCATACCGTGTATAAGCCTCTCTTTCTATAGCACAAATGAGAAGTCTCGGACCCTCCAGCCATGGAAGTAGATTCACCAAAGAACAACCGAAAATCATGCAGCAAATCAGAAGAATCAGGGAAGGTCTCGTGAGTTCCCCAGGCGGCCCCGCTCTTGATATATCTTCATCACCGTCCCACTCGCATCTCTGCACCAGCATATTGTCTCAATCCTCGCAGAAACCCCTGATACTCAACAGCGCTCCCAAATCTATGCAGCCCATGGCTCCGTTCTCCGGTGCAGAACATCTCCGTTAGCCGGATTGGCCAGGGTGGATACCCATCTAGTTTAAGAGATGGCCCAAAGATCAGAAGAAGATCGGGTTCGGATTTGAAACTGTCAACTTCTAAATTCAAGCCGTTTTGCAATGGTTTCGACATGTCGCTAATCTTGGCATTAACGATTTCTTGTGTGATATCCGTAGACGACAGTTGGCCTTTCGTTGACATCTGAGCTAGACTTTCGGCCACATTAACAAGTGATTCACGCCCATCAGTAGAAGACAAGAGGAGGAGCTTGAGTGGTGTGTTGTTGGTTGATGAGGTGCCCTCGATAGGGTGTTTGGGTGCAAAGAGCAGTAGACTTGGTTGCTGAGAAGGAGAGCGGTAATATGAGGCGATTTTGGCATTAATAATTGGATGTAAGGTCGATATGTGGGACTTGAGAATCCCTGCAGAATTGATTAGTTGGTGGGGGAAAATGGGAAGAGCGAACTATACCGGTTTTTTCATATACACTTAACTGCATGATCCCAGCACATGCACTCCAGGCTGCAAGCTCCGCCACTTCGTCCATCAGTGTTCCCAGATCGTTCTTTGCAGTATGCACTGTCAGAATGACGCTCAGATGCTGTGGGATCTTTTTCAAATCTGAAACATCCTCATTGATAAGTTCAGGCGTTCGGTGATCGCGATAGATGGTAGAAAGCGTGTGGCTGATGACCAGATAGTACGCCTGAATTGAATGTTCGATAATATCGAAAATTTTGTGCATTATGATATAGATCAGGTGGTAGATCTTTACTTGTAGCATGATACGAGCGAATGTGTTGCGCGTTGCTTTTGTACTTCGGTGGTCATAGGTAGAGGATACTGGAGGCTCTGGTTTTTTCAGGTTAGACAGATCATAGAGACCGCGTATATACAGCTTTGGCGTGTTCTCGAGTTTGTCTAGGCCAGCCTTGCCCTCTTGAGAGTGATACCAGTCTAAAAACTCACGGTCTCTTTGGGATATCATGGTGTTGATCACTGATGCCAGTGTTGGAAACCAATGAAGAGCAAAATTATGTTATGAAGATTCTGCCGCGGACTTTAAGCTGGACACCGTTCCCATGTCAATTACGCGGCATCACCCACCTACCAAGCCACGCATTTCCACAGCAGTGGAGATGGAAGGTGCCACAAAAAAAGAAACCCAATCATCCAACACTGCATTATGTGATTTCAATCTAATTATGGCAGCATCCAATCCTTGATGATATATCGTTCAGCGACTCAGCGACACTTAAAACCCCAGGATCAGGTCATACTCGAGACTCATCCTCAATATTAGGAAATGATCATCAGCAAAAGGTTATATAGCAAATAAAATGTAGCCTTGAATGTTACACGTGCAACTAAAGCTGTGATGCAAGGAGAAAGCTGAGAGCTGGGGGTCTAGTGGGCTGGTGTAACACTGACCTATCAATAAGAAGTCCATCCGCAACAGCTAGAGTTTACAGTTTATAGTGATATAGACATACTCGTGGGCTTTTTGAAAAACCATTAGGCCACTGGTCAATTCTTCTTCATCAATATTTTCTATCAATCGTTGTATAATCTGCTGGAATCATGCTTTTACCAAATTTAAAGAAAACGGTCTCAAGTTCGAGTTGGACTCAAAAGATCGCTACTAGTGTTCTTGAACAAGGTCCTATTCCCAAGCACATTGCATTTATTATGGACGGCAATCGGCGATTCTCAAGAAGACACGGAATTGAGATCAAAGAAGGTCACCTCCTTGGCGGGGTAGCACTTGAACGGGCAAGTTGCTGAAATGGCATAGTTTTGGTGAAGCTGCGGCTAACTGACTGCCAAAGATACTAGCAGCTTGCTATGATGTCGGTGTCGAAACCGTGACAGTCTACGCATTTAGCATCGAGAACTTTAAGCGACCCACCGAACAAGTTGATGCGATATGGAGTATATTGCGAGAGATGACCAAAGTAGACTCCAGCTTGCGGGCTCTTCTCAAGTCCTGCGGAGCTAGACTTGGGGTATTAGGTCGCCTAGACCTGTTGCCTGAGGATGTCAGAGAATCGATTGAGGCGATGGTCGATGACGCTCAAGATCGCACACAAAAAGTGTTTAATGTATGTGTGGCATATACATCACAAGATGAGATGACCAGAGCAGTCAGAAAGAGCGTTACAGACTATTATCAAGCGAGAACAACTGGGAGATTGTCCTCGGACCAGTGCATCACATCGCAAATGCTCACGGATCGGATGGACACAGCGCGAGATTTACCTGTTGATCTCCTGGTTCGGACGTCGGGTGTGTATCGCTTGAGTGATTTCCTACTATGGCAGTGCCATCAAGATACCGATATTCAAATCATGGATATTCTTTGGCCAGACCTTGAGTTCTATGACTTGTGGATTGTGATATTGAAATGGCAAAGAACAGCTATCGCTAGAGGGAAAAGCCTTTCGAGCCTTTCACCTAAGTATGGTAGCAGACTTATGTGGTTTCGGATCTATTTGTTTTCATTATTGTGTTCTCTTCTTATCATTTTGCCATTTTCCGGATATTACCTTCTATAGAAAGAACAGTGGCCCAATCCAACTGTCAGGTTACTTACCATAACAATATGCTCTCCGCCATTGTAGATTAAGTTGGTACATTGTACAATCTGACGGGTATCACATAGTAGTGACCACAGGTGCAAAGCTTCATCGTAAGGGCCACCGAAGATCAACCAAGGTCTAATTCGAATCTGTTGATCTGCACGTATCACAGATAACTCAAGTCTACGCCAACAACAGTAGATCTACATGCGGTGTAACATTATATTTTCAATTTCAAACACGTTGCACGAGGGCTGTAGGCTGAAAAGTAAACATCCAATATTGCTTCTTTTGCTCGACCACTGAATATTACAAATTCAATTTTGGATGACGAAACAACCTAGGGCTTATCAATTTCGGCGAAATGGAGACTTTGGAAGCCTTTTCGTTACTGGGTTGCAAGATACGGAGATATTTGTCTAATATCGGGTAACTCCTGTCGGGCCTCAACTGAGGAAATCTTGGAAGGGCAACCGGATGAATTGGACCTTCCTTTTAATGACTGGTGAGGAATAAGATGGTCACATCCTTCCAGCATTCCGGGAAGCAAGATAGGTTGACTGCATCGGCCGCAGGGCGAAATTGGTTACCCATTGTGACATTCAATACCACCGACCTCTGGAATCCATTGGCCTGCATATTGACGGATGTCTCAATCTAAACAATAGTACCTGGTCTGCTGTATTTGTGAGAATTCTTAGTCGATGCAATCCCAGTTGTTCATATAGTGGCAAGTGGTGAGCACTAGGAAAGAAATGTTAAGAGAAAAATCTCTGATCCCAAGAACTATCTGGGCCTTATGTAGCTGTCAAGAGCGCGTGTGAAATCGCCATCCAGAATTCGTGTCGCATCAAAATGCACTGTTGACGTGCTTGGTTTTAGCTACAGAATATATATGTGGAGACCGATGACTTGAGGCACCCTTGCATACCCCGCTCCTAAGTTTCTCTCTTCTATTTCTTATCTCCCTGGGATTCATCCATACGTAAATGTACTCACAGTATTCAAGCAGCAATGTCTGAAAGCAGTGATAAATTCCGAGTCATTATTGCCGGAGCTGGAATCGCTGGGCTTGCAACCGCCATATCTCTCAAGCGGATTTCCTCAATCCCTAATCTCGACGTTCAACTATACGAGCAAGCTGACCAGCTTTTGGAGATTGGCGCTAGCATCGCGCTTAGTCCAAATGTAGGGCCTATGGAAAACAAGGCATAGGATTGGGCTTAAGCTAAATATTATATTGATAGGGCATGCGAACGCTGGAAAAGCTTGGCGTGGACAATGCTCTCTCAGATGAGGTCGGGTTCCGAGGACCAAGTGGAATCCCACAGATCTTTCGGTGTGCCACTTTGGATATTCAGGCAGACGCCAAATAGAGTTGACAATTTTCTTCAAGTCACTGGAAAACGAACCAAGTAATCTCTGTGGACACCCACACCGATGTACCCGATCCCCGTCACCATACCACGCGATTTCACCGAGGCCATTTACATGCTGCTCTCCTAGAGCACGTACCTAAGGAGGCTGTTCATTTAGGCAAGAAAATCATTCACGCTGATGTCAGCCATGAGGGAGTGTCACTGCACTTCGAAGACGGAACCCGTGCATTTGGTCATATTCTGATTGGGGCAGATGGCATCAGATCGGTTCGTTGTCGTGTGCCTTTAGCAGATTACATTATATCTAATACATACAAAGAAAGTTAGACAATCATTCATTCCCGAATACAGATTGCGCTTTAGCGGAAAGATCTTCATGAGGTCAACATTTGATGCATCATTGGTGGAGGAAAGAATTCCGAACCTACCTGCGGACTCTTTGCACTGGGTATGAGAAACAAATTTATTCAGTCGCTCGGTATATCTTTGCTAACATTCCTAAAGTGGGGACCTGAAGATAACTTCTTTGCATCTCGACTCGGTATGTAGGGCAGAGGCTCTCTAACATAGCTTTTCGTACGCTGATAAAGTTTTAGGCAAGGGTCAATACACTACCGTCGGGGCTTATAGTGATCCACGCTCCTCTGAAGAGCTTGAAAGAAACGTCGGCTGGGACCAAAAGGGAGACGTAAAATTCTTGAGAGAAAGATACAAGGCAAGTCATGTAAACATGTCCTTGTTTGAGGTGCAAATTCTAACCTCATATATGCAGGACTGGAACCCACTTATTCAAGCCCTGACGGAGGCCACTCCTTATACAAATCTATACCCTAACTTTGCTGGAGATGCACTAGACACTTGGATATTCAGCTCCCGAGTCGTTCTGGTCGGAGATGCTGCCCATGCTCATGGTGGCGCCTTCGCCGCAGGAGGGTCTTTAGCACTGGATGACGCCTTTGCGCTTGGCCTTGCCTTCAAGCACGTGGTCAAATTTTGCCATGGAACACCACAACTCTCGCTTGATAATGTTAAAAAGGCATTAGAGCTTTACGCTAATACTAGGAAGCCACATACTGATAGATTGTTGCGTATTGTGCACAATCAAATTGGTACGAAACCAACTTCGTCGGGCACGCTGGAGGAAGATGCGAAGCTTGTTTCGCGGATGAAAAACAGACCTGATACAGTGTGGTTATCTGAGCATGATGTTGAGGCTGCAATGACAGCTAGTATTGTACAATCAGAAGTACACGATGTCAAGGCTTTGGAAAGAGAACCAGAAAACCAGGGGAGACTTGGATCGACAGTACGCAGTGAGTGGGGTAAGTTTTGAAGGGTTGTCGCTTCCATGTTATAGACCGAGGTAGCTCATAGAATAGCTAAATAAAGAGCGAATCACTCATTGTACCGCCGCAGGTCTATATGGAACAATTAAAGGAAGGTACTTGAGGGAGTTCCATATGGACAAGAATTCGATGATGGCTAATAACAGTGTTTTGGCATATTATTTGTTTATAGAATGAGATAGACCATGGCTTTTAAAGACTCTGATGCTATGCAGTCCTTCCAATGTAAATTCTGCATTTTGAAACCCTTGTTCGGTCAAAACAGTCCGAATTCCAAGGCACCGAGTCCGTGTTCAAGGATATTATTGCAGAACTCTCCCATTGGTCTCCTCAACAATGAGCTCATACTCCGGTTGGAACTCGGTATAGAAATTGTGCTACTACATATTAGCCAAGTATGAAGATGCGATTATGTAGGCACTTACAGGGTTCTGAGCAGTATCGGCGGTATACTGAGCCACCTCGGGGGCGATGATCTTCTTGGGGATACCGTTAGCCGCGGCAGCTTCAGCCATCAGCTGCGAGTGGCAGGAGTTTTCCAGCATGGAGTACAAAATCGCGGCCTCGTCCACTGTCGTACCCACAGTCAAGAGGCTATACGAAGAAATATTAGACAGACGGCCAAAGATGAAGAAGTGAGCGACTCACCCGTGGTTCTGGAGAATGCAGGCAAAATTGTCCTTGCCCAATGCCTGGGCAATCTGTCTTCCCTCCTCCTGGGACAAGGCAATGCCAGCGTGGTCCTCATAGAGACCAATACGTCCATAAAGATTGCAAGCATCTGTTAAAGTCTTGATCAGCTTCTGCTAGTCAATGAAATTAACCAAATTATGACATACCTTGAGTGAGCATCTCGATCGGCTTGCCAAATGCACTCCATGTCTTGCCATGGATACCGTGAGTATGAGCAGCAGCGATAACATCGGGACGAGCTTTGTGGATTTCGGAATGGATCATGAATCCTGCCTCATTGATGGGTAACTGTGCACCTCCTTCAGTGACATATCCTTCATGGTCGACGAGGACTAAATCCGAGGCTTTAATTGAGGAGAAGTGTTTGGCGAAAGGGTTCATCCAGAAGTGATCCTTGAGAATGGGATCTGACGACAGTTAGAATTCTCGCATGGCTTATGAGGCCTAGAAAGGACAATACATACCGCGCATCGAAATGTGACCCGAGATGCCTTCGTTGTATCCCCTCTTGCCGAAGTACCGAAAAGCAACAGCCATATGCTCCTTCATCCATTGGCGCTTCTCAAGCGGGTCCGAGAAGGTGGGGATTCCGCGCAACTTCATTGTGCCATTTCGGTCGCCACGAGCGACTGATTGAAAGGTGGCATCGGTTGCCGGGTCGGAGAGCTTGTTCTGGGCCTCAGCAGCCAGGCGAACAGATCCCTCCTGTTGTGTGGTGGTGACAGATGTAGATGTCGACATGTTGGAATGTGGAGGAAGTGACAGATCCGAATGATAATTCAATCTTTAAAAGTGATTTGATCAAGAACAAAGTCCTTGATTGCTCGAGGGGCAAGGTGGGTTTTATCAAAATATCTCTTATCTATGGATGCGGATCTCTCCCGAACCCCGCCTGTGTCATTGGAAGGCGGCCCTTAAAGACGGCGCTTCGGACTCTTTTCCGTTATTTCTTTTGGGTATTCTTTGCCGGAATCCACTTTTTGTTTACTAAAGTAGACCGGTGATTGATCAACGGGGTGGATCCTTGATTTTCTTATCAAGAGCCAAATTTAAAGATCAGATTGTATGATCTTTACGGTTCTTTAGCATAGGATTTGTGATGTTTGCCCACGCAGGGAAAGCTTGGCGGTCGGCATCCGCGGCGCCCGAGATCCCTGTCAACACTGCGAAGATTCGACCACGACAAAGTTCAAGGACCTTTGACATTGTATAATCAAAGAGCATTCCTACGGTTTCGATCTCTAGCGCCCTTTGGTATGACTGTCACTGCACTGAGCATATTCTTGGTGAGTCTACCTCTCATTGTAAAGAGATACCAGCTGATCATCTCGAAATAGGCCAGTACAGTCGCCTCACTTTCACTAGATTGCCTTCTGCATCCTTTGGATACAATCAAAACACGTATCCAGTCTCGTCAGTATGTTGGTTCCTTGCGAGGCCCAAAGACCAGCATCCTAGGCGATACGAGAATCCTTCGTGGTCTTTACCAAGGCATAGGACCCGTGCTTGTCACCTCGTTCCCTTCTGGTAAACCATGTCGCAGTACATTGAATATTCGGTATCTAACTATTCATCATAGCGGGCGTATTTTTCTTCACTTATGAACGTATTCGATCTAGGTTGGCCTCGGCATCAGAAGGCCCTGAACCGACTAACTCCACTCTAATTCTATCTGACATATGCGCATCTTCTGCTGCTGAAGTTGCAGCTTGTCTAATTTACGCTCCCACTGAGCTATTGAAACAGAATGCGCAAGTCGCTTTATCCCCATCTACAAAGCCAACATCATTAGCAAACCATCAACAACCTAGCACATCTCGTGGACGCACATTAGCAGCAGTATTGAAAAGCGTCGGCGGACCTACCAAGCTTTGGAAAGGGTATTGGGCTATTTTGGCGCACAACCTACCGTGGACCCTCATTCAAATGCCTGTCTACGAAGCTCTCAGAAGACATATGCCTCGGTCGGAATCTCAGACCAAGAAGAATGACACCTTCGAAATTATTGCCAATGCCAGCATATGTGCTGCCATCTCAGGTGGAATAACAGGTTTCCTTACTGCCCCGCTGGACGTCATCAAGACACGAGTAAATCTGGACTCTTCTGAGCAAGCATTCTCTGGCGGCAAAAGGGTGATGAGGGCAACGCAGAATATAATCAAAGCAGAAGGCCTGCGGGGGCTGTACCGTGGATGTGGCATCAACAGCTTCATGGCTGTTTTTGGTTGCGGTTTATATTTTGGTCTATACGAAGGGGGAAAGCATTGGCTAGGTGATGATATAGATCGTGCTTCAGGTGAAGTTTTCGTCTAACTTAGAATGTACATTATACCTGATCTCTACTCTGAATAAAAAAAAGAAATGACTCTCCTCTTCTATACGGGTCATTGGAACGGCTGGAGAGTCGTCAATTGGATGGTGGGACGATACGGATGCAATAACCACCCAATCTTTTGGGCCAGATAAGCTCGGCCATGCATTGAAATGTTAGTTCAATTTTTGACAAATGGCATTCATGAGAAGCAAAAACAATATCTGTAATAGGGCGCAATATACGGCGTGGATCGCATCGAAATCTATGGGTCCTGACTAAGCCACCCGTGACCCCGTTTATCGCCATGTGGGATTATCGCGGAGCTGTCGACAGTTGACTCTCGTTGAACTCCTTTCACCTCCACGACATGCTAAATTCGCGTTAGCATTGGCGCAACCCCCTTGGCATATCCGACCTCCAAAGTCTCCTTTCCTCTCCCGAAATCTCCACGGCGATTGCATTCTCCATACCAATCGAAACGCCGGTGTCTTCTAGCGCATTGATACCCATTTGTTACACTTGCGTCGCCGATGAGTTGAAGCTCTCAATTTCTTCATAAATTCAAACACCACGAGCTTGCAACCATATCTTCGAAGATGTCGGAAGGAGAGCCCTCCTACATCGACTATGAGGCCTTTTTAGACCCTGAGTTCTCGCCGGCCGGATTCGCCAACTCACTAGTGCTGAGCACCAACAATGCAACAGATACACCCCTAGATCTCTCAACACCACTCTCACGGGTCCTCTTTGATCTACAGGAAATCGACACTCACATTCATGGATTAACAACAAAGTCAGCACTATCACTTCTATCCCACACACAAGACCAAACCGCTGCCGCGGAGCATATCCTGCAGGAAACCGGGACACAGATCACATCAGTCACCCAGGGATATGAGCGGTTGGAAAAGGAAGTCCTACAGAAATGGCAGGCTGCGGACGAGGCTCGAATTGCAGCAGAAAATTCATTGGCTACTGTCCGGCTAGCACGTGCCGTCGCACGTTGTTTGGGACTTGGTCGTCAGCTCGAGAGTCAAGTGGCAGAGTTAACTGGGCGTACAACTGCCCCGGCAATAGGCGCCGACGGAGCTACCACATCGACAGGCAAAGAAGGATTCCGAGCGTTGGAACGCGCAGCGATTACCATCTTGCATCTTCGTCAAATGTTCTCAGCAAGCTCGGAGGAAGATGAAGGTTATGGCTTAGACCGGGTGAAAGTCACTCGAACTCTGCGCAATGAGTTTGTAATTCCTGCAGAGAACATGGTCAAGGCAAGGGCGCAGCAAACCATCAATCGATTCTCATTATCGAGTCCCATGACCACCAGTGGTCAATCATCGGTGCCTTCAAGCTACAAACAGGCTCGCGAAGCCCGATCGCGCTTGGCTACTGCTGCAGCCACTTTATACCTCCTGTCACCTATCCCGAAGGGCGTTGTCACGACATCTGACTATAAGCCTGAACTACTTCTTTCTACCTTGCAAGGGTATATGCAGACGTCCATCATCACATCTGCTAACGGCCTCGCGAAGGCACTGTCCCAACTCCCCACAATGGATCGTGCCTTGGCCGACATCTCCACGCGATGTCAGGATATCGTTGGCCTGGAGTCCATCTTGCGAAATATTCGACCGCCATCTCATCCCCTCCTCTCATCCACAGCCAATGATGATCAGCCTGCCCCGGAAACAGAAACAGTAGGCTCAACCCAGGCCAACCTCCTCCAGCCCCTCCTTCAGGCTCTCGATACCGCATCCCTGCCGTCATATTTCTGGCGATCGCTCGCTTCCTCCCTCACGTCCCGCGTGCAGGAAATCATCAACCGAGGGGGCGTGTCTGCACGCACCCTGCGATCCAACCGAGATCGACTCAAGGCAGAAATCAAAGATTGTGTGATGCGTGCTTCCCAAGTCTCTGCCACCAACCTCCTGGCCGAAAAGGGTCGATCCGGAATGGACACGGTGGTGGTTGGAAATTGGGAACGAGAAGCCACCGTGATGGTGAGCGCTGTCATCGGTCCCTTAAGCCGATAAAGATATACTTGATGTATTAAATAATCTTAAACTCTATCCCAGCCTCTAGGTGGGACGAGACTTGCATTACTATAAATGCAAACCATCAAGACTAATGCAAAAAAATCACATGCATCTCCATTACCTCTAAATCTTGACCCTAACACCATGGTCGACCATACGAGGCACCACGGGCCAATTACCCCAGAAATGCCAGGGGCCAAGTCCCAGGTACCTGGCAAGGGGGTGTAGAGTACCTTGGGAACCAAGAGTACACATGCACCAGGCTACCGGGATAGGGCCAAAAAAGAAAAACAAAGATACTACAAAGATAACGAAAATGCCAAGAAACTGTTCCGTATTCGGAGATTTTACAGAATTACCGTTGTAAGTATCTGTCAGACGACTCCTTGCAGGGCTTTACAAGGCCAGGGTGGCGGGGGCCTGAGTAGCTGCATTGCAGGTTGCCTCGTCGTGAAGCGTCAAGGCTCCAATAAAAAGGCGGAAACGGACTCCAGATCAATGAGGGGTGGAGGGTGAGTCAGAAAAGAAAAGCAAAAAAGAAAAGTTCTTTGTGCTGCGTCCAATATGAAATCCACGGAGATTATTCTACCGAGTGGAAAATCGGGGATGTACCGAGTAGCCTCATGTACGACCAGGACTAAGATAGTAACATGTGTGATGTCCGTGCTTTGTGTTTCTTGTTTCCCCCCACGTACGTGGCCGGACCCCCAGGTACGCATCCGCATTACGACAGGTACATGGAACCGGGCATGCAAAGCGGTATGATTGGATAGACACAAGGGGAAGATAATATACACTGTACATGTGTGTAAGAAAGAGACCTATCATCTGGAGGAATACACCGCTTGAAAGGCAAATGTGGGAATGGAGGCAAAAAAACCAGAGTCCGTGATTGAACAAGAATTACTCCGATGATCATTTCATCAATTTTGAGATCAACGTATGGATGTGCCCCTCAATTTACGAGTGAGATCTCCGAAGTTCCCGGGGCTGAAAAAGTCGACGACGTCAGTGTGTGATCCTCACCCGTGGAAGCGCCGATCGTAAAAAGACATGATTTTCCGCGATTAAGCCCTGCAGGTACCTGCCACTACCTGGCCGTGCGCCTTCCCCGTCGTTACGGTGGCGCCCTGCAGTTGTACCTACAGGTACCCGATTGCCCCTCTCAAGCCTTACGCTAGACCTCCACCCAATCACCCTTGTGATATGCTCACAACAGGGGCAGAAAAGGCGTTGGACGATCGATGATCGGTCTTTTCTTCCTCGAGTCACAGACCCCCATGTACATCTGGGGACTGTACTTGAAACCGGGACCGGGACCCCCATCCACACTTGTCTGGGCATCCGCGTATCCCCAAACGCTGTCTACACCAATCCGCTTCTTGGAATTCCAACCCCTCTCCAAAACCACCCCTCTCCCGCCCTGATGGCGCGTCCAGTTGGTTGTGACCAGGCGGGGAATCGTATTAGTACAAATCAAAAAGCTGAAATGGAGCACATCATTCCCACGGACCGTGGCGTCACTGAACAGGGAATATGGGGGCAGTGAGCGAGCTGGTGAGCAGCTGATTTAAAGTATGATATAACCTGGGGTTAAAATCCTCTGGTAAAATCCATGGAAAGTTCGAATAGAACATCGTGAACCACGTTTGGGAATAGCTTAAGAAAGGCCCAGGTCTCGAACGAACGACAGCGCCAAACGACAGGAAAAAGAAACGTTTAAAAGCAACTCGCGTACCGTGGGATCTTATTCGACCTTGTCATGCGGGCAACCCATTGTGTACGACGTGGGTCGATTTACTTTGACCCACCGATCGTCGATATCATAACCCGCATGTCCTACCGTTTGCAGCGAGCATCCACGGTAGAGAGCAAAAGGAGGGGCAGTTTACACGGGAGACGCAGGCACAGTGAATACTTAATGGGCCAGTCGGTGCTTGCCGGGGCCTGAAGGTTTTCATGAACTTTGGGATGAATTGTTGTCTGAACGCGGCGGATGAGCGGAGGCGGCGGGATGGTTATGGAGATCTTTCATCTAGAAGTTGGAAATGCCCCGCCACTTGGTTTTCTTGACTGTAATTTTTATAGGTAAAGGAAAACCCTGGTACCTTGTACTTGTCTAGAGTTCTTATCAATGGGGTCAATGCCCCCTCAATACCCGTGCATTGCCGCCCTCGGATTAATGGGGATGTTGAGAGGTTCAGATAGGAATCACACTGAGTTAAAAGATATCAATCTATCTTCATCGGTATATGTATTATTACCTGCAGTAATGTAGAGCAGGTGATATAGGAGATTTTTCATTTTCTCCAGGACGGACCATTCGGAATCGCCCCCTACCGAGTAACGATACAAACCTTATACACTTATACAGAAGAGTATGACGGAGCTTAGGTTCGGAGGATGATCCCCCTGTGATGATACATCCATCGTTAAAATGCAAGGGGGTCGCATGGGAAGTAGAAGACTCTAAACGTCTAGGGGAAAAAAGTCAAAGAGTCGAGACCAGTCGAACTAGATTAAACCCTACCAAACTCCATTTTAGCCCCACGGCCAGTTTTCCAGGGTCTGGGCGCGATGGTGAACGTCAAAGACTCGGGTCGGGTACTATACCTTAGAGGACCCTGTGAAAGTAAAAGGCTATGAATCATACATTTCCTGTACCTGGTGCCTATGGATACGGTATCCATTCCCTCCATGGTTCCTGTTGTTCCCTTGAACCAGTACACGCGGTTATAGTCGCAGCAAGATCTGGTGAAACACTCGATGATTCGCATCGGTAGCCCCGGAAGTTGCTGAGTTCCTGGGATCTTCAATCTGACTCTGCGTAAGCTGAATGCTTTTTGCCCCTCGCTTCCGATAAGCCTTTTCTCTTTCTCGTCGTCACCATTTTCCTAGACTCTATCTCCACCATTCTTTTACGTCTGCATACTCCCTGGACTCTTTTCCTTATACTTCCTCTAATACCCTGAACTCTGACAAATCTGACGATCACGGACTTTCCCTTATCTCCTTTACTCCCTTTCTTCTTGAAACTCCCTCTCCGGAGTTATATGGGGGGATTAACCTGAAACCTTTCGGGTCCCACTCGACGATCCTGCTTCGCGTGTCTTCGCAAACGTGCTCCCAAGGAAAGATGCTTGCGATCGGCTAATCTTTTCCTCTTCCTTTCTTTACATTTTCTCAACCCTTGCTTAACAACTACATTCCAAACCGCCCCTCCTGGAGTAGGCGCCACAGAAAACTTGATCTGTACGTATTGAAATTCTATTCTATTTCTAGTGCTTGTCAGCCACTTTCTTTTTTTGGAGGGGGTTTTTTTCTCCGTTCTTATACTGTAGTTGTGGGACCGGTCTGACGTTTGTGTGCAATGTTGACAGTGGCCAGAACTCCGCACCTTCCGATCTCCGTAGCGCTGCGGTTCCTGCGACAACTCCCACCATATAGACAATAGATTCCCCGGGATCTGGGGGTCCTTTAAAGGAAGAGCGGATCGGGTTGCCGGCGTTGCGACCGGATAGGGTTTGCCTCTGCCCACCCCCCTCCTCCGACACTTTGACATCACCCGCCTCCACTTCTTACGTCGCCAACAAAAACATGGCCTCTTTCCTCCCTGTGAACAACTCAGCGAGGATCGATGACCACGCCATGGACGGAGCGTCTACACCCCGCGCCAATCCGAACGGCGTCCCGACCACTTTGGATCAACATCCCCCCGCGGAGCACCCCCCGGATGGTCTGAAGACAAGCAGAGGAAGCGAGAGCTCAGTGCAAACAACCATTTCAACAGGACGTGCCCGGACAGCGTCCATGTCCGACGAACAGATGAATGATTCAGATGGAGACCCAGACGGATCCGACCACGAGGGAGAACCCGGCAGTGCACCGCCGTCGAAAAAGAAGAAGGGACAGCGCTTCTTCTGTACCGACTTCCCTCCATGCAATCTTAGTTTCACTCGAAGCGAACATCTAGCCCGCCATATTCGAAAGCACACTGGCGAGCGACCCTTCCAATGCCACTGCTCCCGACGCTTCTCTCGACTTGATAACTTGCGCCAACATGCACAAACGGTCCATGTGAATGAGGATATTCCAGGGGATTCCCTGGCGGCCACCGGCACTCGCTTCCAACGCCAGGTACGGACAGACCGAGTACGCCCCCCGGGTCGTGCACGAGCAGGTACTACCGGCAGTACGGGTGGTCACAGCCGAGGCCATAGCCGAAATCTATCTACCTCTAGCATTACGTCCACCACCTCCACCTTCAGCCAACCTCAGGAACTTCGGCGCCGTCCCCCGCCGCTGATGATGGCCAACGACCCCACTACCCGCTCTCGCCTAGGACTGGATCCCATGGGGGAGCCGCCGAGCACGCCGCCAAGCCAGATTCGAGGAATTCCTGGAGCGTCAGCAAATGGTTCGCCATACACTCCGTCCAATATGTTCGCTACCGGAGCAACTGGTAGCCCACAATATAGCTCACCCATGTCTGGTGCCACGCATTTCTGGGAGGGTAAGACAGCCGCTCGTCGGCTATCTGTTCCGACGAGCAGCCATCCTTTTCTTCCTCAACATGCCAACCCTTATCCGCCACATTATGTCAACTCACCCGCTGCGCCATATCCCAACGCAACTGGAGTATTTGCGAGCCCCACGAGCACCAACTACCCTCCATCCAGGGATGAGAGTACCCTTAGTGCCGCTGAGATAGAGATGAGGCGGCGCACATGGCACCCTTCAACATATCCTGTGTTTGGTCGACCGTCCACTAGTGGTCTGAGCCAATATCATACTCCCGATACCGTTCAGCCGTCGTTTGGAGCTTCCAACAACTCCACCGACCAACCACCTCGACTACCAGGAATTGAGAGCTTCGACAAGGTAGTCTCTCAACGTCCCTTGACTCCTCCCACCCGCAAACCAAGTCCAATGCAGATTGATGGTCATGGCCGGCCTCCCCCAGCCCATGGCTTTGGTGCGGGCTTCAATTACGCCCAGCCCTCGGTCCGGCCAGCACCTCCTATCTCAGGGCCAGGTCACCGGCGCGGTCATGTATCATGGGATATGTCTTTACATACCAACTTGACGGGTCTTGATATTCGAGATCAGCGGTCTTCGAGGGATGCCTCTCAGTGGAGTCAGCAGACTATTGCGGAACTCCAGAATGTGTCTTCTCGACCATCATCATCTTACCAACCCGCCTTCGGGCCCATGGTCGAGAGAAGCCCTGAGGAGCACCGGGGCCACGCCCCCAGTCTTTCCTCGGGAAGCATTCGACCCAATCATACATCTCCCGAGGACTCTAGCAGCAGTGAGGGAGTCCACACCCCGTCCACCGCTTCGGTAGAATACCACCCGGCGATTGTACACAGCAGCGGATACATTGAATCACACGAGTCCTCGTTGCCATCCGATCATCCTCATCCGGTAGGAAATCCCATTCGAACGGACGGCGCTCGCCTCAGGTACTAATGCCGTCATAGATCTGTGGTCGACGAGACCCTCACTCCGACGGCTACCCAGGCCACGCCGAGCAAGAGCCCCGAACAAATGTTTTCAACGACTCCTCTGTCCGGGATACCGGCATGGGTCGGCTTGAGGCTTTGGTTGCGGTCGCGACGAGCGAGAACAAAGGGGCCGCGAAATTGTTCATGTAAATTGTGCATTCGTCCCACGACTCCCCGACTTTCATACCCTATATACCGATTTTCTTGTAAACAGACCCATCCCTTCCGTGATCTGAACACGGTCATGCCATGGCTCTTTCTTTTATTATTCCTTTATTTGACACTCTCTGCGCCCCACTGTTATTTGAAATGTGGGCCCACTCGACTGTTTCTTTCCTCTCTCTTATCTCTCTGGGCGCTCATTGCAAAGTGGACAGCCCTTGATGAAGTGACGAATATGACGACCTATACATGAACTGGAAATTTCTTTTCTATCTCAGTTTTGTTCTTATTTGTATGTGGGAGTCTGTCTTTGGTTTTGATGTTTTGCAGGGTTGCCGGTTCTCCGCATGTCCTGGGCGTTTCTATGCGGGAGCGTATGGATAGGCATCGTGTGCATGACGATACCCAGCCTCGATCTATTGGTGTTTCTCATTCTCTCCTCCATCTCTGCTTGGCGGTCCTCTCTTTTCATGACGGTCTCACGCCTTTACTGTTCCCGTTCTTGTTTTATTATACTGCTTTTTATGATGGTGGATCATGTCATGTTACGGACTATTCTCAGGATTTTATGATATCGTTATAACGCCAATATGACTGAAATGCAAATGCACGGATTCATTGTAGTGTTAGATTGTGCCTGATTTCGGCTATGACGTTTACCCCGCACAGCTACCCCTTATCAGCTCTAGAGCTTTATCTTACCTGGACCAGCACTTGGACTAAACACTTTAAAAGTCGATCGGGATTTGCAAATTTCCAATTGGCAATGAGAAATGAAATGTAATGAGAAAAGAATAAAATCTAAACTTTCAACCCTGGATGGACCAATCCGACAAGAAAGCCGAACACGGAAATGAGCAACCGGTGACGTCGACAGCGGTGCATTGCGGGACCTTGGAAAATGGAAGCTCCCGCGATGGAACTGGGCTCCTGCGCTGAGCTAATGATAGTTCAAATCCAGGACCGGTGGAAGTCCTATTGTAAGAGTATTCCCTCCAGAAACTATGACATGCAAGGTCCCATAGTCCACAGTATACATCATAGTAAAGAACCACTTAGACTAGATTCGAATATGGAGCACAACCCCTCAAAAACCAAGGAGATCAATTCACAAAACGAGGTTCTGGACTCCGCACTTGTCAGAATAGCCGGCACAGACGTCATAGTCTGGTGACGGCGCCATTTCCTCGGGAGCTTTAAATGTGAACGGACCCGGCTTATTCTTCTCACATTATAATTCACAACTTTCAAACTTCGAACCTTCGATCAATACCATCCTACAACACATACCCATCTTAATATCGATACCATCGCCATCATGTCGAAGAGCCGTATGCCACTTTTCTTGGGTCTTACCGCCGCCGGTGCGGGTGGGTACTACCTCTACCGCTCGGGCGGAGATGTCAAGGGCGCGAAGCAGGAGATGAAGAGTATGTTACTGGCCTTGATACAATCATCCCCAATGCCAGATTGCTAACCAGAATTGCCTACAGTTGATGCCGACAAGGCACGCGAGAAGCTTCCCCGCGGCGAGAGTGCCGAGCGGGCGGGCGCAAACGCCGGAAAGGAAATGGGTGCCGTTGCTGATGAAGCTGTACGTATCTATTCCATCGCTTCCATTGGAGCTCCCCTTCACATTCGTTTACTCTATCCCTTTCGTTCATCATCCATTGTCTTTCCTGGATGGACTCGTTGCGTATCCACTACATACTCCCAGCCCCCCCACTTTCCGCCAATCTATCGAACCAAGCTAACGTTATCGGATCCAGATCAACAACGCCCGCTCCAAGTTCAAGTTGGACGAGAAGATCCCCGAGATGAAATCCGAGGCAATGAGCAAGTTCGAGGATGGAAAGAACAAGCTTGATGGACTCAGCAGCGATGCGAAGAGCAGAATCACATCCGAGATTGACCGAATGGACCGCACTGTTGAGCAGAAGGCGGCTGAGGCTAAGGGCTGGTTTGGAAGCAAGAAATAAGTTCTTGTGCCTGCGCTTTAAATGATGTTTATGTTTTCTTTTCTAATGTTGGCGCTGTGGTATGAATTGAACATTGATTTTTATTATTGAATTGGATTTTCCAGTATGCATCTCTATCTACGGGTAGACCTGTAGTGTATTGTTCTGATCGAGACTGCCGCGGCTTCAGAAGAGCATCCAGGCTCAGGATCCATCATTTTGGGACGAGGTCAATATCAGATGACTTGAATCACGAAATGATGGAATATACCCGCCTAGCAATAAGCACCAATATGGATCTGGCATTGTTCGTCTGCCTTCCTATCCGGGATAGGCTATTCAAGTATCGTCCCTACATCCCACGTCAACTTTGTCTCTACGCAACTATATGCGTAGTCAAAGAACAGCCTTTCGCTTCTCCTACTTCACTTGGAGGAACATCGGACATGTGATCTAGACCCACCAACCCATTGATTGCTCGATTAAGTCGATCGAAGCTATACTCAAAGACAAAGCGGTGGGAAGTATACGCAATAAGATATAGTTCTAGTCCTCTGCTTCACTGGAGGCTACTTCCATTATGTAGCCACATAATGGAAAATAACCATATTGGAAACACAAATTGGAAGACATTTTTTCTTGTTGTATAAGCTATTCAGCGGAGACTAATATCTCTAAAAATGCACATAGGCATACTGTAATCGCTAGAATAATTACTAGCCTTTTGAGTGAAATTATACGAAGACCGTAGAATAATCATGATGAGGCACAACGAGGACTTATCAGCCACAAGGCAGCTGCTAGATTTCTATGTTCCCCTGATAACAAGATAAGAATTCTTTGGCAAAGGCTGCTGCCGTTGCTGCTGCATATGGCTGCCACCTTTTCAGCTTATGCGAGTCAGCGTAGTCACAGATGCCGCGGATGACCAGACATGGGAATGCGTCAACAAGCCCAGCGGCTTCCATCTCGACGCAAATGATACCGAATGTATCTCTAAGACTATCTCGGAGGACCGCGTCTTTGATCACAATGTTGGATGAGCCAATGGTTCCGTAATGGATCTTTGGAGCAGTCGAAGATCGTGGCTCCCTTTTCACAATCTCCTCTAGTAGGCAGTTCCGACAGTCGCTACCAGAACAATGAGGATAGCTCGACTTGAATAAGACGTCGTTCTCTTCACCCTGATAGATGTACTGCTTCTCTTCCATTTTCGGACATGAACGTAGCATCTTGGTCAAGTGATCGGTCAACCGGCTCTCATTGCGCATTTGCTCTGCAATCAGCAGCTCAAGACTCGACATGATAATAGGCGGTGGTTTGTTAAGGCTGCCGGTGCGTTCAAATTCGTTGTTGGTATTTGATTTCCCACGGTCGAATTGCACCACTCCTCCGAAATTTTGGGTTGGTTTGCTAACAACCACATCACCTAATCGAATATCATGCTTGTACATATTAGGAACGCCGCCCCCAATGCCTACAAGAAGGCCAAATTGTAGGCTTGGGAAGTCGTTTCGCAACTGGTTGGCTACCATAGCCGCGGTGTTATTTCCAGTCTCAGGCATGACTGTAACAATCACATTGTGGTGTCCCATTTGTCCCAGTATATACAGATTCCTTGTCGACTGAAGTTGCAAGTGTCTTTCATCAAGCATAGCGAGGACTGCTGCCAATTCCACAGCCATGGGACATATTATTGCGGTCTTATAAGTTTCACGTGGAGGTATGCCAGAGGGATGCTTGAGTTGGACTCGAGATGAGCTAGGATGAGACATTGCTCTGGCTGAATGTGATACGTAATCATTGATAGAACTTTCAGCGCAGTGATTCTTATCGCCTAGTAATTCATTGTCTATTGAATGAGTATTCGAAGGTAGTAAGGGTTGAATAGTTGGGTGTGGTTGGGCTTGGCGTTGTCTTTTTAGCAGTGGTGTTCCCGTTGGTTTGAGGTTCGAACGCACAGCCATTGCCATCGTCCCTGGTGGACTACTCGGAGGCGGAGGAGGTGATTCCGATCGCCGTCGCTTATCAGGTGGAATCGAAAAATACTTTTGCAATTCAATCTCGAGTTTGCTGACAATCTCCTTGTAAATTTCTCTTCTTATCGTCAACTCAGCATCCCTGCCACAGGCATCACCCAGCCTCAGTGATCGTGAAATCGTACTGTGTACTACAAGACACCCTTTTACTGCTTCGAGGTAGGAGTCGTCTCGTTCTTCGCTGATTTTTTCAATGCAATCATGTAACTTGGCCCAATTCAGTTGGTTCTTTTCCTTGTCATGTGGGCTGATTTCTATTGGAATTTTCTGTCCTAGGTCGATCTCAAGAAGAAGCTTGGCGAAAGAAACTAGGACTGGATCACCAACCTGAAAAAGACGGGGCTGCGTCGACGAAGAAAGTGCTGAAAAGAAGGACAGATATAGTAGCTTGGTCTGGTTAGGGCCGCTGGGCGAAGCGAATATGTGCAAATTTTCGGAGTCCAACTCTGAATCGAAGAACTCCATTAAACAGTAGCCCAACTGGACTGCTAAAGTTCGCTTCTCTTTAATGTTGTATCGATTGAAGCGTGTACTTCCGAATAGATACTCAATATCTTGAGGCTTGAAGGCGTGGTCCAATATCAATTGGTGAAGCGATTGTTTGTGAAACCTCTCAGCTAACGGCTTATCTGATCCAGCACCAGTCCAAGCTCCAAATATTTTGCATTGCTCGATCAAAAGGCGCAATTTTCTTCCTTTGCCTGAGTGCAACTGTAGGTCATCACAGATGTCGGAGATGGTCGTTATTGAATCCTCGTCCCTGCAAGTTCGGTTAACATCAATACTGAGATGGCACCGGAACGAAGCTTTAATCTTACTCGCACAAATCGCATAGAGTCTCTTGCCACAGATTGGGACTTAAGCAAGAGGATAGTAGAAGATGCAATCTCTGTCGCGGGGTGGCTTGATTCAGGCCCTCTGACAGCCTGAGCATCACCTCATGGCGCCCTCCACATTTGAATCTCTCAAATAAGCTTTCCAATACACTTGTAGCACGACCCCGTAACCCGGTGTCTAGCAATATTGGGCCATCCGCGTTGTTACTTTCCCAGCGAGGCGAGTCACAATTGGTGCTGAAAAGCTGATCCACGACATTGTTATATTTTGTCAGCCTGTCCAAATCGTTCTTGAGCTCGCTTGTGTCTTGGGGAAGCCTAAACAAAGTCTGATGTGAACCGCTTGAAAGGTCAAACATATTATCTGAGGGCCCTAAGGGTGTTGGAAGTGGAAGCAAGTCCTCCAAGTAATGGACCAACGTGTGCAGATTCGAATACGCGGAATGAGAGGGAGGGGGCCTGCTTGTGGACTTGGGTTTAACAAGGCGATTAAGCAACTCACATATCTTTTGGAATATGTGAGAGAAATCGTCAAAGACAGAATCAGATAATTCCAGATTCGAATCTTTGGGAGTAAAGACGCGTCGCAATTCACACTCGAAGAGCTGTTGGTTGAAATGCACGTGAGCGCTTGGGGCAATATAACGTGCTTTTCTCCCTTCCAAAGCAAAACCCAAGGCCTTGAGTAGACGCCATTCACGACATTCTGCAAGGTAAGGCATTCTGATAGATTGTAGAATGATGCAGAGACACCTGATAGAGCAAAGTGGGCAAAAGACGAGAGAAACATGCACGTGATGGCTACCCCGCCTGCTTTGCCCACGTATTTCATTGCAGCCATCGTAAATCACTTTTAATACTCATTGTGGCTTAAAGTCATTTTGTGTTTTCATCAAGGGAGGCTGAAGCATGCACCCATGATGGAGGTACTTGACCAAGCTCCCGAGCCCATTTATGATATGGCCCGTCAATGTGAAAGGCTATTTGACTCGCTAATAACTCCTCTCAGCGCCCAAGAGACACCTTTGTCGAGCCTCTTGACGGATTATCAGCAGCGTTTTGCACTATGGAGCAATCACCTCGGCGTCTTTGCCCGCAAAAGCCAATGCCTTGACTGGAGGCTCCGGACTCTCCCCGATTTTCAAGACATAGTGATACGACTATTGGCCATCCTGACTGCAGGCCTGACGCAGCGTGAGTAACATCACATTCAAAGCCAAGATTTAAACTTTTTCTGAAGTGAATGTAGTTGTTGGAAATAGCCATCTCGATGATACCGGGCAGACTGAATTTGAACACATCAAACATCAGCAGAATGCCCCGTGGTTAGATAAGGACGCATTGAGAGTCATTGAGGAGGTACTTGGCCGGCTAAGTCGGCTCGGAGTCGTAATTAGGCAATCTTCGAATGGGGGAAGTGCCTCTCGAGTGGAGAGATTTGCCAAAGGTGTCGATCTCATACCTTTCAAAGACTTATGCTGGTACTCAGTTCAAGTCCTCTACCCCGATGCCCACCCAGAACTGAAGGACCGACTTGGTGAGACAATGACTCGCACATATGCCAGGTTGCTGTACATGAAGTCTCGCGAGTCGGCACTAAAGACTCGTCGCACGGAGACAATCTCCTCTCTACCCGCTATCAGTGAAGAAATTAAGGAGCTATCAGAGAATCAAGCGCCCAACGTAATTGAAATTGATGGCATCCAGGGCTTCGGGAAGGCCAAACAAAGGTCTTACCCTTCTTCACAGTCTGAATTAACTTCAGTCAATGCTGAGCAACTTCGCGTGATGTTGAGTGAATCAAAAAGGGAAGCCTCGAAGATAAACAAAACTTCGTCGATTCATTACCGTCTAGAGAACTATCCCGAACCACCAGATAAGAACAATATCTGTGAATGGTGCTCCAAACCATTGAGCAAGGAAGATCGGGAGCCCATCAATTGGAGGTATGCATCAAATTACCAAATAGGCATCCCTGAAAATTTGTGATCTCAAATCTCATTCGAGGATAGACGCCATGTTGATAACGACTTACGACCTTATTTGTGTATTTCAAATGAATGCATTGATAATTACCCCCAGTACTCATCATTCGATGATTGGCATGTTCATATGCGTGGTCATGGCCAAAGTTGGCACCAAGAAATATACAATTCTCTATCTTGGATTTGTCCTCTCTGCGAAGATGGTCAAGAATTATTCGCTGACTCGCAAGGCCTTTTCACTCACATGAAAGAGTCCCATTTTTACCATTTCACAGCTGACCAGCTTCAAACAATTTCACGCCAAAGTAAGACACAGCTTCCAAGGTCACAGAATGAATGCCCCCTGTGCTGTTACAAAATTGAGTCGACACAACCCGCAAATCACCATTCCAAAAAGCGACCAAAGGAGCCTCTTAGAAGAACGAACACCAAAAGCGCCCGAAGCTCTGTGGAAATGAGCTATCCCGAATCAGGCAGTCTAGCTGATGGTATCTCCTACGACAATCACGAAGAGGTGGGATATGACGAGCTCAACAACGAACTTAGCCCTGTTTCTGCCAAGACTGTAGCGCAACATGTGGCGGCTCATTTACACGTGCTCATGCTTCTTACCATTCGTCTGGCTTCTCTACAAACGGAAACAGCAATACCGGAGAGTGAGATAGAGAGCGATGTTGTCGATGTTGATCAAGATGACATGTTCTCCCGCGGACATGATTTTGAGTCGGAACACATTTCGAATATTGATTCTATGCAAGCCGCGGATGTACAAACTACAGAGAGCCCTCCACTATACAGATATGGTGATATGGCGCGGGCCAGTCAACAACAGGTCACCATTCCCGATCTTGAATTGGACGTTGATTGGGACAGCATTCCTCGCTGTTATGAGCGCCTGGCGGAAAAGGACGAGTTTCTACAGGGAATCATTAAATTGGGAGCCTGCCAGTCACACTTTGAGGAACCCACCAATTTGGCACTCGTCATGATGATCCTTCGAATTACCAAAAGCATCATGAATATCTGCAGTCTTTACATCCAAGAAGTCAATGTTAATGTTCAGGTCGATATCGCCGCCTTACAAAAGACAGTTTCGGAACTGGAGCAGATTCTCGGGAAGCAGAAAGAAGTTCTTAAAAGCCCCAGAGAAATCAAGCTGCCAAACTCTTTGCAGCTAGCTGATGACATTACCGAATGCCTCTTCGAGCTCGAATCCCTAGAAAAAAAGATTACGCCAAAGGCCGGGACTTCAATCAAGCCAGGCCAAAAGATTCAAAGCTTGAAATGGCCGCTCCGACGAACAGAAATGAATATAATTATCATGGATCTGCAAGGATACAAGATACCCTTCACCATATTTCTGCAGATCAACCAAGAGTAGGTTCTCCAGTCAAGATGATTCGACTACGATAAGCTTATATTATTCAGAGCTCTCTCCACCAGCTCTGTGCCCAGTGCAGATCATGCCATTCAGAGTCCGCATCTCGCCCAATTGCCATTCGCGCCTGAGGCTTTATTTGACTCACATAAGAACATAATGGCCGAATGTTGTCTCCCGGGCACCAGAACTAGGCTCCTTCATTCAATCATGGATTGGCTGATGTCGCGGAAGGGTAAACAGATATTCTGGCTGAATGGCATGGCTGGAACAGGTAAATCTACCATTTCAAGATCTGTGGCAAAGTCCTTAAAAGACACAAATCTTTTGGGGGCGAGCTTTTTCTTCAGTGGGGGCAGAGAAAATTCAACTATGTTCTTTCCGACACTTGCAAGGCAATTAGTACAGATCATTCCAGGGCTGGGCTCTAGCGTGCACAAGATAAGCCTCGAAGATCCTCAAATAGCTTCAAGATCGCCCGAGGAGCAATTTAAAATATTACTCCTTGAGCCACTGCTCGAGCTTGATCAACTCAATGAGCAACAGCCCCGATTCGCTGTGATTGTGATCGATGCTTTGGATGAATGCGAGAATAGTTCATACGTTCAAAAAATACTCCAATTGTTATCTCTTCTACAGAAGGTCAACAACCGCATACACCTTCGGATATTCTTGACCAGCAGGCCAGAATTGCCAATCCAACTTGGGTTGTCAAGTGTCAAGAACCAAGCTCTTCAGGATATAGCACTTCATGAGATCTCCTCTGAGGAGATCAAACATGATATAGGTCTATTCTTGAAGGAACGCTTTACAGGGATTAGAAACATGAGAAACCTCCCTGAAGACTGGCCTGGCGATAACGTCATCCAGGATTTAGTGACGATGTCATCCCCATTGTTCCTCTACGCTGCTACTATATGCCGACTCATCGAGGACCCGGATTGGGATCCCCAAGAAACATTGGCAGGCCTGATTTCGGACCAAGCCCGCTACACAAGCATAACAGATAGAACATATCTACCCATCCTCACTCGCCTACTGGACGATCAAGATGAGCCAGGACAGCAACAGCTTCTACAAGAGTTCCAGAAAATAGTCGGGGTCATCGTCCTCCTTGCTGCTCCGCTTTCTATAAATTCACTATCGGTGTTTCTTGAGATAGATGCAGACCAGATCAGCAATCGATTAGTCACACTCCAGTCTGTTCTCATTGTCCCCAGTGATCGGGAACGACCTATTAATATGCTGCACCTATCTTTTCGAGACTTTTTGATCCAAACCAAAAGCAAATTTCTTGTGGATGGATTAAGAACGCATCAAGAAATTGCTCACATGTGCCTGAAAACCATGCAACGCTATTTACGGAAGAATATCTGCCACTTAAAAAGTCCTGGAACGCATCGGGGAGTTATCGATTCTCTGTATCTTCACCAACATGTACCACCAGAGCTTATGTACTCTTGTCGTTACTGGGTACACCATCTAGAACACAACAATTTCTCTCTTTCTGAGATAGAACGCGTGGAAACATTCCTACAGACGTACTTCCTATATTGGGTGGAAGTCATGAGCCTACTAGGTCTCATATCAGACGTGGTGGAGATGCTTAACATCCTCCAGAGAATATCGACAGTAAGTCTTTGGAGTGTATATACATAGTTCCTACTAATTAGCATAGGGTGCCCGCACAATATCCAAGATTCTATATGATGCAAAGCGTTTCGTCCTTCAAAATCTCGAGGTAGCCAATGAGGCGCCCCTTCAACTCTATTGCTCAGGACTAATATTTGCACCTCAAACGTCAATGGTCCGCAGACAGTTCAAATTCGAGCTTCCTAGTTGGATATCGCAATTGCCACAAGTTGAGCATGAATGGAGTGCAGAAATACTGGCTCTAGAGGGCCACCTTGGTCCGGTGCAATCGGTGGCCTTCTCTCCCGATGGCCAGCTACTAGCGTCTGGCTCTGATGATAATAATGTGCGGCTCTGGCACGCAGCCACAGGCACACTGCAGCTGACCCTTGATGGCCACCTGGGTCCGGTTCAATCGGTAGCCTTTTCTTCTGATGGCCGGCTACTAGCGTCTGGCTCTGATGATAAGACGGTGCGGCTCTGGGACATAGTGACGGGTGCTCTGCAGCATATATTCGAGTCAGAGTCTGGTCCAGTTCAATCGGTGGCCTTCTCTCCAGACGGCCGGGTGCTAGCATCTGGCTCTGGGGATAAGGTAGTACTACTCTGGGACGTACAGACAGGCTCCCTGCTGCTGAATCTTAAGGACCACTTGGGTCCGGTTCGATCGGTGGCCTTCGCTCCCGATCGCAGGCTGCTAGCATCTGGTTCTGATAGGGTTGTGCGGCTCTGGGACACAAAGACGGGCGTTCTGCAGCAAACTCTCGAGGCAGAATCTGGTCCAGTTCAATCGGTGGCCTTCTCTCCAGACAGCCGGCTGCTAGCATATGGCTCGGAGGATAAGGTAGTAAAAATTTGGGACGTAGCGACAGGCACCCTACAGCTGACCCTTGAGGGCCACCTCGGTCCGGTTCAATCAGTAGCCTTCTCTCCCGATGACCAGCTACTAGCGTCTCACTCTAACAAGATGGTGTGGCTGTGGAACATAGCCACGGGTACTCTGCAGCAGGCTTTCGAGGGCCACTTGGGTCCTGTCCAGTCGGTGGCCTTCTCTCCAGACAGCCGGCTGTTAGCATCGGGCTCTGATGATAAGATGGTGCGGCTCTGGGATCTAACGAGGCCGACGGGCCCCGGACAACAGACTTCCGAGAGTCATGCTAGTCCGATTCAGTCGATGGTCTTCTCTCCCGATGGCCAGCTATTGGCGTCTGGCTCTAATGGGCAGGTGCAAGTATGGAACACGGCGACGGGTGCCCTTCAAGATGTTTTTCATATTGAGGGAATTGTCACTGAACTCGATTTCTCTCTGGACGCTTCATACCTCCGCACCAACTTAGGATCGATCAGGACTAATCATAGGTGTGCTACCTCCATTTCACCCGAGATGAATTCAGCGGTATCCCTACAGCATGACCACTGGGTAGCTTTACACGGGAAACGGGTGTTATGGCTTCCACCGCGGGCTAGGCCTTTAATTTCGGCGATAGGATCAAATACGCTTGCCCTAGGATATGCGTCAGGTCGGGTTTCTTTCATAAGATTTCAGATATAATGTGCTTCAAATCAATATTATTGTATTCCTTTAAGTTTCCGCTAACCGGTTCTGTCGAATTAAGATATAAGAGAGGTAAGAGGTTCATTTCGACTTGCTGTTCCTTCACCGTGAAGTCTAGTGTGTGCTCCCATCGAATTCAGATGCAATGGCGAGCCATAACGCCTAGTCGCGAAGGGCTTATATCGTAGAGAAAATTTGCCACATAATGCCCTATATCTTTTCTTACCTACCGTTTCATAGAATGTGAATGGCGTTATATTATCTAGCTCTTTCCAAAAGGTAACAACCGTACGTTGTAAGGAAAACAAACGATCTAGCGGCATTGGAATGTATATTATTGGAATGTATATTAACTCCCAATAATGGCTTGACTAATACGCCGGTCAAGAGGTCAAGAGCGAAAAAGTAATCTCATTTGCCGAGGTTGAGTTTCAACATCTCCACTGGCATCATGGTAGCGCGGCTAGAGATAAGATACCAAACGCCAAAACAAATTCAGAAACCTGGTTGTAGGGGTAGCAAAAAGCACAAGATACGGGTATGGAAGGTCCACGTCACATTTTTGGACTTTCCTTGTCCAGCAGAGCTTGCGAAAAACCCAAGTACTCTAGTTACCTATTCGAGGCACACTTGCGCCAGCTGCTGGGCTGAATGTATGTTATGATATCTGTGGAGGCAACTCGAGTCTTGCAAATCCTATTCGATAACGCGTTGTGTCCATTTATAGCTGTAATTCCGTAATAAGACCAAAATTACTTTCCTGGTTCATCATCCTGCGTGTCGGAAAAGTATAAGAGACCCTTGATCCCCAGTCGTCAGAAAGATTCTTAAGTCTCTATTCATTGATATTCTTATTCCTGATAAGCAATTCTTTCATTCAATATGGAGTCCAATTCCGTAGCTCGAGAGTTAGTCGACGTGGTGGTCATTGGTGCAGGTCTGAGTGGTCTCTGCACGGCTTTGAATATCCAAGCCGCAGGCTTCTCCTGTGCAGTGGTTGAAGCTACTGACCGAGTTGGGGGGAAGACGCTCACTCTACCTTCGAAGAAGAATGGTCCCGGTGTCAATGACCTCAGTGGCGCTTGGATTAATGATACTACACAAAGTGAGATGTTCAAACTCGTTCAGCATTATGGTGTTCAGACAGAAATCCAGATGGACAGAGGGAACAACGTCTGGGTGCATGATGATGGGGTCACTTCATCATTTTCCAACTAAGATATCAAAGCCTGGAATTAAGATGTGTAACATGTACAAGAAACTAGGGCCAACTGCTCTCTCAGTCTTACAATTGACACGAATGGGGCTCACAGCGTCAGTGGCCCCAAACCCTCAAAAACGCTCTTTGAAACACGAAGATCCTACCTGACTCAGAAATGTAGTATGGTAGCGCTAGCGTGATTGAAATACGGTGTCCTCCAAATCACGTTCCACAAATTGCAAGTCGAAGATCTCCGAATAGCTATGACCATTTGTTAGCATTTCACAAGGATTAATAATTGATAACCTACATCATCATTTTCCACGTCTCAAGATCGCATTGACGAGTGTCAAAGCTCCAGTCAAAAGGTTTTGTTGCTATAGGCTCATCGTTAGGGTTGTGGTACGTAGCTAGAAATGTATGTGCTAGGGCTTCGCTAGCACTCAATCTTTTATTAGGGTCGAAGACAAGGAGTCTCCCTAGAAAATCCAAATCTTTATTTCTCAGTACAAAATAGTCTTGGCAGTCACGTTCGAAAGGTATTGCTTACCATCTGAGGAGACACTAGGAAGAATAATTGACAGATCTTGGTGCTCATATCTAGGAAGAGACAGGATGAAATGCTGGGCCTGGTAGTTGAGTAATAAGCATGGAGTAAGTATCATTGCGGGCTTTGCTGCCGACTCTCACATTTTTGCTCGGAATCTGATTAATCAGTTCCTCTGTTGGTGTCCCAATGATCTTGATGATGACACGTAACTGATCTATGTGGTCAACACCAGGGAATAATGGCTTTCCCAGTAGCATTTCCGCCATGATACAGCCCGTGCTCCACATGTCTACTTTACTGCCATATTTTTGCCAGGAGACCATGATCTCCGGTGCACGGTAGTATCTTGTAGCGATATATCCCGTCATTAGAGGTTCGTGAATCCGGGCAAGTCCAAAGTCACAGATCTTCAGATCACAGTTCTCATCGATAATGATATTGCTAGGCTTTAGGTCTCGGTGAATCACGCCGGCGGAATGGATATATTTGAGGCCTCTCTGTGAAGAGTCAACTCATATTCACGTAAATTCACTCCAGGGCTCAGGAGTTGTAAACATACTAGAATTTGGTAAATGAAGTATTGAGTGAACCGTCTTTCCATGGGCCGTACGCTGAGGAGGGTCTGGAGATCAGTGGCCATAAAATCGGTCACTAGGTAACTGCATAGTCCACTCAATGAGCATTAGGTGGAATAGGTGATCATATGGAATACTTACATGTCCTCCCGAGGCGACACGAAAATTTCACTTAGCAAGATGATCTAAATATATATTAGTCACATGCAGATGATGGAAGCCCTTCCAAATTTACTTACATTCTCATGTTGGAGGTCTTTCAGCAAGCTGATTTCTCTGTATGTGCGTTTCGCTAGCTCAATATTGGTAAATGGCTGCGAGATTTTCTTGATCGTGACAGTGCGTTCAGTGACCTGGTCTTTTGCGGAGCTGGATATGGTTGTTCAGATAAGCTTCACTTGATATCGAGGTACACATTGTCTATGTATTCCAGTTGAGAAGGGGTTTACATACCAAATAAGCCCATGTATATCCACTCCAACAGGCTGTACGTAAGAATATCTTAAGCAAAAAATCATGTCAGTATAAAGTGGAGACGCTCTCAACTCTATAATAATGTGTTACCTGTCTGTGGTTTCGAATGATGTCCCCAAGATAAGGTTTTGCGTGAAATTGGCCATACTGAGTGGCAAAGTGAATAGGCAACGCGATTGGGCAACGTGATGGATGAGATCGATCGGGAATTGTTTTGCGGGATTACGTAGAAGGGTAGTCATGGTCTTTGTATAATCGTTCCATTCATAAATTTCACAAGTGGAGACTCTACTGGACTCGAGACCCAAGTCACCCCGCATACAAACGTAGTACCCACATAGTTGTATTTTGATAAAACAGAACTAGTATAGCGCCCCCATTGCTTCCACCGCAGTGCCACCAATAGCAGCTTTCTCAGCAAGATGGCACCCTGTACAAGCCTTGCCCACGGAGCCAATTCATATATTTCTAACAAAGGCTATGCTCCTAGCTCTTACCCGCTACGCTCTACCCCTCTTTGACTAATCTATTTCCGCAATGGCTTTCCCTCCCCTCCCCTAATCAGTGCTACTTCTCTGCTGTTGGTCCCCTGTCGGCTCACAGTATCACTCATTGACCAAGTTTCAGAGATAACGGGACCGTGGAATAGTAGAAGGTGGATCTGCTTCGCATTTTGATGCCCTCATCCGCGACCAATGGTATTAGTAGAATCATTTTGTGCACTGAAACATGACTATCATAGGCTGGTCAAATCTGACTTGACTTAGATCTGATCCAGTGATTAGACTACGAGGCAGCAGGGATTAGGCATGGACCCTTGGTGCTGTGGGTAGGTAGCCTTTCCTTTCTAATAGGCTCAGAGGTTCGGAAACACTTTTGTGGTAGGTCTCATGAGCAGCACGACTGCTCCACAATTCAGCTACAACCCGTGGCTAGCGTGGAGCTCAGACGCGCGGAATGGAGTTGATCGAGAGCTCAATCGACGGTAAAAACTTACTGTCTCCTGAATCTTATCCGCTTATAGTATTTCTAGCCTCCTCATTGCTGCATCATATCATGATCTCGGCTCAAAAAGATAGCGTGTGCTATGATACCGGAACAGGCAGTTCTAGCCGATTGGATAGTGTGGGACGATCTCAGGTTCGGATTCCACCCTGCCTCTACCAACGGCAGTCGGCGGTCGGCAGAGTAAGAACTAGCTCTCAAAGCCAATGACTATTTGTTGATCTGGGATAGATCCGTACAGATTACTCCCGAGTGAACCAATCAACATGATCAATTCATTCAATGCGGACCTTCGTTGGGATGGCTAATGACAGCGTCTTATGTATGTTGTTATATTACAACGGGTATTCGGGATTGAAACGAGTTTCGTAAAGAGACAAAAGACTTGGTTGCTGAATCAGCCTGATGCTAGGGGTAAAGTATTCGGTAAGTGACGAGTCGGCCGTTAGGTGGTTAGGGATTACTAAACCTGACCACCTGATGACCTTTTGTCAGAGACTGGAGATCTCTAGGGAACTTGCTTATGCGCAAAGACCAGCCTTTTCATCCCGTTCGTCCCTCAGCTCCGGAAATCCAGAAGAGAGGGGCCGGCAGAGATTCTGTATGGATTCCGAAGCCCTTTCATTCCACAATTTATGCCCTAAGCCGCTGTGACATGCTGGTCACTTTGCTCGCAAGTCAGGGGTCGAGTTTCAAATTCTTGTTCTTTCCATTGTGGGGCATCACATCTATAAACTTCTTATTCTACACCGAGCTAAACCTTCGCGTTGTGCATAATGTGTACACCCTCGCATTCTATAAAGTTGACAGCCAAAGAGAGCAGGTAGCCTAACGCAGCTGAGACTTTCCTGCCTTCTTGCTAGCGGCGAGGGCACCAGCAAGTCCATATTGCGAGCAGACACCGTTGATCCGATGAGTCGAGTTAAGGTTTTTGACGACAACCATCTGGTAACAGGTGGCCATACCTTCGCGAGAGGCGATGACGGACCAGGCGAGGAAAAGCTCCCAAATCTACAGTAGGTTAAGCTTCTGAAAGTAATTTAATGGAGTAGGAAGACACTCACTCTGTACCATCTAGGTCCATATTTGGCCTTAATTGCTTCCACATTTCCAACCCAGTTGCGATACCATCTCCAGAGCGTACCAGAGTAGTGAACACCAACGGTATCAATCCTGTCTATTGTCAGTAATCGCACCAGCGGAGACAGAGATCCAGAGAAACCTTACCCTTTTAGTTCGAAACCAGCTTGTTCCAAACATTTCACATAGTACCAAAGCGGAGTCGAAGCATCCGCACCACGGAAGATGTACTTGTTCAAATACAAACCCCAAATGAAATCCTCGTACTGCCAGGCCTGACGTAGACCCGAAAGCTGAACATACATAGCCCCATCATCATTGAGCATGTCATAGCATTGGCGGAAGAAACCAGTAAGCTTACGGATACCCACGTGCTCGCCCATCTCCAATTGCGTAATCTTGTCATACTTTGTACGTGGAATATCGCGATAGTCAAGACAGAGAATGCGGCTCTGCTGCTCAGAGATTCCGGCCGTGCGGAGAGCATCGTTGCCCCAAGCAGTTTGATTCTCCGCAATGGTCAGTCCAGTAACTTTAGCGCCGTAGTTGAGACTGGCGAATTTGGCAAGGGTTCCCCAGCCGCAGCCAATATCCAGCATGGTCTCGCCTTCTTTGAGGCCAATCTTCTCACAGACGATGGCCATCTTGTTATCCTGCATTTCCTCGAGGGTTTCCTCTTTCTCCGGATCTGAAATAATGCCGGAGGTATAGATCATGCGAGGGCCGAGGAACCAGGCATAGTGGTCGTTACCTCGGTCGTAATTCGGACGGATTTGCTCCTCATCTTGGGCTTTGGTGTGGAAGAGAACGTCAATGAAGAATGTAAAAACAATGAACTTGAAAAGGTCCAAGGTGAAAGTGAACTTCGCCCAGTCGTGCCGGTATTCCATGACCTCGAGTGCGTCACCTTTGAAATCCACTAAGCCGTCCAGATACATTTCCGCGAAGGTTTGCAGAGGAATCTTATTGTTCCCGTGCCATTTCGCTTTGTCCTCTTCACGCTTAAAGGTCAAGTAATACTCAATGGGCCGTCCGGGAAGCTTGACTTTCTCGTTGGTGCGCGGGCTGCAGCTGGATTTCCAGAACCAAAAGACCACCAACAGGGGAAGGCCAAGGATGATGAAAAGAACGAAGAACGTCGTCTTCCCTCCGCCGAAAAGGTAGGTTAGGGTGGCAGGAACCCCGGTGAGAATGCCACCTAAGAGGAGATTCGAGAAGCTCTCATTTCCGGGGCCATCGGCTGGTAGCGGGGCATTGTGGATGGCTGAGGACTTTGGGAAATTAGCAGAGTTGAACACAAAACGGGGTCAATGGCAAAGACCGACGCTGGTTAAAGCAATTCCACAATCCTTTCCAGTCTCGAGTTCAGCAGGTTTGGCTGCAGGAGTCTTGATGAAGTCGATATCGCTAGACAGCTCGACCTCCCTCCCTTTGGCACTCATTGTTGACTGATTTCTCGAGATCTTGGGGATAGGCCTATGTGTGGAATTGAGGACGAAATCGGGAGGGCCTTGCAGAGAACAAGTTGTAAATTCCAAGTGCTTTCGTAAACAGGATCCTATGTGGACCACAGATCCCCTCTTGGCGTGGCTGTACCTTGGGTGCCTAGAGCGATAAAGGGTCCTTATCTGTAGCCGCGGTTATCGATAGATCGACACTAGTTAAGAGGCTACGGTGAGCCATATTTAGCACCGAGGTAACACGCCATGTGTGATGATGAAATTGAATTGCAACAATTTTCCATTTTCATTACCTAGCACTTCTCTTTCTAAAAGGTCTATCAGCGCTTAAAGACGATTACTTATATGCATGTAGAAGTATGAATATTAATTTGCCTGTTCTCAATAGCATGATGGATAAGGACAGTTGTCTTTAAACTACTAAGTAGGTTCATTTATAGAAGGCTTCGCAGTTGCCACCTACTTTTGACCAGCTTCATTCCGGGGAAGATATCGCCTGTCGTGGTATTCTCTAAGCTGAAGAGACGCTCCCTGCGAGGCTGCGGCTGGCAAGGAGGTTATGAACAGTTCAAGAGGAACTTGAAAGTATGTCGGAGACTAGTGTCTATTTCCACACCATTCCGCGCAATAAATTTTACCAGTACATAGATCTAAGAGCTTAAAGTACTGTACACATGGTACATGCAACAATTTACAGTGACCCTCGATGAATGCGGGTAGCTTTGATCTGCGCTATCGGTAGCCAGGCAAGAAAAAATTATTAAGTATTTATCGGTCAAGGGGAAATGAAGAATAATCGAGATGGACTTTAAAGGCTCAAGCTTGTGCATGATCCACTGCGCGCGACATTCCAATGCCGGGCGATCACCACAGCGACGAGAATATCATGCTCTCAGCACTTATATTATTAAATTTTCTACTTGTCTTTCAGAATTTAGATAATTTTCTGTGCTGATATTCCTGCTTGAAAATTTGCCAAAAGACCATAAAAAAGTTATTGAATCGGGATTCAGTTCGTGTTCTAGACGTGACGCTACCGACGCGTCTCACTTTAACCCGAAACGCGAGTCGACGCGTCTCAGGGAGTTTTCACCCTTAAACAGTCTTACCCGCTCTACATTACACTGTTTCTTGCATGCACTTTGCACTTTCCTCTTTTCACTCTGGTTCTCGTTGATATCTTGGTATCTCTTACCCTGACTATATTTCAGTTCCATTTACCGGTCGCAACTTCCTCCACCCCTGGAATCCGCTCTCCGAAACGAACAGAAAAAATTGCAGCCGCGATGCCGCGCGTTACTAGGGCAAGCTGCCTTCCCCAAAGCCAGCCTGCTATTCAAATCTTCACCAAGGCAACCAAGGCCGGTGTTACACCACAGCTGCCCGCTAAAAAAACCGTGTCCCTGCCCGTTTCCCCATCGAAAAAGAGAAAGCTCCAGGAAATCGAGAATGTCGACCGTCCGGGTCCGCAGTCTGTCGAGGAGCAACCCGACACTCCTTCCAAGACCCTGAAAATCAGCCAATTATCTGTTTCCTCTCCACGCAGCGGCCACTATGCTACACCAAAGCGCACTCCTAGTCGCCGGACTCGTGTGTCCACTATTGCCGAGAGCCCCTCGACTCCCGATACCCCCTCCAAACAGCGAACTCTCAACTTCGCGAAGGTTGTGCCTGCCCCGAAAGAGCCTGTCCTCGCACCTCGAGTTCCCTGTGTGACCGACTTTTTGGATATGCATTCCGCTTTCGTCAAGGCCCTCTCTATTTACATCGCCCACAATGGCCCCATCTCTCCTGCCGATATCCGAGAATTCCTACCCAGCATCACTCGCATTTGGAAGAAGCGCAAGGTTCAGACTAAGGACTTGCAGCGCCTTGTGTGGGTGTGGGATCACAGCTTGAAGGCCAAGGACATCTCCTACCGACTGGCAAACTATGGACTGGGTAAAGTATGCCTTGAGCGACATGTGCAGATCGACGAACAGGGCTCCGCTTTGCAGGACGCGTTTGAGCAGGCTTTCGATTTGCTTTGGGAGCAGACGGAGGATTCCTTGAAAGAAATCAATGAAGAGGATCGCCCCGCAATTTTCCTCGAGACTCTTGGCCTAGCTTGCATTCATGAATCCCTCACCCCCTTCACTGCGTTCCAGAAAGGTCAACAACGACTGCAGGACTTGAAAGGCGGTGTTATCCGTATGAAGACTGAGATGCTGCGTTCGGAAGGCAACACAATCAACTCGAAGCCCTTGGCTGCTACCAGCAATCGTCGCCAAGGCCTCTTGGAACGATTGAAGAACAAAGAGCTACGCCAGTCCAAGCTCCCTCCCCCACCTACCAAGAAGGAGCTTGTCCGCCGCTCGGCTGCTGAGCATGTGGAGGAGGTTGCTGGCATCTTGGCCCTTCTGCGTCCGGCTGGATATGTTGGCACTGGTATCAAGGCCATGCTTGCCAATCAGCGCAAACCTTTCAGGCTTGAGACTATCATCCAACATGTCCGGGATTCCATTCGCACCCCAATTCCCGCCGAGGAGGTCAAGATCTGCATTGAAATGCTGGCTGATTCACGTGTAGCTGGCAACTGGGTCAACTTGGTGACTATCAAAGATATGCAGTCAGTCGTGTTGAAGTCTTGCAAGGATATTGCAGTCAAGGATATCAGTGCCAAAGTCGCCTTGTTGAAGGCTGATTGGGACAAGACTGCATCCTGTGTGCCCGTGCCTGTCTTGAGAGTTTGAAAGACCTGTTGGTGGACTTTTTACTATTTTTGTTACCCCCGTCATCCGTGGAGCCGGTTCGCTCGCGGTTTTTGCATAAGCGTTGTGATGATACCCTACCTGTATTTTACCATACCATGTTTTATTAGCTTCGTCACGAAGGTGACATTAACCATTAGCCTCATACAAATAATAAACACCAATATCGAAGAAGGAACATACATACCATAAGTAATCACACGGCTTTCGCAGTCTAGACCTTGGATTAAGAGCCATTGATTTCAATTAAGGCGCGACGCGTCTCACGTGACCGCGTTGACACGGCGCGTCTCCCTCATCTGCAACCTCTCGACTCTTCAAGCTTGGTGACCATATTGTCTTTGCTGCATCTGCCGCAGCCTAGTTTGACAAAATGTCTTCCCGACCAGATCTGAAGGTATCTCTTTGCAATTCTCCAATTCACATTCACTGACAAAAAAAAAAAACATACCGCTAACTGTCCCTGACAGGTTGATGATGAAGTCGGATTCATCCGCTTTTACAAATCTATCACAGACTCCGATGATAATGAAACCCTTCGAATCTTCGACCGCGGTGACTGGTACTCCGCCCACGGTGCCAATGCAGAATTCATCGCTCGTACCGTTTACAAGACCACCTCTGTCCTCCGCAACCTCGGCCGCAGCGAAAGTAGCGGTCTGCCTTCAGTCACCATGACCGTGACTGTGTTCCGCAATTTCCTCCGCGAGGCTCTTCTTCAACTCAACAAACGTGTCGAGATATGGGTGTCCGGCGGTGTAGGCAAGGGAAACTGGAAGCTCGGCAAGCAAGCCAGCCCCGGAAACCTTCAAGACGTGGAGGATGAGCTTGGCAGTGTGGGCGCCTTATCAATGGACTCCGCACCCATCATACTTGCGGTTAAGATTTCCGCTCGTGCCGGCGAAGCGAGGAACGTAGGGGTCTGCTTCGCGGATGCCAGTGTGCGCGAGCTCGGAGTTAGCGAGTTCCTCGACAATGATGTCTACTCGAACTTTGAGTCTCTGGTGATCCAACTGGGTGTGAAGGAGTGTCTGATTACAATGGACTCTTCGCGAAAGGATGTGGAGCTGGGCAAGATTCGCGCTATCGCTGATAGCTGCGGGATTGCTATTTCCGAGAGGCCGGTAGCGGACTTTGGCGTGCGTGACATCGAGCAGGATTTGACAAGATTGTTGCGGGATGAGCGTTCCGCCGCCACGCTGCCTCAGACCGAGTTGAAGCTCGCTATGGGCTCTGCGGCTGCTTTGATCAAATATCTAGGTGTGCTGACCGATGCGACCAATTTCGGCCAATTTCAGCTGTATCAGCATGATCTGTCACAGTATATGAAGCTGGATGCTTCTGCTCTGCGAGCATTAAATTTGATGCCCGGGCCCCGTGATGGAGCTAAGAGCATGAGCTTGTTCGGTCTCCTTAATCACTGCAAGACGCCGGTGGGAAGTCGTTTGCTGGCGCAGTGGTTAAAGCAGCCCCTCATGGATCTCGCTGCTATTGAGCTCCGGCAGCAACTTGTTGAGGCTTTCGTTGTTAATACGGAGCTGAGACAGACTATGCAAGAGGAACACTTGCGCGCCATCCCTGATCTTTACCGCCTTGCTAAGCGCTTCCAACGCAAGCAGGCTAATCTGGAGGATGTTGTTCGAGTCTATCAAGTCGCGATCCGTTTGCCAGGATTTGTCCATGCCCTGGGAGATGTTATGGATGAGCAATACCAGACTCCGCTGGACAAAGAATACACGTCCAAGCTCCGAAGTCATTCCGACAACCTGGCTAGATTGGAGGAGATGGTGGAAACTACAGTTGACTTAGATGCCCTTGAGAACCACGAATTCATCATCAAGCCTGAGTTCGATGATAGCCTCAGGGTCATTCGCAAGAAGCTGGACAAGATGCGCTACGAAATGGACCAGGAGCACCGCAACGTCGCCAAAGACCTCAACCAAGATATGGAGAAGAAGCTGTTTTTGGAAAACCACCGTGTACATGGCTGGTGTTTCCGTGTTACTCGCGCAGAGGCGGGCTGTATTCGTAACAAGAAGGGATATCAAGAATGCTCTACGCAGAAGAATGGCGTGTATTTCACCACCACGACCATGCAGTCCCTTCGACGGGAGCATGACCAGCTGTCATCCAACTACAACCGGACCCAAACTGGACTTGTCAGTGAAGTGGTCAATGTCGCCGCTTCATACTGTCCCGTCTTGGAGCAGCTTGCCGGTGTCTTGGCTCACCTTGATGTTGTGGTGAGCTTCGCCCATGCGTCTGTTCACGCTCCTGCTGGCTACGTTCGCCCTAAGATGCACCCTCGCGGCACAGGAAACACTGTCCTCAAGGAAGCCCGTCATCCCTGTATGGAGATGCAAGATGACATTTCTTTTATTACCAACGATGTCTCTTTGATTCGGGATGAATCCTCCTTCCTTGTTATAACCGGTCCCAACATGGGCGGAAAGTCAACATACATCCGACAAATCGGTGTGATCGCGCTCATGGCCCAGACTGGCTGCTTCGTACCCTGCTCCGAGGCGGAGCTGACTATTTTCGACTGCATTCTTGCCCGAGTGGGTGCCAGTGACTCCCAGCTCAAGGGTGTGTCCACATTCATGGCGGAGATGCTAGAAACCGCCAATATCCTCAAATCAGCCACCTCCGAGTCTCTTATCATCATCGATGAACTTGGCCGTGGAACCAGTACCTATGACGGCTTTGGTTTGGCCTGGGCTATTTCGGAACACATTGTCACCGAGATCCGATGCTTTGGTCTCTTCGCAACTCACTTCCACGAACTCACTGCGCTGGCCGACCGATACCCGAAATCAGTCAAGAACTTGCACGTCGTGGCATTTATCGGAGATGGTAATGAAGCCAACGGTGACGCTGAGGCTGAATCGAAGAAGAAGCGTCAGGTCACTCTGCTTTACCGTGTCGAGCCAGGAATTTGTGACCAGTCCTTCGGTATCCATGTTGCCGAACTCGTGCGTTTCCCTGACAAGGTAGTCAACATGGCACGTCAGAAGGCCGAGGAACTCGAGGACTTTACCTCTGCCACTGCTGATAATGCAGAGAAACAGCCTGCTTCGCTTGATAAGTACTCCCAGGAGGAGGTCGAAGAGGGGAGCTCTTTGCTGAAGGAGATGCTTGTGAAGTGGAAAGCAGAGATTGAGGGTAAAGATTTGTCATCGGATCAGAAACGGCAGATCATGCGTGATCTGGTCAATGCAGATGGCAAATTACAAGCAAACAAAGTGTTCCAAGGCATCAAGGCTTTATAGGGATATTGGAAAGGGATGATTCGGCTTAGGGCGGAGTATGGCGTTCACCGGGATGTTTAATATTTGTATCAAAGAGGAGCCCATCAATCAAAATTTCGGATTTAGTATATTTGATGTCATTTGGAAGCATACTACAGGATTATTGGAAGATTTGATTCGGCTACTTCATATAAAGTTGACCTGCCAAGCTTGGTATAGATCAGAGGCGGTCACGTGGGGGCATTGTCCATCTTGAATGGGGGTCTAGACACCGAACCTACGCGCGCCCAGGACAAACCAGCAATCAACGCTTCCCCAAGATTGCATCTTTCACTCGTTTATATCCAGCATCTCAATTGACATAAATCAAAAAGACCAACACCTGCGAACTTATTCGGTCCTTCCAACCCAACGACAAAACAAACACCACAATTCGACTTCCCCACAGCTATGCGCGCACACTAAAACGCGGTACCGCTTGAACCCTGATTCATGCACCCCTTTTCCATCTTAACCCTTGGGATTTTTGTCGCGGGCTACACCACTGCCAGGTGGGATCTTGTCACCCGTCTATACGAACTAGCTATCTTTGCGTGGGATCACGGCGTTGTGGTAAGTCCCCCTGTTCGTTCCTGAAGCCCCTCCGTACCCGCTTCAACCTCAATGCGCCCCATTGGACATGAGCTGACAAATATTTTTGATTTAGACTCGAACATTGAAGGGATTCCTTTTCCTGTCCGTCTTTTTCTTCCTCCTCGTCCTTCCTATCAACCATCTAGCCGCGAGAGAGGGTCAATTGGTGAGCTCCCGAACGAACGCAGACGAATATCGAACATTGTCCCCATTTTATTATAAACAGGGCATCGGTTAACGATATATCTTCTATTAGCATCCGCGCCACGTTAATCTCGGCGTCTCCGCCCGGGAACAGCTACGCCGCCGAGGCTCCTTCTAATCGGCGAGTGGAGGATGACAACATGATCATGAGTGATGGCTTGCTGCGAGTATTTTGGCCATATGATCTCCCGCGATCTTCATCGACGGGAGTGATAGTCGGATGGCGCAACTCGGAGCTGGATTTATTCGTGCTCACGGTTTTGGAAGATGTTGAGGTAACAATTGCGCCTCGTCTAAGCTATAAACAGAGCTGACAATCACCTGTAGCCACGGAATGTGGACAATGCACTTCGGGCTGGTATTCTTTTCAGGAACAGCCCTCATCCCATCGTTCGCATCTTCAGTCTCTGTGGTCGATCTCAGATGCATGTTCTCGGTTCGACAAATCCAGGTACACCACCCACTTCGTTCAATCCCGCCCATCTTCATGTGACGACACATCCACCTTCGAAGAATCAGATTCCGCGCATCTACTGCCCGCCGGAGGCGAACTTGTCGGTCCAGGTTATCATGTTTCATCGTCCGCATCCAACACGCATGGAGTACATGTCTTTAGACCCGATCGCCCTTGCTTTGGGTGATAAGGTGAAAATGGTGGAAAACGGTGGACCGTTATCGGGCAAAGTTGATTCAGAAGAAGAGAAGGAGAAAGCACGGTATCGTGTGCTTGTCGACAAGCTGAAATATCATACTGTGGTGAAGCATGTGCCATCGCAAAAGGAGCAAGCACTTCCGCTGATAATCAGCCAAGTGAACTGTGCCTACGAAATGAGCCAACTGATGCACAAAAATTGTCATCTCATCGGAGTGCGTGCAAAGCGTAGCATGAGTGTTGGTGAACGTGTGGTGGAATCAGCAACAACCCTTTGGGGGCTATTCGTCCTTTTTATCGCACATATATTCTGGCAATGGATCTGGCCCGTTGTTACTCGAGTCTTTGTCATCGGTCTCGTGGGACATCGGTCAGTTGCAGAGGTTGTATTGCAGGTTCTTGAGTGGCGAGCCCGGCCCGATGCTGCTGCAATTAAAGACATCTCGGCAACAGCTCAGCAGGTTGATATACGGCTACAGCAATTTTGCTACTGGCCCATACAATATGTCAAGCTACGTCAAAGAAAAGACAACTGGGAGAGTGTGACTACCAGCCATCCAGATTATATTCGGTTTTATAATAGTCTGTGGCTTGTGGCAAACGATGTGATCATTGGAATCGCTCTCGGCTCATACATCATTGATAACGCCAACTGGGTGGCCTCACAAATCAACACCGTTCTCACTGGATGGACCGTGGTAGGATTGCAACGCACCATTTCATGGCTGATGGATTGGCCCGCTGGTTTGAAACTCAACAACGAACTGGCCGCTTTCCTGGGTGACTTGTTTCTCTGGGTCATTGAGAACTGGGCCGCGTGCATCGCCAACCTTCAACCCTACCTTCCTCATGTCATCTACATCATTGGCTGTTCCAGTTTTGCCGGGGCCAGCATGCCGATCGCGCTTTTCTCTGACCTTCTCTCCATTCTGACCGTCCACATCTACTCCTTTTACATCGCTTCTGCCCGGATTTTCAACTGGCAGCTTACCATAATCATCTCGCTCTTCCACCTCTTCCGTGGCAAAAAGCGAAACGTCTTGCGCAACCGAATCGATTCATGTGATTACGACCTCGATCAATTACTTCTTGGCACAATTCTCTTTACAGTGCTCTTCTTCCTCCTTCCTACCGTGATCGTCTTCTACCTGACCTTTGCATCCGCCCGCATGTTGATCATTTCTATGAAAGCCGGCTTCGATACCTGTCTGGCATTCCTTAATCATTTCCCACTCTTCGCATTGATGTTGCGAGTGAAAGACTCGATGCGACTTCCTGGTGGTATTCGGTTCGAGCTCCGAGAGGAAGTGGATAAACGTTCTACGGATGAAGAGTCCTCCACTATCTCCTACATTCACATAGAAGTATGTTTGGCCCAATTGTCCATGTACCATTGCATGCTAACATTGTATCTAGTCCATTCCACTACCTCTCCGTGCCATGTTTGATCAATACTTCCAACTTGGCCACCGACTCCGCAAACATTACCTAGCACCTAGTGTCATCTTCTGCCTCGTCACTGGCCGTTTTGTGCCACCTATTCACCGCCGTAACCTGTACAGCATGCAATATAGCATGTTACCTGCGCGTCGCGCGGGCATGGCCGAAGTCTGGGCACTGCTTACGCAGACCAAGAAAAGCGGGGGTGGCAGTGGCGGTTCTGGGTCAATGGCAGGTAGCATGGGTACTATGGGCCATCCAGTACCTAAAGTACCTCCGAACTTTGGCCAGAGTGATGTCCGGAGACGGGGTCATCGGTGATAACGATGACTAGGTTCCTTTTGATATAATGCCCTAGTATATAGTAACTCTAATGGATTATTCTAATTCTTTTTTTACGCTGAACATGTCATTTCGGTGCTCTTGTACCTGCAAGCTTGAGCACTGGGCATCTACTGAGGCCCACATCCCGACATCTGGAGTCCGTGCAGCCTACCTAATCTATTTGCATGCGTAGTCTTTGGCGGTCTCATATATACATGTATCACTCGACTACTGTCTTTTCAAGGTTCAATTCAAAGGTTCTCCATTCATATGAGAGCAAAGAATCATCAAAATGTATATATCCATCTTCCTGACTTACATCATAGGGCTCGCTCTTTTAAGCACCGCTCACCCGGGCGAACACATTGAGCGTGATGAATCAAACATTCTTCAAAAGCGAGCGTACCACTCCCATGTCATACGAGGCTATGGAGCCTGCGCCAACAGCCCAGCTCTGGCAGAAGTGACCGCTCGTGCCGACTTACGCCGCCGAGACATCGTCGAAAATCAACGACAAGACCTTGCTGCTCGTCGAGGTCAACAAGTACTCAGCCCAAACCTAGATTCTAAATCTAAGTATATCCTCGATCTCCCAGAGCCACTCCGGAAGTCCCACCTCAAAACAGATCCCAATATCGGCCCCAATACCCCGGAAGATGAGCTATTCGGTGACAATGGCATCTGCGTGCTTAACCCCGAAGGCATGGTCGGTCCGTTCTACGTGACAGGCGAACTCATCCGCTCGGATATCACCGAATATGAGCCTGGAGTACCCATGACCATCGATGCACAGTTCATCGACGTCGAGACCTGCGAGCCGGTAGAGGGTATCTGGTGGGATATCTGGAGCTGTAACTCTACGGGCGTGTACTCGGGTGTTTTGTCATGGGAGGACGACGACAAGGATGATGAATCGATTCTCGAAGCAAATTTCCTACGTGGAGTACAGCAAACGGATACCGAAGGCGTTGCTCAGTTCCAGACTATTTTCCCTGGTCACTACCAACACCGCGCGACGCACCTACATGTCATTGCTCATGTGGGCAATGTTACTCGGTTCCCGAACGATACCATTGCCGGTGGAACTGTTGCACATATTGGGCAGCTGTTCTGGGATCAGGATCTTATCTATGAGGTTGAACGGACGTATCCGTATTCTACTAACACGGTGCCTATAACGCCGAACTCTCGTGACAGATTGTTCTTGGATGAAGTTGAAGGGACTACTTCGGATCCAGTATTCAATTATGTTAAGCTGGGGGATGATATTCGGGATGGGATCTTTGCTTGGATTTCTGTCGCTGTTAATATTTCTGCTAGCTATGATCCGAGTCATGAATGGACATTGACGGAGCACGGTGATATAACTTATTTAGTAGGTGATAGCCCTGTATGAGGTAATGTTCACTCTGGAACTCTTTTCCGCTGAGAATCCCTTTTACTTTGGCTATTGATGGTCTGAGGCTGAGGTAAGGCGAGAGATTATTACTCGGCCTGTTGATGAACATTTGCACTCTGTATACAGTCCTGAATTTAATTCGCTTGCATGTCTTCTATTTGGAAGCCTTCAAATCGAAAACCACAAAAAATTGCATGAACACCTCAGTAAATGATCGGATGTAGAATATATGAGTGATTGTAATACAGAAAAAAAAGCTATTTGAAGTATCAAAGAACATGTAAATCAATCAATCGCTTGATTAAAGCCACAAAAGACACTCGAGATTCAATCCTGGGCATGTACTCGATATTATTACATATATGGTACATAATGCCGTTCACACACGAGGCCTCTTCTATGCCATGTACCCCGATCTCCATCGGACATCTCACTAGCCTGTAAGGATTACTCGGCCGCAATGTCCTGTACTATCAGTCTGGACTCGTCATCGAATGTGACCGAGACAGTACGACACTTCCCTGTGTCTGGCACTTTATGGTCGTTCGAAACAAATTTCATTAACCCTCCATGGGTCACAAGAGCAATATCAGGTCGATCACTCCCCTCCAGCTCTTCAAACTGCTCCTTCAATCTTTGCTGCACCGCCCGTCCTCTAAGCTCCAAAGCCTCCTGTTCAGGTAGATACCGGCCCGTTTTGGCAGGGAAGGCAGGGTCCAGTTCAAGCAAGTCCCACGACAGATAAGGGAATCTTGATCGCAGAACCGACCAGTCGGAGCCTGTATCACAGGGACGTGCAGAGTGGGCCTGAATATCAGGCTCTAGAAGAAGTCTTGCGCCGTTTGGCACGCCGGAGTTATTGGCGAAGTACTTCTCATCCAGGGTCTTTTGGAACCCGCCCAGTGCTGTGTGAAGGGTACGTGTAAGAGGTGATGTAAGTACCAGACCCACGCTTTCACTGTAAGGAAAGTCGTGAGACAGGTCCTCTGCTTGTTTGATTCCCCTCTCTGTCAAAATCGGGTCGAGGATTGTTGTGTCATGGCCGGGGTTATGGATACCCTCGGCATGCCGAATGAGATGTAGTCGGAAAGGCATATTTGTTGTAAATTGTTGTCTCAAAATATTTGGAGAGATTGACTGAGGTACTGATTCAGAGCCACGTTAGGTGAAGCTAATTTTTTTTGTAGGTGACTCGTGACGCGGCTAAGTGTTCAAGGCAGAGATAGGAAATAAAGTGGCACTTGGGCACGCGGCAATTAATATTCGCTGATCAGGTCGTCTCGGCTTCAAGAGTGGGTCAGAATATCGTACACTCTCAGGTGGGTAGGTAGTGGGGTTAAAGATAGCAGAGAAGAGGCGAAGAAGATTTAAATTGGGATATGTAGAGTCAGCTATGTTGATACTACCTAGTGAGCATTTCATTCTTTCGGTGACACTCAATTCTTTGATTGTATTCTGCGTCGTGAATGTTCATCCTCTGATAACAGCACTTTGTAACAATCAATTATCTAATTATTTGGGACGAACCCAAGCCATTCAGAACGCTAATCAGATTCCTTGCGCTAGCCCAGATCAGGCATGCGATGCCGGAGATAGGCCCCGCTTGAAGTTCAGATGCGGATGTTGTGTCCGAGCTACACACCAGGGAAGAGATGTGATTCGAGTTTCACTGAGCGGTCCTGCTCTTCATGTTGTTTTGGAAGCGATCGGCCGTGTTTTTCAACTTTCATGATGTTCTAATGTGGAAACTATTCCTATTACAGAGCGGTGGGGTGGTTTGCGCTACTTGTGCCGAACACCCTACGCGATTGTGGTCTCGTAACATAGACTTTGGACATACCCGATCTGCATTCAGCCCTACTCTTGTCCCTGGCACCTGAAAAATTCCTAATTCAACGTTAGAACATGCTTTGTCATGAATTTTTAAATTAACCTTAAAGTTAAGGGCGTTATTGCGTACAATGTAGGGTTCTCAGTTAGAAACTCGTGATACTTATACCAGCTCATGCAATAAAATTGCAAAAAGTCGCTTTGCTAAGTAAAAAAGCAAGGCCTGGACATAACTGTGGTATTCTCAGGGTAGTCTCGAGATCATATTCCCAAGTCAACATAGATTCATTCCTAGCATTGTCAATGAAACAGTTGAATGATTCGAAGTCCGGCCAACGATATTTAAATGCGATTTGTCTCAAATGGGCATGGCCTGACCCACCTGATACCTGAGCACCTGGGGATACTTGTGGTCAGGTGGATTGAGTATTCCCTGAGATCACGGGCATAGCCAAATTCAAATGTTCAAATGTTCGCTCATTACAATGATGGCAATGGGTACGGGTGCCGAGTCGCCAATATATATACATGCCTGCGCCCATGCTCGACACTATTCAAGTTTCAAATGCGATGCCGCTCATAGAATACAAACACAAAAGAAGAGTGGAGATAATACAAGGGGAGCCAAATCAAGACTTTTTGAGAAACTCTGCATCGGTCTCACTGCTGCTCTTTCGAGCGTCGTCCAGCATGCTGTCCATGCCTTTTTCCTTGAGTGCTTTCTACACAGGGTGATTAATTGTTAGTGTCGGATCCTCGACTAGGCATGTGGCCGCGACTTACATGTAAACAGGTTTTGTACTTGGAGAACAGCTCATCACAGTCGTTTGACTTGGTGTTGCCACGGAGGTATTCTGTTTAGCGTCAACACTGTTTAGCCCCGAGACAGGATTAGACAAACATACTCTCGCTGTACCACTTCAGGAAACAAGTATCGTATTGCCTAGAGTATCATGTTAGTCTATCCCAGATCCCTGAGGAAGAGGCAACAATGTCCACTCAAAGCTTACTCTTTCGTCTCATTGCATTCCGGGGCAATCGAGGCAGCCATGTTGGAGATCTATGGACCGAAAGGATCTGGCAAGGTTGATGTTCAAGGTAACTTCGTTATATGTAGGTTTCAAAGAGGCGAAATCAAGAATGGATAGAGATGAAGGGAAGAGCGGTTGGCCACTTCGGCCAATCAAAGCATCCATTGCCGATCTTGACTTTTTGGGGCAGGCGGTCAACCACTGCCATTTCTCTGATTTCTCTAATCAACTTTTTCCGGAGCTTTCAACATCCTCACGCCAACGCACCCTATTCGTCCTTCTGAATTTGGTGGTCTGAGCCCAGCCCATCATGGACTCCGCGGAGTATGCCCCTTTCCAGGAAAAGGTGATCGCCGCTGTGTTGAATGTGTCTCGCACCGTAGGTCAGCTCGCCTCGGAGGATTTGAATTTCCATCGCAGCTCCAGCAGCGATTTCACCGAGTTGCTCGACGAGGAGAGTGAAAGAGTACTTTCTTTGACTTCGGCAGTGTTGAAAGCGGCCACGAACGGAACAGACCTCCAAGCGCCGAAGCTGAAAGATGAAGATTCGATCGAGGACAATTGGCGCGGCGTGGTCGACGTGATCGACTCGCTTCTCGAAAAGGCAGATGCGTGTCTCGATGAATTTACAGGTGTGATCAAGAAATTGAGTCCGTCGCAGGAAGAACAGGCCCCCATCGCAAGAAAGACAACGAAGTTCCCCACTATCTACGACTACGGCCCGTCAAAGATCCCGAAGCCGCAGTTGCTCTTTGATCAGAAAGTTGATAACTCAGACCTGGGTCCTTTCCGCCCCTTACTCAAAACCAAGCCACATGCGATTGTGCCGTTGGAAAAATCGTTGCAGACACAGCAGATTGACGGAAAAGAGGGCTACCCCAGCCCTTACGATACCGAGATCCGTGCTGCGCAATACCAGAAGCCAGTGTACGAAAATTCACCCCCGATCGACTATCTGCCATTTGAGGACACAACTGCTACATTTGTCGATACTTTGGACGGAGTCAAGGAAATGCTTAAAGAGCTGAAAGAGGCGAAAGAGATTGCGATTGATTTGGAACATCATGATGTGCATTCCTACCATGGTCTTGTTTCGTTGATGCAAATCAGCACACGGGATAAGGACTGGATCGTCGATACCCTGAAGCCATGGAGACAGGAGCTTCAAATTTTGAACGAAGTATTTGCGGATCCCTCGATTCTGAAGGTCTTACATGGTTCCACCATGGATATAATCTGGCTTCAGCGCGATCTGGGCCTGTACATGGTTGGCATGTTTGACACTTTCCACGCAGCATCTGCATTGGGATACCCGAAGCGGAGCTTGAAGTATCTGCTGCAGAAATTCGTCAATTTCGAAGCCGATAAGCGATACCAAATGGCTGATTGGCGTGTCCGCCCTCTTCCATCCGGCATGTTTGACTATGCCCGCTCTGATACCCATTACCTTCTTTTCATCTACGACAATCTACGAAACGAGCTCATCGAAGCATCAACCCCGGATGGCAACCTGATCGACTACGTCAATGAGCGATCGCAGAACGAGGCGCTCCAACGATATGAGCGTCCGGTATATGACGAGACGAATGGACACGGTCCGGGAGGGTGGTACGACTTGTTGACTCGCAATGCAGGCGTACTCAGCAAAGAGCAATTTGCCGTTTTCAAGGCCGTGCACAAGTGGCGCGACGACATTGCACGAGCAGAAGACGAGGGCTTCCAGTGTGTTTTCCCGAAACACATGCTCTTCCGGCTGGCCCAGACCATGCCCCTTGATATGGGCTCCCTGCTCCGCACCTTATCACCCATGACTCCAATCACCAAGGAACGCATCGACGATCTTCTGGATACCATCAAAGAAGCCAAGGTCGCTGGTCTCACCGGCCCCGAATGGCGTGACATCGCACCCCCGCCAAAATACGCTCCAAAGCCCATTGCAGTGGAGGATGCGGACTTGCCTATTGCTGAACGTTACGAAAAGTCTCAGTTCTGGGGCAACACTCTGGATATCTCCCAGCCTGCTGCTCCTCTGGAGTATTCTCTTGCCGCCTCTACCGAGGCACTCCGACTTTCTCTTCCCTTGCCGCCGATGCCATCCACCGTTGCTGAAGCGCGACAGAAGTTTGTTGATGTGAAGATGGAGCCGGTTCCATCTCCCAGGGCGGATCCTTCACCTGTCGCAACCCCTGAGGCACAAGAGGAGAAGAAGGTCTTCACTGTTAAGGAACTTGGTGGTCCTCGCAAGCGCAAGGTCACCCCAGTTGATCAGCCAGAGAAAGATCTACTAACCCTCGACGGCTTTGATCACGATAGCATGGACGAAGAGTCCGAAGCGAAGCAACGCAAGAAGGCCCGGAAAGAGAGAAAGGCCCAAAAGGCCAGGGAAGCCGCTCAGGCTCAGGCCGACTCTACTCCGTTTGATTACGGTGCCGCAGACTCGGTCTTACACGCACCCTCTGCACAGGCCCCTGGAATGCAGTCCAAGCATAGGAGGGCTCACAACCCTTACTTGAAGGCGCTTGAAGCTCCATCGGGTGTGCGCCATGGCAAGCGCGAAATCGCTGGCAAGTCTGTTACATTCCGCAAGTAGAAGTCTCGGTCATTGGAGTCCTTATTCTCTTGCTCTAAAAGCATGTTTGGGGTTATGTCTTTTGTTTTTTTTCCCCTTTTCTTTTTGTTCATGTAAGCATAGCGATACCCGTGCGCCACTGGAAGACTCTGGGATTATTCTTTATGTACCTATAGAGGTCGGGGTTTCCCTGACAATGAGATATGTATTTTAAAACCATTGATCGACTTAGATACCGTGGAAAAAGTTGGACTATGGAAGTATCTAGTACAAAGTAGTCAATCATGCCGTTATAAACCAAACAAACCCACCAGACAATTTAGGTGTAGTTCAATGCCCCATCGCAATGGGCTTATCTTGAGATTTCATCCTCTCCTCAATGATCTGCTTACGCTCCCGTCTCAAATTGTTAGCATACTTTACTCCAAATCCATGCTCAAATACCTCCTGGACTTCTTCAAGCACAAGCCCTGATACCTCAGGATAGAAGAAATACAACCAAATCCAACCAAGGCCACAAATGCCCGCAAAGAAACCGAATGCACCAGACGGCGTCATAGACTGTATCATAGAAAGGAAACAACTGGAGATTATGACATTGCTGCCCCAGTTGGAACATGTGAGCCACATGGTGCCCATGGCACGCACCTCCAAGGGAAAGAAGTCGGTACTCATCCATGCGGTGTTACCGACAGACACGCCGTAGAAAACGACGAACCAGATGATGAAAACAATCACTGCGATAGCAGCTGGTGGTACTCCGCTATTTGATTCGAGGGTTCCTGATTCAAGGTCGAAAGGGATCCATTTGAAGGCAACCGCAATCGCAATCATACCGGCGGACATTCCCCAGGTCGTAGAGAGGAGAAGACGTCTGCGGCCCATTGTGTCGATCACCATCATGTTGACAAAGGTCATGATAAAGTTGGTACCAGCAACCACCAGGCCAACTGCCATAGGGTTACTGAATCCAATCGTACCAAAGATGGTTCCACTGTAATACATCAAGCCATTGAAACCGGACAGCTGGGAGATAACCATCAGTCCGCAGGCACTGATCAATGCACGGAGGTTGCTGGGGACGCAATGCAGCTGCTTGATTTTGCTAAACGCGGTACCACCATCGTTGATCTCACGGGCTTGGTCGCAAGCGACTTGAATTGATGATTGGACAGCATCGATCTGCAGATCATTTGCTCCCTTATATATCTTCTTTAAGATCACACGGGCTTCCTCATCACGGCCTTTATAGATCAAATGACGAGGAGACTCGGGACAAAAGGGCAACAATACGGCGAGGATGATGGCCGGCACAGCACCAAGTCCAACCATATATCGCCATCCATGATTGACGCTGGCGAATGCTGCGCCGATTGCATACGAAATAACCTGACCGCCGGTGATGGACATGTTGTTCAATCCGATAAGCTTTCCACGCGACTTTGCTGGTGCAATTTCCGCCACATACAGCGGCAAGACCATGGCTGCTGAACCAACACCGAATCCAATCACAACGCGTCCAATGGACATTTGGGCGATGGTATAGGCTGCCGCTTGGAGGACGGCACCGATGATGAATAAAGCGCAACCTATATAGATTGCCATTTTGCGACCAAACTTGGTATTTTATGTGAGCTGCTGCGACAATGGGAATGCAGAAAGCAAAAAAATAAAGAAAAGAAACATCTCGACGTACCCTGTCTGCCGTGTTGCCGGCAAAGATAGCCCCGAAAAAGGCTCCTCCAGAACAAAGTGATGTGATGAGCTCTTTCTCGTTGCTCGTTATTGGTCTGTTGTTCAGATCACTGCCCATGTATGCGGTCGCTCCCGATATGACACCGGTGTCATATCCGAATAACAAACCCGCCATGGAGGCGGTTAGAGCGACCATCCAGACATACCAGCTAATTGGGATATTATCGACGCTAGTAGCGATATTCCCCATGTTTGTCCCACCTTCGACTTTCTCAATGTGTACATCGTCTTCAAAATCAACATCATGGGCCGATTTTAAATGCTTTGTATTTGCCCCGGCCTCTAGGGAAGCCTTATCAAACGAGGACATATTGGTGGAACAAGTGTGGAGTGGATAATAGAAGAAGGAACAAAACACAATGCTGCCATCGACCTCTGGAAGGGGACACTTTAACTTTTTATATACAGGAACTTCAGTACTACTGGTTGTCGTCACAACAATTCTGGGGAAAGTCGTGCCGCACCCGAAACGCGGGGGCCCCGCATGCTGATCCTTGCTGGTCGTGACTTTGAAAACCTTGTAGTCTCGCCGCCGGTTGCCTTCTTGAGCAATTTAGCTTTCGGCTATTGGTCGTCTTATTTCAATGTTGACGGAACCCTTTTTCCTACTGCCGCTGATCAAGTGCGCTTTCCATGAGAGAATCACCATTCCATTAAGGTAAATCAGCCCGAGTTTGAAAGTGTATTGACATCATCATGCTCTTGCAAGCCGATTTATTCCCGTTGAAGAGACGTGGGGGCATTGAAATGACTTGGTGCTTGGCCAATACCAGTCATCTAATTAGTAGGTGGACACATCATACGCACAGCTATATCACGCATCATTGATCTAACATAAGAAGATCGTTGATGAACAGTTTATTTGCCAAATCTTAAGCTAATCAAGTGTTCTCTCTTGATTTGCCTACCGCATGATAAATGAGATAATGCATTATTGACTCGGATCTTGCCAGTGTACGTGTACGCCATTCTAGCATCGACCCCTTACCGGCTGAAAGTTCCACCTCTCAGCTTTCTTCAGCTCTCACTCTAGTCTCCGTCAGATATGACGCAAGGAGGAAAGATTGCTCAAGATAACTGATATTGCGTTGCGACCAATACAACCACAGGCGCCGGCACTAAAAGCCACAAAGTAAGGCAGAAGTTCCTTCCCTGCATCGCCAAGCCAGCGTTCCGGCCGATATGCTTCAGGCTCGGGGCAAATCGCCGGGTCTTGATACACCACATATGCCGAGATACTGGCGGAAGTGTTCCCGGGAATGTGTTCATCCAAGATCATTTCATTATCTGGTGTGTATGATGCGGCAGAGACATTGAGTCCGGTGGCATAAGTATAGGGCTTCCCTGATGCATGTATGTAGGTAAGGCAGGTCGCGGGCCTTGTGGTATATAAAACTATTCCAACTTATCAAAGCCCGATTCCAGTCCTTCGCGTAGATTGCACAGGCAGCATGGTCTTTAGTAGGAGTGCATTGTAGCGTTCATCGCGATAGCTGTAGTGTCAAATCCTGCGTTCATAAGAAAAGAGCCATGGAGTCAATAGATGACAAAACCAAATCCACAGTCCTAGACTTCTGTGAGCTCACACAGCTTTCCCATAACCAAGATCCTATCCGCTTATGTCTGCATTTCAATTGCCATCTGTGAAGACCACTTCACGGATCGTATAGAACAAGAGGCTTGGATAGATACTACAGTGAATTCAGTACGGTATTATGACTACAATAGCGATACGATTCTCGTGCCTAGATTGATGCACCCCAGCCACTCAAATGAATAGAATCATCGACCAAAATATGATCTATGCACATCAGTATGAATGTTAATGCTTGTATACCTCTATAGTGCGGGGTGACCATGTGACACTCGGTATCGTCCAATCAGAGCGCACACTGATAGCAGCCTGACTCATCCGCCGATCGTGCCCGCGAGGGGCAGAAGAATTTCGTTGTAGTCTTGAGTCAATAAAATATACCCCAGAAAGTAAGCAATTTTTCTGATTATCTACGTGCCATACTAATTATCCTTTCGGGCTAGAACTCCCTCGGTAATCACACACCATGGCGGACGAAGCTACCCCCGAGATCAACAACCTGAACATTGAAGACAAGGTCCCTCAGACCAAGTCTACCGGCCAGATCGTGACACCGTTCGATGTCTCTGGTGGTGTGGATGAGTCGGGCAAATTGCTCCCTGTCGATTACGACAAACTGGTGCAGCAATTCGGCGCTAGTCCCTTGACTCCTACCATCCTTGAGCGCTTCGAGAAGGTCACTGGCCACCGGCCGCACCGATTCATGCGCCGCGGCATTGTGTTCAGTCACCGTGACCTGACCAAGATCCTCGACTTGCATGAGAAGGGCAAGCCTTTCTACCTGTACACTGGTCGTGGTCCGAGCAGTGACAGTATGCACGTGGGACACACTGTGCCGTTCGAATTCACCAAGTATGAATATCCTGGTCGCTTTCCAGATAGTACTCAAAGCGCTAATTTGCATTGATTTATTTAGGTGGCTGCAGGATGTCTTCGACGTTCCACTGGTTATCATGATGACTGACGATGAGAAGTACATGCACTCCGCCAAGATCGAGATTGAGGACGCCAAGCGATACACCAAGGCCAACGCAAAGGACATTATTGCTGTTGGATTTGATATGAAGAAGACCTTCATCTTCAGTGATTTCGACTTCGTGGGAGGCGCATTCTACGAGAACATCTGCCGCTTGGCCAAGCGCATCACAATCAACCAGATCCGTGGTACCTTCGGATTCAATGACAGCAACAACATTGGAGAGTTCCACTTTTGCGCCATCCAATCTGCTACAGCCTTTGCGACCAGTTTCCCCCAGATCTTTGGTACCGACTTCAAGAAGGTCTCTTCTATTCCCTGTCTGATTCCCTGCGCGATCGACCAAGACCCCTACTTCCGTCAATGCCGTGAACACGCCGAGAAGATGAAGTACAAGAAGCCCTCGCTCATCCACTCTGTCTTCTTGCCTGCTCTTCAGGGACCGGGCTCCAAGATGTCCGCCAGTGTGGATAGCTCCGCCATTTTCATGAACGATACTCCCAACAAGATCAAGAACAAGATCAACAAGTTCGCTTTCTCCGGTGGCCAGGAGACCGCCGAGCTGCACCGCGAGCTGGGTGGTAACAGCAAGGTCGATGTGCCCTTCCAGTACTTGACCTTCTTCCTTGAGGATGATGAGGAGCTCGAACGCATCCGCGCCGCCTACGAGAAGGGTGAGATGATGACTGGTGAGATGAAGCAGCGCTGTATCGCTGAGCTTCAGACGTACGTGAGTGCATTCCAGGAGCGTCGGGCCAAGGTCACTGATGAGGTTGTGGCTGAATACATGCGTCCTCGCCCTCTCGAGTGGAAGGGAAACCCTAACCCGGTTGTGGCCGAAAAGAAATAGAGGCTGCCAAGGCCTAGAGCAAGAACATATTTTAAAATCCTGGCAAAAGAACTTTAGCGTTACGACTCCCGGGTTCAATGCATTTTCAATATCCGTTACTTCATCTTTACATGTCATGTCATATGTAGGCTCATTTCATTGCATTGGTGAACTCAGAGAGATACTACCACGCATGAAACCTCGTACTCCATTGCTTAGCCAACACTCTTCGCCGTCCACAAGCTCCGAGGCATTGACCACCTGTTCAACACAGAACCCTTGTTCCAATGCGTACCTTCTTGTTGTGCCCGCATTGCCACCGGAGGTAAGTGGCGGGGTGACCCAAGCATCTCCGCGCCGGAAGTACGGAGTAGTGATAGTCCCTTCCATGATCTCGCCATCCAAGTTCACCATAAGCACCTCTTCTGTCTTCACTCCGGGGGTAATATGGGCCCGGGACTGAGCAAGCGTGTAGTTCTCTCGGGAAGTGGTCTTGTGTGTCGTAAAGCCAGATGGCTCTGTACGCTCCATGTCGACGAACACCCGCCAAACAGGCGAGTCTGGACTTGTGTGTAGATTCGGAGTCATGAAATTGAGTGGGTCCATAGGACCAGTTTCTGAAAACTCGCAATACGCATGGCCATTGCGTTGTAGAACAAGCTTCAACCGCCAGGGCCGAGATTTGTCTGGCACCCGCCAACTCAAGAATCTGTCTAGATTTTTCACCTCTCCGTTCATCCATACTGGCCCATTGTCAAATACATCTCTCCAGCCAAAGTGGCGTGCAGCGGCTATGATTCGGTCTTGGTGGTAGGCCAGGAGGTAGTAGGGCGAGTCCAATGGTTCGGGGCATTTCTCTGGGTGTTGTAGGGCCACACTTGGAAGGTTGGGGTCATAGCGAAACGATGAAAAGATTTCGAAATCTGCTTGCTCGGGGTATTCATGTTTGACCACAAACAAATTCGAAGACATTGTAGAGAATCCTCAATGGCTGTTGCTGTATAACCGTTAATAATGCAGTCTCAGACGTTAGTCGCGATCTGCCTCACGCGCCAGTAATTGATTTCCCTGGCAAAAAGGAACGAAAGTTGAGACTGGACACCAGACTCAATTGAAGAGCAAAAGCTGCACGAGCTGCATGAAGGTTCACGGGTGCATCCCTTTTTTTCCCGGTGCAGCCGAGTTGGTGGTGTTCAAACGGTGGAGAACTTACCGTCGCGCGGCGCGTGATTGGCCGCAGCGCAATCATCGAGTTCTTGACTTTTCCTCCAGAGCTCCATCATTCTCCCTATCTCACACTTCCCGCTTTAGGCGTCATAGAGATCGGTATGTCTCCCTTCCTTTATCATCATCGTTCGTCGCATTGTGTCAACCGTACTGATTCTCACGTCGCCACAGAACCCCAGGACTTTCATAGCATCGGTCGCCGTGCCCGGTTCCTGCTCACATAATGTCGTCCGCGTCGCCGTTACCTACACCCACACCCACCCAAAACGTGGTGCTGGACACTGCGACTCTGCCGCCAGCTGGCGCTTCGTCCGTCTGGGATCGCGTGTCGAAATGGGTATCTGAGAATAAGGCTCTGGTTTACACCATTGCCGGTGTCGCTGTTGTCGTCACCAGCGCCGGAGTTGTCTACTACCTGTCCGACTCCAGCAAGCCTGCTCCCCCTGCACACAAGAAGAGCAAGAACCAGCGACGGAAAGAGAAGAAGAAGGTCGAGGAGGAGAAGAAGGCCAAACCTGCCTCTGTTCAAGAAGGTATGTGTTCATTGCATCATACGATGGACTTCGGTGACTGACATCATAATCAGAGCCTGCTGCTAAGAAGGCCGATGAGCCTGAGGAGCTGCCCGAGGTTGATGAGGCGACCGTGGGTGAGCTGTCGGAGGAGGTGAGTTCCTGATGCTGCTCGAGCCCCTTTCCTCGGAGGATGTGCTGACATTGAATGAAAGACCCGAAAGGAGTACGCCGCCAAGCTGAAGGCCGCCGGTAACAAGGCCTACGGCTTGAAGGACTACCCCAAGGCCATTGATTTGTATGGCCGTGCTATTATCTGCAAGCCCGACCCCGTCTTCTACTCGAACCGTGCCGCCTGCTACAACGTCCAGTCGGACTGGGAGAAGGTCGTTGAGGACACCAGCGCTGCTCTTGCCATGGACAGCGAATACGTCAAGGCATTGAACCGCCGGGCTATTGCCTACGAGCACCTCGGCAAGTTCAGCGAGGCTCTCCTCGACTTCACTGCCAGCTGCATTATCGATGCTTTCTCCAACGACGTCAGCCGTAACTCCCTGGAGCGCCTGCTGAAGAAGGTTGCCGAGAAGAAGAGCCAGGCCATTCTTGAGGCTCGCAGCAAGAAGCTGCCCAGCGCCACATTTGTTTCCAACTACCTGCAGAGCTTCCGTCCCCGTCCCCTTCCCGAGGGTCTGGAGGAGACCGCTGAGCTGAGCGAGGACTCTGGCAAGGGTCTGCTGCGCAAGGGTTTGATTGCCATGGCTAAGAAGTCTGCTGAGGGTTACGAGGAGGCTGCTACCTCTTTCGAGAAGGCTCTTGAGGCTGGTGATCTCGAAGAGTTCGAGTCCCTGGCTCTCAACATGCGCGCTACCTTCACATACCTGGGCGGTAATGCCCCCGCTGCTTTGGAAGACTTGAACAAGAGTGTGGAGCTGCAACCGTCCCTGGTTCAGAGCTACATCAAGCGTGCTAGCTTGCACCTTGAGCTTGGTAAGCTAATCTCACGACATGTGGTCGATCCATATAACAATTTACTAATTGATGCGCAGGAAACAAGGATGCCGCCGCCGACGACTTCGAGCTTGCCATCAACAACGACAAGGACGACCCCGATATTTACTACCACCGTGCCCAGCTCCACTTCATCCTGGGTGAGTTTGCCGAAGCCGCCAAGGACTACCAGAAGTCCATCGACCTCGACCGATCCTTCATTTTCTCCCACATTCAACTCGGTGTGACCCAGTACAAGATGGGCTCCGTCGCCTCAGCTATGGCCACTTTCCGCCGGTCGGTGAAGAACTTTGAGGAGGTCCCTGATGTTTACAACTACTACGGAGAGCTTCTCCTTGACCAGCAGAACTACGCTGAGGCCATTGAGAAGTTCGATAAGGCTGTTGAGATGGAGCAGTTGAGCAAGCCCATGGGCATCAACGTCCTACCGCTCATCAACAAGGCCCTCGCCCTGTTCCAGTGGAAGCACGACTTCCAGGAGGCCGAGAACCTCTGCCAGAAGGCTCTGATCAGTACGTGACCATTCACTCGATTTCCCTTTGCCCCCAATACTAACTTAGCATTCTAGTCGATCCTGAGTGTGATATTGCCGTTGGCACCATGGCCCAGTTGCTCCTTCAGCAGGGCAAGGTCTCCCAGGCTCTCAAGTACTTCGAGCGCGCAGCTGAGCTTGCTCGTACCGAGGCCGAGATCATCAACGCCATCTCCTACGCCGAGGCCACTCGCACCCAGTTGGAGGTCCAGGAGCAGTACCCCCAGCTGGCTGCCCGCCTGAACGCCATGGGTGGTAGCATGGGCCCCGGTGCTCCTCCCATGTAAAAGTGAGGTTGTTGAATTAATGTCTGTCCCCCGTCACGCTACCAATATTTCTCCCATCTCTCTCCTTTCTTCGCTTCTGCCCTGGTCTCCCCAAAATCTGGAGTCGGGTTTGCAATGTCTCCTTTCCCTATTCATTCTATGATCCCAGTCTTTTGGCTTTCTTCGACTCATCTCGCAGTTGCCCAGGCTATTTTTTCTCTGCTTGTATTTAGTACCCCCACTGGCATATTCCCTTTCCACTTTATGTTTTCTTGATCTTGGGCAGCGGGGCGGAGATAACCGAGAGAGATGCCGGGAATTTTGGGGCCAAGGCTGTGTCCTGCCAACTGGATGTGCGCATGTTGGAGAGTAATCTGTGTACCATAGAGGTGAATGTGAACGTTTCCGATATATTCTTTTTGTTTTAGTAGTCTTGTACCTTGGGAGTATGAAAAGATGGTATGTCTCATGTGTTTGGGGTAAAGGGATCCACTCGGAATCCACATGATCCTCAAGTTCGATAAGAGAGTGCCCCACTTGTACTATAGCATCACCGTTGCCTTATCTGCCTAACCGTTTTGACCAGCACATCTTTCTCCTGTGAAGCCTTGAATAAAAAGAGTTTATTTTGTGTGCAAGTCCTGGTTCACTTAAGCCTGGTCCAAAGTTTCCTAAAGGTCCCGACCCTCCGTTTGTTTGAGCCTTGACCTTAACCTGATTCATCATCCTACCCCTCTTCCTCTTTCTTTCCCTCTTACCTCACCTTCCTCCCACCTTCCCCACCAGTATCTTCCCCTTATTGTTTCCTTCTCTACTTACGTCTCTTTTATCTTCTCACTTCACATCTCCTGCTGTGCACACCTTTTAAAGTTCGTCGGGCAACAAGTTAAGCTCTCCCACGCTTCATGGTCATCACCGTAACCTGCAGGCTTCCCCGGTCTTCTTAAGTATTCGGGCTGACATTCCAAAGACTCAGTCACCATGTCCGATCGTGAGCTTCGAGGTAAGTACTGATTTCTGGTTTCGTTTCTGCTTCCCCTGCGAAGATACCTGAACCATTTCCTTTTGCGTCTGCTGACGCAGCTGTTGCCTCAATAGCTCAGGTGACTCTTATCCCACTGGGGATAGACAACGATGTGACCCGACAAATTACTCTCGGCAACACCAACCAGACGATTATTATTGGGCGCTCCTCAAAGAGAGGTCTAAAGAACCGCCTTCCGCATCAAGATAATGGATGGTTTGACTCTCGGGTGATGTCGCGGGACCATGCGGAGTTGCTTACAGAGCCTGGAAAGATGGTACGATCATTCTCTACTGGTCGTCTTTCTATCGTGGTTATTATGCTGATGTATAAGTACAGATCCTCAATATCAACGACCTCGGTTCGACCCACGGAACATGGCTGAACAATAATCGTTTGATCTTTGGGGAGGCGACACCGCTACTCAGCGGAGATATTCTGCGATTTGGCGTTGATGTGGAACGTGGCGAAGGTTTGTCTTTATCTGCACATTGAAGGTTTAAGCTGACACATCCAACAGACGTTTTCCCGGCGCTAGTGGTTCGCTGCAAGGTCGACTGGTTGGGGCAGTATGTAAAGCCCCGGCACTGGCTTCCTAGGATCAGTACTCATTCCCTACTCAGGACTACACACGATGTCGAAATTACCCATGTGAACGATCTCCAGACCGTTTCCGAGCCCAAGCCCACCCCTCCACTGCGACAGACTTCAACCAACACCTTCTGCGTGCCCGACGATAGTGATGTCGAAGAAGTCACTATCATCAAGTCTATTGGGACCTTCGAGGAGACTGAAAACAATCCACCAGAAGATATCAAGGCCATGGTCTCTCCTGCGCTCACCTCATCTGAGACTCATTCTATCCCTGAGCACGTGGAGTGCCAACCTGATGGTCATGGTCCCAGGAAGCATTATCCGCCACCCCCATTCAATATTCCGCCCCCAGTCATTGCCGACCAGCAGTACCCGCCACACCCGTTCACCACTGATACAACTTTTGCCGATGGACCATCGGATTACCCCCGATTTGGTGTGAAGCTTTACAAGGATAATTGGTCTTCGGAGATCGAACGAGAGCTTAATGAACAGTTCGACGAAGAGAGTGAAGATGAAGATAACTCAGAGATCGAATCGGACTCTGACAGCTCCAGCATTGATGAGGAACGTTATGAGCTGGATAACATACTGCTTTCTGGCACTAAGTCTGGTGGAGCTTCCAGCATTGACTCTGCCTCCGATGTCGACTATCTCTCTGATGCTGCCTCTCCCTCTGAAGATGACTCTGCCTCTGACAACTCCGATGATTCCGATGATGGATCATCCGTCGAGGAGAATGAGAAGGAATGCATTGATCCAGCCTTGATTTACAATGAGTTCGCGCCCAGTAATATGCCCACCATTCCGTCGTTTACAGGAACTACCAATGGTGGCTCAGAGCCCAAATCCAACGAATTGAATCATCTGCATGATCTTCATGTGCGCTTCCCGAAGTGTCCAATTACTTCTCTTTTGAATTGCCCATCCTCGCAAACCTTCAACCAAGGAGATGTGCAGAAATCTTCCGACCCTATCGCTCATCACCAACCTAATGTTGAAATTCCTGGATATGTACCCAACCTGTACCGTGATGGGCCGTTTTCCTGCGATAACCTGGCTGACAAAGAGACCAATGAGACTGAATGGGTAGACATGCCTAGAGTCTCCTTGAAGCGCAAGGCTTTCGAAATGGAGACACAAGACGCCCAGCTTCCCGAGCTTATCGCTCAATCATCTCAGGAACCAAGCCTGAATCCCATTCAGCAGTCTCAGGTTACCACCGCGATTAGCTCCGCCTTGTCCGAGGTAGAGGCTCTGTCCGAGGCTGAGCCTCCGAGCAAGCGAGTAAAGTCATCACACTCATCGAACCTAGCATGCTACACAGCTACTGCCGTGGTCAGTGCTCTTTTGGGTGGGCTTGGCACAATTGCTCTTCTAGCAGCCCTGCCCGCTGAATACTTCCAGTGAACTCAGAACTTTGGGGTCTCCTAGCAGTGTTTCAGACGTTGCCTCTTCTCATTTGTGAAGTCAGGCATTTTCCCTGGCTGATCCAGCTACATGAATCGAACGAATTATCTTTCGGCGTTCCCTCTGCACAGGTGATCGGGGCCTTTCCACGGTATTTCCCTGTGAGTTTCTCGGTTACTAGAGATTTTTCGGTGGGCCAGTATGTCTCACGACCAGATTGGAGTTTTTGAGACAAGGAGTTTATGTGCGTTGATTCGGTGATTATTGATTTTTTGCTTCGAATTATGGCTAAACTCTCCTCGTTGCTGTTTCCCCCTTGTGTGATGCCAAAGTGGTTGTCTAGGTCGACTTCAGTATGCCTCAGACGGTATTACGTTGCTTATGATATCTACTTTTAGCAAGAAATCAATCCCCCCATGACTCAATTGACTTATACGTCTTGTTGTATCAGTTCCCATTTGTATCAACGCATTTATCGGCTGCTATCTGATCCTGACATGGCGCGTGACACGATCAGCACTCAGCCTTGGGATGCTCTGCATTGCTGCCAGGTACGGTTCTTTGTCGGCAGCCTCATTCAAAAGACTTGCTGTGATTTCATGCCACAGAATTCAAGGGTCCCAATCCGGATAAAATGGACCATGTAATTTTAAGTATGAAGATGAGTCTCACAGAAACCCCCTCGAGTCAAGAAGAAGAGGATATTGGACTGTGGGCCAAATGTCCGTCACATGTCTACCAAGGTGTACTTTGCATGGAATCATTCCCTCTTCCAGTAGCTTGCCCTGTCAGCGTCACTCCGTCAAGTCCGATTTGCCTCAGCTGCTAGCATGCCCCGAGACCCCGGACCAGACCCTGAGGCACCGAACCACCAGAAAGGAACGACAGGAGGACAAAAGTAGCGGTAGATTCACACAGCAGTAGTTCATCATTTGCTTTGAATGTCGCCTAGAAAGTCCGAGGTCATTCCACCTCGAATCAGATCGTCTACATTCTTTCTGGTAGAGCAAAGGATCGGAATTCACTTCATCAATCGGGCTGCAGCTCAATCCTCGTCATGTCAGCTGACTGGCCACTTTGTTTTGCTGTTTTGCATTGGACCTCGTCTGCCCATGTGTCACATGTCGACCAGAGAGCTTCTTTACAGAATTCAAGGCGTTCTTTCCTTGCTTTCTAAATTTCCAACCATTTCGAGGCCTCCCCTGGCCCACCGCGCATCTTAGTGCGAGCCTATGTTCTCCAGTCCGCGTTGAAATTCCGAGCCTAGCGCGTGATGGAGAATGGCTAGCTGCAGGTCAACTCCTTTTCTCAGTCGAACAAGCCCGAAATCCTTTCGATGGACAATCAATCTCTCAAATGCATCAACAGCTCGTAGGCGGTCCTTTGCAAATGGGCTAAGGCTCATGTACCCGCCGCCCACGGGTCCCACAAATCCAGGCACCTTTCTGAGTGCTGACTGGTACGGCTGCAATCTTGAGCGGAGAATAAATCCTGTCACCATGACTCAGACATTTCAGCTGGTGATAAGAGTTTTGGTGGACATAGGCCTCAACGGTTACCGGGCATCCCTTGCATCTACGTCGCCCGGATTTAGGCAACGCAGATTAGCAAAGAATGAGAATTGATGCCTTTGTCGGGGTCTTGTCCTAGCGTGGCAGTGCCCCGGGTTGCTTAATGCTGTGCTTGACGGCTACTTGCACTTTATATATCGAAGATATCTACCATGTCGTAATCATGGCGCTTCGAGAGTGAGAGCGCGAGAGCGTTACCCTCTTGTCGATGCCTTATATGATACAATTGGCCACGAGACCAAGATTTTGACGTGTTCCCTCGTCTCTGATTCGCTCATCACCGGGCAAACTTTCAGATTTATCATTCTTTTCTATAAAAGATTAATGGCAATCTACATTGTGATTCGAGCCAGGGGAGCCCTCTTCTTAATCCCTGGAAAAAGGCTCACACGAACCAAGATACACGACTATCACGTCCGTTTGTTCCGGAGGTGATTAATGGGAGCCAATACGCATGTGATACTCCGTCATCTTACTCTTCCATCCCCATATGTATGCGAACCCGACATGCATCTTGGAGGGGTCCTGCAATTTGTACTTGGAGGGGCGTACAAGGCCCCTCCAGCTCACTTCCGCTCTCGATCTTCTAATGACGTCCTCTGCTCTATTTCCATTGCTAGCTGCATACCATCCACCTGGTACCCTGACTTGCTCTCGATGTTGTATGCGTCTCGACCCCACTCAGTTCCGTCAATATGCAAAGGTCATCGCCTTGAACTGGAGGATCACTAGGTCGGACTCGTCTATGAATCTGACAAAGATCACCTCATTGTGATCCGTGTTCTCTTCGGGAATGAGATCATCCTCGAATTTTTTCCATGCAACTATCCGTGGATAGTGTCTCCATTCGGACTCACCGAATCCCGAGTCTAACTGACCTCCCCCTATTCGTACCCTCCGCCACATTTTTCTGCATTCATTGACAGGGGTATGGGTATTTTTCAGGCCCTGGGTACCTACTTCAGCGAATAATAGTCACAGGGCTTTGGTGGCTGCCATGAGGCTGGGACTTATTTTCCGCATTGGCAACACGGAGTCCTGCTAGGGGTAACGACCTAACCTTGGGTCCGATTCTGATTTTCAGACCCCGAATATTCCCATAGAATGATCCCTGTCCTATTTTTTCCTTGAGGAAACTGCCTCTGTTGAACGGCTGCGCAACCGGGGACACCGTTGCAGTCTAATAATGGTAAATGCCATTGACAACTCTCCCTTTGTGTGCACCTGAAAAAAGGGCGAACCACCACATTCTAGTTCCCGGCCGGTGGGATCAATCGTTCCTCGACAACAACGACCCACCCCACCAGCTCGGCCCGTTTCAACAACCCTGTATGGGCGCTACTAGGTACCTTAGTGTCGTCGTCCTACATGCCTTATTGTGCGCGTCCGCCGACGTACGCTCTCGAATATGGTGGGGCCTGGAACTGAACTAGACTAGACTCAATATGGCTCATGCGCCGCCATCCAATTCTGATGCCAGATCTATTCTAGGTTCTCTCATTGGTCAATGACCCTCCGGATATATGTGGCCTGCACGGATATGACCGGCTCATATCATTGAATAGAACCCAACCTGACCTGCAGTCAAGCTCACCGTTACAACGAATGACCTACTGACCATCCAGAAACTGGCTTTCAGTTGGTTTCCTCGGATCTGTGGTTTCTGCTAGGCGGAATGTAACCTTTACCCTGAGATGTCGTGTGCCACTAGGCCCTCGCGTGTATAAGAGTCGATCCTCGACTGCTCCTAACTCCGGACTCGTTATATTTTGGCCTGGGCAAGATTAAACCCTTGTCTGATTACTGGCGACAACGCGTTGCCTTGTTTCCCATTGTTCCGAAGTTTATTGATTTAGAGCCTGGTTGATAAAGCGCCATCTTCCTATCTTTTTCCAATTATCTTCAGCATCCATCAACCAACATAGAACGCTTTACAAAGGAATGGAAACTCTGCTTCCAGTCTCATAACTGCATTATTAAACTGCCAAGCTACCCTTGCAGCACTACCGATACTAGTGCTGTGCATTTATCTTGCTGCCTCACTTCACTGCGATCTGTTATTTTCAACCGCCACAATGGCTAACGCACACTCCCTTCTCAATCTTGATCCGGGTCATATATCCTGCATTGGCGGGCGGACCGTCTTGACCTGTCGGGATTGCGCCGGCAATGCCCCGAGGTACGTGCAAATAATCCACTCTACATACTCTCATGCCCTGATGTTTATTTCTTAGGGGTTCCATCTGTACTAGCTGTCATGGTCGGGGTTTCAACATCTTCATCTGTGCACGCTGTAATCCCGCCGCGGCTGCATCCTCTCTTAGGACTAATGCCACTGCCGCATCAGCAACGGCTAACACTACACCGGGATCATCGGCACCCTCCTCTCCAGGTTCTCTTAGCCGAACTCCTTCCACGTCTTACCCTTCACATTCCGAATCGAGAGCATCACGATCTTGGAAACGAATTGATGACAGTAATAGAGATAGAACGAGCTGTGGGCAGATTGAGACGAACACCCCTCGTGGTCTATGATCTATCATATGCTCTGCGTGTTGGTACCCGATTTGTCCTCTTCGCATATTATCCTAAATTCCTTTTTGCTAGTTCGTCATGGGTCTTTTTATTCCTTCATATACTGTTTATGCTGCCTGACTTTGCATTGCTGCGCTTTGTGGGCAGGTTGGATGCCTTCATAGGCTGTACATGGTTTTCTTTTTTGACTTCGACCACACAAATTTACAAAGTTGACACAAGGTAGCAGCTGGCTTGCTTCGTTCTTGATTTCTAGCTTTGCGTTAGCTTTGCTTTATCTGGAATATTTATGCGGCTTAGGGACTGAGGATAGCAATATAACAAAGTCTGTGACTTGTTCATCCATACATAATATATTTTCGAGGTTCTGATGGAGAACTTCAAAGTCCTTGAACATGATCTAGGTTTTGCATGCGCTCGAGAAGAAAGGCTTCATCGGGGATTAATTGTCGCGCGGTGCCCAGGTGATGGACAAGTCAAGTCTCAGTCCACTAGCATTTAGACCTCGGACAACCCGCCCGGACTGAATACGACACCAACATCTTCATATTACACTAAGTGGGTTGATACTTCAGACCCGTAACAACAAGAGATACGCTGATAGTACTGTGGTCTTGGTATCTGTTAAATCCCTTGGGAGTTTGTGGTCCATAAGTAGACTAGGGAGCTTAGCTGTTCCTGCTGGCATTTACTGAAAATGCATGCCCAGGTGTGACATTTTAATTAGGGCCAAATCATGATCAGTTGTTGAAACATTTGGAAGGATTCTTTAGACCAAGGCTGACCAAATCTACTTTTACAAAGATTCTCTAGTAGTGTTACTTATATTCAGAATCAAGTCGATGAAAAGCAGTTGGCGTCGTTATATTCGCTTGCGAATAACAAATGGGTATGACTGGGTAACATATGATCTAAATCTAAAACAGGTTCTGGGTCCGAGCCCGTAGCCACGGACCAGCCAAGTAGAGAGGCAAGCCCAGAGCCAGTACTATCCACTGGACTCCAGCAAATTCATAGAACATGGTATCCACACCCTTGGACTCCATCCAAGAGTACGCACCGGTAGCCAGTCCAAAGGCAACAACATTCTTTGATGTGTTGACCAAGACAAGGGCTTCACCGGCCGTTCTTGGGTAAGCGTCCACGACGTATGAGAGCATGACAGAGGGAACCAGGGTCAGTGCAGCGGCACTGATGGCAGCTCCGACAGCCGGGCGGATGTAGTTTTGTTGGTGTGCAACGGTGTATCCGAAGACAACAAGGCCAACAGGGCAGATCAGGAAGGGGAGGATCAGTGCAGGCAGACGGTGCTCAGGCTGGTGAACGTTGTTGTTGCGCTTGCGCATCCAGCGAGAGAGAAGATCGGTCATGGGTCCGGCGATGGGCCAGGCAACGACAATACCGATGAAACCGCTGAGAGAGAAAAGACCGAGACCGCCGGCGGTGAAGAGGTAGGGTGGTGGGGAGAATATTTCGGGGGAGAGGGTAGAAACGGCGACAACTCTGTTCAGGATTAGCAGATGATGAGTAAAATGGAAGTGAGTTTTGCTTACCCTCCAAGAACAACTCCATACATGAGCGATGCGATCAACACACCGGGAACCAGCAAGAGGGGGAAGGGCAGCAAGAAGAGATAGGCCAAGTGCTTGATGACTCCCTTCTCCTTTGCCTCTTTGGTGATGCCGAAGGTGAACAGTCCCTTCCAGTGGGCTCCGTAATCCATCTTGAGACGGTCGCCACCTTGGGATTGAACACGGACAGCCTCGACATGGCTGTGGGAGTCCTTCTCGACATCCTCAAACTGCTCAAGCTCCTCTTCAGACTCATAGGTAGTCTCTGGGAGGAAGAAGATGGCAGTGACAAAGTTGAAGGCGGCGAGGATGGAGCAGAGGATGAAAAACCAACGCCATCCCTTGGACTCGATGAGGAAACCAGCAATCATAGGGCCAATCTGTGATCCTCCAGATAATGCTGCGGCATAGAGGGCCATCGCGCTAGCGTAGTTGCGTTCAAAGAACAGGTCTGAGAGAATGCTGGGTCCAAGGGACTCGATCGCACCATAACCAAAGCTGGCAAAGACTCGAGAGCCAAGCAGGCTGTTGTAGTCCTTTGCGACCGCACTCCAAATACATCCGCCCAGGAACATCGCCATAGCGATGAGAACAATGGGCCGCTTGCCAAAGCAGAGGGCAAGAGGCATCCAGAATAGATTTGCCAGTCCCATGGACAGCACTGAATAAGTGACTAAGCCTGATAGCATCGAATCACCGATGTGGAAGTATTCTGCTAGAGAGCCAAAGCCTGTTGCAAGGCCGGACGAATACATGTTGCCCATGAAGACGAACAGGTTGACGGCAAAGAGGGCAGCCCATCGCACCCGATTGGGGAGGAGCTATACACAGGTTAGATCTCCGTACCATATAAATCAAGCAACACGCTAACATACCCTAGGATCGACGTCTGTCATCGCGGGTAAGAGTTTACTCGGTGGATGTGAAAGAAAGGGAGATATCGTATGATGATGGGAGGATTGGGAGAGAGATCAGCTCATATAAACAAAATCCGGCAGCTCAAGTCGGGAAAAACCAGACAAGCTACCTTGGGAATTCCATGTGAGCCAAAGCCCCTTTTCCCCGCAAATTGTTGGGTACGCAATCAATGCCATTGGTGATCACATATTTTCCCCGGGATGTCCGTGGGGTAGCTCGGATGCATCTCGGGACCGCATTCGGTCTGTGGCGCTATTAAGCGATGATTCCCACGAGCAAGGGCGCGACGCTAGACCGAACGGTTCTGTGGCTTGAAGTATTTTGCCGAGCTTTTGCCATGCTGAGCACCGTGTGCATTTTTTTCCTTTTCGAGGTTCATGCCCGATGTTGATCGGGCACTCGTATAGGATATGAGGAATTCATAAAATACACCAAGATCCAAAATGCGGGGTGAAGCCGGGCCGTTGCAAAGAACCCGTAACGCGTGGCATCTAGGCCGTGAGAACCATGGTCGGATCCGACCGATAGGACATCCCGGGGTCCATATTGTTATCATGCGTAAGAAAATTAGAAATCAATGCCAAAGCACAGCCTGCACGGGGTTGACAGGTGGAGAATGTGTGGATCCAGATCCTTCCAATTTTACCCCGCGAAAGTCAAAAATAAAGTCGAGCTTGTTGGGATAAGAAATCAAGTTTGTAAAATCTACAAGTTTTGGTACCAACCCTCACCCGGAAATCAGTTCTGAACAGTAGCGAGTTGACATATTCTCTCCGGCCTTTGAGACTATACATCACGAGACTGATGACAAAGACTACCATGAAAATGACCACAATCCACTAGAATTCGCAGCGTTCACCGGGATCTCCATTGGTCAAAGTGACCAAAATAGTAACGGAGGGGCCTCTGTCGCAAGCAAAAGCCCATGTTCCGCGAGAGATAGCCGCGTTGTAGCGAATGTTACTGCAAAAGCAGGCATCAAAATAATTGCTTTCAGTCCATCGACACCAGCTGGCGTTACTGCCCGCTTGAAGACATAAAGCAATGTGAATATTGTATTAGCATTGAGGCAATCTTCACGGGTGGAGCATAGAAGACGTATCCGATCAGCATAATAACGGTCAGGATGCCATGGCTGAAGCATCCTTAGGCGATGGCAATAAGCATGTTTCGTGCAGCACCTTTCGTCTCAGAAATATGTGCAGCTGTATCGATACGGTGTTTAATTAAATGCCCAAAAATTTGAGTTCTAGCCTGTGCATTCGGTATTGATATGACTATGCAATGATGGTCCTTAATAACAATAAATAAATAAATACAGATAACATTGTCGTGTCTTCTTGGTCGCTTATAAGATTTTGCAGTATGAACCGGACTGGGAGGGTTGCGAGAACAGATCCGGGTTCTGAGATACGGCCTTCTCGACTTCCTTGATGGCATCATAGCCATACAGCCAGGGCTGGACTTCAGGACATGTCCTACATGAGAAAGTTAGTATATGTTCAACACAGACTTGAGAATACGACGTACCATCGGCTAGGGAAAGCGCCCTTGAGTTCCTTGCCAAGCTGTGAGAGGAAAATCTCATCACGCTTCTGTTGCTCTTCTCCATCTTGCATGTGGAAATCGTGGCGCTTAATTTAACATGTTAGCACCATGGCAGGAATGAATGAAACTCGGATTATTTACCTGCTTAAAGGTCTCCCGCACAATAGCCTCTCCTCTGGATTTGCGGAGGCTTTCGTATAGTCTTAGAATGCGAGGCAGCTGCGCCTTATCTGTCATGTGTCCTAGAAGCATACCCAGAACAGCGCCATCTTCTAGCGATGAGTTGGCACCCTGTGCCAGGTATGGTAGCATTGGATGACATGAATCTCCACTATAAGTCGAATATTAGCCAAATTCAATGGTGCGTCTGAGCAGAGGTAGACATACATGAAGACAAGGTTGGACTTGTCGTTGACCCAGTTCTCCATTTCACCATCTATGAATATGTCAGCAATAGAAGCTATAGTCTTGGTAATCCGAAACTCACGGTGCATCAACTTCCACTTATCGATAGTGGTATCCACATATTGCAAGAATTTGTTCAAGCTAAAGATAATGATCAGCATAATGCAAGAGGCGTATTCTGCACAGAACTCACATTGGATCCCAGCCAACAAAGAGCTCGCGCATCTCCTCCACAGATCCTGCCTGTCTCGAAACTCCCGGAGGCAAGTTGTCAGGAACCAGCAAGACAACATTGTACATATTTCCTCCACGTAGCGAATATCCAACGGCATGAGCACCGGGTCCAATCCAGAAATGGCACTCCGGGTTCTGAACAAGAGACTTCAGATCCGGATCGGTAATCTGATCCGCAGTCAAAACAATCCGATAGGCAAGATCACCTGTCGGGAGAGGCTCATCCTTCTTTCCAACAAATGCCTCTCGGCACTTAGACCACAGACCATCGGCAGCGATAATAAGATCACCCGAATATTGCTTGCCAGCCACAGAGTGCACGGTGGTGGTATCAAAATCAATGCGCTCAATTCTCTCACCAAGGTGGAAAGTGACACCCAATTCCTTTGCCCGCGCATACAACGCTTGCTGCAGATCCACTCGGTGCAAGTCAACAAACGGCGCGTCGTATTTCGCCCGAATACTCTTGTTAAAAGTAGGATCGTGGGCCAGGACTTGGCCTGAATAACGGTGGACAGTCAACTTGGTAGGCTCGGCTGCAGCCTCCCACATGGAATCAGGAAGCTTCCAATACTGCAGTAACTTGGACGCATTGGGTGTGATTTGCAGACCAGCTCCCACCTCAGCAAGCTCCTGTGCTTGTTCAATAACCTGAACCGAGTGTCCCGACTGCGCGGTGGAGATGGCAGTCGCGATGCCGCTAAGACCAGCTCCGACAATGATCACGCGCAGGCGCGCTTCTTCTGAGACAGCCTAGAGAGTAGCAGAGATTAGCATGTAAACAGTTAGCGGGATGGGCTTCTTTGTTCATACCATTTTTTAGACGTGACTGGGTTCGTACTTTCTGAAGAAAGTAAAAATAGCTAATAGATAGTTGAAGAAGACAACAATCAGAGGAGCTCGGCTTATAATTTGGCGTAATCCGGAATGGCCGGAGTGGACATATGCCCCAGCATCCCCACAGCCTCGGGAATGCCGACCCTCGGATTTCCCAGGAGCACCGAGCGGCCCCAATTATCTTTGTGAACGGTTACGCGGATCTTGATTCAGAACTGCGTGACCTGTCTTTTCTGGGGTGCAGGTCTGGGAGGCGATCCCTGGTGGATCTGATCGAGGCCAAGAGAATGGAGCGCGTGATCCCGACTGGATTTTGTTTCTTTTTTGGGCCCTCAGATCAAAGACTAGTCCGGTGCATTAATTTATTCATAATTAATCATCCTACAAGCTTTTTATACAGTTAGTCCTTATACAATCTCAAATTAATTTGCCCATTGACATTATGTGATCAATACACATAGAAGAGTGCTATGATTGAAGACCACATGGTATTTGGAGGCCCAGCGTTCACACTTTGAAGTACCATCATTGGATACATACCCAGGTATGTAGTACGTATGGATTTAGCTTGCATATTAGCTTGAATCAAGCGAGGCTATAAGCTTTTCAATACCTGGAAATCAGGAACAGTATACATACACATTTTGCCTGACTTACAATTACTATGCTAGGCTAAACGTGGTCATGGAGATGTCAGCTGATCTCGTGCTTTTGTGATGTCTAATTGAAGGGCTCTAAATCTTCGCATTTTCGGTACTGTTCGGTTTTTTTTGAGACACTGGAGAGGAAAAATTCATTATTGATTGGAGTTTATGGTAGAGTCAAGTATAGAAACAATCTATAGTTCAATATACTACACAAGGGTAGCAGTAAACTTACACCTTCTTCATAAGAGGCCAAAGTTCAGCCTTGGGCCCAATCAAAGGCTTAAAGTTGTCACCTTCACAGATCTTCATCGCCTTCTGATACGCCGGGCGCTCAGAGACCCGCTTCAAATAAGCAAGGATATGCTTATGCTTTTCCGTATCAAAGTCCACGGGACAAAATCCCCGCATAGTCGTTAATGTGAAAAAGATCATAATATCGGCGACCGTGAGCTCTTTTCCGGCAAGATAAGCCCCAGTCTGAGCTAGACGGGCCTCAAGCATATCCAGTTGATTCATCGCCTTATCCAATGTGCGAGCCACAAAGGGGGAGCTCGAGTCCGCAGACCGTGCCATCAGTAGTCTCAGAAAAGTGGGCTGAAGACTTCCATTGGCGAAGTGGTACCACTCCAAGAAATTGGGATAGCTTGCACCGTCCTTGGGTGTGGGTGCTAGACGCCCGTTCCCGTGGACAGCCACAATGTAATCCGTTATAGCGCCTGATTCGGCAAGGACAACCCGGGCGTCGGTAACGGGGGATGGGTCATCTTCCATTACCGGAGCCGTGCCAGCTGGGTGGAGGTCTTTGATTGATTGCGGGGCGAAGATTGGGTCGCGCTTGTGTAAAACAAATTTATAGTCGATGCCGAGCTCTTCCGCGAGCCAGATGATCCGCTCGGATTGGGAGAAGCCCATGTGATGGAGTGTCAAAGGCATTGTAGTGAGATCACGAAGGTGCGGAGGTCTAAGGAAAGGGCAACGCTTCTAATTGTAGGTGAACTAAGCGGGTGATCTTGATCTTGAGTTATAACATTGTTGATCGCGGGGCCATGTCCATTTATATCGGTCAGAGCGACCGGGTGAGACATATGACGTCAGGGACCTTTAAAGCTTTCGATCTGGCGATCCTGCGGAGTTGGAGCGGGGCTTCTGACATGTGTTATCATTAAACATGAACACGATTCAGCCAAAGGTTTGCGGAAGATGTATGAACTGCTAGGTTCTGGCGGAGTTAAGAGTTTAGGTTAGGTCCCAGCTTCTCGGCTCTGTCAGCACTAGTACGGCCTAAGTCAAAACAGGAAGGACCCATGGCTACGGCAGGATTCGGATAGTTTAAGGACATAATATTGTGACTCATACACTATTCTCATCCAGCATAGGTAGTCCACCAATATCATCAAACAACCGGGCAATTCCATCGAATGAGTAGTCTGGAAAACCGAAGCCGTGGGCCCAATCTGGGATTTCAAAGCCGGGATGGCTAGGCCCTGGCTCTCCTGACGCGGCCATATCACCATGCTCTCCATTTCCTGTGGCCATGTGCTGAGCGCCAGAGGCGCGGAATTCTCGTAGGTACTGTCGAATAATTTCCACCGATTTCCGTGCTACAACGGACTCTTCCATAGCTTCTAGGATCTCAACTCCCATTTCTACGGAGCGAAGCAGGGGCATCGTATCCTCGCACATGCCGAGTTTTGACATTGGGAGAAGAAGGGTTGATGTCGCAAACATCACATATGTGGTATTGTACCACCTAACAAGTAATTAGTACAGAGTATCAATATCCGACGTTTGAAAGCCTACCAGCATCTGAAAAATTCGTGCACTCGGTAGATGTCATGTATCACCTCGATCGTCTTCATGGCTGCGTCCAGACATTTGGCGATTGTCTCCTCCAATTCACTTGGAGGATGTCGAAGCTTGCGGGTGAAATGGCTTAAGAATGGCCGGAACAATAACATCTTCACATTATAGTATCCTGGCATTATACGGTTAAAAACACCTCCCACTGAACAGTTCAGATGCAACTTACGAATCCCCAGTACAAGCCGTTGTCTTCTTGCCCACTTTGGATCGCGAAGAGCGCTTCGTGGCGACTTATAAGTACCAATATCTGGCCTTAATTTTTCTGGTAAACGTGCGAGCCACCGATCCATCTCGATTTCGATCTGGAGAGCCAGCTGGAGCTTCTCCTGAAGTGTGATACGCGAATGGTAGATCTGGACGGAAACCCGTCGGACAATCTGGGCGAAATCTATCATCCACGGTATGATGGCATACTCGGAGTCATCTCGGGGTGGGAGAGCTCGATTATGGTATTCATCCATACCCAACGTGTCTGGTCGTCCGACTGAAAAGCTCATTTCTCTGCAGAAAGTCAGATACCAATCAACTTGTTGAACTCTAGTCGTCAGTCTACTGTATGCTTACATTTCAAGTGAAAATAGGCCCCTGTCAAATAAAGCTATTAGCCTGAGCCGCCACACGGATCAACTTTCTACTTACCACCAAGTTTTCGAGATCCAGCTCGAACGTTGATCATTAGGGCCCCGGACCTCTCGGTTAAAGCCAGCAGATAGACAAGTGCGCACCGCCAGTCCAAGATACATATAAGCCACTACAGAATTAGCTTAACTGGAGGACTAAATATTAGGGTCTCTTACGATTGGGGTTGAGTTCATTTTGACAGATTTTGGCCTGCAAAAGGGATTAACAATCGCCGATACTGCAAGGGAGTCCATGATTTGAACATACCATTAAATAGAGACATTGAACAGTTTCAAGATCATTTGAGAAGCGCAAGTGATTCAGATATGCTTGGGCTTCGCCGAAAAGCTTCCGACTCCATTCAAAGCGACCCAAGCCGGCAAGAGTATCTTCGTCCCATACTCGTACCAGCGATCCAAAAGACAGGATACTCAAATACAATGCGACGAAGCTGGGTTCGGGGGTACGGGAACGATTTAACCATAAGTCGCTGGCGCGCGCTTGGAAATCCTCCTTGTCGATAAACGGGTGGATGAAATGGATATTCTCAAAATAACCATTCATGAAAATATGCGCCTGATCAAAATAATAATTCTGCTGCTCAATGGAAGTTAATTGGCTAGGGCCAGTGGTGGATGGAGAGAAGCTGGGGTTATGCAGCGTCGAGATCAATGAAAAGTCTGCTGGGCGAGGATAAGATTCCTCATGAGTTTTTGGCTCTCGCGCCTTCTTTAAATGGCCGATGGCGGCTGCAGATGAAGTACTGCCGTGGAATTCAATCGCGTTCGTATGATGATTCAGTTCATTAATCTCGTCGTCCGCGCTCTCCGCGGACTCTTCCGGGCGATCGGTAGGCAGCTTTGTTGTCTCGCGCGGCGTCGAGCCCGTCCGTGGCATGGAGCAAGGTGTGGCATCTAATGCCACGGGGACTACACTGTGAGCGATCGGCCCATTTGGAGGAAGTGGCGAAGTTGTGATCTGTGCCTCAGCCGCGCGTAGCTTAGAGGCCAACTCCTCTACTTTCTTCTCGAGATCGGTGACATAACTATTTCCGTGTCAGTCTTCTCATCTATAGCAAAAGTGGATTCTCCGCCGCTCCGATCTCTAGGAGAAAGGTAGGGATACCTTGCCGACCGGTTGCTTTCACGCTCCCTATAATTCCCCTGGTATACACAATCTAGGTGACTCTCTAGATACCCATTAGTTCTGCGATCTGAAGCCCCCGCACGAGATATACCCCTCCATCGACTTACTTCGGCAATGCGAGCATGGATACTGCTCGTCGCACTTATACTTCTTGGTCCTGCACCGGTCGCAGGCCTGCGCAGCCCGAGGCCGTTTGGCCCGCTTAGGTGCGGATTCATCCACGGGCGAATTTTGGATGGCCTGCATTACTGAGACATCATGCCACAGCGGCAGGAAAATCTGGGGGTGGATCAAGCTAGTTGCAGGTGATAGATGATAACGAACGCGAGATTCGGATTTCCCGGGCAATCCGTATGCAGGTCCACGTGACGGGGGCGCTGCGGGGAAACAATCTGGGGGAACCAATCAGACTGCTCGCCTGCAATATCCCAACGAACATGAACTCAAATCGAATTAGACTCGTTTTGCAGGGTCACGGGGCCGGTATGCATCTCGGCAAATTTCATCGATCTACGGAATGTGCACAATGCCGACGGCCGAATGAATAGAAAGAGGCTTCAAATTTCGCTATTTACAATCGCTATCTATGTACTTCCAATTTACACCCTAGTCATGACATTTGTGACTAGAAAGTCACGTTCAGTCGCTCCGCCACAGATGCCAGCTGCGAGGGGTCCCACTCGGGAGCCTGATCCGGCAGAACAACGCCCTCCACCTGCTTACCCAGCTCGTGGATAAGGGACTCAATGCCATCACCATCGGTGAAGGAGTGCACCTTAACATACTTGCTCACAAAGTCCAAAGCAAACGCCTGTCCAGCAGGAATAACAACGGTCTCTCCCTCGCGGAAGATGGTCTCTCCAGAGCCCTGCAGGCGGACCTTGAGGGAACCCTCCATAACACAGAAGCAGTGATCGACCTTAGCGAAGGTCATGTATTTCGAGAGGACGGTCTCGCCGTAGTCCTTGGACGACTCAATGCTAGAGATGGCGCACACTCCAGTGCTCTGCTTGGTAGTGACGAAGGGGCGGGACATCACTCCACCCAGCATCCAACGTGGGCCAGTGTTGGCACGCAGGAAGTATCCCTCCGATCCCTCAGGCAGCTTCTCATCATCCTTAGTCCACTCTCCCAACTCTGGGGGCTGGTATTGAGGCTGGAAGACGACGTCAAACTTGCCCTTGGCAGCCATAACCTTGGGGATCAGAAGAGACTTCAAGTCACGGTTGTCAGTCTCGGGAGAAATAATGCCTTCGAACGGCTCGGACACGTAGCGGAAGAAGTCGACCCAGTCGCCGGGAGTGATGAGGCCTTGCAGCTCGGTGTGAGGGCCGACATTGTCAGGGTTGTGAATGACCATCTATTTGCGTCGTCGTTAGTCTAGGTCCTTGTAAATGTATTCAATTGGGGTCCACAAACCGGTGGGACATAGGCAAAGTCACCAGGACCCATCATTCGGCACTTGTCTCCATTGTATAGCTTCAGGAATCCCTTAGTCACCAAGAAGACATCGTGGGCCTTGTTGTGGTAGTGGAAGCCGGGAGCATCGGAGATGGTGGAACCGCTTGTGAACACAGCCATCAAGCCATCAGTCTGCTTTGAGGAAGCCAGGATGCGGAAGACACCCTTGCTACCGGGGATAGTAATGCGTTCACCCTCCAGCTGGGGGATGGCATAGGGGACCCGCTCGGCGGGAGGCAAATTTGAGAATGGCAGCGACATTGTGTAGGATTTGTGTGAGGCACAGGTAGAAGAACTGTATCAGACTTGAAAAAAAAGAAAAGGCTTTGACCAAGGAAGAGGCTAAGTTTTAAAGCTACAGAAACTCCAACTCTCGGTATGCGGGGGACACGCTCCCGAGCGGAGGGATCCGTGGCTCGGAAGTCCCGAGATGTCTGCGCCCTCTGGCAATTGGGACATTCTGATTTGTTCCTTTGATGAATGGACATACTACTAGTGGATTCAAACACTTATCACGAGGGATGTTATTGCGAATCATGTATAGTCAGCGGAAGTGACAAGAGGCCGAAGCACGAGCGCCGACGGATAACCCATGTCAGGTACCAAAACATGCAAGTACTGCGGTTACACATTTCTGTTAAAGATCCATAGTATCAATTTGAAGAAAGACTTTGATTTTTCGTTCTTGGTGTAACTGATTCAATTACCAGTTGCAAAGAATATCGACATGGCGGGGTCAAATTCTGCCCCGCACTACGCGTCGCGAGAAAGAGCTAGAAGTGAACGATCCGTAAGGCAGTAAAGTAAGTCAAGTATTGATGAGAAATTCCCCGTGTTTCAAAAACCCCACGGAACTCAGACTCCGATCACCCACCATATCCCACAATCTCCATTAATCCGGGTCATGGTCATGATCATCGGCGATCGCTATATGACCTTAACCGTGAAACCAAAGAATTTTGCTTAGTAAAGTAGAAGGACCAGGGCCTTCAAGCAGTGCTCGTAAATGCCTTTCCGGCGACTCCAGATTGGTCAATGTTAAGCTCCTTCGCCACCGTTAACTATGAGGACGGATAAGATTTCACCCACGATTCCCCACGCTCGTGGGGATGCCGCCTCAGTCCGATTCTGTGGGGTTTGCGCATACTATAATACCTCCGCGCCCTGCTAGCCTTCCCTCTTTCTCTTTCACAATTGATTTTCTCCCTTACACTACCCAATTCTCATACACATAATGGCGTCTACCGATTCAGCCGCGCTCGAGAAGCCGACTGGCGAGTACCGCCAGTACTTGCCCGACCTGAGCCTCAAGCGCTTCCAGGTGATGTGCACGCAGGACGCGCACGAGTATGCGCACGACTTTAAGACAATGAAGCAGCCCCCTTGGTTGCACGGTCTGTATTCGCATTGGTTGGATTTGCTGCAGGAGCCCTTCAAGGGTGTCACCACCGACGGTAAGAAGAATTGCGTCATGAAGAAGCGGGGGAAGATAAAATATATTCAAAAAAAGATTCTAATGTTTAAATTACAGGTCGCGTTCGTCCCGATCTTTTCACTCTGCAAGATGAAGATATCCCAATCCAGCAGATTGTGGACACCACACAGACCCTCCTCGGCCTGCTAGACGATAAGCAGAAGGAAGCCGTCAGCTACCACATCGACTCTCCACAGTGGCGCACATGGTCCAACCCCGAGTTCCTGCTCGCACACAAGGGTGTCCGCCTCGACGAGGTCACCGAGAAGGTTCGTGATGCTGTCATGAACGTCCTCAAGGTTACCCTCTCCCCCGAGGGCTACGAGAAGGCCGTCAGCGCTATGCGCATCAACCACTTCCTCGGCGAGCTGGTCAAGTCTCCCCGCGTCATGAACGAGTTCTCTTACAACTTCGCCCTCTTCGGTCGTCCCTCGACTACCCGGCCCTGGGGTTTCTCCTTCTACGGACACCACCTGTGTCTGAACATCTTCCTGTACAAGGGCCAGATTATCGCGTCGCCGTGGTTCACCGGTGCCGAGCCCAATGAGATCGACTCTGGCCCATACGCCGGTACCCGTATAATGCAGGTGGAGGAGCAGCTTGGCCTGGAGCTGATGCAGTCTCTCACTTCCGACTTACAGACTAAGGCTCGTGTCTTTGAGTTGATGAAGGATCCTGCTATGCCTCCTGGTCGCTGGAACAAGGATGACCAGCGCCACGTGTGTGGTGCCTACCGCGATAACCGGGAGGTTCCCTACGAGGGTATCCTGGCTTCGAACTTTAACGAGGCTCAGAAGAAGCTTATGTACGGCATTCTCGAGCAATACCTGCTTTACCTGCCTGCCAAGTCCCGGGCCTTGAAGATTGAGCAGATTCGTCGCTGGGAGGCGGAGACTTACTTCTGCTGGATCGGTGGTAACGGTGATGAGGATCCTTTCTACTACCGCATTCAGAGCCCGGTTATCCTTATTGAGTTCGACCACCACTCTGGCGTGTTCTTGAACAACGATGAGCCTAAGAAGTTCCACATTCACACCCTGCTCCGCACTCCTAACGCGGGCGACTACGGCCATGCCTTGCGGGCTCAGATCCCCGGTATCGAGGGCATCAATGGAAAGGAGATTGTCTGGTAGGTGGATGATACCTGAAAGTTGGCGTGAATTTTATAAAACCTTGTCATGTATAACTTTATGCGATGAATCTTGATGACTTTTTTATTTCTCTTGGCATTTTTGGGGTTGTGTCCGGGGATGTGTTTTATCTTTTTTCTCATCTTCAACATAGACCGTGCTGGCTGATCCGGTCTTACTGAAGGTCTACCCGAAATACGAAGATATGATTGATGTGACGAGTTCTTTTCAATGAGTAGATCCCGAAAGCAGCATTTATGAGTAGCTCGCTGAAATGAAATGATCCATCCGAATTAGTTTTCTGTCCCAAGACCATATAAAAGTATGTGTACAACCCATAACCCCAAGCATAGCACAATATCGAGTGAAAACAAGAGCAAGTGGAAATAAGATGCCGCCGGACCAACAACACTAAATCAGTTCAAGCCTTAACCCTTTCGTGCACCACAAGTATGACCCCTGAGAATATCGCATAGCACGTATACCCTGTCAAATGTGGGGCTCATGCTGTAACCCTAATATCATCATTGTCAGGAATAAGCTCATACCCACCTTCCGAGGGCAAGAGCTGAGCCGCAACAATGACCGCGCCAGCGCATATCAGACCAATACACCAACTGACAGTGCAAAAGTTCCAGGACTCATCCAGCTGCCAACCAACGAAGAACCGATCTTCATTATCGAAGAGGTATGCCTGAGAACCCCAAAGGATTAGTATCTAGATCTTCTCCAAGAAATCAAAGATGGCTGACTTACCACTATTGACATACTTGCCGCTTGTACAATAGCAGAGCACGCAATCAGGATACTGAGTACGCCCCATCCATTTTCACGGAGCCTTTTACCTCCACCTAGGATGATTATATAGGTGACGATACTCATGCCCTGCAGCACAACAGCAAAGGACATCAAGAACCCGACAGACCGCCACATAGAGCAGAAGTACCGGTCTTCGCCATGACAGTCTTCGCGCGCCGGGAAACTCTCACAAGTATCGGATAAAGAGGAGCAACGACGGTGGAGGCCATAGGAGTAGTGGTGAGCGGGCTAGACAGGGCGAGTACGTCAGTTTTCTGCGGTCACACGAAACGTCTCACAAAGAAGGCGAGTCACTGACCTTTTCGCTATGATAGCTGACCCATTTTGGGATAACGATAGCGCTTATAGTCAAACCAAACGCTGTGTCGTTAGCAGTCCGAGCATCACTGTTGCCTGGTTTCCGTCCAGACTGCGGACGTGTCGCTTACAAGCTAGGAACACCACCAGGGTGGCTGAGTAGACAATCGTTTTTGTCAGGAAGCCTGTATAGTTACGATCGGTTCCCCGTGGCACTAGGTGGAAGTCCATGGTGATGTGAGCGAAGGGGTGGGTATGGAAGGTGGCTCGATATGGGGTGATTTGGTCCGTGCGACGGCAGAGGGCCGGATTTGGGAGGAGACGTTGGAAGGATGGGAGGGTGACTTTGAGGGAAGTCCTGGTTCTATGAGGGGACTTAAATGAAAGGAAACGAACCGAGCACAACCTAAAGGTTAGCCATGCGATTGAGGTCAAGTGAACAAGCGTTCAACTTGATTTCTGGGGTTTTGACCCACTCCTGTCCCACCTTATCAGTCCCCGCTCACGCTACCCGCGTCATGCAAAGATAATACTTTGGTCAAGGTACAACTCTATAGGGTTATAAATTATGGCGCATGCTCTATACACCGCCATTTCCTGAGCGGCACTGTCAAGAATAATTATGGGTATACGAGTCCTTTTTTGACTGAGTAGGGCATTTAATCTATCGTCTACTTGCTCCTTGTCACTATGTGGGGACTAACTGCCTTGCTTGCTGTGAAGTACTGCCAAGGTTCAGGAATGACTCCCTGTGCTTAAGGATTTCCTAAGTCGTTCTACATATTTTCAGATGCATATGTTCACTCTTTCTTGAGGCTTTCTCCTGAAAACTTGTTGAGTTTACCTTATCACCTATCACAGATGTCATCTTACTCAAGGGTACGGCTATGTCGCCTAATACATCACTTTACCATGTAGAACCAATTTGCAAGGAGACCCATCCTGACAGAATGGTCTCTTGGAACAGCCGTCATCATTAGAACTACCTAGGTAAGGAAACCCAGCAATACAGAGGCATAATATACAGTGAGCAGATATTCTCTACCCGGCAAATATCAGAGGCGGGGAAAACATAGCACAAAATAAGTCAACCCAGATGGATCTCGTGGGTCTCATCGCAGCATTCAAGGGACTTGCCACCCAGCAAAAAAAAAGGGAAAAACATCATAAATAGGATAAGAGAAACGCCAGCCAGATTCATGCCAGAATTAAGAATGTTGCGCCGGATAACGTTCATTGCCGTAGCACTCACTTCACTCCGTGCGTTTTTGCTGCAGCATCGCTCGGAAATCATCATTGCTCTTTTTGAGCGGAGCCTCGCCTTCAATCTTGCCGTCGGCCGAGGTGTCCATCTTGTCGCCCTTGTTGGACTCTGTGCTGGGGGTGGGCGCAGTGGCTCGTTTCATCCCAAGTCCGGCCCGGCGGCCACCGCGGGAGCCCGGTTGCTGGGGGCGCCGAATGGGCCCTGCGGTTTGAATAGCGTTCTTGGGCTTCTCTGGTTTGTTCGAGGTGATCCGGGTAGTCTTGTGTTCAGCCTGAAGCGTTTTCATCTCTTCCACGGTCCCAATGTGGAGTGGCCGGCCCGGGATAATTTCTTTGCCCTCGAGCGCCAATTTGGCTTTGCCAGCATCATGAACATCCACAAATTCAACAATAGCGCCTTGGTGATCCGGTCGGAGCACAATCTTGATCAGTCGACCTAACGGTTCAACCAGGGCACGGATACGCGCATCATTGACGGTGTCGGGGACATTCATCAACGCAACTGTGCGATCCCAACGATCACCAACTGTCTCTACGAGACCGGCACCATTAACCTCTGGGGTGGGTGAAGCTGAGGGAGCAACGCGAGAGATGACGGTGCTCGCTATGCGCTTAGCACCAGTATGGGAACTGATTTGAACACGAATTGGACGGGACTTGAGGCTTTCACCATCCATAGCAAGCGCTGCAGTAGCTTCCTCCTGTTAAAGTAGATTAGTACTGGCTAGGAACTCTTGAGCCGGGGAAAAAAATGGATGAACTTACCTTGGTGGAGAAGACCACAAAGCAATAGCCTTTGTAGCCACAATCGACGCTGTAAGGAAGGGTAATATTCTCAATAGTGCCGTATTTCGAGAAAACTTTCCGGATATCTTCCTCCTTCAACTTGAAAGACAAGTTTGCGCAGTAAATCTCACGACCTTCCTCAACTGCTCCACCACGCTTCTGCTTCTGCGCTGGATCCGATATCTTTGCAATCAGGTTCCCTTTCTCGATAGGGGTTCCATCCAATTCGGTGGCGTCGTGAGCGGCCGCTGAAGAAGCGAACTGGATATAGCAAAATCGTCGACTGGTCTGGAATTTGAGTGAGGGCCAACGCACTTCAACAATACGACCGTACTGAAAAAAAAAACAGTTAGTGGTGTTATCTTAAAATATCAGAGGAATCATAGCTTACCTTGCCGAAGAGCTTGTGGAAATATTCGTCATCCGCGGTTGCAGGGAAATTGGCGACAAAAAGAGTTGACTCAGTATCAGACTGGACTTCGATGGTCTTCTCACCAAAAGTCTTCTGATCACGGGTCAAGGCGCTGAGAGCCTCCTCTCTGGTGTCGAATTCAATCTTCGCGACCTCAGAATTCCCATCCTCTCCAGGAAGCATCTTGACGCCATTGATCGTACCAACCTATAATCCGCGTCAGCGTGGCAAAAAGCTGCTAATTGCACAGGATACTTACATGTCGGAAGAACTGTCGCACCTGGTGTTCAGATGTGTCCTTGGGCAAATTCTTAACCACCACAGTTGAGTGTTCCCGATCACGACGAGGTTCAGATGGCTCCTCCTTGACCTCTGAAGCAGACTCCTCACTGCGAGTCTTTTTACTATCAGGCTCACCATTCACATCTGCCTCGTCCTCCCGTTTCCTCTTTTCCGACGATGAAGCAGCTTCGACAGCATTGTTCAATTGCTGCTGCTGTGCTGTTGCAGCCTCGTGGGCCTCTCTCTCTCTTCGAGCATTGACAGCCCTCATGGCCTTACGGGTTTCAATGACAGCAAGTTGCAGCTCATCTGAATCTTCATAATCTTCGCAGTGGGCAAGGTAGGTCTGCACAATCTTTTCGGGCCAATCGAGGTCAGTTCGCGCAATAGCTTGCTTCAAAACTGCAGTGGCATAGCTGGGCGTGGGGGTGCGTCTCGCAGCATCTACTGTCGCCTCGCCCTGAACAAACTTGCTCCAAGAGATAAGCTCCCAAGAGTAATAAGTGAGCCAAAACTCATAGCTGTTGCCACGACGAGCGACCAGGCCTTTGAAAGTCTCCCGCGCACTGTCCCAGCTACCACTTTCGCTGAGATACCGAATGTAAATACGCTCCAGGCGGAACAAGGGATCGCCCTGGTAAGATCGCCCATATTTCTTCTCACCCAGCTCCTGCACACTCTCAATTGCCGAACGAATTCCAACTTCCGCAACATCAAGGTCTTCATCGGTTGAGTCCGAGAGGAATGCGCGTCGGCGGAGGTAAGCACACCACGTGGTATGGACCTTGAGCACTTCTTCCATCCCACCAGCATCAAGCAACCCTGTTGCGGTAGCCCTGTGCTTGATATCGGAAATGATAGCGAATGACAGGCCCTCTCTTTCTGAGCTGAGGAGGTACTGCGACCAGAGGTTACCAGACCATGGACAGTGACGCGTGGCACGGTCAAGGGTAGAAATGGTCGTGGTGGATACATGGTTCTGCATGGATTCCTCAAGAAGAAACATTACGTGACCCTCCCATAGAGCGACGTCAGTGGGGAAACGCAGGACAGCACGCTGATAAATGGCATTGGCGAGTTCAAAGTGAAACTCTCGACGTCGGGGATGCCGACTGCGGGTCAACTCCCATTCGATATAATCGGTGTAAACGGCATATTCGAGGGCCTTGTCACCAGACTCCTCAGCTTTGCTCAGCCGATGTTCGAATTCTTCTCGCGCAGAGTAGATGGCCTTGGTCTTCTTCCCATGAGCGACAGTCTCCGTCATAATGCTCTCGTAGTTTGATTCGTAGTATGTGGATACAAATCCAGAGAAGCTCTGGAAAGTCTGATCCCAGTTTGCATGCGGTGTTTGCAGCCGAGCATCATACAATCCACGAAGATGGTTGATTTTGTCCTGGGAAGGAGACCGGGAAATATCCTGAGCCAAAAGGTCAAGGTACCGATCCCATACCATATGGCTGTTGTTGATTCTCCACCGGGTCGATTCGGCAGCGTCCTTCCACACATCCAGAACTGACTGCCAAGTGAACCTCCGACGGTCTTCGTCCGTCCACTGGCCAGCACCACCAGTTTCCCCGACAGCAGATTTGTAAAGGTACAAGACCCATTCGCCATAGATATGCCAGAGATTGGTGCTACCGTATTCTTCAATGACTGATCGCCTGCACAAGCTTACAACCGCATCGCGATCTGCGGCAGAGTTTGTCAGCATACTCTCATCCTGAATCCACTCCGCCCAAAGATTCTCGCCCATGGCGAAAAGCTTGTCCATTTCCTCTCGAGCTATCCGCATGTCTTTAAGTAGGTCGTATCGCCGAGGATCACCGTGGAGTTCCGGATTATTGGGCGGGTAGACATGATTCACGAAGCCGCCATGCAAAATACCAATGAATTTGACATGCGCGTCGTAGGTGTGGGGGTTCTCTTGGATTTGATTGAACAGATCAGTCGCCAACCGCTGGGCATCTGGGTCTAGGGATGTGTCGGTATAGTTTCTCCGCGCGCTTTCTCGAGGACCTTCAGACATGGCAATATCAAAGGATGTGCGAGGGATGGGAGTGTTGTGATTGATGGTATTCACGTGAGGGTGAATGGTGGAAGGAGATAACTGGTGCTCGTATGACTCGGTACCACGCAGCATATTCTGGGCGTTCTGACGTTGCGGCTGGTGGTGTTGCATTGCAGCCAGGTCGGCCAAGGTGTCCATGCCGGGGGTCGAGGGCTTGGTAGATGACGGCCGTTCGGTCGCAGGTGAACCATTGCCGGCAGTTTGGTTGGGACCGCCAGGAGAGCTACCTCCCGTTGGTGATGTTTCCGAAATGGCAGGACCAGTGGGAGCGTAGATCTGCTGGGCTAGTGGTGAGGAAGTTTTGCCTTTGCGAGCAGAACCGGAGCGCGTCCGCTGAAGTGCCTTATGAGGGGAGGGCCCTGCATTTGGGGTCGGTGGGTTATTTGACGTGACACTAGGCACAGGCGTCGAGTTTCCAGATTGAGGGTTTGAGTCCGGGGACAGCAATGAATTGATGTCCATCTTGCCGGGCCAAGGCAGAGGGAGAAAGAAGAGAGAGAAAAACTTGCGATGCGCTCCCGAGAGGAGGAATAAGAGGGGAAAGCGAAGCGACTGAGTTCTCAGAAATGTCAAATATCGTCACGAGGTCACGGATAGTGCTGAAGAAGCAGAGATCCAGTTTAGACGAGGGCCACAAGATGCCTCAACAACAAGTCCATTCCTATGTTGACCAGCGCAGCTTAAGATCCCAATATCGTGTCGGGTTCGGGATCGCAGAGGATTCGCGCGAAGCGGTTCGCACCAGGAAGGGCTCTTCTGTCGCGGTAGCTTCGTGGCAACCGATGGATTAACACCGGTGGTCTAAAGGAACGTGTTGGCCGAAGGAGCGGGACCCAGGGTTAGGCAAGTCAAGCTGAATCTGCAGCTTGGTCGGAGCAGGGATCGTGAGGAGGATAAAGAGATACGCCACAGGCGAGTGGCCAGGAAGGAGGTGAGTGAGGATGGAGAAAGGGAAGGAGCTGATGAGGAGGAGAGATAGCAAGAATCGGGAAGGAGAGCGCTGAAGGTCCTGAAAGAGGGAAGATGAGGGCTAGTGGATCTTCACTGTGGAGATGACGGTGTGAGGGAAGACCTGGCGCAGTGTGGGCAGTAAAGTTGGCCGAGAACCCCATGAGGCCCGAGTGTTTTAATATACCGCAATCAAAAAAACAATAAAATGCTGCAGATCTTATTCTCGGGTGGGGTGGGTATGATACTATCTCTTTTACTTTCTCTATTCTATTGTTCGTGATCGATCACGTCGCGACCTGCATTTGATGCCTGAGGCATGAGCACTAAGTACGGAGATCTGTTAAGACCAACTATGCACCGTAAGTTTGACCTTTTTTCCACGCTCCTCCGATCTCCGATCCCCATATCACATCTCCGAACGGCCACAATGGGCGCTGTCTTACCTTATGGGCAGCTGGTCCGGTCTGGTATGCTTGAATTTGGTCTTCTCGATGAAAATATATAATTGCTAACCCTCGTTCTAGCGGCCCGGACCCGTGTCGCGTGCGTCCCCCGGCGGACATTGACTACAACCCCAATTCGCTATAACCAAAACGCCCAGCCCGGCCCTCAAAAGACCTCCTTCCTGTCGTCGATGAAGAATTGGGTTCTTGGTGGAAATTCCGATGGAAAGCCAAGGGCTCGCACACCGACTGCCCCCAAGCGCGAGGAAGGCGCACTTGGATCAAGCTCCATTTTTGCTGAAGACCTTGGCAACACTTCCGGCCCAACACCGTCCCGCAAGAAGGAGCAGAACAAACAAGGTCAAGCAGGCGCTGAGGGCCCTCTGCCTCTGGAGAAGCGCAACAAGGACTACCTCCAGCTGGGTCTGAACCCTAACCCGAAGGCCCAGCTCCGGTGGGAGAAGAAGATGGTCATCCGTGAGATCCGCAAACGCGGTCGTCTCCCCAAGGCCGTCCAGATCAAGCGGACAGAGCGTGAATCGCTATCCAAGTCACACTGGTTCAAGACCTCCGTTAAGAAGTTGGGCCCCTTGGCCCGACAGATTGCTGGCAAGAACATCGATGAGGCTATCCTGCAGATGCGTTTCAGCAAGAAGAAGGCCGCTCAGGATGTGCTCGGTCACCTGGAGCACGCGAAGAACGTTGCCATGGTCCGTGCCGGCATGGGCCTGCCGGAGGAGGGAGCTGAGCCTGCCAAGCCCCTCACCGTCGTTCTCAAGTCTGGTGAGCGCAAAACAGTCACCGATCCCACAAACATCTTCATTGAACAAGCTTGGGTCAACCGTGGTCCCTATGGATTTGGCATGGATCACCGTGCCCGTGGTCAGATCAACCGGCTGCGTCCCCCTTCCACTGGTCTCTCAGTCATGTTGAAGGAGGAGAAGACCCGTATCCGTGAGTGGGAGGAGCGGGAGGCTACTGCACTGCGGAAGCGGAAGGAGCAGCTCTGGGTCCAGTTGCCGGACCGCAAGATCTCTGCTCAGAATCAGTACTACAGCTGGTAAACGTGTGGACTGGTGCTCTTCTCCCTTTGGCGTTGCATTTGTATTATTTTAACTCCCGGACTCCCATCTTGGTGCTTCTCCGGTCTCCTTGGTTTTTCTGTTATCCTCGGCCGGTTTGAGTGGAGGGGATTTTGCATACAGTAGAAGAAAGCGGGCTAGTCGCCCATGTACAATATCTACAATATTAAAGGCATATTCATATCTCATGGATCTTTTCGACTCACGGCCCTCTCAATTGAAGGAACTAGGCATTCATGAACAGTCTTTGTCAGATAGATCTATACAATCGGAATAATCCTCATCGTCGCTCTGCTTGAACAACAACAGGAATCACCGCCCCCGTCTGCAAAGGAAAGGCACGGTGACCAATAACCTCGAGGATACTAGTAATAGCACCCGAGTGCGCCGTGAGAGAGAGAATGTCATTCTCATCCGTCGCAAAGATATTATCCAGCAACTTGGCGAGCCGCTCATTACGCTCCTCATTGGTCTCCCGTCTATGGGCGTCCCAGAGCGGATCGTCTTCGGAAAACCCAAGCTCGAACTGATACTCTGGGAACTCGGCTCTGATTTCAGATGCCTTAGATCGAAGGTCACAAGTATGCTCGCCTATCGTTTCACGGAGGAGCTAAGTTTCGTATTAGTGACTAGTTTTGTTTCCCAGAATAACATCGGGACGAGTTAGATGATCATTTCCTTACCTCTTTAATCACGGGTCGGAATGGGTCTGTGTGTGGCATGTCTAGTCCCTTGAAGGTGATTTGGGCGGTTTCGCAGGTCCGGTGCAATGGACTAACATAGTATGACTGCGGCGCCGGAATACCTTCGTGGAACTGTTTCTTCCAAGCTCCGAATGCCGTTCTGGCTTGGGATCTTCCTATATCTGTGAGTCGGGCATCGACCCAGCTGCCGTACTCGTCTCCGTCCAGTAGAGACCAATATGCCTATGATAGATGGTGAGTAAAGATTTTTTTGAGAGCAAAGCGGAGGCCACATACATCCCATGCTGCGGTTCCATAGCGTCTCTCGGCGACATTATGAACACCTTCACCGTGTCGGCCCAGGAAAAGTACCTTGTATTGTACTGATTCCCCGCCCAGGTTATTTAGCTCATTGATGCTTTGGATGAACTTCTGCCACTGGGTGTGTAGTGGGGCCTCTCCATGGAGAATGAGGCCAAAGTTGGACTCGACCTAGATCTGAATGAGTGAACCGTTTTTGGGGATATGCGAGTGATCCACCTGGATCTGGAAGTCAAGCTTATAGCGTCTTACATAGTCGAAGGTGGCTGGATCGGTGCCCGGTTCATCCTGTAGGAAGAATCCTGGCACGGTGGAGAACTTGAACTGGGCTGCCTGTGTCATTGGGCTTGGTATCAAATGCATGAATCTTATACCAATCAAAAGGAGTTCTCCAAGGTTGACGTAGGAGGAATCGGCGTTGCTTCTTCCCTTCCCGCAGTGGGGCTGAATGCGCGGTGAGACTATACTGCCTTCAGAATTGGTTTGCCTCTCCTTGCAAACTACATGGTGATTAATTTTATTAGGATTGAGATTCAATCATAAAATTGGGATTCGGTTGGAATTCAATTGGAAATCATCATGCTTTTGGATATTTCCATGCATGAAGTGTGGGAAATAGATCCATCTTAAATAGTAAACAGGGATTCTAGTATTCTACCAACGGATCGCTCTAGCAATCCTGTATCATAATTGATCCTTCAACTCCAGGCCAACTTTTCCATATCAAAGAAAAAAGCTCCATAGAACTTGCTTTCATTAGGTCGTAGATCATTCAGCCCAAGCTCCGCAGTCGTGCGTTGCCTTGCATTATGAATCAGTCAAGCTTATTATGCAGACCAAAGCTTCTCATCTGTGAGAGCTCAAAGCCCTTCTTAGCAGACATGAGGTATCTTCCGACTGAGGATAAGCCCTTGAATATCACGCTCTCTGACCAAAGGGTCAGAGATGCGGACTGCCAAGTGCCAAATACTGACTGCAATATTCTTGAAGGTTGTCCAAGGTGAGCAATGACGGGCTGGATGATGGACTGGTGAACAACATGGCCCAGATGGCCAACGTTTTGGGAGACGGTTCTCAGGCCATTGCCACGAGAAGAGAATTGAGGTTGATCCCTGACTGACTGCGGTCGAGCCGAGGGTGAATCCGCAGGTCGTCGCGAACTTTGGACAAGGGTCGATGGCCATTTGGCGGTCGGCTGGCTGGCCAGGGCGCTTGTGCTTGAGCGTCCAGAGTTGCTGACTGGCAATGAAGATTGGAATTGGTCTGTACGTCTGTCCTGTGGCAGTACAGAAGACCTGACCTTGGCGGTGCTCAGAAGCAGCGAAGTTCTGGAGTGATAGACATCCACATCCAGGCGATGGTTTGGCGCACTGCAGACACCTGAAAAGGCTTGCTTGACAGTGTTCTGGCAGCTTGGAGCCGCACCTTGAACGTTCGTAGCTCTCGGGCGCCGAACTTCTCGTCCCGGGACACTGAGAGTGCCAGCTTCGGTATTGCATGTGGTATATGTGGATTTTTTGGCATTTTGTGGAGCGGAAACATTGCGAGCCGCATCGGTAGGTTTGTTGCTCGCAGACGAGCCCAGAGCACGCCCACGAAATTGGGATAAGCCAAGTGTCTGCCGAATCGTTTGAGGCGATGTCGACATGCTCGAAGATTGCGTAGTCGAGCATTGGGGCAACGTTCCATGACCGGATGAGTTGGTTGAACTTCTCGCTTTCTGACTGGTATCTGGTACCGGTGATAGCACAAAGCTTGCATTGTACTGGGGGTCGTGGGGGGAGTTGTTGCGGACAAACTTGGTAGTTGCCCTGGCAAATGGTTGTACACCTGTCGGACTGATTGACGGATCGTTCACCGGAGATTTTACCATAACCTTCTTAGTCATATCGACCGGTAGACGAACAGCCTCCACCTTTCTCAAAGATCCGAGCTCAGAAACACCAGAGGCACGCGGTGATGGGACGGTGGGGAGCGTCGGTAATTGCGATCTCGGTCGTTCTCTGAATGCGACGTCCATTGGAACCTCACTGACGCCCGCACGGGCAGCAGCCTTCTCGAGGCAGTTGCACTGGAGTAAAATTAGTTATCAGGGTCAAGAACAAGATCGCTGGGTCGAACGAAGCTTACCCTCTTGTGCTGCTTCTTGTGCTTCTCGCAAGCACCGTATTTCCGCGCTTTGATGTAGTTCTCCTTCTGCGCCTGGGAACGAGGTTTCTGCTTCTTCGGAAGGTTGGCAGTGGCATTCATATTCAAATCAAGGACCATCTCCATTGGCATACCGCCATTTCCAGACGGGGTAGGGGCCGCGGTCTGTTCTGGGCTGGCGCTAGTCGGTCGAGGTGAGATGCTCTCGCGCATGTAGTCTGACCAGCATGGTGACGAGAAGCTGGTGTTAGAATCAGATGACAATTCGAGGTCCAAAGCAGTGGCATCACATAGCCGTTGCAAATGCAAAGCAATCGCTGCCTCTCGGCGCTTCTCCTTGAGGGAAGCAACACGAGTGTCGATGGCGGCCTGCGCCTCAACCATTTGCCGGAAGTCGAAGGTGGTATCACAGGGTTGGTAGCCATGGAACATGGGATCATTCATAGTCGCAGTAAAGTCCGGCATCAGGCCCATATTGGGAGACTGGTCGACAAAGGAAGCATCATGCGACAGATCAAAGCTGTTCATGTCCGGGAAGCCAGACTGGGTAAGGTCTGGCAGATCATTGGTAAACATGTCAGCATCGTAGGGGAGCGACATCTCCGGGGAGATGGAGTTAGCGGAATAATCATCGCTGTAACTCGGTGAGAGATCAAGGAATTGATCAAAGTCAACCCACTCCTCCTGGGTCGAGGCATCCATGAAGAATGTGTTTTCAACAGACGCCATGGCTTTGGGTATCACAGGGTACTTGGGAGTTTAGGAAGTACTTTTGGTGTTGGGGCTGAACTAGGTCAAAAGAGGGTGTATATCGTAGAATTTAGTCAGGGCCACAGGGGGCCTGGGGGTGGAATTTCCCGGGGAAGTGTAAGTTCGAAGGCCAAAGGGACTCGAAGAAAAGGAACCTGAGGCAGATTGCAATTGTATATAGGTGGGAGCTCGTACTGGGTCGCCCATTCCTAATTGGGGTCCCCGACTTCCGCTAAACTGCTTTAGGAGCCCGACACTGCCCGCCCTTGAGTCATAAATGGGGCTTAGCCAAGCGGGGCCTGAACTCTAGGCCCCGAGCTGATGACTTCCTTGATCGGGTCTAGCGCTATGCAGTACGCTTGGACTTCTGCCACGTCTTTACCGCTTTTATTCTGCTGCTTCTTGTATGAAGCTGTGGTCAGGTGATCTCCAATGTTGATACAAAAAGCTCCCATTAGAGGAAAGTATCTAGGTAACTTTTGTTCTTGGCTTTATCGTTTCTGCTTTTCCTGAAATAATTCATTTGGCCCAAATTATTGCATCGCTCTTCGTCATGGCTGAAATTCGTCTCATCACAACAACCAGCACTTTCATTTCTTTTCGTATGTCAGCAGCTACAATTCCGCTGAAGCAAGTGCGAATAAGCTGCTTAAAACGTAAAATGTATTGCTGGATGGATTTAGAATAGTAGGATGGGTGTTGCTTTTGTCGTGAGCGCAGATCTATAATTCACCAACTGGCGGGTTAACCCCACCAACTCCACGCGGAACTTTTTCCAGCTTGCTCCGAACATCATAGATCAAAGCAACCTTTGAACATACCACCACCCCCTTCTCACTTCCCACCGCCACAATGGCCGACGATTACAAGCCTCCAGCTCTCCCCTCCCCATTCACACATACCAAGCCGGTCCCCATCCTCCTTGCCCAGGGCGCTGAAGCTCACGTCTACAAAACTGTTTCTCTCGACCCCTCCATCCCGGCTGCGCTGAAGATCCGCCCTTCCAAACCATACCGGCATCCAATTCTCGACCGGAAATTGACTCGCCAGCGCATTATTCAAGAAGCCCGATGTCTCGTGAAACTTGTCCGCGAAGGCGTCAAAGTCCCTGCAGTCCTAGCACTTGACTGGGAGGGTCAAGGCGGCGATGAGGCAGGCTGGGGCGGAGCCTGGCTAATGATGGAATGGATTGAGGGGCCGGTAATCCGCGTTGTACTTGAAAGGTGGGAGGCATGGATGAAGGTGAATCGCTCATCTTTGGACCCGACACGGATTACCCAGGAAGAAGCGCGAGTACGGGGACTGATTAGGCGCATGGGATCTGCCATTGCTGGGCTACACAAGGCCGGTGTGGTTCACGGAGATTTGACGACAAGTAATCTCATGCTGCGCACAGAAAAAGTTGAGGGGGAGACCCTTTCTATGGACGGAGAGGTCGTCCTGATTGACTTTGGGCTTGCGTCGCAAAGTACCCAGGACGAGGATCGTGCGGTGGATTTGTATGTTTTGGAGCGTGCAATTGGCAGTACACATCCGCTGTCGGAGCCATTCTTTGAAGAATTGCTTATCGGATATAAGGAGGGGAACAAGGGCGCTACTTCTACGCTTCGGAGACTTGAGGATGTGCGGTTGCGAGGCCGCAAGCGAAGCATGCTTGGATAAAGATGTGTCTCTTTCAATCTTGACCCGACAATGGTCTCGAATGTCCGATATGAATATGCATGCCATAAAACTCTCTCATCTGATGTCACAAAAAGAAAAAAGAAAAAGAAAAACGCCGCGCTGAACCTTGGAGATGAATATTTAACGACCTCATGAGGGGCCTGACTTTCATGGCCGCGACTTGACGCATGTACCAACATCTGCCAGAGCGAAATACCCCTTGTTCTCAACCACTCCGCGATCCTTCACAACTGCAGTATACTTCACCACCCACTGTGGCTCAACATCTCCTTGGATTCCATCATTCGCCTCAGGAGCGGAAGCCAGGATGCCCGCGCCCTTGTCAGTCGGGCCCAGAAGCTCTCGCGTCATACCCACAGGAAGGATATCATTGCAGTCATTATGAGTAAGAAGTTGAATCTTCTCTTGCTTGGCGTATAGAATCAAGGACTTGGGAACGACACAGCAGTCCTTGAGGTTGATCTGGTCGACGGAAGGCTTCACCTTGGTGTGCGGTAGGAAGCGTGCCAACCGTTCACTGCCAAACTCTGCCACGCCCAGCTGGGCAATCATTCCCTGCTCATGCAGCGACTCGAGTGTCCGCCACGTCTGCACCATGCTGTCGAAGTCATCGGGCTCACCGGTGGATGCTGCGTCCTCCTCATCGCTATCGTCATCCGCATCGAAGAGAATACCGGGGAAGGACACAATGAGAAGATCGATAGACTCCACGTGTAGCTCTTTCAGTACCAAATCAATTGCCTCCCTTGTGTGCGCGCATCGCCGAGACGCCGGAATTCCTGGTAGATAGAACAGTTTCACAGTGATATCGTATTGAGACCGCTCCTCTGCCAATCCGGGCTGTGAGAAGTCGATCGCAGGGATATAGAGGGCTCCATCCTGTTCTCCCGTCCAGTTCTTATGGTCTTTTGTAGAATGCGATCCGTTCGTATGGCCGTTAGAAACTCCGTTCCCGTTCGCCTGGGACCCGTTGGTGGGTTCAATGTGCTGATGGGCAAGGAAATTCGAGCGCAGGGAGGTGATCAGTTCGACATTGGACTTTTGTGTGAGCGGCTGGCGGATGACAGACGGCCGGCCGCCCTGCATAATATTCCTGTGGTATATGGTCAGCTACTTTTCCTTTTTTTTTGTTCCCCTCGAGATGCCGAAATGCGGCAAAGCAACGCGGCGGGAAGCGACTTACGAGGTGGAGAGGATCAACTTCATTATGGCGTTGATCAGTGGAGAAGGGAGGAACGAAAGGAATAGGATATTAGGAGAAGTTCGTGCAGCGCGTTGCGCGGACTAAAAGAATGTCTGGTTGATTAGAGGAGGAATTGCAAACCCCGCGATTATCATTTTATCGACCCCTCCGAGTCCCTGACAAATCCAGTTCCCGCATTTACAAATTCCATTCTATAGGAATCTAATCTTTTATTCTCCACTATCTACCATCATATTTGATCAATCCTCATCAACAGTCGGATCCCAGTCAGTAGGCGAGTATTCACCCGTATCAAGCAGCGCCATATCCTCATCTGAAAGCTCAAAGTCGAACACTTCGGTATTCTCACGGATCCGCTGCGGCGTCTTAGATTTGGGCAAAGGCACAAATCCCTAATATAATCAGCTCACGTGTCCAAAAATTTTGGGATCGAATCAATGAAGAAATTAAAGAATGCTAAACTCACCATCTGCAGACTCCAACGAATCATTACCTGGGCCGGCGACTTCCCATACTTCTTCCCAATACTTGCCAAAACAGGCTCGCGCAATCTCTCTCCATGCGCAAGAGGCGAGTATGCTTCTACTATAATATCGCGGCTCTTACACCACTCTGTAATATCAGAGTGATCCAGCCACGGGTGCAGCTCCCACTGTCCGACGCTAAGTTCGCCGCCCCCACCATTCAGGACGTACTCCTCTAGCTCTTCGAGGTGGTGGATGCCGTAGTTGGATACTCCGATGGACCGGACTTTGCCTGCTTTCTGAGCCTCGACCAAGGCACGCCAAGAACCTAGTCGGGCTTCTTTTCCACCATAGGGTGCGTGAAGTAGAATGCTAATTTGTCACTAAGATTGGTTCGTGGTATGGGAGGCTGTGCAGATGCAGGCTTACAGATCAAAGTACTCCGTAGCAGCTTCTTGTAGGCTCTTGTCGATAGCTCGCGCCGTTGCCTTGTAGCCCATTGATCCCGGAGGGATCTTGGTAGTCAAAAAGATCTCGGATCGGTCGAGGCCGGAGTTCTGAATGGCCTGACCGCAGCCCTTCTCGTTTCCGTACATAATCGCAGAATCGATCTAGGAATTGGTCAGATATTGGAGTTGGCTTCTGTTTGATCGTTGCGGATACATACATGGCGGAACCCGACCTTGAGGGCTTCTTGGGTTACTTTCTCGGTTGCGGATTGGGGACTACATATTGTCAGTTTAGCATTGGTACATATGATTCGGTTAATACGCACATCATATACACCTGGAAGTATCAAGGGACTCCGTCAGCTTGTTACTTTATATTCTTGTTTAAAGGCGTGCGGCGTAGGCCAATCACTCACCCCAAAGCCCATGATCGGGATCTCATGGCCCGATAGCAGTTTATGTTTGGATTGCAGAGTTTGCTTAGTCGCCATAGTGTATGCACAATATTGTACCCTAGATGATGTACTGAAGAGGTTTGAAGTGGTATCAGGTAGGCGTAAAATCGGTCTTCGAAGCGATGAGATCATAGAAGTGGGGGCGCGGGGGTGATCTTTCAAACTAGATAATAATGCAGTGTAAGGAACTTGAATAAATCTCAACCTAGAGTCCCAAGGTCTAGACACACAACTGGAAGACAAATAGAAAGCTGAAATGATGTTCATTCCAAATACTTGAAGAATCTTGAAAGTTCTAGCTAGTGACTTGACTGTGAGTGTAACAAATGAGCACCACATTGACGATCTTAAGCAAGGCCCAGTATTCGAGGTTCAGAGTAATATCATCAAGTACATACCCAGGTGCCTACTTGGCCAGGCTACACCGTAGTAGCACTAGGGCGGCGTGGGACGGAAGAGGTCCAATTTGTTGCATTGCCTCGGGGTTCAATTCCTGCGGATCGTTTGCCCGTTCTTCTACCTCGTCATCTGGCAGGGTTCTGTAGCCCTGCTTTCGCAATTTGGCTCCTGAGTCAGAGGCAAATGACGAGCTCTGCTCTATCAGCTGCTACTTCAGCGTGGGATTCGGCTTAGGAACCGTCACAATAGTCTTTAATCTGGTTGAACCCCCGATACAATATTCGTTACAGCAGAAACGACCACAGATGCAGCTCAACTCCCCATCGAGATCATAATTGCATCATTTGCCTCGCGTCTTAGTTCTACCTAATGTTGTTGCAATGCAGAACAATCTTCGTGGGCTGAATATTTGATGCGATGCAGACTCCAGAGGTGACAGCAACCGTGTGAAGTCTTATAGATCTTTTTTTTAGCTTAATATCTTGATAAAGCTGGCTTTTCTACCTTTTCTTAATAAGAAATTTCGAAGAAAATATTGAAATAAATACTTATACTCTAATATTGAACAACATCACTCCTTTCTACTTCTCATTGTTACCAGCCCTTCCTTCAATTCCTTTAAAAGTCAGCACAAATGCTCACATTATTCTCATTGAGAGCAGAAACATACGCGTTCGCCGCTGTCCATAAAAGTATTGATAGATATACACCCCAAACATAGCAACAATAATCATCCGCCCAAGGCATTCTGTGGTATCCTCTCTTTGCCATCCATCTCGACGACCAAACAAAACCGTAATAAGAAAAAAGGCGAGATGGAGTGCTAGCGAACAGCCCAACTGCATATTATAGGCACTCGTGAAGCCTAATAGAGCAAAGAGCCAGACCGACAAAGCAGATAGGGCGCCTTCGAACAGACTACTCCAAAAGGGGGCCCATGCGGGTGATGGTGGCAGTGAGGCGAACATATCTCCTAGGGTTTCGGCTACGGTGGACATCTTGTGTAGGTGAGTTCGTCTTTGGTTTGAAAATGTTGTGGTAATTGGAATGCTGGTCTTGGCCCCTTTTGACTCAGATGTCTCGGGTGGAGGGGACAAACATGAATAAATAGACGAATGAATCGAAGATAGTAGAATAGTAAAGGAATATGTGCGTCAGGAAAGAAAAGGTTTTTTCGATAGTTTTGGCCCCCAATGGATTTAAGAGATCGGCAAAGGTTGAGGTCGAGAGAGAAAATACGCCTTGTTATCGGGTTTGGGTCCAGGTGATCCATTACGATGATTGCTCTCCAGGTGGATTTTCAGTATCAACTAAGTATATTAAAGACCAATATTTCAGATTAATGTGAAAACAATCTTATAATTAAGGCAATGGGATCATTAAGTAGAAAAAACAGACAAAAAGAGGGTGGGTATCGTCGAGGATCCAGTCGCGTCCAGCCATACAAACATGACAAAATCCCAAAGTCCACTGATCATCAATTGAGTGGTGATCGGATATTTTTCTTTGGGCAGCAAATATACAGCAATTGAGGGTAATAGTCATATCTTCATAGAAAGCAAATATGAAAAAAGGCAAATTCGAATGCACGTTGAAGTAGAGGGAACAACTAGATGTCCTCAACGACGCGCGCATTCACCACACTCTGGAAGCCATCACCTTGCTGCTCTTGGCCGTACCGGCTGGGCCCCTCCCCGAAACTATCGGCAGTAGCCATTTGCTGCGAAATGTTGGGAGCGCTGGGCATGAAGATCACCTTGCTGCCAGATGTCTTGGCCATGGACTGCATAGCCTCCAAGTAACGGATCTGCATAGCAGGTGCAGAAGACAGAATATCAGCAGCCTGGCGCATCAACTTGGCGGACTCGACCTCGGCGCGAGCAGCAATAACCTTGCTCTCACCAATCCGCTTAGACTGGGCCGCCATGGAAAGCGAGTCCTGCAGGTCGTTGCTGAAGATGATATCCTTGATGAGCATGGACTCGACCTGCACACCCCAACCAGTGGCTACTTCCTCGATAATCTCCGATGTGGACTGGGCGATCTCCTCGCGACGCTCGATGACGTCCTGCAGGACGCGGGCTCCGATGACATGGCGCAGGGTGGTCTGAGTGCGCTCGACGAGGGCCTGCTTGACATTTGCGATACCGAAGGCTGCGATATGCGGCGAGGTGACTTGGTAGTAGATGACAGAGGTGAGGTTGAGGGTGACATTGTCCTTGGTCATGCAGACCTGGCGCGGTACCTCGACGATCTGGATCTTGACGTCCACAGTTGTCAGGTGCTCACTAAGTGGGTTGACCTTAACCAGACCGGGGTCGACGGAGCGCTCGAAGCTTTCGAATTAATTAGCACAACGCGCATGCGAATGGGTCGACAATATACATACCGTCCGAATCGCGAGACTAGACCGACTTGACCTTGGTCGACTGGCTTAAAAGGGTTGGGGCAGCAGATGCAGCAGGGGATGGCACCACAGAAACCGATGCAGGAACCCAAGTTGTGGACTAAGATAATAACGAGAGTAAATTAGTCATGCGACCTCATCAAATGATGGATGTATCTATCTATTTTGTACTTACTCATCTGGGAGTACCATCCATGCGCATCTGGGTTCTCCGAGTCGTGCTCGATTGTGGAAGCATATCGGGGTTGCAGATCAGCCAGACGAGCAGGCTGAACCTTGACAAGACCGTGGTGTTGAGTCTGACGCGGAGCTGTCTCGGGGGCCTGAGCTGGGGCCTTGCCGCTGTTTACACCGTTGACATCCATGTTCAGGAATAGGATAATATTTAATCAGAAAAGAGTAAAGACGAAAGTGGAGGTGGGATAAAAGGAGAGAATGTAACGGGGGAGACGGTAAGGTTTTAAGCTGCCTTAAGTAAACAGAGCTCCCGAGATCAGCCTTGGCCAACCGTCACACTCCCTGCAAACGATCGTATGCTGAGCTTCTCCGCAGTGGGGCGCATTATAGGGTTCCAACCAATTACACTCCACAATCATCGGGCGCTTTCTTTTGTCCCCAAGAACCAAGACCTCCCAAGAGTCTTGACTTTCTAAGCCCACTTTGCTGAGCCCCCCGGGCGCAAGGGCCCCAATGTGAAGGGCATCGGGTATCCACCGTCAAGCTTGGATTGGATACTGCGGCTGCCGTCTACCCGGATGAACTCATGATTCTATGATGTAACCTGCTTTAACTCCTTTCGGAAACACTCTAAACCAACTTTGAGGAGTATAACACAGTAATTCTACAGTCTAGAACTGATTTCAAGGACTCGGGTACGCCGAAGTATGTATGATAGAGCGGGCCAGTAACGCCTGAACATTCTTAATCTTTTTTGCTCTATGGTATGCAGGGCTATCGAAAATCGACATTCCACACGTGAGGCCCACATCTTCCAGATGCTTTCTGGAGTGGGACCGAGCCAAGACAATGGATTTTCCTAAAAAGGGGCAAGGCTGAGCTCTCCATTTCCCAGAGCCTTGTTCTCAAAGCCAGTTTCCCCAGGGCATTATCCATTTATTTTTTTTAAGTTTGGGTACCGGGAAAAACCTCGTTTTCGTTTAGCAATTTACCATGCTGATTCGCCGGCAGACTAACGCTAGTGAAGAGTTGGGTGCCCTGACGTAGAGGATATAAGCAGTTGCATGGGCTATGTCGCCCCACGCGGGCCACGGGTTGTGCTTGAGGCAGTGCTAAAACACGAAAGTATAATCACCATTGAGCCGCAACATATCAATTTACATGAGGGAAATAACTAGGCGACTTATGTCGCGCCCGACACGATTCCTCTATACAGGTCTAAATCTATCTATCAATCTCTGTACAAATCCTTTTTTTAGATCAAGCGGGCGTCCAGAATAACCACCCGACTCCTACTCCGAATTTCAACGCCGCCGCGACCCAAAGGACACAGCTCATGCCTCCGTGACTGCGGCTTAGCCATCCCCCCACAATGGCCCCAATAAGTAGCATCACAACTCCACCCATCCGTCGATTGCGCTTTGCATTCCGATTAAAGCCCTCGAATAGACCAGGATCAGAGGCGATATCGTAGTATACACTGGTCAAAACCACTCCAGGAATCTCATTGAACCCAAGCATACGAGTAGAATTAATGGACCCAGCAGATTGGAACGCGAGCAGCGCAATAGGAATAAGGCTCATTAGGGGCTTTTCCAGTGTAAATGATCGCCCATGCTGGTGTTGAACAACGTCCGTTTGAAGTAATATGGCGGCAATGACGATAAGGAGGGCCTGGAAGGAAAAGGAGAGGAATAGGGTGCCACGACGACGAGCTCCAAGCGCCTTTGTGCATCGGGCAAAGGTGATAGCGCCAACGAGGAAACCTGCGATCGAGACTAGTGATCGGACCCATCCATTGGGCGCTCCGAGTGGTTGCGAGGAGGCTCCTAGTCCGAGAACGATGGTATTTCCTAGGACTCTCAGTCGGGGGGGTTCTTCGATCTAGAAACGTGATTTCTTACCTGTTTGCATCGCAAGGAAACAAGACCACGCATTAAAAGCGCAGCTATCACACAACCCAGTATTCAGGCAGAGCAGTAGGCACACCCGGTCTGCAAACGTCGTGTCGATCGTCTCCATCCATTTTCTGCGTAGGCTTGTCCTCCTATTCGGTCGGGATGATACTGGGAGTTCATCAATGGGCAGGTCTTGTTTTTCTGACATCTTGCACGTCACAGGGTTTCAAAAAGATGTGAAAACGGGGATTAAGAGGAATATCACCAGAAACATACTGAAAATCCTTTCGGACCTTCGGCTCAGCCCTAGGGTAAGGCAATGGTATCATATTGTGGATCCGAAGAACAGGTGTCGATTACAATAATACAAGTGGTGCATAAGTTCTGTGTCAGATCTGCATTATAAAGACACATTTCAGACTTCCTTTTCCCATGCCTTCATCTGTTCCAGTCCTATTCAATTTTGGAAAAGAGCTCGTATATGCACTCTACACTTTGATGCATCGCAAATGCATTTTCACGGGTAGAACGGCTCAAAGGTCCGACGCGTCACCCGCTCACACCAATCAGAGAATTTTAGTCGACCAATCGAGGTGTTTTACTGGACCCAAAGCTTAGCTCAAAGCTTGTCTTCACAGCCGTCTTCTCCGCTCCGTATTGGGTCATTCAATTGCCAGACGTACTATTCGTTCATTAAAAGCCTCGGGTAGCTCTCGCCCCTAGGTTCCTTTGTGAAGGCCGAATCATGTGAAATCAACGGGCATCTATTTATCAACGCTTTTGCCAAAGACTAAGATTAATATTCACGGTACATTTTCTTTTGGAAATGTTTAACTATTTGGTGACAAGACTCTCCTCTATTTGCACTGCCGCGTAAACGCGCGAAATACCGGATTGAACCGGGTAATCGGCATCTCCCTTGCAGCAATATCGACCGGAAATTACCTCAATAAGCCCGCTTCTTCAGGCAGCGCTATTACGGGGACCCACTGTCAGCCCTATAGGGCAGTGGGGTGTGGAGTCTTTCTCCTCGTGAGGGGACTGCATTAACCAATTCCTACAGCCCTTTTTGATGTCGGCCGTCTTCTATGCGCTTTGTGGCTCTCAAAGCCCTATATTAAGCGATTATTTCTTATATTAGAGCAACAAACATGACTGAGAAAACCAAGTATTCTGTCAACTTGGGACCCTGGTACCCACAGAAGACACGTTGATCTCCTCGCTTTTGATCTCTCCTTGAAACCTACATCAGGTGCGGGGAGGCGCCTGTTTCAAACTGGCTGGAAGTGGAATTGAGCAAGGGACTAGCAGAATATAATTTAAAATGCATCTAGACAAGGAAATATGTCAATCAGGGCCTTGAGAAGTTAGATTACCACCATGGTGCCATTATTTGCAAGATGATTGACGTGCATAATAAGTACTACTGATTTGAGCGGTTTTTTCCAAGTCACTCCCCTACGTCAAGGATATCCTGGGGCTCAATTTGTTTGGGGGTATAGCTTTGTGGAGAAAAAGATGTCCTTCACGTGCAAAACCTGGCAGGGATTGTTGGGGTAGAACTGTGAGTCATTATCGTCTTTTGGTTGGCCCGGTTTTAGGCTTGAACCACATTATCTATGCATGGGCCATGTATCGGGGTGAAATGGAACCAATAACTCAACAGATGCCATGTTAGCTAAATGACAATCCAAGTGTTTCCTTGCCTCTCCGTTGGTGTTCCTATATTTCAGCGAGGGGGACAAAACAGGTGTGAATGAGACTAGGTCTCCCAGAGCTCTATAAAATAGAAGTCTTTCTTTTCCTCGTTTATCAATTATCGTTGTTCTCTTTTTCTCGTGCCTTTAGTCATCAGCTAGACGCGAATGATGGGGGTTTCGCCTTCTCTTAAATTTTGTCTCAAGGCTTCCTTGGTGTCCCTCTTACTCGGCATTTGCCAGCCCAGTATCGCCCTTCCTCATGACTCCAGTCCTTATGGTTGGGCATCTGCTGCCGGTAATGATGACTCTTCCACAAGGAGTCCTCTTCGAGGTGACTCGGCTCTCCTGGGCGTTGTCCAGAATGAAGTGAATCCCGAAAATAGCGCCGCGGTTCCTGAGTCTGAATATCAGCTCGCTCCTGGTCAAGCTGCCGATGCAGATTTAGGGATACCTTTTACCTTCGATAATGTCGCCCACCCCCAGCCTGTCCGAGGTGACCTTGGCTCCACAGACCCCGGTCCTCGAACATACGCATATGACCGCCTGAATCCTAGTACCTTTGCACCACCAGGATCAGATAGCGGTGAAGTGACACAGGGCAAGTGGCCACTAGGCCTGTCTCACAATCGTATCCTCCCAGGTCACGCAGGTTGGTCTCGGCAAGAGAACACCGACGTTCTCCCCGGAGCAACGACTATGGCAGGAGTGGACATGAAATTAGCACCCTGGGCATACAGAGAGCTGCACTGGCACCAAGCAAATGAGTGGAGCATCATCCTGAATGGGAGTGTCCGAGTCCAGGCAATGAACGAAGACGGCCAAACTTTTACGGACGATTTAACTGCCGGTGACGTCTGGTACTTTCCATCAGGAGTACCTCATTCCCTTCAAGCACTAGATGAAGGAGCCGAGTTCATGCTTGTTTTCGACCAAGGCGACTTCAGTGATGAGGGTACAGGTTTAATCACCGAGATGTTTCTGCGCAACCCAAAGGAGGTTCTGTCAAAAAACTTTCAGGCTCCTGTTTCAGATTTTGATGACCTTCCACAAGACCAATTGTACATTTTCAATGGGACGCCCGCGCCGAAGGACGTTAAACAGCAAACTGTTATAGGGCCCGGTGGTGTGCTCTCTGGCGATCAGAGCTATACCTATCATTTGTCTAAACAGGAGGCATATGAGACACCTGGTGGAAGCATCAAGATCATCGACCCTGTGAGCTTTCCAATTGCCAAAATGTTCAGCGCGGCCCTCGTTACGATCAAACCGGGTGCGATGCGGGAAATTCATTGGTATGTACCTTCCCATCTTGAATCAGTTTCGCTTACGCAATATCTACTAATATCCGTTATGCTTAGGCATGGTACCAGTGACGAATGGGGCTTTTTTCTTGCCGGGCAGGCGAGGGTCAGTGTTTATGAAGCACCTTCAGCCGGAGCAAGCATAGATTTCTCTGCAGGTGACATTAGCTATGTCAAGGCAACGGCATCACACTATATTGAAAACACTGGCATCGAGGATGTTGTTTTTCTGGAGATGCTTCAAGCACCTCGCTTCTCTGATATCTCAGTTGGTCAGTGGTTGAAGCTCACACCGAAACAGATTGTCAAGGATACTCTGCATCTGCCGGACAGTCTGTTGGATAATCTTTCCCCTAATAAGCAATATGTTGTGCAAGGGAATCGAAATCTGACAGCAGTTGCGGATGGATCTGATATTGCATGAGAATAGCTCGTTCTAGGTTTTGCTTTCTGAGATGTAAACTAAGAACCGAATCAATTCTTGTGGTTGTTGGTCTTGCTACCTTTAGTCCAGCGCCAGCACATCTCGTTCTTCATTTCTTTCCTCTGTTGCCTGACACAAAAATCCGCGGTGACTCAGGCCATGGTCTTTCCATGTTACTGCGCGTGGCTTAGACAAATCTAGTTTTGGCTTCTTTAACATTAATTGACTCCCCATTACATGAACTAGCATCATTGGTCTAGTGGTAGAATTCGTCGTTGCCATCGACGAGGCCCGTGTTCGATTCACGGATGATGCAAACTTCTTTCTTTTTGGTCTTTTTGCTTTAAGTACAACCTCGGAAAATTTTCAAGAAATTGCTTTGGAACCCATATGCTCATCTTTACTTTTTATTTGGTAAATAAGTCAAATACCTGTTCATGGTTCACTCTAGAATTCCAAAAAGTTGACCTCCCACGGCGGGTTGTATGCAGTAAACCTTGGAAAGCTCCCCAAGGTCCCAGAATATATATTTCACACATCCACCATTTGAATCTATCCCTCAAATGCAGAAATTTTTTTTTGCACTCTTTCCCACACTCATTAACGGAAACAAATGCTTGGTGTCGTCTGTTACATCCATTTACTCGGTCGAGAGACATATTGCGCCCCTGCAATAACGGCCGATGCTGACGCCATCAGACTCCAATTTCACGTCTTCTTAACCATGTACGCAATAGCACGGCCGCATGAGCTGCGGGGTTGACAGCAAAAGGCGTGCTGCAGCACCGATAAATAACACAAAAAAGTTCGGGAAGCAAAGTATCTCACGGTTCTTACTATCAATTGTCTTCTTTTCAGTTCAATTCAAACCTCGAGACCTCAAAAAACCGCCAAAATGGGCTCAACAGAGAAAAAGCAGCTTATCATAAATGCCTTCGCGATGCATAGCCCGTCCCATCTGAACCCAGGACTTTTTCGTCACCCCACAGACAAAGGCGCAGACTACAAAAACATCAAGCATTGGATGGCCCTAGCCCAAAAGCTTGAGAAAGCCAAATTCCATGCCATCTTCTTCGCCGATGTCCTAGGTGGTTACGATGTATACCGCGGACCTGCAAACCTGGACCCAACTATCCCTGCTGGCGCCCAGTTCCCCATTAACGACCCCTTGTACAGCATTCCCGCCATGGCAGCCGTGACAGAGAGCATTGGATTCGGAGTAACGGCATCAACAACATATGACGCACCATATGCGCTGGCACGCCGCTTCTCAACAGTCGATCATCTGAGCAATGGCCGTGTTGGCTGGAACATTGTTACATCATACCTGGACTCAGCGGCGAAAAACTTCGGTCTGGATACCCAGGTTGAGCATGACGAGCGGTACCGCATCGCGGATGAGTACCTGGATGTCACCTACAAGCTCTGGGAAGCGTCCTGGAGAGATGACGTGGTGGAGTGGAGTCAGGGTGATGCAACACCGGATGGACCCGCCGAGGGTCTACGGTATGCGGATCCACGTGGTGTTCGACAGATCAATCACAAGGGCAAATACTTCCAAGTCCCGGGTCCTCATCTCTGTGAGCCGAGTCCCCAGCGTACGCCATTCTTATTGCAGGCTGGAACTTCGTCTGCTGGCAAGGCGTTCGCGGCGAAGCATGCTGAAGCCGTATTCCTTCATGCGCAGAAGCCGGAGCTTGTGCGTCCCTCTGTCGACAGTATTCGGCAACAGGCTGCTGATCTGGGACGGAATCCGAGTGATATTAAGATTATCGCGGGGGCTCTGGTTATTGTTGCTGAGACAGACGAGGCTGCACAGGCCAAGTTTGATGCGTTCAAGAAGTATGGAGATACCGAGGGTGCTCTGGCCTTGTTTGGTGGTTGGACGGGCTATGATCTCTCGACATATACTGATGATCAAGACTTCCGGTTCGTGGAGCAGCCGGCAGTGCGGAGCATGGTGAATCACTGGGCAAGCACAGTGCCTGGGACAGAGGGTAAGAAGTGGGACAAGAGGACTATTGCGGAGTACCTCGTTTTGGGAGGCAATGGAGTCAAGATTATTGGTAGTGTGAAGACTGTGGCGGATGAGCTCGAGCGCTGGGTAAATGTTGGAGATGTCGATGGCTTTAATCTGAGCTATGCCAGCCTTGATGAGACATTCGATGACATTATCAACCTTCTGCTTCCTGAGCTGCAACAGCGCGGTCTGTTCTGGTCAGACTATGCTGTGAAGGGTGGGACATTCCGGGAGAACATGTATGGGCAGAAGGGCCAGTCGAGACTTCCTGATGCTCATCATGGAGCGAAGTTCTTTTGGAAGCAGGGCGAAGAGGTACCTCCCTACTCATTGGAGGATTCACAATGAATTACTCCATAGTCGTATACCTAGGATGGAGACACATGCATTCAGTACAACATAACAAATATACGGATCTCAATCCATTATGAAGCGCAGATATATTTCAACTTGAAGCTGCAGAGTTTGCAACATTGTGACCGAGTATGTGGTGCCTACGGGCTAATAAAATTCCAAATATAGTTGCAGCTTGGGTAAATGTGTGGACAAAGCCTCATGTAAATACTTTCAGTCTATGTATAGACGTATATACTCCTATTGCAACCACATTCAGACATCCCACCAACCTTCCAGATATGATCGCAAATCAATTTCCTCCGGGATCTTAAGATGAGGCGTCAAATCAGCATCTGGCTCAATTTCCCTCGAAGTCCAGCCATTCCCAAAGTAAGCAAAGCGATTCCCACTAGGATTAACATAAGTGTATTCCCAATCTTCCCAGCGAGGATCTCGACGAATGTAGTTCACCGCAGCTGCACTACTAGGGAACAGTCCATGAATACGCGCACCAGGCTGACCACCGTTGTACCACGAACTGCAATTGGCAGACCAGACAGTGCGCGGGTAAAAATTGTCACAATATTCCACAAAGTCATCCGCAGCTTGCTGAGATGGCACGATGGATTTGATGCCCTGACTGCGCACTTTGCGTAGGACTTTCACGACATAGGTGATCTGATTTTCCGTGCTGTTTGGGACAGTACCGCTGTGACCGGTGGCATAGGGACCACCAAGCCAGAAGAGATTGGGGAATTCAGGCGTCGCGAATCCAAGGTAAGAGTATGGGAACCCGAAATGGCCGTCTGTCTTCCAGGCTGATTTGAGATCGATGCCGTTGGCGATAATTGAGAATGGTGGTGCGTGGTCGGTATTCGCGCCTGTAGAACAGATGACGACATCTACCTCTCTTTCAACGCCATCTTCGGTGATGATTCCTTTCTCTGTGAAGCGTTGGATACGTGTCTGGATATAGCTGACGTTATCTTTGGTCAGAGCTTCGAGATACCCGGGTCCTGGGGTAGGACGGCGGCAGTTTGGTGGGAAATCCGGTAAAATCTTCTCTCCAAGCTCAGGCTTATCGGCGATGCGTTTGAGCATCAGCTCTGACCACTTTTTTTTGAGTTCGTGGTTCTCGGGCGTGTCCTTGAAGATTGCGCCGAATCGCTGAAAAAAGCCCTTCTCAACTTGGGTGCGGTATTTTAGATATACCTGAGGATCTTTGAAAGATTCCAATAGCTCCTCAGGTATAAGATTTGGTTCCAAACGGCGAACGCCACCACTGCCACTGCTGAACGAGTCTGCAATCCATGTTGGATTGCGAGCATAATGATCTACATGACTGGCAATAGGTTGGATGGAAGGAAGAACTTGTAATCCCGAAGCTCCGTTTCCGATCAAAGCAACACGTTTTCCTTTTAAGTCGACATTATGATCCCAATTCGAGGAATGGAAAAGCGCCCCTTTGTAGTTCTTGATTCCTTCATAATCGGGTAGCTTCCACGCGTTGAAATGGCCAATAGCATTGATCAAAATGTCCAATCTTTCTTCATAGACCTAGACAAGGGGTCAGTATATGGCATGATTCTGGAGAATTCGACTCAATTCACTTTATTAGAGCCATCAACATGCGCGATGGTAACCTTCCATTTCCCCTCCTCACTCAGCCACTCGGCTCTTTGGACCCGTTGCTGAGACCGAATGTACTGGTAAACATTGTACTTTTGTGCAACGCCTTGCCAGTACTCTCTAATCTCCGCACCTTGAGCAAACTCCTCCGTCCATTGCGTGTTGGGTGAAAAGCCTGATTGATAGGCATGCGCGGGTATATCACATCGCACACCAGGGTAGGTATTTTCAAACCATGTACCTCCCTGAAGACAAAGTTATTAGATGAAGATCACGAAAGGAACCAAGATAAGGAGCAATAATTATCTCACATACCACTTCGGGGTTTTTATCGTAGATTCGCAAATCAAGTCCCGGCAGCTTGGCTGGTAGCAACACGCCCGCAGTAATACCTGTGAGCCCAGCCCCAATGATGCCCACCTTGATAGGTCTTACTTGATCCACTGGATGTTCCTCCAGTGCAAAATTGACCTTTTTCTCGGGCACACTGTCCTTCACTTTATTGAAAGCATTGACCGCCACAGAGGGCGCTGGAATTGGATCTGAAGGTCGGCTAAAAGACTCCGACTTTTGGGAAATGACTGACAACGGAAAGGCAGCGATCTGAGGATTCTCTAGTAGAGTCATGATGAGGCCTACTTACCCATGTATCTAGATAGAGAAAGGAAAATGTATTCGGAGGTTTCCGAGCAGACGCATCATCCCGCTGATAAACCGGGTGGCCTGCCCCTCATATATGCAGGTGTTCTCTGCACGCAATCTGGGACAAATCATACGCCACCTAGTGGAATACTGGACAAGATAGTATATTCTTCAACCGTGGCTTTGAAATATACGCAGAGAGTTCAGTATTCATTTACGCCAAGACGGCTAACGGAACTGATTTGGTGTAGGTAACGCCATCGTCGTTAGTGATGGTGTGAATGGTCTGAGATGTTGCTCATCAACACCATCAACCCCACTCTAAACGCCATTATTGGAGTAGTTTCATCCATGGATTGCGCAACTCATAATTGGAGCTGAGGGTTACTTTGATTATAAACATTATTTTGAAACCCCATCTGTGGTCTTTGGGGGTGCGGGGGAAATATTACCAAATCATGTACCTCGGCCGACACACCACAATGATAAAGTGACTATGGCCATGACTGATCAAATTTACGGGTAACAAAATACATTGAATGTTGTAATACTATCGACAAGTTATATTACCGAAAAATGTTGTCAATTGTTGGTCAATCGTTTCAACAACCCTGCTACGCCATAGAGCTAAGAGTGTCAGGCACCAGGCATTAACTATTGTTCACCCTTGTGCAGTATTTACTGCGACCTGGATACTTGGGGCCTTTACCAAGGGAGTTGTAAGGGAGTTGGCAAGCCTTTTCCAAGGACGTCTTCCGCGGTTCCAATGTCTCTGTTGTATATCAAGTCAGCAGCAAGACACTATGTGACTATAGATCAGGGTTGACTTACCCAGGCCCTCTTGGTGCCCAGTACTCCCCAGTCTTATTAATATCAAAGTCCTCAATAAACAATGCGAGTGACTGAGCTGCTTCATTAGGGGTAACAGCTGAAAGAATGTCAATATACCTAGTATACCAAAAAGATATTTTGCGTAAAGCCATGCTTACCACCGCCAGCATCCCAATACTTGTCAAACCCAACACCCTTGGTCATTTCTGTCCGCATAAAACCTGGATGCACCAATCCAACAGCAATTCCCTTGGGTTTGAGATCCAAGCTTAGCAGCTTGCCCACCATATTCAGAGCAGCTTTGCTTGCATGATGACCATAATTCCCTCCGCCCTCCTTCTCGTGGCGGAGAGTGATACTGCCGCTCTCACTGCTAACGAAGATAACTTTGCTGGCTTCTCCCAACAAGCCCGCCTTGACAAGATGATGCACCAAGAAAACCGGTGCAATTGCCGACGTAGTATACATTTGGACCTCCTTTTCCCAATCTGGGGCATCAAAGGATTCGAAGCCGAAGTAGCCGGCTGAAATGATCGCAGTCGAGATCTTAGTAGATGCTGGAATCTGTGAGACCAGCTTTTGACCCACGTCGGACTGAGTGAGATCAATACCAGTCAGCCAAGTGGTAGATTGTTCTGCTTGGGGCGCTGATTCTGATCTCGAGGTCGCAAAGACGTGTCTCGTTGAGTCTTGGGCATATAGTGCTCTGAGGGAGGCCCCAAGACCCCTTGTGGCACCCACCACGAGGATATTGTTGCTCATGTTGTTAATTTGTATGCTTGAATTTCTAGAAAAGTATGAATTCAACAGTTGTAAGTTGTAAGATACTAGATTCGAATACCCAGAGTATTTGCAAGTGGCAGGGATCTGACGCAAGAATCAGATGACGTAATGTAGGTGACACAAGATGTACATTGTTGACAACATCATGCATTTCGACGCGCATAAATAGAGTCTTTTGAAAGTACCCAGACTGTGTTTATTTGACCATTGTCATCCACTTTGGTCCCCTGATATCGGAAGCTATGTGGGGACGTCCCGTCGAATTGAATATGTCAGGTGCGAAGTGTAGCCTGGAGGGTATGAAATAAGGCATCCATAGCTCTATGAGAGGACCAGAACAGCAATTACAAGCGAAATCAAGCCTTCTCGTTTCCTTTTAAACATCGTCGCACTTCGCCGTTTATTAAATTCAGTTCGTTTCTTTCTTGCCAAGCATTTTCTCCCCACGCTAGTCTTTTTTGGGTATCTTAGATGCTGGACCAGTCAACTCATTGATTAGAAGATGCGAAGATGCCAAATTGCCTAGGTTGATTGATTGCTTTCAAGATTAGACTGCGGATATTTGAACTAGATATGGCAGCCAGTGCCATGCAAAGTTCAGGACTTGTATGGAAAAGCACTTAACGAAACCAAATTGTCCGTCTACAGGAGCACATATCAATTTTTTCCTTCTCCAACCATACTGTTTCAAACCCATACCACAGCTTCTTTTCACTCCCTTACTATCTACAACAACACTATGGGGACCGTGACATATCAAGATGGAATAGCTCTTCTCCCACTCGTCATTTCCCCGTAAACAATGGCCAACAAAGGTCGGGGACTCACATGAGGACCGGGATGCCATTCGTCCACACCTAGGACCCACCCAAACTCAGATCGTTCAAGTAAAACCATACAAATCTTTGTATGGGCTTGATCATGGACTTAAAGCCTTGTGCTAATCAAGGAGAACAGTTAGAAACAAACTACGTCAGCCTGCTTTTCCGCTGCTTAGTCAGATATTAATGCCAACGCCCGTTCGAGACATTGAAGTGACTTGACCTTTCTACCCGTGTGGCTTCGCCGGAGCTGGTCCATCCATGTGTTCTTGAACCTCAGGATGAGTGGATTCTCTAAAATCCTGCTATCAGCACAAAATCTTCGAGCTGCTATCCAAAAGGGGAGAAAGACGGGCGCGAAAGACAAGGACCGATCCCACCGAGACACTCCGGCATCCTCGTCTTCGCTTGGGTGAGCTTTGTGTTACATGTGTGTTAGAGTTCGTTGGCTAATTTTTGCTTCTTTCCTTGCTGCGCGACAGCTTAGACAGCGCCAATCCTCTGCCGCCGTGGGGCCTCCCCGTCGAGATCCAAATCTTAATCTTCGCCCACTGCGGGACCGCCGATTTTCTATCTCTAAAGCTAGTCTGCAAGTCCTTCAACAAGGTCTTGACTTCTCACGAACATGGTATTGTCCGCTTATACCTCCGTCGACACCGCCATGGCAGCCTCCCCTCCCCAATCGACAGCGAACGTATCTATACCCGGAGCCCCGAAGATGATGTGGTCCTCCTGTCCGACCTATTTCCCCCTTCCAAAAGTGCCCGAGGTGGTCACCTATATACTTTCCGATACCTGTGGAGCTTGCGACAAAGGCAAAAGCTTTGCTCGCGATTATGCTATTACCTCGCAGACCGGGTGATGGACCGATTTGTGCAGACAGAATCGATTTTCGACAGAACTTCCTTTCCAACGAAGAAGGCCGAACGAACAGCATTGGTGAAACGAGGGAAAACTAGCATGTGGTTTCATCTTTCACCATTGATGTAAGTTTATGTACGAATTTGCTTGGGCCACTGGGCTGACAGTATTGTAGGTATTACACGTTATACTACCTCGAGTCGTACTCATCTGCGCGTCGCGAACACACCAACATGCTTCTTCGAGAATACGAAGCCGGCAATCTCTCTGTCCCAGTACCCTTATCCATGCGTCAAAAAATGTACCGCGAACTTCAAACTCGAATTCTTCGCGAACCCCCGTTCACCAATACCGCAGCCCTCATTGCGACTCACCACTGCATTCACCTGCTAGTGTCATATATTCGGTACACCATGGCATCTGAAGGGGAGCCCGACGACTCCTGGATCAGCTCTCTTCTCACGGTCTCACCATTCGCTAGGATAGTCGAATTTTTCTCCGCTGAGATTGGCGATGGGGGTAACCAGCGCATGCAGCGCAAAGATTTCATGTATAATTTCTATCATGACATGAACGCACACGAAAAAGACCACATGAATTCCGTGGTCTGGGGTCGGGCTTCTAACCGAAACGCTCAGAATACGCATACGTCTGTGCGCGATCTTTGGTTTGACGCTGCCAAAGCAGAACTCGCATCTAGAAACGCGATTCCTCATGATATAGAGAGCGTATGGCACTGGAATGGTATCCCCGTTCTGTTTGGGTGCCCGGATTGCCATCGTACACAGGGATGGAGAGCATAATGCATTAGATGGAGCGTTGTGGCGTTTATGCGATAGATACCTCATGTTTTGTACTTTTTCTTCCCTTTTTTTTTTTTTTTTTTTTTTTTTAACCCGCGGTCAGAATTTTTGAAAGCCAATTTCAGTTGAGAAGATTGATTCGTATGAGCACGTCCCATTGTCGGAGTCTTTCCAGATAGCTCGATCGATCCCTACTGTCTACTTCGCGCAGGTATTACATCTCATTCACTGGATAAAGAATTCATTTCAAAAAGAACCCACCAAAAAAAATACTTCTCCCCTCGCGGACGATGGTATGGTTCTTGAGTTATGTGTTAAACCTTGGGTCGCACGGCTACACGGCCCGTTCCGTGCATCTGGAGCGACCGCAAATGCGCCCAGAACACCCTAACGAGTCTGACTACATCTGCCAAGACCAATATGAGCACATGAACGAGTCTCTAGTTGGTAGGAACATGGGGTTAACCAATAAGCGTTGATAGCGCCGTGATGTCCTGCAGCCATTGGTGTCTGTCCCAATCAACTAACACTAACTAGGCTAGCATCACGTATACGAAGCGTACTTTTTGGGGGCGTGAACCTTGCACAGCTGAATAACAAAGCCCCTCAAAATATCACAAAATCTGGTAAATTGAAATCCAAAGCCTTATCATAAGTATCTCGTGGAGTCACGATACAATAAGTCAGATTCGGCGCCTACGATGGCCGAGCAATCCAATATCGCGTCTAGAGTTTCAATACCTCCTCCCTCTTCAGCTAATGCCCCTGTTGACGATCACAATCCCACAAAAGATGCTCACCCATCTCGCACGCCCGGGGTCAAGATTTCTGACCTCAATAAACGTCTTCTGGACGCAGTCTCTGTTGATAATGTGCAAAAGTTTTGGCAGTGCTTAAAAGAGGGAGCCAATATCAACGCCACTGGGGAGCAAGGAGTAACCTCGCTCATTATAGCATCTCGCGAAGGATTCGTTAATTTAACCAAGATACTTATTCAACCTGGCATTTTAGAATGGCATGCTCATATCGAGGCGAAGACCGAGGAAGGCAAAACAGCTCTTCATCTGGCATGTTGGGAAGGAAGGGTTGAAGTGGTTTCAATTTTAATCAAAAATGGCGCTCAAATCGACGCAAAAGACAATGACGACTGGTCACCATTGCATCATGCAGCGGCTCGTGGACATGTCGGAGTTATCCATTTACTGCTGGGTCACGGTGCAGATCTCAAGGCAAAAACAATCGCCGACGAATATACTCCTCTCATGATTGCTATTACCAAAAAACATGTGGAGGCGGTCGAGGCTCTGCTGGTTCACAACGATGCAGTCAACATGCCCGGCGTGTATGATACACCCTTGACAATGGCATGTCGAATGGATTCCGAAGAAGTAGTTCGCATCTTGCTCAAACACGATGCCGATGTGAATCTTTCTGACCCGGACAAGTGGTGGCCGCTTCATAGTGCATGTCGATACTCCACTGTGACAGTAGTCGGGATTATCTTGCAGAAAACCCCAAATATTAATGTGAAAGCCCCCGATGAATGGACCCCACTGCATTTTGCAGCACACTATGGTGAAAAAGAAATGGTGAAGTCAATTTTGGAACTTAGCCCCGACGTGGACAGTGTCACCTCCGATGGCGCGACACCGTTACATGTTGCCATTCGCTATGGCAACCTGGAGATGGTTCAATTGATCCTAGAGGAGAATCCAAGTATCCATGCGAAAGATTCAGATGGGTGGACTCCGCTTCATACTGCTGCCCGGTATTCGAAGCCGGGGGTGCTTAGCATGATTTTGGGGAGAAACCCCGATATCAATGCCACCGATGGTAATGATTGGACGGCATTGCACCTTGCTGTACAGTACAGGAATTTAGAGATAGTAACGATGATTCTCGGTGAAAATCCGGAGATAGATGCTTCTGATAACGAAGGCTTCACAGCTTTGCACAAAGCTCCCGGATGTCGCAAAGCCAAGGACCAAGCAGGGATCGCAGAACTGCTGCTGGAAAAAGGCGCAAAGTTTCTTTTGACGAAAGAAAAGAAGACGCCATTGCACCGAGCGTCTGAACTGGGATGTATAGCTGTTGTTGATATATACCTTCGACACGCAGATAAGTTTGATATCAATGCTCTTGAGATCAATGGATGGACAGCCCTGCATCTTGCCAGCTACAAAGGATTTGGAAAAGTCGTTGAGGCTCTTCTCAACAAGGGAACATCGTTTGACATCAAAACAGGCGATGATAAACAGACTTCATTGGTGCTATCAATCAAAGGACTAAATAATCTGCCGCGTGGAGATTCAGATTCGGAGAACAAGACAGAGCATCATGCGACCGAGCAACCCACGGAGCAAGCTCCAGATCAAATTGAGCAGCATATTGAGACACAAGTTACAGGGCAACCTACAGAAATACGCCAAAATCAACCTACACTGCAGGCCGAATATCAGACCGACACCAAAGAGGAGTCCGAAGAGGAGTCCGAAGAGGAGTCCGAAAAGGATACCGAAGATGAGGAAGAGGAGGGGACTCAAAATCTAGAAAAAAGACTAAGCGACTCCAAGCTTGCCATTCGGCTTCTAGCCCAGAAAAAGGTTGACTTAGATTCAACGACGGAAGCCCTCCGGAATCTGAACTCTAGGAAAGGACTGGAAGTCGCCATTGAGGGCCTACAAAAGGCTGGAAATTCCGATCTAGAAAAAGCAAACCTTGAACAAATAAGACTTGTATGGTACGCAATGAGGTCTGATGAGCATGAAAATCTCCTTTTGCTTCTTCAGGGCAGCATTGTTGAGACAAAGAAGCCAGAAACTCTCTTGCAGTGGGCGGCCTACCGTGGAAACTTTGCTGTGGTGTGGTGGCTTCTTCAAACAAGCGATCCACATAACCAACTCAAATCAACAACCAACCGACAAGACCGGGACAAGGCTATTCAAATCGTCAACGAGAAGCTCAAACCTTCCAATGTTCCCAAAAGTAGAGAGACAACAGAACAGTACAGTCTCCCAAAGAAGGAAGAGGCTCGCTATTCCCACACATTGGATATTCTCCAAGATCCACCCTTGGTGATTGGCAGGAAATTCGAAAGTGGCCCTTGTGAGGCACCCAAATTGGGGAAGAACAGTGCAAAAGGCAATGTTGCCCAGAAGTATAAAATGACCATCGTAGACTTTTATAGTCACGGTGGACGTGTGGATCTTCTCCGACGATCTTTGTTTCCACACGATGTTATTTACAACACAGAGAAAGATGGCCCCGCGAAATTCATGGAGAGGGCAACGGAATTGCTCAAGTCGGTAGGCCGAGAAGAGATCAAGTCAATTGGTATGGAAGAAAGGCTTTATGAAAAGGAGGATCTCACGATGAGATGGATACATCTTCCGGCCAACAATGTAAGTGACTCCCATAATAGGAGCAGGGAACTTGTAGCTGTTTACTAACCTGTCATCAGATGGAATGGATGGAGGTAGAAAAGATGTAACCACACATGACGATCTAATATTCAGCTAACATAATCCTAGGATCTTGTCCAAAGATTGCTCTTTGACCAGAAAAAGCCGAAAACAGACCACGCAGCTTTACGTGACTTCCTGCGGCGAAGCTGGCAGGAGGTACCGTCTGGAGACTCAGAGACTAAGTTCATGAAGCCGAATTTCCTGGTATGGAACAATTATCGATGGTAGAGATGGCTCATGGCTGATCCTTTAATCTAGGAGAGATTTTCCAGAAAGCCCACTCCCGCTCCGTCAACTGAACAACCAGATAATGAAAAAGACCGGAACCAGAAGAACGATGATTCCAAACCAGCAAAGACGATGGAAGAGCCTGGCACAAACCAAAACGGAGATAATGCGAAGCCTGAATCCCAGCCGCCAGTACCCTTGACGACTCCCCAGACCGATCGCGCCAAGTCAAAATCAGAACCGGCGAAAAACATAGATGGTGAGTTTTTCCAACCAAGTTGAAGGAAGGGGGGTGACTTTGGCACATTCATCTTATATTAATTATGGGTGTGCCTTGTCATTAATGCCTCTCCCCCACACTCTCCTTCCTGTTTACGGAAAGGGTGTGCGAGAACAACCACCCTTCAAACCGTCCAAGCCAGGAAGCTTACATGAATAAAATATCTAGAAGACGATAACACTGCTGCTCTTTATGTAAGAAGTCTACTGAGGTCTAAATTTGACAATTGTCACTCACCATTCCAGATCCCATACCTGACATTTGAAAAATGTTTTGAAGCCAATGAAGCATCGGAAGACCTTGACATATTGGCACAAGCTGGCAATCAGGAAATGGATCCAAAGAAAGATAATTTCAGAGCTCAGTATCAAAATTTCATGGAGACCTACAACGGAAAAAGACAGGTCGTACAAGGCTCTCGGTCTCTGGATCAGTTCTACTACCAGGCTTTGCCTGACATGAAGCTGCGAGATGCCGATCAAGTGGTGACTCGGTACTTGCTGGATAAGGACCGCGGTGATAAAACAAAAAATGGTGAATGGTGGCCCATTCTGTCTATTGGCCAACTTTGGCTTTGGATTATTGATACAAGTATGTCTCACAAAACATCATGTTTGGATTAAGTGTAAGCTGATGGACTTTCTAAGATACAGTAATCTCTTCTTCTACGCTTCGCCCAGATGGGTTGGAGGATCCGGTCGTTGAAGGGATCTTCGAACATCTTCGAGAAAGAAATAACAGAGGTGGAGGACAATTGCCCCCTCCTCGGCTCTTGATCTGGCCAAACTCATTGTTAACTTTTGCATTAATTTTACTCACACCATAAATTGGTCTCTCGTCGTGCTTGGGGTGGATGAAGATAAAAAGTACCCCAAGTTTATGGACAAGACAGGTGAGGGAGGGAGAGAGAAGACAAGAGAGAACAATGAGGGCCATGAAGACAAAGAGAATAGGAGAAAGGATCGCTTCCTGAAATCACCTTGCGAAATCTTTGCAGAGACGATCAACCAAACAGTGAGATTCCCCTCCAATGTGGTCAATTTCCTCTAACTCATGGGAATGAGCAGGCCGTGGATGAGAACGATCTGTTCACACGATTTGTGAAAAAGGTCAAAGATAAGAAAGACGGCAATGGTACCAGCCCAAAGGCAAAACAGAATGAAGAATCCAGCGTCGATAGTGAAGAGCAGAAAGATTGGAAAGCGATCTACAACGCTGCACTGCTCTTGGAAGAGGTCAAGGATATCCGGGACGAACTAAATATGATCAAGACGGTCTTGACCCAACAAAAAGTCGTCTGGGAAGGACTTCTAGGCCAAGAAGGCCAAGTAAGTCAAGCAATGAAGAGTAGAATGGGAACGGAGCGAAACCTGGCCGACATTCTCGAAGAGATAATCGAGATGGACAAAATCGCAGAAACCATCCAAACATCAGTGAGGACCAGAGATGCTATTACGCTAGGTTTTGGATTACTAACTTTCACAAAGGTCAAAGAGACTCTGGATCTCGAGCAGAATGGGATCAATATCACCGAGGCAGTACTTTCTCGCGACTTGGCAAAACAGTCTGCAAGACAGGGAACAACGCTCATGGTCTTCACAGTTGTCACCATTTTCTTTGTGGGTATGACCTGACTCCACAATAAGGATAAGGCTAATTCAAAAGTAGCTCCCGATGTCTTTCCTCGCCTCTCTCTTTGCGTTGAATGTGACCTCCTTTCACCACGACAGTCAAGGAAATGTTCAATTTGCACCGGAGTTTATATTCCCCATTATTTGTAAGTCTGTTACTTCTTGGGCGAGATGTCATTTTCTGGATTTTCAGAAGCCTAACATTCAGGACAGTCTGCATCTCAATCGCTTTGGGAATCTTTATCATCTATGTTTCTTTCAACTACAAGTCGGTCCAAGATAGTTGGGAAAAGCTCCGACAATTTTCTCAAGGCAAAAATGAATCCGACCACCCAGCTACTAATCAACAGACTCCGGAAATAGTGGCACCGTTAAATCAGATCCATCGGGAGAATGTGGTGAATGTGTTGACGCAAAGCCAGGACGACATGCTACAGAGACTCTGGAAAGTCGCAAAGAGAAAGAAGGCCGGCCGATAAAACCATGACCGTGGAATTGATTCATAAAGGAAGACCAGAGCATATGGTCAGCTATTAGAAAACAATTGAAACTTAATCATATTACCTGGTCTATAGGGGGGTCTCATGCACTAAACCGAAAAAGGAATCAATAGAGGGTATTTGCCTTGTTTGCACTGAGCGCGTCCATATCGATAAGCTTAAAACATTGATAGACCTTCACCTTGCGTCCACAACAACAATCTAAAGTGCAGTAATTAATTCACAATGGAGTCGGCCTCACATTCGCAGCTTTTTAATACCTCATGGACTTTACACCGTCTCTCACCCCTGCACCACAAGAAAGATTGCGCGAGCCTTTTAAACAATCAAGCCGCCTTGAATACATACGCAACAAGATTACGCGATCAACTGACAGGCGATGTCCTAGCGGGTCTCCATTCTACCGCCAACACAGCAGATGACGATTCGCTGTCAAAAACAGGTGCCCTCAGAGAATGTAGATGGCAATTCATGACCGCGGGGTCATTCACACGCGACGCATCAGACAGACGCGACGCTAACACTTCCTTCCCCGGAATCTTGGTGACACTCGAATATGAGAACATAGTCTACAAAGCTGCTCTCCTCGCGGAACCAGAGTCCAATTTCCAACGGGTTCCTCCTAGTGAAGGATCAACATTTCTTCCGCTACTATTGACGAAATGTCCAAACGCGCTACGACAAACATTCATCTCATTCTTATCGGCTAATTTCGATGCCTACTGTGCTCCCCTCCGTCTTTCATCTACTTTTCTCTGTAAAGGTCTGGAAAGCTTCGTGGACGAGCTCCGAACGGGGCTGGGAGACTCCGCGAATGAAATTGTTGAAGAGGTGATCAAGGAGCTGCAACTGACATTGGCCTTTTCGGCAATGATTGCGCCGGCATTGCGAACGCTGAATATCAGTATCTCGCGAGCATCCTTGACTGGGTTCTTGAGCGATGGAAATAGTACTTCGAGACGTACTTTGAAGCAAAAATTGAGCAGTCCTTTAATTGCAAATCTCAGTACTTATCTGGAGACGCATCTGGCGATGCAGCTTGATTTGACTGGGTCGTCGAAGAATAAGGCTGCCAAACATCATGTTCGGTTATCCAAAGCTTCATGTGCGGCTTTTGTGTTGGGAGGCGAAGGACGCATGAAACTGGTTGTTGATGTTGCTCGAGCAGAGGGTCAGGATGGGGCTGATGCTCCGACTAAAGATCAGTTGGCTCTTCGTGCGAGTCAAAGTCTGCTACGAGCTGTCATTGGCAAAGCTGTCGTCGGGGATCAAACCGCTACTTGAAAAGACCGCGTCTGCGAATATTCTAGATTTTTTGATTATCCCCTATTAATTCGGAAGACTTCTGAGCGCGACATGACAACTGCTTGCTACTACCGGGCTACACGTCACGACTACTGAAATATTATCACGGCCCGGACGATCGCAAATCCAGGAAGGGGATAACGGAAGACAATCGATTGCAGTGATTCCCCCCAGCTGTGGACGAAAGGCGGCGTTTCAAAGCGGAGAAAGGAGGCCATCCGCGTGCGATTGCGCCCTGTGCGAGAATCGGCCACACTGCCAACGAATGACCTGGAAACCCATAGGCCACTTGGTGTTATCTACGATTGTTCCATGCAACAGTCTTTCAGGGATTAGGCTTCTACTGTCCATGAAGTTATTAGTCGTAACTCATGGATAGAAGATCAAATTGATATTCATCGCTCGATAGCAGCAAGTAATTATCACAAAATACCTTTATTTACGAAGCAAAGCCAAAAGCTCTCTTGCCGATCTAATTGAAGCATAAGCTCCGCTGGCAAGACAGATATTCACAAGTGACAGGCGCCCTTTTAGTCACCGTCCCATCGTTCTTCTGTTTCCGCCATTTGAAGAGCTTCGTCCACGCTGGGAACAAAGTGTGTGATACCACCACATTCCTCAACAATTCCACTCAGCTCGAACATGCGAAACACCTTGTCATTGGGCAGCCGGCAGAAGAAAACCCTCGTTCCTTCCTCCGTATACGCACGCACGATTTCACAGAGAACCTGAGTACCCGAACCATCAATACTTGTGACGCCGTGTACATCGAAGATGATGTTCTTGTTATACTCGGCAGGGCGCATGCGGGGAAGTGAGGGGTGAGCTCGACTGGTTCCGTAGAGCTCCAGACGACGAAGACGGTTCTTTAGATCACCAGTATTGGCAAATGTCAGAGGTTCAGGGATCTTGACGATCAGTGCACCCTCAACAATCTCGGTGTTTTCGGGCTGAAGCTCAGCGTTCGCAAAGCGGGTGGAAGTGCCGGATACCTTGCCAAGGATTTGAATGCGAGGCTGGGTGGCATGGCGGATAAGGATTATGACAGATACACCGATTCCGAGGGCCATGCCCAGCTCAAGTGAATAGAAAATGGTTGTAACGAAAATGAGGAACATCAGCATTAGTTCGGTCCATCCACGAAGATGGAAGAAAAAGATCAAGTCGTGGGGGCATTCTTCGACGAGAGAAAATGCCACGACGGATATCATAGAGCAAAGGACCGCTTTCTGTTTAGGACGTTAGCCACATTCAAATAAAGACCAAAAGGGATCACACGAACCGGAAGCCAAGAGAGATAGGGTAAAAGAACGAGAATTCCAATGAGAGTGATGACCGAAATAAAAATGCTGCTCATTGGGGATCGTGCTCCGGTCTGTGCATTAAGCTTGCTTCGACCGTATCCGCCAAAAGCTGGAAGGCTCATAAAGCACCCACCCACGAGATTGGCAACTCCCAGAGCTACCATTTCCCGGTTGGCACTAATTTGCGTGCCCTGGATTCCATCGGACTTGACATCGGCCAGGCCCTTCGCCGCCACCGAAGACTCGAAGAAACCAAGAAGAGTAATGATGAAGGCTTTGCTCATAGCAGTGCGAATGTGCTCCATATACTTCATTTGGAAGGGCCACTGGAAGGCGAAGAGGCGGCTTGCACTGACATCGGTGGATCCTAAAAGCTCGAGGCCTTTCGCTTCCCAGTCGAGAGACCAAGCCAATATACCCGATATCAACACGACGAAAAAGCGGTCAGGGAAGTAAATCACTTGGGGGAAGCGAGGTTCCATCCACTTTTTCAAGGTTCTATAAAAAGATCAGTGATGCACGAAGCCAAGAACAGGCTCTTGCACGTACCGGAAAAAAAAGATGATCCCAAAGCTCACAAGCGAAACCACCGCAGTAAGGGCATGGCTTTCTCGAACATTGCGAATAATGAAAGACAATTTGGCAACTGTCGTGCCATGACTAGCGCCAGTCTCTTTTGCCAGCTCTGCAAGCCCCAATTGTGGGATCAGCTGGTCCACGAAAATCACGAAACCAATGGCTGTGATGAATCCTCTGAGGAAGGGCCGACTGAGCATATTGTCCAGAAATCCTAGGCGAGTCAATCCGGCAATAAGAATCATAGCACCAGTCATCGCGGTTGCGATCCCTACTACCATAGCACTCTTCACGTTTATTTCCTCCGGGGTGTCGTCAGGCAGAAGGCTAGCCTTGACAATCGCACCCGTGAGCAGAGAGCCTGCCGCCTCCGGTCCAACAACCATAAGTGGGCAACTTCCTAATACCGCATAGACCAGCGGATGTATCACGAAGGAATAAAGACCATTGACTGGGGGTGCATGCGCAAGGTTCGAGGCTAAAGACAAGGCCATTGGAATATAGACGGAGGAGATTGTCAATGCTGCTATCAAATCTCCTCGTAGAAAAGACCATTGATATTGTCCGATCCAATTGAAGAGGGGAATGTAATAGGATACGTAACTGCAAAGAGCTGGTCAGCCCTCTTCTTTCTAGGTGGCCTACAGTTGCCTGCTCAACGGAATATATCAAACAAGGCTTACAGTTTCTTAGATTCCTGAGTAGAAAGAGCCGAGGTGGAAGATTTCATTTGTGATGACGGGTATTCCGAATCTTGGTGGGACTCTGGCCGACCATCACCTCCGCGGAAGGGACTGGACGCCATCCCTGATTCCCTAATCCCATTGTGTGCGATATGACTGCCAGATGACCGCGAAAATGCAGCTCTTTCGGCTGTTTCGATGTGAGGAGAAAAAGTACCATGGCTGCAACGTCTCTCACCGCACGCAGGGTCCGAACGGTCGTACGACTCCAAAAGGCGAGTTCTCACATCCGGTTCGTTCGTTATTCCCAGGCCCTGGGCACCTTGTACTCCCGATTGATCTGTCGCAGAGCCGAAAGGTCTTGGGCGAAAAATATCAGCCAGGCGATCTCGCAAGTTGCGGGCCTCTTCCGTATCTTGCCCGGCTGGCGGAGAGTCAGACATGATGCTTGCTTAAGAACCCGATGAGCTGATTCAAGGAAGATATACACCTGAATCCTCCATGGAATGGATCAATAATAAGAAAAGCCACTATTGGGAAGGAAATAAAAAGAGAAAACAAATCCGAACGTCGTGGCTGGCTAGCAAGGGCGGTGTCCACTAGGGTCTGCGATAAGCGGGGCCAGAGCTACTATCACGGCTTGTCCATGCAGATCCGTCATGTACTGTAGGGGCTGATGTGTCTAATTTCAGTACTGCAATTGGAAAGTTCAGGACCAACCAGAACAGTTTGATTATGCCACCGGATCTCGGTAACTTTTTTTGTGCAACATGCAGTCGGAAACAATATGCAACTAGTGGAGTCAGCCGTACACAGACTAGTAGGTTATCTCATGCAGCGGAGCCCGTTGCTGTGACATAATCGAAGTATACCGAGGCGGTGAGTCACGTGTTGATTTGGGAAAGTCGGTGATTCACGTGACCGTGTGGGTTTTGAGCCCGCCACAATAGCGATTTGAAGTGATTGTGCTTCCGCCCAGCGATACATTCTCAACCCCCTGATCCTTTCGATCTGCTCAGAACCTTGATTTTAGGCTCGAGCCCATCGCTGCTTCTAGGACTGTCGTCTCATCAGTCCTGTTTTACGCCGAATCCCCGTCGCTGAAAATCAGATCGCAACCCCGCCAAAATGTCGTTAACAAATTGCCGTTTCTACGAGGAGAAGTACCCTGAGGTGGACAGCTATGTCATGGTCAATGTCAAGCAGGTAGGATCCGAAAACCGCTGTATGATCGCGTTTGGCCTTGCTTATTCGTTTTTCCCCGGGTTTGGTAGATCGCCGAGATGGGCGCATACGTGAAGCTGCTCGAGTACGACAACATCGACGGCATGATCCTGCTCTCCGAACTGTCCAGAAGACGTATTCGCAGTATCCAAAAGCTCATCCGTATCGGCCGTAACGAGGTTGTCATCGTGCTCCGTGTTGACAAGGAGAAGGGTGAGCAAAACTCCACTGTTCTACAAAGATCCGACAACTGACTCACATTGTTATGAAAGGTTACATCGATCTGTCGAAGCGTCGTGTCTCTCCCGAGGATGTCGTGAAGTGTGAGGAGCGTTACAACAAGAGCAAGGCGGTGCACTCTATCTTGCGCCACGTCGCCGAGGCAGCTCAGACTCCTCTCGAAACCCTATACCAGCAGATTGCCTGGCCCCTGGACAAGAAATACGGTCACTCCCACGACGCATTCAAGATCTCCATCTCGTATGTCTTCCATCTTATGATTCTGATGTTACCCAGCTGACCGACTTTCTAGCAACCCCGAGGTGTGGAACGACATCGAGTTCCCTAGCGAACCCGTGAAGAAGGAGCTCCAGCTTTACATCAGCAAGAAGCTCACCCCCGCCCCCACTAAGGTTCGTGCCGATATTGAAGTCACTTGCTTCAGCTACGAAGGTATCGATGCCGTCAAGACCGCCCTGCGCACCGCCGAGGCCGAGAACACCCCCGAGAACCAGATCAAGGTTAAGCTGGTCGCCCCTCCTCTGTACGTCCTGACCAGCCAATGTCTGGACAAGCAGCTTGGTATCCAGCAGCTTGAGGCCGGTATCCGAAGGATCGAGGCCAACATCAAGGCCGCTGGAGGTAACTGCACCGTCAAGATGGCACCCAAGGCCGTTACCGAGCACGATGATGCTATTCTCCAGGAGCTTATGGAGAAGCGTGAGCGTGAGAACCAGGAGGTTAGCGGAGATGAGAGCGGCTCTGAGAGCGACGAGGGCGTGCCCGAGTAAAGGAATAACCCGACGTACATCGGCGTTGTCGACCAGTTCAAAAGGCAAAATGTGGAGGAAGGACTGGGCAAAAATGGATAGAGAAAATCATGCACATTTTACGCGATCAATGGAAAAGACAAAGGCTTGATGACTCCATGTAAGTGCTATCAGGCATGATTGCAGTCAGAAATTGCCTTTCCACCAAGGCCAGTCACCTGCACCTCGAGTCCGGGTTCTATCCACGAGCAGGCATAATGCCATTTGGCAAACCATGTTCCGGCATTTTATTTGAATGTACGGTGTGAGATGCAACTTTCTGATGTATATATGGTGTGATGCAACCGAGATGTTCAATGCCAATGATGCTTCTAGAGATATTTCTGATTTCATATTTTTTCTTTGAATTCGGTAGCTTTCCGTAGCGCGTCACCCGGGATTTCTTGATAGCGGGGAGTGGCGCTTGGATCTTCCCGCGAATCACTTTTTGACCGCGCTTTCCAAGATTTCACCCTAACCATTACAGCCTCTCCAGCCTGTTTCTCTGGGTGGCTATTCATTTACATCTTCGCAATGGGTCATTTGAGGGATATGTTCAGCTTCGATCGTCGTCGTGCGCGGCACCGCGTCGCAGTAGAGCGCCGCAGACGTACGTCATAATCAACAAAGCTCGTATCACAGTGCTAATCGAACCACAGTCCTCCCATCATACATTGCTGATGAGCCACAGTCGTCTGATTCTTCCAAGGAGATTGCTAAAATCGCACTGCGATTGAAATACCAAATTGAGCAGGTCGTTTGCTGCGAGGTCGAGGAGAATATCCTGACCGACCCAAACAGCCGCCTTATCACGCAGGATGTTATTGAGACTGCCAAGCGAGCTGGTGGTGAGGACTACAAGGCTTGTATTGTCTACTGTCTGCTTGTTTGTTTGAGATGGTTCCAGGTTCAGGCTTCGGTCGAGCTGTGGGATGCTGATCTCCATGAAGTCCGAGCTGTGGCCTGTGAAGTCATCGCCAAGCGCATGTAAGATCTCCCCATTGGCCTGAGCCCTTATACTTACCGCTACTTACACCTTTATAGTATTGAATCTGAACAAGATCAGGACTATCTGCTGAAGAATATTCTACTCAAGCGCTACTCTATTTTTGCCGAGGGTGTTGAAAGTGACCCTGTCAATGTGATTGAGCGCTCGGTGGATCTCCATGCGCTGAGAATCATCGGTTCCGCTGGATACCAAAAATGCATACAATTCCTATGGTGTGGCTGGATCTGTCAGGAAGAAGGCAATCCAACGAACTTCGTGGAGTACGAACAGAAAGCCAATGCTAGCTACTGGGTTCACTTCCACCCGGATCGCATGCGAACTCCTCTTTACCAGAACATTTGTCAGATCGTCTTCTCCCTAATCTATCTGGCTGTTTACACTGCCGTGATCAACACTGTCAACCCAACTGGTGATCTTGACGTGGCTGAGGGTGTTCTGTATGGTATGACGCTTGCATTCCTTTGTGATGAAATTGTCAAGTTCTGGAAAGTCGGGTGGAATTACCTTGAGTTCTGGAATGCCTTTAATTCAACGCTTTACGGTCTCCTCGTCATTTCCTTGGTCTTGCGTTTTGTTGCATTGGCCCATTCGCCTTCAAACAGCGATACAGAGCGGCAAATGTACAACGGATTGAGCTACAATTTCCTAGCCTTTGCCGGACCCATGTTTTGGATGCGCATGATGCTTTATTTGGACTCTTTCAAATTCTTTGGAGCCATGTTCGTCGTCCTTCGGGTCATGATGAAGGAGAGTTTGATTTTTTTTGCACTCCTATTTGTGGTTCTGGCTGGTTTCTTCCAGGCATTCATTGGCATGGCACAGGTCGATGATGATATACCCGTCACTCGGCTTATCATTCAAGGCATGGCAAACACTATCATGCAGAGCCCTGAGTTTGATACTTTCCAAGACTTTGCATATCCTTTTGGAATCATTCTCTACTATGTGTTCAGTTTTGTGATCATGATCGGTACGTGGATAACAATCACTTCTCCTCTCAAGGCGCAATACGCTAACTTGGTATACTAGTTCTCTTGAACATTTTGATTGCGCTTTACAACAGTGCCTATGAGGATATCTCTGGGAACGCTAACGATGAGTACATGGCAATCTTTGCTCAGAAGACGATGCAATTCGTCCGTGCCCCTGACGAGAATGTCTTCATTCCGCGTAAGTTTTGTCCCCCATTATTCCATGTGTGACATACAATGAAACGAGTTGAGCTAATGAGATATATTAGCCTTTAATCTGATTGAGATTTTGCTTGTGAGCGCCCCATTCGAATGGTGGATGTCGAAGAAGCATTATGCGAAGCTTAACGACATTATCATGGGTGTGATTTACTCGCCTATTCTGGTGTTGACAGCCTGGATTGAGACTCACCAAGCGGAGCAAATTCGATGGAATAGGCGTCATGGAGAGGAAGACGAAGAAGATCAACAAGAGTGGGAATTGGTAGCTGAGGATGTGGACTTTGAGTTGGATGATTCCTGGAAGCAAGAAGTCAAGCAGAGTACCCCTGACATCAAGGTGGATAACTGCACGCTGGAGGTTAAGCAGTTACGAGTGCAGGTGGAAGCGTTGACTGAACTGGTGAAGCAATTGAGCAGTGAGAAGGGGGTTGTCGTGGATGGACTTACTTGAGCAGTCCACATGGGCACTGGGCAACAGTTGTGTTCATGCTGCGAATGAATATATATGTTTTACGGGTGCACCCGAACCCGGAGGTGTATATGTACTGTAGTAAGCAAGGATTTCCAGTTAAGATAGACCTTTGTTATCGATCCAATCGAAGGTTGTCTCCAACGAGACTTATAGTTGGGTCTCATGGTGGAGAATTTATGATTGAAACTTGATACAATTTTTCGTAGCAAAAAGTCACTTATAAAGAGTCGGGAATCGATATATTGACAAAAAAAAGAACCGAACGCGGGGGTCGAACCCGCAACCTTGAGATTAAGAGTCTCACGCTCTACCGATTGAGCTAGCCCGGCTGGGCTTGTTGGGAAGAATTCAGTTTCTGGCACTATCAGGCAAGATGCGCTGTGGGCCTCCTGGAACCTTACATAAGCCGTCTAGCGCGTCGGGGAGACCGGGCGAACCCTCTGGAAACCAAATTTACTTATCTACAAGGTGGCTTCTTCTGAGCTTTCCACTGTGTAGTCGTCATTTCTTCTTTATGCTTTTTTAATCTGTCTTCTAACCGACCATCTTCGTGGTCACCTCGATTGCCATCATGTAAGCTCATCCAGACCCTTGCCCCTATTGATGCATCTTCAATCTAACCCCAATCAGGGCAAAACTAGCAGATGACCCCCAGATTCAACATGCGTCCCTGCACAATCCTCTTCCGACGCAATTCCATCCCTATGTCCTGCCTTTTCTGATCATTTGGCCTGTCTTCTTCGCCTTCTACCTGTCCGAGGAGCGCTATGACACTTATATCCAGGGTCAGGAGTGGACCTTCGTTTGGGCGGGGTCCATCATCACGCTCCAGTCCCTATTGTGGCTGATGACCAAGTGGAACATTAACATCAAAACGCTTTTCACCACTATCAGGGCCAAGTCCATTGATACCGCTCGTCTGATTAAGGTTATCCCAGTCACCAATGCTGGAATTGCCGAAATCTGCACTCTGATCCACGACAACTCTGGTGGCAAGAAGACCATTTCATTCTTGTTCCAGAAGCGCCGCTTCCTCTACTACCCCGAACGTCGCACCTTTGCGCCTCTTTCCTACGCCCTCGATGCGGAACCCAAGCCTGCTCTCAAGCACTTCCAGCAGAGCAAGGGTCTCACCACCAAAGCGGAGGTCGATGACATCCAAGAGCACTATGGAGATAATACTTTCGACATCCCCGTTCCTGGATTCGTCGAGCTCTTCCAGGAGCATGCTGTCGCGCCATTCTTCGTCTTCCAGGTCTTCTGTGTGGGTTTGTGGATGCTGGACGAATACTGGTACTACTCGCTGTTCACTCTCTTCATGCTTGTTATGTTCGAGAGCACTGTCGTTTGGCAGCGCCAAAGAACTCTCAATGAATTCCGTGGAATGAGCATCAAGCCATACGACGTCTGGGTCTTCCGTGAGAAGAAATGGCAAGAAACCACTAGCGACAAGCTTCTTCCCGGCGACCTCATGTCCGTCAATCGGACCAAGGAGGATGGCGGTGTCGCTTGCGATATTCTCCTCGTCGAGGGCAGCGTGATTGTGAACGAGGCAATGCTTTCCGGTGAGAGTACCCCTCTGCTCAAGGACTCAGTTCAACTCCGCCCTGGTGATGACTTGATTGAACCCGAGGGCTTGGATAAGAACTCGTTTGTGCACGGTGGAACCAAGGTTCTTCAGGTTACTCACCCCAATATCAATGGTGAAGAGACCCTGACGAATCTGGCCAATGGTATCACGATGCCACCGGACAACGGTGCTCTCGGCGTGGTCGTGAAGACCGGATTTGAGACCAGCCAGGGAAGCCTTGTGCGCACTATGATCTACTCTACTGAGCGTGTCTCTGCCAACAATGCCGAGGCTTTGTTGTTCATTCTCTTCCTGCTGATTTTCGCGATTGCCGCCTCTTGGTACGTGTGGCAGGAGGGTGTCACCAAGGACCGCAAGCGATCCAAGCTCCTCCTGGACTGTGTCCTCATTGTCACCAGCGTTGTGCCTCCGGAGCTGCCCATGGAGCTGAGCTTGGCTGTTAACACTAGTCTGGCTGCTTTGAGCAAGTTTGCTATTTTTTGCACCGAGCCTTTCCGTATTCCATTTGCTGGTCGTGTTGATATTGCTTGTTTCGATAAGACCGGCACCCTGACTGGTGAGGATCTCGTCGTTGACGGAATCGCTGGCCTCACTCTTGGTCAGTCTGATGCCAAGATTGAAGCCGATGGCGCCCATGCCGATCTGGCAAAGGTCGAGGATGTTAACCCCGCTACTACTCTCGTTCTTGCTAGTGCCCACGCCTTGGTGAAATTGGACGAGGGTGAGGTCGTTGGTGACCCCATGGAGAAGGCCACTTTGCAGTGGCTTGGCTGGGGCCTGGGTAAGAATGATACTCTCATGCCCAAGGGAACCGCACCTAAGGTCGCCTCCCGCCCTGTCGAGTCCGTTCATATCAAGAGAAGATTCCAATTCTCCTCTGCCTTGAAACGCCAAAGTACCATCGCTACCGTCACTACCAATGATCCCAAGACCTCCAAGAAGAGCAAGGCTACTTTTGTTGGTGTCAAGGGTGCTCCCGAGACTATCAATTCCATGCTGGTTAACACCCCTCCTAACTACGAGGAGACTTACAAGTACTTCACTCGTAATGGTGCTCGTGTCCTTGCTCTCGCCTACAAGTATCTCTCTTCGGAATCTGAGCTTTCTCAGGGCCGCGTGAACAATTATGTTCGGGAGGAGATCGAGTCTGAGCTGATCTTTGCCGGTTTCCTTGTTTTGCAATGTCCTCTCAAGGATGACGCTATCAAGTCCGTCCGTATGTTGAACGAGAGCAGCCACCGGGTTGTCATGATTACCGGAGATAACCCGTTGACTGCCTGCCATGTCGCACGACAGGTTGAGATCGTCGATCGTGAGGTTCTCATCCTCGATGCTCCCGAACATGACACCTCTGGAACCAAGATTGTTTGGCGTACTATTGACGACAAGCTCAACACTGAAGTTGATCCCACCAAGCCTCTGGACCCAGAGATCTTGAAGAACAAGGATATCTGTATCACTGGTTACGCACTGGCAAAATTCAAGGACCAAAAGGCTCTTCCGGATCTTCTGCGTCACACCTGGGTTTACGCTCGCGTGTCTCCTAAGCAAAAGGAGGACATTCTGCTTGGTCTTAAGGATGCTGGTTACACTACCTTGATGTGTGGTGACGGTACAAACGACGTGGGTGCCCTGAAGCAAGCCCACGTTGGTGTTGCCCTTCTGAATGGCTCCCAAGAGGACTTGACCCGGATTGCTGAACACTACCGCACCAGCAAGATGAAGGAGCTATACGAGAAACAGGTTAGCATGATGCAGAGATTCAACCAGCCTCCTCCCCCAGTCCCTGTGCACATTGCCCACCTCTACCCCCCTGGCCCCGGCAACCCCCACTATGAGAAGGCTATGGAGAGAGAGATGTCAAAGAAGGGTGCTGTTGCCAAGCCCGGCGAGCCCATTCCCACTATCACTTCTCCTGGTGCCCAAGCTCTTCAGCAGAACATGACTCCCCAGCAACAGCGACAGAATCAAGCCCAAGCTGCTGCTGCCGGTCTTGCTGACAAGCTCACCTCGTCTATGCTGGAACAAGAGTTGGATGACAGCGAGCCGCCCACTATCAAGTTGGGTGACGCTTCTGTTGCTGCGCCATTCACCAGCAAGTTGGCCAACGTTATTGCGATCCCGAACATTCTTCGCCAGGGCCGTTGCACTCTGGTTGCGACAATCCAAATGTACAAAATTCTTGCATTGAACTGTTTGATTAGTGCGTACAGTTTGAGTGTTATTTACTTGGAAGGTATCAAATTCGGCGACGGTCAGGTTACTATCAGTGGTATGCTGATGAGCGTCTGCTTCCTGTCCATTTCCCGCGCAAAGGTTCGTTGCATCACCCTTTGTTGTCCATTTCGTGAATACTAATTATTTGCAGTCTGTGGAGGGCTTATCTAAGGAGCGCCCGCAGCCGAACATCTTCAACGTGTACATCATTGGATCCGTTCTTGGTCAATTCGCCATTCACATTGTGACTTTGATCTACCTCTCCAACTACGTTTACAAGGTTGAGCCGTAAGTATTGACAAACCCAAGAATTAGAAATCCCGTTGCTAATTCATATGACAGGAGAGCAAGCGACATTGACCTGGAGGGCGAGTTTGAGCCGTCTCTTCTGAACAGCGCCATTTACCTGCTCCAACTGATCCAGCAAATCTCCACATTCTCAATCAACTACCAGGGTCGTCCGTTCCGCGAGTCCATCCGCGAGAACAAGGCCATGTACTGGGGTCTTGTTGCAGCCTCGGCTGTTGCTTTCTCCTGTGCCACCGAGTTTGTTCCCGAGATCAACGAGAAGCTGCGCTTGGTTCCCTTCAGCAACGAGTTCAAGATGACCCTGACTGTGTTGATGATCTTCGACTATGCCGGTTGCTACGTGATCGAGAATGTGCTCAAGCACTTCTTCAGTGATTTCCGTCCTAAGGATATTGCTGTTCGTCGTCCTGATCAGTTGAAGCGCGAGGAGGAGCGCAAGGCTAAGGAGGAGGCTGAGGCCGAGGCCTTGAAAGAGCAGCAGAGAACCGCTTAAATAGGCTGTTAATCTGAGGCATGACTACAATGCCCTGTATACATAGAAAGGTTGAAGATGGGCTCATAGAACTACATGGAATCTAATACATTGTTCTATTACCGATTTTACCTTGAGCATTGCCACATGCATATGGTGACAATGCTGCAATACTACTGCATTATTGAGTTACCCAGTCATTTGATCTCTGAGCGGTGTAAATCAGAGGGAAAAAGCATCCGTGAGAGTGGCAAATATCAAGTTAGTAGCCAGAGGTATTACGTAGGACGAACCCCATATCGCATGTTTACTCACTGTGTACTCAATGAGCTAACGTCCCGACAAGAAAATGTTACCAGTCCACAGGTAGAGGTTAAACTCCATGGAAGAGAGCTTCTCCTCCATCAAGACTCTTCCTTTGTTCAGGACTTATACCAAGGCTACATACCTTGCAGGACTTACAAGTCTCCCAAGACCATCAAGATCCGCAACCAAGCAAATTAGCTCAGCCATAAGCCTACTCCTCATAGCATTCACCCGCGTAAATGCGCACGAGAACTCCACATCCACAAAGGATGTAATAGATACCCCCCTACGCTACAAGAAGCCACTCCCACCTAGCGTCTTCAAGGCCAATACAAGGCTCGGGGTCACCGACTTCCAAGACGATAATCCCGGCACACTTGTATACCCGGAGTATGGCGGCTACTACCTCAAATACCCGGACAGCGAATTCGTCGTGGCTTTCTCATCAGACAACCTGAGTGCGGTGCTGGACTTGGCTCATATATCTCTATCAGAACCTTCAGAGCCGAGGAAATGTCGAAGAAGCTGCTGATTTGGCTCAGGAACTTGCGGAGGATGGTGTTGATCTGCACAAATTTGCGGAAGTTGAATTGGATGTGAATAATCGGTGCAGGTTCCATTATTGTGCTTATCCTAGGATGACTGGGACATGTGCTATGTACGATGGTCGTTATTGGTGTAGCAGCCGGCATCGCTGTATTTAATCAACCTTGCAAGCGGTTCGGGCTAATGTTTCACAATAGGGTCATGTTACTAATCCCGTCAATCATGCAAACAATTAATTTTAGAATAGTAGGATAGATCCCGTCATATGAGTATTCCGTACAACCTTGAGATTGGGAGCAATAAAGCTGCATTTCCAACGGGGTATCATTTAGCAACCCTGTACGCCATTAGGGATGTACGTGTTCGTGTTATCGGTACTTTGAAGAAGCAGACGATGAGAATTCATTATTGGTTGTATGTAAACCATCAAAGATAAAAAGGAACACATTCACACATAATAACAGGAGCACGTTTCGAAGACCAGATAAGCCATCGGTACTTTGCAACAGCTTTAAATACAATTCCTGAAACACAAGGGTTCGTATATTTACAGGGGAATAGGGGTGGAAAGGGTGAAGGAAACGGCAGTGCCGGTAAGATCAACCCAGACGGTCAGAGGGTCACTGCCCAGCTGCTCAGTGGCGTAACTCTTGGTGGAGGTAGGCGCCACAGGGAAAGTAATCGGGATTGGCGCACTGCAAGTGTTATCAGTAGCCGAGACGGTGATCGAAATGATCTCATCGTCCTCAATGGTGTAGCTCATGGCGTAATCACAGGCATCGCGAGTGTAGCGAGCCAAGAAGCCAGCGGACATCTAGACAGAGAGAATTAGCATCCAAAATATTGGCAGAGAGTGAGTCTAGAATAACTCAGAAGATGGAACTTACATCAGCGTGCTTGATAGTCACGAGGGGCCAGTCAACCAGACGGACGAACTCCTGCACAACAGTCTCAACCCAGACCTGGAAGAGAGAGTACTGGTAAGAGACTCCATTAACAGTGATAGGATCGGTATCAGCGTTGCGGAGGTTGCCCTGGTGGAACATGTACGGATCGTGGGCAAGGCTGAGGAAGTGGCGGATGGTATCAGCCTTCTCGTTGGCCATGAGGTTATCGAAATCGCCAGAGCCAGACGAGGTGTTGATCCACTCGTCCAGGGTACAGGCAGGGGTGCAGCAGTCGTAGTAGATACGAGTGGCCCAGCGAGGGTTGACTTGCATGCCATCGAAGCCATTGGTAGACTTTACGGTAAAGTAAGGCCACATGTTGTTTTCGGAATTGAGCAGGGCTGAGCGAGTGTTGTCACCGACACAGTTCTTGATGCCGTTATCCCACCAGGCCTGAAGGGCATCACCGTTGTGGAGACCGGTAATAGCCGGGGGAATAATACCATTGGCAGTGAAGTAGGTAGCCTGATCGATTCCGACCTGCTTCAACCAGGCCTGGTTGAAGCTGATCTCCTTGTTGATATCGGCATAGGTAGCGTTGTTCTCAGCCTCGTGGGTGAAAGTGTGGGAGAGATGGGCGAAGCTGTTCAGGTTGGCTTGCCACCAGAGCAGAAGAGGATCACGGCTAGTGCAGTTGGTGGTCCAGTCATAGGCGGTAGGGGTAGCGGGCCACTGGTCAGTACCAGTTCCCAGAGGCTTCTGCCACTCAGCAGTCGTGGCCGCAGCAGCAGTGTAGTAGACACCACCCCCACTGCAGATAGCCCAGCCATCATCAATGTTGGCAGAGCGGTCGATGTTTCCGTTGCCATTGAAGCCAACTTCAGGGAAGTATGTGCTACCGGCGTTCATCTTGGCATTGATAAGGGGAATCCAGGCAAGAATGTTGTCCATATCAGTAGTGGTAATACGGAAGGTATCACCAGCAGGCTCGTAGAGGTTGGTGGTCAACATCATATCATCAATCTGGGTGTTGATGTTGACACGACGCCATCCAGCATGAAGACCGCGAGTCATCCAGGTGATCCAGGCGTGCTGGACAAACGCCGAAGTGGCACTCCAGCTAGGATCAAGAGACATGTGGAATACCATTTGCTCACGGCCGTCGAAATCATTGATAACAGCAGCAGTGGTTACAGTGTCGACGACCGAGTTTGCAGCAAATGAAGCAATTGACTTGGTGTTATTGGTGTCAAGAATAGAAGCAGAGTAGTGGTAAAGACCTTCAGTGCTCACACCAGCAGCAGAGCCAGTGCGCAGTCCAGAAGTAGGGAAGTCGGTGATATCGGTAAAGTAGAAGTCCTGTTCGACGCCGCTATCGCAGCATCCGGAGCCAACAATAGCGGTTCCATAGTCCGAGCCAGGGTAGACATCGTATTGAACCATACGGACGCCATACTCGAGCTGATAGGCATATAGTGTATCCCATTGGTCGCTGGTCAGGGCACTTGCCCAGCCGGCATCACCATAGTCATAGCTAATTCCTGAAGCCACAACGATACCTCCGAAGAGACCTCCATTGGTATTGTTGAGGCTAGGCAGATCAGCACCGGTTGATGGCACCACAAGAGTGGTGTAAGGGATTCCGTAACCATTGAGACCATCGGTGGCAGGTACTAAAGACGTGGAGTCTCTAGCAATCACCAAGATGTTACCCGCGACAGTGGCCTGACCACTGGGCGTCGTGGTAGTACCACATGAGACTGAAGTCATACTGGGTGATGTCCACTCAGTAGTAGACCCAGAAGAAATTGATATAACAAGACAGGACAAGACAATTAAAGTCTCAAAAAAAGTAGAACTAGCTGCACTGGTAGCAGTAGTATTAATAATATAGGGATGCTCCCAATTAGCGACTGACGATGTTCTTCCAAGCTAATCGTTGGGGCGAACGTCTGCAATTTATAATCTCGTATGGAGAGTCTACGGCTCGTATCGGGATTTATGTCCATCTTTGATGCTGACCTGGAGCAGCAAGGCACGCAGGAAAGAGGAGACCTAAAACACAATGCCCCAATGAGAATTGATAGCCAAGCAACCTGAGCGGCAGGGCCCCGAAATTAATCATGGTGGCAATGCAGGTGCATGGAGGTCCCTTCATGCAGTACCCGAGATGCAGGGCAGCAAAATCCCGGAAGCCTATCGGGTGCTCTTGGCTTCGGCTAACAAAGCCTCTCCCATGATTTTCGATGAACTGAGGGGCTTGTTTTTCCATTAGCGTGATTGTTCAGGCGAAGACCGACGAGTGTGATGGGGTATTCCTCAGTGACCGGTATACGAAATCAGCTGAACCGGATCTAATCTGGTCAAGGTCCATGATCTGGGTAAGAGCTAGCATAAATTGCCCTATAAGCGATTGGCTCATTATAAAAGGGACCGAAGTGGAGAGGTGGGTATCTCCCGCAGATGTGATGATTCCAAGTTTGAATGCATGAAAGCTCAGAAGTGTGGAGGAGCTAAGATGGGAACTAAGGCCGAGAAGCCGGGAATGAATTTTTCATCTGAGACATTGATAAAAGTCAAAGTATAATCGGTGTGGACGCGCCGAAGATTTGATATATCGGAGATATTATTAGGGCACCGGATGCAGGGTTTTCCGGCGAGGAGCGGGCCAAGTTTGGGGCTCAGGGACCAGAATCGAGCCCCGCTTGTATGGGGTTCGGCAGCAGGTACCAGCACGTCCGGAACTTTGTCCAGCAGGCAAAGGGGAAACAGGAGATTCTGCCCGATGAGGAATGGTCTGGGCTGGTCGTGCATGATTTGTTCGTGTCCGGGTGACTGGCCATGTCTTGGCACCTTGGCACTATAGAGTTGGTGTACCTGGTGTTGTTTCCCACTAACACTAGGGAGGAAGCTGGAAAAGTGGAAGATCCGCAAAGATCCGCGAAGAACCAAAAAAACAGCATCGGATCGAGATTCGTGTGGATCTAGTCATCTGGGCATCGAGATCGGAGAATGAAGGCAAACGGGCTAAGGTCGCTGAAACCATGGATGAGGCCATGGAAATATTATGAGTCTGAACTTTGGGAGTCCGCTGCACCTAGTGGTGGCTGAGTGGACACAATCAACTTTTGCCACAGAATGTGCAACCACTGACTACATCACGTGCGCCATCTAATACCTTCAGGGGCCCCGGCATCGGCATTAATAGATTGTTTGATTAAAGGATAAAGTGGAATTGGTCTGTTGGATCTAGCCTTATGTCTTCACAATTACCTTCAGGGCTATCGATTACTGTATCATCTGCTCATACCATACATACCGGAACATTTTGGGAAACAATGATCCAACTAATTGGATATTATGATGTCTCTCCATATTTAGTATTTTAAATCCATCGAATGAATCACAAGTTCACGTTTTTCATGTTGAACAAACATGAACATCAATGTATGGAGCATCGTTGTATACTTCCAAGGCGGTGAAGCCCGCAGTGGGTATGGGGGGATTTGATGTTGACGGCTTTCCAATTGCTTACAATTGTACGGATACCTGAGACTTCGGTCCGCATCAAGCCCCCATTGCTCGTTTTTAATTAGCCACTCCAATCGCGAGGCAACATTGCACCTAATGGCCTCACAAAGCTACAGCTCGACCGCACGGGCCAGTCTCAGTGTCAAATCTCCCAACCCATCCGCCTTTACCCCCAACTTTGCCGACCCCAGTTTCGACCCCGCTGATTTCCTCAATGATTCGCTTTCCCCGCTTACGGTGGCCTCATCACAACCCAATGCCTCTCGCGCGCCCGGCTCTCTGCCTTTGACCGAACTGTCAGCCCAAGTACAAACCCTCCTTTCGCAAATCAGTGCCCAGAACGTTCGCCTGTCCAGCACTTTGTCTCAGTTGAGCGATGAGATCCTCCGCAGTGGTGGGCGTCTCGCCTACGAAGTGGAGGTGTTGCGAGGAGAAACAATCGGCTTATCCGAGACCTTGACAGAGGTCCTGCGGGACGACATCGCCAAGTTCGTCGCAGAAACCCCGAATACAACCGCTGTTCCAACCAGTCGCAAGCATTTGATGACGGAAGAAACAACAGAGGGTGCTACATTTACAAAGGACGAGAAGGAAGAAGAGGACGACGAGGACACGGACGAAACAGCGGAGAAGGATGCAACAATGGCGGATCCAGAGTACATCACCAATCTGCGCACACTGAACCAAGTCCGCTCGCGACTAGAGAATGTTGTACAGACCTTTGGCGACGCTATGGAGTGGCCTCTACCCCCATCCGAGATCTCCTTCTCATCCTCCTTTATCTCCGTCTCCGGCCCGGACATAAGTGTCGAAGGGTCCGACCAGGAAGCAAAGGGCCAGGAGGTTATGAAAAAGCTACGAACCGAGACATTGGAGCTGCTGGACAGCGAGGGTGGTGGACGTGTTGGGTTGGAGGCTGCGACTCGCCGCGTGGAGACTCTACGAACATTGGCAACGGTTTGGAAAGGGTCTGCTGAGGAGAAGGCACGGCAACGATTTGTGGATAATTTGGCCCGGCTCGTAGATGAGCGACGGCGCAACCTGGAGCATCAACAAGCAATGGTTGAACAAAACCAGCGCGGTCCAAAGTCCCGGTCGGAACAAAGGCGAGACAGTGATAGTGGAGCACCGGCGGGTGGCTTATTCCGGAATCTGCAGCGACTCAAGGAGGAGATCTACTTGGAGTAGATACAAACGCATAAAATTCACTTTAATTTTAAGACAATGAGTTGTACTATGTTACTATGTTACTATATATGTACAACCTGATGCGGAAATCGGGTTTCCAAGGTTGTCGATCAATGAGCCGTTTCCATCTCCACATGCAACCATTGCGTATTTCCCGCGTGGCCTTTCCGTTGACACCTACAACCACGTCCCCACGACATGTGCAACTCATTCAATTGACTCTGAGATAGTCTCGGCATATTTGGTCATGGCGTCCAGCTCGCCATTGCCGCAGTTCAAGGAGGCCAAGGCAACCGCCACCACCATGATGTGGCAGGTCTACCATCAACGGCCGCGCACTCCGAGGTCGAAAGCCATCGCATACTCCGTTCTAGCATTCCTTTTCTTTCTGTTCATGCTCATTTCGTTGTCCGGAGTAAGTTTCCACTTTGTTGGCTGACTCTGGGACATATCTCGATCGCCATTTCAATAGGCGCGGGGAAAAGACCAGGAACAAGATGCTGACGTCTTAAATAGCAACCCGAGCCTGATTTTTGGACCAAATTCCCATCGCAACACCCATTTCCCGAAAGCCCCGAGCACGCGCAGGTCGCACTTCCTCGACGAACCGATGTCGCCGCCAACGATACTCTCCCTCACGGTTTGGAGAAGCCCAACCCGAATCTCCATGTCTTGGTGCCCATGCAGCAGGGCTCACGCGGTGCGTGTCGAACGCTGGCATCGGCCATGATCTTGGGATACCCTCCTCCAACCCTGGTCGGATACGGAAAGAATACCCCTGGTGCGACTGAGTTTGAGCGCACCGTGGATCGGATCGCTCGTCTGCGCGATTACCTGAAACCGAGCCATATTATGAAGGATCACGATTTAGTGCTAGTTGTTGACGCCGAGGACGTTTTCTTCCAGCTCCCACCCGAGATTCTCGTCACGCGCTTCCAAGAGATTCTGCGAACGAACAACAAGAAGTTATTGCAAAAGCACGGGTTCGCAAAGGTGGAGAAAACAACTGCTGGTGCTCCCCCGGATCTAGTGCCAAAATACTCGCAGCGCGTGCTGTTTGGTGCTAGTAAACTGTGCTACAGTGCCTTGGAGGCCGACCCTGGCTGTGTTTCTGTCCCGGAGTCATCATTGCCCCCGGACGTTTATGGCTGGAAGACGGACATCTACCCTGACGGACACTTGAATCGGCCTCGATGGTTGAATCCAGGGGCGGTGATAGGTCAAGCTGCAGACCTACGACTTATTTATACCGAGGCTCTACGGATCATCGAGCAGCGTCACCAGAAGGATGCCGACTACCAGGCTCTGACGCAGATGTATGGGCGGCAGGAGGTCATTCGCGAGCTGGAGCGACGTCGCACCACCAACGGATTGAAGGAATGGGCCCAAGGAATGTTGGGCATCAACGAAGCCTCAAATATCACAGGAATTCATGTCCGTCTTGAGACAGGACACCGTTATGAGTACGGCATTGGAGTCGATTTCGAATCGCAGATGTTCTTCACTCAGATGATGTCTCGAAATGATGTTGAGTGGGTCAAGTACAACAACATCACCAAAACCTCCTTACTCCAAGGACAATTTGCTGTTCCCCGTGAACATCGTCTCCTTCTCCCGGATGACATTGCCGCACTTCCAAACCCGTACAACCAGAGTCGATTTGCCAAATCTCAGACTACACATCCCGAGTGGAATGCCACGCTGGACAAGCTACCGAACCCGGAGGAGCATTCCTGGCACAATTCGCCCCTAATGACAAACCCCCACTCTGCTTCTGTGCCTGTTCTCTCTCATCTCAATGGTGACCAGAAGCTCCGCAACGCGTGGTGGGAGAAGATGTGGTTCTTCCCCTGGGGTCGTGCCCTTCTCCGCCGTTACGTTCGTTCTTCGCGCGGGTTCGACGCCGCACAGTCCTCTCTTCTGGGCGGCCAAGAGTGGTGGAATATGCGTGGTGGACGAGGCGGACTCTGGACAGACGAACAGAACTGGGTCACATTTTCGGATGTCTGCGAGGGCCAGGAGCGAGATCTCTTCGATGATGATCTGGGCCCCTGGGCTAAGGAGAACGGTGATCCCGATGAGCCGGTTTACAACAGATTTGGCAATCTCATGTACGGCAAAGAATCTCCTAAAGAAGAGGGGTCTTAAGTGCGTCTGGGAATACTCAACTCTCCCGGACTCTTGCTCGCCTTCTCACTATTCCCACTACTCTTTACATGGCCTATACATGACCGATATCGTCGGGGAAATGTGTAACCGAGTATTGTGTTTTGGCAATATTTTGCACATATTGTCCTTGGGTTCTTCATGCCCTCCTTGATACCACTTTGAGCTTTTTGTTTTAAGGTCATGCATGGCACTGACCTATGCCGTATGAGAGTTATGGCGTTTTAATTTGGTTCGTTCTTTTGAGATCGAATATGTATTACATAGATAGAAGGCTTCGACAGATGCCATTACCTGAAGCTGGCATCGTACATAGAATTGGAATATTTTGGCTTCACCTTATACTTCAAGAGTAGAGTAAATAATGACCCAGTTCAATTGGAATTTATACCACGCTCGGCTGCTACACATATGCAAGCTTCATACTCAATCAACACAAACAGAACGATCGCGAATCCGCATAGAATTGAGGGGGCCAATAAACCCGGGATATCAAACACAACAAAAATCTACTTAACCCAAAGTTATACCTCATAAATACTAACTCCCATAATGCTCACTCAAAACCTCCCGAATAATCCCCAAAACAAACTGCACATCCTCATCAGATATCCGCTGCTCCCGCTCCTCAACAACAGACTCGAAAATAGCCATAGCACCAAAATCCTCCTCCTCACCACCCTCACCGTTAACAGCATTCCCGTCCTCATCAACATCCATCTCTCCATCCCCATTAGCCATCTCATCGCCATTCTCGCCCTCAGTCGAGGTCGTAACGCCAACACCCAAGTTCAGAATCATAACCACTTCGGCCTTGGTAAGACCGTAAGGCTTGAGCTGTGTGATCAGTTCACGGAGGGCGAGGTCCATAGGTGTTTCTTCTGAGGAGAGGTCGCGGGGTGGTGCTGTGGACTTTGTGAGATCGTTGTTATCTGATGTGGTGTTTTGAGCTGGGGGACGCATTGTTCCAAATGCGGACGCGGATTGCGAGGAGGTTGGGCGAGGGGTGTAGCGGGGGTATTTTAGGATATGAGGCGAAATGCGAGTGACATAGTTGTGGATCTGCGTAAGATGTTAGCTTATGTTCCTTTGCGCGGTATATAACTAGGTATTTTAGGATGAGATGGACTACGGCTCGCTATTAAGATAGACTTGGGAATATGGTCCTGGATCTGGGAGATATATGCGAGTAAAAGAGTTCATAGGGAGCTTGCTTACTTCCTTGACCACGGTGTTGTGGTCTCTCAGGTCTGGGCTGGGAACCCATCGATCAGCATTCTGCGGCGGATCGGGAGAGCGGCGGGGCGGGTTGGCTGTTAGGTAGGCCAGAACCTCAATGTTGGTGAGGACGGCAGATTGGGGGTCGAGGATCTGGATATTCGGTTAGTCAATTGTTCTTTCGAGGTAATCAGGTATTTCATACTCTCATTGTGCTGGTCTATTTGGTGTTTGAGTGACCGTCCAAAGGTGAGAGTCGCAGCTGAGGGAAAATTACTTATTTTGCCGGCAGATATCCGGGCGGTAGTATGGGCGGTCTTGGTGATGTCCTGCAGGCTGCAAGTCTTAGACAAAAGTACCACAACCTACGACTGGAGTAAGACTTGCAGCCTTGGGATCAGACAAATAGCATTGCAATCATATGTCGCATAGGACAGCCTAAAGAGTTACAAATAGATCATTTGCTGAATGCTACTCAAAATTGAAGTATGAACAGATTATTCAGCTAAACTGTACTGCCTTGACCAAGCACCGTCTGCGCCATAAAAACGAAACAAAAAAACGTAGATCAACCTTGAAATGCCCCCGAACATGCGAGCAAGGCCGCGACATGAAAAGAAAGTGATATCATACAGATTGCGCAAAAAGAGGCCATCCATCACATTGCACGAAACTTTTGAAACAAAAGCAATTCATCGCTTACTCGCCCTTGCTCTTCTTCTTCTTCTTATCCTTCTTCTCATCGGCCTCGTCGGAGCGCTTGCGCTTCTTGCCATCTTCCTTGTCAGCCTTCTTGGACTCCTTCTTAGACTTCTTCAAGTCCTTCTTGCTGACGGCTGTCGGGTTACCAGAGGCATCGAAGGTGATCTCTCCGCGCTCCAGCTTGCGCTGGTAACGCTTGACACTGAGACCGGCCTTGGCGGCCTGCTTCTCGAGCTCGGACTTTGAGTCGTCCTCGGACTCGGACTCAGAGTCAGAGTCAGAGTCGGCATCCTCCATATCCTCGTCTGAGTCAACCTCCTCGACGAGCTTCTTCTTCTTGTCCTTCTTCTCCTTCTTGGCAGAGGCGGGGGCATCAGTCTCCATGGCATCAGCATCAGGGTTGTATTTGCGGGCCTCCTTCAGGTCGAACTTCTGGGGCTGGGAAGTGCCGTTGGGGGCAATGGCCACACCGCGGGGCTTCATGGGCTTGCCCTCCATACCGGCAAGCTTGCGCTCAAGGTTGAAGCGAGCCTCAGTACCGAGAGCAGCCTTCTCCTCCTCGGTGACATCCTCATCCCACTCGCCGAGGGCATCAACACGCAGACCCAGAGAGGCCTTGGCGGCGAGAATACGGGCCATCTTGCCCTTGTTGCGGCCGGTGGCCTGGCCGATCAAAGAGGCGTGGTAGATCAGACCGTACTTAGGTGTGTCGTGCTTGGTCTTCAAAGCACGGAAGAGGGCCTTCTCGGCACCCAGAATCTGGAGGGTAGAAGCAGGGCTCTTGGCAAGGCTGGTCAAGCTACCAGCGTGGGCAATCAGACGGGCACCAACAAGGTCACCGACAAGAGCAGTCAGGTTAGGAGCAATGGCGTTCATGCGGGAGGTCAGGTAGCTAGCAAGCTGGGCGCGGTACTCGTACAGGGAGACAACCTGGTCGGCGAGAGCCTGAATGTTCTCGAGATCATCCTCGCTGATCTCGGTACCCATGGAGCGATCAGCAGCGGTCTTGACGGCACCCTCAATCTCCTCTGGCAGAATCTCAGCGAGATCAACAGTCTCCCAGTTGCTGCGCATGCCCATCTTCAGGACGAGCTTGGCGTAGGCAATGTTGTCGTTAAGGATCTTAGCAAGCTCGGGGAAGTGCCAGCCGTACCATTCCTTCACACGCATAGCGTAGGTGTTCAGCTCCTTGTCCATGTCATCCAAAAGACTGATGGCCTGGACGATCATGGTATCAATCTTATCGGGAGAGAACTTGAGCTTGTGACGGGCGAGAGAGTGAGACAGACCAAGGGCCATGGTGGACATGTCACTGGGACCCAGGCTGGGGATGAGAGAAGTGAGGTGCTCACGAATGGCACGGAAGGCCTCGGCGGTAGAGGAATCGGCGATCAGCTCGATAGAAAGACCAGGCAGCTTGCCAATGGCATTTCCTGAAGACCATAATGTCAGTGAAAAGCGCATCGGCTAGATGATCGAATTGAACATACCGAGCTTAGGGTCCGCAACAGCGAGGGAAACCTTCTTCTCATCCTTGATTCCCTCCAACAGCGAAGCGAGGCGGGGAGTAACCTTGCCCTCAATGATAGCGGCAGCCTCCTCAACAGCGGCGGCAGCGCTCTCGAACTTCTGGAAAGACTTCAACTTGAAACTATTGGCAATATTAGCATCGCTGTCTACTGCAACAAAAATTTTCGACCATTCCGCGAATTGGTCTCCCCCGCTCCACTGGGTTTTTTTTCTTGAGTTTTTTCTCCAGAGGCAACGATCACACATACAGGTTTGTAACACCTTCGGCGGTGGAAGCATCCTCCGGGAGCTGGTCGCGCTTGAAGAGCTTCTTGTCCTTGGCCTTCAGCAGGGCATAACCGGCGCTGGTTTCGGTGAGGATGAACAGCGACATTGTGGCTGCTGGTCGGGGAAAAAAAGGAACAAGCTAGAAATGTGGAAGGCCCCGGTTCGATTGGCGAAAAAAGACGGACAAGAATGAGTGGACCGTCGAGGCGTGCACCGTTGGAGAAGGGAATCTAGAAATTTTGCAACGGAAAGAAAAAAGTGCAAAATTGCTCGAGCCACAGCCCTGTGGCTGGTGGCTTATGTAAGGACCCACCGCGCATACAGCTCCCAGCACTTGACAGTGTACGTAGATTAAGTCGACCTTATTCTAATCACCACTTCTCACTCGCCGCAATGGAGGGCCTCTTCTTCAATGTGAATTCTGGGTATGCGTGTCTCTGTCTCAATATGATAGTTGCTTATTAACCTGCTTTTCCCAGATACGTCGAGGGCATTTGTCGAGGGTATCGGAACAGCCTTCTGAGCGGCCAGAACTACTCCAACTTAACGCAATGCGAGACCATTGATGGTATCTAAACCCCACCACTAGTATCAGCATCGGTCGTTTCTAACGTAAAAATTCCTGGCAGATGTCAAGCTCCAACTGGGCCCAGCCTATGGCGATTTCCTCGCCTCCCTCCCCCCGAACCCCTCCACCTCCGCCCTCGCTGGCAGGATGACAGACAAGCTGGTGTCGGAGTTCCGATACCTGATCGCACAGTCCACTGGCGCAACCGCCAAATTCCTTCAGTACCTCACCTATGGCTACATGATCGATAACATTGCCCTTCTGATCACCGGAACTCTGCATGAGCGCGACACCCGAGAACTCCTGGAGCGATGCCACCCGCTCGGCTGGTTCGAGACCTTGCCCGTGCTGTGCGTTGCAACCAACATTGAGGAACTTTACAACTCCGTCCTGATTGAGACCCCGCTGGCCCCTTTCTTCAAGGGTAGTCTAAGCCACCAGGATCTGGACGAGCTGAACATCGAGATCGTCCGCAACACTCTGTACAAGAACTACCTCGAGGACTTCTATAAGTTTGTCAACACCGACTCAGACTTCTCGGGCCCAACTCAGGAGGTCATGTCGGAGATTCTGCAGTTTGAGGCCGATCGCCGCTCCATTAATATTACCCTCAACTCCTTTGGCACTGAGTTGTCCAAGCAAGAGCGGAGGAAGTTGTACCCGGAATTCGGAAAGCTTTACCCCGAGGGTAGCTTGATGCTGTCTCGGGCAGATGATGTCGAGGGTGTGGCTCTGGCTGTGAGCGCTGTTGCAGACTACAAGACCTTCTTTGATGCGGTGGGTCTGAACCAGGGTGGCGGTATGGGCGGCATGGGTGGCAACGATGGAAAGAGCCTTGAGGATCTTTTCTACCAGAAGGAGATGGACATGTCCAAGTTGGTGTTCACCCGTCAATTCACCCCGGCGGTGGTGTACGGGTGGTTGAAGCTGAAGGAACAGGTAAGGGCTCCTTCCAAAAGGCACATGCAAGATTCACCGCTAATATATACTAGGAAATCCGGAACGTTACCTGGATCTCGGAGTGCATTGCACAGAACCAGAAGGAGAGAATCGGTAACTTCATCTCCGTCTTCTAGACTTCGATATTATGACCTTGTTCTTCCCTGTCTACTTCTCCTGTATTTACCCCATTGGGCTGCATGATTTGGCTTTGCAGCCATTTCCGTTGTATCGAGTACCCAGTCCGTTTCTTATCCCTCAGTATTCAAGTGAGCGCATCGCCCGAACCGGGCAAATGGCCACTGGTTTCGGTTTTTCTCGTTTTTCTCGACTTCTTTCCACCCACTGAGGCGTTTGGCAATTTCGTGATCTCTCTGTGTAATAGAGCAAAATTCATCGGGTCAGATGAACACATGGTAAACACTCCTAGCAACTTTTTATCTATTGTAGTAGCTGTCCAGGTGCCTGACACTACATTTATGTATAGTGTATGGCCTCGAAATGTACAAATATACAGATTTCATGATTCAGGTGCAAAATTTTTAGGTCATCAAGTAGCTGCATTCGTGGACATTCTACTGTTATTTCCATGAACCGATCCAGAATTGAAGTAAAAAGATGGGAAGTCAGTCAACGTAAAACTTGAACAAGGTTCCAAGGTTTGTAACACAACCGGACGAGGCGAGCCATTGATCTGTACGTTTCGTGGTCAGACATTCGTGGAATCTGTACGTTTCGTGATCAGACAATATAATGGATATACCGCATGCAGCTACAACTGGATACATATGGAAGATAAGACAAATCACATAAACACCATTTTGGTCGATTTCATCATATGTGCAAGGTGGCAATGGCCATGATAGCTAGGCAAACATAAAGGTCGAATAGAACAAGCCGCGAGAAGCAAGACAATAATCAAATACAAGGCTGTCTCGGGCAAGACTACTCTGACCATGGATTCTATATAGGAATGGAGGATGGTGCAGGGAACACCGAAGAGTAAAACCAAAAAAAAAAAAAAAAAAAACGTCTTCACATCAGCAACGCCAGGTAGATTGACTCATATTCATTTAAATTGCCAGACTTGACAAATCCAGCCATGATTTTTTTGGTATTTGCATTTTCCAAATCAGAGAGGGAAACGTTGCTCGCAATCAATCATACTGGAACAAGACACTGATACTCTCACCGTGGTGGACACGACGGATAGCCTGCATTGAGCGGTCAGCAAGGTCCGGGCGCATAAGACAAATAGCACTTACCTCGGCGAAAACGTGGCCAACCTCTAGGACCTCCAGCTTCGGGCATCGGCGCAGGTGGTCGTTCTGCTCCACGCTGTTGGTCACAACCACCTTGTCAAGGGCGCTGGCGTTGATACGCTCGATAGCATCACCGCTCAAGATACCGTGGGTCACCAGGGCGTAGACCTTGGAGGCACCCTCCTTCTTCAAGAGCTTGGCTGCTCGGGTAATTGTATTGGAGGTATCTGCCAAGTCATCGATCAGGATAGCTATCCGGTCGCGAACGTCGCCGACCAACATCATGGTCGCATTCTGGCGGTCTGTGATCTTTGTGGGGCGGCGCTCCTGCAGGGATTGTCAGAATATCCCAAATGGGAAACTAGCTTGAAAAAGGTTAGGGAGAAAATAAATTAGAAGATACTAACCTTGTGGATGAGAGCGAATTCCATTCCCATCTGGTCAGCAATGGCTGTCGCACGCTTGGCACCACCCGCATCGGGGCTGACAATGACGGCCTGCTTGTGGTTGGGAATGTTACGCTGGATGTAGCTCTTCAGAAGGGGACGTCCATAAAGGTTGTCCACGGGAATATCAAAGAATCCCTGGTACTGGGGGTCGTGCAAATCCATGGTAATAATGTGATCCGCGCCGGCGCACGTCAGCAGGTCAGCCACCAGGGTGCCTGCTTGCGCAACCCACTGCTTGTAGCCAGGACGTGGCTGGAAAGCGTTAATCTTCGAAGCAGCCGAAGAAGAGTTGCTGGTAGACTCCTCAAGGGCGGCACTGGTCGCCAGAGACTTGAGAGAGTCATTGGTATCAGCCCGGGGGAGTGCGTTTCCGGAAGCAGGGCGGCGCTTCACGGGGCTGCCATTGTGCTCCTCGATCTGAGCCTTGGCAAGGCTCTTCTGGAGGTTGTCGATGCCGTTCATCAGACCCAGGCCCTCAGGCTTACCGGGGCCGGGAGTGGAAGGAGTGCTCTCGAAGGTGTAGCCATTGTTGGGCTTGGTCGGAACGGAAGACTTGACGAGAGGGGCTCCCGCCTTGTCGTAGGGGATATCACTTTGGCGGGAGTAAGGGAAAAGAGGAAGGACGGCGGTCACCCGACGGGCCGAGGCCGTCTTACAGGCGGAGATGGTGATGAGGAGCTCGAGAAGGTGGTCGTTGACCTTACCACCTCCGGATTGAATAATGTAGACGTCCTTTTCACGAACGGATTCTTGGATCTCGACACGAGTCTCACCCACAGCGAACTTGGACAGCAGCACCTCCGCCGGAGGGAGTCCCAGTACGCTGCAAATGGTCTCGGTCAACTGCGGGTGGGATGTACCCCCGATGACGACTAGATTGCGAACCATCTTGTTTGATGAGTCTGATTTAGGATCGTAAGAAATGTTGGAAGGGAAGGGGAGGAGGGAGTTGGGTGTGGAGGTCGTGGAATCTGGAGAGACGGAAAATCTGTGGAGAGGCGAGACCGGTTCAGAGAAAAGCAAAGGAGAATGTGAAAACAGAATTCAAGAGTGGAGAGTCAAGCGACTACCTCATTTCGGAGAGACGGTGAGGTCAATGAATAGCCCGGACAATGGCCCGGAAGAAAAAAACGAATTGAAGCTCGTGTGAGTCCCGCGATAGAAAAAAAGCCTCTTTTGGAGAGTGGAACGGAGTCTTGGTCTCGGGTTGGCTGGAGAGTTGCTGGCCTCAGGCATTCAGGCGTCAACGGGGGCCGAAACAGGGATAGTGCGGGCAGAATGATCATAATGCATTTAGCCCCGCAGAAAGTCCCAACTTCGAACAGAAACGGCCGGCAAAACGCAAACTCGGGAGACGCCAGCAAATGGTCAGCAACCCAGGGATGTGGCTCCTCGGGCAAAACCGCTTTACAGCAATCCATTTTGAGCCGGTAAGATACAAAAGGCAATGCAAGAGAATCAAGTCCATAGAAAATATGAAATGAAGGAACCAGAATAAGAAATCCATTCGTGCACGCTCCCATGCTCCAAATCCGTTGATAATTTGATATGAAAAACACCGACCATTTGAAAAAAACTGTCCCACACAATATACATAGGAAGAATGTTCCGTTCTAGTCACCGGTTCCAACCTCCCTATATAATGAGTTAGTATAGATCACAAGGGTGAATGGCCGGAGAAAGGGGAGTAAGTAAGCTCACAAGTCAAGTTGTACCCCATTGCTCACTCCATAGTCCTCCAGCGTCAGCTGATCCTTGAATGGGCGTTCGCCTTGACGTTTCAATAGAATTTCATGTGGCTCTCGACCGATACGAGCAGCCACCTGGGCTTTGAAGAGCTCTGGATAGAAATGAGGTTAATTGTAATCCAGCAAGCTTCACCGCGGAAAAAACATACTGATCGGATCTGAGGCCAAGCATGGAATCTCAGCCTTGGTACCCAAACGATCATTGACATGGACAATAATCATGGGCTCAGACGACTGTGGCACAACTGGCTTCTTCTTCTTTTTCTCCTTCTTGTCCTTCTTCTCCACACGATCTTCCCGCGGAGCATCGCGCTCATCCCGTCGTTGGTCGCGGTCGCGGTCACGGTCCTGGTCCCGGCTGCGATCTCCGTAGCGGTCGCCATCACGATCTCGGCGGGGAGATCTTGGGCGCTCATCTCTGTCTCGGTATCCGCGGTCTAGTCTGCGCTCTTCGCCGCGGGTATCGTCGTCGCGACGCTTTTCTTTCCATCGAAAGCCCCCCGTCTTCTTGGGTCGGGATCTATCGCCGTCTCGTCGGCTGGGAGACCGACTTCTGGCTCTGTCACCCATGATGGATGAGTTGGGAGAAAGAGAGCAGAGGGTTGATGTCCGACAAACCAGTCGCGATCACAACGGAAAGAAGAGAGGGCTGTAGCTTCACGTGATCCAGATACGGGGGAGATGCAGTGAGCTAGTCCGTAACGGGTCTAGTGTGTTGGTGCTGGGACTTGGAGCTTTTGCCCCGTGAATCGTAGATAACAATTGTCAATCTCGAGAGCTCATTGAGCCTGTCTACAATCACCAAGGGCGCTTTGGACTGTATCGCGCGCCTCCACATTCACAATGCCCGGTCAACTCCGAGTTCAACGGCCTTCTCCGACAACCGTTAGCTTCACGGTATCAAATGCGCCGCGCCGCTCCAATTCCCCCGCGAAGATCCTCTTCGGTTTCCAGATCTTGCTACGGGTAATTCTTTTCTGCTGCGTCATCATTGTTGCCCTAGCGCGATTAAGGCACTTCTCGTTTCAAGCAGATGGCGGCTTTATATCCTGGCCAGCCATATGGGCGAGCCCCCTTGGGTTTTATGTCTGTCAGCAAGTGGACACATACAACCCGTGGGCTGTGGCAGCGGTAAGCACTTTAGTGGTCTATGGGGTTTTCAGGAGAGAATATACCGGTATGGCTTTCTCATTCACATGCCATTTTATGTACTCCCGCTGATCGTTGATGTAGAGGAATCGCTCCTGGTTATTCGGGGTTTCGGTATCCAAACTTCTACCTCATCTTCGACCTACCTGTCGTCAGCCGCTACAAGATTCATTCCCACAACACAAATTCAAGACATCGTCATCCACGAGGCCTTCAAGGGCTTCGAAGTCCGATTTTACCTGGTTGTGATTGTGGAGGGTGAGCAGGATGTCTTGGTGGTCTTTCCGGTAAATTATCTCCTTCCTGTCACCGTTATCACGCTAACTCTACCGATCGTTAGCATCTACTACCCAAAAGAGAGATCCTTGAAGAAGTCTGGAGAGGCTCTCGGCGTTGTCTCTATGATGCAAAATCTTGATTCACAGAAGCAGGGCAATCTATATAATTTAATGCTATGATCGATATGAGTATGTACTTCTTTCTCTCTCATGCTTCTTCTTTCTTTGTTTCAGCCTCTTCTTTGAGTGCCAGTTTCCGCTGCTTGGCTGCTAGCCACTTGGCATTTTGCACCTCGACAAGCTCTGTTCTTCCCTTCTGGAAAACTGGCAGGTACTTGCCTCCGATGCGATGGTCGTTGTCTCCAAGCCATATCTTCGCACCTCGGCTGCTTTTCTTGCCCGTTCCATTCTTGCCTTCCATGTCCTTGATAACAGTCAAGTCACCCTGGCTAACAGTCAAATCCAGCAGTGCTCCGGCCAAGATCTCATCAATCTTGCGCTGTCTCCAAACTGTCCACAGCCCATCAATCACACCCTTCATGCCAAACTTGTTATCACCTTTGGCACTTCGGCTCTTGTTAAGCCGTTCATCGCCAGCATAAACCCAGTTCAGAGAATCATCGCGACTTCCAGAGTTCAAGTCTGGGAAAATGCAATCCCACAGAACGAGGGGTGCATCAGAGGCCATCTCATATGTCGGTTTGCGTGGGTTCGACTTCACGTCTAGCAGCTGAGGGACAATGGACGGAGACTCGAGTCCTTGTCCGACTAGGAAGAGGATCGCCACCATGTGTCGAACCTGGTGCCACAAAAATGCAGATCCATGCAGAGTGAAGGTGTAGACCTGAGGCGTCGTCGGTGGTGGAATCTCTGAGGAAAGCATGTCCACGTCATGCAGAACGTTTTCTTGCTGTTGGAACCCAGACTGGCCAACATATCCAAGAGGGTTGGTCTTCGGGTTCACGAACTCAATATCGGCGTGATAAATCTTACGTTCAAAGTTCTCGATCTGCTTGCTGGTATCCAGTTTGCAGAAGTTCCGGAAATCATGGGTTCCTTCGAAGTATTTCGCAGCTTCACGCATAGCTTCGATATCCAGCCATCCTTCACGGTATTTGGCACGATCTCCCTTGCCTTCATTCACAAGTTTCTCGAACCCAAAAGGACCCGGGGTAGGTGAGAATGCAGGCTGAGTGAAGAAGTACCGGTAGCGGCGCTCACGGCAGGAGAAACGGGCATCGAAACCAGGAGGGGGGTTAGGGCACCAAGCCAGTACCCGAATATCCTCCGGCAGCACTCTGTTCAGAACCTGAATATAGTTGATCTCATCCGCAACATCATCCCATTCTTGATCAACGGCTTCCTCCTCGACCTGCATTGCATCACCCTCTCCTTGTAAACCATCTCCGTTCGTGGCGGTAGCCTTCGGCTTTGGTCGCGTGCTCCGAACCCGGATACCAATGACCTGGCCAAAGGCGCTGACTCCACGATCTGTTCTCCCCGCCTTCGAGTAGTCACATCCATCCCAGAAAATCGAGTAAGGCCGCACGACCCGCGGGCCACCACCACTCGGCTCCTCAGCAGGACAGCTAGTCTCAGGAAGGATTAACTTCGTCCGTCGCAAAGCCTTCCACAATATTTCCTCGATCGTAGGCAGCGGTGTGCAATTGCCATTGGTATGCTCAAGCCCATTGTACCGTTGACCCAAGTAAGCGAACTTCAGCGCAATAAAACGCGTAGTGTATTTCGAGGCGTCAAATTCCCGCTCCGCCTTCAAGGGACGGTGAGGACCAGGCTTGTGCGTGATATCGGTATCTGGGGAGTGCACACGCTTCTTCTTCGCGAGATGTTCTTCGGGACTAGGCTCTGGGACTGGAATCGCGGGCTCGTGGACGTCGCTGGAGATCTGCGTTCCAGTAGGCGCGGAGGTGGTCTCTGTCGGGGCGGATGGTGTCTCTGTCGGCGCTGAATACTGTTTCGTTTGAGAGTGGAGTTGGCGCTCAAGTTCACTGATGCGCTTAATAAGGCTGATGTTGCTCCAGGTTGTATAGTCGGGGGTGCGGCCCTTTTCGCTCTGGGCCTTTTCCGTCATTTTTTGCGACGGGGCTTCGTGGTACTCGCGGAGAAATCGCGCTTGGGTCTGAAGTGAAGATTTTTGGAACCAGCGTGGTGGTGAGAATCTGCTTGGTCGTCTCCACATGCCCTTGAGGCAATTGGAGGTCAGATTGGCTCACTTGGTGGTGGTGTGGTGGGGGTGGTCGCAACTTAGAAATTTGGGCTCGTGGAGTATTTAACATTTTTTTGTAACATTGTACGTAAGTTACTGTATTGCCACATGGAAATTTTCCTATTATCAACTATTTGCGGTTCTTTTGTGTATTGAATCTAAATTAGCACTCACTGAATATTCCGAGGTGCCTACTGACCACTTGAAATGGATAATAATATTATGGGGGTCTGACTTAATGGAAATTTGTGAAAGCCTAGGGGCAATACGGGGAAGATTTATATCTCGGTGTAGATCCAATTGCCAACTCCGCAGCCAACCTTATCTTCGTACAACACCATTGCCACATCTTCTGATATGCTGTCATTCGAATGAATGGGATAACTGGAAAGAGCAATAAATCGATATCATGACAGAAGAATCATATCCAGAAGCCGACTCAACAGTAACTTTGTTACTCCTGGGCGATGCGGGCTGTGGAAAGTCCGTATTCTTATCGTGAGTCCGAATCTTCTCTTGTCTCTAGTCAGCAATATATGCCCTCGAAACAGTAATAACTATGCAAGATTATTGACCATTACCCAGACGCTTGAAGAGTGGCAAGAAGCTAGAGCCCTCGCAACCAAGCACCACCGATAGTGCATCCGAGACCTTGCGGGATAGCGACCAGCCGTTCACTTATGATATTCGATTTTCCAAAAAAGCCTTTACATTGGAACTCTATGACACAGCATGTCCTAACCAGCATTGGTCGACCCTCAGGCCCGACGTCGTTATTATAGCCTTTGATATCTCAAACCGGGATACATTGACAGGCTTGAAAGAGGTATGTCCAATTTGATGGCATTTCTATGCTTCGCTGCCGAAAACTGACTTCCTACAAAGTGGCGCAATGATATAATAAGGTATTTCCAACATGGTCGTGGAGAGCGAATTCCCGTGATGATGCTCGGCTTGAAAAGAGACCTGAGGGAGGAGGGCGAGGGGATCATCTACCCGCAAGAGGTGTGTGATATACGTTATACCTAACTGGCATTCTGCACTTGGCTCACTGATATCCTAGGCCTACCGTATCGCCCAGGAACTGCGCTGTGATAGGTATGCGGAATGTTCGGCTGTGACGGGGGAGTTGCTGCCAGAGACATTTGAAGACCTGGCAAGACTTGCGGGCATGTCAACCACGGAAAAAGGTGGGCAAACCGACGGGGCGTGCAATATTTTATGAACATATGCATACAAATGTATGCCTTAAATAGCCACTAAGAATCATGTTGATGTGGACCATTCTGGAGAGGGTCCAGGTTGACAGCTCTCTGCATGACGATCGGGCCTTTGGCATCTAGTATATTATCCAGGGATGTTACAGTCTTCGGGCAACTTAGTGTATACAAAACCTACAAGTCTACGCAATCGAGATGGACAATACCGAGCACAATCCTCTTCCAATTACTAGCATACAAACAGGGAGAAACCAAGGTAACGATTAAGTCCACCTTGTAGATTGACAGCACAGGGCTTTCCCCCAGTTGTAGAACACAACTGGATATCTTTCCCTCATAAGCGCCAGGTCAATGATTGACGTCGCTATTCCTCCCCGATGCAAAAACAAGATAATAAAAAAGAGTGCTGGTAAAATGAGACCACTGATGCAAAAAGGACTGGAGGGTTCCCTGTGAAAAGCTCTTTTTCTTCTGCTGTTTTTCAGTTTCTTTTTGGTTTGTTTTTTGAGACACTGATCAGAAACTAGGATAGACATGTCAAGGGATTTTGCGGGAGATGGTGTATTTTTCCATTATGTCAATGGATTTCGTAGGGAAAAGAACAAACAAGAGACCTGTGCCTCAATGGACACGGGAACCATCCCAATCATCCCGGATCACCATGGCTTTTTGAGTTTTGAGATCATACTTCCCCCCTTTCAACGGCTATCCTTGTCACTGCGGAGTGAATCTACCACTTGGCCTCAGTGGCGGGGGCGGCGGCGGCGGGCGCAGCGGGCTCAGCGGCCCACTCAGTGGTCTGCTGGGTGGAGCTGGCAGCCCAGTCGGCACCGTCAGCCTCCCAGGAGGTAGCACCGACAGCGGCGCTAGCGGCAGCGAAGGCAGTGCCGGGGGCACCAGCACCGGGAGCGTTCACATCCCAGTTGTCACCAGCGAAACCGGACTCAACGGCACCAGCACCGATCTCATCAGCACCGGGGGCCTTGGCCTCCTCGGCGACCTCCTTGTTCTCCTCGGCCTCGGGGTCGCGGTAGAAGTACAGGTCAACAACGGAGTCCCACTCGGTCTCGCGGGTAGCGAGGGTACCGCGGAGACGGAGGACCTCACGGGCGAGCATCCACCAGACAAGACCGATGGAGTGACGACCCTTGTTGTTGGTGGGGATGGCGACATCAACGAAGTCGGTGGGGGAGTCAGTGTCGCAGAGGGCAATGACGGGGATGTTGACGTAGCTGGCCTCCTTGATAGCCTGGGCGTCGGTGCGGGGGTCGGTGACGATGATGAGGCGGGGCTCCTTGAAAGAACGGGTGATGTAGTTGGTGAAGTTACCGGGGGTGAAACGACCGGCAATGGGGGTGGCACCGGTGTGGGCGGCGAACTTCAGGACAGCACGCTGGCCGTAGGGACGAGCGGAGATGACACAGACATCGGCGGGGTTGTCGATGGCGGCGATAATACGGGCAGCCAGGACGATCTTCTCCCTGTTCATTGCGCGCAAAAATTAGACATGCCATTCTCTCTTTCCTTTCCGTCTTCCACAATATATTCTGAATTCGGTTGTGCATACCAGGTCTTGCCAATGTTGATGACATTGACACCGTCGGGACGGGTCTTCCACAGGTAGGGCTCCATGTGCACCTGCAAGTTCTTGGAACCCAGGTGGGCCTGAGCAGCCAGGAGCATCTCAATGTCCTGGGGGGTAGGGTTGAAAACCGGGGGGAGCTGAGAGGGGGCCATGGTGGGCGATTGATGTATTGACGGATTGGAGGGATCAATCGTCTGGCTCTTGTCGTGGTGATGGAGGGAAAGAATCGAAGCCAAACCGCGAAAAGCACGCCTCACTCTCGGGAGAATTTCGCTTGCCGGTTGTGAGTTAGGGCTAGGGCTACACATGATTAAATAATCACAACTATACTTACATAATGCTCATGCCTGAGGCTTCAAGACCCAATACCAAAGTAGTTTAGCGTATCCAGACCGGGCCGCGTGATTTTCCTGACCAGAAGATCGATGCGAAGAACTTCGCAAGGTTGCCGACGGGGGTAATTGATAAGTATTAGTCCACCACCATGCCGCCGCGATTCTCAGCTCAGCCTTCCTGGAAGGCATTGGCCGGTATGTCACTTCTTCCAATCCTTCTTCCTGCTTTCAATCCTGAAGTTCTCAATTGCTTTGTTTCAATGCTAACACGCTTTTCTGAGCAGGTACGCTCTCCGGACAGAGCCCGGCCGCCGCATCGTTCAATGCGTCCCACGTCACTATCAGGGCAGCGTCTACCAAAGCCCCAACACAGAAGAGAAACGACTATTTCCGGGCTGCACAGGCTCGTCAGCGCAAGGCTGCCAATCTCTCCCGACAAAAAGTTCTCCAGGCTGAGCGGGACGCTTCGCTCGGTGACCCGGTGGAAAGCCAGGCCACACCTTTTATCCAAGAGATCCAAGCCATTTCAACTGGCTCTCAATCTTCGGCATCTAGTACCGGTATCAACTACTACTTGAAAGTGGACGATCTCAAAAGCGCGTTGGAGTTCTCTAAGGACCTGACCGAGCCCCTTCGGAATCCGGATCGTGACACAGCAGACCCCCATGCCGAAAAGGAAGCATCGGAAAAGCATGATGAAGCGCACCGCAATGCAGAAGAGGCTATGCAGCGCATTGTCGACCTCAACAATGGAAACACCAAGGACCGCATGCGATTGAACATACAGAAGTGCATCGAGGAGTTTGGACGACACAGCACCGATACCGTACTACCACCCAAGCCCGCTAGCGTGCCACACCAATCGGCCACAACCCACGCCGAGAAGGCTCCTCGTGTTGGTGTTGATACAGGCTCCCCCGAAGTTCAGGCCGCTATCTTGACAGTCAAGATCATGAACCTTTCTCGGCACCTGGAGACTGCCAACAAGGATAAGCACAACAAGCGCAACTTGCAGTTGTTGGTTCACAAGCGGCAAAAGCTGCTCCGTTATGTCCGGCAGAAGGAGCGTGGCGGTCCCAGATGGCAGAACTTGATGGAGAAACTGGGTCTATCAGAGGCTGCATGGAAAGGGGAGATTGCTTTGTAGGGGAACTCTGATGGCACAATGGGAATGTATTATTTTAAAAAACTTGGCCCACCTTGAGTGTTGGATTGAGCATCAGCGTGTTTCTTTAGATCGACTGGATCTATGGGATTTAGTGGGTCTACTGTCTGGACCTGGATTTCCAGAACTCCTGTGTTTGAGAGTGACTGGTATCAACTGTACAAATAGCATTGTTTCTTTTATTTGTTTGATTCATAGATCATAAATGTATCCCCTAAAAAGGAAATCACTTGTATCCCATACCTTGACAAATCTATTATTTTCAACACCCTTACATTATCATTTCCATAGTTGTAGCTCTGTGGAGCTTGGTGCCTGAGGTGTGAATACTTTTGACCGCCTCGGATCCTGTTCTGCCACGAACAATAATTTTTAGACGTCAAGTTGCACTTCCCGAAGATCAGTTAAAAAGCGAAGATATTAGCTCCTTAACTATCAGAAGTGAGAGTGTTCTCAACTGGCACTGGGCTGGGTCGCACGGGCAACTGGACCGTCAAACGCCCTCACAACAACGCCATATTTATCTTTTTACTTTTCTCCTTCTCTCCTCTCCTTCCTTTCCCCACACTCCCAACCACCTCCACCAGAACGCTTACCAGCATTCTTTGTTGTTCGGACTGTAACTTTCTTAATCAAAACCCCTTAACGTGCACGCGCCACAATGGCACGTACCCGTTCCCAGCCTCTTTCCCCCGGGGGATACCAATCCCTCGATGACCTGCCTCCCCGTCGCCGCGCGACGCGAAGTGCCTCATCGGCCGAGCCAACCACCGAGTCGCAGCCTGAAGCTGCCAAGACTCGCAAGCCTCGTGCCAAAAAGAGCACTACCACCAAGAAGGTAAACAACCTCTCCCTTACAAGTAAACAAAGGAACTGGAACACGAAGCTGACTCTACATCAACAGACCACCCGTCGACCTCGTTCGAAGGCGGCCAAGTCCACAGTCTCTGATCACAAGCAGACATCACCAGCCATTACTGAGCAGTCCGAGGCGCTCATGGCTTCTGTTGATCAGCAGGACATGTGTTCCGATGCCCACATGGCCCAGAGTGCCACTGACACACCCTCCCGACCACCCCTCTCTAGCATCGTCAACAGCCGGGCCCTGGGCCCCCAGCATGCGACCCCCATTATGCGTCGCCGCCCCCGAGTCCCCTACGCCAGCATCACGGCTCGCCGCCGAAGTAATGCTGGTGGTCGCGTAGTCCACACCCTTTTTCAGCTCGAGAACCTTGTGAACCAGTCTACCATCACTGAGTCTGCTGCGACAGACAACAAGGAAGAGATCGTGCCGATTGCTCGTGACCCTGTTACCCCAGAACCGACTATTCCCACCACTCCAAAGACTGCCCCTGCCGCAAGTACCGGCATCTCTCCCAGCTGGTCCCGACGTATTATCAACAATGTCTCCTCGCGATGGTCGAGTTTCCGTGGACGAATCAGTCCCCAAAAGCCTGGGGGCTCTCAGGATTCGGTTGCCAACACTACTGCGCCAAGCAACAGCAATACCGACCTCATTGCCCCCCAGGCAGAGGAGATGGGCGTGAGCAAAGATATGCAGATGGCGGTTGTGAGCTCGACGCCTCTGATCGCAGCCAGCACACCCCGGCGTTCCTCGCTCTCACGCGCCCGACCCCCCCGCGAGCGAGCTACATCATTCAATTACGCTTCGCGCCAAGGCGGCGGATTCAGCAAGGAGACCCTTGCTAAGTGCTACGAGCGAAGCCGGACTCTCCCAGCGTCTGGACTCAGCAACGAAGCCTTGGAGGTGCTAGCCTCAGAGACGGGAAGTAAGCGCAAGCGCACGTCTCCTGAATCCATCCCAAACCCGCCTGGATGTAGCTACGGAATGTACGACGAATACTTCGTGTTTGATGATGACGATGAGGTATGGGCGGAACAAGAGAAGGCTGAACGAGCCGCAGAGGCTGCCAAGGCCGCCGAAGCAGATAACGAAGGAACTGTACAACCACCTTTGAAGAAACAACGCGTGGCTGATGAGCCAGATCAGCCGCGTAGCCGACATGTTCTTCACAGTCAAACGCCTCGAAAGGCCGAAAGCCGTCCTGGATACCGCCCCAACCGCAAGCGATTGTACAAAGCTACCCAATTGTCACCTATTGAATCAAGTGATTTCCTTTCCGAAGGCTCCCACGGACCCGATGTCACTCAAACTCGCCCCAACATTAATACTGCTCCCTTCACCGCAAACACACAAGGTACTTTCCAAACTCCCGGATGGGATTCCCCGGATTCCCCTTCATCTTCCGACTCTGAGGATTACCCTTCCTCTGGCCCTCAACTTGAGTCTACCCCGACTGGTATGTATCAGGCTATGCCTTTATCCCCAGCCGACATTTTTCCTCCTTCGTCGCCGGCCCCAAGGATTTTTACAAACCCGAACCCCCATGGAACGTTTCGTACGCCATATTCTTCCGATGATGAAGACGAAGACGTGGACATGGACGTGGACATGGACTCACCACCAAATTCAATTATCGCAGGAGCTGACCCAATGGATGAAGATACCTCAGAACCCTCAACTCCGGCCCGAATTAACGATACGACTGCCGAAATTCCTACTCAGGATAATGAACCCTCCTTGCCTACCACTGACCCCTCTCCTCTCACCCGAGTTCGCAACAAGGCCCAGCAATTCAAACCCAAGACGCCCAGCCGCCTTCGCGAAGCTTCCCGTTTCTCGACCGGCAGCACAAACTCCTCCCCTCTTACCAATGAGACGACTATCCCCGCTGCTACCCCCGTCACCGCCAGCGACTCAATGTCGCTCGATGGCTCATCTTATTTGCAACAGGCCAAGACTGGGGGCAATCAATTGCTAGATTCCGGAAAGTCAGATTTGGAGGATAAAGACCCCGAAGATCTTGAAGAGATCGACTATAAGTGGCTTGATAAAATTTGTCCTAGCGGGGACTTTAATAAGCTTACCTGGCCCCCTCTTACTGTCAACGAGATCGGCCTTACCCCCAAGTCCATTCTAATGGACGATGCCAAGACTAAAGAAGCGGTCGATTACTGGCAACGGTTGTTTGAATCCGGGGACTGGTGAAAATGTTTCATTTATGTCGGGCTGCACTGACCAGTGATTGCATTATCTACCATATGTCACATACCACATACTTAAACTACATTTATTAACCATACTGAACCGCATCAGATCCAACATGCTGTAAACCATTATCGCTCGCTTGGTCAGCCTGTACCCTTACACTCCGTATGCCCTGCGGGTTGTTTTCGGCTCAGATGCTAGCCTTCTGCAATCAGCTGGTGGAGCTTTCATGTACGTGCAGTGACATAATTGTAGTCTTATAAGTTATGTAAAGACAACCACTTGAATATACTTCACTCGTGCCCGACAGCAGCAGAGTCCTCGATATCGATTTGTCCATCACTTTGCGGATTAGTAAAAGGAAATAAAAAATAACCATTGCAATGACCTACTTATATTGCTTGCGTTTCCACAGCACTGTTAGGTCTCCAACTGGCAGATGAAACGGAAACTCCATAGACTCAAAGAGTTGAGCAACGAGTAGATAGAAACCTAGCAAACTAGCCACGAAAAGTGCAGCTCCGGCTCCCTAAGAACGAACAATCAGCCATTGATTTTCTGAATGGGTGTAGGGTTGTATGAGGTGGAGTCATACCTTTACACATCGTTCTCCGACGACGGCGTTTCCTTCACCTAGGTCCCAGTAGGCCCCCGACAGAAGAAGGAAAACTAACAGGAGCGAAAGGAAGATAAGAGTATAGACGACATTCGTGCGAGTTGCGCATATCAAGAAAATCAACATCAAAACAGCCATTGTTATGAATAGAAATGCTGGAATTGCGGGTCAATGACCACATCCGAGAAGCGAAGGGAATTGGGACGTACCATAGGTGTTCATGAATCCAGCACTAGCAAGACCGGCAGCTGTATCAGTAGTAGACGCGGAGTAAGGCGCTATCAATCAGTGAGGAAGGAGCTGTATATAGAGGGATAAGGACTAGAACAAACCAGCAGCATTGAAAGATGGAATCATTGTGGCAGCAAAGGCGAACCAGAAACCCCCTGGCATGGCAAGTCAGTCAGTTGGTCATCAGATGCGCTCATCGAGTGTTTTTTTTTCCCGTGAAGCCAGCTTACCAATTGTACCAAAGACGACACAAGGGAATGTATTTCCCAGGATAAACTCCAGAATACTGCCGATGAGCAATAACAGGCCACCAAGGAAAACGATCGGACCACTGTTTGTCTTGGGTCAGAGCAAAAGCATGTCTCTAGAAGAGTCAGAACATACATGAAAGCGACTCCATTTCCGCTTGCTCCTCTCCAGGCCATCAAGCAGCATGAAAGAGGCGTAGTAGTGATGACGAAACCGCCGAGGGCTCTTAGTTTCAGCCAATTCCATTAGTCATTTGCGGCTGTGGATGGAATATAGGGAACAATATGTAGACTCACAAAGGTGTCGGGTTGCCGACTTGCTTGGCTAGTGCTGATTGACGACGCGTCATAGGAGTCAGATACAGTCTCTCAAACTGCTCCGCGGACAGAGTCACCGATGTAGGGACCGTAGAGAGTGGTTGCATAGCGTTCTCCTTTTGGAAATAATTATTTATCTCTCCGTTCTGGGATTTATCGCTAGTCATTTTGTTGGAGTTGAAAATTTGCTTCGAAAAGTCCAAAGGAGGAGATACGAAACTCAGTACTTTCCAGGATTCTTTGGGTCGGTATGTTAAGAGATAGAGGTATCAAGCTTGAAGAAGGAAAAAAATCCAAATGAGTCGGGCTTGGGAAGTAGCAATACTCTTAAGGACGATCTCGATAAAGACCTTGTAGCCCGTTAATTGGACGCGGCATAAAGGAAGGGAACAACTCATCTTCATGCAAGCTATCAAACCCCTGAACGCGGTGAAATGGAATCTAGAATTGGGTGGGGTATGGGGAATCAGAAGAAAATAATGTGGGGTCAAGGCCATGAAAGACTGGGGTAACTCTAAACATGTGCGTGAATCAGGGAGTTGAGTCTCAGTTCTGATCTGACCAGTTGAGTGCGATCGACACGACCCATGCTGGACTAGTCTTTTCAGTAATTTGAGGCCACGGAGTTCGGACCATGCGGATCCGATGCTCATGCGGAACCGCACGTCTTAAATGGAAGCCTGTCAGATAGTTCCCTTCCCCGCAAATATTGTAGAGGAATCTGTAGTCCGGGGTATGGACTGGGCTAGAACCAACTACGTAGAAGCTTTTGAAGCTTTTGAGGAATCTAATATTGTCGAGCTTTGCGGAGGCGTTCTCAAGGACCAAACCAGGATTTTAGTTCCCATTGGTGATGTCGATCTGCTGCCTTTTGAAATCTGGAGCATATGCACATCCAGCCTTTTGTAGAAAACTACCTCATATTCTCATCACAAACACAGTTTTCAAGCAGTTCCACACCACTATCCACCAAAGCAACCAATGATGAAATAACACATCGCCGCAAACTACATTCGTTGATGAAGGGATCACTCCTTCCTGTGATTATTCGAGATGCCATTTTTCTGTCCCCAATAGCTAGCCTCTGACCAAGCTTTATAGACCATCTATCGATGTAAACCCATAGCTACGACCAGCTGTTTCTCATGAAACTGCCAGTTCTGAAAAAAGAGAGTTTGTAATTTGCGGCGAAGAAACACTGCAAGACCCACTGACTGCACTTGTACTCAAGATGACTATAGAATCTAGATTCAACATTACCCGACGGCGACACTTGAAGCCATGTTGCGAGGTTCAGAACAAAGCTACTAGAGTAAAAGGATGATCCTCATTCCAGTCAAGTAGCGTCAGTGACCTACACCTTCATTGGATGATAGAAATCATATGAATTTGCGACGCGAATCTCGGGATTTGCCACTTTACGATCGACATCCGCGGGTCATTCATGCGGAGCCGCACGGGAGGGTCCGTGCATCAGCGGGAGGACCCCACTCGGCTTCCTCACTGGCAAATGGTAGCTCTCCCTGTATCATGTATTGAGCTAGATCGTGCCTCATGGTCTCGGACAAACTCCGGTCGACCGATTGAGTTGTCGACTCAGCAAAATAATCATGGGCAGAGAATGCTGGAATTTGCGGGGAAGATGGGTCCAGCTTACCCCAGATATGCCTTCTTGCGAAGAGATATAAAGAAGGCATCTAACCAGCTTCAAGTGTAATCTTTCATCAATCAACCAAATATTCTGCTGCAAGTTATTCTCTCACCTCCAAATTATAACTCATTATGTCGATTCCTGAGTTGCAATGGGCCCAAGTGGCTGAGCAAGTTGGCGGCCCGCTTGTCTATAAGCAAATTCCAGTTCCAAAGCCCGGTCCCGATCAGATTCTCGTGAAGATCCGCTATACTGGTGTCTGCCACACCGATCTTCATGCGATGATGGGCCACTGGCCCCTTCCAGTCAAGATGCCCCTGGTGGGCGGACACGAAGGTGCTGGCGTGGTCGTTGCCAAGGGTGAATTGGTTCAAGATTTTGAGATTGGTGACCATGCTGGTCTGAAGTGGCTCAATGGATCTTGTGGAGAGTGTGAATTCTGCAGACAATCCGATGATCCTCTGTGTGCCAATGCCGCACTTTCAGGATACACTGTGGATGGCACATTCCAGCAATATGCCGTTGGCAAAGCCACTCACGCTTCCAAGATCCCCAAGAATGTCCCTCTTGATGCAGTCGCTCCAGTGCTGTGCGCGGGTATTACTGTATACAAGGGGCTGAAGGAATCCGGTATTCGCCCTGGCCAGACTGTAGCTATTGTTGGAGCTGGCGGTGGTCTTGGATCCCTCGCTCAGCAGTACGCTAAAGCTATGGGGCTCCGAGTGGTCTGTATTGATGGAGGTGATGAGAAGAGAGTGATGTGTGAGCAGCTTGGCTCTGAGGTATGTCAGATATCAACATACTCTACGGACAATGACAATACTAACAACTGCTCGGAACCAGGCTTACGTTGACTTCACCAAGTCAAAGGATCTGGTCGCTGATGTGAAGGCTGCTACTCCTGAAGGTCTTGGAGCACACGCTGTCATTCTATTGGCAGTTTCTGAGAAGCCATTCCAGCAAGCTACTGAATATGTTCGATCTCGCGGAACCATCATTGCTATTGGATTGCCACCCGATGCGTCATTGAAGGCTCCAGTCTTCCAGACTGTAGTCCGCATGATTAGCATCAAGGGAAGCTATGTTGGGAACCGCCAAGATGGTGTAGAGGCCCTTGACTTCTTTGCCCGAGGCTTAATCAAGGCCCCATTCAAGGTCGCTCCTTTGAAAGATCTTCCAAAGATCTTCGAGCTTATGGGTTCGTGGCCGCCTCTCCTAATTTCTTTATTGACTCTTTTGCTAACTCATAACAGAGAAAGGCCAGATCACCGGCCGCTACGTACTCGAAATGCCGGAATAATTACGTGACTGATTTCTTTGCTGAGACATTTGTGTGGATTTCTGATTTGTTTGAGCCCGGGGTGAGCGAGGTGACGAGGTTACGTGTATGGTAATTTGTTTAGTGAAATCGAATTGCCATTCAAAGACATCACAAAAGAAGTGTGTAACTTGATTTTCCCAACGCTATGATATCTTCCGCCCACTGCCTGTCGTTCAAATAAGGTTCTTTTAGGTTCAGTTCCCCCACACTCCCTAACTTTCCCTGCATTTTCGAGATGAGTACCTTGTGGAATCAAAGCTAGAAGCCGACCTCCCTGGTGGACTTAGCTACTCAAGTCACCCTATATCTTTTTTGGTGTTAAGATTGTAGTTCTCTCCAAACAGGGGCGAGATTACATTTAAGAGTTTTAACACCAGCGCCGATTTGAAGACTGCGTTACTAAAGAGAAATATCCAGCCTCATTTGCATCTTTCAAAGCTCTTTAGATTTCTACATTACATGGTCATACTGTGATGAATTTCTTGAAATGAAAAAAAGCTTCAGGCGTGGAGAAAATGGAAGCTGAATAAAATTGGAGCACTCGTAGTATGCAAGGGATAGATTGCGATCCTCATGACACCAAAATGCACATGGTCAAGACATTTGATAGTTAAAAGCACAAGCCTTCTATTCTTTTGGGACTCGGACGAACGGAGCTGTTCGGTACAAGGGAAAGGTAATCCGCATGGACAGAGCTTCCGCACAGCACCTTGAGACAGCACCCGCATCCGCATGGTGGACCTCCACATCGGGACACAAGCAGCGGAAACCTTCAGTGTAGCTTTCTTCGAGAATGTCCGCATCTGTTCCCCAAACTTCCCCAGGGTCCCCCGCAATATCGTCATTGGGGTTCCACCCCGGAAGCCAGCAGCTCTATAAATCGCGCCTCCATTCCGATCTCAATGTGAGCAAATAGCAAAGCATACTTTCCACCTTATACCTCATAACAAACTCGACGGATACCATTGACAACATAGAGATATCTCCTTCTTTACAATGTCTCTTTTCCAAACCATCAAGACCCCGGTGGTCACATACGAACAACCTCTCGGACTGTACGTTGCTATTCCACTCACTCCCTAGTGTTATGACGTCTAACTTGAGAAAATTAGCTTTATCAACGGCGAATTTGTCAAAGGAGTTGACGGCAAAACATTTGAAACAATCAACCCTCATGATGAGAAGCCTATTGTTGCCGTCCACGAAGCCACAGAGAAAGATGTTGATATTGCCGTACAAGCCGCCCGCAAGGCACTTGACGGTGATTGGAAGCAGATAACTCCATCTGAGCGGGGTCGTCTTCTTACTCGCCTTGCTGACCTGCTAGAGCGTGACATTGAGACGGTCGCAGCTATTGAAGCCCTTGACAATGGAAAGGGTGTGACTTTGGCCAAGGGCGATGTCACTGCTTCTGCAGGATGTATCCGGTACTATGGAGGCTGGGCTGACAAGATTTATGGACAAACAATCGACACCGACCCGAACAGTCTCACCTATACTCGACATGAGCCTATTGGTGTCTGTGGGCAGATCATTCCATGGAACTTCCCTCTGCTGATGTTCGCGTGGAAGATTGGCCCTGCGCTTGCCACTGGAAACACCATTGTCCTGAAAACAGCTGAGCAGACACCCCTTTCTGCTCTCTATGTCGCTGGCCTTATCAAGGAAGCTGGCTTCCCCGCGGGTGTAGTCAATGTTATTTCAGGCTATGGTAGGACTGCGGGCGCAGCAATCGCTGCTCATATGGATATTGACAAAGTTGCGTTTACTGGCTCGACCTTGGTAGGTCGACAGATTATGCAAACAGCTGCTAAGAGTAACCTGAAGAAGGTGACTCTAGAGCTTGGTGGAAAATCGCCAAATATTATTCTTCCAGACGCAAACCTCGAGGAGGCGGTAGGATGGGTGAACTTGGGCATTTTCTTCAACCATGGACAGTGCTGCTGCGCCGGCTCTCGCATTCTTGTGCACGAGGCCATTTACGATAAATTTATCGAGCTTTTCAAGCAGCGCGCGGAGCAAAACAAGGTTGGAGATCCGTTTAAGGCCGACACTTTCCAAGGACCCCAGGTGTCTCAACTGCAATATGACAGAATCATGGGATACATTAAGGATGGAAAGAGTGCAGGAGCCAAGGTTGTCACTGGTGGTGATCGCCATGGAAGCGAAGGGTACTACATTCAGCCCACGATCTTTACCGATGTCCATGAGGACATGACCATTGTCAAGGAAGAGATATTTGGACCCGTATGTACGGTGCAGAAGGTTCGTGATGAAGAAGAAGCCATTCGTGTGGCAAACAAAACCAATTACGGTACGTTCATAGCTATCTGGCCCTATTATTCGGTTCGCCTTGCTAATCTATTGCTATACAGGCCTGGCTGCAGCTGTTCATACCACAAATGTCAATACGGCCATCCGGGTGTCGAACGCTATCAAGGCAGGGTAAGCATCCCTGATCCAGTGCCAACTCCTTCTGCCTTTACTGACCATCCACTAGAACTGTCTGGGTCAACAACTACAACACCCTTCATTACCAGATGCCATTTGGAGGCTTCAAGGAATCAGGAGTTGGTCGAGAGCTGGGCTCATATGCCCTCGAGAACTACACAGAGGTCAAGACAGTTCGCATTCATATTTCCAAGTCCTAGACTCCTTGTCATCTGCTTTAGTTTGATCTTTTGCCTTTTCTTGCTCTTTAATTCCTTTATTACATTCCATAGTCCACATGAAGTATCAATATCTGGTTCCAATCCATATCATGAGATCAATCCTAAGCCTTCGGTTTTCATTGGTCCTGAGTAGCTTTGGGATACCAATGTAAATTATTTTGAAATACGCCTGAAGCGTTTTCTTATCATAAAATGGTTCATGCATTGATTGAATCACCACCGCATTGGCATGAGATCGGCAAAGTCCGATCCAGTAGGAGTTGACGTTTTGGCCCCCATCTCAGAAATGAGAAAGTGGAGGTGGCGCTTGGCCAGCTTACTATCCCGATCCTTCGGTCTTTCTTTCCACAAGATTGGGAGTTATGGGAGTTGGGTGGAGACCCATCGGGGTTTGCTTGCACAGCCCAATCTGACCCCCTCCATCAATCCCCCAGATTTCGACATTCAAGACATTCACGACTGACAGCTGCATTGACAAGATACCAACATGCTGAACCGCATCATACACGTCTCAATTAGGTTTGCTCTTTTTCTCATTTTTTTTCGATTGGCCTAGTCCCAAGGATATCGGGGTGATCGACGCCTCAAATCCCTAGTGCGATTCCGTTGGCCCGAAAGCCTATACATCATGTGCATCAGGAGCGAAAGCTTCCCCCACTCTAACCCCGCAAACTCTGAACCCCGTAACGAGATACCCCGGAAATAAGATGTCATGTCCGGTCCCTTATACTGGGGTCGACGATAATGCCCAAGCTAACCTCTCCGTGCACCCTCCACACCCCTTCTTCATCGTAGAGTAAGACCGGTCGCACTGCTTTATATAATCTGTTCGACATGGAACCTACTCAGCGGCGTCAGCTCCACAGCTGTGACCCTTGTCGTAAAGGCAAACGAGGCTGCGATGCACCGGTTTGGGATCCTCCCACCATTCAAGGTCTTCCTGATGCTAATTTCGTTCTGTTTCACAGAAAACTCGTAAAGACGGCGGAGTTAACTCTTGTTCCAATTGTAAACGCTGGAACAAGGATTGCACGTTCAACTGGGTTGCCTCAAAACGTGCCAATGTCAAAGAGAGCCGAAAGGAGGTTCGAAGAAAGACACGCCCACCCGCTGCAACTCCGTCGCATGATTCCGATATTCAGTCTCTTACCCAGTCGTATGGTGCAGAGTTGGACGAGATTTTGCGTTCTGTTAACTCTTACCCTGCCAACTTGAGAGATGTATTCACGTTCACGAATACTCCGCCGAACCTTGTTCCTACTGCTTATAATCCAGAGGATATATTTTTCGAAGGGAGTTCGAGGAGTGGACCACGGAGTGATCATCAATCCACCTTTTCTAGCTGGACGTCCAATATTCCAGTCCATGAACAAATAACCACCGTGACTCCAAGCTCCAACAGTAGCCTGGATACCGTGGAGCCGGACTCTGCCTTTGGTGCGCCTCTTCCATCTACGCTCGAAAATGAGGTCAATGCAACGGAGGACGCCTACGAGGAAGTGCTTTTACCTACCGAGTGCGAGGAGACCAACAACACAAATTCATCAATGCAGCAATATAGCTCAATAGCGAGACAAGAGCCTCAATGGAGTTTTTGCATGGCCTCCGACAAAACAGCGAAAGAATATGCACGGTCTACAATGACACGAAACTTGGTACGAATATATCACGATAGTATGGAGAACGCGCTCTCGTGCTGGCTAACAGAGCACAACTGTCCTTACGGGGACTCAATGGGAGATATTATCCCGTGCAGGGAGAAAGAGGCCTGGGCGCCGAACTGGCCGAACAGAATGTGCATTCGGGTCTGTCGGTTAGATCGTGTATCTTCAACTATCCGCGGTCGCGCTCTGAGTGCAGAAGAGGATAGAACTGCGGCTCGAGCTCTTCATCTGGCAATTATGGCATTTGCCTCTCAATGGACTCAGCACGCTCAGAAAGGGATTGGATCGTCGATTCCGGCGGCGATAGATAAAGAAGAAAGATCCATCCGTGAGCATGTTTGGAACAAAGCACGACATGCTTTAGAACACACAACCGGCATTCCTTCTTTCCGTATCACTTTTGCAAACATCATTTTTTCTCTCACCCAATGCCCCCTGAAGAATCGACAAGATCAATCCTTAAGTCAGCTTTTGGAGGCAGACCGCGCGCCTCTTTTCCTTGAAAACGCAAATCGCCAATTATATAAGTTTCGACATAAGCTTACGCGGCTCCAACGGGAGGCATCCCCATTAATGCGAGGACAACGAAGGGAATCAGTGGCATCTACAATGACTGATGCGTCGGGGATATCGCAGTCGTCGGATGCTCTAGGGGTGGACCCAATTCTCTCAAATCAGGAATATCGCACCACACTCGGTCTAATGTTCTGGTTAGGTATCATGTTTGATACCCTTAGCGCTGCAATGTATCAGCGCCCACTCGTGGTTTCAGATGAAGATAGCCAGATATCATCGGCCTTGCCTACAATATTCGGTCCCGGGAATCCCGAGTATCAGCTTGAGTCCGGTGGTTGGAACATTCCTCAGAAGAGGATACCTGAGAAAAAGGACGTATGGGGCGATCTATTCCTACGCCATCCAGTTGACTCGGGGCAATCAAACCAGACTCAGCCCAGATGGCCATGCTCCTATGACGAGGCCGCTTCAGTGCTTTCAGAGGCCACTCCTGTCAAAGTCCTGCTATACCGACGCATCACACAGCTCCAAACTCTTGTCTATCGAGGTGCTCCCTTTGACCGCATAGAAGAAGTTATTCAGAAGACTATTTTGGTTTACCACCATTGGAAATCCAAGTATGAGGGCTTCATGCTGGACTGTGTTGCAAACCATGAGCTACTTCCTCCGCGAATCCAGTCGTGGTACGTTATTCTTGATGGCCATTGGCATCTCTCAACGATGCTGCTGGCGGATGTGATTGAAGGTATTGATCGTGGGAGGCTGGGCTCCGAATTTGGACGGGAGACTAGGGAAGCTACAAATTTTGTGTCAACACTGAGAATGGATAATGCTTTTGCTGTTGGTGGCCTTGCTCAAGCCTCGCTACATGGTCGAGAGCCGACGATGCACCGACAGTTCCATGACTCCCTCAATGAAGTTGCATTCTTAGTTGAGCCATGGACTGTTGTTCTCATTCATTGCTTTGCAAAAGCCGGATACATTTCACTTGAAGGTCTTGATATGTCTGGAAAATATGGTTCGTTGACGGAGAGCTTGCGTGCAAATTGTGGTTTCTGTATTCGTGCACTTGAATACCTTGGGAGAAAGTCTGACATGGCTACTGTCGTCGCTCGAACTCTCTCGAAGTCCTTGGAGGCCAAACAAAGCCTGGGGAACGAAAATTATGAGGCTGAAAATTTGACACCAGTCAGTCTATCTCTAGACATGGCTGTTTTCAATGAGCAGCTTACTGGTAACATTGATCTATTGGTGTCTCAGTGATGGAGGATTATAATCATATGAAACGCGTTTGTACTTTGGGGAAGTGTATATTAATTAGCGCGTTTATAGTATGTACTGAATTTTATATCCATCAGTATAGCCTAGCCATCTCGGGCAAAACAATCAAGTCTCAGAAAGCGGAGCCATTCCACCTGTTGAGCATATGAGGAATGATACTGACTAGGAATTCTTGGTTAGATTAAATGTGGGAGGTACTCAGGGACCTCGGAGCGCTCAGGGCGGCACCTTGACTAACTCATGCTCCGGGAGCCGATCTCTATCCGAACCGGAAGCCCGTTGACAATATCGCATCTAGAATGCGAGGACCTGTGGAATCAACGCCGACGCCGACGGCTTTTGACGCCAGAACCGGCCAGCTTTCCACCCGCATCTTTGGAGGCTGCGCGTGGTTCAGGCATGCTGGGTAAAATTAATCTATTTTTGGCACAAGTGATCTGCAGCTGTTTCAAATATTGACTCGTATTCCTCAGGTTGAGTTCCGGAAATAATGATATTAGCACTGCTCAAATCTGTCTTGAACTGATCGCTCAAAAAAGACTAAATTAGGCAAATAATTTGACCAGCGAATACGAGTGATGCGAGTTCCCTAATTCAGAAGACTATATAGGATAGGTATTGGTCCCGTGAAAGAGTAAACACAAGATTACATATATATAAAAAAGAACAAAAAAGAGTGGGAGATTTCTAGCGTTTACCTGGATTCCGCTATTCTTGAAAGTGGGCACAACATGCTGATCATCAAACTATCGATCATGTATTACTTTTTTTGTCATCATATTGGTCAATAGATGTCAGCCTTGGGGGCTAGATCTTATAGGAAATAAGGGTCCAGGTGGGGGCTACTTATGGAGTCTTGCAGATCGTTGGCAAGGTTTACATCATAAGCCACTAAGCAACACTTCAAGGTCACTTGAGACCGAATCCGTTCGGACCCTGCGTATATCCTGCGGTAGAGTTGAAATCCGCATTCCGACGAGTTGGGGTCCTGAATATGCCAGAGTTGTTTTTGGGTGCAGGTAAGCTCAGGCTGATTCCTACGCAAATGGATACCTAGATGTTCATGAAATAAAATATGTGATCTTGTGAGGGTATTTCAATAATGACATATGTATTCATAATAGGTGTTCGTCGTGGATTGCATCCCAAGTCTTCAGCAAGCAGCAAGATCACACTACACGCGAGGAAGTAAATTCCCAACTCAATTGTTGCCCGCTCTTAGACTAACCGATATGACCAATGGAAAAATAGCAATAAATAAGCCGCTTTGAATATGTGGCAATTACTAATCCAACCTCTGCATGTCGTTTATGCTGGTTGCCTGCTATACCGCAATAGGTCAAGGTACTCACTTCCTGCCCCCAATAATTTGACTTACGAGGTGGATTCCTTTTTAGTCTCGTGGGGTTCATCCCCACTTAAGATTCGTTCGCAGATCTGTGGCGATTGAAAGATCCAGGGTCCTTTTCGCTGTAAAGTTCTAGAACGAAAGTATTAGCGACCCCGTATTAACATGCGTACTTCAATATTCACCGTGAGAGACTCTTGGCTACCATTTTGCATGCTTAGAGGGACCCCAATGGCCCCCCATGTGGCGAGCCATATACTCCAACTCTAGAATTGTTATTTTCATATCTGTCAGCTTGTCAGCTCTTTTATAACTGTAGTTGCATGGTATTCGTCTTTACTTTTACTATATATCTTGTGAAGCGCGGGACGTTTCTGACACTAGAACCAAAGTCGGTATAAGCTGTTCTAACCATCATCATGACCATTGACAATACAACCACGCCTTTTGGAAAGCCCATGCGGGAGCATTGGACGTTCTCCCCAGATTACCATCCAATCAACAATGGTCAGTCTCCTTTGAGGTCAAATACAACATTTGCTGATATTCAAACATGGACATTAGGTTCTTTAGGGGCAATTCCCAGAGTAGTACAAGAGAAACGAATTGAGTTGCTGGATCGCTGCGAGCAACGACCGGACCCCTACTATCGGTTTACAAATACTGAATTCATGTATAAATCAAAGGCAGAGGCTGCAAAGATAATAAATGCACCAGCAGATGAATGTGTATTTGTGAAGAATACGACGACTGGAATATGCATCGCGCTCTATAACCTCCAATTTAAGGAGAATGACTCTCTGATCCACTTCGATGGTCTCTATGGGGCTCTTGAAAACTGTGTCACCTCCTTGGAGGAACACACTCCTTTGAAGGCGCGCAAAGTTTCCATCGAATTTCCCATTGACGAAGATGAATTGGAACGCCGATTCCGCGAGACGATTCGACAGGCACGAGCTGACGGCCTCAAGATACGCGCCGCTCTCTACGGTACAATTATCAGCAGACCTACTTTTCGCTTTCCATTCGAGCGACTTACTGAAATCTGCCGCGAAGAGGGTATTCTCAGTATAATCGATGGAGCTCATGGAATTGGAATGATTCCTCTTGATATGCAGCAGCTTCAGCCTGATTTCTTCATAACAAATTGCAACAAGTAAGTATTCCTCCTCGGCTTATCAAAATGTTCCCATAATTTAACACTCAACTAGATGGCTCTACGCTCCTCGCCCCTGCTCCTTGATGTACTGCCCCAAGCGGAATCAGCCTTACATCCGCACACTATTACCCACATCCTGGGGCTTTATTCCCGCATCAACACCCGCAGAAGCCATTTCAGCCCGCCAAAATTCTCTTTCCCCGAACACACTATTTGAGGAATTATTTTCATTGGGCTCAGGAACAAGTGATGACTCCCAAAACACCTGCATTCCCACCGCATTGAAATTCCGCCGAGAAGTCTGCGGAGGCGAAGAAGCCATCATGACCTATTGTCGTGAACTTGTCAACAAAGCGGCTGATATGCTTGCGGACTCTCTCGGTACGGAAGTCCTCCAAGAAAAGAACCTGAAGCCAGGTGAAAAGAGTAAGATGCGCGATTGTTGTATGGTAACTTTGCGCCTGCCTATCGGTTATTTAGAGGGGGATGATGAGACAAATCTGCCAGGCGCATGGGGCACAATATTGGCGAAGGATTGGAACCGCGTTTCGTGGCACTTGCAGAAAAGGTTAATGGCTGACTACAAGACCTTTGTTCCTATTTTCCCATACGGAACATGGCTGTGGGTTCGTGTTTGTGGCCAGGTGTATTTGGACATGAGTGATTTTGAGTGGTTCAAAGATGTTCTATGTACCTTGTGCGAGGAAGTTGCTCGCAAGGAGTATTAGAGTTGTTGAGAGGTCAGATGATGCTCTCTGTTACCTAAACCAGTGCTTGTCTCTTGCTTTGTTCTTGATTTACGTCTTCTCTTCTATCCATAACCACAATACAATTGCTTTCTGTTCGCTTCGTTCCTTGTCCATCAATATTGGTGCAGTGGCGTTCGTTGAGTTTGAAACCCCCGGGTGATTATGTAATACTCTGCCTTTATTTTCTGCCAGCTAAATTCTTGTAGATCATATCATAGTCGCTATTCAAAGCTGACATAGACTGTGTTAAATATATACATATAGATTGACTCATGAACTTAACAGATTATGTGTGATATACTAGTAGAATGGTGTTTTTGAGCGTGTTCAATAGAGGTTAGCTAAAGAAGGTGGGCAGTATGTTCAGGCGGTCAAGGGTGGTGTTTCAAACTCTACGTACGCCACTGTAACTTAATTCGCAGGTCCGGGGTATTACAAATCCAATGACGCGATTTTACTCGGACATGATCACTAATTCACATCGTATGGATTTGAATGGAAATTTATCAGCAGGCTTTCCCTGTATAAATATGTGGCTAATCATCCTTGATCCTAATCACAGTTCATCTACTATCGTCTTGCATCTACTACTTCCCCGCATACAGTTCATCATCTACTACCATTTCAAATCTATTACTTCCCCGCATAAGCTCTATACTATACCATCGATTTGAACCTTCAATAATGTCTACCACCACTACGACAACCGCCACTAAAAACACCACAACGGACTCATCCTATATCCCTCGCGGCCCTACATCCGCCTCATTAACTTTCTATGCACCGCCATCGGACAACTCGGCTCCCTTCAACTATGTCGGAGAGCCACCGGCAGGTCAACCCCAATACAACTTCGGCGAACAGGAACACAAAGTCACCATAAACGACATCCGAGGCAATGAGAACGCCTACACCCTCGACAAGGACTCCTTCCAAGCCCTCCAACAAATTCCCACAAAAACAACATATACAACTTTCGACTCAGACGACCTCGTCCAACAGATCTACTACCCAGAAGTCGAATCTCTCCTCTTAGAAACCATACCAGGAGCCAAGAAGATCATACTGTTCGACCATACGATCCGCCGCGGCAAGGACTCCGCACCCCGCAAACCAGTCACCCGGGTGCACGTTGACCAAACCCCTCGCGCAGCAGAAGACCGCGTCCGTCTCCATGTCACAGATAAAGAGGAAGCTGAGACGTTGCTGAGAGGCCGGTACCGGATCGTGAACGTCTGGCGTCCGCTTAGCAGCGAGCCAGTACAGTCATCGCCGCTGGCCTTTGCATCTGCGGCCTCAGTCGATGGGAATGATCTGGTGCCTGTTCAGCATCGGTATCCGAACCGGACGGGCGAGACAATGGGTGTTAAGTATAATGAGGGCCAGAAATGGTCTTATTGGTCTGGGATGACGGGCGATGAGCGGTTGTTGCTCAAGTGCTCTGATTCGAGGGGATTGAGAGACGGGGACGTTGCGCAGTGGGTGCCTCATACGGCATTCTGGGACGAGAGAACGCCTGTTGGGGCGAGGATTCGGGAGAGCATTGAAGTTAGGGCTTTGGTTTTTGGGTGATCTTTTATGATATAGTGATGGATATACGAGCGTGTTGAAGCTATTGCATTCATTTAATTTACGGAGAAGTTGGATGTTACATACGCATAATCGAGTTTTTCAAGATACAAAAATTGTTCAATCAAGAGGTCAACAGAGGTTCACTCAAGTAATCCCTTGAAAATGTAAAATGTTCTACAATGAAAGTTCATGATAGTCCCCTCCCGATCTGTATCTGGTGAGCTTTTCCTAGCCGGCGAAACTTGATGGGGAGTCACTCCCATGGTCAGATTGTTCTGATCCATCTGAGCCTGAATAATAATCTGGTAACAGTCTCGGTGCTGGCCAATTTTGTCTTCGGTAGGGCATCCAACCTTCGCAGCCAGAAACATCATTAACCCAGTTAAGATTCGCACAGTATGCCACATCAGCCGGGGCATGAGCATAGTGGAACCCTCTCAATGCCGGGAAAGGCAAATGTTGAAGTAGGTCATGTCCTGGATGCTCGTACATATCGGCTTCGACCAAAATGACCGACTGATCAACTTCAAACTGTTTATCCACACAAACAAAGCGAATAGGGTCGAGTGATCGTCTGTAGGAAAGAGTATACAGGTCCTGCAGGATGCTCCAAATATCTTCTAACTTTCCATCAATCATGCCTGCATCGCCGCTCTTCCAAGGTACAAAGGAATACTCGGGTGTTCCTGTAATTCTAGCACCATGAACATGTCCCCATCTTTCCCAATTCACCTCATGAATACTCAACATAATTCGTTCCAGATTCTCTTTTGCAGCTTCAGTCAACTGATTTGTGAGGAAAAACACGGTGCGATGACAACTTGTGGTGAGCATGGATGACCACGGAGCTGGGTTGTAGAAGAACGGGCGTTCTGGGTGCCAATATACTTCTTCAATACCGTCGCAATTGTACTGTTCGCACCAGTAATGATTGAATCCCTTGGAATTTGTCATGCTTTCCCAGATACCCGAAAATGACATCTTTCTCATGACGACCGGGCTTGGGTAGAAACCATGTTTGAAGGTCAAAACGTTGAACACCGACTCAAAGTAACACCAATCAACCGTAGGCTCGAGCATGCATATCAAAGGCATGCTGTCAGGTTCCTCTCCCCCTTTCTCATCCCACACACGATATTCATCCCAAAAGTCAAGGAGGTCCATTCGTGTCCTCATGCGGTGCTGTTCCCATGGGATCAGTTCAAAGGTCACATCGCGAGCGGTATACTCGGGCAAGTCAGGATCAGGCGAGTCAGGCACCACACCGTGCGGATAAGCGTTACGCCTTTGTCTCACCCTCTCCTCAAAGACGGCAATTTCGTACGGCGAATCTTCTAAATTTTGAAGTGTCTCCTTTCGCTCTTGCGCTGTTGAGGGATACATGAGGAAGATCACTAAATGTTTATCGCTTGGACGACGTTTCCACACAGGCATTTTAGGTAGCGTGCGAGTATTGCAAATCTGCCATACTAGCTCTGGGGGTAGATGGTGACCCAAAGCAGTGACCGTAGCGCGAGTGCGGTATTCTTTTCCCAATATGTCTCCTGTTCTGGATGTGAAAGGTGCTTGATGAGGGTCATGCATTATCACCCCCCTGTACCCTTCTCCATGGGCCCACAGGGGTCTCCAAGCTCTGTGCACGCATTTGAACGTGAGTGGTTGAGGATCAGGGCCTCTGGAGCTGGGGATGAAGTCTTCTTCGTCCGTGATATCTTCTTCGTCGATGATGTGACTCGTTCCCTCTTGAGGTGAGCAAATAGCACGTCGTGCAAACATAGTTATTCCACCTGATTCGGCATCACGACGTGTGCATACAAGGATGACTGTGACGCTTCTTTGGTCGTTAGGTGAGACCAAGTCGACGCCGGGAAGATATTTGCCTAACAATTGACGTTTAGTGGCTTCGTCCGCCACAACAATTCTTGGTCGACCCGATCTGTGCGCTAGCATAGCAAGGGCATGAATATTGTTGTGGCTATCCCGGCATGGACCTTGCCGGGCAACAGAGTTGAGAAGGCGAAGAGGCGGTGACCATGGGCGGACATTTACTTCATCAGGAAGTTCTTTGACTTGGAAAGAGGCCCCAAAGTAGTCAGTGGAATGGTGTTGGAGGTCATCCTTGAGTGTTGACTTGACCAGCCTAAGAAGCTTCGCTTGGTCCGATGCATTTAGCTCGGTCAACAGAACAAGTGGCCAGACGTAATTTTGATCGATCGTTTCGTCTGACATCCTGGGTAAATCTGGCAACTTGAACCTATGATACTATGCGCGCACTCTCAGAGAGGCACGGTAGAAGCGACGTTTTAAGGGGGAGAAAGAGAAATTTCAGGGATTGATAAAGCGACACACCAACCTCAATAACTACTTTTGGAGATAAGCTGGTATTTGTAATACTGGAAACCGCTGGCCGATTCCCAAGGCATCAGAGAACAGGCGACACTCAAACACATAAAGTAACAATGAGTGAAACAACATTTTGTGGGCCGCAACATCGATTGCCTTCCACTATAGAGATGCTTCCCCTGGCTTATTCAGCCTGATCTACGGTAGAAATGGCAAACAAATCTATTGTGTACTGATATGTATCAACACCTATTCTTTCAGATGTCAAAACATCACATTTTGAGGGCACTTTGTGATATCAATATACTGTGCAATTCAAAAAGCATTGAAACTTTTGAAAGTTAGTTCAAGATGATTTCATATGGGTTTTAGATGGTGTTGTTCGGTAGGATGGTCAGGGAAGCGAGGTTTGAACACGCAGCTTATGTAAGTTTCATACCGTACCGCCATACAGGTTTAATAGGGGGTTTTTGTAGCCAACGGGGATTCTGTCCTAAAACTTCAAAATCAAGTGTGATACATCCAAAAATCAATGAATTCATTTGCCATGTGTACCTTGCCGTAAAGAAGTCAGGCCAAATCAACCAGAAAGAGCCATCATAGTATCAATTCCTTTAGCCTTTCACTCCCTGTCTTGACTTGTCTTTCTTGGATTGATGGGTCGAATTTCATAGAGTTGAAGTAGTATCCTGTTTCTAGACGACCTAGGAGGAATCCAAGATTAATCAAGTATATGTCAAATCGATTTCGAGACCATCATCATGACCAACACGGAAATCATCGCCGAATTCGCCATCACCTATGTCAAAACAACTCTCCACGAACGTACAACAAACAAAACTCACCAATTACTCACCCATGTTCAAACACATTCCCCTCCGCCTGGTCCGTCCTATCCTCACCCCCAGGGTCGGAATCATAGGCAAAATGATCACACCAACCACACAACCACAGGACAACCCCGACCCATTCAGCCTCTTCCACGGCAACATACTGCCAACTCTCCGCACATTCATCGACGAAGCCGCCACACCAGAGGCGCATCCACGAATCCTCCCATTAATCAAACACGAACATGCCGAGCTCCAATCGTCCAGTCACAAGATCCTTATCTCGGTTAGCTCGGACGAACAAACCAGATACCAGAATCAGTTTACTTGGGAACTAGCCCGCCATCTAATCGGCGAGGAACTCATCGTTTACCCGGCCATCGATAAACATGTTAGAGACGGTGAGGTCCTTACGAATAGGAACAGGGCTGAGCATCAAGAGATTAAGCAGCAGTTGAAGACGTTCCAGGGACTTACATGCACGGATCCAAGATTCGCACCGACGCTGGAGGCGCTGTTGGGGGATTTACAGCTTCATATGAGACGTGAGGAGGAAGAGGATCTGGTTATACTTGAAAGAGTCTTGCCAGAGGAGGATAGTCAGGCGTTGGTGGCTTCATTGGTCAAGATGAAGAAGTTCTTGCCGTCGAGATCGCATCCGCTTGCTCCTAGTAAACCGCCGCTTGAGACTGCTGTGGGGCTATTGACTACGCCGGTTGATATGATTGCTGATTTGTTTAGGAAATGGCCACATGCCGAGGATACGAGAAAGGGGAATAAACACTTTGCTGCGGCAAGGTCTTGAATTCGGGTTATAGAGAAGTATGTGAATAAGTATTAAGAATCGGTGTCCATCTATTCATGCTTGACATGTCACTGCAGGTGACTTCGTCACTAGACTAGGACTAAGGTAACCAAGCTGCAAGCGACGTAGCTTTTGTAAGCCGTTGTTGTTTCCCTTGACTGTCATTGTGATCTGTTTTTCTTTTTCTTCGATCGCACTCTCAATAGATCGACGTCGTTTCCAGACCTTGCGAAACTGGTTCCGCTCGTCTTCTTGCTGCTTCAGTCGCATCAGCATAAAGCCTTCATGGGCTTCTTTTTCTTCGCGTAGCACTTGGATCTTTAGTAAGGATCGCGATATCAGTTAGTACATCTTTCTCTAAATTTTTTGTTGAGAATATTCCAATTCTTTCTATACTCCCACGAGATAGTACCTCTACACATAAAAAGGAGGATGAACATACATAAGATAGCCACAACTCTTGTTCAGAACTCCAAGCTTTTTGACATCGCGCTAGCTGCTTCTCGGCACCCAGAAGCTCCTTCTCTTGTTCGTGCGTCCACCGACATCGGCTGCGGACAATACTCGACCAGTTGACCACGCGACCAACCCGAGTGCGCGAGGGGGAAGGGGACTCCTGCTCGTCGATCTCGGAGCCTGAGTCCGATTCTGAGTCTGAGTATTGGCTACCGGTTTCGTGGGGGTCGATCGTTTGGTCTGGACTCTGCTTCACCGCTATATGCAGGTCGTCGGAGACGTCACGGTGCAGTGGCGGACAGGGCGTGGCAAACAGGGCGCCCACGGAACTTTCTTGGAAGTAGAGATCCGAGTCATGATCGGAGGATCCAAGATCCAGGCTGGGTTCTTCTTCTTTACCCTTGCCTTTATCGGTTGAGGATCTTCTCATCCAGGGAAAAGGGAGACGTTGGACGATAGTCAAGACCGGCATTATGATTAAGATTAGGTATTCCAAAGCCGAAGATGAAGATGTCAATTAGTGACAAAGAGAAGAAGATGGCTGTCTGGATAAGTTTTAGTTCCTGCAAAGCGCACGGCACTTCTTATATCTGTTCTAGAACAGATGAACTGGACCTTCTCCGGGGGTGGGGGGTACTTCACACGGACCGATTGCAACGAAAACGAACATGCAGCTCCTTACACGAGTGGGGAAGAGCCCAATGTACATCAGATACTTGGCCACGCGGGTGCAAGTACAAACCCCCGGTTTCCCCCTGGTAGGTCTGGCCTATTCCGTGGCTGCAGACTTGGTCCAGACCTCAACGTGGGATTTGGTGTCTGTGCAGGTGTAGCCTTTGTGTACCTCACATCAGTGAGAAAGGTTGTACATTGTTCCTATTCCAGGGCAGAGATTGAAGCAGTCGTCATGATAGCAATAGTGGTCATCCTGAATTGTGTTGTAGACCGAGATCATACGCGTGTTTCACATTGTGACGAATGCCGAGTCTTGTTTGCCTCGAAAAACGTATACATCATAATTTGGCGTTATCGTTCGGGAAAACAAGGGATTGCTTGCAGGGTTCAGTCTGATTGTGCTCGTCTGGTAGACATGCATTCGACGTCAATATTCATTGTTCGTAAGCCCAAATCCACTTCAATGTGATCAGTGACTTTACAAGTGGCAAAATGATTCTACCCGATAATCGAATATTTCTCATAATTTCAAAATAGGTATCAAATATACGCTCAAAAGAAGATACTCCAAAACAAATCCATAGCCATGAGGGAATCATAAAGCAGAATTTCTCCGCATTGAAAAACAAACCGACTCCATCGCGGGCTCAAGGGTGCGACAGAAAACAAATACATAGAAAAATAAAACAACGACCAAATAATTGGAACAGTACAAGCTCATCGCCAGGTATCAACCGAGGCGCTCCGGAAAGTCTTCGCTTTTCGCTCTTCTCGGATTTGCTCGCCAATGATAACACTGATCAGCCTCCGATGTAGATCGGCCTCAGTCCAATCTACCTGTCCACTGCCGCCATACTCGATGTCGGCATGCGACAGTTCATGTACGAAGCGATCAATCACGGCAAATTGCACTTCGGTGATAGGCACCCCGTGATGTCCGTCTGAGGTCCACATCCAGTCACCCATAATCTCAGCGCGTCCGGGCGCATCGAAGTATGGGAAGCGCTCCGGGTGTCGCTTTGCCATTCGGTAGATTCGCCGAAGAGAAGTATAATGAGCATCGGAAAAGTAGCCAAACACAGCAAGTGGTCGTGGTCTCGGTTTCGGACGCTCCAGCTTATCATGATCGACCACAGGATCATATTCCAGGGCGTCCTCAGGTACTTCTGGCTGGATCCAGGGATCCTCTGCTTCCTCCTCAATGGAAGGCAGGTGATCTTCCTCATTCACAGGCGGGGGGCTTGCCGATTCGTCCAACTGTCGGACGGATGATTGGTGCGATGGACTAGAAAGAGGCTCGTGCTCAGAGTCCTCTCGGATCTCGGGTGCCGATTGCATATGCTCAGATTCCTCTTGGTCACTCTGCTCGTAGTCTTGTTCAACTTCAGAAGCTTCGCTAGAAGTGTCGTCATAACGAGACTTTGGTGGGAGTTTGAGCCACCTGGGAGTCAGGCTGGTAATTCGTTGGAACCAAGTTGCTTCAGGCTCGTCTTCTTGCTGGCGAGGTTGTTCTGGAGTGGCTGTCAAGTCCTGCACAGACTCATCATCGCCAGAGCCTGAAACACTCCCATTGGCATGGATATCTATTGGTGGCGAAACTTGCGAGTTTCGATGCGCGGCAGGCGAGTCTTTCACTTCTGGATACCTTTCTGGACTTTGGGAGATAGGTTGCAGACGCACCCGTTTCTCTGGCCTTTGCGAGGTAGGTTTTACCGCGGAGCCATTGATGGAGCTTTGGAGGCCTGGCCGGCGCAAGATACTCCTTGGGGTACTTGTTCCGTTATAGTAACGGGCTCTGTTTGGAGTGTCCTCCTCCGCCATGATAGCAGAGAGATCAACCTCTTGATCGCGTAGCTTGCGAATGTGGGTTCGATCAAAGTATCGGGCATCATCATGCTCCACAGCCACGTAAGCCGGAGATGAGCTCAGGTTGTCCTCATGCGCTGAAGTACGAGCAATCCTCTTCCAAGGACTCTTGCTTTCTTGGAGAGGCGACACGTAATCATCCGACTGCTGTGAAAGGTAACTACGATCTCGTGCTTCTTGTTGCCAGATGTCATCAAATCCATCCTCATCAGCGGCATCTGCTTCCAAGTCTCTCTCTTGAGACCTGGTTCGGTCTGATCTAGCTTCGGGTTCCTCCATATCGGCTTCAGCAACTTTCTCCTGCTGCCAAATGTCGACAGATTCATCGTCTTCTTCCAAGCTTTCCTCCGATTCGACTTTCCGAGCAGAGGTCTGTGACCTCGGCATCATTTCTGATTCAAGATAGTTCGGTGCTTCATCAAGCGGCTCCTCATCGAGCGGTTCTTCAGTGGCACTTTCTTCACCGACAGGTTCTTCTTCGAAGGCGCCATCGAAAACCTCATGGCGAGGTTGGCGGATATCTTGGTGAAGTGATCGATTGCGAGTCTCATATAAGGGTTCATCGGCAGATTCTTCATCAAGGGGTTCATAGCGAGGTTGATGAATCGGTTGGCGGGGGAATTGATGGAGAGGCTGATCCAGAGGTTCTTCAAGCTGTAATTCATTGAAAGGCTCTTCGTCAACAGGTTCTTCGTCGAGGGGTTCATAGAAAGGTTGGTGAATTGGTTGGCGAGGGCGAGGAGGTTGACGGATAGGTTGATCCAGAGGTTCACCAAGGGGTTCTTCATAAAATGGCTCTTCATCAACAGATTCATCGTCGGAAATGGCTGGCTCGGCATCAGACTGAAGATTACCCTGTACCTTGCCATCATCATCCTCATTATCGTCGCTATCGATGTATATGAGGCGCGCTGCATTCATGGGGTCTGCTGCATGCCGACTAACAATTTCTCGATCCATTTGCCATCGGTGTTCTCGATCCTCACTAAACCCCGCTGGACTATGTTGCAGTGGACTTTTTCTTACGGACTGCGGTGATTCGACCAAAATAGGCTCGTCCTCTTCTCCCACTTCTTCCATATCCGGCTCGTCCTGGTTTGACCGCTCGATTTCGTCTACTTCGTCAACATCACCCTGGAAATCATCTTCCTCGGGCTCAAAAGTGCCAGCTTGCTCGGCGTATGGCTTCTCGGGTGACTCTGTGTCGGGAAGCTCAGGATAGGATACCGCATGTGATGAAGTTTGTTGTCTCGGATGGATTGGCTCCGGTTGAGGGTATTGTGGACTCTGTGAGACCGGAGAAGGCTCTTGAGCCAACAGACTCGGCCTTGCGGAGCTGTGGGTGTCGCTTCGTAGATCATCAATGCCCCCACCTAACTTGCGCTTTAATCGTTCACCAATAAGGCCCTTCTCTCGGTCCCTTAGGATTTTTGAAGCATTATCTGTAGCATTTCTGGCGCCGGATCCAAGTCCAAACTGTTTGGCCGAGGGAAGTGTATCCAAGGACACCATTGTGAACCCCTCGCTTTCCATGATAGAATCAAACTCTTCGTGGTCATCAGTCGGATCTTCCACTGTATCATAAGTAGGTTGCTGGTGGTCGCCCTCTTCAATTTGGTGCAGTCGACGTTCTCTAGCCCGGTTCTCTTCCTCGCCCGGCGAAGAAGTTGGACTAGGCGAAGGGTAGGTGCGTGGTGATGAGGTTGTGCCGCGGCGTGATGATCTAGTTGATGAGCCTTGCCTTTCTCGGCTTGGCGATGGCATCTTAGAAGGAGTAGAATGTATGTTGTGATCATCGTCTTGAAAATGGTGCTCTGTATCTGCAATAATGGGGGTATCATAGGTAGCTCTGCCATACTCGCGGCCAGTTTCATTGTTCCAGGTTTTGAGCTGCGCTGGCGTTGGTGCGCGAAGATTTGCAACGGGTAGATCATCGGCCCCAAGAGAGTCGCTATCAATGCCTTCATCCACTGCCAGGTTGATTGGGCTCCATTGACGACCCGCATCAGCAACGTCCGCAGTCATATCCATTGGCGAGGGTTGCGCTGGTGTCGGCGCATCGTCTGCAACAAGTGCTTCCTGTTGCTGTGGTTTCGGTGTACCCTTTCGTGGTCGGCCGCGTTTCCTTTTCTCCGTACTGGGTTCATTTGGACCGGGGGTGTGTCCTGGGCTTCTTGGCCATGGCGATCCATTCTGAGGAAGGGTATCCGACTTTCGTGGGCGCCCACGCTTCCTTGCGGGTGTTCTTTCCATTAACGGACTGCGCTCGTCTTTCAAAGGTACCATAGTCGTCACAGTAGAGGGTCGTCGTCGTTTGCGCGAAGGGCTGGCTTCGACTTGGTTCTCTTCATCTTGTGTTGCCTCAAGCGTGACCCGGATACGCCACGGGCTCACGTTGCCATCTTGTTGAACTTTCTCTGGTGAAAGTGACCTTTGGCGACCAGTCAATTTCCTACTCGGCGAACCAGGAAGCAGGATATCATCAAAGCGAATCGAATGCGCACTCTTCCCCGGACTGAGGCTCGCGCGCGGTCGCTTGGCCGGTGTTTGCTGACGTTTTATTACGGCGGGAGACATCCAGCTTTGGCGACCGGTAAATGGTTTGATCGGAGAGGAAATCAGGTAGTCGGCGTCTCCTGGAGGACCGAGAATATCTGGGGAGGAGCTTTGGCTGCGCGACGTGATTGACATGACGGGAGGACTCGAAGTGCTGGGGTCTCGGCACGCGTGCCGCTAGGGGGCGTGGAGAGAGCGCACCCAAAGGAATGCTGGAGGGTTAGATTCAACACCCCAGCGAAAGACAGTATAGAAGAACAAAATAAAGAAATCAAGATAAAACGGCGGGGCAACACATAAACAAAGCTCCCGAAGCGGCACGAGTCGGTCACTGCGACCGGAGATTAGGTAAGCAGGAGTATAAACATGATTCATCTGGATTTCTATTTCTATCTCCACTTTTCGCGACGTTATTCATAAATGCGCTTCCTTGCTCACATATTCGGACTCCAATTCGGGCCAAATTCAGAGTCTACGACGTCAACTGACGGGATTCGGTCCAGCTCGAGTCCACAGAACCGAGACGCCTCTCTTACACCACAACACACCATCTGGACATCTGCTTTGGAGACTCCGACTCTTCTGGTCCCTCGAACATGCCAGTATGCTTTTTGTGGTGGATTCTGTCTTATTACTGTAGGCAAAACAACTACCTCTGTATCTACGTAATCAAGGGCCTGGCGAAGCGAAAGGTGCAAACCATAAGCAATCTCGCCGACCCAGGTCCCCCAATCACGATGTCTTTATAATAGATCAAACAGAGCTATAGTAATTTGGACACAAACCCTGTGTAGCCAGCTCATTTCTCGAGTACGATCGGCTTCATCGTATTGCCATCCATCGCGTGTGAAAGAAAGTTCCTCTTCGCCCTCGGGCTCTACCCGACTGATTGAGACGAGGGCTTCAGGAGGACGTGGAAGACCCACAAGCGCAAATTCTTTGAACAGTGTTTCCCGCATGCGTTAACCCAAAGGTTCGCCGCGCACGCGAGGTCGAATAGCGATTTGGCTGGTCAAATACAGATAGAGCTGGTCTGGCAGATGGGATTTGAAGGTCGTGGTGAGGCGGCTCAGGACACTGAGATACCAGTTTTTGCTGGAGATTTAGGATGCTTTGAGATTGGCTTCAGTCCCTCGAAAGAGCTCATCTTAGCGTGGTCCCATTAACCACCGATCAACTTCGCATGGTCTATGTGGCGTGGGATGCTATACTACAAGAGAGCCCCAGTAATCCGTATGGCACTGTGCTCAAGCACTGGTTTATGCCAAGTGTGTCGGTATATTGAAGAAATTCGATTTATTTGGGTAATCCAGAATTCTGCATGCGTGAGTTAAGAATGATTCATTAATTCTAAACTTCCAATGACGCATGGTTGATATATTTACTTGCAAAGTGGCAACCTCCGGAATCAATTCTCTAGAGTTCTCTTTGAATGGCGATTGCCAAAAGATATAGAAGGGAAGCAAAAAGAAAGATATCACAAAGTTTCTTTAGGACGATTGTTATGTCTTTGGACTTTTGATTGCGAATCGGGATGCCAAAGGGTTGTATATCTACATAAGCTATCTATACTAAGCATGACCATACGAACAGTCTTTTCATTGGTTGCCAGTGGACCGACAAATGAGCGGAGCTAGGCCTAAACAGCTCAAGGTTTATGCCAGGGAGCTCAAGCTACTATCCATGGATATCCGGGGGTGACGCATATTATTATACCCCCAAATATAATCCCGTCGGACTATACTAATATTCTTCAGCCTGCCACTGAAGGTGCAAACGCCAATGAAGAAGCATCTCTCATCATTTGGCCTGGTCTGGCTGGTCCCAATATGACTTATGTGCATGAAAAGTCTCTTTCTATTCGCATATGCCCCGCTGTGCATCATAACAGGTGGGTTGTCCTTCAAAGTATGGAGAGTGAGTATGTTACTGTTGTCTAACCAAAGGCATGTTAGTCTGCGGTTTCAACCCGGTATTCTGACATTCTTCTACATCAACGGGGCCAATTTCAGCGATATCTGTCCCCGGCCATGGAAGCCTATCACCCTTCGGAGCTTCCACTGCCTGACCAGCTTCGAGGCGGCTGTATCCGCACACTGGCAAGATCTGTGCCTGGGATTCATGAAAGATCCCGTGCATGGCTTACCTCGCATGGAATGGGCATCATATAGCCCGAACGGCTCGGCTAATTTAATGGCAGCACATGAGAAAGTATCTCAACTAACGCCCATAAGCATAAGCAAGCTAACGAAGGAGTGTGCCGGCATCCCGGGAACTTATGACTAGAAGGTTAGCAGGTGTTTTGTGGCCCATAGCTCAGCCACCGGAAGACTTGAAATGGACAGACTCCCGGGCAAAGAGATGGAAGGAAGTCACATCATAACCGAGATGAATTAGATTAAAAAAGTCAAGGCGAAATCCTCCAATGCGCAACGACGGTGATGCTGAGTCAGAGATCGACATAGAGGAAAGGTTGATGTAATTGGTGGATCCCGACCAGGATCTCAGACCGCATTCCCTCCGCCGGAGTTTTGCCAATGTAACTTTGGCTCCTTTGTTTACCCCGTTTTTCTCGACGCCTCACTGGAGCTTAACGGATCCACTGACGCACCTAAGCTGTGGGCTCGGATCTTTCCCCTCACGCTTAGACAGCTAATCCAATGGTTGAGTAGCATCTCCTCACCTGCTTTCGGATAATTCGTGATCTATCGACCCTTACCCCGGGTTTCCCTGCCCCACGCGTAGAACCCCTAGCGTCGGTACATGCGGAGTGTAGACTAGCGCGTCGAATTGGCCATGTTGTTTGCCCATTGGAATCTTCTGACATAAAATGCCCAGCCTTCCCCTCGGCTGCTTCCGCTCTCTTCTTTACCCTGCACGCTTCACTCCGCGACTTCTCATCCTTTATTGTATCCTTCTCTTAGCTCTCATAGCTACAGGCATCAGGATGCACTTCAAGTCATACGTCGCAGCTGCCCTCTACGGCCTGCCTATTCTGGCAAACGCGGCGCCGTCTGCTTCGACCGCGTCAAGCAGCTCGTCCGCAGATTCAGCTCACTTCAAAGAGTACACGATCAAATCGGAGAACATCACCGTCACACTTATCCCTTACGGCGCGCGCCTCACCTCAGTTCTGGTTCCTGACCGTAATGGCAACACACAGGATGTCTTAGTTGGTTATGACAACCCGCTCGAGTACCTGCACGATTCCGAGACCAACCACACCTTCTTTGGTGCTGTCGTGGGTCGCTATGCCAATCGCATCAAGAATGGTACCTTCTCCATTGATGGCAACACCTATCACATTCCAGAGAATGAGAATGGTGGCAAGGACACCCTTCACGGTGGTTTTATTGGCTATGACCAGCGCAATTGGACAGTCACTGCTCATGACTCTTCGTCTATCACCTTCAGCCTCTTGGATGAGGCCTGGCAAGACTTCCCTGGCGATGTCATCTCGCACGCCCAGTTCAGTGTCTCCACTGAGAAGTCGCCCGAGAACCCCAAGGGATTGCCCCAGCTGACCACCAAGCTGATCTCCCTGGCCCTGACCACAAAGACCCCAATCATGCTCGCCAACCACCTCTACTGGAACCTCAACGCCTTCAAGGAGGAGACCATCCTGGAGGATACCTACCTGTCAATGCCCCTGTCCCAGCGCTTCATCGGCGGTGACTCCCTCCTGATCCCCACCGGCGAGATCCTCGATGTCAGCACTGCTTACGAGGGTGCCCTGGACTTCACCGAGCCCAAGCTTGTTGGCCAGGATATCAACAAGACCGCCGGCCTCTGCGGCGGTGGTTGCACCGGCTACGATACCTGCTTCATCCTCGACCGCCCCGCCGCCTACGCTGCCGAGAACTCGATGGTCCCATCTGTGCGCCTGGCATCTGATACCACTGGTATCAGTCTCGATGTTGCCACCAACCAAGCTGCTCTGCAAATCTACTCCTGCAACGGCCAGAACGGTACCATCGCTACCAAGGAGTCGCAGGCCAAGCGCAACAAGGAGCAGGATGGCAGTGCCGGCGCTGGCTTCGTCAACAAGTACGGCTGCCTTGTCATTGAGACCGAGGACTGGATTGATGGTATCAACCAGCCTGAGTGGGGCCGTGACCAGTACCAGATCTTTGGTGCTGACGATGGTCCTGCCGTTAACTGGGCTACTTACCAGTTTGGTACTTACTAAGCCTTAATTCGTTTTGTAAAAATGCATTTCTGCATCGATACCATAATCTTGCTTTGATTTTACTTGGGCTGCCCTTTGAACTCTCAACTCAAGGTTCGTTTTTGTACATAGCCAAAACGTATACCCTTGATGAGCTGGGATCTGCAAGTCATTAACCTATATTAATGCAAAATACCCACTCTATTCTTCCATTACTGTAAACTTTCCATTCAGTTTCGGTCCGAAACCTCTTCTGTTGATTGCGGAATATTATCACTCTTCAACTCAAATACCCCCGGTGGAGTTTTGCGGTCAACTCTCCCTACCAACATGGATATTTCACGGCATTGGATAGGTATTCTCAGTATCAGCTTTCCTGCAAACGTTGTCTTGGTATATCTTGATCACCCTTTCCCTAAGTGCAGTTCCAATTCTTTCAAGCCTCTTTCTATCCCTTGTAGCTCCCTAACCACATCCACCAGGAACACACCCTGAAGCTGCTCGTTCGCTAGATCATTCTCCCCCAGGCCAAAATCACATCCCAGACACTTGCGCACAATTTTTATAAATCTTGGCCCCATGCGATTGCGTAATAGCGGCGTCTGGGCAAGCTTTTCAGCGGCATGATAGTCAGTGTTTCTTTGTGGTGGCAGGGTTGCAAGTACCCGTTGCCGAAGTTGTGGCCATAGCTGGCAGTATCCCAGCTCAAGGAGAACGATGCCAAAACAAAAGAGGAGCTCATTCCGGGCAAGGGCTATAGATGTATTTACAGGAGCATTTGCAGTGCTGTTAGAAGTGGCGGGAGTGGCGCTGGCAGCCATTGCTGTCACGAACCGCCCTTCGTCCGGCTTCTTGAATTCGACCCTGAAGTATGGTGTCGTAGATGAGATCTCATCGGTATTATCTGAATGTTCTTCAAATTTGGAAAAGTGGACTTGAGTGCTCTGCCAGTTATCAGGAAGCCAAGGTGTGGAGTGGTATTGTAGGACGGCAACCGCGAGACAGCTGGCAATGTGTGCTACTGCTGTTCTCGGTAAATCGCGGGACAACTCGTCTTTTGACGTCCAAGCGATAATGTCTGCCAAGGACTTTTGCTGCTCTAACGGGCGACGTTCGGGGGGCGGGAGATAGAAAAGGTGAAGTCCAACATCCTGGATATAGCCGACACAGGTGCTCGAACATGTCGGTTCTAGGACTTGGAAGTGGCAGCAAATATTTTCAATCATTTTGAGGTCAATCATAGAGTCGGAAGGGCTGGCATTGTTGGTTGTGGTTGAACTGGAAGCCGGATGAGTGGCTTCATCCCGGTCGTCATCTGCCGTCCTTTGTATGTTGGGTATATCGTTAGAATCGTTCATCACAGCAACAGAACCAACATGATCGGTTATAGTTGGTACGAGTTTCGTAATAACTCTCTTATGAGCCTTTTCAACCTGCCTGATGACCATTGGCTGAGAATGCCGGGTTATCTTCTCCATAACATCAGCCCAGGCATTGTCGGGCTTGGTATCAATATGTTCAGTCTTGCACAGAGGAGTAGCTGGGCGGCTTCCATCGGTGACCTCGATTTCCAACCAAATTGTGGTCTCTCGACACGTTGGCGAATTAGCCCCACAATCGATGGCGACATCAAATTTGATACCATCCTCCACCTGGTCCAACTTCATAGATTTGCTTTTATCAATAAGCGAGATACTTGCGGCATGCCTCTGATGCCCCGCACAGGACCATTGCAGAGCAAAAACATTATATAGCCTGGAAGATGCGGATCGAATCTGGCGATATTTCTCAAGACCATTCAAATGGCTTCTTTTCTGCCCCATAGTGATTCCCTGGGCTGGGAGGCTGGTGCTTCGAATCTGCTCGAGCTCGCTAGTAATTCGACTCGTTAATTCGTTGAAGTCGGTCGTGAAGCTGCGAAGCTCTTGGATTGAATTCTGCACTTCATTTTTCTTCCAGCAAAGCCGGAATCGCTTTGGCGTGTTGCTTGTCCCAAAGCTTTCCACCTCAAGACATATAGCTGTTGCTGTATTAAGGACAAGCTCTAGTGTGTCATTCCAACTGCCGAACATCTCTTGCAGTGATTCAATACGAGCCCTGTCAACAATGGTCGGAAGCTTTAGCCTCTGCAGATTCTCACTGTGGCTATCAGAGAGCAGATTCCGAGCCTTTTCACGATCATTCGTGATTGATGTCAGCAACTTGATGACGTTCGCTCTGAAGAGAGTCTTCTGCGTCTTCATGATTGTGTCCAACTTAGTCAGCTCCCTTGAAGAATGCCTGAAGGTGTTCAGGCCTTCTGAGAGTTGCCAGTAGCGATCATAAACCTCGAGGACAATAGGGATGCCGGCGAGGGCCGTTCCAACAATGAACTCCATGTCATATATAACAGTGAGCCTCCACTCAATCTGCGGTATCCAGCTATCATGAATGAGATTAAAGGCAGGGTTGGCACTGGCAATCCCAAGGGTTGTGAAGCTCTATGATGCGGGGTAGTTGTTTGCACTACTGGGGTGGACGCCAAGTGTCACTAGGTCAAATGGTACAGCAGGGTACATCTATTTCTAGGGAGTGGGTTATGGAGTTCTATGTATCTCGCTTACGGGCTTCGTACAGGCAGTCAATTGCCCCTCACCTGTCAATAGCACCCCTCATGTCGTAAACTTCGTAGATCCCACTTTTATGCGAGCTTCCACGACCCGCTGGAGACTCTGTGCAGGGAGGCATTATTCAAACTGTTCTTATACCGCTCCCAATCCCAAACTTTAAAGAGCTGGTAGACAAGACTTTCCAAGCGAGCAGAATCCCCTCGGCATAGCATGTTGGGCGTGCGCTTCTTGTGAGATAAGCAGACATATAAGCAGAAATCTTGAGCTTAGGGCAATGGATCATTTGCATCCAAGGGAGAAAGCTGGCGGCGGAGACTCCTTGCAAGATTTCTCAAGGGAAGTGTCCCGCCGCGCGCGTGGCTTCATCCGCTCGGAAATTCTAGGCACCCGAAGCATCGGTAGGTTTCGAGGCTACACTAGCGAATCCGACTCCTCGGACGGCCAGATTGATAAGTCTGGTGTCGGGTCGGTCAAGTTGACGGGTAGCCGACGCAAAAATCTGGGAAGCGCATCAAAACCTGGCCAGCCCCAGCCTCCGTCATTGCCATTATCTAGCAGTTCAAAGCGCAGCCACAATAAACTTGGTAAAGTTGACGATGTGTCTGACAGATCTCCTTCGACTACCGCGCCGACCGTGAGCGCTCAAAAAGTTGGCCACTCGATTCTGGTCAAACGAGAAGACCAGTTGAATGTGCCACTAAATACTACCCATGGTCTGTCCATAGGTACGAGCGTCCTGGAATCCATTGACCTGGATGACATGATCTCGCGGCTCTTGGATGCGGGCATTTCTCACAAACCCACCAAGAACGTCTGTCTTGAGAATGCAGAGATTAATGCCCTCTGCTTGGCATCTCAAGAACTTTTGCTTTCACAACCTACTTTGTTAGAGCTCTCGTCCCCTTTAAAAATTGTCGGCGACCTGCATGGACAGTACATTGACCTGATTCGACTGTTTGGGATGTGTGGGTTCCCACCTGCCTCGAATTATCTTTTCCTCGGGAATTATGTCAACCAGGGGAAGCAGAGTCTAGAGACGATTCTTCTACTGCTGTGTTATAAGCTCAAGTACCCCGAGAACTTCTTCCTGCTCCGAGGCAACCATGAGTGTGCTAATTCTCCGCGAATGTGTGGCTTCTATGGAGAGTGTAAGCGACGCTGCAACTTGGAGATTTGGAATACGTTCATCAATACTTTTAACTGCCTTCCAATCGCTTCCATTGTCGCTGAAAAGATTTTCTGCGTCCACGGCGGGCTTTCCCCCGGCCTCTCACACATAGACGATATTCGAAGAATTGCCCGTCCCACCGACGTTCCTGACGATGGTCTATTGGACGACCTCTTACGGAGTGATCCTGATGATAAGGATGAGGCTTGGTCACCGAACGAACGAGGCATGAGTGGAATTTTTGGCAAGAAGGTCACAATGAACTTTTTGCAGCGCCATGATTTCGACTTGATATGCCGTGGGCACATGGTGGTTGAGAACGGCTTTGAGTTCTCTCAGGACAGAATGTTGGTGACTTTGTTCTCCGCACCTTGCTATCGCGGTGATTTCGACAACTTGGGTGCCATCATGTCGGTCTCGGATGACTTTCTCTGCAATTTTGAGATACTGAAACCTCTGAACTCGACTATCCTGAAACGTCAACGTCGACTTAAGAGGGATGAAAAAAAAGAGAGATGGCAAATTGAATAGCTCAGTCTTTCGACATGACCGGAACGACGAAAAATCAATGACAGAGAATAACTCAAATTACATGCTCGAAAGCACCTTCGAACAGGTGAATAATGCAGGAGCCCCAGCCAATCAAAAACCAGTAACAGGGAAACCAGATACAGCCTTATCAAACGTGTCTCAGGCCATCAGTGCTAAGACCTCGCTGCCTGAGATGCCCGATATTTCACAGCTTGGTCTAGCCAGCGACTTGTTCAAAGCAATTTTGAGCCTCTTTATTGCGATCGCCCAGCGAACAGCAAAGACAAAGCAATCGCGACGTCTGCGTAGCGAGCTAGAGCGTTTTTTTCTCTGGGGAGACGCCATTTCCATTTCGAAAAGCCAGTTCGAGGAGGTCTCGTCTGAATCGTCCGACCTTCGTCAAACTGTACTCTCTACACTCTACGAGCTTGGAAAGGTCATCAATGACAGCCTACTCCGAGCGATCGACGGAAGTACCCGGTCAGAAGAGCTGGGTGGCTCTACTGAGTCTGTCTTGACTGATCTGGCTGAGTCAGATATGGCTCAAAGGCTTCAGAGGCTCCTGAAGAAGGCAGCCCCCATTCAGGCCGCGTCTGAGACTACAGCAGACGTTGAGAGTCTATCGGATGGTGACTCTATGCGCTATGATTTGGACGAGGTCCTAGATGATGTTGCAATCTATATAGATTGTCTCATGGACCTCTCCATTGCTATTGAGAGGCCCGTAGTCGGCAATGAGCCTGGCGGTCTGCAATGAATGTTTCAATAATGCACTCTATTATATTGGAAGCCCGCGAATTTGTCTGGTCCGAGTCATAGGAGAGGACATAAAGGGGATTGTCGTGTGGTACGACTGGTTGTCGCGAGAACCTGATTGCCTAATCCATGGACTCTGTTTCGACGAGCAGAAGGTATTGAGTGCGAAATAAATGACCCTAACATGTATCATAATGAATGAATGTAAGCTACTAAGCCTGCCTGTACAGCGACGAGATATGAGGCCAATGTATTAATTTGGGTACAATACTGTGCAGAATGATGATGAAAGAATTTGGTATTCCAGACTATCTGATTATGATATAGTAGATTTTGGCAATAGGATACAAGAAATCGTCCTGAGCGTCTAGGTGGTGACACTGATTTCCGTAATGTTGCTTTGGCAAACTTCACAGCTTTGACAGTATATCAGACCCATCAACTCCACTTCCTTTGACGATTTCATGTTCCCAATAATTTGGATTAAACGTAATTCGGTTCAACGGATTCAAGTGGTGAGCTCTGTTGAAGAGGTCTTCATAAACACGACCATCATATCGCCCCAGCGCACTATTCGAGCCCTGTTAGAGGAATTTCAAGCTTCCTTGAGGGTGTGTTCCACTCACCTATCGAGCAAATAATCTGGAATCATCCATGAATCCACCAATTTCACAGCATGTGGTCGAATACGCGCCATCAAATCTTGCACGCGTGTTGGTAGGATGTCAAGATCGGACTGAGAGACCGCACCACAGCGGAAGACTAAAAATGTCAGTTATTTGTTATTACATGTCGGTCTGGTAAAGCTTACACTCATATCCTTCGTTCTCCATGGTATAAAGTGCAAAGAGACGATACAAGTCCCACAGAACGGGCTTTAAGGAGCTCGACAGAGTCATATCGGTTGACAAGGCCTCGAAGAACTTGCTGACAAGAATAGATTGCGATTGGGCTACTTAAAGTTAGGTTTGGAGTCATTTCCAGTGAGTTTACCCGGCTTACCCTTGCTGAGCTTGTGTAGTTGGATAAGAAGACTATTCCAGCTTCTCTTTTTGACTACTCGCTGTTCGTATGCGTCATATGCCTGCCAATGATCAGCTGTGATCTGAAGCTTTCTTCAATGCGTTTCACGTACAAGTGCGGTAGCGCGGAGCTCGAAGGCCCTGGCAATTTCCTGATCGCTTTCCAACACACGATATTCGGGCTGACGAGAGACACCACGTCGTTTCTGAATATACTGCTTGAAACGCGTCTCCGTTTCATCTGCACCCGGAGTATCAGACCCTTCCACCGCAGCAGTCATTTTCTTCATCAAATAAGAAGCAACCTGCTGTGTAATCATCCAGTTATCTCCTTCAACAGTTGGCTTGGAAAGATAGTCGTTATTAAGCTCAATCAGCCCACTTCCACCCCCAAAACCATGTCCACCCAAGGCTCGTCGACACGTCTCAATCCCATCCGCAGCGATCATGGTGCAGAGACTCTTTAGTCCGGAAGACATACTATGCATGTGAGCTAAAGAGCGGAAATCACCCCGCTCCACGTCTTGTCGTGCGTTTTCGTAGACACGGCGCATTGCCAGACCGGTGTAGTGTAATGCAAATGTAGTAGCCAATAAAGGTAGGATTCGAATTTGGACGGTTGGATAGTCGAGGACAGACATCTCGGGTCCGGTGCCGTTGCTATCTCGGTCGGTAAACTGTCGTCGAATGGCGGTATAGCGTACTGCGACTGTGACTGCGCGTGCTAGGACAAGTCTAGCATGATGGACGATCTGAGCTCGGACGTATGTGAGAGATCCGTAGACTACAGCTGGCTGCGCCGGCTTTGAGTAAGTTCCCGTCTTGGGGTCCACGCTTGAGTACCGTGAAAGCATGGCAGAGTGAGGAATGCTAATGAGGGATTAGCTTCAAACTCTTGCAAAATCAAAGGCTCTTCAGCGTACCGAAAGTTATTGAAGAGCATGTAAGCATTGTCCATCGTGATGTATCCATATTTCGGCCCGATATCTCCAACAATCACGCCATCAAGCGGTTGGTGAGTATCCATATCTCGCACTTGCACAATAAACGGATGAGGACCATGAGACACGTATTGATCTGGAGATCCAGCTTTAGGAAGAAGTAGCTGGGCAACCACAATTGTATGATTGGCAATACGACCCAAGCTGCCATTCCACCATTTGCTGGCCGTGAGCGTCGGACTATGCAAGACAAACTCGCTAGTTCGTGGATCCCAGCGTGCCTCGAGCTCCAAGCCCCGAACATTACTACCATGTCCGAGCTCTGTCTGTGCATAAGCCCCGATAATTTTCCACGATTCAATCAATGGCATCCAATGAGCCCGCTGAGCCTCGTTTGCTTGCTCGCGGATGGTGGTGACGAACATCTCCAGGTGCAGAAAATACGGCGAAACATCGCTGACGAGGTACTCTGCCATCTTGTGATCTTCATGGTTCCAATTATGTTGGTCGACTAGTCGGCGTAGCAGCTTTGCTCGAGCAAGCCCTAGCTTGAATCGCTCTGGTCGAGATAGGTTTTGCTGTTTATCTTTGGCAAAAAGTGGCTCTCGCTGCACAATTGGTAGAATACGAGCTTGCCGCTCCAAGAATCCATCACAAGATAATAGGTGCTTACCTAGCTCCTCAGTTGAGATGCTAGATTGCTCTCTTTCGCGGGCAAGGGTTGTGGGTCCATCTGGTTGGCTTGGACGGAGTTTATCGGCGAAGTCGGGCATTGTGGTTCACTTTTTCGATATGAGCATCACAGATGATACGAGATGCATTTGCAGCGATCAAAGCCGTTCAACTGTCTTAAAGCAAAATTTGGTGTATATGTTCCTCGGCCTTACCCCAATAATCGCCGAGTGCCGATTGCCGGCATATGCCACGCGGGGAAGGTCGCGGGGAAGATCCTGGGGAAGTAGCCGACTTAACATGATGTGGCACGAACAGAAAGCGGAGAATACCCTGGTTATATACCACAGAGGCAAATTCTTCAAATTGACCATATTTTGAATTTCCATTCCTGAGGACGGTCAACAATGGGGGATCGTACTCAATTTGTACCCTCCCATGTGGGAGACAAGGTGCTTCCCAATCTCCCTTTCTTCCACAAATTACTACGCTATGTTCAACGTAGACCGTCGCGGATCTCCATTCGAGACGTGAACGCTGGTTTGGAGAAAACATTCCACCATGTCCTTTCAGACGCCTTGATTCTTCGAAAGGAATTGGAGAAAAATCTGAGTGCTGCAACTCTGCGAGATCTGCAAGAAGACAAAGAAGTCTATATTGGACTACTCGCACCAGGCGGCTATGAATATACCGTTGGTTTTGTTGCAATTCTTGCACTTGGTGCTGCAGTAGTTCCGATGGGTAAGTCCAGACAACCCTCTACAGGAACACGAAATCTGACCATATCAAGCTGCTGGGCTCCCTGTGGAAGAAGTCTCATATTTCCTGCTCAAGGCGCAATGTGTAGCTGTATTGGCCGATACAACCAGTGAGCCTCTCGCACAGTCCGTCGTACGTTCTATGGGCGACAAGAACAACTTCCATATACCCTGCATTTCTCCCATCGCATCCTTCTTCCAAACAACTTTGGTCGCAGCCAATGATATGCTTATATCGTCAAACCGAGCCCTTGATATGAACAACGCTGCTGCCGTCATCTTCACCTCGGGAACAACCGGTCCTCCAAAGGGGGCTGTTCAACGTCGCACCTGGTTGACTGGTAATGCCGAAACCGACGCAGCCTTTTACGGCGTCACGGAAGAGGATGTCGTTCTTCACGTCCTACCGGTACACCATGCTTCCGGACTGGGACTCACCTTTCTTCCTTTCCTAACAGCTGGCGCATGCATCGAGTTCCGAAGCGGTAGCTTTGATACTGCTTGGACATGGGAGCGCTGGCGTCAGGGTGGGCTGAGCTTTTTCTCGGGAGTTCCGACCATTTACATGCGGATGATGCGGTACTTTGAAGAAAACATTGCGACTCAAGCTCCCGAGGTACGGGACCAGTATATCAAAGGCGCTCGTGATATTCGCACTATGCTTTGCGGATCGTCGGCTTTGCCTGGGCCTGTGCAGCAGTTCTGGGAGAAACTCCGGGAGAAACCAATGATGACTCGATATGGAGCTACTGAGTTTGGGGCGGTCATCAAGACCGATCTCACTCCTGAGGGTATGCCAAGGAACAGTGTTGGCCGTATAGTGGGCGGTGTCTCGCTCAAGCTTGAAGACGATGGTCATTTGCTAGTGAAATGCCCCTATATGTTCTCAAAGTATGTATCACAGCCTGTTCATTGCATGAGAATACTCTTCTAATCCTCCAATCCTTAGATATCTCAATGATGAAAAGGCAACAATTCAAGCCCACGATAAAGACGGCTACTTCAGATCGGGGGACATCGCTCGACGAGAAGGCGATTACTTCTTCATCCTCGGTCGTGCCTCCATTGATATCATCAAATCAGGAGGCTACAAGATTTCCGCCCTGGATATTGAGCGAGAGATTCTCGGCTTGGACTATGTATCAGAAGTGATGGTAGTTGGCGTGGAGGACGAAGAATACGGACAACGAGTGGCAGCCAGCGTCAGCCTCAAGACGGACCAGAGCACAACACGCAAGACTCTGACGCTGGGTGAGCTACGGGAGGATCTTCGAAGCAAGCTGGCGAGTTATAAGATACCAACTATCTTGCGTGTGATCAAGGGTGAGTTGCCCAAGTCAGGAACCGGCAAAGTCCAGAAGAAGATTCTAGGGCCGCAACTTTTCCCTTCGAATTATAGAGATATTCCTGAGATTTCAGTTTGGAGCAAGAAGTCCAAGCTATAGAGATGCATACAATTTTATTCATCTAAACTCATAGAGGCATCATCCATCTAAACTCATAGAGGCATCATCCATACGTAGGCATTTTTGGAATTATCCTGGTCAAGTAAACTAGAATATAATCAAATCTTGACTTTGGCAGGAGCTGAGGTCATTCGACTGTGCACATAGCTAATCCGCTGAAACTTCTTAATTGCCTCGCCCCAGAGCTCCTGCCGTAGCAAAGCATATACCCTAGTACCATCAAGTCAGCAAAACAGATTCATATTCAATGCATCTACAGTATGACTTACCCCATCTTCGCCTTGGGCGCCCACTTGGCTGCAATCTCCAGTGCTTCGTCCAGCATACGGTCTGGCTCGGCAACAGCATCCACAATGCCATCCTGTAGTGCTTCTTGTGCTGTCCACCTGTGTGCTTCCAAGAGCATCTTGCGCGCAACCTGAGGCCGCAACTTTAGTCTTGGAAGGGATCCAATTCCTTCAAAATGCAAACCCAAGTTGACAGGGGGCATTGAGAAAAAGCCTCTCCGTGAGTTCATGATTCGGTAATCATGTGCTAAGGCCAGAGGACAAGCACCACCGAATGTATGACCCGTTAACAAAGCAATTGTTGGAAAGGGGAAGTCGAGGATCGTATGGATCAGCTAGAAAAGTCGTCAATGCGAGATCAAGGAAGTCAACAACCCTCTTTGAGACTAACGGGATAAAATCCGTCTGTGTTCGCAAATGGATTCTTATCGGCTTCATCTAGCTCCAGTCCCTAATGCCCCTTTTAGCTAGTCCCTTTAATGATGGGTCGAATGTGTGCATACAGTGCACCAAAATTTAGCATCATTACCTCTTGTAATGACTGCACCCTCCGAATCTGGACCAAGAAGTTTCTCGACTGTACGATAGGCTCGGATCATTTCCTGGCAATACCACGAGTTCAGTCGGTTCTCGGGTGATTTCTGCATGGTGAGAACGAATACATTCCCATGTCTCTCCAGGGAGAGATTGCGGAACTGAGGTATATCTGCCATTTTTCTGGGCTAAGTTTCTACTTTGCAAAGAGAAACAAGAAAATATCCAAGAGAAAATGGGTGAACTGTTTACTAGATGTTCATACATGTGGACTCCCCGCACCCCGGATCGACCAAACCCCACTTTCATTGGTTGCCGGAATGCCGAAATGCCGACTTGTGGAAGTGATCATTTTTCTGACTTGTGTCAGGTTGACTAACAATTATAGTGGGACAAGGCCGGAATCAGTATAGCAATAGTGGCTGGGGGGAAGTGGCAGTAGTGGAAAAGCACTGATCCCCAAAAAAAATTGGAGATGAGCCACCAAGCGCGCTGAAAACTCGGAACTGGTGGACAAAAACAAAAATCTATCATGTTGTCAATGACTCCTGTTACGTTGAGACTATTTGACATCTTCGTCAATGAGGAATTATGACAACAGTTTACATGGGTATCTATTATGTGCCAGGTAGTAATTTACAGTATCATGCCCATCCCGCCAGGGTCCAGCTGGAACGATCGCCCGCTCTCAATCCCGATCGACGATCAGGCGCAGGTTCTGATTCTCGGGTGCCACCAGCCAGCCCATGTTGCAGGAACTTCTCACGCTCGATCTCCACCATTCCACGGATCTTCAGGCTAGTCACCAAGCTAGCTCCAGCCCAGGCCCCAAGAGAGTCAACTTCCCGTAAGATTCCTTGGACAGGAACGGGAGTATCTTTGTTCTGACGGCGCAGCTTTTGCTCCACAAAATCAATTTCAGGTTCGTCTTTAGATGGGTCTGGTTTCTCGTCTTCAGGCGAGGATGCCGTGTCTGTGGGAGTTGATTGAGTCTCGCCATTGATTGCAGTTGAAATTCGTAGTTCTGCCAATCGCTGGCGTTGCTGTTCAATGACTTTGCCTCTGATAGGACTCCATCCATGCTGGTCAATCAAGTTTGAAACATCCTTCAAAATTCGCTGCCGCAAGCCAGGGATTCGAGCTCCGCCACCCACAAATACAATGCGCGACATGCATGTTCCACGCGCATCGGGCGGTAGTGCGAGCAAGGTATTGTAAACAAGAAGGGGAATTGGTTTCTCTTCGTCATCTAATTCACTTTCCGGCACATCTGGAGCAAAGAGAGCCTTCTCAACAGGTTCTGCAAGGCGGGAAAATGGCACCTCGATGAATTCCTGTTCCGGGTTGGTTGGTGAGGGTATCGAAATGTTCAGGTTCAAGTGACCATTTTCCTCGTCCCGGGCTTCTGCCTTGCACCAAGCAAGTCGGGACGCGATTTCCTCACAATATTTGAATCCCACGGAGATCTCATCGGTAGAAGCACCGTCTTGCCCAGAACTATGAGCGACATTGGTGAGGACTCGGCCCATTTCTTGCAGCACGGCTTTCATTGCCCTTGTACTTCGTTTTGTGGTGACCTCCCTGTACTCATAGAGGCCAGTGGTGATGGTTTCCGCCCAGCCAAGGTCTACCACCAGGGCAGACCGCAATCCCGCAGCGGTCGCTGACATAGGCGCACTCGGTAGAAGCGTGATACTAGGGAAGCGCCAGCGGCTAAACAATGTAGAAAGAAGCGATGACAGCAAAGGATGTGGCATGAGGGAGGGTAATACCAAGACCAGGCGGGATGTGCCTGCGTCGGTCAAGAGGTATTGGTTGTAGGTTTCGCGAAAAGCACGTTCGATCTTGTCTTCGACCAACCCTAGGTCGGTTTGTCGCAGGTCTAGCCTCCACAATTCGTATTCCCGAGTCCAATCTTCAGCATCAACAGGCTGCGCTGACGGTCGTGCGCCAGAACCGCCCTCAATCCATCCCCGATAGTCCCCCGCTCTCCTCGAGTCCTCGGGCCCGAATCCTACCACGCAGACTGGGGAGCTGCTGCCCTCAAATCCAGCTCGTAGCCATCTCGCGCCAATTTCAAATATGATTGCATCATCTTCGTTGCGAAAGGATGAGCCCGGTGATGTGTTGCTGGCGAAGGAAGTATTGCCTGAGCGAAGCTGCTGTTGCGGAGTATGAGGGGAATCTGGCCGGGCAGCCTGACTTTGGCGCAAGCTTGATGATGTAGACATTTCGTATTATTGTTTGTCGGTGTATCGCGCCTGGGATTTGCTGGGTCGCGTAGCTCAGAATCGTGTGCGTGTTGGGGCGCGGATGGTGGATGCCCCTCGGAGCAACAGAAACCCCCAACGAAGACCCGCTTCAGCGAAGTGCCGGGTCTACAGCGTCATTGGAGTCAGTTGTTGTAATTCCAATGGGAGTTTTGCAGTATGCAGATTAATTGCAAGTGACAGGAAGCTTCAATTAGAGAATGGTAGAAGAGTGACGCGGGACTAACGTTCAACGGATCTACATCGGGCCGCGGTTTATTTACTCCGTCAACACTCACATTCGACATCTTGCTCAGCTTCTCACCAGCGCCACATGGCTCCATGCCCATTATCTTGAAGTGAAGCTTGGGTAGATGTCAATACCGCCCGTATGGGTATCCCAGGGTATGTCTCGCTCCAAACCCCCTTATCAAGGTTCTCATGCAGGCCATAATATATTTTGGCCCGGACGCGCGAGAACCACTCCCTAGCAACGCCACCGAAACAGTATTTTGGGGCTTCTCTCACACTGACAGAAGAGCTTAACACTGACATTAATTAGCCTCATCCATGCCATTGGCAAGGGGGAGCGCATCTCCCTATCTAAATTGGCAATAACACATCTGGAGCGAACGGCAAGGCCAATTCGAGTTGCGGTCGACATTTCTATCTGGCTTTTCCAGGTTCAAGCCGGTCGCGGTGGAAAAAATCCCGAGCTGCGCACCTTGTTTTATCGACTTTTGAAGCTACTAGCTCTGCCAGTCCACCCGCTTTTTGTCTATGATGGCCGTCAAAAGCCTCCATTCAAGAGGGGAAAGGCTGTTTCTCCGCGAAGTTACGGCAACGCGCCAATCATCCAGCGTTCCAAAGAGCTCATTGAGCGGTTCCGATTCCCGTGGCATGAAGCTCCGGGTGAAGCAGAAGCTGAATGCGCGCGATTACAGCAAGCCGGCATCGTCGATGTGGTTATGAGCAACGATGTGGACGCGCTCATGTTCGGGTCTACCTGGACTATCATGAACTTCTCAAAAGAAAGCGGCAGTAGCTCTGCTGCGACCCATGTGACTTGTTATCGCTTCGGAAATGAGGATCATGTTTCAAATGTGCCTCTCAGTCGAGCAGGAATGATTTTGTTTGCCATGCTCAGTGGCGGCGATTATTTGCCAGGGGGTGTTAAAGGCTGCGGACCTGGGTTGGCCGCAGAAATCGCCAAAGCTCACTTCGGCGAGGATTTGCTTGAAGAGCTTGCATCACATTCTCCTGATTTAGATACGCGTCTCAGCGAATGGCGGGAGCGACTACAATACGAACTAGAGGAAAATGAAAGCGGCTATTTTACGACAAAACACAAAGCTGTTCGTATCCCAGACACCTTCCCCGATCGAACAATTTTGGAGTATTACGCCGAGCCTAAGGTTTCCACGGATGATGAAATGGCTACCCTTAGACGCCATTTGAGGCATGCCTGGGATCGCCAGATCGACCCTCTCGCGATAAGAACCTTTGCAGCCGATTATTTCGAATGGAATTATCGATCAGGTGCCAGAAAGGTGATTAAACTTCTAACGGAGCCTCTCCTCTCCTACAGGCTTCGTCTTCAACGGCCTGTGTCAGGCTTGACACAGGGAACATTAGCTCCCGATTGCGATACGCCATGGATGCATAAAGTGTACAAGACTCGTGCCAATTTTGCTACTGATGGCACGACTGAACTGCAAATGGATATGCTCCCGATCGATATTGTCGGTCTTGATCTTCTAGCCGAAGAACCGAATCCACCAGAAGAGGCTGTGCCTTCGCAAGAAATGGGCGAAGGAGACGAGGAAGATGATGCAGAAGTTGCTAATGAGGCCCTCGAAGGGGGACCCCCGGCAACGCCTACCAAGTCTCGTCCCAAAAAGCGATTTGATCCTTTCGCAGTTGAAAAGGTCTGGATCTTTGAGACTGTTGCCAAACTTGGTGTTCCCGATGCTGTCACCACCTACAATAAGGAACAAGCGGCAAAAGAGGCTGCAAAAGAAGCCGCGAAGGCCAAGAAGGCTGCACCGAAAAAGCCCAGCACCCGGCGCACTGGGCCTAAGAAGAAAGGGCCTATCGATCCAGGAATGAAGCAAGGAAGCATTTTGAAATATGGAATGCTCACAAAAGAGAGATCCGACCTGTCCCCATACAATAAAGCACACATCTTGGAGGCAGCTTCATCTCAGTCGACAACCAAGGAACCTTCTCCAGGTTTCCGAACCCCAACTTCATTCGAGAGCATTGACTTTGATGATTTATCTCCAAGCATGTACTCGCAGCATCAAGCTTCCAGTCAGATCCGCCATGCCTCTCGCGAGCTTGATGAGCTCGTTGACTCATTTTCATCACTATGCGCCGCATCATCAGCTCCAAGAGTCAAACGCCATCCTATGGCAAGACAAATCTCGGTCCCAGTCCGTGCAGGAGTTTTAACAGCCGGAGAAACCGAGATTTTGGAGTTTGAAACATCCAGATTATCACTTGCGGATACGTTTGTTTCGTCGCAACCCCCGGTACCTAGGGGGCTCAAAATGAGCTACTCTGTCTCGAGCTATGAGTCTTCGGAGGCTGTTAAACAGAAACCAGTAGCCTCACCAAAGAAGCAAACTCGTCGCAACCCCTCGAGATTGGTCAAACTTTCTCCTGATACGGAAAAAACTCCGGATGTTAACGATTTACAAAAAGGCATTGACTCTATGTCATTGTCAACCAAAAATGTGGATGAACGCCCTCCAGACCAAGCTGCACCTTCGATTGGGTCTTCCTGTTTGAAGGATGAGAAGAGGTCAACCAGCAAAAAGAAGCCTTCCAAGAAGGGGCCGAAGGAAGAGAAGCGGGCTCTAGAGACTAAGCAAACCTTGGGCCACGTCGAGAACATCTCAATAGCTGATGGATTCTGGTTCTTTGACAAGCCAGCTGAGTCTGATACGGTCAAAAGAGATCCAGATGCGCCTGAGGGCGCAAAGCATGACCAAAAGGAAAAGGTCAAGACAAAACGAGTTCCCCGCGTTAGCTTTATTGATTTGATTTGACCGCATTCTTATACCCCTATCATTGCATTTTTTGGACACTTGGGCAGGGACTCGGCGTTAATGGTACAAGCATCATGTCAAGCGTACATATCAGTTTAATCTGGATACAAGCATGAATCTATCGCCTCTAAGCAGGATACAATAATGAAACTCGCATCATGATACTCTAAAGTGTGCAAAATAAAGAGTAAGCATACAAAAAGAGGGTTGGTCAAGCATTAAAATGAGCGAAAGACCTCTTCACACTGGGGCACTCTCCCTCATCGGGCAAGAGTGAGTCGTACCTCCCACTTTAAAATCCCGTCTGCTTTCCTTCTTTTCTTCTCTCCTCACGCTCCTCTTTGGCTCTGCACTCTCCGCCTCGGCGGCGCATGACCATTGGTTTGTCGTGATGTCTTGTAGACTGACTTTCTTTTATTCCCGAGTGATGACTTACCGTGGAGACCTCTTTTTGAAGGCATCTGACTACGCGTCTGGAAGCTGATCAAACTGGTCAGGCTGGATGACCATCGCACAGCGGGCATTTGGCGGGGATCACGGCCTGACGGGACCCCTAACACCCCTTGTTGCATTTATTATTTGTTTTGGCTTTGTTGACTCGAAATGTATATATCTTTGGTTTTGATTATTCAAGTTTTAGTTTCAATAAACCAGATTCTTGGTTCGTGAACATCTTACACTATTGTGAATTGTGACGTGATTGGCTTGAGGGATTCATATTTTGTAAGCATAACGGCCTTGGAAATAACGGCATGGTATCCTAGATGTAATAGAAATATCTAATCGAAGCCTTCAAAGTCATCATCATCCTTTGAAGCTGGGTTGCCACCGGAGAGCTGTAATGCGAGCTGCTCCCGCCGCCGTTCCTCGTTCTTGACCCGAATGGACTCCACCATTTGCTTCGTCTCAAGAACCTTCTTCTTCTCATCCTCGGGCAATAGCTCCCACTTTTCACTCTCCTTCTGTGCCTGCTTGGACTCCTTCCGCTTGAGCCTCTTCTCCCTATTTTCTGAATTTTGACTCCAAGCCGCACTCTCAGTGGCAACTCGCTTCTTTGACGCCTGCAGGCCCTTCTTCTTCTCTTCCTCGGTTTCTAGGGCCTTCTCCTTGCGTCGCTTCTCTTGCTGCTTGTCTTTGTAGGCGTAGTTATCCCAGTCATTGCTCACGCCCAATGTCCGATCTCCCTCAAATTTGCGCAGCTCTGGCATTGTGGGTAGGCGAAGAAGTCCCCAAGCTTTACCCAAGGCTTCCCAGTCGAGATCTGGCACGCGGAAGATACTGCTGGCTTGATGCTTGCTGTAACTGCGAAGCCAACTGACAAAAGCCTTTTGAGCCTTGTCGTGAATAGCACGGTCTTTGAGAAGAGCTTTCCGAATGGACTGAGTAGCCACTGCGGCATCCACATCGGAGCTAGGTGTTGGGAGGTTGAAGGGGGCGACTGGAGTCTTGCGCACTTCCAAGAACGAGACATAATCTTCCTCTCGGCCGGGATGCAGAAGCACGATGCTAAGACCTCTTCGTCCGGCGCGACCTGCTCGGCCACACCGATGAATGAAGGTTTTGGGGTCTGAAGGCGGGTCGATCTGAACAACTAGATCGACGGATGGAATATCTAGGCCACGGGAGGCAACATCAGTAGTTAGGAGGACCGAAGGGTTTGAAGAGGTGGTGAAGCGGGTGAAGTTCTTTTGGCGGACGTTGGAAGCGTGTTTGCCATGAAGTGGGACTAGGAGGAAGTCGTCTCCCAGTACGATTGGTAGGATCATGGCCAAATAATCCACACTAGAGCATGTTGATACAAAGAAGATAGTCTTTTGGGGCGTCGGTTGAACGGTTTTCAAGATTTGCTTGAGCACTGAAAACTTGTGAGCCGGGGGTGTTGTGAGGTAGGTCATCTGCAGACTGTCTAGAAGTTAGCATCATTCTTCAGAGTGGTTGACTGGAAAAGAAACCAACCTGGCAGGAGTACGCTTGTCCTCAGCTCCGCCTCCTCCTTTGACCTTGACAGCAATTTTAACTGGATTCCGAAGTCCCAGGCGGACAATTTGATCCACAGCTTCACTAATACTGGCACTGAATAATCCAGTTCTCCGCTGTTTAGGAAGGTGTTGCAGAATCCTTTGGAGATCATCCTTGAATCCAAGATCCAAAAGCCTATCGGCTTCATCGAGCACAAGCATTTCGAACGAGGACTGAGGGCAGTGAACATGCGGGGAAGAAAGCAGCTCCAAAAGTCTTCCGGGAGTAGAAACTAGCACATTGGGCGATCGCTTGAGGAAAGAACTGAGATCTTCAGCCGGTGTTGTTGAGCCACCCAAGAGAAGTTGTGGGACGACTTTCAAGGTAGAGGAAGAGGACTTGGTCTTCGGTGCGCCTTCTTCCGGGGGGTGAATCGCTGCGGCGGACGGCGGGTGGAATTCCAATAATGAAAGTAAGACTTGGTAAATTTGTGTAGCCAGTTCTCTGTTCAGGAAGATTAGCGACAAAGATCTATGAGCAGTCCGTGCATCTTGACTTACCTTGTCGGGGAGATGATGATAGCACCAATATGGTGCTTCTTGAGGGGCTCATCAAGGCGCAGAAGCTTCTCCACCACTGGCACCAGAAAGGAAAGTGTCTTTCCACTGCCTGTGACTGCTTCAACGACAACATCCTTATGTGTCATAAACAGAGGGATTGCGGAGGCTTGGACTGGGGTCATTCGTGTAAAGCCCATGGAGGACACGGCATCCAATGCCCATTGCGACAATGGAGGTTTGATGCCATCCCATGATCTAGAGGACGAAGGTTTCGGCGCCATGATCAATGACTTTAAGCCGAGGCTGTTGGTTTGAATATTTGCCTATGATCGCAAATCGCAAAGAAAAAAAGTTGCCCCGGTCTTATCGATTAGTTATCTCCACGTGACCTGCGGCATTGGGCGGATCACGATCTACTTTTCCCTTTCTGTCCTAACACTGCCTAACTCAGCTTGACATTTCAGCTCCTATTCAGCACATATATGATGTGCAGCGTCCATTTTTGTGTCTACCAATATACTCATCATAGTTCATAACGCACTATTACTTCCAAAAATCCGCCATCATTGAGTTCTTATCAAGATCATTGATACCTTGCGGCAATCTTGCCTGCGACAGCACAAACACCTGTGCGCGACCCTTATCTGGCCTTATTTGGTCTCGAGCACTCCCACCTTTTGCAGTGCGAGCATCCGACATGCCGTCCACACCTAGTACAATCCCAGAGACGCGAGTCATCTCCCCGTCGCCCTCCCTTTCCGATAGATCAGACGCACGTGATGGCTACTTTGCGCCGGTAACGCGATCTGCGTCACGCCGACAACAAGATGGGTCTGTCTCAGGGCGCACACGAAGCCCACCTGATGAGACACCATCAAGGAGTTCCACGCGACAACGTCGACCGGCTCGGCGGTCCAATCCCAAAATCCCAGCTTCACCACCAGCTACCAATGGAAGCACCAACGGTTTCCTATCACCCACGAAAGTCTCAGATACACTACGCGACCTATCGAGATCGCCATCCCCCCTCGGTCTGATTCCTCTACATTCCAGATACCGCAGTTTCATTCACCGCCATGAAATTCCACGGAAGGTCCTGCACGTGTCAATTGGGTTCTTGACACTTCACCTCTATAGCCGAGGTATCCAGACACTTGAAATTACACCGGTACTCTTCTCTGCTCTAGTCCCAATCGCAGTGACGGACTTTGTAAGACATCGTTCGGAGAAGGTCAATAAGTTCTATGTTCGTACTTTGGGTGCGCTCATGCGCGAGACTGAGGTCTCCGGCTACAACGGTGTGATCTGGTACTTGCTCGGCGCATATGTCGTCCTTCGTTTCTTCCCCAAGGATGTTGGCGTAATGGGCGTACTCCTTCTCAGCTGGTGCGACACCGCAGCATCAACCTTTGGCCGCATGTACGGCCGCTACACCCCTCGTCTCCGACAAGGGAAGAGTCTGGCTGGCACCGCAGCCGCCTGGCTAGTTGGCGTTGTCACCGCCGCCGCTTTCTGGGGTTGGTTTGTGCCCTATATGGGTGCGTTCCCCAATGATCCAGAAGGCTCGTTCTTGTTTACCGGCAGCCTAAATCTGTTCCCAAATTGTGTTCGAAGTCTGGTGGGCTGGGACGCCGTTGAGACTTCATCCACCACCATCACCGGCCCATTGGCTCTTGGCGTTATGAGCGTTGTTTCTGGCTTCGTCGCTGCCGGCAGCGAATTTATCGATCTTTGGAGCTGGGATGACAATTTCACCATCCCTGTGCTGAGTGGACTTGGACTTTGGGGATTCCTGAAGGTCTTTGGCTAGACATATATTCACTTTCCTTTTCAAATTTGGCGTACAGCAATTTCACATATACATCCCTCCTCATGTCTTGGTATCTCAATGATGTTTAGATGACTGGTGTTCTCTTCTTTCGGGCATGGCATTGCATCTTTTTTCCTTTTTCTTTTTTGCTTAGACAGGCTGCATCTTCCATGCTCCTGTCGATATGAACATCCGTCATACTCTCTAGGCATTTTGCCCAGGTGTAGCCATTGCTGCCATTGGCACATTATTTCACTTTTATGATACCACTATTTACTCCCAAGGTCTATTTATGCCTGTTCACTAAATGTTCACTGTAGGAAACGACAGTCTTACTGTAATTTTCGAATCCAGATTTACCTCTACACTCTTAGACTTCCGATCCCGAACCCTAGCTGAAACACGCTAGTCTAATCTCAGCCGTTCAAATGACCCCTCGCCGGACTGCATGGTATTCACGGGTACCGACGAAGGACTTATCGTTTTAGTACCGTAATACTACGTGGAACCACACAGAACCACTAGCAATCTTCTGTCATCTTTCCGCCCAGGCTCACTTCATGTAATGTCAGCCTTGGCCAGATCGTTCTTCCCTTTTGAAACCCGAAAGCAATCGAGCTATTTCAAAGTGCACCATGACTCCCCGGACACCATCGTCTTATGACGATTATACGGTCGGATGGATCTGCGCCTTGCCCTTAGAGATGGCAGCTGCGAAATTGATGTTGGACGCAATACACCCAAGTCTACCTCAGCCGTCGGCAGATAACAATACATATGTCCTCGGAAATATTGGTCATCACAACATTGTTATTGCCTGTTTACCAAGTGGTGCATATGGCAATATCTCAGCTGCAACGGTTGCAATGCAGCTGCAGTCCAGTTTTCACTCAATAAAATTTGGTCTAATGGTCGGCATCGGTGGGGGAGTACCTAGCAGCAATGCAGATATTCGACTGGGTGACATTGTGGTGAGCCAGCCGGCGCATACATCTGGGGGTGTTATTCAGTTCGACCTTGGAAAAGCGTTAAGCGGCGGTCAGTTCCAGCGAACAGGAATGCTTAACCGGCCACCTAAAGCTCTGTTGACCGCGCTCTCTGCATTACAAGCATCTCATTTCGCTGCAAGTAATCGCATTCGAGAATTCCTTTCTGAGATGCAGACCAAAACGACGCCTCAAAGCGCTGCAAACTTTATTCGGCCAACGAAAGAAGACTACTTATTCCAAGTGGATTACTGCCACGAAGCATATACTACTTGTATCAACTGCGATCTATCCAAGCTAGTTCAACGACCTACACGGCTTAACGAGGAGCCAGTCATTCACTATGGTCTGATTGCATCCGCTAATCAGGTAGTTAAGGACAGTAGGCTGCGAGATCTACTAGCTCGGGAACTCGGGGTATACTGCGTGGAGATGGAAGCTGCGGGACTTATGAATGACTTTCCATGTCTAGTCATCCGTGGCATCTGCGATTACGCAGACTCACATAAGAACAAGGAATGGCAAGGATATGCGGCAGCAATAGCGGCAGCCTACGCCAAAGAACTTCTTTTGGTAGTCCCTATCGATCAGGTCAACCATACTACAACGGCACGAGACCCTTTAGAAGACTCTGGTAAGAGAACACTGATTGCAATCGATGGTACTCGGTCTGAATCCCTTACTAAATGAAGCTTTACAAGCACAGTTCACCGCTTTAATGTCCCACTAGACCTTACTGCAGTGCCTACAGTCGAAAGCTTCTTAGGGCGACAAGACGAGCTGAACCATCTATGGCAGTACTTACAGCCAGTGAATGCACAGTCGCGGAAAGTAGCCATCCTTCATGGCCTTGGAGGGATAGGAAAGACACAGCTAGCGATCCGCTTCGCTCGAGATCACAAACACGATTTCACTGCCATTCTTTGGCTGAACGGCAAGGATCGGCCTACCCTCCTACAATCTTTGAGCTCCAATCTATCTCGCTTACCAGGGCAATCCCAAGACAAGGAGGCAATCAACGAAGCAGAAGTGAAGAAACGAGCGAGAGACGTCTTACAGTGGCTAGCATTAGAGGGCAATTCACGCTGGCTGGTCATATTCGATAACATCGACCAATATTCTTCCAACAATAGCCCTGCTGACGAGGCATACGATATTGGAGAATTCTTTCCTGTAGCTGATCATGGTTCTATTCTCATTACCTCTCGCCTTCAAGAGTTGACTGAGCTAGGGAAATCATTCATGATGCATAAACTTGACTCTGAGGATTCAATCCAGCTTCTTTTACAAAGCAGTCGTCTACTATCAGCAAAGAATACCTCTACTAAGCACGAGAGCACCCCAGGTAACGAAATTCTCTATACGTATATGAATATCATGTTGATGAAACTGACTTGGTTAGATTTGATTACTCTTGCAAATCGTCTTGACGGACTACCATTAGCGATTGTTCTCGCCGGCGCATTTATGCGTCAAACTGGAACAAGCGCCATTGAATACTTGCATTATTACGAGGAGTCCTGGACTGACCTACAGTTTCAGTCAAAGCCTGGACGTCAATATCAACATAACTTGCTGCAAACATGGATGATCTCATATCGTGAAATTGAGAGGCGAGACTCAAATGCAGCTATGATGCTACTGCTACTTGCTCGATTCGATAATCGAGACATCTGGTACGAATTGGTTAAGAATAGCCGGTATAGCTCAGATCTCCCAGTCTGGCTCGACAGAGCTGTATCAAGCAAGCTTGCATTCAAAACTGGAGTGAGAAGTCTCATTGAATTTTCTTTCCTCGATATCAAAGAACAAGATGGAAGCTATGCGATGCACCCAGTAGTTCAGGACTGGTGCCTTCAACTTGCTAGCGCAAACGGAGAACTCGTGAATTCTATCCAGCTTGATGAACTTGCATTGATATCGGTTGGATGCACTGTCCCTGAGGTAAATGACAGGAATTATGCAGAGCTTCAGCAGCGGCTGATTCCACACTCGAAATTTGTGCGTCATCGCAATTGCTCGGATAGTAATATTGCAATATGGGGAGCCTTCAACGGTTTAGGCAACCTCCTTCGGAATCAAGGCAAGCTCAAGGATGCCGAGGAGATGTACCGGCGAGCGCTGCGAGGCAAAGAAAAAGCACTAGGTCCGGATCACCCTTCCACTCTCAACACAGTCAACAATGTTGGTCTTCTCTTTAGAGACCAGGGCATGTTGGAAGTGGCAGAAGGGATGTATCGGCGAGCACTAGCAGGAAGCAAAAATAATCCGACCCTAGGTCCAGATCATACTTCCACTCTTCGGATAGTCAATAACCTCGGGATTCTTTACTCTGATCAGGGCAGGCTAAAGGAGGCAGAGGAGATGTATCAGCGGGCACGATTAGGTTACGCGAAGGCCCTGGGTCTACACCATACCTACACTCTTGATTCAGTTAACAATCTGGCCCTTCTTTATTCTGATCAGGGCAAATTGAAGCAGGCAGAGGAGATGTTTCACCAAGCCCTATCAGGCCATGAGGAATCTCTAGGCTCAGAGCATCCCTCAACGCTTAATATAGTCAACAACCTTGGTCTCCTCTACTTTGACCAAGGTAGGCTAAAAGAGGCAGAGCAGATGTTCCACCGAGCTCTATTAGGCAAGGAAAAGGCCCTATCATTAGACCATACCTCAACTCTTGATACAGTCAATAACCTTGGCCTTCTCTACTCGAAGCAGGACATGCTAGAGAAAGCAGAGGAAATGTACCAGCGAGCACTGGTAGGTAAGGAGAAGGCTCTAGGTCTAGATCATTCGTCTACTCTTGATACAGTCAGCAATCTCGGTCTTCTCTTTAGAGATCAGGGAAAGCTGGAAGAAGCAGAGAAGATGTTCCGCCGAGCACTGGCAGGACGTGAGAAAACCCTAGGTCTGGACCATACGTCTACTCTTGGGACAGTCAATAACCTCGGAAGTCTCTTCTCTGACCAAGGCAAGCTAAAGGAGGCAGAGGACTTATATCAGCGAGCGCTCATCGGTTACGAGAAGACCCTTGGCCCGGATCATACATCCACTCTTAATTCATACAATAACCTTGGGAACCTCTATCGAAGCCAAGGCAAGCTCAAGGACGCCGAGAAAATGTACCAGCGAGCACAAGCAGGAAAGGAGAAGGCTCTAGGCCTAGATCATACGTCCACCCTTGATACAGTCAACAATCTCGGTCTTCTCTATAGAGATCAGGGCAAGCTAGAAGAGGCAGAGAAGATATTCCGCCGAGCACTAGCAGGACGCGAGAAGGCTTTAGGCCTGAACCATACGTCTACTCTTGGGACGGTCAACAATCTCGGGATTCTCTACTCTGATCAAGGCAAGCTCAAGGAAGCGGAAGAGATGTACCAGCGAGCGCTGGCAGGCTACGAGCAGGCGCTGGGTCCACATCATACGTCCACTCTTGATGCAGTCAACAATCTAGCTCTTCTCTACTCTGAGCAGGGCAAATCAAAGGAGGCAGAGGGGATGTATCACCGAGCCCTAGTAGGCAAGGAGAAGGCTCTTGGCCTGGATCATACGTCTACCCTTGATACAGCCAACAATCTAGGCCTTCTTTATTATGAACAAGGCAAATTGAAGGAGGCAGAGGAGATTTTTCACCGAGCCCTAGTAGGCTTCGAGAGAATGATAGGTCTGGAGCATACCTCTACTCTCGGTGTAGTCAACAACCTTGCGAATCTCTACTCTGACCAGGGTAAGATGAAAGAGGCAGAAGAGATGTATCAGCAAGCGCTGGCAGGCTACGAGCAGGCACTGGGTCCACATCATACGTCCACTCTTAATACTGTCAACAATCTAGGGGTTTTCTACTATGATCAAAAGCAGCCGGAGAAGGCAAGGGAGATGTTTCAGCGAGCACTCACAGGTTTCGAGAGAGTCTTTGGCCCAGATGACTATAGGTGTCGGGGGCTTGTAAAGAGCCTAGCTGTTTTACGCATTTCAGATGGAAAATAGTGTCAAGGACTTGCAATCAGGAATACATGTCCCACTATGAAACGTCCTTGCCAACTATTGCGATAGAGTTTACCAGACGAGTGTGCAAAAATGATTTTTGCGAAGCCGATTGCTATGACACTTCGAGCCAGCTTTCAAGAATACGTGTGATATGAAGTAGGCTTCGCATCATATTCGGGCATGGCAGGTTCCAGGCCTTCTCATCGCGTCTCTGGACAGATGATTTTTCTGGGTTTTTCAACATCTCGGTAAACTTTTCTCCGGCCAATATCATCTTCGAAAAGCACGTGAAGTACGCAAACGTCATCTACTGCGTACTGCGTAGTAGATACGACTTGTGGGCTCGTAGCACAAGTCTAACTGTTGCGGGAGCCCGTCCCAAATTTTGGTAGTTCCAGAGTTTTTGGAGCGCGCTACGGAGGAAGGGTATGCTATTCAGTTCTTGACAGGCGTTAATGCTACTGCGATTGGATTGGTGTTTACGGCTGTCTACCGGTTGTGGGAGATTGGTCATTTGACACGTCAGAATAGTGCTGGACAGAGTCTAGCCAAAGAAACGTGGTGGGCGGTTGTCACTACTATCTCCTATGCGGGAGAAGCTTGGTTCAAGGTGCCTCCTGTCGTGTCTATTGTTGTTGGTGCTATTCTGGGGGTATGTTGGTACGGGGATGTGGGGCGATAAATGCCCTTATTGGGTTCTTCCTACATGTATCTTCTTCTGTTGCGATTGAGTCTCTTTGGGTTGTTGCAGAATTCTTCTTTCTCCCATTAATGTATAGTCATTACTATTTCAAGAAGCCTGGAACAATGGAAACAAGAAACCCTGTCCCTTATCCTAGCATGCGGGGGAACCTGTTCCTGGATCTTCCTAATAGAGGCTCCTGCTCCCTATTCACCATATGTTTTCTCTTGGCCCTCCGCCAAGCCGATGCAAACAAAACACACTGGCCCATCGCAAATACCCCATTATCAAAAGCGGGGAACCCACACAGGTCATACCAATACATCAGATTGTCAATGGCGATCACGGGCCACGACCACTCGCCCCACCCCAATCTGGCAGTTTCAATCGGAACGCGCCAGATCCATGTGAAAGCCACTGCAGTGAAGACGACACCTTGCACCGCCAATCCGCAGATACTTAAAGCATTGTCTGGTGGACTCGTTAAGTCTGTGCTCCTTGCACTTTTGATTTCCCGTAGCTGCGAAAAAACACCATATACCACCAACACTGTTGTCAGAGGGTTCAGCAGACACATGGAGAGGAAGAATATTCCCGAAGCTACAGGATCACCGTAAGTGTGATCTGGTGACGGGAAACCATAGAGGATATCCAAAATTGGGGGGATTATTGATATAGGGATGTAGACTGCGTATGCGGTGATATAGAACGACCTATAGGGTGCGTGTCGTAAACAGGCACAGAAACTGGGTGGCAGGTTAGTTGGGCTTGCTTGGTTGTACCAGGGGCCGAGAGCCGGGCATTACTAACAGTGTAAAGAATGATAGCCAGACCACTGCAGTCTGGTACATATTCAGTCTATCTCCGAAAGTTGGAGGATGATAGACGAGTGGGATGTTTTGCTCAGGGTGTTTGGCTATGAGAAGATAGACGAAGAATTTGAATTGCTCCGTTGCACAGAGGAGATTCCAAAAGACATAGTCCGTTGAAATCCCTTTGCTGGTCTTTTTTGTCCAGATGCGAAGCAGTTGAGGGAGAAATGATAAAGCGGTTAGGATGGTGAGCGCCCTGCGGGTTTTCAAACTTGTTAGCCGTCCTGGGTCTTCGTTTTGCTAGTGCTGGAACATACACTCTGAGGCGGTCAGGTATAGGTATTAGAAACATTTTGAGTAGACTGATCCCATACAATACATGCTACAAATTTTAGGTATTCGGAGAGACATTGAGGGGTTTCCCTTGGCTGTCACCACTTACCTCTTCTGGTATAGCGCCTTCCCTTGAGCCCCAAGCGCAAGTTTGTTTGGCCAGTTTTCATATAATCTACTAGGCAGCCAAGCTTGCCATCTCATGCACTTATTACAAAGCTCTGACTATGACTCTAGGACTTCCAAGGTTGAGGGTTCAAAGGGTTGGATCTAGAAGATTACTCTGACACGTATCGCGACTACAGTGGATCAAGCCAGAGTGGCTCTAGATCTAAGGGAGCTTCCAAGAAAGCAAGTGCAGATTTCCAAGGTTAGGCAAGCCTAGGGGAACGGACAATCTGAGCAGATATTTCGTCTTGTTCATTTCCATACAAATATATCCATCTCGACGACCATAAAGAAAATCATTATTATAGCACAAGCTGTGGATATTGATTGTATGATTGATTTTCCGAGACAAGTCGTACTTCATTTTCTAGTCATTTCTCCCAAAATATACACATCCTTGTTAACTAAAACCCGAGGCAGGCCATGTGCCCAGGCAATCATGGGTTGGCTCAGAAATTGACGTCCCCTTCGAACTCCTACCCATGTTGCTATAGTGTTGGCCATGATCAGCTCCTGGATCTGGATCTGCATATACATTCATACCGAATTCTTAGGCTCCATCGCTCTCGGTCCCTGTCAAATTTCCGGCCGACCCATCCTGTTATGCGTGGAACGGGTTCACATAACTTCGCCCGCATATATGACTGCGAAATAGAATGCGAGCCGCCTTTATACCGAATTCACCGTTCGCATTGTATATTCGATAAGCCTTGCGCAGTGATTTGTGCAACTTGGCAATGTGGTCCAAATCCCAATTCGTGAACTTCTTATTTCGATGCCCTCGGGTACGCGGCCCCCGTGGATAGTGATAGCCACAGAACTTGTTTCCACGTTCTTCCCACAAAAGCAGTCAAAATTCTGTGGTTGAGACTGAGCAGGGCGCTCTGGCCTTGCCAGACACCAGGAATTATGGTCCATACAAGTAGGAATCCGCATGACGTTGCTCCCGCTGAGACAATTCTGTGATTTGATGCGTCATCCCACAACCAGAATAATATTTGTTCACCGTCACTTGCACCACCACGATCACTCCGAGGATGGATCATCCGGCGTTTGAAGTTACCTGGTGCGAACGACGTCCTGATTCAAGTCGCCAAGTCCGTCCCGATCTCAGTCCTACGTTCCCTTTTTGGGTAGTGTCCCTCCAGCTGGTATTGCATGGAACGATTAATGACCCATTGGACAGATTGTTTGCTTCATTCTCCTTTCCAAGAGCCACCAGGTCATTCGTGTTGTGACAAACAAGTGACTCACTCGTTTTGTCGTCATGATCGCCATTGTGACCCGTAACGTGCTGGCTCTTGTGGGGACAAATGTAGTGTCACATTGTTCACAAGTTGCATCACGTACATCGCATCTGATGGATATGTCTCGAACATGACATAAGACAATAATTCCCATGTATCCGGTGTAGGTCTGTGAATGAACCCGCCGGCAGATCCTGGTTTGGGAATCCCTTGATGTAAGCGTCTAGCCGCTCGTAGTCAGAGATTGATTCTTTCAATCCTTTTCAGCGTGTTTCGGTTTTCTGAGCTCAGTGGCATGTCACCATGCTTGCGTGGAAGACTCCATGTGTCTCGGTTGTTATTATCTCCTGAAAAGGTCTCGAACAGCTTCTGATAGCCCCCTGAAGATTTCTACAGGCAACCTCTGTATAATTTTGTTAGTGAGAGTAATCAGAGACGGATATGATGGAGGACTTACCATGTTTGGTGGTAGTGGCAGGTCCTAAGAGATCGTTAGTAAACGCTTTTGAGGATTGTCAGGGACAAGCTTGCCTCGAATAAACTTTGATCTGACCAAACGCCAACGCCATGATAAAACTCATTGGAGAAAGAAAAAGCCTGGGTCGGGTCTGAGGCTACCAAAGCATGAGTTGTCTCTGTTAAAGGGTGCCGGTCCCATCTGGGACCCCTTGAAGGTTGTGGGTGTGTGAGAAGGAAGAAAGAAGAGAAGGAGAGAGGAAAGTGCTTTATATAGTGCAGAAAGTTGCTGCCTACATGAAGTATTTCGTTTGTCGTTCAGGTTCATATGTTGAAGTTGACCTCGAGCCTTGAGAGATTCTTTCTGCTCCGAGATGCAGGAGTACAGAAAACCAAATAATTACAAACTTGAGATGATATGAGAATGGAACGTTGGAAAATTGGGTTTGATAAGTAATAACCACTAGTTCTGTCAGAATAATCCCATGAACCGGACGCCAGCCTCCCAAAAAGCACCCTTGCCACCCACAACAATAAAAAAAGATGACAGAAAAGAAGAAATATTGCTGAATATTAGCGGAGCCTGTCCCCAAGTGCATAATGATGCCTCATGCAAATGGCAATACGATTAGTGGTTGCGGGTGCGCTTGCTGCTGCGTTCCCGTTCCATGCCCACAGACTGGAACATCTCGGCGCCGCCCCAGGGTCGTGCAGGCTGGACCTGCATACCGACAGAAACCGGGAAATCGGGGTGCAAAGCAGAAAAGCGCTCAGGATTGGGTGGGGCGCCATTCGTGGAGTCAGAGGGAGGCGCGGAGGCAACAACCTCGATAAGAGAGGAGTCGATCCAGCCTGATGGCTTCGAGGTCAGACGGTCTAGACGGAGAAGATCGTCATCCACCTCCTCGTTCAAAAGGGAGGTCAGAGGAGGAGCATTGCCGTTGGGACGTGCAGAGTAGTTGGAGAGGACATGGTAAGGCAAAGCGGGGCGCGTCGCAGGCTTATCGGCCAGATCGGCCAGGGCGCTGAGAGCACTGTGGGCAGCGGTTGTGCGAGTCGAGCGTGTAACATGGAAGTTGTGGCTTGCAGTGCGAATCATGTCCGAAGCAGCGGGGGTACCACTGTCGTCCATAGGAGTCCCATCGGGCATATCTTCGGCATCCGTGTTGTTACCGTTGGTAATAGCACCGGAGCCTTGCTCCGCGCGCTTCGAGGTCGAGAAAAAATGGAGGGCAGCGGCATGCGCTTGATTCGCGTGGGCGCTGAGCTCCTTATCGGTGAACAATGAATTGATCGAGTATGTTGGGGCAGTCTGCTGTGCGAGGTAGGCCTTAGTGCGCTCGGCCGGAGTCGTGCCACCCGCGTCCCGCACGGGTGATCCAACATCTTCCTCCGGCGCCTTGCGCTTGCGCTTGTTCAATTCTGCAGCACCTCCATTGCCCAATTCATCGATATCCACACGGTGCCGAGTGTGGCGGGTCTTGCGGTTGCTGTGAATTCCGCCGGGGCTCGCGGGGTTGGTGATGCTGAACTGGTTGGGGTGCAGGAGGAGCGCATTGGTGTCCGCTATATCAAGTTGTTCCTTCTCACGCATCAGGCGAGAACGCTTGCTCGAAATGCTTTGCATAAGACGCTCGCGCATAGTTCCTGCCAAATGATTGAACTCTTCCTTGGCAAAGTGCACTCGGAATTCATATTCGCGCCGGTGTCGCTCGAGGTTATTTTCGTGGCGGCCCTAGAAAAACAATGAGGTTAATGATAGACTTATAGCCAACGGTATTCTTCAGAACATACCACAATGCGAGCCATATCCGCATCACGCGTCTCCTTGACATTGTTCACCTCATGCACGAATTTGGCATAATAAGTCCCGGACAGGCTTGCCATTTCTTTAGCAAACTTGCCACCACCAACAGTCTCCTCGATAAGCTGCGCAACATCCTCGGAGGAATCAGGAAGCGGGCCAGCATCGTAGGGGTTCGAGTTATTAATAAGGGTCATATCGCATTGCAATGAGTGCAACTGCTGTCGGAACTGGGCATCGCGGTTCTGGCTGAAAGTAGCAGTCAAATCATGAAGACGTTCTTGCAGGGCAGAGCGACGTTTATCACGTTTTGAAACAGGTCCCGCTGCGCCGGAGGGGCTGGTGGAACGACCGCGTGAAAGTAAGCTGCCATGGTAGGCGGGCCCGGCCCCGGGGGACGGGGGAGGAGAGTAGGCCATGAATTCGCTGCGTGGGCAGTCGAGGAAATGTGAAAAGCAGGGCGGTGAGGTGGTTGTAGGTGGAATGACTCGTGGAATGATCGCAAAGGGGAGATTTAAGACTTTTATAGTATATGCAGACGTATATGACCGGCAAAAAGTGAAGTGGAGAGGCAAGCCGCGACGTTTGTACTATGGCACCCGAAAAGGGTTAGTGTCGGGGCTAGGTTTTTCCCCACCGGCGCGTACTGTTGCCCTGCAGATACTCCATGACAATTAGTACATTTCGCAAGAGTAGCACGAGTTATTCTTTGCATATTCACAAGATACGACATTAAATATCTTTATGTGAACAGGATTGATCCTAAATTTGAATGCGTACACCCATCTGCATCCTATACCTCATGGAAACATATCCTATATCAATTCATGTCAGGACTAAGTGCAAGTTCATAAAAAGTGTGGTTACTATGTAAAGTCAAGGCGGTCGTATTAGAGACTTTCTCCCAAGATTTACGTGGCTCAGGGCTATGAGCAGTCACAATAGAGATGCGACCAAAACTGAATAGCTTAAGCGAAGTAAGCGTTGTCAAGTGGGGATAGACACCTCTTAAGTACGAACGCTTAAAATTGGACTTCGATCAAAAGTACATCCTATGCATGACCAGGTCACCAATAACACAGTCGTCCGCAACAATGCGATGCAATTACCTAACAGCTTCCTATTTTCCAAATGAGAATCCTAGTGGAGCTCTAGTAAGCAGGTTCCCACCCATGCTCAGACCAGATAGTGATACTGACTCACTATCTTCCAATCACATCAAAAATAGAGTCGGTGAGGCAAAGGTGCCTGATGATGCCTGAGTAGCAGATTGGAGAAAGAAGAGAAAAAAAGGGGGACACTCTCATTTATGAAATTCATATATTGGACTTTATAAACTTGTCTTATATATTAATCACGAGAAAAAAGAAAAAGAAATCATGAAAATCTTCGCCAAATGAGAACCAACATCATGGGTATTCACAATCATTTCCGTCCGGCCAAAGCACAATAAACAAGGCCGAAAAAAGTACCAACTCCAAGGACACCAGTGGTCCTATGACATAGCAGTTGACAGGAGCTGCAGAGAGAAACATGTTTTAAAACGTGGTAAGGATAAAGGGGGTGAAGAGAAAGAGGAAATTTTATAGGGGGTCGGAGAGTTGAGGGTGATTGCCTCGATTAATGGGTGCGGCGAATCACAAATACACCTAGCTCAACTCCATCGCGAGGCTCATTGTCCTCGCCATAGGGTCGCTTGCGGATGCCTTCGAAGATCTCACTTAGCAGCATGGCAGAGGTGACTTCTTTGCTGTCGCCCATGCCGGAGTTCATGGTCTTAGTTACCGGTGGGCGACGGCTATTCTGCCAGTGCATGCTGAGGACCTCCTTCATGCGGGCTTTTTCTTGGTGGATGAACCATTCCACCCAAAGGTTACGGTCCAGGTGAGTGCTGGCCCGGCCAGCGTCAGCAACCTGGAACTGTGAGGATGGTGAGCTCAAAGAATCACACAGAGAGTTCAAGTTCGCTTTCATGGTAGCGAAATCGTCCATCTGGGAAACTGTTGATAGTTTGCCCAGGTAGCGGCCCACATCCGCAGATAATCCATTGACCACAACAAGTTGGCGCAGGAGGGGGTCAAGGATGGGGCCCAAGTATTGGGACTTGAAGGTGGATGCACCTTTCTTGGTCGGGTACACGAAGAGAAGGGAGCCGCCGTTCGGGGACAGCTCACTGAGACGATCGACGAGGAAAGATGGGCGGGTGGGGCAGAATACATCACGGTATTCTTGGGCGGAGGATGGGGGAAGATACCGCTCCAGGACGGAGATGTGAACGCTGTGGGGAGGAACAACGGGCATAGGAACGTGGGAAAGATGACGTTGGAGAGGTCCACGGAAATCGTGGTAAGCACCGACTACTGCGGCGCTGGAGAAGACAGTGGCGTTGAAGTAGTCTTCAGCGGCGTTGGGAGAGCGGGGAGTGCTTGGGGGAGAGTGAGGAAGGTTGGACAGGCTGAACTGTTCGGGAACGGCATGTGTGACATTGATATATGGTGATTGGCCCGGCTGGAGGTGGTTGTGTACAGCCTGGACAATGGAGCTGAAGATGCTGTCGTTCCTGGAGGTGGAAATCGACTGGTCGGAAGTGCGCGGGTATGGAAGGGTTTGTGAGACGATTTTGACGGCGTCCGATCGTGGGTTTGACATTGCCAATGATGACACTAGAGAAATCAGCAACTGACCCATGGAAGCAGACTATATCAAAGTCACCTACCAGTAACATTGATTCCGTGATCTAGCCAAGATCCAACATCTTGCTGACAATCCATCTCGTCATGGGGGCCAGGACTACCACTCGAACTAGAAGAGCCGTGAGACAACCCGTCCGATGGGCTGCTCAATGTGTCTGAGGGGCCGGTGGGTGATGTGTTCATTCCTGGACCATCATCCATCATAGCGGGGGCGTGATGAGAATGTCCAAACAACAGCATGTCCGACTTCGGATCCCACGCCAGGTGGCTATCGTCTTCTGGGGGTGTGGGAGGTAGAGTAGTGGGGTAGTCACTCTGGAACGATTTTGGTGAGTTCCAGGGCGAGGACTGTGTCGATGATGCTGTCAATGGTCTCGGCCCGCGAGACACGGTGGTGGACAGGCGCAGACGAGATTCCGATGACCTGTTTCGGGACTCAATTCGAAGCGGCGAGCCTGAGCTACGCTGTTCCCACGAAGGGAAGTGGACGGCCACACTGCCCTTGGAGAGAAACCGAGATACTGTAGATGGTTTGGTGCGGACAGATCCTTGAGAGGCTCGTCGACGGAGCTTGACTGGGGCAGGGCTAACGGAAACAGAGTCGGGAAGGGAGTGTTGGGAGCGTGGTCGTGAGTCGTCCTTGACGGAGTGCATGGTCAGATCGCTGGGAATTGAAGGCCACCCGGTTCCATTGCACACTTGATTCATCCAGGCAGTCCGGTCGGGAGGGCGGAGGGCGACGGACAGCATGGATGGAGCCGGGGATGGAGAGGACAGGTGATGTGTGAAGAAGTCCGGAAAGAGCAGAAGATCAGGAGGGAGAGGGCTAGAATAAGAAAGGAAAGGGAAAAGAGAAGATGGAGTAAGGGGAGTAGTAGGTGGATGCAAAACTTGAGTACCGGGTACACAAGGCCAATATGGTGGACACACGAGCAGCGCAAGTACCCAGTACGGGAGGCAAAGAAGAGTTGGCCCAGACTTTGAAGGTCTAGACCACCCAGAGTCGTGGAGTCATCGGGTCCCAGTTTTGGTCTTTTTTGACTTTTCTTTTTAATTTCCTCCCCGATGTGGAGAGGTTTTGTATAGGAGAGAGGTTGATTAAATATGTCATAAATTTTATGAATTTCTTCTCGAATTAAAAATCTTACGGAGTATCTAGAAAGTCCCTTGGAATCCCTTGTCGCGGTTGTTTGGGGGGACGAGTTGCTAAAAATGTGTTCCCGCCAGAGTCTAGACGAGTCGGCGGCCAAAGCTCTGCAGCGTGACTGGCTGTGACGCCCCACGCGGGCTGGGGCGATCATTCTCGATTCTGCATCGAGTTGATTGAAATTTCATTATGTAGTACTCAATCTGATTTCATGGAACCAAGGTGCCTTCGTGTGTCAGATTTATGCCACTTGCACTGTGTGAATTGATTAAATTCGAAATTAAACGGGTCTGTTCCAGTCGCTTCAAGGGATCATGATATTGATCCAGCACCGGAATAGGCAAGTACCTGATACCTCATCTGTTGTGTGCCCAGACCTCGCCCCCAATGTACCCTGTACATGGACCTCACATTGCCGTTTCCGGCATCAGGCTCTTGCCACCGAGGGGTTTGGGCCCAAAACCAAAACCTAATACATCTCAAAATTCCAGAATCCCAGGCAAGTCTTAACCTTCTGGAGAGTCTGGACTCCTAGGGGCGCCATACGAAGATTAATCTAACCTTGCCTGTCAAAGCACATCAATCATATTAGAGACCCTGGACCCTTTCTCCGGAGCAATCAAAATCATTGACTGATCCAAATCAAGGTTGGACCGTTGGTTAATTTCCACCGTCCAAAGTACACGATCTGGTTCGCAGTCCAGGATGATTTCCCCAGTCTCCACCCGGTCGCAGATAGAGTGGAATCTTGCCACTGACGACTTCAAAACGTGTCATCTAGCTAGAGTGGAATTTTACAAAAAGGCCATGTATACAAAGGTAGTAAATAAATATATTGGAAATAAAATTATGATTAACATTACAGCATCATAATGAAGGATTCGCTGCAGCGAACCGAATGTGGTAGGACTGAGAGGGCCTCCATTGTGCGACCTGCAGGTCAAATGTGCCGTGTCCTCTTCTTCTCCTCTTCTGACCGGGTCGCATTCTTACAGTAGACTATAAGCTGCGAAAAACATTGCGAATCCTTGCGTCTCGTTGGTTCGCGTGCGGAGGGGAAAACCCGGAAAGAGGTGCGGGGTTGACCATGTGTTGGCTTCGAGGCTTTGGAAGCCGGTTTTCCACACTTGGTGGCCTTGCCCCTGTGGACTTCCCAATGGGGGATGCCGGAGATAGGGAGCCTGATTTGACAGGCATTTGAGTGAGATTGAAGAATGTAGATAGGTCCAATGAAACTATCCCCTTCTGCCAATAAATCACGAAGTCATGGATCGCTGGCGAGACTGAGTCGAGCCGCTGCCAAGCGGCTGGCGCATCTCCCGAGAGCAGTTCCACGCGTTCCAGGTAAGAGAAGACCGATAACGCTGCTCCTCGCGGCTCAGCTTAACCTGTTTCCGGGCAAAGCTCGAGGTCTTGATAGCGATTTTGCAGGCTGGGCGCTCATACACGGGAGATGTCGCCAGTGAAGGCGGCTCATAGGTGGGGGTTTCCAAGTTGGTGCGCAATTCATGGCATTGGCGAACAAGCTGCTGAACACCGTCGGTCAAACGAGAAGCGCGATCTTCAATGTCAGGCCAGAAAGCATCACCCCAGAATGGATCCTCGCGAACGGCGGTCTCGAGCGCACTGAGCCAGCAGTTGAAGCCGGAGCGCGATCCCGCGAGCTGAGCGGCCACGGTCAGGAATCGAATTGTAGGCTCGGAATGGAGGACATGCAGAACGATGCAGGTCGGGCATCGCGCAGTAAGGTACCAGTCGTGCTCTTCGATAAGAATACAGTGGAGCCAGGCAAATGCACTGCGCGCCTCACCGCGGAACGCCCGTTCTGGCTCGGCCCCTTTTTTGTTGGGTAAAGCGCGAGCGGCCACTCGTTCCGCCTGGTGGTTAATCAGGAACAGAGGCACGAGGAGGGTATGAATGATGTCGCGATGCAGGCGGAAAGCTTCTTGGTCGGCTGAGTCGCATTCATGGCGGTGGGTAGAGCAGAAAGTCGGGCTTTCCATGCCGCAATCCTGACGGCGCAGCTGCTCCCGCATGGCGCGGAAGGCTTCATTACGCTCCAAGTCGATCTGGTCGCGTAAAGACACGCGGAATGGGCAAGGGGTCTCGGAAGACATAATTGTGGGGACGTGTTTCTCAGTCGATAAAAAATTGTAGACGCAAACTAATGATGAATTGAATATTCGACTAGCTTAGACAACCATGCCGCCATAGATTCAATCATGAGTTTTAATCTGGTATTAGGAAGAATGGACGGGGAGGATTCAGGACGAATTTCAGGGCAATTTCAGGGCTAAATGCCAGTGCCGGATGCGGACTGTATTATAGGGGATAACGCCCCCCTTTGCGGAAACGTCATGGGGACGAGCACGACGGGGATTGCAGATCGCGCAGGGACTCTGGTTTTTTGCCTTTCAGGCCAGCATCCAGGGTAGAGGAGTCGATCGTAATGGATCCAGCCCCACTAGCTGACGAACGCAGCCGTGGGTGGTGTCTGCCATTGGCGGATTTGGTCGGAATGGGTGGAGGTCTGTGGAGTTTGGAACACAGTCTGGACTTTCCATCTCCCAACCCGTGGCGCACAAGCATGGTTGACCACTCTTTTGCTCGTACTATAGATAGAGTCGTAGCTTCCCAGGTCTTACTACTCGTCACGACTTACCTAGATAACAAGCCCATCAGCAACGGAAACGCCCCGGATTCTAAGACATTTAAGCCACTGGTCGATTTTATTTGTGCGATCAAATTTTCTTCTGATACCTCTACTACCCTCCGATCGGCAGGGCGGCCCAAAATTGACCGTGCCCAATAGCTAGACCATGATAGCCGTTATATCGGGCTAGTTGACCGCTCGGAATTCAGGTTGTGGGAAGTAGAGAAGATCGTTCCCGACCAGAGAGAGTGGGGGAAAGGGGTCCCCCAATCAGCTAAGAGGCGTCCATTTTCCTTTTATTTTTTATTTTCTTCCCCCAGATCAATCATACCATGTGGTGCACATTCCGATCATAGTGGTTTATGATAGGTTGATTTCTATAGACAAGAGTACGGAGCACATACAGATTGCATACATACGTACCCATTTTATCTATACTGGGCGCTAGTGAGGGGGTTAGGTGGAACTCGGCAGACTCCGGCGAAGTCGGAGGTGAACGATCGTCGTCAAATGGATTTTCTCTTTTCCATGGCCAACTTGTGATGGGGATGGCGACATAGTCGAGCTCTGGACCAACGACGGAGACGTATGTCTTAAAAATAATCCAGGGGTACGTGGTATCGGTGTGCGCTACCAGCAATCGATATTGGGGTTAGGGCTGGACCAAACGGTTGAGTCCGCGTGGAGAACATTGTTCAATGGATTTTAACTAACCCTATTTACTGTTTATTGACCGACACAATTCTTTCCTATCAAAGCTTATATAGTTATTTAGATGTTCTAGTGTATCTAGTTCAATATAATTGGCCTTAAAATAGTCCCAATTGACTCCATTGACCTACGTACCCCCGTAATCTGAGGCAAATTCGAGATTGGGGCGCAATTAAGACTGTTGCGCGCTAGCTGCCACTGCAATCTCAATAATGGTTAGTGGTTGCCAAGAATTTCAACTGCCAGGAATTTCCTACGGTTTCCCTGCTTGCGCAGCTTTTCGACATTTTCTTTTCCTTCGTTGTCGTCGGTCGCTCTCTCCCTATCCCTGAAAGTGACTCTCTCGTTGTCCACAGGGTTTTCTTTGTGTGATTTCTTTCAACTAATATAGAAGCATTCCGATCTTGGCGGCTTCAATTTGATTGGGTTTTGCAGTCTTACAGTTTTAGAGATAGCCTATCTTTCATCATGTTTCCCTCGCTCGTGCTCACCCCATTGCTGCTGGCCGGCTTGCAGGCTGTGACCGTGAACGCCATCTCCACCATCTCCGCCACCGGTGCCAAGTTCTTCTACGAGAATGGTACTCAGTACTACATCAAGGGTATGATCCGGATCTTTACAATTGCAAGGATCAGGAGCTAATTGAGTCTCAGGTATCGCCTATCAGCTTACCCCCGAGGATCCGCTCACCGATGAGGCCCAATGCAAGCGCGATATCGTCCGTATGTCCGAGTTGGGTGCCAATGCTATCCGTGTGTACCACGTGGATGCCAGTGCCGACCACGACGGCTGCATGACCGCCTTTGCGGATGCCGGAATCTACCTGTTCGTCGATCTCGACACCTTCACCACCGCTATTGACCAGGTCAGTTGATCCATTGATATATGCCTATAAATACAACGCTAACGAGTGTTGTAAATAGACCACTCCTCACTGGAACAAGACCCAGTATGATCGTTTCGCCGCCGTTCTCGATGAGTTCCAGCAATACGATAACACCGCTGGTGTCTTTGTCGGAAACGAGGTCTTGACCACTATCAATGGTTCCATTGCCGCCCCCTACGTCTTGGCCGCCGCCCGTGATATCAAGGCCTACCGTGATAAGAAGGGATACCGTGAGATTCCTGTTGGATACTCAGCTGCCGATATTGCCGATCTCCGCCCCATGCTGCAGGACTACGTGGCGTGCAGCACAAACTCCTCCGAGCGCCTGGACTTCTACTCGTTGAACGCCTATGAGTGGTGCGGCGAGTCGACCTACTCTACTTCCGGTTACGATGAGCTCCAGAAGAACGCTACTGGCTACCCCATTCCCATCTTCTTCTCCGAGACTGGTTGCAACACCCCGGCCCCCCGTACCTTTGATGACCAGGCCGCTATTCTTGGCTCGGAGATGGACGGTACCTGGTCTGGTGCTATTATCTACGAGTGGATTGAGGAAACCAACGACTACGGCCTGATCAGCTACGGCGCTTCCGTGTCCAACGCCGCTGCTACTAACACCCTCGTTGAGGATGGTTACACCCGCCAGGGTACCCCTACCCCCGTCTCGCCTGATTTCACCAACCTCAAGACTCACTGGGCCACCTTGAACCCGACTGGTGTTTCTCTGTCGGCTTACAAGAGTTCCACTTCCGCCATCACCTACCCTGACTGCCCTTCATCGACCTCTGGCGGCTGGGCTGTTGATCCCAGCTCTGCTCTCCCCACTCTTGGACAAACTTACAACAAGGATGCGGCCAGCGCTGACTCCACTGGCACTGGCACTTCTACCGGTACTTCCTCTGGCACTACCGCTAGTTCCACTAAGAATGGTGCTGCTGGCAACATGATGCTCGCTGGTAACCCCGCTACCGAGCGCCTGTTCGCTGCCTCTATCGTTCTGTCCGGTGTTGTGGGAATGGTCGCCTTCTGGCTTTAAGTATGACCCTTGCATAGAATGGGGGGATTGTAATGTTTCATATGCATTGTGATTGTAGGATAGACTCCTTTCATTCGGTTACATATTGGTCAGCTGGCCGTGCGCTTACGAGCCTTTTCTTATTGAGCTTTTGTACACGATACACGATATCACTAGCTATATATTGTTTACAAGCATGCGAGTTCCTAAATAATTCGGAATCATATCATAGTAATTGGAATAATTACATTCAGGTAATTCTAAACAGTAAGAAATCTTTCGCATTGAATGCATGTGACAAATGAAAGCCTCTGATAAGGCGGATAGATTATATATTGAAACATTCCCCATGATACTCGTACACCATAAACCTAGGGTCCACGGGTCCCCCTATTCATGAATAGTCAATCCTTCGATTCCCGTTAAATGAACATCCAGCGAAGGCAAAGACAACTGCGGAGAAATCCGATTATCCTCCACCATCTCCGCAAGCTCATCCTCATCAACCTCAAGCAACGAAGGCTCACTGTCATAATCATGCATCTCCCCGAGCGCCTCACTATCACTTCCCCCATCGAACCCAAAATCGAAATCGGAGGTAGACGAAGTTGTCAACAGAGACATCTTCGACTTCTTCACCTGAAGCCTCTTCTCTTCAGCTTTAGCAATCTCCTCAACCCTGGCAGCCTCTTTAACCCTATTCTCCTCCTCCTCCTTTCGCTGCTTCTTTTCTGTCTTCTCAGGACTAATGCAATGCAACGGAACACCACCCCCACCACCGATCCCCTTGTTAATCGGGATTTCCCGTATAGCAGCCGCAAAACATTTCTGTACGCGCCTGGCGCTAGGTCTTTTATCCGGCTCTGGTGAGAGCATGGCCCGTAACACGATTAGCATTCGTGGTACGGCCCAGAAGACACGGTCGCTGCCTCTATCTCTTCTGCAGCGTTTTAGGGCATCGCCTTCGATTAACGCGATCCAGGATTGCACTTGCACTGCGTTCCGGGCTAGATGGAAAGATGCATCTGCCATTCCGCCGCCGCGGCCTGCAGAGCGGTTTCGGGCGCTGCGGTGCGAGGCGAAGGAGGATAGAGAGCGTTTGCAGAGGTGCGTCAGGATATCGAGAATTATTGCTGCGAGGGAGAAGAGGTCTGAGGCTGCGGGGTTTGTTTGGACTGATTGCCAGTTTGTAAGAGAGGGTGTTATTGAGGGTACCATTGAGGGAGCCACTGAAGGTGCCACTGAGGGAGCCAGCGAGGGTGGAGGATTTGAGGACATGATGGACGCCGCGCCAGATGAGTAGGAGGAGCTTGATGTTGAGGATGTGACTGATGGTGTTGGGACTAGGCCTTTGGGCCTTTTGTTCCAGATGCGGCTGAGGGCGGGCGGCTTGGGACTTTGGGTTGCCTCGCTGTGTCCCGATGAAGCTGCTGAAGACGAGGACGAGGATGAGGAGGATGAGAAAGCGAAGGAGAAGCGGGATGGTGAATTTGGGAGCCCAATTCGTATTACTGTGCCTTTTGAGGCGGCGGAGTCGGGGCGTTGGAGGTCTTGTGAGGAGACTGAGCTTTCGTCCAAGGTTGATAGGGGTGTTTTTTCTGGTTTCCTTCTTCGGCCTGTTCGGCCTCCTGATGGGAGGAGTGTCCGGCTTGGTGCTTGTACTGGTTGGACTGGTGCTGCGGTGCGGACCCAGCGCTCTGGGGCAGCGTAGTGGTAGCTCTCGAGGTCATTGACTCGGGGTGGTGCGAGCAACGAGTCGAGGACATGGAATTGGCCCAGACATATTTGGAAATTAGTGTCCACGAGGACATTGGAAGGTCTAATCGCGCCGTGGAAGTGGCCGTGGGCATGCAACCAGGATAGTCCGGACATCAGACAGTGTGGCCAGGTAATAAGGGTCTGGCGACGCTGCTCCTTGGGCAGCTTCTTGAAAGCCGGCGGCTCGTCGGTAAGGAAGCTATGTAGCGTGCGTTCCGTCTCGGCACCCGTGAAAAGCACGCTGACACTCTCATCGACAAAGTAGGACGCGTAGATGGATATAACATGTTCATGGGCGAGCTTGCGGAGGGCCCGGATCTCCGCTAGGACTTCATCGGCAGAGAAGAAATGTGGTGCACCACCTACTTGCACTTGTGTTCGCATGAACACCCGGCATACAGTTCCGGCAAGAACGACCTTATCGACCGAATCATCGCGACCCTGAAGCTCGTTGTGGATGCCATTGGTTTTCAGCACCTCAACGGGAACACCTTCATTGCCAGTATAAGAGACATGCTCGCCTTCCCCAATGCCGCGTACCGAAAACCGCCATTGCGCGTGGAAGAACTTCGTATCGAGGGAGGGATCGTTGCCGTCGGGCGATAAGGACAAGCGGTCGACATTCTGCTCGGCGATAGGAAGGTCGTCATCGTCGCATGATTCGTCCACCAAAGCGAAAATGCGATCGGGAATTCCGATCTCATTCAGGATTAAGAAAAGACGCCCAGCCTTGAGAAGGATGTATTCCATGTATGTCTCACTGGTCAGACCCTCTCCCCATTTGGGAAGATCAAAGAGCCTCGGCACATTTGGGGGCTGTAGCTGATTGACGATATATTTGGTATTTAACGTCGACTTGATTCGTTCCTCGGTCCACCAGAGCGAGGTGTATTCTTGCATATTTTGAGCCATGATGATGGCATGGCTTACAGGAGGAAATCAATTGAAGATTACATTTCAACCAGGAGCAGAGGTTAGGGAGATATAAAAATGGCGCATCACCATGGTTAGGTATTGAGTTTGAGCCACAATATCGGGAACCAACATAATGAGCAGCATCGCCCCTTGTCATAGCCGTTAACTTAGTTGAGAAAGTGACTTCTCAACGCTGACTGGTGGACGAGATGCTTATCTCGTTCTCCGCAAGGAGGCTCCAGGGCCAGTCAATAGCCCGGAGAGTGGTCCGCACATGTGGCCGGCAGAATCCCGGTTACTGCTCGGAGCCAGTTCTCCACGGTATGCGGCGAAAGCCCCAGAAAAAGAAGAAAAAAGATAGATCGCGTGAAGGGAGAGTGCTACCCTATGCAGCGTGGTGGTTGAACCAATCTCGGGCCGTAGGCTTATCTACGATTTCCAAGTGCTGCCGAGATAAGCGGGTGATCTCCGCCGTGACAGCTCTAACGCTTTGCTTGTAAGGGAGAGAAATCGATAATTGAGACGCTATTCTTTATTTTCTTCTTTTTTTCCTAAACTCAAGAATTGAGGATCGTCCTCCTCCAGCTGTTCATGCAGTCGATCCTTTGTGGAGTGGTTAGGGCTGTGATTCAGGACCTCCACCAGCGCAGGTCCGCGGTCCGCGATATGGGGCACTGGGCGTGGCGAGACCCAAAAAGAAGCTAAACGGTTTCAGATGACGTGACGCAGACAAAGGCTTTCAGGGCACCCGGGTGAAGCTTACTCTTTATTCTTTGTCTCTTAGGTGGCCTTCCCATATCTTTCCAGTACTCCCGGCTCGGCGCAAGGATAACCCTGGAAGATCTACTGTGGCTTCATGTCGTGTGCGCGACGATCGTCTTGGTGCTGGCATTTATGCAGCCTAGGGATGAGGGAGTTCATAGATCACACTAGAAAGTCAATATGAGCAGAATATCAAATACATTAGACTTTGCTTCTTCGAAGTCTATAACTGAAGTCGCAGTAAACATTGGAAGCGCGCATATCAAAGGGTGTTTGGCTGATAGTGTTCATACCCTTGAGCCTAAGATATCCTCAGTACTAAGCCGAGGCACTCTCTCTCATCTATTTAGATTTTGCTTTCTTTTCCTCCGCGTTGGGGCCGCTTAATCTAATAGGATGATAGCAGCCGTCCTTGCTGTCAAAGATCGGGACATGCTCATTGGTCTGATAAACGGCGCGCTAATGACAACTATTCGCTATTTGCATATGTAGAGCATTCCTGCCGACAACGTATTGTTCTGATGTCAGCTCAGAACCCTGGAACTTGCAGAATGTGGCGCTTATAGTGGAGGGATTGAAGATGCGACCGCGATAGGGGTTACCCCCTAATTGCTGATAGGGTTCTAGAATTAGCTAATTTTAATCCAATCTACACAATACCTAGAAAGCATGGTTTAAATCACTGCCAATACATTGTTTACGGTCCCTGATCAAGAAATCTATCCAGGTGGATTCACGCATAGTCCTATTACGTTGCAAATTGATGGCAATTAACTATCAAATTAAATTTCCATTACTCATTTTCGATAAGCTCATTATATATAAGCAAAGCCGATAAGCCGATGCCTTAAGCTAGTGCGTGTGAAAGGTCTCGTTCAGAAATTTTTGGGAATGGGAGGGGGATCAAATATTCTTAACCAGTGGTCAATAGCTTGTGAAAGTGACCAAGGAAAAGAGATCGTCAAGAACATTGATGGGAATAAAATATACAGAATAAAAAACTTCAGATTGACAAGGATCAAGAGGACTATCGGGGTGACAAGGCGAGAGGGGGCGCTGTAAATTAGGTGTAAAGAGATTGCGCAAGTTGCCTTATGTATTAGTTCCAGGGCCCCCAATCAACGATTCAATCCGCATGTCCGAGTTGACTAGCCCCCCCTAGTACAAGCTAGCTACCGACGGGTGGTGCACACAGAGTTAGCCGTTGGGACTTGTGTGTACGGATTGAATAGACCGGGAGACATCCTCAGCTAACCCCCCCTTGAATAGCAGCCGTATGGCGCCTATGGGGGGTGACCCTGAGTTGAATGTTTGCTCATTTTTTAGAATCAATTATATAGATCTTAGCGCCTTGACTCCAAGTACGAAGCCAAGTTTCTCAATCTGTAAGTAAGTGGTGTGTTATGTGGAAAATAAATTTCGACCCAGTTTCTGGTCGATATTGATGACACTATTCATAATGTACATCCTAAGTACATAGAAAATGTATTGGTCCCGGATTTGACTCCAGCTTATGTCAAAATACTTCTTGTCTCTTTTGGCTTTGAGCACGAAATTGAAACTTTGATAGCATTCCAAGGTTGATGGCTTTCTTTGACTGTCTGCTTCCGGCAAGATCAATGTATTATGACTACAGTATATATCTTCAAGACTGCTGAGGATTTCTGTCCTCTCTATATCATTCCAGGCTTCTTTCCTCTATCCATCTCAGTCAAGTGAAACCAGATCTCCCCTGGATTTCAGAAGCCTGTCAAATAGTCCTAGAAAACCTTCCTCGTCAGCAAGACCGTAGCCGCAATAAAATCGGAACAGGTGGATGAGACGACCGCAGTTAACAATTTGTCCATGATCTGAGTGTCTATTCCTTGTACTCATGAAAAGTCAGGAGCTCACTTGTCGCAATCATTACAAATTGCCATGTACGATCTAATCTTGACCTGTCCGTGCTTTTGATGATACAGGAGTGGGACGGATGACTAGTGTAGTCCTGGAGCTCACTGTCAAGCGGGAGCTTTGAAGAAGGGTCGATAATTTGAATTGGGCTCAAGTTCCAGTGACGGTCCACTGATTCAACTGGACTTAGAAGCCAAGGGTATCTTAGGCCACTTCGAGTAATCAGGGGTAGTGGCATTGGGGCGCTATGCCGGGGCAAAACCAATGCGATCCCGCAAACCACATTAATATTTTCTCAACAAGTCAGTTAAGAATCATTGGCTACTTACGAATGGAACTTATGAATGGTAAACCTGCTAGATAACAGAGTGGGCCGGGACATAACTTCTAGAGTTATCTTTCATGTGCAATCTTCGCGCTTATGGATATCTACCCCACAAGTCCCACTGCCGGGTTGAAACGATTCCCGAGCGGGGTGACCTTCCACCAACCCCATTTATTCTTGACACCTCTTCATTCTACAACGCCAACCTCGCCATGTATGAGCGACAGCGAGTGTGGCGTGCCTGTCAAGCATGTCGGCGCAAGAAGGTCAAATGCGATGGAGAACATCCATGTCAAAGCTGTACCCGGAACCGATCGGAGTGCGTCTTCGAGCAATATAACAACATGAAGCTAGTGGATCCACAGTAAGTAACTCCTATTCGTCAAATGAGAGGATTTTTGTTTTCATAAAGGTGGTATTCCTTTCACGGCGCTAAATGTTGTTGCAGATATGTCAAGAAACTTGAAAATCGGCTCTCCCAGATGGAAAAAGAATTGAAACAGCGCCAGTCTGATCAAGATAAGAGAGTTTCTATTGATATATCTGCACAGACTTCATATATTCAATCTACAGATGTCGGCTACCAGGATTTTTGTCAGCCAGTCCCTGAGGGTGCTGTATCCGACCCGACGGATGAGTTCCTAGCACCTTCCATCGATGCAGCCACACCTGCACCAGGATCAAAAAGAGCGTATATAGCCCAGATGGCTGGGACCTATAGCTCTAATGCATCGGATTTGCCAATCTTTGACAATCACGACCCTCAGCATGGAAGCGAAGTTGCAATATTTCCCGAACCCATTACCATCGACGTCACACGGTTGGAGGAGCCCATTATGGAAGCGCTGATTGATGTTTTTTATCACTCAATCTACCCGATATTTCCCATTGTTCATCACCGGAATCTACGATTGCAATATGATAATTGGCTATCTGCTCGTAACAATGATGGGCGTGAAGATGATAGCGACTTCTCCGCTTTGCTGTACGCATTGCTCGCCGTGGCTGCGTCAGTGATCCCTAAACAACATGCTGTCTTCAACCAGCAGGGGCTTCACATTTATAAAGAGGTGAATCTGGGAGAATTACTTCACTCACACGCAACCTCCATTTCTACTGGGCGACCATATCGAACGAACGCCAAATTTCCCATGAACATCGTCATTGCTCAAGGTCTCCTCAGTCTCTATCTCACCGAAGACGGCAAAGTCAATGATGCATGGGTCACTACAGGTCATGCGATTCGGCTGTATCAGGGATTAGATTTGGACGAGTCCGGGGATGCATCAGCTAAAAATACATGGCATGAACCTAAAAAGCTCTGGTGGTGTTTGTATATTTTGGATCGCTCTCTATCCACGGCACTTTCGAAGCCTTTGGCTATCGATGATGCGGACAGTGATATTGAATCATACACCGGGGAAAGTGAACCATCCTCGACCTACGAAAAGACAGATCCCTGGTTCTCGGTGATTGCAGACTTCCACGTCACAATGGGTCGAATTTACAGATCTGTCCGACGGATACGCAAGTCTCATCCGTCCCAGAATGCCAAATTAAGAGACACGCTCCGGTCGCATGTGAAAAGGCACGATGCGGAGCTAGAGAGGTACTATCGAAAGCAGGTGCTGCCGAAGATCGAAGAGTCTAATCAACAGATTGGCCCTCATGCACTGCAAACAATTGCCATCTCATCCTATTACATCGGAGTGGTTCTTCTATACCGAACATTCATCGAGCGACTGAATATTGCGGAGCCCGCAGCTTTTCTTCGATGCGCCGAGGCTGCTTCTAAATGCATTAAAGCCACACCCCAAGTCATGGCAACAGTTCCTGCAAGTCATTTTGTCATCCAACAGAGTCGCGCCATATACGCAAGTGCTAAGGTTCTTTTGCATTGCATGCGTCTCGCCCGCAACCCAACCTTCACCAACAAAGCTTGGTCAGATGTTGAGAGCGGCTTCAACATGCTACAGAACCTCAAGATACAGTGGCCGGAGATCAAAAAGTATCAAACGCTCACTGAGGAAGATATGCGATTGACCCAGAGTGATCTAGCCAAACATGATCTCTTCTACGACACATTCAGCCGGTATGGCCAAGCAGCAGGTACATCGCCTATATCCAGTACAAGTCCCGTTTTCAATGAAGATAATCAAGGAAACTCTGGTCGGAATATGACCATTCATCACGAAATGGCCAGATCCCGAGAAGAGACAGACTCTATCTTCAGTCGGGACAGTGAATCTTCAGAGCGACAATCCAAGCGGCGGAAACTGACCCCTGACTCCTTTTTCCCATGCGACCCTACGGCTATATTGCACCTGCTGCCACCTTCTGAGGAACCTCAGGACTACGAGGACAACAGCATGATGATGAATGACGATCTCTCTGATCCACAACAATTCTTCCTGGGGGATCTATCAGCGGACCCGTTCGATGACTCAATGCTACTTGATTCGATCGAGCAATTCCTGTCTTATCCGAGTGAATAATCTCTCTGATTTGTTCAAATACATCTTGTACATTCAAAGCGAATTTCTAATTCTTTTTTTTTTTTTTTCAATCTGCTTCCATCTCAATGAGAAGACAATGGAAGACTTCATCAATGGGCTCAATCAAATTAAGCGCTGTACGACTAATGGGCTGGCGCAACCAGACCACAAGAACTGCACTTCCGGCTGGCTTCATTTCCCATCCAGTCTTCAATAACATCCTTAAGCTGCGTCTCAATATCCTCACAGTAGAACTGCTCTTCTCTAATGATTCCAGGAGCCTCTGTATGGGCGTCTTGGTTTTCACAATACCATCGGACCCGGTCTATACATCGCGGAGGGCGAGTGCGTTCCATAACAAGCCCAACTGTATCTTTATACCTTCTTGGAGAATGAGGGACATTTGCTATGAAAGAAAATCATTAGATCCAGGCCATTAATGAGGATAGGTAGCCAGAGAGTCAACCTTACCAGGTAAAAGAAATGTCTCGCCCTCTCGGATTATAATATCGCGGAATTGTGTATCATTCTCGACAATCTTCAGAAGCATATCCCCCTTGACTTGAAAGAACCATTCCTAAGACCGGTCAGTCGAAGATCGAACGCCATGTGTCTCGTGCGTACCTCTGTTTCATTTACTATACGTCAATAGCTTTAGCATTCAATCTTGATCAAAGTCCTTGAGCGACTTACTATGATAATCATTTCTAGTGTTCGGTCCCCCCACAGCCATCAGTATGAAGTCCTTCCCAGAATAAAGACATGAATTGTTTACAGGCGGTTTCAGATTTTCCGCATTGGCAGAAAGCCACGAGGACAGCGCAAAGGGTCCGGGGATAGAGGTAGAGGTTTGGGTGCTTGGTAGAGCTTCCATGGTGGCAAAGCGCTCATCCGGCTGTGAATACGGCACAAGAAAATTGGGGTAGTAAATATCTCTTAAATGGTGGATTGCAATGTCGTCTCCCTTTTCCCGCATCATCCAGATCGTAAGTGGAGACTTGGAGCCGCAACGGCATCCGATTGACCACCGGGTGGATCCGAGACCCGCTCGGGAGGACCGAGCATCATTGCTTGCAAAAGTCATATAGATCAGATGGAGAATAAAAGAAAGTCGAAGGAATATCTTATTAAGACTGTCATTGTCCAAAATTTCACGTACCCCAACTTGAAGTCGGAATATCTAACATGACGGTGAACTATAGCTGTTGCACGTGCTCCACGAGGGACACCCGGAGCAATGAAATTGGGATTCATGGCGATACCAATGGCCAATTCAAAATCGACATGCACACACATATCATGCCTCCATCCCTCCCGGACTTCTCAAAATCACATGGAAATCCAGACGAGAACGGCGAGGACTGGATGACTCTTCAACCACACCAATCCAATGACGAGCCCATCAGCCAGAGCGATAAAACCTCACTCAAAGTCGATATGTATGTTGGCGAGAAATTCTTCCGAACCGTCGAGCCAAATTGTTTCGATCCAGACGTACGTATAGCAGAAATGAATGCTACAGGCGTCGACATCCAGGTCATCAGCACCGTACCCATCCTATTCTCATACGACAAGCCAGTTGAGCCTGCTGCCGCTTTAGCTCAATACTTGAACGACCACATTTCGTCTGTCTGTCGTGACCGACCAAGTCGGTTTGTAGGGTTGGCAACGGTTCCCCTACAAGACGTGTCCAGTTCGGTGGCTGAACTAAAGCGCGCGAAGAACGTGCTCGGACTGAAAGGTGTGGAAATTGGGACGGAGATAAACGGACATAAGCTGGATGATCCAGATTTTGAACCCTTCTGGGCGGCGTGTGAGGACTTGAATTTTCCGATCTTCGTGCACCCGTTGGGATACGAGCTTGAAAGGGAGAATAAGAATAGATGGGGAAGTTATTGGTCTGCGTGGCTAGTTGGGATGTCAGTATTTTCGGTGAAAGACCATGACATAATGTGACTGACTTTGCATTTTACAGGCCGAGCGAGACAGCACTCGCGATGCACGCAATAATCTCATCGGGTGTTTTAGTTCGGCACCCCAAGTTGAGATTCTGCTTTGCGCATGCTGGAGGAGCGTATCTTCCTCTCCTTGGACGAATTCAACATGGTTATGATTGTCGGCCAGATCTGGTGGCGCATAGCTCGCAAGGACTATCACCAGAGAACTATCTCCAGTCGCATCAGCACAATATTTGGATTGATAGTCTGGTGCATGATCCGGACTTGCTTGAGTATATCTGTAAAAAGATTGGGCCTGACCGGGTCATTATGGGAAGTGATTATCCTTTTCCACTTGGTGAGATGCCGGTTCCTGGGAAGATGTTGGTTAGTGATCAACAAGTGAATAAGCTGTTTTCGCCTGAGGTGAGGGCAAGAATGCTTTCAGGAAATGCGATTGAATTTCTCGGGTTGCAGGATATTGTCAAGAAGAATTACAAGTCACATTGATAGTACCAAATATCAATATTTGAAATAAAAACTTTGTGATCATTCATGCCATTTCAGTTAATATAAGGCTAAAGAATTTGGTTTGGCTGGTGGATGAATGGGTGCAGAATATTGATGGTATGGAAAGATTGACGGTGGGGTTTGGTAGGCTTGGCGGCAGTAGCCGATGATTTATTACGATATAGGGCTTAGCGTAATTCCTCATGGTCACGTGATACACGAACAATATAACAACCAGCCGACGTGGTGTAGTGGTTAACACAGTCAAACCCGAACAACCGCCCCATGTTCGATGTCTGGAGCGACCGAATGCCCATGCTCATTCTTACTGTATTCATGACAATATCGTTACACACCATGGGTCTTAACTTCGGTCCTTCCTGGGTTCGGACAGAAGGCAGGGACATTCAGAGCAGGTGTTCAAATGCTTCCGTCGGCGGTTCTTCTTTTTTTACTTCTTCTTTAAGTTTTTGGTTCATATTCCTCTGTTCATTGAAAGCAAATGTATTCGCCAGAAAATGAGATTGTACTGTACAAAGATATTGGTTCTGATTGGCTCCGCACATTTTGCCCCACAATTAGCTAGTCGGATCGCCATCCTATTGGTCCTACTCGAAGTTCATACTATAACCGCCCATGAATTAACCAAGAATCAACAACCATTCTTGCCCGTTTGATCGCCCATCACAATGTGTCCAACCTCTGAGCTGTGGAAGCTCACTACCCTAGACAGTGCCCAAGCATATCTAGCCAGCCCAGGTAGCAATATACGCCTGCAGAACTATATTGGCAATGAATTCTCCGAACATGGCAATGAATTCTCCGAACATGGCAATCCTGACAATTGGATCGAATCTTTCAATCCTAGAACTGGAGAGGTGATAGCAAGTCTTCCTCGGAGCGATGCTTCTGATGTAGCTCGCGCCGTGGACGCTGCCTCACGGGCCTTCCCATCCTGGTCGAAAACTACCCGACAAGCAAGATCCGATATCCTTCTTCGAATTGCCGCCATTATCCAGGAGAGAAAGGAAACTTTCGCAGTTTGGGAAAGCCTTGACCAGGGAAAGACATTAGCTCGAGCTCGTGTTGAAGTCGACCGCGCAATATCGAATTTCAGGTTGGTATCTTCTATTCCTTTCTTGCGACTTCATGCTAATCTGCATTCAGATACTTTGCGACTTACATTCTTCACGAAGAAGGCTCAGCACGCTTTGTTGATGGCCAGCCCTCAACCTTAACATATGAACATCGATCCCCTGTTGGGGTCTTCGCCTTGATCTCACCTTGGAATATGCCCCTGTACCTCCTCACATGGAAGATTGCACCATGCATCGCCTTCGGATGCACAGGCGTGGCAAAGCCCAGCGAAGTCACCAGCATGACCGCCTTCTGTAAGTAAGTCTTCAATATAGAACATAGCACTATTCACTGACCCATCACCAGTACTCGGCGAAGTATTCCGACAAGCCCAGCTCCCACCAGGCGTGATGAACATTATCTTCGGCGACGGACCAGGAGCCGGGTCAACACTCGTCAAATCCCCACTCGTCCGAGGCGTGTCATTCACAGGCGGCACACAAACAGGTATTAGTATCCGACGCGACACAGTCGAAGATATCGGCAAGCACCTATCCCTAGAACTGGGAGGAAAGAATCCAACCCTCGTCTTCGACGATGTTGATCTCGACCAGGCTGTCCCCATTGCCGCACAAGCCGCATTCGAGAACAGCGGTCAGATTTGTCTGTGCGGGTCCCGAATTTATGTCCACCGTGCTATTTATGAAAATTTCACATCCGCGTTCGTGGATTATGTACAGCAGCATTACCGGCTGGGAGAGACGGTTGGTCCTGTCGTTTCCCGGCCACACTACGATAAGATTAGGTCTTACCTTCTTCAAGCTCAGAGCGAAAAGGCAATCTTCCTCGCCGGGAATATTCCCTCTGAGGCTCCTACGGGCGGGTTTTGGATTGAGCCAACGGTTCTCACCGACCTTGGCACAGATAGCATCGTCATGCGCGAGGAGATCTTCGGGCCAGTGGTCACCATCTCACCCTTTGACACGGAGGAAGAGGTAATCGGACTAGCAAATGACAATCCGAATGGACTGGCAAGTGTTCTCCTGACGAACGATATATCGCAAATGCGCCGAGTCGGGGAGCGGATAGATGCCGGACTGGTCTGGGTTAATTGCTGGCTGGTACGGGAACTGGGCACAGCATTCGGAGGAATGAAGGCATCCGGTACAGGCCGAGAAGGCGGCGCACATAGCCGAGATGTCTTTACGAATCTGCGAACTCTCCATGTTCGTTAGTAAAAGGTTCACGGAAATGACGTAACGGTCCGTTCGGATCTATCCGAGATTGGGGAAGAGTCATTGGAAATCTGTTCAGCAATCGCAATCTATAAACCCGTATCTTCTCTTCATTCATTCAGCCGTATCTTGCAAAGATCACCGTCTCTCATTGGATTAACATCATGTCGCAAAGCACCCCATATTTCCGTCCCTCGACGCACGCCCAAGGCCTTGCCAACTACCCACATGCTCGAACCATTACATCCCCTGATGGAAAGGGATCCTACATCTATGTCTCAGGGACCTCATCTCGACGCGGCGACGGAACCTTTGTCGGAGCAACAACCACTCAAGATTCCGACGGCAAGACTACACTCGCGCTTGACATACGACAGCAAACAGCAGCCGTATTATCGAACATCGATGCCATTATCCAAGGCGCCTCGGACGGGAAAGCAACCATTGCGAATGTGGTCGATGCGACAGTCTTCTTGACAAATATGAAGGGGGATTACACTGGCATGAACGAGGAATGGAACCGGATCTGGCCCGATCGGAATACAGCGCCGGCTCGGACGACTGTTGAGGTGCGGGCTTTGCCGAGGGATGAGATTATTGTGGAGATTAAATGTACAGTTTACTATGTTTGACGTGCGTTCGAAGGAATAAAACGAACAAAATGTCGAGAGTCGAGGTCTAGTATTCTACCGGATGCAATGATAATGTCTGAAACTATTCAGCTTTTGCCTTGCTATTATCCCCCTCTAACTTTAGCATTCTAGGATGATGGTGAATAATAATCACTTGTGTGAATTGAAAGAATTAGAGTACACAAAAAACTCCGCTGTACCCATGACAGAAACACATGAACCTAAACCATATTCTTCAGGCGCGAATAAACAATTATTTTGTGAGTAAGTCACATTGCGCATTTGCAGACAAAATCAAAAGCAAGATAACAAAGGAGATCCGGGCGTAGATGGCATTAAGGATATTCGTGCACAAATCGCCAGCGGAAGGACATCTAACATCTATCTAGATGAAGAACGCAAGGAAAGAGGCAGCGACACCGAGGAGAACGCTCGAAAGACCGGACTCAGTCAGTGGTTGTGCCGAATTGTAATAGGGCGTGTAGCTTGGAGAGGGCGTTGGGCTCCCGGACCGGTAGGGGGTACTCTTCCAGGTCGGTGAGTGAGGAGTACGCATAGGACCAGATGGAGTACCGGTCATGAAAGGAACGATTGCAACAGATGGTGTGCTACCCCAGGCAGTGGTAGTCACGAAGGTCACCATTGGCACGGTGACGGTGGAAGTACGGTAGGTGATTGTAGTGACAGGAGCAGGCGGAGCAGTTAAAGTGTTGACCCCGGAGCTGAGCGCAGGGAGTGTGGGGACGCAGACACCCCCAGTCAAAGTGATATTTGCTGGGATGTTGGTCATAATAGCAGGGTTTCGAGAGACCCAGTTCGCGCAGACACCGGCGAAGTAAGAGAGGCCGCCTTGTACCTCGGAATTGGATACACCCGATACCTCAATACAGTCTTGAACCTTGTTGGTAAACTCGCTGTTGGGGCAATAGCAGCTGGAAGATGTATCCGAGGCGCAATTAGTCTTTGACTTGAGCCAGGTGTTGATGCATTGCATAACGATGGTGGATGCAGGGCAGGCAGAGGCAGTGGGGGCAGTCGGGCTAGCACAGTTCGTGCATACAGTCGAGGTCGAGGTCAGTGTGACTGTCGACGGAATGTGTGTAATGAATGTGCTAACAGAATCACCAGATGTCCATGAAGCTGTGGATGGATGCCAAGTCGTACTTTCGTAAGTGATCACAGTCACAGTTGAGCCAGAGCCTGGAGCACCAGGAGTGGATTGAGCACCGGCACCAGTAGGTGTGGGCTCAACAACTACCGGGGTGGTCATGGTGATCGTCGACGTGGAGGAGAGTGTGACTGTAGACGCAGTGCTTGTGGTAACGATGTGGATGGAGCTACCAGAAGTATACGTCGCTGTGACTGGACACCAAGTCGTGGTAGCCCATGTGATAACGGTCACTGTCTCCTCGGGACTTGGGGTAGAGCTAGCAGGAACAGTCACTGGAATAACGGAAACTGGAACTCCAGGGGTAGTCTCGGCAGTAGTGGTCTCAGCAGTAGTGGTCTCTGTCACGGTGTTCGTCTGCTCAGGGACGCTTGGAATCGAGCTTGCACTGACACCGGTGGGAGGCGTGACAATAAACGTGGAGGTAGCAGGAATAGTCGACGTGGAGGTTATAACTACCACAGAAGGAGTACTGGACACCGTGGTGTAGATAGAGGTACCGGAAGTATGAGTGGCCGTGACTGGACACCATGTTGTGGTAGTGTAAGTCACGATAGTAACAGTCGAACCTGGGGCCTCAGGGACGGCCGGAGTCGAGTTTGCACTAACGCTAGTGGGAGGTGTCACTGTAGTCGTGGGGGTAGCGGGAATAGTCGATGTGGAGGTCACAACAACTACCGAGGGGGTGCTCGAAACAGTGGTGTAGATAGAAGTCCCAGAGGTGTGTGTGGCAGTGACTGGACACCAAGTGGTTGTGGAGTAAGTCACGACGGTGATAGTCGACTCTGGACTTCCAGGGGTAGAACCAGCACTAACTTCTGCAGGCACAGAAGGAGTAACGAGGACAGTGGACCGAGAAGAAGATTCCGAGCTAGATTCTGTGGCAGTAACCTCAGCAGGTGTAGTCTCAGGAGTTGACGTCGAGCCAGATTCCGAAGGAGTAACTGTAGCAGTAGTAGTTTCGGTGGTAGACGTCGAGCCAGATTCCGTAGCAGGAGTAGCTTCGGGGGTACTAGACACCGAGGTTGAAGCATGCGACGAGCACTTCGGACAGATGGTCGACGTGGAGGTCACAACAACTACCGAGGGAGTGCTTGACACTGTAGTAATGACAGAGGTGCCTGACGTGTGTGTGGCAGTGACTGGGCACCAGGTGGTTGTGGAGTAAGTTACGACGGTGACAGTCGACTCTGGACTTCCAGGGGTAGAACCAGCACTAACTTCTGCAGGTACAGAAGGAGTAACAGAGGCGGTGGACTGAGAAGAAGACACCGAGATAAAACTCGTGGCAGTAAAATTAGCAGGCGTAGTCTCAGGAGTAGACGCCGAGCCGGATTCCGAAGGAGTAGCTGTGGCAGGGGTAGATTCGGGAGTACCAGTCGAAGCGTGCGAAGAGCACTTAGGACAAATGGTCTTTGTTGATGTAACAACAACCACCGAGGGAGTGCTCGACACGGTAGTAATGACAGAGGTGCCTGACGTGTGTGTGGCAGTGATCGGACACCAAGTTGTGGTGGAGTAAGTCACAACAGTCACAGTCGATTCTGGACTTGCGGGTGTCGAACCAGCGCTAACGCCAGAAGGAGCGGTCACTGTAGCCGTAGCCGTAGCTGCGGGAATAGTGGATGTTGAAGTCACGACAACAACCGATGGGGTACTCGATACTGTGGTGATAATAGAGGTACCTGAGGTATGCGTGGCAGTGAAGGGACACCATGTTGTGGTAGTGTAAGTCACAACAGTCACAATCGATTCTGGAGTACCCGGGGTAGAAACAGAGGTGGAACCAGCACTAACGCCAGAAGGAGCCGTCACTGTAGCTGTAGACGTAGCTGCGGGGATGGTCGAAGTTGAAGTCACAACAATGACCGAAGGGCTGCTGGAAACTGTAGTGATGATAGAGGTCCCCGAGGTATGTGTGGCGGTGTAAGGACACCATGTTGTGGTAGTGTAAGTCACAACAGTCACAATCGATTCTGGAGTACCCGGGGTAGAACCAGCACTGACACCAGGAGTAGCCGGCGTGCCAGTAACTGCAGACGGAGTTGAAGTCACGGTGGGTCCTGGAACGGCCGAAGTAGACGAGTGGCCTGTCTCAGTCTCAGTCACTGGGCATATTGTAGTCGAAACGGGAACTGTCTTAGTGATAACACTGGTAGAGTCAGCCGGACAGTCAGTGATCGTCGCAGCACAGCTAGTAACAGTAATCAAGCTGGTAGAGTAAACAGTTGATGTAGTCCACTTAGTGGTCGAGGCTGAGGATCCACTCGGCGAGGCTGTGACAGGGGAAGATCTCGAAGGTTGCGGTGAGTGGCTGGGTGAGATAGCGGGAATAGAAGATGACGATGCAGCTGGAGAAGAGGTGGGCAAAACACCGTTAGGTCCAACAGGAGTGGAAGTCTTCTCTGTACCAGTCTCTGTCTCAGTCACTGGACATATGGTAGTCGAAACAGCAATGGTTTTAGTGATCACAGTGGTAGAGTCAGCAGGGCAATCAGTGACTGTCGCAGCACAGCTGGTAACGGTAACCAAGCTGGTACTGTAGACAGTCGAAGTAGTCCACTCGGTGGGCGTGGGTGTGATACCGGCCGGTGAGGTGCTGGGAGTAACAGAAGCCGAATAACCAGGAGAGATAGCTGGTGAACTGGCAACAGGCACAGAACGAGAGCTAGTAGGGAGTGAAGAGCTAGACGATCCAACCGGTGATGATTCAGGCGATACACTGGAAGGCACAGAAGGAGAGCTAGTAGGGAGTGAAGAGCTAGGCAATCCAGCAGGTGATGATTCAGGCGAGACACTAGAAGGCACAAGCGGAGTGGAAGTTTTCACCGTACCAGTTCCAGTCTCAGTCTCTGTCACAGGGCAAATAGTGGTCGAAAGTGCAATGGTAGAGGTCACCACAACGGTTGAATCGGCAGGACAATTGGTAATTGACGCAGCACAGCTGGTGATCGTAACCTCGCGCGTGGTGTAGACAGTCGAGGTTGTCCACTTCTGGGAGGTAGTTGCCCCTGCAGATGGATTTACAGTCTTTGCGACCGTTGAGCTACCAGTCGTAGTGGGAACTGACGAGGAGATAGGCGAGGCGGCAGGTGAGCTTTCAGGCGAGCTACCACTTGGGCTGGAGACAACAGGAGTGGACTTCGCAGCCGGGGTAGTCTCAGCATTGGTCTCTGTCACTGGATGCACGGTGGTAGAGACGGCAAAGGTAGAAGTGATAAGACGAGTAGAATCAGCCGGGCAGTCCGTGACAGTAGCAGCACAGCTAGTGACGGTGATCACGCTGGTGGCATAGACAGTCGATGTTGTCATGCGGTGAGTCTGAGCCGCGGCAGATGTTATCGCAGCAGCAGGGCTAGAAGCACTCTCAGCTGCCGGAGAGGATTTCACACCGTTGATCGAAGCACCAGCTGCGGAGCCCGTGGGCTCATGAACAACGTTAGAGCTCGAGGGAGTGTTGGTATCAGCCACAGGTGAGTTAACAGAGTTGTAAGATGTGGAGGATTTCGAGGCACTGTTGCTTGGGTCAACAACAATAACAGGGGTTGTTGAAGTTGAAGACGCTGCAGCCGAAGCGGGGGTAGGAGCAGACTGAGGAACAACCTCAAGACCGTTGGAAGCCGAAGCACTAGGGGTTTGGCCATTGGCATTGACAGATTCGGGGCTTGCAGAGCTAGAGGTATATCCAGTATTGCCATTGTCGGAATCAGCAGCCGGGCTGGAAGTCTGAGCAGCAGTAGGCTCAGAGTCAGCAGGCTGAGTAGTCTGTTCGCCACTAGTTCCAGCAACATAGGGAATAGAAGAAACTGCACGCTTGCGCATATCCACACGGGGTGTGAAACGCTCCACCCACGTGGCACCTGGAACGGTCGATTGTCCGCAGTTGAACAGGATGTTGTAGATACCAATTTCAGCAGTGGTTTGTTTGTTGCTCTCATCAAGTTCGAACTGAACAGAAGTAGCACCGGCACAATTATCGACAAAAATGTCGCCGACACGGGGTCTGACGCGGGCAGTCTTGCGGCAGAAATTACCATCAGGCATGGTGAAACGCATCTTGAGATCAATGACCTTGGAAGCCGAGACATAGATGTTCTTGATAGAGAAACGGTTCTTGGATGAGATAGAAGGAGCCGAGTCACGAGACTTGGTGACGTTGGCGGTAATAGATTTCTTCTGCATCATGTTAGTGTTGTGATATTTGTTATCGGGTAAATAGACATACGCCTTTTGCGATACCGGTACCGAAGGTCTCGCTGACCGTGAAATCGGTGAAATTGAAATCGGCGTAGGTGGAGAACGGGCCGGCTTCCAGGTTGGCCCAATTCAGGCCGTGCGACTTCTCCTGGTATCTGTTGCACTCCATGGAAGCAGGCTTGTCATGAGTGGGCTGGTCAAGGCCCCACCACTGAAGAAGTTGTCAGTGTTGTTGTCTTGTTTATATCAAGCAAAACACGCATATCATAAACATTAACGTACCGAAGCCGGGGTATTAGGAAAAACAAACATCAGCGTCAAAAGGACAGCCGTACACACGAACATCATCTTGAAGGTGGTGGTCACCGAGTGACCGGAATGAGAGGAACCCATCGAAACGATAGGTGGTGCAAGAAGCACGGCAATTTGGGAATAACAAGAGTGAGATTCAGAAGAAATCGAGTATCAGAAGAAAAGGCTTTGAACGAGAGTGACGAAGGTCAGAAAGATTTCAAGCAATGGAAAAGGAAGAAAGGTGGAAAAGGTTGGGGTGGGAAGAAAGAAAGTAAACAACAAAGGAGGGTACACAACGAGAGGACGCAAAGAGAACTGCGATGAATGAGAGAACCAGCCTCCAAAAGTGAATGATGAACCTCTCTTCACTACGTGGGGAACCCTCTCTTCATATACGCGCTCACCTTAACTTCTTCAGCTATGCACTTCATGTTCTAGAGCTCCACATCAACCTATCCATTTATTCCTAATTTGTAAGACAACCTGATACTATGGGCGCTGTCTCCTCCAATAGGCAGAAGTGGGCAGTACCTTTTGAAACGACGTCAACCCATTACAGGTAGGGTAGCATCCTTTCACCACACAAAGCGGAGACTACTGCAGGAACTAGCAAAGCGGTTAGCCCAGTATCCAATCAACTAAATCAACCTGTTCTTCCAGTATGGAGCACTCGGTTCGGTGGCATCCGGCGGTTACAGGAACAAGCCAATAAGAGAAATTAAGGATCGGTCTAAAATAGGCTCCATTGACGAATGTCCCAGCGCCAGATCGACACGGGTACACCAAGCTAAGGGTCTAGTACAGCGGTTAGCCTCATAGCCAATCAACGATCGTACTGGTGTCTATAGTGGGGAATTGGTGGTCTGTGACGAGCCAATCAGGTAATCCGGGGAGGATCAGGACCCCAAAAATAGCGCCTGACGAATCTTGGTCGGCGCCATGATGCAGGCACGCGCAAACCTGCTGCATCATCTAGTTCTTCACTTATGCTTGCATACCTATTTAGTTTCTTTTGTTGGGATTTGAAAAGTGCTGTTAATACCCTGCGGTGCTTTGACCTCCACATTCACGCTACTCCCTCAGACTCTTACTAGCAGGGGCTCTCTTTCAATCTGACACATGGCTACTACTGGACTAAGCAACTGTGGCTTAGGCAGGGTAAGCCTTTGTGTCATCCAATGGCAAGTCGCCTATAAGCTGGGTACTTAAGTCAGGTTCTCGGCTATTTCAAGGTGCAGGAAGTCTTGAAGCCTTGGTATTGAATAAAGTAATGAGGGGACCAGGTTTCATCTTGGTCTTTTACCGACGTCTTTGTCAACTACGAAGCTGAGAGAATTCGAGATTTAACTTTTTTTTTTTTTCCTGTTCTGGTAAAAATAAAATAACACATCCATCACTCATGATAAAGGCAATAAAATATCAACTCCTTAAAATCCAGAGGTATCACCGTCTCCTCTCAAACAGCGAGGGAGTCCTTGGCAAGTAAAAACATATGAGAAGCGAAAGAATGTAAAGGCAAAAACATCCAATGCAATAACACAAGAATCGATCAACTTTTGGATCATCAGAACCGCTATCGATCTTCCTTTTAGTAACAACATGAGAATGCGGGATTGTTAATAATCCATGTCAAGCTTGCTCTCATAGATCTTCATCCATGTGATGAAAGATCAACAAGACTGAACATAAATAACCAACCGGCCACCCGAGGGCACAAGTCTGCCAGCGACTCAACAAATGTAAGCGTCCGTGTGTATCATGCGATCTTTTTCAAAATAAAAATCCAAACTTCGTGGAATCGTTAAATGGTGTTCAGCAAGGAAGCTAGAGAGGAACTTGGGTACGGCGTTGCGCATCCATAAGCTTGCGACGCACAGCCTCGCCGCCTGTGTAGCCACTCGCTTTGCGCTTCCGGGTGGGGGTGCGCTGGTCAGTGTGTTTAGCGTGTCGGAAGACGCTGGCGGGCCGCGCGGGGGAGTTAGCGGGCATGAATTCGCGATGCTGGGGAAGACGGAGAAGGGCTTGGTATCGGTTGTGATTGCGACGGAAGGCAGTGACAATGCCTTTGTCAAGGTGCTCGAGGAAGCGTTCGGATTGACTGTCTTGCTGGACGTCCGAGTTACGCTTTGGTGTTGGGGTGCCCATGTTCGGCAATGAAGATCCACCAGTCATAGGCGAGATGAGTGCGTCTTCATCGAGATTACCCATATCGTCTTCATCAGAGGATCCATTGCCAAAATCGATAAAGTCGTCTACATTGAGAGCAGACTCTGGGTCGTCCTCATCATCCTCTTCAAAAGAGCTATCAATTGCAAAGTCGCGAGAGGGGTAAAATGCTTCAGGAGGGCCCATGACCTGACCCCCAGGAGCAAGGTCGTTTCCGAGGGCCGTCATCATGAGATTAGCGCTCGAGGCCAGCATGGGGCTGAAGTCGATCTGGTTGGGAGATGCGAGAGCATCCGTATCACTCTCGTCAACAAGCTGCAGAGTAGTCTGGCGAGGACTGTTGTTGGCAGTGCCGGGCATGCTGTTGGCCGCAGAATCCAACCAATCGTGACGGGAGGAAGCATAGGCAGGGATGATGACAAGATGCTTTCCGGTGCAGTCTACCAAGGCTACAGGCTTGTGGGGGTCCGCTACGAACGTGCCCATGATTGGGCCACGACGGCGGGGCATGACATCGCTCTTATCATCGGTAGCGACCAATGAGTCAGTTGAGTCCCGACGAAGAAGGGAGCGAGGGTGAGTAATGGTGGCTGGAGGAGGAAGGTCCTCATCTGTTGTATCGCCATGATCGGCTGAAGGTGTGTTAGCATAGAAACGTAAGGAAGTAGAAAAATAGCCAGCATACTCTCATAACCACTCAAGCTACCCTCGGATGTTCCCTCGGACTCGACATGGTAAATATTGCCATGGCCATAGTCAGCATCACCAAACATCTCTTCAGACTGGCGACGATGGCTGCGATGGTGGTCATTGTCGCTTTCAATCATGCGACGCAGCTGAGGGTCCAAGGAATCTTGCTGGAGGAAATCACTTGGGATTTCATCCTCGGTGTGGGAGTCGCTGTCAGAAGAGGAGTCGGATCGCTCCTCAAAATGGACACGGCGAGCTACGGAGGTTTCCACCGGCTCGCTGGCAATTTCGGGTTCACCAAAGGTGTCCATGGCACTGTAAATCTGCTCCTCATCAAAAAAGGAAGCAGCAGGGAGAAACATCGAGTCTCCGAATATCTCAGCACCGTGCCATTGGTCATGAGAGGTTTCTGAAGTAGGCAGAATCCGATGATCTCTTTCAGATTGCATGATCATCATCTCTTCCAATTTTTCAACATCTTGTTCTTCGTCTTCGGCATCGGTGATGTAGTCCACCGCAGCGTAGACATCATCTGAGCTTTCTTCTGATTCGCTGTCACTGCTCATGATGTTTTCGGAATCTTCATCCTCGGAAACCCGTATTCTTTTCCCCGCTTTGGCAGCTTGTCGGCCTGCCTTGCGGGAGTTATTCCATCGACGGCCAAATGACCGGGCCTGCGCCAGCGGCCGGTCTTCTTCGTCATCAGCATCATCTTCCGAATCATCGGCCTCCTCGCTCAGCTCCTCAAGGGAAGATACGGAAGAGACACTAGAGACCGACGAGGAAGATGCTCGCCTTTTTCGCTCAAATGCAGCAGTTCCGCCATTGCGGGAGTTGACCATCTTCTTCGCCTGCACGACGGCCTTGGGAGACATATTGAGGTGTTTCCGGTTATTATATTCAGGTGTCGAGGGTCGTGGTGTAGTTTTAGAGCCCTTGGGAGTTTTTCTGGAGGAAAATGGGCTCGACTGCGGCATATCGGCACGGTTCGTTTGTCGGTACAGGATGCAAACTTTTTTTCTTCGTCAAAGTAGCGGGGTACTTTTGTCACAAGGAGCTTCTTTTTTTCGGTTGTGACCAGGGATAGATTTCCAGGGAGATTCGGTTTAAGGGATTTCGTTATGTGTTGGAGGTAAGGTTCCCAGGGGAGAGATGGGGAGTATCGTCAAGGGTGGGGAAAGTGAAAGTTTTTTTCGTAACCACGAAGCACCTCCGGTCCACGATGGACGGTCAAGTGCTCTTTCTGGGACTGTACTGGGGGGGCAATTCCGACGCTGAAAGGTGCATCAGAAGAGGAACAGATATCGTCAAGTCGAATTGAAGGTCGGAGCTGCAGGACTGAGGAGCCGGCAGACAGGCTCCCCAGCGAGGCGTTTACAGCTCAACGAAAGCCATTTGGCAGGAATTCTTGACGGTTATCTTTAAAAGTGACAGTTGATGAAAGGGGAGAGGTTGAATAAGGGTGGACTTGGTTAAGCTGGGTTGTTGATGGGAAGAAGATGTGAAGGGATAATAATCCAATGGATTTTTCCCGCCAAAGCGGAAGTGGGGAATGGGGCGGGTTGATTGGCCGGACTCCACGGGCGCCCATTCGTTGGCGTCAGTTCACCGCATCTTTCGCGCCAATTGTAAACTTGCTGCAATTGGAAATCCTGCACGCTATTCTAGGATTCCACGTTCTGTACAGCTGCCTAAGAGACTGGACTTGACTCCCAAAGTACAGATTATAGCTATTGATTCTAGGTATCGAGAGCTCTCTATCAAAGAGGGGAAGAAGAAAACTTTGCTAAGGAATGGATCCAGATCCAGAACTGGGGCAACCATGCGGGTCCATTGTGGCATGAGTCTTCAAATAATGACTATTGCTATTAATTAACCTAAAAGATAAATCGACTAAAACTCTGTTCTGGGCATGCAGAGAGGGAAAGGGCTCCAGCGACGTCAGACTGGCGCTTATCTAGTGAGAAGTGCAGAAGCCAAAGGTTGACCCGTGCGGGCAGAATGATTCATCGCCCGATCATGACACACTGCTGATGGGATGAATCATATTGTGACTCCACACGAGACAGTCCAGGTCAGCAAGAAAACTCGCCATCCATTGGTCGGACCCGAGAGTCGTGTTGATTTTTCCGTTTCTTTTTTTTTCCTCCCGCGGTGGCAACTCGGGTCCCTCTATTCCGGCGACCAGAACTTCGTAGGCCCCGAGGTCTTTCTCGACCTGGGAGCTTGCAGCTATTCATTACAGACTTGGGCCTACAAGGGCAAAAGGACGGGAAGGAACAGGCGGTAAGTATTGACAACATGGCTGCGGCTGCATCATGCATGAGATAGATCGCCCCCGAGATAACCATGACTGCCCAACAGTGTATTAACATAAAAGTCTATTATGGAGGGGGTGCAAAGACCCCTCCAAAGTAAGGGGTGATTTGGTCACTTCTCTCTGCAAGATCATCTCCGCCCCGCAATGGATTCTGTAGAAATTTTGCCCGCCAGACCCACTACGCTAGCCTATTTTTAAGCCGTTGGAGGCGTTTCGGAGAACACTTTTCCTTTGGCTGCCGAGATTTGTTTTTTGTTCCACGTGGTCTAATATCAAGACTCAATAATGGGATTAAGAAAGGGGCAAGACAGGAGGATCAGGAGGCTCTGAAAGTCCTGCCCTATCCAGGTGCACATGTGGCTTAGATTATTGGTGATCTGCATACCAACCCCGCCGTCCAATCACACCCTGCACATCAGCCTAGGAAAGTCAATCTTAATTTTCTTTGCCGCATACATGCATTTCACCTTTGTCTACTCTTCCAAATATTTGATAGAAGTTTAGACCTCGCGATGTTCTTAGCTACTTCGTAGATTCAAATATGTTCAAAAGGTAGCAATTCTTCATTATTTTATCTTCATTGGGTCCGAAACCGTAACTAGCGTCGCAATGATATATATTTGTTGCCACTCTGGCTAACGGCCTGCTTGGCAACGGAAATCACCCGTTCAACATGAAATGGATGGTCCCAAACAGAAAATTCTGGATTGTTTCTTCTAACCTCGGTTCACGCCTTGAATTTTGGCTGTTCAAGATCGGTTCCCAGATGTTCCCATACGCCGGGTGCCGGGAACTCCGTAACCCGTGGGCTGGACCGGGAAGCCGAGATGTCCAGGTGGTGCGACTGTATGACCAAAGGGTTACTTATATCGGCCAATCAAGATCGTTCCGAATAAAACAATGTATTATCTGAATTATTATCAAATCACAAATTTCCATAAGTCATTATCATCACTATGCCCAGATTGTGCAATAGTCTGGGTATCCACAGCCATGTTTGCAAGAGACAGCCGCTTCTACAAACTTTGGTACTACCAACTTAAGTTCCCGGATAAGGAGCAATGTTAGAGGAGGGGCCCGGTTCAGTCTTCGCTCGTCCAAATATAGATAGACGTGATTTGGTTCGAGTAGGGACCGCAGAGGAAGTAGTGGTCTCCGCGGGACTCATGGGACTCTGGGGCTCCGAAGCTGCAGCTTCCAATGCTGAGGATGCCCGGGCTTGTTCCACTTTCCGCACACCCTCTCGGATCTCCTCGGCCGAAGCTCCTTGAGGTGCCGTGGTCGTGAAAGTCTCAGTGGGACGTATTCTGGCTTCAGAGGGATCCTCATTCATCCTGTTGATCTCCTCTTCTGTGACCAAGCGTTCGTTCTCGAGACGGACCTCACGCCCACGCTTATGGCAGTACCACAGAACGAACAAAAGAACTGTAATATTCATTAGCACCGAGGACCCAGAAATCGAAACATGGCTACTTACTGAACAATGCCAATGACCAGAGCACGTTCATGCCCAACACGGCCGGGAAACGTGCTCTTAAAAACGCCATAATAGACCGTAGCATACCCACGATCGCAGCAGGTTTGGAAACCAGTTCCTTCAGGCTGGGAATGTTGACTCCCATCTTCTCGGCTGCCGCGGCGGCCTTGCCGACGTTTTCCATGTTTACACCACTCTGAGCGGCCCGTTCACCCGCCACAGCGAGCATCTCTGGTGCCAAAGTCTCGGTCCATTTCTCAGGGAGCTTCTCGATTAGCTTTTGGAGGAAACCAGGCAGCTTAGTGTATGTGTCTTGTAATTGGCGATTGCCATTCGTCAGGAGCATCTCCAAGTCGCGATAAGCTGTGGGAACACCATTGACCAGATCCTTGAAGATCAATTTGAACTTGCGAAGCAGTTCCTGTGTTTCGTCGCTGACGGAGAAGACACGGTTGTTATCTGCTGCTAGATTCAATCGTTCCAGGATATCTATCATATCCTCTTTCTCCTTTTGTGCCTCCTGTCCATTGTCTGTCGGTGTTGCCGCTGATGGAGGAACGTTGGTTTGAGATGGAGAAGTGTCTTCTTTAATGGAATCTTTTTGTTGATCCTAAACAGGTAAGAGACAATGTTAGCAGCTTGAGTCTGAAAAAACGCGACGACAGTGTAGATTAAGAAGTCCTTACTTTCTTGGGGTCTCCGTTCTTCTTCCAGAACATAGTACTCCATCTTTTCTTTTTCTTTTCTGGGGGCCCTACGTCTTGTGGTTTCGCAGATTCCGACTCTTTGCTTGCAGAGCCGCCAGACATCTGGCTTGCCCTTCGCCCTTGTTCTCCTAGCTCCTTCCCAAATTCCTCAGTTGGCGAAGAAGGAAGAGGGATTTGTTCAGCACCCTCGTACAACACGGGCTGGTGAGAACTCTCTGGAGGTACCTCAGAGCCGGACGATGGTATTTTTGCGACAGTACTGGACCCGTTCTCGGGCGCAGTAACCTGTCGCAAATAGGCTTCCTCCTCTTCGGTCAAAACAGGCTTTGGTGCTTGCAAGACCTGCGACGAGCGCCGGCGATTCTTCATTTGGTTGATATACTCCATGGCTATAATGGGAAACACACCCAATATCACAACTAGGTAGTGTTTATGAGAAGCAGCGGCGACAAGACTTTAGAGGGAAAAGTTGAAACACGGTCGGCGCGTAGAGGAGGAGGTTTGAGCGCATACAGTTGATAGATCACCCTGCAGGGGGCTTCAAGTGCAAAGAGTTCGGCACTAGATCGAAATTTAGTTAAAGGGTTGAATCTGCCGAGAAAAGAACAAATATGAAACACGAAGAGCAGTGTACATAGGGGAAGTTAAGATCCCAGCCGCAGCTCTTTCTTTACGTGATGATATCATCGGTGGCTGATATCTGGGAACCCCACAAGACCCCTCTTGCACAGCCACAGACACAGCCACAGCAACCTAAATGGTGCTTGGTTTTTGCGGTGGGGATTTACTATCCATGGCACAATATCTGGAGCATAACAACTGACTTAAGACAGATATATCTGTCTATTTCAATTGATGCACTAAGATATGAGTGAGCACAGTCAGACCCAAAACGCAATGTCTTGCCAATGCATGTCTCCTGGCCTCCAGAATTTTCGCGACATAGGTGGCTACTCTATCTCTCTTACTCAATGCATCCGAGAAGGAATAGTTTATCGCTCTGCAAGCACTGATCTCATCGACAGATCACATGTTGATGAGCTTCAAGCTTCTCACGACATCCGGATCATCTTCGACTTAAGGAGCACTGGTGAGCGAGTGCAGCAATCGTCTCCACCAGCCAAAATCCCCATCATAGGTCTACCGGCAGTTGCCAAGCCTGATGGAATTACCCTCAAGAGATACTTCGATGGTCTATTGACTAATGCGCCACTAGCATGTGCTGAGCTTTACCAACATATCTGTGCCCACTCGAATGCCGCATTTCATGCAATTTTCAAGTATATCCGGGATAGCCCGGGAAAACCCATTCTTGTTCACTGCGAACTTGGGAAGGACAGGACTGGAGTCTTTATTGCTGTTCTCCTATTTGTGCTAGGTGTATCGGAGTACGATATCATTACAGATTACGCCTTGTCACAGAAAGGCATAGAGGGACTCGTGGTGGCGAGGAAAGAAAAACTTTCGAGATCGGATTTCATGAAAGATGTTTCGCCTTCGCTGGTTGCTTTGGATAATCACTTCATGGCACTTCCGGAGTCCATGAGCTTGTTCCTTTCTTATTTGAAAGATGCCTATGGTAACGGCCAGGGCTACTTGGAATCAATTGGCTTACGGGTTGAAGATTTTGATAAAATCAGATCGAACATGACTCGGGAGGTGTAGACCCATTCAACGCTCAGAGACAACCGAGGCGATCATAACATATCCTGAATATAGAACGGATTGTCCGCTCTGGAAATGGTAGACACGGCACAGTTCACGTCGAATATATGGAGTTTCCGATGTTTATTCGGAATAAAGTCAGCTGCTGCAGCCTTGTGGAGTTGCAATTTTGCTGTTTCGGATCTCCCGAGGTCACGACGTCTGCTGGGCTTCGGGGATTTTTCCCTTTTCTGAGAAGTTTGAACGACGAACCTCGGTTTAAGAACTGCCGCTTCTGTAAGTGCCGAGTCGGAAGCTTTCTAGACCGGCGTTTGGGCCTGACCAAGCATTTGTGGCCCCGGATTGACAGGGGTCCCGCGGGATGATAAATTAACGGCTAAGAGGCGTTAATTTATCGCGATGTTAGAATCCACCCTGACGTCGTGGAAATTTTAAAGTATCATAGATCTTAATATTGACTAGTTCGTCTCGGAACGGCTGTTTGAGAGAAACTGCGGCGAACACCGAGGAAACATGACATATCAGCTTGGATTAATCTTGACTGAATGATACGACACGGTGGAATTCATCGGGATTTGTCGGGCTTCAAGGTGCATGTTTTTAGATCCTTAAGGGCTAATCTGTCGCGTTTTGACCCACGCAAGCCAAGCCCGAAGTAGGCAGGTGCGGGGCATCAAGAACTTGGTATGAGATCAAATTCAATATGATTAATCAACAAAGCTAATTTATATGTTCAAATTATGTGGCGTGCTCCCGGAAATTAGGGAGAAGCAAGGACTGACGAAGGATCTATGACTGATTTTTGAGGCGGGACCCATACTTTCTGGTTAGCATTCCCCACACGCCTCCGGACCGTTCGAAAGATAACCTACTAGTGTCATCTTCTGAAACTGAATCGGTAGTCTTGACCGAGATTTATCCACACTGATCGCTCAGACTGAATTTCGCAGTTGCCCTGAACCCAAATGTAGAATCGTGCCTCTGGTCATCAAGTCAACGTGACAGATGAACAATTGAATAACATCCAAGCAGTGACCAAATTGCCCTGACGTCTAGAAACAACGTAACATTGCAAGATCTGAAACTACAAACAACCAGTAATCCTTCTTGGGCGCGGATCTTCCGCCACGAGCCCTGCAATCCCCACTTTTGCCGATTCCGAGGTATACCAAAACGGGCATGACCCCGAAAGTTTACAGCATCAGAATGTTTGAGTTTGAGACGAGCATTTCCCTTTCCAGCAAGGACACCGTTTAGATCTCAACGTGGGACATCTTCCATTCCGAAAGATTTTCTCAAGAATACATCAAGGCGGACGTATCCGACAGATGAAGGTATTTAAAGCACGGAATTCCCAGCATCTTCTAGAACCAAGAACAGCAAGATCACTACCATCTATTTGTTTTGCCATTGACTGAATTCTTCGCGCCGATTCAATTCATTATACTACAATTCAAAATGCTTTCCAACGGCATTTCCTTCCTTACTACGGCCGCCGCGTTGGTCGCCCAGGTCTCTGCTGCTCCTACCCTGCAATCGCGGGCCACTGCGGGTTTGTCAACCTAGAGAATACAAGATCGAACAATATTTGACAATCAAATTACAGACACTGCTGCTTGGTCCTTCCTGCAGCGCGCTGCCGACCTGTCGTCCGCTGCGTATACTGGATGTACTGGAACAGCCTTCGATGTCACCATCACCAAGCAAATTTATGATGTGACGACCAATGCCAAGGTGAAACCCTGCAAAACACTGGAACAAGTCACCAGGAACTGACCTTTCCAGGGCTTTGTTGGATATTCCACAACAAACAAGAAGATCTCTGTCGTCATGAAGGGATCTACTACTGGTGAGTATCGTGTCCTGACCCTTGATCATCGACACAACTGACAAAAAATAGAGACGGATTTTGCCAACGATGTCGACACCACCTTGGTCACTCCTTCCCTCTCTGGCGTCACCTTCCCCTCTGGTGCTCAGATCATGCATGGTATTAGTAGCCCATGGTCTGCTGTCCATGATACCATCATCTCGGAGGTCCAGTCGCTGGTCGAGCAGTACCCAGACTACACTCTGGAGTCGACCGGACACTCCCTAGGAGGAGCTCTCACCTACATTTCTTATGTTGCCCTGGCTTCTAACTTCCCCGATACGGAAATCACTAGCAATGCTATGGCTGCGTTCCCGATCGGTAACCAGGCCTGGGCCAACTTTGCCAACTCTTTCAATGGCACCATGAACCGTGGTAACAACCTCGATGACGGTGTGCCCGTAAGTGCCACTTTATACAAGATCGTCCAAACAAGTGGCTGACTGAGTTTTAGAACATGTACATCGAAGCCCCATACGACTTTATCCACTACGGAACTGTGAGTTGAATGGCTGAGATATTTGTCTACATCGGATTGAATTTTAACATAAAACTTTTGCATCTAGGAATACTACAGCTCTGGAACCCAAGCTACCGTCGTGAAGTGCTCGGGAGAGCGTGACACCTCTTGCTCTGCTGGAAACGGACAGTACGGAGTGACTGCTGGTCACTTCTCCAGCTTCGGTGTTGAGATGGGCTACGCTGGATGTTCTTCGCTGTAAGCTAAGACTTCGAAATTCTTCGAAATTCTCACGAAGTCACGGCCTTGAGAGGCTTTTGCAACTAACGTGAAGTCCTCGCGGGCGAGGAACCTTCGCGTTCAAGACCTGTTCACTATGTATCAATTGTTTCACCGGATGTTGAACTATTCAACATAGCTGGCACCGCGTGTCAAAATTTATTTCTTGCTTTAAGTCCTATAGTTATGACCAACATCCAAATTACAATCTGTACCAATTGAAACTTCCACCGTTATCTCTTGAGTTCCGGTAGGTAGCAGCTGAGTCTAGGCTCCCCAAGCAGCGTGCGTTTGGCAACGCCGATCGTCGACTCGGGAGCCAATACGATGCGGCCACTAGGCGCCACTCAATAAGCACGAGTTGAAAACAACACCAGGCGGACGTGATTATACCAATCGGAGATGAACTTGGCTGCGCCTCATGACGGCCGCACCTGCAGTTGATATCACCTGACCTTGTGTCTTAAATAGCGCTCGTCCCCCTCACCCCGGCTTTTCTTTCTCACGTCTGCCAGAGTCGACAAATTGCGCACCTGGAGTCTCTCGAGACTCTTGAATGCAAAGCCATCATCCGGAAATTGTTTCTTTTCGTCTCTTGATGAAACGGAGAAACTATTTCGGAGGACAGGTTTCCAGACTCTTTCACATGCTCGTGTGATCTGCAGCGTCAAGTGTATTTTTTTTTTTGTTATTATTTGACCAACTCGTATCACTCTTTCTGATTATTTGGGTTCCTCGGCCACATCCTTTGATATCTTGTATCGCCATGTTCAGACGCTCCTTTACGTCGAAGAGCTTCGATTCTAAAAGCCGGGCGGGTAAGACCTCCAAGGCGAGTAAGAAGAAGTACGACAAACAAGCCAAAGAGAAGATGCAGGACAAAGTGGACAACCCTTCGCCGGGAAGGTGGTAATTTCACGATAAAAAATTTGGGGATAAAGCTAATCACTTGCGGCTAGTGCACTGACAAGTCCCATTGTCACGATGGTCGTGGGCCAGGAACAGCGTTTATTCGCTGCCCACGAGGACGTCTTGTCCGTTTCCCCGTACTTTCAAACCGCGCTGAAAGAGAAGTCTCTGGAGGAAGACGCAAAGCAACTGGCTCTGCCTGACGAGTGAGTCGTTGGTCGCTGTGGCAATGATGGTCTTAAGCTTATACTCGAACAGGGAACCCGAGATCCTTTCGTGTATTCTTGAGTACCTGTACAAGGGCGACTACTACCCACGATTGTTGCGTGGCAAACGTCGAGACTCTTGGTATCTCGAGAATGCCCAGGATTTCCAGCAAAACGGTGGCTGCGGGTCGAGTGAGGCGACTTTCTTCCACTCCGGTGTGAAGGATATCGTGCTTCGGGACACAGTGGTGTACTGCGCTGCCGAGAAATACGGCCTGGAAGAGCTGAAAGATATTGCTCTTCGCAAGCAAGGTCTTCAAATCGGAATCCCGGCCGATGTGATCTTGCGATCTGCTCGGTATGCGTACGACCACACCCCGGACACCGAATCTCGACTGCGCGCTCATTACCTGGCTCTCATAATTCGAAGCCGTAAGACGTTTAAGAGAAGCGGGACGATGCAGATGGAAATGGACAATGGTGGCAAGCTGTTTTTTGATCTGTTTGTGGCGATGTGCAACCACATGGACGATCTTGTGGAGATCCGGTAGGATTACTCCCGGCTTTGTGCTTGAAGGTCTTTTTTGCTATATTACCGCGACCTTTTGTTATGGACGCTTACATTTTATTCTAGCAGCATCAAGCGGACTCCACGGTTGTTCTAGTATATCGCCATATTGCCTTCTTTTTGCGCTTCAGATCGAGTAACTTGACAATTGGATTTGAATCGGGAGGCCTGCTTATTTGAACCAGAATGGCTTTTCAACTGCGTTATTCTTCATTGAACCAGTCTTTTGATTTTTGCTTTCCTGACAAATGAACTTCTTCGATTCTCACGAGGTTGGCCACCGTTGAATGGTTTGAAGAAACCATCCTACTCACGTTTAATCGAATTGGTATGTGACGACTTGCGTTAATCGACGTCCTCCTTTCTTGATCCTTTCGTGATTGTGAGCTCTGTTCCATTATGATGCTTGCGTTTTTGTCTGCATTGTCTGCGTTCCTTTAGCCTGTGACTTTCCGTCTCCGCTCCTTGACGATATTTAGCCATGTGATCTAGTTGAGCCCTACGCTCGTTGATGATTGAGAAATATGAAATGAGAAATCCGGCCGCCTCAAAAGATATCATTTAGTATTAACGTAGGTAATAGCGAGTCATAGCTTTTATTAGCTTTATGATTTTATCGTCTACATCTGCGTTGAACCAACTCAAAATCCTTAAGCATCGGCCTTTTCAAAATGCTATTTACTCAATTAACGGACAGAGTTGTTTCAACCTTCATGGTACTGTATACGTTCTCCACTTCTTCCTTATGCTTTACATTGCTCCAGTTGAGTCACGATATAGCCTCACACCCGACTATAGAACCCTCTTCCGGATTGAATTCCTGATCTTCTTCATTTATCACAACTTTCAAGACCTTCGGACAACCTTTAAGCACTCCAATTTGCTTATAGGCACACTCCGGTAATCGTCCTTTTCACATCTCCCAACATTTCGAATCTCTTCAGTCCGATACCTGCTTCCAACCCACCCCTTCTTTCCACTTCATGAATCTCAATATCTCATGAGTTCGTTTTTTTTTCACCCTTTCTTTTGCCTACTACTACTCTCACCTCAATACCTCACTTTCTCCAATCCTTCCAAGTCTTCCTGTCAACTTGATGTTATCATACTGACTATCAAACCAATCACCTAGACGGTTACCTACCCGTCTTCATACCCACGTCCCTGAAGGTATAGTTCCCATTATCCTACAAATTAACCAGAAGCAGTTTCTCACCAATCCCATTCTCTAAGCAGATTTACTTCACAAAGCACAATGGCCACGTTTTCCGCCCTGACAGCGGGTCTGGTCAAGACCAATTCGCCGGATGAACTCCTTCCGGGAGAAGCATTTGTGGTCCGGTTCAAGAACCCCTGCCGAAAATACAGAACGGACATCTGGATCGCAGTCATCTTGACCGAGGAGCTCGGGCCTGGCAAGCACCTCAGCGGTCGCATGAAAGGCGCCAAGGGCGCCGATGGCACTTGGGACACCCCTGCAAATGAGCGGGTTTACCCAGTCTATATGCCCGGGCGCAACAGCTAGTAAGCCAGCATTGCTACTCTCAGCCCAGAACATAAAACGGCTCGCTAACAATATACTAGCCGCTGGGCGCACGTCAAGGACCTTTTCAAGCTCCTTGGCCAAGTCCCACCAACCTTTGGCTATGCCAGTACCCGCGGCGATGCAGATCTCTTTCGGAAGCTGCAGAGAATTGCTCTCAAGGGCCCGGGTTGCCGGTTCTGGGAGTCCATGGCCGAGAAGGAGATGACCGTTAAGGGGAAGAGGAGCAGGGAGCTATCCCTGATCCTACCGGATGGATATGAAAACATCCTTTTGGGTGCTAAGGACTTTCCGGAATTTACTCCGACTGGCAGGGGAACCGGTACGTGCTCATGGAACCTACCCGGGTAGCATAACGTTATGGTATTGATATTCCGGAAGGTCATAGATCCACTCCTAGCACTGCTGATACGAGCTTCTCCATGCCACCATTGTCCAAGACACACGCGTACACGACCTCGCTCTCGGTAGCAAGAGCACTTGATGCCACAGGAAAGAGCAAGGCGCCTGCTAATGGGGTCGACGGCATCACGTACCTCAGCTTCCCGGGAGAAAACTTTACTTTCAGCTATACCCATCCATCGTCTTCTTTTACAACCGACGGCGCTGGCTCTGCATCGGGCGACCACTCCATCTCCACTTTTTCCCAGGCACGGCAGGGAATTCAGGTCAAAGTAGAGGATGGAGCTGAGACTGGTAGAACGAGCATCAGTGTCCTGCAGCTGAGTCTACAGGCTTCAATCAGGTCGTGGGCAGTGGGAAACCCCGAGGCAGAAGAGATCCAGTCGTTGTTCAACCACATTGTTCAGCTTCCAACTCAACCAGCATTCACACAGATCAAGTCTTTTTATCTGAACTCTGAATTCAACCCTCGCCTGGTGCAGGTTAACACACCGGCGGATAGTGACAATCGTGCGGTAGGTAACCAGGAGGTAAATCCCGAGTTCGAAGTCGGTGATATCAATGGTCTCGGCCGACACTGGCAACTGCAAGACATCCGCACTTCGGATGATCTTTGCGAGGCAATTCTCTCTCTCGGACAATTGTATACCTACGCTCGTCGTCTGAACATGGATGAACTGATCAGAATGATCACATTCAAGCTGCAAGTCGCCTGGAATTCTTACCCAGGCCTTTGTCAACTTGAACCCCTGCTCAGTATTATCTCGATGGTATACATGGCTGAGAAGGACCATCTGCAAGAGTGGATCATTAAGTTCATTGCCGATGTACATGATCTAATGTTGCTCGCGTGTTCAGTCAAGTACCAGACTGTAATGCGCGAGATCCCGAGCTTGTACAATGCTGTCTCTGATCTGCGGATGGAGCTTGTCGCCAAATCGCCGAAGAAGTACCTGGACCAACGCTGCCTACTCGAGAGCCGTGGAATTGGTCAGCTTTGAGATGTGCGCCTGAGAAATGCGGAGAGATATGGTATGATGAAGTCAATATTGTTACTGATATCGGTATCATCGCGCTTCATACCTACCCTTTTTGTTATGGATTTACCCGTGGACCGGACTTGCTACTTCCTTTTTTATCATATAGCTAGAGTGGCGTTAAAGAATTGCCTGCGAGCCTTGTCCTGGTCATTCATACTTACCTCTCTTGAATTTTGCGCCCCCAGAATGGATTGAATGAAGGGCTTCGTTAATTAACAAGACATTTTGCGGCAAGGTTTCATTTTACGGTTTGCGAATGTTCAAAATTCTCCATTTGAACTGTAAGTTGAATTCTTTAGACCTACCATGTCACCAAAGGCTCCCCACTGTATGTCACCGAGGAAGTGAGCTTGATTAGCAGCGAAATAGGTATAGAGTATAGATGAGATGCAAAAGCAGTCCAACAAAGTAATTTTACCTACGAAATTAAATGAACTGCCTTGAATAACAGGACATTATTGATAATTTGTATCATATTGATGGTACTTGGACCTTGCAATTTATCAAACGTATCTATTCCAAGGTCGTTCAATGTGTAGTACTGGTATCTTTGGCTGTTGGGTTGGTGTGAAGTATTGGTTCAACCGGGTAAGTAGCCTCGACACCCATCCTGGAAGAAGGTCATGCTGATGACTAGAGTATGGAACTGATAATGACTACATGATTATGCCATTCGTTTGCAATTGTTATCGAGTACCCATACATATAGGATATTCACACTCAGTAATAATGATAAAACGCAAATAAGCCGTGGGTCCGGGAAATACGCATGAACACAAAAGTCGAATCGTGGAAAAAGATCTCAAGATGTGCGCAGGAAAGGGGAATACAACCCATATGCGCTGAGAAACAAGACACAACAAACACCAAAGAGATCACCATAGACAGAATACCACTAAGAATGAACACAATTCAACAAAACAATCGATGAAGGCATACGAGTGTAAGCGCACGGAAGCGCATGAACGGCTGAAAAAGATGATTAGTTGTCATCGTCAGCAGCCTCTGCGACCTTTCGGCGCGCTCGCTTGGGGCGAGACGGAACCGGTTCCTTCGGCTCCTCTTGAGCCTTTGCGGCCTTGGCGGGTCTGCCACGACGCTTGGGCACCTCTTCAGTCGCTTCTTCTGTCTCCTCGTCTTTCTGAGTAGCCTTGCGCTTGATGCCCTTGGCAGATTTGGCCGGGGCCTTCTCGGATGCGGCGACCTTGGCGACGCGGCCACGCTTCTTGGGCTCGACATTGGCGCTGTTGTCGACATCGGCAGTCTCAGCAGAAGCAGCCAAAGGAGCAGTTGTCTCTGCGTCTTCCTCGGCCGGCTTCTCTTCATCGTTGGCGTCTTCCTGGACGGCCTTCTTCCGACCTCTCTTGGCGGGCTTCACCTCGGCATCAGCCTTGGAGGGGCTTTCGGTGGTGGCGGGGACAGCCTTCTTGGTGGCGCGAGCCTTCTTGGGCTTCGCCTCTTCGGCATCAGTCTTGATAGGAGTTCCAGTGGCATCGGCATCTTTCTTGCTGGCACGAGCCTTCTTGGGCTTGTCCTCGGCATCAGCCTTAGATGGGCTTTCAGTTTCCTTTTCCTGTGATCGTATTAGCCAGAATCAAAGATTATATTTGGGAATTTTTACATCTTGCTTGCCCTTAGCGGCACGCTTGCCTGGAACGCGGAAGTGGCGGCAACCAGGGCGGTTCATCTCAATATCCTGATTCGATAAGTCAGCGGGAGAGATGCTAATAATACCAAAATAGCTGTGGAGTGATTAGCTGGGTATTCAAAACTCACACCCTTCCAGTCCTCATCATCAATGTGGCCATTTTCAACGGCACGGCGGACCTTCTCCTGGAACTCCTCGGGGATCTCATCGTAGCCATCCAGGAGGGAGTAGTCAGGCTTGCCATCACACATCTCCTCCCAGCCCGTCTTAATATTCTCAAGAACACGAGGAGTGGTACAGCCCCTTTGGAAACATCAGCTCCTCTGTGAATGATTTATGTAGACATTTGAGGTTGATTCAATTTGGTGCTTACCAGTGGCGCCACATGTAGGCCTGGATTTTCTCACCATCAACCCAGGTGCCTACACGGAGGGTGCCCTTTGGAATCTTTTCCTTGGCATCCTTGCATTCCTTGTTCTGACAACCAGCACGGTTGGAAGAAGCGAGCTCTGAGTAGATAGTTAGCTAAGCAAAATCAAAAGAATATCATACATTGTGAGAGGGGTTAGAGGGCATGCTATCTGGCGCAATATTATCCGCTGCGCTGCGACCAACTGGATAATCCCACGCCGCAACCCAGTGCGCGTAAATCTCGCGTCGCTGTATTCTGAAAGTACACAGGCTCTTTTTAAATCACAAAGACGCAGGGAAAATCCAAAAGAGTGCCATTCTTCAGGCGACATCAAGTAAACAGCGCAGACTTACCGAAACGATAAGGCATGGTTGGGGACACGGTGCCCAACCTCGCGGTGGCTTTTTGGAATGAAGCTAAGGCGAAGTCAATAGTAGACAAGTATTTCGCAGTAATTACCAGTTCACACTGGAAATGAAGGCTAAAACCTGGGAGAGATTGGGTTGGGTGGGAAATTTCTTGAAGAAGGGAAAAGGGTGGAGAGTGACGTGACGCCAGTCGCCAGCTCCAGCTGCAAATTAAACCCAAAAGTATGTCAGCCACAGCCAGCAAAGGGCATCCCATTTCTTCATTGACACTTAATTCTAGAATGTTTTAAGGAGATATACTGTTTCTAATAGTCTCTTATCTTATCGACCAGGGTTTCTTGTCAACTGGGACTTGGGCTTTGTCCGCTGCAGTAATACAGACCAGCGACCGTCGAGAGACATTCCAGCGAAATAAAGAATCGCCATCTGTAGCTCAAAGACCACAACACACAATATGGGGTTTAGCCTTCAGCACTCCAGCCTCTTCCCTAGTTCACACGTTTGATCGGATAATAAGGGTCATTTCGACTCAGAAACCGGGTAATGATTGTCATACCCATTCTATCCAAAGGCCCAGACTTGTGCATGTGCACCATAACTTTGCTAGTGTACAGGGGATCAACGATTCTTTGTCTTCCAATAGGGGGATTTTTCTTCTGAAGTAATTTTGTAAGCGATACATATCCTTTCTTCTTACTGGATTTCTAAAAAGGTCATCTCGACTAGTCTATGGTAGTTTGTATTGTACAACTCTAGACCTCTACATAATTGTCGTAGACCTCAATATAGGCATACCACTCAGTAATAGGAATTAATGTGATCATCTGGAATGATTTCATTTCTTGGGTAATAAGAGTCTCGAAAGCCATTGGGTGATGTAAACATTGCCATCGATGCTAAAACTACTTAACAAACCCAAATGCGGTTAGCGTGTCGCAGTTCAGATTTGGCGTCGCGAACTTCTTGACCATCCGACACCTCTCTCAGACCACCTCCTTCCGTCCCACATAGTTCGACTGAGAACGTTTTCCAAACAGAAGCAAAGCCTTGATCACTAGGCTAACACGCCAACTCTCTTACCCACCAATACTCAGTTGCTACCAAGCAAGGGAGAGCGCAAATTCACAAACCTACAAAGAAACGACAATAAAAGAACCAACTCGCACCCGGCCATAATGTCCGAGCCTGGCCCCGAGTCCCTTCCTACTAGCGCCGATCCCCGCAGCAAAAGGCCTACCAAACGTCGCGCCGTTACACCGCACTCCGAACTCGCAACAGAAATTACAACACTCTTCAAAGACCCATCAAAGGAGATCCGGCTCCCGGACACCAACCAACGCTCAGGATCCTTGCTGTCTGCGCCACCAGAGATTGTCACCAATGTCCAGGGCTCCTCGGCCGGAGCTGGCTCCGGCGAGTTCCACGTCTACAAAGCTAGTCGGCGGCGGGAGTATGAGCGGGTACGACAGATGGAAGCGGAGGTGAGCAAGGAGAAGAACGATGCAGAATGGGAGAAGGAGCGAGAGGAAGCAAAGAAGAAGGATGAACAAAAGACGGATAAGAATCGGCGGAGGAGAGAAAAGAAGAAGGCCGCGAGGGGGAAGCAGAAGAATACTGCAGGCGGCACGGAGGTTGATGGCCCTGCGCCGGGTATGGCGAAGGGACCGAGGGCTCCTGGTGTGCCACTGGCAACTGGCGGCGAAACTACGGATTCTGAGCCGCAGCATGTCGAGGAGGTCCCTGGTGTGATTATCCACGAGGAGGACTAAAGTCTAGAGACGCTTATATGGTCCTGTTGTACAATATTGATACCCAATTCTACTCGAAGAAACAAATAGAGCATGTACCGAAACTAAATTATTTCCTTGGGCCTTTTCGAGTACCAACGTAGTTGCCGCTATCACGCCAGATCGATCCTCTCGAGATAGAAGAACCTTGGAAGGCAAGATTTCGCAATATATATCAACGGCAGATGTATCTCCAACTAACTTATATTTGCATTTTTTTCAAGCAGTGGAGAGATCTACCGAAGGTCATGTTACCTTTTCCATGAATGGACTATCAGCAAATATCTTTAGTAGGTGTAGCATGATGCATCTTAGCGCAAAACACATAGATAAGGGCCTTTGTCAACGTCCGCCGGTCTTCCGTGCGGGGGCCACCTGGGCAGCACCCCAGTCTGGATTCCAGGCGCCGCGAAGTGATATCTGTAACCGAATCGAAGAATTCCTAACATATTGGAAATAAATGGTAATGCCAATTCTCATGCCTGGACTTGATCAATTGCTGTATCCTACTTCAGCCGTGATGAATGTGTTTTTCTACTAAATTTCGCCGCACGCTATCCACGCAGTCGCACGCGCTACGAAGTCAGAGTAGCTAGAAGACCAGGCAGCAATATCCTGATTTTGGATGCCTGTTTGAAAAACCTGCTACGCAAGCTCATCAACAGAAGCACTAATTTCATCTTCTCTTGTGACTTCTCTCCCAAACCCAAGCGTCAGCGCAGAAATGACCTTCAAAGCTCTCACGACGAACGCGGTCGAACTGCAGCAGCTACTCGAAGAATTTGAAACCACGAGCACTCATATTGTGGAAGAGTATTTGGCACAAATTGATCGCTATGAGCCTGCACTTAATGCGTTACTCTCGCCTGCCCCGCGGGATAAGGTCCTCAAAGTCGCCAAGGCCCGGGATGAAGAGCGCCAGAAAGGGCAAATCAGGGGACCATTTCATGGGATTCCTATAATTTTGAAAGACAGCTTTGTCACAGCGCCGGAGCTGGGCATGAGTACCACAGCTGGATCATATGCATTTGTCGGAGCCAAGGCGTCGAAGAATGGAGCAATCACTCAGCGGTTGATTGATGCTGGCTTGATTATCCTAGGAAAAGCTAATATGACTGTGAGTAGACATTCAAAATCCTAGGAAGGCAGATTCCATTAAAAGTTGTTTTAGGAATTCGCTGGGATGAAAATGACCATGATGATGCCCGGTTGGTCTGCTCATGGCGGTCAGACTTTCTCGCCGTATGTTGGGAAGATGGAGGAAAATGAGAATATACTGGGTCATTCAGTGAGTACATACTAGAGAATAAAAGAAGTCGATCATTTACACTGATACTCAACAGGCTCCTGGGGGCTCATCTACTGGTTCTGCGGTCGCTGTAGCCGCTGGGTTCAGCCCTCTTGCAATGGCCACTGAAACCATAGGTTCCATAGTGACTCCGTCAACACGCGCCGCTTTATATGCACTCAAGCCCACTACCGGGATCCAGGATACTACTGGGCTATACACCATGACGGACTTTTTTGATAGTCCGGGCCCAATGGCCAAATCGGCAGCTGATCTTCGCGTTCTTACTGAGATTCTACTGGGTCGCCCGTTCAGCTCCCCCCAAATAGGACCCTGGGAAGGGCTTTCAGTGGGCTTCTTGGACCCTAAACGTTGGAGCATTTCACCGGGCTTGTGTACTCAAGTTGAGGGTACAGCAGAGCAAATGGTACGTTATTCTCTCTCTTTCTACAAAGGTGTTCCGGGCTCTGACAGTTGAGTCTAGATAGATGAGTATGAAGAGATAATTTCCGCCTTGCGAAGCGGAGGCTGTCCTCTTAAATACCCGATCCATTGCAAAGATGCCACGATCTTGCCGAACTCTATATTGCCAATCGCATGTAGGTCACTGCAGCATCAGATAAAGTTAAGATGGCTAACGACTTCTAGATTGGGAGTTTAAGAATGTCTGCATCCCTAGATTTATTCGCTCATTCCAAGAGTGCTCTGTTACAAGCGTCGCAGACATAGTCAAGTTCAACAAAGAGAACAGCGAAAAGGCCCTCCCAGCACGTATGTTGACATAAGGAAATCATCCTACCATCTCGCAATGAAGAGTTACTAACAATATGCAGCATTCACTGAACAGAATGATCTTGAAGGGGCAATGCATACTAACGAAACAAGGGACAAAATAAATGAACTGAAAAAGGGCCTTCGTGGGGCAGCGAGAGATATTTTGGATGATCTATTTGAGAAGGAAAATATCAACATTTTGGCAGCTCCGGGAGACTCCTCATTATGTGTTCATGCAGCAGCAGCAGGTCAGAGTTATCAAGTTCACGTTAATTTCTTCGTTGCTAACTAGGAACCAGGCTATCCTGTCGCCACAGTGCCCATAGGACAACTTCACTACAATGACCGACCGTTCGGTCTATGTCTGGTGGCCAAGACGGACGAGGAGGATACCCTGTTGCAGTTCATGGGAGAGTACGAAAGCGTTGCTAAGCCTCGTCCGGTTCCCAAACTTTGGAAGCTGGCATGAAAGTGGTATATATCCAAAGTGCTTGGATCGCATTGAGGGCGACGTGAATGATATTGTTGAGTTGATGATTATAGCAGGCGCGTAGTTTGACATAGGAATATATAATGAAATCATTATGAAACAACCCGTTCTTCGAAAGGAGACGAGAGAGAGTCAAGCGATATATACCCATGAGGCAATCAACGAAAAGTCTTCCAAGGTTGCCAAGCAAGCATTTAGAAGCAGGAAGTCCCAACGTTCTATGAATAGAAGCATACCGGCAGATCTACCACAAAGACACACAGTCCTACTTCCAGAAGATTCAAAGAGCTCCCACTGAGGTCACTGCCTCACAGGAAGACCAAATTACTCACAGATTATGCTTCCTGGGAGGGTGACAAAGAGCACCCCAGTAACGTTCAAAGAAACGACGGTTATAGCTCAGAAGAGCATATCCCCGGCCTCTCACAATCAAAAAAAAAAAGGCAAAGAAAAAAGGAATCAAAAAGCCGACAAAACAAAGCGAACCGCACCGTCAGACTAGGCGATGATGCAGTGAGGGCAGTGAATAAGCAGGCTGACAACGTCCAGTATGACCCACGAATGTCATCTATGCATGATATGGGCGACGAAGCTGCCCTCGTAACGCTGGACCAGTGTTGACCAATATCAAGTGTAATAAAAAAAATTTAGTACAGAGGATAAAGGTGCCTGTAGATTGAAGCTGGAATATGTCATACCAACTCAGCAACTTAAATGTTCTTTGACCCCGCAAATTGTCAACAACTCTGCCCGGCATCTTGTCGTTGCTTCACTGTAGAGCTGGAGCCTGGTATTTCCCTAAAAGTCTATTGGGGAATGCAGTTAATAGCCAAGGTTTGGTAGTAAGGCTGCTGAGGTCGTATTCCCCGCTACTGCTTATGCTTATGCCATATTTTGTGGGGTTTATTGGACAGATATTACAGGCTAGGCTCTTCCAGTCCGATTTGTTTAGGCGCCCCTCCTCACCCAGAATAATGTACGATGAGCAATATCCTTTTCGGCAATGATGCTTATCAAGCCCGGAGAGTCGGCCTGTGGAACGAAAACCCCCAGTATGACCCCACTCTCCCCGACACAGTCAGCTTGATCGACATCATCATAACACAAAAGCCATCAACCTTTATTAAAGCCCCGCCTGCCATCCTAGGCTCTTCCCCATCCTTCCCGATTACCAACCGTAATGGCGAGCCATCTCTCCGCCCAGGAGGTTATTAAGGCCTTAGGATTGTCCCCACACCCGGAAAAAGGCTACTACCTAGAGACCTTCCGCGACCGCGACGAATCCAACGACAGCTCCCCTAGCACCTGTATTTACTATCTTCTTGAGGGCGAAGCTGGCCTCTCCAAGTGGCACCGTGTTCACAATGCCACCGAAATATGGCATTATTATGCTGGCGCCCCTTTACAACTTTCACTCTCCTGGGATGATGGAAAGCCCACCCGAGATTTTATTCTAGGGATTGATATTGCAAAAGTAAGCAGATCGCGTTTGTCCGATCTAATGCCCGTTTTACAGCCGGTTAAAAACAAATGCTAATATTTGAATGATTTAGGGCCAACGCCCTCAAGCTTTTGTGAAGCGTGGGGAATGGCAGCATGCAAGATGCTTAGGTGACTGGACACTCGTGGGTTGTACAGTGGCACCGGCGTTCCAGTTCGAATCTTTCGAGATGGCTGAGGAAGGGTGGGAGCCGCGGATGGCTTTATAACGTTAGATACTCGAAGTCAGATTGTGGGAGAGATTCGACTGATTTCTCCAGCGACCATAATGTTAAGAACCAGTTCAGAAGTGATGTTCGCCGAATATCCCAAGATTAGAACGTTACCCCCATGTTGTGTGACAAGTCACAGACATTGGTCATATCTATGGATTTTCCCCGTGTAGAAGATGAACCCATAATTTGGAAACAAGACATTAGATAGCCTTGTGACGAAGCTCTTTATGATCAACAAATACCACTGCCATAGCTTAGCAAGTCTGAATCGCTCTAGATATATACTGAGGCTAAGCCAAACTCCTAGACCATATTTTCTCGTCATCATTGCATAATCTTGAACAATTTAGTTCACACCGGGGTCAAGATTGCTGCATCTGCTTAAAGCCGGAATTCGTTTTTCTTTACTGTAAGAAGAGTCAATACTTAGACATATAAGTTATTATAGCGGGCAGTATATCGAGTCCCGGTCCTCGATATGAGGGTCTAGGCTATACATTATGCTAGATCTAAGACAACCTTAGCTACCGAGATTTGCACAGGTGTTGACAGGAGTGTAGATATAAAGGCTTGAATCAAAACGATACTTGCAGAATGCAATCCAATCCAGCATGAGTATTCTTGTTTTAGAGTTCAAATGTCAAGCAGTAAGCTTGAAATACTGATGGGACATCCCTGTTGGACGGAATTTGTGGTTAGAAACTCTATGAGCCGACGTCTCTTATAGAACAAAAGCCTCCCAACAAGCTTCTCATTTCCTTTATTCTCTCCCCCACTCGTTGATAGCTAGTTTCATAGATCTTAGATGTTACTATTTGCTCAAACAGATTCTTAGATCCGAAAATCTGCCTCTTGCGCACGGTCCTTAACCGTACCCTCGTATTCCTAGACGAACTGTAAGTACTAACTCCGAACCCAAAGCGATAAGCACGACCACTTCCAGTTCTATTATTACCTACAGCTGTTATGTTATGAAGTGATGCACTACCTACATGGCGTATTCTGATTTAGCTAGACACAATACGAGGTGGGGCTTACATAACTCCGATAGCCGAGCTCAGCCCGCGTCAGATCTTCGATAAGGAATGCACCTTGGAAGACATTGTTAATCTCACCAAGGTACACGTTACAGGTTCACCCGTCCGCTTGTACCTGGCCCCGTCAACCCCTCCTGTACGCCCAGACATGGTTGCCACAACGTCGGGGACCAGCAGCCCGGGCCGAGAGGCGGCTATCGGATTTGCCGAGGAGAACGATCGGCAAGATGAGACTACGGCTCTCCTTGGATCTCAAAAGTCCAAGAGTAACGATGTTCGCATATCGAGCACTTCGTATGGCTCATCACCAGAAGATGGCGGTGATTCCACAGAGGAGGATGAAAAACCTCTACCAACGACCCAAATTCTGTTGCTCTGCTATGCTCGGGCGATAGAGCCGCTGGCATTTTTCTCCATTTTCCCGTATGTCAGCCAAATGGTCCAGGAGAACGGACATGTCATAGCATCGGATATCGGTTTCTACTCTGGGCTCATCGAATCCCTGTTCTCTCTGACACAAGCTATTGTCATGATTTTCTGGGGTCGACTAGCCGATCGCATTGGACGCAAGCCAGTTCTGGTCTTCTCTTTGATCGGTGTCACCATAGCGACTGGTCTATTTGGATTGGCGAAATCGATCCCACAGATGATCCTGTTCAGATGCATTGCTGGCGTCTTTGCCGGGACTATTGTCACCATCCGAACTATGATTGCCGAGCACAGCACGCCGAAGACTCAGGCGAGAGCTTTCAGCTGGTTTGCCTTCAGTGGAAATTTGGGTATCTTCCTTGGGCCTCTGTTGGGTGGTGCTCTTGCCAATCCTGCAGTCCAGTACCCGGGTATCTTTGGGGGAATCCGTTTCTTCGAGGACTATCCCTACGCTCTCTCTAGTTGGGTGGTAGCTTTAGTGGGAGTTACTGCCGCCTTGTCTAGCGCCTTGTTCGTCGATGAAACATTAAAGAAGGACCCGACTGCTGCTGACCGCGATGGTGAAGAGGCCGTCTCTGAACCGCCTGCCCACAGCGATGACCTTTCCGCATGGCAGCTCTTGAAGGCTCCAGGGGTAAGCACCGTCATCTTCATATATGGCCACATCATGACCCTCGCTTTTGCCTACACGGCCATCGTCCCCGTATTTTGGTACACCCCCGTTGACCTTGGAGGATTTGGCTTCACGCCCATGCAAATCTCCTTGCTCATGGGCTTGAACGGCGCCGCTCAGGCTGCATGGTTGCTCCTGGTTTTCCCTCCACTGCAGAAGAGGATTGGTTCGAACGGAGTGATCCGCCTTTGCGCCGCTGCCTATCCTTGTTTTCTTTTGACGATGCCTGTCGGCAATATACTATTACGGACAGGAACTGATGCAGCTATTAAATCGTTTTGGGTCTTTACACCGGTGGCGTTGGTTTTTGGTTGCGGTGTGAGCATGTCCTTCACCGCGATTCAACTTGCCCTCAATGATGTGTCACCTTCGCCGCGGGTCCTTGGTACGCTGAACGCTCTGGCTTTGACTGGCAGCAGTGCTCTACGGGCTTTCTGCCCCGCCCTCTTCACCACCCTCTATGCGCTGGGGGCGAGAACACAGCTGGCAGGAGGCTATGCTATCTGGATATTCCTAGCTCTTCTTGCTTCTGGTCTGTCGTTCGTAGCGAAATACTTGCCAGAGCCCAAGCAGGCTCACAAGCGCCGGAGCACCGAATAAGCTTGGTAGGTTCTGAGCTAGCTGAATTTAGCATGGCCTAAAAAGAAATTAGTGGTCTTGTTCGTCATTTTTAGTTTCCTGTCTACTAGCCAGTTGTCATTTACTGCATAATACATTTGTGATAGAGATCCAGGAATGCATCTGATGGCCATTCATTAAGCTGGCCAGTAGTGTACAGGGAGTACCCATATGACAGTTCATTTTGGTCTAGGATGTTCATACAAGAAAGAAAAACCTCAAAGCCAGTCGTGTAGCATTATGTACGGACATCAGGTGCATGAATCATCTTTTTTTGTCTTACTCATCTATTACTTTACTCGCCACCACCGGGGGCGCCAACTTGTTGAGCCGACTTGCCGCTGCAAATATCGTCGACACGGAGGAGCAGGCACGCGGACTAATATCAAAGTTAGTTAATCGTATATTGGCGGGGAGTGATTCAAGTAGCTTACCTCGACCGCGGTCTTAATACTCTGGAGCTTGACAGCCTCAGGCTCCCACACACCGTACTCGTTCATATCCACCAGGTTGCCAGAATCACCATCCAGACCCCAGGTGTTGTGGCCCTCGACGTGCTTGGCACGCAGGCGAGTCAGAACACGGATGGGGCTAGCGCCAGCGTTCTGGGCCAGTGTGCGGGGAATGACCTCCATGGCGTCAGCAACGGCCTTGTAGGGCCACTGCTGGACACCCTCGATGGAACGGGCAAGCTGGCTTAGCTTCACGGAAACAGCCATCTCGACGGCACCACCACCGGGGCAAAGACGGGGGTTGAAGATGACGTTACGTGCAACTCCCATGGCGTCGTGGAGGTTGCGCTCGATCTCATTCAGGATATCCTTGGACGGGCCACGTAGCAGGATGGTGCAAGCCTTAGGGGAGTCGCACTTGCGCATAAATGTGAAGTACTCATCACCAATCTTCTCAATCTCAAACAGTCCACAGCGAGTACCGATATCCGACTCCTGGATGTCATCGACACGGTTAACAATGGTAGCGCCGGTGGCACGGGCAATACGGTTGTTGTCTGTCTTCCGCACCCGGCGGAGAGCGGTGATGTTGGCCTTCATGAGGAAGTGCTGTGCAAGATCTGTGGAAGACAAAAGGGCGAAAAATTAGCCATATGATCCTACCCACAACAACAGAGATTGGATCCCATACCAGAAACACCCTTCTCGGTGATGACAACGTCGGGCTTGCATGCCAAGATGGCGTCACACATGTGCTTAACCTGCTCCTCCTCGATTTGCAGGATGCGGTTCCAGTCGTCCTCCTTGGAAACCTCAATGTTTGTCTGAGACTCTCCCTTCTTGTACTCCAGAGGGCAGTCGAGCAAAAGAATACGGGGGTTCTCGATTCTCCTCCGCATCTTGGGGTGAGTAATATCCTTGTTGACCATGACACCGTCGATGACCTCGGAGTCCTCGATTTGACCACCGGGGATCTTCTCAATACGAGCGTAGCGCTTGATATCAACCTCCTGCTTTCCACCACCAACGTCAAAGGAAACTGTCCGCACTGCGGTCAATGCCAGATTGCACATCAGGTCGGACCACCGCGAAACGAACTTCGTGCCAATGGAGGCCTGGATAAGGCTGGCCATGGCCTTATCGTCGTGAATGTCAACGGGTCTGGAGACCTCTCCGACAATTGTAAGGGCATCGGCAAGGGCGCGCTTGAATGCGGAGATGATAACGACGGGGTGGATGTTGCGTTCGAGTTGAGGGAGTGCCTGAGCGAGCATCTCACCAGCTAATAAAGAGTCAGAGAGCCTTTAAATGATCCTGTAGGTGACCGAAAGCATACCCAAGATAATGACAGTTGTGGTTCCGTCTCCGACCTCCTCATCCTGGGTACGGCTGAGCTCGATCATGCTCTTGGCCGCAGGGTGCGACACCTCGATCTCTCGGAGGATAGCGTGGCCATCGTTAGTCAGGACAATACCACCCATTGGGTCAAGCAGCATCTTCAACATGGCTTTGGGACCGAGACATGACCGAATGATGTCGGCAACACTGGCGGGGGAAAGTTGTATTAGTATCTGACGGAGTGCATAACGGTATGATCGAAGGAACGAGAATGAGAGTAAGCGTACGTCTTGGCAGCAGTAATGTTGGAAAGCTGTGCCCGGCGACCAACCTGTCGGTCGCCAGCATTGGTGTCTATTCAGGGGACGGTCCGTTAGTGAATGCCGTCAGAACAATTTCGGGGAAAAGAGGGGCACGCACTCATCACCACCACCGGAGCTTGCATATTGGCGGTAGTATTATGTGTCAAGGGGGAGAACGGAATGAAGTCAAGCCAGATGCTGAACAAAACTCCCGATGAACAGAGAGAAGGCTAACTCGGAACCGCGTTGATGTCGCCCGCATCCTAAATTTCCAAAGTGGGAGCTCCCTGGCACTAAACCCAAACGGGTAGGGACAAACCAAGCAAACAAGAACTACATCGAAATCATTGCAAATCATCAAATCTCATCCACTATAGATTATGCACTTATCAAGGTCAATTGAGTTGAATGAATATGATACATATGTGGTAATTGGAAATTCCGGTACATCGAACGAATACATCTTGCAAATATTGTACAGTGTTCTCCCCTCATACAGATTGATGGGCCCTCGAAAGCCACGTCTTTCAACACATAATGTACGGCGGTTGGACGAAATGGCCATCATAGACCCCACTTAATACTCCCGGCTTTCTCCAATGTCCACCACATCAAATACGCCCTTTTCGGGCAGACCAAACCGTTTCAGGGCAGTCTTCAGCTTCTCGGGCGGCTCAAGGACATCTTCCTCGGTCAGAACCCAAGTTCCCCAGTGAATACCAAGTGCATTCTTGCATTTAGTATCTTGGAAGATTGAGACCGCATCATGCGGATCACCGTGGGCAGGACTCCACACATGGCGAGGAGCGTATGCGCCGATCGGAATCAAGCCAAGATCAAATGGACCCCGAAACTCACCCACTTGCTTGAACGCAGGGCACACAGGGAAGTCGTACTTCGGGTCATGATCATCCTCTCCTTCAGGAAGCTCAGTAACTGGCCGATACCCAGTGTCTCTGTTCAGCAATACCTCGTCAGCATTGTCACCAGCCGGGGTTAGAAGCATAACATACCCTGCAAAATAAACCTTCTTGCCCTCGGATTCAATAGCCCAAGAGCACCATAAAGTCTTGTTTCTGTCAAACGGACCACGAGCACTAACATGCTGACAAGGTAAGGAGCTGAGCCGGGCCGTAATTTCAGAGGCCTCTGGATGCCCCTCACCAACAGCCTCGACCTTTGTCTCCTTTGTCGTTGGAGACAAGGTAATATCGCACTCCTCCCACCAGTCCAGCTCCGTGACCTTCTTGATGCCACATTGTTCGAACCATGTCTTGTTGCCAAGTGGGACAAAAAAGTGGCAGTTGGGATGCTTCTTCGCGATTGCTGTGACCGTGTGGTAAGATAAATGATCGTAATGGTTGTGCGAAATTACAACGGCGTCGATCAAGGGGATATCGGTGGGCTTGCAGGGTGCGTCAGTGAAGCGTTTGGGCCCTAGCATGTTGTACGGTCCACAGCGCTCCTCAAGAACTGGATCGAAGAGCACCCGAAGGCCGCTGGGAAACTCAATATAGTAGGCTGCATGGCCTAGCCATGTTGCGCGCAAATTGGTGGTGTCACGACTGGGAAGGAATTCAGGTGTTCGAACAGGTACTGTCGGACCGCTAGTATCTGGGACATTGGCCTTGCCGGTCAAACGGCGCCTGCAAAAGTTTTCAATTAATATTTTATCATCGGTACCTAGGATTCTTGACCTACATCATTACCTCCCCCACACTTTTGATGCTCACATCTCGCCATGAGCTGCCAAACAATAGCCTTGGGTCAGTGTCATGCCATACAAGTAAAATAAAAGGCATAACTCACTCCCATGGATTTCTGAATCCAGACTTGGAATGATGGCTCTTCTTCGACGCGTCCTCTGGAGCTGGTCTAGTTGGAGTTGTAGCGACAGTAAGGGCGTACAAAATTTGTGTCGTAGTTGAACTCATGTTGCGAACAGACATATAGGGCCGGGTGATGGGCTGGAAAAAACGAGGAAAGCCACGCATGGGGGGCAGAGTCTCTTTTTAAATACCACCCCCTAGGATCAATTCGATCGCGTGGCTTACGGCGTTGTGATTGAAGGAATGCCGGAGGCAGAAAATGCCACTGGAGCTAAATCCACTCCGTTTCTCCGTTCACGATAAACCCGATTATCTCCGTGTCAGCCAACACATGGATTCGAAACTGATGGGCTTATATTCTAATCATTGCTAGTTTTGGACGCTGTCAAAAATATCTATAGAATCAAAAAACAAGGAATCGAGCATATAGAACCATGTGTTGCCGATCATTCCCATGGCTTGTCACTGTTGCACAACCGGGGGATCACTCGGGCCGTTAAAACTCCGATATCTTGACTTTCTTATCGTTCTTGGTCTTTTGATTTACCACCAGACATCTTGATCCCGCCATGGAGTCCGGCGTATCCAATGCTGGGTCTAGTGCTGCAGTTGCGCCAGCGCCATCTGCAGCTGACTTGATTCTCCAACAGAGAGCACAAGCCCTCCATAATGCGCCGTCAGCTCAGATTGGGGACGGTAGTCTCTGGTCGCAATTAACATCTAATCCCTTGTTCACAGCTGTACGTCTTTATCGAGCTACACCTTTCAAGATTGGACACTGACAAAACTTCATTCAGGGCTTCGGCCTCGCAGGTTTAGGAGCGGGACTCACCTTTGCGCAACGGGGTCTTCGTCAAGGCGCCGCCTTGTTACGTCGCCGTATGTTAGTTGACGTCGAGATAAGCATCAAGGACGATTCATACCCATGGTTCCTCCACTGGATGACCCTATACCAGCAATCACAATTAGGTGCGACCCGCGCAGCCACCAACTCCAGCTACCTAGACCGTCTTCTTCAGAAAATGACACCCGGGATGCGCCATCTCTCTATCCAAACCCAAAAGGTGGAACACTCCAATGGCGCGATGAACACACATTTCTCTCTGGTGCCGGGACCAGGCAAACACGTCCTACGATACAAGAACGCATTCATTTTTGTCAATCGCGTACGCGAAGCCAAGTCTCGTGATCTCCAGACCGGAAAGCCATGGGAGACGATCACTCTTACTACCCTCTACTCCCATCGTCACGTCTTTGAAGACCTCTTTACCGAGGCGCATGCATACGCGGCCAAATCCCACGAAGGAAAAACAACGATTTATAATAGTTGGGGTACAGAGTGGCGGCCATTCGGCAACCCGCGGCGCAAGCGTCCACTAGATTCTGTGATCCTAGCGGAGGGCGTCAAGGAGCGTATTGTGGAAGATGTTCAGGACTTTATCTCAAGCTCATCTTGGTATTACGACCGCGGTATTCCGTATCGACGCGGTTATCTGTTGTACGGACCACCCGGGACAGGCAAGAGTTCTTTCATTCAAGCGCTGGCAGCTGAGCTTGACTACGATATTGCAATTTTGAATCTTAGCGAACGTGGGCTGACCGATGATCGATTGAACCACCTTCTGACTATTGTTCCGAAACGAACCTTGGTTCTGCTGGAGGATGTGGATGCAGCTTTCTCCAATCGCCGTACGCAGTCTGACGATGACGGTTATCGCGGGGCAAACGTGACCTTTTCCGGTCTATTGAACGCGCTTGACGGAGTGGCTAGCGCCGAGGAACGCATTGTCTTCCTCACCACCAATCACGTCGAGCGGCTTGATGAGGCCTTGGTCCGACCGGGGCGCGTGGATATGACTGTTCGGCTTGGCGAAGTATCGCGCTATCAGGTTGGACGTCTCTGGGACCGGTTCTATGAAGATATTGACACCAAGGGCGCCCATCGAAAGCTGTTTCTTGATCGGCTCCAAGAGCTGGGCCTGATCGAGGATGAGAATGGCCACAAGGCTGATCGCTCCAGGAGCACTAGTGCTGCGGCCCTTCAAGGGCTGTTCTTGTATAATAAAGGAGATATGGAGGGTGCGATCGCCATGGCCGAGGGACTTACCTATTCGGTGCATGATGAGGCTATGGAGAATAGCCAGGGTCCCGAGTAACTGTAGCATTATGATGTAAATATCCCAAAATGTATAGATATCCTGTTCTTACCTGCAATTTCTGCAGCCTTCGTCCAATCCGCCTTCTGCTGTGCCGCCTCGGCCGGTTGCATGCGCCGAATCTACAGGTCCATGAACTTTACGGTGAGATCTCTGCAGAGCCCGACCACCAATCGCCGTTCCGGACCCTAAATATTTAGGGATTTAGTCACCTGGGCCACCAATCATTTGGCCCGGCCGAAGCGCTTCTGCAGTCACTATCCCCCGTCTCACCACCTTGGCCAATCAGATTCGGCACGGGCTAAGCGCCCACCCCAAAAATAGGGTTTATCACGTACTATGACCATGCATTGTGGAATCGCGCAAAGGTATCGATGCCCATCAAAGCAAACGGATATATGTCAATCGAAACATCCCCCTGGTCGCGTTCTTTTGCAACCTTGAGTCCATCCCGGGTAACCGAATCTACTTTCCAGTGGAGCGCGGATCTATATACAGCATATACTCCAAATACCATAGCCATGAGTCAATTTCAATTATTTCCACCGCCATCAACAGAGGTGAAGCCCAAGAATCCGTTTCGCAAGGGTGCCCACAAACCCGTCGCAAAGGCAGAACCCGGACCTTCGATACCTCTCAATGAAATCAAATCTTCTCCGCAAACAACAGAGTCGGTGCTGTTCCAAATTATTGAAGATACACAGTCTCTTCCCCCTCCCCCTCCATTACCAGCACATCTCGCGCGGTCAAAGTCTCCGGCGAAATCGGTGTCATCTCATGATTCCCAATCTGCACGTAGCCGAAGTCGTCAGGACAACCAGTCGAGCCACAAAGCCTTGCCTTCTCAGAGCAGTTTGAGCAATAGCAGTGGTAGTTTCCGGACGACCACTTCGGCTACTTCACCTGAGTCATTTCAGTCATCTGTTTCCCCAATCCCAATGAAATCGATGTTTCCCCAGTTTGATCCCAACATACCCCTCAGTCAACAAAACTACAAGCCCCAAATGCCTGGCAGTACACCAGAATCAAAGGCAAAGCCACCTCGGCCTAAGCTTACGCTGTCACCAACATCCGAGATCGACCAGGTTCTTGGACCAAAGACTGTGCCTGCGAGCGTGCTCAATTTTCCGACCGGAGTGTTGGACCCGGAAGAGGCCCGATTTTCGTCGCCGCAAGAGTTAGAGATGCTATGGGAAGCTGCCAATGGCCAACGACCCCAGAATATCTGTGGATCATTTAATCTACGTCTGAAAAAGTGAGTTCGCGATACTATTGGTGGTAGCTTGTAACTGATTATATGTTAGAACTGGGCCGGCAACCTTCGTTTTTGGTAATACAGAGCAACCATTCTATACGCTACAAACATACTCCAACGACGAATTGTCTATATCTCGCAGTGCGCCATCAAACCCCGAGAATGATGTTCCTATCATGACATTGAGCCTTGAGAATCGCAGTCGCCGCGAACACCCCAACGACGGACTTGTCGCGCTTCTCTTTTCACGGCTAGCGGCCATTCTTGCTATTGAGCAGGCTGATGAAGTCAGTAAACAACATCAACTTTCAGGCTCAGAGTCTTCTGAAGTCGAAAGAAATGCTCTGAAGCAGGCCGCAGCCCAGGAGTCTTGTCGGCTATCCTGGAATCGCAATCTGAGACTTTATGAACTTCGGCATCCCTCGCTATCCAAACGACACCTTCCAGCCCTAGTCGGGGCCGCGGGGATCCCTCTCTCTCCTGTACAGGCCCAGTCTTCTGGTATACTATATATCACTGTCTCTACCCCGTCTAGCGATAGCAACCTCAAACAGCCACCGACAATCATTGTTACTGGACCGATCTCATCCTCATCTATGGAGGCCGCAACACAAGCTGCTAATCCACGCACGTCTATCCTACCCGTAACTGACTCGAATGACCCACTTGCGACTTTGGACTTTGCCACTCGAACACTTTCCATCTCCCCAGCTGCTGTTATTTCCACTATTCCCTCACTATATGCCGTCGACTCTTTAATCGCTGCAATGTTGGCCGTGGCTGTATCGGATGAAGCTACCAACCCCATTTTAGCAAACATGGAACTTGGATCCCCCAAATCAATGGTCTCAAGCATCACACCAAAGTCACGGCAGGAAGGACAGTTCCGCGGAAGATTGGTCACAACCCTAGCAGAACGTGAAGACTATGCCGAGAGTCTCGAGCTGGCATCTCAGATTGAAGCAGCCAAAGCCAAACAGGATGGGCCGAAAACAAACGGCCTCTTGAAATTCTGGAATCGGTACAAGTCTTCGCCGCAGGAAGTCGAACAGAAACCAAAGTCCAATAAGAAGCAAAAGAACCAGAAGATTGTGGTTGAGGAATTTGACCTGGAGAAGTATGGCCGATACGGGCATTCTTCGTCGCGGGAAGGGGAGAAGTTACCTGGCATCGTGAGGGGCATATTGAAAATTCTCTTCTTTGGCTTGGACTTGATCGTAAGAATGTTAACACTTTTTGTCAAGATTTTGGCATGGATTTTGGTTCATTCCACACGCTGTGTGACAAGTGAGAAGTTCTAAGCTGGACTTGGAGCAATTTTGCGTTCTCTTTTTTTTTTTTTTGTTATTCTTGGTTCAGTGTGGATTGAAGCGATGGAGTCCAGTATGCTTTTTGTTATACCCAATGAACGATGTTTTGCTTTGGCTATTTCCAGAATCTGCGTCTTGAAGCTGCAAGATGTGCTTTTCCATCCATACATTCCTTCGATAGCTATGTCCTGCAGCGTGTAGAATGTCCCAGCGGTCCGAAACGTCAGCGGCTGATATTTCCAGATGCCCGTGTGGGGCTAGAGGAGTATTTATCATAATTGCGCCATTCATTATTGGGTGCACACCGGCGACGGTCCCGCCAAGGCCTACTGAAGAGGGGAACGTTCGATGGCAGCAGACTCGAAGATGTGCCGTCGATCCAGCCGTAGATCCAGCAATGGCAAAAATCACACCCACGATGACGGCAACACGATTCACAGAGCGAGAGTCCACCAGTGAGAACCAGGTATGAGAGGGTTAGAAGCCTTGGAGGGTATCTTTTGATACTATCACTAGCTGCTGAGTCTTGTGTACTAACACCTGCCTAGGTGGGCATAGTGTATGAATACAGACCAATAATCGTAACTTCGTATATTGACGTAATAGATAGGGGGAAGGGTCTCCTAGTATGTACTTTATACCATGATCGCCACATAGCCGCAAGCTCAGACCCGCTTGGGCCCTTTTGCTGTGGACCCAATCGGAGCTTACTTACCACAATCAAGCTCGCTTGCTGGTAGCATCACGTCAATAGAATATGGCAAATCGATTACGTACAGATTTCAAAAATCGGTTATGAAGCTTGGCGCTCGCAGTGGCGGAGTTTTCCATTAGTGCTTACCGTGCTGCTAGCTATACGATGTTTCAAGATTCCACTTTGTATGCCAGGGCGGAGAGGTTGCTGGAAGGCACCTCAATTTCGGAGAACTCATCTCTTTGAGCGAAGCGTTGATATATCATTCATCAGTTTTTTTCATAATAATGTTATTGCGCGGTTCCGTACACATGTGCGCACTGGCGAGATTTTTTAACTACTTCCAATAACAGGGTACTGAGATCTCCGCTATCGGAGCGGCAAGTGGGTTACATCGCGCCGAGCCAAGACCTTTTCGGAGAGGGGCCGGCCCGTCAGACGCTTGAATGAGCGGGCCGTGACAGCCCTCAGGCGAATAGTACGAGTCAGATCTGGACACGATAATCATTGATGCTCATATCTACGTATATTTGCTTAGTTCAACTCCAAGTGCAAGCTAGTACCCTCAGGGACTGGCCTGCGTTGTGGCAATCGAGACTGTGGATATGTATTTTCAACCACTCGCACTGCACGTCCGAGTGCCTGGGGGGCCTTCGGCAAGAATCATCATATTCCGATTGTGGAGGCCCAATGGATTTTCGATGCTTCTATTTCCCCCCGATTTAGGCTGCGCGTTGTTGGAACACCTACCTGTTAAGCAAGCTTATAATGAGCTAACCCACGGATGGTGCTTTGGCACGAGAATTTTAGCGTCACATGAAAACTCATCAATCCCGAGTTTTACTATTATCTTCGGAAGCATGGCAATTCTCTAGTTCAAACACTATTTAGACTTCTCACCAAGCGTGAAGGTCAACGCGTGCCCATATTGACCTCCCAGAGTGGACAAAATTTAGCTTTAAGCGTGTTATTGCATCCATCAACAAGCGATCTAGAAGCACGCTACTCAGGCTAATAGTTTCGGGAATAACAGTAGGGCCCTCTCGGTAGATGAGCAGCTATATGAGGGGTGAAAAGGTAATGATAATAATAATAAAACAGCCTATTTACCACGCTAGTAATGTACAAAAGTACGGGAAAAAGTAAGACTTTTCTGCAGGATAGTTAGTGTCTGCAGAAATAGCGTCTGCGAACCCTATCAACCATGCATGTCAGCAGTCTCGACGCCATACAAGGAACAACCACCCCCTCAAATGGCCCTGAGAATATGGAAAGAAGCTCGGCCGGTGTTAATCGATGGCAGACTTCGCCAAATAATGCTAGAACCTTGTCCTTTTTACTCTCTTTCCGCTACGTAGAGACCGCCCGCCCCCACAATACGCCCACAAGCTTCGCCTACAATGTTTCACACGTTTAACGTGGCCCACCCAGCGCAACAGGGTCTTGATCAACGTGCTTCGAGCTCGGTATCGCCTTCCAGACGACAAAAAGTATTACGAGCATGCGATCGATGCCGTACCTTTCGGACCAAGTGTGGGGAGAAACCGTGTTCACGCTGTGTGGATGATAAAGTCAGATGCACGTGGACCTCTAGTCCAGCCGCTAGGCCAAAGTCTAAGAGTCTCGTTCCAACTGGGTGAGAACACCTGGCAGTTAGGGTGGGATGATTACTGATGATTACTATTAAAGAAGAGAGTTACACCCCAAGCCCGGTGTTAGTGACCATGCTCGACCCAATGCGTCTCCAGAAAAACCGGAAATCTCTGTGGCACCGGCCACCCTCTCGAGTAATGTGGACGGCGGCCGACCGCCAATCCCCTCAGTCCCTGCCTGTAGTGCCACTGATATGATTATTGCCAATCATGGTCGCGTGAAGTTAGACGAGTGCCTCGAGTTGCTCAATCGTCCGGCGTATGTCTTCGCCAAGATCGATGCCTTCTTTGCCGATTCCAGGATCATGTCGCGCACTTCCCCCAACGGAGCATTAGTGGATCTCAAAACTTCCTATCCGGGTCCATTTCCTGATCTGCCGCATATCATAGCATCGTCAGACAGCCAACCCTCTTGCAATGAGCATTTGACCGAGGACCAACAAACATACTTCCTGAGACTGTTTTGGGAAGCCTACCATCCGCTCTTGCAAGCTTGGGATGAAGCAGAATTCCAATCGCTATTAGACCTGGACCGGCGACAAGCTTTCGAGGTTGGGAAGCTGACCAAAGCCTTGGCAAATTGTATGACCGCACTAGGAATCCAATATGGCCATGGGGCGGGTCTGACCTCCCGAATCCTGAGTTTGCGCCGTTGTGCGGTCAACATCTCGTGGATAGGGTACGAATATTTCCGTCACTGCCGCGATTACATCGCCCTTCAGACCGAGCCCACACTACTATCAATGCAATGTTATGCTCTGATGTCTTTGTATCTCATGAACGCAAGCAATTTCAGAGAGGCCTACAGCCTGCTTGGCACCGCCATCCGCCACAGCCATTGTGTCAATCTCCACGAGGAGCCCAGCGGGCGTCTTCAGCCGAAAGAGAGAATAGCGCAGAGACAGATTTGGTGGTTGCTCTTCATGCTCGATATAAAATGTTCCCAGCAGCTTGGGAAGCCAGTTGCTGTACAGACCGCTACGATCACGTGTGCTTTGCCATCAGCCGATGAACTAGCTGCGATGCCGGGAAACACCGAGGTCTGTTGGAAGAACCTGCACGTCTCGACCTATTTGATTCATGCAATTAAGTTCGCAACGTCTCTTGCCGAGATCCATCGACTTATTTCCACGTCGAAATTATACGAGGATGCCAGCAATGTCACAACGTTAGAAGAGCGAGCCAACTTGCTAGGAACATCGCTTGCTTGTCTAGAGAAATGGAGCAATGAGCTGCCGGATGACCTTCTTAGCCCCAGGAAACATACGGGCTACACGGATTCTATGTCCACGGCGGAGAGTCCAATCGTGTTGGAGCTAGGAGCACCCAGTTGGCTCCACCACCAAAGGGTCATACTTGAAGTAAACTATCATAATGCATATATCATGCTTCAGCGGCCATTTATCTGTTTTTCACAACCTTCCAACTCTTCTCGTGTTCAACAGCCCCACGCAGACCTCCATGCTCGCAGCTCGCTCCAGCACGCCATAACAATGACAATCATTGTCCACGACCTTTGCTCTTCTTCCGACGTTTTCTTCGGCTCCCCCACAGTTCTGCATCCGTTGTGGAATGCTACGGTTACCATTCTTGGATTCGTTTTAGCGAACCCATTCTCTTCGCGATCACGTAGGGCAATACAGTGGGTTTTCAAAGCATTGGCTGTATTCGAGGTCTTCGCAGCAACCGAACCTTTCGCTGCTCGAGCTGAGACTATAACGAGATCACTTGTCGCTAAATTGAATAGCACGTTGACCAACTTGGATGAAAAGTCGGACCAGAGGAATCACGGCAGAATGACCCTGGGAGTGACCCTGCCTCCATCACCCGATACAACATCAACTACGCCATCGGTAGACCCAGCTGATGTGCTGACGGGATCTCTCGGGGCAGGAGGCTTGGAGCACACTTTTGATAATACATTCTTCACGGACGACAGCATTTACTCGCCAATTGGAGCAGTTGGAATCAACACATGGGCAGCCTATCAAGAGCAGCTCGACATATGGAATGGCAGCCACTCAGATGGAGTTCTTGACGCAATGCATGTACTGGAATAGGCGGCGCCGCCAGACAGATACGTGATTGTATTTACGTACTTTGGAACTCCAGAGAGTTTTTTGTGTGGAATGTGTATAGATAAAAGAGTATATAGTACTGCTACCTGTTGCAGGCTAGGTCCCGCCTTTCCGTCCTATTGTTTGGGAACGGTGAATAGATGAATAGAGTATTGATTCCGATTATTCTTCTTCTTAAAGCCATACTAGGTCTCCTTTCTTATCTCCAAATGTTCCAAGTGGTCGAACCTGGTTAGCAGACACAGTTCCCCACTAAGGCGGGTACTAAAACTGCATACGCTCAGATGGAGTAAAAAGCTGTCCCGCTTTTGGTTTTTTTGTTAGGAAAAGTGATTACTGTGAAAGACTCGCAATGTCGGCCCAACGGGAGTCAAAGACAGAGTTTATTTTCTTGCTCCTTAATTTGACGATAGGCAGGTACATTTACGCAGGGCGAATGGGCCTGCGGCTGACGGCTGTCTTACGTGCAGCAGCCCTCCCGCGATGTAAGCGTGCTTGAACACAAGCTGCGTTGTTTAAGTTATCCACAGTGGACCCTATACAGATGATCCACGGCAGACCAATGCAGAAAGTAGCCACTAAGCATGGCTTCCGGACCGTTCCGTTCCAGAAGGAGTCATTCCGGAATCCTTCAGGCCGTTTAGGGTCTGATCCGAGAGGACCCAATCTCTACACATTCTTATAGCGACTTTTTGCAGAGGGTGGAAACTGCTGGCTTATCTCGGGGTCTTTCCGTAATGATCGACCAGAGTTTCGTATCGAGTTCTCCCGAGGATCATTCCTGTTTCGTATGGATATTTGAAACCTCGAAGAAATGATGCTTCCAACCGCACAACTGATTGGTCGGAACTCCGATACCTAGGCTAGGTATAATCATATCGATGGATGTGCTGGCCTAGAACCGCCTATCAATTGGAACCCCGGGAGCTTGTCTAGCGTCAACTACTAGTGTTCAGTCGGCGAAGTGTCGGTGCCCTAATTGAGGAATTTGGGTGCGTCGGGGCATTGATTAACGGTCTCCTATTGCTTGATTTTGCTCTTCAAGTCACGCCTGGTTGCTGTAGTAATCACGCATCCTGGGAAGGAAAACTGAACATAAATATACAAATTTCATCTTCCCGAGGTCATTTAACACCATCATCTCCCTCATAGCTGCCGGTTTGCACCCCAGGACTTTTGATTCACCCGTCTCAATTCTCGGGCCTCCCCCACGGTTTTCAACTAGCCGTGTCAAGATGAACCAAATCCCTGTTTTCGCCGGCTTGGGTTCGGATGCACTTTTCTCTGAACGAACTCTGAAGACTGCGGCAGAAGACGCCAGAACGCCAGAAGGCCAGATCATATTACGAGCGTGCCATGAGGTATTTGTGAAAGAAATCACCTTTGCCACCCACAGCCAGCTTCTATCTTCGGACATCAAGCTGGAAGATTTTGTGGAGCAAGAAAGCCTCATAAGACCTCGAGGGTGTTATCAACGAAATAGCATCATTCAACATGTATCACTTTACACGATTCAGCTTCTAAGGTATTTGCGATACTCTAAGGAGAATCCTGGCTCAATTATTGGTGTGGCTGGATTTTGTGCCGGATTACTGCCTTGTGCAGCGGTGGCCACGTCCAAGAGTATCATCGAACTGCTCTCTCGGGGCCAGGATTTCTTCCATGTTGCTCTGCATTTGGGCATCAGAACCGAAAACTATAAGCAAATTATGGTGGCCAAAGAAGATTGTCTGCCAGAACTACCGTGGAGTTTGGTAGTTGATGGGATTACGGCCCAGCACGCCCAAGAGCTGCTTGACGAACACAACAGACAGGTATGACTTGTCCTGATCAAAATAAACCACGTGCTGATTTCGAATTTACAGTCTCCTGCTTCCTTTGTTTACATAAGTGCCATTAACTCCGATACTTGTGTCACGCTGAGCGGTAGAGGTGATCACCTTCAGCAATTCAGCCAAAGCAGTGTGCCATCCCAATGCAAGATACGGCCAACCAACATTTTTTCCTTGTATCACAACCGTCGCCAGCTCGACAAAGTCCGAAAAGATGTTCTTCAAGACCTTCAGAAAAACAAACTATTTCTATCAACACCCTTACATCTCCTTGCTCCGCTGTTCTCTAATATCGACGGGAAGCCGGTTTTTTTGGGCCAGCAGGCGACCTTTGGAGAATTCTGCGAGAAGCTCCTTGAGATGATGATATTAGAGCCAGTGAATTGGTTAGCAGTCGAGGATAACATTCTTGCCACTATCAAGCAATCGTCCGCTGCTGCCAATGCTTCTTATGAAATTCTGAACTTCGGTCCTGGATACGGCATGTCAGGGGCCAAATATGCCCTCCCGAACAACGTGAGAATTGTAGCTGCTTCAATCGTCGAAACACGCTCCTTGCCACAAGACGCTTCCGGATTGTTGTCACCTGATGATATTGCTATTGTGGGCATGGGTGTCGACCTTCCAGGAGCTCCCAATGCCGATGCTCTTTGGGAAAACTTGGTCGAAGGTGTCAATTCTTGCACTGAGGTGAAGCTCAACGGTCTCAAAGATCCCCCATAGCACGTCCCAGCTGACTCGAGCTCTTTAGATTCCGTCTTCAAGGTTCCATATTGAAGACTTCTATCAGAAGGAAGAAGGTCGCACATTGAGGACAATGTACGGCAACTTCCTGGAAAACCCATTCATGTTCGACAACGAAGTGTTTGGTATTTCCCGTCGAGAAGCCCATTCCATAGATCCACAACAACGGATCATGCTCCAAACTGCCTATCGAGCACTTGAAGATGCAGGATATGTGCCTGATGCAACACCGTCGTTCTCTAGGAAAACGTTCGGTTGTTTCATCGGAAACGCTACACTGGACTATACTGACAATCTCAGAGAGGGCATTGATGTCTACTACAGCCCAGGTAAAACATGACGTTTTGCCTCTCATATCAATATCGTGGCATGCTAATTCTTTCTGCTCAAGGAACGTTACGAGCTTTTCAGAGTGGACGGATATCCTATGTCTTCAAATGGAGTGGACCATCGATTACTTTAGATACGGCTTGTTCCTCCTCGATGGTGGCCATTCATCAAGCAGCACGATCGATCCGAGCTGGAGACTGCCGATCAGCATTGGTTGGGGGTGTGAATGTAATCAGTAGTCCTGATGTGAGCAAATACCTCTATCTTGCACTTTTTTGAAATAGTCAACTGACGGTGTCTTAGATGTATCTTGGTCTCGATCGAGCACATTTCCTAAGTCCTACTGGTCAGTGCAAGCCATTCGATGATTCAGCAGACGGCTACTGCCGGTCTGAAGGCTGTGCGGCTTTCGTGATCAAGAAACTTGGTGATGCGATATCGGAAGGTGACCGAATACTCGGCGTTATTCGAGGCACTGAAATTAATCAGAGCGGCAATGCACATTCCATAACGCATCCTCATTCACCCACGCAAGAAGAATTATTCCAAAAGTTGTTACGGAATACCAGAATTCATCCTCACCAGGTGCGTATTTAAAGGCGGGTAACTCAAACCAGTCGTGCGAATTTCTGTTCTCCGCTCACCTTCCGCCCGATTACTATCATCAGATGCTGGCACGTTTACTAACATATTCATAGATCAGCGTGGTGGAAACGCATGGAACGGGCACACAAGCTGGAGATCCGAATGAGCTTGTCAGCATTCGCGGTGCATTTTGTAACGATCGAGATCCAGATAACCTTCTCCATTTTACCTCCATCAAAGCAAACATCGGCCACTGTGAGGCCGCTTCTGGGGGTGCAGCATTGGCTAAATTGCTACTTATGATGAAGAATGGCAAAATACCCCCACAAATATCTCTCAGAGTTCTCAACCGGAAGATCAAAGACCTTGGCACGGATGGATCCGTCATTGATCGTGACGGTGCTACTTGGTCTCGACCTTCAAGACACCCGCGGCTTGCTCTACTCAACAACTTTGGTGCAGCTGGTTCCAATGGCGCCTTGATACTGCAAGAATATCCTAGCGTCGAAGCTCCCTCTCAAGATGAAGAGCAGTGCGAGGCTCGCAGCTATATGCTCGGGCTCTCGGCTAGAAGTCACAAAAGCCTCCTTGCTTATAGAGATGCTTTGCTCTCTTACCTAGAGGCCCCCTCGGTGCCGACTTCTCTTCGTGATGTTGCTTATACCAGCACGGCTCGCCGCCAAATCTATGATTTTCGTATTGCTGTTTCCGGTTCCACTTTACAGGAAATAGTGGAAAAATTGAGAAATGCAGATGTTCACAACGTTCGTCAGTCAGCAAATCCGGAGCCACATGCAGTATTCGTGTTCTCTGGTCAAGGATCACAGGTAAGGCTCCATTGCATTATACCCGGGTTATAAACATCTAATAAGGATTATAGTACCTGGGTATGGGCCGTGAGCTCTTGACTGCTTACCCCGAATTTGAAAAAGTAGTCTTGGATTGCGATAGATGGTTACTGAGCAATGGATTTCCGGGATGTTTCAAAATAATCGCAGGCAAAGAGGACCAAGAAATGCAGTCTCACTCATCCCGGCAACTACAACAATCTCTTCAAACAGCAATCTTTGTCTTGGAGGTAGCTCTGGCGCGCCTTCTGGTCTCTCTTGGTGTCATGCCAACTGTCGTGCTTGGTCACAGGTATTTCCGCACACCAATATATTCTGCTACAGTCCTATAGCTAACTTAGTTACTAGCCTGGGAGAGTACGCCGCCCTCGTCATTGCTCGTGTGATTGATATGAAAGATGGTCTGAAATTGGTAGCACATCGAGCCAGACTTATGATGGAACTGTGTCAACTTGAGACAACGTCAATGCTCGCGGTTAACCTCAGTGCAGAGATTGTGAGACAATACATTGACAACAGCCCGGATTTTCAAGATTTGGCTATATCTTGTGATAACAGCCAAACTGACTGCGTTGTTGGGGGCCCAATCGGTCAGCTCCAATCTCTGAAAGAAAGACTCAGTACAATGAAGACGCGATCTAAAATGCTCGACGTTCCAATGGCATATCATACAGACGCAATGGACCCCATACTGGCCCAACTAACAGCCGTCGCTGAGACACTCGAAATCTCATGTCCGACAATCCCAGTTTTATCCAATGTGCTTGGTCGGCTCATCCGACCTGGCGAAGGAGTTTTCACCTCTGAGTATTTTGCAATGCATTGTCGTCAGACCGTTGCATTCAACGCAGGTATTAATGAGCTCTCTCAAAGTGGAATGGGAGCTGAAGTCTCCCGGTGGATAGAAATTGGACCTCATCCATCTTTGCTGCCAATGGTCAGCACCAGACTGGATAAAGATACTACGGATTTTCTACCGTCATTACGAAAAGGAACCCCGGCATCTGCTGCAGTTGCTGGGCTCCTATGCCATTTTTACCATACCACTACCGCGGTGAATTGGCGAAATGCTTTCGATGGGCGAGCAAAAGTAACCTCCCTTCCGGCTATGCCGTTCTCAGAGCAAGAATTTGGTGTTCACTATCCCCATGAGAGTGTCCTGAGAGCCGTGGGTGAGTGTGATCAGGATACTGATTCTGAAACTTCATACAACTTTCTGACCAGGATTGTCCAACGTCCATCGGAGAAGAATAGCGAGGCTATCTTTGAGACATCGATTTCGGTCTTCAAGGAATATATTCTTGGCCACCGTGTCTGTGAACATGCTCTCTGTCCTGCCTCTGTATATCACGAGATGGTATTGGCTGCTTCCAGGTGGACACAACTCGATAAAGGTGAAGAAGTCATTAGAAAACTTTCGAATGTTCTATACACGGCACCTTTGCTATACTCAGATGACTCTTCTGCAATTGTTAGGGTCTCCATCAAGCCTGGTGGTGACAATAAGACACACTACTTGTTCACTGTGTCTTCCTACAACGCCGGCTCGGATCCGCAGAAACAAGTCGTTCACTGTCAAGGGCAGCTGAAGACACTATCTGCTGCCCATGTTCAGAAATATGCCAAGCTAGTGCCGCTCATGGAACGGCAGAAGGAGCGGTTCCTGCGCGTCGAGCAATCAAACACACAGATCTTTCTCCGGAAAGCCATGTACGAAAAGGTTTTCACACGGGTCGTCGCATATTCCGAGCTGTTTCAGATGGTTCAGTCCATACGTATCGACCAAGATGAAGCACTCGCAACATGTCGTTTCCCCAGTTCACAAGGAGAGACATCAGGGGCAAACACAATTCTGATGGACGTCCTGCTTCATGTTGCTGGTTTCGTTGCAAATCTCAACATTGATAATGATGAAGTCTGCATCTGCAAAGAGGTCAAATCTGCTACCATGATTCGGGAATTCCCCTTCTCAGATACGACGTTCGAAGTCTATTGCAGCAATGTCGAGATCGCAGCCAATAATGTGGTCATAGCAGATGCATATGCTGTTGATTCACGAGGCGTCATTGCTGTCTTCAAAGGGATGGCCTTCCAGCGAGTGAAACTAGCGAGAATGGCTCAAGCTCTCCGGTTCACAGCTGCGAGATCTGGTCATTCAAATCAGCCTCTCCCAATCGAGAGAGCCAAATTGGTAGCATCAAACCCTTCGTCTCACGTCCCAAAACATTCTACCATGCTTGTGAACCAGCAATCAGCAATCAGGGACATTATTGCGAGAACTTGCAATCTGGAAGCATCGAGTCTAGCTGCGGACACCAGTCTTCAAGCCATCGGTTTTGACTCGCTCATGATTATTGAACTTTCTTCCAATTTGTCCTCAAAGCTTCATACTTCATTTGACCTATCAGCTCTGGAGGAATGTGAGACCGTTGAAGATATTGAGCAGCTGTGCAGCGATGGAAGCCAATCAGGATCCACACCTACCTCGGAAGCGGAGACCGTTGGCTCTGTCGCTATGCCAACAACGCCGCCAACGCCTGCAGATAAGCTCCATGTTGCTTCCATAATTGCCGAAACGTGCGGTGCTCACATTACCTCGGTGAAATCGGATGCAGAGCTCGAGGCTCTTGGTATTGATTCACTGATGATGATTGAGCTGGAGGCCCGTCTGCAAAGTCTATCAAACACCAAGAAGCTTTCGTCTCTGGAACTGTCAGAGTGCAGAACAGTGAGGGATATTGAGGAATTAGTAGGTCCATATATAGTGAACTAAGCAATGACACTTATTTAGCGGCGTACAGCCCTGACGATCTACAGGTATATACAGATGAAGTAAAACCAGCCCAACTTGAAGTTGAAATCTCTGCTTGTTTTCCTCCCCGAATCTGTGGTGAAAATGAATCTCCAGTACCAGATGCCGAAGAGAAAGAAATTTCCGCATCCATCAAAATGAAGATTGCGACCATGCTCAAGTTACAAGAGCAACCCGAACTAGTGCATCTCGCCGACGAAGAATCCACCAAAGGTGCCCCACTTTTCCTCATTCACGACGGTAGCGGCATCTGCGTTCAATATCACCGATTAAGATCCTTTAATCGCACGGTTTATGCCATCCACGATCCCAACTTTCTGGATCCGGAATCCTGGTCAGGAATTCCTGCAATGGCACAATGTTACGCACAGCTTATTGCAAAAACAACTTCCGGTCCTTGCATTCTCGGTGGCTGGTCTTTTGGTGGTGTTGTAGCATTCGAGGCTGCTAGAGTGCTAATGGCAGCAGGTCACTCTGTCGGAGGTGTAGTACTTATCGATTCACCACCGCCACTCAATCACAAGCCGCTCTCTGTGAACATCATAGATGTCATTACAAAAGGCGATAGAAACAAAGGTGGCTTGGTGGGTGAGATTATTCGCAGCCTTGTCAGGAAAAGCTTCACATCCTGCGCGGCTATGCTTGGGGCTTTCAACCCAGAGCCTGTGACAAGTGGCAGTAGACCAATTCCACGGACTTTGCTGCTACGATCAATGGATGGATTTCATCTTGATACTCTGAGTAAAAGTCGAGTGATTGAAAATGCTTGGTTGCAGGATCGCTCCGATCCCAAGACCTCTACTGAAGGGTGGGAGACTCTTACAAAGGCAACGATGCCTTATGTGGATATCCCAGGTAACCATTTCCAGGCCTTCGATGTTGTGAATGTAAGTTGGGTTACTTCGTCCTATCTGGAGGCAACCTGGAAGGAACATACTAATCCCCACCCGCCTTCATAGGTACAAGCTGTGTCGAAAGCTATCACTCATGCATGCAGTGAATTCACAAACACTCCTTGATACAGTCTCTAACATGTTTGACATATATAGAATATCACCGCCATACTTTGGCTCTTTTTCCTGGTTATTATAGTGATAGCATGATAATTCAAGATTGTGGTGCATCTGTGCTGTACATCCGCCAAACACAAGTGTTGTATCCATACCTGGGCCTCTGAGAAGTCTGATTCTGGTGGTTTTGACTTGGAGAGTGTTGTGTTGGAATTTCGGAGGGAAGGGTGGGTGCTGCCCGGAGGCTGCTATCCCAAAGACCTCTCTAGGGGGTTATGGACGTGCTAGGTTATGAGACTGTGTACATAATATATGTGACCGAGGAAAGTATTTCAGAAAACGCGGGCGTAGTGGTCCGTTGATAGAGATTCTCGAATTGTGGGGTTGCCTCTGGTTATTCCTGTTGTCCAGACAGGGCGTAGCGAGGAAATAAGGAAGTATGGCCTGAGGGCCGTCCGTGTACAGGATACTTTAAAAGGACTGCATCATATCTCAATCTCGCACAAGGCGAGTTGAGAATGTTTGGCAGATGTTTTGAGCTGGCAACAGGATTGGAACTTGAGTCCCCTGGATCTTCAGAATGATAGCCCCACTATATTTCTGTTCGTGCCCGGGGAAAGCCAACTGGTGTTCTGCTGTTGAACCACCTTGTCGGCAAAAACAAAGCCAAAAATCCAGGACTGGCCGTGGATCGAACACGGGACCTATAGATGATCGCTTTTTTGCAATCTATCGCTCTACCGCTGAGCTACCAATCCTGCTGATGACCTGGTTACTAAAGTGGGTGCAAGGTATGTTATAGTATGATACGGAAAGCTAAATGAAGGATATAATGGAAGTATTGTGGACTAGAGTATGCTTGGGGAGGACGTCGATGATTAAAGGAAGCTGGCCGTGCCAGTACCTTTGGCATGAATTCCTATGCCTGACTCTTCAATATTCCTACTACTTGAATATTTGACGATGGGCAATATGTTCCAATCAACGAGCATCTTTGAGATTATAACAGTTGTCTCGATAAATTTCTTGATTTGACCGCCATCACTCAGAGTCCACATGCAACAACTCCCAGATTGAAGCCTGGTGCATACATTACCACTTTCTTGATCTTCAATCCAACAGCTGCTGCAAGCTTCGCCCATTGTTCCTCCGATCGCTCCATCGAGCTGTGGAACGTCATCATAGTCAGATCCATTTGCGTAGACGCCTCATCCACGTGCTCAGAGGGCAGAACCATTTCATCGAGTAAAATAAGAGAATTCTTGTCCATAGCCGGTACCAGATTACTCAGAATCTTTATGCTATTTTCGTCTGTATGGTCGTGCAATATCATTCGCAAATAGTAGTACTTGGCACCTGTTCTCTCATTAGTCCAGACAAACAAAGTATCCAAGCTTGATAATCCTTACCTTCTATAGGCTGGGGTTCGAAGAAGTTGTGGACCATTCGCTCGACATCCTCTGGAACCACCAATTTTGCGTCTTCGACCGGCTTCGGCAGATCTTGCAAAACCACACGGCCAGGTAGGTTCGGAAATTGCTCCTTGAAGGCGGCAGTTTGATACCCGGCGCCGCCACCAACATCCACGAACAGAGGCTTCTCTGATGGCCAGCCTTTACTTTCCTCATCGAAGGGGTAAAAACCGAAGCATTTGGCTTGGGACCCGCGTTGTGCTTTCATGAAGTGATTGAAATGAGCACTCCGCACAGGATCGCCATGAACCCAGGCAAATGTGTGCAAGTCAGTTTTGTAAGCTCTTTGGAAAATGCCGTCTGTGAAACTTGTAGGGTTCTTGTAACCAGTTTCCTTGAGGTAACGAGGCATTTCCGCAAATGTTTGATTGCACATGTCGAAGTAGACGTACAATCCGGCCTGAATCTCGGGTTTTGCGAGATTGTATGTGTATGGTGTCGAAGTAAAAGTGTCTCTGCCGGTCTCTTTAATCACACCAAGTGACGCCAGATAGCGTAGGATACGAACTATCTCAGAGTTAGAATAGCTGGCGCATTAAATTACAGTCGACTGAAATATCGGTACTTGCCGAGTAGCAAAGGGTCTGCAGAGTGCTTTGCTGCTAAGTGATCAACAGTCAAGGGCTCTGCGCTGTCAATAATATCATTGAAAAGGTTCAAGTCAAGGGCAGTGCGGATTGAAGCAAAGTGGAGGTTCTAAAGCCAATTAGTTCAGCTATGGTGACGATTTCTCTGGGTTGGGAAGCATACCATGTGTATCACTCTTTGCATAGCATCCTCGGGGGCCTCGATACTGTACTGCAGGTCTCGCAAGGTGTCAAGGAGCTTTTTACGCTCGACATAATTGGTTGAGGCAGCCTCCTGCTGTATCTTCGCGATCAAGCTTTCCATGTTGAAATTTACTTTTAGTTTCTGATGGTTTACCGAAAGTTTGGTTGAGTAAAGAAACGCAGGAATTATTCTACCTTAATAGGACCTTGTGATAGGAATGCATTGTGTCATTCTAATTAGCGGACTGATACGTTCCATGCGACTATGCAGTTCTGTCTGGAGGCTGTATGTGACCAATCGGAATCTCATTACATTCGAAAGGGTGCCATGCAAAGGTGTCGGAGCGCAAATGCATAACTCAAAATATTGTGCTGTGCTTTTACCAAGCTGTATGTTGTCCTAGGAGAAAAGCTAAAACCAACCCTTCCAGAAGGAGGTATTCCAAAAGGAGGTATCCCGGAAGGGGAAATAGAGCAGCACGGACGCGGTACGGGCCGATCCCTTCCTATTAGATTGTGTGGCTGAAGCGCCCGGGTCTTGCAGATCGACTAACGTATTCTCATATCTATATTAAAGATAGCGTATTGCGTTCACTTGCCAATATCACTTACCTAATCAAGGAGGGAGATAGAGGGGGTTTTAGCACCTTTGCCACTCTAAACGGCCAGACAAAGAGCAGTCTCTGATCAGATGCTCGGTTTGTTATCAGCAGCTGGCTATGAGCCCATTGGAGTTCTTTCCGGGCATACTATGTAGCGCTAGACCCATTAAGATACCTTTCACATTGATCTTATCGCATGCCGATCGTGGCTACAGTTTATGCAACTACTGGAGGCGCTTGACGCTGTTACTGAGGTCTGGGATCAGAACTACCCTTTTTGGTCGATAAGTCGTTCATGAGATTGAACAGCTCATGCTGGCCGTTTGCCTCAAGTTAGAAGCTTCTAAGCTTGAGGGGATGATCTATGAGTCTGCTCTTGGCAGCCTGGTTCGCAAGTGTAGAGATGCCTTTATATCAGGAATTTGATAATCCGTCGATACTCAGTTAAGCAGAGGCTTTTGCTGTAGTACTACTTCCATTCAATTCATTAGATTGCTTAGCTAGTATTGGCACGTGGAGAAAGAAGGGAAGCTACGAATTTTTGAGTCTATGTGCAAGGAAGACGGGACCTCCTCATTTACGAGGGGCTTGGGGTAGGAAGAGAATCTTTGATTCAATTTCAGCGCTTCCGAACCTGACCAGTTTCAGATTTCAATCCAGAAGAGATACCGATGGAAGTCTCTTCTTCTGATCTAGACATCTCACAGGCTTCAACATTTCCATTACTTCCATTGCCATGTGAGCCATTGGTAACGCCCTTTCCCACAGCCTTGGCCTTAGCAGCCCTCGTAAGCTCTGTGACATCCTCCAGTAGATATTGGAGTTCCGCATTGGTCGGTTTGGGTCCGGTAGAGAGGTCTGCTTCTCTGCTCCAGCGCTCCTTCGCGCCCCAAAAGTCATCAACTAAACGCCGAGTCCAGAACGAACTTTTCATTTTTATCACGGCAAACTCCCAATCCGTCGTATATTCTTTGAAAAATGGCTTGTAGCCTAGCAGACCCCCTAGCCAGCGGCCAATGACCACACTGGTCCAATAGCCAAAGAAAAGCCGGAAGGGCATCCATGCGGGTGCTGGAGTATAATGCCCACCTGCATCGAGCATCTGTGATTGATTAGCTGTTGTGTGGTATGTAATGAGTAGATACGAACGGACTTGTAATTTTTGAATGAAATCAAGACCACCATCGTAGAGCAGTGCGTCGTGCCAGTATCCGTACCAATTTTCGAAGAAAACTCTATCAAGTTGGTTATCGATCCCCGCATCTGAGCCGCTCAGTAGGACTGTCATGTATTCTCCACAATCCGGATGGATACTAAAACGATGGATATGGTTCGCTTGGAGAGACACCTCCCCGTCTTCTGGAGTCAGGTTGCGGATCACGCCATCAACCTCAGCCACACAGATGCCTTGCTCGACGTGAAAGAACTCGTTCTGGTACCGATGGAAATGCATTGCAGGACCATCGGGCCGCTGGGGACTATCGATGAGCTTCCGCAGCGTGGGTGGGACATCTCCTTCCACATCCAGTCTGTAGGTCTGACGCATCATAAAGCTTCGACCTGGGGGCGGCTCCAGCCACTCAACAGTAAGGAGACCACCAAATCTAGAATGCGTGGTCATTAGCTTCAAGTTGACAAGGGTAGTTCCTAGGTCTCTGGTTGTGGGGTGGTACATGTCACACTCACTTTCGAATAGTAGTCGAGCCAGCAGACGAGTGGTAAGGCACAAAGGGGGTAAGGAGACCCATCTTGTGAACTGGTATGTTGTGATGTACTAAGGTTATGAAGACAACAAGTACGTGACAGATGAGAGACCACGGCTTAGATTATGTAGAGCGGCAACAGAGTAGAAAACCGACTACTCACGCTATGGCAACACACTATAGTCGGCTAGGTTGCCACATCAAGTCGCCAACCCACCTTCTTTATTATCGTCGTAGAATATTTACCCTCCACCTGGGCACTAAAAGGGACAAAACTATCACTTAGTAGTATATCCAATATCATCAGCCTGTTCCTATTGGTCCCGCTCCCAACGTGGCATGTGGGGCCATCTGCACCAGTGGCACCACCTGCTTGATGCTATCCGATGCCAATTGTGGAAATGTCTCGGCTTATCAGTGAATTGAGCTTTATCTTCAGGTCTAGCTACTTTGGAATAAAAAATTTTACCTCCCATGGGTGATCCGTAGAGGCGCATATTCCGAGAAGCAATATCTTTTGTCTGAATGTCTACCCCACTAACATCCATAGTGACGTGCTGGTGGTGATTAAGATCCAAAGTACGGTTCTCGCTCATTTTTAGGTATCATTTTCCAATCCTTCATCAGCGGATACACCGGAAATCGGCCCTTGGTGCATAAACACTACATTTTAGAACGTGCAGAGGTGGGAAAATGGTACGTGTTCTTACGCTAAAAACAACAGACAAGACGCTGACGCTGGTGCCCTCCAGGCAGTCGAAAAGTTCGGGTTACATATCATCGTTGTCGGTGCAGGTCTCGCTGGTATTTCTGCAGCGATATCGTGCGCATTGGCCGGGCATTCTGTCACCGTCCTAGAGGCAGCAAAAGAACTTGCAGAAGTATTTTCCCGTCACCCACTTCACTTTGGATCAAATAATGACATCGACGCACTTAGGTTGGTGCAGGCCTTCAAGTCACCCCTAATGGCTCGCGCCTTCTCAAAGCCTGGGATCTCCCTAAAGCTATGTGGGACCAGGCAGCTGAGCCAACGCAGTTGACCGTACATCGATATTCTGGGGCTGTGCTGGCCCGTGAGATTGACTTCGATAAGAACATCCGACGCAAATACGGTGTGCCTTTCGTTGATCTACATCGAGTGGACTTGCAGCAAGCATTGTACGAACGAGCTCGGCAGCTGGGAGTTGAGTTTCAACTGAACGAGCGCGTACAAAACGTCGATTCCTCAATGCCGTCGGTAACCACTATCTCAGGGCACGAGTATCACGCTGATCTAATAGTTGGAGCTGACGGCTTGCGGTCACGAACTCGAGAATGCTTCTTAGGGACCGCTGATTCACCCAAGCCGACAGGAGACTTAGCATATCGGATTGTTCTGTGTTTAGATCAAATCAAAGAGCCAGCTTTACAAGACTGGGTTAGCCATCCAGAAGTCCATTTTTGGATTGGTCCTAGATCACACGCTGTTGGTTACTCATTGAAGGCGGGCAAGATGTACAATCTTGTGCTACTTGTACCGGATGATCTACCTCCGGGGATCTCGAAGCAACCTGGAAATGTTGAAGAGATGAAACTGCTATTCGAAGGCTGGGATCCAGTGTATGCAGGCTTTGACCGACTATTTCGCTTGACAAAAATCATGGCTAACTCAAACAAGTCTCACTCAACTTCTAGGTTACGTTGACAGAGTTGACAAATGGAAACTTATGCATAGTAAGAGAATCAAGACTCACTGATATTGTTGTAGACTGACAGCGTTGTGTTACAGGAGAAGAACTACCATCTTGGATTAATCGAGCCAATAATTTTGTTTTGATGTAAGGCTGTCAACTTTATGTTCCCAGGAACCAGTATCTCAAAGCACCAATTGACATCTGGCAGAGGCGATTCCTGTCATCCCATGCTTCCATATCTTGCACAGGGCGCCAATTCGTCTATGGAGGATGGAGCGGCTCTAGGAACGATCTTGAAGTCCGTCACAGAAAAGGAGCAACTCCCAAATGCTCTGCATATGTTTGAAAAGCTTCGAAAATTGAGAAGTGAGGCTATAGCTAAGGAAACATTCAAGCAGGTATGCTATGATTACTATATTGAGATCTAACTTCATCACCTAGTGATTTCGGGGACACAGACTAACTGCGGAGGTTATTGATTGTAGAGAAATGATTTTCATATGCAAGATGGTCTTGACCAAGAAGAACGAGACAGAATATTCACATCGCAGCTCGGCAAAGAACTTACTGGAGTTTTTCCCAGTCGATGGTGCGTGTCACCCTTTTTAGTTCAACAGGAATTCATTTCTAAACCCAAATAGGACGTGCCCCGTTGTCCAGCCATGGATATATGGGTATGATGCCATAGCTGAAGCCGAAAAAGCGCTCAACGACAAGAAACTCCCCAATATGGAAGGGAAATACATGCCCCAAGATGAACCTATCAAGGGAAAGTTCTGAATAGTCGAGCTGCATATTTGCCAGTCAAATGCGCAAACCCATTTTTATTCAGTATTCACCGGAGAAGAGAGCGCGTCTCAACCTTGCTTTATCTTAAAGAGATGTGTCTTCGTAATATGAACCCCACATAGACATTCAAGATTTTCAATTCAAGCGCTCTATCTACAACAGCCTCGGTGCCGAAGCGGTATACGTGCAGGAGATGGAGGCAGAAGATAACTTGACTGGGGCATGAATACAGGGACTATCTGTCTAGAAATGTTCATGTGACGAGGATAGTGAAAGTATCGAAGAATACAGCGTATTTGGATCCATTGAACCACTTGTCTTGCTGCCAAAGATTCGAAAATTGGGCAAATAAACAATTTCTGAAGCCATGCTCAAGAGGCACATATTTGTGTATTCGACAAGTCTCCATATATCACTTTGAGTCTAACTTTCAGAGGTCGAAATCCCGTTATCGCGAAGCTGCGATATAGCGATGTCGGTAGATCTCAATGGGTACCTAAGTTCTGTTCCCTTCCCGGACAAACCCCACAAACGCATCACCTTGGCCCTCGCCTACCCCTAATTCCTCTTTGACCCCGTGAATGCTTGTCAAATTGATATCCAGATTCAGCTCCTTTTTCTCCCCCACTGCAAACCCAGGGTCTGTCTTCCAACCCAGAGCAATGCACAAAATGTTCCTAATTCGTCCCACGTTCAGCTCACAACTTTCATCCCTGGCCCCTTCTTTGCCTCCACGCCAGGCGACGTATCCATCTGGACGGACTAAAACATAATCAAAACTTTCCCACACGTTCTTAACGTGCGTTTCTCTGGCATCCAGCTGCACGTGCGTCAGCGGCACTCCCATGGCATTGGCTACATCTTTGAAAGTCGCTACCGGGGACGTCGCCTCGTCACCCAGTTGAACGTGAGTCAAGGGCATATTCATTAACTTCGCAACAGATTTTATTGTCGTCGCCGGGGATGTCGCCTCGTCATAGCCAGTGGGCTTTTGATGGTCGTTTTCGACCTTCGAGAAGTCCATCAATGTCCACTCTGTTCCGTAGAGATCTACCGTACTTGTGTGGTCATCACTCAAGAAGACATGTGGCGCTCTATGTCCGGGCCTTGTGCTTGGCGTATAGCTCATGTTATCGAAGTTCGGCTCCCTCGTCCCGTCGCTCACGATAACTTCACTATTCGAATATCTCAAGTCGAGTTCCACTCCACGGTCGATATTTTCAGGCCCCACACTGTCCAGGTGCATTGCTACCTCGGCCCGCGCCTTCTCCCCTTCCTCACTCTCTTCGAGGAAAATACCTGGGCTCGGGGCTGTCATAGTACGCATGATCATAGGAGTGAACTTTCCGATATGGGCATCACAACGTTCGAGACGCATCATCATGTTCGGTCTTCGCTCATTTGTATATGAAGTAATGAGGTTCCTTCCACCGATACCTTTGTACAAAGCTGAAAGACGCCACGCTAGCGAGAAGGCGTCTTCTACACCGCTATTCATGCCATAGCCGCCGTGTGGAGGGTTACGATGAGCAGCGTCGCCGGCGAGGAACACACGGCCGTGTCCATCACGACTGACGTAGGAATCTGCAAGCCCAAAGTTCGGACGCCATGCATTAGCCAGCACGACTTCGTCGATTTCAAATTTGTAAGGCATGCCGAGACTTCCAAGGACACGATAAGGGATTCCCTCGGGGTGTTCTTGGAGCTCTCTGATGGCTGCAGCATCAGCAGAGCAAGGTTCATGACAGGTATAGGTGTCGACGTCGTCTTGATTGATCATAAAGCCACCGTGGAGGCCAAAGGCGTGCCACCACTTGCCAAATGGAGAGGATCTGGTGAGTTCTTTAGACCGGAAGTGGACCATGAAAAAGGCACCTGGTCTTGATAGAGAGACATATCATGTTAGCCGGTGGCGTTTGACGGGCAAGCGAAACACTCACAGAGGTCTCCCTGGGAGTTGGATCCCAACGCTTTTCCTCACTTTACTCTGAGCACCATCTGCACCAACCAAATAAGCTGCTCTCATCGTTTTTTCCCGGTTATCCATATCTATGAAAGTAGCAGTGACACCTTCGTCGTCTTCAGCAAGCGATATAAATTTGTAGCCAAAGCAGCTTGTAATCAAGGGCTCCGCGAGGCATTTCTTCTTCAAGAATGCTTCAAGCACAATCTGCGAGCAACGCTGACCCGGCTCGGCAGGCTGTGAGCCATCGTTATTCGCGTGGATCTTGGCACGATATTCGTTGTTGCTTGGGATATGCTAGCAGAATTGTTAGTGTACTCATGTGTGGAGGCTAGAACTTCTTATTCTTCAAGTCCGAAACCACTGAAACAAGACTCCTGACTCAAAGTTTTACTTCTCAAAGGGATATGCATCTAGTATGGCAGACATACCCATCGACTAACAAGTTTCTTCTTCAGTCCGCAAGTGTTGAAAAAAATGGTATCCCACTCGCTATGCTGTGGTATAGCCCCGGGTTGCTGTCGATATTCCTCAGCAAGCCCCATTATACGCAGTATCTCCATAGTATGGCAGCTGTTGTTGTCCATCTTGGGCCAGCGAGTCGTCTCAGTGCTCATTTCGCATAATGTGCATGGTACTCCCAGCTGGGCCAGCCTGAGAGCTGTCAACATTCCAACTGGGCCCCCTCCTACTACGAGAGGGCCTGGGGAGACCATTGTGTCTTCTGGCTGTATGGAGCCCATCGTCGAGGGATTGGAGTAAGACGAAGAAGTTGTAATATACAGAATTTTTACAGATTGAAGTCTTGCTCGAAATTACTTCAGGTCTAATACCTCTACCATCTATCAGTTGGGTAGACCTCTCAACACTAATATTGAGTCGGCATATCAGATGCTCGTAGCATGATTCCAGATTGGAGGCATCTCTACATCTACAAGGAGAAGATACTCCTGCCGGAATCGTGTCCCAAAAGGGTATAGATTTTGCCCAGTTCCGATTGGACGTCTAGGAATTGGCCTTATCAAGTGGATCCTTCTTCCTGGCATAGTTAAGATCTACGCATTGCGGGAAAAACGAATGCTGATTTTAGTGGTAATGTTGACTTGTATATTTTAGTCTTGACCCATTTTCTTACCGTAAAAATTCTGACTTAACTTGTACACCCTTCTATTGTTAGTCTATCGACCTGGACTACTGCGCTAGAAAAGTGTCATCAATTTTCGGCCACTAAAGTGCTACCCATGTGCGTAAATGGCCCCTAGGTCAACAGAGCTATGTAAGAAGCGCCATTGGCCTGCATAGGCGGCCACTAGTCACAACTCGGCGTCTTCTAATAATATTCGGTCCTCCGCAAGGTGGCGAATTGGAAGACGGCTTGACACCAGGGGTCTCAAAGGGTTCCGAGTAGTGGAGCAGCGTATTGTTGGCTTATAGGGATCCACGGCCTAGAAAGGATGTGCGTCCGGCCCGCTCCGTTCGATCGCCGTTGTAATTTCCGTACTCAGAAAATGCCCACTGCACTACACGAAGTTCTAGCCATTCAGTGAGTCATGAACTCCTTTTAAAACACGGTAATTACAGAACATGTGGGCACCGTACAGAAATGGGAGTACGCCGTGCCTTACTGAGTTTAGCGGGTGCTGCTTAAAGAAAGAAAACGGCGCTAAAAGGTCCAGCCTACTTATCTTGACGAATGGATTCGAAGCATTACGGCGCGGCATCCAGGTACCGTGCGGACCGCAAGGGCCGCGTGGACCGTCATCTACCCGCCAGAGCTATGGTGCTTTTTGAATCCTGCTTATAAACGGTGAGCTGGAATTCTATTTCAACGCCTTCTAGTCACTCTGGAAGTGAAGCAGAGTCACCAAAATGTCCGAAACTACCATACCATCACCTATCGGCACCCCGCAAGATGAGGAGAAGGGCTTAGAACCACCGGTGTCTGAGAGCCCTGCTATGGACTCTCTCCCACCAGAGGGTGGCCTTCGAGGTTGGCTATGTTGCGCCGGTGGCTCCCTAGGTCTGTTCGCTACCTTGGGTTTCTTGAACGCGTTGAGTCTTCCTTCCGCGAAAAAGCTTTTTGCCCGGTCCTTTTGCTGACCTGAACAGCATTGGTATCTTCCAAACCACCTACCAAGAGACTCTTTTGAAGGACTACACCTCTTCCGATATTTCATGGATCTTTACAATCCAGCTCGCTCTCATTTGGGCTCCAGGCTCGTTGTTCGGTCGGATTGTAGACACCTACGGACCGCGCCCGGTCATGCTCCCATGTGCCTTCCTTTGCGTCTTCTCACTGTGCATGACAAGTCTTTGCACCGAATACTATCAGATCATCTTGGCCCAAGGAGTTTGCTATGGAATTGGAGCTGGAGGTGTTTTCACCACCTGCTTGGTCTGCGTGAGCCAGTGGTTCGTCAAGCAGCGAGGCCTTGCTATGGGAATTACTGTCGCGGGTAGCAGTATTGGTGAGGAAAAGACCATCCTATTAGGGTCTATCATGCGCTAACTTGATATGCGACCAGGGGGTGTGATATTCCCATTCTTTCTTCAACTGGTAATGGAGGACGTGGGGTTTAATGGCATGGTGCGCTACACAGCGCTGTTCGTAGGCATCATTTTAATTGGTGCCTTCTTTCTTGTTAGTGCGAGACTGCCTCCCAAGAAATGGAACTCAGACATGGCATGGTTTGACTTCACACTGTTCAAAAACCGGGGCTTTGCATTCTATGCCCTTGGTTCTTATTTTGTGATGTGGGGGTTGTGGGCACCTTTCGATTATCTTCCTAGCATGGCCCAATTGTCGGGCATGTCGGATTCACTGGCCCTCTACCTGATCGCTATCGTGAAGTAAGTATTGTCATTCTTGTTTCACCGAGCAGAGCTGACCTGGGGTAGTGCGGCTTCATTTTTCGGAAGAGTTATTCCCGGACATATCGGAGACAGTGTGGGATACTTTAATGTCATTACCGCCTCCGCCTTCCTAAGCTCCCTCATGATCCTCTGTTTATGGCTGCCTTTCGATTACCATTATTCAAATGCTGGCCTCATCGTTTTTGCTGTGGCTTACGGCTTTTTCAGCGGCGCCTTCGTTAGCATCATGATGCCCTGTTGCGCCAAGTCTGGCAGCCTCGAGACTCTGGGGAGACAGATAGGTACTTATCAGGGTGTTATAGCTGTCTCGTAAGTCATCGTCCAGCCGTTTTGCATTACTCTCTTTTTTCACTGTACTGATACCTAGCAGCTGTCTTACGGGTCTACCGATCATGGGAGCTATCTTGGGAAGGCAGCATGATTCAACCTATGAGGGCATGCAAGTATTTGCCATTGTGACCATGTTTATCGGTTCCGTGTTCCTCTTGGTTTCTCGTAATATCCTGGCTGCGGCTCACGGGACATCGAGATATTGAAACTGTGATGATCCGCTACGTCTTCAATTTCGTGCATGAAACAGGCCTTCTCGAGCGATTACCTTTCTCGAGTAATTCCGGCATTTTGATCCGGAGAATGCCCCCGACTCAGACCATAAATTTACTGGCCTAGCAGCCATGAAGTACATGTGGAAGACGATGGTTAAGAGGAATCGCCTCAACTCACAATAAAGAGCCGGGCAACATAGCAAAAAGGTGCTTCGCGGCCAAACATCACAACCGATGGGAACGGAGCAAGTAAGAAATAAGATGAAGGCAGTGGGAATGCAGGATAAGGTCTCTGTTCGGCCTTTCGGTCATCTAATTGTATACGCGATGGCAAGCGTGGTTTGTATTTTCTGCGTTTACTATGGCGTTCTGGACGAATGAAACATACCCATCCTTGGACACCCCACATAGCTGGACTCCAAACGGTTGATAGAACATTTATGGATTATCGGAAAGATTCTAATTGTACATTATTTACACTTTACAACATACAATTCAAGGAAACTGCTTTGGGGGTCTCTCTTCGCATGATTGATATAGTGGTCCGAGGATTTTGACCAGCGAAAAAGAGGAAAATATTTACCTAGTCAACAAGGTAACATGGATCACTTCATCGGAAATGTACTAGCACAAACGATCGCCGCCATCCATCACTCAGATCGAGGTCCTGTCAGCTCGAGGTCCTGTCAGCTCGAGGTCCTGGGTCGGGCTGTTGCCAACGGGATCGGTCATCTCTGCAATCTGACATAGGGACTGATAGGAAATCACTACATCTAGAGCCTTGTCAGACTACCGCATTTTGCATGGAATTACTCTGGGAGTGTGGTCTTTGAAAAGATCATTATGGTTACAATTATGAGTATATTCGTACCTTACTACCATACTAAATTTAAGCTTATTAGAGAAATTACGCAAAACTAGGCAGAGGGTTCGCATTAGCGCTAAGAGGTGGCGCTGGAGTCGGACATTCTGGCGACTGTACTTTACGTGTACAGTGACTAGGCGGCATTAAAGCAAGAGTCCAGCTCACCGGGAAGGATGGCGGTCCGCGCGTCCCGCGCGTCCCGCGCCGGTGCCCACATACTGTAATTACAGTGTTTCAAAAGATCGTCAATAACAAAACGCTCCCCTGTACCTGATTGTTTTCTTCTTCCCTCAAATCACTTCATATCACAGCTCGTCATCACATGATCTTTTGTTTCCTACTATCACCTAGATCGTAGGATTCAACAAACACCATGACACCATGGCGAGCCACACGCCTCCTCCACGGAGTCCGAGCAATAGTTGGCGGTCAAGGCCCCCCTTTGATTCTCATGCCAGGCTGGCCACAAACAGCAGAGGCGTTTAGTGGTATCTTGGAGCCTCTTTCAAAAAAGTATCAGTTTTTCGCGCTCGACCCCCCAGGCTTGGGTGATTCGCTTCCCCCCACCAATGGCTATGACACTGCGAACGTGAGCAAAATCATGGCAGAAGCTATTCATGATACCTTGAAAGAAAGACCCTACCATCTGATTGGCCATGATGTTGGTGGATGGATTGCTTATCCTTGGGCCGCTCAATTTCAATCGAAAGTCAAATCGCTCAGTATCCTGGACGCGTCGGTGCCGGGTTTCATGCCCAAGTTTCAGTTTCCGTTGTCTAATCAGACCAACTTGCGTCTTTGGCAATTCTCGTTCCATGCGCTTCCTGAGCTTCCTGAGATTTTGACTCGCGGTCGTGAGCGGGAGCTCCTGACCTGGTTCTTCAATTTGAAGACGGTTCATACGGATGCTTTATCCAAAGATCATTTTGAACGCTATATCCAAGCCTATTCAAGACCAGGAGCGATGAGTCGGGGATTTGAGTATTATCGAGCTTTTGAAACAAGTTCGAAACAGAATCTGGAATTTGCAAAGACACCACTCGATATCCCTGTCTTGGCTTTAGGCGGGGCCAGCTCCGTCGGTTCGGGTATGATTGATTTGGTCCAGAACTTCGCGACCAATGTTTCCGGAGGCGCTATTCATGATTGTGGGCACTTTCTTCCCGAAGAGCAGCCATCTGCTGTTGCACAAAGGCTGCTGGAGTTTTTGGACGCAAACGAAACAGACTGAGAATCTTTAGACGGCCCTTCAAGGTATTGTCACGTCACTTTAATCTCGGGACTCGTTGGCGTTACATTGTTGTAGTCGTGACTCAGGAGAAGAGACATGTATGTGGAATATTTTAGCTCATAGAGTAGACTGGCAGATTATGAGTATAGCTGCCTAAGACCTTCAGGCAACAGCTACGTATCAAGCCGTTGCCCATCAACTCTTTTGCCTTGCCTTCTTCTTTCCTATTCTCAGCTTAATGTTCTTGTTTAACAGACCCTTTTTCCTTATTTTTCTCGGTCTCATATATTACTTTATTGCTGGATTTTCACGGGATATCCGTCATTTAGACATCCAGATACCTCATAGTCGTTATACGGAAGCTATCAATGCAATAAGATTAGGCGGCAAACAGTGTCCAAATATAATACTTTGCGCATGGAAGCTGGAGCGCACCTCAAATTAGAATCGAGATCCATGTAAGAGGCAGTTCGGAAACCTTGACAGTGAAATGTATGTGTTTTTTTCGGATCCGCACAATAAACAATATATTCTGTTGTAGGTTGTTAGCATTTAGTTAGTTGGCACTAACGTGATCGGTAAGCGATCTGCACAGCTGGAACATTCACTTAGTTAATTCGATAACTGAAACTTAATATCTCAACAACGAACATCTTCAAGGACTTCTCCATATATTCGAATGCTTTTATCTAGTATCTAGCCATTTCGAGGACTTAAATGGACTATCATACCCCGTATGATTCAAAGGTTGGTTATTATCTGAGGTTTATATATTTTAAACTGTAGTCATCATGAATTTCGAAAATCCAATTCTACATTTACTTGAAATTGGTACTTGAACAGTGTTGGGGTATTTGATTAAGAGCTATATTTAGGTGATAAACTTGGAAAGTAAAACGACCTCGTGGTTGATGAGATATGAGGTTGTAATTCATAGCATTTACTATGGTTTTCCAACCGGCTGCGCAGCTCGCTTATCGAGTAGTGAACCAAGCGCCTTTGTGCAGGGGTAAGTAATCCATGAAGCAGCTGGACACCACTGCTCTTATAAAAGCCTCTCCTATCTATGTCTCCTTTCTTATCTCCCACAGCTCCAGTGATCGAATCTGGTTCGCAAACCTGGTTCGCAGCCATGGTTCCCCACTACACTAGTGGGTAAAAGTGGACCCACCTGTCCTAACTATTGGTATTTCCTGCCGACCTCGGGATAAACATCTCATTAACAACCCATCTCAGCTGGCCTTGAGCTTATTGTGGTGGGTCTGCTGCCAATAGTACCCTTTATCTAATCCTAAAGATAACTAGCGACGCACAGCAAGAGTCTGAAATGGTGCCACAGAATATTCAGCTCGGCAAGACCGATATTTTATGGCCATGAGGGTTTATTTGCAGGCTATCAGCATGTTCAAATACTCCTTACATTGGCGCCGGTTGCGACGAGAGCAAAAAAATCCGTAAGTCTACTTTCGGCCAGCGCTATCCCGAAAAAGCAATGGCGGACACCACAAAATTTCCGTTCGTCGTGACTGAGCATATCATCGACGGACAACATATTCGGGAATATCCTAATGCCACTGTGGATCCAGATTCGACTTTCAAGCTTGTCTTAAAAAGATATACGCCAATCGACAACCCAAATCCGCAACCTGGTGATGTCACCATCATTGGAGCACATGGCTGCGGTTTCCCAAAGGTAAGCAGATCCAATCCAACTTGCCATAACAGGTATTTGAAAATACTTTGGCTGAATCGACGGTTAGGAGCTATACGAACCTCTATGGGAAGATCTACTTAATCGAAGTCGACAAGACGGCTATCGCATTCGATCTATCTGGATTGCCGATGTCGCAAATCTCGGTGCCAGCGGTCTTGCAAATGAGAGATTTCTCGGAAATGATCGTGAGGACTCAAAGTCCCCATGTTGTGACTTAACTGACAGACTCAAGCATCATGGATCGATCACAGCCGTGACCTTCTATACATGATCAACAAGTTCCGTGACGAGATGCCACAGCCTATTGTAGGCGTGGGACATAGCATGGGTGCAGGGCAACTGTCAGTGTCGTCAATGTGCAGAAACAAACTAATTCCAATCAGTCTGACTGTTCTACAGCGTTCTACTTTCCCTCCTTCATCCCCGTTTGTTCACATCACTGAGCCTTGTGGAGCCCGTTATTTCTCCAGACATATTCACGGCCAAAGGCCCCTTGTTGGCAGTTGTATCGCTGAAAAGGCGAGACACTTGGAAATCTAGAGCCGCAGCTATCGAAAAAGCAAAAGTTACACATAAAGGATGGGATAAGCGCGTCCTTGACCGATGGATCCTTCACGCTTATCGCGATATTCCATCGACAACTTCTGCGCAGGAAAACCTTCCAGCCCAAGTTGAGCAAGCAGTAACCCTGACCAGCTCCAAATACCAAGAAGTACTACAGTACCTTCGTCCAAACCCATCAAGCCACATATCAGTCGGCGAAGAACCTACTTCAAACACACCTCCACATGATGACCTCCTCTATCCAGACATCATTGGACCCCCGGAGACAACCACACAATTCTACAGATACGAACCAATCTTGGCTTGGAAGATGCTCAAGCATTTGCGTCCACCTGTTCTCTATGTCTTGGGACAGAGTAGTCCCATTGCTGCACCTGAGACTCGTGAGAAGATTCTCAAACGGACGGGCGCCGGGATCGGAGGGAGTGGCGGTGTGAAAGCTTTACGAGTTGAAGAGAAGGTTATTCCAGGCTCTCATCAGCTACCGCTGGAAAGGGTCCTTGAGACGGCTGCTATTGTTGGTCCTTGGATTAGCAGTTCAGTACGGCGTTGGAAAGAGGATGAGGCGCGGATTGCGGAGGGTTGGGCTTGTCGGCCGATGAGTGAAAGATTGAAGAGTATGGCGGATTGGGTTCCCAAGTTGGAGAAAATGATGTCTTCTGAGAGACGGGAGTCAAGGCTATGAATAAATGAAGATAGATACTTTTAATAAGGCTGCAATAGATTTGTTTTCGCATATTTCGAACATCGTAGATCAGTGGCTCCAAGGTGCCTGGAAGTGTCAACCAACATATAGCTTCTTCGCCATTGATATTCATATTTCTGATCGTGTGGACTAGGCAGATTCCGAGCCCCGGAGTTTCAAAGTAATCCTGCTAGTTAATATTGCAGAAAATAAATATTTTCATGTCGCTCTCCTGTGTCAAGCACCGAGTCATGTAAACTCTATACATGCTAATCTTGGCACAAGGAACGACACTATATATGAAGAAGCTTTTGCCGTTTCGTCTACCCCAAACACCTGATCGCATCGATCTTCGGTTTGATGACCAAAATAAGTTAGCAAGATTCATTGAACGTGGAGGTTCTAAGTGGGTCAGGGTTCTGGACCCTTGCGCAATAGGAGAGTCAGTATTTAAATCTTCTTGGGTGGTCGCTTTGAGAAGATGGGATTGGGAAATGAATTGAGTGACATCGATCCGAGTTCTTGCCTCTACGGAATAACATGCTATGATGCCGCCGCCGTATCTGCTACACCCGATCTAACATCAGATTCGTTCGCAGCGGCTTGCACAGGCTCCACACTAACAGTCTGCGGAATATGGACCTACCTCGAGTATTCGATTACCGATTACGGATGTGCCGAGTCCGCAACGACAGACACAATCTATTGAAGTGGGACTTCCATCCTCCCTTCAACCTATACCGGCTACTGTTACGATGAATACCCAACTATGGCCGCTGTCAGCTCATCTTTGGTGGGTGACGACTGGATCAAAGTCTATGTCTCCGGCACGGCGACTACGGCCACAACAGACAAAACAGATAAAGCAACCTCCGTGGCAACGGCGACTGCTTCGTCCGATACGTCAAACAAAGGCTCATCAACGAATACTGCAGCTATTGTTGGTGGTGTCGTCGGCGGAGTTGTGGGCGCAGGTGGTATCGGTGCTGCAATTTTCATGCTCTGGATGCTTCGAAAGAAGAAGAGAAAGCAAAAAATGAAGATGCTGGAGCCTCTCAGCCAGCATTAGGGGGAAATACATTGCCACCACACGTCACCAGTGTTATCATAGCCCCGCAAGAAGTTGACGGAAATTCGCATCAGAAGATCGCCGAGATAGATGGATATATCGCGGATAATAAATTCGGCGTAGCTGAAGTTCCAGGCTCTAATCTGTGGTATAGGCCCCAGGAGATCTATGCCAAGAATTTCGTTGCGGAGATGCCTGCTCCTCTTGCTGAGCAACGGCCTGTTTCTAGTGATATATCGCGGCCTATTACACCTGAGGGTCGATGGAGTTATCGTGGACTGTTAGGTGGGTTCTTTCTCTCTACATCTTACTGTATACCCCATAGCCTTACCTTTGGCCTATGACTGGTGCTTTGTATTTTCCGCCTCAGTGTACACCTCGCCTGGAACATATTGTGACATTGTCAGAAAATTCAATGATATGGAACTATCTTCCAGCAGACGTGTACCCATGAAGGTGACTAAGTTGGCGGGTAAAAGCGCCGGGGCATTTGAGCAACTATTCCAAGGCTGCAGGCTGGCTGTGGACATTATCTATGCTTGTCTCTAGTCAACCAATGGTGCTCTGAGGGCGTGCCTATCCATGGTTGTGACTGTAGATCATTCCATATATGTTGCTGTCAACCAGAATTTTTCAAGGCTGCCACATAACCTTGAAACCGGATGTTGTACATTAAAGATCCTAAATGTTACATGCAGATATTCCCTGTTACATGCAGATATTCCCTGGATATTAATAGATTTCATACAAGCTTGAGCTTGATTCCATCTCTTGGAATTTGTGGATACCTAGGTAGCTGCTGATCAAGCTCCGAGAACCCTTTTTAAAGGTCTGCTAGCTTACCTACACCTAGTAAAAAACAGTCGTTCAGTGAAATGGATGGATGAATACCTAGCATATATCACAAAAGCAAATGCCAGCTCACGCTTGATGATATCCAATTTGATCATGGGTACTAAAATAGATAAACACAGAATAATTGATGAAGGAGATGTCCAGATCATTCAAGGGCATTCCTCGGAGGAAAGGGTAACCAGGGATACGACAGGCGCAACACCAAAGACATGACACTGTAGCACATTTTTGTGTCATTCCAAAATGATCAACAGGGGATAGCTACGTACATAGCAGTTTTCACCAGTTCAGATACCAGCGAAAGCTTATGTACGCAGGTTGAAGCGCCCTTCCCCTGCCATATACGGCAAGAGAGCTACATACCTTCACGTCATGACTATCACCACAACCACATCGAGAGCATCAAGGGATACAGAAAGGGCCAATTATTTATCTTGTTTACAGCTGATAACATTTGTTACTTAAATGGCGTTCAACTCCGAGGGACCTGGCTCGCGTTTCTTCACACGTTCATTCTACACAAATTGCCTTTCGTTACACCCAACCCGAAACCACCAAAATCAACTACAATGCGTTCCTTCATCGCCGCCGCTCTCCTGGTCGCCGGAGTCACTGCCCAGACCCTCGGTGACATCGAGACCTGCGCCGTAAGTGATATGATAATTTGAAAGAGTGAATAAGGTTTCCTAACAAGATCCAGAACGCCATCATGAACGACATCGACCTCTCCACATTGGAAGGCTGCTCCAACAAGAACGCCACAGACTGCGTCTGCTCCACTGATTTCACAGACAAGATCAGCGATGACACAACCGCCACCTGTAAAGACGCAGGCGTGAGCCCTGACGACCTCAAGGGCAATCTCTGCTCCAGCGCTAGCCCCAGCTCCAGCTCCCGTGTTGCTGCCCCAGCCCGCCACGCCAGCAGACCCATGGAGCCAGTCTCAAACATCGAGATGGCCAAGCGCGCCTACGCCCCTCCCATTGCTGAGCACGGTGCTGCTGAGCCGGCTGTTCCCCGTGTCATCTATGTGACCGAGACCAAGACCGAGTGCGGATGCAAGGCCAGTGCTACTCCCTTTGACCCTTCGCACCTTTCGCAGATCCCTGTTCAGGTTCCTGCTAGCAGCAGCATGGGTGGCATGGCTGCTGCTTCGGCGCCTGCTTATTCTCACGGTGTTGTTGTTGGTTCTTCTTCTGCTTCTTGGCCTTTCGGTTCGCACAGTGCTACCCCTACTCCCTCTGGTGCTAGTGCGCAGGGCTTCCACCCTTTCACGGGCTCGGCACCTAATGTTGCTGTGCACGGTGGCGTTGCAGCGCTTGGTGTCGCTGCTGTGATGGGATTGATGATTGCTCTGTAAAGACATACTTCAAGCTGGTACTTTTGGATGAAGCCTTGGTAGTGGGAGTGATGTGATTCTAAGTTTTGATGGGATCTTAACGGCCTTGTTTTGGGAGTTTATATTGGTGTTTAGGTTGAGCTTATTTGGAGATCGAAATTGTAATGATCAATGGAAGACGTAAAATTCAATATTATCCACAACAGTCTTTGTATCATACTCGTTAATCGTGTATCGATGTATGTAGCTCGACAAGAAACGGTCATACCCGCAATCTTGTAGTGTTATTCAATTTGCTGATCAAGCGTGGATAGCCTGCTGCACACGCGGGTACAGCTCCACCAGCTTGTAGTAAATATCAGGGTGGTCGTTGATCATAACCTGTGGATCCCAGCCCATTGCCACGAAGATTGTCTCGACGCCGCTTCCGATTGGCGTCATGAAGACCTGACACACCTGAAGACCAATGAGGAAAGAGAAAGCCATGATAACGGCAGTAAAATCTCCGTCCGAATTGTAGGCTGGCTTCGTGAATTGCAGATACAGATATGCCAACAAGGCACAGACGTAAGCCACGAAAGTAGAGCCCATGGTCAAGACAGGTCCAATCAAACAGTCCTGCACCAGGGCATCAATACCACGATCACGCATCATCTTCCATGTATCCTTGGCGGCCGGGATATACGCCTTTCCGTACAAAGCGATATGGCAGAAAGCGTAGCGGTTGAAGAACGTAACCAGCCAGTCGAGCAGTGAAATGAAACATCCCAGAATCCAGACAAAGATCGACCCGACAATGTTACCCTGGGCGGCTTCTTGTCGTTGGGCGATTGAGCAAGCCTGTCGCATCATATTGATGATCGCAAGGATGAGACTGCCGAAACTGATACTGCCGAAGGAATAGGTAGTCGCACGGCGAAACGCGCCACGAGTCGCACCCTTGGGCATGCCACCCGCGGACGCGCTCCAGAAATACCAGGATCCGTAAACACCGGCGATAGTGGTGTGCACCGTGTTCTTGATCCATTCACTGAACCAATACATGGCAAAAGTGACATACGCCACCAGTCCAATTACCTTCGCTGTGCTACAGCCACCGTTCACGCAGGCTGGATTTGTACCCGTAGAATCCGGCTCATATGCGACATAGATCGAGACTAGAGTCACGGAGAACCATGCTGCAAACGCGACAGTCACGATACCACCTAGTGCACTGACGAGGAAGACATTGCCATAGCCTCGAGCGACATCCATGGTGGTCTGCAGCATAAAGGCAGTGAATGGAATACGTGGGATCCAGCTAATGAAACAGATAACTGCAAAAACACCGAAGAGCAGGAATACTATTCCGCCTCCATATTGCTTGCGCGCAATATAGTAGATGCCTGTTGCGAAAGCGAAGACGATGTTCAGGATGCCCGTGGCCCAGATGAAGGTCTTGGTGAAGTAGCGCGCGCCCATAAAGTATGCCCAGGAAAAAACTAGGGCGACGCAGAGAACGAAGATAAATAGCACAAGGGTATTGGTGTTCAATGAGAAATCATTGCCGGAGTTGTAGATTCCTCCTCCACTGAACCCTTTGTGGACAGCGTACGAGTGGATGGTCAAGCCCGACACGGCAACATATCCCAAGAAGACTGCGATCAGCTGTAGTGGATTTATTGGTGAGTTGCTATTCTATCTTGTTTCCGTGGATAGGTAGTAACCTACCAAAAGACCTGCCCATATATCATTGTACTTCGGTCTGTCGACCTTGAAGGCTTGATCAAATGTCTGACCGGACTGCGGTGGAGGTGCATTCTCAGGGTATGGAGGAGGAGGTTTGGGCTCCCCTGCTGGCGGTTGGTAGTTTCCATTCTGCTGGTAGCCGTTGGTATAGCCGGGTTGACCCTGAGCATCAAAGCCCTGATTAGGGTTGTAGTAACTAGCTGCTTGCCCACTCATAGCTGCATGCCGTGGGGGAAAGATAAGATAAAAAAAATCAATACAGCGAGGGGTTCAAAAAGAAGCTGAAAGGGGTTGGAAGCAAGGAGCTTTTGTTTCCGCATTAAAATCCATGACGACATGCAGTTTCGCGGAAGGAACCATGATCGGCCCAATGATCGGCGTTGTAGGGTTCAGGACCCTTGAAAATACTGGGTAGCGTCAAACTCAATTTCGAGTGCCAAGCACCAAAACATGAAGCTCTGATTGCAAGTGAAAGAAAAAAAAATTGTTCAAATTCATGTGTATTCCAATATGCGATGCTTGATGCGATTTAATCTTTGTTTCCATCACGACGCCATCCGAAAAAATGCAAGGAGATTTCCCCGCCTAGCGGGGGAGTTCAATGAGCCTTGTCAACTTGACAAAAATGATTATGATTACATGAATTAGTGCAGAGATCCTAATTGGCCTATTGTGGTCACCTGGTCCAGACCTGCAGGTAGGACAACAGACACGGTCTTGGCGGACTCGACACAGGGGATGGGCCGACTATCGAAATGCATGGTGCTTGAGATTGCGCCAGGAATCGGCAACCCGATGTTCAAGCGGTTGGTTATTCCGACGATGAACAGGGAAATCATCGGTCGCTGGCTTGAGTTCGCCCTTACTGAAAGCGACCGACCGGCGCATCTTCTCTTGTCGGACAGCCGTGCGACGTGCAGCTCGAAGTTCTTCGATTCGGCCTTGGCCCACTCGATGTTTTCGCAAGAAACAGTCATCCAGCAAAGTGTTGGCATCTAGTAATTTCTTAGGCACGGTTTGCACCACCTGAAAGACCTCCATGGGATCCGAAACAGCCAGAATATCCCGTTCGCATGCTTTGAAAATAGCCAACGAAACGCGAAAAAATGTTTTTGAACCCTCATAGAAGAAAGTATCCCAGACCCGCAGAGTGGTTTCCAGAGGGAGCGTTCCAATAAATACCGACATCAACCAGTTTGTCAGGCCCAGAGTGATGTCTGGTAGGCGTGAATTCACATTCAGTGGTGGGGTTTTACGACCAGATGGGTTTCCTCCCATGCTAGAGATCTTGGCGTAGATGCCCGGCATCGTATCTCGCAGCAAAACCATGAGGATCCAAAGGTCAATGTTTGCGCCCTCCAGACTGATTTCATGAGTTCCAGGCAAATATAGGGAGGTCACAATGTGCAACATCCAAAACGCTTTCTCCTCTGGTAGAAAGAGGAGAAGCATGCCCGTGATGAAATTGAGTGACTGAGTATAGCCGATTTTGGGATTGTGGAGAGCAAAAGCATACAATACCCGACGAAGGGATTGGATCATTTGAGTCTCTGTTGGATTGCCACTTCCAGCCTGCTCAGCAGCATCAACAAACTCTGGTTTGAAGTGAAGGTTGTCGGGAAAAGTTCGGTGAAGATCACGCTCAATGTGCTCTTTGTCGTCATTAGTGGGCGAAACCATGACTTTTGCCACGAGTTGATCGTACAGACCAACGTTGGCGTTCAGGAGCTCCCACCCGCCGGCATACCAAAACCACGCCGCGCCCCGGTACTCCGAGGGAATGCCTTTTCGCACAAAACGCTTGAGTTTGTTCGACTGTGCAGGGAATGTGCTTGGATTTGTGGTTGGAAGGCCATGCTCCTGGAGCATGGCATGCCATTTCTGTCTCCGGTGGGCGGTATAGTTGGAATATGGGCCGTTCCAGGCGTCATACTGCTCCCGAGTCACATACTGGGTTGCCTTGCGGAACCCATACTCGTCTCTTGTGTCAGTTCCAGAACTGAGGGGTGGAGGGACAGGCCCGGGAATGAAGATTTTTGATTGTTGTCGTTTGTGAACGGATTGAAGGTTCGATGACTGATCTGACGGTGGGGGTTGAGGTGTAGGCATTGAGAGAGGTGGTGTTTCTAGAGATTCCGATGATGCGAGTTCGGATTCAAAGGGAGTTTCTGAGGGAGTTTCTGGCGCCACAGGCACATTTATGTTAGGTTCCAGGTACACGGATTCTGGAAAAGCCGACTGCGGTAGTGGTGGAATGGGAGGAATATCCTCCAGGATCGGTATCGGGGGCGGAATGCCATCTAAATGCGTATCTCGAGATGGGGGCGGAGTTATTGAGGGCGCTTTGCTGTCTGCTCGAGACATGGGGGATCCAGGCTCTTCTGTGACATCGCTAAAGCCGTCGAGGTACATGGAAATCGCATCTTCCACACTCATGCCCTCGTCCATGCCATAGGGGGCATCAGGTGTATCAGGGGAGAGATCGGTAATCGAGCTACTCTTCGTGAGAACACTACTGCGTTCCGTGCCACTATTTTGCTCGATACTAGATCGAGAGGTCATAGCAGAATTGAAACTGGTTCGGAGAGTGTTATCATCCGCGGGTCCCTTGGTTGGGAAACGCGGTAGCGGCAAGCCATGCGCGTTGACCTCTTGGCGTTGGTCTGGGGACTCCTGCAATCGCGGCCGCCTGCCGTGCAGTCTGGAGGTAGACATGGAAATGCGCAGGCCGCCCCTGGCCGGCGGGGCCTTGCGAGGTGGCGGCCAGTCCGGTTCGTTATCGCGAGGGTAGAATCTTGGAGGTTGTCGGTCGGGTGATGGTAAAGGGGGAGGGTACGCCACGGATCTCTTCGCCCTCCAATCTTCTGGAATCTCCTGCGGGGAACCTGCCCGGAGAGACATTGGAAGCCACGGTCGGTCATCTGAGATGGTATGGACAGATGGAGGAGCGGGCGATCGAGAGCGTGGGTCGTATATCGAATTGGGAGAACGCGGGGATGATCTCGGGGTCGATCTGGCGGTTCGTGGTGCGCGGAAATCGATCTTCAGAGGATCCAATCGCGCCGGATGAGCGATCTTTCGGCGACCGCGTAGTTCAGATTCCTCAAAGGGAGGCGGGTATCTCGAGCTTCCATTTTCTGTGACCATGGCCACGAGCTAGTAACCAGTTCCCGCTGGACATTTGTTGTGACGGAAAGACCTCAGGAATAGCCGTGAAAGCGAAGAAAACTAGTCTATAGTGGCGAATAGATGATGAGAGAGTTGGCAGTCGCGTGTGTATCAGTGTGTACGTTGTCGTTGTACACGAAGGATGGGCGAAGAAAAAATATGGTAATCAACGAAAGGCCGAGCGAATGACTCCAGGGATATCAAAGGGTGTCAGGAAAGGAATGACAAAGGGCGACACCAAGCCAACAAACGGGTAAAAGAAATATGAAGCGAGACAGCCTGCCAGAGGACTGGAATGAGGACGAAGCACTTGAGTTGAGACAAAAATCAACAGAAGCCTGATCTAGCTTAGCGTCACATGACGTAGATTGGCAAGGGCGTTTCAAGTTTTCAAAGTCTATTTGCCGAATATGACTTGTCCATTGGAATTCTGGGGCTTTCATTGCCATTGTTTCTGGGGATACGAACTGCAGGACCCGTATAGTCGAGCTGTACAACATCCACTCTATTGTTCTTTGCATGCACAACGGGACCATGGATCCCTTGTATACGGAGTACAACCAAACGGATCGCCCGGGGTTTGGTTGCTTCCCCAACACAATTTTCTATGTAGTCAGGTCATGGGATTTTCCAGATTTCTTGCATTAGACTTGGTCTTATTGAATAATACACAGAAACCCTCGCCTCATCCACGGGTATACCCTAGGCAATGTTCTCAGGGTCATGTTTATGTTTGTGGGGATCGGGTGCGCCCGATGTATATCTGGACCCTCTCACAATCCTCCTAATTGTCATACCTAGATATCATCTTAGAACATCCTAATTCTTGAACTCAATCAAATTAAATGCAAGATACACAGCATTTTAGAATCCGAGCTGCCTGGAACAAAAGAATAAAACAAAAAAAAAAAAAAAAAAAAAAGATACAATATCCCCCAAACGCAGATGTATCAACAATTCCTCGGTACGGAGTACCTTATCGTGAAAACGGCTCGCGACTAAGCTTAATTGTGATGGGTCAACCGCACATCCATGTGTTTCTGCCGCACAAACCAAGCATTAACCGTCGTCCATTCCTTCTCCGGATTCTCCAAAGTGATCTATCGTAGTAGCCCAGTCAGAACAGACTCCTCGGCTCACAAAAAGTACCAATCTTACCTTGTAGGTCAAGAACAGGGACGGCATAAGCTTGTAGATCTCCAGCAGACTAATATTCTTGCCTATACACGTCCGAGGCCCCGCTCCAAACGTAAAGGTTGCTCGCAACATTTGCTGCTTCCGGTCTTGGTACTCGCGTTCTGATTCCTCATTCATCTGCAGCCATCGCTCAGGAATGAACGAGTCGACTTTCTCACCGAAACAAGAATGCCGGTGAATGACCCATGGGTTGGCGCCGACAATTGTTCCTGCAGGTAAGAATGGTCCACCATTCGGAAGCTGAAGTCCTCCCACGGGAACCACGCGCTCCAGCAGCAGACCCACAGCCGGATGCAGGCGGAGCGCTTCTTTAATCACGGCGTCAAGATACGGCAACTCCTCTTGACTCTGCTTCCAAGAGACAGGGCAGGAGATCCGTCCCTCTTGGTAAGCGGCTTCTAGCTCATTACTCAGCTTCTTCGAAACTCTGGGAGACTTCAGTGTGTAATAAAGGATTGCTCGGAGAGAAATAGCTGTGGTATCGGAGCCGGCATTCATGTTGCTGATCGTGTACGAGAAGATTTGATTGTCTGTCACGATTGAAGGGTGCTCCTTTTTGGCTTCTAGGAAGCGACCCAGAAAATCCCTGTGTGGAGGCTGTGATAAATCACTAGCATTCTTACTGCTGGACGTCTCTCGAAGTCTTTCATCCAATCGAGCACGCGCAAAGCGAGCTACAGCACCAGTTGAACCTCCCTGAATGAGTTGTCGCAGGGGATTCTTTATGAACAAATAGTCCAACCAAGGCATTTGGCCAATCTACCGCTGTTGAGCACACGTACAACTGAATTATCATGGATACTGACCTTGCCAGAATAGTCAAGCATGCGTTCAAGCGCAGCAATGATTCCGTCTACATCGCCTCCGGTTTCCAGGAACCCGAGTGGCTTGCTGAATGTCAACTCACCAATGACATCGAATGCATCTGCCCGAATACGTCAGCTTATTACATTAGTATCATGGAGCTCCCTACAGAATTGCAACCATGAAGCGATATCGCAAATATTGTTCTGAGCGACAAATCCGTCCAGCTTTGCAAAGAAAGTTTGGATAGTCTTGTCCACAAACGGTTCAAATTCAGTCAAAGTGCTCATGGAGTAGGCGGCCGAGATAGGCCGCTTGATTGAAGCATGGAATTCCTCGTCTGTGGTGGTGAACAGGGTGGGTGTTGGCTTGCCCTTGGCTAATTGTTGTTGCACATGATAGAATTTAGTCTGAAAGGTTAGTGACGTGAATATGTTTCGGGTACTGAAGGGCTTCCAAGTATAAAGTTCATCACCTTACTTTCTGATAGCCTTTGTTGATTCCATAAATGACTTTCAATGAATCCAGATCCCACACACTGACCACGTTTGGACCTAATCGGACATAGTCTCCATACCTTTTGTGCAATTTGTAAAGACTTGCCTCTGCATGCCCATTGGCCACGTCAATGAATCTCCAGATGTTGGAAAGACCCGCGAGGAATGGTCCAGGCACTGATGAGACACCCGACTTGAGATAGTTGCGCATGAAATGAACTATGGCAAGAAAAATAGCAATGCTTGCCGAGTGTTCGACTAGGAAGGACACGGAATCTGAGATAATCGCCATGATGTCTTGGGATAGCTCGTTTGCGACCGAATATGAGAATAGAAACCCCAGCTACCAAGCGGCCTTTATAAAGCTATTCCCCAATCGAGGGGCTCATGCCATAGATGCTCAGGGTCCAGGTATATCTGTGGGGGTGGGGCTTTTTGCGGGGAAGTTAATGACGACTTTAATTCCGCTGTCGGCATTGCACCTGGGAAGCATCATGGTACTGGGATCATTACGTGTTCAGTTCCGTTGAAGTTTGGTTAGCTGCCCTTCGGTTCCAAACATCATTACCGAGGCGCAATCTTATTCAGCAGAGCCTTTGGAATTGATTGTGTTGACCAGTAATGCTACAACATCTTTTCTCTTTCCTTTCAGCTCTAGGTATATATATGGCTACAAATATTGAATATGTAAGTGCCGAGGTAACATCATAGGAGCCACGCATTGTTCTACCCATCAGAATGCACTCTTGACATATTGGACGGAGGCGACTCATTTTGGAGGCATCAATGTAGATATGAATGCCATCGCGTGACGAATTGGACAGGTCACGCAAGCAACAGTTGTTTATTGATAGACATGTAGAATGCGATAGCGTTTAAGTCATTAGGCGTGGCTCAGGATACATATCCTCTTTGTTTATTCCGCCATAGCATGTTTGCGAGTCCACTCCCGCGCAATCTCCCGGTACCGGGTATTGTCGTTGTTGTATTGATCGGCAATTCTCCCCTCGATAGCATCATCTGGCATGGGCTCTGATAGCAGTTGACGAGCAAATTGCAAGACGGCTGAGATCTTTGAGCTGGGTTTCCACTCGTCGGCTCTTAGCATGCCCAAGCACATGCTTCCTTTTTCGTCGTTTGTGATGTTTGGGTGGTAGATCCTTGTTGCAAAGGAGACGGTGGGGGGCTTGAAAGGGTATCCGGTTGGCAGAGAGAGCTTGACCAAGAATTTTCCTTTCTTTGGACACAAGTATATCAGCAAGGTGAATCGGAAAATCAAATCAAGAGGGCGCGTCTTATTGGGGCCATATTTCAACCTTGGGCCGACCCCTTTCAGTACCCGTCAGGCAGACAGGGACATGCTGGGGGAAGATAGGAAAAGGCACGAGTGCGCCTGGGAGAGTGCTTTCTTACTTGGTATGGTGACCCTTCGGGTCCATCCATGTATACCTTCCACTCGTACAGGTTGGCTTCCTCGGCCAGTTCGACAGTGATGCCTTCTGGGGGCGACTCTGTGAGCTCAGCCAGCTCCTGTGTGAACAACAAACGTCAGCGGACACGAAACAATGAGGAAAATTGTGGAATGGAGGGGTGCCAGGCTATTTTACCTTAGCAATGCGCTTCTGGCTCATATCGTCGAGATGATCAAATTGTAGCGGGGCGCGTGATGGTTGCGGGGTGTTGAGGCAATGAGGCGCCTATTGGAGATATCGGGATAATAGAAGCAGATGGGAAGGAAGTAGAAGGCAGGTGACTGGCAGCGCCAAGATAAGGTAGTCCTAGTGGTGAATCACCGGGGCTGAGCGTGGTAATTCGTGCAGTAAAGCTCGGAGCTCCGAGAAGTTCAAAAGTTGGTGGGGTGCGCAAAGACGTCAGTATATTTGGCCCGCAAGGTCAAAAACCAGAACTTGATGGATCATGTCCCCTATCGCATGTAGAATCTGCGCTTACTTACTATTTATAGCAAAATTTGAGCTGCTCATACGTGTTTAAAGATTTTTTCTTGAGGATAATCCGGAATTTCTTTTATTTGACCAGTTGTGCAAATGTACTTGGTGATCAACGCTTTACCGATTATTCCCGCTGCAGCATGACCATCAATCCCATACAACCCAAAAGAACAGTCTTCATCCATGGATGTTCCGATAGCATAATTGTAACGTAGCCAACCATCGGGATATAGCCCCTCACACTTCCAACGATGTCCTCTGGAGAATACATTAGCTTTGACTCGAGAAGTCAGTCGAACGAGGCTAAACACCTCGCTACGACTTTATAAAAATGACAAAAGCCTTGCCGATAGGAAACGATGGCTTACCGTTGCGATCCAGGTGATCTTGCCCCTTTGCATACTAGTGTAGTCTGAGTTTAGCTTTTGGTGATTAGTTGAATATGAGTGGAAAGAAACCAACCAATTCGGTGTCATCAGCCAAGTTGTTATCGCCCTGTTTAAAGAAAGCAAAATCAGTAGCTGTCATGGTATAGAACATGGTTCGATAACTTAACCTACCTTGGTCAAAAGCATATGAGAGCCTGGTGCCGAGTCACTAGCCAAGCAATCAGTATCCAAGCTAACGGGCAAATAGAGGGTTGCCTAAGTTTCCAGCCTAATAGTCAACATACACTGTGATTTCCTTCACCTTGTTTCCCTTGGGCTCCAGTTCCGGGAAGGTTCGAGAGACACGGTGGACGATACTGTATCCATTGTTAGTGGATGCCAAAGTAGAGAATAGAGCGGGTATGCGTGTTTTCGTACGGAATGTCCTTTCCTCTCACGTTGTACCTGTTCACATTGCCTGTCAGTAAGGCTGATTCTCATCCTTTAAGGTAGGGGAGTGCAAACACGACGATCTCCCCAACCTCCGCTCGAGGACTCCTATTCCATAAAAACAATAGATCACCACGTTGAAAAGCGGGCTCCATGCTGCCGCTCAGAACCACAACAATTGGGCTAGATGAGGCACTGAACACCGATAGTCCCTTCCATAACATGAAGGCTGTGGATAAGACCTGCGGACGATTGTTAGTCCACCGTCCAGACCGAGGAGAAAATGGGGTTTCCTACGAGGGCAAAGTTGAGCACCTGCGCCATCGTTTGGCGCACATTGGTGGCACCGGAGGTGAGCGAAGATAGCATAGTGGGCGATAGGCACGTAAGGCCAGGTAAAGAAGGGAGCTCGAAGAAGGTTGCTATGCACTGGGACAAAAGGTAATCGGCAACTGTCAAAAACTGCCAAAGTAGCTCCAATTAGTACTGAGCGGGGAAAGAATGAAAATGAGGACAGGAGCTTACCTGTTGCGCCCAGCAGTGCTGAGTGGTTTGTTTTGCGGAGCTGATCACCTCGAATGCGGAGAGGTGGCCTCCTCCCGCGTCACAATTGATGCCTTGCTGCCTGGAAGGCCGCCAAGCCCGTTGAACCACTATGATGTTCTAAGCTTCTTGAAGAACAGTCGAATGGAAAAGTAAGCAGAGAAATGGACATGATCCTCAAAGGCTTGAAGCTCTTGAATGGCTATATGCCGAATTGTATTACATGCGTTATTCTAAATTGCTTAAATATGCTCATGTCCTTTCACTACTCAGCTCAACGGGTTCCACGGGCATATGCCGCATCTCTCCACCAGAAAGCTCAGGAGTTCTCCCTGCTGACAGCTCAGGAGGGTTCCCTACCGACAACTCAGGAGGCTCCCCCGCTGGTAGCTCATTGATTTTCCGCGTGGGCAAGGTACCTCCCTCTTGCCTCTTGTTTCTGGCAATGAAGAACCAAAGCAGGGCTCCGATCAAGGCCACGCCTGCCACACCACCGACGACTCCGCCAGCAATAGCGCCTGTGTTTGATGAGTGGGATGTGCTGCCTCCTGCCTGTTGAGTTGTGGTAGAGCTGCTGCTTGTAGAGTTGCCGCTCGCAGAGCTTTCGCTTGTGTTGGTGCTCGGAACAAATAGGGCCTTCAGGGCTGGAGATGCCCATGACGAGGGGTATGGCGACTCCTTGATATTTCTGGTAGTTGAGGAGGAAAGGGAGAACGAATCCAAGGAGGGATCAAATGTCGATCGCGTTGCCTCGGATTGAGCGTCGTAGATGAATGCAGGCATAGTGTAGCAGCCTGCGTTGGAATCATCTGCCCAGGCAAGTCTTCCGCCAACTGCAAATATCTGACGGCCGTATGTGGCGCATTGAAGGGTCATGCGGGCCTCATCAAGAGGAGCGGCGGAGAACCACTTGAAGGACGGGATTGACAGGTAGTTTATATCTAGGATTGGGTCTTCAGACTCCAGGTCTGCCCCTCCTATGGCATATATCTGGTAGGACGAGGTGGACGGATCGTGCTGAACAGAAGCGCAGAACTGTGTCCGTGACGTGACGCTACCGGTCGTGGATTGATTATACCAATTTCCTGTAGCGATGTCGTAGACTTGGACATAGTCCCATGAATTCTAGAATGTTGGTGAGCAAGGCATTGCTTGATCGAGAAGTTCAAAGCTCACCGATGTTAGCGTAGCGTTAACCCCATTCGCGACTGAAGGAACCTCGCCACCCAGATAAACCAAAATGCCCGTATCGCCCACTGGTATATAAGAAAGTGAGCCTTCCTGAACAGCGTCGTAAGGCCCGGCGAGAGAAGTATATTGCCCGGTCGTTGTATTTAATTGAACCATTCCCCCGACATGATTATTTGTGGAATCGGTGATCGTGGATGTTGTACCGCTACCCCGGTATCCGCCAACCCAGAACGCAGCCTGAATTTCGGGTGCATTTGTATCCACTGCAAAAGTCCAAGATTATAAGCATACCTCGGTGTGGTTGCTGAAATATTACATACCACCATATTCCCGTTGCGCGGGCTGAACGCTCCCCTCTTGGGCGGCCCACGACTTGTCATTCACGTTGTATGTCCAGATAGTGTTATTCGTGGTGATATCCTCCAAATATCTACCTCCGTATTGATATAATGTGGTGTTTGCCGCGTTGGCCCAGAGCGCCATGTCTTTGATTTTAGGGACAATGGAGTTGGGCAGTTTCGACATCTTATAGTTCTTGCCCTCCGACGTGGAGAAAGAGGATGTCAGGTCGAGGGTCACGAGATAATTGTCTAATAGAAATTGGCCCTAAGCACTACAAACTGTGTCGGTGACAGAACTTAGCGCGACTTACTCGAAGAATTGAGATCATCCGGAATGAGTCCTCCATCCAGACCAACCATGTACAACGTATCGTCGGCAATATCCACTGGTAAATGGCATTAGTAGGTCTCCAGTTCGAATGAAAAGGCTTCGCATTTGTACCTCCAAATCTGTAACTGCGACAAAAGCCCCCCGACAGATCCTTCAAGACGTCTCTCTTTGTGAGATCTATAACCATAGCCTCGACGAGGGAAGCGGCCAATACCCAGAGCAACATCAACGACATACTCGCCATCTCAGGTGTTATTTTATAAGTAGCATTGAAGAAGGTGGAGAGGGCGAAATCGACACTAATCCAGCTTTTTCACGTGGGGAGACAACCCTCCCCTAAATCTTTAAACGGCGCGGCACCTTGGAGTGCAGCCGAGAAGCTAGCCGTAGTTGGCCAGGGCGCCTTGGTCGTGTTATGTACTATTGCAGTCTCTGAAAATATCGCGTTCAGAATCGGGTATTGGGTACCCACCATCTCGATGATTGTATATGAAGTACCAATCAAGGACGAGAGGATACGAAACGGAAGCTTAGGTCCCACAAATTTGTGTTTGCGCGATTCACCATCGGACATTTGTGTATTGTACCAGGGGCCTGCCGTGTGGGGGCCATTTTGCTGTTGGCGTCAAGCTAGCATGGGTAGTGCGCTCCTAAATCGATTGGCTTAGAGTGTCAATCTTGAGACCCTGCGCCCCAGTAAGCTGCAGAGCCAAGACTTTGGGGTCGCACTTTTATGGAAAGGAGCGCGACAATTGAACATCACATAATCAGGTAAACACCCTCACTAATCGCAAATAAAGTAGCAAAGTAATTCTATCTCAGAAAGAATGTTAACTCAGGTATGAAGAGCAGAGCATCACTTCGCTTAATCCAGGTCAACATAAGATATAACGCTTCATTAAAGGTAAGAAAAGGTGGCCCATTAGGTATCACTCTTTGATCACCAAGGTTCATATTCCAGCGTAGTCTACAGAGTAGCGTGAGCAAGTAGGTACCTGGGTATATACTCAATAATATTGCACCCTGAATCTTGAATACTGCGCACTTCGATTGCGGTTAGTGAGGGTGTTCAAATAATTACCTATGTATGTTCAATAGAAAGCTCCATTGGAAATGCCAATCTTCTAGACGACACACCTAGGGTCAACAAGAGCCCGCTGATCTGCTGACGTCCTGAATACAGTGTCTGGCCAGGAAATGTTTAGAGATAGGAACAGTAGCCTGGGGTCTCCGGTAGGTGCATGCCAGGTGAGTACCATTCAACGGACCAAGCAAGAACTAGAGAAGCAATTAATGAGAAGACTACATACAATACTGTGATCTTGCAGTCAAGAACGCATGCCAGCTAGAGATTTAGTACCTTTTTTAGCCACAAACCATAGATGTTATGCGCGACATTAAGATTTCTGAATCGACTTCAAGTTGTAAAAATTGCTCGGATACTCGTCGAGCCTGAGGAGAAATAAATATGTAAAGCGACTCATATAAAAATCTCCAGCATCATTCGAGTAGTGCTTGGCCACATAATCAGGGAAAGTACCCAAGAATGGCCACGCATAGCGTTTTGCGTAGCAAGACGTGAGACGAGTTTGGTAGCAAATGAGATCGCAGAGGGGAAGGCCTTGGAGTCCATTGGTGACGATCGTGACGAGGTGGGTTGCGATTTCACTGGCGATTCATAGCGAGGGCTTGAGTTCCGGTACGCGGGGCTCGAGGCCTAGGGGTCATGGATTTGTACAACGAATACAATATCATTGGCAGAATGAAGTTCCTTTTTCATATCTTGATTTCATCCTGTAGTGCTCTTCGACCCATTGCTCCACAGCTTTAGGAAAGCCGGGCGAAATAGTGGATGTGCCGCGTCACAACTATTCATCGCCAACGCGGCATGTGGACAAAAAAGCTTGTCCTGGATTCTTACAAGATAGGATGTAGCTGAGTGTGACATCACATTTCACGAACTACAATTTCCATTGCTGAATCTTGAAAGTGAATATACCCTTCACGCTCCTGATCGACTGGAGAGGCACCCCTCGTTCCACAAGGAATGTGGATAGCGTTAACCTTGGATCACCATCCATCCCTTGGGAACAGGTGTCACCTGTACGCGCTTGATGACTTCGAGGCGGGTTCCTGATAACAATGGATTCGAATGGAGCGGCAATATCTCAAATGCACTGAGGGATCAAGGGCTTCTGCTCCTGTGGGTTGGACTCATAGACTTCCATTCCTGGAAATTCGGCATGATCTCTGCATAAATTAGAAACCCCACAGTCCCGGAAAATTACAGATCCAACAGTGGGCCCTAGACTTATGTCGATCTCAAGGGGGACTTTCATTCCTCGGAATGAAAGGTCCTGTCTCCCCCTGTGTGCTACGTACCAAGGAATTAACCTCGACACACATGTCAAAGTCTCCTGTGAAATGACAAATCTCCGAGCTTTGAATCCATATAACGCTTACCTTCCTCATCAGATGGGAAGCTTATCTCAAACGCAACATGAAGTCGACTTTGGTTGACATCACGGACGAGCCCAAACTCTCGCTCCGCAAACAACTACGAGAAGAAGGTCTTGAGCTAACATTCGAGGGGTGCTTTGTACGATGGATGCGAGACAATCCTAAATGCCCCCGAAATTGGTCTACGCCTCGGAAAATCTACGATACTGGGCTTGTCTGCATATTGGACCTTTTTGTGTGCGTATGATGTCCTGATACCTTCAAAACTAGCTAACGCTTCTTTATATAGAACTGCCAGCAGCACCGCAGGCGTAAGTTCTAGGCAACGCCGATTCTTCTATTCCCTTCAGATCTCATAGATCCTAATAACAGTATCTAGGCGGCCGCTGCAGCAAAAGCAAAAGATGAATACCATTTGGATTCAACCGTTGCAATATTTTGTTTCGTCACACTGTATGTTTACTGCCATCGCGAGTGAGCATATGGCTAACAAACTCCAGGTTTCTTCTTGGCCAGTCTTTAGGCAATATTGTGCTTCCTCCATGGTCCGAGTCCTTTGGCCGGAAAAGGATTTACATAATAAGTAGTGGCATTAGCTGCATATGTTCCCTCGTTATTGGCTTTTTACATTCTCTACCGGGGGCCATAATCATGCGCATTCTCGCCGGAATCTTTTCAGCCGTGCCAGGCACCGTTGTTGGCGGGACTATAGAGGATCTCTTTGACACAAGAGCTCGCATTTGGGTCGTTTTCTTCTGGACAGTTGCGTCCAACATTGGCTTGATTATTGGCCCGATTATGAGTTCTTTTATTATTGAAGCCCTCGACTGGTACGTTCTTGAAAAGTCAACATTCGATCTTCCCTAACAAAGTATTAGGCGATGGGTTTTCTATGTCTACGCCATTATCCTTGCCGGTATTACTGGCTTTTTATGTTTCATCAAAGAATCACGATCAGCATGCGTTCTATCTAATGAGGTAAACCGGTTGCGACGAGTTATACCAGATATACCACCACCGCTCAATCACGACCATTCCCCGGATTTGAAAACCTTCGTCACAGAATCTCTCTTCAGGCCCGCTCAGCTGTTTTTCCGAGAGCCCATCATTTTCACTATTTCCATGATGATCTCAGTCGCTATGTCTCTCATCTACATTTTTACGGAAGCTCTACAGCCCATATATGAGTCTATGGGATTCTCCGCATCTCAAGCCTCCTTGATTTTCATGGCTATTGGTCTGGGTACTTGTGTCAGCACTCTCACCCGAATCCTGGACTGCTACATCTACAACCGTCGACAAAGCCGAAAACTACCTATAAAGCCCGAACACAAGCTCGCGGGACTAGCAATTGGCGCGCCATTTTTGGCAATCGGACTATGGTGGTTTGGGTGGACGATTCCACCCAAGGTCGAAGGGCCAAATGTACCATGGATCGTCCCAACCCTTTCGTTGGTCCTGGTCGGGTATGCTCTGACAGAGCTAGATACCGTTTTATACGCCTATATATCGGATAGCTATCTGAGCTACTCAGCAAGTGCTACCGCCGCGGTCGCGGTTATGAGAGGCTTGCTTTCTGCAACCTTCCCGCTGTTCACAAAACAGATGTTTGGCAAGTTGGGAGCCAACATTGCTGTGTCAATATTGGCGACTATAGCAACGCTGTTTTGCATTGTTCCACCTTTGTTTCTCTGCTATGGTGAAGCGATCCGGCGGCGGAGTAAATTTGCGAAGTATAGTTGGGAGATACAAGACGAGATAGGGAAAGATGAAGATGATATTTAGATCGGTGTATATATTGAGCTCGACAGGAGCAGTTCAAGAAGCTAATTGACAATAAAAACGCAGGAGGCCGCAGATTTGGGGCAAAGACGGAAAGTCACTTCAAAAGCAGGCTTTGAAGACGAATTACCGGGCATCTCAGAAATACCAGAAGCAAGGTTCTAAGCTTGCTGGGTAACATCGCTAGAATCAGCTTTCCGCTGTCCCACCTTCGTCTCCCAGTATCTATGCTGCTTGCCGCGTCTCATGATAAGCCCATAGACATCGAATGGATCGATGAAAGTCTGAATAAAATGACGGGGATCGTCATACCCTGGGCCTTCAATCTCTGTCACTCCATCATCGGCCAGATATATCTTATTTGAACGAGGAAGCTTTTGCATCGGGTGGAACACGTTGAGCAGAGTGGTATTGCTGTACATGAACACCGTCTCAAAGAACCAGAAGAACCACTCTGGCTTCAAGACAGGGCTGATATGCTGTATGTCGGTGTAGTTGTTCAAACTCGCTGCGCTAAAGTATTCTACTGTGCGGTAGATTGTTCGTATCGTAATCAACGTACAACTGATATACAAAACAACCAGGCAGCGCTTAACCTTGTGATTCATTACCCCTGCTCGTTTGCAGTTAAAATGAAATCGAGAAGCTAGGGCAACAAACGCTGCCATCAAGGCCAGTTGCAGGATCAAAGCTGCCTTGAGTAGTGCCTTTCCAACATCTTGTTGGCTAGATGTAGAGTTGGCCTTCGCAAGTTGGACTGCGCCGTTGGCGGTGATGGCTTCGATCACAATTCCAAGGGCGATAAAGGTTGAAAATACACGCCCAGGGTGCATAGGCGAGTGTTGTGGAATATAATAGAGAATTCGTCCTAAAATGAAGTAGTTTGCACCTTCATAAACAGGTCTTGAGCGCTAGGTCAGATGCTAGTACATGTGAGGATTTTGGGGAAAGCGTACGGACCGGCAAGCAGTAAAACACTGCTCGCTATATAAAGATTGACATTGCCCCATTGTCCGAATGACGCGACCGCCCGAGTAATAAATCCTCCAGTGAATAGGAGTGCTGACCAAGGTAAGAGACCTGTCACTTTCCAGGACTTGTATCTCCTGCACAAGCAGATCGATTAGCTTAGCACCTTCCTGCTGCCACATTTTGGAGCAGAACCTCGAGAGGATCATACATGGTTTGGTAGAAATGGATTGCCCCAGAAAGCGCAAATAAAATGGCGAACGCAATGGGAGCACCTTTGTTTGGTGCATAGAACCAAAGGCTTCCATCTTCTGCCCAGGTGTAGGTATGGCTTAGTCTCATTATATCTGATGGAATGAATGCGGAACTCACGATATGACCGCCCTTCGAGCATGGCGAGGGGAGGTGTTTATTGGGCTGTGGTGACGAGGTATATGGTGTGCTAAACCTTTGAAGGCTTTCCGAGGTTGTCAGATAGGCAAATGGGTCTGGATTATTTTTGTATAATGGGAGCAATACTCTGCGAGTCCTCACAGTAGTGTCGAAGGCATCTGTAGTCAGGATTCCTCAAAGGCCAAGGCCTTGATATATATATACCAATCTCGTAAAGACATCATCTCTCCTTAACTGAAGCGAAAACGAGTTGCCCGATCGGATCAAAACCCACAAAACCTTATTCAACGATAGAGCCATGGGACGAATCATTGCCCGCATTTCTCATCTCCGAACACGAGATCCATGTGTGCAAGCCCTGTAACAAGGCGCAGGGTGCGCTTTGCCCGGTACGAGATCATTTTGAGCCCGAGCGCTGACATGTCTCTGTCCTTAAAGTGCTTGTGACAGACTGAGAGAGTAGAGTTCTGGCAGAATGACCCTGTTAGTCGAGTACGAGCGTGCCGAAATAGGTAACCCTCGTACTCGGGAAGTGGGGACAAGTGGCGGAGCCTCACTTTTGGGAGCTTATGCACGATGAACTGAGGTTGGAAACAGCGGAGAGACTCCCAAAAATTCAATTAGTAATTGATGCGAGTATGATAAAGGGGCGTTAGAAGCGATAAGACCAGAAAGTTCAATGTCAACGATGTATACTTAGACTGCGCAGGAAATGTACGATATTGCCCAAAGCACGTGACTTCAAATCTGGTTGTCGTGACAACAGAATGGCATATCCATTTCGGGAAGGAGAGATGCAGATCTGTGGACAACGAACTTGTTCTCGACTCTTTTTGGCCTGTAAACCTCCGCAACTCAACGCTCTGGAGCCTCACGTCCGAAAATTCACGCCAAAATGCCGTTAAAACAGCCCCAGATGTCGTTGTTTCAGGTCTATCTTCGTTTACGCCCCCCAATGACTGAAAGGCAGGATGAGTCCGCTCGCTTCCTCGCCGTCGAGCCTCCCGAGGCACAGAATGACGGCGAAATTGTTGCGCCAGTTCCAACGCACATCACCTTGCAACCTCCCAATGATACACGAAAGCGCGCAATCGAAAAATTCGGGTTCACAAAAGTTTTTGAGGAGAGCGCCACTCAGCTGGACATATTCCATGATACTGGGATGGAGTCACTGGTGAGGGGCGTGCTGAAAGAAGGTCGTGATGGATTGGTGGCAACTTTGGGAGTCACAGGAAGTGGAAAGGTTTGAATATCTAGCTTACGACATGACCGATTGGAGGCTAACGCGGAAGACCTCAGAGCCATACTATTTTAGGATCCAAATCGCAACGAGGAATCACCCAAATGGCCTTGGATGTTATCTACCGATCACTTCAACCAACCCTCAAGACCGACGATGGCAGTATCACCCCGATGATGCTTGCGTCGCTTGCCAGCTCAGATGCTTCCGAAGCTCAGATATTTTCTGCCCAGACGTTCCTGGAAGCCGTGTACGGCGAACCCAACGGAGGCCGCAACTCGAGGGCGCAGACTCCCATGAGCCCTGGTCGCGCACAAACCCCACAAACGGTACGGAAATCTGATACCCTGAATCCCCAAGGATCGCCGATCAAGCTTCCACTTACCCCAGCATCTGGTCTGCCAATATCATGCATCAAACCTGGAAGCCCCCGAAAGGTGGACTCAACTCCAATGTCCACTCATTATCGTACGGATTGGCCCATTCTCAAGCCGCCAGCGACTGAGAATACTGGATGGATTGACCAAGGACTTTTCAGTCCTCTTCCTTACACCCGTCCCAACTTGCATGAAGCACGTTTAGCTAAATCTCGACTTATTGTTTTCCAGGAGCCGACACCTGCACTTGTTTTCCCACGCCGCCAACCCCGTGAACGACCCATCGCACTCCCTAGACTCCCCGATGTCAGCCATTTGGCCGTTGATTTAAACTCGAACGCCGACTACGTCGTACTAGTCTCGATGTACGAAGTTTACAATGATCGGATTTTTGATCTTTTGTCGCCTGCCATCAACCCTGGGCAGGGAAATACAATGTCTCGTGGCAACACCCAGAAGGATCGCCGACGCCCATTACTGTTCAAATCTACCGAAGGATCGCCTGATCGGAAGATCGTTGCGGGTCTCCGTAAAATTGCCTGCAGCAGCTATGAAGAAGCCCTGGCGATTTTGGATGTTGGTTTGACCGAACGCAAAGTGACAGGCACTGGAGCGAATAGTGTTAGCTCTCGAAGTCATGGCTTCTTCTGTCTCGAGGTGAAGAAACTAACTCACAATAAACGATACGGGGAGGCCACCTGGGTAGGTAATACTCTCACAGTCGTGGATTTGGCTGGTAAGTCATGCTCTCAGTATTGTCCCAAGTGCATATTCTGATGTATACAGGATCCGAGCGCGCAAGAACCGCCAAGACAGCTGGTGCTACCCTCGCGGAAGCTGGTAAAATCAACGAAAGTTTGATGTATCTTGGCCAATGTCTGCAAATGCAGAGTAACCTGCAAGACGGCGTTAAAACTGCCCTTGTTCCTTATCGCCAGTGCAAGCTCACTGAACTTTTATTTTCCAATTCTTTCCCTACTACTACCCAAATGTCTCGTGGCCATCACCCACAAAAGGCTATCATGGTTGTCACCGCGGATCCTCTGGGCGACTTCAACGCTACCTCCCAAATTCTGCGTTATTCTGCACTGGCTCGCGAAGTCACCGTGCCCCGGGTTCCTTCAGTGACAGAATCAATAATTTCTGTTGCCTCCCTCCGAGAGCGTTCCATCAGTGGACGCACAACGCCCAATGATGCACCATCGCCAGAACTAGAAAGGGCTCTGGCGGAAATCGAACGGCTCACAAAGGACTGCCATGGTCTTGCTGTGCGTTTGGCCGAAGAGGAAATTGTTCGCTCCGAAACGGAGATTAGATTAAGGGCCGCTGAAGAAAGATGCATCGATATCGAACAAGAGATCCGTGAAGAATGCTGGGCCGAGATGGACGAAATGATGGAGGCAGAGCGAAGACGCTGGCAGAGTGCATTGGACGAACAGATCGGCCGAAACGATGATCATGTTGACCGAAAGATCGAGCTGGTTTCACGTGGATTCAACATTTTTGAAGACCCCGAGCCATCCTTAAACGCCAGAGTGGAGGAACTGGAAGACGAAAACGAGCAGCTTCGTCGTCGCATCGCTACCCTTGAGCGCGAAATGCATTCTCATTCTCCCACCCGCAAGCCCAGGGCGAAGAACGCAACTCCTGGCCATACATCCAACATGCTTAGCAGAGAAAGCGACATTGAGAATGCTTTACAACGCATGAATCAGCTCAATCTTACGGACACCATGTTCTCTCCTGCCACTCCAAGCTCTTCGCCGGGAAAGAAACAGAGGAAGTTGGGAACGAGGAAGCTTGACCTGGGCTCTGAGTTTGATATCTAACCTGTTGCGCTCGAGTTATCATGACCGTTATGATTTTTATTTTATTTTCTACGGAACTGGATCGGTTGATACACCCCTGGGCGAGGATACCACGGCTAAGGCGTTCTAAGAGTTGATTTGTTGTGTCGAGACTTGATACTAATTTCCTTGTTGATTTTGATTTATACTATCTATCAATTGTTTTACCTTTCGACTGCTGGAATCCAGTCTTCATGAAATTTACCCCGAACTCTCAACATTAAACCGTATGAAAGTCTCCAGCTCGGATGATAGCCGTACTGCATTGGAGTCTTCGAAGCGCCTACGATGTATAGTGGTTTGTGATTGCACTGTGTTTTTGCATTCGAGATATTATACACACGTAAAAGCACCACCTGCTTGGTATCAATTCATAACCCAGCCCTTGGGCTTCCTCGACGCCAGCCCGTGCTTGAAGAGAAGAAAATAAATCAACGCCGTGTCCGAAAAGCCCACGTTATGCAAGGGCACCGCTTTAAGCGGGTGTGGTATCCATGGCTTCAGGCTGTTCGGTATCCTCACTGGGAGTAGGAACAATAGACTCTTTGCCATCAGTGGCATTGATAGTCTCGTCATCACCATTGTCTCCTTCATCGTTCTGATCTTCTTCATCGTAGAGTTTGCTCTCTTCAATCATGGTATCCTCGCCGTCCCCCTCCTGGATCTCGTCATCGCCATCATCGCCATCATCGCCATCATCGTCGATATCTTGATTTTCCTCCCCGCCAGTTTCAGTCGCTCCGGCATCACCTTCACCGTCATTTTCATTGGCACCATCATCTTCTTCGTCATCCCCTTCTTCCGCACCTTCTTCACCACTGCCAGCGTCGTCTTCAGTCTCAGCATCACCTGGTTCGCCTTTTTGTAGATTAGGGAAAAATATAGACTTCCGCAATGAAGATGTACTTTCGAGTTTTGATTCGTCCATATCGCTCACTTCGGTCTCATCGCCAGGCTGTTCGTTCCTGCCCTCTCCTGCCATAGACGCGTGCTTGCCTGCTCCCTGTGGTGTAGCGGCTGGGCCGGACGTTGCTGCCGAATTAGAGCCACGTCGGGCCGGAGTTGATTGTTCATTGTCCGCTGTAACGGCCTTGCTGGCTGCCGTACGAGGAGCCAGCTTCAATGTCACAATTGTATCCGCCCGCTTTTGAATGTCTCGGCGGGCAATACCCTTAGTACGACCACGAGGAGCTGGAGTGTCCGAAGCTGGGAGGGGGGCTGCGGGGATGCTTCCATCGGCAGCGGTCTCGCCCGCCATAAGGAGATGATCGACCTTCATTTTTCCTTTGTTTTCCTCAGTGGCCTGCTCAACGAGCAGGGGGGTGTTAAGCTCATACACGCGGGAGTATAAATCCGCAATGAGATCCTCAAACATGGTCACCTTCATAAAGTTGTTGTTGAGCTTCTTCAACTCCAAGGCGTCTCGAATAAGCTCCAGAAGCGGCTGGCTTTCTGGTGCAAGTTCGGCTAAGCTCTCTAGGCGGGCCGTCTTCGTAGAGAATTCCTCCCATCCGATGGGCTTGAAAATGCTCTCTTCGTGCCCCTCGTTAATTTGAGCAGCCCTCCGAATCATCTTTGCATAGGTGAGACAGATATCTTCCCACAACTTTGTGTGGTTTATGAAATCACCCTGTTTCTTTCTCACTCGACGTAGCAATTGATCCAAGCTGGCACGGTCATCTAATTGATCGAGCAAGCTGGCAAAGAAATAAACGTAGCGCGTGGTGTAGACAAAGTGTCTACCAGGCCGTTCAAATTCAGGCCGCCATACTTGAATGGTCAATGTTTTTGTGAAGATCTGCGACATCTCATGCTTGGCGGCAGCGGCAGTTGTCGTGTTCTTGTCATCATCGTAGATGACGTGTGCAGCCTTTTAGAGTTAGCGATAATTCGTAAGGAGTTGGGCATTCCACGGAAATCTGTACCTTGCTGCTCATTCGATGATGCCAGTTGGATTTGTCGGCGCTCTTGAACTTCTTGATAACCTCAAGGATGTATGTCTTCCATCCTTCCATATTCTCGGGCGAGTCGACCTTGCGGGCCCAAGGAGTTGCACTAAGGGCTTTAATCCCCTCGGCAAGCTAGAAACATGTGAGCTCAGGTTGCGAATGATAAAGACGGGCTATTTCGCTCACGGTTAATTTTTCTTGAAGAACAAGTCTGTGAACGACCGACAAAAGCTTGAAGTGGGGTTCGAATATGGGATCAGCTCGTGAATCCCTACGCTGCGGAAGAGCAGCAATGGCATCACGGAAAGCGTCCAGCACATCGTCCACTTCAACGCGTCTTGAAGTTGTCCGCAGTGAATCGTCACAGTTGTACATCTTCCAGAGACACTTCCCAAGAAAGTAATGAGTCCTAGTCGATAGTTAGTATTGCCATGTACAGCATATCAAGTGATCATCAGCATCACTAACATCCAACGTTTCGGTTTGTCAATAGTTGCTCTTCTGAGGAGATTACTGGCAAAGTTCCACACTGAATACCGGGACATCTCCTTGAAAGGCTTTGCCTTGTACATTTTCTGGCTTTCTTCACTACTGAAATGCCGAGAAAAGTCCGCTAGGCTGAAAGCACCCATGGAAAGAGGTTCGCGAGAAGATGAATAGAGACGTATTCCAAAGTCGGTGTATAGGTCCGACAGTAAGGCTCGAGTATCGTTTGTGGGCTCGGCGTTTTGAATCGCCGTCGACACGGCCATGGCGTAGCAATGAATTGCATATCTTTGTGTCGCCGCCAGTTCACTGCGATTGTTGTTGATCTTATCCGCGGCCCAAGTAATATCCTCTTCCAATTTCGCATCATATGCTTGTGCCAGTCGGTACCAGGTCTCCCATCTACCTGTTCCATGATCTAGATCTTGCCGGAAAAAGTTAATGGCATCGTCCAGCTCTGACGTAGACCCAGGACTCAAACGTTTATGGGCGCGGAATTTTGTGAGGGTGGCATGGCCGAGGAGGAAGTACCAGCCTTTGGCGGCGATTTTAGCATTTTCGCCAGGCACCGGAAGCATGGAAAGCTCCGTCACACCCTGAACCGCCCGACGAAGATGCGACGGGTTGAGTGGAGCTTTAATGTATATGCTGAAGAGACGTCTGTTGAATGTCATTTGCGGTGACTGCGCGGGGAGTCTTGCAGGACCAATTGCCTGCTGCATCTTTTCAATCGTAGTCTTAAGTTCAGACTTTGACAGGTCCTTCATATTCATTTTCTGTGCTTGTCTCATCACGAAGTCAATCATCATGGTTGCAGTATGACGATCTAATTTCTCAGGAGAGCACCCATGATCAGCAGTCCCGTCAAAAGGCGAGAACTTGATGCCGTGGAGATCATAAAGCACCTGGCAGATGTCGAATTCGTAATCGCCCTTAGTTTCAAGATCAAACAACTCAGACTTGATCAGCTTTAGAAATCGTTTCTGCGAGTATCTACACATCGACCGAACTCCTAGGGCATTATGCACAGAGCGGAGGATATGGATGCGATCTTCCAAAGGTTCGGTGAAAGCATCTCTATTCTGGGAAATTGCTTCCAAGAAAAGAGTGTACTGCAATATCCAGCAGCGCACGTAAGTCTCCCTCATCCTTTCCTTGAAGCTCTCTAGGGTTTTTGCCAGACCTCCGCGAAGATCACGCCCGGAAATTTGACCCACGCGAACCGAGTCTTCGTACAGAACGAAGCTGTGAAGAAGTCGAGCCAATCGAGCCACGGCGGACATAGAAGATTGCAAGTGGTCCATATCTATACATTCAAAAGCCTTGTCAGACTGCTGCAATATCAGCGGGGTGGCCTTGCTCATAATTCCGTCGAGTGATTTGAGCCAGCGCAGCAAAGTCGCTTGGCGGTGTCCGCTTGATTCCTGCAAGTGCTTGACATCCTCAATCTCGGCCATGACAGTTTCAATACTACGCAGATAGCACGAGATTACCTTTGGGGGGTAGTCAATAGCCTGGTATGTCTCCTGAAGTCTCCGCCAGAGGAAAAGTCGTAATGTAGCATCTCCTCGGTCAAGGAAAGATGCCATTTCACTCAAATGTGATGGAGCCTTGGCCACTTCATTTCCAGAATCTTCCAAGTACTCGACTGATGAGGGCTCAAGGATTGGTTCGATGGCCTCGATAAGGGACACGGGATCCTCACCCTCTGCATTAAATACCTTGGCGAAGAAATCCATGCACTTGAGTTTGAGAGTTTCCTGATCTATGGTGGCAATCGAGAGTTCCACCATGATCGAATTGTTCACAAGACTGACAATAGGGTCACCCATTGAGTGGAGAATCTGCTTGAGATCTTGTAGACATAACAAGACATGCTCGCGATCGGCCTCGCCTGCGAGGTTAAGGTGGAAAGTCGACGTCCACAGGTGACGAAATGCAATATTCTGGCGACACTCTTCCGATGGGCAGTAGTCAACAGAGTACTCTAAGGATGTTCGGGCTAGCATGGCCCACCTAGCTAATCGATCACGCTGTGACAACTTCTGTTGTTGGCTAGGCTTCGTGCTGAGACTTTCAATAGAGGCAAATATGTCCAAATGAAGCTCATAGATAGACTGGATCATCTCCAGTTCAGAAAAGTGCTTGGGCTCATAGTCGAATGGGGATTCAGTATGAGATTCAAGGATGCGTTTTTCGGTATTGGCGACAGCTTCAGAGAGCCTGGTGAAGATATATTCGTCTTCACGGAGCAAGATGTCCACAACTGTGGCTTTCAGCTCCTCTGGCCACAAGAACGAAGTGTATGCAGACTTCATAGGTGCAAAATCTGAGTTAACAACACCGAAGTGTGGCATGAGTAGGCACTTCAGCCATTCAAACGAGGTGTCATGTGGATGCAGACAACGACTATTGATGGTGTTCGAAAAGTTATATAGCTCCTCTCCGGAGGGCAGCTCTTCTTGGACTAGTGACTTTCGAGATGATTTTCTGGAATGCTCGAGAAAAACAGCCAGTCCAGACTTGCTAGAGCCAGAAATGTTCTTCAATGACGAAGAGTCGTCTTTCTGCTGCATCAAACGGGACTTCTCGTCATTCCACTGCTTGACTATGCCACGCAAATCTTGGAATAGCCTGGTCTCAGGGTCTTCCGGTGCGTCGTCAGTCTCATTGATACTGACTAGCTTTTCCTTCAGGTCTTCAATCGTGCCAAGAGCCGTAATGCCTGCTTTAGAGAACAGAGATCCAACAGTATTGAACATCCACTCATCAGCATTGACGAAGACTTCAAGGCGGTCTGCATAGAATTTGTCTTGGTCAAATGGAACCTCGTCTAATTGTACTAAACCATCTGCATTCGATTCACGAGCCCTCGTGCGTCGGCTCTTCATTCTTCCCCCTTCCGATGGTTCTTCGTTTGCTGCCGATGCTGATGATCTTTTTCGTGCACCGGTTGGTGATTTGGGTTCTGCGTCCTCTGTGTTCATATCGCCTTCGCCCTGATGCTCAGTCTGGTGAGTGGATTGACCTTCCAGAGACTCCATAAGCTGTTTTTCTGCACTTTGGTCAATTGAACACTGTTCATCCGGGAGCTCTGGCTGCTCTTGAGTGTCCTCCGTGGGTTGGTCAGGTTCGGCAGTGTGTTCATTCCCTTCAAGCATATCGATATCTTCGTTGGCTGCCGTAGTCTGCTCGTTCTGATCCTCAGCCTGGTTTTCGGGGTCCTCCATTTTCACGGATGCAGAGTCGGCCACCCCAGTTTCCCTGGGCGGCAGAGTGACCTGAAGGGACCAACTAGGAGCAGCACCTGCCGGGGCTTCCTCTTCATCCTCCAAAGCCTGGAGGATAGCTTTACCTACTGATTCCCAAGTTGCATTAGATGGTTTGAGCTCTCGTCGAGAGGTGTACAGGGCGAGAGGACCCTTGGATGAACTCAGTTTGTCCAGATCAACCGGAAGGTTTGGCAGATAGGGATAGGGATCTTCATGCTGTTTGAGGTACTTGATGAGAGCTTTCTTCGGCTTCTTTATGGGAACTTGGGAGGCCGACAAGCCATCAAAGAGGGATGTCAGAGTGGCACGCAGGCGTTCCTCCGAGAATATTTCCTCTAATCCAAGCTGCTCCGACCGTATCTCGAGGCGGTTATCATCGTCTGCAAGTACACTCTCCAAGCAAAACCGATTCAAGCGATAGCTCTCCAGGGCACTGCTGAGCCTAGCGCTTTGTCTCCACAGATTGAGATCCGTGTCGTCTCGCTCTAGGGCATCTGCAAAGGACCCCAAAGCTTCCCTGGATGCCTTCGTTGTCTTAATTGCCGTATTTCCCGCCGCTTCGGAGTCTTGTGGGGCGGTTCGAAGGGTGTCATGTAGCGAGTCGAGTACGTATTTCCCGTAGTTCTTGTAGGACAGGTAGAGGGTCTGAAAGAGACTCGAAGTGGAATCATTGACATTGAACTCTGCGATCGTATCAGGGCCTTCGTCAATGGCTGCTGCTGCTTGCGTATCCAAATCCGCTGCTCTCTTGAAATCCGAAATCGATTCGGGGTATTTAAAGATCTCCGATTTAAGCAAGGATTCGTAGGCTTCCGCGGCTTGGGCGTAGAACTCTGGCCCTTGTGAATGGAGTTTGAGGGCATTTTGGTATAGCTTCAGGGCCTCTTCGATTTGAAGCTCCTTAGTATCATCAACCTCATCTTCAACGCCATCGTCCGGCTCCACGTTCAATGCGACCCAGCTCGCCATAATTAGAGCTCCCACGCAGGGCTATTGAGGACGAAAAAGGGAGAGATTCAATAGCTGGGGAAGCATCGCCGAGCTTCGCTCTCAACCCTTTAAAAGGTCAAAAAAGGTAGAAGAGATTAGACTTGCTCCAAGGGAAACCACGACGCCAAACACGGGTTCCGCGCGTGGCTGCCATATCAGGCAAGGGTGCTCTCCGCCTTTGTTGCCTGATGGCCTGAAGCTCTTCCGGACTGTTTAGCTGAATGATCATCCCCTCACTCCTCCTTTGTGACTATTGATTTGTTTTTTTTACGGATAACACCATTTTCTTGAGTTTTCTTGAGTTAATTACCCCATACATCATTCCCTGATTCTGCTGCGCATTCAGTGCAGGCGCCATGGTTGCGCCCGCTGTCCCTGAGTATGTTCCTGATCCCCCGGTTTACGTGTTCCCCGGCATTGCATGCGCATGGCCATTGTTCCCGATCGGCAGGGGGTGAACACTGCGCAAGTGGCTGAATATGTGACTGACGCTATCAAATTACTGTAGGATTCACGAGGAGGAGGAAATCTACGTTGCTGTTGATGCGCGCTCCGAGTCTTTGCAGAGCTTGCGGGAATTGGGTCCCCCGGACCTGGTATACCTAGTGAAGCAGCCCAAGGCCAATTCAACCCGCCAGGTGGGTTCAAATATACTTCTGTCAATCATGGCTCAAATTTACTAACAATTGATTGTTCTGACCCCATAAAGACCGGCGTGTACCACCATGTAACCGGAATCGATGCATCTTCGTCCGCTAGCCTAGCGGCCTATGTCAACACCCTCACATTCTCCCCGCTCGATAAGACACACAAAGTGGTATCAGGAATCTACTGGTGAGGATCGGTGATTTGCGCAACTTGCGAATCCTATCGCTGACATGCCTACAGCTGCTACAATGCATTTTCCCACCTGGACATGCGAGTTGAAGTCAAGATTCCTGGAAGCTTGGAGGCCTACTGCATCGATGAACGTGGGGATAAGCGTGTGGCTACGGAGGCTCTCTGGCTAGAGACTTTTCTCTGCGCTGTGCTGAGAGCTTATCTGTACGCCGATGATGGATGCGGAGATCAAATCAAGAAGATTGTCGGAGTCCGTCGCTTCAATCCGATCACCAATACAGAGATGGAACACAAGTTCCTCGATGCTGCTGAGAAGCTGTTCTTCCTTGGTATGTATCATGCTAAACACTAAACGTTTCGTTTGCTCACCATGTTATAGGACGCCAACTCAGTTCCGATCCCGAAACCCAAGTTCCAAACACCGTGAGCAACCACCTCACTTCGGGCATTCTCAAATACATCCACACGACCGGCCGTTATACATCTGGTATCAATTTGTTTGAGAAGCTGCGCACAAGGGACGTAGAGGTCTCATCCCTCTTGGCCCGTGTACAGTTGATGGCCGACGAGGAAGTCCAAGCAGTCCGTCTTATGTACGATGCCTTGCAAGATGTCCCGATGGACTATGCCTTGCTTGACTGCCAGGCATCATTCTGTCAGACTAAGGGTGAGGGGGAAATGGCTCTGGAGTGTGCCAAACGGGCAGTGACTGCTGCCCCTAGCGAGTTCAGCACTTGGGCTCGACTGGCGGAGGTCTATGTTGGACTGGAACAATGGGATTTGGCACTGCTAACCCTGAATTCCTGTCCCATGTTCACCTACCAGGATAAGGATACTCCGCGCATGCCACAGCCATCTCGTATCATGCTCCCGATCCTTTCGGAGAGCATTCTTGATGAAATTGATGAAGGTCAGCCTAAGCAAGGAGATCCTCACGACTACGTCCACCCATCTCTCCGGAAATTGCACGCCGCTGGTTACCAAGGAACATTCCTGAAGGCTTACAACATTTTGACCAAAATCGCTGCGGCGATTGGATGGGATCAGCTATTGAGAGCCCGGAGCGAGGTGTTTGTTATGGAAGAGGAGTACCGCGTCGAGCGACAGCATGTGCCTAAACCCGCGCATTCGCTTGAAGCGGAGACTAATGGTGCAGCTGTGGAGGACGATGAAGAAGATTCAGCATCTGTCTCGGGCCCCGGCCCGACAGAGTCTTCCACCGAGACCACCACGAACGGCAATGCCGATGACATCCAGGCCGAGGAGACTATCGAGCGGCCTGAGCAGACGGTCGCTTCGGAGGTGGTCAAGTCTGGAAATGATGATGTAAGTTACGGCGCATATAATAATCTTCGTCTGGGTGCTAATTATCTTTTGTGCAGCCCGACCCATCGCACAGCGCATACACACAATTCCGCAACAAGCGTCTGTGTGAGCGATGGCTGGACAACCTTTTCATGGTCCTGTATGAGGACCTTCGCATTTACACCATCTGGCGAACAGAGATGGCTCAGTTCCGTCAGCAGGCGATAGAATACAAAAAATCTGCTGCAGAGTGGGAAATTCTGGGCGAACTAGCCGAGCGACTTCATCATTTTGATGAGGGCATTGAGGCGTACCAGAGCTGTCTGGCAACTCGCTTCTCGCCTAAGGCTATGCGTGGTGTTTTGAAACTATACGAGAAGAGAAATGACACTCGCGGAATTCTGGGCGCACTCATTCGTCTGATCGCATGGCAATACCGCTGGTACTCTGAGGTATGAACCCTGCCCCTCCAGGAAGATGGTTCGAAATACTAACTTTACTAGTTCTCTCCGGAACTCTTATTCTTAATGCGCAAGCTGATTGAGGATGAGGGTGCTGTCAAGGTTCGCAGTATCGTCCAGGCCACCAATCTTCCCCAGCCGGTCCTAGACCTCACACATCAGTATTGCCAACTGTGTGCTACATTCCGCAGCAGTGGCAGTGACACCTGAAGTGAATGCTGATATTAACTGTGTTTGATGAGCGGAATCGAGGCCTTTCTGCAGCCATATCTGCCTTGTGTTAAGATAAAAGAGCGCCTGGAGGAGAATGATGATCATTCATGAGACCTGTTATTTTCTTATTTCTCCCTGTTTTTCCTTCTGTCAATGAAGTCATCTCAATGTAGCTTAGATCGTGGTATATAACCTTGGAAGATATCAGTATTATTCTTTGAATATTTCAAGCATTTCCAATGAAGTACACTGGGGCTTAGACCTCAATCTACTGAATATAGTTTCGAAGATCTAGATGTTCAATATTCAAAATACGATCGATCGGATTAGATCAGAGAAATATAGTGGCCCGCAACCTAAATTATGCTTCTTTCATTTAACTAGGGCAAACGATGGAGATTCTCGCATCACCTGGTAAAGGAGGAAGCGCAGAAATATTCTTTAGAAAAAAGAGATCTTCTAGCCCATTATTGAGTCTCCACCAACGTAAATCCTTCTACTAAATCTCTATCCAATGCGGAAGACATTAGCCACCTACTGCTACATTAAGAAAACCAGCATAAAGTCAAGACTATACTATGATCCGGACTAGAAATCAAAATCAAGCCTAGAGATACAGCGAGCAGTCCAGCTAACAGCCATTTTATAAGAAACCGGGAGACAACAAGCCGTGATCCCTGATAGTTTATTCCTCGTCTTCAACATCATCAACTTCAGCCAAATCCGCTTCTTTAGGGACAACGTCACCCTTGGCCTTAGCCGCAGCCGCAGCAGGACCACTAGTCTTCGCCGTATCATCCGCCTCTTCTTCCACTTCTTCCTCGTCCTCCTCCTCTTCCTCCTCATCTTCCTTATCACCATTGGCGGCTTTCTCATCGGCTTTCTCATCGGCCGCAGGCTTAGTCTTTTGCTTCTTGGCGGCTGGAGGACCTGAGGCGCAAAGTGAATAATTAACAATTGAGCGTCAACGACAACGTCGATCAAGGTTCTTACGACATACCTTCGGCTTTGCCTTCTTCCTCTTCTTCATCTTCATCAGAGTAATCTTCAGAGTCTTCTTCCACTTCTCCGCCTTCTTCTTCGCCGACGTCGCTTCCTACCTCGGAGTCTTCGTACCTAATGCGCGCATGGATTAGCGATAATTCACAGGATAGGGGGCTTATTTGAGATCATAGTAATGCTTGGGGGCCATTGCGATCAATGCGCGATCAATCGCGGGAGATTTGGGTTTTGTATGAGAGTTGGCGCAAAGTGATTGGATTGGAAAGATGGGGAAAACGAGATACTTACTCCTCTTCCTCTTCACTGTCGTCGCTAGGAAGAGCCTGGAGCTCCTCCTCGGGGTCATTCTTTCTCTTGCGAGTAGACATGGTGGTATTATAAGAAGTATGGAAGATTCGGCTTCAAAATTGGGGCCGAGTGGGAAGTATATAGTTTGGGGTGGGAGAAGGTGGGAGAAAAAGGGAGGTAGGCAGGAGGAGGGAGTTTCAGCCTTGCTACGGGGGGACTTTATAAAAGTATGGGAAGAGAGTGGCAGTTACCGGAGCTTGGGAAGGGAGGAACCAAGGGAGAGGGGGTGCATAAGCTGAGGTGACGACATGGGATAGCTTACACTACGATTTTGTGGAGACGAGTGCGTGGTGATGTGGTGATTAGTGCGTGTGGGTAATGGAGGCTGGACTCCTCTTTTCTTGTTCTATTTACATTCCGCTTTCCCCCAAGTTGCTCAGACCCCCCTAGGGGTTGTAAATTGTGAGAGGTTCTCTTTGTCCTTGTTTTCTCCCCAAAAATAACCTGTCACACACATGAGTAGATGCGTAGAATTTACCCCAACCTACAGTGCCAAGAAGTCAAAGTTCGCCATGCTCGGATCTAGCAAGTTTTCGTCGAGCCCAAACCCATACGTTCCGACCATGTCGTAGATCAGATCTGGCGGCGGGAATCCCTGTGCCATAGCGTTCGCGCCCCCAGGCACGTCGCGTCCCACCAGACCGCCATTGTTAGCGCCATCTTGCCATCCAGCCTCCCAGGTGTCGAATCGCTCGAGCATCTTACCCAACCCACGTGCAATGTGTCGCGTCAAGTGTCGCTCGCCAGCGGAGACACAATTCATCAGTTCAATCACCCGCTCAACCACTTGACGCACCTGGCGAGCGTCGATGCTGAGGTAGGCCGAGTTCCAATTAATGGCAACCTTGAGCAGGAAAACCGCCGAGAAGGTGACCATCGTATGCGTGAAAATAGGAACGCCGACAATAGCGTCTCGGATATCTGGTTCTTCAAGGACCATATTTAGACAGGCCATAGCCGAGGAAATAGCGATGTTAGCTGATTCTTTACGATCCATAGAAAACACGGGGGTATTGGTCGGTGATAGTGCGCGAAGGGATAGCGAGTTAAGTTGGAACTTCGCGAAATGGTAGTGTAGGACCACACCCTTAGAAGGGTATGTGCGTACGTATGAGCTGTCAGCTGTTATGAGGTTAGTCAAGGTCCCTGTAGTAACTTGAGTAAAGTAGGACTTACCAGACCGAGGCTGCCACAGCAATCGCCATTGACCTACTGCCACATTGAATACTCGCAGCTGACCAAAGTCCTCCTCGGTAAGCGCTTGCTCCGTGTCGCTGCCAAATGTCCGATAAGCTTCGGTCAAGATCGAGAACAAAGCAACTTGCGCCAACAGTCGAATGTCCCCCGGAACTACCATTGGCGTTTCAAGAAAGGCTTCGTAGTTCCTGATCGCAATATCCTCGTGAATTACAGGCGGCCGCCCGTAAGCGATACTGAAGTGATGATCGCATACATAAAGCAGATACCACAGCTGCGCACGCTCGTACTGATCAGCATTCCCACGGGTCAGTCGCTGGTAACTTTGGTGTAGACCCATTTCTGTTGCAATCCGCACCGCATGCCCGGAGAGTTTCCAGCTCAGCTCGGACAACCAAAACGCACCAACACAGAGACCTCGAATATCGTCTAGAGTATGTGCTCTAGTGAGAGCCATGTTTGACACCAAAGAGACATATTCATTGTAACATCGATTCAAAGTGGCAGTACGGTTAGGAATGTGAAGCGCCGCGACGGTTAGAACCGCAACGGAAAGAAGAGTTGATGCGCGACGGACGGATGTCAGATCGCGATGCACTAGAATGATACCACCCCAAAGTAACTGGTTCATGGTGCGACTGAAGTATGCGAAGAGTTCCTCAGCCTCATGAATAGATATCAGGCCCCGTGTGATAAAGTCTTCCTCCAGTAATGTCTTCTTGGGTGCCTCAATGTGAACATTGCGCAGGTTGCGCAGCTTCGTGACTTCGTATAGACTGCGCATGGGCGCTGGGACCAATTCTGGATCTTGCAGGTCTTGTTCTGGAGAGGTTTCTCGAGTGACATCCATCACCACTCCTGGGCCATCATGATGAGTAGGATGCGATTGCATTGCGTCAATGGATGGTCGGTGTGTATGGTTCGAGGCAGCGGGACTGGGATCATTTTGAGCATCCCCGGCTGCATAAGATGAAAGATCAGGTAAGCCTGCTTGTCGCAATAGTTGCGACACAGCTGCCTGTAGCTGATGCATAGTTGAAGATGCTTGCAGTTTCCATCTAAAGAGAAAATTCCAGATTAGTGCCCCGTGCCTGCGGGTGTCATGGAGTGTTTCGGTGTACGCACATCCCGTCGTCGTCAACGAACTTTTGCGAAAAGTCGTTCACCACACATTTAATTCCACTGCGGATACATTTTGTACAGTTTGTTTCGCCCGAGCGAAATTCGCAGCGAATCTTGTGTCGTTTGCACTCCGCGCCTGGGGTGGATTAGCGATGTGAACATGGGTGTGGGGTAACGCCAAACTCACATGCGCGAGCTTTGGAAATCTTTGGTGCCTGCTTTTTTGAGTCTACAGATCGAACAGATTCCTTTGGAGAATCCAGACCAGCTTCCGTTGACGACCGCTTGAGTGGAGTAGACGCATCCATGTTGGAATGCCAACAGTGATGCAGTCGGTGATGCTCCGGGGTTTAGGGGCAAAAAGTTTGGCGGGGAAGCGGAGGACGAAGTGGATTCCCCTGACCGAGGTGGGTTTTCGACCAACTTCTTCATTTCCTCCATCCACCATTACATTGGCGTAGCCGTGCTTGCATTGTCTCAATTTCACATCAACAATTGGCCTAAATTGTCTATCCAAAATTCTAGTATGATTGACCGACTAGGACTAACTTCAATCCAGACACAGTAACCAAATATGACGTTATGCAATTCGCCCAACTCATCGGCCTCTGCTCCGAAACCAGCAGAAAGTGCCTGAACCAGAAAGATGACGAGATCCAAGCTTGTGAGAACCTTTAGGCGGGTGAAGCCCATTCGCCCCGCAGATCCACCCCCAATCAAGCCCACCCGGCCAAAGTCCGGTGCGGAGGACCACCAGTGGATCGCTCTCGGACTTGATGCGAATGCGGAGTGCAGGACATTGTTCATAAACTCTGCTAGTGAAAACATTTTCAAAGTTCCAATCGTTATCTACTGTCATTTCATTCCTACCATCATGCATATACTCATCACCGGTGGTGCCGGTTTCATCGGTCAATTACTCGCCAAAGAGCTCCTTAACGACCCCACATACCGCGTCACATTGACCGATATCCACCAACCTCCGATCCCCAACGGCGTCAAGTACCCACAAAACGCGACTGCAGTGAAGGCAGACCTCCTCACAGCAGCAAAGGATGTGGTGGACTCTTCGATTGATGCAGTCTACGCTTTCCACGGAATTATGTCCTCGGGTTCCGAGGCTAATTTCGATTTGGGCATGAGCGTCAACGTCGATGCCACCCGCAATCTACTGGAGGCATTGCGACATGCTTGTCCTGGTGTCAGAGTCATCTACTCCTCCAGCCAAGCTGTCTATGGTCAGCCGTTGCCAGAAGTGGTGACCGATAATGTCATTCCAACACCAGAATCCTCATATGGCGCGGAAAAAGTTGTCTGCGAAACACTGGTGAACGAGTATACTCGTCGCAAGTTCATCACAGGCTTCACTTTGCGCTTCCCCACTATCTCCGTTCGCCCTGGTGCGCCGACGGCAGCCGCTTCGTCTTTCCTCTCTGGTATGATTCGTGAGCCTTTGGATGGAAAGGAGTGTGTCATTCCTATTGAGGATCGATCGTTCAAGTCATGGCTTTGCTCGCCTAAGACACTCGTGCACAACCTTCTTCTCACACTCCGTCTACCCGCAGACTCTGTGCCCCCGCATATCCGCCAGATCAATGTTCCTGGTATCTGTGTGACTGTCCAAGGTATGATGGATGCGTTGGAAGCTGTTGGTGGCAAGGATAAACTGGCTCTGCTCACAGAGAAGGCAGACCCTGCTCTGATTCCAATTTTGAAGTCTTGGCCCACACAATTTGACAATTCTCAGGCCATTTCTTTGGGCTTCAAGCGGGATGTGTCATTTGAACAGGCTGTGAGAGAATACAAGGAGGCATTGTAAATATTATAATAACGCCCATGGATAAAATGCATATCGCAAGTCACCATCGAAAGGATGTAGTATGCCCAATTAGTAATTAGTCTAAACACCTGGGTATGCAGTTGATTGGCACCCAGGCTTCTTACCTGCCCAGGAATTGGTTTTCCGAGTTACGGTATACCAGCGCTCCCTGCTTTATTCTGGGTGGATCTACCCCGCCTCGCTTCGATCTCTACGCTTGTTCCGGTGGAACTCTGGCCTTTCGATCACACCAGGGTTATGTTATATTTTCTGCCCAAACTTCTTTATCAGTTTTCTTGTTCAGCCTATGACATTGCTCAGTATCAGGGACACTGAAAACGGAAAATTGGTGATCGCTTCACCCCGGAATGCATGTGGTGATCGTCTATTAAGTATATGATTATGGATTCTGGAGACCGGAATCTTGCTTAGCCGCCTGGGATGATCTTGCTTTCCCCTCTTCAACTACTTTCACTACCAAACACCACCCATCAATTTAACTACTTCTTTCTCAATCAAAAATGAGCGCAATAACCAAAACCAAACGCTGGGTGCTTCGTGAGAAGCCATATGGCGAACCCGTGCTAGGCGGAGATAAACCCACATTTACTTTAGAAACCGCCGACATCCCAGCGCTCAAGGAAGGTGAAGTACTGTTAAAGACACTGTATCTGAGCAACGACCCGGCACAACGATCATGGATCTCGCCGCTAGCTGAAGCTGAGCGTTTGTACTTACCCCCGGTGCAGGTAGGCGAGACAATGAAATCCATGGGCATTGCGCGTGTTGTGGAATCCCGCAGCCCCGATCTAGCGGTTGGCGCTCTGGTGACGGGCGGCCCTGGATGGACCGAGTACTCAGTTCATGATTCCAAGAATGTCTCTTTACTCGATCCCCAACCTGGTCTGTCAGACACGCATTTTCTGGGCGCACTTGGATTGCCGGGGTTCACGGCTTACTATGCCCTGACGCAAATTGTTAAGGCGAAGAGCAAGGATGCTATTGTTGTTAGTGGGGCTGCTGGCGCTGTGGGGAATATGGTTGTTCAGATTGCTAAGAAGATGATTGGTTGCCGGAAGGTATTTATCCCTGTTGACTTCTTTCGTTGGTCTCTTGTGTGTCCGATCTAACCTTTTACTAGGTGATCGGAATTGCTGGAACAGATGAAAAATGCAGATGGGTAGAGAAGCTTGGTGCGGATATTTGTTTGAACTACAAATCACCATCTTTCAAACAAAGCCTTACCCAGGCGACGGAAGGCTTCGTCGAGATCTATTTTGGTGGGTTCTCCCTAAACTTTTTAGGCTAATATACGGGAGTCTTGCTGACATATTTTCAGATAACGTTGGCGGTGAAATTCTTGACTTCATGTTGTCCAGACTGGCCAAGTTTGGGCGCGTTGCCGCTAGGTGAGATATATATACTTCTTTTGTTGATAGCATACATTGACCTCCAATTCAGTGGCACCATTTCCAACTACAACCGCGACTCAGATATCACAGGCTTGAAAAACTTCTATGTAAGCGCCCACCCTTTATTTTCACAACTGCCCAAGATTGTTTCGTCTAATGAAGGTTCTATATTTAGCAAGTCATTACAATGCGCCTACAAATCCTCGGCTTCATCAACATCGACTGGATTGACCATCTTCCAGAGGTCCGGGCTTTGCTTGTTGATGAATGGAAGAAAGGGAATCTCATTATTGGGGATGAAAGTGAAATGGTCATTGACACCGATTTTGAAGATATTCCTCGAACATGGATGATGCTATACTCCGGAGGCAACACGGGCAAGCTAGTTACGAAGCTGAAAGAGTAGATTCATGCAGCCCAAGAACATCACAAGCTACTTATTTTGACTATCCCGAGATCCCAACCGAGTAAAATGATCCGTAAATTCATCCCCCGCCCAATATTTTCATAAAAACTTTAGCTTGGAGAAAACGTTCTCAATCCCGATCGTATTGAATGAGACCAATGTGACTAGGCTCTGATACTTGCAAGCAGGAGCCCACAGTATCATATTCGTATGAGAATTATTTCAGGCCAGGATGCTCGAAGGCAACAGCCGTCAGGACATCTTTGTCGCCGACTGTGTCGGAGGAGTTGTATTCAAGATGACCGGATCGCTTGGCTTCGATAGCCATTGCCCCTTGGGCGCTCTCCCGGACGCCCTGCGTAAAGGAACTCCATCCCTCTCCTTGACCTTCGAAGATATGATCAATTTGCTCAAGAGACAAACCTTTAGTTTCTGGGTAGAAGAAATAAACGATCGGTATGAACGATGCATTGAAGACAGCCCCTAGTAGATGTTAGTAAGGAGACTCATAGACAGTCATATGGTAGGAGATCGAACAAATGATATAGTATTTCCAACCAATAGCAGCAAGACTAGAAGGGGTTATAGTCACAACAATGCCGTTAACTGTTGATGTCAGATATGCACAGTTAACCTGGAATTTGATACTCACATAGCCAATTTGATGCAGACGCGATAGCAGCGCCCTTTGAGCGCATTTTCAAAGAATTGATTTCCTGAGAGCAGTTAGCATTGATTTAGATAATCAATTTGAGCCTTCGGTAGATACTCACAGGCGCATACATCCAAGGGACATTTAGATAGCTGCAAAGGTGCTATTATCAGCCAAACTTTTCACAGACAATATAGAATCCACGGGTCTTACCTCATCCCAAAGGCATCATAGAAAAGACAGTACATGACGACGGTCATGATAGCACCGCCTTGACCAGGAATATTGAAGCCGACGGCAATCAAAACTGATAGAATCATCATAGCCACTGCGCCCCATATCAGGATGGTGCGTCTACCAATTTTTTCGATGAACAAAGTTGGCATAAATGAGAAGATCAGATACTGGGTAGAAGCCACAGCAGCGATGACATGTGCCATTGTCTCGTTGACTCGAAGATACTCAACGAGCACTATAGGCAGATAGTAGGCGATGGAGCTGCATAAGAAATGTGATTAGCACTCCATCCCCCAAAATCTCTCCACGACGACTCACTTGATACCAGTCAATTGCTGCATGTACAGCACTCCAAATCCTAGAAGCATTCGACGGAAGTTCTGCTGACCCCCGTTCTTGAAAATATCCATCCACGAGGTCTCCTCTTCTTCTTCTATGGCTTTGCAAATCTCATCCCGAACTCGAAGAACCTCTTCATCTTGTTCGTCGCGATCTTGCAGGCGAGCGATAATCCTCGTGGCTTCTTCAATCGACTTGTGATTCGCTACCCATCGCGGTGATTCCACCAGGAACGGGACACTGATAAGAAGATATGTTGCGAATACTAGCTGTACGCAGATAGGGAATTTCCACTGTAGATCTGATTTGGCATAGGAGGCCCCTAGAGTGATCCAGTTGGAGAGGAAGAAGCCGGTGTTGATATTTGCGCTTTGTATAGTAAGGTAAACACCTCGGTTTCCTGCGTCGGATACCTCAGATTGCCACTGGAATCTCAGTATTAATAGGCCAACTATCAGAAGGAGAGCTCCGAGTAGTCTCTTACCGTGGGGACAATAGAAGTCATGATTCCCACACCCACTCCTGTCACAACACGTCCCGCCATTAGATGCGGAATGACCCTGGCTGTTGCCTGAATAATGGTTCCAACAATAACAAATACACAGCCAATATACTAGACTAGTCAGTAGCAGATCATCACCAGAATGCTTTTTTGTCTTACGATAGACTTTCTTCTTCCCAGTCTCTCGCCAATAATGACTATGAGAAGGGACCCGATGAGACAACCGATATCGTAGAGACCAGTAATAAGACCTTGTTCCAATGCCTGGAAAATGAGCTTTGCACTTATCCATAACAAGAATTGCTGTCATACCGAAGGGTTGTTGAACTGTTTGACGAATGAACTGGAATCAATAATTCCACCCATGACACCTTGGTCGTCTACTGACAGTCAGATAGCCCATGCCAGGAGTAATGCATGAACATACACCCAAAGAGCAAAAAGCCCATACTCGTGGCAGCACTGATCCATATGTTCAGCATTTTGCCCCTGGGTTGAAACATGGTGTAGGCCTATCGTTGAGCTGACTAGATTGAATAGAAAATAATTTTATGAACCGAGTGAGAAGGATTCTCGGGCCGACAGCCTGTATTTATATTTTTTGGTGTAGATAATTTATGTACAAGCATTGCGCAAGGGTCCTGACGCTAATCTAGATACAAGTATGGGCTCCCGAAAACTTGTATACCATCCCCGGATTATTCCTGCGTGAGGGCAATAGGCTACAAGAACCGATCGATCATACTACGTCGATGACTACAATCTCTCTAACTTTAAATATATTCCAGCCCTACTAGGAACTTACAGAGTGAATTGATACCCTTCTGAACATGCAATTTGGTCTTCGATGTTGAAATCCACCCGCACGGTCAGTCTTCAAAGAATTTTCCGATCCATCTGGCCCGCGAGAGGAATGTTCACGATAAGAAACTCCGGTTAAAAAGCCCAACAACACATGTTTTGCCACGGTCTAGTCTTTTCCTTTGGTGAATCTGGTTTTCAGTCGTGCCTCCCCTCGGCTTGCCCATAAATAGCCCGGGAAACCTAGATGGGCGGTTAGCGGCACGAGTAGATATCAGGATAAGACAAAGAAGGGATATTCGCCACGAGTTATGAATTCAGGGATGGAATCAAGATCTGAGGTCATACTTTTTACTAGTATAGCGATTAGCGAGAACAGCTTCCCGCTTCCTAGACCCGAATGTTATTTCCTCTACATTCATCAACTTAAATTAGGCGTCGTCTGAAAGTATTGTATGACATCCACTCACGAACTACGGCTATTGTTTTCGAGCGTATGATATAATTGATGATTGGATCAGATTGTATAAGGCACACTTGACTGTCACAGACAAATATAGGTGGTGTTACTATAGTGTGTCCGAACTTTGTCACAACTCCCTCCCGCTATTCTGACCGTTTACCAAACAATAGAAATATAGCTTCAATAACAGCTTTTCCTGGTAAACTTACGATAGTAACAATCTGCTGTGATTGCCCTTGCCCGCCGACTATCGACCGGTCCCATACAATAAATTTTACGTTTCTCAAACAACAGAAGCTGAATTTCGGGGCCAGTCTCAGCGTTGGGATCAACACACTGAATATCACTTCTATATTATGAAGCGAACTCCCGGCCAACACTGGGGTAAACCAAAGGATCTACGAGGAGCATTGATATATATATATATCCTAGCAAGTCCTGCGAGTGAACATGTCACTGTTACTAGTATCGTGGTGTATGGGAGCATGCTTGCGATGCACCTTATTGAATACCGGGTTGATATTTTTTTCTTCAGTGCTTGTGTTTGATTTCACCCAACAATATAGTTGGTATGTTTGCTATTTTAAGAATGGAAGAGCCCCGCTTTACCCATCTGATGGTTCCAAAGCCTCGTAATTCCCCCGATATCACTGATTCTATATACAATGAACCAAGGACGAGACCAACCATGAGCCGAGCGAGCAACCTCGTTCAAAGGTGAACTAAACACCTGACTCCACACCGCCCTCCACCTCTCTCACCTCGCTGTCGACCGTATCACGTGACTCCCGCCCCCTTGTGCTCCGGCGAGCTACTACCATAAGGCAACGAACTAATGGCGACAACTATCTCTGTCGTCGTTTTTCGGGGAGATCCAGTTGACTGGGATATGTACCGCCACACGGCGCTTCATGTTCAGTATGCAGATGGCGAAGACATGATCCTGCACGTCACTGGAGCGCACCCATTTTTCGAATACACGCCGATGAACAACCATCCAAAAGACTTGAAAATGGCTATAGTAGCCTCTATTCTCGTCTCAACTCTACCAGACTGGATCACTAAATCTATGATTCAGAATGCTTGCGCAGCAACCCCGGTCCGAAACGATCCTCGCCACACGGACTGGAACTGCTAGAACTGGGTTGGCGAGGCTCTGACACGTTTAGTTGCGATTGGATGTGTCACGGAAACAGAAAGGAAGGATGCGGTCTCTCAGATGGTAGATGCGTGTTTGGAAGCTGGAGATGAAACCACGGATTTGTGAGTATTGCCAACATACATTGCGGGTCCTCTTTCTAATTCACGTACTCTCGAGTAGGTCGAGTAGGTGGTGATCATGGCCCTTGTTCCCCTTTCAGAAACTTAACATGGATTTACAACAATGAAGCCACGGATGATTCACTAAATACAAAGTGTGACATGAGATGAACATCTAAGCATTTGCACAGAAAGACTGCATCCAAGGTTGGAGGAGACTAATAAAATCCACAATGACCGCCCACTAATACTACTTTGAGATCATTTCCAAACCTGCAATATTTTAGCACGCATCCGTAATAACTGTATCAACAGCGTTCCCACACCTGTCCATCGATAGCAATCAGCCTATTAAAGAGCTGATTTCTCATTACCATCGCCGTCAGCTGGTATGATTGACGCGGCTCTTTGCCGACAATGAGCAGTCCATCAACGACTTCCTTGCCCCCCATAGCCCAGCCAACAACCAATTTGCCTTTCCAGCCCATTCCACCCTGCTTCTTCATCTCTCGAATATCGGTCACTGGAAGAGTGAACAGCACGGAGCCAGCCTTCCGGCTTTCCACTCGGGCATCGCTATGCTGGATGTCGGTTGTAAAGTACAGCACCGGAGGCTCTTTGCTGGAGTCAATAATGACAGCCCCACGCTTACCTTTGTATCTCGCCTCAAAGCCTATAGGTCCGGTGGGTAAACTTTCTTTACCCTTTGGGCGTAGCACTCCAAGTCGGTTTGCAGCATGCCTAGAGCCAACAATTGCGCGCACCCTATCGACACCTCTCTTGCTCTCCACCCCTGTGGCAGTAGTCCCACGAAAGAAGCCGATTATTCTGGATGACCAGCCATGTGAGGGTGTTGGGGAGGATGAAGCCTTGGGCTTCACCGGTACGAGCTTGGGCTCGGGCAAGGCAGCTTCGGTAATTTCTGCGTCCGTAGCACCAAGGGTAAGCTCCTCGTGGTGGATTGAGGCTGGTCGAGATGATGGTTTGCTCTTAGACGTTGGAGGTGGTGGCAATGGTGATGCGTTGGCCTCGCCGATTCGCAAGAGGGTAAGGGTTAATTGGGCATTGGTAGGGATTCCTTTGAGCAGTGAACTGTGGATATGATTAGCAAAAGACTAAAATGCGACACACCCTGGGCAGTCTTGATGCAGTACTTTTGTGGCAGTAAATATTTTTGCCATTGAGGGACATGTAAGTCCAAGAAATTTATGCCGCGCCAGATAATGGGATCTCCGAAAAAGACAACCCCAACAATAAAGCCACTGGCTTTCATGAATACGTAGCTCGATACAAATGCCGATGTGAGACACAATACTGCTATCACCGATCCCAGTCGTAGCCGAGGCATAGTTCTTGGAAATGGGGCTGTACCCGCTAAAGCACTGAGAAAGGCCGTCAACAATATTTCAACAATCATTGAGGCGTACAGAAACATACTTTCCAAATTTCTCATACGTATCCGTTATGTCGCTGATGACCTGCATAGACAGATTCGCAGCATCCAGGACAGACTGCTTCATGGGCTGTCGGGTTTTGTCATGCGAATCTGCAGGTATCCCTCCCTTTGCGGCGCTCCGTGCATCCGCGGAACTGGCAACGATATCCGTTGCATCCGGTACAGATTCTTCCAGGGGTGCACCTTCTGGGACAGCTTGATCATTTTTCCCAACAGCACTACCCACAGCAACAGTAGCGACATCTGACACTAAGTTGCTGGCTTCTTGCTCAGCAGCCTCGCCTTTGAAGTTTTCTGGTGCACCGGTCATGCTATCATGAGAGCCTAACACACCGGCCATGGGCTTCTGAACGCCACCGGTGCTCTTATCCACAAGAGCAAGAGGTGCCGGTGGAAACAAAATCGGCCGACAGGGTGGATAGACAATCAAGGCAAACAATGTCGTTAGTAGGGCTGGAACGAGCTGATCCAAAAGCCAAGCCACAGTATATACTGTACAGAAAATAGCTGTTCGTCGAGGCTCTTTCCAAGATCTTAGACGAGCAATTTGTTTGACTAAACCTGTCAAACCAATGAAAACCGTGGTGTAAAATCTTTCCAGTGTAGTTCTTAGTTTCTCCGGCGAGAATTCATCGTCGCCAGATCGAATCAAGTCAAGATTCTGTAGAGGAGCATTCGGCACCGCTTTCACGTTGTAAATTTGCTATAAAATGTCAGCTGTATCAACATGAGCATTTTCTGCCATCGATCACCTTATCAAATCGTCTGATAAGCATCCACAAATCCTCGTTCGATAGTCCACCAATAATTGGCGCCTCAAAGTGCTCAGAAGGCTGACTCCATCCGAGATTTGTAATTTCTGCGGTACTGCCCGCTAGCTGCGATAATCCCTTTTCGTCTTGTTCCACTTGCGATAAAACATGACTATCAGTCGGCCCTTCTATGGGTGGCTCTCCATTAGCGTTGCTGCTTTGCGGTTCATGGCTGAGGTCTGTGCCCGGTGGAGGAACTATTGCTGACATGGTGGATATCAGGGTGGTAGGTGGAAACAGAATCAGAAACGCAATGGTCAAGGCAAAGTAGAAAAAGAAGGAAATATCAGTATTTCAGGTCCCAGAAGAGATTTCAGATCCATGGGTTGTGTGGCTTAATCCCTTGTTCTTGGTTGTATTTGTTGCACTCCCCTCATCGACGTCATTATGAAGCATAAAAGTGGACATCAAGAGAGCAACATGTCAATACTGCTCGAATTGACACGAAATCGAAGGTATTTTCCTACCTTCCATATGCACTATCTGCCACCCTTTATTTTTCCATCTGCGCATCGACCAAGCTAGATCTGTATGCGCCAACACTACATCATTGTCATGGTCACATGACTTGCGCGTTCCCAAACTGGATTTTCCCGTCGCGTCTCTCGCTCAGCGCATTAACTCGAGCTCTCAGCCCGATGGCGGAGTGGCTACCATGAGTGAGGAGTGTGCAAATCCCCTATTATTGGGATGGATCAAAGAATGGTTGGACCAAGCCCGCGAGCGGAACAGCAAGGGCGTGACAGTGTGGGTATCACGCGTCTTTTTCGCGATTGCCGTGTTGCTGATGTCATTTTAGCTACAAAAAGGCATACGAGTCGATGAAAGCATGTCCACTGGAATTTCAGCACCCATCTGAGGCCCAGCAGCTCAACGGACTGGGTCCTAAGCTTTGCGATCGTCTAACGGACAAACTCAAAGCTCATTGTGAGGAAAATGGGCTTCCCATGCCCGAGCCTCCTGGCAAAGGTGAATGATTATCTTCAGAATTGAAAATGCCGAAAGGCTGATGGGGATCCTACTTAGCCAGCAAGCGAACATCTGACACGGGTGTTGCCGAACAACCCGCGAAAAAGCCCCGGAAAGCTAAGCCTTACGTTCCAGCTCTGCGGTCTGGTCCTTATGCCCTTTTGCTCGCATTGGCGACTATAGGGGAAAATGCATCCCAGGGAATGACCAAAGCCCAATTGATCGATACAGCTCAGCCGTATTGTGATAGCTCCTTCACGGCACCTACAGATCCGACCAAATTCTACACTGCTTGGAATTCCATGAAAACCCTCATACAGAAAGATTTGGTTTATGAACATGGTCGACCCCTCAGGAAATATGCGCTTTCTGAGGATGGCTGGGATGTTGCCAAGCGTATTCAAAAGACCCTACCTGGCTCGGCGAATTTGACAACCTCTGAGTCTCAACCCCAGACTGGTCTTGCATCAGCCGACCAGGATGACACGGAGGATTCACCACAATCCACACAACTGAACGCCCTGTTTCAGCGATCAGATGTTGATGGGCCTGTCGAGCCCATTCCGCTTCCCCAGGGCACTTTCACAGTTGAACTTGTGCTGGATACTCGCGAAGTCCGTACTAAAACAGACCGAGATTACATCGCGAACGAACTCATCAAACAAGGCATTACCCCCCAGGTGCGTGCCCTAGAGCTAGGCGATGCAATGTGGGTGGCCAAGTGCCATGATTCCGCTTTTCTCTCCCGCCATGGTGAGGAAGGCGAGGAAGTGATGTTGGACTGGATAGTTGAAAGAAAACGCTTGGATGATCTTATTGGGTCTATCAAAGACGGACGATTTCGAGAACAGAAATTTCGTCTCCGTCGCTCAGGCATCAAGAATGTCATCTACCTAATTGAGGAATTCTCTATCACCCACCCGGAGGCCGGGGGTGGTGCACAGAAATATCAGGAGATGGTTGCCTCGGCCATTGCCTCGACGCAGGTGGTCAACGGGTACTTTGTTAAAAAGACACGCAATTTGGATGACTCAATCCGCTATTTGGCGCGAATGACCCTGCTCCTCCGGAAGATGTATGGGGCCATGGAGTCGCCTGATCAAGAGTCCGACACCAATAATTTTGGAGCTTCTTCTTCGCCTTCAAAGATTTCGGTCATTCCTAGTCGTCAGATATCCTCCACGCAATCCTACGTGGCGCAGTTGGACAAATTTCGCGCTCAGGATTCTTCCCTCACATATGGGGTGACATTTTCTACCTTTTCAGCTTTAACTTCCAAGTCGGATGTTCTGTCTCTCCGAGATATCTTCTTGAAGATGCTTATGTGTACGCGTGGCGTGACTGGCGAAAAGGCCCTTGAGATCCAGCGGCATTGGCAAACCCCACGGGGTTTGGTTGAGGCCTACATGGCCCTAGACCCTAAAGATCGCGATGCAATGGTTTCAGATAGATTACAATCGTTAGTGGGGAGGAAAAAAATTGCCAAGGCCGTGAGTAAACGTATTGCCGAAATTTGGGGGCAGAGTGGATAGATGGTTCAATATTGAGATCGAATGACAAATGACACCTCGGTAGCGCTGACGCAGTACGTGGGGTTCATGCTAGTAACGACGTAGGTGCCGTGAATGACCTCATCTTACCCACCGGGATCTCCCGCTATACCGGAAGTAGCTAAAGCCGCCAAGGTTCTCGATTTCAGAGATGATGATTGGATGAAAATCTCTTTTATAAAAACAGGGTTTCTGGACCCAGTCCAGCCTACGCTGTAACATGAGTAATATAATAACTACAGACGCTGATCCCCACTTCTTCTTCAGATGATCTGATCAAGTTGTACCTGCTTTTCCGCGGTGAAATCAATCATGGCCGCAGTCACTGGCTCTGGCACACATTCACGTTACCGCCTAGCCCAAGAGCGGGAATTCTACAAGTACTGCCCCCGCATGTTGAGACCTTGCGCCGAGCTAACCACTCACCCAACAGATATATTCCCAGCGAAGATTCTGCCTCTCACTACGCTCCTTGGGATCATGACAGCAACAAGAAATTCGTCCCGCAGCCATCGAAGGATCCTGCGTTAACCTCCTACGCCCAACTATCTGCTATTCGACTGGGTACGGAGCGCGCCCTGATTTCCTTGTTCGATCGCACCCACCAGCATGTATTGGCAGAGGCAACTCCGACTGTGAGCATTGTCGGCGGTCACACAACAAACGATTCCGAGCGGTTAAAACTAGGATGCTGCGTGTTTCCAAAGGAACGGGGCCTTTGTTACTATGTCGAGACATCAAGATCGCAAGATAAAGAGAATGGACGGAAGGATTCCGCCCTGGTCTCTTTGGACGTCGCAAAAGATGAACGCTTCACTACAAACAAACTTCAACTACTAGGCCCATTGTCTGATGTGCGCTTTTTTGCGGCAGTGCCTATTTTGAGCCCACGAAACTTCAGGATTGGGGTTGTGTGTGTGATGGACAGCAAAGTAAGGTCTTCGGCTCCCGATAGCCATGCTCTCCAGTTTCTGAATGATATGGCTGCGACCGTGATGGACCACTTGGAAATGAAGGATATTAAACGCCGAAATCGCCGGGCTGAAAAAATGATCGTCGGTCTCGGTAGTTTTGTGGAAGGCCGGTCCACCCTTCGAGATTCGTGGCGGGAGGCCAATGCACAGCGCGATGACTCGAAACAATCAGGCCAGTCCAACGAGGAAAAATCGGGCAAGGAACAGGAAGATATGCAAAAATTGGCGAAAGAAACAGAAAAAACGAGCCACAAAAAACTCGTCGTTCTGGAGCCGCCGAACAAAACCGACGATACCGAGAAGCCAGATGTTGAGGACACACATGATACCCAGAGTGATTCCGCCCAGTCACACCAATCCTCAAACTCCGGCAACGTGACACCAAAGCAGAACGAGGGAGAAAATCAACAGCAGCAACCTGGAGTCCAGTTCACACAAAATGGCACTTCGGTGCGCAGCGTGCGTGCAGGTGAGAGTCTAAAAGACAAAACTCTGCCGAACAGCATTCGAAAAATTCTCTCGCGCGCTGCCAATCTTCTGAGGGAATCGATCGGGGCGGAGGGTGTGATGTTTTTGGATGCAAACAGTGAGCGTTTTGGAAGTCTTGTCAACCATAATAATCGCCGAGTCTCAGGACCTCCTCGCTTGAAGAATTCCACGTCCAGCTCGGATGAAAGCACAGATTCTGCGTTTTCAGATAGCCGAAGGTCATCTGATGCGGGCCAAGGTTCAGAATCAGACGAGCACTCGGGCGTTTCTGAATGCTTGGGATTTTCGAGCTCAGGCACATCCAACGATGAGGACCGAGTGGGCCATGAGATCATAGTCCCTGAGCCTCTGTTCACATCACTCATCCGGCGGTATCCTCGCGGGAAGATCTTCACATATAACGCCAGCGGTACCCTTTCAGACAGTGACGATCCAACTCAGAGTGTATCTGGGTCAGACCGTAGTGGCGTTTCCGGCAACTCTACAAATGTTCCATCTGGTAAAAGGAGGCGCAAGCCAGCTTTTCAGCGAGATGCCGACGATCTGATCACCATATTCCGCGGGGCCAGAAACATCCTTCTTTTGCCCATTTGGGACTCGGACAGAAAGAGATGGTTTGCAGGAGCTCTGGCTTGGACGAACGAACCGGACAGGATTTTCACTTTTGAGAATGAGCTCGTTTATATCTCTGCATTTACCAATAGCATCATGGCGGAAGTTCGCCGAGTCGACGTTGAAATCGCTGAGAAAGCCAAAACAAATCTCGTTAGTAGCATCACGCACGAGCTTCGAAATCCGTTACATGGAATCCTCGGAACGGCAGATATTCTAAGTGATACTGCCATGAATGCACTTCAGCATGGAATGGTTCACACAATCGAGTCGTGTGGCCGCACGCTACTGGATACAATCAACAACTTGTTGGATCTTACATTCATCGACCAATACAAACAGGGAGGCAATTCTCGCAAGGGAAGGAAGTCACGTACTATACCCTCCCGGGAGATGTCTTCGTATAGTCGAGTGTCGCTGGACTCCGTTTTGGAAGAAGTTACGGAGTGTGTGTTCGCTGGATACTGCTTCTATAACCATCCCCAGGCGCCCCCTCCAGCTCTAACAGAGTCGTCCTCCCGTTCGGCGGGACAAGCCAGCAAGGCTGACGCAGTTGGTCCTCGAGCGAGCCAAGTCACTGTCATTTTCGACATTGAACCGGATACAGAATGGGACTTCTACACGCATGCCGGCGCATGGAGACGTATTCTCATGAATATTTTTGGAAACGCGTTGAAATACACGACCTCGGGATACATTTATCTCGAGCTTAAATCAGGTCACAGTGGCACTGAATCCTCGCAGAAGTCATCAAGCAAGCACAGAAAAGACGAGTTTCAGGTGACCCTGACTGTGAAGGATACAGGAAAGGGCATTGGAGCAGAGTATCTGCAAAATGGCGTTTTCAGCCCTTTTTCACAGGAAGACCCACTCGCATCTGGCAGCGGACTTGGGTTGAGTATCGTTCATCAGGCCGTTGGATTCCTCGGTGGTTCGATCGAAATTGAATCTACCAAGGGTGCTGGCACTACATTATCGATACATACACCACTTATGAGGCCTCCAACTGGATCGGAGGCTTCTTCGTCCGCCTCACTGTTTCATTCATTGAGAAGGTACACAGAAGACAAGACAATCGGCTTCCTTGGATTTGGTCAAAATCTCCGTTCTCAGAGAGATACATACTTGTATTCATCATTGGAACGAATGTGCCATGAATGGTTTGGTCTAGAAGTGACCAAAGTCTCGCCATTGGAAGGCAAGCATAGCCCATTCAACTTCTATTTGGCGGTACAGACAGAACTGGACTGCGAGGACGTAGGTGGAAGAAATCTGTTCCACCTCTCTCAGCATCTTCACAAGGAGGGTGACTGGACGTCACCAGTTGTTGTCATTTGCCAGTCTCCCGAGGAAGCTCATAGTATGTTTGTGGCGTCCAGGAACCGAGGCGACACGACTTTCTTCGAGTTTGTGAGCCAGCCCTGTGGCCCTCGAAAGCTAGCTCGCGCACTGGATATGTGCATCAAACGACAGCGTGACAAAGAGACCGGTCGACGGGGCAGTAATGAGCCTACTCGCTGGGTGGAAATGCCTGAGTCTTCTCACCTGCCTGTGGATCTTGGGCCCAGCGATCCCCCAGATGACAGAATGAAAATCAGTAAGCGGCCAACAGCGGACACCATAGGCAGGGACAGGGGAAAGGAGGGTCAAAATTCTCGCCGCTCATCAGTGGAAGAATCACAGCAACCTGTACAGACAGGGGTTCCCGCTCAGCCAACACCACCGTCAAACTCTGGTGAAGGCAAAACTCAGCCTCACAAGCCAGCTGTCTTGCTTGTTGATGATAATGATCTCAACCTTCAACTACTTTGTGCATACGCCCAGAAGGACGGTTATGAATACATGACAGCCCAGAATGGCCGCGAAGCAGTGGAAACTTACAGGGATCATCCTGGCAAGTTCCAGGCAATAATCATCGGTATGTTCTAAATCCATTTTAGCTTTGCCTTTATACTAACGTGATTCCAGATATTTCAATGCCAATCATGGATGGCTTCGAAGCATCACGACAAATCCGACGTTTGGAGAAAGAGCACCGCAATCGACTCTCAGAAACAGAACAAAACGCAACGCCACGGATAATCATTGCTGCTCTGACTGGGCTTGACAGTGCAGCGGCCCAGAAAGAGGCATTGGGTTCCGGTATCGATTCATTCCTCATCAAGCCCATCAAGCGATCTGAAGTACAGGCTATATTGCGACGTCAATGATTGCGACATGCGACAAATGTTTTTCACGATCACATAAACGAAAATGTACACTTAGATATACGAGGTCCAGTACCTACCCAAGCAACCTTTTCTCAGTGCGCTTCTTCCTATTTTGGCTTTCTTTATATTTGGTTACCCATAGATGTTGAGTTATTACCCTTCTGGTTTTCAAGTTTTAGTTATTGATACCTATACATTGTGTTATTAAAGCGACCTCGAATTGAAATTCAAACCTTAAAACATATAGGAAATCGATGATGATTAAGTACTATAAAAACGTCTGAAATTGGGTATCGTGATATGCCTCACTTCTTCAAGCCAAGCACCTTCTTAACACTGTCCATACCAACCCTCAAAGCCAAACTACTAGAGACAACCGAGATACTGCTCAACGCCATCGCCAACGCAGCCCACACCGGACTGAGTCTCCAATGATCATTAACAGTAACCAGCTCACCACCAACAGTCTTCTGATGATGCCCACTGACAATAGGATAGAAAACACCAGCAGCCACAGGGATAAGACAAACATTATAAACAAGCGCCCAACAAAAGTTCAATCGCACACGCATAAACACCCGCCGACTAAGAAGGACAAGCTGAAGTATCGTACTCAGATCCGAATTGAGCAGAATGAAACTAGCGGAGTTGATCGCAACATCTGACCCAGACGCCATAGCGATACTCACATCTGCAGCGGCGAGTGCAGGGGAATCATTCACACCGTCGCCGACGAACGCAACAATGGGTCGTGTGCTGGACTGGTCATGCGGGCCCTTTACCGAGCCATCTTGAACGCGAGAGACGAAAGTAGCTTTCTCTGCTGGGAGGACGTTGGCCATGACGTTTGACCGCGAGATACCTAGCATGTCTGCGACCGCGTGCGCGGTTGTCTGGTTATCGCCTGTGCACATGAAGACTTCGACGTGGCGCTTTTGGAGCTCGGAGATCACGCCCACCGCTTCGGGTCTGATAGTATCTGAGGTTGCAAACACGACCGCGGGGATGAAGGGTGATTGCGAGTCTTGTGGGTTGACAGCGCGCAGGGAGAGGATAGCGGTTGATTTGCCGGCTGTTTGGAATCGGGATAGCAGATTTGAGACGAAGTAGGAGTCTGATCCGTCTGGCAGGATGCTATTTAGGAGGCGCTCGTTGCCGATGGCAGCTTCGTATTTCTGTTCTGCTCCATCAGCAGAGACGGTGAAGGTTCCCTTCATTCCTTGACCGCTTATTTCGTGGATGTCGGAGGTGAGAACGTTGACGCTGGGCTTTGATTCACAGAAAGCTGAGATTGCTTGCGCGATAGGGTGGTTGCTGCTCTCCTCCATCTTGCGGGCGAGAGCCCATGCGACCTTTTGAAGGTCCTCATCGCTGACCAATACTTCATGGTCTGAGACTTTGAGGCTTCCTCCTTCGGTCAATGTACCAGTCTTGTCGAAGATAATGGCATTGAGCCGACTGGCTTCTTGGAACGCTTCGCCACCACCCTTAACTAAAATACCATGTTTTGCTGCAAGACCACCACCGACGAACAAGGCTGTAGGGGCGGCAAGGGCCAATCCACAGGGACAAGCGACCACAAAGACTGCGATGGCAAATTCCAGACTCCAGAATGTCCATCCTCCCTGTGCGACATCTAGATAATCGCCAGGCAATGCGCCCGAGTGGCCTAGAGCAAGCCAGATGATGAATGTGAGGATAGCAATCAAAGTAATTGCAGGCACGAAGTGGGATGTGATCAGATCGGCCACTCTCTCAAGTGGAGCACGCTTACTCTGACCTTCACGCACAACTGCGATGATTTGATCGAGCATAGACGACCCGCCGAGTTCAGTGACTTCTATGTGTACAGGTTGGCCGACATTTACAGAGCCCGTGTAGACTTGGTCACCAGCAGCCTTCTTGACAGGGCGCGACTCTCCAGTCAAGGAGCTCTCGTCAAACTGATAGGCTCCTTCGCCAACCACTATTCCATCAGCCGGAGGAGAAGCACCGTGCGGAATGCGAACAATGTCGCCCACCTCCAGAAGGTCAACCGCAACGCGAGTCATGCGATCGGAGTCTGACTCCGAGTCCGCGCTGTTTTGGACCAATAGCGCCTCGGAGGGACGAAGATTTCCCAAGGATGAGACTGCATCTCCAGTTTTAGCTTTGCTGTATGCCTCCAAGAATCGGCCGGCAAGAATGAAAAGAGTTAAGAAGACAACCGAGTCGAAGTATGTCGTGCTGACCGCACTTGCTTTCGTTCCTGCTACAGCATCAACAATGAGTACTGCCAGCGAGGAGAAGTAGGCGACTGCAGTTCCTGCGGAGATCAGGAGATTCATGCTACCAAAGCGGTAGAACCTCCGCAAAATCGGTACTCGACTTCCAGGGCGCCAGAGTGCGTGGATTTCTTTCATCGCTCGAACATGGAATACATCAGTACCGTAGACCATAACGGGCGTTGCCATGATGAAGAGCGCCCATTCGGTGCGCGTCACACTTCCAGACCAGATTTTCTGTTCAAGGTACTGTCGGGTTGGATTGTGCGAGGACACGAGGGACATGAAGACAATGCCGATAAGGAATGTCGGAATGGCCACGGCGAAGACAAACAGTAGACGGAACAAGAGCTTGCTTCGTTCATGCAGTTGCATGGCGCGAGAGCGCTCTTCGATACTAGGCGGGTGATGAATGCTTGCGTTGAAAGAGCTGTGGGCTTCATTTATTGCCGTGAGAATCGTTCGGATCGTCAAAACGGGTGGTTCGGGGGTGTATGTCAATTTAAGTATAGGGTTCTTCTCCAAAGGTACCTCTTCCACGGTGACATTTAGGAGAGACTCCAAAGAGGCGAGGATTTTCTCTGGACAATGATGGCAGAACATTCCATCAACATGGATGGAGATTGTTCTTGCCTGAATAGTTGCCTTTTTATTCTCGAGAGACTGGACACTGTTGACAACGGCATCATACCCAAGATCCTCAATCTTCTCCACAATATTGTCTAGGTTCTCTCGACCTTCAAATTCCACTCTGCCGCTATGGGACAATAGGTTCACAGAGACATTTTTGACAAATGGAAGTTCTTCTAAACCTCGCGTGACAGATCCAACGCAGGATCCACAAGTCATGCCAGTGATTGCAATCTCAGTGACAAAACCTGTCGTGGTCGGTTCGGGTTTGGAGAGGGTAGGTTTGGAGAGGGTAGACAGGGCATTCACTTCATCAAGAAAAGCTTCAAATCCAATATCTTCAATTTGTTCGGTGATATTTGTAACATTTTCTCGAGGTCCAATAAATATCACGGTCGAACTATTTGTAAGGAGATTGACGGTGACTTCCTTGACACACTCGAGTTCTTCAACTGCAGCGGTAACACTATTGACACATGATGCACAGCTCATGCCTCCAATGCTGATTCGCGCAAGGAAATCGTCACTTGATCCTGACGGAGGCTGTTCCGGGACCTCAGGTATTTGAGGAGGAATCTGTGGAGAATTATGCCCTGCTAGAGTGGAAGTAGAAGCAGGTATTGGGCTACACGATGGTGATGGTTGGAAAGCATTCTTAGTCCGTCCTTGACCGGCCTCAAGATCGGTGTCCCAAGCTTCATCCGATGTGATTTTCTCATGTGGAATGCCAGTCTCTGTCAAGGTAGAATGACGGGAGAGGCCATCGATATCCTCTTTCTTGCATGCATCGCAGTTGGCAATATGACGTTTCTCTCGGCTTGTGTGCAACTTTTCTTTGATATTGGAGGACAGACTGGAATATGATGTCCGGGGCGTAGTGAACAACATCGACCCGCGAGTGTTCCAAGTTGTGGTATCCAGCTCGGAGATGGCTGTCCCCATGGCATCATATGTTGTAACATGGTGTACTTCGAAAGCGGCATGGATTAAAGTAGCGACAAGATCTGCAGGCCGTACAATAATCCCATGGGTGACTCGCACCTCATGGGTGAGGATGGATACGTCGATGTCTTTGACGGTTGGGATTTCAGAAAGGATCTCGGTTACATAGGCCACGCATGAAGCACAATGGACATTGCCCACCCAGAAGACACTGCGCCTTGTGTCGATATCTGGATCTTGCGACTGCATCTTGGGCGTATGTGGTTGGCTTTTTGACGATCGACAAGGCTGGTAGGTGTAGATATTTATGTATATCGAAGATCCCCTTCCTAAAAGTTGTAGTCATCTGAAAGGGACGAGTGACTTCAATCAAGCCTTGCTGAACATGGGGAATCGATTGTTTTAAAAGCTCGTTCGGCCTACCGCGCGGGTAGTGGGTCGGTTTGATAGTATCAACGAATCGCCACCAGATATCTGCGACCACGAGACAGTAAATGTGTCATAAGAAATTGGATCAAGATGAATGACCAATCGCTTTGTTCGATTGCTGATGAGGAAAGAAAAAGAAACCTCTATGAAATCAGATGGGTGGCGGGCGAAAAGGCGCGATGCGGCATTTGTGCGTAGTTTGAGCGTGGATCGCGCACAAATGCCGCAGCTACATTCCAATCAACGAGGGTCATGACCTTCGTGCAGTATGCAACTAGTAGCGAGATGAGATGACTATTAGGAATGTAGCCACCTATCTTAAGGTTTAAAACTCAGCTACCGGACCATGTGTTCGTGTATATGCCCAGTCTTGGCCTCAAGTATATGTACAGGTGTCGCATGTAGTGGAGAAAGCATCATCATCGCAGTTGCCTGACTAACCAGGCACCAAGCCAATATTGCCTCTTTCGGACTAATGGGGACCGGAACGTTCTCAGTCACGTGGACAGTGACTCCTTCACCTCCATAACTCCCAAGTGGAAGGGAAATAGATTTTGACCTTTTCAAAGGCTGGGACTAAATCAAATAATTCTTTCTTTCTTTTGCCCCATATCCAGCTTTTTCTCTTCATAGTATTGCTTAGTTTCCTCCTGTTTTGAACCCCTTTTTTACAACATAGTCGGCGAGGCTCGAACACTCCACCAAATTGAATGAGGGGGGATTCCCTTTCATGTGACCCCACCACTGAGCCAACCGTGCAGCCAAAGCAAAAAAAAACTTCTCACTGCGCGCTCGCCCCACCATCGCGGCTCATCAACGCGACTCACTTTCCAGCATGTCCGCGCCAAAGCCCGCTCGTATCGGGCCTCCCCGGCCTAAGGCCCCAATTGGCCGCTTGGCCAGCATTAAGCCAGGTGCAAACTCGATTAATCGTGGCCAGTCAATTGGACGTAGCCATCCTCCACGACCGAAAACACATCCAAAAACAACGAACTGTCCAAATCCAGGTTGTCCTGCTCCACATATTGTCGAAGAAGATGGACAGAAGCTCTGTACCGGATGTGGTACCGTCATTGCCGAAACGAACATCGTGTCAGAAGTGACTTTCGGTGAATCTTCCTCTGGTGCCGCTGTCGTTCAAGGTACTTTCGTCGGAGAAGGTCAAAGTCATACCCGAAGCTTTGGTCCCGGCTTCCAACGAGGCGGTGGCATGGAAAGTCGAGAGTTGACAGAAGCAAACGGTTAGTGATATATCTCGTTTCGTTGGTTTTTAAAGACTAATATCAGCCAGGTAATACATACATCTCTCAGCTTGCGCGACCTTTGATCATCCCTGAAAGTGCTACCAAGGCTGCTGGTCAAGTTTTCAAGCTTGCTGTCGGACTTAATTTCATTCAAGGTCGTCGGACCAAGACCGTGGCAGCAGTTTGCCTTTACATCGCCTGTCGCCGGACGACTGGTAATACAGTCATGCTGATTGATTTTGCAGATATTTTGATGGTAAGTTGCACCAAAGCTATGAAAGAAACCGTCGACTGACCTTACCTAGATTAATGTTTTTAAACTTGGTCGAACCTATAAAGCTCTCCTTGATGAGCTTCGACTAGGTGGCAACGTCTTCATGGTCAACGCAATTGACCCAGAAAGCTTGATCTATCGATTCGCCAAGCAAATGGACTTCGGTCCGGCTAACATGCGGGTTGCTGGTGAGGCTTGCCGTATTGTCCAACGGATGAGCCGCGACTGGTTGGCTACGGGTCGACGGCCAGCTGGTGTCTGTGCCGCAGCTCTGATCCTGGCAGCACGCATGAACAATTTCCGGCGAACAACCCGTGAACTCGTTTACACCGTCAAAGTGACCGAGATCACCATCAATCAACGCCTGAACGAATTCAGTCAGACAGAGAGCGGTGACCTCACTGTAGAACAATTCCGTTCCGTGCAACTTGAGAACGCGCATGATCCTCCAGCCTTCACTCGAGCGAGGGAGGGGCACAAATCCAGTCGCTCTATGAAGAAGTTAACAGGAGCAGCAACCGAAAGCAATGACGATATGGCAAGTGAGGCTGGCTCGGTACAGCCTAGGCGCATTGATGCAGATGGTTTTGCAATTCCAGACCTCCCGATTGATCCAGCTTTGACGGATTCCACTTCTCGGCGAGCATCTATTGGCAAGGCAGCGGACCGAATTCCTGAGGACAGCAAGTCAGAAATGGCCAAGGACCCACTTCGACCGTCTATTCTCGCCAATCCCACACCGGAAGAACTTGCATCTGAAGATGCATTAGAGGCCGAGATTCAAAAGATGGTCCAAACGGGGTCGGACATGGTCAAAGTTATTGCAGAGCAAAAGAGCGCTGTTTCTGACAGCGTTGACATTGAGGATCACGAATTTGATGACGACCCGGAAGTCAGACACTGCCTGCTCACCCCAGCCGAAATCGACATTAAAGAGCGCATCTGGGTCACCGAAAACAAAGATTACCTTCGCACGCAACAAGAAAAGCAACTCAAACGCGCACTTGCCGAGGCCACCGGTGGTGGAACAACTCGCAAGCCTCGCAAACGCCGAAAGACCCGTATGGGTGATGTCACCTATCTTGAGGGTGAAGACGGTGAGCATGGCTCTCGTGCATCAACCCCGGCTGAGGCCACACGACGGATGTTGGAAGTGCGCGGGTACAGTAAAAAGATCAATTACTCCCTGCTTGACAACCTTTACAGTGGTGAGAAGGAAAGCGATGCTGCGGAAACCAAGCAGGAAACTCTTAGCCGAAGCCGCAGTCGCAGTCGCAGTATGAGCGTCGCATCCCGCCAAAGCCTTCCTCCTGCAGCCACACCTGGTCGGCGCCGCAGAAAGGCCGCTACCCCTGCTCCAGTATCGCCTCCTAAGCGTGCTGCTGTGTCTGCCCCAAAGCCTGTTCCCGTATCGGCCCCTAAATCTGCTCCTACGTCCGCCCCTGAATCCGTTCCTCATCCGACTCCTCCTCCTACAGCTCCGGAGGCTACAAAGAAAGACCTTGGTCCTGAGGATGAGCCTGCAAGCGACCTAAAGGATCCCGATGAATTGGATGAGAACGACGATGATTATTATGCAGATGATCATATTGACGAAGCCTTCGCAGGAACGTACGGCGACGATTACTACGACGTGAGCGACTCGGATTAGATAAGAGTCATCATATAAAAAACTAAAAGGGTGTATTATTATTAGCGGTTGAAACCCATTTTCTACATATGTGTGCATCGATAACCTTAGCATTCTACGTAAATGATCCACCAAGTAATGAGTACTGCTGCCTATTAAAATTAACAAACAACCTAGAGGTCCCAGTTTTTCATCCAAAAATCTCACTAAATCCCATGCGTGTTTATTGGTATGGGGGTTTCTGGGTTTATTGTGACTTGTGGATCTGTTACGGGTACTTAGCAATAAAGTCCCTTCCAAGTACTTTTTGCAATAGGTCGAGCAGCATTTCAATACTTGAAGCTGCAAAAGCACGCCCTATGTTTTTATTGGGACGCCTTATCACCATTAGTATGCCATGGTGACTGCATTCCAAGGTTTCAGAACCTTATAGGGCGCGCGGTCTTACGAATGCCCCAACCCTTGGAAGTACCCACTAAGACCTCCGAGTCAGCCGGAAGCCAACTTCATCACCCGGGCAATCTACAAAATATCTGAGATCGAAGTGAATATATGACATATCTTATTTTTTCATTTGAAGTCATAAATATGATGATAGATGATAGTCCAAGTCACATACATGCAGATACAAGAAAGAGAAAACCACGATTACGACGCCGAAAAATCAAGACCCCACCGGTTATATCCATAGTGAAACGCCATACCCACACACCCTCCAGGGGCGTGAAATGGACCGGGCTGCGCGAACTGGGTCAGTTAGGCGCAAGTGAGTAAAACAAAACTAAATCCAGTAGAAATTAAAGAATCAAAAGAAAGAAACAAAGAGTCGGAATCGGTCGAGTCGAAACGGCGCGTGGTCGTGAGTCGAATGCCGACGAGTCGTAGGCTCGAGGATCGGAACTTTTCGAAGTCGTTTTGGTCTTTGTTCTTCGTGGGCGAAAGAAGAAAGTATGTGAAAGGATAAATAACGGTCATGAGTCAATGTCCATTCCCATTTCGACGCCTCCGTTCAGCCCCGCTCCCATGTCGACTGGCGCGTGTGAATGGGATGAGAGGGCCTGCTGGAGAAGAGGCACGCCGGTATCCCCGTTGGTGTTGAAAGGGTTGGCGGAGGGAGCAGTGTTGGATCGGCTTGCAGCGGCGATGGGGGCAGCGCCCTCGAAGATGATAGGCGTGTTGCGGAGATTTTGCAGGCAAGCATCCCATGAGGAGGCCACAAGTTGAGCTTGGGTGAGGTCTTCATTGAAAAGGTAGAAGGCAGGAGAGAATGCAGAGACAGGTGTCGCGGCCACGAGGTAGGCATTTAGGGCACGACTTTTCATGAGGATTTGCGAGTTGCGCAGGTACGACGCGTACTGGTTGTCGATGTACTTGACCCAACCACGCACAGCAGGCGCCATGTCGTCGTCGGTATCCATGCGTTGCCAGCTGATGCCAAGGAGGAGGGTGGCATCGTCGATGAGGGGTTCAGCAGGTGGTGTGGATCCACCGGCCAGGTTGCGGTGCTGGTCAGCTTCGGAGCCGTTCAGGCGGTGCTGGTGTGAGGAACGGGCAATATCGTCAAGGCCCGGGGCAGTGATGTCTAGCCGCTGGGATTTACGGGAGTTATCGACAGCATCAGATTGCAGCGCATTCGACGAGACTGAGGCCGCTTTGGCAGCTTGCGACTCAGCTGTCTCTTCGTACCATGTACCGGTTTGGCTGTCGGCTGAGAGGGCCATGCCAGTCTGGGGATTCAATAAGACCATTCCCTCGCCGTATATAGGCTCTTCTTTGGGAGCTGGAGCGGGCTTCGGTGCTGGGGGCACGGCGAGAGCTTCTCCGAAGGAAGCATCATCACGCGACCTCTTGCGGGATGGCTTGGGCGCGGTGGTAGCAAAAGAAGCCGGGCCGGAGCTGAAGATAGGCTGAGTCGAGCCACCATTCGCAGGCATCGAGGTAGAGCTTGCATGACAGCCAAGGAAGTTGCTGGAGGTATTCAGCAAGGACTGAGACGGGAACTGAGCGAAGGCGTGTTCCTGGGTAGGAGAGAGACCCATGGCGGGACCATCGGAAGAGCGATTGAGAATCATTGGCGACATATCGTATAGAGCCAGGAGAGGGAAAACTGTTCTGCAAGGTTATCTGAGCAACACACCATAAGCTTCTACCACCTATAGATCACGAGCCAAAACGGTGGAAGGTGATGAGAGGAAGGATAGGTCCAAGACAAAATAGAAAATATATAGACGGAAGGTTCCGATTATAAGGAACTAAGATGAGAAAGGGGGGAAGAAAGAGGATTGGAAGATAAGACGAATGGGAAAAGAAGAAGAGAGGATCGCGCAAACAAGCGAGAGAGCGCAAAAGAGGATCTGAGGCGATCCTATCTGCAATGCGGAGATTACCGTACATTACCACAATACCTCGTACTGGATGACCGTTCCGATCGGCCGTTACGGTAATAATTCGAAGGTGGATCTCCGAGAAGTCGGCGCAAGCGGATTGCGCTGTTTGGCTGTGGGGGCGCCTTCAGCTGCAGCGATTGACCAATCACGGAAGCTCAGTGGAGGTCCAGCCCTTGGTTCCAGCCGATGCACCTGCAACTGCGAGGCCCCAGCCCACTCACTTTACCAGAGTACAGGGCTTGGGAAGGCCCCCAAGTTGAATACCACCCTACATCAAAAATACGTAACCCTCAGAAACTAAGTCTATTGGAAATACTATGATGACAAGAAGAGGAGGAAAAAAAAAAGAGAAAGAAAACACCGTCACGTAAGAAGTCCAAGCAAACCGACACCAAAGCTCGTGCAAGTCTAACATCAAATCAATGTTCGTGGAAAGGAATGAAAACAAGACACCGCCAGCAACACCAGCTTGGAACCCGTAGATTAGATAAATCACGAGAATGCGGTCGAAAAAGGAATAAACAACAGCCGGAGCCCATTTCCATCATATGGGCTCAAAAGGACCGGACACAGGCTGGATTTCCTGCATGTCGCCGTGCCGGGTTCAGAATAGGTCAAGAAAAAAAAAAGGAAAGTAATGTGGGAGCTATTTTTCAATCACCAACGGCTAGCTAATTTCAGAGGACTCGGGTCCACCACACCAGAAACGTTCTAAGGTTGTTGTCGATTTCCCCAGAGACTGGAGTCTTCTAAACGTATTAAGGCATTTAGTTGGCTGGGGTGGCACCACCAATAATGCTTTTGACGGACTCGGGTGCATAGCCAGGAGCCATGGTGCCAATGAAGAGGAAGAAGATGAGAACAGTGGCACCGAAGATGACGAACTTGCGCTGGGCAGGGCGAGTATTGCCATACTCAGCCCAGGCACGACCAGCCTGGCCGGTGTACTCACGGATCTTGTCACCACCCAGCTTGTAGTAGACAAGACCGACAAGGGCAACGGAGTAACCGAAGAACTGCAAGGCAGACACTGGGGTGTTCCACAGCATCATGGAGGCGGCAACCAGCAGAATATCCTTCAGGACACCACACAGAGTCATCACCAGAGATGAGGTCTTGCCAATCTGCGGAGGCTGTTAGCGTGAAAAACCTGAGGAATCGAGTTAATGAAACGTACCAAGAAGACGACGGAGACGTTCAGCAGGAAGGCGATCATAGCGTTGGCAACCAAAACCCAGACACCGACGCCGTAGATGTGGTCCATGGTGAGGTTGGGGACCTCCAGGAAAAGAGCAACGGAACCGTTCATCACAGCGCAAACAGGCGCAAAATAGTACAAGGAGACCATGGGGTCCATCTTGAACTCAGCGGAGCTGAGCAGGCGCTGCACCATAACCAGACGGGTAGCCTCAAAGACAATACCGCCCAACTGGAATAGGAAACCGATCATGACGAACTTAATCTCACCAAATGAAGCAATGACGACACCAACGACGATGATCGAAACGTTCATAAGGGTCTTGTAGTTGACGGGAGCCATGCCCATACCCCAGGTAGCAAGAAGGACAGCAACGGGAGTAGTGGCCTACAATTACTGTTAGCGAAAATTCCCCGGTTTGGCCATTTGCGGGGTTCCAAACGCACCTTCAGCATCTGAATGAAAGCAACACTCAGGTATAGATAAGTCATGTTACCGCAGATCAAGGATAGACTGAACATGAGACCGATGGGGACAATGGCGCGGAGGTAGACGCGGCCGGTCATCTTCACGGTCTTGCGGCCATCAAGGACGGTGGTAGTGCGGGCAAGGATCTGGGTCATGATAGTCGCGAAAGTCAAGTGCCATGTTGTGAGGACGATGGCTAATGCGGAGTTAGAAGCGAATCTTTGGGGAGGAATTGGGAGTCTAGGAACATACGGAAACCTATACATCCAGATCTGTTAGCAATGTCTCTTGCGGAGAGCGGGGAAGGGGAACTCACGGAAGTTGGCATAGTCGAGGAGATACTTGTTGAAGAGAATGACACTGGAACTAAGAGTGATCCAGACACTAATTCATCGAGTCATTAGCTACCGTTTCCCTGGCTATTGATCTCTGCCTTTGCTCACCTCACGTAGACGGCCGGGTGGAGTGCGGCCTTGGTTTCCTGCTTCTCCGCTGCCGGGTTGACCGTGGGGAGAGTCTGCTCGCGCACAACCTCACCGGAGGTGCGGACCTTTTCACCGTCGGAGCTCATTGCGAATGATAATGATCGAGTTTGGTCGGAGAAGAACTGGCGGAGTTCAAAAGGCCGTGGACGCGAAAGGCTTCCTTGGCTAAATGCGGAGGAAGCCACGGGGGGTGAGGAGGATATAGAAGTGAGATTACAGGAACACTGAAAGCGTGCTGATTAACGAATGTGATTAAAGTTGGTCCCAAAGAGGAAAACAGCAGAACCGCCCAAAAACGAAGGTGGGAATGAAGAAATGATGATGGAGAGAAAAGCTAGAAGGGATGGAATGGAGTACGTACTTCGGGGATGGGAACGTTAAAAAGTGTATCGACAGTACGGGAAAAAAAAAAATTCAAAATCAAAAAAATTCCAATGCTTGGAGTCGAGAACAATCAGAACCAGAGAATCGAGGAAATTGAGGGCCTGGAAACGTAAAATAGCGGGCTCCGCAGGAATCGCCAGATGTGTATGCAAACAGCCAAACAGCGTTGAAACACATGTGTTGACGCTAAGGCCACCTGTACTCTGTTGGGGTAAATTTAGAAGTTTGATAGGAGAACCACACCCATGGACAGGATAAATTACGGTATCATGAATTCATGGATTCATGACGAAACCACCTCCACCCAGGGCAACTCTTTCAGCCTTCTGAAATCTCCACTTCGTTCCTGTATCGTGGCCACTCCTTTTCATAGCCGCACGCCAATGAGCATTGTCACCCTCACCCACGGTCCGATGACAGGAGTCTGAATTCTCTTAATTTTAACTATAATTAGACCGATACTGTGATATCTCTCTCAATCCGGCTGGCATAGATCTCAAGGGGAATGTAACCCGCCTCTTTTCTATGTCTGTTGTGTCCCTTCACTTTGTGCCGGTTTGAGATAGAAGCACTGAACGCGACACTATTTACGGCCTCGTCACAGGGCAACGCTGATCCAAATTAACCGTCAGTTGACAGAGGTCGCATTACGCAAGCAGCTGGTAGCCCCGACCCACCGTGGCCCGCGTTCAGCAACTCTATGGACCAGCGCGCGGTCCTGGTCCCTTACGGGTGGAGAATGCGGCGATCGCATTGAGGAGGCTGTGTCTGACGCCATCGCCCCGTTCAGGGACTTGTCTTGACCCACTTGGGGAGGAACAGGGGGGAAAATGAAAAAAAGGAAAAAAAAAGAAAACACCAGCCCCAGAGGTATTGGAGCCGAGGGCGGTTAGTTCCCGCAGCAAAGCTTTTTTGATCTAGTTTTTGGGTGATGAGATATCAAATTAGCATTTGATTGTCCTGTTTATTGCGCTGACCACACCAGAGCACTTTGCGGTGAATGTGAACTCGAGATCTCCTCGGAACCAGCCTTCCAGAAGATGTGATTTCCTTCTTTCCCGAGCTGTCGATCAAATGAGATCCAGCAACTGCGAGGGATCTTCTTGATCCTCTACGTCTTTTCCCTGTTTAGGGAGGGACAATCAGTGGATCCGCTCCTCGCCTCTGCTCGCCTTGTACCCTGAACTCTACATGTACCGAGTAGTAAAGAAGCCGATCATCTGCGGATGTCCGCCTCGAGGGGGTTCAGGGTTTGTTTTATCACTGTATGACTTGTGCAGGGAAATCCTGGTGCCTTGGACGAGTCATTTACTCTATACCTGACGGGTTCCCGCTATGGAGCGACAACACTGAATCTAGCCGTAGATTATTTAAAATTCTCACCTTGCTATTGCCCACAACGTGCCAAACGACATCGGTGGCGTTTTTAGCCAAGTCTTGTCGATTTAGGATTGCTGTTCTGGATTTTTTTTGGTTCTTTTCTTTTTTTTTGTTGTCAAAACAATCATATCAAATTTACCCTTACAGTAGGTGACCGTTTAAAGACAAATCGGAATACTCCGAGAGATAACAGCATTCCTGATTCGTTCTGGGGACCTTTGAAACCACGCCAAGGACTGATTTTTGACCGCATGCAAGCACAAAAACCCTTAATGGGCATTTGATTGTCCGATAAGACCATCCCCAGACCAATAACGGCCGCTCGCGGATTGTGATAGATTCGATAGTTTAAACGCCAGGGTCCAGTGAGTGGCGAGGTGATAGCGAATGAGCGTTTAGGATTCATTGCATGGCTTCTCATAATTACAAAAAATCAGATGAAAAAAATGGCTCCCATATTCTAAAAGGGGGGAGGATCGTGCATACGTGTTCACGGTTTGGGGGGCAATTGGGGACAGAATAGAAGCCACCCCTGAAGTGTAAAGGCTGCTATAGGCTATAGGACCAATTGGCACTGGCTAGACCTAGATCTTGTGGAAAAGTAATCAAAAAAGTAAATTAGCGTGGTCCAGTGGAGGAGTAAACCTGAAACAGGAACAACAAACTCCACTCTGCGACACCGCTTGAAAGTGCCGGGTCCGTTTACCCCTACCCACGGTTTCGAAAGTGTCCCTCCCACTTTCCTTTCCCATCTACCTTTATTATCCCTTCCTCCCAGTCACCTTTGCAGTCTTTCTGCTGCTCAGTTCTTCTTCTATGCTGAACATCGCTCGCAAGACTTTCAAACGCGTGCCTAGCTTCCAGGACCTCCTACAAGGCAGGATGACCCACCCCGACATGTACGAACTACTCTCCCTCACCGTCACTTCCCCCAGACTAACATCAATCCCAGTTCTGTTGACGTTCTCGTCATTGGTGCTGGCCCAACTGGTTTGGGTGCGGCCAAGCGTTTGAACCAGATCGTAAGTTCGAGATTTGAATCCCCCCTCCTGCATTGATTCGGTGGTGGCGGGCAGAAAAAAAATAAGGGGGAAATGGAGGGGTACACAATACCAAAAACGAACCAAGTCACTAACTCAATTGCTTCTAGAATGGCCCCTCTTGGTTGATTATCGACTCTAACGAGGTTCCCGGTGGTCTGGCTTCCACTGATGTGACCCCTGAAGGCTTCGTAAGTTGCGCCCGTGTTTGTTGCGGGGAAAGGCCCGAAAAGCTAACACGCTTGTGAACAGCTGTACGATGTTGGTGGCCACGTTATCTTCTCCCACTACAAGTACTTCGATGACTGCATCGACGAGGCCCTCCCCAACGAGGAGGACTGGTACACCCACGAGCGTATCTCCTACGTTCGCTGCAAGAACGAATGGGTCCCCTACCCCTTCCAGAACAACATCTCCATGCTGCCCAAGGAGGAGCAGGTCAAGTGTATCGATGGTATGATCGATGCTGCCATGGAGGCCCGCGTTGCCAACACCAAGCCCAAGAACTTCGACGAGTGGATCGTTCGCATGATGGGTACTGGTATTGCCGACCTTTTCATGCGCCCCTACAACTACAAGGTCTGGGCCGTCCCCACCACCAAGATGCAGTGCGCTTGGCTCGGTGAGCGTGTCGCTGCCCCCAACCTGAAGGCCGTGACCACCAACGTTATCCTCAACAAGACCGCCGGTAACTGGGGTCCCAACGCTACCTTCCGTTTCCCCGCCCGCGACGGTACCGGTGGTATCTGGATCGGTGTTGCCAACACCATCCCCAAGGAGAACACCCGCTTCGGTGAGAAGGGCAAGGTCACCAAGGTTAACGCCAACAACAAGACCGTTACCCTGGCCGATGGCACCACCATTGGTTACTCCAAGCTCGTCTCCACCATGGCTGTCGACTTCCTCGCCGAGGCCATGGGCGACCAGGAGCTCATCCCCCTCACCAAGCAGCTCTTCTACTCCTCCACCCACGTTATCGGTGTCGGTATCCGTGGTGAGCGCCCCGACCGCATCGGTGACAAGTGCTGGCTCTACTTCCCCGAGGACGACTCTCCGTTCTACCGTGCCACCATCTTCTCCAACTACTCCCCCCACAACCAGCCCGAGGCCTCCAAGAAGCTGCCCACCCTCCAGCTCGCCGACGGCTCTAAGCCCTCGAGCACCGAGGCCAAGGAGGGTCCTTACTGGTCCATCATGCTGGAGGTTTCCGAGTCTTCCATGAAGCCCGTTAACCACGAGAAGCTCCTTGCCGAGTCCATCCAGGGTCTCATCAACACTGAGATGCTCACTCCCACTGACGAGATCGTCTCTACCTACCACCGCCGCTTCGACCACGGTTACCCCACCCCCAGCCTGGAGCGTGAGGGTGCCCTCACCCAGATCCTCCCCAAGCTGCAGGAGAAGGGTATCTGGTCCCGTGGTCGCTTCGGTAGCTGGCGCTACGAGGTCGGCAACCAGGACCACTCGTTCATGCTGGGTGTCGAGGCTGTGGACAACATTGTCAACGGTGCCGTTGAGCTGACCCTCAACTACCCCGACTTTGTCAACGGTCGCAAGAACACCGAGCGCCGTCTGGTCGATGGTGCCCAGGTCTTCGCCAAGAACAAGCAGTAGATAATTTTTTCCTTTTCCCATGTTTTTTTTTACCCGAGGCATTACGCTTACACGAGGTCTTACACTTGCACGAAAACTATACACGCGAAGGGAGCATCTGAAGCGGCATCTGGGAGATGATCTTTGTTGGCGTTTCATGTGAATTATTTCCCATCTTCACTTATTACTTCAGAAGACTGTCGGATTTGCTTGTGGCCTTTCATTTTGATACACACTTTTTAGATTTGCTGTGGAGATAACTAGCTTATTTTCCCTAATTGATTGTTCATGAATGATTATGTTCCACTTTACACTAGTAACACCTAACTCTGCACTGTCAGAGGACATGTCTTACGCGTTTCGCTCCATGTGCTACGGGGACATTCCCCATTATTCCGACTCCCCAATCGCCACTATCGGATCCATCATCGCCACCCGCACATCTCCGCAATACGTTTCCCCAATCTCCAACATGTTCCACACGGCATCAATACCGGTACAACTAACTCCTGTCTCAATGAGCCCCAATTCGAGACCCTTGGAACAACCCAGGAACAAAATCAGCATCCGAGATAAAACAGGCCCAGGAAGCCTCTTTCGGAAACTACCAAATAGCGGTCGACCCAGCAGACACTTGAAAATGGTCCTTAATGCTGGTTGGGTACCAGGTTAACGTCTCTCATAGGTGGCGTTATTTGTGGGTCCACGTCGTCGGAGCCAAGCATCGAAAGACGAAAATAAACTTGGGTTAGGGTGTTGATTGGTGTCAATAGTGGGTTGCGGGCTTTTTGAATGTGGGATGTAAATGGCTGGAGAACACATGGGCATACGTGGTGTGGATCTTATGTTACATACTGGACAGTATGGGTGAGGTAAGGCATTGGAATCGTGTTTGGGAATTGGAATTGATTTGGCTCAACTTGTAGTGACATTTGAATCTTTATAGACTGGTTTCCACTATAGAATATCATGCGGTCTTGTGGTTCATCCTACGTGGTCAATTGCCTCGGTTAGTACTCGTTATGTGGTTTTATAACCTCCTCCCCGGTTGCACCAACACAAGCTACTGCTTCTTTCATGCCATCTATTGATTATACTCAGCTATAGAGGCAGAATTAAGGCCGTGGTATATTTGAATCACAGCAACATTATGGGCTATAAGTGTTAAGGTAAAATAACCGCTCGTGTGAAATGTTTGTGGAATATCGCATCCACCACTAAGAGACGAAACTGCTTATCAGCAAAGTCCAAGCCATAAAAACGAATTACTTTTACAATATCATGTGATGTGATTTAGTACCCAACGTTAGCCAGTGATCATCACTTATCCATTTACCCCTCTTTGTCCTATGAATTCAAGTTTTGTGTCTGTGCTGATATACTTTGAAGGCGAGTAAATCTACAAAAAGTGGATTTTGACTGATATCAAATTTAGCGCTTCATTGCCCATTTTCTCATTCAATGGCAGCCCAACCGCTACCCCTCGCAGCAGAGAAAATTCGAAAGGAGATAAACGCACTAATTACCAAAGGCACGGTGTTTGATGAAGATGAGACAGGAAATAAGATATACGGCGGAGATGAACTTGCAAGGCTGATCTCTCGCATGAAAGCTACTTTAAATCTCGACTATGTAAGTATTGAAATTCCTCACATAAATGGCATTTCGCTGATCTAGTAGACTTGGGGGGACCATTTGAGTTACCGGCCGGTGTCTTTCAAAGTGTTTGATCCTGAGAAAGGGTGGCATCTTCTTATACCAATATCAGACGAAATGAAGCTGTGCCCTGGGGGTTTAGTGAAGGGCGGATGGTTTATACAAGTCAAGGACATGCCTGTAATAATGCCAGGCGCGACGACTTTGTTGCTTAAACCTCGTCATGATATTTTATAGGTGCATACGGTATAGCTTATCAATCCGGAATTCCTCTGGTTCCTTGAGTCACTGGACTGAGAGGTCGAGGGACAGCCATGAAATATAGAATATGGATCTAATTCAAAGAGACTTGAGGTCGTCCACTTGGGCATCAAAGAATGAAATACCTTGTAGGTACTTGAAATACCTTATACTAAATTACTCCGAATATTCTCATTAAACCGAATGCTTCATTCATGTCTGATTCATAACGTCATTATTTATTGTACATCACAAAGCCCCTTGAGGATCTGTGGAGTTTGTATCCGCCCAACATATTTCAACAGCTTGGGATTGATTGGCCACCATCGGCTCGCATCCTCCTCTTCTCAAGCAATTTGCTGTTGTTCATACTAAGGTTAGATAGCGGGTTAGATTTCTTGAATCTATGACCGTCTGCAGATTTTTGATTTTCTGCTGTTTGCTGCGACTGGTGCTGTTCTTTATGCACGGAAAGCGCAACGTTGAAAATATCCCGGATATTGGGAGTCTGAGGACAAGTTTCTCCGCTCTCGTTATCAGCAATTTGGAAATTCTCGAGCATCGGGGTGGTCCCTGTTGAAGCATGATGGCGTTCATTGTTGGGCGTGAAAACGTCATTGGTGGGCGTTTTATCTTCTGAATCCTCGTGCATCCAAGGATGATCAAGGCACTCCTGGATTGTTGACCGCTCTTCTGGGTTAATAGTCAAAAGACGAGAAACAAGATCCTTTGCGCCATCCGAAATGGTGTCCCACTTTGGTGCAGAAAATGAGTACTCCCCTTGCATAATCTGGCGCCTCATGATGTCAAGATCTTCGTCGTAGAAAGGAGGGAATCCGGCCAACATTGTGAAAAGAAGACAGCCAAGCGCCCACATGTCGACACTGGTTGTATATCTGTGTTTCCTAAAAAGCTCGGGTGCAGCGTAACTCATGGTACCGCAGGGTGTTGCGGCTGGAACGCCGGCAATAACCTTGGATAACCCGAAGTCGGCGAGTTTGACCACGCCAATATCGCTAGCCCCGACATCAGCAATTGATACGGCTTCTTCTTCATCTCCTGATTGGGTGGATTTCGATTCTTCGCGCGGTGTGGTAGAGTTAGGGTAAAAAAGAATGTTTTCTGGTTTGATGTCTCTGGAAATGATGTTAGATTATGATCGGAGAACAACTCTTAGGTAGAAGAGAATCTTACCGATGAACGACACCCATAGTATCATGAAGATATTGCACAGCATTTGCAACTTGCCATATAACATGTCGGGCCATTTGCTCACTAAGAGACGCAAACTTGACAATTTGGTCATATAATTCGCCTCCAGGACAAAGCTCCAAGAACATATAATGGTACTGAACCGATTCAGAGGCGTCAATAAGTCGAACCACATTGTCATGATCGAGTTTTCGCGTAATCTCAACTTCGTCGTGTAGCTTCTTTTTCTGCGACATTGTCAGAAAGGACTCCTGTCTATTTGGGCCTGCACCTTATTTGAGGATGACTCACTTGTTCCTCTTTCATTTCGTATTTCTTCGTGACCTTAATGGCCACTTCACCCAGCTCAGATTTCGTGTCGCTTGCACGATAAACACAGCTGAAAGCACCATCTCCAATCTTCTCCAGCAAACGCCAACGATCAAGACCTGGGTAATTCGGCATATTTGAGGCACGTTGGGATTTTGACATGAATCCGACTGAAAGATTTGAAGTATCGACCTCGCGTGCTTGTTTGGCTTCGGCTGCTCTGCGTCTCTCTCGGATGCGCTCCATCACGCTTCGATTTCCGGTGAATGAATTCGGCTCAGCCGGTCTAGATATTGTAGTGGTAGACATAATTGTTAATCTGTGGTAATGCGTGTAAAATTTGAAAAATTTAGTTGTCTAATGGTCCTTACTCGCGATAGTTTTAAGTCCGGCCGGGGATGACGTAAACCCATACCTTGATTCGGGGCACTCGCAATCCCAAGCCCTGACATCCGGTAATTTGCGTCATAAATGGGGACCGTAAGAGTCTATTCGAATTTTAGATTTCAATTACTCTCAGTAGGGCTTAGTGCATCCGTTTAATTATCAACATTATGTATGTAGTCTCCTGGTCGCGAATGCCTTCGGAGATGATTATTTCCTGCCCGACTGACTCAATGGTTATACATCAGCTTTCTCCCGTATAGAACAATAGCATGTTGCTTTTCGACCTCGTTATCCTTCTTCAATCTGTAGCAAGGCTGGTAATTATCTGTGTGAAAGCATTTTGTCTTGCAAATATCTATGAAAGCAGCGTAAATCGAAAATGAAGCTGATTGGCTGAATTGCCACCCGAAATACCAAGTCCTGGTAGTGATTGGTGGATGTTTTGCCGCAGACAGGTTCTCGGTGGCTGAAAGATCGCCATGGTGTGCCTGGTGGATCGAGATCTTCATTCCTAATCAGCAAATGACATCAATAGATAACCGTGCGAACGGCGCATTTCGTGTAGTTCCTTTATCTCAGCCTCGCCACCTGGGCACATGGACATCACATCACCTGGCACTAACATGGATGAGAAAATGACTTAAAAAAAATTGCTAAACACATTGCTAGCACTTTAGGCGAAACTTTGTAAGTATATGCTCCAAGGCTCATCATTAATGTTGGAAAGATTGTTCGTAGATCATGCTACTTGGAAGCTTTAGTAAATTGCTTTAGATGTCTGAACAGCAAGGCCTGCAACATGTGATTTGACCTGGAGATGAAGGATCAGTCAATTTAATAGATCTGAAAACACTGCCGAGGTCGTTGATTGGTAGGCTTTCTAGAGTTTCACCCTTCCCGTCATTACTGTAAAGCCTTCTAGGGGTTCTCCCAATGTTTGGGACGAGCGGAATTCCAAGCTTGGTACGGCCGAAAGAGATATGATTGATACTTCTTCGTTTCTCTGCGCTTTCGGTCCTCTTCAACCCTTGGAATCGGGCGAGATGTTTTCCAATCATGAAGTCAACCATGCATTAGCAAACGGCCCAAAGGCCCAATCCAATTTCAAGATTCCAAACGTGTCGATGTAATCAGGCTAAATAATAAGAAGCCACAAAATCACTAATCACAACAGATACTATGCTACCGCCAAGCCAGAAAAAGAAATTCTTTGTGCGCCATTCTAGCCATCGGCGCACCATGTCATCATTAGTGACGATTTTGTGAGACTATGGTCTCCAGTCTCTAGTCTCTAGGTCCTCAGTGATCTTGGGCTGCCGTCGCCCAAAATGAAGGCCCGTCCGGGCAAGGAAATGCGAGACAATATCGTCCCTTTGGTAAGCATATTGGCTTGTAAGTGAAAGCAGATTATTCTTGGAGTTGGTGTTCGTTTCCAGTCCATATTATACTGCGTAGGATAGATAGTCGCTAATTCGAGCCTAGTCTTTGTGCCGAGACGGGCGGCAGAGGGAGAATATATAGATCAAACAAAGCCCTGGAACCTTAAAGCAATAATGAATATCGGTTACTTACTGTCTGGAACTTTGAATATTCCAAGGTTGCCCCTCAGTTTTGGGCAGATACTCATGATTGGGAAATATGTACAGAAAAGACAGTCTATCACATGTATTAGGGCAACATACAGAATCAATCTATTTACACCAGTGCTCCACCCGAGTTCTCATACTTCACGCAGACCCACAGCCACTCTCAGGCACCAGGCTAATCGCATCGAGATATACCTCTCCAGTAACGGAATTATCCTCCTCATCACAAGCAGCAAGGATGTGTAACGTCTCAACCGAATGCTTGGGCACATAGGTCCCAGAAACAGAGACCCACTCCCCAAAGCTTTCCTCATACAAGTCCACGCTAGCGATCTCGCCGACCGTGGAGTTGGAGCCTGAATAAACATACACGAAGCAGTACTCCGAGATAGCGGGGTAGGGAACCTGTGCCTCGGCGCTGAATGTATAGCTTTGTCCCGGTTTGAGATTGTGAAGAGTTTGCGATATGGTGTTGCCTTGGTTATCGATGGCAGTTTGCAAATTACTATTCAGTCAGTTGAAATTCGGATAGCGAAAGGTGATGAGACTCACAGGTAGTAGTCACCACTGTAGGCAGTACCAGTGCTCACATGAGCGACGTCGACGGCAGATGCGCGCCATGGGAACAAGACGCCAGACTCGAAGCCTGGGTTGATAACGGCATTGCACGCTGAAAGAGCCATGTTTGCGATTGTAGGATCTAGATTGGCAAAGCTTGATTGTACTGCTTTGACATGATAATAGCCCAGCGAAGGACGGGTTTATAAATGATTTCTCTCATCTAAGACATTTACGAGGGGGCGCGGATTTGGCCGCCATGGGACGCCTTTTGGCTAAATCAGGGTCTTTTCATACCCGCTTTCCCTCGTCACACTATTAAGGTTTACGGATGCTGACATGTAACCTGGTTTCACAAGGTAACTCTAATGTCTGATCTATAAGATCTATTATTAGTGGAATGTAGCTGTGGTATTGTGAATGGTGAATCAACAGAGATTGTTGTAAGCTGATCCAAATACTGCCGCTTGTTATTTGCATTACATTGGCGAGGTTCCAGCAGGTATATTAGCAGATCTGATGATACATTATCGATGGGTAATCGGGCTCACGACTTTTCTGGCCAGGCTACAGGCAAGGTGCAGATACTCTGCTAGTGACGGGTGTATCATTCTAGGTGTCCTTAAAGGCCATCTGCAATCATATTAGGCCAGACACTTGGTATCTCATGACTGCACTACACATAATACTCTTGAACAGCAGAAATCACCCGTGAAAGTTTTACTGTAGTAGTGCATCGGATTTAGCATTCATTATTCCCGAAATGCCGTCGGGAAGCCCGGAAAGATCGTAGGAACTGTTGATTGGCTTATAAGTACCGGATCAATGCAGGAACAAGCTTAGATTTCACTCTGCCAACCTAGCTCAATTAAATCAAGGGCCTTAATGCTACCCTAGATTCATAATATGGCGCAGTGTCATTCCTGCCCTGAAGATCAGTTTTGGCAGCTGTCAGATTTGTCAGATCGCGCTATTCCCGTTTAGATCGTTGCCTTGAGCCAGAGAGCCCTTCCCCAATGCAACTCCCTGTTGTGACTGCTCCTAGTTACAGATTGATTATTTACTATCATGAGTCTGATTCACGGCTGTACCTGACAGCCGAGTCGCGCTGCCTTTGAACTGCCGAAAACCCGGTACATCTTGCCTTGCTACCCCATAATGTGGAAGATTGCTCTCGGGATATCCGGACTCTAGATGCGTCATTTATCCAGAAGACCCACGGGCGTGGGGAAATGGGAGATTTCAATGGACACCGGTAATAGACCGGCATCTGTACGATATGTTGATTGAGCATACCAGATCAAAATGGTCGGATACAAAGAATCCTGAAGGTACAGTTCAATAAACCCGGTGAATCCGGAACCAAAAACCGACCGATTCCACTGAATACCATGGCCTATATCATCACCGCTCCGCGGCACCTTAATTAAACATCTTCAGGTTTTGAGTGATCGGCAATGCTGTGACCTCGGAACTTCCATCTGCATTCTAACCGATACGGGCTAGACATTATGCGTTGGCTTCCCTCAATAACATTCCCAGTTTACTCCTGATCAACAGACCTTCTCTCTCTGTCAATCTGCGGATTAGCACTACAACCACACCATGAAGATCACACTCCCGACCTTGTTGGGGTTTGCGGCGACAGCTGCATCTGCCAATCTCCATATTCAAACCTCTAGCGGTACTATTCAAGGAGGTGTGAACAGCACATATCCTCATGTCCGCCAATTCCTGGGAGTTCCTTTCGCCCAGCCTCCCGTTGGAGAGCGTCGCTGGCTTCCTCCCCAGTCGCTCTCGCCAAGTGCCACCACGAAGCATATCGATGCGACCACAATGCCCCCTGCCTGTCCGCAAATCACAACCGGCACTGTATTCGCGGAATATGAACCGGAAATCATTATCGCTGGTGGTATGAGTGAGGATTGTTTGACTTTGAGCGTCTGGGCCCCAAACAACAGCAAGACCGACTTGCCCGTTATCATTTGGTTCTACGGTGGTGAATGGAAATCTGGCGGAACAGACGTGCCTGCATGGTATCCAAGTCCCTGGATTGAGCGCTCCCAGGAGCACATTTTGGTTGCTGTTCAGTATCGTGTGAACGTATTCGGTTTCCCTGCTTCGAGGGCCCTTGACGAGCAGAACTTGGGTATTATGGACCAACGTGCCGGCATTGAATGGGTGCAAAAGAATATCGCTCAATTCGGAGGCAATCCCGAGCGGATGATCCTCTGGGGTCAGAGTGCAGGCGCAGGCAGTGTTGATATCCAGAACTTTGCTTACCCTGACGACCCTATTGTCCAAGGATTTGCCGCCAATTCTGGTTCAGTTTTCCTCACAATTCATTCACGTTCGACAGATACTGCGGGAACGAACTTCTCGTCTGTTGCCTCATACTTTGGCTGCTCAGGTTCGGCTCAGCACGAGCTGAACTGCTTGCGCAAGGTTCCGGCATCCAATATCACCGCTTATCTTGGTACCACAGATGGCTCTGACCTGACATTTGCTCCTTTCATTGATGATCGATTGGTCTTCAATAACTATACCGAGCGTTATCTGGGCAAACACCTCTCCAACAAGCCTGCCATGTTCGGTTCTAACCTCGACGAGGGTACTCTGTGGTATGATGCTACCGATAGTGCCGGAGCTAAGGCAATGACCCTATCTACCTTTGAATGTCCTGTCCCGTACTCGACCGCCCTCCGAGATTCTCTTGGTTTGACTACCTACCGCTACCAGTACCGTGGTAATTTCACCAACATTTCGCCAGAGTCCGGGCTAGGTGCTTACCACACAGCGGAGCTGCCGCTCATTTTTGGCACTTCCAGCATCTACGGCCCCGACACTCACTTTGAGAAGGTTGCCAGCGCTAAGATGCAAGATTTGTGGTTGGCTTTTGCGAAGGATCCCAAGAGCGGACTGTCTAAGCAAGGTTGGCCTAAGTCGACGAGTGGAGAAGTCTTGCTATTGGCCGATACTGCCAATCAGAAGGTCTCTGCTCTGGTAGCGGACAGTGTCATTGATGATGCTTGCACCAGCTATTATTCGGCATACTTGGTTTAAGGGGATGTGATGGCATGTGATATCTGGCCACAAAATCGCCTGACATGGAATGATTTGTCATGTAAATAGATCCAGCCGGGGAAGTCAGCGGTTTCGCCCGCGAGATTTCCATTCAATGCTACCAGATTGGAGTAAAATATTTTGAAATGGGGCTAAGGACTCCTATGAATGTGATCTTTTTTATCTTTAGCCATTATTATTTGTTGAGCGGCTAGATATGGCCCACTCGGCTCCATTAAATGCTCCTTGCGGCTAGTAGCCCCATATTGGCTTTGACCTCCCAACGGAGTCACTCAACAACTTTTCATAATTTTTCATGTGTTAATTCGTATTCACCCCCTGGGGTACGAGTACGGAAGAAAAATATCGGTTCCAGTTTTAAGGGTTTGCCCCTGGCTAGATCCACCAATCGCCACCGCAAACAAATATGGGTATCCGAAAACTTAATATGTCTCAAGGAGCAGTCTCAGTTCTCCGCCCAGATGGCCGAGTTAAATCCAGGCGTTACTAAATCGGGAGACAGATCAAAGAAGGAAAGAGAAAAGCGAAAAGAAAAAAATAAAGAAAAAGAAAAAACCACTGTCAGGGGCTCTATAAACGCTAGTGATTAGACTCAAACTTAGTACCGCTATCAAGGCCAATCAGAAATAACCGAGGGGAATTAAATTAAGCGCTAGCCACCAAAGTGGAAATTTTCTCCACGAGAATCCCGCGCAAATCAACGTCTTTTTAACGGGTTCTGTTGGGAGGAACGGACTCAAGCGTGAAATTCTGGATCATCACATTGGTTCGCCCTGCCCAAACCCATGGAAAGGGGCCGTAAAACCGTCTAGAAGGGGCCTAGAAAGGTTCCACTTTCGGCTCCATTACCAGACTATCTGAGGACCAATCAATTTCTCATGCTATCCATGTAAATAAAATTTTCTAGGGGGCGAGGTCTTTCATTCTACACTCGACGCTGTTGTGAAAGAATCGCAGACAATGGCTTCTTCTACTATTCAGACGGCCGAGCCCGTGATTCAATTGAAGGGAGCGGTTGACGTACGTGCCCATTGAAGATCTCTGAAGCGATTTGCAAGCTGACAATCACTAGCCCAAGGAAATTACTTATGGCTACTTGAGAGACAAGGTGCCAGCTCACTGCTTTGAGCGTTCAGCAGTCAAATCCTTCTCCTACCTCGTCCGCGATATCATCTACGCTTCCGTGCTTGTATGGCTCGCCCTCAAGATCGATCTCCTACCTACTCCTCTTATGCGCGCCTGCGCATGGGTTCTCTACACTTTCGTCCAGGGCTGCGTGGGCACCGGAATGTGGATTATCGGACACGAGTGCGGACACGGTTCTTTCTCTGAGTACAGCAAGCTCAACAATGTTGTCGGATGGGCTGTGCACTCTCTTCTGATGGTGCCCTTCTTCTCGTGGAAGATTACCCACGCCAGACACCACCGTTACCACGGTCACATTGATAAGGATGTTGTCTTCGTTCCTTCCACCGAGACCGAGGTCAAGGCCCAGGAGACCCAGGAGCCCACTATGCTCAGCAAATTCACCGAGCTGGTTGAGGAGACTCCCCTCTACCATGCCGTTACTTTGCTCGGCCACCAGGTCCTCGGATGGCAATTGTACATGTTTTTCAACGTTAGCGCTGGAAACAAGAGTCTCCCCGAGAAGGGAACTGGTGGTCCCAAGATGTTCAGAAACAGCCACTTTGACCCCACTGGCTCCCTGTTCACCAAGGCCCAGACCCCTCTGATCGCGATTACCGACCTGGGTCTTCTTATCACTGCGACCGCCCTTTACTACTTCGCTACCCAGATTGGTTTCTGGAAGGTTGCTCTGCTTTACGTTGTGCCCTACTTCTGGGTTCACCACTGGCTCGGTAAGAACCATTTGCACATGCATGCTCTTGAGAACCTTGACTGATGATATATATAGTTGCTATCACCTACCTGCACCACACTCACCCCACCGTCCCCCACTACGACGAGGCCAACTGGACTTTCGTCAAGGGCGCCCTGGGCACCGTTGACCGTCGCTTCGGCTTCATCGGACGTCACTTCTTCCACGAGATTATTGACTACCACGTCATTCACCACCTGTTCCCCAAGATTCCTTTCTACCACGCTGAGGAGGCTACTGATGCCATTGTGCCCTACCTCGGAGACCAGTACCGTATTGAGGAGGGTCTGTTCCTGAAGGATCTTGTTAACACCTTCACTACCTGCAAGACCAAGTACGACCCCGACTCCAAGGGAGAGTTGCACTGGAAGTTTGCCAAGGAGAAGGGCAAGAAGCTTAACTAGGCTATCTGGCCAGGTGCTGGACTCGCCTCATGGGTGGTTCTTTTTGTTTATACGTTTATAGAGGTTAGAGTTAGACTAGATTAGATCTTTCCCCATTCTGTTTGTGGTTAGATCCCAATTGATAGAGGAAAAATTCTCGTTCTGACGAAGTCATCATTTCCCTTGCTAATCTGTAAGTGTACGTGTTTTGAAATTTTTAAAGGGATTTCATGGGGGAGTCCTTTTTTTTCGTTTGCGGGGCGGTGCAGATCTGCCAGAACAGGCTAGATTATGCTTCATATCATATTGTTTGCCAAGAGCGCTATTTTGATAGGCAACAGCCTTATCTGAGGCGCAGCAGTCTGCGGGGTTTGGGATGATCACAAAGAAAAACATAGTGTCCAAGTAGTAAAAAGGGGTAGACCCTCGCCGCTTTAGCTCACTGAGTAGAACTGAGCACGACATCTTGCTCAGTGATCGGATCGGTGAGTCTTACGTAAAACCGGCTGATGCTCAGTGAGTCTAGACGTTATTGCACAGAGGAATTGAAAAGGGAGAGTGACGGGGATCCTCGACCGGCTGATTATGTGCCCGCCCATCATGCTGATATCTACCAAACGTTCGCCCAGTTACAGCCCGACCAGCGGCCAATCGTATGGTTTGCAGAAAGTCCGGACAGTATAAAGTTAGGCTTGGACACGAGGATCGCCGTTCTACTGCCTACCGACTGCATATCGCATTTACCACACCTAACCTCTCCAGAGACTCACTATGAGATCCTGTCAAAACGTGGGCTGGCTGTGTCCGGATTACCAACGCCGCCGTCTAGGGTGATTGACACCAATCTTGTCGTCTATGAAGATCCTAGACAACTTGCCGAAAGAACCGCCTGAATGATTACGCCAATCGAGCAACATCAGGTCCCGTTCATGGTCAAACTACCCCAGTCAATATCAGGGATAGGCACTTTTGCCGTGACGTCTGAAACAGACCGAATGCGGATGAAAGCCATGCTCACAACACAATTAGATGTCATGTTACGACAACTCAACCAAATAAACAGGCATCTCTATCCGCGCTCAATAGTCTTGCAAGGTTTTGTTGACGGACCTGTGGTGGCTCTGTCATTGTTCGTCACCCAGACCGGTCAGCCCATATTTGTTGCCTTCTGCGAGCAATCATTCGACGACCACTCACATCGTAGAGGCGGGAGCATCTCGTACCGAGAGCAGACAGGGTTCCTAACGACATTTTCCGCGCGCATGGGCAAAGTGGCTGCGGTTGTGCATCGCAAAGGGTATCATGGCCCGGCGGGCGTGGATATTGTCACCGACCAACACAGCGTGGAGCAGTTGGTCATTGATCTGAATGTTCGGGTTACTGGTACTTTTCACCTAGGGTCCCTCACGGGGCATTTCACTCGGCGTCGGCTGTTCGAGGCTGGTATGACAAGCGGAGATTTCTGTTGTACGCGAGATGTATTCGAGAAAGTCTTTTCGGAGGAGATTTGACAAGGCAGTTTGATTGTTAGTGGCTGGGTACATAATGAATCACGATCAAAAAGCCATGCTACGATTACTGTTGGGGCTACGGATTATGATAGTTTGCAGGAGTATCTTCAGCGGGTCAGAGCTGTTGGTCTACAGGATCAGCCTATGTGAATATAGTATTGTTTCTTTCAAAGCTTCTCCGGTCCCCACTCAAAGTCGAGTAGATAAAATCTATATATAGCTTTTATTATTATATTCCCAGGTGTATTATAAAGACACAGGCTTTTGCGTCGCTTCAGGCATTATCGACCACAGAAACTGTTCTAAACTCTCCACATCATCTATATCCGAAAGAAAAGCCAGATGCTGATCAGGCCGCAGTAACGCCATACAGCCCTTATCCCCAATCCCAAAAGACGAGTACAGTTTTCCTCCACCAGCATGGTGGTAAGCTTCGTTATCCGCCCAAACCCTACCATAGTCCACACCGTCTTTTGTCCAAGGACGGAAGACCATCGGCAGGTCGTTCAGCTCGATGCGAAGTCTATCCGCACAGTGAATGAGATATACGCCAAGAGCTGGAAACCCACGCCGCGCCACGGAGACCGGGTCAATTAGCTTCTCGAACGCAGAATCTGGTAAATTGAGGGCATCTGTGAGGCCTTCGACTCGGCGCTTCTGATCCGCGCCCGCAATGTCACCTCCAAAAATGATCAGATTCCATTGTCCTGTACTGGGAAGAATCTGCTGCAGATGACATGCCTGCGAGTCGCTTTGGTTAAGAATCAGCACGCTAGGAATGCGCGCGCCGACTCGGAGATTTGGAGCCACAAATGGTTTGCTGCTGCACGACGCCACATTTTTGGGCAAAGGCGCGTCCCGAATTGTTGATGTGACCAGTGAATTAGGCTGGTAGATTACAGCGAGCCCTGACATTGAGGAATTCTCTTCCTCGAGCGCCCGCTTGTGGTCCTCGTCGAAGCGGCCGTGATGGGCAGCTGGATTTCCGTTTTGCTGGCTGCACATTCCTCGGCAGATTCGTTGGTCTAATGCTATTAGTCGTTCGGCGACGGGCAGCCGTTCTTGTTGGTATGTCTCGAGAACACGTGGGTGCAATACGCCCTTGACGACTGACGCTATTTTCCAGCCGAGATTGAACGTGTCTTGCATGCTTACGTTCATCCCTTGTCCTGCCTTCGGGGAATGCGTGTGAATGGCGTCTCCGGCGAGGAATATGCGATTGTGTATACCAATTTCTCGGCAGATACGTTGGCCGACCTGGTTATTGTTAACTTGAGTGCTCAGGCTTAGCATCGAAAGAGCAAAGGAGTGGGCTGACGGTATAAGTCGTTGACCAGTCAATGTGACTTGCCCTTATGGTATACGGTTGCATGATGGTTGCAACCTGCTCCATGAGGACATCGGGGTTTCGTTCTGCGCTATATCTGCCGCTCGCTTCGGGTGGAAGCTCAACGTAGACGCGCACAAGCTTTCTTTCCCGTGGAATCATCATGAGAGTCCCGTGCTTTGACTTGATAATGAATCTTTTCCGGATGTCGGCTGGATGACCGGCTTGGATTAGCAATGTCAACGGTGATTCATGATCTCGTTGAACTCACGGAAATCCGTCAAGGGAATGATATCTAGAACACCCCAATAATCGTCGTAGTTTTCGCCCTCCAGTCTTAACCCGAGTTGCTTCCTGAGCCAGCTATGGGCTCCATCGCAACCCAGAATATACTTGGCTTCAACGGTTGTCCCCATGCCTGCGTATCCGGAGTCGTCCGAGTGAGCCTCGCTGTTCGGAGTGCCCACACCATCAGTTGGACTCTTGAGGTCAGATGGCGCATTCTCCAGATTGACGCGGATTGGAAACGCTTCTTGGTCGTCGATCGTCTTGTAATCGATCTCGAGTGAAGTGGGAATTGTTTCCCGCTTCACTTCGACGTGCTTTCGAGCCAGCACATATTCCATGAGATATTCTTCTATTTGGCCTTGGCTGAGCGTAGACTCATGAAACCTGGACCATCCAGGCTTGGAATTTGCGGCGACGCTCTGCCTTTGCAGCTTACCATCGGCCGTGGTGCCCTGGATACGACAGATATTGTGTCAGTGGTATTGCCATCGAAGAGGACCTGCAGGGTCGTACCCATAATGCAATCTCTACGGTGTGGTTTGCTTGAGCCCAAACTTTGTCCGCAAGGCCGAAACTGTCCAGGATTTCCAGAGTTCGACTCTCCAGTCCGTCCGCTCGACCGCATCGCGTCCGATGCGATTTTTGGTCAATAATGATAGTATTCACTCCCATCTGGGCCATCCAGGCGGCAGCCATCAACCTTTTCGCCGGCAATTAGTCCATGGCGTCATTTGTTTAGTCTGGGGAAGGAAGTTGATAGGGCATACCCGGACGGGCCGGCCCCGACGATCAAAACGTCGGTTCGGACTATATCGCCCATGGCGGTATCGAATTCAGTGGCGTTTAGAGAATAAAAGAACTTAAGACAAATATTCTCAGCTGGCAATCAGAATTGACATTAAGTACATATTATTACTGACATGCAGTGCGGAAAATTGGTACCCCATAATCCGACTAGTCTGGTGTGCGTCATTATCAGACGCTTTCGTTTTTGGGCCAAATCAAGACTTTCAGGGAGGACATACAAGTCGGCGATGGATTGGACGGGAGCACGTTACATTCAAAGCCCCAAGTTGATGGTGTCATGGATGATCCGGGTGCGGGAGTCTACGTTTCAATCTTTAATCTTCAGCTGCAATGCCAATTGATCTTAATTATATATTATGAGGACGGGTGTCATCCTCTACGAACTATTCTTTTAGACATCACTAATTGTTTCTGAAATTTTACGTATTCCCATCAACCAAATACCTATTCACAATGACTACTCTAGCCACAAACCCTTCCATATCGCAGGGGTTCTATAAGCCCGAAGAAAATGTCTTCGTAAGGGACTCCCAGCCAGGCGGGAATATACTGTGAATTAATGATCCGACTAGTGCAATGATGGCCGTGAAGACCAGCTCCTCCACTTCATAACTACCCATCCTCAACTCTCCGCCATCCGCAACTCGCCCCAGGCCGTACTCGCCGCCATCGACGAGTTCGCGCGCACCAAAGACTTCCTGATGAACGTGGGCCCTCACAAAGGAACCATTATCACCGACATCATCGCTACCGAGCGACCAAGCTCCATTCTCGAAATCGGTGGCTACGTTGGCTACTCGGCCATCATGTTCGGCAGCGCCATGCGCAACACGAGCGTCCTGGCCCCTCGCTACGTCAGTCTTGAGATGAACCCAAAGTTCGCATCTGTCTCGCGCGCCTTGGTGGAAATTGCTGGCCTCAGTGATGTCGTTGATATCCAAGAGGGCCCGTGTCGGGCGTCACTGCAGCGTCTTGCGGCGGACACCTCAAACCAGGGACCCAGCTCGAAGAAGTGGGATATGTTGTTCTTGGATCACTCGAAGATCTCGTACTTGAATGATCTGAAATTAGCCGAGGAGCTGGGAATCGTTGCGCCTGAATCAATTGTTATTGCGGACGATATGAAGAGACCGGGCAATCCGATGTATTCGGACTATGTGAGAGCTGATACCGCGACAAAGGTAGAGGCGTATATGCCCTTTGTCAACTGTCTGTCTGACGGGGGTATCTCGTTGGGAAATCCGTACTTGGTATACCGCACTACGCTGCTTGAAGGGTTGGAGCCGACAGGGCACATGGTAAGTTTCCATTTTCCCCATCAATTGAGGTTTCAGAAAGCAGGCTGATGGAATCTCAGGATGCCGTAGAGATATCTCGGTGTGTAGAGTCGGTAACTAAGAACTGAGCGACTAGTGCAGAGAATGTAATAAAGGGGATCTTTTGGTATGGCCAATAATCGTCGGACGCTTTAGTAGCATCATCGTTACCAGTTGGCTCCCCAAAAGCCGCCTGTCACCTTGTCTAAACAGGCGGCCTGTAATGGATACCTTCCAAGACCCTGATTTGTTTATCTACCCTTTTTTGAATATTGACTTACTTCGTCTGAGTCAGAGGTCTCTACCCAGATATGCGATCCTCAAGGCGTTCTAGATGGCCTTGCTGATATATAAAAAAGAGAAAGTCTTCATATTAATGAGTGCTCACGTATCTATCACGTGACTACAAATGAGCTGCTTAGTGGGCCTAAGCCCAGACTGAAAAATACCCAGTGAGCTCGAGTCTAACATAAAAGCGGCGTCCAGAATAAGAAATCCCCGTCAAAGAAAACCCAGTACGTAGAGCTACTTAGCACTTGGCTGCAAGGGCATCGCAGATCTCAGTTCTATAGATAGCTCTTAAGCCCTCGGTACTGCACGTAACACTACTCCAAGCGGACAATTGTACAATCAACCAAGCCCGGTTTGTAACATGCATCGCATCTGCATCTGCATGGAATGTTTCTATATTTCGATAAGACCTGATAAGGACATCTGTTCTACCCTGTTTCCGACAAAATTCCCCGACGCCTAAACCAACGATTGCCGAGGCGTAAGAGGCGGGGAACGACCAATTAAATCAAAACCACTAGACTATCTCCCGTGTTCTTTTGTTCCACGTTTGTTCGATTCTATTATTATCTGCAAAGAACGGTCCAGAACCTTGAAATATTCGCTGGAGCCTTCTAATTGCGCTAAGAAAACCATGGTGAGACAATCGATAAGCCTCGTAAGACACACGGCGATGGATGGGATGAGATCGGGGAAAACAGAACACAAGATGAAGTGCCTGAGAAATCAAGTCAGTGTTCGTCAACATAGGATGACGATGTACTAATTTGCGAGATCAAAGTAAGAAAAAAAATAAACTGGGTATTTAGTGGAAGGACGCGTCAGTTGTTGGGTCATCCAAAGGAAGCCGGATAATGGAACGGATTTCTCCACCGGAGCACATCCGAACTATACCTATACATAGCTTGCAAGGTTGGGCTTTTGATGTTTCAGCCTGATCTGTTTGGTTTTCGAAGTTGCACGAAACAAAGGCGTTAGTGTACGGGACAAAAATCAGAGTTCGATGGGAGCTATCGAATGATAAGGTGCATCGTATTATTATCCCTGCAGAATGACGTTGCTGTATACACGTCAAAAGAGGAAAAAAAACACCCCGCAAATTAGAAATGGAAATGCGATAGTGGTATAGACACAACACCAAGCATCAGCCATAGATCGCGTGCACATGAGTTGTCGAAACCATTTGGTTTTGCAAATCTAACAAACACAATCACGATCCGTACTGGGCTCTTCGGCAGTTGAATAGTGACTAGTATCTTGCTTGTGCTGGGTATCCACTGCAATAGCGGTCGACGCTGTAGAGCTGGCCAAGCCTGCTTCGTCAGACCGTGTAGTAGACGCTAAGCTTAGGCCCCGGAGTGGAACGGTCTTGGAAACCATCTCCGGAAAGGCGGCGGGCGACTCGCGGGAAACCTGAACAGTGGGAAGCCGCGAATGCTCGTCGTTTTCAGTGGTGGACCATGCTTGGAGAGACTTTCGTAGGTGATATTCTACGAGAAGTGGTCAATGGTTCGATTATCAGACTAAACTGACGATCACCCATAGCACAGACCTTCCTTTCCAGATGGATGAATCGCACTTTTCCCTTGATCATGTAAGGCAGTCCCAGTGATTATGAGACGAGGATTCTGCGAGGGGAGCGAGGATCTCAACCGAGCAGCGGGGACATTGATGGTGTCCACTATTTGGTGGGACTCTGTCAAAGCAGATTCTTCCACTGGGCTTGTTGTGATGACGCCTGGTACCGAACGCGTTCCAACACAGGGTGGCCCGTGAACTTCCTCGCGGTTTTGTATAATATTCGTATCCTCTTCTGATTTATCTGCAAAGCTCGAGTCGAGCAGATCATCCCCATCGTACTTTTGATCTGGGTCATCCAGGTGTAGGCGGTCAAGATCGGTGGATAGAGAACGGAGATAGATGCGGTGCAAATGATATTGAAGCTCCTCATCCCCCAACGAGATGATCGACGGTGGACGTCTGATCATGAGTGGCAACAGTGACAGGCATGAAGAGAAAGCAAGGGAAAGATTGACAATTGGCATATTGGTCAAGGCATCAAGATAAGAGGAAGTCACGACTTTATGCAATTGCCTTGTTCCCGTTCAGGTACAAAGATACACAGTGCATTCCCGTACGATGACGACGCATTCTAATTCGAACTTCCCTCTAATAATAATTTTTAAACATATTCCGTAGTCCGAAGTATGTCTTAGTAGGAAGGGATTTCAGATTCAATTTTCTATCATATTAATAGCATGAGCTCAGCCCACACTAAACCCGATTCCTACTACGGAGCCTCCTGTTGATCCTTTTCTGCCTTCTCCCCCTCTCACCTTCTTGACATCTTCAACGTCCCAGGTCGGACCATGCCTCCACTGTTGCTATCGCCGCCATAATTCGTTGGCCCCTGGATTCTTCCCCTTCCTCTCCTCTCGTCTTTCCCCCACCTACCGCTACCTCCGCTACCTCCTCCGGTCGCCAGTGCCCGTCATGAATGGCGATTTAAGCCTATCCCAGTCCCTGGGAGGGCTACGGATAGCAAATCCAGATGATTCGCCCCTGCCATCAGAGGACGCGACCGCTGGTTCGATCGGATCCAGTCCAACCGTTCAACCGGGCGGTTCGGTATCAACACATCCACAGAATCCCGCGCCGAACGACGAGCCCCCCTCGGCATTTCCTCCTGCACCCTACGAGGCTCCAGCACCGGTCGACAACCGTTCATCCGTCGTTTACCCATACCCTGAAAATCCTCCGCCCTCCGGCCCTTACCAGCCGTATTCGACACATCCCCACGCTACCTCCCAGAACCCTCCCCGACCCCTTTCTTCTTTATACGCCAACGGTACAGCCTCCTCCGCACTTCCCCGGGATAATTCATACCGCATGCGAACGGATTCCGGTGCCTCTTCAACATCAACTTCCCATTCTCGAAAAGACGCTCGTGGCGCCGCCGTAGCCTTGCAAGCCGGCGTTCCAGTCCGCGACAATTCTCACAGCGACCGCTCCTACCGCACAGGACACATTCCGGCCAATGGAGCGGTAATGCGTCAGTCATCCAGAGCACACGCCCGAGGAAGCACACAATCTCAAATGGCCCGGACCCCCTACAGTATGGAGAACGGCCCAGCACCCAGCAGCGACGATTGGCAGGAGCGCGGGGCCGCCGTCTCCGTGAGACAGGAAGTGGACGCCAATGGGAAAACCGTTTCTCGTTTTATCAAGAAGGGTGTTCGCGATTTCTCGTTCGGCAATACCCTCGGAGAAGGATCGTACAGTACAGTCGTATTCGCAACAGATCGACAGACGTTGAAGGACTATGCAATCAAGATTTTAGACAAGCGACACATCATCAAGGAGAAGAAAGTGAAATATGTCAACATCGAAAAGGACACACTGAATCGTTTGACCGACCATCCGGGAGTTGTGCGGCTCTATTACACCTTCCAGGATGAGCGCTCACTATATTTTGTGCTAGACCTTTGCAAAGGCGGCGAGCTTCTGGGTGTTCTCAAGCGGATGTCCACCTTTGACGAAGAGTGCACCAGGTTTTACGGTGCACAGATTCTTGACGCGATAGATTATATGCACAAGTGTGGTGTCATTCATCGAGACTTGAAGCCGGAAAACGTCTTGCTCGACAGTCAGATGCATATCAAGATTACGGATTTCGGCACAGCCAAGATCCTTAAACCTTCACACCGACCAACCGATAGCACGAACTCAATCCCGCAAATGGACGCGACAGAAATTCCAGAAAATGAGAGGGCGAGTTCATTTGTCGGTACCGCGGAATACGTCAGCCCCGAATTGTTGACAGACAAGAATGCCTGCAAGGCAAGTGATCTGTGGGCATTTGGCTGTATCATTTACCAACTCTTGGCCGGTCGTCCACCTTTCAAAGCGGGCAATGAGTACCAAACCTTCCAAAAGATTGTTGCTTTAGACTATGAATTCCCGATTGGGTTTCCTGCCGTTGCTCGAGATCTTGTCGAGCGTCTTCTTGTGCTTGATCCAGCTCAGCGACTGCAGATCGAGCACATCAAGAACCACGAATTCTTTGATGGTATTTCCTGGGGAACTGATTTGTGGAAACAAAAAGCTCCTCGGTTGAAGGCCTACGTGCCACCCCCTCGAGAACCAATCAAATTGAATGGTGACAGCAGCGAGAGCTTCCCTCCCGCGATCTCGACGGCGCCATCTAACGCCGCCAGTGCCAGTACCCGTAACCTTCCCAGAGTGGTCACTGAGCTGCCTCCGCCAAGTCAACTCGACATCGAATGGTCACCGGTGTTGAGCAAGAATAACGAGCGTATTTTGAAGCTAGGAAACATGGTCGTCTTGTCTTCGCCTGCGTCTCACAGTCCGACTTCCAAGAATGGTAGCAGCGAAGCCGAGGCTCCCAAGAAGTTCTCGCGTTTCTTTTCAAGCACAGCAACTAAGAAACGACAACGGTTGGTCATGGTCACATCATCTGCGCGGATCATTCTAGCTGCATCTGGCGGAGATGAAAAGAAGGCAAAGCTTGAAATCTCTCTTCTCGCCCCCGGAACACACTGGAGGAGCACAACCGACGCTAAAGGGCACTCATCCTGGATTGTGGATACAGTATGTTACGCCTCCTGGCTTCCATTTTCATTACTAACGCAAACAACAGAGAGAGAAACACTTTGTCTTTGAGGATCCTAAACCGTCATCAAGCAATATCGGATCCGCCGCGGTTTCAGTACAAGAATGGCTGGACGCACTGGACCGGGCTCGTGAAATGGCTTTGACACAACAAAGTTCTGGATCTTATTCCGCCGATGACGCATTCCGCAACATGTCTTCGGGATTCTCCAGCCATGCCAACACTCTTGATCGCAGTTCCGAACTTCAGAATGAGAACAATATACCCCCTCCGGGACGTAATACGTTGGTGAAGCACCAGGCCGACACGGAGTCGGTCAAGGGAAAAAAGAGATTTAGCCGACGTCATTCCAAGAATGGCCTCGCCGCTGTTTTCTAGAGTTGCTAAGCTCACTCTTAAGATCAGAGTTTCTTGCTTCGCTCTTCCGCGAGCACTACGGGTATTTACCCATACAGCATCATAACGCCTAAGATGGTTGTGTATGAATTTGCGATCTGCTCATTCACTGACTCATCCCCTGAGCCATTACCACCGGCCAGAGTATACCGAACCACTCCTACCGGCTTTCCCACCTCCAATCCTGCCAATATCTGCATGGAAGACGCATGTCTCCTGAATACTGGCTGCCTCTTGCATATTAGTGATGAGCGTGTTTTGTTCGTATTGGGACATGTTTCTGCATTTAGAACCGGAGACGAGCATGCGTATTGTTTTTTTTTTCTCTCTCATTGCGTCGAGTATTCATTTCTTATCCCCATTTTCTTGTGTTATATATCCCTGATTCGATCTGATGCATACCGTCAACACCCTCATCATGGCCTTGTTTTCATTTCTTTCTTGTGGCGATTCAACTTGTTATTCAAGGCTCTTTTCCGAGATGTTGATTTGAGCTCTCCCAGTGAAGAAAGCTATTTACCATGTTATTTCCTATCCTTCCAAGCCGCCGTGCCATACTTGCTCTCTCAAAAAAAGAATCGGGCTAAGCTCTCGTTCATTTTCTTTGCTTTGTCTCTTTCTCCTCTGGCTCCTTCCGCGAGGCTCCTATTATACCACATCCTCTATTCTACCCGTCCATTGGCTGGGCGCTTTCTTGTGACTTTTCTTTCGCTCGACTTTCCTATAAACACTTCTCCTTTCATTGGCTTCGGCTTAGGGGTCTCATGGCAGACCGGCTTTCGATTTCATTTTGCCAGAATTCAAAAATTGATATACCCGGCTTCTTCATTGATTTCCTACTGATCTAGGTAGTCGACTGAGGTAAATGTAAGTAGGTTCTAGAGTTCGGGATTATTTAATTCAATTATAAGGTAAAAAATCGATTCGTGCAGCGATCTCTTCGAGTGTAAACGATGGGTAATAAAAATCCAGTGCTCCATGTACAGGTGGTATATACATTCATCATGTGCGTCATTAAAAGGAGAGGAGGCACGGGGATCCTCGTTTTATACATGGTAGAACATCAAAATTATATAAACAACCAGTCAAGCCGGGATGCGTCCAACTCATCCACCCAATCAAAAGAAGAATCAAATGTTTCATCTTCATTATCCTGAAAAGCGTCCTTCGGCAACAGTCCATCAACAAGGCCATAAGGAACATTCTCCCGCTCCCGGCGCTTGAGATCTTGTTTTTGCCACATGAGCCTAAGCACCCACGCCGCATTACGGACATTAACACTCGTCACAGCCTGGTAGAGAGCGCCCAGTTTTTCCAGAACAAGCGAGCGCTGCGATAGACGGCGACATTCTGCGCCTGCGATGAAAGAGGGCCAGATAAGGCATTTGAAGTGGGGATCTGAGGTAGGGACGGAACAAATGCGGGTAATGAGGTCGTGTGCGATTTGAGAGTGATCGGAGGGGAGATTAGTTTCGAGCCATGGGGCTGTGTAGCCTTCCCTGGTTTTTGAGAGGACGCGGCTGGTGTAGAGGTAGACAGCGGCTTGGTAGGCGCTTGCGAGGGCGATGCGGGGGGAGATATCGTCAAGGAAGAAGTAAGTCTGCATTTCTTGGGCCCAGGAGACTGGGTCGAAGGTACGAATTCCTTGGAGGAGCTGGGCGAAGGATTCCCGGGAGAGTGGTTGGCCTTCCTGCATGGAGACCCCGAGGGTGGATGGTTGGGGGGCTGAGGGTGCTAACTCGGAGTCTTGGTACCAGAGTGTGTGGACATAGAAAATGACTTCAAGAAGGTAGGCGGGGCAGCCGACCCAAGATGTTTCTTCGAGACGCTTGAGCATTTCTGGGCCCATTGCTTGGGAGTAGAAGGGTTTGGAGAGAGCGCCGGGTCTTGCGAGCGTAGATCCCATGATTTCCATGATTAAGCATCCATCAATAGCGACTGTTTCGAGTCCCTGGAGAATGCCTTGACCAATTTGGCTCTCGGGTCGACTCCTCATGATTTTCTTTGCTCCTTCGATGTGGTAGCTCCATGCCCCGCTGCCGGACTCGAATAGATCCAGAAGAGCGAGGATGACGACAGCCGCGAGAGTAATATCAGCATTTTGCTTGGCCGGGTTGGAAAGGTCTTTGGATAACTGTTTGAGCGTGCGTTGCTTGTATTCCAGGAAATGGTGGTAAGCTTTTGAAGTTGTTTGCCGAGAGCTTGTTGGGATAATCATGTTCTCGATATCTTCTGACGATAAGAGAGAATTGGTGGACAAGGGATTTTGGGTTGACCAAGGCATCATAGACGAGTCAGAGTTGGAGATCAGAGAGTAGTGTAGAGCTCCCATCGCAGACAATACATTTGCCATAAGGGGTGAGTTTCCAACTAAAGCGAGCATATCCCGGTAGGGATTCTTCAGCTGTGGATAGACCAAAAAGTCGTTCGTCATATATTCATGGTCTATGAGGGTCAGTGAGGATCAAGGTAGAATTCAAAGGCAGCCGTACAGTGTTTGAGATACATTCTACACACCGGATTGAAATCCTTTAACAAAGGATCAACCATCCCCCACGGAGCTGGAATATATTGGATGAATCCGTTCTGCGGAGCATGAACCACTGCAGTTTCGGGCAACTCCGGTGGATTTGACTCCAAGAAGCCCCCTTCTGGAAGTCCAAAGACATCATCAAAATTCCCTGCATCTAATACTTCTTGAATCCAATCTGTTTCAGGGCTGGCCTGGGCCGCCGAGTTTGGTGAAGATTCAGTATCGGACGGCTCCGTAGGGAATAATCCCAGATTGACATTCGGTTCGTTTGAAACGGGCGAATTCCGACTGTTGGAAGCACTGGCTGGCGTCTTAACATCGTCGAAGCTCCGACCCATCATTTTGCCCCGACTAGCCACACCACCCTTGACCCACACCAATGGTTTTTGGTAACCCAAACATTCTTTCCCCGCATCTCGGCATTTCCGACAGGTAGGCTGGCCATTGTCGCAAATGATGCGACGGCGACGGCATGTATAACAACCTTTGGTCATGATCGGAAAGGTTGGATTGTGAAGTGGATATGGTACGATGCTGGCCACAGGTGTGCTTGACCACTCGACATCGCGGTTGGGGATCGGAAGGTTCAACGGGACCACTCGATTATCGCGGGCGAACGGTGGTCTTATATGGGACAGAAATGCAGAGCATCACTGGAGCGTCCAGAACAATATCGAGAGGTCGAAGGTATGTGTCAAGGAAACGGCGGAAATTCGGTGCGGGGCTTACCTAAGGATCTGGACATTTCTCCAGATCCCCTCATCTTCGCCGTTGTTTTCGCCTCCGCATCATTCTTCTGGCCCACCGCCACCAATATGGTCTGGAAAGGACTCTGGCTCGCAGAATTAGAGGTAAGTTCCCCTACTCTCGAGATCTTTCTTGGCTAACGAAGATAGCGCGCGTTGGTCAGCCGAGTATGTGATCCGTTCCCCCCGACTGAATCTCTCTAACCCCATGCAGCTCCTACAGAGTCAGCAGTGGCACAACGTCGTCGGTCGGATACACCAGCGTGTTCAATATCATCGTCATGGTGTGCCGATGGAAGAGAGCCGCACATCTCTCAGTGACGGTATGATCGGATAAAAGCTTTGGATTTGCATTTGGCTGACGCGGAAGCGCTAGGAAACCAACTGAACCGGTTCCTGAAGTACTTTAAGGAAGAATTGCAAGATCAGGCCAAGGGAAAGCCTCCAAATAAGTTGTAATATGGACCTCTGCTGGCGTTTTTTGACTTTCATTTGGCGATACCCATGAATTTGTATGCAAAACTTTTCTTATCTCCCTATCTCTGCAGTCTGGACCTCGGCCTCCTATGGGTTCTTTGTACTGCAAAGAGCGGTCTCTGCTCCTGTCTTCTCCCATCAGACTGGGACTTGAAACTGGAAGCAGACTACATTTACTCGTACTTCCAGTGCCTAAGCCAAAAAACAAACAAACCTTTTAAGATTTAAGATTGCAGATTGGCCCAGCTGATGGCCCCGTAAACTAGGCGAATCAAATTAAAGCCTCATTTCGACCAGCGCGTCATTCGTCACCAAATTTCCTCTATACGGGTCGATCCTGGGTCAAACACATATTGCAGCCCTTAATAATAATAAGAAATGCCCTAAAATAGGGGATTTCAGGGACCATATTCGAGTGTCTCCATTCGTTGCTCGTAATAGGGACTCGAGACCAGCCTCGTACGACAGCGGCCCCATAATGCCTGGGAGTCTAGACTGCCGGAGAACGGAGTACGGAGTGGATGACGGCGGACTAGTCTTGTCGCCCTGCATTGCCTCTGTTGTCCCCTGTTCAGGCCCCTGGGCGTTTTTGCTATCCAGCGCCACACACTTTTCTACCAAGTTGGGGTTAGTGACCGGCTGAGTCGGCTTTGTTTTTTCCGTCATTGGGAATCAACAAATCCACCCTGTTCCCTACTCTTGGACATCAGACGGTGTGATGTTCCAGATTTTGAGTTCAACATATTGATGATGACAGCACAGCCATGATCTGCGAAGATCCAAGCCCAGGAAAGTAAGAATCCCAGTGACATGTACTCCGTACAGTACAGGGTGTCAATGCAGGACGTTGCTAAATATGGGTCGCGCGAGGGGTGGATCCCGTGGGCCAATGATCCGCCGACTGGGGAAAGACGCGAATGCAAATATTCCACACAGATTACCTTCATTAAAGGGCTGGGGAAAAGGGGGATGGAGAGATTGGGTAGAAAAGAGTCCGAATCATCATATGTATTAAATGCATCAGCTGCTCAGCCTTTCTGCTCAGGTGTCATCCGTTGTGCTGATCATTGGGTGCCTAAAATCGAACAAAGATTTGAAACTAGGGCCGGACTAGTGGGCCCGATCGAGTTAGCGTCAACAGTCTCCTACACCCGCTGACTCCCTTTCCTCTTTTCTTCTCTTCTCCTCCCACACGTTCGCTTACACATACTCTCGTTTTGATATACGGTAGACAACATGCGTCTCGCCAAACTCTCGTTTCTCCTCCACGCTCTGCTCCTGACCGCTGTTGCGGCTCAGGTCCAGAAGCGGGACTCCAGCAACCTGGTCTCTGACATCGTTGGCACTAACGACTCTGCCACTGCGTCCGATGCTGCCGCTACCACCACTTCTGCCGAAGCCACCACTACATCGGAAACACCAACAACCACCTCGGAAACTTCCTCGACCTCAACATCAACCTCTACATCCTCCTCGACCAGCGAAGAGCCCACCACCACTACCTCCACCACCTCCACCACATCGGACGCTGCCCAGACCACCGCTGCACAGCCCGCCAAAACCACCAGTTCAGAGGAAAGTGCCAAGACCACTTCTACTTCTTCCTCCGAAGACCAGAAGAAGACAACCTCGGCTTCGACCACCTCGACCACCCAGACTCCAGTTGTGGAAACCATCACCTCGTACGAGACCATTAGCGGAAGCACCTTGGCTAATGTGGTGACCACTACATCTACCCCAGCTGCTGCCACTAGCACTGCTGGCCTTAACGCAGACAGTTCGTCCTCTGGCAGCAGCAGTGGCCTGTCTTCCTCCGATAAGAAGATCATCATCGGTGTCGTCGTGGGTGTCGGAGGTGCGATCGTCCTGGGTGTCCTGGCAATTGTCATCTGGCGCATCCAAAAGAAGCGCAGTGAGGCATACGGTGATGAGGATACTGATCTGATGGGTGGCACTGCCGTTGGCTCTGGGCCTCGTGAAAAGGCTTCCAGCCCGTCAGGTGGCACCCCCTTCAAGAGTACACTGGACCAGTACCACAACCCTGGTCCCGTCAACGCTGCATCGAACTTCTAAAGAAATGGGTAACACCATTTCCTTTGTTGTTTATTTTTCGATTCCTTCTGGCCCCATGGGCAGACAGCAGGCGGTTCATATTTGAAAGTGTAAAAATCTCTGTACGATGATCATGCAATTCTCAGGCGCAATGGGCAGGGCAGGCGAAGATCACGGTTGCTTTTTTTCTTCTTTGGTTGCGGGTCTCATTTTACTGCTTGGGCCAACTTTGCCCGTTTCATTCTTTTCCGTCATAGACTCCACTGTTTTTCACTCCTTGAGCGCTACCAGCAACCTCGACACTCCTTATATGTGATCGCCCCCTCTCTTGATCTTGTTCCTATCTCCAACACTTTCCTGGCTACATTTTTCTTTCGGCTTAGCCTCGTTTTGATTCCCCATGTCGAAGCACTTGATCTTACTGATTATCCTGTCTCGATATCCTGATATCCTGTTACTTAATTACATCTCCTTCCTACTACTGTTGATCCTGCTAAGGATGCTTTAGATTGTACATTGTTCCTGGGTGAAAATGTAAAAGTTTTGATTTCGATCCTCATATCTCTGTAGTCTTGTGTGCCGCTCTACTGTACCAGATTGAAGGTGATGATCGACTGCAGTAGTCGGGTCTGCGTCATCGCGATAGATCGCGTTGATCCCTACGGAATAGTGTAATTGAACCCTAATTGAGGTCAAGCGGTGTGAACATGCCCACGGAGGTAAGCTTGGTTCTACACGGCATTGAACTCAATCAGTCTAAGCATTATACACTTCGACCTTGGAGATTAGAACCTCGAATCATCGAGCCCTTGCACTCCTCTGGATGCCCTAAGTACCCGAAATGGAAACGCGCCGCCGAAAATCGGGCTGACTCACAGCTCCGGGGACGGAGAAACCCACCCCGCTATCAGTGTGTCATCGCATACTATTTTATTGAACTTCCCTGTTCTATTCTCATAGCATATACCCTATACCCTCTTCCAATTCGCCTCATACTTCCACTATGTCTCAAAAGATTTGGCTGCGTGCTGAGACCAAGCCCGCTGAGGCTCGGTCTGCTTGTGAGCTCCCCCCACTCCACTCCAGCGTTATCGGTGAGGGGCGATTATGATTGTTTGCTAACAGCTTCATGTAGTGACTCCGACCACCTGCAAGGCATTGATGGATGCTGGATACGACGTGACTGTTGAGCGCTCCACTCAGCGCATTTTTGATGGTAAGTCTCCAAGTTCAAGTTTCGAGCTACAATGACTCACACTCTCAACAGACGAGGAATTCGCCAAGGTTCGCCCATACCCCCCTTTCCACGATCAAGCAAACGTCCTAACCATGCCAATGGCTATAGATCGGTGCTCCCCTTGTTGAGGAAGGCTCATGGGTGAAGGATGCTCCCAAGGATGCCGTTATCCTGGGTCTCAAGGAGCTGCCCGAGGAGGACTTCCCCTTGGAGCACGTTCACGTCACTTTCGCCCACTGCTACAAGCAACAAGGTGGCTGGGAGAACGTCCTGAGCCGCTGGCACCGGGGCAATGGTCTCTTGCTTGACCTGGAGTTCCTCACCGATGAGGTTGGCCGCCGTGTTGCTGCCTTTGGCTTCTCGGCTGGTTACGCTGGTTCTGCTTTGGCCGTGAAGAACTGGGCCTGGCAGTTGGCTCACCCTAACGGTGCTCCTCTGCCCGGTGAGGTTCCTTACGCCAACCAGGACCTCCTCATTGCGTCCGTGAAGGAGAGCGTCGAGGCTGGTAAGAAGATTGCTGGCAAATACCCTACCATCCTCGTCATTGGTGCTGTAAGTAACCACTCGTACGATTGAGCTATTGGTAATGTGCTGATATGTGTATAGCTTGGTCGTTGCGGTAAGGGTGCCGTGCAGTTGGCCAAGGATGTCGGTATCCCCGAGTCCAACATCATTCAGTGGGATATGGCCGAGACCAAGAAGGGCGGTCCCTTCGAGGAGATCGTTACCAGTGATATCTTCATCAACTGCATTTACCTCAGCGCTAAGATTCCTCGTGAGTTGTTTGACGTTGCAATTACTTTTCAACCCAAGCTAATGTTGCTATGCAGCCTTCGTGGACGTTGAGGCTCTTTCCACTCCCAAGCGCGCCCTGTCCGTCATCTGTGATGTTAGCGCCGATACCACTAACCCCTTCAACCCCGTGCCCGTTTACACCAGTGAGTGCTCTCCCCATCTTTCCCCTGAAACACAGACTTACAAATACCGCAGTTACCACCACATTCGACAAGCCTACTGTCCCTGTGATCCTGCCTGGCGACAGTGAGCCCCCTCTCAGCGTGATCAGCATTGATCACCTTCCTTCTCTTCTCCCCCGCGAGAGCTCTGAGCAGTTCAGTGAGGCTCTCATGCCCAGCCTTCTGCAGCTGAAGGACCGCACCACATCTCGTGTGTGGAAGCAGGCAGAGGAGCTGTTCCAGGAGAAGGTTGCTAGTCTGCCTGAGTCGTTCCGCTCTTAAGGAGCTTGTATTAGGTATGAAGGTTTACGATGAGATGGAACATTGATAGAATTTGGATTTGGGGCCACGGAGAATACTATAAAAGCCTTTGTATTGTCCATAGATGAAATTTCGGACATTTTCCTCCACGATGAAGACTTTGAAATAAAACAACGTAGACTTTGTGACGTTAAATTCCTGCCGAGATAGCCAGGCTGGTGGATGGTCTTATCTATGCTCTGAACGCCAAGTCACTTGGAGGTTTCAATGGTGTATGACGTTAAGCTGGTTCAAATGGAGATACTGTACTTGAGATATGGCATCCATCTGCACGAACCTTCAACTTGATCATCCTTTTGACCTTCTCAAACATACCTGTTCCAAATCGAAGCGCTGAGGGCACGAGCAGCAAACGGCTTTCGAGTGATTTCAAATAGCCTCACCTGATGATATATGTATGCGCAACCTCTGCAACTCCACCAAATTTCTACCAAGGCTCCGACCCCTCCCTTAAGCAACCATGGTCTTCATCAATGCGGGGGTTCCAATGCCTGACGGATATCCGAGGCATCCGTCGCGGGGAGATGACTCAGTGATGGGCCTTGGCCGGGGTCACGATTGGGCGCGGAGAAATAAATTGACCAGCCTAAGAATCCAGCTCTAGGGCAGCCAATGCCCGTGATAAGAATATCATCTATTATCCGGTCGGGCTTACCCCGTTTTGATCAGGGGTTTGGTACCAGAACCTGTTATTATAGATCGAAGCCCCGTCTTCTCCGCATGAACCCTACGGTCCACTCCCGCTCCCCTCTTCCCCGGCCTTGCCCGCAGAATTCTTCTCGGTTTCCCCAGTTCTTCATGCACAAGACCTTGAAGCTCAGAGCTACTCAATAACGGCATTTTTCTTACACTTACCCATTTTCGCTTGTCTCCCCAACCCGTGGGAAACACTCTTTTTGCCATTGTCACTTCGGTGCTGACGATGGGGTGCATGGGATCGCCAAGCTGATTCGCCTCACTTCTCCCTTACGCCACAAACCGCCGCGACATCCCCCCTCCAAACCTCACAAGCCTACATGCAGGAGAAGCCAACCACGGTCGCCGCCTACGCGGCCGGGGCCTCCCTCGCAGCCGTTGCACTATTCTACGTTTTCGGCCCCAATTACACAATCGACGGAGACGAGTCCAACGATAACAACCGCAAGAAGAGCATCGTGGGCCTGTCCAACGTTGCCAATGACTGCTTCATCAACTCCGTGCTCCAGGCTTTAGCCGGCCTGGGCGATCTCCGTGTCTATTTGATCCGAGAGTTGCACCGGCGCGAGCTGGACGGGCCGGAGATTTACAACGCGGTGCCGAGTGATGATGAGCTATCCCGCGGGGCGAAGCAAGACAAGACCCGGGAATTGCAGCAGGGGTTGATTACACAGGCATTGAAGGAGATGTTGGATCGATTGAACGAGCGGCCAATCTATAAGAAGACTATTTCGGCACGAGGGTTCATCCAGTCACTGGAGTTCGCGTTCCGCACGCGCATTAGCCGCAATCAGCAGGATGCGCAGGAATTCTTGCAGATCATCCTCGAGCGACTCTGTGATGAGTATCATGCTGGTGTTCGTGCGAGGAAGAATGCTCTTGGTCTTATTGGCGCGCCGGCTGGTCTGAGCGCGTCGGCGCCAGAATCCGAATCCAGTGCTTCCGATAGCCCGTCTGGGGTGGAGGTGCGGATTGATGATGGATCACCAAAGGGCTTACCAGCCATCATTGATACGAAACTCAAGGAGATCGATAATGAATCGGGATTTCTATTCGAGGGCAAGCTGGAGTCGCAGATTGAGTGCCAGTTTTGTCACTACCAGTACAAACCCAACCAGACAGCTTTCGTCAACCTCACACTGCAGGTGCCACAGAAAAGTTCTACCTCGCTCAACGCGTGCTTTGATGGGCTTCTGAAAACCGAGTACATCGATGATTTCCGGTGCGATCATTGCCGTCTACAACACGCCATCGGCCTGAAGACCCAGGAGCAGGCTCGGGCGCATTCGCAGAGTGATAAAGAGCGTCTGGGTCAAGAGATTGCCCGCATTCAAGAGGCATTGGAGAAGGACCCTGAAAGCGAACTCGAGGGCATTGAGCTGCCACCTTCTGATCTTGCGCCAAAGCGACGTATTGCACGGCATATGCGCATCACTGCTTTCCCCAAGGTCATTGCCATTCACTTGTCACGATCGATCTTCGACCGCAGTAGTTCCAGCAAAAATGCTGCAAAGGTCTCATTCCCCGAGCGACTACCCCTAGGAGGCATCTTGAACCAGACGTGGTACAAGCTCCTGGCAATTGTCTGTCACAAAGGCAGCCATCACAGTGGTCACTACGAGTCCTTCCGTCGTAATCACATCTACGCGCCATTCTCTACCCCTGAGGCATTCAGCTCGTATGCGCAGAGCCGTGTGCCCAGTGAGAACCCTTCCGAAGCTCCGAGTCCTCGCCTGGTACCTATAAATTCGGACGATACAAGCGGCAGCAGTAGTCTCTCACCTGCAACCTCTTCCACATCTCTATCGGGGACCCCCGTCACCCAACTTTCCCCTTCACTACCCCGCCCTACTACTTCTAGCTCGCGCCGTTCGCTTCAGAGCACCTTCTCTCGATCCTCCACTCCTCAACCGACTAGCTCAGACAGCAGTCCGACCCTAGATACCGCGCGGGCAAGTGTTTCGTCCGCCCCACGATCTTCTCGGACCATCCCGCGTTCCTCTGTGGAAACCCCCACGGGGATCGGATCACGACTTCGCCGAAAGCGCAAGTCGAACGATCGCTGGTGGCGGATCTCCGACGAAAAGATCAAGGAATGCAAGACCTCGGATGTGCTGGGCATGCAGAAGGAGGTATATCTTCTGTTCTACGAGATCGAGCGGCCCGAATCTAGCCCCGCAGCCGAGGGGCGTTTATAAGGGAGACGGCTTGGTTATTTTTTTTTTTTTTTTTTCCATTTTTTTTCATCTAGTGTAGACGAAGCATTTTCCGTATATAGGCGGCATGTACATGGGATGACGTGGTGTTGATATGCATAGAAATAAAACCGGTCGTCGGTTTCTCCAGCAATGGGAACAACAATAAAGACTACACTGATGTCACTAAAGCGGGAGGTCTGAGAACTGCAGATCCACAGGGCCTTCCCCTCTTAACCGGATTGTACACCGGAAGATTAGTGGGACGAATGCGAGCAGCCGGATTGAGGGGATGCGCTGTTTTCTATCTTGTTTGATTTAGCTTCGTATTATTGGTAGATTGAGGACAAGATTTTGTGTCGACTACAGCGCAATGGTGTGGGAGACGAAATACTTTTCCCGCGTGGTCAATCGAAGGACAGCGAATGGTCTCGAATTCCTCGGTTCCCCGCCGACGAACAAATTACGGAGTGAACGGGATTAAGTCTTTGCAGCTACTCCCTGGTAGATAGCACCTCCAAGGTTCATAGGTTGAGATTGAACTATCATTCAGGAGAGATATAGAGTTAAGCTAGTTCGATCGTGTTCTAAAAGTTCGATGTGAAATTGAATGGGTCGGACTACAAGCTCCCGGTTGAACCCCGCGGCTATGATGTTATACAACAGACGTAGGCCGAACGGTAACTCGCCCGATCACGGAGAGATTCGGAGGAATTGGGGATTCTCGTGCTTTCAAGACTATATATACTGATCCCGTAGCTCCCCCGTACAAGATTACTATTATCTTCTTAAATCACAGTGACCTCAGTTCCACAGGGTTTCAACCTAAGGTAAGCTCCACCTAACCGGTGAGAAGGTGTCGATGACGATGCTTGCCCCTCCAACTTTGCCCCTCCCTTACCTATTTTACCTGCCCGCTTTCGTCGTTCGGTAAAGCCAATTGTCACTTATAACCTTTTCTAACTTTCCCTTCTTTCTCCCTCTCTCCAGTCTCCGAATTTAACGAATTCTGTACATTTCAAATAATCACCATGGGTCTCACTGAAGTTCTCTCCCGCAAGTCCGGCGTCATCGTCGGTGACGATGTCCTCCGTCTCTTCGAGTACGCTCAGGAGCACAACTTCGCCGTTCCCGCCATTGTATGTCTTCCTCAAAAGCTCCCTTCACGAATTACTTACTAACCTGGACTAGAACGTCACCTCTTCCTCCACCGTCGTTGCCTCCCTCGAGGCTGCCCGCGATGCCAAGTCCCCCATCGTCCTGCAGCTTTCTCAGGGTGGTGCCGCTTACTTCGCCGGTAAGGGTGTGAGCAACGATGGCCAGGCCGCCTCCATTGCTGGTGGTGTTGCCGCTGCCCACTACATTCGCAGCATTGCCCCCGCCTACGGTGTCCCCGTTATCCTGCACACCGACCACTGCGCCAAGAAGCTCCTGCCTTGGCTCGATGGCCTCATGGATGCTGATGAGGCCTACTTCAAGCTCCACGGCGAGCCCCTCTACTCTTCTCACATGATCGATCTGTCCGAGGAGGAGGTCGAATACAACATTAACACCACCGCCGCCTACCTTAAGCGCGCTGCCCCTATGAAGCAGTGGCTCGAGATGGTAAGATTAAGCTCCATACCCCAAAAAGCAAGATGCATATCTAACAACCTTATAGGAGATCGGTATCACCGGTGGTGAGGAGGATGGTGTTAACAACGAGGATGTTGACAACAACTCCCTTTACACCCAGCCCGAGGACATCCTCGCTATCCACAACGCTCTTTCTCCCATCAGCCCCTACTTCTCCATCGCCGCTGGTTTCGGTAACGTTCACGGTGTCTACAAGCCCGGTAACGTCCGTCTCCACCCCGAGCTGCTCTCCAAGCACCAGGCCTTCGTCAAGGAGGCTCTCGGCTCCAAGAAGGACAAGCCTGTCTTCTTCGTCTTCCACGGTGGCTCCGGTTCCTCCAAGGAGGAGTACAAGGAGGCTATCAGCTACGGTGTCGTCAAGGTCAATGTCGACACTGACATGCAGTACGCCTACCTGTCCGGTGTCCGGGACTTCATCCAGAGCAAGAAGGACTACCTCCAGACCATGGTCGGTAACCCCGATGGTGCTGACAAGCCCAACAAGAAGTTCTTCGACCCCCGTGTCTGGGTTCGTGAGGGTGAGAAGACCATGTCCAAGCGTACCCAGGTCGCTCTTGAGGACTTCAACACTGCCGGCCAGCTGTAAAAAAAAAATTATGCCGTGATGTGTTTTATTTAAAGGGATTCCCCAAGCTTATTTCTATTGAACGTTTTACGCGATGATGCCAAAAATTTGGGCGCCGGGGATGTGGGCGTACTGTATGTAGCGAAATATCACACGTAATGAAGATATCAGATATGGTCTCGTGGCCGCCAATCTACATTTTGATGCAAGGAGTAAAAATCTGTAGGGTCATGTGGTATCGTAGATGTACGGCCTCGTGCCGGGTCGGCTGTGCAGTACAGTGGCGTTGCATTAGTTAGAACCACTCTCCACTCCTTAAAACAATATTCTGCCATGTTTTCTGCCAACCAAAGCCTCACATTCTTAGCTTAATAAGCTCGTTGATGTTGCAACACTGAACATTATTGAAAGCATTCTTAGTATATTATGTACAAGAATCGTATATTAGATGGTATTCACTTAACGAATCAGCGTGCTGCATTTTAGTAGGCGGTAAGCTATATATAGTAAGCGGTCTGAGAGGATGGGTTCAAACTCATGGGGCACTACTATGCAATGCGATAGAGGGGCTGATGCCTGGAGGCCTTGATAACTTGATGCCTTGCAGCCTGGCATTCAAGGTGTAAACAAGGCGTCAACGGCCACAACTCCCGCTGTGCAAATCTACGACAATCGAAATTTCAGTGGAACCAAAGCAGGTACTCATTCTATTGTGTCACTGCTACCCTGGTTGCATTGGGTCTGAGAATGGCCTAATGTTCCAGACTGTTACACACCTGCAGAGTATGATTGGTTCACCACGAGGCGCAGTTCTGGTCTACCCAATTAAAAATGGGTCAATGGGTCTACGATGGAGAAGTCAGACGTGTCGGAGAACGCCACCAGGGACTTACAGTACTGTAGTACACAGACGACTGGGGAAACATGTTGACGCACTCGAACCCACAGTCATTAACGGCTCGTCACTGTGAACTTTCACTCGCGTGGTCGCTTAGACGATCGGCAACGCCGCGCTGATCGACTTCTCTAATAATAGGGTGAATCCAGGCCTATCAATCTCCACTTTTCTTTCTTTCTTGTACATGTCTCACGTCGAACAACTTTGAGTCTTTTTCTCTAACCTCCTGATCATTTGCTTTATGGACCCTTGACCTGTTCGTATCACTCGCTTCATGGACCCTTGACCTATTCGCGGTCTCACTCTTCATGTGTCATTTTCGTTCGTTATTTCTGTGATACTCCATTTGTTTTTCTTGGGTTCGGGGACGAGATGGATCTGCATCAGAGGTTGCAGCTTCGCTCCGACTCGTCGGATGCGTTTCTTGAACTCATTGCGAATCCCTTCAAATCACAGGTAAGCGCAAATACACTAGCCATGAGTCTAGCCTCCGCTAATAACCGATAGTTCACCACCAGCTCCATCTGGGCTTCACTCGGCACATCCGTCGGTATCTCCCTGCTCCTCGCTATCCTCTTCTCCCTCTTCCGACCTCGTCACTCCCTCGTATACGCTCCCAAGGTCAAACATGCCGACCGAAAACACGCCCCGCCCCCGGTGGGCAAGGGCTTCTTCTCCTGGATCAAACCCGTTATCAGCACCCGAGAGGCGCAGCTGGTGGACACCATTGGACTGGATGCGGTTATCTTTTTGCGCTTCAGCAAGATGTGTCGCAACATTTTCATCTTTATGAGCATTATTGGCTGCGCAGTCATGATTCCAGTGAACTTGGCCGAAAGCAAGACCAGCAGTTCCTCAATCTCCACGTTCGATCTGATGACACCCCTCTACGTGACAAATCCGATGGCTATTTGGAGTCAGGTGGCATGCGCTTGGGCTTTTGATATTATTGTGGTCTACTTTCTCTGGAGGAATTACCGCGCTGTACGGACCCTGCGGAGACAGTACTTCCAGAGCTCGGATTACCAGCGGAGTCTTCATGCGCGAACACTCATGGTCACCGATATCCCTGCCCCAGACCGCTCCGACGAAGGCATTCTGCGCCTCACCGATGAAATTAATCCCACCGCCGCTTTGCCTCGCGCTGCTATTGGTCGTAATGTGAGGGATCTGCCGCGCATCATCAAGGAGCACGAGGACGCCGTGCGAGAGCTGGAGTCTGTACTTGCAAAGTATCTTAAGCGGCCCGATAATTTGCCTGCTAAGCGCCCCCGCATTCGTCCACCCCGCAGCCAGCGCGACAAGCACCCTGATGGAAAAGTGGACGCCATTGATTACCTGACTGTGCGTATTCGGGTTCTGGAAGAACAGATCAAGCATGGCCGAGCCTCTATCGACCGTCGCGATGCACAACCCTATGGCTTTGCTAGCTGGGCGAATATCGAACATGCGCACGCAGTTGCTTGGACAGCCCGTAAGAAGCACCCTAAGGGCACAACCATTAGGCTCGCTCCTCGCCCCAGCGATCTGATCTGGGAAAATTTACCTCTTACCAAGGCCTCGCGCAAGTGGAAACGATTCGCCAACTTCATCTGGGTTACTGCGCTGACCCTTGTGTGGGTCGTGCCTAACGGTCTGATCGCTGTTTTCTTGTCCAACTTGTCGAATTTGGGTCTCGTGTGGCCTGCTTTCATGACTCAGTTGGAGGCCAACCCAAATGTTTGGGCTGCTGTTCAAGGTATTCTGTCACCTGCAGTGACTTCGCTCGTTTATCTGGTACTGCCGACTATCTTCCGACGACTTTCAATTCAGAGTGGCAGCAAGACCAAGACTTCTCGCGAGAGGAAAGTCATGGGCCAATTGTATGCTTTCTTTGTCTTCAACAACTTGATTGTCTTCTCCCTCTTCTCTGCTGCCTGGACATTCGTATCTACTGTGATCGAGGATACCGATAAAAATGAGACTGCCTGGCAGGCCATTGTTGACAGTCAGCTCTACGAGAAGTTGGTGAGCGCTTTGTGCAATGTGTCTCCCTTCTGGATTACCTACCTCCTGCAGCGTAATCTGGGTGCGACCATTGATCTTGTTCAGATGATCAGTTTGTTCTGGGTGTGGTTCTCCAAGACTTTCCTTTCGCCGACACCACGTCAAGCAATTGAATGGACTGCGCCTCCTCCCTTCGACTATGCCAGTTATTACAACTACTTCCTCTTCTATGCCACCGTTGCCATGTGCTTCGCCACTCTGCAGCCAATCGTGTTGCCAGTGACCGCATTGTACTTTGGTATCGATGCCATGTTGAAGAAATACCTGCTCATGTACGTGTTCGTCACGAAGAATGAGTCCGCCGGTGCATTCTGGCGGGTCGTTTTCAACCGCATGGTCTTTGCAACAATTCTTGCCAATGTTATCATCGCCCTGGTCGCCTTGTCACAGGGTACTCAGACCATGGCGTATTGTGTCATCCCACTCTTGTTCTTGATGGTCGGTTTCAAGGTTTACTGCTCGCGGACATTTGACCCAGACTGCGAGTTCTACAACCGTGCCAATCTTACCGATGCAGAGGCTCTCGGCCCTACCAAGATTGACAAAAAGGCATCGGACCGCCTCAACGCCAAATTTGGTCACCCAGCTCTGTACAAACCTCTTATGACCCCCATGGTCCACGCCCGTGCAGCCGAAACACTCAAGAAGATCTATCAGGGTCGCTTGGATGGCGGCGAGCATGTGGGCGAATACTCCGATATCGCCATGAACCCGATGCTCCCGTCCGAACCCGGCAAGGCTGCCGATCCGGCGCCGTTCGAGGTTGTCCCCGAGAACCATCTGGACTTCTCATACTACAAGGACCGTCCCGATTTCCGCGAAGAATTCGGCGGAGGCATCTACGGTCGTCCGGAGGACTTGATGACAGAACGCTCACAGACCCCTCGCAGCACATTAGGCGGCGAGTGGTCTCCCAGCTCTTCGCGTGCCTCTTCCCCTGCTCCCTCTTTGCCATCAATGTCTGCCTTAAGGCTACATGATAACTACGAGACGACTGACCCCTCAGGTCTCATCCATCCTGCATTCCGTGTTCCACTTTCGCGGGGCGACAGTGGCAATGATGTCGGTGGTGGCTTTTATCAAAATGCCAATGAGAGCGAGACAAGACTTCTCAGCAGTGCGCAGACACCCGCACAGACTGACACCAACCCGCTTGATCGCTGGCGTGCGGGAGGCAATGGTTATGGTCCTGTTGAGCAGCAAACGGAGGAAGAGCATAATCCGTACACGTACACTTCGTACGATGCGTATCGGGCGCCGCGTTAACCCCGTCAGTGAACATACGGGGGCTTTTTGTGCATATATCTGTTTTCATCCTTTGTATATTTTGGCGAACATTTATTCCGGTTTTAGACGGCGATTTAGAGTCTATTGTGTACGAGATCACGATTACTATCTTTTTGAACATTTTCCATCAAGCAAGACTTGAATTCATGCTTGTTATATAGAACATAATTTCCTTTGACACGAATACCGTCAAACCAGACAAGACATTGCTCACCTTTCCCACATTATTCAGCCTAAATCTGAATAGAAGACCTCGGTATCTGACCACGGCATATCCGTCGTCGAAGCCGAAGCCATACTCGCAGATGAAAAAGGCAATGATCTCTACTCTAACCACCGAGTATCGATCCAACACGAGGTTGCGGGGTATAAACACCAATAACAAGCATTTAAATAAGGTGTCCTGAATGATGCGACGTTAATTCGCTGCCGAAAGCCATCGCGCTATCGGAACTCTCTCCGCGCTGCACGTACCTGATGCAACCCAGATACCCAATCACGATGCATATCAAACCCACGAGCATTTGTTTAATCAATCAGACTTAAGGCTTAACCAATTGCCAATTAACCGGTTGAGATTAGTGTGACGGTTGGGGCCGCCAGTACCTTTCTTGGCAGTTTATGCAGTCGATCTATACCCCAACGACACTTGTATTCAGTACGCTGTACGGCACCCGATATACCCGGTCATCTCGCATTAAACTAGCCCAACTTAATTGCAATCTGATTATGCCCGTGTGCCCTGATATTGATCTAATTGGCATATAATCCCGGTGCGAAGTGCGGTGATCTAGAACAACCCCTCATGCTTCGCTTACAGTCTAGAGTATACTCCATCCCCACGTGTGTACGAAGTACACCAATTTCCCCAATGCAACCATGCAACCTGTCAGATCCAAATCGCAATATAAAAGCACAATATCCGCTGATCAAAATGCATTCCTCAGGAAGCACAGCTCAATTGACTCCCCTCCACCATGCATCCCAGCGCTCTAGTCGGCCTCTTGGCCTTCGCCGCGGCGACCCAAGCCGTCCCCACAAACCCTAAGCAGGCACACTCTTCTTCTTCAATCTCCAACCTCAAGTCTAAGATTAAGAATGTCGTCGTCCTCTGCATGGAGAACCGGTCCCTCGACAACCTCCTCGGTGGTCAAACCCACAAGGGCCTCGAGAACCCCATCAACAACGGCCCATACTGCAACCCCTACAATGTGACTGACCCCTCGCAGGGACACCACTGCACTGAGGCACGGGACTACAACTCCGTCACTGATGATCCCAGCCACGCTGTGACTGGTAACACTATGGAGTTCTACAGCAACTGGTCGCCTGATAACAAGCTCATTGCTGAGGGCAAGTTGTTGCCCAACAACAACGGTTTCATCCATGAGCAGATTAACAACTATGGTGAAGATGCGAACAAGACTGTTCTTGCTAAGCAGGTTATGAACTATTATACCGAGGCTGAGGTGCCGGTCCTTACTTCTTTGGTTGAGAACTTCTTGACTTTCAACCACTGGCACTCTGACGTTGCGGGTGTAAGTGTTCTCTGCCTATTCTTATACTTTTTCTTTAACTGACTGATATGAAGCCTACCGATCCTAACCGTTTTGCTCTTGTTGCTGGTACATCTGCCGGTCACGGTTCAAACGACGACTCTTTTGGCACTTACGCTTTCACCCAGCGCTCCATCTTCCAGCAGCTCGGCGAGACCAACCACACCTGGTTGAACTACTGGGACACAGCCGGCGGCACTGGTCCCGAGGCACAGTGGTTCGAATGGACAAAGGAGACAAGCAACGAAGACAAGGTCGTCCCCATGACACAATTCTACACCGACGCTGAATCCGGTGTTCTGCCTGAATTCTCCTACCTGAACCCTTCGTGCTGTGGTGTCGGCACAACATCCATGCACGACAGCGGTCTGATCTCAGACGGCGAGGCATTTATCAAGCGGGTCTATGATTCGCTCCGCAGCGGACCTCAGTGGAACGAGACCCTGTTCGTCTTGACCTTCGATGAGACGGGTGGATTCCACGATCACGTTCCTCCTCCACTTGCGCCCCGTCCGGATAATCTCACCTACACTGAGACTGCTCCTAACGGAGAGAGCTATACTTATGAGTTCAACCGTCTCGGTGGACGTATTCCTACTTTCTTGATCTCGCCTTGGATCTCCAAGGGCGTTGTTGAGCAGAAGGGAACTAATAACCGGGGCAAGACTGTTTCGTACTCTGCTTCCTCGGTTTTGAGGACTCTGGGCTACCTTTGGGACTTCGCTCCTTTCAACCCCCGTGTTGATGGAGCTGCTTCGTTCGATCATTTGATTCAGAGCACCCCGCGCAAGGATGTGCCTACTGCCCTTCCTAGTGCCATCACGTTTTGACAGGCTAGTAATGATATCCAGACTGGGGGAGGTAGAAAATTACCGAGTGGGCCGGGGGTATTGATGATCACTGTTTTGATTCTTTATGAATTTGTCTAAGATTACGTTTTTATGTGGTAGATCGATGTAGAAGGAAATGGACAAACAGATAGAATTCTCTTACAAGCTTGATTCATCACGCGATTATACCTAGTAAAGAGGCACATCATAGGCATCAAAGTCATACGTCCAAGTGTCGTACGACTTCTTGTCGAACACACAGTCCAAAGTAGTACCATTGTTCTTCCAAAGAGGACGCAAAGGCCAAGCACACAGATCTTGCTGCTCGCCCTCATGAGCACCGGACATGATAGTTGCATTCAGACGATCCGGTTTGTCCCCATTCTCAACCCACTCAATCAAAGTCTCAAGTGTAGTACGAGGGAAAGGACCATTGGGCTGGTCATCACTAGGAGCGCAGTGTGCAGCACCTGGGATCAGGTACAGACGGTTCCAATCATTCAATGCCTTGGTTCCCTCCTCAAATGAAAGATTGCCGTACATGACCTTGCGCACCATCTCGTGGTAGTGCACGGAGGAACCAGTCGGGATACTAGGGTCTGACTCGCCGTGGAAGTGAATGATTTTTCCACCCGCTTCCTGGAACGGAGTCAGATCGGGCCAGGTTGTCTGCAGGACATCTTCGTAGCGCTTCCAGCCCTCAACCATCCACTCGGTCATGGTATCGTAGGTGACGTTGTCCAGGGAGTCGATGTTGTCTGCGTCGCGGAGCTCGAGGAATCGGGCAACCCATTCACCACCCAGTGAGGTGATGTCTAGCTCCCACTTGCCAGTCTCGGAGTTGTACTCGGTGTCGGCATCACCAAAAGTAGCAGTGGGCTGGTACCAGATGTAGGCACGCTTGCCATCGAGGGTGTGGAGACCGTCGAGGATCTTAGCAGCCACGGCGACACCTTCGGCCGTCACGGTTCCGTTCTGAGCGGGGGTGGTGCTGGTCTCCGAGGTACGCTTATCGAGGCCACGCTTCAGGACGGTCGTGGTAGAAGAGGCGGCGCAGTGGTAGTGGTGGCCAATAGTGGAGTTGATATTGAAATGCAGCTTGCAGAGATCTGTGCGGCCGACAACACCGTCCACTTTGCCGTCAAGAGCATCGCAAGCCTTGATGGTGAGGTTGTTGATCATCTCCAACTCACATGGAGGAGGGTAGTAGCCCATGGTGTGCTCAACCAGGTTACCGTACAGGTGGTTCACCTGTTGTTGACCCATACGAATAGCAGGAGCACCGATGACAGCTCCATCCCATTCATCAGGGAACCGCTGGACCTGGCTCCAGCCTTCACGACCGCCCTCAGAGCAGCCCTGGTAGTAGGCGTATAGCTTCTCCGAGCCCATGTCGTAGAAATTCTTGCTGAACGCTTTGCCGATTATGCTCATTTCGTAATGAGCCTGGTAGCCCTGCATGTAGAGAGCCTGCCGGTTGATAGTTCCATTGGCCAGCAGGAAGACGGCGTCGAGCTCGGTGCTGAAGCCACCATATCCACCATCAGTCTGGCCAGATACGGCGCCATATATGACACCACCAGGAAGGTCACCCTCATCACCGTTGATCGCATAACCGAAACCACCAGTGGAGAGCCAGCGGTTTTGAAACTTCTCAGGTGCTGGGAGCCAGAACTCTAGCAGTACCTCATCATCTGCGATGCCGTTGTGAGAGTAGGCCATGGTGACATTACAATAGTCATATCCATATACATCGGGCCAGTCGTCTTCATCGGTGGTCGACGCATTGTAGACTGCATTGGCAGTAATGGAGGCAGGGTGCAAAGTCAAACCTTGGAACTTGTCCGAGGCAGGTAGTGCCTTCTTAGCGTATGCAGTGGTACAAACATCCTTCAAGCTCGCCGCCTGGACGACTGCAAGTCCGATCCCACCGGCCACAAGACTCCTTTGAAACTTCATGTCGTTAGACGAGAGACAGTATAGAGATGAACGTGATTCGAAGCTTGAGCCAAACCCGGTTGCCGTTTATATACCCTTTATCTTGAAAAGCGACATTTGAACGTATTGTTCGGTCAATTCTCGGATAATCCCAACGGTTGTGTCGTGCCGAAAACGGATCCACAAGGATGACGAAGGCGGCGCTCGCATTGGCACATAGATACAGAATTGTGGGGTATTACCCGGATCAAAAGCAGACTATTCGACTTCATCGTCAGTCGGACGCGTGTAATACCTGCTTCAACCAGGCCTGGAAAAAGATATAACAGGGATTCAAGGGGAGCTTTGGGTGTGACGAAGGGAGTTGCGCGTTTCTCGGGAACGTCCCGCTGTGGAAAGCCAATCTTTACAACCGCTGAAGCATTTGATACGTCCGCCTAAACAAATTTTTCTCTAGGCTCCGATAATTGTGGGTTATTTCGATGATCAAGCTTATTCCAAGCTTCTTAGCCTCATCTTGGTTTGGCGATCGGCGTCATGCTGGTTGGAAATGGCCGATTCGGCTAGATAATATACGCGATAGTGATGCCTGTTGCTATTTTCAATCACAGGCAACTCAATTGAAACATGGCATTTGATAGAGCCATTGGTCTGTAAAGTGGTAGATATGTATCCACTCGTCTTTATCATTCGGAATCTGCCAGCCTCTAGTAGCTTGTACATATGAATGCATCCAGCATGAAATTATGCACGAATCTATACATGCAGGTTTCCGGAGTATAAGACACGGGGCCAATCAGAGTCGATTTCACTTACTCTCTTTGTACATATCTCGCTATAGTGATTGCATGCTTCAAATTCAAAGTAAACCACAAGAAAGAAAAGAAAAGAAAGAAAAAAGGAAGGACCGCCGACGGAAGGGTTTGAGCCTCCGCTCTGTCAAAGTCCCTGCCTTCTGTTCGGCCCGAGAGCTACCGACCTTAAGACCCATTGTCTGTAACTATATTGACAATAATATGACAAGGATGAGCATGGGCATTCGGTAGTTCCAGGAATCGAACATGGGCGGTTGTTTGGGGTTGACTGTGTTAACCACTACACCACGTCGGCCGGTCATTGACTGATGATATAGTCACGTGGTGATAAGGCGACGCGCTAGTACTTATATAGCAATAGTTTCGGCTATGGCCGCCCGTCCAACACACTTCTCCACCAAACTTGCCCACTAGTGTCCCATTCTATACACCTTGGATGATTAAGCTTCCAAAATTCGGCTCTGACCATTGTTATCTCAGATAATTGGTAGCTTCACAATACTCAGGGGCTTCCATAGATATTTCTCAGGATTTGCCACTTAATTTTCCTGGCTAGGCTGAATTGACGAAATGACCACTGTGCAGCAACATTCATGTCGACCCCATGCCTGTGGTACGACAGCCCGTAGACCTTGATACGAACGCATCTCATGGGTGAACAGCGTAAGGTCTATACCTATCGCTCGTTACCGTGACAAATATCGCACCATGATATTCACTCCAGTCGGATTACCCGACACCCAAAGTAAATATATATCTAAAATCTCAAAATGCGGTATCAGCTTCGTATGATTGCAATCGACGCCGCCGGTCATCTGAGTAGTCATTAAAGCACTTAAGCAGAGATAATAGAGTAACCAACTATCTGCCCAGGCAGGTACATCATAGTCCAAAGCAATTGTGCCGAAGAACTCAAGTTCATGCTCAGGTGATGATAAATTACCCAATCGGGATGAGATCGGGCCTCGGTCTCCGCTTTACCGCGCCTCCACTCGTTCCTGAACATCTCCAACTGCAGCTTGTATTTGCTTTTTCTCTTTCCGCTTCCCCGGATTTGAAGCGGTGGAAATAAATCTATCGCCAGGCACCGCATTTCTCCGCATACAACTCACTTCTCTTTCCTTCTCTAGGGACCGTGCGGGGAGGGAGGTTCCTCGGACTTGATACATCGCTTTCGCAACCGACCCTTGCGCGCCACCGTCGCCCAGGTATCTGCAACGCCGAATATCCCTAATCTCGGATATGGGAGGAGCTGAGAAATAACCACCGACCGGAAACAGCGCCCACAAGGAATCCAGCTTGTGGCCACCAAATTAAGCGGCTACACCCGGAGAGGCGACCACATATCGCACCTATCTCCAAGCTGACTGCGATCACTACTTGAGCTCGAGAATACACCTGACCACAAAAGCTATGGCGTGGTATTCTATTCTCCCACCACAGCTCACCCAGGTCGAGAGCTGGGCAGTCCGGATCTTCGTATGCGCTCATTCTTCCTACACTCTACTTGCTCCTTGCTAACATTGAATCTACAGCTGCTTCTCGGCCTCATCACAATCGTCCCCTGGTTCGCACTCATTATTTTCGATGCCGGCCTATGGATTTACCGAATAATCTTGTGGGAACTACCGTGGGTAGGTGGACGTGCACGTGGCCAACAGCGACCTCGAGCACCGAGTCTGAACGAACGGCCCGACGGACAACGACGGGCGTTTGGACTGCGTGGCGTGGAGAGTGATTCTGGTCCGGATCAAGAACCGGAGGGTGATGCACTGGCGGATGGGAACATGGGCAAAGAGAACATGGCACCCACCACTGGTGCGTCGCATTCTAGCGTGGACGGAGAGGCCAAACACAGAGCTGGTCGAGCCTGACCAGTTCTCTCTTTTGCAGCAGTCTGGATGTCACTGTTAGCGGTGTTTGTGGGGATATGGCGCTTATGGTGTTAGCCTAAACGGCTTTTAAATGGGATGCATTGCATGCAATCTGGGTCGAGCGTTTAAATATTATTCTGTGAATATACCTTATTATTGTGTTTATAGTTCCGAGCTGATAAGTTGTGAAACAAATCGGATTCCGAGGGAGTTCCTCATAGCACTTTGATCAACTGGTGTTAGTGTTGGAAGAGGTCCTGCTGTTCCTAGTGGGGGCAGCATAGTTCGGGTTCAATGATGATGGGAGTGTACGTCTTGCTTGACTAAGTCCGAGACGTAAGGAAAAGAGTTATCGGAGAATATGGTGAGTATACGATAAAGTGGAGAACATAGCAGGATATAATTTCCTTTTTTAGATTCGACCCCTCTGCGGAGTCGATCCATGGTTTGACCACTTTGAACCTCACACTCATGTCTATTCTCTATTCGAGACTTGGACTTCTGAATCCTTGGTCATGAGACGTGGTGTACAGGCTACCCCAGACGGGATGGTAGAATTCATATACGGGCAGATGAAAGTGATCACTTCATCTGAGCCCTTATCTCTACGATCCCTGATCGGGGTCCTTGTTGTAGGATTATGCCTCTGTTTATATCGCTGGTTTCCACGACCTGTCGCCCCAGCAGTATCCAGAGATAACAAAAGCCCGGCGATCACACCTTTGAATAATTTCGACTGGAAAAGTACAGAGCCACTCCAATTCCGTCCATTTCAAGGAAAGGAAAAGTATAACTTGACTATGGGTAGGAGCTATATCTCTACATCAAACGAAACTAGCTAATGAACTCCCAGCAATTGAGAATCTAGACCCATCGGATCTTATAACGATAGACAAAACATACAAAGACCGACTCGCCCTCCGGAAACAGCTTCTTGAACAACACCATGACATCGTAGTCGCGGTCAACAACACCCAAACAGCAGATACACGAGTTCACTCCGCAGTACGCGAACTATACACTTTCGTCCTGGGAAAATACCTCCCATCCCGGTACCCAGTAACATTCAAACTCCACCCCAGTACGGACAACAGCTCAGATATCTTCGAAAATACAGTAACAGGCGCATCATGGCCGACAACTCTACACGCAGAAACACCCACAATCCGCGCCCTGGAAATCCTAGCACAAACGGTTGATGAAGAATTCCTCATTCTACTTCCAGATGTCTCGTCTCCCGATCAGCCCAAGTATGTACTTCAGGCATATGCGACATGTTTCCCATCGGGCTTCAACACGCGCGAGAAGCTCGGGTTGCGACTAGCTGATATCCATACACCTGTGCCTGGGTATGCAGATAAGCTGGAGCGCAGTATGGATCGATTCTTTGCGAAGGTTGAGGTTGGGAGGTTTGTTAAGAGGGTGAACTGGAGTGTTACGACGGAGACGGAATTGTTTGCGGCTTTTGGGTCTGTGCATGGGTCGCATGTTCCTGAGGATAAGCCAGACGGAGAACAGGCTCTCCGGCTTGAGGAACTGAATATTGATCAGGTTTGTAGCCATCTTCCTTTGCGGAGCGTTGTGCTGATTCAATATAGACGGTTTTGCGCTGTGAGCGCCAGACTTTGCATCGATTGCCGGAGTCTAAGGCGGTTGTTTTTGGTTTTCATACGTATACCTACCCCATACGGCAGATTAAGGATGAGGGGCTTGGAGAGGACTTGGCCGTTGCTATTGATGGTTTGAAGAAGGGTAATGTACCGGCGATGCATGCCTACAAGAGAGGGGATTACTGGGGAGAGGCCGTGAAAAGGTTTCTACGGTCTTGAGAAAGTGTTCAGAGGAAGTCTTTAGCATAATCGCTTGCAGCGATATCTTTTCATTCATCAGATTCTTAAAGCTTTTGCATATCTATTTTATCATTATTTCACTGTACCTGACTTACTGCAGGCGCTGAACGACCTTAATCAGATCAGCGGACACACCCATGGCAGTGACATCACCACCAGCACCGGCACCCTGCACGATGAGAGGGTTGGCGCCGTACCGCTTGGTGTAGAAGCTAATGATGTTGTCACTACCCTTGAGGCCAGCAATGGCGCTGTCCTTATCGAAGTACTGCAGACCAACATTGACAGCCTTGGTAGCAACGTCAATGCTACCAACGTAACGTACGACCTTACCCTGCTTCTCAGCAGTGTTCTTGACCTCAGCCATCTGGGCATCGAACTCGGGCAGGCGAGTCATGAATTGAGTAATGCCATCGGAAGAGGAAGGCAGCTCGGCCAGCTCGGCGGGGATGAGCGACTCAATGGGGAAGGAGTCAGGACGAGACACCTCCAGACCAGCCAGACGGGCCAGGATAGTAAGCTTGCGAGCAACATCCATACCGTTTAGGTCATCACGGGGATCGGGCTCGGTGTAGCCAAGCTCCTTAGCCTGGGCAACGACAGCGCTCCATTGGGCATCCGAGGATCCGGAGGCAGGGGCGAAGTTGTTGAAGAGGAAGGAAAGGGTACCGGAGAAGACACCCTCGATGCGGGTGACTTCGTCGCCGGTCGCGACGAGGTCCTTCAGGGTGGACAGGACGGGGAGACCGGCGCCGACAGTGCTCTCGTGGTAGACGAGGGCCTTGCCCTCGGCGGCGGAGGCGAAGATGTCCTTCCACAAGGAAAGGTCATCAGAGAAACCTTTCTTGTTCGGGGTGACGACGGAGATGCCCTTCTTCAAGAATGTGGGGTAGGAGCGGGCGAGGTTGATGTCGGAGGTGTTGTCAACCAGGATAGCGCGACCGGGGGCAGCGGCGAGGTATGCGGCAATCTCCTCGGCGGGCAGAGCGCCTTTCTTCACGAGCGAGGGTGCGGCGGAGGCAGTTGCCCAGTCGGCCGCGGGGATGGCGGGGGAGTACGCCGGTGTCGGAGCGAGGAGGGTCTGCGAGGAGCGGGCGAGGAGAACGAGCTGGGGGGCATTGGGGATACGAGCGAGCTGGGACAGGAATGCAGTACCAACGCCGCCGACGCCTGGAGATGTTAGTATTTTTTTGGTGGGGTTATGGCCTAGAGGTATGAAGCCTGGAGCTTGAAAAGATGGAGGGGTAGCGTACCGACAACACCAAGGTAGATAGGGCTGGACATGATGAGTCAATGAATCAATTCTTGGTGATTGAACTGAAACTGAGTATATTTCAAAGAAATCGAATGTACAAGGGGGGATATCAATTGAAACCAAGTACAATGAGATGATTGAGTAGATTGCGAGCTTGACTCACTTTAACCTTGCGGACTCGGCCCGGGGTTATGTAATCCTAGTCTATTGCAGTGGGCCCCGGGGGCGTGTTTAGATTGATTCACCTACACATTCCGACATTAGAGCTATTCTCTATACATTGAAAGCTCGGAAGCGTCCTGATCTAACGGTCAGCCGTTCATAGACTGTATGTCAATCAAGTTTGTAGCTTAGGAGTACCCTCTCATTGTAAGTGACATCTTAATACATATCTTCATGGAGTGTCCTCCATGAGAATGATGAGGCACACGGTGAGACTGCTTAGCATAGATCTGCCCTGGCTTTGCTCTTCTTTCATTAGATATTTGCATAGTATCAGTAATTAATAATGATCATTACCATGAAATGAATCTAGGAACTGTCTCGATCTCTAAATTTCCTAGTTAGGTTAGTCCGGTTTATATTAATATCTTATCTTATCGTCTTCCATATCACTCCAGTTCACCATCGACACACTGCTCAACCACAACGCCACAACCATGGCCTCCGACCAATCTTCTCTATACGGAAAACGCCGTACAAAACCAACCAAAGGCCCAGACATCTCCAACTCATCCAACCTCGCCTTTACCTCGCAGCTCTCCTCCCTCATATCCCAAGACTCCAGCACAGGCCGCGGCCGAGCACGCCCATCCAAGACCCCCAAAACCGACCTCTTCGCCAAATCTAACAAAGGAGCCGAGAAGCGCGCAGCCTCCGACCTCAAAGATGAAGGCCACACCCAAGTCCACAAAAGCAGCAAGGATATCGGCCACGTCGATGACGCCACCCTCAGCCGATCCAAGCGCAAAATGGACGCAAAAGTACGCCTATATAACGACCTGAAGAAGGGATCGCACCTAGCAGCCGACAGTAGTGATGAGGATGAAGAACCCAGCCACAAAAAAGCCCGAGGCGAAGATTACTACTCGCGGCTACGGCGCAAAGAAAAAGAAGGACTGGTGGATTTCGATCGCAAGTGGGTGGACGAGGAACGCAAGCGCGATGGATCCCAGGATACCAGTGACGATGATGAGGACGATGACAATGCGTCTCAGGTATCATACGAAGATGAGTTCGGGCGTTCGCGCCGCGGTACGAGGAAAGAGGCTGCTATTGCGGCGCGCGCGAAGGAGGAGGATCAGGGTCGCGTGACACGGGAACGGTGGCAGCCTGCTAGACCAGAGAATCTTATTTACGGCGAGACGATCCAGGCCGAAGCGTTCAACCCTGAGGAGAATGTTGCGACGCAGATGGCTAAGCTTGCTGCGCGACGGGATCGGTCTGCTACGCCGCCGGAGGAGGTGCATTACAATGCTGATGCGGAGGTTCGAAATCGGGGTACTGGGTTTTATTCATTCTCGGGGAACCAGGAGGAGCGGAAGAGGCAGATGGAGGATTTGTTAATGGCGCGACAAGAGACGGAGCAGCAGCGACAGGCTAGGATCGATAGGAGGACTGAGTGGGAAGAGAAGACTAATCACCGGCGGAGGGAGCTTGCTGAGTTGCGAAGTAAGAGGATGACAGAGAGGCTTTTGAAGGGTCTTTCTAACGAAGGGCTTTTGGTAAACCAGCCGAAGACTTGAGAGCTATAATGTACTTTTACACGATACCCAATACTTTCTTTTTCATGCCAGATGCAATAAATGGCATTTGATTGTCAGGACTAATATTTCATGATGACCTTAGACCAATTAGAATGCAAGGAAGTCAGCGCAAGCAAATGGATCAAGAACGCTACCAAGGCACAAAGAACAAAGCACGACTCGGCTTCAATAACTTCATAGCCACTCCAACTGACCCTAACTTTTGATCTTGATCATGACAATCATAACAGCATAACTCGTCAGTCGTAAGAGTCTAGAGCATATCTAATGCACTATGGCCCATATCACAAGTATAGCAGTGTCTACCGAATAGTCATCGCTATATCTTTCATCGTCTCCAAGAAGGCGTCGGCATCTAGATAAGCTTTAGTTAGCACGCTGAAATCCAATTTTTCACGGTATACGCACCACTCCGACTACCAAACTTCAAGATGTGTTCCCCACGGTTTGTTGTAGGCGGATTATAGTCTTCTGCCGACATAAGGATGGTAAGCTTCAGGTCACGCACAGCCACAGTCCGCGAATCCAAGGACTTCAACCAGCCCCGTCGCTTGAGCTGATGAGTAACGAACGCAGTCCAGACAGGGGTACTATTGACATCAGTAAGAGTCGGTCAGTATTTGATGTCGGACCCGAACTTACCGGTCCATAATCCCCTTGTGAACAGATGCCTGTAGTCGAACAGCTCCTGAGATACTGTCTTGATACACACGTAGAGCATGGGGATAGTCATCATCAACGATTTGGCTTGATACAATTAGCAATGTGAGTTGTTTCAGGAATGTGTTTTGACTAACCCGCCAAAAAGCTCCTCTTCATGCTCAAGTTCGTAGTCCCGGATGTCGTCAACCGGTCGACCAGCATCTTGAGAGCGAAGAGCCAGGAACGCACAGAAGAATACAACCATACCTAATCCAATGTTAGAGCTTGTCTATATCGGGCTTTGCAATTGCCAGAGAATACTAACTTTCGATAGTGGCGAACTTCAGACGAGCCCACAGGATCAACTCCTTGCCCGCGTTTCTTCTCCGGCACAGCTGAAGACAGGACCCTGCTCGGACAATTTCCAGCATGTTCAGAGGCAGACAGAAGTATTCACTAGATCGAGTACGGTGGGGTACTTTGCACACAATTCGAGCGCGGTGGTCTCTCTCCCGTAGATAGAAGTAGACAGTCATCTCCGACTCGTCATTGAAGGCCCTAGAGATGGTTATTAGAGGTAGTCCAATTTTCTCAAATGAAAAACTCACAACTGAAGTATTCGCTCAAACCCTTTTTCTTTGAGGATTTGCTTGATTCCGGGGTGGTTATCGTCGAAACATCCAGCTCTGTAATGGTGTTAGGATGAGATCTCTGCCCAGAGAAGAGGGGTGATCTTACTCTTCTGGTCCGGTCGGAATCGCGGTCTCTGTGTCATAACTGCTAAAGATCTCTCTTATCCAATGATACTGTATGGCGTCATTCTGAGTGGAGTGGCTAGTGTTCGTAGTGGCAGATACTGATCCAGCTAATGGCGAATAAGGAGCCTCAGGGACAGAAGGAGGGATGCTGTCAGAAAAGGTGCCCGTACCAGACGAAGGCGACAGGGGAGACTGAGGAGATAGATGTGCTTGATTTGCCGGTCGAGGCCGCTCAAAGGACCGACGTCGGCGATGGTCACGGTCACTGACCGGGCTGATCGGGCTCAGAGGTTCGCCTCTGGATGGAGGGCGAGGAATATTGACTCTGGAAGGAGGGCGAGGGATATCGTTTCTAGATGGCGGGCGAGAGATGGGACGATGGGTTGGAGGATCAGAAGGAACCTGACCAAGCCCTAATGATCCGAGACCTTGAGGAAGCAATCGGTGTTCCTGCAAGGCAAGGAGATCTCTCAAGCCGTTGCGAGTGCTCACAAGGAGCGACGAATCAAAATTCCGACTAATGATATGGCGGTCAGCTATCAGTGTAAAAATCATCACAGTAGGGCTATACGTACTTCTTCACCATCTCACCCAGCTCTCTAAGGAAAACCCTATATCTTGCCAGGCGAGTGGAAAGCGCATACTGCGACTCATCCCAAAAAAACCGAGACATAGAAACCCAAACGCGCTTATAGTTATCTGGGCTAGTTCTGCCATTGTCGAGACGGTGCATATAATCAAAAATGTCTTCAATGGTATATTTCAAGCTACTCCGCACCAATTCCACATCAGGCTGGACACGGGGCCAATGGCGTCGGTACTGGACATTTTGCGAAAGTGCATCTAGGCTCGTCAAGGAGGAGCTTATCGCATATAGATCGGATATAAGGCCGGTCACCTCGGCCGCATGTTCTGGAAGAGGGCCGCGAAAGGTATGGAAGCCGGCTGCCGCATCTTCGGCGTCTTCAGCAGACGTGCGCAGGGCCATGGGGCGAATCAGGCCATACGGGGGATTTTCGAGAAGTCGAAGAGGGAAAAGGAAGAGCGCGGGAAATCAGAAGTAACCCAATCTCACGTGGGCATGCGGCTCTTACTTTTTTTTTCTTCCCTTGCGTCTTGCTTCCTGACGTGGTCGCGCGGGAATGGCGGGGCGCTTAGTGGGGGGAGGGGAAGGAGAGGGGAAGAACCTAGGAGAATTCAGCAGGATTCCGGACTTTTAATCAGCACAATTCGTACGTTAGAGAGTAGAGTATTTAGATTATACCTATATAATCTCCAATTTTATTATATTCCACGGATCAAGGGCGAGTTTCCATGGTTCCCGAGTTTATTTCAGCACTTTGCTGGGTAAGCATTTTATGCGACCCACATATAGTTCTTCTGCCCTACAGGGTTTCTTTCTAGTACAAAAGTAGCGGTGACGAAGTCTGACTAAAATATGCATACGAGGCATAATAGACCGGACTTCATCATGCATTCAAGCGAGATCTGAACTCGGTCTTATACCCCTATGATTCCCCCTATGAATGTTCGCACTCTCGGGGCAGGAAATACGAAGGCACTGAGGCACCTACTCACCAGTACGTTGTATTCTAGGGGCTAGACGAACTCGGTATATTTGGGTTGTATAATACATTTAAAGTCGGATATATAGACTAGAAGGAAGTAGAGCATAGGAGCCCAAAGGCTTCAGGCACGAGACGTGAGCGGGCTAGCAGCTTGAAGCTGGACCGAGAATGAAAAAGAGATAAGAGATACAATCAACAGAGCGAGCGAAGGCATGCATATGTAGATCATCGTGTCTTTGTGGCTGCAGTGTGGAACGCCCAAGCCTGATTTTGGAAACTTGATTTGTGTACATAATACTTTGTTTGAGAATAGAAGTACCGGTGGCCAGAAGACAGTTAGAACATTCCCAGAGCATTGTTACCTGGATAGTCAAGCAAGGTAAGGCATTAAATAGCCAAGTTTGTCTCCGGTCATCCAGTTAAATGCAAGGACCACTATGTATCACGGGCACTGGTATGCATCGGAATCAAGGTACAGTACATCGTTCTATCCCTCGGCAAGAGATGAGATTGACAAAAGGACAAAGGGAAAGAACAAGATCAGCGACTCCAATCAACATACAAAGGACTCGAAGTACAGGGTACTTTGGCGAGGGCGTTCAGACAATAGGCATGAATTCGGGTTGGCCGTCAGTGTGAAGCATTTTCTCGGGAATATTCGGGGCAAGGCTACTAGCAGTGGAAACTTCGAGTCCAATGGAAACAAGCTTAATTGTCCCTGCAGCTAGACCCGATAAACCCCACCATGTTTACTTTCCTAAGCGTTTGGATTAACATTAACATTCCAATGCCCGGAGGTCCGGGAGCTTGGACCATGTAGACTCAAGGCACGCGACTGTTTCATGCCAAAGCATATATGAGAACAAAAAGTAGGGAAATAGAATAGGATTGATTAGACTAGTGTACAGCAGACTAGGCTTGCGCCGAGAGATCCAGCAAGCACCGTCCTGGCCACCCTTCAAATCAGTCAGGCAAGCCAAAGTTGACTTCATTTCTTTTTTTTTACCCTGCGCTCAGAGAAAAAAGAAAAGTAAAATAAAAAGCAAGACTACTGAGAAGATGGAACGTCAAGATGAAAACCATTTCCCGCGAGTAAACACTAGTTGGGCCAATCAGGCCATCATAAAGCAAGCAAAAACCACCGAGGAACCCATCCGTTAAGCCCGTAAGTGATAAAGCAACAAGGAAAAAGGAAACCGGGGAGAATCACTAAGAGAGCACGAGAACGCCAGCATCTGCGCAGATGAAAATTGCGAAGAGACGTTTAAGAGGATTCCTCATCATCATCGGCACCAGCCAGCTCCTATTAGTTCAGATTAGAAGGTGCATCTTTAATTCGGGGGTGGATACACTTACAGCCTGGTACTTGGCCTTCTCATCCTCATAACGCTTCTTGTCGGCAGCAGCCTTGTCATCATACGGCTTGCGCTCGCTGTCGGAGAGAGCCTTCCACTTCTCACCGAGAGCCTTACCGACCTGGCCTAGAGAGGGTGTTAGTGGACAAATAACGAATTGATATCCTGGAACGTTTCTTACCGAAGGAGATGCCGGGGTTCTCCTCACGGACGGTTTCACGGTTGTCGTTAGCGAAGAACATGTACGCGGACAGACCACGCTTGGGGGCGTTGGGGTCTAAGAATGAATCAGCATTTTGTCGAGTCGACTTTTGTCTAAGTTGACTTACCCTTCTTCGCGCGCTTGCGCTGCTCCTTGGGGGCGGCCTTGCGGGTGGTCTTCTCCTTAGGCATCTTGTTTGTGGTGACCTTTGGTATGTTTGTTAGTTTGGGTGACGCGGAGTGGCAGTAGATATTTGACGAAAACACGCGAGATGACGGTTAGGATGGTAGTGAAGGTAGAGACAAAAAGCTTGCAATGACAAGGGGAAGAGAGTAATTCAGCGCAGAGAAACAGTGCGAGAGAAACTGGCGACCGGGTGGTGTTGCTACACCACGGACGCGTTTCGCTGCTCTTGAGCACCAGAATGCGCTGATTTGCACCCAATCGCGCCGCAATAACGCGTCAAATCCAGGACGGAACTTACGCGAACGTAAATTGTTTAGTTTAATAAACAGTTCCGACGCTGAATCTGAGTTATCAAGGTAGGCGCAAGTTAGGTGGGAGCGCAAAAAGTAGACTGCGCGACCGCGATTGCGACCGCGACGATGAGGAAAAAAAAAAGAAAATTGAGCTTGACAAAAGATGTGAAGGACAAGAAGAAAGCAGAAAAAAAAAGAGAGGTGGTTGTGGTGGAGGGAATTGGGTGATGGTGGTAGTGTTGATATATAGATGGGGATATGCGTACCTGGGGTTTGTATGGTCAGAGTGTATGGGTGAGTTGGTAGTGTAGGAAGAAGGGAAAGAGAGAGGGGGGGAGTGCAGTAGTAGTAGGGAAAGACCAAGAGAGGGGGGATTCCCTTGCTGTTTGCTTACACACGGGAATGTAACGGCCTGCGTCACAGTATTTTATTATAGTGTGTACCCAGCAGACTGCCTCGGTATCGTAATTAACCGCACACTCTACTCTTACCTATAGAGCATTTCAGTTTTATTTGTATTTTTATTGATTTTTGATTCTTTCATATTTACCAAGAAAACCCCCATTGATCTACTTTGCATATGTCTACAGCACTTCTTATCTACTGTTGGGAGAGAGAGCGTACCAGACAGTAACATACTCAAGCCCTCTCACAGTGGAGCACCAGCCAAAAACCGCGCAGGTGGTCGTACCGAGTACCGCTGTAACCCATAGTAAAGTGACTTCCCACGCAAGTACCCAGTACCACTCCAAAACGCGGCTTACAACTGGTTTTTGGAGTGCCATAGTTACTACGCCGTCTTCCTATGTATCATGGAGCCCGGTAATAATCAACAATTAGATCATTCAACTAAACAATATTTCTAGTTTCTTGAAGGTGGAGAAATCACTACGACAAGAGAAGGATGATAGAAATTACAATTGGGAACAAAAGACCGGCAAACTTTAGTATGTCCACACTCTACCTCAAAAGACCATTTCCCCCAGAGTCCTTTTTGATGCAATTAGCGTTTGTAATAAGAAGGGATGCGCGACACTCATGGACAAAAGAGCACTCGCACAAAGCCCCCCTTGGACATCTAGGCAATAAGTCCGAGATGAACACCGCGGATACGTGAGCATGAAGTACCGTACCCAAGTCACGAGTGACCATCCTCGCCAAAGTACCCCGTTACCCCAGTATACTGAACTAAATTAAGTACTGATTATGCCAGGGAGTCATACCTAGTATATATCCAGTAATAACAGAGTAAAAAAACAAAAAGCACCGGCCACCGTGTAATGGCGTGCAGCCCATATCCGTGACCGAATTAGCGCGAGGTAAGGGCCTGGAATCGTAAGTCGGAGCGTTGCTCAATCATATCACTCTGTGGGCGTAACCGCCGATTGGAAACACAGCCATACGTAAAGAGCTTGGGTGTTATCACCCAATTTTCTGGCTGTTTTCCAATGTGGCCAGAACTGCCGATATCCACGGGTGCCCGTCTTGCGGGAAACGGCCTTCCAATTTTTGTATGGGTCAGAATGGATAGGAGTAAAAAACCGGGGCGCCGATGGGTGATTTCATTCCTTGCAGAGTTCGGATCACACCATGATCACAAGCCGGAAATTATCAGGTATCGAGTGCGTTCCCTTGCAAGACGCGTCTTGAAAGTTCCGTCGGATATTATGGGACTAGATGGGATTCGTCGAGAACCTTGGAAGCCCAGGCAATACGGAGGATTCGGCGTAAACCAAGAACAGCATAGACCTTTAGCCTGGGTACTTAAGCATTTAGATCATAAGGCATAACAGGACTGGTTGATTTTACTTTTGATACGGTACATGGGCCTGTGTGTTGAATTCCCGCAGAAACCAAGTACCACTCCACTCGTAATATTACCTTTCCACTTCCACTTCTTCCGAAGAGCGTCATAGAGTTGCGCTCGCGTAATACGTATTGGATTCCGAGGTGCACACTAGCATTAAACGCTAATGTATTAAATTTATATAGTCGAAAATGCATTAGATGTATCAACTGCGATCGAGCGTAAAATTCTCCGTTGCTGGGTTGATTTTTGCTGTGCGTGCGCAAGCCCTAGAGCTCCCCAAACAACGCGCCCGTAAGACTCTTATCTATCCACTTCGTCATGGCGGGTGTGCGGTGATGTAGACGTGGGTCTTGCACGGCCACAATCCCTATCCTGCGTCGGCCATAATTTCACGGAAATTTTGAATTCCAGAGAAAGTTCAAGAATTTATCCAATTTACCGGTTTTTATAGATCGAGATGTGTCAATTCCTTTATTGAACCATGGGGTATAACCTATTCTAAGTAATAATCGCGAAGACCCAAAAACAACCGGAACGCGTTCGTAAAATAGACATTAATCATCGCTCTCATCCAGAACAAGATCTTGTAGCTCATCATTTTCGGCCCAGTTAAGCCCGCTGCCGACTACCATAGCACTAGCGATGTTCTTCATCGTATCCCATTTCGCCTTGCTGGTTTTGAGCTCAGCTTCGAGCTCGTCTAGCTGCGATGCGAGCTTCGCATCCTGAAGCCTATCGCGCCAGGAAGAATCTTGTTTTGTGAGCTCAAGAAGCTGGCCCACTAACTCCTGATTCTCCCGGTTGATCTGTAAATTCTCGACCTTCAAGTTGGAGAGCTGTTTGAACACTGCATTGTGGACGGTGGCCAGGTTCTCATGTGCGAGGGCTAGCTCGTCGCGACGGTTGACCAGGCGAAGTAGCGCCCTGTGAGAGTTCATGAGACGCGGCGCATATGAACTAGGGGTACGAACTTACTTTTCAGGGGGGTATGGTCGCCTTCAGGTGAACGGCTTTCAAAATGGGATCAGTCATGAGGATAGTACGCGCTGCTTTCCTTCTGACGGTATAGGTAGCTCGCGCCTCCAGGAGCTTGCGTTCCGCGATCGCAAGCTCCTCTTCCACATTGTCACCGGAAAACGGCTCCAATTCTAGAAATAAGTTAGACTCAGAAAACTAAGAAAAACGAGGAGAAGAGCTGGAGGTCTTCGTGTACATACCTTGTTCCAATAACGCCTTTTCTAGTTGTTGTTCCTGGACCCGTTCGGCGAGCTGCAGGACGAGCTTTTCTTTTTCCGAGAGCGTTATCACATCGCGGGTGTCATCCGCGGCATAATCAAGGAGGGTCAGCTCCCCTGACCGAAGGTGTGGCCACTGGCCATGTTTCGGAGCCATAGAGCGATCGCGTGCGTAGAAATGGTATCTTGTGATATGGACTGGAGGCGGTGGGGGAGAAACGCACCTGTAAGAGCTTCAGCCCCTGCCAAACTTAACTAGATACACTCCCTCTTCCCTGAAATTTAGAGCTTTCGCGCTCGATGGTGAGGAGGGGGAAATGTCTTTGCATATCTATATCGCTCACTCCGGTGAGCATCTACTGGCTGATCCAGTAGCCTTTGCTTCGTATGTTTTGGTCTCTTCCCCGGGTTTTCGATGAGGGGAAATGCCCATTCCGATGTCCCTAGCTTTATGCACCCGCAAGCTGACACCATACCATTTATAGTCCTGATGCACTGAAATCATGGGTCGTACGACATACATCGATTCCGCCTCTCAGGCAGATCTTGATGACTGCCCGAGGAAAGAATGTGAAGACGCAGACACTCGCCACAGAGGTACCCAATCCCCGAATCTCCGCACGATATCATCGACGTGCTAATGTATGGTTGGTGGTGGAACTAGACCGAAATATTTGTATACGACCGACAATATGTGAGCGAATCTGGTGAAATCGAGCTCCCGATGCTTACTGCGCCCGAACCCTTTCAGCCTGGCAGCCCGCCGGCGTCCCTTACCGATCAGAACGACCTGCAGGCATGGCGGAATCTCTTCATGGCAAGGAAGACTTGGGCTCAGGGCCTATCTAGCCGATGCGCGACGATCGATAAGATGATTCAAGAGCATAATGAGCGAACCGATGTCATCGACCGCGCCGTGGGTGTCGCACTCGAGAACCTTAAGTCTCATGTCGGTAATCTGGAACACCGGTTCCAAGAGGCTCACGCTTGGGCCACAAATTTGCTAGAGGAACAGCAGGCTGCTTTGGACGGCTGGCAAGGTGCTCTGGCACAACTAGAGAATATCCCAGCCCGGAAGGACTTTCCGCTTCTTGGACGCCCATCCACACCCAGGAAAGACAACAATCGGCCGACGGGGAATTTGAAAGATTTCGTTGATGGAAATGAAGTCCTACAAGCCGGGGCCGATGCGGCTATTGCATTGCCGCGCTTTGCTGGACAAGTGCAAGATATTGAGAAGACTGTTGGTGAAATTGCCTCGGATACCCAACGCATGGTTGATGACACTCTTTCTTCCCCTGCTGAAGAGGATGAGGGCCTACTCGCTGAAGTCGAAACCATTGCAAAGAAAATCGGCTCAGATTACGAGCATGTCCTTGGGGTTCCGAATAATCAGAAGATGTTGGCAAATATCTCCAGACTAGCACTAAATCATACTCAAAACCTCCTTCCCTCTCTATTAGCGGCTGGTGCAGACCTGCAGCAAGCTCTCGCGCATTCTGTGCGGCGACGTGGGGCTGCAGAGAAATCGGCCCTTCAAAAGATGCGGACTATCTCATTCCTTCAGTCACGCCTGGCAGACACCCACGCCCAATTGATCAATCTTGACGTGAACACCAATGCTTTCGAAATCATCCACTCAGTCTTTCAGATGCCGATGGTCTATGGCTCGATTCTGATTGAGTCCGCGCGACGTCATGAGTGGAGCGGCAAGATTAAGGCAGATTCCTTGAACCTGGCAGAAGAGATGGCTGTTTTAAGAGACGAAGAACAACGAAGGCGAAAGAAATGGATCAAAAGCATGGGCGATCATATATCCTTCGGTGATTCCACAACCCTTGGGATTGAAGTGAACCTCCAAGGGCAGGATGAACAATGGCCCGAAGTAGCTCGGAAAGAGATTGAGGCTTACATAGAAGATCTGCGGGCGATGCACTCTCTTCCCAAGTTCGCAGATGACTTATCTCAGCAGTTGAAAGACCTAGATATACCCACACGCCAGCAGAGACGGCGAGCTAAGGCATTCAAGAACGGCAGTGTGTTTGATCTGAGCCGAAGTTCTATGTTGCTACGTGGGGATGATATGGTTCGAAGCCTACAGGATGAAAAGATGAAATTGGAAGAGCGACTCAAGGGCTCGGACAGCCGGGTTCGTAAGCTAGAGGATCTCCTCCATCGCCAAAGCCACATCAGTCGACCATCCAGTGGGAATTTTGTGCCGGATTTCCCAAGTTCGCCTGCATCTCCGCATCTCGACACCCTCTCCAGGCGGTCTTCTGTTTCATCAAGGCGGGTGTCTATGACTCAAACCCCGGAGGACAGAGCGCTTGTCCAGCGTATAGTCTCACTCGAAGCTGAGCTAATAAATGAAAGGGAGGCCGTGCAGAGGCTTCAAAAAGAGGCTCATACTGAGCGGCAGACTAATTCTGACAAGTATCAAGAAGCCCAGTCGACCAAGAAAGACCTCATTGGAAATCTTGAGGCGCGACAGCGCGAGTTCGAGGATGAGCGAAGATACTTGGAAGCGGAAGTGAAGAAGTGTCGGCATCGAAATGAGGAAATGGAAGAGGAGCTAGACAAGCTCATGGATAGTCGGGATCATGAAAGACAAGAGGCCGAGGAGCGAATTCATCAGCTCGAGGCTGAGTTGCAACGTGCCCATGCGAGCTCGGCCGAGGCGACTCAAAAGGCTAAGGATCTCGATGAACGTATTCGAGTTCTACAAGAGAAAGAGCAAGAGCTCCAAAACAGGGTCAATGATCTCACGCGCCAGAATGACGCATGGGGCCAGAAAGACCAAGATAACTATAACACCCTACAATCAGCTTTCATGAACCTTGCTCCGGGAGGCTCCGTACCACTCGAACTCACTGGAATCATTCAAGCCATCGAAGTACTCTCCGAGGGCTTGTCCATCCACGCTAAAACCGCCGAAGACAATGCGTCAAAGGCGATGGCTGAGATCAAATTGCTCGAGGACAAAACACAGGCGCTTCAAGAGCAATTGGAAGAACAAGTCAAAGTCTTTGATGGTCGCGAGGCTGAATTGACCAAGTTGACAGAAGAACTTTCTCAAGTGAGAACTGAAATGGACAGCACAAAGCATGAGCTAGAGGAGGAACGCATGAAATTGAGTTCTTTGCATTCTCAGGTATCTGCTGGAGAGGTCGGCTCAGATGCGCTTCGCGAGAGAATTGCGGAGGAGGAACGGAAACATGCAGAGCTGTCACAGAAGCTTGTCGATGCAGAATCCAAGGCTCAGGATTTACAGGAAAGAAAATTCGAATGGGAAAAGAGGGTCGAGGTGGCCTCAGAAGCAGAACGACATGCTCTCACCCGCTATGAAGGCCGCGGTGCTAAGTGTTACGAGACATCTCGACAACTTTACTCGCAGGTCGATAAGTTGGAGCGGATGCTTGAGCAATTAGGGTTCGCAATCATCCAGCAAGATGGCCGCCTTGTGGTCCAGCGAGCATCAAAACTTACTGCGTCGGCGTCTGGACTCGGCGAGAGTCTCGCCCAGTCTGGAATTGTTTCTGCCAAGCCCGATAGTGCACTGCTTGAGTGGATGCGAGCTGAGAGCCCAGAGGAAGAAGACGCGAAATTCTCAGCCTTTATGGAAAGCCTTACTAGATTCGACGTTTCAATCTTCGGCGATGTCGTCGTGAAGCGTGTGAAAGACATTGAGTTACTCGCACGTAAGTGGCAAAAGGAAGCCCGCGGTTATCGTGAGAAGTACCATCGCGTCCAAAGTGAAGCTCACGACAAGATTGCCTACCGGTCTTTCAAGGAAGGCGACCTGGCCCTATTCCTTCCAACTCGAAACCAGGCCATTCGATCTTGGGCTGCCTTTAATGTGGGTGCGCCGCATTACTTCCTTCGTGAACAAGATTCTCACAAGCTCAACACCCGTGACTGGCTGCTTGCCCGGATTTCCAAGATTGAGGAACGCGTTGTAGATCTATCAAAATCCCTGAATGGCGTTGCTCCGGATCGGCACTCGCTTGGAGGGGCCAGCGAGGCCGCCTCGATCGATGATGAGAATCCCTTCGAGCTATCTGACGGTCTGCGTTGGTATCTTCTCGATGCCGCAGAAGAGAAGCCCGGCGCACCTGCTACGCCGGGACTCGCCAAGACTACTGTCGCATCTACACCCATAGATGCGAAAGGCAGTATTCGCCTCAAACGTCCAACGGAAGAAAGCACTGTCGCGCAGACCCTGTCTAAAAGTCTAGATAGCCGTCGCAACAGTTCTAATTCCAAACGGGGTACTCCGACACCTTCACAGAGAGCCAACGACTCAACTGTCGACCTGGTTCGCCCTGAAGCTGACGCCGATCCTTCTGCTGCTGGCTCGCAGCGCGAAGCTGCCCCAATCTTTGAAGAGGTTCGCCGCGACCTACTCTTCGGCCCGTGAAAAGTAGGAAAGACATAGCTTCTATCTTTTCTCGGGTTGTGCATTGATCCATATGCTAACCTCGCTTACTAGCAGGCTACGAATCACGCTCAATCTTCGACACCACAGCTTGGCGGTGACGCTGGGGACGTGGCAGCATCATCTCTCTCTCGATCTACATCTGGCCGACGACAAGGAGGAAAGGGTCGGCCGTGGGAAAAGTTGTGGTCCCTTGAGTACCGTCGTGAAGATGGTCTGCAATAGAGGAGTTATTTATTTTTGATCTATGGAGTACTACGGGGCTTTATCTTCTTTTTGGATGCTTCTTGTTTATGTTTGGTTTTATGTGCTTTTGCTTTTCAAGACGGACGTCATGCGACAGGTCTTTACATTTGCCCTGAAGGGGTTTTACTTCGACGAGATACCCACCCGTACAGATAAATCAATTTGAATCGTGAATCGTGACGACTTTGAGTATCTCAGAAGAGACTTTTGCCAGGGGATATTTAACTAAACTGAGTAGACCTCTGTCTGGGCTGGCTCAAGCCCTGAATTGATGCTTTATGACGCGTCATAATGCCTAGATAAAGATCACCTTGGCCACCGCTATATTACCAGCGGGTATACAGTTTCAATGTTAAAATACAGATAATCAAAGAGGAAGCAAGGAAATCCAAATTAAAGCATGTCACAAGTTCCGTTCATCTGATATTTCGAGTATATGGTGGGCTCGTGATCAGTGTTTGGTTGGTTTGATCAAGATCCCCGGATCCAGTTGATCCGACAAGGCGAGATCTCCCCTCACAGCTCCACTACATTCACGAGAGTATCGGGAATTACCCATACTCTCTCAAACATGACGCCATGCTCAAGAAGCCAAATCCTCTCTGGGGTAGCGTCCAGCTACTAAATTCGCAACAAACTGGCTTGTCTTCCATTCATCTCAATCTCCCCCCACTCCGGGGCTATGCCACCGCATCAGACGCTCCGGGACACCAGGATGCCTGGCCAAAAAGCCGCTCATTCACCCCATATGATGTCTTCGATATCCCTCGAAACGCTGCATACACCAAAACCCGCTATTACGACCTTGTAAAACTCTATCACCCCGACCGCCACAGTGCAGGCATCACCCCCGAAGTCCGACTCCGACGCTATAAAATTGTGGTCGCAGCCCACGAGATCCTTTCCGACCCCATCAAACGTGCAGCGTACGATAAGTTCGGTACAGGCTGGACCTATGCATCCCGACCAGATCCTACCGCCGGCCCCTACGGTCCCGACGTGAACATATATGGAAACGCAACGTGGGAGGACTGGGAGCGCTGGAATAATCGACACAACGGGAAGCAGCAGCATATCGTGGATCATCGGACTTTTACGCGGCTCATTATTCTACTTACGCTGTTTGGCGGTGCGGTGCAGGCGTCTTGGATCGGTCAGATGAATACGGGGTATGAGGAGCGCCTGAGGGAGGTTAGTGAGGACTCGATGCGGTTTTTGAGTGGCCGGAGGCAGAGTGCTATTAATCAGATGCCGTCCAATGATGCTCGTGTGCAGAGTTTCTTGATTCGGAGGGATCCGACTGGGTCTGGACTTAAGGATGATGAGCATCCTGTTTATCAGAGGGAGCTTCATCCTAAGCAGGGCGTTAAAAAGCTTGCGGGTGAGCGTCAGAGTGTATCGGAGTCGCAGACTGATTCTGTTCATGCATCTGACGTAAAAGAGGTCGAGTAACCTTGGATTTCCTGCATGGGTGGCGTTTGGATTTGAACAAGTTGAGATCAAGGGATCTCAAGTGGATAAACAAACATGACAATCTTTAAATATTTATGGCAATTTTGAATATATGAAAATGCATATTTGAGAAAATCCTAAACTTGAGTTCCAATCGGAGATTAAAGTGTGCTGAAGAATCTATGCCCGATTTCAAATCGCAGTGGATACCTATTCCAGTGTGGATCGGCGCTAAACCCATTGAAATCTGACCTCGGCATGGGAGCCAGGAACAGGTTTCGAGATTCTATATCAATCCCTCTCACCCACATCGCCCCCAGGAGCCAGGCGTAAGCTCCTCGTCGCCAGAATGAGTGATATGAAGCACACCATCACACAGCTCAAGCTGTTGGTATCTCGGATCCCCTTGATCCTGAGAACGCTTATCTTGCATGGCATTCGCATGTCCCCAGTGTCGGGGAAACAGGACCTTCGCACTGAGCTTGTCACCGTGATCATCCGCTCATTCGTCTCAGGCGATGACAGGAAAACAATGTCTGAAACACAGAAAAATAGTATGCGGGACCCTGGGATCAAAGGCCCTATGTGGGTGGCAAAGGTCACCCTGCCACAGCCCGAGATGGATGTGCGCGATGCAGTTCTTCATGCGATTGAACTACTTGGAAACGGGCAGGAGACATTCGACATCCCTGCTGTCAATGAAGTCGGAGCAGAATGGACTGGATACCGCCGTGGAGTCGGTAAAAATGAGCCACAGCCTGATATCTCCGAGGAGGAGAAATATCGCGCCCTGCGCAAGGATATCACATCTGACATGACGATTTTGTATCTGCACGGAGGTGCATACATGTTAGTTTTCTAAGTCTTAAAGCCCCATTGCTCAAATTACTCACAAACTCCAGGATGATGGACCCATGCACCCACCGCGTGCCCGTATCAAATCTATCCCGCCTAACAGGCGCGCAAGCCCTCTCAGTGCGCTACCGACTCGCACCGCAGAACCCATTCCCAGCAGCCCTAGTCGACGCACTAACAGCGTATCTATCGCTCATCCACCCACCCAAGGGCTCACTTCACGAGCCCGTCCCAGCAAACAAGATCGTCATCGCTGGCGACTCTGCAGGCGGAAACCTGACTTTCGCGCTACTGCAGACTCTCCTCACCCTGCGTCGCGCATCGCGGGCCGTCACTTTCCACGGAGAAGAAGTGAACATCGAACTCCCGGCCGGTGTAGCAGGTATCTCACCCTGGTGCGATGTCTCACTCTGCATGCCTTCGGTAGTGAACTACCGTAAGTACGACTTCATGGATATCCGGCCCGGAGGCGTCGACGTACCAGATTATGCCAAGCCCTACACGCCATTTGCGTTCCCGGCCGATGATGCCTGGCCCGCCTCTCCTCCCCGTGTAGACACCTTCTGCAACGCACCGAGCACCGACCACCCGCTCGTCTCACCGATGGCCGCCTCCCCTGATCTGTGGAAGGATGCGCCTCCCGTATTTATTACTGTTGGAGAGGAGTGTCTCACAGACGAGGGACTCGTCCTTGCACGAAGAATGCATAAGGCTGGTGTGTCCGTTGTTGCAGAGATGTTCGAGGGTAAACCGCATTGTCATGGACTACTTATGCTTTCGACGCCGACGGGAAAGAAGTTTTTGGAAGGTCTTGCTGGGTTTTGTTCCGGTGCTGTTAAGGGTGTGGTTACACCGACTGGGGTTTTGACACACTATGGGTTTAAGTTGAGGAGCACACGGCAGATCCCGTTGGAGGAGGCTTGTGAGGTTGGTGATGAGGAGGTTGACGAGAGGTTGCGTGAGAATAAGAAGTGGAGAATGGAGAGTGAGAAGGTGTTGCAGAAGGAGTGGCGGGAGAGAGCTCGTTTGTGAGAATAGATTGCATATTTGTACTGTATATGATTTGGTATGGATGTATACATAATATATTTTGATTTATATATCTACGGGTTTTCACGTTAATTTTAATCCGATTAGGTGCAGTGCCTGATCCTATATGATTAGACTGAAAGCTCTGATATGAGTAATCTTCGACTATATGGGAACATCAAAATTGAAGGCATCGATTGTGCTCGCGTATAGAGAAAGAAAGGGAGAGTAGAATCTGAAGTGGAAACATATAAGTATTCATTATAGACTAAGCTTAGCGTCTAATATAATTGCCAGCCTCGGAGGTTTTGCTCGCTAACTCCGGGCCTCATTCTTGCAAATTGCGCCTATCCCAAGACGTGAAATATAAGTTAACATCACCCAGAGCCATGCAAATCAGCTAAAGATATTCATCATCATCAATTGAGGGCTGGTCATCCTCCCATTTGATAGGAGCCCCATTCTGCGGTGTTGGTGTCCACACAGGCTGCTGCGGAGGCGGAGGTGGAGGAGCAGGAATGCCCTGAGCCGAAGGAGAAGACAGCCACGGGAACGAAACTGGAGTGCCATTGATACGGATCTCACCCATGAGGTTGCCCAAGCGTGCCGGTTCATCCACATAGCCATCCCACAGCCCGAGCAGCTGCGCTACCAATCGAAACAAGGTCAGCACTATGGTGAAAATGGGCATGAGAAGAGCTGATAGATGAGACCAGCGCCACATCATTGTCACGGTCACAAATGGAAATTCGGGTGCATCTGGCCGCAGGCAGTAGCCATCACAGGTATCGGCCATGAGTGGATGCGAGTACTGCTCGATCATCATGCACTCGATGACATACCATGACAGTGATACCAGCGTGACCCAGCCAAGTTTAGTGAGCTGGCGGCGGCGGGTAACTGGGTTTTGAACCCACAGTTGAGGAAGTGGGATTGCGGCGTAGATACGACCATCGGACTGCGGGACAATATTGTGTGAGGGTGGTGTTGGTTGGGCTGCTTTGTTGGGAGTGCTTGGTCGTGATGCGCGTGTGTCTTCGCGAGTGACATGTTCTTCCAGGTTATTGAGACCTTTCTTTACCTCGTTGATGTTCTTTGTGAGAGATGCCAATTTGTCATTGAGTCGCTCGAAGTCAACTGAGTTTTGTCCGTTCGAACGCGCGATTGCCAATTTCTCGAGTACTTCCTTCTCATAAGCTGCCTCTTCCTCTTCTTCCGTTTTCAATCCCATTGGGTCGTCCATAATTGCCTGAAGAGACTCAATGGTATCATCTCCCAGATCAAGTGTCTCCTTTCCAGAGCTGACGTCCTCAATGACCGTCTCCAGCCCACTCTTTGGCAGCTTAGGCCGAAGAACCTGCCTTGATTGTTTGGCTGGTTTCGATTCTTTGGTTTGGTTTAACTCTTGCTTTGGAGATTCTTTTGTGGTGTTCGTTTCGCTCTTTGCACTTTCAGATTGAGCTGGGGCTGGTTTCACAGAAGATTCACTTTTCTCAATTGACGGTTCGGTCTGCTTTGGTGCCGGTGCAGGGACGATATCTTTGGTCAGATCGCTCGGAATCGGGGCCACTTTCTCTGTTATTGGAGTATCGATCCATGCACCCGTTACTCGGGGCGTTTTATCGTAAATGCGAGATTGGAAAAGCTTTGGCCCATCCGGCGTCTGCATTTGCTCCAGCTTTGGGCTTTCAGTTCTCGATAGTCGGCGTAACAATTCCTGAGAGTCTCGCTTTGTCGGACTCGGTTTTGTAAAGGTTGAGTTTTTGTAGACCACGATAGGCGTGTTGGGGATGGGATCGCCTTGACCGGGGACATTATGATTCAGGTCGAATGTATTTTCTTTCGGCTTCTCTTGAGATTGCTGCATGTCTGGCACATGCGGATTGGCCGTGCGCCCCTCGAGGACATTTCGACTTGTGCTATGGCCCCGCTCCAGCGAACGGGCAGAGAGTCGAGGTTTGGAGACCGGATACTCCTCGGGTCTGGTCTTCGTTACGGGCTCGATGACTCGGTCCTTTGGATTTTCTTCCACTCTTTCCCCTGACCTCTCCTCTGGCAATTCTGGATCTGAAACGCTCCGTTGGCTGACTTTCCGAAGCCACTCCTGTCGACGTGTAGCTCGAGTTCCCCAGGCAGCTGGCAGATTCAGAGAAGGGCCGTGCCCGTTGTCTTCCTCCTCTGATATATGATGGCTCTGGTATTCCTCATCTTCCCGCCGTTGCAGGTTATCCGCCGTCAATTGCGATCGTGCGCCAACGTTGGCCTTGCTGAACACTGGAGAATCCTTGCCGGTCACGCGTCTGAGGCGCTGCTCATCTTTGGTGTAATCAGTGGTCTTCCGGCGCGGGGAAGGTCTTCCATTATCACTGAATAGACTTGGCTCTGAAATTGCGAGTCCATGACGGGCGAATCCGTAGTCGCGATCCCTTGTTTGAGATGGTGAGCGACTTGCCAGTGGTGCTTCCCATCCATCCGACGCTACGTATTCCGCCAGCGATCCATCTTCTTCAATTCTGCGGTATGCATCCGCGAGCTCTTCGGGGGGAATCGATCTGTCGGAATAGGGCGAAAGCGCGTCGACTGGTTCCCGCGTCCGCCGAGGGCTCGTGTACGAGCCAAACGCGCCTTCCTCCATCGACGAACCCGACGCGGCTCGATATGCTCCAGCTAGTGTGCTTGTTCGGTAATTCTGTCGAGCACGTGTTCCATTCTGTTTAGAGGGGGTGGGAAAATTGGAGGTATCTAGATCGAATTCGTAGTTGGGTTCGCGCGCGCGGTTGAAGGGAGACTGTGGATAATTATGACGCGCGAGTGAAATTCGGTCGTGGGAAGTTGACATGTTGATGAAAATAACCCCCCTTGCGCAGGAAAAGGGGAATATAATCTTAGGCTTAATAGTAGTTTGCTGCGTAGAGATTAAGTTCCCAAGGTTCTAAGGTAAATAACTTGGAGATCCCGCATTGCCCGATGAGGTTAGTAGCTAGGAATCTAACAATTTCCATCAATGATCCACTTGTACATTTTGTACACTCTGGCTTGTCTTGTCTGCCTGAACTCTCAACGTCTACGAACTCTCCTTGGGCTTTCGATATCACGCGAACAAGCTTGGTGGCTTTGCCTTGACATGTGACCCGCCCACTCGCTTTGATCATCTGCAGAAACGCGTTTCCAATAAAAAGCCAAGACCGCACGAGCGAAGCTCCGAGAGAATATCCCAGCTTAAAAAACAACCCACGACTTCGAAGACAACTCCCAAGAGGCCCAGGAACACCATAAAACCACTATGGCGAAGAAATCCGCTCGCAAGAAGACGCCGGCGTCAACTCCGGCCTCATCAGGCACATCTACTCCAAGCTCCGCATCCTCCGGCCCGATCCCTCCCTTCATCAAAGTCCCCTCCATACTCGAGCCTTTCGTGAAACCGTTATCCTCCGACGAGGTGTACCTGATCCACATCGACACAACAGGAACCGATCTGAAATGGCAAACTTTCCTCGTACCCTTGCTTATGAACATCGTGGTTACCCTCGCTATCGCAGTGCGAGTGTACTACGGAATCAGCACCTACCCGGCCCTCATCAAGACCTTCCTTGGATTCCAGAGCTCTTTAACTGTGGATGAAGCCAACACCTCATGGCTGCAAATGGCACAGCTCATCGTCCGCCGAACAGGCACCCTCTTCATCGACTACTTCCTCTTGACGCAGTTCCTGAGCTGGCCTCTTAACTTCGTCTTCGGTCCCGCACTCTGGCGCCGTGCAGTCGGCTTCAAGGATCGAGAAATCATCGTTCGCCGCAGTCACAAGAACTGGAGCAAGAAGCTCGAGCGGAACAAATGGATCCGCGATAATGAGGCCATGCGCGACAAGATCGTAGCTGCTGTTACACCTGAGCGGATCGGCAAAACGGGATTCCTGCTTGTCGATGATGACTGGAATCTTGACTATTCCGCCATGGTCCGTGCTCATGCATTGGTCGACCGTACACGCAAGGGCGATGGCGTGCAGCTGGATGAGTTCCGTACTGCGGTGCTCGTGCATACCGATGCTGATGGGTGGTTGATTTGGCGTGTTGGTGATGAGAACACCCCGGCTAATCGCCAACGCTCGGCGCAACGAGACCAGATCTTGGCCTTCCAGGAAAAGCTCACTTCGATGGGTAAGGAGGACCTGTTCTTCCGTTGGGTCGAAGTGGTACAGTGGGAGAGCTCACAGCCTGGTGGCTTCACGCAGGAGAGGCAGAAATCGGCCATGCTTAAAGCACAGCAGATGTTCAATGAAGAGGGCGTGGACTTCAGTAGCTTCTGGGAAGATTTGGGGGGTATGGAAGGTATAGAAGGAATGGACTCATAAAATGTAGTCCTGTTCTGATTTGTTGCAATGCGATTGGAGTTCAGCTGTTTAACATTGATTTGATCTTATTCTTTAAGTGCTCACAGTAATTGCATGATGTACATTCTTAATTAAATTCACATAACTTGATTATTCGCACAACACTCAGCTGAGGTGCTCCTTGGCCTTGCCAGCTGCCTCATGTGCCTTTCCCTTGGCCTTGCCAGCAACCTCCTCTGCTGAGCCCTTGGCCTCCTCTGCTGCGCCCTTGATCTTGCCTTCATACTCGGAAGCATTGCCCTTGGCGTCTCCGGCCTTGATCTTGGCCTCTTGCTTCGCGCCACCGACGGCCTCCTTCATCTTGCCAGCAACCTCCTCTATTAACATTGTATATTAGTATTTGCATACAAATTGTCATTCATATTCATGGACACGTACCACCCTTGTTGATACCACCGACGGCGGCATCGGAGACCATCCGATCAGTCTTCTTGAGAGTATCCTTGGCCGAATCAACGGCGCTCTTCTGCAGCCGAGAAGTTGAGGAAATGGATCGAATAGCAATGGAGCTCGGGACCGAGGTTGCCACACGGGACTTGGCGAGGGTAATGAAGCGTGCGGAAGACATGATGGCTGTGTTCGAACGGAGAGGATGGGATATAATGTTGGATATGCGTAGTTTGATGAAGAGTTTGATGAGGGTTTATGTTCAAATTATTCAAAGTTTGAATTGATAAAAATGAAACTCCCGTGGTTTGCCGGTCAGCTGCTTCTTATAGTCAAAGTTGGTTACGGTTTGGCTCATTCCGGTATCATTGACGTCATTGGCATGGCATTTCTTACATCGATGCCCAGTCACCTTCCCGGCGAGAACCGCCCACTATGACCAGGTTTTGGGAATTTGGTTTCAAGTTCTCGTGTAGATCATACTGGTACCGAGTAAGCCACTGGCATCGCTCATTCTTGTTACGAAGGGTGAGGCTCTACGTCAAGCTTAAAGAGTGGACCCACAATAGCTGGTTCCCCAGGTTCAACTGCTATTAAATTGACAATGCTAGATTGTTTACCTCCATCCCTTAGATCCTTAAAGGTGATCTCAATATCAATGACTATTGATTGGCCCATCCACAATCGACTCAAACGCCTCAATTGAGCTAGGCAGCAATAGTGCTCCCTTGCGAAAATGCAAGTTGATCCCGGTGCCACTAACAAGATCAACCACAAAATGATCAGGCGAAATTTCATGAAAATAATTACCTTCCCACAAGAAACAGGCTCATATAAAGCTGGATGCTCCTCATCAACACAAGTAGGCACAACCCGACAAACCGAATCTGGATTGTAACCCAAGAAAAACGGCATCGAGTATCCCGACGTGGTTTGCCGATTATAAACCCGATGTACAGTAGACTTAAACCTATTATTAGAAAGCCTCTGCAGAAACTCTCCAATGTTTACCACCAGCGCGCCGGGAATGGGCCTGGCATCGAGCCACCCATCGCTAGCAGACAACACCTGCAGACGACTTGACATATCCTGTCAGAGAAGAGTGAATATCAGTGTGCGAGGCAATTCTGACGTCCGTTTCGGCGTTCGACGGGACCGGCTCTGCGGAGCCGGGACAGTGTACGTAGAGACCATCTGCGTCACGGGTTGTGATTACTTCGTCGAAATGGGTTTCGGGTCATGTTGAGGGCCAGGGCGAAGATGCGGATCATCTTGCGCGCTAGTGTGAGGCGTGTTTGCCAGAATATTATGGTTTTTTTTTTCTTTTCTTTTTTGGAACTCGGGGATGTGAGATTTATCCTGCCAAAGGGTGTCGTCACCGTCGTTGTATGTGTATTCCTCGTTCGTGAGAAACGGAATGGAGTGGGCGTTTGTTAGGCCGTTGGTTGGTTGTAGCGTAGGGAAAAGGTCTCCTTTCAGTCTGGGTCTTCTCAAGAGCTCCCATGAGTCATTGTTATATCCCAATGTAAGGACTCTGTTGAGTGGACAAACACTGCTAAAGCTATAGCTCGTACTCGATAGAAGCAAAAAATGTGCAAAAATATATTGATAATGAAATTTATAATACAAGCTAGCAAGGAGGACAATATGAGAAATGGTTGACAAGGAAGGAACAGTCTACACCAGGGGAGTGGGATAAATCGTGGTGTGACTCAAAGATAAAAGGTTGAGAGAACAAAGGACAGTGTAGACATAAGACTGCACATTCAAGGGCTCGAATGGGTATTGCGATAGTCATAGTCATGAGGCCCATTAGTACTCCACTCCTTGGTATGCCATGTCACCTGGCATCTTGTATCCAACAAGCTCGGGCTTGGAGCGTAGCTCGGCTTCCTTCTCCTCCTGGATCAGTGCACAACAGCCACAGCAGAGACTCACGCAGCAATCTCCGCAGCAAGAGCCTTCAATACCATATCGCTCACGCATTTCACCACGACTAACAGTTTGGAGAATCCAGTGCGAGCCAAATAAGCTGAGCAATGTCCAGATGGAGCACTAAAAGGATTAATCAACCATCCATTGTGGCTCTACAGAACATTGGAGTCACTTACCGAGCTGTTGATTTGACTAAATGATTGCAGGCTCGGATCACGGATCCTTGCCTGGGTTTTACCATAGGTCAGACATGGTAGACAGCAGGTTTTAAAACCTAAGTATGATTAGCAGCGCCATGAGAAATAGCGGGACATGAACGGTCACGACATACAAAGTAAACCAGGCGAGCAGCAGTCAAATAAGGAATGATTCCACTCTCGCTTTTGCGCCATGTCTTGTAACGGTTTGGTAGTGCTCTGTTGATCCACAGTCACCTGCGATAGCGAACGAAAGAGTTGAGAGATTTTCGGCCTGACTAGCGATTCGTAGGGGCATTTGATTCTTTTATACCATGGCGAACGCAAACGGGTCACACCGTGTAAAAAAGTGGAAGGACATTCTTACCAAATTCACAGTTTAGATCTATCCCCATTGGGAAGTTCGGATTCGTGTTCAGCGCCCAATGATCGACGTGCGGGATGAAGTGGAGACTCGACCCCAGTAGTGACCAATAGTATATCGGGAGAATGCAGCGGCAGTTCAACTTAGGTTTTGAACCGACGTTCGAGGTCTGATCAAACAGTGCCAGTTGAATAAGATTCTTCTTTTGGGAGATTATCCGGTTGGTAATTGAGGGACTGCCCTCCAGAACTAATCACCATGAAAGGGACTACCAGTGAATCGCTTATAAATATCTATGCTACCCTTGCGCATCTGTCTGTATCCAACCAATACAAATCAAAAAAAGAAAAAGAAAAAAAAAAAGGTTCTATGTATATCAAGTTCATAGTCAAGCCCTTGAGGGCAAATCTCGGCAACATGATGGGGAATATTATTCCTTTTTTTTTTTTTGCCCCCGATGAAACCGATGGTGTGAATGGCGAGCACTAAGCTCTGGATCCAATGTCTTGGCAGGTTCTTGGCAATATTAGTTCTGAACCCTGCGTGATTCGGTTCCTGAATTGCAGTCCCTCATTCGCAGAGAGTGAGAATTGAATTGAACTATTGGACTCCGTTTGGAATGGCTGTTCCATAGATATCTGTGGAACCCATTGTCCTTGAAACAGAACACCACGAGAAAAATCAGAACAGCTATTCCAACGCCGCTCCAATTTTTGCTTTTTTACATCTGCCATGGACCTACCAAATAATTCTTATGCTAGCAAGAAAGTTCGACGGTCGCATCGCAAATCCCGCCTTGGATGTACAAACTGCAAGGCGCGCAAAATCAAGGTGGGTTAGCTGTCCGCCGCGAATCAAGACAACGCTTACAAGTACTCAAATAGTGCGATGAGCTCAAGCCTATTTGCACCCAATGCTTGCACCGTCCAGGTGATTGCTCTTTTATCAACTCACCGAGTCACGATGGAGTATCAAAATCGATGCGTACAATCAGTACCTCAGTTCCATCAGTCCAACCCGCCCAACCGGGGGATCTAGTGTTCATCTCATCCTCCCAGTCGGGTTTTACGGTGCCTAAAAGAGCTCGTAAAATTGAGGAACAACAAGCTCTCCAATCTCTCTCCTCGGCTTCTAGTACGGCCAGTTCGAGCACCCCGACCTCAGGCAGTGACACGGCATTATTTCCAAGGCTGTTTGAGTTCAGCGCGATTGATATGGCTCTATTCCATCATTGCCTTTCAGCGGAGGACTTGAAAAACTACATCCCTGATGAGCTTATCAGACTTGGGTTTTCGTCTCATTTTGTAATGCATCTTCTTCTGGCCGTGTCTGGCTTTCATCTGAACCGCAAGCTGGGAGTTAACCACATAAGTCAATTTCTTGGGCCAGATGTCGACTTCTATTTGGAGGCTGAGCGACATCTGCAAGTCGCGATCGCAACCGTTGCAACCGCACCTGGTCTTACCCAGGGTAACAGTCAAGCGCTTTATGTCGCGTCTGTCTATATTTTCGTTTGTTCGCTTGCTAGAGGCCTTCACAACGACGAGTACTTAGCCTTTCGGGCTGATAATGATAAGCCAATCCTTTGTTTGTTTCTTGGCCTACGGACTATTATGGAAGACTGCAATACGCGCGGTTTGGATCCGGAGATGTCATCTGTGCACTCCGATATTCCAGAGAGTGATGCTACGGACGCGCCTCCAGGCTACCAAGGGGGCGTTGTGGAAACTTACCAAATCCACGACGCTTTATATGAGTATTCAGAGCCACTTCAGAATCTGCAGGCTCTCCTGTCCAGCATCTTTCCACCGGGAAACCTTCGCAACTCCAGTTATTGTTTCGTGTTCGATTCACTTCAATCGCGTTATGAATCTGTCCATGGCGGATCTACATCGCCTTCGGGCGCGGAACTGTGGCCTTTAATATTCAGTTGGCTATACACATTGCCTGACTGCGTTGTGCGTGACATGGAAGACAAGCAGCCCGTTGCCTTGCTATTGTTGGCTTTTTTTGCAGTATTGCTGGATGAACTTGATTCAGTTTGGTTTATTCGTGGTTGGCCTCGGCACATCGTACGAGGTGTATACAATCAATTGAAAGATGATCACCGGGGTTTAATCCATTGGCCGCTCAGCCGCCTGGGACTGTCTTTCCTCAGTGCATAAGGCAGCATAACTGAATATTGAAGCCATTACATTACGGTGGACTACGGCAGTCTCATCACTTGATGCTTGTCGTTGCAGAGGGTGGTTCCTGCCTCCAAAGTGTGAAAAATCTGGGGAAAGAATAATGGGAAAATTATATTCGGAGGTGTCCGTCACGAAGGGACTGCATTTGTACAAAAGAGAAAGAAATGATTGAGTGGGCGCAATGCCAATCTATTGAATAAAGTACAGGAAGTGGAAAAAGAAAAAGAAAAAGAAAAAGAAAAAGAAAAAGAAAAAGAAAAGAAAAGGGAACTGTCGATAGGTTTGGCTTCTTGCGGAGGATCAACAAAAAGAAGCCAAAATTGATGCCGCAGGTTCCTCGATTGTGATGACCAATCAACCTCAGCGGGAGTAACGAGCACATCGACTAAGCCTTACTCTCTCTTAGCGTTAAACCTTCTGAAACCTTTCTGTGATAATTGATCGTATACTAAAGAGGCCAGAAATCGAAGGATCTCGTTCGAGATGACGCTGCCGGGAGTTTGCATCAAAGCCTACTCAGTGGTGTTGTGAACACATTCGAAATTATCAATGTCATCAGTCGAACCACCTTGGTAAATGGCTTTTGATGGGTACGGGCACAGAATTCGTGCTTGTTGCTCTCCACCAGTGCCGTTGAAATAGACGGGTAGCGTCTCCGGTGCAGCATCTTCTTCCACCCACCGACGGAGGGAGTTGAAAATTGTAAGCGGTTGTCCCCCTTTCCCTCCGGAGCAATGACCCAGTCCTGGCGCCTCAAAGTAGCGATAAAAGCTCTGAATATCGGGCATTGAATCACTAACCGAACGATAGTAATGCTCGGAACTTTGGGTTGGAATTGACTCGTCGGCCTGTTGTTGATCACCGAAAGTTAGAATACACATGCATTGTGAAAACAACATCAGGAAACTTCACTTACCATGCCATGGTATGAGATCAGTTTACCACCCGCTTTTTTGAACTCGGTGAGATCGGGGTAGTCGGCGTTAAGTAAGCCCGCATACTCCAGAACACCCTGTCGGAATGACTGCTCGTAATCAAGAGGGCTGAGTGTACTCGAGTCGAAACTCGGGTCTTTTTTCACAAACAATCGGAACCAAAGGTCACTCGATGTGCTACTATTCAACCCGGGAAGAACCCCAAATGAACTGATGTCAGAGCCTCGATTGTATCCATACCATAGAAAATCGCCATTTGCTGTTCGAGGCCCAGACCAGGCCGAATTAGCTACCAACGCGGCAATCTTTCCGACTCTCATGATCTTGCCAGTGGAAGAGCAGTTGAAGGTGACGTTCACTGTGGAAAGGGCGTTGAATTCACATGCAGCGGGATCGGAAATGATTCCATCCACAATGCCATCGTCTGCGTCGCAATGCGCGATGGCCTGACTCGTGATAAAAGCCAGTTCACAAGGCAGAGGCGAGGTTGACGAGCCAGACCATTCGGGGACAAACAACGGGTAGTACACGGACCCTGCTAGCTCAGTGAAAGACAAAGCGGGTGCCGAGGCTGCGATTCCATCATACGCAGTGGGATACCGCTGGGCGAGCATGAGCCCCTGTCTTCCTCCTTGGGAGCAGCCACTCCAATAAGAATACGACGCATTGTGTCCATAGAAGCTTCTCACCAGACTTTTGCCGATGATAGCCTGATCATTGAGCGAGACATAGCCAAGGTTTTGGACATTGTAGAGATTCACATTCCCTGGACTTTCCAGGGCCCACGAATTTGGAGAAGCCTCATAACCCAAGCCTGCATCAGTCGTCGTGGCAGCATAGCCTTCACCAATGGCCCCCGCCATGAAGAATTCTGACAACACGAAACGGCCCGCATTCCAACCTCCACCTCCAGTGGCCTGTAGTCGTTGATTCCATCGCTCGGGGAGCCATGTCTCGACAGTGATCAGGTCATTGTGACCTGGATGCGTGTAGCTCACTGTGACATTGCAAAAATTGGCATTATCGAGGTAAACATCGCCGTGATTGTAATTGAATGTAGCAGGCACATCAAGGGTGTAATTTGTGACCCAGTAAGCAGACAGGTTGAGAATTTCTGCCCCGAACACGTGTGGTGTAAAGGTCGCAGGCAAGCAATTGGCTGCCAGTGAGTTATTGAACATCGTCACTGGACGTCGAACTTCGATCGAGCTTTGGGAGAAGCTTGTGGAGGATAATTAATCTTTTGCCAACGAGTGGGACTCGCCGGGTTAAATAGTAATTTTGGCATCCATCCGAGGACGGGATATACAGACATTGCTGACGCCAGGAAGGGCAAGAGTCCTCAAACGAATACGACATTCTTTTCTGAGCGCTTTCGGTGACCCGTTCCGAAGTCTAGCCACTCTCAATGGACGAAGCGGGGTTGCGTGAAAAATCATTTTCATTTCGAGATAAATACAGACGATCAAGCGTCAACTGAGGCAATGCCCTGTATGGTTACCAAAGAAGAGATTTGGGGTTTTGTTGCCAAGTGTGGAGACCGATGCCCGCTTTCCCAATGCGGGAGCTCGCATTCGTATCTTCTCAATATCAACATTGAGGGTTTTGCCTGGCTCACAGTATACAAATTTTCACTGTTTCCAGGTATTGCACTTGCTAATAGTGCCTTTACATATCTCATAGTCCTCAGGAGGGATTTCCTAGCTTGAGAAATTTGATTATCGTGACTCCCAAGCGAGCCGGCCCCTGTATCACAACCTATCATTTCCAACCTACCACTATGTCATCAATCCGGGTTGAGGCCTCCGAATATTACATTTAGAAGCTCGAGGGGTCAAGTAGGCTTCTGTCATATTAGTCTTTCAATTTACAAGTACATGGCGAAAGAAGATTTCAAGTCAGGCTCTAGTGATCGAGGAACTATGAAGCTGGAGCCCATTAGGATATCATCATCATTACACCATTGTGATAATTGTAGTTGGTGAGATTAGAAGCTTGTGCTCGAAGAATATCCATTTCAAACGGGGAAATGCCGTGGAAATCTAGGTCGGTATAAATAAATACTTTGCAAATGAAGCCTGCAATTTATTTTCAGACCACAACCAAATTGGCCCAGGCACAAAATTCGGAACAAGGCTTTGGTTTAGGCGTAAAATGATGCTTCGTTCAGAGTCAGAAGAATTTCAGCGCCACATTTTGGAGACAGGACCCCGTGATCAACCTGATCAGCAGGTATCAAATTGGCCGACTATTGACACTAAGGATAAGACAGGAGCAGGCGCTAGAGTCTTATATTCTAAGTAAAATTCTCATCTTTGATCTTACCCGTCATCCATGACTCCACTTTGATAGAGTCAAAGACCCCCGCCTCATCGGTATACTTCTCTGGCTGTCCAAAATAGATTGGAAGGACCTCATCAAGTAGACACCAGTGCTGACTGATTTCAAATGCATCGACCGCACGATGATGAACCCTATAATCGTACCAGGCTGGGACCCTTGGCGGTAAAGGTCCCCAGCCCTCAAAATCGACATTGTCAAAATGCCACGAACTCATAAGTACAGTCCCATCTCGAGCGGTTCGCTCGTCTGCGATAGCAATATCCTCATGCGAGATACCATCAACCTTGTCCCAGTTCTCCTGTGCCCAATTCTGGCACTGCTCCTTTGAGGCGTTGATAAAATCCGATTCGAAAGGTTCGTCGTCTTTTAATTCGACTTTGAACCCCGCTTGGTCTTCAGGGCAGACATTCGATTCAACAAGCCAGTACAAAAGAGGTGACTTCTCCTTATGACTGAACTCACGCAAAACCTTCGGTATGAACTGTGAGTATTAGTTGGCATTTCTTCAATATCCATACAGTTGGGAAGCATATCCAGTTCGGGCCGACCCGATATCTCTGATCTCTTATCATGCACTTACTGGTTTAGCCTCCTCGGCAACACAAAAGAGCAAGATTCTTGACATGATGAAATATACGAGAGTTAAGGCCTTCTTGGAATGTTAATGACATAGAAGTGAACTTCGCAGCAAGTTGAATCGGAAGGAATCATCCGAAGGGAAAGCACTACAGCGCACGGCCCTAGCTGTTAGTTGTTCTCGCCACTGACGTTAGCTTTCGGTGGGGCACTTGATAATAATTCAGAATATCTCCAGCTTCTTTGTTTCAGCACAAAGGGTCCAAAAAAATAATAGTAATTGGTAGCGTTTACATAGCCGCCTCATTATTCGCTAGCGATATATTCTCTCTGCGTTGCCAATCGGCACATCCTTCCAGATGAAGACAGATAGCGGTTCCCGCCGAAGCCCGCTCAACCTCAAATCAGGTTTATGAATGGCGTCACTGTCACCAATTAGGCTTCATGGTAGTATATATACAAAGACCTCTTCACTTGACTTCCAGCAGTACAAATTTTCTAGTCCAAATCTTATCGCTCAACATGGCTCAAGACTCCGCCTCTCATAATCCAAGTATGCACCTACATGATCCCCGCTCGACCAAGACTGTACTGAAGCCCTAATAGTCGGTGTTTCGTTTGGTAATCTGACGGAACCACCACCACCCGTCGATGAGGATACGAAGAAGAAGATTTCCGAAGCCACAGAGAAGGATCCGACAGGCCAAAGTCGAGGGGGTCCGAGTAAAGAGGATTTTGAAAAGTCGGAAAAGACCTGTACGCAAGCCCACTGTTTGAGCGCCTTCAAAGGCTAACGGTTGCTGACAATATAACATTAGTGAATCTTGAGCGTCAGCGCGCCGAGACATCGACCAGGTTCGCCCGGACAAACCATTGATCCTTTGTGCCTTCCAACTTCTGCCATTGAAACGACCTTTATGCGTGTCGATTTCGGTCTCGAAGTATGGACGAACGGAAGTGATCTTTCAGGAACGAAAGCCCACTTTCGCCTATCTATATATTGTCAAGTTTGAGGGCAAAAAAATTGAGTAAATAAATGTGAAGGTGCTACAGTATATTTGAGTAGCACAGACTTGAGTAAGAAGAAGTCAATGAAATATACTGTACATGCAGCTTTTAAAGAAAAGATTGAAGTCACAGATCTATCAAATTAATACACATATCCTCGGGGAACGGCACGAACTGAAGCTATATACTCTGAACTCGACATCAAGGAAGATACGAAAATACAGTCTTTCCAAAATAGGTTTTATAGAGCTCGTACTGGTTCCGTCCACAAATTCATAATGGTGTGCCAGATAGCTATCTGTGGCGCCCAATTTACCATCAAATAGCGTTGCATTATAGCTTGAACGTCTCTCAGGATATATTATTTTTGAGACCGAAAGGTACCCATCAAATGCTTTATGAGCAACACCTCGTATGCACACTCACATCCTCAAGGCTTTTATAATAGTAGCAACCCAAAAGCATCGGAGAACTCCACTACTCAATCTATGAGAGTGTATGCAACAAAACAAGAAATAAAAACTAAGAAATATTGTAACACAGAATAGCAAGGTATCAAAAAAAGAAAAGAAACATAAAAAGACATGAAGAAAACGACTATACATGCATCTAGAGCGATTAAAATACGGTATTTGAACAATAAAAAAACGATATCATGCAAATCGTACACCCAGCCCGACATAGTCAGGACGAGCAGGCGAGCTTCCACTTCTTGCACGCCTCCCATACACCTCAAGCTGTGGAGCAGGTGCAAAGACATGTCCACCCTCTTGGATTAATGGACCAGATATATTAGGGTGATACAGTTGATATGTTGGCACATGTCGCGGTATCTGCAGTCTAGTCGACTCCGATAGCCGTTGGCGAGCATCTCTCACATCAACACGATGGCTTCCAAGATGGAGTATCTGGGCGGGCTCCATCTCCGGGTCCCATTCTGGTTTCATTATTTGTAGCCGTTCGTCCACTGAGCCCACTCGGCGGTGATTAGCCTGTGGAGCGGGGTAAAGCAGATCGGATTGGATCGCACTATTGGCTTCTCCAGTCCAGCTGGATCGTCCGCGGAGTGTTTGCTGTGGTGGAATCATGGGTGTAGCGCTTCGCGAGATTTCGATTGGAACCTGGTAGCTCGGCATGGGGGAGAATTGTGGCGGATAGCGGACTGGTTCTGTGGCCCAGGATTGTGTTGAATATCCAGATGATCCACGCGAAAGTGCATCAGGCCCGGGTCGCTCGTTGAAAAGCGATATTGGTGCATCAGAGGGTAATGAGAGAGGAAATGCGCCAGGCATTATTGCAGAGGGGTGAATTACTGATGCATTCTGAGGTTGTGGTACGTAAACTGGGGCTGACGCTCTTTGTTGTTGCCTTGCGCGGCTTGATCTTGTGATGGTGATGTTATCATCATATGGAAGAAGCGGGCCGTATGAAATAAGTGAGGGAGTACTAGCGGATAGTTCTTGCGTGGGTTCAAATGCTGCAAGAGATGCGCGCCGAGAGTTGAGTACGGAATTGGGTGCAGTGTGTAAGTCTAACTCGCGCAGTGGCTGGCTGAGATAGTCACGACCGGGATCACTGTATGCTGATCGATTTAAAGGCTCTGCGCGGAGCTCCTGGCGCACCAGCTCGTGCGAAAGCGGCGAAGCAATCATATGAATTCCATCTAGAGATTCCACAGATGGTTTCATTTGCAGTCCAACTGGGTCAGCTCCTCGTCGCAAAGGCATGGATGCTGGGCGCCTTGATTCAGCCTCGAGCATACGGTGGGCGACAATATTCGCATAAATTGGCCCAACGTTTCCATTTTCTGTTTGCGGAGGACTCGGGTTGGGCTTTTTGTTTTCGCCCATTACCTGGCCATTGCTAGACCGACGGACTGCTGCAAGTGCTCGCTCAGCGGCCGATGCCAAGATTGTAGAGCTAGCCCCTTCATCTGTAGGCTTGCGACTGGATGATCCTCTTCCCTGGACGGTCGAAACTTTAACCAACGGGGCAGCGGGCTTAGTACCACGAAGCCGGCGGGGACCTCGAGTGTGTCGCTTTGGCTGCTTCGCCTTCATAGAACGTGCTTTTGATTGGCGATCAAACACCTGCAAGCTCTGATTCTCATCAGATTTTATAGGAGGGCTGGAAGATAAAGGGGAAGGAGAGCGCTTTGGCTTTTCAGTAGCTTGGCTCATCTGTGACAGCGCTGGAGAGATCCGAGGCGCCTCCATTGCTTCTCCGTCCGTTTCATACCCTTCTTCCGACTCGTGACCGGCTTGTCGAAATATGTGAGGAGGAAACAGATCCAATCTAAATCGTGGAGGAGCAACTACTGCTTCAGGAGACTCCGTTCGAGCAGAGCCTGAATCAGTAAAAGCCCAAGTCGACTCGCGCGAAATACCCTCATCCGTAGAGGATTCGGGGAATGACGATGATGAGCTGCTTGAGCGATCAAAAACTGATCTCTGGTTGCCACTGCATTCCTGGGAAGAGCTGGGCGACATTCGATCAATTTCATTACTGAGACTCCTCCTCAATTGCCGCAAGCTTTCTCGTGCTTCGCGAAGAACCGCTGGGTGTGTACCAAGCTCCTGTCTCTTGGGGAAGAGCTCAACCAGACGGGATACATGAGTTTCATATTCCCGGTAGTCACGGACTAGTCCGCAATCTTGATAGTGAGTCATTCTCTCTTTGGCAGCCTCCCAGGATTTGCATAAGAAGCGGGTGGCAACAATTAGCCATGAATCGTAGAAACCGGGGTCCTCTTTTCTCATAGCATCCTTATATTCCTCGTCCTTGATTCGAAGCTCGTCTCGACAAAATCCCTGTACCACGCTATGAATCTTTACGACATCGATGGCTGAATTCCCGGGGTATATAGAGAAAAAGCCCTCCTGGCTGCTTTCCGTCAGAGATTCGGATAGTTCAGGGACAGGCTTGGCCTCTGCAGGAATCTCGCCAGACTGTCGTGCAGATCCATTTTGCACAAAGAACGGATCTGAATCCGAGATCCGGTCAATTAGACCGTAGTGAATCAAAGTCCCCAACGTGGTATCAAGATCAGGGTCCTCTCCGGTCTGAGCACTGCTCAATATCTCGACATTCTCGGCAGACATGGCTTGTTTCCCGAGATTGAGGAGTCCAACAGGAACCTGATGACCCAGAAACGAGAGCAAATTGATGAGGTTCAGGGCCTGCTTTTGCTGCAAGCGATAGAGATCATTCATGATGCTGAGGAATGGCTCGGCTAGCTTTTTATCGGTCACCTGGTGTTTGACGTGATATCTCTCAATTGGTTTGCCTGTTGCATTAAGACGGTGCCCGATAGCATGAATAGCTAAAGGCAGGCAGTCGTAGTGCTCCACAATCTCCACAGCCCGAAGAGCCTGCTCCTGGGTGGGCTTTTTGATTCCAAGGTCTTTGTAAAGAAGTCTACAAGCATCTTCAACCTTCAGCGGACGAGTGGACAAGCAGTATGGCTCAAAGAGCCGTTGTTTTTTCCGAAGGGTGGTGTCAACGGAGGTATAGATGATGCTACACCTCTTTTGCCAGGGAAGAAACGATTGGAACTCATCGATGTCCACGTCATGATCAAATATGATGCCATCAAAAACCAAAAGCCAATCATGACGTGTTTGAAGCCAATTTCGAACGGCGTTCACGTATGTCTGGGCCTCTAAGTATGCGGGGTCTTCGGCGTCTTGGCGGTCTACCAGCCTGGCTGCTTGTGCGATCTCCCAGAAACATTTATATGAGGACTCCCGAGACTTGGCGTCAATCCAGAATACGCCTCCCGGGTAGCACTCGCGTTGCACGAAGACGTATTGCCGCGCTAGATGTGTCTTGCCAGATCCTGGCACTCCAGAAATGAGAACAGCCATAGTTCGATCTGCACGCTCCTTGGCCTTGAAAAGACGGCTATGCAATACCTTTAGCTCTTTTTGCATGCCAAAGAAAGTGGCATTAGGGTGGAAGCCTGGCGGTGCAACAAAAAGTTGTGGATCTCGATGAGAGTAGTGCGAAAATGCAAGTTCACCGCTATCGCCCATGTCTGATACAGGGGAATTACGGCCTTCAGTAGCAGGCCTGGGTGCGTAGGGAAGCTCTGGTACGGAGTGACCTATAAGAGAAAACAGTCAGCCAATTGTCTGACTTGCCATCCTCAAGGGAAGTATTTGAATGGAATCAGCTAAATTGTGGGGTAAAGATGGGAGCCACCCTGGAATCAATGACAGCAAGCTAAGATACATGAACTGCAACATAGTAATGACTTCAAATCGCATAGACATATATTCAACAAAATCACAAAGAGTAACACCAAGAAGGTCATCAGTGCGTAGTTGTGAACATTCCAGAGTTGGTGACTGGATAGGTGCCCGGTCTTCAAAACTTCAGGAGCCTGGGTAGGGGTTGGGGTCACCGCAAGGCCATGAATGAGGGTCAAACAAATCAATAATACGCAGTAACACGGTCTCGCTTCAGCTCCTTCTGATGGTCCAAAAAATCAAAATGAGAGGAAAAGAAAGAAAAAGCATAAAACAACAGCAGTGTCAAGCAAATTCATTAAACAGGAGGCTCCTCAATCTCATAATCCCTCAATGTGACTGATTCGCCGGGAGAAGGGAGAAGACGTTGCCTACCAATATTCGGCGTGCTTTGCGTGAGAGGGTCGCCATCTAGTCTGACTGAGCTGGTCAGCGAACCTACTACAGCCGGCGAAGTTTCAGTCCTACCGTCATATATTTCGCGGGCCTTAGCCTTCATTTCCATCGCGCGAGTAGTTCTCTCTGAGATCCAGCGCTCTCCGATCAACGCGGGTGCCTGACGAGAGTATCGTAGAAGAGCTTCAGCAACCACCTCATAGCCTGCAGCATTCTCATCATCGAACTTGCACATATGACTGTGGTCTGCCTCTATTCCCATACGCTCGACGCCTTCGATATAAGGTGCTGCGGAGGCTTCGTCCACGATGATCTCTCTGGTTCCCTTAAAGTCGGTTGAGCGAGTTTCATGGAAGAAGTAGATGTGAAAGCGGCTAAGTATGTCGGCAAACAGACTGTTGATATGCTGCAGCGTTTCATTGTTCGTGCGCAGAGCTTTGATCAGCTGCGGGGAAGACTCCAAAACTTTCTTGGGGAGAACTGCAGCACAGATGTTGTGCAACAATAGGCCCCATTTCGCGATATCAGATCCATTGTGTGGCGTACCGAGGAAGAGAATGCCAAAAGTCGAGACGTACACTGAGCGCAAGTGTTCGGTCCGCTCGTTTGACAGACTGCGACAATAGATAAGTGCACGCTTGACCACAAGACCACCTAGCGAATGGCAGATGAAGATAATCGGTCGGTCGGAGCAGTCACGAAGATTGCGATTCGCCGCAAGGTTAGAAGCTAAGGTCTCTGCATGACTGACGATCGAATCGCGAGAGGCACCGTCAGTAAAGGCGGTGACGTCCGCGTTATAGCCATAGGTCAAGATGCGGGGGCGTTGAGATGCCAGGACTTCAGGTAAGAGATCAACAGGCCAAAAACATTTGGTCGTCTTGCTGGTCCACGAGTCATGGGGATGGCCGTTGAGACCATGAACAAATACAAGATCCACAGTGGGTTCGCCTTGGGGAACGTACACCTGCGACAAGCCATACGGCTTGACGGGGCGAGGTTCAGACATTTTGAAAGATCAGATTAACTCAAAGGACATAGTTCAGATAGAAGCGATCGAGATATTTAGAGAGTAAAGTACAGTGCGGGGAAGGTGGTTATAAAGGGCAAGTGCCGCAGGTGATATGGTTCCCCTGACCTATTCAGATGACAGGTAAACAATGGAGTTTGCCCAGCTGCGGGCCGCTAAACTGCAGATTATTGCAGATTACGGTACAGAAACACGATTCAGGGCCCCCTGATCCACACACGATCCGAGCTGCGCCACGGGCACACTGGTGGGGTCCGTATCCCAGGCGCCGCTGTAACCCTCGGTATTCTCTTAACGTTACAGCCTTGTAGCCTTGACTAATAACTGTCTATACATAGTGTCTACTCATGTACCTATTCATAGTTGATTTGGATTTTATATCATCCACCACTAAATGGGTGATATCCCTTCATGTGATACCCTATATACTACCTTGGTTGGAACTGTTCGTGATTTCCTTTCCCAAGCACTGCTGTGCAGATGCCTACAGGAACCCTGGTTATTGTCCGAAACAGGCGGTTTCAGCGCACCTTGAGGTCAAAAGCCAGATCTAGCCTCATCTCTGAGTCATAGCATACACTTGAATCATATTTTATCCAGAACGAGTCGTGGTGATTACATTGATTACCATGGGATCTACATATAGCTGCGGCTCTGGCTTGTCTGCCAAGTGGACGGGTAGCACAGAATAAGCACAAAATAAGCAACGATCGTACCTTAATTGTGTAATCCAAGATCTCAAGTGTAGATCAACATGGACTGTACATGGCCAGAGTCTTCAAATCACGGAAGACACCGTAACAGAAAGTTCACATCTCATCAACCATGGAACCCTTGAACTCTATGATTATCTTTCTTCTTTCGCCCGAGTCATACTTTCTGCCAGAGCATTCATATTTGGCGGATGACCTAAGAAGCTCTCCAGCGTCCGCAATAGATCCTTCGGGCTCCCACCACACTCCAGAATTCCACGTCGGTACTTGTCCCAAACATCAGTGTTGAATGGGTCGTCAGAAAAGACAGACAGGAACACATCTTGCGCCATGGCCGTGCAGCTTATTCTGTCAGTATTATTCACTGATCCTGCTGGAACTAACATACCACAAATAAGAATAGTAGCACACATCATAACCAGCTGTTAGATGAGTGAATGTCCCAAAGGCAAATCCATCTCTGCATTCCGAGAAGTCCATCCCCTCGATCTCCTCGCGAAGATCATACCACATTTTCTGGATATTGAGGTTGTTAATGTCACTCTCCGTACTTAGTGAGTGTATTTGTAGATCGAATATCGATATTGACCTAGCTAGGTGGTCAGTCTGTCGCTCCAGTGGGAAGATAGATATGATTCAGTCATCACACACAACTGATACAAATGGTAGAGTCCTCTGTTGGAATACCGATGTTTGATAAGTGGTTTCACCAGGTCCTCCGGTATTTTTATCGGTGGATTTGGCTGGTCGGGGTGTTGCTTTTGCCACTCCGCTAAATATTTCTCATCGATTGTGGTAAAGTGACAGCTGAGACCCTGTAGGACATCTTCTCTCCAGCAAAAATTCTCTAGCATGGTGCTTGGCATCTCACCAAAATCAGGTGGCAATCTGTAACCATGGAAGTGGGTGTACTTGGTCCTGGCTAGTAGATCATGAATTCCATGACCCATTTCTATTCATGTGCCTATCAGATGATTTGTATAGGGGAAAGGGTGATTGGGCGGTACTCACCGTGGAAGAGAGTGACGACCTGATGATGTTTGAGTAGCGCACAGCTTGTCGGTGTTGCAGTCGGAAATGAACACATCAGAATTGTTGACGGGTATTGTCTAGTTCCATCCGGACGGAGATATCCCTGTTTTGGCTTGATCAGCTCGGACGAAGAATAAACGGAAAAGCAAGAATTACACATTGAATGTTCACGCTTTGGTTACCTCGATACTTCTTCTCCCTCCACAATAAGTCGAAATAGAGGTACCCAATGAACCCGTCGTCTTTCCCATCCCACACCGAAAAGCATTCCACAGTGTCGTGCCAGATGACATCTCGAGTCAAATATTCTGCTGGAATAGGTTTAAATCGAAGGCCAAGCACAAATGCAAAAATTTCTAGCATCTGAGTGGCAGTGCTCTCCAAAGGAAAGAATTCTGAGATTTTGACCTGGTCAACCTCAAACTCTTGCTGCAAAACACGCTCATAATACCGCTTGTCCCATGGTGGAAATCCCACGCTCGTGTCGGGATACTGTTGATCGGCTAGATCCTCTAGTCGTCGACACTGCAAAGCTTCAATCTCATCTCGACCATGACCACAAAGGGTCTCTCGCAATCCTTCCAGAAAGATCTTCACCCAATCCGTGGTCTTCACCATGCGACTCTCGATCCTGAATTCCGCGTGTGTATTGTGTTTCAACATCTTTGCCTTTCTGGCACGGCGCGTGATAATTTCTTCGAAGAGGGATTCATTATCCTCCAGCTTTGAATTATCCGCCAGGAACATTTTCTTGCGAGTTTCTGAAGAATGGGCGTACGTCAAGACAGCCAGTGTTCCCCCATTTGCGAAAGGCACCAAAACGCTTCGTTGATGCCCGTTAATCGTCTCCTCTCCCCCTGCACCATCGTCCTTCCATCTCGCTAGCTCGTCTTCGGGCACCCCATCTAGCTCCTGAGTGCTAAACCACACTCCTCCAGTCTCTCTCGAGATGTTTTGCTGGAACCGCATTTCTAGATCTGCAATCTCCATTTCCAATTTACGATATTCCTCTAACTCTAAATCTTCCAGAATACCGTGTCCGGCATGCTTATACTCCAACATTTTCTTCTCCATCAGATGTTGCGATTCCATATCCAACTTGTGGAAATCGGGCTTTGTGCTTGCCGCTTGGAGAAGTCTGAAGTAGGATACATCACCTTTCCACGATGCTTCGGCTTCCAGATACAGCTTCCGGGCCTCGTCGAATGCGGCTTGAGTCGCCAGAGACGGAGATCCATACTGGAGCATGTAAATCATACCCAACTCGCCTTGGAAAGCATTCTCGACTTGTGCCAAGGGTAGCATGACATTGTCGAACGTTGCGGTGATCGGAGTCACGGTTTTGAGAATAAGTTCGCGAATGGCATCATGTGCATTGATTATGCGACTCATCATTGGAACAATCTCTTCCGTGCTTGGAACCCGGGGAAGAGGCTGTGGGAGCAACATTTTGGGTTGGTCCGAGTCAAATTATTTCATATGAGCCAGAATATTCCGAAGCTATATCCTTTAGGAGTGCTGGCGAATGCCGATAGATTGGGCGCGTAATTGAGAGAGAAAGAGTGGGAGGGCAAATTGAAGAAGATGGTCAGGTGTCTCAAGTGAGATAAGGACATAAGGGACCAGTAATAGGGCTACTTTTGTGTCAAGGATCAATCCCTATTGCAATTTGCTTGATTTCAAAGGTGATTTGGCAACCATTTGACAGAAAAGTGGGGTTTTGTGCAATAGTAGTAGAACAAAAACCGTCCCATGTTGGTTATATCCGAGGATTTTGAGCTAGTATATCATCGCAGATAGTGCCTACCTACAGTAGGCCAACTGGACATAGTAATGGAGCTGGTGTGCGAAGGCTTCACTGAATCGTATATCAGTAATTCTATTAACGGTGTAGCTACATAGCAATCATAAGCACTCGTTCCTATAGAGTGTGACGCAACGGCAACTTAGGTCAATGGTGCCCTAGAGAATCAGGTGCAACCGAGATTGATGGTCCGTAGGTGGTCTCATGCAGAAATGGCACCATCGCTGAGATGGTATACGAATAATGAGGCGAGGAGAAATCAAGCGTCTCGGCTCGAAGTGATTCATGCGAAATATCGCTCTATCCAGACTCATCCTGGCGCGTGCTTGCAGGGAGCAGTTCCAAAGCGCCGTGCTAGAGCGACGCACCATTACAGTCGGGAGCAAGAGTGACAAAGTGGGGGCGTCCACAATACCAGTATTATATACTGATAAATCTGATATTCGTATCAAGGCAAGTTTCAAGACACAGGATGCAGGCAACAAGGCTGAATGTGGCAATACTCGTCCCGGGCAACATCATGCCCGGTGCCCGGATTAAGCGCCTTGGTAACCCCGATTAAATGGCCTGTTTGCGAATTGGCATCATGGACAAAACACATTTCAGTTGACCTAGGCAGATACGTTTACTTTAATTATTGAAAATACGCCCGGTGGCATACCATGATCTCGAGAGTTGCTGTTTATAGAACGGCAGTAGAATCTACTTCCAAGATTTCAAGGCTCGGGTCATCTAGTACTTGTGTTATACATGTCTTATTTTGAATGCCTGACGTAGTATTATATCTCTTTCCGACATCCGAGAAACCATGTCCAATCCATAGAAACCCACATATGTAGATAATATAGTGAAAGGGCAAGAAAGGGTTGAATCTACTATATCATACAACCCAAATTCAACCCCATGGGAATGTCATTTCCACGCTTACCGTCCACGGAAAGCAGGCTTGCGCTTCTCAGCAAAAGCGCGCAGCGCCTCATACCGATCCTCAGTCTCAATCACACCCTCATAAGCCCGGTTCTCAGAGGCCTCGCCCATCGGTGATCCCTCAACAGCCAATAGCGCCTGCTTGATGGCAATAGGGCCACCCTCACAGATGTCTAGCGCCAAGCGGATAGCAGCCTTCTCAACCTTCTCACGTGCAACGCCCTCCTGCGTCGACTCCTCAGGCAAGACCTCCACAAGGCGGTCGCACAGTCCCATGAAATACGCCTCTGGGCCCGTCACCCGGCGACCTGTGAGGATCATGTCGCGCGCGCGGTTCATACCAATCAATGCGGGCAATCTGTAGGTGCCACCGGCGCCGGGAATGATTGCGAGACGGGTCTCCGGGAGACCGACCAGGCAGGAAGAGCCGAAGACGCGGAGGTGAGTGCAGAGGGCGAGCTCAAGACCACCGCCAAGAGCCATGGAGGAGATGGCGGATATGGTGGGGATCTGGAGGTTGGCGAGTTCTTTGAAGGTGCTGCGGAGGTCCATGAGGAAATCTTCTGTCCTGTTATTTCGAGTACCTGATTAGTAGGGCTCGGATAGGCACCGGGAGCTATGGATCTCACTCAGCAGGTGTCATTTTGGCGCGCTCTTTCAGGTCTGCGCCTGCGCAGAATGCGGCATCGACGTTGCTTGCTACTACCAAGGCGCGCGTCGGGCCGTTGCCCTCTTCCGCGGCGATGGACTTGACATGCTTTGAGAGACTTTCGAGCAGCTGACGGGAGATTGCGTTTCGGGCGTTGGGTCGGTTCAGCTGCAGCACGCGCACATGACCGGATCCAGGGGCGGGAACCTGTTGGGTCTTGATTACGTCCTCGGGGCTAGTGCTGTATCGCGAGATGAAAATTCGCGTCGTCTGTGTCGCGGTCTGGCGGGAGAAGGTGGTGAGGGGGGGTGAGGCGGGCGAGTCGGGGCGCTAGTGTGGTTGCCATTGCCCAGGTCAGATTGACGGGTCGAGAATTCTCTCGATCACAGGGTTGTGTAAGGTGTGTGAGGGGAAACGATGGAGATCATAAATTGCTGTTAAGTTTGCTATCGGAGCTCCGGGTGTGGGGAAGCTCACTGGGGCCGACGATTGCCGAGCTACAACTAGACGTCTTAAGTGCTCCCGGGTAAATCATGCACCATGGATGGATAGAAATAGGGTGTAGGGGGTATCACAATTCATTCAGATCTATGTTAAAGTTACAGTATTTTACAATAGGTATTCCTCAACCTCCACATCACTTGGCCACTCCCAACCCAGTGTCCGGCTGACAATGTCGTATGCCTCTTGCACTTTACAGTCCGATGCTATCCGGTCACCCTTGATCGACTGGGGTTGTAGCTTCTCCAGGTACAACCGGATCGCCACCAGGGTCTGTCGCATCATTCGCTCCCCATTTAGACGCTCCTCGGCAAGCTCGTTCAGCTGATCAGCTGATCGACTCATCCACCGCAGTAGATGTAACAGACCATCACCGTCTCCCACGATTCCCATGGCCCGCACAAAACTATGCAGCGTCGCAAAAAATGGAACGTGGAGATGCGCAGGCAAGTCAAGTGGTGACTCGCTCTTGTTGTCCATTCCAAACACGCCTCTCTCTGCTACACTGGACGTTTTCGTCGAAGGCAGAACCAACTGATCAAATTGGGTCTTCAGGAGTGAAAGGCCATCCTCAATCAGGATATCAAAGGCATCTCCGCCTTCAATCTCTGGGCAACTCGTAGCGGTTTGGTAGAGCTTCAGTGCCTTTTCCACCTTTGAAGGCTGATGAATGCCAGCATCAACAGCTCTGTAGAATGTCACACATAATGGTTGGAAATCGTCTGGACCAATTTCAATATTGCGAGCTCGCATCCAATTCAACACCTCAACCATCCCGTGCCATGCCAATATGCGGAAAAGTCTTTTGTCATACGCTCGCTCATAGCCCTGAATAGGATCACGACACAAGGCAGAAAGGAGGATATGCCATGCCCAGCGGCAAGGTGGCTGCCGCGACTTGACCAATTGGATGGCATGCCGGAAGGCCATCGGATGACCTATCTGTTGTTCATTTTCCCGGTACTCTAGAAGATTGACAAGGGGCTGGTCTTCGGTGACTGGCTGGGGTGGGCGGTCGGCCATAAATATGTCCTTTACATATGTGGCCACTGTCATTCGCGAATTTCGGCACAAAAACGCGATGAATGAGCCGAATAGAATATCCGGCACTGACTTAAGTGCCTTGAGATGCGATTCTTGGTATTCTGGCGGTTGACGCCAGACAGTGCACAGTGCCATGATCTGATCGTCTGTGAGGTTGCTACATTGCAAGTAGGCCAATCCCGAGGAGAGACTTGGAGCAGACTGAACAAGGAGCGCGAGCAGTCTTCCGGAAGGACGGAATCCCTGCGAGATCATTTCATCCAGAAAGTCATCCAAGGTGGGTGGTTCTGTGCGCACATAGATGATATCCCGAGCAGACGCCGGCTCAGGGTAAACCTCCGGCCCGTCACCAGGTAAGGCATGACTAGCTAGATCGAAATTGCCATGAGTCGCCTTTTGGCGAAAAATTAATTTTTCGGCCATTGTAGCATAAATGACCCCTTTGGGAGGTAGGCCATGGTCCTGATAGGACAAAAAGCAAGCCCAAGCTTCACGTACAGTTCTAGTAGCGCGTATTCGTGCCACCCATTTCAGGTGATGGTTGCGGACGTAAGGTATTTCCAATGCCAGAGATGGTCGGCGAAGGGCTAGTGCTCTTGTTTGCACTGTGGGGCTACTATCAGAGTCCCAGCCAGCTAGGATGGCAGATATTTCCTCCCACAGATGAGGAGAGTAACCTGCTTCTTTCATCTGGAACAGCACTTTCATCGCACGACTGTGAAGGCCCTCATTTCCTCGTTGAGCATCCATACCAAGCTTTTCCTCTTTCCATGGAGGCCACGAAGGGGCTTTCAATTTAGCAGACTGGCGCTCAGCAGTTGTCTTTTTGTGAGCAAGCTGAACTGCGACTACAGCTCGGTAGCCTGACCGTGTCACAGGAAGAACAGGCTTATGAGAGGCCATAGCCCTAAGGAGCTCAAACTGTGCCTGTTGTTGTATGAAGGCTGATCGGAATGGATGTATTTTCGTGGGGAACGAGAGCTCCCAAAGACACTCGTTGAAGTTTTTCGTCTTCAATCGATCAATCTTGGCCCTCTCGGACTTTGATTTCCCACCCTCGTTTAGGTTTGGTCTGGTCAGAAAGCCAGCAAACGCGCGCGCAATGAATGGAAACGCCTCCGGCCAGACCTGTCGCGCATGCCGGATCAAGCGAACAACCAGCATTGCACATGTAGTCACATCAACTTTGGGTACTGGCTGTTCCGTCGGAGCATTCGTTTCCAAGTTTTCAAGGTTTCCGATGGCCGGCAGTGACTCACCGCTCATGAGATGTAAAGAATGAATCAATAGCAACCGCAGAACATGGGGTTCCAAGTATTGCTCTTTCAACAGAAACAAGGTGATGAAAGGCGGCACCCTAGGCCCATCCATGCATCCTGTTCGAGTTATGCCATCGGCTTCAAGTGCAAATATTCGAGAGACTGCTTTATGAGAATTCTTGCTCGTCAAAATCCAAGCCCATGCAGCCACATCTTCGACATCGTAGCCTCGCGCTGTAAGATAACGGTGGCTGTCCTTTCGAAATACACTCATGAGGGCAATGTCTAAGGCATTCGACTTGTCTCCTTCATTCTTCAACAGTGGTTCCACCAGGCGGATGTATTCCCCAAGTGTAGTCTGGAGAGATTGTCGTACGAAACGTGGTCCGGAACTTGGTAAAATTTGAAACCCTTTTTTAGGAAGGACATGATCTAGGTCGAGGTCGATCGCGGCTCGTGCAATGGTCCTGCCGGACCCAAGGAAATATCCTGCACTCCGAAGGGATTCTGAAAGATAATCGGATGGGGTCGGTTGGTATTTTTGTGAGGTTTTCGACAATCTTGGATATGGCTTCTGCGTGTGTGGTTTTCTCGGATGCTGGGAATCCTTCGGCAGTTGTAAAGATGGCTTATTGGCCTCGGTACGATACCCATCCTGCTGCTCGAGATCTAGCTGCGCGAGTTGTGGTTTTAAAGCGTGGGAAGAACCAGAATGGAATGCACGTCGGATGCTTCGCAGCAGATCATTATGATATGGGAATAATGCGTCACCGTGTAGGTCCTAAACCATAGCTCTCGTATCAGCAAATCTCTCCACTTGCATGTCTTTCCCTAGGTCTAACATACCTTGCGACATGCGTAGTTGCGCCTCTGCGCGGCTCTTAAAGAGGGTACCCCCGAAAGGCCTCGAACGTGATTGAGAGCCGATGACATCCATGAATGTAATCATAGAGACACTTTTTCTAGAGCGAGTACTCTAGTCAGACGTCTCAATTTCCTCTCGAACCAAAAAAGAACAGAGAGCGAGAACATAAACAAATTCGAAATCCAACAGTCGAGATCAAGCTCCACGGCAGAAAATGGGATCAAGTCACGTGCTGGATCGACACTTTTCGGCCAAGCGCGCAGTCTGAGTCTCACGAAACGGTATCGTCCTCGTCCTTCGATCATAGTATTAATTCACTGTCAAAAAAAAACATTTGGGGTGGTGGATTGGTCCATTGTACTTCCCAGGTTTATTCCTTATCTGGTTTCCTTTTTACTTTCCGCCGATCCAACCCCAAGGGCCTGGACTCCTGCGTGTTGTTCCACCCCCATCAGTCGCGATTTCATCCTTTCTTGAGGCCTCGCATCAAGACTACTCGAACCACCCGTCGCGAACAAGACCACAGATCACTCACAACCACAACTGGCCATTGATCTTTAGCCGTTAGGTCGCGACCTTTTGATCTTTTCCTCGAACACATCAAGGTCCTTCAAGACATCGTCTGCATTGGAGGAAATCGCGTCGAAGGAAGTTCTGTCAACCTTATCCCTCCCGCGAAACCCCCCACCATGAGCGCCGACGAAGGTGGAGACCCCAAATCGATGGCTCCGATAAATGGCGAATCTCATCCGGAGTCAACTGCGACCGCGACTCCGGGTAAGAGGAAGCGTTCGGCCCAGGACGAGAATCCAGCTATCGAGCCTGCTTCGTCCGGATCGCGTGAGAGTCTCAATCTCCACGAGACTCTGCGGACCCTTGTTGGTCTTCTTTTAAAGTAAGCTGAACTATCTATGAGTCGTATTGTCTGGTTGCTAACGATAACAGGCATGACACTGAACTCCAGCTCCTTTCGTGTCCCTTCCCCTCGTCGGGGACTAAGCCTCGGGCGAAGCGCGCCAAAACATCGGGCGACCAAGACACATCCAACATGCAGACACGGGTCGAGGCGGGCCGTTACAACACCTTGCAGGAATTTTTGGCCGACATTGAACGAGCCTCTGCCGCAGTGATTGAGCGCAACCAGAACCAGGCAAATGGAGCAAGTGCCGAAGGCGCACCTGTAACGGAGGTAGTCAATCGCATTGCGGCTTTCAAGAAGCACATGAACAGCCTTGTCGGTCAATCCTTTGTCAATCAGACCGATGTCAAAGCTGAGACACTAGACGACGACGATGATGATCAACTTCAGTCCACAGCTTCACACATCGGCCCTCGCGAGGACAAACAGGCGTTGACTTTGTTTGGTGGGAGCCAATCACACCCGAAACAGTTATTCTCCAGTCTTCAAAAATCTGTCAAGGTACCCCTGCAGTCTTCCGAGTCTGGCGCAGAGAAGTTTGTGGAGGTGCAAGAACCACTTCGTGAAGGTGGACTGCCTAATGGCATCACCACCACTCGCGTGGTTCCGTATAATCTCGAGTCCACTACCCCGAAGCCGAGAACGTTTGGCGAGGTTTTTGCTCCCCGTTCAGGCTTGGTTCCCGTGGAACCTCGGAAACGAGGTAATCGAAGCGCAGTCTCATGGCTCGACCCATTTGATCTCGTCCTTGATCCTAAGAACTTCTCGGGCGATCGTAGCAACACCAGCCTCGTGCCGGTACCCTCCGGGCAATGGTTGCAATACGGTGGAGTCACCTCATCACCATCTTATTGGTCTCGTGTTGAAAAGCATCATGAAGATGCAAACGTTGGGTCAAAGTATGGGGACCCTGCTCTCTGGACCGGCGATGACTCTTCTCTTCTACAAGGCGTTTACTCGTCATTCGCCCCGTCTTTCGATAGTTCTGGGGCTGTTATGCAAGCCGAATCAAAAGGCATGGTATGGTGGGGGCAACGAGGTGCCAGGCGTTTGCGTACCCTGCTCTCTCTCACAGAAGATGTACCAGATGAGGTGGATCTTGAAGCGATCGACAACATTGACGAAAGCACGCTTAACGAGATGGTTGACTCGCTCAAACCGAAAGATTATGCCGAATATCTTGCTTCAATCGAGAAGGCACCTGAAGGACCCCCGGAATCTAGAGAGATTGACGATGTTCTCACAGAGGTCTCTCACTTGCTAGAAACCCTGGCTTCATACCAAAACATTCGTAAAACGACAATCCCCTCTGCCAGTGAGAATGACGAATCACCTGCACCAGACTTTGAAGACCCAGACACACCGTCCGATGCTGAGAGGGCCGTTTACGAAAAGCTGAGGTCAAGGCTTGTTTCTATAATTGGCAGCTTGCCTCCATATGTCGTTGCGAAGGTGAATGGTGATCAATTGGCAGAGTTGAACATAAGCCAGAAGATCATCATCGAAAGCCCCGACTGGAAGGGCACAATGGAGAAAGATGATCACACGCTTCATCTAGAGCGTGCTGCGGCCATCGCTGCTCAGGCGAATGCCGCTAATCGTGCTTCAACGCCATCTTCCACTCGGCCCAGCAGCTTCCAGGCCCCTCACTCCGCATACAACCAGCGTTCTTTCAATTCGAATGCTCGTCTGTCTCAATCGCAAGGTGCATTCCAAGTACCCCCACAAGCCCGGCAACCCTCATCGACGGGATCATTCACTCCCCCTTATGCAGGAGGTAGAGCACCAAGCACTCCTTCCCAACGCCCAGGTTTTGGCTCTCAATACAGCCAAGCCAACAATGTACCACAGTTTCAGCGTCCTACCTCCAATGGATATACTCCCCAGCCCTATACTCCGCGACCTGGACCGACAGCCACATCTAACGCCACTCCTCAGGGACGCAACCCTGTGACAGCTTCGGCTCAGCGGTACCAGTACGCGAATCAAACTCCGACGCAGGCATACCCGAATAGCGCTGCCGCCGCAGCGTATGCTCGCAGTGCCGCTGAACAATCTACCGTGAATAAGAGTCAGCCTCAACTTGAAGCTCGTCTTTCCCAGGAGGGAAGCTTGACACCAGGAAGCAAGCAGAATGGCACTCCCATCCAGTCATAGGATTCCTTTGCTTTACGCGGACATGAGCTATGCTGATTGAGGACTTGAAAAGTTTATTTAATGCCTCTAATTTGTCGCCAGTGGCTGGTTCCTGTTGAAACGCTTTGTTTTTCGTTCGAACATGGTATCACATGTCTGCCCTGTTCTTTCCTCCCCTTCTCCATTGTGTTTTTAATGGTTACATTTATATTTCGTGGGCTCATGGTTTTCTTTTCGGTGTTGACTCGAGCGACTGGCGCCTGTGCATGGTTTCCTATTTCAGAAGGGGCGTGGGTGGTATGGACTGCCGTTGCGATGCTATTTCTTTGTTCGCACAGTGTTAGTCTAGATGGGAAGAATATCACTTCCAAGGTTTGCTTAATACAATCGTATCCTACACTGTATTCTACTTCAACATGCAATGTTTTGAATCATCCCGGAATTTATTTCATATCTGATAATTGATACACTGAAGAAACACAATCTCCAAAACACCTCAATCCCAATTCACAGTAGCGAGGTATCTCCCATCCCAATGCTTGCTCAAATCCGCCATAGCCAGCAGGTCTAAACCTGAGCGTTTGTCGTAATTTGATTTTGATAACGACCCGGAAAACAAAAGTTGTAAACGCCATTCTTCCTTCTCTGCCATCCCACTCATTCTAGTATAAAACTTCGACCAAGTCGACAAATGCCACAGTCAAGATGCTCAAGACCAAAGAGTAGGTCCTTTGAAAACAAAAACAGTCCGTCGCTGTAACGGAAACAGAAGCATAAATCCATTCAAATGACACATCGGGGGAAACAATTCATTATCATCATGCTCTAAATCGCCCCAGCCAAAGCTAAGGAATGAACATAGCAGCAAGGGTCATAAAACCAAAATATCTATCGTCAGGTCAGTTTTAGTTCCGAACAAAACACAGGCAATCTTACATCATGGCACATCTCCATCCATCCCTCGAATCAACTAGGGTATCAATACCGGCGGAGTAATTCGCCGCAATAGCAGCTGCAGCACCACCGACGACCGTCACGACGACAAGTCGACCGGAGAACTCTGCGATCATACTAAATGCCAGCAGGGGAAGTAAAAGGGCACCCGACGCGACCATGATAGCCATGTAGACGGGGGCAGTAGCGGCCGAGGCGGCTAAGCGGGGTGTAAGGGAGACGAGATCAACGTCTTTATCTAGGAAACGGGTTTCTGCTGCTGCGATGGGGTTGTTTGTTTTCATCCATGAGCGGTAATTTTGGATATCGTCGTCTGTGGCGCGGGGTAGTGTTTGGACTACTTTGCTGTAGGCGCTGAGGGCGTTATCTGGATTTGTTAGATAATGTGGTAATGAGAATATCATATCAGGGTATGAAACTTACTATATTGCTCTGTCTTTTGGATCAAAGCTGCCATCAGATCCATTCGTCGGTAGTGCAGGGATGAATAGGACTGGGACTGGGCGTCTATGCGGCGTGATGCGGGTACGGGCTTGTTACCTTCCTTCTCGGCGATAGCGACGCGATGCATTTCTTCGTACTCATCTAGGAGATTCAGGTCTTCTTCCATTTGGGAGATCTCGTCTTGAAGGTGGAGCAGGACACGGTGGTTCAGGTTCTCGAAGCGTCGGTATAACGGAGGGAATGCTCCCTTCTCGTCTTTGGCTGAGTGGGTGAGGTGTGATGCCACGAGCCCATAGCCTGATGATATTTGCGACGCATTTGAGTCTCTTCTTTGTAATGCGCGGTGTATGCTATCCTCCGGGCTACTCGGTGGAGAGGGTGGCAGCGGTGACCGTTGGATCGCAGTAACATCTTGTGGATAGAAGTCTTCGGGTTGAGAGATCTGCAACTGGCGTTTTCGTGGTGGAGACTCTACCGGGGATTTGCTATACTCTTTTGAAGATGTCTTTCGCGCCGCTGGTGACATTTGTTTTCGGGTCTCTGCTGGGGGCACGGATGGTGGTGATGGTGCTGGCGGAGGACGCAAGTCACTTGTAGCTCTCGACGCCCCGCCAGCGGGTGATCTGGTTGTCTTTGGAGAAGCGCCGGTCTTTGATACCAAGACAGCATGCGGTATGGGATTGGCGCGCGGTTTCGGTGATTGTATATTCGTTACGGTCGACTGGGTTGCAGGAATGTCATCATCAGAATCAGATTCAGATTCCGATTCCGATTCTGAGGGCTCCGATGAGGATACAGATGAGGATCCATCACTGTGCTCGAGAAACTGGAAAACATCAACATCTGTGACATGTTTCGCCGGCTCCGGGGTTGGCGGCGACGGTGAAGCTGCCTGCGGTTTCACATTTTGTTTAGAGGTATTATTCCGTGTAGAAACGTTGCTTTTCTCGGAGATTGTGGGACTTGCGACAGGACCAGCCTGCGTTGTGGCATTGGAAACTGTGGATGATGTTCTCTTCCTCGCATCCTTCCTTGTTGACTTCCTAGTACGCATACTATTATGGAGTGGCATGTTGATCGGATAGAATCGGACGAAAAGCCGGGCTCATTGCTCTAAGAAGTTATGAAATGAACGGTTTTAAGCCATGCCCACACTGATAGTATTCGATTGGCATAGAGCGATCCAGCGTTGTGGTAACGACAATGAATTCCAGAGCGTGGATATCGGGCCGTGAGGCATGGCACAAGGGAGGGGTTAGAATCCGATCTCACGACGTCAAGTCGCGGAATCTAGGGGTATCTCCCGTAGGATGGACGACAAGGTTTAAGAAAAAAAAAGGAAAGTAACGAAAAAGGCAGAAGGATCAAGTGATAGTCGATATGATGTCTCAAATCTCCCACTTTTAACATTCCTCGGGCGAGGGCGGGGAGGTATGTATGGCCCCAGGCCAGATGGATCGGCTTTAGTTTTAAGTAGAGCAAACTGGGGGCTGCACGTCAGCTTTTCCCTTGGGGAAACGAGTTCGCGTCACCAGGGCGGGACTAAAGACACCCGCAGCGCGTCCTTTTGAAAATGGAGTGTTGCAATTTGTCAGACAAGGTATCGCCGACAAATCTGAAGCAGATGAGAAGCGCCGGGGGCTTCAGATCTGGGGCCAATGACGGTTGGCCCGCAAGGAGGTCCCTTGTAATTCTTGCCGATCGTATATTGCGGAGGTAGTTTCAGCTATCACACATGTACTCGGTGGTACAAATCCCAACACACAGGTTAAAACCTTCGGGTTGAAGGAAAAGCGAGTGGAATTGGACTAGCGGCTTGAATGGGGAACGTTATTCAATAGCCCTGTGGGCCCGTGGAGAGGAACAAATCAGCCGTCATCCTTCCCGATCCGAGGGACAATGCGTGTAAGTGAGTTGGCGACTCGCCTGTCGATCATCTCCTTGCGTCTGGACTGGCGGTCTGGCTGATAAAGCCCCATTTTTTGGGTAGCAAAGACCCAAGGTGGGATGTGATCCATCACCATTCTTCATGCACCAGGCACATTGAGAATGTCACATTGTATTGCAAGGTTATTCCAAGGTTTCAGGTGTGAGAAGTAAAGTGATGAGACTTGAATTTTGGGTACATTCTAATGATAACCTCATGCCTGTGTTTCCGTTGTGTTTCAATTCATTACGTCATCCAATATACCTCCCACATGACCATAAACATTATTCTTCTTTCGAATATCACTTGTCAATATCTAAAAAAGTACGGAGTTACTCGGGGTCTTACATGGTCTGATTGGTAGGTCGTTAAATCACCCCTGGGGCGGATTTCAGCCGCCCCAAAAGTCACCAGTTGGTCATAGATACAAGAACAACCACCTGCGCATGAACTGCTTACTTTCTACCTATCTTTGTATACTATGAGAGACTTTGAGTAACATGAAGCATTGCTTATTGGAAATATACCCGTATCTGATATGTCATCTGCATGTGATTAGCAAGTACTTGATCGAGCACTTGAGAGATCATTGATAAACCTTCGGGAATATATATCAACCAAGATGCAACACTTCAACATTCGAAGTCAGAGTTCTTAACCAAGGATCCCCGAGCAAAATTTGAGCTGAACGATACCTAAAGCGCTCCAGCTAGTACTTCGAGTATTACCAAGCAGTGGGAGGGCTTAGCTAGCTCGATTACGCGATGTCAGATTTTCATAGAAGACCGGAGATGTTATAAGTCTGCATTTTAGTCCTAGTCGGGATGGATTTCCTGTACCTTGTGAGGTTCCAAGGTACGTGATAATGCTGTTTCCGGTCACAGTACCTTCTCCCCGAGATGTATTTGTGAGCAGTATCCGGGTTATCTTCGAATCGTGATGTTTATATAGATTTTTCCTTTTGATCATGAACCCCACCTCCGCTGATCTAGATAAGATATGGGCGGTTAGCGTGCAAATAGCGGCAACCAAATCCACGAACTGGACAGTTTCTTAAGCAGAACACTTGCTCCGGCCCGGTCTCTTTATTCAAAGAACTTTGGAACAAAACTAAGTGGGGAAGTTAGGCCAGTTCGTGGGGCACATAATGCGCACGAGCATGGCCGAGTAGAGTAGTTCTCCACGAACATCAGCGAGATAAAACATAAAAGCCATGCGGATTAGTTCGATGTCCTTATTTGCAACCAATAATACCCCGGTATATTTCTAATAGGTGGTTTCTCATTGTCCTCGGAGGATGGAAAATATAAGTCACCTGGGCAGTATAGTTGCCGGCTAAAATCTCTCCTGCCGCTCCAGACGCGACCCCAACCCCCATTTTTCTTCAACAAGGGACTTGCAGATACCATTACGACATATCTCGGACTTCGGCGCTCGCTAAGACACTAAATTGCAACGTGGTGGGACAATTCGGGGCCCTAAACGGGGCAGCTCTCCTCAACCTGTACTTAACGGAAGTATGGAGAACCTGGCGGAGTGCAATGATCCCTAAGTGCAGGTTTTAGCGATGATTGCGAACACGCAAACCGGATGGACCCAGGGCCGGGAAAGGGGGAAAGTTATAAAGCAGACTTCATTTCCTTCTTCTTTTCTCAATTAAACCAATCTTTAACAGTATTTCTCAAAGACATTGGTGTTCTTTGATCCCTGGTTACTACTGTCACCCATTGTGCCCCTCTTTTCTCCGATCTCTCCGATCCACTTGTCTATCTTATCGCAGATCAATCACTAAATCTTTGGTCTCTGTCTCTACTTTTTTTTTTTTCTCTTCCAACGACCCCCCGTTCTAGTCGCGCATACCCTGCAGACTACCTAGCTATATTTCACACACAATGACGCAACCATCTACCATCAAATCGCGCTTCCTCACCAAGCCCGACCAGCTGGGCGTGGTCGCCGTTGGATTCAATGGCGGACAGGTAAGACTTACAACCGCAAGCATTCGACCGGGCCATGCTAATCCCATTCCTACAGATGAAGAAAGGCGTCGAAGCCGCCCCAATGGCCCTAATCGAAGCCGGGCTCCTCACCCAGCTCCGCGAGGACCTCGAGTACGACATCCACCACGATGACATCGTCCACTACTATGAGAAGGACATTCCCGCCGAAGACCCCGACCACCGCAACATGAAGAAGCCCCGCGCCGTCAGCGCCGTCACTGAGCGCCTAAGCTCCCAGGTCTACAACTACGCCAAAGACGGCAAGTTCGTCCTGACATTGGGCGGTGATCACTCCATTGCTATTGGTACCGTCTCCGGCACAGCCAAGGCTATCCGTGAGCGATTGGGCCGTGAGATGGCTGTTATCTGGGTTGATGCCCACGCCGACATCAACGTTCCTGAGATGAGCCCTAGCGGAAACATCCATGGTATGCCTATGGCCTTCTTGACCCGGCTGGCCCGGGAGGATAAGCCTGATATCTTTGGCTGGTTGAAGGATGAGCACATTGTTAGCACCCGCAAGTTGGTGTACATTGGTCTGCGTGATGTGGATCGTGGTGAGAAGAAGCTCCTCCGGGAGAATGGAATCAAGGCTTTCAGCATGCACGATATTGATCGGTAGGTTTCTTCTCCTGTTTTGCTAGCTTCTAGTAACCCGTTGCTAACCTATTTTTTAGTCATGGTATTGGCCGCGTTGTCGAGATGGCTCTGGCTCATATTGGCAATGATACCCCCATTCACCTGTCGTTCGATGTCGATGCGTTGGACCCCCAGTGGGCGCCCAGCACCGGTACCCCCGTTCGTGGTGGATTGACTCTGCGTGAGGGTGATTTCATCTGCGAAGCCGTTCATGAGACAGGTAACCTAGTGGCTATGGACCTGGTTGAGGTGAACCCCAGTCTGGAGTCTGTTGGAGCGGCGGAGACCATTCGTGCGGGATGCTCGTTGGTTCGCAGTGCGCTTGGTGATACCCTTCTGTAATTATGATTATGATTTCCCTTTTCCTATTTTCTTAGAATAGAACGACTAGAAGCAAGGAAGAAAAGCAATGACGTTAAAGTGGATTTCCCCGTTATCCGTTGTATACTAGATCCCCGGCCACCTCAATTTACAAACCCCCGCCTCCTCTATTTCCATTTCTTACTCTCTCCAATCTCTTCTTTTCCCCGCCGAATCATTGCACCCTGCCAAGTCTATCACTCTCAGCGACAAATTCACTCGTTTTTTATCTTTCTTCATCACGGTTAGGGTCTGTCTTGACACTGCGCCTCTCGGCGCCCGATGCGCTGTCCGCCCTTATCGCTCAGATCCAAAGCCTAAACTCAGCACAACATTCCACCTGTACACCTTGCGCCATTGGGTTCGAATAGGTCGCAAACCCGTGACAACATTCAGGTGACTTCTCGCAATCAGGCAAAAAGCTCTGGTATACGCCCGAGGGATATTATAATCACTGTCCGCTGTCGCAATTCGATCTTCACGAAGATCAACAAGTCCTACCCGAGCTACAATAATCGCCATTGCCATTGCCCACCATGGCCAAATATGAGCGTCGCGTGCGCCTCAACTACCACTGGCCAGAGATTCAGCTGAATATCTGGCTTATCGTCGTGCTAGCAGGCTCGGCAACATGTCTAGGCATCTTCTCCTGGTTCATGACTGTACAATCAACAATGGAGCTTGGGACACCCTGGTGAGTATACCGACAACCCTTGGTAGCCCTTATCTAAACAAATACTAACCTACAATCATTACAGGCTCTTCCCCTACATGGTTGTATCCAGCGCCCTGGCCGTCTTCTTCATCTTCGTCGTTCTCGCCCTAATCGCCCGCCAACTCTTATTACCCGGAATCTTGATACTCGGCAGCTTTATCCTCTTCGTACTCTTCCTTACTGGCCTCGTTGAGACGTCGTTGCAACTGTATGCAGTGGAAGGGAATATCAACAGCAACTGTCAGATCTATGTTGAGGATAACAAGTCGAGGGGGAATAATATCAATACTCTGGCTTGGTTGACGCAGATTACTATTTGTGAGTTCTTTTTTCCTCGGACGGCTTGGGCTTCTTTTTTCGATTGGCTTTACTAACAGTTATTGCAGGTAATTGCTGGAAAACAGCCTTTGCTATGGAGCTAGTCAATACCGTCTTTTATGTGTGGATGATGGTTATGTCGTGGCAGGTTCATCGGAATTATTATCATCGGTGATTGTCTCGATGTAATGTTGTTTTGCCTTTCTTTGTTACATTTTGTGATACCAATTTTTCTTAGCATATATTTGGCGTTTGATGACCATGAATCAGTGAATAAGCAGTTTGATAATTTTGATATGATGGAAATAGTTAAGGGAATACATCCCACGTATTTGACATTGGACACTAGTTGGAGTCTACTCAATAACGAAGTAGATACAATCCAGAACTAGCAGGAAATACATAAAACGAGCAATGGGAAAAATCACTGCGAACGCCGTCGCTATGGCAGGAGCGCTTGCAACTGCACAAATCAGATAGAAGATACAGTCGAATCGAAGGGGAGAGTGTAGATCGGACAGTAATAGAGGAACAGGGGTAGACCAGAGGAAGTAAGGAAAATCAAAGACTTTCATCGACTACGTCCTCTCCATCGTCATCATCTTCGAATGCAGCGAGCATCTCTCGCTCCAGATCATCTTCATCATAGTCCGGGTGTGCATCATCTTGATCTTGGGTGGTATCCGCTTTGTCGATATCCTGTTCTTCTTCATCGGCCTGTAGTGTCATACGGGACTCATCGGAATCGGTGGGAGCAACGCTTGCAACTTCTCGAAGACCGGTACTCCGCTTGTACGAACGCTTAATGCGTTGCGAGAGCTTTGAGCCTTGCTGATCAGCATCGTCCTCATCCTCGCCAGACTCATCGTCAGTTGCTCCGTCCCCGTCTCCGCGCTTCCGTTTCTTGCCCGCAGACCCCTCATCCCCCCATGCCTCGCTGTCGCTTTCACTCTCATCATCACTACCGAGGAACTCCTTGAGCTCGTCATGTACAGCAGCTTGCTCATCCTCGTCATATCCGATATGTGATCTCTCGTCAAGGCCGGTATCCTTGAACAGTTCGGACTCTGGATTTCCTTCATCATCAGTCCAGAATGAGCCCGTGGCCTCGTCCGAGGAGGATAGCCAGGAGCTCTCGGCGAGTTCTTGCGAGCCAGGGGAGAGAGGCTCACCACGATCATCGGGGTGAACAGGAAGCAAGTAGGGCTCCTCATCAAGACGCTTCCAACTTGTCAGGCAGTCCAGAAGCCACTGCGTTGTGACGATCTTGACATTTGGGTACCGTGTGGCTTCGCGCACTTTCGCGGTCCGGTTTCGGCCAGCAACGAGATGAGTAGTGCGGCTATTGATTCGTGATGCGATGACGATACCGAATGTCTTGGCCCACAGGGAAATATCAGCATTCTGTGTGTCTGATCCGAGAGGAAGAACACCTGAGAAAACCATGACCACTCCTCCGAGAATCTGCGCCTTGATTCGGGGCATAATATCCTTGACGTCAGGAACCAACTTCAAGTCAACATCCTTGTCTTTTAGCGGTGTCTTCTCACCCCTCAAGGCCGCCACTCGGCCTCCCAGCGCACTGGATCGCTTCTTATCATACTCGTCAAAGAATTGGAGATGAACTTGCTCTAGACGTTCCTGAAGCTGGAAAAGCTCTCGGTCGTGATCTTCAAGTAGGTGATGTCGGGGTTGAGATTCGTCAATGTTGGGTGTGCTCTCGGCACTTGCATCATCCTCGGCATCTAATTCTTTTTGTTTTTGCAACAACGGCCTATCTTCCACCTGATGCAATATTGTCTCCTCTTGAGCATTGGTCTGCTCCTGCAGCAATCTTGGATTATCACCGCCTCCCATTGTTACCAGTTGTTCTAATGCGGAGACATCAGTCGGTTTCTCAGCTGAACCATTAGCATGCTCCTTTGTTTCAGGCTTTGCGGGCTTGACCGCAGTCGCACCAATATCCTGTTTCTTGGGTAAGAAACTGGAATTGATGTCACCAATCCCGACGAAGAAGTCGTAGGGAGAGACCTTGATAAGGTTGGGATTCCAGCGCCACACATCACCACGGTCGTCAATAATGACGACCATCTTTGTGTCAACTGGGAACAAACGTTGGAGGTTCTTAGCCGTTAGACTTCCGCTCTCATCACGGCTGAGAATACGGTCCCCAAAAAGCTTGCGTGTTGGATCAATGATATCGGCAATGTTTTGTGCATATGCTCGAGTACCCATGGTGTAGATGTGCAATTCATAAAGCTCGGCAACGTTCTGTAAGAAATCCTCCAGCCCTGGCCGCAGCTTGATGTAGTACCAACAGCCACGCATCCCCGGGCCGTCATCAATCAGCCTGAACTGCCTGACACCTCTTAATGCTTCGTAGTTCGGGTTATCCTTGTCCTCTTTCCATTCTCCGACGGTGGGGTCGACAGTAGCGTGGATAATGGTCTGATCAAGATCCACCACAAGTGAAAGACGTCGAGATGCCAAAAGACGACGCTTGGCATCCTCCTCAACACGCGTGGCTTCCTTCTCACTGACCGTCAACGTTGTGTTGTCATGGGACATCTGAATCGGCGCGCGGAAGGAATCCATAATTTCGGTGTTGTATGAAGCTCTGAGAGAACGGGACATTAGCACAATACCTTCCCAAGGTTCACTCTAGAATGCATACTCAGTCATATCCTTTCCACACTCTGCGCACATCCCCCCGAATTGTACCTCATGGGCACATGGCTCGTAGATCTCAATCACGTCAACCCTGCACATTTTAGCTAGTATTCACAAGTCTCTCAAAGTGAAACTTACGGTTCATCAATGACATCTCCTTTGGATATTTTCCACTCTTGGACCTCGCCATCAACAGGCGATTCAAATCGGGTTGGGAACTTTCGCTGCACCTTTATGATATTCCCTACGCCATCGCCCTCCTCAACCTCTGAGTAATAAACATACCAAAACAAAGCTTCATCCCTCTTCACCTCATCACCAGGCTTCTTCAGCAACGAGGTGATGGTGATGGGGTAATGCAGGCTGGGCGGCAGACGTAGAAGCATCTTTGTACCCAGTTCGCCCCCCCAGGCGACGGAATCCACCAAGTTTCAATCAATGACTCAACGAGCCAACGCCTCCGAAGTTTCCGCTCGCCAGGTCCCACAGCACCGGTGAACGTGGTGCGGATGGTATGTGGATATGATCGCGTGCGCCTCTGGCTACGGAGCCATAACCAACACGCGACGCGTGATTAGGTTTCCGCCGGGTCCCGGTCTGACGAACGTGCCGATGAGGTGACTGAATAGGACTCAATGTTCCCTATAACACAGGGGCGTCTTTGAAGAAGATAAATGAATAGGGGATGCAGGAGCGCAAGGGTTGAAGCTTGGGCAGGTGAGTGCGAATGCGAAGTCGCCACACAAAGCGGATGCAAAGAAAGACACTTTTACGCGCCTTGAAACCCCCAGTTCGTGGATTGCTAGGTCAGTAAGCACACAGAGTCGTGAAGGAACACTTAAAAGGTGGGGGATTTAAAGGTGGGAAGAATGCCTGTGATCGGAGAATGGGAAAGCTCGGTGCGGGGACTCTGAACGGTGGAAGAAGCTCATCCGCTTATGTCAACTCTCTCCACCGCCCCCGGAACATGCCATGGATGCCGTATCCACTCCCCCAACATAGTACTTTTAACTCTTGGAATTGAATAAATGCTACATTCTGATGATTGAGAGGCTATGACTTACACTTGTGGTCTATCTCTATCATTCTTGGCTCCCTCTCGGCCTGGTTCAGTTTTGATTGGCCATGGGCCTGTCACTGAGCAGCTCTTGCTGCACCCGCGGGCCGGCTCCATACGAGCTGGTCTACGCATCACCATTGGGACAGACAGAGATCATAACACACATTCTTTACTACCCAGAGATTACGGAGTACTCTCACATTGGGGAACACGATGAGTAGATTATTGTCATACAAGAGAATTCAATACAAAGCCAGGGGCCATAGATTCAAGTGAAAGAATGACAGATGCAAAGTAAATCCATGCGAGGCAAGACAGCTATTGCCGTATTATCCATGAGCAAAAACAGGAGTAAGAGTTGGATGCCGAAAAGGAAAAGCAACAGAAAAAAGATACAAATCAATCAAGATATGCTCCTTACCTCACCATCCTAGTTGGAGTGTATATACTAGACATTCCCTCGAATCTGTTCAGGTTCATCGGTGGCTAACGCCTGGAGTCCTCCATTTGCTTGAGAACCTATTTGGCCTTGGCCAGGCCAACAGACCCATTGCCAAGGTCATAGACGCTGTACCACTTGCGCAGGAAAGAATCTCCCAGAATGGCCAAAGGACCAACAGGCTCGGGGAAATCCATGCCCATGAAGCTGCTGATGCAGGACCCCTGGACCTCAAGGATGTAGTCGTGGGGGCCGATGGTGAAGTCGTGGCCGCTAAGGGTAAAAGTGAGGTCAGGCAGGGAGTCGACGGTAGCACAATCGACGCTGTACTGTCCAGTGAAGCCCTTGGTGGCACCGATCTCCTTATTAAGCAGCTCAGCCATGGTGGAGGGCAGAGCGATGAGAGAAGTGCCGGTGTCAAGAATGACACCAGTGTTCTCCAGCTCAGCCTTGTTGTTGCCAAGAGTGATGGCATCAAACTCGACCTCCCAGTAGGCCTTACGGCGCAGAGGGATGGTGATCAGCTCACCAGTGTAGTGGCTCTTGTCCACACCACCGAAGGTGGCCTCGGACTGGTCACCCTCATTGTTAGCGTTGCCCAGGTAAAAGGCAAAGACAGGCTCGTCTAGAAGACCCTGGTTGATCATGTTGTAGACAGGGGGAACCATCTTGTTGACAGAGATGGTGTCATATCCCAGACCAAGGATACCGTCGAAACGACCGAAAGCAAAGGCAAGACCAGGCTCGCTGGTAGCCTCGGCGAAGTCCTGTTCTTTGATCTTCAAGTCGCCGATCTGGAGCGTGTCTCGGGAGACGAAGCCACTCAGGCTACCAGATCCGTATTGAATATCGAATTTGGTGCCGTTCTTCTTGTAGGTGCTAGAGTCGGACGAGTCATACTTGCTGTGGAGATAGCAGGCGATCGAGCCGCACTCCGATGAGGGAACCCAAAGGTTGGAACTGCCAGTATCAAGGACAACCTTGAAGGACTGGGGAGGAGTACCGAGGGTAATCTCAGAGAAGTCTGATGAATTAGCGATGGGAAAAGATACAAGAGATGATACAGGTGATGAGCTTACACTGTGCGTTCAGGAAGTTGTCGACCAGGACGTCATGACCAGCCTGGGGCTTGATCGAGGTTTCCTCGAACATCATATCCTGGTGACGGTCAGGACGAATGCCCATGTACTTCTGGCCCAAGGCGTGAACGTGGGCATCGATGTTGTGGGTGTTCTAAGATGGGAGATCAGTCGGGAAGTCCGCTTGGAGAGGAGTAACACGGGGAAAGCTTACCAGCTGTTCGCTGAGGGGAACCTTGTTGAGCTTCAGCTTGTGGACCTCAGCAGAGGCACTGCCCAGCAGCACAGAGGCTGTCAACAGGGCAACAGACTTCATGATGGGCAAAGAGTGTAGATGATAGTGATGGGGGAGGATGAGGAGAAGATAAGACGGAGCTGGGGGCGGAGTGACTGGAGACGGAGATCGGCATAACGTGATAGGAGTGCGTCATTTCCCGGAATCAGCTGGGCCGCCGTGGGTTACACCTTTCACTGGCACATTCTCTTTCCGTTTTTGTTTCCCCAAGGTTTAGAGATTGTATTCTATTTACATGATAATACACCTTCGATTTCAATTCCATATATTTTCGTGGTTGAACAAATATCCGATGTCAATTCTATCTTCCAAGATTGTTCTACGTAGTATATGACGGGGTTGGTGCCTAGCTTAGCGCCAACAAGGGAGGGGTCAGAGCAGCCGTACCTGGCAGCTGCAGTGTGGCAAACCTTGGAAGCCCAGCTGTTTGATCCTTGATTGATTTAATTTGGCCGCGGCTTACGGAGCAGCTGCCTTGCTCTTATCTTAGTGGGACCGAGACCGGTGTAGACCCTGAGATTATCGTTCCCAATATTAAGACCCCTTGCCTGTACACAGTACTAGTTTGTTCTTGGACAAGTCATGCATTTATAACGGTAGATACGTCGAGTTCCAAGTGCCATAGATTATTGATAATACAACGAAGAGAACATCCCACCATACCCCAACAACCTTGAGAAGCACCACCCGTTTACCGGTAGAAGTCGAGTCTGTAAAAACATCAGCATGATAAGAGTAAGAAAGGGGAGATGAACGTACCTGTCGTCATCATGTCCACTCTTCACCTGGGCGGAATAGGCATCCTCCAGGTCGGACTGGATGATGTTGTAACGGTTCTTACGCACTGCCCGGAGACCGGCCTCCTGCATGATAGCAGCAATCACAGCACCAGACAGAGGCTCGTTGCGCACAATCAAAGAGTCCAGATCCACCTCAGGAGACAGGGACATCTTCGCCGCGATGGTACTGAAGATCAGTCGACGCTCACGTCGGTCGCGCAGCGACGGGAACTCGATCTTTCGGTCTAGACGACCGGGACGCAGCAGGGCGGGGTCCAGGGTGTCGGCTCGGTTGGTGGCCATGATGACCTTGACGTTGCTAGACTGCTCGAAACCGTCCATCTGGTTCAGCAACTCCAGCAGGATACGCTGAACCTCACGGTCGGCGCCAGTCTGGGCATCGAAACGCTTGGTAGCGATGGCATCAATCTCATCAATGAAGATAATGGCGGGAGAATTCTCGCGCGCCATCCGGAACACATCACGGACCATGCGAGGACCCTCTCCAAGATACTTTTGTACGAACTCTGAGCCGTTCACACGGATAAAGCTGGCGGTTGTGCTGTTTGCCACAGCCTTAACCAGCATGGTTTTACCGGTACCCGGGGGACCGTAGAGCAAGACACCACGGGGTGGGTCAATACCTACTATAGTTAGTAGTGATTCTCTGATTCTCTAGTTTCCATCGTGGAAACGTACCAATCTGTTTGTAGAGCTCGAAGTGTGTCAACGGCAGCTCGACGGCTTCCCGAATCTCTTGCTTCTGCATGTCCATACCACCAATATCGGCGTAAGTCACATCTGGCTTCTCGTTGTCACCTAGCATCGCGATCGAAGAGTCGGCCTCCGGGGGGAGAATATCGACCAGGGCGTTGGAGTGTCGGTGGAGGGCAACCGAGGATGAAGGCTTCAGCTTCTCACGGTCAAGTGTGGAGAGGATGCGAACAACGTAGTTGGACCCGGTCGAGCTCTGCACGATACCAGTACTAGAATATGTTAGCGACCGAATTTAGTCGGAATCAACTCGACATACTTTTGATCGATAGCTTCCATGAACTGTCCAATCACCAGCGGGACACTTTGTATACGCTTGATCTCCTCCTGTGCCCGAACCAGCTCTCTCTTCAAGCTCCTATAGGCAAGTAATCAGTATCAGGGTTAGACCAATCGATACCATCAAGACGTACCTCTGCTCATCCTTGATGTATTCCTCCTGCAGCTGAATGTATCTGGGAGGCGTCAGTACATGACACGCGTTGCACATCTACTGGCCAAGCATACTCTAGGTGTCTCTGTAACCGTTTCAAGGTGGCATATTCATCGTTTCCATCGGCTCCTGTTCCGTCCAAGGAGTCCAAGTTCCCAAGGGCATCCAAGGCACTTGGCTTGGGAAGAGGCGTGACGTTGTTTGCCGGGTTCTCCACGGCCACGTCTCCCATGGTGAAAATTTGTTGACTGGAACTAAGCTGGATCAGGTGGAGATGAAGATCGGCGGTGTTGTTCGATGCAGGTTGGTAGGTGGTGGATTGCGCGGTGAAGGGTCTGGAGATGGGTTGTGTCCTTGGAGCTCAATCAATCGGGCAATTGGAGCTTCCGGGTAGATCACGTGCTCTGTACTGAGATAATCGAGAAGACGGAGTACATCGAACAGATCATGAATTACCCGTTTGACTTATTAAATGTCTAATGCATATTTTATTATTTATCTCTCAATACCTAACTATATTGACTATGCTAGTAGGGTGATTTTCACAATATTTGTCATAGCATCTACACTCGAAATGTTATTTGAGATGAAAGGGGGCTTTTCCAAGTTGGAACCATTCCAAGCATATGTTGGATCCTCAAACATACTACTCCCTAGATACGAGGCTAACAACATCGAATTCGAAGAGTAGGCCACCTAGGCAATACTTGTTTGTTCTATCTTCGAACACATGAAGATTTACGGTGATAGGCTGTACACTAGGGTGTAAGTAACTACTGGAGTAGGTAGTTACTGGACAGTACTAGGTAAAGCTGATCCACAGTGGGATATGCATAAGATCGAGTCCGTATCAGAGCTCATTTGAATTACAAGTTAGTCTTTGGTAATTCTAGGCTGTGATCATGACATGTTTCAGGGTGATCACCGGTGGTCAGACAGCCAGGTTTGTCGCATGGCCAATGAGGCGGGACTACGTTCGTTAGGTCGGTGATGTGTAGCGAGCGAAGTCCATCGAGGCAGCTGATGTGTTCCGGCAAATAATCATTTCGACAAATGGATTCTTTCACACCCTTTCGCGTCCTTTCCATCTGGCATTGAGCCCGGACCCAATCATGAAAGTGGAGCAGGGCCCGCGGTTAGGTGGGACAGGCACAAGAGACCATGAAATTTCCCATGCGGATCGAGTCGGATCCTTGCCACTGGGTGAAGGGGAGGACCTAGTCTTGGCTCTCATCTGGTTCCTCTGGTGCATTTGAGTTCCTGCGTGGTTTTTTATTTTATTTTTTCTCTTCCCCATTCCTATAGGAGGGGGAAAAGATTGGGCGCTCGTCATGATTATCAGACGCTAGCCTGAGCTTTATATAAGGAGCGCCCACGCCCACGCCTGACCCCGGACTTCGCTTTTTGATTTCTTTTCTTCCTTAATTATTTCTCCCCCTCTTTTCCCTTTCCCCCTACGTGTAATTTTTCATCTATCATTCTCTGTGATGATTTTCGTGCGCCCGGGGACTGTCCACGGGCCTAGCACCCTTGGGAGTATACGGGCTAACCTGACTGGGCGAAGACCGTTGGAATGGATCATCGCCCACTTGTTTTCGGGATATTTCCATGAGGTCTTTTCTCTCTTTCTTCTCTTTTTATTTCTCTTATCCCTATGGAAAAGAAGAGGGAAAAAAAATCTTACAAACCCCCATTTCTGGGTTGACCGAGTCCTGGGCCTCGCCTCTTCTTAATGGTGGATGAGCCGCGAACGCAGCCGAGACCCGTGACTAACGTCATGACGACCTATGCAATTCAAGCTACAGAAAAAACAATGGTTTTTTGGGAAAGGGGAGAAACCTACTAACTTAAAAATCACAGAGAAAAGATTCACTAACATCTAAAGAAAAGAGAGAGAAAACTGAACAGTGAATGGTGTTGGTGGTACAAGGAAGACCGAAAACAGCGTTCCTTTTCTCCCACTAGGTTCTCTCGCAGTAATTTTCCTCAATTCTCTCTCCACTTCCCCTTTCATCCCTAACTGCTTCGCGAACTGTAGGTACTCGTTTACTTTGTTGTATTTTATGTTTTATGCTTTTGCCGTTTCGTTTTTTTACACTTTCTGGTATTATTTGTTCCCCTTTGGCCACGCACCTGTCCTTCCCACACACTTTCGTTTCCCCCTTCTTTCCGGGAGCCCACACCTATGCACTACCTGTAACCCCCATTTGTTCTCTTTATGGTTTATCGGGCCGAAGCTGGTCCTTTGATCATCTAGAACCGATCATCATTTACCCCCAGCCTATGATTTGACAGCCCCAGACCCATCCACCCAAGCTCTCCCCCATTCCCCATTCCCTTTGTTGCTGGCCTAAAGGTGGCAGACCTTTGTTGCCTCAGGCCCAAACACGTGACCATCACGGAACACTCCAACCTCTGCCCTTTTCGTCCCATCTGCTAATCCCGGGACTCGGCTTAGCCATCCGTTCGCCAGTCGGAATTTAAGTGATCCAGCCTTGTCGGTATGTACTTTCCATGGCTCCATTCTTGACCTTCCCTTCCACCCATTTATTTTCTTTGCGCCAAAATGGCCCTTCTACCCCCAATGTTCTGCGCCCCCTCCCCCCAGGACCCGTGTCGCGACCGAGCGCGCATCCCCCAAAACAGGCCCACCCTACGCGTGTCTATGGTCTAGAAAAATGATCGGGGTCCCCATGTTTTTGTACCCATTGATGCAGATGATGATTTCCCATCGATGATGATGATGCGCAGTGAATATCGTTGCTGACCTTGATGGCGCGCAGATGGGTTGGTAAAAACCGCACGACATGAACGCCTGGGCCGTTGACGCCTCGAATCTTCCTGGTCAGGATAACGGGGCTTTTAATCCTTCCACAATCGATCCATCTGCCGCCTTTCTTCATGCCTCTCCGAATCCCCAAGACCCGAATCAGTTCCAGCGCATGTTCAATGGCGTGCCGCGGAACGCTTCCCCAGGCTTCCACAACCCCAACCAGGTGATTCCATCAAAGCGATCACGACCAGAAGATGGCATGCCTATGTCACCACGTCCTGCTCCCGGCGGAGTGACTGGGTCGCGATCCCAGACACCTCAAGTTCCCTACCCAGGCTATCAAGGACCGGCCAATGGAACACCGCAATTTCCTCAGCATCCTACTCCATATCAACATCTTCAACAAGGGGCTTCGCCTAATGTGACTCAGTCGCCAGTCATGCAAGACTTTGACCAGCAAAGTGTTCGCATGGGGACAGCGTCTCCCAGCCCTTTCTCTCCCGCTGGCCCCCATGTGGGCCCTCATATGTCACCGTCACAATCAGATCACGGAAGCCGTGTCAACACCCCGCAAAACAACAATTTTATGCCTGGACAAGCTTTCCCACAAAACATGGGCGGCCAGTTCCAGGCACCTGGCTCGGCTGCACCCCAACAGGCATTTGGTGGTATGCAACAAGGCGGTATGCAACAGGTGCCGCCGGGCTATCACCAGGCTCTCGCGGCCCAGCAGCAGCGACTTCACGCCATGTCAATGCAAAATCGACAAATGAATGCCAACCCACAGATGGCCGGTCGCCCTGTTGCAAGTGGTTTGAACCCCATGGCCAACCCTCAACAGATGGCCGCTTTGCGGCAGATGCAGCAGAATGTTGCAAAGCCCAACAATCCCGAAGCCTTTATGCGTGCGGTGCAGAAATTCCAGATGTCACGAAATCTTCCTTTTGACCCAAACCCGATCATCAGTGGTCGCCCGCTCAATATTGTTCAATTGTATGGAACCATCATGAAGATGGGTGGATCGAAGAAGGTTACAGCGATGAATGGGTGGCCTGCTGTTGCGCAGCATCTTCAGTTCCCTCAGATGCAGTTCCCAGTGGCGGCTCAGGAGCTTCGAGAATACTACCAACGGAACTTAGCTCCTTATGAGCAAGCATTTATTAGCTCGCAACAAAAACAATTTGCGGAGATGCAGCAACAGCAAAATCATCAGCAGCAGCAGCAGCAGCAGCAGCAGCAGCAACAGCAGCAGCAGCAACAGCAACAGCAGCAGCAGCATCAACAACAACAAAATCAACAGCAGCAGCACCCGCAGCAGCTTCAGCCACAGCTCCAGCCAGGTATTCCCCGCCAGCCTAGTGATGCATCAGGGATGCAATTCCAGTCTCCGGCGGTAAAACAGGGCCAAAGCTTCGAGCAAACAGCTCAATCTCCTCAAAACAATACCCCCATCTCGAACCAAGCCCAAGTTCCTCCAATGAATGGATTTGCGACCCCAACACAGGCACGCAGTCAAAGCAAACCCCCTCAAACTGCACATCGACTTAGCGTTTCTCGCCAGTCGCAGTCATCGGTTCCCCCTTCAGAAAACACAGGACAGTTTGCTGCACCTTCACCATCACAGCAAGGCAAAGCCGCGTCAGTCACACCTGGGCCACAGCCTGCCCAAGCTGATACCAAACTAGAACGGGTGACTAAGGTGCCCATTGAGGACCCGTTCAAGCCCAAAGTGATCACCGAGCATCGCCTGCATGGCCCAATTGCGGTAGATGAGATGTTCCAGCTTGGCGATGAGATCCTAAGGTTGAAGCCGAGTGTACCAGCGTTTGCAGAGCTAGGTGTGGTGGACATTCATGCTCTGAACATGGGGCTCAAATGTGGAATCCAGGCAGAAATTCGGGTTGCTTTGGATACTCTGACCACCCTATCATCTGAGCTTAACACTGCGATCTCCTTGGAGAACTGCGATGATTTAGTGGAAAGTCTGGTGGATTGTGCTCAGGACCAAGCCGACTTTTTAGCTCAGCACATCCCTGAACTGCCTGAACGCATGCAAGTACGTTCTTATGAAGAGGTGACACGGGGTTGCCAATCTGAATTCACGTCACTTGCGGAAGTTCCTGAGTTCGGGAGCATTGATTACCGCCTTGATCGAGCCGTGGAACGGTTGATATGCATCACTACTATTATTCGCAACTTGTCTTTCAACGAAGCTAACGTTGGCATCCTGGGCATACCCTCTGTTACCCAGGTCTTTGCTGATGTCTTCCGCTGCCTTGGAACCCACAAAATGTTCCTACGGACCAACCAAAACACACTGGATTTCATGAAGGATGCGGTGATCTTTATGAGTAATTCGGCTCACGTCATGCAAATACCCGGCAAAGAGGAGGCTCAAAGCCTGCTGGAATTCCTTCTTGCCTTTGCGCCAGAACCCACTCAATCCAAAGAATTGATGTTCACTGCCTTCAATCCTTCAATCCATCGATATACCCCTGCTGCGGTGGATGGCCTCGCTAAGCTGTTGGCGAGAGATGACCCGAACCGGATCTACTTTGGAGCCATATTCTCTGGCGATGGCTCTGTCCCGCCTCGACCAGATCTCCTGACCCGCGCATTCGGACTTGCTGTCTGCGCCGTTCCTGATAAAAAGCCTCTGGCAGTTGCAGATGCCCGGAAGATTTTCCTCATGCAAGGTCTGTTAGCTGCGGATGTTTTGACCACATTTGCAGACGGTTCCATGGCACGATCATGGGTTGGGTCTGTTGATGGGTTCGCTATCCACCTCTTGCGACTTTCCTGCCTGCTTTGCACTGAGCGCTTGCCGCAACTTGCTAGCATCCGGCAGAGAGGGCCACACGAAGCAGATGCTTATGCTTTTGCTGCCATCATTAATCGTGGATTGGCCATCTTACGCCGACTTGCCGAGAAATCCAAGCAAGTGGACAATACCTTGCCGTTGAAGCTACCATCCGGAGTTATCCCTCGCAAGGAAAGTCTACTCGGGGCGTTATTGCTTCCCAACATGGACCCGAATATCATCCGCCAACTCCTCACATATGCTCGTCTTGCAGAGTAATCCTGATTTATCTTCAACATATGTGAGCACCATCGGGTCAGTCTTTTGTATGAAGCATTTACGACAATTTGATTTCTGTCATGTCATTTGTACCCATGTCTTCCAGTCAATGGTCAATCTTACTTTCTCTAGGCGCCAGTGGAAAGGGGGGTTTCTTTTTTGACAATCATTTCTTCCCAATTTTTTGTTTTCATTGTGAGATAGCGTGTTGAGTCTTTCAGTGTACAATGCTCAAAATACCCTCGACAAAGTCATACGATTTGTGTAAAAGAGTACTGTTTATAAGTGGTCCGAGCCACGCGTAGATAAGGCACCATCAGACAACCGCCGTGCTTACGACGCCAAGCGTCTAGTCAGCCCATTCCTATTGGTAGTACGTTGCTATCGGTTGTATGATTGGCATACGATATCTACGATAGAAGTGCCTATGCTGATGCATGGAATCATTCAATTAGAGAAAAGAACCTTGGCACCCGCACCGAGTCATGGAACATATACAGAGTAGAAATGGTACAGGGTAAAACTCAAAAGCAAGCGCCGAGAAACTGCAAATGGAAGATAAAAACCAAGAGAGAGAACACCAGCAATCAAAAAGAGGCAGAACAGAAATAGCCCCCAACAACGATTACAAGAAAAGTACAAAGCAGGGAAATGATAATACCCATGGGCGTCTCAGCCCAAACCACTCGAATAGAAATGACATAGGACATGATCCCGCCTCATATGCTATCCTTAGTGGAGTCTCGTCCTTCCAAGGGGTTGTTCTTCGGGTCGAATCCATTCCGCATGTAGAATATGCTCAATGCTTTTTGTGACCATCTTGATTATGAGATGGTTGGCGACACATTATTCGCGAGGATATGGTGCGAATAAAGGAGAAAGATAGAAATTTAGAAATTAGAAGTTCCGCTCCTTCAAGAACTTCAGGATTTCGTTTTTGCGCCAGCCCTGTATCATATAGTCATTAGTCTTATATTCATCATGTGCTGACGCGACATGACCAGAGATCGAAATGCCTACCTTAACAATAATATGACCAGTCAGCCGATTAATGCTCACATCCGAACTCCGAACATCGACACCTAGGGATCGTGCGAGATCCTCGCGCAACGCATCCAGATCACCCTCGGTCTTTTGAATCTTTGTAAGCTGCTTAGTGCCACCGGCTTTTTGTGACAAGGTAGACGGGCAACTGGTTGGATCCGGTGCGGCGGATGAAGTAGGGGAGGTTGTTGAGTTGGAGAGGGGCTGGGGCTCGTGTGGTCTGCTGGGGGAATGGGGTCGAGGAGATGGGTTGCTCTTTAAGCGCTTGGGCTTGGCGGTTGAGGTGCGTCAGGAACGTGCGCGTTTGACGAGTGCAAAGGGAGTTGGAAGTAGATGAGTGGAGAGAGGCTATTGAGAATTATATTAGTTATAAACTATTTTATAAGTGATCTTTTTGTTCTTTTGACTCGGGCAGGTATAACGTCAGACTCGGAGGATCTGAGATCTGATGATGTTATACCTGGGCTGCCACTGCCAGTGACACTTCCAATAGTCCTGTATGAATGATAGGACAAAGTCCGATATTCGAGTGGAAGATGCATAGGTTGTATAATCTGGAACTTACAAGATGCAGGCCGTGTAAATATGGACAGGTTAGATGTCTGCACGGAAGCGACGGACTGGCTAAGACGGGAGTTGGCGCTCTGCCTGCACACGGTCGAAGCGACCGAAGCCGAGTGTCGAAGAGACGCCATTGCGCGTCAAAGAAGAGAAGTTGGGGGAGAGAAGGGAGAGAAAAGTGATCGACAAAGCTTCAATCAAGTCCCGAGAAACTTGAAAAAGCGCAAGTTTCTCTCACGTCCTGATTCTGCCACCGCCCCACGTCTCCTGGCGCCCCAATTGGGTTTAGCGCATCAAACCCTCCCGCACACAAATTCAATCAAAGAGACATCGCTGTGTCTTTTGAACCAACCCACATCTTGCGTCCCACTATGGCAGACAACGCCCCTCCTTCCGCTGAGCAGCTCAGCGGCGCTCACCCTACAGATGTCGCCCCCGAGACTGACCTTCTGCCCCGGTTGATCCCCTACCTCGACCGCCACCTGGTTTTCCCTCTGCTCGAGTTCAGCGCCGGCAACGATGAGGAGGACAGCGAAGTCATTCGGGCCAAGTACGAGCTGCTTAAGCACACCAACATGACTGATTACGTCGCCAACTTGTGGAAGGAGATCAACAACTCCGACTCGATCCCCGAAGAGTTCGTTAAGAAGCGCGAGGAGGTTCTGGCCAAGCTGCAGCACTACGAGAGCCAGGTTGAGAAAATTACCGAGTTGCTGCAGGACGAGGAGGTTGTGGGCAACTTGCGGAGCGACAAGGCCGCTAACTTGCGCTTCCTCGAGGAACAGCACGGTGTCACCACCGAGATGGTTGATGGCCTTTACGACTACGGCCGCTTCCAGTACAGCTGTGGTAGCTACGGTAACGCTGCTGAGCTGCTCTACCAGTTCCGTGTTCTGTCTACCGATAACGACAAGGTTGCCTCCGCCACCTGGGGTAAGCTGGCTTCCGAGATCCTGACCACCAACTGGGAGGCCGCGATGGAGGAGGTGCAGAAGGTTAAGGACTCAATTGAGACTCGTCTGTTCAACAACCCGCTCGCCCAGCTCAACAACCGCTCTTGGCTCATCCACTGGTCGTTGTTCCCCTTCTTCAACCACGACGCCGCCCGTGACGTCCTGACCGACCTCTTCTTCTCCCCCGCCTACATCAACACCATTCAGACCGCCTGCCCGTGGGTTCTGCGCTACCTTGCCGCCGCGGTCATCACCAACCGCAGCCGTCCTCACAAGCACTCCGGTGTGTACCAGAAGCAACTGAAGGATCTTATCCGCGTTGTGCGCCAGGAGGACTACGAGTACACCGACCCTATTACCGACTTCGTCAAGGCGCTCTACGTCGACTTTGACTTCGAGGAGGCCCAGAAGAAGCTGGGTGAGGCCGAGGAGGTTCTCCGCAGTGATTTCTTCCTTGTGTCTGCTGCCGATGCTTTCGTTGAGGCTGCTCGTCACCTTATTTCCGAGAGCTACTGCAAGATTCACCAGCGGATCGATATCAAGTATGTATCAAGCGATTCAATAACGCAAATCTTAGGGACCACTTACTGACCTTCTCTAGTGATCTTTCTACCCGCCTTGGTCTGAACCAGGATGAGGGTGAGAAGTGGATTGTCAACCTCATCCGCGATACCCGTGTTGATGCCAAGATCGACTACCAGGAGGGCACAGTTATCATGAACCACCCGCCGCAGTCGGTCTACCAGCAAGTCATCGAAAAGACCAAGGGTAACTTCTTCCGCACACAGGTCTTGAGCTCATCCGTCGCAAAATAAACAACCTCCTCCCTATCCATGAGATGATGCGAACTTTTCTTCTTTTGTTATTATCAACCCCAAATGTTTTTTCTTTTTGCCTCTCCCTTTTATAGTCTCCCCGTGTATGTCACAACACGGTTCTTTTGTGAGGGATGAGGGACTCCGAGGCAGAGTGGCATCCGGCTGGCGTTCTTAGGTGGTCCAACCTTTTCTGATGTTTCTTTTTTACCTCTAAGTCCACAGTTTCTCTTCTTCCATTTCCTATTTCCCCCCTTCTGTCATCAGTGTTTTCCTCTTTTCGTTGGTTCCTAGGCTTTGAAGAGCTTTTGCAGAGAAGCAGAAGAACAAAAAAGGAGAAAAGAGAGGGAATCATGTAGTAGACTCCCGAGTTAGTCGGGGTCTGATGGATCTATGCTGTTACGAATGGTCTATAGAGATGAGTGAAAATGATGTCTGACAATATGTCTGGTCCTTGGATTGTGTTTCGTTGTATTGCAGCATACTGCATCATATAGTCAAAAGAGGACAAGAGTCCATGTAGTAACCACGCAATAACGAGAACTCGGAAGGCCATGATGCACGCTCCAACAAGGGTATCGTATAACAATATGCCCGGACGAATTGGCCTCGGACATTCTGGTAAATGTCCAGTTTGTCTGATGTATCGCTCGCCGCAGGAATTGAGCAAGATCCGTTTCGCCTAATCCAAATGTATCCTCGATCCGTGGGTGAAAAAAGAAAGTTCCGGACATAAGAGAGATCCAGGCAAAGTATCAATTCGTCACCTTCGGGCAAGAACCTTGTGGCATTGGAACGTCGGCTAATTCCGGACTCCTGGGTTATATCCCCGAACAACGATGGCTAGAGCAAAACCCCGTGGATTGGCATAATTATAAACTTCCGGTTTGGGTTCACGGTTGAGGTCCGGGACAATTGAACAAGCACGAAATAAAATTATTAGCGGCCTCTGATCTCTGGCTCTGGGTTTCGACGTCCCCGGGAGGTTTCGATAGGGACCAACTCATTGATATAGGGCTCCGAAGATTGTCGTGACGAAACCCCACTGCCAGTGGAATTGTGGCTTTGGGAGGTCATGCGTGCAGCTTCCTGTTTCTCGTATTCTCGAGACATGGTAGCCAGATCCTCAATTTGTTCCTATAAAGACTCAAGTCAGCTTATCCGGATATTTGGCTTCTCTTTGGTTTTATTGCGTCTGCTGGAAGGACAGACCCGTGTAAGAGGAACACCCGTAATCAGATATCCTTCGCGTCCCTTTGAACAAAGGAAATCTGGTTAGAGCGAGTTAACCGTGGCGCTGGTGGGTGGTGTGGCCCGATATACCTGGTAACTATATGGCCGAACCGAAGCACTCGGACCGAGAAAATAGTGGATATGTCCTAGGACTATGTGACGGGATAGGCCATATCCTGGAAGCCAGTACTGCTGGACCGGTGACATTGTGATATAACTTCAGATAAGGAATTGGGAGAGTGGTGATGCGTGTTTTGATATAGGAAGGTGGACATCAACGAGAGCCAGAACTGATGAACTAGTATAAGCTAGTAGTACTGGGTCCCTGTGCTTGATAGCTCGGGTAACTCTTTGTTTTTCTGTCCTTTTGACTTTCTTCAGGATTGCATAGGGTATAAATAACCCACCAGTACCACAAGCCAAGCTCAAAACGGTTCGAACCCCCCTTCCCCTCATAAATCATAGGCGGTCTGCCAGGACCCTTGTCAGAGAGAGGATGACGAATAAGACAAGTCCCAGACCACACTGCATTGCTCTCCTTCAAATTGGCGGGTGGAAGATGATCTCAGAAAAAGCGAACTCGCATACACCCCACCATACCTTGGATCTGGATCCAGCAGTTGCAGTCTCATCTCAGACGGACGAATGAGATGCAGAATAAACAGCAGAGACTAGGCAATATCCCTGATGCAGACGGCACAAGAGTCTGAAGGAAGCCCGGGTAGACTCGACTCCAAAAGTCCATATACCTAATTTGGGGCGCATCGCAGAAAGCGTGAAAGCATAAACCCACCACCAATTGATCCAGTCCCAGTCTGTCCTGGTATTGAGGATCACGGAACTCTCGGCGAAAGGGGGGGGGGGCACTCGGTTCGCCTCACTCTAGGAGACAATGAGACCCAACCCTTTTTCACGCGTTTCCGTTTTGCGACTGATCAGTATGAATTGATCAATTAAAATTGGATCCATCAACCTCTCTCTGAAATTGATCAAGCCCAGCTCATATTGCCGATATTCTGTGCCCGTAAAGTGAGGCTTAGGGTAACGTTAGCATGAACAACGCAGCACGGATCAAATCAATTGCAAAAGCGGAGATACATCGACTGGTAGACTGATACATAACTTTCGCACACCGCTCCAATGCAGCGCCAAATTGGCTGATGTCGTGGCACCATTCCCTTTCATCGAAGCCCGGACTAAGCCCATGCAGGCTCTGCATCCAGCGCTTTTGGGGAGGCTTGCCTGAGATATATGGACACATGGCTGCAGACCCCATTTCCTGGGTTTCGATCAGCCCAGGTACGTGCTGATTTGTTGGAGACCGTGCATTGCCCCGAATCTGTTGAAATCGGAACTTTAAAGGACTTGGTGTGCGTTGGGTCTGGTTGGGCGTGGAGAAAGTCTAGAGCGAGGTCGGTTAGAGAACCTTGGAAGAACGGTATATCTTAATGTAGTATAGTCTTATTGTTCCCGGGATTTCAAATCTTCAGTTCCTATAACTACGTATACATCTAACCAGGATGATCGATCATTCATTATCCTCTAGTCTTTTCATAATTCGTCCGAAAAAGCTGCTAAGTTCATCTCGTATCCTGTCAAACTAGGTATCAAGCCCTTACTGCGGCGGGATATACGGGTTGATAAGCATGTCGCTGAACCTATATCAGAAAAATGTTAGCCAAAGTCATGATGCAGTATGCAGGAATGGACTGACTTCTCCAACTTATCCTTTCCGCGAACCTCCTCCACCAATAGCGGCATGCGAACCACGTTAAAGTCCTCGTACAACTCCTCAATCTGCTCCAGGTACTTCTTCTGCATCTTCCTCCGCGCAGTGCACTGGTCACAGCCACTGCCCTCCTTGGGGAAAAGCAACTGGTTCACAACAATCGAATGGGTATCAATGCCGTAGCTAGTCAGCTCCTGGATCATACGCTCGGTCTCATAGAGCGACAAGAACTCCGCAATACACACACAGACAAAGGTGGTCATATCGGCGTTCTTGAACTGTGTGTTGACCTCACTAATGGTCTCCCGCAGCGACTCCATCTTCTGTAGCAACTCGTCCATGTTCTGTCCACCGGGCAAACCGCCCCGTGCGCCCAGAATCGAGTTGAGCATGGGTCCGAACTGCGACGAGAGCTGGGACAGCTTCGCGAGAGCCTTCTCAAGAACTGTCGGGAACTGGAGGAAACGCAAGGTGTGGCCGGTGGGAGCAGTATCGAAAACAATAACCTCGTAAGAGAGAGACTTGACCTGCTTCAGGACTTCGGCGAAAGACATGGCCTCATCAACACCAGGAATCTAAGAGCACTCCGCGTTAGTTTCATGCCGTATTTGCCTTTGACCTTTGGCGTGTCAATCTCAACTTACGCTGAAAGCAAGATCCTGCATCATATTTCCCATGCCCATTCCACCCATATCCTCCTGACCGTCTCCGTTCGCCAGGAGATCTTGGATGCTGCCATTGGGATCGATCTCCATAGCGCTCAGGTTGTCATATCCGTCAATAAGACGAGCCTCCTTTCCGAATTTCTGTCCGAAGGCATCACTCAGGTTGTGAGCGGGATCGGTGGAGATCAAGAGCACGGATTTGCGGGCTTTGGCAAGCTGGATGGCGAGCGAGCAGGAGGTCGTGGTCTTACCCACACCACCTTTGCCACCGACGAAGATCCAGCGGAGGGTTTTTTGGTCGATGATCGACTGGAGCGTGGGATCCATGTCGAGGTCGTCACTTTGGACCACGGCGGAGGAAGACATGGTGATGTGTGCGGAGCTTAGGGGAGGTGTGGGGGAGAGACGGAGGTGATGTTCGAAATTGATGATTTGCCCCGCAAAGCGATCGAACGTTCCCGAACACAGTCTAGATAACTACAATGGGCATTGTTTAGAGTGTTTATTGAGATGCTCAATATTTCGTTGGTTTCCTTTGGATAGAAGCTTCCAGTGATTGATTGGTTTAAGGATAGGTAACGTCTCTTCAGCTGTACCTTTGTTTCCTGATGATGCGTGTCCATAAACGGTTGACTATAATGCCACGACATCGCCTGATAATGACTTTCGTTCCTAGTAAGCTTCTAGAGCGTCAATCAAAGCTCGCCATGAAACAAATTACTTCTTTAGATTTAGTTACTGAAGAGGGATGACTCTCGCATAGACCTGATCGATTGCTTTTCTGATTTAATAGGATCAAGCGGTTTATCCAAGCTTCGGACCAGTCGTAAGAACATGTTATTAACCATCTAAAGAATGCAATGCCACATGATGATTCGCTGAAATGAGTTATAAAGAAGGGTCCATAAGCATTCCACAATGAACGAATGAGATCATGCCTCTGACCAGCTCAAAAGTATACCTAGCATGTAGATTGAGCGTTCACAGGGCGGCGTCCTTATCTAGTGCTTTCCAGCCAAATGCTTATCAACGGCCACGCATAGATCATAGGAATCCTCCATGACCGTTCACTTTCTTTAAAAGTGGAGATAGACGATACCTCAATAAGTACTTGGAAGTACGATCAAATCCTTGAGAAATCATAATTAATGATCGCCGAGAACCCGAAACCGTAAAGCGAAAAGCTCCACCCATGGCATCCTCCGCATGGCTATCGGTGCCCTCCGATGCCAACGACCCATAGAAATTAAGAGCTTCCCCGTGGATAACCACCTTTTAATTTTTACTTTACCCTTGAAAATTCCCTCCTCCCTCCTCCAAATCTATATGGACCCCTCCCAAAAGTCCCCAGACCGCACAGCCAACCGCCTCGCGCTCTACCAACAACATCTCTCCGCCCCGCACTCCAACCAACCACCCACAATGGCCGCCCGCGACCCCATAACCTGCCACTGTCTAAACACATTGACCGGCACCCCGGCCGCAAACCTCCCCGTCACATTGACATTGCTGTCAACCCCCGCAGGACCCTCCAGCCCCGTCACCTTCCACGCCACAACTAACGCCGACGGCCGCGTCGCGAAATGGACTCCTGCGGGCGGTGCAACTGCATCTACATCTTCCGTTCCGGATATCCTGGCTGCGTTGCCGACTGCGGAGAGCAAGACGAACTGGTCTGTGCGCTTTGATGTTGGACCTTGGTATGAGGCGCAGGGCATTGAGAGCTTCTGGCCTGAGGTTGAGGTTAAATTTACTGTGAAGGGCCGTGGGCGTGATGGAGAGGAGGGCTGGCGCCATTACCATGTGCCTGTTTTGCTTGGGCCTTGGAATTACTCTACCTACCGGGGATCTTAATGTTTGATAAGTTTAATATGCGACTGATAACTCATTATCTGTGTATCAATGGCTCGGGCTTGTAGGATTGTGCTGGTAGATCTATCGTTTTATCTATATGTTCTATTGAAGCCTGATGGTGATTGAGCCCATTGTTCGTCTTTCTAGGTGATATTTGCAAAGTAAGCAGCCCCTTACATCAACAGGCAAGATGGCCGAGTTGGTCCAAGGCGTGCGGTTCAGGTTCACCTGATCCAGATTTCCGCATCTCGTTTTCGGGGCGTGGGTTCAAATCCCACTCTTGTCATTTCTTTTGCTTTTTGCATCTTTGAGATTATGCAAGAAATTTGTTTCTTTTTGCTCTTTACAAGTTTTAATCATGCTCATGAGATTCGTAAAACTTGTGGATTTGCAATTGTCACTAGATCGTCATGTGCCATTATGTAGTCTATGATCGTATATTACATTGTGAAATGAATCTTTATGCGCCTCTTCCACGACCACCACGACCGCCACGACCTCCGCGGCCTCCACGGCCTCCTCCACGACCTCCGCCGCGACCACCACCACCTCCGCCTTGGCCGTTCTTCTCGACTCCTCCCCGTCGCTGACCACCTCCAGGGCTGAGAACATCGCGCTTCTTGTTATTGGGACGACCATTGGGACGGCCACGAGGACCACCGGAAGTACTATCTCCATTCAATTCACTCAAGCTTCCATAGTTGAATCCAGGGACACCCTTCAAGCCCATCTTACCAACGACCTTCTTGTCCATTGGAGGAGCCTCAGGGCAAGCCATGCCTTGGATGGCCATTTCGTTGGCGAGTTGAACAAGTCCAGCCTTATCGAGACGAAGCTGCTTCAGAAGACCAGATCCAGCAAAGAAACCAATGTATGATGAATAGGCGCGCTGCTTTGTGACTTCATCGATCTGATACATGGCATTGTTGACAGAGTCTGCGAAGGAGGGAGCTTCCGCAAGGATTGCATCGGTTTGGGGGTGGGGCTGAATAGGCAGGTGACGGTTGACCTTCATGAAGAAAGACTCGCCTTGGGTGAGGAGGATGATCGCGCGGCCATCGTTACCAGCACGGGCTGTACGACCAACACGGTGAACGTACTGTTCACCGTTAGAGGGCAAACCGACCTGGATGACCAAGTCGACATTGGGGAAATCCATACCACGGCCAATAACGTCCGAGGCGAACATAATTCCGGAGGCTGCTTCTTTGAATTGAGCGGTGGTTCTTGTGCGGATGTTCTGGCTGAGGCGAGAGTGGATCTCAAACACATTCAAAGGCGTCAAGCCCTGAGAAAAGACTTTGGCGCAGAGAGCAACCATGTTGGCAGTGACACCGAAAACAATGATTTTAGAGCACTTTTGGCTCTCAAGCTTGATAAGAGTGGCAAGAGTAGTAAAGGTCTCTGCTACAGACGGAATCAGAACGTGGTACTGGGGTACCCGCTCGTGTGTTGGTGACTCGTTCTTATCAATAGTGGAAATACTAGTGTAGCCTTCCTTCAGCACCACATTGACCACATCCTTGACCTTAGGTGGAACGGTGGCCGAGAAACACATGCCTTGCCAGCCTGTCTTCTTCGAAGGGATAAGGCGAAGGATCGCCTTCACATCGGCCAGGAATCCAGCCTCAAGCATGGTATCGGCCTCATCCAGAACCAACGTTTGAATATTGGACAGCTTCTCAGCCGTGTACTCATCAGATAGGTAATCCTTCAGTCGGCCCGGTGTTGCTACCAGAACAGACGGGGCTCCCTTCATGAAGCGGGAATGAGCGGAAGCGCGAGCTGTTCCACCGACCGCAATATGACACTCGAGGGGCTTCGGCAGTTGTGATGTGAGCTGATCGCATGATTTGGCAATTTGTTGGGCAAGTTCTCTTGTGGGGGTGATGATCAAGATAGCGACCTGGCCACGGGGTGGCGTAGTTTTACCCTGGAGGAGACAGTGCAGGGCAGGCAGCAGAAAAGCAAGTGTCTTTCCAGTACCAGTCTTGGCCTGGACGAGGCAGTCACTGCGCCAGTCTGGGAGTTCGGTCAAAACACGTTGTTGGACAGGCGTCATGAACTTGAAGTCCATGACCGCCAGGGCTTGGAGGAGTCGGGGGTCGAGCTTCCCAGCCATGGAGGTATATGGCTGGGAGCCATCGTTGGTAGGAGGAGTTTGCATGACAGGAACTTTGTTTCTTGAAGAATCACACAATGGTTGAATGAAAATTTCAACCCGAAGGGTACCTGGGCTGGCACTTTGTTGACGGTAAGATATGGCAGAATATAATTTCACGAAAATCTTATCGATAAGAGTTTTTGGGTGGTTTGCGCAAACTCTAATTTGCAAGTCAACAAGCGAGACTAATTCGTCTAATTCAAACACTTCATTTCGAAAATACTTCAATAAAGTCGATGGTGAAAATATTGAGTGTGCTGAGGGTTTATCCCCTTTAACAATAATATTGTAAGATAAGTACAATCATATCAAGGTTGAACAGCGTGCGTTGATTGGCTATCGTTAAAATGTTGGATCTACGGCACCCGGTGGGTCTCCTGAGGGATCCATCCTTACACGGCGTCCGAGCTTGATTTCCCCAAGAAATAAGTGTCTATATCTATGAAGTCAGATTCTAGTCAAGAAGTACTAGGTGAGAATGCATCCCATAAATGATCTCACACTCATTTATCCCGCCGTGAAATCTTCTTTAGGACTGACCAGAGAACATCCTTAAGAGACCCATGCTCTCCTCCAATTTGGTCTATCTGCTTCTTAAGATTGTCCAACTCTGTCACCTCAAAATTGTCGTACACATCCTCAATACCTACCTTGCAGAAAACATCCTTCGCTCTAGCTTCTTTCCCCTTGTCCGGTCTTCCGTAGCAGAGACTGAGCATAGCCTTCTGCTCGGAGCTGCAGAGCTCAAAGGCCGTCAGAGCTATCCACGAGCACTTGTTGTCTCGGATGTCTGTCCCAATTTTGCCTGTGACTTTCGGGTCCCCAAATACATCAAGGTAATCATCCTGAATCTGGAAATACCACCCCATGCGAAGCAGAACCCCCCGCGCAATTGTCAGATTCTGCTCAGTCGCGCGCTGGAAATATTCCAGAGCCAGCGCGACGGGGAGGTAGAAGCTGTAGAATGCAGTCTTGTTCTCTGCTGTGAAAGCATACCGCTCCATCGTCATCTCAGCAAGACTGCATTCACTGCTAGTCGTCATATCAGCGAGTTGGCCCAGCTCCGTTCGGAACGCAGCCTCATCAAATAGCTCCGTCAGCTGATCGTAGCTTGGATGATCGCCAAAGTACTGCCGTAGGAGTACCATGATGGATGACTTGACCAGACACGCGTCGTTGACGGCACTGAGCCCGATACCATTCCGGCGGTACCAGCAAGGCTGGCCCCGTCGGTACTCAGAGGCGTCCATGATATCGTCCCAGATCAGGTACGCGGCCTGAAAGAACTCGGTAAGCCAACCGAGAATACTGAGGTGCCGAATTTCGGTCGAGGTCAAGGGACGCGTTAGCAGCACATGGCCGGTGCTGAGGACGATAAGGCCGCGATTAAGTTTTCCTCCTTGAACGTTGGTGTGCAGACACTAAGTCGGTCAGTTTGTTCTTTTGAAGCAATATGTATGATGACTTACGGTTAGGAAGTGATCTGTGAGGGCCTTAGGCGTTCCTTTCCGAGTGAGATCTTGCTCCAGATCGGTCAATATGGAGAGAAGGACCGCCTGGAAATTTTCTCTGTCTGTCATGTTTCTAGATATTGGCGCTGAGATCCAAGCGGAACAGTCCTAAATTCCGCTGCTCTAAAGATACTCTGGAAGAAACGGACAACCATGAATGATTGAGATTTCTAGATGTAGTTTGGCTTCTACATACGACGTGGAGCACTTCGGGGCTGCATTATGACCACAACGGAAATGATTACGCTCGTCACTCATGCAGGTGAAGAACCTTGATTGTTTACAGCAGACTCAGAGCCGATATCGCGGTTTTCCACGTAATAGCTATACTACAGACATTGGAGGCGGAATGTGTGCGATCGAGCAGCGCCAGCAGAGCGTGGCACTGATCTCGGCTGCTCGCTCCGTTTCACGGCAGAGAGATGTAAAACCACTGAGTTGGAATCCTGTTTTTTTCTAATACGATGCAAGGTGATGCAAACTGCATATCCTCAAATGCCAGGGGAAAAAAGAGGAACTGGCTTGTAGAATATCGGAGCTGTCAAATGCTTTATGCGACTTCGTCGCCGCTGAGCTGTTTTTACAGCTCCCACGTTCCATGTTGTGTGATATTCAAGTAATACTTGCATATGCGAGCGGTCTGAAGGCTGAACTTTTGCTGACAGAAGATTGGCAGGCTGCGGACTCCACATGCAAGAAAAGTACACGTCAGTGCATGAGACACCGGTTGCTGAAGAGAAGGATGCAATCAGTCGCCACCGATCATTGAATCGGGTCTGCAATCTGGTATGTGTGGCAGATCTGCACTCATCTGAACTGATATATCAAGTCAAGCAAACCTAGCACGATGACATCATAAAATTAATGTAGACCACCGTATCTGCTTCCACTATCCCTTTACCAGAGAGGGATAAGTCTAAGCGGACTAAATCAGCAGCCTGCTCGCTGATTTTGCACTAGGGGCAAAATGATTGCCTCGATCCGGCCATCTTTAAGGCCAATATTATCACAGAAGCCCTCTAGCCACATGTAAAGAGACAGAGGCGGTAAGGCCTCTATCCGGGAAAGCAGGGCATACCTTACGGTCAATCCAAAGGGCACATTTACCTGTCTCTGCGCCAATGCCAAATATGCTTTGTATTTGGACCTGACCCTCCGAGCATCTCCGAAGGTCGATATCCGGAGCAACCCTCATGCATCCGGCTGAAATCAGTCGCTTTTCTCAGCAACAATATGGAAACTTTTAACTTTTTTTTTTTTTTTAGTACGGAATGCCTACTCGAGCTGTATCAGACTGCAGAAAGCATCCAGTGAGAAGTGAAATCAATCCTGGATGACAAGTTTGAGAATGGCAATCATGATACTCAACGTCGAGCTCACAAAGGTCTCAAGGATCACTCGGCTCTTCATTAGACTCAACTGCACATCAAGTCTGGCTTCGAGTTTAACATTTGGCACATCACTGAATCATGTCTCCATAGCTCTCTTACGAAATCCTTGTAGCACTTGGTACATCTAAGATGTATTCAAAACATAAATTTCAAACATTGCAAGTTTTTTTCAAACGATATACAGTAGTCAACTCAAGAATCATCGCTATACGGAGGTAGATAGCCCTCTTCTGCAAAGAGCTCGACCAAATGGTAGCGTCGATGAGAAGTGCACAGTATGATCCAGCCATTGATAAAGTTCTGCACTGTCTCCCGCATCTGCTCCTTGCCTTCCAAAAGCTCAAACACAGAGCCTACTACCTGGGGGGTATATGTAGTCAGTTGCCTCAAGACATCCAGATGAGACATTCCATGTGTCTCCGAGAAATTTGCCACGAAGTTGCCCTTCTCCTGCTTGATGACAAACTCCTTGTAGTAGGATAGAATATCGTTGGTGAAATCGGTGAAAAGCACGAGCTCCTGCACAACAGGGAAAAATTGGATAAGATATTTGTCTTCTGGATATAGGGCCTTGGGCCAGAGCAGTGAGTTAAGAATCTCAGCAGCACCGACCTTAGTGCGCAAAAACATGGGCATCAGCCTGGTTTTAGACGAGAACTTGAAGTTAGACTGCTCCATCTCATGCTCTATGATGCGGCCGTTGACGTAGTCAAAGGCGGACTTGATGATGGTCGAGTGGCAATAGGGCCCGTAGTACCGCCCAAGGTATCGGAGGTGCTTGTCGAAGCCATTGAGAAGAGGCTGTCGGTGATCGTTGTTGAGCGTGAAGCTGTATGACTTTGTTAGGAAATGTTCTCATCAAGTCATGGAGAAGCAAACATAAGCATACTTCTGACAGAAGAAACGGAGCTCCTCCAAGAATGATGGCGCTATATCGTCCACCAAAAACATGTAGAGGAATTGAATGGCGCAGAGAACTTTGTTCTCAAAGTGCAGCGACGTGTAGGCCTGAAGTGTCAAGGTGACAGATAGCTTGAGCACACCGCGCACGGCCTTCTCAGTCTCCTGCCCCAAGTTCTGGGATTTGAAGTACGTCCAAACAGCCTCTTCGAGCTCCAGATCCTTGATAAGCGGCATAGATCGGTCGAAATTGACCTTTTCAAGAAAATTTCTAATCAACGACTTGACAACATCAGTGTCGGTAGATTCGCCAGTATCAAGGCCATGGTAGGCAAAGGTACTTTCTGCGCGAACGGGAGACATGATTGCTTTGGAAATGAATCCTTGAGTAGGCAATGAGGTAATAACGCTGTCTGCGGGTTGAAATTTTTCTGAGACTCTCGAGGCTCGTTCCAAACTTGGATTGTTCTACTCGCCGTCTAGGAATATATAATACAATACAGCCTTCGATCTAACCGTCATCGGACCAACCTTCTCAATCGTCCTAATTCCATGCGCCCCGTCAATGCATGATCTTCGAACCTACCGCAATCATGTCTCTATTGCTGTCATTTTCCCTGCGACAGAGGATTTCCGTTCTCACCGCAATTGACTTGTCATGCACTTCAGAATTGCCTGTGCGTTACGCATTGCCAGCACTAGATAATGGAAGACGCATAATCGCCAAAACAAGTACTTGTAGGCGAGGAGTGGTACATATCGCCGGGCCAGTCTAGTAGCTTGGTCTGTTGCGGCCTTGGTATTGCAGGGCCCGTGCAAGGTTGCTTTGCGGATGACAGGTCAAAAGACATAATATTGCCGTGCCGAAAATGATGCAGTACAGATCCTTGATTTTGAAAAGTTTCCACGCATGTTCGCCTGAGTTATTCACAAATTAATCACATCACGCTGCATGGGTCTCCACGAACATCTCCGGTTGGGGTTTAATGCAACATACAGGTCACAGACCATGTTTTTGCTGTACATTGGCAGCATTCGATCGCCTACAGTCTGGCTCAATGCATTATTGAAGTGCTTCCAAGTTTGTGACATTCTCTCCAGGGTTTCCATGCACGGGAGCGGGGTTTAGTGAGATCCATGGATACATATCCAGTATATTCCACCTGGGCAACAATATGAGGAAGACATGTACTCATAAACTCAGCACAGGAGGCAATTTTGTCGAACGCATCGAATTGGTTCAATACATCAACTTTGAAAGCGAATATGACCATTTTTCGAAGGGAAAGGGGAAGGGCTGAGGCGCCATCTGACCAAATCGCGGTCCCCAGCGCCTATTTTCGGTACGTCAAGACACAAAATGCTCTTTCAAAGCCATCAGTCTTTCATCAGGCTGACTTAAATCCACAGAAAGCATCCCTCTATGCCTCATTTGCGTGACCAGAATGAGTATCAAGACTTTTATCAGAAGTCTATCGACAACCCTGACGAATTCTGGTCATCGATGGCCAGGGCGTTTCTGAAATGGGAAAATCCGTTTGACCGAGTCCACCATGGGAGCTTCGAGCACGGAAACCATGGCTGGTTCCTTGGCGGAAAGTTGAACGTCTGCTACAACTGTGTGGACCGACATGCGCTCGAGAACCCGGACAAAGTGGCTATTATTTACGAGCATGATGACCCCGAAGATGTACCGCAAAAATTCACGTATGGAAAATTGTTGCGAGATGTCTCGAAGTTATCTTGGGTGTTGAAAGACTTGGGTGTACAGAAAGGCGACATTGTGACCATCTACCTGCCCAACATTCCCGAAGCAATCGTCACCATGCTAGCCTGTGCTCGCATCGGCGCTGTTCACTCCGTCGTCTTTGCTGGTTTTTCGGCCCCGTCGCTCCGAGGTCGGTTGGAAGATGCACGTTCAAAGGTCATTATCACTGCCGACGAATTCCACCGTGGCGGCAAGGTCACTCAAATGAAAACTGTTGTTGAAGACGCACTCACCGAATACAAAGGCTGCAAAGTTCAGTGTCTTGTCCTCAGAAAAACCGGAAGTCCGGTCCCCTGGTCTCAGAGAAGTACGGACTTCTGGTGGCACGAAGAATGCGCCAGGTGGCCGGGATATTGTGAGCCAGTGCCCATGGGGGCGGAAGATCCATTGTACATGCTTTACACGTCTGGCTCGACGGGCAAGCCCAAGGGTCTCATACACACCACGGCTGGGTACCTGCTCAGTTGCGCCGTTTCAGGGAAATACGTACTGGATCTCCACCCTTCAGATACAATGTTCTGTGCTGGGGATGTCGGATGGATTACCGGTCATAATTATCTCGTGTATACACCTTTGGTGCTTGGAATTACTACCGTCGTCTTTGAAGGAACCCCTGCATACCCAAATTATGATCGATTCTGGCAGATCCTAGATCGATGCGAAGCTTCTCACTTCTACGCAGCGCCTACAGCTTTACGAATGATAAAGAAAAACCGACCCAACGGAAGCAATAAACCACTGGAGAGATTGAGGGTCATTGCGTCTATAGGTGAGCCTTTGGCATCCAATGTATGGCACTGGTGCTACGAAGTGCTCGGGCGTAAAGAGGTGCATGTCTTGGATGTAAGTCCAATTTAACGTACAGAAAATCAGGAGTTGATTTTTCTTTGAACTACAGACATATTTCCAAACAGAAACGGGCTGCCATGCCTTCTCCCCACTGGCGGGAGTCACTCCCACCAAGCCTGGCACTGTGGCCCTGCCATTCGTCGGCTTTAAGCCAGCCCTGATCGATCCTGACTCGGGAAGAGAGATCAAGGAAGACGAGGGCAGAGGTTTGCTAGTATACAAGCAGCCATGGCCGGGCATCGCACGTACAGTGTGGGGTAACCACGCCAGATATATGAAAACGTATTTTGAGGGATACAAGGGGTATTTTGTGAGCCAGAGCGTTCATCGAATACATTGAGTGCGCGCTGACATGATTTAAGGTAACTGGTGATAGCGCCTACCGGGACCGGGACGGCTACTACCGCATATTGGGTAGAGTTGATGATGTCGTCAACATCTCAGGCCATCGTTTGTCGACTGCTGAAATAGAGTCCGCTCTTTTGGATCATGGTAAGCCCCAAAGAAACCCAATAAGTGTTTTAACCCACCGGCTCATGATCTTCAGGTGCTTTTGCCGAAGTTGCGGTTGTTGGTGTCGATGACCAACTGACTGGTCAAGCCTTGAACGTGTTTGCCTGCCTGAAGAACCAGGTCGTGAGGGACAAAGGGAAGCTCGAGTCTTCAGCAAAACTGCATATTGGGGAAGTCATTGGTCGCTTTGCAGTACCCAAGAAGGTATTTATTGTGAGCGACCTCCCCAAGACGCGATCAGGAAAAATTATGCGACGACTATTGAGAGCGATACTTGAGGGGGAAAGGAACCAGCTGGGCGATACATCCACTGTATGTGACCAATGGGACTTCGTGAATTCAACTTATCCATTTGCTGAAAGCAAGCTCTAGCTACTGAAACCTGCGGTCGTTTCAAATATCATTGACGAAATCAATGATCAGGCACAATCAGGGTCAGAGGCCATGATCACCCCAGATACTGTGAGTTCGTCAGAAGATAGCATTTTGCTCACGCAAAGTCCATTTGACTTCCCGGCCTACAATCTTACCTTTTTGGATCACATCCTGCCCCCTTGCCACATGTTCATGTTCCTCTCGTTTGAAAGTGCCTCCATGGAGGGCATCGATGCCCTTCGCCTTGGCGTCACCCGGTTGAGTGAGAATTTCCCATTCTTGACCGGAGTGGTTGTACCATCGAGTCAATCTTTGGGTCAGACAGATGTGTTCGAAGTCAAGCCAGCCAGTGCAGCTTTCCTTCGGGAGTATCCCATGCTCAAAGTGGCGTTTAGCCCCGAGATGGATATGATCGCGCAAGATGACTTCATCCAACAAAAGTACCTACCTATCCCCTTCCTGACACCTCCAACAAAGCCTATGCCTCTGGTACGTTTCCAAGCAAATGTGACGGGGCACAGTATTATTCTTTGCGTCGCTTATAACCATAGAGCGTTGGACAGCACAGGCGTGTCGGTGGTGCTCAAGATTCTGTCTGAATTCTGCAGAGCGCCTGATGCGACACCTGAAAATCTCTCAACCAATGATGCAGCAGAGACTACTGCTCGAGAACATATCAGAGACTTCCAGGCCAAAGAGCCTTTGCCATTAAACTGGACGCCGGTCCCATTATCGCTCGACGCAACCCCGCCAGTAGATCCGGGCCAGGAGCCCGTCAGCCGGCCCTTTAGCCTCAGTGCTCAAAAGATCGCCTTGCTCAAGGACGCCTGCAATAGAATCATTACTTCGGAGTCTCATAGCAGCCCTGAGAAGACTTGTCTCTGTACATCCAACGACATTATCACAGCCTTGGTGGGGTTTTGTGGCAACAAGGCGCGCCAAAAGATCGTGCCTGAAGCTGTCTCACCACCGAGGGTCATCATAGCTGCAAATGCGCGAAATCAATGTCAACTACCCCCAAACTATATGGGAAATGCACTTGTGGCGGTCGAAACTACATACGATCCACTCCGCCACGTTCATGAAATGGCACATCTAGGTTTTCCAGGTAATTTGAGCCAGAAAGAGCTGGGCCAGGTCTGTAGCATTGCCATCGCTCTGCGAGAGCAAATTGGCCTACTTTCAGGGGATTATCTACAAGGAATCCTGCGCAACATGTCTGATAGGAAAAGCCTCTCTTCATTTCACCCAGCTTATGGGAGAAGCATTATCGTGTCAAGCTTGCGTTGGATGGACTTTTATCTGGACTTTGGGCCCATGGGGAGGGTCAAAAGATACGACATCCCGGAGAAGAAGGTCCTAGGAGTCTGTTGGGTTTTGCCCGCACGAGAATTGGCAGTCGATTTCGCGTCGCAGACATTTGAGTTGAGATTTGTTCTTGAGAGAGTAGCCATGGAACGCCTTCAGGAGGACGACCTATTTACCTGGATGACGAAAGATTAGGAATTGATAAATACAACTGCTACTTATCTGGAAAAGATCTGGTTCTAATAACCGTCCATTTTAGACAGGCTTTGAATGCCTTGAAGCTCGCAAATGTGGATTTAGGGAAATAAGTCGCGGATTAAAATCTACAGATGATCACCGATGCTTTCGCCTCAGGCCGAAGGAAATTTGGATGACATAATCACATGGGACTTGCAGAGACAGAGGGCGAACGATTGTTTACTAGCCACATTGAATAATTTCATAGTACACTGGTCGCGGTTGAGATGGTCTTTGATATGTCCTCAGGCTCCAAACCATTACCTCTGCTTTAGAAGAATAGCTTCTACATATATTTGTGTCTATCTAGCTTATAAAGAAAGTGCAGGTGCTAGACGAAACCGCTTGGAATGAGCAGACAATAAAGTATAGTTCTCTGTATTGAAAAGACGGAAGTTACGCAAGGCCTATTGTACATATAAAAAAGCATGACGATTCATAATGGCCCAAAATAAATTATCCTCATCAAACGAGCTAAAAAGCACTCATTTCTCTTCTTTCTTTTCTTGGAACGCTTTCTCAACATTGCCCTCATCCGAGATATGGTTGTAAGGTCGATCATATCGGTTTTCCATTTCCTCATTGTGCTTTCTCACATCCTCCGGTAAATCCTCATGTTTTTTGCCTTCCATATCGGCCAGGTTTGATTGCCTGCCATCTGTAAGAGTGGGGTGCGCATTGTTGGAAGGAATTGGGTGGTTTGGGTTGGCGCCACGGTCGCAGTCTTCTTTTTCCAGTTCATGCTCATCGGCCTTGTTATATTGCTTGGGAGTGCTATGGACGTAGCATCGCCCGGGGAGGTTGGTCAAGGGGCGACCGAGAGGAGCGAAGGAGGCAGGCGTCCGGATTCGCGATGGAAGTCGTAAGAAGGAGCTCATTATGAATGATATGTGGATGAGAAAGGTGGAGAAGTTTGAAATATTTCTGAAGTTACAGTGTGTTAAAAGAATTAAAGGATTCGGAATATTTGAATTTGAACGTTGCTTTCATATGTAGTTTGGGAAATCAGGTTTCTTTGTATCACAAGGAGTATGATGAGGTGCTTTTCACCATCGTCGCGATGACGTATCTCGATGTCATAACTTGCCAAGAGTATTGATCACATCTTAACTACCTCCCTACATTCTGTTACTGTTCCTGTTTGGATCTGAAATTGATCTTCTTGACAGGTTGTACAGTCCATAACAACATTGCACAAATTAAGGAGTTAAGTTCCATGTTGCTTCGCGCACACACGGAGAGATCAGCAACGAGACCGGCCTCGGCGAGAGCGACATACTTCACAATTACATTAAAATTGTGGTTCCCGTAAAATACAATAACATCAAAGAAGCTAAATAGCAAGCATATTGCGCGTTAGAAGCCCCGATGAATGCGCATATAGAAGTGGAAAGGCTTAGAACGCACGCGGTCGCGATGGTCGAGTTCTCACCAGAAATCACCTGCAGGATTAGCCAAAAGCCTTCAAAGTCCACAAGTTTTCCTGAATGATTGTCCTCTCTATTGTGATCCCGAGGAAAGAGATATAGGCAAGGAGAAAACGGTACAGCTCTCGGGAAGCTCTCAGAGAGTCTGGGCTAAACGATCGCTACCATTTATTGCCCATCCTTGCTGTCGCTCTTCCTCGTGGAGAAGGGAGGAGTCACAACTGAATTGAAGGGGAAGATTGAAATTAGAAAGAGAGGGAGGGTGTTATAATCAATTGCATTGCGCCCCTTAAATCGATTTGTTGCCATAGACAAACGAAGTCTGCTATGCAAACCGATCCAATACTTGGGTGTGGAACCTCGGATTCCCAGTGGAAGACTCAGATTGAAGGGGCAGGGTCGAAGCTCACGTAGTAGAGGGACTCTGGAAGGGATTTTAGACTTGATGCCTGGTAGCCAGAAGTTTGTGAAGAGAGGACAGCGTGGAGAACGATGTTCAAGGAAGGAAGCGGAGGAAGAGAAATCGTGAAAGGTGGGAGATCAGATACATGGCGATGGTAGCCTGAAACGAGACAATGGCGTGAAGAAGTAAAGGCGAGTCACGTACAAGAACGTGGAATATAGATAAACCTCCGGCTGTCAAGTTCCCCCTACCCTCGGGAAGTCACCCTCCTGGAAGGATTGAGCTTCAATCCATTGTGATGAGCATCCAAGAAAGATGATCAATAGACATTCGGTCGCTTCAGGGTGCGAACTTGGCTTGGGCAGTTTAGGTCTGACCACGTGGATAGTGGAAGCTCCGAAGACTGAGAGTGAAAAAAACTCACGACAAAAGGTATAAGCCAGGCATGGTAGGACTGTGTATCCCAGATAAGCCAGATAGACCTGGAAAGAAGAATTCATTGCATTTATTGACCATAAGCAAGAACAAATTCAAGCACATCAGTATTGCCAAGTTTCAGTCAGGGCTGTTTAATCGCTAACGCCGCCAAAGTAAAGGATGCTAGGCTGGTGGACAATTGGAGTAGAATACGCGGTCTAATGTATTTTCAAGGCAAGAAACAGTCAGGGCCCATTTTTGTCAACCTCAATAGCTATGATGGTTGCAGGCTATGAAAGTTCAAATTTTTGGAGTGATCGTGCACGGTGCTTACACGTATCTGATAAGGTTCCCCGTAACGTTCGGTCTTTGCCCCGGATGGATCGCCAAGATCCACTTGGACCCTGAAAACTGTTGGTTCAGGAAAGGATGTGTCAAGAGGTACGCTTAGTTACCGAGGGAAGTTATGAACAGAAAATCAATATTTGTAAGAGTAAGCTGTTTGTCAAACTAAGCTTAGGAAAGGGTGATGCCCTAGATCCATGATAGCCAGGCCCTAGACCAGTTCCTGGCGAAATAGCGTGGAAAATTTCACATTTTTGAGAATTTCCCCAATAAATTGAGATAAGAATCGCCTACTGCTCTACGCTGCTACGGCTAGCCTATCCAGACAAGTCATGCGACGCCGATTAATAAAGCGATGTCTGAGTCACTACTAGTTTGCTCTAGTCTGCTAGCCTTCCGGAAATGATAGGATGATCTCGCCAGTAAGACTTGACATTGCTCCTGCTCATTTCCTGTGCATGCCAGGTACTCCACTGCTCGCGAAATCCCGGTAGATCGCGCTGATTGCGGGCAAGAGGCAAAAGCACGTTCGCCTCGGCGGTTCTGACGTGACCATTCACGTGACCATACTGACAGCCGCGAGTCACAGCCGAGATGCTCTTTAAGGCGGACTCTCCACCTTAGTGCGGAGCTACTCTCTTCCAGCGGATTTCGCAATCTACTGACTCGCTTTCCACGGCTTCGTCATCTTCTCCCCATACTTGAATTTCCTCGGAAGATGCTGACCCACATTTCTTTGAACTCGAGTTCGGCACTCTAATCCTTTGCTTTCTTTCTGCGCCTATTGATCCTTCCTTCACCATGGCGTCACTCCCAAGTTATACTGTCGCTGGGAGGACCCGATCGTCTGATGGCGTCACGTCCAATAGCGATGATACAACTACGTTTGATAGCACCTCATCCCAGACCAACTCGAGTGAGGACACCGAGACCGTATTCTTAAACAAAGCCGCTTCAACTCCAAGCGCTCTCGAAAATGCGACTCAGGTCACCGACAAGGCTACTGGACGACACACGGATATCGAGGAACCCCGCAAATGTTGGATTTGCTACACCGACGAGACAGAGGACTCGCCACTGAATTTAGAATGGCGATCTCCATGCCCATGTGCCTTGACAGCGCATGAGGCTTGTCTGCTTGATTGGCTTGCAGATCTTGAGAACCCTCGCTCCCGCAGGCGAAATGGTGACGCCAAAATGCAGTGCCCTCAGTGTAAATCCGAGATTGTCGTCACGCGGCCACGAAGCTACATCGTTGACTCTTTGCGTATGATGGAGAGAGTGGCGGGACGGCTCGTCCTCCCGGGGATGGTTTTCACGGTGGCGGGCACAGTGTGGGCAGGCTGCTGCGCGCATGGTGCGTACTCGATGCATCTTGTATTTGGTTCGGAAGAGGCCAGGCATATTCTTGAGGACAGTGTTGATGGCCCTTGGAACCCTGGAATGAACCTCGGTCTACCCCTCATCCCGCTCGTCCTGATCTTTTCTCGCACTCGTTACGCCGAGGGCCTTCTTCCGGCGATTCCCGTCCTATTCTTCGCTGCGCACAGCCCGGGTCAAGAGCCCGACCTCGATCTTTGGCCGCCTACACCGGCGATGACTTTCGCTGCTCTGCCATATGTGAAAAGCTTCTATGGTGCGCTGTACGATCGCGTGTTCGGTGCACTGGAGCGTAAATGGATCGCAGAGGTACAACCTCGCGCAGCCGAAGACATTCTGGATGATGCACAGCAGCAGGACCAAGCGGAGGGACTGAATCGATTTGGCGACAATGCTAATGGTCAAATTCTCATGGAGATTGATCTCGAGTTACAGGTAGGGATGGGCAATGACGACGAGCTTGTCGGTGCTCCAGCTCTTCCCGCTGCCGATAACAACGATGGCGCTGACATAGGCGCCCAGGACGGACAAGCTCAAGGCCAGCCCGCAGGCCAGAACAACGGACAGGGAATGGATCTAGGCCGACGTCAAAACGAAATCATTCACGACACCGGAAACCTCACCGATATTGTTCTCGGAGCTCTCGTGTTCCCGGCTATCTCTGCATCGGTGGGTGGCCTTCTGAAATATGTCCTCCCTAAATCTTGGACCACGCCATCTTCGGTTTTGGAGCGCAGCCGCCCCGGACTTCTCCAAACTCGTTGGGGCCGTAGCGTCGTCGGCGGCTGTATGTTTGTGCTGCTGAAAGACGCACTTGTTCTCTATTGCCGGTGGAAGCTGGCCCAAACACACCGGCGGCGCAAGGTTCTGAATTACGAGCGGTCCAAGGCCAGAAAAGGGACATCGAAGCGGTAAACCCGATGTGAATTTGCTTTATTGGGCCTCGGTACTTGTTTCCTCTCTTTTGCATCTTACGGCGTTATTTTACGGGGCTTTGCTTGATTTTGGCGGGGTGTACTACTTACACGCATGTCGCTTTGACATTTGATGCCTCTTATGACCCTCAAGATACCGCTGCACATTACGAATCATTCTCATATCTCATACATTGCCTCTCTTCTCGGATCTCCTCGAACGGATTATGCATTTTGATTACTGTATGTAATATCATGAGCATATCAACAATGACCAAGGGAAAAGAAAATCCGGCACCATAAAACATGGATGTTTGCTCGTTCACCACATCAGCAGAAATACAAGACAGTAAATTCATCATTCATTTGTACTCGTAGACTTGCTGTACGGTTTAGTGGGTTAAGCGCGCGGCTAATAAAGGCGGCGACAATTCTGCCGTCAGGGAATTATTCGCCCTGAAATGCACCGCGACATCCTCTTCTACAACCCCCATATACCCCAACCACAATGCGGTCTCTATCACCAGCGCTCGCGTCCCTCGCGAATGTTTTCCGAATCCCCATGTCGTTGGCACCTGTGCGCCCCTCGGTCACCCGTGCCTGCCAAGAGACCCTGACCCGACGAGCAACACAACCCGGCCCGATCACCGCAGCCGTGCAATCCGCGCCTTTCTCATCGACAAGCTCAATGGCCAAGCGTGCAGGACGTCCCGGAACAGACAAGCGAATCAGTATGTTCAACCCATTGCCCACAATGGCATCCGCGAGCACCACGTGCCCATCACCCTCAAGATCCGAAGTTAACAACATCATCTAGCTCTTATTCGCTACTTCCTGCACCACCCCCTTACCCCACGTCCCCTCCGCTTCTCTCGTAACCGATTCCTGCGTCACTGGACTATTCACCGTGCCTGGCAACTCTTCCAGTCTAAGCAGCGTCAAAACCACGAACTCGAGCTGCAGCGTCAGTACCAGAGCATGCAGGCTGCGTGTGAGGAGCTGCGGACTGGTGCCGGTGATGGTGGCAGACTGTTCCGGAAATCTATGAACAAGAAGGGTATCTTCAATGATATGTTCCCCATCGAGTACGGACGTATGCAGACCGACTACCCCCCTGCTGAAGGGTGGAACCATGAGTGGAAGAAACCATCGAAGAAATAGATTCCCGAGCATTGGTTGTGTTGACTCGGTGAGATTTGAGGCAATTGCTTGATTTGCCTTGGGTTGTCTTGTATCATTGGCGCTATGTACTATATATGCATTTTATCTTCTTTCTCAAGGTCATTTGAGATGTAAATCGAGGACCCATGAATTTCTTTTGCCATTTCCCTCAGGTATTTAAAAGGTTGTACGTAGAGCCTGTATTCAGCTAAGGAAGTAAACTCGCTCGGTACCGACGGTTCACAAATACAGAAGTTCAGAACCTTGGCAGTATAGAACCATGCTTCCGTGGCCCTGCGACTAAATCTTTGTAGCCGAATATGAAGTTACAAAGAGACAGAATCCGAGGTCAGGTAATTGATTATGTAGTCCCGGAAGAAAAAAAAAATAAGCTAACACACAGTATGAAAAGAGAGAGAGTGACAGGAAATACTACAGAGAAGGGTCAAAAGGAGCGGGATTCGCCATGCACGTCGGGGAATTTGCAAATGAGAGACAGGGACAGGTATCCGGAGTTGCACGTGCATAAAGTCGGAAAAATGAGGCAAAGCAATGGCCAGTCAAGGAAAGACATGAAGTGAAGGAAAAACAAATGTACTCCGAGAGAGAATAGACACGGCCAAAACAGCCAGGGCAAAATAAAAGGCATGGCCCAAGCCAATCGACTAGGCGAGCACTAGAACCTCCCAAACGCCAATGATGCATGATACAGCGGAAGGTCGATTGAACGGCAAACTAGAGCTTGAACCAAGTTCAACGCTTTCCCAAGTCGAGAGAGTAAAATAAACCGAACGCTGTCAGAGAAAGCAGTAATGTCGCACATTCTGATGTCGTTATAGCACCACGCAACAGGAGCTTTTCCGCTTGTCAAAGGTCAAAAGCGCAGCTCGGGTGGCTGCTTCGAACACGTCGTCGACACCCTCGCCGGTCAAAGAGGAGCATTCGAGGTATTTGCGGGCTCCAATGCTGGTGCCGGTGTCATTGCCTTCTTTGGCTGTGACAAATTTGAGGGATTTTTTGCGCATTTCTTCGATGGCCAGTGGATCTTCTCGCAGATCTTTCTTGAGGCCGACTAGGATAATGGGTACACCGGGACACCGTTCATTTGCTTCCTCGATCCACTATCAAAACTTAGTGGCAGTATTATATGCCGGGCAGATCTGACGCACCTTGTGTTTCACGTTCTCGAGGGTGTCTGGTGTATCCACAGCGAAGCCGATCAGCAGGACATGGGCCTTCGAGTATGCCAGTGGGCGCAATCGTTCATAATCTTCTTGTCCAGCTGTATCCCAAAGAGCCAATTGTACAGAGCGGCCATCAACCCGGCAATCCGTTACATAGTTTTCGAATACTGTCGGGACCTAGGAAACAAAGTCAGAGTTGTCGAACGGCGCGGGCGGTAGGGCAGGGTGACTAACATAGTGCTGTGAGAAGTTAGCTCGGATTCTCTATAACGCAAAGGATGGACTTGACTTACAGTTGGGAAGTATCCGAGTGTGAAGACGCTGAGTAAACTGGTTTTCCCGCACGCGCCATCTCCGATGATCACAAGCTTTCTGGAAGTATCAGTTGAGGTTAGCATTGTGATATGACCAGTGCAGACATTCAATTGTAAATTATGCAAGAACTTTTCAAGTTATCCGCAGGATGAAATTGCCACTCTGCGGAGACGTTGGAAGGGTCTTGTACGATCTAGGCCGGAGGGGGTATGACAAAGTGCAGAGGATGGAACTGGCCGCGCGTACCTCCGCATAACATTATCACCCTGTTGTTGCGCCATATTTCAATGGATCGGGTGGGGTAGGGTAGTCACCCAAGCGCTGTTTGACAAGAAGGTGGAAGAAAATAGAGAAGGACGACCCGATCACAGGTGCGAGATAGTCGAGTTAGGCCCACGAAGGCCGCAACACAAGAAGCAGGGGTAAGGGGAGGTCAGCCCTGCGCGTATGCCGTATTCCCGCCCAATAGCGAAGTGGTGCAGGCGTGGTCAGCCCAAGGACAACCAGTGATGTGACTTTGAGTTCGTGAGGACGGTCGCGCCGGGGCTAAAGCGTAGTCTGTTGGGGGAGTGGGATGCAGTTGACGAATTGGACGGCTAAACACGAGCCTGGAGATCTGATCCACCGGGGAAGCAGCAAGTCAAAGACTAAGGAACAAGAAAAAAAAAGTAAACGAGAGGTATTGAAAATGGGTAAGCGAAAGAGAGTTGCCGGTTTGATAAGATGAAGGGGGGGAACGAGAGCGGGAATGCGGTTAGTGTACGCTGTAGGAAACAATCCGGAGATTTAAGGCACACCGGGAGGAGAGTTTTGAAGGCTACGCAATTTCTTGGTAAATTTAGGATGCTATACAGTGGGGATTCTTCCTATAATGACATATGTCTGTTTAAGATCTTCGGACACTCCGTAAAGCTCTTTTTTATTTGCAAAGTGTGATTTGAAGAAAGTTATTTTTATCTAGCGCTATGTCTCACTGCGCCAGGTGGAGTAGCAACAACGGCATCTGTATTAGATATACGTAGGTAAGACAACTGGCGGATAGCCCCACCGCCCCGTCTTTTACCTGGCAATACTCTGCTGCAGGCGGTGTGTCTGTCAGTCAGATGAAGGCATCCCATCTCGAGCAATTACGCCCTGCACAAACCCGAGCACTAGACGTAACTATGATGCCCGGATCGATGATAGATAGAATCGAAAACAAATCCAGCATAACCCAGTAGAAAAGTGAGGAGAACACGATCTGGTGCCTGAATAATCGGGCAGCAGCTCGCTTCCGGCGGCTAATTGTCCTGTTGCGGCGGCACGACAACCAGCCAGAACGCAGCAAAGCCCATCGCTCATCCATCATCATTGGTATAGATCTCGCTCCCTTCCTGTACCGTGCTCTCAGGGTTCCGCTCCGTTTGCTTGCTGGCCCTGGTTCGAACTCACTAAATACATTCCTCCGCCAGTTCGCCAGTCTCCCGTGGCCCGCTCCACTCATCACGTCCTGCGCCGGCGGGTTCACTGCCTTTGAACCACCCCCTCCTCCCACCCCAGTATCTTGAGCCCCGGACAACCCCTCTCACTTCCTACCCCCTCGGACCTCCCGACGTGACAAGCAAAGGGACTGCGTCTGTACCTTTGTGAACACCCTAAGGGGTTTGTATCTTTTGGTGAGTCCTTGCATGGGATTGGGTCGGAGCTTTGTTGGTTCTTTCGCCCTACCGGTCTCCGCTTTTTGCCCTGGCCGTTTTCCCAAACCCCCCACCCTCCAACTTCTGTCGTTGGTCGCTGGGTACTGATCTTGTGCCGCGTCTAAACAGAATTCCGCCGAGGACTGTTGCTCTCAGCTTCATCCACACCCACCATGGCGGCTCATGTGTCAGCTAACCCGACACCACCGACAAACAGCGATGCGCGGGGACCTTTGAGCCACACCACCACTGAGAGCATGCCTGCACCGGCGCCTGTGAATCGCAAGAAACAAAAACGTCGACAGAAACAGGCGGCCCGCCTCGCCGCGGATCCGTCTGACGTGCATACCTCCGCGGACCTGGACTCGACGGCCGATGACCAACATTCCAATGATCACGAAGTCGACAGTGCAGATCTTGACCATGTATCAGACGAAATGTATCATAATGGAGCGCATCATGGCCTGGGCAGGAATTCAGTATCGAACGATTACGACGACGCAACAGGCTCGAAAACAAAGAAAAAGAAGAACAAGAAAAGCCGCTCTGACTCACCACGCTCTCGCCGATGGCAGCTCAACTCCTCTTTCCTCACCTTCCGCTAGCTTCTCTCACCCTCCACATCCACATTCGCTGCCATTTTCTCGATTCCCTGCCAAGTCCGGCAAGGAAAACAGTATATGGAACCAATCTTCTTTGGAGGAGCGGGAAAATATTCGAAAATTTTGGTTTGAGTTGGGCGAAGAGGAACGGCGGCAACTTGTGAAAGTAGAGAAAGATGCCGTCTTGAAGAAGATGAAAGAGCAACAAAAGCACTCTTGTAGCTGCACCGTCTGTGGCCGAAAGCGAACCGCAATTGAGGAAGAGCTTGAGGTCTTGTATGATGCGTATTACGAGGAGTTGGAGCAATACGCCAACAACAACCAAGACTCATTTGACGAAGGCGCACCTATCATTCCTCCACCTCGATTATACCAACCGCCGCTTCGATCTCCTGGTCAGCATACCCGCACGCACGGCCAATATCACCCATCAAGAGGCCGAGTTCAGGAGCTGCCTGAGGATGAAGAAGATGAGGAAGAAGACGAGGATCTAGAAGAGGATTATGACGATGAGGAGGAAGAGGATGATGATGAGCTGTACAGTGATGATGAATTTGAGGAGGACGACGAAGCTCGCGCCGCTCGAGCAGACTTTTTCGCGTTTGGAAATAGTTTAACTGTGAAAGGTGCGTTGATATACTGATCCAAAGTTTGGTTGTTTTCTGACTGTTCTTGGTTAGATGGTATCCTCACTGTGGCAGACGATCTTCTCAAAAACGATGGTAAGCACTTCATTGACATGATGGAGCAACTAGCCGAGCGTCGAATGCAACGAGAAGAAGACACACAATACAATATCGCTGCCGCCCACCAATCATTCCATGCTGGTCATAATCACGGGCCCCTTGATGATGATGATTATGACGACGAAGAGGACGAAGATTATGACAGCCAGGAAGAGGAGGAGTTTGATGAGGACGAGATGGTACGTGACATCACCTTCCCTAAGCTATCTGTGCTGACAGACCAAGGATGCTATGACCGAAGAACAGCGCATGCAAGAAGGCCGCCGAATGTTCCAAATTTTTGCCGCTCGCATGTTTGAACAACGAGTCATGACCGCATATCGAGAGAAAGTTGCCGAACAACGCCAGAAGCAGCTCATTGAGGAGCTTCTAGAAGAGGAGACTCGGAACGAGCAGCGCAATGCGAAGAAGGCACGAGAAGCATTGAAGAAGAAGGACAAGAAGCGATTACAGAAACTGGCTAAAGAAGAAGAGAAAGCTCGTCGGGATGCCGAGAAAGCGGCTGAAGAGGCCGCTGTGAAGGCTGCTCAAGAGAAAAAGCTCGAGGAACAACGATTGAGGCGTGAAGAACAGCGATTGAAGCGAGAGGCTGAGCGCAAGGCCCAGGAAGAGGAACGTGCACGCAAGGAAGCAGAGAAGCAACGGCGTATCAGAGAAGAAAGGGACCGGCAAGCTGAAGCAGAACGCAAGCAGCGAGAGCAGAAGGAGGAGAAAAAGAGGCGTGAGGAAGCGAAGCGCAAGGAGAAAGAAGAGCGTGAAGCCCGTGAGAAGAAGATGAAAGACGAGCAGCGTGAGGAACAGGCAAAGCGAGATCGTGAAGCGGCAGCTAAAGCAGAGCATGAGGCCAGAGAACGCTCTGGAAAACGGGATATTCAAGCCAGACCCGCACCTCATTCTGGGACTAGTATCGCCATGCCGACGAACCTTTCATCGCAACCCGTTCCTGGCTCTCTCCAATCCCCCCACTACACGCCAGCCGCTCCTAAAGTTTCCACTCCCGCGAGACCACGACAGACGTCACAGCAGGGATCTCACACCTCTTCTCCTCACTCCCAGCCATCTTCCTCGGACATCTTCCCGCAACCTTCCATCTCTCCACGTTCCATGACGCAGTCTCAATCTGGGGCTATCGGTAGCAGACCAGGCCACCACCAGCAACCTCCTTTGCACCATCCTCAACCTTCGGCTCCTTTATCACCCCTTGGTAGAACCCACCCTCCTGGCTTCCCTGGCTTTGGTGGTCTACCTTCAAATCCACCAGGCCTGCCAGGTATGGGTGCTCGGCCTCTTGGACCTCCAGACTATGGCATGTACTCTCCCAACTCAGCGATGATAAACCCGCTCCGCGCTTTCGCTGGACCGGGTGGAATTGCTGCGCCTCCTGGAATCAATGGAGTACGTCCAATGCCCTCTGGAAGAGGATTCCCAGATCCTGGACACGGTCTTCCTTTCTCTGGACATGCAATGCCTGGTGCATTCCACCAACCGGGGTCGCACTCAAGACAGCAGTCGGGTTCGTTTGAAAGATCTCCGCTAGATTCAAGTGGCCAATGGCCTCGACCCAGTCCTATCAAGCGACCATCGAGTGGTGCACAGGAGAATGGTCACCAAGTAGACGACTTAAGCACTCAACTGGGTAGCAGCGCGCTACTTGATGACACTGATGCCAATAATTCGTCCAATCTTTCGCAGTCATTGCCCGGTCCCACTTTGCCAGGGCAGTTCCCTCTTCCATCGCGAGCTAGCTTCCAAGGGGCTTCATTCTTCACTGACCCTCTGGGATCCAAGGCCGCCAGTTTTGGATGGGGTACATCGCTCGGGGGCCCTACTTTCCCCGCCTCGTCAACTTGGGGAGCAACAGCAACTGGTAATGGGAGCGGCTGGCCGCAACAGCTGAAGCATAACATCTTCGCCCCACCCAACGCGCATCATCGCCCACATACCTCTCGACCTGTTCTCATTCGTCTCTTGGTGATCCAGGCCTGCAAGACACTCAACACGCACAGTCCCAGGCCCGGTTCTGGGGGTTACCACAACGTGAATCTGGTACTTATGCAGGTAGAGCTTCTGCGTCCTCCCAACGAACCAACCATTAAGTTGGATGAGATGCTGGAGATCTGCGACACTGAAGGTAACACTCAGAACGGCGGTGGGTCATTCTCTATCAAGGAAGATGCGAATGGCCAGCACGTCAAGTTTGAGCCGGATACCAACAGTGCTTCTGGTCACCGCGGCAGTATTGTCCCAGGTGATATCGGTAGCCCAGTCCCTGGGAACAGCCACCCTGCCGGCCAGTTTGGCATCGCGCCCCGACCATACCACCCGCCTGCCGGATTGTTTGGCGGAACTTAACCCCCTCAGTCTCAACCTCTTATGAATATGAGCTCCCGCTCACTTTGGCATGAAAGGCTCGCCTTTCTTCCATATCCCTTACGCGTCTTATGGGAACGACTCCTGAATGTCCACCTCTCTTATCTCTTATCCGATTTGTGTTTTTTTCCTGAATTGAAGCGTCACGGATTAACGTCACACATCTGTCCTCAAGTTTCTTTTTCGAACATGGGTTTCTGCTGATCGGGTTTCATTTTATCTACTTTGTGATCGAGTCTACAGGACTTAGATCTGGGGCTGGGTTTACTTTCTGTACGGTATTAGTTTTGTTATTCGCCTTTCTGCATTATGCAGCGATATCCAAGGAGCTTGGGACAATCTCCCTCTCCGTCATCGTCCTTGACGCAATTGCATGATTGAAGGTTTCTTCGTCCGTCTGTTTCTAGCCTTCAAGGCTGTTCCTGTAGTCTTTTGTAGAAGATATCAGCGTATACGAGCCGAGCTGACAGAGAATAGTCAATTCCGCATCATGCTGAAGCGGATTATGTTGAGTGAAATTAAGCTTTGGAATAGACTTTTGTGTTACCAAAAATCTTTATACTTACTACAAGCTTTCAGATCTTCGGTACCCCAAATCACCAAGTGAAAGATCTCTTTTCAATTTACGTACAGATCAAAGGATAGCAGAGAAGATCCAAGCGATATGATGAAGGGATATATCAGTCTATATTGATTGAATATTATTCAGATAGGTGACCATGTCGGTCTCTATATCAGTTCCAAAAATCAGTCTGCTTCGTCGTTTAGAAAGACAAGACCATCGACTTCAGCTTCTGGAAATCAGGTGTACCAAGTCCAGTAACCGGGCCCCAACCACTGGTAGCGTTCCAGTGAGCGTAAAGAATGACCAAACCACCATCAACAGGTTCCTCACTCTGGGGATCGATGCCACCACATCCGTAGGAGCCACCAGAAACGATATCGTTCAGGGCCTTGTATCCACTCGAGTAAAAGAAGGGGTTCAAAAATCCAAGAACTGGCTTGCCTGCTTTGAGACGGGCGTCGTTCAGGAGTGGAGTGTCTCCTGATCAACGGTCTGGATTTTTATGCTTCAGCCAAGCTCATTAAGCCCTCACTAAACTGCCGAGTAGACCAGAGATCAGCTCAATCCCAGACTTGCCGACTTGACCGAGCTGAACAAGATGTTTGCTGCAGACAAGTTATCTGGAGGGCCCCAGGTACGCTCCCAAAATAATACACTGGTGTCTATTTCAATGACGTTACTCCTGCCAAAAATGCGATGGCAGAATTTGAGATACCTTTAAGAACCGGCTCTGCCTAACTGTAGAGCATGCTACCCTTTAACAACTCGTGGTCGTTGTATCAAAGTATTATGCTAAGTGTGGAATGAAAAGGAAGATGTACTGAAAGGTAGGTAAGGTATTGTATGACAATGGTACACTTGTATATACTCAAAAACGAAGGAAAATAAGCATCATAGGCAGGGGCTGGCTTCCAGAAAGCAAAGAGGTAAAAAGGAGATAGGGTAAAAAGAGGAAGGACCTCAAGGGGACCTGAGGTCTGGGGGCAATAAAATCCACAATGCACATGTCGCATCTCGTACAACCAAAACGTAGCCAAAATCTTGCAAAGCTAGCAAGTCTTGACACAATCATAGTCAACACCAAGAAACAGTACTTGAATCTACTGCTTCTCGGTAACAACACCTTCGTAGTCTCGGGTCCGGATGTACTCGAGTGTACGTTCGAAGTGACGCTTTGGGCCATCGAGGTTGGGATTGGGCTCGTCTTCGGTATTCGAAAGATTCGAGTGGATGAGCTCAATAAGTCCGTTTAGGTATTTGGTAGTGACCGTCTCATTTTGCTGGTCGAAGTAGTAAACGTAGCGATTGAGGATCTCGACGAAAAGCTCGACGGAGACGGCTGTATCCATGCAAGCATCGGCAACACGAAGAGCACGCTGGAGGCACTCCAGAACTCGTTTCCCGTCACGGTAAAGCTGTTATTTCGGTAAGTACGGAACTTTGAGAAAACGAGGTATTGTATGTTCTTACATTCTTGGGATCTTCCTCCCCGCGCTGCGGGTTCTCAACAACCCACCAAAGGTGACTTGCAAGGTAGACTGCACGGCACTGATCTGGCTTCTTGAGGAGCTTGCTGCCATGGAGTGCGGCCTTGGTAATCAAGGTGTCGTAATTCTCCTTGGAGAAGCCGCGTGCACCATGCAGAGCCCCAGAGATGATGCAGACTGCCTGGAATTGCGCACGAGAGTCGCTAATTGAATCTTCGTAGATCGTAAATGCTTGCGCAAAGAACTCGTAGCTAACTTCCTCGAAGCCAGTCTGATCTGCGACCTCACCGCACATCACAAACAACCGCAGCGCCAGGTCGACGCACCCTGGGTTCACCCGCTGGTAAAGGTTGTTTACACATTGATGCAAAAAGCGGTATAGAGCGGAGGATTGCGACTGCCAGTTGTCATCGTAGTGTTCGCGGGACTTCAACTTTCGAGCTAGGCGGATCGAAGCTGTCACAATGGCAGGAGTAGTGTAACGGATGCGCTCATTTCCATCTGCATAGGCCTTGCGCGTTGCTTGAAGGAGCTATTTTTGAAGTTAGTTCATCATCTTCATATCTCAGATTGACGATCCATACCTTGAGCTGAGTATCATTGTCTGGTCCTTGGATCAAATGCACCAATCTTGCGAGCCACCCTTGCTCCTCAACTGTCTCATCCGTTTCTCCTCCACGGCGCTGGTTTTGCACTCCCGGGTATCCTACAGTTTGTTGAATACCTTCCTTGATCAAAACTCTTGCAGTTTGTAAAACCCGGTCAAGGTTCTCTGGGCTCGAGATGACAATCTTATTTTTGAGGAGACTCTTGACGATCTCACCGGCAACGGATCTCCGAGTGGGATACGACTGCGATGTCAGGAGTGGCAGGTAGTGTGGCAAAGCTAGGGCAGTAAAAATCGAGACATAAGAACGAACAGGGGCGTTAAGAAGTTGCAGAATTTGTTGTTGCGTTGGCGCTGAGTGCAGATCAGCGTGGTCAGTGTATTCGGCTGTCTTTTGAGCCGCAAAGTCCAAGACCTGATCAACATATTCCAAACGATCGGGATAGATGTTCAGTGCGAGATTGACAAGCGATACCAGAAGTGCCATGGTATCCTGGATTGGCAGTGCACGGGTCTTTATCAAGTTGACAACTTGATCATAGAAGATATCATAGAGCTTGACCTCTGCGGGAAGACTAGGTTTCGTATCTTCTTCGTTAGCAGGTTCAGGCTCTTTCGCGGGCTCCTCGCTGTTGCTTGGCTCCTCGGTCCCATTCTCTTGGGGTGCTTTCCCCTTGGAAACCTCGCTTGATTCTTGCTTTTTCGTCTCCTTGTCCAGTTCTAGCTTCTCCAATAGCCGAGTGACAGCTTCCTCCTCGCTCTGTTTCCGCGCCTCTGGATCCCGCTCGGTTGATTCTGTCTCTCCTTCTTTCGCCGCATATGTGGAAAGGCGATCCATTAACCCAATGACAATTTTCTTGAGATCAACGTATGGGTTGAGTCGGGCGATAGCAGACAGAAGGAGGTCAAGGGTGTGGAGGTGGAATTCATCTGGGAAGACCTTGGTGATCACTGTCGCACAGGTTAGCAATTGAGCCATGTGAACCATACGTTACGGATACTCTACCTTCTAGGAGATATTCTTGAGCTAGAACATCGCGACACTGCACCACCTGTTCCAGAAGCGCTTGCAGGATACCAGACTGATATGCCTCGAGATCCACCAACTGGCTCAGACGAACAACATTGCTACCTACAAGTAGCTCAAGCTCACGCCTCTCTTGTATCCGCCGTTCTCGCTCTCGCGACGGACCCTGGTGTTGAAGCCGCACCCAGAGTTTATTCATTTCCACGAAATTGGTCAAGACGAAGTTGATGGAGTCCTGCAGGTTTCCTTCCGGTCCATCTCCAGTTCCAGAAGGCAGGTAGTCCCGTGCCTGACCGGATAGGTAGTATCGCAAAAACAAACCACGAATCGGATGCTGAATACCACGGCTCATCTCCATCATGTCCTTCATAATTTCCTTGACCGGCGCATCCTCCACTGACATGTACACGGTCCCGACGGTGATCATGAGATACAAGCGAGGAACGATATTACCGGCATACTGGACGAGCTCGTACAGGTCCGCTAGGTGGTTGACGGGGTGGTTCTCCTTGAGGTAGACGGATAGGTGTCGCAGCGCATCGAAAACGGCCATGTACAATTCATAATACTGCTTCGGACCGAGGCTAGGGGTTCGCAATTCGGATACTAGAGTCGATCTACAGTCCCCAAACGGGGGTTGATTAGCACACATATTCATTGCGCGGCGGCCCGGCATGGCTGCCTGCCGAGGAGAGGAGGACAGCTCACCCGCACTTGAGCGCATCCATGAGCTTCCCGGGGGTCTCCAAGCATTTGCGCATCATGGCCGACTGTTGCCTCACCACCCCCAATGCCTCCTCGAGGAGGCGGGTTTGGTCCTCCGGGACAGGCGGTGGGCTGGCCATGGTGGAGGGAGTGAGGGGGAGCTGAGGGATGAAAGCAGGCGGTAAACAGCTGCGCGTAGAGCAATGATTGAGCTTGCAAGGGGCTCTTGACCACGCTTAACAATTCATACGAGAATTGAAGGTTTTGGTTGTTGGTTGATGTGTGGTGTTTAGAGGAGAGGAAGAGGGAGGTTAGTTGGAGCAGGATAAGCTAATGAGATGCCGTGACACCGTATGGGGTCCCCCCCGAAACGTCACTGAACACGATTTTCAAAATCCAAACTGATTTCATTCTGCAGGACTATCTCATATTTCATATTGTTTAAAAATCTAGTAATCAAAAAGAAATTCAAAAATCAAGAAGAAAAAAAAAGCTCAATGAGTCAAACGCGCCAAATCCATATCAAAGTCCTCCGCCCGAACGACTCCTGGCGCTGGCATATGGTCATCCCCTCCAATTTGAGCGCCGCATTCCGGGCACGAGGCCAACTCCACAGCTCCTCCACACTCTCCAATGGTGAACGGATGGTTGTTGCGACAATAGTACCAGTGGCCCGTTCCCGTAAAATCCTGCGCCATGACTGAAATGATTGCCATGCGCTCCTCGCTGCTGATTCCAGCATAGAACGTGCCCCCTTCAAGCATCTTCTCGGCGTTATCAACTTCACTGATTAGTCCACTTGTTTGGCCAGAGAATTCCTTGCAGAGCGCTCTCGCCTTTTCAATACAAGCAAGGCCGCTTTTCAAATGACATCTGCCTAGCTCCTCGGACACATATGCACGTTCCATGGCATAAAGCTCGGCTTCGAAAACAAAGCCTTCCAGCTGGTGCACCCGCCGCTTGCTAGCGGTAGCTTTTTGCGCAAGATGTTGACAGTCACCTCGTAAGCTTTCCAGGTTAATTTTCAGCGGTGCTTCTTTGTACGAGGCCAACTTTTCCAGTGCCAGGAAGTCTGATAGCAGCGCAATGTCAAGTCGGATAGTAAGAGCCGCTCCTTGAAGCACTCCCTTGGTCTGCAAGATTTCGTCTCCGAACTTGAAATCTCCTGCGGTTATTTTGCGTCGCTGTGCATTGATCACCATGTCGTGAACTCGTTGGAAGGGCTGCTCTTCAGGGCTCACAGCATGAACGTATTTAAAGATCCGTTCTCGCAAATCAATCATACTTGCCCATCTCTGAGGCTTCGCGCTGTTCATGACAGGCTTCATCACTTCCAATTGCTCACCACTTCGGCCCTTGATTTCAAGCTCTGGCCACCTGGTCATCTGTGGAGGATCAGTATCATGAAGCTTGCGGATTTCTCGAGTAAGCTCTTGTGCAAGAGGGACAAACTCTTGATTCAAGCGGAGAATGAGCTTCTTCGTGGATTCATCCAGAAGAGCTCGCCGAACCAGTCGACCATATCTAGCAATGTTTCGTAAATGACCGCGACAGATTCCACAGGTCTTCATGTCTTCAATCGAGAATGGCCGCGATGAAACGAGCAGGGCGATGGGCTTGCCAATGGCATCAACTTCGTAATGATTTGCGAAGTCCATTTGGGCATCCATGCTCTCCATGGTAAGGAAATGGCCACATTGAGGAAAAATGCAAGGATTTACATCGAGATCAACATCCTTGTATGAGACACCAAGAATATAATCGACGTCCCGATTCTTGATGTCATCCGTTGCACAAATTTGGCAGTGGGTTGAGGATGGACAGTCTTCTCCGCACACAGCAGGACACTGATGTCGGCATTCGAGGAATTTCTCGCACCGTCGAGAACAAGGAACGTGGTCGCATGGAGCGGCGCAGGGCATGGAGCACTCGCTGTGTGGGCACACAGAAAGACAGGTGGTTTCCGCACAGGGGGTGCAGGGCTCGAAGCATTTCTTTGAGCATCGTGAGTGGCTGCAGGCGACATCACATTTAGCTGTGCATGGAGGACAAGCTTCGGTACCATGGCAGATAGCAGCACAATTGTGTGCACATGTGCTTTGCTTTCGTCCACATGCTCGCTGACAGTCCCCATGGTGAGCTTTAGTTTCGCCGTCAACCTTTCTGGTACAAGAAGAGCACACTTTCATACAAGTGTGGCCGCACGTCAAGCTACCCCTACATCGAGCACGGCATCGGTATTCACGGCAATTGACGTCCACGTGGCACGCAACCTCAACTTTGTGTCCGCAGCGAGAAACGATCTTTTCGATGAGTATGGGACAGAGAGCCTGTGAGAGATCTTGGTTCTGCCAGCATGGCAATTCTTTTATGCTATGGCCACATCCAAGCTTGAGGTCTTTTTGGTCAACGTTGACCATGCATTTCTCTGGGCAGACTTCACCACATACGCTCGGGCAAGCGTGTTCGCATCCGTCTCGGGACCGATCACAAGGCTCAAGGCACTTGACTGCGCTGTGTAGAAGATCAGAGTGACACTTCTGTAGACAAGAATGGCCACATGGGAGACGTTTGGCACATCTTAAATCACAACCTCCTTCGGGGGAGAACCGAAGGAAATCTCCCGGCTTGGAGACACTAATAGGCGTATCTGGATGGCGTGGACACTGCAGTTCCAATGCTCGCCCAATGTTATTACCCCGACGTAAGCATTCAATAACATGGGCCCACATGTTGATATGTTTTGATGTCTCAGAGTTGGCAATGAGGTACATTCCGTGCTTAGCCAGAGACAAGAGGACATTGATCCGTTGAGGAGCGCGCAAAAATCCACAGTTGTGTGCTTTGTTGCTTCTGACAAGTGATACAATGACCACTTTAGCCTCCTCCCCTTGAAAATTGTCGACTGTTGACACCCTTAAAACGTGGGACAAAGGTGTTTGCACGACCGATATGTTTGTTCCGGATGTATTTTCGAAGCCGGCTTTGTTGAGCTCGTCCTGGTCCTTTTCATTCAACGCAAGAACAACAGAATCACTCATTTTCCGTCGCAACTGATGTAACTGTCCCAGATACGGAGTCAACACAGCGATGTCCCCCTCATTGTATCCACCCTGGCGAGTGAGGTGGTTGACAAGTGCAACTGTCATATCAATCTCGAACTCATTCCAATGAGAAGTTGACGCTTCTTCCACGTCTGACAGTTGGCCTTCTGGGACCCGGTGATCCAACCAAAATAGTCTTCTCTTCATCCCAAGTACTTCAGGATAGTTTGAAACGATCTGGTGATCCTTGAGGTGCGGATACGAAGGATCACGAATGAGCTGCGCGATTGAAGAATGCATTCGTCGCTGCGTCTTTAAGACTTTGAAGGGTAGCCCACATCCCATTGGATTGTCGTTCGAATTTACCAATCTCTCAAAGAGCGACACGTCAAGGGAATACTGTGATCCACCATTTTGGTTTTCTCTGGAGAGATCATAGTTTTGAACATGCGGTGGCAACTGTTGATGATCTCCAATGAGGATCAAATGCTCTAGTTTAGGAAGAAGAGCTGTCAGAAGATGAGATTCGAGGACTTCTCCGGCCTCCTCACATAAGACAACCTTGCACTGTAAATTTTGAAGCATCTTCAATCTCTTGGCAAGACCCGACGTCGTCATTCCTACAATGTCCGCATCATGCAGACAACGGAGATACAGTTCATCCTGGATATGGTTATACCGAGATTTGGCAAGGGTGTGGGAGTTGACCATCTCAATGGCCGCTTTGTAGGCCGTTGCCCGGATTTCTTCAGCCCAATGATTGTGAACAATCTGGCGCTCCTCGTGGGACATGTCGTACAGCTTAGCAGGCTGTAGTTCTTCCACGCTCCGAGGTTCGCACTTTAGCGTGAGACCCGAATTCACCCAACTCTCGATGATAAAGCTAGGGGTTTCGGATGTGGCAGATTGAAATTCATCCTGATCCTGCCCAAACAATTCTTGGGCATGGTGTGGATAATACATGCGAAGAAAGTTTATTAGCTCAGTAGGAGAGACTTCTTTCTGGAGATATAGCTTGTTGAAGTCGACTTCAACCTGTTGCATCCCACGACGCTCCTGAGATGAGAAGCCCTTCTCCATCTTCGTTTTCTCCACGCCTTTTGCAACAGCGCATAGATTCAATGAGGCTAGTCTCTCTGATTTGGACTGACCACCGATTCGAATGATATTCGAGGTGATGTCTTTGTCTAGTAACGCTTCCAAGAGCTGATCCAGAGCATGATTCGTATAAGTCACACACACGATTGGGCCCAGACACGGCCTCGCACGTTGCTGATCTTGTTCTTTACTATCTAGAAGAACCTTGATCAAGGCTGCTCCTGTGTAGCTTTTGCCTGTACCAGGGGGTCCTTGAATAAGGCCAACCTTGTGTTGCAAACAATGAACGAGAGCTGCAGCTTGAGCTTCATCCAGAGTCGAATTTATGCTCAATCTTTGTATGTCGACCGGTTGATTTGGGTGAACCAAGAAATCATCTCGATTTTTTATCAGTGATCGAAGGGTAAAAGCGAAACCCGGTCTCAGAGAATACAAGGGAGGAGTTAATCGTGACAGCTCAGGTGAAGGCATGAGAAGTTCTGAAAAAGGAATATCCTTGATCAGCTGAAGAGCCTTCAGCGTGGGCTCAAACCCTGGTAGAAGGACTCCAGGGAATTCGACGAGGGCTGAGTGGATACTGGTTCCATTGTATAGATCCAGAACGGATTTCACGTTCATCTCCTGAGGATCAACGAGCGTCAACAATACCGATGCAGTCTGGGGCCGCCTCCACAACGCACCTCCAGGTTTCTCTCTATCACCGTTGACATCGTACTTTGGGCCCTTCTCTTCAGCAACCGTACAAAATAGAATTTTTGTCGTTTTTTGGTTGACCAGACATACAAGCGCACCCGGCTGTAGGCGTTTGGAGTTTTCCCACCAAGCCTCTCGTTCAGCAGTTGGTTTTCCTTGCAGGTTCTTAGGTTGAGGAAATCTGACTTCGATTTCAAGGCCAATAAACCAGTCAAACCGACAATCCGCGACACTTGCCCCATGATACACACGTTTCTGTACATCTAACGGATTGTCAAAAGTTTTGTGGACAGTATCACGAAGCTGGCCAACTGTGTCCTCTCTCAGAAGACGAAAGTTCCTATCTAGCAGTCCAACCAAGCCGCCGAGATGCCACTGTGTTGGATCGTTCACTGGCAGATACTCTGAGCGAGTACTGGATATCTCTTCCCAGCTTGGCATGATCTTTATATCACAGATGTTGGCATGGTCATTGCCGTGGCGACCGCCAGGGCCTTCACGCTGAAGAATCTGGGGATGACGAGGTGCTTCGGTTGCTCTCTGAACGGACGACCGTTTCGGGATTGAGTTTCCAACCTCCAGGCGACGTTGAAGACGGTCCAAATATGCGCGAACCTGGTGAAGTTCATCTTCCCCATGGGCAATAACCATGGCACGGAAAATATCCTCGAACCTCTTTGCAACGCTGTGAAGACTTTGCTGGATCATAGCCGTCGAGTTAAGATCGACGATGCGGGAAAAAAACATCAAAGATACCTCTAGTCTTCGGGTAATTGTCTCGTCTGCAGCAGGCCTTTCAAGAATGTCGCAAATTTTTCCAAGGACCCCGGCTGCAAAGGATCCATTGAGACCGAATAAGGAGGAGTAGATCGTGCCCACATGCCTTGACAGAATCAACGAGCTCAAGACATTCACATGAGTGATAATCTCCAGAAAGGGCATAACCTGCGAGCCGAAGATGCGTTCTTTATTCTTGTTATCAAAGTTTTGTTGCAGCAGGATGAAGATGGTACGCAGACCTTGCTCTTCAGCGAGAGTTTGAATTACATTCTGCATAGAATCTGCATCGGTGTCAATAAGACGACGTGCTTTCACGAAAAACTGTTCAAGTTTTCCATCAAAGTCTCGAGTAAACTTGTGGCTCAGAACAGAATCCCTCTGCCACTCTTGAAGCTCTCTTTCTGCTTGTGAGAAGCGGTTTGTTTGGCGAGGCTGGTTCTGGCGGCGTGCGTTGTTGTTTTGTACGGGCACCTGGTCGTCTCTGAAGTGTCGAAATCTGCAGTTGAGCCTCCTGCAGCCGCCCGTCCGTTGGAACTCATAACAAATCCTTCTTACGTTAGCATGTATAGTTGTCAGCATGGAGAGATACGAACCCGTTTGAGGCCATGATGATGTTCTCTGAGTTTGTTGACGATTGCTCTGTGCTGAGACGAACAACTAAGGAGGAGGGTTGGACGAAAAGCCGATCAAAGTCGCGAAAGACGCGAACGAGAATGGGAAGATGGCGGAGATGGAGTAGATGAAGGATGGATTTAAGATGAGTGGGAATATGACAGGAGAGGAGATACGTAGGAAAGAGGAGGGGGGGGTGGTCAGGTAGTGAGAAGGTAATGCAAGAAGATGGAAACAAGTAAAGATAGAAGGAAGATGGGAAAGGTATGGGAAGGGAAGAAAGAATGGACATGAGGAAGAAGCAGGGTATCTATAGCGGAGGGAGAAAGGTACGAATAATCCGCAGCGCATCGAACGATCACTTCGCGGAACCGGCAGACTTTTACTTCATAGACAACACATCCTCAATAAGAGCAGGCATGCGTACGCGATTAGTACTGAAGGAATGATCAGATAAAATGTTTTCGATGCATGTTCCATGGTGGAACAGCACATCCCCAAACTCGACCTATGATTCGCAATACATGAACATTATATACACAACGTAATGAAAGAGGCAGCATGGACGAAAACAAACCCCGAGAGTAACTGAATAACCACATAATGCATGTTGTTTGGAATCCCCTGATCTGATCCAGCTACTCGGGATAGGGGATGTAATAGCAACCCGTGAGTGCAACAGGTATAACTTTTCCTATCACGGTCGATCTGCAGGGGGGCGGTGATTTTTTGGAAGGAAAATTTTTTCGAGTTCAGCATTTCCCCAAATCGCTTTTGGTGAACTCGCCAAAGTAGAAACGCCATGGATATCAACGGTAAAAATAAGTGACGGTCAGAAACATGGACCGGCATCCCCTCTGGAGGCTAGCTTGATTGCCGGCTGGCTGGCTTCAAGACTTTCATTTGCGGACAGCAAAGTCGACGTTACGACTGCGCATCAGATCCTTGCGCTCCTTCTCCTTAGCCTCGTCGAAGACAAGGAACTCGTGCAGACCACGGCCGGAAGGAACCATGGGCAGGACGGGGACCTTTCGGTCAGTGATGACCTCCAGAAGAGCAGGGCCATCCTGCTCGATCAGCCACTTCAGCTTAGCCTCGACCTCGGCGGGGTCGGAGACGCGGTCAGCGGCAACACGCATAGCCTTGGCGAGAGGGACGAAATCGGGGTTCTGCTGGTGAGTGTGAGAGTAACGGTCATCGTAGAACAGGTTTTGCCTGTGGTTGTGGTTAGCAGGCCGAGCTTCGAGTAATTAGAATATGGAAGGAACATACCATTGGGTGACCATGCCCTGCTCCTCGTTGTTCAGCAAAAGAACCTTGACGCCAATGCCGAACTGGGCAGCAGTGGACAGCTCGGTAAGAGTCATGTTAAAGGAAGCGTCACCATCAATGTCAATAACAAGGCAATCAGGGCGGGCGACCTTGGCGCCGATGGCAGCAGGAAGACCGAAGCCCATAGTACCAAGACCACCGGAGGTGATCATGGTACGGGGGTGGCGCCAGCGGAAGTGCTGGGCAGTCCACATCTGGTGCTGACCCACACCAGTGGTGATGATGGTCTTCTCCTTAATGTCCGCAGTAAGATCACTGAGCTTCTCAATGACGGTCTGGGGCTTGATAGGGCCACCCACTTCCTGGCGCTCATAGAGCGACAGAGGGAAGCGAGACTTCCAGTCGTTGATTTGCTCAAACCACTCAGGGCGTTCAGCCACAGGCTTAACATGGGGCAGGAGGAGACGGAGGTTGTCGGCGCAGTCACCCTCGACGGCCTCGGTGGCCTGAACAACCTTGTTGATATTCTTGGGCATGATCTCGAAGTGCACAATACCACCACGTCCCTCAGCGGCAGCCAACTTCGCTTGAGGAGCAAACTTGGGAATACTCAAGGTAACACGGTCGTCAAAACGGGCACCAACAGCAATGATCAGATCGGCCTCCTGCATAGCCATGTTGGCGTAAGCTGAGCCGTGCATACCAAGCATGTGGAGAGCCTTGGGGTCCAGCTCATCAAATCCACCAAGACCCTGGAGGGTGGTGGTGACAGGAATGCAGCACTTGTCGGCGAACTCCTTCAGAATCTCGGGGCCATCAGGACGAGCAAGCAGACCTTGACCAACGTAGAGGACGGGCTTCTCGGCCTGGTTGACGAGTTTGGCAACGCGGCTGATAGTGGTATCAAGGGACCGCTTGCTCATCTCACGAGCAGCCATAGTAGCCGCACTGGGGAGAGAGGGAATGGTGCTCTGCATGGGAATGGGGTTGCGGAGGATGCCGGCGGTGACATCCTTGGGCAGGTCGACCAGAACGGGTCCAGGGCGACCGCTGGTGGCGATCTCGAAAGCCTCCTGGATACGGCGAGGAAGCTCACCAACCGACTTGACCATCACGTTCCACTTGGTGCAGGCACGCGAGATACCGACAACATCAGCCTCCTGGAAGGCATCGGTACCAATGGCGCTAGTCACGACCTGGCCAGTGAACACCACCATGGGGATACCATCGGACATGGCATCTTGCATGGGAGTAATGACGTTTGTGGCTCCTGGTCCAGATGTGACCAGAACGACACCGGGCTTGCCTGATGCACGGGCGTAACCTTCAGCCATGTGGCCAGCACCTTGTTCATGCTTGGGGAGGATGAAGTCGAAGTGTTTGGAGTTGTAAATGGCGTCGAAAACGGGAAGAATGGCACCACCGGGGTAACCGACTGTACATGAATCAGTGACAGATCAAAATAGGGAATAAAGTTTTGTTACTCACAGACGTGCTTCACATCAAGACGCATCATCATCTCGTGGAAGATCTCACCACCGCTCATTCCAACCATACTGATTCAATGTCAGTCCGATGAACTTGATCCTATTGCACGCTGGGCATAAAAATTCAAAGCAACATACGAGTCATCAAGCTCAGGGAGCTGACGGTTCTGAAGAGGCGAAACCTCATTGCGATGGGGTTCTTGGTTGAAGGCAGGGCTAGGCACAGGGCGAGGGGTCCTGTCCAAATCATTAGTATCATTGACTCCTTTGCTCTGCTCCTTTGCTCTGCTGCTGCTGGAAGCAACACTTACGTGGTGGCCGTCGCGGTGCTCGAGGCACGCTTCTGAGGAGAAGAGCGGTGGGGCGCCGAAGCCACAAATGAAGTTGAGAATGGCCGGCGTCCAGAGGTAAGTTGCCTCTGGATGTGAATGGACCGCAGAGCGGTCTTTGATTGTCTGAGAGGCAGCATCTTAGACGACCAAGCCAGCAAACAAGATTGAAGGTGAGTCAAGAAAAGAGGCAATTGGCCCTTGCTAGTGAATCTTTGGGGGAATGAAAAAAGCACCCGACCGGTCTGACTCAATTTCGGCGTGTGTGATTGGCTGCGATCCCCATTTTGTTCTCCGCACCTCCGACCTCGGCGCGAATCGGCGCATCACATGATCTAACCGTTTTCGTGCTATTGTGGATGTTTATGCATGAAATGACTAAGGTACATAGATTTGGTCATGCGAGGAGACATATGCTGCAGCGAGATGCTACTAGCCTGGGAAATAATACGAGAAAATCGTGCAGTCGGATGAATTATTGTTATTTAATATGTAATCTATGTATATATCTTTCGAGCAACCTTGGACTCTGGGTACAGAGGATGCCTCGGTTCCAAGTTTGTAGCAAAATTGCTCAAGTGGGATCAATTAAGTATGGTGACCTCCACAGTAGGCCGATCCCTGTTATTAGCCGACGGGATATACGTATTTTCTTTTCCCCGAATCTGTCTGGGATACCGAACTGGGACGGAAAGCCGGGCCTCCGATCTCATCAATTCGGGCCGGGAATGACATCTGTACCATACCACTCCTTCCACATATCATAATGTACTCTGGTCAACTGTCCGTCCGACCTACCTAATGCTATTCCCCTGCCTAGATGGAACTGACTGCAATGGCTTCTAAGATTACGGAAAAACTGTTTCCGGAGGCGTAGACCTAAGTGGAATACTAATACACCCCGCCACCGCATATACATCTTCCTGGAAACTGGGCGCAAACCAAACCAAAATGGTATGGCGTTGCTGGACTGATGACAGCCTGGAAATATTCAGCCAATATGCACCAATGGGGGCGAACAAGGGAGATTGTGCGGGCCAGGGTCAACTGCGACCCCGCAAAGACTAACCACAATTGCGCTGTAAAGGGAAACCGGAGATGAACAGTGGACCGATTCCCCCACCAACATTCCAATTTACCCGGGGTTGGAACTGGGGCGTCATCTCCCCTCGCTTGCGGGTTTTTCTGACATTGCATTTAATTAATTGCTTTCCTCCTTAGTTTCACCTTTCCTGTATCTCTTTCTTCCCCTTTCTTAATCTCTTTGCCCCGCCATGTCGTCCCAGGAGCTTGTCCCGCAGACAGAATCTATCGCGGAGGTTTATGCCACCGACGATGCCTCCGTGACCTCAGTTGCGGCTGAACACCAGAAGCGCTTCTCGGGACTGATCTCTCAGTTCAATAAGCAATACAATCATCGCCCGGACTTTGTGGCCCGCAGCCCCGGTCGTGTAAACATTATCGGCGAGCACATCGACTACTCCCTCTACGATGTTCTACCCACCGCCGTTAGCGTCGACGTGATTATGGCCGTCAAGATCTCCCCCGGCAACTCTGGTACTACCATTAAGATTGCCAATGTTGCGCCGGAGAAGTTCCCTACACGCGAGTTCAACGTGCCTCATGATACAGACATTGAGATCGACCCTAAGAAGCACGAATGGATCAACTACTTCAAAGCTGGTTTGTCCGGTGCTTTGAAGTTTTTGCGCAAGGAGAGACCAGATGGCGCGGCTCCGGTCAGCATGGAAATTCTGGTCGACGGCAATGTGCCCCCCGGTGGTGGTATCTCGAGCAGTGCTGCCTTTGTTTGCGCCAGTGCTCTGGCCGTCATGAAGGCCAATAACCACAATGTGTCGAAGCAGGATCTGTTGGATTTGGCCGTCGTCTCCGAGCGTGCAGTCGGTGTATACTCCGGCGGGTAAGAAATGGCATACTAGTTGCTCATTGGAGAAGAACCATGCTAACAAGTCATGAAATGTGAACAGCATGGACCAGGCCGCTTCCATCTTCTCAAAGCGCGGATTTCTACTTTACACCCAATTCTACCCTGCCTTCCAGGTCGAGCACGTCCCCATCCCAACCGCAGCAGACGAAATTACCTTCCTCATGGCCCAGAGCTTCGTCACCTCAAACAAGGCCGACACCGCACCCCGCCACTACAACCTGCGCGTGGCAGAATGCACACTGTCCGCCGTAATCTTGGCCAAGAACTTCGGCCTCACACTGCCCAAGGATAACAGCTCCCTGGGCTACAGCCTGCGCAATTTCCAGAACCAGCTGATGACCAAGGAAGGCCGCTTAGGCGACCCCTTGGAGTACCAGATCGACTCCGTCATTCAGGCAGTGCAGGATCTATTCACCAAGGAAGAGGGATACACACGCGAGGAGATGGCCCAGCTTCTGGACATCACCGTCCCGGAGTTGGAGTCGAAGTTCTTGTCTGCCTTTCCCGTGCAAGCTGAGCGATTCCGTCTCCGCCAGCGGGCGCTGCACTGCTTCAAGGAGGCGCGCCGCGTGTTGGATTTCAAGGCTTGCCTGGCTAATGCTTCGAAGCTGGATGAGAAGCGCATTCATTACCTGGGTCAGTTGCTGAATGAGTCTCAGGATTCGTGTCGGGTCGATTATGAGTGCAGTGCTCCCGAGGTAGATGAGATTTGTGCCATTGCGCGGAAAGCGGGTACCTGGGGTAGTCGTTTGACTGGTGCTGGATGGGGTGGCTGTACAGTTCACATGTTGCCTCAGGGCAAGGTCGAGGCTGTAACAACAGCCTTGCGGAATGAGTACTACTTGAAGCACTTCCCTGATATCAGTGCCGAGAAGTTGGAGCAGGCTATGGTTATTAGCAAGCCGTCAAACGGATCGTTTGTGTAAGTTGTTCCTAATTTTCAACATTCAAGCGATTCTTTCATTACTAACTCTTGACTATAGGATTACTGGCGCTGCTATTGATCAGGTTGCTCTGTGAAATTACTGAATGTCATATTTTAATTAATAGTTCTTCCAGCTTGATGTGTGAAAATATAGATGTTCTGATGACCACCAAGTTTCCAAGGCCTAGAACCTTATAGAGTTCATGCCCAGTGGCACTGTAGATGGGCAAGACCTGTACAGCCAAAGGAACTGTGGTCGAGGATCTAAGATCCTTTGAGTAAATCATATGCTCGAAGCAGACGTTGCAGACGTTGCATCTCATATATGCCCTGGCCTGCTGTCGACCTCGGATACTGCCAAGACACTAGAGTTTGCAGCGTCTATACCCAAGCTGGACGGGATGAGGTCAGGCTTTGTTTCAATGACTATCGTCTTAGAGCCCACTGCGTTTTCTCAGCTGGGCCATGAGCTGTCGCAGCACGAAATTGAATTATATTTTGAATATGGCGTTCATGTTTTTTTCGCTGCAGCCTTTCCGAAGAAGTCACTCATTTTCTTCATGCCAGTAGTATTCACCTTCTTCAAATCACGAACGCCCCGAGACTCCGAAGCCTTAGCCTTCTTGTCTTCTTCATCCTTCTTGCGCTTCTTCTCCGCGCGAGCCTCGACTTCCTCGTCATCGAGACCACGTTTCCGACTGAAGTCAGACATTGTTCGAGACGAGTGAGCTTCAGCACGGAGTTCAACAAGCTCCTTGAGACGGTCCGTCAAAGGCTTGAAATCCAATGGGCTTTCGGGGGCAGCGAGAAGCTCGTCGATACGAGTGCGCAGAGCTTTCGGCAGGTACGATTCTTTCATGAATGCTAGGGCAGTAGAGATGCGTAGCAGGCGAGCAACATTCTCCGCAAATGAGCTCTCTTCACCAGCAGGCTGAGGCACAGGCGTCGACTCGCCCGCTGGCGTAGACACCGATGGGGTGGTAGTGGTTGTCATTGTTGATGGGGAGTCTTGTCTTTCATCTGAATTGGTGCTTGTTTCGCCATCAATTTCTTTCGCATTTGGGGTATGACTAGTAACAACGTCGTCTCTCTTGACCGACATCAGTGGAGCAGCCAATGCCTGGCGAATGAACCGCTCTTCTAAACTTAGAGGCAGGCCTTGTGTTGCCATCCGTTCAGCCTTAGCAATCAACTCCTTGAGAAGTTTTGTCTCGTTGAACCGGAGCATCTTCTCGTCGCCAGCCTCCACGGTATCGCAGATGGCCTCTGCGCGCGCGAGCAGGGTGTTGCGGAACTTGTCGTCGTAGAGAACATGGCGCAAGTGGGGAGGGAGGTCATCGTTGGAATCAATGATATCGTCCAGAGGCTGATAAAGTGATTGGCCTGACTTTGAGCAAGGAGAAAGAAGAGGGACCAAGAAGAAGACTGGGTCAATGGGTGTTGCGACGAGGAGGTCTGCTTTCTTGGAAATTGACCCAGTAGAGGGACTGGGCTTCTCAGTATCGGACACAGAAATCGGCTCCCGCGCACAAGGAGTAAATAGAATACTTCGAGGCTGGTGAGAAGGTGCAGCGACTACTGTGAATTCAAAAAGACCACGTTCAGGGCAAAAGAAATAACGGTTTAGCTCGGTCGATTGCGGATTTGGAAGGGAGACCAAGCGCGCGTCGGCACTGGTGGACGCAGGCAGGATGAATGTTTTGGTAGGTTTCTCAGCGGCAATTAAAGTCTTTTGTTCTGTAGACTTTGGCTGCTCGGCTGGAGCAGCAGATCGGGTTCGAGGCATTGTGTAAAGAGTGTAGTGTATAGAAGTGGCAGGAGCGAGAAATTAAAGGATAGAGGGAAATCGCGACACGCGCCGGGACGCGCCCAATCATGTGTCAGTCATGCATGTGTGATCCATCACTTCCACTCCTGCATCCCTAGCAATTTGTGTGGCTCATATTACACATTATTGTTCCGAGACTCTTTTTCTCCGTTTGACTTTGGAGTTCACTCCCAAAAATCGTTACTGCCAGACAGAAGGACATTGTGCGTTCAGCCGCGGCGAAAACGGCTGGTGCTGCGGGGAATGACGCTTATTGTCTACGGGCGTTGTTGACCGATTCTCCCTTGATTTAGGGACAAAAGTGAGTCTGATAACCCATGTGATCCAGTCTGTTGCTTACCAGTGCTTTTTGCAGTGGCCGAGACCAGTTGGCCGCCAAAATCACCTCGAGAAGCTCTGTTGAGCTCTCCGGGGGGCCGAAGGAAATACCAGGACATGCAGCGCCGACAGCTTCTCTCTTCACCTTTGAAACGCTCCAATACAACCCCGAATTTCCGGTCAAAAGCGAGCCAAGTTTTGGATGAAGATGAAGACGATGGGGAAGAGGACGAGGAGACGCTGGAATTGCGGCTCGCCGAGATCCAGGCTCGCCTTAAGCTGAAACAACTCCAAAAGTCCCGTGGTCGGTCTGGCACTGCCACATCCTACACAGAAGACGATGAAGATAGCTTTGAGTCGGCTTCGCGCTCTCAACGCAAGATCATGGCTCCAAGAAGCCCCCCGCCCAGCCAGCGAAAAGCCCGTATCGACGAGGTCCAGGTGCCCGTATCACCCACGAGACGCGCGGCGCCGGCTCCTGAGCCCTGGTCCCCTCGAAGGTATCAAATGGGCATCGATAAAGGATGGAAAGCAAGCGATGTGTCATTGAAACGGCCGCCAGGCCCAAGAATGGAGGCAAGGCCTACCAGTCAACTTGGAACGCGCAGCGGTGCAATGTCTCGCACAAGTGACATGTTCCCACCACGGCCTCAAACTTCTCCAGGCGGCGGGGGGACTAATCGAATCAAGAGCTTTAGTGAGCGGATGGCCGAGGGCCGAGTAGCTGAACGGGCTGAACAATCTCGCCTGGAAAAAAAGGAAAGAGTGCAAGCAAGCCGCAGCTCAGCTTTTCAGGTGGATAAAGCAGAAATCGAGACTTTCAGGGCTGCAGCTTCGCATGAAGCCCAGTCATCACTGCCTTCATTTACGAGCCGAGAACCAGAATCATACGCATTCAATCGTGAGGAGATTCTTCGATCACTTAGCCGCCCACAACCTGGTGGGCTGAAACGCAGCCACACGACCCCGAATATGAGGGAAGACAATGCCAGAAGATCCGAGGACGTCGATTCAGCAGGAAGTGCCCCAGATGCCTCCAAATTTGAACCCTACTCATCGTTGCATCTGTCGAGCCGAATTTTGCCCCATTCATTCTTAAGCCGCACTTTGGCCGATAAAACTGTGCTCTGCATACCCGATCTTCTAAAAACTATCAAGGCCCCTGCATTTGAACTTCCAGATGAAATCGACGGGGACTTTGTGGTGTTCGGGATTGTTGCATCCAAATCGGAACCCAGGCAAAAGAAGACAGCTGATAATGCCACATCGAAATCAGTGGATCCTAACGATGATGGCCTCAACAATACCAGCAGATACATGGTTATTACTTTGACTGACCTCAAGTGGACGGTTGACCTGTTACTGTTCGATACTGCATTCCCTCGCTACTACAAGATCAACGAAGGAACTCTCGTGGCAATTTTGAACCCTAATATCTTACCTCCTCCAAAGCACAAGCTTGATACCCAACGATTTAGCCTGTCCCTTTCGTCGTCAGACGACAAAATACTGGAGATTGGAAAAGCGCGGGACATTGGCTACTGCAAATCTATGACAAAAGCTGGCAAAGTTTGCCAGTCGTGGGTAGACGGAAGGAAAACCGAATTCTGCGACTTTCACGTTGATCTCCAAGTGCGGCGCACTCAAGGGCAGCGCTCCGGGGTCAACGGCGATACAGGCATGTTTGGCCCTGGCGGTCGATCTGGCTCGCGAACTGGGTTTTACGAGGAACGTCGCAAAGGTAGTAGACTAGTGGAAAAAGAGGAAAGACCTCGAGGGCTCAAACCGGAAGGTGGTCAATATGACAGGATGTCTGGGTCAACATACTACGTGGCACCGGCTTCAAGGAATCGCAATGTCGTTCATTCCTACGATCCTATGGCTGCTAGACGTGGAACAGCAGCTTTACTTGATGCTAATGATGACCCCTTCATCGCGGCGGGCCTGATGGGAAGAGGCAGGGAGAGCAAGGAAGAACAGATGCGCAGACGTCTTGCAACGCAGCAACGCGAGCGCAATATCACACAGAAGCTTGTCTCTGGTCAAATTGGCGGCGTGGGCGCCGAGTATCTTCGCACGCGCACTGAAACACCGTCCAAGGCCAAGGACGATACTAAGACGTCTGGCAAATCCAGTACACCAGTGGCCCTTCCTTCGAGCAGCAATGACTTCAATCTGGCTAGTTTCGGCAGGGCAAGAAACGTCAAGTTGGGCCCTATGAAGCGCGCCCATGACGGTGATAAGCCTCATGGCAGCGGTGTCAAAAAGACACGATTTATTACCTCCAAGGGCATCCGAGAAGCTGGTCGAGACAGTCTTGGTGGACCGGAGGCAAGGACCATCTCAGATGGTGATGACGATGAACTGGAGTTCGTCTGATTATGTGTATATAGTCGGATCGATCAACCTATCTTGTATGCTACATGTACCATTTCCTGGCCTTCGAGGCAAAGATGTGTGCCATAATGCTGTTATGAACCAAAAAGGAACAGTTAACAAACACATTATCAGACTTGCCAGCTGGCTCTCTACACGGATATGGATACTCAATAAGCGAACATCGTAAAACCTGACAACTCTACAGAAGAAAAAGAGATAATCCATGTTGGAAAATTTTCATTCTATGAGATGATATGCGGATAAGCCACATTGACTAGTTCTTAGATAAAGAACGGGAGGGAATAAGGTCTGCAAGCCAAAGGAGAGACAGACTTGCAAAATAGATAAAAATCAAACAAACGCGTCCGTAAACAAGACTCTGAACACCTTAACCCATTCCGAGAGAAAAAAACAACGCTAGATACCTTGGTATTCCCATTCCCTAGTTCCAGATCCACGCGCCACAGGTGAAAAACAAAGCAAAATAAAAGATAAAGCCCAATGCTGGTGGGTCAGATAAGTCATGAAAGGCGGGGTAAGCAAATTAGATCATGAAGATCATGAAAGAAAAGAAAAAAGGCATGTGCAACCGTGAAGAAGATGGATGTGCAAGTACAGCAAGAAGAATGCTCAAATGTGCTTGGTGACCGTCAAAAGTCTAGAGCGGTTGAACCACGACGCAGGAAAAGAAACCGGTGAGAACATGGGCGCTCAAACAATCCATATTTCGCTGGAAAGCATCATAACAGATTGCATGGAACAAAATCAAATGCAATAGAGGACTTATGCACTTTGGGTGTGGCGGGTGGTAGCACGGGTTCTCTTGGGACCTGGGAGGGACCCGGGGACATCTTCAGCCTCACGCTTCAGAGGAGTGGATTCAGCCTCACGTTTCGTAGGAGTGACAGGAGACTGTTCATCAGCACCCTTCTTGCGCAGCCAGTTGTGGAAGGGAGTGCGGGGTTGCTTTGAACCAGCTCCCTTTGCACAAGGAGATACATCAGTATCCACATGACGGCGTGCCTGAGAGCGCAATTTGCGCATAGCTTTAGGCGACGGAGGGACCTCAGGTGGCGGAGAGGTGATACCATGCAGCTTGGGATCACTCTCCATAACATCCTCATCGTCAGTCGCTTCATCTTCAGCGGTTGACTCCTCAACAGGCTTCGCTTGAGCCTTTTCTTTAGGGGGAACCGGAAGACCATCGTCAGTCCAAAGCCGGCGAGGTACAACATTTTTGCGGCGGAGTGGCCTCAGATTATGCAGTACAGAAGGGTCAGGCAGCAAGTGCTCACGACCAGCGAACAGGCCCAGATCATTGGGATCATCCTCTTCGTCCTCATCGTCAACATCATCAAAGTGCTTGGTGACTTTTTTACCACGGCTGTGAGGAAAAGTTAGCGTGGCTCGTGATTACTAGTGGGATGAGAGTACTCACAAGTTGTATGTTATTTCGTCATCTCGGCCAAGACGAAGTAACTCGTGAGTGGGACAGGTCATAGGGTCAATAACACCGTGAGACTCATCACTGGCAGGCTCAGAAGGCCCATTGTAGAACGGGTTTCGCGGGGTTGTCGGGGGCTTAGGGATACGGTCCCGCGAGTCAGTGTAGATTTGAATACTCTGAGGGCCCGGGGACGCGTCCTCAACGTCGATGGAAAATCGACCCTTCGGCTTTACCATCTTGGCGGTTGGAAATAAGGTGCGAGCAGTTGATGAAAGGTTAGATGTGATGTTCTTCTTTGACGGTGTCTTCGCAGGTGTTGGAAGTGCGTGTGATTCAGAAACGCGCCCCGAAGTTGGAAGATTAGAAAGCTGGGTGTTGACAGGATGGTGGTGGTAATTAGCGCAGCTAGCGTGGGAGCCTCGCTCGGCGTCCCTTGACTTTGGGAAACTGCCTGGCGGTGATATGGTTGCATCTTCCGCCTTTCCGTACTTTCTTGGTGACGCCTTTGATCGGCCTTTGCTGGGTGAACTTGGGCAAATTGGCGGAGTTGTCTCCTTCAATCTTGAAGCGCGCTGATCTGCTAATCTAGCTGAGGATCGGGTGGGATATGGCTCGAATGTGTCATATCCAGCACCATGACGCGGTGCAGCCGGAATCCGCAAAGCTGATGGTGACGGTGGGGGCGGGGTGGTCGCCATAGCGATTGTATGTTTCCTTTTGTTTCGTATCGCACTTTTAATCGAATGTATACCGGTCACAGGGCCCGGTGCAATCGTGATTGTCGATTGACCCGGATCGTGAATTGATGCTGTAGTCGACTTGAATCAAGGGCGAGGCGCAAATTCGTCCACACTTCAGGATATGAGTTTTCGTAATGTGTAAATGTTTTCGAAAGAGCGATGTATCAGCGTCGATGTATTTTCTTCTACAAAATCAATGAACGCGACAAGCGATAGAAGTGGTGATGCAGATGAAGAGAATCAAGGGCGAGGGCCTAAAGAAAGGGCGCATGTTTGGACTCCCAGCCACCTCTGTGTCACCGCCCCGACCACCGTCACCGCCTACGGTTTTGGGCCGTTACAATTAAAGGCCCCGCGATTATTCTTGTTCCATGGATCTGCACTGTTGATACTCTGCCCGATCAGGCCGGCCTAAACTCTACGTCGATTGAGGGGCTATAGGGGTCGTTTTCTTTCGCCTTCCAATCCACACGAATAAGTCACCATCATTCCACAATGGCTCGAAGCACCGCCGAGGAAATGGACAGGCTTCAACTTTCAGATGAGGATACTGAAGATCTCTGGGACTCTCCCTCGAAACGAGGAACACACAAGAAGTTCAATCCTCGATCTCCAGACGAAATACCAGCACCAGAACCCCGGCAGCCCCGTGATGGCGGTGATACATTGTTTGATCGCCAGGAGGCACGAGAAGCAGCCCTACACAACGAATTACAAACTGTCCGCAAAATCAACGAAGTGATTGAAGGTCTTCTGGGTAGCATTGACCGTGCTAAGGGGAATATGGACGTGAGTTTACTATTTTATCATACGGGAACAACTGATTCTTATTCTACAGACTGTATCGAGAACCGTTACATCTGCATCGACTCTCCTCAATACATGGACCCGAATTCTGTCACAAACCGAACACAACCAACGCCTGATCCTCAACCGGAATTGGCACGGTGCCACCCAAGATGTGGCCGAATTGGAGACCGAAGAAACTCAGAGAAGGCAAGCGGCAGAGCGGCGGGAGCAGGCACTTCTACAGCAACGAGAAGCAGCAGCCCGGAAGGCAGAGGAGGAAGCGCAACGACGAGCACTGAGCACAAGAGGCGCACGAGGGACTAGTCGGGGCACCGTGCGCAGTACTGGCCTGGGCAGAACACCTAGCGTGAGCACCAGTCGAACCGGAGCGACGCGGGGAGCATCAACAACCACAACTCGGCGACCAATCAGTGGGATTGCGCGTGGTGGAACAACAACCCGAGGAAGAGCGGCCAAGCCTTGAAATATGTGAACCGATTTTTTTTTCTTTGTATATGATACTTGAAACTCATAGAGATCAATGTGCCCAATGAAATAATGATACCCCAAAGCTTCCGCATATTGTAAGCGCCTGAGGCCAAAACATAAACGCGCGGACACGCGACCTGATAACGATAAGGAGCTTTAAGTTTCCCCGGTTGATCTCCCCATAGCTCTCCTCCTCACCATTCAAAGAAAATGAACTTCGCGCCCTATCAAGACGAATCCCCCGAGATCGAGCGGGCACTGTCCCCTCCACACCCAGATACCCGCATCAAGTCTCCGAACCTCCGGTCGCCCAGAGCCTCTGCCGACCTTCCGTCTCCAAGCCACTTCGGAGGCGGACATGGCAACACTGGCTTTGGACGAGATGTTGAGGGGGGCCATGTGAGCCTAGGGGCATTTGAAACAAGCCTTCCAATCCGCATGGATATTGAAGCTGCGCTGGCGTATTTGCTTCTGCCTCCGGCTGGAGGTGTGTTCTTGTTGTTGGCCGAGCACAAGAGCGATTACGTGCGGTAAGTACCGATAACGGTCTTCTCAGAGATAAGCTAACATTATCTACTTCAGGTTTCATGCCTGGCAATCTAGCATGCTTTTTGCCGTCCTCTTCGTGAGTATTGAGTCTTCCTTCCGGTTGAATCTCATCTGACTGAAAGTATAGATAATCCATCTCCTATTTTCCTGGTCCTCGTTTCTGTCGTGGACTTTGTTTATTATCGACCTCGCCTTGATGGGCTTTCTCAGCATGCGAGCCTACCGTGACGGTAAGTCTACGCTGCCTTTCCACATAAATTATATACTCATCGGTTCATAGTGGACACTTTGGACCACTTCGAAGTCCCTTATTTTGGTCGCCTGGCCAATTCCTTTGTCGATGATGAATGAGTTCTATCAGCCATGATGTACATAAGCTTTGCGTATACTTGTAATATTTGCTAAGAGGGCGTGTGTTCTTTTCCCCATATACCCCTGCTGTTGGTCATTGTGTTTCTGTCTTTCTAGTTCGGCAAGTTGCCTTCTGAGATGATTCTCGTAAATACGACGAATATTCTTACAAATTTTAGGCTTCAATAATGCGAATATTTGTCCGCCGAGTTATTCTGTGCATATTCGAAGTCAAAAAGGTACTACCTGTAGATCTTCGTTCCAAGTCCCCTTATCACATGTTCGGCTTTATCATCTAGATTCAACAAAGCCGGCAAAGAAAGCACCGATGCTCGCTGTATCATCCAACGTAGTGGCATAATCTAGAATACCCTCTGGCCGGAGAACCACAATAGCACCCTGAGTAGTGGATACTGCATATCTCCCGTGAGCGGCATATTCTGAAACAAAGTAAACCTTCCCAATTCGAGGTGTTCCAAAACAACAGTTACCCCCGCCAAAACTTCCAGCAATCAAGGTAAGGAAGCGAACCATTTCCTTGGGCAGGGTGGTTTGAAGTTCAAGTAATCCTGCAACCGCTAAAGTCAGGTGCTCCTTTGTGAAAGAAGGCTGTCCGGCAAAAACAATAATAGACCATTGACCAGTGTTTTAGTAAATTGATAGAGTCGGGCGGGAACCCGAGATCCAGAGGCCATGAGTAGCGAATCAGGACCCCTATGCCCAGCTGAAACCATGCCTGTCAGAGGGTACTTGTTGAACGTATTCTCTTGGTAGCTGACACCCAGTCCAATGTTAAGAAGCATCGAGTCCGATGTAATCTTAGTCCATAGTCCATTGGCGTTGAGAGATAATCCTTTGTACTCTTCTGAAATAGTGCCGGAGACAGCTGCGGAGACCGTCTTGTTGAGTTTTGTGAGATACTGTGCAGCTGTTCGACGCTCATCCTCGTACGTCTGGAGGGCATCAGATGCATTCCATCCTTTGATCACGCCGCCTACTTTCCAGGCAAGGTTCACGGTGTCGTGGACACCTGTATTCATTCCTTGAGTGCCGGTAGAGGAGTGTATGTGACACGCATCACCCGCTAGCAAAACTCGATCTTTGTCAAGTTGGTATCTGCTAACTGCTGATTGACACTACAAAGCAATCAGCTTGTGGGTGATAAGCTTATGTAGAATATCCTCACTTATACAGGGTCCACCATTCAACTTTCTCGATTTAGGGAGTAAACGATCCCATTGCTTTGACAGCCTCCGCTACGGCCTGTTCCTCTTTCAAGAAAAAAACCATATCTGGCTAGCATCTCTGGTGTCGCTGCGAACCCAATTCGCTTGACCCCGTGATCCAGTTGAGCCCAAAGAACGTTCCCGTGACTCTTGGACTCAATAGAGGCGAATCCCACGTTATTGTAGGCATATTCGTGTTGAAATCGCCATCAATGCGGATAATGTTCCTGCTTCCAAGGTTCCAGGTACGTCGGGCCAATTTTCCTCGGCTTCTTTTTCCTTTCTTCTTTTTTCTTTTTCTCCATGTCTAGTACAAAGTCATACATCTGAATTGAAAAGCAATTGCGACCTAGCTTGAGGAGTAATTATGATGTTCTCATTTAGGTCGTCCCCAAGTATGGGTCAATATATATTTCAAAATCTTTCACAATGCGATGTCAATAGGCATGCAAGAATGTCATCGTAAATAACTTCCAGAATTGAATTATGATTTAGTTCACTAGCCATCAGATCTAGTGCAAAGTCTCAGCCTCCTGACAGCTGATCGGCCCATGCTGGTAGTTAAGACGGGTGGTGGTGTTGTAGTTCCACCAGAAGTCAAGGAACTGCGGGTAAGACTTGGGAACCTTGCAAGACGTTAAGTAGTTAGGCAGGCTCTTCTTCAGAATGGAGGTGTAGTCAGCCAGAGGACAAGAGTATCCAGGGCCAGACTGGCATTTGTTGAATGGCACAACAGCTTCATTGAGGACCAGGCGAACGTAGATTCCCTTGCTGGACATAGCGGTGGCGTTGCAGCTGAGACGCTCGATTGTGAGGTGGCCGCCCATAGGAACGATGTCGGTGGCGACGTAAGGGTTTCCAAAGGGAATGCGATCCAGAGGCAGATCCTCAGTGGGGAGGAGGATTCCCAAGGCAGCGACGATTGGGGTGATATCGGTGTCGTGGGCGCTGTCTAGGTTAGCATGAAGCTCAATGAAATTGTGAAGAACGGATCAGAGCATACAAGTTGAAGAATATAGGACCTGCTTTCTCCGGACCTTCGTTGAGGAGACTGAGACTTGCGTTGACGTAGACAGCTCCAACGGCAGCCATGTTCTTGTCACCGGGTCTTTCATTGAAAAGTCAGTATGTCGTTCTGATCATCAAATCTTCTGGCGCAACTTACCCGGCACAGTAGTAGTAGTATAGGTCATTCAAGTAGCCAAACGTGACCCATTCATCCTGAGTAAAGACATTGACCCACTGAGAAAATGCACGTGCATTGAGCTCGAAGGAAGCCATAGCTAAGCAACGAGTTAGTAGAATTCCTTTTGAAATACGGCTCGACTACTTACCCATCAAGTTATAAATATCAGACTCGGTGAGATTGAGACCAGAGTTTTGGGAATTCAGACGAGCGGCGGCAAGCTTGAATTGGGGCATAATAGACGGCACCTTGTCACAGGTCGAGGTATCATTGTCAGTGTCACAAGTAGGAGTGAGACTGTTTGCACCCATAACAGCAGACTCGGAAATAATGTTGAGAGCAGCATTGGTCGTGTAGTTGTACCCGAAGAAGCCCTCACCAAATTTGCGAGCAGTGTTGATTACACGACTGTAGCCACTGCTGAAAATAGGAACGACCGACTCGTCATTCCAAAGGTCACCATAGCGATCTCGATACTCTGTACCATGCTGGTACGCGTCTGACAACCCTGCGTACGGGCCGCTGTAGGTCTCGGCGTTGTACCAGCACTTATTGGGGACAAAGTACTCCCAATCATCGAGGAAGGCCAGGTCATCCTTCCATTCTGTGATACCAGCACCGTAGACCTTGGCTAGAGAGGCTTCAATATCTACACCCATCGATGGTGAAGGATACCGTTCACCGTGTCGCTTGATCATGATCACTTGGTCGACTACACAGCTCTCTGGCGGGTCACGAGAAATACCGTAAGAGCGTCTCTCTGAGTAAGGGCCATTGCCACCGTGGAACTTCAGAATGTTGTAATTCTCCGGGAACTCTTGCGAGAATTGTTTCTCTGAAGCCGAGCCCATGACCGAGTCACCGAGCTTGACTGCAGTAACAGCAGATGAGAGGGCCAGGGCACAGACAACGCCTGAGATTGTAGAAGAAGGCATGATGACAATTAAGCCCGACAAAGGACAAGGAAATGGGGAAGAAGGAAGAGTGTCTGCTTTGTTCTCCTCTACAGGAATCGACGCAAGGGATAACACGACCTTTATAGTGCTGTTCCTGCATAGAAACTGGGAATCACTACCCTATTACGACGACACTATCTTGAACGACCCATGCATAAAGGTCAGTTTCCCGGGCCCAATTTTTTGGTAATTTAAACTCCTTTGAACGAATCACATCAGACTAGACCAGGGGTTCTATGTACTGGAATTGAACATTGTACGCTTATACGGCAAGTGGGTCGATCAAAGCTGTCAAGGTACATCCATCGAGGGAACAACATCCGACATTGCGGATGAGATAAATCCCGAGGCAAAAATGACTCAATTGATCTCATAGAGAATGAATTGAGCTGCCCACGTGCCCTCATCTCGAGAGGAGGCTTCAGGTGAATCTTAGGGCTGAGTGATTTAGCAGACACAGCCGTGCATCCCAAAGAAGCAATGAAGCACGCACATCCAATTACACAAGGCCCACACTGATATACAAGAGCGTACAGTAAGAATCGTTTCCAGGGGAGCGTGTGTATACAAGTTGTTTTGATTCGTCCAAATGCAGCTTATCTAGTAGCGTCAAGCGGGGTAAATGTGGGTCCTATACATGAAGCTCGTCGTATGTACTCTCGCTACCAACGGGCGTGGCCTCATCAAGCTTTTTAGTTCACAGCTTGGCTTAAGCCATGGCGTAAGCTCTTGAAAGAGTAATAAGAGGACCAATCGGTTGCTCAGGATGCTCAAGGGCCTGGAGAAGCATTATGTCGTACGATAGATCTGCCGGGTTGCCGAAGTAATTTCGCCTAATGAATTAGACTAGGGCATGATTAAGTTCTGTGCCGCCGAAATAGCTCCGGTCCTCCAACTGAGTTGAATACCAATGTTACCATACTCAGACATTAGTTTACACCGATTCAGTTGCGCTAAGCGCTCTTCGGTTTACTTTTCTCGGATCATCGACATGCTAGGTTCTTAACCCCAACGTGCATTGGTTAGTAAACTTCTCGTAACAAGATATTGAGCGTGGGGGCGGAGATAGCCGCCCTTTACGAACTTGGCATTACGTTGAGGATAAGGTAAAGTCATAGAATGGCAATGATCTCCATCGTTCTGAAGATTGATTTTGAAAGAAGTGAACCAGGCATTGTACATATGCGTATGTCAGGTATCAATAGTATCGAAAACGCATAATGACTTCGCAATCAATAATAAATCACACCATCTCCATACAAAGTCGATCCGACAACAGGCTCCTTGACAATTCCTGCCTCAACTAGCTCATTGACCAGATTGAAGATCATAAGATCACAGCCGTGCGGGGCGATGAAATCAATCGCCACGGGCAGATATTCCTCCTTGAGCGTGACGGTAGAGTTATATAGTGCTTGACCGACTATTTTATCCGCGGGATTAGTATGCTTATGCTATCTCAATTTCTTTGATAACACTCACTTGGAACAACCATGTCAGGTACACCAGCAAAGTTGGCAATGCGAGAGGATGCAAATCCAGTGGGAATACCGGGCAGACTAAAAGCAACTGGTTAGTAACCTATCTTTATCCTTGAACAACAAGCACAAGATAATACATACCTCCGATAGACATTGCGGTACGTTGGCGTTGCTGCAGTCCCAACATACAAAATGAGGCTGTCAGAACAGGTCTTCTCATCAAATACCTGGGCAGTACTATTCCACCAACGAGTAAAGATATCTTTGTGCAGAATTTCCTCATCCAGCTGCGACTCTGGGTACTCCAATCCAAATCCCCAACGGGAGAGGGGAACTGGGTCAATGAAAGGCTTCCGTCCTCCATTTGCAGCCTCATACTTCTCATACAATGGCGCAGCAACAAGTGAATACTGCTGCTTCGAGATCAAAATGGGGTAAGTGAGATTCAACAAACTCTCAAGAGTTTCATTCGCAGAAACAGTCGAAGGCTTAGTAGCCTCCCACAACTCATCATAATCGAACGTCGAAACATTAGCACCGCCCAAGTATGCTGCTAAGCTGTCCACAAAACCAAGCAAAACTGCATCGGCTGCAGTATCAGCGCTAGTAGGGAATTGAATGGTCTTGATACTCTTCGGATACTTCGTGTAGGAAATCAAGCCGGCATCTTTGTACAAGACCTCAGAGGCAGCCCTCCATAATTTTGCATCTCTCGTCAAAAAGCCCGCAGTATCCAGCAGCGGAGACATGGGCATCACATCATCTAATGAGACAAGATCCCACGACGGCCGATTACCGAAACATCCATTCACCTGTGACGGGTTACGGATTGAACCTCCTGTATCACTGCCAATTGCTAGGTCCAGCCAGTCATAGGCTCCGATTCCAGAGCCAGGGCCGGATGAAGATGAACTGGGATCTTGATACCCGTCTCCACGGGCATTGAAGGGGGAGTGATAATCGACCCAGTCATCTGTAGCTGTTTCACCGTTGGCGAATTGACTCGTCTTCATCTTTCCAACTATTACGGCCCCCGCGTCAATGAGAGATTGGATTGCGGGTCCCGTGGTATTGGCCTCTGGGTAAATGTCGAAGTAGGCGCGGTTACCACAGCCAGTTTTAACACCTTTGATATCGTAGAGATCTTTGACTCCAAGGCGAACCTGTGTGAGAATTAGTATTCTATCTTAAAATTGAAACCAATAGAAATATAGAAGGGGATTACATACACCTGCCAAAGGCTTTTCGGTCGTCTTTGTGAAGTACAACCTCGATGGAACACCGATTGTCAACGAGGCATAACCGGGCAGGCTCGCTGACAAGACATCGTACTCATCGTCACCAACTGCGATTAAGCCCTGAGTGAAAGAGCCCATCGTATCCGAATACAGCAGATAGGCTTCAAAGACCTCTCCGCTGGACGGGTTAAAGAAATAGGGACCTGCAGGCAGGCTCGTTGAAGACGATAGCTTCATGGACGCCTTGGTATCATACGCGGATGCGAATCCAAGGAACTTATTTCCCCAAGAAGAGGGTGTTGATACACTCTCAGATGGTTTTTTGTGGGTACCATTGTACTCAACGTAGATATACTCAAGGAATCCAGTGTTGAAAACATCATCCATAGATTCATAATTTTCTACCAATGACTCGATGATAGAGCTTGTGAGCTTCAACGTATCAGACCGAATCACTGTGAGAGGCTGCAAGCCATTGGTCTTGCTGACTTGAGCCCCAGCAGCGGTCTTGAGTGTCGCTACAGCTGTCGGAGGGGCGTAGTAGGTCTTGCCATTAAATTCGATAGTTTGACCTTTGAGGTTGATTGTTGCGATGGCATTGATGGAGAGAGATAGGAGGAGAGACAGCAATCCTGGCAGACCAAATGTTTTGGAGGAGACCATGGTGACCCCAATGTCTTAGGACTTCTTTGAAAGTAAGAAACAGACCCAGACCAAGATTGTCTTCTCAGTCACAACGTGACTATATATAGCGGCTACTCCGGATGCTTAGATGCCCGATTTACTGATAAGATATCTTGTTTGATGCTGATATCTCGGCTGATGGTGAGACGGGTTACAAGAGAAAGATAAGAAAGCGAGATTAATCATGAAGTTCTACTAATCACAATGCGGGCACATTGAGAGGGGCTTAGTTGCATCCATAGTTGGGGTAGGTCTTCCCGAATCAGGACTAGTGCCAGGTCCCTTATCTTGATTGAATTTCGGCATTCAACGGACATCCGAAATGGGATTTGGAGTCATTTGAATGAATCCTTCGGCTAATTAAGCGATGCGGGGGAAATGATTCAGGATTCTTCAGAGGTCTGTGTGTTGTATAATCCCAGGTACCGATAAGCAGATTAAGTTATCTTGTGCTGCATCTCCAGGTACCATTCGAATCAGCACGTGTCAAGATCAGCCATGCACTGGATCAGATAAGAATTACAATGCACAAGTCTACGGAACTTTATGTGTATAAGTTTTTGATTCAAGTAACTAGCCATCAATTACATAAAAATCATAAAGTCCTCCATCCGAAATACCAACAAGCGCTGAAAAAATAGTAGATTGTGAAGGATTAGAGAGAGAAAAAGAAAAAATCAACATCAACCATGAAATCCGCAGAAATGTACATGGTCCAGATCGTTCCTCATGCAATTTGGCTCGGACAGATCTCATATCCCATGAAACGCAAAACAGAAAACCCAGAGAATGTACCAGCGCGGAGATATCAAAAATAGACAAGACACGCTAAGTATTCCAGGTAAAACAATAAATCAAGAACAAAGTCAAAGTGTTGCACGTTGCCAAGCCGGAGTAATTGTGCAGGCAAGACTGATCAAAGATAGTGAAATAAGGACTGTAAATGTGCAAAGGGGATTGAAGAAAGCATGGTATCTACGTGAAAGCGTGAGCAAAACAAAAAAAGAGATCGCCGTCAGGACAGGTGCTTGTCAGGATCGTGGCGGGTCGTAAAAAGTGGGGAGCCTGTCAGATCTAGATGATCTGCAGGTAGTTGCTCGGAACCAAGCCAGGGTGCCCACGGCCATTGGTGACTTCGGCTTCCCACCACCCATCATCCTGAAGACGAATGACAGACAGGACATCACCCTTAGAGAAGCCGAGCTCCTCAGGGATTGCGGGAGTGTAAGTGTACATTGACCGAGCTAGAAGAAAGTTAGTAAGACTTCTATGCACCGAAAAAAGGAATTGAATTCTTACCGAAATGCAGGATTGGACGCCCATCGCGGCTGAACTTTCGGCCGGGATCGGCAACAGCAACAGTGCGGCTTCTGGAGCGACCGACAGGCGGGGCACCGTTGTTTCCACCGTAGTATGACCGGGGACGACCATCGCCTCGAGTAGAGCCACCATATTGGCTGCCGCTTCCGTACATGTCTTCTTGACCAGCAGAGAGCTGCAGCTCCATGCCCCCAGCGCTGGATGGACGGACCTGCTGTCTGAACTGGGGCTGAGGAGAAACGGCACGGTGCGACGAAGCAGCCGGGGAAGCCGCCCTTCGAGCGTAATCGTTCGGAGAGTATGGTGGTTGTTCTTGTGCTCGGCGCGGAGTCGGCGACGCACTGTAGCGGCTACGAGCGCTGCCGGATTGATAAGTGCTTGGACTTGGGCTATTACCACCACCACCGTATCCTGTGCGAGGGTCGACCCGGGGAGAAACCTGGGGGCTAGCACTGCGCCTTGGAGCAGGCGACCTCGCCCGAGGTGCCTCCTGAGGTTTCGCCGTCTCCCTGGGCGCCATGGCCGGGTTGTTGCTTCCACCTCGAAGCATGCTTGCAGTCTGGCCGGTGTAGCGTTGAGTCGTCTTTTGCATCTGCTTTGCCGTGAATGCCGGCTCGGGGGCGCCGAGTCGCTTCACGTTAGGGTCATATGCAGGTGGCGCAGCAGCAGCGTTGTTTCCGCCATACGTAGAGGAAGGTGCTGAAGGAGTTGGGGTTGAAATTCCATGGTAACGATCGGCCGATACGCGCAGGCTAGGCTGTTTACCACCGGTTGTCTTCAGGTCTGCCAGAGCGCGGGCAATAGGATCCGAATCATCTTCATTTGCAGTCGCCGCCTGGGATCCTGTCTTAGAAGCATTCTTGTCAGGTGAAGCGACATCAAAAACGTTGTTGCCAACATTAAGCTGGAAGTTGGCCCGAGGATCGACAGGCTCGGGACTGCCAGAGGGACGTTCGGGTTGCATGGCCGCTGGTGACGCGGTCTTGGTTGGGGTGGATTGCTTAGTGGGCGAGCTCCAGGGGCTCCGCGAAGTGGATGTAGCAGCGATAGCCGGTCTCTCCTTATCGTGACGGCTCTTTCGGCGGAACGGACTGTTACTAAAGAATGCGCTCTTCTTCTTGGAGCTCTTGTCATCCTGAGCACCTGCTGGTGGCGCGTTGTTGATGGGCTTTGGAGAGGATTGCAACTTCATGACACTGGGAAGTGGTGGTGCCGCTTTCTGAACTGGAGCCGGGGCGGCTTCGACACTGGACATGGATGTGGGATTCGACACATCGCTTTGAGAATCCCGACTGGATGGTCTGTATGGGCTGGCAGCCGAGCTGCGCTCTGAAGGTGGGCCGGTACGACAGAACATGGTCATGCCGTCAGTAGGGTATGCATTGTGCGGTACAGCATTGATAGCACCGTGCTGCTCAGGATTGTAGTTTGGTGGCGGCTGTCCACCACGACGAAGGTCAAGTGGAGCAGGCTGCTGGGGCATGGCATACATGGGTGATTGCTGCGGGGGCAGGCGCTGAAGGGGTGATTCCGGCTGCATGTTTTGGGGAGGTGGTTGCTGTTGAGGCATCCGCTGGATAAGTGGTTCTTGCTGGATGCTCTGAGGCAGCGGCTGCTGGGGCATGCGCTGAAGAGGTCGTTCTTGCTGAATGCTTTGAGGAGGAGGCTGCTGAGGCATACGCTGGAGAGGTGGCTCTGGCTGAATGCTTTGTGGCGGCGCCTGCTGTGGCATACGTTGGACGGGGGGTTCTTGCATCATACTCTGGGGAGCTTGCTGTGGCACACTAGCCGCAGGAGGGGCGGGGTGGCCTAATTGAGCTGCAAGCTCGGACTCTGGATCGTGATGGGACTCGTAAGTCGACGGCTGTGGTGAAGACGTCCGGAATGCAGGGTTCATGGTTCGCTGGAATTGCGCCACGGAGTAACCCTCCCCAGAGTCGACTTCAGATACTGTATCTTCTTCTTCTTTGCAGAAGTTAATGAAGCGAGGGGGGTCCGGAATCTCTTGACCGGTTCCTCGTTCCTGGATGAAACTGAAAATGTCCTTCTCTACCTCGCAGTTCTCCAGAGACAACCGGATTTTCTCGCAGGAGGCATCATCGCTGACGCAAACAGTAGATGCGATGTTGGCATAGGTCCATAGACTGCTCTTAGTGAAATCCAAGCGCTCCTCTTCCAGGTCTTGGAACTTATCACAGGCTGCCTTCCATTCCTTGTTCCAGCGTCCAGTGGTGTCCTCGAGGACCTTGACTGCTGCCTCGTACTCCTGGCTGTTTGAAGCCATCTGGATCTGAGTTTTTTCAAGCTTAGACTTGTTCTTGCGCTCCTCCTGGCCCATAACCATATGACCTTGTGCCAGATAACCCTTAATTTGCAGGCAATTTTGTTCAAAACGGTCACGAGCCTAGTTCAAAATCAGCCGAAAGCTCACTCCCCCACATATTACTTGTCTCACCTTGTTGACGACGTGTGTTTGTTGCATTTTAGTCTTGTGCAGGCGCTCGATGCCATTTTGAATGATCTTCCGTCGTTCCTTCAATCCACTGGCGAAAGCGCCCAGTGGCTCCTCAAGTTCAGTTTTCATCTGACCAGCAATTGCTGCGTGTGCCTTTGCAATGGCCTCCGTCTCTCCGCGGACCACATCAAGCGACATGCGGAGGGATCCGGACTCGCATGTTCCAAATGGTTTGCGACAGAGGGCTTGTAATTTTCGTGCATATTCATCTTCAATTGCGGCTCGAACTTAAAAAGAATAGGGCATTAGTAGTTAATACTTTGGGCTCTACTCAAAAAAATTGATATCATACCGTTGTAAAAGGCTTTCAATTCATCACTCGTAGTTTTCGATCCATGCATGCGATCAAGCATAGGTTGGAGGCCCGCATCGTCTTTACCCCAGAAGTTGTTGGCAACTGATCTCTTTGTTAGCTAAATGCTCATATTGCTCGGTTTTTTAGGTTCCATCTTACAGGACATGGAGACCGTCGGTCCCTCTGCCACTGTGCCAGGCATTGTTGTGGATATGGAGCCTCGGCCAGCCTTTGCTCATACACGGTTTGAGATGAAAGATAACAGACACAAGAATTAACGAAAGCAATAAGAGCAACAGGAAAGGATGGAAAGAAAACACCCAAAGAGACCCTGCGGTCGCTGAATGTCAAGGTGTTGGGTAGAGGGATGAGCATGGACAATGTTTATCGGCGCGTCTCTCGGGGCAACGGGAGCCATGCACTTAACGCGGCCTTACGTAACCATCTTGCTGCCCTATTGGACGCGTCACCTTAATTTGTGTTTTTGATTTCCCAGTTATTTTGGATTTTTTAGTAGGTTGAATTTCTAGATTTCGTCATTTTGGAGTGGATGCGCATAAAACAGTTCTCATAACATTTTCATTTTCATTGTCAATGTATCGTGACCAAATCTAGACAAAACCGGGGCATCGGTTCAAAGCAATCTATGTAATTCAAGCCCCTCAAACCATAATATCCACTCATGGTCATAAAAAGTAAAAGAATACAGGTAAAATCGAAGCCAAATCGCATCCTGAAAAAAAAAGAAAAAAACGCCTTTAATGCACTTCAAATGTGGCCCTCTCAAAAGGAGAGTCAATCACCAGCGGAAAATATCAAAAAGCCGAGCTACATCGACGACGGAGATTGTTGCCTTGTATCATGTGTCGTCTGTGTCATCTTAATATCGTTTCATAGGTTGAGGCATTCATCATTTCATGCAAACGTATGTGCATCGTATTGTACGGAAGTTCGTTCATCATGGTCCATGCGCACCAGCTTTAGTAAAGCAGAGCAGAAGAATGAGGAATGGAAAAGCTGGCGCTAGGTGTGGGTGCCGGAGCGCTGGAGGGAGTAGAGTGGCTCTCAAAGTTGCGCTTGACCGGGAAAGAGGTGGGCGCGACAGGAGTGCCAGAGGGAGTGGGCACAGCGCTTGAGGAGGAAGGCACCGGAGCGCTAGGGGCCCAGCCACCGAACTGACGAGGAGCAACCAAAGAGGCCAATGGTGTAGGCGAGGAAGTGAAAGAGGGGAAGGCAGGGGGAGTGTAAGAGGGAGTGCCCCAAGGAGCGGCGCGGTAGCCTCGAGCATACACATGTGCGGAAGGGCTCACGCTGGGAGTGCCAGACGGAACGGGGACAGAGCTAGGGCTCCAGCTGCCAAATTGCCGAGCTACCAAAGAGCCAGAGGGGGAGGGAGTGGGCACAGCGCTTGGGGAAGAAGGTACCGGAGCGCTGGGGACCCAACTACCGAACTGGCGAGCAACCAGAGGAGAGGCCGATGGTGTGGCCGAGGGAGTGAAAGAGGGTGTGTAAGACGGAGCATACCAACCATCGGCGTGTCGGACAGCCAGAGAGGTGTGAGCATTAGGCCAGGCAGAACTGGAAGATGGAATATAGTTCTGTGCAAATTGAACCGGGTTTCCAGCGGCGCTCAGGCCACGGCGGAAGAAGCCATTGCTCTTGGCAGGCATAAAAGATCCACCAGGAGGAGGAGCCAGGTGCGAAATAGCAGAGCTAGAGGGCAGAGAAGAGTAGGGTGTGAGAGATGGAGTGGCAGTGACTGTGACGGTTTGAGGCGCAGCAGAAGCGCCGGCGACAGTGGCAGTCTTGGTCACAGTCTCAACCTCAGGAACGGCAGAGCCGTTAGAGTCACCATCGACATTGACTACTTGGTAGGCAATCTGACGACGGTCGAGTTCGTCTTGCGGGTTGGCGAAAGGAGCGGCATAAACGCTGATGGTAGAGAATGCAAGCAAGGCTGCAGCGTTGGAGAAATGCATGGTGAAGAGAGATGGTTGTTTGTTTGTGGATACTCAAGGGTGTAAACAATAGATCGTAAAAGTTGACAATGCAATGCGCTTCAGCTGAGGAAAGAAATATTGAAATGAGGAAGTTAGAGCGTAGAAGTTTGTTTAGAGAGAATGGAAAACAAGAGAGAAAGGGAATGGACTACAGTGTTTTAAAGTAAGACCAGTTGCGATCTAGATCAGCCACGTCTGTCAGTATGAAGTATACCCAATCCACATGGCAGACATTCCATTGGACCCAAAATAGGTAGGCTGGGATCTACGGAGGCTGGGGATCAGAAAACATCAGAGCCATCGACCAGCCACGCTTTTTATCTGCATATTGATCCACATGGCAGCGCCACAACCGTTACTGCGCATGTTGATTGGAGGCTCGGGATCTGTGTTGCCAGGGAGACCCACTTTAAGCGTGGCTGGGGTAACCACATCTATATCCGCTCTATTGCATCCGGGAAGACCGGTGCCTAGTTTCTTTTCTTAGTGCACGAATGAGATGCATTAATATGGATTTCATCAACTTGTCACACATTAATTTACTTTTGCCGATCGACCAACTGCCGGGGCTTGTCCATGGTGGCAGGGTAATTACATGGCAAGATCTTCAACCCGCAGTAGGCCACAACCAAGTGCGGCGCTGGCCCAGGCGGCAGACAGACGGTTGGGATTCCATGCTAGCGCTGTGACGTGTGTTCCTTCTTCATGGATCGTAGTGAGACTCAAGCCCATTGGTCGGGGTTCTCCATTGCGCATTGTGCCCTGTGTTTCCGCACTGAATCCCTCGTGGAAACGGCTGGCGCCTGGATCGTTGACTTCAGGTCCCGCAGCCCAGTCGTGGACAAACCATATTTGTTGCCATTGTGTTTCCTTCGCATGTAGAACTTTTCGGAGAGGATTTGTCGCCAATACCTCTCCTCCTGTTCCGCCGTAGAGGAGGCTGGCATGCCACCAACTGCATGGAGCGAAAGCCGAGACGGTGCTGAAGATCTTCACAGCGTTGGAAGTGGCAAAAAACCGGCGAATTGGCATTATTCGGCCATATTCGTTTTCGTCACTGGAGCAGACCGACTGAAGGACCGGGGAGAAGCTTAGGTGAGATGAAGCCAATCGCACTCGAACCGTACTAGTGTTCTCGCTCTGAGGGTCAACAATAGACCAAAGCCGAGTGTCGCCATCGACTGATATTGTTGAAAGAAGTTGGGGGTGTGCTGGGTAGATGGATGCGATGTTCAGAATGTAGGTTGCGTGAATTGGATAATAGAAGTAGGGCTGAGGTTCTGAGGCGGTGGAGGGGAGAATACTGTAAATGGCCACAAAGCCATTTCCACAGCCTACCACAATGTCGCTGGGTGAGAGCCAGGTCACGCATGTACAAATAGTCGAGGACGGAATCGCCTCGAATGCCGGAGAATCGAGTTTGGCTACTGGCACGTCAGAACTCGGATAACACACGAGGGCAACTACTGAAGAACGAAGATACTCACCGTATTTCGGTGTGTTGGAGCCCTGCTGTAGCTTTATATCCAACACCCGAACCTTTCCATCCCCCCAGACTCCAGCTAGTAGGCCTATGTCTGTTAAGCCATTATCGACGTCGCCTCGCTTTTCTCGCCCCATAGGACACCAGGCCATACGCCGCAAATCTCCCCACTCGGAACACAACGTGAGTCGAAGTTGTGGTTTAAACGTCATGTCAATGGTATTCGTTTGAGTACCCGCCTTTTTAGATTTGAATTCCCACAGCTGAATTGTCCCGGGGTATGGCGGCGATGGCAGGAATGAGGAGACCCGATCACTTTCAGGCGTCTCGTAGCTTTTCTTTTGTTCATCGGTGACTGGTGCAGCCACAGCTAGATACTGAGATGCACCATCTTGGTTAGGAGCCCATGCCATGCATTGGATCTTTTGCCCAATGTTGATGAGCCAGCCCTCGCGTGTCTTCGCTGGTCCGTTGCTTTTTTGGGCCTCTCTAGCACCCCAGGCCGGGCCGAAATCAACACAGTCATGGTAGCCAAGGTGAAATTCTCGTTGATCATTTGATGGTCCCATGAGGACTGTATGTTTTTTGGACTTTGGTCGCGGTAGATAATGGCGATGTACCTCGTCCTTTTTAATTTTCGTGTCGAGTCGTTGTCTTTTTCGAAACATTTGGCCAACCTCTTGATCGTAGTACCAGCTCCAGCCTATTGTTCGTTCCTTTTCAATATCCTCTGGGGAAGCCCCCAAGGTTGGACCGTATATTGAATCGGACTCCCCTTCAACCGTATCCAAGGAAACACGAGTTGGAAACGTAGAGTCCCTTCCCCAACGCCATCGGCCTCTCATATGGACGGCAAGACCTAGGTCTCGATCATCGGAACCATAAGTCAAGGTGTAAGACAGAAATTTTGAAACGTGATCTCGGGAATCCAAGATACCCCGAAAATGCGTATCATCTGTTGATAAGGTGATGGCGCCATAGCTCGTTTGCATCTTTTCTTTTGGCGGGTTGGAAGGCGCGGGCCGTTTTTTCTTGGGTGTTTCCCCGGTTTCATCCACATCCATTACATCGTCATCGGCCTGGTCAGCCCCAAGTTCAGCATCGTCTTGGTTCTCATCCACATTTGCAAAATCCTCGTCATCTTCTGCGTCGGCGACGTCCGGATCTGAGCCTGCAACAAATTCTTCGTCGGAGATGAATTCTTCTCGTTTCACCTTCTTAGCCCTCTTGGGGGGCGCTTTCTCAGCCACCTCAGAGCTTGACTCATCACTTAATCCAGCTGATACAAAGGGATCCTGATTATACACTGTTCTAGGGCCCTTGACGCGGCCAGATCTGCGGCCGTGAGGCATTTAGGCTAAAGTGACCAGAACAGCATCAATGTTGCGACGAAAGTGGTGTATTCCTTTAGCATGAGAATCCGCTACTTATCCGACGGACAGCTCAAGGAGTGGAAAGTGATAAAAGAAAGGAGCAACGAAGAGTTCAGCAAAGAATGCTGGAGTTCGAGATGCGGGCAGATACATCCATGACGCGCTATACCCGATCGGGCTCGTTTCCAGCTAAGCCTATTTGCGTTAGCGCAGATAAACAAAGTGTATACGTTCTTCTCAACCACCTTGACACCAACAATCCCAGACTTGTCGCATGTTTGATGGAGTTTTGATGCCCAAATCCATAGTACGACTTAGTTCGAGAAATACATTCAAGAAATACAAATCATCTTAGCTTGATTTTGGGGCCTAGCAGGCAATGCTCCTTGAAAGAGATACCCATTGCCGAGCATTTCTACAATCCATTATTTACCTCTGAAGCCAAAGCTCACAGATTGGCATTACTAATATTACATCAGTTCCATTTTCAGGTGTAGCAGATGGCCTGAAAAGGCGAGTCCTGTTACCAATTTCGGAGCGACAAAGGGCGCATGAGACCGTTTGACACCGTACATGATTGACACGTTAATCAAGCCTACTACGAACCACGTCACGCTCTGCACTGGTCATATTCGAATGACTTGGCTTCTTGCTTTGACCGCTATCCGTTTTCTTGAATGCAGTTACTTTCACACACGGCTTGATACGACTTATTGCCACATACTTTGACTTGTTCTCTCACGTCCAGCATGTCGTTATCAATAAGCACGATCCGCCCATCCTTCCTGAACAAGTGAAGTCTTGGTGAGGAAGGGTTGAGATGAGTAGTAGTAGCACAGGAAAACATGCTCACATCATAGCATTTCCTAATCGGGCACTATGTGCCGCTTTGCCGTAATAAGACGGCAGCCCGCGATTCGTAGAACCTCGAACCTCGATAAGCAACTCAAGTGGATCCTGTTGCATTGGATCAATATAGACGAATTTTCATTCTGTCATTGAGCACCACCATAGTATGTGATAACGATTCCAGAGCTATCCCAAGCCGGACTAGCGCGAGGCTCCAGCCGAGCAGAACCCACTGTGGCTATGGCCACAGCCACCGCCCGCAATTCCACGCGACCTCCAGGGCTGAAGCTAAAATCCCGCAATCTGGATTCGTATAAGGGTCCTTTTCCCGCCAGGTGGTGGTTAATATCATATCCGTAATAAAATCAATCAGAGGGACATGGGGGCCGATAACCCCCACGACAAAATGGACAGGGTACCAACACTACCGCCATACCAATCCACAATGAGTGACCCTCCAGGGCCTCCACAGTATGCGCATACGAATGCTGTCATTAAAGCGGGTAAGCTTCGCGCTCTAGATGAAGTACGTACTCTTGATCATTGCTTGCGAGTTACAATGAACTGATCAGCCTGGGTGAGATAGCAATCGATGGCAAACCACCTGCAGAGAATTCAACGCGAATGTGACATCTATAATCCCGATATTGAGCCGGAGCATCCAGACGGAACTGTGTACTGCCGATGTCCGATTCATAAGTACAAGGCCAGAAAGGCTGCCCGACTCCCCGTTCAGATCAAATGGTCAGAAGCCGTCATGTATCCAGGTCAGCCAACGCTTGCGATGCCAGAGCCACTTATTTAAATTGACGGCTCAACAGGAGAGAGATACTACCATGACATCGAAACAGAAAATACTATAATACACAGAAGTCCATATCGGTATGTATCAAGCTACTATTGCGCTGGCGGCATGGGTGGCACCACTACCACAATTATGTACGGCGATGCGCCAAGAAGAAAGCAAAGATCAGATTCATACAACTACTCAAGGTCTCTTGAAAAGACAACCAAGCTGAATGCGCAGTTAAATCTATGCGCGCAAGTTGCGATTGACAGGAAGGAACCAATATCTAATATATGGCATGTTGATGGGCCAGAACCCTCGGCGCTCAATGAGGATCATGTCACTATCTCATCCGAAAACGGGAAAAGTATGAAACTTTCCAGACTTTCCGGCTTGCGAAAGGCACTTTTCATCAAATCCCCCGAGGAAAAGGAGGCTGAGAGAAAGCAAAAGGCCTTCGCCAAGGGCGAGGATTTGCGAATTGAGATCCTTAACGAAGAAAACGGACGATGGCCAACCAAAGAGTGGCGAGACATAGTGACGAAGTACCAAGAACATGTCGGCATGACGCAAAAGATTGCCGATCTTCGAGCTCGGTGCCCTATCCAATACCTGCACCTTCTTCGAGCTGGATACTTCGAGCCTATTCCGGTGGAATGGGCGAATCTCGCTTCAAACCCGCTAAAGTTTAGGATCGAGGCAGCGGCTGGATGGCCGGGCATTACCCCTACCTGGAGAGGATTTGAAGACACGGCCGAAGAACGTCTGTACTGGGTCTTGAATTACAGGGAAGGAAGCAGTGGGCCACGAATGAAGCCTGACCCCATTTCTGCGATGAAAATGGCCCGATCTAGGATGGCTTCTGCCGTGATGCCTCCCCCTGGATATTACTCTCCCGATGATGTATGCCATGTTCAGCACATGTCGGACCACTATTCAAGGCAGGTCATGCCCACTCCATTCAAGCCCTCTGATGTGCCAGAGCTACCATCATCGGATACAATGATTCTACTGGATGTCTCTGGGTCTATGAACTTCGAACCTATTCGCCCAATCTATGAAGAGGCTCTTATCAGAGGATATGAACACTCCACTCAGCCCAAAAACAAAGGTGAGCGCAGAAGATTAAAGCCGACCGCCTTTTACTAAATCTAATCACTCCACGCTGCAGATCTCGCCAAAGCCATCATTCGGCGCTTCACAGATGCAATGATCCATCATGATCATAATGCAACTGGTTATCGACTCGCAACTTTCCACGAACAGGCCAAGTACATCGGTATACTCAATCACGAGAACTTCGACAAAATGTGGAATGACGTTAGCTTTGGCGGCATGACTCGAGTCATGACTGGATGGCAACTCGTCAAGGATCTTCATTTCCAGAAATATTCCGAGACAGCATCGTATCATCCAGTCTACGGTTGGCAGGCTGGCCCGAAAACTCCAAAACTCAGACTGCTTCTCCTCCTTGATGGCGAAGCAAGCGACATGGATGAGTTCGAACTCGACCTACTCAGTCTGTCTTGGGTTCATGTCACGATCTTCTTAATTGGCGTTGATGGATGTCCGCATCACCACCGGCATGCAAATGAGTTGCAGAGAATCAGCGAGGTCAACCCTCATGTCTCCTTTATTGATGCCCAAGGCAATACACCCGAGCGATTTGTCACGCACGAATTGTTGAAAAGACACCTCGGCTACGATATTACCATGTCAGAATTCGAGGAGCTCGAGCGACCGCCTTCTTATGATGAGCTAGAAGGCGGGGTATCAACTGGCGCCGGGCCAAGCTCAGATGTAACCCCTGCCAATGTATCCACAGGAGATGTGAAAGCATGAATATAATATGTATTCATTCAAAGCGGGTTGAGATATCATTCGACAATTTAGAATCCTGTGTCCACAGATGATCTCGGCAAGAGACAGTACAAATAGTTCCAATTTACAGCCCTATGTAAACGGCATCTTCTACCAATCACAAGGCTTTCAGATATCTAGGGGTATTGCAGTCATAAAATTCAAGGCGCTCTTCATCAATGGAATTGCCATACCAGAAAACTGTTAGCGCCTACATAAGGGGCAATAACGAGATCTTACCAGAGTGTGGTCCAAAGTAAGCTCCGAGCCCCGCGGTGGGTCAGGTACGTCAATCCTCCTAACCACATTTGCCCCTCCCAAGCTACAGCCAACAGCCTTCCAAACAACAATGTCGTCTCCATCGCACTCTGGTGTTCTTCATGAATTCGTATGACTAGCCTACCTTCGTTGTATCACTATGAGCTGACTGTCTTGTTATAGGCCCCCAGGCTTGTGGCCTTCGAGTTCACATCGCCCGAGAAGCCAAACAAGCCAAACAGCTTGATTTTCGTGGGTGGATTGACCGATGGATTTTCCACGGTCCCCTACGTAGCTCCCTTAGCTAAAACACTTGAGCCAACCGACTGGTCTGTCTTTTCTATCTTGCTTACTTCCTCCTACAATGGATTCGGAGTCAGCAGTCTTGACCTCGATGTAGAGGAGATCGCACAATGTGTGCAGTTCATTCGCAATCTGAAGGGTGAATCTGGAAAGGTCGTACTCATGGGCCACTCCACTGGCAGTCAGGATGTTCTGCACTATCTCCACTCGCCAAACCCTCTTCCCAAGGACTCTGACTTCGACATCGGTCTCAAGTACCTGACTCGCCCCGTGCTCGATGGTGCCATTATGCAAGCGCCCGTTTCGGATCGGGAGGCTATTAAGCACCACGTCGAAACCTCCGACCAGCCCAGCGAGGGTCGGGGCGCTTATGAGCAGCTCGTAAGCGCTGCTAAGAGACAGCCATGGACCCATGATAAGATTGACTCTATCCTTCCAATGAATATGACTGGAATGCTGGGTTTACCGGGCAATGCGCCTCTCAGTGCCCGCCGATTCCTGAGCCTGGTCAGCCCAGACAGTCCTCAGAACCCAGCAGCGGACGATCTTTTCAGCTCCGACCTGACTGACAAGCGTCATCAGGAGACATTTGGGCAAATTGGTTCGCGGGGTATCCTGAACCCCAAATCTAAGTTCTTGATTTTATACTCGGGCAGTGACGAGTATTGCCCGCCTTGGGTCAATAAAGAGGCTTTGCTGCAGAAGTGGCAACAAGCGACCGAGGCTGGGGGTGCTTCTTGGGATACAGAAAACGGTGGGATCGTTTCTGGTGCCTGTCACAATGTCAGTGGCGAAGGCCAAGAGGATCTAATTAGCCGAGTGGTGCGGTACCTGCAGAGCATCTAAAAGGCATATTGTCCGTCCAACTGGAAACATGTTTGAATACACGGCAATTTCCGTAAGACATGGAATAGATCATTGGATTTTTCTCTTGACATACAAAAGGTTTCAATAGAAAAGACATGCAAACACCGCCCAATAGTATGAAGATAAAAGGAAAAGGAAAGTGTAATGAGAGAGGAGGCCATTATGGGGTATATCGAAGTAACGGACAGACCGTTCAGAGTTGACACCAAGTGGGCCCGAATGAAATGCGCACGACTCGAAAGTCAATTAGTAGGTTTTGCGCTGTATCTTAAACCTTCAGCCATAGAGTGAATACACCCTTGAGATACTCGACAATCTCGCTGCCACCCAGCTTGCTCTCTCCGTAGAGACGGTCGACAAAAGTGATAGGGCACTCCTCCACCTTGTATCCCATAGCCTTGGCACGGACCATCATCTCCATCTGGAAACTATAACCCTTGCTCTGAGTGCTGGTAATGACCTTGTCGAGGACCGCCTTTTTATACAGGCGGAAGCTACCAGTCAAATCGCTGACGCCGGGCATTAGCATGACATCGGCAATCATGTTCGCAGTCCGCGATGTGAACTTCCGGAACAGATCCCAGCCATAGACACCACCCTTGATATCTCCACGGTTGGCGTAGCGGGTACCGGTCACAATGTCGGCGTCGCTCTCCTTCTGAATGCGGACCATCTCGGGGATGAACTTGGGGTGGTGACTGAAGTCGGCGTCCATGATGATGACGAAGTTGCCGGTGACAAACTGGAGGCCGTGCACGTAGGCGGTTCCCAGACCGAGCTTGCCTGCGCGAGGCTTCAGGATGATGTGCTCGGGGCCATAGAGCTTCTGGAGCTGCTTTGCGATCTCGAGGGTGCCGTCAGGAGAGCCATCGTCAACAATGATAACCTCCCAATCCAACTTGCTGTTCACAGATAAGAAAGAAGGTCAGCTATCGCATTGGCAGACCAACGGAGTAAAAGCTCGCGTACTTCTCGTTGAAGGTCTTCTGAAGCAGCCAGATAATAATAGGGAGGTTCCTCCGTTCGTTGTAGGTCGGCAGAATGACCGAGTACTTGTTACTGGTGGCACCCATTTTGGAAGATTTGAGAACTAAGATTCAATCGGTGTCTCCGGGACAAAAGCGATCAACAACGAAGAAATAAACAGAAAGTAGGGAGCGAATGGCCGGACAGCTTGTTGAAGGAGGAGCAGCGTCGCGCCAACTCTGGCCAGATCCGGCGTTGTTTACCGCCTTCGGTTTTGCCCGATAAGTTATCGCGGACCACGAGCTTCCCCCAGACAAACGATCCTCGTGGATCTATTTACAAATTACGATAAATCTCCGACGATGGCATCCCCGATGAAACATTCCCGCAACCTCTCCAGACGTGAGCTACATTGCTACGGATCATTGATGTTCCCAAACGCTGATCGGCTTTCTAGCTTCACGGCCCCGCAGCTCAACACGAGGACCATTAGATGCACCAGATGAGTGAGTAATGACCTCAAGATCTCAGAATGATAGATCCAAACTCACAGTTCACGCAGCCCCCTTGACTCAGCAAGCGCATCCTCCTCACCCAACCTCAGCACAGACAATGATGGCTTCTCGGGAGCATCACTTCACGAACTAGACCCGCTGGCCCCCGATGATCTTCCAGAAACATTGGGCAAAGACCTTTCTTTCGTTCTCCGGCATAATATCTTCCATCCTTTAAATCATAGCAACATTCCATCTCCGCTACGCTCCGAATTTGTCGTCCTCAATCCCGGCGAACCGCTCTCATCCTCTCTCGGCGTACTTGAGAAATTACTCGTTGGAGGCCGTTTCTTAGTCGCTGCACACTTCGCGGCTTCAATATTGACTTCCTCTCTGATAACCCCTATGGATGTCAAGATTATCTTTTCTCTATTTTACACCCGCCTTGCTTGTTTAGAGCTGTCAGGAAATACAGTTCTTGCCGCCCAGGAGTCGAAGGCATTGGAGGATTTGAACTCTGCATTCTACTACATTGACGTGGAGAGTGAGTCGTCTGACGTGGACAAAAAAGAAAACCACGTCCCCAATCATTATCCTCGTCATATAGTTCCATGGCCATTGCGCGTTTTAGCCGTGAGACTTCAAAGTATCGGATTCGGCGACCCCCGCAGAAGTATTGGTGGTCTATACGAGATCGGACTGGAGGCACGACGAGAGATTACGAATCAAGCAACTGGGGAGGCAGAACGGAAGATTTGGAGAGAAAGACTGGCAGACTTAGGAATGCGAAGTGTCAATGCGCTAATCGAAATGGGTGATCTTGATGCAGCAAAAAGATCACTTGAAAGTCTACAATCGGTCGACTCTGATACAGATAATACGAAACTGCGGAAAGCACTTCTTTTCCTACGAATTGGGGATGTTGACTCTGCGCAGAACATCTTTGGTGACTCCCCAGAGTCAAAGGAGTCGGCCTTGTTGCAGCCGCTCCTGAGCATGTCAGACGGTCGTTACAATGATGCAGTGGACCAATGGCGGACTTTACAAGAAGATAAAACAAGGACAGACGCTGCCTTGGTAGCGCAGAACTTGGCTGTTTGCCTTCTATACTCTGGCAAATTGGATGAGGTATGTTGAATGACTGTTTGATTGTTGACCTTTTGCTTACGGTATTACCAGGCGCGTCAACTGTTGGAATCTCAAATTTCTGCCAATCACTCGTTCAGTAGTTTGGTTTTCAACTTGTCAACTGTCTACGAGCTCTGCTCCGATAATGCTAGTCACTTGAAGGGGCAGCTAGCGGCCACCATTGCAGGTCAGCCGGTCTCGGGGCAGACGAATATAGACCGACCGAATACCGATTTTAAGCTATGAGAATATTTAAGAAAGTGACCTGCAATGGTCCTCATTGATTCTAGCCTTCTTTTAAACTCCATGTGTACAGAAGATGCCAATCTCAACGTTTCATGAACAATTCAACCCTAATGATACGTTTCGCCCGGGCACCAATGCCATGCATGCAACCAAAAACGCCAGTCAAGGAAACGCAAATATGTCCGGCCTCATTTCCCCGCTGGGATGGGCTCCTGTTTCGGCGGTGGTCGAACCTTGGGAATTTTAATTATAACCTTATCGCCTTCCCTCTGCCAGCCAAGATTCTCTTTCTCGATCAATTCCTCCCACGTCCATTGTCTATCATCACCGGTACACCCGCCTATAATCCAGTCCACATGGACGTTAAGGTACGCACTGCCGACAGCCTTCAAGGCGTGTCTGCGCATTCGGTCCACAGCCCAGTTCATTACCGCACGCATATATGAGTCAACACTTTTGCGCACTTGCCAAAACGCAATCCAGTTATCATGCATTAATGCCGTCAAGACGCGGTCGACAGCTTGCGATTGGAAGTCGTAGTCCCGACGCGCCCGTGCGCGTAGCTCAAAGGCCGACACCATATCCTGTTGCCGACATGCATAATCGAGAATCAAGTATGACACCAAATCTTTGACTTCCGACTCGGCCATGGGGTGTGATTTGGAATGGAGCTTGCTGAGGCAGTACTCTAAGGACGGAAAATACGACGGGGGGTGTTGCGCGAGAATGGACATGCGAATTGAGAAATAATGGACGAGCTGCGCAAATTTGGCCGGAGTTGTTTTCGACGTTGCCAAGATGCCTTCTCTGAGCTTGCGGAGGGAAAGAAGCAGCTTTGACAGCTCCGTCGATGGTGGGGGAATGCGCCTCTCTGCGGGGTTGGACGTGGTCCTTGCAGCTGGCTGGGCGGTAGGTGGGTTCGAGGTCGCATCATTCGACGAGCTCACAGGGAGCGATGCATGTGCCGCATCGAAGTCTTTCTGGTGGTCGGAGCAGAAACGCATATATCGCTCTAAGATCTTATTGTAGTAGTCTTGCTGCTCTTTATGATCGAGAAGTCTGCGGTTGCGTCAGAACGGCTCTCATGGATGTCATCGGAGCAACATACGTTCTGTCGCCCTTTGAAACAAAGCCGACCCTATCCAGAGGGTCGGCGACGGGCCGTAATCGGCTTCCCTGAGATCTGGCGGACTGCATCGCGCAAGCGTGGCTGCGTGAGGGGACAAAGCCATATCAGATCTGGGGTCGATGTGGGCCACCGGGATTTGCACTGTTTGCGCCGAGGTCCCAACTACCCAACGCTCTTGTCTATTCAAGTGCTTTAGCCCTTGCCGCTTTTGCTACTTAGATGCGTTGAGTCCCTATCTTCCATACCTCCATCCTTTTTACGTACACTGATGAATGTAACACTACCAATAGGCCCAGTTAGTTTTCAGCATTCTGAGATTAATATTGACAATGAAATTCATAAAGCACGCCTGTTTAATTCTCTTGCGCATTGACAACGGATCACATGACTATGTTGCGACCGAGGCCAGTACAGTATGCCCTATAAAAGCGGCGGCACCCAACGGAACCTTGAAATTATGGTATCTACAGCCTTCCTATTGTGTTTTGCCCCTGGTGCTTTTTTTCCTTCTTCCTTTCAGACGTTAAAGCAAAGGGGGCTTTAGCGCACCTTTATACTTCTACGTGCCGTGCTTTATTTGTGGCGGATCCGTCAAGTTCTAAACACCACGTCCTATACTAGACTCTGCATGTGACGATGTCTCGCCAACGTCACCCAGTACAGGGGAAAGAGTCGGACAGTCCAGCAACTGCACTGGCTAACCCAATCCTCGAAGTTCCTCCGAGCATGGTAAAAAAGCTTCTTCACTGGGATGAATTGCCACACTGGCAGCGCGACAATCACCACATCCACACTGGATATCGACCAGCCTCGTCTTCATTTTGGGCCTCGTTCCTATCATTGGGCTACTTTCACAATGAAACCATCAATATCTACAGTCATCTTCTTCCAGCCATCTTAGCCGTTCCTGCAGCTCATCAGCTCTATCATGCCCTGGAACCGCGTTATCAGACTGCAGCAGACTCTGACATTGCTGCGTTTTGCTGCTTCTTTGCCGGTGCTGCTTTCTGTCTGGGAATGTCCGCGACATATCACACGATCTCTAACCACTCGCCTGCGGTGGCCAGGATTGGCAATGCGCTCGACTACATTGGCATAGTCGGGCTTATTGTGGGCAGCTTTGTACCAAGTGTCTTCTATGGATTTTACTGTGTACCCGAGCTCCAACATCGATACTGGACCATGATCTGCACCATTGGGCTGGGCTGCGTGTGTGTCTCAATCGTCCCACGGTTCCGGACTCCCCGCTGGCGACCGTTTCGGGCCGCCATGTTTGTCGGGATGGGCCTGTCCGCCGTCTTCCCCGTACTCCATGGCTTGTCTCTGTTTGGGTTCGACCGTATGCGACAGCAGATTGGCCTCACATGGCTTCTGCTCCAGGGTTTCTTATACATTCTCGGGGCCGCGATCTATGCAGCACGGGTACCCGAACGACTGCGGCCCGGCAAATTTGACCTCGTTGGCAGCTCGCATCAGATATTCCACGTGCTGGTCGTGTGTGCGGCGGTGGCTCATCTGACGGGACTGTTGAAAGCGTTTGATTATCGGCATAGTGGGACTGCCGAGATCTGTTAGATACCACGCGGCTGGGCTATAAGAGCAGTTTAGTGGAAAGGATGAGGTTGGACAACATGTTCATGGCAATTCCAGAGCTAGCATGGAATGAAACTTTTCACACGTGTGGCGAAAGGGTAAATGCTCTTCAACGGTGAAAGTTCCTGCTGACGGTGACCTGGTTCGCAATGTGCAACAATGACCACAGAGTGAAGCGGTGAATAGCTCTGACAGGGAATAGACCGAAAGGCCACGGGTTGAATCCGGTCAGCCGAGTTGCAGCGCACTCAAGATTTCACATGGTGCTCCTCGTCATTGAAGGGATTGTAGATAAGTTCTCATTGGCGGTGCATGCAGGCCTGGCCGACAACATACTCCTAGAATAGCCCTTGTCAGCAGTGGTGGTCGTCATATCTCCCAAGAAATCAAGAAAACAGCTCATGAGAGAAATACAATAATAATTGGAAAACTTAACTCCGTGGGTCATTTACGATGTTGCATCAGGGTGTGTGACTGTGAAGACCCCTAGGGTGCTCCAGGTCCCAAACTTGCCTTTCTGCTTTTACCTATCACGAACGATGCTCTAATTGAGCAACAGCTGGACCCAGCAATGCTTTCTTCTATCTGGCCCATCATCAAGTCTGTGGGGTTCGAGAGAGGGGAAGGCGGGCAACCCTTTGATTTTACTTTCAAAGTGCCTGTCGCCATCCCCGACCAAGTTGATCAGATGAAAGTATTCTTGGGTTTCACAGCGGCTGACCTCTTTGCGGCTGCCGCCGGTATAGGAATCCGAATGCAAGTGTGACATTTTTTCTTGCTGGTTTTCTTGGAACATGAAGCTTGAGTTTGTTTTTATATATACGAGCACAGTGGAGACGGTGTGTGTGTCAGAAGAAGGGGGGAGGGACTCGATGTGTCCTATTGGATTCTATGCACGTCAAACCCAGAATTACCTGTTTGATTTTTCATGGTCTTATGCACTGATCGCCCCGGCATTGTCGACCTTCCCCGTCAGATACCTCCATATACCTGGTCCCAAGCAAAAAGAGAAGAAATCTCCTCGAATAATCTTCCCAGCTTTCACTCCTCTTTTGCCCTCGATGCTTGCCGAATCCAATGGCAGTCCCTATGGCGGGGGTAATGCACCAAAACTTCGAACAGCATGCGAGAACTGTAGACAATCCAAGGTGAAATGCAACCTGTCTGGGAAGAACGTCTGTACAAGGTGTCTGCGGCATGGCTTGCAATGTCAATATGGCTTTGCCAACCGATCTGGCAAGCCTAAGGGCAGTAAGAATCGAGCTACTCTCCGCAAATTGGGTCAACTTCAGGAGGATAAGCCACCTATCCGGGGTTTTCGTGGCAATCGCATTGTGCCTCCCGTGGCAGACCGAGAACCTCGAGTTCCTACTGAGTATCCAGGCCATATGGGAGATTCAGTGATGGATGACGATGTGGGTAAACACTTTTTGACTATCATGAAAAATCCTAACCTTTATATCTCAGATATGTATGATTCCGGGTCCACCTGGACTCTGGGAAAGCCCAAGAAGTTTTGGTAGTAATACCGCATTAGACACGCCCATATGTCCTTCGCAGCTGGCAACAGTCGATGGCTCACCCTTCACTGATCTGATGGATTCCTGTCCTACGATGCCCCATGGTTTGGGATACCCACACACACCCGTCACACCGACGTTTCTCCCAGCAGACCCTCTGATCGACGGAATGGCGAGCCCGCCTTTTGGTGGATCTGTCTCTTCTCCGTACCCGGCGGCACCATGCGAATGTGTGGACAGGCAGATATTCTATATGAATCGACTGAATCACCTTCTTGCCGAATCTATGCCTCTTCGGTTCGACCATAGCCTTCAAGCGGTCAAAGCCACATTTTGTGCATGCCAGGTTTTCATGCAGTGTGTCAAATGTAGCAAAGACAGCGCGAACCTGCTTCTAGTCATATCTGTCCTCAACCTGACCCTACAGTTGTTCGAGTATTGGATTTCACGCGAGACATCACGAATGCCTCGGGTGGAGCATGGCGATATTCGCTATGGACATTATGAGGTCGCCCAGGATGACGACCGACAGATACGGGCTTTCTTACTTCGAAAGTTGTTACTCCAGTGCAAAGATGTTCTATCCATGTTAACAGCAGCTGTCAATGCCGTCTGTCTTGAAGACCCGAAGCTTCTTGATGCCGAAGGCTCTGCAGATCCGAGGTTGAAGAGTGAAGATCTAGTCAATCAGCCCTATGCTTCATCGGGGCACTTTGGTCCGACGTTGTCACATCAAGCATCAGATACGATGTCCAATCCTGGGAATACCTGTCTTCTGCCTATCATTGGGGGCTACGAAGCTACAGTGGAAGCATTCTTGCAATCCGTCTCGAGTGACTGTATCTGTGGATCCAAATACTCAATAAGAAATGAGTCCCTTTGATGCTTTTTTTGCGAATATGGAAGATCTGGATGGGAGGAGGTATTTTGCTGCGTTAAATCATTTTTATTCATTGTCTCCTTTCCCACCAAGTTGTATCTACGGGAGGTTCTTTTGCGTAGATACTATTCAGCTCGACAGTAAACATGCATCGGCTACTTTGACCAGCAAAATTGAATTTAATAGGCTATATGGGTTATGTGTTTTCCATTGTTTTTTTTGTTCAGCATATAGTAGTTCATTCATAGTTCTCGTTACTTTTGACAACCCCACACTCTCGGTCCGCGGCGAGCCTCGGCATTTCGACCGCCTTGTATAAGACCCCAGCTTTCCCCTCATCTTACCCGGTACATCACCAGCAAAACATAACATCAAAATGGCACCTACCGATCGTCTTGCCCAGATTAACAAGCACCTCAATTACCCAGCCGGTCTTCTTGCTGGCCAGGTGGCCATCATTACTGGTGCGGGCCAAGGTATCGGCGCGGAGGCAGCTCGGCTTTTTGCCAACGAGGGCGCCAAGGTTGTGGTAGCAGATATCGATGGCAGTATGTGCTTTCAGCTCTCCATTCCTTCCTGCTAATTTGCAAATCATATTAAATGGACCTTTCCTTGAAACATAACTAATCTCCCAAAATAGAGAAGGCCAACGCGGTCGCTGACGCCATCAATGCCGCCGAGCCTGGCCGCGCCTTGGCTGTAGCCGGCGACGTTTTGGACAGCAACTACATAACCGAGCTTGTGAAGCGCACAGCCGAGTTCGGTGGTGGCAAGATCCACATTATTGTCAACAACGCCGGTTTTACTTGGGACGGTGTGATTCACAAGGTGAGTCCCCTTGCTCTTCTCACTTGATACATTGCCCTTGTCGTCCCAAGATCACCCCATTGTACATTACCCTAGCTAGGCATATGAAGGGCTAACGGGGGTACCCTTGACGAATCTGTAGATCACCGATAAGCAATGGGATACCATGCTTGCAGTGCACAACACTGCGCCTTTCCGGTTGGTGCGAGAGGCCGCGCCGTATTTCCGCGTCAAGGACCAGGAGCCGCGGGTTGTTATCAACATCAGCAGCACAAGTGGCATTCATGGCAATGCGTAAGTTAACTTGATGCCTTCCTTCTGTCCCGGGTGAAAATGAACAAAAGGCTAACCACCGGACTCGATAGTGGCCAAGCCAACTACGCTGTCGCTAAAGCCGGTGTTGTCGGTCTTACCCGCACCATTGCTAAAGAATGGGGTCCTGCCTTTGGCGTGCGCTCCAATACTATCGCCTTTGGCTATGTGACTACTCGTCTTACCGCTGCCAAGGAAGAGGGCGCCTTCGTCACCACCCCTGACGGTACTAAGGTCGCGCTGGGTATTCCTGGCAAGCAGCTTGCTACTAAGAAGGGCGACGAGTCTAAGACTGAGTCTTTCCCGGATATCCCGCTGCGGAGACCGGCTAGCCCTGAGGAAGCCGCGCGGTCTATTTTGGGTGTTGCCAGCCCGTACTTCTCCTACGTGAACGGGGAGACCATCCGGGTTACTGGTGGGCGCAATATGTAATTTGAGTTGGCTTGCTATTCAGTCTTGTCACATGTGGCCATGGGTTTTTCGTGACTGTGCCACCTGAGTAGAAAATGTACATTCTTCCAATGTTGACACGCACAAGTAGTGGAGAACCCCAGATCTCTATTCCACATGCCGAGTGACGAAGCTCACCGGAGTTGCCCATCTAGCCCATAGTCTGATCCATTTCTTGAAGTGTGGCTTTTGATAATTTACAAAGTATGAAGCCAGGAACATGACACCCTTTGAAACAGAATTCGGCCATCGACCGACATGTATCCACAAGTGCCTAACTCACCCAGAATTCCTCTGCATCAATAACTACAAATATCGAAACGAAAATGGCCCGCAATCCCCACCAGAGTCAGACATGCGATGCCAAAAACAAGCAGAAACAACCAAACCCACAAGTTGTCTCAGAGTCGCCCCTCACCTCAGAGGTGCAGCGCATAAGCGCCAGCCTAATGCGCATCGGGGAAAATCAGCCAACCAGTCACCAACACACATCGCAATAGCATGTGAGGTTGGTTAGCCGCATGACGCTTCACGCACCATTGCCGACTGACTTCTACTTACAGTATGATGCAGCATAGCCACGAACGTCTGCCTACGCGAACTTGAGCAAACATCGGCATCCACTTGTCGTCTCTGCAAAGGATTCCTTGAAAATAGGCTAGGGTCTAGACCACGCTCTAACAAGGCATAGTTTCAAATGGCTAGAGCAGTGGTGGATATAGCCTTGGATACGATATGGTGTTGTCGAACTTGGCACCGCTATGCATGCTGCCGACATCCCCGTCTAGGCAAGTGTCCTGATTTGGGTCAATTCTGTATGGGTGGGCATACTCATGTTTCATGTTTCGTATGAGATCAACCAATACTCCTGTTCTGATATCTAAGTTGGTTCTCTAGTGTGTCTCTGTAGTGCAATCTAAAATAAGTTCATATCAATTTGCTTCGTTGGGTGCTCTATTTTCACCTACACCCGGGCCAACATTACCTACTTCCCCGTTGACTATCGAGAAGATATTATCGCATCTAAGTAGATCAAACGACCATTCTGAAGAGGTTTATCAGGCAAGGTAGAGTATTTAACGCATTTCAGGGCTACAGGTACTATTTGATCGGTCCAAGTGCATTCAGGAACCCCATTATCATAATCAAACATCCGCGACTCCTCTGTGGATTTAGGTATTAAGTTCGAAATTATTATTTAATATTATTATCTCTATCATTCTTCTTTACATATTATTCCACTTTTTTGTGCTCCCAGCCATCCAGTATGGGAAACCTAAGTGAAGCCCAGACAAGACGTCCGCCCCCTGCCCCCGCTTCTGGGCCCTCATCAGGCCATGGGGAAACACTCACCGGCCCTACACTACCAGGTGGGCCATGACAACAGTGACTATTCTAGCCCCACCAGCCAGCGACGCCTTTTATTTCCCAATCTGATGGGGCAGTACCACATAAGTTCGTGAAAGTGTTGAATGCGAGATTTTCCTGTGGATCTCACAGGTAGACTGCATCAGTCGCGGCCGATGGGCAATATCTAGCGCACAATTGATTTTCAACAAGGTGGATACCAGTGACTAGGTACCTAATCAGGTACACTACATCAGACCCGCAATGGTTAGGTATGAAGGCAGAATCCAAACTCTAGATTGTGGAGGATAGCTAGCTTCAGTGGAGCCAAACCTTGAACCCCAGGACACGAATCCCATTGAACGATCCAGTCAAAAGCAAAGGAAAAACCGGTGTAGATGTCGGTAAGCTCTGGGAAAAGCAATATAGTTTGCATGCGGAGAACGTTACGCAGCTGTTCCACGATGCAGAGAGCATGAGGTTTTTTATCTCCAATCCAGCACCTGGGCGCAAAAGGCTAAAGCACCTGTGGCGAATCACGCAACGCTGATCGCAAATATGTGAGATCCAGGCCGCAGGACGACGTGGAAAAAGGCCTCGGCATACCCGAGAGGGTTGGCGCTCGTTCATGCCTCATGCCTCACGTCTCACTTGGGCAGCAATGGGTGGTACGACAGTTGGAGCATCCACAGCATCCACACGAGACGACCCGCATAGTCGGTGTACTCTGCCTTGCGGATGTAGGACGGGGAAACGTTGCACGGAGAAGTCATTAAGATTACTTGGAAATGAAAACCAGGAAGGTGGATGATGGAAGTTGTGTAGATGGCATGCAATTATAGCTCCATTGTTGGTATCATATCGTAAATCCCAGTCCTAGTCCAATCCAATCCGTTCCAACCATGCCAATAAGTCTATGCACATATGCAACAAATCCGAGATCAAATCACCACCCATATATCATAAACAGGTACGAAAATAGACATGAATCCTTTCCCGGAATTAAAGAAAACAAAAGTCCGCAGCCAATGTGGTAATCAGCTCTTTAACGCCTGAAACGACTCCGCGCGCAAAAGAATATGTCATCTGCCCTCCCAGGGGCAATCTTCAGTCGTGCCTCCTAATATATGCCAGAAATCTCGAAAACTTGTCCAAGTAAATGAAAAACAAAAAAAAAAAAATAATAACAAAGCTGGCCTCCTGGTATGTGGTGCAAAATATTAAAACAGTAGAAGCGAAAGCCAAATCAACCGTGGAAAGTAACGGAAATGGCCGTAATAGAAAGATAGCCCAAAATCCAGTGGACGATGCAAATATGGTCACAGTCCAAGGGAGAATATGGTCCAGTGGAGAGAAGTATGTCCAAGGAAGAAAAGGGGAGAAGAGTGGCGGCCGAGTCCCAGGGATGGAATCCTCAACTCGGCGACCTTATTTTTGGCGGCTTTTAGGGTGAAGTCCAGGTGGAGGTAAAAATCCCGAAAACGTGGATAAAAATCAAAAGAATTCCCGGTGCGTACATCGGGTTTAGAAGGCGTGTAAATCGTAATAGCTGCGTTAAGTCGATGGGTTTTTTAACAGACCAGAATGGGTGCTCCCGTGAAGGTGTCCGCGGGAATACCATGGTCCACGCAGATGGGGTGAGGAAAGACAACCTTACAGTCCGGTACCTGCACCTGTTCCGAGACCATAGGCGACATGCAGTTGTAATCACCGTAGTCGCCGTAATCCTCGGTCAAGGCGGAAGTATCGGAGATGGCCGAGTCGGAGAAATCAGAATAGTGTGAAGAATCCGACGACGATCCAGACTGTTGGGCATGTAGGGGTTCCAAGGGAACGAAGGGCATCTGGGGCTGGACCAGGTAGTCGGCCTGCGGAATCTGGTCCGGCACCCAAGGGGCCACAGGGGGTTGTTCGGTGAAGCGGGGGCAATCCACGATCAGTTGGCGCAACTCCGGGATGGTGATCCTCTGGGAAGGGTCGCGCTCAAACACGCGGCTGAGAATACAGACCATCTCCGTGGATAAGGGAAGGATAGACTTGAGGAAGAAGGGGTCCTTGAGGTATGCCCGGAATGTGGAATCTTCGACGGAGGCGCGCTTCCATGGGTTGCGACCGCAGGTCAAGTTCACGAGCATCACGCCCAAGCTCCAAACGTCATTGGCTGCGGAGGAGTAACAAGACATGGGTCGGGGGTTGGTCTGTTGACATTCTGTTTGGGATAAATTAGGTTGGTCCGGGCGGGGAAAATGGGGAGGGTCGGTCTCATCTATGGCGTGAAACAAGTACTTACCAGGCGACATGTAGAATGTGGAACCGCAACCAAAATCCGTGGTGAAATAATCCGTGGTGGCCAGGCCAAAGTCGGCCAATTTGACGGTCATGCCCTGGTCGGTCACTAAGACGTTCTCAGGCTTCAGATCCCGGTGGTAAATCCCGATAGAATGGCAGAACTGCACGGCATCCAGCAGTTGCAAGAACACACGCTTGACCAACGGGTCATTGGCGACAAAGTTTCCCTTATCAGTGATACTGGAGAACAAATCACCCTCTGGGCAGTATTCCATGACGACGTAGGTGCAATCCACGGAATCCATAATGCGAACCAAGGAGACAACATTGGGATGTTGGCTGGCCAAATGGTGCAAACGGATCTCGCGCTGTTGGTACTTCAGTTGTCGGGGATCCAGCCCAGCTTTGTTAAGGGCCTTGACGGCATAGGAGATGTTGGTGTGAATATCCACGGCAGTGTAGACGACTCCATAGGCACCGACACCCAGAATGCCAGTAAGTTCCAGACGGTTGGCCAAAATAAATCCTAATCGATCCTCGGGAGCATAACACCGGAGAGTGGGAGATGGTGGTGGTGTTGGAAGCATGGCCGGATACATGATATTTAGTAGGGGAAAGTAAAAAGAAGTTGTAAATCCGGGTATATAAGTAAAATCCAAGAACTCTCAAATCTTTAGGATAAAAGAAGAGAGTGGCGATAGAAGTATTTCCAAGTGATCCGGGCTGTCCAGGGAAGTAGTGAATCTTTCCAAATGCAACGGCATTCAAGGGCAGGAATCCATTCCAGGAAGTAAGCAAAAGTCCAGAGAGAGAAGGGGGGCCGATCTAGGTAATGATGCGGTCTTTCTGGTATGGGGGTGGCGGGTATATATAAATTAAAAAAACAAAACAAGTGCAAAAAAGGAATATACTGTAGTGATAGGGCAAGGAAAGTATCAACATGAATAAGAACAATATAAGGAGGGGAAGGGGGGCGATAAAAATATCGATGATGCGTCGAGTCGTGTTCCATGTGGTTAGGCCAGGCCACCGTGGCTCCAGGAAGCGGTGTGCAGCCTGCACTAGTGCCGGGACTAGTAGGGGGGGACCAGTCTTCACCGCCCAATCATAATGGTTGTTGTGCCCGGAGCACATCAACTTGCATGCGCCACCTGCGGGTCCTGATTGGCATCGAACTTCCACTCTTTTCTTTTTTTGTTGGTCACTTGCCCCCTTTCTTCGGCTTCTCCACCTCCTTCTGCCAACTTCCCTAGTGGCAATTATGATTCGAGACCTCTTCGACCTCTCCGCCACTTCATCCCGTTCCCACATGGCCAATCTTGTATGCCCAGCCCCGCAATAAAAAATACAATTCATAATAATTTATAATTTTCAAATAAACACAAAACCTGTTGGTAGAATGTTTCCTCCAACCGTGTTCCGTGTTCCGTTTCACTTGTAGTATGGGGTTGTTTCTGCGGGACCAGGATCAGAGGCTAACTAATTTGTATGATACATAGGTTTTAATTCACTTTGGCCCCAACTCTATTCTGCCCCGTGCGAGTTAAAGGAGAAAGCATCGAGAGCACCGACCATCAACAAAAAGTGAGGCGATGCAGGAGGGGTCATGAGCCAATCAAAGAACAGGGCGTTGCTGTTTTCGAGAACGAGTGGATCCGCTTTTCCGACTCTGGTTGCACGGGCCTGCAGACCCTGGACCAACTGTGTCAGTTCTGGACTGATTGGCCAAACGTGGTGAGTTGGGGGGGGGGGGCCATTTGTGTGACTCCTCTAGGCGCCTAACTGTGTCAAAGGGCTGGGAAGTCTGCCTCTTTCTGCCTTTCCGGGACTAACCGTATAGGACAGCTCATACGAGTCAACCAGTCAAACTGCGGTGAGAATCACCTGATCTACACGATGCATCACATTCGTGCTGCACCCCAGGATTGGCAATGCAGCTGGACCGCTTGCTTCCGAGAGTTCTCTCACCGCTACCTGGAGTTTTACCAGTTCCATGCTCCTTATTCAATAGTTCATAGACTCTGGTAGACTACTGGTTCCAAACTCCTAAGCTATGCCCAGATTCAGGTCTTAGCCGATCATCGGCCCTGCATGGAGGCGCGGATGCGTGCTGCCAGGGGGGCTGGAGTCATCACCATTTCCCACAGCCCCACAAAATAAACACATCTCGACATCATTTAGCACATGGAACGAAAGTAATCTCATCACCACTTTCGGTGTTCATCGTTCCCGGATAACTTTGCCACTAAAGGGGTGGCAACCATGGAACGCGGAGATCTTTGCCTTCGAGAACTCTCCACTAGAACATTGCAACCCCCAAAAGTTTGGTTCTCCTGGGTTTCCTGGAAAGTATCCCTGAAGCTAGTGGACGCAACAGTGTGGTCTAGTCCACTCTGTACCAGCCTGCAACTTAAGATTGTAGTCAGATCTGTTATCGTCCTCGTACAGGTACATGGCAGACCCAGTTGCACCACCAATTCCACACCACGTACTCCGTACAACAAGTCAACGCATGTCCACAAGGCGTCCAATATCTGTGGATTAATGCATGGCCCCGAAACGCCATGCATCTTTCACCCGGGCTAGCTTCACCCCACCATTCACCTTACTCCTTTCTGCCTCCTATTCGACATCCCCAATCCTCGTATTCTACTCGCCCATACAGCTATCACTGGCCGCGCAATTTCCAGCGCCCAGTCCAATCGGCTTCCATCCGCACCAACCCAAATTTCCGATTCTGGTTCTCACCCACTTTGCCCATTCGTCTATTGTCTCGGGAAATATGGCCCTCGCGTGAGCGGGGGTAAACATGCACATTAACCTAGACCAGCGGTATGTACGTAGATGGCTTTATTGGTCTTTGTCTTTGTTTTTGTTTTGATCTCTCCTCTTGTGAGCTCGGACCCGAAGGGATAGATCCGAGTCGTGCTTTAACGGCGCCCGTTTGTGATGGGTCAGACATGTTATGAGATCGGCGCGGCAGTTCACACTTTCAACCGTGGATGCGTTCATAGTTGATGTCAGCTTTCGCTGATCTAGACCTCCTCCGTATCATCCGGGCGCGGGCGTGACCCAGTTTTGCTGTGTCACGCACGGAGCACGTTATACTGATGGATGCATACAGGTTTATCTTCTTTGGTCCGGAGTTAGACCATGGCTGGCTGGCTGAGGAAGCTTTAGTTATTGGATGGTGGATTATTCCACTCCTTTGAGCCTCTTCGACTAAACTCCTGTACCCAGGTACAGCGACCATGTGCAGTTTCTAGAAATGTTCCCCTCAGCTCGCCCTTGACAACACCCAAATATAGATTAGTCAACTACTACGTCAATCGAGGCGTGGTACATACTTGAATGGGTATTGATTGAATGTTTGCCTTCTTGGGGGCCAGGCTAAGCATATACATTAATGTGGATATGATGTCGTAGACATTCATTCTCCGCCTGCGTTGCCACCCGCATATGATACTGACTCAAAAGTGTTAATGCCCAATGGTATACTTAATTCTCCTCAGTTATTTCCCTTATTGCCGGTGGCCACAACAGGATCATTTGCCTCCGCGGCTTCTTTTATCCGAGTGGCCACGAAAATGAATATGCACCTGACATGCAGAGGACTATGTCTAGTTAGTGCGCGGCGATCTGGGGATTGATGAATCATCATTTACAAAGTTAGACTGTCGGACTCGTGAGAAAGACAATTTCAGATTGTCGGTCGCAACAATTCTGAGATCCGTGAGAATTTATTGAGCAATGACAAACAGACGTAGTAGTGTGGACGTCGATGGTGAGCTAACGCGTAGCACTGCTATTGTAGTCTTAATTGTTCCCTTTCCCCGTGTGTCGACTTTTCCTTCAAAAAAAATCCACTTGTCTTCTCATGATAAAATTGCCTAGATGAAGTGTCCTTCACTTGACACCTCATGGAGTCATTGTCTATTTCCTTCAGAGATTCCGACCCTCCAGGGCTAGAGGTTGGGCAATTTCGTAATTGTATGTACAGTATCCGGGAATATATATTTTAGGCATCATGATGACAGCTGAGGACATCGGGAAGACCCCAACCTCAAGATACGACATATCATTCCAGGTGTCCAGCAGTTTCCAAGAACATCTGCCAAGGTGAATGTGTGAATCAATCCAAATATTAGATATTTCAATGTCCATTGGTCAAAAATAAAGTTTTCTTGTGCTTAATGGCATCCGTGATCTAATCGCGGATTCACAACTGGTAAAATCATTAACTGTAGTATTTCATTTTTGGAATTCTTTGGCTAATCAAACGTTGTTTGAATCACTTTTCTTAACTAATATCTAAATTGTGATTATCATAATATTATTATTAGCTCCAATATAAATTATGTTATAAGAGTGAATTTTCCAACGAACCTTATTAAATAACGTTACATCAATCAACCTTGGAAGGGCCAGCCATGTCATTAGATTCCGCAAGAATGAGAAATATACAACGACCTTCCGTTGAGCATCCGATCACCAATTTTGCTGGCAGTGTAGAAGAAGGATAGAGATAGGCAAACCTATACTCGACAGGCACCCATAGTATCTTGACTCCGTTATAGGTAATCCAAGACTTGTCATCTTTCAGGCCATATCCATGTAGATCTGGCAAGGTGGGCCAGTGAGACAATTTCGTAAAAGAACCAACTGGACCTATATCAAGTGTACCATTATTCGTGTGCAACTGATAGGAATTGGCTGCGTCGAATTTAAGAAAGCTGAGAGAGTTGATAGGAGAGCTGATATGGATTGTTGACGCACACTGGCCAGTAGCTGGGCTCCAGATTCTGACAGCATCCTCTGATGCTGATGCGAGTCGACTTCCATCTGGGGACCAGGCAATCTGGGTGATTTCCTTACTATGCCCTTCAAAGGTTTGAAGACATAGACTCCAATTTTCCACCACCATTGGATCATTCAAAAGCCAAACTGGTCTCTTGTGCTGATAGCATATTTTTGTAAGACTCTCTCTTGGGCTGAAAATCAAAGGTGAATAATATACTTGCAGAGGGCTGCTTTCAATCGCTGTTTTGTGATATTGAATGAACCTAGAAGCGTCTCGAGCGCGATTCAGCAGGACCTGTGACTTGCTTTTCTCCTATCATGTCCTCTATGAGAAGAGATAATCGTGAAATGATTAAGCACACATATCTGAATTATAATCTCAAGCTTTTGCATAGCTTGGATGCCGTATGAAATGCTTCCTAAAATGCTAAGTGCCTCGAGCCAATTGAGGTATTTCTTTTGCAGAAAGCCATCAATATATCCTTCATCATCAAGGCTAGAGCGCATAGTTTGGTTCCCCCAGCTAGCCTGTAGATGCTCAACCCAGTAGATACACGCATACCGTGTAGCTCTTAGGGGATCCGGACTTGGCTTTTCAACTTGCCTAGCTGGAAAACCTGGAGCCTTGATACTGCAGATGTCACGTTGCAGTGTTTGGAACAAAGACTTTAACGATCGCATGAAAACCAGATGGTGCTTATCTTCAATGCCTCTAGGAAAGAGCTTATTCGGTGCCTCTTGTAGCAAAAATTCCTTCGCAGACTGATGAATAAACGTAATGGTATTCTGGCGTAAGGCGAGAAATGAGCCACACATTGCTATAATTCCTGATAAGGCTTCATGATCATCAGGGATAACAATAGGCATTTCAATCATCATGCATAGTTCATCCATAGTTATCGGGCGATAGACTATTAAGACGAGAGCTAACAGTTGTATGCAGATGTCGGCATTCTCCGAGTCGAGAACTCTATCCATCATGCGACCGTATAAGGCATCTAGTCCTGGAGGGAACGCTTCTAGCTTCTTAAGAGTATTCCACCGTAGAGTTTTAGAAAGTTCTTGACAAACCAATGATACCCATAAAAAAGTGCCTTGCGAGTCTGATAATAGGTAGCCATTGACCGAAGCGCGAGTTTCATCGCTATAATTTTTGATTTTCGTCAATTCGTAGAGTCTGTGCTTGATAAATCTGTTCACGGCTTCGGAAATGAATGCTTCGTTAAGCTCTAGTGGTATTGCAGATATTTGGTTAGAGTCAAGGCGCTCTGTGATTTCAGGCCAGTTGCGACTAGAGACGATCCACTTCACTCTCGGGTGGATGATCGACTCTTGAACGATCAGATCCAGAAGGAAAGAAAGACCATATATGCACTCATCTAGCGCATCAATCACAATAAATGCATCCTCCAAAGCCGGGTCTTCCAGAATATCTGTAAAGATTGCTGAAAGTGCACTCCACGCATTCATATCCTCGAATAGAGCCTTTCCAGCTCGATCGTACCGACTCCGTACATGGACCAGCAGAGATGGGCGCGTTATAACAAGTAAGTATATCAAGCCACGTAGAACAGCTGTAGCATTGTTGATACGTATATCGGTAGCTTGGCAGAAAAAAACAGAGATAGTTGCAGTGTTGTCTCGATTCATTTGAGCCAACTCCTCAATAATACCACCCGTGGACACAGGAGCATTGTTTTGCCTTTACCAGGATCCCCTCGGATCCAGAGGAGACGGTTGCCCGGGCTGCCTTGCCACTATTGGAACTCCTTGCTGTCTAAGATCTAGTGGTACGAGTCTCTGAGAAGGCCTCCGTAGGTGTTCTTGATTCGCTTCATATCATCGTCAGGATTGGTCGTTCGCAAATCCCGCAGGCAGGCTTGGTCTAATGATGCTTGTCTTGATGTTTCCAATTGTAGAAACTGAGCAGTGATGTGACCATGATTCTGTCCCACTTGAGTTCCAGAATTTGTACCACTGAATAATGTGCTTGATGCCATGATAGTAGCCTGTTGGTCTATAGTAAATTGGTCAGCCTACTTTAGGCTTGCAGCTTGCTAGGATACCCCGCCATCAGGTGATCTATCATAAGGCTAGAAATACAACCACCCGAGGGAGCCATTTTTATACATTTTTTGCCCCAATCTAATTGTAAAGAGTCAGTTTCCTGTAGACTTGGATTCCGTAATTTGCCGGTTTGCTATGGAGGTAAACAAATTGATGCCGCTGTGCAGACAAGATTACAATCACCAAATGAAAAACAGCCACTACTAGTGGCTGTCTACATCCACAGCTTCGATCAAAAATCGCCGCCGGTGTTTAATTGAGAGACATTTCAAGATTTCCATGGCAAATATTCTGAAAGCTTTTAAACCACCTGGGCACTGGTATGTAGTAAACATTGCGAGAGGAATATATCGGCTTGCCAATGCAGTTGGATGTTAATAAGATCTTATGTTACATATATGGAAGTGATCGGTCTAATTTCGAACTTCTTGAGCTACTCTATTCACTGTCGCCAATTTGGAACATTGCTTCTTGGCTCGCGCTCGTATTCGCACTAGGCTGCAGAAGTGACTTCAAATACGAATAAGAACGTCACCCTCCAGGGCTGGCAAGGGCCCTCTTTTGAGCATTCAACAACTGAATCCCCAAAATAGACGATGATCTCCCGAATCTGCTGCCTCAGGCCTGTGCAATTTGTCTCATTGCGTGATGAGGCTTTCGAAGCCGATCAAGCACGCCATGCGTTACAATCCATGCGAGAGTGGATCTCAAGATCCCATAGCCTGGACCCTGATACGCTAAGATTAAGCGTTCGTATAGGCGAGGCTTAGTCTCGAGCCAAAAGCAGACAAGGCTACCAAAATAACAGCCCCGATGAGACTTAGGGCTCCAGGCCGAGGTGCAACGGGTCGCGACGTTTAGGCAGACGCATTTCCCTTCCAATTTGTTGCGAGGACTTTGAAATTGAACGTGTCCGCCTAACACAGGGCCTTTGTAAGTGTTTCTCTGCACAGTGCAGACCCGATTACTTCGGCTTAGGCCATCCATCAATGTCAGCAAACCAGCGCGACCGATAGATCTCATCGCCCAAGTTGATCTTGCGCCGCGCACCATTGACCACCAAGCTGGTATGGAAACCTCGGAACTTGGTCCAGAGCGACTGCACATAGATGAAGCTGCCATCCGGCGCCAGGTTGAAACTCTTCAGATCTGACTGCGGTAGCTCCTCAAAGTGACCGGTATGATTGATACCGTGCCGATCATCAGTCGTCACCTCAAAGCCCTTCATGTACATTTCCTGAACATCTTCATACTCGGCGAAGAATTCGCCCGTTTCAATGTCAAAGGCGTGCAAGCCCCGATCCTCTGAGATGAGAAACTTGCGCTGATTTGGCACGGGCACGAGATCGTGCGGCCCGGCCCACCACGGATAACCTTTACCCCATTCGGTCTCGATGGTGTACGCATTTGGAAGACGATAGATGTACCGGTCATCTTTGCGCAGTTCACCTGTTGCCGTGTCGAACGGGTAGCCTATGATGGTCCCGTGGGCGGGGATTGGGTCTGTGCCGTCAGCGGCGGCGTCGGTGCCGGTCGCCCATAACATCTGGCCTTGCTCATCCCAGATCATGCCGTGGATGGCGCGAAGACCTGTGATGTTTTGCACGACGGGCGGATTGTCCTCGAGGGGGTTGTCGAGGCTAATGTTGTACACGAGAATACCATCCCAAGGCCGTTGGCCGGTTGTGGAGACCGCGAGGAGGTCATTAGGGAGAGGTTCGACACTATGGGCGTTCCATAGAAACTCATTATCGCGACAAGTAGCCCAAGTGATTTTCTTATCGCGGATTGGGTCATCCGGGGTGTGGTTCACGACTATGACGAGGTCACTGTATATGGCGGCGACACTCTCCCCGCCGCGCATGTATTTCATGTCGGTCGCATCATTGGCACCTCCATACAGACAGCGCTGCAGTTCGGAAGGTAAGTCCTGATGCACATCTTCACGACGAAAACTCCATTTCACATCACCGGTGCGATCATGGATCTTCAGCAAGGGTGGGTGGCCGTATACGCCGGTGATGATGTTTTGCCAGGGCCTGTTCTCGGGCCGTAATCGGGCTTGGGGCTGGATGGGTGGAATGTACCAATCGGCCAAGGGCTCGAACAACAGGGGAATCCAGCCCAAGGCACCCAACATGATTCAGACTTGGGGGCAACCAGATAGGGGGAAAAGTGGAAAAGGAATCCAATTGCCACTTAGGGGCAGAGGGATTCCTCCGTGTACGAGTGGAGATCGAGCGGGAGGGAGATGTTACTGCGCCAACATTCGGACAGGGATTCCTTCGTTATCGCCAATGAAAAAGCGGTTAAAATTGGGGCTTACATGAATTACCGACAAGAGATATTCTGGGAACAAATGATGAGATCACGCCTTCAGCCTCGTTGACTGCGAACTTGGCACCCTTGGCGAATGGGGCCGAGTGGATTCCAACCAATACAGTTTCCATTAAATGATTGAATCCACAAAGACCCTGACTTGGTTAAGGGTCGCGTGTCTTAATCTTAGCCCAAAAGCACCTCATTTTTCGATTCTCTCCTCACTCTCCTCCTTTCCGAACTTCATATGCTATTCCCATCATGAAGAAGGTGGCCGGCGTGGTGAATTATGTGCGCCACCAGGCCAACCAACTTTATCAGTCTCCTAACCGGACCCTGGAGATCCTTGAGGTCTTTTGGGATTTTTCGCGACGCTATTTCTACGCTTTAGCCTTCTGGTCACTTTTCAGCGCCAAATTGCTTCATCTTTTTGCCCATTTATACTCACTCCCCTTGTCCAAATTCATTCTCTGGGGACCTTCGTTCTTTTTCCAAGATGTCGCGATCTTATTGCTGTTTCGCATTTTGGTGCAGAAAACCTCAGGTTTCATCGCAGTGACATGTGCACTTATTGTCTTCCCATTTAGGTAAATCCGCGCGTGTCCCCTTTCTGATCTCGTCTGATCTCGACTATCGAGTGTACAGCTATCAGTGGGATCTATAAGAAACATCTAACGCGAAATGCAGTCTTATTGTCTCGGGAATGGCAGCCGCCAACTTCTCCGTCTATGTCTTTACAGGCTCTGAGATTCACTGGAGACAGGCCAAAACCTTCACTGGGGACGCTGCAGCTTTGCGAACCCTACTATCCGGCTTGACCGGATTTTTGATTGGGGAAGCGCTGCTTGTGGCAGGCGCCTTGTTCACGGCCCGCCCAATCCACAGATTTGTTGGTGGCGTTTTGCATGTCTTGGCGTGGCCCTGTCGCTGGATGCTGACGCGACTGCGACCGTGTGTGGGACCCCTATTGCAACGTTTCCCAAAACGGTCACATACATTACCGGATCCCCGGCTATACGAGCAGATTCACCTGGAAGATGATTATTTGAACGATTCTGAGGATGATGATGATGACTTCTTGCTCGACCCGCTCGGTCACAATGTCTCGGAGAATAGGCGTTCCACCGACCGCTTAGTTCCGAGGGTCCTGGTGCTCGGGTTCGTATTCTTGGCAGTGACGTTGCGTTTACTCCGCCCGTCTGAGCCGGTGTATCTATATTTGTCAGGAACACTACCATTGGCCTCGCTCTTTGAAGGCGGTCACCGGAAATCCCCAGTCGATATCTCGGGACTGCCTCCCTATCAGTTTACTTATCTGGCAGGCCAAGACTCTTTGCATATACCACCATCCTGGGACTGGATGCCCAAGGATGCTGGCCCAGGATTTGAGGATTGGAAGCCCAAACTTCCCAACGCGAATGAATCGGTTCACTACAGCCCACAGACAAATCCCCTGCATATTTCCAACTTACAGCAGCCAGTCTTGGAGTCCATCCAGGGCGTTCTCGCTGACGGGAGTGTCAAGATCAAACATGTGGTCCTGCTGAAGCTCGAAAGTGCTCGCGCAGACACATTCCCCGTGCGCAAGGACTCGTTCCTGTACAATCGCATCGCGGAAACCTATGACAATGGTGAAATACCCAAAGAGGTCCAAGATCGCATTGCCAATCTCACTCGCACGGCCGAGTTCTTGACCGGCTTTCCTTCTGGTTTCCAGCACAACGACACCCTCCATGCAGGCCACAAAGCCTACGGTGGTCTCAGCGCGAGCAACGCCTACACTACTTCCACCTACACCCTCAAGAGTTTGGCCGGCACACTCTGTGGAGTGACTCCGCTAGTTGCTGATTTCAATCGCGAGTGGGAACACCACATCTATCAACCCTGTCTGCCCCACGTCTTTGAAATGCTCAGCAACCAAAAGGGTATCACCAGCGACACCGAAGATTTCACCCGATGGCCCTGGCACTCAATCTGGATGCAGTCCGTCACCGAAGGTTACGATAATCAGGATAAACTGACCCCAGTCTTGGGCTTCAAGGACAAGTACACCAAGGAGATCATCGAAAGCCCCGAAGCAAAGCACTACCCCGTGAAATCCGAGGAAGTCAACTATTACGGGTACGCCGACACCGAACTACGCGAGTACATCAGCGACGCTATCGATGACGCTGAGCGCGACCACAAGCGTCTCTTCCTCTCTCATCTGACCGGCACCACCCACCATCCTTGGGGCCTGCCCAATAACACCTACGAGCAGATCCTCGGCTCAACGAAAGGCCACAACGAAGATCTCAACCGATACCTCAATGCCGTCGGCTTCCAGGACAAATGGCTCACCGAAATCATGGGTATCCTAGAAGAAAAGGGCGTCGCCAACGAAACCCTTCTTGTAATGGCAGGCGACCACGGTCTCTCGCTCCCCAACGACGGCGGAATCACGCCTTACGATAATCCACACGTCGGCAGCTTTGCCGTGCCCATCGTCCTCGCACACCCGCAACTGCCTGCCCTTGAGATCAGCGCCCCAGTCATCAGCGACCAGATCGTCCCTTCGATCCTGGACCTGCTTATCGAGTCCAACTCTCTTTCCAAGAAAGCTACCAAGCCAGCGAAGGATATTCTGTCTCTGTACGAAGGCCAGTCGCTCATCCGCCCGCTCATTCAAGAACAGAATGGCATGCAGGATTGGCAGTTCACAGTCATGAACACTGGTGGTTCATGGCTTGCGGTCCGATCCGCCGCCCGACCGCAGTACAGACTCGTCATCCCACTCGTCAACGATGTCGAGTGGCGATTTTCCGATCTGAGCACCGATCCATACGAGCTGAAGCCGATCTCAAGGTTCAATCTTGCGGATTTGGCCGCTGTGATTCACAAAAAGTATGACGAGGAGGTCTTACAATGGCTTTTCGACGCCGCATATGTGACGAATTGGTGGGTTGGGGAGAACTGGGCTCGGTATAGATTCCATCCTCAGAATCATGGAGATGAGTGATTCGAATATTGTTCTTGGTGAATTTGCAACACTCATTGGAAGTGGAGACTGGTCTCTCGGTTCAAAGTCATCTTGACCCTGCTGGCTGGGTTTTGTTTTTGGACATCAAGTCCTCGAGAGACCTCCATATATCCAGCGTCGGGGTCGATCCCCAGCGCATATATCTCATCGCAGTCGGTAGATTGGAAGATCTCATTTGAGACCTGCGCATGCATATTGAGGCCCATCCTTCTTGATCATATTTTGGGTTCGACGGTGATACCTATCCTAGACACAGATTTGGATGGTACTGTCTATTAATAATAATATGGCGTCAGCATTTAAACTTCGTTGTCATCTATTTCAGCTAGTGAATGAATCTTGAGAGGATTAGAGAGTATACATGGAAGCATAGGATGAATGAAACATCTCATTGCATTGATATTGGTTACTTGGTCTATATGTTGTGTAAAGGAGAATGCTAAATCTGGGTATAGCCCTGAGGATTCACGATCGAGTCTTGTATTGCTGGCTTGAAACGCGTATCAATACCAATAAATAACTTTCATCCCTCCCGAGGTCCTTCGTCCGGATAGGAATGTTTGATGGTCTGTTCCCCGGTGGTGAGGATGATTTTGATGTGCGTCATAGTGAGTTTTCTGAGATGAGAAACATCTGCGGCCCGAGGTCACATAGTACCCCTGTCTAGAGTATCTCTACCAGCTGGATCTATGCCATGTCCAGCGTAACTCTCCTTGGTCCCCCGATTCCATGAATATAGCCTGGGCGATTCGTTCCCGCGATTTGACCTAGTTTCGCTTGAACTGACACCTACAGCAGGAAAACATAACAGCTTCAGTGTAGAGTGGCCAGGCCAACAGTGTGCCGTAAGAGGTATTGCTCTAGATCCAAGTTCGATAACATGGAACGAAGACAGGTGTTGTGAATGGATTGTTGTGTGGTAGAACATGATTCGATCTTTGCGAATGGAGGCAATAGCTTTTAGGGCTGGGCTGCCTTGCTGTAGTCATTTTCACCCGGAGCTTTCCGCCTGACACGATCATGATTCACATTGCTTAAGGGTGCTGATTCCGGTGTATAGCCAGCATATGACTGAGATCATTGACATGCATACCTTTCTGGCTACCATCTGACATGTCTCAGTATCCCTCAAATCCCCGGCACCACTCTGAAAGAGAGAGAAAATGGCCAGTTTCTCCATCTTGTGAATGGCTGAGTAATCTAATTCGTCCTGTCAGGTCACCATGACGAACAGGAACACGCAGATGATGGGCTGCAATTCCAGATTGTAAAGTTCCTGCGGTAGAAATGTATCAAAATTCCAGATACCGAAGTGTCTGTTCAGGCGTAGCCTCAGCCAGATGCGTCGATGTTCATTCCAAGCACCTCTTGTTTGAGTCATCAATTGCACTCGAGCAATTAAAATAAGCCACAAAGGGGGCCTGATCTTTGTCGATTTTCGTGTCGTAATGGTAGTATTGAATGATTTGCGTGAAAACCATAAGCCACGATCGTCTCTGCACCAACCAAGTGATCACAGGCCTTCTTCGGACTTGCTTCAAAGCATGGCAGCTTCACAGTTGAGTTTCGTACATCTTGGTTGGTCGTATTTCGATACACAACCCAAATCCGACTCTCCTGGTTGAATGTTCGCCGCCAGAATACCACGAGATAGATTTTGACACAGGTTGGCATAGCTGTTATCTTGCCGCAGCCCTCCTGAACCGCAGTCCCAACAATCTGTCTCCTGGATCGTGTTTTGCGTTTCTCACTGAAGTTCAGTCCTATTCCCACGTTCTCCTGGCATCGGCCACTTTTTGTGTACCGTAGGACTGCCATCTGGTAGTCAACAGCATATCAATGTATCTTCAAGAGATTCATAGATCGGATTTTAGTGGATTAGTTCCGGAAATTCTCGCCGTAGGTATCTTGCGAGGGCCCCGAACTATTATCAAGCCAAAGTCAGCACTGACACATCATATCATGTGCTCGTCAATCCTTCTTCATCCACTTACCTGCTTCATGAATAAATCCTCTTCAGACTCGAAGTCACCCGAAGTTGTCTTCTTTTTGCTTTCCCCGAGACCATACTGAGAAGGGGGATATCAGCGCGCCATAGGAGGCAGCAGAGGCACCTGGGTGGTTGATGAAGAAAGAGAGAGAGAGAGAGGAAGGAGAGAGAAAGGCAAGATATTTATAGTAGTCAAACTTCTGCCTAGAATGTTTGTTTGTCTTCTATAGGCAGTAGCATATTTGTGTTCCTTGGTGATTAAGAATTTTTCGAGATTATCCGTACACACGTGGAGAAGATGGGGTTCAACCACTAGAGTATACGTTGTTTGTAGCATTTGAATGCCATATTGATAAGGCAGATAAATGACAGCAACTACTGTAATGGAGATAAAATCTTGTGAAAGCAGTGAGCTGACCACATAGGCATGCTCTAAAGGGCTGACTGAAAAGTCAGGTTTGGTTTGTGAAAAAGTGATTTGATCTCTTTACATTCAAATGATATTTCTGCACTGGCCACACCACAAGATATTGACCTTTTGTCAGTCCAGCCTTTGAAAGATACATGTGCAATATGGAATTCATAAAGCTACTTGGAAAAGTAAATCATCCATCAACGTAAACACTAGTCACTGCTATCTGGACTACGGCTTGCGAGCCAAAAAGGGATGCTTCAGCGCCTCCGCGGGTGTAATACGCTTCTCAGGATTCAGAGTAAGACACCGATCCAAGAAATCAAAGAACATCGTCAACTCTTTCACATCAGCATCTAACATTCCACGGGTACCATTGCCCGTCAACCGCGTCTTCAAGTCGCGCGTGGGCTTCTTGAAATCCAGGATGCGAGTAACAGGTCGACCGGTGAGTTTGTCTTCTTCTATGCTGTGGAAATTGAGCATGTCATCGAAATGCAGGTGGGCGAGAGACCCACGACGGAGAACCTTGGGCGGGTATTTTCCACGGCACTCCATGATGGATTTGAGCATTTGATTGTTGTTCCGACCAGTGAAGAGGATCTTGCCCGTGTACAGCTCAAAAAGGGTACATCCGATGGACCAGACATCAATGGCGTGGTCGTATGGAATGCCCAGAATGATCTCCGGGGCTCGGTAGAATCGACTAACCAGATACGGCGTGATCTCATTGTCAGAAGCGGGAGAAGCAGAACCAAGATCGCAAACCTTGAGTATATTGCGCTGTTCATTCACGAGGAGATTGTCGGGCTTCAAATCGGCATGCAAGATGTTACACTTGCGGAGGAGACTCAGTCCAAGGAAGATCTGTTGAGAATAGGCCCGAATCGCGCGCAGATTCAGCCCAACATCGCGACCGAATTTCTTGAGCACCTCTCGAAGATTCATGCTCAGGTTTTCAAACACCATGCACAGATGGCCTTTGTGCTCGAAGTAGCGTTCGAATTTAATCACGTGCTTCTTGTCTTCGGGGTCGGCCTCGCGCAGCTGCTCCAAAATCCCAATCTCTTTCATACCAGCTTTGCGCATGGTATCGTTCTGGCGGATAATTTTAATTGCCACGAGAGCTCCCGTCGTGGAATCGGTGGCCCGGACAACAGAAGAAAACATGCCCTTACCGAGGGTTTGCGTGACATGGTACCGGCCGTTGATCAACTCACCGATACGGAGGTTGTAGTATCCTTCGGGATCATCCCAATTGTCCATCATGCTGATGTCCAATTCCTTGGCTTGCGGTATGGCGGATATTGCCGATGCGTGGGTTGGTTGTCCCTCCTTCTCTTCGGCAAACATGTCGTCGTCGTCTTCTGCAAACATATCATAAGGATCCTTTGCAGGAACTGGGGGTTGGTGAGGGGGAGCATCAGGGATAAGAACATCCTGCTTTACAGTTTGAGTCTCATCGTATGCTGCAGATGATACATCCTCTTTTGTGCTTTGACTACCATCACGTTTTTGGGTCTCCTCTTTCATGTCCACTGTAGGATCATAATCTGCAGCCGAGGGTTCACCGTCAGGTGGCATATTTGAGTTGGCGAGATCTGTATCCTTGCTGATTTTAAAATCAGCGAAAGCCTGTCCAATTTGTCCATTGGGTGTCTGTGCTGGTGAGAAGGATGGAGAGTCTATAGGGTTGAATCGAGGTCAGTTATATTCATTATGCTTTGAATTGAGAAACCTACCGGCCGTATCTTGTGCACTGGTTGGCTCTGTGCCAGGAGTTGATGAGTCCGTATCGCCATCTCCAGCGTGCACCGCTTGCAGATGCAAGGGTGTTGCTTGGGTTCGATACTTCGCCCGAGTGGCCTCACGACGTTTCCGACGTGCCTCTAAGGCAGCAGCTTCATCAATTGGCTCAGAAAGCTGCGAAACCTCTGCAACATCCGAGGAAGAGGCTTTCACACTGTAGACTCGATTAGTTCATCATTCTTAGGATGGCCGCAATGAGTAACATACTTATCGGCGAAATGGACACGGGAAGGAAGAGCCTGCTGCACCTGAGTTGATTGTGTTTCAGCACCAAGCTTGGAATCCCGAGAGCCAGCTGGGGTCTTTCCTTCACCCACTACCTGACCAGAGGAAGGACCACGTCCATTGCGGTCTGCTGGATGCGCATTTGAGTCCGGCTCATCATAACGTTTCTGCTTCCGTGGATCGCGATACGGAGATCGGTTACGAGTGCGCTGGCGCTTATCTTGGCGTTGGTCGTAATCATCCGTATACCGTAGGCCATCACCATATGTTTCTTCCCGGTCATAGTCGTGATAAGGCTTGTTGGGTCGACGCGAAGGGCCTCGGTCTTGTCTGTCGTCATATCTGGACCCATAACGGGAGGATTCGTACCGGGAGCTCTCGTACTCATCATCGCGCCTGCGCTTGTAACCTCTATCTCTGTTTTCACGGTACGGCGAGCGAGAGGGAGATCGAGATCGCGATCTCGTCCATGAGTTGCGTCGGCGTGGTGATCGGCTGCCTCGCGATGCAGGGGATCTGGGCGCACTAGCTCTGGGGGGACGGTCAACGCTGGTGCCATTAAGAGGAGTTTGTGACGCAGTTGCCTTCAACTCAGTACCTGTCTCGATGATCTCACCCTCAGAAGGGGTCGATAGAGACCTCGACCTTCGGTGTGATGCCATTGCTGACAGAACTGCACCCGAGAACTTTTTCTTGCGGCCTTTGGAGGAGGCTTCACAGGGTGAAAAGATGCTCAGTTAGCACGAGCACAAAAGCGATATTGTATCTTTAGGGATGTTTGAAAGTCCAACCGGCTTGATAGGCCTGCCTTCACACCAAAGCCTTTTTGCAGCTTTGATTATCCCAGGCACATAGTTCAGTGACTAGGTCTGTGAAAAGAAACGGGACGCGCTAGAATTCGATAAGGACGAATCACGCGTGGATGGGAAGAGATGTAATGGAGAAAGAGAAGTCGCGCGATCTGCTCTGAGATCTGAATCGACGATACGCCGATTTTGCCATCCCGGATATAGCAGGCGGTCTGTCTAGTTCCCCGCCTGCATAGATAAACCGTTAAAAAAAAACTTTGGCATTCGCCATCAACGTACCCCTCATTCCAGTCTCTTAACTCCCACGTTCAATTAAATCCTACAAAAATGGGTGGCGCTAGCAGAGAAGGTGAGCAGCATTTACCTTTCCCATCCTTTCACCCACGATTAGGCCACTAAACTTCTTTACTAGGTGGCAAGGTCAAGCCCCTCAAGGCCGCAAAGAAGGAGAAGAAGGAGCTTGATGAGGATGAGCTCGCTTTCCGTGAGAAGCAAAAGGCTGGTATGTGTACCCTATAATGTTCTTTACTGGGCGTTCAACTGACATCTCGGCGCATTAGATGCCAAGGCCAAGAAGGAGATGGCCGACTCCGCCAAGGGCAAGAAGGGACCTCTGAACACCGGCCAGCAGGGTATCAAGAAGTCGGGCAAGAAATAAATTCGGAACGGAATTCTGCTAGGCGCATATCACATGGAAGGACTTGGTCCTCGACATCTTACGATCCAAACGAATCTTATCACCAATGAGAGCGCAATACATTCTTCCACCCATGCTATACCCACCGACAGTGTTTCGGTTTGATGTTTATATATCTATTGTGGGTTGATGTACATTTCTGTATAGAATAGGTTGAAATTGTTTACAATTAAACCCGCAAGATCATCTTTCATTAACTCAGCCCGAAAAAACATGGTTCTAAACGAACAAGCACCACTGAGAACAGGTCACAGGAGCAAGTCAATACACCGGGTATCCAAACTAGACAAACAAGAAGACGCCCAGAAACCAAAGTTTGGGAAACAATAAGAAAAAGAAAATAGAAAGATAAGGGGCCTAGATGTTTTGAGATTCTTCCTTCAACCTCCATTTGATAAATCAGCTGGTGACACGCTTCACCCACAAAGTACTGCCATTCCCATTGTTGTTCTCATCCAATCGTCTCCACGCCCGAGCGGCCTTCAGTCCAAGCTCATGCTCCTCTCTCTTGATCTCGGCAATGTCATTCTCGATGCTCTGGACGCTCCTTTTCACCTCCTGTTTGGCGGCAAGGTCATACGCAACATTGTTAGGTTGAATGACTCGGGTCAACTCTTTGATCACCGTTTCCAGGTTGACTCGACGCCGTGCGAGTCCATCTCGTTTGGCTTCCAGAGCCTGGATGCGATCCACTGGATCTGTAGGAGGTTGAGCCACTGGATCTGGCCCCGGGGGGACCTCTGCTGGAGTCGGCTTGCGAATTGGCTTCCTTGACACCGGCATGGTGATGGGAATTGGTCGTCGGCGGGACATGATAGACGGGTTATCGTCCACGGCTTCTGGTGTGCCACGTGAGTCGGGCTGTGGGCTTTCCCGTGGGCTTTCCCGTGGGCTATCTCGTGGACTATCTCGTGGACTATCTCGAGGGCTATCTCGCGGAGTATCTCGAGGGCTTTCACGTGGACTGGGGTTGTCGGGCTTCGGGACATCAATGCTACCACCAAAGTCGACGAGAGGTTGCGTAGGGAGCAGGGTATCAATTACCGTGTTGATTTCTGGTAGCGGTTTGATATCTCGTTGTTCCCGCCATTGCTTAGTTGGAGCATCTCGTGGAGTTGGTCTCTTCGGCAACGTCTTTGGACTACCGGCAGTGATCGTCGTCACGGTAGTTGGAACCAAACCAATATGAGATAGCTGCACACCTGTGTTCGCGCTAGGACGTTTCGAATGCACTTCACTAGGAGCCACACGTGATGTCGATCGATGACCTCCGTCCTTAAGCCTCTTATCTTTTCCTCTGATGGGTACAGGGATTTCGCTCTTGTAGAAACTACCGCTTCGACTACGGGCTTGGGCGAACTCCTTTATGGGCAAAAGCTGTTCGCGCCCCCAGCTCAAAAGGTTGGATGCAGACCCAGCCGCTTTATGAGAAGTGTTATTCTGCGGGTTGGCTTGAGCAGCTTTTCCAGCGGTCGTAGTGCTTGGTTCGCCAGAATGGACATGCCGGCGTGCACTACTTGGATGTTCAGATGGCGCTTTGACAGGCAGATCCTTGGAGATTGGTGGCGGAGAAAATGATCTAAAAGTTGGTTCAAGAAAAGAATCTTCCGGAACGGATTCCTGACTAGCATTGTGATATTCAAAATCCCTGCGAATGGGTGCGCTAGGGCCCGATTCCAGCGTTTGTTGCGGTGGCTCAGCTGGTGAATAGTTTTCTATGGCGGATGGGATCTGTTCTGGCTCTGCCACGAATGCAACAGCCTTCTTTTTGCGTGGAGGTGTAGGCGCTGCGGGTGGAGATGGTGGAGTATCAACATAAAGCGCATGTAAATGAGCATCGGCGAAATACTCCCCAGTCGAAGCTCTTTGTTCCTGGCGCGGAAAACTGTTCGACTCATCAATAGGCGATACACAGAAGCTGCTTCCACTGTCATTCACAGTCTCCAGGGCGGGCGACGCCATAGGGGAAACGGCAGAGTATCGCCGTTCATTGGCGTCCTGTGCAGTGGCCAAAGCCTCGCTGGCCCGAGTCGGTGTGTTGCTCTCGTCATCCGATGCCCTAGTTGAACTATTAGACGAATGTATACCCGAATAGTCACGGGAATACCTACTCGGGTAGCGAAGGCAGGCCCTTGGAGATGGGCTCTATCCGCATTGAATCCACATGCGCCGAGTTGTTATCGCCCGATGTGGGGTTGCCCATTCCCCGCGATCGATTCAGTCCCTTCGACCACATCTTTTGTCTGCGATGATCGGGGTGGGGATAACGTCGCTGATTGCAGTATCGTGAAATGGGGCTGGTAAGAAGAGTTCAGAAATACGGAAAAGCTCACCTCGGTCAACGAGGTGAGATGAAAGGGAGAAAGTAAAAAAGGCCGGGCTAGCCGGATCAAAGAAAGTAAGGTCTGACGACTGACCACGGGTGCCAGCGCGGGGTGAGCTACGAGAGAAAGAGGAAAAGGGAGAAAAAAAACGAAAACTAGACCTCCAGTTGTGAGACCAGCATGGCATCACCAGGTGGAGTAGGCATAAATTAAAATGGGGGCGATGACCTAGTGGAGTAAACAAAGGAGCTTTTAGGGACTAAAAGTTTCATGTTTAGGTTTGGGCTGATTGACGTTTCTTTGTTTAATTCGCTATATATAGCAGGAGACTGTATCATTATGCGCCCATATCTAGCATGATTGGTATTCATTTCATCTTTCCAGTGGAATATAAGTCGATATAGTGCAGCAGCGCATACAGTGACCAAAATAGCAACAATCACGTGATACAGGGGACGTTGACGCTAAAACCCTTAGGAACATGGGTTCCGTGGCTCACTTGGATAAAGCATCACTGACGTTGCTTCTACATATTTCTTCTAAAGTTCATATCGAGGGACAAACACTTGAACTGTTATTGACAGCATACTTGTTGAAAATGACCCGAAAATAATAAGCGGCTCCAAATTTCAGATTTGTCATGTCATCGTGATCCGGAGAACGTCATCGCAGAATATCAAGATACTTCCATCCCCAACCTTCTTTGCTAAGAGCTAGAAGAGAGAAAAACAAACATTTGGAACTCAAAAACTATTAAGAAAGAACAGATTTAACCAAACAACATATCGCATCTCCAGCTTCACAGCTCACTGCGAACGCGCTCGGTCTGCTCGGATGCCTTCTCGCGGACTTTTTCAGCGGCTTCCTGGCCCTGGGCCCGACCACTGGAGGCACCGATCTTCAGTTGCTCCAAGGCCCATTGCAAGGTGTCTACGACCTTGGCATAAATGGTGTCCTGGGGGTTTGTTGTGCCATACTTGAAGTAGGTAGCGTGACGGCGAGCGGCAGCTCGGAGCTCGTTGATGTTGGAACCTTGGTACACCGGAATACCGTACGAGTCCAGATATTTCTTGAGATCAGATTGCGACCACTGCTCAAAGGTGGCGTCTTTGGCATGACCAGTAGCCTGTGCGGCAGCAGCAGTAGCCGATGCGTATTTATCGCCGCCGACCTTGGAAGCCTGGTCATAATTTTCCTGAGCATACTTAGCCAATTCTTCCCGAGAAGCATCGGCCTTCTTCGCAGCCTTGGCGTTGACAGCAGACAAATATTTACTAGCAGAGAAATTAGTCATTGTCAATTGCTCTCTCTTCGCGAAGAAAACTTACAGGAGATGCTCCTTGTCCCAAGTGTCAAAGTTGTACTGGTTCCAACCACCAGCAGCCCGGTGCGCACTAGCACGTACAGCGGCGATGAGTTCATCACGCTTGCCAGCCTGAGGAACCGGGACACTACGAGCATCAAGGAATGCCTTGAGGCGGGAGTCAGACCACGTCTTGACAGCAGCATCGAACTGATCCTCTGCCTTGAGCTTGACATCATCCGTTGCCCGGGCATACTGATTTCCAGCCTTGGTAGTAGCAGCACCGATAGCCTCGGAGGCAGCAGCAGATGCACTGGCAGCCTGACCGAGCAGATAAGCGCGGTGCTTACGAGCAAGGGCAATAAGCTCATTGCGCTTGGAACCCTGCGGGACTCGCACATTGTGCTCATCGAGGAACTCCTTAAGCCTAGAGTCGGACCAGGCGTTGAATAGTTCTTCACTCAGCGATGCCTTCGCAGCTTCAGCAGACGCACTGGCAGACGCAGTAAGGGCGCGTGCCTGGAGACTAGCAGCTCGGGAGTTGCGGCGCACCATGGCGATGAGCTTGTCGCGGCTGCTAGGCTGGGGGACGGGCCATCCGCGCTCATCGAGCCATTCCTTCAGATCGGACTCGGACCACTGTCCATACAACCAGTTACCAGGGTATGCGGCCGTCTCACCAACCTTTTGGGCGACATTTTCGTAGTTTTCACGAGCGGTCTTGATGAGGGCGTCGCGCTTGCGGGGCTGAGGTGCAGGAATGCCGTGGTAATCGAGGAATGATTTCAGTTGTGAGTCCGACCAACTTGTGTACTGTTAGTTTGGTTTGGCGTGGACCGAAGAGTGCATAGAGCCAACTTACGTATCGAACACCCATTCTTTAGCATACTGAAGCTCGTCCGACAAGTGATCAGCGACTGAGCCAAGGGGCTTCTGTACCTTGGAATCCCAGTTGGACTTGACCAAGTTTTCGAGGTCCTTGCGGTCGGCGGGAGCAGGGTAAGGAATGTCTGGATATGTCAATTCTCAGATCACAACATGATTTGCAAGTGGGGAGCAGGACTTACCATGATCCGATAGCCATCTCTCAAGCTCTGTCTCGTGCCATTTATTGTATACTAGAGTATTGGTGTTAGCGTTGAAAGCATGGACTGTTCTCCATAAGCAACGAACCAGCTTTGCTCCACCAGCTTGAAGCTCCTACAGCTTCGGCGGTCGCAAGGAAAAACACCAGGCCAGTGGCCAAATGGAGTTTCATGGTGGCTTTGGTTTTGAATTTTGATGAAAGCTGCTGAAGTATTCGAATTAGTATTGCAATTGTCTACAGACCCAATAGACATTAGGGAAGGGGAGACAAACCCAAGAAAGATTGGAAATCAAAAGGAAGAAACAATCAAGGCAGGAGCATGAATTCCCTTAAATACGAGGGGTCAGATCTCGCCTTCAAAGAGTGATGCAGGCAGGGAAACAACAGCAGGGATGATCGTGCAGTGACGTAGTTGGGGAATTTGCCTGGTTCCCTAAGTGCATGATTCATCGAGTGGCTCATTCTTCCTAACAAATAAAATAGCGTCATCTGATTACCTTGTTTCTTATAATAAAGCTCCTGGCACAACCATGCGACCGAACAAGGGTTTTATGGTAGACATTAGATGTGCCTTTTTGCTCAATCTTTCAGCTTCTACGTTGGGCTCCACTTTGTGTCACCGCGGGATTGGTATTTGGAGGAGAGCTTTGAACCCTCGTATTCAGGCCAACCAATGGTTTAGAGCTTAAGTCTAGTTCAAGGAGCGAACAGGGTCTTTCAAGTAAATTAGAATCAAATTTCCAATCTGAGTGTTATACAGTAAGCTATTCATGAACGTTCCCGGGATTCTTCCTGCCTTGTTGCCTGAGGCATAGAGACAACCCCAACCAATCAGCGCCCAGTTTCAATATCCTAAATGTAGGGATGTATGAGAGAGTGAGAAGAATTCGACTCTACAATTATTGGGAATGACCAAAGACCAAAGACTCTTTCAGGTGTGCAGAGTCTTGTAATCCAACGAAAGGCACGTGTGACAGCTTATTTCACCTGGTTTCCTCGGGCTAAATTTTCCCAAGGGTTGCCAGACTTGTCATTTCATGTCGTAGAAGAGAATATGAACTAAAGCAAAGCTCTTAGATTGCCGAACGACTGTCTCTCCAAAGCCTATTCAATATCTCCCATGCAGTTCAAAGAGTCTCTTAGGCAGGGTCAAACTAAGAGCAGGTCTAGTGCCGTACATTTCACGTGTCCAAGGCGGTGAGATGCGCTATAACGATATGGGACTAGCGTTAGAGCCCAAGGCGGGTAGCTATCAGTTGCGGGGACTGAGGTCACTTCGATGCTTCTCTTTCAATAAACTCCTCTGATACCTTTCGTCCATGTGACGATCCATACATCCCATTATTTCCTGTGTGGAGATACAACCATTCCAGTTAAAGCTATCAGATGTCATAATTTGGCTTCCCAACAAAATCGCAAAACCAATCACCCCTTAAGAGCTAGACAGGTCGTCATTACCTACTAAGCAGGCTATGGATCCTTTATCACCAGTTTGCCGTGAGCTGGCCTCGCCTGGCATCTTTCAGCCTGTACTATCTGTGTATGTTTCCCCCTTGAATCTTGAATAGCTCTGAAGCTGACCTATCCATCCCATCCCAGCTTGATCATTTTCGGCATCCTCGTTTCCTATCTACCACAACACATTCGAATCATAACACGACGAAGCTCCTTCGGAATCTCACCTTATTTTGTGCTTCTCGGTACCACTTCGGGTACATCTGCCTTTGCAAATATATTGGTCTTTCCCAAAACTGCTCAGGATGTTGCTTGCTGCAAGGAGATCGACGGGTTGGCCTGCTTCGCAGGGCTGTTAGGCGTTGTCCAAGTGGGAGCGCAGTGGCTAAGCTTCTTTTTCATGTGAGTAGAGCGATGTAGTTATTTGAGGGCGCAGATGCCTTGCTAACACCGTCCAGTCTACTCCTCTTCGTGATCTATTTCCCAAGGGCTACCTCCGCCACCGACCCAGCTGCCTCTGTCTCCTCAACCTCCAGTGGCGCGACTTACCGCACTGCTCTTTCGATCACTGCTATTTGCCTCTTTCACGCCCTTGCTACATTGATCATCTCGGTGGCATTTGCTCTCCGCCAGCCCGCCGCCCTCCCAGCGTGGGCAAATTTCCTCGGAATTTTATCTGCTATTCTTGCGTCCATTCAGTACTTCCCCCAGATTTATACAACCTTCCGGTTGCGCCACGTGGGAAGTCTGAGTATCCCGATGATGTGTATCCAAACACCGGGAAGTCTAGTCTGGGCTGCTAGTCTGGCAGCGCGCGAAGGAGCCAAGGGCTGGAGTGTTTGGGGGGTCTTGGTTGTGACGGCTTGTTTGCAGGGAACTTTGTTGGTGATGGCAATCTACTTTGAATACTTCGGCCCCGACAGCAAGCCTAAGGGAAGTGCGAGCGAGGGTCCGGATGAGCAGGATGCGGGATCAAATGGGGCTTTCCCGTCCGAGAGACCTGAGGTGCTGGGACGGGAACCGGTATCCGTGGAACAGCCTTCCGAAGAGACCCCACTGCTGCAGAGCCAGTGATCTTCTCCTGCATGATATATCCTATATAAGGCAGTGGCCGGTGCCCGGCACGAGGTAGAAGTCGGTTGTGCTACCTGGGTATGCATATCATATATATAGATATAAACTCAGCAATGAGGATTCAGGGATCAAGGTAGTCCTGGAGGTAAATGAGTTGCAAGGATTTTTTATTCCAACCTTGGAGCCAAAGGTTTCTATTTTATTTATCCCATGACCCAATGGTTATTGTATCCTGAACTTCGGAATAAATTGAGTCTCGGGAGTGTCGTCCCAGTGCATATCACACCCACACCCGCAAGGAGATCCCTTTATCGTCGCGTCGTAATCCTGTCCATCCGCGATTTAATCCCAATTAAAATTAAGCGATAGGGAAGGTCAGACGGAACATGTCGTTGGCGACCCAGAATCCACCGTTGGCCTCGGGCATAAGGTGGAATGTCTGGAAGAAGTTCTGGGGTCGTTCTTCGCCGTCGGTCTAACAATAAGTCACGTTAGCTTGTCACTTTGAAGGCATTTTCAAGATAACAGGTAGGAACTCGTCTTCACGTACAATGAGACCACCGATCACGGTCACAATGAGACCACCAGCAGGAGTGGGCTGGGTATCAATAGACGTAACCTCGTGGCGGACTTGGTTGAAGCCTAGGGTCTGTTGAATTGACTTCGTGGTTAGATCTTTGCGTGGCATAATTGGGCCCTTTGGTCCAATGGGGGGTTTAACAAACCGTGATCTTCTCCATGATGGCGGCCGCACCCTGGACATCAGCCTCCTGGAAGGTGAGGCTCGATTGCTCGCGCTGTCGGGTTCAAAGAATCGTCAGTATATATCGCTCTGTGATACAGACGTTGCGACGTGTTTGAGGGTGGTAAGGACTGAGCTTACATAGAGCATTGCCAATTCTTTCCGATCGGTGTCAAAGTTGGTGTAGTAAAAGGTAACAAAGTTCTCTATAGATCGAATGATAAGTTATTTGTGCACCCATTCGTATAAGCGGCTTAGCATTGAGCAGGGGTTGAATGGAGCGCTAGCGCGGGGCTTTGATTTTATGCCGGCGCATGTAGGTCCAACTTTTGGACAGAGAGGAACATACTAGCGATATCTTTGAAGTCTGCCACGAGAGGAATTGTCAGCTGGGTCTATTATTTATCCAATTTCAAATGAACTTTTGTCATTTCGTCATTGTAGGAGAAAGCCAAGCGCAACCTATTCACACAGGGCGAGGGGTATTCTATACGCCTGCTATCTGGTGGAGTTGGGTGACCTGAGAGAGGAATTTGCCGGGAGTGAACCATTTGTAACTCACCAGTCATCTTGGCAGATTGTTTGGGAGAAATCTGAGTGTAGGTGTGCAGAGGAACGAATATGGTGGGATGAAGGTATTTGTTGATGCGGGAGGGGTAGTGGAGGCACGAATTCTGTCGTTGATGCCTTGGCGCCTTATGCGCCAAGAGAAATCATATCAGCCCGATTACGACGTCACGAGTATATAAGTGAGATGAATGGGGTAGTGCGAACTGTTTGCAACAATAATGATATGTTTGGTCTATTTCTCTTTTCATGCAAGAATAATGGGATGATATAGTTTGTTTGGTATCATTTCATTCATTAATATCTACCCTGATAATATTGTTCTACTTATGCTGAGTCCTCCGCAAACATGTCCTCGGCTTTGGGCCGTGGCTTTCGAAGGCGCCGAGATGCTGAGTCTGGTTCTTCAGGCTCTGCTTCAGGCTGTACAGACGCTTGGGGCTCAGAAACATCCTCGCCCGGTTCCAATTTGGTTTGTTCTATGGGCTGATCATCTTCTGGGCCTTCAAGGTCGCTGTCTTCCATGGGAACTCCATCAATGTCACTCATGGATTCATCTTCTGGAGCATTGTTGTTTGCAACAGTATCCTGGGTCTCGATTAAGACCGGATGATTCGAGTCCAAATTGTCAGGCATAGGGTCATCGTCCACAGCTTTCCAGCTGCTCTTTCCCTTGAGGAAAGCTTTATTGGCTTGTTCCGCCTCGGCTTGCTCCTTCTCCTTCTGTTGCTCCTCCTCGGTGAGCGGCGGCTGCTCAAACATTTGGACGAAATGCCCATGACTGTCTTGTGGGAAGACACACCATCCTTCCCACAAATGCAAAAGAGTGCCAACGCTGCGTTTCCACTTTTCGGCCTTAAGTCTACCCCAGCTGAGATCTTTCTCGAGTCGGCCGAGGTGCTCAAAGACCTTATGAGAGCGAAGCGAGGATTCAAATAGCTGCCGATATCGCCAGGCGTGACGTATGCCGCTGGTTGCTGATGAAGAAAGGATATCGGAGACAATGTACAGCCCAACCAATTTAGCGGAGGACAAATCCATTTTTTTGTGAGACGACATGTTGGCATCGTCTTTGTAATCATTTTCTGGGGCTGCTGCAGCCTTTTCCAATTCCCGGTCAGGGTTGGCCCCAGTGTATGCCAGCGGGCTCAAAATATTCAAGACAATCATGTCCACAACCTCGTCTGCCCCTGCGCCAGCGTGTTCAATTGCGAAGGAGGTGATGCGAGCGACATCACCCCTGCGGAGCTTAGCATGGGTCGTCGGCAATCGAGCCAAGAGATGAGTGAGCTTGGCCTTTTGCAAGGGATTCATATAGCCAAGGCCGTCTTGTTGGGCACTGATTCCTTCTGTAGGTGGGGCTCCACCATAATTCCGTCTCTCATCCTCATGGTCAGAATGCTCTTCATCTGAGGAATTGTAGTCCTCATCTGAAATAAACTCATCAAGATGGGTAGCATATTCAAATTTAATGTGACAATCGGGTGGGTTCCAGCTTGCCCCACCCTCGAAAATCGACGCAAGCTTATCCATTTTACGGCCGGGCTGGGGCTGGGTAACAGTCTGCCAGAGCTTCCATCGGTAGTATACACCACCTGGGCTCCGTGCATCCCAAATCCAAGCCCATTTTTCATCCCTTTGCACTTCCGGCCGACTCATTAGCAAGGCCTCAAATTCGGGGCCGTGCTGTAAAAGGGCCTCCAACGTCTTGTGAATTAGTCTAAGCTGTTTGAGTTCCAACGGTACTCTGACTTCCACCTGCGTGGAAGGTGCAACCCTTGCAAAATTAGATCCATATGAGCTTGGGGGTGCGAAGCTTCCGCGATGAGACCCTGGAGGTGGAGCACGGTTCAGGCGAGCCCCGTGAGTTGGCTGAATATTCTTTGCGCCAAATGGCAGTGGGCTAGCGGTCGAGGAGCCAAGGCCAGTTGAAATAGTTGAAGTGACAGCTGCAGACGAAAGATGTCTAGACAAGGAGAGATAATATCCTCGACCCAGATACTTGTTTTGAAGTGCACTGACAGCGTTGTCAATATCAGAAGCAGCAGTATCACTTGCAAGGGTAACAATAGCCGCGGATGATTTTCGTTCTGTCGCGATTTGGCTGGATGGGCGCGTGATGTGTACATTGTCAACGACCAGAGGAGATGGGATCAATGACTTTACCACTGACGGAGACGTCCCAGGTGGTAACAATGTCAGCTGCAATGTCGGCTTAGCAGCTGCTCTCTCTGAACTTTTGATATCGGCTTTCCGGTAATCTTCATCGTCTGATGGGCTGGTGAATCCAGCTGGTGGGCCAAGCGGACCTGTGGTTGTTTGATCGAGTCCCAGCAGACCCGGCGCTGAGTCGCGATTGCGCGACAGCGGCGCTAGCCCATCATACGTCCGTTTAATAGATGAATGTGGGGGCAGCCCTAGTGTACCTGGGCCGCTGTTGCGTGGGCCAGAGTTTGTGAAATGGCGTCGCGCTGGCCCCCCTCCACCTCGAGTTGCAAATGAATTCGGCCGTGTATCGAACGTCTTTGGCCCGGTAGGGGTGTCATCCTCGAATGATTTTACAAAGTCCTCGTAGACTGCCGCGGTTTCGGCCTTCTCCCGGGCGCGTTTGGCTTCGGCTTCGGCTTTCTGGCGCTCAAATAACGATTTCTTCGGCAGCGCAGAGAGTTTGGCGGAAATATCAGGGAATCCTTTCCCTTTTGGATCGTCGGGCATGGTCTGTAGGAGCTGCTCCTGCAGCGGTAGGAATTCTGCCTGCGGTTGACGTTGAGAGAGGATGATCTAGAGGTGAAGCTGGAGTCCTTCCTGATTGGGGATGCTCCTGGGCGGTGAGAAAGGCGGTCTCTCTTATCAGCTATGTAGGTATTTGAGCCTCAACATCATTTAAATTTAGGGGACACTACGCCTTACAACCCTTCCAATTGAGCTCAAATCTTGGAATATGGCATCTTACAAGCTAAGTCTACTACAATCTGTATCGCGGAGCTGGAAAGTTTCTCTAGGCAATATCATATCGTTCCAGAATGCCATATGCCGGGTTATGTCGTATGATCTACTTCGCGCATTTGACCCGACTTGTTCCTCACGCGTTCTCGATTTGAACAAGCCCGAGCTATATCTATAGATTTGGGCTAAATACAGCCACATTTGACTGTATCTTCATAGAGAGATTTAATAGGGACTAGAAAGAGCAAGTGAATACGCTCGATGTGGTGTAATTTAAGAGGATCATATAAGCAAGGGCCTCTCCTCGTCAAAGATGAAAGTCACAACAAGCCTGTGCCACTTTGCCAGCGTATAGCAGTATCCAATCGAAAAAACATTAGTAGCCAAAATGCTGCCATACGGTGCTAAGCTTTCTTAACAGTCTTCATATCATGCTCTCGTTCATTATTGCTGCTCATCCTCAGCCGTCTCAACATTCGCAGCAGTCGGCTTACTCTGGGTCCCTTCTTCCATTGCAACATCTTTGCTCACTGGGATTGAGACGTTAACCTCAGTGTTGCGGTGCAAGTCCATGCTATCCTTCTTGTAGATGTTCACGTAGATTGGGAAGATCAATGCAAGAATATAGCCCATCATTGGAATAGCCATGGCAGTGTGGGCATTCACCTTAGTCTGTGGGGAATAATGGAATTAGTTTTGCTCCACAATAATCAAAAGTGAAGGACGGCATACAACGATAGCTCCCATCATAGGTGGGAAGACCATGCCACCAGAGATAGCTGCAACCAGTAAAGAGCCTCCAAGCTTGGTATGACGGCCAAGGCCACGAAGTGCCAACGTAAATATTGTGGCAAAGCAAAGCTATCAAGTCAGTCGTCAAAAAGGTGTTCACATATAATAAGTTTGTCCAGAGGTACTGACCGACTCAAAACACAAAACAAGTATAACCATTGCAATAGAGACAGTACCATGAGTAACCATAGCTACCACAGTGAAAATGAAGCAAAGAACCAAGAAAACGATCAACATAATGCGAGGCTTGAATGGCTTCAGCATCATCAAGCCGCCAGAAACAAAACGCATGAATGCGTAAAGGCCTTGGGCGACAGATAGCAGGTCGGCTGGAAGAAAAAACTCGTCAGAAAATTGTCAAGTGAGTAAACGGTCGGGGCAATAGCTTACAACTTGCCGCAGAGCTTCGGCCAGCCTCCTCACAGAAGTTGATAAAGTACCCAGCGACAGCAGCCTGTGCACCCACGTAGCAGAACTGGCTCCACACTCCCAAGAATAAGGTGTATTGCTTGCTAAATGGACCAACGTCTGTATCGCTGTCTGAGATTTGTCCCTCCAGCGCCTCCTGGTCGGCATCGGTAATTTCGGGGAATGGTGCGAGCCAGAAAAGGAAGATAAGTAAGATAACGAAGCAGGCAACACCTAGGTAAGTCCACTGGACATTTTTCAGTCCAGCATTTGTATCGACTGTGTTGGCAAAGAAGACGCGAGATGCCAGAAGTGGGGCAATGAATGTACCGACTCCTTGCACGGCTTGTCCCAAGTTAAGTCGGATTTCGCTATACTTTGGGGGACCGCAAATGGCAAGGAAACTATAAACCTTGTTAAAAGGGCCCAATGACAAGAGTATGCAGTAGTGGAAAACATACGGATCTGCAGCAGTTTCCAGAGTAGACAATCCGGCTCCGACAACCTAATAGTTGGTTAATATAACAGACAAATAGCAAATGAATAGTTACTAACTTACAAACATACTACCACAGAAGCCTCCGAAGGACCTTTTCACACCACTTGGCCAGAAGAGGAGACACCCGACTGCGAGAATAGCCAGACCTAGATTGATGTTCATATTCATTCAACTGTTTCGAGTAAAGTCTGATAGCCTTACCAGTCATGAATGTAACTCTAAATCCATGCTTGCGAACAATCCACCCGGAGATAGTCAATGGGCAAATGAAGTATGCAGCAAAATACGAAGCCTGCAACCCGGATGATCTGCCAGCAGTGATGTTCAAAGTAGTTTGAAAGTGCGAATTTAATGTATCCAACAACCCATAGCCAAATCCCCATAGGAAGAACAAAATCGTAACTTTGCGGTCACAACATTGTCAGTACATGTTCATGGCCTACAGCGTCAAACTTCACGACATACCTAATGCATTCGGAAGCAACGACTGTCGTAACGTCAAGTTAACAGCCGATGTGATAGCTGTGTCATCAACGGTAATCTTCCGTTTATACAATCCCATGGTGAGAGTGATTGCCGTATAGAGAAGCTGAGATGGTGGGCCTCCTGACTGAAGATCAGAGACAAATTGCGATGGGGAAATCTAACAGTGGAGCAGATCCCAATCATCTTATACATGACTCCCCGGATTCTCTAAAGCTTCATATGCTAAGCCAGGGGGGCATCGGCATCGGGGTAATGCACAGCGAGGCCTCGTTGGCTTCTGGCCAGCCGGTGTCAAGTGGTGTCGGGAGTCGTACTCATACAAGTCCTCTTAAACCAGTCATTCTTGTCTCTGGGAGTGAAATAGCCAATCATGACGAAGGGGCCAATTACACTAGCTCCCTTTGTGAAAAAGGACTGTGGTCCAAGACACACGACGTATTCATGCCTATTGGGTGGTCATTGTTGTAGGATTTGCGGAGAAACTGGGGAAGTGGGCAGGTGGAGCCGAAATGTCAAAGCCGCCCAGATCGGGGTCGAGGCTTTTATGCTCTGCCCGTTGGTGATTCAGCTTGGGGATCTCACGTATTATTCAAGTCACAATAACTCTTTGTATATCACCTACGATGAGATACTTTAGCATTTGCCTTTAGCCTTCTTTGGAGCGTGGTGACTTGAGAGCTGCAGCCAAGAACCTAGCCAGACACGGAAGCGCACGATTGGCCTCTGGCTTATGCGCAGTCTAATCGCTTCGAGACAGCCCCTATTCGCCCGCATCGGATCCACTCATTGGAGCTCTCGAGGTCCATAGATACACTCTAGCTCGGAAATTCATACACCGACATCCCGAAAGGGGACATCCGATTGGCCTATGAGTGGGATGTTGAGACCAAGCATACGTATATTGGAACGCTAATGGAAGTTTAACCGGCGCTGTTGCAAGGCCTGGAGTCGGACCACCTACCTGTGTGAGCGAGCCATAATACTAGAACCAGTGAGATTTGACCCTAATACTTCAAATGTTTGACAGTGCCATGATCTAAGAAAGATTAAAGCAAATCACTCGCAGATACATAATGCAACACATCACGTAGCACAGTTTGATAAGACTTACAAGCATATATGCAGGTTCTTCTACAGCTACATACATTCCAGTCATTGGTTTTTCTCTATGAAAATCCTCACTTTAAGTGTCTTCGGGCCCCATGCTGCAGGAGTAAAGCGGCAACGTCACCCCATCCTGCCTTACGAGCTGCCTGAAGAGCATTGAGAGGCGGTGCCTCAGAATTAGCATCTGCTCCACTCTCAAGTAGCAACTCGACAACCTCATAATTGCCCTCGGAAGAAGCTTTGAACAAAGCATTGCCATGCTCGTCTTTCGTTCCTTTGGCATTGACATCCGCCCCATTCTCGATCAATATGCGCACAATATCCAAGTAGTCTTTCTCGGAAGCCTTCACAAGCGCGTTGCCGGTTTCGCCTTTCGCATTCACATCTGCCCCATGGTCTATCAGAAACTGCACAATCTCCGGACTGCGAGCGTAAGCAAGAGAATTGCCATGTTGTCGCTTGATGTTCACATCCGCCCCATGTTCGACCAACAGTTGCATCATTTCCATGTTTTCATTTACGCAAGCCTCGTGGAGTGGAAAACTTGTTCCCTGTATATTAGCATCCGCCCCCTTTTCCAATAGTAACTCCACCATGTTCAAATGATTGTTCGAGCAAGCGATCATGAGTGCTGTATTAACACCACCAAAAGTTTTCACCAACTTGTTGATGTGGGCTCCACCCTCTATCAACACCACGGCAAGCTCCTTGAAACCTGCATTTGAAGCAATATAGAGTGGTGTCCGTCCCATGACGCCCACCTCGGCATTGACATCAGCTCCTCTCTCTAGGAGTAGCTTCACAATCCCAGTATGCTGCCCTTTACAAGCAGCATGAATGGGATGGTCGTCCCATTCCCTAAGCAGATTGGCATCGGCGCCATTTTCCAACAACAGATGCACCATATTTTCTTGGCCTTGGGCACAAGCAGCGAAAAGGGCAGTCGTGCCAGTGTGATGAAGACTCCGAGAACCGGCAAGGGTACTATTAGAGAATTTGATATTATCAGAAAAAGTAGGGAATTTTTCAACACGACTTCGGGCGTTGACATCGGCATTGTTTTCCAAAAGGAGCTCCACAATCTCTTTGTGCCCATTTTGAGCCGCAACACTAAGAGCAGTTGGACTCTGATAACCTTCTGCATCTATGCTGGCCCCGTTCTCCAGTAGATGTTTTGCCAAACAAGGAAGATTCGCGGAGGCTGCATATGACAAAGGAGGGATTATCTGAACTTTGAATCTGTTGTACCCGTTGTGCCCACCATTCATCATGCAATAAAGCGTATCCCAGGCTTCGTACGCGGCATCATTCTCCAAAAATGACATAACAACCTCAAGGGCTTCTTTTTCGACGAGTCTTACATGACTGATCCAATGTTGAGTAGAGTAACAGGCTAGTGGGAAGCCTGCCTTAAATTCCTGAAGAACACTGGAAGTGTGGGCACTGAAAGCACCGTAACCCATAAGCTCACCCCAGAAAATCTCGGCCTGTGTGTGTATCTCTCCAAGAGCCTTTTTATCAAGACATGATAAAGAACTCAGACAGACCACCGACATCTGGCAGTGAGATCTGTGCATATCCAGCCGACCCTTCCATTGCCCTTCTCGCTCCCGATGGGCGAGGAATTCCCTGGCTGTCTGGTGCACAAAGAACAGCTTGGACCCGTGAATATTAACAAGGAGACCGCACAAGTCCTTCACGATATCTTTGAATACCTCTGGCACCCACATATCTGACACCGAGACAGGCTGAGAACCTTGCTTTGCCAGTACTGTAGTCAAGGCCATATTGGCTTCATCCAAAGTCAGGGGCTCCATCGCAGCAAGCAGAATTCGCAGAAGGGCCTCGGTACGCACCGGGCTCTTGCTTTGGGTCAAGATCTTCTCATATGCCGCCGAAAGCTGCTCAGGCAAATCCTCCAGAAGAGCTTCGACATCAGATCGGCGGCCAAATTGACTTGGATTTTCCTCAATTATGTGGAATGTGAGATGTAGCCAAAGGTATGTGCGATTTTTCATGTCTTTCAGTCGCTTCGAGATTTGTTCACGATCCTGGGCGTTGAATGCACCTGCAATGTCGATTAACTTGTAATCAATGACTCGGTCAATATCTTTGGCAATCTCCACCGATTTCTCGTCCCCATCGAAGCGGAGGTATGCTACTGACTGAGGGGACTTCTTGAAAGAGGCCTCTAAATGGGCATATGGGCGGCTTGTAATCAGAAACTTGAGCTTGGAAGTTAAGTGCGACTTGGGTCGAGAGTAATAGTCCCTCAAAGCATCAATCAATTGTCGTGCACTACTCTCCTTGCACTCATCCAGCGCATCAAGAACACAAACAACTTCCCCAGCCTCCGGCAGGCTAGTACATCGATTGAGTAGTCGCCACAGCTCAGAGAAATTCTTTCTCAGCGCCACACCGAATTTCTTATGGCTATCGACTGCAGCCCCGATCAAAGCCCCAGTGGGATCTTGAATGAAGAGTTGATGGAGGATTGCACTCAAGGCGTTTGTGGCAAGCGTACGACTCTCATCTCCATCGTTGAAGAAAAAGTAACAAACGGTAGACGTGGCAGGGGTAATTGACAATCGGTTCTCATCAATCAAGGTGCGTGACAAGACTGACTTCCCACATCCCGGACCAGCAGTGACTCTCAACAGACAGGAAGTATCGCTGTCGCGCCAATTACGAAAGCTTTGGTCTTCAAAAAACCACTCGCATGTGTCCTGAACACGGAGTGGAATGACCTCTTTGTCATCCTCATACTGAGAAGCAAGATCTTGCAAAAGCGCATTCTCTTGCTGATCTGCCTGTAGTTTTGAAGTCATGTTTTGTCCCATTTCTAGAATTTCTCGAATTTCTCCAAGAATCTCCCGTGATCCTCGAATCTCTTGCAGGGTGCTATCTCGATTCTTGCGGATCTCTTCTGCCTCGAGGGGAGTGAGATAGGTGATACAAGCATCGCTCGCGTCACCAATCTTTGTTGTCATTTCCTCCCAATCGTGGGCACCCGCAACGTTCTCCCATGCCCGAGAGAGTTGAGCCTTGGATAGATGACATATTGCCCGCGCCTGGTACTCAATCATTTGAGAGTAGAGCTTTGCCAAAGGCTCTCTGAAGGCCTTGTACTCCTCCTGGTGATTCGATTCGAGGTTTCGCTTCTCACAGATATTCCAGTATATTTGAATCTCGCTTATCAGGTTGAATCCTTTCAACATCGCTTCGTTTTTCGTTATACTACTAGAAAGGAGCTTTAAAAAGTTAGCAGTGGCTTGGATGTTGAAGGGTCATGGACATACTGGGAGAACCAAGCAGACACCACCCCATGCTAGTGCAATGTGTGGTTCATTGCTGACAGCTTGCTGGATTATAGGAGCAGCCCAGATGACAAACTTGATCATCTTCTCAATCGGCTCTCGTATCTTCATCTGCTTCCCTTGAAGCGCGATCTGCCATTGTTTCTTCTTATGCTGATCTTGTAGTTTCTTCACGACCGACTCTATTGACCGTGGCGCAGTGAAATCTACATCAATGGGGTCATCGTTTCCTATTGATCCTAGGTACTTCTTGTAATCCTCCATGAGCGCGGGCTGTCTCTCCGCAAGCATTTCGTATGCCCAAGCCCAAGGATCGCCTTTGTGTGATGAGACAGAAATTTGTGTGGTAGCCAATGGGCTATTGCTGTGCTCTAGGGGAGCTTCGATGATTTCAGAGGACCTTTCAGCGCTTGAAGGGACTGAGGAAGAGCTAGCACGGCTAGTGGCCCGGAGCCTTGCTCCTGGCCTTAGCACCGTGCCATCCTGGGATCGATTTGTATTTGTTGACCTCACAGATCGCTTCAGCTTGGTAATGATGCCCATTTTCTTGGGTTTGTAGAGACTTAGCGAGCTTTATACCCAAGGGGAAGGCTAGGTGATTCATCTGCCTGTTCAGCAGGACTTGGAATGGCGTGGAACATCTTGGGCAGGACATTTTCACCAAACCCGCACCGCCCCAAAGCTGCAGGGCTCATTGCGAGACAAGAAGCACTTGCGCAGGTAGTCCGTTTCAGAGTCATGCTCAGCAGCCAATCAAAAAGAGGCTTCCATCGATGGCCGGCGGTTAGCCAAAAGAGGGGACAAAGATGGACCATATTCGCCAATTCACACAGTGCACATGATGATAAGGCATCGAACATTACCCCTCACGTTTGTAATCCACTCAGACTCTAGATCCTTTATCATTTTGACCTCGAAACTTCAAGTTACAGTATCTGGCCACCTAACTTACGAATAACTTACGAAATCAAAGACAGAGCTCTCTTGCATAGCTAGTCAGGTCGGTTGAAAATAACAAATTCCCCCTATGGCCAACTACATTCTAGATTTTTAGCGTTTATATCTTTAATGACAGTTTGTTTTACGGTCACTATAGTGACAAAACTTTAGCGTGTAATGAAGACTTCGTAAGTTTAGGTGGCCAGATACTGTACATGAAGACTGAATGTTTGGTAGCGGATATGGTGCACGGCAACGGACCGCTCCCGATTGTCCGATCGCGGGCGACCTAGAACCTTGGACAACGTTCAAATCATCGAGATGCCCCATCGACTGATGACTACATGTAGGCGAAATGCTTAAATTAGCACCTGCACGACCGAGTATCAGGTCTCTGCTGCTTCCAAATAATCGACGCGCCATGCACAAGCAACACGCCCTGCCGGCAGCCTACTACAGGGGCGGCACATCGCGGGCGGTCTTCTTCAAACAAGATGATCTTCCCAACGACAGGAAGATGTGGGACCCAATTTTGCGCGGCGTAATTGGCAGTCCAGATCCATACGGCCGTCAGCTCGACGGGCTCGGTGGTGGCATCTCAAGCCTATCGAAAGTGTGCATCGTCGGCAAACCAACGCACCCTGACGCGGACGTTGACTATACCTTCGTATCGCTAGGCGTCAAAAACACAGACGTCGACTACTCCAGCAACTGTGGAAACATGATAAGTGCCGTCGGGCCCTATGCAGTTGATACAGGGTTGTTCCCCTTGTCGCAGGAGAACCTCGACTTGGCGCTTGTTCGCATCCACAACACCAATACCGGCAAGATCATTCACTCTTCATTCCCTGTAATCGATGGCGAAGCTGCATCCACCGGTGACTTCTCCATTGATGGGGTTGCGGGAACCGCGGCACGTATCCAGTTGGACTTTATCAACCCAGCCGGATCGGTCACGGGTAAGCTATTGCCAACGGGCCAAGCTATTGATACATTCGATGGCATTTCTGTGACTTGCATCGATGCCGCAAACCCTTGCGTCTTTGTTCAGGCCTCAGATCTTGGTGTAGACGGTAATATGACACCAGATGAAATCAATGCCCACCCCGATCTGCTCTCACGCTTAGATTCTATTCGGCGCCAGGCCGGTGTGAAAATGGGTATTGCAGAGACTCCTGCTGCTGTCCCGGGAAGTATTCCCAAGATCAGCTTAGTCTCGGCGCCTTCTGCCTCCGATGCGAGAGATGTCAAGATGAAGCAGACATCTGGTCAGGTTGATCTTCTTGCTCGAGCTTTGTCTGTTGGGCAGCCACACAAAGCAGTTCCTATCACTGTTGCGTTGGCTTTGGCTGCCGCTGCAAGGGTACCTGGGAGCACCGTTGCCCTTGCCCTTGCGGGTAAAGATCCCGTTGATGACGCGGGTATCACCATTGGTCATGCTAGTGGGAATTTGTTGGTTGGTGCCAAGTTTGATACAGCTGGTGCACTTGCCTCGGCGACCGTTTTCCGCACAGCCCGACGACTATTCGAAGGGCGGATCTTTTGGAAGTAAGAGGACTGGAAATAATTTATGATTTTTGGATGTACAATTAGCAATTAACCAACGGCAAAGGTGCCAATATCAATAAGGCCCTCGGGTATATACCATGGCGCTTACTAGCTAGCCTTATTAGAATAGGCATAGCGTGACCTGACATTAGGAGGACAACGACTGAATATAGTAGGCTGCTCAATTCAGGTACTTTTGTATTAAAACTTTTGATATAAACAACCTTGGAACACCTGGGCACCCAGCTCCCAAAAATTTCACCTTCTAAAAAATTTATGCGCGTCTACCAAGATCCAGATCCGCCACCAATTTCATATCTCCCTTCCCATCATTATCCCCCAGGCCAAAGAATGGCTTCACCGCAACATCAATCGTCTCCTCAAACAACCGCCCAACAACAACCTCCTTAAGATCTTCACCCGTCTGCGCAAAGTCCGGGAACGCGTTCACCTCCAACAGATAGGTACAGCCAGTGCTATCAACCAAGAAATCAACACCAAACAGCTCAAAAGCATTCGGCAGCGTCTGGAAATGCACCATCATACCCCGGGCTGCGGCTTCAAATACCTCGCCCGTGACGGCACAAATTTGGGAGAAGATTTGCTCTTTCCAGTCCGCGCTGAGACCGGGGACATGGTGGTCGAGATCCCAGAAGCGGCGAACACTACCCTCGTTTGAGCTGCCGCCTTCTTGGAAGCAGGTGTTTGTGAGGTGGCGGGCGAGATCTTTGACTTCGTCTTCTTCTTCGTGGGGTGGGAAGTATTCCTTTGCGGCGAACAGGGCGAGCATCTCCTTGAAGACGTAAACCTTGAGCGAGCCTGTTGCTAGGACGTAGGTGCGTATGTGGAACTTTCGGTTGGAGGCCGAAGGAAGAAGAAGTGGGGGATCGATGTAAGGTTGGGCGATAAAGTGGCGGAGCTGGGAGGTGACAACACCTGCATCGTGTGGTGCATCATTAGCATCTTCTTTCTCGGAGCCACTTTCTTCTTCGTCCGAATCTTCTTCCCATTCCTCGAAAATCTCCTGAAGCTGGGCTTCGCTGTTGAAAAGACGGATTCCCTGACCGCGGTCGCTCATGCCGGGCTTGAGAATCCACCATTCTTTTTCGGACTCAGGTCGCTCTTCATTCTTGTCTAAGCTCTCGCGAAGTTCGTATGCTTCCAGTAGGGCTTCGTCAAGGAACTCGGCGTAATCCAATTCGAAGTCAAATGCAGGCTTAACATGCTTCCGTAAGATGCTGTCTGGGTGCTTTGAGATCCAATTGGCCACGGTGTTGGAAAGGTAGTGTTTGCGAATGAGGGCTTTCCGGATGACGTAGGCATTTCCGAGGGAGGTTGACGACCTTGAAACCATGTGTTCAAAGTCAAGACGTTCGTATTCACGGTATTGGAAGACGGGTGCGGAAGACTCGGGCAGCTCGTCGATAGATTGGATGCGCTGGAAACGAGCAGCATCTCCCAAACGACTGGCCAATGCTTTTTCCACGAGTTCTCCCACGTATGGAACGTCACAGTCGACGATAGAGTACACCGTGGGCTTGCTCGCCTGAGGCTGGTTATCTGATCTACAGGAATCCTCCTCTATCAGAACCGTTTCATATAAATATGCCGAAGATGAATTGCAAGGAAAAATCCAAATAACAATGGGAACAGGGGAAGCATGAGGTCTATCAGCTATGCCAGATATCTAAAGCACAAGTACCCTGTACATCTGAAACAAAAGATCTTTGCAGCCATCATGCCATAATCTCCACTCACAGCTTAATCTCGCCCGTAATGCCGGGCGCATGCATGAAACTAGCCTTCAAAGGCGTAACACTATAATAAAAAAAACATTGTCAGCGAGCGTTAGAATGCATGCCTAGGATTAGTCAATTTACCTGGTCATTTGCTCTTTGACGGCCCAGCCGTCATTACCCGGAGCGCTCTCCTCAACACTCTTATAGACATCCTGCAGGTCCGGTGCCCACTTGAAGTGCTTATGCTGGAATCCCGACGGACGAGACTTCTCACTTGCGGCATTAGCATCTGGCTTCTGTCCTTCCAACTCGCTCTTAATACGCAATTCTTGCTCCTGCAATTCTGGCTCACCACCCTCGGCGGGGTCGGCAACCTGGAAGCAGCTTCCAGATTTCCACTTATTGATTAGCATATCGGTGTATAGAACCTTGTTCTGGCTAACGCCAAGCTCCAACGGAACATTGACACTGTAGAGGTCCACGCCGTCAGCCCAGTTGGCGCAAAGATGCTCGATCACCTTGACCGAGTGCTTTGAAGCTTCTGCGATGACCACAGGGTCGTGGGTACGAGAGCTGAAGGCATAAGACAGAGCAATTGAAGGCTTTCCACAGACAGCACCCTCCATGGCGCCACCAATAGTTCCACTCGACAAGGCGAACAGCGCTGTGCTATTACGGCCGTAGTTCGGACCTGAAACAACAACATCGACCGGGCCACGCTCCTGGAAGTAGTGGAAGAGACCGATCTGGACACAGCTTGCTGGTGTTGAGTCAATCAGGATCCATTCGTCACCTCCGTCATCGGGCTCGCCATTGTTACCCCGCGGTAGGTGATGCACTGTTCCGTCTTCCTGGTGCAGGGTACCCGGCCGGAAGTAGGTTGGTTTCACAGATGCGCCGACCAAGTGTGCTTTACCGATCCATGATCGCTGCTGGTGAGGGAGAATGACCGAGACTGTGTGGCCGGCAGACTGGAGCCAGTGGACGAGGGAGTGCACGTACGGCGACGACTGGTTTGACGGCGGGCCGTCGTCGTTAGTAACCTATTCCAATAGAATATGTTAGTTTTGTCATGATGTTTATTGTAAAAGTACATGCGAACCAGAATATGCATGGTGAGAACTGATCAATTGGTGAGTAGATGGAGGGGAAGAGATCGGATATTTGCCCGCGCGGGGCGCTTTTTATCGGAACCCGAGTCTGCATATCGCGATGTCATCAGGCTCGCGCCCAATTCAGGTACCAAGTACGTGGCACACACTAACTCTCGAGTCTTTTGCTTTGATTTTTTGGCCTACATTTCGGCGTGAGCACTCGGAAATAGACTTCAATGACATTTGCAATTACATGACGCAAGCAGCTTCTAAGCTAGGGTATATCGAACTGCACTAAAACAGGAGAAAGATAAAAGCACATCAGAGTCTAGCTGTCATAACCCGACAAATGGCTCCGTCGTTTCTGGATACCTCGCTCCTCTGGATCCTCCAGTCCAGAGCCGATGCCCCCCCTCGTCACCGGCCAGATAGCTCTGTAGCAAGGAGCTACTTCCTTGTTCCTCGGGCTCCTCCTTGATCTTGACAGCCCCACTGGATGAGCTGATATCTTCGGTTTCAGACTCCTCTTTGACAGTGTCGTGCTCCTCATCTTTGATCTCGTCTGTCGATACAGGCTCGGATCGCAAAATCAAATTCAACAAGAACCAGGTAAGGCTAGCAGAAGCCATTGAGACGGTCCAGAACATGGAACTAAAAATCACAAAAGACGTGAGCTTCCAGCGGTACATAAACCACCTATCATCATGTTAGCTAAGTCCCCTGAAAGCAATAGTGATATGGGAATCATACCGAAGCCCAGTAAAGCGCGCCCGGAATTCCACGCGCGCAGAGTAGATTTGTAGCTTTCCGTCGCTTTGAATTTCAAGGCGCAGGCTCTGAGGCAGGTTTCGCGCGCCCCGGGCGAACTGGACCTTCTCCATCATTGGTACATCTAGCGTCTCTGCTTCGCGACGCCAGCCAACAACATACAGGGGCAGGCGCGCCATTCTCCGGGCAACATCCACCATCGGCGAGCTATAAGTGAGTATGGCCGGTCGGCGCGACTGCGAAATCGGGTTCAAGGAGTTGGCGGAAGTGGGGAGCACAGAGCTAGTTTGGGGAGAATAGAGGGTGAGATCAATCATGAAGTTGCCCACTTCCAGATTGGACGGTGTGCGGGGCATATCAAGGGCCACGGCAACATCGTAAGGTAGTGAGGAAACAAACTCGGGATCGAGAGAGGCTGTGCCCCAGGGGTTCGCATCGCTTTTGGTATAAGGGTAAGTAAACGGCTGACAATGACAAGCTGATGGGAACAAGTGCGTCCTACCCAAATTGCAGATGCACTTCTCGGTCGACGCCGACCGTGGGAATGAATCTCAGGTAGAAGATCCCGTAAGCGATACCGGAGATTCCCACTAGAAGCAGTGTAGCACCTATGAATAGGAGAGTGTTCAGGTATATGCGGAAAGCGGTTTTGGAGGTTAGCATGCGTAACGGTGTCCAGAACGCGTCCTGTCTTCTGTTAGCCACATTGATGAACAACGGACATGAAGGAAACATACCCAGATGACTGCTTGAGAGGAGGGGCCTTCATACTCTGTCTCATCGTCCGTGTACTCCGAATCCGCCATCGTGGGAGGTTGTGATGAATGGGGGAAGGTCGAAAGCAAGTTCCTCGGCTGATGCAGCGCGGGCCTAATCAGCCTTATCGTAGCTCTATGAGGTCACATTCTGCACCTTAACACCGTAGACAACAAGGCACATACAGCGCTACAGATTGAACATAATACACAAATACTAGGCCATGATAGTATAGCTTCAATTAGGAATCCCAAGCCGTCAATGCAGATGCCATCAACTCCCAGCTTTTACGATTTTATCATTACAGTTCGCGAACAGCCGCGAGAATAGAATCGTAATATCTTAGGTCATGCGGAAATCGTGACACGAATAGGAAAAATGCATACCATCCCCATGGCAAATCCCGGCCGTAACATGAGGCATAAAAAAAGACAACGTGAAAGCAATCAACACCGTGAATAGAAAAAGGAAAAAAGTACAGTGAGGAATGAGGAATGGAGTACGGGATGATATGCCGTCTCACAAGGTGTTCGGAGGGAAGAGTGGAAGATCAGCTTATGCCTAGGGGCGAGGGCTTTGCTGCTGAATGTGCTGGAGGAGGGCATCAAAAAGCCGACCAATCTGTCGCAGAGTCGTTAACTTGGCTGTCAAAAAGGGCACGTAACATAGGGAAAGACCGTACCTCTGGGGCCGCCTGGATAAAGGGAAGGCGGAAGAAGGAATAGCTCTGGTTTTGGAGCAACTCTTGCAAAGTGATGATCAAGCCCCACGGGTGAGGACGATGGACGATAAGGCGCTCCAAAAGCACACGGATTATCTGCTGGCGGATGTCGGACTCATCCTGCTCGGGGTAGTCGACACCAAACAGGCGCAGGATGGTGAAGCTGAAGAAATACGTGTGGCTGTTGGGGTATCGCAGCTGGTTTGCCATCGCACTGAGGAGGTAGTACCGAGCCTCAGGCTGCATGGCCTGGGCAAGCTTCTCGAGAAGAGCCGCATGAGTCGAGTTCTCAAAAGCGCTGCGGATGTTGCTCTTAGAGGCTTGCTCCTCAGCAGCTTGCTGGCCAATGTACAAGACCAGCGCATTCAGAAGAACAACGTCCACGTTGATAGGTACGTATAACAAAGCAGTATCCGTAGATTCAGGATTAGTAACAGCGTCGCAAAGCTGCTGAACAACGGCCTCAGAGGCATTGCCGCTTTGGAGAATTGTATCGACAACGTCCTTGATGTTCGCCTGCTCCAAAGGAGCTGCAACGTCACCCGCAATCTTAGGGATTTCCCGCATCTCCTGAATGCGTTCGACCTTGAGGCCCTCACGGAAAGGATCCGGGAGCTTTTGGAAAGACGATGGGTAGGCACTGAGAACAAGATTGCGCAGCTGAGCACAGTGTGCAGGAATCACATTACAGAATTGGAAGTGGTTCTCAGCGACAAACTCCGGGAAATCGTGGTGCAGGATCAGCAAGATGCGAAGCACACCCTTGTACAAGTCCTTGGCAACATACGAGATGTTAGCAGCCTTGAGTTGCTCGCCGATGTAGGCAAGCAGGGCTTGCATAATCTCGCAGTAGGGTGCCCAGCCTTCACGGTCCGGCATGTTCAGCATGTCCGACATGAAAACCCGGTGCGAAACCAGAGCCAACCAACCATGGACAAATCCAGGCATGTATTTGGGCTGAAGAGACAGTAGGCGGTTGGCCAGAGCAAAGATCATGCCCTTGTGCTCCTCGTGATGTTGGAAGCCGGCCATTGAGTATTCACAGAGGATGGTGGAGAACAGACGGAAGAAGACGCGCTGATTGAACGCCTCGCCTCGCATGACCTGGTGGTGGTTAAGAACGAGGACCAGAGAAGAAAGGATAGAGCTGAAATAGGCGGGCTTGTTGGCCTTAACAGCACCGGCGTGCTCGCCCTGGAACTTGACAAGAAGCACGACAAGCTTGGCGAGGGCATCGATGTAAAGGAAAGCTTCATCGAGGCTACCGTTGGGGTTCTGGTACTCGTGCTCGAACATGCCCACAGAGATATCGATGCTGAGACGGAAAAACACAGCAGAATCTTCAGGGTTGTTCATAACCTGCCGATTGTGCATATCCTGAAGGAAGGAATGGTATGTGCGGTCAGTGGCACCGGAGGCTTTGTAAATGCCAATCCATTCGCTGAAAATGTACTCCATTTGATCTCGCTTAGACCTTGCAGAATCGGTCAGAAGTGGGTTGACGACTTCGGGAATACCACCGTCGCGCAGCTTGCGGACAATATCCAAGGCAGGGGCCACGTTTGCATCCTCAGCAAGCCATTGGCTCATTGCTTCGAGACTGCCGGAGAAGTCCGATCTTAGAGCTGCTGGCTCATCGTTGAGAAGAACACGGCTCATTAAACTATCAAGTAGTTCCAATGCACGGACGTCCTTCTGTGCAATAAGACGACTCAGTACCATGTCAACGCGACGAATGTCCAAGAGACCAGCATCAATGAGAGCAACAGTGACGGGGACATTGAACATGTGCTCGTCATCAATCTCCGCTAAGAGCGCCCAGGTGTAGCGTGCGATCAGCGTAGACATATCGCACAGCTTAGCAAGTAGGTGCACAAGAACTTCAAGTTCCAAGGCACCCGATGGCTGCGAGTAGAGAGTAGTGCAAACCTTCAGAGAGGTCAGTCGTGCCAGCTCCTCGCCATTTGGTGAGGCCAAAATGGTGCGCAAAGCCGTATTGTATTCTTGGAGAACAGCACTATCCCTGCCAAGATCTTTGACACGTTCCTCTGTAGCCTCGCGAGTGGCCTGTTGCAGTTCGGAGATGAGAGACTCAACTTTCTCTCGTGGGTTTTGAGTGTCGATGAAACCGTTGGTGTGTACACCGCTGATCTGTGAAACAGCCTGCGCCTGAGGTGTTCGGTGAGGAACAGCAGGCTGCTCGGCGGGTGTAGAAAGGTTTGGAATGGCAGGGTACGATTCTTGGAGCACATCAGGAAGTTGACGGCCAGAGTCAGCCGAAACATTCTGAGGGTGAACAGCGGCAGTGGTGCCTCGCGATTGGCGGGCAAACTCTTCATAGATGGCCAGTTGTTCCTTGTTCAGACCACCAGGAGTTTGGCGATAAGGCTCTGGAATGTAGAAACCCCAACGGTTCATTGAAGGATCCATGAAGGCTTCATTGGGGCGAGTCGCGAGGTGACGGCGACGCGCCTCCAATTGAGGTTCGACCATCTTCTCAATTTCAGGAAGAGACTTCTCTTCAGCGGCCTTCTCGACAATACCGCAAGCGGCATCCAGGTTATCGTTGACGCACATCAGAATCAACCCTTCGGGCATAGGCTGATCCAATACCTCCTGTTGAATCATTCGGATATAGTTGGTCATGCTGACCTTCAATGGCTCTTTGCAGGTGACGAGGGCAAGACTTCCAGCAAGTTGTCGGGCCATGATACCGGCGGCATGTCGCACCTTCTCCTCGTCGGGCTCCATGGCAAAGTCCTTTGAGACAAGCTGGACAGTAGAAATTGAAGCAATGGTGACCGAGCGCTCCACAACAGGGGTAATGATTTCCGCGATGGCACGCTCCACTGCCGACGTGACGATTGTTCTCAGAACAGTGGCGTCCACCATGCTGTTCGCTGATGGAGGTAGAACAAGGATCTTTTCGAGACTTGGCAGAGTTGACATGATGGCAGCAGGCGATAACCGTTCATTGCGGATTCCCTGGTTGATGGAAGTAAGACCCATTTCTTCGAAAGCTTCAAGCCCTTCTGGAATGTTTGCGGTCGGTGGTAGGACTTCTTCGCCTTGAGAACTGCGGTCACGAATGATGACAGCGGGCTCGACAGTCTTATGGTCAAGAGCAATTTCTTTGCATAACACCTCGATCTCAAACTTATTGTTGAGTTTCAATTCAGCAAAGTGATAAAGCTCCAGTAAGAGTCCCAGGATGTCCATCAGCCACGGGTTAGGAGGCTTGAATACGGTTGACTTGGCAGCTTGGACTAGAACCTTGCAAGTGAATGGAATTGCGACCCCGAGGCGCTGAGCATCGTAGCCTTCCAAAAGCAAGCCCTTGAAGTAAATGTTCTTGTGCTTGATTGGCTTGTCTTTGGCGATTGTCAAAGAGCCAAGCCAGGCAGCGAGATTCTTGAGATGACCTCGTTCGGTGGAGGAGCTAACAGTGGCGTCGGAGTTCAACAGCTTGGAGACACTGACATATGTCTCTCGCAAGACTTCAGCCCAGAGAATCCTATCTCCAATCCGATCAAGGAGATCAAGATAAAGCTTCTGGAAGTTGGGTTGTAACTTGGCGCGCTCTTCCACCAGATATGCAGCAAACCATTGGTGATGTTGGTCACTCAAAACTTCACGCAGATCCCGTAGCTTTTCTTCGATGTTCTGTTCAGAAACGTTGTTCAATACGAACAAGATTTTGTCCTGGGTATCCTCATTTGGGTCCTGATAAAGATCTGACCGCAGAGGCGGGTCCACTGAGACAGAGCGGAACTTGAAGGAACTGCCATCTACAGAGCGATCATCATTATCACCATTGGGCAAAGGAGAGGGACGAATGTTCCATTTTTCGGCCTCTCCATCGGCAATCTCCTTGCCTTGGGCTCGAAGAACCTCCTCAGCTTTCTGGAAGATCGGGGTGCCCTGCAAGGTCGGGATTTGAAGCAAGAGGTGACAGAAGCCGGCCCACTCAGAGAGGCGGTCCATGAGCTGTTCAATTGCCTCTACACCAAATTTGAACATCGGGTTGTGGATCTCATGTTCCCTGACGGCCTCTAGAATCATACCGAGTCCAACCTTCAGCGTGATTCCATCAACCAAACGGAAGTTGATAATACCACCAAACATGACCGCAGTTTTTGTGAGGGCATCAAGTGGATATTCATGGTAGCAGTGGTATTCATCGATGAGACCATGCACCATACAAGCAAACAGTTCTTGCTCCTCGGGCTTGCGTGATGACTTGTACTGCCGCATCAGCTCCAACATCTCCCTGAGTGAGAGCTCGTCGTGGTACATCTTGCCGAACAATGCCTGCATCTGCTTATCGATCATCTCGGGCAATGTGTTGCCATTTTCGCCATTGGCATCGATTATGTCATCAAATCCTTCGCCATAGTTGATCAATCGAGGGTAGGTTTGAATGCAAATGCGCTGAACAGGGGTGAGATTCTCACGATCCCCCACAAATTCTTCCAGGACTGAAAGAAGCGTATAAACAGTTCTCACAGAAAGGCTGACCATCTGTGGCGTAGATTGTTCCTTTCGCTGCACATGTAGCTCATCCTCGGCCTTGATTCGCAAGAACTTGGACAGAAGGCTACCCATGTCAACCTGACCTTTCTGGGCAGTAATGCGGATCCACTGTCCGAGGTCAAACGAGCCTCTGCGATCAGAGTAACAAGCAAGGTCCAGAGCAAGCCCATTGGTGAAACCAAGCAAATACTCGAGCCAACCAAAGTTAACAGCGTGCTCATAAATCATCGCAGTAGAGGTGGGGTCTTGGCTGAAAGCTGCGAACAGTTGCTCTGAAACCCACTGGCGATCCTGGCGCCAAGCTCCATGAAGAGCAAGTTGGTAGCCATCTTCTTGTTTTGAGATGAAGACAACGAAGGTTCGAAGAACGAAGCTCTGTTGAACATTCGACCAGGGCTGGGGAATAGCCAAAGCGGAAATGAGAAAGATTGGAAGGTCATACTGCACCACCGCCTTGATAAGCTGCTGACTTTCTTTCGCAGCCCAGTGGGCCTGAGAAAACAGCGCGATATCAAAGACTGCTTTGATAGCATCCATGGACCGAAGAGGTGATTTAGCTGCACGCTCTCCCTGCAGCTTGACCATCTCAGGAGCGTCATCGAAGAAGTCCGTAGAGAACGTCGCACGGAAGTCGCGAATCTGGGATGGGTCGATTCTAGAAGCAACAAAGGCCGTCAAGAATGAGATTTGGGTATCACGATGGTCCCATTCACCACCCCAAAGCTTCTGGAGGTCCAGTGAGGGATCATCGACAGCGGCGGCAGAAAGCGCTGTATACAGCTTTTCAAATTGTCCTGGGTCCACTCTCAGTCCCTCTCGGTCGAATTGCCGCAACACAAGGGACCAATTAAGCTGCTTTTCGGCATATGCACTGATAAGAGTCTCCAACGAGAACTGTTGCCAGTACTGAGACAGGGTCATGAAAAGAAGAGCACTAGCAAGAGTCTCTTCAGTCCAGCTGTCTGGACCCGCCGCATTGATCATCTCGGTGATTGCCTCAACGTTGCTCGTTGCACGAGGTCCTTTAGAGTGGAGCTGTCGCACAAGGGTATATCGAGGGTTCACAAAGTTGAACATTTGCAAAGCGGAGGAAACTTCGAATGGCATGTCCAAACCCAAGGTCTGGTATCGCATGTTTGCTGCGTAGACCAGCTTCGCCTTAACGTCGTCGGTGAAATTGCGGGGAGGGTAAAGGATGAATCGTTCGATCGTCATCCCAAGGAAAGAGTTATGGAAATCCTTGTTTGCGTCGGAAGAGGTTGATAGGCTGTGCAAGAAGGGATTAAGGGAGTTGGAGAGAATCGCATCCGCTGAACAAGCGCAGAGGGGTTAGTAGGCTCATTCGAGTGATACAAAGATGGGAGAAAGAGCTTACCCTTAGCTCGAAGATCAGACTTGTTTGTCATCTTGAAAGCCAAAGCAAGGGCAACCTTCACAATGGGATCCAGACGGAAGTGATCCAGGAAGGTGGAAAGATCGAAATCACGGAAGATGTCACCCTCGGATGTATCTACTGTCTCTGCAATTTTCTGAGATTGCTCTATATCCGATGACACTTTCTGCATTTCCTGCACGAGAAGTTGGTAGTTGCCCGCATTTTCGACGGACTTATTGACCCCAGGAAAAATCTGGGGCGCATTGCCTGTGAGAAGGCGGCGGAAGTATTTCGAGAAGACCTCCATGCCGTTTGATGTCACAAGCTATAGAGAAAAACGAATTAGCTTCCTTGAAGGGAACGATTAGCTGAGCGTGGAAATTTACCTTGTGTATCTGAGCAGCCTTTGTCTCCCACTTTTCTTTTCCCTCCTTCTCCGTGATTGAGTCTAATAGGAGGAAGACTTGCGCAATCGAGATCTTTGTGAGCGACGATTGACTGGAATGGGCAGCTGCCGATCCGGGCTTGTCTGAAGCGAAGCCCGTGGGTGAATTCACGGTTGTGCCGGACGACAGTGGTGAAAAGGCGACACCTCTGGAAGAACCCGGCCCACCACCTCCCCCTGAGCCTCCACCACCCGTGATGGAACCTGTTGCTGAGGCGAAATAGGACCCAGCGGATGGGGTGTGTGCTCGGAACTTGGGTGAAGAAAGCGACTGGGCTTGCTGCTGCGAGCCAGTCTGTAGCGAGGTAAATGGTGAGGGAGCGGGCTTGGGGCTACCGCCGGAAAGACCCCTGGTGGAGCTCAGAACGGCAGAAAAGGATGATGGTGTAGAGACCCCAGGGCCTGAGTCCAAGCCCCGGGAGGAAGCAGAGGGGGTAGCGGAGGAGAGGTTGGTCGCGAGAGGAGTCAACCCACGACGAATGCCGGACTGCGACGCGGACCTACCCCAGGCACCAATCTCAGTCCTGGTCGAAGAAGGTTTATCGGTGCCAGAAGCAATCGACGATTGGGCGGAAGGGTGAGGGGGAGGGAAGGTCATCTAGGAGACGCGATCATTTGATCTGGAGGGTCCGACGACAGATTTTTAAGCGGGCGGGCGCAGTTGACACGATCGATAAGATCGACCGAAGGATAATCTGATGCAATGTCGTAAGAATCGGGGGTGGGAGAAGAGGGTTGAGGAGTGGAATGGGGGAATGGATGGCGATGGAGGAGAGGTTGGAGGAATGGTGCGTCAAGGTGCGAGGTGTCGGAAGTGTTGGTGCCTCAGGTGTCACGAGGGAGGAGCTTGGGCTTAAACTCACACAGTTGGGCACGTTACTGGTTAAGATATCAAATCAAACCTTGAAGGATTGTGAACTTCAATCAATCAAGTTGAAATGTAAGCCTGATCAATTCCAAGAGACAAAAGACCTCATCCTCTCCTTTATCCACAGGACTCATCGTCTCTGCTCGACCACACTTGTCGGTCACATGACCTATCTTGTGTGCTGAGTCATGGTCCCGCCTTGCCGAAAGTGGAACAAGTGGGCTTCCCCGGGTTTGTTTACGCTGCAGACCCCTTCGATGCATCATTTAACCCCTCTTTTCCCTTCATTTTTGGATAATTAATGGCTCATAGAAGCTCCATGGACAATTCATTATCCTACTCTCAATGAGCCAATAACAAAAACAAGCTGCCCGAGCCTATCGTTGAGGTCAGAAACATTCATGCTTTTCAAGCCTGAAGGCTATCCTAACCAGAAGCCATTGAAACTTAATCTTTCCATGTGGTCATTACCATTTTTAGTATTGAGCTTGCCTCCAAGGCCTGGCCAGACCCTTGAGCTCATCAGGCCCTCACTGCATTAAAGCCAGAGGCTGGAATGGCTGGTATAAACGCAAGCCCTTGACAAACCATCTCTTCGTAGCACAGTTATCCTATGGCAATCGGTGGATGAGAGCTGTGTCTAAGCTAGTGAGATATGCATCAAAAGCAATTTCGAAGAAATCCAGAGGGCTAAGGTCAGGATGATGGGAGGTGAATGTTCAAGAATTTTTGCAGTTTGGTGTCTGAACTATAAAGACGCATATCCATCCATGGATATCTCAAGATACTGACAATGTCAAAAGTTTAGTAGGACTTGAGTGAAGCTATTGCTAGACTTTATGTACGTTGTAATAAGGTCTTTGACATCAAGGAACTCATACATCTGTTTGACGTCAAAGTAGAATTCCTGCTCCCATACCTATCCAAGCCAATAGCATTCATGCCAAAAAATGTAAATTCAACCTCACTCGGTTGCCTCAGAATTCCCAGAAATCCGCGCCCTCCCGATGTGAGGATTCTTTGAATACAATTCCATCGGCAGTCGAGCGCGAAGAGTACAGCATTTAGCAAAATGCATGTCCTCCGAGTAATAAGTATCGCATTGAAGCTCCTCCGTTTTGGCTGGTCCAAGAAACCCTATGTCCTCGAGGTAGTGCAAATTGGATGAATCTTTGAACTCGGCAAAGATACGCGCCTTGATGACTTGAGATTCTCAAATCGGGTCATTGTGTGTAGGATTCATGTTTGAGCTGTTTGACTCGTTGGAAGACGCAGTCAGGAGTTCGTCCCATGCATCTTGGTAATCAGCCACAACACACGCTCGTAGACATGGCTCGAACATTTCTGACCTTCTCCGAGCGAGTGGCACGTAGCCATCTGGAACGGCTACATCAGGCTACCAGATACTGCTAAGTAACAGCCAGTCCGGGGGGCGGGGACTAGATTTGATACAAGCAATGTCATCTCGATGCCACTTGCTGTGATCGACCACATTTATCAAGTCCTCTCCTGAATGAAGCAGCCGGACAACGAGATCAGAAACAACCGCAGTATGTCCGTTAAGAGATGCAGAACGAAGGTTTTCGAATGTTGACAGGTCGATCATAATCATTGATGATCTCAACTTTCACTTGATTTGAGACTATTCCCTCGCATATTGTCTCGCTGCATCTGTTCTTCATCGCTAACCTGGCATCGCGAGCTTCAACAGCCACATGGATCTCGGACAGGGCTTGAAGCTCTAAGTAGACCAGAATATCCGGTCACGGCACAGGGACAAGCTGCATGATTGGTTATGTTCGGATAACACTTCACCAGTTTGCGCAGGGTGTCCTGGGGCGGAGCGTCTAGATTCCAGATGCAATAGAGTATATTTTAAGGGATTTTTGATGTCTGGATTGACCCCGCTCATGATTACACAAACTTTGAGTGCTCAAGTGGACTCCGGTGCGAAGCCACGCAACTCATGGGCGAAACCGTCGTGGCGTCGAATGCCACGGATAATACGGTATCGGCGGACTCTCAAACCTAGAGCACTATTGATCTTTTAGCCACAGATTGCGGCATTGCAGTCCTCCTTCTGGTACTGGGTGACTCGGGGCCTTGTCTCCCACGGTAGGTCTTCTAGGGGGAGCGGAGTTGCTTTTGCCCATAATGAGAGATTCGACTGTGGTAAGAACGGACAAAAATGTAAGACAAAGAGAATCGTGGACTACCTACTTGATATGGCGGGAGGCTGGGGAAGACAAGTTTAGATGAGACACCACATCTTGGGGATTCCAAGGTTGTTCTTGAACCCGGCTCCTGAAGTTAAACATATCGTCTCGATGTTCACGGGTACTTCCAAGGTTATCCACGATGAATCCTCCTGGGCAAGCAGAAAAGAAATGGTCGGATGATGAAAGATGCTACAGTAGACAATAAATATACCTCAAAGCCGCCCATCTTGAGCTTTGATTCAGATATGGTGTACTAGAGGCACCATGTGAGATGCTGAGATATAAGAGGATTAAGCCTCAATGGCCTAAGAAAAACAATAATGGTAACATGACAACAATAAATTTGACCAAACATGTCGGAATACCCGAACCATACCAGTTGACCCAACATAACGCCAAAAGAATAAATAGACCGTATATAAACTCATGGAAGGAGTTGCGCGAGGGAAGTCGTGTCGTGTCGAAGTAGGATTCAGACAATGGTTGAAGAGAGAAAGAGAAGGCAAAGAGTATGAGGTAGGTCGGGAAAGAAAAGAGAAATGGGTACCCGGAAGGCCAATAGCATCGGGAGATAAGAAAAGAGGTAGAATCACAAAGGGGAGAAGATATATAATCGTGTGCACGTAACCCGATGCTAGCTTCACGGCCTGATCCAACGCCAACGCCAGTGTCCCAGTACCAATACCACAATGAAGAACAAGAAACCGCTCAAATGCCAGGAAAGCAGACTATTCAGACAAGGACAAACAGTAACACGGCGTTGCCCATTGTGCTTTAGCAGTGTAGGTCTGACTGGAGCCTTGGGCGGTATTGATGTAGGTAGTGGTCGGCGTAGGCTCGATCTCCTGGACCGAGTACACTTTGTTGGGAATGGTTTGGATGTGGCCATTGCTCTCCAGCTGCATCTGCTGGCAATATGGTGACGAGGCCCCTGCATGGTCACGCCGTTCTTCCATCTTGATGATTCGGGGGTAGTTGGCGATGTCGTCATCACGCTTCGACTGGGCTTGGGCTGTGGCCATACTTGCCGCGAGATTGCCTTCAGAGGCAGCAGTAGAATGATAAGAAGTGTCTGTTGCAGACTGATTGACATAGAGGAAAAACTCCATAACCGTCTGGTTCCACCAGCAGAACCAAGGCTTCTCTCCAGACTGGACAACCTGCTTTCGTTCCATGTAGTTTACCAAAAGGTCCTCTGGAATGTCTCGCTTCGAAGCAGAACTAGAGTCAAGGGCAGACTCGGGAAGGATAACGAGCTTGTCAATGTAGGACCAGAAAAATAGAGCAGGACCAAGGTCTGTATCGCTAGTATCCATGACCAAGCTCAAATTTTGTGTGGGTGTAGGAAGGATCGGCTGCTGGGCTCCATAAGAGAAGGTAGAGGTGGCCGTTGCAATATCATTGGCGAAAACAATGGACTGCTGGCCATCCGAGCTTCCGACATAAACCTCAAAATCCTTGGGTTCTTCCAGGCAGCTCCAGACTTCTTTAATATCGTGATCTTCGACACACATTCGAGAGTAGTTTTGTAAAACAGAGGGGATCAGATAATGACCGGTCGGCGCTGGCTTGAAGTTCGTCGGTGTACTTGTGTACGAGGAGTAGTCCAGCTGGGCTGAGGCTGTCACTGTCACAATTTTCGGCCCCTGTTGTTGTTGAGCTTGTGCCTTACGATCGGCCTCCTGGGCCTTTCTCGTGCCGAGAACACCACCAATCACACCTCCAATTGACCCTCCGATCAACATGACAGTCGCAATAAGAACAATAGTCCAGACGGGAAGACCGCAGCACACTTTCCTTTTACCTTTCTGCTTGAGTTTCTCCTCAAATGCCATGATACCTGTGGCTACTGTAGCACCCGTAGCGCCGGCTACTACAGGGCCCGCATTAGGCTCACTGTGCGCGGATGTCTGGGGGATCAGAGCTCTTGATGACGTATTCGAAATTGGCTGTTCTCTTGAAGTCGAAGTCGTACTAAGTTGCTGCTCTTCCTGTGGTGGTAGGTGGATATCGACAGGGCTGTTCCCGTTGGCCAAATTCTCCATCTCCACACCAGGGGGTTTCGGACCCCCTCCTGTAGGGTAGCGTGAATAAGGAGGTAAAGGTTCCGTGTGCCCGTCTGGTCCAATAATATCGCCAACATCATCAATTCGTCGACTTGGGGGTGGCTGGTATGATGAGTTTAGACCGGGAAAGCCGACCGGGATGTCGTCGTCTATCCCTTCTTCGACAACATTCTGGGAATACATCCCATAGGGATGCTGAGGGCCACTCGTTTCACCCAATGGACGATCGATTGGACGGATGGTCGAAGTGCTTCCTACACTCGGGGAGCGACTGACACCAACCTGGGGGTACATCGAGTAGGGATGGCTAGGGCCGGTCGCGCCGGTGTAGGGGCTGAGAGCGCGCGGTATCGAAAAGCGGGAAGAGACACTCTGATTCCTTTGCACAGCAAAGGGAGTATTGTTGGGAGATGTGACAGAATTGCGGTTGTTAGCGAATGCTCCCTTCTGGGGTAAGCTGGATCGATGTGGTTCGTCATTCGAGGACCGGGCATCATCGGCGAATGGATCGTCGTTTTCTGCTGCGGTCGCACCAACTGCTTTTTGAGCTGGGTGGGTTAAGGTAGTTGAGGAGGCGATGGAGGAGGTAGGGCTGGGTGCGCGCTCAATTTGGTCGACATAGATGGGTTCTAGGGAGTATTCGTCGGAGAAGACATTGGGATTGGAGACGCGCGATGTGCGACCGAAGGATTGGCGAGGCATCGTTTCATATTGTCCTTGAGACCGCCGTGGATTCTGAGATGACCTCGATGCCGAGCGAGAATGGTCGGATGAAATGTGACCAGACATATCTCCTTGCTCTGGCAGCCCTATCGGGCCACCTCTGTAATTTCGATTCAATCCGGATTCCGTTCACCCCCAAGAAGAATGGGTGGCAGTCATAGGCGAGGCAGAAAGGCGGTATGACTCTTCCCTGATGTGGAGTGGAAGAGCGTGGTATATTATGTGAGTTGGTAAAGGGATTTGGATGGGGTGAAGTCGAAGGTGAGGTGAGGGAGGGAGGGAAGGGAGTGACCGAGTTTGAGACTTAGTGTGACGGCGGTAATACAAAGTCGGGGAGGGGGCGCCGCAATGGGAGAGTTACTGTACGGATAACCTTGGAAACATGTAAGGATCTTCTAAAGATCAAACATATCTGTTACTTTTCTTTCGTGAATACTTTCTTATTTATCATTTCTTGTCTTATCTTTCCTTTATTTTTTTTTACCAAGACCCTTGCCCATCATCTTCCCCATGGCCCTGAGAGACCCTTTGACCGGACTCGATCGACTGGGACTCCTCCACGAACGCTATGTCCACTAGGGCCACCAGACTAGCGACTAGAGTCACTCTACGGCTGCTCACTGTGGGTCTGGGCCATTGCCACCCACTCTTCTCCCCGGGTGGGAAAAAGGGTTGCTGGAATGGTATGAGCAAGAAACAAAAAAAAATAAATAACTTACGTGTGTTGTTTTCCCCCCATGCAGTCATTTCGAGTTTCGATCTAGGATTACTCTTGTTCCTGCGAGGATCAGCGAAAAGTTTTGCACACTTCTCCGCCCCAAAGCCTAGAACCACGCGAGATTCGGGCTTTGTCCGGGTCTGGATTCTCAACTTGCATCAGCCCAGAGAGGAACGAAGTCTCCAGATTACCGACCAGCCAACAACACCGTGTGATTGTGGACCTGGCATCCACAGCCATGCAGAGCCCAACACCAGACCGTTCGGGGGCCTTTTGTCCACATTTCGTTCCGGTATTATTGCTTCTAGCTGTGAGAAACAGAAGTTACTGGGCCGGGAGAACCCACCTTCGAACTCAATCTATCTGCCTAGTTACCTGTATTCGGGATTTTCAGGCATCATACCGGCCCCCAACAAGGCTAAAGATTGGCCAGCGGAAATCTCGGACCTTGTCTAAGAAAAGGATGTCTCAATTTGCGGGCTAACTGTTACCCGTACAAGTAAAAGAGCACTTTCAAACTGGAAAACCCTTCGCATGGTGGGATTAACATTAACAATACGCCGACGGCATCACACTTGTCCCAATTTTGAAGTGGTCCTTGTTTCCCATCTGGGCAACGAACCCGAGATCCCAGCCGCAAAATTACGTCGGTGGATGCCTCGCTAGGGAGATTACATCAAGCTTTGGATCCATGGAAACCCTGGAAGGTCCTTGGAAAGAAACGGGGCTAACTGCCAAGGCCGGGTAAGGGAATTAGGGTGATTTTCCCCGTTGTAAAGAGCTGAGATGCTCGCTCTGGTTAATACTGTCGAGCATTAGCGGAACGCCATGAAACTTAAGTTGCTTTGCGGCGTTTCAGCCCTCCATGCTTGAATGAGTAACTCAGCCTCAACATGGGGCTCGACTGGTATGAACAAACGCGTAACCTTAGGCGTGTCAAAGAATCGGTCCAGATTCTCTCCCCTTTGTTTCCATTGATTTGGTCAATCTAGAATGGCGGCGGGTCATGTATTGCTTTTGGTTCATACGGTCCCACAGCATCCATGGTCATCCGCCCAATCCGATTGCACGATCTATCTAAACAGATGAAAAGTAGCCGAGCTGATGAGATGTGTTAATGTTTCCGCATGATGACAACAGAAGAAATCCACAAGAGATTTTTCCCAGAGCGGGATCCAATTACATTAGATTGTCACTTAAGTCTGCCACCATTCCAAGGTTTGCCCAGGTGTGTTCCAGAGTTAAGGCTATTTTCAATGCTAGATTCAGTTCCATTCACATAGAATCTGGGGATCAATTATTCCGAGATTATATTACTAGTAGCACTAGTAACGGATTAATACTCGGGTACATGATATGCACTTGTATGTGTCGGTATACTGTTTTGCTTCAACTCAAGTGATAGCCTCTAGGTTCAATAAGGCGCATGACTGCTACCTGGCTAATTCGCCCCAGCTACTTACGCATCCGCTGAATGGTTGAACCCATCGACTCACCCGCCCGGAGTGCTTCCATAGTCTTTTCATCGATCTCGAACCGCTCCTGGCACAGCTCCACGGCCTGCTCGAGCAGTGAAGGCGGAACAACAACAACGCCATTCTCATCACCCACCAAGATATCCTTCGGATAGACCCAAAGATCGCCCTTGAACTGCAGCGGTACATCGATCTCCGATGCACGGCTAAAAGTGTTGGATCCAAGAACGGCAGTACCCCGAGCAAAGACCTGTCAACCGTTTAGTCTGCAGGGACATTCAGAGATGGCCGAGCCAGACTTACAGGGAATCCCATATCACGATGCTCCTGCGCATCCCTCATACGACCGTCAACTATGACACCCAGACTACCAAGCTTCTGGGCTCGAGTCGACATCAGACCACCCCAGCATGCGGAAGGTAAGCCTTTGGGTTGTTGAATGTACATAATGTGGCCCTCTTTGTTCGCATCTGCAAAATGTAAGGGGGGGCGTGGGGCCGGGACTTTTCGTTTCTACCATCTTCACAGTGATGGCAGGCCCGTAGATACTCGTTCCCCCGCCCGGTGAATACATCTTCAAGCCATCGAGGAAGCCCCCGTTTGGATGCTTAAGCTTCACAAGCGCGTCGCCAATCTGGTAAATTTGCAGGAAATTGTTAATATAACAAGTTTGTACTGCTTGATTTGATCGAGGGATTGCATACGTCGCAAGTGGTGAACCTTTTGAGGCCCTGCAGGGCTTTGGAGATTGATGTCATCTTGTGGTGCGCGACGTGATATTTGACGTCTGCGGCTCCGATTGTTGTTATCGGGGGTCCCCGCGCCGAGGCGCCGATCCACCGAGATTCGATAGCACGAACAATTTATCACCTTGTGAGTCACCCAATCGATGCCAACAACTAGATCTGGGGATATTTCTATATTCGCTATATAAACAATATTCACCGTTAGTAATCATATTGCTCGTGAGTCATTTATCCCTCCGCATTTAAGCAACCTTTTGCCGTCCCGCCGTGGATTTATCTTAAGCTCACCACCTTCAGGACTCTTCTTACCATTGTTAATTGATATCACAAACAATCCAAGATGACTGGGCAATTTGGAGCACCCGTGGATATGCATCCCGCAAAATCACCACCAGCAACCACATTTACAGGCCGCACAGTCCGTCTCGAAAAGCTAGACCCTCGACACACCGATGACCTCTACGAAAGCATTGGACAGCACACGGCAGTCTGGGCCTACATCCCCGACGGGCCCTTCCAAGACAAAGAGTCATTCATCCCATTCATAGAACGACTCTCTAAATCCGCCGATCCGTATCTATATGCTCTCATCGATGCATCATCCAACAAAGCAGTTGGATTTTTCTCACTGATGCGCATCGACCAGAAAAACCGGGTGGTCGAAATTGGCTTCGTTGTTTTCTCGCCAATGCTGCAGCGTACGACCGCCGCAACAGAGGCATTCTATCTTATTGCAAAGGCCGTCTTCGAGGATCTTGGGTACCGCCGGTTCGAGTGGAAATGTGATAGCCACAATGAGCCATCCAGAAAGGCTGCTGCTCGCTTCGGGTTTACGGCGGAGGGTGTCTTTCGTCAGCATATGATGATCAAGGGCCGGAATCGGGATACAGCTTGGTTTTCTATGCTGGATTCGGAATGGCCTGCCGTGCGGGAGTCATTTGAAAAGTGGTTGGATGCGGCGAACTTCGATGCGGATGGGAAGCAGATCTCTTCACTTGTTGCTTTGCGGGGGCAGTAATTGTGTATTGCAAAGATGTGATGATATGGTAGCCCGGCCGTAAGAGCTTTGGATTTATATCCATGGTATAAACGGACTCGCGAAACAAAAAATAGATAGATTCGGTACTTTGATCATCTTAGAGATCTGATTGATTCAAATTCAGGAAGCTTGGCTACTGATGTAGAAAATCCATAGTTGGAATACTTGCAGATCCATTGAGCGCTCACGCAGCAAGGGTATAGATTTGAGATTTTAAAACGAAACTCAGGCTTAACCAAAACGCTGCTTCGCCAGAGTCTGCAACCAACCAATCGTCTCCTGCTCCTTCTCACGGTACTTCTGAACGCGCTCCTCACGCTCTGCTACTCGTGCCCGAAGAATTTCCTCTCTACGAATTTCCCGTTCGTTCTTCTTGCGTTGGTCTTTCTCCTTTTCCCTCTTCAAGGAAGCGAGGTCGTTGTCTCCAGATCCCATAAGCTCCTCTTCCGGTGCAGCCTCCGGTGATGCCCCACGAGCATTTGCAAATTCGCGGTTAGCTGCAGCAGCTTCCCGACGCTTCTCGAGCTGTCTCTCTCTTGTCCCGGCTTCTGCTCGTGGTGCAACTTCGTCTTCGAGGTTCTTAACTGCCGCTTTGTGAGATCGGATGTCACTGCGATACTGCTGTCGTGACTCCTCGCGCTCGGCAAAAGCATCTTCAGCTGCAGACTCTGTATGGGTTTGTCAGCGGGCTATAAGTATTCATTTGGGTAACTGCAAGCTTACCTCTCTTGAGCTCCAGATCCTGTAATTTTGGTATTGTCGGCCCAGATTGCATGAAGCCTCTTCCTGAATTAGGGTGAGGTAGTGTTGGCCCATATTCGTCATCGTCTTCATCGTCATCTTCTTCGGCGGTTGGTGGTGCCGTGTTATCCACCATTTCTTTCTGTTCACCTCGCGTGTAATCTGGCGATCCTCTCTCGCGCTCCACAGGCGGTGGCCTCTCTGCTATGCTTTCGCGGGCCCTTTGCAATGTGGCCGGATCGTACCAGCCTTCAGCTAATTCAGCTCGATTCCTGTGTCTCGGGTAAACATTCGAGCTATCCCAGATAGTGTCCTTTTATTTCATACCATTTCTGAATGAAGCTCTTCCATCTCCCCTTCACCTCCTCTTCAGACAGGTCTTCAATGAATATGCCTTTCTGGATGTCGAGGTACATCGCGAACATGGGTTGGAATACATCCAAATCCCGCCTTGTGAGCTCCCGCGCCTGTAGCGGCAGAATCACAGGTTTCGCAGATGTTTCTTTGCTTCTGTGATCATGACGGTCTCGGTCTCGGTCGTGCCGACGGTGGTGGCGGTCTGATCTGTGCCTGTCGGAGCGATGAGGAGAGCGCGAGCGCGCGTCATCGCGGTGGCGGTGCCGGTGGGAATGTGAGTGGTCATGTCGGCTACGATGATGGCGACGGTCTTTCTCTTGCGTGGCTGGGGAGCGAGATCTCCGTGAGGGTTCAGGTGATGGCATTGTGGTTATATTTGGGTAAAAGTTGCATGAAAGGTCGGACTTTTGGGAAATCCGATCGGCAGGTATTGCGCTTATCTTATCGTGCTGGAGCCACCAAGCTTCGATACAATATATACTCTGTACTGTACTTAGACTGATCCTTAGCCATTTTAAAGATTTCTTAAATAAAAGAAATAATCTTGGAAGACGCAGTCCACTGTTTTAAATAATATTCACGCAATCCACGTATTACCAAAGTCAAGAAAATTTGTTGTGATAAATACATCCAGGCGAAGAGGTATACAGGGACCAACACTAAACAGTCCAGATCTAGCTGGGTGGAGCACTTTGCTCATCACCGGCCGGCTTGTCAGTAGACGCGGCTGGGGTCGATGGCGAGGAGGTCTTGGTTCGGTTGGCGGCAGCCATTTGCCAGGCTGGGATAGAAGCCGACCGATTGAGTTGCGAAAGGGGGCTGGGCGCGGCAGGAGTGTTGGCCGAAGACTGAGTTTCCTGCTCCGGTGAGGTCACAGTTGCCTGCAGACCATTTGTCGTCGGAGTAGGGGAAGCAGCAGTCGTATCAGCTGGGGTTGACGGGGACGCAGTAGACGGCACAGGAGTCGGGGTGGGAACGGGGGTAGGAATGGGAGTAGAACCCAGAGTTCTGCCAGCCGCAGGAGCGGCGCCACTGCCACCCAGACGGTTACCCAAAAGAACCTTTAGGCTCTTCAACTCGGTTCCAAGTTCTTTCAATCGATTTTCGTTACCCTCCCGGGCACCTTCGAGGGCTTTCGGAATGGCATCCTTTAGCGACTTGACTTCATCACTGATCCGGCGAGTCTCATCATCCCTCCGCCGTGAAGATGTCTTCAAATCTGCAACAAGACTTTCCACATCCTTGAGTGCGGTATCCAGGCGCTCAGTACGAGCGTCTTCGGCAGCCTTCAAGGCTGCAGTATCGGTCGAAAGTTGTTCAATCAGATCGAATGCCCGAGAAAATTGCTCGTCAATCTTCTCCTTATCTTGCTCCAACTGAGGAGGAGTAGGCGGCGCAATCAATGGGGAGATATAGCGCTGGATTGGCTCGTTAGCATGGCTCACAATACACAATCTTTTTGGATAAACATACCTTAGTCACGGAATAGAGTCCATATCCTACACCACCCACCACTGTCGCCATAATAAACCAGTCGCGCCAGTCACGCTTCGGCAGCCTGCTATGCGGTTAGACCGAGGCATTATAGGAATTCACATCGGTGCATACTCTGGAGGCGGTTGCCATTGGTTGTACGGGGGATAGCCATATCCTTGGGGCACCTGTGGTGGTGGCCGGTAGGCGAGCTGTTGTGAAGAGGGGGTTGGTGATGATGCTGCGCTTGCGGCAGCAGCAGCGGCGGCTGGGTCCTCACCCACTCGCGATAAGGCGAGGTCGACCTCTTCTTGGGTGAGGTTCTTCGATTGTAGGAATGCGACTCTCTTCTCAATGGGTGAAGAAGCGACCGATGGATCTTGGAGAACTGTTTCATAGTTAGCGACTAACTCCATCAAACGACGGTTGCGATAGATTCATACAGGTCACCTAGGGAATATGTTAGCACTTGATACCACAAATCAATATAATTTATCCTTACGGCAGACGTGATCAGCTCCTCACGGGGAGCCATTGTGAATTAAAATCAACTCGATCTAGGAAGATGGAGGAGAGAAAGACAGAGTATGGAGTAGGGGAAAGCGACCGTCATCGGCAACCGCCGTGGACCTCGGAAGTCAGGACCGCCAAGCTTCCCCACACCGAATCTGGGAAAGTCTCGTGATTGTGTCCCTATTTGTTCTGTTTGCTTCTTCCCGGTACCGCCTTCTCCATTCGGTCGCGACCCGCTTCTTGTTTACATCTTCTTGCCCAAGCCTGCACGATAACAATGCCCCCCCTCCACGAGCGAAATTGTGCATGTCTGACTTGGACTTGACGAAATCAAGACCCCACATATTCTTGTCAATTGCTTGAATCAACGCGACATAACCGGCCGCTTTTGCGGCTTTTGTGATAACAATGTCGCAAGATACTCATCTGTTTAGCGTCAGGCGCCCGGGGCCCCGAGAGGTATGAATTTCTTTCTGGTCGCAAAACAGAATCGAGCTAACGCATAGCTTCAAGACGCTCGGGAGTGTACAAAACTATTCCTCTATTCCACAGCCCGCTTCCGCGCTTAAACGAACAAGTTCCATTGGGTTTAACAACCCTCCATTCACGTCGCAAAATGCTCGCCGCACGTCGCTATTGAACTCAGCAAGCAGGCCTCAGCAGCCCAACTTCGCACGCGCTTCCACCGGAGGCCCGTTTGCTGCTGAGGCTGGTCTCTCATCCGTACGCCGGTCCGTGTCGAGTAACATGTTTCATGGCGCCAGTGCAAGTCGGCAAAGCTTTGCGCCGGGCTCCCTTTCATCGAATCCTGCACCCCCGAACCTACAACGTCGCAGCAGCGTCTTTTCAAGGCCATCAATGGGTGGTCCAATGGGCCACCAGTCTTTTTTCAACCAAGTCCCCAGTGTGGCGGGTGTCCCCAGGGATCCGCGCCCACTTCGGGATCGATCTTTCCAAGCGCGCATCGGACAGGAGCTACTGGAATATTTGACCGCCAATCAATTTGAGTTGGAGATGAAGCATAGTTTGGGACAAAATACCCTCCGTTCGCCGACTCAGAAGGACTTCAATTACATTTTCCAGTGGCTGTATCATCGTATTGATCCCGGGTACAAGTTCCAAAAAGCAATGGATGCCGAAGTGCCCCCAATTCTCAAGCAACTACGCTATCCGTACGAGAAGGGAATTACGAAGTCGCAGATCGCAGCTGTTGGTGGCCAGAACTGGTCAACATTCCTTGGAATGCTACACTGGTTAATGCAACTGGCGCAGATGATGGAGGGCTATGTACATGGGCAGTATGATGAGGCTTGCGCGGAGGCAGGTGTTGATTTGACAGGTGATCGCATCATATTTCGCTTTCTTACTCAAGCCTACCATGACTGGCTTCAGGGTGGCGAAGATGAAGATGACGATATGGCTGAGCAGAGGTTAATCCCGCACATTGAGAACATGTCCGCGGAATTTGCCCGTGGCAACGAGCGGTATGTGCAGGAGCTAGAAGCTTTGGAAGCGGAGAATCAAGCTCTTCGTGCACAAATCGAGGAGATGGAGCGAAATGCTCCCGACATGGCTAAACTGGACAAGCATTTCCGGATTCTGGAGGACGACAAGCGAAAGTTCGAAGACTACAACCAGAACGTCAAAGGAAAGATTGAAAAATACGAGACTCGAATCAAATTCCTGGACGCTGAACTTCAGAAAATTGACGCTGAACTTCTGACGACTGAGACTGAGCGAGCCGATCTTCAAGCCAGCGTGGATCAACAGGGCATCACGATCCAGGACATTGACCGCATGAACACTGAACGAGAACGTCTCCAGAAGAGCCTTGAAGACACAATGGCTCGTTTAGAAGAGACACACGCCCGAGTCATGGAGAAGGAGGCAGAGGCTAGCCAGAAGCTCGAGGACTTGGAGGGAATCGTCAAGGCCTACAATACCCTCGGCTATCAGACTAGCCTGATTCCTGATTCCGCGGAGAATGCCAAGGGTGAAGACTTTGAGCTCCAACTACACGTTAACGAGAACAATTTCTCCGCCAGTCAGGTTGGAGGGCCACCCAATCGCATTTCATCCGAGGGTGATCGCCTCTTGGCCGAGCCTTTCACCGGATATCACCCAGCGCACTTACTGAATCTCGATCTCAGGGGCTTTGTGCGTAATAGTCTACAGTCGCTGCGCAAAGAGATCAATGAACGGCGAAAGAAAGGGATCGACGATGACTTGGACCGTCGTAATCTACTTGACAATATTAAGGAGGCAATGGATGAGAAACGGAGCGAAGTCGAGGCCTTGGAGCACCGGCGGCGGGCGGCAGAAGAGGAGTTCGAACGCACCAAGGAAATCACCACCACTCAGAAGCTGGCGTCTGACGCCCAGATTGAGAAGATGGAGAAGGAGCTTGCCAAGATGCGCGCCACTCTCAGCGACAGTGTCCAATTAATGGAGCAGCGGGAGATGAACACCAACATTGAGTATGAGCAGTTGACTCTACGGGCGAATGCCCTCCGGGAAGAATTGCACACCAATGTAGAGACCATGCTCAACGATGTCATCCGGTTTAAGGTGCACGTCCAAAAGGGCCTGGAAGACTACGAGAGCTTTGTAGTGGATGAGGTGGAGCAGGAGCTAGGAGGTGACATGCCACTAGCAGAGGAGGAACTATGAGAAGGCACCTTTGGCGCCTTCATGATGTGATGATATTCCGTGTGGAGTTCTTTGTTCGGTATCATGTTAATTGAGGTCTATACGGAGTATGTTCTTTCTGTACAATACCATTTCTTTTCAAGTGATCTAAATGCAAGGAACAATGTTTCTATTTTGGCGGGGGACACGCAATGGGCGGAACAATTGTGCAGCAGACCTAGTGTGAGACCGCCGTGGCGTTGTGGTGTTTGACGATTAGAAAGCCTTTGAAGCGATTGCTAGCGGACTTGTCTGTTTTTAGCTTGCCACGCCGGATCTGGGAAATACCCAATGGCCATCGAGAATCAATCGCCCGGTTTTCTCAATCTGAGGCAGGCGGCGGATAGATCGACAAAGAGGACGTAAGCCTCGGTGGGGCACAAGTATGACTCGTCCGTTTCACATTTACCCTTCACACCACATAACCGACCTCTCTCAAACATCAAACTCTAATACGACTTGTACCTGCAGGGAGGTTTCATATAAACAAAAACAGCGTTAATATACAGTATTCTAGGCTTAGGGCTTCGGCAATTTCAAACCCCTGAATAGCGTGTGCCTTTAACCTTTCTCCCCAGGTATCGGCTCCACATACAACGGACGTGGGCCCCTAGGGCTTCATCTGCCCACCTTCTGCCAGGATCGTCGTTGATTCGACACATCCATCACGGATAAAAGAATGTGTAGCTGTGCTCGGCAGTCTCAGAATGCCGATCTCCACCGTTCCAGAACTCAGGGCCTGGTCCAGATGTCTCAGCTAACCTTAGCGGCTGGAGATCCACCTTGACAGCAGACCAGCCAAAGGTCCCAGTCGTGGTATATAAGGCACTTCGAGCCCTCCAGAAACATTTTTTGAACCAGAGTGCTGCGCGCTTCCTTCTTTTCCAATAGCTTTTTTCGGATCATCCAGAGTTTGATACTCGACCAATTCCATTCCTTCACACAATTTCTTGATTTCGACTACATCAACCACTTTCGTTGTTTCTTCTTATCTCAACAACACATTCACCATGAAGTTCAACATTGTTTTCGGCCTTACTGCCGCCCTTTGCCTGGCTCCCAATGCCGTTGCTTGGCGCCTGCCTGGAGTATGTGTCACACTTGGTGTTTTTTGTCTCGGTTTCGGGTTAGATAGCTAACATCCATCAGCTCGACAAGCGTCAGGACGCCACCCCTACTTCTCAAATTGCCACTGGCTCTGAGCCCACCGGTACCTTCCCTTCTGGCAGCTTCGGCGGTGGTGAGGGCGGCTCTTTCCCTTCCAGCGGTGCTCAGCCCACTGGTAGCTTCGGTGGTGGTGAGGGCGGTGCATCCCCCTCTGGCGCCGCCCAGCCCTCCGGTACCTTTGGAGGATCTGGCGGCCACGGTAGCCACGGCAGCCACGGCTCTGGTAGCCATCAATCTGGCCGCCCTGGTCCTCGCCCCTCTGGTGCTGCCCCATCCGGAAGCTTTGGCGGTGGTGAGACTGGTGCCCAGCCCACTGGCGGATTCGGCGGTGAATCGGGTGCGTCCCCCTCTGGTGCTGCCCAGCCAAGTGGTAGCTTCGGTGGTGGCCAGGCCAGCTTTGTGACTGTCGCTGTTGGCCCCACCGCTACTCCTGAGGCCAGCTCCCAGGGCCAGGGCCAGAGCCAGGGCGAGTCCTCTGAGGGTTCCCAGGGCTCCCAGAGCGAGCAGGACCAGCGCGTTCACGCTCGTCAGTTCCGTGGTATTCAGGTTTAAATTTCTGCAGAATTTTGTGCTCATTTATGGCATTCTCGCTGCCTTGTGTGAGTGAGGTAAAGGGCTTTGTGTTTCTATGGCTGCTGTGCAGTTACAGAGAAAAGTACATATGTATATAGACCTATACCGCATCCACGCGAATGAGACTCTGGCATGATCCTATATATTTTTCCTCTCCTGGCTTGATATATCGTAAATTAAATGTCTCGAGCATGGCTTCCTGTTGATCGAGTATCGGAAACCCCTGTTGCATTGATCATATTGTTATTGCGCTACTAGAGTTTTTGCTCCCCCATCCACACCGCTTGGTACAGTCTTGTTTGTGGGTATCATGAAAACACGCAGGGTTTAGTCTGCGGTTCTGAAGTCTTTTCTGCTGGTGGGGACTTTCTCTTCAATCCTATCAAATGCAATTTTTCCTCTTCGGAGGAACGTTGCAAAACAGAAACTCAGGTGAATGTTCCACGCTGGATATCGAAGTAGGGATCTGATCGAAAAATGAATTCTTGTCAACGAATTGCTAGGTGAAATTCACGTTCAGCGAATAATTAGGCCGAGGGCCATCAATTGGAGTCAGAATCCGTGGCATGGTGAAGGGGGAGGAGATGAAACGGAAGAGCCTTCATGAGGCTTAATAAGAGAATGAGTAAGTAGGTGAAATGGGAAGGATCAATTATGAGTCAAGGTTACTAGGGCGAGATGTGAGGATTATATCAATATGTCTAGTGTTTCAAGTATTAATTTCGAAATAAGGAAAACTACCAACATTCAGTTACACTCATGTTAAAGTAGGCAAAAAAAAGCTTAAGCACCGTCTTACTCCAAGGTAGTCTAGTGCGAATCAATAGATCAATATTTACCTGGGCAGATACTTGATCTTACTATTGCTCTAAGTCTCGAATACTGCGCCTTGCCTAACACCGTGAGGTCATTACTGGGAGTCTTCAAGAATGAATGCCGTTAAAGTATGCACTCCCGCATGCTATTTTTCTGGATTGTTTTGACGATCTGGAGTAAATTCCTCAGACCTGCATGTAATTAAAGTCATTTATAACAGTCATAGACCTTGAATGACTTAATATTCTGACAGGAGCTTCTCAGAGTCGTTTCTAAGTCCTTATTCTGATCATGTTTTCCAAGTAAATGCGGTGGCTCCGATTGGCTACTAGCTTATGTATGCTGACTCATCCCTCTGGCACCAAATTTCCAGCAACTCGTTTTCCTTCAACATTTTCAACACTCCCGCGTAGACGGGCTCACAGCTATTACAATCGGTTTCAAACGGCTTCAAACGGATCGGAGAACCTCTGCGATCTACCTGGGTTTATGTACGCCTCGAAATGTGCCACGCCGCACCGGAACCCATCGAGTCCGTGAATCATCCACAGGCGCCTTTCGCGAGGCTTCTCGCCGTGTCATGAGAAGGTGCCTGTGCCCCGGCGGCCTCTTGCGAACTGGTCGTGGGCCAACAATCTCTTCTCGACGTGTCTCCCTTCCTTCCGCGCTCCAGACCCGACTTGCATCGGCAAAATGCAACATAAAGCCCAAAGAGTACAATTTTCTACTTAGCTACAACTCTCTACCACCGTCTCCTCTCCGGCAATGGGAAAAGTACAATATCGATTCCTGGATACCACTTTTGGAAAAATGTGTTCCACCAGCACAAAAAGGCGAGAGTCCTCCGGGTAAGCCCGAGGCTGGTGCTTCACTGCTAGACAATGCAGCCATTCTTGATCGCGGCCATACTTTGAAAGCATACATGTACCATGCGAGAAATGAAGCCAGATTAAATCTCATCAATCATCTGGGATTCAATTTGGGGCAATGGTCTTATGCATACCGCCTTCTGGGCACTTTCATCGACACTTACGAAGTGCTCATTCCTTACATGACTCCTGAGCGTCCAACATCTTGCTTTGCCTGGAAAAACACAGGACTTTCTCTTGATGAGCTTTCGGAGGCTCCTCATGATGATCTTATAATTAAACGCGAGCTGATCCCGATATATCCGCCTTCTGACAACATCCCTATTGCAATGCTGACAGGAGCTCGACCAGCAGCACGGGAATTCGCTCGCACGTTCTTGGGGGAAATATTAGTGAACCTTGGTTCGTTGGTACTGGAAGCTGCAGATCGACCAGCAGTTGAGTCCGAGCTTGCAATGTCCTGTGTTTACCGTATCCTTGCTCGTTTGCACCACCTGGACTTGATTTCCGACAGAGTTTATCAATCACCAGATGACAAAACCAATATATCATCACACCGACCACCCGGGTTACATCTGCTTACGGGCCACATTATGAGTGTTCTTTCTGACGCAGCATGGTTGGAACACGAGTCTGCACTTGCATCCGCAGCCACCGAAGCAGGAGAGGAACCCCCTTTCGTTCCTTTCAAGGTGGGAGTTCGAGAGTTGGGTCATGAGATATGGTTAGAGCTCATTCTTTGGTGCTGCGTTGAACACGGATTCAACAAACAGGGGGCTTGGTTGGTGGGTCAAATGAGCGGGCGCAAATCCCAGTCAACTTGGAACATTGAGAGCTGGGCGCCTCTTGTGGAAGCTCTTGACCTTGTGCAACAGACCAACATTAGCACTGAGCGGGTCTGGCGTCGTCCAGGCCAGGAAAACCCAGTCGTGACCCACAAGGGCTCCAAAAAGCTCCCGTTCAACGGACTTGGTCTAAGAACAATTAGCGCTGAGGTAGTTTCCAGTCTACGAAACGGGCTCTCCAATTCCGCTTACAATGGAGTTGGTTTCCATGGGTCCGCTCCTTCCGAACTGCTCACTTACGCAAAGCCTCTTACCGCTTTGCTTGACCCTCCTGGCCCTGCTGACGATCTTCGTCCTACAAGAAGGACTACGACTGGGAACATTGTCCGTATCATCGAGTCTGGCTGTCTAAAGCCAATGGAAGATCCAGTCGCGCTCGGGAAGGTGTTAGGGTCTACTCAAAATCTGGTCCCCCCGTGGGAAACGGATCCAGTGCCCTCAACAGAGGATCTGAATAACATGACGAGAGCACAACTGTATGACCAGACCGCAGCTCTAACTGGCCTATTGCAGTATAATATTAAAAGCTACAGCTACAAACGCCAAGCTACCCAGGCCTTCACCCAGTACGCGTGGCTTCAAAACATCGTTGATGCAAGCAAGGTCCACCACATTGAAGCGTTCTTTGAGCATCTCAATAGATCTCAATCTATGGATGTACCATTTTTTGATGCACAACAAATCAACACACCTCAATCGCAGCCGTCGTCCCTTCCCCAGGTGTCACTTACTACGCTGGCTGATTTACTTGATTTGGCCACTGCTGCTCGAGCCGATGATTTTGGAAACTGGTTGCTCTTAAACAACGACCTTGATGGTCCATCGATTCCACGTTCTGCATATGGCACCCAAGTTTTAGCCCCATCGATTCTTCGCTTTGCATCTGCCACGCGGAATTCCGAATTGAGCCACTCCGTGATTAAGTCATTGGAATTCCCACTTACCGTGAACACGCTCAGATCGATGGCTAACGTCCACATTGAATTTGGCGACTGGAACCGCGCGATTCTGGCCTTCGAGTATATGCGTGACTATAGGCTGAAGTCCTGGGGCTTTAGTAACCTCTTAGCCCTAGGAGCAAAGATAGTCAGGCTTGAAGGTGCCTTAAAGCTCCGGCCGGCCAGTGGATTCGAAGATACAGCACAAAAAACTTTAAGGCAAAGCCTCGACCATGCAAAACATCTTCTATTTCGCTTCTTCTCTGGGGAATTTAACACGCCTAGAAGCAAGCTACCGAGAACAAATAGCTACCAATGGAAAGCTCTTGAGCGCACGCGAACCATTTTTCGAAAAGTTCCCGGTGAGCTGGGAGTCCTTGCAGGCCAAATACAACTCGCCCGCAAACTCTCCAGTCGCGAAAGACTCCCATATGTCCCCACCGTCTCCTTTCACGTTCTTCTCACCGCCATCCTCGACGTTCACGGCTGCAAAGTCGGTCATGAATTCGCGGTCCGCTGGCTCCAAAAAACCCCCAATCCACAGAAATGGCGTCAGCGAGAAGGAGGCGTCTCCCGACTTCATCTCCACGCCGAGCGTGACTTTAAACTGCGTGATCCTGATTACAAACTCGCTTGGCATGAGCATTCCATGGCAAAGGCTGTCATTCCCGATTTGAACACGATTCGCATTCTTGTCCGGGCTGCCATGCGTGAGCTTGAAGTAACACCACAGGAGAAGATCAAGGCTGAACCGCTCCCCGCCGGTCAAGGCTACCAACTCGACGTTTCGAGATCCATCTATAAGTACCTGACCGTTGACGGCGGTAGGCCACCTGCTACAGAGATCGAGGCCATTCTCGATTGGTGTGCAGCTTTCCTTCTACGTGTTGGCATGGAAGATGCTATCGACATCGAGATCCCGGGCCATACGAGCCGTCTGCGGGGCCGTGGTGTTCTTACTGCACCTCGAGATAAACGTCTTCGGGCCCGCTTTAAGGAGATTCAAAATTCTCCTTGGATGAATGCTTTCGTTAAGGAAGTGGCAACAGATAATTGATTGTCTGGAGTGGCTAGCGAGTCCCAAAACTCGCATGTATAATATTTTGTCCTGTGGACTTTGGACAAACAGTGTATATACCCTTTTCATTTTCCATGTTCATACGATGTATTACCATTTGTTTTCCTCTCATCATATCCTCTTGCATAGCAATAGACAAAATCGAAGATTTGAGTGTAACTAAACATACTATGAACAATTGCAAGTGATGTAACCTTGAAATCATATTAGATATCATGGAAATTATCCAATCGCATAACTAGAATTAAGTCAAGTTTTTGACTAGAAATAAGGCCAATCTAGAAATCCTAGAGCCAAAGTCATAACCGAACCAATCCATCCATCCATCCTAACCTTAAATAACACCATCCCGAAACCAATCATTTGGCAGCCATGCCTAGCTAGCCAATACCATATCCCACCCATTCCTTATTTTTGAAAGTACCTCCGAATCGAAATAACCTCCTATCCCATGTCGATTATGCAAAGCACGCCATTGTTGGTATAAAGCTGTATGAGAAGAAACGTGGTAAATAGAAACCAATCAGCCATCACTGGCTGTAAGTGTGAGATTTGAAAAAGAAAAAAAAAAGAAAAAAGATAAAAAAAACCCGGCCGTAGAATATAAACTGCAAGAGATTACAAATCATCGTATCTAGGCCAGGCCTAGATACAGGATCAAATCAGAAAGCAGTCTGAGAAGAAAAGAGAAAGAAAAAAAAAAGAATAGAAGAAAAAGAAGAAAAAGAAGAAAAAAAGGAAAAAAAGGACATAGTTTTCGGTACTTCATCATTCATCGACATGAATCATTCAGAATTTGTTTTTCCGTAAGAGATCAATACTGATCCCAATGATGATCTTCATTCGAATAAGGAAAGAAAGAGCGAATAAATTCGCCACTGATGGGGTCATATGGGAAGTATAAATCGTCCGTCATTTGAGCATCGCCTGTGTATGAGGACATGAGATCGGACGGTTGCATCTCCGTGTAACCCAGATGATTGTTTGCATGGTCCACGCCGAACTCGGCGGGTGGGTGATTGACCAAAGACAAGTCTTCGAAGTGTGGATTCCAAAGACCTGATGTTGAGGGGGTGATATCCTCGGTAGAGGGCTGTGGGTTTTCGAGGGAAAGTGTGGAAGCAGGTGCGTTTTGGTAGGGGTGAGAAGGCATGTCGCTGATGTCAAACTTCATGCCGACAGCCAGACGACGCAAAGAGATGTCACACAGCTGCCATGCGCGTCGTGAGGCGACACTGTACTGGGACATGGCGAAGAGCCATCGGATGGCTTTTTTGGATAAGGCAATGAAGTTCTGCTCTTCCTCTGGCATGTGGACACATCCAAAAGCGAGCTCGAGTAGGAGGACCGTTGCGGCTTGCATGAGGTAGTGCAAGATGCACCACCACGGAGCAACTTCATACAGTTGAATAGCATTGGGCTCCTCGGGAATAAGATCGAGCATGAGGTGGGCAGACTCTAGGGTCAGCTCTGCCATGTCATGGCTGAAGGCTGATCTTTCCGCAGGGCTTTTCTTCTGTGCGTCACGCCGGCAGAGACATGGGCGTCCCAATGTAATTCGTGCACTGTAGTAGTGGAATGCCAGGGCTAGTTTGTAACGAAGTCGGTCGGCGCCTTCATCTTCCTTCTTGGTGAAGTCGAGTGCAGTCGGAAGACTGTGGTACCAAAGATCGATTCGACACCTCAGCTCGCCGATTCGATTCTCGATGTGTGTCCAGGGTACCATTACACAATCCACCGAATACACTTTGTTCACAATTTCTTGCACGACGACAGCCAGATCACAGTAGTAAAGATGGCAAAGACCAGCGCTGACAGGAACGCTTTTCACCCAAGAGTTGTCGCGTTCACGGCTTTTATGAGTAGCCTCTTTGCCTCCAGTAGGGTTGAGGGGCATATGTCGGATCCAGGAACTGGCCATTACCTTGTTGATGCGGTCATCTCGGATGACCGAATCGTTGAGTAATTCAGCTGCCGCTGGTTCTGTAAGTTTGTCCTCGTCAAATGGCAGTGGCAGGGGTGTGGTGCAAATTCCATCCAGAATACAGGAGGCACGACCGGTCATTATTCCCAGAAGGTGCTCAAATGTGTACAAACACCACCAGACTCGGTAGCGAGCCTCTTTAGAAACACTCGGTGTTGTAGGGCTGCTATTTTTCATATTGATACCCAGGGTGATTGCAGACCGAACTGCCAACGCAGAAATTCTCCATGCACGGTTGATCTGGTCTGATGATAGCAAGTAGAAGGCGATCAAGCCCTCTACTTGGACCTGCTGGAGATCAGGATGGCTGAATAAAACTTCGCCATTCATGCTGAGGATCCTGGCCCGATTCAGATACAAGAAATGATCTTTTTCATCTCCATGCCATGGTGCCTCAATCAAATGGGAGTGTTTCGAGCCAATGGCAAAGATCATGTTCAGAATGGCAAGCCATTTGTCACCGGGTTGCGCGTTACTTTCGTAAAATGTCTTATACTGCGCAGTAAAGAGAGGTCGGTTAATGATAGGGAAAAATGGGTTGACGGTTCGCAGATAAGCATCGAAAAGGTGATCGGCGTGTTCTCGTTGAGGAACCGCATACACATCAATAGGTCCCGGAACATTAATGTCCAAATCATCGAGATGGTAGTTAACGGCGTGGAGGGCGAGATCATCATCTTGTCGCTTGCTTTGGCCCGGCTCTAGAGATCCTGGCAGCCCATGCGCTCGGTGTTCTGCTTCTCTTTGAAGCCGTTGCATCCAGGTCACCTCAGAATTCTTTCCCATGTATCCAGTCGCCCGCGTGTTTTCATTTCGGTTCAGATCCTCCTCCACTCGATCGATTGCCTCCAAGGATCCAATCGATGAAGGGGAGCTGAAATCGTCCGCTTCTGGAACCTCGTCCTGAGGGGTAACAGAGTGAGATTGGGCACTGCTGGGCGAGTAGTCTACATCCAAACCATGCTGCAAAGAGTTAATGACTGTTATATATATCGACAGCATAAGGACATACCTTGTCCAGCAAGCTTTTGATCCGGTCCGCCACACGGGACTCCACAAGAGTACCCAAGTCCTTCAATAGAATTTCATAATCGTAGGCTTTTTCAGTAAGTTTTTCGACTTGTCTAAACACAATAAAGATTAGCTCCAATTGGAAACGATCGATTCTCGGTATCCTACTTTTTTGTTTTTTCTTTCCATCCAACAGGGTAATTACAAGTCGCCCTGAGTTCACGGCACTGTCGACAAACAGGAGTGTCGCCACTGCATTTTGTCTTGCGTTGGCGACAAGATTCACAGGCACGAGGCACCCGACGATTATATCGCGGGGTGACTCCTCCTCGGTGGCGCGGGATGGCAACTTTAGCGTGCGAACCATTTCCAACGGTCGAAGCTGTATCGGCGACGGAGGGGGTTGAGAAGGGAAGGTGGAGGGAAGCTGCAGTTGCTGGTTTTGGGCGCCGTTTCCATTTACGACACCATCCCCCGGCGGATGTTGGGGCGGCTCCTCCATCGTCATGATGGCGGGCGGTTTAGGCTGTGAAGATTCGCAATAGAGTGAGAGCGCAGATTATCTCCGATAGAGGGTACTGTTATCGGCGCGATGCGATTCGTTGGCTCGGGTTGCCGAAATTGGATCGCGCGGCCTCGAAGCTGGCCTACAGAGTGTTGTGACACATCTGGATGGATTGTAGTCGATAGCAGGGATGTTTTAATGGAATTTAGGATAGCGACCGTTGAGATGAAACGGGTCGGGGTGGCGGGGAATTAAAGTGCCACTTGATTGGAAGTTGGAAGTTGGCAGGAGGCTTAGGTAAGGATATGAATTCAGATTTCAAATGTTCCATGGTTTTGCGAGACGCCTTTCGCATACAAATAAGATAGGTCGCTTTTTGCCCTTTTGTCGATAAAAATAAAATAGATATCCGATAAACCAAGATCTCCCATCTCATCTACCCGTCCAGGGCGATTAGAAAAAAAAAATCAGACAAACAAATGTGTATATGTACAAGAATAAGAATGAGAGGTGAAAAGGTGAAAAGCACGGCGGGGAGATGAGAGCCGAATATGCGAAGGTTTAAAGGCGATAATAGGGTATAACGACAAGAACGGCTCTCAAAAGACGAGAGGAGAGTAGAAATAAAGAAAAGAGGAGAGTGGAGCAGTCCGAATATCACAAGCAAGATTGTTTAGATTTCGCCAAACATTTCATCAAGCTCGTCAACCTCGACGGTCTCCGGGTTCTGCAACTCTCTCCAAGAATCGGAAGCGAACACAGTCTCAGTATCCATATTGGAAAAGGCACGGGGGCCAAGGCTGAGTTTCTCGTGCGATTCAGTCAGATCCGACATCTTCAAATCCACATCGGGGAAACCGCTGTTCAGCATGTCAAGCGAGCGCTTGAGAGTCGAAACGGGCGCGGCATCTGGATCAGTGGGAAGGCTAATCTGAGGAGCAGCTGGGAGAGAGCCAGCCCTTTCCTCGCAGTCATCAACTACGCTCGTTCCAGACGAGACGGAGGATGCGATCGAGGTCAGAGAAGGCGAAGGGGAGGTGCCGAAAAGAGTGGCGGCAGCGGCCTCATCTAGATCTTGAGCCCCATTATCGGCAGCGTTCATGTGTGAGAAATAATCATTAAACTCCTCTTCACCGTGGATAGAGGGAGACATCGAGCCACCATTTATAGGGGAATCAATGCTCATATCTTCGTCCATGGAACTGAGGCCTTCGGAAAGAACGGAGAGACCCCGCTCCGACTGATCCCGGCTGGCCTTTTCCTCAGACGCACGCTCGCGAACAGCACTGGCGGTCTGAGTGAATTCCTTCTCATCACCCTCCAGGGGCGGGGAGGCGGCACGGTTCGAGTGCATCAGGCGTGTATGACTAGAGGGGTCGGGGAACTGGTCTGAGGCAGAACCCCGGTTGGCGGGACTATGCAAATCGACATCCTCCTCCCCTTCATAGTCGGGGGATGAAAGATCCACCTCAGGGCTGGGACTGCGCTGGCGCGAAATTAAATCTTCATCGTCTTGATCCAGACTTGAGACGCTAGGAGTAATGTTCTTGCCGTCAATGCCGATCAAGTCGTCATTTTCCGGAATAGGTTGACGAGGGAAGGTCGTCAAATAGTAATACACTTTGCGTGGGTGGATTAAAATAAGTTCTTTGGCCATAGGACACGGCGCGAGGGCGGTCCAAGGTCTCTTCATGTACGCTGCCAGTCGGGAAGACAGTAGCGCAGCGGGATTCGCGGAACTTTTAGACCCCACACGTTAGCAATGAAGCGATTCCAATTTTGGGGGTTGAGAACTTACTTGGCGACAGTCGCATTCAATGACACTAGAACAGCAGCCAGCTCCTTAACAAGATGGGGGCGATTCCCAGTCTTCTCGAGCTGATTAATCACCGCGACCACAATATCATCATTGATGCCCTCTGTATCAATCTTAGGCGCATCACCATTTAACGGCGAAGGAGGTGGTGTATGTTCGAAGGCTCCGTGCCGACCCGCGCGCACGATAGATCCCTTCTCCGTAGATGGTTCAGGCGATAATGAAGTATGCGACCGCTTGACTTTTTTGGCCGGGTGGTCTTCAGATGCACCTTTTGAAACGGAGGAAGAACGACGTGACGAGTTGGGGAGGTGGATGCCTAGCGATGGGAGAGACAACGACTTGCGACGGGTATTGTACGGCATAGTGAGGTGATGGGAAGATTTAGAACAAAGGAGGGAAGATTCAGAGAGTTAATAACGAAGAAATCAACAATAATAATGTAATAAAACAGTTTCACTCGGAGAGGTCTCGCGAGGATGTAGGTTAAGGGGGGGAAGTAAAAGGGAAGATGCGAGCTACTGAAGGCGAATTACAACCTGAGGAATCTCAAGCAGAGAGTGGAAACAGTGGATTCTTACTTTTTTTTTTTTTTTTTTGGTAATCTATAAAGTTGGTAATTACCAAAACATGCGGTTTAGAATTGATGTGGCGCTGATTGGCCTGGAAACTATTTTTCTGGATTTTTCTTACGGCATGCTCTTGCTTAACCACGGATGTCGATCGAGATTTCCCGGTTGCTCGGAGCTATTCTCCTTGAATAATCTTTATGCCAAAGTAAGACTTACCAGCTGAGTCAGTATAAAATTCTGACTCTATAATACCTTGTCATATTATCCTACGCCGATGCTACTCTAGATCAGCAGAGGAACAGAGATGAAACTCATGCAGGGATGTGAAATGCTGAAAATTTTTCGACTCGAAATTCCAGGCGGTGAGTGGATCCATGTCAGGATTAGTCTGCGTATTTTCATTATTCCATACCATTAGTCCACCTCCATTCCCTCTTGGGCCTTAGTGCATGCCGATGGGCCAAGAGGCAAAAAAAATAAACCCATAGTGGGGGGGGAGCCATGTGTCCCATCACCCAAAATGGTTTCTATGGCCCATAGTGCTCCAGCTTGAACTCCATCAGCTCCGTTATACATCACACTTCACCACTCAGAACCCGCTGGCGGAGAGGATGATATGGGTCTCCCTGTGATCTCATTGGCTCTCTAGATTGAGAGACAGCACTGGGCGAACGGCGCATCCCAGCTCCGTTCCTTGTATGCCGATTATGCATTAGATCTGTCAATGGTTGCTAGGTGACCAGTCGTCTGATAGTATCTTGACCGCTGCTCCTAATTTAGATACCGAGGTATGTCCTACTGATAATATCCGACACCGACTCAATGCAGTTCGAAGTTTTGTTGTGTTTTCGTTGGTTTCCATTACTCTTCGTTTCTCGTGCCGTGCACGCGAGCCAACCCGAGACCTCCGGGCAAAAACACCGGTTCCCAAAAAAGATCCCTAGCGTCGCCGTTTGGGGCAGCCTCCACTCGGTGGATCCCCGGCCGAATTCATGTACTGTATTGTATTGCCGCGTTAGCAAGGGGATGCGCGCAGTAGCGCCTCGGGGGGAACAGGGAGAGCCTCGCCACCCTGCACAAGCTGAGAAAATGATACCCCGTACGCCTCTTTCTGCACGATCGCCCAACTCAGTTTACGTTCTTTGTTTGACTTTCTTAGCTTTCAAACTAAAAAACAAATCTACATCACATCCTTCCTGTTGGTACCCGCCATGAAGTAATCATGGCCTGAGGGGGGGAAAGGCTTATCCTATTTTCCCCCCTTTGGCTCCATCCGTCGACGTAGATATGATGACAACCTCATTTTAGTGCCCCCCCTAAACTGGATATATCGTCGCCCCTATAGCTGAGATGGAGTAGATCTAGCTGCCCCGTCATTATTGTCATTGCGATAGTTCTGTAGTCATCAATTGCTCAAAGACTGGCTGTGGACATTGCTCGCCTTTTTTGATTTTATCTTGGCGTCCAGCAAGGGCGGGTAGAAGCATTACAGCATATGCAGATTTGGGATAACCATTCCAGAGATCCCTACCCTTTGTAGGTTTCTGTTATGTAGGAAATATAACGGTCCAATCCTATCGCGCTGTTTGTATGATCCTGGTGATGACATCGTTCACTTCTGGGGAGGGGAAAGTTACGCTCCATGCTCAACACCTCAACCATGGATTCCACATTTGCCCTCGCATCAGCCCATTGTCGGCCGAAGAACGATCGGTTTATCTGATGCATTCTGTACTTTGCCGCTCGAGGGCCTGCAGGTGGATATCGTAATTCTCCGCATCTCCACAGTCTTATGTGGCCCATCCTGCATCCTGCGATGCAATTAGGTTTTGCAATCTTGCTGGGTCTTTGCGCCATGCAATGTTTGACTCTTGGTTGATTTCGCGCATTGGGGCAAGCCATTCTTAGACTAAACTTAGAGATCTACATATGTCTACATCATCAATCGGAGTTGTCCGATCCCCGTCTCGATATGGCAATACACTTTGAATCTAGACTTTTTGATACTTGTCTTCCCAAGGCTCACATCATTACGGGTCCAGCTTGCATATATTTTTAATCTATATTCTGACTCCATGTGGCAACCTCCATATCAAACCCTTGGAACCTCAAATACATGTCAGATGCAAACATTGAAACCACATCAACCAGTACATGGTAAACAAATAGAATCCTTGCTTCATGCCATGTCTCAACACGGTTGCATTAACTTCAATCGCTGCGACAACGGCAAATCCAAGACATATAGATACACCCCTGCAGGCGATCTGCGACCTGCATATCACAACTGATCCAGATTGGAAGGCTATTTGCTCCGTGATGCCGTCGTTTGTATCTCGGGTCGCGTAGACCCAGTGTCCAGTAGGATCGTATTGCGACCCCTCTTCATTGGTTTAAGGAAGTGAGTAGCTGATCTTATCTACATATCCTGCTTGGTTTACTTTTAGTGTCAATCTTTCCTTGGGTGATTGGTGGATTCCTCAGTAGTTGGTACGCTAGTTGTTAGTGTTTTTCGGATAGATCAGTCGCGACTTCCAAGGTTTTCCAACGTTCTAGTGCGGGGATATTACGTTTACTTCAACTCTCTCGGGCTCGCTTGCCCAAGTGATGCTAGTAAGGTAATGGCGGTGTTTTGACTAGTGCATACATATTATATCAACTGGTTTCATTTGCCCCGCATTCATCATTCTGCGACAAGTCAGCCAGAACGATGGGTCGGTGCAGTATGACAGGTCAAGATTCTGGAGCATTTATCCGCACCTTTAATGCAGGTGATATCAAGTATCATTGTTTCCTTGGAAGGTTGCCTACTGCCAACTGCCAGGAGGTAATCTGAACTACTGTATGCCACATGCATGCATCATGATGCATGTGCGGTCCAAGGTCTAATATTGGTCTAATATTGTACATCGCTTCTAGATATTTACACGTCGATAGATAGGAGCCCATGAACAAGAGGCCAAAGCCACTCGTAAACACGGACAAACCCTCTACTCAGAACTCGCTCTCGGGCGCAACACATACCGCCAAGTGGTTCCAAAATGCCACCGCTTCTCCTCCACAATCTCCAATCCACTCTCCTTCACGATAGCCCCAATATCACGGTTCCACCAACAACCATGTCTATCCGCATGCGCAGGAGCAAGGTTATCCAAAATTCGATTCAACCAATCATAGTGCGACCGCCCATGCTCCAACAACAAAATGCGACCATTCTTCGGCTCCGTAATCTCCCCCAAATGCCTTAATGTACGCACAGGATCAGGCATCGAGCACAGTCCCATGGTCTGTACAATAGAATCGTAATAAGCCTTCTTATTCTCTCCCCTTGGGGGCCCAATAGTAACAGTAACAGACGCCGCATCCTGCGCTCGGAACGTAACAGGAGGACTCTGGGATTTATACCCAGGATGTAGCGCTTCGAACTTCTCTTCTGCGATGGCGACCATTTGTGGACTCAGGTCCACAAATGTAAGCGTGCGACATCCCAGGATTGCGGCTTTGCCATCTTCGTCTACGCCTCGGCGTTCCCCGAGGTCGTAGTACTCGAGGTTACGTCCTGTGCCGCAGCTTACTTCGAGGACGTCTCCGCGCGCGAGACGAATGAGATCTGCGCGCTTGGAGCCCATGCGCATGGCTTTCTCTGAGAGCTCGACTTCTGCGTCGAAGGTTGGTGCTGTGGTGTTGTACCGGTCTGAGACGTCGGTGGGAATATCCAGAGCCTGTGATTTGGAGACTTCACGACGGTAAGACGCGTAGAGGAAGCCGCAGTAGCTGCTGATTCCTAGGACTGAGATGCCTAGGAATGTCATAAGGCGAGGTGACATGGTTGGGCCTTTGTAATTTGGATTTGGATGGCCTTCTGGTTCTGCTTTGGAAGGCCTCCTTGAAATTGGGGGTCTTTGGCTAGAAGGGATGTTAGATTGATGAAGCATGAAACTACGTTAGAACTAGGACTTACCTTGGTCTTCGGGGTCGAGGTGCTTGTGCTTGGTTTTGTACGCCTCTGCGGGCCATAGTGGAGGGCCATTTGGGCCTGAAGAAGGCCCTTCCTATTTGCGTTGCGTTCATCGCGGCAATGTTCGGACCACTTCGTCCTTTCAATGTACAATCCAATGCCAGCTGGGTGCTTGTTTCCAATTTTTGACCAATTGGCTTGCTCTATCCTCAACCTTCCGAGTTATATTGCGAATGGAGCGTCCAATGCCCAGAAAGAAAAATCAGGAGCGCGTAGGATGCGACCAGACTAGGTGTTGCAAGGGCGGCGTTACTGCTCGCAGGATTTTAGCACGCGTCTCGGCAGTCAGGACCGAGACCGGTTCTTTCACTTTGATCTGGAAAAGCGAGGTAGTGAGGCTCCGCAGTCCTTAGTTTTCTGGACAAATTGGAGAACTGTCGAGACCCGGGCGCGATAAGTGATTCCGTTATCGCGCACCGATAAGACGTGAGAACATCACGGCAGTACAGTCGATACATTTGATTCCTCAAAAAAAAAAATCATATTCCTGCACATTTGGATATCTGTTAAATCACTCGAAAGTACTTGCTTCATCTGAACAGTCACAATGAGTTCTGATTTGAGAGTGCAGATTATCTAATGCTCCAACCTATGAAGGTTGATATATATATACACTCGCAGATTCGATCGTGGGACCTATACCAAATGGCATGATGGGTTGTGTATTACTATACTACGTTTTATCCTGAATAAGTTTGCCAAAATATGCATAGTTCAAATGCTTATTCCGGTCTGGATGGATGCCTATCAATACTCAGAAGTATGAACTAAGCCTCTGTTAAATCTGTTTCTTCTTTCTTCAACTACCCAACCTTCTCCAAGTGACTCAGTTTCACGTACATTGTTTCATACTATCCCCAGTCACCAACCAACCAGCTTCTGAGGTCAGCCTTCCTCAGTGGCTCGCAATTTGTGTGGCCGAAAATGGGCTTGAGGTGGAAGTGAGAAGTCGAAAGGCGACATTCGACCGATCTAGACACTTTACAGCAGCCTTGGTCCGGTTACACTAGCTCAAGAGGACCTTGACTTCCATCTCAACTTCTAGACCCTGGATTGTGCTCGATGAAAGTGCAAATACTGTTGCGATTATGTTCTTGCGTCGAATCGCGGAATCGTGGAATCTCTCATACAACACAGCAAAAGATCAATTTACGCTTTTAGAGTCTACTTGGCAGCAACCGAACGAAGAACACAGGACGAAGCAGAGCAGACAAGGAAGAGGCGCTACCTAAGCCTCTGTCAAATCTTTCTTCATTATTCAACTCTCCAACCTCATCCCAACTTTTGCGCATACGATTTCCACTGGGAGACCCGCCATTTAGGTACCAACCAACCAACTTGGACGACTGATCGGTTAACGGTGCAGAACGAGAATGGATGATGTTAGCAAATCCCTCTACCCTCCCAACTTGGAGAGAATACTAAAGCAGTTACAGCCGCAGTCTTCTGTCACATCGCCGATGCCCTCAGATAGCACGGCAAATGACTCTCAAGATGCATTTGTGGAGTCTATTTTTTAGCAACTAAGAGCAGAAGAGGCACATGAGGAAACAGCGGCACGATTGAGCTACCCTGCTTACCTACAAGCCAGACTGCAGTACTGGAAAATCACTGCCAAGATTGCTCGACATGCAAGGATACGTGAGGCAAATCGCAAATGCAATCTGAAAATGCAACTTGATGATATGGAGATCCAAAACGACCAGATGCACGCACATATCGTGAAGGACAACGAGTCTCGATTGCAGCTGGAAGAAGCCGTGGCTAGATGCCAAAAGCAGTACCACAAATTGCAGTCGATGGCAGATGCAATGGCGGAACAGTCATTTAATTTGGAGTTGAGGAAAGAAGAGAAGGAACCTTGATGCGCGGTGGAGCTGGCACAGTCATGTATTCACATTTCAGTTTGTAGGCCGCAATTCAAAAGTACCAAAAACCAGACTCATAAGGTATGAAGAAGCAAGAGTCGAGGAAAATTGTCATATCTGGGATTAAGCATGTTGTGTCAATGGTTATCAGGGGACAATATACAGGCTCCACTTTTACTCCACAAAGCCGCAGTTGGGCAACGCCGAGATAAGTAGTCCGTTATCGGGACAGTCGCCTGGCTCTGGCATGATCTCCAATCTCCAACTCATTTCTCCACCTGCTTCTTGCTCACCACAAAACCCTCAAATCACCCAAAAACCCCCTCCATTGACCACTGTCATGGCGCTGCCGCCGAAGATTCTGATTGTGGGAGGTGGTGTCTTTGGCCGTAAGTTCCAGCTCCGCATCCCACATTACCCCAATTCAGTCCACAGCCCAGAATCCACAACCCACAAATCCCCATAATTGCCCCCTCCCAGGACCTCTCCTCAATGGCATGTACTACAAGACAATATGAACCCAATTAACCCCCAATCCCAGTATCTACGGCCTTATCTCTCAGCAAGCGCCACCCAGACTCCCAGATAACCCTAATTGAAAGCGCTCCGACAATTCCTAACCCACACGGCTCTTCTGTCGATACCAGCCGGATCGTGCGCGCAGATTACGCAAGCAGCGCCTACTCCAAGCTCGCTGCTTCTGCCATCCAGAAATGGCGCAGTACATCCTGGGGTGCGGAGGGTCGGTATACGCAGACAGGTCTGCTACTGGTGTACCCGGGCAACAGCGCCAGCGCAAAGAAGTACGCAGAGAAGAGCTACGCAAACGTGCGGGCGATTGAGGGTGACAACGTCGTTTACCTACCAACGAAAAAGGACGTACTGGGTGTCGTACCGCCGTATGGGGAGACACTGGATGTTGCAGGAGGGTATGTGAACTGGGGATCTGGGTGGAGTGATGCAGGCGCGAGTGTGAAGTTCGTCAAGAAATTACTCGACGAGGAGAAGAAGGTGGTGTTCAAGCACGGAGAGGTGAAGCGCGTGCTTTTCGACTCTTCTTCCTCGAAGAAACGCGCGACTGGTGTGGAGATGGTGGATGGAGAGACCGTCAACGCTGACCTGGTCATTCTTGCGACGGGTGCTTGGACTCCCCGGCTGGTTGATCTTCGTGGTAAGGCTCTTGCGACAGGACAGGCGATTGCGTATATCAAGATCAGCGATGCTGAGCAGCGTGAGCTTGAGAATCTGCCTACTATCCTTAACTTCGCTACTGGTATCTTTATCATTCCGCCGCGGGATAATCTGCTTAAGATTGCGCGGCATGCGTATGGGTATCGGAATCCGATCACCGTCTCGGTACCTGGATCGCAGTCTGGAGAGACGATGCAGGTCAGTCTGCCTGAGACGGGGGTGCCGGTGCCGCTAGAAGGAGAGGAGGCGTTCCGTGTTGCACTGAGACAGCTTCTGCCTCGGTTTGTGGATCGGCCGTTCGCTGGTACGAGGATTTGTTGGTATACTGATACGTGAGTCTCCGTTTCTGTCTGATGTTTGCTTTCGGTGCAGAGCTGGTTTTAACGCTATTGTGCAGTCCGGATGGTGACTTTATTGTTTCATACCACCCCGAATACGAGGGTCTTTTCCTGGCTACAGGTGGCAGTGGACATGCTTATAAATTCTTCCCTGTTCTTGGAGACAAGGTTGTTGACGCATTGGAGGGTACACTGGAGCCGGAATTGCGAGCGCTATGGGAATGGACCGAGGCGACACCGACATCTGCCTCCGAGGATATATTTGACGGTGATGGTAGTCGGTCTGGTGAACGAAACTCGATTTTGAAAGATGAGCTGGCGAAGACCAAGAAGGCTGGCAGGGGCAGTATTCTATAAGATCGACGGGTGACAACTGCATACACATGTATATCTGGCGTCCGACTGTGAATAGAAAAGTTCCGAGTGGATATAGGCATCCATTGAATATACTCATACATGGCAAAATCTCGAGGTTGGACCTAGACCTATAAGCATTCTATGTTCATGTTTACAAGGAAGAGAAGTTTTTTTTATGAATTTCCATTTTGGATATCGGAAACGGCCAAAGCCAATCCAGTCTCGCTGCTGGCAGACTCGCGACGGAATCTAAGCTCACCATAATTTTTTTTTGGGCCCGTGACAAGTTGCCTCACCAACGGGGATGACCAGGACGTAACATGATTAAGAGGCAGCCATTCGACCAGCGCACAGAACCGCCTCACTGCGGTGTGCAGCAATCTCTAAGTGTAAACGGTCGAAGAGATGAAAAGCAAAAACAAGGACTGGGGAACAATCCAAACCGCTAAAACGCCCAACAATGCTTGCGTAAAGAATCGTGAAAGAAGAGGGTACGGGAACGATAAGACGGGCTTGACGGCCACAGCCGATCAATCACCCATAAACGAAAAAAAGATAAGAGAAGATGTTAATACAGCGTTGAAAACAAGAGGGTGTTGATCTTCCTGGTGGAATCGATCTGCTTAGACCTTGCGGAAGTCTATTCTCATATTAGTCATGGATCGCATGCCACCAGCCACAGTTGAAACATACCAGAAAGCACAGGATAGATCATCTCGAAAGCCTGGTAAATTTCCTCGCGCACTTTGGCACCAGTCAGGACGATCTTGCCACTGACGAAGATCAAAAGTACAATCTTGGGCTTCATCATGCGGTAAATCAGACCAGGGAAAAGTTCAGGTTCATAGGAAGAGAAATTGTGGTGACGAGAGGCCAGACCCTCCAGACGGATGGGGAACTTGATGTCGCAGGAGCCGACGATATTTTGGATCTTGAAGTCGGTAAACTTGGCGTTGAAACCGAGCTTCTGGATAATACGCGCATACTTGCGCGACGCCAGCTTGGAATCATCTTCAGATTTGGCACCAGTCACAACCATCTTGCCAGAGGCGAAGATCAGTGCAGTAGTCTTGGGCTCACGGATACGCATGATGACGGCGGCGAAACGCTATTCGATAACAAGAGTTCAAAGTTCAGCCACACTGTACCCGGATGAAGAGATCTCAGGGTGTGGAATATACCTTAGGGTTGTACTCGGCGTTGCGAGCGTGCAACGCGATGGTCTTGAGATCCAGACGGCAGTCAAGGTTGACAGTAGCCACGATGTTTCTTTAGGACAAGATTGGTTCAGCCATTTTGACTCTGGGGATGTGGTTTAAGACAAGCCAGAAGAGTCAATACTCACTGCAAAGTAGGAACGATACCACTGCTTCCGGTAGTAGCCCCCGGGGTCGCGACCGGAGTGGCTGGAGTAGCGGGCATCACCCCGTTGCCGTTGTTGGCAATTCCTCCAGCTTGGCCGTTCATCATGCCGTTGACACCCTGAATCTCTTTCTCAGAAGAGGGAGGGGTCAAATCAGCAGCGCCACCGGGAAAGGACAGCGAGGAAGGCGAAGTGAAGGCACGAGCCTGCTGCGCATTCGACGGGTGAGTCGTGAGCGAGTCCATGATAGGCAAATATGATCAACGATCAATGATCAAAGACCAGAGATGGGTGTCAAAGAGAAGTGGAGCACTGCAGGACCAGGTAAGGTCAGTGAGCCGTCCAAACAAAGAAAAGGTGAAAGACAGAGACCAAAACAAGCTGGCGGTGAAAAGTGGCAGAATAAAGCGCAAGATGCACTCACCAGAAAGTTGGGAGATGGACAAGTCAATGTATCCCCCTGATATGCAGGACGTGGTGACACGAATGCGAGGTTCAAATATCCCGGGAAGATATCAGAATATGAATCCAGAAAAGCACACTGAAGTGTTTTCAAGAAGGGATCGCCACAGGAAAGAGGGAAAAAATTTATGATCAAGGAGTCAGACAGCAACAACTTTCTTTTTGCAGTTGGGCGATAAAGGGGCAACTTTTTTTTGTCTCCGCTCTTTTTTTTTTTTCAATTGGGATTTTCTTTTTGGGTTTCTATCTGCAAACGCGACCTGAATGAGAGTGGCAGAAGCGAGCAACTGGGACAGGCTTCAAATGGAGCACCGGACGATTAGTTTTTATCCTCGGTCAAAAGGATAAAAAAATCAAAGCCTTCTTTCCCACGGGTGATTTCTTTGAATTCTATCTTTTTCAAGATCAGAAAATAAAGAAAGACCGGAATTAGTATAGATTGCAGCAGGATGCCACAATAGGAAAGAGGTGGGGAGGGGAGGGAGTAAGAAGCAGTGCCAAGACCAGGACAGGAATCTCAGAGCGATGTGAAAAGTGGGAGGATGGCCCTTTATATAGTGCTGACTCACTGCCCGCGTCAGGGGAGGCTGGGCCCGCTGGTGGCGCTTAAAGCAGCACTGTACTCTCTCCCTTCACCCATGGCTAGGACCCTCACTAGCGGCTCTGGGACTACCTCTGCGGGCCAATCATAGTCTCTATTGACTATGATTGGTTTACCTCTTATCCACCCCACTTCCTTCTCTCTCCTGAGTGGCTCAATCACCCTTGCTTTTATCCTCCGCGGCGCCATGGTTACAACCAGTAGTTTCCCAGTCCGTAGCGGTCCTGCTGCTGATAGTTGGGTCAATCACCCCCATCCTGCCATATCCCCCAATCATCATCCTCCACCCTTCTCGGTCACTCCCTGTACGACGCGCTATCCTCTCGCCGCTTTAGTGGATGGCAACTGAACAAAAATTGTTGCCGCCGACCTGTTCTTTCCCTTTTTTTTCTCCCCACAAACAGGCTGTTGGTGTTTTTGAAGCGCCCGTCCCAAAATCATGATCTTGTGATGCCTTTATTCGCTTACCAAAAACTGCAGCCTAAATCATAAGAGACTAATCATTCACAGCTTCGTGTTGGTGTTGGCATTTTGGAAGGGGAGGAAATAATAAAAAAGAGGCCAGCGTGGCCATCTGGGACGGGATTGCGCGCTGGACTGGTCGCGTCACGGATCTGATCCACCGCTTTCGCCAAGCCTTGGATCAATCTCATGGCATGCGATCATCACTGACCTCGGGATGTGTATGGTCTCGGTATGCTGAATACCATCAGCGGTGCCATCGTCACATTCCACCATTTTTCTATGAATTCCCTGGTATTTATCATGGAATACCATGGGAAATATTCAAAGAAGAAGAAAATTCAAATTAATCATGGTATGCAGTGTGATTCGGGTAGCATGGGAAGCTTAATGTTTGCCGTCAACCCGATCGTATGCCGTGTCTTTAATTTGGGTCGATGATTAGCTTATTTCGAATGCCGTGCCCGTCTTCGTTTTGAGGTCCGATTTCTTTCTGATACTTGCGATGTCAATGATGTCAAGATGGGCCCCGAATGTGACCCATGGAATTTTTCAACGGTCGGATCCTGGCGAAAAGTTTTCTGAAGGATTGCATCTCCGTGAGGCATAGTGTACATGATTGCACAAATTTCATGCTATATCCGAAAGACCTGATCCCGTTCGGGGGGATCGAACGCCCAGTTGTGACGGGTCGGTGAAGCCGGGTGGCAATTCCGAATCACACCGCCTCTGATTGGCTACACGATCTTAAGTAATTTCGGCTTCTCCTACATTAGGTACTTTGGTTACCTTGGACACAAAACAATAAGAACTACGGAGTACGGAGGAAAAACAGGGTTCAGGCAAGATCATTGCCGATCTAACGTGGAAGCCAAGCCAAGCCTATTTTGGTAATCTCCAACATGGGGATTCAAGCTTCACGTAGCCATTCTCTCCCGGTCAGCTCACTGTTTTCGCCACCGTTGCTTTTGCCGTAATTTACTATCCTGGATGGGAGAAGAAGCCTCTGCCAACGCATCCGTAGATACGTGCATATACGGCAATCCACATGTTTTGCATGAACTGGCCCCTATTCCTGTCTTGGTCTCTTCAGCTCCGCCTCTTCTAGGCCGTTGACCGCCTCTCCTGACCAGGTTGGTTCCCCTCCTTAGTGGAATTGCTCACCGCTGAGAATCTCTTCTACTGGTACCCTCAAAAAGTCGATCGTGTGTGGTTTAGGAATGAGGCTGTTTTTTTTTTTGAGCCCCTTTTCTGGCATACTTGGACTTCTCTATGACCAGTATTGAATAGATTGGAAAATAGCCAAAATCAAATGTGCCGCATGCATATCTCCGAGAAACCTTCTTCTCGGTATATTAAATTATATGTTAGTAGACCAAATGGCTGTTACGAGTTGGAAGTAGTACTATCCATAATGTATACAAGACCCGCCCGTGGCGGAGGGCGGGCAGAACCGTGGAATGGAAGGTGGAGGTCCACGAGACGGATCGACCATAGTTTACAATCCTATAGTTGCAATATTATATGCCCTCTATCGAAAAAATGTATACATAGTCCAGCCAAAAGCTGATCCTTAATTTAAGCGCCAAACTCTGAAACTCTGTCAGTGGGGGACCACGTGGATACAGATCACCACCAGAAAAAAACCAAACAAAAGTGAGGCGGACAGAGTTGCCAATCATTCCCTCCCACCGCCAGATCTGTGCTTTCTTTTCCCTCTTTCCTTCCCCTCTTTTTTCTTGTCATCTGCACCGTTCCCTTTTCTTCCTCCAGCCTGACACTTGCAGAAAGCGTTTACCTGTGGATCCAGTCCAGCCCACTCGGGGAAGAAAAGAGCTTTAAGCGCCCTGCCGCCCATCACCGCCATCTTCCTGATTTGGCCGCGTCCCACGGTCCTTCCGTTGCGCTGGGACTCCTCAGTCACTAATCTTCTCTTCCCTCTTCCTTCTCCAGGATTTATTCAGACAGGTCCTCCTGAGCCATGACGGAGGTTTCGTCGACCCGACTGTATCTCGGGAACCTTCCCCGCAATGGTACGCTGGCACCCGCACCCTTTTTCTCTCTCAGCCTCAAAGCGACGGTCAGCCCTGCTGGAACTTCAGTCTTGCCCATGGATTTAGCTTGGCCTCCTAACTGAGAGGACTACACCCCATGGTTCACTCTCTTGCAGAAGCCCAGGCATCAGGAAACAGTCCAGGAGCCCGAGATTTGATTTTGTTTTCTGAGCACAGCTAACGTGGATCTAATGACTGGCAGTTACCAAGCAGGACATCGAGGAACATTTCAGTACCCATGGGTCTGGTAAGATCACGGAAATCAAGCTGATGAACGGCTTCGGCTTCATCGAGTACGAGGATGCCATGGACGCCCGTGATGTTGTACCTGGTAAGTCTTGACCATAATTATTGATGGAGCTTGCTAATTCGTTCTCTAGCTTTTCGTACGTCACGTTTCCTCGAATACTACCTACATCATATTAACACCGCAACAGATGGCAGCGACTTCAAGGGTGAACGATTGACTGTGCAGTTTGCTCGTGGCCCCCGGCGCAAGGAGAACTTCCCTGGTCCACCGGACCGCCCCACCGCTCCTCGTCCACGCCGTACCATGTTCCGGATGCAGATCTCTGGTCTTCCAGAAACAAGTTGGCAGGTTAGCAGCCCAAGCCCATTCTTCCCTGGACATCTCCCCCGGACTTTATACCTGGCCCTTTCCCTTGGTGCCATACCCTCCCGTAGTCCTCGGTTAGGTCGTTGGAAACAACCGATTTGCACTATCAATCCTGGTGTTACGGACAGCTTCTCCTACTGGGAAAATCGTTCATACCACATCAGCGAGCTGTTGCCGAGGATTCGGAACCATGGCCACCATCCCAAACCCCTTGCACCCCGGACGTAGAATCTATTTGCCCTTCCACCTGGACCCATCGGCCACATTGCTTACTTCCTGGAACCTGGACTCACCACCTTCTCTAGGATCTAAAAGACTTCGCCCGCCAGTCTGGACTGGACGTTGTCTACTCGGAAACCGGCCGCGAACAAGGAAAAGGGTAGGTTATTACTCTCAAGCCGGACCCGGGCTTTGTAACTTCAATTGACAATGGAAAGGTTTGTTGAGTTCGAGACAGCCAACGACCTGAAGACTGCCGTGGAAAAGCTGGATCAACGCGAGTTCAAAGGCGCTGTTGTGTCCTGCATTTCGGATGTAAGGAACCATATCCATTCTGCCCCGGACCGTAGGAAGGATCCCCCATCTCATGCTTCCCCACAGATCCAGACCAACTTTGATGACCGTCCCTTCCGAGACCCCTATCGGTCTCGCTCCCCACGTCGGGCCTACCCTCCCATGGAAGAATATGACAGAAGGTTCCCAGCACCCCGTGGATACAGCCCTCGGGATCACTACCGGGAGCGATCGCCCATTCCCATGCGACGGGACTATTATGATCGAGAGGGCTATGGACGCCGCACTCCTCCTCCGCCACGGCCTCGGTTGGAAGACTACCCACCACCGCGCCGTCCCTACGATGACCCTTATGATGCCCGGCCTCCGCCTCCGCCCCCGCGTCACTATGAGGACCCATATCTTGCGGCGCGGCCCTATGGCCGTCCCCGTACTCCTCCCCGAAGTGACTACGTTGGTTATGATCGCCCTCGCTACTGGTAGATAACAGCCCTTCCCTGGTGGTTTCCCTGATTTGTCCTTTCGGATGTTTCATGCAGATGATTTGCCTTCTCTCTTCCTACGAATACCCGCTACTTATTGCATTGCGCTTTATGGTACCATGAATCTTTTCCATCTGCCGAGATTTTAGCGTGTTTTCCTGGCCAGATTTACTCTTTGAAATGGACAATACGTTTAATTTGTGACTTCTTTTCTATTGGTCCGGTAGCTCTCCACTCCAAATGTGGACGGATGGCGAGATAAGCCATATATATTGATCCTGGCCTACTAATCAACTTCCAAAGTTGAGACACAAGAATATTTAAACTTACCGTTATTCGCTGTATAGGTTTGTTGTGGCACGCTGAACTTTGGTACAACCTTAGTTGGACCGTTGTGATCTACGGACAGCCCCGCCAGAAAACTTCCCAAGCTCCCCCACCTCCCATCTCTCTCCACCTGGGATTATTTGCAGGCTCAAGTGGGCACGACCTCCAATCCAGACTTCGAACAGCGAGTCAATTCTAAAAAACCATCCAAAATGGCTCAACCAAGCTCCAGCATCCACATTCCTCAGCCCCCACCGGTCCTGGACAATGTCGTCCTCAAGGAAATCCAGCTCCCCCTCCCCGCAGCTCCAGAAGCCTGGCACCGCCCCGGCAAACCTCAACCTTGCACCGCAACCCTGAAGCTTTCTTATTCCTCTGCTATTGCCTCCGCCGACACAGACGATGTCTCCCTTTCCATTGACTACGGGAAGCTTTTCCGTCGCCTCGAATCCGATGCCCGCAATTTGGCTACGTCCACCTCATCCCCAGAGCACCACCGTATGGTAAACTTGGATGGAACACAACGCGAGGATATGAAAATCAGCGATGTGGGTCAGGACCCACGCGCTACGGCGGGAATGGTCGCGAATGCCGGACTAGGCATGCTGGACGAGACCGCAGCGGGGGTGCGGCGGATGGCGCATATACAGCCGAGCCCGCGGAATGGGTACTCTGGAGCCGGGAACATGAGTGTGTCACCTGCCAAATATCCGATCGAGGCGGAGTATGGAAAGTGTGAGGTCTGGCTGCATTTCCCGAAAGCGCTGTTGAGGGCCGAGGAGGGATTAAAGTATCGCAGTTTGACGGTTTGGGGATACAAGCAGAGCGATTTGCAGGAGAGGTGTCCTGTCGTGGTGGAAGAGGAGTTCCTCATTGAGGGGATTCGCTGTTATTGTATCCTCGGCGTGAACCCGCATGAGCGCATCGAGAAGCAGGCCGTGATTGTTTCACTAGCGTTTACTGGACCTGGACAGCTTGCTTGGGGGTCGACTGTTGTGGAGACTTATCAGGCCATGACCAGGGCTGTGGCTGAGGTATGTTTTAAGTTACTATGCATTTATGCATTTGTGAATTATGCTGATATTCTGAATCAAATAGCGCGTCGACAATACCACGTTCAAGACTGTGGAGGCCCTGGCCACTTTGGTGGCTTCTATTGCGACGTTGGAATTTGGGAATGAGCGGGTAACAGTTAAGGTTGAGAAGCCCAGTGCATTGGCATTTGTGCAGAGATCGGGTGTTGAGATCACCCGATCTAAGGCATTCTTCCAGAATCACGAGGCTCAAAAATAGATATGTTGTGCATGACATTTGAGGCAGATCGCTGCAGGGACCTGCACTCACCGTAAAACCAAATTCCCTTTCTCATTAGAAGACAATGAATTCCATGGCTCAACATTATAATACTAAAAGTACAGACAGAATAGCCTTGGAGCCATGGAACAAGTTCTATAGGAGAAGAACAAGCTAATCGAAGCAGCCTATCGTAGCACATGTAATCGAGCAACAACACGTGAACACCGGATCGGGGCTAGCGTTGGCCCCCCCGGATTTCCGCCTCAAAGCGAGATGATTTTCCTCAGCTGGACTTGTACATCTCAATCACTTCCACTTCGTGGGAACCTTTGATAACTCGCTTTAAGATTTCTGAAATTACTCACTTCCTGATTCTCTATGTGCCTATCTGCGCAGCCCTCTTCGCTTCCCTTCATTCCTCTTACCAGCTACCTGGTCAGCTTGAATCTGATCTCCCTAGATTCTCCCTCGCAGCGCGCTCCTCCCGACCTCCTCGACGTGTCCCCGTATCCTGCACCGACCGCATCCGCCTTGGCCTTCGACCCCGCCGCCGGCGAGGTGATCTGGATTGTAGGGGTCCCAGGTCCGTCCTGAGGAAGGGCGGACGGTAAAACTACTCGAGACATTCCAGTTGGGATCTTACCCAAACCAGAGAAGAGATTGTGCTGTTTATTTTTCTAAACTGAGGTACGTGTCATCTTTGTTTCTTTTTCTGATCTTTATTTGCTTTGTCTGTGATGCCATTGGTGGGGCAGAAAATCTCTCAGAAGAAAGCTCGAATTTACCCCTCCAAAATCTGAAACGGCGAAATTGGAAAGTTGGAAGCTAACCAAGATGTCGGTATAGTAGTTGCGATTTCGGTATCTTGAGTACCTACTTGCCATATTTCCCCGTTGTACCCGATCAATTGCCTGCTGGATAGCGACATTTGTCGTTGTTTCGAGCCGAACAACCGTTAGAGGCATTCCCTCGGCATTGATAACCTTTCGAACCTCGACTAGTTCGTGCTTCGCATTCCTGAACCATGGATTCTACTGCGCCCCACGATGACATCTCCGTTGGAGATGTGTTCACCCCGCAAGCCGACATTGCGCAGCCCTGCACGAATAATTCGACCAATCAACATGCCCCGGATGTCCACATGGGAGACCGGCTGTCGCCGCGCAAAGATATGGCCAATTACCTAACTAATCGAGATGGCGACATGAAACCACCGGCTTTGGGCCCAAACCTGCTGACCGGAAAGGCGCGCCGAAAGAAGAAGAAGAAGCAGGCAAGCCAAGCCGACCCAGCTCGATCGACCGTACACGGCTTCACACCATTGGCGTCGGCTGATGAAGACTCGGATTTCTCAACGACAAGCTCGCGCGCCCCGAATTCTGGCAGTGCTACTCCTGTTAGACGAACCAGTCCCCGTGGTGGTCACGGAGTCAGCGCACTGAAGCTTCAACTCGATTCACTGAGCCTTTCGAACAAACCTACTGCGGGTTCCAGTGGGCTTTGTTCCGAGACTCCTAGCAATGCGAGTGTGTATTCCGACAGCGACCAGACCGAGATCTTGACGAGCTATGAAGTGCCTCTGGACCAGGACTTTGTCAGTGCGGAAGCGGTCGACGAAGAGACGGATAGCCCAGGGACAGCTGTGACCATGGATATGCGACGCCAGATGTGTCGCAAGATGACTGCGCAAGACTTCGAGCCTATTCTCTGCCTCGGCAAGGGCTCGTTTGGAACTGTGATACTGGTGCGACACGTTATCACCGGCAAGCTCTACGCCCAGAAGCAGTTCCGAAAAGCCTCGCTCACCGTGCACAAGAAGCTTGTGGAGCAAACCAAGACGGAGCGCACGATCCTAGAGAGCGTCAACCGACACCCGTTTGTGGTCAAATTGTTTTATGCTTTCCAAGATCATGAGAAGCTTTACCTGATTCTGGAGTACGCTCAGGGTGGCGAGCTGTTCACCCATCTCGCCATGGAACGCATGTTTGACGAAGATGCCACCGCCTTTTACATGGCTGAGATGGTGCTCGCCTTGGAGCATCTGCACCAGAACGTTGGCGTCCTCTACCGCGATCTCAAACCCGAGAATTGTCTTCTGGACCGCGAGGGTCACCTGCTGCTCACCGATTTCGGTCTGAGCAAGATTGCTCTCAACGATGACGAACGCTGCAATTCTTCCCTAGGAACCATCGAATATATGGCACCGGAAGTCGTGCAAGGCAAGCCGTACGGCAAAGCTTGCGACTGGTGGTCCCTCGGTGCACTGGGCTTCGACCTCCTCACTGGCTCCCCGCCCTTCCGCGCAAACAACCACGCCAAATTGCAAGAGAAGATCATCAAACAGAAACTTGTCCTTCCCTATTTCCTTGGACCGGACGCCAAAGACCTTCTCACTCGCCTGTTGCGCAAAGATCCAGGAAAGCGCTTGGGTTACCACATGCCCAAGGACCTGGTCACCATCAAGAAACACCGCTTCTTCCGCAAGATCGACTGGGCCGCCCTTGAACGTCGTGAGGTCGAGCCTCCAATTCGACCCATTGTCACTGATCCGGCTCTCGCTGAGAACTTCTCCAAGGACTTCATCAATCTTCCTCTCAGCCCTACAGTCGCAAATGGGTTTGATGAGCTCTCTGCATCACCTTTTGCGCCTGGCCATTCCCGGGCTTTGTCCACCGGTCTTGGTGCCTCTGGTGATAACGAAATGTTCGGTGGATTCAGCTTCGTCGCTTCAAGCAGTCTGCTAGATCATGGATTAGGTGTTATGGCGGACTGACTAGCTAGGATATCAAGGTCCCCATCATCAACCTTGGTGACTTCTTTTTCTAATTTCGTTTTCGGGAGTTTCAGGATGACACCTAAGTTTTTTTTTCATTGCATTTTTGTTTTGCATTTTCTTTGCGTCTTTCGTCTCCATCTGATCTGCCGCTGCCACTGTCTTATGTCGGGCGCGCTGGAGGATATTCCTGCAGGGTCTTCTTTGTTTTTGTTGCATTGCTGTTATAGGCAGATGAATTCCCAACATAGACCGCGAACATACAATTTCGGATACTGCCTTCAACTATATGCTTCAGTCCTTCTCGTAAAGATATTATGATAGTAATCTTTGTCATTGAAAACCTTCGTAGAGTCGTTTATGTACAGTTCATCCGTATCCCCCCCCGGAACAACCTGCATCAGTTAGATGATCTTATCATGGTAGAACAAAACAGCAAAGGAACGGAAGAGACCAAGAAAGCTCTCCAGGTCCATGCAATCAATTCCGTAGGAAAGGCAAAAAGGAACGGAAAAGGAAATCTAAATTTCGCCCTCTTCGCTTCCCCCTCCGTCGTCGGATGCATCTTTTCCTGGTGATACCGCTGCGTTCGGCTGATTAGCATCCTTATCATCTGAGACCTCGCCCTCTTCCGTACTCGCACCATCCCTAGTATGAGAAGCAAGATCGTGATTTGAATTCGAAGCTACATGGGAGCCGGAAGCATCCTCATTATTCGACAGTTTGGGTTTCGGAGGTAAGGAGGCCATTGCTCGCAGCGGAATACGAGGACGAGATGTCTGAGGTGGCCCTGGGGGAGTTGCCACGTTAGGCGCGGGTGACACTGTGCATTGGCGCTTTGGCGAACGCTCGCCGTTCAGTGTTTGGGTCTGAGGTGGGGGGATAGGGCTCGGGTAGTGGTTGTCTGCGGAGAAAGATTCTGGCTCGCGGGAGCGTTTGCGCCCATTCATAGCAGGAGAGTCTGCTGCGGGCGTAGAAAGAGATGAATTGATATCTGGGGCAGAGAGAGGGTTGCTGTGGAAGAGACGGGTGGGGTCATTGGGGTCGGCATCGCTGATGGCGAAGTCCGGGTAGTTCTTGCTCAGATTCTGCTGTACACGCTCATAGATCTTGACGATGAGCTTGCAGGCGGTTATGAGGTCTTCGACGCGAACGTCGATCTGCTCCCACCACGGACGGCCTTGGGAATCGTCTGGGAACGAGACCTTGCAGTGGCGCGCAGCCGCATAAAGGGCCGCGGCGGCGATAACACGCGGCTGGAACAGCAGAGAGAGCACGGTGTATGTGGAATCGTTAAGAAAGGCGTATGCGGCGTGTCGGAGAGGTCGATTGTCGGGGACATTGAGGAAGAGGGAGTAATCCCACAGAATGCGGTAGGGCGACTCGAGTTGCAGGTCGAAGCAAAGGAACTCGAGCATGACGCTTTCGTTCTGTAGAATCAAATCCCGCCACTTCCAGTAGTCTTTTGACTGCTCGTCAACAATCATATCGGGCTGCTTCATGGCAACGCGGCAACACGCCACGACAAAGTCCTTCATTCGACGCATGGTCTCATCAACTTTGAATGCGACGAAGAGCGCCACTGCCGCGATGACCTTGGGGTGCATCAGGTCCCCGCCTTGTTCCGGATACTGCCCACGTAAGGAGTAGCGCATCAAGAACCGGTGCATGAAAACGGTGGCTGTCATTGAAGTCTGCGGCGGCATCTTCAGCATCATGCTCACCTGCCAGATGAATTCGACAGCTCGGTGCCGGATGTAGTCCTCTTGTTCACGGTTGATCTTGTCTAAGCGCGATGGAGTGCGCTCCATATCCTCCTCTGTAAACAACCATTTTGCCTCGGCTGCTGCCACCACAGGGTTGGGTAGACCGGGGATGCGGTGCTTTGACGGCGCAGGAGACGCCGTAGACTCCATTTAGAACAATCCGGTCGCTTTGGGAACGGCTGTGGCAGGGAGGGAACAGCGAACAAGAACGCCGACAGGTCTGAAGGAAGGGAATAGAGGTCGTGCCTGCTTCTCACGAGAAAGGTGGTCGGGAAAGCGCGCCTGCGCGCTTGGGGTAGTTTATAGATGGCGATCCGAGGCTAAGTTGTCGTCTAGTCCAATCAAGCATAGCGGGGCTTTTCATCGCATTTCGGAGGTATTTTCGGGATTAGGTGACTGTCATGTAAGAGAAATAATAGTGTTTACCCCTGGGAACAGAGCGAGCATGTAGCAACGGGCACGCATCTACGTTCAAAAGGAAGTGAAAGTGAAAGCTGCTCGGAACGGAATAACCTCAGCCTCCGGGCCCAGTCGAAGTATAGACCGCAACGAGCAACAACCTTATCAGGGAAGGATAAGAGAGCGAGTGAATGAGCAGCTATCAAGAATGGAGGTTTTAAATATTGATAGTTGGGCCTCGGAATGGTCCGATTGCATATTTCATGATGCAAGTCATTGTGGGTTAGCTTTACCCTCTAGAAGTGTTTTTACACTAGGTTTTACTTCATCCAAATCGCCATAGTTGGGAGGACCTATTGTTTATCTCGCTCTGATTCGTGGAGAAGAGAAGAGTCAGGAACAACTAGAAGAAAATGTTTAGGCTCGGAAAAGAGCTTCTCTCGTGCTTCCAACATCCGTCGATGCATCGCAAGGCTTGAACTGGACATTCGTTCACGGGTGGAAGGAGAAGTCATAAGGACAAGGTCTTCTAATATTTCAAATGTCCTTGAATGCCATTTTATTTATAATCTTGCGCGATATGAGGAAAACTTCCTAGCAAGGAAGATCTAAGCTATAATAACTGTACACGTACCATGCTCATTGTAAGCATTGCAGTTGTCAAGTCGGTCGAACTTACCATGAACCCAGAGCCTCGAATGAGATATTTATGATCATTTTAAGTAAGCTATTTGGCATATGAGCTAGTTCGCATCACGTTCATCGTATGGCTTCACGCCTCACAAATTTATCTTTCCACTGGATTAATAGCCTTAGGGACATAAGGTTCTTCAAGGTATTGAATCTCTTCCGGCGTCAGCTTGACCTGAACACTCGCAACAGCCTCATCGATGCGATCCTTAGTGTTAAGCCCGACGATAGGGTACTCGCTGGGGTGACTCAGCGACCATGCGATTGCAACTTGTGCCATGCTGATTCCCTTCTTGCCAGCCAATTCTTCCACACGGTCAATAATAGCTTTGTCGGACTCGGACTCGCGGGCACGAACGATAATACCTAGCCCAACATCGGTGTTCTCGCGTAAGGTAGAGCGAGAAGCCCAGGGTCTGGCGAGGGCTCCGCGTGCGACAGGAGACCAGGGAATGAGAGATACGCCGCTGTCAAGGCAGTAAGGGATCATTTCACGTTCCTCTTCACGGGCAATGAGATTGTGGTAGTTCTGCATGGAGATGAACTTGTGCCAGCCATTGCGAATGGCAATGTTTTGTAGAGTCTGGAATTCCCAAGCGGCCATCTACAAAAATGAAGGTATTAGTGCTTGCTTCTTCGGATTGTTGAAGGGGAAGCATACCGAGCTTGCGCCGATGTATCGAACCTTGCCGCTCTCAACTACATCATTCAGCGCCCTCATGATCTCCTCGCGTGGTACCTCACGATCAAGTCGGTGGATTTGAAGCACGTCAATATAGGTTCCCAGTCGCTCTACACTGGCATCAACGGCCTCCAAGATGTGCCTGCGAGAAAGACCAACGCGGTTTAAGTAGTCGCCCGCATTCTGTCTTCCGGTCGAAAGAGGAGGGGGATGTTCCCCTGATCGTCCACACCGAAGAAACATTTGGTCATAATTACCACTCGGGAACGGGGGATGTTGTATTTCTTCAGAGCCTTTCCCACGATTTCTTCGGATCTGCCCTGGGAGTACATATCGGCCTGGTACAAATCTGTTAGAACACGGGTGTTTACTCCCGGAACTCTCTTCTTACAGTATCCCAGGTCCTGATGCCTTTCTTGTAGGCGTAATCAATAAGTGGGAGAGATTCTTCTTCATTCAGCACCCAACCCTGCCACTCTGGGGTGCCATATCCCATGGTACCCAGTATCACCTTTGAGACCTTGAGGCCCGAATCCCCCAGCCTGTGTCATAGAGTCATAGCAGGTCAGCAATTGGATCTTTAACAATATTTGAAAGGCACTTGGGTCAATGCTATCAAGGTGGATGCGGAGAACCCTACCGTGCGTATTCCATCTATCAGGAAATCGTAGTACTGGTTAGCGAGAATTGTGGTAGACTTAGAAAGCTTCAAGGGCCATGAAACATGTAGACGAAGGAAAATTGCAGGTTGAAGGTGAGGGCGAGAAACCTCTTTGTTCCCAGAGTAATTCCACCTAGAGTTACCGATGGCAAGTCCGACATGCCTGGGACGGAGTTAACTGACGTAAGTCCGGACGACCAATCCATTCTTGCATAAAAGACCAGGTAGATATTGGACGAGAAACCTCTTTATTCCCACAGTAAGTCCACCTGGAGTTACCGATGGGAAGTCCGACATGCCTATGACGGAGTTAACTGACGTAAGTCCGGACGGCCAGTCCTTCTTGTAAAAAAAGATCTACCAGGTGGATATTGAGTGAACAGGGCATGTAAAGAAAATTTCAATGTACATTTGGTATCTTTGTCCTGTATCCTAGCGCCCACGCTGATTGTGCTATGCAATGTTTGAAAATAAAGAAATATCAGAGGACAGGAGGTACAAGGCTTTTACTCCTCTTCGCTAACCTCGCTCTCGTCATCACTGGCCACGTTGTATCGTCCAGAAGCATGCTGACTATATTGCTGACGGCGAGCCTCTTCTTCCCGGGCACTCTCCTCAAAAGCAGCTTCCATCTCCTGTGCTAGTAGATCATCCTCATCCTCCAAGTCTCCATCGGCAGCCGGGGCTGGAGGTGGATGTTGAGTATTCCGTGCCGGTGATGGAAGCCTGAAGCTATCAATGTCATCCTCTCCGTCTTCGTCAGGGGTGTTGTCATTTGAGAAAAAGGCGGGATTGACCAATGTTCGGGATGGTCGTGGCGATCCCATATCAATGATCAAATCGCCATCGACAATGATGTTCGAACCAGTAGACTGGACAGTATGTTGCGAAGTGTCTGATACTGCAGACCGACTATCATCGTTATCATGTGGGTCAGGCTCTGTGTTAGTGGGCTCGATGACCGGCTCTGGAGCCGGTTTAGGTGGAGTTGGCCGAGCCTGCGGCTTCGGCGCCGGGCGTTTCGTCTCTCGGAATGGGTTTGCCTGCTTCCTTGGCCGGGGCATAGGCTTTGGCGCAGGCTTTGTCACCGGGATTATAGGAGTATTTGTCTTGCTGGTGTAGACTGGCTCCGGGGTGCTGTGTCCCGATGCCGGCTTGAGATCGTCCGCACCTTCCTTAGGAAGAAAATGTCGGAAGTCATATGGATTGCTGTCATCGGCAGGACCCTCATCCTCACTGATGCCCCCGGGGTTGCGATCATCCCCTGATGTGTGTTCATCCTCCTGTACTATGCGGAGCTGTTCATATTGCTCAATGACCTGTTTCTCTGTCTTCCCCGGTGCCGATCGGAGGTTGAAGTTGAGCTTGGTGGCCACAGGCTCCAGAACAAAGGCCTTGCGATCGGGATCGAAGACAAGGACCAGGTTGCGCTCGCTGTCAGGGTCCTCGCTCCCTTTGTAGGTGTACGTCAACGTGTGATCGGCACTCGGGGCCTTATCGGTGACGGAAAGGTCGTAGAGATCGCGCGATCGGCCGGAGGGAGTAACGGTCGAACGTTGTTGTGGTGTCGCATGCTTGGTCTTGTAATTGTAGTTCACATTGATCAATCGGCTTCGGTCTGCATCGGCCAGCCGTTCACCCAGGACAATGGGATACTCGGCTTGCTTGGTCGGGTCAACCAGCGTGGGGGTGGCCATGGCTCCGCCACTGAGGATAAGATAAAGGAGTAGGTTCCGACAAAATGAGGTGTGTATTGGGAATTATAATGTGTCTTTAATATATAAGAAGAGAGGTAAAGAATAGTGTATAAGTGATGAGTGAAAGAGGAGTTGAGTGAAAGGAAGAGAAGTGACACAAGGCCCAAACACGGGGGAAAGGCGGAGACTCGCCCCGACATTAGCTTATTCAATAGGCTTGGCGCTACAATACAAGGGTAGGTGTACTATCATGAAGAACACCGTGAATGCATTTACTGCATTCAATGCACTGCCACTCGACTAGTCAATTGCTCCAATCGTCCTGCCAATGCCCGGTGTTTGCGCATCACTTCCTCCCACTCATACTCGATCTCCTCCTCCCCACTTAACTCCGTCAGAATCATGCCAAAATCGCCCCCGAGGCGACCCAAACTAGCCGCGCAGTACAACAATTGCGTCAGCAGACTCTCGCGCGAGCTCTTGTCCCGAACATTGGGAAGGTAAGTTCTCATCGTATCGGTCAGGAGTTGCACTAGGTGCATAGGAAAGGTCGCCAGAGCAGACGGGCGATTTTGCAATGGATCCGACGATTTTTGTTTGGAGTCGGCTCCCCGTAGCCCTAGCGTAGTAGACTCGGACTCCGATTGCTCTGCGGCAAATATGTTCTTGTATAATGAAACGATGGCAAAGCTCTGTTCTCGGAATATCTCAATGTATCGTTTCAAATAGCGGTCCGTTTGCTGACCACCAGACCACGAGTCCGCCTTATCCTTGCCACTTGTCCTCCGCTGTGTTTCTTGGTCGGCAAGTTCTCTCAGCGGGTCCAGTGCTTCCAGAGTTGAGACTAGATGGGCCAACCGACAGATCAGGAAGATGGCGCCCAGCGCTCCTTCTCCTGTCCCTGTGGCTCCTTCACTTTGTAAAGTTTCCAGGTCTGGCGCGACCCGCCGCAACCAGCCTACGGTTCGCATGCCCGCCGCGAGTCGTAAGTTCTGGGCTCGGAGCCCCGCAATGAGATTGGTGGTCATTTCTTTCATCGCATCTTCGGCCTGGCAGGCCACATCTTGGATCAGGGGCGACTCTGGATATAATGTTTGTAATCGCTTGATATGTGCGTGCAGGTCGAGTGCAGAGGAGTATGTGGTGGATGCTGCACCCGCTCCTGAGTTGGCCGATGCTGCGGAGACTGCGGTGGATAGGAGTGAGGGCAATTCCAGGATATCGGACAATCGATCCACATTGCGTGTCAGCTGCATAGCTTTCTTCCGTCGTTCTAGGGCGGCATTGTCGGTGATCTTGCTATACTTTGTAGAGAACCCCACTGCCGCTTCGTCCAACTTCGGAACAGCATCCCGAAGTTGTTGTGCCTCGCGGGTCAACTTGGGAATGGATGTGCGGAAGGTAGATAAATTATCGGCGGACGTAATAAAGGACCGGTGGGAGCGGTTGGATAATGCTTGAAGAGAGAGAAGCGTGGAATGGGAGGATTGGGCGAGGGACTGAGGTTCGGTGGTCGTGAGGTTTTGCAAGGACAGAGTGGACAGACGATTAAGATATTGGGAAGTCGTGGTATCACTAGGTGGTGGTGTCTCGAGATGCGGAGCCAATAGCTCCAACAATGAGTCGGCCATGTTGGAGAGTTTGTTGAAGCAAGTAAAGCTGGCGATTGCGTAAAAGCCGCGTGCTGGGATCCGGGTGGTCCGTGCACAGACAGGAAACAACGTATCGGCGACGAGAACCTCTTTCTAGTTCATCCAATCTCTTCCTTGTCAAGAGATCAGGTGTCAGGGATTGCTGCTAATTTCTTGGGGGTAGAACTTGTCCTATCATCTACTCATAACCTACTTCCTCTCTCCAACAACTTCCCCTCTCCCCCGCATCTCCAGTTTCTCGATTCTTTGTTCCACATGCCCTTTCACCATGGGGAAACCACGGGTGAGCCTTTTAACGCCGACACTGATACAGAATAAAACCTAATATTTTCCTGTAGATGATTATTCTTATCCGCCATGCGCAGTCGGAAGGCAACAAGAACCGCGATATTCACCAGACAACCCCGGATCACCGAGTAAAACTCACGCCCGATGGTTACCGTCAAGCCCAAGAGGCAGGCCGCCGACTACGGGACCTCCTCCGCCCCGATGATACCCTTCATTTCTTTACGTCTCCATATCGCCGGACGAGGGAGACCACTGAAGGTATCCTAGACTCATTGACTTCAGACGACCCGGATCCCTCGCCATTCCCGCGAAACACGATTCAAGTCTACGAGGAACCCCGGCTACGAGAGCAAGACTTTGGAAACTTCCAGCCATGTTCGACAGAAATGGAGCGGATGTGGATGGAACGGGCAGACTACGGCCACTTCTTCTACCGCATACCCAACGGCGAGTCGGCGGCAGACGCATACGACCGCGTGAGTGGGTTTAACGAGTCTCTGTGGCGACTTTTTGGCGAGGATGACTTTGCTAGCGTCTGCGTCCTTGTGACACATGGTCTCATGACTAGGGTGTTTCTGATGAAGTGGTACCATTGGAGTGTAGAGTACTTTGAGGACCTTCGCAACATCAACCACTGCGAGTTTGTGATTATGACCCATAATGAAGACAATGGGAAATACACACTGCAGAACAAGCTGAGAACTTGGTCCGATTTACGGAAGGAAAGAGACGCCGAGAAGAAGCGCGAACGTGAGGCGCAAGGGCTGAGTCCTACTCTACCCGCTCCTACGGAGCATGTCCCCATGCGGCGAAAATGGGGTGGCTGCCCCGATGGATGTACCCATGGCCTGTCTGCTGATGCTAAGAAGTCCCTCCGGGCGAGCATGTTCGAGACCATGCGCCAAGAGGATGACAACAGGGGACGCGCTGAAGCGAAATCGGCTACATCGGCTTCCAAAGGGACAGATCAAGCCTACAGATCTCAAGCGCACGATTCAGCCAATAATCCCGATGAGAATGACGAAAACTCCGACAGTGATCACGCACAATCAAATCCTCGACCCGAGATCGAGGCCGAAGAAGCAAAAAGATACAGAACCGGTGACTCCAGTTCCGACGCACGAAAGAACAATTCTTCGCGGCCTATCCGACCAGTCATCCGAGATCTTCGTCAAGATAGCGAGGACAATCTCCTGCACCCAACCGCTGCATCATCGTCCACAGCATGTCTGAAGCTGGCTCTTCTTCACCTAAGAGGCCGCGACGGAGGTGGCTCCATGAGCGGTGCAAACAGTCTCGCTCCATCCGACGATGAGGGAGAAGACAACCACACAACCACACAGTCAATTTCTAGACATCTCCAATCAAAACCTATATTGAACCTGCCGTCGCAAAATGCAGAAGATGATGGCGATGACGAGCTCAGTGCGCACCATACGGACGAAACGAAACGAGTTCGTTCTCACAATAATCATTACACTCATCACCATTACCACCACCACCATAATAATGACTCGCATGATCATGTATCTCATCATCGCTACAGCTCTTCCACAAGTTCATCGCAGCCGCCGCACCGGATGGCTAATATCCTCGGAGATGGTGATGACGTCTCACAACACTCTGACAGTCATACCCCCGAGTCAAATTATAAAGACCCTGAAGCAAAGTCTTCGAACAAGAACCATAATGAGGCAGAAGAAAAGGAAAACCTTACACTGGAAGAGCAGCAACGACTTGACCAGAGTGTTCGAGGGAGCATATACTGATTGTGTCCTGCGTGCCCCAGTGGTAGGATTTTCCTCACACTTTTTTTTATCCCCTTGGTTTTATTTCATGCTCTCCTTCGACATGCTTCGACATGCAAGATATTCTCCGGGTTCATATTGACAATATATGGATATGGATGCACAAGGGGGATCATTATTGACATTGATTGGGTGAATTCTTCTACCCGACTCAGCGTTACGACTGCGACGATAACACGAATGATTCAAGACACTAGATACTGAGCTAGTCATTGGCATTTCCAAATTGTGATTTCAGTTTCAATAGTAATACTACGCTATGCTTTACGTCTTTTCTCTCTACATGAAAACCAGATATACAAGTAATACCCTAGGCCACTGCACCTGTCATGTGATACTTGTACACTTCGTCCCAAATAGCCAGACCGTGCATTTCTATCAACCTTGGGAGCTTGTGACTGACTATGGCTACGGTCTAAGCGTGATTACTAAGGGCCAAATCCCTCAGATCTTTGATACTCATTCCAATGCTGATTGGTTATATTCAATGTTGTGACTTATATCAAATAAGCATCGTATCAGGGACACTATCCCCAATATTGAGAACATCCACGCACCTAGATGACCCAGGCAATCCCGAGTTCAGTGCACATATGAAATATACTACAGGTGGACCAAATCATTAATCAAGACACCACACAGAAAGTAAGGAAACGTTTGGACAAAGATAATAGTTTGTCAAATATTTTAGCTTAAACCATGTCGCATAGCGTTTCAACACACAAGACCATAATGACAGCGAGACTCACGGAAGGACACAGCGAACCAGCGACCAGGAGAAGCGTCAAGTCAAGACATTGAAAGAAATTGGCGATGACATGCAATGGAAGGCAAGCATCAATACTACGTACAGATCAGACCCTCATGCAGGGACTGACTGGATCCCCAGAGCTGATGACAGACTGGAAAACATGCATGTGCAATGGGAGAAATCAGGTGGATTGAAAACCACATGGCCTGCACCCATATTGGTCGCTCTGCAGTCAAGGAATCGAGTAAAAAAAAAAAAAAAAAAAAACTCTGAGCGATTGCGCTGCAGACGAAGTCGTAAGTCGAAGAGCAAAGGAGAATGGAATCACATATCAAGTTTGTTTGGTCGAATTTCGGTAATTGAGGTTGTCAAAAGGAATCCGAAAGAAGAGTGAGGAGAAAATATTAACGCCGGGAATTGACTGTAGCGTGGGGAATTGAAATCAAAATAATGTACCGACATGAAGAAGAGAGCAAGAGAAAAGAAGCAATCTATGGGTAATCAAGGCGAGACGAAAAATGCCAGGCATGAAGGGAAAAAGAGAGGGAAAAAATGAAACGAAGATATGAACCGAAGTCATGGGTAATAAACAAGGGTCAGATTTTATGAATTCGTGATCGTCGTGACTGCGTCCCCAGCCACCAGGGCCGGACTTGAATGTGGAAAGACCCGGTGAGCCTGGCTGGTGTGACACGATGTCCAACCGGACGATTGGCAAGGTATCGTAAATTTTTTTTTGGCTGGGGCGTGCCAATGTCGCCGCGGGGAGCGTTTTTTCCTCTTTTTTTGGTGTTTTTGAGTTTTTCGCATAGCCGACACGAACTAGCAGACGCAGAACAAATAAGGACTTTTCGGAGGTGACGCGAAATGCAGATCGATCAAAGTAAGGCCAGGCGAGTCAAAAAAAGATGACAGAAGGGCGTAAGCGTCGAATCAGATCAGGAAACAGCGAAAAGAGTAAGAATAACAGTATCGTCAAAGAAGAGAACCATGCAAAAATCACTCAAACATTGCAATAAGAACGTCTAAAAGCCGCCCTGAGTAGGTGAGAAAGGGCGACGAGGCCGTTGATACCTCGAAGATAATGTCGTCCGTTTCCATCCGTAGTCATGAATCAGCAGATATGGATAATCAAGGAATGACATGGCTTAACCTGCAATTATGGGCTGCAGAGCCGGAAAGGCGGTGTTGCACATGTAGTGCTCGACGTGTTTGGCACAGTACATACAGCCGCAGGAGGAGCCGTGACCAGTCCAGACACTCTGTGCAAATGGCAAGCCATAAGCCGGAGTGTGGTGGTACGACGGAGGCTGTGATCGAGGTACTGATGCAGGCAGGTACTGCGGGGGCGGGACCCAGGCCCGCGAATAGGGCGGTGGTGGGTTGGGGTACGTCCAGGTGCCAGCTGCGTAGTAGTCAGGAGTGTTAGGGCCGCTGTGAGGAGCCGAAGGAGGTGAGTACTCAGATGCAGCCGGGTTGAGCCACGAGTTCTCGCCGCGCTGGTACTGAGGAGGAATGGGGCCTTCGGGGGACATGAGAGGTTTGGCGACAGTCTGTTGTTGCTGTTGCTGTTGTTGTTGTTGTTGTTGTCGAACAACATTAGTGTCGAGGGGCGCCAAAGGCTGGCGAGACTCTTGGTGAGCCCGGGCATTAGCCTTGGCGCGCCAGCTGTCCCAGTGTCGGCGCCACGAATTGAATCCGTCCTGTTCATCGTACATGCGGTTGTGGATCTTCCACTCAAAGGCGAATAACCACTCCAACTCCATCTTGTTAAGTTCGGACACGGGGATATTGCTCACTTCCGACCAGGATTTGTTCTGGAAGGTGTTGTCATCGAGGAATTTGCTACCGAGCAACAGGGCCACGGTGAGCATGCGGTAGATCTGACCGCTGCTGGTCTGGAACACGCGCTGGGACGAGAGTTGGCGCATGCGGCAAGACAGGTAGTACAGGCCCAGTAGGATGGTCGAGCTCGGCAGGCGGGTCGAGGACAAAATCTGGTAGACGTATTTCCGGAACTGAGGGGGGACCGAAGATCCTGGGGAGATGCTTCGCATGATGTCAATATCTGCAAGGGTGATCTTGGTGTTGTACAATGCATACATTCCCTGGGTCATTTCCGCCACGAAGTCGGACATGCGATCCATTTCGTAATCCAGGTGGGCGGCAACACCTCCGGTTGCCTTTTCCTCCTTGCGGGGCTGCTCTTGCTGCATCGGGGCGATATCTTGACGACGGTACTGCGGGGGAATGGCACTATCCATGGGCGGCAGCTGAACACTGGAGCGGAGCGGTGGCAGAGTTGCCATCGGTCCATACATGGGCTGCTGAGACATGGCGTGCATAGACTCCCGAGTAGGGTGCATCATATTCGCTGACTGGTGATGCATGTTCATCGAGTTGGGCTTGGTGTACCGAGACTGGGAGTAGTTTTCAATAAACTCACAGCCACTCTGATGGTAGCGAGGGGGGAACGCAGAGTGGTTGATCTGGTAAAAGGACGGTTCGTCCATGCGACCACCGCTGTTGACGTGGGGAGGGGTAGGAGGCAGGCCGTGGCCTGGAACGAAGAAAGATGGCATTTCAGGGGGGAGGTTAAGAAACACCAGTTCAGAACGGGGAGGAGAGACGAATGTGAATGCTGTCGTGTCGGTTGGAGTCAGCGAACAATTCGAGCGAAACACCTGGGAAGAGTCGACGCGGGAAGAAAGAAAAGTTCAACGAACCGTCTACAGCTCCGCGCCGTTCTGATCCTGGGTAAGGGAGAGCGCTGCTCAGCGAGCGAATTGCTCAGTTGTGGTCCTAGGGAGCGTCTCTAATCGAATGACATCGGTAGTCGTTCAATCAATCTGGGACCAAGAATCACAAATGAGACAGAAGGAGTGTGGTTAAATCGGGACCTTCACTGTGAATCTCACTATACTGCGACTGAGAGAAGGCTGATCCACAAGGTTGAGAAAGCAAAGCAAACTTTGAAGAGTATCCCTAGAAATTATTCTTGGGAGACGCGCGCACAACGGATATCCGCGACACAAAGATGAATCACGAAAATGTTTTTTTTGGGGTTTTCCCTCGCGTAGAGGCAAATTCCACTTGCGTGAAATCAGCAACGACACTTAGTGAAAAGCTCGTTGGAAGGGGGAGAGGTTGGATGGGGGAACGAAAAGGGGAGAAGAGTAGGATGAAGAAGGTGAAAAGGGCGGCAGACTTCTGTGGGTGAAAGTGGCCGTGAGTGTTACAATACGTGACGGGGGCCTCGACCTGAACTTGCGGCAAAAAAAAAATCATTCAGTCACAATTGGTACGAATTCCTAAACCAGAAAACCAACCAAAACCAACCAAAACGACTTAACCCCAAGCCCTTTTTTACCGTTTCACTGAGATCATAACCCGAAACCCGCACCCCCCGATATTTAAGATAAATTAAACATTAATTTAGGAAATAATGGATAATGTAAATGACCTATATCTGGTGTCCAAAGATGTCATTGAGAAAAATTCTTCTCCAATTATGGATATTGCCTCTCCGGTGGCTGTTTCTACACCGCGTAAGATAAACCTATGGGGGCCACCACCCCTAATCATCGGTGATGCAACACCCGTGTCACTTGCCCCTAATTCAATGTAAAATACCCTAAGAAAAATCCAAAAATCTAAAAAAAGGTTACCAAAAAAGACCAAAAAAAAACGAACTCGTGCGGACTCCACCTGACTAATCCCCGGTAACAGAAAAAAAAAAGTGTTGAACCCCCATAGTCTCCATAATAAACCCCATAATAAATTACTAAAATACGGCCCAAGCGTTAAAACATTCCAGCCCGTTGCTTAGTCTACAAGGTGTCCTTGACTCCTGGAATCTACAGTATTCATTCTCAGTTGATATATATATCTCGAAAGTTCCTTAAATGTCCGATTGAATACAATACAACAATACCATAGTTTTATGTACGGAGGTGGGAACTATGGAATTCACTTATGCAGTAAGCTATCATTTAGGCCAGACTCCTAGATTATCCGCTTTCCCCCTCCCATTTATCACCCGGTACAACCATGTAAGGGAAAGTCCATACCCCAAGTCACCCCCCCTCTGAGTCACAGACCAAAACTATGACTGTAGGTATGATCAATCCCTGCAGCCTGCATAGCGTCATGCCGCATGGCCAGTAGGTGACAGGAGAGGGGGGAGGCAACACCGGTGTGTCGAACTGACACCGGGGCCCGCGGCAGATGCTCTCATTGGACTGGAGGATCCGGCCCATAGTACGGGGTGTACACCTGGCATGCACACGGCCAACTGGAGGTACCTACGAGGTACCCATCCGAAGGTTTACTGCGGTGTTCTTATTCTTATTGGGGGCCCCATTTATTATTGTCTCCATATCCGGTCACGCTGCACCGACACTGCCTTGGGGCTATATAGGATTCGTCCTAGAGAACAAAGCAAAAATAAGATGGAAAATTTCAAGGTCCTGCTTTGTAATTCCTAACTTGTGCTTGTCAGAGCTTTGATTACCTCAGTTTTCGTAGGTACCTTTTTAGCTGCATTAGGCTTAAGGCGCCACGAATTAGCGCTTGGCTGGAATTTCTGGTTTATTGCTCTTTCCAGCCTTGTCCCAGAAGAATTCTCAGGACTAGCCTTCTTTAGTAAACTTCCCCCTATTCGGTGGAGAAATGATAGCCGGATACACTCGGCCCAACTGTTCCTTCACGTTGCGTCGGGCAGAACATTTCTTAACCCCGCCATGGAACAATCCGGGCGCGCCCCCTCTGTTTGGGTTTTGTTTTTGGTGGGGGAAAGAGGCAAAACAAGGAAGATTGTCGGATAGTGGAGGCTGGGAAGCATTGACTAGTGAAAAAAATACTTCTGGAGACTTATCACTACATGTTACCTAGGTGACCTATGAAAATTTAGGTCAAGTTGAGGTCTAGATTTCCTGTGGAATATGGATTTGTATTTCTATGATGCTAGCTTTTGGTTTTGTTTTTTGAAAAATGCCCACACCTATAGGCGTCGGGAGGTAAAGAAAAGGGTGGTTAGACAACACATGGGCTCGAGAGCGCCCGAGCCATCCCCTGTGGCAATGGTGACCATGTGCCAACCGAAAGAAAATAAAAGACAAAGTGGAAAGAATCAAAATCAAAGTGAACACAAAAGATGTTCAGGCATATGCCAGAACAGAGGGATATCATTAAGATTCAACAGAACCCAGTCACAAACAAAGACATAGACTCGTATACTCGATAAATCGTCAGGGAGGAAATCACTTTTCCCTCCCGGTCGAGTTCTTCCAAAGAAACACCCCCGATCTATTGCTCCCGGAGCAACCCCAAGTAGCAGATCGGGTCGCACCAAACTTTGATCAGAATGAACAGACGAAATGGAAGAGATGAAAACAAAAGAAGGGATCAAAACTCCGGGGGAGCCATTCCCCAAGAACGTGCAAAGGGTCGTAAGTCGTGACGAGAAAAAACCAACGAAAAGAAATCGGCAAAGCGGCTACTCGTCTTTCAAGCTTCCAACCAGGTTGCGAAGCACGTCCATGATGACGCCCTCGTCCTTGGGTTCTCCACCGGGGAACGAACTTTCAGTGGCATTGCCTACCACACGGGCACGGGCACTTCGAAGCACCTCTCGGATGTAGTTCTTGTCCTCGTAGTCTTCCATAAGAACGGCCTCAAAGTCATCAATGGCTTTGTTCGCACGCTCAGTGAATGAGGATGTTTCCGGGGGTCCATGCGGCATAGAACTTTGCCGCGGAGGCATCTGCTGCTGCTGGGAATGCGTTGGTGGACCAGGTGGTGGCGGAGGTGGTTGTTTCGGTGCCTGGTGGTGAGGCGGTACCACATGTTGATGCGGCTGCTGATGCTGATGCTGATGTTGATGGTGTTGATGCTGGGGCGGATGTGGTTGCTGAGGCGGCTGTTGCTGCGACTGGACCGGTTGCTGATGCTGGGGTTGGAACTGAGGCCCAGGAGGTGGGTAAGATTGGGGTTGCGGATTCATGTGTTGTGGTTGAGGTGGGTTTGGGGGTGGGTAGGGGGACTGCTGCGGAGGCGGTGGTCCCTGTCCAGGTCGTGGAGCCTGAGCCTGCTGAGCCTGAGCACCCTGTCCAGGTGGATCAACTGCATAAGGAGATGTGTAGGTTGATGGAATGGTTCGAGCAAAAGCAGCCGGAAGGCTGCTGCGAATATTGTTCGCCATAGGGAAGGATGCAGCCGCGGGAGCAGGGGCAGGAGTGGGAGTAGGAGCAGGCGAAGGAACAGGAGCAGAAACAGGGACAGGAGGAGGGGCAGGAGGAGCCGCAGAGGGAGCAGAAGAGACCGGGGCAGAAACAGGAGGAGCAGGAGCAGGAGCCGCAGCAGCGGGAGGAGGGGGTGGTGCAGCGTAAGGACTTGAATGTTGAGGAGCCGGCGGTGGTGCAGAGAAGTTGGTAGATGGCATCGGAGGGAATTGGAAGTTGTGATGCTGAGCTTGCATCGGAGGTGGACCACCAGATGGAGGAGGATAGGAATGAGTGATAGGTCCCATATATGGCTGGGGAGCTGGTGCCGACACCTGCGGCGGAGGCTGTTGCGGCGGCGGTGGAGGAGGCGAGGGCCGTCTCTTCTTTTCTTTCTCAACGGAAGCACCAGGCCGGAGCTGCCATGACCAACCTTTACCATCTCGCTCCGCGTGCATGAACAGGTGGCCATTACCATTGAGATTGTGTCGTACACTCGAGGTCCATCCCTCCGTCTCACACTTGAAGCGGAAGTAGGGATACTTCAATTTCAATGCGCGGTAGATTTGCTTTAGCGTCATCGGGGTACCAGCCTCTGTCAGAGCATCAAAGATGAGAACAGCGTAATTGTAAGGTGGCTTGGCCAGGTCCTCCTGCGTGTAAGCAGACTCGGGAGGATAGTTTGGAGAAGGAGACCGAGAGGGCTTGCGCTTCTTGACTGGCGGAGGCTTTACGTATTCCTCAGGCCGTTGCTCTGCAGGGAATTGGCCACTTTCCATAGAAGGTAGAGGGAAGTCCATCGAGGTGCCATCCTTCTTCCGCTTGTTGTACTTCCTTTTCTCTGAAGGCTTGACAGACGAAGGAGGCGATTCAGCACCAACTGATTCTTGGGTAATAGTGGTGGTGGTTACTGTCTTTCCTGCCTTGGTTGGCCGGTTCTGTGGCGGCGTGACACCACCATTGGCTTCGCGCTTAGCGGCTATCTTCTGCTCCCGAGCAAGTTCAGCTCTTTCACGCTTAGACATGATGCCATCTTTGGGGGGTCGACCGGGACCACGGCGGCGGGCCGGTTGATCTCCCGATTCAACGGACTGTGCCTTCGAATCAGAATCCTTCGTCTTGACGACGATCTTAGTTGTCTTGGAATCTTTGCCCTCGCCATCGCTCAAGGGTCCTCCCATATCATCATCAAGCTCATGCTCAGCGTCGGCATCAGCGTCAGCGTCAGCGTCAGCATCGGCGTCAATAGATTCCATGACATCCTCTTCCTCTGCTGCCTGTTCTTCCAAGCGATCCGCGCCAGTCTCTCCGATGGGAACATCTGGCAGTAAAAATCGAATGCGCACACCTCCAATTTGGATGTAATCTCCACTGTGCAACGGACGGAGTTGACCTGGCGATAACCAATCGGCTCCAATGAAGGCTCCATTACGACCCATCACTTCCATCTCAAACAGGCTCTTGTCAAAATTGTAGGCAATGCGAACATGCCGGCGCGAGATACCGCGGTGACCTGCGGCACTACCGTCGATGGTTGATGGGGGATGAATTGGAATGGTAGGACAAGAGTCAGGTGATGGGAGTAAAGCCAAGGCATCAACTGGCTTAGGATCGCCGTTTCCATCCTGAAGGGATTGCATCGCAAGCGCATTATAGTCCGTTGATGTGGTAGTTTGTAATTGCGCTGGATTGGCATGCAAGGGCATGGACGATTCACCGAGGGAAGATTTTGATGATCGTCGGCTGATGTTCAAATTTGATGGAAGATGTGGGGGAACGTCCGGATCAAAGCCCATGATACCTCCACGATCACTGACCACACTGCCCATCATGGCAGCACTTTCCTCCCGCTTCATGCGATTGGGGGTATGTGAAGCGTTACCACCACCACTTGAGCTCTTTGCCCGAGAGCTCCGCACGGCCTGCCGGTACTGGATTTCTCGCTGGTGGGCGGCGCGCGCAGCTCGGACATCTCGCCCCAGAATAAAAGAGTAGGTATTACAGTAGAAATGACCATCATCAAACTCTAGCTTGGCAAATGCCTGGATGCGAGGCTCAGACCCGGCAATGGATGCCGATGCATCTTGATATCCAAGCGCTGATAGATCAGCGCCCTGTGAGAGGTATGCGGCCGTCAAAAGCTCATTCTGCTGGAGGGCATCAAAAGCATTCTTCGGAGCTCCGGTCAAGTCGAAAGCAGGCAGGAGTGATGGCTGCTCCAGACTCTGCTTGGGGTTCATCGGATCGGAGAGAGAATCCATGGCGTCTGATAATCGATGTCCCAATCCACCTCCCTCATGCGAGCCCAGTCCTGCAAGGAAATCCGTCATCGGAAAATCACCATTCGACATATTGGGCATCTCCGTAGATACCGAGGTAGGATCATGTGGTAGATTCGAGTCGGCGTGCGTCGAGAATTGAGCGCTTAGGTCGAGTGACGGGCGATTTGAGTCGTGTAGTCCTCCATCCTGTTCCTTGATCGGTGGCCCGACAGATTGATCTGGCGCAGAAGGATTCGGCGCGGACTGGTTTCCAAGCAGTTGGGCCAAAAGCGCCCCGGCGGCAGACTGGGCATTCGCATCCTTTGTGTCTTCGGTCATGGCGAAGTCCTGGTTGTCAAATGACTCCCTCTTTATTCCAATCGGAGTGGCGGGCAAGCCTTTAGAGGCTGGGGCAGAATTATGCATGTCGGGGATTGCGGAGTCGCTTCTAGGGTCGGAGTGAGGCGAAGCGTCGTGCTGTGAGCCGCCATAGTCGTACATGGGCGTGTCGGTGCCTGGATCAGGCGGTCGATGGCCCACCGCTGGCGCCGTCATGGTCTGCGACGACATGGCTCTGGAGAGGAGAGAAGGGAAGAAGCAAAAGCTGAAGTTCTCTCTTTTGGGGCCGGGCGGTGAGAGTAGATTTGCCCGACTGGTCACTGCACGTGGCCGTAGCTGAAGGATCCTTCTTAGCGTGAATACCTGCCCTGCATGATCACGGAGACGAATAGAGTCGACCAAAGAAATGAACAGATATCAGTTAGCGGAGATGAGGATCCAGATTGTTGAATAGAAAATGGTTGACATTGTCCCAATTGTCCCTAGGTAGACGATCCTCCGGGTCAAATTTTCTCTTCCCGCCCCGCTCCTTTCTCCGACTCGATCCACTGGTTTGGGTGCCTGGCTCCTCACCGATTCGAGTGATCGACTAGATACCAGAGAACCCAATTCTTGATCTCCCAAGAGCAAATGATTGTAATTTCCCCTAGATTTCGAGATATTCATAACTCATACATAATATCATTGTCATGGCCTAATTGCCTATTAATGCACTCTATATCCCTGGATATAACGGACAAGAGACCGTTCGAGTGGAGAATACCCCTCTACTGATATTCGGTGGCTTGTCTCCGCTACAGAACTCGGGACGTACAATCTATAGCCAATTCCCGGGCATTGCTTAAAAAAAAAAAAAACTATAAACATCAGGAATAATTCTATACACAGTAAATGATTGCAATCATATCTTACTACAGCCCATGAAGCCTAAACCAATGTAGCCCAAGTAAACAAGCCTGAGACCCAATACCCAAACTGCGGGGACAAGCGGAGCAAAAGCTTTTTTGGAGTAAAAAAATGACCTGCAGGGTTGTCACCAATCTTATCAAGCAGTTGACGCACACCCCTCCACACACTCAACCCCTCAGGTAGCATCTGGGCACAGTAGTATCTAGTAGGCTAACCAAAATGCCCAAGGCCAAAAAGATCGATCCCAAAACCCAGGCGCGCACCGCACCCTCAACCAACACCCCCACCATTCCCAACTGGCCACCTCTCCGCCCCCTCCTCCCCGCCGCAGACCTCAGTCTCGTCCCTCTCGTCCCCGATCAGATCTACCTGATCCAGAACTTCCTATCGAGCTCCCTGTGCAAGACCTATGCCTCGTTTCTCGCGTCTCTGCCGTTGACGACCACACCCGGGAAACCGAAGAAGGATGAGGCGGTGCGCGTGAACGATCGGTTCCAGGTGCAGGATGCGCGGTTTGCAGAGATGCTGTGGAGTGGGACTGCGCTGAAGGAGTTGGTCACGACTAGATTTGCTGATGAAGAGACTTATAATGAGGATGGGGAATATGAGCCTCTGTCTGCGGAGGAGTTAGCAAAAAAAGCGAAGGAGGTATGGGGCGGGGAGCCGCTGGGGTTGAATTCGAATATTCGCATTTATCGATATTCAACGGGGCAATTCTTTGCTCAACACTGTGAGTGGTCTTCTTACATACCTGATATGGCGCTGGAGTGGACATGGCTAATTTGTGGTTAGACGACGAATCCAATTCGTTGACCTTCTTGCCTCAATCTGCTACGAAAGCTTGCCCCGCACGCACTACATGGACTCTCTTGATTTATTTGACTACATGTTCTGGTGGGGAGACGGTGTTTTATCCCGAACCGACACGCGCAAATCGGAACCCGGAGCCAATAGCTGTGGCACCGGAGATCGGGATGGCGCTTCTACATCGGCATGGGGACCATTGCATGCTGCACGAGGGAATGGAGGTGACGGGTGGAGAGAAGTGGGTGCTGCGGAGTGACTTGGTTGTTGCTCGGTGATGAGATCAGACTTTTGGTTAAAGCATTTTAGCAAGCTACGGGCGTTATGGGGGTGCATTAGTGGAAACATGGTACACAATATAGATATTGACAATGCTCAGATGATTTTCAATCAATTTGCTCTGCCCTACTGTAGAGAGAGTACGTTGAAATTCAAGTAACACAGCAAGATAGTATGACAAGGACGATAGTAGGTACCTGTGTCAGGGGACCGCGCCGCACGTAACACGTAAAAGAGACAAGAATTTGTAGATACACAGAATCATAAAGAGTGTCAAGTGGGAATAGGGAGTAGAAAAGCAACAAACACAGGCATGCGAGGATAGGAACCATGGATGATTGGAGTAAGACTGGGATTTGGAGTGAAAAAAATAATAGAAGTAATTGTATCACACCCAGCACACTCTACAATCTTCTTTTCCATGTCCTACTTCGATTTCATCGTATCGTATCACATTCATGAATCACCAGGAGACTTGGACGCGTCTACCTTATAATCGGCCCGACGCATGATATCCTCCACAGGTCCAAGCAGTCTCTTGAATCCGTCCCGGCCCAGGCGGGCCACCTTGACATCGGTCTTAGTGACAATGCTCGCCGCACGCGGCTTGTCATCCAACAAGGCCAACTCGCCAAAGTAGTCACCCCGATGATAGCTCTTCACAGGCACGCCACCCTTGAGCGCCTCAGCCTCGCCTGACTCCAACAGATAGAACGCGTCACCTGGGTCACCTTCGGAAATGACGGTGGCATTGGCAGGATACTTGATTGTATCCAAGGCGTCGGCGATCTTAGACCGCTCATAAGGCTTGAGAGAGGAGAGAAGCGGCACTTCCTCTAAGAAGGCCTCATACATGCGGCGTCGCTGGAATGCAGAGTCCATCAGAATCCGCCGGAAAGTAATGCGATCCAACGCCCAGAGAGTGCTTTTAGGTTCAGTAGAAATAACCGTCGCCGCGCGTGGGGCATTATACATCAGGGCCAGTTCACCAAAGGAGCCGCCGGGTCCAGTGCTGCTAACCTTGTTGCCCAGACCATCTGGGCCAGGCTGCACTGCACCGGCTGAGTGAATATAAATGTCGAAGTGGCCGTTCTCCACAATGTAGAAATAGTCACCTGCATCACCCTGTGAGATCACCTTAATGTCCTTGGCAGGAATTGGCTTCTCAACCAGTGCGTCAAGTACGGTCTTGAACTGGTCGTCATCGAGGTGAGAAAACAAGAAGTTCCCACTGACAGCGGTCCGAAGCCGCGCCAGCTGCTCTTGCGTCTTGGGGTGACGCGGGGGTGTCCATCCCTCTGCACCGGCTGATGTTGGGTTCAAGGACTCTGCCGACACCGAGGTGCGACGACCCAGCGCATAATTGTTCGGCAATCCCTCTCCTGCGGGGACTTGTAGATTTTCAGGCTCGTCGCCGCCTGCGTTGCCCCCGCCCGATGGTCCCGAGTCAAAGGGACTTCCCCGGCCAAACAAAGAGCCACCAAAGGCTTGTGACCCGCTTTCACTAAATGCGCTTCCTCCGAAAAGTGCGGTCCCTGACAAGGCGCCTACGTTGGCCTGTCGAAAAGTCATATCGGTGGGTGACGTCACCTCGAATTCCTCATCCTCCGATATTTTTTGGAAGTTGGAAGATTTATCGGGTCTGTTGGAGTGGACGAATGGGTTAGACCCCGGGACTGAGCTTTCAGCCATGACTGAACGGTTGGTAGGGGCCGGAGAGGCCGCTCCGGCCACGGGAAGTTGAAAAGAGGGGGTGGTTTAGAGTATTGTGTGAATCGTGTAAGTCAAAGTCTGGTCCTCTCCAGCTGTGATGTCGTTAGAACAAATATATTCAGAAATTCAATATCGCCGAGGTGGAGTTGAAGACTAAAATAGGCCAGAGAAATGGACAGGAGGGGTAGTCTCGGCTCAGCAAAAATGGGAATTGACCAGGAGTCTAACTGAGAAAGGCAGTGCCTAGGTGTTGAAGGAATATCCTAGACAGCTGCATCTGATGATACTGGTCTCGGAAAGGACTTTGTGTAGAACAGGAATCCCGAGAAGCGGTCTCACCTAGTGGGGGCAGCGAAGGCAGAAGGAGCGCACACAACTCACAGTTATAAGGGTAAAAAGGAAAGGAGGCTGAAGATCCAAAAGGAGATGATGAGCCGAGCAGGAAGAACTCCAGGTCTCGTGCAAATCAATTGGATAGGGAAGAGAGGCAAAGGGTTAGAGAAGGAGGGGTAATAGGCGAAGAGGAGTAAAGTTGGGGCGGGTTGGTCTGAGCTTCTCTCGCGTCGATCAGCGGTCTTTCCCTTAGTTATGGTGATCGACGTCACTCGTTCCCATCTTTGGTTCAACTGGAAGGTTTGGCAAAGGAAAGATCCAATCGAAGAGCTCGATAATCAATAGTTGGTGACAGAATTTGGATCCTTCAAAAAGTATAATTCCAATCAAAGTGGACAAGGCCTGCAGGAAAAAAAAAGAAAAGAAAAAAGAAGCTTGACGCCCGTGTCTTCCAAGTGTCTTCTAGAACACGGCTAATGATCATTGGCATTGGTCGCCACTATAGTGGGACGTGGTGGCAAATTTGGGGCCCATATGACTCTTGGAGTCATGCATTTGGACGTTACCTTAGAACTTAGTACTTTAGTCTCATACTAGACTGGCACCCCTAACTTGACCGTTTGCAGGCTGCAGGGTTTTCATTCGATTACTATAACAATTCTTAGAATTCTATAATTGTCTTCCAATGAATAAAAATTTTTTTTTTTTTTTTTTTAAAATTATGACATGAATTATAGAGTGACTATCGTATTTCGCGCACAATGTAATCAATAGAATCCTACATAGGACGGGTAGTGTCGATCGTTGCCCCCAGGTCACGCACAACGTAAAGCAGGCATATCCTTGCAACAGCTTTGACTTTCTCTTAGCTTAAAGCCCATTAAAATATTCTGACAGGTAAAATTAATTAAACCCCCTTTCTCTAATTTCACGTCAACTGGCATTTTATATGGAAATCTATGCATACCATAGATAAGTATGGGAGGAGCCCGGTTCCGGGGTCTAGATGGTGGCCCAACGATGGAACCATGGATCCTGTACGAAAGCTCTGAGAAGTTCAGAAAAGGCTCAAGATAACTGGTAGTAATTATGTACCTATGATAGATAATAGGACCTGGACCAATTGCATTCACTACATGAATTTTTTCCATTTCTTATTCCCTCTTCCATTTGACTTCGACAGGAACTGATCAGTCCGAACTCCTTGGGCCCTGGCTGGTCTGTGTCACACCCCACCCGATTTAGAGCCTGGAAGCGCCCTTCCAACTTTGACCTTCTTTCCTTTTCCAACTCTTTTACAATTCAATTTTTTCCCCTTGTGACATAAGGACTCTCTGGATGGTCTTTGTTACAGCAATGGGTACCTACACATTTCAATGGTGAGTTCCGTCCGGATCAAATTCTTTGCCGGGCGCGGGTGTCTGGGGATATGGAAAGCTCGAGTTCTTTTTCCTCTACGCCTCTCCGAAGTGGCACAGACATTATCTGAATTGGATCGCTGACTGGACCGTTTCTTTGCATGTAGGCCCTCTACCGCGAACGAGGTGTTCGTTACTGGCACATTCGACGATTGGGGTAAGACGGTGAAACTGGACCGGGTGGGCGACATTTTCGCAAAGGAAGTTTCTCTTCCGATCGGACAGGAAGTTCAGTACAAGGTAGGTTGTCTGTTTCGCCTGATTGTGGTCTCTTTCCTTGTCTTTTTTTCCCCTTGCCCTGGCCTTCTATAGGTAATGCGCCTCAACCGTAGATAAAAGATGCGGTGAGCTGTATTGCCTCAGGCCACAATAGGCACCAACCCCGGCTTTGTATGACGCCTTTGCTTTCTGACGTCATTCCCTTTGTCCCGCTTTCCCCCAACTATAAGACCACCTTGAGCACGCCACAAAAGGGGCTTGCGCTGACTTCATTTCAAGTTTGTTGTTGACGGAGTTTGGACTACCGACAAACGTTTACGTGAAGTGAACGACGGCGCAGATAATCTTAACAACGTGCTATTACCGGAGGAGATCCAAACCCAAACTCAGACCCAGACCCAGACCGAACCTGAAACCCTCACTCAGAACCAAGACACCCCAACCACTGCCACCGCAGCTATGTCTGGCGTGACTCCTGAATCCACTACCGCCATTCTGGCAGCCGATGTCCCCAAGGAGGAGCATAACGGGCACCTCCCGGGCGCCTTCCCCGACACTCCGGGACAAGAGTCCGACCAAGTCTTCTCTGTGAACCCAATCCCAGCCTCGGGTGGCTACGGCAACCCAGTCAAACTCAACCCCGGCGAGAAGGTCCCCGACTCCAGCACGATCCATGGCAACACCGTCGACTCGACCGTGAAACTGGACAAGGAGTCCTATGAAAAGAGCGACAGTGTGCCCCTCGGCAGCGCTGGAACCCAGATTGACACGGCTGGGCCTAGTCTTTTCAACCTACCCCCCGTATCCAAGAACACCATCCCTGAATCCAGTCTGCCCATGGGTGGGCCTGCTCAGCGTGCTGCGTCTACTGAACAGGACCAACTGCAAGCCGGAGGCCCCGCGCAACAGGCTGCCATGGCTGACCCCGGCTTCACCATTCAATCCGCCCACCCCTCCTCTACCACCGCTGCCTTGGCCGCAGAAGTTCCCTTGGAGAAGGAGAAGCAGACGAACGGTACTGCCCCAACCATCCAATCCGCCCACCCCTCCTCCACTACCGCGGGGTTGGCCGCAGCGGTTCCCTTGGAGAAGGAGACGAACGGTACTGCTCCAGTGGCTGAAGTCCCCGAGGTTGTGAAGGAGTCTCTCAGCGAGGCGCACCAGGACCCCGAGGCGGCAGCCAACAAGAAGGCCGTTGAAGAGAAGAAAGAGGTCGAACAAGAGCTCACCAAGAAGGTCGACCTGGAAGAGTCCGCCGGCGCTCCTGCACCCACCGAGACTGCTGCCACCACCACCAAGGCCCCTGGCGTCACCAATGCTGGTCTCACTGCCTCTCATCTGACTGCTACTGGGTTTGATTCCGCCGATGTGTCCCCGACCTCGAGCCCACCTCCGGGTCATGCGGCACCTACCTCTGCCCCTCCTACCTCGGAGCCCAAGGGCACTGAAGCCCAAACTCAACCTGTTACAACCACTGGCGTGGAAACTACCCCGACCGCCCAAACCAGTACCCCAGCTAAGCAAACTACTCCCACTGCTGGTTCTTCTCAGGGCAGCCACAAGGATGATAAGAAGAAGCACCGCTTGAGCGGGTTCTTCAACAAGCTCAAGGAGAAGCTGAAGTAGATGTTCTCCATGAATATTTCCCCTCTCGGTGGCTCCTTCTTTCCGATGCTCGGCCAAGTTCAAAGCTTTAGATGGTGACCATAGTCACTGGGAAATGCCTTCGCTTGTTTGGGGTTGTAATCGTCTATGATTTCATGTTTTTGTCTTTTTGTGATTGATCGCTTTCGATTTGGATACCTCATTTGCACGCACTGCCGCATTGTACTCCAGCAAGCCTTATTCTGTCTTCCTCTAATAGTGCTTTTCGTCGAATGGATTTTATCTATTTCACCCTTCTAAGCTCCGCCAGCTGCGTATAGTATTACTCTTGAAAATTAAGATCGTATTACTCCTGTAAATATGTGAAATTATATGTGAAATGGAAATCCCAAGTTGAAATCAAGGAGCCCCCATAGATCATCCGTTAATAAGCTCCGCCTTAGCTCTCATAAGTCCGATGAGCATCAGAACGGTATAGCATTACTAACTTGCCCATTGAGTTTGACCGGGTATCCCAAAACACTATAAAGCTCGTTAGCAATACTTCCTACAACCATATCTCAGACACCAATAGAGGCATACTCTCTCCCAGTCTGCGTGCATCCACAGCCACAGAAAATTGAAGCAGGCCAGCAAATCACCTAGGTAGAGTTAGCCTCCAACAACAATTATAAAATATCTTCGTTCCATACCGCAGCGACAATCGTACAGCAGAACCCTAAACATGAGCTTAACATTAGTACATCGTCTCTACTCACGGGGTACGCGCACGGGCATCCCTGACTTACCGAGAGTCGGCCCGACAACTTTACAATGACACGGATTCTGATCGGTCCCGCATTGGAAGCAGATAGGGAAGAATGGAATGAAAGGGACGTCACACATTGTGGTGGGTCAAGAATGGGAGATTATGGGGAAGGAAGGAGGCAAGGTAGGGCTTGAGGATATTCATTAAAGTGACGAAGGGTTCGAGATATTACGTAGTTTTCTAGTCGAGCTTTCCCCAGATTGCAGAGCCGGAACTCGTCGCTTGGGTTTGAATTCTATCATTATGACGCAGATGAAGTGAGCCCGATCGGGTAAATTGTGGGGACTATGTATGTTAACAGTATGCAGGCTGGAGATTGTGATAGATCTACATAGATATGAAATCAAATATTAAGCGAGGCTTTACGGTGCATGAGATTTGTGTCTAGTAATGATGTCCTTCTATTTGCAGAGCTACCCGTGACACAACGCGGTGCAGGACCTCCCGGACCCTTTGACTTTTAATTCCTAATTGGGCCGCATGCTTTTGAAACGAGAATACATGGATCAAATTACAGTAATAAACGCGTTCTACTGTAGCCATGATATTGGGAACATCCCGGCCCCGACCCTCTTTCCCCATAGCCGCTCCGGAGTTACTCAGCCCTGTATACGGAGTACGCATATTCCAATAGAACCAGGTAGCTCACGTGCACATTGAAACAGATGACAGCTGCAAGTCATGAAGGTAAATCGAGTACTCGTAGACATTGGCACCAGCCACTATTTTTCGAAGATTGGACCCAGTATTTCATAGGGCTTAGAATTATGCACTTTTTATCCGCCTCCCCAAACAGGGCAAGCGCCAGCCACATATTATCTTTTTTTTAGGAAATACCGCTCTGCACCGCCACACCATCCCCTCAGATCAACGTCACAGGGGCCCCAGATGAACGATGAACACCTGATTCGACCTAGTTTACTCTTCCAGAATTCCCTCGTCGGACATTCTTTTCTTGACAAAATACTACTCCGTTTTACCAGGCAGCAACGTTTACCAAGCGCCCCCATCTGCACTGAGCCTTGGCGCCGGTAACGCGTACATACCTTTAGAACAGTGAACCGACTCCACTTCAGCCCGATCGCTTTAAAGCCACACATCCCACTTTTCTTCGCGCCTCAGTATACTGAATCTCGAGACTTACCTACCACAAAAAAATTGTCGCGAAAATGGACGGCCTGAAGAAAGCCCTTCCCCTCATTCTCCTTCTCGTCTTTGTCGCTATCGTCGCTTTCGTGGGATATGCCGTCTGGAGCGTCGTTCTGGATGTGAAGAAGAATACGCGCGCGGAGATGGAGCGCAAGCACGTGTCTTTCTCAAGGGATGGAATGAAGGTCAGCGTGAAGGAGGTGAATGATGAGAGCTATAAGGATCGGACACAGAGGTACGTTATGCGACATCTTCCCCTGATCTGACGAACTGTGGGGTTTGGTTTTTTCCACTATCTTCCCGTGATGTTTCAGTCACGACACACCAGCCTGGATCTGGACTTTGCTGATTCTCGTGTTATAGTGTTCTCGTTAACGTTTGGAACCACACCTCCTTCCCGGCATACAAGAGTCGACTTTGGGATATGACAGGGTCATCGAGCTCGCAGACTGAGAATGGTGCTGAGAAGCGCAAGCCGTATGTCTCTCTTTTTGAATCCTTCTTCCTGGAGTTTGCGCAAGATATCTAACGTCGTTTTTCTTTGCATAGGCACTCGAAGTAAATTTCAGTCCCACCCACTGTGGATTGCATGCCGATCTTGGTACACATGGTCCCTGCAGAAAATACCCGATCGAGATTCCCTTTCTTGATCTGCATATCGCTCGCGTGCATGTTGCGACATTTGACACGCCTTTCGTTTCCTTCTCTATATTCTGAACCTACGGGTACAGGCTGTTCTTTTATGCTTATTCTTTTCGTTGTCTATTATCTTGGGATTTTCTTTACACTGGTTTCTGGTAATCACATCAAGATGTACGTACGATAATGCCTTATACCCCGGGATCCCTTGCCTGCCTCTTCACATGTATATGCCTGGATTGGGATCTTGTTGGCATTGTCATGACTTGATTATTTTTTATGGATTACGATTCGGTCTGGACATAGCTCTTTTTCAGAGAAAAAATTATTTTGAAAGTAATTAAGAGCTATCTGGTATGCAAATAGCATGATAAGTCATGGACCCCGGAGGGCTATAGTCTGTTTCCCGACACATCATGGGGATTTTCGCCCTAAATATCTTCATAGTAGCTTTCATCCTGGTTCAGGAGGTAAAAGGCTTCGGGCTCTGGCTCTCCAGCACCACCCAACCACCTGGGAGTGGTCAAAGTCTTAGGCGTATCAGTGCGACGCTCGTTAGTGAAGACTGTTTCGAAGGTCTTCGCCCACTGAACACGGTTGTTAAGACCCTCCAGCTCCCACAGTTCCTGCAGGAAATGCAGAATAGAGCTGTGAGTGTAGGCGGAGTTATCCTCGTACATGGTACCCTGGTCGTGAATGAGAGTGTTGGCTTCAAGGTAGGGCGAAATAAGGAAGGCAGGAACGCTACAACCTGTTAGTGTTTATGCTCATGCTAAATTAAAATAATTGAACATACCGGACTCCCAGGCGGGTGAAGTCATATTGCACAACGTGACCATCGGAGGTACCGTTGAAAGTGATACCGTCCTTGGGCGCGGGCACGTTCATGGGTGGGGGGACGTGGTCAGCAAAGCCACCGTGCTCATCGAAGTTGATGATCAGCAAGCTATGAAATCAAATTAGCGCTTGTTTCTGGACTTTGCAGTGATGATATTTACGCGTTGTCCCAGTACTGAGAGCGGCGGAGCGCATCGTAAAGATGCTTGAGCATCTGCTCGCCGGATGCCATGGGGCTGGTCGGGTGCATGGAGTCAATGGTGCAGCACTCGGGGTTGATGTACGAGAAGGTGGGCAGAGTTCCCTCCTCAAGATCGGTGTAGAACTGGCTGGCGTGTGCAAGGCGGTCCATGGCATTGTCTTGAACCCACTGCGAGGGATTAGCAATTGCAAGTCATCTCTTCAGTTATCTGCTACTTACCTTGTACATGAACGCATCGACGATATCCGTCTCGTAGTACTATGGAAAGAATAGTTAGTTTCAACTTCATCGCAGCCTCATGAGATTGTCGCAACGTACGTTCTTCCAGGTGATGTTCTTCTTGGTCAAGGACTCGAAGATGGAAGTGGCGCAGGTAGTTCCGGTCACATTGTTCCAGAATCCGGACGCCTGGTTGGTGTTGTCAACAAAGCCGCAAGAAGATCCCGAAGTCGCAAACTGGCGGTTGACGTCGGTTGGGCCAGGGTGCTCAGCGAACTATATAATATCAGCACTGTTTGTCATGTCTCTCTAACCTGCAGGGCAACTTACATAAGAGTCAAAGAAAGCAAAGTTCTTTGCCAGCTCGGCCAGAAGAGCAGTCTTCTTCTCATCGTAGGCCATGATGACAAAAGAGGCATCGCCGGGAGTCTCACTGTACTTCTCGGACTGGCGCTCAATGAAACCACTCATATCAGGAGTGTCATCGTTGGTGGGATTCCACTTGCGGAAGATCTCGTAGCTGGTACCAGCAAAGTTGTGATCAGGATCCTTCAGTGGCACCTCAGTCTCGTAAGGAGCTGCGCAAATATTCAATGGCTCGTCCCAAACTGTCCAATTGGAATTGGTGTACTCATTGCAGAAAGTACGGTTGCGCAGGTTGTTGATTTCCGGGTGGAAGTCCCAGTAACCAGCAATGTTATCGAAAGAGTGGTTCTCGAGGGTCAGGTAGATAACGTGCTTGATCTGTGTTAAGATAGAGTGAGCAAAATGCCATTGGTATACTTGAAGTAAAGTATCCACGTACGTTCTTACGCAGGTTGGTCCACGCTTTAGTATTGCCCGTCGGAGCAGCCGAAGCTACCGCGAGCAGAGCTGAGAGCGAAGCTAAAGTCCAAGTAGTCTTCATGCTTGCGATTGTCACTGTGAAGTGAAATGAATTTGCAAGGATCTCTTCTGGGGTTCTCCACAAGATAAGATGTAGAGGGAAGAAGAGATCTTTTATACTGAGAATATTGAATTACAACTAGCCACCAATTCTTGGCTCATAGCTCTTACTTTGCCTACATTTTGAATCCTGTATCGGCGTGCTCCGTTTTTTCTACACTTCAGCAAGGACACGCGCAACGCATCCGTTCTAAGTAGCTTAGACCGAAGCTAGAGAGAGCACGAGGCAAAAGCCGGCCGCTAATTGCCTACTCCAACCAGTAGGGATATAGCCGAAGTCCTATCAAGGCCGGAGGATTCGGCACGATCCCCACGACATGAGTAACTGATTCCCCATTCTTGCCAAAGTGGGGTGAAAAGGCAAGCTAGCGTCTTCCTGATAAGGATGCATTTCGCTTAAGAAGCGGGATTTAATTAAAAGATTCGACACGTGCGGGCGAGATACAAAAAAAATCATTCATTTGCTGTATAAACTCGTTGTTTGAGAGCAAATGGAAGTTTTTCAAAATTCAGGTACATGCGCGTGTTGACACTACGATCGCATGTACCTGCTGCGGCGTGGCTTCTAGAGCCTATGGATTCCGCTTCCATGCAATCTAGTCAAGTTGAAATGAGTGTCGAATGAGGAAGTGTTAAGTGGGTCTCCACTGGCCCACCGCTGACATTGCTCATTATATGATTGGTTGGGCGTAATCGGCTCTGGACAAATAAGCACCGGTGGCCCCACTTGTCTCCACTCGGACCATTCATGTAGCCGAAGCTCCTCGAATCAGCGTTGCACGTGCCTGGTGTTGCATCTGGCCCCGGGGCCAATGTTGATTTTAGTACAAAAATCGCCAAGCACGTTTTGCCTGGAAAGGTTGTGATGGGCTTATGTCTCCGCACGAGCGTTGCACTTCCAAGCGAGGCACACGCTCATTGTCCCTCTTAAGTCCGGTCATTGCCGATTTCCCTCTTGTTTTTCTTGATCGCTACATTTCAAAACAAATCTCATCCCTTGCTTGACAATGTCCATCACCTCAATCAGCGGCCTCATGTCTAGCTATTCGCCCTTGTCAGGTCGGTCCTCGTCCGTGGAGGATGAGAAAGAATCGCACCTCCGACTGAATCCCGATGTGGAAGCTGGTGAGAAGCAAGTGACCGAGAAGAAAAGCCGTTGGATCGATGGCCGTACTGTCTCCGATGCCATTATTGGCCTGTCCGACGGTATGACCGTGCCTTTTGCTCTCACTGCTGGCCTCTCTGCGCTGGGCGACACTAAAGTTGTTGTCTTTGGTGGCATGGCCGAGCTCATTGCGGGTGCTATCTCCATGGGTCTTGGTGGTTATCTAGGAGCCAAAAGTGAAGAGTATGTACCCCGCACGAAAGATCAACACAGTCAAACAGTGGTTGCAAACCACGCAAATAGGATCAAGTTGTTAACATTACGCAGGGAATCATACAAGGCGACACTCAAAGAAACTCAAACACAAACCATGACCGACCCTGCGTCCATCACTGGTACAATTTCCGAGATCTTCGAGCCTTACGAGCTACCATCTGAACTGGTTTCCCAACTCACCAACCACCTCTCCGCCTCGCCTCTGCTCCCTTCTTTCCTCATGAACTTCCAACACACACTCCCTGAACCATCAGAATCTCGTGCCGTCATTTGCGCCTTAACAATTGCTCTGGGTTACTTCATTGGTGGCTTCGTGCCCCTTCTGCCTTACTTTTTTGTCGGTCCCCACGAGGCCTTCATTGCTCTCCGCTGGTCTATTGCTACTATGGTCGTTGCTCTCTTCATCTTCGGGTACGGCAAAACCTGCTTCGTGTGTGGCTGGCGCGGTCGCCGAAACATCCGTAAAGGTGTAGTGGGTGGTGTCCAGATGGTTCTCGTCGGAGGTCTTGCGGCCGGCTCAGCAATGGGTCTTGTCAAGGCATTCTCGATGCTAGCTGATGGTGGTCACCCTCACCCAGACCACCAATGATCACAATGTGACCTTAAAACCTTCTTAATTTGCACTTTTTTCTGTTTTATGGCGTTGGTGGAATAGGCATTTTCGATATCATACGAAATGGGCGTTCAGCGGTTCTCTTTTTTACACAAGCTTCAACAATTGTGGCTGGAGGTGGTCTAGGTTCAAAAATATCCTCAGTTAACAGCCCTTGCTAGTGGGTCGAGCTATCTAACACAATTCGATCCTCAAATCAACATTTTCTCTTCAAGATCGATATTAACTTTCTGCTCCAATTGTATAAACACCAGTACTACTTTGGCACTCGATAAAACGTCCTCCATCGTATATTGGCTTTGTGCAGCCCCTCTCATCTGCTCACGTTTGAATTGTTCGCCACTAAGACTAATGACTATGTACATGAAACGTCTCCACAGAGACCACATGAAATGAGGCGGTGGCAAACTCGTGGGGGGCAATCCTCTATATTAGGCGATCCGCCAAATACGAGTGAAGCTTACACGAGTCCTATTTAGGTATGTTCATATTGCCGGCGGCGAATTTGAGTAAGCAACAGACCCCACAAAATAAGCATGACAACTTGGAATACTCCGTCCACACGACATGAACGTAGATAAGAGCTGTGGGCGCCGGGGGCCGGGGGCTATAAAAAAAGGGGGCCATCAAGGCGCATTAAAGTGAGATTTTAAAATGCTTGATTGTCTAGGTCCATGCGCTAGGTCACACGGCCCCCACTATGTTCAACGTCAACTGGTGCCGAAAAAGAGGCTATACAATATGTAGCAAATGAATTATTGGGATGCAATTTGGGGTGTTATATGTTGCACGACAGGCGCGAGAGAATGAAAAGAAAGTAGACTGCAAAAAGAAGCAACAGAGATAATACAGCAAAGTTACAGAACAGTATGTGTGCCACCAGAGATCGAATTCCTCCAGTCCTTACTTGTCCTCAAGTGTAACAGTAATGGCCTGGACCTGGTTGTCCAAGCCAGCAAAGTATCGTGATGTTTTATAGCTGGATGAACAAGCCTGTTAGTCTTTCCCATAGTCGCGATATCACACACAGACAAGGACTTACTGCCAGCTACTTGCTCCAGTGCGGAAATCTTTACAGGCTCTGACAAGTCGGCAAGCCTCTTCTTTCTGTTCGTCGGGGACCAGCTGAAGTAATTCATCTTCCAGATGTCCAAATTTCAAGTAGCTGGCATGGATCAGAGCGGCAGTTTCATCGATTGCCTTTTGAGCTCCCAGGGCTTTCTGGTGAGCGAGAATCGGAACATAACTCTCGATGTGGCCATGTTTCTTGAAATTCTATCAGCCGATGTACTTGAATTTTGGTGGGGGGGGGGCGTACTATTTCTTTCACAAATGATAGCATATCATTTTCCCTAAAGCGTGATTTCAGCACTGAGTTAGTGAGCCTTGTGAATGGGACTAGAGCAATATTTCACGCACAGGGAAGACATGATATTGGTTTGGTGCATTAGTTGTTTGACTATCTCATGTCCCAGTATCCAGTCTGGTAATTCAATATGAATTGCAGACCTTGGTATTTTGTCAGTATAACACTTAAACATGGGAGTGTCAGGAAAACTTACAAGGTAATCCACAGAGATGGGTATACTCCCGATGTTTCCATCCGATTGGTAAAGTAGCTATCCAAGTCTAGAATCTGCCCAGAGTTGCAGGTTGCACCGCCATCCACGGCCACCTTGATAAATCGACAGATTGATTCACAGAGCAATTCGCGAAAGAGGGCTTGCAATTATTTATATTAGTTGAGACATGATCAAAGTTTCGGAAGACGTACGTTGTTGAACAGCTTGACGGATCTCAGACCCAATTGTATAGAGCCCTTGGGCAAGTGAATAATTCGGTGCCAAGACTGCTGGGTCATGATCCACGCCATCTTCACTAAGAAGACTGTAGTGCGCACATCTGAGAGCCTCGTCACGATAAATATCTCTGTCCGCATCTTTTCCTTTGAAATAGTCGTGATCGATTGCTACTGTGTATCAGCTTGGGGTATCGCATGCAGGAATAGGATTCGTTACCGTCATCGTAAGCAAAAACCTACCAACATCATTAGAAGTTAGTCAAGATTATACCTTCTGAATGGATTCGACGAGCCTTCTTACCCAGCAGCACCATTTAGCAACGCAAGAAAGCCCCTTCAATTCCGCCTCTGGAGCAATGCTGCGTGAGAGCAGAGACACGTTTACTTTCTGGTTGGTTCGGCGCAAGTCATCACTAGCGATGTATCTTGAAATGAAAGGACAAAAATCAGCTACTTTGATCAAACTGCAATGCCAAGAGCAATGTATACTTTTGCTGCCATTCCACAATGGAATTTTCCAAATCCGGCTGACAGTTGATGTTGAGGCGAGGTTCCCAGCCAGGCGTTAAAGACAAAACATTGGGAATAGTGACACGTTGGCCATTGAAGAGCCTTCCCAGCTTGGTAGTGGAGGTCTCAATGAATGAAGCAGTCATTATGAGGCTTGACTTGGGTAGGGAGTCGTATATTCTGTGGGCAGGGTACTGTACAATTTTAGAAATATATAAGCGAAGCAGGCTTGAACTTGCCAGTGCATGAAACAAAAGTAAATCTCCCCGGAACACCCATACTGCTTAAGTATCTAAGTTCACAGCTATCTAGAATTTAAACCTTCAACGCTAATGTCAATCTCACGGGGCTGTGGACCTCGCGAGATCACTAGATGAATCGACCGGCGTCTCCATCTCCGGGATTTGGATGCACAAGGCTTCTTTCGGTAGGTTAGGCTTGCACTATATTTGTCTGTATATACCTATCGTGCTACTTAATTCACTATTGGTTGCACAAGTCGAATTCCTATCGAATGAGCTTGCTCAATTCGATGCCGTTCGCCACTATCAGCCATCGAAATGCACATGAACTTAGGTTCGGACCGGGTAAAATGACTAAGAGCAATGAATGAAAATTTTGCAGCAGAGTATGGGTCTACCAGAGATTGAAAGGTCAAGCATGACATTGCCGAGCACCAATCAAAGAGAGTAGGATCTACGTTATTGTCCAGGGTGGGCCAGCGGCAGCGATCTTCGGTGAGAGGTACGCGATAGTGAAGGATCAGCCACCAATTGAAGAGCGTTCCAATCCTTCAACAACAGAAAAGCCACAAATGGCCTTAATCCAAGACCTGCATTCAAACGATTGCTTTACTATTGCCTCAACCAGCTCCATATATATACTGTATACATATTGAATAATGGGATCACATAATGCCGAAATATGGAACAAGATATTGACTTGGCGTTCCTAGTGCCGATGCTACCAGTCAGCTATAATCCCAAAAGTATTTTGTGCATATTGAGCGTGGCTCCATTCACATGATAGCCATCAGTCAACCTTTCAAGGCTCTAAATTTTGCAGATCAAAGAAAGAAATAGACAAAAAAAAAGTTAGGCTATAAAGGCTAGAGGCATATGATTGTGCATAAATAGAAGTAAACGTCACTATGCTATATTAGGTATAGTCAAAGCCCACTCAGGAAGGAAGTCAAGAGGCCATTGCTGATCCAGTGCCATATCCGGTGTTGATTTCTGATCTCATTTTCACATCATATATGCTCGGCTAATACATTACTGTCATATTTCTCGCTCTCGCTTTCTGTCCCGTTGTTGGTTTCTCACTCTCACTCTCACTCGCTTTCTCCCCAGCTTGTGATCGTTTAGAGGATTGACTCTGCTCTCTCTGCTCTCTCTGCTCTCTCTTTTTTATTAATTTTTTTTGAATTTCTTTTATATTGAACCAGACTCGTCTTGATTACGTAGTTTTAATTATCAACTAGATCTCCGATTGGCTAGTAAATTCGAAGAGCGATTAAACGTGCTTTGGATACTGTGCATCGAAGAGCCCCATTGTTGAATTGCTGTGTACGGAGAAATTTCGGAGTTTATGTCTTAGGTTACACGAAATCCTTATTCTATGCAACATGGGATGAAAGGGGAATAGACTCATGCACTGAACTCAATCGGGGGCTGATCGGCTATGCAAGCCTCTTATATAATCGACCAGCAGGAACTTTAGAACCTGGGATATCGATCATATTGATCAATTAGCGGGTTCTGTGCCGCTAATCCAGTGTGAGTTATTGTGTGAGATTATACTAGAATCCCGAAAAACATGGCAAGCTGATAGGGAAATCTCCTTGGGCTTTAGATACTAGAAGCCAAGTCACTGCGTTCTTACATTCAGACTCGTGGGCTAGGAGTCGTAGAAATAGGCACCGCCTGGAGAATTTGAGTAATATTTTCTAGGTAATGTTTGGGACCAGTATCTGAGAACTGCTTTGTGAATATGTAGCCGATCCTAGGCCAGAGGTAGCTATAAATATCTACTGCTGGGTGTCGTCAAAATGAGAGTAAAGAACGGATCTTAACGAATTAATAGACCAGTAGGTGAGCATTAGCGTCCCGGTCCAGGGAAACGTAATAGGTTGCCCCATTCATCAAAGTTAACACAATGCATAGATAGAGACCACTCACTACCAATTTGGGGTGAAGATTTATCAGATCAAGGACACGGACCCCGGGGAATGTGATAAACATCAACACCGGCTGGCTACTAGGTTTCACGCTGATCAATGCATTTCTGATCGACATTTGTTATTCACAGATTATCTCGCTTGGACTCGGCAGCCATTCCATGCACATGTGGGCATATAAGGAATATCGATTCGTTGCACTTTGGAATTAGACAAGTCATAATCACTCAAGTGCCCACAAATAAGCCCCCTTCCACCCGACCGGAGTTCCGAAAACCACAGTCATGTTTTGTTTGATTTCCCCAGGTATGATGTATGAAAGACACTCCAATTGCGTCATCGTACCTCCACAAAAAAGAACCGCCCACAGAACCGGCTACCATATCCGATGAAATCAATCAAGTTTGCAGAGGCAAGGCTCTAATCAGTCTGTATTGTAAGTGTACTATTGTTTTCCTTTCCTTTCGTGACAAGACAATGGCACATACCGGCATGGTGTTGTGTTGACCCCACCAGATGTGGGGGTGTGGCATGATGTGCTCTTCAGTGATTCACAAAGATCGACCATGCACATGACTCCCTTGTCGATCATATTATCGTTGAACTATTAACAGTGGCCACAAGGCTGATTCTACGATGTTGAAACTTGTCAGGAATCCTGGCTGTGCTATGCCAAGCATGGGGTTTGTGTGGCTGTAAGGGGCTGTTGCCTCTGCTCTACAGGCATAGCCACCTGGTTCAAAGCACGTTTGGGGACCGGTTAGCTCCGAGGTGAATTCCTTGGAGTAGGTTATTTTGGTGAAAGGAACTTAGAAGTCTAAAATTATCTCACTCTTTGGCCCCAAAATTCGCAAGGCTGTTGCTTCTCTACGGGGCATTGCCCCATGAGTATGCTGGGCAACTCCGACGGACTCTGCCAGCTTTCCGTATACAGTATTTGAGGATCAAGCTTACTTCCTTGACAATATCCATGAAGATGTCATCGTTCAGTCAAGCGAGGGAGGTACAAGATAAAGCAGGGGCTACAACAAGTAAGTCCGCATTGCAGCTCTTAAAACGCTGAGCGCTGTCAGCTGTTCCGCGCAAGGATTGAGCATAGAGCAAGAATAATGACGCGATGCCTCCAGCGTCCAGCTAACAAGGCTGCAGCGCAGTCAAAAGAATGTTGATAACCCCAATGCAATTGCTGAAATGAGGCACTATGCAGCGCAATAAAGCGCAAACCTTAAATCTCGATCCCAAAATAGGCGTAAGCTACATTTGTACACGTGTAAGCCCTCACCTCAACTTCGGTCCCCATTCCAGTAATCTGCTTGTTCAACGGTCTTCTCCTGCAGGCTGACCTCATACGTGTCTCCACAACATGTGGCGCAGACACGTCTTCATATAAGTGAGGGACCAGCGTTATCGTATCCACTTTACTCCAGGCAACCACATGGATTGATATGGAAAGAACGCAAAACGAATACGATCTGACCTACACAGCCCTGAGTAGTATTACGCTGTCACGAATGTTGATTCAATCATTCGTGACGTGAATGTTTCAAGGTGGACAAAACGGTATACTTTGACGTAAGCGCCACGGGTGTGAGGCTGGTTGGTATTATTTGTGATTGGTCTCGGTCGCGCGACGTTGAGATCTGAAACGTGGGTCATTAATTCGTCCTGGGGATTTGATACGGTCCTTTAATAGTTATTTATCCAATAAGAGTGTTTGAAATTTTCATTTTAGATTCGCAGAAATGAATGGAACTAAGCTCAATATTCGGCCTTTTCGGGTCTACATTTAGAACGTCATTCAGCTTCATAGAAGTGAGGTGAACTATTGACTGACCTATATTCAGATCGATAGCTTTTGAGATTTCAAAGTTGACTTTATCTGTAGGTATGAAAATCGGTCCTTCCAAGATCTCGAATGGGGTTGGTAGATAGGCTCCAACTCAGTTTCCATGGATTCTCAACTTAACCCAGCATCCGCCGCTCGGAAGAGCCGCGGCTGTAACATCTGTGCAGAATTACGTCTTAGAGTACGGACAGTTCCAATTCAAGTAGTTTTTCAGGTGCAGTTCTCTAGTCTCGTTCCTCCAAGCACCATGATGGATTATTTGGCCTTGAAGAAAAAGGTCCTAGAATCGACGACACCTAGAATGTATCAAACGCATCTTGATGCCGAAGCGATCAATTCAGCAGATCCATTCGCTCAAGAGATCATGATCGTCATAATTTCTCTCGGCTGCATCTTCCTTTACTTCATGTGGTACTGGTGGACAACTAGGACATCTAAGAGTAAGTATGAGTATCAGCTATTTTGGGCATGGTTCCTAACTTGAAAGGGATAAAAGCCATCGAGCATAGACCAAGCGACTGCGAGAATCGATATATCGAATCGCAAGTGAAACGGCCCCGTTCATGCAAACCCAGCTCTGTATCCAGCTCTGTATCCACTCTTCTGCCCAAGTAATTTCAGCAACGATGCCAGTACCCGAGCCCTACACGTGTCTTCGGATGCAGCGCAAGCTGGTCTGACTGTACTGTGCCGGTGCATGGCTACAAAGCACTGCGATCGCTCGAATCAGAGGACAAAGACACTTTGAATACGGCGAAATTGCTCTTGACAGGTCGCCTTGTCAGGTTGGAGCTTTGGCCCCCTTGAAGAGATTGTGATTGGCCATATTTGTGCGACTTTGGAATTTTGAAACTGGGGGCGACAAACTAGGCCATGATCGGCTTCAAGATATCCAGCTCCCGTGTTTAGTGAAAGTTTACGGGAAATTGGATTGGATTCCGGAGTTTTATTGAAACCACGTTAGTAACTAGTAGTAACTAAAGAATGATATTAAAAACGGAGGCTGGGCATCCCTGAGACTTGTAGCTGCACATCTTCATTTACGGCCCGGAACTAAACCACAATGGTGTGCCGTGCAGAGTTTGTCCCTGAGTTTTACTAATAGATTCTACACCATCTGCCGTGGCCTTCCCTCGACAAGGGATGAGAAGCTGTCAGCCAACGCGACCACCTACTTTTACTGAATTTTGAAAACAATAATTCAAGCCACACACGCGCTCCCCCGCGACCGTTGGCGATCATACGGGTCATGGGGACCCTGTACCTGAGCACCCGTGAAACATGAATACCCGCGCAACCGCGTTGTTTAGACAGGTCGCCTGGAATCACCAGGGACAACGGACTTCTGAGTAATACGGTTGAATTGGACAAGGAAGCTGTACAACAGTGGACTAAGCGAAATTGGGCATGAGGATCTGGTGCTTCCTGTTGGATACTGTAATTGAACGATGGGGCCGCGGAAGGGGAGGGTGGGCCAATCGGCCTTTCGCTATGGATCTTATATTGAAAATTTGCGTCTCAACCAATACAGGCCCCCTTTGGATCTGGTAATCGTACCTGGGTCCTGACTAGATTTTTTTTTGCAGTGTATTGTAACGCTCTGTTTTTGGTTAGGCTCACCTTTTTGGCCCTTTTGGCCCTCTTGACCCTTTTTGTACTATTCTTTGAATTTTTGTATTCGATACGAAGCTACTCGTACCTACTGGCTAGGTTTATTAGTGATGATGACTATGAGAAACTTGGAAGAGAAGCTCAAGTTGTGACGGAAGATCGAAAAGATGACGATGAGAAATTTTCAGGTTCTCTTCGACCTCGGGTTTTGGAGATTCTAAAGTCAGCGGATGTGCTTGTTCATAATCTCCGTTGTGATCTCTCATGCATCAGCCTCTCGGCCCCCATTGACTCCGTTCCGTCGCATCCGCCCGGCACCGTCGGGACCTCGTATCGGTATTGTCTGCCACATTATCCCTCAGTATAAGCCAGAATTGAGATCATTGAGAGACAGATTATTGTAAAGAAACAACAAAAGATCAAAGCTCTAAGTGTAGACCATACGTAGTAAAGGTTCGGACCCGAAAATTCCCAAATTCGAACATGGTTACAATAGGGGCCGAGGACTAGTGACGCCATGGACTTTTATTGCGGCGCCAAACTTGGAACGGTGTAATACGGATACGGAAATTACGGGATCCCAATCTCTTCCCCTTCTTAATCCTTACCTATCCCCCCTCTCATTTCTCTTTCTTGTTTGCTCTTTATGTTTCTTTACGGCTCGGCGCCTTACTTCAATCCGGTCACTCCCATCCCATGCCGGTCGGTCAACGTTGATCTCCTCTGCGATTTCCTTCCGTCTCATCCCGCGGCATCCCTCGAAACCTTCCCCCCTTCTACATTCGAGTGATTCCAGAGCCTCCTAGAGGGGACTCACGCCGCGAAGATGTCTACCTTTCCCTCATGGAAGGATCGCACACAAAATCAGTTCGGCAAACTTCAGATCCAAGTGCCATGGCGCTCATTCAAGCTCCTGGTGCCGCATCGCATGCGCCGCAAGATCCGCTCAAAGCTTCGGAGTCGCTTATCGCCAACCTCGTCCATCTCGACATTGCAGACCTCATTTTCTCCCTTCGATACTCTGCGATCACTTCAATCCCATCGATGGACGGTGTATGATTTCCAGTACCTCCTGTTGCTTATTATCGGCATCTTCTCCCTGACCGTCATGCAATCACCCGGCCCGCTTGGGAAGACCGCTATTTCGAGCCTTCTCCTGTTCTCGCTACTTATGCCCATCACACGGCAGTTCTTTCTGCCCTTTCTGCCCGTTGCTGGGTGGCTTATCTTTTTCTACGCTTGCCAGTATGTCTCACCTTTTTTTTCGCCCCACGTGACGTTATCATTGCGCGTCTCGGTGGTCACATCGTGAAAGCCCATTGGGGACTTTCGCGTCAATCATCCGGGAGAAAAGCTAACAAATTGCTTCATAGGTTCGTTCCGAGCGACTGGAGACCCGCAATTTGGGTCCGAGTGCTACCCGCGATGGAAAACATCCTATACGGTGCCAACATCAGCAATATCCTCTCGGCCCACCAAAACGTGGTGTTGGACATTTTGGCATGGATTCCCTACGGTCTTTGCCACTATGGCGCGCCCTTTGTCGTCTCTTTAATTCTTTTCGTCTTCGGTCCTCCCGGTACTACTCCACTTTTCGCCCGGACTCTCGGCTACATCAGCATGGTGGCCGTCACCGTTCAGTTGGTGTTCCCGTGCTCTCCCCCGTGGTATGAGAATCTGTACGGCCTCGCTCCTGCGGACTACTCGATGCAGGGAAACCCCGCTGGTCTTGCTCGCATCGACAAGCTGCTTGGAATCGACCTGTACACCTCTGGATTCAAGCAGTCCCCCGTTGTGTTCGGTGCTTTTCCCTCGCTTCACGCTGCTGATTCCACCCTCGCGGCTCTCTTCATGAGCCACGTCTTCCCTCGAATGAAGTTCCTCTGGGTCACATATACTCTCTGGATGTGGTGGGCTACCATGTACCTTTCTCACCACTATGCGGTTGATCTGGTCTGTGGTGGTCTGCTCGCCACTGTGGCCTTCTACTTTGCTAAGACTCGCTTCCTTCCTCGCGTCCAACTCGACAAGAACTTCCGCTGGGACTACGACTACGTGGAGGTTGGCGACGCCTCGCGTGAGTTTGGCTATGACCTCGCCAGCCTCGACGGTGACTTCAATCTGGACAGCGATGAGTGGACCGTTGGTTCTTCCTCCTCGGTTTCCTCCGGCTCCCTCAGCCCCGTCGATGACCATTACACCTGGGAAAGCGAAACCCTCACCTCAAACCACGACCACCACGACCTTGAAGCTGGTCGCTAATTCCAGTGGTATGCAAATACCCTGTTCGACCTGTTGATTATTGCATCTTATTTTTTCACGGCGTTCTACTTTTGACGATCATGTTGGACCACTATATGCATTGAACCATTTTCGACACCTAAAGGTTTTTAATCCTATTGGAAACCTCCGGTTCGCGCGGCACCCAATCCGCCTTGAGCCGAAGGTTATCTACCTTCTGGCTGTACATGCCTCGTCACTTCTAAGTGACAAACTCCGTCTATAATACTAATTCCGGTGGTGGGCCTTACCTGGGGCTTTTTTGCGTCTTCCGCAATCACCACCGTTTGGAAACATTCGCTTGTACAGACGCAGACGTCCCCCTTGGGACGATCTGCACTTTTATCTTTTTCTGACCCATGTCTTTCGCTACGACTTCTTGCACGGGCCACCTTTTTACTTTGCTTCTCGGCTCGTGCACATGCACAAACATTTTATCATTCGTGTCGATCGCTTATGACCGGCGTCTGGGAAACGGCTTTTTATGGAACAAAAAGTTTCGGCGCCTCTTGCTTGCACTACACTCGCTGTGCATTAGAACTTTGGATATTTTTGCTTTTGAGGACATTTTTATTGCATCGGCACATAGAAAGAGAAGGGTTGCAACTTGGACCGTGAAATCGGTCTAACCTTCGTTATGGTGCCTTCACCGCTGGCAGGTCAAAACCGGCGTCGGCATCGGGTGGTTCCTACTGGAATCTTCCCTGGGAACATCAAGTAGCTTTCGTCTGGCAAGGAACTCCTCGCGGATGAACTTGCAACACGGACTACTGCGGCACACTGAGAGGAAAATGGGATTCGACGGAGCCCATTTCTCTCCTAGCTCATGCCGATCTCTTCGCCTCTGGCTTTGAATAAGGCACGATCCAGCTCAGGCATAACATGCACTCACTCCGCCCACCTAACACCTAATATCTTGTGTTCTGTTCCTCTCTCCCCTGTTGAGAGGGCGTGGTGCATGTGCGATCGGCCGGCCTACCTTTTTGGGGACGATCGCGTTGGCGTATCGTTATTATTCTTAAACTCTAGAGGATGAAGTTATGAATTGTACATTACATTATTATCCCACACCGCACCTTGTAAAACCTTGCATTAATACACAAATACCCCGGTAAATTCTCACCGTACCAATCTTCCTACCCAATACCGATTTCAACTTGGCACGTACAGTATTATCATGCAGCCCGTAATTGTGTCCCTCACTCCACTCAGACCACTAATTTGGCTCAGTGCAGATCATCATGACCCTTGCAAGTTTTTGGCCCCCGCTTTTGGATCATGCAGATCACCGGTCATCATCTGTTCACTCGTCGATCCCACGGGCAAAATTCGCATGTGCCCTTCCGAGGCTGGGTCTCAAATTCGGGAATACATCGTGTGCTGTGGCATACCAACCTTTTAGCGAGGGAGAGTTACTTACATGCTGCAGTCACATCTGACCTACATTGGTTTTCTGCGCTGAGTCATTTGCGCAAATTCTCGTATTCTACGGTAGCTGCACACATTATCTTTTGAAATAGCATGAACAGGGATGCCCTGATGCTCTGACTGGCTATTGAGTCTGCAGACTAGAGCTAATGTATGTATGGTCAACCCAGTATATGGAGACTATGGTATTTTAAATATTACATACCTATATTACAATTCTACTTCTAATGTGATATCACCCCTAGGTCATTATTATCCAGAGCTTGTTCCAAGGTTAAAATACGGAACCATTCTTGCACATGTTTTCCACGTAGCTTCGACCTTCCAGGTCCACAAGCCATCCCCCACAGCAAAGCTTCTGTAAGCTCCGCCTGACTATCCCTAGCTCCCATCGCAAAAGTTACTTCCTAGCTTAGTGCATCACGCTCGAATGAGCAAAGAGACTTATGACCACGATAGACTTGTAATACGAGAAACTTAAAAAACGAAGGTCTATACTTGTCGTGTTATGGCAGTACACGGAGTCTGTCCATGGGTTTAGGTACGCCCTGTGGGGCTTACTGATGAGTCGGCGATAACCTGGTGTCGGTCCTTAAAGCCGGTATCTCAATATATAATTTCGCGATTGTGCAGTATACATGAGCTGCCTAAGTACTATCTGCATTGATTGTATCATTATATATACCAATCTGGCATGCAGACTCATAGTTGGATGCTGAGATGGTTCTTTTGGTACAATTACGAACATAGCAAAGGAATTAAAAAGTGGTCGTAAAAGCAGGCTGAGCCCTGTAGCATTACCAAGTCTATTTGTCGTCAAAGATCTTTACACGGTCCGCGTACTCGCGGATATTAGACACAAAGGTCTCCTCGATTTCATCGCCTCTGCCGCCGGCTACACGGAGGATAAGGTCATTTAATGAGGCACGACCAAGAATATCGACATGGTCACCTGGTCATATGGTTAGTGGTTGCATAACATAATTGTTCGGAGAAATTATGAACATACCAGTGTTAGGTCCGCCGCGAGGCGAAAAGCGATCCGGTTCGTGTGGCATCTCAAAGACCTTAATCTTTGAGCCGGCTGGGTTATACCGTTTCATGCGCCAGCCCTTGGCACACATGTAGCCCGTGCTAAGTAGGTTCACAGTGCCATCACCCTCACCCATGTTGACACCATGGTCAACTTTTTCATCTATTGTGACAGTGGTATCGATGCTGACGTTGAGATTGACTAGCGGGTCCATCTCCTCCTGGTACCAGTAGCTGCGCTCGGTGGGCTTTCCTACGCCGTAGAAGCAGTAGATCTTCAAGTCTGGTGCATAAGGCAGCCGGGTCTCGAGTGGGTTCAGCCACGTGCGAGGATCTTTCTCGTTGGCCTCAACTTCGGCTGCGGTGTGTGCGACACCGTGTGAGTAACTTTCCAGTACCTGATTACGGTACCAGTCCTCGCTTTGGTCCAGAAGGTACTGTAGACTCTCAGGTGCGGTGAGATTGCGGCGCGTCCAAGATGAGTTGGTCTCGCGGAAGTTAAGTAGGTTGCCAAAGCTCATCAACTGGCCTGGCTGGTCATCCGGCGCCCACGTTGCGTTACCCCATACAGCTTCGCCGCCCTTGGGCAACATGCTAGAAATGCCTGGCATGGCGCGGAAGATTTCAGCTCGCTCTTCCTTGGACAGGAACTTTTCAAGTCCATATACAGCAAAGGCATTTAGTTGCGCTGTGTCACGCATCTCTCCTGATAGCACAGCCGTCAAGCCTTTAACAGCACCAAGCATGCATCCGCTGATGTTGATCCAGGAGTCGATATGCTTGTTCACCCAGTCCTTACCGCCCTTGCCATGCTCTTGGCTCTCTACCCACTTAAAAAAGTATAGCACGACCTGTGACCCCATACTGTGCGATGTCAAAGTGACCTTCTCGCCTTGCACCTGCACCGCGGTCTCGATATATGACTTGAGCCGACTGAAGTATTGATCGCGGACTTCCAGGTTCGGGTATGAGAGCCGCCAGTCGTATGCGGCCGTGAAAGCGTTTGTTGGATCATAGCCAATTGTCGCTAGGTTTTCCAAGATCTTATTCCAGATCCAGTATCCCGTGATAAAGAAGTCGGTCGCATCGAAGCCCTGGGCCGCACGCAGCTTGATACCGGGCGGGTCCAAGCCAGTCTCACGATCAAGCATGACGTGGTTCTTCCATTCTGCCTTGTCCATAACCAGTGCCCGCATCATGCTCCAACTGCCCCATAATCTCTTACGGAAGTATTGACGCGAAGTATCTCCCGTTCCCCAACTCTCGAGGCCCGTGGAAATAACTCCAGGGATCATCACGACAGGGTGTTTTGCTTCAATACCTTGTGATCGGAGGTGTAGGCCGATTGCGAAAGAATCGTAATTGACGGCGTCGCGCTCATGTTGCTGTAGCAGCTAGACCGATTAGCGGGCTGGCCGGATAGTAAACAGCAAGCTACAGAGTATGGGATTACAATACCGAGAACTCCTTCGCATCACTCATAATTGCCTGTGGAATGGCATCGATCAAGGTATCGAGATTCAAGTCCAACAGCGACTCCAAGCTAATGACTTCCTGCTGGTTCGCGAAAAACACCGCAATGAAGATGCCGAAGAGGCCGCCCAGCGCGAAGATCAGCCCATTGCGACGCTTGCTCCGCCGCGGTTGTTGAATCACCAGCTGCTTGACCTTCACGCCATCAAATTCCGCGCGAAGCTTGTCCTCTTCTGTCTGTGATTTCAGATCCCGGTTGTTGCCGTCGATGGACGGGGTGTCGTCCTTGCCCGCGCGGCGGCGCAACATAGCGACCGCTCAGAAAAAAGAGGGCGTGAACCGAACCAAACTCAATTGATTGGCAGAAAGAAGCTCGCCGAAAGGGTAAACACAGGTAGCAACAGTAACCTAGGGAGGATCGAAAGGGAAAAAATAATTAAAATGGGATGTATCGTTTACGGGACGATCGGCGTCACATGGCAATCCAGTCCACTATGGTTTCCGCCTTGTGATTCCAGGTTATCTTGCTATCGCTTCCCCACCTCCCCTCCAGCTCCTCCAACCATTCGGGCACACCTCGACCTTCGATGACTCCGGAATGAGCCAAGATGCCCCCTCTCCCCTCCGCTATGTGCGGTATGAAAGTGCTCGCGAAAACGAGTATGTCGCTGCAATGCGCCAGCTGATCTCCAAGGATCTCTCCGAGCCCTACAGCATCTACGTTTACCGCTATTTCCTCTACCAGTGGGGCGACCTTTGTTTCTTGGCGATGGATGACAAAAATGAGATGGTTGGAGTCGTGGTATCAAAACTCGAGCCGCATCGCAGCGGTCCACTCCGGGGGTATATCGCCATGCTGGCCGTGCGCGAGGAGTACCGGGGTAGGGGCATTGCGACGAAGCTGGTGCGCATGGCCATTGATGCAATGATTGAGCGGAATGCAGATGAGGTTTGTCCTGGCTCCATGGGAGTTTATTGCACTGTTCTTTGCTGACCAGCGTCGCGCATAACAGATCGTCCTCGAGACCGAGATAACAAACACTGCGGCGATGAAACTGTACGAACGGCTTGGCTTCCTTCGCAGCAAGCGACTCCATCGATACTATTTGAACGGAAACTCTGCCTATCGGCTTGTTCTATATTTGAAAGAAGGCGTTGGCTCGATTCGACCGCCCTACGAGTCCTACATGCCGCCACCGCCGCCGGTGATGACAGAGCCGCCCGCTGCTGTTCCTGGTCTTGGGAATGGTAATCCTTGGTGAGGGCGTTCATTGAAGGGATAACTGTAGCTTGTCTGGATAGGTCAAGCAATGCCATGATGATGCGAAATGACTAGAAAAGATAGATTTGCATTCTTACATGGAACCGGCGTCTGGATTGAATGTCAGGATATCCTTTTGCTACAATCGCAATTAGCATTCAGGTGAATAAAAAGGCCTTTGACCTGACACATGGCTATTCTTCATATGTCTGTTGTTCTTTGGGCCAACATCATCTTCAATCTAGTCCTGATGATATCTCCTAAGGTTGGACACAGTCAGGGCGAGATAGGCCAACGGTCTCAATCCACCCAAAAAGGACTTCCGTCGGCCTTTTTGATCACTTGATTTGGTGCGCACATGAAATAGCCTAATATATTTCATTAAAGACGTATATACCACATCCTGTGTCGGAAGTCAATCCATGGCTGAGTTCCGCATCCCAATCAAATGTATTCCTGAACGAATACTATACCTATTCGAGATGTATACGGCCGACTTATAGAGCTCCCTGTTCTAAAACTTTCTCTCTCTGTTTAGCGTTCCCTCTCGCACTCACTGTCTACCTTGATGTCATCTCACAATAACATCATGCAAGCTCGACAAGAAACAAGAGTTCACAAGCTCGAGCAGGGGGTCAAGCAAGTATTTGCAGCGGCCCTTGATAGAGCAGAGGGCAAGATTACCTCAAAGCAATTGAAAAGAACGGCCGACAGGGCTACGTGGACTACCACTCGCCTTCTTGATGATTACTTTATACCTGCACGGGATGTGAAACTCAAGGATGTCGATGCTCTCTTTACTGAGACCGGGAACCCTGGACATCGCTTTCTAGCCGGGCCCTCACTGGTGTGGATGAAGACTCGTCACTATATCCCTCTTACTCGGACATTTGGTATGTTTCTGCTTTTAGCCTTGATATATTGACCATGACTGACCCTACACAGAGAGATTATTGAATGCCATTCGCCTCCATGAACCTAACAATATAACAACCCGCAGAACCCGGCTAGATGTTCTTCTCAAGCATGTTCTTATCAGAGTAAATGAAGCGATCAGTAACTCACTTACCCTTCAATCTGATCTTGAATTCATCTTTGGGGGTGAGCCACGGGCAGGTAAAGATTATGGCATTTACGGGGTTCCCTATTATAGTCTGTGGTACGGTCCGGTCGAGGACTTTTCGACAAATTTCATCGTCGTGCACACTGAGACACCAGGGTATTTTGATGAGGCAACCGTACATGCATTTATGGGTAAATAATGAGACCTGAACTTAATATAGTTTCTAAACTAACATTTAATAGGCATGGTCCACAAGGCACGTAGGTGCCAGGGCGAAAAGGAGTGTACAGTATACGGGCTAGCTACTGACTCGAAGGATTTCTGGTTCTACCAAGTCAATAACGAGGGCATGGTAAGCTTTCCGCGTGAATGTTTCAATATATATATACTGATTACAATCCGGTAGTGGAGCCATACATATCTTGAGCCAGCACGCGAGTACTTCTATGAAGACATCGGCTGCCTTCTCGCCTTTATCTTCCGTGAAGCTCATAAGTCATCGCAAAAGAGCACGAAGAGGAAAAAGCCTGCCAAATATTCCTTTTCCCAATTGAAAATTAGGCAGTTGCCCCACCCAGACACGCATGAAGATTCTTACGAACGTCTACGAGGTCTATCTCCAGAGGGGCTTGACACTTGGATCAATTGAACCAGAAGTAGCCACGACAGCAAGTGGCGTATGCAGTCTTCAGTATAGACTTTTTTGCTTAACGTCTTCCCTGTCATTGTTTTTTTTTCTCTGTTAACTAGGCCTGCTCAGTTACATCAATGAAGAGTGGGTTGCCCAAATTAATATATTTTAACAAGTTTGCGCGGCGCCCCTTACGTCATACCGTCTAACGGTTGATATAGATCTATGTCCTCAGATCATGAATTATCCTAGCAGCTAAACTTACTCTGATCTACGCGTATCTCAGCCCTTCACTTCAAGGTTGACCTGTCTGGGCATCCTCCTCAAACCCCTCCACCCATCATGTCTCTCGACCAAGTCACCGGCGGCCTCAACCGCGTCCCAGTGAACAAACCCGAAACCCCCAAACCCGCCAAAAACATCCCAAAACTAGACCGGCCTGTGAAACAAATCCACAAACAAACCAAAGAAGTGACCGATCCTATTGTCCCGGGCGAGTTTCCACGCGACGAAGGCACACCCCGCACCCAGCATGAGCCAACTCCACCCTCGACCTTCCAAGGACTCTGGAACGGTTTCACGGGATGGTTCACGAATATCGTGCCATCAACGATGGACCGATTCGAGAACTTCATGAAATGGCTCGTGATGTACGTCCTCCCACCGAATAAACAGGCCGAGGTGTACGAGGCTGCGTCGAAGAGACCGATCGCGACAACGTTTATCATCTGTCAGATGATTTGCTGTGGGGTCCCGCTGTTAGTGTTCCTGGCGGGCGTTTTTGTTTTTGCCGCTGTTGCGCTGATTTTGTGGGCGGTTTTGTCGTTGTTGATTCTTGGGCCCGTTTTATTGGTTGCTAGTATGATGGGTGTCTCGCTTTGGGGATGGGGATGGATCTTCTATGGGTTGCTTAGGTGGATTGATCAACGGTTTTTGGGAGGTATGATTAGTCGGTTTTGGCTTCCTAGGGTGCAGTCACAGGAAGAGGATGGAGAAGAAGGGGGGAGAGGAGAGTTCGGAGGAGAAAAAAGAGGATAAAAAAGATAACTGAGGAGATCACTGGGGGTAGCTTTAAGCTTGAAACATCTATTGTTCAGTTGTTGTTGGTGGTGTTGGTGGCGTGGATTTTACTGGTTTACTTGTTCTAGGTTCAGATTGTTGAGAGTATCTACTTCTATCACTGTCTTATATAGTATCAAGTTCATTTTACCTTCCTTATATACTTTCCATCCGTTGATTATCAATTTAATGGTACACGTATATTCGTTAGCAGGGATATATTTAGCCGGTGTTTCATGTATACTTCCCGGGGTTTATCAGATCGACGTTAGGGGCCGATTATATACACATGTGGACCAAGACACCTGGACCAGCGTCTCAAGTCCAACCTTGGAAGTCGCCCACCGTTACTGTACTACGTGCATTTCCCTAGGTGTTTCAAGGTTTTATTTAATACGAAGCTCATTCGCTGACACTAATTTGTACAACCCTTATCAAGCATAGAGCCAGGTCTACAACCCAAGACCTCTTTAACCGGGCCGTCCCTGGCGTAGGATGCATATGAGTGGCTTGGCAAGTTTCAAAAACCAAGGATTTGACGCTTGGGATATCGACCCTAGATCTCAAGATAGAAGTCAGAAGGCATATCTTCATGCCCAACCAGCCGCAAGCCGGGAAAAGGCAACGGCCCCCAGACAAAGATTATCACAAATGCCAACTAGCGTGGACCGCCGAGCCAAAGCATTGCGTCAACACGCAACTAGCCGAACTCGTTGCGAGCCTCGATGACTAGCGTCAAACTTACCTGGGGTAATCAAAATCCCTCAAGCTCTCACATTGCGCCGAGCTTCGAACGCTATCGCAGCACAGACATATGCAGTCAGCCGACCTAGCATCCACATTGACCATTCTCCACGTTAAGTAAGAAGAATGTAAGGCCCATACGATTGATCGATCCATGGATGTCAAGATTCTGGGATGGGCACGCCCCAAGGTATGCACTAACCCGTAGAGACGATCGCCCCGCTCACGAGCTCCAGGAGGAGCGGCCCGTTGAGTTACCAGCCTTTTCCGCGCGCACTCGAGATATGCCAATACTGTGCATGCATTGCCGATCGTAGCCTTTTACTGTACCCCTGCCCCGAAGGCGTGTATCTTGCACGGGAACCCCCGGCATCAGGGGGTTACTGAGCTGCAACGGATCTGCGACGGAGCTTGGTGCGTTTCATGATGGACGGGATGGGATGCATGTGGCCCGTGTGGTTGATCGGCCGGGCTAGGATGAGCATGGCGGATGTGGATTAAAAAAAAAAGAAAAGTTAAATAAATATGCAATTAAAAAACAACCACATGCGTATGCGAAGAATGGTTTTGCATTCCCTCACGCCACACTGAAGTATGTGCATGAGATTGTCTCAGACACGGATAGACGGCAGTGGGAAGTGAACGATCAGGGGGACATGGTTTCCCTGTAGAGTTCATGCTGCGGAGAGGGACCTCTCGAGTCTCCATCCCGAGTCCCACCGGATCCACTTTCGTGCGCATTTACCCCTGAACAGGAAAAGCACTGACCAGGAATGCCAATGTGTGCCAGGTTCGAGTCGGGAGGGGGCAAGACAAAAAAAAAAAGCAACGAAGATAACTGCGTGTCCAGTGCACCCCCGCATACGCGACAGCTTCGAATTGGGTATAGTAGGGTTGAGCTTGGGACACTAGAAGGCCCCAGGGTTTTTATCTGAACCATGTGGAGTCAGGGACTGAGCAGGTCTACAATATACAGGTGTACAGAAAGAGAAGGACGAGACATGTCCCATATTGTTCCAGGATGTCATGATGCCATCCCTATCTCGGAACAAGTGGGAAGTAACGAGAAATGAGAACGAGTCCACGCGGACCACACGATGTCGGATGAAGGAACCGGGTGCCAATCCGGCTGAGAGATCCGCTAGAGTCCTTACGTCTGAGACATCCGATAGTGTCGAACGATTGATGCACCTGCAGTAGGCAAGTGTCCTCTATGGGTTAAGAACAGTGGAGTTTGATAAGCATCCGAAGTCCCCGATTCCAACCCCAGAAGTCAACCAAGGTTAGAGTGAATCAATTTACAAGGCAAAACATAACTTAACTTGAAACTAAGCGTCCACATGGAGGTCTCGTGGACAAGGCATCATGACGGTTCAACCAGAATCCCCACTTGAGAGTCAGTGCGGCCCGGCTATGGCCCCTCCGGATGCAGGTACCTGGAGCGAATGGGTCAAGGCATAGACTAGGTGGCACCGTTGCTTGACGTCAAGGAGACACAAGGATGACAAGGGTTGGGACGATCATCAAAGGAACCTTGGAATGGTGTGCAATGGATCAAATAGAATTCGAGTCTCAAATCTGGTAACATACTCCGTGGATCTTTGGTAGAGATAAAAAAAAAAAAAAAAAAAGGGGGGGATGTTTCGCAAGTGGCGAACGCATTACAATGGGCCAGGGGTAAGTTACGTGCTAAAATAACCTATAGATACAACCATTTTTGGAGGGAAAAAGACTGAATAACGAATAATGAATTTAGATAATTGATGCAAAATCAAAAATAGAAAAGACTACACAGAATTAGGAAAAAGAAACAAAGCACGAAAGTCAACTAAAATCCCCAAGATATGGGATATGGTTCCCCTTGCATAAGGGATGGATCCAATACGATAGACCTTGACTGACCTTGTCTACAGGGAATTCTAATTCATTAATTGATTTATCATACGAGAGAAATTTAACATGTAGACGGAAATCATGATGGTCCATAGCTCCACTGTTAATCCACCTTGTCCTTGACCTTTTTCCCCAGAACCGCCCTAACAGCAAACTAACGAAATAATAATCTCCCCCTCCGATCAATTCCAATTCTCCCCTCCCTTCCCACCCCTCCGGCTTCTCTTCTCTTCTTTACACTCTCGCCTAACCCTTCCGTCGCGCGCCTCGCATTGATCGTGATTCGCCGCCTTTCGACCGCTTTTCCCGCTCCCCTTTCCGTGGTCGCGACAAAAACCTTCTTTGCCGGACCCCCCCCTGTTGTGGGAAAAAAAGAAGCAGTTCAGCTCGGGGTGAGGTATGCGAACTAGTCCACTGGGCACCTGACCTTGACACTTCTTTCCTATTCAGAGCAAGAGAGTTCTTCATTGGAATTCTCGAAGCCCTTCTGACTTTGCTTTCTCTTATCTACCAGTTTCGCGCCAGCGACCTTAACAACAACGGTCGTCGGAAGTGCTCTCGGACTTTCGAAGACCTCCCATTCCCTACCACACAATGTCAGTTGCGACGATGCTTCAGCCTGCATCGAGAATATCCCGAGCGTCCTCGTCCTCCTCTTCCTCGTTTCAACCCGTCGCACGACAGAACACCATGTCGTCCCACGATACGCGGTCGCTCCGCCAATCCAAGCGGATGTCAGTCACCGCGTTATACCTGTCCATGTCTGCCAAGGACAGGGATTTGGAGATCTCGGATGATTTGGCCAAAGGTACGCCGCGAACCCCTTATACATCCTGGTCAGTACTGACTCCCGCGCAGCACAGAAACACTTGCGAGAACTCAAGTCCAAGATCTCGTCCCAATCCAAGAAGAACTTCGTGTTGGAAAAGGACGTACGATACCTGGATTCACGAATTGCCTTGTTAATTCAAAACCGAATGGCCCTTGAGGAGGTAAGATATGTTCAATCCACTGCGAACAAACTATCCACTGACACCAACCCCTAGCAAAATGAAGTCGCAAGCCACCTCGACGATACGGCCGACCCCCAGGAAGGTTTCTTCCCCAACGATGAGAAAACCCAGAAATACGGCAACCTTCTGTTCCTTCTACAATCGGAGCCCCGCCACATTGCTCACTTGTGTCGACTTGTTTCCATGGCGGAGATCGATTCTCTATTGCAGACCGTCATGTTCACCATTTACGGTAACCAGTACGAGAGCCGTGAAGAGCACCTTTTGCTCACCATGTTCCAATCCGTCCTTACCTACCAGTTCGATAACACCCCAGAATACTCCTCCCTCCTGCGCCAGAATACCCCTGTGTCTCGTATGATGACCACATACACGCGACGTGGCCCCGGTCAAAGTTACCTGAAGCAGGTCCTCGCCGACCGCATCAACTCCTTGATCGAATTGCGCGATGTTGATTTGGAGATCAATCCCCTGAAGGTTTACGAGAGCATGGTGAAGCAGATCGAAGAAGAGACCGGCACCCTTCCAGACTACCTTGCCCGCTCGGTCACTGCAGAAGATGCTGCGGCGAATGAGCAGGTGCAAGCCATCATTGCTCCTCGCCTGAAGATGTTATCCGACATTGCAAATGGCTTCTTGACCACTATCATCGACTCGGTTGACGAGACTCCGTACGGAATCCGGTGGATTTGCAAGCAGATTCGCAGTTTGTCCCGCCGCAAGTATCCCGATGCACAGGACCAGACCATCTGTACTCTGATCGGCGGCTTCTTCTTCCTCCGCTTTATCAACCCTGCTATTGTGACTCCTCGCTCTTATATGCTGATTGACGCGACCCCTACCGACAAGCCCCGCCGGACTCTGACGCTAATTGCCAAGATGCTGCAGAACTTGGCCAACAAACCCTCGTACGCCAAGGAGCCTTATATGGCCAGCCTACAGCCTTTCATTGAGTCCAACAAGGAGCGCGTGAACAAGTTCCTGCTCGATCTGTGTGAAGTTCAAGATTTCTACGAGAGTCTTGAGATGGACAACTACGTCGCTCTCTCCAAGCGCGACCTTGAGCTCCAGATCACACTGAATGAAATGTATGCCACTCACGCTCTGTTGGAGAAGCACACTGCGGCGCTGGCCCAGGATCAACACTCGCATCTTTCTCTACTGCTTCAGGAACTTGGAGCTGCGCCCCCACAGGTTCCTCGCAAAGAGAACCGCACCATTACTGTGCCTTTGTTCAGTCGGTGGGAAACCGCCTTGGATGATCTGACGGCTGCCTTGGACATTACCCAAGAGGAGGTATTCTTCATGGAGGCCAAGTCAACCTTCGTTCAGATTCTCCGGTCCTTGCCTCCCAATTCGTCGGTCGCGCGTCGGCCTCTTCGGCTGGACCGCATTGCCGAAGCCGCCGCCACCCTGAAGAATGACGCTGTTATGGTACGGAAGGGAATCCGCACCATGGAACTGCTGAGTCAGCTGCAAGACATGGGTGTGATCGATCGATCGGATGAGTTCAGTCTTCTCCGTGATGAGGTGGAGCAAGAATTAGTGCACCTTGGTTCGCTAAAGGAGAAGGTGCTTGAGGAAACACGGAAACTCGAAGAGGTTTTCGCCACGATCCGCGATCACAACGCGTATCTAGTAGGCCAGCTTGAAACTTACAAGTCCTATCTCCACAACGTGCGCAGCCAATCCGAGGGCAAACAGCGGAAGAAGGAAAAGCACCAGGAACTTGGTCCCTATAAGTTTACCCACCAGCAATTGGAGAAGGAGGGTGTCATCCGCCGCAGTAATGTGCCGGAGAACCGCCGGGCGAACATCTATTTCATGTTCAAGAGCCCTCTTCCCGGCACTTTCGTCATTAGCCTGCACTACAAGGGCCGTGCCCGCGGGCTTTTGGAGCTTGATCTCAAGCTTGATGACCTTTTGGAGATGCAGAAGGACAGCCTGGAGGACCTTGACTTGGAGTATGTCCAGTTCAATGTCAGCAAGGTCTTGACTCTTCTGAACAAGCGATTTGCACGAAAGAAGGGGTGGTAATGGTGATGCGCCCCAGATCCCTTTATGATTGATATGAGACTGAGTGTAGGGCCTACTGTGCCCTTCCCTCTCCAACCTGAAATGCATCGGTTGGCGGTTAGTCTCGCCACCTAATCTTTTTTGATGATATGATGGACCCGGATCTATATCCGATTTATACATGAACCGTCCATTCTCGACCATCGATGAACGGAATGAAATGCTTCCTCTGCTATGATTCTGACGCTCTCGCTCTTTCCCAGTTGAGCCATGCGTCTAGTGTGAATGTTGTTGATACACGGACATATCTGACGGAGGACGATCAACGCTTGACCCGCTGGTTCGGGATCAGCAGACGATCTTTTGGAAAGACTCTTTGGACCATCTCCTTTGTATTTTGATTTTGTCGTCTGCAAGTTATACCCAGCGCGCCTTTTTGTTTGTTTGTTTTGTGGGTTGGTTCGGGCTCTTTAACGCCTGCAATCTCAATTTCTGGCATTTGTCTCTGTTGCGCCCTCACCGCTCTGACTCCCGGGTCTTTTGCGCTGTGTATAATAATATGTTTGTCTTTATGTGTGGTTGTTTGGATTTAATACCCGTATCTGTTTATGACAATTCCCTTTGTACAGAGCCTAGAGGTACTAATTGAATTTTGGGTTACACATATACCATTCGAAGGTACCCATGTTCCTTGTAGGCCAGTTCGAGCTAGGTAAAGTACTCCTGACAGTCAATTTAGACGTCATTTCTTTTAGGGTAAAGGTTCAGCATATGCATTGACACGACACCGCCTCAACGCCCCTCTTTGCCCCTCACTCCGGTAGGTTGGGTTTTCGAACGTTTCTGGCACGGGCTTTTGGTCTTGCATGCCATAGGATTGTGTCAAGGCCGCATACAGGGTTGGGCCGTTTGCGGACAACTTGATTTGTATAGCTATTTGACAATGACGTGTTGAGTAGGAGATCAACAATGGTCTTGTTACAATAATCAAACATTATCTTCCCCTAGTTGCAACAGTTTCAAATAACAATCACACGAAGAAAAAAAAAAAGGAGTTCGCGGTTCTTCAACGCCGAAACTCGCCCCCTGATTCTCAAAGCTCTGACTCGACGAACATCATTATTTCTTTTTTCATTTATCTGTTTCGGTGATCATTTACCGGGTAAGCATTAGTCTCTGCCGCCTAAAAAAAAATAGACTATTGCTCCGGGCGCTTGTTTACCGTGAACCAAAGTGGCCGATCCCTCCGTCGTTTTTATCCTTGTGGCCACTTACGCCTCCCCTCCGCCTTTCCCTCCTACAACCAACTTTCTTCCAATCTTCCACATCCGCCCCTCCCACCACATCATTCAACATGGCAGCCGCTACTGAGCACAAGTTGCCTCTTGATCCCAAGTACGACCAGTACACCTTCCCCACTACTGCTCCGGAAGCCCACACTGGTCACCCTGGCCACACCACTCCAGAGCAGGATGCGAAGGTCGTCCAGTTCCGCGCGGAGCTCGAGAAGGAGGGCTACACTGAGCGATTGGATACCTTGTCGCTCCTGCGTTTCCTGCGTGCCCGCAAGTTCGTTATCGCCGACGCCAAGGCTATGTACGTTTGACGATCCTTTTGTTATTGGCATTCTCCCCACGGGGAGCCTTGCGCTTGACATGTGAAGACATGAGCTCATCTAATTTTTTTCTTGCTTTTTGCAGGTTCACTAATTGCGAGAAGTGGCGCAAGGAATTCGGAACTGACAAGCTCCCCGCTGTCTTCGAATATAACGAGAAGGCTGAGGTGTTCAAGTTCTACCCCCAATACTACCACAAGACCGACAAGGTAGGTTATCGCCACCCAAAGCATATTAGGTCATTGGCCAGCTCAAACAGCAGAACTAATATAATTCATGTTATAGGATGGCCGTCCCGTCTACATCGAGAAGCTAGGCAAGATTGACCTCGACGCCATGTACAAGATCACCACTAGCGAGCGCATGCTCCAGAACCTTGTTACCGAATATGAGAAGCTGGCCGACCCCCGTTTGCCCGCTTGCTCGCGCAAGGCTGGCAAGCTGCTCGAGACCTGCTGCACCATCATGGACCTGAAGGGTGTTGGTGTCACCAGCATTCCCTCTGTCTACGGATACGTTCGCCAGGCCTCCGAGATCTCCCAGAACTACTACCCCGAGCGTCTGGGTAAGCTGTACCTCATCAACGCCCCCTGGGGTTTCGGTGCTGCCTTCAACTTCGTTAAGGGTTTCCTTGACCCCGTTACCGTTGAGAAGATCCACGTTTTGGGCAGTGGTTACAAGAAGGAGTTGCTCTCCCAGGTCCCTGCTGAGAACCTGCCCGTTGAGTTCGGTGGTTCCTGCTCCTGTGAGGGTGGTTGTGAGCTCTCCGACATGGGTCCCTGGCAGGATCCTGAGTGGGCTCGTACCCCCGCCTGGGCTGCCCCCAAGGAGGAGGCCGCTCCCAAGCAGGACGAGGCTGCCGTCATCGAGAACCAGGATCCCGGTTACGAGAAGAAGGATACCGAGGGTCAGGAGGGCGCTCAGGCCAGCGCATAAATGGAATCATAGAACATTTTTCCCTTTCCACTCGTTAATTACATCCACTGGGTGGTCATGATACTGCAAACATTGCAGTCTCACCCCCTATTTCGAGAAAAAAAAAAAGAGAAAAAACGACCGGAGAGAAAAGAGAAAATACGATTGGTATATCCTTATCGATATGAGACCCACCTATCAAACGTGGTGGGATTTGCATCTGATATCCCTCTGACAACCGGGTCTTTTCTGGAAATCAACACATCATCGCCGACTACCCCACCACACAACCCGTGGATACCTTGCCCCTTGTCTTTTACCTTTGCGTTCGATTTAGATATCATGGAGAGTTTTTAAATGTCCTGTTATTGCCTGTTGAGCAAGCAACTATGCCCGCGCTTGATATAGAAGGGCGAGTCAGGGCGGATTACAAAAGCGAGTTTGGGGAGTGAAGTTGAAACTGGCTTTTGTTTATTTGGAGTGTACACACTGAGCACATAGCGAAATTGCGACTGTCATAAGGAATGAATTCTTTTGAATCTTTACGCACCGAACTGAAGCCAAGTAGATATCTCGTAGTAGTAGACATTGCATGAACCTGGTGGGTCTATACCCCAGAAGCGCCTGAAACAGAATAGAATATGGTATCATGATCCCCCAGCACCAAACGCCTCGCCCATTGAATAAAAGAAGAACATTAACTCCCAGAAAAAGTACCATCCCTTTACATGCTCTCGACGACATCTGCAGCTCGCCCAGCCCTTTCTGCCTTCCCGACTGTCGTAGCCAAGGCATTACCCTCAGAACCCTCCTCGTCCACATCAGCCTCACCCTGCAACCGCTGCAATGTCCGCAGGGCACGCTCATAAACCTCCGCCATATCTCCACTCCGCCACCTCTCTGCCTCCGCATCAGTACCAAGCGGAACCTGTAATTCCCATGAAGGATCCGGACGGTTACGACGAGAGTGTGACTTCTCTGTCTCTTTTGGCTTAGTTGAACCATCTCCCGCATCAACATCCATGGCTCCATCTTTGTCTTCACCGGCTCCTCCAGTCGTCTGTGCATCTTTCTCGTCGATATCGTCATCCTCGTCCTCATCCTTAAGTACTTGCATCAACTGCGCCGCATAATCCTTTGCCGCTTGTCGAGGCGCATCCCGTCTTTGCTGTGCCACTGTTGTCGTGAGCGACTCTAGCTGTGCATATAGGGTTGTTACGCGGGATGCTAGCTCGGTATCGTAGGGTTCGTATTCGACTGTCTCGGGTGCGGTGAAGGATGCTGGGAATGGGAACTGTGGATGAGACGAATCGATGCCGTTGATGCTGATTGAGGCAGAGGCTGTTATGAAGGTGCGGTTTATGTACTAGAGTCAGATATGACCTGTCAGCTGGTTTGCCCCTCTACCTTATCCGCTCTGGGGTTGGATCTGGTCTCCCTCTTCCCTGTCTTGGGAAGCAACGACAGACAGATGTATTATGTGTCTTCCATTTTACAGACTCAGGCTCGAGATTGGTTCGACTCACATCATCGACTAATTCTCGTACGCGTTCGCGCATCGGATCTGGTGTCTCATCGTTTGTTGCTGAAGGGGGAAATAAAGGTCGAGTTTCTTGCGTGAGAGCGCAACTGTGTTGGCATATAGATAAGTCAAGTCTGCTGAAGACTGTAGCTCAACTTTGCGCTGGTGTGCGGCCATTGTATAGGCTGTTGTGGGGGAAGTATTAGAGTGTTGATCCGGAGATTGTTTTTCACGCGTTTAGGCGTTGCAGGTCTTGGCGTTTTGGTCCCCGCAAACGATGTCATCGATCGGATCCAACTTACACCTTAACTTTCACTACACCTTGTGACATTGTGACTTCATTCCTTTATTATACCACTTTCGCATTTTGGCTTTATTTTCTAGCCTCATTTCTTTTGTTTTTCTGATATACTTGTCCTCTGTCCAGCAGGATCTGGACTGAACCAGGCAGCAGCGGTTTAATGCGACCATTCCAAGGATAATGCCGTCCTTGTGATCCACGTCCAAGTTTTCGCAGCTCCAACCGAATAAAGCATTGAAGCATATAATCAAGCCCGCTGAAGATGACAACAACAACGGCTGTGGAGAGTAGCCCTCCCACTATTTCCCTGGTGGACAATACTGTCCCTTCGCAACAGCCGTCAAATGGAGAATCCACACGAAGAGCCTCGAAACGCAGTCAGAAAGGCAATTTATCAAAACACATAAGTCGCACATCGGTATCCGGACAACTAGCAAAGCGCAAATACGCCAAATGGCAACCCGAAAGGCTTGGCCTTTCAACAGACACCGAGACATCCCCTAGCAGGGAGTCGTCGCAAGTGCGCGGGTCAGTCTCAGCAGAGAGCTCGACGGGACCGGCAAACGAGCCCAACACACCAGTACAACCAGACTACGGAACAGAAATCTCTCAAATCGATACAGTGGACTTTGCTCCCCCTTCCCAAGCCCAGAGCCTTACAAATGAAACCACACAATCAAGCAGCGGAGCAGGCCAACAACCCGATTTCGATACGATTGCAACACCCACCACCGAACTAGATGTCTTATACGAAAACCAGCGTGGCTGGTTCTTCTTCGGCGTGCCGCGTTACTCTCACAGCTCGCTTCTCAACTTCGATCCTAGCGCCTGGATGACCCAGCACAAGCGACCCAGTCCCGTCAACATCACAAATGCCCAAGTGCCCGACCCAAGCTGGGAATGGGCATGGAGGACATGGTATGTAGATATGTCAGCCGATGTTGATGAGCAAGGATGGCAGTATTCGCTCTCCTTTGGCTCGTCACAGTGGCATGGTACGCATCCGTGGTTTCACTCCTTTGCTCGACGGCGGCGCTGGGTTCGGCTGCGCCAGAAGATTCCAGAGAGGCGTCATCGTGATCGCTCGGAATTCGAGAAGGGGCATATGTTGACTGAGGATTACTTCACGATTCATTCTTCCAAGGCGAGGAGTCGCGAGCAAAGTATCGCGCGCCTTTCGACGGTTGAGTCGGGTTATTTGAGTCGGGTGAATACCAAGGTAGACGAAGAGGAGCATCTCGAAGAGATTGGAGACATTCCTTCTCTCATGTATGCGTTGAAGTTGGCATCGATTGATCGAGAGAGGATCGATGCGTTGAAGACGTTTATCGAGCAGGGAGGGGAGGAGCTTTATTATCTTAATGACAAGGTGAGTGCTTCCCTAACACTGCATTCAAGAGAACATACGATTTTCTCCTGATTGGAGGCTAATTATTCCTTGCCTGTAAAGATCTCAGAGATCATGCCTATGTTCCTATTTCAGGCATCACGCTGGCAATTCGTGACATACCTTGGCAACATCATCCAGCAACTGTCCACTCCATCCGATGACCCAGAGCATAAAGATTCCGACAAGATCAAGCGCAAGAAAGATAACCTCATTCGGGTGGTCGAGAGTGCTAAGCAACATGTTACCGGCCCAGATGTCTTCACTGATACAGCCGGGGGCCAGGCATCTGAGCTACTCGATTTGACACCTCTTTCTCGACATGACACTTTACTATCCAAGCGAGCGCAGGCTTCTGGCGAGCCATTGCATGTAATGAAAGTGAAGGATATAACCGGCATCCCCAAGGCCGCGCAAATTGGCCACGAAGGGCATATTTATTAATACCCGGCTATAACGCCAACCAGAACTCTCGGTTGTTTCTTCTGGCCTGTATTAGCTACGTACACGACCTTTAGCAAGCATGTTCAAACAGAATCAAATCTCGGGACTTTCTATACAAGCCAAGCGTTTGCCAAGTATGTAAATAGTCGCGTGCTGTCGGGATCTCGGCCACCGCCTTCCCTTCCCGCGTAGATTTTTCGGAGCCAAAAGATCGGACTTCTCAACACTTTGCGATCTTTACCACCTCTGTTTTAAGCACCGGATGCCACTAGTGCACCGATCCATATGCTCTCGAGTGGCCACCCGTGTCTAAGAAGGCGCCTTTCTGCCGTCTTGGACACTGTCGCGGCCGGCCCCGAAGATCCTCTCCTCTTCCTCTACCCCCGATGGGCCGCCTCTGCCCTGCAGCAACGACGACCGATCGCGTCCCTGACGCCCGCAGCAGCTCCAATAAAAGGCAATCGAGCTCCCAGCAATCCGTTTCGTGCCACACTTCCTTCGTACACTTCCTCGCCGACATTCCATCCCCGGTGCACCCGATGGAGCTCCGCCGATGCCACGAGTCGATCTGCCAATAGCTCCCCTCCGAATTTGTCTACAACTGTGAAAGATGGGGCTGCGAGTACGTCGGGAAGCAGGGGTACTCGAGATGCCATTGAGTCAAGTCATGACATCGCGGGCTTCCCCGTGGGACTGTCACAAGAGTCCAATGGTTTCCTCGAGACCGCGTCTGATGCCCCCGAATCACATAGACGTCGTGGCAACTTAAGTCATAGGGAGCTGCGACAAAAACGATTAACGGGCCAGAAACAAGCGGCTGCTCAAACTCTCGAAAAAGAGCCGGGGACGGAGTTTCCGTCAAAAAAGATCTTGATCAGCAAGTTGTCCGTCCGGGATAGAAGAAAGCTTCGGTATGGAGATTATGTGAGGAGGACTCGTGGACAGGGCCTGTTTGGAGGCACTTTGGACGGCTGGAATGACATGAAGCTGTTGTTAGAGGATGTGCAGAACGACCCTCGTACGGAGCCCAAGAGAAGCACCAGATCCAAAGAGCTACAAATTCCTGAGGAGACGGTAGCGCTTCTTGCTGGTATTATGAATACGAGTATGAAAGAGAATATCTGGTACGTGCATGTGCGGAATGGGTGTAAGGTGCAAATCTTGCATCCGAGGGAGGGTGACGGAACAAACCGCAAGGCTATCTTGACGGGATCGGAGCACGTCATGGAGCTGGTCGAAGCACGCATCAAAAGTGCCCAGACCGCCCAGGATTCTGGGGATCCTCTGGCTGATATTAGGAAGCCACCGGTCCCCATGTTCATGGAGAGGGAAGTTCTCTCGCGCAGAAACATTCCAGCTCCGATGATTCGTGGAGTTTGGAGCTGGCAGCGCCATGCTCTAGAGCCGCTCACACTAAGGGATGTCCTCGGGTTACGCTCGTCATTGACTTCCGTGAAGGAATTTGCGGAATATGTTGAGGATTTAACGAGCGCAAGCGGGCCACCTACCCTTGGCGCGCAAGCATCCCGGAATATAAAATGGGTACCGCATGCCAATCAGATCTCACGCCATCTTTTAGATCTATTTCGGCATGATGCGTATCATCAGATCATATCTACTGCTGCGCTGAATCGAGCTTTGGAGTTTTTGTGTGAGCACGAACAGCTCAATGCTGCTCGGATCGTCTTCCTCAAGTCAGAACATGTTGCGACAGTAGACACTTATAATGTTCTTCTGCGGTCTGCGGCACGGCGTCACGATACTTGGGCATTTCGCAAGTTCTTGAACTTGATGCCTCGAGCGAACATTCGTCCCAACCCAGATACATGGCTTGCTTTGCTATCGGCTCTGACTACGTCCAATGCCAAGGCGTCACTCATTACACATATGGTGCAGAATGGCTTTATGACGGATGTCAAGGTGATTCGAACTGCCCTCCAGTTAACGATTCAAGACTCGCTACTTGTACACCTTGAAAGTGGACAGGATGTTGAATCATTCGTCGCTCTTATGAATAAAACTCATGGCGCGGGTTGGTTTAGCTCTTCGCTTCTTGGGCAAATGGTCAGTGTAGCTGCGCGCTGCGAGAACTTTAGCGCCGTGGACGCGCTATTGAAGATCTGCGCCGAGCAAAACTTTGACATCGACAGCTCTATCCTCAATCAGATTTTGCCTATGTGTCGTGCCAACATCCTTACTGCACTTCACTACACATATCAATGCGCCAAGTTTCCTTCTTTCCGATTTGTGCCCCAGATCTGGGAGCGCCTGTTCTTCATTGCATTTAAAAGCCAACACTACAACATCTGCCGAGTGCTATGGCGGTATGCATGCATGGATGGATCCGTGACCAGCAACATGAGGAAAACCGTACTCAGCTCATTGACGCGCAACGCGTCATTCAAAAAGAGTACTAACCAAATGAGTGAAATTTGGCGTCTTGACGCCGGCAAGATCATCGTCGGCATGGACGTTCACTTCGAGGACTATAGAATCCGGAAATCTGTCTTGGAAAAACTTCCTTCTGAATTCCACGATATGCCTTTAACCTTCCTCTCATCCGGCTACAAGCCCCATGGCGAAGAACGCCTCATCCAGCTTCACCTGGCTAAATACCTCGTTGACCGTGACATAAGATACGGCGCTTCTACCTACGAGCCCATCAACTCCGTTTCTATTATGCTCCAAGCTGCGGCTGTCATAGACAGTGAATGGAAGGGCGTCCCGCGTCCCTTGACGTGGAGGATTCAAAATGCCATCCATGTGCCAATTCAACGCAACAAGAATTGGCACCAAAAGATATAATCATCGCAAAGGTCTTTGAATGATCTTTGTGACCCTTCTCCTCTTATTGGTTTCTGTCGCCTAGCGCTGTCGTGTTGCATGAGATATCCTATTCAGCGGGTTTGGATAGACATAGACTTGTACTATATTTTGTTTCTGTTCCGCTCATCTTTGTATATAATCGCTGTGTATTATTTCCAAAACAAAGATACATACCATTTACCTCCCATTTTCCAGCATTATAGAGTTCACCATTTTGAAAAGAGTTCCAAGGTTGGAGCCTCTATCTATTCGAGCGTCCTCAAACATCCTAGTATGCAGGAATGATGTAATATTATCTAGTTGTTGCCTCACTAGTGGATAACAGCCCAGAGAAAGCCGATACATATGGCCTATATTGACAGCTGTCACAACTTGATCTTGGAAATTAGCCAAAAATGATCCCACGACACTATGTGTACAGCCTTATGCAAATTTAGTGTATGAAGTGCACCATATCAAATCCTACATAGGACGATGAGTCGTCTCATGAAGGTCTGTCATCACCTTGGAGACTAGAACTTTTCAAAATTAAAATGGTTTCTGATTCAAATGTAACCTCAACATTAGTGGGCTGTAGCTTCTGTCTCCGATTACGCAAGCTTTCGCTCTGCTAAAGATGTTCCTACATCACCGCTCTTGCAATTCCATTGCACCACGAGCTGGCCCGTGCTTTTGGTATTTTTTTCTTCCTGTCCACAGTGATGAGCTCTGATGCAGGGCTCCGACCACCTGATTATACCTTTGAGGTGACGAATGAAGAAAGTCAGTTGACCCGTGGAATCCTTAGGCATTATTGTTATACCGATAGTATGAAAGTGAGACAACTTTCCACGGGAACATATCAAAGCACTATTTGGATTATGAGCCGTCAGGCGGAGGATTCAGCTTAGTTGTTACTATCAAATCATAAGACTGGTTATCAAAGACAACAATAACTCCAAGCCACCTGGGCAATATGCATGGCACATATATTTGCACAAGCTGCATTAGTTCTTCTTAGCGGGAACCAATGAACTATTGAAAACAAGGGCCCAGCTCTAAGACAAGCGAGTTGCCAGGAACGCACTATACATTAGAGACAGATCTAAATATAGGGACACTACGTAATTCCCGACACCATCTAGGAAGAACATTCCTTCAACGGTCTTTAGGGAGGAAAAAAAACCTGCTATGCAGTACGGAAGCAAAGCCGGGCCCCTGAAGAGACCGGGGTCTGGCCCGCTGTCAAATGTTGATCGACCACGTTTAATTTGCTTCGGTTCCACCAATGCTCTTACAGGCTGTTTGCCCCGTTGGATTCCCACTGCCGAACGGTCATGGCTACTGTTTCCGGTATCAGAGTTCACCGCTGGATATCTACGGTAAAGGGGGGCTAGAGTATGGACTTTTCTTTCGAATTATCTTGTTTACTTTTTCTTGGTGGGCTTGACCCCTGACGAAGAATTGTGGCATTTAGACTTTAGTCGGAAGTTTAAGTTCCTTGGTTTGGCCGGATTCACTGATCGCCGCTGCAATATGAGATGTCCATGTGGCTTGAAAGTTTCCTTTCTCCAGACTTTGTACTTTCGGAGGCACCGTTGGGGCGGGACCGTTAGGGCATCGGGCATACGTTGGGAGTCGTCAACGGATTCGGCTGAGGACCTGCTTTGTATGGAAATGTCCACGGGAATGCCGGTGCGTCAGATAGGAGAAGTGAGTGTCGGGATTTGGGAGACTTCAACGATAGTAAGCTCAGTCATGCTAAAAACCATCCCGCAAACCTTGGAAGGCGCCATTACTTAAATTTGGGTTGAGCATTGGCATGTGTAATGTTTTACCCCGGAAGTACCTTTGTTTTTACGGGAAACCCGATTGCGTTAATGGAACATCGTTTAGTATGATGCATATACTAACAGTGCTTTGCATACATACTCCCTGTACTAATTTCCAGTCTAAGTCTTCTATGGTTAAATCATCATGCAATGCAACTCTCCTAGAATCAATCAGGGATTATCTATCAGATCGGGACCAAAATAAATCTCGATCAAGAATGAGGCCCGTGATAGGGAAATCTATCTCAAGAGACGAAGGATCACCCCTGCCTTTAGCAGCAAGAACGGCACGGATGAACATCGTACCGAAGATCTTGAAACCGGACAGAACGAACCGGAATCCAGCGTTTCAAATGATAAGCTACACAGCCTTGAGCTGAACGGGCTAGCAACCAAGACAAGTCTGGGGTTAGTAAAGACTCCTGTACCGAGTACATGGCTTCCCTCGGGTAAAGGGAGAAAAGCGTTATCCGAGACCTAGCTTGTGCGTCCAAACTCAAAACCCAATCAGTGGATGAAATGATGAGCACGGGCACGCGTGCTTGACACGGAATGTATGTGGAGTTGGCCCTGACGTTCTCCACTTGGTCTTGCCGAACCTGTTGTTCCCCGATGGATCAATTCTGGCCGTTTGGTCCCTTAAGGCGTTTTCCTTAGCGAATGTATCCGCTCTGGAGACTGGAAACCTGGAAACGCGGTAATAGTGTCCGAGATTGGCGTAACTAAACGAGGAAAACAAATAGTGTGAGAAGCGTCATTCCGCGAAATTCCTGGGAAGTTCAAAGAACAAAATTTCCTTCCATTTAGGGGATCGAGCAAGCGGGGGCTTGCTCAACAGGGGGCTAAATGAACAGCACCAGGACACATGTGGAGCCTTGGCATAATCAGGAGGAGAACAGACTAAGCACTGGAAGCCGAGCCAGGATTCCACCGACGTTTCAGAAATTTCCTTGCGTCTATGCTGGCGCACAGCCCATGCGGGTTTCAGCAATTGCGTGCCGATCGCTGCAGCTTGCATTCCGCATAGCGCCTTGGCGCGCAGCGAGGAACCATCGAAAAGCACGCGTGGAGCCATTATCCACAATTTCCCTTGGGAATAAAGCCGTATTGGGTACTCCGCCTGTATGTCCGGTATTTCTGATTTTGCATATAGATATGAACATAATCGATAGTGTCATGCAAGGATCGTATGTACTGAAGCATCCATTGTTCTCGAACTCGATGCACGAGGCAATGTGATTGGTCCAATCGCATGGAATGGCCGGACGACTTTCAATAGCGTCGCGATGGATCGGATCCTCTGTCTTCGGAGAAAGTGACTGAATTGGGACGAGGATATACGTGAGTTTATTACGGAGGAGCTCCAGTACTGGAGTAGTGTCAAATGAGATCCTACTCCATGTCGATCCGTACTTTTAGTACAAACATACCTATCCTCGAACAAAGTACAATCAATAGTACGGTATTCTGATCATGGTATTAAAAAAGACAAATCAAAGGGAAGTTGGCCCCATTGTGGTGGATCGGCCTAGCGCCCCTAGTATGTACAACTCGTTCGTACAGGAGATTAGTACTTAACAAGAAAAAAAAAAGAGTTAGTAAAACCTTCTTCTTCCACATTCCGTTAGGAATTTGCAGAACTTTCTAGTTTTTTTTTGCTCGGTAGTGGGCCTTGAATCTCCAATCTGCACTCCGCAACACTGTCGCTGGATAAAACAATATACCAGTCTAGCCGCGTGCATCATCCTCCCCGCTTGTGGATTCCCCTGTGAGACGGAAAAGATGTGCTACTGACCCTCTCAGCTTTATTCCTTCTCTCTTACTCCCCTCCATTCCTCCCCGACCTTTGGTCCTCGGGTGCTTTTGTCACTGGAAACTGCCTGTCACCCTATTTCCTCCCCGCGAACGCCCCAAGTCTGGATCCTTCCCGTCGATCTCGCGACCCCGAAACCTCCCTCCCTTCCCAAAAATCCGTTTCGCACACAAGTCATCAGTACTCGCTAGGTGACGGACTCGGTGTCTCGGAGAATAATCTGGTCCAATTGGAAACTAAGCGACGACATATTCGCAACGGAACGTGGCAGGCCCTGGGTGTGGGGAACCTTCAAATCATCGATCAAAGCGTTGACAGGATCTCTCGGATACGCCCGCTCATTCGTCGCGTGGGACTAAGCTGTTGAATAATTGTTAATTGGTAGGTTATCACCCTATCACAACCCCCGAAGATCCAAATCTGGCGGTGCACGTTCGAGAGCGGTCCTTCTCAGCCTCAAACAGGCTCAAATTTGAGACGGCATGGCGTAGACGGCGCGCATCCCTGATTCAGATCGAAGCTCCGTCCGATGCAACTCGAACTGTTCCCTGTATTTTGGACGCAACCGCTGACTATATTTGCGCCAATCTAGAATTTTCGTTGTATCCCTGAAATCATGGGTTGTATCGCCTCGAAACCCGCCGAAGCGGATAAGGATGCCACTCAGCGCAATGCCCGTATTGATCGGGTCATCAAGAGCGATAAGAAAACCATGGATCGTACTATTAAGATCTTGTTACTAGGTGAGGAACCCCGGCTGGTTCCTAAATAACCCCGCGCGCGATCACTTGGGCTGACTTTCTCACCAGGTGCTGGAGAATCGGGCAAGTCGACCATCATCAAGCAGATGCGCATTATCCACAGCAGAGGCTTTCCCGAGGAAGAACGTCATCAAACACGAGCTGTTATCTACTCCAATGTGGTCATTGCTTTCAAGGTTTTGTTAGATATTATGAAAGCGGAGAGCATTGATTTTGAGGATGAGAAGACACAGGTATGGTAATTTCTATCCCGGCCTAAATCCACGCGCTAACCGTTTCCCCAAGGGTCTTGCAGAATTGTTAGACAAGACCGAGCCCGACGTCGGCTCGGACGAGGCCTTCTCTGATTTGAAGGTCCGCGATGCGATGAGGGTCATGTGGCTCGATGGAGGCGTTCAAAAGGCCGTGGCGAGGGGGCATGAATTCGCGCTGCATGACAACCTTAGCTAGTGAGTCCATCATTTGCGTGCGGCAGGTCACAATCATGCTAATGCTTCTTCAGTTTCTACGACTCGTTGGACCGGATCTTCACCCCCGGGTGGCTTCCTGATAACCAGGACATGCTGCAAGCTCGACTTCGGACAACAGGTATTACCGAAACTTTGTTCGAGCTCGGCCAGATGAACTTCCGGATGATGGACGTTGGCGGACAACGTTCGGAACGGAAAAAGTGGATTCATTGCTTTGAGGGAGTTCAGTGCTTGTTGTTCATGGTAGCTTTATCTGGATACGACCAATGTTTGGTTGAAGACCAGAACGCTGTAAGCATATCTCTTCTCCTTGTAACATGTTGAAGTGCTGACAAAGACCTACAGAATCAAATGCACGAAGCTATGATGCTATTCGAATCACTTGTCAACGGCGAGTGGTTTAAGCGCAAGCCGATTATCCTCTTCCTTAACAAGATCGACCTCTTCAGAGCAAAACTCGCCATTTCTGCTATCTCGAGGCACTTCCAAGATTACAGCGGCTCCGACACAGACTTTGAAGCTGCTGCACGGTACTTTGCCGATAGATTCCGCGGAATCAACCGAATCCCAGACCGCGAGATCTATATTCACCAGACCAACGCCACGGACACCACTCTCTTGAAGGCGACCATGGATTCAGTCCAAGACATGATTATACAAAAGAATCTGCATACCTTAATACTATAAGGCAGTGAATCTTTTAAATACCGGTGGCCTTTATGAACGTCATTATTTGCCACGAAGTCGATTGTTGTTTCTTGTCAAGCTCTTGAGCCTACCTTTTTTTTCTTCGGTTGCATACTCCGGCGGTTAATTTTTCTTTCTGTCATGGCGACACTACGTCTTTTGCATCCATTGCCTTCCCGACTTTCCTTTTTCGCATGAGGCGTCTTGATGATAGAGTCGTCGGCCCTCTGACGTATCCTTGGGTCTGTTACGTTGCATCCCAAAAGTCCGTTCGATTTCGCCAACTAATGCCACGCTCCAAGCTCTGTGATGGTTTCCTTTCTCTACTTTGTTTTTGTCTTTTTTGATCATGCAGGATGATACCACTATTTCACTTCTTTGTCGCTGCAAATTTGTTTTGTTTACCTGACGACTGTATTACTACAGGTCTTATTTTCTTTGGTTACTTATAACTTGAATGAAGTTGATATATTAGTCTTAAGGTTTCTAAACTATAGTCTATTCCGTTTTTATAGCATCCATGTCAGGCATCGCACTACTCGGCATTGGCTAAACTTTAGGACTCCAGGGCTGAACGCTTACACTGAAGGAGGTTGCACAGGGAGGAACCACCGGAGAGTATTCGAATCGTTCATGACTATTATATAAGGGTATTACCACTGGATCTCGAAAAACAAGGTAGAATAGCCGACTTGTAGATCAATATGCGAGTGCTAGGTGCTGTACATGTACTAACTACATTTGCATCCAATCTGGTTCCCCAGAGTAGTCTCATCAAATTGCTTATATATGATCTCAAACATTCTCAAGCCGTATATTTTGAGTTCACTAATCCTGCATCAGAAGTTGTGGAATAACCTTGAAAACTGCCAGTTCAGCCCATTGGACGCCACTTGAGTCAGGCACCAAATTACATAATCCCCGCATGATCAGAGACGCCGAGTTCCGGTCCGATGATTTCGCCTCCGAGCAAGTTCATCTTCACCTTCTTCCCCAGTTCCTGGGTACCACGCCAACCATGTTGTCAACATCTATACGCCGGGCCGCATGGGCGCCTCTCTCCAGTGCACCTCGCGCTGCCCAGAGTGTCCCCTCCACCGGTCTTATCGGCGCAACCCGTTACGTGCACCAACGCCGATACTCCTCATCCTCCTCCAAACCACCAGTCCCTCCCAGTGACGGTTCTCAGCGGCTGGATACCTCTACTCCTGCAAAGAGTGTGAACTCTTCTGGCGAGAAGAGCAAGGCTACCCGCCGCCGAGGCAAGGACTCTGGCGCCCGCAACGGATCTTCCAAGTCCAGCGGGCAGCATGCGGCATTTTCGAAGCTCCCCAGTGTCCCCTCGACACAGCACCGACAACCCCATGGTGAGTTTCTGATAGCTGAGCAGAGCTTCACATGCTTCATAAATGTATTTTATGCTAATTTTGTCTCCGCAATAGACGTTCACGTTGCCTCGTTCTTCTCCATTCACCGCCCGATCTCCGTGACCACCACGGTCCCCCCAACCTCGAGCTATGAAGCTTTCGAATCGATCTTCTCCAAGAGACTCATGAAGAACCAGCCCGACGATGTCATCTTCACCCTCTCGAACACCGTCCAGTCCATGGAGGGCGCTAACGGCATGTCCGAAGCTGAGGATCCGTTCGGCCAGATGCACGGCCGCTTCGCCAGCGATGCCAACGGCGATCTCCAGATGCTCGACAGCCCCGAGGCACACATGTCCGTCGAGGAGCTCACCCGTCGTCTCCGCCCCTTCCACCCTCCCCCACCCCCGGTCCCCATGAACATGAGCGCCGAGGCCGAGGCCATGGAGTCTCACGAGGCCCAGAGCGAACAGGATACCACCTACTCCACCGTCCTCACCATTCGGGAATCTCGTCACGCCGATGGTCGCAAGACCTACGAGGCGTCGACTGGTCCCTTTGTCCGTGACGAGATGGAGGCCCCCGCTGGATTGCGTGATGAGCTTACCATCAACGCTCCCAGCTCCAGCACTGGCATGACCTACGTTGAGCGTCTGCGCCACAACTCGTCCATGCATGCTATTAGCACCAAGAGACGGCGCAAGGTGAAGATGAAGAAGCACAAGTTCAAGAAGCTGATGCGGAGAACACGCACTCTCCGTCGTAAGCTCGACAAAGCTTAGAACTGGGGCGATTTCGCGTTTCCATTTGTTTGGTGTCATTTCTTCGGTTTTCATCGGATGCATCTTTGGCCTGCTTCTTGCATCTTTGCTGGGTTGAGGGGGGTTAGTATCTGAGTTGTAGGGCATATCCTCTTCTTATCCCTCCAGTACATTGCTATCTTATATTCCTGGTCATTTTTTACTTGGCTTCCTCTATACTACTATCCTAACATCCGCCAATTCTTTTTTTTTCTTTTTTGGAACGTCGAGGCAGAAGCTGTGGTTTTGGCCGTCTTTGTCTTCCCTTATGTGTGGCATATCCTGCCTCTCATGCATTGCGGGCTACCCTATAGAATCTTTCTCTTGATAAACACCCTGTGTCTCATTCCTCATAACTTCTACGGTTGCTACCGCTCGTAATTCGAAAAACTAGAATCATATGATAATATTCCAGCGACTGGTGTTCTGAAAATGTGGTATCTCATCGCAAATTCAAGCGTGTCACACAAAGAGTACACAGTATCTCCAGGGCCCAAGGGCTTATGGGAGAGATGTACTAGAGCTACGAAGAATCCAGAGCATAATGCACAAATCGGGATTGCTATATCATATCGAATACAAGGACTTGACAAGCCAAATAAAAAGACAAGAAGAGTCAAACCGAGAGTAAAAAGTTAGAGAAAGGAGGGTCTCCAGCAGCAGTGAGACCAACAAGACAGTCAACCTCACTGCAACCATAAGACGAAAGGGGGGAAAGGGTCCCAATCAAGCGAGACTCAATATAAAGTACAGTATCCAGCGCGCGCATTCATGCAATGTAAGCCAATCCAATATCTACCCACACCTGTCCAACCGTTGGGATCCAATTGAAGTGTCCCCCGATTCTACATACCACAGTGATCGAAAGAAGAATTTCCCATTCACAAGTCAAATGAATTTATCATAGCCGAAAATCTTTTTCCATCTTCACACTAGTCCTCGTACCCGACACCATGGGACGGAATAATTAACGCGCTTGTCATGTCGGGTTCAAGGTTCACAAATTGACACGTCGGACTGCAAGACATCTCACAGGCTCGATGAGTGAGATGTCAAGTGTCCGAACGTTGTATCGAGGCGCTGCTCATTTAACAATCTGCTTTAGAGCGGGAGTTCATGAGAAGAGCGACAATCAGCCCGTAAAGACCTAGAGGGACAATGTTAATGAAATACAATTAGCTTGCTTGGAGCAGAGAGGACTTACCCAAGACTTCAGCGAAAATGAGAATCAAAATCATTCCAACGTAGAGACGAGGTTGCTGAGCAGTTCCACGAACACCAGCGTCACCGACAATACCAATAGCAAAACTGTGAGGCCTCCCGTTAGCGTCCAGAGTCATGTGGAAGTTAAGTTGAGATTGAGAATCGGACTTACCCAGCGGCCAGACCGGCCAGACCGACAGCGAGACCAGCACCCAGCTGGATGAATCCAGTGTATAGAGGGAGCTGCTGCTTCAGGTCGTTGGCGACCAGGACGGACACGACGAGACCGTAGATACCAATGATACCAGCCATGACAATGGGGACAATGTCTGTTTGTAGTCAGTATATACGTCCAGGCATTGCGATAGATTCGCTGGATTGATGGTTCTCCAGGGTCTGAAGCTTGACGTACTCTTAACGATCAGGTCGGGACGGAGGACGGCCATGGAGCAAACTCCGACACCGGCCTTAGCGGTACCGTAGGCAGCACCGAAGCAGGTGAAGACGATGGCTGAGGTGCAACCCAGCGCACCGAAGAAGGGCTATTAAAGAGATATCAGTCATTCCGCCGATGTGATTTTGACAAAGCGGGTGCCGGGGTTGGGAGGGGCGGTTATGACGGGGTCGCCGCTTGAATCGACTCGATGATGATCGAGGGAGCTAGACTTACCGCATAGACGGGGCTGTTCAAGATTGCAAGTTAGCAGGTGTTATCAATGCATGTGTGCCCATGATGCTTGTGACAGTCCGAAGGTCGGTAGCTGTCAAGCACCCAGGGGGCGGGAGTCATGATGACAACGTACCAGAGTTCTGTGGCCATTCTGACGGATGATGCTCGACAAGGATGTCGAGGGGAGATCGGAGCTTAGATGAGATGGAAAGATCCGAACGTAAAGGCGTGGACCGAAGAAGAGGTTAGCGGTGATCGGGAGGGAGAGAGCCAGCTACGAGGTCAGAGGCCACCACGCTGGTGCTGCAGTCACGTGTTTTCTTGGCACGGCATCAGGATCCACATGAACGTATACATCGAACACCAATCTGAGATGCATTGTGATTATCGTACAGATCATTTTGCAGATGAAATGGTTGTATAGGGGGTATCTGAAACTTTGAAGTTCCTTATATCTAAGAAAATGGTATATAATTTATTGCTGTATACAACCACCTTGACTCTGCCAAAGAGGCTAGGAATGCTTCTCAGACTCGACTCCAGACATTTCAGGTAACGTTCAAGTTGTTTTCTTCATATACATTCTTAATTTAGCTTGAAAAGCCTCAAATCCATAAATTTGCATCACTTTATTATGACAAGGCCCATCCGCCTAGCGATAGCTCAGAGAAGGGCCTGATTGGCATACATGACAACAAGCTCGGTCGAATAGGACCTTCGGAGATAGTCAACTTTTCAGAGCATCATCTACACAGTTTGCGAAACTTTGAAATGTCCAGAGTGACAATTGTTGCATTGTCTCGAGCCCAAAACGATACCTAGGCATATCCATAGATGGACCAAAAACAAGGCGGCTTGCAGAGATGGTAGAAAATGAGTGGAAAGTACAGGAATGATTGAGGAGAGATGGTAAAAAATCGATCAGAGGAGGGCGTATTCAAACTCGACTGCATCGCGCCTTCCAGAAATAATTGATCCTGCCTCCCAAGAATAATAATACGATGCCACTGGCTAATGCCCACATGCGCGTAACTGGGCGGTGCAAAATAACAGTAATATTACGTATATGATACTAACTGTCGCCATGAGTGAAGTGAAATATATGAAACGTAATACCTACCACGCTAACCCAATACGGCGGCCTGTCCGCGGATCCGCGGACGTCGGGCCTCCATCAGGGACCCCCCCGAAAGTATTATCATTTTCATTGGTTTCCTCGAAGAACCTAATAGGAATGTCTTGAAGCTAGTATTTGCCCGTGGTGTATAAAGAGTCCCGCGGACCTCCGCGGCCTTGTGATATCAGCGCCTTTCCATCAGACGGTCATTGCCAATTAGCACTGTTTGGGACTATACATCATGAAGAGAGACGTCGACGGTAATCCAATAACAGCAGCGAGCAAGTGGGCTCGACCACCTCTGTCGTGTCAAGCTTGCCGTGAGAAGAAACGTCGATGTGATCGCACTCAACCATGCTCAAACTGTGTGCTCAGAAACATCCCCTGTGAATATTCTGGACAAAGTCCGGAAAGCTTGAGTGGCCCAGAGCCCTCAAAAGGGCTTATTTCGACCAAATTTAGGCAGACTGCAACAACACGACCCACACATTTGGCCCCAAAGTAGGCCGCCTTTACTTCCAATATTGCTCCATGTCTTACTAACACCCTTCAAGCAACTCTGATGAGATATTATATCGGTTAAGAAGATTAGAAGCAGCTTTCCTTGAGAAGTCTAATTCTCCTCAAGGACTTGTACCAAAGCCTCATGGTGGTTTCATGAATCCGGATACCTCACATGGGCAAGATCAGGTAATTTTCGACCTATTTTTACTTTCAAATCAATTCGCACTCAGCATACTTACTCGTCGCCTAGGTCTTTACTTCACATTATGTCACCCCGTTCAGCGTCCATTATATGTCATCCCCACATGAAAAAAACATTGGTGCACCCGATTTCCCAAGCATTATGGAAATGACGAGGAAGCTGCCACCATTACGGCAAGCCAGGGAGCTGTTCAACCACTTTGCAGTAACCCTGCAGCCAACCTTCGGCGTCCTCCATATCCCCTCATCCCGCGCGATGATGGAAAAGGTATATGAATGCATTGTTGAGGGTGAAGTACCCCCGGCTGCTGATTTGATGCTGCTCTTTAGCATCTTTGCCGGCTCATCTCTGGGCTGGACACCTGGCCTTTTGGAGAAGTTGAATGCGACGAGTGAAGGCGCACGGGCGGCTTTGATAGCGTATAGTCGGTTTGCATTGGCTATATTGGATCATCCTTCGCGGGTTTTACAGCCATCAACGACTGCCCTTGTAGCCATCGGCACGCTGGGGCACATAATTCTAAATACGGATGGCTTCCCGTCCCGCGTTCAAATTCTTCGTCATCACTGTCTACTGATGTCGAGGGAGTTGAAGATCCATCGGCTAGACACGGCAAGAGCTCGTGAAGAAAGAAGACTGCAAGGATGCGATATGATTGATGTCGAGATTCAACGACGAGCCTGGTGGCATATGGTAGCATCTGACTGGTATTTTCCCAGCGCTCCGAAACAAACAGGCCATAGCTGACCATTATAGGCTTCTTTCGTTCTCTGGTGGTCCCCAGGAAGGTGCATACATCTTTCAAACCAAACACATGAACGTAAATATGCCCAGCAACACGGACGATGAGCTTATCACGAGTACTGGAGTCCAGCAAGATTTCCCATTGTCTGTGCCCACGTCGATGTCTGCTTTCATTACTCGAGTTCAGGGTGCAGATCTATGTCGTCAAGTGATCGATGCTCTTCCATCCGTTTTACTCGACTCTCAAGAGCCAGACTACAAAGTCATCCTGGAGCTAGACTCTAAGTTCCACGATCACATCGCCAGCCTTCCTGTATATTTCCAGCTGGACAAAGAAAGTATTGAGCAGAGTCGGCAACTCTGCAAAGAGCGGCCATATATTGCTTGGCAGCGACTCAGCGTTCACTTCGGCCTCCACACACGACTTTGTCGATTGCATAGACCCTACCACCTGGAAGGTATAACGAATCGCAAATATGCGTACTCGCACATAGTATGCATCCGTTCGGCGCATAAGGTCCTGGAACTCCGGCGTGCGATGGATGAAGTGGCCCCAGAGGTTGGACTGAAAGCCGCCAGGGTCTGGACTGTCATGCACCATGTTTTTTTTGCCGCTTTGATTCTCGCAATGGATGTATCGTTTAATCCTATCGCACCCGATGCGGAGGCTCGGAAGGCTCAAGTGCTTGCTGCCTACGAGACTTTGGAACAATCTAGGCGAGAGTCTAATGACCTGATGGAAGGCATTCAAAAAAATTTACAGACCTTGATGTCTACATTGCACAAAAAGCGATCGCAGACATCCGCCCTACCAAAGGATGATGCAGCCCAGGAGGGACTGGTCGCCCCGTCCTCAACAGGAACCCGATCGGCAAATGAGAATAGCGAACCTGTGACTGCCCACGACGAGAGCACGTCTCTTGCACCGCCATCTTTAAGCGATGTTGATGGCTATGACCTACTCAATGATCTAGGTCAAGATGAGTGGGAAAGACTTTGGTCCGACTTTGTGGTTGTGGCCCCCGATTTAGATGCACCACAGTGGAACTCTTTGCTGGAGGATGTGGATTTTACTCCCCACCTGAAAAAATACTAGGCTGAAGTATCTCAGATTTAAAAATAATTCAGATGCAGCCCTATTGGGGCGTCATTCCCCTAAAAGCCTTAAAGTTGTTCAAACTCTTCCCCAAACAAGGAGTGGACCCGAAAGAACCTTGGAAATCCTGTACAGTTCGGCTTGCGTCAGGGGCTTTTTCATATTCAGTGTGGATTTTCTTGCTTTCTCAGCCACTTCCAGTTACACACCCCTGCACGAACTTTTAGGAACTTGCTAGGAACCAGCCAGAAGTGAAGTCACTACAGTCATGGGTGACCAATGAAGCTCGTGGTGGCTGCAGCATGGCCTTGGCAGGTGGGGGTCCGAGGCACGATAGGGCTGGACCGTTGGTTATGATGCGCCACAGGTGACGAAAGGGATTTCTTAGCGGCCTCTTTGGGATCGTCACTACAGTATCATGCGACTCCGTGCAGACCGAGAAATGCTTCCTAACTTAGCCATGAACCAGGTCATGGCGCCAAGCTTTCCTTCCAGGCAACCGGCAAAACACGGCATAGGATAGGACAGTTGAGAATAGAGCTGAGAAAGGGATTGGTACAGGGCGACAGTGAAGTATAGAATTCAATTAATAATCAAATCGTATTTCTAGGGGGTGTAACAGGTGCGAACCCTACTCCCGTGTAGGCCGTGTAGGCTGTGAACCTTGGGATGATGATCATCCTAATTTAAAATTCAATAGAAACGGCAGAAAACCTTGCTTATCTTAGTGACAGCCACAGGCAGTGAGGTTTCGAGCCAATGAAAACCCAGGGATGTGCAGGTGCGCCACATGTGTGGCGTCAATGATGTAATAGATGAAGCTCTCTTGTTCCCGTTCCGTTTTCCAGTTTAAAAGAGCTCCGCATTTCCTCTTCCCTTCGGATTCTCTTCCTCATACTCAATCCTTCGTGATACTCACATCCCATCAACATGCCTTTCACCGCTTCGTAAGTTCACCCTTGTTGACTCAGGAGCTATCCTCTTGTTTCGCATGCTATGTTCTCTTGGCCCTGGCTTCCCATGTCGCACGAGGGCCACTGCCAGAAAGTTGGAACTGACTCGGAACTCTAGTGATATCTGCAAGATCATCTTCGCCATCATCCTGCCCCCTCTGGGAGTCTTCCTGGAGCGCGGATGTGGTGCTGACTTCCTGATCAACATCCTACTGACCATCCTTGGTTGGTTGCCTGGTGTTATCCACGCCTTGTACGTTTTCTCCTCTAGACCGATATCATCTGAGAGTTTCCAATACTAACATTTGTCCTCCCTTACAGCTACATCATATTCAAATATTAATCACGCTGAAATGACAACCCATGGCGCCCTGCCTCGACCCATGCCTTTCCGAGCAATATTCAACGAGAATATAATTCGTTATCCGCTGTGTTGCATTCCACTAGCCATTCCTAGCTCCCCTGGAAATGCGCACCAGTGGCTGAAGGGTCGAGTGCAGCCGTCAGCGTGATTCCGCAGAGCTCCGAGACTAGCCTGCATTCCCCACCACCGGGCATGGCCGATACGATGTTCATAATTCCTTAATGTTGGTAGTGTGCTATGTGGGCACCGCCAAGGATTTTTTTTTGATTCCACTTTCCTATGTGCGATTATCTTGCGGGTTTTCTTTTTTTCTTTTCATGCTTTTCGAATGATACCACCTCATCTTGTATGACTCGCGGGCTTGTGTTGGCCTGGGGTTGGTTAGCTTTTTCGAATGGAATGGCAATTATTTGATTCCGATATTGTTCCAGCTGTTAACGTAGTAAAGTCCACTGAGACTGGGGATCATTACCACATGGATGTAGTGGGACCGCTATATGTGACTATTGGATATTGGAGTATGCCGTTGGGCTCTCCGGACGACACGGATATACAAGGATTCTCACCAAGGACCTTGTATTATTAAGCAGTCGAGTGCTTCGTGATTGACTTGGTCCTGGGAGCAAGGATCGGCGTCCGCGATTATAAGTAGATCGGTTTGGAGTATCCTTCCAGAAGCCTGACGTGGAAGCCCGAAGATCGACTCTCATTGACCAACCGCTTTAGTTAAAGACCACAACTTCAAAACCGAGTATAGCAGATCAGCGATCACCGCCTCAACCGCTCTGAAACACAGTCTCGATACGTTGACTGGGCGCTGCAAGGCAAGCGCCCCCCTTTGAGGCCCGGCGCGTAAAGTCGGCGGGCCCGCAGCCACCCAACCAGGTCAGGGCGCTTCACGACCACCACCATTCGTTCATACCGACAAGAACAGGATTGAAGATGTCATCTGGTTTCAACATAGCGCCTACATGCATTGCCACAATGCCTCGTTTCATTTCCGAGCTGAACTTGATTTGCTTGGTCGTTATAAGCTGGTCAGCGTCATCACGCCCGGAGTCATCTCGCGCCTGAGATCGCGACGCGCCCGACACTTTCGTGTTTAATAATGCCCGTGGCCCATCTTGGAGGCGCTTGGTGGCTTTCCTTTGATTCTATCCTTGATCATTCTTTGATAACATCCGAATATACACCCAAAAATACAGCTGTGCTGATGATGATCAATTCAAGGACTACTTGCCTTCAAGGGTAGTCACTCCTATGTATTATCCGATCAGGTCAGTGTGAGATAGAAAAGGAAAAGAGAAACAGCTTCTCACCAAGTTCAATCATATAGAGCTGTCACAGCATGCTCCTCCATCCTGTTTACAGGATACTCGCTGCGGCCCTCCTGCTAGTCGCGTTCTGTGCGGCCAGCAGCGATACCTCCGATCGAAAGAATGCCGCTCTTTGGGATATGGTCCCTGATTGCGCTCGAAATTGCACAGAAAACTTCATTCAAACCGAGTACACGACGGCGGAGTGCAGTGACAAATCGAATATCAAGTGTTTGTGTCGTTCGGGAACACCCAGCAATCTTACCATTGGGGAAGCAGCCTTGACCTGTGTATATGCTTTATGCTCGGAGAAGATTAAGAAAAGCACAGAGGTTTATCATATTTGCGACTCGGTGTCAGGGCATCTGGCTGAGACACATGCCACTCTCACTGCAACTACGTTTGCCCCTGCGTCCTCGACGACGACATCGACAACGGCCGAGGTGACCACCAGCTCGACTACAAAGAAGCACACGGTAGAGTCTACTATTGAATCTGAGACGTCCACATCCACATCTACAACTTCGACGTCGATAAAGTCTGACCCAGCGGCCGAGATTACTTCCTACCATCCATCGACCTCTGCGTCCGAAGTATTGCCCTATACTAGCTCTGACACATCTACCACAACACCGACAAATTCCTCAACATCCGCGACTGGCAAAAGCGATAGCCATCATGTCAGCCCAGGAACTGTTATTGGTGTCTCTGTTGTATCTGGTGTGGCCGGCTGCTTCATAATAGGGGTTGCTGTATTCTTCTGCGCAAAGAGGTGGAGGAAGAAGAACCAAATAGATTTTGAAATTGGGGGAGATATGTCTGAGCCCTCTGGTTTCTCGGAGCCATCATATTCCCGAGGGCCTTCGCCAAATTTGAATCCAGGCCCTTCGGGTCTGAACACTATGCGAAGTCCGCTGGAAATGTCTCAAGTGTCACTGCCATCGCGTTCTTTGCAGTCAACTCCATACCCTCAGAATTCCACCGCACCGGGCATTCGTCTGGTGGAAACACCTCGGGATGAACAAAATCAGCGAATAGGTTGTGCAATTACCTCCGAATCGGATTGGGAAGGCTCACCCCGGACAGTGGATTCACAACATACACTGGCAGAGCTGCTACCAAGTCCAAGCGCCGGCTTAGTTCCCAAACCACTGAGATTGTGGTATCGACCAGCTAGTACAGGGACCGTATTTGAAGAGGACGAAAATCATGCCATAGCAGAGAAGAGTCTACCTCCTCTGCCCAGTACAAGGAGGTATCAGAAATCAAAACAATCACCGGTGATTCTGGGCCTCCCATCCAATCCTCGAGCTCCAAAAGAGGGATTTCCAGCATCGAAGTTCCGACGTGTCCAACCCCAACAGTCAAGCCCGATACAAACATATTCACCCCGCGAAAAACCAGCAGGTCCTCGCGCCCTAGGACCACCTTTCTACGCCACTCAAAATCGCCGGTCAATAATCTCAAACAGCAGCAGTGGGCAAAATGATAGCTCTGGATTATCAGACTATACATCCAACACCTACCTCACAACCCCACCTTTCAGTACTGCGCAGGGCCGCATCCTCACTGGCACCTCCCAACGAAAACCTCATCCACCTACCCAAATCTCACCATCACCCAGCACCTTAGCCCCAGCACCAGACATTGTGTCTCGACCACGGATCGTCCGCGGAGAAGATATCAAGCGCATCCCACCTGGCGAACGGCCACCTAGCGAAGTCGTTGTCCCATACTGCCCAGAAGACTTTTGGCTCGAACGCGGTCGAGGCCCCTCTCGCTCTGTCTCCACTGAACTTCCATATCCATCGGATATGTTCCCGGGCGTGGTCCTATATCCAGATAGCCCGAAGAAACGACCTGAAGATGACCCGAAGAGGATATCGCCTACAAGCAGGAATTTAACCCCCTCCAGAAGAGGTGATGATCTGATCCTCAGTGTAGATTAGATTTCTTCTTTCTCTATGTTTATATTTCTCTCTTATTTTCTAGTGAATCTGGCTGCAGCGGGCTGTTTCTGGATTTGCTTTATGTACATTAGTATCGATGCAAGTGGGTAAATAGCGACCTTGATTTTGTATAACATTTGAATTTGTACCCAGTGACCCTGTGAATTGCCTTTCTATAGCTTTGATAAAACTTGACCTCCTCGCCCTGTCGACGTCTGTCCGCCCCATTCCCTTTCCACCAACTCCTCTTTCTTGTACTCAACTCCTCCCCCTGTCTTGCATCTCGCTCTAGAACCTGAGTGGTAGGGCAAGCAAAGGAAAAACTCTAACCACCTCCACGAGAAGGATCAGTCAGTTTAAATGACCTAGCAGAATAAATTGAAACGCTTTAAAATATCGATATCCTAGAACTTGAATCTGAACAACTGGACGGACTGAACAGCCGGGAATGAGAAGAAAGTCATTAAGGTTTTGGAATGAGGGCTTTAATGGTCCGTGGAATGCAAAATAGAAAGTAAGAACATGGCAATATACTTGACAGCAATGACAGGCGGGGAAGGTCCACTCAAGCGGAAGAATGGGTCGGTATTTTCACCTTTGAGATCGTCGAGATTTAAGAATTAGCTCGGAATGGGAGTCCCTAAAGGCCAGGTGATATCTATACAGTCGCCCTTGAAGCAGAACGAATGGAAGATGTAACCAAATCAATGACAGACACGGAGTCAACTTCGGAAATATGTTTCCAGTACGACCTTAGCATAGACCTCAATATGTATAAAAAGCAACTATTTCCCCAGTCCAAATTTCACATCCAACAGCTTAAGAGTCCCTTTATCACTTCATCTCTATTGGGCATCCCAAAGCCGTTAAACACTCGGTATCATCCTCCACCCACAATGCTGGCAACCGACCTCATCACCCTCCTGGCTTTCACCACCCTCTCCGCCGCCCAAGGAGCGGCCTACACGAACCAATGGGGCTATGTAGGCTGCTTCCCCTACTCCTTCGGCGGTGCCACCACTGGGGCAGGCTCAACCATCACGACCATCGCAGGATGTGCGTCCTATTGTAACAACCAGCCTGCTTACTATTACTTTGGAGTTTCCACGCCTCTCGGTGCTGCGACTGAGGGGGGCGAGTTCTGCATCTGCACGAATAGTCCAACTTCGTTGACCCCTGTGGATAATGGTCTATGCAACAGCACCTGCCCAGGGCATGCCAATAAAAACTGTGGTGGGACCAATGGGGCTGGCTATTACTATGTGTCATTGTTTGCGTTCATCTGAGTTAGATTTGGCTGTCTCTGGACATAGGATTGAGTGATATGACAAGAAATGTGACTGAAATGGTGTTTTAGTAGGATGTTGGTTGGGATTGTTACAATTGGATGTTCTACTATTCATGCTGTTTCTGGCGTGTCAATATCGGGATGTTTCTTTACTTCCTTAGATTCAGAAGTCAGAACTAATAAGAATTAAATGCAGATGTCTGAGCTGGCTAATTATTTATGTTAAACTTCCCCCCAAATGGCACAACGTTGGAACCATACCCACACATTATCCACGCACATTAATTCAAGTCGCCTTTCGACTTTTCCAAGCTCTTCAGTTCTTCCAGACTCTTGGATTCTTCCAGGCCCTTCGACTCTTCCAGGCCCTTCGACTCTTTCAAGCTCATCGACACTTCCAAACCCTTCGATTCTTCCAAGCCCTTCGATTCTTCCAAGCCCTTCGATTCCTCCAAGCCCTTCGATTCCTCCAAATCCTTCGTTTCCTCCAAATCCTTCGATTTTTGCATATTCTTCGACTCTTGCAAGATATGATCTGTCTCCAAAGCCTTATTCATCGTGCGACCAGCAACGAGTGGCGTAGCTAGAAGACCAAGAGCCCCAATGCCCGTCATGACCTCGAAAATAGAGTCCAAACCATACACATACGCATCCAAAACACCTTCGCGCAAAGAACCAGCGGGCAGGGTTTTAACTGTGCTGATGTAACCTTCCGCATTTTGGGCGATAGAAGTCGGAAGGCCCAATTCGCTCAGTTTTGTCGCCATGAAATTCTGTAGCACTGTCGAGCCAATGATAACACCGATGGCAAAACCTAACGTTCGGAAGAAGGTGTACATTGAAGCGGCGTATGCCACATCCTTGGCTGGTGCGCAGGCCTGTGCGGCGACCAACAGTGCGTTGAACAACACTCCGTGACCAAAGCCTACGAAGGCGAAGATGAAGATCCAGGACGCTGTGCTGGTGTGTCTGTGTAGGATGATGGTTACGCCAGTGGCTGCGACTGTAGCCACCCATCCGAGCCAGAGGGCCCAGCGGTAACGACCAGTTTTGGAAATGACGAAGGCGATCACTATGCTCGTGGGCATGAGGGCAACGGAAACGGGTAAAAGGCCAACTCCAGTCATGACACCAGATTCAAACTTGATAGCCTCTAGCCACAGAGAGAGATAGTAGAGGCAACCGTACATCTGAGAAATAAGTTAGTACATAATTGTTTTTCATCGGAATTTGAGCACCATGGGAGATCTCACTATAGTGCCCTGGACAATAGCGGCTGCATACACCGCCAAGGAGGATCGGTCTGTGAGGATGGAGAGCCTGATGAAGGGGTGGCTAGTTCCAAAGAACTCCCAAAGTGCCGTTGCGATGATACCAACCACGCCAAGGCATAGCGGGATCAACGTCTGGTAACTTCCCCACGAGTACTGCACTCCGCCCCACGAAAGGCCGATCAAAAAGATAGAAATACTTGCAATAAACAAGACCTGACCGATCCAATCAACTGAGCGAAGCTGCACCCCACCTTTCTGAAACCGAACTGAGGCGAAGAGCATCACCCCCGCTAGAACAGAGAGAGGGAAATTGATATAGAAGACCCAGCGCCATCCCGTGGAGCTACTGGTATACTCCTCAAAGCAGCCACCGATCAAAGGGCCGAGGATAGTCCCCAATGCCATAGACACCTGAACGATGGCAGCGTACTTGGGCCGTTGACGCAATGGGACCAGATCAGTGATAATGATCATCGCTAGTGGAATGAGACCACCGCCGCCCACGCCCTGAATCGCACGACCAGCTAAGAGGGTAGCCATATTGTGAGCGACGCATCCCACGATGGAACCGATCACGAAGAGGCCCAGCGCGGCAATGAGCGCTTTCCTTCGGCCGTATATATCGGAAAGAGAGGCCCATATAGGTTGAAACCCTGCACAAGGGACCAGGTACGCGCTGCCCACCCACAATGTGCTGGTAGCATCGCCGTTAAGATCCTTGGCGATAAGCTGTTTCCAGGATTAGGTATGACCGAAAAGGGGACATGAAGCAAGTACTAACTGGGAGAATGGGTAGAAAAATTGTCATATCCAATGAAGCCATGATCCCGATGATAGACAGACACAAGAGGACTTGAAACACCTCTTTGCTTGCCTTCCATTCTGGCTCTTCGACAGCAGGTCGACACGCCTCTGCATCTTCATTTTGCTTAAAGCTTTCGTCGATCTGTGGTTGACTATCATGCGTCATTGTGCCGACTGTAAGCGGAGGATAAGAGGTGAGAAACAGTCAAGTCAACCAAACGAACTTGAACGATAATGAGCTGGGATCAAAACAGAAAATTAGTTCAGGTCTTAGCGCCAATGTCTCACCCCTAGACATCTCGGGTAGTCGAAGGCTTGTTTGCTCCCTAAATCCACATTTGCCTTCAATATTGATTATTGATGCAGTTTTTGCTAAGCTACGACGATCACAACTGAAAGGAAAGACAGTCACACGCAATGTGCCTTGCTGCCTACAGTATCGATGTACCATGTCGCTATGGAGTAAATCTTGCTGCAAGTCCACAAAATAGGAAGCACCTGGGACTCCTGCAACGTCGATCAAATCCACAATATAGAAATTTCTTGAGAAAAATACGATACAATACGCAATACACATATTCGAGTCAGTCCGCATAAGATCCGGTAATCATTCGCGCGTGAATAGCTGGAATGAGTTAACCGAGCCGGATGACCATCTTCAGCTAAGTGGATCGGCCCGTCACCTTGGGAATCCTCAGCTGAGAACTTGATTCATCATAGACCCACTTCTGTATCTTGCATATGGACTAGCGATGATCAACGATCCTTCGGGTCGTTATCCTTCACCGTAAATTTAGGTTTGTGTGGTACGGAAAAAATAAAGAAAAAAGCTTAGCGATACGAAGACTACATGACAACGTTACAATTATTTTGTGTAAACCGCTGTGTTGGCAAAATCACCTAGACTCCAGGAAATCCATATTTTGAAGACTGAACCGTGGAGGTCATTCGTAAAATTGTGTAGGTTCGTATTATGTATGCAAGGAGATCATGTGGCGCTTATGACCAATCGCTCGTTCGATAGCTAGTTTGTTTTCACTTCCACCACCAACTACAGACATCAAATTTCCCTTATCTTTGCTTCAGCATTTGCATGCCGGTCATGTTGCTCGTAGGATAGTCAAGCAAATGCGCAAGCCCAATCCGTATTTATCCAAGCCACCAAAACTCACAGCTCGGCGTGGATCCAGCTCGAGTTGTGGTACATGTCCATGAACTCCGAGGCAGGGACAGTGTTCGACAGCGAGTCTGCCAAGAATCCTGCCAGGACACTCATACCAAACATCGTGTATCCGTGGCTAAACCACCACGCGCAGTTCTTGTCATCCTTGAGATTCACGCACGAGATAGTAGCAGCCAGACTGGCAGCTCCGCCACCAAGAGCACAAGCATAGTAGAGCGGACCAAGCTCAGTCAGAGCACCGATAGCAGTGAGCAGGCCAATCATCGGAGCACACATGATGGAACAGACAAGCTTGGTGCAGTTCTGGTATTTAACAGCCATACCCTTCACGCCAACGTGGATGTCATCAGCCACATCCTGGTGCGCATAAATAGTATCATAGATCATGCTCCAAAGCGTGTTGACGAGAACAACACACATAGATGGGGCGAGGAACTCCTTTTCCATAGGGAAGACATGCACCGATCGAGCACACAGCAGAGATCCCACCCCAAATGTCGTTCCCAGCACGGCTTGGGGGTAGTAGGTGTACCGCTTTGCGAAGGGGTACGCCATGCCGAGAACCACGATCGCTCCCAGGTACTTCATCACCGCCATGGGCATGCGAGTGACCAAAAGCACCATCATGGCAAGTTGCACAATAGCCCAGGTATTTGCCTGCGAGCGTGTCACGGCACCGCGAGCAATGGGCCGCACGCTACAGCGTTCAACCTTCTTGTCGAAGTCGCGGTCCACACTGTCGTTCCAGGCACATGATGATCCACGCGCGAGCACACAGCAGAGGAAAATTGTGATGCTACGGTCCACAAGAAGGAGGAGAGAGGGCTGAACGGCGGCGATTGCGGTTGCGTAGGCGAGACCGAAGATGCAGGGAAGATAGAAGGTGATGAAGCCACCCAGTCGATCAAGACGCATGAGCTCAGCGTATGGGACCCATGCTTCTGGGAGGAAGGGGAAAATTCCACTTGTAGGCCGCTGGTATGCGGCAAACTTGGATGCGGTTTTCTCCATTGATGTGGGTATAGAGTGAAGAGAATGATAATTTCAAACTGGCCGCAAGGGAACAATAAATAATGAAACCCGGTGGACAGGCTTATAGTGCTGAATTGTGGGAAGAACGATGCGATACAAGCTATATATTCTAAATATGATCCAATATCAGCTGTATCCGGCACGCCCTATGCATAGACCGAAGAAGGAAACACTCCCTATTGATCTTGGGTCCAACACCTGCACCAAGAAACCATTCCGGCCCCGCCGAAGAAGGATACGAAGTGCATACTTCCAAGGTTTTTAGACGGGAAGGTATTGATGTGTACGGAGACGGGGTCACAAACTATTCTTCAATAGAATGCCTTTTTTTTCCATATGTGGATACGGGAGAAGCAGACCCGCCCAGATGAGAACACCACATGGCTCCACTTGGCGCCACAATAAATTACAACTTAATAATTGAAACGTATCGAAGGAATGATTTTGATTGGAGGTTGAAGATCTTGAAGATCTTTCCATTTAGGTAAGGTCGTCTTTATGAGATCGGAAAAAGCGCGTGCTGACACATTCCTCCTTTTGTTGATCCCCAGGCCAGATTCAACTGCTTAAACACCCCCCTTTGACAATTACAGAATACAAAGGTTTAGTGTAAATTACAGCAAATATGAAAGTTATCATCGTGGGAGCCGGCCTGGGAGGTCTGGCTTGCGCTATCGCGTGTTGTCGCGAGGGAATTGACGTGATTGTACTAGAGAAATCACCCGAAGCTCAAGAGGCTGGAGCGGGTATCCAGATCCCTCCCAATGGCGGCCGCATCATGCGGGAATTGGGAGTTTTCTCCAAGCTGCTCGAAAAGGGGGCCAAAGTCCAAGAGGTGGAGTTCCGCCGCTATGATGATGGCCATTCACTGCGAATTATGCCTTTTGGTGATGACATCACACACGAATTTGGTGTGCCGTGGTTGTATGTTTCTAATAACTTACTGTTTATTGCTCATTATGTACTAATAAATTTATCTAGAATCATTCATAGAGCCGATTACCATCAAGTTCTTCTTGAGGAGGCAATTCGGCTTGGAGTCAAGTTTCAATGGGGTGCTACCGTTGAGAATGTTCTTACTGACGGCCCGGAGGTTATCCTCGCCGGAGGAGAAAGAGTGTCCGGAGATGTTGTGATTGGAGCAGATGGTATGTAAAAAACTGCTTCCAACCAGTTCAGGTCCTTTCTAATTGGATCTAGGAATCGGCTCTACCGTTAGAAATATTCTTCTTGGAGATACCGTCTCTTTAATCGAGACGGGTGACCTAGCCTACCGGGCAGTATTCAAGCGAGAACAGCTGGAAGCCCTCAATGATGATAAAGTCACAGAGTTATGCAAAAGAGTGGGTGTGACAAGCTGGCTAGGACCAGACAAGCACACCATCTTCTATCCTGTTCGGGATGGCGAAGAGCTCAATCTTGTTCTCCTTCGACCCGATACTTTCAATCAGGCTTCTCATCGAGAGAAAGGCGATATCTATGAGATGCGAGAGAGCTACGCAGACTGGGATGAAACGTAAGTCGATGAACGCCTAGCCAAGTACTATGACTAACTCTTTATAGACTTCGCAAGATCATCTCATGTGTGCCATCCGTTGACAAGTGGAAGTTGTCAAATCTACCGGAGCTACCATCATGGTCCAAGGTCGGTCTTGGTTCTTAGTCTTCACCACAGACCTATTATCGCTAACGTGTTACTTAGGGTGCTGTCGCTCTCCTCGGAGATGCATGTCATCCAACTCTGCCATATCAAGCCCAGGGAGCAGCAATGGCAGTCGAAGATGGAGCACTTATTGGAAAGCTTCTTGGCCTGTTGCAAGCCCGCTATTCCAAGCTTGAGGAAGATCCATCATTATCAACAAATGAGTCAACCCAAAACGAAATTGTTTCTGTACTAGAGCTCTACGAGCAAATTCGCAAGAAGCGCACTTCGCGCAGCGTCCAAGGAGCGATTATGAATCGCAAACTGTTTCACATGCAAGATGGCCTTCTAAGACGGATACGAGACTTCCTCGTGCGGTACGCGGGCGTTACACGCAAGTCTGATTGGACATGGTTATCTTCGTTCCGACAGAGACAAACTCTTGGACATGATGTTCTAGAGGAGTCGACGAAATTGTTTGAGAACTGGGCAGCTACTCACCTTCCGGACAAGAGTGGGTAATGCTTTGCCTGCATCTCTTGCATGGCTCAATACAGCAATACAGCTCTCAATTTTCACTACGTATTTCCATTTTATTTTGTAGTTTGCGTATTTACCAGCTTCTCGGGTCCACGGAAGAGGGGTAGCTCAAATTTGAGCTCGAGCTATAAGCATACTATGGAGCAAATCGGGTCCAAGGCCTTTACTAGTAACAAGCATACAATAGTCGCATAGAGTTTCACTGATCATCTACTCATTCATCTTAGAAGATTTGACGTCTGTTCTTTATGATCGGACGATATAACATATTGCTACGAGTAATCCACAATGGTTATTCCCTGTTCCCTGCCGTGTGACCCACCTGTATGCCCTGACGCTGTGGGCCCTGCGGTAGATACTAATAGTATTACCGTACAAGATAAGACAGGATCGAGCGGCTAGATGATCTGCAATTTCAGGCAAGGTATGGAGATCGATGAGTGCGCTGTCAACGAACTAGCGTCTCGCTACCGAGCATGGGGCTAAAATTGCATGAACCAGATGCCTCAGAGAACAGACCTATCCTCAAGTGTCTCGGACCTCTAGCAAATGCAGACCCGCTTTCGATAATTCGAAAGCCATCTTTCATTTTCATTCGGAAATTGATGGCGGTGTAAGAGGTTAAATTGCTTCTCACCTTACCTAGCCGCGGATTTTTTCCATTCTTTACTTTGCAAAGGAAAACTGGAAAATCAAAAGCTTACTATGGCTACCCCGTCGGCAATTACCATTGGCAGCGGCTCATTCACGGGCAAATGGGTGATTGTATGCTCCGGCCTATCAAATCCTCAATGCATTGTGATGTACGGAGCTAACACCACTTTCAGGACAAGAAAGCCTCGCCTCCTCCGGATCCTGCATTAAAACTTGTATGTGTAGCGCGCTTCCAAGATTTGGAAACACGAGCCTCCTCTGTTTACTAAACATGAACGCCATTTAGCAAGGGATAGGTTGGGTCCTGCGCAAAGCTGCTGGTCTAGCTGTGCCAACTCTCCACATGTCCATCTCGTCACCCTCAGCCAGCCGCCTCTGTACCGAGTCGCAATCTGCTCCACAGAAGGCGTATATTTCGGTCTTTCAGGTCCCCACAGCCGGGCTGGGAGCGATCACCGAGTCCCGAGTACTGGATTGGGACGAAAGGACCCCGCTGAAGGATTTTTTATTTGGAACCCGTCTATCTCGGAACCGCTTCATCACTGGTAAAAAGAGGGACGATGGCCGTGTGGTGCCCGATTTCCTCCCCGAAACGAAGATCGATAACAAGGTGATTGGTCAGATGCTGAGGGGAGAAATTGCACCCGAGGGGTCTGATGACAGTGGATTCCTGGTAGAGGGAGACGATGAAGCTGAGAATGCAGGTCTCTGGATCCACACCTTCGAATACCGGGAAGATGGAGCGTGGACTGCGGAACAGGTAAGTCTCTGCATGCTGGGGTGGGCCCGTGTGGTTATCTCTGCATTTAGCTGATTGTCATGGGAACAGATTTGGGGCTTTGAGATGATTGGGGGAGAAAGATTCCATACGAGACGATTTGTGGTCGCCGATAAAGGGGGAAATTTTGAGATGGGTCGCATTGTTTTTTCTTACTTTGGACCTATCGAGGGCTGAGCTGAAGAAGTGCAGTACGCTACTGCGGAGTTGCTGGGGCTAAGCTTTCTTCGATAGTCGATGGCGTATAGTGGGTCCCGGTGCAGATCTTTAGTCGTTCTTGGTATTGGGCGGTACGTATCGGGTGGCTCTCGGGTCGTTCGTCTACGAATCACGCTAAGATCTCGGCATTGACCGTCGACAGATTCTTAATTTATCGAGTAAACAAAAAGACGTCATGCAGCGGGCCCAATTCTCACCTCCACTTATATGTAGGGTTCATCGTTTTGTAATTCATGGTAAGCGAGCACGTTACAGCTGCCAAGTTCATTCCGTACTTGTATCCACATCGTAATGTTCCATTAAAAAAACACATTACGGAGTATGCGGTGTGTACTGGAACTAATTGGTGGAGATATACGAAGTACATAATGCAGCCCAGCTAGCTATTGTGAAAGCTTTACTCATTCCTAAAGGCTAGAAAAGCTCATTGCTATATCACATTATCCTTCTTCCCCAACATTCATACTCTCCACTTCACTTACCTTAACCGAGTCGTGTTGAACTTTCTTCAAAGTTCATCTACATCATGAGAATGCCTTCCGCCCTCAGCGAGACAAGACTGTTTCGCAAGAGATCCAGCCAAACCAAATCGCAAATCACAACCATTTCAAAGCCAGTTCCTCGTAGCGGAGCTTCATCACCAATCGACTCCACCCAGCGCCCTTCAGAAGAAAAGACAGCAGTCGGAGACTCATCGTCTAGTGACATTCTTCGAAACAACCACTCTCCCAGCCCAAAATATGATGAGATCCTTTTGGATGACACGGCAATCCTTGCACCATGCGAGTACATCCGATCACTCCCCTCCAAGAATGTCCGTGCAACGGTCGTTCAAGCCTGCAACTTGTGGTTCAAGCTGTCCGAAATTCACACCGCCGCCATCATCGATATCATCTCAGACCTCCATAATGCCTCTTTGATTTTGGACGACATTCAAGATGACACCGTCCTCCGTCGAGGAAGCCCAGCCACACACTGTGTCTACGGAAATGCTCAAGCCATCAACAGCGCCATTTACATGATCGTTAACAACTGTGCAAAGCTCGGACAACTACAGCTTGTGGGCCCAGCGGCTATGAATGCCCTGGTGAATGGAACAATCGAATTATCTGTTGGCCAGAGCTGGGACTTGAAATGGAAAGCCCACCTACACTGTCCATCTGTGGGAGAATACATGGCAATGGTTGATGGAAAGACAGGAGCGATGCTCAAGTTGATCATCCATCTGATGCACAGCATGTCAGACCAGCGTCAAATGGACAGTGCCATGCATTTATTTGACCGATTGGTACTTCTACTCGGACGCTTTTACCAGGTTCGCGACGACTACCAGAACCTGCAGGATGACACATATTCAGAGCAGAAGGGATTCTGTGAGGACCTTGATGAGGGCAAGATATCTTATCCTGTCATCGCTTGCTGCAATGCTGATCCCACTGCGAAGGATATCATTCTTGGTATCTTCCGCGAAAAACGGGATCCTAGTGTCAACCCGTTGCCTAAGAGCACGAAGGTTTTCATGTTACAAGTTATTGACCGCTCTGGGGCATTTGAGAGTACATGGAACATGTTGCAGACCCTGGGTAAAGATACCTGGGATGCGCTATTGGCTCTGGAAGAGGCTACAGGGAAGGCTAGCCCTGGGCTGCAGCAGATGATCAAGATGTTGATCAACACTGTACAGCCGCCTAAGTGCTGGTGATCAATATGTGGCTTAATTTATTTTTACTGGTATGGAGTAAGGTGTCAGAGGGCTTTTTTCCACTTTCAAGATGTTAATTCATAATTCACAATCATTTCAACAATCTAATCTTTATTATGTCCCAAGATTACGTAGACAGCAGGCCAGTGACAACTGCTATCAAATACGACGAACAGTTTTCTAGTTTCATTTTTTCCCCCTCTTTTTTCTTTTCCTCGCGTGGTAGATAAGGCATCAAGCCACCTAGATGCACCTCGTCTGCAATGTTTCCGGTTTGCGACGTGTTGAAAATGCATTGCTGCATTGTATCAAAAGGACCAACGCCACGGCGTCACCCGTATATGTCTTCCCAGCCCTAAAAGTATATTTTGTCAGCCACCACAAATCAGGGGCTCACCGGTTCATGACCTTGCAGCAACATTTGGGATCTACTAGTTGCCCCACAGTGAACTGACCCGAGAAACTCAGCCCTGGAATCAATCTAGACGTCAACTTTCAATACAACTACTAGTACGATGGAGCCGTATTGGCCTGTAACCGGGCCTTGGCCAATGGATGGGTTGTCGGCAAGGCCCGCATGAACCACACTCCACTTAAGCTCCACAGATAACCACTTTGATAATACCAAAATACGTAAATCGTGCCGCTAGGTGCAACTAAAAACAATCGGGACGTGTCTGCAAGAGCCTTGCCGCTATACGAATTACTGGCCGATCTTTCCAGTGGGCGTAGCTGTTTCCCATGAGGTGGCTCTGCTTCCACAAGCCGAGAGGGAAGCTGAACCGGGAATTCGGATGCCATGTATGTCCGAAGAATCTTTTCTCCTTCCCGCTGGCTCCGAGGAAGCAAGCACAAAGATAGGAGGATCCCCCAGGTTCGTATAAGAGGCGGCACCAATAACAGATTTGGGTTTTCAAACTGATCGATCGTTCTCTTGGCCCTCTTGGCTCAGGCCCATCTCATCGGAATCTAACTTGATCCGCACAAGTTTCCCTTGGCGAGTAAGCACTTGGCACTCCAATTAGCCTAAAATATGGACTCGGAAGAAAAATCCTCGTTCAAGGTGCTCATCGCCGGTGGGTCGATCACTGGTCTTACACTCGCCAATGCCCTCGCGCGCGCCAATGTCGATTTCCTCGTATTCGAAAGCCACGGTCGGATCGATGCTTCGATTGGTGGGGCATTGACTATTGTTAGTAATGGACAAAGAATTCTCGATCAGATGGGTATCTACGATGATATCCACCCTTATCTCGAGCCGGCAGGTGATGTATACACGTATTTGAAGGATGGGCGGTTATTAGGGAAAATGGACACGCCAGCAGTGATGCGAGAACGGTATTTCTCTTAAATTACTACGTTTGGTATTAAATATACAGATGCTGAGAGTATTGTTTAATAGACATCATTACCCGGTGGCTTGGCTGCCGCGAGAGCAATTGCTAAGAATTTTGTACGACAAAATACCGGACAAGAACAAGGTCCTCGTGAACAAGAAGATCAAGACGGTGGATCACTCAGATGATGGTGTTGTCGTACACTGTGAGGATGGTAGTGAATATGCCGGTAGTATGATCGCTGGTGCCGATGGAGTTCACAGTACCATTCGGGAGGAGATGTGGAGGCACATGGAGCAAAGCAAGAAGGGAAAATCCAAGGCGAAGAAAGATCGGAAAGGTATGTGATCCATCTCTTGTTTGAAACTATGGGTAGTTGAGACGCAGTCTAATGTGGGTGGCAGCCATCACTGCTGAATACGCTTGTATTCTGGGAATATCCCGTCCGACAGAGGGTCTGAAACCAGGAGAGATCCATCGAACCTGGGGTAAAGGTTTTACCACGTTCGTGAACGTTGGAAAGGAGAACCAGGTGTTTTGGTTTATATTTACCAAAATGGACAGAAAGTATCAATATACTGGCATTCCAAAGTTTTCAAAAGAAGACCTAGATGCCAAGGCCAAGTCCTTTTTGGATACGCATCTTTGCCCTGGTGTCAATTTTGGGTCGGTTTATGAGAATGCGATAAGTTCTTCATATGTGCCTTTACAGGAAGGAGTTTGCAAATCGTGGAGCTGGGGTAGATTTGCTTGTTTAGGAGATGCGATTCACAAGGTTTGCCCCAATTTACCCTTGTTCCATTTAGCCTCGCAAGCTGATCGTGATAGACAACACCCAACATCGGTCAAGGCGCAGCCCTAGCTATTGAAGATGCCGCCTCACTGGCTAATCATATTGTGGAAATGGTCCGCAACAACAGTGACATGACATCAGCTGATATCACTCAGTCCCTCACACATTGGGGGACCAGCCTCAGGCCAAGAGCGAAAGCTGTTTGCGATGGAGGTGCTATGTTCACGAGGCTAGAGGCCCTGGCAAACTGGCCGCTCAAGCTCGTTGCGCTGTATGTTTCACCTCACCTTGGAGGCGTCTTTGCGGATATTGTCAGCATCACTCATCTTGGAGCGCCCACATTGAATTTCCTGCCGTTGCCGGAGAGGGAGGAAACTGGTTCTATGACGGATGACTCTCTCATAGATGAAAAGGGAATCAAGGAGAAGGTGACGTCTCGGAAGATGATGAAGAAGCCAGAGTTGAAGTTGCGGTCTTATGTTCGGGCGTTCTGGGCTGTGAATCTGAAATTGAAAAGAGGCTTCTAAAGGTTCCAAGGTTGCTTGAGTGAGGGATTTCGGGCGCATCTTATATTCTCACCTCGATGAAGAGGTACGGCTTCCAAGGTCGGCTAGGTATATATTGAAAGTGATAATTGTTTTTAATTTTCCCACTCCATAGTGCAAATCAATTTCTATGTGAAAGATTCTATCTGCCCAGTAAGACGTAACATTTTGGTCGAAGGACTCGCATAAACTCTCTTCAGGGCTCTTCCTCTCTTGCTCTCGTGATATATATTGAAAGCTATTGCAGTATCCCATTCCTGATGAGCTATGAATTTGGGCACAAATAATACACTTTGTAAGTGCATTGCTCTATAATTCGTCTATCATAATTCGAAGTCTATCGCTGTATGCAGTCAAGGGTAATAACATCATCGCTATAGTCCTCGCCCAGGATTTTCCGGGATCCCTATTCATGCAATCAAAATACTCCGGGCATTCGCTGTGTTAAGAAAACAGAGAAATGACAAAATGCAGCTTCCTACTCAGGTGAGCCACAGGTGAAGACACCATGCACAGTACCAGCATTGTACTTGTTGATCTGGAGGTCAAATTAGTTTCATTCAGATGCACTTGAAATAAGCACAGCCTGGGTGACACTTACAATATCGTCAATGCTGGCATAGGTTCCTGCGACCAAAGTGACGATTCCGATGAGGAAGACAATCAGGTTGATCACTCCAAAAATGATGTTCTTAGGCTCCCTCCAGCTACCTTTCTTGAGGAGCAGGACCCACATCATTGGAGGGAAGTAGAATGTGAAACCAGAGATGAAGAGCGACGACGAGATCGAAAGGAGGTCGTTGAAGAAAGGAATCACTTCGGCAATAATAAAAGCAATAACAGTGCCAGCAGCAATAACCGCCAGCCACGTGATCCAGCCCATCTTCGTGTTGATGAACCGAATTTGGGAGTTGGCAAAAATGCGGCCATGCACAAGACGACCGAAGACGACCGTATTGATGGAACCACTGATGAAGATGACTGGCAATGCAATACCGAATGCAACACGCTTCAATAAGGTACCCGCTGAAAGGAGGGCAGGGCTCTGAACGTCCTGTCCGACGAAAGCGTAGATTAGAGAGCCGGTGAGGGTATAAATCACAATTTCGATGATACCCAAGGTCCAGATAGACTTGACATAGTCCCTTGGTGTGTGCATCTCATCCATAAAGGAGAATTGGCAGAGCGCAAAGCTGTATGCAAAAATGATATTCGAGACCGAGACGAAGGCTTCTGCGAATGTGATGCCTTCCTTAGGCCATGCAGACCAGTTCACAGCCGCAAGTCCACCAGGAGCATTGCTTGCATCCACACCAGTGGCGATAATTGTAATACCAATGGCGATGATAATGGACGCAAAATCAACGTAACCCAGCACGGCCATTTCGGTGAAGCTAGGAGGAATAGCAAGCAGGAGCAAGATCACTGCGGAGACGACACCGAATACCACTGAGCATACATCGCTCTTTGTGATATTAATGAAGGCAATCGTTCCAGTCAGGCAGTGAGATCCAGTAAGGAAAAGCAATTGAATTCCCAGCATCAGATTAATTAACTCGAACCCAAATCGAGGGCATCCTAGACGTGCACCCATCAACCGGCCAGCGTCCGCATAATGCGCAATCTCAGGGAAGGCCAGCTTGACCTTTCCAATAATCCAACTAGTATAAATTGCGACCAAACCGAGACCGACCGAGCAGATAACACCAGCGACCATGCCAAGAGTTGCGAAAGTGGAAGGAATAGACAAGCTTCCCAGCGCAATCGCTTCAACAATAAGAACGACAGTAAGACGCTTCCAACCCAGACGACTGAACTTCTGAATACCGCTCTCATAAACATGTCTGTCCGCCTCATTCATGTATCCAACTTTAATATCTCTCTCCTCGAATGGCGCGGTGGGTTGCATTTTTTCTTCTTCGTCGCGATTCGTTTCGCGGTTCTCCTCGCGAGCAGAGACATCGTTGTCGTCGTGACCATGCTGGCCATGAGAGATCTCGTCGTGATCCATAATGGCGATGAGGAACGTGAAAAAGAGAAATCAGGAAGAAGGTGGGCGAATCTCCAAAACAATTAGGGCCAACAATTTTCGCTCAGCAACCCAACGCTTATAAACGGGCAATCTCGGACAGATTCCGGCCCACTATATATCTCCAATAAATCTTGGCTTGCAATTCCTCGCCTCCACTCGTATGGCCGAACCAGCAATCAGATATTAGTAAATTTGCGCTTCTATTGCATCTTAGAGGCGGGGAAATTCAGCTCAGATAGTACATGGGGAACCCAAGTCTCATCATACCTAGAGCAGAGGGGTTATCACGTAAAAAAAATTCTGAACAATCCTTAAAAAAGTGGACCGTGACCGCATATGGTGTTGAAACATGAACGAGGTCCAAAAACAGAGTTGCCCCACATTTACCATTAGGGTTGTAGGGTTCTTCGAGTCTTCGGTGAAAAACGTAATCTTCCCGAGAATTCTCCCTTGCTCGGCGCCCGCGTCCAAACTAGGTCTCGGAACAGGGGTTGTGGAGTACGACCATTGAAATTTGGCAACTTAGTGGGGAATCATACCACTCTTTGATTCATTCATTTGGCCGAAGGTCATTGGGGTAATCAGCGGGGCGTAGGCTCGTATCCAACCTAACCTTTGCCCGCAAGGCTTAGCTACCAGAGTTGCGCCTGGGGAAGGTGTTCCTGAAGATTCAATCGTGGGGAATTGTATTTCTTGTACCTAATATAATCCACTTGATGTAATCCCGTGCATATTGACATCACAATTGACCTTCCGGGAGGACGAGAAAGCGAGAGTTGGCTTCCGGGCACCAGATAAACAATGACACTATTTGGTTACTAGGTCACGGGTTTCTCCAACAGATTGATAAATCTGTGTCTGGATTTTTCCCCGAAATTTCCTGCTTGGACTTCGTGTCATGCCATCCACGACCCACAGCTCTGGAGGTGGCCCGTCTTCCAGCAAATTCACCGCGTGGGCCTTTCGCGCCAGAGGTCTTTGGAGTCGCAAGGCTTACTATGAAATCCGCCAGGGTGGAATGTATCTCTAATGCCTTTTATTCGTACCTGTCCACCACTTCGCTCACAGTCAACAACGATATGGCTTCGTAAGGCCTGACGATGATGGGAATGAGGGCATCAAAGGTATATCAGACCATCTATGACCCGGAGACAATGATAAGGCAACGGCTTGGACAGCTCAGTCACTTTTGTTGCCATCAACACCGTTCACGCATCAATTGACACAATCATACCTGCGCAGTCTGATTTGGGCTCAGACGCGGACATATTTCGAGTTGACTTTAGGCAACTGGATGAAAATCAAATCCAGAATTCAAACTCTCATTGGGGACTTGAGGATGATGAGATATTCAATTAAGAACGGTTGGCTTCCGAGGTCTTAAAATACACATTTCACTTAGCCGCATAAAGATGCATTTCTCACTTCACATGTCGCCCCGGATCTTCCACGCATGACTGCGCTTGGGCCCACGGCACAAAGGGCGTATGCATGAAAACAAAAACGAAGATGTGCCGCCCTTAGATCGGCATTTACGCGTGCGGTTAGTTGAGGGCAACTACTATCGAAACTAGATTTGTGTCCAAGAGCCATGTTCGTCATCCCGTCCAAACGGGGCTCGAAGCAAGCCCAAATCACGGTGACACCTCAGTTCTGGAAGTTGGAAGGAAATTTGAGAAAGTGCTCATTTGCGCTGCCATGCTTGATATGGCACCGCTTGGTTCTTAATTATCACTTTTTCTGCACTCATCCTCAGTGATACGACTGGTATCCGATTTGCGGCGAACAGGCCACCAATCGGGTGAAATGCTGAGTCAGCACCCGCGTTGATGACATCATAGGTTCCGACCCCGCGGTGATGCAATATGATTCGATCACGTACCTGAACCTACCTTGGAATAACACCTGGACACGAAGCCCCGGGATACCCTAACAGGATAGTAAGGGGTCAAAGAACGGCTAGTCGGATAAAAAGTTACCGACATGTGTCGCGGAGACTCTTATGTCCTGACTTTCTCGATTACGCCACGCCAAATCAAGCTTGAATAGAGGGAGTAGTGTCCTCCGTTCGGTTGGTCCCGATTATTTGACAGGAAACAGCCATACAGATTTTGCGTGATTGGATGGCGATAACGAGCAGGAAATGCCATCATTGTTTTTGTAATTTTTGACAATGGCCCTACTCCATGAAATTCTCCCCGCGTTCTGACCACCCAGTCACAACTAGTGACTTGGTCTAGACAGACTCCACTCTGTCAATTGAGGAATTTAGCATGTGTTTCCATTCGTACGGATCAATCAGCGTCTCTGAATAGACTCTGGGCTGGTTCATTCCGGTGCCAAGGACAAGCGGGTGTGGAACCATAGGAACAACCTTCATTATTCACTCTGGATATGTTGGACGTTTACATCCGTACGACCAGTCGGGACTCAGATAAATTAAAGCCCAGGCGATGACGATGAGCAAGTTCAAGCCAACAAGTGGGTCCGAAGGCGCTCAGGAAACACAAATTCCTGATACCAAATAGTATATTAAGGGCCCAAGGCCCCCCCGCTTGATGCCATCCGTCTAACTTCCTTTGACAAGATTTGCGCAAGCCTACATTTCTCCTGCAGGTTGCATATTTCGCCCTTTTTTACCATACTACACGGACGCTCTTGCATTTAGTAACAACCCTTGTGGAAAATCATTCCAGGTCTGGGGTACCGGCGATCTCGCAGTTACAAGACCCGCTATTGGACCCACTCTCGAACGCCGCACACCGTTCACAATCCACAATGACGACCAGTACCGGGTTCGGCTCCCAGAGGGCCCGTCTTTGCAGCCTAGACGCCGACCGGGCCGACCTTTATGGTGGACCTAATGTCGTCGTCCCTCCCAAATACCTGATGGCTCCCAGTGGAGATGGTGACTTCATACCTTCCGTCAAAAAGACTAAAAATCATGAAGAAGTCGTCTTCTCGGAAGAAGAATATTTTGAAACAGACACTCCCCTCTCTACCCCGCCAATGACCACCAGCAACGATTTCGCCTTAGCCTTCGATATTGATGGCGTCCTCTTGCGGGGTGGCAACCCCATCCCTGAGGCCGTGGATGCCATGAAATATATCAATGGCGAAAACCCATTTGGAATGAGGGTGTAAGTCTCCTGTCCCTGGACCCTCCTTTTATCGTGACCACATTCTGACAAAAATTACCAATAGTCCATATATTTTCCTAACAAATGGCGGTGGCAAAACCGAGCAAGAACGATGCGAAGATCTCACTCGCCAGCTTGGCATTGAGGTCAGCCCTGGCCAGTTCATCTGTGGTCATACTCCCATGCGCGAGATGGCTGAGCGATACAACACCGTCCTGGTCGTGGGCGGCGAAGGCGAGAAGTGCCGTATCGTGGCAGAAGCATATGGATTTAAGGACGTGATCACACCCGGTGATATTATCAAGACGCGACCAGACACAGCCCCCTTCCGAAAGTTGACCGAGGACGAATACAACAATTCTCGACTACTCGATTTGAGCAAGACTCAAATTGAGGCTATTTTCGTGTTCGCTGACAGTCGCGACTGGGCCAGTGATCAGCAAATCATTTTGGATTGTGTTATGTCAAAGAACGGGTGTCTGGATCAACGGTCGGAGACCTTTGACGACGGACCCCCTGTCTTTTTCTCCCACAACGACGTCGTGTGGTCCACATCTCACGATTACTCCCGCATTGGTATGGGCGCACTACGTGCATCGCTCGAGGCTCTCTACAAAGCCGTGACTGGAAAGGACCTTAAGAGCATTGCCTTCGGCAAGCCACAAATCGGCACATTCCAATTTGCCACTCGCCTACTACAAGAATGGCGCAGTGAGTCCCACGGCATCAACGAGCCTCCGGCCACCGTCTACTTCTTCGGTGATACTCCAGAATCGGATGTGCGCGGGACCAATGAATACAACGAGATCGCTGAAAACGAATGGTATTCTGTCCTCGTGAAAACCGGTGTCTACCAAGACGGCACCGAACCTCGCTTCCCACCCAAGAAGATCTGTGAGAACGTCTACGAGGGTGTCAAATTTGCTATTGAGCGTGAGCATGAGAAGATGCTCAATGGCGGCCGTTATACCGACGACTCGGCCGAGGCCAATAAAGGCGATGTTCGCAATTAAGGCCGTGCTCCACCTTTGGCTACTACCTGGCTGAGCTGAACTGCTGCCTATTTCTCCAGAACCGACACAATTTCCTTCAATGACCGTGCGATTGACTCGTATGTCTACATGATTCCCAATTTACGATTTTCATGCCATTTTTTGCTATAATACTTTCTTCCAAGTGCTGGTGTTAAGAGTCTACTCTTATCGCCTCACCTGGACCATCTACTTCTACATTATGAACAATATGATAAATGGTATAGAATTCTTATCTCGGTTTCACCTGAGTTTCTCCTGTAAACATTCGAATCTTGCTCCTTCAACTTGAACTATAACCAACTATACAGTGACTTCATGAAGCAGATATATTTAGATATTTCCGGTTTCAGTGCAGATGTACATATATGCAATCAATGGGTGGGCGCGTGGCACGATAGTGCAAAAGGGGTCAGAGTACTTCAAGTGCTTACGTATGACGCAACACAATTCAGGCCCCCATCACAAACCTCAATGAATCTCACTTAAGGGCTGTTTCCCAATGTTGCCCCTATTGTTTGTTAATTTCTCTCACAAACGACACCATGACTTATTTGGCACTTAGTCCAAGGCTTTTGCTGGTGCTGTTCACCTTTGTAGCCGTCGCGTGCTTGTCCATCCGAAAGTTTCTCACCCATTGCCAGACTGTCAGCGCCCATGGCTGCAAAAAGGTGGCAAAGGCAGCGAACAAGGATCCGTTTTGGGGAATCGACACGATATTCTGGGCTAAGAACGCTTACAAGGACCATAAATTGCTCGACAGGAATACCGAGCTTTTCCACACTCTCGGCAACACATTCACCACAAGGCAGCTCCATAAATATGGAATTGGGACCATAGAACCGGAGAACATCAAAACGATTTTGTCGCTTAAATTCGAAGATTACGGTATCAGCTTCCGGCTTGAACCATTCAATGCACTTCTGGGAAAGGGCATCTTCGACACTGATGGCGACCACTGGGCCGCATCGCGCGCCCTGATTCGACCCAGCTTTACCCGTGACCAGATAGCTGATCTAACGTCGCTGGAGAGTTTGATCCAGGATCTTTTTGCACTACTTCCCCGCGATGGAAAGACGGTCGTTGATCTACAAGAGCTCTTCTTCCGATATACCATTGATTCAGCGACTGAGTTTCTGTTCGGAGAATCAGTCGGCACTTTGAAGAAGGCTCAATCGGAGCGCGACTTTGCCCACGCTTTCCAGTATGCTCAGAGTGCCATCATCACGCGAGCAATGCTGGGTCCGTTGAAAATATTCCACAACGATCCGAAGGCCGACGAGTCCAATCGTATTTGCCGAGAGTTTGTCCAGCAGTTCGTCGATGAAGCATTCCGTGCGGTCGATGTCAAGCAGGAGGAAACAGTAAAAGGGGAAACTGACTCGAATCGCCAGAAACATGTTTTTGCGCAAGAATTGGCATCGCGGACAACTGATCGAACTCGCGTTCTAGATGAATTGATGAATGTCCTCCTAGCTGGTCGCGATACCACTGCTAGTCTACTTGGCAATCTGTTCTTCATGCTTGCTAAAAATCCAGCAATGTGGGACAAGTTGCGCCGAGAAGTTGCTTTTCTGCAAGGTCGAACCCCAACATATGAGGAGCTGCGCAGCCTCAAATATGTCCATTGCTGTATGAATGAATGTGAGTGAAAACTATTTACCAAGACTATCGAAGACCATTAACCTTATTGACTTTTCTAGCACTCCGTTTACACCCAGTTGTACCACGGAACGAGCGAGAAGCAGTGCGAGATACTGTACTGCCACTTGGGGGAGGCGAAGATGGTCTCTCACCTGTCTTCGTCCCCAAAGGCACGATTGTGGGCTATTGTGTATACGCAATGCATCGGCGTGTTGATATCTATGGTGCGGATGCAGAAGAGTTCCGTCCAGAACGCTGGGAAGATGGGAAGCTACTGCCTCGCTGGGGATACTTACCCTTTAACGGTGGCCCACGTATCTGTATAGGTCAACGTTATGCATTGACCGAAGCTGCCTACGTTATTGCTCGGATGGCGCAAGAATTTCAAACCTTGGAAAGTCGGGATCCAGGGCCATGGGAAGAATCTGTGGCCTTGACTTTGTGCTCGAGGAATGGGGCAAAGGTAGCTCTCACACCTGCTTGAAACACATGACAAGATAGATAGTTTTTGACAGCCTTGGAGATTATTTTGTGAAGGAAATCTCAAAGCCTCATCACGTTTTGTTCTCTTCAGCCACTCGGCTTGGTGACACCGGATGCATCCATATTTCTCTGTACTTGTCTAGTCTCCAATCCACAGGGTAACCCAGAATACCCCGAATTTCTAGAGAAGGCCTTCTAGCGCCCTCTCCCCACCCTCTTCCCCTCTTCCTATCGGAATTATGAAAAACCTAGGGAACATGCAAAGTCCCGGAATGATGTAATTCTCTAGATGGCACAGCAACCCAAACATTCAGAGTCAGATGGAGTATGCGAGCCGCGACCATACTAATGATATTCTAGCCATACAAAAATTTCCTTTTTCTGGTGCGGGGTTCTGGGATGAACAGATTAGGTGAAGCCGAATATTGCCGGGCTCAGATCCCGGTCAAACTGGGTTGCATCTGCGAGGCGCAGGGGAGTCCACGTGTGCATGGCGGGGGTTAATCTGGGGTAATAATCCGTGGTGTGGATGATGTCGAATTAGAGTTGGCCTAGAGGAGGTTCTTGCCCGTGGGTGTATTTCATAATGTCTCAGTTGAACTTCCTTACGAATTTGATTACCCTAGGGTGTTCATACATGTATTCGCTTGCTATCTTGGCATTATCTGTCGAAGCTCACTAGTTGAACACTACATCATTTCTATATCTGGTATGGCGCAGCAATTGTAAATAAGAAAAAATGGCGTGTTAAGCATCAAATAATTAACATCATCGCGCTTAGTTCCCGTCACTATACGAGACAACGCTTCGTTAGAGCCTTGACATAGGTAGGAAAAGGTGGCTTAGTGGGTATCACTCTTTAATCACCTGAACATCCTAGCGTATCCTTTAGAGTAGCGTATATTAGTAGGTAACTGGGTATGTACTCAATAAAATTACTCTCTGGATCTTGAATACTGCGCTACTTTGAATGCGGTTAGTGAGGGTGTTTAACTAATCTTGCGGTGTTCAATTAAGAAGCTCCTATCTGTCTTGACCTCTATATTGAGCAGGACATTGATTCAGAATGTGCTGCTGGCCGTGAGTCCTGGGTATAAATGTTGACATAACTTTCAGTATTTCCTGGATATGTCAGGCAAACTTCAAAATTTGATGAAGAGGTTGTTGCGTCTTCTTCTTCTAAAAGTGACCACCACTCACTGGTGCCTGATAATTCAGGCATCCGACTCCGCCCTTCGATTGACATGCCCCACACAGCGCGGGAGCAACTCCCGGGTCTCATTCCTCCTGAAAAGTGAAGGATTAGATGGTATAGCCTGGTAAATATCCCAGTTGACAAGATGGTATGTATAAAACTAGCAATATATACAATTACAGCTGCTAAATAAACCCAGGCTATCCCTACAGAAGCACTATACCTGCACGACGCCTCTCTGCGAGCTCTGACAACAGAGATTGTGTCGTATCAACCTATCTCATCACTTCCAGAAGATGAGAAAGGGCTAGCAAAAAATTTCGGCTCAGATGAATCAGCTATGACAACGCGCCAAACAATTCTGTACCCACAAGGAGGTGGACAACTCAGCGACACTGGCACCATCACAGTCGCAAACCAAGAGCCTAGCTTCACAGTGTCCCTGGTCCGCAAGGCGCAAGACGGCACAATTATCCATTTTGGAAAGCCCAGCAATGGCGATTCGTCATCTTTTTCCAAGGGCCAGATTGTTGTACAGAGGGTTGACGGTGCCAAACGGGACTACCATTCTCAACTGCATACGGCTGGTCATATTATCGGCGTGGCGATGGAGATTCTCATGCCGCATATGAAAGAGGTCAAGGCCAATCATACGCCTAAAGAGGCGGGTATGGAATATGAGGGATTGCTGTATAACGAACATAAGCCGGTGATTCAGGCGAAGATTGATGAGTTGGTTCAGCAGGATCTGCCTGTTATTATCTCATGGCTGGATGCCGGCACGGTTGTTGATGATCGTGCTAAGCCAGGCGATGGTCCTGTTCGGATGGTTAGTATTGGTGGGCTTGATCAGAGTCCCTGTGGTGGTACTCATGTTGAGCGGACTGGTCTAGTTGGCTCTATCAGTATCCGGAAGATTACTAGGAAAAGTGGGATTAGTCGGATTTCATATGAGGTAAAATAGAACTAATTGAATGGTCATGTCTATCGCCAGCAGATAACTACTCCCACCTGGCCAGAATTCAGGGAGCGCAGTCATTTCCGCTTCCTGTTTCCCCTGACTCGTACTGCGTACTCTATCTAGTAGTTCGTATCCCAGGTATGGACTTGGTACTGGTTCATCTCTTAAATGATCAAATAGCTCTAGTAGAGACGAGAAACTTATTGGACAAATCACCGTCAAGCCTACTGGGAATAACCTCAGTGCTGACATGTATGTTGATTTGCGGCTATGATGAACAACGGCTTACCAAATAGACTGAGATGAAAATGGAGCGCGATGATTGAACACCACAAAATTAGCCGAACACCACTATATTTCTATATCCGGTATGGTGCAGTAATCGTAATTCAAATAAAAGTATTGAAGTACATTGCATTACCTCGATACACGTCAATATACAAGATGAAGCTGCATTAGAGTCATAATATAAGCAATAAAAGGTAGCTTAATGGGCATCACTCTTTAATCACCTTCACATTCCAGCGTAGTCTACAGAGTAACATGAGCAAGTATGTAATTGGGTATGTACTCAAAAACATTTCTCTCTTAATCTTGAATACTGCGCTACTTTGAATGCGGTTAGTGAGGGTGCTCAACTAACTTTGTGATGTTCAATTAAAAGCTCCATGAAAAAGCCCCCCACGGTCTCTTTCAACTGGTCTACTCTGCAACTCCATGGTACAATCTAAGCATTCCACGAGCAGCATGCTCACCAAGGGCATCAAGACTACCCATCCCCATCATTTCAAGCACACTGATATCGAACCCGAAGGTCAATCTCCACCACTGTCTCACTTCTATAGCCACAAGGGAGTCGATTCCAAGTTCTGGCAGGGAGCAGGATGTCTGCAGATCTTCTTCCGGTTTCAACAGAAAGTTGAAAATCTTCTTTCCGATCTGGACGGCGAGAAAGTGGGCACAGTCGGGCTGATCAAGTAAAGCTTTGTCAGCCTTGGCCGCAGCTAGGAAAGATTGGAGGCCTTCAGTAGAAGAAGAGCCAGACGATTTCCCAGTCTCTTCGTAATTCTTGAAGACAGCCATACGGATATCTTTCTTCCAAGGTGAGCGACTTCCAGTATTCCCCGAAGGTGCGTTCGCGCGAATGCCAAGACAGAAGCCAGGGTGTGACTTTGATTGTGCAGCTGCCTCAATCGCTTCGAGGAGTTCTCGTCCTGAGACTTTCCAGTCCCCGACGCTGGAAGCCATCAATTTCTGCATAAGCGAGTCGTGCTCGCTAAGGTATCCAACATCGTCGACGGCACCAATCTGGATGGAGCAGGCAGGCAACCCCAGGCCTAAACGATACTGGGAGAAGGCATCCAAAAAGCTGTTTGCCCCAGCATAATTCATTTGGCCAGGCTGGCCAAAGATGCCAGATATTGAGCTGAAAAGGATGAAGAAGTCAAGGTCCGCGGACATTGAAGCATTGTGGAGATTCCAGGTTCCTTTGATCTTTGGATCAACAGCCGTATTCCACTCTTTCATCGTCATGCGTGGAATGCTTTGGTCAGCAAGTACCATGGACATCTGCAATATACCTTTGAGCCCTTGAGCTTGTGCCATGGCCTTCGAAACATCCTCAATCTTGTCAACGCTTCCTTGAACAAAGCTGGTGCGGCAGCCCATGCTGGAAAGTTCTTGGGCAAATTCAAGGTGTTTCTTCGAACCTGCACTTCGAGACAGGTATATGAGGTGACGAGCCCCATGTTCTACCATCCAAATTGAGATAAAGCGGCCTAAGCCTCCAAGGCCACCAACTAGCAAATATGCGCCAGAGCCATCGAATTGTATCACCTTCTTGCGCCGCTGTACATCCTTTCCAATGCTAATTTGACCAGTCTTATCGCGCATTGACACAACAATCTTGCCCAGGTGGACACCCTGTTGCATATACCGGAATGCATCAAGAATGGCATCAGATGTAAAGACCTTGATCGGTCGAATGGGATTAATATGGCGTTGTCTGAGTAGTTCCACGATGCTTTTAAGTAGCCTTCGTCGTTATATGTTAGCATTCGCATACCAAAACACGATTCTATCAGAAAGGTCTTGGGCACTTACTCCTTTGCCATCTTTTCCCTGGTGAAACAAATCTGGTCCAGGTCAACGCAGCAGTAGCTGCGGTTCTCTAAGAAGGTACTCATATCAAGCTTGCCAGAGCCTACCAAGTCGCGTTTTCCAATCTCGACCATTTTACCAAAAGGTGCAATACACTGCCATGTTGCATGCAGCAGCTCGCCAGATAGAGAATTCAAGGCTAAATCCACACCTTCACCGTTCGTCTCCCGCATCACATCCTCGACGAAAGAGGTGTTGCGAGAGTTGAAAATTCTATTCCTGGGAAGCCCAAAGGTTTCCATAAGATACTTGGCCTTCTCCTCGTTGCCTACCGTCGTATATACTTCGGCGCCAGCCATCTGGGAAAGCTGAATAGCGGAGATACCAATCCCACCGCAAGCGCTGTGAATTAGAACAGACTAAAAAGCCGTCAGAACATAGCCAATGAGTATAGGTGGTGAGAGAATCAACAAACCTGTCCTTTTTTCAGATTTCCAATGTTGAACAATGAGTGGATCGACGTCGCGAATACGCAAGGCATGGCAGCTGCGTCCTCAAAGCTCAACCCATCTGGAATGACTTCACAAAGATTCTCAGATATGACAACGTGTGTTCCGAATGCACCTCGCGAAATAAACATGACGCGATCGCCGGGCTTCATGGTAACATTTGGGCCAGTGCGTCGAACAATGCCGGCGCCTTCAAGGCCGAACCCATCTCCTGAAGATTCCAAAATCCCCATAGCACATAAAACGTCCTACATATACATCGTCGGGGTTAGCCATTCTTCTGTCATCTTTTGGGATATGGTCTGACTTACCTTGAAATTCAAGCCAGTTGCATGTGTTTCAATTTCCACGTCATTCTCCTTGAGGACTTCAGACTCTTGATGAGCCCATTCTAAAGCAGTCAGGCGGCCAGGCTTGCTGGTTCGAAGAGCGATCCTGTCAGCGGTCTTGTCATTCGGGGCTGGTAGCGGTGTTTCGTCATGAACCGAGAAGCAATGAAATCTTCCAACATAGACCGTATCTTTCACAATAGCGTATTCGAATTCGGGCTTGAATGTTTCATCTTCCTGGCAAGCCTGGAATTTCTCAAAGACATCAATGATTCTTTCTGTGGAGGAAATGTTGACATTATCGACCTCGCAGGTTGCAAAATCGATTAGCAGTTCAGAGCGAATTGTCCTGGCAATACCGGTTATCTGACCAAACCTGGGGTCGTGACATTGGATTTGCGAAAGGCCAGTCACCCAGAAGATTCCACAATTTTTCAGGTTATCCACCAATGTTTTGAATGATTCGAACCGCCGATTGTCAATCTCATCAAAGAAAGGACCTTCCTCATCAACCAAAGCAATGACATCCTGACCACAAGGCAAGGTCAAGGGCAAATCCTGCATTCTGCAGTGGTGAACGGCATATCCCCGATTCTCCAGACTTTGAGTTATACAATTCACGGCTTCTGAGTCGGACAAAGTTAAGAGCGTAACACGCTTATCAGGGATGCTCTCAGCCTTCGGTTTAGCCGCAATCATAGTGTTTAGTTGATGTGGTTCCGCAGAATCCGGAACCATAGCATGGGGGTGGAATCCACAAGCCTCAAGCTCGCTTCTCCAGCGCTCAGTACTAACGTATGGCTCGTTTGCTCGGTTGTCACTTTGACCAGCCCACCAGCCAGGTAGAACTCCCCAGACATAGTTAGGCCATTTGCAAGTTGTTGTCAACTCATGAAGCAGCAGCCAGCCATTAGGATCTAGCAGTTGCCTGATATTTCTCAGGCTCTCGTGGAGAGACTTCGTGGCATGAATGACGTTTGTAGCTAAGATCAGGTCGAATTTCCGACCATCAAACCCCTGCGTAGAGGGGTCCTTGCTGATATCCAAGGCTGCGTATTCTATGTTTGGCTGCGTTCTGAATCGCTCTTGAGCTGCGACAAAAAAGCCGGGCGAGACATCAGTGTAGGTGTATTTGGAGTAGAGAGTTCTATTTCCAGGTGTAGGTATTAACGTCTTCAGGATTTCGGCAGTAGATCCACCTGTTCCGGCACCAATCTCAAGAACCCGCAGATTGGGCTTGGTATGAGTTAAGTGCTTAAAGAACTGTGACTCATCACATTGATCCATGGAGACATAGACATCGGTCAGAGTATCGTCTGAGAGAAGAAGGTCCAATGCCTCAATTTCACCGGTGAAGATCTTTTCAACATTGCTGAAGACTTTCTGCATGGCCACCATGCAAGGATAATAAGTCGCATCTTTCGATGTGCTGTGGATGATGTCTTTCACTCGCTGCTCAATGACAGCGTCTTCAAGCGATTCGAGATCTTGAACATCAACAGACTGTAGATGGCGGTCAACCCAAGACCTATAGTGGTGCATATGGTCAATTGAAGTACTCAATCCCGCAATCACCCGTCTTGTGTGAATCATGCACAAATGAGTAAGCTCTGTCATTACAGGCATGGATCCACTACGGTCAATTAGTGGCTTTATTAGATTTTTGGCATCCAAAAAGCCAATATGAGGACCCCATTCTGCGCGACAAGTGGTGTCACCAACTTCACTGGAATCTTGCTGCCCATCAAGAACAGATAATCTGATTCCAGAGCTGCGCAAGGCAATCTTGCCATGAGCTGTGACACATTGCCCACTTCCAATGATGGAACCGTTCGGGGTGTAGGTTGCGGAAGCCCGGATTTGAACATTTTCATGGCAGCGGTAAATGCACATTTCTGCAATATTGGTGGGGACCATGGTCTTAATCGCTGGGTCATAGCCTTTCGACACAGCAACATAAAGCAACTGTAGTGACGCGTCTATCACAGTCGGATGCATATAATAATATCCCTCGTTATCGGTGTCTCTGGCGGCCACATCCGATACCGCATTCTGCGTAGTAGTGTCGGCCTGGACGATATCAAGTCGTTGGAACTCAGGGCCAAAGTTGAGACCTGCCTTGGACATTGACTTGTAGCAATGATGTGTGTCGACTTTGCGCCTGAAATGAGTATGCTTCTCCGCATATTTGGCTTCTTCAGTATGCGAACTCGCCTCGCCGGAGCAGTGCTTGGTCCAACCTGTTCCGTTGTGGGAAGCGATGGTGAATTCCCACCATTCGCTATCTAGAGAGTCTGTCAAGGGAACACGGCGCATTGTAGTCATTATTTCGACTGGCTGAGCTTCGTTCAACACAAGGGCGGTGCTAACGATGACCTTACGCAGCTTGAACGCCTCATTAACCCCGGTGCTCTGGCCTCCGGTGATTTGACCTGCAGTGATCTGGCACACGGCCTCACCGATCATTCCTACATATCCAGCGAATGGAAAGACAATATCCATACCAACCTTGTGATCCCGAATCCATGGTGCATTATCCAAGTGGAAGACATTTCGGAATAGAACATCGAGGCTCTCCACGACCCGAGCTCCCAACAGATCGTGATGCCTATGCTCGCGGTGACGCCACTCTTTGCTCAGCCTAGATTCGTACCAAAATTTCTTCGAGTGGTCCCATGGGTATCTTGGGAGATCTGGCAAGGTTGTGCCGTCTGAAACGACCTTATTCAAGTTGAGCGGACAATTGAATACGTACAGCGCTCCAGCCGCTGCCAAGAATGCTTCCAGATCGTTCTGGTTGCGGATAAATGCTGACACATATGGAGAAGCAGAGTCGGTGACCTGAGTCTGAATTTCCCTCAAGGGGCCTGAGAGGGCCGAGTGGGGCCCAACCTCAAGGAACAACATCTTCTTCGCAACATCGTGATGGTTGATGATAGATGAAACTGCGGAGTAGAAAAGCACTGGAGATTCCAAGTTCTTTTGCCAGTATTTGGGACCAAGGCTTGAGCCTTGGGTAAGGATCTTGTTCTCAACAGTGCTGAAGAACAATTTTGTGGGGTCTTTGGCAGAAACTCTGTTTTCAATCAGCGAATAATAATCGTTGCCAATATCCATCATATGGTGGGAGTGATAAGCTTTATCGACCTTCAGCAGTCTTGCGAGAATATCAGGGTGGGCCTCTTTGATCCTGGTAACAACCATTTGAACTGCCTCGGAGTCACCGGATATAGTAACACTCCTTGGTGAATTCTCACAAGCAATGACTACTCCTACTCCAGGCTGCAGATATTCTTGGACATCTTCAGATCTCATTCCAATAGCCGCCATGGCTCCGGACTTTGCTTGCTTCGTGACTTGGCCACGGTAAAATGCGATTTCAATGGCCTCATTGGCCGTAATCGCGCTAGCGGCATATGCAGCGGCCACCTCACCACTAGAGTGGCCTATAACAGCCGCAGGCTCCACTCCAACAGAGGCGAAAGTGTCGACTAGAGCTATTTGAATTGCGGTACAGAGAGGCTGAGAAAATTCAGCAGAACTAAGTCTGCTAGCATCAGGTAGCTTCTGGAGCTCTTCTTCGATACACCATTCTGGAGAATGCTTGAGTGTTCGTAGATGTTCATCGAGTGACTGGATGCTCTTTTTGAACACAGGATATGCGCTGCTTTGGAGCATACATTGACCCATCTGTGGCCATTGAGCACCTTGGCCGGTGAATACCATAACGATACTAGGTACCCCCTCGGTTTTTGATGCTGAGAGTGCTGAAGTTGTGACAGTGGCAAGAAGACTTGCCACGGCAAATGCGCGATGAGGCAAATGCTCTCTTCTATTCGCTAGGGTGAATGCTAAATCACGAACTCGGCCTGGATTGTTCAGAGCAAAGGATTTGTAAGTTTCAGTCATCTTTTTCAGCGAGTCGGCGCTGTTCGCTGAGTAGACCAGCAGTTGTGGGGACGTGAGAGGCCGCTTCGGGGCGGGGGAGGTGATCCCAAAACTTTTAGCCGAGTCCAGAATGACATGAGCATTGGTACCAGTGATACCAAAGCTGTTCACGCTGATACGTTCGCTCCGAGACTCGGGCCATGGCATTGGCTCTGTGGGAACGGAGAGTCCAGAGTCCCATGGGATGTTCGGGTTGGGCTTGTTGAATTTGATATTCGGGGGAATGATAGAGTTCTCCAGAGCGAGTACCGATTTGATCAGTGATGTGAGACCCGAAGCTCCTTCGGAGTGACCAAGATTGGGTTTGACCGAGCCGATCTGGATTCCACCAGGACCAAAAACACGGCCTATAGCCTTGGTCTCAATGGGATCACCCACAGCTGTACCTGTGCCATGACACTCGAAGAACCCAGTCTGGGAATAATCTGTTATACCCGCCACCTCATAGGCACGTCTGATCATGGACTCATGGGCAATATCATTGGGAGAGTAGATACCAGCACCAGAACCTTTTCCGTCGTTGTTTGAAGCAGTTGCACGAATGACAGCTCGTACTGGGTTTCCATCCCTGATAGCGTCGGATAAAGGTTTTATGAAAACAGCAGATACTGCTTCTGCTCGGCCATAACCATTAGCATCGGCGGAAAAAGACTTACAAGAGCCATCGGGTGATAAGACGCCTTGCTCCGTCATAGCAATAGTCATCTCCGGGCTCAATATCAAGTTGGCTCCGCCGACAATAGCCCCCTCGCAATCACCCCTAGATATTGCCAGACACGCTTCATGCAATGCAACCATAGATGCGGAGCAAGCAGTGCGGATTACCATGCTTTGTTAAAAAAAATTAGTGGCAGGGGAGGTAGAAGAGGGGCACCAAATAACTAACCTTGGCCCTGTCAGATCCATCTCATGAGAGACACGGTTCGCTAAAACAAAATCCCCATATCCAGTCACACGGTATAAGCCGTGCTGTTGGCTCTCCTTTGCAAATATGCCATTCCAGTCTTCGCCAAAGCTACCCATATAACAGCCAATTGGTTTTCCTTTCCAGTTGGTTTCACCGGCATCCTCCATGCATTCTCTTGCAACTTCTAGCATTTGCCGTTGGTGCGGGTCTGCTCGCTCAACTTCTACCTTATTCATGGAGAAGAATGACGTATCTATGGAAGATAGATCGTCATCAAGAAAGTACCCATACTCAGTCTTGACACTGCCTGGTTTTGCAGTCTTGGAGTAGAATGCAGAAGCATTGTATCTTGATTCCGGTACTGGGCTGCGGGCGTCACCCTTGGCAATCAAGAATTCCCATAGCTGTTGTGGTGAATTCAGGCCTCCGGGGAGACGTAATGACATACCACAGATGGCGATAGGATCCGGGGGTGCAACTTTTGGTACATAATTTCCATTGACAGAAATTCCCTCGGCACTGATCTCGGCAGGTGTATTAGCCTGAGACTTTTCAGTCATGCTACTATCACACTCATCAATTGTGCGAATTTCAGCATCGATATTTTCCATCGTCACCGGGGTGGACTCATTTGAATCTTGAGTGGCAGCTTTCAGGGTCATTGTTATGGTCAAGTGGTGTGGCGATCTCTGATAAAAATTTGTTGAATTGAGTACTGAGTCAGAGCGAGAGATCTTAGGAAATCAGAAAAGTAGCGAGATGGATATTCATAAATAGCGAGTTACTTGACGCGTCCCACATTTGTCGTATATGCAGGTCAGATTAACACATAGGAGGGCTCGAGCCATCAACCATTCAGTTCATAGTCACGGGCAGCAAGGCTACGAGCCTTGTTATGCATATGGCAGAGATCGGCATATAAGGCTGTAACAAATAGACGGAATGGAGTTTTCCATCAATGGTATTGTACTTTGGGGCATACAGCTTTGCAAATTAAAATTCATCGAGGTTTTTCAATGAGCTCGGTACATGCAGGTGCCTAAAACTCAAAATCGTGTTCAATTAGATTTGGTTCCTCATTCCAAATAGCTTGATAGTAGTTGCCACAGTGTATGCCAGATATCATGTACCGCCCATGGTAAGGTCCAGAGATAGTGGTTACAGCTGGTATGTTTGCTTTTCCATGTACGCTGTGGCTGCTTTAAGTGTTACACTAATAAGCGACTAGTAGCTGATCAATCTTCAGAGCTGGTCTCTAACCGGGAATGGTACGGGTATGTTATCCACTTTCTCTGTGCTGATACTAGTGGGCTATGCAGCTTACAGGCATTCGGAGCCACTATTGGCTCTTCGGGGTGGATCGGCATGTAGCAAAACTAGGCGATTGGAGACGCGAAAATCGATGTCGCCAGAATTGGAGATCTATCAGGTTGTACGATGTTCAGATAAGAAGTAGAGATAAAGATCGCAGAACTGTGGCAAATCGCGCACGAACCATCCTGAGATCGATCCTTGATTGGCCTCAAGACGAGATCGCCGTGTAACCATCTGCATCGGCTAGATGAGTGACCGGAGCGGCGAGCTCAATCGACAACCTTGGAATATGTTATTGGAATGACGTTGAAATTCTCAGTTCCAGGGAAGAGTGTGCGACAGTGTTTAGGGACTAGTCCGGTAATTGGCCCAGGGTCGTGTTTATTAGACATGAGAGTGAAATCTATTATTTGATATACAAGATGCTAGTACGAGAAAGACTATCGAAAAATTACCTCCAGAATGCTGTGACCATATTGTATGTTTTTCAGCATAATATCGCATGGCACAAAATCATACAATGAAACCACTGTCAAGCCAGTGTTTCATGACCAGTTTGCCTTCGTTGAAACTTTCCTTTTGAATTCGAACAATGATAGCTGCATGGGTGTGTCGGTGTTTGTGAATATAAACGGGATATTTCCGGAATCCCACATCATTCAAAGAATCAATAATGTCGAATTGATCAGACGTTAGAGCAAGCTTCGGGAATTTGGATAGTGCGTGGCTAATAGGTGGAGGTTGGGAATCTGCCGAGGGGTCTGAATTAAACCCAGTCGGCTTCGATCCCCCTCCCTGTGGTCTTCTCAAAAGAGTCAGAAGCTTCGACGTCAGAGCCCGAGAGATAGGCAGGCTCTTCGCGAGCATTGGCATTCTCAAAGACTTCGTCCATAACTTGTTGCATATCCCGCACCAGTAGAGGTACCTTGTACTTCCCAAACAGTGCACCGTTTTTGCCCTCCACATGCAGGCGAATTCTTTTCTGGCTGCGGAATGTTTGAATCGCAGCATTGATGCAGAATAGTGTGGAAGCGGGAGGAAGCAACAGCAAAATAAGCAGGTAAAAAGGCATGTTTTGTACAAAATCTTTGGTCTGTTTCCACGTTTCGGATGAAGAATCCTCAGTTTCCTTGGGTGTGAGCGGCAGTAAGAACTCATCAGGGTCAACGATAACTTGCTCATAACCTTCGACGTAATTGATATTTATTTTTTCAAGGTCCCGGAAGGGATTCGTTTTCGTGAACAAAGTCGTGTACAATGCCGTGGTGCGGTCATTCACAACATTGCCGTACACACTCCGATTTTGAAACCTCTTCAATCCCTGGATAAAAATGCTCTCCGGGTCGGCCAGGATGCTAAGCAGGGGCCGCCCGGTGTCGCGGAACGAATCGACCATGAACAATTGCTGGCCCGATATAGAAACCAGTCGTGGTCCCAATCCATTCCATATCTGTCCTCTTACACCCTTGAGGGGAGTTCTCACACCGATATGTGGTGAGGCAAATGTAGTGAAGTTCATGGGTTCCACTTTATCCAGCCATCCGTGGGCTTGAAGCAAACCAATGGCATATCGAGCAACCAGACCTCCCAGAGAGTAGCCAACAACGCTGATTTTTGTAATCTTCTGCCCTTTGTTTTCCAATGTTTCGAGGGTGTCTTCGATCTCATGCACCACGCGTTCGCCACCCACCTCGATTCCATCGTAGGTGAAGTTGCCGCTGTTTCCTTCTGGACAAAGAATGTGAAGATGGTCTTCTCCATATTTCTCCTTAAGCGCCGCTACCATGTAGTCAAGGTGCGATGGCTTACCCCACAGGCTAGACGCAGGGCGGATTAGCTTGCCTCCCGACGTCATCCGAAACCAGGGGACTGAACATACCCATGCACCAGTACACAGAGATGGTCGGCTTTGTTTGAAGCCCCAGTATCCGACATTTCTGCAATATGTGACTGATTTATTTGTGAAAGGAAAAATTGAATCAGGAGGCCAGGCTGACGAGATAAAAGGCCACTCAGCCACTGTGCTGATCGGAGTTAAGGCTGACTGACAAGCTTCCAGCCGATAAGCCCGGTGATAAGATCGACCTTCCATGTTGTCGCCTGTATCTTCAGGTGTCTAGTTTGGCTTGGTTTGCATCCAATCTTCAACATTTAATCAACTCTGGCCTTGACCTCTCCTACACCATTTGATTACACGTAACTCTGGTGGTTATTCATGGTGGCGTACTTATCTCGAATGTCGTGCGGCAGGCGAGAGATCTAATTATTTCATCAAATTTCCCCGTGTTATCTCACGAACAATCGGTGATGCTCATGTTTGCATCCCGAGGTCTATGAATTGCACGTCATAAAAGGCGGCAGGTTGTATGCTTTTCTGCGCCAACACGACCCTAGCATAGCTTACGAAGCTTCATTCTGTTTTCAAATGCTTATTATGCTCCCTTGATCCTGTCCTTTGGATCGACGTGTCATTACACGAGCAGCAAATCGTCTCTTTGAGAGTCTAGCTGAGGACTCTTCAACCGACAATGTTCACAACTTTGGGTTTATTTGACGGCATTCCCTGCCCACAGGGTACGCAATGCTCTCTTGTAACCTGTCTGTTCTCGCATAAGGCCCAGGCTTTCAATCCGTCTGCGGCTGAGAAACGCGCTTTTAGCTCAGTTGAGAGCGAGCGTCCTTCCAAGAGGCTTAAGGCTGAAGACTCCACCCTATCATCAGACTCGAGCTTGAACCCATCTACTCATTTTCAAGTTCAAGAACGTTCAACAAATTCGCCAGTGGCCGCGACTAGGTCGAAGCAACAATCACAAAGCTCCAGGTCGGGCGTTTCCAAGCTGTCATCGATTTCTCGGGGAGTCTCTCCTCCTCCAGGACGCACAGAGTCTAAAGCTACAAGCCAAGGAACTGAAATTGAGGCTGCGGCCACTTCGTTAGAGCGGGCTACTTCACAACTCCCTCCTCGAAAGGTGCCAAAAGAAAGCCTCAATCCTCGAATGCTTCCAAAGGCCCCAGCCAATCATGCCGTTCGGACAGCCATCCTGACGAAGCTACATGCTGGCATGTCAGCACTCAATGACAAACTTGCCAAGGAAAAGGATACTTCAAACAAATGCTTTGTCCTCAACAAAAATGAGCTTGTGACAATGGCCCTGGACGAAGAGGAAAAGGTAGCCAGGGATAACCCCGGGGTTTACTCCAATGTCATCAAGCTTCGGATAGTAAAATTGACGAAGATGGCGATGGAAGAATGGACAAAAGAGGTGATGGCTCATCTCAATTCTCGGTATTACAAAATTCAGCCCATTGAACCAAGCACGCAGCAGCTGTCAAAGCCTATCAACACAGGCCTGTCACCGGAGGAAGAGACTGCCCTTGCAGTTGCACTTGTCACGCCAGTGGTTGGCCTTGAAGAATTTGGCTATGTCACTAAAGCACCTACTGCAGCAGAGATTGAGACTGCGAAGAAAGGGGTTGTCGAGTCTAAGGGCTGGGAAAAGTGCGATCGGTGTGGTGGACGCTTTCAGGTCTTCCCTGGACGCCGCGAGGATGGAGCGTTGACCAGCGGCGGTGAATGTACCTATCATCCAGTTCGACCTATGTATCCGCCGCGCAAGAAAACGGACAATGTCACCGGCGCGCAGGAAGCTTACTTTCCATGCTGCACTGAATCTGTGGGCGCTTCGTCAGGCTGCACCAAAGCCAAAACCCATGTGTTCAAAGTATCCGAGGTAAAGCGCCTTGCAACCATCCTCCAGTTCGAAGAAACGCCAGCACAGCCCGATAAAGGGCCCCTGGACCCCGTTTCTTTTGACTGCGAAATGGGCTACACAACTCTGGGCTTAGAGCTCATTCGTCTGACGGCTGTCAGCTGGCCGCAGGGTCGTGATATATTGGATGTTCTGGTTAAGCCTATGGGCGAGGTGCTAGACCTCAACTCACGTTATTCAGGTGTCTTCCCTGAACACTATGCAACTGCTGTTCCTTATGGCACCTCAACTACCGTTCAAGAGCAGGATGGCAAAGACACCAAGCCACTGCAGGTTGTCGATTCTCCTGCTGCAGCGCGATCCCTTCTTTTCAATTTCCTACAGCCCGATACACCATTAATCGGCCATGCAATCGATAACGATCTTAACGTTTGCCGAATCATTCATCCCGTTATAATAGATACCGTGCTTCTATACCCACACCCAAGAGGCCGTCTGCCCAGTCGCATGAGTCTCAAAACACTGGCACAAAGGCATCTTGACCGAGACATCCAAATGGGAGGAGACAAGGGTCACGACTCCAAGGAAGATTCGATTGCCACGGGTGACTTGGTGCGGGTGAAGGCAGGTGTGATATGGAAGCGGTTGGAGGCGAAAGGGTGGAAGTTTCAAAATGGCAACTTAGTGGCACCTCCTGGTCAAGACATCCAGAATATTAGAGAGGCAGCACAGGGAACTGGCGGTCCCCAGCGAAAGAATCCAAGCGTCACATAGCATAGTCTGTACTCGATCTCACCAATGATACCACATGACGACCATCGATCTATCTTTCAAACTTTGGTAATATGTCCAGTGGATATGTCCAACACTCTGTCTTATGACATACTAGCGATAAAGCAATCTACGATTTCTGTAACGAGATGTTCTACAACAGTTCAAAAATGTGTGAAGGGTATAAACTTTTTTGATTTCATAGCGCATTTAAGTGCTAATCTACCCTCACAAATCCACGACCCAACTTTCCATGGCTCTCACACTTTTGTCCGGCAAAAATCCCAAGCCAAAAAGGAATGCACATATACCAGTTCGAATCGATCGACAATGAGGTCAAGAGTCAGTAGAGAGAGGGAGAATTTACTCCTCATCCTCCTCAGCCTCGTCGTTGACGACGTTGTAGAAGCGGAGCTCGTAGACACCCTTGGAGGTGGAGACGACACGGAGCCAGTCACGGAGCTGCTGCTTCTTGAGGTACTTCTTGGTCCTGTAAACGAGAAAGAACACACGGTCAGTGGAACGGTCCCAGTGTTTTATCGAGGATGGGCGCAATAATCAACGTACAGGTACTTGAGGTAGCGACCGGAGAAGGGGATGTGAGCAACAACCTCGACCTTGCCGTCACCAATGGAGTTGATAACGACGTTCTCGCCAAGGTTGCCGACACGGCCCTCGACCTTGATGCGGTCGTGGAGGAACTTCTCGAAGGCAGAGACATCGAAGATCTTGTCGCTAGCGGGCTGCGAAGCGTTGATGATGAACTGTGAAGCGATTTGTTAGTTCCTCGGGCTCCGAAACATCCAATTGGATTGAAGAGAGTTTTTTGTAGATTGCAGTAACATACCTTCTGGGTGGTCTTCTGGGCCTTGCGACCACGGGCCTATTTACCGGAAAAGAACTGAATTAGCCTACTGCTCCAACATGTCGAGTTCCCAGTGGCAGTCGCAGCAGATCATGTCCACGCAATTTGCGATCAACCGAATAGATATTTCAATATTCGGCCGCCGTCATGCTGGGTGGTGCATGGTCTGCCACAGGCATAGCCGCTGGGAGGAACAGCAAAGCGTTCACGGGGTGTCTTTCAACGTACAGCAGCAACGGGAGCCATTGTGAATAGATGGGAGGGGATGGGGACGGAAAAGGGTAAGGTCGCAAAGAGGTGAATATCCTGCGCCGGCGAGAGGGATGGTCGGAAGAAGATCTGGCGTTCGTGGTGGAGCCCTTAGTCGAACTTGCGAAAAATTCCCAAAATTGCCCACCCGTGGGCTGCGCTTAACCTGTTTAGGTGTGATTAGGGTTGGGGCTTATCAATGAATCACGTGGCATGTGATCACCGGTGAGATGTGGCAGTATATGGCCATCATGTGATGTATGACTCATGGTGGCCCGCTTTTATCCCTGTCTCTTATTGGTTATGATACGCGAGGAGAGCATTAGCTCCGTTTCCCAAGGGTATAAATATCTCCTCCCGCTCTCCCCCATTTCCTCTTTTCTTTTTTCTTTTCCAGCTCTCTTTGCCAATTGGCTTAGATCAAGTGTAGTATCTGTTCTTTTCAGTTTAATCTCTGAAAGTTTCCTACGGGAAACACATTGATTATTCTCATTTTTGGATCTCGTGACCAACCTCTGTGCTTGCGCACGTTGGTCGCACAGTGTCATCGGGCTTACACTACCCCCGATCGACGCGAACTCACTTTTTCATCAACTGCATCGGCTTGCCCGGTCGCTTGGAGAAGAAGTTCTGTTCCCTGTAGTATATTCACAATTGTAGCTAGGTTGCGTTCCATGAATCAGTAGATTTGTCTTTCCATTCCGGTGAATCTTTGGCTTGGACCCAAATGTTGCCATGTAAACAATCCCCACATCTGGCCGATGCGGCGAAGTCTCCTCGAGTCCTGTCTCTGCCTGAATGATCGGCTGTTTCCCGACGCTACTTGGTTATGATCCACACAGCCTCCAAACTGTCATGCAGGCACCCGCCTGGGAGGTCTACGCTTGTGTTCAAGTGAAACAAGTTTCCGTCTACATACATAATTTATAGGCTGCCACGGAAGTTTATGGGTGCATTTTTTTAATTCAATCGTGGTGTTTATCTCCATGATTCCATTCCTCATTCCCAGAAATCGCCAAGTGTTTGTTGTGGGTCATTCGGGTCGGCTGTTTACCAGCGGCCACTCTGCTCCATGCGGCTCTCGTAGGCCTGCTTGGCATGGTGCTTAGCCTTCTCGCGGTCAATGAAGTCAAGACCCTTGGTCTCAACCTCACGGTCAATGAAGGCACCGGCAATACCAGCCATGATCTCCTTGGCCTTGGCGTGGTTGTCAATCTTGCCTGTAAATGATGTCAGTCCATGAGCCTTGCTTGGGACGTGAATTGGATCATTTACCCTCGCGGGCCTCGTGCTCCTCGTAGGCCTTCATGGCCTCGTAGGCAGCAGCACCGCCGATGAGCTCGTGGGACCACTGGGCCTCGTGAGGGCGGTTAGTCACCTCCTCGTGGCTGCGGGCCTCGTGGCTGTCGTCTGTGATAGGGAAAATTGTTAGGCCATGGGAATCATTCAATTGTAAGAGAATACTTTGTGGTACTCACCGTCGAACCAACCCATTTTGATAGATGTTGTGTGATTTGGAAGGGGTAGAGAAGTGTGTTGTGGATAAAGAGAGGGTAAGAGAAAGAGAGGGACGCAAGCCTTATAACCCCTCCTCAGCCCCGCGCCACCCTTGTGAAACTACCAGGGCCAAGAGGAGCTTTCCAACGATTCGTTCCAGATTTGCCAAGCTTAGCGAGCTTCAGCTTTGGGTCTCGGTTTGCATTCAGAATGGTGCATCGAATAGTACGTACTCACTATGCCCGTTTGAGCTAGTGGGGACCACCAGATCGAGTTTGTGATTGGAACGGCGTATCCTTTTCCGCCGAGCTCCCAATAATACCCAATATTCTGGCGCCTTCTGAGGCTTAGACTCTCTTGGCTGACTCGACACGTGTAGAGTAGATGATTTGTTGAGATGGTGTCTGGCACCACGCGCCGGCTTGAAGCGGAACACGAGACAAGGGTTTGAGGAGTATTGCCTGGTGCTACGAGCACAGAGATGCAGGCTCATGCACGTGTGTGCTGTTTAATACATGTACAATGTACATACTCTGTACCGTAGCTCTACCTGCAGACTGCAGCTGACTATAATGCGTAGGCTCCGCCTATGAATGGATCTTCAGAGAAATTCGGGTTTAATAGCCGCTGCTCAGCATTGAAGTTGGAATTGAATCCACCGCTTCTTCGTTGGGCTTTGTTCATGAATGCTACTTCTAAGGTTGAGGATGACACAGGGCCGTGTGGGAGAATTCATCGCGAGGGCTCTCTGGAAAGCTAGATAGAAGTTTGATTATCCCGTTTGTTGAAGCAAGTATTAATTACAATGTCCTTCTCGGTACTGAGGCTTTCCAGGCTTTTCATTCAAGCCTGCATTGGGTACTGCAAATTAGGCATGTTGGAACTTATCCTCCAGGGTGAGGGAAATATATTTAAGGTGAGCGCTAAGAAGACGTACTGTACTGTACAACAATTTAGAAAATGACATACACTTACTAATAGCGTACACATTCATCTTCTAAGGCTTTTACCATACCTCACCAGAAAACCCCGAGGCTAAGAACAAATAATTCAAAAACAAAACAAACCCAAATTGACCTATTTAATCGTGTGGAACCGTGGAACGTTTGGTTGCTGGAGGTACTCGTGATTTAGAGTCGATCGGTCACCTGACCCTATCGCGGGGTGCCAGCGATAAGCTCCAGCTTCTCCAATTTTCACCTTGCGCATCATCTCCCGAAAAACGATCGTCATGGGTTCCATTGTACTGCCTCACCTGCGTTCAGCCTGGCACGTTGATCAGGCTATCCTCTCCGAGGAAGAACGCCTGGTCGTCATCCGGTTTGGCCGCGACCACGATCCCGACTGTGAGCTCCCACCATTCTTCTCCCGAAGTCACGATACTAATAAGTCCTTTCACCAGGCATTCGTCAGGATGAAGTCCTCTATAAGATCGCCGAGCGAGTAAAGAGTACGTCCCTTCATCCCTTCTGCAAGAACTACGCTTTTAACATTAGCGCCCTATTAGACTTCGCCGTCATCTACCTCTGTGATCTCGACGAGGTCCCCGACTTCAGTACCATGTACGAGCTTTATGACCCGATGACGATCATGTACTTCTATCGCAATAAACACATGATGTGTGATTTCGGAACGGGTAACAACAACAAATTGAACTGGGTTCTGGAGGACAAGCAGGAGTTGATCGACATCATTGAGACCATCTACAAGGGCGCTAAGAAGGGTCGTGGTTTAGTCGTTAGCCCGAAAGGTATGTCCTCCAAGCGCTTTTCAACACTGTGGAGCTCGGGCACATGCTGACAATAATGCAGATTACTCGACGAGATACCGATACTAGACGAGGCCTGCTCAGAATAATGGCGGCTTCCGGTGGTGTGTGCCGAATGGCGCAACCATTCATGACATTTACGATTACGATCGCTAGAAATAAAAGGGGGCTGGAGGGAAGAACATCTTGGGCACATATGGGAAGACTGGTATGGAAGCTATGTTGTGGCTGGTCATACTGGTAAACCCAAAATGAGCTCGCAATGAGAGTCTTTTGTCCGGGAAACCCATAATACATCTATCGAAAATTATGAAAAATAGTAGGACTCAATAAGAAAAAAAGTTTCTCTTCATCTCAATATCTAGCACCCTAGATAAGCAGTAAGTGATCTGAATTCCTTCAAGCGACACCCAACCGTGTCACGTACCACACAAGATAGCGATATCTAGAAAGAACAGAGAAGAAATAGATAGCAAACTGGTTAAGTAAAGCTCAGTTCTATCTCGGACTCCCAAATAAATTGCATGTTTAGTGTGATCCCAAATCTAAGATTTTGACGTAATTCGCCCAACTCCCACCACCAACCGCCTACCGCAACACCTTCAACTCTCATCTCTCCACATCAGCATTCACCCTAACGACAAAATGATTGACCAACGGATTTTCGAGGATCTCCAGACAAAGATCGACGAGGAGACTACTGTCCGCGACGTGAGTTACCCAAGCACCCGCGCAGTCCGCGTATAGCGAAATTCTTCGCGTGCCAAGCCCAAGCCCAAGCTCGCGGCGCGCACAATATCCGGCTACCAGAGCTGACGGTGGGCGTACAGGAATTACACGATATTGTCCAGACACTTGCGCGGAAAGGTATCCTCACTTCAAAGCTGATTGGAAGGCTTAAGTTTTCATTTCTGAATATGACGAGGCCCGTTGTCGGGGTTGCAAAATTATTCGAAGGCTAATGCTGTTCTGTAGGACGTTCTACACAGGCTATTCTCTCAAGGGCACACTCTACCCCGACTGATCAGAGTATGTATTCCTGTTTCGGTGAATTTGGGTAGTTTATGGCGCTATTTGCTATCGCGCATTGTTGCCTGTCGGCAGTGACACTGCATAATAAATTGAATATTCATGGCTTCACGTCTATGCATTGACTAACTTGAAAATAGTCAAGTCTGTCCTTGATGATGCTACTGTGGCAATCATTGCTCAGAAGCAAGATGTTGCCCGCCTGAAGGCTGTGGCTGACAAGCACCCATTCTACAAGTACAACAACGTCTGGTCGCGGGAGCTGCAGAACCTGGTACGTTCTGCAATTTGATTTTATGCTTCGGGTATGGTGAACCAGAACCACAGAGCTAAAGAATTCGACTAGGTCTCTTCCATTGAGCTGTGTGCTTGGCTTGGTGGACTCCAGGAGCACAAGGGTCCTGACTCTACCTCGTTCATGACTGTTGAGGATGTCGGAAAGTTTCTGGAGGGTACGTGGAACGTCTAATTGAAGTCGATATTGGAGAAACAAAGCGAATGAATAAGACTGACATTGCTCTAACTGCAGTCCCTGTTAACCTGAAAGAGCAAGATGCCTTCCACCTGACCATCGAGGAGTATCTCCTGGCGCTGATTTCCATGGTCGAAGAACTGGTACGAATGCAAATGGTGTCTATCCAATAGTCCATTAATTTACTGACTTGGGAATAGTCTCGCCTGGCCGTCAACTCTGTTACCCTAGGTGACTACGAACGGCCCACGCAGATCTGCAACTTCATCAAGGAGCTCTTTGCTGGGTTCCAGCTGCTAAATCTGAAGAATGACATCCTTCGTAAGCGAAGCGATGGAATTAAGTACAGCGTAAGCTATTTATTATTCCACAATTGCTTCCGGTTATACTGATACTGACGTGTCTACGATGTATAGGTCAAGAAGGTTGAAGACGTTGTGTACGATCTCTCGTTGCGCAATCTCATTCCCAAGGGTAGCGCTGCATGATCATCTATGACTAATATATCCCGAAGGGCTGGCGAGAACTTATCTACCATGAAAAGTTGACGAGCAGATGAATGGTCGTGGGAAGGAGCATATTTGAAACAATTATAACGTTTTGATAGCAATATTCTTTACTGTATATGACTTCTACACGTATATGATCAAATGTTCTTCCTAGGGGCATGGGAAAGTCCGATCTAAATGAATTTGAGGAATATGTAAAATGTTTAAATGGTCATATTTCGTACATAGATTACCTAAAGAATAGAGAAACAAAGAGTATTCATACAAATCAAGATATAGAAGAAAGTGGTATCAAAACAGCGTCCCCCCAAAAAGAGAAAGACCTCCAGGCTCGCACCAACTTAGTAAGCTCGATCACTCAGCAGCCTTCTTAGACGAAGCAAGAGTGCCGGCCTTCTTAGCCTTCTCAATCTCCTGCTCAATAGTCTCCTGCAAACCCTCGGGCTTAGTCAAAGAAGAGTAGCGATTAACGACCTTTCCATCAGCACTGATAAGGAACTTCTCGAAGTTCCACTTGATGCGCTTCAGGCCCATAACACCAGGCTGCTGCTCCTTGAGCCAGGTGTACAGGGGAGCGGCATCATTGCCGTTGACGTCCAGTTTTCCGAGCACGGGGAAGGTGACACCGTAGTTCAGCTGGCAGAAGGACTGGATCTCGTCGTTGGAGCCGGGGTCTTGGCTGCCGAACTGATTGCAGGGGAATCCGATGATAGTGAAGTCGTCGGGGTATTTGGCCTTGAGGGTCTGGTAGAGCTTCTCCAGGCCCTCGAACTGCGGGGTGAAACCGCACTTGGAGGCGGTGTTCACAACTAGGACGACCTTACCCTCGAGGGAGCTGAGGGGGAAAGTCTGGCCACGCTCTGTTGGGAAGATGTTAGTGACTGGATTCTTTCTTGTGCGGCGCTTGTGCAAATGAGGGGTCAAGGTTTCCTCGAATGCGCTGGTTTGTCGCGAGAACCCTGAGATGGAGAGGAGAGAGGGGGGTTGGGAATGAAATTTGCGGGACGTACTGTCAACGGGCTCAAACTCGAAGAAGGAGGTCGCGGAAGCCATTGTTCTGAAAGTGGTGAGGGGTGGTGTGAATATTAAAGGTTGTAGATGAAGCTGCCGAGGGTTGGAGCTTTTTTGGAGAAGGTTCCTTGATGACGTCGTAGAGTAAAAACTGCTGTGAAAGATGCGGGGAGGGAGCCAAGATTTTATACCGCGAGGGATGGCGCGCAGGTAGTGCTTTTGTATGAATTGCATCGAGAAGAAACCGAGGCTTCGAGTCAGCAATATTACCAATGATCACAGGTCCAGACACGGACGGTCGAGGGGCCGCCGGGCCTCTGCAAACCCGAGCCGATCCTATTAAACCCAAGCGATTTGATTGGTTGATCTACGAACCGTTTCTTACGTTTTCAATTCTGCAGCTTCTTTTTTCTTCTTCTATTGATTCTAGGATCCACTTTGAATCCGCTATGGCATATTATTAAGCTTATCCGGTCTAGCTCTGCACAATTTTGGGTACGGATAAACGAAAAAGAGACATAAATTTGTGTGCAGTGCATTCCGTAGCGGGAGAGGTTCTGCTTAGAAGAGCGGGACGGTCTCGATTCCATCCCAAATTGGAATGCGCCCGTGCCAAGAACGCAAATACAAATACTTGCTCGCGCAAATTAGGCCCCGATGGAGCTCATGTTCCGATGTCATGTAAGACTGCCTTTCATGTTGCCCTGATCTGAACAGTGTGCTGCATTGCATGATCAATTTCATCGCAAGAACCTGGACATGAGTGGTGAAATTGGCTTGCCCGGTCATTGTAAAGCAGGATCCCCACAGTTTGTACCTTGTACCTGTGGCCTGATCCTTTGTGAAGGATCCAGATATACTGGTTCAATCAGCAGCGTCCTGGTCCCTTCATGGACAGTGGTGCATATAGAGAAAGCACCGTGCGCCCTGTGGCTGTTACACTGCCGAGTAGCTCTGCCAACCTGATAGACCTGCCAAAAGGTACATAGATATACCCCGCGCTCTGAGCTTCGGTATCCAAAAGCCAAATTTTGTGCTCAAATTCATCCTTCAAATTCGGCTTCGAGCACATCGACATCCAACTCGGCCATCGCGCCTAGAATAACACCCATGCTCTCCATGAATCCATTGACGGCGACTCGGAGCATGCGGTTCGTAGTGGCATAGTAGTTGACTTGCAGGACGGTCTTCGAGTCATCCGAGTCATCTGAGTTGGGGTCTTGCTTCAACTTCTTTTCTTGGGGCTCGGTTGCTGTGTCGTGGGTGGGGGTTGTGAGGGTCAAAGTGCGTCGCACAAATGCTGACAACTCGGGGTCGACATCGAGTGTTTGCAGGGCAGACGAGGCAAGGCGTTGAGTTGGCAGTGGAATTGAGATTTCCCTATCCTTTGGGTCAGTACATCATTTGACAGGAGAAGACGTGGCGCGTGGGTTGTTAATTTGGAGGTGGGGAGGTGGGGGAGACCGTACAATGAGTAGGGAAATTCGGACTTTGGCGGTGGTGCAGTGGCAGCCATGATTGAAGTGTAAAGGAGTCTAATTGACGGCGAAATTGACGCGGAAAGGACTAATTGTGGTCGCTGCCCAATTGTGACGCGGTATGGCCTGGAAGAATCAACTGCTGTGTGCACTTGAATATATGTTGGGTGAGTCAGCATCTCCACTACGAATTTGAAAACATGCACCTTGATGTGTACAGTACATGAGTACCAGGAATCCATCCTTGGCAAATAATACGGTTCAGTAAAACGACGAAAAGAAAACGAAAAAAAATCATTGAGATAAGGTGTGGAATTCAGTCAATCTAAATAGAGTATTTTCTCATAGGAAGCTAATTCCAAGAGGTATGGTTGCGAACAAAGTCATCAAAAATATAGAAACGCACTCATAATATATAGTACAAAAATTGGTCAAGTATAAACCCGAGGTATTTCAGGTAGGAAAGAAGTGAAGACAAGTAGAACAGGATCACGCCGACTGAACAAAGTCATGACACCTGGAATGCGTACCGATAACCACTAAGAGATCATCGCGGTTGCAAGATCGTCTAAGCGGTGTAAAGGTAGCCAACGACGAGCTGCAACTCAGCAGGGAGAGAAGAGATCTGACTGGGGAGGATCCCACCAGTAGCAAGAGCACCCTGGAGGCCGCCGAGGGCACCAATGAGGCCAGAGGGGTCTACACAGAGTGGTTAATGAGATCCAATCTGGGGAGGGGAATCTGTGAACATACTGCCGCTCAGCATGGCAAGATCGTTCTCGACGGAGGCCTTCACAATGTTACCAGCACCAGGGAGCTGACGCTTTGCTGCAGGGTTTGTTGGTATCAAGTCTTTCGTTTCATATACGTGGACTCAGAAGTGGAACTTACCAGGAACGGCTCCAGCGACTGTACTCTCAGCAGTTCCGACAAGACCCGAAGAAGTGCTCTCGGCGGTGCCAGCAGCACTGCCGACGATGCCAGTAGCACCGTTGGTCAATTCGGTAACACCATAAACAAGACCACTGACAGCATCGCCCCCATCACGCTTCAGGGCCCCCAGAGTGTCTTCTAAGGAACCAATAACGCCCCCCTCTTGGCGTTTAGCTACTCATGAGGTAAGCAATCTATCCAAACTTAATGAAGAAACTTCCATGTTGGCTTACCAGGAACGGCTCCAGAGACGGTGCTCTCGGCAGTGCCGACAAGACCCGAGGAAGTGCTCTCAGCGGTGCCAGCGGCACTGCCGACGATGCCAGTAGCACCGTTGGTCGATTCGGTGACACCATAAACAAGACCACTGACAGCATCGCCCCCATCACGCTTCAGGGCCCCCAGAGTGTCTTCTAAGGAACCAATAACGCCCCCCTCTTGGCGTTTAGCTACTCATGAGGTAAGCAATCTATCCAAACATAATGAAGAAACTTCCATGTTGGCTTACCAGGAACGGCTCCAGAGACGGTGCTCTCGGCAGTGCCGACAAGACCCGAGGAAGTGCTCTCAGCAGTGCCCGCAGCACTGCCGATGATGCCAGTGGCACCGTTGGTCGCGCCAGTCACACCATAAACAAGACCACTGGCAGCATCGCCCCCATCACGCTTCAGGGCCCCCAGAGTGCCCTCAACGTTGTTCGCGGCGTTGTTCTCAGGGCTGTTCTCAATGCCACCCACGGCGGTACGGCCAGGGATGGTAGGAAGAGCAGCAGCGGAGACAATGCCAGCAATGGCGACAGAGAAAGTGAATCCAGTGAACTTCATAGTTGCGGTCGGCTGATTCCAAGTTGGTTGAATATGTCAAAAGAGTGACTAGGTTGAGCTCAAAGATGTATACAACCGAAGGAATGCGTAAAGAGGGGAAGGAGTGAAATGAGTGACTTGAGTAGAGAACTAATAGACAAAGCTGGAGCGGTCCCAGAGCAGATTTTATACATCTCCTATTGAGTGTTTTGATGAGCTCAAGCAGCTACATGTGGCCCAGCGAACTCCTCGCATGCACTGCAACCGGGATCATCAGGGGTCCATCATTATTCCGCGCCTGTTTTTTGTCCGGTTAGGCCATGGCTGATAATGATCGACAATTAGAAGGTGCTATCCGCAGCGCCGCACAGCTAGTATTGTCAAGGGAGGCCCACATGGGCTCCAATAAGATTTCCTGATGCGAGCGGTGTACTTTTCGGGCGAGTGAGATAGGCTTTCAGCAAGGATCAAGACTGAAAGGGGTACCGATGGTTGCCATTGCTCTGCTGGTGGTTTGCGGAGAGCCATTAACTTTGCTATAGATCATATTTCAAAGATTTCGCATTGAAATTCTGGAGGTGGAATCTGACGGACTAGAAGAAATTCAAAGACATTTCCGACCAGAGGAGTTGCAGATATTTCCACTGTCTAGTGAAGCAGGATGCGTTAATAGCGTTGCAAGCCATCGGGGCCCCATTTCATGTTGCATGTGAGGGATGGTCCGGATGCATCCGCTATGACCTGTGTGGTGGAGTGAGCAAGGCAAGGGCGTTAATACCGGAAACGCTGAACAGTAGTCCGGAGAGGTCGTTGGTAGTGCCATGTCGATCCTCCAACTCTGTCCTTAAATGCGCGTCAGGTCTTTGGATACATCATTCCATCTTGTTGTTGCTACCGCGGTTCCGAAGTTTACTAACGACCGTTCAATAACCCTGCATCGATCGCGCACTGACCCGACGAAATGACTAAGTCTTTGAGTTCTTGGTCATGGGCAATTCGTCCTCCATCACATCCCGAGCTCAGTGATGTGCTGGGTTCAGGAATTTTGATCCATGCCGAAAACGAGAGACCGAGTGACAGGGTAAGCAGCGTGATCTCTAGATTGAGGCGTCTCGGCAGATAGATGAGATGAAGGCCAATCATCCTCTGGCTGGTGGGGACAAACAACACTGTGGGTCTGATCAATTTTGGCGCGTAGAATGTCAACAAATAAAGTGGCGAAAGGCCTGGAGAACCTAGATTTTGTTAGTCCAGCTTTCGACCAGTACCTGACCCTAACTACCGATAGTACTAAGTGGGTGCTTGAATTTAATGGGACTTGCTGTCTGATCCCGAACATGTGGAAATACCAAGGGGTGTAGATTTGGTCAATAGTACGGATATTGGATTATGGAGGGTCATAAAGGTCTAGTGTGACTAGAGCTCCCTGGCGGGCTGTAGCATTAAAGACAAGACTATATCTTTGAAAAGGGGGAGGGGGACTGTCAACTTGAACCCTGATTATGCCGCAGCCAATGTTGAGCGGGTAATATATATTTGCGGATATCCGGCAACACTCTGCCCGCTTAGCTCAAGGTACCTTAGGCGCCTTGGTAGTGGCCAACATTGCTGATGCACAATTCCTCGCGGATCATACGGAATGCAATGCTTTCTAACCTCGGAATTACATGGGTTGCCCTTTTCAGGCATCAAAATACAACACGGGACAATATGGGTTGAATGTTATGTTTTCATGAGGCGGAAAACATCGCAGATGCCTGGGCAACAACCGCCACACAAGTGCAATTCATGCAAGTCAGGTTGCGTCAGAGAGGGGAAATGGGCGTGTACGAATCATCATGGATGGAGCTGTCAGTTGGCAATGTTTGGATGAGGTAATCACCAACGTTGTTTTTTGGCCTGAGGCTATGGATAGCTTATGGTTGTCGAGTCAACGCGGGACACTAATCCTAATTTGGCCCAGCACAACATAACATCGTTAGCGTGGCATGGCAATAACCCCAACACCATGAGATTCTTCTTCCGCTCTTCTATCTTCTAAAGTCCCTCTTCCCCAGGCACTATCCTTACTTTTCTTTTTCCTCATTCTTCCTCAGGTCCTCTAGATCATGAGCGTGTAGGTCATTCGTCTTACTATTTGTCGATCTTGTGTTTTCCACGCCATTGGGCACCGTCTCCAAAAGTGACGATTTACGACGCCGATACAGCTTGCATTGTTTACCTTGACTATCCCACATCTGTTAACGTCGCAACTTGCCCATTGACAACATGTCGCATGACTCTGGCAAAATGATTGAATACATTCAAGGTGCGTGACCGATGTTGCTGTTATCATCTGATTGAAAGTGGTGGGGTCTAACAACAAACAAACATCAGACCGCCTGTACCTGGCATCCTATGACTCTGCACCAAGCTCGAGGACGCCATTCCCCTACCCCGCCGAGCCATCCAAGTCTCCAAGCAAGCGGTCGCGTGCTCAACCTCCCACTACACCTAGCAGCAAGCGCCGCGCTCCCGTGTACTTCACCGTTGACGATACACTCCTTTACAATGCATTTCATGCGGACTTCGGCCCTCTGCACATCGGCCACTTGTATCGATTTGCAGTGCTGTTCCATGAGATCCTCGGTGACCCAGCCAACAGCGACCGACCCGTGGTCTTCTACAGCAAGACTGACGCACGAAGCCGTGCGAACGCCGCATGCCTTGTCGCGTGCTACATGGTTTTAATCCAGTCGTGGCCGCCCCACTTGGCACTTGCTCCCATTGCGCAGGCCGATCCCCCATACATGCCATTCCGCGATGCTGGATACAGTCAGGCGGATTTCGTCCTGAATATCCAAGATGTAGTGTATGGTGTGTGGAAAGCAAAGGAAAAGGGTCTGTGCGGCCTGCGGGATTTCAACCTAGAAGAGTATGTACCTGAACCTTAATTTTGGCATAGCATTTGCTGATCGGTCATGCAGGTACGAAAAGTTTGAGAGAGTTGATATGGGTGACTTCAACTGGGTGACACAGGATTTCCTCGCTTTCGCCTCACCCCAACACCAACCTGTTGAGCCCGTTCCCGCGAACACCCCCGAATACGATGCCCTGCCCTCCACTATTTCCGAGGTCTGCTCCTCCAAGTTGCCTATGCCTTTTAAGAACGTGCTTGTTCATTTTGCGTCGCGCAATGTGGGTCTTGTCGTGCGGTTGAACTCAGAGCTCTACAGCCCATCTTACTTCACAGCTATGGGAATCGCTCACATCGACATGATCTTCGAAGACGGCACCTGCCCACCTCTGCAACTTGTGCGCAAGTTCATCAAGATGGCCCATGAGATGATCACCGTGAAGGACAAGGGTATCGCTGTTCACTGCAAGGCCGGCCTCGGTCGGACAGGATGTTTGATCGGCGCCTATCTCATCTACCGCTATGGCTTTACCGCGAATGAGGTCATTGCTTTTATGCGATTCATGCGCCCTGGCATGGTTGTTGGACCTCAGCAACACTGGCTGCACCTGAATCAGGGTTCGTTCCGCGAGTGGTGGTTTGAGGACAGCATGCGCGAGAAGCTGGCTCAGTCTGCTCCTGTCACTCCTGCTCGTATGTCGACCAAGAAGCGTGCGAGCAATGGCGTTGTTTCCACCCCTCCCAACAACACTCACTCGAAGCGTGCTGCTCTCGGGGAGATTGATCACAACGAAGGCGCTGCAAACCAGCACGAGGAGAATCTCCCAGCACCAACTCCTGGTCAGCCACGCAAGTCACACCGAAAGGATTCTCGCCACCACCCTTACTCACGCACAGCGTCTGGATCATTAGCTGTGGAGCATGATGCTCACAAGACTGAGCAGCGCCCTAAAGGCCACCGCCTCAGTAATGAGAGCAGTGAGAGTGACGAAGAGATCCAACTTCGTATGTTGGCCAAGAAATCATCCAAGTCTCCGGTTGCGTCTACCACATCACGATCTATCAGCTACTCGGCGACTGTCACAGCCAGCTACACATTGACCGATGACATCCATGAGGACCGAGAGAACTGGGTGGAGAATGCCGCCCCTAAGACTCCCACAAGCCGGAAGAGTGCAGGTGCCCCCATTTCCGTTAGCAAGATTCGCACCAGCCCCCGGCGGGCAACAGACAGCACCAAGACTGACTCACGAGGCGTTCGCAAGGCCAGTGGTCGCATTGGAAGCACATCTAGCCCCGCTCGGGCTGTTCGGCCTGTTCAGTAAGGGACCTGTCTCTTGATTTCTCTTCCGACTGTCTGCCTGTGGCGACACATTCTATTCTTCTCGTCCGCTCGGACAACCATTCGCATACCCCTTTTTTTGCTGCATTTGAATGCTCCTAATGTTTTACTTCTTTTCGTGTCCACATTTCTTGCTTCCGGGTTTTCTGGCGTGACATTATGGTCCTCGGCATGTTCTGCTTGGCGTCTGGTTGTTAATTCTTTTCGTTTATGTTCAATCCTTGGGTGACCTGGAAGTTGTCATGACATTGTTGATTCCGATTGTTTCAATTCTTCCCGGTTTCTTCACGCCCCTGGCATGGCGTTGTGTTGCAGGTGTTTCTGTACGTGTCAATTTGTATGGCGAAACGACAATCAATCTCACGATCCCACAATACTCCATCATCCAAATAATTCGTATCCCGGTAACCTCCTCGGGTCTACCCGCTCAAGTAGCTTATGTTTCTCACCTCGACAAGCCGGTCTATTCATCATGCTCGACTATCTGAACAGCTTGGAAAGTGAAAGTAAGTGCAATTTAACAATTTACTATATCCCGATTGAGTCCGACTAGGGCTAGCAATATCAATTCAAAACAGCTCAATTCAAGCCTTGTCGTGACGTTCAGTTACGGATTTATTATGCTTTTTGACTTCCTCTGACCCCGCTTTAGGATCCAATTCGCCACTCTCGGGGTTAGGCCCTTCACGATAAAACTTAAGAGAGTCATTTTTATGATTTCCCTCTTTTGCCTTGGATGTTTCCGAATTCGACGGAGTTTCTAATTTCAACTTGGTCAGCACATGGTCTACTTCACACGTTCTCGGGCGGGACATGGCATTCACTTTTGTTATTGTCTTTTTCTTCCTTTCCTATATTGGTCTGAGAAGACTTTTTGCCTTCTATCGATGTATGACTCGTGTCTTTGTCATCGGATACAACTGTACTGCCGTGGGAAAATGCTATATTGCGTCGAAAACTGGAATTTACGACGCAGCATCCCTGTGCAAGTTGATAACTGATTGGCAGTCTTCGAAGGGTCTGCATTGCGAAATTGTTCATTTGTATTTTTGGCAGGATTTTGAAGACATATTACCAAGGTTGGTTGTTATTATAATGCATTTGGGGAAAGCACGGCTATCGTGTGACCCTTCCAAACCTTAACCTCCTACGTCGCCAACCACGTTTCTGGGCTCTCGAAAGCCGGGTAGCAAGTCATATTTGCGGGATAAGTTTCCAACAACGGAACAGAAGCGACTAAGGTTTCCTTTCTCTTTTCGCCTTATGTGCATCGCATAATCACCGAGTCACACGTGGCGCCACGATGTCATACTAAGGTAGACTTTAAATGAAAGATAAGCCCCTTCACCACCAACTAACCTTCCACGCTGCTCTTTCGCGTTATGGCAGAAGAAGAAGCACATACAGTGAGCAAAGTAAGCAAGCTGACAACTTGCTGAAATCCTGAAACCGAACATTCGGTTAATCCTTACGAAGCTACGCATGGACGCAAATGCCGAGGCAAATGCTGAAGCAGCCCGTCGTTATGGAACCGTCCCATTCCGAGACAAATTATTCCCCCAGGAATCAAAAGTTCGCTCTCGAACCCAGTAACAGTCATCCTTTTACTAAGTTATGATTCGTGATTTACAGCATCGTACATACTTCGACTCCGCCGAGTTTGCTCTAAACTCCGTCCACAGACCTTCAGAAGTCTGTCATAATGATATTGGAACTAAGCACCCAGAATTTGGTCATATATCTCAACCGTTTTGTGCTGTACCTGGTTCTAGTAATGTTTCCCAGCATGCGAATGATGGGTTTCACACTGCCGGGAATGGTTATCACAGGTGTGATAGCCATCTACACGAGGACGATGCGGATGGATACAAGGGTTTGGTTGACTTGAAATGACCAAGGGAGGACTATCTATTTGATCGGATTTAACGGAATAAAAAAGGCCTTAGATAGGGAAAGATATTACCACTGCGTTATCAAGTTTTACTACTTTGGTGAGGCTTGTATTAGAATGTTGTGCATTAAGATAATTTGAACGAAATGATACAAGCTGATGACTAGTTCTCCGTTCTGCAATTCTTCACGTAAGTAGGGCTATATTGTTACCGATTCAAGAGTCTATCAGAGATCTGGTAGCCCAGTAACTCTAGGTGAGGAAACATACATCCTTGTCCGTTCATGTGTAGATTCAAAGTGGGCCTATGCCATCACGCTAACCCGATTTAGGCAACTGACATCCGCATTTTCTCCTCCATCTCTCATCTACTCGGTACTTTCCAGTCTTATGGGCCAATGCAATGAGAGATACCGATGATCGGCGCTCGCGGTCACCGGCGGCGACCCGTAAAAATGGTGCGCTGCAGTCATGTGAGCCCTGCCGCCGGTCAAAACAGCGATGCGACCATGAGCGACCCGTATGTCGCCGATGTGCCGCCAAGCGAATGAGCGACAAATGTTTCTATCATCCAGCCCCAATGACTAGACGGAGGTCTTTGCAAAATGTCAATCCAACGATAACATCCTCTAATCGGTTCGCAAGTCAGCCAGCGTCCAAGTAAAGATGAACTCCCCTCACCACTTCAGCTTCAGGAGGTTTCTAATTAGAGTTTAGTGCTTCGAGTCCTGGATCCCTGAGCGGTGGTCGCGCTTTTATAGCAGCAGAGCATCCGTCTTGTCTCCCCGGGTATCTGGGATCCACGAGCTTTACTGCAGTTCTGACAGAGCATCGTGATGAAATTCCCTTTGAACCAGAAGAGAGCTCGGATTCTTACCCCGTCGTATCGGTGGAGCCTGAGCGGGCCAAGTCCGGGGCAGAGGTGTTACTTTTCCTCTACAGCCTCAGCTTCCGGCAAAAACTGGTTGACAAATTTTATAGCCGATCATGGAATGCCGTTGTACCCAAGATTGTATTGGAAGCTATCCTCAATTCGATACAAGAGATTTTTGATGGGTTTGACCCCAGTAATCTCATGCCCCAGCTGCAGAACTTGGCCTTGCAACTATTTCAAAATTCATCGCGGGCAATGAAGACATATCCGTCAATGACCGTCAAGGAATACCTTGCCTCATTCACTGGGCGGAACCTTCGTTGGGAAGCCTTAGCAAACATTTTTCAAGTGTGCGGGCAGCAGCTTGTGATCACACCGGATAATGATCCCGAGGTTTCTCAGGGAGTCGAGGATCCGCGGGCAAAGGAACGACTTCTAGAACAAGTGATTGGAGCTAGCAACGTTTGCCTTAGCTTTTGTGACCAGGCTTCTTCTGCCAATGAGTTGCTTGCATATCTACAATACAACGATGTCATGCTTCAAACACAGCAATATGGTGATTCAAGTATGTCTCTCCTTGCCACATAATTGCACCTGTGCAATCGGATCTAATAGAAATTTTAGGTTACCAAGCATGGCGTCGGCTGGGTGACTTGGTCGCTACGATCTATGCAGCAGGAATTCATCTTGACACAGATAGTGCCGAGAACAGTCCCTTTTTCCTCCGACAATGGCGAAGAGGCGCCTTTATCTCGGCTTTCCACATGGACAAGACAATGGCAACATTCGTTGGTCGACCGCCTCTCATGAACTATCGATATTGCACTTTGGCCCCTCCGCTAGATCTGAGCGACGATGTTCTTGTTGCAGGAGGAGACGTTCTTGCCCAAGCGATATCAGAGCTTGACAGTAATGGCTGGAACACGCAAGGAGCTCGACATCGCATGTCACCCTCACGAGTGCGATTTCATCTGGCCATCGCGAGAGAGCAAACCCTTGATATCGCATTAGGGAATCCTGAAAGCCAAGACCTTGTCCGCAAATCAAAGTAAGTGGCCGTATTTCCTAGTAATCGCACACCTGTTCTAACTTTTGTTTTCAATAGTGAAATCGAAGAAAGTGTACGCGTAGTGTGGTCTGCCACACCTGATCATCTTCGATATGACCGTCAGCCGAACAATGATGGACTACGATATGATCTTCCACCGAACAACGATTTCCATCATGGCTGGTTGACAATCGTTTATCTTTATCTCAATTACCTTTATACATGCTTCCTCCTGCAACGGGCTCTAATAAAGCACGCGAACACCGGACATGCCGCTCTCTTTGATGTCTCTCGCCGAGTTCTCGCCATTGTAATCAGCATCACCTCCCAACGAAACCCCATGGTGGATCTCGACAGGCATTATTCTTGGATTGTATGTTTTATTCTTCTGCCTGCCGGAACATAAGAAGATTCCAAAATTGACTTCATCTAGGCCCTCACATACGGTCTGCCGAGTGCCAGTGTTCTTCTCGTCGAGCTCCTACACCAATCTCATGAACCTGGTCCCCACTCCGTTCCCCTCCCTCGCGCTGAATTGATCCGCAACATTAGCGTTTTCGTCTCATTACTATCTTGGGTATCACGACCTGGTCATGGAAATTACCACACGTGCAAAGAAGCGGAGAAGAAATTGTCTCGTATCTTAGATCAACTGTTGGACCCACAGCCCGTGCAGGCGGACATGGTGCACGACGTCACTTCTGGCTTGTCGAGCTTTCTAGACTGGTCAAACTACAACACTTGGGATTTTACTGAGTATTTCCCCGGTGGTGGAGGCTTTGCGCCTTGAGGAACCTTGAAGTAAATATGAAGATCATATTAGCGTATTAGCTTAGACTTAATTCTGATGTCACGTTCGTACCGAATGGATGATCCTAGATAGAAAAGATAAACGAAATAATAAAACATCATTTGGAACTGCTGCGATTACCAAAGTGACTGGTTCATACCATATTATAGGGCTGCCTCCTATACGCGTTTAGAGTAGACGGAGTCCGAAGCGCTAGACTAATTGTGGGTCTCTGCAGGGGCACAGCCGCTTCCTTGATTTGACCACATGGGCACTTTCATGGGCACGTTCTTCGGACCCACCCTGACCCAGTATCTATACGCGTATTCGTTCCGAGATCAATTTCTATTTGAAGTTTCAGATAGGAACCAATGATGGAAATTCACGTTGAATTGACGTTAGTCTTTGGCAATTGGAGGGCATTTCCTTATAAAAGACCCTGTCCTTCACTGGGTAGCGTTAGACCATACCCTTCCTCCAGCTTCAACATGTCTCAACTCATAGCCCGCGCCTATAAATTCTGGAACTATGTTCCTTCCCTGCCGGCAGCAGTTATATTTATGCTGGGCTTCCTTGCTCTGACGGGTCTTCATACCTGGAAAATGATCAAGACCAAGACATGGTTCTGCATTCCCTTCACCATAGGCGGAATCTGTACGTCGAAATGCCTCTAACCATCGATATTTTGCCTCGCTAACATTTCGCAGTTGAATGTATCGGTTATCTCGGTCGCTGTATAGCACATGGTAATACTACAACTATGGGTCCTTATATCCTTACCAATATGTTCACTCTCCTTGGTCCGACGCTCTTTGCCGCCACCATCTATATGACCCTCGGCCGCCTCATCAGAGCCATTCATGCAGAACGCCTGTCAGTCATTAAGATCACCCGGCTTACAAAGTTATTTGTTTGGGGCGATGTGATCTCTTTTCTCGTTCAGGGCAATTCCTCCACTCTCTCTGTTCTAGGATACCCTGGCTGGGCCAAGGTCGTCGTGATCATTGGTCTCGCGATCCAGCTCATCTCGTTCTCGATCTTTTGGATAACTTCCTTCGTATTGGAACGAAGGATCCGTCGCTCTCCTACTCTTGAGTCTCTTCACACTACTGTGCCATGGAAGAAATTTCTCTACATGCTGTATGCTGTCAGTACGCTGATCATCATCCGTTCTGCTTTTCGGGTGGTTGAGTATGTTTTGGGTGATACTGGGTACCCGCTCGAACATGAATGGACTCTGTATATCTTTGATACAGTTCCTATGTTTGTTGTGATGGGTTTATTTTATATGTGGTACCCTGATATGCTGAAGCCTTGTATGCAGGATGGAGAAGCTTTACCTTTTGTACATCCTTATAGTTCGCTGCATGAGCCATCTAAATAATTTGGACTAATGGGGATATAGAGTTCAAGGTTTCTATGGCACTTGTATTTTAGTTGAATATGAAAGAATGGCATGGTGCGCCCAATACGTACGAATGCCTAGCTTACGAGTGTTCCAACATAAGTAAAGTCGCTTTCTTTTACGTTCTCGTGAGTATTCGCAATTGGAAACTGTAGCATGACCGGTATAACCTTGAAATCATAATATCATCTCATAATCATTAATATCGGGTACTGAATCATTTAGATTGATATTGGGAAATGGCAAAGTTCGATTCACCCCGTTGTCCCAAGATCATACCATCCACACATAATCATGTCGTGGCGGCGTCTCCGCAACGAAATAGGCACGATGGCACAGCGGACAATTGTAATGATCACCTAAGAACCATTTCTCCAAGCATTCTCGGTGAAAAACATGTAAGCAGCGCAACTCCCGTATCTCCTCGGAACGATCCACTTGTTCCAGACACACCGCACTGTATCCTGATAATCAGCATCTAGATTGCCTGACAGCGGGATATGGGAGGTACATACCAAACAAACTGGCCATCCACCGCCTCTGAAAGGCCCATTTTGCCTTTTGTCATGGTCCACCATTGCTCCAATGTCCGGGTCGGTGATACCGCATCTAAACTGGCCAGTCGCTCATCGGGATTTTTCCTTGACCGCAAGAATGAGCGGCGATCGCGCCGGTTAATGACAATCGTCAATCTGGGTGGGATTGTCAGTACTCCTGAATCGGTCATGTCGTACAGAATCAGAGCGTAGCCCGGATGACCTCAGCGTGGAATAGGACACAAGAGGGATGCTCAAAGAGTAACTCCAGGCCTCTCGTGAAAAAGAAAGCTAACTCACACCAAGCTTAAAACAATAAGCAGTACCACACCGAGTCCAATGCCCAAGACGATGGCCATATGGCTCGTCTTGAGGTTATTGTCGTCGGCCATTTCCCCCCTTGGGAAAATCTTCACTTTGTGCGATCAGCGGGGGATGGGCCCGTAATCTGAGATTCAACACGAGGTGTCAACTTAGAAGGAACACGTATTATAGCGCAAGATCAAACGCCCAATCAAGGGTCGAGTAATTTACCTCTAACAAGGAGCGAAGTTCGCGGTAGTATCCCGCACGAAAGGGGGTCAAGGAGAAGATAGGGAAAGAAAACAGAAAAAGAAACATCGACGTGAGTGGTAACTTTGGGAGAATCAGCTTCTGAATTTTGAATTTTGGACTTTGGATTCGATAGGTCCTCATGCGCCCGTATGGGATGATCGACCCGTTCAAAGCGGGGGAGCTGGTGGATAACACGAGTTGCTCTTCCTATGTCATGATTTGTTTCCTTTTACACCCCTCCCTTGTACTCCGTGGAACCAATGGTGATTCAAGTTGGTCGAAGGGATGTGCCAAGCGTTAGCGGCTGGGAATGCTGATCGGCTGAATTATCCATTATTTTAGGTTGTGGAACTGAGTTATGGTCAGATGAGCCTGGTTATCTTTGTATTCGAATGGTGCCACCACTCATCCCCACTTTGTAGCCCTTTACTTCTCCACTCCCCACTCTATCTACCGATACTTTAATTCTGCAAATGATTCCACATTTGGCGATACTTCCTTGTCTGACTCTTGAACCACTGTCTCTGCTATCCGGTCGAGCGACTGATCAAAGAGCAGATCAATCTCCTCGAGACTTTTCTGCTTAGTCTCCTGAAAGAAGAAATAAATTATTGGAAATGACACGCAGAGATCTAGACGGGAGACGGTCAGCAGGGGGGATCCACACGTTAAGGGGTAACGGATACTCACTCCATGCCACAAACACAAAATATAATCTCCACTGAATCTGACCGAGTGCAATGGGTGAGACCTGATTCCACAAGGTATTGATCGCCCAGTTACCAATCCCGACTGCGAATGCATTGCCCTTGCTGCGAATCTGCATTGGCATGACCTCGGCCATATATACCCTGCCTTGATGTGAGAAAAAGCAACAAAAGATAGAAAGGGGGTTCTTACCAGCTGCACGGCCCAAACGATACCGAGAAGGCAACCGATACGGCAAAAAGGAAAAATACCCCCCCAATACTGTATCCTACCCGCTCCCCGTCTGGATTCTGTGATGTGAGTATGGCCTCACAGGTCAGCGCTAGGGAGATCGCTACAGTGCCGAAGAGCAGAGGCTTCCGTCGCCCGACTCGGTCGAGGAAAAACACCACAAAGATCAGATTGGCCAGTGGGCCCACACAGTTGTATATCCCTGCGACCAGTGTGTTGCGACTGCCTGTGATACCTAGGGCTTTGTACATGATCGTTTGGTAATAAGTGATCACGTTGACGCCGGTCATTGCAGTGAACACCTGGACGGCAAGGCCGTGACTGCAACCATGAGTTTTGGGGATTTGAAGTGGAGCAAGGGATCGGGAACATACAGCATACGAGTGCGCCACTTCGCAACAGTGAACAACGAGACCCAACCGGGGACTGCGACCAACTTTCCAGATTCATTAGCCTGGTATATCTCGTTGAACTCTGCGTCGACCCAGTCGCCGTTGCTTCCATCATAATGCAGCTTCTGAAGCACGCGCATAGCCTCTGCATAGCGACCCTTCTCAACGAGGAACCGTGGAGACTCTGGTACAAAGACCATCCCGATGACGAGAACGAGAGCTGGCACAACTTGGAAGGCTAGCGGGAATCGCCATTGGAATTGGCTGGTGTCTGATGCACGGAGAGAGCCATATCCCACCCATCTAGATATACTGTCAGCTTCCACTAAAGGTCCCAATGAACATGTTCCAGCCATACGTGCTAACGATAAAACCAACACCAATCATCTGCTGCGACAACCCCACAATCAAGCCCCGAGAGCGGGGATGCGCAAACTCAGCTTGGTAAACGGGGACCGCCATAGACATGATCCCGACACCCCAGCCCGCCAAGATACGACCAACAAGGATCATGGATAAATTCTGAGCCGCCGCCTGGAGCGTTGCGCCGACGAGGCAGATCAAAGCGCCCATTTGAATCGTCACCTTGCGGCCAAAGCGATCCAGGGTGAAACTACCTTGAAAAGCACCGATCATTGCTGTGGACATCAGAGCATTAGCATGATCAACCCACCTCATATCAATTGAAGTTCAAAAAAGCTCACCACCACCGGAGTAGGCGCTATTGATAGCCCCAATGATCGCCGACGTCTGCGTCGTATGGAAGTATTCCAGAAAATTCGCCGAGTCAATCACATCAGTCATGACACCACTATCATAACCAAACAGAAACGACCCCATCGCCGCCAAAGAGGCTATAAAAATGGGGTATAATCGCCCCATTGCCGAGAATGTGGGCTGCTTGTTGATGATCTCTATGAATTGAGAAGACAAGAACCCAATTGATCTACATCACGGCCTAGCCACGATTGTACGATCCTTTTAATCCCCGACTAGCATGGACCTGGGTGCGGGGACCTGGGGACATGCAGCGTCCTAGAGTGACAGGGATTGCGCAGGATCAGTGCATAAATCCGGGGTGCGACGGATCTGCCGTTCAGCCTATCACAGATTGTGGGGACCGGGGCGTGGTGGCCCGGTCCCAAAATGTTCCCGGTGTCGGCTTCTCACCCCGCACTTTGTATGGCTTGTTTACTTTCTCGTACCCGACAAGCCTAATTGGTTTAGCATTGCTGTATCTGAACTGTTGAGGAAATTGCAATTGACGCGGAGCTAAGGACAGGTGAAGTTTTTAGAGGCAAATTAGTCGGGATACTTGACCCGAGTCATGTTGGGTTTTTTGCAGGGCTCCGATGGCGCACTAGCCCTCTGTCCAAGCCGATTATACTTTGAGAATATTATTCCCGAATCCCAACGCTTTGCCCCTGGGCATTTACCCAATTACCTTATGGCGTTTTTCTGAATCTAGTGCTCCGGAGCTACCTAGTGCCTTGGTTTTTACATCACAGGTCACATTCAAGGAAAGTACTTGGAAAGAAGGGAGAAGTTAATCGAAATTGGAAGTTAGACTTCAACAAAAAGGAGTGTATATTGGAATTCAGAGACATCTGCTTGCCCTTATAGAGCTTCCAAGCTACTTTCTATTGGACCGACTCAATGTCAGCCCAAAGCGTCGAACCCGACAGCAAAGCTTCCCATGAGTGACTCAACCGCCACAGCAAATGAGCTAAATATTTGCATCTAGATATCCGAATCTATATCTATGTCTGCTGCGCAGCAGGTGTGCTATGGAACACTACTGCGGCAAATTCAGCAAATTAATTGCGTCTACATTGAGTATGTTTCCAAGGTTGACAGGGGCTAGCATTTCGAGGCATGCCTCTATCTAGGTTACTAGTGGCATGTTTGCGCTTTCACTGTTGGCTTGCTAGTGCAAACAACTTCAATTAATCATGGCTTGTCTAGTGGTGACTACCCGTTCTCGGCGAATAAGATACGCCTGGGGCATCTAAAGAGTGGATTGGCTTTGGGGGAGGGATTGAAGGAGTTTACGGCCCTTAAGGCGGAGTATTTACTTCGCGTCCAGGATGGAGCTTGTTGAAGTGGATGGGTTTCTACCAAGGTACTTCACTAACCGTGCTATCTATATATATAGTTATACAAAAATCTGCAGGAAGGGTCCCCAATCAGTCATTCGAAACTAGGGCGTAAAGTTTGTTGAAATCAGATTCCAAGCTATCCCAGTTGGGTTGATAAAGCAACTGGTTAATGACTGGAAAGGTCACGTGAAGACGTGTTTTTCGCGTTCGGGGCTTTTTGGTGGCAGTTCGCATACCGCGATTTAATATCCGGGAACTTTTGGATCTGTTCCCAGATTGATGGGGCCATGATGACATGTAGAATGCTGCATACTAGAGCCTCTAAGATTCTTAAGATCTCGCGCATTCTATAACGTGACGTGGGACACGCGATGGCCCCATAGCACGTCCGTGGCCGCAGTGGGGAATCCCGAATTTACCTCCGACCGCGTCAATAGAGAGTAAATAAAGAACAATTCAACGGGAAATCAAAGAATTATTAGTAAAATCAAAAGTAGAAAGTATAGGTTATTATGTTCTCATGAAAATTCAGGTCCATTTAAGATCAAAAATTCATCCCAAACCTTGGAGGCGAAGACTAGCGCGGGCACGGTCTCGATTCCTCCGCGTCCACAATCGCGACGCGATCCCGCTACGGCCTTGGTTTGCATACTCTTTCTTTGCACCAGCCTCACTCCTAATTCCTTTCTATCTTTTCCTTTTCTTTTTCCTTTTTGTTATATTTTGGCTCTGGAATTGCCTTGAACGAAACCACTCTCTATTACACCTCCCCTCCATGCTCTGTTGAGACTATGTCTGACCCGGAGCCATCGATGGCGGCCGCTTCGTCCTCGCCATCTCTCCCGGCCACCGAATGCAATGCCTTAAACTACGCCTTCCTCGTCCACTCCCAGAAAACCCTCACTCAAAACCTTCCACCGCGTGTCGATAATAAGCTGCTAGCTCGCCAAAAACGACGCCGAACGAGGTAAGTTCGGCTGCCATTGGTCGACCCAATGGATTGCCCCAGACGCGTGTTTGTCTAACCAGCATGATCGATTGGATATAGTCCCGAAGACCACGCAATCCTAGAGACCGAATACCAAAAAGATCCCAAGCCGGATAAAGTTGCTCGCGCAAATATTGTGAATCGCGTCTCGCTCGGCGAGAAAGAGGTGCAGGTACGTGATGCCAAGACCTCACGCCCCAAAAATCCACCCCGTAGAACGTGACTGATTCCTGCAGATCTGGTTTCAAAATCGCCGCCAGAACGACCGACGGAAATCACGACCCCTCCAGCCGCACGAAATGCTCGCTCCTCGATCGAGTATGTCTGATTCGGTGGGACATCCTTCTAGTGATGATAACGCGTCCGCGGAACCTGGGTCGTCGAGTGGGGCAGAGCTGGTCGACACCCAAGACCGACCGGAGGAATCCAGGCCAAAATCGTGGGGTGGTGATCTGCTTCAGTTATCTGATGACATGGAGCCGGTAACAAGTGAGAGGGAGGAGCCTGAGCTGCCACCGCAGAGCACACAGACTAGTGTGGCCACCGCAGATTCTTTGGACGATACCCCACCAACCACGCAGGAAGAATTTCCCGGCGCGGACTCGAGACACAACCCGAACGAGACAAAATTAGAGGAATCGTTGCCGACGCCGACGCGAAAGCGATCGAATTCTGAGATTCAGGATGAGGGAGTACCACAAGAAGAGCCACGCACAGATCATGTCATGTCAACTCCGACCAAGTCACCACCCTCACTACGACTATCGATGTCGTTTGATGGAGAGGCCATGGTGAGAAAGGAAGATGAGATGACGCCTTCGCCGCCCAAGGGTCGAAACGCGCTGCGGATTGCCATGTCGTCCGATGGCAAGGCCGTCATCCGTGCAGAGAACGAACCGTCCCCGTCCAAGAATAGAGTGGCCATGTTCTCAGTACGCCGCACAAAACTCTCAGGCCTTCGTCGCAGTAGCAGTGCTATCTTCCCGACCACACCGCGGGCAGGCATGACCGAGAATGATCGCGCCTTTGGCCGATCGCGTGATCCTCGTAACTGGGAGTCATTCTTTGACACAGATGCACGGAGCGCCCTATCCACACCCGCCAGCTCCCAAACTGCGCCCAACCCCCATTCATCTCCTAGCCTCTTCCAATCCCGCGGCCCGCGTTCCCTCACCCGCAGTGCATCAACAAGACATAGTCTCCTCTCCGCCCACGCCGACCCTTCCCGTACCCCTATCTCACAGGCGATGGGAGAAAAGCGACGAAAACTCTCTCGCACTGTTTCATCCATGGGCAGGTTAGAGACTGAGCGCAACCGCTTCAACCCTCATTCCAAGCTTTCCAAGTTCACCACACCTTCAAAGCCCGGAAAATTAGACCTGGAGATGGATCCTGGTGACTCAGATAAAGAAAACTGGGTACCAGGAACTCGAGCATCTCAAGTTCGTCGTCGAACAGCATCTCATACTACTCGGCCTGCTCTTCGTGACGCGAACCGGAATCACGGGTTAGGGCTGACAACCGGGAAACGCAACCGACCATTCGCAGCTGGCGCACAGGGCAAGGCCCCGCCGGAATTGAGTGCAGAGGTATCTGCATTCATGTCTGGTGGTACAGGGGATAGCCAAGAAGATGATTTGGACTGTGTCCAGGGACTCCTTTCATTGAGTCAAGGGGCGTGGCGATAGCGATAGCCCCTGCCCGCTTCACTCGCGGGGATAAAAAAAGGGTCCAGGTACAGATGATGTATCTGCTCTCGGCGTTGTCATTTACTTTCCCCTCTCCCCACCAATATTTTCGGGGATTTTCCTCCCTTTTCCTATGTCTTTTCTTTTCTTGTTCGTCATGATTCTGATTCGCGATGTGTGCTTGCAAGCGATTCTTCGCCACATCTTCGTCACGTGAACTACATGATCCCTTGATCCTAGGTCCGTTGAGACCTTCTTTCTGTGTATATCTGCTCCCTGCGAGTTTCGTTTTGCTCGCTGCGCGGGAGGTGGATTTATGTGATGTGCCTAAATGGCTCTGTCTCTGTCGCTGGTCGCTGTTGTTAAGACCAACTGTGGGAGATGGCTCCCGGTATAGATAAAACTAATCCTGGAATGAAACACCAGTAACGATCCAATGATACAGACTTTTGAATATGAGTTTTTATATCCACAAAGTAATGAAGTAAATACTGTGCCGGCTTGAAATCCCAGACTTACACTACCTAGTTCTGTTCATCGGTATTCGATCCATTACGGACACCGTCAAAAGTCACACCCTCTACATGCATGCATTAAGCAACCTTATAGACAAGGTTTCCATACATATTCACATATCCCATCTCGCAACCCATTCTATGATCGAACTACAGCTTCCCAGCCGAAGGCAAAGAATCATCTTTCGCTGCAGAAACCCCAACAACCCCTAACCCCCTCCTCTGGCAAACCTGACCGGCAACCCTCTCTCCACTCCAATAAGCACCAGTAGTAGTCCCAAGCGCCACGAAAGGCGCCGTATGTTCGCCAGCAAACCACAAGCCCCGTTCCTCACCAACGCCGACCCCAGACCGCATAGCCTCAATATCACGATCACCCTGCTCGAGCCCAACCTGAAAATTGCAGTAAGATCCATACCCAGCGTACGGATCTGTCTGCCACTTCGTCGCTAGAATGGTACTTGGTACACAATCTGGCGAGTTCGCGTCGTAACCGGGTAGTTTGGAGTAGAAGGGTTCGAGAGTCTTGATCAGTGTTTCCTTGTATTCTTTTGAGGAGCGATCGAGGGACGCGATGCTTTGGACTATTTCTGCGCCACCTGGTCCGTATGTGTAGAATAGGAGCGTTGGATGGGCGCATGGAGATGGGAATGAGGCCATTGAGAGGCATTCTTGGTTCCATTCTAAATGGGCTGGGTGCTCTGCGTAGGATGGGTCGAGGAATTGGGTGAAGGTTGGGTTTGTAGGGAGGGCTGTATTGATGCTGTCTTTGGAATCTGTTTGCCAGAATGCACGAGGAAATTTCACGAAGACTTTCTCCAGGCGGCCGAAAGAGATGCTTTCTATTGCTTTTTGGAGGCGAGGTGGGAGGACAGGGGTGAATGTGTTCAGGTTCTTCTTGAGCCAGCCCAGTGGGCAGGTGATGACCAGGTCGTCGAAGGTGAAGCGGTCTCCTGAAGCTGTTGTCACAGTTACCTGGTGCTGATTTATAGATTCGTCGGTTTTCCGGGGTGGAGCTTCGATGTTCACGACTGGGTGGTTCAGTTTAATGTCGGCGTGGGTTTGAGCTGCCTTGGAAACTTGCTCTAGGATGCGTTTGTGGGTTCCCGCCACGAAGTAGTTATCTTTGGTTGATTGGTTAGTTCGGCAAAGGAAATGCCTCAAACAGGCAATGCGGAGATGAAGACTTACATCCGTCGATGCATTCTTCCAAGCGGAAGAATTTTAGACTCTGTCTATGGATAGGTTCACCCACATAAGCACCCCAGAGCTTGCATGCGTCCAGAACAAGCTGCTGCTCCTCCTCCGAGAAAGTCGATTCCCGGACCTTCATTTGGAAGAAATCGTAGAGACTTTCTTCCGGGCTGATGCTCTCTCCACGCTCATTACTGTACGTGAAGGCATCTGCAATCGTAGTCCACACGAACTCCGAGATCTTAGTCCCAATATCCTCGCTGACGTATTTCCCATCGCGGGAAACCACGAAATTTCCACCTTCGGGGTCATAAGTGACAGTCTGAGTTTCCCGAGCCATGGTCATGATAGGGTTCTCGCCCTGGCCATGAATCCAGTTTGCACCCCTGTCACGAGTATTAGCCTATATCCATGGGTCCTCATTTCTAAATGAAAATGGAGAAAAGAAAAGTAGCCACTTACATGTCAACTAATTGACCTTCCAAGTCATCTTGATAAACCTATCAAAGTACCAGGAACATTAGCCCAAAGGCCCGATATATGCACTGTATTTATTTTCGATAATATCCACCAGAAGCAGTTGAAACCTCACTTACTCTCCCACCAATGCGATCCCTAGCTTCTAAAATGGTGACTCTTGCCCCATTTTGAATGAGGATATCGGCGCAGCGTAGACCCGCAAAGCCGGCGCCAATGATGCCAACATGCGGCTGAGAACTCATGATGGCGGAGCAGGTAAAGAAATGGCGACCACTGAAAGACCTTCGACTAGCGAACTGGATTGCTGCCCTGAACATGAAAATGCCGGCTGGTCGAAGTTGTGGTAAAGTTTCCGCGGTTGATGGCACTGATAGGAGTGGGACCAGGGTTCGCGGGTGATTGGCTGACGTTTGATCTATGGGCCGCTTGGTCTTAGGTAGACTCTAAGGATGCCGAGGCATTCTATGTAATTATGTATGTTTATTTGTTGTCTCCAAAGTAGAGCATACAATGCTTGTTTGTCGCTTTAGCGGCAGCAGATGCTGAGATGCGGCCGATAGTCATCGCTGTTATTCTGCACTGTCTGGTATGTACCTTGGAATGTCCAGGTCTAAATTGGGTAACCAATTATGACATCTATATTGTTGTCACTATCATCATCAAGCCCTACGTGATTCATCTGGCCGGGAAATGACCTTTCATTCAATTCTGAGCCTGGGGCCGTAACTAGAAACACAATGCAGATATGCCCACAAGTAAAATGCTCCGAGACCATGGTATTGAGCAAAGAAAACAAAAGCTGAAATCAAATGTTACACCCAGAAAAGAGAAAAATTATGCTCAGCATAATAAATGAGAAAGCCATGCGCCTAGTCACTCTTCCTCACGCGCCGAGTAAGAACAGCAGAAAAACATTGGAAAGACAAAGCACCCTCAAACTCCTTTTAGTGTGATGATATCGCAGAAAGATGAGAAATGGGAGTAAACATGTACGTGTCGGATACAAGTGGAGGGTATCAAGTGATGTCAGGAATGGCGTAGGGGAAAGTAAGCCGACAGCTAGGCTGCACCTGTAGAGATCAACTCCAGAGGGAAAGAAAGCCGGGTGAGGGTTGTGGTCGAATCGAAGATGCTGTGGCGCCCGCACAAGGTAAGGGCGACAAGCCTTACATTGGTAATGCAGGCTTTTTAGTCCTCCCAGATAGTCTCCAGGTCGAGATCCTGCCGGCGCTCTGCGCCACAGACACTCCATCGCTTGCGACCACCGCGCGCGGTGTTGAAAGAGTTGGAACTAGAAGTGTCGGATGCACCGCGTCGTCGGTTGTTATTGCTTGCTGCATCGGCCGCATCGGCCGCAGCCTTAAGCTCGGCGATCCGATCATCTTCAACGGCCTCCGCCTCCGCGTCAGGAATATCGGGAATAGTCTCCAGAGAGGAAATGCTAGGACTGCGGGATCGAAGACTGGTCGGGGTTGACGGAACAGAGGAAGAAGAAGAAGCGGAAAGGCCGGGAAATGATTCGTTGTATTTCCCGGTGAGAGTGGGGGACGTATGAATGGAGGGTGGGCTGCTAATCGGGGGTTGAAAATGAAGGGGGGATGTTGAGCGCATGCGACCGATGCGGGGGAATGTCTGCGGCATCAAGACCGGAGAGTTTCCCGACTGCGAGGAGGGCGACTTCGGCACGGTCTCCAGTTCGGCGTTCTCAGAGATCGTCTCGGAAATGTTGAGCGACCCCAAACGGGTCTCGATGTGATCGTCCATGCGCATCTGCAAGGGCACTCGCTTTGCATCGGCTGGTGAGGCAGGCACCCCACGGCCGTTAACAAAGATATATCTTCCCCGAGAGTCCAGCCCTGGGGAAGAGTATGCGCGCGTCATGGATGGCATGCCGGGGATTCCCACCAGTGATCGCGAGCGGAGGTGCGATCGGGGCAAAGGGGACCGGGTCCGAGATGGTGCCGGCGGTTCGGGAGAGACAGACAAAGTGATCATGACGTCTTCCTTTCCCATCTGTTCCGAAGAGACATCAGAGTTGCGTTTATTGAGTTCGCTGAAGTCTGATTGAGGAGGGCGCATGGCCTCCGGTCGTTGCGAACCTTCCATGTCGATCAGGTCGAGAAAAAGGGGAAGGGGGAGGGGCGAAATTTGAAGGCGATCACGGGCGCATCATATCAAGGGAACAAAAATCAGAAATCTTGGGCCGGCCAAGCTTTGGAGATTTGAACAAAATTCGTTGGAGAGAAGAAAGGTGAAAAGGGTGGAGGAGAAAAAAAAGAAGTTAAAAGAGTTGAGGCGAAAAGGCAGGTCCAGACCGCGGAACCCTGACACGCATCGCCTTTGATACTTTTGATTCGACGAATTCGTGCTTGTCTCAATACAAAAATGATTTTCTTCAATTGAAGTATTAAGGGGTTAAATCGGGCTCACATTGAGTGCTCTAAGTGAAACTACTGAGATCTAAGATTCGGAGAGCGACGGGGGTTTCATCCATGGATCGGTTCACAACGGAGATAGGATCCTTCAACCAATCGTAAGAGCCCGTCGCCGCAGTTTATCTGGACGTCGTAGGGTTTCAGTACTGTGTGGATTTGTTTTAACATGACTTTCCCACACATTGTAGGATTATAGTATATCAAATGTGACGTAGGATACTACGGTGTGCCCTTGACCTGATCTAATTATACCCAATGTTGACATCAATATTGACATCAAAGTTTTCCTCTCATTGTATGGCATGTTGGGCTCTAGACTTACCATATGAAGGGACTATATAGCATGAACCATGGTCTCTGTTTCCTAGATGACGCCATAATGGCCAGACCTCATCAATAAAAAAGCACGACGTTCGGCGAGTCCGATAGCTAAGTATAGAAATCTACACTGATCGACGAAACCGCACGTTCTCTAGCTCTCGGCATGACCGGGGCTGTTTACGCGTCGGTGCAAGTATGAGATAAGGTATGAAAGTCATGTAATGAGAAGATTTTTCTCGGGCCTAGAAGCTCATTTACCTTCCCTGGCAACTTTACCGGGTAAGCCAAGTCTAAAAATCGAGAAGAACCTTGGATCGGGGATTAAAATCCCCACCAAGGACTAGTGTCCGCAGTGGGGGCTCAACTCGACACTGTGTCAGCGTGAGACACCGGGACAATCACAATTCCATGCCTTGGTGCCTGACTTCACTAATTATCTCCATTCCGCACCGCAGTGGAACCGGTTTGCATCCAGTAAACAGACTCGAGGCGTAAGGCAAACAATATTACGAGATTTTGATCTGGGCTACAAGAATCTAGACTGCTGCGTATGGTTCCAGATGTGATTGCCATTGACATTTTGAGACATGTTACATCGGACTGAGACTAAGTATTATACTAAGGGTAGTAGATCAATGTATAATAATGGTAGAAAATAAGACAAAAAGAAAAAAAGAACGAAAAGGGGGTAATCGAAAGAAAGATCATCAGATCATCATTGAGCGTGCTCGTGCTCGTGTGGCACCTCATCCTTGCACTTGGTGGCTTGGTCTTTCCGCACGTATGTTTCGCGGACTCCATCACCCTCGTTCTTGAGCACCTCCCATTCTCCCATACCGAGATAGGTGGGAGCAATACGCACACCACGACCACCGCCACCAACAATAATGTTACCAGGGCGGTATTTGGGGTCAGCTTGCATACGCCGGATGGCAGACACGTGAATCTCAGCGTCAAGCGGCACATCCCGGACCTCACCACGCGGCAGCGGCCAGCGAATGGGTTTCCACGAACCATCACCCTGGAGATCCATGCGACGGAACGGTAGCCACTCCATGATTCGCCAGGAGATAACAGAGGTAGTTGGTAAGCCTTGCTTGAACTCGAGACAGTCGTGCAGGAGACCCTTCGTGCTGGATGTGTGCAGCGCATGCCAGAAGTCACGGCTGGCAGCGGAACGCTGCTTCTCATTGGGAGCTTCACGGTAGGCGTTGGGGTCATCCTGGCCCGGTTGCTGACTGATGCGGCTACCGCGGCGGTTGCCTATAGTTTCTTGGATGGGAGTGTAGTCACCATCGAACTCCTCAAGACACTGGAACTGCTTCATCTTGCGCTCATCCAGTTCCAGACCTGCTTTATGGGCTTCTTGCACCATCCAGACTAATGGAGCGTGACTCAGGGCCCATAGCTCTCCACCTTGGAGTTTCCATCCTCCGCCAATATCAGCGTGACATCCTGGGAACCACACTTCGTGAATGTCCTGTTCTTCATCATCACTGTCATAGCCATCGCCGGCATGACTGGGAACTTGGATAGATAGGTGGCCAGACTGACCACTGCGAACTGATCTGGAGTCATCCACGGATACCCTTCCGTTCGGAACAGTCAGACCAGATCGTCGAGGAGATGATGCGCGGTATCGGTGAGGCTTCTCTCCGAAGTTGCTGTCACTACCCTGGTTTGAGGAGCCCGGGTGAAGGTGAGAGTGAGAGTGATAGTATGACTCGCCTGGGTTGGGACCCCATCCAGGATTTTCCGAAGGGGGTACTCCCTCAACTGGGGCCACTTTCTCCGCTCCAGGAGTTCCAGAATCATCATTCAAACGGATAGCCGGCACCTCATCCGGGGGTGCATCCTTCTGGTGGACATGCAGATGGTGTTGGGTATCAACGTGGTGTGCCAGGGGGTTCTCGTTGTGGGGAGTGTGTGACATGTGTGGCATGTGTGGCATGTGTGGTGTAGGAAGGTGGTGACGGTGGTGCTTATGCTTGTCTTGTGGGCGCTTTCCAGAGATCAAATCCTGACGGAACTTGGCACGGCGCTCGTCAATACCGACTGCATGACGAATGACCTTGGCGGAACTACGGGCTGTATAGGGGAACTTGCTGCGCTGCATCCAGGCATTCTCGAATCGCGGGACACTGTTGACGGTATCGAAAAGCCCCATAAACTTGATGCGCGTGATCGGACGACTGAATGTTTCACGGAAAGCCTTCATATACTCGAAGAGTTTCTTCTTCTCCTCGTGCTCATCCTCAGAATCACCTTGGCGTTGTTGCCACTTGGCGAAAGTCTTCCAAGCAAATCTGATCAGTTCTTCGTTACCGGCCTCGAGCAGACCGATGTAGTCGAGCATCTCGGCCAAAAAACGGGCGATATATGATCCACGACTGAAACCGATGAAGAAGATCTCGTCACCAGGAGAATAGTATCGCATCAAAAACTTGTACCCTCCCATCACATGCTCATCAAAAGAAGATCCAATGGCCGAATCTTTGGCCTTTTCGTACCAGGATCTAATGCGCTGAATGCGACCATGACTGCTGAGTGACTTTGTTGTCACGTAGGTACCAATACCTGGTTGGTAGTAATGGTACTGGTGCGGTTTACTGCGATCCAGCATCTGTTTGCTACTTGATTAGCGAGAATTTTCAAGTCCGACAATCGGAGGACTTACGCGAAAGATTTTCAAGACGTTACTATCCGACTCATCGCCGGCAAACTTGTTGCCAGTTCCGTCAAAACAGAGCACAAACTGCTTCGGGGCCTGTGAAGGCGGTACGTGCTGAGCCATGATTGCAAAAGAAATGTATAATCCCAAGAGTGGCCCTCACGGAAACTATAAAGGAAAACTGGGGGTTGCGAGGACAAGCTGCAGCTTTTACGGCGTAGAGGGGCGCAAGTACCGCGAATCAGGGCCCTGGCGGCCGCAGGAGGGGGTTGGATAAGAATGCTCCAAGCGTGTCACCCACTGCGATGATCCCTGCAGACCCGAATACGTCAAGTTCAAGTGAGATGTGGGACTCGAAATTGGCACATTCCATTTATGGATCCATCACGCGTTTTCTGGGATTTTCACTTGATTTTACGGCTTTTATTTTAACCTCCATTCTTTACCCTATGACGCCAATGCTATGCACGCCAAAAAGCACAGAAAACAAAAAGAAATCAAACAAAGGGTACTTCCGAAAAACAGGGCAACAAGGCTGACCCTAAGTTAGCTGATGTTGTACAGGAACAACACACTTATCTAACGGAGGCGCACTTCATCCAATCACCATAATGCCTCGGATCGCATTACCCTGAGTTTGATCTGGGCTGAACTGGTCACTCAAATGATGCTGCATCCCTTAGTGGGGGGCTCACAAGCCCGGGTGCTCTGAAAAAGAGACCAAAAAACAAAACAAAATTCAAATCTGCAGACCGTGCAAATCGAGACACAACGCGACATCAATGGAGACTTGGTTTACGAGGTTGGACCTATGAGAACCCGTATACGAAAGAAAGATACACATGAGATTGTATGACTCGGGACATTATTGTCGATCTTTCCCCACGCACCGAACAGCTCTGTGCCAATGAATCTGTGAAAGTCAGGGGCGCGAGAAAAGAGGGGGCGTTCGTCTGTAATTTATCCTTTTTCCTCATCTTGATCGAGACTTCGCCGCCGCTACGCCGAAAGTGTCACTTTTCCCACATCGTGGGCCGCCCGGGACCCACCTGTCTGCCGTCACCTGAAGATTCCCAGAGTTTGGGAACGAATGACGCGGACCGAGTACGGGTTCAGGGAATTACTGTACAGAAGAGTTTTTCTCTGGTGGAACCCGATCAGCTTTCCAAAACCTTCTCCTGAAAGTTTAGTGCTTAGAGCATTACGGCTGAACACAATGGGAATTGACTGATTTTTAATTGTCATTGATGACGATTGCTATTATGAATCTGTTTCCGCACTGTTCTTCACTATCGTGCCAAAGCTCCCGGGAGTGGCCGCGTTCCCCGGACATGCCACTGTTGCCCGACCCGTGGTTTAGTGCCATGACTGCAGACTCAGGGTCTCGTCCTTGGAAGGCTCCGTGCAATTATATGTCAGATCCTCCTGATCTTCTCTTTTTTATCCCTAGATTATGATCCCCGTGCATAGGCCTGATGCATCTTATCCACGAGGTTGAAAACCTGAATTGCACAATTGTACGATGAGGACCCTAAAAAGGGGGTGGGGAAAGTTACGATGCATCATATTACTTACGATGACTAGCAGATTGGTCCGCCAATGACCAGGAGCACATAGCGGTTCGTGCTACCAATTCACGATCCTTGGCGCACGCTAGAGCCCATAGTGGGAGAACATGTGGGTCAGCGCTGCCGATCCATCTCATCATGGGAAAAGGTGAGAAAGAAAACATGCAGTTGCAGTATGTCCTACAAGCCTGTATCTTTATTGCGGTTACATTTGCATCCCTTGCGTCGCATCCCAACAGTCAATGGGGTATGACAGTGGTCATGGTCTTGCGCATGTACATGATTCAGCTTAACTGGTAACCTGATGATGGATCGTCCCAGCCAGCCACGGAACAGAAAGGCGAGTTTTCCGATCGGGACGTCAAGCGCAAACTTACCATTACAATCCCCCCACTTAGCGTTGCCTTGGCCCATCTGGCTGGATCTCAAGTTATTGTGGGGCTCTGACTCCACGACTCCGAGATTCGGTTCCAGACGGAGTACACCGCTACTGTAATTTGATACATTTCAATTGGTCTCTTTTTCTCCTAAGAAAAAAAAAATCCCAACGCAGGGGGGAGTCAATTCTTTACCCGTGACGTAGCCAGCTGAGCTTCGTCTCTATGGTGATGAAGTACGGAGTACGCCTTAGGGGTTCCATTGTTCCATCTTGGGTGACGTGCCGTGTTCAATTGCCTGGCCCACCCCCTTTCCCAGACATTCATGACGCTCTCCACTAGAGGGGTCAACAGGGTGATCAATTACTCTGTTCAGCTGCTCGTCATTGTAACAGCAATGCTGAAGTGGGGGCAACCCAGCAGCTGGACCTCGAGCTTGTCCCACGCGGGGCCATCCAGCTGATTGGTCCGAGCTACAGCCCTCCGGGCAGATCAAGGCTAGTGAACCTGACCATCCCCAATCAGATCTGGTCTGGCAGTCAATCAACTATTGGCGATAACAAATCCGCCACCTATGGGTGCTCCACAGTCTTGCAGCTGTGGTAACTACTGTAGGTCGCCCGCACAGCTCGTTTTTAATCCGAAACGCGAGTACTTCTTAACCTTGTCCCCCTGGGTTAGGTCGTAGCCACTTTTTCTTTTTTTTTTTTTTTTGTCTTCAATTATTTGTATCTCCCTTTGAGTGACTTGTCTGTGTGAGCCTCAGACTACCATCACCATGTTGCGGAGATTCTCTACCCAGTTCAAAAAGAACAAGGACACCAATGGCGATGCCGAGCCTAAGGCCGAGAAGCAGAACAAGCGCTTCTCCAAGGTGTCATCTACACCGAAGGTTGCCTCTAAGGAGGACACCACCGAGACACATCAGGTGAAGCGTTCAGAGGTAGTCGCAGTGTTCGAGAAGTATGCGCAGGCCATCCACGCTTCGCGCGAGCCTTTGCCCAACCAGACTGGTGATGGCACATACCTGAAGCACGATCAGTCCAGCGGACTGATCGCTGACATTAAGTCTCTCGGATTCCGCGACGTCAACACCGTCAAGGACCTGATTAAGAACAAGGCCTCTGGTGAATTGGTTGACGACAAGACCTACCTTATGGAGCGCATTATTCAGGTACGATCAAAGAGAATTGGGATTGAAATAGCAATTGAGAAAAAGACTAATTAGATTCACGATCATAGCTTGTTGCCGACATGCCCGGCCACTCCAAGAACCGTGTCGAGCTCACAAATGGATTCCTTGATGAGCTGTGGACCTCCTTGCCACACCCCCCGCTCTCGTAAGCAGCCCCAATTACGCCACAAATTTGACGCATTCGTGCGACTAACACGAGCTTTAGCTTCATGGGAGATGAGTACAAGTACCGTTCCGCTGACGGATCTAACAACAACCCCACACTACCATGGTTGGGTGCTGCCAATACCCCCTACTGCCGCACCATTCCTCCTCTCTCTATTCAGCCCAGTGGTTTGCCTGATGCGGGTCTTGTCTTCGACAGCCTGTTCGCCCGTCAGGAATTCACTCCTCACCCCAACAAGGTGTCGAGTGTCTTCTTCGACTGGGCTTCTCTGGTTATTCACGGTAAGCAATTATTCATCAACCCAGACAGCGCAAAAGTACTGATGATTTATAGACATTTTCCAGACTGACTACCGTCAACCACACCTGAATAAGACCTCCGCCTACCTTGATCTCTCTATTCTCTATGGTGATGTTAAGGAACAGCAGGATCTTATCCGTTCCCACAAGGACGGTAAGCTGAAGCCTGACTGCTTCTCCGAGGGTCGCCTGCAGGCTCTTCCTCCTGCTTGCGGTGTCTTGCTGGTCATGCTTAACCGTTTCCACAACCACATTGTTGAGCAGCTTGCTGAAATTAACGAAAATGGCCGTTTCTCCAAGCCTGGCTCCAACGTCACTGGCGAGGCTGCTGAGAAGGCCTGGGCCAAGTACGACGAGGACCTGTTCCAAACTGGTCGTCTGATTACTTGCGGTCTGTACATTAACATTACTCTGTATGATTACCTGCGTACCATTGTCAACCTCAACCGCAGCAACTCTACGTGGTGTCTGGACCCCCGTGCCCAGATGGAGAAGGCCGGTGCTACCCCCTCCGGTCTGGGTAATCAGTGCTCCGTCGAGTTCAACCTGGCTTACCGCTGGCACTCGGCCATCGCCCAGAAAGATGAGGAGTGGATTGAGAAGATCTACTACGACCTCATGGGCAAGCCCGCTGACCAGGTTACCATGCCCGAGCTGCTGATGGGTATGAAGAAGGTTGAGGGCATGCTTGACGCTGACCCCGCCAAGCGTGAGTTCGCTCACCTGAAGCGTGGAGCGGACGGTAGGTTCGACGATGGTGAGCTTGTCGCTATTCTTAAGTCTGCCTCCGAGGACGTTGCCAGCTCTTTCGGACCCCGCAATGTCCCCAAGGCTCTGCGTTCCATCGAGATCCTTGGTATGGAGGCTGCCCGTCGCTGGCAGGTTGGTTCCCTCAACGAGTTCCGTAAGCACTTCGGCCTGAAGACCTACGAAACCTTCGAGGAGATCAACTCCGACCCAGAGATTGCCAACACTCTGCGTCACCTGTACGAGCACCCTGACTACGTCGAGCTGTACCCCGGTATTGTCTCTGAGGAGGCTAAGGAGCCCATGATTCCCGGTGTCGGTATCGCCCCAACTTACACCGTTTCCCGTGCTGTCTTGTCCGATGCTGTGGCTCTTGTCCGTGGTGACCGTCACTACACCGTTGACTACAACCCCCGTAACATGACAAACTGGGGTTACAACGAGTGCCGCTACGACCTGAACATCAACCAGGGTTGTGTCTTCTACAAGCTGGCTACCCGTGCTTTCCCCAACTATTACAAGCCTGACTCTATCTACGCTCACTACCCCATGACCATCCCCTCTGAGAACCGCAACATCATGAAGACGCTTGGTCGTGAGAACGACTACTCCTACGATGCCCCTGCCTACATTCCTCCCCGTGTCAACTTGACCTCGCACCAGTCTGCCAAGCTTATCTTGGGCAACCAGATCGACTTCAAGCCCGCTTTCAGCTCCGCTCTGGAGGACCTGTTCGGCAAGGGCAAGTTTGACTCCCAGCAGCAGGAAGCCATTGGCAAGGCTCTGGCCACCGAGGAGTTCCCTAAGCTTATTAAGAAGTTCTACGAGGAGACCACTCTGCACCTCATCCAGCAGCACGGTGCCAAGCTCGCCAACATCAACCAGGTTGACATCACCCGCGATGTTGGTAACTCTGCCCACGTCTACTTCGCCTCAGCTCTCTTCGGCCTGCCCCTCAAGACCGAGGAGAACGCCTCTGGTCTCTTCACCGAGCACGAGATGTACATGATCCTCACCACCATCTACTCCGCGCTCTTCTTCGATGTGGACGCCCCCCGGTCATACCCTCTGAACCGCGCTGCCACCGCCGTTGCCCAGCAGCTCGGCACCGTTGTTGAGGCCACCGTCAAGGCTGACACCAACACTGGCCTCCTGTCCGGTCTGATGAACAACTTCCGTCCTCACGACAACGCCCTCCGTGAGTTCGGTACCGGTGCCCTCCGCCGCCTGCAGGAGTCTGGCCTGTCTGCCTCGGAGATCACCTGGTCTCAGGTCATCCCCACCATCGTGTCACTGGTTCCAAACCAGGGCCAGGTGTTCACTCAGGTCATCGAGTACTACACCGGCGCTGGCAAGCAGCACTGGGCCGAGATCAGCCGTCTCTCCAAGGAGGAGTCCGCCGCCAGCGACGAGCAGATCTACCGCTACTGCCTGGAGGCCATCCGTATCAACGGAACCTTCGGTGCCTACCGCGAGGCCCAGAACGCCGTTACCGTCGAGGAAAACGGCAAGTCCATCGACATTCAGCCCGGCAACAAGATCTTCGCTTCCTTCGTCGAGGCCAACCACGATGCTAGCGTCTTCCCCGAGCCCAGCGAGGTCAAGCTCGACCGTCCCATGGACTCTTACATCACCTCTATCCAGGGTGCCAGCACCGGATTTGGCCAGGAGATCACCAAGATCGCTCTTGTTACCATGGTCCGCGTCGTCGGCCGCCTGGAGAACCTCCGCCGCGCCCCTGGTGCTCAGGGCCAGCTCAAGAAGATCCAACAGGAGGGTGGCTACTACGTCTACCTCCGCCAGGATGGCACTTCTTACTTCCCCTTCCCTATGAGTAAGTCACAACACTTAACCTCTGATATCAATCTTCACCCTGAATACGTGCTAATGGATTACCTCTACAGCCCTCAAGCTTCACTGGGACGGCGACTTCAAGTTCGAGCAGAAGAAATAAGCTGCCGTCTAAGCAAAAAGCATCTCGACTTTTTTAATACTAGGCTCTTACTGTCTAGGGCTTGGAATAATGTTCAGCCTCTCGTATGGGTGGTCATGGTTAATGTTTTGAGTTTATTGTTTTCAAGGATATCCAGAAATTGTGCTTCTAGCTTGGAAGCTTTGCTTCTCACCGTGTATAGTTCAATGATGACACATTATATATGACTACTCTTATTTTACCATATCTGTGCTCTCATGAGTGCATGATTTCAACGTCCAATAAGGGCGATTCTAGGCTGTGAAGTACTGGGAAAATGCCATTTTTTACATTTTCACATTACTATGCATTGTGAAAATGAAATTCTTTTTAAGAATTGAATAGTAATAGTCATGTATTCAAGTCCTGTTAGTCTATCTCGACATCTATCCAAGATTACAACAGAGAAGATTTCGTTGCATATAAGCGAACGGTCAGAGTACTTGAAGCTAGGAGTTGGGTGGGTTCTGTGAGTATGCATGGGCGAAGACTACTAGTTCCTTGACGATTCTCGATAACCGACACACCAATGATGCCTGCTTATTATCTTTAGGTCTAAGCCCAACCGAATTTTGCTCGTAGATAAAATGTGAATATTGAAAATACTTCTCAAGGCCAGCTGTCACACGTTTCAATTACCAACAAACGAAACCATTCACAGTCCCCACCTGAGCAAGTATCAGCAGTAGCCAGTCGTTTCCGGTATCAGTTCCTTCTCAAATCCTGAACACCTATATTCGAAGATTCATTCCTCACAATACGAGCTCAAACAGGCACATTGCCTGCGCTATTGCGACCTTTGCCCCCAATACACCACTCCGCGAAACCCACCCCGGTAATCATCGAAACGCTTGTACCGAAAATCAACAGAACGCCGAATGCGATGAAAAACAGACTTAGAAAGGCCCATAACATCATAAGAAACCAAGCACCAGCTTCGTGAATCTCTGGACTGCTCCCTGGTCTTACGGCAAGAGATATGATCCATCCTCCGCATGCAATGCTAAGCAGCGCCATCAGCACCATTACTATAGCACCCGATATTTCCTTGGTCGAGCTTTTGCATTTTGGAGGGTAGTGGGTATTATGGACCGAAGTAGTTGATGCCTGTTGTATCTCGTGCAGGGGTATTCCGCGCAGGGGGTAGGCTGGTGGCGGTCTGGTGGTCATTTTGACAGTCATTGCGGTGGGATTATGGTTGGAATGTGCAAAGAGGAGTTTCGTGGGAAGAAATTTCTGGGGGATAAATAATTACTTCTAAGTACTCAAGAGCTTGTGTGAATTTAACCTTCCAAGGTCCGAACCCGATATATTCAGAACCACTTTTTATTGCCCTAATATTTAAGTTCCAGCCACTTTTACGCGTCCATGTATAGCTTCTGGTGGCTATCATACCTTAAGACGTATGTAGTCATAAGTATAATCACCGAGACACAAAAATCATTTCCCACGCCCACCCGTGTAAATACCTCTTAGCAATAACTAATCGTTTCCAGCCCTGTTTGCCCTTTCAAAATCATACTACCTGCATTCTCAGATTGATCTCTCAAGAGAGCTTAAACAGGCAGATTCTCCGCACTCTTGCGATCCCTTCTCCCACGACCCCAATCAGTAACATCGGTCTTGGCAGCCAGGAAAATACCATATACAATGAAACAAACGCCAGTGAGGCCCATCAAGAAAACTTCAAGCCAGGGCCAGCTTTGGTGATTATCTATCTCACTGCGAATGGAAGAACTTTTCCATAAGCAGGTGGCAAGAAATATAATAAAAGCTCCCATCGCAATCAAAATCAGCCCCGATATAGTTTCGCTTACTTTACTACTTTCCGAGTGATCGGATTGGTCTTCTGTGGAAGCGCTGGTGTTTTATTCCGGACTGGCTGGCGCCAGTTGTATGTCGCATGAGGCTGTGTTGGGCGTCCATGGCTGGTCAAGCATACCTGGCTCTGCCATGTTGATGGTGTTGTAGATGGAGTGTGTAAAGCGGGAATCTGGAGATAGGAAAATAACCACAAAACAGTATGAGCATGCATAATTCATGAGTCAGATAAAGCCTGCTAAGCCATTCTAAGCTCTCCCCTTCTAAGATTGGAAGCCCGCCGTCGTCCGAACCTCGAAACGTTAAGAGCCATTTTATTGTTTTCGCAAGGTTTAGGTTATCAAGTTACACTCCAACATATGTAAACCTTAGAAGTCCAAATCCTCTTCCCCGCCGTATCTACTAGATGCGCAACTGAGTTAGATGGGCAGTCAAAAATATTCAAGGCCGAATGTTTCAGTAACAAAGACCTTCGTAAATTTTGAGACCCCATCCAAGTAATTCAATAGCAAAAATAAGATATTTTCACAATGCTCAAACAGACTGATACTCCACCACATGATTTCCCCGCCTGCAGCAAGTAGAGTACAAGGCACTCACGCTTATTCCGAGTATGATAATGCCTATTGCCAGGAAGAATAGACCAACAACGGCTATGAAGCCCACAACAGTCCCAGTCAGTAGAGCAGCATACCAATCCATGAAGGGGTCGCTATCATGGCTTATTGATGAAATAGCACCTAACACAAAGCAGGCTCCCAACATCATCAAGATTAGTCCCAGCAAAAAGGCTGTACCTATGGCAAGAAAGTATCTGTCTCCATCATCATCTTTCACTTCGACAGGTAAGGTGTTTGCTGGCAATGAAGTCAGTTCAAGGTTACTCGAGGTAGATGTTGTTGCCATTTTGATGATAATGTGAGGATATAGTGAGAGGAAGAAAAGATGCCTCTGAGAGTGATAGTCTAGATGACCTTATTATAGCCTGGGAACTACGGTCGACCCCCTGATCTGTGGACCTGTGGTACAGACTACTGAGTCAATCTTGGTTGCCCGACTCCTAATCCTCTTAAAGTTACGTCACTGAAGCTCCTCGTTCTTTTCGATTCCAAGGTTTCTCTTCAGCTTTCATTGAAATCTCAATTTTGCCTCATCTGGGGGTATTAAAAAACGTAATTATCTCGTTGTAAGCATATGAAGACCTCTTGCAGCCGTCTCAAAGTAGAGAAATGTACATAATTTTGGATAGCTCTCGCTCTCTGTCTCTCTCTCTCTCTCTCATAAATCCCAGGATATTATCCTTTCACAAAATTTTAAACCGAGGCATGTCCATTACCCTCTTTCTCTTTTTCATCTAAACAATGACAGCCCTTCTTGCAGATCAGAACATACCAAATATACCCCAGAAAAAGACCAAACGGAATATGTTGCGCGATCACAGAATACCACATCCACGTAGCATCCTTAAAGTGGCCGAAGGAAAGACCAACCAGGTCCAAGATGGCATAACCAATTATGATGACTCCTGTTGTGAACGAAAGGGTTCCTAAAACAACGAGTCTTCGAGAGCGTTGCGGCTTCGTTTGCGACGGAGTTGGGGTTGACTTAGTCATTTTGAAGGTAACTTGTGTGAAACGTGGATGCAAAAGGGACTATGTGACGAGGGTGAAAATTGTGAACAGTTAGAGAATTGTTCGGGGACGATGGGTTTCTTATGTGAATTTAAGGGCTATGGAAATGTGAAAAACTTGAACTAGGTCATTCGTGGTTGCCCGACTCCTGATATATCAAACATTATTCCTGATTCATCTTTCGGGCTTGAAAGACGTTTTCTAGAGTCTCCCTTCATACTTCTGCAAGTTTCCTCAAAACCGTCCGTCATACTTACCCTTTCAATTACTACAAAATCAGAGACTTGACGGAATTCCCCATTCAAAGCAAGACGTCTTGACAATCTATCAATATGACACCTGATCTCGAGGTCATTGACGTATTTACGTCATGTCTTTGTGGGTCTACACCGAAAATAGCCTGAAAAGCATAAAGTCTTACATTGGTATCATAATGCTCAAATCAAAAAACCCACTCCGACAAAGCCGTTGCGCCGGTTCACACATCTGCAGTATAGCAACAACCAAATCCGTCTCCAGCCCTGTTGACCCATTCCAGATTTTATCGCTCGGAAGCTCCGCATACTTCCATTCCAAATCTGCATCTTTCTCCCTCATCTGCACCATACCAGTCCCCGCGCCAGTCCAGCGATATAGATATAGCTTTTCGCATGAGAGGTTTCCAACGCCTGTTCTGCTACCTCTTGTTGCGGCGCGTAGACATGTTGATAGCATGTGCAGAAACTCACGGATGATCTGTAGATCGCATCTTCTATATTTATCTTCGAGCAGTCGTAAAATTTCTATATGAGCCTCTGTGGATGTGATAAGTTTGGCTGGGGGGCTGATGCGTGCGAAGTCGGATTGGAAAATGAACTGGCGGAGAGCTAGGCAGTGAATTGCGGATGAGATACAGAGGAGGTAGATTGTTGTTGAGGTGACGCTTTCTAGGTGGGGATTTGTGGATAGTAAATGGGGTATAATCTGAGCGTTCGTTGTCAATGCCACGTTTCATATATATAGGTAAGTTGGAGGGTTGTGTACCTCGCCGAGCAGTAATGAGTGTTCGAAGAGGTGATTGAAACGATTGACTTCGAGATATGTCGTTTCCTTGAGTAGGTTGATGAAGTCCCGAGTTGAATCTGCAATTACCCGTTAATACCGTTATCCTGATACGTAGTTGAGGGTTTGGTAGTCTCACATAGCACAATAAACAGACCATGTAGCCAGATCATTGCCTCCAACTGATACAAATGGCTTATTTTGTTGAGTTTTAATAAACGTTCAGGAAATTGGAAGAAGTAATCTTCCAATTGCTCCTCAACCTCTATCCAAGGTGGCGAGCCAATCCCAGGCTCTTGAGCGACTGATTTCACGATACTTAAGTATGGTCAGTAGAGAATACGAGAAATTTGATGCAAGTGAGTACTTACTTGATGAATGGTCGGAATAATGCAAAAAAGGAATGAGGACCTGGGATGTGGATATGCTCGAAGTCTGATGAATCACTCGACGAATGCCATTCCTCATCGGATATGAATGGTGGCGGAATATTTGACTCATAGGAGTGCGGTCGTATGTGCATGTAGTTGTTCACTAGGGAGAGAGCACTTTCCGCATAATTAGTGATTGATTGGTCGTGGGGCACGGCCAACATGGAGATTACCTTTCCTGTAAGCTCAACCCAATGTCTATCCTGTAATGCATATTAGAGATTGTTTGACCTTTTGCAAAGGAACACTCTTCCATACCGACGGGCAAACTCCCTAGAGTATAAAGACGTTCCCTCATCTCCCTTTTCGCAATTGTCAAAAATGATCCTTGCAAGAGAGCACCATTGTATTGGGATCTTCTTGTAATTCTCCGCAATAGCCCAGGTATGACTGAGTAATAGGAGGCAGAAAACACTGGACAACGAAGGCTGATTGCTTCTGGAAGCGATATTCGGAATCGATGAAAGAGCGCTCGTATGCAGGCCATCTTGGTCAAAAACGGCCCTCTTCTGCGTGTATCCCGGAACACGATGCCCATAAAAGTTCAGGGCAATCGCAACCAAAGTACATCGAACCTCAGGTTGAAGCACATCGTCAAGAACCTGCTTGAAAGCACTATCATGGTTCAGTTGCAGATTTGTGCATGCGGGAATGATACTATACAGACCCAATCCAGGGACCGAAGTGAGAAATTGCTGAATAATCGAGGTGAGAACATCATATGGCAGAGACGTTTCTGGTAGACCTTGGAAAAATGGTGGTGACTCGGTAGAGTAAATGCCACCGAGCGGCGATCTAGAACTTGTGTCTTCTGGTGACAGCTGGACGGCGTATGCAGACTAGGAACATATGAGTGGCGTTGCTAAGCAGAACTTATCGACTTACCCGGAATCTAGATGTCCCCTTTGGAGGGCGACCGCGCGCACGCTGTGGTCGGTCATTGGTGCAAGTCAAGCCAAGTCGCTCACATCTTCCACAGGGGTTCCCGAACAGGCATTGTGTTTTCTGGTTAAATGAGGGGTTGAGTCAATATCGAAATCTTGGGGGTTTAAAAAACCTACCAAAGAGTGACATCGGTCGCACGCCCGAAGAGGAGTGGCCTCGTATGGCGAATCAATGTCCATCGCGAGACCCGGCAGTCTGTTATTTGCCCTCCGCGTGCCGAGGAGGAAAGGTTGCACTTTAGTCTTGGTGGTGGGCTAGGGTACAAAATACCCTGGACCCCAAGCAATGCCCTGATCCAGCATGGACCAATGAGATAAGAAGTGTATCATTCATCTGTAGAAGAACTTGGGAGCCTGATTTTGTGGATCCTTCCATTGGCTGAATATTTATAGTTTGACTGGTTGATGGGTTCCTTAACTGGTATGTTTAAAACGCTGGGTCTTTATGCTTATTTTATGCCCATTACTAGTTCTTTCCCGACGAGAACCTTATTAGTCTATAAATCTGAGTCAGGAGTACATGTAGGGTTGTATCTTGTTTTTTTCTCTCTTGGAAACTTACGCCACATACCTCCCCCGTTGACCGAGACACTTTCCCCACATCGCTCAGTCATTGGTAAAGTGGAAATTACGAATAGATGCCCGCCTCGTAGAAGAATCTTGAAGGACCATTCCACCCTTGGATAAGATAGTCCTGACTAGCCAACCTATGGACGCTATGAAGGCGAGGGACACGCGGGCATTGCAGACCGGATTTAGGGATGCATTGCAGCTCCATTTCCGGATATAATAATCTCCACACTCATTTTTTCGAAGTGCACGTAACGAGCAGCGTATGGAACTTGATCACATTGTAATCAATAGTTGGAGAAACCTCCATGTGGGTTTAGTGTGGGCAGATTTGCCCGGTAAAAGGTGCCGAAGCTTTCTATAAAGGATCCACATTCCACAACGGGCTTAAATTACCCAATCTTGGCGACTCCAACTACTTACATCACATCTACGGAGTACCTAGTGATGATGATTAACAATACAGTACTGGTAAATGGCATCTCGGCAACCAACTGCTAAATGCCACTGATGATACATGCCTTTTCTGTTGAACCCACCCGGGCGAGCATTTGGTCTCATTATCGTCACCAATGAACCTTCATCCCTCGATTCCTCTCACACGTGCAAAGCATGACTCCATTCGAACCAACCACTCTAGAATATCTAATCATATACCACGTATCGGTGCTTCATCCGCTCGAAATTGTGGGACCGGGGATATTGTTCATTTGCTGATGTAATCGCGCGATATGCTGCGCGAAGTGGAGATTAAGTTCGACATTTTAAGTGGCGAAGTCGGATGTTCGGCCTTTTGCCCTGAACTTACAATTCATGTTGCATCTTATAGTTCCTTCTTGGGTCACTGATGAAAACATTGACAATGAGGATTGTCTTCATGCAAAAAGCTCCATTTGGACTAATGTTGAAAGCTCGTAAATAAAGTGGAGCTTTTTCAAATTAGGCCTGTTAAACTTCAAAAGATCTCGTATAGGGGCTGCAGCATCAGGCAACCAGATTCTTGGCGTTCTGAAGGATAGTCAAGTTTGTTTGGCTTCAAATTCCGGTTGTCCTTACCCCAACGCTCCAAGATCCGAAGCTTATATCCGATAAAACCGCGATGACAGTCCCGGTGTAGACTATGCGATCTTCAATGGCCTTTCCAGACCAAGCTTCGGTCTCAAGACCCCAAGGTAGCAGTTGTACCGGTCAAATTGGTTGTACCTTACTCCACAACGGCTATGCTGCGAGGGTGCAACAAAATTGACCCAATTTTCTCGAAATCGCCTGTTGAACATACATTCTAATGGCTTGCGCACGACTGTGGAAAATCAGGGAATTCAAGGGGTTTGCCAGGGTTCGGGATTTGCGGAAATAGACATACGTTGCAAAGGCTTTTGGTGGATCTTCACGGCAAGAACCATCGGAACAGTAAAAAAGGTTGCAATCTGGACGGGGCTAGGAATGGAAATCTAGGACTTGGAGACTTCACAATAGTACGCAGAGCCTTACAATCAATAATGAAATATCTGTGTGTATCTAAAACGCATAAGAGGGGAGACTAACGTCTATCAGACTTGAGTTTTGCCCTGTTCGTTGAGGTGATAGCCATGTGCACCCCCACATTAGGACTTTAAGCTCCACCATGGTACCAAAGAAAGTGACCGACGGTAATTTACCTTGGCGGTCCGTTCACTGAATCAGCCAATGACTTTACAGCAATTACGCACGTTCGATAGTGAACCTGGCTTCTAGAATTGCTTCTTTGAGGCAGTGCGCTGCGCATGGGCCCTAAAACAAGTAGTCCCCTTGGAACTATATGATCTCGAGATGTTGAAATCTGCCGTGGCTTGCCATCTCAAAGCCCTTGTCCAACGTCAAGGGAACCCGGGCTAACAATTCCATCGTTTTTGGGAATGCACCGTCTCAATACTAGTGCTCATGAGATCCAATATGCTCAAAGATGAGCTATTTTGACGTGAGCGAGTGGAATTTGAGTTTGAGTGGTATTGATAACCAAAATATCCGACTATGTATGTACATTGCTGTTTTTGGTCACAATGGCTTCGCAAAAACGACCAAACTAACGAATGGGCACATATCCAGTGATTCGACAGTTTCAGCGAACGCTCGTGGCAGTCCCGGGATATGGCGTTCCGATTCTACAGTGCTTACTGCCTTTGGCAGCTCGTCACGCGACCAGTCTAGATGCACTTCTGACGCTAGCAACCCGGTTTCGCTCCTCTCCCTTACTGCCCAGTGGCACCCAAGAGTCCGAGCCCGCCAATTTGGGAGATCAGAGCTCGAATCTTGCCTCTGACAGTTACCAACATGCCGTCAAAAATCTGCAAGCCAATTTGTTTCGTTTGCAGTCCGGGCATGGAGATATTGAAGAGGCTATCGCGATCTCGATGATCCTCTGGATCTCCTGCCTTCCGGGGCACGAGATTTGGTACATTCATTTGCATGGTCTGATCGCACTTCTTGACACCACACCACTGCCTGCATTTGAGACTCTGCTCCCTTTGTCTCTCCAGAGATATGCGTCGTTCGCGGCCGCACATGCCGACATCAAAGCCATTACCATTGGCAGGGCCGACCCTAGCCAGCGACTTTGGCTGAGGTGGAGGTTATGCCCCCCAGAAGAAATATTAGCTTTTCCGTCTGAGGAGAAGATGCTTTCTGGGTGGGAAATCAGCTCTGGGTACCCGGAGACGTTGATGACAGTCATTGCTTTATTATCGGCGGTTGTGGACGACGATCTCTCTGGCCAAAACCCCTATCCCGTCAGTGAGGATTATCTCGAACAACTTACTTTTCAGACCTCTCATTCGGCTGGTTTGAGTGTGAGTCCCATTCCCCGACGCACCATGCCTATGAATGAGCCAGAGAAAAAGTATATTCGTGTGATGGAGACACTGATTACGCGTTGGAAGTCACCTTCGATGCCCGATTCTATGCCCCTGGAAACAAGTCTTGTTCTCAGCACCGCATGGGAGGTCATACGAAAAGCTGCATTGATATATCTATGGCGCGGTGGCTTTGATACCGATCCAATGGCCCCGTTATCCACTGAGCAGGAACTCTTCATCGATCAGTATATCCGGGAGATGTGCGGTGGCATTGAGCAAATCATCCAAGCGGCCGAAAAGCATCATATACCCCTGGCGCTCACGCTGATATGGCCGCTGGCGGTCATCGGCAATGAGGCCTCACGGTCTCCACAGCTGCAGGATAAGATACGGGATTACCTCGGGCGTATGTATACCTACTTTCAGATTCCCCATCACCAGTTGCTTGGGAGCGTACTGCAGAAGTTGTGGGAGGCAGCGGTTGAACGCAACCTCAATTTCACCACAGGTGCTCCCTTAAGTCTACAGTCTATTTGTCTAGAGGGCAATATACTAGTGCCATTGTTGTAAAAAGGGTTTCAATTTCAATAGTCGCTCTCAAGAATTACTTTCTCGAGCCTCGATTTTGGATATCTCCAATGATTTCAAACAACCGCATACCCCTCTGCACGAATCCTTCCACGTAGAGGCCATAAGACACACGTAGCCACAAGGGCTTCGGCTCTCGAAAGATCGCCCAAAAACGCAATAGAGGCCAACAGCAAGAAGAATACTTGAATGCAGCATTGTACCATGTCATAGAGAGGCTGATAGGTCTATTATTAATTGATGAGCAATAGTAATTTTGTCAGGGTTCCCACCACGAGCATGCAAAACCCACTGAAGGAAGATCGTTTTGGTGTTCACTCCCATTCCTGTCAAAGCCACTTTTTCGTCTTCCCCAGCGGTAAAGGTACTCACTTCAACCTCCTTCCTCTTTACCTATTAATTGACGGAGAAATGGATAGTCTACACTACCGTCCGTAAGCCTACGTAAATATTACCAGTATGCTTGCTAGGTGAGTCAAAGCTGACGAGCATGAGGAGATGAAGGTAAAGTTGGAAGAATTATGAACCACTCTATTTCGACAAACCCCCAATCCTACACCCCAACGCCACACAATATAATAAGAGTAGCAAATGAGGACCTAAATAAGCTATTTACTACTAGACCTTTCTCAGCACCCTGCTCCTAATTTTCAACCGTTTCAAAAACTTCATTCTTGTATGCGGAGATTATTTTAACGTAGCAATGTATGGCAGCCAGCACAAAGTTCCATTAAAATGAAATGGGAGTTCCCAAAATGAGAAGTTGTAAGCGCAATGACCTGGAGTAGAGAACCGCAGCTACACATACGCAGCTGGGGCCGAATACAAAGAATAGCCTTCGAAGCGCAGCCTATCATAGTGGCTAACATGGGATAGAGAGGAAATGCAAGCTTCCACTCTCTCCTTCAATCTAGCGCTCTGTCGTCACTTGACTGGTAAATATAACCTTTGTAGTCCATCTCTACTCCAAATCCGCCCCACACCGCCTTAGCGCACCCGCGTCTATCAACATCGGGGAAAGACCGAACAAACAACTTGCCTCGACAGGTACAGCCTCGCTCCAAAATGCCTCCCAAAGCCGCCAAGAGCGAGTACATCGAGACCGTACGTACATCCCTACACCCCTCAATGCCTTATTTACCCATAAGGCATTCCTCAAAACCTCCAAACTGACATACCACAGGACACGGGAAACAAGATCTCGCGCCGCTCCCAAATCCACGGCACACAGCACATTATCCTCGGCGGAAAGACGGTCATTCAAGCGGAAGCTGTCATCCGCGGTGACCTTTATCGTCTTCCCTCCACAGCCGTCTCTACAGACCCAAACAACCCGCCTCAGCAACCCAATACCCCCAGCGTCGCTATCACGGTCGGTCGGTACAGTTATATCTCCAAAAGCGTGGTTCTTCGCCCGCCGAGCAGGTTACATCGTGGTGTGCACTCATTCTATCCGCTGAAAATTGGTGACCATGTCTTTGTGGGTGAGTCGGCTGTCGTGGAAGCCGCGTCGCTTGGGAACCATGTTCATGTTGGAGCGGGCGCGACAATCGGGAGTATGGCCATTGTGAAGGATTTTTCGGTTGTTTTAGAAGGCGCCGTTGTTCCGCCTGGTATGGTTGTGCCTAGTTGGTGCGTTGTTGGGGGACGACCGGCGCGCATTGTTGGTGAGGTGGGCGAGGGTTATGGGGTTGAAGGAGCGGAGGGTGGATTGGCTAGGGAAAGGTATCGGCTTGTTGGACGCCCGTGAGATGTCGTTTTGGTTTTGATTTTAAGATTTCTGTTGATTTTCGATGATACCCTTCTACACTTCTTGCCTGAATTGAATTACATATTGGTGTTGACTACGGAATACGGGGTGATGAGTGGGACCTTCTTCTGCGACAACTTTATTCGAATGTGGCTGGCATGAAAGATAAAATAAATGAGTGGGTTAGTACAATTTTTCACCCCATGTTTTGCACCTGCACTGCTCGCTTGAGATGGGGTACGTCGGGGAGGTCTTTTGTCGGGGGAAGACCAAGTTCCTCGAAAGCCATGTCATTAATCCAGCGCCCGTTTGGCTTCACCGGCTCACCCTTGGACAACTTTGAGGCTAGGTAAAGCCAAAGGAAGGTGTTGCCCACCGTGCCCATCTCGTCAGAGACGTGGCTTTGTGCATACTGCGACATACGGTGGTACAGGGCGTCGTCCGTCCACAAAGTATAGAGATGTTGTGCAACGGCATCGGTGTCACCGACGTCCACCAGGAATCCGTTCTTACCGTTCTCAACCTGCAGCGGGATTCCACCAGCACGCGTGGCAATCACCGGCTTGCCCTTGTGGATGGCCTCGGACACTTTGACCTCGAACCCCTCACGGGTGGATAACTGGAGTGCAATAGTAGCCTTGGAGAGGAGAGCATTCAAAACCTGATCTGAAGGTCGTAGCCGCATTATGCAGATCAGATGCCGTAGGTGTGAAATATTATTTTCGATGTGATCTATCACAGCATCGTAAATGATCGCTCCATCTGGGTCATCCACTGAGCCATGGCCGCAGATCAAAAGCTTCGGAGGCACTAGATCAGGCCGAGCATTGGCCAGCCGGTCATGGAACTTCTCGTATGAATCTAGTACATCCAAGATTCCTTTGGACGGATCGAATCGTGCGATCTGCACGATGTACTTGTCTGATTCAAAATAGTTAGCTGCATTAACTCATGTATATATTAATGACAAGAGCTTGTTTACCGTCAGGATAACAAATTGTCGTCATATCTGCAAGCCTGCAGGATGCATTGAAGATGCGGCCGTAGTGGGCTAAATCCCAGTCTCGCATGTCCTTGTTCAACCCATCCAACCTGGACACGTCAGTAAGATAATGCATATCCACCAGGCCACTTACCAATCAGTTGACGCCGGCATGTAGCCCACCTTCTCGGGTGGGACATCGCTTGGTACAAATGCGCTTACAGGGTGACTGATGAAACAGTCGGCAAGCTTGATTTGGTTCCAAAGAAACTCCCACGCTTCGGCTTGAGGGGTTCCAGGCTGCTTGATGAGATCACTGCGAATTTGAATATGGCTACGGAAGATGACAGGTCGATCCGGTGCATATTGTTTGGCAATAGGTATGAGTCCTGGCATCTGGGGATCATCCACGATGATCACATCTGCTCCGCCCTCTGATGGGGGCAGTAGTGGACCGCTAGACCCAGTCCAATATCGCCTTGCGTTCTCTTCGATCCAATCGTGCAGCAATTGCTTATTCTCGATAGTCAATCGCTCGCCGGGTCGTGCAACACCCTGAAGTATATTGTGGTTGTTCTTGGTTACCCGGAAAACCCCCGGCCGGGGCTTTGGAACATACCTGCATGCGAATAGATTAATACGTTTCTTACCCTTGGTCGTGTGCCAGGCCTACCATTTGATGTCTGTGCCCAGATTATAAGAAAAGCGCACCAGGGCATGCCGCATCAGCGCCACTCCACCTCCCTGAGGAGTCGCACTGAAGAAGGCAATGCGAACATTTCGTTCCTTCAAGTCAGCAGCGTAATGCTCCACGGCAGACCACGTCCTGCCAGACACGGTTGATTTAAAATCATCAAGATCCGCAATTCGCACATGAAAATTCGTGTCAACTTCCACGAGGCCCATAAAGCCCACTTGTAGTAAGGGAAGGTTCTCCGGGCCAAACAGTCTAGGTAGAGTTTAACGATACGTTCTCCACAGCCCTGTCGATCCTAACTTACCGCACACATTTTCGCGACATGGACTCCGCCTGCTCGTCGATCGTTTTCGGACCCCCCTTCGTTGTACCATTAGGGGCACGTGAGGTGTATTGTTCATTCAGACTGGAATCTGGAAGTACCAGGCAAAGGATGTCGAGCTCTGCCCACAGGCGTGAGCAGAGCTTGGGTAACCTGTCCGCAACATGTTTAGGCATTGTCACGCCAATAATCTTCTCCAGATGACTCTGCCCATATGTTTTTAGTTCAGAAACAATGAATTCCGCCGTTGCTTCTGCAGCTTCTTTGTACTCAGTGGCATCAAACACCTTCTCTGTAAAGTCTAGTAGATAGGTGGTATCACGGAAGGCAATGGCGACGCTTGAGGGCCGACTTGTTGAGAAATGCCCCGAAATACCCGCATAAATGGTCTTTGGAGGTCAATTTCAGCTTTGTATCATAGTGTCTTGGAGTGCGTACATCTGATGGAGGAGCTAGCCAGGCGCAGTTCTTGAATTGCTGGGAAAGCCGACGTTGCTGCACCACCGAGGCGCGGCGCTCATACCTGTGACCATCGGTAGGCATATTTCTAAGGATGTGTATTGAATTGAATTGTAAAAATGAGGTCTTTTAAGGAAGTCAGACGAAACAAAAGAAAAGGCAGAGGAAACAAGTGAGATATGGGGTAGAACCCGGTCATGACGTATGAAAAGTATCATGCAACCACGGTTCCTCAACTCTGGCCATCATTGGGTAGACTTCCGTTTTTGACATGCTGTACAATAATGATGAGCTCCGATGCTCGATATATAGATAACCTAATTAAGTTGTTCGGTAGGAGGTACTTTGTTATTAAGTGGATCCGCGTCGCAGATGGGGCTGAGTCAGCCTAGCCTGCCCCTTTTCCCCCGCCTCATCTCGTTCTGTCTTGTTTTCCCAAGTTCCAACTTCCGGGGTGAAAGCCACTATTATCCCTGGCTGATTTTCTGTCTATCTGTGCAAGAGCACCCCGTTCTGACTTTTCCCAATCGACAATCAATTGATACCGCCAAGATGGGTGGCTCAGTCTCCAAGATGATGGGGAAGATCTTCGGCACCAAGGAAATGCGCATTCTCATGTTGGGTCTAGATGCTGCTGGAAAGACTAGTAGGACTCCCCTATTATCATTCCCATGAGGGAATGGTACACGGGATCAAAAGCTAACTTCTACCAGCTATTCTTTACAAATTGAAACTCAGCAACCAGGATGTCACCACAATCCCCACCGTCGGCTTCAACGTGGAGAGCGTGACCTATAAGAACGTCAAGTTCAATGTTTGGGATGTCGGTGGTCAGGACAAGATTCGTCCTCTCTGGCGTCACTACTACTCCGGCACACAAGGCTTGATTTTCGTGGTGGATTCTAGCGACACTGCTCGCCTGGAGGAAGCTCGCTCGGAGCTCCACAAGATCATTAACGATCGTGAAATGAAAGATGCCCTTCTGCTGGTGTTTGCCAACAAGCAGGATATTAGTGGTCGTACGTGTTTATTCCAATCTAGGGGAATTTGAAATTTCCCCCTTTCATGCCCATACTGACCAACTATCCTAGACCTGAGCCCGGAGGAAATTACCAACACGCTCCAGCTGACCAAGCTCAAGGACAAGCTGTGGTATGTTGCGCCCAGTGTGGCCACAGATGGTACTGGTATCTTTGAGGGTCTGGTAAGTACTAATTGTCCCTGTTTCGCCCTGATGAAAACCAAAACAAATCCCTGACCCGCAATTTCTCCACTTTCCAGGCCTGGCTCTCCAACAACGTCAAGACTCAACCCGCGAAATAAACCTGTCCATCTATCCTCGAATTGAACGCCAAGGGTCGAACCTCCGGTCTTCCCAGACATGCGCCCGACCAGGCACGCCACGCCGTTGATCACTCATACCCATCCAGTCTGGGACCTGGATCGCCCCGACTATGATCCTGAGAGGCATCCTCCGCCGCCTCGTGTATAACACCTCGCACTGTCCGACAAAGCCTTCATCTCTTTTCGCTTCATGTCCGTGTTTGATGACCAGACGACGCAGCATTTGGGCCCTATTTCCTTTCCCCTTTTCCTCGGAGTTCTTCCTTGGATGTTTTCCTTTGTGTGCGGGTTACTTCTCTGTTTTTTTCTCCCTTCCCGTTTTCCTTCTATGATATCCCCTCTGTTCTTACCCATGGGACTCGTCATGAGCTCCGACTTAATTATTTAATTCGTATAGTGGTCCATATCAGCGTTACCATTGTTCGATTCCCTTGTGATTTTCTTCTGGATTCCCGATGTGTATAGAGTTGATTAACTTCATAGAGAGATGCAATAAGTGGAAACTGCGCTGGGATTGAGAATCAGAATGAATATGACATACGCGTGACCGAACAAGCCTGGCATCTACCTTTCACTTTACTAGGGAGTAAACCGCTCGGAATTTCGACCCGAGCAGTCGCCGCTACTATATAATGTTGTCCTAATGTTCCAGCCATGTAAATGTGACGTGGAGCCCCGGAACCCGAATCCTTTTCTCAAGGCCCTATAAATAGAGCTATATCGAGTCAAACAAGACTATCCCATAACATACCTCGGATCCTCTTTGTCCTATTCAGTGAATTTCAGATTTCCAATATCGCCAAAACGTACAAGTTCAAACCACACCATAAACACCCCACGACGAATTCGTTCTTCCCAAGAAACGCCCAGACACAATGCCTATCTTCCACCAAGGACAGCGAGTGAGCTATAAGCCCGTGGGCGGTATGCATTGCCCAATTTTTCCAATTTGCAAATAATCTATCATTCGAATACAATCTGACAATGTCTTTACTTCCAAGGGCCCGACTCCAATACCAGTGCGAGTGTTGGCATCATCCGTGAGATTGCTACCAAGCCGACTAATCTGACTGGCCGAAGTGTCGTGGCCTCGGACGAAGAGCCACGTTACCAGGTATGTTGATATCCGGTATTGAAGCGAATCAAAGAATAGGAGTATTGACAGTTAACTGGCTTGCAGATTGAGAATGAGAAAACTCACAAGAGCTCTGCTGTTAAAGAGGCTAATATCATTGGTCCCGCAGAGTAAGCTGGAGTTGGGACAATACGGGTGCCAGGCATATTTGGGTTCTAGCTGTGCCTTTTATGGTATTTGTTAAGCGTATCCAAAGTAGGTAATCCGTTCTAAATCTCAATGCTGTAAGCTCTTGCTATAGAAATTATCATTGTAGTAAGTCTACCATACCTAGATTATTAAGGCAGTAATAGGCCTATATCTCATGGCCAGTTTAGTTTGGGGACCTTGGGATTAGCTCCGTTTGGGTCAAATACCCCGTCCCTCCCCACGAGTACTTATTCCAACCTCTACATTCTTCCACACACTTTGTCATTGTTTCTACTCAGCAAATTTTTTTGTGATCGTGAACACGGGTTTCTTGTTCATTGACTATATCCAAGAATCATACGTTAAGTTGATCATCCAAAATATCAATCATGACGTTCGTCCCAAGCATCCCACCGGCGCTGTACACAAAAAGAAAATCCCAGACCCGTCGCATTGTTGAATAGGCAACTGGAGCATGGCCCCTCTTGGGAGTGACAAAGAAAAATTACAGATGGGTATTCGTTGAAGTCGTTCTAATTTTTTTTGCTGTCCGCTTACAGCTGGTTGGGCCAGATATCGTTGGCGATGTCACGGACCAACTGGAGCTTGTTGATCATGCCATCCCAGTCAATAGCGTTACCCTCACGGTGGGAAGCGAATCCACACTGGGGGCTGACGCCGACCTGGTTCAGGGCAGCCTCGAGGGAGATGTTGTTGCCCTCGGCGATGATCTTGGCGGCGTTGATGACACGAGTCTTCATCTCCTCCTTGTCCTCCATGGTGGCGAACTTGGAGGTGACAACACCCAAGATGACGTTCTTGTGGGTGGGGAGGTGCTTGAGGGGCTCGAAGCCACCGGCACGCTCGGTGTCGTACTCGAGGTAGTAGGTGTGCACGTTGAGCTCCTGGAAGAGCTTGATGGCGATGCGGTCGTAGCCACCCTCGGAGAAGTGACGGCTGCCGACGAAGTTACCGCGGCACAGGTGGACACCGATGTGCATGTCCTCGGGGATGCCGATGAAGCAGTCGTTGTACAGCTTGATGTACTTCTCGAACAACTCGTCGGCAGTGTAGACGTTCAAGGGGTCAGCCTTGAAGCCGTCGAGGAACTTCTCGGAGCAGAAGTCTAATAAAATGTGAGTTCTCTTGATCTACTTCATAGAAAATGGGATGCTGCTTACAGGCGAGGTTAGGGTCGTCGTATTGCACGTTGCGGCAGCCGGCCTCGTACAGAATCTTCAGCTCGGCCTGGTAGGCCTTGGCGATGTCACCGAAGTACTCCTCGTCGGTGCTGTACACGTCCTTGGGGTAGGCCTTGCCCTCAACGTAGCGCAAGTGGTACCAGTTAGGAGCAGCCAGGGTGATCTTCAGATTCTTGACCTGATCGGCAGGGACTTGGCTGGCAAGGTACTTGAACTGGTCGACATAGGTGCTGCCAACGTGCTTGATCTTGCCTGTGCAGATGACGGTCTCACCAGGCTTGTGGCCAGCCTCGAGGAAGGCAGCGATGTCGGGAGCGTAAGAGCGGAAGATGTCGGTCTCGAACTCGGTGATCTCCTCGAATCCGTCCAGACCGGGGAAGAAAGTACCCCAGAACACTAAATCATGTTAGGATTGCGTCGCTTTCTTGTCCTCGGGGATCTGGATTCTTACTGTGACGACGGTATTCACCATCCGAAGCGGCCGGGTAACCAAGCTTCAGCTGGGTGTTGACAATGTCGGTGATCTCCTTGTCCTCGACCTTGGCAAGCTCGGAATCAGAGACTTTGCCGGCCTCGTGGGCAATCTTGACATCCAAAAGCTGCTGGGGGCGGAGGAGCGAGCCCAAGTGCTCCGCGCGGAAGGGAGGTCTCTGGTGAAGTTGGGGGGCCATGGTGAAATGAACTACAGGGTGATTAGCTTCAATCGCAATGCTGGAGGACAAGTTACTCACAATCAAAAGGTTTGTCTAGTAGAAGAAAAAGGGGAAAGAGAAAGAAAAGTCAAGCCCGAAGCCGGAGTTCAAAAGAGGGGCACGGAACCAAGTCATCTTGATTCCATCTGCCGTTGTGCTCGCGTCCGGACAGGTGGGGCCTCAAGTCGCAAAGATGAGCATCTCCACACCTACGGCTCGCCTATCAGATTCTTTTGATTTAACACTGTGATCTTCGGTCAATGCACTGATTCTGTATATGGAGCAGCTGAACATCAAAGAACAGAAACCCTTTACAGGCGCCCTTTCGTCCAATTGCTGGGTTCAGCAGACTGACGTCAAGAACATCCGGGCGCAAAGGTTTGAACTATACAATTGTAGACTAACGGTGGGGCGTAGCTTGGCACATCAGCCGGGGTAGGTTAAGACCGGGGTTTGATTCTATGCATAGAATGGTCTATGCGCTAGGTCTACTTCTGGTCAAATCATGCCGAATTGCGACTCCTTATTGCAGTAAATTTTGCGCACCAAAGTCAGTGGCAAAAATGCAATTAAATATTCTTCCATTGTACTGTGGATCATGTCATAAGGTCCACAGTTCTCTTTTTCCTCCGGGGGTTTTCCGGATCAGCTCCCCAGGTTTTCCTGTGCTAAGTCACTGGTGAGCTCTGCACATTGACACAACTTACAGTAGACAAAACTAAAGCCATTGCCCTTCTGTCTGATCGCAGATCTCATTCAATTATAAAAGGCATCACAGACCCGGGCTGAGTAAAGGCTGACAAAGTGCCAAGTGGAGGAGTCAAAGTGGGGAACCGGCAAATCTACCTCGACTGCATTCCCGAAACCTCGACTTCACCACTGCGACCCAAGCAACACACATCACACACGGACATTGGAACAATCCTTAGGCTAAAACGAAATCACGTCATGTGAGCTAGGGCCCCGAGCATCATGCCGTGCGCCCTCGAGCTGCTCCCTAATGAGCTTCTGGATCAAATTATCGTCTATTTAACCACAGAGCCGCCCTCCCTGGCACGGCTCCATCAAGCGCCAACCCACCAGATCACCCAGTCCCAGAATAAACAACTTAAGCATCTGGCGCAATGTTCGTCTCACTTGCTGGATCTTGTGCGACCTCGGCTTTTCGCCCATGCATACCTAGACCTAAAGGATGAGTCGGCGTTTCAGGCTTTCATGATTGCATCAGATCTGGGTCGATACGTGACTTCCCTCGTCGCTATCACGGAGGATACATCCCTTGTCCCAGCTGATCATTACTGGTGGCAGCGGACTCTTCAATATCTAGACCCGACTCGTATCACTGTGCTAGCGCCGCCAACCTTTATCGGGAACATGCTAAACACCCGCATTATGAACGGCCACAACTGGTCGTTTGATATCCACCTGCAGATCTTACAACTAGAGCGTGATGGTCCATCTGTACCTCTTTTTTCAGGACTGGATGACTGCGACAGCCTACTTCTGGCCCGCCCGTGGACATCCATGTCTTTTAACGAATCATCCTCTCTGAAAGCATATAATCACTACGAATACTTTCTCTCTCGCGTTCCCTCGGTGGTCGGAGAATGGGGCTTCCAGCTTAATCCACAGGAATTCCCACCAGCGCACTTATCGGCCATGCTAAGTCGCCTTACTTCTTTCTCCTATACTGCCATTTTTCCGTTTTACAACCATGTGAAATTGGTGCTTGACTCTCTATCGGTAATGCCGAATTTGCAAGTTTTGAGCGTGCAGTTAGCGCCCGAGGAGCACAATCATGTTCTAGAGATGGAACAACGTGGGTCTTTGGATCCCAACGACCCATGGACAGAGCTTTCAACTTCCTATTCTTTGATTGGCTTCGAGGTTCGCAATAAAGAGTCTTTGGTAGAGTTTAGAAGTCGAGACTTTGCTTTCGAGGCTATCCGAGAGGAACTGGCCCTTGAGCTTGATGCCAATCTGGGAGATACTAATTGGACTCCTGAGGGTAGTGGTGTTTGGAGGCGACGCAAGACATGAGTGGAATTATGAAACCAAGGCTAAATGACTGTCATGGAATATAGCTTTGTCCTGGACATAGATAAGGCTGCCTTCCTCCTCCAAACCTTAGTCATTGTATCATCACATGTGCATGACCTCCCTTAGCCCCTACTCAGTGACCAGCTCACCCTTTACTCGTTCTGGCGAGCCTTGTACTCCTCGTCTGTGACTTGGTCGTGCCACTTAGTCTCGCCAATGCCGACGACAAAATGGGTCATAATTGAGCTGTCGTCCGCACCGTGCCAGTGGGTGGTACCAGGGGGAGCCCAGACAACGTCGCCAGCCTGGATTCGACGAGCTTCCTTGCCTAAATCGCAGATCCAACCAGTGCCAGAGATCACCCTGATCATCTGTCCCCCTTCGTGAGTGTGCCAGTGAGTCCGCGCACAAGGAGTGAATGTGATATTGGCCAACGAGGCTGCGGGGTCTGCGGATATCATGTCGAGGTAAACATCGCCAACGAAGGTTGCTGTCGGCTTCAGGACCTTGTGTTCGGTATTGTTTGCACCACGAAAATGAGGGTTTCCGGCATCTTGAGGTGTGTTGGTGGCGGTGAAGTCGAGCGAGATACAGGTGCTAATCTTGATTTCGAGAACGAGACCGTGGGGGACTGCTAGACCAACTGCTTCCGCGTCAGAAGAATAGCACGCATTACCAAAAGTTCGAGGTGGATATCTCTGTAAACGCAATGAGTGCGGTTGCTGAGAAATTGGAGGCGATTCCTTTCTCATTTAAACCGCGAGAGGCAGCCACTCAACAGTGAGGGTTGAGGAACGAATCGACTCATTAGTGTCATCAATGGAACTACTCTTGCCACTATACCCGTTCTCCAGTTTACCTCCGAGCCACTTTTGGTCAGCATTGTCAGCCGCGTCAATATTCATGGTGAATGAACGGTGTGTCCCCTCCTGGACTAGGCCGGAGATAGGGAGTGGGGAGTGGGTCAGTCATCATGTTATGACCCACCTGTTCCATATGAACATCGGCCATTTGGCTTACAACCACACTAATGCTTGATAATAGCAGATGCCGCATAATGTCTTTGATAACTACCGCCAATTTCTCTTCAACTTCATGATGGAAGATTGCGTTTATGCTATCACCAGAGGAGCTAGCAAGATCGGCTTGGCTGTTGCCGAGGATCTTCTTGCTCGCGGTGCAAAAGTGTCAACTAGAGGTATCTTAGAGCATTATGTTTCTACCTCACAATGGGAGCTAAGTTAGGTATATCCAAATGTAATACTTTCACCAAGTATTGTAGTCAAATCTGTGGACGTTTTAGCACGTGACGATGCCTTTCAATACTATTCAATATTTAAGGCCAAGCTAGAACCGGTGGATTAGTGTGTTTCGGATGAGGGGTTGAGGACAATTCAATGAGAATATATCGGTGAAACTGATGTCGATCCATCCTGCATAGGAGGCTAGCAGCTCAGTGAAGCCGTGCCCGAGTCACATGAGATAAGCATCGTTAAGAGGGGTTAACGAGTTACGGGAATCGTCGGACTTGGTTCTGGCAAGAATAATCCTGGATGGGAATCCAAGTTAATTGCGGACATCATGATCTCATAATATGCATGAGCCCTTGATTTCCTTGAACCTCCTCTCTCAGACTAGCTTATCTCCACCTTATCTTTGTTTACTTTGCTGGATCAACTTTTGGAAAAGCACACAGTGTAGGCTCAAATAGTTTCTTATGTTTTTCAATATAGAATTCATCTCAGTATGCATGATGTATCCCTTGTGCCATGCCCGTTTGCCTCGGTTTCTCTCCGGCACCTTATTGGGTAGTAACCTCCTTGTCGGCTTCGACATTATCGACATGGGGACTCGAAGACAGTGATTTGAGGTCGAAGGTGGCAACTTCAGGGCGTGTGAAACTTGTATTCAACCTGGGTCAATATCCAGCTGTTTCCTGAAACATTCTGTTCAAACTAATAACTAACCTGAAGCCTTTGATCAGACTGTATTCATGGTCTATTTGACCACCGCCGGAGGTAATCTCATCCTTGACCCTGTTGGAAAGTGGAGTAAGTATCATGCTGACGAACATTTGAATGGGATTGGCGTTTAAATTACTTTTGTACCTCGGAGTCCGGGGCATCGGGCTTGAAGGTAACCTGTAGCTGAAGGTTAGAACAAGATAAGTCAAAGGGTATGAGGCCAACATGTGCACGTACAACGAAACTCGACATGATGAAGTTGGGTTTGATATTTTTTGCTGAAGTGAGTAAAAGTATTGCAAGAATTTCTTGTGAGGGGAAAGATGACTGGGCAGCCTAGTTAATTTATATACCGCGCTGCACGTGTGATGTGCCTGGTTACTACATGTAGGTGATGAGCCCCGCACTTATCTTGATTGCGAGATCTATAATGACGTCACATATTCGAAAGATCAAATGACATTTATGGCAACATTAGTAAACATTAAAGTGTTGACCATGACTAGGAAGCTCCTTGGGGGTTTCTTAATGAATGGAGACCGGGAGAAGCGTGTGGATTGGAGTGGCCATACCTACCTGGGCAACCCTGGAAGGTCCCTCGGATAGATCTACAGGCAGAGGGGTCACGCCACCATCAACTTCATCAACCCTTTAAGCAGATAATTCCAAAGATACAACAGCTAAATGAGAGGCTTGCAGGCACCGCCAAAATAGTATCAATGGTTTTCCGTATCTGTTCTCTTCTTTTCAAATTTCAAACATTACTCACCTGGGCAGATCATGGTGTACTCCAGTTATTTCTAGATCGCTAAAGAACTTGGTATACAGATGTATAAAAAGGTTGACCAAAGCTAGAACTTGTAAAACTGAGTGAGAAATATTCTGGGCGGAGATTTGTTATCAAGTATCTCACCATCGAACATTTAAGAGCTCTACCTGGAACTACTTGGATACCTACCTCCTCAGTCAGGTTTCCCTATCTTAGCTGCGCTCGCTGTGATGAGGTAGCTCAGAATCAGGCTTACTGAGAGAGAGAGCTGTCGGGGTATTTATCGAGCGCTCACTGGGGTTGAAAAGGTCACATCTCAGGTGGGTTATGATGCCTGTTGTCAGAATACATGTGGCAAGGCCATGCGTGGGCCATACACGGGAAGTGGAATGGATGAATCAAAGATAATCAGGCTGGGAGAGCGTAAGAGAGAGAAAATGCCGTATATGAAAGAGATGTTGCACTTAGTGTGAGTTGGGAAAGGGAAAGAACTTTGGATCCAAAAATCGGGAAGGGAAGCACCCTAATGCTTCTGTTTGGTTAAATTTGAATAAATCTCACAGGTGAAATCCAAAAAAATCCAGGCTCGTCCGGAGCTAGTCTTGGTCACGGATTACAATATATTGTACCATAACTTCTTTTCTTTGATGGAAGATTATATAACATCTGGAAACGGTCATCTAGATAAGTAAAACAGAGAAAACACAAGACAACAAAGGAAAAATGCAGGCCTATTAGATAGCTTTATCTACGCTCAACGGGGCTTTGACATTTGCATATCCATTAGGACTTTTTAGATCCATTATCCAATCAGAAAAGGGTATCTATCTATCCTTGAGTTTGATGATTTATTCATGATTAATGATTATCGACCAAATGCCAAAGCCTGACCTGCTAAACAAGCCATCCTGTTGGTAAGAACCAACCGATTTTCCTCTGAGCACGTTGAATGCCTAGTATCCACTGGTATTGCTGACGATTAGTTATAATGACGGTTTATCTATTGCCCCTTGAAAGTGATGTGAAAACCTCATGAGTATTGACTAATACCAGGTCTCTTAAGGACAATTCTCTATATGCTATCTCACATACGATGCCTTGTGGCAGCGAAGACATTTCCATTAGTCGACCCAGGAGAAGACCGCCATTGAACATTAGGCCGAAGATGCCCAGGTGGAGTTGAGAGATTAACCGTCTGCTATACGAGCCAATCGCTTTTTAAGACAACAGTAATCCCACCTGGGAATCGACATTATTTGAATTCAATCAGATATCCAATATTTGCTCCATACATCGATGCTTCTTGCTCGAAGTTCTTTGTAGACAGGACTTTGAGTCTTTGTAGCTTCGTGGGTTTCGGGAACGCTAGAATCGCACAAAGCGGTGGATCACTCACTCTTCTAGCTCCCACCTCAAGACTTACCAACACCCAGCATATCAGCATGCCCTCCGAAGGCCCCATATTATGAAAGACTAAATGTCTCTGTGTGTACATGCGTGATCATGACTTCCAACGTTTACTCCGCAGAGCCCGCTCATCCAGTTCTTGCTCAATCCCTGCTCGGTGAGCCTGGACCCACAGCTACGAAGAACGAGCAACCTACCCAGAGACCAACGACAAATGACTGGAACCTAAAGGACGACTGGGCCGCTGGCATACAATCATCCAGTGATGCAATCTTCCGCTGCGGAAGTGTCATCGGGTTTTCACGATTAAGAACCAGAAGCAGCGACAACGATGAATACATCGGACAAGTAAGAAAGCCACCATGTGTATCCAAAATTTCACTCCGCATCATTTAACAAAGACACAGATTCCTCGCTATCTTCTCACAAAACACCTGCGGAAAATCCCGTCATCAGCTGAAGCAAACACCTTCATAATCTATCCAAGTAACTTCGATGCCTTTGCAGCCCGGAACTTATTTACAGACCTGCAATCTGGCCCCTCAGCTCTATCCAAAGACGATGCTCTGAAGCGATTAGACTTAGTACAACTTTTTCCAGTGAACAATCTGCAAAATGCCGCTCAGGCTATCAAGCAAGTCTCGGAACTACTTCAAGAGGCCCAAGAAAAGCGACAGCAGTTGGACCAGGCGGCAGCTTCGACCAACCCCGCTATCATCCTTGTTGTGGCCGGCCTGGACACATTAGCTGAAGGCGTTGTCCGAGCTTCTAATCCGGCCAGAGGAGCAGCTGTGCTGGCGAGTACGTTGCGGATATTGACGCGCATGTCTCGCACATACAGCTCCTTTCTTTCCGTCATGCTTGTCAATACGAACGGGCTAGGACCTCATGTTGAAGTTGAGCATGATGGGTCGACTGGACGGGAAGTAGATGCGAGACCGACTGATCATGATGGAATTCACTCTATTTTTCAGCTACCTGGATCTTCCCTCCTGTCAACTTTGTTGATGAGGACGTTGGATCAGGGTATCGATACGCACATCTTGCTTTCCGATGTGAAATATGCCCGCGTGGCGGAAGTCGTAAAAGATCGCACTGGGGCAGGGCTAGGAAAATGGGGGATTTGGTCAGCCCAAAGATGAGCTTAAATATGCTGATGTGGATATTTGCAAAAATTTCTCAAAGTTCGTTGGAATTGCTCTACGGCGCAATCGATACTAATCGTACAATTCGACATACATACATATCCAGATTCACCCCTTGAAGCGCCATGAATCCATGCAAAAGAGTCATCAATGACAGACCCCGCCGAGTTCTCCCGGTTTTGCAAGATACCAACTCCGTTCCATGAGCCAGCTTTTGTCTGCCTAGAAAAAAAAAAAGGGGTATCAAACTTTCCGATTTTGGGTTTGTTTGCCCAATCCTCGTACATGCTCCACGTCGCGGTCTAGGAAATCAACGAAATCCTGGGTATCTTCCCCTAGCTCGCATTTGTTGGCATGTTTTCTCTTTCCGCCCACCTCCGCAGAACAGCTCTCTCAGCGACGGAGCGTGCGTCTATGGCACACTGAGCGAGATCTTGGTCTGCGGTATCTTCTTCGAACACGATATCCTGTTGTTGCACCTTTGTCCATTGCTTATGTCTCTCGCAACGTTTCTTGATGCAGACTCCGCGGGTTAAGAAGTTCATTTCCTCTTCTGCTGTACCGCCCATTGGTGTGTCCTCGTCAGCAGGGTAGCTAGAAGCCAGAGCTTGAACTGTTCCTTCCGCGAGAGCAAGTTTTCCAGCTTCGGACAAACGCCAATCATCGAACTCTTGGTCAGACCATGCGAGTCGCATGTCAAACCCGCAAATGTCCTTCCACCCGCCTTTTGGCTCCTGCTGCTTCAACCTTTCTACCAGGCCCTTAGCTCTCTGGCGTAAAAGGGTCACGAATTTTGTACGAGCAGCAAGCATCTCTTTGCGGTGGAGGAGTTCATTGCGTCGTGCCCGGATCTTTTCGATTTTAGCCGCTTCCTCGACTGAATACTCAACATTGTGTGCGTCGATATCGAATTCATTTTTAGTATCCGGTGGTGACTTCTCTTTCGTGTCACCATTGGGGATGTCACCACTGGGAGTGTCTTCCTTGATGGATTCTGGTGACGGTGACAGAATTTTATCACCAAGTTGCCTAAACTCTGCCACAGACTTCACCCCGAGAATTGCTGCCCGGAGATCGCCAGGCGTGAGAATACCGCCCATGCTACCTAGGTCCTCTTGTCCTTTTCTGTCAGGCGCCAATTTGAGGTTGCAAATTTGACGGCGCATGAATTCATGACCATGCTCATCAGAGCAGTATTTGCTCTTCTGCGCAACGCGCGCTGGCTTACGACACTCAAGGAGACGACACATTGGTTTCCACGTGGTGCAGCGTTTGCCATTCTCACTGCAGTTTGGGCCTGTTGTCGTCTGATTAGTACCGGCCAATAAGATGGAAACTGGGTAGAGAGGGGGACCTACATATGTACTTCTCGATCAATTCAGAGTCTCGAGAATCGATATTGACACATTTTCCATGGAACCAATCTTCACATCCACCATCACACCCGATCATCCATGTATGATTGTCGGGTCGTCGACAGATACAGAAAAGAGCGTTTTCATCTGACTCTTCCTCGTCGTCTTCCTCGGTTGGCCGCTTGGTACGCTTTTTAGGGTTTTTCTTTAATTCGGGCGCAGGAGATCCTGCAATAGACACAGAATCCTGCTTGTGACCAGGTATTTTGGTCGTGCGAGATGCAGGAGTATTGGATCGGCGTCCATCCAGACTATCTGCATCTGGTTCATTCGCCTTGCGCTTGGCCACGGGCTTCTTTTTGGCAGGTCCCTTTTTTGCCGGGGGCTTCACAGAGTTTGCGGGCGAGGACCGATCGGAAGATGATGCTCGGGAGTTCACGCCATTTCTGAGATTGGAAAGTTTCTTCGAGGTCGCATAGTCATTCGTGCCATCACCCCCAAAAGACTTGGTTTCAAAATCATCCCCGTTAGGTTCTGTTTTGACTGATGGAAGAGGGGTATCTTTGATTGCGACCAGTGTACCTTGGCTCGGATCGTAATCACCATCGTAGAGATCTGACCATGTCGTACCCTTGCCGCCCTTCGGCTTAGGCAGATCTGTATTCCTTAATAACCGGTGTATCTTTTTCGCTCTCTCAAAGCCGAAAAATCCACTTTGTCGCCAGCCAGTAACGCCCACAACCCGGTCATCTTTCACAATTATATTCGCTGGCACCAAATCATTATGAGTGAAACACAGCTCCTCCTTCGTATTCTTCTCGGCGAATAGTATGGTACGCTCTGATTCCTGGCGGGAGGGCGGTTCCTGGGAGTTGAGTCCGCGGCAGACATAAGTAGGTTCGTCGAGGGAGGCGTCGATGGAGGCGAGTATTTGTAGGATTTGGCGAGTCTGGTTTTTGAAAACATTGATCTGTTTCGGGGTGAGGTATCGACCTGCAACTTCGAGCGAGACTCCAGGGATTCGAGATTCCACTGTTACGTTCCGCCCTTCGATTGTCCCACAAAAATATGTCACTGGAACTGCAACGCCGATCTCTCTGAGTGGCTCCTCAACTTTTCGTGCCGCAGACAATTCATTAGCATTCACGCAAGAAAACACTTCTGCAGCTGCGCCAGCAGCGGACTCGCGGTCAACCCATATGATCACGCTGCCTGCAGCGAATCCTTCCCTGGGCCCCGTGATGTTTAGCGAGTGCTCCGGGGTGCAGAATTTCTCGGCAACTCCCACCCAAAAGGCGTTCGCATCGGGGTCAGAGTGGTACCAGTGCTTGTGGTGAGGGGTGAAATCGTTGGGTTGCGGGGTGTAACGTCCATATTGTGCGCTTTGGGCGAGAAAGGGGTCGTCACGCGGAATATGGTCTGGGCTGGTTTCGTACGGGTTAACACTCGTGTTGGTGGTCTTTGCGCTGTCGGCGAACCCATTCACATGTGTTACGCGACCCGCGGCCTCCATATCCGGTGTCATGACAATAGCGATGAGCGTACTCAATTTGTAACGAATATTTCCACTGAGATATCAAAATATCGTAGGGAAAAGTGCGATACTCAAGTCCAGAAAACTGGGACTGGTTCAGGGTGTATCGAGAACACAGGGAGCGCGGGACAAGTTAAATCCACATAGACCCAAAGGAGAAGGTTGGAGGCATCATGGGACTTTGATCGATTCATACAATGTCTAAGCCCTCTCTAGAGGCTCCGATATCCCAGCGACAGCAAGAATATGCGACCAGGGCGGCCCTTCACCCGGGACAGGGTCGCCGGGGGATTTCTTTCGCGAGAAATCGTGGACTCCGCCGCTTCCTTTGAGAGGGACAGCGGGGGCCCAATTCGCTTTGTAGGGGTATTCGAGGGGTGGAGGTTGGAGAAATAAATATGGAGAGAAGGCTGGAACATGCAAAACCTCACCAGAGCCACACACGTTAGCGCTGTCAGGTCCCTTGAATCCTGGATACGGATCGGAGACGCGGAGTTTTGGCGGACTGTCAAGGCGGTGAGTTGTTCAACACGCGACAGTGCGGGCGCGGGCTCACCGCCTTAGGGCCCACCGCCTTTGGATGATCTGCTTTCCAGGCCATCCTGACTTAAGGACTTAAGTCGCAGTTGACAATGACAAAACAATGTCACAATGAGCTGCAAGCTTGACGATCGATAACTAACGCAACAGCTCCAGGGCTCCCCATTATCCCGGAACGATACAGGTCCCCCCAAAACAGCCTGTTGGCTTCCCTGAATAAATTATTGCTTCTGCCCATCTTGGACGCCAAAAGATCGCCTAGGCCTACGAATACACAAATGCGAATTCATACAGCCAAACTACCATCAAGACATTCTCCATACACTTGTCTTTGCAGGCAAACATTTGGTAGCAAGGAGGTTCTGCACATGGATACTTTCATGTACACCTAACAAAACCGGTACATTCAAGGTCGCAGAGGGATGGAAGACGCTGGAGATCCCAGTGATCTCGGTGAGGAAGCATATCTCTAGGCTTGGATACAGATGCGCCGGGATTTTTGGCCATTTCTTCTGGAAGTGGCATCCGCAGAAGTGCTGAATTAGGGAAAGATCAGAACAATAGTGATTGTGAACGATATAGGCTATTGATTATGGCGAAACAGGGGCATCATGAACCATGAGTTCAGCTTGCATGTGCTAAATCTGAAGGGGGGCCGTATCAGCATTTATTTCCAGCTCAAATTTGGACGAGCCGACGATCGGCACCAAAGCTACCTTGGCCCTGAAATCACAGGTGTGTCTCGTCCTTAAAGACTACTAATCTGCCCGGGGCTCCTCCGAAAATACACTAAGCAACTGAAATCAAAGTTTCTGTATTTATGGTAAGATCGCCTCAGTGCGTCAGAGAAATAAGGGGATAACGCCTTGAACCAGATAAACATGTCAGTCACGCCTCGTTCCCGCTCTGCAGCAGTCTTGATATAGGGCGCTGTCAGATGTAACCCTGACTCCTCCGTACTTTGTAGTCAGGAGGACTCCCAGCTTCATTGAAGACCCTGGCAATGATCGTCATAAATGATACCGAAGACGGTATGTCGCGGATGGTATGTGGGGTCTTTTATCTATGTACTGAACAAAACACAGTGGATCATAGCGGGGAGCATTCGATAATCGTCATCTTACAGCAGAGCACCGGAAAAGGTTTGCGACGGTCTGTCGGGTCCGTAAATGCCGTCATACACTGACACACTGATTCTAAGACACGGAGAAATTCCGAGGACTCGACGTCCATAGTACCTCTTTTCCAAGGCCCCATTTCAAGTTTTATAATTCTATCATGAACGTTCATCTCGACTTCATGCCAACGATATAATTCACCCTGAAACCGGTAGCTGCAGATATCAACGGGTTCAATAGCTTATTCATCCTCGTATTCGCGGTCATGCAGAATTTCGTTGTGGAGCACGCTCTAAATTGTGGCCCTTGGATCACGCTTAGCCTAAATTGGGGATGAGAGTGCGATGTATCTGTGCCAATCATCATTATCGTTGATCGCGGGCCGCACCAAATGATCTTATCCATCCCCGATCGGGCATGGGATCGGTGCAGAGTCTTGGTTGTCGGATTCTCGTTAATTATAGCCCTGTACTCATTTGGCCCCATTTCCACTTGGAACCTGCTGGTCGCTGATTCGCTCGCCTACGGAGATCCCGACTTTTGACCTTGTCAGCTCGAACCACACGTGTTGGTCCGGCATATTGGATCATCATCTCTCTGTCCAAGCTTATATCTGCCTGTACAGCTTTGCTGCCCTGAATGACCAGTGGAGGCGAAGTTACTTTAACAAGCTCGCCTTTTAGGCTCAATGCACGAGCGCTCGGTGGAACCCTGGCCTTTGCGTATCTCCTCGCCCCCCCCGCTATTCCACCCCCGGCTTTGTCTGATCTTCGGCTACTGAAACCTTTCCGCCCCGAAGGATCACTTTTTCGATGCAGTAAGATTCACTTGACAGCTCATGGTTCTTTGCATTTGCAGTCATAACGCAGGGGACTGCGCTTCATCAATCCATCATCCTCCCATTTTTACCTGAAATAACGCGATATCGGAGCACAAAGGGTCTCTCGCCTTCTCCGAGCGCCATTTGGTTCGCCATGTCGAATTCCGATGGAGGAAATTCAAGCAGCCAGCAAGATGCTGCTAACACACGGTGGCAATTCATTGACGCCTCCGACAACCGCCGGAGCAACTTGACACAGGTAAAGCGTCATGTGATGCAAGAGTATATGCGCCAAAAGAAAGGTGGCTCTCGTCAAAGTGAGAGCGAAGAAGAACTGAGTCGACCACCACCCAAACGCGGACGTCCAAAAAAGGATCGAGCAGGAAAACAGAAATCTGTCAAAAATCCTAGAAAAGACGACAAAGGTGCTTCAAGCGCATCGACGAATGAGCGAGGTTCTCTATCTACAGAAGGATATGCATCAGACGACATCGAAAACGTACAGGGCTGGTATTACGGGCATCCCATGTTACCACATCCACACGATGCGTCTTTCAATCTTCCTTTTCGGGATCCAATGCCTGAGACACAAGGAAATCCTTTCCTATCAAACTTTGTCCATATCGATCTACGGAAGACAGCGAGCTTTCCTAGCCTGTCATCGAGCTCTTCGGCGTTATCAACTCCTTGGGAACTTGCGCGATCCCCACGAACTATTATGAGCGCTGCTAGGACAGATCCATTCAATTCACTTCCCTTGGAACTGGACCTAGATGGCCAAAGACTGTTCGACTTTTACGTTAACGATATGCCTGCGTGCTCTTATGGATCACATTTTCGATCACCAAAGGCCCATAACTGGTATACCCAAGTCTTTGTTCCTGAAGGAATGAAAGGCGCAGTGGCATTCCAGAACACTATCCTCGTCCACGCGGCAAATACCTGGGCCTGGGTCCGCAGCGAGGCTGAAACCACAGATACCCTCTTGCATCGAGATCGCGCTGTCAGCATGCTTCGCGCGCACCTAACTAAGAACCCCCGAGACAACTCCGATGTCGCAATTATATCTTGCTTGAGCGCTGCTGCTCTTGAAGACTTCGATCCACGACCAGGTCACAAAGAAATTAGTTGGGTTCATATGCGTGCAGCGCGCGAGATGATTCGGAGTCGCGGTGGGCCCACTGCCTTTGCTCACACCCGCCTTGGAATGTTGATCAATTGGCAAGATTATATCTTATCGGGGTATGAAACACATGGGCCCAGCTTTTCATTTGAGCACCCTACACCCATCACAACCTTACCGCCGGATTCTACGCCCTCTCAGCCTTCTGACAACATCGCCTCTATGCCCTCTCCGCCGTCTTCTACGTCGTCTGCCATATCCGATACATCACCCTGTGTGGAACCTCCTTCAAATTCCTTGCAAATATCGACCACCTACCCCATGGATGAAATTCGTCTTCATTGCGAAGAATTCCTCGATTTTCTCCGACGCTGCGAGCAGCTCGCCCTCTATCAAAAAGACAATCCAAAATCCTGTGATCCATCTCGACACACAGCAGTGTCAGAGACATCCCAGCTATTCCAAATCCTAGCTGCACCTCCTGGCTCCCGATTCACATCCTCGGGAGATCGCAAGCAAATGGTCGCCCGGCTAACTGCGCTCATGATGCTGAACGCCGCCTTCTGGGACTACCGATACACGCCCCTACATGCAGGGAATTTCCTCAGAACTCTGGACGAAGCCATTATCGACAGTGAAGTCAGCATGAGTGGCTCTGTCGAAGCAATCCTCCAGATCCTCCTTGCATGCAATGACGGATATACAACAGAATGGGTCACTGATCGTGATGGCACCATATCCCCTGCATTTTCGGAGTTGACCCCGGATTTCACACAATATTCTCCCATTGCTACATCCCCCTCCGCACGGCCCTGGTTTGCTGGTCGAATGCTGAAAATCGCTAAGCGGTTAAGTGCGGACTCGTGGTACCGAATTAATGATTTCCTTTTCTCTTGTCTCACTATGACGTTGTCGGAGCCTGCCGCATATCTGTGGGAAACTGATCTACGGCGCGAGATCCTTGAGGCGCCTTTAACGAGCTATACTATGCCTTCTTTGATGTAATGATCAATAATCATATGTACTGTACAACTTATATAATCATATTCTGATCCGAATCAACAATTTCGATAATTGAATATCCAGAAAGTCTCTCAATTCCTAGCTATGTTCCAACCTTGCTTAGGTGAAATCTCATCAATCCCAGGTTCTTAGTAGCCATCTGTTCATAAATTACTAAATTATAGACATAATAAGTATCATTGGTGGTTGGGAGGGTGTCAAGTATGTAGGATGCAGCCCTATAGTTGAGGCTGACAGAAAGAAACCAGGCCACGTAATCTCTGCTACGGATGACACTGGCCAATCAGAGTATCTATAATTAAAGGACTTCCATTTTCTGGTTTCAGTCTCGTGGAGGGTTGTGGGTGAAATCTAGTGGGTGAATTTTGCTGAGCCATGATCTTCATATGAATCCTTATTTCATTGATGGCCAATCGGTATATTTGCAGTGAAAGACCTCTTTTCTATAATTCCAATTTGCGGCCGTGGATGTCACCCGCTTTCCGTCAAGCCATGATCCTTACATGGTGTGCTGAATCTTGTTCGTTGAGAGGTGGTTCACTACCCCATATTCCCGGGCCGGAGCCGCGCAACTCAAACTACATGGGTCGCAAGGCCTACTTGATACGAAAGCGGATCCCGATCTTCGATGGTGATGCACCGGCTAAACATCGGTGCCTGGCGGTTACAATTACTAGTTCGAGAGTGCATCGGCTGAACTCCGGCATCTTTCATGCCCCGCATCACCAATATGGAGCTGCGGGGCTCGAGCTGCGGTTTTGGGAACATGCTACTGTACTCAGACAGGTTCAAATAAGGCCGGATTCTCTCATGGTTGTCATTCATTGCTTGATAATATCTTTACCAAGAAACATCCCACGAGCCGCAATCAATCATGGCGTCTCCCAACCAACTTCAGACTTTTCCTTCTAAACCACGTGTATTCATTTTAAGTGACATCTCCAATGAACCCGATGATGCAGAGTCTTTGGTTCGCTACCTCCTTTACTCCAACCAGTTTCAGACGGAAGGTCTGGTCGCTTGTACGTCGACATGGATGAAGAATAAGGTCTGTCCGCAGGATATGCATAAGATCGTGGATGGGTATGAGAAAGTAGTCGACAACCTCAACGCCCACGTAAATCCGAACGACCCTTATCCGACAGCACAATATCTGAGATCTCTCATTAAGAAAGGTGCAGAGGTATTTGTTTCCCGCCTGACTCTCAAATTCATATCTATTGCCAGCTCCTGACCTGCGTAATATCGAAGACATACGGCATGAAAGCAGTAGGAGACAACATCCCCCTCAGCGAAGGAGGCGAGCTCCTCCTACAAAGCATTCTCGCAACAACAGAAGACCCCCTCTGGATCCTCTGCTGGGGTGGAACAAACGTCCTCGCCTCCGTCCTCCTCAAAATTCAAAACACACACTCAGCCGCAGATGCCCTGAAATTACGCTCTAAGCTGCGCGTCTACACAATTTCCGACCAAGATGACACGGGCACCTGGATCAGACACCATTACCCAGACCTGTTCTATATCTGCTCCGTGCACGGCTGGAATCAATACGGCATGGCAGCCTGGTGCGGTATATCCGGTGACAAATGGTACGGCTTCGACAAAGGGGGACCGGACCCAAGCAAGATTAGCAAGGAATGGATCAACGAGAATATACAGATTGGACCGCTTGGCACAAAGTACCCCGATTACATGTTTATTCCAGAGGGTGACACCCCGACATTCTTGTATCTCATCCAGAATGGATTGGGTGTGCCCGAGCGGCCAGAATATGGATCTTGGGGTGGTCGGTATATTGCCACTGATGTTAGTGGTGATGGAGTGGCTAATGGCCATTTCAGCGATACTACTGATGAAGTTGTTGGACTTGATGGACAGAAACATAAGTCCAACCAGGCAACGATTTGGCGGTGGCGAGATGCCTTCCAGACTGATTTTGCAGCGCGAATGCAGTGGTCGCTTTCGTCTAATCTGAGCGTCGCTAATCATCATCCTGTTGTTGTTTTAAATGGTAGTAAGGGGGTTGAACCGCTGCTGTTTGAGCTGGAGGCAGGATCGACGTTTCAGTTGGATGCATCTGCGTCTTATGACCCTGACCCGAATGATCAGATCACTTTCAAATGGTATCAGTATCGTGATCCAAGTGCGACGCAGTGGTCTGTCCATTATGAGGTTAGTCTTTTGGAGATCAAGCCGGTCAATGAGGCTAGTAGTATTGTGGATGTTACGATTCCGCCGCCGGATAAGTGTTGTGTTGAGCTTATCAGTCGAGTGGCTGTGCCAAAGGGACAAGTACTGCATCTGATTCTTGAAGTTAAGGATAACGGGTCTCCTGCTCTTATAAGCTATCGCCGTGTTATCATTCAAAGTACGAATGAGAAGTTGTTGGGCGGCGGCGGCGGAGCGGATGCGATTGGGGATATGATGCGGGATATGATTTCGAATAATTAGATCCACTTGCGACAGCAAAAATTTATGTGAAATAGGAAACGAACATAGACGAACATTGTGGTCAAGTTTCATCCAAAATCTAGTGCAATAAATGACAAAGAATCGTAAATTTGTTACATATATAATCTTATACTTCCATCTTCTTACACCATAGCCGCGGCGAGGTGTTGCTGCCGCGACTGCTCCAACTACTATTCGTCGGATGCATAGACAAAGGATCCATTCCCTTATGCTTGATATGCGAACGAGGTCGCACAAGATCCGAATCCGGGCTTGGCGCCTCAGTAATCACTTCCGGCTGCGAAACCTGAGTCTTGTCCGTGAAGACATCCTCAACCTCCTCAAGAGAGTGGCCCACAGTCTCAGGGTAGCAAAGCCAAACGATAAACATGGCTGCCCAATTGAAAGCAACAAAGCAGTAGAAATACTTCGAGCCAATATTTGTGAGTGCAATAGGTGAGCACTGCGCGAAAATCAAGTTCAGACTCCAGTTTGTCGCGGTAGCGACAGAAGTCCCCCGAGCTCGAATGGCTGTAGGGAAGATCTCGGCCGGATAAATCCATGATATCATACCTAGGGCCGTAAAGAAGAGTGAGAAAACAAAGAACATGGCAATTGCAGCACGAAGTGCGCTCTGATTGGCGTTGCTGTCGCTGAAATCGACGTATCGCGCGAGTGTAGCCTCAACACACATAGCTGCGCCCATGCCAAACAGCGATGGAATCAGCAGCTTCCGCCGACCGACTTTGTCAATGAATACCATGAAAATCGTATTCCAGAGCTGCGCCAGCGCACCCCAGACGCCGATGATCATGAGTGATGTCGAGGTCGAGAGACCCAAGGACTTATATAGGCGGGGTCCGTAGTTTTGGATGACGTTCGCGCCAGATATTTGCGTGAAAGCTTGTAAGCCACAAGCCAAGAGAATCCGATATCGCCACTGCCGGGATAGTAAGAGTTGACGCCAGGAGCGGACGGCGGCGGTTTGTTCGTAAGCGACACTCTCGCGAATCTGGGCCATCTCTTCCTCAACGAGCTGGCCGTTGGTCGCGCTGAAATTCAAATGGAGCTTAGTCAGTACCGACCGACCGGCTGCTTCCTGTCCATGTTCGATGAGCCAGCGAGGCGACTCGGGGAGAAACCAGACACCGCATGTTAGGATGATCGCTGGTGCTGTTTGCAATGAGAGAGGAAATCTCCAGGCAAAATCGTCGGTATAGCGGGAACATCCATATCCGACCCATTGCTATGAACTAGTTAGATAAGGGTCACAATAATGAGATTGACGCCACTTACAGCCACCATAATTCCCAGGCCAATCATCCATTGCTGCATGCTCGCCAGCATACCACGAATCCGGGGTGGCGCAACCTCGCTCTGTGGAAAAATCAGTCAATGACGGCCTTGGCAACAATATCTTGGGTGATTTAGACCGACGTACGCAATATACGGGGATGGTTGCAGACATGAGACCAATTGCTAAGCCCGCGATAAATCGACCAGCGATTAGCATCGCAACAGTGACGGCACCTCCTTGAAGTGCAGCACCAAGTGTAGCAAGAGCCCCTCCAATGAAAATGACCATCCTCCGGCCTTTGAAATCAGAGATGTAGGGTGCAAGCAAAGACCCCACGATTGCCCCTCCTAAGAGTCGTTAGAAATCGGATCTTGCATTTATCTTCCAGTGCAGTGAACGATACCTGTATAGGAGGAGATAATTCCACCACTGGCCGCATCAGATAGACTAGGCGACCCAAATTTAGCCAGGAAGGCATTCTGCTCTATGCTCGACGAGATCACACCCGAGTCATAACCGAACAGGAATGACCCCAAGGCCGCGAAAGCGCAACAGAGAGTGACTAGCACGTAAGCCATAATTTAAAGCAGCTCAACTGCCATTGTCCATGCAACAGGTAGCTAGGTGGACAGGATATAAGAGTTGGTTCAGCTCAGGTTTGGGGGCGCGTCGCAGAATGTGGCGATCCACACTGGGGAAGTGGGACGTGCCGAAGGGGGGTCGATCACAAAAATTAGTCTTCAACCTTGAGCTTTGGAACCTTGGAATGTCATGCAGGATGTGAGGGGAGCAACTGGGAGCAACTTGACAGCCTGCTAGACAAGTTGACTCGCTGATTATTCAATGGATTATCGGGGTTGTAGAGATAATATCCCCTGCAGGGCTAACAAGCTTAAAGCTGAACTGAGTTTTCCCGCCGATCGCCAATCGTTCGAGACTCATATTGGTTCCATGGACCTTGTACAGTGTAAGTTTGTACTCCCTACTCCGTCATGATTGGGTAGTTTCAGATTGCTTTTTTACCGATGGTTTGGTCTCCTACTGGGCATTCCCAGTCGCGTCACAGGGTTTTGTCATGGTCCCCTTTGCATGGTTGATCCCTTCATGACGATAAGCAGATATCAATCAAGGGCCAGGCTATCGAACCTTTGGCAAGATTAATTGATATATCATCTGCAGCCTCGTAATAAAAGCAAATCGCTAATCAATCTTTGTCGGGTGCCGAGGCAACTACGATTTAATCGTAAACCTTTACTCCCCTTGATGTTCTTCGCTGCACAGGTTCATGCAAGTTGATCATCCTAGGTCAACCCATTCTATACCGTAGAGTATATGGTAGATGTCGTGCCTATATAGGTCTGACGTAAAACTTAGGGCAAATATTGAAGTTCAAAAAATGCCGCAATCTTGCATGGTCGGCAACTCATCTCGGCGATTAAGCAATTGACCGAATACCCCGAGAGTTTAATTGGAGGACTTTTGCTACTTTCACGCGGCAGTCCGATTTGAAATGTACCGGTGGAGTGCATATGAAGTACTGGGACTACTTGGTGAAATAGTCTCTACAGCTCCCGTAGAAGATTCCGACGGAATAATCGGCAGCCTAAATCTGCTAGATCTCGGCATGTCAAACGGTCCACCGAAGCTCACAGTCCGATTCCAGCCGTGTCAAGAAACCCGTGGTGGAGACAGGAAAATTCTATCATCGGAGGGGAAGCCGATGCGAAAATGCCTCAATACAAGAACCCTGGAAAATCCCCGCCCTTTATCGCCGCTGTCGGCCTTGCTCCTCTCGGATGTCCGAAAAGTATCTGGTGACTAACGGTTAGTCTGCATAAGCCGGTTGTCATCGGTCTTTTCTTCAAAGGCAAAAGGCCAATGGTGGAATCTATAGGGCACTCAAGATCCGTATTTGCGAGTCAAGCCAAGCTTTAGAGGAACATTCCACAGGTTCTCTCCACCTTACACCGCTTTCGGTTTGCAATAATCATTTCATCATCGCTTACTCTCGACTCTTGATCTTCGTACTCCGTGTTGAACTCTACTTTTCATTCGTCGCTGGAATTTAATTATTTCTTTTTTCTTCCGTTTAATGTTCCGGCAAGGAGGGCGATCGAGAACTTGCTAAATAGATCGCCCGCCAAGCTCTCCCTTACATGAATCACAGTCTCCCACTGTCTACACTATGGCCACGATCACAGGTCCTCATTCTGGCGAGAATGAGGATGATCCCTCTATGATTGATGCCTATTCACATGAAGAGGACTTCTCGCCGCATGATACCTCCCCCGCAGATCATAAATCCAACCAGTCCTTACCGATGCAAAAGAGGCGACGAGTTGGTCGCGCCTGTGACGAATGCCGTAGAAAGAAGATCAAGTGTGACGGGAAACAACCCTGCACCCACTGTACGGTCTATAGTTATGGTGCGAACCACTGAAATTCCATTCTTCCCCCCTTCTCCAGTCTCACGTGGCTGACATTCCACAGAATGCACGTATGATCAGCCTTCCAACCGCCGTCGCAATCCAGCCCCGCAATATGTCGAAGCCCTGGAGGCTCGTATGCACAAGGCAGAAGCCCTCCTCCGTTCCATTCTTCCTGATATCAATCTCGATGACCCACAGCTGGATGTAAAAGCCACAGAGAAGCGCCTTGTCGCTGCGCAGAAGGCGAAACAGCCGACCGGGCCTTCCGCGCCGAAGCCACCTGCGGGGCCAGTCGAACCAACCCCTGAGGGTGGAGACGAGTCGCTACTAGAGACCATGGTTGATAACTCTGGCTGTTTAGATCGTGATGACCAGGGTCACTGGGATTATCATGGCCACACGTCGGGCATCATCTTTGTCCGCCGGCTGCGCAAGCAACTCGGTGCCGCCGATTTGCCCATTACACGAGCCCACAGCATTACGCAATCGCTCGAAAGCCCCAAATCAGTCTCGGATTCACCGCAAGACTCAGCATTGCCCCCGACGCACGATCTGCCTCCTCGGGTGGTTGCACGACGGTTGTGTCACAATGCGCTGGATGACGCCTGCAGTTTGATGCGCTTCGTGCATGAGCCATCCTTCTACGCCAGCCTCGAGCGCATATATGACAAATCACCTGAACAATACACAAACGAAGAGAACTCTTTTTTGCCGCTTTTATTCATTGTCATGGCAGTAGGGTGTTTGTTCTCCGATGACGGGGTAGGTACCCTCGATGTAGCGGGGTACGAGGGTGCTATTGGCCAAGGGTAAGTTTCACTTTTTTTCCCGATGAGTTTACAAATAGTAGCTGATCTTCTTGTCAGATTCCAATTCTTCAAGGCTGGGCGGCAGCTTTTGGAGGTCACAGATTGTCGAGACCTGACTTCCTTGCAAGCGATTTGCTTCATGGTTCTATTCCTCCAATCTTCTGCCAAGCTTAGTACGTGCTATTCCTATGTGGGAATCGCGCTCCGCTCGGCACTCCGATTGGGCTTGCACCGCAATGTGGTAGCGGACTTCAATCCGATTGAGCGAGAACTGCGTAAACGCATATTCTGGGTGGTACGAAAAATGGATGTCTATGTCAGCACGTTGCTGGGTCTCCCGCAGATGCTGAGCGACGATGATATTGACCAAGAACACCCCTTGGAAATCGACGGAGAGTTCATTACCGCGGAAGGTATCATGCAGATGCCCACAGACTACACCCCTCTGATGGCCGGTCCAAATGCGCATACCCGCCTTTCCAACATCATCTTGAAGGTGGTCAAGTATATTTATCCCGTGAAAAACGTGCGCTATCGCTCTAAATTTGACCAGCGATACATGGTCAGTCACTCGAAGATTCGCGAAATCGAGCGCGATCTTCAAAACTGGATGGAGGAACTGCCACCAGCTCTCCGCCCTGGTACGGAGGTGTCTCCACAGCTCGAAAGGTATGAAATCGACGTCCGCGAGCCTACACTTAGGATAGAATGAGCTAATAAGCTTTTTAGGATTCGTCAGCTGCTCCGCATCAGCTATGCTCACGTGCAAATGGTCATGTACCGTCCATTCTTACACTACGTATCTGGTGGGTCTCAGGCCCGTGGCGTCGACAAGCGCTCTTATGCCTGTGCGGCGGCTTGCGTCAGCGTATCCCGCAATATCGTTCACATCACGACCGGGATGCACAAGCGGGGCCTTCTCAATGGGTCGTTCTGGTTCACCATGTACACAACCTATTTTGCCATCCTTTCTTTGATATTTTTTGTGGTTGAGAACCCTGATTCTCCTACTGCTAAAGATGGTGTTCTCAAGGATGCTATGGAGGGTAAAGCCACACTGGCTGGCCTAGCTAAGAAAAGCATGGCGGCGGACCGCTGCTCTCAGAGCCTGACTGTAAGTGTGAACCCTATCGTCGAAATTGTCATATGCTAATGCAATATGCAGTGCTTGTTCAAGACCTTGCCAGAGATGTTGAAGAATCGCCAGAGCACTAAGACTCCAGTGAATCTCAAGCGACCAGCGCCATCTAGCATTTCTGCAGAGCCAGAACCCATCAATGTTTCATCAGAGCAAACCACCTTACCTCATCGGTCAAGCACATTCCCCACCCAGATGATGCAACATTCTCCGATCTTGGACCCTTCGAGCCGTCGACAAAAGAGCCTGGATACCACCCAGGCCATGAACAATCGCCCCTCTGATAATGGTATCCAGTCGGCCTGGATGGCCCAGACACCTGAGCTGTTGACAGAAACCATGGCCACCCCGGAACCCATGTCCGCGTCCTCTATGAACGCTTCGATGGCCAATCAAGAGCCCTCGAGCTTGGCGTGGTCGCAACAGTTTACCAACCCGAGCAACCTGCCGGATCTTATGCCTATCATGTTCCCCTCCGACGATCCTTTCGCGTATCCCACTCAGCCCATGTCCACCCTAGAAGACGACCACTTCCGACATGATAATTCAGGCATCTCCTCCGCCCACTACCCATACGACTCAGCCTCACAAACCGGAATGGTAAATTCACCAAGCGACCCTAGTGTCACCACACCCGGATTTGACTTTTCAAACCTCCCCGGCTTTGGGACACCCGGAATCAAGTCATCGGTGCCCAGTCGCCTTCATGCTCCCACTCAATCAATGAGCTCGCCCCGCGTCCACTCCCCAATCTCTCAAAGTCATACCCCAACCGAAGCTCTAAGCAGCCCCGACCTGGTTTCCATTCCCAACCAGAACTTTGTTTGGCAAGGTTATAACTTCCAACCGACAAACGGGAATATTGCTCCCGATCAGTCTATGCAGCAACAGCAGCCTACCAGTGGAATTCCAGACTTCAGCATGGGTCTTGACGAGAACAACATGGGTATGAACATGGATTTGGGCATCTCATTCGATGACCTGTTCGGAAACAATACCACTTGCCGCCCTAGTAACGGCGCACCCAACGATGAGTGGACCCAGTGGATGAATGCCGGGGTGTAAACCAAATGACTTTGGTTCTACGACGATATGCACTTACGAAGGAAAGCAAAAAAGAAAAATATGTTTATACCTGGTCGGCGTTACGTAGTTGTGGGCGTGCTTTTTTTCTTTTTTTTGTTTTTCTTACAGGTCATTTGTGACATACAGGACTAGTTAGGCGATTGACCTAGCAATCGCATTAAATGAATAGTAATGTTTTTCACATACCACCGTGTATTCGTAGATGATTTCACTGATCTTCAATGCCTGGAACGGTTTAGCCCGGACATCTCCAGACCCACTTCAGCGATCCTCGCATGCCGGAATCACCCCATCGAGACTGACGACTACTCCCCACTCAACATGGCTTTGCCAACCAACAACCCATCAATTGGGACCTTCAGTCATACTATCCTTGGCAATTGAGCATATCGACCTCCAATACCTTGTCCGGAGTCTTCCGCCATCCACGCGCACCGGTCGCATGAGCTATTCAGGAAGCTCTGTCATTTCACTATATTGAATAAGATTTGATTAATTACTCCGATCTATCCGCAAGAATGTCCCTCCCAAAACTTTCCACCGTCGTCACTTGGGCTCTATACTTTGTCCCAGTATATATCTTCATCCTCTCTCCGCTCCTGCAAACATTCTTCGGCTCCAGCATTACCAACTCCGAGAACGTGAACATATTCGACTGGACCGACGAAGACACAATTCCAGCACCAAATCTCCGAGATGATAGCTTCATAAGCCCAGAAGATGGCGTTCCGACAACTTGTCCGGGCGAGCCGGCCGGATACAAAGTACACTTGCTTTCACGCGCACCCCTCATTTTGTACCTGGAGAACTTCCTCAGCGACGAGGAAGCGAATCATCTAGTCGACATCAGGTAAGCATATCATACACACACGTGAAGAGCCAAAGGCACAGCTGTTAGCTAACATAGTCATCTCGATAGCGTGGACAAATACAAGCCCTCCATCGTCTACGACGGCAAAACAGAACAAGTCGATCCCAGCAAGCGCCTCTCCGACCGCGCACTCCTCGACCGCGACGACACAGTCCGTTGTCTCGAAGACCGCGCCCGCGCATTCCAAGGCTGGCGTCCGCACCTATACATCGAGCGCATGTGGGCACAGCGATACAATGCCTCAGGACACTACCGGCATCATTACGACTGGACCGGCACGCTTGCACGTGGTGGAGACAGACTGAGTACGTTCATGGTGTACCTTGGAGCCGACTGTGAAGGTGGGGGTACGAATTTCCCACGGTTGACGATGCCGCCGGGGAAGGAGTGGTGTCGATTTTTGGAGTGTGAGGAGGACGGGGCCGAGGCTCAGATCCAAGCTGGGGATCTAGACTCGAACTCGGACCAGAATTTGGGAGGAATACCGAAGCAGAAACCGGGGATCACATTTAAGCCTATTAAGGGGAATGCGATCTTTTGGGAGAATCTGCGTTCCGATGGGACTGGGTATCCTGAGACTTGGCATGCGGCTTACCCGGTTACGACGGGGACGAAGGTGGGCTTGAACATTTGGAGTTGGTATCAGCCACCGATGCGGGCGCGTAGAGGGTAAGGTACACAATTGAAGTGTATCTGTGTATATAGCCCATTTTTTCTGGTTTAGAGCTTTGGTTCGAGGGGCGTTGTTTGGGTTGCCATCTTCATGGAATGCTTGGTGTTGCACTGCCCAGGTGGTGCAATTTGCACCGCCTGCTTCGGTTCTACTGGTTGGAGTTATGCTCCAAGGTTGCTCCAAGAGTCGTTGTATATGGCGTCAATTGGTATATAGCGTGTAACATAGTTCTATACATAGACCTGTCTGAACATAATGTGGTTTTCGATACACCCCGGGATCTATGCTATCTTCCCCGGCTGTCTCTCAACCCCATAAACAGAAGAACACACGAGACAGATCACGGTGGGGGCCAATGAAAATAGGCAACGACATTCATCAGGAGACAAGGGATGCCAAGTGCCAATTGCGCCGAGACATAGATTGGGGGCTTCGGAGCGGGAATTGGCAAAGAGGAAAACCTTGGCTGCCAAGAATGTATCGCCATGGCTGACGACGCTTGGCGCCTCCAATTAGTTGCCACTGGGCAAAGTGGCACGAAGAACGATCCATCACCCAGGGGTCGTGGATCCAAGGACTCCTCCAGCTTGTACTGAGTTCATTGGTTCGTTGGTTGAAGTGATTTGGTGATTTGGTAATTTGGTAAATTTGGGGAAGTTTTAGTCTGGCGCTTGACCCGATTAGGGCGACAGACCGGGTCCATGAGAGAAGGCTGACATTTGGCTGAATTCTACACGAGTTGCGATAACCAGGTGTGATGGCATAGCACCCTTGAAATAAGATAAGTACACGAGACCATATTTTAAAATCATATGTTCTCACCATTTTCAAGAGGAGAATGCACAGCCCCCCTGTTCGGACTTGCTTTTTCTCCAACGAGAATCAAAAACTCTTGGAAGCCCCGCAATAACTCTTGGCCCGTTGTCCGTGCTTGTCCCTTTCTTGTCCCGCCCCGGTAAAAAAGACTCTGGGCAAAGGCTCGGCTTATTACTCTCTACCCCCTTCTTACGCGCTTTCCCATCCCACTTCTTCCTCTTCATTCCCCCTGTTTGAACCTTTTGGACACGTTGGTCTATTTTATATCACGTCTGTGTGACCTCTTGTTGGTGGCCAGATTACAAATTCCGGTGTTCTTCGCCCCCTCTTTTCTTGGTTCATTTTTGATAAACGTTGTGCCTGGGCATCCCGCCAGCACGACAAGAATCCCCGTTTCTTGGCATCATGACGGAGAACAATATCCCCCCAACTTCAACACCTCAACTGGCGCCGTCGGCGCCCGTTGACCAGACACATCCCGTGGCGCAGGTCACCACTACTCCGACCGCCTCGGTCACGGCGACCGCCGCCGCCGCTACCGCTGCCATCAACAACTCCATGAATGGCGGCGAGCAGTTGCCTTGTCAATGGGTGGGCTGTACAGAGAAGAGTCCTACTGCCGAAGCGCTCTATGTAAGCTGGTCGCAAATCTAGTGTTGTCGTCCAGTGGAATACTAATCAGCGGTCGTTTAATCAGGAGCACGTCTGTGAGCGCCATGTCGGTCGCAAAAGCACAAACAACTTGAATTTGACTTGCCAGTGGGGATCTTGCAACACCACTACGGTGAAGCGCGACCACATTACCTCGCACATTCGAGTTCATGTGCCTCTGAAGCCGCACAAGTGTGATTTCTGTGGCAAGGCCTTTAAGCGTCCTCAGGATCTGAAGAAGCATGTCAAGACCCACGCGGATGACTCCGAGATCCGGTCGCCTGAGCCCGGGCTCAAGCACCACCACCACCACCCTGATATGATGTTCCCTCAGAACCCCAAGGGTTATGCGGCTGCTACTCATTACTTCGAGGGTCCCATCAGCGGTGTCCCCAACCAAGCTTATACTCATGGCGCACCCCAGTACTACCAGACACACCCGGCGCCACCCCCACCTGCCAACCCGCATTCCTACGGCAATGTATATTACGCCCTCAGCCAGGGCCATGATGGCGCCCCCTCTTATGACCGCAAGCGCGGATACGATGCGCTGAATGAGTTCTTTGGAGATCTTAAGCGCCGTCAGTTTGACCCCAACTCCTATGCTGCTGTTGGCCAGCGGTTGTTGGGTCTGCAGGCCCTCCAGCTCCCTATTTTGAACGGACCTGTGCCTGAGTACCAGCCCATGCCCACCGGTGTCGCCGTGGGTGGAGGTGGTGGTTATAGCCCCGGTGGCTCTCAGGCACCTGCCTACCACCTGCCTCCGATGTCCAACGTCCGCACCAAGAACGATCTGATCAATATCGATCAGTTCCTTGAGCAGATGCAGAACACCATTTACGAGAGTGATGAGAACGTGGCTGCTGCTGGTGTTGCGCAGCCCGGTGCCCACTACGTGCAGCCTGGCATGCACTACCGTGCCACGCACTCCCCACCAAGCCAATTACCTCCTAGCCATGTCACAGCCACCACCTCTGCACCCATGATGCAGGCACACTCCCCATCTGTCGGCACTCCAGCATTGACTCCTCCCTCCAGCGCTCAGTCGTACACTTCCAACCGCTCCCCCATCTCCATGCACAACCACCGCGTCTCCCCACCTCATGAGAGTGGCGCCGGCATGTACCCTCGTCTCCCATCTGCCAGCATGTCTGATAGCATGGGTGCTGGTTACCCCACTTCATCTGGTGCCGCTCCCCCTCCACTCTCGGTGCCTTTGACAACGATGATCGTCGTCGTTACACCGGAGGTACTCTGCAGCGGGCGCGCCCGGCAGAGCGCGGAGTTGACGACGGCCAGATGGATACTGCGCAAGATAGCAAGGCAGATGGCGAACGCACTCCAACCAAGGATCGCATGAACATATCGGAGAGTCTGATTGACCCTGCTCTGTCGGGCACCTCTCCCGATTCTGACCAGGAAGCTGCTCAGCGGACTGCTCAGGCTGCTACCGAGGTGGCTGAGCGTGATGTCAATGTTGCTTGGGTGGAGAAGGTTCGCTTGCTTGAGAACCTCCGACGCCTAGTTTCGGAGCTCTTGGAGGCCGGTCAGTTTAACCCTGACTCAGGGCGCGAGTCCGGGTCCCCCACCCTTGATGGAGCTATGGAGGGCATTGAGATTGCTAGTGCACGTGCATCCTCTGAGCCCGCCAAGGAGGAGCCCACCAAAACCGAACCTGCGGAGACTGTCTCCTACCCGACCCTCCGTGGGTTGGACGGAGACGGAGACGCTAAGATGCCGGGTGATGATGTATAGGGGGCATCAAAATTGGATTGATCCCATTGGCCTTTCTCATCTAACGCCGTTACGACTATTTGTTTAAGTTTCATTCTACCCATCTATCTTCTTTACTTATTTATTTTCCTTTGTGAGCACGGCCCTAGAGCCATTTCCTTCACCCTTCTCATCGGTGGACCATGCCTGTTTTATATTGATCTTCTGTCTCCCTCCCATCTTGTTCTCTTTTTGTCTCAATTGTCTTCCTGGAAGCCTCTCTGTAGCAATAAAACCGCACACGCTGTTTATTTACAGCCTTTCATGTTGTTTGCATCCAATGATCTCATAGAGTAGTGTAACCAAGTCCAGAACTGGGACAGATCGAGATCACCCCTTGGCAAGATTAAGGTTACATGATTGTAATGTTGTGTTTCTTATAGTTTGTTGGCATAGTCTCCCCGGATTTGGCGATATGAACCCCGATCGACATGTCAAATCCAAAAGGGGCATGGCAACATTCCAACGGGTGAGACTAAACTGCATCCGGGGCCTTGTGACGCAAACGACCGACACCCCCCAGTCAACAGAGGTTTAGTGATTCCTGCAAAGATGTCTTGATCCAATGGTCAGGTGTACAATTGTTATAGAATACTAGTAAGTAGACTTGCAAATATGAAGCTGATAATCCTACAAACAGTCTGTTATTGCAAAGGGAGGCATAGTTAAGGTTATTCTAGACCCGAGTCCAGGGACCCTGTGTTCAATCATACCTTAATCACTTCCAAGGCAGCCCCTCATCTAACGTAGGATATGGTTCACGATGAACTGATCATGTAACTGCACTCGGAAACATCGTGGATCCCACGCTGAGCACGTAATGTGTATGTAATGGTATTACCCGATAAGCCCCGCCCCCCCTCCTGCTAATCGGTCGGTATTATACAAGAGCGTGACCAGACTCCACCACTGTTTACGGCCAAAGCGGCGCACTAGATTTATTCTGTTTCTGTTTCTTTATTTCTTTGGAATACATTGAGCTTCTTATTTCTTCTTTTTCTCTTCTCTTTCTCTTATGTTTTCTTCCCTTGAAAACTCTTGAAGGAACCGAAAGAATTGCAAAACAAGCCCACACGCTCCCCACGCGACAAGGCGGTCACCCCAAACAGACGCCATCGCGTCGATCGTAGGGATTATCGATAACCATCATCCCCAGCCACTTCAATTTACACTTCAACTCTCTCCACTTTTTGTTGTGTGTTTGGGATTTTTGGTTTTGGAGCTTTGGGGAATTGTTTTCTATTATTTTTTCCCTCTCTTACTTCCACAAATTTTTTTGTCGCGGTGGCAAACTCCGACTCAATCGGGTGGTTCTGACGGACTCATTTCTCTGGTTCTACCTGTCTGAAGGTGTCTCCGAAACTGGGGCGCTGAAATCCGGATCCAGACTTGGTCTGTTGTGTTTTTTATTTTCCCTTTGTCTGGGATCTTGCCTCTCTGAACTTCATCTTTTGTTGCCCCGCTCATATTTGCGGAGTATTCGAACTTCCAACCCGCTACATTGCCCACATTCTTGAAATTTCCGAAGCCTGTCACGGCCACCATTCCGGTGCTGATTTGCGGGAACCCTCTTGGTTCATAAGAAATTAAGACCCGCCCACTACCGTGCGAGAAGTGATAGAGATGCCGTTGTCAAATCGTCGGCGTGCGCGCCGGAAGGAGATTCAACTTCAGGAAACATCCGACGCAGAGGCACCAGATTCATCGCCTAGTCGGCCGTCTGCAAAGAAGCGCAAGGTGAGTTTCGATAACAGTGGCGATAGGTTCCGTCGGTCCGAGGCCGAATCCTCCAAGACAAACGGTTAAAGAGAAAAAAACACACGCTGACATATTGTTTGTTAAACTTAAAGGTTGATCGCCGCGCCTCACCTTCTCGATCCGCTATCAAAGCGGCACCCGAATCCGACGATGACGAAGACTCCGCTGGTGAACATGATCCGTCAACCCACCAAGATGTGGTCGACCTGGTGATCTCATACCTAAACACTGCGCGCGAAGAACTGCGCGTTACGCGCGACTACTCAAACACCAAGAACGAGAACAAACAGAGTGTTCAAGCCTATGCGAAAATCGCCGGCCGCGACTGGACCTATTACGTCAAGTCACTGCATGTCAATATCGGTCGCGAACCGGACCGCGAGCAACACCCCGCTGAACAATCCAGTCCGGTCACCATTGCCGCTCGCTCACTCCCGGATGTCGACGTGGATTTAGGTCCTAGCAAATTCGTGTCGCGGCTTCATGCGGAGATCTTCTATGATGGCAAGCAGGCGCCAGCCTGGCATATCCGGGTGAATGGTCGCAATGGTGTTCGTCATAACAACTCGATTCTCAAGCGGGGCGCCGATGCGGTCCTGCATTGTGGAGATATCATTGAGGTCGCCAATACACAGATGATGTTTGTTACGCCTGGCGATGTCCCTAGTATTCAACCCAGCTTCGTCGAGCGCGCGCAGCGCATTGCGAGTGGCCTGGAGCCCGACCCGGCTACTGTAGCCTGGGATGCGTCGCAGCATGCCCACCCGCAAGTCTCACAGGCAACCGAGTCAGCGCGTCCCTCTTCATCTGGCGGGCCTTCATTGGCGCCAGCACCGAACTTCCTGAAGCGCCAGGTCACGCCGCCTCCTCGGTCCCCGGATACAGCGGGTGCGCGAACGGTCAAGCAGTCTCCACTCTACAACCGAGGTATGATGATGGAGAGTACCGAAGAGATCGATTACAGCCAAGATGCGAACAAGGATCTCAAGCCGCCGTACAGTTATGCCTCATTGATTGCGCAGGCTATCTTCTCCAGCGAGGAGGAGAAGCTTACTCTCAACAGCATTTACAATTGGATCATGGACCGATACGCTTTCTACCGACACTCCCAGAGCGGGTGGCAGAATTCTATTCGTCACAACCTTTCATTGAACAAGGCTTTCCAGAAAGTTCCTCGTCGGACTGATGAACCGGGCAAGGGAATGAAATGGCAGATTGCTGTGGAATACCGTGACGAGTATCGGAAGAAACAAGCACGAAAGGGTAACCAATCGTCGGCCCCGTCATCGCCAGCAACCAAAGAGCCTCCTTCGTCAGCCCGTGCCGCTCACATCCCCTCAATCGATACTTCATTCCCCGCTACAGCCAAAAAGTCCCCACCCGTCTCATCTCCAGGCTTCAGCTCATTCTCTGTTGCGCCCGTAGAGGCCTTTACTCCGGAGCGAGGCTCGCGCGCCGGTCGTGGTCTTGGTTCCGACCATCCACTGCGACACATGAACCCGCAAGCTTACGAAGAACCATCCCCTCTACCTGCTCGCACACGTAACAGTGCCGCATCCACGCAAGCGCCCAATACCAACAATAATCTTAGCCATGCATACGGACTCTCGGACAACGTGGCTGGGTCCCCACCAGTGCTCTCCTCATCATATTACGATGACGGCCCTTCATCCATGATCACACCCGCCCCTCAACGACAACAACCTCGCCTCCCTCCCCCAAGCACCGCACAGATCCCATCAAAGTTCATGCCCATGAGCTCACCCGCTCAGTTCTGGAAATTTGCCGATATTGGCAGCACCCCCGCGCGCCCGGTACCGGATATGAGTCCGCTTAAGGGCGAGACTGAGGATCGGATCATAGGCGGTTTCCCTAGTAGTAGTCCACCTCCACCGAATCTTGCTAGTCCCAGCAAGCCGGGTACATCGAATGGACTTGGTTCTAGTAGGACATTGCCGCCGCTGCAATCTGATGCTGGAGATATGGGTCCGGCTGCCTCACGGAAAGAAGAGGAGGAAGAGGATGATAATGGCTTTGATCTTGCTCGGTAAGCTACCCTGCTCTTTATGTTTTTGATTAGATCAGTGCTATCCTTTGTTTTTCCTTTCAACAACCTTTCAAACGAAGAGTCTCTAACATAGACTTTAGTGGATTTCAACCTATCGGCTCATACCACCGACAGCTAAGCAATGCTGCACGTGCCACAGCAACCTAGTCCTTCCTCTACCATTTTCATGATGTATAACATGTTGCCCAGATTGTATGTTACTTGTTACGTTTTTGTTTGGTTTTTGATTATGCTCCGCATACACTGGTGTTGGGAGGATTGATTCATTGCTTTGCCTATCTTTATGTTTGGTCTGGTTTTTTGTTTTTATTATTTACAGTGTAGCGCGGTGCTGAGATTGGTGTTTGGGGGTTTTGTTTGTCTGGTATCAGGCATTGTTCTTTTTGCGGGCCAGCTGTTGCTTGTTTTATGTACGTCAAGTCGAGGCCGCAGTGGCCCTGTATGTACGGGTAGTTATCAATGTATGATATCAGCATACAATGTGCGATGTGCAAAGTCCTGTTTCCGGTTTCGTAGTTTGTAGATAGTGTACATGTGAACTGTACGCTTAAGCAGTTGGAAGAAGGATCATGGAGGAGACAAATGATATCATTTCCAAGATTTGCAGCTGGTGTATGTATAATCTTGGTTTGCTATCAATTTACTCGATTTCCCATCTATTTATCAATCAATCGACTGGCGTGTACAGTATCTGTACAGAGCTGGATACCATGACGGACCCTGTTTCTCAACAGTGACCATCACACGTTTCTGTGAACGTGAAGATCTTCTGGGATGCAATTGACTAATAGACTAGCGTGCTGACCGACATACTTTCGATAAGAGTATAGTCAGGTACTAGGAGTGCACTAAATTAAGGGTCTCACTGACGCCATTACCACATCAGCCCCACTCCAGCTCCGATCTTAGGCCCTTAATTACCCCATTGCCCCTCCAAATTTTTATCTATATCAAAACAACCCTCACCCCTCTCCACCCCTCAATTCACCTTTCAAAAGCCAAAATGTCACAAGGGCCCCTAACAGCCTGGCTGCTTCAAAGCTCCCCCGAATCTCTCACCCGCGCAACAACCCACCCTTTCCTCGCTGCCGCCGGCCGCGGAACCCTCCCTAAATCAATCCTATCCCAATGGCTCTCCCAAGACAGACTCTACGCGCAATCTTACATCCGCTTCATGGGCCAACTCCTCACAAAGATCCGCCTCGACTCTCGCTCCTCGAACCCGAATGCTGTTACCGCCTCAACAGCGGATCAACAAGCCGTCGATGTCATCATCGATGCCCTCGTGAACATCCGGACAGAACTACGCTTCTTCGAGTCCACAGCGCGGGAATACGGTCTTGATCTCTCTGCCATCTCGGCCGAGGAAGGCGGACTCGGTCTAGCCGGGAACGGATCCGGATGTATCACCACCTCCGCTGGGATCTCGACTACAGGCTCAGGATCTTGTCCGGGCTTTACCGGAGCTGCGGGCCCACTGGGTGGTAAAGTGATGGGGGACAGCAAGACTGGTGGATCCGGGATAAGTAAAGAAGAAATGGATCCCCCTGTTTCGACCATCGAATCTGGAGAGCTGGATTCTGGCGACAGTGTCCTCCACCGTCAATGTGGTGCTCAGGGTGAATGTCAGATGCAGGCTGGTGGTGATGTTTGTCACCCGCCTTCGCCCGCGTCTTGTGCCAATGCCAAGAATAAGTCTTCTGCTGGCTCTAAGCCTGAAGGTCAGCCTGTTATGCCTTCTGGTGGTGGGCGTCCTGCGTCTAAGACGCCGCTTGACCGGGGTGGACCTGTTTTCTTTGCTGCGACTCGTATTACCCGCGCGTATATTGATATGTTCATGTCTGCGGGAAGTGCAGGAGTTCCTGTTATTGAGGGGTTGACTGTTCTGTGGGCGACTGAGGTTTGTTACTTGCGGGCTTGGAAGTATGCTGCGGCGTTCTTGAAGGAGAGAATTGAGAAGGAAGATGGGTCTGGGTCTGGGTCCGATGATGCAGATGGGGGTGCGTTGAGGGAGAAGTTTATTCCTAATTGGTCTAGTGATGAGTTTGAGGCTTTTGTTGATCAGATTGGTGAGGTTTTGAATGTTTTGGCTAGTCAGTGTAAGGGGGCTGAGGAGTGCGAGATGATGCGTGGAAGGTGTTTGGAGTGGTGGAGGCAGGTTGTTTGGTTAGAGGAGCGGTTCTGGCCTGCGATGGAGTAAGTAGGCAATATCGATGGATCATTCCTGTCGAGAGTCAGACGGTGCTTCTATAATGACTACATCACGGGTACCACTTTATCATTCAGGCATTGGAGCTTTCTGCACATATTTACATCTGGTGATAAACAATGGACAGTGATTGTTTTCAGACCGCGTGGAATTTATTGGTGAGAGAATATATTCTAGTTCAGAAATGATATCCGTGGATGACATAAAGACTTCCACCCTGAAGTTGGGAAGCTCTTTTATTTCGAGATAGCTAATTGTCTTTTGTCAAATAAATGTATGATGGGAATTAATAAAGTAAAGTCAAGCAATGATATGGTTTTATAGATCAACTGCCAAGTCTCGCCGCTTACCTAAGCGCAAACAAACAGGCTCCACCCATGGACCTTTCGGACCCCATGGCACATGCAGGAGCTTGAGCTGACCTCGACTCCGTACCTCCACTGAATTCTGGTGCGCTTCAGTCGCCCCGACGATTTGTCTCCTTCCAAACAAATCTCACTCACCCCGTGGCTCCCATTCATCCTTGCGGTCCTGATAAACGCGTCCCTCATCCGCAAGGATGCCTATGACCGATGAGACCGACCACAGTGGCGGGGTCATCTTAGATGGCCCCTTTGACCCTGACGCGCAGGCGACTGTAACTGATTACATCGACTATACGGAATATCTCCCAGCCGATCTTATGCGCTCCCTCACCCTTATCCACGGTCTCGATGAACGCTACCTCGACTCTGCGCAAGAAGTACACAATTTGACCAAGACCTACGGCCAGCTCCCGGACCTTCCCTCCAGTGAGCGCCCAAGCGCGATCTCGCTGCGCCGAGATGTCTCACACCAACTTGACCGCGCCATTAATGCCCGTGAATCCGCCTATGCGGAGGCCTGCCGCCTGTACGATGTTGTGGATCGCCACTTTGACCGCTTGAGCTGCATTCGACAGAAGTTAGAAACATTACCGCGACCTCCTTCAGTGGAACCATCCCCACCGCCGGAGCCGACCCCAAAACGCGTGCGCAAGGACAAGAAATCGGGTGCCTCCACTACGCGCATCACCCTGCGCCTAGATAATCGCAAGAAGAGCGCAACACAGAAGTCGAGATCGCGACGTGTGGGCATTGCGGAACAATTTGCAGACTTCAATCCGGACTCTCCGATTGCTAGTACCGAACAATCTGATGCGGATGTGGAATTACCAATTGTTCCTAAATCCAGACCACCGAAGAAAGAGAAGCAACGGCGCCCTAGTTCAGGGGTTGGAATTTCAACAAGCAATGCGCTTGCTTTGCTTAAGCCTCCGCCTCCAGATGCGAAGCCAGGCAGTCCAGATGCACCATGGTTGCGACTAACGGAGTATGAAATGACTAGGCTGCGAAAAAAGATGAAGAAGAACGCTATGTGGCAGCCAAGCGAGGTCATGATACACCGTGAGTTAGCTCTGGCAGGCCGTGGTTGGGAGGCATACCTGGCGGCCAAACTGTTAGCGGAAGAGAGTGGTGCAGAGTTCCTAGATTGTGACAATATTGCAGCGACTCATGGTGGTGAAAAGCCGAAAGAGATGGAAGAGACCAAGCTAAGCAATCGTGGCATGAAACTGAATGAAGCGAAGAAGCTCAAGCGGGAGTTGTTAGCCCGAGAAGCGGCTGCTAACGGCGGTGAAATAGCTCTCACAACTAAACCAACAGTCCCTGCCCAGGGGACCCCCGCTAACCGCTCATCCCGGAAGAGAAAACGGGAAGAGATTGCAGTCGAGGATGATCTCTTGGACTTGGTCCCAGAACCTGCCCCTACACAGACACCAGTACCAACACAATCCTCCAAATCACGCCGTAAATCCGACCGAGGAGCTCCCAGCAGCGGATCAGCAGATGCTACCAATGCCCCTGTGCCTGAAATTGCAACCCAAGGACCTGCCGAAGTAAAGGTATCGCCACCATTGCCATCACCCACTGGATCCAAGCGTTCTGCCAAATCTGTCGTTCAACATGCCGCCACACCCACTCCACCAGTTACTAGGCCTTCCTCCCGACGCTCCGCAGCCGCGGCAACAAGCGAGCCTAGAGGCTTGCAAGGAACCTTCCCAATCTCCATCGCCGGCGGGCGAGACCTACGGATTAAAAGTGCAACCCCGGCACGGAAGACCCCAGTTCGAGAGACATCTCATGCTCCTAGCGTTCCCGCTCCAGCCCGCCGACGCAAACGTCCGGCTCCGGGCCCAGTTTCATCTGGCCAGGACGGAGGTGCGGCTGTTAGTTACGGCCGTCGCAAGGCGAAACCGAGCAAGAAGCGCATCAGTATCGCCAACTCCCAGGATGTTCGTGTTGATGAGGATGGAGTCCTTGAGGAAATTAATGCCAATGAGCCTCGTTACTGCCTTTGTGGGGATGTAAGCTTTGGTACGATGATTTGCTGTGAGAATCAAGACGTAAGTCTCTCCCTCATGAAATCTTGGTTCGTGAACTAACTATTTTTCAGTGTGATCGTGAATGGTTCCACCTTGACTGCATTGGCCTCTCCGAGGTCCCTTCGCGCACGGCTAAATGGTACTGCCCAGAGTGTCGTGTCAAGTTTAGCAAGGGCTCAGATGGTATTGTGAAGGGTGGATCGCGGCGTTGAAGTTTTGATTGAAGAGTGAAATTTCTTGCATGATACCACACAACGTTGCTTCAAGTGAATTTTTACATTTTGTTTTTCGTGATCTGGCGTAGAATTGAGCTCGGAGTTTAGAGGAATCGGGTATTCCTCCAGGGTTTATCGATAGCGAATTTGACTACATATCTTAATCTTTCCCTACGTAGTTATTCTTCTCTTTTGATACTTGTTGCAAATTTTGTTCATTTAAACGATGCATATCTATATCACATTTGCATATTTACGATCAAATTTACTTCAGTTCCCACTTGTCTCCCTCGGACACAATCTCCACAGGCCGGCGCTCATCTAGTGACTTGCGGCCTGCGTCGAGGATAGCTGTGGTGGCAATTGTGTTCTTCAGGGTAGGCAGGGGGCGCGCATCGAGCTGGTCGAGTGTCACGCGGCCCTCGTTGAGTGCTGTCACAGCATCAATGAACTTCTCGAAGCTGACATAGCCGTAGCCAGTCTGGCCGCCGAAGTTTCCTTCCTCATCGGGAGCGTAGCGCATGTAGAAGCTAGAAGAGTCAGTGAGGTTTCTCAGGGTAATATATCTTGGTAATTCAACTTACGGGTTCACCCAGATCAAACCCTGGTCATCGGTGGTCACATCGTAGCTACGCTTGGCCTGGTTCACACGGATTTCACCGTTGGCAGCCATGTCTATATTGACCGTCAGTATATCAAAAACACTCAAGAAACTAAATACTGAAAAAAAAACAAAACTCACAGTGGAAGTACTGGTTAGAGTGCACACCCGCATTTTGCGGCGCAGTCCAACTAGCAGTGTAAACACCAGTAGCAATCTTAGCCGGGTTATCACGACGACGCCACTCGACAAGCAATGTAATAGTATCCTCAGTCTCAGGCACACAGCCCAAGGCCTCAGCCGTACCCTGCGAAGCCGTAGCGGTAACCCTCACAGGCTTATAATCCGGCACCATACTCTCGTTGATATCAATGTGGTGTGAGTTAAGGTAGTAAGAGATATCCGACTCGCGGCCCGCCCAAGCCTTGAAAGTCTCAAGCTGGCTCTTCGGCTGGCTCATGTAGCTGTAGAAGTAGTTGAAGTCACCCAGAGTGCGTGCTTTAGCCCGCGCATCAGAGTATGCGGGATCGAAGCGCTTGTGGTGCTCGATGAAGACGAAGACGCCGTGTTTGCGGGCTGCGTCGACCAGCGCGAGGTGGTCTTCTAGACGCTGGGTTGCGGGCTTGGTGATCATTACGTGGATGCCGCGCTCAATGGCATAGAGGGCGATTGGGAAGTGGGTTGGGTCTGGGGTGAAGATTGTGATTGCGGAGCCGCGAGGGAGGGCATCGATGGCTGTCTTGTAGGCATCTGGGTCTGTTTGGTCGTCTGATGGGTATGAGGCGAAGGATGTGTCGAGGCCATTGTAGACTTGGCAAATGTTGCGGTGCAGGTGGTCGCCTTGGATTCGTTAGTTTCGTGCTTGTGTTGGGCTTCCTGGTCTACTTACGGATTCCGGGGAACTTCTTTCCAGACACGCCGACCATGCTTAGGTCGCCTACTTTGCCCCGGCGGCGCAGATCGAAGAGACTTAGGCCGACTACGCCGACCTTCTTATCGGAGCCAGAGGCGCCACCGCCGACGAAGCCGGTGGTGTACTCGCCGGTGCCGACCTGGAGAATGATTAGCTTGTGCTGTATGGTGCGGGGCAATTGTTCTCACCATCAATACGCTAGGAGGAGCCATGTTGTTTTTTTGGTAGTAGAGGATTGAAGGATATTAGGAGAAGGTTACAAGGAGTAAATAGAAAATGAAATAGAAAATTGTGACTGGGGTGTTACGTCGCTGGACATAATTCTTCCGGCGTTTGAATGGAAAAACGTCAATAGCCGATGTCATAGCTTATCGTGAGCCGACAAGCTCAACGCGCTCGATGTTCAGTCCATATTTTTAAGAATAATACTATTCTGTGCTTGAGATGAATTCTACGGGGTCATTGACCTTCTTGAAGCATTCAATTATTCTCATCTTCGGCATTCATCTTGCGCGACAGTATTTGCGCATTCTTGGAACCCCTCCTCCACGATGTCCCCCACATTTCGTTCAATGACGATGATTGGTGGAATGGAATTCTCCGCCATACACAATGCATCGGAGAATCCGCCGAACGTGGGGGAGGGACAATGACTGCCGGACCATTAAAAGAAAACATGCCGCCAGCTGTCTTTTGTTCTCAAGTTGTTTCATTGTACACTCTATAACCCAAAAAGTCTTTGTAAGTTTCATCAAAATATACTGCTTGATAGCTCTAGCTAACCAGTTACTAGCATCATGTCGCCCACTCCCCTCCGTCCCGGCGTCTATGCGCCAACTATGACCTTCTTCGACCCCGTCACCGAGAACCTCGATGTCGCCTCTATCCGCCGTCATGCCGTTCGCCTGGCCAAGGCCGGTCTGGTCGGTCTAGTCACCATGGGATCCAACGGTGAAGCCGTGCACCTCACAAACGAGGAGCGCATGACTGTCACTCGCGAGACCCGCTCCGCTCTCGACGAGGCCGGCTTCCAGAACGTGCCTGTCATCGCCGGTGCCAGCGAGAACAGCATCCGTGGCACCATCGAGCTCTGCAAGCAGGTTGCCGCTGCTGGCGGCGAGTACGCCCTGATCGTGCCCCCATCCTACTACCGTGGCGCGGTTGGCAACGACGAGACTCTGTACGAGTACTTCACATCCGTTGCTGATGGCTCTCCTGTTCCTCTTATCCTCTACAACTACCCCGGTGCTGTCGCCGGTATCGACATGGACTCTGACCTCATCATCCGTATCTCCGAGCACCCCAACATCGTCGGTACTAAGTTCACTTGCGCCAACACCGGCAAGCTGACCCGCGTTGCTGCTGCCCTTGGTGCTATTGTTCCTTCATCCCCATTGGCTCCTGCTCAGCGTGCTGCCCCGACTGTTACCAAGCCCAACGCTAAGCACCCCTATGTTGCTTTCGGTGGTATTGCCGATTTCAGTCTCCAGACCCTCGTGTCCGGTGGCTCTGCCATTCTTGCTGGTGGTGCTAATGTTATTCCCCGCTTGTGTGTGCGCATTTTCAACCTCTGGTCTGAGGGCCGTCTTGCTGAGGCTATGGAGGCTCAGCAGCAACTTAGCGCTGCTGACTGGGTTCTCACTAAGGCTGCTATCCCCGGCACCAAGTCTGCTATTGAGTCCTACTACGGATACGGTGGATACCCCCGCCGACCTCTCGCTCGCCTCAGCGATGCTCAGGTCAAGGAGATTGCTGATAAGATTAAGCCTGCATTGGATGTTGAGCTTTCGTTGAAGGATGTGGTATAGATATGACTTGATGATGTAAATAGGGAAATACTTAGCTGTATACGATCATAAATGATGACTGAAGTTTGCAAACTCTTATTAAAGTCCTGAACCTTAAAACCACTAGAAAAAAAGAATCCTCATACCCCTCATTCCCAGAAATTCTAGCTTTACTCCCCTGTTATTGACCATCCTTATCGTAATCGATAAGCCCCATCATCTACGGGTCCCATTTTCTCCAGCGCTTCTGATAGGTGGAGAAACCCTAGTCGGAGATGATACGAGACATCACTGTTATCGTTTACCCCACGCCCAGAAACCACCCCACGCCCACCTGACGTGATTCCACAAAAAAAAAAAGATGCTCGGTATAGTAGGTGCCGGACGTGACTTAATTAAAAGCAGCGCGCTTCCTGATGCAAGCAAGAGTCATACCGTAGCTGAACAGCTAAAATTATATCATGTGTCTGAGAAGTTCGGCCAATTTGAGTTTCTTGTAGAACTGAGCTATTAATCGTCATTCGTGGAGTAGAATGGATACTTGGAAGTGTATATCCGGAGTAGGTTTCTCTCGCACGAAAATGACGCTGGACCTACTACGTATGTGGATACCAGATGGATACACGGGGCATGGGAATTATTTGACGGGCCGAGCTTTGAGATAGTGGGATTTTGTTCCTTGGGTTCATATACCCCCCCAATTCCCACTGTCTCTGCTTTTCTTTTTTCTTTTAATCTCCATTCTCACTTCTTATTCGCTTTGTCACCTACTTTGAGCCATATCACAGTTTGCCCTTATACCCAATTGAACTTCTGCTATCATGCCTTACCCTGAGGAAGCTGAGGGCTTCCAGGTCGATGGACCTGATTCCTTTACCCAGTTCCACAAGCGATTCGTGAGTTGGCGCGCGCATGACCTCATGAAACTTTCTAACACTCACCAAAACACAGTTCAAGCTGAAGCCTTTCGGCGACTATGGTACGTCGAAGAGACATTGAATTTCCATTGCTCATTTCTAACATCATTCAGACGTCGACGTCAAGATCGAGGCATGTGGTGTGTGCGGCAGTGATGTCCACACCATTAGTGGTACGAAACCATCTTACATACTACAATGACAAAAACTTACACTGTTCCACAGGTGGATGGGGAGACCAGAAATTCCCTCTCTGCGTCGGCCACGGTAAGATTCCCAAAAACAAAACGCCCAATCCACGAATTTAGCAGCTAACAACCTCTCCAGAAATCATTGGCCGCGCCATTCGTGTCGGACCCAAGGTCACCCTAATCAAAGAAGGCCAACGCGTCGGCGTCGGAGCCCAGTCCTACTCCTGCGGCGAGTGCAAGCAATGCAAGAACGATAACGAAACCTACTGCCCCGTGCAGATGATGGACACATACGGATCCGAGTGGCCCGAGACCGGCATTGTCAGCCAGGGTGGTTACTCCTCGCACGTGCGCACACACGAGCACTGGGTCTTCCCCATCCCCGACGCACTGGAGACCAACTCTGTTGCCCCCATGCTGTGCGCCGGCCTGACAGCCTACTCACCCCTTGTGCGTAACGGTGCTGGACCAGGCAAGAAGGTTGGTATCGTTGGCCTGGGCGGAATTGGTCACTTCGGTATCATGTTTGCTAAGGCGCTGGGCGCGGAGGTCTGGGCTATCTCACGATCAAGGGCTAAGGAGGCTGATGCTCTGAAGCTTGGTGCTGATGGTTACATTGCTACTGCTGAGGAGGGGTGGGAGTTGCCTCATAAGTTTTCGTTCGATTTGATTGTGAACTGTGCCAATTCTTCCGAGGGCTTTGATTTGGCTCGGTATTTGTCGATGATGGATGTTCATGGCAGATGGATTAGTGTTGGCTTGCCTGAGGAGGAGGGACAGGTTATTAAGGCGCAGAACCTTATCAATAATGGTGTGCTTATTGGTGCTAGTCACCTCGGTAGTCGGAAGGAGATGCTGGAGATGCTGCAGCTGGCTGCGGACAAGGGACTTAAGGGCTGGGTTGAGGAGATTGCTATTGGGGAGGCGGGATTGAAGGAGGCTATGCAGCGGATGCAGAAGGGTGATGTCCATTACCGGTTTACTTTGACTGGCTATGAGAAGATGTTCGGTTAAAAAGGTTGATGGGTTTGGAGTTTAGGATGGTGGCGTGGAATGATGAATGGAATCTTAGAGTAAGCGATTAGAGAAATGTTGACGAATAATAAACCTTGTCACAAAAGACAATGCTTGGAACAAAAGTTGGAACTAGCAAAAGACCGGATAATAATAGAATGATCATAACATAAGATGCATTCCGGACGTAACTTTCTAGTCAGGTGAGACGAGACAACTTGCAAGAAGTAAACCTCGCTTTTAGGTATGAATTCGATCAACCAGAAGGAGGGAAGACAGAAGGTAAATGACCAATTCGCAAACTCGCTCAAGATATTGTCAAAGTAGTCATTGACCCGAAGGAAGAGACCCAACCTTGCTTGAATTAGCATCAAAATTCTCTACATTAACATATACTATCCATGACTACTAATGTGAATTCTGTCTCGCTTATGTGGAGATCTAATTTGGGCTTGCTTCTAACATTCGTCGTTGTGACCTAAAGCCTTTCCAAACCACGCCTGAGGATATGAATCACTACCGGGAGCATGCTTTTGGTCACCCAAAAGTGGAGAATAATGAATTACGAGTGTTGATTACTGGATCTCGCTAAATTGGTTCCTTCTTGGGCCATTTATAGCGAGAGCTCTAATGAGAATACTCATCGGGAGACGCCCCATGAGTATCGTGCAATCAATGTGTGTCTCTCTGTATATGGCATGTGAGTATGGGATAGATGGAAGAAAGATAAGAAGCAATAAGTGCTGGTTATCTACATGATGACGTCACGTGTCAATTCAGCGGAGTTTCATATAGTCAGATATGAACGGACTTGAAAGGTTTTAATCACGAGAAAAGTTTTAACCCCCAAATTCCTACTTTCCCCGATTGTAATCAGAGTTGGAAGAAACCTTGGATGAGGTGGCCTAAACCGCCACTCCGAGGTCAACCATTGGTTCTACTTGAAGTACTCGGTACTTGGATCGGAAGGCAACCTCCAGTGATCTTCTGGGTAGCGGTACTCCACACTCTTGTCAGCCCCAGGATTTGCCCCCAGATGCCTAAAAAAATCAATTCTTTTCAGGCTCGGGTAGCGCGGCGAGTAGCAGTGACCTCAAACTTGGTAGTGTTCACTATAGAGTTCAAAGACACTGGTACATTGTCTTTACTTTGTGATACAGCCAATCAATCGGTGCCGATTCACCGCCCGACTCTCAGACCCATTCAATCTTTCCTTCTGGAATTCTTCCGCTTCTCCTTTATCTCTCCTTGCGCAGCCCTCTTTTCATTATTTTTCTTCTTTGATTCTGTTCCTGTATTCTAATCCATTGCATTCATTCCCTTCATTTCCTTCTATTCCCAGGGCACGTTGTGTCGTTACAATCTTTCCATACCTTGATTCGCCCCCCTTCAGCCCGGTACACTTGCATTTTCTATATCAACACCATATAGACTGGGATTGGAGAAAAAGTCCAATCATTTTGTGAAGATATACTACTGATCAGCCAAAGGCCATCAGTGCCAGTATATTTGTTATTAATTCGCCTTTCGTTACTCCCGAACTGCCGACGTCATGTCGCCACGAGAGACCACTACCTCCACGAGACGCCACCCCTCGCTATCACTTCGCCCACGAGCCCGCACCGCAGTGCAGATCACCTTTCCCAAAGACTGTACATTCGGCGAGTGGCAAGAGACCTCCCCGGTGGAGGCATGCCAGGATAATAATGCTTCGGTGGTCGAGGAGATGGAGCCCTTTCCGCATGCCGTGCCCCGGCGCCGTGCGGCTAAGAGCTTCTCGAGCTTGCGCCATCCGATGGATGGATTAGTTGCGTTGGGACGCCGTCTTTCGGTCACCCTTCGCAACAAATCTTCGAAGCATAACCTGCGCGCTGCTGGAGAGGAGGAGGAGACCGAACGCCACTACCAGATCGCAGGTCATTCCCACAAGCGCAATGCTGCGTCTGGTAACTGGGAGGTGCAAGCTCAGCCGTGGACCAACGCCTACAGCGTCAACCGACGTCCCTCCCTGAACAGCGTCTCCGCATTACACGGTTTCTATGCGCCCACCTCGGCCATTCCAATCCCTATCCCAGGGCATGGATCGGAGCCGCCCATCTTACCGAATGATCGATTCTCGGGTGCGGCGGCTCGTGCTGCGGCTGCTGCGCAGAACGAACAGATGGAGATGGCTAGGCTCCAACTCGCCCGATCGCTACAGGAGAAGACTTTCGATACGATTGTGACGCAGGATTCAGAGAGTGGAATCGAAATCGATCTACGGGACCACACTGACTCGGACACTGAGCTAGATATTATGCGCATTGGTAAGGATCTGACTCGCGAGCTCAATTTTCGTCATATTGTTTGCATGGCTAACTGATCTTTAGATCCGGCTTCGTACTTGCCTGCTGAAATCATGACACACATTCTTTCTCACCTGGATCCTGCTTCCTTGTTGAACTCCGAGCTTGTATCGCATCTTTGGAACCAGCAATCCTCGTCTCCTTACGTTTGGAAGCCTGTGTTCCGCGGTGCCTACCCCCGTCGTCCTGCTAGTACCACAGCAACCAAGAAAAAGCAGTCCTTCGGGTTGGGAAAGAAGATTCCTAACCAAGACTGGAAGAGAATGTTTCTTGTCCGGCGAGCTCTCGAGCATCGCTGGAAAGAAGGCAAAGCGGCAGCCATTTACTTGCATGGACACCAAGACAGTGTCTACTGTGCGCAGTTTGATGAGTAAGTTGAACATGTCTGCTAATCTCATCTCTTTGAATCAATCGATGCTAATGTCCTGCTAGGGATAAAATTATTACTGGGTCTCGGGATCGCACCATTCGTGTATGGGATGCTCACTATCCTTGGCCTTGCCTCAAGGTCATTGGTCCTCCTCCGGGTGAAGTGCCTGGAATTGGCCAAGTGAACAATCCAGCCCAACAGGCGACTGGAAAGTCTCCCTTTATGACCATTTGTCCCCCGTCCACTCCTTTGGAGAACATTATTTCGCCGATGGAGCAGCCACTTGATTACCACAGCGCCTCGATCCTCTGTCTGCGTTTTGATGAGGAGATCATGGTCACTGGGTCTTCTGACTATACCTGCATCGTGTGGGATATTAAAAATGATTACAAGCCGATCCGTCGTCTTGCTGGACACCGTGCTGGTGTACTGGATGTCTGTTTCGATGATCGTTACATCGTTTCATGCTCCAAGGATAGCACCATTTGCGTGTGGGACCGTAAGACCGGTGAACTACTGAAGAACCTTGTTGGTCACCGCGGGCCGGTTAATGCTGTGCAACTGCGGGGTGATCTCGTGGTGTCGGCCAGCGGTGATGGCGTGGCTAAGCTGTGGAACGTCAGATCCGGCCACTGCGTCAAGGAGTTCCCCAGCAAGGACCGCGGTCTAGCCTGTGTTGAGTTTAGCGACGATGGTCGAACCATCTTGACTGGTGGAAATGATAAGACTATCTATCAGTTCAATGCCAACACAGGCGAGTTGGTCAGTGAACTCAAGGGCCACACTGGCTTGATCCGCTCGCTACATCTGGACAGCATGAACAAGCGTATCGTCAGCGGAAGTTACGATATGAGTGTCAAGGTGTTTGATGCTGACTCTGGCGAATTATCTATTGATCTGCCCGGATGGACTACCAGCTGGATGCTGAATGTCCAGTCTGACTACCGCCGAATTGTGGCCACCAGTCAGGACTCCCGGGCTGTGATCATGGATTTCGGCTACGGCCTCGACGGAATTGACCTGTTAGAAGAGTGATCTCGGGTCTCTGTACATATAATATATTTGCTCTGAAAATAATATTTAGCGTGTTATTCCTTTGGTTTGGGACAGATTGGCTGGCATTCATGGATGGATTATGGGGGAGTTGGTATAAAATTGGGAACTTCGGACATTTGACATTTGAAAGTTAGGGGGCACTCGGGGCATAGATATTTTACACGTTCACTTTGGGGCTTTCATGCGTTAAAGCTTTGGATTACAGCAATGGACTATATACAATCGACCACAGGCACTCCTTTGTCTAAAAAATATTCCCAGACATACTTCCAATAGTCTAACATAGTTCCATAGAACTGAAAAGCTAGAGATGGAAGCCTGAGGCTGCAAGGCGGTGAGATGATGTAAAGTCCTTGCGATTGGTTGTTTGGGTGCCTAGTGCCACTGTGATCCGTGGGTTTTGGCATCAAAACAATCACGTCGCTGTTTTGCATCAACACAGACAGGCAAACCCTGACAAGGAGCCCTGGTTCTGAATAACACATTCCTAATTAGCGCTTCGCCCAATACGCTCCATTTCACGTTCCTCCCACCCCCCGTTTACCTTACAATTTCGGCTACGGCTATCACTACCCCACCATGGGTGAATCCAGGTTCGGCTGGCACCCCCTATCGTCAATTAGTTGTACGACGCGTCAATGATATACTAACCATACTGTTTACTTAGACAAGAGCTGCTGGCTTGGTTGAACAACCTGCTCCAGTTGAACATTACCAAAATCGAACAATGTGGAACCGGGTATGATAGATCGACAAGCCCCCTCTTGTGACGACTGGTCAACGGATTGGCGGCTAGAAGAGTGTGACTGACGTGGGATTCTGCATATTCGATACAGTGCCGCACTATGCCAGATCTTTGATTCGATCTTCAGTGAGTTCAGCCTTGATTGCAAGATTCGCCGACTAGCGGTCAGACGCGAAAGGGGAAAGGGCAAGAAAAAAAAATAAAGCTGGATAGTCTTTACTGATGCGGTGGATTTTCTTTTCTAGTGGACGTGCCCATGTCTCGCGTCAAGTTCAACGTCAACACCGAATATGCCTACCTGCAGAACTTCAAGGTCCTCCAGAGTATGTCCCGACGAACCTGATCTCGGTCCCCGACCCCATCTGAAGTGCCTAACCTTCGTTCAGACGTCTTTGCCCGCCATGGTGTAGAGAAGCCCGTCCCCGTTCAATCCCTCACCAAGTGCCGCATGCAGGATAACCTGGAGTTCCTTCAGTGGGTCAAGCGATACTGGGACCAGCACTACCCCGGTGGTGAATATGACGCCATTGGCCGACGGAAGGCTTCGGGTGCCCCTGCTGGTGCTGCCTCTGCCTCTTCACGCGCTCCCTCGGCTGGTTCTCGCCGTGGAGCTACCCCGGTCACATCTGCTGCCCGTCCCCGGGTTGCTACCTCAGGCCCTAACACCTCGGCCCTGACACAGGAGATTGCCACCCAGAAGGAGGCCATCGCTGGTCTTGAGAAGGAGCGGGACTTCTACTTTGCTAAGCTGCGTGACATTGAACTGCTGTTGCAGACCGCCATTGAGGCCGACCCTGAGCTGGAGAAGGAAGAGGACACTCTGGTGAAGCACATCCAGGGCATTCTGTACTCGACTGAGGTGAGTTTATGATTCTGTCACTTGTTATGCTTATCCGCTAGGAGGCTCCATGCTAAACTTTGTTTTTCAGGATGGATTCGAGATCCCGGCCGAGGCGGAAGAGGGTGTTGCCGACGAACTGGAGACATTCTAAGCGGCAAACTAGGGAGGGGAATCTGTTAGCGCGAGAACTGTCCCATTTTACTAAATACCCCCCGTTTGTGTTTCTCAAGATGAGAACGCAGATAGTGATTTTACACCTGTGAAGTACAGAGAGTAGAGAGATGATTATTATTGGTGTGGTTTCACCAGGGTTTAGATGATTGGTTGCACCGGGGCCCCATTTAATAAGTAATCACCTGTAATATTAATAGGACGGGCTTCTGTCCTTACTGAATGATAATTAAACCCGCGTGAGACGCTAAACCGCATGCAGTTTAGCGGGGGTGACAGTGGCTGGCCAGAACACTCGGCACTATCCACTTCTTCCCCTCTGATTCGTCCTTTCACTCGTGTACCTGCAGCGTCACTATTCCTTTTTCGAGCCCCCCGTTGGTCTCCTCGCATCTTTATGGATTTTCCTTTTCCAAATAAACAAAGATGCCTTCTGAATCAATCTTGATTCTCTCAACTTTGATATCTTCCAATTCTTTGTGAGCATCCCGACCCCCTGAAAGTATAGGGGAAAGCCCTAAGTGTAGAAAACAATTTGGCCCCGTCGGGCTACTTCGTCATCCACGCGGGTCGGGACTTAGCTTCGATTAGGGGAGCGCTGGGTCCCGGTCTGGCCGTTCCACCCATTTCGCTTTTTTCTCTTCTCTTCTTTCTTTCCCCCACTCTCAAGACATACTCAACAGAGTCACTGTTTCTGCAGGAAGAAAGTCTTCGGAACTACGTCGTGTTACAAACGCCCAGTGCGTCTTGCTTATCACCGTTGAACCCGTCGCTTCCGGGTCGACGCTGATATCACTTGATCGTTAGCGCTTTGGAGGGAAAATCGTCTTCTGCAATGTTCAACATGGACTAGGCCGCGCGGTCTCTTCTTCACTTGTGTTTTTTCCTTCACTCTTTTGATCCTGGTACGTTCCTAGTGGGGCATATGAGTCCGAGTTAGACCGAAAAAAGAAACGAAACAACACAATGTTTACCATGTCGCACCTCAGTCAACGGTGAATTGAACCATGCTAATAGTATCCAACCACCAGGATATTCAGACGAATGCCATTCACTCTTTACTGAACTTCAATCGTTGGCGGTTAATTCTATCCGGCCAACATCCATTCCTTACTTCTTCCGCCAGCTTCCTCCTTTTGGAAGTTTTGGATCCATTCATTCTATCGAATTAGCGGGCAAGACCCGGCTGCTGTCTATCCCGACGGTGTACTCGCCTAGGAACATTCACTTCCATTCGCCATCGTGCTGGTCGATCCAGCCCCGACCTCTGTGAGGACATACGACAAACCTTTGTTCCCACACTCTTTATCTTTTGACAACCATCGGCACGATGTCTCACCACGGATATCGCCATTCCCGGATCGGCAGGATCATCAATTCAAAGCATCGACATGAGGCTAGTGAAGGAGATGTGGTGGATGACTCGAACCCAATCGTGCAGAACGTAAACGAAGTGCAAAAGCCTCTGGGGTCAGAGGATACAATTTTGGCCGAGCCATGCTACCCGCTGCTGGACAAAGCTTGCCTGGAGAATAGAGCTACTCTCTCCGATGACTTCCTGGTAAAGCGACAAGCTGAGTCATCTCAAACTACAGCTGCAGTGGAGACTGTAGTGCAAGTGGTGGAGAGTGCCTCGCCAACTTGGTCATCCATCGGAACGGACTTTCCAATGACAAATTCAAGCACGGCTCTTATTGGGGTGACGATCTCGGTGGGTGATACAGTGCTCGTGACCTCTCCAACGGATTCCCCGATCACGTCGATCACATCATCTACCACGCAGATCACTACTACGGCCACAAGCAAGCAGCGTGTACCTATTTCGTCGCCCAAGATCTCTTCAGCTGCTAGCTCTCAGCCTTGTAATTCCACTCCTCTGGTTTCATACGCCAGCAGCCCCACAACCTCGGCTACGACCATTACCCCAACTACAAACAGTGTTTACTATTACCCAACATCATCACTGTCATCTATATCATCATCATCCTCCTCATCCTCATCGTCATCATACTTGTACTCATCCTCATCCTCATACTACGACTACGACTCTACCACTTCGTGGACTGGCTACTATTCAACCTCGACTCAGTCGCCATCTTCATCTACGGAATCGTATGGAGGTGCAGTGCACACTGGTACTAGTTCTGGCTCTGGGTCCGGTGATGGATCAGGATCATCCACGAACACAGGGTCTTCAGGCTCAGGACCTTCCATCTCCGCTAGAACATCAAAAATAGTAGGCGGGGTTATAGGCAGTGTTGCTGGTCTAGCCTTGATTTTCGCTCTTCTCTTCTATATCCTTCGCCGTCGTGGCTACTTCCAGCGTTTCTTTAAAGACCAGGGAAACCAAGCCCTTCCATCCAGCGATGCCGGTACTGCTGCTACCAGGGAAATGGCCGAGAGACCTTCAAGCGTCTTTACCACTTCGTACCTGGCTCCCGCCTTTATGAAGCGCTGGCGCCAGTCGACCATGACAACGAGGACTGATAGCACAGTCGATTCCAATTCTAGCGAGCGCGGTTTCCAAAAGATCTCGGGCCGGAAGATACCTCCCGTTCTCACCCACGGAGGAGATGGCTTTGGCGGTGGATTAGATGGTGACTCGCCTACCATCCCCGACTGTCTGATTGGTCTATCTCTCCCATCCGCTAGTGCAGGACCTAGTGGAGGAAATTTGTCTTCTCCCGGTGGACATGGTCCGCCTCCAGCATCTCCGTATGGCTCACCACTTGACACGAACTACACACGGGAAGCGGACGAATTCCCACCCCCAGAACGGCCCAAGATTCAACTTCCCGTCTCCAACTCAGTGAATTTCGGCTCTCCCACAATGGTCACTTCTTCTCCACACCTGATCCCTCAGCCCCAAAGTGCGGTACCTCAGCAACCGGATTCAGTGGGACGGAGCCATCCAAGCTTTGACGGAAGCCGTGGCAGCCGCTTCACGGAGAGTCTAGATCTGTGATCCAGAGTACCCTCTGCGAGATATGCGATATGCGATACGAACCAGAAAAACAAAACAAAACAAAAAGCCGATGCATTTACGGGGCTTGGCGATCTGGCCTTGCCGATAGGCCACGACCCATTTGAGCGCTTTGATTTGGATACAGTCCTCTTTCGCCTTCACCTTCTTGTTCTGCTTTGCTTCGTCTTCTCCTACTCTCTGAGCCATTCCTGTCGTTGACACCATTTTTTTCATCTTTTCTCTTCTCTTGTCATTTCTTCCATATAGATACCCATTCTCTGATCCCCTCACTTGTCAATATTTTGTTCTCCATCTGTTGTCTACCTGTCTGTATTTCTTTTTTGTCGTTGCTTCCAGGAACATTTTAGTAATACGGTTATGAGCCAATCTTCGGTCATGCCATTAATGTGTGGATAGCCCAGGATAATTTAATAATTGAGCCTAGAGCAAATGCGTTTTGATCATCACCATAGAAGCCTAGGATGTGGCTGCGAAGTATACTTGTTTCAGTATCTAGGTATCCGAGTCAGTACGAGGTCATCTGTCTCATCACTTGTCCGTCGGCCACTTTTAGACTAACTCTCAAGGTTTAACTCGCAGCTTACTATTCTGCCTGGAAGCCAACGATCTCACTTTAAACATATCCCCATCAAGAGACATTGATAATGATACCAGAATTAAATCTCACTCCGCTGTCTTTACTCCACCTTTCTGGGACACCAAAAACATTCTCTGAGTCATGGAAGAGCCTTCCACCCGAAGTCAATATTCCGCTCGCATCTCTCAACACCCTGACAGGCTGTCGGGAGCGACTTGAGCAGTTGCTGTCGCGGCCGGACATCTACGAGATAACGTGGCTACTCAGGCTGAATCCAAAATCTCACCGGTCACTGAGAACGAGTTTGGTAAAAACACGGTTCTGGGATTCTTGGCAATAAACAAGGAAGAAAAGGCACTGGATCAACTTTTTGTTCATCCTAGGGCACAGGGTCTAGGTCTGGGGGCTGTGCTTCTAGCCCTTGCGAAGACTAGGCTGCCGCGGGAGAAGGGGGGTTTTTGGCAGCGGACTGCTGAGGGGAATATGCATGCTTGTAGTATCTACATCGACTACGGTATGCTAGGAGAGAAAATCATACTGTTTGATTCATTGGACTTGGATCTATGTGTGGGAATGATACAAATGCCCAGCTATATGTCACCACACTTGAACATATAGCAGCTGGCAACGGACTCGCCAAAGATTAGGTATTCAAAACACCGACAAATTTTATCTTGGAATATCACAAATATTCAAACGTTCTACATTCGTGCAATGTCTTGCCCAGGCGTTTACTCCGCGATTATATCCACGCCTAATAAGGGCATGAATACGAAATCTGCCTTGAGTCGGGTGTTGCCTATATAGCCGACAATTTAAGACAGCTTACTCCAGGCTGAGTGCATTACAGCCTCCTCTGCTGATCAGCCACCATGTAACCCCACGATCGCATGTGCCCGAGTGCCTGGAGGCTCAGCTTGGCATATGCCTAGCCGACGTGGTGGTCATCACCTTATCTCCGCAGCGCCACACCTTTAATTGCCACGGGGCTCAGCCACATGTGGCTAGTGGCAAGATCACCGCCAAGCTTCCTTGCAGACTGAATCATACCAATGCTGAGTGGCCAAAATACATGATCTTCGCACCCCTGCCATCATCTGCCAATGAGGACTTGTCATCCGCTTACAGAGATTGATTAATAATTCGAGTGACTTTCCAAACCTTGTCTGCACAGACCTCTTAAGTATCTCAAGCTACAGTATACCAAGCCGCTATGACATCCTCGACAAAACTCTCTCGTCTCCTTACTTGGTGGAAACAATTACCATAAAATTTGATGGGTCAACATTATATCTGACGCATAGAGTTAGGCGGAGTTTGTCAAATTTCATATCATTGGTTTCTCATTGAGGCGCAGCAAGCAAACCACTCCACCCAAAGTAATCGGCGGCAAGCCCAAATCCGTCAGCACAAATGGGGATTGGACGGCTTTCTTCGCGGAACCAGTTCCAATATCTGATCCTGTCGTCAGGCCCAGCGCCACGGGCCGAAAAGAATAAGCTGGAGTTTGAGAGATAGTATGCCGGCGCCTAGATTGTGCAGTCAAGATTAGTAGATCCAAGCATATGTCAACCTGGTGTCCGTGTACTTCATCCCAGCTAGCGGCTCCTTCCAATTCGCCCCCAAGTATTATCGGTGTTTCTGCTATCCGTACCTCGGATTATGCTTGTAGCCTTTGGTCTGATGAGTAGTTGGGCCGCCCAGTAACCTAAACAAGAGGCTGTGTTCTTGGGAAACGTCATCTTGAAAGGATCACCCCGGGTGACAGCGTTTTTCTACCCTCGTGCCAATACTGTTGCCGCCGGTCTTTTCAACAAACCTGTGGACCTCAGCTTGGCATCTTCTTAACTCCTAGCGCGACTTGGATGTCCTACCGATGTTCGGCTCTACATTCTCTCGGCAGTCTGGGCATTTATACACAGCCACCCTGCAGAGTCATAACAGTCTCTTGCGCCCCAGATTTGAAACAGGAACAACAGACGAAATCACAAACTGGAACCCTTTATTAAACTTGCATAATTGAAGGAGCTAGCTTGGTGCATTAGCGGCACCCATGTCTTCTCCAGATCACAACACGGCCCATCAGGGCTCATTCTTGAGCCCGATTGTGGTTACCAATACTTCGGGCAGAGAGGTGCGTTCCTATACATCCCCAGCATCCGAAATGAGTTCGGCGCCAAAATATCCATACTAACATTATGCGTTTCGACCCCCCAGCGCTCGCTATCTGTTTCATCAGCAGCAGCGTCTTCATCATGTCCCAGTCCCACAGATTTTGCCCATAGTCCATCATCAACTCTATCTCCAGATATGGCATGGAATCAAGATACAAACCACCTGAGCGTGCACAATGCCTCACAGCATCGGCCCTCACAGTCTATCGACGGAGATACCCTCCGTCCACGCTCGGACTCATTCGTCTCAAATACAGATACTATGACGCCCCGCTCGAGAACGAATTCCGACGTCGGTACAAATAATAAAATACTATACGACGATGTGCCGCTCTCTGAGGCATTACGGCCTGATCCTCGTGAAGAAGCCGATTTCCACGTCCAGGATAACAGATTCGCTTTTTCACCGGGCCAACTGAATAAAATGCAGAATCCGAAATCCCTCGCTGCTTTTCATGCCCTTGGTGGATTGCAGGGAATTGAACGCGGTCTCCGGACAGATATCCATGCTGGCTTATCTGTTGATGAAGGTCGATTGGCTGGGTCTGTGGATTTTCAGCAGGTCACGCCGCCTTTATACGATAGACGGCCTTCGACGACTAAAACACCCCTTAATGGGAAGAGCAGTGAGGTGCCGAGTACGACGCCTGAAATTATTTCTGGCGATGGTGGCTCACCTTTCGAAGACCGGACCCGGATATTCGGGCATAACAAACTGCCGGCTCGGAAGTCGACTGGCTTTTTCAAATTGTTTTGGATTGCGTATAATGATAAGATTATTATTCTGCTGACTATTGCTGCTATTGTTTCGTTGTCGTTGGGCATATACGAGACTATTGATGATGGAACTGGAGTGCAATGGGTGGAAGGTGTTGCTATTTGTGTTGCTATCTTGATTGTCACTGTTGTTACTGCTGCCAACGATTGGCAGAAGGAAAGACAGTTTGCTAAACTAAACAAACGGGTGAGTTATTAGTTACTTCTTTTTGCTTTATCATTTGCTGACATGTCATCGTCTAGAATGATGATCGGGATGTCAAAGTCATTCGCTCAGGCAGGTCTATGATGGTGTCTGTCTATGATATCATGGTAGGCGATGTCCTCCACCTTGAACCTGGTGATTCTATTCCGGCCGATGGAATTTTGATCTCGGGGCATGGTGTGAAATGTGATGAATCATCTGCGACTGGTGAGTCTGATCAGATGAAGAAAACGGATGGCAATGAGGTCTGGCAACAGATCGTCGAGGGTAGAGCGACCAAGAAGCTCGACCCTTTCATGATTTCTGGTAGCAAAGTTCTGGAAGGCGTTGGCACCTACTTGGTTACTAGCGTTGGACCTTACTCTACGTATGGGCGCATCATGCTCTCACTGCAGACTACTAATGACCCGACACCGCTTCAGGTGAGGCTGGGTCGCTTGGCTGATTGGATTGGATATTTGGGTTCAGCGTAAGTGAACAATGTCGTGGCAGATATACGGAAAATTTTTACTAACGAGCTGCTTCAGTGCTGCAATCATCTTATTTTTGATCTTGGTTTTCCGGTTCATAGCCGATTTGCCAGATAACCATGGTAATTCCGCTGCCAAGGGCAAGGAGTTTGTGGATATCCTTATTGTGGCTGTAACTGTTATTGTTGTCGCTATTCCTGGTAAGAGATCCTGCTCCCAATATGATACTTTCAGAAAACTAATACCTGCTTTTAATCTAGAGGGTCTCCCATTGGCTGTCACCTTGGCTTTGGCATTTGCTACCACTCGCATGGTCAAAGAGAATAACCTCGTTCGTGTCCTCCGGGCCTGCGAGACAATGGGAAATGCCACAGTTATCTGCTCGGATAAGACAGGTACTCTGACCCAGAACAAGATGACAGTGGTTGCCGGTACCTGGGGCTCAAGCGAAAGCTTCAGCCAGTCCACTGAAATTGATGTTGACACCGCTGGCAACAAACCAATGAGTACTGCTGAGAGCTTCAAGAAGTTCTCAGGCCCGGTTAGAGATCTCATTATCAAAAGCGTCGCCTTAAACTCTACGGCATTTGAAGAGGTAAAAAATGGTCAAAAAGAATTTCTGGGAAGTAAGACAGAAGTCGCTCTACTCCAGATGGCTCTTGACTACCTTGGTATGGACATTACTTCGGAGCGTGGATCTGCCGAAATTGCCCAACTTATTCCCTTTGATTCCGCACGGAAGTGCATGGGTGTTGTGTACCGACAACCGGGTGCAGGATATCGTCTCCTTGTCAAGGGCGCCTCGGAGCTAATGGTTGACGCTTGTTCCGCGCAGATCACAGATCTTGATGCCTGCAAGGAGTCACTATGCACCGAGTCGCTGTCTGATGAAGAAAGACAGGTCATTTTGACGACTATTGAGCAATATGCTCAGGGGTCTCTTCGAACCATTGGAATCGTCTACAAGGATTTTAGTTCTTGGCCGCCACAAGATGCCAAGAGACTGGAAGATGACCCTTCTGCCGCGAGCTTCGACGATCTCTTCCATGACATGACCTGGGTTGGAGTTGTTGGAATTCAAGACCCGCTTCGCCCAGAAGTCCCATCTGCCATTCGCAAATGTCACTCCGCAGGAGTCCAGGTCAAGATGGTGACAGGTGACAATGTCGCGACAGCCACAGCTATCGCGTCAGCCTGTGGTATCAAGACCGAAGATGGTCTCGTCATGGAAGGTCCGAAGTTCCGCCAATTATCTGACGAAGAAATGAACGAAGTCATTCCTCGTCTCCAAGTCCTGGCACGTTCATCACCAGAAGACAAGCGGATCCTTGTTGAACGACTGAAAATTCTTGGTGAGACCGTCGCTGTCACAGGTGATGGTACCAATGACGGGCCTGCTCTGCGCACTGCTGATGTCGGGTTCTCTATGGGTATTGCTGGAACAGAAGTTGCCAAGGAAGCTAGCTCGATCATTCTTCTGGATGATAATTTCCGATCGATTGTCACGGCCATTTCGTGGGGTCGGGCTGTCAACGATTCCGTGGCCAAGTTCCTGCAGTTCCAGATTACAGTTAATATCACCGCTGTGATCTTGACTTTCGTTTCATCTGTGTATAGCAGTTCAAACCAGAGTGTTTTGAATGCTGTGCAGTTGCTCTGGGTCAATCTAATTATGGATACTTTTGCTGCCCTGGCCTTGTGAGTATTTCTTGGCTACCGTCACTAAACAAAGGCACAAGCTAACACATCAACAGAGCTACCGATGGCCCAACAAAAGATATCTTAGATCGAAAGCCCGTTCCGAAAACTAAATCACTTTTCACTTTGACAATGTGGAAAATGATTCTTGGACAATCCGTTTATAAACTAGCCATCGTCTTCATGTTATACTTTGCTGGTGATCAAATTCTCAACGCACATCTCGTCTCCGACGACCCGGCGCTCCGCGCAAAACAGCTTTCCACAGTTGTTTTCAACACATTCGTATGGATGCAAATCTTCAACGAACTCAACAACCGCCGCCTCGATAATCGCTTTAACATCTTTGAAGGCATGTTCCGCAACTATTGGTTCCTGGGTATCAATACTCTCATTGTCGCCGGACAAGTGATGATTATTTTCGTCGGAGGCCAGGCATTCGGTGTAACCCGAATCAATGGCACCCTGTGGGCAGTTTGTATAATCTGTGGCTTTGGATGTCTGCCATGGGCTGTGGTCCTCCGCCTGATTCCAGACCGTCATTTCGGGGTTGTGTTTAATGCTATTGTTAGCGCATGTTCATTCATTCTCAGGCCATTTTTGATGGTCTGGAAATTTATTGTTCGTGGTGTGAAAGCGATCATTCAACCCGTGACACGATTTACCCGTCGGGTCTTTTCTCGTCGGCATGTGAAGACTAGTGAGTCTGCTCAAGAGTCCTCGGGCACTCCTGATGATTTGGATGCTCCTGTTATTGATGAGGAGAATCCTGTGGCGCTGAAGGTAGTTCGAGAGGAGAGCCCAGAGCGTCCTTCTGCGCCACCGGCGATATCGGTACCCCCGATTACTGTGACCGCGTCGCCATAGACTTTGGGATTTCAAGGGAGATTCCTAAGATTTATGAATGAGTGGCTGTTTGTTATACTTTTTGATAGCGTTTAGCGTGCTTTTCTTTTCATTTTGTTGTTTCTCATCTTTATGCCTATACGATACATAGATCAATATGATACCAAGTTAATCATCTCCCCTCAAATCCAGAGAAGACCTAGAGTCTTATCTTATCTCTTAGAGAAAAAAGGAAGAAAGTCGGTAGTTAAATTCGGGGTTCATCTCTGCTACTCTATTTGAGCTGGGTATCCCGGGTTCAGAAATTAGTCTTGGTGTTGAGTTAGCCCTTTCAGGTACAAGGCAACCAATGTAACCATGAGAATAGAAGGGGAAATTGCACACATGCGCATGTGGAGATTGCGATGGGGGCCAGAATGCAGGACTTCTGATATCATCAGGGCTGTTGCCTTGGGATATGTTGGGTAGCCCCCATAGTCAATAATGATTCTCGACCATAGAAGATTCCTGCATACTCAAGATTACAGTAACTTTATCTCACATAAACTTCCTGAAGCTATTATGTACATCAGATTACCTGCAGGAACAGTGGCAGGGGAACCTTGGTACGAAACTCACTGAACGTTATTTCGTTCCAACACCATTTGGATATGATGTTTACTAGATGTCGAGTAGTTCTGAGTCGGCGAATCCCCTGTCCAACTCAAAAAAAGAGTTTCATTCCGTGAATATACTTTGTAGTTAAAAATCTATAATTAGTGAGACAAAAAGCTTTGAATTGCTTATTGGCCTATCGTTGGCCCCCACGCATGCCGCTCGCAACAAAGCGGCCTGTTGCCAAGACCAGTCCAGGGATCACCATGACTAAAGCTGCAACCCCCTCCTGAGAAACGTGGAGCTTCAAGATCCATGGATTGTGTTCTGATTTTGAATCCATCCAACTCGTCGTGAGTGGTACGCGGGGGTGAAACAATGTCGACCAGCGCAGAATCCCCAGGTTTACGGAACCCGTTCCACAACCCGATCCCCTCTTCGCTTTCATGTACACAAACCCAACTTTCTCCGCACTAGCTCCCAACCCAACTAACAACTTCCAGCTGAATGCGCAAAGGCAGCGGCGATTATCGACTCCTTTATCAACCCGAAAGTGGTCGGCGATGGCGGGATTCCGCGTAAGATCCTTTTGCGCGCTAAAGTAGGCGATTTTTTTGATTCTTAGCTACGCGGAGGCTTACGATTCTAGGCCCTGATTATCTGCACCGTATTTCGAATAGGATTTATGGGTAGCGTGCGTTTTGGTTCTGGGGTTGTCGTGGTTCGTCTCCCCGACGACAGCTGGTCTGCTCCATCAGCCATTGGCCTCGGCGGGCTGGGATTCGGTGGGCTCATTGGAGCCGAGTTAACGGATTTTGTGTTCGTTCTCTATAACGACGAAGCGGTCACGAAGTTCATGCAATCCGGTTTCCTGCATTTGGGCCTTAATGTCTCGGCTGCGTTCGGGGTGGGCCGCAGTGCGGAATCTGGTGGTATAGCTGGAGCTAAGGGCGTGTCGGGCTTCTACTCCTTTTCAAAAACTCGGGGGTTGTATGGGGGTGTCTCTGGTGAATTGGGAGTTATCACTGAGCGCTCACGGGCCAACAAGAAGATCTATGAGCGGAAACTCAAATCGGTTCATCTGGCTGGTGGGGAGATTCCTTCTCCTCGTGAAGCTGAATCACTGATTCACATTCTCAATTCGATGGTGCCTCGTCCTTCCAAAAAGCCCATTGGAAACCCTGCTGTGGATCCCAGTGCGAATCTCAGTGCGAATCCCGTTGCGAACCCTGTTGTGAACCCCATTGTGAATCCTGATTCCAGTGGACTCCAATCTCTTGGTCGTGAAGTGCCGCCGGAACTGGAAATGGGAGACTTAAGTAATTTGGGTCCTGGGCTTTCTGAAATCGGATCTTCTGAAGCCCACTGGAGTGGGTTGTCTGCTCCGGGTACCACACATAAACCCAGGGAGCTTAACACAGTCCCTCGAGAGCTCCTCGGTAACCCAATCCAACCTGTTGAGTCGGCTGAGCCCGCTCAGCCTGCTGAGCCTACTGAACCTTCAAAGGTTTTCGAGCTGGAGTCCCAACATGGCTCTACGCTACCGCCCAGCGAGGACCTCTCGCATCATGCGTCTGTGAACTCGTCTACTGGGAGCTCTTCGCAACACGCATCGCTTCAATCGTCTATTGCCAACCCACTGGAAACGCGAGAAACACAAGACTCGTCTGTTGTGGCTCCTCCCGGTATCATTCCTGAGAATCCATCCAAGGAAGCGCAGGCCGAACATGCGACAGAGAATGACGCGACAGTTCAAGCTTGATGTCATGCAACCCATTGAGTCATTTTACCAAGCATTTGATGCATGCGGGCGTTGTACTATCTTTCTTTGGTTCTTCTCTTTTGTTCATTCACGCATGATGGGATAATGTATGGTCGGAAACTTATTTAATTCCCTTGGTGATATCCCTAGCTAGCTTCATTATCGACTCGTGAACATACGAGGATATTGTGTGACTTGATCCTCAAAGGACTTCTTCCAGGTTTTGTTAACTCCAACCCAGCTGCCAAGAGCATGTGAAATATAAAACAAGAATACGCTCAAAACAAAACAAATACTCAACTACCACGAGAAGCTTTCTTCAATAAAATCCACATTCGATGTAGACTGCCTCCTCCGACAGACATGTCGAACATCATCACTCAAACTCCCACTCCCGCACACCATAACACCCATAGCACCGATCTGATTCCCAATCTCCATATCAACAAGCGTTTCAATATTAGGCCGACCGGGAAAAATCGGTACAGTCATCAAACACTCCTGAATCTCTTTCGTACTCTGCGGCTGAGTTACAAACACCATGATGCGAACTATATCCCGCTGCCGATCCATAGCCAGGATACTTGTTATCCAGGACCGAACCCATTGCAGATGCGCCGAAGACCGAACAACCCAAACGAGAAATATTTTGCGCGTGGCCACTGTGCCTTCAGCAAATCCTGACACAAGGTGACGAACGAAAGAAATCTGGTGTGCAATTCCCAGTCCGCCTGCAAATAGGAGGACTGTTCCGTACGAGTCTAGTGAATGGATGTTACCATATGGCCCTTCCGTCAAGGCACAGTATGTCATGGATCCCTTTGAGGCTTTTCGAAAAAGCTGATCTGTCAGCCCGGCACGACGTTGGACTATCAAGGAGATAGTGCTTTTTCGATTTCCAAGAAGATCGTCTTCAGATGAAGGTATGCACTCGTCCGAATGTGTGTCTTCGCTCCAGGCGATGGAGAATGGGTGGGATGTCCACCACCCTACTGCTGGGATGTAGAGATACAAATGTTGGCCCGGTTGGAAGGTCCATGGTCGTGCTAGTCGAAGGGTAATGCGCATTGCATCACCATGGAGGACCTCCACATTCGCTGTGGTGGAGTTGGGACCGTAGTTCCGGTATATAAGGACGACGATGCGGACAACACGCTAGGACTGGGTTAAGCCACTCGCTTTATTGATAGGGTCAGAAGGGGCACTTACCTCTAAGACCCAGAGAATCATTGCGGTGAGCAAATAGTTCTGGGAATGCATGCCATCCAAGTGTACCCAAAGAAAAGCCATAGTAAGGGCTGCAAGGACGAAATGAAGATGAAGGAAAGTTTCATAAAAGGCATGCCGAATCGGCGATGGCGAGTGCAAAAGAATGACTGTCAAAATACAAGTTGCCTAGACCCTCAAGTCTCAGTAAATCATCAAAATTTCTGGAACAATAAGTATACACTTACAACAAAACCGTCCCGAAGAAAACTACCTCTAACAAGCGCCGCAAAAACAGTCCTCCAACTTTCCGCTTCAGCATAAGAAATGCCCCAGGTCATAGTATGCACCAGAGATTCTAGCACCACAATCCGCCCCAGCCACCTATGCAACAACATCCACGTATCAAAAGGGACATGCAACCCCCTAATAAGCGGGTTATTCCGGCCAGCCATCAGAACAAGAGGAATTAAGTTAGCAGTAGCCACCGTCCCCGTATTTTTCCGAATAGCCTTTGCCGCAGAATCCCTATTCTGATACGGAACATTCACCAAACAAAGAACGATATTCAAAGAGACCATCCCGAAGATCAACAAACTATGGAACCGACTCGGTACAGTTCCCATGTGGATATTGTTCCAAAGCCGGAACTCGCGATTATGCCGTACCTTGAAGAGCGGGGCATATATGAGATGTTCCTTTAACCAGGAAAGGACATCATTGGATGGTCCTACGAAGTACCGTTGATTATCATGGCCGAATGTTGAAAGTTGTCGGAGATGGTTGTCGTAGCGGAAAAAGAGCTGCCATAGTAGGTAGGCGAATGCTGTGCAGCTGAACGAGAGGAGACTGTATCTTGCAAGATGGATGGGTTCATGGCTGGACCAGACGGGCTTCGATTCGACGTCTGCATCTTTAGCATTACTTAGCCCGATAAAGGGTAGGATGATGAGGTATTTCATGGTTTCTCCTGAGTATCATATTCATGCGCCGGGGTGATTTTGGGACGCTCTGTTCTATAAGTCCTCCTTTTCTAATTTTCTGTTTTGTCATTGTACCGTAGGTAGCCTGATTCCAAATTTTTCTATATATAGAGGGCATTTTCGACATGCAGAGTGGGGGATAACTTGGCTGTTGGCATTGTTGGAGCTGGCCCCAGGAGGTCTTGATTTCTTTCGAGTATTTCGACTGCTATATCCTTTTGAAGATGTACGCGAAGTTTACTTTTGAATTATATTTCTATCATCAGCTTTAAAAACTTCTAAGATTGACTGAAGCAAAGCTAATTTGAATGTCAGCAGTGAGCAGCCATAGCTTAAGGTGCAAATTCATATTTATACTCAATATCCCGGTGCAGATAGCCCCCACGACTGCAGGAGTATTTGTTGTGGCGCATATCAGATAGTTAAGAACATTGATTGACCTTGAATTGGGATGAATTCATAATTTCAAGCTGTCCTCGAAAAGAGGAGTACCACAATGAAGGCACCAATGTCAGTATATCCTGATAAAGCAAGTAAATAGCCTATAAGAACCCCTCAGATGCCGAAACAATAGTGTGTATTTTGTTCAGACAGGTGTCTTCTAAATCTGAGGGCCATCCTACATCAAATACTCCGGCCCCATCACCGGACTTGGTTTTTTGTAGGATCCTGGCCTGGAGGGGTAGCCAAGACTAAGTAACTTGCCAAGCTAATCCTGTCGAATTGTCTTAGCTAATTATGATTAGATGCTACGGGACTTGCCAGTTCAAGAGAACATAACTCTTGGTCATGATGCTTGCAATGGCCATCTTGAAACAAATAATCTCATCTTTTCAACACCAATTAAAAATATGATTACAAACAGATTGCATCCAACACCGAGGCACCAAGCGCTATCAGAATCGAATAATCAAATCTTCAGTACACGTCCCCAACACCCTGCACATTCATGGTATCTCATCACATCATACATCATACACCATCCACCGCCTCAATCCAACCAAAGACAGCACCCACTGCCACCGTTGCGAACGTCCAGACCGCAGCCCAGAGAGACGCTCCCTCCACAGAAACACTGTTGATTGTGCCTGCTATCTGCACAATCGTATTAAAGAAAACGCCGGTGGCAAGCACGAGAGTCCGAGAAATAAGAATTCGAGTCTTGTTCGACAGTTGACACCAAGTCTTTCGGTACACGGCCTTGATGAACAGCTCGCCTTCGTGATCAGCAGCTTTCACTGTCACATCTGTCGCGTGACCTGTGGAGCTAACGAAAAGGAAGTCGCGCACGGCATAGCCGGTAGGGATTAGAGTCAAGAAGAGAACCGGGAGCCCGGCGGGGCCTGCATGCGCGGCGCTAATATCTGGGATGCTGTCGAAGTGCACGACCAGCTGGGCGGGAAGCCAGGATGCGTAGCTAGCATATAGCACAACGGTGAAAATCGAGGTCGCGGCGAGGGTAGTGTAGATCGTAGTGGGGCGATCTTGTAGGATAGATCTGTTGGCTACTGCGCCCGAGGGGGCGTGCGACAGATCGTGAACAGATGCAGGGCGACGAAGGAAGAAAAATGGAATCACAGTCGAAAGGACCGTGATCATGTAGGATATAATCGTGGAAGTCGGCCGGACACCGTAGAAGAATGTCAAGAGCGAGTAGGTGGGGAGGTGGGTTATGTATAGGAAAGACGCGACATCCCAGCCTAGATACGATGGTAAGAATTAGGTGTCGGTCTTTATTATTCGGTGAAGAAGTCATAGCTTCCTCAGCCATATGGAACTGCACTTACTGTCGAATCCCAGGACCCAAGCTAGACCAATTTCCACGGCTTTCCAAGCTACAAGGCCCCCCACTTCCCACCACTCCTCCAGGTGCTTGCTGATCAGGCCAAGGTCGCCGACGGTCAGATGAGAGGTCAGAGTAAATGCGACCGAGCTCAAGATGAGGCTACTCAGGACAGCCAGGGAGAAGCGCGCTGGTGAGGGGATTCGCGCCAGTCGCGGGACCGCAGGGGCCAAAGCCTCCGTAAAGTCGCGCTCGGGCGCTTTAGCGCTCTTAGAAGAGGACTGTTTCTTAGGCGACATTATCCGCTCCGTGCAATTGAATAACAAGTGAATAGAAGGTTTGGGGGAGTCACAAGAAGCTCTCACTGAACAGGAAACTTGGAATGTTTGGCGGTGAGGCTGATGATGTCACTATGTAGTTCCTCAATGTCGGAAGGAATCCACATTCCAAGTATGACATGTTTGAATTAGAAAATACAATAAATATCACATAAAATACATTGAATATCTAGTCTTCCTTGCGCTCTGCCACGGAGAACTCTACAGTACCACTCTCATTGCCCCTGGTGTCCTTCACGACGACTCGGTACTTGCCTTGGTCCCAGAGGTCCTTGATGGTCAGCTCACGAGTACGGCCGAGAGATTCAATGTCGCCAATGCGCTCCAGAGTGCCTTCGAGGTGCTGGTCGAAGTTTTCGATGGCACAGATCTCTCGGAATGCACGCTGCATCGGAACGGAGTCGGCACGCACCATGGCTCGCGAATTAATGGTGAAGATATTTTCGTGATCGTAGGATTGCATGAAGTCGGCGCGGGTCATAATTTCGCGAGCTTTATGTAGCTCAACCTCAGGCAAGATATGACCATTCTCGGGGTGGTAGGTCTCTTCCATTTCATTTTCAAGATCGACAAGGGCTTTGGCCAAGACCATTGCGGCAGACTGGAAGATTATCAGTATTTATTATCATCATATGGTAAACGGAAGGACACTTACGGAATACTTCTGTTCATCCATGACATCGTCGTCCATCTCCTTACCTAAAATCCAACACTTGTTGAGGAACCATACCTTCTCGGCCCGACAGATCTCATCGCAGGTTTTCAAGATGTCGGAGGATTTGGCTACTCGATTCAAGAAGGAAAGCCGACCACCCACCGTATCGTAGACATGCTCGAGAACCGAGGATGGAAGGTCTTCGTGGCAAAACTGTCTACGATATCTCCTCAGAGCATCCATCGCCTTCTGCTTAGGCAAATCTGTAACTGAAACAACCTCCATGCGGGTAGCATAGCGCTTCAGGCGTTCATATACCCAGTAGTCGTCACTGTTGAGGACTATTTTGGAGGTGAGTTGATGCAAGGTGGACGCAATTCGGTATAGGGAACTCACTAGTTGTGACTAGGCCACTTGCAGCCCATTGTTCAGCCCGCTGCTGTATCATCTCTAGCAAGTCCTGCCCGTCATGGTCATCGCGCACCAAATGGGTGCTATTGATGATTAGAACCAATGGTCGCCCGTGCGAGGCTCTCCTGGCTAACGCGACCTTTTCCATCTTGTTGAAGGCCCGCTCGATATCTAGAAGTGCGGTGGTGTCCCGCGGACCACGGATACTGAACAAGCTGCCAATGTAGCTGTATTCGATTATTAGTAGCACTTCAATTGACAAGTGGAGAGTTTCACCTACTCCTCGTGGAACTCGTAATCAAGTGCCTTGCCAAGTCGAATGCGGAAGATCTCCAGATCAGCATGCGCCTCAAACATAGCGACGCCAGTGCCATTGATTTTGCGCATAGCTTCAAGGAGCATCGACGTCTTTCCAGTGCCTTTCTCACCGACCATCAGATAGTAGTGGCCCGCTCGTTTCCCGGCAACAATGTCGTCAATCCGAGGTTGCTCATCCCTGGGGATCCAGTGCTCTTGGTGGTGATATTCATGCTTGCCAGACACAACACCCGCCATCTCAAGAGCAGGATCACCTGGGTTGAACGCATTGTCCATTTTGTCCAGGACCAAGTATTTGTAGTACCGGTGGTATGAATAACCAGCCGCACTATATGAGACGATTTAGCTAAGCCCGATCTAGTCGTGTATATAGACAACAATCATACCCTAGGATGAAAATCGATGCTGCTGTAGTTGCTGCAGTCTCAAGCATCTTGAGGATTGTAGATTTCACATTGGGCTCCGAATCATTTTTCTGGCCTCGTCCCTGATCCTCTTCCTCATTTTGTTCGGCAGGATCCGGGCTATACTTGCCAGTGTTTTGAGGATTCGAGTTGAACCTCTTGCCTGTGTATTGCAGAATTCGCCCATGAGGTCTAACAGGTCTCGATAAGCCTTGTCGAGCGAATGATGACAAGGGTGGCGCGAGCCTTTTCCATAGCATTGTGGATCTCCTTGGCGCCTTTATTTGACACTAATTCGACTTCAAAAGGATTAGGGCCTTAAGAGAATTTATTTTTTGTGCAACAATATGCAATCCACGAGTAATTTGTGGGCCCTAGTTGGTCCTATGCACTCTTGCAACAGCCACGGCTTTAGACTGTTATAGACCTGTCTCCGAGGTCGACGCCACACCTCCAGGGGCTGACGCGTCAATAAAGAAGTGAGCGGACAGGACAAAAGACCCTAATGATTGGAATGAAAAAAGCACACAAGGTAAGGAACGAAAAGAAATGAAGAAAGAGAGACAATGAGTGGAATGGGATACGGCCCTGGAGGTTGTCAGCCAGGAAAGGGTGCAAAGAAGGCGTTGTGGCTGAGCGGTGGAGTCTCTAACACTACAGAGGCTTGGCAGATGTGTTGGCCATAAACACAATTTCAGCTTTCCAAGGTTCCATGGCAGCTCTAGCAAAGTGAATTGGGAAAAAGTTATATCCTAAATTTGCTGGGCTCAATTCCTATCCTTCGATCTATGTCTCTTTCCCTAGATACTAGTAGTCTCAAGCTAGGCATATCGGATTTATTACCTAAAAAAATGGGGAGAGCTTTCTAGACCTCGATGTTTTCTATGGGGCAGCTCCAGAGATGAGGACAGCTAAAAGCTTTTATTGAAACTTACCAGTTGGCCAACACAATTGAAAGTTATTTGTGGGTGTCTCTTCTCTCCACAACACGGGAGTCATCCCAAAGCTGAGGCCCCAACACATACGTAACCAGGGGTTGACAGAACAACGAGGAGTTCGGATCAAATCTATAAACTATCAATTGCTGGGAGAATTAAAAAAAAACCAGAATGATATGTTAGTATATCGTCGCTTAAATGTACAAAGCCACAATGAGATAAAATGAAGAATTCCGCGGGGAAGCCTCAGGCCTCAACCTTCTGTACGTCACTCTCATGGTGGAAGTCCAACACCGGCACTCTATATTATTACGGTAGAATATGGATGACCACATATCTAACAAAGCTCAATTGCTCCAAATTCAAGTCATTAAATGTCCGATTTCCGCATCTTCCATGGTTTGTGGAGAAGATCCACGGTGCCTTCCCCGAACCCACCGCCCGAGCACTTCCGAGGGTATGCCGCATCCGCGAAATTTTCTCCTTCCATCTCTCATACATCTGGACCCTTTCTTTTTTTGCATCTCTATTTCCGGGGTACGGGGTCTTTGCTGATCTGCTACAGTTTCCCTGTTCTTCTTGTATCATAGCGACTTTTTTCTCCCTGCCCCGCAGGTCCTTACCTTTTTCTTTTTTGACCCGACAACAGATAGCTACTCGTCGACTCGACCGTAGCTATCCTTTTTATCAATTCGACATAATGGCACACACCAATGGGGAATTGGAGCCCTCGAAAGGTTGGTTCGCCCTCGATACCTCCGAGTTGTCACACGACACCGAATTGCGGCAGAAGCACACGACCGAACATGACACGAACATATTCTGACTCCTTAAAATAGAGGTTCCTCAGGAAAACGGAGACCACGTGGAGGTTGCTGCGGAGGATGAGAACGCTGGTGGTATGTGCAATGGCTTAAGAATTCGTGACGGGACGAGTGCGGCGGTTTTCTGACTCGTGTCAAGGTCTCTTCCAGATCACCGTGAAGCTTCCTCATGAACCATACAAGATCCAGGTTATGGTGGGTAGATTATCGCAACAGGTTTTGATGAAACAGGGTCCCTAACGAATTTCCCATAGGTTTCGAGCCAAGAACAGGTTCAAGATGTTCGCCAATCCATCGTCGAGCTTCCTGGTACCTTCCAGTACACCTGCTTCCACCTGGAGCACAACGGCGTCCGCGTCAACGACTTCGTCGAGCTGTCCGAGGTGCCCGACCTGAAGGCCGACTCCGAGATTGTACTTGTTGAGGAGCCCTACACCGAGAAGGAGGCCCGTATGCATGTGGTGCGCATGCGCGAGCTGGTTGGTGCTGCTGGAGATCGGACTGACATCCTCCACGGTATCTCTGCCGGTCTTTCCCTGCACGATGCCATCTCTGCGGAGGCCGCCCGTGCCGGTGAATCGGAGAAGGATCACTCGCTCGCCAAGTACGAGCTCACCGGTCCCTCTTCGCTCCAGACCATTCTGCCCCAGTCTGAGGCCCCTCTTCCTAAGACAGTGAAGTCAATCTCGCTTTCGCCGTGGAACCCTGTTCCGTACCACCTCCGCCAGAAGGGTCATCTGCTTTACTTGCAGGTCCAGACCACCGAGGGCGAGCAGTTCCAGATTACCTCTCACGTCTCCGGCTTCTTCGTGAACAAGTCCTCGAGCAGCCGTTTCGACCCCTTCCCGAGAACGATCCCCAAGAAGGCCAGCGCCCACTCTCTTCTGACTCTGATCTCCCTCATCTCGCCTTCCTTCAACGCTTCCTTCGAGGCCCTGCAGGAGGCCAACAACCAGAAGGATCTTTTGACCACCTTCCCCTTCCAAAATGCCATCCCCAACAGCCCGTGGTTGGTTGCCCCGACTTCTTCGGCCCTGAACGCTCACCAGCCCGATATCACCCGCTCACAGGAGAGCTTCTTGATCTCCGGCGCGGACAACGCCGAGACCTTGCGTGACTGGAACGAGGAGTTCCAGACCACCCGTGAGCTGCCTCGTGACACCGTCCAGGACCGTGTGTTCCGGGAGCGTCTGACCTCCAAGCTGTTCGCTGATTACAACGAGGCTGCCGCCCGCGGTGCTGTGCTGGTCGCCCGTGGCGAGGTTGCTCCTCTGAACCCCACCGAGGCTCAGGACGCTCAGATCTTCGTTTACAACAACATCTTCTACTCCTTCGGTGCTGATGGTGTTGGCACTTTCACCTCCGAGGGTGGTGATGAGGCTGCTCGCGTTGCTGTTGGTAAGGACGTCCTCGGTATTAAGGCTGTGAACCAGCTTGATATTTCTGGCCTTTTCACCCCTGGTACCGTGGTTGTCGATTACTTGGGCAAGCGTATTGTCGGTCAGAGCATTGTCCCCGGAATCTTCAAGCAGCGTGAGCCCGGTGAGCACCAGATCGACTACGGTGGTGTTGAGGGTAAGGAGGTTGTGGCCACCCACGAAGACTTTGTTCCTGTCTTTGAGAAGCTGTCGAAGGCACTCCGCATTAAGCAGCACCCTGTTTGGGATAAGGATAACAAGCGCCACGATCTTCAGGGCAGTGTTGAAACCAAGGGTCTGTTGGGAACCGATGGTCGCAAGTATGTTCTGGACCTTTACCGTATTGCCCCTCTGGATGCTCAGTGGCAGGAGGAGATTGGTGACGGCGAATACCCCCACCGCATGTCGGTTCTGAGATTGGAGTTGGTCGAGTCGTACTGGAGACACAAGATGAGCCAGTACGTCAAGGCTGAGGTTGAGAAGCGCCGTGCCGCTAAGGCTGAAGAGGCACCCAAGGAGAAGGCCGAGGGTGATTCCGAGGAGAAGACCGAGGAGAAGACTGAGGAGAAGACCGAGGAGAAGACTGAGGAGAAGACCGAGGAGGCTGTGGATCAGGAGCGTGTTGACATCTCTGGATTCAACTTGTCTCTGAACCCCGACGTTTTCAGCGGTCAGGTCCCCCAGACCAAGGAGGAGAAGGAGCAGTGGGCTCAGGATGAGCAGGAAGTCCGTGATGCCGGTGACCACCTGCGGTCCAAGATCATGCCTGACTTGATTAAGGACTTGCACGACGGTGATGTTGGCTTCCCCATGGATGGCCAGTCATTGACCCAGTTGCTGCACAAGCGTGGTATCAACATCCGTTACCTCGGTAAGCTGGCTCAGCTCTCTACCGAGAAGGGTGCCCGTTTGCAAGCTTTGTCCACTCTGCTGGTCCAGGAAATGATTGCTCGTGCCTTCAAGCACGTTGCCAACGGCTACTTGCGTAACGTTCCTGCTCCGTTCGCTGCCCCCTGTGCTGCTCACTTGCTGAACTGCCTCCTGGGCACTGATGTCAACTCTGCCCCCAAGGCTGAGATTGACCAGTCTCTGCGTGAGGTTTACCCAGAGGGTGACTTCTCCTTCGAGAAGGTCACTCCTGAGTCCCTCCGGACTGAGATTGAGAAGCAGGTTACTCTGCGCTACCGCTTCTCTCTCGAGAAGGGATGGGCTGGCTCCCTCAGACATCTGCAGCTCCTGCGTGACATTTCTATCAAGCTGGGTCTTCAGCTTGGTGCCCGCGACTACGCTTTCAACATCGCTGACGTCAAGGCACCGGCTCCTGCACCTGTCAATGCCAACGGAAACAGCCACGATGAGGGCAAGAAGCGTAAGGGCAAGAAGGGCGGTGACAACAAGGCTTCCCGCCCTGTGGTTGCTGAGGTCAAGCCTGCTGTCACCATTCTTGCAGATGATATTCTCAACATTGTGCCATTGGTCAAGGATGCTTCTCCTCGCAGTGCCCTGGCTGAAGAGGCCCTGGAGGCTGGCCGGATCTCCCTCATGCAGAACCAGAAGCAATTGGGCCAGGAGCTCATTCTGGAGTCTCTGTCTTTGCACGAGCAAATCTATGGTATCCTCCACCCCGAGGTTGCCAAGCTGTACCACCAGTTGTCCATGCTCTACTACCAGACTGATGAGAAGGAGGCCGCTGTGGAGCTGGCTCGCAAGGCTGTCATTGTCACCGAGCGCACCATGGGTGTTGACTCTGCTGACACCATCCTTGCTTACCTGAACCTGAGCTTGTTCGAGCACGCCTCGGGCAACACCAAGACTGCTCTGGTGTACATCAAGCACGCCATGGATCTCTGGAAGATCATCTACGGTGCTAACCACCCTGACTCCATTACCACCATGAACAACGCCGCCGTCATGCTGCAGCACCTCAAGCAGTACGGTGACTCTCGCAAGTGGTTCGAGGCCTCTCTCTCCGTTTGTGAGAACTTGTTCGGCAAGGAGTCTATCAACACTGCCACTATCCTCTTCCAGCTGGCCCAGGCCCTGGCGCTCGACCAGGACTCCAAGGCTGCCGTTGGCAAGATGCGTGATGCCTACAACATCTTCCTTGCTCAGCTTGGTCCCGAGGACCGCAACACCAAGGAGGCTGAGACCTGGTTGGAGCAGCTGACTCAGAACGCTGTCTCCATTGCCAAGCACGCCAAGGATATCCAGGCTCGTCGTCTGCGTCGCATCAATATCAACCCGCGTACCTCTTCCATGGGCACTCGCGTTCAGCCCCAGGTTGGCCAGACCGCCCCTGAGACCGCTGGCACGGCCGGTGCCTCTGGCTCATCTCTGGACTCTCGCAGCATCGACGAGCTGCTGAAGTTTATCGAGGGCGGTGACTCTAACGCTTCAGGCTCCAAGCAAAAGAAGCGCTCTGCTGCCAACCCCAAGCTCCGGGGCTCCAAGCAGTCCAAGGCATAGATATATTCTGTGTTTTATAAAGATTGGACTTCTTAGTTCCATTTAGTCTCAGATTTTCATCCTTTTTTTTTTCTTGGTCATCTCGTGTCTTAACAACAAAATATACTCCATTATTGTTTTACGGAAGGGGGCTGGGGTTAAGGTTGATGAGCGGAAAACTGCTGTATTTTAGATCTCTCTCCTCTCTTTTTGGTTCACTTTACGATTTGATCTACTGGCCTTGTTCTGCCCAGGTGGGCATAGCATGGGAATTTCATGGATTTGGTTGTATTATAAAACCCTTCGACGTGCATTGATGATACGATAGTATCTAAGAACATATATGACTGTGTATTTTACGAACATAGTGCAATCTCCAATATCTAGTAGCTTTCGATCAAGTCATATAATATAATCTCGCTCTACTTGCTGCACATATCTCATGAGGCTAAAGTGTTAGTTGCACAATGATGCTTGACGCTAAACCGTATTGGGATGACCCACCTTAAGTTTGTTTTGTTCCTCCAAGTCCAACCTCCACCTTGACTCTTTCATATTTGCATACCATTTTAACGCGCGGTATTCTTGCTTTGCAGCTCTATTTTATTTTATCTTACCATCATAGCTCTTCTTCTATGTTTGCAGGCTGAGGGTGGTGATTCCACGCTCAGTCGCAAACAGGATTGTGATCATTCCGTTACTTGAGTGCGCCTAGCTCCCCACCAAACGCCTTTGGAGACGAGACTGACGCGTTTGCTTATAGCTGAATGCCTTTATCCGGTAGAATTATCAACTCAAAGCATCAATGGATGAAGTACAAGCCACCGCGAAATGGGCAAACCGTGTACTACGCCCTTTAACCTCTATCTACCGTCGACTCGAGAAGCATCAAGAGACACTGGCAATAATTGCGGCCGAGTCAAGGGCCAAGGAGCGCCACAAAGAGCCCCAGGAACGAAAACTTGACGAATATCAACCTCCCTGTACTAGAGAAAACTACTCTGGGTCCGACGCCGATGAAGATGATCCAGGATGGATTCCGGGGAAAAGGCTCGACCAGCGCCGCGTCAAGCACAAATACTCTACGCGCGGAGGGAATAAGACAGGGCGCAGGCGCACAAGGCTCACACTTCAAAGCCCAGAAACTACCCGGACCCTCCCTGGCGCGATCGAGTTAGCAACGCCGATGATCACGGGCAAAAGGTGGGAGTTGCCTTCAAGCGCTCAATCGCAACCGTCTGTAGAACAACATAAGACAACCAAATCATACGGGGATGTGCAAGTATTTCGTGATCGGTATTCACTGCACAAGAGCCCGTGGCAAGAACTCCTTGACCAGTCTGGAGATACCGGATTTGCCAACATTGCACACAATCTGGATCGCGTGGTCCAAATATTTTTGGGTAAAACCCGGATTATCAAAACAAGCCGTACTGCTACTTTGAACAAACCGGAACGGGGTGCACGATCCCTTCTTTCTATGGTCGCCCGGCGCTTTCCAGAGTACTTGGCGACCGAACAGGAAGCGCAAGACGCAGAAGATGAGGAAGGCGATGAGAATATGTGCGATGCGTACTTCACTGAGCTAGAGTCGTTCTATGCGCCCCATGGTAAGGGGTGGAAACCATTGCGCGAAGCAGTCCGTGCCCAAGGCATTCATTTGGTCTCCGAAATGATACGAAATCAGTGGCTGACGGATTCAATTACTTATGCATTGCTTGATAAGTTATGTCACGAGGAAGATGCTTTTGAATCGCTGCTCTCAACATTTCTTTCAACTTGCACAACTTGCACTCTTCCTGTGGCTCTTAAGCCCGTTCCCGACAATTTGTCTCCTACACCTTCCGTTCGGTTATTGTATAAGTATGTTAAAAATGGCCCATATCGTCAGGCTTACATTTTCGACGAGATTTCTAAACTACTTGACCGGGGCGTGTTGCCTCCAGAATGGATAGCAACCACACCATGGACGAGGTGGATGACCCGAGCAACGGTATCATTCTCCAAGGATGATTATTACTGTGCCATGTCCTCACGGTTAATTGAGGCTGTACTCATTTCTGCTTGTGGGTTTTTCACAAATGAAGATTTGCAAATCCGCACCCAACAGCGACCCACCCGCGACCGCGTTGCTCATTCCAGAGCAACACGAACTCCTAGAGTGCCGGCAAGCTGTCTGGACATTAATCGGACATGCCCTGTGCCTGTGGAGGATGCTTTGAGCAACCATGTTATAAGTGTCTTAGCAACACTTTGCGGCATGCACATATCACGATCTCGCAAGCTTGATGAGTCAAATGACGCCAATGGTACAAAGGCAGGCTACCTCATCAATCATGTCTGTTTTGCAGTGAAGAGAAAGATGGAAGCCGAAACGCTCCCCCATTTTCTCAGACTGCCTTCCCGTCAATTATTGAGACGTGGTTGCGTTTTGCTGGCAGATTGTCTTTTGCAGTGCAACGATGCAGTCTTAGCTGACAAAATTGAGCCCTTTCTGATATCAACGACTGCCGTGGAAGAATATTCCCAAGCTCTTGTGCTCCGCTCTGATTTGATCAAAGAAATGGCACTGTTCGTTCGACAGGCATTTCGCTGTTTCAGCAGTTCTGAGGATACTGATATGAGAGGCGAAATTCGACGAATTGTCTCCCGTCTCCCGTATTTGACTAAGGCCCCGGAACTATCCATGCTTCTCGGCCGCGTTGCCGTAGAGGCTGCGATGGAGTTTGCAGAAGGAACTGGGGATCCCGATGACCATCTGTGGGCCGTTGAAATCCAGGAAACCAACGTTCCTATTCAAACTCGAGCATATTCAAGCCTAGGGTCGGCTAGTGAAACAGAGGACGCGGGACCGAAAAGAGGCCTGTTTCGCTGGGAAGATGGTATTGGAGAGTGGGTCGCTCGTACCCCAGCAGTCAAAGCAAATTCAACGACCCCGGGACCAAAGAGACGGGCTTCTGCGATGTCCAACAGTTCGCCTTGCGTTCGCGGCTCAACAGACATTAGCTCTCCGGAGTCAAATCGTTTCGAGAATCCCAGTCCAAGCCTAACTTCTTCCCCTTCTTCTATCGGGACAAAGCGGCACATTGAGGCTGTAGTATCTTCGCCCACCAGACCCTTCAAACGGCGATGTGTCGCCCCTCGGGTTGTGATTGATCAGACACAGCCCAGCCGATCTAAATTTCCGTCTGATCGCTCCCTATCGAAATCCCCATCCTTGGAACCAGTTCCTTCTCATCGTCGTGTTCTACGCGACATGTCGACCCACATTATTGCCAATCCGACACGCGTACCACCATCCAGGCCTGCATCAAAAGTCGAGGTAGTAATTATCAACAAAAGACAGCCTCAGCCCGCTGCGAGGCCTGTCTTGGAGCACGTTGAGAAACAGGTTCATCGATCGAAGACCCGGGGAAGACCTGGACGGCCCTCGATCCCTCGTGCTCCAAGTCCGGTCATGATTCTTCGACGTCAGTCCGTCATCCCTTGCTCACAAGATGACAGCGACGATGAGCTTAGCTTCATCTAAACCTACGTTGGCTTGATCCAACACATTTTCTGCTTTATCCCTAGGGCTTAACAACTCTACCTTCCCCACTGACTGCTTGTTTCAATTCGGCGTTTCGACCTTTTCTTACTTTGATACCCATGGCTGCTGGTTTGGAATTCCTCTGGCTCGTATGACTGTCCACTTGGACATTTCATTTGCTTTTCTTTTGTTCCAATCCCATCCGTTCATATGCGAATCCATAGATCGAACAAACCAAATGAACAAAATTATAGAAATAACCCCCCAACTCTATTGAAAGATGTAATCCTCCAACTCCTTATAAGCAACCTCCAGATCATCATTGACGATAATTTTATCAACTCCCCGCTGCGAATTCGCATACTCAAGCTCGGAAGTAGCCTGCGCAAGCCTTTTCCGCACATCCTCATCACTCTCCGTCCCCCGACCCCTCAACCGCTGCTCCAAAATCTCCACGCTGGGCGGCTGAACGAACACAAAACGAGGATGAATGCTAGGGTTCTCCTTGATCTGCTTCACGCCGTTCATCTCGATATCCAAAACAACAACCCGGCCCTTGGCCATCTGGTCGCCGATAGTCCTGTGGCTGGTTCCGTACTTGTTTGAGCCGAATTGTGCGTGCTCGACGAAAGCATTTTCGGAGACAAGCTTGTCGAATTCAGAGTGCTCGACGAAGAAGTAGCTTGTTCCATCGGTTTCGCCGGCGCGGGGCTTGCGGGTTGTGTGGGAGACTGTGAAAGCGAAGGTGTCGGGGTGCTTAGAGAAGAGCTTCTCGATTAGGGAGCCTTTGCCGACGCCTGAGGGGCCGGAGATCACGATTGGTCTGGTATCTTTGGGGGCTGGGTTGGTTAGTGAGCGTTATTGGGTTGGGCTGATTTATTTGCTGCTTACCAGGCATTTTGATGGTGGTAATGCCTTATGCGACAGGTTATGGAGTTAGACTAGAATTGGAGGAAGTCAGTGTTGTGGGCGGGATGTTGAAGTGGGATATGTAATTTATTGTTACATGTATTTACGGCTATCATCGGCGTTATGAGCGTGGTATTACGCATGCGGGGTGCGTTCCTGTATTTGTATGTATCAATATTTATCGCTGTCGCATCCGGAGATCTAGATATGAAATCACGATAAGATGATAGCCAATTGCGTTGTTCTTAAAAATGAATATACTACTTCAATTTGAGCAGCTATGAGAGCTATGATTGGGGTAATTCGCGTTTTGCATTATTCGAATTAATCACAAGTCTATGGTCGTCGTTATCGCTAAAGCTCTAGATAGTCCAATCAACCACATTAAGGTATATAGGAAAACAGAAGGAGAGAAAGAAATAAACGAGTCAGCCTTGCAACTAGAACTTCTCCGAAGCGCGGGTCATCTCTATCTCATCTGTAGAAACCGCTCGTTTGAAACCACCATCCTTCGGCAATAACCAACCAGGATGCACAAAGTTGAAAACCACAACCGCAGCGACCATCATGGCACCATCCATCGCAATGAAATACTTCTCGTGAGTAATCAGATACCCACTCCAACCCTGCAACAGCTCGATCGTACGGTAGATACTCCGAACGTAGATACACAGCACGGAGAAAACCATAGCATACAGTAGCGGTTGGAGGGAGCCAGTCAAAGGCTGGAGAAGACCGTGACGCAGGGAGCGGCGAATGAAGTCTGCAGCGCAGAAGACAAAGATGGTGATGGAGAATAACTGGAACACGATACCAGCAACCATGATGTGTGTACCGGGTGCAGTGTCACCGTTGACCTGGTTCACCGCAATTGACGCGAGACCACCACCGACCGCCTGAACCACTAGTGAGACGATGTCGCAGGTGCAGAATATCCAGAGGTACAGTTTGGGCGTCAGGATGGAGGATTCGCGGCCCAGGATTTGGATGAATCGGCCGAGGAGAACGTAAATTCCGGCAGTGAAGAAGGTTGGGGCTAGGGAGAATGAGCGGAGGTTTGTATACATCAGGAAATGATTCGTCTTACCAATAATAAGAGTAGAAATCTGCATCAAAAAGGCAGTACCGTTATACGGACACTCATGCGACCAGGTTCGACCAGCCCATCCGATCAATTCCACTATATCACTTGTTAGTTATATGGCGTCGGTTAAACTCTTTTGCATCCCACTCACCCATGCATCCCAAGCTAAAAACTACACACCACCATTGTCGCTTCCAGCAGAATTGAACGGTATGCGCAATCATCGACAGACCAAAAAGAGCGCAGAAGACAATTCCCGCTGACAGATGCGGCACATATCCATAGGAGGTGCCGACGCCTTCGATTTTGGCGTGGCAGCCCACCGTCAAGGCCGATTTGTCGACCATGATGAATGCAACCCAGTCTGAACTGGTGTATGAAAATCAAAGATGCGCGAACTCGGTCTAGAGGGGGTATAAGTCGAGAATATTGGCTGAAGACAAGGAGCGGGGTCGTTTGTTAGGTAGCTGACAGCTGGGTAAGAAAGATGTACTGTACTCCACAAAGAGTGGGATTAGGAAATAGATGATAGTAAACGAATGGGTGCGACGTATATAAAGCGACGCGGAGTAAAGTCGAGCATCAACGCTAACCCCGAGAGAGAAAGCTTGCGATCATGCAAGTATAAATAAGTGGGTGGTCCACGAATAGTGGACAGAATTAATGACAGGACCTGACACTCAAATTCTTTCCGTTACAGACCTGCCGACGGTCCATCGGACAAAATCAATCCCGTTTCATGCTCTGGGCTCCGTATACAGGAAAATTTTTGTGTCATGCAGTATCAAATCCGCAGTAAAAATCTGAATAGGTGGGTACAGACAACCTGGGTGAACCAACTCGCGGAACCAATGCATTGTCTTCTGTAAGCGATGACTTTCCAGGCCCAGGAACCAGGCAAAATGGACCAGATCTGATAGGAATTCGGGCCGGTTAGACGTGTCTGTCCGCGTGTAAAGCATGAATCTCGCAAGCTCCTCTATTCTGGGTTTAGTGCGGTGGAGACAGCCACTCGCTAGCCTAAGTCCGATCCGACGTTGCCGGAGCCTCTGTCTTGGCATCCGTAAGCCATTATCAGTCTGTTTGAAGTGTTTCTTCTGGAATTGAAACATGGTAGGAATGTGCCAGTAAGAACGTGCCAAGAGTCCTTTCATGATCGTTCAAACCTGGGCTTCGTTGACGTAAAGGGAAGGCTTGAACGAGCAGATTTGATTTTGTATGCACGGGCCTCACCGCTATTATCTTCTCTAACACATTGCAAATTGGCAACGTTACAGTGATGTCTCGGTCTGCGGGCCTTTATCTGTCAACTGATGGCTTGCAGCCTCAATGCACCTGGAAGACATGGTCTCCAACCAAAGCGAGATCTTCAGAGAGAACATCCATTTCGAGAATTGTCCACTCATATGTTTACGTGCAGCCTGATCAGTTGATTACTTTGATGCTCGACACGTTCAGTTTTCAATACCTAATCTCATCTTCAGTATACGAGATTAAGCTCCAATTTTGGGTCTCAATTTCACATACAGACCAAGATGACATGTAGATTAAAAAGTGACTGAAATATGGGAATCAGTGTCCTCATCTAATTTATCCTCCTAGGCCATCATGCACACCTGTGTTTCTAAATTATGCTGGACGACAAATAGCGGTCTAGGTGGACATGAACTCGGCGTCTAATGTGACGCAAAAAAGTAATAAGTGATGGTGGCGCTCACGAACAGGATATACCAATAGAGTGCTTATTCCGCGCACCATATATCGCTGTAAAGGGTAATTTCGCCCGCGGACCTGGGTTGAGATCTTTTCCATACCTGCCACCTATAAAGGGCTTATTTGCAAGTCCTTCCTCTGTCGTAATACCTTCTCATACTATGTTTACTGCCTTTGCCCTTATACAGACTATGCTCAACATGCTTCACCTATAATGCCTGGCTGGCATTGACATTTCAGGCCTTTCTCCTCCAAGACGCTTTCCAGTAAGTCGAGCCCCTTTCTTTGTTTCATTCATTTCCTCTTTTGGGCCAGGATCTCGCTTCGATTGCAACCGCCGTACGTGAACAGGGACGCTCGCTGCGGGAGTGGGCGGACGACTTTATTGCCCATGGATTCACAGACGACGGTAAATCAGAAAGAGAAAGGGTTCTTGTCAAGGAAGATGGAAGGCCATTTCTTCGGCAGGCTCAGCTTCATTTACAGTACACATTATCTTTAAAAGTCTATTAAGTACTATAACATGATCTATTCAATTACCACTATTACTTCATCTATCTAATTGAATTTCGGAAGCTCATACAAGCCCTCGGGATCTAGATTCAGTCAGCATGCAAGTTCCACCAAACCTAAAGGGCAGTACTCACCTTCATGGTTCTCGATAATAAACTTCCTCGACTCAACAATGTTATGACTCAACTCAGCCAGCAACTCATGATGCCGGACCTGGATTTTCTGATTGAATCGCGCAGCCCCTTGGATAGCAGTCTGCGCCACATGATACCTCGAAGTGCGATTGACAAGCATCATATCAAACGGCGTGGTAGTAGATCCCTCCTCCATATACCCAGCAATGGAAACACGCTCCAGACGCGGCCGACCAAAAAGTAACCCCTGCAACTCAGTCTGGTATCCATGGTAATTGAAGTGGATACATTTGTCAGCTGTGAAAAGATGATCAAATGCCTCATCCGACAACGAGTGCGGGTGTTCGCCTGCGTTATCTAGAATCATAAGATCTGTCACGTTGACCACTCGGACACGCAGGTCTGGTACACGTTCGCGGAGAATTGCTGCAGCTGCGATGACTTCGAACATCACCTCGACTCCTATTCCTACCAGGACGACGTCTGGGTCGAGTCCGTTGTCCGTGCTGCAGAAGTTCCATACGGATGCGCCTGCGCGGCAGTGATTTTCCGCTTCGCTAGGTGTCAGGTACACTGGAGTTGGTTGCTTTGAGCCTACCATCAAGTTGATGTAGTTCTGGGACTGTAAGCAGTGGTGTAGTGTTGATAGGAAGGTGTTCGCATCTGGTGGTAGATAGACGCGGGCTGCGGTTGGTTTCAGTTTCAAGACCGATCCGATGAATGAGGGGTTTTGGTGGGAGAAGCCGTTGTGCTCCTGACGGGTCCAGGTGCTGGTTTCGATGTAGTTCAAGCTGGCATTCTTGGAATGCCACTTGGTTTCTTCGGCCTGCTAGTTTTTAGGGCATGCTCAAAATGGATAGATGGGGAGGGTTTCACACTGACCATTTTCATGAATTTAGCGTACTGCACCATCATTGTGTGGATGATTCCCAGGAAACTTTCATACGATGGGAAGATTCCCACGCGACCAGTCAAGGTATACCCCTGCAAGAAGCCCTGACACATATGCTCACTGAGCACTTCGATGACACGCCCCCCGCGAGCGTTGGAGAACTCATCCCACTGGAAATTCCGGCCCGTCTGTTCAAGAACCGCATCTAGCTTGTTACTCTCCAGCTCATCTGGTGAGAATAACCGCGCACTATGTGGGTTCCTGATGAAGAGTTCATTGATCAGTTTACCTGCTACCTTCATTGAACTTTCTTCATTGCCCGACTTCACGCCAAACTGTTTCCAGTCGGGAAGGTCCGGTGCTTTGTAGCTATTATATGCTTCAATGCGTTGACCAAGTTTTTTGGAGTTTTCGGTCGGGATCACGGATTTGACCTCATCGATGATGTCGCCATTCTCTGTGAAGAGCTCCTCAGGCTTATAACCCGAGAGCCACTTTTGAAGTAGATCCAGTTGTTCTTTGTCGGATTTTGCCTTGGGCAATGGCACCTGGTGCGAATGGAACGAGCCCTCAATGAAGTCCCCGTGAAGCATCTTGGGTCCTGACCAACCCTGGTAACATATCAGCATGTTTTCAAAATAAAAATCGGGAGTGAAAGCCTACCTTGGGTGTGCGCAGTATCAGCAGTGGCCAGCGAGGTTTGACAATGGGCTTTCCAGAGCGAGCCGCTTGTTGGATACGGTGGATTTCGTTCACAGCCCACACCATTGAACAGTGTAGATCCGTATCAATGTCATCCAAATCCTCCACAAACCGGACTTGGTATCCGTATCCACTGAAGAGAGCCAAAAGCTCTTTATTATCCATGCATCCAAAGATCGTGCGCTCGCTGATCTTGAACCCATTGACATGGAGGATTGGAAGAACGGCGCCGGACTCCTTGGGGTCAAGGTATTTGATGGCATGCCAGGATCTATACAAGCGCAGGGTTAGCATTGTTCGTTTAAAAGGTGGACAAACACGAACGTAGCCGTTGGACCACTCTCAGCCTCTCCATCACCCACGATACAAGGAACAATCAAATCGGGATTATCCATAACCGCACCAAATGATACAGCTAGGGCGTATCCCAGCTCTCCACCTTCATGAATCGCACCCGGAGTCTCGGCGTTGATGTGACTTGGGAGTCCAGCTGTTGTGCTAAACGTGGATACGAGATTATGAAGCCCTTGGGCGTCCCGAGAATACTCGGGATAGAATTTCTCCAACGACCCTTCTAACCATAGTGCGGCTAGGATTCCTGGTGCTCCGTGTCCTGGGCCAACGACATAGAGCATATCTAGGTTCATTGTTTTGATGATGTAATTTAGGTGGGAGTAGACGAGTACCAACCCGGGACATGTTCCCCAATGACCTAGCAATAATTAGCGATTGCACCGAAATTTTGTCAAGGTGACTCACCCAGTAGTCGGGGTTTGATGTCGTCGAACTCAAGGGGTCTTTTAAGAAGAGTGTTTTCTTGCAAGAAAATCATCGCTTTGTATATGTTAGAATTTAACATCTACAAAACTTCAAGATGCCAATATGTCATACCTGCGGCGATGTAGTTCGCCGCCCGGCGGAATTTGAGCAGAGAATCGCATGCTTTCTGATCTAATGTTTCGTGAGGAAGTGTGACTTTCAGCTGCTCCAAATAATCTGGTAGATGTGATGGTAAGGGCTGTGGATTCGGCCGATCGATGACTTCTCCGGGCATGACGGGTGGATAGATCAGTGGAATTCGACGATATAGTAAGTGAATGTTGATATTTTTTTTTTGTCGCGGGGAAAGGGTCGATGGAAAACGCCACACAGGGAAATAGATTAAATAACGTGGGAACTACAATTGCCTAATGCATGGGTCATACCATACAGGGCACAGTAGGTATATTATCCGGCTTGTCCCTCACGACGTCACAGCTCCCAACGTAACCTTGACATCACATCTCACTCTCACCCCACCACTCAGGTAGATCCAAAATCACAGCAATAGCTCATCATTGCGCGAGATATCACCATTTTAATATGACAAAATACATTCTTGCCGTCAACGCCGGCTCATCCTCGGTCAAAGTCACGTTCTATACATACGAGAACCCGCCAAGAGCTATCGCCGATGCCCAGGTGTCGGGTATCACTGCTCCCCCACCTGCACTCAAGTACCAGCGCGGCCCTGTCAAAATTCAAGAGAAACTGAAAGAGAAGTTGGATACGCCTCAGGATGCATTTAAATACATTCTGCAGCGCTGCTTCAATGACCCCGAGCTATCCGAGGTCGCTAGTGAGACTGATCTCGCATATATATGTCATCGGGTAGTCCATGGAGGAGACTACAAAGAAGCAGTCACGATCAACGACGAAAGTTTACACCATCTTGAAGAACTAGAAGATCTTGCTCCGTTGTAAGTGAACTATGCCTACTATCTCCGCGCATGTCACTTACTCCATCGAACCAGACACAATTTCTCAGCCTTAGAAATCATCCGCCTCTGCAAAGAAGAGCTTCCAAGCGTCGCCAGCATCACCTTCTTCGACTCCGCATTTCATCAGACTATGCCCGTCCACGTGAAAACATATCCCATCAACCAGGAAATCGCCAAAGCAAACGGGTTACGAAAGTACGGGTTCCACGGAATCAGTTACTCATTCATTCTACGCTCGGTCGCACAATTCCTGGGTAAACCCGTCGAATCCACTAATGTGATCGCGATGCATATTGGCAGCGGAGCTTCGATCTGCGCGATCAAGGATGGAAAATCGATTGATACTTCGTGAGCCATATCTTCCTTTCTCATCATGGTGCGGTCCACTGATAACATCTAGAATGGGCCTTACACCCCTAGCTGGGTTACCCGGCGCAACGCGAAGTGGTAGCATCGATCCCTCGTGGGTTCCCTTTCCAGCTACCTGGACCTCGGAAATCAGCCCTAGTGGAGATACTAACCGTGATCTAGGTTGGTCTTCCACTACACGAGCGAGGCGGGGAAGTTAAGTCCCGGCAGCACCAAGGAAATGCATATTAGCACGGTAAGGACAAAATCCGATCAGAGTCCAGTGAAGTAGAGGTCTAATCGCTCATGCACCAAATTTCAGGCCGAGGAAATCCTTAATAAAAAGTCCGGCTGGAAAGCTCTAACCGGCACGACTGATTTCGCAGAAATAGCTGTTGCGGACGCACCTGACACACACAAACTAGCTTTCGATATCATGGTCGATCGGATCCTAGGCTATATCGGGAGTTACTACGTAAAGCTAAATGGACAGGTAGACGCACTCGTATTTGCGGGCGGAATTGGCGAGAAGAGCGCATTATTGCGCCGGACACTGGTTGAGCAATGCCAGAGCCTAGGTGTGGCGATTGACTCGGGAGCTAATGACAAGGGGCCGGGGGACGAGACAGTCAAAGATATCTCCCTTGACGGCAAGGGGCCTCGAGTGCTGATTTGCCAAACCAATGAACAGGTAAGACTGTGGCTTGTTTTGCTTTTACATTTGTGCATCCGCATCCGCGAAGCAGGGTGTATTCGTTTGCTAATGAGATTTGTGAATATAGTTTGAAATGGCGTATAGTGTTTGTACCCGATGAGGTATCGATTTCGGATTTAGTCACAAAAGAGCTGAGATCTATTAAATTCCAAATCTTAAATATGACAGGTTAAGGTGACATGAACGTTAAGAATGATTGACACATACGTAAATTCACCCATGATAGCAATAACCAGGAACTTGCAGTCATATTTAGGCTTTTAATTCTTTGTCATTCCTGGGAGTAAAGCTACCAAAAAAGAAATGTCCCTGCATTCCATTGCAATGCTTTGAGTCTAATCTACTGAAGATCCAAGTGGGGGGTGCCACGGGTGACATGAATGTGATGCATCAAACCTGGTAGTCGGATTCGACAGCTTGCATCGGAATTCCCGTTCCCCCCGAGACTCTGTCGATCAGTATGCAGGCGGGAAGGGAGAGGATCGCGATCGGAGAGAATGAGATCGAAGGAATTTGTAACCTTGGCTCATGTACTCCGTACTTTTGAAGATAGGGATGATCTGCACAGATTCAGTGCCACATCTAGGTTCAATGTTGCTTGGATCTCTTGTGCAGTGCATACATATCGATCGCATGCAAGTCAAATGATGGCACACAGCAAGGTCAAAGATGCAGACTGTACATGTGCAGGTAGATAGCACCTGTAGACTGTACTGTTGTGATCGTGCATCATATGCGACGATCCAAGCGAAAGGGGCAGAGGCGCACATTTGAGAAGCTGGTTTATGGCTCCACTGGTGGACATTAGTGTGGCTGGAAACATTAACCATTGAACCGTATCGATCTTCCAACTGGCCGCGGAAGTGCAGCAAGAAGCCGGGCCCCAGGAATGCCCCCTAGAGAGAACAAGCCCAGTGGGTCAGATTGGCGTCTTCACATTGCACTCTGTTTGGCTCGATTCATCTGAAAATCTGAAATAACTATTCCTTCTGATGCTGCGTCATGAGAGTCAGGGGCCCGCCAGGGAGGAAAAGGAGACGATCAAACCCGACACGATGGGTTTTGGGGCCGACGATCGTCATTCGGTCTTTCTTAGTACACCTACTTGTTTTTCTATTTCTGTGATGTAATTCGTGGAACAGGTCGAGAATTGAGGCTGTCACTCGGGAAAACACTATCCACTGGTGTCTGGATCTCGGATTGCCTTTGCGGGTGTCGCCGTGCGGTTTTCCGGCGATCTCAACAAAGGGAGTTCATGCTCAAAAACTGGGCGAATTAGAAAATTAACAGATCGCGTCCCGGGGAAGCAAACAGAGTACTTTTTTTCTTTGACACATCCAGAATTTACCATCTCCACCTGTCCACTCGAGGTCGCGGATCAATGCCGGGTTCCAGAATATCGGATAAATGCAGGCGGAGTACAACGTACGGAGTACAACCGGAATACCACAGCCAAAGTGGACTCTGCCAAATGTCCACTTGTTCCAGAAGCTTTCGATGGAGTCGAGTGATTTTTTTGGGACCTAGGATCGTCCGGCTTCTCTTCCGCGGAGCCCTAGCTCGGAAAAAAATGACATCGAATTTTGGTCTTGGTCTTGCGCGCTATATTGATGAGCTATTGTGAACTACTTGGGACTGGGATAGATGGTCTGGACCATTCAGTCCGAGATTAAATCCCCAACGGCCGCCACAATCTTGAGCAATTGACGTATCGAGATCTATTGAAACAAAGAAATCTTTCAACAAGGATACCCCTGCGCTGTAAGGCGGTTGACCAAGTCGCGGTTTTTCTTCCGTGACACTGTTCCTTTGCCAATGCATGGCCGATCGGAGGATTCGATAAGAGTCAGGTTAATTTGTACTATGGGAGTCCTTCGACTCAACATATTAATCTCCCCATATTGCAATTCCCTGCGTAATCACCATCGGACCAAAAAGCCAAAATAGCGGTTCATGCAATTCGCTAAACCTTGTTCCTTGCGGGTGGACTAATGCATCGAGCCGAAGTCTGGAGACGCGTTCAGGAACCCGCTGTGGCAAGCTCATCCGACTGGATCAGCAAGAGGCAAATTGAACCCAGAGCCCTGGATCCTAGCCGTTATAGTCTAACTGCAAATCTTGCCATTTTCGAACACAACACCTTAAAATTTTCATAAAAAAAAACTCAAAATAAAGGGGAATTCAGACGGGGAGGACGGACATCTAGGCCGGCTAGTAAACACCTAGAAGGGAAGAGACTGGAGACTAATTGATTCTGGAAGGCGTCAACCTCTTCTCCCGTTTCTAGCGTCATTCTAGCTGTAAGAGAAACGGGGTCTTCCCGAGGTACTTTCCATGCCGTCTCCACTGTAAGAAACAGGAAGCTCGTTTTCTTCCTTCTTCCTTACCCTTTTTCGACTAAGTGGCCCGAGTATCCATTCAACTGTTCCTGATCGGGTCAGTCTACTGCAACGTAAATACCGTGAGGTCCCCATTATTTGGGTCCTTTCTACCGCGTGTGGACCCACTGAGGATCATCATCAATTCCCCTGTCCTACGAATAGGAAATGGTCCTGGAGCAAGGTGGCTTGCAAAGGCGGCATTCACATAAGCAACTTGCGAGATAGATGGAGCAAAGAAAGGGAATATTGTACGGAGAGTAGCCTGTCGCCTTCCCCGTGGCGTGGAGCCTTTCTAAGTTTCACCCTGCCGTGTCTAGGGTACCACTCGATCTCGCTAACGGCCTCGGACTACAATTCCGCGGTAGATCTTCAGGCCCGATTGCAATAGCGATGGAAGCCTGGTAGATAGTAGGTGGACTTATCGATTTCACTATTGCACCCTATACCCTAGCCTTAATCCCGGTCTACTATAGATGATATCAGCATTAGGCATGGCTGAAACAGGATTTCCCAATTACGCGAGAGTAGCTTGAAAAGATAGGGAGCACGCGGACTTGATTAATACCTAATCTAACAGAGGAAGGTGATATAGGCCTAAAAAAGACCATAGCCATATCCAGGCTCCAGTGTGGCGAGAGCTGACGCAAGTAACAAAAGAGGCTGGGTACGTTGTGTGTACCCTTAAAAAGATAGGGGTATATGGGGGTGGATCCCCCGTAACTGCTTTCTGCAGTTCCCGAATGGAAGGAGTTCAGAAAAATTTCGATGGAGAATTTACGGGGGGGGTGGAGAGTGTGCCACTTGTATCATCGCATACCGCGAAGTGGGCCACTCTACCCAAGTTCCCGGGAGAACTAGAAAGGCTAGAAGGCGAAAAGAATGTTCATACGTAACCGAGACCAGAAGTGGGTTCGTTAAAGCTTCTGATTTGGCTTTCGAATCGACGCGCCGTAATGATGGAGTTTTCGGGGCCTGGTAGCGCGCGCCCCCGGGGACCCACCCCCTATGATGGATACTTGTCCACTCCCAACAGGATCGTGGGAACCGTGATCGAGATCGGTTGGTTTGAAGGATTAGTGCGGGAAGAGTCTCTTAATTTGGGATGAGACAGGGCGGTGCAAGGCGCGAAAGAAAAGAAAAGAAAAAAAAGTGTCCGGCGTGGTTTCAACGATTGGCTTTGTTTGGGGACGAGATCAAGGGGGGAAGAGATAGGAGCAGCGATTGGCCGGGGCGAGAGAAAAGCATCCCGAGACGACTTATCTTTTGAAGGACGGTTGGAACTTCATTTAGATACATAGTAATAATCAGGAGAGACTAAAAATGATAGCGCGAAGGATGGCGAAACCAGATGTCTGAACTTGATTACTCGTGAAATCGCACCTGTTAGGTTGGCTAGGGGATATGATACCCAGATACGTAGCCCGTACCTAGGCATCATATGTCAGCGTCAGGGACCCCTGGGAATGGTTGAGACAGGCTAGTTCCCAACTTTCTATGGGGGATCTAGTACGAAGAGAGCTTAGTAAATCCATCAGTCCGATGGAGCCCGAACCACGCGAGAGCGTAAGGAGAGTAAAGAACTTGTCTCTTCGGATGGATCCGTTTCTGTTCCTGCGGCTGCTTCCCTGTTCTCCACTCATGCAAAAGGCTGCCCGGAGATTCGGTTCCTAGCTTCCCCTGGGAAAGTGGAGAGCTCTGGGTCGGGGAAAATCACCTGTACTGCACGGTACTTTTGAAGGATAGGAGCAAGGTAGGTCAAATATGAGAGTGGCGGAGGGCGATGTATCAATAGCACTTATGATGGATCCAGTTTTGATTGATAGCAAAAAAGCATCTGATCGGCCGCCCTTGGCGTTAGACGTTAAGGGGAACAGGAACAGTTCCCCGGGACCGCAGGCACGGGAGAGCCGCTCTAAACAAAGAGGATTTGCAAATGAAGTGTTTTATTGATTTTATTTGGGCAATTTACTTTTCTGTTTTTTCCTTTTCGGATTTGATGGATTTGTTTTTCGATTTTCATTATTTTAAATTTTTTTCGGATTTAATTCATTTCTTATTTTTTGATTCCTTTTTTGAACTCTTTTTTTTTTCTTTCATTTTTTTTTATCAAATAGAAGGAAAAAAAGGATGATCATCCGTAATGTGTTTTCTATATATCTACGCAATCGTTCCCTTTTTTCCAAGTTCTCTTCTCGGACCTAATTAATTCTCCCTCGACCTGGAGTATTGGACATACTTGACGACCAAACAAATACTACGCCCCTACCTGTCCCTGTCCTCTCCCTTCTCTCCCTTGCGATACGTCTTTGCTGGATTTTCAACCGGATCTACCGGGTCACTTCCGCGGCACTTTCTCCTTTCCAGGGCCTCCCTTGCCGGCTTAACTATCCCTTCTCTGCCGTTTATCCTTGGTTCAGATCGCGATTTTCATGAACTTGATTCTGCAGCCACCCTCGCGCTTATCATTGCGAATTACTTTGGGTCAATAAATTCGATACGATCAAGCCCATAAAAAGCAACGAGCGGCGACCTGTCGAGCCTCTTTCTACACCATTCGAGACCGCCATTTTTATTTGTCGGGTGTCGTCACATTCCTGCCCTACAATCTGCTGGTGCCCGCAACGTCCTAGTGGTCATCTTTAAAAAGGATCTCCTTTCCGATCTCGACCGCATACGTCTATCACCGTCATCCTTGTCGAGAACCGTTCCGTGCTTTTTTTCGTCGTTTTTTCTTGACTTCGGGGGGTTGGATTGGGAGCTCGTTTGCCTGGCGCTCGAATCCCCGGCCGATAAACTGAACTATATAAGATCCTTCGTGGTCGTGTTTATTTGGTAAGTTCTTCATCTCATTCCTCAACTTTCCAAACTACAACACCCTCCAAATCGCCAGTTTTCGCAAACTTGATCCTAATTATGATGTCTTCTGCAGAACTAAATATGATCCTTCGAGATCTCTCTGCTTTCAACATGGGACGCGGAGCATATGATACAACCGGTGTTAAGAAGCCCGGTCCACCACCACCACCCAAATAATCGCCTTACCAAGATACCCCCGATCCTCATACTTGTTCGGTATCAAGGATTTCCCTGAGCGCAGATGCGCTAGGACATCACGCCTCTACGTTGGAGTTGACACTTTTCTTTCGGTGAGTCAGACTTCGCCTTATTTTGGGCACCAACTGAACAACCACTAATCCTGATATCAGACATCTGTAACACTATTGAACTTTGGCTCTGCTTTGTCTTATTTTCGGTCATATCCTTGTCTACGTTTCGCCACCGGATTTGCGCGACCAACTATTATACCCCTTTTAATTCTTATTCTGCATCGGTTTCGGATTCCCCCAGCGTCGACACTTTTATCTCGTTTCTCGACTTTTTTCGTCTTCGCATGTGCGCCTTATTACTTTTTCTCGGCACCCCGTCCTTCTCTCCGACATCCTCACCCTCACTTTTTCTCTCTGATATGACTTTCCGGGGTTGCCTTTCTTTTGATCTCTCAAAAAGTTGTTATGTGTTGATTTTATCCGGTTATTTGTTTACTATTCGGCGTTATGGTTAGATGGGAAGGAAGTTATTGTTTGCATGGGATGCATGGGTTTATACCAGAAGGAAATAGACCTTCGACCCCACGGTCAATTAGCATGATTTACTGATATTATATTTGGGATTTTTACTTCACTTGCATTGTGTATCTGTACGTCTCCGCGCGCCTGAACGTAAGCGCCTATCGGTTGTCTTCTCCCCGATCCCCGGTCTAGACCACGTTCGAATCCATATATCCAGACAGACTTGTCAACTGTCGTGTCGGTTTGTCAGCTGCAGGTAGAATCTGTTGAGCATTGGGCAGATTTGCTTGGGGACTGACGAGTTCAGGAACCGGTCTGATTTTGTATGTGGGCCCTGTCAGATTGTCGGCGGAGGCATCCCAACCAGTCGCTTGTACCCGACATCATCTTGCATACCCGTTGGGCACTAGCCTGGTCAGGAACGAGGTTTGTGCGAACGTGAAGCTCTAGATTCTCGTTCTACAATTCAATGCACTGGATGCATATGCTATGTAGATTGATTCCTCTGGCGATCGGACGGCCTTGGCGACCAGGTCAACATGGAATGTTTATTTATTCACTCCCAGGTACAAGGAAATTGGCGCCCAATTGTCATTTGGAGGATGACTACTTGCAATGTTCACGAGATCTGCCAACGTAGCACTACAGAGCTCCGTTCTAGAAGTTACAAAAGTACCGATCCCCCACTCCAAATCCCCCTGATGCCCATCAACAACTGTGGAGTATATACCAAGAAGGACACGCTAATTGATTGATAGTTTGGAGTTAATGGTCTCTTCGGTCCTAGTCCTTCAGGGTTTGTAGCCCCGGTCGGTTAAAGCTTCAATAAACAAACTCAGGGACTGAGTCCAAACGGTTAAAGCTTCAATGAACAAACTCAGGGACTGAGTCCAAATGCTACACCTCGAATTTTACGATTATGCTAAAGGATCAGCCCTCAGTGAATCAGCCCGAATACCCTGGATTACAAACCTTCACCTCCAATGTATTGTTTATGCAGCGTATACTGCCAGGACCACGTGACAATATGACATGGAGTTCGCGCTAAACTACATAGGGTAAGTTCATCATCATCGACCTCCGCCTAAGCATCTCAATCCTCAAGAACCTCCCAGCACTTCCACTTGCGACATTTCCTGGAGTTCCTACTACACCCTCTTGTGACCTTCTCAAGAAATACAATTTCTTGTATATCAGCCTCTGTCTCACGTCTCAGGCCGCCAGCTTCATAGGTCCCAGCTGAATCTCGCCAGCTCAGCCTTCTGCCTGATCACCAATTGTTTGACAGGCGTCGCTTCCTGCACGACGGCCTAACCGGTCCTTTCCATTCCTCCTCATTTTAATCAGTCAACCCTTGCCATGTCCGAATCAGCGGGCGCGAATGCCCCCAAGCCTAGCAGCAGTGTCAAGCTCGTGCTGCTGGGAGAGGCTGCCGTGGGAAAGGTATAGTTCTCTTCGCCACGTTACACAGGAAATTAGTAGCTGATCAGCATGGTGCTTGCTTACAGTCCTCTCTCGTCCTTCGGTTCGTCAACAATGATTTCCAAGAGAACAAGGAGCCAACGATCGGCGGTAAGACAGCCCCCCATTCTGCTTACCCACACCCTCCCCTCCAACCACCCGCCAAAGATGAATGAAGATGCTACCGCATTATCATGGTCATACATTTATCTCTGTCGCAATAGTCCTTGCATGGTGTTACACTAGTGGCAATCCATTCAAATGACCCACTACGTCCATTTTACACTCTATATTGACTCAAAATGGATGGACTAACATGAATATGCAGCCGCCTTCCTTACACAGAAATGCACTCTCCCCTCGCGCACAATCAAGTTTGAGATCTGGGATACCGCAGGCCAGGAACGGTTCGCCTCGCTCGCCCCGATGTACTACCGCAACGCCCAGGCCGCCCTCGTGGTCTACGATGTTACCAAGCCCTCCTCGCTGACCAAGGCGAAACACTGGGTGGCCGAACTTCAGCGCCAGGCTAGCCCCGGGATTGTCATCGCCCTCGTCGGTAACAAGCTGGACTTGACTAACGACGGAGGCGATGCCTCCGCTGCTCAAGATGTCGAGTCTGAGTCGACTGCCCCCGAGAGCGATGGAGCGGCTGGCGAGGAAGGAGAAGAGCAGGATGCAACTCCCGGCGATGCCCGCAAAGTGTCGACTCGTGAGGCTACGGGTTATGCTGAAGAGGAGGGGTTGTTGTTCTTTGAGACCAGTGCCAAGACTGGAACCAATGTGGTGGATGTGTTCACAGCCATTGCCAATGCCATCCCAGAAAGCAGCTTGAAGACCGGCCGGGGCGCCGCTGGAGCTGGCCAGACTGCATTGGGTAGCCGCTCCGGAGAAGATTCTCGGGTTAATTTGGGTGACCGTAATACTGCGACAGCCAAAGAGGGCTGCGCTTGTTGATCTGTGTTTTCGGTTTCCATTTCCCATTTTCCACCTTTTTTTTTTCTTCTCCAACATCCCCCGCAATTTCCTGGCGTCTTCATACCTATTCTCTTGTTCTCCTTCGTTATTCCAGTTACATTTTAGTTGCTTCCATCACTGGAAACACTTGAATGTCTCCACTGCACATCCTGTGGTATATCACCAATTTTTGCCTCATAAGTCAATGATACAGTAAATCTTCTAGAGTGTATAGAGAGTCTGGGTCTTGAAGCCGCACTGTTTCTTAAACATTGGAACACTAAGGGCAAAAGCAGTGAAAGTCTGGAACGTAACTGACAGTCGACCAATCAGAAGAAGCCGAGGGCAGAGTAGTCACGGGACCACCAATCCCCTAAAGAAACCACGCTAAACCTGATTTGGTCCAAGCGCACCCTAAGCGAAAGTGACGATCCCACAGCAAATTCCCATTTGGCTTCTTGATGCGAGAACACCTCCCCTCCGCCGACATCTCAACCAGCACCTTCCGCAGCACCCCGTTGCTCACCATGGCTGCCGTCAACAAGATTGCCCTCAACTCGCCGTCCCGGCAGAACCCCTCCGAGCTGGAGACCGCGATTGCCGGTGCTCTGTTCGACCTCGAGAGCAACACACAGGACCTGAAGGCCACCCTTCGCCCCCTGCAGTTCGTCTCTGCCCGTGAGGTAAGAATTGCGCCCACGCCTATCGGATATCAACCTGGAAAATGTGTCGACGGAATTTTTCTGTGCGGTTTTGTGTGATCGGAGCAAGAGACGGAAATTTAAAGATATCATGGACAATGTCGAATCGCCTCAATTCCCTGCCAGACAATACAACAAGGCAATACCGACATAGAAGGGAGGCATACACGACAATGGGAACACACAATCGACACACCACGACCAAAAAATTCCGTCGACAATTTTTTCTGGGGTTGAAATCTGGGTTTTGATGTTTTTGTGTGCGCCCGCCGCACGTTGAAATCAGACATTCTAACATGAATTCCTATCACAGGTTGAGGTCGGCCACGGCAAGAAGGCTATCGTTGTCTTCGTCCCCGTTCCCCTTCTCCAGGGCTTCCACAAGATCCAGCAGCGGTAAGACTCGACACCTAATCTTGCACACAAATCAACAACCACTCCACGGATCAATACAAAGAACTCAGACTAACCAATTGCGACAACAGCCTCACCCGCGAGCTGGAGAAGAAGTTCTCTGACCGCCATGTCCTCTTCGTGGCTCAGCGCCGCATCCTGCCCCGCCCCAAGCGCTCCGTCAACTCGCGCTCCACCCAGACTCAGAAGCGTCCCCGTTCCCGCACTCTGACCGCCGTCCACGACTCCATCCTCACTGACCTCGTCTACCCCGTCGAGATCGTTGGCAAGCGCATCCGCACCAAGGAGGACGGCAGCAAGACCCTCAAGGTTGTTCTGGACGAGAAGGAGAAGGGTGGTGTTGACCACCGTCTCGACGCTTACGGCGAGGTCTACCGTCGGTTGACCGGCCGCAACGTTGTTTTCGAGTTCCCCCAGAGCGGCGCTGAGTACTAAGCTATAAACCACCAGGTTTAAGCTTTGCTTCTGTGTTGTTTTGAAGGAATGGAGGGACAGGACAGGAAAGGAGGTGTATTGGGTTACTTGTTTCTAGGTCTTGAAACTCAACTAGATCCAAGGCATGACGGGTGAAAAGACCAAAAAATGCATTCACGGGTTTTGATTTATGTGTGCCCTTTCCATTGACTTGGTGCATGGTTTGTCCTCCCTTTATAGCGAGGCGACGGAGCTGAGTATTTTTTTCCATCCGGACACCGTGTTTCTTCTTTAATGAGGATGGGATGGGATATGTGATAAACTATTCCAATTGAACATTTCCGACTTTCAATTATGCGTAGGGATCACCCGCAATACTACCTGTTCTGAGTCCTGGAAGCCGGAACATATGCCCTCGTATTGGATATTATGCAGTTCAAGACCGTAGCCCATCCTCACATGCTCAAGCGATTGTTCAAACGAGATGTCACTTGCAGGAAAAGCTATTGCACTTGAGCAAAAAACCAATATATATAGAACTAACTATGGGGTATGAACAAAACATCTATGAACAAGACAGACGGTACCATCTACAACGCGGCCTGAATCTTCCCAACGCCCAAAACCATCCAGTAAGCCAACTCCCTCGCAACAAGATCATCAGGCTTAGAGGCCTTCCCAACATTCTGCTGCTCAAGCTGCGCCTCCGCATCCCACTCCATGTGCACGAAAACTGGAATCTCCAACACATCCTCATCCTCCTTCAAAGCGATCGCGCCCTCATCTCCAGCATCCTCGTTGCCAGCATTAGTAGTATCAGCTTCAGACCCCGGCAACGTCCCCGGAATGACCTCCAACACGACAGTCGTCCAGTTCCGGCCTTTATCCCACACTTTGCCGGCCTCCGGTACCTTTTCTGCGGTTCGTATACCGGTCAAACGTGAGTCTCCGACAGGAGCCGAGGCGCCTGCCAAAGCCTCGTCCCATACATCGCTGTTTGCACCGATCTCGAATTGCGGGCTTAGGATGGTCACTTTACTAGCCACGCGGCCTGGGGTCACGGATGGTGTGGCCAGGGTGATGCGAACGGGATCGAACATGTGGTTCTTCAACGTGAGAAGAACATGCACGGGCCTAAGTGGAGGCAAGGAGTCCAGATCTGGTGTCTGCGTTACGGTGGCCGACGTAAACGATGACGGGGCAGGTAGAGCCAGAGGACGCAGGGTAGGCAGCGGGATGTAGCTAAGGGCGATGAGACGAATACGGAAGCGAGTGGATTGCGGCTTCGTCTCTGGTTTGACGAGGATGTGCTTGCAGGACTTGCAGCGCTTTGCGCGCTTGGTGCGGAGGAGGACAGGTAGTGGGAGGAGCTCGTCGACAAAGCGGACATCTGGTGATTGCTGTGCGCGCTGCTCGAGTGATGCGATGCTATCCCAGCCGCCCTCTGGGGAGGCGAGACGCTCGATTATAGCGGCTTCTTCGCCTGCGGGTGTAACACGGAGACCCTCGCTGGCGGTCAGGGCTTCACGCATGACTGGGGGCTTTGATTTGGCTTTCTTGTTGCCGCCGTATAGTCCGCTTAGACGTGATGAGGATGCGTAGAGGGACATGAGGCGGTTTAGAGCGCCGGGCGAGGAGAATCCGAATTCTGAAAGAGGATCGTTGGGTGAGTTTGATGTTTCTGAGATCTGGTTGCGGTAGAAGGATTTCAATGCTGCGAAGCGGGCATCTGTGTTGGCAGGTGCCACATCTGTTGAGTCCTCTTTTGTTTGCTCTTCACTGCCGTTGCCGTTGCCATTGTCGTTGTCGTTGGGCGCGCTGGGTTGTCCCTCGGCTGAGATCAAGGTTGATAAAGGCGATTTTAAATCACCGAATGCACGAGAGCCTTGTCTTGATCGGGCATCGTAGGCTGGGGATGCAGTGGAATCGGTCATCTTTTGCAGCTGACTACGGATATTGGTCGGCTTGTCAAACTTGATACCGATGTCAAGTGTCGTCCACATGCAGTATCCACAAGATAAAACCCATGGCCCTTGTTGGCTTCCATTGCCCGTTACGTTCTCAATGGTGCTCACGGCCAGCGGGGCTGTACAGACAGGGCAATTGAAGCAATTACGTCCACACCTGCTTGTAGTTAGCAAGACTGTACTGGAATTCAAATATTTTCAAACATACCGATTGCCATCGCTTTTCACCATACTACTTGGTGTCTCAAATAGACAGTTTGGACAGTACCAGCTCACGATTTCCTCGGTTATGCATCGGGGGCACTTGATTTGGTGACAATCTTCACAGTATAGAAGCTGCTCGGGTGGATACAGCGAGAAGTTGGACCGCAGAGATCTAGGATCAAATGTCTGCTCTTCATCTGAGTCTCCCTCATCTTGGTCATCCTCCTGTTTTGGTGTAGTCGCATCATCTGTGGCATCTGTTCGCTCCGGTGTTGCTTTCTGTGACGACTCTCTCGACCTTCGCTTTTTGGCGGGGTCAGGGATTGGGGTGTCGGCGCAAGGGCACGAGATGTAGCTGTATGGGAATGGACGCGACATCCTGGGTTGGTGGGAACGGCGACTCAATAAGATTGTTTCAGAAAATGAGGTGTTTCGCTCGGTCAATTCATGCTTCGAGTTGGCAGGGTCGATATAATAAGGGGTGGATGCAGAGACAGCGGGACGTAAGATGAGAGCTCAGCAGACAGTCTTTGACTGTTATTTTGATCATTAGCATGCGCTATCTAGTCTTGAGCTTCGTTTTGACCGCCGCAAAACCCCGGTCGTGGGGTAAGGAGGCATCAACGATACGTACGCGAATACGTACCAAAATCAGGCCTGATTAAATTTCTCTAGACCCAGTCAGCTGTAAAATATGTCCAGATCTGATCTAGAGATCCACGCAGTGGTGTTCACGTGGAACGGGGGTACAATTGCGGGCGCAAGAAATCGCAGCGCGCGGAGATCGAGCTGCGGAGGTCGATATCAACAATCGACGTCAGAACAAAATTTGGCCCTCAACTGCAACCTCAATCCCAACCTCCACTCCTCCACTTCTCCACCCCGCAACTCCAAAATGATCTAAGATCGACTTTGATCTCCACGAATAAGAAGGCACTCTGTCTTTTCCTACCATGTTCTCTCTTCACACCATTCGCTCCGGTCTGCCGCGGCGATGTCTTGCCGCAAACGTGCGGATGTACGCCAGCCAGACCCCCGGTAACCCTATGATGGAGGTATTCAACCGCAAAACAAAGCACCTACAGAAGGACCGAGCAGCTCGGAACGTCGAGGAGAGCCGGAAGGTCGACTACCTGAAAGATGAAGTGGCAAGGCGGTTATGCGAACGGTTGCTGGTAAGGAAGCTCGCGGAAGGGCTACAGGCACAAGAAGCCTTGAGGTTGATTTAATTACTAACGGGGTGTGGCCTTTGTATAGGATATTAAACGCAATTTCCCTAATGTACTTGATCTTGGCGCAAATAGCTGCAACATTGCGAGAGCACTGACGACTCCGGACCTCGACATGGCTGCGCCGGAGGGCGTTTCGACACCACCATTGACGCAGAAAATCCCCAACATTACATGCGTGGAGACATCGCGGGCTTTGCTACACCGGGATGAGGATATGCCCTTCAATAAAGAAATCAATATCCATCGCGATGTGATTCCGGATCTAGAGACGTTGCCATATCAGGCTAACCAGTTTGATGCTGTGCTTTCGTCGCTATCGATGCATTGGATCAATGATCTGCCGGCATTGCTCAATCAAGTCAATACCATCCTCAAGCCGGATTGCCCTTTCATTGGCGCTATGTTCGGTGGTGATACGCTGTTCGAGCTCCGAGGGTCGATGCAGCTGGCTGATCTGGAGCGCCGCGGTGGAGTCAGTCCGCATGTGTCGCCGTTAGCGGACGTTAAGGATGTGGGAAGTCTGCTTAATCGTGCTGGATTTAAGATGCTCACGGTCGATGTGGAGGATATTGTGGTTGAGTTCCCGGACACATTCGCTCTCATGCAAGATCTACAGGCTATGGGTGAGAGCAATGCTATCATGCATCGAGAGGCTGGCCCCTTGTCTCGTGATGTCTTGTTGGCCAACGAGGCTATCTACCGGACTTTACATATGGACGATGATGCACCCGGTATCCCTGCTACATTCCGAATGATTTACATGATCGGTTGGAAAGAGGGCAAGGACCAGCCGCAGCCATTGCAGCGCGGTAGTGGTGATGTCAATCTCAAGGATATTTTGGGCGGAGGTGATTTTGAAAGGCCTTGAGACCTTCCAGCATGTATAGTACAAGGGGGATCAAGATTGGATGTAAGGCCAACATAATGTTTTAGTATACCAATGTAAAACAGTCACGCTGAACCACAGAAAGATTTTGGACAAAGAAAAGAAACTTGTATGAAATGCCGGCCTCTACCATAAAAACAGCAAATGAAACACGATTGCTTTCACTTAAACCGTCCGGCGGTCTGTCATGACCCGAACAATTGATCCAGTCCCTGTCAACTCCACCAACTTCTCATGCCAATTGAGCAGCACGCTCATCTGCTGACCACCGCCACCCTCACCAACGTTCCGAGCCTGGATCTGCGAGAAGCCTGTAGCCTGCGGCGAAACGTTCTTAGACCCACCGCTGGGACCAGAAGAGGACATGCCCTTGTATCTGTTTTAGTTCAGGTTAGCTCATGTCACAGACACTCAATTCAAGCTGACTTCCAAGCAAGCAGCGAGGATGCATTGGTAAACATACAGGTACTTCATCAAACAATCCGCCCGCTCAGCACCGCCGTTCGAGGCACAAACTCCCTCCAGAACGCGAGTCATCTCTGCCTGCCGAATACCCTGCAGCACCTCAATAACAGTCGCCATGTGCACCTCCTTAGCGCGGTCATCACCGCCCAGCGGCGCAGTGTCCAGAACGTGGCGGAGCGCACCCTCGGTGTCACCGCCGCGCAGCAGCTGGCGCACCTGGGTTGCGACGTTTGCGGCGTCACTAGAGGTTTCCGGTTGAGGGAGGGTAGGGGGCAGGAGGGTTTCCATGGGGAAGTTGGCCGACGACTCCGGGTCGAGCTGGTCAATGTTGATGGTGCGGTAGTTGATTTGCGACATGATGGCGGAGTTTGATGTTCTCTGACTCGTATCTCGTGGGGATTAAGGAGTTTGAGGGGTAATTGAGCTTGAATTTGGTATATGAATCCCAATTAGGGAATGGGGGTTCGCGCGATGTTTGCCTGTTGGGTATATCGGGCGGTGGAGAGCGGGGGTTCGGGGGAATTGGGGCGGTGTTGCCGGGCGGTATGAGATGGGGAGAAATGATGCACGCAATATTGGAGCCGCAACTTTCCAGTCCCAAAATAAGGTACAGGTTCGAATCTCTGAAATTGCGATGTGAATGCCGACTGGAGTAGTCTACGTAAGCTGTGGCCAAAAGGTATTTCAGCTTGGTGCCTAAATTCTGGAGTTGGAGTACGTAATGCTTCTTTGAAGAAGTATAGCATACCTTTTAGACAGTTCTCTCCTTGATTGTTCGAGTATATTAGTTCCTTTGATAAATCAACTGCTCTGGTAAAAACCAAGCCAGCAGAGCTCGAGCTTTGAAATATTTAAACAATTATTCAATAGTATGGAAAGGTTATAGGGCTAGTTGGTGATATAGGTGGGAGATTCAATGGATTTTAGTGCAGGCAAGAGCTTACAAGGTGAAGTATACAAGGGACAATATGAAAGGCAAGGCCATTTTGTTAATAGATTGTACATATTAGAAAACCTTGCACAAACACCTCGCTGTGCTTCATTTGCTAATGTTAATCTATCTCGTCGATTTATATGACCCATTAGTCCGACCCTGAACCATCACTCGGTCTATCATAAAAATCCCTCATCCTCGGTCCACTCAGCATCGAGTACCTGGTTTCATATCACAAGCCTCTTGAAGACACATGTCGAAATAAACTTGCTCAATCAAAAACACGACGAGCTGTTTTCTCCGCAAAATATTGCGTGTCTAGGCCAAAATCGAGTGGAGTAATTCGGTTGATCTACAGATCCGAGGACGACTCGTAAGCCTTCACGGGCTAACGTGTGACAAAAAAAGCTTGTCGTCATAACCAATTTTCCGATTCATCAAATTAGGCAGAGACCGATCTACTTTTTGCAATGGATAGAGATGAGACAAGGCCAAAAATGAGGTCGGTAAGGAGATCTGAAGCTTGGGGAAAGTTTGTGAAGCTTGTACGAAGCTGTACCAAAGGACCATGTGGAGAGACTAGGTGCTTGAAGATGTAATTGGAAATTTATTAATGGGATAGAATTAACACTAACTCGTAGGGCAATTATTGTAGAAAAATCATATAGAAATGTTCAAGTCTAATGCTACGTGGATTATAATGTTGGAATGGTATTAAGTTGAAAAGATCCATGCTCGTTGATCTTCGAGCATCAACTGGTTGATCGATCGAAGTTTACATATTCAAATTACGTAGAATCTTAATTTTGGGTCTAACTGATGAACGAGATTCCACACTTCACACCCAACCATATCATGATTGATTTGCACGGGCAAGTGGAGAACGGAAACCAGGAATTGACCCATAGTTTGCTATGCAAAGCGTAAATTGCGGGCCTGTATGGGACCGATTGCCTCACGATGATCTTCCTGTTTTGTACCTGAGTAATTGTTCTTTTCCGTGTTTATATTTCTGCTTTTCTGCTGCTTTTCTTATTTTTATTTGTCTATCATTTAGGAATCGCACGGGCTTTTACTCATCTCGTTACCTTCAAATTCTAAATATGCATTCTTCTCAGACGGACACTGGACCTCTGATCTCGCCTATACCTGGTCATAGAGATCTCCAGTCAGTTCTGAACGAATATGGCTTGGAGTTTACTCCAGATGGCCAATTGATTCGCTGGTCTGCTTCGAATAAGAATCATCCACGAAATTGGACTCTGGGACGAAAGATCTATGACAGTCATATGATTATCTTTTTGGATCTGTTTACGTACGTAATTGGCCGCCATTCACTTCTATGCTGACAGAGCTAATTTTCATGCCAATTAGAACTTGTATAAGTACAGCCGGGGTAAGCAATTCCTGCTCAACTGGCACGGGACGGAAGCTAACCTATTCTCATAGAGTACTGCAGCCGATCATGCACAGCATGAATTCGGGATCGGACATACATTCTCGATTTTTATCTTCGTCTCTCTGTCAGTCACTTTTCCTGGCTAATATTAGGAAACGGCTTGTTCTGATTTCCTTAACTGTGCAGATATATGATTGGCCAAGCCACCGGGGGAATCATCTTTCCATCCTATTCTGAGGCCTTTGGTCGGAAGAAGCTCTACATAATCAGCACGGCTCTATATAGTATCTTCTGCGTTATCGTGGGGGTAGCTCCATCTATCACAGCCGTGGCCATCAGTCGTCTAATATCGGGGATCTTGTCAGCAATGCCAACGATCGTTGTGGCCGGTAGTATTGAAGACATGTTCAATTCTAGAGACCGAGTTTGGTTGATCTTTCTATGGGCCATGGTCGCAAATATTGGTCTTTGTATGGGCCCTATAATGAGCACTTACATCACTGCACATCTTGGTTGGTAAGTATCACTGCTTGAAGACAGACATCCACCTTTACTGACACATGTGTATTAGGCGCTGGGTCTTTTACATCGCTGCAATTGTCATGGCAGTTCTCACTGCATTCATTTCTTGCATACGCGAGTCGCGGCCATCACTTCTTCTCGTTAGAGAAGTTGCTAAGGTGCGCGAGGAATGTGGTATCGCAACCCTAACCGCTTTGAACCCAGATCATACACCTGATCTTAAGACATGGGCTCGCCTTTCTCTATTTCGTCCGATCGAGCTTTTCTTTACAGAGCCCATCGTCTGCATGGTTGCGACTATAAGTGCTGTCGCCTTTGCCTTGATCTATATGTTCACTGAAGCCCTGCCGCCGGTGTATCAATCCATGGGGTTCTCCGAGACCTCCTCCTCTCTTCCATTCCTGGCAATCATCATCGGGCTGATATTGGGGCTTTTCACGCGTATCCAGGATCATCGTATGATTTCAAAGTATGACAAGGAGGGTCTACCGTTGGAGCCTGAGCATAAGCTTCTTGGATTTTGTATCGGCGCACCCATGTTTGCTGCGGGGCTCTGGTGGTTTGCTTGGACTATACCTCCCCTCGTGGAGAATGTGCATTGGATTGTGTCTACCGCTTCGTTGGTGCTTATTGGGTATGCTATCAATGAATTTGATGCTGTGCTGGCGGGGTATTTGGCGGATAGTTACTTGAGCTTTGCGGCAAGTGGTTTTGCGGCTTTATCGCTTGTTCGGTCTTTAATGTCGGGTGCTTTCCCATTATTTGCGACACAGATGTTTGATGGACTTGGGGCGAATGTTGCTGCTTCTGTTTTGGCAGCGTTGGCAACTGTGTTCTGTATTGTGCCTCCGCTGTTCACTCGTTACGGAAAGAAGATTCGGGCGAGGAGTAAGTTTGCTCGGTATAGTCTACAGGTTTACGAGGAAAATGGCGTTGATAAGAATGGGTATTGAGTGAGATTGGCTCACTACCCCTGTTGCATTTTCTGTGAGAAGATATCAAGAAAATAACCGAGAGTGTCTCGAGAGATCGTTGTATCTACAGTATAGACGTCCAGTACTAGCCATCCAAATAAACTGTGTATGGGATATAGCACCTCGAGAGCGAGCAGCTGAGTGCTGCCAGAGCCAACTCTTTATAAGAGCTCTATATCCACCGTCCAATAGTAGGGGACCAACACCCTACAGCTCTCCATCTTGGCCATGGTGGTTCTTCCAAGGGCCAGCAAGCTCTGCAGCCGCCGCTTCCGCATTCTTAGTCCAAGTCTGCATGGTCTCCTGATCCACATCATCCAAGAATGACAGGCCAGGCATAGCACGGCCTCCGCATGCACGCTCCAGCGCCAAGAAAGCAAAATGACCACCAATGACCGGTCTAGCAAAGAAATTTGGACCTGGGAAATTGCCATCGCCTTCTGTCTGGTGAAGGTCAGTGAAGGGCCGGTCGGTAACGGTTTCATTGACCCAGCGCGCAACGGACTCAAGAATCTCCGAGCGGACGGGCTTGGATGCCACCGCCATGGAGAAGAATTCCCAGTCAGTCTTGGTGTATAGGTGTCGGCTGTCAAGAGGGAGTCCGTATTTCTGGCGTACGTAGTGGTACCACACAGACTGTTTCTGGTAGATGTGACGAGGAACGAAACCAGGAGATTTATTGGAGGAGGTATCGACTCCATCCAGGTGAAAGCAGAGCTGAGCATCGGCGTATAGATTGTAAATAGTGGTCCACGAGCCATACCAGTCATAAGCGAGCTTGGCATGTGAACCATCGCGGGACATGGCAAACTTCTCCCACTTAGCAATGTATTGGTCGGCGATGCCCTGGATTAGGAGTTTAGTACTTGGTCCTCACACATGTTGAAGATTGATACATACCTTGAAGTGTGAGGCATCATCGTCGTTTCCAGTCAACTTGGAAAGCTTGCTCATGGCATTGATACCGACAATACCTTTCAATGCCAAATTAGTCTGCAGTGCCAGCCAGCCCGCAAAGTCATCGGTTGAAACTGTGTCTATTAGCCTTACTTCATAATTAGGACTAACTCGTCATTTGAACCCACGTTGATTTGCTGGTTCCAGGGAGAATTCCACCAAGTAGCCGGTCCATTGCTTCCAAAGACGGTAGCTTCGCTTGACCCATTTCTCAGCTAGGTGCTGACCTTCAATACCGCCGCCCCATTTGCCGTCCAGGTGTGCAATACCGGAAAGCATTTGGAGGTTGTTGAGAGGGAAGATGCCGGTCTCCTCGCTAGAAGAGATTGGAGGTGCGGAGCCTTGTGTGGACCATATGGACGCGGCTTCAGATGACTCCTCGTACTGCAGTGAATTTGCAATTGCCAAGCCCATAATCAAGATGTTACCACATTCTTCCACGGGCATATACTCGTCCTTACCATCAGGATGACCCGTAGCATTAGGGAAGTGGGTCCCCAGATCATGCATGGCATAGGTGTTGGGGTATTGTCCACTCAGCATATGCTCAATCAATGGCTCAAGAAGGTACGCCAACCAGCGCGGGTTGGTGTACAAGAAAAATGGGAAAGCCGGGAAGATGACATCAATGGTTTGGAAATTACCATTTGATGAAATTTCCTTCAGGAACAGAAGAGGGTTATCCGGGGTTCCGGAGAAAGTTGTAGCGCCCATGACCTGCCGCGCGCTGAGAGCGACGATATCAACATAATCATCAGCGCCAGACAGATACGCGTCATCAGCAACTTGAGCAGAGTAATTGGCTGCCAGAGATGCGGCCACGGCGTGATCGTTATAATGGAAAGTAAGCAATTCCTCCGTAGTGGGATACCAGGATTCCCAAAGAGGTCGCATCAAGGTGAGTCCCCGAGCTGATGCATACTGCACAACTGGGAATTGGATCAGAGCGATAGTAAATGTGACACTATCAGAATCATGCTTGGATGACAGATTGAAAGACTTGGAAAAGGCAAAGACAGGCGAGCGATCCCGAATGGCACGGAACTCCTTGTCATTCTTGTTACGGAGCATTCCAGTACTGGCAAATCTTTGCCTCACCTTACCTGCTTCTCCAGACTCATATTGAGTGTTCTAAAAAAGTGTTAGGCATATCTTCCCAGTTCAAGGGATTAGAAGGACTTACAGTAGGCCCGGTGAAATGAAGGGTTCCCCATTCGGCACGATCGCGAATTTCCGATAGTAGTAGTTCACTTTCTCTCCGGATTTTCCATTGCTGCAGATTTGGCTTTGCCTTATTTTCGATGTTCACAGTGTCCCAGTCCCAATTAATCTTGGACCCGTCGTCTCCGCTCACCCAGCGCCCATCAATGTCCATGTAGACATTGACATCAAGGTTGCCCTTTACGTCTATTGTGACATAGGATGCCGGAATTGACTGTCGCAAAGTCGATGTCGGCGTGATGGGAGACAGGAATGAGACCGTTATTTCAAGAGGCGTGGAAGATTCGGTATCAATGTGATAGGTAAAGTTGGTTGTGGAGGCATCATAGTTATTTCCCAAATACTTAGGGTACCGTACTTTATATCTGTATTATTAAAAGTTATCAGCGACTGATTTCCGAGGCACCCAAAGACAATCAAGCTTTCCGAGGTTCATTCTTACCCGGTGCCTGCACCCAAGGAATCTTGTGGCTTGCCCACCAGGGGATAAACCGAGCCCTGGCTCGGAACATGGGCCATCAAGGAGAGCCCTACTTCCTGTCCAGTATAGAACATAGGCCATTTGGCCCACGGTGTGTCACGGGCATTTCCCAGCCAAGTGCTAAGGTAAGGGTTGCGCACGATGAGCGGCAGCACCGGCGGTGTGAGGCTCGATGCTGTCGTCACAGCCGCCTGACAGACGGCTGTGGCCAGAACGGCAAGTGACAGCTGCATGGCAGGTTTTTAATTCAATGACGACAATATTGTAAGTCCAGCCAAGGGTCAGCAGAGGATAATGGATGTGTGACAGAAGCAGACCCAAACCAAGGGGGTTTAGAATGTGAAATGCGGGGAAGAGGTCACAGGTGAGATCGACTCCGAGCACGGATCAGGGCACTTTGTTACGTACATGGGGGCGCAAGGAACTTTAAAGGCTGAAGAACAATGAATTGCGCTTATGAAATATCTTTTTTCTCTTTCATCTCATCTTCCTACATCCTAAAGTGCCCTCAAGGTGATTTACTATTCTATATGCAAGATTAGAGATCAGATTCCTCTCCGATGATGTCATGCGGAGTCGATAACTATTGAATTGTTATACTTCTAGCTTTTTCCCTTTCGAGGCTCACTTCCTGGCATAGTATGATGTGTATATATATTTGCTGTCCTTTTAATTTCCAAGGCTGATAATATATTTGATGGTTTTTGAAGGGTCATGTGTCTCCAGAGAAACTACCGCATGACCATGGACCAAATATAGAATGTCGCCCTATATTATATACTGTCACCATCCCAGTCCCAGCCAAAAGGACAAACTACTTTATTGAATGCTAGACACTAGATTTTACGGACAACTAGGTGTAAAGCTAGATCTACTGATCTAAATATTATGTAACTTTCAGATACGGTCATCAAATTGAGCCCCGTGTCGCGTATTTGACGCGCCTCCAGAGCTGCCACTACACTAAATTGGACGCGGTATTTTAGAGATCACGCGAGACTTTCTTAATCAAGGTTTGACGCCAAAGATGAAGTATGAAAATTTCAAATTATTATGTAAACTATTGCTGCATGAAAATTGAACCGTGGCCAAGATTGCTATGTTGGCCAGTCCGGATGGGACAAAAGAGTATCAGATAAAACAACCTTGGAATTGCAATGTCGCGTGTAAAAAGACAATGAGATAGTTTGCATAAAAGCACAAAAGGTCAGAAAGCCCTAGACTAGAATGCTTGTAGCTAGTCTACTTTGGACGCGTGCTCAACACGACCGTGTGTCGGGTGGATCCCATGTCCGTGCTCTATACAAGCTAGTACTGGAGGTATCGAAGACTATACGCGCTTGACGCGACCGTTTTTTTCTGTCGACCTTCTTTGTTCCCCAATTCTTCTTTCTCCATTGTCAAGCTTCACTCCGTTTGATTTCTTTCTTCCTAAGTTCATATCGGGTGTTGCTACTATCATAACGCCCCCACGCGCCGAGCCCACTTCCCCGCCACGGCTCGTGTCCTTCTTCCTTGTCTTCTCTCTACGCCTCTCCCACCCCTGCTAGCGCCAATCAAAGTCCAACATGCAGTCGACAGGAACCCAGCTCAGTCCAGTTAAGGATGGACGCCGCATCCTTGGTGAAAAAGATACCAACGCGTGTCTGTCGCCAGCCCACCAGAACAAACAGTCTCTCCCGGTCACCGGAACGCCAGTCAAACGGGCCCTGTTCTCGACAGTATCACCTAAGAAGCTTCTTCCCTCGCCTATGTTTGCAGGCCAAAAAAGGACTAGGGACCAGGTGGACGAAACAGAGGAGAACGGACCGGTGCAGACGCGGGGCTCTCCGATTGAAAGCTCTGTTAAGAATGTCAGCCCGAAGGTAAGCTCGCATATGCTATTTGAGGTTAAACACTGCACAAGGGAACACTGGCTAACATATATGGCAAGTTACAGCAGAACCAAGAACTAGACATGCAGGATACTCGTGTCGCCACGCCTCCACGCTCCGAACGCGACCAAAATCAACATATGGATACACAATCGCCTACCGCGTCGAACCAAGAAGCCCGAACAATCCCTGACGACCCAGACGCGCGAAAAATATTCATTCAAGAAGTAAGCGCTCCACAAACTCATATGAATCCTGAGACATACTAACGAGATCTTAAGAAAGCGGCTCTCCTCCGAAACACCCTCCAAACCGCCATGCGCAATGTGACCGACCACCAAATTGACCGCCGAGTCTCCGACTTAGAAGAACACAGCCGGAAATGTCCTAGAGTCTCCATGTCGATCCTTTCCTCTTCACCGCTGCCTCAATTGTCTTTCTGCAATACCACTACGCCTAAATTCACCACGCCCCGCATTGGTTCGATGCCCGATATGAGTTCGACGCCTTGTCACCAAACACCGGATCTTCCCCGCCGCAGGTCCCCGCTCGCTAATGCAGAACGTGTCAAGGCTTCGCAGCGAACTCCGCCCCGTACGCTCGGGTCCCCTATGCAACTCAGTAGCCCTCCTGCTACGGTAATTCGTCACAATCGTACCCGTGATGTTGAGGAGAGCAGAGACGCAAATCGGGAGGGCCTATCACCGTCTCAACGTGGGGATGCGGTGGATGGGTTGCTCAAGTTGATGAGCACGGCTGATCAACGTTCCAGCGCTGATGCATGGAGTGGGTGATGTCATGCGTGTGAATGGAGGCTCCGATTGACCATGGGTTCTCGGAATGTCTCCAGAGGCAGATAAGGGTCGGTTCCTTGCGGGACTGTCATTTGTTGACGATCATCTGGTTGGCTTGTAACGACTGTATAAGAGTTGTCTGTGGGTTTTTCTCTCTCTTTTGGCCATCATCACGCCTACTTGGCTTTGAGGGAGACGGGGGCGCTATAATTTTGGGTAATGCGAAAGGCGTTTAGACTAATTACATCAATGATACCATTTCCGCTATAAACGTGACAAATCCTTGCAGATAGACGGAAGAGTGAATAATGAACATTGCATGGACCTCGTCCTTCCTGAATGAGCGAAGATAGTCGCTAGTATACATCGGTTCTACATCACCACGTCATGCTCTGTGTTGCCGCAGATGAGCGAGTGATAGTTTAGATCGAACAATTACCCAATGGTTGGGGATTAAGCACAATGCAAGCCTCCCAGCCTCATCGTGATGACTCCCTAAGACAGGGATCACGAACGGTCCCAAGATTCTCGTGGTTTCCATAATACTCACGATCTTCAGTGCTGATTGGTGTGTGCACGGCATCAAACCTCGCCCGTTTGTGTGATGCACAGATGGTTACACAGCTTCGGGAAATATACCCAAATGGCTGGTAACGAGGGAGTCACAGGCTGTGTATCATTCCTTCCAATACCTGTCAGAGTGTAATACCTGTCAGAATGTCGATCGGTCATTCCCCGAATAGGATTGATACTTTTCACGTCGGTCATCGGGATTTGCTCTGAGGAGGATCGATAAATCCCGACTTGGAGACGAACCACCTGAATATTCGTATGTGCAACACCATAACGAAATCGTATTAGGTGGCGAACCATTTCCTTTAAATCTATTGCCCTTGGCTCTACTTCCACCATGACGCGAGCGGTGATCATTTAGCCGTTATGGAGGGTAGGCAGTACTATATAGAGGATTAAGAGGGGACGTTGCTTTCTGTAGTTCACACTAAGTCACTTCCCCAATTCAAGGAACAATCACTATACTCCTGCTGTTCCATTCCACAATGATCTTCAATCAGGCCTGCGAGCATTGTCAGCAGAAGGTATGTCCATCTAGATAAAGTGTTTATTGACGACATCGTTCTAATGATTTCCCTTCAGTTGAGAAAGGGACTCGATCAAGTCTATACTTTCAACTCTCCAATCACAGAGAGGAACTATAGACGCCACTCATCAATTACTAGCTCAGCCTCCAGTACTTCTCTGCGCCAACACCCATGGCTAAATGAACAGGTACTAAGGGCCTTTGATGAGCCCTCAGTACCAGAGATGTTCCCTCAAGCCCGGCCAGAGCAGGGACTATACAATACTCTCACACCCGATATCTACTCGAACACATTCCAGCCATCTCCCGACGAGGTGTTTGAGATGCTACAGAATCTCGAGGCCGAAATAGGAACTGAGATTATGAAGGGAAATATGCTCAATGTATTCCACGATACTGCGGGTGAACATTGCCCTATGGCTTGTGAACCTGATATACTCTCGCCCCAGGCTAGAGCCCTACTCCACTACTTCCCTGAGCTAGATCGTTCCAACACCACAGCTGGGGACCAGTGGAGATGTGCACCTGCTTACGTGTCTGGTGATTCCATGGTACCTAATTTTCCCTTCTCGCCTTCTTCTGTCCCCGTTCCCCCTGCGCCGTCTCCTTCAAATCCGAGTGGGCCCCTCAGTGACTCTGGCATGGATTACTTGCCTCGGTTACCTGATCCGTTCTTTTCGTTGAACAGTGATTGCTTGCAAGATGTTTCTGCTGGCAAGCACTCGCTTCCTCATTCGAGGCCAACCCAGCAGACTAACGCGTTTACACATTCCGTTTCTAGGAATCGGCCTTACAGAAAGTTTCAGTTTGTTTTAGAGGATATTGGGGGAAAGGCACCGGTTTTTATGCAATAGATAGGGAATAGATTTTGAGCGATATACATGAGAACATATACGCTTTGCAATCATTCATTTTGGTATCGAATTTCGAAATTTTACTTATATAACGGATCACCGGACTTTCTTCAACTTGTTTCGCTTGCGGCCTAATACATCGCGGCCTTCGTCAATCTCACCCATTGCCTCGCGCTTCGCCGAGCCAACCTCCTTCAAGACGTTGGTTCGCACGACACGGCTTTCGATGTTGACGCCCTCCTGGGCCCACTCTTCCATCTGTCGACCCACCCGAGCTTCGATGGCGAGGATGAGCTCGACATCACGTTGTCCAACCAATGTGACTGCCTCGCCGGCTCGTCCAGCACGGGCTGTACGACCAACACGGTGGACATAGTCATCTGGGTTGCGGGGAACGTCGAAGTTGATAACTAGGCTGACGATTGGAATATCGAGACCACGAGATGCGACATCAGTAGCGACCAGGACGCGAGCAGCAGCAGCGCGGAACCGTGCAAGATTAGATGTGCGCTCGGACTGGGGGAGAAGACTGTGCAGGGAGGTGGCGCGGTGGCCCAGGCGGCGGAGGGTACGCTCCAGCAGATCGGTAGTCTTGGTATGATTGCAGAAAATGATGACAGGCTTGGAAATGTTTTCTTCAGTAGAGAGCAGGGCGTGCAAGAAGGCTTCGCGGTGCGTCATGGGTACTTTGAGATATGTCTGTTTCAGGGTTGGGGGGGATCTTGCCCTCATTCTCGGTGCCGATTTCCGTCACAAAGATAGGCGGCTTGCCTTCTGGGCGGGGCATGGACTGCAGGGCTCGGACCTCGGCCGTCAAGGTAGCTGTGAAAAGGAGTGTTTGGCGTTCTGCTGAGGGTGGTAAAGCAGATAGACAGGTTTCTACGTCTGGCAACATGCTGCCTTGTCCGCCTGTGAGCAGTCGGTCTGCTTCATCCATCACCACCATCTTCACACGCCCCAATCCGGCAATTGTATCCTGACCGGAGGTTTTGATGTGATCTGCAAGTCGACCGGGGGTGGCGATCACGACGTGAGGACGCTCGGCGAGAGCAATTGCCTGTTGTCGCATGTCCGTACCACCGGTGATAAGGATAGGCTTCATGCTCTGTGGCGCCGAGATAGCCTTGAACTGCTCGAAAATTTGTAGCGCAAGCTCTCTGAACGAGAAATCATGTTAGACAATACAGGCTGTATGATGCGGCGCAAATGAACATACCTCGTCGGTGTCAATACCAGAGCAAAGATTCCAAAGGGATCCTTAGCCCATTTTTGCATAATAGGAACGGCAAATGCAATAGTCTTTCCGGAACCTGTCCGACTTCCACCAATGCAATCACGCCCCTTTAGAATTTCAGGGATACACGCCTTCTGAATGGCTGTAGGCCGCCGGACAGCCATAGTAGTCAAAGATCCTACAAGCCATGGCGAGACATCCAGCGCACCAAAAGTGGACTGCTCGGCCTGTAAGCCAATCTCAAGGGCATCCTTAATTGTGACTGGGTTCTCATCATCGTTCAACTCGGGCTTCTTCGTATCGTCCTTCTTCTTAATACGAGAGAGAGTGGGGAGAGGTGCTGGCGCAACATAAGAGTCGGTCGAGGACTCGGAGAGACGGCGCCGCTTGGAAGCTCGGTCTTGCGCATCGATCTGGTTGTCTTCTGAGGAATCAGAAGCATAAGAGTCATCAGACTTCAGATCATCCTGTGAGGACGCCATTGTGATTGCAGTTTAGATCATGATTGTTGCCAGAGAAATAATTTTGCGGCAGAATATGCGATTATTATCTGGCGGTGTGGAATATTGCTGCCTGGTATATCGGGCAAGACATATGATACCTCCGCACACATGTTCGCCTCCACATCTTAAAATTCAGTCGGCGGGACTCATGGAACGTTTAATCCAATCTGAGAGTCTTAATATAAGGCTACAGTTCATATTCAAGTATGTTTTGACGTTTCTATATCGTGAACATTAATATTAGTTTATAGTGGCAACTTTTGTCTCATCTTTCATCCACTGGCAAGATGGCCGAGTTGGTCTAAGGCGTCAGGTTAAGGTCCACCTTGACATCATTTCCTGATCTACGTTTGTAGGCGTGGGTTCAAATCCCACTCTTGTCATTTCTTTTTGTCTTTTTGCTCCCTGTAAAGTTTGAGTAGACTCTCAATTGACCTTTTTGCTAGTTCAGTGGATGAAGTCCTAAGCAATTTCTAGGGTTGATTATTCTGGAATGAAGTTAGATCTAGAATCTTACCTCTATTCTCTATTGACAGCTATCAATATATCAATCAGCTCGACTAGTTGTACTTCTTCTCCGCATAGACGATCGAAGCTCATAAGCCTCTCCCCGCTCAAGATCATTATCCTCAACAGCAGATTCCTCAGACGAGGAACGACCTCGTAGGACCCCGTTTCCATTGCTCGATTGTGCACCACTAGATGTCACCTCTGTAGATTCCTGCTCTTCCGATCCATGCGTACCACCGACACTTTCCATGGTAAACGGACTAGCGGTAGGAGCATCCAAAACATTCAATTCCTCGCGCGTGAACCAAAGCGGGAACAGGAACGACCGCACAGGCACCAGGAGGAGAATAATCACCGGGAAACCAATGGCAGCAATAGTCTGGGTGATTGCGAAAGTAGCACCAAAACCAAGCAATTCGATAATGACAAATACCCAGATAGCGGATCGGCGTTTGATCCGCTTCAGAGGGTTCGATGCAGGGGTCAACTCTTTGTCTTGGGCGAGGAAGATCAGCTTCTGGGTAATGCCGTTACCCTGGAGTGCTTGAACTCCCATGATGAAGAAAAGACCGGCCATGACACCTTGAGGAATGAGGTGGAGGACAATCAGAAGCGGCCCGGACATTGTACCTAAGGTAAGGAGGCCTTGGGCTAAGTTGCTGACTCGCTGCTCCACTACGTGATCTGTGACTCGGATAGCTTTTCCCTTATTTGTGTCATCCTCATCGGCTACCTGGCGAGTCACGCACAGAGCAGCGGTATGGAAGGGTGCCTGTGGGATGAGCCCATTGGGAAACGGAATTCCAAGAAGACCAGCAACAAAGGTGGTAAGACCGAGGAGCCAAATATCCCAGTGGAAGCCAGCGGGCTTCCGCAGGGGAAACTCGGTGCCCTGAGCAATAAGAGATGAAACTTGTGTATGTTAGTCTTGGTACAGAAAATACCGTTTCTGGGAATATGCCTACCATTATGATCGAAGTAGAAAAGGATTGTTAATAGAAGAGCGAATGGAATAGCCAGGAAGATGTCCCCAACGTCAATGTTCCAGAAGTGTACCAGCCACGGCCGATCGAGTGTGGGGAAGAATGACTTGCTGGTGGGAAGCACAGCAACGTCAACATCACGCATATGACCAAAGTGGACGAAGCCCGTAAAGAAAACAATGACCAAAGGTGTGCCATAATCTTCAAGGAACTTTCGAACATATCGTTGGAATAGATTACTGTTGCCCAGCTCCCCAATGATCCAAGCAGCCATTAAGACAAGAAGAGCCACCATGATAGCGAGATATGCTGAAGCCTCACCGACTGATGCCCATTGTCTAGTGAGGACCTGGATTCCCTTCTGCAGATAGATGCAGGCAACATAGAAGCCGAAGATATCACACGAGAATCGAGTGACAAATTTGAGTCCATTGCACGCATTTGTGATAGCCAGAAGCCAATGCATAACCAATGACCATCTATTCTGAAAATTAGTAAGCCTAACAAGTGTTTCAAAGGCGTAAAAGCGTACATTCCAATCCAGCACATGAATGCGAGATAAGGGGTTCCACGGGGGCTGATGATATCGTAGACTGTATAATTAAACACAGTAATGGGCCCTATAAACCATTAGATCCAGCTTTTGTGCGCTACTTTCAGGAGATAACAGACCAGTAACACCAACAATAACCAGTGGCTGAGCTGCCAATAGAGCAAAAACGACAGCTCCGAGAACAGACGCAAGCAAAACCTCGTTGACTCCATAGCTCTGGTTGGTCTTCTCGAACATGTCCAATGAGAAAGCAAGCGCGGGTAAGATACTAAGAATACTGTGAGCATTCTGCTGTGCAGGAGACAGATGGTCGTTATCAATATTCAATTTGAGACCATCCCGGTGGTTTGCAAAGGACATACTTAGCAAAATACATATACACTGTCGCAGGCACAATGCGGTAATCCCAGGCATCAGTCCAGTCACTCCAGTAATAAGGAGCTCTGCGCTTAACATCATTGATCATGCCTCGAAATAGATATATGTGCCACCATTTTGGTTGCGACGAATGAGACGAGGTCGCTGTGGATGTACGGCGCTGGTCCTCCTGCACAGTATCTGCTGGAGCTGCAGAATGGGTTGAATGATAAGAAGAAGGGGCATGGCTTGATACTGCTGACCGCAAAGATGCTCTGCGCTGGGATTGCCAAGACGTTTTCCGGTGCGTTGACGAGCCGGAGGCTTGCATATTGGCTTCGGGAAAAGCCCCCGTGCGGCGAATTTCGTTGATAAACTGGGTATACAATCAAGCAATCAGGGCAGAGTTCCACCTGTGAAGGCGATATCAGTTTTACTAGTGGTATGAATGGAGTTCTCGGGGAGTAATCCAGCTAGGGAGTTTTGCGGGGATGAAAGAGTTGGAGCCAAGACTGAAATTATGGCCTGAGGCATCACTAATATGGTCCTGGAATGCTCCGACTACACACAGTACATATATTCTACTTATCGTGTATACTTCTACGAGACATGGATGTAGATTTTAAACCCAATTTAGGGTAATTCACAGCTGTAAAGTATTACGTCACATAGATAAACGAGGAAAAGAACCAGGCCTATCTGCGGTATCACTGGGAAAGAAAAGCAGACAGCCCCGAGATTTTTATCGCCATTAAACCAATTGCACGAAGGCAAACAGCTTAAGCCGGAGGGGGAGGGGGAGGAGGCTGGTCACTGGGAGGAGGTGGTGGAGGTCCATCGACAGGCGGGGGAGGGGGCGGAGGGCTGCCAGCACCAGGAGCGCCAGGAGCAGCAGCTCCGTAGGACCAAGGAGCCATGCCGGGTGGCGGGGGAGCAGCGGCCATACCAGGGGCAGCATAACCGTATCCTCCATATCCGTATGCGGGCTGACCACCAGGGGCAGCCTGCTGTTGCCAGGGAGCAGCGCCTGGAGCAGCGCCTGGAGCAGTTCCGGGAGCAGCATATCCAGCGTTGCTGTGACCACCGTGACCACCGTAGCCACCACGGGATTCATAGCCACCGCTGCCACCGCCGCCATAGCCGCCAGAGTCGCCGCCACGCTTCTGCCAAGGAGCAGGTCCATTGTCGCGAGATCCGTAATCATCACGAGGACGGGGTTCACGTCTCTGTTGCCAGGGAGCCACATCACTGGGTGGAGGTGGCGGGCCGCGCTGCTGCCAGGGGTTCGCATCACGGTCATCAGCAGGAGGGTAAGCGCCCTGATCGGGACCGGCTTCAATACGACGAGGCGGATACTCGCCAGGGGCACCTCCAGAAAGCTCGTTCATGAGTTGCTGCAGGAAACATTAGTAGGCGTTCTCAATCTTATCTAGGGCAAAAAGAGTTACTCACCTCCATCTCACGGTCGACAGCATCGCCAGTACCAATGGCACGAGGACCATCGGGACCACCAGGACCACCGGGGCCACGGGCACCAGGGAAGCCACCGTTGTTGCGCCAATCGCTGCCTCTCTGGCGGTCAGGACAATCGCGGGCCATGTGACCAGCATTGCCACAAACGCGACAGATAATGTTGGCGGTGAAGTTGCGCTGCTCGGGACAGTCGTACTTGCGATGTCCGATTTGACCACCTTGTGAATTGTTAGAATCAATAGAATCAATATACTGGGTCAAAATCAACATACAGTTCTGGCAAGCCTGATTCTCGTCGTCACGGAGAGTACCGTTGAGAGCCGCTAGCTCACGGAGCTGATTGCGCTTGAGCTCGTTCTGACCTTCGGGGATGGAAGCGGCCTAATTGAAATGGTGAGTGGTAACCCTCAGACCAAAGGTTTTAGGACTGTACTTACAGTCTCAATAACATTGTGAATTAGCTTCTTGGCCTTATTCACCTTCTCTTCAGTCTCTGCCATGATCAGACAGTGGAGATCCTCCTCCTGGTTGCTAGCATGAGCGGCATCAGATCGGCCTTTTCCTTCCTTGACGGAGCCTTTTCCACGAATGGCAATCTTGGCGCCAGATTCGGTCTCCATTTTCTTCAAGGTGTTTCCACGAGGTCCTATAAGTAAGCCAACTTTAAAAAGGTAGCAAAGAGCTAAGTGTTAGTGATCCGGTAATTATGAAGTATGTGCAACATCAAGCACCAGGTGTTATCAAGAAACGGGCCGAGGACATCCAAGAAAATGTCTCGTCAGCTCGAATCGAGCAGGGAGTCATGACAGATACAGCGGAGTTAGGAGTTAGAGGGTTAGTTATCATACTGAAGTTAATCTCTGGATAGTCGTTCACTGGGACGTAGACCTTCTCCTGGGTCTTGGTAGGGCGTCTGTAGTCAGATGGCGGGTGGTAGTTAGGAATGGTCTTCATGGCCTTCTCGACCAATTTGTGACGCTCATCCTCGAGGCGCTTGCGATAACGGTACTCGCGAGTGTTCACACGTCTACCGAAGTTGTCGTACTGCGGGGGTGGCGAGGGGGATCTGATGCTGTGTTAGCAGGGATACCATAGGTATCAAAGGAGACGGCACTCACCTGTCACCATCACCTGGGACCACATCATTGATCCGCAGCTTCTGGCTGATCTCCTCGATACGCAGATGCAGAGTGTAGGCCTCCAACTGCTCGCTAGTGAAGTTGGCCATAATCATAGTGGGCAAGCCCATCAGACCGGCAGCCTTGTTCTCCTGCTGATCTCCCCAACGGTTGCGCTTCTTGCGCCTTTTGACGCCATCACCATCTACTGCAGGGGCTTCCGCTGAATTCGGCAAGAAAGTACCATTAGAACTGACGCTGGAAAGGCAGCAATAGGGATGAGACATACCTCGAACAGGGCTGCGGCCGCGCTTAGGACCATCGGGCATAGAGGAAGGAGTCGCAGTGCTGCTGTCCTCCTCCTCGTCACCCTGGAAGCGACGGCGCGTCCCCAGGGGGATGTTGTTAGAGCCCGTGGTGCCTTGGTTACGCCAGGCCATGGCTTCAATAAGTTCACAAAAAAATTTTAAATCGAAAGAGACAAGTTGAAAGTGAGAGTATCTTTGAAGTTACGATCTTCTGAACGAAAAGTGGCCACCCGATCACGTGGGCTCAAAGGGCTTCCAAGGCGGTGAACATCATACATACTTTACTATGGATGAGGTTTATCTTATCGTCACTGGCTTGATTAAGAAATAATTTATGTTGCATATTATATTCAGACCTCGTCTCCTCTAAACCTTGCTCTTAGCATCGTCCTTCATTCCTTGCACAATCCATGCTCGGGCCTCAGCGGCTTTCTCCTCCACGGCTTTCTTATCCTTAAGCAGCTCCTTAATTGTATGCGGGGAAGGGACATGGCGTCCCTTCTCCACACCTGGTCGCTGAGCCATAAACTCTTCCCAAGCCTTCAGGTTAGGAAACTCATCAATATCAACACCTGGCCACCCAGCAGCGGCAACCCATCCCCAGAGTGAAATATCGGCAATGGAGACATGGTCGCCTACCAGGTACCCGGACTTGGATTGGGCAAGGTGCTTATCAAGCACACCATACAGTCGGCGTGTTTCATTAACGTATCGGGTCACACCATACTCAATGCGCTCAGGCGCATATCGTGCGAAGTGGTTTGCCTGGCCTTGCATGGGGCCAACGCCTGCATTCTGGAAGAAGAGCCAGTTGTTCATCTCGTAGTGTTCGCGGGTGCCCTTGGGGAAAGAAATCTTGTACTCGGGGTCATATTGGTCCGCCAGGTACTGCAGGATACCACCAGACTCGAACAAGCGGATTTTCTGACCATCAGCGAACTCGTCGGTCAGGGCGGGAATTCGGCCATTGGGGTTGATATCGAGGAACCAGCTATGTACCGGTTAGTATCTGATGAGATCACGGGTATGGAGATACGTACTCCTCCTTTTGTTCGTTGGCGCCCATGTCGATCTTCTTGACCTCATAGGGCAACCTGTCAAGCTGTCAGAAACGGCATCATGTATCAACACTACTGGGGTAAGGACCCACCCGAGCTCCTCCAGGGCAATGGAAATTTTGATCCCATTGGGGGTCTGGGCCGTGTAAAGAGTGATGTTAGGGCGAGGCATTGTGGGCAATGATTTAATTTGAAAGATTTCTAAGGAAATGCTGAAGAGTTGAAAGTATCTCAAATTCACCGGAATTGGCGGGTTATTTAAATTGGGTTGAGGTCATCAACAATTCCCCACTTGGATTTATAATCGTCCAACTTTATCGGGAACTTTCTGTGAAGGCTATCACCACCTGAGTAAGCTACCTAATACATCGGCATCTTCGGTCCCCGAATGCAAAAAAAGTCTTACTTATTTCGATGTCATCATTTATATAGCAAGTGCATGGTAAGAATATCCATATCTCAACAATGTGGATTAAACCAATTTCTTGTTTATAGCAATCTGAAAAATCGCTCTAAGATACGTGAAGCCCAACTATGGGATTTAAGCTAAGCCATAGCACCGTTGACCCTCACAACCTGCCCAGACATCCAGCTACTATCTTTCCCAGCCAAGAACAACATCACGGCCGCGATCTCTTGTGGCTCTCCAATGCGGCCGAATGGATTAGACCCAGCGATCGCCTTAAGAATCTGCTCCGACTTTCCCTCCATAAAAAGCTCAGTACTTGTCGGACCAGGGGCGATTGCATTCACCAGAATACCTCTCCGTCCAAGATCTTTAGCGAGAACACGGGAAATCTGCTCGATGGCACCTTTGGTTGAGACATAGAGAAGATAGGCAGGTGCAATACTCGATACAGCATTGAGACTGGTAGAAACGAAGATGATGCGTCCTCCAGGCGGCATGTATTTTGCAGCTTTCTATGGAAGTAATCAGTGGTTATTCTTCAAAAAAAAAAAAAAAAGACATGAGCTAACGTACCTGCGCCAGAAAATATGGTCCCTTTACCATCAGGTTATGAGAATTATCAAAGTCCTCCTCCGTCGTATTTTCCAGGTCCTTCATAGCTAGAATTCCCGCATTGGGAATGAGGATATCAATTTTGCCGAATCTGGCGACTGTTGCTTCGACCAGCCGATCTAGATCTGGTAGTTTGGAGGCATCGGCCTGGACGGCCAGGGCGCGGTCCGGGCCGATTTGCTCAACCACGCTGTTAGCTGCAGCTGAGTCCGAACGGTAGTTGATGACTAGGCTGGCACCTTCGCTGGCAAGTCGAAGGGCTGTTGCCTTGCCAATTCCCTGAGAGGAGCCGGTGATCAGGGCTACTTTTCCAGACAAAGACATTGTATGTGATTTGTAGAGTTGCTTTGTAGATGCGTTGTGAATATGACCCAGAAAATATTGATCTGTCTCAAATCACTTTGATGGTCTACATGATCGTTTTATATCCTGAGCCTTTGATACATGATCCATCGACTTTAAATCCATGTAAAGTTGATAAATCCGGAGGCGTTTAGCTGGACAAAGGCAATTCGGGGCAAAAAGTAATATGGACTAATACTACTCCTAAATCCAGCGAATAGAGTTGTTGGATGTAAATGGATGCAAATCGTGCAAATCGGGCAAACTGCAATTAGTCTCCAGGAATGGCTTTAAAATCACTGTGTTTTCAAACAATGCCAGAGAATTCGGTCTCCGGCCATGAGCCGGACATAACCCCGCGCACTTAAAGCCGAGTCCGTACCGCCCATATACGGCTATCACGGGATTATGTACGGAGTATCATTGAATTAGGCATTTATCAAGGAACTTTAGAAAGACAGAGTGAAAATTCAGAAATAGGTCGTAATACGTTTCTGCTCGACTAATACGTGTAAGTTGATCCAATAGATATCTGGATAACAAGGCATCATACTTCCAGGTTGCACTGGCTCATTTCTACGTAGCTACCGGTAGACTGACAATGGAAGGGTACTGAGCAAGCCGCTGGTGACTTTACATTTTTGTGACCACAGAAGCGAATGGAGTCATTACGCTATCATCTACCCGGTTCTGAATGTCCGATGTGTTGGATTGGTGTGCACAGAATGTTTCGTTTGTCTGTGGCTTCAAATCGTTTTAGGAAGGCGCGATTTTCGAGTATAATCCCCCCCCCACCCCCCTCTTTTTTGAATTCAATCTTCTCTTTTAAAGAGAGATGAAACAGAGCATGAGAATCAATGTAGATATGCGTGACGGTCATCGAGGTATCAGTATCATTTCAAGACTTCTAGAATGAGACTCGGACGCATATAAATTCATGTATAAAATGCAATGTTCAACCGGAATCATTAAGGTTGTTCTCCTTCCCCTCCTGCATGCTCCCCTCAACAGCCCGAGCAATCTTTCTTCCTTGACTCGGTTTCAGACCCCGTAGATCCAAAAGTCTGATAGTGGACCTGGTGGGTCATTTAGATCTCATGTCAAGGACAAAGGGAAGTCCATCGGATAAACCTTATCCTGTACGGTGTGCCATACGATTTACATAGACGTCATTTACATTTCAGTTCATCCAATTCACGTTTGTTTGCACACATGTTAAAAGAGCACAGTAGACACAAGACACAGCCTCGAAAGTCATCTTTTATGGACCCGATAGATCATAAAAGTAGAATGGCAAGGTGTGGCCATATTTTTAGAGCGCGACCCAGAACAAAAAGATTAAAAACACAAACCGATTTCTTCATTTCATTTCAACAACCATCAATTGTCTGCGCATTGGAACTCCCTTCCTTCCCCCACACTCAAGTCCCGTATAACGAAAATAGGAAGAAATCCACACATAGAGCATCAGTTGCGGATTTCATGGACCACAGACCACGAACAAGAGATAGAATCATCACATCCCTTCTTCTACGAAGATGAAAAAAAAGGGACAAGGGGGCACCACAGAGGGGGGGAAAAAGAAAACAGAGGAGCAAAGCAGAAATCAAGGGCCGGTTCTGGGCAGCAGTTTCGTTTCCCGTTTTAAGTCAGCGCTGGGGCGAAATGAGAAGGGGGCACGATAGTAGGGAAGATTTAGTTGCCGCCCAGGCTGGGGAAGTTCTTCTCGTCGACGGTAGGGCCGGCGGGGGCACGGGCACCACCACGGCCGCCACGAGGAGCAGCAGCAGCAGCGCCGCCGCGGGGAGCACCACCACGGGGACCACCGCGAGCGGGACGGTCACCACGGGGAGCACGGTCGCCACGGGGAGCGCGGTCACCACGGTCACCACGGTCACCACGGTCACCACCACGGCCACCACGAGGGCCGGAGGAGGGGCCGGAGCGGGGCTGCTCAACGAAGCGCATGTCAACGTCAAGGAAGTTCTTCTCCTTGCGAGTCTTCTCACGCTGCTTCTTCTCGGCGGTGGGAGCAATGTAGCTGGTCTCACCCTCGGCGCGCTTCAGCTCGGTGGCAGCGGCCCACTTCTTGTCCTCCTTGACGCCCTCGTTGGCGGCACGGACGGGCTTGGCAGCCAGGCTGTCGCGGGCGGCCTTCTCGGCGAGGTAGTCGTCGTAAGACTTGGACTTGTCGGCCTCCTCGGCCTCCTCAGCGGGAGTCTGGGGCTCCTTGTCGTCCTCCTTGGCGATGGACTCGCCAACGCGCTCGTCGTCCCAGGTCTTCTCACCGGACTCGCCGCCCCAGCCCTGCTGGACCTGCTTGCGAGTGTCGCTGTCATCGAAAATCATCGTTAGTTATGCTGCACTGCGGGTCCAAGCTTAATTTGCCACACGCTTGTCGGTAGAGCGACTGGAAATTCTTCTCTTTCATTCTTTGTTGCTCATCTCTTTCTTCCTCTTCAATGTTCTCCCGATTCGTGTGTGGCTTGTTTTGCTTGGATGGAATGGCCTCTTTCGAGAAAAGGATCGCTTACGTCTGACCAGTGCGGGACTGGCGGTCACCACGAGGGGGACGGTTGCCACGGGGGCGCGAGGACTGACCCTCGGCCTCATCGGTGGGCTTGGTGCGGTTGTTAGAGCGACCAGCGTTGCGGTCACGGTAGGCTAAAGAGGGCCAAAGCTTGTCAGCTTCCGATGCTTCCTATCAAGCTTTCCCCACACTTCATCCACCCCACCAACTTCTTCACGGATCGATCGGGTTTCACATACCAGCCTCGTTGCCGGCGGTCACACGGCCTCCACGGCGGTTGTTCTCGGAGCGAGGAGCGGGAGCGGCGGCGGGAGCCTCCTTGGGGGCATCACGCTTGCCAACGCGGGGAGCGGGACGGTCGACGGCCCGGGCGGGGGGAGGAGCAGGTCTGCTGGGGTCGAGCTCAGGGTCGTTGCCTAGAAAGCAGGAGAAAGATATATTAGTTTGGGATGAACTTCGGGAAGCTTGGAGATGCTCTATAATGAGGGGCAGGTTCCCGACCATGAATTGGATCATGGAACCGGAATAGGCGGGAGCTCATATAGAGCGAATTTGAAGAATCACATACCGAGAAGCTCGTAGAGGTTCTATTTCGAAGCAAAAAGCAAAGGCGATAATGTTAGCCACGGCGCTCGCTACAGAAGCGCAATTGTGAAGCAGAGCCGAGCTCCGCCCATAATTCCAACCACTTTCAACGTACCTTAGACCGGATGGCGTCAACCATGACGCCTGGTGCTGCGGAGTTCCTTCCGACGGGGAAGGCACTCAACGATCACTAGGATGTAAGAAAGGTAGGCACAAGGCAGAACCTCAGCAAGTCCAGCCTCTTAATTTGATAGTGATTGAAGGGGTGTAGTCTTAGGAAGGGAAGGTTGAGGGTTTGTGGTGCAGCACGAATCCGGTTAGGCGCCATTTACTAAGCGAATCAGGCTAGGGCTTAGGGTATCATGGCGTCACTAGATGGCATCATACATTCTACAATCCCATTACTTCCCTGTCTACTTTTGCAATTAATTGCTTTTTACTGCCTCGGCTATGCAGGAAAGGAGTGTTTATTCCATTGTACATTGTACAACCCGATGGTATCAAAATAACATGTCAAAAACCACCAAAATTCCCAACTTTCAACGCCAGGCAATGCTAGAAAATCAAAAACTTTTTGGAAGCCAACCAATGTAACCCAACCAGGATCAATACTTTTTTTCTGTTTTCCTCTTTCCACTCGAAACATGGAATAGGATTGGTTTCGATAGAAAAAATACACTCAAAATGACCCGCAAAAGATGCATCGCTTAATTGCGGGGATTGTTCTGTTCATAGTTGAACGGCGTAGGGAAATGCATGCTTGCACTGAGTCCAAACGGATCAGCATCCAGCATCGGTTCATACTGACCGAGAAGCTGGTTTGCATTTCCGAACTCTCCGGGCGTTCCGTCCCCGCCGGCAGGAGGGAATCCAGACAAGTTATGCGAGCCGGAGGCGACCGACTGCGGTGTGAACCCGGGGACATATGGTGTATTTACTGAGCCGTCATGGTCATCATCCACCATGTCAGCTTGTGCATCATACTCTTGTTCTGTTCAATGTAGTCAGCAATGTTGATTCTTGTCTTTTTCGCTTCTTAGCGATTGGTTCCGAAACAATTGACTCACCCAGTTGATCATAATGTTTCTGGAAAGGAGATGGGTAATAATTAGCTGCAACTCGCTGCTGACCACGCGGCACCCGAAGCTTAGGCTCATTCGGATCCGACTGCGGCATACTGATAGCCGGTGGTGAGGTCTGGTTATTGAAAGGCCTCGGTTGAGGTAGCAGCTGTGGACGTCCTGCCCCTTGCTGGTCAACGGGGGACATGCCAGTCTGGAAGCCAAAGCCAGGTGACTTGGCATGCGACGGTGATGACACATGAGACGTTGGCGTAGCCTGAAACTGTGGCGACGGCACACCATACGCGCCCTCACGCTGTGACATGGCAAATGCATCAGGTTTGGACGTGATGCCAGGGTGCCTCGGCGTGGGCCGAGACCCTGTGGGACCCGGCGGCTTAGGTGGCATAGGAGTGGTCTTTGGCTGAGCACCTGGAGCCCCAGTCTTTATCCGCAGCTCAGCTTGCACATCAATACCTGAAAGAGTCTGGGGTTAGCTCGGAAGCGGGGGAGGTATGCAAGTATAGACGCAAGGAGGTACATACCTTTCTCTAACAGGATGCGCTCCAGCAAGGAGTTCTTATACCGCAGCATCAGACATTCATCTGCGGCGCTGCGGTGGCTCTGCTGTAGGCTCTGCAAGGACTCTTCATTGCGCTTGATAGTGGTCTCCAGCTGCCGAATATATTCCGTGCGGCGTTCACGGAAAGCAGCTTGAGCCTGCCTATTGCGCTGCTTCCGTTCTTCGGAAGTGGCGTAAATCTAAGATGCGTTAATAACAAAACAAGATAAGTCACATAGGAGACCAAAAGGGATAAAAGATCCGGGGGCAGATAGACCAAACAGAAGACATGATAAGAGGGTGGCATGGAAAGATAAAAGAAAAATAAATAAAAGGGAATGCGGGGCCCCGGATTATTGCATCAGATGCAAAGATGTTACGTACAGGTTTTCGACCACCTTTACGCTTTTGAGTCTGCGCAGGGTCTTGAGTCAAGGCTTCGACCTCGGGATCTGGCGTTGACACCGTCGAACTGATGGAGCCATCTAGCATAGGCTCGGTCTTAGGCACGACAGGGTCCATGACCATGTCATTCTGATCAGGATGAGAGGTCTCGACCATAGAGACCATTGGATTAACCCCCGTGTCTTTTCGATTTCTGTTACTTAACGAAGATCACGTCTTTTCCGCAACACGGACCAAGAGGGATATTCGTTTCTCCCTCCCGCCGAACCACGGGCTTAGGGGACGAGAGGGGAGGACAAAATCAGAAACAGACGCAAGAACCGCGCGGCTCGGCGGTTAGCAGGGAAGGAACGAGTAAGAGGCAAGAGAGTGACATAAAAGAAATTGAAATTATGAGAAAGGAAGAGTCAGAAGAATTGAGATAAACGGAATGGGGCGAGGAGGAGAAGAAATGTGAGTAAAACGATTGAGTAAACGAATAATAATATTGTTCAAAGGGTCAGACGAGAGGGGCTCGCCTAGTTAGTTTTGACTTTTTTTTTTTCTTTTCCTTTTTTCCTCTATTTTTTTCGCCTTCGCTCGCAACCATGAATGGTTCTGACGGCACGGGTCCACCCCAAGTCCCCAGACTGGTTGAACGGCCAAGTCTCAAGATCCTTAGTGGTCATACGAGGTGGATATGGATGTGGGGATTTGGAAAAAAAGAAAAACCTGCCACGCAACAGGGGGGGGATGCAGGACTTAGTTCCGCGGAGAATCATGTAGAGCTACAGTAATTATAGGTGGAATGCTACTTCTACAACAAAGTACATAGCGACGAGCAGAGGTGGCCGAATAGCCGATACCGGGGCGTAGTCAGGTTCGGCGCTTTCCGCCTATGCTGGTTCAGCTCACCGCGGAGGTTCAGGGGCGAAATGAAAAATTTTCACTTGAGCCCTGCAAAGCTAGTCTCCAAACATATACAGGAGACTAGCCTTGGCACCGATCTAGGCAGGTCATTAGAGAAAGGTCCACGGTGCCTTGACCCTCTTTGGGATCACGCGGTCCGCGGTCCCACGTTTCTTTGGCCCCCTACCATGATGCAATATTGAACGCGTTACAGATTTTCCGTCCTTCCGACCTCGTCTAGGTGGACCGATTGGTACATGGTCTGATGCTCTGGAACTCGTATATGAAACGCTAAACCATTGGGAATCCCCAGATTATATACTCGACATTCCGTACCTCGTGGCCCCATAGGAACTAACTTTGATATACCCCCCGAAGATGTCAAATCCTAAAAGCATCAGTCTTTAAGCCTTGCATCCAGGGACCATAGATCAGATCAGATCAGATCTCAGCCCTGGAGGACACGAAATCTATCTCTGACGTACTACTGCGCGCCATATGTGCAAAGCATGCAATATGCTCTCGGCGATCGGCATTCGGTTCCCCGCCATAAACTAAAGTCACATGCCGTGAATCTTCCCAACTTCCCCGTAACCAACAGGGTCTGGTCGTATTTTCGCTCTTCATTCATAAATTTCATCTAGAATAGGCGACCATGGCCAACGTCTCAGCCCCCGACCTGCGGGAGGATACAACCCTACCTGCAGCCCCCGAGAACCCCGCGTCTGAGCAACCCGTTGCGCAAGCTACAGCTGCAGAGCCCCTACAGAAGCAGCAAGCCGATCACGACGATGACGATGATGATGACTCCGAATTGGACGAATTGGATGGTAAGATATCTCTCTCCCTCCCACTTTTATTTTCCCTTTGCGCCAGTCATATCGGCATCTAATCAGCATATTTCCCCGCAATAGACGTGCTAGATGACTTCTCCAAACCCAAGCCTGCACCCGCGCAGCCCGCCCCTGCACCAGCAACCGAGGCTCCGGCCGATTTCGATGAAGATGCTTTCCTGAAACAGCTGGAACAAGACATGGCAAACATGATGTCGAACCCGGGCGCAAATCCGTTCGGCGCAGGCGCCGACCCCAATCTCGCCTCGGTAGAAGAAGGTGCCGACGCCTTCGCTAGACAGCTTGGGGAAAGTGGTATCCCACCCGGTGACTTTTTGAAACAATTGCTTGCCGATGTGATGGCCGAAGAGAGTGGTAATAGTGATGCTGGTGCCGGGTCCGGCGCGAAAGCGGCGCCTAGCAGCACCACACCTGCGCCTGCATCGGCCGATACTGGAGCCTCTGGTTCTAGTGAACAACCGACTGAGTCTTTTAATGATGCGATTCAGCGTACTATGGAGCGGATGAAGAGCTCCGGGGATCGGGCTACGGAGGCTGCGACTGAGGATGATGGATTGTCCGATGACATGCTTGCGCAGTTGCTTAAGGCTGTGGAGGCTGGAGCCGCAGGTGGTGACGAGGGAGATTTATCGAAGATGTTCATGGGAATGATGGAACAGTTGTCTAATAAGGAGATGCTGTATGAGCCGATGAAGGAGCTTGATGGCAAGTTTGCGCCTTGGATTGAGAAAAATAAGGCCGAGGGCAAGGTCCCCCCCGAGGATATGACTCGGTATGAGACGCAGGCGAAGGTGGTGGGTCAAATTGTGAAGAAGTTTGAGGAGGCAGGATACTCAGATGATGATCCGAAGTGTCGGGAGTATGTGTGGGAGCGAATGCAGGAGGTAAGTCTTTCGCGGTTATGGTAGCGGGATCCGGCTAATTGGTTTTATAGATGCAAGCTGCTGGAAGTCCTCCCGAGGAGCTGATTTCAAACCCGCTAATGGACATGGGTGATCTAGGCGGCGCTGGAGCTGCTGCTGCTGCCGGAGGGGTCCCTGATTGTCCACAGCAATAAGGAAGAGTTAGGGTTTCAATATGAAGATACACATCTTCATTGGCTTGCTTTGTACTGTACATATACACACGACCGATACCCGATCATTTACTGAGATATCCACAGATGATTAACCTTAGCCCATATCCATAAACGCCACCCTGATGCAATGACAATAGACGCTCAAAAATAAAAATATCCACAAACACTCAATCCTCATGACATATCCATATCTTGACTCTCATGAGACAGCGCAGGCTCAGGCAACGTCATAAAGATATCATCATACTCATCATCACTGAAAGAACCGTTCTGTTGGTCCTGCATAGCCATCTGCATCGCCTCTTCTTGGGAGACAAACTCATCAAGAGCACGGGCATCATCATCTGCGAAGGACATTAGCCAAATGATCATCCAATACAAACAATGCAAGAGAGAAAGAACATACCAGGAAGCATATCATCCTCCTCCATATCTCCCTGCATCGGCACAACATCCATATCACGCGCCATAGACTCCTCCCACTTCCGCTTATCAGCAAGATAATCCGCATGCATCATTTGCTCGCCACGCGCCTCATGCCGGCCCTCGTCACGCTCATTCCGTACGCGATTCATAAACATTTTCCGCGTCTTCGAGCGCGCAAGCGAAGTAGTACTTTTCATAGGATTGGCAACCTGGTTTGTATAGCGGTCTGAAAACTTGGTTGCGCGTGTAGAGGGCGAAGGTGAGGTGGGAGACATCATGTTTGCTTGGCTTGGAGAGAAGTTGAAAGGAGTTGAAACGGATGCAGGGGCGCCAAATATAGGTTGCGACAGCTGTTGTGTCTGAGGGCTATCATTGTGCAGCGAGAAAGCATTGTGCAGCGAGAAAGAAGAGAATGGGACTGGGGAGAAGGCGTTCTCATTTGCGCCGGTTGGCTTTTGGGGGTGTCCGGATCCGGCGCGTGAGGGAGATCCCATTGTCCATGGGGGAGTTGCGATGTTGGAGCTGCGGAGGCCTAGTGGAGATGGGCGCGCTGGGGTATAGTGGGATGTTTGGCGGAAGGGTGTGGATGGAGATTGTGTTGCGAACATGGTGGATTTGATTTGATTTGAGTAGGGTGGTTGAGTAAGTGGGTTTCGGGTCCCGTGGTTCGATTTTGGAAGTGTGTTGTTGTTTGCCCGAGTCCGGGGATTGGGTTTCAATTTAGTTTAGAGATCCACTGAAGATTGATGATTCAATTGGAAGTCGTGAGTATTGGGTTGGACTTTTAAATGGTGATGGAGGCTGGGATGAGTGTCGATCGGATCGCGACGCGCATACCACACCACGTGAATGAGGCGCGTTGGCACGTCAGACCACCGCTTGGAATGTTGATCGCGATTATCTTTGATCGCGATTATCTTGGGATGAGATCAATCTTATCTCTTGACGCGTTGGATACTTCATCATTGATGAATATCTATAGGAATGATAAGATATGGAGTAGATTGTATGTATGTTATGTGTCGGTCTTTCTCTGCGCGCAGGTCACTGCTGCCATTCATCTCACTTCACATAAGCGTTCGCTACACATTTGATTTTTACATTGCCTAGTTAGGATATACGCTTCTATCAATACTGTGGCCCTCACTTCACTACCAAGAGCCTTGAGAACGAATCAGTACGGTTATAAGGTCGAGTGCATGGTAAGCAGATCAATTACCATGTATGAAACTATTTTTAAATGAATAGGTAGTCAAAGTTGTGCATCTCGCTGGAATACAGAAGAAAAGTAGAGAAAAGGTGAAATAGAAGGGAATGAAAAGAAAGAAAACCAGCCTCGAAGGTCGAGCTTGTGAACGCCAAAACCCTATGCTCCAAACCCGCGATGCACACGGCGCAATGAAGAAGTAGAATCAAAGAGAAGAAGAGGGTAAGGGAAAAAGTGGAACAACTAGTGAGAACATGCTTTCCCAGGCCTTGAAGGCTTTGGGAGTCTATATTTGATCAAAGGAAAGGAGTGTGGTAGGTATTATGTCGGGAGTAATTTTGTGATAGCCCGACCGGCTGCGTAGATGGAGAGAGGTGAAGGAGATGGGGGTGGGCAATTGCGGCTCGTTACTTTCGAAAACTTTCGACTCCCAGGGTCGGGTTCTCAACGGCGCGGTCGGATGGGACACCTTCATCACGTCGCCGGGCAAAAAAGCTGTCGCATTCCGAGACGATGTGTGCCCATTCCGCGAGGGCACGACCAGCATATTTGCTGGGCACCAGATGGTCGTAGACCGGTTGGAAGGGCAGTTCTGGCAATGGCGAGTCCTTGGTAGTGTGCACTCGATTCTGCATTTCTGAAACTGTTTCTGTCGAGAGTAGCTTGGATTCTGAAGGAAGGTCGGATGGGTTTTCACCAGGAGTCATCTCGGAGTCTGTCACAGCTTCGGAGCTGGTGTCGTCGTCGAACTCGCACGGTTTGGAGGGGGAACGTCGATGCTGCACATGGATTTGAGATGCCACGGGGAGGCAGGGGGTGAAGAGGCGCTTGTTCTTGGTAGGCCACTGTGGCCGATCCATCCATTCTAGTGAGAACTTGAAGAAGAAGGGCTGGTGGGGTGTTTTGGGGCGGACAAGATCATCCGAACTGGTGTTTGGGGTTGGCTCATGATCCTCTAGACACTTGCTCTCAGAGGTCATGGTTAAATCGATGCCAGTGTTGTCGAGCTCGTCAGAGCTGCTGCTGATGCCGTCTGTGGCCCGGCTAGCCGACGAACTGCCAAACATGGACCGAAGAAGACCCCATCGACGTTTGGATGTCTGGCCTTCTGAACCCGTTGAATCCGAGGAACTGGATCTCCGATGTGTCATGATTTGATCGGAAGACATGGGTGGAACCACACGGTCAAATGAAACAAATAGATTCACAGGAGAGATTTGGTTGTCACATCGAATGATGATGATTCTTCGTCCTGGAGCAGGTGTACAGGGTGCGGATGACAAGGGTGCAGTAAGTCCTTCCTCTGCCTTTGATTGGAACCCAACATAATACTCCCAAACTCGCATTAAACGATCTGAAAGGGTCTCATATATGTTCCTAAAGTATTGATTAGCAATGAAGACTGAAGTGGCAATCCGGTGAAACTCACGAATCAAGCGCCGAAGGATCCCCGCTGAACCGGCCCACCCTCCAGCAAAGTAGGCGGTGGAAGTAGGCACGCACCATGGGACTCCAATGGTTAAAATAGTGGTAAAAAACGGGTTCGTGCAATAGAAAGTCTAAGCATAGACTCGCTTTCCTCTCCTCACTGGCAGTCCAGGTTCCCCAGACGGCATAAATGAACGAAAACACCCGAACTTCGGTCAGGGAATTATGGCTCTGATTCATCTGCCGACATACGTCCAACCAAAAGGCCCAGTCGAAGAGCTCCGTTTCGATTGACTGCGCATATCGGGTGATAATCGGGATCGCCTCCTCTGTAAAGTCACACAGCAGGAAACACGCATTGTGGTCAAAGAGGGAAATCTTCTGGGCAACAATCTTTAAAAGCCCACAGAATGTCTCGGCATACAGCAGGCGTGCCCGGTTCGGTTCCGCAGAGGATTCAGAAAGCAAGTCACGCAAAAGAATGATCAATCGATTCTCTGCCATTGAGCGGTGGCTGTTTCTTGCACCTCCAATTTGATGGGGGGAGGCAGAAGCATCCGGTGATTCGAGATAATCGTCAAATGTAACGGCAGCCGCTGTGGACGGATTTTCGGGCATTTGCTGTACTGATTGCTTGTAGATCGTGTCCTCAAACGTGACAAGAAGCTGTGCATGAACCAGAAGCAAGCCAGGCGCCAAAATTCGCTTGGCTTTCTCGGTCTCTGGTGGCAAGTACTCCGCATAGAGAATATGGATATATTTGACGAAAACGAAGAACAAATCAGTTTCGCGGCCAGACCAGCGTGTAGTCCATGGTCCATTCCAGGCAATGTTAGCTGTGTTCAAGGGGGCCTCTGGCTTCGTTCGCAAATATCGCAATAAGGGTGCATGCGAGTGAAACGCTAGTGGGCGAAGAGCGGCAGGAAAGCTGAGTGCGAGCTCTTGGGTGTATGCGCGCATGGTCCCAACTCGAGACACGGTGGATTCGGCGAAGACGCGGCGGAACATGGCAGGAGCTATGTTCCACAGACGAACCAAAATATCTGGTACCCCTGGGCAGAAAAAGAAGGCATAGGCACAAGCCTTGCCGCAGAAAGCGACCAGACTTGCAGGTGCGTGCCTCATGGACATTCGATCTACAACAAACGACATTTGGGACAATAGGTTTTGCACAAAAATGTTCCGAATGTTATGATGGATCGATTCAACCAGGAAATCTGATCCTGATGAGCCTGAACCCTCGGAGGTTTCCGACACAGAAGTTGACGCATATTGCAACGAGTCTGTTGTGACTCCACTGCTTTGCTGAGCTGTGGGAAATGGCATGCGCCATTCTGGCCGAGTCATAATGCCCACAACTGCCTCTAAGAAGACAGGTCTGTCCGTTCCAGATATTGACTGATTGTGCTTCCCATTGAGCATCTCCAGCATCCCGATCCACCACTTGTTTAGAATATTGACCCGACGATCCAAGTCTTCGGGTCTGAGCTTCTTGCAGGAGGTGTGTAGATGATGACGGCTGAGGAAAGGAAGGAGTGAAGATCGAATAACATTGGCCTTGAGAGAGGTTGACTTAGATTGGAACCTGTGTCTCTTAGTCAGAAATGGTGTCATTTTGGTATGGTGAGTTTAGATACTCACTTTTGGAAATCCGCTTCCAGGCCGCGGAATATCCCCCAAAGCTCATCTTTCTTCCGCGATTGCTCGGGTGCGGTATTTTGAAAGGAAGCAGCTGTAGCAGCAGCTGTAGCAGCAGCCCCCTTGGGCATCGGAGGAAGGACTGGTGTCGAGACAGAGAGAGAGGCAGTAAATTTCTCAAAGGAGGTCCGGTGTCGCAGCAAAGTGCTGCCAGGACTACTGCTAGAAGGACTACTTGGTGATCCAGGAGAGTCCTCGTGCCCTTTGGCTACCACTGCAAGCATAGGGCGACGCGGCCGCTTATATAGAATTGTCCGCCTGCGCGTCGGTCCTGAATCCGAGTCCGACTCATTTTTGCGCCCTCCTGATCTCGTTGGAGACTCCTCTGCTCTCTGCTTCACCCTCTTAGCCGTGGAAGGAGAGGGTGATCTCGATGATGATCCAAATGGTTTGCGCGCAAGACTGACTATCCGACCTGACATTGAGCGGCTCTTCGACGGTCGAGCAGCGGGCTCCGGTGCCCTGTGTTCCGGTAGTTTTGTTCCAGCATTTTGCGGGTCCAAGTCCTTCAAGTCCTCCGACGATGAAAGTGTGAAGTGAGTGACGGCGGCGGAGGTTCTATTTTTAGATCGCAGGGATGTGCGGCGTAGGATATCTTTCCCGGCAGCTACACTTTCTTTCGTGGGCTTAGTCGGCGATTCGGCTTGTGTAGGGACGGCATAGTCGGAGAACGTTCTTCGTAGGCTGGGTGAGCCGGTATCTGCGTCTGCCTGACTGGGGAGATCGGTGTAGCTGGCAGCGCGTTGGAGTAGGTCACTCCCTTCATCTTTCGTATAGACACTCGTTGTTTCAAGGGAGGGCAAAGACATGGTAGGAGGAAGCGGTCAGGGGAGTAGCTGTCTAGAACTGGACATTTCCCCGGGGGAGCACCGCAGACGTAACGAGGGTTTTGAAGAAGACCAGCTTCTCCATACACCAGAAGATTTCCGGTCAGTAATTAGTGCTTAGACGCGCAGCATTTCCAGATCCACAGGAGCAACAAGTAAACACAGCAGCCCCCCTCCGAAAGGGAAAACAAATCCAATAAAATAGAACGGGAGCAACGGGTGAAGGAAGCGCAAAGGGTCCTTCGATCAGTCACACGCGGGGAGGGATCAGATTTCTCCAAAAGCTGAACGCGCACACATCCGAGAAGGACAAAAAAATGTAGAGAAGTCGGTGACCTGTAGATAGATGGATCGTCGCTGCAGCTACAAGGGCCAGCGGCCGAGTGAAATGATCGGCGTCGGGAAATCCTTTAACGGGCGGTTCGGGGGCAGAACAAGGGTCCGGTCGCGTAGTGGCGGGGAAGCGGAAGTGAGGGAGTTGACGTAGAACAGAATAATTGATGAAAGGGATAACACGCAGCCCCGTTTATATGAGGCGTGATGATTGGTGAGGTTGGGATTGTTGTCTTTTTTTTTTTTCAAGGTTTGTTTATTGGTATGATCGGGTCGGGGAGGAAGGGGGTGGAGGAGAAGAGGTTGGAGGTTTGATAGAAGGTAGGAGAGAAAGAAGTTGAAACAAACTGAAGAGCACCAAAAGTAAAACAATAGAAGATATGAAAACGAATGATAATCAGAGAAAAAGATTAATGCTGTAATTGATTCAGATCCTCTCTCCCCTTGACCCAATCTCCCCATGCTAATGTGAGACACGCTGTCCGTTCCCCACTGCATAACCCACTCTGTATATAGTCATCATTCTCGCGTAATCTTGTGTCCCTCTTCAATGGTCTATTTCCAGGCTGACCTTGGTCTTGATTGCAACCTGGCACAGCAGCGCCAATAACATCGGCTCCGAAAGGTTTAGATAGAATTCGCTCCAAAGAGGGGAAAAGATAAGGTGCATGTCCAAGCTGGTTTTAGGTTTATATACAAGTTACCCGATCCGCCCACTTCCGTGTTATAGTAGATTCACTGGTCACTATTAGCAATTGGTCAAGATCTGCTATATTCTCATATTTCAACGCCATTCCTCCAGGGCTGCACCCATGGTAGTATATACATTCCATTGTGGAATGTCGCTTCCCAGGTGGCACGATCAAACCCAGAAGAAGAAAACGACAATGATATGACATGGTGCCCCACATTCCTCTACAGGGAAATTGAAAATACTTGAACTTCAAATGGTACAGCTGGTGCACCATACTCGACCAGGATTACGATCGAATCGGCATCGCAGATTCATGGGGACATATGTGTCAATCTAGACTGTCTTGTGGGACATCATCGTCGTTCATTACCCACTCGGCAGGGGTTCCCGCCACTAAAAGACTGTCAAGGCCCATGGATAAACCTGGCTAAGCATGAGCCCTTTGGGTTTGACTTGGTTCCGCTGGTGTAATCTCAGGGCCACTTCTCCAGGGCATTGCGCAAGCTCTTGGCGATAGTTTCATATTTCACCCCCTGTCAATGTATCCCAGCCACGGTCTCGGCTAGGATCGAAAAAGGTGCCATAAGAAAGTGGCTGCATGAACAATCAATAGGGTGGCTGTTGAACGGACAATTTCACGAAGTGGTGCATAAGGCTGCGAGAGACAAAAAGCAATTCGATACGAGCTGAAGGCAAAAAAGAAAATTAGAAGAGGCACTAACAAGCGGGGATTAAGCTCGGCCAGATTCATTGATGGGACCACGTCATTAGGCTCATTATGCAGGGTGTCCAGCCCCAGGTCCACTTGTTACGACGACAGCTAACAAGACGCCTCATCCAGCAAATTAGAGCTAGGTCTGGGCCTAGATTATAAAGCCAGATAAGCTTCCATATTCCGTAAATTGGCAAGATGGCCGAGTTGGTCTAAGGCGTCAGGTTAAGGTTCACCTTGACATCAATTTCCTGATCTACGTTTGTAGGCGTGGGTTCAAATCCCACTCTTGTCATTTCTTTTTGTCTTTTTTTTTGGTTGCTTTACATCCTGGTAGTCACCCCATAGTTTTGCCTTTGTCTCCGTTCCTATTTCATCCCTTTAAGTCTTGGCTAATTCGAATTCCACATCTGATCAACAACAGAATGGCGGATATATACATGGCAACTCTCTACGTACAGTCTTGAATTCTCCAAGCCAACCAAAACACCACGTTGTTTACTTATATGGATGGGTTCAAAGCATAATGTTCCGACAGGTCTGATCCGACTTACCTGGAGCTGTTATGATTTCCATTCGATCAAATCAACTATGCTAGACATGTCAACGATCGCCGGCATCGGAGCACCCCTCTGGATAGCCAGGGGGCATCATGACCATGCATAGATTGTTCCTTCTAATTTCAGACTGGCCATATGCATGGCTGTTAGGTATATAGACTAGTCAATCGATCTACTGACGCAGTTCAAAGAATTACGATGTCTAGGCATTCGCGTGAGGGTTAATCTGTTTATCAGATGCTGTACACTCGAGCTTTGTTGACATGGCTCGAAAAGTGATCTCAATTCAAGTTTTTTAAGGGATTCGTGTACCGGTCTTATTCACTCAAGCATAATTTGAGGTTACATGGTAGCATAGCACGATCGGTGTCGAGAATTAGCATAATACGGGAACCCTGTCGCACCATGTGCACGGGCGCATGTCACGCTCCAGACTTAGAAGGCGAATATCTTAACTCAAGAGCAGGCACAATGGTTGAAGCAGACCCACGGAAGGACCTTGTCGAGAACGAAGTAAAAAGAGGTTGAACATTTCAAGGGTGGTCTAATTTACAAGCTTCAGGACCCGAGAGGCGGCCAATCTAGTCACGCCACAGGCATGCACAGCCGGCCCCCCATATTTCCCCAGACCTTGCCAAACGATAGAAAGAGAAATTTAGTGGGCAGCGGCAGCCTCCTCTTCCTCCTCGACGAACCAGCTCTCCTCGACGGGAGCGGCCTCACCAGCGGCGGCCTGGCCCTCAACCTCAACCACGGACTGCTCGTAGGCGGAGAGCTCACCGGCAAGGTTGGCCTCTTCGGGAGAAGCGGGAGCCTTGGGGAGAGCGAACTTCTGGACGTGGGCATCGGCGTCGCTAGCCTTGATGGGGGTGGGCTTGTAGGCCTTGAGCTGGTTGATGTACAGGTCCTGGATGGTGTCGGCTGGGAGATGTCAGTCAGGAACAGGCGAGATTGAGTGTCGAGCTGAAGGATATTGTATGAGCCCTTAGGGTATTCAAGATCGATACATACCGCGGCGGACAGCGGAGGTCACGAAGGTGCGAGCGACCGGGACCTGTTGCCGAGCGGCACGGGTGAAGAGGGAGCGCTGGTTCGTGATCGCGTTAGCCGGTTGAATATAAAACATCGCCAGTAGTAACCTACCGAAGCCCGGAGAGACTGGGACATCATCTTGGCGACGGGGGTAGTCGGTAGACGTAGAATGAGGGGATGCTCGACAGGAAGGAGATCTGAGCCGTCGTTCCGGTGCAGTGAAGTTCAAAACGACTTCTGTTCGGAAGGAAATGCTTGGCGCTGAGTCATTATCACGTGATACTCCGGATTGTTCTCAGCCGGTCTCGTCTCTCACTTCACCTTTGTCTCCTCTCATCTCTCCCCCAGCTCCTCGATCCACCCCCACCCTCAGCTTGTCTCCGGAACTCGACTCCTCTGCTCTTCGCGTTCCTGCAGCCATCCGGTTCGACGACCCTTTTCGTGAGCTCGTTCTTACGGAGACCTTGATTGGTTCCCCGCGGTCGAACAAGCTCAGGCATCGAGGCTCTCTGACTCTCTTTCTTTTCAAAGAAAGCGCAGATTAGCGAAGGCTTCCTCACCACTGGGGGGTGATCTGTTTCGCTGCGCGTGGCCATATCTGAAAGGTAATGACGGCCTCGAGGACTCGGGAAAGTTTGTGGTGTCGCAACCTGGATACCCCAGTCAGGCGGCGACATCATCCCGGCTTGTCGTAGTTTTCATGCTGGATGCGGATGGGCTAACATGAATACCTGGGTAGTGGTGCGCGCAACCTGAGAAGGTAGCTACTGCTCTTTTTCTACTCGTGGCACATCCGCCAAGGTGTATTCGCCACTGTTCCTTCGTTACTATAATCGCAAATACAACATCCCCGTCACTGCCAAAAGGATTGCCAAGAGGCAGAAATCCCGCTTCGAGCAAATTCGGCAAGCAAAGAAGATGGCGACCCTTTCCAGTGTGGCGGCCGATGCGGCAACAACCCCGTGGAAGAAAAACCTCTCTGCGACGCTCTGTTGCCCCGAATGCAAGGAAGTGCCTCCCAACTTGGAGTTTCCGGACTCCCACGAGACTGTCTGTGGCTCTTGCGGCTTAGTTCTAGCTGATCGCGAAATCGATATGCATTCCGAGTGGCGAACCTTTTCGAACGACGATCAAAACAATGACGATCCTTCTCGTGTCGGAGATGCCTCGAACCCGCTTCTTAACGGAGATCAACTTGAGACTACCATCGCTAGCGGAGCTACTGGTCGATCCCGTGATCTTTACCGTGCTCAGAACAAGCAGTCCAACGAGAAGTCCAACAAGGCCCTGTTGGCAGCATACAAGGAGATCGGTGCTCTCTGTGACGGCTTCAATATCCAGAAGAACGTGGCCGACACGGCCAAGTATCTCTTCAAGGTCGTGGATGATGCGAAAGCTTTCAAGGGCAAATCCCAGGATGTGATTATCGCTGGGTGTATCTTCATTGCGTGCCGTCAGTGCAAGGTCCCACGTACCTTCACTGAGATCTTTGCTGTGACGAAAGTCACTCGCAAGGAGATTGGCCGCATCTACAAGGCTCTTGAGAAATTTTTCACCGCCCAAAATATTGAGCGCAACAACGCGTCTGGTGGTGCTGATTCCACTGATAACTACACTGCTACTACTTCGACCAAACCAAGCGACCTCTGCAGCCGTTTCTGCAACCTGCTCGATCTTCCATACTCGGTTACCAGTGTCTCCTCTTCGCTGTCTGACCGTGTCACAGCCATGGGTGATCTGGCTGGACGTTCTCCCCTGTCTATCGTGGCTGCTTGTATCTACATGGCATCGTACCTTATGGGTCACCCCAAGTCTCCAAAGGAGATTGCTGTTGTTGCTCACGTTAGCGACGGAACTATTCGCGGTGCCTACAAGCAGCTGTATGCTGAGCGTGATCGCTTGATCGACAAGGAATGGATCAGAGACGGCAGAGGTGACGTGTCTAAGCTTCCTGTGAGCTAAGCTTACCTGGGAACCCCCGTTTGATTTTCGCTGTATATTCTCTCGTACATGGTTCATGCAGATCATGATGTGTGGCTTTCACCCTTCTATTGGTTTCAAGTGGTTTTTGTCCCAATCCTTAAAAACGAAAGTGACTAAAAAAAGGGCTTTTTTGACAGATTCAATACCCCAGAAGTGACCATTTGCTAGCCCAAAAATGCTTTTCTTGTCTTTAGTCTAAGATGCCATTAATGCACATGGGTAATTCATCGAAACAGAACTACCAAATTCACTACCAATTGTATTACTCGCTCTCCGTGGTCCATGCCCTAGTTGTAAAGCTGGAAAAATCATGATTGTATACTGCAGACCATCGTGGCTTAGGGCTCTCAATTTAGGAATAGCGATCGATAGTACATCGACGCTCATCAACATTCGGTCTACATGGCTATATACTCTAGTTAAACATTACCTAAAGAATACTGGGCCTCAAGCCATTGGACGCACTAATGCCAAATGACCAACAAGACAGCTTCCAAATCAACCAAGTGGCATTCTACAAGATGCCATAATGGAATAGATTCATGGTCTGGTGATTCAATAATCACTAATTAAACAACACGCAAAAATAATTTGAGCAGGTTGGAGGGGTTGGATAATGTTAGCAGGGTCTGGGCGTGTTGACGTTGTAGAATGTACTTCTACGCGTCCCCATATTCAGACCATCAACAGCAGAAAAGAAACAAGGCGAACGAAGAAGACAAGGTATGAGAATAAAAAGGGAAAGACATAACAAATCAGATACTAAGATGACGATGCCACGCCGTGTATATCACCGTCTGATGCCTTCTTGCCATCGGCCGAAGCAGTCATGTCCTCGAGGGCGTTCTCCAATTTGGGGGAGGAGACTTCTTCAACAAGAGCTTGAGTGGTCTCAGTCAAGGGCTCATCTTCCTTTGGATCGGACTGCGGCTCGTCTGATTGAGTTGGGGGCTCAACAAGGGGCTCAGAAATTTGCTCTGGGGCTACGTCTTCGGTTAGAGTCTGCTCAATTTCGGGAGCTGCGCCAGTATCATTAGAAGCAGTCTCATCGATCACCGCGGGAGGCGCCGGGGTCGGGTCAACAGGTTCACCGGCAATGTTCCTTGCGATCTCTGGTGCCATGGTGGGTTCAGCGGGAATGGATACTTCTGGCGCCTTGGTGACCTTCTTCTCGTCACCGACAACCAGATTGCCATCTTCACAAAGCTGCCAGACGTTCCATGTTTCTGTAATTTTGATCTCTGGAATAGTCGGCAGTCGAGCATTGGCATTCTCCGCAGCGGGCTTTCGCCGGGTAGGACCACGAGCTCTGCCCTTGCGGGCATCACTTAGTGGCTGCTTCTCTGCCGGGGGTTCAGGCTCCTTCTCCTGGGGTTTTGGCTGTTGAGGGCCTAGCTGGAGACGCGAGTTCAAATCCGTGAGAAATCCTGCTTTCAGAGCCGCAATCTTGCTGCCACCGGGACGAGCTGGCACTGCTGGCTTTGCTTTGGGCACGGCTGGGCCTTCAAGAGAAGCCTCTTTGGTATCTGAGCCAGCCGGTGCCTGAGTATTAGCCTTTGCGGGACGAACCGGTACCTGGGGCTTCGGGCGACCAGGCATGACTGGTGGTTGACGCTTCTCTATCGGTGATGTGTTTTGCGGCTGTTTCTGCGGGCGGGTAGGGATACTGGGTTTGGCGGGTACTTCTGGGCTTTTCACCCCATCTTCCACGGGCTCGACGGTAGTCACCAGTTGCTGGCTGTCGGGTGCATCCTCCCAAATATCCTGACTTGGGAATCGCTGCTTGATAGCGTTGGGGCGCTTGGGGGCCTTGGGGCTTTCACGAGCACTCTCTCCTTCAAGAATATGACTGGCTACTTGGTGAGAATCAATCTTAGAGTTCTGCATCCTGCGCATGGCTTCTTGTTCGGGTGTCTCAAAAATATCCGAGGAGTCGCGTCTGGGGAGATCCGGGGTTGTGACGGTAGCATGGAGCTGCAGACTGTTCGGTGCATCTTCCCAGATATCCTGACTCGGGAACCTGTGCTTGGACAGCTCAGGGCGCTGTTTGAAACGATCTGCAACTGAAACGGGGCGTTCCTTCTTGGTCTCATCGTCTGGGAACAATGGCTCGTATTCCTCGACATTCTCCAGAGGGGTGTGATTATCATCATGCATTTCACGGGAGTCAAACCGAGTCAAATTTGGCACTCCTTGAGCACTGGCCGATCTGCTGTTAGAACGGCTGTGTGAAACACTAGGTGTCCGGCTTCGATACTCCTCATCAAAACTTCCCCGAGTAGGTGAAACTGCAGGGTGGAGGTATGCCGACTCGGGACGTGCTTCATCAGCAGCCAGAATAGGTTCATCTTCTTCGAATCTTTCTTCAACTGCCACGGTTGGCTCATCTTGCGCTGGAGTGGCAGCAAATCCATCTGGGTGGTGAAGAGGGTGCCTCGGGTTGTCGACGTGGATAATGTCATTATCTGCATGATTGCCATGGGATCTGCTCCTGACATGACGCAGCGGGGAGGCAGGCGCATTTTTAGGCTCGATTTCCGAGGCTGGGAAGCTCATCTGGCGGAGGGGAGATTCTATGGCGGGCTGAGAATCAAGGCGGTTGTCAGGTGGGGGAGATGCCATGCGGTGCATATATTCATCAGAAGCAAGGTATCCAACTTCCTCCTCAGGTGTTCCCTGAACATCAGGAGAAGTGCCTGTTATTTGATAATTGAGATTAGGGCTTGTTTAAAATTACTTTCCTGCCATTTAAGCGCTTACCTGGTGTAGAGCCAGCTGGGCCTCGAACAATCTTGTTCAGATCGTCACTGCTCAGAGCCCAATCGGGGCGAGGAGTGCCCACGCCAGGGCCGTATTGCCCTTCCTCCTTAACATATTCATCGGGGTGCTTATCATACCAGGCTTTCTCGAACTTATCACCATTTGGCACACCGTGGCCGTGCAGGCCGTAACTACCCGGGGGCAAGGAGGAGTCTCGGGCACTACGAGAACGGTGGTGGTTGCGACCTGAGCGTTGAGAGCCTTGGTCCAAGTAGGGGCTAGGAGAAGGTGCTTGGACATCACCAGCATTAGGGTACATAGGTACTCGGAAGCCATGTTCATCTCCGGGCTGCATGGAAAGTCGGCGATCGGAGGAAGCGGTGGACGACTCGGCCCGCGAACCGCTGGCTCGGGAATGCAGTGATCGACTGGCCCGTTCCGGCTCTTCGAGTGCGGGGGAGCTTTCGCTGTCACGGCCCAGGCCAGCAGCAGCAGCCTGGCGAGAGTCTGTGCGGGTGACCGCCTGCACTTTGGCCTTAGCACTTAACGTAGGCAAGGAGGGTCTCGGCGCATGAATCTTGAGGTCACTGCTAACGTTACGAGTCTCTGTCGGGTCCTGGTTATGACCTTCGGGTACGTTTCCAACATCTAGATCTGCATACTCAATCCCTTCCTCGCCAAGGGACGGTATTGTTACGCTCGGGGGGCGCTGGGGAAGCTGAGGGATGTCGTTCGACGTGGTCCGGCTCAAACTCGGACCACTCCATTCGTTGAAAGGAGATGGAGCATAGCTGCTCCGCATTGGAGACATTGATCGATCGATGCGGCGGTGAGCCGGGCGTGGAGGGATACCAGGCATTTCTAAAGAGGAACGCGGCTGTGGGGATCGAGACGGTCGAGGAGGAATGACCGGAGCAGTTTGGGAGGACATGATGAAGATCTTTTTGAAGCTGTCGTATTTCAATATCAGCTTAGGCTCGACTACACCCGAGGGCCACGTGTTTGAGGCATTTTAGGCCTTTTTCTGTACACTTGGAAAGCATGCAGGCCAAGGCTTGAGGGGCATGATTCTGTGGGGTCAACAGCCCGACAAGTGACGTCTATAGATGCAGGATAGGTCCAGGCCCCTGGTCTGTCCAGTAGGGGAGGGGGAAGGGGCGGGTAGCTGATAAGCAGATGCACAGGTGATTTGCTTACCCAGATTGATCTGTCGAATATCACAAATGCCTAGAGGCCAATTGAAAAGAATACAGCACAAAACGGTGAAAGTAGTGCCAAATGAGGGGAAAGGAGATACTTTGAGAAATCAAAGACAGGAAAGCAGGATGATGTATGCCTCGTTCTGCCACGACCCACCGAGCGCGTGACGTGCTCTGACCGCATCCAAAGTCTGCGTCCAATCAATCATGGGTCTTTTACCGTAATATTACGGGTCTCGACGTTCTTCTACAGTAGCTGAATTGTATTAAACAAATGGATCTATAATACTCTATCATACATCATTCGATTCGAGGTGTTTGATCGCCCATTCATTCTTCATGGGACGAGCGATTTAATGAATCATTGGAATACCTCAAATTCGAGGACCTTTCTGCGGCATTTTCGAAGCAAATGCCTCACGAAGAGTGGAGAGTGGTCGAGATCGTTTAGGTTCGGGGGCAAATCATGCTTCGTGTGGCCTTCATGGCGGTCTGTCTAGCCAGTCTAGCGTCTTTTTGTACAACGATGAATCTCCTATTTTCCTCTCCTTTTCGCAGACTATTGGACCGAAACTCATTTGGGTCCAGACCATGGGAAGGGATATTAATAGCCTATCTCTGATACGGTGGCGGTGCATCGAAGATTCATAGGGATCGCTCCAATATGATAAGGAATATCGGTCTCGATTATTTCCGTGAGACTTGATTGGACTGCCTGGCCGAGGCGGTGAGTGTGAATGGTTCTCCGCATTGCATCATCTAGCATGAAAGACCCCTCGTTCAATGCACCCAGAAGAAAAAGCATAGTAATGAATGCTTGGGGACACTCGAACAGAATTATGTCTTTCTTGTGAAAGGAATTCATAATCATCTATTCGATAAGGAAATCACACGAGCAGGTTCGTTGAGTCTTGGGTTAAGGTATAAGCTCCACTCTCAACCGGCCCTAGCCTTACGGAGATTGGGACGATTACCGTCACGGTCTTGTACGATGCGAGGGCCTGGAACAGGTTTCTTCCGACATGGTTCCTGGGTGGAAGGTCAGGAGTATTCCCGGGTGGCTTGGGGGATCATGGGGCTGGTAGTCATTGAATTTGGTCTGGGGTTTCCCGGTTGTATTTGCGGGGTGACGATCCCTTCGAGGAACTAGTTTAGGCAGATGGGGAGCAGGGTGATCAAAGTAGACGAAATTCTGCGGAAGATATCGCGTTACAATATTGATGCGTCTCCTTGACAGCCCTCAGGGCTGTCTTCAGCCCACATTTGCCATCTCTTACGAGCTCCAATACCCAGCTACAACCTACGTGCGATGAGCGACAACCCCGCGTCCTTGACCACGAGGCTCTGTCTACCTCTTCTGTGTATGTTGCCGTGAAGGCTGGTGCCTTCGCTGCCTTGACTTGATCAAAATCTTCCACAAAAAAAAATAAAAAGAACTCAAAAGTCATGAAGATAAATTTGCACCAAATCAAAGCTGGGCTGAGATCATGGTATAAGACACAATTGCCATCCAGACTCAAGCCTCCTCAGTCCCCACACGTCCATAATGAGCCATCCCTCTTGAATTGACCTTCTATAGGCGTCTATATTCATGGTACATTCTTCAAAATGGTCTACATTGTTTTAAACAGCCGTGGCTCTGTTAATCATATTTGCTCTTGCCGTTCTGTTGCAAATAGTCGTTGATAGATTCCCTATTTCTTTCAACATGCCTGCTGTGTCAGGGAACATAGTGATGAGAAAAAATTCAGGAACAGGCTGAAGAAGAGAAGACGCCAATTTGCAAAGAAACAAATGAGACCGAGGCAAAGATCCAAGGCGATAGTGTTGTTCCTGTGGTGGGCGCCGGCGCCACGTTTATCACCTTTGATGTGAAGACCACCGCGTTAAACCGAAGCTTGAAGCCCGACTGGAATTGGATGCCACTAGGTGAAGGCTTTTGAGAAGGTGGATTTTGAAAATGTTGCTTATTCTCTAGAAATTGAAGCGAGGCCTCATTTGATTTAGCTCGCGCACTTCAAGGGTTCAAATGATATAACGCTTCCTTTAGATGTATGCATGCAATCCCGTTTATCGCAGGAAGAGAGGTATCTTGGATAATTCATGTGAACCTCTGAACTTGCTATTCTTCTGCTTGAATCGTAATCGTTGGGTTTGACCTACGATGGTTGGGCAAGATGCTATGTGACTTGAAAGTCGGCTTCGCTTTGAGGACATTTAATTTCTTGTGAGCTCCGTCATACCACCCAGGTCTTCCTAGGATACTTGTCTATTGCGTTGAAGGGAATTGATGGCCCACGAGTGTAGAACAGGTGGTTCAAGAGAAACGTATGAGTTTTTTTATTCTTACTAGCGGTTAGGGCCAATCTGGAGGCGAGTATGCGTAGTCGAGACGAAGAATAGTATTACGGAATGGCACATAAAACCACTATACTTGTTTCAATATAGTTGGTGAGAGTATCAAAGATTGCTAAAAACAAAAAAGACAAAAAGAAATGACAAGAGTGGGATTTGAACCCACGCCTACAAACGTAGATCAGGAAATGATGTCAAGGTGGACCTTAACCTGACGCCTTAGACCAACTCGGCCATCTTGCCAGTGGATAAGTTAGGTTGCCAAACTTGGTTATATAAACAAACGTAGTATTACTTCACCTAGAAGCCCACCAAGTGGAAAACATACTGGATAATCAAAACAATTGTCTAATGGTTTCAAATTCGTTTGATTTGATTATCAATGGATTTATAATAGTAATGTACGGCTCACTCCATTCACTAGTGATGTATAGCTTCTCTTTCCCATAAATATAGGTCAAACTCATCCTCTTGTTTTTAATATACTGTACTCTCGACTTCGTGGGTTAATATATATTTGACTCGATGGCTCCACGTGTCAAACGGCGAACGTTTCAGCCAAACATATGCGAGGAAAACCAATCAGATAAAGTGCCATATCATGGGTTACGACACACCATGAGAAGCGGCACAATCTTGTCTACATTGGAAGGCATCCATGCACAGTCTTACACGGTGGTATCAACTACCTGGGAGGAGCCCCAGAATTGAAACCGTCATTTTCAACGACAAATAGTTAGCTGGTCCATACATGATTTGACGAAGAAAGAATAGGTGCCCCCGGACGAGGTAGTCCTCGCAGGATTTGTCGCAAATTCAATGAAGTGCGCCCAGGCAAATAATTAAGTCATAAGAGATAGTGCAGCCCTAAACCATACAAAGAAACAGTTCAAATATGTTCAAGGCGAAAACATCAAAGTGCCAAGTAGGCTCGCCCCAAACTAGAGACATACAAGTACAGGGCAGATAAACAGCAAGGTCATGGCGCATTCCAATGCAAGTTGCCCGAGGGCCTTTTTGAGGATTTCGCATCGAGCATCTCATCATTCCACGCAGAAATTCGAGCCCCAAGAGTTATGCTAGCGCGTACACATCTGGAACCGAAGGAAGCAGCGCGATACTAGTATTAGAAACCAAGCGCATTAAACGATCATCTGTACAACACCCTGGCCACCCAGTGTCTTGCTGCCAACAAACTCTTGGTTCTTCAGTCCAGCGAAGGCGTAAAAGAGTGCGGCGATAACGAGGACGACGGCCACTGCGATCAAACTGGAAGCGCCCGTGCAGAGACTGGCCCACTGGATGGCGCTGAGGACGGTGTACATGGCAGCTCGCATCCAGTTTGTGGTAAAGCGGCGGATGAAGGCATCGAATGTGGAGGACGTAGGGCAAATGCGAAGGAGCCAAGGAACTTCAATGAAGAGGATGACGAAGGTCGAGGCACTGTTGCACGGTTAACGGGAGAGGGTTTCAGTTTGGAGGGCGCTCCAGGCTTACAGGGCAAGGACGGAAAAGATGATCCGAATGACATGAACAGTGAAGATGTTGGCAATTCCAAGCGCCAGGCAAAGGATCATACCCAGAACACCGGTCCTAGTAGAATTCGATCAGCTAACGCTCTGTTGTACACAGGTGGAGGTTCGGAGGTGGTAGTCAAAGTGAGCGCCACAGGCCTTCCATTGCCACGGCGCATCACTCCTCCATGACATCGGGAGTCAAAGAGTCCTCAGGCGACACGACAATTGATGATACTGACCATTGTCCGTAAATACCTAGATGGAAGTGAGGTTAGCAGGGTCAGGTAATTCACTGGTTACTGATCGGCATAGCCGCCGCATCAGCACGGGGCGATACTTACTGAAATTTCGCGAACGGAACTCCTCGGCAAGCGTCATTATGGGCAGAGAATTGGCAGCAGGTTACAGCTACCAAAGAAGAGGGTTGAGATTGATATCACAGAAAGATGTTGCAGGTTTCACTCGGGAGAAGGGTTCAAGAGTGAAGTGTACACGCGGCTGATTAGCCACTGCGGCGGGCGGTCAATCACTGAAACGCAAACAAAACAAAGCGGACAGAGTTGATGTCGATCAGGTACACTGGGCCCAAAGCAATCTTTTGAATGTAAAATTAAAGTCAGATTTGACAAGCTCCTTTACATCTATAAGAGCTTCTCAACTGTTTTATCTTTCACCCCCAGGCAGACGTCAAATCTTTTGATCCGATACCAGCCCACTCCAACTTAGGCTACCACATATCAAGATAGGTTTTTTTTTTTTTTTTTTTTAAATCGATTCTCTAAACTCCGTATCATTCCATTGGCACTAAGACTCAAAATCATTCTTTCTCCCATAACGGAGCAATGCAACAAGGAACAGCGACCTGTTCATATCTTTAAATGGCCTCTTGCTAACGTTGATATGAAAGCTCAACGCAAGTATACTGCAACATTCCAATCAGGTACTTTTGATAGAAGGACGAACCAGACACCAAATGAGTGCGGCTACATCAGAAAAAGCCAAGAAACGAACTTAGTTCCGCAAAATATTGTGGGTGTAACAAAAACCAAAAAAAAAGACAAAAGAAATGACAAGAGTGGGATTTGAACCCACGCCCCGAAAACGAGATGCGGAAATCTGGATCAGGTGAACCTGAACCGCACGCCTTGGACCAACTCGGCCATCTTGCCTGTTAATGTGATAAGCTTCCCTTTCTGGATATATGATGCTAGTTGTCAGATCTTCACACAAAGGCCCCTAATTATCTCCCTGATCTGTTAATCGCCTCATCACCTATCCCTGCAGTAAATCTATATATCGCCTTATAATATCGGACAAGCATGGATTCGGTTTCCGTACACCCCCCTCCCCTGTATACTTAGTTACATCTGCACTACGTGGGCAGACTTATGAACGAGCAGGAGTCTTTGGCTGTGGGAAGCTTCGACAACCCCCGGGTTGCTTTTATGACAAACATCATCAATCAAAATCAGAGTCAACGATATTGATTCGACCACGATGAGAAAACCCAAGGTCAAATACTATCGAGGCCTTCATGATCCCAAGTCATCAGTATATATATAGACGCTCCATCGAGGATTGCTGAAATACTTTTCTGTGACAATGCAGTATGGAAGAGTTCCCAAAGCCGATACCAGCCTTACCAGACGCAAGGTTTATAGTGCTTATCTCGTGGCTTGGGTGTGCCAATCTTCTCTAAAGAAATCTAACCTCACTAGATCTTGCTGTACTGGTTGAGTCATTTACAGTATAATTCTGTGCTTGTATGAAGTTTGAAGTATAGGAAACACTTGCGGTGCACTATTTATGTCCCTGACAGCTAGTCGCAGCTGTTGACCTTGCCTTGTGATACACGTGCTGCTGTTACTGTATTTGATACCCTTCACAACGTTGTTCATCAAAAAGCGAGACCTAGGCCGAGTGCCTTTATTTGATAATTGTAGGTAGATAGAAATACGCGCTGGAATATCAGAGTAGAGTCAGGCATGACTTCACTTCATACCTTCGAAGGTTCCCGAGATTTCGGGTAAAAGGCCTCTTCCGATTTGGCCGCCATCAAACTGAGTAACTGGCTTCCCCTAAATAGTTAAAAGCACTCAATTGCGCCGCTTATGAATTGCATGAATATCTGGAAATGAAAAATTAGCCCCTGAAATAAGGTCTGTGGAAATCAGCTCTGTTCTGTGATTGTAGCCACCATGTTAAGGTCAATCTATACTCTGGCCGATGGGATTATTTTCCACATTGCCCTTTGGCTCACGCTCACTCGAAGCTAAAAAAGGGGCTTTTCAACCGGAAATCATAGTTGGAATATCTCGTCTACGTAGGTACCAGCAGCATGGAAGGACCCACTAACGGCGCGCCACGTCCCGAAGTCTTTAGACTTCAAACGATTCAGTAGTATTATCCAATGCGGTACTTCTGTTCATAATTGAAGAATGGACGAATTTTTTTTTTTTTTTAATTTGTTTCGCTCTGGTCCGGAAATTGAAGTAAGTCATCGGACCAATCTCTATCTCTGAAGTGCCCTCTTTGCGCGTCGATGTGAATAGCTCCCAAAGATAAAAACAATATCAGTTTCAGTACGGGCGGAAGGCGCCGTAATATTACGAGGCCCAAAAATAAAACCTGAGATGAAGGCATAATTCCTTGTAGGGCTCCCTTTATACTGTAACAAACATTCGTATGGCATGCTGTTCGAAGATTATATCCCTTCTCGAAAATTTGCTACTTCAGAAACGGTCCATAGGGCGTGGGGGAGTTGAGTTGATGAGAATCAACTGTAAGTTCCTGCCTATGTAACCGTAAGCGCGCACTGAGGTTTCACCCCAGTAAAAGGACGATAGAATGGTGGAGGTAGCCACTACAAGATAATAGATAGGAGCTCTGATATTCTTTAACCGACAATCATCTGAGATACTAGTGGCTATATTGACAAGAGGGAGCCGAGTCTTCGATATACTGTGCAAGAATTTCATTAATAATATGATTCTTGCACAGTCTTGAAAGTTTATGCACTAAACCAACTAGGGTCTAATATGGGCTAGCCCAAATGTTCTTATCAGTATGCGCCACCGATCTCGAACTTTGTATACCCCAGACCCCGGACTTGATCATTCTGGCATGCATCCTGGATGTCAGAGGATATTGTGCTGGCTCTTTATCTCGGTTTCGTCTTAATTCAGAGAATTCAAGGCCAATTGATAAAGCGTTATCTTCCAGGGTTACAGTCCATGATTGAGATTGTAAGTGGTAGGGTTTCATCGGCGCAAAAAATTCTTGTACATAGTCAATTAATTCTAGTCAGCCTATTTTAATGAAAGTTGGCATAGGATTGCATGATTTATTAAATGTTGGATAATACACCAATGAATTTGCATATTATTTATATTTTATAGTGCTGGTGTTATCTGAACTGTGTACTGTAACCGATCTAGACCCGGTTCACAGGCCACGCACGTCATCCCGTACTTTGTGGACCGGGGACACTCACGTGAATTGCGTCATCAACCGGATTAAGATTAGTGCGCCAACTCACCATAAATTGACCTCCGTCGACCTTCAACCAGCCACTCAGCGTCTCGCATTCCGGTATCCGATTATCCAACCTCCCGTCTGTGCATAGATCTGACTGGCTGACACGCCCTACATCTGGGCCCCACTCGGATGACCCAGCACCCGGGACACATTCCTGTCGTCGTCATCGTGAAATCATACATCCCCCCTGTCACCTCAGATGTTGTTGTATTGTATTTCCGCGACAAATCTAAATGTAAAGGGCCCTAGGGAGGGAATTTCATTCCAACACCACCATTATAGATGTCATCCTCCGTAGGCCCTACTTGAATATACTAGATTCGTCAGGAGTCATTACATTGAAAAGGTAAGAAAAAATTTTCATCTTGTTGCCAGTTCCCATTCTAGCCCGGAAAGGCGGTCGACTCCGCTTCCGATGCTATATGTCATTTCTCATTGGTTGATTACACGGTAATGGATCCACTGAGTCTCTCCAGGTTCGACAACTCTGCGAGGGTCCATTGTTGAGTGACCAATTTTTCTTACTCTTTCTCTCTTTCTAGCGTATGAAACTGTTTTATGTGTGGATATGTAATTTTCTTTCTTTCAAGCGAAGATCCTAGATCGATGTGATATAGAGAGAGTTTTTCGAAAAGGAGAAGAGATGAATGAAAATTTCAACTCGCATGCGAATGCGCAACCAGTCCAGACTCGGGGTCAAGGCCAATACCCAATCTCCAACTGGTTTTTTCTCTTTTGCTTCCCCCCTTTACCGGCTTCGGCTATAAAATAGTTTTCAGTTACATCGGTTACCTCGGGTTTACCGTACCATTTTGCTCCAAATGCGTGGGGTTATTATAAATCACCATCAACCCTGTTTATGGTGAATGTATGGTAATGTGGTAATACAGCGGTATTGACCCGGGGCCGTAATTTCCCATGTTACTTAATGTTTTCTCTCCCCTAAAATTGTCGTCATCCCCCCCTCTACGTCACTTCCCTCTTTCTCTTCTTCTCATCGGGACAGCCTGCAAGCCACGCAGTGATCTCTATCTCTTTTCGTGTGCGCTCGACTTCAGAACGAAATTTGACAATTTTTTTTCAAGTATGTCTGCTGCCGTCGCGCCCAGTACGACTACGATCAGAAACACTTTGTCCGCTATGGACTCGAAGAAAAATTCCAAAGAAGGTTCGTCGAATGCTTGATGAGGCGCGCGTGTTCCCTTATGTGTCGTACCCCTTCTGCACCAACACCTGATGTTCCTCTGCCCTTTATTATATATGGTGGGCACAACCAGGATAAACAAGAAAAGAGAGGGTAAAAAGGAAGTGAAGAGAAGACAGAAAAAGGATACGAATGATTATTATAGCCGAATATAATAATTACTCTATCTTTTCTTGGTAATCCGCCACCTGGAGTTACTTTAACTCAACATCCCCCCTCTGCCGTTTGGATGATCTCACAACTGGCGTCATCGATCTCCCACTCTTCCTCCCACACAATGAAGGGCCCTCGTTTTCGACATCCTTCTGGTACCTTTATCGCGCGCGTCATCGTATGCCCTCATCATTCATGCTGACTCGCCTTCCAGACTCGCAGTCTTCAGGGAAGGACCAGAAGCCCGATTCGCAAACCTCGCTGGCGCCACCCCGACGTCCAGCCGGCACCGCCCCTAGTGATACCCCAGATTACTTCAACTCCGTGCACAACCCCTTCTCGCTGGAGCCAAACCCTTTTGAGCAATCATTTAGCAGCAACCCCGGTGACACCCCCGGCAAGTCGCTGCTGCCGCCCGTCGCGTCCCTCACTTCCCCGGCCTTGCCTGGTGCAAGTTCTGCCGGTGGTTACAACTGGTCCAACTCCCTGCGCTCAGGGCCACTGAGCCCCGCCATGCTTCCCGGGCCCACTGGATCTAATGATTATTTCGACAGTATTGGCAGAGGCTTCCCGACACCCAACGAGTCGTCCCTCCGCACTGGCCTGACCCCGGGCGGTGGTGGGTCGATGTTCCCGGCCCCCAGCCCTAACTCCCAGGCTTTGCTACAACAACTTCAAAACGGCGGTGCCACACCGTCGACAATTGAGTTCCACCGTACTGCGTTGACTGCCCGGAAAAATAGCGCGAATGGTCAAGGAAACGAAGACCCAACCTCGAACGCGAATATGGACACTAAGCCTCAGCCCGTCCCCGCAGATCAATTTACTCAACATGATGCTGCCGATGCCGCCAATGGTCTCTTTATGCTAGCCAAGGGTGGCCAGGCCAATAATATGCAAGCGAACCCGAACATGCAGAATGATAACCGCGCCGCTGCTCGGCGCGTTTCATCCAACACAAACGGCACTAGTGGTCGTGAGATGAGTGGTGATGGATCGGAGCAGGAACTCTCTAGACCCAAGGGCAAGGGCAAGAAGAATGCCGCCAAGGCTGCTCCGGCTGCTAACAACCGTCGCAAGGCCGACGATGGTGCTAAGGGACCTAACAAGAAGGCGAAACTCAACAGCGTTGAGCCACCGTCGGATATGGATTCGGATGATGAAGATATGAAGAAATTCTCGGGTGATCCCAAGAAGATGACCGATGAAGAAAAGAGACGTAACTTCCTGGAGCGCAACCGGTATGTCGCACTGAGTACCCAATTTCGACGTGATCATATCAGTACTAACATATTTCAGTGTCGCTGCCTTAAAATGTCGTCAACGCAAGAAGCAGTGGCTGGCCAACCTGCAGGCTAAGGTTGAGCTTTTCACCACCGAGAATGATGCGTTGACCGCTACGGTGACTCAACTTCGCGAGGAGATTGTAAACCTTAAGACCCTTCTGCTCGCTCACAAGGATTGCCCCGTTTCTCAAGCCCAGGGACTCGGCCCTCTTATGATGAATGGCATGTCAGCCGGATATGACCCACACGGATATGGCATGCCTGGCCAAATGGGTATGCCGCCAGGTGCACCAATTCCCTCCCAGGGCATGCGCCGGGCGTGAGCACGAGAATTATAAAGTCTCCTTACGTCCGCTGTTTTTCCTCTTATTCCAATTCCCTTGCTCGACTGCAGACGAGGCAAAATATAAGCCACTTGCTTAGATACGACAATTCGCCTTTTCTCTGGGGAGAAGGCACTTCCCAAAATGTTTCTTTCTCTCTCTCTCTCTCTCTCTTTTATTTCGGCTATGGCTCCACCGAAACTTTGGCATGGGCAGGTGTTTATGATGCACATGATTCCCAAAAATGGACGGGCTGATTCCGGTGGTCTGGAACGAACGAATTCCGGTTAGTCTTTGGAGGGCGCGTCTTCTTGGCGTCTTGAAATTTTTATGGCTGCTTCAAGGTTATTTTGGTTTCTGATGGCTCACGTTATTTCCCCCGTTTCCTCCCCCGTTGTATTTTCTGACACCCCTTTTTCTTTTAATCTTTTTGTTTCTCTCGATGGGGTTTGGGAGATCCTTTTACTCTTTTTTCGCTTGTCTAATATTTGGAGGACCCGCAGGTGCATGTGTTCTTTCTGATCCGGGTTGCTGAGATACATGATTTCTGGATGGCGTTTGGGTGGTTTGATCCTACGTTTGTTTTACTAGTTTCCTTGAACTGGATGCTGGAGCAATTGAATACCTATAGCTCTGCAATTGGACTTGAACCGTGCTTCGTAATTGTAGGTTGGCAATATTTAGTAGTAGTAGTAGTAGTAGTAGTAGTAGTAGTAGTAGTAGTAGTAGTAGTAGTAGTAGTAGTAGTACGTCAGGCCATAGAGATGTGATAAGTGATAAGAGACGCGCTTGGCCAAACAACCCAAACATCAGAAACACGAACTCCGCATTGAAGCCGCCATACCATGCGCCGCGATTTCCCCGTTCAATTCCTATAGAAAAACCCCTCACTCTCAGTTCGACTGGACACCGGCAGATGCAATCATTAAAAAAATCACTGCCTTGGAAATTCTAGGCTCGCCAGCCACGCTCTTCAACGCCCATCAATCCATCACTACCCAAGAGCGAATCTCGAATCCAAACCCGCCCAAACCCACTAACCCAGGACAATCACTCCCAATCAGCGGGGGAAAGGGCAGGAAGATGTCGACATCGACCCGACAACCCACCCGCCCGCGCCGCATCGACGATGCCCTCTCCCAACTAGTCGACTCCCTGACCCCCGCGCTCCCCATCACAGCTCTCCAAAACGACGATTACTCCGACCCGGACGAAGCGCTCGCCGCTGCCGAAGCACGCCGTCATAGCGCCTACCTCGAGCGTGCCTGGCGCATCATAGACACCCATACCGCCTCTAATCCCGCGGACGGCGGCTCTCCATCAGGTCGTCGGGGTAGTACCGCAGGAGCAGAGAATGTCAACAATGCCGCAGACCTGATCAAGCGCAAGCTGCGGCGCGAGAATGCAAGCCCAGAGCTAGCAGTCAAGTTCTCGAACATGTATTCGAAGCTCCTGACGCAGCCCGTGCTCTCACAGAAATGGGGAATCCTGTATTTGCTCTATAAGCTATCCGACGAGAACGAGTTTGCAGCTGAACAAGGCGGAGAGCGAAGTCGCAGCCCGCTTATGGATGATGGCAATTTGCAGAATATGCTTGGTCGGGGCACGCGTCCTCGACGCGGTACTGGATCTCGTCCGTTCGAGTCGGAGGACGATGAGGGTCCTGCTGTTAGTTCTTCTGCGTCGCAACGGGTTCCACTTTCATCTAAACCGGAGCGTCAGAGTTCGCTACGTCGGGACTGGGAACGAGACGAGCGTGCTAGTCGTGTGGCGAGCAGTTTTGAAACGGCGATGACTGATCGCGAGGATGAGCGCGCGGATGCGGCTTCACCTAGACTGTCTACGGCGACGCCGGCTGCTCAACCTCGAGCTCCCGAGGGGTTCGAACATGGGCTCCTACGTGACCTGCCTTTCAACTTGCAGGGATTGTCCTCGACAAACCTACGGTTTCAATCAGCTTCCATCCTGAAACTGCCGCCTAATCTACCAGCTCCGATTGTATCCTTGCTCAACTCTCTTGCTGAGCCGTGCCTTCTTTATAAAGGACTGTCTGCCTTTGTGGAAAGTACGGAGGGTGGGCTAGTGAACCAAAGCCTCCGGGCTGCCATCGCTAATGAGCTGCGGTCTTATCTCAGCTTGGTCGCGACCCTGGAAGCGGAGATTCGGCAGGCGCTCACTGCCATTGGCAATGCAACTGAGCCTAAAAGCGTTCGAAAGGGTGGGGTTACTCTGAAGCGATGCGTGGTTTGGACCAGGGATGCCACGATGGCGCTCCGGCTGATGAGCCTTATCGTTGAAGAATCTCAAGGTAGGTAATACTGGTTTAGGAAATGGCTACCATTGTCGTCCATATGCTGATAAAAAGTCTAGACAAGAAAGGAGGCCAATTGATATCATTGATTCATGGCTTTTCTTCATCCCACGGTGACCCCTTTGTATGTGCCTTTGCAGAGAAGCTCCTAGTCCATGTAACGCAACCATTCTATGACATGCTTCGGTCATGGATTTACGACGGTGAACTATCTGACCCGTATGAGGAATTCTTTGTTGCGGAAGGAAAGGGAAAGCCTGATGAGGACCCCCGCCGCATAGCAACTAGCGTTTGGGAAACCAAGTATGTCTTGGATGAGAAAATGCTGCCTTCAATCGTTACTCAGGAGTTTGCGAACAAGGTCTTCTTGATTGGAAAGTCCTTGAACTTCATCCGCTATGCATGCGGCGATTCCGCATGGGTGGAGGCATATTCCAAGGAGGCTTCTAAAGAGCTGAGATATGGCGATACTGCCACGCTGGAGATATCTATTGATGAAGCCTACAAGACCACCATGGCACGTCTGATTCACCTCATGGACAACAAATTTAAGCTCTTCGATCATTTACAGGCATTGAAGAAGTATCTGCTTCTAGGACAAGGTGACTTTATTGCATTGTTGATGGAGTCTCTAGCCTCAAACTTGGACCGTCCTGCAAACTCACAATACCGGCATACCCTCACTGCACAGTTAGAACACGCTATCCGTGCCTCAAATGCGCAGTATGACTCGCCAGACGTGCTCCGCCGGCTAGATGCACGTATGCTTGAACTCAGTCACGGCGAGATTGGTTGGGACTGCTTCACCCTGGAATATAAGATCGACGCTCCCGTTGACGTCGTAATTACTCCATACGGATCAACCCAATATCTCAAAGTTTTCAACTTCCTCTGGCGCGTGAAGCGAGTCGAGTTCGCGCTCAACAGTACCTGGCGCCGTTGCATGACCGGTGCACGAGGTGTACTCGCCCACGTTGATGACAAAGTCGGACCAGACTGGAAGCGTGCACGATGTGTTATCGCTGAAATGATCCACTTCGTCTGCCAACTCCAGTACTATATCCTGTTCGAGGTCATTGAGTCCAGCTGGGACACGCTGCAGGCGGCCATATCCAAACCTGACTGTACGCTCGATGATCTCATCGTGGCGCACAAAGAATACCTCAACTCCATCACACACAAGGGTCTCCTTGGCTCGGCCTCCCCACGCTATGGTTCCTCCACCTCCGCCTCCGCCAAGCAACCCGAAGAAAGCTTCCTCTCCCAGCTCCACCATATTCTCAAGATCATGCTCTCTTATAAGGACGCCGTCGATGGCCTCTATTCATTCTCTGTTGCAGAATTCACACGCCGTCAGGAATTAAATGCTAAGATCGAAACCCGCACCGCGCAGGGCCGCTGGGGTGTCACAGATCGCGACCTCTTACCCCGTCGCACAAATAGCCGTGGCGGCACATCCATGTCCTCAACACCAAATCTTCGGCCGTCAAGTAGTGGCCCCGACGGACTCGATACTCCGTTCTCTCTCTCGGCGCAAGATTCCTCAGCTGATGACCACATGCTCGCGTCTCTACGTGTGCGGCTCCGGGATCTCTCCGTTGATTTCCGCTCGCGCCTGAATATCTTACTCGGTGACCTTGCCTATCAGCCTGACGTCGATATGCGTTTCCTGGGTGTTAACATGAACTTCAATGATGTGTACGAGCCTATAAAACGACGACGAGCTACAGGTCCTAGCTCGCGAGATAAGGAGAAGGAAAGAGAGAGGGAGCGTGCTAAGCGAAAGGCTGCTGCCGCTGCTCAGGCTACGGGCTCGGGCACTGAAGGGAATAGCATTCCGCGGAGGGAACGAAAAGATGTCCCTGAACAAGGTGCTAATGGAGTTGCGGCGTGAGATTATGCCCACTCGTTTCTGTAGGAGAAAAGCATAGGAGTGGGGAACCTATTAATGTGAGACGAATCCATGCTACTAACCACTGGAATCATAATGTCCAATCAGTAGCGTAGATCTTCCATCTGTTATGACTTAAAGCTTTGGAGTACATACTAAATATGCCTGGGTATCTCCAAGGCCCTAGGCAATCTTATCAATGACCGCCTTGGCCTGAGCCGGCAGAAAAGAAAAAAAAGTCAACTCCGCCTCGAGCCATCGTAGAAACAAATCTTCACAACAATCAGGCTCTCAGAAAAGAATCCGAGACCCTTTGAAGACCCCATAAACTTAAAATTGGACCTTCTCAATTGTGGGGCGAACAAATTGAAGTCTTATCAAGGTATCTGCGCTGCAGATCCTCTCATCCAACCATCCGCCATGGCAAAGACAAAAGACACCAACACCAAGCCAAAGTACACCAAAGAGAGCACCGACGAAGACGTACAGATGTCTGAACAAGCGACACCAAAGAAAAGCGCCGACAAGGACAAGAAAAAGCGTAAGTCGTCATCTGACGACGCGGAGGAAATCACGAAAAGCAAGAAGCGGAGGCATAGCTCCGAGGCTGCAGATGAAGCCGATGCCGTGAAGGAGGAACCCACAAAGAAAAAGAAAAAGGAAAAGAAAGACAAGAAGAAGAGAGTCTCATTCGGAGCTGGGACCAAGACGGAAGACGGAAGCGGAGACGAGAGCGACGCTGATGCCGAAGACGAAGCCCCATCGAAAGCCGAAAACGATGATGACAATGACTCCGATAGCAGCGAGACGGTAACCGACACCGACCCAGCACAGCAATTGCAAACCGACAATGAGAAGGCGTTAGAGGAGATGCGCAAGCGTAAGCGCGAGAAGAAGAAGGCGAAGAAGAACAAGGATTCCTCAGCCCCCGCGCCATCGTCATCTTCGGCGACACAACATCACCATGAATCGCCTATCATGTCTTACCTAAGCCACTATCACCACGATCGTTCGTCATGGAAGTTTCAGAAGAACCGCGAGACAAACCTGTTCAAGCATCTCTACTCCGAGGAGCATGTTCCCTCTCGGTATAACATTGCGCTTCTGTCATACCTGAAGGGACTGAGGGGTGATGCGGCGAAGGCAAGATTGAGCCAGGGTGCAGTTCAGGTTCTGAAGGAGGATATCGAAACCGCGCAAAAGGATGGCAAGGAGGAGGACCCTGTCTTCCAGGAGGCTGTGGATGCGCTTCGCAATTCCTTTGCCAGTGCTGGTGCCGAGCTGAATACCGCTGGATCGGCGAAAGGTCTGAAGCCAGCTGCAAATAAGCGTCTTCAGAAAAGAGTGCGGGCCGAGCTTGTCTTCTTTGCTATGTCTGATGAGCTATTTGACATTGTGAAGTCGGTCCCGAAGAAGGTGCCTGTAAAGGTGGAGCCGGTGAACAAGAAGAGGAAAAACCGTACTGTTGTTGTCGATATTTCAAGCAGCGAGAGTGACAGCGACAGCGACGACGAGACTTCTAGCTCTGGCAGTGACGATGACACCTCAAGCTCTGGCAGTGATGATGATTCCTCAGACTCGGATAGTGATGAGGACAAGCCGACTGCTACCAAGACCCAGTCCAAGCCCGTCCAGCCCAAGCCTGTGGTTAGCAAACCGTCTCCAGCTGAGAGTACAGGCCCTGCTCCTATGTCCAAGACCAAGGCTGCTGCTGCAAGCAAGCAGGAGAAGAAGGAGAAGAAGGCTGCTTTGAGAAAGGAGAAGAAGCTGGCACCTCCACCCACACCATCTGTTCCCAGCAAGAACAAGAAGAAGCAGAAGCGGAAGCTCAGAACTGCTGTGATTGACATCTCAAGTAGCGAGGATAGCGATTAGGGAGTGACGGAATTTTGTTCTTATGAGATGTACTAGAAAATATATCCTGCCGTTTGTACAGCGATTAATCAAAAGATAACTACTGGGATGTGATCTGTATATCATTGCAATAAGAAAGGCCAATGCTCTAGATCCGAGATGCTTCAGCGTAACACTATTAAGAATAGCATATTCAAGGCTTTAATCCCCAACCAACCTCAGCTTGGTAAAATTGGAATAATTTATTCCTTATGTATTCTCGTGGCCATAACATAAGTTGAATTAAATCATAGAAGCCAAGGAACACTCCCAAGGGCTGCCCGGTAGCAATATCGAGGTTGGCAAAGGCGGTGAGGCTCAAGCTCAAGCTCTCGCTCAAGCTTAGGCACCGCTGGCACGCGTCACTGTCAATTCCCTTTCCATCCATCGCTGCCAACCCATTTCGTCCCTCCCATTTCTTCTCTACCGCCATAAAAGACTTCATAATTCGTCGCCATGTCCGGTATATCTTCCCCAGGCCGCTACCACCGACCCAGCCCCATGACCTCAGCCCCGACTGACCCTCTTCTCCGCATCAGGAAGCGCAGGTTACGATAGACATATCACCATCTTCTCCGACCAGGGTCGATTGTACCAAGTCGGTATGTACTTCATATTCTCTACAACTGCACCGGCGTCACTCGTCCCCGGCGAGCCACCGGTGATGCTCCGTCATCCTCACAGACACTGACAATCGATGTGCTGTAGAGTATGCATTCAAGGCCATCACTTCTGCCAATATTACCTCTATTGGTGTGAGAGGAAAGGATTGTGCCGTCGTTCTGTCCCAGAAGAAAGTTGCTGTAAGTCGCCGCACTTGGACCACCCGCACAAGCAAACCAACTGACCCACTTGTTAGGATAAACTCATCGACCCATCCTCCGTCTCACATGTGTTCAAGATCTCGCCCTCGGTGGGTTGCGTCATGACCGGCTCCATAGCAGATGCTCGTGCGTCCGTTGACCGTGCCCGTGGAGAGGCTGCCGAGTTCCGGTACAAGTTCGGATATGAGATGCCTTGTGACGTTCTTGCGAAGCGATTGGCGAATATCAACCAGGTCTACACACAACGAGTATGTGCTTTCACCAGTGCTTCGTTTGACTTCTCCCCCAAGCCTCAAGCAGTCACTGATCTGTAATTTTTATTAGGCTTACATGCGGCCACTCGGTGTGGCTACGACCTTGATCTCCGTCGACGATGAGAATGGCCCCCAGCTCTACAAGTGTGACCCGGCCGGTTACTATGTTGGATACAAGGCAACTGCATCCGGTCCCAAGCAACAGGAGGCGCTGAACCACCTGGAGAAGAAGCTGAAGAACAAGGATGCCGCACCGGGCACCTGGGAGGAAGTTGTGGAGCTGGGCATTACTGCTCTCAGCAATGTGCTGAGCGTCGACTTCAAGAAGCACGAGCTGGAGGTCGGTATTGTTGGGGGTCCCTCGGAAGATGGCAAGGGCACAACTACAGCGTTCCGGGCTCTAACAGAGGAGGAGATTGATGAACGGCTGCAGGCCATCGCAGAGAAGGATTAAAGCAATGGCAAATTTGCAAGATATTGCATATTAGGAGCAGTATGATGGACCTATGATGGACCGAAGAGTGTGCTATTGTGATATTCATTTTCTATCTTAGAAAGAACGACGAATGAATCTACTCCATTGAACTTTTCTTTTTTTTTTTTTTTTCTATTCGTTGTGCTTTTTTGCCCTTCTGCAAGGCTTGGTGTTTCGGCTGTGTTTCGACGCACTACAAGGATCTTCAATTCTGCAGCTACTACAGTGACGGTATAGATATGCGCTTGGATAGCGCATCAGGAATAATCATAGGAATCCCGGGGGTATCAGTTCAGGTGGGTCATGAAAAAAAAAAATACCTTGCCACCTGCTTATGGATCAATCACATATAGGAATGAACATTGTATCAAGGTAAGGGATTGACCGTGCGTAGGGGGATCGGTTCGAACAGTTTTCTTCAGCTTCTCAGCTGTCCGTGCAGGCGCCACATGTGGCTCGGCCAGGACCGTGGCTTGAACGGGCCTCAGTCATAGCTGAACTTCTGCTATCTCTTCCAAGGTTCATGTCCGAGAAGTATATTCTTTTTTTTGGATTTTGTTTTTGTGCGGGCCCCATTGTTTTTTCGTGAGAAATCAATCCGCCACAAAGTGCTTTCGAATTGACAGGGTTCCCACGCGGATGCACCGAAAAGTAGTTCGAGCCGCTTTACACCAATCATGATCTTCAGACACCATCTCTCTCCTCGCCGAGGAGAGGCACATCGGCCGCACAGGAACCTAATCTCTGTCTCGGGGCTCCACTTGATGGTTGTCACTGGGTACGCTAGAAGCGCCCCATTTTTCAGAACTACCGTGGTTTTTTAAACCAAAAATACCCACGCCAGGGATGGGTCCATGGGTCCCTTCCCCTGCCGACGGTTTTCTCGGGAGCTATCGTGTGGCCCGGTCCACCTCCCAGCTGTGCTTGACTCCGTTCCTAATTTTGCTTTCTTCACCGTCTATTGGTGCAGCTGCGTTCATCGATCTCTCTCCGCTGTCATGGAGTAATTACTTTTTTGGGATTAGGTCTTTTTTGGGATTTTTGTTTGGATTTTCTTTTTCTTCTATGGGTCTGGTTCGAGATCGTTTGCTGTCATGTATGGGGTACCGTGGAGGGATGACGCTGTTCTCTCTCTCACACACTCATTCCTATAAAAGACTTACAATCTCATCTCTTCCTCTTACCATTGACTCGTCGGACTCTGTTAACTTTACTTCCTTATACCTTACGTTCATTCTCCTCTTTCATTGATCTCTTTCCTTTTGGTGTGACGTTCTCTACGAGCCTCTCCTTGCCACATCGTTTTTCTAGATCTACATCTACATTTACATCTACAATTACTTATAATAACGACACCCACGAATCTCAATGGCAGACGGACGTAAGCATTGATCAATTCGTCCAATTGAACCTGAATCCTTCGCCAGGATGCTGATCTTCATCGAGACACAGTCAACCAAGCCCGCGCAGTGCGAGTGGCCGAACTCATCAACGACTACCGAACTCTTCTGCTGCATATCTCTCAACAGAACGTCGAAGTACACCCAGACGACCAATACGAGGAAGGATACACTGTGCTCCGCGAATGCCATACCGCTGCCCAGCGCTTAGTGGCCGCGAATTACCACCCATGTCCGGTTACTGGCCAAGGCAATGCGGAGACAGAGAGGGTAGAATTGCAAAGGTAATTGGCCCTGGATGGACAATTGGTTTCAAACACTAACATATTGTCAGAGTTATCATCGATAGCTGCGCTCGCCGGTTCCAAGCACACAAGATTTACCTCCGAGCCGCCGCCGCTCGACGATGGGCCATGGCTCGCGCAACTACCCTCCGCGGTGCACGCCCAACATCAGCACATGCCGCCGCCCTAAAAGCCGGCCACGTCTCACTACAGCAGGACTTAGCGCGCATCACCGATCAACACGTCATCGCTGATCTCCGTGCCGCGGACGTACGGGCAGGTCACTGGCTTGATGATGATCCTTCTCTGGATACCATCCGCCGCTGGATCGGGCGGTAGTGCCCACAATTGAACTATATGACTATGACGCATTAGTCAGCTATGGGTCTTCAGGAGGGCATTGTATTAATCTCCGAGGCTGGGATTGTTTCTAATAGGGATGGATACGAAGATATGCGGGGACCTTTTCTTTACATCTTCCTTTTCTCTCCGGCGGGTACAGCGCGGGTCGCTGTGGCTGTTCGGGATTTACGAAACAAAACAAAAGTGATACAAAAAAAAAAGAGAGAAAGGGTAGATCAATGTTTCTCGAGCATGGCGAAGATATCCCCTGTTGTTTTTGGGCTTTTATATTTATTTTGGATTTTATGGTGATTGATTTTATTGCTTTGAATGGGCATATTGAGTATAAACTCATTGTACTGTATGTGGGAGTAAACGAGAATCTTGCATCCGAACCTCCAGGCGAGTCTCTACAATTATCAATTCTATTTCTGATTCACTGAACTTTCTATACTGTAATAAGAGCCCGACGGAGATACCGACACCGACAACCCTCAGCGGTACCAAGATGGAAGTGAAAACAAACCAGACTAAATTACTGTACCCACTATGGAGCCACCGTTTCTTCTGACTTCGACTCAGGCATCATCAGCCCGTTGTCCAGTCTCCACAGTTATTAGCCAGACCCGTGGGGCTCCAAAGAGAACAAGTACGTATACACAGCCTTAAGAATCTACACATCTGAAACACGGTAAACAAAAAAACGGATGGGAAAAACCTTACCGCACTAGTGCATTCTACAGATACAGAACCAGAGGCTCGGGATAGCCTGCAACTTGACCCCCACTGCAAGTTAGGGGAGGCCCACTTACAAGAATTGACCCTGTCCCGATCATGCGATTGGGTTACCGCACGGACGGGGATCCAGACACCTGGGCCGCGAGGCAGACATGCCAGCTGAAAATATACTGGATTAATTCGATAAATGACGAGTGGATAAAATTATTGTCCAGCGGTGAAATGGATCAGGGACCACTGGACTGGTTGGGCGCTATGCATAAGTTGGCAGTTTAGCTATGCACGCTTTAGTGCTAGTACTAGTATGGATTCGGCGTCTCCGTGGGACTAAAATAGAAGCTGGCTTCTACAGTATGGAGCATTGTAATTTGGTTAATAGATGTTGATCATATTACTATTTAATTACTGTTACTCCAGTATTGCTATTATTACTACATACTATGAACTGTTGGGCTGAGTTAGTAATCGTTGGGAAGGTGACTTGTGGAACCATCTGTAAGTGAACGCATTGAGGAAACGGGTAAGAAAAATCAAGGAAGATCCATGGTGGCGGATATAGCATCATTTCAAACCGTTTTGGCGCCGCTCTCGCCCATTCCGTCACTATGACTGGATGAGGGGTGGAAGGAGGGGGATATGATCAAAATCTAAAGACGGCTTGAATCTAAGTGGATCCGGGGCTAAGGCGTTAGTCTGGCGAGCGCTATGCCAATCGGTGGTCAGATCGGGCGCGTGTCGGCTGAAGTTCAGCTGAGCTTGGTTTTGGTGAAAAATCTGCATTTTTTATTTTGAATTTGATTTGGATTTTAATTCTCAGTAAAAGAATTTAACCTTATACTTAATCACACGGTGGATACGGAATTGCTTCCCCGGCACTTCTGGATTGAACTAGTGTTGGTTTCAGCTGCTGCCTCAGGTCTTCCATGTGATCGTCGTTTCAAAACGGCCCATTCACTAGTGGGGCTCTTTTCCTAATCGATTCTTGGTCTCGGTTCTCGGGCTGCGCTTTCAGGGTCGTGGGTCGTGCGCTGATGCCATGTGTCCCCCTCGGGTGTTTGCATGCTTCAGACTTTTGATTATGTGGATGTATTGGGCGTCTTACTTCAGCTGGTATAGCGTCAAACTTTGGCATTGGAAGGGCTCTGGATGCATTGTCTAGTTCTCACTAGGGAAAATAGATTTCACCTTTCCGGTAGATACACATGGCATTGGTTGCCTCCAGATATTTCCAGTGTGGCATGAGCTATTGGTTTCCATGATTATTCACAGTATAAGCATGGAATCTAGCTAATGATTGATTACAAATATCATAAAAAACAAACAAACCATGAACGTGCACCTGTAATACTCTTGAAAAGGAAGAGCTACTATCTGTAGCAAGGCTTGTCTTCCGAGAAAAAAGAAAAAGAAAAAATACGAGTATTTGTATATACGAACCTACCTTTATGATATACCTACATGGATTCCATGCCGATAAATGCCATACTTGGCATTTAAGGTGAATCAAAAGGTCCGATATTCTTCAAAGAAACTGTAAATATATATGTTCCAGCTCACAAGGCTCAGGCGAACCCCAAATAGAGGGAACCTCCCTTCAGTGTTCTCACCGGTTCATTCTTGTCTCCAGGATTATGACATAAATCAAGATACGGTAAGTAAACATCAGGTAGGTAGTGTACTTGGAAATACGAAAGCTTAATCTAAGTGTCTGCGAATGGTTTAGTTGCGCTTCGCTTGTCACTACATAGAAATGGGTGTGTTATATTTCTAAACTAAGCTTACAAATCTCAACAAGGTCCCTTGGGACAGCGGTTACTCCGTTCGGTTTTGATCCGAAAGATCGCCGGTTCGACCCCGGCAGGGACCTTCATCTTTTTGTTTTTCTTTTTATTTCTCCCTTATTTCTCCCTTACTCGTCTCTTCGATCTCCTAAGTCATACCCCCACAATTTCCTTTTCTTGTATGCTCACTAATCTCACCATGGTTGATCGAGGAACACTGATACCCCACCCTGGTCCGCAGTAGGAATATACTAACTCACTGACTCAGTGCCTTCAGGTGAGCAAAGATAGTTGGAGGTAAAAGCAACACAACGAGTAAAATCACAAGGCTCGTGGATCCATCTATGCCCATAACATAATACCTATAAAGAGGCAAAATAGTCAGCTTCGCATGTCTATCTAGTTTATGTTCGAGTCCTTCAACCCAATAAGTGAGGAATATTACACTGAGGCAATGATGTATGTACCTGCCACAACTCTCCAGCAAATGCAGGTCCAATTCAGGTGCCAAAGAGTCTGCCTCATACAAGAAGTTGATCACTGAATGCTGGTTATCGCACATATCCCTGGCCTGGTCTTCGAACAATCTTCATTTGATACGTGAGTTGTGGACAAGAAATGTCAAGTGCCAACTCTGATACTTTACTTCCCAGGTGTCGTATAACCTACACAGCTTAGCGGCATCTAGTAGCTAAGCATTTTGGTAAGGACCAGGTGGTCTATTAGTAACACCAAACCAAGCACCCTTGTGCTTTTCAGTCCTCTATACAACTTGACTCCAACCACCCTCCACACCTTAGTGTATACAGCCCTTATGACTGCGATGTGTACCCATCTCCAGGCTTATTATTCCGAAACTAGAAGGAGAGCCATGAGTTAACGTCCGTAGTGGCTGCCCTTCATGCCCTTCATGCCCGTCACAGGCCACAAGGGTTCATGAATGACCTACACGGCAAAGAGAGGAATCAGGTACCTTGAATAATACCAACCAACCCAATAATCAAGATATGAAACCGCAGCATGACTGGTGCCTCAGGTTCCACAAGGGCCATGTGCAGATGTGGAAGTCATGCTACATACTGGTTCTCGATTGTGCGCTCGTCGTATAAGAGAGGGATTTCCAACTTCTTGTCACATCTGTCCAGCTCGAGTCAAATGTCAATCCCCGACAAAAAGTGCACAGCCTCTAGTGGAACTTGTTCGCACACAGTCAGATCGACATTCAGCCACAGGTACCGGTCCCCTCCCCAGCCACATACACAGCCACAGGACCCCTGTGGCCTATGATTCGGTGGCGTTGTTATTTATAACCAGGTACATGCATCCACTAACAGTTAGGCTGCGACGTTAGGTACCCTGCCATTTATATCCGGAGAACAGACCAAGCTAGTTGATACAATTGAACCGTGTCTGATTATTCTTGATCAGAAATCCAGTGTGGCTCGTCATCTGTCGCCCGTTGTATATCTCACCGCATTTGTGGTACTCGTGGCTGCCTTGGTGCAATATTCCTACCTCACTCGTACGACCCCGCCTGCAGCAACCATGAGATCCGTTGCTTATTTCGTCAACTGGGTATGTTCACCCAGTCTTCTGGTGTCTGCTGCCCGAATGAACCAATTTAATTTCGCTCATTCTAACATGTGACATCTGTGGCCCGTGGATGTTGCTTTTGATGGCTATGTACTGACCACTCCACATTACAGGCTATCTATGGTCGCAACCACAATCCCCAGGACTTGCCTGCAGACAAGTTGACCCACATTCTGTATGCATTCGCCAATATTCGCCCGGAATCCGGTGAAGTGTACGTCCATCCGCCTTTCTATTTCCTGAAGCTATGCTAACTTGGTATAGATACTTGACCGATAGCTGGTCTGATGTTGAGAAGCACTATCCCAGCGACTCATGGAATGATTCAGGCAACAATGTTTATGGATGCATCAAACAACTTTACCTCCTCAAGAAACAGAACCGCAAGCTGAAGGTTCTGCTGTCCATTGGTGGCTGGACCTACTCTTCCAACTTTGCCCAGCCTGCCAGCACTGCAGAGGGGCGAGCTAAATTCGCTGAGACGGCGACCCGGCTTGTTCTTGACTTGGGATTCGATGGTGTGTTGCAATATCTGGTGTTATAATAAGAGCAAATCACTGATGACATGTACAGGAATTGATATTGATTGGGAGTATCCACAAAGTAAGATTCGATAGCTCCTGACATTCATCTAAAAGATGCTAACAATCCCAGATGATGACCAGGCCCGGAACATGGTTGAGTTGCTCCAAGTCTGCCGAGAGGTATGTGTTATATTACCCCGCTGATTGCACCCGCCACTGACCAGAAACCAGCACCTCGATCAAGCCGCAGGCTCAGACCGCAAGTTCTACCTGACAATTGCCTGTCCCGCTGGCCCAACCAACTTCAACCGCCTTCACCTCCCCGAAATGAACCAATTTCTAGATTTCTTTAACCTTATGGCATATGACTACGCTGGTAGCTGGGACTCAAACGCGGGTCACCAAGCCAACATCTACCCAGATAGCGGCAATCCATCCTCAACACCATTCTCCACGCAGGCCGCGATAGACCACTACATCAATTCCGGTGTTCCTCGTGACAAGATGGTGTTAGGCATGCCGCTGTACGGCCGTGCGTTCACTAACACCGACGGCCCGGGCAAGCCATATAGCGGCGTTGGCGAGGGAAGTTGGGAAAATGGCGTTTGGGACTACAAGGCATTGCCGCGCCCTGGATCGGAGGAGCTGTATATTCAGCAGATTGGGGCTTCGTGGTGTTATGATTCTGGGTCACGCACCATGGTGTCTTTTGACGATCCACCGACGAGTAGGTTGAAGGCCCAGTATGTGCAGCAGAACCAGCTGGGCGGTGGGATGTGGTGGGAGAGTAGTGGTGACAAGGGAGGAAAGGCTGCGAATGCCGAGGATGGCAGCTTGATCGGTACCTTTGTTGATGCTGTTGGTGGAACTGGGGCTCTAGATCAGTCGTCCAATGCGCTCAACTTCCCCGAAAGCAAGTATGATAACCTGAGGGACGGGATGCCCTGAACATTGAGGTTCACTATGATATCCAGTGGCTAGCACTCGTGTTTTCGACACTGCAGAATATCTATTACCCAGAATATGAGCACTACGCGTATGCTGTACTTCATCTCTACAACATGTAATCAAGGTTGGCAATGCCGAAGTTTTTGTAATAATTTTTTAGTATTGACACAAGTGTGCTTAACCATTATCCACCGGAAATCATAATATCATCCTAGCTATGCTCGAATTCAATGCAGAAACCCGATCAGACTAAGTCCATTTACTTGGACTCGTCGAAGACGTAGGTCAGGTGGCACTTGCCGCAGTACTGGCGGTTGTGCATGGCAGCCATGAAGACACCGGCACCGCACTAGGGGAGAAAGTTAGTATACGACTCGTTTGATCCGTGCAAACAGTAGAAACATACCTCGGGAGCGGGGCACTCGCGGCGAAGACGCTCAATCTTTCCATCACCGTCAACCTTGTAGTACTTAAGGATGGCGAGCTTGGTCTTCTTGTGCTTGTGCTTGATCTTCTTGGGGGTGGTGTACACCTTCTTCTTGCGCTTCTTACCACCACCACGCAGGCGGAGGACGAGGTGAAGGGTGGACTCCTTCTGGATGTTGTAGTCAGAAAGAGTACGGCCATCCTCGAGCTGCTTGCCAGCGAAGATCAGACGCTGCTGGTCTGGGGGAATGCCCTCCTTGTCTATGAAGCGGGGTGTTAGAATTTTTGCCACCTTGTCACTACTGCGACGGGTTTGGGAGGGTCGTTCGTACCCTGGATCTTGGACTTGACATTGTCGATGGTGTCCGAGGACTCAACCTCGAGGGTGATGGTCTTGCCCGTGAGGGTCTTAACGAAGATCTGCATCTTGATGAAGGCCTGCGATGCGGTTAGTCTCAAATCCGAGATTTTGCTTTAGAGCATGCGCAGAGAAAGCAGTAAGTCCAAACAAGCGTGCGCAAAGGCGCTACATCATGTTTTGGAAATTTACAACCTTCTTCTGCTGGGTTCATCAACTTACCTCGACAAGTTGTCTTCCTTAACCTTGACAAAGAGAAGAAATTCAAGGTAGGTGGGACTCGGTTCGTGATTAAAATCGTTGTGTGATCACATGACAGACCCACTGCTTGTTACAGACTAGTGCGAATCAAGCGGAAGAATCTTTCTGCCGACAGGGCTTATCGATAAGGGTCACATGATGACATGGGCCTTATGTACACAATTGTGCCTCAGGCAACAAATGACATAGCCCTGCATCGCGGAACTTCAGCCCCAGTGTTGGCCCAAGATCTGATCGACTATCAGAGTTGCCCAATCAGGGACATTCCCATGGCGACGGCCACAGGAGGGCCAACCCCTTCACTAGGGACAAAGTGAAGCTCATCCTCCTCGCAGCGGATATCCGGGCCCTTGCAGAGGGCAAGGAAAAGAAGTCAGGGTGTAGGGATTAGAGGTGGGAATTATTGTATAGATGGGATCTCGGTCGATAATGCCTAAATGAATCTAACAAAAGATGCAGGATCCGCAGGCGGGGAGTGGGCCCATGCTCGTCACAGCTGGCTCACATCTGGTTTCCCAGACTCCCGTCACGGCGCGTTGCTATGCCAACCACGCTTGTTGATAGTGAACCGTGGGCTGGATTGATAGATCGTCAACTCTTCTGGCCCGCTTCAAAGGTCTTTTATTGGAGTCCATTTCTACCTTAACTGTCTCCAGTTTTCCTCTTCTTCGTGTCACCTTTATTTTCCTCGGTGGGACGGTGAATTGAACTTCACATAATCTATTTACGACTCTTATCAACGCTTGACTACTAGCTTGTTAAGGATCTAAGCTACTTTCTTTTCGTTTTTTTTTGTTTGCGATTGCGATTGTTGGTGTTCACAGACTAACACTGCGACAGGAAACGTGAAATTCGAAATTCGAGCGGCCTGGAAGCCATGATCTCCCCCTCGTCGACATTACACGGTCACCGTCGCCAACTATCAAACCCCGGCTTCGAAGTGGATCGACCCGTGATGGCCAATATGCCACCCCGCCGAACACATCGTCGTGGTCAGACTGTGGACTATGGCTCCTTTGGTCCACAACTCGCTGTCGATCGACGATGTGGGACAAACAAGGTCACCCAACTTCGGGACTATTTTAACGAAAAAGCAGCTTTCTCACGACAAGCAATGGCTAGCCAGCAGTTTGCATCTTCATGTCAACATGACCAGCGGTTCATTCCGTCTGGTCTTCCCCTCCAGCCCGACCAATATCAGACCGCATATATGTGGAACCCGGAGGAACTTCAGGAGATGTACACAGCTGGCAGCTCTGCTACATTCCCAACTTCAAATGCTCCCGCTCTTGCACGATCTGCAAGTGACAATCCAAGCTCCAACTCGGCTTTGAAAAGCTCTATGCACCAATTACAAGAGGAGCGTCAACGGCTTTCTCAAGCCCGCGAGCAGAAGCGTTGGGGATCCTTTCCCCAGCAATATCAAGCAATGATGCATAAAGATCAGGCTAATGGTTATGATCGAGCTATGCAGCAGCTCTCTGTTCAACAAGAGACTGTTTCGCCTAAGATCAATCCCTACCTCTCATGTATGATCTAACATATACTTGACTCATTCGCTACCTCGCTGACCGTTCTCATAGACACTGCTCCCCTTACCCCCGATACCACCCCAATGAAGGGTTCTTTTGATTTATCTATGTATACCAATGACCAGACCCCTACTAAGCCCCAGAGTTTTTCATACCCCCACACACCTGTTACTGCTGAGATGCAAAGAGCCCAGTCACTCCAAGGACTGCCTGGGTCAGATACTGTCCACATGACTCAAATGCCTTCGCCTGCCACTTCCATCGCCGACTATGCCGAGCTCGCTGCTATGCCTTCACCTGGCTCCTGTGGTGAGTCGCCATACAAGATTAGTCCGCCCAACAACAAGCGGAAGCGCGCTTTGTCTCCCGAGTCGTCGAGTGGCCAGTCCGAGGAAGAGAACATCGAGCCCGTGGATGAATTTGACCTCGATGCCCGCGTCAAAGCATCCGTGAAAGAAAGTTCAGTTTCCAGTGATGAGATCAACCAGTACATCTCCGGCCCTGACCCCAAAGACAACAAGTGGGTCTGTACCTTCTCTGGCTGCCACTGTCGCTTCGGTCGCAAGGAGAACATCAAGTCCCACGTCCAGACTCACCTTAACGACCGTCAGTATGTATGTGACCGATGTGGGAAGGACTTTGTCCGTGGACATGATCTCAAGCGTCACCTGAAAACCCATTCCGGAAAGAAGCCTTTTGCCTGTGCTTGTGGTGCTAGCTTCGCTCGTCAAGATGCCCTAACCCGCCACCGCCAACGTGATATGTGCGTCGGAGGCTTCACCGGATTTGTCCCGAAGACCACCAAGCGTGGCCGCCCACCAAAGAAAGCTCGTCCCGATGTTGAAACCCGTCAGATCAAGTCTACTCGTACCCGTCAACGCATTGCCCAGAAGTCCGCCCCCCTTATGCCCGTGAAGATCGAGAGCAACACGCTCCACGAACAGCCAATGTTTAACTCCCCCAACTATGCCCCGTCTACGTCTATGTCCTCTTTTACCCCGCCTACATCCCCCGGTCGCGCAGTGGACCGCGAGTCACCAATGTCAAGTATGCCCATGAGCTCCCAGCAATTCGAGGACGACATGCTTCCCTTGCCATTGTCGCCGCCTCAAATGGCCCACAACCGATATGCTCGTGCCATGGAAGAATTTGATTCAAAACCCCACATCTCCTCTCAGGACTGCTTGTACAGTGATCCTGCTCTTTCCCCATACGACATGTCCTCACCGCACTCTGCACCAACCCTAGCAGAGTCCACCGTGGGATCTGATATCGATGTCTTCATCTCTCAGGACCCCACCGAGCGACTGCAAGAAGAGTTCAAGATGGAGGGATTTGGATCCATTAGCTCTCAGGGCTACTCCAACCTTCCCAGCAGCTATGCCTACGTCGACTCCTCAGACTTTGCCATCTACTCCGACGTCCCTGGAAAGACCATTTCCGGCCTCAGCGCTCTCGAAATGGACCCTTACTCCGACCATATTGATTCCCTCTCCAGCGAATTCTTGATCGACCCTTGAGCATTCATTATACCTATTTACTTGACTTGACTGTACCACCACTACGCGAGTACCACCTCTCGCGCGATCTTGGCGTTTACTTCCACTTTACGAAAAGCATGACATAGACGGCGTGCACTCTCCTTCTTCCGACTTCTACGATATGAGACGAGCTGTATACTCTCATGACAACGAAAACACGGGCGTTCACATATTCTTCTTTCTTTCGGCTTGAGCGACCTGGCTGTTTTTCACTGGACATCTGTTTCTTTCTCTTCTCTTAGCGCACATGACTTAACCTTCGGGGACACTCTGGGATTTATGTGGCGTTCTGGCCATTGTTCCCCTATGTTCCTGTTTTATGACCTTGTTTTTCATTTCTTTTTTCATATATTTTCCTCGAGTTCGCCCTTTTGGGGTCTCGATTGATTCATGGGATACGTTGTTATGTTTTTCGTTTGTCTTTTCAACTGGTCCCCTTGACATACTTGTGGGATCCATGGCATTATGTTTATTTCTCTGGCGAATTTCCCTTAATTCACCCCCTATTTTTTGATATGTACTTCATGAGTTTCTGAATGGATTATGTGTAGCTAGCTACTTCCCATCCAATCTTTTTTTCTCGGGATGTACTTACCTTGAGGTCTGATGATGGCTTGTATTCTAGTCTCTTTAGATTTGCTATGTATGACCTATTGTTACATGTATGATTGCATGTGCATAATTAGCTCTGAAGAAATATATTGATATTCATGAGTGCAGACATTGCCTTTAACGTAAATTTGATATGATTATATTCCACATGCAGTTGCCATGACTCCTATCTGACTCCATGTAGTATGTATGTATCTCTATTGCTATGTGCCTAAATGAGCATAAAATTCAAAAACCATGATAACCTGCGAGACAAATGTAGCTAGGGCAACTCGAGTATCAGAAAATGCCCGAAGCCCGTGTTCTACGCCTTCCACGTAATCTCAATCTCAATCGGGTGGGATTCCTGGTCGGAGTAGACGGTGCTCTGTGTGAAGCCCTTGGGTGGCTTGTCTGCGTAAAAGGTTGTTTTACCTTCATAAGCAAGTTTGTCCTCCTCGGCCTGTACAAGAGATGTTAGGATAGGGGAATTGACAGGCATACAATAAATGACGCAGTGTTGAGAAGGCATACCGTAAAGGCGCTAGGGATATCAACATGATCTCCACAGCTCAAGATACCCTCGTCAAAGGAGCATGGTCCTTTGCTTGATTTCAGAGTGAATGTATCATCTAGGAAAAGAAAAAATCAGCGGCAGCTCCACATAGACCATAGTATCAAACATTGCAAAGATAATACGTACCTGATTCCTTCTCTGCTCGGAAAGTAGCACAAGTCCCAGATTGATACCATGTTCCTTTGCTGATGATACAGCCACGTCTTTGGTTTAGAGTCGATACCAGCAAGTTTCCCCTGCCAGTAAATGGAGTTCCTGGGTCCGTCGGCTCCGATCCATGGCTGGTGGTGGTCTTGGATGGGTCCTTCTGGGCCCGCTTAAGCGGATAGTGGATACCACGAGCGGGGCAGTTTGATTTCTGACCATCTGTGATAATCACAGTCAGCTTTGTGCTCTTTCCTACAAATGAGGTCATCAAATGTTTTAAATGAACATACCAGGATCTGCGGTGACGAATTGCCCGGCCTGCAAACTACCGGCAATATTGAAATGGTACCAGATCTCGTTGAATATGCCTCTTCGACAGTGAATGGTAACGGGTGCACCATGTCCACGCTCCAGCGCGTTTTCGATATCCTCCCGTGCATAGGTTTGACGATTCGATGGGACGATACCAGCGTCGGCAAGGAACTAGAAAGGAGTCAGTAACTAAGCTCAAACCTTGGACAGTCGTGTGTATGCGACAGAAGAGTAAGACCAACCTTGTATGATGGCCTCTGCTGGTAGATCTCTACTGCCTTATCAAAGTAGTCTACCACGTCCTGCTGAGGGAGATAATCCTCGTAGCAGTGTGGCTCAAGGGTGCTGACACAGGTACCGTGTTTGTTCCACTCATGCTCCCACAGGGTAGCGTCATCGCCACGGAAGTCCTTCCAGTACTCGCTCATGTAGTCAAGCAGATCTCCGCGACCAGAATCCACTAAGATTAGCGAGATGTTGCTGTACTTCCGCTTGGAATCGCAGAATTGATCGAAACCGCCGTCGCAATGATCAGGCCTATGAGGATTAGTCTATGTATGTTTCAAAAAAATGTCTCGAATTCGTTCCGCTTCATTTTGGTGTCAAAAAGGGTTGTTGATAGCTTACCAAAGCCCGTGAATGGTCCAAGAGTCATCGGGACCAACTGCAGGGTCGGTGTCCCAGAATTGCGTTTGTAGCATCTGGCCGCCTGGATAGTTAAAGCAACAGGTATCTTGGCCATTATACCTGGCCTGGCAGCTGACGTCGGACCGAGGGCAAGATCGCAGAGTTCCCGGAGTCCTTTCCTCCGCAGTTGAGGATAGCAAGAGCGAACCAAGTGTTTTGAGGATCTTCTGGGGCCCCGGGAACTCCAGGACCTGTTGTGATGAGCCCCACATAGCGAGATGATGAGATGACAGAGCCAAGCTTATATAGATTGCGAAGACAAGGGTTTAAGTACCTGAACAGGTACCTTGCAGGTTGAACGAAATAGAGTTCCCAAGGTTGGGGTTTGGGGTTCTTATCTCTTATCGCCCAAATGACTAAGGCGATCATCTGATAAGCCCCCTTTCGGCCTAGACGTCGATCTTCGACGTAGAAGGACATCATGTCCAACGCATGACACCACAAAGACACTCATCTGATCTGATATTCGCACGTGATAGAATTATGCACCAAGCCAACTTCGCCTCCTCCACCAGCCAGAGCCGAGCCTAGACTTGACTTGGACGTGTTTGTTTGGTTGGTGGGGCGCGGGGCGCGGGGAGTGGAACTATGTGAGGGCAGATTTGGCTACTATAGTCGTCTTATGGATCAAATTCGATATAATCGATTATGTTTTTGGGATACAAGTAGCCGAGATGTGTGTCATCATTTTCCTTCTACTGTCTTTTCCTATTCTTCCCCTTCTTTATTGTATGTTTATGTATGGAGTCAATCGTACCTGGCCTGAAGAAATTGACACGCTCGAACCCAGCTGATTACCATATAGACATTTTCACTTAATCAAGTTACTTGATGGAGTGCATGAATGAAATCCCAACCGCATGTGCTTGGATTAAGTCACTTGCCTCATAAGCAACATGTCGTCCGGCAATGCCTATATTATCGGGAAATCTACACATTAGTGAAAAAATTACATAAATACCCAATTCACTGGCGTAGCCCACCTTTAAATCCGGTTAATTCCTCTTCATTCCCCCTCCACTTCCTAGCAGACTACAGTACTATCTATACATAAGCGACAAATGTTCCAAGGTTGATATGGGGCCCTGGTATGATAGACCAATCCCTGACGCGTCGCGAGGAATTCATATGTCCCAGATTCCGGATCACGGTAGGCCGAATCCGCCAAAGAGGTTCAATGGATAACTAGATCGCGGACCATATGGTGGAATACGTCGCCTAAAAATAGATAATCAAAGGATGCCGCCAATTTAAAGATCGAGTGCAGCGGGTGTGATCATTCCCACCCCAGATGGCCAGATAATGCCTTGGTGGACGATCATACTACTATGGCTCCACCACCGAAGCCCAGTCCGCGACAACAATGATCTATACAAACGTTGATCAACGCCCACTCGGAAGCATGCGTCGGCGGCAGATACATGGAACCAGTCCCTATGGAGTGGAGGGTGGAATATTGTAAGTTTGCATAGCGACCAATGTGACCAGAGAGCTTTACCGCACATAAGAGAACTACCTTCTCTGCCTATCTCATGTGACTCCCGATAGGCATCACGAGTCATCAGCTCAAAGGAGAAAGAGTGAAGGGGTATCTTATTTTATACTGTGATAGCTGTTACATATATGTTACATAAATTCAGTCTTAAATGACCGAGTTTCCTTGGTTGCGCGCCTTTGCTTTTTCTTTCTCCTCTTGCTCGTGCACCCTTTCTTTCCATAGTCGTAGAACCTCGAAGCCAACCTCGACGGCAATGAGCAGAATAATGATCCACTCGAGTCGGAGGCCGTGGGTCTCACTGAGACGCTCGCGTAGTACACTGGCAATCTCTTGCGCATAGTCCATCTTTTCATTCAGGAGCTTGATGCGAATCCCAACATCGAGGCCCCGGCCCACTTGTTCGTAGTACCCCTCCAATCCAAGCTCATGCCGACTGTCCCAGAAGATGTCTGGAAGAGAGTCGGTAAGCTCAGAGTATAGATTCAACTGTGCGCGCACACTGAGTAGTTGGCCGGTCTTGCGGAGAATGAAATCGCGGGTATATGGGAGACGGGAGCCCTTTGATAGAAGAGTGGGGATGGTGCGTGTTGACTCGAAATAGTTTGACAGGAGCGTCTCAAGAACGGCCAATTTTGTACTGCGAGCCAGGCCAGATGAGAAAGCAACTTTGGTCAAGACGGTATCAATGGATTGTTGTTGCGGGAACGGGACTTCCGAGCCCTGGTTTCCGGACTTGGTTCCTAGAATAATGGTATCGCCCTTAATGCTGCTATTCTCTCGCTTGGGATCTTCCACGAACTCGAGGTCTTCAGTTTCCAAGTCGTCCACATGGGCTCCCTCAGCTGCTGGGAGAAGAGTTCTTGTCGCCAGGAAAGATGTAAATCCTTCGGGTAGAGACCAGGCCACTACTGTTCCGGACGGGAAGACGAAAATGTCGCCTACTTCGTCGGACGAGAGATCCGCTGTTGATGGGTTCCCAACCCGTCTTATTGAATCGATGGGAATCTGCACATGAACGACTTGTGGGTAAAGTCCGGTGTTTAATGGATCCGGCTCAAATCCTTTCTCTTGTAAAATGTCTCGGACTTTGCGTATGTCGAATTGCTCGGCGACAGCATAGGCGGTAACTACCTAAGACCCTCAAGGGTTAGTAATGGTCTTCAAAATAATTATTCGAACCCTACCTTGGTCTGGTGAATGCCCTGCTCTCTGAGCTGGGCCTTGGAGGCAGATCCCTCCCTTGACCTTTGTGCCTCCACCGCAACACGCCGTAGAGATGTCGGAGCCGCCGGGGATCTTGCTGCACGCCTGCGTTGCTTCTGGGATTCTAAAATTTCAGCTCCTTCTTCCTTGCTGGACTGTTTCTGCGAAAGATGCGCATTGGATGAGAAGAAGTCCTTCCGGCGCGGGAGCTCCAATGCGGGTGTCGCGTGTAAATATTGACTCTGAGGCTGTCTCCAGAGCCGCGTTGGCACTGGCCACTTGCAGGCAGAGCAGAGAGAGGCTCTCGCAAACATGGTGACTGCTCGTTAGTACAAAACAAAAAAGCCCGAAACGATGTCATGGTCTGCAGAACCGAACCCCCTCCGCTTAGTCATGCGGTGGAGCAGCCCGACCCCAGCTCCCAAGCTGCAACAATCCAGGTCCCGTTGCTTGTCGCATCTCGATCTAAACCGGCCTGGGAGCTCCAGGCGCCACAAGGGACTTGCCATGGACGCGCCTGGTGAGACAAAAGCGAATGGGGGCTTTGAAAATCGCCTCACAGAGAATGACGCATCTCCGCGCAGCCGATCACCCTCCGATACGAACCCCGACGAGCACGAGCGACGTCATCAAAGCAGTGAAGATGAGTCCGAGGGCAGCGATGTTAGAGACGATGATGAAGACCAAGACTTGGATGAATCCGACGAGGAAGATGAAGAGCCAAAGCTCAAGTACGCATACCTCTCCAAGCACTTGGGCTCCGTTTATCGCAATGGGGACGCGACCAGTACATTCCTCGTTGCAGGAGACAAGATGGTAGGGAGCTCTTCTCTGCTGAAAGTACACGGACTAAGCTAATGTGACCTTAAGATCGTGGGAACGCACAATGGTGTCATTGTAAGCAGACTGCTCTGGCGTACCTCGACTCTCGAGACGCAGCTAACCCTCAACAGCACGTTCTTTCATTACCCCTTATGCAACCTCTTCGTGTATACCATGCTCACTCAGCAAGCGTCACTTCCATATCGATATCTCCATTCCCGCCACCATTGCCAAATTCAAAGCTCGACGCTGCAGTCAGACAAGCCGCGGAGGATCCTCGCCCCCCGACACGTACCTCCACCAGCTCGGGCAGCATTCGGGGTCACCCCAGGTCAAGCCAGCAAGCGGCTGTCCCAAACATACCGTCCAATGCAATTTATATCGCATCGGCCTCAATTGACGGCAACGTGTGCATATCGTCGTTGGTAGATCCAAAAGATATTATGAAGCGGAATTTTGGACGACCTGTGCAGGCAGTCGCCCTCTCGCCAGATTATAAGAACGACAGAACGTTTATCTCCGGTGGCCGAGCTGGTGAGTTGATTTTGACCACCGGCGGTCGTGTTGGGGTCAGTTCAAATGCTACTACAATGGGAGGAGCAACTGCTGCGGCATCAAGTTGGCTAGGATCAATGGGACTGGGTAACAGCAGCGGAAAAGATACAATATTGCACAGCGGTGAAGGCGCTATCAGCACCGTCCGGTGGTCTTTGTCTGGCAAATATGTTACCTGGGCCAATGAGGAGGGCATCAAGATCATGCGCTCCAACCTGCATCTGGAATCCGCGGAGATCGAATTCGCTTGGAAACGTATCAGCCACATAGACCGGCCAAATGGACCGGGATGGGAAGAAATGGCGAGTGTTTGGAAGGCGCGTGCTGAATGGATTGACCAAGCGGCTTTGGACGATCATGACAACCTTGACTCAGGTGACGGGATAACACAGCAAAGGCCACCGCCCCCAATACCAACGGAGAAGGTTGAAAAACTTGTCGTGGGCTGGGGAGGTACTGTATGGGTTATTGATGTTTACCCAGATCGGGCAAGCAAGCATTCGAAGGGCGAAAAATATGGCTCTGCAGAAGTTTCTACAATGTAAGCCACACCACCGACTTGTTCAAAGACTCGAATGCTGACTTTTTACAAATACAGTCTCAGAACAGATTGTATGATATCTGGTATCTCCTTGTACACGCCTCGTCTTCTTGTTATCCTGGCATATATTGAAGCAGAAGGCGACCAAAGCTCCCCTGGGTCCCGGCATCGCCAGAAAGGTCAAGAGCCTGAATTAAGACTCATTGACATAGAGACCAAGGAAGAGCTTAGCGCCGACACGCTTTCCGTCCATCGCTTTGAAGGCCTGGCTGCATCAGACTATCATCTAAGTGTCTTGCCCCCATGGAAAACCCCTGAAGGGCAAGTTGTTCAGCGTGGGGCTCTAGGGACTCTTGGTCATGGTTTACTTGATGCAACCATGTACTCGGCACGCCTGTTTAGTTCAGGTGCCAGCGTCAGAAGTACCGCCAGCAGTGGTGACAGGATTTCTGCAAGAGTTCCTCCATCGTTCAGCCCCAGACAGCTGCCTGTCGATGAGCTTCCCAAAGAGGTACAGGATGTTGCAACCGCTGCAGGCGCCAAGATCTTCATTCATAGCCCATACGACTGTGTTGTTGCTGTGAAGAGGGATCTTTCTGACCGATTGGCTTGGCTCGACTCACGTGGGCAATACGAAGAAGCTTGGAAACTTCTCAATGAACATCCTGAGGCTGCAGGTTCGGTCTTGAAGGAAGGAATTCCAGGGTCTCTCAAATCTAAGTCAAGCCTAGGTGACTTTTTCGCGGATGATAGGTCATCGATAATGACCGCTGGTCGTAACCAGGTTTCGGCTGCGGACCAAGAGAAGGTTCGGCTTGGTGAACTCTGGGTTGAACAGCTTATCCATGAGGAAAGATGGAGCGAAGCCGCTCAAGTCTGCAGCAAGGTTCTCAACCATGCAGCGCGATGGGAACATTGGGCTTGGGAGTTCATTAAGGCCGAAAAAGTGGACGATATTACACCTTATATTCCCACAGACCGGCGCAATGCGCTACCCGCGAAGATCTATGAAGTTATTCTCAGCGACTATGTCTCCCGGGACCTAACTCAATTCAAAGAATTGATTGAGACATGGCCGTCTGACTTATTCAACTCCAACACCGTGACATTGGCGATTCAAGACCAGCTCAAGACAGAATCAATGCGCGAAGACTCTGAGGAATGGAGAATCCTGACGGATTGCCTTGCCAAGATGTTCATTGTTGGTGGCCATCACCGCGAGGCCTTACACTGCTACATCAAACTACAGGATGCCGATGCTGCTATGTCGTTGGTCAAGGAACATCAATTGGTTGATGCCGTGTCTGATAAGATTGTAGCGTTCATCATGATTCGGATCTCCAAAGCGCAGATGAAATCAGCACCGAGGTCTGAATTGGAAGAGCTTGCTGCAGAACCAATTCAATTACTTGCCCGAGAGGCCTACACTGGAATTGTTCCCCCAGAAATTGTGGTCCAGCAACTGAATGCCGCAAATCGTGTTCTTTTCGTCTACTTCTATCTGCGGGCGTTATGGCGCGGCGAATTTCTTCCTCAAGACGCCTCGAAGCCCGCTAGAGGTCGCGGCGCCCATGCCAGAGACGCAGCGAGCAAATTGGCTGCAGACGAAGGAAAAGCTTTGATCGATAAGTTCGCTGATACAGCTGTGGAAGTATTTGCGGATTACGATCGACCTTTGCTGATGGAGTTCCTGCAAACGAGCATCTCATACACATTCGAGACCGCAACCTCAATTTGCGAACAACGCCACTTTACCCCGGAACTTATCTTCCTCTTGTCTAAGATGGGCCAAACGAAGCGAGCCTTGAACCTGATTTTGTCAGATCTAAAGGACGTATCTCAGGCTATCTCGTTCGCCAAGTCACAGGATGATCCTGATCTTTGGGAGGACCTTCTTGACTACTCCATGGACAAGCCTAAGTTCATTCATGGACTCCTCGTTGAGGCCGGAACGTCTATTGATCCAATAAAGCTTGTGCGTCGTATTCCGAGCGGTCTGGAGATTGAAGGACTGCGAGATGGTCTCACTCGCCTGATCCGCGAACATGACTTGCAAGCGATTATTAGCCAGGGTGCCGCGCGGGTCATGCATGGTGAGGTCGCCCTGGGAATGGATACATTGCGCAGGGGACAACGCCGCGGAATCGCATTCTATATAGCCGAGGATGATGTGGATGAGAAGAACACAAACTTGACCCCGATGCCGAAGAACCAGAACCAAGACGCTGCATCGATGTCTAGTGGCTCGACCAAGCCCACCGGTCCCAAACGGGGGACATGTGGCGGATGCCATGCTCCATTCAAGACAAACGAACGAGATATTCTCGTTGGCTTTGCCTGTGGCCACGTCTTCCATCTATCCCACCTACATCCGGAAGGGTCGCAGCAACACTCGAGCACGAGCAGCGTGGCAGATCGCACACCTCGGCCCTCATCCCCATCCGAGGAGCCTTTGTCAACAGCTTCTCGTACCGTGGGTCCCAAGGTGACAACCGCGCGGCTTTTGCGAGATAAGATTGGAGAAGGGTGTCGAATCTGCGCATTAACAAGAAAAATTGAGTCCCTTGGCAACGAGGGCGAGGAGTGATTTGATTCTCGGGAGCGGGATCTCGACCACCAATAGTATCCATCTTTTTCACCTGTTCATACTCGTGTATGCTGCTGTATATCGATTGTTTCCTTTGTGATACCCACACATCTTTCGGATGGCCCCGTGCATTGTGGGGCGTAATTTAGTGTTGGAAAACAATGCATGATTTCAATTTTCATTATTCATTTACCAATACAATTGTAGATACCCAACTGCAGTGTTTATCCCCGTAGACATTCATCGAGTGAGCCACCTGCCTAGGAAACATACCCTTGAGAAACCGTGCTGAGTTACTATTCGTTATTGCCTCTAAGCTTCTAGGATAAGAGCTTGTCGCCCTCCACTGCAAGGGGGAATCGGTAGAACCTCGGCTATGCAAGTGCATCCTTCTGCTGGACAATATCAGGGGAGCAGGAGGGTTCCCAGGTTGAGCCAATGAACAGTAGCACAAGCAATCTAATCCCAAGGGTTTCTTCCCAAGCAAGGAACCCCAAGCGAGCGACCCCAAGCGAGACGGAACCAGAATAAATCCCGTGCCTGCTTATTAAACTCTATACCCCAGGGCGTTTTGCGCTATACTTATATGGAACTTAGGCCCCAGGGTGGATAATCGTGGGGCAACACAATTAAGCAATAAACCGATCAACATCTCACTTCTAAGTCCTGGAGTAAGCCACTAATCGTGGGATCGCTTAGGATCTTTGCCGGTGTGCTCGGACTTAAGTGTGCAATGTGGGGAAGATGAAGCTTGTCCGGTAATAACAACGCGGGGAAAGTGGCTCCATGGAGAAGACCACTACATTACCCCGGATTCTGTACCTGATATGTCATTTATAATAGATTCGAGGCCGGTTCAGCGGAGGTTGGCTGTTAATTATTTAACCGTCTTTCTACAGCTCTGGATAGCTCTCTATAGCTCCCCATGCAAAGTAGATCATATAAATAGAGCGAAGGGATCAATCAATTGAATCATCCTTGCATTCTACTCCATCCATATTCGTTCACCTCTCAAACATCATGAGCGCTTTGCATTTGGCAGCCATCCTGGCTGCTGGATCAGTCGCTGTAGCCTATACTACACCAATGGCTAATGTGTGCACTGCTGCTCATGTTAAAGCTACACTCCCCACTGATGCGTTGCTTGGTCTCACTCTGCAACCTTCAACTGTCACCGCTGCTGCTGTCTACAACTATAACGACACCGGCTCTCCGTTTTTCCCAGACAATGTTTCCAGCTTCTGCAATGTGACATTTGGCTATAGTCATAATGGAAAGGATGACCAGGTTCTCGTCAATTACTTCATGCCGGCCCCTGCCAGTTTTCAAAACCGCTATGTCTCGCAGGGAGGTGGTGCACTTGATATCTACTCTGGTGTTGCCAGTCTGGCTGGTGGAATCCAATACGGCGCTGTGAACGGCGGAACAGATGGAGGATTTGGAAGTTTCTCTGCCTCCTTTGACGAGGTTACGCTCCTGGCCAATGGTACTGTCGATCTTGACATTGTCAACTTGTTCGGTTATCAGGCCCACTACGAGCTGGGTGTTATTGGCAGAGCTTTCACTCGCAACTTCTATGGAATGTCCGAGAAGACCAAGCTATACTCCTACTTCCAGGCTTGCTCCGAAGGAGGTCGCGAGGCTTTCAGTCAGCTTCAGCGCTATGGAGAGCTCTGGGATGGCGCGTCAGTTGGCGCTCCTGCTTTCCGTTATTCGTTCCAGCAAGTCCAGCATCTCTTCTCTAATATTGTCGAGAAGACCATTGGATATAACCCTCCCCTTTGTGAGATGGCAACGATCGTCAACGCTACTATCAACTACTGTGACGGATTGGATGGTAAACATGACGGTGTTGTGGCCCGAACAGATCTTTGCAAGCTGAAATTCGACCTTGACACCATGGTCGGTAAGAGCTACTACTGTGCTGCGTCGAATGGAGCTCCGGTTCAAAATGGAAAAATCACAAAGAAGGGAGTCGAGGTTGCAAAGGCTATTATCGATGGCTTGCACGACTCAGAAGGTCGCCGGGTGTACGTCTCTTACCAGCCCTCCGCTGATTTCCACGATGCCCAGACGACATACAACTCCGAGACCGGTTCTTGGGATATCTCCATTGTCGGACTCGGCGGCGAATATGTAACCCAGCTCCTCCAGAAACTCGACATTGAGAACCTACCCACTCTTGATGGTGTCACCTACGACACAATCAAGGACTGGATGATCGAAGGTATGCAGACATACCAAGATAGTCTGCAAGTCAACTGGCCCGATCTTACACCCTTCCACGCCAATGGAGGCAAACTCATCCACTTCCACGGCGAATCTGACAGCAGTGTTCCCACTGCTTCCTCAGTCCGATATTGGGAATCTGTCCGCAAGACAATGTACCCCAATATGAGCGTCGCTGACGGCACAGAGGCCACCAAGGAGTGGTATCGTCTCTACCTTGTCCCTGGTGCGGCACATTGTGATTGGAATGATGAGCAGCCGAATGCTCCGTGGCCGCAGACTGGCTTGAAGACGATCATCAACTGGGTTGAACATGGTATTGAGCCTGTTAGGCTCAATGGTACGGTCTCTTTGGGTGAGAATGCGGGTGACATAATGGAGATTTGCTCGTGGCCGCTGCGGCCTTACTGGACTGATAATGGGTCTAAACTTGAATGCCAGTATGATCAGACTTCTATCGATACTTGGTTGTACGAGTTTGATGGAGTGCCTGTTCCAGTTTACTAGATGAGCTGCTTGTGGATTCGAGTCTTGGTGATGAGTGAAGATATTTAATTAATAAGAATATATTAAGTTGAATTATATTACCCCTGTCACTGCCAATGAGGTACCAATATTGGAACTGTCATCTCTATCAGGCCCGTCAGAGTTAGAAGACAGCCATGGATGCATTGCCCTGAGTACGCGAAAAAGGTCATGAATATAAACTTCGACATATCGACTTCAGATCCGTTCATACATACTAATATTTACTAGCTATTTAAATTATTTCGTACATTTGGTCATACTACCAGTCGTCTTCACTATCCGAAAATCCAGGCCACTCATCCAATTCGCCGTCATTTAGAGCCCTCTCATATTGAGCAACAGAAAAATCAACTGACCCAGGCCAGAAGACCTTCGCATTTGTTTTATTCGATTCCTTATGGCATGGAAACCGGTGGTAAAAATGCAGGTTCTCACAAGAGCAAGAATCATACTCCGACATTGTGTATGGATACGGAACCAATTTGGCCAGAAGTGAAACATTCCGTTGTCGAAACAAATCCACCCAATTATTGATTTGGAAGCAGACTTCCTCACTGGAGGGATTGCTCAGATTATCCGGTATCTCACAAATTATCTCACGAAGAAGCGGCAGACATAAATGTTGACCCTCACGCGTCAATGAATTATAGAGGACCGCCAGAGGTACAGGCTGTCCCGGTTCATATCGAAATGTAAGGCTTTTGAGCGAATTTGGCAAGGGCATTACTGGACGTGTCCCCATTCCTAGCAGCGAGTAAGGTGTGATTGTAAGTTTTTCGAGAAATGAAAAGTTGTGAAGCCCGGAGGCAAGGGCCGCCCCCCAGTAGACGTCAAGGTCGAGAGTTTCGATGCAGTCATGATGATCCATGAATAGATCCGGGAAGCCGCCTCCCTCTGCGAAGCCTTGTGGAAGAGGGCCTCGGAATGTAAAGGATTTCAGTCCCTCTGTAAAGCTGAGAATAAATTTTAGGTCTTCCATTGATATCTCACAATTGAGAATCACCAATTCTTTCACGGTGGAATGTTCAGAAGGCAACATGTCATCGTAAAAAAAAATGGAATCCCCTTTTGAAAGCCACTGAAACCTCGCACCCGTGATGCAGATCTTTTCAGGTCGTTGTTTGAGGAGAAAAATGGTCTCATTAAAAGTAGGAATATCATACTCCTTCTGATTGTGTGTATCAAGTGTAGAATCAGTTCCGATATGGCCTGAATCTCATTAGTGAAATCTGATTGCCAGGAGCCGAGGGGTGGGACAGTACTAACAAACTCGCAAATTGGGAGGCAGGCGAGCATTTTTGTGATCGCCAAGAATACCTCCACAGAACCAAGTTTTCTTTGTGAGAGCAGCACTGTACTCAAGACGTTGGTCTATGAGGTCTTCCTGATACTTCTGAAAGTTTATCATGACTTCCCACGGGTTTTCCCCACAGCCAAATGGGTCATTTCCTGGACCTAACGTCCCTTTTTGCTCATGCTCAAAAAAAGCCTGAGCAGCTTGGGAGATATAGCCATCTACAGTTTCATGCGTCTCGTCCTCCACCTCCTCTCGGACGAATTCCTCATCCAGGTAGCATCTACCGGATAATCGTCGCACTTTGTCCTCCTCCTCGGTCCATTTGATGTCTCTTCTCCAAGGAACCCCAAGTCGTTTCCTGAAAACAAGTGTTTCCAGAGAGGGTAATTTAGCAATCATTTCATAGAAGGGCACAGAGAAATCAATCAAATCTTCAAATCCGGTATCATCCTCGTGGCGAATTTCACGAATGAGTGGAGCCAGATCTGGGCGTTTCTTGATAGTTTCTGCAAGTCGAGGCCCATGAATTAACCATGAAAGTCTAGGTGTTTCGTAAAGAAATGGATGGATGCTCTGGTAAAGGGATCGGCATGTCTGCGACAGTCGGCTAAGGTGCTTGGGTTTCTTGCGAACAGACTCTCGAAGATATTGAATGATCATGTCCCATAGCTCTGGGGGCAGGCTTGCTCGGTTGGCACTAGGCTCATCCTGTACGATGGTATTCTGCGTCGGATTTTGCATAACTGGACGTTGAATTTTTGCACGTTTGGCACCGCGCTTATGCTTCTTGATGGTCTTTTGCGCCGGGTCCTCCATACCTGACCATATCAAGCTTGTTTAAATGTGGGGTTTGGCGCTTCTCGGGACAACAAAGATCAAGTTGATAACTGCTGACACATCAGCGCCAAGAACGTGCATATGCCCCACTCAGGCGCAACCTGCATTCCGACAAGCTCACAGTTTATCAGCAGTGGTCCAATGGCATTGATGTTGGGACTTGAGGACGAAAAGAATCAAAGATGACTGTATGGGCGATTTGTGTAGGGGAGGAAGATCAAAAAGGAAAAAGAACGGTGGGGGGGGGGGGTTGACTAAGGTCGGATAAAATGCAAGTGAGGCTCACAAGATAACTCCATGTACTGGTTGAGCTGAAGCTGGTTCAATGTGTTGTTATGGATACTCCAGCCAGCTGCCGCTAGAATCAACTAAGAAAGAATTTGATCTCAAGAGTCTCATGTATGAATTTCAATTGCCCTTCAAATTCAGAGCGCTATGCGTGGATGGAAAGCAAAGGACTTCCAACCAACAAGCCAGAAATTGGGGGAATAGGTGTTTGGCGTCGTCTTCCATGCATCACGGCGATCGTCGAAGCTCGGGTGACCGCATCAACCATCAACCAGCACGTTCATTCAATAGATTGGACTACAAAGAAAGATTGCTGGGAAAACAAATAGATTAGCTAGGCTAATTGGCTACCATGTCATTGGCCATAAGATATGAAAACGAAAATATTAGGGCAGCACATGTTGCATCCCAATTTAACAAACAGAGATAACTAACGGCACGAGACTAGCCCATCGTGCAGAAACAAAGACCCGAGTTGATCAACACCACAAGGAGGTCATGGTCATCCCGCAATGGACAGGAGTCCAATACGACCTCACAAGAGAAGGAAGCTTGTAGAGCCTCACAGGGTGTTAATGAAAAGCAGAACCATGAAGCCAGTGGCAACAATGTTGACAATGTTACTCGGGACCTTGGCAGCCTTGGAAAATGCCTTGGTAGGAGTAGGGTTGCCCGGAACACTTCCGCTGGGGGTGGAGTGCCCACCAGCAGGAGGGTTGCTGCTGGCGGGGGGATTGTTGCCAGCAGGGGGAGCGCCAGGGCCGGGTCCAGGAGCGCCATGAACAGCAGGAGCACTGGGAGCAGGGAGAGCACCAGGGCCATGTCCAGGAGTGCCAGGAACAGCAGGAGCACTGGGAGCAGGGAGAGCACCAGGGCCATGTCCAGGAGTGCCAGGAACAGCAGGAGCACTGGGAGCAGGGAGAGCACCAGGGCCAGGTCCAGGAGCACCAGGAACAGTAGAAGCACTGGGAGTAGGGGGAGCACCAGGGCCAAGTCCAGGAGCACCAGGAACAGTAGGAGCACTGGGAATAGGCGGGTGGCACTCGGTGTGGGAGCACTCAATGGGGACTGTAATTACTGGAGGAGCTGGCACAGTAGGAGCAGGGGTGTGGCAATCGGTGTGGGAGCACTCAATAGAGACTGTAACGACTGGAGGAACAGGTGGCTGGCCAGTCTTGGAACCAGAAGGGCACGGTTCCGTAACAGTATTAGTGGAAGTGCTAACCTCGGGGTTCTGACCAGGGGTGCTCGAGCCAGAAGTCGAAATGCCAGGAGTGACCAGAGGGGTCCTCGACATGGGAGTCTCAGGAGTCACAACTGGGTTGCTCGAGGTAGAGGACTCAGTTGGAGTCAGCAGAGTTGAAGCAGGGGTACTCGACGAGGGAGTCTCAGTGGGAGTCACAGTTTGAATCTCGGGAGTCACAGGGAGAGTGCTCGAGGTAGAAGATGCAGTTGAGACCTCAGAAGTCTTAGGAGTGCGAGGGCAATCTGGGACATTTGGGGCACAACTGATCTCAGTGGAGGTCGATGTGACATAATCAGTCGACAGAGCTTGGAGGTATCAGTAGGAAGAACACAATGAAAAGAACTTAGTCGAAGGGAACTTACCACGAGCAATGAGGTTGTTGGCAAGAACAGGGAAGTGGTCAACTGTGATATCATGTTAGTGCACTGAGTCCCGGCACGAGAGAAATGAGATTACTTACGACCACGCAAATTGCCGTGTCCACGATTGGCGTGAGCATCAGAGACATCACGATCTGGAAATAGGTCAGCATTTAGGTAAAATTGAAAGGTGATGTGAAAAAAAAGAATGAAAAACAAAGACGCGTCGAGGGCGTCGAATACATTTGCAGAAGGATGAACTTACTGATGACAGCGGCCTGTGCCAGGAACGCAAGGAACCCGACGACAAGAAGCACCACCTGAATGGGGGTGCGAATGAGAATCATCATGAAGGTTTAACAAGTTAAACGTAGGACGAGTTGATGGAACGAGTGTGGTAAATGAGAGACAAGGGGTGTAGAGGAACGAGAGTGGGAGAGTATGAAGAGAGAAGAGAATAAGAGGAAGATGAAAAGGAGCGAGAAGAAGATAAACAACGAGAGAAACAGCGCTGATGGGGTTGGGAAGCTGCTGTTTTCCGTTATTTCAGAAAGAACGACCTTAACGGAAGGACTCTCTGCTTGTTCAAAGTACAAAGTGAGGTTACCACCAAAATGTGCCTGGAAAGCTGCCTGAACCGGCCTAGAAGTGACTTGTATGCTTCAGTATGATGACAATGGCATTAAATGTGTAATTGAAGTTATACTTGTTGGTTGAGAGCCGAATTCGGGGAAACATGGAGATATCTGGATGGTTGTTGAACCCTCCATGGATGTCGATGTCCACCGAAAAGCATTGCTCTCGGGAAATAAGAGGACCAATATAGATTAGATATCATCGATTTGATTACATGACATGCACAACATAGAAAATTCTCAGAGAACGATCTTGATGGAGTTACATTGAGGAAAACAAGAGTCATAGGGCGACTATCTATAGAAGGACAGCGGCATGCAGAGTTGCAGGCGGCGTAAACTTTGCAAGCCGTTCACAAGAACAATCAAAATCAATGCACGATCGCACTTAGATTTGGCATATGTCATTGACAGCTAGTAAACATCCAAGTAGAGCCCCAAAGCCAAAAGATTAGGGTTGATGGATACAAGAAGTATATCACTGGCATTTCATTGGCTGAACATCCTCAGCCCTATATGCACGGGGACAGCTACAAGCTTCTGTCTAGAGCTGTCATATCAGATGAGCCCATATAGAGAATACATATGCACAGCGAAGCTAGCCCATTTCAGTCCTAATATGTGAACTGGGCTCGTTACTATCGGAAGCATACAGTACCGTACCACCGGAACAAAAAATAGCGAGGTCCACCGAAGCCCTCGGAACACAAGCGAATACTTGCCGACTCAGAAACCCGCGATCTGGCAAGTGGACACGTAGATTCATTCACGCTCCATTCCGCGTCCCATCGGGAGAAGGGATACCCCAACTCGCTAAGAGTCGCTAAGAGAGCATAATGGGGACACAAAGACAAAAAAAAAAAAAACAGACCGCTACAGTTTACTAGCGCGATATTTATTATACGGTACGTGTACGGGAACTCTCAAGAATAGGGCTGTTCCAACCATGTACCGGGATGAGCCGTGTGCGAAGAGATAAAGTGGGGTGTCGCAGCTATCAGAACTCCGCTTCCAAGGAACGTTGGGAGTGATGTCATGGGGCTTTGCGGGAGGCTTATTGGCGTTTTGAAGGGACAGATTACGTGCCAGCGAAGCTATCACAGCGCTCAAACTTTTGGAAAGGGATAGCGGCGTAAAGAATAGTAAGGAAAGAATGAGATCTAGACCTCGTGTTGGTATTTCCGCTCCGTATCTCCGGATCAGACGATTTCCCCGAATTGAAGGAGGGGCTACTGAGGGGCAGTGATCGATCTCGATCTGCGAGTGGAATGAACTAGAGGGAAGGGTTATATGACAGGGGATGGGATCGGCAGGAACGTGGCCAATGGCTTCCCTGGATCTAGATTGGGCTTGATTCAAAAACGAGATAGCGGGGCAAGCTGATACGGTCTGGAATGTGATCCTCTGGTTTGAACGGGCTGACGTCATGAAGGGTGGGTGCGCCGGCTTCTCATCCAGCCAGTACGAGGGCCTGATTTGATAGCTAAGCGCCTAGCGTGGGGATTTTTGAAAGTAGGATTCCTATTCGACGGAGCTTTACCCGGAGGACTTTTTTATTATCTTTGTGCATCGCTAGTTGCGTCTGGCTCCATAGCAAAGCCCGTTTCAAGTAGTGCCCATATTGCGCTACGTTGTGGGCATTCGTGTAGCACGTGTAAGGAGTCCAAGTGCGCCAAAAAGCTTGAGCCTATAGGGGAAGGTGCATGGCGACGTAAACCTTCAATACGGTATACGAGAGGCCAAACAATGAAACCTTCTGTTTACTTTATCGTTTCCCCTCAAGCCATAGCTGTCATATTGTGAGTGAGATTGCGGCAGCGCCACAGCCACAATAGGAGAGTGGTGAATCTTGCCCGCAGCATCGCTAGGCCTAAAGCGGCCGATTATTACAACGCCATCCAACCGCAACAAGCGTATTAAATAAGCCGTTGAATTAGGAGACGTGCACTGAATTAGATGCCATTGGTTAATCAAGGTAGCTCTAACGGTCGACTAAGGAGCTCTAGATGCACCCCACATGCACTGTAGATTCACGCTTAATGTAACCAACGAGCACAAAAGGAAGAATTTCCCAAACCCCGAAACTTTATTCATTGGCGAAGTTGAAGATTCAAATCCCGTTCATTGAGCAAAAGACATGGAACCGAAAAGCAATGAACATCACCGTATCATTCACTGGACTAAAAGAGTATTTCAAACTAAATCCACGTACCAAAGCACAGACTCATGATGCAACGACCAGAGCCAACCACAAAGGAAGGAAAAGTGACCCATATCAGAGTTTTCATCTTGATTGGCCAACATACAATGGTAGCTCAGTCCGCCAATCATATCCAGTTGTCACAAGCGGATAGGACAACCTCTGTCTCCCGCTTCGGGTAAACTCGAACTCAGCTGTCCATGGCGCCACAAGCTCGCCTCCGTCGAGCCCGTGGTTGGTTTCTCGCTCTGTCCCGTGGACTGTTTACCTGGTTGCTGGGACCGGCTCTGGGGGTGGGGCCGTCCTTTCAGTCGATTTTTTTTTTTTTTTTTTGTAATTTTCGTTTTTCGCGGTCCGCTTTCATTCTGAACGCGCAGTCGTGTGGGCTTTGGAAATCCGTGGTAGATATGGAGTTGTGGCTTGTTGATCTCGGAGGTCATTCCTTAACTGCTCAAATTTGCGTTTCTTTCTCGCACGATATAATCCACTTTTCTTAGAGGATTTTTGGGATGTTGGTATCTCCACTAAGGCAAATTGGTAAAAGGGAAATTAAAAATTTGCGCTTTGTTACGTACTTCTCCAAATGCCAAGCATCTTCTCCGAATAGCGATGAACGCGCCCCGCATGAATAGTACCTTGAGGGTGAATAAATTTATGTTCATAAAGCTGAGGTTCACTAAGGAGTATTTGATCTTATCAGGTAGGTCGTCGTATTCTGTACCTATTTGGAATATTTGTTGGATTCATAGCCCCGTCCCTAGTCGGATCGAAGATCCGAGGTATACAATGCGCCCAAAATTGGATAAAATAGCTGAATACAGAAAGCCAAACGCTCAACGACACAATGTGCAGAGCAAGACAAGCCACGCAAAATAAGTCAATAGGCGCAGGTTTCCAAAAGTGGAACGGGGTATCAACTTCGTGTGCTTCGTCCCTAATCCAGGCCAACGAGAACAACTTCGAGAATAATGAATAATAAAGTAAAAGAAGCAACGACAATGTGTATACCTCAGCAACTTTGCACCAGGTCGGCCCGTAGACTCATATACCGTCGCAGGGTGTCCCAACGCCTTTGAATTCAACAGAAAGAAATATGAAATGCAAGCAAAAAAAGGAAGGGAATTAACAAGAATTCATCAACGCGTAGTGTGACAGGGTATTATTGCCCGGAGATTCGTGTATTATCACCGTAATCAATAACGCCCCTAAAATGATTGCTAACCGCCAATTCAATGACAATAGAACCAATAGGAGATAATAGACATCCATTAAAAGGGAGACCACCGGACGTGAATAGTGAAAAGCGCAAGCCACATTGTCACTTGCACGCCAGGTGCAAGGGAAATCTCAAGGCATATAGTATGCTCATGGGTGTAAGCATATAGCCCGATGAGGAGGCGAGGAACCGAATCGACGATCGTTCGAGAAAGAGAAAGGCGGAGCAGTCAATCTATGAGAAGCACGGGAGGAAAGGTGCTGAGGATTATCGTGGCAGGGTCTATGGAGTAGTCCATTAATATGTTAATTTGATCTCCACCGGGGAGCCAGGCGAAACAGGCGAGTCAGGATGGTTGACATCAGCGTCAGGCGTTTCGTAGATATCGACAACCATGTCCTGGCCTTCTGGTAGTTCGCGGACCACATCGTCATCGACCATGATTCGTAATCCGGCTTCATTGACGTGAAGAATGCGGACAATACGTGATGGGTCGATTTGTTGCTTCTCTGAGATTTTCTTCATCAAGTCCCGGACCGTGCGCTCTGTTAAGTAGATCGCACGGTAGTAATCACCGGGATGATGCTCGTTCCCTGAGAATCGAACGTAGAAGCATGCAACTATAATTCAATTAGCAACGAGTATGTCGTGTGAGGGTTGAATAAACTTACTCGGCTTTGGCGGTCGCTCAGCAGGAGGTCGATAAGTAGGGTCGATATCCACAGCCTCGATAAATCCTTGTGAAACCCTATCCTTGGATGCCACTCTTGGAATAGCAATTGGGTTCTTCTCCTTCATATTCAGGTTTTTCTCTTTCAAATACTGAGCATTGCTGAAGTGCGGTGAGTTCAAGTTCAAGGAAGCATGACTGCTGGTCGGTGATAGAATCAAAGACTCCATAGACTGTGAAGCACTGTGGTTTTGGAGGTTCAGGCCCTCTGGTTTAACAAACTCGCTTTCCGCCGGTAACCGAACTGGGTATTGATCGGGATCATCACCCTCTTCACCACGTAGAGCGAGAATGCTGATGGACCGAGTTGACGAGAACATATCCTGCATCATGGCGAGCTTGGATTGTAAATCATCCTCCAATGATAGCTTATCGGAACCATCTTGTGACCCCGAAGACCAAGTACGCTTGTGCTTCAGTGGAGGCTTAGACCGGTCGGTTGATTTAACGGTCGCTGAAGCATTAGTGCCACGCTTGCGCTTTCCAAAACCACCGCCCATCTCAGCCTGTGCGATCTGCTGCTTCAATTTCTCAATGGTCTTCTTGACGTGTGCAACATCGTTGGA